CCCTAAACCCTAAACCCTAAACCCTAAACCCTAAACCCTAAACCCTAAACCCTAAACCCTAAACCCTAAACCCTAAACCCTAAACCCTAAACCCTAAACCCTAAACCCTAAACCCTAAACCCTAAACCCTAAACCCTAAACCCTAAACCCTAAACCCTAAACCCTAAACCCTAAACCCTAAACCCTAAACCCTAAACTCTAAATATAAACCCTAAACCCTAAACCCTAAACCCTAAACCCTAAACCCTAAACCCTAAACCCTAAACCCTAAACCCTAAACCCTAAACCTAAACCCTAAGCCCTAAGCCCTAAGCCCTAAGCCCTGAACCCTAAACCCTAAACCCTGAACCCTAAACCCTAAGCCCTAAACCCTAGGCCCTAAACCCTAAACCCTAAGCCCTGAACCCTAAGCCCTAAACCCTAAAATGACGTTAAGGGTGCATATCTGAAACCCTGTCATACAAGTTTCAAAACAATATATTTTTAAGGCAAAAGGCACTCCAACCTTCGGCAGAGGCAATATGGAAGGCATTACACATGTTGAGGAAGATTTAAGGCAGGTCAAAGCATGTCGCTACGCCCCACTTGGAGGCGCTAGAGCCAAAAGCAAGTTTTTGTTAGTCACCATTACAAATCGGCATTGCAACTTTTGGTGAGCCGCCGGGGAAGTGCAGCACACATTTGGGCGAAGGTTTTGGGGTGGTCAAAACATACTAGTAGGCCCCCTCCCGGAGCCGCTAGAGCCAAAAGTAAGTTTGTATTAGTCATCATTACTAATCTAAGCTAGGAAACTGTATGGGGCGCCGGGAGACTGCAGCACACATATATAGGAATGATTTAGCACACCCAAACCGCTCTGCAAAGCCCCTTCCCGAGCCTCCATATCAATACGTGAGTTGGGATTAGTCACTATTACTAAACGGCATTGCAACTTTTGGCGAGCCGCCGGGGGAAGATAGTTTGCATATGGGTGAATGTTTTGGGAGGGTCAAAACATGTCGCTACTTCCCCTCCCGGAGGTGCTAGAGCCAAAAGCAAGTTTAGATTAGTCACCATTACAAATCGGCATTGCAACTTTTGGCGAGCCGCCGGGGAAGTGCAGCACACATGCGGGCGAAGGTTTTGGGGTGGTCAAAACATACTAGTAGGCCCCCTCCCGGAGCCGCTAGAGCCAAAAGTAAGTTTGTATTAGTCATCATTACTAATCTAAGCTAGGAAATTCTGCGGGGCGCCGGGAGACTGCAGCACACATATAGAGGAATGATTTAGCACACCCAAACCGCTCTGCAAAGCCCCTTCCCGAGCCTCCATATCAAAATGTGAGTTAAGATTAGTCACCATTCAATGTAAGTCACAATTTGGCATTGCAATGTTTTGCGATCCGCCATGGAAGTGCAACACACACGCGGGGAGAGGTTTTGGGATGGTCAAATAGCTTGGGTAGGCACCATGCCTGGCTTGTATATCAAATAAGTATATCTAATATGTCTGTGGAGACGGCCATCATGGCCGTTCAATGGGTGCAAGTCCGCTAATAAATATTGGACAAATGTTTGCGAGGATGTAGCATAGATATAGTTGAAGGTTTTAGCAAACCAAAAATACTGTGTTAGGTCCCTTGCCAGACTTCTAGCTCTAAAAGCAATTTGGAATGGCAACAACCATAATTGAATTGGACACTACAGGTAATACCAGTTCGGAACAGGTAAATTACGACCGCTCCCTACGGAATGTATCACACTTAAGGTGAAAGAATGCGATGCAACCCAAACGCTCTAGAGATCTTCTACAACCCATTCCGGGCATCTTGTGTGAAATGGAGCTTGTGATCAATCTCTAATGTTTACGGGATACGCTGCGTTCCATTGCAATGTCATGCACGCTCAGGACTACATGGCGTACAAAAAACGCTTAGTACCATGGGAACAAGCAAGCTCTTCTCCAAAAGACAAAATATATTCCCATGGCCACAATCCTAAGGGATGCAAAGATAGCTTTTGCATGCGCAACTTGCAGTGCAATGATTTGAACAAGTTTTGAAGCTCATCATGATGTCATTGCTGATTTTTTTAGCGGAAGTCATCAACCGACAGATTTGAAGGCTTGGGCACGGCATCTCATCACAATTTGCAGACACGTGACAAAACATGCCCATAACAAGCCTGTAACCGTGCACGGGCGTGCAGGCAGAACTTTAAGAAGTGATCACAGTGGCTCAACCTTATGGATTACATCCATCCTTGGGGCCATGGAAAGCAGCAGCATAGCTAAAACAATGGTGCACAGCAGTGCATGCAGGTCAAGAAAGGCATCATGAAGGCACATGACAAAAGAGGCCTAGTGCGTAGCCATGCACAGGCGTGAAGCCACAACTTTGACTAATCCTCACAAAGGATTTAGTCCATGGAATTTGGCCATCCCTTGGGCCATGCAAAGCCCTGGTATACCATAACAAGATTAGATATAGCCGTGCATGCATGACGAGCTGTGCATCAAGCGGTTACGTGGCAAAACTGGCCCTGTCTACAACCGTTAAAAGGTATGACCCTTGACAGTTGCAGAGGTAGACCTTGTTTCCGCTCATCCTTGGGGGAACAGGCATACAAAGATGTGTGACAGCATCTGTATGTTCTTGCAAGTCTTTCAACTGTGCCATAGGCCCCCCTTTTGAGGAGCTAGAGCCTCGAGAAGGCTGCCAGAGTCTCTATGGATTTCTTAAATAGTGTGCCACCTCCAAAATGGCATTGCAACCTTTTTTGGGACATGCATCATGTGAGAGCCCTATATGAGTGGGTCCCATTGGAGGCCTTTGCACCATATCATAGGCCCCACTTTGGAGGACCTAGGGGCTCCTCAAGACTAGAAGGGAAATGAACACTTTCTATAAGGTGTGATAGCTCCAAAACGGCATTGTAACTTTTGGTGAGACATGCATCAAATGAAAGCCCTATATGTATATGTTCCATTGCATGTCTTTCCACTATGCCATAGGCCCCCCTTTTGAGGAGCTAGAGCCTCTAGAAGGCTGCCAGGGTCTTTATGGATTTCTTAAAAGGTGTGCTACCTCCAAAATGGCATTGCAACTTTTTCTGGGACATGCATCATGTGAAAGCTCCATATGAGTGGGTCCCATTGGAGGCCTTTGCACTATATCATAGGCCCCCCTTTGGAGGAGCTAGGGGCTCCACAAGACTAGAAGGGAAATGATCACTTTTTTCAAGGTGTGATAGCTCCAAAACGGCATTGTAACTTTTGGTGAGACATGCATCAAATGAAAGCCCTATATGTATATGTCCCATTGCAAGTCTTTCCACTATGCCATAGGCCCCCCTTTTGAGAAGCTAGAGCCAACCCTATGCAAACCCTAGCCTAAAACCATGTTTGAGGCCTTATAGAGAGCCAAGGAGGTCGAATTTTCAAGTTAGGACTTCATAGGCGTGATCAGCACATCGAAATTGCCCAAGATCACCCTTAAAACCGGGGTCCATTTTTGGACACCCCAACCCCAAAACACTAGGTGTAAACCCTAAATACAGCAGACTGATGAATGCCTGCGCGCCGTATTGCTGATCTCCAAGAATCCTGTATGAGAGACCTGTGCACAGCACAGAGGCACAGTCACTGCTTTGATCATGTGCATGCACTTGCGGTACTAGCATATGCATGTGGGATGCTTTGCTCCTGTTTTTCACACTCCTGTTTTTCACACAATTCATTTTGCACTGATGGGGCCGAAATATTGCACCTTGCAATGTTGCCCCCCAGCCCTCCTTATCCTAGCCGTAATACTTGGTCCTGGCTGCCTTGACTGCCTTGGAGGTCTCGCCCCGGACCTGCTTAGTCATTGCTGTGCTCACCTGCGAGAAGGCAGAAGGGTCGGCTGGTCTGTCATGATCAGGGCCTGCCTTCAGGGCCGGCCCAAGTTCAAGCTCAGGGACCCTTTGGTAACACTGCCCTGTGGGCACGATCAAGATGAGAGACCAGCCATGCAAGTGCTCACAGCAATGAAGCTTTCAATGACAGGAAGAAGTTGATTCCCTCCTACCACTTTTTTGACGGCCCGCCTGAAGGATGCGCTCTTCTCGTCTTCACCCTTCGCCAGCTTCTTGGCGGCCTTCTCCAGCTCAGCGTGGGATGGGTACATGGATCTTTTGGCCAGGTGCTCTTTGCAGTAGCGTACAATGTCCTTTCTCTGCGCATACACACATCACCCATTTAAGATTGCGAATGCAGCAGCGCAGATTTGTTCGCATCTAAATTAACGCTGGCATGGTTCCTGTTAGGGAGCCAGCCGCCCCCTTTCCCTCTCTCTTGAGATGGATATTTTGCAAGGCACATGTCCAACAACGGCTCGCATGCATGCTCTGCTTAAAACAATTAAGGCCGCAAGCGTCTGCTTGGGCTCGCCACACAGAGCAGCATGCAATTGCTCATTGCCTCACCTGATCAGGGGTGAGTGTGCTCTGCTCCTCGTTGGTGCTCTTTTTGCGTCCTTTCTTCTCTGACTTTTCTTCAAAGAGGGACTTTATTGCTGCCAACAGTTCATGCCTGCCTTGGTGACCTGCATGCACAGTGAAATTCAATCAGATTCCCACTACTGCAGGTGCAGGCAGGTCCAAATGCCAAGTGTACAAGTCCTAAGGCGCATGACCTGATCCCAATACACATGTCACTGCACATGTGTAATGGGACATGTCATGCATGCACATCATGCACATCATGCACATGTCACTGCACATGTCACTGCATGTCACTGCAGCCACTACATGTCACTACATGTCACTGCGCATGTCACTGCGCTGACACATGTCATGAGGTGCTGAGCCAGTGGCTGGTCACATGGAAGCAGGATTACAGAGTTATACATGCATTACTCAAGAGCCACATGTGGCAGCAGCAAATTGTTGGTCAGGTCACTGAGTAATTGTGGGAGACACACCCTTCTTGATCTTCTTCCTGTTGAGCCTGAGTTCGGGCTGCTTTGAAGGAGCCTTGCCCTTCGCTTTCCTGCCTGCCCTGACATGCGATGGGGGCTCCTCTTCATCGCTGTCATCATCGTCGTCATTATCACCATCATCGCTGTCACTGCTGCAGCCACCCAGACTGTTGGAATCGCTGTCTTCGCTGCCCTCTTCGTGTTGAGCACTGCTGTCACCCTCACCAGCATCTGGGTCTTCTGCATCATCATCTGTATCATCTGCTTCATCCTCTGCACTCTCCTGTGCTGCGCATGCCTGCAAACAGGAGATACTTACATCAGACTTTCTCTCAGCTTCTCAGATGATGAGTCTGCGAAAAGATTGGTGATAATGGAGTAACTATTGTAACATGAAAGTGACTTGTCTGTGAAGGAACTTGCATGCAATGCAGCTACCCATGCAATGCATATTTGCAAGCAGAGGTACCTTGCCATGAGCAGCTGACTTCTTGACACCCTTCTTGCCCTGCTTCACATAGTCCATGCCGCTGCCGTCACATTCATCCATGGCAACATCGTCTTCTGCACAAGACGCGCCCTTGGCAGCGCTGGACTGGCGCCCCTGATCAGGCAGAAGGGCTCACAAATCCTGCTTTGGAAAGCACTGTAATGCTGATAACTTGGCCCGCATGCCCAGAGAATCAAATGGCATAGCATTTGATTCTCATGCACCAGACCTGGACTGGAACATTCCTGGCATTAATGCTTCAAAGAAGGCAGTCATAGATGTGTGGACATGAAGATAAGGGTTGCACCTTTCTGGCTACAGGTTTGCCTTTGGCGCGCCCTAACAAATCCTTGCCCTGAAGGTCAGGCTCTGCGTCGCTGGCAGCACCTTCATTGTCATTGTCAATCTTGCTGCGCTGTGTCTGCAGCAAGATGAACACATGCATCAGGGTGGCAGAGTGAGCAGGAAGCTGCACACATTGCAAATCATTCTTACAGCAGATCAATGACAAGCACATATTGAATGTGAACGTTGAGAAGCATCATGCAGCTTCGATTTCTCGCACAGGCAGTGGATGATTACCTTGGAAGCTTGCTCCCTTTTCTTGACAAGCTTCTCGAGTTCCAGCTCCTTTGCTGTATTCTTAGGCTTCGATCCCGATTGCTTCTTCACCTGCAAATTATACTGAAGCGATAAGCGAGGCAACAGGGAGCTGCAAAACACCTGTCATGCAGCTGATTCGGATCGTACTTGGCAGCAAGCCTTCGCAAATGGAAACACCGGTCTCTCAATTCTTGTAATGTTTCAGACAAGAATAATAGTGATTGCCGAGTCCATCAAGGTTGCCAGACCATTTAGATTTCGCGGAGCGGGAATAGGCACTCGGCTGATCCAAGCGACCAGAAGGCTAAAAAGGTCGAGATCCTGCACCTTCACTAACACCTCAACTTGCGTGCTATGGATCAATTTATGTGATGTGGAATCATTGACGTACCTCGGCAGCAGCATTCGTGGCTTTTGTTGCGTTCTGTGCTTTTCCAATGGCCTTACTACCACCTTTCCCCATGGTGGGACTGCCTTAGGCTGCGATCTGCTAGGCTGCGATCTGCAAGGCTTCAATCGAATAGATGCGATGAGAATTGATACTGACATCAATGAGGAGTCATTATTTGAGAGGTCTCGAGTCAAGCAAATGGAGTTTGACTGGAAATGTGTCATGGTTAGTAACGAATAGTAAACGGACGCAAAGCGAACAAATCAGTGGTGCACGCAAGGAGCACCGACAAGCATTGTCAATCGTGACGACAAAATGTCTCTACAAGATGAAGAGAAAGCGGGGAGGCGATGATGCTGGCCCGAAACCAGCCAGACGCGGACGCATCCCGTGCCCTAAACATGGATGTCCTTTTAGAGGCGACTCGGACAGAGCAATATCGATCCACTTGGCCAGCAAATCACATCGTGATTCAGACACGTCAGAGGACGAGGCACGCAGTTCCAGTTCGGATGCATCCCAGTCGGTCTCACATTCCAGCTCAGACAGATCAGTTGGTTCAGAGGACCGTTCAGATTCCATTCAGGGGCAAGCGGAGCATGTGAGAGGTGAGCCCCCTGCAGATCAGTCAGAATCATCTGCGCAGCAAGGGTCAGACGGGCAGGATGCGAGCAGCGCGGGCGGGGGATCTATGGTCAGTGGCGGCTCTGCAGACTGGCCAGAACAGGGTGGCCCGGGCATGCATATAGATGTGAGCGATGCTGGCAGTGTCAGTCAAGATTCAGCTGACGAGTCTGAGCTTGTGGAGAGCAATGCTGATGAGCAATATGGATTTGAGAGGATTGCAAAGCTGCCAAACATATTCGAAGAGGCACTCACGCCCATCCTAAATGGGCTGGCGCAGCGGAAGCAGGATGCTCTGTTGAAAGTCGTGACAGATCCAGAATTTGGGCCCCATTCAATCCGCTGGAGATCAACTGCTGCGTACAAGAAGTACATGGATGGCTAGAACAAGCAGGCAAGGCCCCTTCTCTCGCGCCAGGTCTTTATGATTTGTTGCGCACCAGTGCGCCATATTCATGCGCCATAATCACGCCATCTGAAGTGCACACATGCGTAGCTCATTGTTTCGGGTGTGCAGGTTTGGAAGAAGCAGGTCGCTGTCACGAGCGCGTCTGGAAAAGACTACTGGCTGCACTATAGGTCCGATTTTAGCGAGCTGCTTCAAGAGCTCCTCAGTCATCCAGAGGCAAGGTTCATTCAATTCAAATCCTACAGAAGCAAATGATTGTTTGTGTCACACGATGCTCTGCAACAGCCGCAAATTGCTGGCATTGAATGTGCAGTGTTCTTGTGCTCTGTAGATACGCAGGAGGCATTTCCGGCCGCGCGCGGGTCACAGACTGAGTGAACTGAGGGATGGGAAATGGATGGCAGAGATCTGGGTGAGGCAACGACTCAGTGCAGGTCTTTGATGCAAGCTTAATCATGCAACTGCAACTGTGGCCATATAAGTCCAGAGCATCACTGAAATTGTGTTATTTTAACACCTTTAGCTCCTGGAAATATCACAGATCTCTCTTCGTGCATGTCCCTTGACCTGAAGGTGCATGCAGGCCTATGTCCAAGAAAACCACCCGGAGGCAGAGGGTGTTCTGCCATACATAATCTACAGCGATGAAACACATGTAAATCCCTCCGGCCGCAAAGTGCATCCTATCGTTGTGTTCCTGGCGCTTCCACCCAGCATCATGCGGCAGAATGGCCTCTTCCGCTACCTAGCATACTTGCCTTCATTTACAAAGGCAGAGATTGGCCTCAGCAAGAAGCGGGATGTGTCAGCGTGAGTCCCTGGAAATACAACCCATGCTTGACTAGAATTGCTTTCAACGTCTTGAAGCGTATTTGTTTACTGCCCTGGCATGTCACATGACAGTGTCTTGCTCATTCTTCTTGTATGAGCGCAGGATGAGGGAACTGCGGAGGAGTGTACTTGTCTCGTCTGTTGACTCAGCATTGGAACAGCCAAAGCTAGAGAGCTACAGGTATGAGATTATTTTGACATGAGTGTCAGAGCACTTTTCATACCATGGTTTTCAGCGTGCTTTTGGACATTGCAGAAGTGGTTTCTTGTACAAGACTGGAGCAGCCATGCAGGGGACTCTAAATTAAGTTAGTTTAGAGTCCCCTGAGCCATGCATGCCAATGTCAAAGTTCCTGAACGCAAAATTTTGCACTGCAGGTGCAGAACACTCTTCATAGGGGCTGCAAAAGCCCCCATGAAGCTTGTGCCCATACCATGCAACTATGTGGCGGACTATCAGAGTCTCTAGCTGTATGGGTCTAGTGGTTGTGGGCATATTGTCTTGTGCTGGTCGAGATAGTCTTGTCTGGTCGAGCCTATACAGGCTGCTTCACAGATGAGGTAGTCATCGGTGACTGTACTGTCACATGCAGTGCATGTGATAGTCCTGGTGCTAGTCTGGTGGCTTGTAATATCTCAGATTACATCTGTGATCTGTGACATCCCTCCGCCTCATTGAGAACAGGGGGCTGTAACCCATACACAGAGTCCTGATGTGCTTGTCTTGTGTGCCCTTGTGCTTGTAGTTCTATGCTGCAGAGCAGCTTAGAAACTGGTGCAATCTGATTAACTCAGATGCGGATCCGCATGGACCCCTGGTACCGGTCTAGTAGCTTGTCTTGTCTGGAATCAGCCAGTCGCTTCAACAGGGCGTCCCCTGGAAGCTTCTAACCTCCAGTATTCCTCTTGTAAATCTGGTGTGAGATTTTTCTCAGGCTCCCAACTATTCTCTGTGGAAGGATAACCTTCCCATTTAATGAGATAGTGCATCACCTTTCTGTTTTTCTTCTTGCCTGGTCTGTGTCTCAGCTGGTGATCAAGAATTTTCTCAACCACAAAATATTCATCAGTAGCTAGTTCTAGTGGGTCAGATGAAGTCTGCTCTCTGGTGGGATCTGACTTGTATGCCTTCAGCAAAGAGACATGGAAGACAGGAAATATCTTTGAGGAAGGGGGCAGCTGCAGTTTATATGCCACCTTCCCAACTCTCTGTATTATCTCGTAGGGTCCCATAAATCTGGGCATCAATTTAGAGGCCTTCTTGCCTCTAATCTTGATATTTTTGGTGCTCAGAAGAACTCTGTCACCAACCTTGTATTCTACATCTCGTCTGTGCTTGTCAGCATAAAACTTGTACCTGTCTTGTGCTTTATGTAAAGCATCTCTAGCTTGTACTAGTACCTGCAGCATGTCAACTTTCATTTTGACAGCAGAGGGGTTGCTTGCAGAGCCAGCTTCCCTTGAGTGTGTGATGTAAGTACTCTTGGGATTGAAGCCATAATTCAGCATGAATGGAGTAGTCTGCAAATTATCATGATATGCATTATTCACTGCAAACTCACAGGTGCTCAGGTGCTTGTCCCAGTCATCCTGGTCTGGTCCAACATAATTCCTGAGCATGTCTTCTAAAACCTTGTTCATCCTCTCAGTCTGGCCATCAGTCTGGGGATGGTAGGCAGAAGACATCTTCTGCTGAATGCCTAGTATCTTGCACAGGTCAGTCATAAACTTTCCTGTGAATCTGGTGTCTCTGTCAGAGACAATGCTTTCTGGCACTCCATGAGCTTTAAAAATGTATTCCCTGAAAAGCTCAGCAGTGCCATGAGCATCAACGCTGGTGTGAGTAGGGATAAAATGGCACATTTTAGTGAGCCTATCCACTACTACTAGTATGGCATCATAGCCTGCTTGTGTCTTGGGCAGCTGGACAATAAAATCCATGCTGATGTCAGTCCACTTGTGTGCTGGTATCTCAAGAGGCTGCAGAAGTCCTGCAGCTCTCTGAGTGACATTCTTGTTTTTCTGGCACTTGTCACAAGTATACACATATTCTTTTGTTTCCTTGCGGATGCGAGGCCACCAGTAGTGTCTACTGACAGCATGGAAAGTCTTGTCTGCACCCATGTGTCCTGCTGAAGGGACATCATGGAATTCATACAGGATTGTGTCCGACAGGACGGTCCTTGATTTCTTTAATATTTGGGATGACCATGGTCTCGTCACGAAACCAAAAGTCTCCCTGCTTGTCTAGTGGGCTAGTGTTGCTGTTGTTCTTGAACCAGCGGTCAGTCTGGTATCCTTCAATAATTTTCTTGTCCAAATCTGAAAGCACTCGTGGTGGAGGAGGGGGCAAATGAGGCTCAAAAATTGGCTCAGGAGCAAGCTCATCAGTCAAGTCCTGTCCCTGCCCCCCATTTTTAGAGTGCTGACCTGGGTCACGTGACTGGGCACGTGCTGGTGCTGGTGCTTGTTCTTGTGCTGGTGCTGGTGCTGGTGCTGGTGCTAGTGCTTGTTCTTGTAACAGACGCTTCGTCTGCCTGGTCACTAGGGCTGACAGGAATGCAGGATTACGGCTGAGCGGGTCGGCTACATTTGTGCGCCCTGGCTGGTAAATGAAATTAATATTTTCTTTACCAAAACTTGCCAGATACCCAGTCCACTTAATCTGCATCCTGGTCATAGTCCTGAAAGTTCCAGTGTTGGGCTTGTGATCTGTAATGAGGTCAAAAACCCGGCCCTGCACATATGATCGATAGTGGATCACAGCACAGAAGGCAGCTAGTAGTTCCTTGTCACTAGTGCTGTACCTTGTCTCCGCAGTAGAAAGCTTGCGGCTAAAATAGGCAACAGGCCTTCTCTCTTGCATCAAGACGGCACCAATGCCAAATTCTGAAGCATCTGACTCTATCTGGAATTTCTTAGTAAAGTCAGGTAATGCCAGGCATGGAGCATGCGTGAGTGCATACTTGATTCCATCAAAGGCATCCTTGTGTTCCTGACTCCACTGAAAAAAGTGCCCTTTGCGAGTCAAGTCTGTGAGAGGTGCAGACAGCTGGGAATAGCCTTGCACAAAATCCCTGAAGAAATTGGCAAGGCCCAAAAACTGCTGCACATGGTTCACATTTGCTGGTGTAGGCCATTCTTGTACAACTTGTATCTTCTTGGGATCCACGCGGAGGCCATCGGCCCCCACTATGTGGCCCAGGAAGGGTAAGCTAGTCTGGTAAAAGGAGCATTTGGGAAGCTTAGCAATCAGCTTTTCCTTCCTCAAAATGTCCAGCACGATTTTAACATGCTGCTTGTGTTCCTCCAGTGACTTGCTGAAGATCAGGATATCATCGAGATAAACGATAACAAAATCCAGATGCTCAAATATCCTGTTCATCACTGACTGGAAGGTGGCTGGTGCGTTTGAGAGACCAAACGGCAGGACCAAAAACTCATAATGCCCCACTGGTGTGCGAAACGCAGTCTTAGGCACATCTGAGTCTTTGATCTTAATCTGGTGATAGCCTGACATCAAGTCAAGACTACTAAAATATTTACCTCCCTGCAGGCGATCAAACAGATCATCTATCCTGGGCAGAGGGTACTTGTTTTTAATTGTGATCTTGTTGAGCGAACGGTAATCTATGACCATTCTGAGGGTGCCATCCTTCTTCTTCACAAACAGTATAGGACTGCCAAAAGGAGAAGTAGAAGGTCTAATCAGGCCCTTGCTCAGTAAATCTTGTACTTGTCTCTGCACTTCTTCCTTCTCAGCAGGGCTGAGACGGTAGATTTGCTTGAACACAGTCAAACCTTCATTTACGAGAAGGGTTGTGTGTACTACTGGTCTGTCTGGTGGCAATCCCTGAGGTTGCTCTGTGCACAACACATCTGAATAGTCATGCACTAGCTTGTCTACCTCTGAGAGATGCTCAGATGCTTGTGCTGGTGCTTGTGAGATGCTGGCATTTATCATGGAGTCACAGGAGAGTTCAGAATCACTCCTTACGAACACCATGAAAGTGTCAGCATCATCTGCTTTCAGCTCATGTTCAAAAGACAGAGCATTTATAAATGGGCTCAGAGTCTGAGTGTCCCAGTTAATATGTACGTCTGGGACAGCCGGCACTGAATGCATGAAACCTAAGTGGTAAAAATATGCCACTGCTGGTCCATCAAAATGCAAGCTTGTCCTGTGCCTGGCTAGCCAATCTTGTCCCAGGATAATATCAAAAGACATATCAATGATCAGCAGATCTACTGGTTCCTTGTAAGTATTCATACAGAGGTCTAATGTACAGCTAGTGCTAGTCTTCTGCTTGCTGCCATTGAAGGCGCGGACTTGTCTTGTGCTTGTTGCGCTCGTTGCCCATCCCCCCGCAGAAACACAATGCTGGGAGGCGCAGGAGTCAGTTGAACCTGAATCCAGCAAAATATTGACCTGAACACCTTGCACTGTGCCTTGCACGAGCATTCGCAGTCTGGGGTGTGGGCTAGTGGGCTGAGCTGGTGGGTCATACAGAATCTGCATGGCTTGTCTCAGGGGAAAATTAACTGTATCAAAGACACAGTCCCCTGGCTTGTATTCCCTGAGCACTTTCATGCTCTGCAAACATGACTTCCAGGCTCCAAAGCCTTTGGGCACCATGATGCACAGGGACATGGAGGGCTGCTGAATTTTCAGAGGCCTGTAACTGGTCAGAAATCTAGAAACCTGATCAGGGGTCTCACACGAGAACCACACATGATCATGCTGGTGTGCTAGTGCTGGTAAATTCTCCACCTGGTCTGGAAGGACTTGCACAGAAATCGTCCGACCAGTCAAAGCTTGTAGCTGGTCTTGTTCTGTGGAACTCAAACCACAGTTGCGCTCGGTGGGCCCTGTGAGGAGAGGGGAGAGAGAGGAGGTCTCAGTCACTGACCCGGGCTTGCGGGGAGGCGTCCAGGCGTCTGGGACGACGATGGGCGTAGGCATGCCGTTGGCCATCTTCACCGGGCAGTTGTGCAGTCCACGATCATGCGCGCCAGGGATCCGCGGCTTGCCCGGGACGTTGACCTTCTCGCCGCAGTGGAAGCACAGGTCCAAGGCAGACGCGTACAGCTGCTCTCGGCTGCCGGAGGGGTACTGCGGCGTGAAATGAGGCCGCCAGTTGTCAGGCGAAGGCGCTGGTCCCTGTTTCAACACACCCCGCTTGTGACCGCTAGTCTTGTTGGGCTCGTCCCTTTTCCTCTTCTTCCCTTGTTGGCCAAAGGCCCCATTTGCTTGTCTTGTACTTGTGTTGTTGCTTGTGTGCTGGTCTGGTTCATCACCAAAATCTGCTGGTATTGAGGTGTTCCTCTTTTGGCTCGCCAAGTTGACAGCATAGGAGATCAGGCTTTGCAAGTCCTGAAAAGGTGTCCCGGACTGTGGGTTCCAGGTACACTCTCTCCTGACACCATCTTTGAGACCTGAGAGGAAACACTCAACTTGATCTGCTTCAGCCATGGGGCAGTCCTTGAGCTGCCAGATTTTAGACTTGAAATTTCTGGCATATTGCTCAACAGTTTTATGCTGTTTGAAAGACCTGAGCTGTTGCCTGATTCTCTGCTCTTCAAACAGGTGGCCATAGCTTTCCCGCATGGTGTCAAAGAATAGATCTATGCTAGTAACATCCTTGTTTGCTTGTCTGAGCATCTGCTCAGCTGAGTGCCATGCTTTGGCAGCAGATCCTGTCAAACAGGCTGCCGCTACATCGACTTGCATTGGGCCAGGCACATTTTGCAATCTGATGTACCTGGCAGCTTGCATGATCCACGACTCAATATCTTGCTGGGGATCTGTGCCAGCAAATTTGTCAGGCATGGGCACCTTAACATGTGAGGTCCCTGGTGAGCTAGTGGCTTGTAAGGGACTGGGATGGCTAGTTCCTGGCCTGAATCTGAACACAGGATTTGCTGGGCCTGGAAGGCTGAGCTGTGCTGGTATATCATTGCTAGTCATGGAGGGTACAGACCCCACATGTGTTCCAGTCAAAGCTCTTGTGGCCAGGTTAGTCAATCTGGGGCCTACCGCTGGTACGAAACCATTGATGCTCTGGGTAGCCGCGGCACGCCGCAGCAGCTGTGCAGCCGCTACGATCTCCTGTCTGCTAGGTTCCATGGCACCGGATGGCAGAGGTTGCAAGTCAAAGTCCATCAAATCAGGCGGTGACGCCGCTGGTGGTGGCCACTGTGATGCTGAACCTGCAGCTTGTGCATAAGAAACTTCTGGTATTGCTCGTGCTTGTGTGCTAGTAGCTGGTGGTGAGGTGCTAGTGGGTTGCACGCGTGTGCGAGTACCTTGCCCTGAAGACATGCTCTGGTGCATTGCTTGTGAGCTAGTGGCTAGTAATTCTGGTGAGCTTGTGCCTTGTCCAGGGGCAGATCCTTGTGCTTGTGCTGGAGCCATTCCTCTCAGTTCTTGTGAGATCCTGGTAGTTGTGCTTGCCACGCTCATCAAGACAGGATGGTCCTCATTCTGCAGCTCTTGTATTTGCTTGATCAATCTGGTCTGCTTGTTGGCTCTTTTTGCAAGTGCATCTACATCAGCCTGGTGAACAGCATCGTGTCTTTCGTATTGTAGAACACGTTGCTCAAGCCATACCAGCCTTTCTTCGTCGGTGTAGCAAGGCTGATCCTGCTCGTGGGGCTGATTCTGCTGGTGATCTCCCTCGGCATCTGGCTCATCGTCAATGTAAGGAATGCCTTGTAGGGCTGCTGGTCTGTCTTGTGCATCTTGTGTCATGTTTTCATCAACATCTACGTCTTCATCGGACGTTTCACCTTCAACTCTATGCGAGAGCAACTCTGCAACGTCTTTAGGTGCATCGGCAGGAGGATACGACATCACTCATCGATCACATCCAAAAGCCACACATGTTCACTCGATCTTTACTTAACATCTCCGAAACCTTTATCAGAGTCTCTAGCTGTATGGGTCTAGTGGTTGTGGGCATATTGTCTTGTGCTGGTCGAGATAGTCTTGTCTGGTCGAGCCTATACAGGCTGCTTCACAGATGAGGTAGTCATCGGTGACTGTACTGTCACATGCAGTGCATGTGATAGTCCTGGTGCTAGTCTGGTGGCTTGTAATATCTCAGATTACATCTGTGATCTGTGACACGGACGGACTGGAGGCGAATAATCTCCTGCTGGTGAAGACAGGCTCAAAGCACCGCGATGTGCACTCCTTGATCCCGACGGAGGAGCTGGACAATCCTGATGCTCAGTACCCACGCCGTACCGAGAGACGGACCAGGAAGGTAATGCACCTGGGATCCATCTGTTCAGTCTGCAGTGATGGCAATTTACCTAGCTTACTATACTTAGGAGGATGCGCATCTTATTTCGTTCACTTAGGCGACGCCTGCCAGGCCGTTTATTGTGTCCATCATAACGTTCGAATACAATATTAAAACACATTTAGATGTTCGATTTATTGCCACCTGGCTGTCGCTCATAATTACAAGCGACTACAATGGGATGCGCAAAGTGCTCTAGGACTTTCGAAAGACCAAAAGACCAGACCTCTCCTTCTGTAGAAAGAGTCATATAACTAATATAAAAGCTTTAGCATAGGTGCTCAACTTGGTCATGTGGTTTATTAGAACATCTACTTGCAAAAAGGTACATCCCTCTAGAATTACTTGTCAAGAAACCACAACATCATAGCCAAATATGCCTCTGCAGGTCTTGAAGAGAATCAAACGGCTGGGGCGCGAAGGGGCGCAAGGCCGGAGGGAGGCGAAGAAACTGATGGATGATTGGAGCTTGCAGCGCGCTGAAGAGGTAATTCACACCTAGCATTGCAGCCTTCCTTGCTTGTTGCATTTTGGCACAACTCTGCCTGCAAGATATTGTTCCATGCTTGTGGCATCTCATGCACATTCTACACCTGCGCAGTCTCCCCTGGCTGGATTTGCCGGCACGGACTGCCACCGGCTCATCCAGCCAGACCCCATGCACCAGGCGGACAAAGGCGATACAGAGCGCGCGTTGGATCTGCTGAATGAGCGCATGGACGAGGACAGCATCGCGCTCATCAACGAGCGCCTGGCCTCAATACAACCAATGCAGGGGCTGGCGCTGCCCGGCCATGGGCTGTCATCAGTCAAGATGTATGCCAGTGAACAGGCTGCACTTCTGCGCTGCCTGTCCGTCCCCCTCCTGGGCATTGAGGGCGAGCTGCCAGCTGCCCTGAGGATCGTTATTCCCGGTGCGGCATCGCATGTCTCTGGTGAACGCTTCTGTCTACTGCAAGATCAAGAATGCTAATATCTGGATGCCATTAATCTTGCACACAGACCTGATGCACAATGGACCCGTCTGTATTTTCTTGTACACTGTGCTTCAACATGTTCAGGGGCACTTTTGACACAAACCTCAGCAGAACTCAAAGGCAGGCACTTGAGGTGTGTTGCTTGTTATGCAGCCTATTTGGACTTTGAGCGGCTGCGGGACCAGGACGTGCATGATGACCAGTCCCTGGCGCGCCTCGAGGCCGCGTGTCGCAGGTGTGGCCCCGTGATACATAGTGGTATGGTGGTATTGCACTGCTGGGCTTCCCCGTGATACATGCTCAACTAGAGGGTCAGTTTGCATGATTGGGGCTGTCTAGTAATAATACTTCTAGACCGGTACCGGCCGATTGAGTTCCTATGGTCCAATGCACCCCTGGAAAGTACCAAATTTTGCCCCAGGGTCCTCACAAGTGCACTAGGGAGCTTGTGCTTGCTCAAAAGGCAATATTTCTGACCGAAACCAGCATGTCCAAGAGTCGCATAATTGATCTGCGCAGGTATCAGACGCTTGCGCTGGAGCATCTGGGGGAAATGAGGAGCTTCAGGACATCCAAGTTTCACGCCCATGGCAAGTACGAGCCGCTGATCCGCTGGCTCGGCTGCGCGTTGCTGGCCTCTGCATCCCCTGGAGAGGCAACGCACAAGGTCATCAAGGCTGGCTACTTGAACAGCAACAAGAAGGCGGGCGGCTTGGAAGAGCAGGTGCGGCCAAAGTTCTGTCAGTGCACCCTGTTGATGTGGCACTGCACTGATGTGGCACAGGCCTGCTGCCATACGCACACATTAGTACTACTATACTAATATAGCACGCCTGTCCAAGCCACACTGGGCCCGGTGAATTCGCAGCAGCGTTTCTGTGGCAGCGTCCTATATTGGCACTTTGCCAGCATGTCAGAACAATACTGATGCAGACATGATGTCTTCAAACCGATGCATGCCTTACTGAAACAAGGCTTAGGTGTAAATACTGTACCTGAGTTCTCAAGAGTGGCTGTGTGTTGACTTGGGAAGAGCTGTGCTGCAGATCAGGGACCACGCCAAGAACCTGGATCTGGCGCGTTCAAACACTGCAAGCCCTGCAGAGGAAAAGCAATCAAGGAGTGCGGTGCGCGCAGATCCCTTTCCAAGAGCAGCTGCGTGGCCTAATATGCATGAGCAGTGCATGCGGAGCATGTTATGATTTAATTCATGTATTAGCATGCCAAATTAATTACCTGCGTCCTGCCATCTGGTGTGTTTTGTGCCCTGAACGGATCCAAGTTCATGAGCTAGGGGTGGTGCTGCACAGGGTCAGCTTGCAGTGGAGACACACTCGCATCAGCTCATCAAGGCCTCCAAGCGCCTGGAGTACGGTCAGCTGTCTAATGCCGGCGCCGCCGCTGCATGGCTGCAAGCACGACCTGAGCTTGTACACCTGGAGCGCTGCCTACGGGCGTACCTGGGCGCTCAGGCAGGCTTGCCAGACGGCGCTGATCTGGACATGCTGCCACACGCCAAAGGAGAGATGGTGCGCATGCGCTCAGCAATCTTGAACCCTGTCTGTATAGTTGTGTAGCAGCTGAAGCTGGTGCCTTAGCCTAAGCCTAGCCGGGCCAGTGGATCACACAAACTGACATGGGGAGGCTCCTGGAGGTATTATTTGCACACCGAGGCCAGCCGCATGAGTACAAGAGGTTTTCTGCTGTGCAGGTGTTCGTGCGTCCATGGCTGGCAGTGCCTCTCCAGCTCCACAGGGGCTCATTGCATGAGGCTGTGTCGCTGAGGGCGGTACCAACATTTGGGGCAGGAAAGCGGGAGGCGTACAGCTTTGTTGACATCAGGTCAGCAAATATTCTAACTCTGATCTGTCCTCCCCTTGTATCTATTTCAGCAAAAGGCATGGCACTAGTGTACTGGCTGTAATCTGTATGCATGTCCTCAATTTAGTCACATTTTACTCAAACGCCCGGTGATCAGACAGGGCAGTGAATCCCACGCATTGGCCCGCGAGCAGCATCACCCCACAAGAAGCCTTGAAGGTCACTGGAAGCCCCTGCAACTGTGATGACATGGCACATGCCATTTGCATCATCATTAGAAGGATTCTATGTGCTGCTCAGGTCTGGCGAGGAGGACTGGTTCGCGCAGCTGAGGCTGGTCTTCAGCTGTACAGACGAACATGGAGCAGAGCACAGATGTGCGTTTGTGCGCTGGCTGTGCGAGGCCGAGGAGGGTGAGCTGCCCATGCAGCGCTTGCGCTGGGCTACCACCACCTCACCCAGCGGTGCCACCATCGCCTGGTATGATGTCATAGACATCTGCAGCATCAGGGGCCCAGTGCTGCTTCAGGAAGACCCAACGGAGGATGACCATTTCTACTACAACAAGTATGTGGGCAGATGATCAGCTCTTGAGCTCGCCTGTGCCAGTTGTGTTTGATGCAGTGTAGAGTTCCCGTTCCTGTAAAGACAACTCTCTCCAAAGCAGTATGCGAGATGCAGACTAACCAGCATGTTGCACTTGTTACATGGAGAGTGAGCACATGTGAGCTGCTGTTATGTGCTTGGCATACTTTGGGCAACTTGCTTTGTTGAACACTGACAGCAATTGGCATGAACTGCATTTCATAATCACTCACACCATGAGACATCACACAGACGTCATCTGACATCAGATTGATATGCAGCAAAAGTTACTTATGACATCCAAAACGTGTCGGGCTTCAGCCAGTCACTGACACATAATGGGTGACATCTGGATATCATCTGACGTCACATTGATATCACATGACACCCAACCATGACATCATATGGCGTCCTATCCGAGCAAACAAACATCGTCATAATGACATCCGATTGACATCACATGATGTCCCGCCTCCTGTCACAATGATATCATCTTGACACAGACATCCAAATGACGTCAGAAAGAGTTCAGTGGCACTGAGTGACAGTCGTGATTGCTGGCCAGCCCATGGACCCCGGGCTACATATCGTCAGTATTGCTGTGAGAGTGGGCCATGAACTTGAAGCTTGACAAGCAGCAATGACTCATCGGATGCAATATTGCAATGATGGTTGCTACTATGCTTGTGATGGGTGCTAATATCATAAGCATGGACTTTTCTGCAGATTTAAAGTTAGTTTACTAAGGAATGCTCAGATCTGGTTGCTAGATAGCTTCTGTGTATAGATAGATGAGGCAGCAGAACTTAAACAGGCAACATTCTCATCATAGCATGAGTCATTAACAGTGGTCAACCAAGGACACGCATTTGTTTCGGACGAAACTGCCCATCTCTCTCTCACCCATGACTTGTGGATCTCATGGCTTCCTCCAGTATATGTGAGAATTGAATCTGGTATTTTATGTGAGGCGCGACTATACGAATTACGAAACAAAATGCACGCGCTTGCCTGGATCAAGTTGATCCCAGAACAAAGTTGCCCCCTTCACTTTGGACACCGCCGGGCAAGTACCACCAAAATAAGGAGACATTCAAATACTAACATGCGCAGGAACGGCAGAAACTGTACTTTGCCGCCCTGGCTCCTAGAGCTGTCGCCGATGTGCAGAAGCAGGTGTTGCGCTTTTCGACTGGAGAACGTTACTAGTAATTGTACATTGACTTTTCCAAATTTATTATACCATTACGCTGATGTTTAAATCAAGTTGCTGCTGTTACAGCACACCTATGTACCGACTGTGGACATTGGAAGAAGGAAGCCCACGGAGTGCACCGAACAGAGTTCTTAAATGGAATGTTCGTGCAGGGCTTCAGGTTCCAATGCGGAATGGAGCAGGGATCTGAGGTGCTTCACCGCGCTCCCAGTGCTTCTATCTGCCCTATTACTATACTCATGGCCTGCCTGGGCAGGAGAGGTCTTCAGAGGGCCTGCACGAGTTGTGGACGGAGACACTCTAGAGGTAGCAGGCAACTGGTACAGTCCAAGAATAGCATGACTCTGCACCCTATTCACACCTGCAGCCTCTCGATTGTTACTGCTCTCTTCATTCTTACTAGTAATGAGGCCTCCAGAACCAGGGCAGACAAATTGTTGTGCAGATTGCAGGGGAGCGCGTGAGGCTCCTTGGGATAGATGCTCCAGAAAAGGGTCAGATGTGCCAGGATGCGCAAGGGAGTGGATATGAGTGCGGTAAAAGTCCACGGCATCGCTGGCACCACAGATGGACAAAAATTGTTTTCAATTTCTTGCATAATGCCCCTTAATCCCTGTGACATCGCAGCCTCCATGCAAGGAATACAAATGATTGCATCCAAGAACCTCACCTGACATTGTGGGTGCACAGGGGTGGTCGTCAAGGACGCCCTTACCAGGCAAATAGGCTCCTCGCCAATCGAGTGTCAAGCCGAGTCGCGCGACATGTATGGGCGTAATGTATCAAAGTGTGACGCCCCTGGCACTGGCGATCTGGGGACATGGCTCGTGTCCAATGGATATGCTGTCGCGTACAGGTATGCCAGGGCCTGCTGCTTTGGCCCGCGCCTGACATCCTTGTGGCAAAAATTAGCTGTACTGGACACATGCACGCTGCCCACATGTAATGCCTTTTGAGTTTTGACGTGACTGATTCATTCACAAAAGCAGTTTCCCTCATGCAGGCAGTATTCAAAGGAATATGTGGCCTTGGAGGAATCCGCTGAAGCAGCTCACCGAGGGATATGGGCAGGCAGCTTCCAAGAACCAGCAGAATGGAGGAGGGAACACAAGCGAAAAAATGCTGCTGGACACAACAGGACCTCGGAAGGATCTTCCTTCACATCAGGCAACTTCTTTTCATGCAGAGCAGAGTCTCCCCTGCTTGGCCTCAGTTGTGTTCATTTGCTTACTTTTCAGATGCAGGAACTCTTTGCACCAAATATTTTTGCGCACTGCCGCGAAATTGCTGAATTTTGATTTTGTGCATGCAGAGCAGCAGCAGGTCTTGGCCTCCTTGAAAGGCAGACTTCAGCAGTCCAAAGAGGAGGGCTTTAGCACTGACCAGTCATCAAAATGCGCAATCAAGGGCAACATCTCTTCTTATGGCAAGATCTATCACGTGCCGGGGAGCAATGCTTATGAATCTGTGCGCATCAATGTCTCTTCTGGTGAGCGCTGGTTTTGCTCTAGAGAGGAGGCAGAGCAAGCTGGCTGGCGGGCATCAATGGGTTCATCCCTAGATAAAAAATAGGCATGGCCAGAATAACAATACAAACAGAATTCTGCAAACATCTGTACCACAGTTCGATATCAGTACTGTATCACATATAAAATATATTTGGTCGGCAATGCGCTGCTGCCTAGTGTGGCTAGCCACATCGTTATTTGTCTGGATTATACGGGCTCAGATCAATCTTGTATTGCTTCTTCCCCTTTGTGACTGTGGCGATGTCAATGAGCTCTTTGAGCAGCTCCTCAAAATGCCTCAGCGGCCACTGTGTTGGGCCATCGACTGGGGAAGTGGTTGGATCATCGTGCACCTGTGCACAAATGCTGTCATTGGAAACTTGAACTTTAGGTGCAGCAAAGACATGCAGTGGAACTCCTGCAGATAACCTGCAGCAGATGCAGGCAAGCAAGGCAAATTTATTGAGCTGCACACAAGCGTGGTTGGTCAGGATCCACTCACCTCCATAAACAGGCCGTCTACACCCACAGCGACAGCTGTGCGCGCTATCGAAGGAATCAGGTCACGCAGGCCCCCGCTCGCAACACCTCCGCCCTGCAGGTGACATTCACCTATCACTCCAAAACAAAATAAACGAGCAACAGGGGGTCACGCCAAGGACGTCACGGTATCGAAGACGCAGGCCCCCTCAAGTTCTTCAAAATATGCGCGAAGAAAGCTGACAGCCAGCACTCCTTCTTTTGCAAACTTGTGTGCTCAGCATCTGGCAGGCTGCCATTTGTAAATGTTTGCTGACATGAACAAGCGCAGTTGTATGGAGGGTCCCCATAAGTACTGAATTGCACTCAGGAGATCCTTCACAGGTGCACAGCAGCCGGGAGCAAGCCCACCTTCAAAGGCTTGCCAGCCGGCTGTTGCAGAGCGTGGGTGACATCGCATGTCACTGGGCAGCCAGCGTCGCGCATGAGCACCAGGTTGCGCGGATCCACAACCAAGTCAGTGTAGCCAAACATGGTCCCCCGCTCGCACACCAGCACATTTGGATTGCCTGTAAGCCAGGCCACACAAGCCAATGAAAATTCAGGATACACTTTCAGCAGAGTTGAAATTTGAAGACTGTGATCTACACAAAACAGTGCTCGCGAGACATCTCAAGAAACCCACCTGCAGACCTGACCTTCTCAGCCGAGTTGCGCATGACAGACGGCGCGCAAAACTGGCCTTTCTTAATCTGAACGACCTTGCCAGTTTTGGCAGCTGCAACCAGGAGATCTGTTTGCCGGCACAAGAAGGCGGGGATCTGAATGATATCAGCCACCTTACCCACAGCTTCCGCCTGACTGGCCTCATGTATGTCAGTAATGATGGGTAGCCCATACAGATCCTTCACTTTCTGAAGCACCCTGCAATCATGCCAATTTTGTTTGTCAGTGTTGCAGACTGCCTACAGCAGGGAGCTCTGTGCAACAGAAGCAAAATAAATGTGACTGACCTTAGGCCCTCCTCCAGCCCAGGGCCTCGGAAAGATGTTGCACTGGTTCTGTTGGCCTTGTCAAAGCTGGATTTGAAAACAAGAGTCAGCCCCAGCTTGTCGGTGATGGCCTTGATCTGGCGTGCCAACTTCAGCACATGTTCCTCTGATTGGATGACGTTGGGTCCGGCCATGACGAAGAATGGCTGGGAAGACTTGAGTTGCTTGAAAAAATCTGATTCCTGCGTTGCAAGCAATCGATGATCCCTTGTAATTGCCGCAAGAAGAATCCCAGCGCAAGTCTGCAGAGTTTTCCAAACCACTGGAATTTACCTCCATCTCCGAATTTCGATGGTTGCTTCAGCACTAATTATATTGCGAGCTTTTGATTTGAGGTAGATGAGTTCAAAGTGATCCCAGAAAAATCGTGCACTTGTTATCTGTCAGACGCAAAAGCAAAACGACCGCATCAGCACAAACTCAGGTGCTACCCTTCGTCTACTCTCCAGATTGCAGGCGACGTCCAGATCTGAAGTCAAGTGCAGTGAGCCAGGGCTCGAAACGGTCTTCCGGAAGGGTTCCCAAACCCTCATAAGTAATTACCACGTGGCGGAAGGGCTGCAGCTTGGAGCTGATTGTGACCTGGATGACTGGTGATCATATGGCTGCACCCACGTGAAGCGCTGCCGAAGAGCCAGAAACCAAACAAGGGGCACTTTGCTGTGATTGATTGTCGTTCTGACCTACAACCCATGTGTTGATGGGCAGTGCATAGAAGAAAGGAATACGCAGATGTTCCTTTGTATTACTATTCTGCAGTAACGTGCGGCAGACTTGTCACCGCCTTGGGTGCCCGCCTTGGAATCACAATGGAAGCTCTTCCGCCAGAACCCCTGGAACGAATGTCGAGGGGTAAGCGTCAGAGTCGACTCTGTTGGCTCAAGACACTGGCAGTGCGGCGTGCGTATAAGAATTATGATGCGTGCAAGATTTTAGGGCGGCAGGTTGTGTGTAAGTCTCTCCGTGTTCTGTGGATACCTTGACAAAGCAACGGGCGTCTGCTGTGGGTGTATTGGTAGAATGCTCCTACGAAGGCCAGCTCTACCACAGATCGTGCAAACACTCACACAGCCCTGTGCCCACTCTTGTACCACCATCACACCTGCCATGCCTTTGATGTGCAAGGAGCAGCCCCACTGTGAGCAGCCAAATCCTCTGAACTGTTGTACCAGAACTTGCGGCACCTTGCAGGGCAGCGAGGCCGCGTTGAGGGAGCGCCACTACTTTACTGCTGTCCATTTGAGAAAAAGGCGATGTTGCAGGATGTTGATGGACGACGCGGGCAAAGAGGGCGTGCTGTTTGACAGCTTCAGCGAGAGCAACAGCAAGGAAGGCTCGCTGCGGGCTGGCAACAACTTGAAGCCCCTGCCCCTTCTGGGTGCCCGGCTGCAGGCATGCTTGGAGGACGTGGCAGCTGCACGCAAAATCGCACCTACGGAGCCAGGTTCGCGGAATTGGGCATCCTTCAGGGTCATAACAAGTCTGCAAACTAATGCAGCAGTGACAGGACACGCCAGAGCCGCAGTGACCGTCCTGTCCTGACATTCCATGGTACTTCTGCAGCGGAGCTGGCGCAGACAGAGGATATATCTTGCCAACTGGCATCGAGGGATGCCTCGGTCCCCAATGCCCCAGAAGGGAAGGGGGTGCCGTTGGGGGGACCTGTGCCTGATGAGCTTCACCGAGGTTCACCTAGGAGCTCCAGCACACTCGAGTCGGTGTCCTCGTATGAGCTCCGTGGTGAGATCCCTTTTGTCTCCTCGGTCTGCGTTCTCCATCTGAGCGATCTGAGCTCATGGCAAGACGCTGATGGACGTATTTAGGCTAGACAGCAGAAATGTCCCAGCTCCTGGGGCAATGCGTGGCCGAATTTTGACATTGATGGCACTGTGCTCCTGCTGATTTATCAAGGCGTCTCTTAATGGGTGTCATTAAACGGCAACCCTTGGCAAACAACTGACGTCCTGCGCTCATCTGCTCTGCAGGCAGCCTTGGCAGCTTTGCGCGCACGCACACAGTGCGCGCAGATGGGTCGAGCGCAGGCAGCACACAGGTGCACGAGGTGGACCCCGCCCTGCTGCCGCTGCATTGGCGCCAAGCCGTGGACGATGCTGACGTGCCCACCTCTGCGTTCTTCGACTACCCCTGCCCAGTAGGGCCGCCGCCCTGTGCTCGCTGGAGCCACGCGCATGCAGCCGTCGGTGACCGCCTCTTTGTGTTTGGCGGGGAGTCCTTGGCGGGAGTGCAGAGCAATGCTTTCGTGTTCGACGCTGGTAAGTGGAATTGTATGCTAGGAGACATGTTTTCTTAAGTTGCCAGGCAGTCGAGTGGAGCAGTGATTCAGGCAGCTTCAGTGCAAATTGGGAGAAGAATGTGCTCTAAAGGGGGTAATACGTTTCTGCGGTAAAGGCTGGCCAGGCATGATGATGCATTCGTGCCAAATGGGGGTGGGGAGTTTCGAAGTTTTGTGAGCGTACAGCATTTAAAACCTGAGGGAGTCACGTGAATGCTGCAGTGCAAAACACTTGGCGGGCGGTGCCAGTGCCTTCGCCGCGGTCGGATGATGCGCTGCCGGCCATGTCTGGCCACGCTGCGTGTGCCGTGCTCGACAAGATCTATCTCTATGGCGGCCGCCAGAACCGAAAGTACCTGCAGCGGACCTATGTCTTTGATACCGGTGCGCCGCTGCTGTCCTCGTGTGTTTGCCTGCCATGTGCCTCAAAGGCTGGGCCAAACATTAAGCGGTGAAGAGGCATGAGCTTCACCGGGCATGAATTGCAGGGCGAGGAGCGTGGAAGTGCCCCAAGAAGTCCCCTGCAGATCCGCCTGCCTTGTTTGGGCACACGCTCACTGCTGTGGGGCAGCATGGCATCTACCTGTTCGGGGGTCAGGGGAAGAAACCAAGTGAAGCAGTGTACAGCCTTGACCCTGACACCCTCATTTGGGCACAGGTCGACACAAAAGGGGTGCGCAACCCCTTTGTGTGATTTGGGGACCCTTGGCCCCGATGCATATGCACACAACATGCTCCAAGTGGGCACAGTGCTTTTGCTGTGTTTCTATTCCCAGACTTCTGGGCAGAACTGCAAGTTGGGATGGAGACTTGCCTGTGGATTGCTCAGTCAAGGTGTTAAAATAAGCATTCCGGGGAGTGGGGGCGTTTCATGTTTATCTGAAGGCGAAACCACAGGAGGATGGTTGTGCATGCTGACATGCCTGTGAATGGAGGCCACAAGTGCGCATTGACCATGAGCCTGAAGTCACACAAAGCTTGGGCGAGCGCAGGAGCGCCCAGGCTACCGGCAGGGGCACAGCGCGGCATGGGATTTCTCTGACTCGCTCATAGTCTTTGGAGGACTCAGCGCAACTTCGGTGTTCAACGAAGTCCATGTGCTGTCGCTGTCGACTGGGTACTGGTCCCGCCCGCAGTGCACCGGCCAGCCGCCACCCAAACGCTACGGCCACAGCGCTGTCATGGTTGCCGCCAACCTCATGCTCGTCTTTGGTGGCTGCAGCGCTCAGGTGCGCGCCCACTTCCTCAACAATCCTTTAGGATCTGCTGAGAAAAGAATGCACCTCGAGGCCGAGACTATATGACAGCTTGCTCTGTTCTCCAAATTTCTGAGAATAAAGCCGCTGTCAGGCTCTGTTGCTTTCAAGCAGGCGCCACATGAACATGGCACAAGTGCAGGCGCAAACCTGAGCAGAATGATTGTGCAGGGTGCATTCTTCAGCGACCTGTACCTGCTCAACACATCCACCTTCCGGTGGCATCGCATGGGCGGCGTGGGCGCGCAGCCCTCGGCCCGTTACGGACACGCATGTGTGGCAGCCGCTGGGCGCGTGATCATGCACGGAGGCTCCAACGGCGCTCACGCATACGACGGCCTCTTCACGATCAGCACCACATTTGGCCGCGAGTTTAACAGGTGCGCTTGCCTGTCCAGTCATCTTCACACACATGCAGGACCTTTGTCTACTGGCTCAAGACAGCGCCTTTGCTACTTTCCCACCATCACCAAGGACTTGTGACTGCACAACAAGGGTGGGAGTCTGTTCCTGGCGCGCTGCACACATGATGGCTTGCAAGCAGAGCGCCTGTGCAATGCAGCTGACTGTGACCTTGGCTGTGGTTGTGGCAGCGTGGTGTCAGGACTGGGGCGCTTGCGAGCGGGCACGGGCGCCTTGCGCGGCAGCAGCAGCAGCAGCAGCCGCAACAGCGATGCTGCGCCAGGCAGCGACGACGGCACCAGCAGCACGGAGGCGGCGCGCACCCAGCTGGCCAACCTGCTGCACCTTCGAGCAGCCAACGATTTGCAGGTGCACCATCCTCTTTACACCATTTTCCTGCGCGACATATTTGTGTGCGTGCAACTTATCTCACTGGCTCTGCCAAGTTGTATATCACCTGCATGGTTGTGTCATACAATTGGACATCTTTCTGTATGATGATGCAGACACTGATCCTTATGAAAGCCAAGATTGCGATGCGCGCAGGCATTTGCTGCACGAAGGGCGGACATCAGCGAGGGGTTGCTGCAGAAGCAGCGCGCTCGCGCAGCAGAGCTGGAGGCGACGGTGTCAGAGCTGCGCCTTATGCTGGAGGAGGCCGGCAACGCGGGGGAGGCCTCACGTGAGGAGCTGCGGTCTGAACGCCAGAGCAGCCGCCGCGCCGCGCAGGCCGCTGCGAGCGCCGCCGAGGATGCTGCCACACAGAATGCATTGCTACAGGTGGTGCAATCCCCCCTTGAAGGGATTGCTGTGCAAGAAGCTCGTGTATGTTTTGTGGAGATGGGCAGATCCATTGCTGGTGCGCTACTCATGTGGCTATCATGGGACTGTATCATCGTAATCTTCGGCATTAACGGTCGTGTGGATGGTTGTCGTCTGGCTAAGTACAGTCCAAGCTGTCGTAGTTCCAACATAGGCCCTTGTCCAACACCAACACTGGCTGACTATGATGTCTTGTTTTGCAGACGCAACGCGACGAGCTGCAGGCACGGTGTGATGGGTTGGAGGCCCAGATGCAGACTCTGCAGCAGCGCTGCTCAGCTTCCGAGGCTTCACTAAAGCAGCTGGAGCTGCAATTGGGCATGCTGCAGCAGCACCTGCGTACCAGCACCGCACAACTCGCCGAGCAGGTGACCAGCTGCTGACATTTGATGCACACCTCAAAATCCATATCTGGATTTATGCATTGGGGCAGGCTTCACATGACAGCGATGCTGTAATGCTGACACTCGCTGGTGTGGTTCTATGGGGCAGATATTACTCCGCCCAGTTGCAGGCAAATAACGGTGCTGTGTTTCCTGCTGAGAACCTAATCAGACTTTAGTGCTTTGGCATCTGCATTAGTACTAAAATACTGTGGGTGTGGCTTCCTGGTAGAAGGACAAGCGGGATCGGCTGGCGGGGCAGCTCACAGAGGCGCACGCGCAGCTCACAGCTGAAAAGCAGAGGAGCCAGGCGCTGCAGGAGACACAGGCGCAGCTGCAAGCAGAGCGCAGGAGAGCAGCTGAGTTGGCAAGCTCGCCCGGGCCGTCAGGGCAGGCAGAGAGTGTTTCTGATGGGTCGTCAATGACGGACGTTGTGCACAAGCTGGCATGCCTGCAGGGCAGTGCCGCTGCCTTGAACCGGTGTAGCCTGCCCGAGCTGCAAAGGTGACTGGTGCCCACGTCGCCTTGGCCTCCATCCTGTTTCACAGATCCGTGTAAACAATGCGAGATAAGCGGTCATTGCATGCTGCATTGATTGGCATGCAGCTTCAATACGAATGCCCTTGGCTCGCGAAGTTGATGATGTGCTGGATCAGAGTGTTTGCAATAGCAGTAAATCGCAAAGAGAACAAGAGAAACTCGCTCCCTTTGGGTCTTGTGTCTGAAAGCAGTGCATTGCTGCAGCCTGGAGGGCACCATGGCGGATACCTGGCGCGCGCTGCGGGACGCGATCGACAGCAAGCTGAATGAGCGCGAGGCCAGCCTGGCAGAGAGGGAACGCGCGGCGGAGGAGGCTGCTCTGTGCTCGCTGTGCATGGAACGCCCCAAGACTGTGGCTCTGGGCTGCGGGCACCAGACCTGCGGCCAGTGCGCGGACGAGCACGACTCCTGCCCCTTCTGCCGCCAGCCAGTCCAGCACCGGATCGTTTTGTACCAGACTTGAAACACTGCTCAGCTCAGGACTGCTTCCATGCATGCGTTTATTGCACTATTTATTGTTGGCACCAGAGTTGACTCGGGGAAGTTGTAGCAGAGGGCAGAGGGGTGAGGCAACTTCCTATGGAAGAGGTTGCAGGGGTGCACGCGGTGCTCCAAGGGGAGCCGCAATAATATTTTTTCATATGGTCTCACCTTTATGGGGATCCAGCAGCACTCACAGACGCTGTCGAGCGTCAAGAGAGGGGCTGGCCCAACCGATGGCCTCTGTGCTGAAAATCATTGGCCCTGGCACGAGAAGCACACCATGTGAACGCTCCACAGCTGTGTGCCAACACAGGACAGCAGAGGGGTGTCCGTGGTGTCACTCAGAACCTGATTGCTCAAGACGCTTCGAGCAAAGATGAATCCCTAAGAAGGCTTGCGCCTTTGCATCATCAGGGGACAGTCAATACATAGTAGTTTGTGATGCAGCATTTACTGCATTGGTCTTACACAAGTCAGACCTCGTGAGTTTAAATACTTAAATATTTGTGAATTGCTTTATTAGGCACCGGTGCATCCAAATGTTTTGAGCATTACTCAGTCCAAGCGTGCCCCCAAATCAGAATAATGAGTTGTGCAAGATGCTTCATTTCCCTGGGTGGGATTAAGTTATGGTCAATGAGAGCAGATTGCATGAGCGGAGATCTATGCGCTATGATCATGAATTCAATAAATGCTTCGAAGCCACTGGGCAGATGTCTGCCATGTCGAGCTTGCAAATATGCCCGAGCCTGAACTTCGTGCCAGTCCTCTCTATGATGCCATTACTCACAGATGGGGGGTGGCTGGGGGCCAGTATGCTGGGGGCCAGTATGCTCGTTGTCAGAGCTCTACTGGAGTGTTAATAAGCCATGTAATTATGCATGCACTGTGCAGTACCAATTGCAACGCTGTTCGAGCCACCTGCTAACCTTTTATGCTCCATTGTGTCCCGCATCAAGCTGTCTTGTGTTTCACAGTTGATTGTTACATACAGTCTTTCAGGATATTCAGCAATAGCCCAGCGGGTTGAGAAGATACCACATTCACATTAAGGATGTCTGGGGACAAACAAAAATAGGAATCCATTACAGATCGGCTAGTACCGTAGTGAATGTGCTTCTGCAACCTGACACTTTTTCCTGTCAGTTTTGGAGACATCCCATCCAGCTTCACACAAACACAAGGTACGTTCTAAACCAAATTTCTAAGAATAGCCAGATCCAACAGCCTTGATCAGCGCCACCTTCATAAAGTTCTGCCCCAGCTCACTCACATAGGCTCACAGAGGATGAGCACAGCGTGCGCAAACTCCTCGCCATAATACTGTTTGCCCACGAGGACAAGGATTGTAAAGTTTCCTGCAGGCTTGAACAGTCATGCCTGATGCTGTTGCTGGACATAGAGCCCTCACTCGAAAGCCCATTGGTTCTCTCGCCTGACCTCTTCCTCCTCCTCTGGTGTGAAGTCGTTCTGTGCAGGATGAAAATACTCAAAACATTTCAGCGAATCAGATCATGCTGGGAAGGCAAGGCTTATGATGAGCAGAAATATAGGCAGCAACGCATGTATTACATTTTCTGGAGCATACCGGGATGTTGAAGGTCTTCCTGATCTCCTCCGGAGTTTTGCCTGCACAAAGCAAACGGCCCAACACCACTTAGGCAGGCAGTAAAAATTTCCAGATGAGCCATGTCTGCATGCGATACATCTGCTGCATGCCTGCATATCAGCTGGGATGCGACAGGCAAACGCTGCATGGCTGAGTGTCAAGTTAAATGGGCTGAAAGGTACACTTCTGATTGTCAGGACATTATCAGCACAATTTCTCTGCGCAGTGTGGCAAACGCTCTCACCTTTGATCATGTTGGCAACTGTGAGACATCCCAAGTCCAGCAGGGATTTGATATTGAGATAGTTTGCAGCCTGCGCAAAGGAAAGCTTCATGTGAGCTCACAGCTTCATACTTGCAGCCACCAGATCTTTGAGCACAGTAAAACTGCGAAGCTCTCCGCAAGGATCTTAGAACCATAGGTGGCAAACAAAGAAAGATATTGGCAGAGATAGCCCATGGCACCAGCAGGCTGCTTCGGTGAACAGTGACATACCAGGATGAGCTCGAAAAGGGTTGCCTGGTCGACTTTGACGAAGTCGGAGTCCCAGGTCTTCACTTCCTCTTCGGTTTTGGCAGGCTTGTCATCGGTGTTCTTCTTGGAAGCGTCCACGTGGAAATTGCAGTACTCGAGCACCTTGGAGAGAATCTTAGAGTGCACGTTTGGCAGAGGTACTTTCGTGTCTTCGCCACCAGTTTCTGTGCACGCACAAGCACAGTATTTGATAAGTACCACACTGGCACATGGTCAGGTTGGCGCTTGAAGAATGAGCGACGAGCGCCAACGGTATGCATCTTTCTGCTGAACATCAAACTCCTTTTAGGATCTCACGATCAAGACTGTCCGGCCGAGAGGCCGGTCCGAAGCCAATAAGATGGAAAGACCCTGCTCCTGACTTGCAAACACACCGCAAGGCACGCACCTTCCAGGGTGTTCTTGACCGTCTCTGACATGAAAGCGACCTCTTCAGTCACCGTGTAATCCTGGGAGTCCGAGCTGACGAGTGTGACCTGCAGAACAGCCATGATAACCCTCTCAACCTTCTGATCTCCTCTGCAAACCCCGTGGCCCCTAGGTAATTTTGTGTTTTCATTGACGTTTGCGGTACGGCAAGTGAGTATTAAGGGAACAAGAAAACTTCCAGGTGTGAGACGCTGTGGGAGAAGAAGAACAAGCCATCTTTCACACCTTCTGTGCCATGTTTGAGCCTTCTTCTACGGGTGGACGCGCAAGTGTGGCTGATCGGTGCGATCGACGCAGGGGACACTCAGCAGCGGTGATCAACGAGCTGCAGGATGATCCTGTGCACAATTGTGTTGCCAGAGACAGGACCCGCCCAGCCTCGCCAACCTGCAAGGTGCCTATTTAGACTCGCCACTGCCATTCCCATCGCCATTCCAGAACTTTCCCTGCATCTGTGCCTAATCCAGATCGCCATAATTTCAGAATTAGATTAGCAAATATCCTTATTGACGCGTACGACGGGACGAGTCGAATGATGCCCTTGATAATAGCAACTGATCAATCACACTTTTTGATGCTCTGACCTTCGGTGCATTTCCCCCGCAGCTCGTACACAAAGCAAGATTCTGGTTTATTCAAGATAAAGCCATCCTTTGGGAGCTTGTAGACATCAATATCACTTGCAGCATGACATTATAGCTTTGAGATGAAGTTGAAGTCTTTCAATAGGTTCAGCGCATATGCGCGCGCTGAATCTCATCTTGTACAAAGGACATATTTTGGAGCCATTGGTGCGCGAGTTCATCAGCTTCTCTTTTCGCTGTGCTGTTACATTGTTGTTAGACTGGGGAATGCAGGACGCTTCCTCATAAGATAGGACCTTGATTTGTTGGCATTCCACCCACAGTGACCGTGCTGGGCGTAATTTTGGCGATCGTACTGTTTGCAAATGAGTTGCGTGAGTACACAACCCCCTTCTCCATACAGACGGTGGGCTCTCCCTCCGTGTAGCACAGCCCTTCTTCTGCAAATTTGCAAAGGGTTTCTTTTGCATGCATCACAAACACGCGCTCTGGTTGAACTAACAAGCCAAGCGCCCCTCACAGCAGATGTCAGTGGACACCTCCCGGGCTCATTACATCCGCATGAACTTCAACTTCACCTACCCGTCGATGCCCTGCCAAGGTGCGCGACAGAGATGTCTGTCAAATTACATGAGCACTATTGTACCCTGGAGCCAGGGTGGCTCAATTCAGGTTATCATCGCATGTTTGTGGTGGATGCAGTGCTCAGCTTGGATGCGACTGACATGTCTGGGGAGAAGAGCGGCGATAGCGGTCATGCCGCCAACGGCGAGATCCACAAAGTGCGGCTGAACGAGGCTGGGGAGAAAATAGGACTGGGCGAGTATATACCACCCAGGCGATGGGGTTTCATGATGGGCAAACCACGTCAGGTTTGAGCGCTTTATTTCCAGTCTACATTGCAGGTCAAAGCATCACCAGCTTGATGCGTGCAGCCTGCATGCATTCATACTCAACAGCCTGTAACTACTCTTTATTGCAAGGGGGATGTCTTAGTGATGGCCAATTTGTGATGAGAGCAGGAAGTGATGGAGGTGAATCAGGCGATGGATGCGCACGAAGGGTGCAACATATTCGGCTGGCTCGACCTGCAGCGAGTGGCCGGCAACTTCAGAGTCAGCGTGCATGTTGAGGACTTCTTTGCGCTGACACGGGTGCGGCTTTACTTCTGCATGCCTCATAATATTGTCAGTGCATGTCACCCCACACATGTCAGTCTGCTGGGAGGACATGCATACTGAGGAATGGGTGCATGCAATGGTGCAGCTGAACTGAGTGGGGCTTGTTTGTTGTGACAGACGCAGGAGTCAATTGCGGAGGCCCTGCAGGCGCAGCTGGCTCACATGGAGGGCGGAGTGCATGCCATTCAGGTGCCCAGGCAGTGCCTGCTGTGAAGCTATTGCCTGCGCTCCCATCAGGACCACTCCTCTGCATCTGCTGATCACCTGTGCATGGCAACCCTGCAAAGTGCAGGTCGCCATTTGCTGACATGGTTCTGCTTCTGGTTTCTGTGCAGTTACAAGCAGATACAACTGGCATTAACTCCAGCCACATCATACACAGAGTCTCTTTTGGCCCTACATTCCCAGGCCAAGTCAATCCTCTGGATGGTGCGTTCTAAGCCTTGCCATCACATGCATTGTGTCTCAATTCAACAAAAACTGAAATTGAAGAAGCGCGCAAAATGCATTGTGACCCTGTGGAGCATCATGGCAGGTGCGGAGCGGATTTTAGATAAGGAGAGCGGCACCTTCAAGTACTTTTTGAAGGTAGTACCAACTGAGTACGTGAAATTAGACGGTGAGTGACCTGCACGGCCTCTTCAAGGCCCTGGAAAATACTGCCCATGGCAATTCCGCTCTATTTGCCGGGTGATGTCATGCATGTCTGCTTCTGCTGGTCACACTGACAATGAGCAATGGTCTGCAGGCACAAGGACAACAACAAACCAGTACTCTGTGACCGAGTACGACACAGTGGTGCACAAGGGGGAGATGCAGATGCCCTCTGTCTGGTTCAGCTATGACATCTCCCCGATCTCTGTCACCATCAGCGAGATTCGGAAGTCGTTTGCGCACTTGCTTGTGCGGTTCTGCGCTGTGGTCGGTGGCGTGTTTGCTGTGACAGGTCAGGGCTGCCTCTGCGCTTGGACTTCTGTGTTCTTGGCTTTTGCTGCTATTGTGTGTGCAGAACTTTTAACACAGTTTTTCTGATACAATGGGTTTGCTCTCAGCACTGCTTGTTTTGATTGCAGGAATGTTTGACCGCTGGGTGCATCGGATTGTGACAGCGATTTTCAGCGCTTCAAGTTGAGCTGCAAGCGACCTGTCCTTCATGAATTCATAGGAAATCGCACATCTAAATTTATCTGAAACTTTTCAGAGCGTTTCTTCCGTATATCAAGGGTGACGACCATCTCAGTTTTGGATCAATAAAGCCCTTGACAGCCATTCCAGAATGTCTATGGATACTGCTCTACAGCTGTCCTGGCTTGCCAATGCATTAACCACGTACACAGGACTCTATTGACTAGGCCTGGGCACAAACTTCAAGTTGCCTGATCTCAATGGACCTCCAATTGAGATCAATTTATCCCAGATCCCAGATTTTCAAATTTGCGCTTTGCATGAGCGTCCAATCAGACGCGGCAGGTAGCAGACCTTATGCACACAACTGAGATGCAAAATCTGCCTCTAAAAACTTATTGCCACCGCGACAATAGCACTAGTGCCATACATGGGTCTGGGCCGACACACACTACTAAACAATTGCATGCAGGCACAAACTCTAAAGAGTGTCCACTTGATCAGCTTCAAATCGGCTTCACTCGGAACCATCTGGAAATGGCTGCAGGGCGGACTTCTTGTTGTTGACGTAGTAGTCCACAACAGCAAGCATGCGCGCGTTTTTGTCTGGGTGGTAATTCACGTGGATCATCACAGGCCTCAGGCTCTCATACCGAGAGTCATGTCGGACCTGGCACAGCAGTGCGTCTCAGATCTGCTGCGAATCACCATCACAGAGGCAACCAGCTAAAACAGTCACTATCATGGCATGCAAAAGAAGGGCAGTATAGGTTTTATTACAAGGGCTTGTAAACAAACGATCCCACTCAAAGAGGGGCAAACATTTTGCGCATAAGGAGTTGCGAGGCTGTGATAGCATGAGCGCACCTGGCGGAAGAGCACTTTAGAGTTCATGAACAGCATGAAGTCCATGATGCGCCGCGTGACCCCTGGGTCTGTATAGCCCGGGCGGGAGGGGAAGAATATGACCTACCGCACCACAACAGCTGTTTAACGAGGCTGCTTTGCAGAATCTCTCCACTGATTGTCTGGCAAGGACACTGTCAAAAGCAGCATTCTTAAGCCTGATGCCACGGGCAAAACATGCTCTAGCTCGGCAATGCCAAGAAGAGGGTTAAGTGAGTGCCGCCAGAAGCAGCAGGTCACACACCTCGTTGAAGATGGCCTGGTCCCAGCCGTCCTCGGTGTTGAGGCGGTGCACAATGCGGTCCAGTAGGTCGACAGACGCGCGCGTGGGGCGCATGTAGAAGAGGCCCGAGTTCATGACAAACACGCGCATGGAGTGCGCATAGCGCGCCCACCCCATCGCCGCGTCGTCCCGGACGTCGTTGTAGCCTGTACAGAAACGTTCCCAGTCAGTCCAACAGATCTTTCCAGGTTGGAGATTTGCACAAGCCTACAGCTGCCTGTGCCAAGGCTTAGACAGAAGCACTTGGCTCAAATGCTGTGCAATCATGCGTTGGCAGGGCTTCCCAAAATGTCCTCAAACCGGCTGGCTTGCTATGCAGGTGTAAGGTACAGGAACATCCAAACCAGAGACCTATGAAAGGGCAGCCGGCAGAACTTGTCGTTTCCTGCACTCACTGCTGTTCAGATGCTAGCCTGTGGGACAGCTGCCTGTGGGCGATATGACAAGCTTCTGAAGGAGGTCAAGAGGTGCCCAGTCTCATCTGCTGACGCTCAGAGAAGGGTGCACACCATAGGCGGTGGCGTTGTCCCAGCCGTCGCTCATGCCCTCAACATCGCTGTCGCGGTGCAGGAACTGGAAGGGGTTCTGCAGCGTGATGATGTCCACATCACTCAATAACACCGCGTACCCCAAGTCCAGCATCGGCCGCAGCACTCGGAACTTCAGCCCTGACACTGCGTGGTTGGAGCCCACCCCCTTCTGCGCCTCAGACACCTGTGCGATGAACAGGCGTCCATTGAACTTCCTTGCTTGACTTCCTTGTGCTCAACCAGGCCTGCAGCACCAAAGCGTAGAGCGGCACTAGTTCAAATGCATTCTCACTCCTTGCATGCCTGCAGCAGTGAAGCCAAGACTTAAATTGGCGTTGCCACAAAATGCTGGCTGAACCTGTTGAGCTGCTTCACAAACTCCAAGCTCTGCCTACGGTTTGTATTCTTTGAGCTGTGAGGCACAGCGGCGAGCAGTGACGGACCTGCAGGCTCATCTGGTACGCGGTGAAGCCTAGGCTCTCCGCATGCTGCTGCGTGGCGTCGTCCAGTGCGACAATGAGCGCATTTGTCACGTTGGCTCGCCTAACCCCAGCCATCCACAGGTCCAGCATGCCGCCCGGCTGCGCGTAGTTGGCGTTGGAGATAGCTACCATCACCTCATTGTCCTTAGCCACCTGGAAATAGTTGGTCAAGTGATGACTCAGCACAACAATTTATGTGGCCCAAGCCCACGCAGCTGAGCCCTAACGCAAGACAAGGCTTACTGAGCGCGACGCTGCAAACATGAACCGAAGTGAGACCATAGTGATACTGTGAGCATCTGGGATTAGGCCACACAACGGGAAATTGTGACCAGGAGCATGCAGTGGACTGTCAATAAAAAGCCAGGGATGGAAGGCTTCAGAGAACCTTTCGCAGAACGGCGGCCAGCTCAGGCTCGGCCGCATCGCGCTGCTTGCTGGGCCGCCATTGACTGTGCCGGTCTGCGCCGGTGCCCACTCCCGGCACAGCCTCATACTGTGTCCGCAGCGGCACAATCCCCTTTGCCTGCCCCTCGTCCACCTGAGCCTGAAGCGTCTCCATCTCCTGAGGCACAACAGAATAAATCTATGAAGCATGAGATACTGGCCACAAAACATTATTGTTCTTCTAGCCGTGCTGTGCCAGGAAGGCTGTGGCAGAGAAGTTCCATGTTGTGGGCATGAGAGAGCAGCGACCAGGACTGCCACCTTCCATGCATTGTCCCTCTGCTGAGTCACTTTGGCCAAGTCGGCATGCACGGTGGCCAGTGCTGCCTTTGCTGCCAGAGTCTCCGCTTTTTGCCGGGCCATCTCCTGACTTGCAGCCTCTGCATCGCTCTTTGCCGCACTCAGCTTCTGCTGCAGCTCCGCCGTTTCCAGTCTCAAGCCGTCCACATCTGCCTATACACACATGGCCAACGCACATTAGTGCTTGTTCCCAGAGAGTGACTGAGAACAGCTTAACATGCAAGTTTGCTTGTGAAAGAATCCAAGAATTACCTGCAGCCTCTCATCCACCTCCTGAGCACCTCTTCTGGATGACTCTTCCACCTTGAGCATGTCCTGTGCCAGCACATGGTCCCATATAATGCCTATTTACGAGAGTTGATCACCAGACATTCTATCAACGACATGATGGAGGAACATTCGTGGGAGACCTTGCAAAGACTTCAGTTAAGAAACTCTTGGACTAAAATTCGATGCACCTTTCGAGTGAGTGCCCTGCTCAAGGGATCTTGTTGTCCTTGAGACCCATCATGCTGATGTCTGCGGCTTATTGTCACAATGGAGACCGCCAGCCCAAAAGTGAGCCCCACAAATATTGCCTGAGTGATTGCTCTGCGTGCTGCAGGTTCTGCCCGTCTGGCCATATTTTTCGAACGGGTCAAACATTAGACATCTCTGCTATATTTTTGGATGATGCGAGACTCGAAATGTAGTCGTTAGCTGCAACGCTGTGCTATTTGTTGGTTGATGACCACAAGCCACCTGGCGCCTTGTAATGACCTGGGGCCATCCCCCACCGCACATACAAAGGCAATAATTTTCCTATCACAAAATGAGAACCATTTGTTTAGATTGAGGTGTAGTAATTATATCTCCTCGTCTTCTCTGTACAGGTACATGCGCTGTACTTCACTGTCTACTTCCACTGCACTAGATGACGATCGCGACGTGCACTTCCCTTCACAGGGCCAGATAAAGCCCTTCTAGACTAATCTGACCTCAAACCGGCTCTAAGTTACGCATCATGGCTGTCCTTGTCCAAGACACACATGGCCTGATTTGGCATGCAATGCAACCTTGGACGGGTGCCGAACGTGAGCAGGATAAGCATTTCTTGCAGGTTTTTCAGCTATAATTGCGCATTAAGGACTTATTTTGGTTCGATGTTAAGGTACACAAGAGTTTTTCGGCAACCAGGATTGGCGCAAGTGAAAATAGAAGATGTTGCATCGCATTCAGAAAAGCTTTCCATAAGTTACACGCATTACTTCTATGAGACATAAATAAACGCATTTCTATTATATCCTTTAATTGTTAAATATGTATTCTCTTCGCTGATCTGCCACGTTGTCGGTTCACACCTGGAACTGTAGTGTGAGCGGCGTGCGTTTCAAGTCCCAGCACACTATGCAATGTACTGTCGAGAAGGGTCCGCATCATACTGCCGACAAATGAGTACAGCCGTGTAGATGCAAATAAGAGGATGGTATCACGACCTGGGGCGAACGAAGACTCATATGATTACAGAAGACAGTCAGCCATCTCTAACTTGTCAGACGTTGATCCAAGCACGTTCAGGCAGACATCAGAAGCAGAAAAGTCGGAAGATGACTTTTCGAACCCCTTGTATCGTACTTCAACGGACGGCAGTGAAGTGGGAGCCAGATCAATAGCCAATAGGAGCAGAAAGGCAGTTGGTGTAGAGGCGTACATCAGTGATGAAAGCACCAGCAGCGAGAGGGGACTGCACTTCAGCGATGTTCAGTCGCGCCACTGGAGTCAAGAAGCAGGGATGCAGGTGCAGTCTTTTTCCATGCGAGCTAATGCATTTATCTTAGTCACAGACACTTTGATGACCGCCATGCTAGAGGGTGAAGACCATAGCAGCTAGTTGGCATTGCACCATACATGTATGTCGGTCAGCGTCTGTGTGTCAGGACATGCCTGCTCTGCAGGAGCTAGTATGGGTCGCACAGAAGTATGGGGCTGCCAACCTGAGGCGACGCAATGGCCAAGACTTTGCACCTGTGGGGCCTGCTTCGGAGCTGCCCATGCGGGTGGCGGCCCAACAGCTGGCAGCACTGGCTGGCATGTCCCAAAAGGTACCCCATGCTGTGCCAACGATCTGTCTGGGCTAAAGCCCAACTTCCGACAGTGCCTAGAAATGCATCTCCTGTTTATAAAATGCAGTCAGAAAAGAGAAGAATATGCTCATATGCAGGTCCAGGAGGCTATTGTCCACAGCCAGGCAGTCTTCCTCAGACAAGTGCAGCTGAAGGAAAGGGCTCTTGCGACCCGAGTCCTGCATGCATGGAGGGACATCAGGTATGAACTGGACATTTTGAAGCACCTACAGTGGATCACTCTTGAGCTTTACACAAACTATCCCCTCCTTTGTTAGCCAGACCGGTCCTTTCAACAGGCCTTCACCATAAACACCATGCTTGCAGGCAATGGTCCATGGCAAGAACGAACAGATTGTCCCGAGCAAAGCAGCGAGTGCGCCGCACCTTGCTGCTGCACTGCTTCCTCTACTGGCGCGACCATCTCTGGAGAGTGAATCGGTCATGCCATGATATACAGAAGGCAGAGTCTCCGGACAGCCCATACTGCATCCTGTGTCCTGACAATTACAACTGGAATGATGCAATGCGCTGCACACCAGCCTCCTTCTGCTGTCCTCATCAAAAGAATGGAACCGCAAACAACACCGGCGCTGCAGTAAGGTCTGTTTGACATATATTTTATGTGCTGCTGCAGTTACGAATTGTTGCTACTCGCGGATTACTGCGGCGCACGTTCTCAGCATGGCGCGGTCTCTGTGAGGCAAGGTGGTGGAAGACCCAGCTGAAGACAAGGGATCGGCAGATTGCACTGTTGGAAACAGAGGTAAGCTATATCCCAATGTATATCTGCAGCAAAAATTTAATTTCTAGCATCCTTTTGGTGGAACTAGAGACAATGAGGTGATCCAGAGTGGCATGATGCCCTTACTGTCACGCTATGATTTGCACAGACTTCGACGAGAAAAGACACTTCGCTGCTGTTGTATTATGCAGATGAAACGGATGGAGGGCAGACCAGTGTATGTGCTATTGAGGAGGAGAGTGAGAGGGATATTCCGGGCGTGGAAAGCTCTGTGCCTGCCACGAAAGGCAAAGCAGCAAGTGCAGACAATGGCAACCAGGCACAATCACATAAGGCTCCAGGACCTGTCGCTTGCAATTTGGTATGTACCATCACCTTGTAGGTTTACCATTGCACTAGGATCCTTTTTAGATTGCAAGATGAAGGTGATGACAATACCTTGAGAAGCAAAGCTGAGGTACAGTAGTTCTACAAGGCGACAGACACATAAGATACACGTCTCTCTGCAGGTTAGTGCATGTGGAGCGTCAGAGAGCCCAAGCAAAGCAGGTTACCAGAGCCGCACTTCATCACAAAAAGGGAGTGCTTCTGAAGATGCTGCTTGGATGGCAGCAAGCAAGGCATGTCCAAATACACAGACGGCATGCTGTGCTTGATGCACAGCAGTTTTGCAGACGCGCATTGCAGGTGAGCTGCAGATGCTTCAGCGACCTTCTTGATCAAAACGTCATTTAGATTACAGGGAATATCTTTGAAGAAGGCAGCATGCATGAGGCACAGACTGTGCACACTGCCTTCCATGCTTGCAGGTGAAAGCCATGCGGTGGTGGCGAGCATACACTGCACTGGCCATTCAGAGGTGCCGTGTGGGCAAAGCATGGGAGAAGCATCTTCTGAAGATGTCAATCTGGGCATGGCAGCACTTCCACAGGCAGCGCAGCCTCAGAAAAGTGATCCTGCCTCAGGTCTTTGCTGCGCGGCGGTCCAGGTCAGCCTTGCATGCGCCTTGCTCACCACCAAAACAGCTTCAGTTTGATTACCTATCAGCATCAGGCATGCATGACATCACTTGGTCAGCCTGAGGAGATTTCCATGCTTGCAAAGGTGCCAGCAGCAGGTTCTGTTTGCCTGGTCAACATTGGTTGACGATGAGCATGTCACGCGGCTAATTACTGCAAGCGAGGAGCAAGCAGCCAGGGCTGCAGACCTCCATGCGCAGCTTGAAAAGGCAAAGGCTGAGAATGAGCGCCTGTTCACTGACAATGCTCGCCTTGTAAAGCTCATTGACTGCGGGGAGTGGGGTAGGTCTCTCTTCTGAGGCTTTCTTGTCAATATTCCGGATTCCTCACTATTTTGGCATGGTAATGTTGTCCCTGAAAATGCATGCACGACCAGTCTAACCAGCAGCTGTCTGTAGGGGACTTGCTGCGGAGCAGACAAGATGCTGTGATGCAGCTTTTGCAAAACACAAATGCGGCTCCTGAAAGGCGAGCGTCCAAGGCAAAGTCTGGATCGTGCGCAAGTTTCCTGGGCACTAACCAGGAGCCAACAGCGCCCCGGCCTGTCCTGGCTCCAAAGTCTCCCAAGATGTCAGCAGCCTCTCTCCCGGTAAGCACTTGATCCATGCCCCCACAGCAGATCAGTGCAGCACCCCTGGCCCGGGCGTAATGGCATTGCCTGTGCTGCTACTTATTGATACACTGGCATGATTGACACCTCAAGGATGATTTCGTGTGCAATACAGAGGGCCGGCCCTGGCTCACCGACGTATCGGAACAAGTTGCTGGTGCACACTGCTTCCTCGTACAACGCGCTGGTCAGGGCTCTGAAGCAGGAAGTGTTGGAAGGGCATGTCAAGAACCCAACTGACGGCTCTGCCATCCATGATATAAGCAGGGTGAGCACACAATGAATACGTTCTGCTTTTATGCATGCTGCTGCATGTGACTTGAATGCATCCTCTGACCTGAGAACATGTGCAATGACAAGCACCTGTGAAGAGGAACACCTCTAATCTTTGACTATGTTGTGGTGCAGAATTCCCTGGCAGCCGTCCACGTGGAGGAACTGAATCCACGTGTGCAAGGGATTGCTTTTGGCCGCAACATGTAAACGCAGTATATTTCAGAATTTACAGGTTCACCTATATACTGTGACAGATTCCAGACTCTTGTTATGATACTACGCTGGGCCCCCCATGTGCGGCAGATTGTTGAGATGAGAAGAAGCTAAACTCGTGCCACACTGAGGTCGCTCGGATCCTAATAACCCTGACAAGGCAATTAATTCATGGGCCAACCAGGATCACATATACACTACATTTATTCTAGTGAGCATCCTAGATTACGCAGTATTATTTCCCATTCATTCTCAGAACCATAACTCCAGACCTTCTGGTGCAATATTCATCGAGCGGTGTCAATGTCACTATGGAATACGGCATTGCTTGACAGAGACAAGGAATACTTCAAGTTCCCAGGAGGCATGCCTTACTGATGTGTACTGTAGTCTCGCTGTACAGATCTAGATCTAAGGACCCTGTGACCGTCACATGGTGTGACACTCCTTTCCACTTGCAGAGCTCATCATGATGCCTTGTCTTAGATATAATAGGATCCTACCAGTGCACATGGTGCTGCACTAGGGATCAAGACACCCTTCAGAAGGAACTCTGAGTTCCAGCAAACTTCCTGGGAGCTGCCTGCGGCCCCGTCACAATCTCGCCGTACTTGTTGACCTGCATGTAAAGAAAAAACTTTGAGCATAAAACAGACGATCACATCTGACCAGAAATTGTAACGCTCAAATTCTTCACCGTTCACACGCCACAGCAGATCAAAACCAGGGGTCAAAGCTGAGCCAAGGGAATGACTCTCACTTTGCACTCAGAGAGGGGGCTGACCTGGACATATGCAAACTCCATAAACTCATGCGCCCAATTGGCCCACCAGTAGTTGGGCTCCACATTGAAGACGCGCATGTCACGCGCTGTCAGCCCCTTGAGCACGTCCAGCATTTTCCGCGGAACGGTGATATTGCTCTTGTGGAAATAATGATATTCCACCTGCCGCCACAACAGCACCGACCTTGTTAGACTGGCGTTCCAACTCTTGTGTTGTCAGCATGCACGCGCACTTCTTTATCAAGCCCCTCTACCTATGGCCTGAGGATCTTGATCCAGCGCTGTTCACATGCAAAAGCTTGGGCTATGCTAGAATTTGATGATGTTGGGCTGCGGTGAAAGACACTTTGAGGATACTGGGTTCTGTTAGGAACAAGGTAGACAGGAACAAGATAAAACATGCCATGCACCTGCAGCTGGGTGAAGGGCAGGGGCAGCCTCTTGGCCACCAGGTCTGCCAGGAAGCCCCACTCGGCCCCCTCTATGTCAACTTTCATGACATCCACCCAGTCGTGCTTCAGCTCCTTCATGATGGTGCCCAGCGTCTTCACTGGGAATGCCGTGTACCCCTTGTTCATGTTCTGCCTGCTGTCTGACAGCTCGATCTGCACAGGCCACGCATCACATCAGACAAACACCATCGCTCCTGCTGACTCTTACAAGCACAAACAATGCGTGCCGATGTGCTCACAAGCACTGCAGTGTCAATGCACATTTGCTTGTGCTGTAATGTGCAGCATTGGAATGCAGAACTGAGCAAAAATTGAGGGAAGAGCGAGGCTTCTCACCATGCCGTCTGTGATGCCGAGGCCATAGTTGTGCAGGGTGACGCCTTTGATGCTGCTGACTTGCTTCTGGACTTCTGGGCTCAGCGTGGGGTCGAAGACATGGACATCACACTTTGTATTGCGCAGCAGATCCTGCTCAAATGTGGTCTCCCCATTGGATCCAAAAGAATAGACCACACAGTGGTCCTTCTTCAACAGCGTCCTCACGCCGCAGAGCCACTTCCCATTGTCTCCCAGCTGGCGATCAATGCCAATCTTCTCCTTCAAAGGGCAGTTGTATGCTGGCAAGAAGTAGTCCCAGCTGTGTGCACACAATTGTGTCAAGACTGTGCATTTGAGCCTGTGCATTTGAGCCTGGCAGGACCCATAAAAGCAGGCATGTGTACCTACAGGGGCTAGGTGCGCACGCATGATGCAAAAGCCTTCAGAAGAATTCGTTTGCACAAGCCCTTATACAGTGGAGATGGGCTTACATATACTTCAGTCTCCAGTTATTGCCATCTGCTGACAGGATTGCCAGGCCCTGGGTGAAGTCCGTTGGTTTCACTTTGGCGAGCTCCTCGTTCTGTATAGCTTGCGTCTCCTGCAATCGGCCAAACATTGATCAGTTGCAGATCGACTATTGTAGGCCGTACTGAACACACACTGTGAATCAAGTACTGACCTGGTAGATGGCTTCTATCAATCTTGTTTGCTCCGTCAGACCGCTGACTGCATGGTCTCCTGCTCGGTTCTGCTGGCAGGTCCATACAAGAGGGCCGCATGACTGGGAATAGTACAAAACTGCACTGACGAGCCCGACGCCCAGGAGAGCTGACAGGCCAAAAATAAGGCGTGTACTAGGCGATCTAGTGGCTTGTCTCGTCATGATTGACTTGCCGAGGCCTTCCGCGGAAATTTTTTGGGCACTTCGAAGGCCTCAAACCGCTCCGTTATCGAACGCTTGGCTTTGCGGTGTAGTCTGACCAATCACATGAGATCTGTGTTCTCGAAGAAAGATTGCAATTCGATGGAGTCACTGATCAGACCGCACGAGTCTTTCAGGTGCTGGACAGTTGCGTTGACAAAACGTAGTAGAAATCCACCAAATGGTCTCTTAACAACGTCACTTGAGGACCTCGGGCAACAGTAACACCTAATGACTTCCAGAGATCAAAGAATGCATCCACGATTTGGCAATCGCAGCAAGCGTTGCTGCTAATTCCAAAATTTCCAAGAGACTTCTTGGGGCGAATCAACCCTGGTGTCCAAATGGCGGGTGAATCACTGGGGAGACTACCGAGCCCTATATTGAAGGGTCAAACCTCAAGGGGCGTTCATCTGATCAGGATGGCTCAAAACTGGCCCATGACGGTCTTGAACCTTCCTAAAAGATTCCCAAGCCCTTCGTAAAGTATTGCAGGGACCATATAAGGATTCTGTGATCATCTGAGTCGTGCGCTGTTGTACCAATCCTGTCTCCGGTTTCAGTATTGAAGATAGATTACAAAAGAACCTGCTGTGCCACAGATCACCCATTTCTTTTGCGTTGATTAATGTAAATTAGCTGCTCTGTTATTCTGTATTGTAGTCGTCCCTGGAGAGAGTAGGATTATCTTGTGCGAGGGAAACACTGATAGAAGGATTTAGGAACATGACTGAACAAGAAGAGGCCACCAGCAATGACGCCGTAGAAGAACTTCAGAAGGATGAGCTAAACGATCTAATTGTGTCACCTGTGGGAGACACTGCGGCTGAAAATGCAAGCGAGGATACCACAGGGTGAGGATCCATACTTTTTCCTACAACTTTCATGTTCTAGCTGATCACCCGCTGGGGTGGACCTCATTGACGTGAACAATCGGCAATGGTCTTTTGATAGCTGTGCACGTCGTGTCGGGTTAAGCCTCCGGTCGTTTTGTGTGGAGTGGGTCAAGTCAGCATCAAATCGATCACCCTGTAGCGCCATAGCTTCTGGCTGCGGTTATGGCGGGCAACAGGTCGTCATTCGGAGGACATTGATCGATTGTGCATGCCTAAGAATTGCTTTGCTCCTATCAATACAGCGATTGAAGATAAGTAAATGCTCGCAGGGCTGAAGAGCATCAGGACGCCACTCCACCAGCTTCTTCGCCTTCTTCACCCGCCTCGCCTCCAAAGGAAGCCAGGGTAGCGACTTACCGATACACAAGGTATCTAGAAGCCCATCTCTGCCAAGCCTGCATGCCACACTAAAAACAGCTGTGATGTGAAATATCAGACGGTTCCAGACAGTGTTTGTTCGGTTTTCTTGTGGGACTACTGACAAAATAATGCGGATGCAGGGAGGAATTGGTGACAATTGGCGCAGATCCTGCGTTGGGGCGACCACCCCAGGTTCTGGAAGCATCTGAAATCTACAGGTACGATGTGCACAGGACCCACACGACCCACACGCTGGTCATTGCATGAAGATTTTCAAGCAACAGTATTCTTTCTCGGCGAATTTTGTGCGCACTGACAACACCGATCAAACACTCATGTCTGCATGGTGCACCTACTCACTGAGAGGCATCCTTGCTGGCCTTGCTTATACTGTGTTGAGGAGATATTTAGAATATGTCCCAGCATCAGTTCTGGGTCAGGTGCACTTGTCCTGGTGGAAGTCATGGCGCGGTATTCAACATTGCTTCTATGCGCTCTCTGCAGGGAGCTGCAGGAGTCGCTGTTCTACGACAAGGCAGCGGCTGTGGATGAGGATGCGGGGGAGATCCGGCTGCGCCCTGGGGGTGGACGCCTGCCGGGCGCTGACCGCCTCCCGGCCGCGTCGGCCGCCAAGGCCATTCCGACGGGGCCGCCCGGCGTGGCGCAGCCACCGCCGCGCGACGGGGGTCCGTCCAGCTGGAAGGACGACAGCTGGCGATCGCCGTTCAAGGGTGGGCCGCCCGTGGTGTACCCTGTGCTGGGCCATTTTTAGGGTTTAGGGTTCCCCTACCCTAAAACATGTGCTTGGAGCGCTCCGTTGCCCGATGGGACTCGTCTGACATTGCTATTGTCATCAATATCTTCTGCTGGTAGAACGCAAGATGTGACCTGCCACAAATTTCTACGATTGTGCATATATAGCTTGGGTGTTTTTTATGTGAAAAGCAAGTGAATGGCTTCTGCATGCAGGCTCACCCTCACCGCCAATCAGGAGCAGGCTGGTGGATGATGCCCCGGCGATCAGTCCTCCCTCTGGCCTGCCTGGTCCCCCGGGCCTGAACGTGTGCAGGCCCCCCATGGAGGGTCCCCCCGGCCCAGATTGGCAGCCGCGGGACCAGTGGCGCCGTGGGGGGCCTCAGCAGGAGTGGCGGGGCGGGTTTGAGGAAGAGGAACCTGCCAGCCCGCGCCGTCGCGACACCCGTCCCTCCCAGGCAAACAACCTGGCAGTGCACTGGTTGAAAGCGGCCGCACAAGAACTGCTTCCTACTGTTCTCATTCATGCAGGAGGGACCCCAAGTGTCCATATCGTTGAGCGATGCACATAAGAGCTCCATCCCGTCTTCCGCCTGCCCGCACTCTGCAGGGGTATCAATGGGGGTGTAGTAGGTTTGTCACTCAAGACAATATTTGCATGTGCAGGACTTGGACAGGTGGGGCACCAAACCGCCATCACGCAACGAGGAGGCTTGGCGCGCTGCAGGCGGTCCGGGCCGGACAGGGCCGCGGGCAGCCGAGTGGGCAGCCGGCGGCCGCCGCGTGGGGCCCGTCCCCCCAGCAGCAGCAGCCGCCGCAGGCCCCCCTGCCGGCCGGGGGGCTCCTCCCCCGGGCTTTGATGCCCCTCCTGGCCTGCCACCCACCAAGCTGGTACGGTGCCTTCTTTGGCGCATAGCTTGTCCTGCCTGGCAGCCCTGTTTGTGTCTGTGATGGGAATCCTGCAAGTTGCTCACATGCATTTTAAATTCTTGGTTGGCAGCATATTTGTGCAAGATGCGAGCTTCATCATGGCTACACGCTGTGCTGTCATTCAGCAAATGGCAAGAGTAGCGTCAATTTGTTGGCTGTCATGCAGGCTCCAAAGGAAGTCCGGCCCGCGCCAGATGCGCTGCGCAACGGTAAGCCGGTGCCGGCCGCGGCTGACGCGAAGCCACGTGGCCTGGAGGGTGACTGGCGCGCCGCCAAGGAGAAGGGCGAGGGCACGCGCGATGACCCCAGGCGCATGCAGGATGGCCCACGCAATGGTGCGATCAGAGCAGTCTCGTCTGGTTCTGCACAACTATTGCATTCTCCTCTTTGCTGCACTGCGGCACGTGCTTCTGCTAGCTTGCCTGTCCTGTCAGCAATCATCAGGCATGCAACCTTCTGCTGCAGAAGCTCTGTGGACTCAGATGCACGAGTACTACGCCCAAGCACATGTTTTGTAGTGAATATTCTGACGTGGTGCTTGTGCACTTGCACAGATGGCCGTCCAGAGTGGATGTTGGGTGAAGAGCCGTCGGAGCGTATGTCCAAGGCAGAGCGCCAGCGACTGGACTTTGAGGCAGAGCGTCTGCGCTGGCAGGAGGAGCGCAAAAAGGGGGGCCAGACGGCCCACAAGACTGCCAATGTGCGTCATCTCTCCATCTCTAAAATGTTGTGCTCGATACCATAGGGCTGTGCATTCTCACCTTTGCTGTTGCATCTTTCTTGTGGTGTTGTACCTATTTTTTATTACATGATATGCTGCCTGGCAGGCGGCAATGGAGGAAGTCCTGGATGATGAGGAGCTGGAGCAGATGCGCAAGGAGGAGCTGGACGCCGAGCAAGCAGAAGCACACCGCGCCCAGGTGCACACTCCTGGCGTGTTTGTGTATCTGTTGCATACTCTATACCTGCGCCCTATGCATTTCCACACACTGACAAATCCATGGACTCGGCCGTATCGCCTGGGCGTCTCTGCACATTCTGACAAAGATGCAGTTAAGGCAGACAGGGGGATAAACTTAGTGTTGTGCAATAACAGGCTCATCGGGAGTCTGAAGATCGGTCTTCGCATCTGGCCCGGCCGGAGACGCCGCCAAAGACCGGATCTGGGCAGACGGCGCACAGCACGCCCGTGCAGCCGCCGCCAGGCTTCTCGCCAAACCACCTGTTTGGTGATGCGGATGAGGACCCCATGGACTTTGCCGCAAACCTGTCCTTCCTCGACGACACTGAGCAGGTGCACCTCGGCTGCTTACTGTCAGACTGCGTAATGACCACGACCTTTCGTCACGTCACCTTTTTGTGGCGCCCACCAAACCATATTGGGCTCACTTTGTACCTCCATGCTTGATCGGGCATTGTCGCCTTCCAGGTTCTCAATGCAGCAATGCCAACCGTAGGTGGGGCCTCTTCAGAATCTTGTACCTCAGGTGTGTCTTAGACCTCAGGCATCTCAGGCCTCCTGTGTATGGCGGACTGCATGACAGTGGACTGCTGTGATGCAGGATGCACAGCCCAAAGCCAATGTTGGCGCGGCCTCCCGTTTTGCGCGCTTCTTTGCCTTGGAGCAGTCTCCTGGCGCCTCTGCTGAGAAACCTCCTGCAGATCAGGGCCCCCGCGCAAGCACTGCAATTGCTCAGGTGACTGTCATCACTTGTGCGCTGACTTGTCAACTTCACCACTGTGGCAATTGTACATGCCTGAATTGAGTATTTACCTTGTCCATGAGGTTGTATGGGAGACTTGCCGTGTTGAACAATTGCGTTGCCTTGTCGCACGTGTGCAACAAGGCTTGCAATGTACTTTATGCCCATGATCAGTCCACTCATTTGCTGTCCCTTGTGTCGCGCAGTCGCTGTTCCAGGAAGGCAGTTCTGCTCCTGCACCTGCGTCACAGGCCGGCGCACAGGCGCTGCTGCAGCGCCTGCATTCCGGAGGCCCACAGGTGCGAGACAACACTCGACAACAAGACAGTTGATAGAAATGAATTGAACCTTGTCGCAATTCTTGATTGTCGAGAGTAAGCACTTGTCTGGATGCCCAAGAAAATGCTTGCTGTCTCTCCCTGCAAGCAAGTAGCTGAGGCGATGAACGTGGTGTGCAGGCGCCTTCTCTAATGCACTATGCTGCCCAGCAGCAGGCGCAGCAGCCCCAACAGCAGCTGATGCCGGGCCAGAACCAGTCCTTCACCTTTGAGCAACTAGCACAGGCAGCCAACAATAACGCTGCGCAAAAGGTGTGTCCTGACGTCCTAGCCCAGGTCCTGAGGTCCCAGGCTTATGCTGTTGCCTTCTGTAGGTTGAGGCTGCAAATTGTTATGAAGTTCATTCTCTCTCAGATTGGTGCAGTAATGTGACTCGTGGTGCAGCAGGTGCTGCCAAGGGGAGCTGCAAAGACGCTGGAGGACATTGAGGGGCTCAGAAGCTTCCCGGCAATGAGCGGCAATCCAGCATTTGCTCAGCAGCAGCAGCAGCAGCAGCAGCAGCAGCAGCTGCCCCCCATCGGCGGCCCCATCCCCGCTAACAACCCGGGCAACACCCTCCTGTCCCTGCTGCAGGCCAATGCGCGCAGCACCCCAATCCCACAGGTGAGCTTATGGGCCCAATCAGCCGCCAGCACCCTCACGAGAATTACCAGGCTGTCCTTTGGACATTGTACTGGCACATGTTTTATGCTACGTGCAATTCTGGACTCTGGAGGCTATCCTTACATACGTAGCTCCTTTTGAAAGGTCATGTAACCCTTGATACAGTGTGAAAGGTGCATTTGGCATGATTGCAGGGCATGGCTCAGATCGGCGCGGCTGGCTTTGCTGGCGGCCAGCATGGCATGGTGCACAAGCCATCGGAGGCCCTGTCTCAGCCGGCGCTCGACCCTCTACTCGCTGCCTTCAGCGCCCAGATGGGGGTCGGCCAGGTGACAAGACTTGCGCTCTTTCTTTATATCCTGGAAGATATAAGCATCGGACCTGTCTAGATATGCGGTTTCGTCTATTCTACAATAATGTGTATTTTGCAGCCTCCGGCGTGACTCGGCCATGCAAGTCAATTCATGATACCGCGTATGATCGCCCCGCTGTAAGAAAACAGCTTTCACCCACACCATTTTCTCCTCTGATGTGGGCTGCTCCGGATCTGCAGGCGGCTGCTCGGCAGAACATGGCGCAGGGCATGGCCGGAGGGAACCCCTTGGTGCAGGGCCTCGGCCAGTATGGGCGTCAGGACACTGCCCAGCAGGGCACCATTGCCTCGCTGCTAGCAGCCCCTGGCGGCTTTCCCCAGAACCAAGGTGAACCAAGGATCTGCCCTGAGCTAATTTATGGTGTTGTTTCCCTCTGGCCTTGGTTGTGTTAAGTGCCGCATAGCATGGGTAGAGGTCCGGCGTGAGCGCATGAGCAGCCCGTGATTGTGCAGCCCGTGACTTTCTGAATTCAGATATTTGTGCAGGTGCCAACGCCAATTTTGGCAACCGTATGCTGCCGCAGCACCTGCTCCAGCAGCAGCAGGGGCGGCCGGGCGGAGGTACGCCGACGCCCGGAGGTCTGAGCGCCGCCGCGCTGCAGCAGGGCTATGGCGGCCTGCAACAGGCGCAGCTGCAGCAGGCCGGCGCCCTTAACCTCGCCCAGTTCAACGGTGCCCAGCAACAGGCACAGCCGGTGAGCACACATCTGAGAAATGCAGGCAGGACAGAGGAGACCCCACAAGACAAACGGCCTGTCATCTTCTGTCATATCCCATGCCATGCGTAAGATATCTCCATGCACGGCCTTTGGCTTGTGGGTCCTCTTCTCGCCGAGCTGACAAGCAGTATGGCTGTCATGTACAGGGCATGAACGAGCACCAGCACCACATCATCCAGCTGCTACAGCAGCAAAGGATGCGCGATATGATTGCGGCCGCTGCCGGTGGCAACAGTCAGGCGGAATTCCTGCAGCGTCAGCAACAGGCTGCACAGCTGCAGCAGCTGCAACAGGCCGCGCAGCTGCAGCAGCAGCAGCAGCAGCACCTACAGCACCTGCGCAACCAGCAGGTATTTTACTCTTATGCCCCTGAGTTGCTTCCTCCTCACCATGTTCTGTCCTTTACAAGCTTTGCGTGCTGCCCTGCCCCTATGCGATTGATTTTAATTGCGAGGAAGCTCTTCTTCTATGTTCTCGCCCCCAGAGATGGAGGATGGAGATATGAACGTGCGTTGCAGAGTTCTTGACAAACGATGTACCTGTTTGTGTCACTGCCTTGGGAACCCTTACTGCTAGAGCATGAGCATGAGCAGGGGCCTGCTTGCTGTGCAGGGTCAGGGCGTGAACCTCAACCAGACGATGCAGCTGCAGATGCAGCTGGCCCGCATCCAGCAGCAGCAGCAGCTGGCGGCTCGCCAGCAGCAGGCGGCCGCTCTCGCACAGCAGCAGCACGCGCAGCAGGCACCCTACAATGGCGTCGGCAACGGTCTCGAACGTTTTTTCAACACCGCCGCCAACCCTGGCATGCAGCGCATGCCCAGCATGCCAAATCAGGTGTGATTTTGCTTGAACAAGCAGCTGGTGCTCTCATAGCATTCCTTAGCATTGCCGCCTAGATGCTGTGCAAGATACTACCCACGGGCAGCCAGTAATTTCTTGATGCCAGCATGAGGCTTGTCTAGTGCCTACGTGAAGGTTTGTCAGGCACAATTTGGGCTTGTGAGACTGATGTTCTTCCCTGGTTGCAGATCGGACAGCGACCCACGCTAGAGGAGCTGGAGCGTCAGATGGCAGCTCGCAGATGAGCTAAGATATCTTGATGGAAGTGCGAGCACGACCATTTTGTGCAGCCAGCAATCTTGTGGTCTATTCTACAGCACGGTGACGCAGTGAATGTTTACTCGAGGGACTGACGGACCCCTTTGCTGTAGTATTCACTGGGGAGTATGCGCGACACGTGCGACTTATCCGATTATCCTACTTGGTGTGCTCTCATGATCTGAGCAGCAGCAGATTGTCTTTGATGACCCAGCACGCGCTGTGCATGGCTCTGCCTCAGCAGCTCTCGGCTGCAAGGTTTTCTGCAAAGTGCGTGACACGAGTGCCAGTTCTCATTTGGCAGCGCTTTTGTACGATTGCAGCCGAGGAGGTTTGTGTTAGATAGCGTCAATGTTGGTTTTACTCGTCTTGAGTATAACTCAGACTTGTCTCTTGCAACTGTGTGTCTGTGGTGCTCTGTGCGAGATCCCTGTATTTTAGTGGCCGCAAGAAGCCCATCGCTTCAACAATGCTTGTCCTTTGCGAATCTAAGCTTACAGTGGACACCGTCAACTTCTTCTAAAAGTTTTGCCTGTTGGGGACTGGATGGTTGGGGACAGTGGGGCTATCTCACAGAGCACTGCTTTGGTGATGTTGTCTTTGCTTCAATTGCTGGTGTTTTGTGCATAGCATTCTTCTTTCTGGGTCTTTGCTTTGATTACAAATGACCCCGTGGGATCCCATACTTGCGCAAGAAGCAGAAATCTCGGTTGACAGAAGTGCACCTCTGGTGCGTTGTTTCTTATGCCTGGGTGTACATGGCTGTGACGAAAGAGGGATCCTTAGTGGTTGTATATGGGGTCCTTTATTGATTGAGTAGGGTCTGCATTAGCGACAAATCCAGTGGTCATGTGGTCAGGATGCAGTTTCGGATTGATTATGGCATTGCACCTTCATATGTTTGGTCATCACCGAGACCAGAGAATGTCGAGAGTGCAGACAGGATGTCTTAGCTGGTATGGGAAGTACCTTGAAGGCCAGGTTGGAGTCCCCATTATGGTTCGCAATAATTTGGCAATTCTTGGATCCATGGATACATGGCCATGGCTGCATGGGTATGGCATTTCTGTCACCTGGCCATGGCTGTCACGAGTGCAGGTGAGTAAAGTCGGTCTTCTTGTACAAGCGCGGTCTGTAACCAATGTCCGAAACATTGTCAAGGTGCTGCCGAGGATTTCCTCTCAAATGGGAAGCCAGAAGCACGTTCGTCCTTGTCGATATGTTAACAACGTTGCTCCCTTAAGCACGAGGGGATTCGGAGCAGGGTTCACTTGCTTGTGGCTGTGCATCGAAGCGCCCGTGCACATAGACAGGATAGAATTCTTTTCAATCGTCGCATATGTAAAATCTTTGCGCATTACTGATCCAGGAAAGCTAATTTAGAGAATTTGCTGCTTATTGTCAAATAAGTGGACAAATAAGTCTTCAGCAAAGAGGAGGAACAGCTCTATCGTATAAATCTATTGATGCGTAAAAGTATCTACAGATCACAAAAGCCATGCAGTGATAATCTGGCAATGATCCTTCAGCCGATGTCTAGCAAATGCCAAGGACCTTCAACCCAGCGTCACTGTTTAACGCAGCATAGTCTCAATTGGCGCAGACAAAGAACAGCAACAAGGCATCCTAGATGTTCCAAAATTCAGGCCATGTCTCAGGGATCGCCTCCTATCATGGTCAATTCGTGCACGGGAAAGGTGAGCTCCTGCTGTGCGATTGTGCCCAAAGTCAGGATCAAAAGTGCATCATCCAGTTGAAAGCAGCACATTGCTGGCTGTGCCCGATTTGCTCGTGATCTGGACGCCTGCACTGAGCGGGAGCTTCTGCAAAGCAGATGGGGCATGCCACAGCTGAGGCAGTGGTGAGAGCAGGGCTGCAGCTGGTGCCGCTGAGCTTCACAGGGGCCTCTGAGGCGGTGGCAGTGGGCAATGTTGGAGTGGCGGGCATCCCTGTCGAGCTCATAGCTCCAGAGGAGCGACAGGCCGCCATGCAGCGTGTCAAGGAGCAGTACCCAGGCCTTGTGCTTATAGACTTCACGCTGCCATCTGTGGTCAACGGTGGGCATCCCTTCTGCGCTGTCTCTACGTCTCAGCATGTCTCTATCCCCATAAGATTGCTCTGATATGCTCCTGTCTACATCCTTAGCATACGCTCAAGGAACGCTTACCAGACTGGACGGGAAAAATTTTCTCAATTGCTGAGTAGGACGAGCAGATTATGGTTGGAGAGGCTTCATATATGCAGATGAGCGGGGCTTAGATATCACGCATGTGGAATGCAGACAATGTAGAGTTCTATGCGCGCAACAGCGTTCCATTTGTGGTCGGCACAACCGGTGGCGACAGGGAGAAGCTGCTGGCCGATGCGCAGTCCGCCGGCTGCTACGCTGTCATCGCCCCCCAGATGGGCAAACAGGTATGCACACCACACATGCCCCGCAGGATGGCAACATGCTTGACCAACGAAACGCCTGACAAAGGAGCTCTTGGAGTTGCCAGTTTCTGGTCATTGCTTCTGGGATGCCCCATGCATGCGCAGCGCGGATGCTCGCACTCTCAGAATCTGTTTCTTGGACAGTATATTTGCGCAGCTCAAACAGATACCTGCCACGTCATGCACTGCAAATTGGTGCATGAGCTGGCACCATTGTTAGCCCTGCAGGTATGATCAGAAGTGAGAGGCGACGGGTGTGGGTGGCAGGTGGTGGCATTCCAGGCAGCGATGGAGATTTTGGCGGAGAACTTCCCGGGCGCATTCTCGGGCTACAAGCTGGCGGTGACAGAGTCGCACCAGCGCCAGAAGGCTGACACGTCCGGCACTGCCAAGGCCATCGTTGCCTCCTTTGGCAAGCTGGGCACACCCATCCGCGAGGTGAAGGATCTGATCTCCTCCCTTAGATAGTCACTGGTGTCTGTCTGTCAGTACTGGTGCAAGCAGTAAGCTCTAGAGATGAACAGTAGCTATAGATGAACAATGGAAACCCTGGCTTCAATGACATCCCAAGGCGTGTCATCTCTAAGGGTGCCAGTTGCATTCCTACTTCAACGAAAAGATCACTTTCTTAGGGAGGGCTTCAACTGCGCAAGTCTTGTTAAGGCGGGGTGCCTGTGGGGTGACAGGCGGACATCGAGAAGGTGAGGGACGCCTCGACACAGGTGGAGCGGATGGGGGTGCCAGAGGAGCATCTGAGCGGCCACGCATTCCACACATACAGGTGCCTCACTGCGATCTTTATTTCCCTTTATATCTTTCCAAACGCTGGAGCAGCAGTGGGCGTGAAGCGTCGTCTTGCAGCTGTGGTTGCCTGTTCAGCACTAGCTCTTTAGCCTCTGCTTTGCCTAAGCTCTTTTCCTGGCTGGGACATCCTGGTACATTTGAGGGAGGATGCAGCCGTCTCATGAGATGTGTGTGCATGGGCAGGCTGACATCTCCGGATGGGGATGTGGAGTTTGTGTTCCAGCACAATGTGTGCGGGCGCACAATCTATGCAGAGGGGACGGTGGACGCAGCTCTGTTCCTGGCAAAAAAGGTTGCAGAAAAGTCAGAAAGGCGCATCTTTGACATGATTGATGTGTTGAGAGAGGGTGCGATGAGATGATGACTATTCAGCTCGTCCTTCCATGTGTGCACGGGTCACTGTTGGGCTTTACAACAGACATACTGAATTTGAAAGCCTACCACTTGCTCTGCTGCTGACGTCAGCTGCCTTTTGGCTTGAAAGCAACGATGGTTTTTAACAAACAGATCTGACCTCTAGACCTACATGCAATGCATGTCGGGCGCATGCATCATTTGGTGAAAGCGCATGCAGCCCTGACCTATCTTCAATGAGAAAGACGCTCGTCCAAGTTGGTGGCACCGCATCAGATGCCTTCTCGAACCAACAGTCTTCACCTGAGCAAGGCATGACGTGTGTTTGTAGAATGCATGCGCAAGGTGGTGGTGCACAGTGCACCATGCACTAATTTTAATTTTGCCAGCCATAATCATGGTGATGCTGGCAGCAGCTGTGCTTGGCTGCCACTGGCATGCAGATTATCACTTGCGCTTAATCTTGATCACTGCCAGCAGACGTGCATGCTCATGCAGCCACCTATGTGCGTACGTATCTGCACATCCGATGATCTGTGAAAACTGACGGCTGGGCCCAAGGCCTTCCCTCGAGGATCCATCAGTCCATTATATCAGTCAGTGTAAGACCAGCCGGGAGCGTGCCCTCCTGTGCCCTCCGCCGCAGGTATCCCCTGCACAAAGCACGCTGACACCACTCAACGGACTGATCTTGGAAACGGACTGATCTTGTAGGCACAACATAGCTGTGACACTGCACCAGAGGCATGGCTGTGCATTGTCCTGAAATCGAGCCAGCTGGAAAGCAAGCATGCGAGTACTCACAGCCTCGCTGCCAGTTCACCGCGCTGGGCCAGGATTCCAGGCAAAGTTGCATCAATCTGGTCCAGTTGGTCGTCCAGTCCGCTCAAGAACTCCGCTGCAGCTGCGTTGTCTGCAGCTGATGGCTGGCACAGCAAACTCAGATCCAAGTCTAGGCGATGCATCACACTTCTCTTGCTGACAAAACCGTTAACTGAATCAATTGATGCGTGCTCGACAGCATTAGCAAGAACATGAAGGTGTGAGGCAAGATAGTATACCATTCAAGCTTGGAACAGCAGCAACGCCAGCCGTGGAACCACCCTGCCTCGTTTGCCTGCCTTGGCCTGCGCAAAACTGGCATTGGCATCGACTTCAAAATACAAAAACTTGTATCAGCCTGCCATTCGCAATCGTAAGCAAGTCCATACCTCCACGAAGCCGTGACTTGCGCTGGCGATGGGACAGGATCGGGCGTGGGGCCGGAGTTGCTTTGCTGCTCGAACGAGTTTTCATATTGAACACTCCAGCTTTGGAGGCCTGGTTTCAAAATCTGCTTTGAGGGAGACTCTGCTTGTGACGCTGCAGTGGGCTTTCCATCACGTATGCGTACCCCTCGTCAGAGTCCAAGAAAAATTGAAGGATTCGAATATTATAATTTTGCAGCAAAACTTTGAGGATTGACATCGCCACTACAGTATTTTCTCTCATTAAGATCATATTTTCCAGCGAAGCCAATCCGCTTCTCGATCGCACAGCGTGAACACAGGTTCCATCCGCCCCGACGTGGACGTGACCCCGCTGGTCCAGGGCGCAAGGGACCCTCCTTCATTCAACCTACAAGCACCTTTGAGCATGTCTGATCGTGTGAGACTGAAATACTATGTCAAAAGATTGAAGAAACTTCACAGTACGGTCCTTTCTTGGGCATTCGCATGCAAGCTGCCTGCACCTCTTGCCTTACACACAACATCAGGTTTCCCCCAAAGATCTGTGTACTGTGTGTGCAGAAGTATCTCACAAAGTTGATGGTGACTTGATGCACCAGTGGTAATTCTACCTGGAGTACCACAGAGTCAGACCAAGGTGCACCGTGTTTACAAACTGGATGAGCTGAAACAGACTGTCAATGCAAATGAATGAAGACAGTGCAACACTATGGCCTACTTCAATGACACATGCGAAGAAGCAGCAAAGAGCAGTGAAGCTCAAATCCCTCCAGCCCCTCTCTCACACGTATTCAATTAGTCGGGCACCAGCTCTGCAGCGCTCAGATAGGCTCCATGCACCTCAAAGTACTGCACCAGTCGCCCCAGAAACTCATCCCCAGACACAGTCTCAGAGTCACACACAAGCGTGCAGTGCCGCCGCGCCCTTGTCACTGCCACATTCATGCGCCGCCGATCCGCCAGAAACCCAACCTGTTTCGCATCATTGGACCTCACCTGCACAGCAATATCGCCTTCTTCTTGAAACCCATCGCCAGGCAGTTGCTGATTCCAAATCACCTGCAATGTACTTGCAGAGCCCCTGTGATACTGCTTGGCGATGCTGCAGAAGGCAAGATGGACATGCCCCATCTGAGCCACAGAGAAGCTTGTCACAGTTGCCAAGGGCTTTGATGGGCTGCGATCAAGTATACATGACAATCATAGGAACCAGTATTCCAGAATATTGCATTGCTGGCTGAGAGCAGCTCACCATAGAAATAATGATGGCTTCCTTCTCACGCCCTTGGAACCCATCAACAGAGCTGATCTCCACCCCAGACAGGGCTCCTGGCCGCAGCTCTTTGAGAAGGTGCACCTGCAAGATAGACATTAGGATCACCCGACACACCAACATGCTGAAAGCTTGCAATTCTTTGTCGGTCACTCATTCCTCCTTTGACGTTCAGACTGCAACTGTGCATGTTCTTCCATGCATTGGGACAATTATTTGACATGCAGGAAGCAGTGAGCAAGAATGTATCAAGGCTACTTCCCCACACTCCCCTTTCCTTTCTTGACCATCTAGCGACTAACGCTCTTCAGTGCCACAAAGAAGAACAATACCCCTCATTGCGCATGCTGCAAAATCAGGTCAGGCGATGCAAAGGCTAGGGTTCCCTTTGTTCCCTCCACCTGCGCGTTGTAAGGGGTGATGATGCCGATATCCTCGGGACGAACGCCGCCTGAGACCAGGCGCTGTGCATGCGCGATAGTCACCCTTGCCTCACCCTCGTTGCGCTTGCTGTCGCTGTCCTCGTCAGCAGCCTCCTCCATGCCGCAGCCGGCAGTGTCGATCAGCGTCAGCACGCTTATGTCATCATGACACAGCGAGACGCCCTGCGCCAAGCGTCGGGCTTGAATGAGTTTTCCTTTGTGATGCCTGGAGTGCAATAATTATGGACTCTGATTGCTTGTAGCTATTCAGACGACAGCATCTTCAAGGCACGCTCATGGAACATGGGCAACAGGAATTGACAGTCACCCTCTTCAGAAACAATATGAGCAGCTTTGGCAGCGTTTATTGATGCGTGCAACCTTTGCTGGGAATTAATTTACCACAGTATATCCGGATCACCCGACAGCGCATTTGGCAGATCCGCAGCTGCCAATTCAAGTCGTGTCTCACCTTCAGGTCCATGAGAGTGTGCTGCATAACGGAGTTGTGGGCAGTGAGACGGCCGCCATAGAGTTCGTCGGATGACCACTGCATGATGTCAGCGTGCATGCGATACTGCACTGTCAGCATCTCGCTGATGTCATCCCCATACATGCCCTGCAGCCGCTCGAACAGCGTCTCCGACAGGCCCTGCATGCACAGATCCACCAGAATCAAACTGACACCCATGCAACACCACTGTATTGGCTGAGAGCAGAATCTCAATATTAGCAACTTCTTAGGAAAGCCTGGACTTTGAGGCTGGCGCGCGTGTCCTTTCTCTCTTCTCTCAAGGACGGTATTCATAGCATGGCCAAACACAATATAAGAAACTGAATCACAATCACAGGAACATGCCCACTGCACATGCTTGAGTTGTCACAAGGACTGCTGATGTTGCACGAGGAAGTTGCAGTAGATATGCACCTTTTTGGCGGCCGCTTCGCTGATGACGGTGGGTGGAAGCTGCAGGTGGTCGCCCGCCAGCACCGCCCTGGGCGCCTTCAGCAGCGCACTCCAGCTGGCTGCCTCCAGAGCCTGTGCGCCACAACTGGCACTCATAACCAGGGCAAGCGAGAGGTTGCCGTCTCCTGTACAAGTATGCACAGGGCTGCCACCCTGAGTGCTGTCTGCCGTGAAAGAAGCCACCATGACAAGTAATCACAGGAGAGTCAGCAGGCGGCAGGACCTTATAAATGCTGAATCAGTCACTCAGGACTTCTTCGCTGAGTTTTTAGACTTTCATAGACGTTCATGCAGATCTGGCAAGTGGAGGCACACGTCTGGTGCCACCACTATCATGCCAGTGGCTAGGACCAATGCAACCTGCTAAGACAGCCTCTGACATTTTGCGACAGAGTTCGCACCTGCGCGGCCTCGTCGATGACTGCCAGGTCAAACTGCAGTGGCCGCAGCTCGCGCATCAGCGCCCCTGACAAAGTAGCGCACACCACCGCCGCCTTCTTCATGACCTGCAGCAGACACCCATATGTTGTCAGAACAGAAGATATGCGTCACAAATACAGAGTATAAGGCTTCAGAACCGTTGATCATTACAGAGTCATTAAATGTTATATGGCCATCTGAATGCTGATAGAGGCATCTGGCACGTGCAAATTGCACAAGTCATCATGGAACTCTTGGTCAGACCTCGTCCACCGCGCGCTGCTGCCTCTGCCGCTCCTCCTTCTGCAGCGCGCGCAGCTCGCCCCGCAGCGACCGCCTCTCCGTATAATCCTGCACCGCATTGCATTCTTACCATTCAAGCTGACTCAGAAAAGCAAACGCCCTGCTGGAACTTTCTAAACAAGCAGCATCGGGGTTCCTCAGCACATGCATCTGCTGTTCACAACATTACCCCTGCAGCTGCAGGCACATCAACAACATGCCCACTGTGCGTAAAGATGCAATGGGAAGGACACCCACGGTGTACTTCTTCGGCATAGCTCACTACCTCGAGCTATCGCAAGGAGTTAAAGCCTCCAAGTGAGGAGTTTCATTTTGTGTCAACAGTACTGTTCAAATCTGCATTCATGCATTCAAAGCACCGGACAGCGACACATGTAAAGTATTGTTTGCATATGATTCAAAGGAGCGGAATGGCACCTTGCGGCCGAGCTTGAGCAGCTTGGCGTTGGCAGCCTTGATGTCCCTGCGGCAGTCGCGCGCAAGGGCGCTGTTGTCCGACGCGTACACATGCGCCTCCAGGCTGGCGCCCAGCACCTGTTGAAATCAGTCAGGGTTGTAAGTTCGATCAATTCGCCACCCTTTGCCAAGTCCTGCTCAATCAAGCGGTACCAAGCAGCGTGTGCCGGCGGCATTACCAGTAGCAAGCAGTTACATTGGTGCTGAAAGGGACACTGTCAGGGTTGTGGGTATTTTGCAGCTCACCACCAGTTGTCTTGGTTTCTGTCATGCAATTGGACGCACAAACAGCATCAGCAGCATGGCCAGAATTAATCACAAAAACTGGCTCATCTTTGAGAGAACACCCTTACGGAGGTTGGACACGGCATGTCTTTACACCCTCATGTGTTGCTTCAAAAAGTGCAGCCCCTTGGGAGACAGGTCAAATTTGTGAGAGAATGACCAAAGAAGGTAAACATTGTTATTCACCTGGGGTAGCAGGCGCGCCGGGTGGCCGACACGCACAACCATGAGTTTGGGGTTGGCCGCCATCAGCCGCTCCACCAGATTATCCACCGCAATGTTGGAAGCCGACGCAGCCAGAACCTGAACAGCACAACACCCATTGTGGTTACTCCGTTCAGCATGCCTGCTCAGATCTGTGTCTTCCTGCTGCTCGGCAGGGCATCGTGGGCAGGGCTTCTGATTTCTGCCGGCCCATAGATGTGAGCAGCCTGGTTATTGCAACCCTACAATTCTGAATAAAGCATGCTCTGCAGGGAGGTCGAAAATACCGTCTGAGAGGACTCGCGGCTCTCGGGATGCCTAATGGTTGCTCTCAAGACACATAGCACTGCCACCCTTCAGCACCACCATTGCTCCTTGGCTCAATATCTTGTCGTAAATTCAAATAATTAGCTGCTGTGTGACACGCCTTGTTGCCGCGCGCTGCCTCCTGCAGGATGAGCTCAACGACGGCGGTGGTCTTGCCGGTGCCGGGCGGCCCATGAATCAGCGCCACGTCCTTGGCGGCCAGCGCGTGCGACACCGCCGCCCGCTGCGACCCGTCCAGCCGCGCATTCACCGGCGTCCAGGCCGGCGGGTTGCCCACAAACCTGCACAATTCAAGATCACCATGTAATTTACTTGATGCAGGGCAAAGACAAGAGGCGATGGCCAACCCCACGGTTTCACACATTTAAAACCCTCCAGATCAACAAAATGGGTCCAGGGCAAGCACGGAAGGTGATGCCTACACTACGGCACAAAAAATGGGCCATCGGGATCCAACAATTCAGAATACTGCGTTGGTCGTCCTCATTCCCCACCCAAGAGAGGCTTGATTAGGAGGCACATGTGCATACGGCCTCTGCAACATTTTAAGCCTTCATTTCAAGCCCATAGCAGCTGTCTTGAAGGTGCGTGGCCACACCTGGGTGCTGCGCGGCCAAAGAGCACGTCCACGAGGGTGGCAGCAGGGCCTGCCTGGGCCGCTGCTCCCCCAAGGCTCTCGAGAGTCTCCTTCAGCCGCCGATATGTGACCTGCACAGGTCCCACTCAGTAATTTCATTAGATCTACTGTTCATTGATGGCCACCCTTTGTTCAGTCGGAGACCAACGATGTGCAAATTCTTACATCCCCTCTTCAACCACTTGTCGTTGTGATACTGTTTTCATATTCAGGTTATACCAGGGGGTGTAACAACCAAAGATAACATCGCTCTGTTGTCACACCTTGGGCTTTCTCATAGTTAATAAGCAATGGCTGTTGTGTGCCAGCAACAGGCACACACCTCATTTGCCAGCTTGTCCAGGCGCAGTGGCTGGTCCAGGCCCTCATCTGGCACATCTTCCACCGCCACAGTGATGCAGTCATCTCGCACCCTGCAACACCACCCCACTGCATGCATGGATATGAGCCAGGAGCCAGACTCCCAGAGACCTGTCATCATTTCTTGTGCCTTGCGTAAGAACTTCTCCCTCTAGAAAGCCCTCTCAATATAGATGGGAACAAGGCATGTACCTGAAAACCCCCATGGAGTATGTGAAGGCTTGAGACTTCATGCGGGTGATGAGGTGGGCCGATGATCAAGACAGCACACACACCTGTGCACAACACCGTTGGCGATAGCGGGCAGGGAGGCATCGCCCTTGGACGGGCGCAGCTCCACCACATCATGCGGAGACACCTTGTGCGCCGGTAGAGGCACGCTAAGTGTACCTCCTCCCTGCACAATTGGTAATCACAACACTTGTCAAATCCTGGATTTTGTCACGTCCCTTCACGGGGCTGTTGGCCTCATTGCAGAGACCAGCTTGTGATATTCCGGTCAACTTTGGCTGCGGCCATCAGACGCGGGATATTGGCAAGGACAGCAGGCGGTTCATGGCCCCTTGCAAGCTGCTGCCAGCTGCCATAGAATGCTGCATGCCATAAAGGCATGAACTTCGTTATTAGGATGCACCTTGTTGGAGACGAGGGCAAGGAGGGTGCGCCCCAGGAGACCGCCCTCCGCATCCCTCAGCCGCAGGTTCAGCAGAGCCCGGCCGCGCGCCTGAGCCACCTCCGGCCGCCTCTGCGCGATGCTCTCCTGGGCCTGAACAGGCAACATGACGGGCCATTGATGACTGTTTCTTCCTCGCCGCAGATGGCCGCGGCATCCAATAGCATCACCTGTTGGATCCAGCGCATGTATATGCATGGGATTGTGTTTCGTCCTTTTCAGTGTGGTCCAATCATAGCTTCCTCTAATGAGTGTTCATCATGTTGATTGCCGGATCGATGAAGGGTGTTGGCACAAGTGCATCTAGCTTCTTGCGGACTTTAGGTATGTGATGTGGCAGGGATGAATACCTGGGCCACTTCAGCCTCACGTTCCATTTCCAGGAGAGGCAGTGTCCGGGAGACAAACTCCTCAAGGGAGAGTATCTTGCCATTGGCTTTTCTGCCACCCGCCTTCGCGGCTACAGGCTTTGTGACCGCAGGCTTTGGGTGCACAGCCGCAAAGTCCTTGCTGCCATCAATGTGGAAATGCTCCCGCAGCAGATCAGAGATGGCGTCATCTGACAGCGATACGCAAGCTGGGAGCTCCACCTGAATGAAGTAGAAGCTGTCAAGCAACCAGGTGCAATTCTCAAAGAACATGTTCAGACCCTGCAGATTGATGAGGAGAATTGCAAATTTAGTCTTGGCGTGAGGGATTCAACCTGCTTGGGTTTCCCATTGTTGCTGCTGCTGCCCAGAATGATGTGCCGACTGTCTCCATCTCCTACGCTTGAATGGGAGAGATTATGGCGCGATGCTATCTCATGCAATATTGCACGTTGCCTTGCACTCACTGCGGCAGGGAAGTGCACCTGCGGGACCTCCTGTAAGGAAATCAGAGCAACGCCTGTGTCTCTGTAAGGATACAGAACAGCTGGAGTGGTCAAAATCAGACAAGGGCCATTGGTGGATGCAATCTCACCTTGGTGGGGACGGTTGTTCTTGCATCTGGATTCTTTGAGTCTTCAGATGCTTGTTCTGGCTTCAGCGCACTGCCAAGAGTTTTGGAGGCCGCATTTGAGCTTTTCTGCGCTTTGCAAGGGCACCCAGATAACAACCTTGGGGCACTAGCAGTAATGTGATGGCTTGATCATATCTCCTCGGAGCATCTAGTTCATTCAAATTATATGGCTGATTTCACGAGAATTGCATGCAGCTCTCAATGCTTACCGGTTTTCTGGCTGCTTTCTTCTTCGCGTGATCGGACGGCATGGTCAGGATTAGCACCCATTGCCTGCCATACAACCCCTGCAATATGTTGTTGCAGGCCCTGTACGCAACAAATATACTGGTCCCACACCTGAAAGATGAGGATCGAGACAAGAGTCTCGGTGAGATCCAATCCTTGGCTCTTCTGTGAAAGCCTACTGTTGTGATGCCACGATTCCTTTCAGCTCTCAATTTGTTAACCAACAATGTATTGTTGAGCATGCAATGTGGGCTCTATAGTGATCGCATTTGGAATCGTTTCGACTTTTCCGACACTGTGAGATTGTGCTTCATGTGGGCATTTCTCGGAATGCATTGGCTAGTCGTAGGCCAAATCCTCTCTGAGCATTGCTGCACCAGATCAGATCAGATTTTATTCTTGAAAATAGATACAAGCTATCTGCTCTGATCAGCAATCTTCACTTTACGGTTGCCATCGTGTTGTATACTAGTAATGTCGCCCCCTTCTGCCAGCATTCAACATGTGATCGTACAATTTTCTTATTGACTCAATATCTGAGACTGCATGCACGGTTTCAGCCCTTGTCAAATCGGCAGGCGAGCACCAGCCAAGTGGAATACTAGCAGAGCAAGCCAGAACACCCAAAGGCAGTACTGGACGTTCTGGGTGCACATGCAATCAAGCCACGGCAAGCAAACAGTGCTGGTCTACGATGGGGAAGGGGCAGGATCTCGATCTGTGCTCAGCGCTTTTGAGAGCCTCAGAAACAGCCTGTCATCCCGAGTCCAGGTAGCTTACCAGCACAGCAACAAAGACCTTTCACCTTGGCTACTTTATGCGAATATTGACCGAGCCCAGATAGTGGTGCATCTCAACATCACGACTTGAATGCAGGTTGCTCAGCTTGGGCAAGAGGCGCTGCTGTCTGGGGCATGGCAGGAGGAATGCCTGATGCTGGTGATGCCAGGGGGAGCTGATCTGCCCTACTGCCGCCAGCTGAATGGCCGGGGCAACAGCCTTATCCGCGGTGAGCCACCAAAATCTTGCTGTGCTTGCTCGCAAGATCCTTCTGCACAAGCTTTCCCTTCGAGTTTGTGCTCGGAACTGCTGAGGTGCCGATTGCTGTGCCAGGCTTTGTGGAGGCTGGGGGTGCCTACCTGGGCCTGTGCGCTGGGGCCTACTATGCCTGCTCCTACGTGGAATTTGCCCTGGGCACAACGTGCGCTCTGATACCTTCCGGCAGCACCATGCGTGCCGGTCATTGAATGACACACAAATGCCCTCACCGCTAGCATCATGTTCCTCTTCAGGTTCTCCGAATGCAGACTATTATCCATGGCCTGCCACAATTCATATTGGACACTGGGATCAACACGCTTCTGCTCTGCTCCAAAAGCCGCCATTTGGGCCAGTGCCCAATAACAGAGGCGCTCTGTGTGCGTGACAGGCTCGAGGTGAGGGGTCCTCGCGAGCTGGCATTCTTCCCGGGCACAGCGGCGGGCCCCGTCTACGGCGGCTTCCGCTACGAGACCGAGGACGGCGCGCACGCAGCGCATGTCGCCTTCCGGCCGCCGCAGCTGGCCAGCGCCGTAGAATCCGTAAAAGGGGACGCTCACGTAAACGGAGACAGGACGGAGCAGGGAACACCATCCGGCGCCGCACCTTCTGCACAGCAGGGGGACTCCATTCTAGCAGCAGGGTCAGCGGAATCTGTGACCGAGACTGCAGAGATTGGCGGCCGGCAAGAGGGCACCCACTCTCCCTGCATGTCAGCTCGCGAGCCACAAGCAGGGTGGATGGTGTGCCGGGACTACACTAATGGGGGCCCTCAATTTGTTCCCTTCGCTATCATTGAGAGAAAAGGGCAGCTGGCTGGTCCGTCAGGCCAAGTCAGCAATCTGGAATGCAACCACGGTGTTTATGAGTGCCTGGCGGTGTATCCTGATAAGGGGAGTGGTCTGGCTGCGGTGAGATGCCCTATAGGGGCAGGAGTTGCAGTGCTGGTGGGCACGCACCCGGAACTGGACCCCAAATGGCTGTCAACAGATTCAGACAAGGTCTCAGCCGTAGCAGAGGAGCTGAAGCCTCATGCAGCAGGAGGGCAGCCGAGTCATGGTCACGGTTTGCTGAGAGCGAGCGGGGAAGGTGTGAGGGACCAGCTAGAAAGATGCAGGGCGGAGAGAGGCATGTTTTGGAGGATGCTCTTGCAGGCAGCCGGCATGGGGCGTTTCCTCCTGGACACCCCACCCCAAACACCTCATTGGAAGTAAACGGTTCCAGGAGACCAGTTGTCCAAATTTGTGTGCAGGCAAGCGCGAAGTCACAATCTTTCCGGTTGTCATTGGCAGGTGCGCATGCATAAGGAGTGATGGTGTATGTATCAGGAAGAAGTCTTGGCTCATTATGCCCTTTGACTTTTTGCTATTGAAGTTGGCTTTAGCACATCTCTACAATCCCAGATCGTGAGTGCATCTGCTGAGTTATTGATGTTGGAAGGCAGATGAAGCTCAAAATCTGTACAACATGTTTGTAACATGTATTCTTTTACTTCGTGTCTCCCCCCTCAAGGGGCAAACATGCCTTCCTCAAAGCAGCACGTATTTTACAAATCCCACACCGAACAAGCAGCATATCTGCCTATGATGTTCCACAGCATGCTTTACTCAGCACGTGAGAAGAAGGGCAGGGCAAGGGCTTCTGTGGCGGTGATGCCTGGATTGTATGGCGCAACGAAGGTCTGCAGCCGCATCTGCCACCGGCGGCCGACGTGGCAGCAGCCGTCAGAACGGCGCCAGAAGCGGCCGGCGCAGGACTGCTGCACATGGTCCGGATCGTCTGTGAAGTACACTGTGATGCGCTTGCCTGCAGCCACACAACTGATTGTTGTTTGCAGAGCTCGGTCGGCTCTGCCACAAAACTCTCATGCAAGCGATTGAGGGCTTGTTGTCAGTGTGCTGGATTATGTGCTCCTGTCAAGCTCAAAGACACAGCTGGAGCATCAGGAGTTGCCAAGGCAGACAAGGCGGCACTGCTGAACGTGCATTGTGACTGAAACGTTCCCAAAACCCAGCATATTGCTGGAAAACAACGATATATAGGTCAGTGTCAAGCACTGGTCATGACACATCGAGTGACGAATCTGCATCACTCCATCAGTCTGATGCACTTATCACCATACTCGGAGTTGTGAGATCATCAGTGTCTGTCATGACATAGATGAGCAGTTGCTTCAGATGCATGGCACAGCACACACCTGTGACGTGGTGTATGAGGCCAATGAGCTCGTTCACCCGCCGCTTGTCGTCCTTGGGCCAGGTGCTGCCATCGATGATATTCTGCAGCGACATCAGCAGCCGGTAGACATCCCCCTTGCGCCACCAGAACTGCCGGTAGCACTTCTCTGCCAGAGGGATCTTTGGCAGGCCGCTCTCCAGCATCCACTTGGGCAGCCTGTAAACAGTACAGAGGCAACTATTTTGACAAAAGTGGTCATTCTGAGACGCGTGATTATGGTCTTCCATGCATGGCAGGCCGCGCTGCTGGGCACACTGACTCACATGCAAGCTTCATCAAGCATTGGATCATCGAGCTTGCAGGGGATACCCGTGGTGCAACAGGGCTTTGCCTGACAGGCTGGCTGTGAGTGAATGTGAGCGGCAGTCAGGGCAGCGTGCTCACCCATCCTCTGGGTCAAAGGGAGGACCGCCGATGCACAGGCCGTCATACTGCAGCGTCTTGTCCCCAAAGTCAGCATGCCCATAGTCTATGATCTTCCACACGCACTGCAGACCTTCCCTGTCGGTCCCCATCCCTTCCTTTGCGCTTGCGCCTTCTTGTGCTGGCACACTGCTGCCTGAGCCCCCTGCAGCACCCCTGCTCCCATCCAGGCACCCATTCTGACTCTGCTCTCGTAGGCTTAGATGCTCCTTCGCTGCATGCTGGGCTCCTGACTGTGTCAGCTCGATGGCTGACCAAACCTCAGGTGCATCCTTGATACTCTCTGTTTGGGGTGGATGTGAGTCAGGCTGACTGACAGCATCTGGCTGCCCCGCAGACGCAACTTGAGCGCTGGCAGCTTCCGGCAGCTTCTCGGCAGCCTGGGTAGGAAGCGGGTGGTGCTCCATGATGTTGGTCATGCGAAGGTCCCAGTGCCTGAAGCCCAGCTTCTGCGCCTCTGCCAGTGCGGTCAGCACCTGCAGGCAACATAGGAAGGTACGAATCCTGATCAATTTGCCCTTTCAATTGCTCGCAATGCCTTGCGCGCAGCATAAATTGAACCGCACAGCAGTGTAGAGCGTTATTCGAGGCAGTTCTGAGGACTTGACTGCACATTCTGTCAGGGAGATCTCAGGCTAGACTTGGCACGAGATAACATGAAGAATACATCCTTATTTGAGGTTCTGCAATGAATACAACTGACCTGTAGGAGGGCCTGGCGCAGGTAGTGCACATCCTGCACGCCACTGTGCTTGCTGCCCATAATGCTGGCCAGAGTCCTGCCATTCAGCTTCTCCAGGACCATGCCCCTGAAGCGGCCCCGGACTCTGGGCTTGGACTTGCCCTGCTCAGTCCCACTCCCTCGCTTCCCCTCATCCCTGTAAAGTAGACGTCCTGCATTGGGAGCTGTGCTGTGCCATTTTGATTTATGTCAGGGAGAGAGCAGGCACAGTGACAGCAATGCTACACACAAAACCCTGCTGATCAGCACCACAGAGTATGCTGAGGAACAGATGCTCAACGGCACTTCAGAACCTGCGCACCCTTTTGATACCTTCCGGGGATCCTTAACTACGTCCTCCACAATTAGCGCTGCCCCGACCCCCATGAAGCCCGGATGAGCACCTGCAGCTCACACACAGGTACAGTAATTCGCAGTGCCAACACGACAAGTCACAGGACAAACAGAAAACCCAAACGCATGCGAAGCAGCATGGTGTTACATGGCATTTCCAGGTCCACGCAGCAGCTACTTGCTCATACCCTTATTTAGTTATTGCATTCTCTAAAGATGCTCTAAAGAGGACATGCCTGCGGTTGTGCGGCAGTGCATGCCCAGGCGCTGCCCAATCGCCCATTCCCGCTCCATGCTGGGCAGCATGCTGGACAGCCACGCCGCGCCACCCGAGCGCATCGACTTCAGCACCAGGTTCAGGGGCCGCCCCCGCTTGTCCACCAGCTCAAACACTGCCCCCTGTGCCCAGGAAATCGACCACATGATTCTGTCCTATGTCACGCATCAGGAGCGTTGTGAAATAATTCTCTGCAATATTTGGTGGTGAAGTGAACAAGTCCTTTCACAGTTTTGCCTGTGTACCCCTGGTGATAGGGATGTGTTCGAATGCAGCCTCACCTGGATCCCCTCCCCAAGCATCTTCCCAACGAAGCAGGTCTCGGCGAGTTGGGCGCCCTCCTGCATGGGGAAGCCTGATGGCAACCTGACTGTGGCATCCCCTCGCTCTCCTCGGAACGAGGCAGTTGAAACTCTGCTGAATCTAGTGCCTGCCTCTTCGCTGCCCGTCTTTTCCATAATGTTTTTTAGCTTCCAAGAATCTAACGCGCGCAATTTGTATGCATGTTCGCCCTGCAATTTGTGGTGGGCATGCCCCGGCTGGAGGTCTATTTGTCCCGCAATCCTAAAAAATGGTGCACAGGTATCGCTTTTAAACAAAGAACTAATGAAAACAAGCCTCCTATGTTGTAATATGTCTTTCTAAGACAACTTAATTTCTGGAAAATGTACGAATCTGAGACTGGGGCTCGGCAATGCCTTGCAAATTGTGCCGATTGGGACCCTTGCATGTAATTAACAGATCACAGAAGATATATTTACAGTAATAACGGAGCATCTTCTGCATAGAGAAGATGCCCGAACGAATTCATACTGCAGCTGTGAGTAGTGCAGGCACCCTGAGCCCTCATGAGCAAACCCCCACAGCTGTGTACAAACCCTGCCGGCACTGCCGGCATCATGTTCCTCTTCACGCTGTTTGGCTTGTTTGCAGATGGTCTGCACAGGCACTTGCTGCAGAGGTGCCCTGGGGTTGGCCCGCAGTTGCGTACTGGCACTTGTGTACCAGATCTAGGCTATGCTGATGACTTTGCTTTGCTCGCCACCACACCTGCTCATTTGCAACGCTTGATTGATGCAGCTGGTGAGTTTTGTGAACAAACGGGAATGGTCATCAGTGTTGACAAAACAAAGATTGTGGTGTTCTCTTCAAGTTTGCCAGGACCTTTTCAGTGGCTTTGTGGTGGTGCGCCTGTACATTGGGTTCAGCAGTTTGAGTACCTGGGTGCCCTTTTTGACGGTGCCCAAGGCATTAATCTCACCTTTGGCAAGCTTCACAGGAACATGTGGGGTGCGTGGGCACAGCTCAGGCAGCAATATGGGAAGTTGCATTGCAGCATGTCAGCTGGCCTGCTGTTGCGCCTATATGAGGCATGTGTGCCGCCGACTGCCTCCTACGGTTGTGAGGTGTGGGGCCTGCGCAGCCTTCCTGGTGGCGACAGCCGGCGGGGCCGGGCTGCCTTGGCCTCCTCTCACCTGAAAATTCTGAGAGACATTGCTGGCGTCCCCACCTCTGTGCATGGTGCCATCTTGCTTAAGGAGTTGAATCAGCAGACCCTTGATTGTGTGTGGTGGCGGCGCATTATCAAGTTCTGGAACAATTTGGCTGCCTTGCCTGCAAATAATTTTCACAGGCAAGTGGCCCTTGATGATTGTTGGGATGCCATAACCCGTAATGTTAAGAATTGGGCTTGGGCCTTCATGCGGGGCTTTCGCCGGATTGGGTATGAGTTTGTTATTCGGTTTGACACCCTTGTTCCTGTGGAAGTTGATGCTGTGATGCAGCTGCTAGATGCGCAAGCACTGCAGGTTTGGAATGATATTGACATTTGCCCTAGGACCTGCCCGTCCAGTAATGCCACCTTGTGTACATATCACAGATGGTTTGCTAGGCCAGCTTGTGTGCGCCACCCTTGCCAGCTCTTACAGCAGCCTTTGAGTGCCCGTTGCTTGCGTATACTGTTGAAGTTCAGGATGGGTTGTCATAGTCTGCCCAATGTCTCGGGCCGCTGGGCCAGGGTTCCCCGGCCCCAGCGTTTGTGCATGCGTTGTGCCCAGCAGGTTCTTGGGGATGAGCGCCACCTTGTGTTTGAGTGCCCTGCCTTGCAATCTGTTCGGGACAGATATCCTGGGCTGTTTGGTGCAGCCATTGTGACGATGCAGCAATTCATGTGGCAGTTGGACATTGTTGGTGTTGCACATTTTGTGATGGATTGTTTTGATTATTTGGATTCTGTCAGTTCATCCAATCAGCCCTAGGCGGCTGGAGTGATGTAATCTTCCTTCCTTCCTTCCTTCCAGGTTCTATGGACTCACATAGTTATCCATGGCCTGCCACAATTTAAATTGAACACTGGGGTCAACACGCTTCTGATCTGCTCCAAAAGCTGCCATTTGGACCAGTGGTGCACGACAAGTTTAGGGTGAAGGGTCCTCGCGAGCTGACATTCTTCCCGGGCACAGCCGCGGGCCCTGTCTACGGCGGCTTCCCCTACGAGACCGAGGACGGCGCGCACGCCGCGCGTGTAGCCTTCCAGCCGCCGCACCAGGCCAGCGCTGTAGCATCCATAAACGGGGACACACCCATAAACGGGAACAGCACGACGCAGGGAACGCCGTCTTGCGCCGAACCTGCAGTACGGTCGGGGCACTCCATGCCAGCAGCAGGATCAGCGTCTGCCCCTGGGGAGGCAGGATTTAGCGACCGGCAGGAGGGCACCCAGTCTTTCTGCGTGTCAGCTCAGGAGCCGCATGTAGGGTGGATGGTGTACCGAGACTACACAAATGGGGGCCCCCAGTTCGTTCCCTGTGCTGCCGCAGAGGCAGATATGCAGCCAGACAGATCATCGGGCCATGTCAGCGATGTGGAATCCAGCCATCATAAGTTTGAGTGCCTGGCAATCTACCCTGACAAGGGAGATGGTCTTGCTGCAGTGAAGTGCCCTGTTGGGGCAGGCATTGCAGTGCTGGTGGGCACACACCCAGAACTGGACCCAAAATGGCTTTTTGCAGACATTGACAGAGTCCCAGCTGTAGCAGATGATCTAAAGCCCAACACAACACAGGGTGACAGTGGTACGTTAGATGTGCAAAGCGGATATGGTTTCAGCGGGAAGAGTGTGAGGGAGCAGCTAGAAAGGTGCAGGGCAGACCGAGGCTTGTTTTGGACAGTCCTACTGCAATCAGCAGGCCTGGGTTCTTATTGCAAGACTTACCATGGCCACTGTCCGTGATCACTATGTCCGAAGTTGTTACGCTGGTGAATGGATTGGTCTATGTTATCAACAAGGCTTTTTTTTTAAATCCAAAAAGCTTATTACAGTACAATATACCCTCCACATCACATGTACGCGCACAGACACCCACCCACCCACAGACACACATACACGCTCAAATGCATTTTGCGCTTGCGCACAATCACCTTGTGACAACTTGACTGTCTGCAGGGTTCAGCTGCAACATATTGTTTAGTACGACACAATGCGCAATTGCAGACATTTGTAGCCTGCAATATATTGATTATGCCTCTAAATGCGTGCCGCAAGTGAAGCAAACTCTATTTGCATGTACTAGAGATGCGAAGGCCACACAAATAATGTACATGGACTTATACCGTTCAATGCATCTGTTGTAACACTGCTACCTCTTCTTGTGCTCCTCGATGCGCCATCCACAACTGCTGCTGGCCGGCTGAAAAGTATCAGCGAATCACATTCATTGATGCCAGGCGCTCTGCCAATGAGCTGTGCTCCACAGAGTGGGGCGGGGCATCCCTGCCATGTGCTTCGTACCACTCAGGACGCCGCACCATTGCCAACATCGCTGCGCTGTACGCCTCCTCCAGTTCAGCAGTAAAATATTGGCTCTTTGAAGGGGCCCCTCCCGCTGCCCCACCCTGCTCTTTGAGCCAGCCCCGTGTCTCAGGCCTGCGAGGCTGGGATGTCTCCAGAGATGGTGGTGCCTCGGGTCTGCGAAGCTGGTCTGGTGGCTGCTGCTGACTGGGGCCTGCCACGTCTGCAGGCCCCTCGCTGCTGGGACCTGCAGTGCAAGCCGAGGTATGTCAGGACTGGGAGTCCTCAGCATCAAAGCACAACGTCATGCTTTATCGGCATTATTGGCATAACTCAATTCTGGCAGACTGATTCAGAATCTGACTACAGCCAAATACCTTCCATGTCAGATTTGTATCACCTGTGCCAGCAGTCACCGCTGCAAGGCCCTGCTGCAAGAGCGCCCGCATGCACCCCACTGCCAGCTGCTTCTTGTCGAGCGTGGCCTTGGTGATTGCAGCACAGTGAATCTCGGAGGACTGGTGCGCGCTCCTGTGCGTGATCATGTGGAGATTGAAGTCTCCACCAAATACGGGCACTTTGCGATTACCTATCCTAGCATCATGCTCCAGCATGAAATTCAAAGCAAGCTCCTCAGCCACTGTCTGCGGCCAGATGCTGTAGATGCTGCCTGCGAAAATGCAAGCACACAAGAAGCCCCTCAGCAACAAGAACAGTACTGCATTGAACTGCTGAGGGAGAAGTACTTTTCCATGAACTAGTTTTCCAAGAAGGAGACGAGATGCGCTGAGGGCTGCAACTGAGGACCCAAGATGCAATAGACAGGTCAAGAAACAATAAAAAGCAGTCTTGAAATGGAAGAGATCATCCACTGGATAGGAAGTAATGGAAAAGGAGAGTGTACAGGAATGTAAGCAAGAGCTCACCCTTGAGATCCTGAGTTCTCTTCATCTCATAGGCAGCGAGCACGCCAATTAGAGCTTCAATAAGCAGCCCTTCGCTTGGCTGCTTGCTGCCCAGCCTTTCCAACAATTTTTCCCCTTGCTCAGCGGTGACAAGTAAGATGTCTGTCTTACTTGTCTTGATGCTGATCCCATCGGCCAGCCAATGTGCCCGCATCCAAGCCACAGATGTCACCGCGACAGCAAGCACACCATGAGGGCACACATGCTTCTGCAGCCATTCAGTGGCTTTCTTGGCCTCCAGGTTGCTGGCCTCACCGGCCTCCCACCTGATGTAGCACATGACGTTACTCTCACCAACCAATACTTCACTCTCGTGTCAGTCTCCAGGGTGACCAACTTACAGCAGCTGTGAGAAAGTCAGGCACCTGTACGGCTGGATCTCAGAATGGACTGGCTCCACGCCTGCTATGCAACAGGGCAACTCCAGCCTCACAGCGGCTGTCATCTTCAAGCGCGACAGAGTGGTAGCGACCTTGCCGCTGTTGGCACTGGAAGCTGAGTACTCGAGCCGGTCGAAATTCCACCGTCTCAGTGATTCGCCCACGAGCCCTAACATATCTTCATCCATGAAAAGAGCTGCGTAATTTTCAGTCCGTGTTCAGCCAGCTGAAAGCACCGTGGATTTTGCAGAGTGCTATGCGAACGCATAGTCACAACCTAGTCAGTGCACGGTGGCTACCTTTGAAGCCAACAACGATGGTGTTCTTGATGGTGCTCAGCTCCGCATCAGAAGCCTCCTCTGTCAAGCAATAGAACGTTTAACAAAGATTCGCCAACCGCAGCCGTAATGTAGAATGGAACGGGTTGCGTCTGCCCAAGCAAACTCACCTGCAGGAGCAGGCCGGAACGTATATATACCGTTTGACACGGGATCGTCAAACCTCCTCCCAATAGCTCCATCTGGGCCTCCGATAATTCCTCTTCCCCAGCCTTCATCTTTTGCGGTATCGTGCATGTCACTGCCACGGGTGCGGCGTGGAAAGAAAATGCGTTTCGCTGGGTCCCTAGCATGTTCAAGCGTAATGTTGGGTGCCATGTTACCGGTAATTAAGCACCTTGCGAATTTAGACCCGAATAATTCATTCTGTTCCTATGCCCATCGAATCTGGTACGATTGAGGAAGAAGTAGTACTGGAGACAGCAATCCTGCAAGTGGTCGGGGCACTGATCACAGAAAGTGAAGCATTGCAACCAACATGACCGAAAGGGTTTTAGAGGTGGTTGCGACCATCTCTCGGCCGTCCTCTTTGCAGCTGTGAGTTGTTCATGCACCCTGAACGTTCATATAATATTATATTAGCAAACCCCCGGGCCCGGGGCTTTGTACAAAACCCTTGCATTGCGCTCAAAACGGCTCGCTTCTCTTGTGCAAGCAGCTCTAACACAAAGGTGTGTCTCCAATAAGGTATCCCTGATATAAAAATGGGATCCAGTCAGTTGTGCAGGTTCTGAAAGTCTGCAACGCCTTGATCATGTGAGTAGTTGACAAAACTGACACAATGGCTGGGGAGGTGAGAGTTTGCGGGGAAGTCAGAGATCTTACTAGAGTATTGGAGCACACTCGCACATCCGAGGCCTGGGTCTTGACGATGCTTTGGAGGCAAGGAAGGTGTCCCAGGGCATGGTGGGCCAAGTCCAAGCCCGAAGGGTGCGCTTAGAATGTCCCTTCCTCATAGCTTCAACGTCTAAAGATATAGCATATGCAAAAGTATGCATTTTACAGTCTGGGAAGCTGCGATGGGAGCCCCGACAAGGTCTTTGTTGTGAGGCAGCGGGGGTGATCTTGCAGATGATCAGGGAGGGCAGGGCAGCCTGGAACAGGAAAGACCGCCATTGCGATGGGTATGGCAAAGGCTTTGGGGGAGGAGACACCCTTCGCCATGATGGCTGCATCTGAGATCTTCTCCCTGAAGTTGTCAAAGACAGAGGCGCTCACCCAGGTAGTCATTGCTTGTCATGACAGCTGATTGAGCTATACCAGAGAAGTAGAGAAAGGTAATTTCTCTGGAGAAAACCTTTTCTCTCGCAAGAGAGAAGATTTTCGCCTTGGCAGAGCTGTTGGAGAAGAGAAGAGAAAAGGGATTTCTCTAGAGAAAATTCGAGAAGCCATCTTCTCTTCTCCAGAACCCTGGCTATACAGGCGTCGTAGTGTTGCAGAAGTGTTGCCTCACTGGGCAATTGTCCCTTGTTGTGATCCGCCAAAGGCCTGAAATGTAGCAATGCTTGCTGTCAGTGTAACAGTATCGCCCAACCCGCCAGAACATGCTGGACGTGTCAATTAGCTAGGGATGTCAATGGCAAACCACAAACTATATGCTGGCTTCACAGTAGCCCTTATGAACCTTTGCAGGGGAGAAGCTGAGTGAGAGCAGCGGCGGATGTGCGCGAGTTGTGCTCCACACTCCTCAACTGCTATCTCATCCAGGTAAGGACCGCTCTCGTTGAGATGATCAGCACCTTTTTCAGATAATTTCTTACGGGGAGCTGTCTTCTCTGCCCTACTGCCACCAGCTGAATGGCCGGGGCAACAGCCTAATCCGCGGTGAGCCACCGAGATCTTGCTGTGCTTGCGCGCAAGATCCTTCTGCACAAGCTTTCCCTTCGAGTTTGTGCTCGGAACTGCTGAGGTGCCGATTGCTGTGCCAGGCTTTGTGGAGGCTGGGGGTGCCTACCTGGGCCTGTGCGCTGGGGCCTACTATGCCTGCTCCTACGTGGAATTTGCCCTGGGCACAACGTGCGCTCTGATACCTTCCGGCAGCACCATGCGTGCCGGTCATTGAATGACACACAAATGCCCTCACCGCTAGCATCATGTTCCTCTTCAGGTTCTCCGAATGCAGACTATTATCCATGGCCTGCCACAATTCATATTGGACACTGGGATCAACACGCTTCTGCTCTGCTCCAAAAGCATTGCTGTGTGTGCGTGACAGGCTTGAGGTGAAGGGTCCTCGCGAGCTGGCATTCTTCTCAGGCACAGCCGCGGGCCCTATCTACGGCGGCTTCCGCTACGAAACCGAGGACGGCGCGCACGCCGCGCGTGTAGCCTTCCAGCCGCCGCACCAGGCCAGCGACGAAGCATCCGTAAACGGGGACACGCCCATAAACGGGAACAGCACGGCGCAGGGAACGCTGTCTTGCACCAAACCTGCAGTACGTTCGGGACACTTCATGCCAGCAGCAGGATCAGCATCTGCCCCTGGGAAGGATTTAGCGACCGGCAGGAAGGCACCCAGTCTTTCTGCGTGTCAGCTCAGGAGCCACATGTAGGGTGGATGGTGTGCCGAGACTACACAAATGGGGGTCCCCAGTTCGTTCCCTGTGCTGCCGCAGAGGCAGATATGCAGCCCGCTAGATCATCAGGCCATGTCAGCGTGATGTGGAATGCAGCCATCATAAGTTTGAGTGCCTGGCGATTTACCCTGCCAGGGGAAACGGTCTTGCTGCAGTGAGGTGCCCTGTTGGGGCAAGCATTGCAGTGCTGGTGGCACACACCTAGAACTGGACCCAAAATGATTTTTTGCAGACATCGACAGAGTCCCAGCTGTAGCAGAAGCTTCTTAAGATTTAAAGCCCAACACAACACAGGGTTAACGGTGGTACGTTAGATATGCAAAGCGGATATGGTTTCAGCGGGAAGTGTGAGGGAGCAGCAAGAAGGTGCAGGGCACACCGAGCTCGAGGCTTGTTTTGGACAGTCCTACTGCAATCAGCAGGCCTGGGCTCTTATTGCAAGACTTATTCTATGATAAGTCATGCATGGCCACTGTCTGTGATCTCTACATCTGAAGTTGTTACGCTGGTAAATGGATTGGTCTACTGTTATCAACAAAGCTAATTGTAGAATCCAAACAGCTTATCACAGTACAATATACCCTCCACATCACATGTACATGCACAAACACCCACCCACCCACAGGCACACACACACGCTCAAATGCATTTCGCACTTGCGCACATTCACATCGTGACAACTTGTCTGTCTGCAGGGTTCAGCTGCAAACTTGTTTAGTACGACACAACGCGCAAATGCAGACATTTGTAGCCTGCAATATTTATTATGCGTTCAAGTGCGTGCCGCAAGTGAGGTAAACTCTATTTGCATGTACTAGAGATGCGAAGGCCACACAAATAATGTACATGGACTTATACCGTTCAATGCATCCGTTGTAACACTGCTACCTCTTCTTGTGCTCCTCGATGCGCCATCCACAACTGCTGCTGGCCGGCTGAAAAGTATCAGCGAATCACCTTCATTGATGCCAGGCGCTCTGCCAATGAGCTGTGCTCCACAGAGTGGGGCGGGGCATCCCTGCCGTGTGCTTCGTACCACTCAGGACGCCGCACCATTGCCAACACCGCTGCGCTGTACGCCTCCTCTAATTCAGCAGTAAAATATTGGCTCTTTGAAGGGGCCCCTCCCGCTGCCCCACCTTGCTCTTTGAGCCAGCCCCGTGTCTCAGGCCTGCGAGGCTGGAATGTCTCCAGAGATGGTGGTGCCTCGGGTCTGCGAAGCTGGTCTGGTGGCTGCTGCTGACTGGGGCCTGCCACGTCTGCAGGACCCTCGCTGCTGGGACCTGCAGTGCAAGCCGAGGTATGTCAGGACTGGAAATCTTCAGCATCAAAGCACAAAGTCATGCTTGATCGGCATTATTGGCATAAGTCAGTCATGCGAGGTGGCTACCCTTGGAAGCAATAACAAAGGCGTTGTTGATGGTGCTCTGCTCCACAGCAGAAGCCTCCTCTGTCAAGCAGTAGAACGTTTAACAAAGATTCGCCAACCGCAGCCGTAATGTGCAATGGAACGGATTGCGTCTGCCCAAGCAAACTCACCTGCAGGAGCAGGCCGGAACGTATATATACCGTTTGACACGGGATCGTCAAACTTCCTCCCAATAACTCCATCTGGGCCTTCGATAATTCCTCTTCCCCAGCCTTTATCTTTTGCGGCAACGTGCATGTTACTGCCACGGGTGCGGCGTGGAAAGAAAAAGCGTTTCGCTGGGTCGCTAGCATGTTCAAGCGTTATCTTGGGTGCCATATTACGGGTATTCAAGTAACTTGCATATTTAGACCCGAATCATTCATTCTGTTCTTATGCCCATCGAATCTTGTAAAATTGAAAAACAAGTAGTACTGGAGACAGCAATCCTGCGAGTGGTCGGGGCACTGATCACAGAAAGTGAAGCTTTGCGACCATCAAGACCGAAAGGATTCGAGAGATGCGACCATCTCAGCTGTGAGTAGTTCATGCACCCTCAACCCTTATGAGCAAACCCCCACAGCTTTGTACAAACCCCTTGCATTGCGCTCAAAACGGCTCGCTTCTCTTGTGCAAGCAGCGTTAACACAAGGTGTGTCCCCAATAAGGTATCCCTGATATAAATATGGGATCCAATCAGTTGTGCAGGTTCTGAAAGTCTGCAACGCCTTGATCATGTAAATAGTTGACAAAACCGACACAATGGCTGGGGAGGTGAGAGTTAGCGGGGAAGTCAGAGATCTTACTAGAGTAGAGCGCATTGGAGCACACTCGCACATCCGAGGCCTGGGACTTGACGATGCTTTGGAGGCAAGGAAGGTGTCCCAGGGCATGGTGGGCCAAGTCCAAGCCCGAAGGGTGCGCTTACAATGTCCCTTCCTCATAGCTTCAACGTCTAAAGATATAGCATATGCAAAAGTATGCATTTTACAGTCTGAGAAGCTGCGATGGGAGCCCCGACAAGGTCTTTGTTGTGCAGGCAGCGGGGGTGATCTTGCAGATGATCAGGGAGGGCAGGATAGCTGGCAGGGGGGTGCTGCTGGCAGGGCAGCCTGGAACAGGAAAGACCGCCATTGCGATGGGTATGGCAAAGGCTTTGGGGGAGGAGACACCCTTCGCCATGATGGCTGCATCTGAGATCTTCTCCCTGGAGATGTCAAAGACAGAGGCGCTCACCCAGGTAGTCATTGCTTGTACTTCGTGGCATCACTCATCTCGGAAGCCTTCACCTGTGTCACATTTTAGCAACATGCAGCAAGCTGACAACTTGATTGTTTTCTGAGAACTTGCAGGCTTTCAGAAAAGCCATCGGTGTGCGGATAAAAGAGGAGACGGAGATCATCGAGGGGGAGGTGGTGGAAATTGAGATCGATCGGCCTGCAACTGGGAGCGTCTCAAAAACGGTGAAGAGTCTTACTCCGCCATTCGGGAGGGACTGCCTTGTGCCAGTGATGCCTACCTGCATGTGGCACATGAACTGCTCAATGCTGCATATCTTGTACATGTCCAAGAGCACTGCTGCATTTTCCTCCTGTTCAAAGGCTTGCTGCATGTCTGCATTGACACACTGCGGTTGCTGCGGCTGCCTAAGAGCATTTCAATCCTTGCCGTGACAGGGGAAGCTCACAATGAAGACGACAGAGATGGAGACCATCTACGACCTGGGCTCAAAGATGATCGAGGCACTGACCAAGCAAAAGGTGCAGTCGGGCGATGTCATCGCCATTGACAAAGCCTCCGGCAAGATCACCAGGCTGGGCCGCTCCTTTGCGCGCTCCAGGGACTATGATGCTATGGGTGAGCTTCTTGCACCGCCATTCGTGCATGCAACCTGTCAGCTGGGCAATCTTGTGTCCATTTGTCACGAAATTTTGCATATGGTACACAGCTTCAAGAGGCATCAATGCGGTTCCTGCTGAGCACCAATTCATCTCCTGAAAGTCATGCACATAAGCTGCAGGTCTTTGACCACATGGGCATGTCCCTCACAAAGACAACCCGTTACAGGAGGATTTCAATGTCACCGCGTGCAGGCCTTTCCGGAGGAGCGGTGGTGAGCCCCGTTCTGACTGCTGTGCAGGCCCGACGACAAAGTTTGTGCAGTGCCCAGAGGGGGAGCTGCAGAAGCGGAAGGAGGTGGTGCATGTGGTCACACTGCACGAGATTGACGTCATCAACTCGCGCACACAGGTGCGCGCCGTAGCTGCGAATCATGTAGTCTGCCTTGATGGCGCCATATGTGTCCACCTGACCGAGCCAGAAATTAACTGCAGATGGAGTGCGTACTGAAGCTCGCGCTTGAGCTGGGGTGTCCACATGCATATTTCTCTCTTTCATGAACAAGGCAGCAAGCTCAGCATTGCTGCCATTGGGTTGGATGCCAAGGTGAGGCAGAGATCAGGCTGTGGGCAGGGAGATTGAGCATGCAGTCTTCTTGCACCCTTTACAAAGTGTCGAAGGTCTTCACATCATTGATTTTCAAAGGGAAATATGAACTAAAGGCTCCTGGTTGATTGCAGGGGTTCCTGGCACTGTTTGCGGGGGACACCGGGGAGATACGGTCCGAGGTACGCGAGCAGATCGACTCCAAGATCGCAGAGTGGCGGGAGGAAGGCAAGGCTGACATCATCCCCGGCGTCCTCTTCATAGATGAGGTCAGCCCATACTCTTATAAGTACACAATTAATTGTTCCCCATGCCACTTGCATGCCTTTACTTTGCCGCTTGCTTATCGCGCGACAAATGCCTTCATCTCTTTGCATGTGCGAGTCTTGAAAACATCTTGCGGGAAATGCATGCTCGTCGCCTTGCATTAGGGGATTGCTGGGGCATGTTATGGTACAAAAAGATGCATCCCTTAAAATTACACTGTTGTGTCCAGGTGCACATGCTGGACGTGGAATGCTTCAGTTTCCTGAACCGGGCGCTGGAGAATGATCTGGCGCCCATCCTGGTGGTGGCCACAAACCGTGGTATCACCAAGATCCGCGGCACAAATTACCGGTCTGCCTCCAACTGTTTATTCTTTATTCCTACAGATGGCCACACATGATGTGATAGGCTGTGCTAGAGAGGTGTGCATGGTGCATAAATGTAGGCCAAATTAGTGGAGAGGAATGTGGTGGCATTGATGACATCTTAGGCTCGTTGGCTAAGCAACCGCTGTGCTGAGACCAATCATTATCTTTCTCTCGTCTGAGCCTTGCCACATTCCACTTGTGCATTGTCAAAATGAAGCGCTAGAAATCAAAGAACTTTTTAAATGCTCTGTCCCTTGAGGTCCTTATTGTAGAAGCAGTGGTGCATGACTCAGTTCAGAAGTGCATGGGGGCATTGATGACATTTTAGGCTCGTTGGCTGAGCAAACGCCATGCTGAGACCAATCATTATCTTTCTCTCGTCTGAGCCCCTAGCGTCCGCACTGTGCTCGCACTGCAATGCCTTCTTCCTGTGCAAAGTTATTGGGGTCCCAAAGTGTCTTAGTATGTTCTTTTCATACTTCATAACATTGCTGTCCTCTGCTAAAAGCTGACAGGTTCATATGGGTTTTTGTCACTGTGCAGGTCACCCCATGGGATCCCCATTGACTTGCTGGATCGGCTGCTCATCATTTCCACGCAGCCTTACACAGAGAAGGAGCTGCACACCATCCTTGAGATCCGTGCCGAGGAAGAAGATGTGGAAATGACAGGTGCACCCCACTGCCCCGCACTCCATGCATCTCTTCCTCCTACAAGATTTGAGGATACTTAGCAGGGTGGACAAGCTTCAGGCGATGCAGCCTGCACACAAGCAGCGCAAGAAACGATGGTCACAAAAGCTATTTATGGATGTGTGGGGTGACAAGTGTGGACTGACATGTGGCTGCTTTGTTGCGCAGAGGATGCGAAGGATCTGCTGACCAAGATTGGCGCGGAGACTTCCCTGCGCTATGCCATCTACCTCATCACAGCTGCCTCCCTCGTTGCCACCAAGCGCAAAGCAGCGGCTGTAGAGGTGGGTGCTTGCGCAAATTGTTTGCATTCCTTCCTCACGTTGAGTGTTGCATGGGGACTAGCGCTTCCTGCATCACGAATTTGCTGCAATCTGCATGCAGATCCGGGCTTCCCTTTTATCAATTTTGTGTTGTTCCACATCCAGGCCTGGAGTTGAGGGCAGTCTGCAACTGTTGAGCCAGTGCTGCTTGGAATGTCTTGACAATGTTCATGACGTAATCTGTCCTCCTTCAATGACTTGTATGGTTGCTGATACCCACACAGGTGGAGGACATTGGCCGAGCATATACACTGTTTGTGGATGTCAAGCGAAGCGCGCAGTTCATGATGGAGTACCAGGAGCAGTTCATGTTCAATGAGGTCCCCGAGATGGAGCCTGCAGAGGCTGACGGGGCTGCCATGGAGCAATGATGTACATGTAGTTTACTGTATACATGTCACATCACCTCCGTGGATATCCAATGGTCCCCTGGCCAGGTATGAGGTGGCGACCCGAGCATAAAGATCAAGGCTGCTGCAGCTGAGGCACTGGCTGTAAGGACCTTACAGCCTTACAGTAAGGTGCTCAGAATGGGAGTGGACCAGAACCCCTGTTGAAGATGACGTTTGCTTTAAAGCAGGCATTTCTTGCCATGATATCTTTGCTGAACGATTAAGCCTTCATGGTCTGAGTGATGACAGGACAACAAACGCATGAAACTTTTTTATTAGCCAAGATCGACAGTATTGATCACATGCTGCCTGCCTGATAAGAACGGTGGCCAATTTTAATTCCACATGTGTACACTGTCACCGTGTTCAAAGAGTTTTTGCAGTCGATATCCGCAAGTTACCCACTTACAGTATTCGTTGGCCTGTCAGTGCCCTAATGGTTCCTGAGCAATGCACAAATTCCAAAAAGGTATACTCAACGCAATATATTTGCCTCTATAAACAAGAGCAAGCCTATTTTTACAAATTGGGACAATCCTAAGCTCACTTCTTGCGCGCCAAAACCTTTGCTGTTATGTCTGTCAAAGCTTGTCTGCACAATGAAGCATGCTCTGTTGCAGCAGGGGGCATGCTCGCCACCTGCACTCAGCATGAAAGCCACCATAGGTACCCCAGCTTGACTCCTTATTGATCCACCCCAGACGCAACGTGCAAACATCCGTAGGCAATAACAGAACAATGGAATCGGACACCACATCCGCAAAAGAAATTGAGCAGGCATGCCAGCAGTCTCCACAACACGGTGTGTAAGCCAACCATGTGCTGATCAGCAATCACACGGGCAAGACATCAGCAAGGCCATGATGAGTGTCCCATCATGGAAAAATTGGCGCAACTCACCGCTTGTGCAGCGAGCGCAGCGTGCTCAGCGGCCAAGTCGCGCGCTCGCTGGATGCCCTGAGAGTCGAACACTAACCGCTGCGCGAGCTCCACATCCCCCTCGCTCTTAAACTTCCGCAGCACCAGTTGCCGCAGCTGCAGGCGCAAGCACACAAAGGAATCAGCCCAAATCCATGTGCGCCAACGTTTCAACGAGCTGCATGTGCTGCTGTCATGAGCAGGACACTGCGCATACTGGCAATGACTACTTTGGGCCACACACTGACTCTGCACCTCATTTACACACGGCCCAAGTTATTGCAGACATGCTTCGATTTGGTAGTGGTGCAGGAGCACAGCAGGCACGTCATTCAGGCTCACGCCTCAGATAGAGGACTTTTCGTAACTGTCTCTCAGAGAGTGCAAAGAATGTGTAGACAGGGGCTCAGACTTTCTTTTTATGAGGGAGCAATCCACCTGCGGATGCTCCTCAGCTGCGAAGATTACTGGCGCGGTCGCAAGGCCGCTGCGCAGGTCGTTAAGGGCGGGTTTTCCCAGCTGCAGCGTGTTGCCAGTGAAGTCCAGAATGTCGTCCACAAACTGCAGACGCAGAACTGTGACATTCAGCTCACTGTATATGTCATTTTAGAGTTTCAGCAGCTGCAGCATCTCCTCGGTGGTGATCACACATCCTCCCAGCTGCAGGGAAGCGCTTGGAAGCATCTGCATACTGCAGACCTCAGGGGGTGAAAAATACAAAAGCCATGGCTCTTGATTGTTTTTCACCTTTCAGGATATAGTCAACATGGCCTGCCATGGCTCTCCAGTGTTTCACCCTTTGGGATACAGTCAATTGGGCCTCCCTTGGCATTTAACTCTTTTCTGACATTCAAGATGCAATCGAGAGGGCTGCTGACAGGACACGAAGTCAATGCAATGGTCACCGCCAGGAAGCAAAGTTCAAGCACTGATGAAAGTTTCTTCCCCCAGAGCAGACCTGGAAGGCGAGTCCCAGGTGGCGGCCGTACTGCCAGGCCAGCTCTGAGACGTCGGTGGGCTGGCCGCCCAGGATGGCAACGGCCTTGCTGCTGTTGGCCATGAGCGAGGCCGTCTTGTGGAAGGTCTTGCGCGCATAGTGGTCCAACGACAGCAGGTCCTCATCCGTCGATGTCATCTGCGCACATGCCACCACATGCCTTAGTAAGCCACCGCATGCCACTGTTGACCAATTCACCCTTTGCATGCCCTGGGTTAAGATGCTCAACACCATTTTCAAGCTTCACACCATAGGCATGTACCAGCGCAGAATTTGAACATTTGGCTTTGCTGGAGGACATGACGAGCACAAAGAAACACTCTAAACAGCCACTATGCTTGTGAGAGCTCAGCCACTGTGCTCTTACAGGCAGACACAAGGCAGGCACAAATCCAACCGTAGACATGCAGATCTAGCACCATCATGAAAGGATTATTTGCTTGCATGATGACAGCTCTGACTTCTTGAACCTCCCCATTTGGCAGCGCATGCAAAGATTACAGCAGCACTCATCAAGAGGAGCCTCGCATCCATGCATTATTACCGGTAAGATACAAGGAATTTCAGTCAGGTGCAGAGCCCCACCTGCAGGATCTCGCCGGTGACTAAGTCCTCGATGACCTGGCTCAGAAGCTGGATGACATCGCTGTTGCGCAGGGCCGCCAGTGACACACTCGCGCGCGCTAGGAGGAAGTCGCCCGCCAGGATGGCAATCTTGTTGCCAAACACGCTGTTCAGCGCTCGCAGCCCCCGCCGCACCTCTGCACAATGCAACATTCACCCTTGAGGGCTTGCTTCACCTACACGGGGCACAACCTTTCCTATCTCCAGCTGTACCTAGCACACACGTAGCATGTGCCCGCATGTCTTGAATAGCATGTCAGGTCATGTGAAAAATCTTGTGGAAAGTACTCGAAGGCTGATTTGAGGTCATCTGTATAAGAGCGATTGCAAGGAGAGTAGGAGGTTGAGACCATGCTCTTTGTATGTAAATGCTGACCTGCATTGTCGATGACGTCATCATGCAGCAGGCTTGCCACATGGATCATCTCGGTGATCTCTGCTATCCTCTGCTGCCGCCTCCGCTCCTGCACGCAAGATGCTTCGTCAACACCGATTCAGAACCGCAGCTGAATCCTCATATCTTCCGATATGTATGAAATGGTACAACCAAACTTCAGCAAGCTTTAAATACATGCCAGCAAGGATCCATTCAAGTGGGAAACATGTGGCATTCGTACTGACCTCGCTGGGGTGCACATTGGGCGGCCTGTCATCGACAGTAAGGAAGTCTGGGCTGGGCACGTAAGCAGACAAGGAGGAAGCCATCAGCAGCAGCATTGTCGGCCGGAGCCGCTTTCCCTCCGCGCCAATCTGAACACAACCCAGTTTTTGTTCAATATTTAACACAGCAGGGCTACCTCCCCTTCACAGCTCCTGCTCTCCATGAGGCATGTGAGGCATAGTAAGTAGAAAGAAGTCCTACATGCCTGCACGAGCCAGCATAGCATGCTAAGACACCGAGTCGTGCACGTACATACTGTAGAATACATGGCTGGGCAGGAATACCTTAAAGAAGTACTCGGCTGCACTTCGCAGAGTGGGGATGCCGGTAAAAACGGAACGCCGCAGGCGCTCAGAGACGGATTCAATCTCCTCTTTCACCAATGAAAACGGGTCGACTGGCTGAGCTCTGTACAGACTTTCCAATCCCTGCAAGCTCACAATTGACACTCGCTGCTAGAAGAGCCACTGGCTGTGTTCTGTGTCAAATGACCTCCCACAATTGTCAAAACTGCTCTAGTGACTCAGAAGAGTAAGATCAAGAGGCAAAGCATTCAGCAAGCTTGTGCGCAGGACAAGCAAATGTATGCAGTAATGAAGCCCACCTGTGTAAGAATAGAGGAATGCGCATGGCTGCCAGCAAAATCTCTGGATTGCTGCTGCTGTCTGCTCTCTCTGCAGTGGCCTTGGGCCAACTGAAGCAATGGCCCTGGATCTGGCGCCCACAAGAGGGCAGGTCCAGCCCGTAATGCCTCTGTGGAAGCACATCAGCGTAGTTACACTGAGACATTAGCCTCAAAGCTTGTCACACTGAAGCACATGTGGCTGTCACGGTGTTCTGCATTCTTCAATCCTTGGCATGCTGGGCCAGATTGATTCCCAGAACTTCACTTCTGGACAAGATATTCCCATAGTCATTCAAAGGGATGATGAAGAGATGTTCGGTCGGCTACAACAGAAGGACAAAAGGCACTTGCTCACCTTCTTGCGAAGATCGGGCGGAGCACGATCTGATCAGCGATGCAGACGTAAGACTAGCTCTTCTCATCTACAAATAGCTGAGGGTACTCAATGTATAGAACACCCTGATACAAGGATGTAATTCCGCTACTAGTGCAGCAAACCCACGAAACACGCCGATCTGAACCTTACAAGGATCAGCAGAAGCTCTCACTGGCAATAATGCTTGCTCTAAGTCGAGAGATATTCCAGTTTTCTCCATTTCTGAGCTGCTAGGTGCAAGTAATCAGGCATCAGGTAATGATGAGTCACACCGGCAAAGGTGCCAAATTAAGCGACCGCAGACCACCAAATTGGCCAGGGCGGCTGCTGGGCAAGGCAATCGCTGCAGCCAATTCCTGGGCACATCGAGACCGACAATCCAAGGTGCTTATTCTGAAGTTGAGCGTATGCATTAGCTTATGGAGCTAGCTTGCTTCTTGTGCTAAAAGCGAGCAACAGGATTGCTATGCCTTTATCATTTGAGAATGTTTTGATTGTGATGTGCAGATCATGGCTGACCGTGGTCCACCCCGCGGTGACCGTGGCGATCGTGGAGACAGAGGGCGCGGCCGTGGCCCCCGCAGGCCTCGTGGCAGGAAGGATGAGGAGGAGAAGTGGGTGCCCTGCACCAAGCTTGGCCGTCTCGTACAGCAGGTGCTCCCCTCATCCAGATGAATAGGATCAATTGGTCGTATCAAATTCATTCACTTTGATCAGGATTGCAAAGTCCTGGAAGTGGTCCTGAACAGAATTGTCTCGATCCAAACCTTTGTGGTTGATTCCTAAGAAGAAAACGCAGGAAAATGTTATGAGGCCCAGGAGGTAGATGTATGCAATGGTGTAAATGTGCCCGTTTTGTTCCACAGGGCAAGATCAAGAGTCTGGAGCAGATCTTCCTCTTCTCCCTGCCAGTGAAGGAGTACCAGATTGTGGAGAACTTCCTGGGCTCAGCGCTCAAGGACGAGGTCATGAAGATCATGCCCGTGCAGAAGCAGACCCGTGCTGGACAAAGAACGCGCTTCAAGGTGCGGAGCAGCCGAATTGCAGGAATTAATTTGGTACAAGCTGGACATCTAGGGGAGCTTGCACCGGGGCATTTGCGGTGTGGTATTGGATTCAATGGAGTTCTGCATAGCGGCATTGCTGAGAGTGTAGTGCTGGTGGCTGCAGGCGTTCGTTGTGGTGGGTGACCACAATGGACACGTGGGTCTGGGAGTGAAGTGCGCCAAGGAGGTGAGCAGCTCTGTCTACTGCTGTGATGGGCGACAGCCAAGTAGAGTATAATTATAGGCAGGACTCCTTGGAGATCATATAAGTGTAGCGGTGTGGGCCGCCGTTGCTTTGAGCAGTGTGATCTGGCCATGCCTTGGACGCAAGGCAGTCCTCGCATACCTCTACTGATGCCGCAGAAAATTAGCCAAGAATATTGCAAGGAGAGGCAGTGCTAGAGCAGTGTTTTGATGTAACTGAATGCATGGCTTCAATTACAGAAATAGTTCTCAGCGGAGTACCGGTCTGAGCGGTTGTTGCTTATGGTGACAGGTGGCGACTGCCATCCGCGGCGCCATCATCCAGGCCAAGATGTCTGTGGTGCCCGTCAGGCGTGGCTACTGGGGTAACAAGATCGGCAAGCCCCACACAGTCCCTACCAAGGTGCGCTCCCACAAAGGCTTCTTCAGTATGACCAGCACCTGAACCTGCATTGCTCAAGCCTAAGCACCAACCGCTCAAGGAGATCTTGTGTGGCTCATTGCTGCAGTGCAGTGCTTGCATCCCAAACTGCTGGACTGCCTTGTTGATACCAACAAGGCAGGGCAGCACAGAGCCAGCATTCATTAGTCATGTTACCGACTGCAAAAGGACGGGATGCCTTGTGGGGTTGAGACTTGTACAAGGTGGGGTATGTAGCTTGAACGGGTGGCTTGCTTGTGTCGCAGGTGACTGGCAAGTGCGGGTCCGTGTCTGTGCGGCTGATCCCTGCCCCCCGTGGTGCCGGTATTGTGGCCGCTCGCACGCCCAAGAAGGTGCTGCAGATGGCTGGTATTGAGGACTGCTACACCTCCGCCACCGGCTCCACCAAGACCCTTGGCAACTTTGTCAAGGTGGGGCCCTTTTCCTGCTGTCAAGACATTCTTTCTTGCTGATGCGTAGCTGCATTGTGGCGGCATTGATGACACTTTAGGCTCGTTGGCTGAGCAACTGCTGTGCTGAGAACAATCATTATCTTTCTCTCGTCTGAGCCTTGCCACATTCAGCTCTCTAGAATTTCATGTGTGCAGAGCTTATCAACGTCTATCTCAGAAGGCTTGTGCCAGAGGATAATACTTGTTAGAGCAGTGATGTTGGACTCATTTTGGAGGTGCATGGGGGTAGTGAAGACATTTTAGGCTTGTTGGCTGAGCAATCTCAACGTCTGATGTCTTTCCTTGACACAGGCGACCTTCTACGCGCTGCGTGCGACCTACGGGTACCTGTCCCCCGAGCTGTGGACCGCAACCCGCTACACCAAGTCGCCCATGCAGGAGTTCACTGACTTCCTGGCCAAGCCCACCGTGGGAGACATCCCCCGCGCGCCACCCGTGACCACCTACTGAGCGCCTGCTGACTAGGATGCACGCCTGATTAGGACGCGTGCCTTCTGCCTGTTCGGGAGTTGTTCCCTTTGGGACACGTGCTGTTTGGGTGGGACCAGACTGTGCGCCTGGTCGGGAAGGAGACTGCTTTTGTGAGGGTGAATCACTATCAGGGCGAGAGGTGGCTCTGGCATGGTGCCCAGGCAGCTCTGTCTGGGCAGGAGATTGTTTGAGTGGGGCTGCTTGGATGTTCTCTTGGTGATTGTGGGGTAGGCCAGGATCATCAGGTAGTTGTTCATGCGGCATTCCAGAGATGGCTTAGGACCTGAGAGCTTGCTGACCCAGTCGGCTCAGGAACAAGTGTTATGCAAAGTCACCTGATGCGCCAGGGTGTCTCTACGCCTGAATGCAGCCTGCGCTATATTGAGTTTGATAGCACGGCAATGCTAAGCTTTCAACATGTCGTGGGTGATCTTCTGATCGTGAGCGTGTTCTTCGCTTGACCAGGAGGTCGTGTAAAACAGTCTTGACATCACTGGCGACCTCTGCCACTGACATGGCGTGCACATGCATATGCAGCAACTTATCGCAATTCAACCACTGGGCCTTTGTAAAAACCCACGGTGCCCGAGACACTTCAGGGAGGTTCGGGTTTTGGAGGTGGGAGTTTGTTGTTCGTTTCAGTGTGTGCCTGGCTTGAGAAGAGAGGAGTGTTCGAATTAGTTTGAAGTGGATTGCTACTTGAGGTGTATCGCCAGGCCCCGCATGAAGACTCGCTCAAAGGGCAAGGCACCAGAGATACTTGAGCAAGACAGTCAGCTTGTTCGTAAAGCCCCTACACGCGCCCGCAAGCTTTTGACTCGTGGCACTGAAAGTATTGTGGTTCGTAATATTGCAACGATAGCAGTGTAGCTGAAAAGTAGCTATTAAGTTAAGTTACTGACGGAAATTGCAACTGACACAGTAGGGAGCAGGCTCCTTCAACATATCAGGAGAAAGTTGAGGAGCTGATCAGTATTATTCCTGAAACAGAAGCGCTCCTGAAAGCACCAATGAAGGAAATGGAAAAGATGGAACACACCATGTAAGTGTGCTTGAAGCCATCAGTTACATAGGAAACACACAGCCATGACAAATTCGTGTTCTGCTTTCTGCTTGTGCTGAGCTTGGCTGCCTAAAGCCTTCAAATGCCTTGAATAGGTCATTGGTCGAGAAACGGGCTGCAGAAGGAGCTTTCGAACACTGCAAGCAAACTGAGATCTGAATTTACAAGGATGCGAGGCTCCATTTAACGCGACCCCAAGAATTATATTCCATTCAGACGTTCGTGCATTGATCTGTTGTCAACAGCATCCTTCTAAGGATATTCTGTCCTTTGCCTGAAAGTTTCAGTTGAATTTAATTGCAAGAGTCGAACGGTAAAAGGACAGGGTACTAATCTTATAAGTTATACCAGGATTTAGGGTTCCAACAATGGCAACTAGTAGCCATCGAGGGCATGCCGACGACCAAGGGTGACCTTCACAGCCACTTGAGCTGGTGTGCATAGGCTTCCAGGTCAGACTTGCTGGGGCTGAGCTGACTGGAGCTGTGCGCTGATGAGAGGCGCTGCATGAAAGCTGGCAGAGGGATTGTCAGGGGCGAGAACGTGCAGTCCGCCAGCTCCTTCTCCTGCGCAGCGGCATTTAGCACCCCTTGAGTGCATGCATGTTACGAAGTAAAGCTGTGGATGCACTTTGTCTCTTTTGTTGCCTCTTGAAAATGTCTCAATGAAGCTCGGCAAAGTAACCACTCAATTGTATTGAGTATTGCCCCAAGCAGAGGGCCCACCCACCGCATGCGTCAGCCTCTTCTATCTTACATTACGATTGATGGGGACTTGAGTGAAAGCATTGGCACTTCAAGCACGTGTTGATCCATGCATTGAATGCGTTCCCGTCGGAAAGTGACTCATGATTATCATTAAGGAATGACTTCCCCGCACCTTCCGTTCCTCGGCCGCCGCCCGCCGGGCAGCTTCCAGGCGACGCCGCTGCGCCTCCTCGTGCGCCAGGTAAGCGCTAGGGTTGGCCAGGTCCAGCAGGGGCCGCGAGTTGATGGAGTAGCAGGGGTTGATGCTCGGCGCGAAGGTCAGCTGCACCTCCTCTGCTGCTAGCCTCCCCAGCCGCAGCTGCTCCTGTCACCAGACACCATGCGCATCTTATGATCATAATCCTCTTGCATTCCCACGATCTTCCTCTCTTAACCGCTGGAAGCCTTAGGAAAAGCAGTGACTGTCAGCATGTCTGCAGCCGTCTTGGCCTCGCCTGGAGCATGTCCCTGGCTGCCAACAACAGAGCATGACATGGAAGACAGCACACTGTTCCCATTTGTCAAACAGAAAACACTCTACCAGTGCCCCGGCATGTTTGTGCAAGACAGGGTTCCATTTGGATCCAAATCTGGAAGATGACTGGCCTGGAGCAGAGTAGCAAGTTGGAAAATTGACTGTAGGGGGTGGGTGTCGACATGCAGTTGCGTGTGCTGAAAGCTGTAGAGCAAAACGAAAGAGTGGATGCAATTGAAAGGCAGATCCAGGGAGGATGGTACCAGTGTGCGCTCCCGCTGCAGCCGGCCACCTTCATGCAGCTCCTGCACGGAGCGGGGCTTCTTCCTTTGCGCGCGGCGAGTGATCTTGGGCCGGAAAGTCTCGTCCAGGGACCAGGTCTGCGTCAGGGGACCTCCCCTGCCGCCATTCTCCTTGCCGGCCCTCTGCAGGGAGCCCTTCCTCTCGACCTGCGCACATTGAACGCTCGCATGCACATTGAGACCGCTGCTGAAGAGGCACAGCATGGCAAAAGTGTGCCTCTCACTTTTGAAGCCATCTTCACAGCTACAGTTTGACAGGTGCCGTACTTGGCTAAAAGACGTTTGCAAATGTAGTAAAGCCAGCTGGCTTGCAGATGCTGGGCCGGAAAGTTTCACATTAATCAAAATTCAAAGTCCCAAGGAGCGCGTGTCAAACAAAAACTGCCACATGCAAGGTCGGATCTGGAGGTACGCAGCACGTTTCAGGCTAATGGCGGCATGGCAACCCTGCGAGGAAAGTAAAGAGACTTGCCTTGACACTCTTCCACTGGCGCAGCAGCGACCTGCTGCCGGGCGAGATGCCGATGGTCTTGCCCAGCCGCCGCGCCGTCTGCACGCGCGTTGCCTCCACCTTCCTCGATCGCTCCTGCTTGACAGCACGTCAAAGGAACCTCAATCACTGGCACAGCTGCAGCACTCTCTGACAAAATTGCGTAGATATGACTGCGCAGGCTAGGTTAAGCTGCTCAACTCGCGCGCAAGCTTGATCTGCTGCACCAGCGGCTGAGGGGTGCGTCCGTGAGTTTTTTCAAGCAGAAGCAAGTTGGCAAAAGCACTCCAGCAGCGCACAGCAAGCTTGCCGAAAAGCTTCCAGTGCTGGTTGTCATAAGGAAAGGCCATCACCTCCACGAAGGCCTTCTGTCGCTGCAGAAACTCTTCAAAGTCCAGATCAGGCGTCAGGCCGCCGGTCGGCCCCTGCAGCTGCCAGGACAGCTTCTCTCCACCTTCCACGCCCGATTTGGCCGCTTCCTTTGTGTCTGCCTCGTCTGCAACGGCTCCCCCTCCCAGCGCCAGCTGCGCCAGGCTGTCAGCGATGGCGGGCGCCTGTTCTGGCGCATCTGCTGAGTCATCGTCAGGCTGGCGCTCATTGCCTGCCCCTGCCAGTTGCAGCAGCGCCGGAACCTGATCAGCCGTCAGGCTAGCGCGGCGCAGAAACCTGCAACAGCACAAAGTTGTACACTTTCAAATCTCAGGTACAGCAGGCCGTGGCAATGCATCTTTTCAGATGACCTTGCATCAATGAGGCTCTGGTAATGAGCACCCCAGCACAGACTCGGGCTCTCATTCACAAGGTCCAATCATGGCACCAAAGCTTGCCAAGGACGCAATTACTAATCAGCACTGCCACTCGTATTGTCCAGGACTTTCAGCTAGAAGGGAGGAGGGGAACATGCATGGCATTGGTGTCTCTCCAGACCTAGATCTGGCAGACACCCACAAGAAGGGTGCATGTTTGCATGCCGAATTTGCTGACCTGTTGAGGGCTTCGTCAGTGCTGATGCTGGCGTGCTGGGGGTTTTGCCTCCCGGCCAGCGTCCCCCGCTGGCGCCCATGCAAGCTGTGGGAGCGGGGGGCCTGCGCTGCCGAGCGGCTGCGCCACAGCGTCTTGGGTTTGAATGTGCACTCCCTCATCAGCTCCTGTGCATGCGTGCCAGCGCTCTGTTTCAGCTCTCAGAGGCTGTTCCTCAACGCAGTAATGATGTCACCAATCACTGCTAAACAATTTTGCTTCAGTCATGCCCCTTGGCCATGACAGCACCTCCTGACTATGATTAAAATTGCCTGAGACACACTGATTTGACTTTGTCATACCAAACGTCATCTATAAATTGATCTTGTTCAGGAATGGCAGGCGGAAAGAAAAGTGACAATGCAGTGCAGGTGGGGGTGGATATGAAAACCTGGTAGGCGGGGTTGCGGCGGCGGGGGGAGATGCTGCGAGTGCGGATGAGGGTGACCCGCGTCTCGGCTCCTGCCCCGTAAACGGAATGCGGCAGGCTACGGGCCCTGGGAGCAGCCGCCCTCATCTGCTCCAACTCCTCCTTCAGGCCACACCATGCGTTATGTCATTTTGACTCATGAATCCTCCTATTCATTTGAGGTGTTCAAGTGAAAGGGACGCAGATATGCCAGTGTTACAAGGAAAGAACATTCATGTATGCAAGGCTTCAGGACGGTCCCATCTCTTTTGCGAGCCTAGAGCTGCTAGCAGAAATTCTGGGGCTACTTTGAGTCTGTTCTGTTCTTGGTAGCAGGCGCCAAGGCATCGCCCAAGAGGGCTGCACAGCCCTCACATGTGTGCTATCTTGGCTGCAGCAGAGCACATATGCGCGCCTTGCTGCCACTAGAAACTTTTGAGGTAAGCCGGGCTTCACCTGGATAATCAGCTGCGCAGCAGTTCTCTGGCGTTGGAGGGACTTCAGAGCCTCCGCATACATTCGCTCCCCTGCCTTGATGCTGGCATCTTCTCTTGGTGTCTCAAAATCCCCTGAAGCAGCGTCCTTCCTGCTGCTGCCTGCTGTCTTTCTGAGTTGCCTGTCTGACGGCTTCACCTCAGAACCTGCACGATGTGTAGGGCTTCTAATACTGGGGTCCGGAGAGGGGCTGCGGAACGGGTCGCCGAACGACTGTAGTGAAGAAGTGCTGCGTTGGTCTGCAAGCCTGGGCGTCCTTGGAGGCTTGCTTTTCCCTGCATGCTTAAAAAGTGGCTATAAGATTGAGAAAGCAGCTGCCTGTGCCAGTCTAATCTTAGCATCCCTTAAGACTGCCCTGTGACAACAGCAGCCTGAAGATGCTTGCAACTGCGATCACACCGTTAATTTTGAGGCAGCTTGAGCTTGTGCAGAGAAGCGCAGGAGCAACACCTGGAAATTGTTTCCCTTGAAATTGTTTCCAGGGCGAGAAAACAGCGGCACCAACATCTGGGCTAAGATTATCCTTTTTCTGAATGGACAGACAATGCTGCATCAAGCTGTGTGCACACCTTGAGCAGTCACTGGCTTGGGTGCATCGTTTGCGGGTGCAGCCCATGACAGCTGTCCTTTGAGCAGTGCATCGTTTCTGGCGCGATTAGTGCGAGGGGTGAAGCTGCACTCTGCCTCCTCAGCCGCCTGCCGCTGCGCCCTCACCGCCTCGTGCCTGCGCGCATTTCGATTCAGTCTCTCTGGGAAATCTACAAGCGCGGCCGCATTCATTTGGCGAAAGCCTGTTGTGGCATGCCTTCCCACCTTCAGCACACCAGCGGCTGCATGCAGTCTGCGCCAGAGGGATGTCGGCTTGTTTACGGACTTGAAAATTCTCCAGACACAACACCTAGCGACAGCGGCAGCTGCCAGGCAGCTGCAGCACTGCTTGCTGTTCTTTGTAGGCCCATCTTCCATTCCCTCAGGGAATTCTCCTGGGCTGACCTCCGCATGCATGAGACTTGCGGGTGCAAGTGTTGTCGATGCAATATTGCCGGGTCTCAGGGTATATTACCTGCGAGACGCGCGCTCCCGAGCGGCCACGGCACGCGCGTACATCGCCCTGGCGGCGTCCTCAGGCGTGGGGCCACCACGGAACTGCAGGGGTGGCTGCCGGGGGGACCTAGTGGCCTCCGTGTACTCGTAGGGCCCCCCGCCGAGGGGCCCCGATGCACCTCCCTGCCTGATAGCTGCTGGTCCTGACAGCACAGACAAACTCTTTAGCCTCATCCTCGCTACTTAATATAGAAATAATCCAGGAATTTTAACAACCGAAAGCTTGGAACGCCTTTGGACACCTTGCATGCCAATTCTGCTGCCCATACTACGCAGCATGGGTGCGTCAGGGGTTAGTCCAGTTGGTGACATAGGATAATGTCATTCCTACTCCTCCGGCAATGTTAGTGGGTGTTTCTGATGATGTGAGGGGGTTGGGAATCACTTGTGACGCCAGCAGGCGCGGCTGCGGGCACAGCAGTGCCCCGTCCGTTGTAGAAGGTGTGTCCGTTAGACATCCCATTGACTGCGCCATTGATCAGCTGCGGCTCTGTTGCTCCACCGGCAATAGTGACAGCAGCGCCCAGCGCATCAGGTCCGCTAGCCTGGACCTCTGGCATGGAGCTTGCCCCATTGCTGTTTGCAGCAATGTGCCCCGCTAGCTGCATGCACAAACGTTTCCAGCCTCAGGCCTGTGAGGTACTGCTGGTGTTGCTTGTGAGAGCATGTTTACACAGCAGCAGCACATTGGAAAATGCGTGCATCGCACAACGTGTCACAACATGTGAAACTCCTAACAGCATCAGCAGCGTGCAGTGTGCCATGCAGACTTCTGATCAGGTCCAAGAAAGTTTTGGGAGATGCCTGGGAGAATGAGAGAGTACCTCTTGGGATGCGAGGAGGTGAGCCAAGACGGCAAACTTGTTGTCTTCTGCTGCAGAGGACTGCTGGACCCCTTTGGAGGGATGCCCGTCGATGACAGCCTCACGGAGCTGGCCGCTCAACGTTGACTGCGGCGTGCAGGAGGGTGCCCTTGTGCCTGCAGCAGCGCGCAAACCCGGGGTGTCCTGTCCCGCTGCCTGAGAGATGCCTTGACTGAGATGCGAGGTGACTGTTGTCCCATTCGCTGCGCTGTCAGCTTGCGCAACAGAGCGCCGCTGTTGAGTGGACTGGGGATCTTCGCTTGGAGCGGCATGCGTGCCCTCATTGAACAGCGGCCAAGCGTGGGAGGCCTCATATGGAGTGGAGGTCTCGTCAAGCCCGGCATTTTCTCCATTGGTGGCACTTGGGACAGCTGACGAAACAGCAGCAATGTTAGCCGTATTTCGATCGTTTCCATCGGCTGAGGTGGTGCGAGCTGCTTTGATGAGATCTGAAGCCCCATCGTCTGGCCTGCTGCGACGCCTGAAGCTGCCAATCGTCTTCATGGAGGCCAGCAGGCTGCCCGTCCACCGCTCTGTGTCCGTCACTGGAATGTACGCCGATGAAGAAGGACGTTGGCTCTTAGGTCTGGGAGATCTGCAATCTTGTTTTGGCAGTAGATCAAGGACATCTTCACCGGTTTCCAGCTGGCCACCTGTTGTTCTTCGCTCGGCCATGGCCGGTATGTTTGCTATCAATCTGGTGCGTCTGCAACGTACAAGCTCACTAACCAGCGGGTTTTAATACTTGGAAACTTCCAAATCTATATCTACAGAATTGATACTACGTCTAGCAGCAGGAGTCCAACACTCCCTGCCATGGACTATATTTGTACACACCCGATAATAATCAGACGACAGATTGAACTGCTACCGCCTTTGCGTAGTATAGCTACCTGGTGAATAAAAAAATACTTTTACCAGGCAATGCTGCCCCTCAATCGTGTACCGTTGTGCGAGTTTCCGAGGAATCGAGGTTTCGGTATCGCAAGGTCCGTGATCGAACCCCTTTGGTTATACCAGACCCCTTGACAAAACCCTGGATTATCCAAGAAACGCCGTCGCGGGCCCGTGGATTACCATCATCTTTGAATCGTTCCGTGCTTGCAAACTGCATCGGGCCAAGCATTCCAGCAAGGGCGCATTTCAGGCTCTCGCACACCTGTGCTCCTTGCTGTGGCGTTGCTTGGCCGTTGACGCCCCGTGCCGGCTGTGACGAGTGCCCTGGGCTGAGCTGAGTTGGCACCGCCGGTGCAGTAGTGAATTGTGGGGCAACGATGGCTGCCCTTCGTACCGTTGAGGACGTGTTCGCGGACTACAGTGGCAGAAGGCAGGGCATCCTGACGGCCCTCACGGCAGAAGTGGAACGCTTCTACGCCGAGTGTGACCCCGATCGGGAGAACCTGTGCCTGTATGGAAACCCAGACAGCTCCTGGGAGGTGGATTTGCCGGCCGAGGAGGTGCCGCCGGAGATGCCGGAGCCCGCCTTGGGCATCAACTTTGCTCGGGACGGCATGCAGGTATGCGGGGCCTCCGTTCAGCTGTCCCTCTGCTTGCTTGAGCGGCGCTACAGGGCAGCTCTGCCTGGAGGGTTTGGTACCGACAATTGGCAGCCTTGAACTGAGCGGGCTGGCCTGCAATGCCGCAGAAGAAGGACTGGCTGTCGCTAGTGGCCGTGCACAGCGACACCTGGTTGCTGGCCGTGGCCTTCTACAACGGGGCGCGGCTGAACCGGGAAGGCAGGGAGCGGCTGTTTGAGCTCATCAACGAGCAGCCCACGTGCTACGAGGTGGTGTCCGGGCGGGCCAGCAGGGATGTGGCACGGCCAAAGAAAAGAGGAGCACCCGGCCAACCAGCCAGGCCCGCAGGCCTGGGTGCACCCGCCAAGAATCCGCGGCCGGTAATCTTCTCCCTTGATTTCGCTTTGCGCGGTGGCAGCTCCCTCCTGGGGCCTCCTGGTCCTCCTGCCTTGCCCCTGTTGTAGGCCTGTTTCCATTTTCTGAATGCCACGAGGTGTCTGCTAGGGACCCTTCACCCCACCCACGAGATTGCGTGGAGGGTGAAGAAGCCGGGGCTGGTTGTGATGCCAAATATGCCCTGCTGCGCAGATGCACCCCAGCGCAGCGGCCAGGAGGCACCGTGACGACGAAGACGACGAGGAGGACGAGGAGGAAGAAGAGGAGCTGCCGCCCAGGTTGACCGACAACGAGTACGCAGATGGGGAGGGCGACCCCTGCCCCAACTGTGGGCGGGTGTACAGGTGCTCGAACCCTCTGCCTCCTCTCGGTGTGCCCACGGCTGATCGGCCCAGGCTGGCATTCGGCCGGCCCGGACGCAGCTGGTCGGGATGGGGCAGTGATTGGGTGTCTGCTTTCGGAGTTGTGTCAGCGTCAGCCGAGGTGGCTTCGGCGTCTGCTGCCACCTCCTGCGTGTGTGTGTTTTCCGTGAGCGTTTCTAGTAGTCGGTGTGCTTCTACCATGAATGACCTATTTTTCTTGGGTAAGATGGTGCCGTGGCAGAGCTGCCCGTGCAATATTGGGGACATGCCTTCCCTGGGCGTGTTTGGAACAGTTGATCAGGCTCTGGTATGCAAAGACCGGTGCTAAACATGGCGGTTTGTGCTCGCTGCAGGACCGGCGAGTTTTGGATCGCTTGTGATTTCTGCGACACCTGGTACGACGGCAAGTGTGTGCAGGTGAGGCCTCTGCCATGGTTTTCAATTCACGTTGTCTCTTGTGATCCCTGTTGGAGCCTTGTCTTGCCTTCATGTGGGCTCGATCGCAGTGTGCCCAGGCTTCCGGAACTGTTGACGTTAGGGCAATAGATAGGCCTGGGGGATATCTGGCCCCAGCAGTCGTTGACGATGTGGTGCAGTACTCTCTGGTGTCTTACCTGTATGATGACGAGCCCTGCAACCTGATCGCCTGGGGCTGCTGTGCAGATGACGCCTCAGAAGGCCCAACGGATGGGCAAGTGGAGGTGCCCTGCCTGCGACAGGCGGCAGCAGGGCTGAGTTGGAGTTGGCATTGCACCCCCAAGTTATTCTTTCAGGGCCCCTTTTTCTGAGTCTTAGGCGGCAGGCTGGGGGCAGCTGTTGTATGTACACCATCCCAACTGGAGCTCACATTAAGACCGGGAGCATCCAGTCAGCGGACTTGATCCGCGTGCGCAGCTGATAGATTTCAATATTGCAGCTTGCCAGCTGGCTACAGCAGTGCTGCAGCAATGCAGCAGCCTCCAGAGATCAGCCGTCTGCTCGGTCATGTAGTTGTCCCTCCCTGGTTCACATCCATTAGGACGCTTTCTGCCTGGTCGTTCTTGTTCTGCTGCTGCTCATTGGCATGGCCCATTCACTTACGGGGAGTTGTATGACCTGCGGAGCCTTTTTTTCAGTGTGCTAAGGTGTCAGTGCCTGCGGCATAGGGGAGGGGTTGTGCGTTTCAGGGGCTTGCGCTCTTTGCAGGCAATATTACCTCGAAAGCGATGGCTTTGGCTGATGTGAGACTTTCTTATTCCAGGCAAGCATGCGGCTCTTGGGTGCCAGGGAGTATGCCCCAAGTACCAGATGGTTGCAGTAATTTAGACATTTTCAGACGTGTGCGTCTTAGATATTGTGCGACTATTTTAAAGGCACTGTTGCTCAAATGCGTGTGTTGCGGCACACAAGAGTGGCACCATTGCAACGTTTTGCTTGACTTTACAGTGCGACCCGCTTCAAGACTGTTTCTGCGGAGATCTGACGGCTTATGACTAAAAAGCAATATTGTAATATCCAGTCAGAGTGTACTGTGGACGTCATACAGTGGCAGGGCATTGGGGGGCGCACATCAATCATGCATGATTTATTATATCGTCCTCTTCATGCCAGTGTTTTCAAGCCTGTGTTGCTCCCGCGCGTGCGACCCAGCCTCGAGCATCTAATTCTAGAATTCTGCGCAGCTGCAAGAGCTTCTAGAACGTGCTCTGCTGTCTGTTGATGTGCTATACAGCTGCGTTTGTCCGCATGCTCTTGCGATCATCAGGTAGACAACCATGCATGCTTTTCTGCTGACAGGAGCATCATAATCCGGGTGAATTGATCCCAAAGATCTGGCAGTGGCTGTTGTTACACTTGATGTCAGGGAGCTGCAATACCAATATCCTGACCCATGGCCAAAGACCACAAATCATAAACTGCAGGCCTGTCATTCTATTAGCAACGCAGGCTGCTCGCACAAGTACTCAGGAATCCTTGTTCGCCACATAGAGAGTTCTTCAAGTGTGCTGTGGACGTGCACGGCAGTTCCAGTGCCAAGACTTTACACCCAAGTTCCTTATGCTTTCAGCAATGTTCTCTGAAAGTGCTCCGCAAGTGCAGCGCTGTGTAACCACGAACAGCTACCCAAGAGATTCTGCGGATCTGCCCCTTCTCCCCGCTCGCTTGTGCAAGGTTCCTCTTTATGTGTCCCTACTGTGCACTTGCCTCCCACGGCCGTCCCTTCTTTGGCGCCCAGTGCAGCAGCTCTTATCTGATTGGCTGCAGTACTCCAGCTCTTTTTCACACATTGCTGCACCAACGCGCCACAGATTTGGCTGTGAGCGCTCAGCAGGGCACGGCAGTCGCGCGGCAGCCAGCCAGCGCAGCTTCACGGCAGCTGCGGGCGGCGCCGTTGCATTGTCTATCCCTTGTACACCACCGGCATGCCTGCCACAAAGGAGTCCTGCGCACGCAATACAGCGCAGATCAGCTCAGTCTGTTGCACGCTGCAAACGATAAGCTCCCAGCAGCTGCAATCAGCGTCGGCCCTGCCTCTGCAGGGCTCCAGGGTTCCAAGAGGCTCCTACTTCTGCCGTTATCCCCGCATGTGAAGGCAGGCCTGCACAGATGCAGCTGGCTGCCACACATGAGCTGACCAGAGAGCTTGCATCACTGCAGCTGCCGCGCCTGCCAGTCCTGCTTGACTATTCTTGACATCATATCCTTGACATCACTTGATCTGCAGGCGCTCATAGGTTGCGCCAGGCCTGTCTTTTCCATGTGATCTGCTCCTCATGCGACAGCTTGCCCCAAAAACGGATGGCGCAACCAGGCTCCAGTGAGCTGAAGATGGACTTTCTCCAACAAATGTGGGCAGCGCATGCCTAGCTATACTTGGATGTTGCTGGCATCTCCAAACCAAGCTAGCCCCATCTACTACATCATTGTCTTCATGGCAAGGAAGGCTCATTCGGGTCCAAGGATCCAGAGGAGCCACTCCCTTGAGTCCCTTGACGGTTTATTTTATCCACCCCGAGGGGGTTTCCGGCGCGCGCGCGCACCTCGTGAGAGTTGTCGGTGAAGGCCTCTGCTAACACGCCATGGCAGACGGACACTGCATCCGGACGGGTGGATTGCGAGCATTCCCCTGGACAACTCGGCAACTCCCACAGGTTTTTACATCCGTTTCAGGGGTGTTTGGAGCGCGCACCTCCTGGAAGTTGTCGGTGAGCGGCTCAGCGAGGACTCCATTGAAGATGGACATGGGGTAGACGTCGCGCGTGTAGGGCAGGTCCGGCAGCAGCTTGGGCGTGAACATGAAACACTGGGGAGTCCCCTCCCGGCACGCAGCCTCCACCATCTGCACAAACACCTGGCGGGGCAGGTGACACGTCGGCATCAGTCATGACGCGGTCATAGCATCTTCTTCAGTCATGCTAACATCAGCGGGGCACAAGAGGAGATAGCTTGCATGGCACATCTGTACAGCCAGCCTCCACCATCTGCACAAACACCTGGCGGCAGGGGATGACACAACAATCTCAGTCGCGCTGATGTCAGCGGGGAACATAAGCAACCTGTGATACAGGGGTTTGAGCAGGAATTGCATGCCCTTGTTTCATGGACTTCTTTCGGTGCCCTGATGATGGCAGGGGTCAAATCTCTGCCAGCTGGTTGCAATGTAGCAGGCTGTCAATCTTCATTGTGATGCCCTGACAGCCTAGTGCGGTGATGGAAGAGGAAGACTAATCTGAAGAAACATGTGCAGCTCTCACGTTCTCAGTTCAGCAGCATCTCTATTATTACAACTAATATCACATGTTTTCCAGTCCTGAAGGACTAGGTACGTCAAGCAACACCTGGATTCCCTGTTTTATACCCTCTCTTTATTGAAGGCCATTGAAAAGTGGACCGAGGAGGGTCACCTTGCGCTCGTTGATCTGGTCCATGCCCTGGTTGATCTCGTCCACCACCCGGAAGGGGCACACCGTCACGTGCTGCGCGCAGAAACAGAACCAGTCTCAGCCACCGACAGCAGCAAACTTCTCAATCTCACCCCTCTGTCGGATATCCGGATCTGCAACTTTAAGCACAGCCCGGTGGTGCAGCGGCCCATTGCCTGACATCTGTATCTCGCCAGAGCCGCCGATCCAGTCACAAGCAGAGGCCCGCAGCTGGGGAGTCCAGCTGCGCAAAAGGTCAATCGGGTGGCTGAGTGAGCGGGTGAGTCACCTGCAGGGCGATGATGTAGAGAATGGTGCAGACGGAGCGCTCGCCACCGGACTGCCGATTGGCCGTCAGCAGCTGCAGCTCCTCATCGTCCCTGTGAACAGCACACTGTCGTCAGAAGCTGCCAACATTACAACCTGTGCAAGCCTTTCCAAGAGCACCCACCCTGAGACCAAGCCACAAGCTGGTATTGTCCCCTTGAAAAGACAGTTTCAGACAGCACAATTGTGAGGCTCTCATGAGATGTAGATCCGTATCTTATGGAGGTTGTCCCTCCATTATCATGCTGTAGCCGCTTCATACATCACACTTCGGACTCGCTACATGTGGGTGCCAAGCAGAAGCCCGGTGGATGATGCTTTTCTTCCTCAAGATGCACTTGTCTCTTAAAACGCATTTGCTCTGATAATGCTACACGACAGAAATAGAACCACTCATCTTTGCTGCCAGCGGTCTACACAGGTGCACAGGTCCTACTGCCGCACCTGAAGCGGACGCGGATGTGCACCGCGTACTTGTCGAAGTTGTTGCAGGCGTCAAAGCCGGCCTCGCAGCCGCAGAAGAGCGACACCTCGCCCGCACACCCCATGGACCGCAGGTTGCGCCCAAACTGCGCGTTTATCACCCCCACCATGCGCTGCAGCTCCGGCAGCCATTGCGCCTGCGCAAGGCATTCAAGCGGTTTGTCAGATGGCTGCTCAACCTGTTGTGCGCACGTTCAATCCATCCTGTGCCTGTTCAGGCGGCAGTCAAGGTACCAGTTGCCTATGCAGGCAGCCACTGTGCCCGATTGGGCAGGCAAGGAACTCAAAAGGTGCCTCTTCAGGCAAGGAGCACCTCCACTGCGCACGTCAAGGCAGCGGTGAATAATGTAACTGCCCTGTCACTGAGTCAATACATTAGGCTGCATTAGGTTTTTGCACCGACTTCTTGGTTCAAGCAGTCTGTCAAAGCTGGTCTGCAGCCGGCCCACTAGGGCAGATGAACCTGTTGAGGCATGAGAATGAAAGCATGCAGACGTCTGGCAATTATGCGGTGCGATGCAACGGAGGGTTGCCCACAATCCCTTTGCAGGTCTTAAAGACTGCGGTGCGAGACTCAAAGAGGTAGACTCAGGTGGAAGAGCCACCTTCTTGGCCTCGAGTGCGGCGGTGAGGCCCTGGAGCATGTCGGTCTCTTTGCCCACGTCCTCTCGCAGCGTGCGGATGCGCGCCAACCGGTCCTCATACTCCTGCAGACGCCAGATTTGAGGTGATAGAGGGATTTTTATCTTCCGGAGTTGTATTGATGCCTGAGGGTCACATGTCCCGACAAAGTCTTGCCTGCATGCTACTTACGGGATGCGGCTGTGCCAACAACTTGTAGTCTGGCGGACTCCTGCTGTCAGGCCTCCATTTCGGCGGACATAATGATATGACGGCCTTGGTGCAGCTCCCCGTCACAGCTCTGTTGCGAGCAGGCATGGTCCATGCAGCAGGCACATGCCGCTGTACCTCCGGTAACAACCTCCGCCAACATAGACTTCAAGAACCAGAGAACAGAGCATGGAGAAGTATAGTCTCCACACCTGCATTACGCGGGGGTTGGCGCATTGGATGGCGGCTGCCTGGCGGTGCAGGTCGTCCATCCGCGCGCGCAGCTCATCTCGATCCGCCGGCAGCGCCTGGAACTGCTCCCTTATCTCGTTCGTCAGCTCGCACGCATCGTTCGCTATCTTCTTGCGCCGCCTGCACGCCGCAACGGCAGCATATAATAAGTCTTGATTCTCCTCAATAGTTACCCACCGCTTGACAATGTCACCAAGCTGTCTTCAGCGGATTCTCTTACACACAGAGCACCGCTCTTCAGGCTTCCACCATGGCATTCACTAGAACGATGTCCCAAAGAAGGTGAGCAGATCTGCCTGCGCTTGCAAGCAACTCCTTGCAATCAACATTATCCTTCACCTTACAGATCAAAGGTGAGGGGTTAGCATAGAGAGGATCTGTGCGCCATACTTGAGTTCCTTGAGGTCCAGTTCCTTGCCGTGCTGCAGCTGCACCAGCAAATTCTCCAATTTCCGCTGGCGGTCGTTGCTGCCCTGGTTGCGATCACGTAGGGCCGCAATCTGAAGAATAACAACACACGATCCTTCTCAGGGGGGCAGAATATCGTAGTACTCATCTTACAACCCGCAGTAAATTGCCAGAAACGGTGGATACTAAACCCAGTCTCCCAGACAATAAATCCTGTGTCCAGCTTCGGAAGGCTCTCAACAAGGTTGATCCAACGGAGCATGCCCCTTTGTAGACTAGGTGTGAGAAAGATCTCAAATAGTTTAAATATAAAGTTTCCTGCACTGTCGGGGGTACGGGAGATTACAATGACCTTTCCTGCATTGCGTGCAAGGAACGCCATGTAAATAGAGTGCACCATGCATGATATGACGCCTGCAATTCAAACCTTTTCATACAAAGCCCCCCCCTCCGCCTTCGCCTCTGCCTCTCCTTGTTTGGCACAGACAACAGTGCAACTCTTTTCCTGCATCAGCACTAGTAAGGAGGGTGACTCACCTGCGCTTGCAGCTCCAAAAGGTGCGCCTCGCTGCAGGCGTGCTGCGTCATGGCCGTCCACTGCGCCTTCAGATCGACCGCCACCTTCTGCACCTGCGCGCAGCATGCAGGCATCCGCTCAGCATGTGCACACGTCACAGCGTCGTAGCTGGGAACTTGCTGCAGATCTGGCTGATGGCGAGAGCCATCGTGATCTGCATTTGCCCTTGTATTCTTACAGCAGCTTCCAGTCCTTGACCGATTTCTTGCTAAGGTGAAGGCAAGGGATGCAGTTTGCAGGGTAAATAAGGCAACGCACCAGGTTGTGGCACTGGGTGTTGAAGCGGTCGACGTCGCGGCGCAGGCCCGGCTCTCGCGACAGCGGGTCCGGCTTCTTTTTAACGTCCGCCAGCAGCTTCTTCTTGCCGTTCAGCGAGCTCACCAACTTTAGGCGCCTGCGCCGCAGCATCGTTTAGCAGGCTCATGCCAGAGTCTGTCAAGACAATTGCAGTCCATGTTGCGCTGTGTCACCCCCTCTTGGTGCATGTTGGACAGCCCCAATGCGCTAAGAAAACATGATATGACAAGGGCTGCCGGTAAGGTTTCTGCGACTGCGCAGTGAGCACCTCCCTACATTCCTGCTGCCTAGCTCAACAGATGACAGCTGTCTCCAAGTAGAGGGCCCTGATATGGAAATGTGACATCCACTGCAGAGGGTCAGATATACCTCTAGCAAAGCCTTGCGAATTGGGGTGTCCTGCTGTATCTCAACTTGAGGGAGGTAATGAGAGCCCATCATTAGCAGAGGCGCTTAGAGGAATGCCATGCAGGGGACCCACTTGCGCTTGATGGTGTTGAAAGCGTCCTCCAGCTTTTTCAACTCCCTCCTCTTCTCGGCCACCCTCGTTTCTGCCTCTCTCTTGCCAGCGTTGAGCGCATGCATCTCGCTCTTCATGGCATCCATCGCCTGTGCAGAAGCGACACAAATCCAGGGAGTTCAGAGAAACACCACAAATATCATGACCAATCACAAATCCGAATGCTGAAAGGATCCCTATGGAACGGGCCGGGATTGTCAATGCGTTACGGTGTTTCATGTCATGCCTTAAAGTCTCCGTGATCTTTGGATCCCAGGGTCCTTGAATAACATGTTCATTTCGTGCGCTGATGTCTTTGAGATCTCTGACTATTAAGTTCCTTCAGATGTCGTTAATTTTACGTGTGAAAGGCCACTCTGTCTCGAGTCCTCAGCAATCTTGCTTGCAGGTTGGGGCATCCTGAATGCAAGCTAAGAAGATGACGTGTGTTTGGACGCGGCAGCACTCACCTGCTGGGTCTCCCGGATGCCTTTGTCGATACTCGCGGGCTCGTCCTTGTCGTCTCGCGCGCCTCCCAGCCAGTCGCACTGCTGCTTGATGGCTTTCACCTGCCAGTTAAAGAATACTCAAACATTCAGAACTGGTCCCATGCAGCCTTCGTTGTTCCTTTCCAGAGACTTGATGGACATCCGTGGAAAATTCCAAGACCCTGGACCAGGATTTTCCACAACTGCTCTCCATGCGCAAGGCAGCAGAAGCAAGCAGAGCAACCAGCACATAAAGTGCACACAATTCATAGAACAGATCTCATGAACCTGAAGTAGGAAACAACATCCCTCTTTTGGCACAGTCTGCCCAGCTGACTTCACCTGAGAGATTGGTGACTGCAGTGCACACCTATCACCGCAGGATTTGTACTTTTGGTGAACCGTGATGTGGACCTTAAAATTCTCTCAAGGCAATGACCAGTCGAACAGGAGCAAGAGACTGATACGGCTCGATAAGTCACCTGCTGGCTGCGCGCGGCTGAGTTGTAGAGACTGACGCGGATGCGGTGGTTGCTCTCCGGCGTGTACAGGTTTGTGACGGTGGCATTGGCGCGCAGGAATGCATCCACGTCTGTGCGCCTGTATAGGCAACAGCGCCACCTCAGCGCCACCTCAGCATGCTTCCCAGACAATTCTTCAGCAGGTTTTGAGCCAGCTATCACATAGGGGTCTTTGCAGACTCTGCACAGAACAAACGTGCAAGATACAAGAAAACAGCGTTTGGAAGGTTTTTGCTTTGTTGCCAAGGCATCTATCTGAATGACACTCCAGCTCCCTTGCAAAAACAAGCGGAGGGATAAGTTTTAAATAGGTGGGCACTGAGGCACCTGGAGCTTCCCAGAAGCCCTTTGGTAATACTCAAATCTATCCTTACTCCGCTTTCTGACATAACTCTTCTTCTGGATGAGTAAGGGTACAGAGACGGCCACAGTGACAGCATGTGGGGTGCATGGGGCTTACGCTGTGCCCACATAGGCGCGGGTGATGGACGACTCATCGTTGAGGATACGCTTGATCACCGGTGGCGCCTCAAACACCTCGTCCAGCGTGTGTGTGATGCCAAAGCTGCGCCATGACACACCATTAGTCAGTCCTGCATCAATCACAACAAGACTCCTGCAGCCCTCCCCCTGTGATTAAGCTTATTACTGTGCATGACCCAAGATAAGCAGGTTGCCTCTTTAGATTCTGGTCTAGGCAGAGCCTGTGAGCCACACTAACCTATCCGTGCTGGACACAGATGTTACCTAGCAATCAGATCTGAGCATGCATTTGAAATCCGGTCATACATTACACTCCCACAGTCTAGCCAAAAGCAACTGGTGCAACCCCGTTTGACCCAATTGACAGCGCTCTGAAGGAGTGCTTGCACTAGTGTAGCACCTGCGTGTGTTTCGCGCACCCACCTGGTGTCATTACTTTTAAACACAATGCCAATACCGTCATGCGCTACAGTAGAGGCTGGGCATGCCCCTTTGATTTCTAGTGGGTGCAATAAGCTGGCACGCTTTCTAACGGATGGAATAAGCTGGCACGTAAAACTAGCGCGCAGAGAGACTCACTTGGCATACTGGGAAGCGGGGCCGTCGGGGTGCTGCAGAGGGGCCGTAACGGAGCCGGTGTAATTGGAGGTGGTGATGTGTACTTTACGCCGCTGCGCCTCCCTCCGCAGCTCGTCCTGATCCTCCCGGTACACAGTCACAAACCGCGTCCAGATGTGCCCTGCGTGGGAATTCTAGAGGTTCAATATGGGAAGCAAAATTAGAAGTTCGGGTGGAAGTGCACCTCCTGACGAACGATGGCGAGCATGACCTCCGTGTTTTGCCTCCTGAAATTGGCACGCCCACCCTCCCTGCCTAGCATTGTTTTGGCAGATAACTCTGGACCCGCTTGATGCGTATACTGCCAAATGCCAACAGTGGCACAGCTCTGCAGTGCTTTTGCCTGTTAACTTGCACCGGCCGCAGCTGGCAGGCACGCTTACAGATGCCTGCAATAAAACTGCAATCTGAAACGACAAGGCAACCTGCCCTAGCAGACCGCAACGTTAGTAATTCCTGACTCGACATCACATGACGCTGAGTGAGCATAAAGTAACAGACACCCACCAGGCAGCTGCTGCTCCAGGTACTTGGCATGTTGCTGGTCCGCTACGGTCACCTCCAACAGGATGGGTCCGTAGACATCCCCCTTGAAGCGCGCCTTGTTCTCGGTCACCCAGTGCGCGAACGCAGTGATTCCGCGATTTCGCTGCTCCAAAAAGCGAAGCTTGTTGTCCCGCACCGAGTCCAGCCGCGCAAGTTGCTCTGCAAAGCATGTTTCCAGTCATCTTCTCAATCATGGCTGGTTCACTCTCTTGATATTGTTGGCTGGTTCACCTCTCAGAAAAGCAGAAATAATTGAGTCCACATCTGCTGTCGAGCATGGGCTGAACAACGTCCAGGGTCAGCCTTGAGAGCGATGAACACCTTTGCTGCATGTTAACCTTAAGTGCACAGAGTAAATTACCAAGCTATGAAAAGTGACTTTAAATGCTTGCACGTGAAAGGTTCGCGGCGATGGTACAGGGGATCAATTCTGGGGGCACAGCATTGCAGACGCAATGCCTTATCAATCGGCATAGCAGAATAATTGAGTAGTCATGCATCATGCATGCCGCATGTGCCGATATGGGAGCTTTTTGGGAGATCCGGCAGGACAAAAGCGCACCTTGCCAGTGCTTCATCTCCTGCTCGCAGGTGTGGAGCTGGTCCCGCAGCTCATACACATTGCCGTCAAATTCGCGCGCCTGCCATACAGACACAAGAGAGTCAGTGCATAAGAAGGCCAAAACACCCATGTCTCAATAAGGTCAATGCCAGGCACATTCCACCTGACTCTTGCTCCTTCTTCATATGTCAGAAGTATACAACCTCAGTTCTCAAGCTGCAATGATTCCTGGAAAGGTAAGGGGGATACAGAAAGTTGTGCTCCGATGGAACTGCAACCCAAAGGCGCTGGGCTGGCACATACAGCTGACGTTCAGCGTTGGTTTCTTTAGAATCAAAATCAAAATGAACTTGTGGCCCTACCTCGGTGTTGAGGTCAGCGACCTGTTTCTTGAGGGCCAGGATCTCTTCGCTGGGCGCCGCCTGGCTGCCCTGTGTGGACGCCGATGACTCACCCGGTAGCTCGTCCAGGTCAGCCTGCAGCTTTGCCACGTCAGCCTCCAGCTTGGCAACCTGCTGCGCCTGCTGCTCTGCCTGAGCCTTCAGCCCATCAATGGCATCCCACTTCTGCTTCAGCTGCTGCACCTGCAGGGCAACATACAAATATACTTTCAATGTCCCATCAGTGCGTCCCAAGAAGTACGTGCTGTCATGCCATCCTGGAGTGGCAACACACCAGGACAGGTATCTTCCATTCCTGCCTCCCAAGAGGTGGACATTGTCTCAGCACCTTGGTGTGGAAACAGCTATCTGCGTTGAAACTGAGTTGAAGACGACTACTTTGATACTTCGATGCAAAGCAAGGGGGCAAAGCAGTCCTGTGTCAAGGGGCGAGTCAGGGATCCAGGAAGGGGCGGTAAAGGGGTACATGAGGCGCTTAGCACCCACCAGGTTGTCCGACTTTTTCATGAAGGTTTCCGCCAGGTTCTGTTTCTCTATAAGCCCCCTCTTCTGAGACAGCACGCTGGTCTTCAGACGGCCCTCCTCAGCCAGCTTTGCCCTGCACAAAACAAGCGAGGCCCGCTCTCAGGCCTTGAAACTCTTGACGGCAGCTGTGAACACCAAGCTCACAGAAGCATACTTAGCAGGTGTGCAGAACCCAGAAGGCGCTCACAGCATGACGTCTCATCTGAAGAACAATGCATTGCACAAGCTTTCATGCAGACGCAGGGGCCCTTGCACTGAATGATTGAGATACTATCACTTGTGCACAGACCCCTGAAAGAAGGGCAGAAGGGAACAGAAGATTACTCACAAGGGGGCAATTGAGTCACATTATGCGTATTCAGGGACCCCTGAGGAAAGGGCAGAAGGGTGGTATGATCACTCACACAAGGGGCGCCGCGTCGCGCGCGATTTCGTCCTTGATCTCCTGCAGCCGCTGCCTGCCCTGAACAAGCCTGGCGTTGGTCTCCCGGAGCTTGTCCTGCGCCTCCTGGAAGTCCATGTACAGGTTCTTCTTCTCCAGCAGGTCCGCCTGGCCAGCACACAGCAGAAGGTGTTGCCCAAGTGCCTCCACCTTGTTGATTATGAGCACTTTGCAAGATTATAACACCCCATACGCAGACTGTACGGCAGCTACACGCAACTGCGGTCACTGGAAGGGGCATGCTAAATTTTCCCGCCACTGAAGAAGAAGTCACTGCGAGCTGTTCTATAAATAGTGCTCAAGTGTTGCTTGTACAATACAGGTGACAATCAATAAGGCAGTTTCATTCACGCTAACGGCGCCGCTGGCTAAATGCCGAATGCCAGGATTAGTGCTCTCACAACACAAATCAGCAATCACATTGCAGTACATGCAGCATCATAGTAAAAATCGGAGCGTGTAGATGTCTCTCTTGCTCTGCATAACTACTTCTGTCTCTGAGAAAGCAGAGCGTCCCCCACCTGCTCCTCGAGCTGTCTGCGCTGGTCGTAGCGTTCTTTGTCGCGCTGCAGCTCGCCCATGTGCCTCTCCTCCTCCTCCAACCGCCGCTGCAGCGCCCCCGCCGTCTGCGCGCGCACAGCCGACCCACCTCAGCCTCCCTGACTGAAATTTCAAGTTCAAGACAGCGCCCAAGAAAACCCCACAAACTCAACTCGGCGATGTGCAACACAAACTGAAAAATTACCCACTTCAAGTGGACAAGCGAAGTCTTCACACCAATGATGCCCTGACAAGCTGGTGTTCCGTTGTAATGCAGGGAACACATGTATGCCTCTAAGAATGCAAAAGCCATATTGCATGTCTTCAGCGCTCTCTTTCAGCTCAGCAGCTGGAAGAGCGTACCGGAGTCGAGCAATATTGCCTTCTGCCTTCCGCCCTCAACACATTTCCTAGTAGAACACATGCGTGGGATGATTGTTGGTTCTGCATCCGGCATGCAGCCAATGCCCCCATGCCAATTCTCATTGCGAGCCATTGCATTCCAGCGCCATGCAGAGCGATGCTGCCAAACATAAGGGGGGCCTAAAGACTTAGCAGCTTTCGTACCCCTCTGAATGCAAGGACAGGGCAGAACACAGCAGGGGGCACACCCGCTCGTAGGTCTTGAGAGTGTTACGGTCCTCGATGAGTTCGAGGTGCAGTTTGTGCAGCCGCGCGTCGCCCATCGCGCGCTCGCTCTCCATCAGCAGCTGCCCCGGCTTCATCAGCGCAAACGCCGCCACCCGATCCTGGGGCAGAAACTGCGCAAGCAAGCACACAAATTTGCTCATTTAGGAATTTACGGAAGAAAGCATGCCGTTGCAGGGGCTGTTGTAAGGCAGCTGTGAAGGCCAATGGGTGCCTGACGTGTAAAATGAGTGGGACCGAGATGTGATATGTGAGATTGGGCCATCACAGCATGCCACTGATCACACAAGGGAAACGGGAGACGGCATGAGGCGCAAATGCAGCCACAGCACGCTTCAAATGCCACACGACAGAACGTGTACCCTGCGAGCATCAGTACAAAGAGTGCCTGTGTGTACGGACCAGGGAGGCTTACCTGGCACAGGTTGTCCAGCTGGATGTTTAGGTCCTTGAGCACCTTCAGCACATCCGCTTTGGTCTTGTCCACGCCTGCGCACATCACCACATCAGCCAATACCCCATCCCACAGCTGTCAGATACACGTTAGTCACCCCGGACCCTCTCTGGCACATCACAGAAGAATGTCATCCCATTTCTCAGTACCCCATAGGTGTTTTTTCGCTGCCTTGGGCCTTCAGATAAAATGCTTTTGCGAGGCTCAGGGGAAGCATAGTCCTTCTTGGGGGCGTAGGGTTCTTGGCGAGGATGAGTCACCATTGATTTTGTATTTGGAGCTTTCGCGCGTGAGCCGCCGGTGGATGACGATCGGGCGCAGGGGGTTTCCGGATGACAGAGTGATTTCCGTCATTGCCTCATTCGTGCCCTTGCGAATGAAGTCCTTTTGGTCGTCTGCGCGCGCCAGGATCTGCGCACAAGCCCCATGCGATCACTCTCTCTTGCAGGAGGACTTAGCCATTGGCTCCTAGTCCCTCGCTTCCCTGGCAGGGCGGAGCTCAGCAGCAGAGCAGAGCTCAGCAGCAGAGCAGACAGATCGTGCCAGTCTTGCGGTAAGCAGTATTCAAAGACTTCCTATGGTGAAAGGGATTGAGCATAGGTGCGGGGGAATGCACGCACATTTGGGTGTCCAGCCAGGCCCAGGCACAGAGCGCAAGTGAGGGAGCTCTTCCCAGTGCCTGCGCAATCATAAAACATTTTGCGCCAGGCCAAAAATAGCGTTGCTGCTGAACAATTTTCCACCAGCACAGTCTCAGGTGAAACTAATGCAGCAAATCATGGTGGAACAACAGCTCACCGTTTGGGGCAAGCACAAGGTTCAGACGCGGCCCAGGGTTGAAAACTGCCTCGTCGTAAGTCTGCATTGGGCAGAGGGAAGGATAATCATGATAAGTGCTCTCGCAACAGCCAACTCACTTTGAAAACCCATACGGCACAAGATTGCAGCAAGCCGGAAACGAGCTCACTGCTTCCAGAGGCGACTTACCATGAAGTTTTTAACGCGGATCTTGATGATGCTGCCCTTCTCAAAGCGCCTGGAGTGCAGCAAGAATTTGGTCAACCACACCACATCAAGGACACCAAATACTGTATCCTCCGGGGGGTATGCATATATAAAACGTAACATACTATAGCCAATTCATTTCACAGATAGGTTGATGCGATGTATACAGCGAGAAGCAAAGCAAAGCAACGTCAGGGCTGGACATACTCGAGTGCGAGTCTGGGGGCCTTAGGAGGGGATGGTGATGGGCCATCCCCGTCTTCTTCTTCATTCGAATCATCTTCGTGGGGCCGTTTTTGGGATGCCATCGTGATCTGAGGTCTCAAATTTCAAGCATGAGGCATTTACGATGGTGCTAAACACACACTTGCAAAACCAACCTCGTCACCTCATACACAGAGCTATCTCGAGAAGTTGGTTCACTTCGTTTCGATTTGAAGAGAGCTAACGCCGATCCGATGTATTCGGCATAATGCCATTGGGAGTGCTCAGCACAGCATGGCATGATGGTGACTGGGTGTCCAGTCAGCTTTCCAAGGTTTCCACAAAAGCTCGAGCTAAATACAGGAAGGCATCGCTTCCGACCATGGTTTCGCAGAGCGCCAGGCGGTGTATGGATGATTGACTCTCTGAGCAGATTATAAGATCCAGTATACGATGCCTGCCCCAAAGCCAAAACCTGTGCCAAAGAAGAGCGCTGCGCCGAAAGGGGCGCAAGCTCCAGTTTCTATCCCAGACAGGCCTGATTGGGTCTCAGATGGCCTATGGCAACTATCTCAGAACACATCAAAATTACTCGAATGCTTTAAGTCCCCGGACGATCCCAACACAGAGCCTGGCTGTTCCCGAAAAGAGGTGATTGATAATTGCCGAATGCCAATTGTTACAATAGCAATGAACAGCCAACACATTGCGTAAATTTTGCATTGAATACCTCACACTGGCGAGCAGGTGGCCCAGCTCCTGTTGCATCAGCTGCAGACAGTCCCAGAAAAGCATGCAGAGCTGCTCAAGCTTGGCATCATTGAAGCTGTTGCAAAACACATTCCAGGCTCTTTCTCTGCTGCAGCACCCGCACTAGGTTTCTCCTGCACCCATGAATTTTTTATGCAGGAAAGCTTGTATTGAGAGGCTTGTATCTGCCAGACGGGCACATCAAGGTAAAGATGCTGCTGCTCAGGGCTGTTGAGCACGCTTGCTGCAAGCTCGGCAGCTGCAAGGGATGCTATCTTGACATGCCGGCCCAGCATACTGCCCCTTTTGACCACTACCTTGGCAGAGAGTAATCTCAGCACGTCTTCTGCAGCTGTAGGTGACCCCCATACTCAAGTCCGTAGAGAGTGTTGGTGAGCACAATGTGCTCTATTGCAGATGCTGCGTGGCTATTTACGGGCGGAGGCTGGGGGCACACAAGTGCACAAGCCCTGCACCCTAGTCCTATAAACGAGTTGTATGCTGGAATCTGGCCCTTGAGAAGCTTAAGGGCCTGATAGGGAGTGTGGTGCTGTGTGTGGGCAGGAGTGCTGAAGAGTCTGTCAGTGAGTGGAGACTCGCATCCAAAAATCCTGAAGGCGCTAAGCGAGTGGGATTTCCAGGGCCTTCCTCAGCTTATCACCTCAACAGTAAGTCCCGTCTATAAGAAACCACTCAGTTGCTAGACTGTGCGAACATGCCGTCAAAATTTCCGAGCAATTTTTGAGTACTGAAAGAATCACTTTGAGAGGAGGAACTTCAAAATTGCAGCAATGTCAACCATTGGCATCCCCCTCTTCCATTGTACAATGCCTTATTGTGCAGCAGTAGGTGAACAAAGAGCTTGATGGGCTATGCTGTTTGTCATATTCAAAACAACATATCTCAGAAGCTTGTGAGTACAGCAGGATACTGGCGGGAGTCAAGGGGCCTCGGATGCTGTCCTCTTGTTGGAGTCCCTGCTATGCGAGCCTGCTGCACCGAGCCCGCCACAAGTGGTACAGCAGGCAGGGAAAGGCAAAGGCAAGGCAGCTAGCTCCGCCCCAGCAAAGCCTGTTCCACAGGTGACATCTGACTTTTACTCATAAATGTGTCTGCTGTAGCACCCATGCTGTCCCGCTTGTCTGACATAGACACTCCCTCGATGGGAACACTGCTCAGGGTAAGCAATGAGGTATTGGTTACAGGCAAAGAAAGGGATCGACAAAGGCAAGGGTGAAGCCCTCGGCACGGCAGCACCAGAAGCCAGGGTACAGCTGCTCCGGAATGCTGTGAACTCCACCACAATAATTCCGGCACTCTTACAGGTGATGCTATATTGCCACTTCTGTTGTGCACAAGCACCAGACCTTGATATGTCAGTTGTAGCAAATCTGCATCATTTGCTCAATGTAATTATATATTACATTGAGCCTGATTTTGCCAACCTTTCCTGACAGTCTGCTCAGTCAGCTTGCATGGATCACTACATAATCATCATGTAAATAGTGAAGGCGGGCGGCCACGGCTCTTCCATCAGAGCTGCAAGGGAAAGTCTGCGCATGCACTGCAGGGTGAAATGATATGACGGAAAACTGAGCGGTGATCAAAAGAAGTACCTCTTAATGTTGTTTCCTGTTTTTCTCAGGCGTGCCGCAGCAGCTTGTTGGACATGGCGACCAGGACAGCCAGCCTCAGGGTGGTGCATGCACTGCTCGTCGATGAACACCCCAGTGCTGCATCGCAGCTGGTCAAAGGTCCGCCCAAAACCCTTGCCATCTATCATTATCACCATGAGTGTCTCCCCAATACCGAGCAACACAATCTCGTGAAGAGGAATTATTTGGAATGATGCATTTGCAACCTTGTGCCCCATTAGCTTGCCTGTGTTCTTAGCGGCAAATGCACCGCTTTGTCACCAGTCTTTACATAATGCGTTGACGCAGGTGGAGGCCTGTCCATTGTCGTAGCAGTCTTGTCAGATCTGAGCAGTTTACTTTCATACAAAGCAGTGGCAGTGGCTACTTTAAAGGCATTCCTACTGCCGCAGCAGCGGTCTATGACACAGGTAAGAGTGATCTTTCGCATGCTGCCCTGGATGAGGTGTGACACCCACTTTCCTGCATTTTATGCTGTACTGTCAATGCAGCCTCCAATTGAAAGCATGCGCAAATGGGCAGGATGCACTACGGTCAGCGCAGCATTGAACGTAGGGCGATCCCGACTTCACTCCCTTGCTGTCATGTATTATAATACAGCCGCTGCTGGCAGATTCGTTGGGCCAGTGTGTATTGATGTCAGTGCAGCATTTGATTTCACAGCCGCACATGTCACTGTGGCTTTGCAGGCTATGGCGCGCATCGAGCAGGCGCACCGTGCAGGGGTGTTGCCTCCGCTGCTCAGCCTTTGTAGGGTGGCGGACAGCGCTGCAGCCAGTGCAATGCCAATGGCCACAAAGGACGCACAGTCCCCTCCTGGCAAAGCAAAAAAGGCTGGCAGTCAGGCAAACGGTCCTGAGGGCGCAGGTGTAGCGCAGAGCACCGCACTGTCATGTCTCAGGTGAGCTCTTGCATCTTTATTATTAATGCATGTTTGTCGAACCTTTTGCTGCATGCCAAGCATTTGACAGAGCCAAACGTGTAGCAAGGCATTCATTGCACTGAGTGTTTGGAACAATGGCGTATCCACTGGGAGACCTTCCCGGGAGGTGCTTCACAGGAAGCCGAGGGCTTTCACTGAGCGCGTGATTTGGTGTGCAGGGTGATGACTTTGCACGATGACTGCAAGCAGGGCATTGCAGACTGCGGAGGCATTCCAGCCCTGCTGCCCCTTCTGGCTGTGAAAGAGGACACTGTCAGATGGGCTGCTCGCCAGGTGCTCCTCATTCCTCGACTAGCTCGCCAAATCACCTCAACTGCAGATCTCAACTGCCCTGTGATTGACCCTTTCTCCAGAACTACAGCAGGCTTGAAACACCCATAAGCCAGTCAATCTTCGTTGCCTGCAGCCTCAAGATGGACAGCTGCCCCCTCTTTGCAAGGCACCTTATAAAATTTCCGCTTGTGGCCGCTCAAAACTTGCCGTGATGTTTTTTGGTAATACGTGATTGTGGTGCGGGGTGCAAAGTATGCGTGTACTGTGCAGATTTTGCTCAACATGGCAATGCTGACAGAGGTTGCAGAGCAGCTGGAGAGGGAAGGTGCCCCCACCTACATACATGGCATGAACCTGGTGAGGCTGCGGCGCACGCAGCCGGGGCGGCAAGGGTCGGCAGCTGCCACGAAGCTGCTCGCACAGCTGACCACGCGGCTGTCCGCGCCACCGACGCTTGTGCCGGAGGGTGGAGCGTGATCCGGACCCCTCTACAACATAACTCTACAGAAGACTATAGACTGACGTTGTGAGTTGATGCAGCATTAAGGGCACTGCCTGAAGTACGATGTCCATTGTGCAGAGTTAATATGTATATATTCGGGAGTGCATGACCAGGGTGGACATTTCTGCGTATAGACAGATCTGCACGTGACGCCAACGTTAGGAAGATACCGGCTGGAGCAGTACCGGCTGGTGGACATGACGGGATTGTCTCGGAAAATGGTAGAAGAAGATTGGAATTTGAGATTCTGCGCTGCTTGTCCAGACAGAAAGGTTGATGTCAAGGACAGATGAAAAAGAAGCAACCCCCCAAATATGGAGCCATGCATGTGTTAGTAATGTCTAAGAACTTTCACAACGCGTTCGTTCACCGTGAATATTTCGAGGGTGGTGACCCTCAGGTTCGAAGCATGCTGTGCTATGCAGCAGGTGCCCGGCAGGAGAATGTCATGAAGATCCTGCCAGTCGCCGTCCCTCTCTAAAGTAACAACTGTGTATATTTTGGAGTGCGCTTCCGAATCTCTGCTCCACAAATCACGATTCCTCTCAACGCCTTAGGCAATGGGGCAGTACTGACAGCTTTATAATCTGGACAAAAAGGAGGGGCTGTCTTGCCATTCTCTTCTTTCTGGAGCGAAGCTTCTCGAGATCACAGGTGCGATACACTTTCAGATCGTTCGTTTATGTAACCCTCCAACTGCCTCTGGCGAAAGCTAGCAGCACTCCGTTTTCCACTGAACTTCGTGATCTCTCAATCCTTCATTCTTTTAGTTGGCAGCAGAGCTTTACAAATCAAAATTCATTTTTCAGGACACTTTAAGGTGCCTATTCATGTACAACACTCAGTGACGTTTCCGTTGCAGGCTGTCGACCTGGCGTCCCAGTGGCCTTCTTCCTTCTCGTAGCAGCCATTTCTAAAGTAAAGCACCCCATAGTTGGCAGGTACAGCTGTGCAGATACTGTGAGCTTATGCTGTTGCCTTGAGATATTCTGAGGGAAAAGGAGAATGCTCTGATGTTGCTGGCATTGGCAGGTGGGCAGGGGACAGGATTGCTCTGGTGGGGGATTATGCTGAGGAGAGTGACATGCCGCCAGATGTCTGGGGTGGGGCAAGGCCCAATGAATTTGAGGAGTACTTCAACATCAGCTATCTCCTCGCTGACATCATCCAATCGCCCCTCACCAAGATTCTGAAAGGTGGCAGCCAAAACCTGGAGTCAGACCCTCATTGCCATGTGCAGTCTGCAGCATAAGCAGAATATATGCTGCATCAGCTGCATGCGTTGGCCGTTTCCTTTTCCTTTCTCACCACGCCTTACTTAGCCCATAAAGAGCAAGTAGTGAGTGGCGGCAGCAGAAACAAAACCCAGGGAACAGAATATGTATCACATCACTCGTTCTCCATTCTGAACACTTCAAAATTGCGTGAAATCTCTGCTTGAGTAGCTATCCAGAAGCACATTGTCGGTAGCAAACGATAGTCATGGCATTTGCTTGCATAAAGAGATATACAACTGGGTTGCCAGGCGTGCCGCCCCAGAGCTTCAGCCTCTGCTGCCTGGACCTGAAGGAGGCTCTGCACACAACCACACTGGGCGTTGAGGGTCCAGTCAGCCTGTGCGAGCTCGCGCAAGTCAAGCATGGTAAGGAAAGCCCCGTCAGAGTAAAGCTTGCTGGAAACCTTGATCATTGGCTTGTCCCCTTTTGCGCAAACTGGGAGTCATGCACACACCCTCCTTGCAAGTGTGACCGTTTTAAAGGGCATCACAAAAGCTCCCATGGCATATGGTGCAATGAGAGATGTAAAGGGATGTCCGGATGCCACAGGTTTCTCTGACATCCTGATCTATTTGGCGGCGTCCTTCCCCTGTGCAAGGGGCGGTGGCGACTTCAATGAGCACCCCACCATCGGCAGATGGGCCGGCCACCGCATTGCACTCATCGGAGATGGGCCCAGGTGAACTCAGTCGCAGCCAGAGGGGTTGTGAACTGCCAACATTCTGACGGAGTGCAGACACATGAGAAGCTTGTGATAATTAGATGGGCAGTGACAGACTCCCTACGAGACCAATGTGGCTCCCAAATGGTCTCTTAAACATTACAAAATCGAAAATGATCTTTCCTCGCCTCCCATCTGTGCCATCTGTGGCTGCGGGCATCAATGGCACGTCTTTCCCTGCCGGCATGGAGGTCGAAAATACATGTCTTGTTTTCCCAGCCTGGCATGCAGACATTGCTCCACGCCAGTGTTCTGCTCTTCCAGGAGCGAGCAGGTCTTGCAATGCCTGAGGGTGTATGCCCGTCTGGATAGCGCTGACTTGGCAGCCTTCACTGACATCAAGGAGGCAGTGGGTGACCTGGTGAAGGATCAGATAAGCAACAAGGCGATGGCATGCCCTCTGCTGGAAGGCCTGAAGCCAGTCCCACCTGAGCTTCCAGTGAGACAAGCTGAAGGCGGCACTCCCGTCAGCTTTGATGGAAGCGCAGGTGGGGCCCTTGATGTTTCGTTGGATGCTTTGTGCCATGTCCCATAAAATTAGAAAAGAAGTGTTTGAGAAGGAACACAAGCATGTCTGACACCGGTGTACATGGTGCGTCGGGGAGATTCTGCACCTTGCATGCCACTGATGAGCCTTGATCACCGGGGTCAGTGAACTGACAGTAAGCAGGATGCTCCAAAGCTCAAGGACAAGGTCTCGGCGGTGTTTTGCGCGTGCGCAGGGGCCAAAGAGCAGCCGTGCAGCGTGGTGCTGACAACAGTGGCTGCCAGGCTGGAGGAGCCTGCTGACGTGGGCGCCATGCGCTTAGTCAGTAGGGCCTGGTGCGCAGCCACAAACGACGGTGCAGTCACCGCCCGACTGCCCAAGTTTGCATCAGGTGGGCTAAGAATGCTTCCCGCTTGTGCTGCCTTGCCAAATGTGAACCACAGTCATGTTTGCTTTTGCAGCCATCCGGCATGGGCTCTCTGTGCATCTCTCCCCTTTGGAGAATTTTGCATTGCAGAGCAATGCGCCTGCCCTTCACTCCTTACTCCTTATTCCGGATGTTGGTGCAAACGCTTTACCAATTTTGCAAGTATCTTTTCAAAGAGGCTATCCCACAGGCTTGTTCTTTCACATACTAAGCGTTGGCATTGTGATGTCCTGACACGTCACAATGCCACCCACATTGCCGCACATTTTCCTGATCATGACATGGGATGCTAAGCAGGCAGAGACATACTACATCTGGTCCGCACATATCCAAATCTGCAGCGCCTCGATGGCAAAGGGTGTGCTCTTCCTCCTACCATGTAATATGAAAGCATGTAATATGAAAGCAAGTCGCTATTACAAGTATTGCTCAGTGCGCAGCTCAGAGATCTATTTCCGTATATATGTAGTGTTGAAATAACACTTCAGAAGTTCCCGCAGGGAACAGTGTCATAGATTTTGAAGCTTGTCCAGGCCACGTGCCACATTACATAACTGTAACGTTACATACTACGTGTTGCTTTGTGACATCTGCTCGGCAACACTCATGCATGCAGCGGTTGGACTTCACCAGCACCAGAAGTGCGGTGGCTGTGCAGCGCAGCGTGCATGCCAGAGTCACATGCTCGCAGGTGCGCGCACATGGTGACTGGGGAAAATGAAAGCGCTTGGAGTTCACTTGCCAGACTGACGCAACTGAGGCACTTGGACTTATCAGCCACAAATGTGACCACCGTGGACGTTCTTTATATTGCTGTCATGTGCAAATTCCTCTCAGTCTTTGTATGCAACGGCTGCAATGTGGAGCCCAGCATTTTGCTGGGCCTGCAGCTGTGCCCGCTGACTGTGCTGGAACTGGGAGGCATGCAATTCAGGTGACCATCAGATTCTCATCTCATGACTAGAGGAGTGTATAATTACACGCTTTTCATGCCAGAAGCAAGGTGCATCTGCAGACAAACTGCAGTAACAACTGCCAAATCCCTGTCCCTTCATTTTATCACCGAATCCATGCAATGCCCAGTTCACAGTGAGCACGCTGCTCAGTGTTGACACAACAAGAATTACAAACAGAATGCGGCAAGGTTGGGCATTCTGCATTGCCCTTCGCCAGCCAGAGCCAGTATGCAAGCAAAGAAAGCCAACATCAATCGCAAGCATTACGTCGCTAGATGAGCGTGATAACAAATGCACCAACTATCTGTCTGTAATGCCCTTCTAAGACGACTACGCACTGTGGTTTGGCTGCCATGAACACTGGGGCTGAAAATAATGCAGCAGGTTCTAAACATTAGGCGCAAATATGCGTTTGACGTGCCACAGACTCAGACCATAACTTATTATGATAATGGTCTGAGTCTGTGGCAAGTGCAGCAACCAAATCACATACTGACTTCACTTTGTGTGATGTTGCAGGGTGCCCTTTTTCACAGCAGAGATCCCACTATTGAGTTCCCAATTTCCAGACAGTGAGCAGCGGCAAGGGTTGTTCAAGCAATCCCTGACAAGGCTTTCTCTGAGCAAGCACCTTGAGCTGATGGATGCAGCAGCTGCTGAGCTGGCGGAGCTCCCCAACCTGGCTCACTTGAGTCTCAAGGACGTTCATTTCCAGGCAAGTTCTACACACTTACGGCTGCTTACTTTTGTTTGTGCAAGCGTTACCTTTGCATGAGCTGCTAATCTGGGCATGAACGGTTGGATCTTTAAGGATTGTAGAACAAGTGTGTACAGCGTCTGATAATGGCGAGGCTGCAGGGTGTGTGGATGCAACACTTGGCAGCAATGACAAACCTGGAGTCCCTGCAGATCACCAACGGCAAACACTTCAACGAAGGACACTTTAGGTGTGCAGCAGCTTTGATGGATTCACCCACTGGACAATTTACCCTGAGCACCGCACGTGTCTTGTTGTTCGTACTTTTGTTTGACCAGGCAGATGCAAAACGGTGGTGCTGTGATCATGCTTGTGTCTCACTGTATTTGCCAATGCCTGCAGGGTCCTAGTGGATTTGCCCAAGCTGACAGACCTGGACCTGAGCGAGGTGGACAGGGTGACTGATGAGTCACTGGTGACCATCAGTAACATAAGCGGCCTGACTCGCCTCTGCCTCAATGGCTGCAGGGCAATCACCGATGACGGTGCGCCATTCTAGTCTGCTGCTGAAATTTTAAATTTCAAAACCTGAAAAGTATGCCCTCAAGCAAAATGGCAGTGTCAGCTTGTACAGCCCAAGTTCGGCTGTGTATCGGATTGCTACAAAGCTCTCAGTTTCTGGTATAAGGGAATTTTCAAGCCACTTCACTGAAAGACTGTCCATGCCAATTTTGGTTATGGACCCCCTTTTCCATTGGATGTCCTGCTGCACTTGGGATGCCAGAAGGTGGTAGAGCTGAAAAAGGCATGAGCTAGTACATGTGTTTTGGACAGGTGTTTCTGCGCTGACAGCGCTGCGTGATCTGCAATCGCTGGAGATCAGGGACTGTGACAAGGTGTCAGAGGCGGCTGTGAATGACCTGCAAAATAAATTGCCTGTTGTGGTGGAAATTCAGTCTGGAAAGTCACCCGGAGGGTGCAGCATCAGCTGAGCAGAAAAATGTGCATGCACGCTTTGATCTCCCGTGAATGAAGCTCTCTGATGCGCACGGATTTGGATATTCAGAGGCTGCCAGTCCACATTTTGAACTGTTCACTTTTTGATGGGCTTCTTTGTGACTACCACAAAGCCGCGATTCTAAGTCTGCATGCCATTTCATGGAACAGCATATACAACTTGCATGGCATGCATGTATGTCTCGCAATCTCAGCAGCTTCCCAGCGTAATAAGCTTTCTCGTTCACAGTCTTGTAAGAAAGAAGTCACGTTGACATCAACATTTTGGAGTCGACACAGCCTTTCTTTTAAGTTTCATGTGTGGAACGAGGCAAAGCGTATATTCTGACGTCATTACCTCTACACAAGTGTTCAACGCAGCCCTTTCAAGGACAAATCGGTTCGCATCAATTGGATGACGATTGAGCGTATGGCTGAGTGTCAAGGTCTGTGCTAGGGGCTGATCAGGAGTTATTAGAGCAGAGCATGGCGCTGTCTTTTGTGGCACGTCCACATTGGTGACCAAATTGATCAACCTGTAGAGTATCCTCACCGCTCCTCGTCAGTGTCCTGGGAATGAGTCAAGACTGGGCGCTTTACAATTTGGACAAGAAGGAGTATGTCTCACCGTCTTGCATTACCTCAAATGCCGAGCTGTACGATATGATTGGTGCTATGAGGACACGTTATGTGCTGACAATTGGATATTGCGCAGTTGGGCCGCAAGTGGCACCTAGGCAGTTTGACATTTAATGCAGGCCACGCCCTTGCATGGGAGCTTATTGTTTCTGTTAGCAATACCAAGGGGCTCACTTATTGAGCTGGTCCGGCTATCGAGCATTTTCCAGCCCAGGAGAAGCTTTCAGCAGCACACCAGTCTTCATCTCGCGTCATGGCACTTGAATCTAATCGCTCTTCATGTGCCCCATGCACTCCCGGAAGCGCAGGATCTCACCAACACCTGTGCACATGCTCATAGCAAGACATGAAGAATTCTGCAGGTGTCAAGTAAGATTGGGCCACAGAGATTCCAGGTGACTTGCAGGCGGAGCAGAGCTTGCACACAAGGTCATTCACGTTTAGTGGCCCTTACCAGACACTGGACTGCAACCCCGTTTCTCCATTTCCATTAAGTCCAGCTCCAGCTGATGGTCGATCTTGCGAGCTTCAATGGCTGACAGGTAGAATGCACACAGTCGAGGCGGCAGGCATGTGTACCCCTTTAGCTCCTGTGCTGACAATGCCTCGAGACCTTCGCTTCCTGCACAGCACAGTAGACACAATTCGAGCCTTAAAAAAATTACCAGAGGGGCTGCGGGGTTCTGGGTATAACTGGGGTTGGGACAACACCAAAACTATGGCCAGATGCAAGAAGCAGAAGACTGCGATTATAACAGAGCAGCAGACTCACTCAGGCCCAGCTTTTGGACTGCCTTATCGACCCCGCTACGGTAGTCAGCCAGGTAGCTGCAACGAGCGTGCAGGTCCACCTTGCGCATCTCGAAGTCCAGGTAAAGCTTCCAAGTCGGACGTCCTTGGGCCGACTTAGACATTACATCGGCACCCTCGTCTCGATCAGTACTGACACCTGCAGAATGTGCCTCTGAACAGATCACAACATGGCTCTTTCTCACCAAACCTCAAGTGCTGCTTAGGTCTGCAGAAAACTCTAGAATGGCTCACCTGAGGACGTGGTGAGCGTCAGTAACAGATCTTTGGGCAGCAGACCAAGGATATCAATGACTGTCCGCATGCGAGACAGCCCATTGGTGTGCTCGCCCCCGAGGACTGTCTGCAATGGCCGTTCCACTATTCTGGCAGAAATAACGGTAGCTTCATCTAAGCAGTCCACTCTACCTCAGTGATTGCAATTTGCACACTTTCATCGCGTGCCCTACGGTGATTTTTTGTTAGATAAACTAGAAACAAATTCAGCAGGGGCTGTGCTCACTGGGGGATATCAGCTGAGGTATAGCGCGTGGTGACCGCGAAACCTGTTTAGGCTTGAGGCTCGGCTTCAAATCAAAGTGACCGGGTGCAGGCAGCACACGAGGCCATTCCCTACTGTTTGAAATGTATGTCTGTCGTGGAGGGATCGTTCGTCCGCAGACTTGTTCCGTCAAATAACGATAACCAGGAATGAAAGATTCTTGATGAATTGCAATGATTGAGTTCAAACAGGATCTGACAAACTATATCAGGCAGAGAGTGTGCCCATTCTCTGGGTAACGAAAGTGAGAAATCACAATTGACACTTCCCAACTCTGCGGGTAAGAATCCTGAATATACGGCGCCGATGGATGTGCATTCTACAAGCCTTTATGAAGACAGCAAAGATGTGCCTGCAATTATATTTCTTCTTCCCCAGGATCGACCTGGATGTTGCAGCTGAGCTCATCAGATTCTCAGACCCAGACGTCGTGGAAGATGAGACTCCCCATCGTGGATGTTCTTTGCCCGCGCAAAGTCATACTGGAAGATGTGATGTCGGAAGTAGGTCTTAAGCCCTACTGGGACAGCGTTCACCAAGTTGTGGCAGAACAAGTCTCCGCAGTACAGTGCTTGCAGATGCCTGCCAAATCCAAAAATTTTGCTGAGCTCGTGCCCAGATTCTTACCCCGGGTTCCCCTGCTGCGCTAGCTTGCACGTGACGTCAATCCTGTTAGCACGGTAGGCAGTCTCAACTCCCACATCATGCACCCATCGCAGCTGCTGCGCGCCTGCCCATACTGTGGCCAAAATTACAAGACAAAGACCCAGAGCAGCTAAACAGTTCGCTGCATCTGCTAGGATCTCTGCTCTTCATCTGGCTGGCTTGTGTGATGAATTTAACAAAAGCACCTCTCATTGGGGCTGCCCAGGCTTTTGATAGCCCTGGGCGACAGGCAGTGCAGCAGCATCTGTGTAACATCTGGGCTCATGCAGCAGATTATTTTAGGCAATGAGTGAGGGTCAAGCCTGACGCTTTAGTTTCTAGAAGCACTCTATGGCCATCTGTAGCAGCAAGTCACCATGCAAGAGTATCACTGCTCAGCACGCGAGGACGGGCAGCGCTTTGCTGCAATCTAGACAGATATATCTAAAGCTTCCAAAGCAATGCAATCGCGTTCCAATTCAAATTCAGAATCCAGTATTCAGGTCAATGGAGAGCCGGGACCCGCTGTGGCAGCTAGGATGTTCGCTTTTCATTTGGCTGGCAAGTACATTCAAGGTACCTGCTGTAGGAGCTGCTTAGACATTCACGGCCCTGGACGCTCTTCAGAAGCGCAGTTCAGGCTGGGAGACTGAGTTGCAAAGGTATGCCTCTGCTCTCTGCGATAGTGGGGTTTCACTCGCCTGAACCTTTGTCAGAGTTTTCAGAAGGAGAGGGATATTACAGCGAATGCCCATTGAGATTCGTGCAAACGGAATACGAATGGCAGGCCATTGCAGGTGTTTTGCCAGATTTTTGCTCACTGATTGTTTTGAATGCAAACATAACAGGCTGGTGAGCCCATCTGCGTCCAGATGCTGGATTATGCCTCCATCAACCGTCATTTTTTTCTGCAGGCATGGGCTGTCAGCAAATGAAGTGGAGACAGTGCTGCGCATGGGACTGGCTGAACTGCTAACCACGATGGCGATGGACGAAAATTCTCCTTTGCATGAAGGGCAAAGGGCGGGGGCAGACATACTGAGCAATGTGCTCAGGGTGAGGTAGATAGCACGCACAGCACCATGGGCATGTCAGTACTGCGCCTCATATGCATGTTACAGCAGGCGGGATGCCTTCCAAGCCATGCGGGTACTACCTCTTCCTACGAGGCATCAGGTTTTGACAAGGAAAACGACCGTTGTTGTAGGCGCTGAATACTACTAATCAACGTTGCTTAGTAAAAGTTAACCCTCGGATCCTTGCATAATCCAGGGGATTTGCTCTTTGGTGTCCCGCAGCATGCTACTGTCTGCAAGCATGTCTGGCTTCATCTTTTTGAATCGTTAATTACGAGCCGGCATGTTGTTGCACAGGTGCCTGCTACCCATGCACAACCTGTCAACATTTAACCCGAGCGAGGTTGAATTTGTCACCAGTGAGTCATTGAAGACAATCAGCAAGCTCAGCGGCGTCACATGGCTGGGCCTCAACTTCTGCGAAGACATCACTGATGTTGGTGCGCCTGCTGACACCATCTCTCTCCCAGATCATATTTACACCTACGGTACTGCTTGGCTTTGCAGTCTTGCAGCCAAAACTGATGTCATTTGTAGACAAGATACCCGAATTGGAAGAGCGGGCTATGAGACTCACATCACCTGGCTGTGCTATGCACACATTGCGGTAAAAAGTGTAAGGTTGCTATGCATGAAAATAATTGCAAGGGCCCCAGCATTTTTGGCGTTGTTACGTGAGCTTTCAAGTGCCACGTGCGGATGGCTGTGCTCAGGAGGGGTTTCTTCCAGCGGGGTTTCTCTACAGCATCATGTGGTGCCCAGGGTTAATTGGGTCTTGCTTGGATCTGGCGAGGCCAACAAGGGGTAGGATTGTGGCAGCCTTCCATTGCAGCTTGTTTCCAGGACGTAGCTTGCCTTCTGGCAGGAAAAGCGTGTAATAAATTTAAAAATGTGGTTCCTGCGGGCCTGCTTCTGCTGAAGGAGCTTTGCATGCTGCGGCATCTGGAGATCAAGGATTGTGACAAGCGAACGGATGCAGCTGTTAAGGAGGTGCATGCAGGGTAGTGTCCCTGCCTTAGTCAGTGTTCACTTTGAGATGTCACATGAAGAATGATGTATGCAACCCAGGTTGCAGAATCCGCCCGAAACTCTAGAACTTAAGCACTTCTTGAATTCAACTGGACAGGGCAGGAAAGGCTGGAGTTCAGCGAAGATACGCTATAAAGCTGTGAAAATCACATCGTGAAATGTTGGACACTTTGAAGCACGCCGGGTATTTTGTGATCTCCAAAGTCTTTCAGTAGCTGGAAAGACAAGAAGCTGCGTGCGCAAGGCTTTACAACTGTTCTAAGAAATTACTGAGGCGGTACGGCCTCACTTCAAAACCCACGGATTCAATGTGTTGAAAATGGCAAGCTTGCTTGTGGCCTTGAAACCAAACGCTGAATTGACTCAAGAGCGCATTTAGAAAGGATCCCTCCCGGATCATTGGCACTGTCTGTCTGCTGTGAGGAACCTCTGCAGGTGCACAATCCAACCATCACAGAAGGCCAGGAACATTGATAAAACTGCAAACTGCAATTGTTGCAAACTAGTGCCTAAACGTTGGCCATTCTTCTGCCACTGGGTAACCTCAAGTAACCCCCAACCAAGACATAACACCCCATTCAAGAAAACACATGCATCGACTTTTACCGGTGCAGCAACCTCAGCATGGTGTCGTTCTTCTCTTCCACTGCATTAACATATATCACCTAACACAAGGAGAGGCGCCATCTCATTAGCTTTGGTGCAATGCAGCACCTGCTCATGGAAAAGTCAAGTGTCCTCCAAAAGTCAGTCATCCCGGAAAGGGAGATCGCACACCGCCTATTCCCTGCCCACCCACAACACAGCGCGTGCTGCGACTGGTCTCAAAACTGGTACTCTGCACCGAAAGACAACACCTGTCTACTGGATGTGTACAGGCATACAGGGCTGAGTCCATCAGCTTCGCCTCTTTCATATCATCCAGACAGCACAGTAATTTTCCACAGTAAGGACAATCTGCTCTTGAACCCGCAAATTGCACTGCTGCTCTGACATGTGCAGACTGAATCCTTGTGCGCTCTCAAGACGCTGCCGGCTACAGACGCTGTCAAGCTCAAGTGCGCCGTAAAAGCTGCGAATCACATGCTTTTTGCGCATTGAACACCTGTTGTACCAATTTTCCTGTCGCGGGCAGGCTGCAGAAAAAGCAAACCATGCACACATTCAACCTGAGATTTTCCAGGCCAGCACGGAAAGGGCCAGCACACATTCTGGCTCCAAGCATGGTGTTGAAAGAGCAGGCGCGGACGCTTTAGTGCTGTCCAAAAGAAGAGGAAAACGAAATAGCGCCGTATCTTTTCTTTGCAAAATTCACTTGCCGAAAACTTGAAATGGGAGTCCTCTAAATTACCCCCAAAAGACCTTTTATGCAGATCAGAGCGGCCCCACTCGGCCATCAACTCTCAAAACAGAACCACACAAAATTTTGTCATCCCCTTGCGCTCACCGCACTTGGTTACGTCCGGTGAACGCCGTTTTATTTCCTTTGAGACAGTTCACCGAACCCCCACATCAACCTTCACCATATACCTGTTAGCTTTGAAGGAGGGTCTCCTTCCGCCCTTTGTCAAAGACTGCGCAAGCCACCACCTTTACTGCTACACTCTGCCTGCTCTGATAAGCCGCATTACCTGCCCATGCTTGCATGGTTCAGGTTTTTTTGCTTGTCCCGCCACAGGAGCTTACTGAGCAATGATTGGTATCGATCACTATGTTCACGGCTCGCTGGTTAATTGGTCATTCAGGAAGGGCGGGTGACTACTCGACGACGTCACTGTCCAGCTCAGCGTCCAGCTCAGCGCGCAGCTGCGCGACGGCGTCCCTGACCTGCACAGTCACAGTACACGCCACCTCAGAACCCTGGGTTTGTCAGCATCGTATCAAGCGTCCGCCACGCAAGGCTGGATGCTCTTGAAAAGGACATCTTCTCTCACCCAAGCTCTCTCACCCAAGCTAAAACACAATGTTGATGCTGTAACAGTCAAGGAAACTTTCCACCAAGCAAACACCTTAGGACAGCTCCTTCCTCTCTTGACACAACACAGAGTCCCAAGAGTGGTTTCCCTCGGTTTTACACCCCTGGCCAATTGCGCATGTGCAGTAGCTAAAAGCCACATGGGGACTTCTCGCATATGCCTTGGCCGTTACACATGCAAACTGTGCTCGAGGGGCCGGGTTGAAGGCTGGAGTGTGTCCTGCGCGCACCTCCTCGAAGGTCGGCCGCGCCTCGGGGTCTCGCGCCATGCATGCTGCCATGAGGTCCGCGTAGCCGCGCGGCGTTCCCTCCGGCGCGCGCAAACTCTGGTTGTCTATCGCCACCGCGTGGATGACCTGAATAACAAAATTGCTTTAAGGTGACCTGGTTTGCTTTGCTGTCCGCCAACCTCGTGCATACTGAGGCGGTCCCTGTGACACAATGGCGAGAGATCTTCCTTGCAGTTGGGAAGAAAAGAAGATGCAGGGAAAAAGTAGCGAAGGGCACAGACAGGTACACATGACACGACAGGAGATGTTGCATTATTCACATGGCTTAGAAGCAGAGCAACCATCGTTGCACTACAGGGCCTTGACAATCCCTAGTTTGTGCCGTCCATGACAGAAGTTAATGGGACAATACTCCGGCATGACTGGCAACACTTTTTTTAAGCTTTCTTTTGGTAAGGGCGAATAAGTAGTGCGCACCTGGGCTGTGTTGAGGCCGGCCCATGCGCGCTGCCCGTTATACATTTCCCACAGGATCACTCCAAACGAGTACACGTCCGTAACCTGCCGGCATGAAGTCATCCTTAGTCATCAGGCCAACAGTGTTGCCGCTTGCACGGCAAAGTGACTGCCCTTCCGATATATATCTGATTCAGCAAGGAGGCCTTCCAGTGCTAGGGACACGCTGCACATCCCCACTGCAGTATTTTCCCTTACTGCAGGACAGCAGACAAAGAAATAGCACGATGTGATGAGCAACAGGCTACACCATGACCAGCACAGCGTGCCCTTGAAAACACTACAGAAACAGGGGGCACACTTTATCTTACGTAAAAATTCACACTTATTTTGTGCCAAGGGCACCATGTCATTGCCTTTTCTTTGACAGTCTAGCTCGGGATGATAACATCCTCGGCAAATGCTTTCGCAGCAGTTCGTCTTTCACCAGAACGGTGCCGTGCGATTCTCTGAAGAATAGAGATCGAATCGTGGTATGACTTGGACATTCGCATGCAGGATTACAAGCTGGGTTCACCTTGGAGACCGTGTCGGCCGACAGCACTTCTAAGACCGTGTGGTTGAGGGCAGAAGACACAATCATAAACTTGAATTTGAATTCGAATTCGAATTCGAATTCGCACCTTGGAGACCATGTCAGCAGAGAGCACTTCGGGCGCCATGTGGGTGAGGGTTCCGTAGGTGCGCGTCTCCACGCGCGATACAACTCCCAGATCGCGCGCCAGACCAAAATCGGCCACCTTGGCGCAGAACTTGTGCCGATTGTCCGTCATGCTGCTCAGCAGCACGTTGCCTGCGCGCAGCAGCGTTGCAAGGTCAGAAAACAAATGCTTGACAAAAGGCAAAACGACCAATTATCTCAGAGATACTCATCAGCAGCACACTGCGTGCACACTGCACACTGCCTGGCAGCAGTATGGGTGTGGGTTTGTAAAAAAAGGAAAGCAAAGGAAAAGGTGCGGACATTGTAACATGCACTGCTCAAATTCAAGTCTCCTGCGTGAGCGTTGTGGTGAGTGCGGTTCTTGCATGTGCCCGGGCGCAGCAGACCAGGGCCAATTGACAGAGGTTGCAAGGGTTGTCTAATTTCATGCAAGCATCTGCGGCCTGTAGTCTGAAAGTGTAATAAGAAGCATGGCATCTCGACAAGCAGGAGGCTCATTAAAGAGCAGGGCGATAAGGCTTTCTGGAACCCAGTGATTTAGGTAAGCCAGGCTACAGCCTCACATGCCATAGAATTAGGTGCAGGCTGTAAAAAGTACCGTGTCGAACCCGCCAAAATGAGAGAAGAGCCCACCTCCGGTGAGGTCGCCGTGCATGACGCCCTTGCTGTGGAGAAAGCCCATTGCATCTGCGATCTCGGCGGCAGTCGACAATATCACGGCCATGTTGGGCGCCGCTTCGATTGTCGGCTTCATGCGGAACCAGCCCTTGTCCACCGCTTCCTGCAGAGACAGAAGCTTCTTTTGACAAGGTGCGAACTGAGATTGCCAGTACAGATCCTCATGATTGACAGTGGGCAATTTCGCTGGGCTATTTCGCTGCGCAAGGACATGGCCCACAGAAGTCAGAGGAGGGCCTTCCAGGCAGCAGCCTAGCTGTCGGACCATACATTCTAAGGGCCTTCTGACAACGTCTGATCAGCACAGTCCCAACCACGGTACTTCAGCTTGACTTGTTCCGTACACCGGCGAATCCAGACTTGCTCTGCGCAGCAGTCCCTGTTTTGAAATGTGCTAATTGCCCCTATTTTGGGACCGCCAGTACGGCACTGAGAGGTGACCTCAAAATGCTGCCTCCAACACTCACAATACTCCCTCTACGATGATCCGTAACCGTGAGATTTTCCTTCACTGGAACTGGCGGGAGAGCGCCACCTGCACAAGACTCTTGTTGCAATACTGGTTTCCTTACCAGGCTGGACGGCAGAGGGACTGGGAAAACAAAAGGAAAAGCAGAAATTCAAAGAAGAGAGAACAGCCTGGCACACCTGCACGCAGCTCTTGTCGCTTCACTCAAGCAGGAGCCAGATCGCATCGGACTGGGTGGTACAGGGCAAGTAGAAAGGATAAGGAAAAAAAACAAAAAGTGAAAAGGTGAAAAGAAATGCGGGCGCACCTGCACGCAGCCCTTGTCGCAGTATTCCAGCAGGAGCCAGAGCTCATCGGGATGAGGGATGCCGCCGTTCTCGCGCTGCCATTCGTCACTGCTGACTCGCGAGTGACTGCGCAGCGCATGCGCGTACAGGCGGCAGATGGCCGGGTGAGTCAGCCCCTCGGTCAGCGCAGCTTCCATCGGCTTCCCGTCCTGCATCTGCACCTTGTCCGCATCGTCCACCACTTTCACTGCCACCCTCTTGCCCTGCCACGTTCCCCGGTACACCTTCCCATACGAGCCTGTAACAATTCACACATGGCAACTGTCAGCTCATGACTCTCCGCACTCTCAATGCCTGCAAGCATGCAGTGAAAAGAATGCAGCTGGATGTTCAGCACCAGCATAGCACGTGATCAGGAACTTGCAGCACTGCTGCCATGGTAACTCTCACAGAAAATCTGTTTTTCACTGAATGGTCACCAACAAGAACAGAAGTACATCTTGTTCGACACGAGACATTGGAAGCTCGCCGCAAGAGCAAGGGCAGGGAGCATCGCCTTAGCAACCCACGCAGCTGCGCACCAGAGCAGCGGCGTGCCCGCTGATATATGAAGCAGGACGATTCAAAGGCTGTTTATCCATAGAAGGGGGCTTCAGGCAGTCAGGTGATGTCAAAAGACGGTCTTGTTGGTAATTCGCTCACCCTTGCCGAGCTGGGGTCCAAGGCGCAGGCCCTCAAAGGGCAGCTTGCGCTTGCCGGCCGACGCGGCCAGCGCCGCGTTGCCGGGCCGCACCGTCACAAAGTAGTACTTGGTGCCGGCGGCTGCCGGAGCCTGTGTGCATGTGCCGGCAGGCACGCCGATCAGCTGCGCGTTTTCGTCTATCATGTCTGTCGTCGCAGGCCTGCGCGCATGAAGATTTGAAGATTGCTTCAATTGCTCAGGACTATGGCTGGAAGCAGTGTTGTGCCTGCACATCTCCTTAGTGGGAGTCGGGGGTTCAAAACAGGCAGGCACGGCAGGGAGCGCAGCATGTAGTAATCCATAGCATCTTGTCGCAGGAGGTAACGAGTCGGCATGTGCATGTTGCATGTGTGCCTTGTGGCAGCACGTGGCATGAGAAAGGCACAGGGAGGGTGAGTCACGCTGTGAGACCAATGAGATGGCCGTCAAGCCTTGGGCACCTAGCAAAGTGAAGCAGGCACAAGGGATGCTAAGGGATCACAGGCAGATCCACACCTGAACATGATGTTGAAGAGCTTCTTGGCGGAGAGGCCAGCGCTCTCGCAGTGCGCATTCTTGATCATGAAAGGCTTCTGCTCGCCTGTATAGTGCTGATACGCCGTCCACGGCTCCTGCACAGGACAGACTTCCTCCTCAGAAGACAGCCACATTACCACTAAGACAGACAGGATGGCATTCGCCAGCTGAAGCTGCAGGTGCCTTTTTGTGGGCACAAGTCTGAATCGAGGCGCATATTCCAGGATTGGAACACTCATGGACAGGCAAAGAAAGCAGCGGGAAGATGAGCTAGAAACGCAGCACACAATGCAATTCTTGAGGGGAAATGGTGCTCCAGGTTTGAGGCAGTAGATGGGAGCACCTGGTCTTGGGAGCCATCGATGCTGAAGAGGTCCCAGAAACGATGCTGCAGAGCCGTCTCCCTCGGAATGCCTGCGCATGTATTCTCAAAGCTAATGTCAAGGTTCCATGCAAAAATTTCCAATGCAACGGCTTTGTTTTGGCACTCCCAAGAATGAGCCAGGTGCCACCGCATACTCACTGAAGCCAGTGGCATGCAGAGCAACCTGCTACACAGCTGCATCATCTCCTCAAGACACCCTCCTCTGTACCACATCAGGCGCAACCCAGCTGCTCCTTCCTATACATGTAGGAGAACTCTCTCCATTTATCATACACACCATTTCAAATTCAAAATGGCAAAAAAGAGCAAGTTTGAGTCCGCACCGGTCTGCGCAGTGATGGAGTCATTGGCATGCAGCACGCGCCAGCCTGGCGCTGATGTGTCGACGACTAAGAAGGCCTGGCTGTACGTTGACATGGCACGCATGAGCTTCAGCGAGTGCCGCCTCTGGTACTGGGCGGCCCACGCCGCCTCCAGCTCGCGCACGACTAATTCTGCCAGGTTGCACAGAATCGCCGCTCGCTCCTCGTCAAAATTGCGCGGCTTCTGGTCCACCACGCATCTGCGCAGAGCACAGAATGAAAAGTCAGAACTGCACAAAAGCGCAGCCTTGTACCTTGGCACGAAAGTGTCATCACTGGGGCCGGAATGACCGCTCCATTGTGAGTTCTTTGGCTGCCTGTGATGCAGGGAAGGATTGCCGGCTCGCTGGTGCACTCTAGTTCAGTTTGAAGGTGAGAAATGATATGTCGTGAGCTCAGGGGCCTTCTGTTATGCAGGTATTCATTGCTGGCACACTGCTGCGCTTGGTAGACAGTTTGTTAGTCCGGGGGTGGGGCTGCAGATGGTTTGAGGGACAACTGCAAAGCCTGCTGAAGCTCTGCGGTGAGAACGGGGGCACCTCCTTATGAGAGGAAAGAGCTACAGCAGGGACTGGAGCTCCCCACAAATCATCCGGCCTTTTTCATCAGCCCAGCTCTTTAACCGGTCCCTATGTTGCGATCATCAGGGTTGCATGGGTGGGACCGTCATATGGGTGAGATCGAGGCACATCACAGATACAGAGTAGGTCGCTGTCAAGGAACACAGTATGCAATTTACTCCCCTTGCATTGTGGGGAGATGGAGGGTTTTGAGGGGCTCACAGCATGCCGAGGCGGTGGCCGTTGGATGCCACGAGGGGAGCTCCGCAGTAGAAGCGCACATGCGGCGGATTCACCACCGTCGAGTTGAACCTTGTCCTGTGCGCAAACAAAACACAATCTGTCCCTTTGCTTTATTGCTTCCCAGCAGGGCTGTGCTCCGCTGACAGGCTGCCTGCAGCACTTGCAAGCAGCAAGATGCAGACACATCCAACACACTAGCATGCAAGCATGCAATGAAAGGTAGATGTCTTGCCCCCGACTGGCAACATGGGCCTCATGCAAAGGGTTCCTTTTCTGACACCAAACTACCAGATTGTCTGCCTGGAAGCCTAACCTGCCCCTTGGCTGATTGAAAGACATGCAAGGAAGTGCGAGCGCCAAGAAAGAACAGAGGGCTGCTCATGCGGTGTACACATACTGCATAGACAAATTAGAAACATCTTCCGGCCAAGAAACACTGCACCTCACATTGCACACATGCTGTCAAGTGTGTCTAGGTGAGACTAACAAATAATAACTCAAATTCAAATATAGATGCTTGCGCACCTGGCGTCCTCGTGGGTGTCTTCCACGATGACCATCTGGTGCAGCGTGGGGACCAGGGACCAGTGGCAGATGGCCGGGGGATCCAGGGAGATCCCCCCGCCCTTCACCAGCCCAGTTCCACACTTTATAAACTTCTTTTCCCCATCCAGCAAAGACACCATTATGGTCTCGACGCCCAGAACCGTGCACGCCAGCTCCAAGATGTGATCTGCGCACGCCAGACGTGGGCTTTACTTCCTGCTTCCCATTCTGCTCAAGGAGAAAAGGCGCACATCAAAGGCAGTTCGAAAGCCAGTGCCTCGCAGATTTGAGCGAAAGCAGCGACAATACAACCTTTTCCCAGACCAAGAGCACCATAGTGACATTGCATGCATACATTCAAATGTTTTGTTGTGCAGCTTGGGAAGCATCTGATCACATGCTGGCATTCAGGAGGTGTGTCCAACAGACTGACCAGCCCTCCCTCTAGGCTGCCAACAATGCTGCAAGCAAAGATGGCTTCGCAAGCCTGGCAGCTACTAGCGGCCGAGTTATACAGTGCTTGATTTGTGCGGATCAGCTGCGTACCTATGTTGGGGTCGGGCGGCGTGCCGACTTGGCCCATAGAGAGCAGCGTGGCCAGCCGCTCATCATTGACTGCCGGCAATGGAGCACCCAAGTGGATGTTGTACGGGTTCCCCTGCGCGCATAATTTACGCGCGTTCGTAACGAACATAATCCAGGATATGTCTGCTTGAATTTGTCCTGCCTGTAGGGTGGTATGTGGAGGGATAGCCATAACAGTGCTGCCATGTTTGTGTGAAGGTATTTGGCAGGAGGCCCACTTGAGGCCGAGTGGCATCTTGCAAATGATGTTTAATAACATCATTTGAGATCATTGGAGATGGGGAAGCCGATCAGACTTCCATGCGCCCTCCATGACAAGACAGAACCCCATCTGACATCCAGCCTAGTGCTGAGGGGAGCATCAGCGGCTCAGCAAATACCTGAAGCTTCTATCAAAGCCAGCAAAGGGATTGCGTGGCAGTCAGCAACAACTCCATTGCCAAGAAAATCGCAGCTGGAAACCCACCAAGATGCCTAATGCACCTTGACTCGCTCAGATTGGATGACAGAGGGGTACGGCGCACGTCACAACTGCCTCAGCCGCCTCAAAGGAGGAACAATGGCAACAGGAGCCGCGCACGCAAAAGTATCAAGACTTGCAGGTATCCTGCCAGGTAGTGTGCCAGCTGCATTTTACACCACCCAAGTCTGTTGCAGGCAGCAGCGCACCTCGATAGTGGACTGCGTGAACGCGTTGAGTGGCACATTCAGGCGGCTGGGGGAGACTGGGTTGCAGTCGATGACCTCTATCAGGGCATCCGGAGTATCACCGCCCGCAAGCGCCTGTGGAACAGCCGCCAACAGTGAGTCATGCATGCAATGAGCTGCCATACACAGCTGCCCTTTGCACCTATCTACAGGCCAGCAGTGCACTGAGACACCAGGAGACCTGAAGCAGCCCCCTTGCACAAGTCTATCCCAAATTGGTAGCCCAACAGCTGGCTCCACCAGGATGTGACAAGGATATGGCCGCTCATGGCTTGCAATAAGAGTTAGTTGTGAGGGGTAAATCGTGATCAGGGATTCAGGGAAACTTGCCTTTACACGGGTGTTTCCGTCCAGGGGGTATGCCAGTGGCGCAGCCGTCTCGTTGGGAGCGCTGTTGTCAGCTGCTTCCGCAGTGGCAGAGACGTGCACACGCGTGTCAGCGTTGAGATCTGCGCGCGCCAAAGCCTGGACCACCTTTGCGTTGGTGGCATCCTGCAGGTCTGCTGCCGTCTGCGCAGGTGCAGGCTAAAGTCAAAGCTCGCATGCTTTAATTCTGCCAGCTGGTAATCTGCAGGCAACAGTCATGTGCGTGGTTGAGGCCGCTGTGAAGAGCCTGGCAGCCTGTTGTGAAGGTGTGGGGCTCGCTAGCTGGGATGTGCCCCTTTCAGAGGTGAGCCAAAATGTCCTGGAAAACCTGACAGGCTCCCAAACCCAGGTAACACATCCTTCGAATTTGCTACATTCTATGCCCTGAGCGCTCATCCGGCGCCATATCTCATTTGTACGTACAGGACAGGAGCGACTGAAAGATGGGGCACCAAGACCTGCTGACTGGTGCGCCAGCCTCGACGAAACTCACACCATGTGCCTTTCACACAGCAAAATTCATTGCGTTCTCAGTCACGCTGATATAAAGCCGCTAATGCCCCGTCTTGTGTGCGATCCCAAACTAGCAGGATTCACTGTTGTCCGCAAAGTGCAGGAAGCCGCGTACCTTGTGTGAAGCGATCTGACCATTCTCCTTCGATTTTTGAACGGATGTTGCTAGTACGTTGTCTCCTTTCGTGATCGGCGCTGCCGAACAACAGGAGAGGAAACCCATCCCGGGTCCACTCCTGAACGTCCTCCAACGTCTTCTCTTCCGTGAGAGCTGTGTCCTGCTTGCCGCTCAGATGCAAATAAAGTTGTTGGCGTCACGATAACATTAAACTGCACCAGCATACATTCGTGGCCCTAAATATCGTTGCAGACGCGGAGATTTTCTTTGGCGAAAAAGTTCCTCCAAATCTCAAGAGGTGACGTTATTTCGGGCACGGGGCATTCGTCAGCAAGAGTGTTTTCTCCAACCACTGCAGAAGTTCCAGCTGCTGGTCCAAGCCTCGCACGATCGGGGGTTTCCTGCAGTGTCATGTGGCCAGAAGGATTGTGGATCACAAGTACCTCCCCGCTCGAGGCTTGCAGCGAACAAAACACCGACTAGCACATCCGGGTGACCTTGGCAGTCAGGAAATTCGCCCTACCACGCAAGATTTGTCTTGGCCCTCACTCCTATATCCTGCGAGGCGGTGTAAGCTTTAGGGCGCGGTCGGACCTCCGAGCACGTACCGAAGGTTCGCAAATTGTATGACATGCTGTATGGTGTACTGCTCTCCACCCTGCGCACAGTCTTTGGGTCAAGAGGAGCAGCGGCTCTGGATATGTGCTTGATACCATTATCCTTCAGGAAAGTGGCAGCATTCTTGATGACGGTTCTGGCAACTGTGCAAGACCCTAGATATAGTTCACATCAAGGGATTCCTTGGGTAGCTACAGAGCTGTGCAAGCCACCTGTCAAATCGAAACTCACCTCTTTGATATGATGTGACGATGCCTGCCACTCAAAGACGTGGTCAAGGGATGTATTGGATCGAGGTTTCAAAACTTGAAGCAAGGGAGTTTGATCACACTGGAGGGTGCACCACGAGGCTGCATTCAGCAGCTCAACGCCGTCTTCACCTTCTTTTGTGAGGGCTGGCACTTAGAAAGGGACTGGAAGAGGGCTTAGGGATGCTTATGACCGCCAAAGGGGCTTCTTCCCTGCCAGACCCCCAAGAGAATCTTTTGCCTGGCCTCTGGTCCTCTTGTGCCCCTCATCTTGCGTAGTGCAGACATCTCCCTGATGAAGTGATATCTATTTCAAAGCCTGCCATGGCCCATGGTCAGCATGGCAAAAGCAACAGCTGCCCTCTCCTGTTTACAGCAGGAGCGCACCAGCTTAGTCTTCATCATTCCCACCTCTGCTGTAAGCAATAGGAGCGCTGAAGGAAACTGCAGCGTTAGGCTTTCTTCTGATCATTCCTCGTGCATCCATGGTGAGAATAGTGGGCCGCCAGTGGACTTGCGCACCCTTTTACTGACCCCAGGGTCTTATCCCTTGTCTTATTTTTGCACAGGGCATGACGAGTCAAGATGCGGCGGACGGCGCTGTGGTCCCCTACGACCCCAGTGTCTTCGAGGGTTACAAGGGACCCCCGCTGCCGCCTGATGAGGACGAAAGGTCTCTCATTCCTCCACAGATGCCTCCACATATTCCTCCTCTTTGATCAGCCCTGTCACCTGAGCATGCATGGGCGCATGCGTCATCAAGTGCAGAGGGCGTTGCATTGGAGCCTTGTGCAAGTACCGAAAATTGTGCTGTGAATGAGTTGTACACCTTCTTGCAAAACCCATTTCTCCCTTTACGGCGTGGCAGTCAAAAGCGCTCGATACCAAGCAGTACAGACTCCTGGCGGGCTCTTCGCTGTTTGGCAGAGCTTTGGTGATGGCATGACTCTCACAATGTCGCCTTTTGGCAGTGTTTTCACAAGTGTCACGCGCACACCATCCGAGAGGGCGTCAGGCAAACCACGGGAGCCTGTCACTTGACACATGTTGCCACATGTTGCTGAAGGGTGTGCGCTGTGTTGTACTGCAGGTGCCGCACACTGGAGACTCTGGACGTACAACCAGAGGTGGACGACCCGGTGCTGTCATCCCTCTGCAAGCTGCTCTGCTCGCTGCTAAAAGTGCCCGCAGCAGGTGACTCACCCGCAGCCAACCTGTAATCGCTCACATTCCGCCCGGTGCTGGCATTGCCTGGTGACAATGCCGTTCTCCGCCCCGATGCCACTGGTGTGGGATGCTCACAGCCACACACGCATGTGATGCCCCTTCTGGGGCTCTCAGGCTGAACATTGCTCATATTTGATTGATGTAGCTGGGTGAGAGATCCCGTGGCGCCATAGGATGGATGGGCCCTGCCTATCTTGGTACAGTTCCAAGGTTTTACGCCCTGCCCCAAGTTGCATGCAGTGGCAGGGCCATCGAAACGCCCATATGACAAATGCACTTAAAGTATTCGCAACTGATAATTTGAATTTCTGGGGCTGCAGCGGTGTCGATAGTGGAGAGGGAACGCCAGGTGCTCAAGTCGACGGCGGGGAACATTACTCGCTGCGTGGTCCCCCGTAGCGCCTCCTTCTGCCAGCACACCTTTGTGCACAAGCTGCCCGTAGTCATGGTCGTCGAAGACACCCTCAAGGATGTCAGGTGGGTTCCTTTCTAGCCTCGGCATTTTTGGCTACTCAAAAAGCAGGCTAGCAGATACCTGTATGTGTACTAGTGGGCACAAGCTGCTCTTTGTCATGGTTGTCGAGGAAACCCTTCAGGGACATCATGCGGGGGCCCTTCTCTGGCCTCTATTGTGTGAATCTACGCTCTCTGCAGCCCTTGCCTGACTGCAGCCCTTGTGCTATCTCATGGGGCCTCATTTGATCTGCCACAAGAAGGGCACCTGGCTCTGCAGTACTTTGGGATCTTTATGGTCCTAAACAAGCAGATGGCCATAGGTGGGGGACCGCATTTGCATCACATACTAGCGCACACGCCAAAGGACAGGCGCCCTCGGTATGCAGAGGCACAGAACCCTCTGCTTTTCACTGCAAGCCCCTCGACCTGAGAGTGCCTGCGGGGCTGCAGCTGTAATGCTGTGCCATGGGGACACGGTCTGCTGTGCCAAAGGAAGGGCACCAGTCTCAGCACACCGAATCTCTGTCAGGGCGCCAAACCCTGCGCTGTTCACCGCGCGCCCCTTGGCCTGAGACCCTTGCTTGCGTGGCTGCTGCAGATTTGCGGACAATCCGCTGGTGGCCAAGGGCGTGCACCCCATCCGCTTCTATGCAGGAGCACCCCTCATCGCTTCCAACGGCCATCGCATTGGCGCCATGTGAGTCCCCTGTTCTCCATGCTGGCAGAGCCGCACTTGAAAATGCGCCCACCCATTTGAAATACAGTATGCTCTGCATACGTACAGCTGTGCACAGCGCGGGCTGGAAGCCTGCCATGCACTGCAGTGTTGATTACAGCGCGCGGGAACGTTCGGCCTGCACAGAAGGGAAATGGCCGAACTGTTGCAAGCGCATGGGTGGTGGTTGGTAGTAGCTGCTCCTTCTTGCCAATTGTAGCGTTGCTAACACAAGCGGAAGAGTGGGGGATTGCTCTGGCCTAGGTATCACCCAGTTGATGCAAATATGCAGTCTCCCAAACCAAGGGCAGTTCATCAGGAAACTTTGACCCTGCCACCATGTCTGATTGACTGCCGTGTGCGTGTTCCCCTGCCTTCGTAGAATCTGATGGGGAAGGGTGTTTCTAAACGAGAGGGTCATTTTTTGCGCAGGTGCCTGATAGACCAGAAGCCGCGCACGTTGAGCGTGGAGGATTACCGCGTGCTTTGCACCTGCGCAGAAATGGTGGTCCGCAGATTGGAGAAGCAGCAGTTTGAGCTGCTGGAGGCGAGCGCGGCCGACAAGATGCTGCGCACGTTGGACACTCTGCGGCGGCCGCTGCTGTTGGCCGACATGAGCTTGCGCGGATGGCCCGTGCTGCACGCCAACGAGGCCTGGCTCAAGCGCATGGGTGCGCGCCACTTTTTTCGTTTTCGGCTTCATATTTGTCTTGTGAATGTTTGCTGCAGGGTGCAACACGTGCCAACGGAGAAAGTCTTCTGCCATGCGCCCAGGGAAGCTTGGCATTTGTTAGTGCGTGGAATTGAAACACAGTTGTGCACGGGTGCAGCGCATTCCCTCCGTAGTCAAGACTGAGGGCGTTCTTTCTGAGAGTGGCATTCATTCTACTAGGAACGTAATTTTCTCATGTTGTGAGTGTCATGTTGCTGTGCTGCAGCGCTGCCAAAGGGGACAGAAATCCGCTCGCTGCCCTTCTGGGACTACTACGAGGCCACTCAAGACTCACAGGTGCGCACTTGCTTACTGCCTTCACTTCAGGATGCTGTCAGTAATGACGCCCTTAAACGCACAAGCACCAACTGTGCATGAAGGCTGATGATCGTGAGTATGTTTGGGTGACTTGACATATATGTACCTGCAAAGTGTGAAGGTGAGGCTGCTTGTCAAGGTTACCAAACGGATTACTTGAAAGCTGAGTGTGCCCTACTGCACAGGAGGCAGTGGTGGAGGGCTTCAATGAGCAGATCTCGCAGCAGAAGCCATTCTTCGTGTCGCTGCAGCTCAAGGACGGCTGCAACAAGGGGTGGCCTCTTCAAATGCATTTCAAGTGCGGACTCCCCTAAAATCAACCTTGTTTTTGTGGGGTGGAGGTGCATCATGCAGCCTATGGTGTCCTGGCAAAGCCCGGTTGTAGCTTAGACATCTCAGGTCTTGCAAAGGGGTTTCAGATGCCATGATGCCTCAGCTCCAAAGATGGGCAGGTCGCATCAAGGTTTCAGATGGTTGCATCCCTCTTTTTTGACTTGAAATCAGCAACCCCGGCGGTGGTTCGACCACAGCAGGGGATCTGAAGTATTCTAGTGACAGGTGGAGAGTGCCCAGTTAATGTGGGACAAAGGAAGCCAATTTGAGCGAGTCTTGTGGGCTTGCTGCAGGCCTGCGACACAAGGATCCCTAGATCCTTTCACGCCGGAAATTGCCATTCCCGAGGATGCGCCGTTCCATGACAACCCGGCAGATGACCTGCCTTACTACATCGTGACTATCCTGGACGACGGCGAGTCATCGCCAGCTCAGCCGCCCCAGGCCAAGGTGACCGGCTCACCATGAGCTTCATTTTCCCAAGGCAATTTCTGCCACCCCTACAGAATTTCAGAGAGGGAATTTTTCCATGGTTTGTGCCTTTGGCGTCGAGCAGATCTATCTGTCTGAGGCATGCTCAGGCTTGTTGAATTCTTCTTAATGACGTGAACCCATGCGATGATATGGGATCTTTTGGCGCCTATCCTTCAGGAGCAAGGCAGGCAGATTTTGTATCACCCTGGACTTTTGAGAGCGCTGACTGGCTCGTCTGGGATACCACAGCTGTCTTGCTGCCGCCTAGATGTCAAAGTACTTTATCTTTATCTATTTTGTAAAATCAATAAGACTTCCAGCTGCCTGTTCCTGCCAATGGCCTGCCAGCTGCTGCAGTGGTCAGTAATATGCTCATGCATGCGCGCAGGCGGCAGTGCCTCAGAAGGGGATGCCCCCGGCTTTCAGCACCGATTCAGCGATCGGCACAGATGCAACAAAGAAGGTCCAAGTGCAACCGGAGACACCAGCAGCAGATCCAGTTGCTGCAGAACCTGCTCCAACCGCCGTAAAGCCTGCTGCAGAGGCCAAAGGCACCGAAAAGAAGCTCGGCTGCTTTGGCAAAGATTCAGACTCGCAGCGAGCCTGTGTGATCTCATAGGGGTAGATGCAGCAGGGTGAATGCACCGTGTGGAGATGTTACAGAGTGCAACAAGCTGCAGTATTTGCCAGGGGCAACAACACCGGCTTTGGCTTCAGAGGCGTTTGGCCATCTGAGACCCGAGACAGCAGTGAGATATTAGCTTTGTTGCACATTAAAGGCACTTGCACAGCACAAGATCATATTCAGGACCTTATAGATGACTGGACTTCACTGGTTTCCCTTACAAGGCTCGCGAAACAAGAAGCCTTGTTATTTGATTGTGCCGTCGCAGGGGAGGCTGCTGCAATCTGGATCTGGCCTACACCTGTCCTTTATCAGGCCTCTAGCTAAAATGGCCTTGAGGAGCTTAAAAATACTGATCCTTGAAAGAGCTTGAGGGCAGAGTAAACAGTGTTGTAATTGGAAGTTGAACCCCTTTGAGGGGGCGTTGTACGCACACGGGCTGGTCTCAGATGGCACCATCTGAAAACCAGGGTCCCATAGATTTTATAAAGCTGACATCTTTGCAAGGGATTGCCGTGAGCGCTGCTGACAATGTGCAAGTGATTCTGGCAGAGTGCAGTTTGTCAAAGGGCCACTCAACCTTGTTGATATTCAGACTGCGGCAGACAGACACACAAACTTACAGTAATTATTGGTGCTGTGTTGTTCACTCGCAGATGCACTGCATAATGTGTTGGGGTGAGGCCTTTCAGGGACAGCCAGCATTTGGGGTTGAGGGTGCTCAGTGTGTGGGGCCTTGAAAGCTAGATGTCTGAGTTGTGGCATAACACATGCAATTGAAATTTAGAACGGTGCGCTGACATCAGCAATCTGAGATTTGCTGACATCAGCGCCATGCTGTGCTTGATGCCTTGCTCTGTGTGGGCTCAAGACAACGAGACGCTGCCACGTGGACTGATTAGCAAGTTGTTGTGATCGTTGTGCACTGGACACTTTTCCAAGCGGGTGTTGTCAGCTTGACAAGCAAGGACATGCCCTGTATGATGTTGCTTCTACTATATAAATTAGGCCAGCCTTTCAATTGCCTGACTGGAGCTCGTCCTGATTTGACGAGTGTAGTTTCGTGGCATTTTTACGGCTGTGGAATGCACTGTACAGTTGTTGACTTGGAAGTACAAATTTTGGTAAATTTGGAATTTGGTTTCTACCCTAACCACTTGATGTGGTGGCTGAGTTCATGATTTCACACATGCCTGTTGCTTGTACAAGTGCCCAACAGGTTGAAGTTGCAAGCAATGCACATGGAGGTGCATTGGCCCATAGTGAAACGTGAGCAATGGCACATACTATGATATGCAACAACATAATCTGGCATGCTCATCTGATTGCACATCTAGCATCAAGTCTTGCCTTTAGGGAAACTTCAAGCAATTTTGCCGTTGATGCTAGTTGCTCAAGAAACAGACATTCTAAAATGTGCAGCTCACTTCTTTCATTGCGTCAAGCCTTTTGCAATTCTTACACCGCCCTGAAGGTTCGCAAGCTGTGCGCCATCACTTTCAACGGCACTTTGATGACACGCTGCTTCACGGCCCTCAGCACCTTCAAATCAGTCCGCCCGGTATACTCCTGCTTCTTTCGCCACCTGAGCCCAAGAGAGCAGCACATACAATATCATGCACTCTCTCATTCAGATCAAACAAGGTTCTCTTTGCCGCTTGATCATGCATCTCTTTCCCACTGTATGTCCTCCAACTGTAGGAGCAAAGATCCAGACGCACCTGGGATATTGGTCTGGGGGGACAGCAAAGAACAACTCAGCATCTGTTTTGGGGTCCTTCCTCAGCTGTTCAAGTGCATGGCTCAGCCCAGTTGCATTGATGCTGTGTTCATTCATCAGCCACCGTCATCTGAAAGAGATACTGCGGCTGCTGGATGCTGTCGATGGCTGCCTGGTCCGACCTGGACGGGATGCAATATGTCCCCGCCTCCTGGTCCGCCACATCCTTCAGGTCATGGAAAGTGTAAATGCTGGTGCAGGGAGGCAGGTCCAGGGTTGTTTGTGTCCCTACAAATGTAAGACAAGCAGCTCAGCAGATGCGTGCCAAAGCAAAATCTGATAGCATTACAACCAGGTATCAATGTGCAATGTGATATGGCTTGAGCAAGCAGAATAATAATACGGCAAAGCTTGGCAATAATTTACTATAAGGTGATTATATCCAACGGTGGAGTGGCGCACGCACCCATTTCCAAGTCCCACACATCGAAGACGCCACCCCCCCTTAAGATGCGGTGAGCCAGCGGCTCAAACAACTTGCCACACACATCATTGAACTCCTTCCAGCCTGCAGTGATTGCGATGAAACTCTGCATCGAAGTAAGAGGAGATCAGAAAGCAGAGATTACAATAGATGCATGCGTGAGGTCCATGCATGGAGCGTGGGAAAATAAGATCAGAGTAATCTAAGGCAGCACGCCCTTAGAGCAGGGGGAGATGTCAACCTGCAGCGGCAGGGCGGTGCCCTTGCAGAACTTCTCCCCAAGCTTGCGCCCAACAAACTCAGACGCAAACATCTTGTTTGTTTACATGAAATTGGGCGCCACGTTGATGTGAAGGAGGCGGTGTGACACCTGCAAAGCAGGCAGCATCCCATTATCCAGCAGGAAGCATAAAACACGACATGTGGGAAACAGGCAGGGGTAAGGCTGAGGAGACGTCAGCGCAAGGAGGAGTAAACGAGGCAAGGCAGCCCCCACTAATCTCATCTGCTGAGTCGATATCCCCCACCGCCTTTAAGATATCATCCAAGTCTACCCTAGCGATGGCCGACCCCAGGTCCCTCTGTTGGGAGGTATTCCTGGCCAGGTGCAGCACGTACCGCGCTGACCCGCCCCACTTCTCATACAGGGGGGCAAGATCTCGTCTTCCCTCAGCTCATGTAGGTGGCGACCCGCGTCTAGCTCCAACCAGCTCCAGACAGGCATGTAAAGGGTTGCCGCTCCCGCCTTGGCAAAGTCCTACAACACAAAAAGCAAGTACTTGCTTGATACAATTCCCATTCTGCACACATTTGGCCCGACACAAGCACACGCAGCCAGACAACACATGAGAGATGGATGGGGTCATCATCACTTTAAAGATCTCTCTCTTGGGGCTTGAGGTGAGGATCGTCTTCGCTGCAACCTCCTCCGGTTCCCTGGTGTCCACCAAATACCAAGTGGTTTTCTGCTGCAGCTCCTTGTCAAATGCCGTCAAGGGGCCCATACGTACAGAATCCCTATGCCACATGCAGCAACGCTTACTTTAGGATGGACACGAAACGCATTTCTGCTAAGCAGAAAGCCTCACTGTCACGCCCTCTACAAGAGTGCTAACTATAATACACATGTGGTCGTCGGCGGACGCATGAGAATATACTCATTGACTCCACATGCTGCCGCCTCAACATCTGTGGCTCGCCTTGAGAAGCAGATGCACTGTGAGGAGCCCTTGAAGTCCACCACCGCCGTGTCACCCGCTGTGGCCAGGTGATACATTACGTAATACTGCCAGACGGTCTTCCCAGCGCCAGGAGTGCCAGTGATGATGAAATTGTTGCTCTCTTTGCCTGCGTGATAGGCCTATGTACTCACTGCTTCAAATGCACATCACCAGCCTTTCCTTCGGCAAGCGCAGGGCTTTCATGAGCAAGACAATAGCATGAGAATGCAGGTACCTTCGCACACCAGATCCCACAGCTCAGTGTAGCAGGGCCGCAGCAGGATCTTTGCCATGTTCCGTTCAAGGCCCAAGAAGTAGGTGCCCTGTTGCAAGCTCATCACCGTGTATCCTCCAGGCCCAGCCTTGAGATTTGCATGCGCCAGATTCCTCCAAAATTGTACCCGTGGGTCATCTGCGCACGACATCAACAGACCTCTGCCATGCACCTCTAGCTTGCAGATGTGAAAATGCTTGTCACTATCAATGCTTGCAACAAATGCAGGGAAACGGGGAAGTCCTAGACATGATGAGATGTGAGAGCCTACCTGGAGGAAGCTCAACAGGAACAAATCGATTAAAAACCAAGTACTCTACCATTCAGTTAGCAACCCTTAAGCGGTACACTCTCCCTGCAGCTTCTGGCGATCTGCAGAAAATGAGCTATCTCAGAAGGGGCATTTGTTTAGCTTGGTTTTGAAGTGCCATGAATCACAGTGGATCCCGTCATCCAACACTCCAAACATCATTGCCATCCACACCTGACAGAGGAATGGTGGTCCATTCTGGCAGTAAACGGCAGGCATCATGATTTACTTAACATGCAACTGGCCCTGGCAGCATCCCAACAAAGGCCAGCACACCCAAAAAGGTCTGCAAGGGCCAAGACAGGCCGCATGGCTCTGGCCAGGGTCTGGCAGACACGAGCACAGCTGGCAGCAGATGCTGAGCCCCCACTGCAGAGGCAGAATAACATACATAGCGACAGCGACAACGACAAATTGGCTTATTGGGGACGACCTCCTTCTTATCTAGTAGAGTCCACAGTACTGTCGCATCGAGAAGAGCTCTTAAACAGATCGCTAATTTGTTCTAGAGTTTGCCGAGCCAGAGAACTTCTGAGAGAAGAGCCTGGAATACCAGTCAGATCGACAGTGTCCCTTCAGGATGCCTGCGTTAGACAGCAAAAGGGCCTTTCGCGCGCCTGATCTGGTGCCTGGCAGCATTTGGTTTTCGGATAAGGCATTGCAAGCTCTTGTGCACTAGACCATCACGAATGACATGGAGTTCTCAAAGAATCTAATTTGAGATGGCGTTCAGCTCAGCTGCAAGAACGCGAACGAACGAGGAAGAACCATGTAACGATTTCAAACCTAGACTGCTAGTAAGACTGTTCTCACTCTCGAGAGAGATGGACTTACGTTTTCTGCTCTAATTCTTCTGATCTCTTCGATGCTATCCCCTGTTCGCCGCAGCAGTAAGGGAAACCATAACATCTGTCTTTACATACTTGGTGCCGGCAGCGAAATTTCCTCAGCAGAGGTGACTTTCTTCCAGATCCAGTATTTTTCATCGGTTCAGCCAGCTTTTTACAGGCCTGTGCGCGTACAGAAGGTCAAAAAACCAGCGAGAAACAGTGCTAAGAAGGTGAGCTGACGTGACACAGATCACGCTACGATGACTCACTGCCAGCTGGAGCACAAACGCTTTTGTGGTGCCTTTGATCCGGACTTGCTCAGTCCCAGCAAGGTAACGTCGAATCCTCAAGATTCGAAGATGTCGTGATCGAAGTCTTCAGATTGCTTGTGGCCTTTTGTAGTGCGACCCCCAGCGGGAAATCCAATGGCAGGATATAGCGATGCAGTCTTTCGTAGACATATTTTTGGTTGCCGCATGCCATCCAGGACGGGACTAATTCTGACGCGGAGCAGCCTATCGTACAGAGTGTCAGGGACATCCTCAGCTGCCAAGGTCAGCAAAACAAAATTGGACTCCAAACCGGATCCAAAGGCTGTGCTTATCGAGCTCCAGCGTCTGAAGGCACAGAATGAACGCTTGCGCCAGCAGCTAGCAGAGAGGGAGCGCAATTTGAATTTGCGAGAGAGTCAGGCTCCCATTGATTCACCGGTGGAAGATACGGAACAGGCTTCTCCTAGCCAGGATATTTTAGGTGAGCTTTTACAGCCCACAGTCCTTGTCATACCACACCTCCAACCCTTACTATGCCCATCAACAAATCCCAAAGTCGCGTTCTTTGCAATTGCTGACCAAGGCACATCGTTGTTTCGCTTGTCTGTCCCCTGATGCCTCACTGGCAGGTTTGCCAACCTATCTTCATTGACGACGTGCTTTCAAGAGGATCTATCTTCGCTTCGTGTTGCTCGAATGAGGAGTCTTTCAGCTACATTAGACAGGTTCCTTTCCTGCTAAGAAGCTTGCTGGTGTGTAGGCGCGGATGCAAATGCATTGGAAGCGCGAGCAGCGGAGCCAGCTTTGACATCTCAACCTGAAGCTGGAGCCACGCAGTCTCCGAGTTCAGGCACAGCAGCGAGCCCGAAAGCAGCATCTGCACCGGCCTTCCTTGAGTTCCCCACTCGTGCAGATGAGAGGCGAGCAGCCCAAGCCACCGCCACTGCACAAACAAGCAGCCCTGCAGTGACAGAGGTGAGCAGCCTCTGCAGAAAGTGGCAAGTGGGACTCCTTTATATACCTGTCTTGTCTCACTGTGCATGTCAAGTAAGGAGCTTGTCAGCACGTGTGTCCGTGATGTCCGGAAATGTACACCTGCTGGAATGGCATGAATGGCCGCTACACCATGGGTGTGCCTCTCATCAAATTTGATTCGTACATGGTCAATTGTGCATGTTCTTAGCGCAAAAAGTATATCTTTTCTGCTGCTATGTTGCTCCCGTGTTCACCTGCAGCTTGTCCGCCCATGCACCTTGAGTCTTGGCAGGGAGAGCGTGTAGTGTAGTAACAGTATCTATGTGCACCTGGCCCTTAAAGCTGGGTAATAATGATTGACAAATAATATCAGTAAATTTTGTGCAGGGGCGTGCCCAGAGTGGGAGGCAGGGGTCGCCAAAGCAGGCGGTGGAGCAGGCAGAGACGCCTTTGGATATAGTGTTTGTCAGCGCTGAGGTGGCGCCCTGGTCCAAAACAGGCGGCCTGGGGGACGTGGTCGGCTCGCTGCCCATCGCCCTCGCAGCCCGTGGCCACCGAGTCATGGTAGTCGCTCCCAGGTGGGGGGCCCCTGTGAGCCTGCTTGGAAATCGCACATGCCCATACTGTGGCTCCTGGCTTAGATTTCAGGCACTCAGGATCTGCAAGAGTTTCATACGGGAGGCAGAAGCAAATGTTTGGTGGTCCACAACACACCTAGTGACAGATGCTTTATGGTGTGGACCATCCAGCATATGAGAACACCCACAGGATATATGCGAGGACCTGAGTACATGGTGTCCTTTTTAAAACACCCTTGGTCCTGCATGTCATCACGCCGGCAAGCTCTATAAAATTGCACACCCTTGCAATATTTGTACCGACCGCTGTGTGCACTTTGTGACACAAGATACTGTTGCGCGCAGGTACATAAACGGCAAGAGTGATGCGCTGTATGCGGGAGCGTTTGACACCGGCTGCAGAGTGCCGCTGGACATGGGCGCGTGTGGGACCCAGGAGGTCGCATTCTTCCACCAACACAGCGACGGCGTCGACTGGGTCTTCGTCGACCACCCCTCCTACCACCGGCCCGGTGTGTTATTCCCCTGAAATACCGGTCTTGTTCTATTGTGACTCCCTTGTTTTGACCCCCATTCAATACCCCTGAACACTGTCCTACAGATGAGCTCTTCATTTGATAAATGCCCGGAAGACAGGGTGGCAAGGGACCAGCCCTGGCTTGGTTGTAGGGAAGCCAGCAAAGCAGACGTTTTGCGAAAGAAGTGCTGGGCTTTGACAGGTCCCTTCTATTGCCTAACCCCTGGGGTATCAATCTCCCATTGGAACATCTGCTTTGTGCTGAGAAAGGCCTGCTTTGCAGTGTGGGCTCTCAATACGCAAGAAGCATGCATGCAGGCTGCGTTGCGCTGTTCTCTGCCTTGATATCTTGTCATCCTCATCCTCGCTGGCTCTCTTGCTTGCATTGAGCTTGATGTTGTGCTTCCTGTGCAGGCAACCCATACCAGGATGAGAATGGCGTGTTTGGCGACAACCAGTTTCGCTACGCGCTGCTGAGCCTGGCCGCCTGCGAGGCCCCCCTGCAGCTCAACATCGGCGGCTTCAGGTGAGAAAATACGTGCACTCATTCTGCCAGCCAAAATGGATTACACAGTCCAGAAAACCGCTCGCAGCTGGCTACAGTTGATCTTTGCACGGCTTGCTTGGACAACAAAGAACAATTTGCGTGCCTGCTGCAAGCCCAATCTCGACACACTTGACATGACAAATGTGCTGCGTGATTTTTGAGATTTATACTCTGAGAGGGGTCTCGAAACTGGCTTTGGGTTTTTCAACACAGGTCTGGGTCGCCGCCTGGGTTCCCCTATGGAGACAAGGTGGTCTTTGTGGCCAACGACTGGCACGCCGGGTTGGTCCCCTCCTACATTGCCGGCAAGTACCGCAGAGCCGGCGTTTACAAGGTGCTGTTTCCTGTTTCTCCCCTCAATCTTGTACTTTGCCACTTCCACACTTCTGTGGGCATGACTATATTTCCAATGACCCAAAATACAGCATTCCTCTCGCCTTCAGTGGTGCGGCTGATATGATATTTGTGGCCAAGAGTGTGCAAAAAGCACAAGGCAACAATGCTGGACTAGTCGTGAGCAGGTAGGGCAGACAGTCACTGGAAGAGCTTTTACCGCCTCATGGCTGATTGAGATCTATCTGCTGACAGGATGCGCGGTGCATCTTTGCGATTCACAATCTGAGCCACCAGGGCGTGGAGCCGGCCGCCACCTTCAGCAACTTTGGCCTGCCCGAAGACTGGTGCGCGTGCCTCCCGGATGTCACTATTCAGTAGTATCCTTTCCACCAGCTCTTACCAGCAAGTCCGCTGTGCTGAACACCTCGATGATGTAACTGCAACACGTTGTTTGAGCTGTTTGCCTTTGTGTTACGCAGCAGAAGAACTGTGAAGTACCCTGAAAGTTACACATGCCGCCGAATGTCACATAAGTTGGTATCTTCACATTTGAAGTAAAAGCAATGATGTGTGCAGGTATGACCCGCTGTCGTGGGAGTACCCGAGCTGGGCCTCGATCAACGGCCCGGCTGTCAACATCCTGAAGGGGGCCCTCGTGGCATCCGACCGCATCGTCACCGTCAGTCAGGTGCCCCTTAGCTCCTTTTTGTCTTCAAAATTGATTGGCTCAGGGATTGTTGCCGGGTGCATGCGTGCATGCAAGCACAAAGCATACCCCTCACAACACTCTCTGCCGGGCAGGCGAGGGGCAAGTTACTCATGTTAGAAGCAATTTCTCCCATGGTTTTTCCTAATAGCCTGCGGACTCCCGTCAGGGAGACATCAAACCAGCCTTCTTGTAGGTTCTGTGCTGCTCACGATCTCACCTGTTTTAAATTGCACGGCCGCATATAATATTGCGCATATCCACATTAGTGCTCTCATGCAAGGCATTGGCCCACTCTCAGCGCTCCACAATACCCTGACATCACCACCCCTGGTGCGCAGGGGTACGCGTGGGAGATAACCACCCCGGAGGGCGGCTGGGGCCTGCACGGCGTGCTGCAGGCGCGACAGCACGTGCTCAACGGAATCACCAACGGGGTCGACACCGCCGAATGGGACCCCCAAACCGACGCGCACACGCCCGCGCCCTTCTGCGCGAACGACCTGAGGGGAAAGGCCGACTGCAAGGCCGCCCTGCAACGCGAGCTGGGCTTCAAGGTCAACCACGAGGTGAGTGCCTCGGTTGGAGCCCATCTTTTATGACCTTTTCACTGACCTTTATCCCTTGACCCTAGATTCACCACGTGGAAGGCCTCGCTGCGGTTCAAGTACCACCATGGATTGGTATTGCCGCTGACTCATCCGCCGCAGTTCCCCTTGCATGGCCGTTTGTGTCCGTGGCTTCTTGCATCTCAACAAGTATGCAGCGGGCCCTCGCGTGAGCTCATGTAACCATAGCTTGTGCGGCAAGAGGCTGTGAATAGAACTCAATACCCTGAAGCTGACACGAGCGTCCAAGACAGGTTTGCTTTTGAGAGACCCCTGGAGTTGGATGCAGCTGGATGTGATGACGCATTGAACGAGGTGTTGTGGTGATCAATGTGCTGGTGGGTGGCAGGTGCCGCTGGTTGGGTGGATTGGGCGGTTGGACCACCAGAAGGGGCCTGACCTGGCGCTGGAGGCCGTTCCCGGCCTCGCGGCCCGCGGATGCGAGGTGGGATTTTGTCCCACCCAGCCCCAGAGCATTGCTTCGATTCTGGGTGTGTGCCGTTGGAAACCGGTGCACATCATGGAGATAAAGGGCTGCACGCCTGTGGAGCAGGGCTGCATGCGCACATAAACAAACTGTTGACCAGTCAGAAACTCTGCGTAGTTCACAGCAAGCCAAGCCGTTGCCTCTCTTACCCTCTCATTGAGTAGCCACAAGAACCAGAATAATGTGCATATTGTCTCCATCATTTCTGCTCGGCCGGTGTATTGTACATGCCTCTTGCTGCAACTTCAACTTTGACTTTGACTTTGACTTTGACTTTGACTTTGTGGTGCTGCGCAGTTTGTTATGCTGGGCAGCGGGGACGCGGAGTACGAGAATGCAATGCGCGCAGCCGAGGCAGAACATCCGGCCAGCTTCCGCGGCTGGGTCGGCTTCTCAGTGCCCGTGGCCCACCGCATCATCGCAGGTGCGCGCACATGGCTCAGTGCTGTTCTGTCAGTTGGGATGACTGGCGTGGGTCTCGGACGTGGGGTTTTGCACGGTGCAACGTCTGATGTGTGGGGCACGCGGCACTGTCCACAAGTAAATATGCAGCGTTCTTTCATTTGAGCCTGGCAGTGTCAAACTTCCCATAGAAGCATCCCATGCCAATTGCCCTAATGGTGTTCGGGTTTCCTGTCAGCATTTGCAAATCAAGAGTCAACAGTAACCCCACCCATGTGGTCAATAACCTGCCTATTTCAATTGACCATGGAACCGATGGTCACGTTTTCGTTGCGCCATGCAGCAACAGAACGGTGTCATTGGTAACTCTGTTCAGCAGAGCATCAGCAGCAGCACCATCGGGGACATAGGCTGTTGAATTGTTTCAAAGAACACAACACCCAGATAACTGGCACTTGTGTGCGCAGGCTGCGACATTCTGCTGATGCCCTCGCGGTTTGAGCCGTGCGGGCTGAATCAGCTGTTTGCCATGCGCTACGGAACCATCCCCATCGCGCACGCCACTGGCGGCCTTCGAGACACCATCCAGGACTACTCCCCCTACGCCAGCGGTGAGCAGCCCCCTACTTTGTCCCTTTTCCTGATTGCGCGCACTGAGGGAGAACATCCGAACTGTCTTGCACAAGGTGCACTAATCACGACTGAAATGCAGCTCCAAAGAGTGTGGCCAATTTTGTCATTGTAGTCAGGCTCTGGTGGGCAGTGTTAAGGGCCGGGCATACGTCCCATCTCAATCTGGACAAAGACGCCGTTCTTGTTAGACCCTTCGTCCTAGACAAAGGGACCGAGCCTTGCTGCAGGCGCCTCTCAACAAGTCAACCGGTGATGTCTTGTATGCTCACGGCATGCATTGGACCCCCATGCAACGGCACTTCATATCAGCCTGGCAGCTTGCAGCATTTGATATTTTTTTTCTGACGCCGCGCAGAGCCGTCGGGCAAGGGCACAGGGTGGACCTTTTCTCCCCCGGACCCAGGGTCAATGTTGCGAGCGGTGGACGCAGCCTTGGAGACTCGCTGGCATCGGCCAGAGGAGTGGCAGGCCATAATGCGCAACGGCATGACCGCGGATCTGTCGTGGAACCGTGCGGCTCTGCAGTACGAGCAGATCTTCAACTGGGCGCTCATGGATGCGCCCGTGCGCGCCTACTGACTCGAATTTGAACTCAAATTTGAGCTAGGATGCCTGGCACAAGACCATGGACTTTTAATGGAACTGCTGGGTACGAGCAGATCTTCAAGTAGGCCCTCATGGACGCCCCTGTGCGCGCCTACTGGTTTAAATTTGAATTTGAATTCAAAGGTCGATTGCGTGGCAGTCTGAGTCAGCTGCTGCAGGGACCTTGTGAGACAGGTTCCCTATCAGTGTGGGGAGTTATAAACATGCCCATACTTGCGCGCATCTTAGAGCTGTTCAGGTGCATTGCTTATTCTGATTGTTGCGCATCGATTGCCATTCAAATTCGTGTTTGGGTTGACATGGGTTTGGTAACGCTGTTGCTAGTCCCACCAAATTTCAAGCTGTGAGGCCGCTGCAAACAGCAAAGTAAAGGCTGCCTGCTATGTGTAGTGCTAATTAAAATTGCAGAAGAAATCAATCTGTTTGTCGAGAAGATCAATAAATTTGGTTTATTCTGATTGTTGCAGGATGTGTCATGTCGGTTTCTGTGCTCGGGCCTGACCATAACTTCTTTGCTAATGAGCCGAAGTGACTGCTTTGTGTTTAGAATATGTTCAGGTCAACGCCAAATAGGTGGAGGCTCTCCTGCACGTCTCAAAGTTGACTTAGCCATTGCATGCTGTTTGTAGACTGGCGAGCTTTTGATCTTAGAGCGAGTCTGTAGATGCTGGCGCATACTGATAGGGGCAATTGATCGGTGAATAAGTTGCAACATTTGTAAGATCTAGAAATGAGTTGTGTGCGCTGCTTAAGCGTATAAATTCACCCAACCAATATACCCGCGCACGAACTGATGTCACACAGACAAGGCAGTGGCACTTCACCTGAAAGTCTATGCCCACAATCGTGAGGTGCAAGCTCAAGCAGACGCTGCTTACAGCACGTTCCTGCGGGTGCTGGACTTGTCCAGTAAAAACATATGCATGGGCCCAGCGTGAGGACTCCTCTTTCGGGCCCTTGGGCGACCTCCTTCCTCATTCCGTTGAATTTGTGTATGCATGAAGTCATATATCTTGGTCTTCAGCTCAGCATATGCATGCATGCAGCATGTAATAAAGCTTATATTCTGTGCCAAGGTGCATGCGGAAGGAAAGATTATACTCTCATGGAGCATCCTCTTTAAGGGCATCATTGTCCCAATCCTGACCTTTCAGTCTTTGACGAGGAACGACAACTGTCTATGTACTAGTATGCCCTATATTCCATCTCCAACGTTGGAATTCACAGGATCTCCGCAACTGCCTGCATCTATACGTACCAGCCTAATAAAGGCTATAAGAGCGGACTTGCACAGCAGCACAAGTCTGGCCCGCAGGTAGCTAATTACTGACCAGGCAGGGCTCTACGACACTCTGTAGACAGTGAAAATGGCTGCTGTCTAAGTCAGTTGCAACCATATGAACAGACTCGTCTGATGAGACCAACAAAAAGGAACAGCGCAAGTGCCAATCCCTTTTGTGGGTTCTGCAGACTCCTACATAATTGTGAAAGGGTGACAGCCGCTGGCTGGTCACCAAATAATGAAACTGTCATCTGTCACAAGTGCTGACAATGGGGTCAGCAAAGAAGAGTTAGTTGCCTTTCAATTCATGTCATAATGTTTGGATTCGTGTCAAACGCAAGCTAGGTTGGCAAGTGCTACCATGCATGCTCGCATTGTTATTTATGCACAGGTCCACAAAAGCACACGAAGAACATCCTTCATGCCGTGGCACCATGGAGGAACTGCCATGTCAGCTATTCAGCTGGGAGACTGCGCTCGCAATTGCAGGCTCCAATCTCATGCTCCCCCGCACAAGAAAATATCTGCGCTCAGCAACGGGCCATGCGGCCGCCGTTGCCACAGGAGATGGCGGACACCGTCGCAGCTGCGCGCAAATCACAAGTCATTTATCGCACTTTCTTTCATCAATAAGCAAATGATGGACGGAAGACGACAGGACAAGCTTGCAGCAGAGACTAGGCGGGATGCAATTGGCTATGCTGTTAGCACGGCGGTGCAGATTTCTAACTTAGGGCCCCTTTGACAACAATCCACTGCCACCTTGAAGGGTGAGATGGGTATTTGAAAATCGGCATGCAGCTGTCAGACAGGTCAGCTCTCTTGCGCTGCATGCAGAAGGTCCCTAGCAAAACTGAAGGGTGGCAACCCAAGTCCATGCGTGTTCAACTTTTGCAAACTCAGTTGTGCAAGCTCGAGGAGATCTGGCAGGTGCAAGGGTCCGTAGGGAGGAGCCCTGGAATACACCATGGAATATAATAAACATAAAAATATACGCACCGGCCTTGAGGGAGTCGGGGGTGAACCCTACAGGGCCGACAGCCTGGTTGTAGATGAACCTCTGGTCGAGGCAGTTGCCGCCAAAGAAGGAGTTGGAGTCCGAGCAGCAACTGCGCCACAGAAATCCCCACCATCAGTTCAATTTCATCAAATCATCAAGCGATCAAAATCAAGGCACAGAGCAACGTCAGCGCTGCGAAGGCTTCAAGCTAAAGACACAAGAGCTCTAACGCAGGCAGTTTCAAGTCTTACTAACTCAATTGTGTGGTTGTGTTTCGTGTCTGCAGCAATACCAGCTCTAAAGAAGGCGCCTCTCCCCAACATGACAGTGCCACAGCCAATTTTTTGCATGTATGCATGTGGGGGCGATTAGTTATCACAAAGGTTTCTGTTACAGTACGATCTTTTTATTTGTTACGTGCCTATCAGTTCTGCAGAGCCTCAGGAGAAGACACAATAAGAGTCATATGTTGGAAGACATGTGGGCACTGCTGCTTTTGCTGCTGGACGGCCCATATTTTAGGGTTTAGGGTTTAGGGTTGGGTAAATCTCCCTAGCAAAACCGGGGACTGACGGCTCCATGCCGCCCCCTCAGCAGCCCTCCATACAGCAGTTTGAAATTCGAACTTTGGGATGATGGCTCCAGGGAACCTCTTTCCCGGTGTCCCATACAGCAGATCAGATTTAAATCCTTGGGATGATGGTTCCAAGCAATCTCTTCCAGCAGGACTCTGGACAGCATTTTGAATTTACATATTATGTCAGCTTTGATGTCAGCACCGTTTTCTCTATTTTGAAATTGAATCCGTACCTGGCGCTGGGAGTGCCGTACTTGCCGCTCTGCACCTCGGACCGCAGAGTGGCGCACTCGGCTGAATTGATGGTGGCTGTCTGTTGCTTGACCTGGTTTGTGAAGGCAGAGCAGGTGTTCTGGATTGACAGACCCGTTCCAATGCAATCCGCGCCTGCACAGCAGCAGAGAGGCTGAATTGAGGTTACCGAATTATGACTGTGATTTTCACATGCTTTTCCTGCAAAGTGGCAAGGTGCGTCCTGCAGACATGTTGAAGGCTGCCACAGTCCTACCCCTTGATGGACTCGCCAGATGCAAGCAAGACCCAATCAACCGTGGGCACGGTGCTCAGTATTTATACCACGCCCTGCCAGCCCCGGCCAAGATGCCACATCCCGGTCTGTGTATTTGTGCTCCCTCTCATCGTCAGTCTGCCCAATGTAAAGGGGCGACAGGGAAGGGGCCAATGTGATAGGGCCTGCTCAAATTGAGCTGCAAAATAGGGGGCTGGGGATCTTGAAACATCCACCGACAGATGAAGAATAGAGACAAAAGAATCTTCAAGCAATTGCCTGCATGCAGACAATCTCTAGTTTGGCACCTCTCTGGGCGCTCGTAGCCATCTCTCATTCTTACACAGCACAAGATACCATTAGGTGCAAAGGCTTGGGTCTTGGGTTTCCACACCCAGCTGCAAGGCTGACAGGCTGAGACACTAAGTCCACAGGATTCTAGAAAGATAGGTGGTGGCATGAGATAGCATACACCCAGACCAGATTTGAGATACAGGATCCAATCGTAGGGGCGTACTGGCAGAAGTGATGGCAGCAGCCATCAAGGTGACGAAGACCGCTGCGACTGCAAGCTTCAGGGATGCCATCTCAGCTGCTGGGGTGTGGACGTGAAATTCCTGCAAGAGACAAGGGTCCAATGTATAATGTACAGTGATTGTCTTTTACTTGTTCTGGTATCAGAAGATGACATAAGACTTCACTGCTCGAACGGCTCGATGCAATTGGCCTCCTTTAACCCACTTGACGTGAAGGTGCTGGGCGCTACTATGGGACTTGACTCTAGTCTGTAGACGAATTTCTACTATCAAAGTCGGTTGGTCTTCGGTCAGGCCGAATTCAAACATGTAATCGCAACACCTGGCCTGAGCCTTGCGAGCCACAAGGCACGCGTGCGCCCAGTGGAGGACTCACGAGTCTAAAAAGTGTAATGCGAATCATTTAACCTTTCGTGTGCTTTTAAAAACCCATCTGTGCTCCCCTTAAAGCTCTGGAACCTGCCAGGTGTCAAGCGGGGCTTTGATCAGCTCTGGCATGCCGAACGTGATCTGGCGTCTGCGGAGTTAGGTTACCTGGAAGACGTGTATTGCAAGGTTGTGATAGCGCCAGGCAACGCGTCCACTGTAATATCCTTCGAAGTTTGTGGGTGTTAGGGCGATGTTGGGGTGAAAGGAGATAGCAGCCCGTTCTGACATAAACTTGAGCGACTCCTTGTCCGCCTCGGTGGCACTTGACATGGAACTGATTGCTCTCTTCCATGAAGTATCCATGGCCCATCATTCTTCCAATAGCTACAACCTATTTTCCGAGCCAATTTTTGCAATAAATGCAGATTTGCAGTGTGGCTTGCCTTCCCTTCTCAATTGACCATGCACTAAACTGGCTTTGTATAGCTATAGAGCTCCAGCCCGGCCTCACTGAGGCAGGAGCCCTTCATATTCTACCTGCCAGCAGTGCTCCTGCCGCTTGGCCAATAACTCTGACAGACAACCTCAGGACCGATCACAGGAGTCCCCTCTCACTTTCAGCATTTAAGGCTGCTGAGGCACACTTACACAATGCAGCGCTTGCTCACACTAATGCTTGCAGCACGTAGCTGTAGCATGCAGTAGACATCTCAGACATAAATGTTACTTTAACGGCTGAGGTGCTTCCGAAAGGCTCTCGTCCACTTGCTGGGCTGCGCTAAGGTAAACAAGGCAATCATGACATGTTTCGCAGCTCGGTCTTGTGCAAGGCACAACAAAATTGCAGTGGGGGCTTTCACAGTGCCTCAGGGCGAATGGTCTTGACTGTCCTGATCCCTGCGCTGTCCACTATCTTGATCACATAGCTGGGCGGAGCCACCACAAGCCTCCTCTTCACCTGCAGGCAAAAACACACATATACAAGTCATCAGCGCTGTTATCACAGCACAGGCCAACGTGCGCCATGCTGGCAGAAACACGGTTGCCGTGAGCAGGTAACACTTGCTGCGAGCGTGTCACTCGATATCAAAATCCATGCCCTCAACCAACTTGCTGCCACATCAGCTGTGATCTGGGAGAATGACAGCTCCACCCTGTCATCCTGACAATTCACCAGCTGGGTTGCGTCATAAAAGCTGGAATATCCTTCCACAGTTTTCTAGACGCTGGAAGAGGCGGAAGTCACAGGAAGCTGCCAAATTGGCGCAGTAACAAGCCGTATGACACTGCGAGCTGCCGACAGATCCAGGGAGTGCTGCTGAATAAAAAAGGAGCAGCTGCTTTTGCAATGTGAAACAATTTAATGCTGCGAGGTGCCAAAAAGGCACAGAATGCTATTTAAGTGAAAAGACTGAGCAGGTCCAGGATGTTCCTGCAATGTCATCGGGCCTCACCTCTTGGATCCCCTTCTCCATGAGCTCCACGGCCTCCTCCTGGGTCAGGTCTGGGCGCCACAGCCGGTCCATCATTGACAGCACAAAATAGGAGCCTGCCAGCACACACAGACTGTCATCAAAATACGTGCACCAAACTGGCACCTCATTCTTCTCCCTTTCTTTCGGCCCTCCGAGACGGATGTCTCTAATGTTATCGCTCCAGCACACAAAGTGTGAAGGCCTGGGGTAGGCTCAAGCATTCTCATTCTTCTCAAACCCCGCCGGAGCTTGTCTTTAGCATACCACAGGTGTGCATCTACTGCAGCTCAGCCAGTGCACAAGCCCACGGCGAACATTGCGCATATCACGTTGGATCAGAGCCGTTACCCACTCTGTGCGATCCGTCGCAAGGGCCGCGCCAGCCAACAGTGTGCCAGTGCGAATTTCCTTGGAAGCAAGAGTGCCTATTCTTTCCTCTTGGCTCATGCACCCGGAGGTAGGGAGGACAGCTGCCAAAGCTATGCGATATTCTAGGCTTCAAGGCGAGGGAATAGAGGCACGCACCGTATCCAGTGCCAGCGACATTCATGGAGTGCATGGTTGCCAGGTAGTCCATCCAGTACAGCGAGGGGCCGGCCTTCTCATCCCACCCTGCTATGAGCAGGTTTGTGTTGTAGGGGCCCTGCAGCACAAAGAAGCACGCACGCAGCTTGGAGTTGCCCCACAGCATTAATCGTGGCATTCATTGATTGGCATCAAATAGCGAGTGCAAGGTAAGCAATGCGGATGCTTGCAGCGAGCGCTGGCAAGAAGGGAGGCCTTCATGACCGAGCAGACCTACCTTTCTGAGCGCAGTTGCAAGCTCTGACCGGGTGAAGTTCGCCACTGCCTTGGTGGTGAGCGCCCGTTCGTGTCGCAGCGCATACAGTCGAGAATTGGCCATGATGAATTCAGAAAACTGCACACGATCACCAGGCTCCCCTGCAAGCATAAAGAAAGGCATAATTGGAACTGAGGGATATTCTTCAACTTGGATTTACGGTTTTTAGCATACGTAGCTTGTATATGTTGAACATCAGGAAACGCCTCTGCTAAGAATGTGGAAACCTATTGCTGCAGAAGTGCCCATCAAGTACTTAAGGTGTAATAGAGATACACCTGAAAGGCACATCAGCTTGTGGCTGTCGATGGGAACAAGCTTGTCCTCATCGTGCTTGATTGTGATGATCTGCTGCGCGGCCGTGGTATCACCAACCACCACTACAAAGTCCTTTCCCTTGATGCCCATCAGGTACTCCATCTTGGCTAGCCTCGTTCAGTCGAGCACTTTATTTTGGTCCGCCTGGCGCTTCTGGATACTTTACGTTCTAGGAGAGCCTCAAATAGACTTTGATGCAGGTTCTTGTCGTGCTCACCACCTTGCAGAAGTCAGGACCTCTCACAAGAGTCTTTGAAGACCGTTTCTGACTGGCTGATACACGTGGATGTAGCAATATGCAATCCCTCAACAATCGTAACGTGCTGTGGACAAGACAAATTACGCTGATGGTCGAGTGTCCAGTCCGATCATTGCATGTTGCCTGTCAGGGTTTGGTTTTGCGTTCAATGTATTATTTACAGGGAAATAAAAGCCCCGGTGACACCGTGGCGCCATGTGGAACCCACGAGCAAACTCGCCAATTGGAGCGCATGTTCCTTTCCTACTTCGAAATTGAACCTGCGGAAGAACGTATCGTACTGACGGCTTGAGTAGACCCCGGAGTAAAGGACACATTCAATCTTGGATACAGGATCTATATCTTTGTTGGCCATCGTCAGTAGTACTCGGGAAAACCTTGACACAGATTTACCGATTTCGCCTAAGGATGCAGCCGCTGGAACGGATACAAAGATTAGACATTGCTTGTATGACAGAGCAGTGCCTTTGTGCTCGTTGAAAGCGACTGTTCGCAAGAGGTGTTGGCGTCGTTAGACTATGAAGATGGAAGCAGCACCCATCACCGTGCAACAGCTCCAGCGTCTTTTTAAGGATCAACAAAGGTGGATGGAAAGTTCGACCAATCGCTTTGTGAGGCTATTATAACTTGCCTGCGGAGTGTCTTTCACAGATCCAAGGTAAGCGTTTTGACGAGGGACAGCATGAGATCTCTAGTGTCCTGCAGGTTCTTGAATTCCTTTTTCGACGGACTGGAGTACGAGCCTATAGAGGCGTTCTGCAAGGTGACTGGACGGCTGTCCTCCACTGGTCAAGCTGCCTACTGCTTCACCGTTGACCTTCTGTTCTCCAGCTGCAATCTCTTAGTGCTCCCATCATAAATGGTGGCATTTGCTGCTGTTTTCACAGGCATGCCTGGAATGCTGCGGCTCCATCCTGTTCACAGGCATCGGCAAGAGCGGCTTCATCGCACAGAAGGTGCGCAAGTGCCCGATACTGTGAGCGTCAGTAAACCTCCAGAGTGCAGATGAGCAGGTGACGAAGAGCAACGCATGCATATTTACACTTGAGGAACCTTCAATACATCCATTGCTCGTGTGCATCTGCCCAGAGTTAACATGCACACAAGCAGCGGACCTCAAGAACGGCTGCAGATGATGCTGACAAGACACACCCTGTGCCTTCTGGCTGCGGTACGCCGATCATTCATATATATTACTAATGACATGATGCAACCAGGTTTTTCTGGTCTCGGCAGGTGTGCCAGACGCTGGTGTCCACTGGGACAAAGGCGGTGTTCCTGAACCCCACAGATGCGCTGCATGGCGACATCGGCATTGTGGGCCGAGATGATCTGGTGGTCATTGTGTCGAAGTCCGGCGCCACTGAGGAGCTGCTTCGCTTGGTCCCCTACGCAAAGGTGGGGAACCCCCCATCCTACAGCTGCATAAAACGACCAATGCTCTGGATGGTTGCACGATCTTGAACCGCGGCAGGCTTCCACGGCACCTTTTGACACAGTATGCACAGGCTCCTGGAACAGGGAGCCTCCAAGCACCCCCCATTCCCTTTGTCAAGCGTCTGCCATTCATTGGGACCAAGGCAGTTGCAGCCTCACTGCTCTTGCAGGCAATGCTACGGCAATGCTTCCTTGACACCTTGCCAGCAGCAAAGGCAGAAGACCACACATGCAACGCGGATAACCTTGATGATCAATCTCTTGAGACATGCGGGTAGGTTTGATATACACACTCTGACGTGCGCGCAGGCCAAGGGAGCGAAGCTGGTGGCGGTGACGTCTGTTGTGGGCTGCCGGCTGGCGGCCATGTGCGACATGTGCGTGCACCTGCCGCTCGAGCGCGAGCTCTGCCCCTTCGACCTCGCGCCCGTAACTTCTACGGCCGCGCAGATGGTGTTTGGGGACACCGTGGCCATCGCTCTCATGCAGGCGCGTGGCGCTGCCTCTTTGGATTCCTTCAAATGACAAATGATGACAAATCATGACGAATCAACCAATTCGCGCAAGGCCCCGTGGCGATCACTGAGTAATGTGATAACTTCCCTGTTGACAGTCTGGGGTCAGTCTGCGTGCTTCCTTGCCAGAGCGCATGGTAGGCCCATTGCCAGTGATGCAGATAATATGGACAAGGCACCGTGGGTGCCTCAAGCTCTTAGCAGCGCGAGTTTGGCACATTTCACTGCTGACTGTGCGCATGGAAATATCAAGGGATGCCCAATTGTGAGGTGCTGATGGGTCTTGTGCTGCAAATGCAACAGGCCAAGCGGCTGACTCAGGAGGAGTACGCGATGAATCACCCGGCGGGCAGAATAGGCAAGCGGCTCATCCTGCGCGTGCATGATATCATGCTGACCGGACCGGCCCTGCCTCTGGCCGCGCCGGATACCCTCATCATGGAGGCGCGCATCGACCTTGCGTTACTCTTTCCATCTTTCCAAGCAAAAACGCCTCTCCTTTGGTGTGATTGTCCTTTCATTTTAGCATGTTCTCTAGGGTCGATGGGGTCTTGCTTTCTGGAGTGTTCAAACATGCAACAGCAAGTAAGGGCAACCTTCACCGGCAGATCAGCTGCAAAAGTGCCTTGCCCTTTTGGCAGGCGCAAACACCTAGTAAATGAGGTTAACAGTACACATTAAAGTGGATTTTCTGTTTTCAGTTTGTTAAAGTGGACACGAGGTGTTTTGGTGTGTGCGCAGTCGTTGAAGGAGTTGACAGGGAAGGGGGTGGGGTGCTTGCTCGTGGTGGACCCAGCTTCTGGGCAGCTGCTGGGCACCTTCACCGACGGTGACCTGCGCCGCACGCTGCAGGGCAGGGGAGGACAGGTGACTCATCACCGCCTCTGCCCGCTGACATACTTCTGTCAATTCCTCCAAGAGCACGCAGAAGGGCCACATCTCTGCTGGGAATGCTTTTGGTGCATTACCACATGCTTCACTCAGACTGCCACGTGTGCAGCGTCCCTTGGGCCCAGCTTGTTTGCAACTCTGGCTTTCAGTGTCCTTGCATTCCGAAGACAATGTACATGGTTACTCACCACGCCGCGCCGCCGAACAGATAAAATGGGTTATGATATGAGTGCCTTTGTCAGTATCACTCCTCTGTCAAACTCAAGTGCAGCCCTAATATCAGAGACCACCACAATGAAGACACTGCCTTGACACAGAGGTTGTGGCTGGCAGGTAACGGAGATGAGGCTGCGTGAGGTCATGTGTCCCACTCCGCGCACATGCTCCTCCACCATCAAAGCCATCGACGCCATGCTGGTGGGTGTTTCTCACACCCTCGACAGTCGTATCTTCCTGTGTGGCACTTTGTGAAGAGACTTTGCATAGCATGTAATGCAAAGGATTCGCTGCGCCTCCAGGCCTGTGGCATGCATGCATGCCAGCACAGAATAGGCGCAGTCTGGCACCTTTTAAAATGCCCGGTTTTACTTTTGCATGCATACATTTGTCTGAAAGGCTGCGCAGTATTGCATCCCAAGCTTGAAGCACAGCTTTGGTATTTGCCTTTGAAATTGGCAAGGATGAAGCAATTCTGGGCTGCGCAGGAGATGGAGCGGCCACCGCGAAAAGTGACGTTCTTTCCTGTGGTGGACGACGACCGACTGGTGGGCCTCGTCACGCTGCACGGCTTAGTCAGCGCCGGGCTGTAGTCATCCCGCAGTGGCCTGACTAAGCCATTATTCATCCTCGTTCCATAGTCACAGGAGCCTGACTCAGCGCTGTCGTGTCGGCACCGATGGAGCCAAGACAGGCGACACCACACAGCCCTGCAGGAATACAGTCAGCGCGGCTCAGTAATCTGTACATCTTCAGCAAAAGGGAGTGGCAGCTTGCAGCCCGGCATGTCCAGATCCGATCGATGGGCTGCCTGTGGCTGACAGCATCTTCAAGCCGGGCAAAACAGATTCCATGAGTGCCAGTGTGCTTACCTTGGAACAATCACACGGAATGAGCCAGTGTGGGCATCGTACCGGGCCTGACCAACCGCCCCTTGAAGTGGATGAACCAAATAGACACGTGCTTCTTCTGGTAAATGCCCCTCGCAGCCAGAAGCATCTTGGATGCTATCTTTGCGCCGCATGCAGATGTGCAGCAATGTTCCAGAGGAGCAGAGCTAGCAGGACAGGGTGCATTAGTAAATTGAGGGAGCCATGTGGGGATTACAGCATCCCTGTTTACTCAGTTCTTGCCCGACTGAGACTGCTAAGTTGCAGCTACATGGCTGGTTGCAGCTGCCTGGAAAGAATACCCATGAACGAAAGGTACCGGTATAAGCCAATGAATGAATGCGCCACATGAGGTGGCGATCACATTGTGGAACAATGTGAAAAAATTTGGATCAGATTAGCGATTCAGATACTGCGTTTGGCACAGTATATGAATTGCCTCTCTGTGGTTTTCTGTTTGGTGTCATCTGGTTCTCATGTTATCTTCGACAAAAAGCGCCGACTGTACACGACTAAGCATCAATGTACGTACAGTAACTTACCGCAGCGAAGGAAAGTCTTGCATGAGCTGCTGTGATGGGGCATGTGAGACCGCCAAGTGTCGATGCTCAAGGAGCTGCTTCAAGCCTCACAGAACAGCGCAGCTTTTTATAGTCGCAGCACGGATGTCATGACAAATGAATGCATTCAATCAAGTATTGGGTACGGTCATATGACAGGGTGTTGCAGGCAACAATTTGACTTGCAAAGTTTATTACCATGCCAATGATGATGTAGGAATGGAGCACCAAAAAGTTTGACGTTCTCAGTGTAAATTTTTGCCATAGCAACTGCCTTGAGATAGGATTTGATAGGTTGTGATCACGCCTGTGCTTTCTTCTCGCGGCCGATGCGCAACCGCCGCCACTGCCGGGGGCTGGTGGGGACGCCAACCCGCCGCTGCCGCCGGAGCAGCAAGTGCAGAGCGAGTACGAGCGGTTCATGTCGGAGTTGCAAAGTAAATGAGCAGCCTGTCATCGTCACTGTGACATTTCTCTCAAGGAACCTGGTTGTGTACCTGCCTGTACAGATGGCTTCTTCTCGTGCTGATGGGGTGCTCTTGGGGTTCCCATTCTCAGGGCTTGAGAAGTACGCTGGATGACTGGCTTTGCTTCAGGCAGATGTTCAACAAGTTGACAACTCAACGGGTTGCAAGTATGTGCATGTCCTTCAGCCATTATTCCTATAAGTGCTAATTCTGAATTGGTTGTGCTACAGTGTGCAGGTTTGATCATCTACTTGTTAGATATGTAGCATATCTGAAAGGGGACTTTACAGAAACAAGATTCAAAGCACAATGCATTAAAAAGTTATTGAAACTACACATTGAAACTACGATCAAACTCAACAGGCTTTATTCAACTCTGTAGCAGCGGTTGTCCACACTCAATTCTGCTTCAAGTTTCCTCGCCCTCACAGCCTGTGAGAGGGAGTTGCAACTCATATAAACCCAAACCAACCTGGTTGAACCTGAAAGCCACTGATGGAACCATCCCAGACACCACTCAAAAGGGGTCTATTTATTATCCAAGGGCCCAGATACAGATGAAGACATAGTTCTATGGGGACCCCAGCAAGTCATAAAATAGCATGATCTTACCAGTCACATGATAACACAGTACTGTTCTTATTGCAAGGCCCCAAGGCAATTCGAGGACCCCTACCGCAGCATGGTTTCTTCTGTTGGTGGCCTTGTTGCTGGCACCATGTGCATTTGCCAACATGTCAGTCAGTCAGATGTTGCTGTAACCTTTTGTTTCTGCCGGATAGTATTGGTGTAGCCGGCATCTGCCTTCTCTGAGTAACGTTGGTCTCAAAAGAGAATGCGCTGTAGAAAAGAGTGATGCACTCGATACTATTTGAAAGCTTCAAAAGAAGCTTCAAGTAGTTCCAAGTACCAGTAGAAGAGTCACAACAGTGCCTGAACTTTGACAAGAATTTGCATCTCGGCTGGGGACACTCATTGCCAAAAGTAATATAGCACCTTGCTGCTGTATTGACGCTTCTAATTATTGTCAAGTGCCCTGAGCAAATTTACACTGGTGTGAGATCCTTAAGTCTGACAGTCACTACAATGCCAGAGGAAAGAAAATCCTCCAAAGGATTGTAACACAGTACTAAGAAGTATCGTTGTGGATGATATATAGAACCTGCAAAGGCCACAGGATGACCGAAATGCAGGACTAGACCTCCGTCCTAGCCAATAATACATCGCTGTCAAAGTTGTGCGCTTACAGCCCACAAAAAAGAGTGCCCTTATACTGAACTGGCAGCAGCCTCAGGCATGCCAAGACAGACACTCAAGGGCCGAATATATCCCTGGTGAAACAGTCAGGAGTGTTGGGCGCCCAGGTCTGCTCAGGTGCTCTGGTCTACAACCGCACATTGCGCTCCACCATCAAGGATGGTCACCCGTGATTGTGCCCGTGCGTGCGCATGATCAACTCGGGACTATATGAGAAGATGAAAGAGATCACAATCAGGGTTACCACCGCCGACGACAGGAGCGCAGTCCCAACGATGAACGAGATCTTGCGCCGCTTGCTCAATTTGGTCTGCTCCAAAACACAGAACGTTGTCAGGAAACAAGCTGTTGGGAGGCTGCAAAATGACAGTTACCGGAGAGAAGTGAGCAACAGCTACGAGGGGGTGTGACCGGTGTTTTTATTTTGGCAGGCACTGGTGAGGCCATTGGCAGTTAGACTGAAGGGTGATCAGGCAGAGAGGTAACGTCGCGTCTTGTGTGCATTTAGATGATGTGCGGGGGTGCAACCACTCGTGTGCATAAGATACAGAATGCACACACCTCGGGGTAGCCGCCGGCACGCACGGCCTCCGCGCGCTTCTCCATATCGCGGTTGACGGCTGGGACGGCCAAGATGTAGATGATGGCTGATCCAATGTAGCCGCCCATCAGAGCCACCAGCATGTAGATGCGTGCCGGTGTAACGTACGATGGCGTTCCTTTGACCCAGTCTCCAATCTGGCCAGCATCACACCCCAACTTTGGTCCCTACCTTTGCTTCCCAGGAAATTCATAATGTTGATGTTCAGCGCTTGTCCCTAATCACTCATCATTGCAGTATGGAGCCCCAGGGTGCCGCTTGTGCTGTGTGTATGCTGTCAGGTATGCACACAGTCAACACAGTGACCCCTGTTCCCAACACGGCCCTCAAGGAAGCCATGCACGATACATTTTCAGGCAAGTGGTGCACGTCAAGGCTCTGGCAAAGGAGTGATAGTGCCTCTTATCCCTTGGAAGTGATGGTCAGACACAGCCTAACAGGGTAGAACACCTATTGAGCTGCTGCATGGTGTAACCGTTATATTGAGAGGTCAACCTAGAATTCCAGAGACGTAATCAATAATTAATGGGCTGTTATCCCCTGCAGGCTGTCCAAGTGTGGTGCAGAGGTGGCTCACCGTGAGGTAGATGCCAAAGAGGACGCTGCCTGCAGGGCCAATGAGCTGCGCAACCGCAAAGAAGAGGGAGATTGCAAAGCTCCTGATCTCAGGTGGCAGCGCAAGCGTTATCATCACACTCAGAGGTCCCTGCCAGCCCTCTCCGATCACAAACGTTAGAGTCATCGCTGTCAGGCCAATGGCGTACCTGCGCAAATCAACAAGATCGATCAAACTTGGTTGAGACTGATATCTGGACTTGTTCCTGATGATCCCATGCTGTAGAAAGTGCGATGTCGAGTCCACCAAAAGTACTGCAGTCACGCGATCAACAACCATGCTCCAGAAAGTACGGTATCTGAGCTGGACCCCTTTGAAGCCAAGAAGAGGATGTGCAGCACCACAGAGCTGTAGGCTGGCTAGTTTACAAGGCAAGGATACATTAACCTGGCTTATGGAAGCTGGCCAATTTTGCACGAACCACTTGGACCATTTAAATGTGAAAGGCTCACCCCCTGTTGGAAACATCCCCTGCTATTACGCGAGAAAGAATTGAAATGGCCACACACGCTGCCGCAATACACGCCCCGATCGCTGTAGTGTAGAGCGAGATGGTGGGCAACTTGGTGTAGTACCGTTGGCAGATAGCTCCATAGCTGCAAAGAACACTCAGTGCTCAGATGCAATCTTGCCAATCAAGTCCAACATATCAGTGCACCACGCCAGAGGTATCAGCCTTCCCAACCCTAATGATCCATACGAAAGCCTGTCACCCTGTATTAACAAAACTTGCTGCCAGCATGCATGCATGAGTTGCGTGTGCATGCCTTGAGGAGTCTTTCGCGCTGTGAGGGCCATTTTGGTGGGAAATGGGCAGGTTGATAGCAGAAGGGGCAGGGTCATGATGAAGGCTTACATGAAGGCAGCTGTCAGTCCGCCAAGGCCCACAATGGTAGACACGGCAGTGAAGACTGTAGTTTGATCGGGGTACACAGCACTATAAAAGGTTGGCATGTATGCCCCAGTCATGTCGCCAGGGATGTTCCTCAAGCCTGCAAGTCACAAATTGTCAGAGACTGCTTGTTCGAGGTCTGCTTGGGATGACAAAATTGGTTTGCATGTTGCCATAAAACCTTCGACGGGAATGTCACTCCTTAATTGGATGTTTCACACCAGACAGTAACAACGGATGCTTTCGCTCGAGATGCAGATTGACGTTCTCTTGGAATTACAAGAGCACCAATGGACACGCAGCTTCTGGCAAGCAGATGAACTTGCAAATGTTGAGCCAGGTTCGCGCCTGTAGCAAGGGTGAGGATCCACAACGAAGACATCGACACCAAGTACAAAATCACGTCCTTTATAGTGAAATCCCGCTTCTGCCTTTCCTCTCCCTGCAGTGCACATGCTGTACATGTGACCTGTCTCCATCACTATGCTGCAGATGCCTTGGCAAAGCAGCAGAATTTGCACAAGATGGCATCATGTGTTTTGAGCCATACCCATGTGAGCTACATGCACATGGTAAGACCTGCATGCATCTTGCTCAGCGACTGCAACTTCCCCTCCTCAAACTATGGATGGCTTTTGCAGCACACAGGCGTTTGCACTGCTTCCATGTCCACAGCTTATATGGGCTTGCCGTGCAACGCACCGCCCTCTTGACAATGAAGCGGCCGATCGGCGGCTCTCGAAGGAAGGCAAAAATGGCCAGAGACGAAGCGCCACAGGCAGTACCCAGTCCCACAACTGCCCAGCGCCAGCTGATGCCCTTCTTCAGGCACAATTCCGCCAGGTTGCCCGCCAGAAACTCAGCCAGGTAGGGATTGGAGCCGAAGATGGCGCCCCCAAAACTGCACACGCACCGGCATGCTTAAGAGCCATCCCTGCCACACATCTGACCAAGCCGCCATGCATTGGTGCAAATTCCGCCATGGAACAAAGTTAATCTCTATCCTCCTTTTCTAGCACACCTGATCTGCTCTGGAGGCAGGATGTCGGAGAGAATGGGAATGGGGAGGACTGCGAATACAGAACTGCCCAACGCACTGAACAGCATTCCAATGAGCATCACATTGAAGTCCTTGGCAAATCCCTGCATAGCAAACATGTAATCATGTTGCTAAAAGTAGAATGTACAGGGGTTAAGGATTTCGCACATGTATGTTCCTAGTTACTAGTATCACAGCGCCTTTTGAGTGATGCTAGGCCACATTGGAATTGCCCAGTCCTGCGTGCAACAGCTGCTGACCGCGCTCGTTACTCACAAGGAAGCATATGGAGCGTGGAGTGAAAGCACAAAGAAACACACCTGCATGAGGAGCGCTCCAGCTCCCAGCACGCCGCCGAATCCAACAACATACACGCGATTAAGCGAGTAGAAGTCTATGGCGTAGCCTTGAAGAACCATTGCCACGCCTTGTACAAGGAAGTAGGCATATCCAGTCAACATGCCATACTGGGCGTCAGTCATCCCTATGTCCTGAGATATCTGCACCAGGCAAACATGCTGTGTCGACATAGTGTTGCAGTCAAAGGTCGATAAACAGGGCAGCACTGACACAAATGAAGTAAGGATCTTATGGACACAGCAAGATATTCAAGTGTCCGATGACATCCGTGCTATTAGGGCTGTTGAGGCTATATGTGGATCAGTACGTCAAGCAATATGCACAGATGCACCTCAAATCTTTGCTTTGTGCGAGTAGGTCATCACACCTGCTGTGAGAAGTATGAGAGGATGAGGTTGCCCAGGACAGACAGAATAGCGGCCAAGGTCATAAGGATGACTGCAAACCACCCTAAGAGGAATTCTTTCCTGCTTAGCTTGGCTCCAAACATAAGCATTCCGACCTCCCCATCTGCAGGAGATGTTACGCCAGGCCCGACCTGACAGGCAATTCGCAGAAGCGCTTGGGTTTATCGCGCAGAGATTGCCAACACCTCTGACGAGATCAATTCAAAGTGTAGAACCGTCATGCTTGAACGAATTTGCGTGTTGGATAAAAGAGGACTTTCAGCAGGAGCTACCTCGACATCATTTGGCAACGGCTTCGGATGTTCGGGGCTGACGTCGGCCTTGCGCGAGGACAAATCGGCTGCGCTAACAGCGGGACCTGCTACCATGCTGTCCTCTAACGGCTTAGGTATTTCCTTCTCGCTTGACGGCTGCGTTTTCAAAGGCTGTTTGGAGGCCATGGCGGCTCAAGTAGAACCCTTCGTCGCGACAGCAATGAGCCGATCGGCTTCGGTTGAGAGAGGTTGTGTTGCACAGAACACCGTGCTCGGGACCACTTCGTATGATCCTGTATGATCAACACAAAATCAACACATTTGAGGTTTTTGTGGGTTATAGCTATTGGGTTCAGTCCTGTGGAATTGTGCTCCTGCAAGCGATCAGCAAATTGTCGACACACGTAGTTGATAACATGAGAAAGAGTGTGCCTTGCCTTGCGTATTTATGGGCAAAGCCAAGATCTTTACACCAAGAAAGGAGCCTTCCCTTTCCTGTAGGGCTTCATCTCTCACGACGATATCTCAATCCGATAGCGTCGTCATACGCTGACGCTATATTGATGGCTGCGCAGCTGGGAAATAAATCATCGAAAGTGTCCCGCAGGTTCTGCATACTGTCCTTGGAAAGCAAGGTCTAGCTTTATGATCCAGCCTAACTGGGCTGCACGATTATATTTTCTCTTCTGACAAGTTACCGGATTCTTGCAACCTAATTTGAACGTCTTAGGAATGGTTTCACGGCTGCGCAGATGCCGTCTGGTCAATGATCTTTCCTCTACATATCATGAGAACGTGTTTGATGGGATAAGGAAAGCATTAGACAAAATAACTAGACTTTTGGTGTTTCGCATACACCCATTTTAGAGATGACGGAGCAAGCCGGATAGGACAAGTCCAAGCAATGCTGGTAAAGTCTCTGATTCTCGAATGCAGCGCATGCAATCGACTTTGCACGGCAGCTTTTTATATTGTTTTACTTATTTCACCCAATTTCGCAATTTGATCTTCCTAAGAGCGGGCAACAACGCCGTGATGGTACTGCAATACCACGTGACTTACTTGCAGGAGTTCAAAGGGAAGAGGCATGAGGAGCACTTCCAGGTACTTATCACACATCATCAACGCATCTAACTATTGCTTTCCTGTGTAATCCGAGATGATCGTGGTAAGTAATGCACTCTGTGATGCCTCCAGGTCTTCTTTGCCGAGCAGCATCTGATATGGGACCTGTCCGTGTGCTTGGTGGGCTGGATGCAATACATACCGGTCATGATCAATCTGTGGCGGAACTGGAACATCAGGAACCCCCTTTGGCATGCAGCCTTTCTGCTGCTCTATACTTCAGAAAAGGTGCGACTCACCAGTGACCTGCAGTCCAGAGAAGTGCTTGTAAACCGACGCTGGCTCTGTCTAGCATCTCTGCAAACCGGTGCCTTAAACCTTCTCTCGACATGACGTTCTGCCTTGCGAGCAGTGGGCCTTTGTGTGCTCGGCATGTGCCCAGAATGGGCATCGCCTTTGCACAACTATTGTCCGTGCAGCATCCGGCAAACTGCTCGGTCAATCAATAATCTGTGTCTGCGCAGATGATGCCGACAGCCTTGATATGTCTGTTCAGCAAGTTCTACATCAGGCACCGCACGGTCTTGATGGGCGTTGTGCGCTTGTTGGAGATGTTCACTACCGACGCCTACCTCTCCTTCTGGAAGGACTTCTCTGACAAGGGCTCCTGCTTCGAGTGGTCCTTGCTCGCCTTGGTCTTCGCCAACAATTGGATTTCTGCAGCACAATGGTGTGCAGCAGCGGATCCCTTGCAGTTGACATGAGTCTATGCTATTGGGAGGAAAGGGCATAGCTAAGCGCACCTTCCCAGCAAGATGAGAAAGACAAGGCTATGCCATGTTGTGTGTCAGTGTGCGTGGCTTCATGTCTGGGCTCAGCACGAGCATGTCCTTGCTAAGGAAGGCCGTGCTAAATTTCTGTTGCAGATGACGGTTGATGGAGGATGGTGTCTTAAAGTAGGGTCCTAGATATCTTCTCAGAAGCAGTCATTGCACTGCCTTGTGGGAGCTCTTTGCACTCCTGACAGAATGCATCACGAGTGTGGCTTGAGGCGCGACAGGCGCACATAGGATTGGTTATGAATACTGGCTATTGCAGCTGGGCATTTCTGGATTTCCTGACATGGGTGCTTGGCTGTCTTGCAGGGGACTCCTTCAGCCAATACCAAACAAGTGGTGGCTGGCCTTGCAAGTGTGCCATTCATTCTTTCATCCAAAACGCTGTGCAAGCATCCTGGGAATCAAGACATAAAGGCTCCTGAGCATTGAGCTTTTTGGACATGCCTCCAATGCTCACCCTAGAGTCCAAGCATCGCCTACATGCACATGAACGAACAGGTCACCCTTGAAGTTTGCTTGACAGGAAGACCGACAGAAAGATCCTTGGTGGTCAGGTGGCTGATGTGGCGCGGGTTTTCTTGCGGCAGTCTACTTTGGTGCGGCAGATGGAGGGGGAATTGCACCATATAATCCCGCTGACAGGGGTGGTGAATGTGGTGGGAGCCAACCCTATGGCCGTTCAGCGAACGGGGCCTGCTGAGCTGCTTGTGGATGCTGCTGGCGGTGCGTACCCCAATCTCATCTTGAAGATCAGGACTTCGAGTCAATGTGTTGATGTGCAGGTTTCAAGTCATGGCTGTGGCAAAGCACCCCTACAGATCAAAGATTTTCTATGTTGAATCTCCTATTGAATGAGAGTTCTTGACCCTTGAAGGTGTTCTTATCACAATGGCTTTGCAGAGGACAGCTGTAATGAAGGTGCACAAGGCAACACACTAACATGAGCACTGCAAGCTTTAGGTAATGAGACTGCGACACGTCATATCAAGCTAGCAACAGCCTAGTGAGCGCTTACACACACATCTTGCCGTCACATACTCAGAGGGTGTTGTTGGCCAGAATTTGTACAAGTCGGCCGCCTTCACACTCCTTCCAACAACTAGCCTAATATTCCTGTGGACTATTGAGAACCCTACCTGTGCATGCGCACACATTGCTGCTGAAAGAATATTGCTACATTGCCACAGATTCAAGCACTGCACAGCCTATGGTTTGACCGTCATCACTTTCCCCGCAACGTATATAAGCCCCTCAGGTAACGCCCGCGGCTCCCAGCGCATGCCGGCGCCGGCAGCCGTGCATCGGTAAGCGGCATTCACAGCAACTTTCCTCGAGATATCTATGGACTCCCTCACGGTTTCAGGCGGTGTTTCCTGCGCGCAGTATGCCTGGGCACTGCGCCGGAACATTGAAGCAGACTAGACCTTCGGGCACACCGCTTAGGGCCGCCCCCATAACACCCCCTTGCAACAGCATATTTCCCCTGGGGTGCACGCGTCGGTGCCTTGCGGGCGCGCATGCCCGTGCTGCTTGCGAGGAACATGTGGTGGACTGCCAAAGCATGGCAACCTCCCGGCTGGCGTGGCAAGTCCCTTTGGGTTTAAGGGTCAACGGCCTGCCCTGTCGCTGCCCTGCTCGGGGGCCATCTGGTGGGCTGCCTGCCATTGCAAACCCCTGACCAGCGTAGCAAACCCCTGAGGGTTCAGGAGTTGGCGGCCCGCGCGCGCATGCCGGCGCGCTGTGTCGGGAACAATTTGTAGGTTGCACCTTCAGAGCCAAACCCCCGCGCATCTTAGAAATTCCCCTAGGGTTCAGGCACCGGCATTACATCCCCCTCAGGGTTCAGGGGTCGGCGGCCTGCGCGCGCATGCCGGCGCGCTGTGCCTGGACCATTTGGCGGATGCGCATGAAGTCCGCGTTGGGCCAGTCGCCGCCGGGCAGCATCCTCTTGGTGCCCTTGGCTGCGTCGTTGATGGCGCCCATGTTGAGGGGGGTGAGCAGGATGAGCTGCGTCTCCTTGTGGCTCACCGCAAATTCCATTATCATCACCAGGCTCCGCTGCGCGCATGACAGCGGACTTCAGTAAGATGAGCGGCACATGGATCAAGGCACTATATGCCTGGCCTTCCCTGTGAAGCCTCATCTAGACATCTGGCAGAGATGTTCCTTTAAGGAGCTTGACAATCCTTGACGTCCCTTTCCTAATCCTTCTAAGACCCATATTTGCAGTCCAGGAGAGACATTGCGTGCACGCATTCAAACTGCGACTAGGGAGGGGCTCAATAAACTCCTGAGCGGGTGCAGTTACTGCAGGTCTATTGAGTACAGGAATGTCGGGACCAGCCGGGGTGCCAGGAGTTTACAGGGCCCTTTTGACAGACGCAAGTGCTTGCCGTTTGCTCAAAGTCAAGTCCGGAAACTCATACATAGACAGCACAGCATGCATGTATGGGAATTTCTCTAATCAAAGGCGCACCATGACAAATTTCCTAGAGAGCTCCAGAACATTTCGAGCAGGACCCAATGTTTACTGCAAAAAGAAAAGGGCACCAACAAGAGGACAAAGAAAAAAGCCAGGCATTGTTCAGATTCAGGCAGGCGCTCACCCCGCGGTTGACGTTGTCCATGAACACGTCGAATTCGTCGAGGGCGTGGAAGCTGCCCTGCAGCTTCTTGCACAGCGCCAGCAGGTAGCACACCGTCACGAAGCTGCGCTCGCCGCCGCTCAGGGTCTTCAAATCGGTCTTGGCCCTGCCTGCGCTGCTATCCTGCTGCGCAAAGATCGTAAGCGTTCCCCTCTCATCTCTAATCTTGATGCCCCCGCGCCACTTGCGCGCCTTGAGGTACCTGCGACATGACACGGGGAAGGATCAATGAAAGCACCAAGAAAAGTCTATGGCGGGAAGAAATGTGCAGTGAAATGAAGACTCGGAAATCGGGCCTTTCTTGGTAGTGCTGAGACTCGGGGTCCTCGTCCTCCTTCATGAGGAAAGGATCCTGGAGTAAGAGTGCACGTGCACCTCTGCAGAGATGAAGTCCTCCAGAAGTAGATGAGCCCATGTCAATGCAGGGCAGGAGGATTGTTCCAGCTGGACAAAACCAGCGAGAAGACGCAGACAAGGGGATACTGTTAGTGTAGTGAAGTCCTGAAGATCTGGGCCATGCTGGGTAGTCCTGATGCTTCCAGCAGGACCAGGATAGATCCCTCTTTCTCCACAATACAGAAGGCCGGCAGATTCTTTATGCTCAAGGGCCCAAGTTGGCAGCAAGGCAGTATATGGCTGTCGGCCTCAGCTCTTTTCAGGCCCGTGCTATCCATTCATGCAGGAGCTCAGCACTGTTGTGCTGCTGCAGTGAGATACAGGGCACTGCACGCATGCAAGAGATATAGAACGCGGGATTGTAAAGTATGATGTGCTCAGAGCTAAGGATGTAGGGCTCAAAGGCAAAAAGATGACGGCGCACTTGTTGAACTGGGTGTTGAGCTCCTTGCCGACGTGGTCTTTGACCTCCTCGTGCTTCCTGCGGCGCTTGTTGTAGGCGTCACGGAAGCGATGCCACGCGGCCGCGCTCTGCTTGTACTCCGCATCCTTTGCCGTGTGCCAGCCGCTCAGCCGTGCGAGCTCCATCTGGCAACAGGGCAGGTCAACAATCTCACAATCTAAAAGTCTAGTGCATGCAGTCTGGTGCATGTGGCCCAATCTGACCAGGAAATGCCGCTACCTTACAATCTGGCAAATGGTTTGTGTAACGAAAGACAATGCGGGGCCCTTACATCGTCCATGGACCTTTGGTGAGATCGATTCTTGTGTGATGGCTGATCAGGCCGATATCCATCTATTTAAGAAAGATCATTAAGGCTGAGACGCTCTGATGCAGCCATTCGCAACCCAGGACCACAGGGCAACTTCTTTGAAGCAGCCTTTCCCATGCAGTTATAGACAGGGCAGGCATGCCTCTGGAATTTGATCTTTAAGGTCGAGTCTAGCGCACACCTTGAGTGCGTCCATGTTGGTGCCCATGTCACGCTCCCTCTTTGTGATGTCCCTCTTCAGCTGGTCCCACCTGATACACAGCAGTGCACCACTGTCAGCATGGCACATGCATGATCTTTGTGGATGTTCTGCACTCCTAAACGTCTAGAGACTGCTCACACGACACCGGCAGGACCAGCAGAATCAGAGCAATCTGTCTGCTTGGCTTCGGGGGCAAAAGGCCCTGATGCAATGCAATAATGGATCGTCCATGACCTGCCAAGCCAAGCCCTGCCGGTTGCAGGAAAAGGAGCCGGGATTGCCAATGCAATAATTTTTGCATGCAGCATGTCCTCCTGCCTGCTCAATGCCCGGAAACCTTCGAGGAAGCTCAGAGCCATCTATCAGACGCCTTACATTTCTAGCCCTGCCTTGGGCTGCTACAAGGAACAGGAAAGTGTTTCACCTGTCCTGCATCTCCGACTTGGTAAGCAGCGCCTCTGCGCGCGCGTCACTGCTGGCGCGCTTGGTGCCCAGCCACAGCTCCTTCAGCTGCGCACGAGCTTCTGCTGCCTCCTCCTCGGTGCACTCCTGCAGGACACAGAGTCCCGATATTAAGTGTTCGGAGATCTCGTGTTTGTCATGGGGAAAGTCTGCTACAAAATCTTAACCTGCCTCCTCCTCACTGCACTCCTGCAAGATACAGTGTACTCAAATGTTCAAACTGTCAAATTCTAATGCAGGAACTGTGCCACAAAAACTAAGGCACCAATGCAGATAGCCCAACCTGAGGCATCCTGCTGAGCATGATACTGATACATGAATCGTCCAAATCTGAGGAGCCCTTCACTTTTCCTTCCTAGCCAAGCAATATCTCAAAGCGCTTCCCAAGAGGTGGCCAGTTTGTCAGAGACAATTTGTCAAAGACAACACCAGCGCTGCATGTGGGGTGATTAATCTTTGCCCTTCGGAGCCTCTGTGTTGGATGTGCCTCCTCATTCCTTCGGTTGATACTGTGTCGCTTGCTGGAGCATGAGCACACTCCAGCAACGGGTACCACATCGTCAACATGAGGAGGAGACAAAGACAGACAGACAAAGGCTCTGATTGCCGGTCACCTTTTTTTTGGACGTGGATTGAGAAGACATGGATTGAGAGGACAGACAGACCTGTGCGGCATCTCCAGTGAGGCCCTCCAGCAGCTGCATGATCTCCTGCAGGTCCTTCAGCGACTCCTCCTGCTTGGCCTGTAGCTCATGGAGCCTCGCCCTCGCCTCCTCCATAGCATCACTGGCAGCCTGCAGACACAACACAATGATGTCTGTTACAGGCTGAGGTGGATGTAAGCTGGATTAAAATGCACTCTTCCTGCATTGCTTCAATAATTTCCGACCGTTGCTGCAACGAGACCTCATCTTGCCTGCTCGGGAAAAGATATTTCCGCCTACTGTTTGCTGCAACAGAGAGGTGATGGGCTCAGGACAGCGGGAGGAGTATGGGCTTTGAGCGAGAGCCCACGTCAAATGACATACACACGACAATCGTGTTTGCCCAGAGGGTACTGTGTGAGTGGCATCCTGATCCTGCTGGATACAATCCTCTTGCCATCACAGTAAGAAAGAAGAGAGGGGAGAAAAGTGAGTGCACCTGTTTGTTCTGGATGGCGGCCTGGAAGGCTTCTCCTGCGGCCTCAACTTGTGCCAGGCCGGCTTTGTTGGCCTCGGCCTGCGCCTCCTTGGCCGTCCTTGCTCCCTCTGCCGCCTCTGCCGTCTCTGCCGCTTTCGCCCTCTTCTCGTCCAGCTGCATGGCATCAGAGCTTTCGAGACAAGCTGCTAGTTGTGAACCACAATCTTGTTGCTATCAAGGACAACGATTTGCACAAAGCCTGGGGTTTGTGCAAATCGTGCAAATCCTCCGGCCTTATTCACATCGGCTGACACACCTGAAACAGCTGAATGGAAACAACAACCCTTTTGGGTGTACAGGGGGTTGTTATTTCACTTGCTGCACATGCAAAACAGAGATGGCTGATCAAGTCCTGGGTCCACACCCGCCCATCACAGCGCAGATCTCAAGCATCCGCTTGACTGGCAGAGGGTTCCAAGCTCTTCTAAACACGGATATGGTGGAGAGAGCTGCACTCACCGCACGCTGCAGCTCGTGGACTTCCTCCTGCAGCCGCTCGATCTCCTCCGCATTGTCCGGGTCTGGCTCGTCCGCCGCCGCCGCCTGCAACCACTTCTTTTCAGCACCGGGACAAACATGCAATTGAGTTTCATTTTCTCTGCTCTGCCTTCCGAGAAAGGATTGTAAGAACTCCAGAGCGATGCAAGCCATCTTGCCGACGAAGCTCAGAAGCATTTGTAGAAGCTGTGGCTTGAATTCTGCCAACTAGCCTGCCATCCATAAGACTGCTAGAGGCACATGTGGTTGGAGCGCTCCACCAGCGCACACGAAAACACTCGCAGCAACCTTGCGAGTGTTAGCAAGTTTTAAGTACAATTTTGCATGGAAAAGAGAGCACACACCTCCTGCACGGATGCGCGCATGTCTTCCAGCTGGGACTGAGTGCGCGCCCGCTGCCGGTCGGCCGCGCCGCGTTCCTTCCTGAGCCGCTCCACATTCTGCGCAACGTCAAGTCAGTTGGATACATTTGCTTTGAGAAGGCCTCTCTGTGCAAGCCAGGAGCGGGCTGTGTTGAACCTTCCTTATCGACATTCTGGCACAAGGTCGGGATCAGTTCTATGGGACATTTTGAGAGGTGTCCGTTCTGTGCAAGCTAAGAGCAGGCTGTGGTGAGCCCTGGTCTTCCTCGCGAGCTTGTGATTGACCCTGAGACATACAACCAGTGTGACACGCGCAGGAGCTCATGCTGTTACCTGACATTAAGCTCATGCACGCATCACCATGGAGACATATGCCTCAGTTTGCAATGTTCCCTTCCACTCACGTTATGCCATGCGCACACTCTTCCAAAGACTGGTCAGTGCCGCATGCAAGAAGGCATTCTGGTGGGGCTGCACCTGCTTGGCTTCGGCTTCTTCGCGCCTGGCCTGAGCAACAGCCTGCTGTGCAGCTTTGTGGGCCTCCTTCGCTGACGCCATCTCCCTCTCAAGCTCCACCACCTGCCCCTGTACGTCCCTGAACCCAGGCAGACAAGGAGGTTGGTACACAGCGCTGATATTTTGGGCACCTGATCAGGTGAGTAGAGAAATGCTTTGGTTCATGACACTAATGTTGGATGCCTGAGTAGCAGTGCTTCCTAGTGGAGGTGAAAAGCCTGCAACCCAGCTTGCAATGCCTCGCTTCTTCTCATTCAAGAGTTTGAGTACTGGTGAAGGACCACAGCCACTGTAACAGTACCATGATAGCCTGGCACACAAGCCAGGATGCGTTCTGAGAGTCTGGCAAGCATATCCTGCTCTGCATGTGCTGCTAGCTCTGCAGAGCGCTCACTGGTGCAAGAAGCAATCTCAGTAGCTACACGCAACTTTGGGCTCCCTACAGGATGCAAGACAGAATGCACTGGTTGCACAGGACGCACTGATGCAAAGCAGCGCGCGCACTGGTGCAAGGCAATCTCAGTAGCTACACGCACAATTGGGGCTCCTAGAGGGTTCCAAACAGAATGCACAGGATGCACTGATGCAGTGCAGGGTGCGCACTTGCTCAGGCGGGCGCCCCTCCTGGTGCCCCTGAAGGGCATGGCGGTCTCAGTGTCTCCGCGCACGAATCCGCGCCAGCAGTCCTCGGCCCACACATCGTTAGAGAGCGCGCCGCGGCCGCTGATCTTACGGAACCAGTCGGTCGTGCGCATCATGTGCAGACCCGCGTCCGCATCCTGCAGGCACATGGATCAGCCGATGTCATGCTCGTCGATACAGACTACAGTAGCATGACTGCCCACAGGTGTGTGCACTTTCACTACTGGCATCTAGCATGAACGTTTGAAACCCCCGCTGCATCCCTTCAGCCACGCACATAGGTTGGGCATGCAGTATACAGAAATATTTATCTATCAAGCCCTGTCAGATCCACTCCACAGGAAAATCATGCCCCCCACAGAGCGAATTCATGCCTTTAAAAGGCGAGTCTTCAAAACAGAGTACCGTAAAGATACTTAAGATTGATCGGCAGCGCAAGGGACCGACATTCTCTCAAATCGTCTGCTGTTCCGAATCACCGTCGTCCCAAAAACAAACACCAGGTGAGGGCATCAGCGCACTGCCGGGACTCACCGGAACGAGCACACGTCGCTCGATGCTGTCACTGTCGAGCAGGTGGTTGTGCAGTACGCGCGCCAGCTCGGGATCCTCCGGCAACCGCAGCACGTGGCGGATGGTCAGCACGTCGGGCGGCAGCTGCGGCCGCCGGGACAGGTCGTGCGCGGGCAGGTCAAAGTTGAGCACCGTGATCACCGGCCGCCGCATGCGCAGCCGCTTTGCGATGTCCTACGCAGCAGCGTGCGGAATACCTCAGAAAATTAGTCTTTATTGGTCATTGTGCTATGAACATTGCTAGGAAAGCACAGGTATGAGAAAGGGGACAAGGCCACGGCTGAAAACTGTCTGGCGCTGGCTTGTCGGTATCCTCTCCTCGGGAGCTGCCTCAGCCAATACTGGTGTTCTGCTCAGAAAGCAACAGGCTGCTGTTGCTGCAATCCCATGCGACAAGGCCCATGCGCCAAGGGCGCGTCTACCAGAGAGGACCTTCTCTTGTTACTGTTTCTGGAAGCACAGGTGTAGGCATGCATCGATGCAGTGTCTACTTGGATTGAGAGACTGGATGCAAATCATGAATGAGAGGAGCTGTACAGAGAATGAGGAGTCTAAGGATGCACAATGAGCTCGTTGTGAGCGTCCTGGAGTGCACTCCAATCCTATTGCAATCTTGTACAGCAAAGTGACTCAGGAGGCGTGGCCCTGAGTGTCTCTACTAGGAAACTGGATGACTCTAGCAGTGACAAGATTTGTGCCAGTAAAAGACCTGTCAGCACCTGACAAATGACGAAGACGGTGAGAAAAGCATGGAGAAATGAAGCGCACAATGAGCTCATTGAAGTTCACCCTGGGAAGATATAAGCGCACTTTGTACTTTCCTCCCTGCTCTGCATGCCGCAATGCAGAGGCCTGTCTTGCAATCCGCTGGCGAACCAAGATCGCATTCACCATCAGAAGGGTCGCACCAAAAAAAAACAAAGGGAGGGGGCGCACAATGAGCTCGCTGAGGTCGCGCTGGGAGTGCACGAGGAAGCTGTCAAAGCCGCCGCCGATGGCCGCCTCCACCGCGGATGCCCAGCGCTCATCGCTCAGCGACAGGTGCTGCCCGATGGGGCCGATCGGGCGCTTACTAAACTTGCCCTGACGCGCCGCGGCGTCAACGGCTTGCACTAGCCGCACCATGTCGTTGCCGCCAAACTTGGCGATCGGGTCCCCTGCGGGCAGGCCACGATGCTGGGTCGGAGCTGATTCTCATTTGAGCCAGGCACCTCAGGGTCCAGCAGATTGGAGGGCCAAGATTTCAGGGAGAAGAATTACAGTTCTAATCTTCTATGGTGGTGCTCCAGAGGATGCACGAACAGAGAAAATGCACTTGCACATGATCGGTGACTGCCAAACGGCAGCCAATGGATGGTGCAGTTTTGCACCAGCAGGCTTCTGACGCACCTCGGCTGGAGTTGAGATTGCTCAGCTCTTTCTGGATGTCCCTCACGCGGCCCTCAATGTCTCGAGCCTCCCCCTGCCGCTCCCTCAACTCCCTCTCTGACTGCATCTTCAGCGCCTCTGCTTCCCTCAGCGCCTGTGTTCAAATTTGAACTTTCTTTTGACATTTGAAATTACGTTCAAAATTTTGTAAAAGAAGCTGAAATGACAAGTGCAGCATGCTTGCATCTGAGCCGAGCAATGTCCTGGTGCTGCATTGCAACATGCATGCAAAGGAAATGGGAATCCGAGAATGACAGCTCGGGAGGTTTTCCTGCCAATGCATTTGAGGCAGTGGAAGCGGTTTTGAATTTGTGAGATCCCAAAAAGCAGCCTGTGCCGCATTGGCATGATGACCTGGATGTGAGAACAAGGCCCAGGACAAAGTTGAGGGCTCAAAAGAGGCATCCTGGTCCTGTTTCATTCATTATTCTTCCAAACAGTATGAAGTGGAAATGGGAACCTAAGTGAGAGGTTGGCGACAGCTTCCTGCAAAGGCAATAAGGCAGCATTATGGAAGCGCTTTTAAATTCGCTGTGATAGTGAGGAGCCAACCATTGGGACAGACCTGAGATGCGCAGCTTGCTGCGGCGGCTGCTGCGTCGGCTGCCTGCTCCCGCTCGTGTATCTCCCTTGCTTGCACAGCCGCCTCATCCTGCCACACACATTACACATTTCTCAATAGCGCATCAATGCAGCCCACTTTCCGTGAGACTCGCCGCGAGAGTCTCCGCATGAGAGATCCCCACTGCCCAGTGCAGTTCAAGCATCACAAGGTGGATGTGAATATCCAGCCCTGCGCAGCTGGTCTGACACTGCCCATTCCCCTCCCTTACCATAGCAGGAAGCCACCATCTAGGAACACAGACATGCAGAGACACTCTGCACGGGCTCTGATCCCACCTGCGTGGCCTGCATGTGCTGCTGCTGCAGGTCCTCTTCCGTGTGCCGCGCATTGTCCAGCTCAGCCGCCTTGTTCTCCAGCGCGGTCTGGGCCTGCACAGGCGCAACACACATTGGTGTCCTGCACATAATTGCAGCAACAAGTGCACAGCTGAACCTTCCACAGTACGACATGCTTTTGCGTGCAATGCATGGAGGCTCGCAGCGCAGTATTGTGGTGCTCTCTGGCACATAATCATCCTGCACCTACTTGCGGCAACAATTGCACAGCTGCACAGTCCACTGGAAGGCATGCGTTTGCATGCAATGCATGAAGGCTTGCAGCGCAACTTTGCAGTCATCTTTGGCACACAATTACCCTGCACCTGAGGCAGCTAGAAGTGCACAACTGCTTACTCCGCAAAGAGATGGACAAGCATTGCACGCAACACATTAAAGTCTTGAGGCTAAAATATGTGATTCGTCAGTTACGGTGATACGGACCCGCTCAGCCGCCTGCGCGGCCTGCCGGTGAGCTTTGTCGGTGGATTTTGCCGCGGCAACAAGCTGCTTCTGCTCAGCGTGGAACTGTTGCATCTCCGCTGTCAGCTGCTGCTCCTCCACTTTCTGCACCGCAAGGGATCTTTGTTCAAATTCAAATTCGAAACTCAGCTTTGAAATTCAAAGATTAGGGGGTGGGTCGGGAACGCGGGGTGTCCTCGTGCCCCCTATCAAGTGAAATTTTGTCACAGCAAGGCATTGAACTTAAAAAATGCAGAATGCATGCAAGCAATGCATGCGGTGCATTAAACGCTGCTTGGCTGCAAAGAACCAAAGCGGCATGTTGAGGTAGCAAGAAATGAGCATAAATACCTTTGCGTCAAAATCTGCGTTGGCAATTTCAAGCTCTGCCCCCTTCTCGTGCGCGGCTGCTTCCGCCTGCAAGCCAGACCACACATCAACGCAATGCAGCGCAAACTATAAAACTCATGCTGCATGTGCAAGACACCACAGATGTCCCTTGACCTGCATCGCTGTAACTTTTGGTGACAGGCATCCACAGCTGGCACAGGCAAGCTGCACCTTCACCAGCCAGCAGCGGTGCCCCATGGCCGAGGCAGCAGGCAAAGAGGCTTCACACTGCCAAGAACGAGGGAGTCTATTGCAAGCACAGCGCAGCGGACTGTGCCCTTCCTTATATTTCAAGCATGCAGCCTTTTCCCTCGTCCCTCAGCCAGGGTAACCTGACAAGCCCCAAGAAGGATTGACAATGGGTCGATTGTAGGCGCTGACCTCGACAATCTGGCGGGGCAGATCCTCCTCGACTTGCACGCGGCATCGGGCGGCTTCCCCGCGCATATCCAGCACACCCACCCATGCGATGCACCTGCGATCCACCCCGGAGTTTCAGCCTGTGCAAAATGTGCCGTAAGCACTGCGGGCCGACACATTTGTAAACATGAAAGAAAATTCATGGTGACAACAGCCCAAGATGCCTTTCAAGCCCTGACCTTCTTCTAGGTGTTGTGTCTGGACATTGCACCGTCGTATGACAAATGCTGCTTTACGGGTTTGGAGGGATCAGCAGGCCTGAAGTGAATATTTTGGGACAACTCTAAAAAGCAAACAGCGGTGGATACTGGCGACAATAAAAAAGCATTGCAAGGACTCACTTGTTCAGGTGATCCATCTCGGCCTGCCAGCTGTCGACTTCCTCCATCTCTTGCATGGTGCCCTTGATTTCTGTGATGCGCTCAAACTTCTCCTGCACGCGCCGCACAATGCCACGAATTAAGCCCACGAAGAACGTTTGTAACTCCAAATCCATGACCAGGCACGGCCTGTATCTGCATCTCGCCCTTTCTACCAGGTGCTTGCATGTATGGCAGGTCGAGCTGGCGCCTTAGAATTTGGTGATTACAAATTCGCTTGCTAACTTGTGGAGCTACCACCCCCATATCATCCCAATGGATGTAAGTATATCGTAGAGGCCAAGGCACATGTCAATGCCAGAGTCCTTTCATGCAGCTATAATCCTCAAGCCTGAGTCCTTCAGCCAGTGCATGCTATCATACTCAGGGTGATTAGATTGGACGTGAGGAGCAGCCGTACCTTACAGCCTCTGTTTGAAACTAGCATTTCGTATAAGCAGACTGACAACACAAATATGTCTGAGGTCTGAAGGAGATTGTTTGAAGTTAAATCCAGTGGGCAGGCACAGGGCGACAGAGTAGAAGGTGACAGGATACAAGAAAGTGCCCCTTAAGACTCATATCGTGCCATCTTATGCTTATAACTCCCAGGGGTGTAGAAGCTCAAGGGTGTGCGACAGGGGCCGCGCACCTTGAGCTGCTCCTGCACTGTGCGGAGGCGTTCCTTCCAGGCGCCGACCTGCGCCTCGGAGGCGGCCAGCCCGCGCAGAACCGCGTCAAAGCCGGTGGCAGCCATGTAGAGGTTGTACTTCTCCTCGTCGCTCGCGTTGCCGGCAAAGCTGCGCGCATTGTCCTGTTTGCACATATCGCGTGGTCAGTAAAACTAACCCTTCAAAGGCACTTCCTTAAAATGGGCGCACATGGTGCACGAATTGACTACAAACCACCGGCTGCACTGGCTGACTGCAACGCAGTGAGGAGGGTTTGCCGATCAGGGCCATGAGATGAAGACAGCAGAGTGGACAAAGATCATAGGAGTGGAGAGTCGTGGGCATGGCTACACTGGCTCACTGACAGGCAGTGATTGGTTGTCTCTGTGGGTGATGACTCATGGGCGGGGAGCATCTCCGCTGTGTGGTGATGCGAGGATAACCACCTCATTAAGGAGATCAATTGCCCGTCTATGCACACTGGCGCAAGGGTTAGTCATGCTTCAGGAGTGAGAAAGCGGCAAACGTATTTAGCGAGATGAAGGTTGCTAAGAGCTGCCAGACCTGGGTGAGGCAGATGATGGGATTGCTGGCATCGATGTTGAAGTGGTCCATCACTATCGCCTCCACTTCTGCCCTCTTCACCTGACGATTGCTCTGCATAACAGCAGCACACCACACGCTTATACGCAGGTTTTAAAGAATCAGGACAGTGCCCAAGTCCCATGTTTTGGTCCATGTCAGACCAATTTCCTAGTCTTGCCGCCACCTCCTTAGACCGAGTCAGGTGTGTTGTCGCATACCTGCCCATGTAATAGGATGCCCACCTAGAGGTTAGAAAGAACTTGGAGTTTGGTGAATGACATTTTCTCATATCTGACCCTGACAATTGCCAGCACAAAGAGTCTCATTGCTTGCAGGACCCCTGAGCACACAGCGCACAGGGTCCTCTGAAACTCGAGCGCAGGCCTGCATAGATATCCAGTTCCCCTGTAATTCCCTCAGAATATAATTGAAAATTAAGGGAGGAAACTCACCCTGCCGTGGGCGGCGAGGTAGTAATAGGAGCCGCCGCTGCGCGTGAGTTTGCGCGTGATGGTGATCGTGGGCCCATACAGCTCCGGCTGGTAGGCATCCGACCCCTGACCAGCGCCACACATCAGGCATCATCAGCTCAAGTGTTCGTTATCATTGTTACTACAGGTCGGCAAACCCAACCCCAAAACCCAAACCCAAACCCAAAGGCCATAGAGCGTCAACACGCAGGGCGTCTGCAGCCACATCTGCGGGGCCTACAAAAGTCTGCAGCCATGATTCAGCCCGAAGGTTGCGCATGATGATATGAGCAAACATCTACCTCTGCCAAACATCTGCCTCTAGGTGTGGCAGGGGGACGAAACAATTTGTAGCTGGGAAGATCCACAGGTTCCCTTGGGCCCCAGCTCGGCCAGGAAGCTGATGTGCTTGCATGCCACTGCTCACCAACAGCAGACTCCCATGAAGCCCAGTCAAGCAGTCTAATTAGTGACAACAAACTACTCCAGTCAGCGCCGCATAGCGTTCCAAGCACGCATTCGCAACGGTCCTGCTACAGCAGCAATAATCCCATACAGTCCAGTCGGATCATCCAGTCATCTTTCGCCAGTCAGCGCCGCACCGTGTTCCAGAGCACGGTCTTGGCGACAGCGGTGGAGGCCTGGTCGTTGATGAGGTCCTTAGCCGCTGACGAGCGGCCGGTGTCGCGCGCGCGCGCCCCCAGGCACACCTGCAGGCACTGCAGCGTGGCGCTCTTGCCTGACCCGTTCTCGCCCGTTATGAAGTTCAGGTGCGGCCTGCGCAGCAGAAAATGTGCCCATCTGTCAAGAGGCTGATCCACTCCCTTGAAATGTAGACTGATGGTGGGGCAATTGACCAGGGGCGAAAATCACGTGTGGTATGGGGGATGCCTGTGTCTTCGCCATGATCCGCTGCAGCAGGGTGCTGGGAGGTTCTGGTGAAATTGTGCGCATGGTCGCAGAATGATGCCATGTCTGTTGGGCCCTGTTCTTTTCCAGGGAGGTGTCTTTTCAAGCATACTATCGACAGAAAGGTAATCGCAAGCAGAGGCGCACCCAAGTTCGATCTCAAAGTTCTGGTGGCTCATGAAGTGCTCGGCGTGGATCGACTTGATCTGCCCTGCTATGCCAACGCCATTGCCAGGCTCCATCTGCACAGCAACGGACACAACTCCATCAGCCCTTCAAACTAAGCATACTACGCGCTGTGCTGCAGTGATACAATCTTGCAACACCCTGACAAGCCTCCCAGTATACAGCAATCAGTACTCCTTGAGCGTGTTTGACCCATGTCAGCCATGTCAATGCCAGCATTGAATGCCCCTGTCAAGAACCCCCATGTGCATTTGCGCACCTCAGGAAACCTCATGCGCGGTATCTGAGTCAGCGTGCGCTGCGTGGCGTACGCGCTGCCGCGCTGAGTCAGCGCTTGGCTGGCGACCAGCTGCGTGGCACCCGCCGGCTCGGCCGGCTGGCGGCTGCGGGATCGCTTCCGGCCAGCGCGCGCCGCCGGCTCGGGTGACTCGTCGGCAGCTTCCTCGTCCTCCGCATCTGCCGCGGCAGCTGCCGGGCTGGCTTTCCTCTCCCTGTTGGTTGGCAGCTGCTCTTCCTCCTCATCGTTGTCGTCTGTTTCCATTGGCAGCGGTATGTCGGCCTTTGGCTCTGCCTCCTCTGGCTCCGGTGTGTCTGCTGGTGAGGCCCTTCGTGACCTGCTGCGACACCGCCTGCACCCCATGATTCCAATATGCAGCAAACAGCAACTGGAACAACAAACAGCAATCCAGCAACGATAGACAGCTACAGCCACCAGTACCAAGAACCGGCACCCACGAACCCAACACACAACAGAGCCCTGCACAATACGGCACAACCTTTGATCACTCATTGCTGCCAATATTGACAACACAGCACAATAGCTGATCCTGCAGGTTTTAGTGCTTCATGTCGGAGTTGCACTTGTATCATTAATTGTCTGAGACCCTGCAAAAGATGCGAGGCATTTGAAAGGCACGATGCTGTTCACACCTTGGGTGCTGCATCATTGGCGTGTCCTCTGCCGCCTCCTCAGCAATGCCCCTATTGTCCTTCTGGGCCGTGTCATCGAGCGGTGCCCTCCTCTTGGCTGTGCGGCCTGCCAGCTGGCAAGCTGGCCGCTTGCCGGTGCCTGTGGGTGTCATGGTCCTATTGTTGCCTGCAAGAATATGCTGCCTTGTCTAACAGTCCGCCTTTGCTGTGAGTGCATCCCACTGCACTCAGCTGCCTTTCAATGCACCACTTCAATGCATTTACGGACCAGGTGACAGGTGATCCGAGAATGGGCTAGGGAGATGGAGAGCAAATGCAGGTGAGGGGAGGACGCGCACGGTTCTGCAAGGGTGGTCGTTCCTTCAGAGCTTGCCCCTTCTGCAGCTCCTTCTGATTTGCCTTTGCCGCGTCAGACAGCTTGACGTCCTTCACCTTGGCTCCCTCGCCAAAGACATCCTCCCAAAAGATATCCTCCTCATCTCCATCGTCATAACTGCAGGAAACACCCCACTTGATGCTGGGACCTCCCTAAGTCTAGACATTGTGACGACACTTTGATCCGTGAAATGTCGTCTGCAAGGCCTGCAACACCCACTGCAGCTGGGCTCTCCACAGCAGGCAAAGCATGGTGGTCATTGAATCCAGGCAAAGTGGCCTTGCACTTCCTTGATCCCCCCAACTTCTTGCATGGTTGCTCAATTATTGACTGAAAGGTATTTGCATCAAATCAATGGAGCAGTAAGTTGGTGGTGTCACAAGCACTAAGGGCGTTATGAACACCATGGACTTGCTTTCTGGGCAGGTTTTGAAGGGTGTGGTGTCGGTCAGGCCTAGAGGTTGCCAATCGTAGATAATACTTGAGCAATAGCATGCGGTGCCCACCTGAGCGTGAGTTGAAGACCCTCCTCAACCTCTCCAGATAGTCCGTTCACCACGTGGTCGTGTGCTGCTTTTACTCTACACTTATACCACCCCTCTCTAGATGTTGTCGTTGCGTCCCACCACTTCTTGAGTGTGGTGCCAACGTACAGCTCCGCAGACTCGACAGTCTCAGGTTTAAGAATTGAAGCCATGCTGTTGCCCATAATTCATATGGCCAAGAGCCTTTGCGCAGGCGCTGGAACAAATCTTGAAATTATCAGGGCCCAGTTGGGCTGATCGGACATCAAAGCTTCAAGACTCTACACTTGTTGAAGGAGCCAGAAAACATCCATAGGTGATAGGTCAACTGTATTGGGCTTCATGCGCTTCTGACCTCGGTAATGTTTGGAAGGGCCTCAGCTCCTGTAGACGGTTATGAAACACAGTTTTGGCCAACGATCGCCCCAATCCCGCATTGTCCATCGCCATGCTTCCTTGAGGTTTCAAAAATATTAGAGTCCGTAAACGCCGTGAAGATCCCGTAACTGTCCTGAGCCCGCAGTGCTGGTGCCAGCACCATTTGGCATGTGACGATGGGCGTCATGATAAACATGCAGGGTTTTACGGTAGAACTTTTACCTTCCTCGTCACTGCGTCGACTACAAAAGGAACATGGGATGAGTAGTTCAGAGTTGAAAGTTGTGAGGAGTAGTGCTGCGCGCGCGGCATGAGCACCTGAGCTCGAGGCTCGAGCCGTCGCCGGCTTTGATGTTTGCCACACCCGCGATTCTCAATATCATGATCATGATAGAAAGCAGGCTTTAGGCCATGAAGACAAATCAGGAAGTTCAGAATGAATTCCTAATTTACATTGCAATTGGCACTGCACAGTCACTGACAATCAGCTGAGCCGCTCACCGATTGGCAATGCAGATATATCTCAGCTGCGGCATTCACACTTTAAAGCAGAATGCGCATGATTTCTCTGAAATGTGTTCCAAGTTGCCAGCGCAGCTTGCAGCTATGATTGACCATAATGGACCCAGACGTCAAGACGGCATGTATCCCTTGCCGTCACCCTTACCACCAATGCCCAACCCCACCTTCTGAGTGCAAGTATACTCAAACTCCATGGACTCCCATGGCCAGCGTACATGGTCTTTGCAAGCATGCAGAAAAGGTCTAAAGGCACCACGCTATCGCCTTGCGAACCCATGCTTCTCCTCAAGAGGCAGTCACCGTGATTCTGTGACTCTGCTCCATGGGAGTCATGCATGGGGCTGTCTCTGAGCATCCCTCCATGTCTGACAAGGTCATGACACCTGTTGAATGTAAAAGCACGCCTCACTTATTTCAAAGAGAACTTCCATCGACTGCAACAGAACAGCTGCGCAGTGTGAGCGCCATGAAGGAGATAAGACACCCTAGCGGAGTGCAGATTAAGGAGAAATTTGCGTACACATGCGGCAGCAAGAAAAAGTGAGCATTCACTTTGGAATGGATGCACAGCCCTTGCCAATCCCACCGGCAACATGAATGGCAGTGTGAAGGAAAATTGGCTTGCGCACAGCGTGCTAATGTCCACAGTTTGGTCACTATCAGAGTATATTGAGGACAAGGTAAGAACCTGTGAGGCGCGCATCTTTGCCCTCTCCAGCAGATATGCCCTGCGCAAAATGTCACGTTGTCTGAGGAATGCGGGACTGCTGCAGCGCACTGACCAAGAGGGTCAACCCAGAACATCCATTACAATACAAATGCCAGTGCATGATGATCCAGGTCCAGGCTTGTCAGCATGATATCAGGACGTACAAATTTTGCATATTCGCGTGATGCATGGGCGCCATTTCGGAAAGCTGCGAGCCGATATCGTTCAGCATATCCATCAATTTTATCAGGTCGGGGTGCCAGCTAGCCGCTGGAGGCAATTCAGCTGTCCCAGCAATCAGACAGTTTAGCCTGGGACAGGACAGAAACTTTCGACCCAAAGGACCCAAGGCCCAACAATGAAGGGGTGTCTATGCAGTGCCTGACACCAGAAATCAACTCACCGATTTTCCACGGAAGGGGGTGGGCCCCACTGGCAGTAACCCAGAGTGGCAGCTTGTCTCCCTGCAACAATACTGCTACTTCAACGCAAGTTGTACTTAGCTTGAGTGTTAAGAATAATTGTTTCTGGATCGACAAGAGCGGCGCTGTGATCAACTAGGAATTTAGGACAGACCAACCATCGGAAGAACCACGTTTGCGCTTGCGCTTCTGACTACCTTGGTCCGGCACCTGCGTGCTCTCCTTAGCTAGAGTGATGGAACGGGCTTTCATTTGGACCTTCACTGAAGTTGGCATATGAAGTTTGTTGCCTTAAAGCGTATGAGAAACACAGTGAAGAACTGGGCACACCTACCCACAGACACTCTCAACCCCGCAAGTCACAGAAATATGTTAATTGCACAGACTTGGACGACTTCAAAGGATGGCAGTTTCCTGGAAACAACCGTTTTAGAAGAAGAAATTCTTCTCTTGTTCGTCTCTCCCTGAAAATTATGACGTGCCCAACTCGACCCAGTCCAACGTTGATGTTTGGGGGACCAGAAGTGGTATTTTGAAGAAGCTTGATACGACCTTGATCCTGCAAGTATGCAGGAGATCCAACAGGCGTCACCGGCAGGAGCCGGACAGCAGGCTGGACAGCACGCGCAACAGGCCATAATCCAACCGAACCGATTTGATGCAGTGAAAGCCCTACCGCCAGCCCTCAATCTCGCAGCGCGCGCAACTGCAGAAGACATGAAAAGTCTCAAGGCGTACGTCGATGCGATAGATCAGTACGCTGGTATGCTGTGGATCCGTAGAGAAACACTTTCTCGGCCGTGCATGTACAGTCGATGCCCAAAACAACGTCTCCGTCCGTGTCAACACATGACTCTACCAGGCACGTCTTGACGCTGACATGCTGCCTGTCTTTATTCTATCTGCAGCTGTTGCGGCGGACGTAGACCAGGCAGAGGTGGACGCGTGGGTCGAGTACTTCCAGAGCCACCAAGGTATATCCCATCAATAGTAGCTTTGTCTTCTTGACATTTGGGGCACCTGAAAGCACACTACGATGAGGATATGCCAAACTGTCTGCAGCACACAACAATCTTCCTCCAACTCTGGTGAATGCATGCAGCTGCATGCGTCACCATAGATATTATGGCGCAGCAACCAGGAACACCAGCGGCTCTGACAGAGGCACTGACCACGCTCAGCAATCAGTTCACCAGTGTCCGGACTGAGATGCGCGACATGTCCTCAAACATGTAAGCTTTACTTTCATATACACCTTACCTTTTTCAACATGTATAATCCCTGGTTTATGTGGACACCTTGCTCAAGGTCGCCTCACCAAAAATGAAGCTCATTTGCCAGACGCATGCCACCGGTACCGTCAGCCCAGTCATGTGGCATTTTCAGGAATACTCGACACGATGATAACCAGCATACTTACGGCACTGGAGTGGTTCTTTAGAAGTTTAGGCCGCAAGTGTGGACCCACCCAAATGGAGCATGTCAAATAACTGATTATTGTTGTGGCATGCCCATGCAGCGCGTACACCATGAATCGCTTGGCAACCAGCGGCACCGACCGCATCGCTCCCCCACTGACACCAAATGGACCCCTGCCCGCGCATGCAATGCGTGTGTTTCCTCGCACGAAGGGCCGACTAATTACGCTGCGGGATCTGCGCGCACGCCTCCTCTTCTCTCTGTATAGCACAGAGGACGACCATGAGGAGGCAGTGGATGATGAGCTGTACTTCGGCCGCCCCAGTGATCAGCCTCCGCTAGCTGCCGGCAACTCGGTCCTTCGGCAGAGGGCTGTGAATGCACTGGCTGTGCTCATCCATGTGTCAAAGCCATTCCATGAAGAGGAGGAGTCAGAATCGGAGTCAGAGGAGGAGGGAGGGGAAGAGGGAGATGGCATAGCTATGGCGACCATCTTAAGGGGGGGCGTTGTCAGCTGCCGCATTTCCTGCCTCTGCCGCCCCCCGAGCTGCCGCTGCCGCTGCCGCCTCCATCTGCTCCTCTTGAACAAGCAAATGGGTGCAGATTCCAACAGCGTAGCTGAGCCTCTTGTGAAGTGGATACCACGAAGTTGACATGACAGCAAGGTGAAGGCAGGCTCGAAAGAAAGCTCGTGTGCAGGCAAGAAGCCTATGGACATGATACTGTTTCAATATGCTGGTACAAGCTTCAAAAATCACCAATTCGATGGACTCGAAGTGCGCACTATATGCAGCAGAAGAAGCTGCACTGCAGGGAATGCCGCAGACGGGCATGTCTGATGACATCAATGTTGCTGGACCTGCATAACAGAATAGTGACTATGGCAAAAGCGCAGGTGACGTGATGAAGAGTGATACAGCGGTAGATAGCTCCGAATATGAAAGGTTGTCGACATTGGCTCACCCATCACGTGACCTGCCAATTTTACCAGGCTTGGGGTGCTCACGCTGTCTTGCAATATCAGGGTCTCAGAGGCTCTCTTTGATCCCCTACTAATACTGAGGGGACTTATTCCCGTGAGGTAGCAAGCGTTTTCACATGAATGCACGGTTTGCGTTAATCACGAGAGTTTGATTCCTGACATTGCAAAAGCATTGACCGTGTTGACAAGTGTGCAGCAGTGTGCTCATCTCCAAAGCAAGAAAATATTGAATGCATACACTTAAGCATACACTCAAGCTTGCAACAACCACTCATCAGTCTCAAGCTCACATGCCAGTCTGCTCTCAGATCATCATGAGCTACAACCTCAGGCCTGGAGCCTTGATTGACTGTGACCAGGGCGAAATGAACAGGCGAGTCCAGGGACACTTTTCACAGTGTAGATCTAAAACCATTCTCTTCCCGCCGTCCTCCTCATATGCTCATCCGCAGCAGGTAGTCATCCTGCTCCATGTGTTCATGCATGGGGCTCTCTTTCAACGTGACCCTGTCACTACTCCCATTCATCCCCTGATCAGCCGCCGCAGCATCATCCGCTGCGCGCTTGCCCTTCCGCATGCCGTACACGAAATAATGGAACCCTTCGCCAAATGTGGCAACATCTCTGCCCCAGTCATACTGTGGAGCCTGCAGGAAGGGCCGCCGGAAGTGCGGCTGCGCAAAGGTCACCGACAGGAACACGCCATCCTTGGCAAGCACCCTGCAAGCATGCACACCGCTCTGATTTACTTGAGCGTAAGAGGCCTTTGCTGGATACACGCTCTTGATGGATGCTGTGCCTGGTGCTGTACACTGATACCAATGGCATGCCTGGGCCCCTACTCATGTGGTCCAAAACAGCTGTTTGCACCAAGGGGTATCTGATCTGCACAGCATCCTCATGTGTAGGTGGTACGTTTGGATGACAGAAAAAAAACAAAATAAACACCACAATGAAAAGGGCCCGCACAGGCCCGGCACTGGACCGCCATAGATAGCTGCAATTTTATGAAGCACTGTGACCAGATCATCACACGAGCACACACCTGTGGGTTTCTGCCAGCATGCGGTGCACGCGCGCACAGACCTCCGGGCGGGGAGACCAGGGTGAGTCATTATCGACAAACAGCACGTCCATGGTGCCCTTCTCAATGACCGCATCAAAGCTGCCGTCTGCAAATGGCAGGTCCAGCATGTCTGCCACTCTCCACTCAATTGCCCCCATGCCCTGCAGCAGCACGCTTGTACTGAACAGCAGCTTGCGCGCAACATGCTTTGATACCCCCTGTATTAAAGTACAATTCCAGGTTGCCCGGTGAGAAATCTTGAAGTGTGCAGTGCAGCGCAATTCAAGTGCCAGATCTCTTGGCGCTGACTCACTTGAGATTATAAGGTGGACCGCTTTCTGGAAAGCTCAAACCATGTGGCCGAGCCATTGTCTACCCACCTTGCAAAGCACTGCTCGGCCACATGCTCGAGATTCCCAGGAAGCGCTGGCCGTGCTCCATGCTGTCTCAACATCAAGCGTTTCGTGTGCAACGGACGAAAGCAAGGGAAGGTAATGTAAAGCACCTTGTCGGCCGCGCGCTGCCGCATGCGCTCGATGACAGCCGGTGACAGGTCGACGCTGGTGAGGCTCTGGAAACCATCGCAAAAGAGATCTGCAGTGAGGGAGGAGTTGCCGCAGCCCAGCACCAGGATCCTGGAGGAAGCTTCCAGGTGCGGCTTCAACAGGTGACTAAACTCCTTGTAGCCCTTGAACCACTCATACTCCTCTTCCTGCAGGCACACGATTCTTTCAATGCCCTACATTGCAATGCAGTTCAATGAGCTTGTCCGATTGATCTACCCGGTATCGTCATGCCTCCAAGCTTAGGGCTCTCAAACAGTGCATACACAGACTTTCTCCCTTTTGCAGCAACACAGACCACCCAGACTTACTGGCAGCAGCATGCTATCTGGTCAAGCTAGATGCACGATGAGCAGTGGCCAGCATTGAAGGAAGCATTCTTCACGCAATGATTGCATGGTGTTCCCCAATACCAAAAGAGTAGAGTAGCAAAGTGCAGCATAATGTAGAACACAGCACGGTGCAGCAGGAGGGAGTACCTTCTGGAATCGCTCATCCCAGTACTTGGCATCCAGGTATTGGGAGTTGTGGTCAGGCAGGAAGCTGTGCTGCTCGGCTGCCTCTTCAATCAGCCGCCCGCTCCTCTCACATTCGTCAATGCTCATAACCCCCAAATCCGGCACTGTGCATCAATCACCCCTCCTCCATCACCTCTGCTGGAGTGCCAACACTGGTATTTGACAGCTCCCCCTTTTGGTCTCCAGCCGCTGTGATGCGTGTCCGGTCCACAAGGTCTTGCTTTAAGGACCTCAGATACTCCTGCACACAGGCCAGATCAGAGGCATCCCATCAGGGCTCTGCTGACATCAGCATAGTACATGCAATTCTGAATGTGGATTACTCTGTCATCTGAATGAGGCCGTGCGCTGGATATGGACGAGCATTCCAGGCGTGCAATTGAGATCGCAAGAATCGTGTTAAGACTCTACCTGCGCGTGTAATCTGTACTGATTCCTTTCGTCAGGGATGACCTTGGCAAACTTGGTTGTGGCAGGCAGCAACACTTCTTGGACCACCTGCATTCATGGTAATAACTTGAGGTTGATCCGAAAACACCTCGATTTGTGAGGTGCAGGTTCTAATTTAGTCACAAATGTGCCTGTCAACTCAGGCAGCGTTACCTTGATAATGCCCAGAAATTCCTTGCTCTTTTTCTCGACAAGGGACTGATCCGCGTCTCCAAGCTTGGACAACTCTTTCACTACCTCCGCGGCAACCTCGACCGCTCGAATAATGTCCTGTCTTGACATTAAGCTCAGATCTGAGGCGAAGGCATCAGGTGGTACTGGCACAGTATAGCCACGACAGTAGGACACCAACAAACATGCAGCACAATGAATTGTCCTCCATCGTACCCTCTCTGCACCTCGTATCTTGTTGACGTCCTCTGACAGAGAGTTGCTGGACATCCACCTAGACAGCTTCACGGGTGATCAACGAAAAATTTGATCTCAAGGCAGTACAGATGGCTCGTAATAGATGATCCTGGGAATGAGCCTTCCAACAGCAGACGAAAAAGCAAGGAATGTGGAACATGCTCCTTTCCAGCCCACACAAGCCCTAAGCTCTAGGGGCTTTAAATACTTATAAAGTAAATCATGATATCGATATTTTATTCACCCGAAGGGTTCTGGGCATCTTCGCTTCGGTACTCTTAGGCATCAGAACTACATGCAGTAGAGCTTTCCAAGAGACTGCCCGACATCTTGACTAGTGTCTTTAATATGTGTCATGTTCAGACAGAATAGGTTGTTTGCTCGAAAAGTCTACGTGCAGACTGCACCCTTTCACGCCTGATTCGATCTAAACAAAGCGCTAGCAAGCCCCATCACTTTCCATCGCGGGATGATTTGAAGTGGGAGTCTTAAAAAATATTTCTATCGTTTTAGTCATCGATAGGTTGGCAGCTCTCTGATGTTTGCGGTCGAAAAAAGGTGAGTTTCGTCCTGTGGCATAGTGTATAGCAGCCTGCCGGCATATTGACTTCGTACCGAAGTTCTGTGGTGATTGGTTACTAAAAATAGTCAGAATGTTCGCCAGGACATTCTAGCGGCTTGGCTGGGCTCTGCACCCAACACATATCTCACGGCCCTTTTGGGGCAGCTAGTATGGATTCTCTCAATGGGACAGATCCATACGGCAATTCCGATTATTCGTCAGCCAGCAAAACCATGCACAAGATTTCACAGAGATACCGCTACTTCCTGGACAAGACTACACCCCACTCTGCAGGCAGATGGCTCGCCCTCCTGGGCTTGCTGATTATCTATGCCGTCCGAGTATACTTGCTGAAGGGTGAGGTTTCACTCTGACCTTCCGTCAGTCGCACCCAATTGCTTCCAAGTCTAGACTTCCCATAGGCTCTTCAGACCCGTGCCTTTGCCAGTGATTCATCATGGTTGCCTGCCTTTCGAACCTGCAGACAATTTGTTTGCCCTCTGCAAGCTTGTTATTATCACTCGACACGGCAGAGCTCAATGCCTGCCCCAGCATCTGTCAGCAGCTGAGTAGGAGAAGTTCCCATTATATTCATGGGGCAATGCAGCGCCACATTAAGGACCCTGGCCACAAAAGCTCAAACGTTGACATCATGGAAAATTGCTGGAAATGATCCAGTGTGTGCTGCTGCAGGCTTCTACATCGTGACATACGCGCTGGGGATCTTCAACCTGAATATGTTGCTGGGATTTTTGACTCCCCAAGTGGACCCAGAGCTGGAGGGTCCCACGCTGCCCTCCAAGAAGGAGGACGAGTTCCGGCCCTTCGTGCGCCGCCTGCCCGAATTCAAATTCTGGTGCGCAGCCTGCCCGATACCATGTACTGGTCAGTGGCCTCGTGCATTGAACACCTCATAATATGGTGCTGAGAGGGGAAGTGTCATAAAGTGGATCATCAAGATTCGAGCTCGTTGCTTTTTGCACTAATCATTTATTCTGGAGGAACCACAAGCAAGTCATGTACATACAAGACATACAGGGAAGCTCTGCATGGCCAGAATTGCTCAATCCCGGCATGTTCTGCATTTTCATTTTCTGCAGCAGTGGCGCACAGAACCTGTCACACACGCCTGCAATGGCTGCTTCATGCAAACAAGTAGATGAATTAAGACTTTTCCATGTTGTGACACTCTGGCGTGCTCACAGGTATTCGTCATTCAAGGCGCTGCTGCTGGGCTTTGTGGTGACCTTCTTCCCGGTGTTTGATGTGCCAGTGTTCTGGCCCATCCTGCTCATGTACTGGCTGGTGCTCCTATTCGTCACCATGAAGCGCCAGATCAAGCACATGATCAAGTACCGCTACATCCCCTTCTCCTTTGGCAAGAAGGTGCGTGGCGTTGCCTCTATCTCTTTGGAGTCTCAAACACTTTTCTTCTTACATCCTCCATCCTACTGGTCGAGTCTTTGGGTGTTGGATTTTTCTGCCGCTGGGGTAGTCATTACTTATACTAATAATCTATTACCTGATGGCCATGCCTGTATATACAAACTGTCAAGCTTTTATTATTATTGCAATCAAGCTCGCTGCAATGCGTTGCCTCTCTTGAGATCTGCCTGCTTTGATGGGCATCCCGCTGATGCATTAGGGGCTGTCATGCATTGGCGTCGTTCTTTTTTGGAAACAGTGCAAGTCCAATCAGGAACTGTGTTTCGCGTAATATGCTGTTGACTGAATCGTCAGCTGGTTCTCATGCCTTTGTTATCAGACCTGGGCTCTACCTGTCTGAGCTGGCACTCATGTTCTTTGTGTTTCTCCTCGTGGCAGAGCTATAGCAAGGGAGGCGGGAGGTCGGCTAAGAATGACAAGTGAGCTGGAAGCTGGTGTTAGAGTTGCAATTAAGCGCCTGAGTGACGACACGACGGTTGAAGCAGCAGGAGTCAAAATTTACCCTCTACTGGACCTCTTTGCAGTACCGCAGTACAACTGTGAGGGTGCTTCTCAAGCAGAGCGCTCCCACGGTCTCTTCCTAGGATAGCCCTGGGAGCACTGCTCCTTGCAGGCGCATGGGAATTGGTATTGGTATTCAGCAACGGATTTGGCCTAACCCCTTGCGCGCTTTGCATTTAGAGCCCCTGGGGTCTACAGTGCTGCTTTAGGCAATAGCAATCATCAATGATTGATACTGCCTGCTGCCGGCAAGGTTGCTGAGTACATGACAGTGTGCGTGTGACCATGCTGTGTAAAACCAGTACCTGGTAAAATGAAACTATTCTTTACACAGTCTGGCATGTCCTAGGCCTAAAGTCCGGCCCTCAAATATCTGATTTACTACCGTCACGGTAAAGTATACGGTACAGTATACGGTTTAGTATGCTAGCAAGTGTAAATCATGATTCATGATTCCATGTGCACTGTGCAGCACTGTACTGACCGTCTGTCTGACAGCGTGTCTGAGACACTGTGCACACGCGCATGTGATGCACCAAATAGAATATGTACTGTTGAGAGCTGCAACTTGAAAGAATACACATTTTGCCTGCTGCTGAGGCTAAATTGGCACCCTAGGAAAAGTGCCTTCATGATGCAACATGGGGCAGGGCACATTCCAATTCCCCGAGCCTCATCTGCCGCTTGTTTCCCCCATAACAATCAAAGAAGCCACTCTTGCTGTTCAGAACAAAGGTACGCTCATTCATAGTTTTGGGGGGCTCACTGGTTTAGTCCATCGGCATGGCTTTCACTTAAGCTTCACGTTCTGGACTCCGATTAGCCAAGCAATATGCGATTTTGCTATATTGAGGCATAATATCTCGGATCACACCTCTCTGAATTGCGATCAGCATCTAATTTCTCCCTCAGATCTGCCATGCGAATGACCTAGCTTTGCGTGTGCAGGATCTCGGAGGCTCACGGATATAATGATGAAGTTTGCGCTCCTCATCCTTATTGCTTTGTTTGGAGTATCGTTTGCATCCAACGACGAAGGCCCGATCACGGCCCAGACCGTTCAGAAGGTTGGAGCCAAGGCTTACGTATACAACCCACTTCTCCTGGGGACCAACGGCACACAGGTGGGTTTATTGGGCAATCTTAATACTTCTATTTGCTTTGATGTATGATCTCTATGTTCTGATGTGACGCTAGTATCGGATAAGTGCACCTGATTGCCTCCATTATCATCCAAGTCCCAACAAGAGATCACCTTTACTTCACTGAGCTGACGAAGATTACCTATAATATGATGCCAGCTGCATCTTGGTGTCCACAGAAAACGGATGGTGGCTCGAGACAGCAGCGAATGGTGGGCCAATGGCCGGCATTGGCAGGACAGGGCATCTCTCAGACGGTCTTCACACTGGAGCCGTGTGCCATGAGGCCTGCACATGTCCACCCAAGAGCAACTGGCCTCTTGTACATGATCTCAGGTACGTAGGCAACTCTGCATATTGCACATTTTGCTGTCACTTGCCCTTGCTAAGCCACTGCCAATGGAATGACTGTTGCCTCTGACAACACAGTAGAGGGCACTATTGAGCATTCCTGAAATCAGCGAGTCCTTCTGCTATCGGGCAGCTGGCTCAGGTTGCTTCCAGTAGCAATATGGCTGCTGTTTGTGGAACAGGTGCCAAGTTCATGGTTGGATATGTAACTGAGGATGGCACCCCGGTCAACAACGAGATCAGCACCGGGGCATCTGCTCTCTTTCCTATCGGTGCGCAGCTCTTGGAGGCACCCATCTCTGAGTCTAACCATTCCCATTCTCAAGGTCTTACCTATATGGGCAGCAAAGATGTTCACGGCAGATCTCCACTATGTTAATTTCTGCTTTGCCTTGCCCAACATGGACTGGGGCTTCGTCCGAATAGTTCCTTAGTCAAACAGCGTGCAATGAAGCTCTGACAGACAACATGAAAAGTGTCATTGTGTGAGAGTTCATGCTGAATAGAATCTCCCATGCATGCAGGCTTGGTTCACTACCAGCAAAACCTGGACTGCTTCGATGCCACTTACGTCATCAGCTACAACCATGAAGACCCTGGCACCCAGGTCTGCCCCAGACCCGGCACAAATTATATCCTGTCCGAGTACCCAATTCCTGGATGTCTTTAAGGTGCATTAGTGGCCATTTCTGAACCATTGAAGTGGATGCGGAGGCCCTGATGAAGCAAGTCTCCTGCCTTAAGACCACTTTCTAGCCCAGACTCCAAAAATCATACATTGCATGTCCTACTCTCTGGCATGCTTTTGGCAGGAAGCAGCAAGCAGCAAGCATGCAGCCATGAGCACTCCATCTTTCAATTGCGCATGCATGCAGCGCCATGGCAGCGTTATGGCGGCAGAATCATTGTTCCTGCATGATTGGGCCAAGCTTTGGGACATTGAATGTTGCATCATGCTGACGAGCACAGGTGCCTCTGCATGACTGATAAAGCCAAGACGTGATGACTCATCTCGGAGATGTGTGGGGTTCTCTACAGATGACATACGCGAGCCTGCAGCAGCTGCCGGCAGCTGCAGTGGCGGCGACTTTGGGAGTGAACACCACCGGCTACTCAAACCTGCTCTCGGCTTCCCCCAAGGGAATCTTCATCAAGAGCAGCGACCCTGAGTGTGTCGCCCGCTGCCAGCTGGCACCTGCCAAATCAGGCGCCACAGTCAGCGCTGCCAGCGTCAGCGGATGAGTCACCCCTCCATGTCAGCCCTGTGTCTGTGGAGCTGACGAATGCGTTCAAGACTTGAATTTCAAGATCTCTTGAAGATATACTTCATGCAAGGAGTGACGCAGCCAAGTTCAGAACACACAATGCACGGTAACACTTGAAATTGTTGGGAGTCGGCATTTGTTGGAGTTGATATGGCTATCTTGCGGCTGCCATCACACCTGGAAGGGATTGAAGGATGAAGCGCTGTTGAAGAGATCTTTAGAGGAAGAGCAAGGGGAGGTACATGTTGGATTTTAGGTCAAATTGCTCTGACACCGCACAATGATGGTTCAGAGTGTCACAGCCTGTGAGGCTCGAGCTCAGGCTGATGAGGCCCTGACCCTATAGCTATGTGCTGACCAGTTTGGGTCGATATTTGAAGCTGCATGCTGAGGCAGCTGCTGGCATACTCAGCGGTCCATTAATCGTATGATTTCCGGAGGCCTCTTTGGCCTGAATGCGGCCGCACTCTAATGAAATTGGATTTATTGGAGTTTGTTGGTGGGCTCTCCCCTCAGGCTGATGAGATGATAATGCTCACCACTTGATGCATGGGTTTGCCGGCCTGGCACGGCAACTCCCGTCTTATTGAACTGTTACATTCTCCGGATCAGGAAGCTCTCCTGGAGACAGAAAATTAATGTAAGTGCGGGCATTGATATGCTCCAGCAATTGCAACACTCTGACATTGAGATCACAATATCTGTGTCAGATGAGCATGTTGAGGTCTGAAGCAGTCTGAGGATCTTGAGCACGCGGGCTTGCACAATGCTACTTGTTGGAATGCCATACTGAGGTTGCCCATGGCACAATATATTCCGAATATATTAAAATACATTTTAGTTTCCAAGTATTAATACTATCAGCCTGATAGGCCAGTGCTAGTCAGTACGTGCTGCAGGATCGGGATTCGGGAGGGTGCACATCACATGTTAATATAGACTAGTGCGCTTTAACTGGTAGACTTCTCCACTTCTCCATTGCATGCAAGGAGTCACGGTCATCTCTGCAGAGGCACGCAATGCTGAAATGCACAGTCCACACCGCAGAACGTATTTGCTAAACCACCGTAAGAATGAAAGTTACCTGCAAAGCGATTCGAAATTATCCAAACACTTTTCTGGGCGCGTTACCACATACAGAAGAGCTCTCCTCGATCTCCACCTCATAGTAACTTGAACAGAAGGTCAAAGACCAGAACAAAATGTTCATCATAAACAAACACTGCTGTAGTCTCTGAGGTTTCTCTTCTGCATGCGCTGATGCCCAACACAAACTGCATGATAAGAGGACTTGCCGGAAGGAACCCCCGCTTCACTGAGGAGCGCTGATTGTCACAACAAGTCCAAACACTCTAACGCATACCGCCACCATACCGTCTTGCATCAGAGCAAGAAATGAAATGACTGCTGAAGGCTGCTGTGCAGTATGGTCTGAGACTGGCGTAGAATGACTGTACTGTAGTGCCAAGCAGAGAACTGCCAAACACCATATTACCATAGATCTCATGATAACAGGAGTGCGCTGTCTCACTCCTGATGGAGGCCGCTGTGGAATTCGGTTTGCTTAGCAAATTTCCTTCTAGCCAGGCTCATCAGACCTAGATGCCTGATTTGGGCAGCAGATCGGCCATCCAAACAGGAGCCTCAGTCTATGTATTGCGGCAGTCTGACACCATGCCCGGCCACAAACGCCAAAATCAGAATAAGCATGCCTGCCAAGCAGCAGTTTCAGCAATGCAGAGCTTCCAGACCAGCGACCGCAGATTTCAGCCCAACCACGGACTGAGAAGCTACAACACCTCCGCGTCAAGGAGGGTGCAATGCAAGCACCCGCCTAGGAAGCTACGCCCGTGCATTGCACCTTGCGGCAAGCAAAAAGCCTTGACACACGCATATGTACAGGAGTCAGCTTGTGCTGCGACGGTCAAGAACCCAAGCCGGATGTACCCAACGCGAGCTCGTGACGCACCCCGTCAGCTGTCTCAGGAACAGTGCGATTGGCAGCTTCTGAGATGCGCTCCAAGACGTTTATGGCGACATGCAGAAGCAATCCGGCTCTAAACAATACGGCCCTGAGCAGCGCATGCCCAAGTTAATGACTCCGGCCCGGCCTGAGCCCGATACTATTGCTACTAGTACTATTTTGATCATCGAGAAACCAAAAAAAACTAATTACTTGCTACGCATGGTGGCAAATGACATCCCCAGACCACTACATGTCGCTGTACGTTCGAAATGATCCTGGTTGACGTATTGATACCGTTAGATTGTTTGGAAAAATTATTGAAGAACGTATGTATAGATACCGATCGGGTAGGAAGAAAGGAAACTGCCGCATGGACAGCAAACTCTCGTGACCTTCCCATTCTGGATGAGTCATCCTTTCCTGGACCATGCATGTGCAAGATTGGTCCCCACGATTTGCCAGCCCAAAGCAAATTAGCGTGTGATGGCATTGATGTCAGCTTGGTGCACACTCATCTTACTCGGATATCGTACAGCAGCAGCCGTCTTTGATTATGCAGAGGCTCTCCAGTCAGGCACAGTGCTACTGGCACATGCTGGTGTCTAGCTCGACAGTGCCCATGTGCATGGGGCAATAGAAAAAGGAAGTTTGACGATGACCCGTCTGATACCACTTGTGTAAGAAACGATGATGGTGTGTAAACATCTCGGGGTGGTCAAGGCATTTGATGGATGGGGGAAGGGGTTGCTCTGAGTTGGCACGATCGCTTGACAAACGTCGCTAGAACGGATTTTTTGAGTGCGCTTTTTCTGGTTTGAATGCAGGAGTTCAAAGGCCGGGGGCATGAAAAGCATTACCAGGTACACCTCTTCTCCCCCTAAGTACTGTACTGGATGTCAAGGATTGCGGGTTTCAAAGCCTGCGCTCGTCTTCTTTCAGATTCCTGAGAACCTTGAATTCCTCCGTTCCAGCTGCATCTTGACATGCGTGTAGCAATCACTCGCAGGTCTTCTTCGCGGAACAACACCTGGTCTGGGATCTCTTTGTCTACTTGTTCGGCATATTGATATCAATCTCGATCATGGTCAATTTCTGGCATAATAGCCACATCCGGAGTCCGCTCTGGTATGCAGCTTTTCTCTCACTCTTCATCTTGGGCAAGGTGAGAGACATCCCAAGTTGGCTTTGTGCACGCTGCTTTCTTGTTGTGCATGTCATGAAATGATATCACTGCTTTCGAGATCTATGTTGGGGAAGAGGCTGCCGGATCTCTGCTCAACCACTTGCAATACGACCTAGTAATAAGAAGGGACATTTGTGCAGGTCTTTCCTGTGGTCATGATCAAGAAGTATTGCAGTATATATACCCGGCACAGAACAGCGTTCATGGTTACCGTGCGCCTACTAGAATTCTACCTCACGCATGCTCACCTCACCTTTTGGACGGATGTTTCCAACCAGGACACTTTTGCTGAGTGGATCGTCCTTGCTTGTGTCTTGGCGAATAACTCGATATCAACTGTAGCCTGGTGCGCAACTGTTGCCACCCTTTGAGAGTATTTTTGCATTCTCAAATTTTTGCCAAGCAGCGTGGGAGGTGCTTGGGATTTTCTTCAAGCTGAATGCTGCACCATGTTCTTTGCAGGGGCCTCTTGCTGCCTCTTCCCAATCGGTGGTGGCTGACCATTCAGGTGAGATCAGAAGCATCCGTTCAGGCTGCAGCCCCTTGCTTCCTTTGTGGATGCCTTTGTTCACTTTTAAATATCCGTTTGTTCAAAGCCAAAGGGACTCTACGTTGGGATGGTTTTGGATGATTAGCTTGCGTCTTGATGCTATTCGCAATTGTGTTCATGACCGTATTGACATCTGCCTGGCATGCATGAGCAGATACTTGACTTGGGGAGGCATTTCCTTTGCCACACCTTCAACTTGCGCCAGTTGGAGAGAGGGCTGCACCACCTGTCACCCCTGGTGGGATGTGTTAACGCCCTTGGCGCAAATTTGGGCATGCCCCCAGTCAGCGAGCGCACTTTTCTTCTGCTGATGTGGATCACATTGGAGGTTTGCGTCGATGCCCAGCTGGTTGACTAATTGGAAGGTTCATGCATAGTCATCAATAAGGTCAACCGTTGGTAAGCTGACTGGGGATCCAGACATTGAAAGATGCCAGTGGTACACTCCTTTCATGCGTATTGCGTCCGGGCCTTCGGGCTGCATGAGGGGGCTTCAAAGTGGGTGATTATAGGCTGGGACCAGCTGCAAACAGATGTATGGCACCATTTCAGGCTCACCAGTTCTCTCTTTATGCGTGCCATATCCTTGCAGGTGTTTGGAGCATTCCTCTTGCCCTTCCTGGTCACATACAGGACGCAGCTGCACAGCCGGCGGCAGTGGCGACAAGGGGTGCTGAAGAGACTCTTAGAACACCTTGATCAGGGCGGCAGCACAGGGATTGAGAGAGGGGCTGTTGAGGGGTCATGCAGAGCGGATGAGAGGGATCCTGCGCTAGATATTCGGCCTACCTGGAGCTTGTTCCTGCCAGAAAGCGTGGCATTTCTCACGCTGTGCTTTGCAGCTGGGTTTGATGTTAGGATGCTGCAGTACATGGTGTGAGTTGTCATTCATGGTGGTGGATTGCTCCTGTGCCAGGGATTGCCTGGGGCTTAAAAAGTCACCTTCTATTGGCCTGAGCAATACTGCGGTAGTTCAGCTATTGTCTCTTGTGTACAATGTCGAAGGAGTGTGCCCCAGGGCTTGTACTGTTTTCTCTGTTTTATTGTCAAAGGATTGTGTCCCAGGGCTTGAACTGCTTTCTCTTTTTTGCCCCCCGATAATGTTTGATGCTTGCACATGCGCGCAGCCTTCAGGCTAGCTTCGTTCTGGGAACCGCATGGTTGGCAAAGGGGCTGTTCTGACAATCTCAGAAGGCGGAAGTATGCTGGAGAACTGTTACACCGATGAGCTTGTGCTATTTTTTTGAACTGTGCACTGGCAGTGATCCGAAGTGGTGCAGATTTAGGGCATGTATAAGCGAAAGACTGCTCCTGCATGAAGCACAACTCGGTGATGCGTCGTAGAAGGAGATCTATTAAGCCTGCTTGTTTTACTGGTGCTTTACCCTCAGAAAGGGTGTATGGCAAACTTCTGCCAATTTTCCATGGGCATGAACAAAGTGGATTCAAGGATATATGTTCCTCTCCGGTAAATGCTTTCTTTTCTGCAGCTGCCACAGATTAATCTGGTAAGATCAATGAGAATTTCTCAATGAGGCTGACACTCAACGACAGATCTGCTGTAAGTCTGTACAGACTTATGTCATGAGTCATCAGACAATTCTGACATGATCATGGAAGTCTTATGGCTCATGAGTCTCATGCATGAGGCTCATCATGAGCCGCTCATGAGCCTGCACAGACATGTCAGCCATGGTCATGGAAGTTGGGCAACCGGTCACCTGCTCACAGCATCAGCGCACATACATGTGGTATCATTGTATAGAAGACTAAGTAAGCCAAACGGAAGAAATCTTGCGTGCAGCTTCAGTGCTACCTCTACAATTGGCACAAATCTTGTGACTGGTCATGGTATTTGAGATGCCCAATGGGCGCCCATTGCCGGCTCTCATGCCCATGGTGCTCTCACCTGTTCACTGGATTTTCATGAAAGCCTTAATTGTACCTTTTGCATCAATCACTTGCTGTCAATAAATTGTGTATCTTGTGCGAACTCGAGCACCCACTTATACTGCCAAGGCGGCTAATCCGGATACTTGACAAGCGTTGGGTATGTCCTGATCCGACAAACAAATCTGCAGCATGCAGATCTATCCCAATCGGTAAAAGTTTCTCATATAGAAGTGTCACGAGGTCAAAGTACAGCTCTTGAATGGTTATCTACACAATGAGCTTTTCCAACATCCCCAACATACTTCTCATAGTTCTCCCCTGGGCCTAACAATCAAGCAATGCAACAACGCAATGCAGAGCAGAGCTGCACATCGCGCCTGCCTCCTTCCCAACCAGTCTTGACCGCACAGGGTCAATTTGTGGATTGCTGTATGTGAGCCCTCCTCTCTCTCCAAGCACAAATTCCGGCACACAAGTGCATCGTTAATGGTGCACATTGCTCCAAACGCAGTGAGACTGCTCTGTCAGGCCGCAATGGCTCTACAATTGTAATCTGTCAGAAGCAGCAAGCTGCTCTATACCATGTACTGCAGCAGTTTGAAATTCTGCCCAGCCACATAGGACAGCGTGAGAAAGGCCAGGCTCTCTGGCAGGAATAGGGTCCAAGTGGGGCGGATGTCAAGTCCAGGATCTCTGACAGCAGGCTGTGTTTCTCTACCACTGCTGCTGCTCTGAGCCGCAGCCTCTGCTCTCCGCCTCTTCAGCACTCTTTGCCTCCAGTGCCGCCGGCTGCGCAGCTGCAGCCTGTACATGAACCAAAAAGGCACCAGAAATCCTCCAACCACCTGCATGGCAGCATTTTGAAGCTTGACGCAACACCGGTACCTCTTTGCTCTGCCACAAAGCCTGCCCTGACATGTCTATTCTGACATGACAAGGTAGCAACCTACAGATGCCCTCCCGACAGTCTGCGTGCCACGCCAGCGTAAGAGGGACACACACTACTCAGCGTTCAGTTTTCTCCATCGAGCATGCTCCTTCAAGATCCAGGCAGTCTGTGCTAGCAACTGCAGTTCTGATGTGAGATTCGTGCAATAAAGCCATACACACCTGCAGAATCAGCCAGAGGCCGAACAACATGTTGCGCGCGCTGATCGGTGGGATTCCCATCTTTGTGACAAGGGCATTCACAGCTCCCACCAGGGGTGTCAAATGGTACAATCCCCCCTCCACTTGTCGCATGGCTGTGGTGTTGCTCAGAAAAAGCCTCGCCAGATCCATCATCTGGCAGAACACATGCAAGTCCTATGCTCAGACACTGCCAGACACTGCCAGACACTGACCATGAACTTCCACAAAACAGGCAAGTCCTACACATGCAAGTCCTATGCACAGGAGTCAACTTGCAAGTCGTATGCTCGTACACTGCCAGACACTGACCATCAACTGCCATCACACATGCAAGTCCTACGCTCAGATGTATAGGCGCGTCTGCAGGAGCCTCCCCCCGAAGCAGGGCACTTGGACAGTAAAGGTCGGTGATAATGTTAGTAATGCTGTCCTCAATCACTAGCTCGGATGCCAGAAAATGTCAAGAGTGTGGAAAATGCACCTGGAGTCTCAGCCACCATTGATTGGGTATCGTTTGCACAGTGCCCCTGCAAACACAGCACCCGTCAAGTTGACAACGCCCCTGACAATTAAAATTAACCCTGACATATTGTACCTTTGATTGTTCAGGCCCCAAAGCGCTGAGCACAGCAATCTCTGCTTGCACTGACATGCCCCGAAGAGCATGCAAACTGACATGCTGACGATCAGGGATGTCCTGGTTGTCCGATATTTACGACCAGCGTAACAACACACACCTGGCAGGCACCAGTTGACGGGCTTTTGCTGACATGGCAATGTGCGGGTGGTGCAGGCTTCAAGGGTGATGGCAGCGCACCACATAGCTGGTCCCACCCAAGCGCTGATAAAGACGCAGGCAAGCAGAGCCCACTCGGAGAAGACGTTATGGTTTGAAACATCCACCCAGAACGAGAGGAAGGCAGAGCTGGTGCAAGCTTCAAACAAACGCAGCACAGACGCAATGAGAGTCCGGTGGCGAGTGTAATATTTACCATGCGCTGTAATCATATAGATTGGGAGTGCCTGTAGCCACAGGAGAGTTTGGTTCAGTATCAAAGGCACTAGAGGAATGTTCAGCTGGTGTACTATATATCTGGTGTGAAATGAAGCTAGAGCATGATCAGGAAATTGCGGCTGCAAGAAATGCAAGTGGACCAGCACAAACTTGGCCAAGGTGGCTTACCTTAGCAGCGGCCAGAGAGGACAAAAAAGCTGCATACCATAGTAGGCTCCTCACACGGCTGCTCTTCCAAAACTTCACCACAGCGCAGGGTGACAACAGCCCGAAAAGAGAATACACGAAGAGATCCCACGTCAAATGCTGCTCTGCGAAGAAGTTCTGCAGGTGGCAGGCGTCGCACGTGTCAAATGAATCTTCACCCCACCGACAAAACTACACCTTGATCGTCAGTCGAGACACATCCGCTGTGAATATTTTAAACTACTATGTCATTGAGTACAGCGACACATCGCACGCTTAAATAGCTTACCTGGAACTCCTCCTCGTGGGTGCGTCCCTTAAATTCCTGCAGAACGGGACAGATGCCTGATCTATGCGGCTCCACAGCACTCTGTGCTTATTGAGGTCCATTCAGAGATTTGTCATACTGGAAATTGCAGAGACAGTGTGGGGAAAGACTCACCAGCATGTCCCTATTTGCTTTTAGGAATGCTACTCCAACAATACATGCGCCGTCCCTGTCTTGCCCATCGTGTCAGTGTGACTCTATGATCACCTTTACACGTATCCACGGCCGCCCTACACAACTTTTATGACCCGATGAGACACCCATGGTCCGCAGCATCCATGAACTAGGCAGCGAGGCACGGGACAGCGTCAAGCAAACAAAGAAGTGCACTCCTTTAGATCAACAAGGTCAAGAAAAGCGCCGCACAATCGATCGCGCGACTTTCACCAGGTGGAATTTATGGGACCATCAGGAGGGACAGATGTCTGCGGAGATTTGTACTGGATACCTGAATAGGCTCCGGAGATCTGCCTCGATTGCATGCATGCAACTCGCTTGGATTTAACCTTGGAACAACCAGCGTGTCGAGTCAAGCGGCACACCTCAACAAAGCCAATACTGTACATGTATAATACACTGCGACTTCAATCTGATTGAAGGTCTAATGAGGCGTGCAAATGCTTCACGCATGCGCAGATCTGTCTAGACTTCAAAATTTTAAATCTGAGCGCGTTGCACTGTTGGCAACCGCCGGCCGGCCGAAAGATACTATCCTAGAGTCGAAAGAACCCCCAACGGCTGCGGCCGCACGGCCATACAAACATCACTTGAAATTTCTACATCCTGGTTCCTGGATCACGCTGCCGGTGAAGTGCCGAATATTAATACACTCGTCATCACAACAGTAGCACAGAACAAACACCGCATTTAAAGCAACACCGGTTGTTCGCGTCCTCACAAGGCAGAAATTGGTCCATTCAGAAGGCCACTTGACCAATGCGCAACAGCGCTATCAGCACGTAGGCTGCATGTCAGAGTAACTATGGAGCCCATTCCAACAATCTGCTTGTCTCTTTTATGCCAAAATCTGCGACAAATAGATATGTACACGCATACTAGACCATGTGCCCTGTGTGTGGGTCCCTCCATACATATAAAGCTTCAATCTATTGTCCACCTCTCAGAGCAAGATCCTGAAAGATCATCACTGTACAGATCTGCATGCCGCAGCGATTCCTACTTCAAAAAACTTTGATCGCTACAGTAAGCGGCATCTAGATCGAGAAATGCTTGTCGACAGCGCTAGTATCAAGGCACACCAGGTCAGACCATATGGTACAGCAGCTGTGGATTCTGGCCAGCAACAAATGATAGCAAAAGAAAGGTGAAGCTCTCAGGGAGGAACAAAGCCCAAGTAGGGCGAATGTCCAGTCCAGAGTCTTCCTCCCTTGGATTTCTGGAGCCCCCGGGAAGCCTCTTCAAAATTCCTCGCCGCCACTGCCGCCGGCTGCGCAACTGCATTTTGTGCGTCAGCCAGAGCGGCACCACAAATCCCCCAACAACCTGTCGGGACAGACAAGCACTTGATCTTTGCCGGTTCCAAAATTGTTTGAAGTTGCACCTTTCGCAACCATACATGCCAAAGACTTGATCATGGCAGCCTGATTGGTTGTGGGAGTGACAAGCTTCCTTTGCTAGACCACACAGACTTGTAATTTGCATAGTCCTCCATCCATGCAGCACTTGACGTTGTCTAACAGGAGAATGACTCGGCCTGGTGCTTTGTGACACCAGTTTTCACATTGCAGCTTCTTCATTCCCTCACGCATGCCAGCCTAGCAGTGAGGCTCCGAAGTTATGCACGTCGGGACATGGGCTTTTGGTCTGTAGGAGTGGTTTGCCACACCCATGACTTGAAACTGCACACCAACACATTGACTCGAAGCCCTGATCTTCAAGATGAGATCGGGGTACGCACCGCCAGCAGCATCCACAAGCAGCTCAGCAGGCCCCGCTCGCTGAACGGCCATATGCCAACCCTGGCTCCCACCGCATTCACCACCCCTGTCAGCGGGATTATATGGTGCAATCCCCTCTCCATCTGCCGCATCGAAGTGGACTGCCGCAAGAAAACCCGCGCCACATCAGCCACCTGACCACCAAGCATCTTTCTGTCAGTCTTTCTGTCAAGGTGAAAAACTTCAAGGGTGACCTCTTCGTTCATGGGCATGTAGGCGATGCTTGGACACTGGGGTGAGCTTTGGAGGTATGTCCAAAAGCATAGAGCTTGGGATCCTTTATGTCTTGATTCCCAGGATGCTTGCACAGCGTTTTGGACATAGGAATGGAGGGCGCACTTGCAAGGCTAGCCACCAATTGTTCGGTACAGGCTGAAGGAATCCCCTGCAAGACAGCCAAGCACCCATGTCAGAAAGTCCTAAATTCCCAGCTGCAATAGTATTCAACACCAATCCTATGTGCGCGTCACTGAGTGCCTGTTGCGCCTCGAGCCATACTTGTGATGCATTCTGTCAGGAGTGCAAAGAGCTCCCACGAGGCAGTGCAATGACTGCTTCTGAAAATATCTAGTACCCCTCTCCAAGACACCATTTCCCATCAACCTCTATCAGCAACAGAAGTTGAGCACGGTCTTCCATAGCAAGGACATGCTCGTGCTGAGCCCAGACAATGAAGCCAAGCACACTGATACACAACATGGCATAGCCTTGTCTTTCTTATCCTGCTGGGAAGGTGCACTCAGCTATGCCCTTCCCTCCCAAGAGCATGGACTCATGTCAACTGCAAGGGATCCGCTGCTGCACACCAATGTGCCGCAGAAATCCAATTGTTGGCGAAGACCAAGGCGAGCAAGGACCACTCGAAGCAGGAGCCCTTGTCAGAGAAGTCCATCCAGAAGGAGAGGTAGGCGTCGGTAGTGAACATCTCCAACAGGCGTACAACGCCCATCAAGGCCGTGCGATGCCTGATGTAGAACTTGCTGAACAGACATATCAAGGCTGTCGGCATCATCTGCGCAGACACAGATTGTTGATTGACTGAGCAGGCTTCCGGATGCTGCACGGACAATAGTTATGCAAAGGCAGTGCCCTTTCTGGGCACATGCCGAGCACATAAAGGCCCACTGCTCGCAAAGGCAGGACGTCATGTAGAGAGAAGATCTAAAGCACCGGATCGCAGAGATGCTAGACAGAGCCAGCGTCAGTTTACAGGCAGTTCTCTGGACTGCAGATCGCTGGTAAGTCGGCACCTTTTCTGCAGTATAGAGCAGCAGAAAGGCTGCATGCCAAAGGGGGTTCCTGATGTTCCAGTTCCGCCAGAGATTGATCATGACCGGTATGTATTGCATCCAGCCCACCAAGCACACGGACAGGTCCCATATCAGATGCTGCTCGGCAAAGAAGACCTGACGGCATCACAGAGTGCATTAGCTACAGCCTGATTGTTACCACGATCATCTCGAAAGGTAATTTAAGAGGAAAGCAAGAATTAAATGCGTTGATGATGTGTGATAAAGTACCTGGAATTGCTCCTCATGCCTCTTCCCTTTGAATTCCTGCAAATGAGTCCAGGATTGCAGTACCACCACGGCCTTGTTGCCCTCCCTTAGGAAGACATCTTGCGGAATTGGGTCAAATAAACAAAAAATAAAGAATTTGCCATGCAAAGTCGATTGCAAGCGCTGCATTCGAGAATCAGAGACTTACCAGCATTGCTTGGACTTGTCCTATCCGGCTTGCTCCGTCATCTCTAAAATGGGTGTATGCGGAACTTCAGAAGTGTCTTTGTTTTGTCTCATGCTATCCTTCTCCCATCACACGTGTTCCCATGATATGTAGAGAAACAACGTTGACCAGACGGTAGATGCGCAGCCGTGAAACCTTTCTCTTCGACGTTCAAACAAGGGGCCAACAATCCGGTAACTTGTCAGAAGGGTAAGATTGGGTCTGGTTCTGTCCAGTCTACTCGTGCAGCCCAGTTACGCTGGATCATGAGGCTGGATTGCTTTCCAAGGACAGCATTCAGAATCTGCGGGACACATTCGATAATTTATTTCCAAGCCCTCCTGGAGCCAATACGTTTGAGCGGCTTTCATAGGGCAAACTGTACAGCTGACCTGGAGGCACCGGTGAACTTTTTTGCGAGCAGATCGTCTGGGATCTGAACGCCTTCGTGGCACCTTGAAAAGAGGCGCGTCCTGGCCACCGGGAACTTTCTTCGGGTAGCTGCCATGCGGTCCTCGCGGACGTGTAGGGCCCAGTGATGTCTGAGGAGGAAGGGCTAGAGGCGACTGTTGGGTCCCTTGTAGCAGCCTATGAGAGCGGCAACGTCACCTCTGATGTCACCGAGACTCTGCAACAGCTCTTGCCTTTCAGCCGATATTGCAGGTATGCACCTGCAAACGAAAGGGGGGTAGGGCTAATGGTGCACCAGAACCGGTCTGGTTCCATGGTGCTGCCCTTCATAGAACTCATATGATGGGCTGATGCAAGTTTTTTCTGAGCTCGAAAGCAGCACACTCATGCTGGAATTGTGGGTGGCCTCTGCGAACCTTTCCCTAGAGTCTGATCACGCGGAGCTAGCGCGGCCGAGCGCCTCTTCTGTACAAAAGCATGCCCACACCAGGAGATGGCGCCTGGGATGCTGATTTTATTGCTGGCGTCCTTGCAGTGTGGCGATATGTGGCCCGGACGATTGGCTTGCAGCAACCAGCAACCTTCTGTCCCCAGGCAGTATCACAACATCTCTCTGGCCGAAGTCGGAGAGCCTCGCTGGGCTGGCAGCCTTGTTGTCCAGGCAGCTCAGAAGCTTTCAGCAGATAGCAGACCAGAGGTGTGCCTGCTGCCCATCCCATCAGTTCTTCATCCTCTAGGTTTGGGTGGCCACAAATCAAGGAACCACAGAAACACAAATCTCTGCAGCAGAATTGATTGTTGTGGTTTCCAGTGCTTGCTTTAATACCTCAATGCCATTTCTAGAGAAATTGTATTACTGTGCTGTGAACCTGACATGTATTGCAGGCCCAGAACCTCTGCGACCCACAACGTGCAAATGCAGCAAAAAGGATCAACACCATGCCTTGTTGCAGCAAGTCGAGTTTTCAACTCATTCCCATCCGCAGGCTCTTTGATGTGGAGCACTTCCACTCGATGCTTGGGCCAGGGGCGCTGATCGCAACGCCGCTGCCTGGGGGAGAATGTCCCCGGGAGATGAGTGCGATAGGGGACTACACATCCACAGCTGTGGGGGCCCTCATTGTCGACCTGGACCTGCAGCCTGCAACACCTGTGGATCTCAGGTGAGCAGTCTGCCCATTCTGTACCTTTTGTCTGCAGACGTTGGCGTTTTAGATCCCCTATGATGAGCAGAGCGAAGCTGGCATCATGCAGTTGCTGACTGCCTCGAGGCTGGATGTGTTGGCGTGCATCTCTAATGTGAAGCGGAGAGCGATCCAGGGCCCTCAGAAACTAGACCAATGCAGCCTGGTGGTGGGTGGTGGGCATTTTAACAGATGCAAAACCCTGGTTAGTGCGCTGTTGCAGGATGCGCGCACACCTGCGGACGCTGGCTGGCATGTTAGCGCCGCTGATAGAGGCGCCGGGCCGCGCGGCGGTGGAGGAACTGTGCGCGGCCTGCTTCCCCTCTGCTGCGTTGGGGGGGTCCCTGGGGGCTGGGATTCCCCCGCCCAAGCTGCCGGTCAAGCCGCGCCGGCGCCGTGGGCCGACCTGCGAAGACGCCAAGAAGTGCGCATAAATCTCATGTCGTGCGATACTCCGTGTGACCTGAAATCTATAATTGGCTGCATGACACCATCTTGTGGTCCATATGTTGGCGAGCATGCCTCTATTGAATCGTGAGGACACTGCAGCAGACTGGCCTCGATTCCATGTCTTTACTGCGGTCGCTGATTTGGTGGGGTAAAGGTCCCGGGAGGCTCTTTCCTGTGACCACCATTTTCTGATCATGGCTTTTGATCATGATTCGCTATGCGTCGTGCAGGTGGCTTGACGATGACGAGGCGGACGCGCCGGGCTGCGCGCAAGCCGTCGCGCAGAACCCATTCCTCGATGATGCGACTGCAGCCTTTGAGCATCCGCAGCCCGTGAATGACGCGCAGCAGACGAGGCCCAACCGCCCCTTCATGGATCTCAGCCCGATCAGCTCCTCTCTGCTCCCCTCCCGCCCGGCTGCTGCGGCCACCAGCACTGCAGAGGATGCAGCGGGCTCAGAAGATGAAGTACTGTCGGAAGCACGAGGACCTGGAGAGGGGTTGAGTGTGGATGTTTCTGCGGCGGTGTCTGGGTCGTTGAGTTCGGAGGACACTGCGCGCGCAAGCAAAGGTCTCCTGGGGCGTGCCAGCATGAGCCCCAGGCTGTCCTCCATAGAGTGGCCAACAGGTACACTCAGTGCCACCATACCAAGCCTGCTTGCACCGTATCACCCTGTCAATTATCATTTGCTTGTCCGAGCCGCAGTGGGCATTGGTGCGGCGCTGTTGCATGGGTGAGGATGCTACTGCGAGTTGTCTTAAGCCGAGCCGGTCTCTGTTTGGTCAAACGAAGTGACGTGATGGTTGCTGATTTGCAGGTGACAGTACAGGGGAGTGCCAGTTGCTGAAGCACAGATTGGCACCTGCCTCGATTAGTTTTGGGGAAGCTACCACGTCAACGGAGCAAGGGAATTACGATGATGTAGTGGCTGCCCAAATGGTGGGCAACTCCCCACATTAGACACTGCCTTTGGGGTGCTCCTGGAAATTGCACATGTCCAAGTGTGCATCCAGGATGTGGCTATGTCCGGAGAATGGAGATTACCTGTGTATGTACATCTGGGCACTGCATATTTCTTAGCTGCTCAGTTATCCAGGGGATTGTGGCAGGCTGTGACAGAGCATGTCTTGCAGGCGGCAAGGGCCGAGAAGCTGGCGTCGGCGGCGCAGCAGCACCCGCTCTGGCTGAGTTTCCGTGACAAGGACCTCGAGCGCAACTTTGCTGCCTGGCACAGCCTGCAGCTGCAGAAGGTATCAACCTCCGCCTACGTGCTAGGAGTAGTGTGTGCTGTGAACAAATTGGTGACCGTCTGACAGTCAGAATCTGACTACAAGGCAGGGCAGGACATTATGAGGGATAGGCTCATACCGCGGGCCTTTGCAGACATTGGGAAAGTCTGGGATGAAGCAGCAATGGCAGTCACAGCATCTGTAGAGCAACAGCTGCATAGCAACATTCAATGACACAGCTTGGAACTCAACGCACATCGCTTGAATGAGCAAGAAGCGCCATTTCAGATTTTCATCAATGCTAGGCACGTTTCTTGACTTGCACTTGTGTTGCTGCAGCTGGATCGGGCTGCCATCTCCTTTGCATCCTTCATCTTTGCCTACCTGGGCTTTGTGGCTCCACACAGCCTGGCCGTGCATGCGCCAGTAGCCTATTCAGTCACAGCAGCCCTCATGCTGTTCCTGCTCTGCTTCGCGTGGATCGCCAACCCCGGGTAGGTCATTTGATTACCGCAGAACCCTTCTTGCCTGCCTGCCGCTTTGGCAGGAATGGTGCTTTTACCGAAACAAGTTGACCACATTCGTACCTTGTCTCTGCCTGGCTATCACTTCTTTGTTTGTGTGGGCAAATGGTCTAGATGCACCAGAATTTGTGACAGGGACATGGAGCATGGAATTGGCAATGGCAATGCTCTTCATGCCCCATTCCCATACTGTTTTGTGGTGCACCTGGGGCATTGGGAAAGCTGATTTGCTAGCAGCTGCATCCTGTGTCTAGCAGGTCAAGCCAGCCACTGGATTGCTATTTACTCAGGGCTCACGTAATCTCTAGGGTCTGATTTGAGTTGAGGTATGCGTGCTGATTCTGTCGTCCTGTGTGTGATTACAGCAGGTATCTGGCGAGGCGGACGCTGCTGTTGAAGGCATTTGTGCTGCTGTACACTGTCTTCAACACCCAGGTGGGTTTCCCTGGGGTGCTCAATGCGATGCACGGGGGAGATGGGCCGTGCACATTACCCTTCGTGCTGCGCTACATCAACGCGCAACCCCTGCTCACGTCATGCGTAGTCACCATGGTGCGGGCCTGCAATCCTCAACTTTGCCTTTGCCGCGCCAATACTGCATCGGCTACTTCATCTCTTAAGAGACTCCCCGGAGTGCAACATTTTCAAAAAGGAAAGGTTACATACACATGGGGTTGTGATCACGCTCTATGTCTCATTTTGAGTGCCGTAAGGCTGTGTGAGCTCTTCTTGGCGTTGCATGTTTCTGCCTGCAGGCTACACACCTATGCTCGGCCTCCTGCGCTGCGGGCGGCAACAGTTGGCTGACGTGTGGAGCGAACGCGGACGTTCAACTGGTGTTGAGAGGGAATCTTTTTGGGTGCAGGCGCGGCTGAGCATCCAGGCGCCAATTCAGGCAATCCAGCTGGCGATCTCTCTCGGCCTGCCCCGCCAGGTGTGCAGGGCATGCTACACGAGCCGGTCTCACGCGGCGTGCCTGCTCAATATGCACACTCAGCAGCTTCTCGTCGGCTTCCTCGCACCACTCGCCATAGTCTACATTGCAGAGCGCCGTTTCCGCGCAAACTTTTTGAGCAGCCAAGCCAAGAAGCTGTCTTGACCCCGGGAGGACTCATCTGTGATCCTCTGGACTTCAGCAACCCGATGACCTCTAGGTGGGGCCATCTAGCACAGCATGCACAGCAGGCGTGTGCGAAAGGCAAGCCTGGCTTGGCCAAGGCGCATCTATTTTGCTTTGAGCTCCCACTGCGGTAATAAGCTGGGAGACTTTCCAACAGATATCCAGCACTGACCATTTTCTCTCTTTGCTGCCGGTTATGTCACGCCGAGTGAGAAAGTGCATTGGCGCATCTTTTGTGAACTGCTCTGCTGTGACTGTGATGTATGGACACACTTTTATTCCCGCTGGTTTGTCTGCTTGTAATCCTCCCCTCAGCAGCTGTGGTCTCTGGTGCTTGACTGGACCTGCAGCTGCGCAGCTAAGTCCTGATTCCACATGAGCATCATCTGTCCTGGGCCGCTGCGCTGTTCACTGGGCAGCACTTTTAGAAGTAGGCCTCCTAGGCATGCTGCGCCCTGCGCTAGGAGTGCTGGAAAGAACAGAAAGGCATTTTGTGAGATCGTGGACATTAAAGTACTTACTAGCGGTGTAGGAAAGAGGTAAATACTGATTTCAGCCCTCAGATTCTTAGCGGTGCAAAGAAGTTTGGAACTTGAATTATAATTGCAGATCTCTGTGGAGGCTCTCTGGTACTGTTTGCTTTTGTCTGGCAGTGAACTTGTACTGAAGAGTCTCATTTGTGTACTGTGTTTGCCTTGACATTTGGATGTTTGTGAAAAGCTTTGTCGCACGGATCAATATCGTGGACACCCATCAAAAAGATATCTAATTGTGGTTCGCATGAAAGATCATGTCCAACTGTAGCATGCCAGTATTGTGGCCATTGCCCGGTACTGATGTCTGCGCTTGTAAAGCTCTATTGCATTGTCATCACTGATCTTCCAATCTATTCTTGGCGCTATGCCGGGCAAACCCCAATGTCCTCAAGCTGTAGATCAGCTTGATGTGAAAGCTGCATGCAGATCCTTGCATCATTGAAATTTGTTGAGACACATATATCGACAACTAATACATGTATATAGCTTCCAGACATGGACTTCAGCATATAACCAAATTAATTTATTCATGCAAACCAGCAATTGCATTTGCCTTCACTTTGTCGAGTCTCTGCTCACACGTTCAAGGCGCGCTCACTTCTTCAAAAAGGCATCATATGAGAATCCGTGTTAGCTGCCAATAGCTTCCCAGACAGCATATATTCGTTGCCCCACGCGACACTCAATCTTCGAAACATTGCACTCCCAAGGGTGCTCCTGCAGAGCAAGCCCCAGCCCCGTCTGCACCTCCTGACTCAGCGTGACTAAGCGCTGACTCGTGCTGCCGAGCGCCCACATCAGCGACACATGCGGCCGCGGATCTTTGTGGAACTGCTGCAGCCCATGTTCTGCAAAGGCCCTGTTGGTGCGCCGCACAGCCCTGCAGACCTGCACCCACACGCGAGCGCACCCAGCCATCTCAGTTGTGGGAACCATATGGATCATCAATAACAACTAAGACGCTCTGCAACCAAGCTGCGAAGAACGCATGTTCTGCTTAAAATCCTTGAGGCCAGCATACCATTTTTTCCAAATCCTCAGCGCCAGACTGCCTTGATGAAATAGCAGATTTCATCACAAACAACAGGACCAGAAGTGCAGCACGTCTTAGAAGCCAATATGAAGCTTTCATGATGTGAAAGATTGAAATGAAACCCCACTGGCTCACCTGGTCAAAGCCCTGGTCGACAAGTATGGACAGGAAGCTACGCGTCTTGTCGTCGTTTTCAAAAGCCTCCAGTCGTCCAAAGCTCACCTTGAACCTGAGAGCACAGCGAGGGCAATTTTGCAGGGCCTAAATGATAATATCCTCAATACAGAAGCCTGGCGTGCATGCATGCGATTGCGCAAAGCAAGCATCCGCGATAATTCTGTGTCAAGCTCTTCCTAGCTATTATCCCAGATGTCAACCTAGGTTAGGTGTGTGTGAAAGGCTGCACAAAAGGGGCGCACACCTTTGTGTCTTTGACAAGTGCTGCTTCAAGGAGGCTATCAATGGCTGTATCTGGGGATAGTGTACAGCGACCACCCGAGACAGACTTAGATGGTAAGTGGCCTGCACGAAAGGCGCCTGCACAGCAGCAACACAGGTCAGATGGAGGCTTTTGTAATATCCATTCCATGCGCGTTCAAGAATGGGCCACGCAAAATGAATGTTGCTGTTTGAGTCTGCACACCATTTGAACATTCTTGGCTGAACATGATGGTCGCGGATCTTTTTGGACCATTAAATTGAGACCATACATCGGTGCATAAGGCAATGTGTGCGTACAGAATGGATTAGCGGTACCTTAAATCCGGACTTGGTCTTTGGCAGAGCGGCATCGATTGTTGGATGCAAGTCAGAAATGCTGCGCTTGCATTCCTGGAGACTTGCCTCCAAGCCCGCAAGGCAAGCCTCGGGCACGGTGACTGTGTATGCACAATGACATGTGATCAGCAGATGCTATAACAGATGAAACTCCTAATCACACTCACTCTCTAGCAACATGGTGTGACATCAGCTCATCACACGTTCAGATGTCGCCTCGCATGGATCTCATTAAGCTTGCTAGAGAAAAAGTGTGTCGTGCCTGTGATGTACACATGGGTGGCATAGTTGCCTTCCACATGTGCGAAAGTCCTCACTCGTCCCAGATGGAGATCCTGCTTTGCCTCTTCATCCTCAGCAGATGGAGGCAGTGGCACTGCAGCATGCATCAGCAGATAATTCACGATGAGGCCAAACAGTTGGTGACACAGGAACTGGGTTGGTCCCCTGCACAGCAATGGCCTTACCACCGCCACCCTTGAAGCTTGCAAGTAACGAGGACGCAGAAGGCAGTCCTAGATTGTTATCCCTGTGGTGGAGCATGCAAGTTTCAATTATCCAGTCCTACAGCCATGCAAAGAGAAATGCAAAGACAACCAGGTGGCTAGGCGCACCTGGATCGGCTGACACCAGGTAGATCCTTCAATGCTTTGATTTCATTTTCATCATTCAGTTTCGTCCGTTTCGGCTGCCTAATTTCCTGCCCTTCTGAAGCAGATCGCGTCCCACCATGGCCGGGATGTTCACTTCTGCAGTGTGCAACTCGCGTGTTTGTGATGGAGTCAACTGACTTTTCATTGTCACTGTCATCACTGCCGTAGTGGCAAGCAATCACATCCAGCCTGACTTCGTGTGCTACCTAGCTCTGGAAAGCCTGGAAAAATTATTTTTTTCTTGTGGTGAAAGTGTGTCCAGGCTGTGATACTTACGACAGATGTGGATGCGCTTATTAACCGTAATTTTATGTGTCGGATGTGTTTTCTTCACATCTGGCCCAGATGATCTATGGGCTTCACATTGGAGTGCTGACGTAGTTGGACGTAGACAAGACGTATCGTACGCACGTGAGGTCGGCGCACCAATTGCGCTCTGCTTTCTGGCCCAAGACAAGGAAGTTGGAGAAGTGGTGAAGCCTTCAATTTGAAGGTACTCATACGCATGCAGCTACAAGGACTCGCAGATGCAAGGACACTCGCTTTGCCCGCTGAACCAGAGCACAATGTTGAGGCTTTGGTGAGTGGTAGACCCCTTGATTGCTTGCATAAAAGCTTTCGATTAATTTCTTTGTTATTCTGCAGATCTGGAAATTATAGGAGGGCCAGGGAGTGCTGCTGTCCCCTCTTTACTATGCTGGCTGTGGTACTTCCATTCTTATATTAACCAAGTCTTACGTGTTCGCCCATAAGTCATTAATTCGATGACTTCTGTGTGGTGCAGGGGGAATGCTGCAAGGCGAGGCGCCCTTCACCTGCAAGCAGCTTCGTGCAAGCTGTGCGAGCGATCTAGGCAGGGCAGGGCTGCAGTCGTTGCCTCTGCCAGCAGCTCTGGCGGTGGATCGTCTTTTCAGGAGCCCTGGAAGCGGTTTACAACAAGCACAGTCATCTCGAAGAGCACGCTGAACCGGCTCAAAGTGGCCGAGCTGAGGGAGGTGCTTCAGGAGCGAGGCCTGAGCACCGATGGCCTCAAAATGGACCTTGTGGAGCGCATGCACGCTGTGCTGCACGAGCAAGGTGGCTTTCCTGGCCTCACAGAGCATAATTACATTACATGTGCATTTCCCATATAACCTGCAGGTTTGACGGGCACTTTTATTGGCTGTTTCATGGGCAAGGGTAATCATGCAGTTAGCTTCAGCAAACCATTGAAACGTGGGCTGGGCACTGCAGAGAATGAGGCGTCTCCTGCTGCACCTGCGGAAGCTGAGCTTGCAGCTAGCACTGCCCGCGCCGGCGAGCCTGCATCCAGCAACAGCTATGATGCCTCTGTAAACGGCTCATTGCAGACAGCTTTGAGATCAACAATCACAGAGTCAGCATCTGACGCCCGCACTCCAGTGGGACCTTCTAGCAACTCCCGGGCAACGGAGGATGTGCAGCTCAGGGCAGGAGCCAGCAATGGAGCCGCAGCTAGTTCAGCAGGCTCAGAAGTGCATGCCAGCGGCCATGCCTCAACAACAGCCAGCTCACACAATGCAGGCCCCACAGCAGTGTCGGCCAGATCAGGTAACTTGCAGGCTACAGAAGGGGCCAGATCAGGCGCAGCAGATTTGTCGGCAGCGGCCAGAGTAGGCACGGCGCCAGATCAGGCGGCGGCCAAGACAGGCATGGCGGTGACGTGGCTGGGCACGTCTTCGGGGGCGCCCACTCTCAAGCGCAACGTGTCGTGCATCTCTTTGCGCCTGCCGCACTCCACCTTCCTCGTGGATGCCGGCGAGGGCTCCTGCAGACAGGTGGGCCGCCAATCCTGCCCAATCTCCAATGTTTATGTGCCCTTTCCAGACTTTGATCCTCTATAGCCTTGTGAAGGGCCTGAAGGCTTAAGGTAGGCATGCAGCAATCTTAAAATGGAAACCTTTCTCTAGGCAACTATGGCAGAATGGGAATAACCGACAAGATTGATTTGGGAGTGGTCTGCTCCTTTGCTCAGAAGCATGGCAGACACTTTGGCAGGCGCCAAAATATTATCTGCATTCAGGCCGCATGTCATGTGCAGATGATGCGCAGGCGCACGGTTGCAAGAGTCTTCTATTTGGTTGGTTGATCTGGCCCCGGCTGGCGGGGCGCGGTATATATACTGAGCGCCGTGCCCAGTGTTGATTAGGTCTTGCTTTTATCTGGCGAGTCCAAGAAGGGGAAGGATTGTGCAGCCTCTAATTGCAGCTTGTTGGCAGGACGTACCTTGCCTTTTGGCAGAGTAAACGTTTAATTATAACTGTAATTTGATGCAGCTGGAGATGGCGGGCATGGATGCTGTGCGCGTGAAGAAGCTATTCATAACGCACATGCACGGCGACCACTGCTTTGGCATCGGCGGGCTGCTGCGCGCGGTCAGCGCGGCACGAGAGGGCACGCCGTCAGCCGACGTGCCCTTTACGGTCTACGGGCCCCCGGGCCTGCACAAGCTTGTGACCGCCGCCCTCGGCTTTGATGAGAGGCCCCTGGCCATGCCCCTGGTGCGCTGCTCTTCTTGCCAAAGCATGCCTGTCTGGCCTTTATGCTGCAACCAGGTGCTCGGTTATGCTGTTGTAAGAGGACAGTAAAGAAAGCATCGAGCATAGCAACCTCCTTGCATTTCTAGCTCATGGAGCTTTAGCATCTATCAGAAATGAGATCAGGCTGGTGCTGCGCTCACTGGGTTATGAGAATCTTCACAATCACGCCGGGTATGTTCTGTCAATTGCCTTGTGTGCTCTCATCAGACATGAACATCTCAAATTTTTCAGTATAGAATGCGATTGCAGATGGTGGTGGAATTGACAGTGGACCCGGCCAAGGGGCACGCGCCCAGGCCGGCAGGGGAGATATCACATGTGGACCAGGGGCGCGTGAAATTTGCGACGCTAGCACCTGATCGCACTCCTGACGCGGAGGCGGCTCTGCGGAGAGCGCCGGACCAGCGGCGGCGCAGCAACCGGCAGATGTCAGTCGAACACGCTGTAAGTGGGCCGTGGAACCTCGCTTGGGATTGTAGTCCCATGCGCTACTGTGGCAGTGCATACGTGCGCATGCTTGCATTGGTCAGGACCTGCTCTGTGGCATGTGTCAGGACGCGTAGGGAAATTTGCTGTTTTTGCCGCAAGGTGGTCGACAAGAAAGACCGCTTTTTACCTTCCTGATGATGTGTAGTAAGGATTTTGCCAAAGCAAGCAGAGCTGGCTGCTGAAGTTTCTGGCAAACTCTGCATTGCTGGGCTGTGCCTCTCTGTGAAGCGTCGCAGCAACATTGCATGAAGATGCAAAAGAATGTGCAGAGTGTCTGCATTTGGAGACTCTTTCTACCATCGAAGCAGAAAATTAAGTGTTTGTACATGTGGCGCCAGGTGGAGGTGATTGAGGGGCTGGCGTGGACGATTCCGTGCGAGGACGGCATCACGGTAACTGCCGCGCAGCTGCAGCACAGGGTGCCCTGCTGGGGCTACGTCTTCCAGGAAGCTGGCCTGCCCCCCGTGCCAGATCAGGCGCTCATGGCCAGCGCTGGTGTGGACGAGGTGCGGCCCCTGCTGGCGCCCTCAGCCAATCAAGAAATTTTATGGGTCTAATGTACTCCTCCTAAGATAGCTAGCGCGTGAGACCATCTCCTTGTCACCGCATTAGGATGATATTTCTAACTGATCACTGTTTGACGCTGATGACCGGAAGAGGGCACTCCATAGGGGCCTCACACCCGAGATCGGGGGGAGGCCTCTGGACGGTCTTTTGTCAGTCAGGGTGTGTCGCTCTCTGTGCGCTGAAACCATAAGCTTTTGGGGGTTAAGCTTTCTGGCCACATTCTGGGCTCTCGGTGTCGTGCATAGGGCAATGCATTACGGCTCCTGATATGGAAGCTATTCACCCTCACGAGGTACATTGCTAAGGGCCTATCGTGGTGTGGCAACTTGGCCTTTCAATTCCTGACAGCACCTGCCATATCCTTTGCAGCTGCTTTGTGAACAGAGGCAGCCTGCTGGCGGGGTCTGGCCGGACCATGCTAGAGCACAACGCTATACTTTTCTGCAGCTTTCATCAATTAAAAAATGCAATAACTGGGCGCGGTGCAGGAGGCGGTGAGGGAGGCGATGCGGCAGGGCCCATCGGCGCCGGTGGCGCTGCCGGGCGGCCAGGCCGTGCCGGTGCGCTCTCTCGTGCGGCCGCCGCGCCGGGGCCGCAAGGTCGTGCTGCTCGGCGACACCTGCAACTCGCGTGCAATCCTCAGTGCGTCCCACTGTGTGTGTCCTCAATAATCTGCGAAAAAACATTTGGCTGTACTTGCAAGGTCCTTTCCTGCACAACACGAGTGTCGTCTATATCTGCAGGTGTCACTGCCCCGTTTTTGCAGCAGGGTCCTTTCCTGCACAACACGAGTGTTGTCTACATCAGCAGGTGTCACTGCCCTCAGTTTGCACAGCAGGAGAGGCTGTAAAGGCATCAGTACATTGATGCTAGCTGGCGCACGATTGTGAACAATAGCAGTGTGAATCCGGACATGCCCATTGCTGCAAGATCCTTGCCCTATGGGGGAACGCTTAGGTTTAGAACAATGAAGAAGCGCATGACGAAGCTTTGAGATAATAAGAAGTGGATCGTAGAACGGGCATACCATGGTCAGCACCATTAATCCGCACCCCTCAATTGTTTGGACATGGTTTTTGGAGTTTTTCCTTCTTAAAAGTAATGTTTTATGATCAAGAATGGGCCGGGCTCTGCGAGAGCTTGCCAAAACTGGTGTCAAAATTGTCACAGGGTTTATATTTTGCATTGAAGGGTTTTTCTTTGACGTTTTTTACTATTTCATGCTCGAAATAGGGTGCTGACTCCGGTATAAGCAATGGGTCATCACTGCTTGCACCTTGCCATGGCATCGGCTGTGGACTTTTTGGCTGTGCTTCAGACTGAAGTATCTGGTTTGGGGTGGATTGCAGGGGTTGGCCAGGGGGCGGATCTGCTGTCGCACGAGGCCACATTCACGGCAGACATGCGCGAAAAGGCCCACATAGCGCAGCACAGCACGGCACCCATGGCGGGGGCTTTCGCGCGCGCGCTCGGTGCGCAGACCCTTGTGCTGACCCACTTCAGCGGCCGCTTCAACGACTGGCGCGGCAAACCCGGAGCGGTGCGTACTTGCTGAATGGGAAAATTGCTGTTCCGTCCTGCAGCTCTCTTGCCATGCTTTGTCATAATGCATTTGAAGCTGTGCTCTGAATCGCTGGGCCTGCAGTGCGCCTCTAGCTTGCATAGAATTGCTGGATGCCCTCTGGCTCTCTCAAACTTGATCAGCGTCGATCTCAAGACCCTTGTTGGACTTTCTGGGCTCTCGCTCTGATCACCTCCAGCTGTCACATCCTTGATGGATTTCAAGCAGAATTGCTGAATCCATGGCTGTTGCTCTGTGCATCATGTCGTGACCTGTGGTGTTGGTGCAGAGTCTGATGCCTTGTGACGCATGAGTGCGCCCTAGCCGCCTTCCGGGATTGTGCTCAGTGGGAATTTTGGCATCACGCTCGGTGTTGTCGGCCTGGTGTGTAAATTTCGCCTGGTGTGTAAACTTCGAACGAGATTGAGTATGGGGGGCTGTGTGCAGGGCGAGGAGGATGCGCTGCCGTCAGATATCCAGATGCTGAGGCGGCAGGCCATGACGGCCTACGGCAGCAGCAGCATTTACATGGCCCAGGACTTCTACACCCACCATGTGAGTCCCGCCAGCCTATCATTGGCCTTGTTGAGACATGTTGGGTATACGTAATACGGCATGTGTCATGCGCAGTGTGTCTTCCTTGACTTCCGCCACTGTGTTGTTGACCAACGCCTGCTGGAGTTTGCCACAGGAAGAGTATTCCGTGTGCAGCTGGAGCATGCAGCTTGAGATGATGGCCGCATGCATGCATAATGACTAACGCCTCGTGTGTCTTTGCTTCGCTGTGTGAGACACTGCAGCATGCGTGTCTGGTCTCTGAAAGGGCTTTGGACGCATGCGAGGAATGTTGTGGGATTTCAATGTTCTGCGGGCTTCATCTCAAGTGTTTGCTTTTGCTGGCTGCTTGCAGGTTCCCCTTCCTGTGCCTGGCGCTGCTTCCAAGCGGACACAGGCGCCACAAGGGGCTGCGAAGCAGCCTCAGAGGCAGCAGCGTGTGGCAGCATAAGGGGCTTTTGTTAGCACCCGCAAGGATTATTTACGGTCCATTTACTTCCGAGGATATCTAAAGATCGATCAATTGATGGTGAGGCGCAGTGCAGAACCAAGAGACAGCGTTCTTGATCCAACACTATTGGCTTTGGCTCTTGGATACGAGGAAATGTTCTGGCAGCTTCTAGAGCAGTACTGCATGCACCCATATCTTGGGCATATGCGGAGGTTCTCGGCCAGTGTGCTGGCACCAGTGCCGGCACCCTGGGAACTCCTAGCTATGTAGTAAGCCCAAGATGTTACACAAGTCCAAGTTGTAAAGTGTACATCACATTCTAACGCCATTGAAGACTATGCTGCGGCAGCCAAGCATTGAAGATTATGCTGCGGCAGCCAAGCATTTGCATCTAAATGAGCACAAAGGTCTCTGTCAACACATGGTTCAGCATCCCAACTTTATCTCTAGATGGATGGCACTGACAGTAACAGTGCACTCTCTAATTAGCACTGCACTTCCAATGATCAGACCAACTGCCATCAGATGATCTCAAGCCGATCCAACGAAGCTCCTACTCTGACACGATGACCTGCAGCTCTATATCAGGGGCTGTCTATATAGCAGCCAGGGGCAGGACAGTTTCATTCCCTTTGCTAGGTTATTGGTTGTGGGGGATTCGTCAAACCCCTGATGAGGCACAGTGTTTTGCAGCTTGATCAAGGATCGTGTACCTCGATGACACTCTTGCACCATGTCTTGTGGTATCTCTTCGAAAACGAAGTCTGCAAGCAAGCTCATTGCTTTGGCGAGGCAGCAGAGAAGCCAGATTCTTGTCAACGCTCTATTGAGAGCTAGTGCGAAAGTGGGTTCCCTTGCGATTCTGGCATTGCCTTGTTCCATCCAAAGTTGCTAGTGCTTTAACAGTGTGTTGCGATTTTGGAATATAGGGACCTCTGGCAGGCATTACATTCCTGAAAGCCTCAAGAAGAGGCTGGTCACTGAACCTATACGACCCAGAACTCATCAGACAAGGACGCGAAGACACACAGGAACTCATGTAGGTCCAAGGCTTCTGCAGGACCTGTGACTGCCGTACTTTTCGATATCGTTCGTCTCTACGGTCGCTTTTGTTTGGATCAGGAGAAGGGCTGCCGAGTGGATGGAAAAGCGTTGAGGAGGAGGAAGTGAAGCAAAAAAGGACAACGAAATGAGGTCTTCATCACAGGTTGTGCCAGATGAGGCAGTAAGGCAAACCCTGTCAGGAAAGAAAACATGCTCAGAGCCTGTTACCGCATAGTCCTCAAGCCTCAAACTGAGGCTCAAAGTGTCTGAAAGTGTTGGCGAGACATCCCAAATGTCCATTTATCCATGCAGCAGTAGAGCATGATGCCCATTACCGGTACTTCCTCAGTTGCTCGTAAGAGTTGCTCTTGCAAATCAGTGGGATACCTCGCGCTGATGTCATCAAAGTTTGAAAGTGCCACCATTAATGCACATGTATCAGAATTCCTTTATGTAAATCCTCATACTTACTTGCTTGGACTTGCAGTAATCTGTCCAATCGTCTTGTGAAGATGCGACATCTGCATATTGATTCCTTGTGAGTGTCATTAGTTGCAGACAAATTGCCAGAAGCGGAAGCGCAACATCTATCACTACTATCTATTAGAATTTGAGGCCCTCGAGGAGGTGTTCTGCATGACACCATTTATGTTTGAAACCCCCTTTCTTCGAGCACCGAGTCTCTTGTGAGCCCTATACATCTCTGTGAGATTCCTGGTGTGCAAATTGCCATGGCGGGAAAATTTGTACCGCTAAACTTAAGTTGAGTCCATGCTGCCTCACTGTAAGAGCTCACAACAAGAATTAAAACCATTCACAACTGGCGACTTCCCCTGGTGAAGTTCAGTCTTGCTGATTTGTCATGCCTTTTAAAGCCCTTTTGGCCGCATCCAGCATGTGCTCCACCACATGATCCATTTTTCAAATGGCAATGGCCGTCAGAGCACCCTATTGCCTGTCAAGCCCATGGCTGTTCTTACTAAAACACTTGTTTTCCGTTGAAAAATTGGTGCTCAGCTGCTGTACAAAATCTCTTTGGCATGGAACAATACGCACCGTAGCCCTTCTTTTAACACCTCCTAATATTGATGACCAGCTCACCTGACGTTACCAGCTTCGATACTTCACAAGATATTTCATTCACAGCTGCATCGCACTTGGCATGCTTGCAGACCATAACACACCATCAGCTTGTCCTTCGTGCCGTGCAGTTGATTCACCTGCAATACAGCAATAGTATGTGCATATCCGCTTGACCCCACTTACAGAACTCAGCACGAAATGTGCCACACACCGCCGTAACTTACGCACCCAACAGACAGCAGCCCCGGTTGGCGGGAGGCGGTATAAAACTGCGCATCCATTGGGTCCTGCGCATGCGTGGATGTGGCGAGTCCAACAAGGGGTAGGATTGTGGCGGCCTTTGTCTGCAGCTCGTCTGCAGGGCGCACGTTGTTCCTGTAATATTAACAGTGACAAACAGCAACTATACAGCGGTATAGCTGGGCATCGCACTTGATATGTGAGAATGCATAATTGAGCTGCTGGAACGTGTAGGCCGGCAGCTCCGTCTCTGCAAAGGTCGGATAATTCTTGACAGCTTCCTTCAGCTGCGCTTCCATTGCCAGGCGGCGCCAATAGTCTATATATGTGACCCAGGCAAGTCTGCTGCGCAGGCGTTCAGCCGCCTGTCTATGGGCAGCAAAACTCGCCCCACCTGTCAATCAGCGCCTTGCAATTCTTTGCCTGCACGCATGCAAACGAGCAGCCCTCAGCTCTTACAACCCACCAGCTCCCCTCTTTGGGAATCTGAGGAAAGCTTTTCATCGTGAAGAGCAACGCCAAGAACACTGACCCCCCTTACGGACTTAGGTGCCAAGCCATGAATGTAGCAAGGTGCATGTCAGGTTCAGAGTGTAATATGTGAGATGCACACACCCTCTTCACTTGGCTGAGGAAGTGAGACACTGTTGACTCTGTGCTCCTAGCTGCTTCCGTTCACCAACAGAAGCGCGCAGTACATCCAGAGCTGGGCGCACTCTAAGAGTCCGATCTTCCCATGCTCTGCTTCCAGCAGGCGCCTCAGCCTGGGAGAAGCTCCTGCAAACAAAACACCGCGCTGGCCAGATTTACTACCCGCACAGTTGGGCATGACTCCTTCAATGATTGCACATTGGTGAACAGCTTTGCAGTGAGCACCTGTGGCCGGTGTCAGTAATGTCAGCATGACAGAGACACTCTAAGGACGCAGAAAGATGAAACTCAGGCCCAAATTTCCTTCAAGCTCGGGTCCATTTGTTGCATAGTTCAAACATGCTGGGGTGCTTTCAGGGAGTCCCATCTCTACACCCCCTTGCATCAAGGGGCTATGCTGTTGCAAAAGAAAGCATACCCTTCTCACGGAGACTGATGGTGAAATAAAGCAGTAATCGTCAGGAGCGGAGTGATCCCTCACCCTCAGGGCCCGCTGATAAATCTGAAGTGCAATGATTTGGTAGCCTGCAATACTTATGCATGGAGTGCTTACCCACCCCGCAAAGCCTGGTGATGATCCCGGGTCCCAGCCACTTGATAGCGTTCTGCAGCATCACATATACAGAGGCCCTCTGGGTCCATCTCCTTCGCTCTGCTCAGACTGCAGCGGCTCGCGGCTTCCACTGCGGCGGCCGGACAGGTACCGCTGGAATTCCAAGTAGTCGAGACTGCTCTCGAGCCTGCACGAGTCCAAAGCGCAGAAGTCTGTCTACTTGGCCGGCAGACAGGCATGCAAGTATGTCATACATGTCAACTTCTGCCAGAGCTCATGCTTGAAGTGTTATGAAGTACATGGCACTTTTGCCAAGGTGACCCTGCAAAAAGGCTCCCATACACCCTTCCCCTTGATGGGCTTGCCGGAGCTAAGCTGGACCCGAGCAGTAGCGGGAGGGATTTGAGTCATATTGTATGACAGCCAGTAAACATTTCAGAACCAACAGCTGCACTATTTCTGATTGCCGGTCCTGGGGTCAGGGCTAAGCCTGTTGATGCTATAGCTACTATGTAGCTACTATGTCAACATTCCAGATGCCAGCGATACATCAAAGTGAGTCTTGTCGTGTTTGCCTACAATTTTTGCGCGTTGCTGAGCTGAGTCCCTCCTGAGACGCCCAACGGGAGCAGCTGGGCTGCCCGAAATGGTCAGGCCGTATCTTCGGAAGATGTGACTCAGTGGGCTAACCCCATTTCGGAACAGTGGACAATCAGTTCCAACCTGACCCACTGGCATCCGCAATGCAGTCCTTCTGCCAGAACATCAAATAAGGTGCTGATTTTGGTGGCTGTGAACGTCGGGTCAGGACCTCCTGCCTCGCAAGAGCTGCTGAATTCTTTGCCACTTTACCTGCAAGAGCTTAGCAAAAGGCCCCACCGTCCCGATCATCAATGGGCTGCCTTGCATGCTGGCAGTCCGTTGATGTCTGGAAACTACTGAGCACAGATTGGTTCAAGTCGATCACCTCGTCCTCAGGTGGGCTGATGTGCGGCCTTTCTAATTTACGATGATGTTGAGCTGCACTGAAGCTCGACCTTGCTTACAACACATGAGGTGATGTACAATGGTGCAGATGTCGATTTGACCGAATGCCAAGGAGCTGATGTGAAGATCTTGAACCCCGAAGAACTTCCGACTTGGAAGCTGTATCTGGACTTCCAGATGCGCAGAATTGACTTCGAGGCTTGTTGTGAGTACTTGGACTACAACCGGAGCAAGGTTGAGAATGCAGTCCGTGGCCTGAACCTGAGTACGTACCCTGCACATGACAGTGATAACTTTAACCTGGGGAAGTGGGAACTATCTTGAGAACAATTTGGTATTGTCATAACTGTCACTGTGCACAGTAAAGGAATGTCTCTGTGACTAAGATTTCTTCTGGAAGGTCTGAAGTCTCTGTGCCGTCATGTGCAGAGTGCGAAGATCTGGAAGGCAAGTCAGCAAATGAGCTGGAAGCGCTGGAATGTGGAGGCCTGCCGCCTGGAGTGGTGACTTTCTACATCTGCGCCATTGACATCGTGAGAGACAGGAAGGAGCTGGGGCTGTTGTGGGCAGAACTGAAGAGACGGCGTGAAAAGAACGGGTCTGGTAAGGACCAGAACAACTTGTGCAACACACTTTGCCATCAGCGTTTTCACGTCAAAGTCTGTGCGGCCCATCACTGGTTGATACCCGCTGGCATTGCAACAATCCTTGAAATTATGTTGCTTGCGCACAGGTGTTGCTGCATTCTTGGGACTGGGACACACTAAAGGCGAGTAGTCATTGACAGGCAGACAAGAGCCGCGTGGAGTCCAGCTGATTGGAAAGCGCTCCTAGCTGGACCCGCTGAACGAAGCACAATAAAAGCAGTGCAGGTGCTGTCTTTACGGACAGAGTTATATGCTTTTGGAATAAGAGCTTGCCATGGCATTAATATATGACATGATAAGGCAGACGGCGGTAATATACAATGTTTCAGGAACTGGTGCCACGGCTGAGGGTAGCTGAGGAGCAGGGAAACGAGCTTGAGGCCCGCCCGCTGCTGTGGATGCACTGCCACCTCATGCTGCTGACGAGGAGCAGCCCACGCCACATCTTCACCGTGAACTATTTTCTGACCTATGTCAAAAAGGTGGGTGCAGCAGTGTGAGATGGAACAATGCAAGATCTAGTGTGACTCATGACACCGAAGATAGCTGCATCGGAATAAGAGGCACCGCTTAAAACTTATTTCAGTGCATCATGCGTCCATGTGACAATATACCGCAGCCTCCATCCTGCCAGCGCCCACCCCGGCCCCTGTATCCCCCACATTTCAGAAAGTTAAAAAGTTGAAAGTTTTCTACGCTCTGCAGGCGAGGAAGAGCAAGGCACTGCTGGACAGCTGGGGGGAGTTCCGCTGCTCAAACACAGGCGGCTGGACACCAGTGCAGAGCAAGTGCCTGGCAAGATCTGAGGAGTATTGACCCAACGCCGGGCGCAGTCTTGCAGTGGCCGCACGTTTCATGGAAGCCATGAGAAACACTCCTGCCTTGGCACACACGGAGCTTCCCGCCTTCACAGCAAAGCAGCTTGACAAAGGACAGTCTTGAGACCACCAAAGTCTGAAAGTTGTTGTATGTAAGGGAAGCTCCTTGCTTTCTTCCTTCAATATACCCACAGTGCAAGCCATTGGTTTCAATCTCTTCTTGCATGGATGATCTTGTTTGAATATCGTATCAGGAAGGCAGTACTCAACCAGTTGTCAATCAAAGCCATTTAAAACAAGGGAAGCTGCTGCCCTGTTGGGCAGCATGTGATCGGCCCGTCCTTTCTCGGAGCAGCCCAAGTCTAATTTACAATAATCTTTTTTGCTCAATCATAGCTAAGACAATATCGTAGGTCGAGCTTGAAAACTGATCAAAGGGCCTCTAAATTGGAGGACTGGAAACGACAGCTTAATGTTGTCTTGTGACTTTGTACATGTAATCCACATCAATATTATTATATACTGTCTCAGCCAGAGCTATCTTAGGTAGTCACCAGCATGGTAATTGGCACTCACAAGAATCATGCCCACATTTGACTCTATTGGCAGGGAGCTTCATTTCTGGGCACCTAAGGACAGTCGCACAAGCAGACGACCCTGCATGTGTCAGTAGCAATAGCCTAATACTCCAGCAGAAACAGCTCAACCCTTCCAAGCAAACAGTGACTGAGTGATCACCAGTCATGACTTGTACCGATTCAACGCTTCTCATCTGTGCAACAGCACTAAGACAGGTGCTTCCTAGGTTGTTGTTTCACACGCAGCAATAAGCTTCTGCTGGGGCTTTAAAGCTCCAAAAAGATGTACTGGAGCAGACCAGATTCCTGATACAGGTACCCAAGAGGACTTGTGCACTAGATGCATACCATATCATTAAAGGAGATGCCATTTCGGGCCGCAGAGCACACTAGTAGTAGAAAGCTACAACTAGTGTGCTCTATTATTCGCATGCAACTCACAAGTGCCAGCAGAAGAAGAGGCATTACAGGCTAATTACACCGGTCACCAATAGGGTCAGCTGACATACAAGGGGAAAGAGCAGCCAATTGAGTCACCCCAGTGGCTTGAGCGAAAGGAAATCAGCATTAGGGATTTAGCATCATGAGACTTGACCCAGTCCCAGACCCAGTCAATGAGACATCAGGGGCCTAAATCTAATCTGTTCTGTGCACACTGAGAAGACATTGACATAGCTCTAGCTCGTGACGGCTGGTGTATCTGCAGATGTGGTTGGTATGTTGCACAGCTGTCCGCCCTTGCTGTTTAATCTACATGAGCCGAACCAGGTTTTCACGCCCTCTAAGCTCGTTCCAGCACCGCAACTTTCTTTTGCGCACGGCTTTCAAATGGTTCTCCGAGAGTCAATATCAGCCGATTTTCCAGACACTTCAGGCCATATGTCGCTGCAGAATAAGCAGGGGTTCGGGCGTGAGGGGCATCTGCCATCGTTCGCCCTCCATAGCGCATCCCTGCACAGAGCACAGGCACACCCTTTTTTGGCTACTGCTGCATGCAAATGTGACATTGATGTGCCGCCAACAATTACTGGCAAGATTTACAAGACCTCGGCACAGTGAGAACATGGCGTCGTACAAGTCCTTAATGCTGGACTTCTTTATGTCGCTCAGTCGGGAGCCTCCACCGACCGCGCGCTTATAAAAAAGGGTCCCCAACATTGCTGTCACCCTTTGTAAGCGCTTTTACAACACCCAGCAATTGGGAGAGAAACAGGGTGTGAGCGGGTGCACGCACTGCTCAGGAGTCTGCAGCAGCAGAGCGGCGGCGCAGAGGTATTGTCCTGTGCAGGGCACCCGAGACAGGATCACCCCTGCCGTCCCGCCTGCATCGCGGCTTGTCAAGGCGCCCCTTCAGCCGCTGCAGCTCAGAAGGCTCCCACTCCCTCTGCACAAATGAACAGATACTTCAACTGGTTAAGCCCATGCTTTCATCCGTTGCCAAGCCGAATGCACTCCTGCACAACTTCACCCAGCAGACACTACATTGCTTGAAAGGCAGCCCATTCCAGAGCAACTGAATAAAAGTCCTCCCATGTAGATTAGTCTGCGACCACTTGTAAGATGCCTGCCTCAAGCAAACAACGCTGTATGGCCTGCAAGGCACTTCCCAAAAGAGCACTCACCGGGAGGGTGCCGATGTGATAATTGGGCATGCAGGAAGAGCCATGGCCACGCTCCGACGCCTGAGGGCTTCCATCGCCTCTTGCACGGTGCAATACTCCGGCAGGGGCCGGCCGTCTGTGCACAAAATCTATTTTGCCTATTTGGGAGACGTGAGCTAATGCTACATCAGCTGAAATGGCCCAAGGGTAAGACGATCATAACTGCAGCTTATCCGGTGACAGTGTATTGGACGTCAAGGGCCAACCCCTGTGATACAGTACAGGAGCAGTCAAGGCTACCAGCTTTGGTGCAAGATAAAAATGCTGCATTGAAGGGATTCGACACCTGGGGTTGTCAGTTTAGGGACAGCACAGCCGTTGGATTCCTTCTGCAAGGCTTCGCCTATCCTTTGAGGCAGGTGCTGGGTGCAGGGGGGACGCGCTCTCTGGGGAGCTAACGTGCAGCTTCCCAAGCTCTTCAGATGCATTCTCCGCTGCGCAAAGGCGAAACATCAGCATTCAGGGTACAGGCAAAACATCAAAGTCAAATCTTTAGCTACATGGAGGCACTGGAACGATCCTCTGCTAGGGAACGAGGAGTATACGCCAAGCTGTTATATATCACATCTTCTTAAGCTCGCACATGTTGGGACCCTAGAGAAATTACTTGGAGGTTGGCAACTCCCGATGCAAGCCTCAATGCTATCTGAAAACAAAGGCTGGAAAATATTTACCTGGGCACAGGTGTTCGATGTGTTCACCCGCAGACTTGACGTCCCTGAGGCATAAATATGTGCAATGTTCACTTTAGAAGGATGGTCAGGAAAGTTTAAAAGTGGACTTGACATGCGGATACATTCGGGACGCATCGCATTTGAAACGAGCAAAGGTCTCAGAAAAACAGCAATGGCAGCAGGATTGCCTGTAAGACGCCTTGGGAAGATTCTGGACCAAGGAAGTCCCCATTGGACTCTCAGACTTCAGCTAGAGAATTTCTTCGCTCGAGACAAACGTAGTACCGAGTTCTGAATGAGGTCTGACGCTTCAATGTCCCGATAATAAGTTGCAAAGTGCAAATACATATTTCAGAATACCACCCAAAGAGTAAGAAAGATTCTTCTTTCTGAAAGAAGAACCCAGGTCCCCTGAAGAACCCCAGTTTTTATCGAGAACACATCCCTTGCTTTCAAAATTGCAAACACCTAATGTACAAAACATCCATTATTTGGCGGTACTCAAGAATAAGAAATTGATTGAAGACAGTCGAGTCAGTGCCTTCTCCTTGGTGGCAGGCAGTTCTGATTCCCGAATCGAAGGCCCCCCGTTCGAAGGTTCCCCTTCGTCAACTCTGGCCTCGTCAAGTATCTCGTTTCGACTCGAGGACTCCTAAGATGGTCGTAGTTTGTTGCGCCGTCTGATCTATTCCTCGAGAGATAGAACACTAATTTCCGAGAGCACGGCCACGTTTGCGGTCTTGGGCAGGCCCCTTGTGCTCTGATCTTCACTTCCCAAGCATCTTTTATCAGGTGGGCGGTGCTATACCCACCATCAGCCGGTGTTTTCTCAGTCTTCACTACCAAATCCTTCTCAAATCACATATGTCGCATAGGGGAGTAAGACAGAGGAGAAAGAGTACTGGAAGGAGTTTCCCTTCCTGTATCTTGTTTTCGCTGTGGTAGTGGATAAGGTTCTTGCGACGCTGTATAAGGCCAGTTGTAAGATGAAAGAAGTACAACTCGCTCAGCTGCAGTTCTGCATTGAACCGCAGCGATCAACACCTGTGTGACCTGCAGAGGTGAAACAAGGAGGAATCACGAGGCATGTTATGATACTGGCGAAGATCCAGAGTGGCGCACGCTTGGACGGCAGACTGTGAAGAATGCTGATAAGTGTGTGCGGAGATCAGGATTAGAGCAAAATACTCTCCTGCTAGTGCTTCTTTGCTGGGGGCTTTATTACAATAAATTGCGGCATGGTGTGTGAAACAAGGTGCATGCTGCAGGCTCACAGCAGCCAAGACTTCAGTGAAGGAGGATGGGGCTCCTTTGACTGAAGCCAAGCAAGTGCACGAGAGTCTGGGCAGTGACTTTGGGCCAAGTTGGTGCGATCCTGACAGATTTTATGGGAGACTTGAGTAGACAATTTTTTGGCACCTGTTCAAAATGTTGTGCGGCTCATAGTTAAGAGAGATGCATTTTGCAGGCTTACAACGCCGGGGACTTCCATGAAGCAGATTGAGGCTCCTTTGAATGAAGCCAAGGACGCGCAAAGCACCCTGGACAGTCACTTTGGGCTCAGCAGGTGCGACAATGGCCGATTGACAGGGAGACTGAGTAATACAATGGCACAGCTGTGGCAGGTCACGCTGAAGCATGCATTGTGGCATGGTTTTAGCCCTCACAGCTACTAGTGCAATTCCTTCCCGGAACTCTTGTTGCTATGTTGAAGCTTGCCCGGAGAATACTTGTTGCCCAGTTCAACATTTCATGTTCGTTTGAAGCCAGAGGCTGTTCATCCGCAGGGAGGTGGCCGTTGTGGCTCCTGCACCTTCCGTGGACGATGAACATGATTCTGAGATTGAAGAGGAAGAATATGGATCTGAGGTAAATTTGCTGATCACTGTGGGCGTTTAATGATCCGGATTTGTTTGATATAAGCCACCATGGGTGTGAACCAATGCTTGGCATTGCTTGCATCCCATAGATCATAACTGAAGGGGGCCTTTTGGGGACCAGGAAGAACCAGATCCTGAACTGGAAGCTGCCCTCCAGGAGTTCATGTTAAAGGTGGAGGACGACATGAAGAATGTGGTGTGTGACTCTGTTGTCGTGGTGCTTCAAATTCCCTTTACCTTGCTGCATGCACTTTCTACTCTGGCAGTCAAGCAGGAGCACTCTGGCGCTCCTCTTACCAGAAGCCTGATATTCAGATTGTGTGGGGGTCAGATGAAAGATCGAGTGTTTGAGGACAAGGACTTCGATCCTGAGTGGGCCAAGATAATGAACAAAGCTGACTACAAGGTAATTGCACACGAGAAACGAATGCACGAACTGCTGGACAGTGTTGTGCCCATGAAGTAGTCAGAATAGCACACTCTGAGATCAGCGTTGCCTCGCATTTGTGCTTCAATCATGACCGGCATGACAGGTGCAGCTGTGGCATTGCTTGTGCGCAGACATTGATCATGAGCTAAATCTGTGGCTTAAAGCTTTATACTGTGGCAGGAGTTCAGAGAGGCAATGCTGAACCAGCCAGTCCCGCGCTGCTACCTGGACGAGGAGGGCTGTAGCCAGTTGAAGTGTAGCTGGGAGCAGTATGCTTTGTCTGAGTTCTTTTACAACTGGGTGTGACCCACATCAGGGGGTCACGTGTCCCCAAGCCTCTGCTCATAACCTTGAGTCCTGTTCTGCTGTGATAGAAGCACTCCTGGGCCAGCTTGTATAATACGAATCGTTCAGACTGCCTGCGGGGGCCTGGTTGACCCAGGCCCCTGGAATGTGGATTGTCATCAGCTGGCCATTTGGATGTTGGATGTTGCCTTTGGACACAGATTGCGTCCTCTAAGAGAAAAGCTGCCCGAGGAAGGGCAGATAGGCTGTCCAAGACGGGCACCAGCTTCCCTTGGCTTCGCGTGACCGTGTCACTCTTGAAAGGAGAATTTCAGCAGGCTCATTGTCCTCAACGGGACTGTCGCTGGTCGTTTGTTGTTTGATTCTTCGAGTTGGCCAAAGACCTTCCAACACCTCATAAGCAATTCCTTTTCGCTGCCGTATCTCCGGTTGGGTCTAATTTTGTCCTCCTCATCAATATAGAACCAAGCAGAAGTTTTGAGTCGCGCCATAAGAATCTCGATGGGACGTCCGCTTACCTTCAATAACAGCAGCGAAGTCAGGTATCAACCAACCAAAGTTGCCATCTAGAGTGACCCTTACCTGTAAATAAAAGGTAGATGAGAGCTCAATTTGCTGCCATGAGTCTGTCCCTATCCAAGACAATCGATTACTCTGTTCGCCAGCCTGACGACGACAAGCACAGGCAGCTGTAAGCTTTGCATCTCGGCTTGCTTCCTTCATGCATGCATGTTCGCACAGCCATCAGACCTGACAAAATTCTTTAGCGGGACCGCAGTGGTGCTGAATTGTCTGAGGCCCTGGAAACTGTGGAAGACACAGCTGCAGTGTGGATCAGGGGCGACAATTTCAGTGGCTTGTGTCCTGACATCAATGATCATCCACAAGAACCCCATAAAATTGATTGAACCTGCAGTGCATGAATCTTGCACACTACCGTATTGACGGATTAGGAGAATTGCTAGTTTATCTCATCCTTACGTAATTGCAGTGTTACACATGGCCAGGACCTGGACCCAGCACCTTAGCAACACAGCTCGGATCCCAAATTTATTTGGCAAGTTTCTCACAGAGAGAATACCATCAGAAGAGAGCGCAGATCAGTACAAGTTCTGACCCACCCCATACGCATTGCCATCCACAGTGCATGCACACCAGCCCTCCACAGTGTCAGCAGTGCTGACTGTGTGGAAGACACACTGCCATCCATGCCTCATGGAACACAATCAGAACATTGCCAGACACTCGGCACATCCCACATGAACAAAATGCATGCCCGGCATGCCGCAATGCAGTCCGCCGGAAGAAAAAGAATCACAAACATCTTCAAGTCAACCATAATGACCGATCAGTCATGCCCCAGAGACAGACTGTAACACAGAGGGAGCCGCCAAGGCAAAAAAAAATCGGATTCAACTAATCCTCATATAACTTTTATTCCTGTGGGACACCAAAACACTTGCAACGTGGATATGTCATTTCAGATCTGATGCGTTGTCAAGTTTCCATTCTACCGACACAGCTGCCAGTGGGACTCGCAAGTACCACCGCAAAAGTGAATTCAAGGCTAAACACAGCGTAGAGATAAACGTTTGGAGCCTTGGGGCGTTTGGAGCCTTGGGGCGCAAAGAAATACAAGCATCCTCTAATTATCCTTCAATTCAAACCTTTTCTTGCTGAATGGTGCCTCCCAGGGTCACCGCCTATGCTACTGAAGTATCAGAGAGTCAATTATCTTTTCCCGGAGAGAGGCATACAGCGCGCGGCAGAAACTGCAGCGAAGAGGGTTCAACAGAGGCATTCCCTCCTCGCATGCATGCTTCACTGCCGCGCACTGATGCATACCCAAGACACAGTTGTCTTGCAAGCCGGTCCCCCCACAATGGGGGAGCCATAAAAAAATGGGACATGCTACAGCACAGCAATGTCTCCAGAGCAAGAAGGACAGTTTTTTCAAAAGGGAAGCCAGAATCAATCCTGATTTCAAGTTCAAACCAACTGAAACACCGCAGCACACCCTATGAGATCTAGAAATCAGTAGAAATCCTGGCAGCACTCTGACTCGAGCCAGCCCCTTCCCTGAAAGGAAGGCAGTCTGCAGAAATGTATTGAAACCAGTGGCACCACAAATCAATATTGAAGTAAACCTGCAATTAAATACCCGGGTCACATCGCAAAATGGACACGCGGGGTACCGCAAATAAATAAGGCCCAGTCTTCTCGAGTGTCTCCCCCTAGGCAAAGGGGGGTAGAAATGTCGACGCACAGCAATTTGGCATTCCTCAATCATCCATAATTGGAAACTTCACGGCATGGGAAGCAGCCATCTTGCTTCTCCCCCTGTCTGCCACCCCAGCAGCACATCTCACAGGCTACCTGCAATAGTGCAGGGATCACCTGTTTTCACTGCTGGCAAAATGGCAGCCTTTGCCGGCCTTTCTCATGCCTGCCTGGCCTCATATCTTCCAGTACTCATGTATCAGTATTTCTGGAACGATCCACTGTCTCCATTGCTGTGTAAGCTGCATTGCATGCATGCGTTTTTTAGTTGCACTCGCTCCCGCAGGAGGTCTTCTTTTCTGCTGCCCCGAAATAGGGCTCAATACTGGCGCTTGCTATGGCTGGCTGGCCAACAAGGCCACTCCTACAGCAGGAGTGTATCTGCAGGCGACGTCGGACATATTCAGAGGCCAGCGCGCAGCAGGCTCAGCAAAGCGATGATGTCAAGGGAGCCCGGGTGCGCCAGCATGTCACACATCGCCTGCTGCAAGGGTGACACCACCTGCGCACATGTATCCAAAGTGATCAGACTGGAGCTGCTCCTTGCTGTGAGTCAACGACTGAACTGCAATGTAACTTAAGGTGAGCGAGGCATTTGGCCGAGACTGGCTGGCTCCTCTCACAGTTGCTAAAGGGGCGGCAATCCTCAGGGGAACAAAAAATGGTTGTGTACAATTTTTTGCAGACATCTCACACATCCTTCTAATGCAGCATGTGCAGATACCAACAAAAAGCCATTCATAAGGGCTGGTATTGCACATGGTGACCCAACTGATTCGTTCAGGTCTTTTCTCTGCAGACTCGAGATGTCGGCTGGACAAAATTGGGTGGGCACATGTGTGATGGCTCAATACACGTAGTGATCAGAGTACCAAATTGTGGAAAACCATGACAGAAAAATCACACCTGTCTGAAGGCGGCATGGACTTGATCAACACATTCCTTAGGGTGCATGGTCATTTAGAGCCATGGCAGACAAGTCCACCCGTCTGGAGGTGGCATGGCTTGTCAAAAACATGATGTAGAGGGCCAGGTTGTATAGGGCACGTGACAGTAAAATCACACCTGTCTGAAGGCGGCGTGGGCGTCACGCATGAGGGTGTGCTCGGAGCGGATGCTGGCCTGAAGGCGCTTGGAAGCTTCACGAACGCGCAGGAACGTGCGGCTGCCCTCCCATGTGTTGCCTGCCTCCGGGTCCGGGCACACCTCCTGGGACACCGCCACAGATTCTTTAGATAGAAGAAGCAGAGACAGCAATGCCATTAAAGCACCTAAGCCTGGCTGTCACAGCGGTTGCCCTATCAAAAAAGCAGTGACAGGGATCAACCTGCAACTTACTGCTTATCTCTTTTGAGAACTGGGTCCTATCAGCCGCGATAGCCAAGGCCTCAGCCACTGATATTCACAATCTCACCCCAGCTACCAGCAGCAGCTTGGTTGTGAGTAACAAACACGGTCAGACAACTTGATTCCCCCCTAGAAAGGTATGGCTGAGCACCACGATCCTCACATGCAGCAATGAACATGACAAAAATCATGTACACACCTTGAGCATGGCGGAGACGTGGAAGCGCTCTGCAGTCACATTGAGCAGCTGATCCACCAGCCGCCGGTGCACCTGCTTCAAAGCAGCTCTCTGCCCAGAACTCAGGCCCAGCTGCGCCTGCATTAGAAGAGAAACTCGAATTAGACTCTTCCCACGAATGTTTTTCGTCTTCTTCTTACGCACACGGTCGACAGCCCCAGATTACAAAGAATGACCGAAAGAAATGTTTTCTGGCAATCTTTTTCGCAAATAGGGGCATGTAAATGTTGACATAAGGTACGTCCTGCATGCACGCATGCAGGCAAGGAGAGAGGCGTCAAGGTCGATTACGCTTTTGACTTAATGCAATATATCATGCAACCAGCATTTCTGGACAAGGTGGATTAATGCATTCACTCATGCAACCAGCATTTCTGGACAAGGTGGATTAATGCAATCACTCATGCAACCACCATTTCTGGACAAGGTGGATAAGGTCAGAGGCTCACCAGGATGGATTGCCACTTGAGGGTGAAGGGCAGGCAGAGGCCGTCGTCGTCCTGTCGCTGCGCCATAGCCGCCATTCGCTGCAGGGCCCTTGGGCAATGCTCCCAAAGGTGCGCCTCGGAGTCACCCTGAGGCACCACACAACAATTCAGATCACCCAATTCACGTCAAACACAAGTCAAGGTTGCTTCGCATCCAGTGAAAATTGCCAGAAATCCTTGATTGATCCATGAGCAAGAGTTGGTAAGCCCAACAGGCGTCTGTCCCCATGCAGGGAGTGCATCTGCTGGCTCACTGTTAGTGTAAACTCATCCTAGCAGATACTTGATGGGAAGCTTTCCGCTGTCTTCCTCAATTTCTGACTCTGCTGCATCTGGGGCGCTGACTCACCCAGAGGGTGACGAGCTGCAGCAGCTGAGCATGCGCAGCGCTGCCTTCATTTTGAACGCCGCACTGGAACAGGTGGCTAAGATAGGCGCCGTACTGCTGCCTGAACAGGAACACGTCCTCGGGTGACATCAGCGCCACCTCAGCCGCGCTGACTGCGCCCTTGCCCATGCCTGTTTTGGCACCAGCATGCCACACCATCAGTACCCATGCAAATGCCCCAGCTGACAAGTGAGTAACCAGGTCGTGCTTATTCCAAGTCTGGAGAAACCTGTACAGATGGCTTTCTTCACCCAAGAAAAGGCTCCAGGCTGCTGTAAACACATTTGATGTCCAAACATTGTGAGATGCATGCGAGAGGGTCAGAACAAATAGACAGCAAGGAGCAAGCAGGCACACCACAGCAAAAATGTTGATGTCTCACCAAGCGAGATGCAGGTGAAGAGTGCTGCCAGCTTCTGGTGTGCACCGGTGGTGGCAGCGCTGTTGGCAGCGCCCCACAACGCATCCTCATCCAAGCTCTCCTGCACAGGAAAAGAATGTAGCATCTTGAGCAGCCATGTGCATACTGGAAGGGCACACAGGCCCTGTAGACTTGCAAAGTGGTCTAGCCTAAAACGCATTGATCTCTCCCATGCACACTTCTTCTGACGTTCTTCTGATCGTCACAGTCGCTTGATAGGACGATCACACTGGCGTGCAGGACCCATATTTTGCCCATCACATGCGATGCGCTGCTGCACTGTGTTGGGCCAAATAGACACCATTCTACTACTACGAGGCAGTTCCTTCTGCCAAGTGTCGCAAATTTTCTCAGACCGTTTAGGCGACATGCTGGGTGCTGACTTTGACAATCCGAGTTGAAATCCGAGAAGCCCCATTTCATTGCAGGCAATGCAGACTAATCGACTGACTAACTGAATGACTGATAGACAGCTGGGGCTCACCAGGTGGCCCTGCTCGGAAGCTTCCAGCAGCTGGTTGTCTGCGCGCAGGCCAGCATTGACGAGCGTCAGATGCTTCAGCCGCTCCTCCAGCTCTGCCCTCTTCCCCTCCGAAACCTCCAGCTTCTCCTGCCACAAACCACAACCAGCATCTGAGCCCCAGCAGAACAGAATGCTTGCATGCGCGCTCTGAGATGAGCTCACCCTAGGCCTTGTGACATCAGCAGTTGGGGATGAAGAACAAACGTTTGTTACAAGTGCGATCTGAGTGCATTCCCTTGTGCAGATGTGGCCCGGTGAAATCCATCAAATTGCCAGTGCTGGAGCCCCCCCTTTTTGTGCGCCAAAGAGCAATTATGCTGACAGGCAAGTTCATTGGCATGCAGCAGTGTGCGCAATGACTCGCGCCTTATGTCAACGCTGCATGGGTCAGACCTGCAGATCTGCTGTAACAGGCAGCGCCAGTGGCATGCAGCAAATTGGGAGGTGACTCAGACTTCATGAGAACGGTCAAAGCTGTAGGGATATACACATCAGGCAACGCCACTGACATGCAGTCATGACTACTGCAATTGCTGCACATTCAGCGCTACAGAGATGTTTTTGCAACGGCCAGGAGGTGACTCATGCGAGGCGACTCACGGGAGGTGACTCACCCGCTGGCGCTGGCGGTGAAGTTGCTGGTTACGGGCGTTGCGTGCGCGGGCAGCCTCATCGCGCGGGGTTTTGTTCTCGGGGGAGGCCCGGCTGTGAGGGGACGCCCTCTTGCGCGTGGCCGCCGCCTTGCTCTGCCGCTCCCGGGAGCTGCTGCCTGACCGGCTGCCCGAAGCTGCTCCACTCGTCATGGGCCTTGACAGCTCCGCCACTTCCTGCAGACATCACCGGGGCACACATGATGTCACACGCAGCAGACAATGAGTGGGCCCCGGGTAAGTGACAAGCCTCAAACACAGTACGGTAGACAGGCATGCAATGTGGTAATGTGGTGTTCTATGGTATGCCTGCCGGGAAGGGACATTGCATTGCAATGATTGAGCTGCACCAAGGAGCGACGCCCCGGCTGCCTGGGGGGCGGCACAACTACTGAGCACCGTGCCCATGGCTGATTGGGTCTTGCTTGGATCTGGCGAATCCATCAAGGGGTGGGATATGTGGCGGCCATTAAGTGCAGCTTGTCTGCAGAGGCAACTTGCCTCTCGGCAGGAAAAGCGTATAACAATTATTAAAAAGAGTGAGGGGGGTGTCACCTGTGCAGGTGAGAAGGCGCCTGCAGGGTCGCTGATGCTGCGCATGCTGTTCCAGCACGCCTTGGCCCGTTCCTGGTCGGCTGCAGGCATGTGCGGGGGCAGGCTTGGGGCGATCAGGAGGGGTGGATCCCTCCTGAAGGCGATGATGGGGTCGGGGATCTTCAGCTCGGTGGTCGTGTTTGTCGACAGGCTGCCCTTGGACAGCTCCTCGAGCAGATCCATATCCAAGAAATCCAGTATCGCCTCGTCTGGCTGAACCCCAGGCGCCTTGCTTGTCCCAGCGAAACTCTGCGCGTCTGGCGTGATGGAGGCCCTCACAGCATTGTGGCTGTGCGCCGCTGCGCTGTCCTCTGTCGCCAGGCTGGCGATCCTACCGTCTGAAATCTCCGCCCAATCATTGAATTGCGACCAGCTGAGCACCGCGGAGCGCTGGGGCTGTGAGTGCGGTGTGAATGGTGCGCTGGTGGCCGACAGCAGGCGTGACTCTTCGGGCCAGGCCGAATTGCTCGTCGCTGGCCATACTCTTCCAATATTATCGTGCATTGTCATCAGTCCCACCAGGCTCATGAGAAATACGTGCTTCCTCCGAACTCCTGCAGGCGTTCACTTAATTCACTCTCGCGTAGACGGGCTATAAGGCTCACACGCTGCACTGGAAAGTACCCAAGAGGGTTGGGATCCTGCAAAATAAATTCTACAAGGCTAACAAGACCGAACACTGGGCGTGCCTGCTACTGGGGAGGCGCTTGGTGGTTCATCAGGGTGCGCTTGGCAAGCCGGTTTCTAAATGAGGTGCGACCCCAAAGACCTGCAAACAGCATAATCCAGTCTTGAGGACTAAAATAAATCTTGATTCGGGACAAAATGAATACATTAAACGTGTACGCTCTGCGGGCACCAGTGAAAGCACAACTTCGCACAACACACAGACGGGCATCCGGAGTCACAGTCGCACCTCAACCTCCGTAGCAAATAGCGAAATGTAGTCCTGTGGGGACTGTGGGTGAGCTGAATATGGTGTTTTGATGCGAGATACCACAGCGCCACCCACGATCTCAAAGCGCGTGAGGCTTTTGTCGACGTCACTGATGCGACGCACGTGGCTGGCGTCACGAGGGAAATGCTACGGATATTTACGGCCGTTTCTGCGACGCACGCATTCAAACTTTGATACAACAAAAGGGCACGCCCTGCACAGCTGCTATCATTTCTTCGTGCAGCAATACTTTTCACAAAGAACATTCCAAATTACTCACTTGCTCCTTCTGAAGACTCTCTCTCGAATTGATCCCGGCTGAGGCCTCCCGGTGTAATCACCGTCCAGAAATAGGAGGAGGGAAGAGGCACTCTTGAGAATATCGAATCGAACGGTGTCAGGAGCCTGCTAGGTGCTCTCAAGGTATATTTCTGGGACAACAGAGCTGTGAAAATCAGAGGAAGAGCTGCTGCTGGTGTCTGTAACAGGGTAACGTGCAGTAGAGTGATGACAAATAGTTGTTAGTAGGGAGAGGAGCAAGCTCCCAGACACTTTCAGGTTCCAAACGGAATCATTTTGTATATGTTTTCGTTCACCGAAATGTACAAGGTAGTGAAAATAGTGTCTATTAATGAGGAAGTGCGGGGCATTGGTGGTAACTGATATGTCTTCTGCAGGAAAATTTTAGGCCCGAGAGGCTGGAAATACGATGACCTATTACATCCAAACAGGGATATTGCTGCTCGTGTGCACATCAGCTGTACAAGGTAGCTCCCTTTCGAGGCACATCATACTCAGGATGTCTGCCCTGCCTTCTTTGACACTCACACATCTTTACAGATTAAAGCATGCTTTGGTACAAGACTCCCAGTTCGATACATCCTCCTGCATGTTGAGCACGTCTGCACCATCATGGATGCAAACAATTACACACTGTGCTTGCTTCTGTATAGTGAAAGAGGCCTTGCCCATGTCAGACAGTAGCATGCTTGCTGAACGGCCGCACATGCATGACAGCTGCAGGCTGGCCTGGTGGGCCTTCCCAGGGGCAGACAGCAGATAGAAATCAGAAGAAAGATACTTTCTTTAATACATTACCTTGGCTTAAATTTCCTGTCTACAGGCGCAGGGACTGGCAGGAAGCTGCTGTACGAGGACACCCAGACCGCGTCCTTCTCCGGCGGCGCGGCGGCAGCGCAGCAGCAGGGAGCCGGCAGCAGCGCGGCGGCAGTGCAGCAGCAGGGAGCCGGCAGCAGCGCGGCGTACCAGTCCAGTCAGACGGCAGGTGCCGGCTCGCAGGCGGCACCTGCTGGCAACACGTGGCAGGACGCTCTGGGCACAATTCAGCGCAGCGCCGCAGCCGCTCTGAACGCCAACAGCGCCCCCGTGCAGCAGCTGCAGCAGGTGACATCCCCACTCTTTTCGTCCAGCCGCACAAGCCGCCAGGGGGGTGATCAAGCTTTGCCATGCGAGTCCATGCGGGATTGCTAATGAAATCGCTCCCAGTCGCCTCTCACACACCTTATTGCAAGGTTGGCTGTGGTTGTCAATATCCACCCGAGTGTCTCATGCAGAGATGAATTGCACCCGGGGGAAAGTCAGGTATCTTGCTCGGCTGGCACCTCACATGCAGCTGCGAATCACCACAGATCGCGCACTGCGGCAACTCTGGGAATGATTGTGAGGGCCGTACAGATACATGTCTGTTGGTGTGATTCTGATTCTGAGCAAGCATATTTGTTGCTGCTGTAGACAACGCAGCAGGCGGCCGGCGCCACAGGGACCCAGACCACACCAAAGAATGTGCTTGTGGACTTGGCCCCGGGTGCGACCGTGGGCTTTGGCAACCAGAACGGCTACCCCAAAATCTCCGCGCAGGCCCCCGGCAGCGGCTTCTCCGTTGCGCAGGTGCGTCAGACCATATAATGAAGTTTTGGGCAAATCACCTCAAAGCATGCGAGCCAATCGTGATATTCTGAGCTGCCTCTCTGCTTGGCTGCCATTTCCAAGGCAATGGGATGGGGTTTGAGGATCATTAAGGTTGTGTATTCCAAGGCACCTTAGATTTTCCCAAGTTTCAGCTGTGATGAGGGTAGCAAGTTTGAGTAACCCGGGGCAGATCGGCGGATCACTAGTATCAAATTAAATTCAGTCCTTGCGGAGTCAGCCAAGAAAATGCGCATTACTTGGGTCTGCTCTGGTCCTAGTAACTCACACATTCCAGATTTAGCCTTGACATGAGGGATGACATGGCGAGAAGCTGCTGTGGTCGGGTTATAATCCGCGCTATGAAGCCATGCTTGTCAGATGCAGCAAGGTGACATAACAAAAGATTTCTGTGGTGTCCTGAACAGGCGCCTGGCAAGGCCAACCCGGACGTGTCCTTCAAGGTGGGGCCGCAGGACTCCCCAGTGGCAGTCACCCTGGGCCAGCAGCCCGGCCTGGACGGCGGCGCCGACAAGGTGGGGCCGAGCCTGTCTTTTGCAGCTGTACTTGATGATGGTGTGTGGACAGTATTTGTCTGCGTGCTGACAAAGTACCCCTCAATACAAATGACAGAGGCACCATGGTACGTATATCTTCTGGAACTCTGGGTGATGCTGATCAACCTGCAAAGGACACAGCTGATCAAAACACTGCCGCGGCAAAACTGCTGCCGCTGTGGCAAACCTCACCCCTCTGACAGCGAATTGCGCGATTACCATTGCCCCTCCATTACCTGGCCATCTGACATGTGGTCCTGGCATCTTGTGGGCCATGTCCTGTACTGTATGTCTCCACCGGAAGGTAAAAATAGGATGCCAGGGGTTGTCTGCAGCGGTAGATCCTGTATCAACAGCATTCAAGGTCTTGTGAGATCCACACTTGGGATCCAACCAATATGTGACCCTCTGGCTGGCAGCGTGCATGCAGGATCTGTGCACACTTTCCAGTTCGTTGCATGCACCAACTAACAGACCATCAGCACACCATCAGTAACCCATTCAAGATGTACTCTGCATGACTTTGCATGGCCCCGGCTGGCTAACCCCAAAATGCTAAGCACTGTGCCCGCAATTGGCGGGGTATTGTTTGGATCTGGCAAGTCCATCATGGGGTAGGAATTTGGCAACCATTCCAAATTACTGTAACAGACGTTGGCAGGGAAAGGCTGTAACAATGAGAAGAGAGAACAAATATTGTGTGCGCAGGAGGAGAGCGGCCTGAGCGGGACGTTGAACCTGGGCCACTACGGCGTGAGCCAGTCCAACAGCTTTGAGGCAATCAATATCAACCCATCCGCCACCGAGCTTATCACCCCCTTTGCCAAGCTCAGCGTCCCCTACAAGGTGTGCTTCTTCCTTCGAGTGTCGCATGCATCCGGCATGTGTGCAGCGCCAATTTTGCAGATGCAGATCAAGCGATGCATGCGGCGCCAGTCTGGCAGCTTTGGGTCACCAAAATGCATGCATCTTAATTGCTACAGCTGCATTTGAGCCGCACGGAGTACAGGTCAAGAAGATACAGCAACTGCTTTGCTGGGCTCTGCAGAGCTCAGTGAGCCTCAATCCATTGCACATTTGACTCCATCGCACGGGTGTTCTGTGTACAAATGTACCTCGATGGGCCCAGAATGAGAATGTCTTCTTGCTGGCACCGAGTACTTCTGCATTGTAGAGGCGCATAGCAGTGTATTCACTTTAACTATCTGTGTGTGTCTCGCAGGCGTTCACATCCGTGGGCCCGGCGCTGCAGCAGATCCCGGGGCAGCTTGCGCAGCTGACGCGCGTGTTCCAGGTTCAGAGCACCGCGTCAGCCCCGGCCCCCGCCGTTTCAGCGGCGCTGGCGCCGTCCGCAGGCATTGCCTCCCAGGCCGCGCCCTGATCTGGCAAGCCGCACCTCGTGTCCTGTTCAGGCTTCTGCGCGGCTGGATGCCTGATCAGGTGGACTGCGGAATGCGCCCTCCTCAGGCAGCGGCCTACCCTGGCAGGCTTGGCTGGATGCCTGTTCAGGCAATGGACACCTCCTGCTCTGTTAAGGCTGCAGAGGTGCTCATAGGCTGATGAAAGGATATAGCCGGGGCACGAGATCTAGCCTGTCAGGCGAAGATTAGGGGGGCAGATTGATGTTCAAACAGCCTGACGGAGCCGAATGACTTGCAATGCGGAGCTGCACATGCAGGTAAAAGGCAGTGTTAGATTGCTGTGCAGTCAATGGGGTGTAGGCAGTTCAGGGATTGAGCAGCAGCTTGTTCTGGTTAGCAAGAGCACCTAAACTAAACCTGTAGCAACCGATGAGCGTAAGGACTAAAGTATTGCAGACAAGTCATTTACGCTGCGGTTTATCAAAAATAACGGACCTGTCAACACCTTGACAACCGTTGCAACAATTGTGACTGGTTTGGCTGTTTGCATTGCTGACCTATGCAAGACTAACAGCATGGCGAGAACGGTTGAAATTCTGCCTTGGTAGCTTTTTAATGCATGCCAAGTCAGGTATTCACTTTGCAAGTCAGTCACAAATATATCAGAAAGTTGGCAGTTGCTTCAATTGAGAGGTGATTAGTTTGCCTTAATCCTGGCAGAACACATGAAATCCAAGTGGTCGAACCTCCCTTGAAAGCTTAAGGCTCTTGAGACATGCCAACATAATCACAGTCACTCGCTGGCAGAGGTCGCAGGTGCCCTCTCGCATAAGTTTAATCTGCTCTATCACATCATCGCCGGGTGCCTAATGGAATACAAGGCAAAACCCTGTTTTTCTTTCCCAATGCAAAAGTGCTTCTGTTCATCATGCTGATAACATTATTATCCATTGAGTGGACACGCGCATGCGTATACAGCAGGGGGAGTTTTTCTTCTTACCCCCCCCCCCCCCCTGACGCCCACCGTTGGCATTTCTTCTGGACTCCCAGTGACAGCTACATCTGCCATAACACCCAACTTGCAGAAAGTTCCAGGGAATATATCTCTGCGCTCTCCAGCAGTCAGTGGTCAAATCGGTCCCATTCGTCCTGCAGACACACCCAGTGGCGGTACAGAACTTTAGGACCCTCACAGTCCGACGAGTCAGCAAACAGACAATCTGGCCAGCTCTCTTCTGGGCGCTCAGACTCTTCACTGTCTCTGTCACTCTCGCGGGGAGAGCTGCCCCTTGGTCGGGACCCTGGTATGTCCTCCCACTGGCTCTCGGTGAAGTGAACACAGCCCTCGCACAGAAATTCTGTCCTGCTGAGGGACCTCACAGATCCTGGATCAGTCTCTGCATCGCAGTCCCCGCCTGATTCATCATTGAACTCTGCATCTGAATCTGCCTCTAAATCTTCATCTGTCACTGCTCCAGAATCTGTATCAGATTCTGCATCAGACTCTGCACCAGAGTCTGCATCGGTGTCTGCCTCTGAACTTGCATCAGACTCTGCATTGGAATCTGCATTGGAGTCTGCTTCGAAATCTGCATCCGTCTCTGCATCGGAGTCTGCATCAGACCGTTGAGGCGGATTATAAAAGTATGCACCCTTGGCATCCAATTCATCACCACAGCAGTGGCAGTTCTCTCGCCAATCAATTTTCCTGAGGTCCTTGCGCAACTTCCTCAGACTCAAAGGCCTTCTCGTGATCACAGCAACGAAGTTGAAATCTGCAGGCACAGCCTGACCTTAGTTTGCACTTGACTTACTATGAGACCTCCCAGCGTTGTGAAATTTTCAGTGCAGGAAGGGATTCGCCAAAGTGAACATCTCACCTGGGTCGATAGTGATTCCAAGATTGTGGGTATTCCCACTTCCTCTCTTGATTGAGGATATGCTGATGGTCCTGTCCAGGCCCCCTAGGAGGTCAATCCTGCAAGCAGTATGTTTCATCATGGACCAGCAAGGAAGGATGGGTGGGCGCATGGAGTTTGACAAGCCTCTCTCTTGCTCTTTCCAGACATTGTACAAGATCCAGCCATCCTGTCCTTGTCGGATCTATGACTTGCACCGAAGACAAGCAGCTCACCGTGCTCGAATCCACATGCGTTCATATTAATTCATCGCTCGGAATAATATTTTCCGCTTGCCAGAGCAGATCTGTTTGAAGAGCATGTCATCCAGTGTATCTCCCAGTTCCAGAGGAAGATGTTCATGAACCGGGCACGATGCCTTGGACCGCCAATCTTCCCAACGTTCCTGCACTTCCTCCATCACGAGACTACGCATGCCCTTAGAAACCTTCCTTAGAGTCATCAAGACTCTGGGACCTGCAAACTGGAAATGACCTCCCAGATTGCCTCGGGCAGATAGCGTCCCCGCTTCATAGTGCGGTAACTAAGCAAGAGGAACCAAATTTCAAGAGGGCTGGAACACAGATTGAGGTGTTTCGGAGCCAGGATGGTGATGTATTTTGATGTTTTGGCAAAGCCGAGTCTGAAGGATACGCTGATCGTTTGCATGCAACACTTGCAACTCTGCTTCCATTTCTGAGATCGATATGTACTGGTTGGTGACGCTCTGTTACAGTACGTAAGCACCTTGTTTCTGCTGGCATGCGTACGTGGTACCACAAGGGTCAGTTGCCAGTACACTAGTGCTTGGCACGTCACACAGGCTAGTAGATACTCCGAGTAGCACTAGGGCACTAATGCGAAGTTGCATCCACTCGTATTGCAATTCCAGTGCGATCATGCCCTGATAACCAGGGAAAGGACTTGCAACAATTGTTCCTTGCATGCCGGCAAATTAAAGGCGCTGCTTTTCTGCGTAAACTTCACCTTGAAGGCACCGGCCGCATGCACCCAGTGCAGTGCCTGTAACTAGACGTGCACTGCATTGCAATTGCTGGCAGATGTCTTATTCTTCCTATTTAGCATGGATACCTGCTCGCCTTGCTAGTGCAGAGCCAAATGAGGGCTGGCATGCATCACCCTGATGGACTGTCTCTAGCAGAGTCAATATTTTTTAGCTGAAGCCAACGAGAATCGCCAGACACCATGGGGCGGCATCTGCCTACTCCCCATGCCACTATGTGCCCAGGATTGTCAGTCTCGTTTGTCCCACAGCTCAATTTCACGAGAGTGCGGACCTCATGACCAGCATCAATGCACTTCCTGCACATATATTATTTCCCATTCTCACCGTAGAAGAAGGCTTCATCTTCCTTAAGCCCTCAAGTTAGAAATTTCATGAGCAACTGCGCATGCACCATTTAGAAAGGCAGTGTGCGAGCCGGAGTCCACCAGCCCTCTGGTGGACTCATCCCCAGAAGCTCGCCTGCTCGCGCATACGCTCCACATACTCATCCCAGTAATCGTGGAGACAGCACCAGTCATCAAGATCAATTTCCCTCTTGCACCAGCAGTCTTCTGTGCAGCCCTCTACTATGTCCTCCTCCTCTTCTGAACGATCAATCCCTTCGCCAGCATCTTCCATGAACCTGTGAGCCAAGCACTTCTTGCACAAGAATTCATCATCCGGATCTTGCCACATGGCGTCGTGGAAAAAAGCTCCTTTGGAAGTCACAATGGCACTGCAACCACTGCAATTGTCACGCCACTTTCTCCTTCTGGCGTCCTTGCGAAGCTCATTTAAGCTAGGCGGGGCGCTTGTGACAACCGCAGCGAAATCAAACCCTGCACGCACAGTGTCTTAGTTGTCACTTATACCACGCTAAACAGTCCCTAACCTAATTATGTACAGCACTTCAACTTCAATTAAGTTAGAGGCTCACCTGAGGTGATACTAACGTGAAGAGTCTGTAAATTTAATGCACAGGCAGAGCGATTTATCTTCACACACTTGATTGTCATGTCCAAGCCACCCAGGAGCTCAACCCTGCGATCAGGTCCATGCATCATACATTAAAGGGGTGGTTGCCAGATTGAACACGACCAAGGATAAATAGATAGCATTAACAATAGCGGAAGATGTGTGGGCAGGGTGTGCAAGGTAAATAGCGTCGCCACTCACCGGAGACGCAGCCAGTTGCTCTCAAAATCTTTGAGGTCGGGAAGAACAATTGTGCTCTTGCCAGCACAGATTTCTCTGAAAAGCTTGTTGTCAAGTCTGTCTCCAACATCTGCTGTAAACGAGGAAGGGCCGGCCATCCTCGCAGCATTGGAGCACCATGCGCTCCAGCGGTCCTGCAGATTTTTCTTCACAATTTCACGCATGCTTCTAGAGACTTTCCTCATGGAAATCAGGATACTGGAATCTGCATCCCGGAGGACTTTGGCCCACATGCTCTGAGGCAATACTGATGTCGGGCACATTGCGCAATACTGGCAGAAGAATCCGTCCAATTGGGAGTTACTTCTGAACAGGAGGAAGAGAAATTTCAAGAACATCAGGCGAAGCTGGTCAATTGAATTTTGTAGGGTTCCAAGAAAACCCTATAGGGCATGTCAACAATATCAAGCACACACACTCAATATGCGATCATTTCTTTCTCTTGGCCATTCTACTTTTGGAATACACATCTGACCAGATCTGTTTGGGGTCCATCAACATAATCATCTCTGAGACCAAAGGGCTTCTACGCTGCCTGCAACTGGAAGCCTTCAGCTACCTCGACCAAGGTTTGTCATTTCTACCTACCCTAGTCGGCATTATTGATTCTAAGGCTGCTATTGAGACGTTGTGCTTCCATTGAGGCGATGTGGGAGAACTCTCTCATCGTCAATGTATCACGTGGATGCTTTGCATCTCAAGACGCATCAGTAGCTTCTGGTGGCTTCTCACGGAACTTATGATCGCTCAAGGGAACTATAATGAAGTACGTCGTGATGCCCATTTCGTGGCAACAGAAGCAGGTCCAGAGACTCGTCGAAGCACCAGTTCTTCTCAGATGCTAATGGCCATTTGTGGTGGGTGTCACGCAGATAATTCCCCTGAGGGGCAGCTCGATTCAATCGTTAGTAACCTTACAAGTTTTGGAGGGACCCACCCACAACCGCAAGGTACCAGATCTGAAGGGAAGTAGTGGGCCCCAACAGAGCCAGTATGTCGATGGACACGAGGTGATCGTGAGAGAGTCCGTCGATCTCCCCTCAACTATTGATGACTGAGTATACATACAAGAGATGCTGCTTCTTGACTCAAGCCTGCCAGGGCCTGGCGCTGGGCGCTGCAGTCGAAGTGACGCAGCTGAAAGCCACTTGTGCACTTTTGAGCTGACTGCACCTCTTCTGCTGGAAACATACTAAGCCATGCATATTCTTTGCACTGGAGCTGAACGGTGAATTTGCACCAGAAAGCCATGGTTGCATTTTCGAGCTGACTGCTCCTCTCCTGCAAACAAACCAGGCCAGGCCATGCATGACTTTATGCTGCATGCCACCCAGACCCGTTCTCGATTCAGACATTTCTGCCGATCCAGTTCGCAAATTAGGCACTGACAATTGAATGATTCTGTGCAGGCGCAATGCAGTGTGGCGGCAGAGGAGGCACGTCCTGCAGGAAATAATTCCCGACAGCTTCTGGACTGCGCTCAGCCGCTTTGACAACGGCACCTGGACAGCCTACACGCCTGGCTTCGCCTACGAAGGTGCCCTTCCTGCTATAAATGGCCCAGCTCGTTATGATTGTGGACATTTTCTTGTCAAGGAGCTGTGCATGACTCGAAAGCACTATGTATCAGTTGTGAGAGCTGAAGATACTTAGTGCGCGCCCTTCCTGCAGTCAGCTTGCATGGCAGTCCTGCAGCTAGAGCTTCTGGAGTATCCCTCAGGGCGCATGCGCTGCATATTGAACCACATTTCAAACCGCCTTGCTCTTGTAGTGAGCACGTTTCTGCCCGTAATTGACGTGGCAAAAGTGTGCCAATGGCATGCCCGTAATTGACGTGGCGAAAATGTGCCAATGGCATGCTGCGGCTGTGCACCTGTAGTAAGCACGTCTCTGCCCGCTAGCAACCCGCGCGCATCTGCGTGCATGTCGCATGGTTCGCTCTGCCCGTTAGTAACATGCGTTCGTGTGCAGGCATGTCGCGCTTTGTGTCCGCCCGTTAGTAATCCACACGCATGTGCGCATATGTGCAGCAGCAGCTCTGCCCAGTACAAACCCGCGCGCATGTGCCGGCATCTAAAATCACATCTCTGCCCGTTAGTAACCCCAGCGCATGTGCGCGCATGTGCAGCGGCGTGTCGGGAAGGAACGCAGCGCGCAGCGTTCGCGGAGGCGGAGCGGCGCATCGCGCGCACTGTCCGGTCCATGTACGAGGTCGGCCACCGGCTGCCGGTCGCCTGCTACAGCCTGGAAGCTGCGCAGCAGGAGGAGCAGCGCAATCGCGAGGTGCGGGATCCTCCAGTCTCTGACTATGCGAAACTTCACTGACTTCGCTTTTTTGGTCCCGACACTTCTGATGACTTCCAGCTGTCCCCGGGTGTCTGCTGGGACTTCCAGAGGACATCTATAGGATCTACGACAAGCGGGGCACATTCAGCTTTTGCACTATGGCACTTCCAGACCATATCCACACCTTGACCAGGATGTGGTGCGGATCTCAACATGCCAATATGAGTCCTACCCTTCCAGGATTGGAACTGGTGTGGATGAAGTTCCAGTGGCTGGAAAGTCCCCTGTAAATTGGGAGTGACTACGTTTTGATTGGCCTTGTGTGTCAATTAGCTGTCATAGCAGCAAGAATGGCGCAGGGGGGGGGGGGGGTGTGAGACCTGTAGATGCTGTCGGTGTTCTTTTCCACCCCTGAAATTGGGGGTTAGGCAGGGATTACTCCTTGCAGTCAGGGATGAACCCAAACCCAAACACAATGGCCCATGTGGGTGGGGTGCACGTCTGCAGTGTCGAATGACTCCACAGCTGCTACAGGCGCCCCTTGTTCTACTTCATCCCAGAAGAAGTAGCTTCTGCAAATGAAATAGCGGCAGTGCTCGCATGCCTGGCAGGAGGAGGTTTGGGCTCACCAGACCCTAGGTATCAAAGACAAGCGTTCATTGCCATGCTCCGCTTCCGTCTCCTCAACCACGCTCCTGACTGCTGTGACAGTGCTTCAATACTTTCATGGCTTCATGAAAGTATTGCAGGTGGCTTCTCTTTCAAGGGGATATTTTAAGGGAACTGAGTGTAGAAGTTATGCTGCTCAAGTCTTATCACCGCAGCTTGGCTGGAAACGAAGCTGCAAGCACAGCAATCCCACAAAGGCGCTTATTATTTATTGCTCCTTTTTTGCAGGCGTACGAGGCGCTTGAGGACCGGTTGAGGGCGGCGGATGCTGCGAGCGCGTCGGCGCAGGCGGCGGCTGGACCAAAGGTGGTAGAGCGCCAGTGGCTGCGCGTGCACGTGGATCTCTCCCTGGCAGACTCCCTGACCGACGATGAAAACCCCTTGGTCAGGTGTGTTTGCAGCTCTGGCCGTCTCCTGCTGACCATTCCGCAAACCCCCCGTTCAGGCATGTGCTGCCGCGCTCCTCACCCACTGAGTGGGAGAGAGCATCTCTTGAAGGACGGCAGGTTCTTGAAGGTAGCTGGACCCGCACTGCAGCGGCCTAATGGATTTTGTGCAAATTATATTCCTCCATGCAGCAGGCATTGAGCTGCTGCTCAGGACTCGGCACAAACCTCACCAATGCTGCTATTGCTGCAGAAACGCAATGTTTACATTCGTTGTCCAATCCAAGTCCATCGCCGCCCAGATGCTGCGAGTGTCATACCACCATCCTATTCCGAGCACGTGGACAAATGCGTAAAGGCAGCGGCACTTCCAAGATTAGTCTTCAGCCTGCTGACCATTATAGAGGGAACGCCTCTGCAGGCGCGCAGTGGAGCCCTTCATGGTGACCCATGACAAGTCTCTTACAAGTTGATGCTAAGTTTTTCTCCCAGTCGCTTCACTGCCACCTGCGCGCAGCAGGTGTCATGACGTCATCTGGGGCTGGGCAGAGGAAAAGATCCGTAAATCAATGTTGCATCTTGAATTTCTGGGTGCTACATCAGTCGTGGACAAATCTGATACATGTGTTCCTGGACGTACCAAGATCCTAGATGCCCAGGAACTGGATTACGAGTACGGTAACAAGTAATGTTTTGTAGAGTTTGTCATCAGCTCGCTGATTGTGATAGAGGGAATGCCTCTGCAGGCGCGCTGTGGAGCCATTCGTGGTCACATATGACAACGGCGAGGAAGAGGAGGAAGACGACTTGGACTCGGAAGAAGAGCGTGGCGCTGAAATGGCGGTGGACGATGACACTCCCTGGGTTGAGCCTCCCCTTGTGGGCTCCGACGGCGATCCCTTTTCTGCCGGGGAGCCCGGCACATCCACGCGCGGCGCCGAGATCGACAGGTGGACACCTGTTCTCTGTCCTCCTCTCATTGGCCAAACGACACCGAGTTGGATAACTGAGAATTACAGGGACAACTGAGAGCAGTACAAGCCTGTGATGTTGTAGAAGCAGGAATGAGTACCTGTAAGAAGCTCGCGGCTCTTGCAGCAAGCCTGCAGATTCGCAGCCTCTGCGTGGTGTGTGCGGGCAGGATGCCTGGAGCCTGCAGCTCTTTTGGGTCATTCGTCAAGCATGCAGGGAAGCGGCGTAGTTGCCGAATTCACGCAAGCAAGCTGGCGGTACTAAGGAGCAGGGGGGGCATTTTAGAGGGTAGTCCACTTGAAGTATCCAACCTGACTTGAGACAATACAGTTGACATTCTGTACTTCTTGCCTGTAGCCTGCGGCCGTTCCGGGCGATGTTGGAGTCGCGCGCGCAGCTGGTGGCGGCAGGGGTGCGCGACGCGCGCGCGGGAGGGAATGGCCCCGACGGCGTCCTGCACGAGGCCGACCGCATTCTCGCGCGCGCCGCCGAGGGTCTCTCTGGCAGCGCCCGCAGTCTCCCCAACCGGCCCATTCCACGCCGCTACGAGCCCTACGGGTGCGCGCTTTTGGGGATTCTCTGTGCCCCCAATGAGATCTGTATCGAATTGCATGTGATTCCCCCTGCACCTTCCCCCTGCAAGGTGATGAAATATATATGGGGTGAGCGTCCAGATGGGTTCACTCTTACGGTAATTGCCCAAGCACCAACTGCGGCTATGAGCCCTACGGGTGCGTGCGTCAGTTGGAGAATGTGCTGCCTGTCATTCTGAGATTCTTTGCAGGGGTTTGTTTTAGGCAGGTGGAGGTGCACTCGCCAATGTGCTGAAGCTTTGCTGTTGACGGGTGCCTCGTGTCGCCTGAGGCTGTAGTGCAAGGGCTGTAGAGTGAGAAAGTAGCCGTTTCCTATCCAAGCCTCCCGGCACTCGTGCTGAGTGAGACAGCAATCCCAGAACAGCTGCAGCTGTTGGTGGCTATCTTGGATAGGCTGGCAAGGCAGCTGTTTCTCTGTCAAGTCCCCAATCGTGTGCTACACAGGAAGTGACATGCCTTGTGTTCACGAGGCCCTGCAGGCTGACAAACACCTCAAACAATAGGCCATACAAGCATCCGGAGCCCGTTAAGAGCACACGATGAGAATTGCATGAGCAGCTGCAGTTTGCTGGCTTCCTTGATTCGCAGCCACCTTTACCTTTCTGTGCAGTCTGGGCATTGCATATTGTTAATTAATGGCTGACCCGTCCTTCGCATGCGCAGGATCGAGCCTCTGATGGCTGGCACACCCAGGGTGAGATACTCGCCAAGGCTCAGGCCGGCAGAGCCGGCAGCTTCATGGAAACAAGGGGAAGCTTCTTTCCGCTAGGGGGCCTGGAAGCCCCTTTCAACAGCCTTAGCACTATGCATAAGGCCCCTTGTTGGCATCTGTATCAGCGAGTAACAGCTGGATGAAAGTGCACAATGGAGCCCCATGGCTCTGCGCAGCATCCCAACAGGGACCACCAATGGGGCACTGATTACTACTACTAATCATGGTAGTACCAAACACCCCCTGATCCCTTTGCCTGATGAACCTTTCTGGAGGCACTCCTGCTGCCCGGCTGTCCTCATTGGAACACATGCTATGTTTAGGCTCTTGAGGGACGCGAAATGGGGTGTAGGGCTGCGGCAGTTGAAAAATTGGAAGGGGAGAGGTTTGTGGGTATTTTGCACCGGCATGGAGAGTCTCTCGCGCATAACAGATGTGGAAAGCTGGCATGGCAAAGCTGTTTGTGCATGCATGCTCTGGCTGTGGAAGTCGTGTATCATGGGGTTTCTGTCATGATCATTATCAGCTTGTTTGCAAGTTTCGAGTGCTTCTTGAGCGCTGCTTGGGTCCATGGTAGAACTTGCGGGTGTGCAAGTAGCTAGTGTGCGTGTCTGTCTAAGGAAGACTCTCGCAAAAGCAACTTGCTAAATTGCTGAGGGAATCTCATATATCTGGGTTCATTTTTGCAAAATTGTCGCCTCCTACTAGGACTTGGAGTCATGCGGGACTGGCCTGTACACATGCGCTGTTAGGCTGCGTTCACTACTTGTAGGATGGGTTCTGGTTCATCCAACTTTCAATTATCACTAGCCGTCATGTAAAAGTAATTAGCGATTCATTGGGGAGTGAAGTGGGGTTGACTCTGTGATAAACAGCCCCAAGTCTTGCCACTTTAGATTACAGCAGTCACTTATTCAATAGTATTGTAGGCCCCAGAGAGGACGGTCCATGTCAGATTGTACAGCACATGTGTGATTGCATGGACTCATGCACACACACAGACACAGACACATCAAGAATATTCCAGTCAATGTACATCCATCATACAATTGTATACTGTACAGAGGTCATCAACAGTGCTTGCAAACCAATCTCTATATCAATGCTCAACGCTAAAATACCATTCCTCTGCTGGACATCATTGTGTCGGTGTATTCCTATCGTGAAAGGGATACCTCACAGCTAGATGCCGCATAGAGCTTCCCTGGCATACATTCTGCCCCTCCTCCCAACAGCCGCTGTATGTCACTAGCTTTGCTGCTGCTGCAGCCACCCTAGCTGCCTTCAGTGACAACCAGGATCCTTGCTCCCTCCCATGCAGTAAATTTTGGCCAGCAGTCCTCTCAATACCACCAACAAGATTGCCAACATCGACGGTAGAACCGTCACCGGCTGAGCAATCCACCAGGTCGGGTGACACATACTTCTGCACAGTCTTGCCGTGCACCAGAAAATCGCCTGGAAGCAATCGGCATGCCACACTGATATCGGTGCATGGATCACCCTGGATGTCTCTGTAAAAGCCTGCAAGGAGGCGGTAAACTTTTATAGCCAGCCCACTGGCAGGTGACTCTAGCTTGTACCATGGTGACTCAGCGCTCACCTCACTCTTCACACGCTCGAGCTTGTTTCTGAAGCAGTACAAGTAGGACCTGTATTCTCTGGGGATCACAACCCCTGCATCATTGGTGACATTGCTGCCAAGGCAGGACTCCAGAGACATCAAGTGCAGGATGCTTTCATGCAGCTGCCCATTGTCAGTGTTGCTGAAGACCGAGCGGCCATTGTCAGAGCTCCCCAGCCAGTGCTGCATGAACTTCAATCCATTCTCGGAATTCTTCACAAAGAATGCGCTGGAGTGCAGCTCCGGTGTCCCATGCAGGTACATGGGCGGCAAATTTGGCGCAACTTGGTCATTCAGGATCACATCAAATCTGTCGTCCAGGAAATTTGTGACGCTGACTGAGTAGTTGGCAACCAGGACGTCCAGGTCTGTGTGCAGCACCCACTGGAAGTGGGGCAGGTACTTCTGGACATTGCTGAGTCGCCTGTAGAACCAGCTGCGGTCATCTTTGAGGACAGTCTCCGTCTCGATGTACAGGGGGATGCCGAGCAGCGCGCAGTAGCAGTTGAGGGCTTTCAGTGCCACGAACCAGTTGCCCAACTCCTCTGGGGACTGGGACACCACCCAGGCTAGGCGTGGAAGCTCCTCCCAGCTCCTCACAATGCCGTTTTCGAGCTGGTGCACTGCCTTTTCGCTCTGGTGGTCCTGGTGTGCATCCTCGGCCACAGGCTGTTCTGCACTGCCAATCTGCCTTGCAGCAAGGGCCTGCGCTGAGAGGTTTCACATGAGATGTAGGTGGATGCTTGCATGGGGAGCTACAGTGATCAGGATGGTCGTTCGATTTGACTAGTGACCAAATGAAGACAACAAGATGTGACCAAAACATCTTTTAAGGGATGTGAGCTTGTATATCTTATTTTTGCCAGTTGTAGTTCGAGGATATTTGTAAAGATTCCTTTCAGAGAGGACACTTTAAACCAAAGGACGCATCAATACCTGCTGTGCTCTGTGGGAGTGTCTCCGGTGCAGCCTGATATTCCCTGAAGCTGCATCACAATTCCATGCTGCAAGCAGTAGGACGATCAAATACCATGATATTGGAGGCCATATCTTTGATTTTAATTTTTGATTGAGCAGCCCCATTCAGGTTCATTCACTCACGCAATTGAAAGGAATTGTTCTCTCGTTCGTATGGGCAAAAAGATGTGACACACACGCCTCTTCAGTCATATGTATTAGAGGAAAGTTTATTGAAACCGAATCCTATTGACCACCTTGGGCTCAATGTTTTGTGCAACTACCCGAAAATTTACCGCCTCGGCAGAAACACGGTCGATACGCCTTGTTGCAAACCTCGTTTTCCCTTGCACAAATATCATCATATACTGGTGCATTTCTTCGTGACGATCTATCAACGCCTTGTTATTCAGTGTGCTGTTAGTGCAGTACTTTCCAGAAGGTACAGCCCAATAATCAATAAATAACTTGAGTTGCGGAATGCATTGAGATCCTGTGTGGAAGTGCTGCACTGCTGGGATCGTCAGATATCATTGTCAGTCGCAGAACTTATAGCATCTATCAGTGCGTGGAGCCATTGATCTTGGCCCTTCGATGCCGCACCACCAGTGTATGATGTGAGGACCTACACAGAAGTTGCGACTGCGCGAGTATGAAGCGTGGATGCGCAGACCTGTTTCAATATGCTAAACGTCGCAGCATGCAACGGTGAGAACGATCAATCCTCTCACGCAAGCAAGAGCGTTGCTATATTTGTGCTCCTGGAATATTCTAGCTGCTTGTCTGCTGCCCTACACCTGAAGGTCGAGAGGGTCAAAACAATTTCAACTGTGTGAACATATCCATGCGTTCCTTTTCAGGCGCTGCACAGCGTAAAGGGAAAGGTTGGGTGTCATGCGCCAATCTAGCCAAGGCAGTTGTCTTACAAGGGTGTCAGTCTAAAGCCAGCTACAGTCAGCGTGGACCCTGCACGATGTCAGCAATCCTGCTTAGGCCTGGAAGTAACGTTAGTGGTTTGTATCTGCATGCAGGGCTGACTGCGAGCAGGCAGCGCAGCTCAGCGAGCGGCTTCTTTCTCACGCAGCGGCTTCCAGCAGGACAGCAGCTCAGCCGAGCTCTGCTTCATGGGCAGCACGCCTCTCTGGGCAGCGCACAGCCCACCACTCCACACACAGCGCCCCCAGTCAATCATACTGGCATGCAGCTGCAGCTCACAGCAGAGATAGCGCAGCCCGCATGGCTCATACTCACTCATACTCGACAGCGCTCCCTGGAGCTTGCTGGCGAGTGGGCATGTCCACAGCTGGCTCAAGGTACACTATTTCAGCAGGGAGCTTCTGCAGGCAGGGAATTGCGTTAGGCGGCAGGGGTTTTGCGGCGGCGGGGCGCGCGAGGGGATTTGGGCAAGCGGCAAGGGGCGCGGTGGGGAGTTGCAGGGGTCACGCTACGTGGGCAGAGAACGCCGCCGTACAGGCGGGGCGTATGGGGTGGAACAGCCAGGCGGTCGCAGCTTACACCCCGAAGCTGCCGTCCTGGGTCCGCTCCCGCCTGCCCGAGATGCCCGAGGGTGAGCCCAGCACCCCTACATGCATGCCAGCTCTCCTTCTGCTTTCTGTTGTGACAACCATACTATAGTCAGTCACCGTCAGCAATCAGGCCTTATACCCATGCAGCCGTTGGGGCCCTAGGCCCCATCCTGTGTTTATAATTTCAGTGGAAGCTGTGTTGAGATTCATTGCAGGCTGTGCAGCTGGATGTACTGATTGGAGATGGTATCTTTTACGAGGGAAGATGTGACTGTGACTGAGAGCCCACATGCTGGAGCAGGCTGGTGGGCGGAGTCGGGGGCGTGGGTGCCGCGCGACTGGGCGCTGCGGCCGGGCTACGACACGCGCGTGGCCATCATCAACGCGCTCTATGCATGCGGCGAGAACGTGCAGCGCCTCATGCCCATCATGGTCGCCGAAGCCGTGCGCCGCGACAGGTCAGCACGTACCTCCTGCAGCGCACATTGTGTAATTTATTGTGGCGTACATCGATGGGGCAATGCAGGCAGCTGGGGGATTTGCGCTGCGATAGGTCAGCACGTCACCGGCATCCCTCCTGCAATCCGTAGTGCGTAAGTTTGTGTGTGATCTAGAGTGAGGAGGGGTGACTGCAAGGGCGAAGTGTGCATCTGCACTTGTCTCTACACAGCTGAGCACTTGTTTGAGGTCCCTGATGAGCCTGTTTGGTATTCGTCACTTGCGATTTTGTGGGCCTGCTCAATTTTCTCTTTATTGCTTGTGACTTTAATGCCACTCCTGTGCCTGGAGCAGAACAGCCCAAATAGACCATTCACTCACTTCAGACTTCCTGGCGCGCAGGTTTGCTTTGGCGCTGACGGGTCCCCCACAGGAGTCCGCGGTGGTGTCCCCCAAGAAACCTCAGGGGCGCGCGCGTTCCCTCCTTTCATATGTGGGGCACTTTGTGTGGGAGGTCTCGGCCGACCTGCTGCGCGCTGTGTGGCTGACCATTCTCTTCGCTCCCCTGGCCTTCACCGCGCCCCTTGCCCTGCAGTGGGACATTTGTCGCCAGGACTGGATGGAGCTGCTCAGGTGCGTGCTTTCTACTCTACACCACTCGTGTCTGAATCTTTGAACGAGTCCCTGTGCGCACGTGCCTGTTTCTGTGGGACTGGGTGCAAACATGCACGACTTGTGGTGCACAGACCGAATCGTTTGCTGAAATTCCAGAATTTTTTGCCAGGCTGTTTACTATAAGTGCATTCCTGCCTCCTGCACTCCTGGTATTCGAAATGTCGTATCGATTGCACCTGCTGAGCGGCTAGCCCCTAGCGCGTGTTTTGCAGGGAAGGTCTGAGGGACAGTGTGGTCCGGGTGCACTTATTACAGTATTTGAGGCCTGTGCATGTAATGAATACGGGTGGCTTATGTGATGATGACATGCTTGGTATTATGTGTGGTTGCAGAGCAACACTTGAGTCTGCGGGGCCGGCGTTCATCAAGTGGGGCCAGTGGGCTGCCACGCGGCACGACCTGTTCCCTCCCGACTTCTGCACAGCTCTCGAGCAGCTGCACACCCAGGCGTGCAATGACTTCATTATCCATATGTCTGAGGCATTTGAGAGCAAAATCGGGTTTGCGTTAGAAGAGTGAGGGCTCAGTAGCGCAAGCCAGCTTCGTTTCCTTCCCATCACCTCTGCCGGCTGTGACACATCCTTTAATAATTGAGCCGCCTGAAGTGCAAGTATCTCGAGAGACAGCAGATGAACCACTGCGAACCTCTTGCAATGGGAGGTCCAGCATGACATGCTGAATTGCTAAGAATTTGCACAACTGACCAGCGTAGAAGACAGCAGCAATAAAATGGCATGCATGTATTTAATGCAGCAAGTAATGAGTATACTATTTGTGCAGGCGCCGGCGCACGGGCTGAAATTCACGCGGCACGCGATACAGCGCGCGTTTGACGCCTCCGTGGAGGATCTGTTTGAAGAGTTCGACGCCGTTCCCGTGGCGAGTGGCAGCATTGGGCAGGTCTACCGCGCCATGCTCAGCGACAAAGGCGCTCGCAACACCGGGATCGATCCAGGTGCGTATTGCACCTGGCATCTGCTGGCGCTTATACAGCAAGACTGGCCATCCTAGAGTCAGGGTCACAGTAGCGCTGTGACCCTGAGTTTTGAGCCCGCCTCTGGGCTCATTGAAGTGCTGTATGTCCTTTCAGCCTCTGAGGCGTACTTGCAGGAATGAGCTATAGAATGTTCTTTACAACAATCAATCATGGGGTGGTGACTCGGGAGCGATATGAACACATTTTGCACATTTGATATAGTGATTTTGGCAGATTAAACTTGCCCAGCAACAGGGCGCCCCGATCATTTCCTCTTTCATGGCATTTTCCCAGTGCCTCCCTGCCTAGTCACAAGCACTAATGCCTTTGCATTATGGTGCACTTTCAGCTTCCTGCTGCATGCTCCAGTAGACATGGGCACCGCCTGGTGCCCAACTTTTGCTGTATTTGCTGCACACGCCGATCAACTTCGTAAACGTTTGCATTCACCTTGTCCCGCAGGCACGGTGGTGGCGGTGAAGGTGCGGCACCCGGGAGTGGGAGAGGCGATCCAGCGCGACTTTGCGTTGATGATGCGCGTTGCGCGGCTGACGTCAATGCTGCCGCTGCTGTCCCACCTGCGCCTGGAGGACACCCTCTCGCAATTTGCCGCGCCCCTCCGAGAACAGGTGCGCACATGTTATTCCCCTGTCTATACCCTGCTCATAATTTTGCTCAGTCCTAAAGGGATGCGATTCCTGCTGAGAGCCAACTTTGTACAACTGTTGCCTGCTGTGAAGAGCCGGACCGTTATCGAGCAGCAGTTTTCTAGTTGCGCGCTCTGGCGGCGCAATGAGTGTCTCGCTTGGGGGCTTGCTTAGCATGGCCCACCTTGGCCGCAGGACCATTCATCTTGAGTCCTTGCCCATGCACTTGCCTCGTCTATATCTGCAGTTCAAACGCTCTTCAAGGACTTGTCACTGTTCACTGAAAGAGAGTTCCCAACTGCATGGCCTTGCCAGGGCTGACTGAAAGACTTATACGACTTGTACTGCATCAACGTGCCAGTGTTGATTTTAAAGATCAGATTGAACACACAGACTTAACAGTGTTCATTGCACAAAATGCTGATTTTTAAATGTTATGCGCGCAGGTTGACCTGGCGTTGGAGGCGCGGCACCTGTGGCAGTTCAACTACAACTTCCGCCACGTGCGCCACGTGCGCTTCCCCTTCCCCATCTACCCTCTGGTGGCGCCCGAGGTCCTCGTGGAGACCTTTGAGGAGGGAGAGGGCATCTCGCGCTACGTCGCCGACCCGGGCCGCTCCACGTTCAAGTCCAGGTGCCTGCGCGTCGCCCTTTTTGCCGTTTTCTTTTTTCTCCTGTCCTTGTGAGGCGGCTCCACTTGCATTGCAGGCCCCCGTGCGTTGGGGCCTCAGTAGATGCAGCAAATCAGATCAAATTGATTAAGAGATAAATGCGCAGAAAATGAGTTTGATGGCCGTCTGGACAAGGTCCTTCCTTTATTTTGAAGAATATGACACCGGTCATGTTCTAGAGGTTTATAAATCAAAGTTGACCTGCGCTAGGCTCTCTTGATGAGGTGTCCAGCTGGCTCCCAAATTTACTTCGAGTCGTGGGCACCAACGGTAATAGGTGTATTTGATTGCTATACGTGCCCCAACGTTGCTTGCATGGGCTGCACAGGCTGCCGCCATCTGGCAAGGCATACAGTTTTCCACACGTGATTGGTCCCACGGGGAGTCTGTGTGGTCTCTGCAAGCATGTAAAGAGTGCCAGTGAGGATTGATGGAAACATATTGATCAAGTGCCTAGTATCCCTTACTCTTCTTGATATCGTGTTTTACCCTGTCAAGATTCCTGAACTGCCTTGTGACTTGCCCTGAGCGCAGGCTGGCCAAGCTGGGCAGTTCAAGCTTCCTGCAGATGATGCTCATCGACAATCTCATCCATTCGGGTGAGCATCTACATCTGCATGCTCAGTCGCTGCCTGTACTAACTTGAGTAGCACCTAGACTGAGCATTGCGTTCCACAGCTGTATAAAGGGGAGTCTTGTGCACAGTCTCAGCTGGCATGGCACTCCTTGGATCGAATAAAGGTTGAGAATGCGGCTGAAATATGACACCAACAATGCAAGCATGGTTTGGTGCTTGTGCAACCTTGAGGATGGGGGATCCATGTGCCATCTCCCGATTCCTTCTACCCACGCAAGGAGGGTGTGGTGTTTATGAAAACCAGTGACATTGGATTATCAGTGACAAGGAATTATCGCCATTGCCATGCAGACCTGCACCCGGGCAATATATTGGTGGCGCTGGACTCTCCCCCGGTGCCGCTGCTTTCGTCGGCTGCCTACATCGTGGACCGCTTCAAGCCCTTTGGCTGGAAGGTGCCCAGCTCCTGGCGCGAACCAGCCATAGTCCTCCTCGACGTTGGTGCGGCCCTTTGTGTTTCTTTCTATTATGGCTATCTGCTTCTCAGCCATGATGTGCAGCGGGTGATTGACCCCCGCTTGTGATAAGTTGAATAACGCTCCCATGTGGCTCTGCGCGGCTCTGAGGTGCTCTCATGAGCACTGGAAGATCGGCTGCTCATGCCGCTGCGACAGGTTGCTCCTCTTGGAACGGTTGCAGCTCTGCCCTCATGGGATGTGATGCCTGATTTGATGCAATGGATGTCCTGCATGGGATCTGAGGGTTTTGGGGAGGTCCTCTCGGTGCCTCTCGGGCATGGCAGTCCTATCATTTTGCGTATGGAGGAAATGCAATGCACCTGACATTCCTCACTGTGCTGGATGTTGTTGCTTGCGTGCCCGAGAGGGCCTACACCTCAACTAATGTGTACACACCACATGAAAAGATCTGGGTGGGAAAGTAAGCGCGTGACTGGTGCAGGCATGGCGACGCATCTGTCACCGGAGGATCAGGGCCTGATGCTGGAGCTGTTCCAGGCATTCTCCCGCCTGGACGGCCGCGAAATCGGCGAGTGCACTCTCAAATTCTCCAAGGACAACCAGGTGCGACTTTGCTGCTCACCCTATGTTGCTGCAGTAAAGGTGCGAGCAAGCATCAGGATTACAATTGCTTGATTGTATCTACTCGTGTTTTAATAGCAGTGCACTTGGGAGCCCTCAGTGGGTTCCCTACGACGGGGAAGGATGTGATAGGATTCCATATCATGAGAACAGTTTTTAGCATTCCTCTCGAGTCCTGAGGTCTGATGGGTTTGAGGGGTTCTGAGGGGTTATGGATGGGCTGCTGTGCGCCCGCAGACATGCCCGGACCCGACCGCGTTCAAGGAGGAGCTGCAGCAGTACTTCACAGACATCCAGGCGGAGCAGGCCTGGGTTGAAACCAACGGCGCCGAAGCCATGTCCGCCGTGCTCGAGCTTGTCCGCCGCCACAAGGCGCGCCCCCTCTTCTTTCTTTGCTCTTTTGCCTGCAGACACTTTGACATGACGAGATGGTGTCACTGTCAGCTATGGTGGGGGCATGCAGTCTTTGTATGGGGAAGCCCTGCAGCTGCTCTATAGCAGGGACACTTCAAAGAGGCATTGCACTGCACTTCAAAATCTCACCGCTTTTGCTTTTGGCAAGCAAATGCTGCCGCCTTGTTGGGCAAAAAGTAACGTATTACTCCTCAGCTCCTCCTCAAGTGAAGCCAGACAATTCTTCTCTTTGACATGTCTGGGGCCTGGCAACAGGTGAACATGCCGGGGCACATATGCGCGGTGGTGGTTACCACGCTGGTTCTGGAGGGCTGGAGCAGCCAGCTGGACCCCCGCCACTCCGTGCTGGAGCAGGTCAAATACTTTCCCTTTCACCAATATTTTCTATGGCTTGCATGACACCACACAACTCGAATGTCAGAAGCAATGGATGAGATTGCCTGGCATTGGTACGCAGAGGATGACCCGCAGTGAGTGGCAGCAAAGAAGCACGAACCGCTAAGCTATTTGTGTTTTGCACACTATTGCATCAGAGAATGCTTCAGGGGAGGCCTCTTGCTGATCTCTGGCTGCCATGTGTGGACCAGGTGGAGTCCATCGTGTCCCCCAAGACCACCTGGGGCCAGCGACTAGGGAACGCCGTCGACGCAGTCATGTGTGAGTCAGCGCCCACCGCCGCCATCGACTACGCCTGATCTGGACGCGCGCCTATTTTAGCAAGGTCACACAAGAGCTCCTTGGAAATGCGCCTGTTCTGGCGCAAGCCCAGATGTTGGGGCGACTGTTTGCGTGTCACATCTATGCCTGACGTGGATGCGTGCTGTTTTGGCATATGCCCTGGAGAGCCTGATCTGGATGTGTGCTAGTCCTGACATGTCACATTCATGCCGGATCGGCGCTGTCCTGAAGTGCACCTAGATACGCCAGATGCGGCGGCGAGTGTGACATGGGATGCCTCACCAGATGCACCACGTGGTGGGTAGCCTACTGTTCCAACATGTTTGGGCTGATGCAAATACGCGGCTAGCGGCTGTTGTGAGCTGCGCTGCTGACGTTAAGGTTTTTTTGTCTCTTCAGCTGATCTCAGTGTTGCCAAGCAAGGTTGAGCCGCACAATGTGTCAATAACCGTGTTTTGATGGCTCACCTCACCTCCGGGAGACGTCGACGTGCAGGGTGTACCTTTGTAGTCCCAACAGAGTCTTTCATCTGTAATGCAGACCCCAATCCAGCGCACCTGTAAAGGTATAAACTTTTTCTTACTTGTGACATGTGGACATGCATATGCGGCATGAACGCATTTCACACACTGTGCCCATAGTGTATGCCGTCCCTGCTGAGCCCATTGCGGCGCCCCTAGCATGTGGATGTCCCCGAGGGCCAGCAACTTCGGATCCGGATTCGAATTGGGAGCCCAATATTAATACCCCGCCAGTGATTGCAACAGGTGCAACTTATAAGGGGTTTACACAAACCTGGACAATTTTTGCTTAAGATCTCAAATTGCAAGTTGCCAATGGATCTGACGCTTTGCAATGTGCTCTGTGAATGTTCTCCAACTTGCAATCATTGATGGCGGCTCCGGGCAAAATGAAGAAAACTCTAAGCGGAGAAAAAAGGAAATGTGGGGACATCCGTGAATTGAACACGGGACCTCTCGCACCCTAAGCGAGAATCATACCACTAGACCAATGTCCCTGAGCAAGCGTTGATCCGATTGCTTCGTGTTATGACTTAATTTCAAGCCACCTATATACCTGCAACACTATAGGAAAAGCAATCGGCCTCTCTGCGAAGCCTGCATCTGCAGGATGAACGACAGTATCAACAGCAAATTCGATCCTTCGGAGTACTCGCTGCAAGATTGGTTAAGGACCCTGTCGGCTGGACGTCGTTGCAGCATACACGCTGGAAATGTGTCTACGCGTGAAAGCTTTTGTTCAGTGCGAAGCGAGTATATCCAGCGTTTGAGGTCCTGAAAGCCATTCTGAGGAGTTGAAGTACGAGAGAGCTCCTTAGCTGTTCCTCATATGACACTAATTGTGACAAGCGGATGTCGAGGATGTTAACAGCAGATCTTCGCACATAGACAGGCTACCATGCTACTACTGACTTAGCGAAGCCTCTGATGGTAATTTCTGGTTTCCAACAGCAATTCACTGACAGTATTGGAGTATGACCCCACCAAAATATAAAACATCCAGGTCAGCATGTGGTTGGCAATACTGGTCACTATCGTTGCGAGCGCGGGCAACAATGTTGGAAAGGCCCTACAAAAGGAAGCCACGCGACACCTGCCCCGCTTCAGCATCGATCCCAAAATCCTGCTTCAGTATGCACGCAGCAGGCAGTGGCTCATTGGTCTTGGCACAGACTTGGGAGGCGCTGTGCTCATGATAGCAGCCTTTGCCCTCGCTCCAGTGAGTGTCTGGCTTCTCAGGTTCACACTCAATGCATCCTCGCTAAATGCCTACATGCATGCAATTGGCACCCGCATTGCTCCAGAAGGAAGCCATTCAGAAGTTGGTTGCACTGGCACTGCAGGTATCCCTGGTGCAGCCGGTGTCCGGCTTGGGCCTCGCGGTCCTATCGGTCTTCTCCCACTTCTATCTCAAGGTGTGATCATCGCTGCATCCCTTGCATTTCTGCATGCCTTAGCCAGCCTACAGCGCCACCCACACCCCAGCGCATCTTTTAGGCTGTTGCCACTGTGTGCATGGAATGGATGATGCATGCAGCGCTCAGAATTGAGCGATTGACTCAACATCTGCTGCAGAGGACTGCCTGCAAATGTAACATACTTGTTGATGCGCACAGGAGCGACTGCACAGGGGAGAATGGGCAGCGGTGGCGCTAGCAGGGCTGGGCACGATCGGGGTAGGCGCAACATCAGGCTCAGACGGGGGTGATAGCGATGGTGGAAAGGAGGCGGAGGAGGCAATGCCGTCACCCGGGCGCATCGTGGCGGTGATGCTGTTATTATGCGGGGCCGTCGCTGCGCTGCCGCTGGTGCATGCGCGGCGGCTGTCGGCCGCGGACCGGCGCACCCGGGCGGCCAAGCCGTCCGCGTCTGTCTACGGGCTCCAGGCATGCCCTTCTTTTCTGCCCCTTGCTGCGCAGACCTCTGCTGCTGCAGATGATGGCAGATAGACAGCTGCACTATCCCTGATTGTCAGCGCAATTCTGGAATTGAGATAGTGTGCTCTGATGACGGAGCTTTGGGGAACTCTATTCGCATGTCAGCTGTTGGAAGTGCAGAGGACCGCGTGCTTGCATGTTTTGTTCTGTTTTGTTGCTGCTGCAAAGTTTAAGGACTGCCACCCATCGCTGGCATGTGCTGCATCTGCCTTAGCTTCGTTTTGCCTTGCTTTCCACCTTGCAGGCGGGTGCCTGCTTTGGAATGTCGGCGGCGGCCTGCCGAACGGGCTTTCTGCTGGCGGCGCGCGTTTCCTGGACGGCCGCACCGGCGGGGCTGTGCGCAAGCATCGTGCTTTCCTCGGCTGGTTTTGCGCTGCAGACGCTGGGATTCAAGGACGGCAACACTGTGGTTGTGTGCACCTGCGCTGCTGTCTCGTCCATGGTCACAGGTGCGCAACACATTCATGCAAGTGCCCAAATGCCAATGTGGCATCCTTCTCCTGCACCCCTGGTTTTTGTACCTTGCATACATTATTGTGCCAGACCCTGTTGTGCTCCTGCTGTCAAGTGAAACGCATCAGCACTCTAATCACAGGCTTGATTTGTGAATTACCCAGCGTGGCGGCCCGGATGCGGAAACATGTGGCAAACAGTGCTTGTGCGTTGTTCTGCATATTTCCGCGGACTCATTTTCTGCCCGGCAAGACCCCAGGACAGAGCCATCCCAAGATTCAGTAAGGAAGACAGAGAAAGGGGAAGAGTATTCCCAGGGTTCTGTGAGGAAATGACAGACATGGAAAGAGAGTGATTGAGGCAAGATGCGCGCAGGTGTGCTGGTGGGGCTGCTGGCTCTAGGGGAGAGGATGCCACGGACGCTGGCGATGCGCGCACTGCGGCTGCTGGCATGGACTGCTATCGGGCTCGGGGTTTCCGCGCTGGCAGGGGGGAAAGGTGGGGGTTCTGAAGGGGCTCAAATAGGAGGATTCAAGGCGTGGCCAGGGGTGAATGGCTGAAGTGTGGTGCGGCTGGAGCAAGCGGATGACCACTTTTGGGTCGGGTCATTCATAGCTTGGACTTTTGTCTTCCTTTGCTGGAAGGAAATCAATGACAACCTGGCACATTGTGATTATGGTGATCGGCTACTGTCTGGTGGCCAGCATTGCTGATGCACAGGATGATTTGGCGCTGGTGCTGATTGACAGCGTGTGCATGCCTTCAGGTGGCTTGGCGCATGTGGCGCATGCGCTCCTATCTAGGCTGCCAGCCAGCGTCCTGAACAGGCTTCCCACACCGGCAGTGGTGCGGATACGAGCGCTGAGTCAGCGGTTGAAGTCTGAGCATCTGCCGATCGTGGTCGAGGCGGATGGACCTGCAGCTGACAAGCGCTGACGGGCATTGTAACTGACCTCGCAAACAACTGTATAGGGAACCCGGTTTGCATGCACGCCACTCCACCAATCTGACTGGTGCAGCGGTTCCGGCGAGTCTGACATGTACAAATTTAAGTGTAAACTCATCATGGTGGTGCTTTCATACAGAGCATACCACATATGACCGCATCTCTGGAATGCAAAAGGAGACAGGAGACAATGCTCAATCCTCGCAAGGCTGCCTCTTTGCCAGTAAGTGCAGCCTGTGGGAAGGCAAGACAACCTGACCAGAATTGAAGTGATCTGGCAAAGATACCCAAAGAGCCGTTCCAGGCTCTCATCAAGATACCTCAAATTACCTGACATTGTGCTGGTAAGCTTCCAGAATGCTCTAGTATATGCTGACAGGCATGTACTGGATTTGGTGATTGACGGTATTCCAATACAGTAGCCTCAGCCTGCTTCCTCAGGCTGGGACAAGGCCAGAAAGGTAAGCAATGCTCGTGAGAAGAGGCAGATAACAAAAAAGATTCATCTCGCTTACCGATAGTCAAACGTAAGCTTGTCTAGTTGTCGTTTGTATGCTTTCCAAGTTTCCCTCTGTTCCTTCATGCCTTTCTGCACATCCTTTCAATGCAGGATCAGCTGCGCAATACGAGTAAAGCAAGGATGTGATGCGTTCTTCAGAAGATATAACACATGGACTTTTGGAAGAGAGGCCGTGGGGACGCCGTCATTCCGCGTAGCCGGCCTTGGTCTGCAAATTGCAAACTGCAGACTGCAATGCAGACTCTGCAACAACAACCTCTCCGGCCTTAAGATTTTTCATATAAAGTTGCGGATCGACAGAATGCGGACACACACACACTTCCCGTCTTCAGCGCGCCCTGTACTCGCACCTTCTCAAAAGGCCATGGCTCTGTACACCAGGTGTGCAATTACTTTCAAGGATCAACCGCCAAAGCTCCATTGGAGGTGATCTGCTATTTGCATTTTGAATTTTGACTTGTGTTCACAGGTCCATTCGGTGCCGAGCGAATATTGTTGCAAACTACAGAGACCAGCTCACGGGCGTGGGTGTGCCTATTGAGCAGGCCACTGTTCATGCTGACGGTCTTGTTGCTGCGATGGACAACGTGCGTTCCTCAGCTTTGGTTTGAAGACATTGTAGGACTCAAACGATCTCACGCACAAGTACTTACTTGTGCGTGAGATACTCTCCACAGCATACTATTATATGAATTTGCAGGTGAAGGACGCCAGGTTGGGCAAGCTGGACGCCAAGCTGGACAAGTTGGACGCCAAGCTGGACGCCAAGCTGGACAACCTGGACACCAAGCGGGACGCCAAGCTTGACAAGCTGGACGCCAAGATGGACAAGCTGGCTCTAGAGCTCGCGAAGACCAGCCTCAATGGGCGGTGGCTCGTGGCGTTGCTAGTGTTTACGATTCTGATGAGCACAGAAGTTGGCAAGATAGTCTCTGCCAAGTTGTTGCAACAATTGTCGTCCTAGACGTGCTCTTGTGGTTATGTAGCATATCAAAGGACTGTCTTATTTGAGTCTTTGAGGGAGTTAGCTAGAACTGCGCATGCGTTGTTTGATGCGTTCCTTGCCTTGTCGCCTTTCGAGCGAGACGCCTCTTTTGAGAGATGATTTCATGTCAGAGGTTCCTGATCGCTGCCTTCGATCCACCGTCTTGTGGGCAATTTCCTTGTTGATCTTTGTGTCACAATGAGCTTTTTTATTGTCCGCACGGTGACTTCAGCTCATCGTCCAGCTTGTCCAGCTTGGCGTCCAGCTTGTCCAGGACCAGCAGGTACTGGAGCTCACAAAGACCAGCCTCAATGGGCGGTGGCTCGTGGCGTTGCTAGTGTCCACGATGCTGATGAGCACAGATGTTGGCAAGAGAGTCCTTGCCAAGTTGTTGTCGTCCTAGACGTACTCTTGTGGTTATGTAGCATATCAAAGGACTGTCTTATTTGAGTCTTTGAGGAAGTTTGCTGGAACTGCGTGGTTTGATGCGTTCCTTGTTACGGCAGCGCATGATATCTTGTGCTGCAGGGTCCGCACGTATTGGCTCCCATGCGGCGCTGGGCACTGTCTCTGAAATGTAGCAAATGTTTCCTGACAATTATCTGCTAACGGCTGCCAGCATGAGCGCTTTTTTGACAGGGCAATTCAAATAATTGATGCTGATGTATATCGACAGCATAAGTGGCTTGGATTTGTCCGGATCGGAAGCCAAATCTGAAGAGTCCTAATTGATCCTGAGGTGGACTCATGAGGCTTCAGACTGTGAGGTGTGTAATGCGGATCCTTTTCACGTGGGGAGGCGTTTTTTGTTTTAGAATGTTTTGGGATGCAAACTTTGATGGTGACCTTCATGATGAATGTAGAATTATTGGAAGGGGATGGGATGTCCCATTGGCCAATCAGGCTTCAGGTCATGGCTTTGTGGCTAGCATGCTGGTTGCAGAAGTACTTAGCTAGTGCGTTACACTGTGACATCTCGTCTAGCTAGACTCTCTATAGACATTGTTACAATGGGACCAGGGGTCAGAGTCATGCCATTGGAAATATACAATGGGGCTACCAAGTGCGTAGCATGCCCTGCACTTTCAGAAGAACGTTAATCATGGACTTGATACTAATACTGCATGAGATGATCATGTAGAACTTGCCCTTCAGACACATCAAATAGGTATAGGCTTATATGTTATAGTTATGGGAGCAGTCCAGTTGGCCACAGCCTCCGAGGCTCTGAGTCAGACCATGCCTTCCACCCCCTTCGCATTAGATCTGCCATGCTGAGGGTCTGCCTTGATCTTCTTCCATTCCTGCTTCTCCTGCCATACCTTTGAGCCTGGCATGTTCTCTGCAAGGCACAGCACCGCATGAATGCCTTTGTGAAACAGCGGCCTGCGATGCGAGCATCATGCATGGACAATGACACATCACGCTGCAATCGTCGTGTCAATATCATGGCCTTATTTGAGGACATGCACTTGCTCTGTAAGGCAATTCCCTGTCTGTTAGCAGTGCTGCTCAATAACATGGCTGTATTGCAGGATAGCGCGCACCTTCTTTTACGACCTTTGCTGTGTCAAGGATCGACCAGTAGTATACACCGATTGCTGCCCCCACCAGGGTCACCCCTGCAGAACAATGATGTAAAATTCATCCTCGCTTTCATGTCAGATTCAGTGTAAGCCGAGGCAAACATTGGCATGTCTCAGCGACGGATCCTGCAAGAATTAGGGCCAGCATCCCCATAAGCTGCGTCCCGACAACCTTTACTGCTTCAAAGCATTTTACCTGCCATGAAGTACCGTCTTATGTTTTCATCCGTATACACGGTCCACCACGGCTTGCTGGGGATCCTCTTCGACATCCTTAGATCAGCACAACGGACGGCCGCTTCTGCGATCACTCACATCGCACTTTTGTTGCTTTGACTGAAATCTCGCTGACACGTCGCATGCATGAACTTCGTTGCTCGTGCAACGAATCCTTCAAACTTTCTCAAGCTCATCGGACTTGGGCTTATTTTAGGCTCGAGGGTGCCTGATTAGGCCTTGCTGACATAGGTAGCCTGGGCATGCAGTAGCCTGGGCATGCCCACCCTCTGTGAAGTGATTAGAATTAAGATTCGTGCAGCTTGCATCCTGGCCACCCTTTGAGATAAGTTACCATGAAAAATGGCGAGAAATCAATATCAAGGAAATGCATTGCCAAAAAAGCGGCTTACATAAGCACGGTCGAGTCTGACTCAGCCTCGCAGTTAGACTGCTGCTTGAGAAGTCGCTAGATAAGGGCGTCATGAATTTTCAGGAACGATCCATGACCTTGGCACAACGTAGCACTTCTTTCTCTTTCAAGCCGTTACAGGTGTCCCCCTCTGCGCGAACGTTTCAGTCCCCGGACACATTTTCATAAGAAGTCACTGGTCTGGAGGCAGCACATAGTGATCCAGCAGCATCTTGACTTCATCGTAGAAGACGAGCACGAGGGCGCCGCCGGCTCCGCGCAGCACATTGGACCAGGCTCCCTTGAAAAATCCGCGCATGCCCTCCTGCCTGTACATCTTGACCCATGCATCCATCGTGCCGCGGTAGTGCTGCTCCCCTGCAGCCTGCATGCATGCAATGCCATCGCTATCAAGACCTGGATGGGTACAATCTATTGCTTTCTGCTGCAGCACCCCTGCTGCGCCTTCCCATGTCCGCCACTGGCCCAGTGCATGCCATTTGATTATTTGCACACCAGCCGCTGCTCTCTGACCCGACAAATTGCTTTCTCATCCTTCCTTTCACAAACCACTTGCCTGCCACCTTGCCCGGAGGGCAGACCCCTCTGCAGCGCCGATTTACACTTCCATCACAATCGCTCTTGGCTTGTGACAGCTATTTGAATCGTCATACTTGTACTGCTTTTTCTCTTGCAGCAGAATTGTCAGGGCATTTCCAAGGCTCGTATCCCTAATTGTCTGAGTGCCATACTGGGCGCTGAGTCAGAGAATCAGAAGCAGGCGTCAGATAAGCCATCGGGTGGCTGGAAGCAGTGTGATCCAAGTGACACACCTGCATCATGAGGCGGCGGCGGACGGTGTCGAAGGGGTATGAGATGATGCCGGCCAGCGCAGTCACTGTCTGAGCCACGGCCCAGCGCTTAAGGAAGCTGGCCCTTCTATCATCCCCAAACAGCACTCCCTTCGCCGTGTCATATAGACCGAAGTAGGCCCCGCGGTACACGATGATGCCCTGCAGCCACATTCAACTTGAGCTATTAAAGCCCTCACAAGTCCCAGCATTGCCGCTGGGGTGTTGCGCATGCAGCAAGCGATCAGTTTGACGGATAGCTGACATCACCCTAGGACTGGCAGGCTGTCATAATGAGCCTGCCATGCATGCAAAGGGCAGTCCAACGTGTCATTCAGGTGAGTTTGCAGTGGAATCCTCACGAGAGGTCCAAGAACAGCCTGGTCGCTAGACCAATTGCCCAGTTTGCAAGCCCGGACAGTGCATGATGTGGGCATGTGCCGGGAGCATGCGTGCGCACCTGCACGGAGACGCCAAAGCCCTGGTAGAGGGCGCGCAGGCCGCCGCGCTTGACAGTGGTGGCGATGCAGTCTACGAGGCCCTTGAACTCGCGGTCCTTGCCTCCCTTGCCCAGATCGGCACCCAGGCGCGTCCGAGCAAAGTCCAGCGGATACACTATCAGCAGCGATCCGGCACCGGCCGCACCGCCTGTGAAAGCAGACCAGTATCCATCACCGATGATGAGGATATTGAGGATGGTCAGACACCCACCCACCCCTGTGCAGCTGGCGAGCAATGAGGCGCAGACTTTGTATCAGCCTCATCCACTGTGGCCTTTCTGCCCTAAGATGTATTTATGCTTGCCAAAAGTACACACGTCATTGATTGTTATTTGCAACTGCAATCTGGTACAGCACGCCTCACGAGACTCTAATGGCACAGCACCCACTGCATGAACGGCCAGACGAAGGACACATCTGTGGTTCTCGGGGTTGCGATCACGTGCGGCCCTTTAAATGGCTGCTCATACATCAAAGTGCCTCATGTACCGATTTACTGAGTGCTTTTGACAAGAGTGTGAGGAATGCGGCGCGCACCAGAGGCCATGTTGACGGCGAAGAACTTCCAGAAGTCGGTGCGCGGGTTGTACTTGGGGAACATGGCCTTGATGGTGTCCTTGAAGGCAAAATTGAAGGCCTGCGTAGGGAAGTAGCGCAGCACGTTGGCCAGGTTGCCGCGCCAGAATGACAGGATGCCCTGGCACTTTGCCACGCGCACAAAGCAGTCAATGATGCCTGCGCCATGAGATAAGCATCAGTGCATGTTTGCAGCAATGCAGCCCCTCAGAGCAGGTGCCTCTCCCTCAACCAGTACCATAGTTGCACCATTCGGTCAGAACACTTTTTGGGGACCGTATATACGGCCGAATATACGGTCATACGGTATTAAAATATACAAAAAACGACAAAATACGGCCTATTTTGGCCCAAAACACCGAATATACGACCGAATATTCACCGTATGCCGAATGGCCGAATCCGTATGGTGCAACTACGACCAGTGCAAAGCCTTCTACAGAAAGTGTTCCCTCTGATGCCGACAGATTTCTAAGCTGACGGCAGTCCTGTCTCGGACAAGAAGTAGGAGCAAGTTGACTGGACATTGTCTGTGGACACCTCAGCAGGCTCTGCATCCAGGCAGTGTGCTGTATTGATGCGCTTCAGCATTGCATTGCATTAGTCAGCAGAGCAACAAGCAGTATCTGGCAGTACACAGAATCTGAACTAGATATGAATACTAGAGGTAGGGGACTACGTCCTCAGCATGCATCAAGCATCCAGGATACTATAAAAATACAGTCAATTCGTCAAATTGGCACTCACCCTTGTAGGGAGGGATTTCGCCGCTCCGGATACGCGGGTTGAGGTCCTGGGTCTGCAGGATGATCTTGACGCGCTCGATGGGCGCCACAGCCGTCTTTGCCACGGCGCCAGCGATCCCTCCCGCCATCAGATCCGTGATGAACTCCTTTGTCGGGTTTTTCGGCGCCATCCGCTCCTTCGTGTCAGGCACCGTGAACCTCTGCCCCTCCCTGCAACCACACATCCAGCGTTGGACACTGCCTCAGCAGAGGTCCTGGGTTGCCCAGACAGCACTCATCAATGCTGTCAACATGTAATGTCTGTGAGCAACCCCAGGAGTGTAGCATTTGCGCTAGCAAAAGAACGTAAGGAAACACGCAAGTAAAACATGTGACAACATGCAATGTCTGTGGGCAACCTTAGGAATGTTGCATCTGCCCAGTAAACGTGGCAGTCAACATGGCTAGCCGATCTGGGCGGACCAGAACCCCGACCCGGTACCCAGAAGCAAAAGGAGGATCTCCCTGGAAGGTGTCAAGCTTGTCCATGCCGTTTTCCGGCATGATGCATGCTATACAAGCAATATTGTTTTACATACCTTGATGGGTTCTACCAAGCAAATAGTATTTGCATGGGCGCAAGTTCTCCCCTTCATCTAGAGCAGCATAAGCCATGGCCGTTGACAAGGCAGTACAGGATGCAAATGTAAAGGAGGATGATGCTGGAACGCACGCTGGGGAGCTGATGGGAGGCAGGTGTGGGGCAGAAGGGGCGCGCATGAGCCCTGTCAGGCTTGCTGCCATGTACATCTGCGCTGACAGCATGGTGCCTGCACCCGCATAGTAAGCGTCAGATGCTCGATGTCCTAGCAAAGGCGTCTTTGTAACGTGCAAAGAACGTCAAAGCTAAATTTTTCGCCAGGATGCTGACGGAGCTGATCAGGGCAACTTGCCCAGTGTCGAACAATCGAGAAAGCCAGATAAGCATTTGGTGTACGAATTAATATTTAGTTGCAGAAACGATGAACAATCGTCGAGGATTCATTGTCGCTGGACAATAACATAAGAGACTGTCTTTGGATGCCTGTAGATGCCGAGTCAGAGACCCGTGAAAAATGCAGCATCAGCGAGACTTTACCTTCTTGAAAGGCAGGGATTGTCGATGATTTAATGATAGTCTGCTAGAATGTCCAGGCTGCCGATGTTGTCTCTTGAGCGCCTCACACTAGTGCCACTTGACTGACGGATGTCATCTGGCAGTGTGTTTCCACCGTCAAGCTCTCCGCTGCAAATGCACGTCCGTGTTGGCCTACGGCTGATTTGTTTTTAGAAGTCAAGACGTGCTTGCACGGTGCACAATAAGCAGGCATCCAACTAAAATTCCACTTCCAAAATAGCTTCCTTTAACATTGGATTGGGAGGCCAGATCTGGCATCGTATAAGTGCTGGGGCATGCAGCAATGCACACCCTATATCATAGTTCTGATCTCAAGAGGTCCAGTACAATTGTCATTGAAACGTGAGTTGTATGTAGTGGTTGCCTGTTCCTCACTTCAGTGCTGGTGCATCATGTTTGTGAGGCCATATGCATGTACATGGGGAAATAAGCAGCTGATCATGATTCAAAGATCTGATACCTCGGAGGCATACTTTTACATAGATGTGTCATCACATAGCTCCTCCGGCCCATGGTGGCGCACTCAGAAGACTTCTGTGTCTGTATTAATGAATTTACCGACCCATACCAAGCAAGTTGTACCAATAAATGACTCATCGGAAGCCTACATCCTCCAAATCAGTGGCAAAATCTGCACATTCTCCCAACACGCGAACAATCCAGAGACGGTGACGTAAAATAATTTGAATCTGCTGAGCGATGGACGCAAGGAAGGGCGGTCATTCCCAGTGCTGCGACGCGCAATATTCTGCAAGTGTCCAGGAGCCATGTGGCACACAAAGTGATTGCACAACCAATTCTGGCACCCACCAATGCCTCACTATGCCGGACTTCCACCCATTTCTGGCAGCCTGTACGGGACCTTTCTGATACAGTACCCACTTTAATCCAGGAGAATGCCGAACTCGTCAGTACACCAGCCCAGGGCAGAGCACCCCTGCTGTTATAACTCCCAAGCAACAGATGCCCTTCGCCATTAGAAAGTGGTCAAGCCCCCAGCACAGCCGTGCTCAGCCCAGAGTACTAAAGCCCATAGCAGGCTGCAACCAGAGACTCACACGCCCACCGGCAGCTGCTGCAAGGGTTGATGTAAGTAATGTGGGAGTGGTCGTCGGCAGCGGCGGCGCCGCGGCGTTTGAGGGGGGAAATCTAGAGGTTTGCGTCGATGATCTTCTTGAACTCGTCGTAGATGACCAGCACGAGGGCGCCGCCGGCTCCGCGCAGCACGTTGGACCAGGCTCCCTTGAAGAAGGCCTTGCCTCCCTCCTCCCTGTAGATCTTGCCCCACGCGTCGATGGTGCCGTTGTAGTGCTTAGCGCCACCGGACTGCACGCACACACAGAAGTTTTGTGAGCAACCACCGCAACCAATGACGTAATAAGAGAGATGGGTGGGCTGCACATGCTTCCAGATGCAGCACACGCCCTTGCAGGGAGACAAAATCCCTTCTGCCTCATGGCCCTGCTGCTCGGAAGGGAGGGTGACAGGCTGTGGTGGTGCAGACTGATGATGACCCATTTCAGCAGTACGAAAGGCAGCTGCAGGAGCGTCAGCGATCTCAGGGGACCATGCCAAACACCAGTCGCTTTCTTTGACCTTCAATCAAAACAATTCCTGGCTTCTGAATGCAAACATGTACATGAAGTAATATGGCGTGCGGCCTATTCTGTGGAGCTGCTTGCAAATGGTATGGATGATTGACCAGTGACTAGTCTCTACACAACACAGCAGGCGGATTACTAAGCATCCTCGGGCACCCCAGTGGTCTTTTAGGCACACAAGCAAGCAGGCAAATTGATGCGTGTGCTGTGGTGCACAGCACAAGAACTGGCTCTCAATCTCGCTGCTCTTGCCGCGCAATCTGTTCCCTTGCAGGGATGTTCTGCCCAATATGTGAACTTTGTGTGACAAGAGCGGGACAAGCAGAGTTTAGGACGAATGCAATGTAAAAAGTGCAAAGGCTGTCCTCTCGTGGTGTGGTTAAAGTGGGAGAGCACACACCTGCATCATGAGACGACGGCGGACAGTGTCGAAGGGGTAGGACATGACACCGGCAGCAGCAGTGACAGCCTGAGCCACAGCCCACTTGGCGAAGAAGTTGGCGGTCTTCTCGTCCTTGAACAGCACTCCCTTGGCTGTGTCGTACAGACCAAAGTAGGCTCCGCGGTACACGATGATACCCTGCAGCCAGCAATCTCACAGTTCACGTCAGTTGGAGGCGCCACTGCACTGCCCGTCTAGCGAAGGATAAGCACACTCGCGGTTGCAGCTGCAAACCAGCAGGCGTGCATAACCTTTCTAAATGTCATGTCAGCCCCTCAAACTCATTTCACCATTCGATCAAACAGCATGAATAACATGTGGTCCAGCGCCACCAGCTTTCAAGCTCTGAGACGCAAGCTCTGTCAGCATGACATGCAGCAAGGGCTGCAATGCACAGATGTCGACGCTGATCACGCATGCAAGTGATGCGGGCAGGTGCCGGGAGCGCGCGCGCACCTGCACGGAGACGCCGAAGCCCTGGTAGAGGGAGATCATGCCGCCGCGCTTGACGACCTTGCTGAGGCAGTCCAGGAGGCCGGTGAACTCGCGCGCACCGGTCTTGCCCAAATCGGCGGCCAGGCGGGTACGCGCGAAGTCCAGCGGGTACACGATCAGCAGCGATCCGGCACCAGCCAGGCCACCTGCGCACACATGCCAGGACAGCATCAGTCACCATCCCTTCATGGCATTTTTTGGTATAGGGGCTGTCCGGGTGCTCCAATCCCAACCGCACCAACAGTCAAACTCTGGTGAGAACAAGCTGAAAGATGCTTTAGTGGAAGCACTCTGCTTTATGATGCCAGCACATGGGCGTTTTGGTGCAGTTTGGTGGAATCCAAATTGAGATCCGCCTTCCTAACAGCCATTTCACCACGCCAATGAAGCAAAGGAAAAGCAGGTCATGGGTGAGACCCTCACCCATGCCATTGAGGAAAAAATGTGCGAAGCTCTTGGCGCTAAGTCAAGCAGAGGGAACGCACCCGAGGCCATGTTGATGGCGAAGAACTTCCAGAAATCGGTCTTGGGGTTGGCCTTGGGGAACATGTTCTTGATGGTGTCCTTGAAGGCGAAGTTGAAGGCCTGTGTGGGGAAGTACCGGATGACATTGGCCAGGTTGCCACGCCAGAAGGAGGCGACGCCCTGCTCTGCTGCCACGCGGGAGAAGCAGTTGCTAATGCCTGCACAGAACATGCAAAACAGACTGTAAAGGAAGCAGTTCCTGTAGCCACAATATCATATCACAGTAAGATGCATACGTTGGTGATGCTTCATGAACAGACACTATGTCTTTGCCAGATTGAGAATTGTGACCAGCGCAACATACAGTTGGAAGGCATCTGCTGCCAGCATGGATAGGGGAGTGACTGAGCGCTCGAGACATGTCATGTGCAGTGCATAATGGGGATTCAGCCGTCCACAATTGACAGAGAATATGTGGAGCAAAAAATGACAACGGTGGCGGCAATCATATATAGGAAGCTTGCGTTCACGGCCAGCGTTGGCCTGCCTCTACCCAGGACACGCATCCTGACGAGAGTCAAATCTCTGCAGGCGTTGCAGACACTTATGAAAATCATTTCTAGCACATATCTGGGAGCACACCTGTGTAGGGAGGGATCTCTCCGGACTTGATCCTGGGGTTGGAGTCCTGAGTCTGCAGGATGAGCTTCACGCGCTCAATGGGGGCCACGGCTGTCTTAGAGACACCGCCGGCCACACCTCCAGCTGCCAGGTCAGCAGCAAATTTGTATGGGCTGGGAGCCTTGATGACAACAGGCTCCTTGGTGTCTGGGATCATGAAACTCCTCCTCTCCCTGAATCAATCGAACGTAGCAAAATGAGATTATCTTTCAGTGTTGCCAGTGACCCAGCCTGCCTGGACATTCCCTCAATTAATCTACATCCTCAAACCAGCTAGACGGATCAGGAAGCTTTTCAGGCACTGAAATTGCACTGAAGAGCCACAGCCAGAATAGATCGAAATTTGTACAAGTGCCAGTAATGCACATGGCACCCGACGATAGTGCTATTGGAAGCAGTGGGACAGCCATCAAGTGTTTCCACGTGCTTGATCTATTTCGAGAGAAGGCTGCATCACGGCGAGAGAACGTACACAGGCGAGCTGGCGGAGGGAGAATCCACGGAGGAGCGCATCAGGGAGGCAAGTCCCAACTCCTTGTACATCTGAGACGACAACATCTTGCCTGCGTAAAAAGAGACACGAGTCAGCCTCAGGTTGGCAACTAGCCATTACAGCTAAGGGCTGCATTGCTCCTCCACTTCTTGCAATGCTACCACGAAATCCCTTGTTCATGCAGAGGGAGCGGTCGAAAGAGCACACAGAGCTCCACCAAGCTAATTACTGAAACACAGGGCTGATGAAGAACTTCAGCGCGACTGAACATATCTGCTATGCCTTATTGAATTCACCCAAATACATCCCAGCTAGCAACCCGCCCATTGGGGCGAAGCACAGAAAAGGAAGCTTTGGTGCACAAGCAGATTGTCAGCCACCCCACAGATATTCCAAATAGGTCAAATTCCACGCTGGATCGCAGCAGTGCTTGTGCCAGCAGGCAGCACACGTACAGAAGTCACACCAATTCAATGACACAATATCCCGGCTCTGCCAGGAGGCATGATCTCTTCTAGAGCGCACACGGTGGAACACAACACTCAAGCCTTAGATCAGCACCGGTCATTTTAGGGCGGCCGGGACATTACCTGATAGCACGCAGCAACCGACAAGTACTACGCGCTTCGAGTGGGGCGAACAGATGCAGGAGTGTGTTGCTGCTCTTCCTCTACACTGGCACAGGGCGGCTCTGCCCTGAGTTTCAGCGCCTCGCATTTTCGATGTTCTTCACCCCCAATGCCCGGGGGATCTGCTTCAAGGGCCTGGAGAGGAGGAGGGTATTGCATGCGTTGGGAGGGACTTCGATGTGAAACCTGCTTCTTGTTCTGAAGCTTGGAGAATGCATGACAAACACTTCAGCATACAAAGGCGTTCCTTGCTATAGCATCTTTGTTGCTAGAATCGCTTAGGTGTGCTAGTAACGCCGCGCAGATCTCTCTGGCCAGCGCTGCAGCTGGCGAGCCTTCATCATGATCACTTCCAGCACTGGTTAAAATTGATGCAGCACTAATAGGCAGGAAACCAGCAGCAGGGGCAAACCAGTAAAAACAGGTATAGCCAGGAGCACCATACACATGTATTTAGCTATCACAGAGCACATGTTGGTCCTACTAAGAGTCTCTGTCCCACAGCTTTGCTCTTTAGGCTGAACCATATCATATGGTAGACTGCAGAATACAAATGGTTTCTGCAAGCAGCCCGTCACTTGAATTTGCTCTTTGCTTGACTTCTCAAGAAGTTGGACTTGACCTTGTTCTCTCCTCTCCGCCCACCCAGCCGGATGCTCTTGCCGCCCCCACTGCCAGAAGCCGTCCCTCCACTGGACTTTGTCCCTGCTGATTTGCTGCTGCTGCTTGAAGGGCTGCTCCTGCTGCTGCCGCTTGAAGGGCTGCTTCTGCTGCTGTTGCTGCTGCTTCCAGGCTTGCTCTTGCTGAACTTCCTGCCAGTCCCTGCGCTGCTGGAAGGTGCTGCCTTGGCACTGCTCTGCACTGTGGCGCTGAAAGCAAACGGTCCCTGCCGCTGCCCCGATGCCGATGCGGCAGTGCCGGTCTTGCGCGCAAAGCCAGAAGAGGCGCCCCTGGGCTTGGGCGGCCCGTAGGTGGTTTTGCCGCCTCCCTTCACGGGCGCGACGGGCCAGTCAGCCGTCGCGCGCGCCGCGCCCCTCAGCCCCTTCCTGGAGTTTCGCTGCGCCCGCGCCTCGTCTTCCTTCCTCTTCAGCGTCTCTGGTTTGGGCCTGCAAACACGAAAACAATGAATTTCTTGTCAACATCCCATCCAAATTTTGGACCACACCTTAATCCAGCCAGGCGTTCGCGCGCCCCTGCCACTACATACAGTCCTGTCTCACACTTGATTTGCACCACCCTAATGAATCTCCCAACTTCTACAAAGACAGGTATCCTTTATCGCAGAGGAACTCAGCAAAGTTTGAGGCCCTGATTTAAGGAGAGCAGCCTCACTGCATGTGCGCAGGCAGGACGCCCTTAGCGGCGGACAGCTCGTCGAGCGGCCGGTTCTGTTCGAGCGCCTCTTTGATGCGGCCGGCCAGCACGGCGTCGCGCTTGGCCACGATCGAAGTGATGCGGCCGGAGGCGCCGGCGCGCGCGGTGCGGCCGGTGCGGTGGATGTAGTCAACCGGGTTGAGCGGGAAGTCAAAGTTCACCACGTGGTCCACCGCCGCCGGCATGTCCAGGCCCCTGCAGGCCACATGATGTTAATGGAGAAACGGGGAACAGGGATTTAGATAAAGGTACAGGCAATGTGGCTGAAGCATGAAGTACGCCATCATTTCGTTCTGTCAGACGCAAAAGGGCCACTTCCTTCCACGTGGCACGTCAGTTTCCACACCCTGCCACGACCCTCATCCATTTCAAAGGCAAGGGTGTCGCAGAAAAAAGGGAAGAAGCTGGCACCGCAGGTGTAAGACTCCAAAGCAGCGCAAGCTGTGCAGATGGGCCGGTAAAAATGCAGTGACTGAGCGGCAGACCTGGCGGCCAAGTCGGTGCAGACCAGGACAGGCTGGCCATCGGGGCCAGGCTCGCTGTTGGAGAACTGCGCGATGGCCTCCCGGCGGCCGTCCAGGGGGACGTCCCCGTGGTAGCACAGTGTCGGTACCCCCCTCTCACGCAGGTGGTGCTCCGTCGCTCGGCAGCTATCCAGTGTGTTGCAGAACACCATCAGCCTCTTGCCCCGCGCCGCCTCGCCCGTCACGATCTGGTGCGCAGCAGAAGAAACACTTGCGCTCAGTAACGCCTCCACCCCGCAGCTGGCGAGCTCTTTGAGATGCAAACACTTTGATGGCCTCTTCAGTTTGGTCTGTCCCATATTTGCTTGTGTCATCGAGAAGCCACAGCACAGATGATGTGTTAGAACTGGCATGCAAGTCAGTGGAGGTGCCTGGCACTTTAGTAATAATGATTATAAGTTGGGCTGCTGCCAGTGCTGCGAGCCAGAAAGTTGGATTCATCCGTCTGGCGCATCGTGAGTGCAGGCTCGTGACAGCCTGGACACCTGTTTGTGTCATGGTGCAAGCGAAACAGTACCTGTGACAGGACGTCGAGTTTATTGGCATTAGGCGGCGCAGCTAGGAAGCTGTGGCGCGCGCCGACAACACCGCGATGCAGCGAGCTCGTCTCGACTCGCTTCAGGTTGGGGAACTCAGTGTCCAGCAGCTTCCTCACGGCCTACATTGGCACCACTGCCAGCTCAGACCTGACTGGACATGCCCTGAAGAATCTGCAGTAACCTGCAGTAAAGTCTTGATTCTGACACATACTGGCTTACCCACGTATGGTAATTCCGGAGTGTGCGATGGGAACGCGTGACCTGGTATTCAGATCCTAAACAAGCTGCTTTATTTCTTACAAACATGCTGCTATGCTAGGGAAAGAGAAGCTACGCGCACCTGTGACAGCGTGGCCACCACTAGAATTGTGCTGGCAGGCTGGGGCTTTGAACGTAGAGGCCCCAGCACAGCCCTGACCTCTGGGCCGAACCCCTTGTCAAACATGGTGTCGGCCTCGTCCAGCACCACATACTGGACATCCCCCCAGTACAGGTGCCCCTTCTCCGCATGCTGCACCAGCTTCTGCGGCGTGCCCACCAGAATGTCCAGCGGCCTCTCCAGCGCCTCCTTCTGCTGCCCCATCGAGCCCCCTGCGCCCATGAGGATAGATCTTTGTGCATGATCACCTCCGTTGCAGCACCTTGTCCTCGAAATGTCTCAGGATTGCAATGCAGGCAGACAGCCCCGGTGCATGTGCGAGGGTGCACTTGTGCGCCACCAAAAGTCTGCAACTGTTATCCATCTTCTACTTAATTGGCATGATGGCAACCTGAATCATTGAAGTATGTCCGCGCTGCCAAGCAGGGCTGCCAGTTCTCAAGAAACGTGATGAATGCATCTATGCTGTGTGCGTAAATGTACAGCAGGAAGCAGCAACGGATGCTGGGAACACACCACCGTTGATGCATGCCGATCTGAATTTTGCTTTGTGGCTAATGGACTTGGCCACGCTCAGGATCTGGTCTGTCAGCTCCCGAGTGGGCCCCAGGATTATTGCTCTAGGGCGCTTGGGTTTAGCCTGCACGCTACCATCCTTCTCTGCGTCACGCAACAGCTTGACCTGCAATCACCGATGCATTAAGATTGCTACAGGGCTACTTAAACCCACACGTCATCCACATCTATACTGATGGGCTTAGGTAGGACGCACTGGGCAAACAGGTTGAAAAAAATGCTCAGAAAAGACTGTTTCGAACAGCCAATCTGTTGAAAAGTCAGAGAATGCATCCCGCACCAGGGGTAGGAGGTACGCCAGTGTCTTTCCTGAGCCGGTATGGGATGCAAGCAGGACATCTCCACCGTGCAGCACCTCCGCGACGGCCTGACTCTGTGTTGCATTCATCAAAGGAAATGAGACTTTATGCAACGCATTATTGAAAGCATTTGCAAAACAGGAAACACACGAAACACAGCACTGGGATTTTCCTAGTACTTGCTTGAACATAATGTTGAGCGAAACCGTTCCACATTCACATATCCAGAACTAGGTTCTCAGATGTTTCTTTCGCGAATTTACTGACCTGGATTTCGGTGGGTGACGTCAAATTCTGTTCCGATAAGAAAGACAGCAACTCCTCCCCCAAGCCCAGCTGCGCAAAGGAGCTCGCAGTAGGCTTGGCTCTTTCGGCAAAAGTAGCACTCTGTGCCCTCACGAGGACCGATGTCAAGCCGCCATGGGCAGAGAATGACCGCAGATTGATGAGCGACTGTGGCTGCTGGCCATGCAAGTGCAGAGGAGGGCAGTGGGGTAAAGCAAAGCTCCTGAAAGAGCCTCTGAAGATCGTGTTTGTCAGCATGTTTACCTCCCAATAAGTTGCATTTGTCTCTGAAGCCTGTTCAATATTGTTGGAATTTGCGACGGTTCTTTCTCCGGAACCCAACTTCCGTGCCCAAAGAAACCGCTTCGGGCAGCTCTCCTGCACGATGCTGCTGCTCGATGCAGAGAGCGCTCACAAAAAAAGGTGTCAAGATCGCTCCCGTGTAGGAGATGCAGTGTTTTTGAGACATCATGGGGGGCCGCTTTAATACAATTGTGGCGCGATCGTGCTTGGCAATCACTGTTGCTGAAACTTGAGCGGATCCCGTGCAAGAGAGTCAGTAGTTGTCACCACTTACAACAATTATATGATAGCGTATATTATGTGATATATGCAATATGATCAATATTATCTGAACCAGACATGGGCATCGTTGGAGGGTCACAAAGCCCAGCGGACGCAGCTGGCATGGAGATCGGACTTCTGCCTCTAAGGACCATTCAGCGTATCAACTGAGCAGACACACGATTTGATATTATAAAATGTTCCAGTGGCTGCTGTTGCTTCTTTTGCAGACGGTCTTTCTCGTAGAAAGTTGGCTGAGAGCGAGAGCAAATGGTGCGCGTTATTGGCATCTTTCTGCATGCATGTGATGCATTCCTCCTCTTGTGTGCCTCAAACCTCGTACTGATCCATGTGAAGTCAATCGGGCAGCAAGTCTCCTCACAAAAGCTTTCGGCGCAGGTGCAAGGCATCGATGCCAGCAGATCTTGAACAGCGTTCTGGACGCTGTCCCCTTCCCTTTAAATCTCCCACTGGATTGGCTGCTTCCTCGGAAGATCCAGCCCACAGGAAGGGTTCCTGGACCCCCTGAGACCATAGCCCTGGTGCTGGCAGAAACAGCCCTTGCAAGGCCAGGCCTCCATAAATTGGCAGATGTAATTGGCTGGTGCACGCAAAGCGGGCTGACACACATTTCAGTGTATGATCCCAAAGGTGAGAGACTTTAAGGTGCTGTAGTAATCGCTGTGTAGGATCACGCAAACTGTAATCTGTCCATGCAATGACCATGCATGCCATGCATGGTACATGCTGGTTATTCCTGCAATTTTCTTTTTCAACCGCATTTTCAATCCATGTCATATCTTTCAGGCAAATTGTGTCCATTCAGGTCTTGTGAAGGCTCACCATTCCGACCTGGCTGGCATGCTCTCCAATGACGGAAAGCTCACATCACCATATACGTTCAGCATCGAGGTAAGTGTCAGCTTTGCCATTGCCTCGTGCATGCACACAGCTTGAAATTATTACTAGACAACTATATTAAACGCCGCATTTTCTTGTTGACCTGTCTGTATATCGGATGCTGGGCTTTGCCTGTGCAGGTTGGATATCCCATACTGGCGAAAGCAGGCAAGGTGCTACACTCGCTGGTGACTCAAAGCACAGGGGCGAATGGGTCTGAGCTGCCTGGCATGGACAGCCACTCCCCGCGCTCATGCGCATCAGACCCCTGCAGCGTGTCATCGCTCAGCACCTCGCCAGAGAGCACTCCCATGCGCGCCCGCCCCGGCGCTGAGTCACCCTCAGCCACCAGCGCAGTTCAGGTCAAGCTGCTGTCTGCAGAGGATGCGCATGCGCCTCTTGTGGCTGCGGCCCGGCAGGGGAGGATCCTACAGTCAAACGCAGACCCTGCCGCCAGCGATGGACACCCCAAGCGCGCCAGCCTTGCCAGCAGCCCCCTGCCAAGCAAGCTGCTCGCCACCAAAGCGAATGGCCAGAAGGCAGGGGTGAGCAGCAAGCAGAGCAGTGGTTCTGGGAGTGCGCTGATACCCGCCAGGCCGCCAAGCCGGATGGCTGCGGCTGTGGCTGTGGCGAAGGCCGAGAGCAGCGGCGACCTGATGGGCTTCCTCAGCATGCTCGCAGCTAGGCAGACTGGCAGCAAAGCGCCTTTGGAACTCCGCTCACGCGATGACAGCAGCCTGCCGGTGCAGACTGATCCCAGCAGGGACTATATCCCCAACGGCTGTGACGGAGTCTGCAGCGAAGCAAGCACGTCCAGCTTCACATTGGGCAATGGTGCAGACCTGCCCAGCAGAGCTGCCGCGGCCGAGGGGGCGCCAGGATCCGGCGGTGCAGTTCCCAGCGGCAGCATGGACCTGATCGATGGCGATGCATGGCTGGCAGGCAATGGTGATGTCAGCACCGCTGAGGAAGGGGGGGACTGGGTCGCCAAGAAAGGCTCGTTGAGGTGGATAAAGCAGCGCGGCGGGGGCGCGGAAGTTGATGGAGGCGGCCCGATTAGGCGCCGTGCCAGAAGAGGCAACCGCGCACGCGGGGAAATGGGCTATGCGCTGCTTCGTGGCCCCTGGACCTGGGGAGATAATGCGGACGCAGGCGCTACGGAGCCAGATCAGGACGCAGGCATGCTCAGGAGCGTCAGCCATGGGGGGCTCAGTCATGACAGCGACTCAGCGTTTGGCTGCGAGCAGTATTTTGGCGAGCAGGATGAGGAGGCCGAAGGGGATGTTCTTGAGTGCAGCAGCAGCGCTGAGAAGGGCAGCAAAGGGAAGTTGTTCAACCTGAGCGGGGGTCAGAGCACAGAGGACCTGCTCAATGCCTTCACCAAGGATCTGGCAGCAGCTGACGAGCCGCCGGCCAAATCCAATCAGAGGTGCTTGCTCGCCATTCTTTTGACATTTTCCTGTTTGTGCGCATGACTCTCAATTTCTTGCTTAAAGGTTTGAGGTAGGAGAAGAAGATTATTAAAACCTTGACAATTTCTGTTTGCGCATGCATGTCGTTTCGATGCTCAACAGTTTCAAGACATGGTGGTCCTTAGTGCCGTCCAAAGGTTGGGTTGCTGACGGGAGCTGGTAATGCAGGGGCGGTGCCAGAAAGGCAAAGCAGCCGCTGACACCTGCTGAGCTGGACGAGCAGATTGCCAGCCTGGCAGGCCCAGCAGCAGTCAGGGAGCCTGATTTGGTCCTGGTATGACCTTTCGCATCAATCCGCATAGATCCCTCCTTCAACTGCAGAATGCTGCTGCTCTCAGGCGCAAGAACTTAAGAGGAACTAGACTGTTGCTAAGGAGTTTTTAGTTTTGCGCAGGAATATCGAGCACAGATAAATATGCACTGCAGGTGTTTGGCAGGACCTTCACCCTCGCTGGCTATCCTCCCTGGCCGATCCGGTTCAGCGAGATTTACCACATGGGCGAATTGACTCAATTCACCCGGCGCAAGCTGACTGACGCCCTCCAGCGATACTGCAGAACCCCTCAACGATTTGGCACATAACTTTTATTGTCTCCGCTGCTGAGATCTGTTCAACCTGCACGTAAGCAATCTTGGGCAACATGCCCCACAAGCATAGAAGCAGGCGTCCAATTCCCAGTCAGGACAAGAGGGTAGCATCTTGCGGCTGCAGAAGCATGGCAGATGCGCGTTTCGTGGGCAAGCGGGTTTGACATTATTAGGGCAGTCCATCATTTTGATGTTTGAACTCCTGCCTGCTCCTGCAATTTTGGCAGAGCTGGGGGTGAGCAGAAGTCTATCTTGGTGCTACAGATGGCCTGGAGGCAACTCAACGAGTCTCAGGCTCTGCTAAGAGCTGCGAGCACCATTGTGTGCACCAGAGCATGCAAAGTGGTTTTGATGATCATATAAACTCTCTGCAGTTTCGTTGACAGCCACATGTTGAATGCTTTCTGGATTGCAAAATTGGTACTGCCTCCTCCAGTCCACGTGGGCCTCGTGACACAGGTAGGCAGTTTGCCTCCTATGTTACATTGCATGTTGTTGGTGCGAACGTGCACGTGACTCAAAGACAAACTTTGCAGCAGATTTGGAGCAGAATGCAGCTGTGAATATATTGCTATTAATACAGCAATGTATTCAGTTAGGGAGTATTCACATTCGCATAGGACATGAATGACTATCGTTCTATTGATACGACAGAACGATCGTATGAATCAGCTCCATTGCAAGTTGCTCTTCAGGCAGTGTCGAGGAGTCCCTGTGGACTCCTCGACAGTCGGAGAAGTCTGTCGAGGAGTCTGTGCACACTCCACGTGGAGTCTCAGATTCTCCAAGATCTTGGAGACTCCCCTCCATCTAATGATGACCAAGACAATAAATTTGATAATGCCAGCAATTTTTCATTATAATAAATGTTTACAGTGTAAACTTTACACTGACGCCAACACACTGCTCAAGTGCTTTTGCACCCAAATATCCACGCTCTATGTAAAGGCTTCTTCCTCATTTTCCAACTTGATTTCAGGCTGTGCATGCGGCCGTCGCTCCCCACAATAAAATGCCCTGGGAATGGCATTGCTCAAATTCTGGCCACACAAAAGTTTCCCATAGCCACGCTCTTGACATTTGCTTGCTAAGGGTTGCAGTGAATGCATTGCAATCCAACGAGGTGCTTTGGGATTACTCGGCAAAGTGACCCATTATGCTGGCATCACAGACCTGCACTGGGCAAGAAAGAAGCACGGGTCAGCAACCATGAAGCATACTTCTACAATAATTCAAAACACATCTCGTGAATTTCAAGGGACACAAGCCATTTTTCAAGGGACACCTAGAGATGGGTGAGCCATGATGCAGGGCCGCTTGCCCCTTCCCGGCTAGTGACATCTGGCGGTGCTGGGACAGGATGCATATCGAGTGGGCTTCCTGGTCCAGTTCTTGGGGAAAATTCCAAGATCACGACCTCTCACCTGCATCATATAATATGACAAGGTCAGGGTGAGCTCTAGGTGTGCTTCAAAGCAGGGCATCTCATAAATTCACTCGTGTGCTCCTGCACAGGGAATGCAGGTGGACATCTGCAACATGACACAGGAAGCCAAGGGAGGCGCCCGTACTTTTGTTGATGCACTTAAATCCACAAGTAGCCAGGCCCAATCCCTTCATCCGGGTCCAAAAGCACTGTCCAGGCACCAGGAGCCGGCACAAAATAGTATGAATTTGGCTTCTCTGGCCCATCTCTAAAGGCATACGTCTTGAGCTCCAAGTTGTTCGACAGGAGCAGATCGCCCAGCAGCATCCGGTCCAGAAGGTAGTAGCTCTCGTGTATTGTCTCCCAGCCCTCTTGCCGCTCTATGATCAGTTGGACCTCCAGCACGGGTACCACTGCAAAGGTCTCAGACGTCAAGATGAGCAGGTGTAGGCCAGGAATCGTATTCCATGCTCGATGTTTGCAAGATTGCAGCAACAAAGAGCTGGATGTCTTATGACCGAATTGCATTCACAAGCTTAAGGCAGGGTCATACTTTCCGCAGTCTCTTCTGCCTGGCGTGGACCTGCAAGCAACAGTGGCGCATTTAGATCAGCAGGGTCCAATAGCCGCGCATATGCATGAATATGCATTAGTAATAGGTACAAATGTGACCTCGATGCTGCTGATGCCGAAGGATGGGAGGCATGGAGAAGAGCTGTTCTGAAATATGTACCAAGACACTAGACTTCTACTCATAGACAACCAATGCTGATGTGTGTGTAGATACTTTCGGTGGCAACTCGTTTGTATATCCGATGTAAGGACAGCAAAGAGGTGCTGCTGGGCCACAAGTGCCACAGAAGACATAAATCAGTAAGTACCTAGCTCAAGCTCTGTAGAATTCACGCTGTTCTGCTTTCGCTGAAGAAATTTTCGTGATGCTGTGGATGCCATCAGTAGGTGTACCTCGATCGTGCAGACTCAAAGTGAGGCTGTTCCTCAATAGATTATCCGGGAACTCGAGTATCCAGGGAATTGCAGCCGGCTACTGGGCGAGCAGGAATTTGGCGGCTTCTCTACTGTAAACTTGGTCTTCGCCATAAACATCAGCAATCTTACTCTCCAATTTCATAGTCTGAGACGGAAAATCTAACGAAAACATATTGCAGAAAGCAATGGCCAGAAGACAGAAATTGGAAGTCTCAAATTCGCCAGTCAATCAGACCTCGTGGAGATGCATATCTCTCATAAAGAACAAGTAGAAATTCGAGAAGACCATGCAATCATTGAGATTTTGGAGGTCGCATGCAGTAAGCTTGCTGGCACCATGTGAGCCCATGTGTCCTGCATGTGCCAACAAGTGCCGAATAAAAAGCGCCTCTTCATGAACGAGACCACAAGTACTGCATCTGATCCTGGAGTCGAGCATATCGTGTTTTGCGACTGCTACCTGTCAGAGCGAGCCTTTGCTGACTTCCCTGTGGCTTCCTCAGCTACTAAAACCTTCACAGGCCCCATCGAACTTGCTCGTGGTTGGAACGGGAAGGAGGCGGCATTCCCAGAAGGTAGCCTGGGAATGGAATACCTCGACGTATGGCAGGAAAGTTTCTACCCACTCCCTGTCAATGAAATCCGATCTATATGCACCACCGCTGTGCGTCTTGAGCCGCAATCGTCGAGGTTTTTTGCTCAGTGCAGCTGCTATCACCTTCCAGTCCGAGCAAATTGCTTAAACGCTACCTGAACAGCTGCAGGAAGCACGATGACGGTGGAGGAGGAGGCTGGTCTGATTCCTCTTGGCTACTCACCTCCTAACTACTACCCACCCGAAGGATCCGCAAGCACTCGGCTCTTCGTCAAGAAGGAGCCATCATGCACCCCTCTTTGGACCACCATCCGCAAGAAGTGAGCTTCTTATAAAGCAAAATATCCTTGCCCTTTGGTCTGCCATCTTTATATGGGATAAAAGAGCACATGTAGTCATGTCTGGAGATATTTGGTTGCAGGTGGAGCTCCTTGTTCTTTTTTGCATTTGACTCATAAGTGATACTGACATTATCTATCTGAGTGGCATGACATAAAGACCATGTATGAAGTCTTTGTTCCAACGAGTGGAATTCTGCTGCGCAGATGTTCCCTGGAAGGCGGTCTCCCACAGATACCATGCATGCGCTGGATGCGCAACTACAACATCAGGACATGCCTAATGGCGAGTGTCTGAGTTCCCCCTTTTGGCTTGAAGAAGCAGCTGGCATGTCTGATTGGACCTTGATGTAGCTCTGCAAGGCGTTGCCCTACGAGTATAATCCTGGGTGGAGCCTTGGCAGGACAGCCAGAAGAGGTTTTATTGTCAGCATGCACGTATCTCTCACCTCCACGCAAGCCGTGCCAGCGGCATTGGGGCAGACATCAACATACTGCCCCAACCCTTCAGGCATTGCAGCCAGCTGAGGTGTTCACTTGACAACACCACCGTCCTTAGTCAAGGGCAATGACATGGCGATTGAGGAATTACCCCCTTTGCATACAGGCGGACATCATTGCTGGGCTGACAGTGGGAGTAATGGCGGTGCCTCAGTCTGTCTCATTCGCTGCCATGGCGGGTCTGCCAGCAGCTTATGGCCTCTACACAGCCTTCGTCCCAGTCTTTGCTTACTCCATCATCGGCAGCTCCCGCCACCTGGTGAGCACATCCCCCTTCTTGACCATGCACTGCAGTTGCTGTGGTCTCATGTGCTCCGCATCTAGCCGCGTTCTGGCCTCACACATGCGGCATTGCAGTAATCTTGGGCAAAAATGACTTGCCTGCTTCCTCCAAGTGTTTTCCCTTGTCACTGAACAGATTTAGCATACCTGCATGGGCACATGGGTGGAATTTATTGTTGAACTGATGTTTACACTTGATGGGCGTACTGTATGTTGGCGTGTCTGATTAATGAGATTCCCATGCAGGCGCTGGGTCCAGTGGCGCTTGTCTCACTGCTCCTGAATGACGGCCTGGTGAAGGCTATTCCTGGGTGTGACATCAATGAGAACCCCAACCAACCCGTTGATGCCCATCTGCAGCAGATTTACAACCACGCAGCCATCCAGGTACGCCTATGGGCACTCCCCGCCAGTAGAGTGCCCGTCAGCAATGCTTTCCACTGTCAAAGAGCACTGTACTTTGCTGCTGCAGAGTATTGCCTGCGCCTCATTGTGGCTTCCTTGAGCGCTGACGACAGAGGGTCAGAAAGAGCAATGTGCAATGCAGCGCGCAAACGCTAAATTGATTGTTGGGTGGATATCTTTTGAGACAGTTAGCCTGGAAGACCAGCCATGGATTCCTACGGATCATTTGGGTAGTGGCAAATCCGCTCCATAAAGAAAAGCTGTACAATGTGCGTTACGCGGGCATGATTGTCTTGAAACTTCCTTGTATTGTGCTGTAGGTGTCCCTGATGGTGGCGGTGTTGTACCTGCTGCTGGCAGTGCTGCGGCTGGGCTTCCTGTGCAGCCTGTTGTCTCGTCCCATCATCTCCGCCTTCCTAACCGCTGGCGCTCTCATCATCAGCTCCTCCCAGGTGCATGCTGCACCCATCGATCTTGCGTACTCTCTAAATCTGCAGCATTGCTGCTGGCGGGCGACAAATCATCCGTAGCGAGTATGTGCAGATGCATGCAGTGGTTCCATTCCGCCGTCAGTGGGAGTCTGACATGCGTAAAGGCAGTTCATGCATGCGCATGCACTCATATTGATGGAAAGGCTCTCCTACATGCTGACTGATGTCCTCTGGTGCAGGTCAAGTACATCGTGGGGTACAACATTCCGCATGCTGACCGCATGCAGGACATCGTGTACAATCTCATAGTCCGCGCTGACCGCTTCCGCTGGATGGAATTCGCCATGGGCCTCACCTGGATCGCTCTGCTGGTTGCCATCAAGAGTGCCCCCCGCTTCCACAAGTGCGGCTTCCTCCCATGCTGACACCTTGTTTGAGTGACTCACCTTTCACTCTTCGAGACTCAGTTGGTTTCCATTGTACACGGCTTAGTTGGCTTTCATTGTTTGAGACTCAATCGAGTAATCAAAGGCGAGTTGCTGGAAAGGAGAGTCTCCTGAATTTCTCGAATACTCAAAAATGTAAGTGTATTGCTTTGTTGGAATGCCTAGGCATATGCAGTACTTGATGGTCTAGGCTTGGTGACTTACATTGTCACATTGTTGGGTCAGCCACGATTTCTGTTTGGCAGGCGTGTTGCGTGGATGGGGCCGCTGGGACCAATTACAGTCGCGACACTGAGTGTGACTGCCGTGTGGGCGGGGCAACTAGAGGAGCGTTTTGGGATCAAGGTTGTGGGCCCTATCCAGGCTGGCATGCCACCCATCACGGTGCGTTCCCTCCTCATCTGGGCCCATGGAAAGACCATAGTAAAGACTGTACAAACGAGTGATAGCCTGCCTTGTTGCAGTAAGGGTGTATCAGCAGTAAACATACCGTCAGTAGCACTGATATCTGGCAAGCTTGCATGCAAGCAACTTGTGGCTATAGTTTATGGTGTGATGCGATCACAGTTTGATGGTGCTGTGCTTTTGTCCTGTGGTTGTCACAGGATTGCACCATTTTCTCCCTCTTGGAGGCCTGTGACAGTTATATCATATATCCCTGGGACGATCAATTAGGTCCCTATGATGACCATTTGTAATCCACTGGGCACGTGCCAGCTTGAACCGCTAAACATGAAAGCACCTGGTAGGATGCAAAGACAGGCCTGGCTCGGTCATTTGGCCTTTGGCGGGGGTCTAGGATCATTTTGATACCTGCAAAAGACTCCTCTGGCAGAACCACAAGAGGGACTCCTGTAGAAATAATAGATCTGCGCCAGCTTCCCTGGACAGAGCACGACAGCACGGGATGATGCCTGCGTGCTGTGTGTTTTGGGCCAGAAATGATAGGCACCTGAAGCTCAAAAGTGTTTTAGCCGGGCCCAGTTGTAGTGTCCTTTGGAAGACACGTCATGTGGAAAGTTGCGATTCTTGAGCCAGTCTCCATTGCTGAAGAGGCTTCCGCAGTGTTGTCCGATGCGGGTTCTGTTGCGGAAAACAAGCAGAAGGCAAAAGTGTGGACCCGTGCAGATGATGTGTGTCACTCTGTGTGTCCAAGTACAAGTGTTTGAGCTCACTTTCACTGAGCGTATCTTCTGGGAAGTTGAGCCTCCCTGACACTGGCCATTGCTTTGCATGTGTGGCTGTAGCGTCAGGTGTCTCAAGCGGGCTGAGCGCTGCGTTGCTGCATGTGCTCTCTTAGGGCATCAATGCTGTGTTTTTTGCCCTTGCCTCAGCCTCGTCTCCTTTGAAGGATTTTAACTTGACAAGCCCTTGCAGAAGGAGGACACCTTTCCGTGCTCCATTGCCAGCTCCTTGAGACATTCCTTGTTAAGGAGGAAGAACCTTATCAGCTCTGCTTCTATTCCTCGTTTTTCTGTTGTCCTATTCTTCAATTTTCTCATAGCCTAGGTCATGGATTTGGGCTCGTGCACTTTTAGAAAGCAAGCTGACCTCTGCAGGTGGACTGGTGGCTGCCAATGGGGGATAACTGGCCGCGCCTGGTGCTGACAGCCGGGCTGATAGGCGCTGTGAGCCTGCTGGAAGCTATATCCATCGCTAAGGCCCTGGCTGAGAGGAACGGCGACACCGTCGACGCAGACCAGGAGCTGCTTGGTGCGCGCCTGCTATCGTCTTTCTCTGTCTGATGGACATCTATCAAGCCCTCCTGAGAGGGCCAGCTCGTCCTGGCATTTGTCTTTTGAAATGCAGAGCAATGGATTCTCAGTATTTCCCTTCCCACCTCCCTGAGGAGAGTGGCTATATGCTTTCTGTGTCTTATTCATTCAAAAGGAAAATGCTTATCCAGTGTGAGATGAGAGACAATAGTGATGTGATCCTGGCATATGCCATTGCTTTACACCAGCCTATTTGTCTCTCGTTGCAATGTAGAAGCTTGTATGCCATACTGCCCATATATTTTTGAATTTTCATTTTGGTTTGCGCAGGTTTGGGCGTGTGCAACCTGGCAGGAGCGGTGTTTTGCGCATACCCCTCAACCGGGTCCTTCGCGCGTTCGGCAGTGGCAAGCACTGCAGGCGGCAAAACAGGCACGCAATGCTGCATTCACCCTGTAACCTTCGGATTTCCAAACCATTGCTATGTCACCTATGTTCCATGCTGACTGACCAAAAAGCGCTGGCCTGTGAGCCTGTGGCATAGCGTTGTCGACTTGGCCAGGGTAGTTGAGTACTTTCTTTGATTCGCGGTTATCGCCCAATCTGGTGGGGTGGCGGGTGAGGAGCTGGTGGATGTGCATGCAGGCGCAGCGGGCTTGGTGAATGCTGCCTTGATAGGCTTCGTGCTGTTGTGCCTGACGCCGGTCTTCCAGCACATGCCGCTCAATGCCCTGGCAGCCATTGTCATCACAGGGGTCATCGGCCTGCTGGACTTCCAGCGCGCACTCTTCCTGCTGCAGGTCAGATCCCCTCCTTTCGTGCCATCCAGCTGAACTGATTATTGGTACAGGAATCAAAATCCTCAAATAGGGTGCGCATTGCTCTGCAGAGCTGGACGTTCCTTCTCCGGCTGCTCATGCCTGTGTGCACCATTACAATCACAACCCTTGGCTGGCCAGGGAACTGGGAAAGTCATCTGTGCTGTGCATATCTTAGCGCAGTTAGCCTGTTCCAAGCAAAATTTACAATTATGCACACATCTCACTGTAGATTCTATGACTCTTCTCAAGCTGGCACAGCCTTTTTACCCACCATGTAGGCATCTTTTTGTCTCACTGTTCTTGGCTAATCCTCCTCCATGCACCTGCGCAGGTGAGCAGGATGGACTGCCTGGTGTGGCTGGCCACCTTCCTGGGCTGCCTCTTCATTTCCATCGATGCAGGCCTGGGCCTGGGCATCGCGCTGGGCCTGCTGTTCCTCTTTGTGCGCACAGCGTTTCCCCGCATCCACGTCCTGCGCCGCCTGCCCGGCAGCACCTTCTTCCGCGATGCCGGCATGTACCGCCTGCAGGTGCCGGCACCTGCCACTTCCTGGTAGAGGGAGTGCGGGATGGAATGAATTTCAAGACCCTAAGGCCTTCCCCGCCGGAAATGGCACAAGATAGACAGATTTGCGCACAGCAAGTACGATGATGTTGCAATGCCATCGAACCTCACGTTGTGATATGCTGTCGTGTCTGTTCATTCTAGCAGTGACAGGGGCAATGCAACAGAGGCACAAGCCTCAAGGACAAACTCAAGATCAACGATGTCTGTACAGGAGTCAGCAGAGGATGGGCGCACAGTGGTTGTGAGCTCGCAGGGTCCGCTCTGCTTCGCCAACGCGCAGCGCATCAAGGAGAGGCTCCTCGAATTTGCGGTGAAGTCTTGCCGCTCAGAGCCAACAATCAACCGTATCCAGACAGATCGTGTCTTTTTCCTTCATCTGTGGCCTCACTTCTGCTTTGCGCAAGCATGCTCTCACAGCAAGAATCCACTCGCTGCATCATGAGGGACCGGCCAGGAGCAGTAAGATGGCCCTCAACAATTCCGATTCTGATTCGTTTTTATTCTGTTGCCTGAACAGGCCGGGAGCCAGGACGGCGTGGCGTGCGTGGTCCTGGACCTGGCTTCCACCACCTTCATCGACGCCACCGGCATCGAAGTTCTCACCGACCTGCTGTTGAAGGCGCCGGCCAAACTGCATGTGGTGCTGGCGGACCCTAACACTGCTGCCCTGGATATCCTCGACCGCGCTGGCCTGCTCCCCAAACTTGGTGAACGCTCAAGCAACTCTGGCAAGTCACTAGAATGTACCATAGCTGAGAATGAGCCGAGCCGAGAATGATGCAGCGGTGTTCGTGCACCTCATCTCACGACATGGGAGCTATCGTGGCATCCTTGAAGGAAGAGTACTCTAGAAGGGGAAATTTACCTGCTCTGCCTGCTGGGTCAACGGCCCCTTGCCCATCTTTTCGTTATCGGGGTCGTCTTTTTATGGTAAAGTAGAATAATTTCTGTGTAGAGAAGGATAGTGCTCCTATGTCAAAGAATGCGCGCAAGGGAATCAATGCAGGGACATGTGTTTGTAAGCCCAAATGTTTTCACAAGGATGTGGGCAGGGTTGTAGCTCTGTATGCACAATGAGCAAGTCGGGGACTGCACATGAGGACGGCACCATGCCTGGATGCTTGTGTAGACAGTCATCATGAGTGTCTATCATGTGTCTGTCTTGCCACATCTCTTGTATCGCCCCCAGGTCTGGGTTTCACAGAGAAGCATCCTTAAATTTAGCGAGTTAGGGGTGCCAGATAGGAGTCTTTCTGACAGTATGTGTGTACTTGCTGCAGGCCCCGAGCGCATGTTTGTGCGCGTGCATGACGCGGTCGCCCACTGCGCCGCGCTGGCCGTCAGGAGCGATGATCTGGGCCACCCTCCCGTGCAGAACGGCCAGAACGGGCACTCCCATGCGCAGTACATTGTGGGATCTGTACCTGGCTGGCGCGAGGGGAGCTCAGATATGAATCAGCCGCTACTGGTACACGAGAGCATTGACAATGCTTGAGGCAGACTTGCCATGTTTCCCTCCTCAAGGATACCCTCTTGGTGTCTCAATACAGAAATTTGGCAGATCTAGACGCAAAAGAGCCGTGCATGCTGCGTGCACATCAATCATGATGGCGAGAGACACTGAGTTGGAGGGTAAGTAAGCCGTGAGGCTGCTGCAAGGAATAAGTTGTGGTTGATAGTGACAAATGTCAAGGTTGTGGGAATACGCACATGCTACACTCCAATTGTTTGTGGCATAGATCATGGTTGTTACGTGACAGTCTGCAAACTTCGCCAGTGAACTTCAATGTGTGTTGAGCAGTAATGCTTGCCCCCTGATGCCGTGCTGGCCCCTCAAGTCTTGGTGGGGTTTCTTTCATTGGTAATTGAGAGGCACCGCAGCAGTATTTGAGTGAGATAGGTAGGGCAGGGGAAGCTTGAAGAGTTCAAGCTGGCCTCTGGTATATTGGCATGCATGCATGCATGCATGCCACAAAGCAAATCCAGTGATTGATGTGTTTCATTCATTTGTCAAAATCGAGGTAGCATCCTCATGAAAATGCATATCAATGTTGATTAAGAATGGGTTGGCATTGAAATGTGGCAAATATTTGATGTCTGTAACAGAGGTTCCCCATCTCATATTTTCCAGTGCCATTTAAATCTATAATCTTAACGGCAGTCCCTCGGGCCATGATTGTGTACCATAAATACAGACCAATTCCAATACCGGAAGAACCATTGCGAAAGGCACACGACGCATCTGTACTTATGACACACAGCCGGGCAGGTGTCTTAGGGTAACGCAGCTGCAGTCCACCAGTAGGAGATTGATAGGCTGGCAGTTTGAGCCCACACAAAGTGCCACCATTTTTTCGGTATGTACAGCATCTCTCCTGGCTGCAGGGTGCACTCTATGTGAGGCACATCTGCAAAGTTCGGGTGTTGCTCCAAGTCTGGCGAGAGCACATTTACCTGCACAGGGAACACAACATAAAGTCAGGCATTTCCTATGCATCTGCTATGCACAATTCTGCCTTCAAAAGTTTCCATCTGATTAATCAAGCACACCCCCGTGTCACTGCATGCTGGACTGCTGCATGCCCTAAATTCCTTAATCCGGCGGCCATTTTCTCACCTGGGATGTGTTTCTGAGGAATGGGTTGCTGAAGGGGTAGAGGCTCTGCGAGTGCTCCGGGCCATATAGCCGGAGAGTCTTGCTGCCCCTTACCTGCACAGCAAAGTACAGGCTTCAGTGGAGTGATCTGCTACATGCTTAACAGGCTTTGCTTGACAGCAGCCAAAGAGGATGAAGACGCCAGAAACGTCGATTTGCAAGGGCCAATGGATGGTTGTCTGGAGACGCTCTGACCTCAACAAAGGCACCATGCAATCATCACATCAGTATGCATCCAGCTTGCGCAAATGGAGGAGCACGTTTTGCACGGGTCGGTGCGCTGAACAGGAATACTTTCATCATCAAAGTTTGATAGCTGTCCAAAGGTTGAGGGTCCTGGGGGCATGCCTGGCAGAAGAGGTTGTGGTAGGGGTCTCGGTGCAGGGGGGTCTGAGTCCCCCGGCAGCCGAGCCAAATCGAGCGCTGGTGCAATCGCTCCGCCACCCCCGGAAACGGTGGCGCCGGGGGAATTGCAGCAGCCAGATCAGGCAAAACCCCCAAAACGTCCCTCTGCGCTAAATACAGCTGCAACTTTTGCTGTTCTCCGTTCTCACCAGGCAGCTCCTGCACTGAAAGTCCAGGAACTGTTGGGCCCTCTGGAGCCAGAACCCCTTGAGACAATGGGCAAATCTGCATGATACCCTGACCAGCTTGTTGATGAAGCATCCATGCCGGTGCCAAAACCTTCGCTTCTTTATACCGAAGCATTGGCACAGATTAGGTAAGGCGGCCAAGGTGAGGGATTCCATACCTCAGAGTCCTGCATAGATTGCAGCAGCAGTGAAAGAGGCACAGGCACGCCAGCCTCAAAGCTGCGGCCTGGCTTGGGAGTGGCGTTATTGTACATATCCCTATAATCGCCTCCCCCAGACGACACCTCCACAGGGACCTCAAGATCGCCACATGTGCCCAGCAAGTCTTGGGGTGTCCAGTGCAACGCAGGCCAGCCTTCCTGCATGGCGCCTCTGATGGCAAAGGGCTGTAGAGAGTCCTTTGCTGCTGTATCTGTTAATGATCTGGAGGGGCTGAGGCTTTCAAGGCTGCTTCCGGGCCTGTAGTCTACCCAACCCACTGGCTGCTGCAGGGGTGCTCTAGAAGACTGGTACCTCGTTTGCACCTTACTGAACCAGTCTGACAAGTCTGCCAGATTCCATGCGAGTGGGTTGCTAACGCCCGAGGGACAAAACCTGCCCACTGGACACATAGGTTCACGAAGTTGCTTGCGCAAAGAGGCTACAATCGATGTTCTCATTCAAATGACAGTTTATGAATGGTGTAACCTCAGAACAATGGAATCTTCCTCATGTTGGTACAAATGTAGGTGAACAACCAGATCAATTCAGTGCTGTTGATCAGACACACTTTATGAGCCAGTTCTAGAATCCCACACCTATAACATAGACAATCAACTCAGATGCAAATCCGAAATTGCGTTCCGGCATTCAGGGGCGTGGCAGAATTCACGAAATGTAAGAACTGTGATCCAAGAAAGTCCGTGATGCGCATCACGTGGCATTGCATGGCAGCCCTGAGAAGGGAATATGCCTTCCACGCTTCCCCATCATCATTTTCGCCCGAAGACGCCCTGGAAAAAGCCTGTGGTGACGATCCAGACACCGCATGAATTTTAGGACATGAGTGAAGCCGAAAGTGAGCGGTAAACGCAAGGCCAAATGGGGTGCTTGGCGGCATTGCCGGTCCTGCTCCTTGTAGGCGCTATCTCAGCACTGGCACAAGATGGCGTCACAGTGACACAATACCAGAGACCCCCAGCTAGCCCACTGCTGCCCCTGAACCATGATCGGCTGTCTCGCGATCCCGGACTTTCTCCACACGTGCCAGAGCAGGTCCATCTGACATTGGCTGGTCCTGGAGCGATGGCTGTCAGCTGGCTGACATATCCCCAGGTGAACAAATAGTTTCATGTATAACTGTTTGTACAACTCATCGCAGGCACATCCCAGCGCCTGCACACCAAGTTGTGGGTTGCAGCTGTCGTAGCCTTGTTTGAGAGGCTGAGATCTGAAGTGGTCAAGAATTTAGTATACATTGCAATATAGGAATGCGGAGTAATTTGAGCAAGTAACATATGCATTTTTCACTGGCAGTTCCTTTCCAGATTATTGACAAGCTCCATATTGAGGTGCACCCTTTCATGAGCCCAAAATTGTCTCGTGACGTCGGGCAAGCTTGGAGCACCTTGCATTCTCAATAGCAATAATTGTGCATTTTCACTTTGAAGGCAATCAGCCCAGTGGTGCTGTGGAAGCTGTTTAGACTTGGAGCCCACTTCTTAGGCAGAGCTATGTATGCAGCATCCTTGAGTGGCGGGCCTCCCATATCGCATGCAGACCTTACAGCCTTGCGAAGGCAACAGAAATGCTGTGCGTCACCTGCATGTACCACTACCCCAGCTGATCAGTCACATTTTCTTCACAGGACGACCCTTTCATGGCTCCAGCCTTCCAGCAGCGGCTTGCAGCAGCCTGTGAATGGGAAAAGGACAGCGATGCAGATGCGATGGGTGATCTGTTGGGTCAGTCAGGGGAAAAAGCAGCGGGGGCAGAGGGGGATGCAGGCCTGGAGAGGCATAAACACAAGCACCACAAGAAAAAAAAGAAGAAGCGAAAGGATCACCCCTGTGACTACCTTGCTGGCCTGAGCAACAGCGTGGTCAGGTTTGGAGCCTCCCCTGGGCAGTACACCAGGGCAACAGCCGGCAACAACACCTGCTATGAAGCGGTGAGGGCACACAATGGCTTCCCTTCTACCACCTCCTATGACTGCTGTCTACTTCTTCAAATCCAGCATCCGAATGAAGCACAATGGAGCACAGCAGGTCCATTGGAGCGCTGTCTGGGATCATGCTTCTATTGTATGCCTAGCACCGCTCATTGAGCCATGTCTTGACTTTGCAGAAGCACAACAGCGCGATTGTCTGCTCGCAGAGGCAGTGGCTTAAGGAGAAGCTGTTCCTTTGGTTCGATTGAGAGCTTTGCTTTTGGTGACTGCAGGATGACTACGTGTCGGGGGCGCTGCACCATGTGGTGCTGGGGGCTGGCCCAGAGGGGCCTCTGCTGCCGGACACTACCTATTACTATACCTGCGGCGACCCGGAGCTCGGCATGAGCCCTGAATTCAGCTTCCGCACTCCTCCCCTTACCGGGCCCAAGAGCTTCCCCTACAGGTGCAGCTTCCCCTTCACAGAAACCTCCTGCCTCTCTGGCAGTGTTCCTTGATTGGAACATGACATGACTGCATTGCTTTTCTCAGACTAGAGGAACGTGGCTCTGCCCAGCAATGCAGGAAGCCAACACGTTGGCACTGATTAGCAGGGTAGCTTTCCTCGGATCAGATGTTCAATGAGGTTCAGGCTATCGCCTTTGTCATGACTAATGGCCATTGCATCGCTGTGTGCAGGTTGGGCCTGATTGGGGACCTGGGCCAGACGGAGAATTCAGCGCAGACGCTGGATCACCTAACGGCGAGTAACCCGGACTCAGTCATCAACGTGGGGGACCTGTCTTACGCAGATGGCTACCAGCCCAGGTGAGGCCGGCAACATTTCGGTAGCTCTTGTGACTGCCCATTGCAATGGTAAGCAAGTAAACGCAGCAGGGTTGAAAGGATGTTGCATGAGATAGCTTTGCACAATTCATGTAGTGTTTGAAGCCCAGCGTCTAATTTGGCTCTGAAGTGATATGAACTCAACAGAAACTTGAACTGAATTGAATTTTGGAATGTGCCAGGTGGGACACATATGGGCGTCTAGTGGCACCTCACACATCGCGCTTTGCCTGGGCCGTGATCGAAGGGAATCATGAGCTGGAGGTGCGTTTTGCAGGACACCACCCCTCTCTGTTGGTCCGCTCCCCTTGCCAACCAGGAACATGCCACCACACATCAAGCACAGCAATTGGCCCTTGCTTATATGAGGCCTGCTCTAGCCGATTACAAGCTGGAATTATCGTATGCTGCTAGCAATGTGTCAGGAATTGTCTGTGAAGCCATGCACATGCACTTGCGCAGCTTCCAAGAGGCAATTCAAAGCAACATTTGAGCCAAAATATTACGTGGACAGGTGGCGAATGGGAAGCCTGGCTTCTTGGCATATGAGACGCGCTACTGGTTTCCATCCAAGGAGAGCCGCTCCTACTCGCCTTTCTACTATTCCTATGAGGTGCGCTGATCTATCTGACTTGAGCCTTTCCGGTGCCTCATTGACTGCACACTGAAATTTGGCACCCTGTGTCTGCTCTTCTGCTCTGCAATCTTACGGACTGTTGAGTTTGTGAGGCCGAAGCCCTTGTGGTTGTTGGTTGACAGCAAGGCCGGAGTGCTTGCTGGGTGCGCAGCTTGCATGTGCAGCTGCTGTTTTGTCACGGCCTGGGAGGGATTCGCCTCACACATGCATCACCCTTGAGAAGGCCGAGAGGAAGAGCATACTCAGAGGGATTATAATGCACTCGAAGTTGCAGGATGCCGGTGAAAGGACCTGAACGCCCTTCCATCTTTTTGGACTGTCGCCTGGCCATTTGGCGCTGCACATCACGCAGTCTTCACATGCCAAATTGTAGATGGCACCTGCATGATGCCTGGATCTTGTCAGCTGGAAATCTGAGGAACAAAGTGCTGCCTTTTTATTTGCTGCAGGTGGCGGGGGCGCATGTGGTGATGCTGGGGTGCTATGTGGAGTATGGGGAGGAGTCGGAGCAGTACGAGTGGCTGGTGCAGGATCTGGCTGGGGTGGATCGGGGGCGCACCCCCTGGGTCATCGTGGGCATGCATGCCCCCTGGTGCGCATCCCTTGACATCCCTCTGCTATCTTGTGAATGCTATCATAGCGTGTCTTTGAGTCTCATGGTTTGTGCTTGTTCTTAATGCGGGCATGGACTTTTCAAGCTCTAGGTTTGCGTTGTGCCTAATGGCTGTCTCCTCTTCTCTGAATGGCCACAGCAATGGAGAGAAGCCGTCAGGGCATCAGCTAATGTTGTCTTTCATCATGTTATAATGCCAGTACTTTTCCTGTGACTCCCTCACCCTGCCTTAAGACCTGTAGCCTTAGCATTCTTTCTTCTTTTCCTGCAGCCTATATCTGTATGATGCATTGGACCCCCCGGTGCCAGCTTTGACCTGCTAGGGCGTGCGGGCACCTGGCATGATAGGCAGAGGGTGCAAGGACAGTCCTGGCTAGCTCATGGCGAGTCATGAAGGAGATCCAGGACATGGCACTCATTCTGATGGAACGGTTGATCTTCTCCTGCGCAGGTACAACAGCAACCAGGCGCATCAGCACGAGGTGGATGACATGATGGAGGCAATGGAGGAGGTGCTGTTCCAGAATGGCGTTGATGCTGTTTTTGCCGGCCACGTGCATGCCTACGAGCGGTTCCACCGCACCTACAAGTAAGCGCAGCCTGTTTGCTTCCCGCCCAATTTGCAAGAAAATCCACTCAGGCGGTCTCGGTGGAAATTTGCAAGGGCTCTTCTAGGCACACACTCTCCTGCAATGTGAGACAGATGCACGTGAGGTGTCAGGAGATGCTGACTACTCCTATCCATTTGCCGTTTCAGTGTGGTTGTTGCTTGAGCAGTCAGAATTTGAGCACCCAGGAGCTCTCCTGAAGTTCTGGCAAGCGCTGCGGAGGACTGCCAGCATCCAATTGGTGATTGCTGGCAACATATGTGGACATCCTTGAAAACTCAACGAGTTGTGCCCCTCCGCATTCTCACTTAAACAGAGTCTGTCTGCAGGGGCGAGAGGCATGAGTGCGGTCCGGCGTACATAGTCATCGGGGACGGGGGGAACCGGGAGGGTTTGGCAGAAACCTACGACGACCCCCAGCCGGGGCACTCGGCGTATCGGGAGGCCAGCTATGGCCACGGGGTGTTTGAGCTGAAGAATGCCACGCATGCGCTGTGGCAGTGGCACCGAAATCAGGACGCTCAGCCCGTAATTTCTGATGAGGTGCGCCCTTTTTTCGCAATTTTTATGACGATTGTATGCGTAGCTGCAATGTGGTCATAGTGCTGCTGGGCCGGGAGATCATTGCATTGTTGCTGCATGAAGTGCAGTCGCGAGGCAGCCCTTCCTCGCATCTCCCTGGCGCTAGCGCTGCTTTGATGTCTGCATATCTCCTTCGCTGAGTTGCACACTCTCGTGGCTGGCTGTCTGACTCTTCCAGTCAGTCAGCTTTGCACCGCATGCTGCAACGCTGGGCTGCAGACTTCACCTGGTGCACTACGAAATCAAGTGGTACCGTACTGTTGTGTTCAAAGGCGCAGACGCCGCAAGTGTGTCCAGAAGGCGATTGATTTGTTTTGAAGGTGTAAAATCTGTGCTGTGCAGGTGTGGGTAATACGGGACACAAAGTGCTTGAGCGGGCAAGGGAGTCCCATGGTGCGGGAGTTGCCAAATTTGACGGCCTTTCTACCTCGGAAATTGGTTCAAGGAGCCGCTGCTGTGACTGCTGCATAGATAGAGATGCCAACATGTGACATCAGCACTAGATACTAGCTTCAAGCAGATTGACTGGAGCATGTCCGCCCTGCAGGAGAGCATAGTGCTCAAATGGGCATGAGTATGAATGCATGGGGTTGGGCAGACGCCATGAGAGTAGGACCTCTTTGTCAGGGACCGTTTCAGATGCTGATTTGAGTTTTGAGATGATGCGTCACTTCAAACAAGAGCCAGGCGTGATTTGAAGAAGCTGTGTACAGCTGCATGAATGCCTGGTGATGTTGAACATCTGCAGTAGGTAGCAGGGACGAAATTGAGGGTGCAAACCTTAAAACACCTGGTTTTTGCTATGAGGTAGCGCAGATCTGTGTGGTGATGAGGGTCTGGGAACACAAAGCTTTAGGACAGGATAGATCTGAAAAGCAGTGTTTTCAAGACGCTAATATTTACCCTAATTGTGCAACGTTGTTATTACACAGAGGCATGCCAACCAGGGTCTCCAATTCGCGGCTGATGTAATTTGAAATGGTTGAAGATTTATAAACTATTATTATTATTATTATTACACGCCTATCCAAGCCAGATTAGGCTTACGTGCATTGCAGCAGCGTTTCTATGACAGCCTAAACTATATCTATAGATAGCTATCGATATATCTAATTAGCTGTTTACCTGTGACACTCAGACGAACATCCGGTCAGTGCATGGGCAGCAAACAGAGGGGACCACAGCATGCAGTGCACAGCTGCAACTTTTTATTTTTAAACTTGAAGTATCTCCGAGATGGCCAGGCGCAGTGCACTAGTGGGGCTGCTGTGAACAGATTTCTAGAGGACATTACTGTAATCCAAATGTGATTCTTCAAGACCTGCGGTACATATGCAATGTTTCCTTACCTTGTGCCAACCCTCTGCTCATTTGGTGAGAAAATTAAATTGGAAGGATTCCTATTCAGATCCACCCATGCACAATATGTACATGTGTCCCAAATTGTATACTGGAGTGTCTCTTGCCATTTACCAGCCCTACTGCCATGTATCAAGCAACGGCAGAGAAAGGGATACTCTTCACTTGAATGATGTCAAAAGCTTGCCAAACAACAGGTTGTCAGGTGTCATGTGCAGTGGACAGCCGACTCTGCAGGCTGTTCAAAACAGAATGGAACGTGACCAAACAGCAGCGCAGCGACATGCATGCTGCTGGGCATTGAGTATCGGTACCACCAGCAACGTTCCTCCTGTGCTGTTCCAAACGACTCAGGTGCACTGCATCAGTCCCTCAAAGCGCCTTCTGCTTGTTCAGCTGCGCCTGCAGCTTGTCAAAGGCGACCGCCGGCGCCAGATCCTTCACCAGCACGAGCTTGTGCCGCGTGCTCTCCCCCCGCATCAGCGACAGCTGTCCCAGCCGCACTCCAAGCACGCTGCGCATGAAATCCAACGCCTCCTCTCCGGCCGCCTCGTGCGCGATGCCGTGAGTGATCGCTATCCGCACCGCGTCTGCTGACACCTTGATGATCTCCGGCCTGTCCGCCCTGCGCACATACAGCGAGCTGCATGTGAGGCCTTGCTGATAAACAGACGCACATCTACCAGTTGCACAGGGCGCTCGCAAAATGCCAGTGCAAGACAAAGCAATTGTCATTAAACTAGGTAAATTCTGCTAGCACTGACAGGGAAATCAAGCCATGGGATTCAGCGGATGCAACATGAGGCCAACGCAACCATCAGTCAGCTGGGTCCCACAGTAGAAAAGTTTGCATGCGAGCCAAAGGAGGTAACAACTCGGTGGGGAAGGGGGAAAAGGCGGCGACCTGTCGTCAATCTCCAGGGAGATCTGGGTGGTGTTGTTGTCGATGGGCAGGATGCATGGCGGCACCGGCGGCTTGTCCCTGCCCCCGCGCTCGCCATCCAGCAGTGACTGCGCTGTCACTGAGTCCTTGAGCAAGTAGAGAAAGCGCCCCTCCGGCTCAGACCTGCACAACATGAAGCATGCCCTCTTAATCACTGGGCACGCAAATTCGTGCTTGCAATGCATGTCCATACATTTGCTGCAGTTCCTCCGAGGAAACCAACTGTGCCCGGAGACATATCAGATTGCAACTGTGATCTGTGTGCTTCTTTCAAGCCTGCACGACCACAGACCCAGGACTTGAGGGTTTATACAGGATTGCTGTGAAAATGGCTTCATCATTGACCAGCAGGTGTCTCACCTGTAAGCTATGGGGAGCTTGCCGGCATTCTGCCGGTACTGCTTCTCTATTTCGCCACTCTTTCTTTTCAACACTTTTATTCCGCCGTCCACCGTGTACAGCTTGTAGGTGTATGCTGCTGTGTCCAGTACTGTTGAGCCATCCGTTCTGCAAGTAAAACAACAGTTGCTTGCTTCAGACCTTCACAAGAAGTCAGTAGGGAATGCAGAGTGATCCAAATTGATACCTTTGCTGAGAGTACAAACGAAAATTGTAAACCTGCGTTTTGGAGCTCTGCTGAGGTTACAATTCGTGGTGAGGACATGTCTGCCAGAGTATTTGCAGTAGTACACGTGCAGCTGATCTCCAGCTACTTCCGGTGCATCCTCGCTGGAGTAGGTGAGTGTGGTTCGTTTTGGCATGATAGAACTATTGTAGAATGTTCGTTCCGGTCTTTCTCAGGGCTCTGTGTGCAGATTGGTCAATGTCCACTGGTATAGTGCACCTTCGTGCCACTCTGCAACTTTTGGACACATCAAAACTTCTGCATCGCCATCATTAATTTTCCCATTTCATGTATCTATAACTGCGACGACTTTGAAGCAGAGAGAATTGCTCAGTGGTACAGGAAGTTGCAATGCCACCCCAAACGACAACGGCGCCACGATCAGATTGTGCTGTTCAGAATCTTTTACAATATTTCATCACACCTCCAATTCCTGCGCTTGTCCCGGCTTCTCTCTTCCATCGATGACGTTGTGAGGCGTCATCGGTGCGGCACGTGCGTCCGAAAGGACAAGGCGAGCTGTTCTGCCTCTCTGCGTGCGAGATTTCTCATTGATCGTTGGTGAAAACTCAAGATCGGCTTAGTGGAGACATCAGAGATTGGATCAAGGCGTTTACATCCGATCGTCCAGGCCAAATAAAATAAGCAAGGTGCTGAACCTAGTCAGCGAGCTAGTTTTGCGCAGAAAGGGTTTTCAACGTCAGAGGAATTAAGAACGCGCACAAACTTACAGTCAAAACTTCCTCACGCAGTATTCTGCGCAATCATGGCGTGACACTGCGCGGATCGAGAAAGTACACTGAACTGTGAGTCAGAATGCTGGCCACTGCAATTGGGCTTGGGATTGGAGCTGTTGGAGGAATCTCGGTGAGACCTCGTATATGCAGCTTTTTAACGTTTCGAGCACATTATCAAGTGCAATGCTCAAAGGGCAATGACCTTCGCCCCTCCCATTCAGATTGTTGGCATCGGCTTCCTCTTAGCACCTTTCTGCTCATTGGAATGCAAATGCAACCACTGCTGCACTGTATGCCAGTTTTATTAAGTATCATAATTTTGTGGGTGTGCTGCAGGCATAGAAGCCCTGGTCTCTTTGAGCAAAGGCAAAATCTGGTCTTTTAATCAAGGACTTCTAACCTTTCGCCCACTGTCCTGCAGGTTGGCAACCTCATTTTCCCTGGGAAGCTACCTGAGAAGGATCTGCACAAATTCTCTCTAGAAGCAGACAACGATGACACCATCCCCATGCCCCCCGCTGCCAAGGATGGCAATGTCCAGGGCAAGCCGCGGAACTTCCTGCCCTATGCACCAGCATGGGCCAAGCATCCCGACTATGACAGGGTATGCTTGCGTTTGCTGCCTTCCAACCTCTTCTTAAAACTGGCGATGTTCAACTCATAGACCAGAGTGCTGCACATCGCTACCGTGGTGGCTGGTGCCTAGCATGCAGGTCTTTTCTTGGCTCTCTGCGGTTGATGACCTGCACCATGACTTTTGTTTATGTCATAGTAAGCATGTGCTGCAGGTGCTGTGGATGAACACCACGCTGCGCACGATGTGGCCCTACTACAACCATGCAGTCGGGCAGCAGGTGCTGGAGCAGGTCAACCCTATCATCGCAGAGCAGCTCAAACCGGTGAGACCCTCCTAAAAATATTTGCGCACCTGCCAAGAATCTCTCAACTTCACTGCTGCCTGTGCGCTTGCATGCAAGCCGGAAAGGACCCCTCCTACATGAGCTGATGCTGACAGGAGTAGGGTGCCACAGTCATGACCCTGCCTTGCGAGTCTCGTCCCTGCATGCATGCTTGTTTGTTGTTAATTTTATTGCGTGCTTTCCTTCCAAGAGGCCAGGTGCGTCTGCAGACAACCTGTGGTTGAAGGCTGCGAAAATCCTACCCCTTGATGGACTCGCCAGATCCAAGCATGCTTGTTACCATCAGCAGAAAAGTCCAGTGCCTGCAAGTGATTGCCTGTTCCACTGCCAACTCCACCTCCAATTGGGTTGCCCACTGCAGCACAACCATGTGTGATCCTCATCTCATGCTGCAAAAACACCAGTGACATCTGGAGTGTCATGTGGCTGTGCAGTACCCTTTCATCCAGGCAGTGGACATAGAGGTGCTGGATCTGGGCACCAAGCCGCCAGCCATTGGCGGCGCCAAGACATACACATCCTCAGTGGACGAGGCCATCCTGGAGGCGCCCGTAATGTGGGGCAGCGACATGCGCGTCCGAGTCGCCGTGCGCATCAAGCTCGGCGGCTATGTGCTCTACCTGCCCGTCGAGGTGTCCAACATCCAGGTACGGCTCTGCCTGATGTCCGCGCTATAATTTCCCGCTCACGAACACTCCTGTAGATCCCCGACCCAAGAGCTAATATGTCGCTAGTGTCTCTCCAATGTCTTCAGAAAGATAAACTGCCTTCATTCAGCATTGGGTCCAAAGCTTTCAGTGGGTGCCCTGCACACACCTTCTGTCTTCTGGTGCTGTTCATGGCGCGATTTTCCTGCTCATGCAGCTGTATCTCTGCTGATGAACAGAAAAATGGGTTCAGACTTGCACTGCGGCAAACGCACGACATCATGGCGGTCCGAGGTGTGCATATGACCTCAAACTTGCCCATACAAAGCTTTAAAGAACCAGATATAAAAGAAGGACAGCAAAAATTGCATGTGCACGCAGGTGCGGGCGGACGCGCGAATTACGATAGCGCCCCTGGTGGATACGCTGCCTTGCCTGGGCGCAGTTTCCATCAGTCTACTGGACCCGCCACATCTGGACGTCAGCCTGCAGATCTTCGGCGGCCTCGACCTTATGCTCCTCCCGGGCCTCCGCGAAGCCGTGCACTTCGCCATCCACAAGGTGCTTGAAACTTGCCGGCCATTTTTTTCTTCGGTGTTCCATCCCTGCAGATTGAGAAGATCCGGCTCTGGGCTTTGTCACTGCTGCACTCATTGCTGGGCTGGCGTTTGTGACTGCATACTGAGGCAATGCAGCCTCTTCTTTTGCGACGTTGCATGCCCTGTAAGCAGAAAGAGAGCCTGCTTGTGGGACCTATCACTGATTGCTGCTGGACCTGAGGATGCAATCGCATGTTTGGGCAGTATGAGAGTGCTGCCAAAGAAGTCAATGACCCGACTACTGCTGCCTCGAGTAAACAGAAGAGAGGTTGCAAGAATATTGATGGAACGCCCTGAGATTCAGGAGTCAGTCTGCAAAAGTAATCTGGTGGATGTCGTGCAGGTCGCGGCGCAAAGATATTTTAAGAATGTGTGTGTGTGCAGGTGCTGGGCGACATGATAGTGTACCCCAACCGCATGTCCTTTGACATCATGCCGGGCGGCGGCAAGCCCCCCGAGCCAAAGGGCATGCTGGTCATCAAGGTCAAGCGCGTCAGTGACATCCACGGCGGTGGTGACCTCTTCTCCAAGGTGCGCCGTCCCTGGAACATTTGCTGGAATTTGGAACGATACAAAAGATACTGCAATGGCGCCTTTCAGACATCTTGGCTCTCGCTGGGGGGCGGGCACACTCAGTCCTGTGACTCTAGCTTGCTTACCATGGTTGGAACGCATCTGCAGATTGTGTCACATGCTGCCCTAGATAGACAACACACCACACAAATGCAGTGCTGCCCAAAACGGCTGGACTGGCTGTAGGCAGTTGAAGGAAAAACCGCAAGTGTCAGCAAGGGAAGGCTAGGGTTGCCTGTGTCACATTCAATGCCAGCATGGTATATTGTGGTCCTTGCAACCTTCTTCTTGACAGCTCACTTCCTATCCTCTGATGGCAACTCTCCATTTGTGATAATCCAGCGCTGACGTGGCGTCCTGGGTGCCTTGCAGGTGGATCCGCTGGTGCAGATGAGTGTGCGTGACGGGCGCAAGCTGGCGACTAAGACAGTGATGAACAACAAGAACCCGGAGTACAACAATGTCTTCAACTTCATCGTGGATGATCCGGAGAACCAGTCCATCACAGCCTACCTCATGGACAACGACTTCCCCTTCCACAAGGTGACTCATCCCTTGAGGCACATGCCAGAGCAGCGGTGTTGAGACAGGCGCAGGAGAGGGGAACAGTCGTTTCCAACAGGCTGCGCAAGGGAACAGACCTTTGCCAGTTTCTCTGCCTGTTTCAACGCATCACATTGTAGACCTCCGCTAAGTAATGATATCAACACAGTATACATGCATGGCAGCAGCATGTGTTGCTCAGTCCGTTGCCTGGCACAGAAGGCAACCCAAAAATGGGCAGGAACGGCCCGGAGAGGCACAAGAGTACAGCTGTGGGATTGCAAAGCACAGTACGCGTCAGGGCCATGTGCTGCCCACACACCATCACGTCCATTATCAGCAGAGATAGGATGACTCCCACACCATCGCACCTTCATTCAGACGCAAAAACAGCAGGGGCCGACGCTCTTGTGATGTGCTTCGCAGACGTTGGGCCTGGCGGACATCCCTCTGAAGGGCGCGGAGTTCATGACACAGCCCCGCAAAGTGGTGCAGCTGGAGACGCCCTTCTTCAAGCCCGAAGCGCACGGCCACCTGCTCAAACTGGCCAAGGTCCGCACCGCACTATTCTGATCCCTTGAAATGCTGCAACATCTTTCCTGCTCCTTTGCATTGTTGCAAGAATTTTCCGCTCCCTCGCATTGCCGCATGAAGTTCTCTGCCCCCTTATTTGCTTGCAAGGAATTTTTTGCAAGAAGGTTGCTGCTCCCTTGAGGCTGCTGTGCTCATTCAGCTTGTGCTGATGTCGCGTTTGGCGCTGCGAGAAATATAGCTGTACTTTCACACATTCCTCTGAATTCCCGTGTGCAGCGGGCAAGGCTCACATGCTGTGGGATTTCCGGATTAGTTGATGCTTCCTGCCTGAGCCCAGGCAGGCTGCAGCTGATTTTTGTTTGTTATCTAGAAAGTGAGCCCTCAAATCGCCAGAACCCAGGCTGGCGGGGGGCAGTTCAAACATGGAGAACCGTGCCCACTTTTGATTGGGTCCTGCTTGGATCTGGCGAGGTCATCGAGAGGCGGCAAATATGGCAGCCTTTATCGCAGCATGTCTGCTGATTGTCCTTGTCTCTGGCAGGAACAGCGTGTAAAGAAAAGAATAACAATACCTGCAGTAACAAATCTAGACCTGGGTTTCTTTGCATCTGGTGATTTTTGGTATCATGGCAGGTTGGTGCCGGCGCGAGCGCGGCCACAAAGGAGGCAACAGCCAGCACGATGGGAGGACCGGCAAAGGGGGATGCCAAAGCAGCAGAGGAGTCTGACAAGCCAGAGGCTGAAAAGGCCGACCAGGACCTTGACCGACTCGCCAAGAAGGACCCCGAGCGCTTCAAGAAGGCAGTGAGTGCCATCCGCTGACTTGTTAATGCTCATGTGCTTTTAGGGCATCTTGTCGTAGATGGGAGCCTTTGGGCCTGCCTGGCTGCTTTGATTTGTTTGTGGAGGACACCCAGCACATCAAGTCACTTCAATTAACGTCCCTGGTGTCCTAGCACACCCAGTGCAAAGCAACCAATGGCCAACGAGCAGCATAGACAGTGATCCTGACTTTCCATCTCGCCAAGTCCTGATCACCACGCGCTTTTGACCACACAGCAATGCGAACAGCAGCAATTCTATTGACAATGAAGGGTTCTACTTCTTTGTTGGCCATTTGCATGTGGGCTATGCATCTTGCTGAGCACACCATATGGCCCCAGACTCTTCACAACTCACTGTCAAGTGTGATGCGGGACCATGAAGGAGTAATTGTACGTGGAATGATATTTGCAGTATCTATGGTTGATTAGGTCTTGCTTAATCTAACAAGAATAGGATTCTGGCAGCCCTTGACTGCAGCATGTCTGCAGGACGTGCCTTGCCTTTTGGCAGGGAAGCCGTGATAATACTAATCAGTCCTGAAAAGTGGCTCTGCATCGGCTGCCTGTGCAGGAAGTGGGTCACCTGCACCTGGAGCTGCAGTTCTGCCCCTTTGTCGCGGCGGGTGAAAGGGCCGAGGCGGACTCCGGCAAGCCCAAGCCGGCCGGCGAGAAGTCAATGATTCGGCGCATGACTCGCAGCAACGTGAGCAATGACCACAAGGGAGTGCTCACCGTCAATGTCATCTCCGCTGCCAACCTCACGGTGAGTGCCGATAATCACTTGCCATGCTGCATGTCCTGTGAGCTGGAGCTTTCTTTGCACGGATTACAACAGCTGAGAGACTTCAGCTCCTGTGTGACTGATGAGGCTTAGTCACGAGGGGCAGAGAGGATCACTATCCAAGACTTGGATGCGGTGTATTCAGCATTCCATGGCTTCCATCTCGATAATCAGTGAAGAAGTCTTGGGATTCACATGCCCCGCATTTGCAAACAAGTTTTGTGCAGGTCTGGTCTCAGCAAACGAGCAATTCAATTGTTGCTCTCCAATACTTGCTGCTTACCAATGCTGCCTGTGCCGTACCACTGTTCAGCCGGAAGCCTACCACTGTTCTGAAGTCAGTTCTGACGCCCAGACCCCCAACGAGAAAGGGGACGTGGACCCCTTCGTGGCGCTGTCTCTGTACGACCCGGCCAGAAATGACTCGGAGCGGCAGGAGACCAGCAAGCTGGTGAACGAGCCGGACCCCAAGTGGGGGGAGAAGTTTGACTTCATCATGGCATCAGCCACCAGCGTGCTGACTGTGGACGTGTGGGACAGCCTCGGCTGGCTGGAGGGGCGGCTCTCCCTCAAGGGCCTCACAGGTGCGCCGCTGTCTTGCCTCTCCATGTGGTTGTAGTCCTTGCTGTGATCTCGTCCAGTGGTTCCTTCCCACGCTTTGAAGATTCCTTTGACCACCTCAAGAGTCTGCAGACGTGCGCCTCACTTATGAAAAATTTCTGTCAAACCTTGCGGCAAATGCGACTGTAGCCATATTAATCTGGGCATGCACTTGACCTGAGCTGATAAGGGGATGCTGTGTTGCCGTCCACATCTGCAGAAGTCTCAAGGGAAGAGGAGTTTTATTGGTGAGATAACCTTGGGTTGCAGGGCGCAAGGAGACGAAGCAGAAGATTGCTACACTGCGGCTGAATATCGCAGAGGTTGTGCGCAACGGCAAGATCCGGGACTCCTGGGCCCTGCAGGTTTGTCCCCTCTTCCGCCTGCAGCACAGAAATTTGAAAGTCTTCCCAATGCAGGGGAGGTCCTTGCCAATGTGAGGGCGCCAGGATATGGCCTGCCAAAACCAAGTCAAGCTGCAGAACAAAAGGCTGGAGAGCTCAAAACAGCAGGATTTTCGGAGACTGATGACACTAGAGTATTGTAACTGAATCCGTAACTTCCAAAGTGCACGCCTTCTCTAGTTGTCCATGTCATGGATTCGAGAAATGCAATGCAGTATGATGCTGAGTTGGCAGGCACATAGCGATCGTGCATTGTTGTATCTCGCTTCTTTGCATGCCCAATTCCGCAGCCTTATGTGTTTCATAACTGCTGCAAAAAGAGAGTCTGCTGCTGGCGGCTGTGCAGTGTTTATTGCAAGATAGTCACCGCTTGTGTGCTTGATGTGTGCAGGACACTCAGCAGGGTGACATCACTCTGGCGCTGACGTGGACGAGTGTGCAGCTGGATGCTGAGTCAGACATCAAGGCAGAGCCGAATGATGATGCAGACGAAGATGAAGAGTGAGTGTCAGATGTGGTGATTGCCAGTGGTGGTGAAGCAAGTGCGGGGAGGCTGGATGCAAAGACATGTTTAATATGAGACTTGAACATGCGGTCTGTACATGTCGTGTCCCAAACAAGTGTTGGATGTTTTGCTCTGTTGAGCCCGGAAGGCAGGCTTAGGATGCGCTTCACATTTTTTTTGCATTTAACAAATGTACCAGAGTAGTTTACCCAGCCAGCAAGGTTACGGTATCCGTGTTACACCTCTCTTTGGTTTCCCCAATTCACGTCCAAATTCACTCTGCCTCCTCGAGTGTAATCAAGCGCCCGTTCTTGAAATTTGTGACAATTTCAAGCTTGCAAGTACTGTAATGTTGTCAGAGCTTATGGCAACAGCCTGTATCCCCTGTCCTGAGCACTCTATTCTTGAGTTGCATGCAATGCCCAGCACCACTTGCTCTTTGTGAATATCTTTGCCAGCCTTGGCTTAAATCGCCATCCTGTGCTGTTTCCAATGACTAGCTCCTGTGATACTGTCGCTGCCTGTGCCGCTGAGTTGCAGTCAAGGCCCTTCCTCTGCAGTAGCAGCAGCAGTGCATCCGTGCTTGTGCCTGCTCACCCGATCCTTCCGCTGGCCATTGGCCACTCCTAGGCTGCGCCAGTACTTGTCTTTGCCAGCCAAGGGAAAGTCCTGCACTGGCGTCCAACCCCCAGTGTTTGGGCAGCGGAATTCACCCCAGCTTTCCAGCCGCGCCTTTATCTTCCTTGCCTACTCCCCACATCCTATATTATTAGTATAATACGCTTTTCATGCCAGAGGTAAGGTGCATCTGCAGACAAGCTGCATGTGAACGCCACCAGAATCCTATCCCCTGATAGACTCCCCACATGCAAGGAAGGCAAGCGTGGGCATGGGGCGCAGTATTTGTACCGCCTCCTGCCAGTCGGGGCCTAACAGGCTGTGTAAAAAGCGCTTATAGCACAGCCCTTTGCTGTACCAGTGACTATCTCATGTGACTTATGCGGTTCACCGAGCAACTCCAACAGCTCAAGTGAAACAGCTGCATAAAACCGTGTCTCTACCTTCTGGACTTCAGCCAGGAAGTCAGAGATTATGATGATGTGGCCTGGGCGGCTGTCAGTCATCAGCATCATGTGGCAGTACATCCAATGCGGTACACAGCCCTAGAGATCATCCTTCTGCTCCTCGGCTGCCTTCAGCCCTGGCAACAGTTCCCGCAGAAGATTTTACCATGAATAACCCGGCCCTCTTGAAATGGCAGCTAGGAATGGGCATGACACTTCTAAGAACCTGAAATGTGACATGGCAAGTGCCTTAAGAAGGTTGCATTGAGAGAGAATAAACATAGGAAGGGTATGTGAGGTCGTGCTCCTCCTCAGCACGCATGAAGACAGAAGAGCGAATCTGAAGGTGATTGCAAGACAACAAGGACACCATGCATGGCAGACAGAAATGGACAACAATACAGCACCTGCATGGCTTGCCATGAATCCTTCATGACGTGAGTCTGGTAATAAGAAGCAAACTCACAAGCCCAAGGAATCGTTGGGGCAATCTCTTTCGCTCTCCTTGTGTTCTTATTTTTCTCTTTGGCCAGTCTGGCTTCTTCTTTGGGAGTCAGTTCTTGATGGCCTACCACCACTTGAATCGCTAGCGCGGAAAAAACCGAAGAACTTTCTCCAGCTTGTCCGCAGACAAGTCATGATTGAAGACGTGGCGTGCGTGTTGAGGTTGTTCTCAAGTATCATTGCAGCATGTCTAAGGCAGTATCAACCTGCAATGGAGACTTTGCACGGCGCACGGCAGGATTGCACATTAAACCAGCCTCAAGACGCGCAATAAAGCTGAATTGCATGAATGGCGTTGAACTCTACCAAACTGTGTCTTTCAAGGCCAGGGATGTCCTCAGGATGATTCTGAGCACTCGGGATTTGTACCTTTGCAGCATGGCATACCACTGCTCTCTACGCTCCAGCAGAGCTTGTAGGGCAACGCACACAGCCGCAGCAGCGCCTCAGTATCTGCCAGTGTCCCACAGAGAGAAGACAACAGGCAGAACTCCCAGCAGCTGCAGCAAGCCTGTCACATGCGCTGCTTGCTCTGCAATGCGCGTCCAGATGCAGGGATCGCGAAAGCTGGTATTTGGACGCTGGCCTGGCTTCAAGCATGCTGCATCGCACACATGGAAAATATCCGGTGAGCAGATGGCAGAAGCCGGGCACGCACCCCAATCAAGACGCATAGGGAGTCGAAGAGTGCAGTTGAATGTCTGTAGCTGCCCTAAGCACGGTGGCCATTGCACCCTAGGCAGACGCTTGCATCTCATTCCAGCGGAGTTGAATGGGGTCGCTTCTTTTGAGGCATTGCGATGCACGACATTGCTGATAGATACAGCCTGCAAGAGGGGTCTCACCTTCATTATTGCTATGTCTAAATGCGAGGAGGCGAACAAAGGCCCTCACGCTGTCATCCATTCGCAGGAACAAGGGGCACATCTCGTACAAAGAGCAGAGCTGGGCCAGCTTCACTAGGCACTGCAGGTGGCACACAAATCCATTATTCACTTGCACAGGACCAACTTCAGTGCACATCAAGATGCTGGTCAATAGAGGATCGACATGGACATTGTGACTTGAGATCTTGTTTGGGTAAGATCCAAATTGCACTCTGCTTTGCATGCAAGACAGGCAAAAGAATACCTTCAGCAGTAAGTCCTGGTGTACATCCTCCCCTCGAGGGACTTTTTTTTTGCGTTTCCTGACCACCGCCTTATGAGGGCTTCCAGCCGCCTGATCTCTGTCTGTAGCTAACTTGCACCACTGCTGGCACCAATGGCAAATCATCCATTGAGGGATAAAATGACGGTGCTAGCTGCTTTCGCAAAGTGCATAAGAAGAAAACATGTGCATGAGGATTTCAATCCTTCTGTATCGGGCAAAATTCTGGAGGCCAGACAGAATCCTCAGTTTCTTGTCCATACGTGGGATCATCGTCTCATAAAGGAGGCACATATTAAACACCTTCACCAGGCACTGCGGGAGGAACAGTGCCCACACGTTGATGAGGCTGATACAGTTGGTGTCAACCTGGTAGATATAAGCAGTAATACTTGCACAGTTGCCTGACCCATGCACTGATCTGGAGCACCTGTCAGGCTGAGTCTCATTGACGTTTCTATGTGATGATAAAAAAAAGGGCTGCCTCAGTCAGTTTGAGTGCTGTGCGTGCTATGGCAAGAGATGCTACGCAGGTTGTACCTTGCGAGTGGCTGCCTTGTCTGCAGCTGCGCTAGAGCAGGGACGTATTGTATGCAGCAGCTCGAGCACCTCCAATTGCAGCTTTTCACCTGCAATGATCATCTTCATCGCACCACTCCTCCTACCAGGGCTGACGGCCTTTGCCGCGCAGAAGGAACACACAGCCCTAGCAATAGCGAGGGTCCCCTTGTACTTCCCACAGATGGGGGCCCGAGGCCAGTTCATCCCCTGGTTAGGCACGCACAATTATAGTGCAGACAAATGGTTTTCTTACTCCTAGCTTCTTGGCGTGCAAGAGCTCAGCGGTTGTCTTAGTTTATTGGACCAAGAGCAGGTGGATCACCTAATTCCTTTGGTTCCAATGCATCGCAGGAGCTCAGGGAAAGTCATGTTTCCATCACCAACGTGTTGGACTGCCGCCTCCTGCATCGTATGCGGCTGGTGAGGATACGAAGAATGATCAGATGTACAAAGTATCTCCTTCGATAACCAATACTCACAGAACAGCAACGCCCAACGAGTTGTCATTCAGAGCCAAATAAAGCCAAGGGAAGCTGCTGCCCTGTTGGGCAGCACGTGATCGGCCCGTCACACTTTGGTCATCTCAAGACATCCTTTTAGCCATGCAACAATTGCCCATTAGCCCGGTGAACTGTAATCTGCTTTCATGCACTGCATTTGAACTTCATCGCTAATTTTTCCAGTAGGCACCACACGATGCCCTGCTGCTGGGCTTGAACAATAGACAACCAATCTTTTGTTCGGTTTATCCAGAGTGCCCAGGCAAGATCAACAGCAGCCCTCACATCCTATCGCTCCCAAGCATTTATCTAGGCATCCTCTGCTGCTGCTGCTGCTGCTGCGCACTCACCCCTGTGTCCTCTCACCCAGTGCTTCTTCTGGCAGTCCTTGGAGCAGTACTTGACTTGTATGCAGCCCGCACACCGCAGCAGGTCCGCGCACAACTTCTGGCATTTTTGGCACCTGCGTGGCCACGATTTTCAGCTCACTACCAGATTTGTCAGCCTGACAAAACAAGAAGAGTGCTTTCACTATTCACACACACACAAATCAAGAAAGCTCTTGCCTTTTGACACTGGCAGCGGAGAAGCATGATTGGACATTGTTAAGAGCACGCATCATGAAGTCTTGCAAGAGGGCTGCGGATGCCTGCTTCAGTACCGGTCTCTACAGCTGAATCATCCACTCTTGTAGTGCACAGATCTTCGGCACCAGCAGAAACACATGATGTGGCTTTGGAGACTGACCTGACATGAGAAAGCTCCTCCTGAAGCTGCTGATCTGTGAAGGTCGGCATCTCTGTTTCTGCAAAGGCAGGGTCCTGCCTGACAGCATCCCTGAAGCGTGCCGCCACTGCCAGGCTGCGCCAGTAGTCGTCCCTCATTGCAAGGCTTCTGCTCTTTACTGGCGTCCGGCCGCCTGTAACTGGGCAGAGAAATTCTCCCCAGCTGTCTAGCAGAGCCATGTCCTTCCTTGCCTGCCCACCAAACATCCCTAAGTTGAGTGTACTGCTCTTGGACCTTTGTCGGCTTCTTCTGCGGTCTCACCAATTGGTGAGTGCAAGACACTTGCAAGATACTGTAGTACACAGTCTAAACCCTACAAAAAATATTTATTTCTGGCCAAGAAATGAGGAAAACAACCCTATTATCCAAAATATAAAACCTTGAAGCTGCTTTCGAGAAATTCCCGCACCGCCGGGGGTGCGGGCTTTACATTGAGTACTACAATACCGGGTTCTACAGATGAAGGGAAGGCAGACACCCTCAATTCACTAGGAACTTTAGGTGTGCTAATGTTACATGATGCTCGGAGTCGATGCACCCACCTTTTTGACCTCGGCCTGGAATTCTGACACTGTGATGGTGTGGCCTGCATGGCTTCCAATCAGCAGCAGGAGGTGGCAATATGTCCATTGCAGAGTGCTAGCGTGGAGATCGTCTGCAGACTTCAGCCCCGGCAGAAGTGCCTGCAGGTCAGTCGTCATCAGCATTACTAATCTCAACCCTGCCGCAGACAACCCATTTGACATGCATCCTTCCAATGCCCTGCGCGACAATGCATGGCATACAACACATGGTGCACCTGTGGTCAATGAAGCAATGCTCTTGTAAGTGACGTCCATAAGGCATCGATTCGAGAGAAGGAGCCGTTTTCAGGCCTGCTCTTGTTGTTGTGCTTGAGGGAAGATCACCTGCATTGCTATCTGTGGGTTCCGTATGCCTTTCAAACAATAGCTGACAGCATGTTCGCAGAACCAGGGCGCTGCCGGGTCGATCACTGTCATTCTGCGCGCGGTAATGGTCAAGTCCCTCTCAACTCCTGACCCCCTCTGCTGGATTGCTATGGTTTCCAGGGCAACCATAAGGCCATGGCAAATCACTCCCTCCACTTTGTCGGCAGACAATCCTTGCCTGGACACACACAGCACACACTGTTACTCTCGGTGAGGAAATATGGAAAAGCTTTTACTTGAAAGGGAACATCAGAGTCTTTCCAGACGCGTGAAACAGGAACTCTGATAAGGAACTGGTGGCAGGCTCTCTAAGACCAGCATGCGACAGGACTGTCTCCATTGCGCGTAGCACTGCGGCAGATCATGAAAAATGGCAAAAGTGTGTTCCTAAGAAGGCTCACTGTCCGAGCAGGGGCGTTCCATCTGTCTCTGTGGCTGCGGAGTGCTTTTAGGGCCACGAGGGCCACAGGAGCAGCCTTGGAATAGATCTGTTTGTCCAGGAACTGCTGCATGATGGGCAGTGCTGCCAGCAGCTGCAGTGGACTTGTCACAAGCGCTGCCTGCTCTGCAATACGCTCGTCGATTTGCAGATCCTGGTACAGGAGCTCTGGCCTGAGGTAGACTGCAAAAAAGAATGAGAGTTTCGGAGAGGAGACATTCAAGACAACACGCAGAGTGCCCACTTGTTTTATGCAAGGCTGCCAGTCTGTCTGGACGCTGACGCACAGTTCACAGAGATGCCACTCAGTGCTACTCTTCAGGATTTTGAGCTTCCGATAGAACTTTTTTGCAGGGCATCTAGGCAGGAAAGTGCACGGGCACGCAAGTGTGGAAAGCTCACAAATCAAGCGCACACATGCTGAAAGGCTTTGCTTACCCCGTGAACTGCTTGATGCCTTCGTGTCAATGAACACCATCAGCCGAGTTCCAGCATTGATCCTTGGGTAGATTGTATTGTATAGAATGCAGACTCTTGCCAATTTGCTAAGACACTGCGGAAGCCACAAGTGACTCAGCATCAGATCCTGGGTCAATTATCAAGACTCGTGTGCATCTTCTTGACAAGGGTGGATCGTTGATATGTTGTAGGAGCACTGCACGTGACAACTGGCTATGTTGCATGTTTTTCATGGCTGTGTCTCACCTTCATCAGATCCTCATCGGTAACATGATCAGGTTGCAGGAGTTTGATGATCTCCATCTGCAGCTGCTCGCCTTCAATGACCGCCTTCATTGCACTGCTGCGCTCGTCCGAGCTGACGGCCATTGCAGCGCAGTACGAGCAGGCTTTTCGGCCTTCTATGGTGTCGAAAGTCTCACAGACATGGGTGGCAATGCCGTCCGGCCCTGTTGCACACGCACAACTCAAATATCTACAGCAGTAGATACTGGAGTCAACTACAGCTGCAGGCTGGAACCAGGGACGATAAAGCTTGCATTGGGGAGGCAAATCGTAACCCCACGCAATATAGTGGTCTATAAGTAAGTACCGAAGATATCATCAGGTGTGAAAACACCCCCAGGTGTGACGATAAAAGCCGCCATGCTTCCGCTGAAGCTCTACTTCTCTTGATCGACTTTCCTTTGTCGCCCTGCAAACTTGATGTGCCAGGCAGATAGAATTCACCTTTTAGTTTGCTTGATAAAAAACTTGCTTCTCACGAGCTTGCTTTTCAAGGCATCGTAATGTCCACGTCCTTGAGGCTTCCAAGAAGGAGCTGCCCGGGCTGCCCATTCGGGCTGCAGCTTCCCTGGCTTCCCACACCTTGCAAGTCTCATCACATCCACTTTCCTGTTAATTTCACATAATTGGTGCTTACTGCACCCATCAGCCTGTAACTTGGAAACACGGTTCTGTGAGAATTCGCAGAAACTCTTCCCATATGGGCGCTGGCATGCGACGCCTGTGAGCTGCTTTTGATTGCTATACTGTCCATCTTCAAGCCTAAAGTCCCACCTCATCTGCTTTGCTCTCCCAACTGTTTTGAACACTGGACATGCATGTAGCAGTGCTTTCTACGGTACTCTACTGCAGCCAAAAAACATCGTGCTTGCGCTTGACATGCACTGCAGCTCAAATACCACCTCAGTAATTTTTGACATTGCACGTTTGGTGACCCTGCGAATACCAACCATTACATGGTCATCCAGTGGTCATTGTTTACAAGCAAACTGAGCAGAAATCATCAACTTGAAGCTGCAGTGCACCCCCAGTGGAAGGGAGGATCTTTGGCGTCCTTTGAATCTGAGCCTGGCGCGCACACAGCTTACATATACCTGCAGCTTGTGGCTCAGCTCTTGGCATCCATTTCCAATCATTTGGATTTACAAGAAGTATACTGTGGCAATATTTTCAAACAGGATGCTCAAGCATCGTGCACAGATCTCCTCATTTTTCTCGCTGCTGCACACTCTCTCCTGCGCTTGGCCACCCAGAGCATTTTCTGGCAGTCCCTGGAGCAGTACTCGGCATAATGCATCCCATGCACAGCTGCAGCTTGTCGTTGAGTTCTAGGCAATTCTGGCACCTGCGCAGTCATTTAAAGGAGTTGCTCTTTAGTACAGAGCTCGGCAACCCCAGCATGGCAAGGCTTATGCATGGCCTAGTCATTGGCATGCACCTGTGATTCTTCTATCTGCCACACCAAATAGATCTGTTTCTCAAAGAAAGGCCAACAGGCTGGGTCCATGCACACGTCTTTCTGTATGCAGAGTTTTCTATCGGATTGAATTGCTTGAGGGTCCGAAGGATAAGTCATCCTCAGCTACTAGATTTGTTCAGTGCAGTTGGGAAAGGCAGGATACCCGACATGTCTGAGATATTCGTTAAGCAGCTGCTCTGTGAAGGGGAGGAGTTTATGGTGTGCAAACGCACAGTCCTTCTGGAGAAATACTTTGAAGCGCGCAGTCACTCCCAGGCTGCACCAGTGCTCCTCCTTGAATGCAATACCCTTGCTCTGCAGGGGTGTCCAGCCGCCTGTCTCTGGGAGACAGAACTCCCCCAGCTGTCCATCCGCGCCTTGCTCCTCCTTGCCTGCAGACCCCTCACATTCGTTGCCTCTTATTTGCGTCCATAGCCCTCAGCGTGGGCTCCTCACCGTCACCTCATGCATGCTGTCATTTATTGCAAACAGCTGACTGCGGAGCCACGCTGCTTCAAGACCGCATCACTGTGGCAACATTCGTTCATGTGAGATTATAAAGGGACAGTTTCCAAGTGAGAAACTCACCTTTCTCACTTGCGCCAGGTAGCTGAATACTGTCACTGTGTGGTCTTTTCGGCTTCCATTCAGCAGCATGAGCTGGCAGTATGCCCATCGCAGATGGCAGGCAAAGATGCCATTTTTCTCCTTTTCGGCTGCCTCGAGCCCTGGCAGAATGGCCTGTAATTCCCATCTTTCAAATCCATTCTCATCCCTTGTAACGCACTTAGGCGAATCTCGAGATTTTTAAACATGTGATGTATTGCAGCGTTGCCCCTTGCACTATGCGGCAACACATGGCACGGCAAGGCCCAAGAAACAGGGCACAACACAACATAGCATACAGCACAGTCAAATGGACTTGGGGGCGAACGGCGCATGTTTCCAGTCGAGGAATGCAGCATCACCTTCATTGCCGCCCAGGGATCATGCATGCCAGTGTAAGTATAATCTGCAGCAGCTAAGCAGACCCAGCGCGCTGTGGGGTGCATTTCCCTCACTCTTCGCAAGCTTTTGGTCCGGTCAAAGGTCGCTCGGGAGAGTTCTTGTGGAGTCAGATCGTGCTGTCCTCCCAGCGCCGACAAAGCACTGATCAGCCCACACTGCAGCAATTCCTCCACCTTCTCCAGAGGCAGTCTATGCCTGAGCACACATGATGTTTCTGAGCGTCTGTGCAAAAAAACTTACGGATCTGCTTCATTTGTCGGCGAAGCGTTGCAGCAAGATGTGGCTTCACCACCTGTGTTGCCAGCTTTAATTTGCTGCAGCAGGATTACAAATTCAGGTGGTGAAGAGCATCACCTCCAATGATATCTGAACCATTTATGCGGAGGTTGATGAGCCTGCTGACGTCTTTGATCATCCTGGCCCATGGGACGTAGGGAATCGTAGAGGAGGTACAGTTTTGTCAGATTTGCCAGGCACTGCAGGCATCAAGACGGGCGCCAGACGTCAGCTGAAGAAGACAGGTTTTGCACAAGACCTTAAAAACGGTGATTACCTGCTTGTTTCCGGTATTGCTTCTTCAGCACAACACTCTGATACTCAATCTGACAAGGAGATACCTTAGTGGTAGTTTCTGGAGTGGCCAACGATGGTGGCAGCAGCAAATCAAAGTTCTCCAATTATGACTGTTTTCATTGAACCGCTTCTCTTTGCAGGGCTCACGGCCTTTGCCGTGCAGCACGAACACATCTCACGAGATGATCCATCGCTTTTGCTCCTACAGACGTGAAGATCCATCCCTGTAGGGGCAGCACAAGTGCTACAGGAGATCTCGGTCGAGACCAGGCAGTAATTATGAGGTCTGTCAAGACATAGGGTAACGCTTGAAACAAACCGGGGCGAGTTCTATGGAAGTAAAAAAATGCTTCAGCCGGCTTTGACGGATTCTAGCGCCTTCAGCTGAGTATGAACCCAGAAGCTACACAGGGTGTGGTGAACCTGTATCCTATGATGCGTTCTCGTCTTGATCAACGCAGCTCAGCAGAATCTGACATGTAGAACGGCTTTGGGACAGTCATCCAACGATCGGAGATTATCAAAAGAGCTTTGTGTGTTCAGAGAACCATCTGTCTCTGGGCTGCCCGATTGGGCAGCGGGCTCCCCCACCTCTGTGGGGAATTACGTCCTTGAAAAGTTGATTGGGTGCATCAGAGTCTCGTCAAAGTTCATAGTGGTACTGCCATTTTCGCCAGTGGTCCAGGCCATGAGCCTCATGTGCACATCCAGTCCAGCATAGTGCATGTCTTTTGAGGAAATCTTCAAGAAGGCAGACTTCCATCTTTGCCGAAGAGAAATTACATTGAAAGTTTAAGCTGCTGTGGATGCTTCTGGCCTGTCACAGCCCTGATGTTGCTGTGAAAGTTGCTGAGTACGCCAAATGACAATGTGAACACTCTCAGACGTTTCTGGCTACACTGCCGTATGTCCCACCGCCAATGTTACATAGTCTTCACACATAACTAACAATTACAGTGTCTCTTGTCGAGGTGCTGAATCCATGCAACCAGCTCAGTGAGCTGGTCTTACTCACTCTTGACATGCTCAGAGACCCCGGCACTTACAACTTTCACACAGTGAACTGCTGCCACAAGCCTTTCACAAGCCACACATCTTTCTCATGTTGCCCCTGCTGCAGTGCACTCCTGCTTGTGCCCGCCCACCCAGTGCTTCTTCTGGCAGGCAGCAGAGCAGTACTTGACCTGCTTGCATCCAGCACACCACAGCAGGCTGTCGCTCAGCTCCTTGCACTGAAAGCACCTGCAAATCAAAGCAGTTCAGCCTGTAGAAGTCTCTTAAAAGCTGGCTTACATTTCAGGGGAGCAACTCCTTAATGGCATGTGTCACAAATTACCAGTGCATGCAGAGCCGGCTCTTGGGCAGAACATCCAGGATTTCAAGCTGACTAGCAGTCATCAGCTGGGTGAGATTCTTATAACATGTGCTTCAGTTTGGTGGGTGGCATGCTCACAAAGAGGGCACCACTAGTCGCTGTCCATATATACAAGAGGCACATAGACATCTCATCCAGATCACGGATGGCAGTGTATAGGCTGAACACGTCAAGCTGCTGCTGCCCACGCACTTTGACAAGCACTGCAGGCATCATGTGGTGAGTTCACCTGACATGCATGCGCTCCTGCTCAAGCTACTGCTGTGTGAAGGCTGGGAGCTGGGTGTCTGCAAAGGCAGGGTCGCGCTTGATGGCGTCCTTGAAGTGCGCAGCTATTCCCAGGGTGCACCAGAAGTCCAATGGCGATGCCAGGGGGATGCTCGGCACTGGTGTGTAGCCTCCGGAGTTCTTGCAGCGGAACTCGCCCCAGCTGTCCAGATGCGCCTTGACCTTTTTTGCCTGACAACAAAAGGAACAAAGTCACTGTACTCAGGGAAAATGCAGCATCTTTTGGCACCAACATGTTTGAATCTACTGGGGTTCATAAAAGGCAGATCATAGCACATACCTTCTTGACATGCTTCAGGAAGTCAGACACTGTGATGACCTGATCTGGGCGGCTGCCAGTCAGCAGCATCATGTGGCAGTACATCCACTGCAGTGGGCAGGCCTTCAGGTCATCCTTCTGCTCCTCAGCTGCCTTCAGCCCTGGCAGCAGTTTCTGCAGACGCAACAGCTCACATATATTTATGCAGTGGCCCCTGCCTTTCAATGCCTCTCACTGACAGCAAGTGAAGTCTGCTTGTCCTGCCTCTGTGACACGTGCGGATGTGATGCTTCACTGATGATTCCTGAAGGACATCGAGCAGCAACCTGCCCACAAACAGGATTGATGTGGTGATCAGGGTCATGGCACCTGCATGGATTGGTGGGGGTCCTGATTGGCGCCCCACTCAAAGAGCGCTGCTGATGCGCACACCCAGGATGCTTTGGGATTGACTTCCTTCATTCTGACCATGGCAAGGACGTGGGCTTTGTAGCGTGAGACCCTATTATGGCCGGTCAAATCAGGATCCTCTCTCACCATTTGCATGGTCACATCCACAGCAATGCGGAAGAGACTTCCTCCACTTTGTCTGCAGACCAGCCATGCCTGCACATGCATCCCACGGCACAAGTGCATGCCTGGCATCAACAGGCAACGCAGTGCGTTGTGTGTGCTCCATGTCTTTGCGGAATGCAAGCTGCGGCTTTGCACTGCGTGTTCAACGGATAACTGAGAGCCGGGAAGCAACCATACTGGGTCAACCAAGATCCTTCGTTCAAAAGAGGTCCTTACCCTTTCAGAATGGCATCCCAATGCTCTCGTCGATCCTTCAATGCCTCTAGGGCAATAGTGGTGAATAAAAATGCTTCGCAGCATTCTTTGGATTGTACTGAAGACCAGACCATGAGCAGACCTCCAAGCAGCTTGAACAAGGTTGTCACTTTCTTTGCTTGCCTGTAGATGTCAGGGAGCTCCCGGCCTGATGGCAAGGTGTATTCTGCACAATGAAATAGGCTATCAGACATCAAGAATTTTGAAATGCAGCTTTTCTCCTGCTGCAAAACAGGGCATGCTTCAACATTGAGTAGGCGTCACTGGCTAGGAGTTGCCGTTGCAGTTATCATGTGCACAAACATTCCAATATTTTATGTTGCAAGAAATCAAATTAAAGCCAAGACTCCGTCCGCAGACGCAAACATGCAAAAGCGCCATTAATGCAGATCGTGTTCACCTGAAGTTTCCTATGCAGGGGCTGGGAGCTGCACTTACCAGTATGGATGAATGGAGATTTTGAAAGGCTGTCAAGGAAAGCTTTGGTCTCCTCGTCAAGTCTCGGGAATATGGTTTCAAACATGTGGCACAGTTGAAACAGCTTGACCAGGCACTGCAGGCAGCAAACATCTCTGTCAGAAATTAGCTTCTGGATATATTTAGCAAGCTTGGTGAGTTACTAGCGCATTCCAAGATCATGATCCGTACTAGGCCAATTAAGAGGAATCGATTGTTGAGTGTGGGGTGGGATGATCTTACGACCAAGTCCATTTTTTGAGCAGCTGGGAATCCCTACTTTCACCATGGTTTCCTCGTCTTCCTTCTTGATTAGTAGCGTTTCTCGTCCTTCAATCCAGTGGATCATTGTCTTGTGCAGCTTTTTGATCTCGATCTGGAGCTGCTCGCCCGCTATGACTGCTTTCATCGTGCCGCTTTGCTTGGAAGGGTCAACAGCTATTGCAGCGCAGAAGGAGCACAAATCTCGTGACTCTCCACCCTCATGCCTGACACAAGTCCCGCAAGCGTGGCCATCCATACCTGGCAAGGTGGCACACAATCACTTGAGTCTCAAGCAAGAAGGACGGACCCAGAACGCACACTAGCGAACACATATGCGTGATCGTCACTTTTTAACACTGAGGATGAGTTTGATCTCTCGATCCACATTTGCTTAGCGGGCTTCTGGGTCGCAGACGCACTGTCAAGCCTGAGACTTCAGACAAATGACTTCCTTGGAAAGCTCTTGTGCCGAGGTCCTTTCGTGTATCGGCCGTAGGTGGAAAGATCTCGACTCACACTGACATGAGTGAATTCACCGTGAAGATCGTTTTGCTTTATCTAGCTCCCAGTTTGCATTGTTTTTTCCGGTTCATCCCAAGGGAGAGCTTGCCAACGTTGGCTGCCCAACCGGGCAGCGGGGGGTTCCTTTTCCAATCCGTCATAAAGACTCTATAGTAATCTACAGAACGGCGATGCCTGAGTTACAGTGCCAGACTGTACGCCACTTTAGGGTACCACTCAGCCACTGCTCGGGGCGCAAAAGGTCTCCTAAGAATTAATGGTCTATTGGTGCCTTCTGTGCGCATTCTTGAGTGCTGGACACATGTGGGATTATTCCTGGGCAACGATAGCTTGCATGATTTGCAATTCCCTGAAGTAATTACAAAGAATGCTTTGCGACCGGGGTGACAATCATGGCCATTCTGAGGATCACTAATGAGGGGCTACAATTAATGTTACTCGGGCACCGTGTGACTGCTGCACGCTACCAGTGGTTTGCCCCACTGCCTGATCTAGATCTCTATTTGCTCGAGCGTGTGCTGCCACTGTGTGTGGACCCTTTCACCAAGTTCCAGATGAAGAACCTCTGCACCTGCCAGAACACACACCAGGTCCAAGTTGCAGACAAGGCTGAGATCTGCTCAGGTGCCTTGCTCTACAATTTCTTGAAGTCGCCTCACCCTCAAGCTAAAGCAAGCCTTTCTCAGACTAAGCTTCTGTCATCCTGTGGCCTCTAATTTGATGCTGCTGCTGCACACTCATTCTTGTGGCCCCTCTTCCAGTGCTTCTTCTGGCAGGCAGCAGAGCAGTACTTGACCTGCAGGCATCCAGCACACCACAGCAGCTTCTCGTGCAGCTCCTGGCACGCGCAGCACCTGCGATAAGACGCTTCTGACCATCAGCCATATTGGCATGGCGTACAGAATAGAGATGCTTCATACAGGCAAAAGCAGTGCCGCACAGCATAACTTCCACCAGAGATCCCGTGCATATCAAAATGGAGTACTTGCACAAACACGTCTGCCCTGCTTTGGTGTTTTTGCTTTGTAAAATTCCTTCTGTGTGCCTGTACCATTCCAGCGCAAGTGCGCCCATCATAAGAGCTGCTCACCTAAGACGCACACGCTCCTGATCAAGCTGTTCTTCTGTGAAGGCCGGGAGCTCTGTGTCTGCAAAGGCTGGGTCGCGCTTGATGGCTTCCTTGAAGCGCGCGGCCACTCCCTGGCTGCGCCAGAAGCTCCTCTCCCCGGCCAAGGTTTTGCCACGTACTGGCGTCCAGCCGCCAGTGTTTGGGCAGTGGAACTCTCCCCAGCTGTCCAGCCGCGCCTTGGTCTTGTTTGCCTGTTGGAAACCAGAACCATTTATTATTGTTATTCTTATTATCATTACAAGAATTTCCTGCCAACAGGCAAGATGCGTCCTGCAGGCAAGCTGCAGTTCAAGGCTGCCACAATCCTGCCCCTCGCCAGACTCGCAATATCCTAATAAGACCCAATCAAGCGTGCGGACGGTGCTCCGTACTTATACCGGCCCTTGCCAGCTGGGGCCAGAACCATTTGCTGTTACGTGTTGTACCTTCTGGGAGATACACCTCCACTTCAAGATAATTAAAAAAAATCTTGTGAGTTTGACACTGATGTCCGCTACTTACAGTCTGAGGTGCAAGCAGGACCCACCTTCTTGACATACTCCATGAAGTCAGACACTGTGATGGTATGCCCACAGCGGCTCCCAGTCAGAAGCATCATGTGGCAGTACATCCACTGCAGCGGGCAGGCCTTGAGGTCATCCTTCTGCTCCTCTGCAAATCTCAGTCCAGGCACCAAGTCCTGTGCAATTGCCATGTTGTTCTTTACTGTCCTTGGCAATCACGCCTCAGAAAATGGGAACACCCACTGAACTTGCACTCATTCCCGTCAAGAAATACATTTTTGGAGTCATATGTGACTGTCCTTGTTTTCCTGCTGGAACACTGTACTTTTATTATTAGTATTATTATTGCACGCACTTCCTGCCAAGAGGCAAGGTGTGTCCTGCAGACAAGCAGTCAAAGGCTGCCTTATCGGACGCGACAGATCCAAGCAAGATCCAATCAACCGTGGGCACTGTGTACAGTATGTTTACCGCCCCCTGCCTGCCTGGGCCAACTTATATTATTTACCACTGAGAAATGCTGTGGTGTAGTCATATGGGACTGTCCGTGCTTTCTCGCCGCAATATTGTACACTGCATATCAATGCGGCTTGGCCAGGACGGGATTATCACCTGCATGGCTTTGGATGAGTCCTCCTCGAAACTGTGCTGGGCAGTCCATGCGGCGACCCACGGCGCTGACTCATTCAGCGTTTTTGCACCAGCTATGTTGAACTTCTGTTGGAAGGCCATCGCCCACTTATCATCGTCGTTGTCGAGCTTTCTGTCAGCTGGTGCACCACTGCTGCATTCACCGCGATGCGACAGACTTCCTCCACAATATCAGCAGACAGGTCGTACCTGTACAAGCACAGCAAGTAAAAATAATCATAAGCTTATATCAGCTCTCAGGGCTAAATGCGTTGCAGCAACCTCTCCAAAACTCCACTCCAGCCTTCCCTGTTCTGGCACTTTTTCCACCAACTGCACGCCAATCAAGTGGAGTCCGGGTCCTCCCTAATGCAATCATTCCGGGCACAGCCTATCTATTTTTGATACAAATATAAGAAAATCTTTAGTGCAGGGGAAATTTCTGCTCCGCTTTTGCATTGCGTGTTTCACGCTGTTAAGCCCCATGCATGCAAGAAACCTGCACCGTTGTTCGCTTGTACCTGACTTCTGTATCTGACTGCTGGCATCAGACAAACAAAGTAGACCTTGTGGGCTCAGATATTCTCGAGTTGGTCATAAGATGCAAAAAGAACGTACTGTTCCAGCATGGCATCCCATGGCCTTGGGCCGTTTTCCAGGGCTTCCAGGGCAACAAGAGCCACAGCATTAGCATCCCAAGCGTTGCCGCAGTCCAGGTAGAGCCAGACAGAGGGAAGGACTCCGAGCAGCCGCAGTAGGGTCGTCACCTGCTGTGCCCGCCTGCAGATGCTGTCTTGGTGGGCCCAGTCTGCCAGATTGTACACTGCAGCGAACATGTAGCTACAAGTCAAGGACTATTTTTACTTACTCTTAATTTATCGGTACACGCTTATCCTGCCAGAAGGCAAGGTGCGTCCTGCAGACAAGCTGCAGTTCAACCCATCAAGAATCAGTTCAACCAATTGCTGGTATGCACGGCAATGACAAGGAAAGCATGCAGTCCAATTCTGCACCCTGCAGGTTCCCAGAAGTGCAGGTTCCCATATGGCCCTGATGTAAGGAGTGAGACACATTGCTCATAACACACCAGTGCTCACCACACGGGGAATTTTCATGGGGGATGTTGACCACCAGGGGTCTTAATGATGGTTAGCTTGCTGGGGGAAAGTGCCCACCTGCTCGAAGAGTTGAGATCCTTGCAAGAGAGGACAGGAAGGCTCTGGTATCGCGGTCAAGCCTTGGGTGAATGCCTTCATACATGTAGCAGAGCTTGGTGAGATTCACCAGGCACTGCAGCCAGCACATGCAGCTGTTAAGGATCAGTGTTTGGAGACTGCTGTCTTCGGACATTTGAACTAGATCTATTGTGCCCAGATAGTCTTGAGTAAGTCTCAAAATGATAAAGACAGTTGCAAAAATCTTCGAACCCCACCTTCACCACACTGACTTCATCTCCTTGGGCAAGTTCTAACGTGAAGCCTGTCGGGTCTGTCGATCCCTCCATTGGGCCTATTTTGCTCTGAAGCGCCTTGATCTCGGACTGCAGCTGCTCGCCCTGTATGACGACCTTCATTGTGCCGCTTCGCTTCATGGGCTCCGTTGCTTTCGCGGCGCAGAAGGAACACAGGTCTCGTGCAGGGGCATGCGTATGGCAGGCAGAAGCCCCGCAGATATGGCCATTCATCCCTGGGGCGATTGAAAGCGGCACAAAGTTGTTAAGAAGCATATGAAGTAAAGCACTAGCCCGACATATTTGCAGTACACCCAGGATATGTATGCGGATATCTAAATTTTTTGCGCGGATCACGGGAAGTCGTACTGTCAATCTCAGCTGGAATTTGAGGCGTTGTAAAGGAAGACACTATCGAGACTTTCAAGGCTGTATAAGGTTGCAGTGGCTCTGATGATCGCGTGTCCTATGGCACACCAAAGCAGTTCGAACCTGGATCTAAGATGATGGTATCCTCTGCCACGGGAACTTTGAATTGAGTGGGCCAGCAGCCAGTCTGCGGTGATTTTGTGTTCACCAAGGGAGGGGACCAACCCACGGCGGGCCGCCCAATTGGGCAGTAATAGCCCCATTTCAGAGAGCCTTCAAATCAAGTCCAAGGCATCTCAATATCCAGCAATTTGATGATCCCATATGTAAGCAAGCCAACTGCATGTTTCTCTGCATGCTGGAGGAATCTCATGGGAATTTCATGTGCGGAAGGGGAAATCGTGAAATGCCTCAGTCATTTCCAAGTGCTCTAGCACAACATAGCAGACACAACGCTGTTGTGTCCTTTAGAGGGTTGCGCTGCATATTGTTGTGATGTTTATGACATGTTCCATCATATGCTGATGCCATTATCCCGTTGCTGAGTTCCGGCAAGTTCAGAACCAATAGCTGCTCACAAATATACGAGGTTCTGCTGCCCTTCTGTATTAGAGTTTCTACCAACGTCGGTGACACTTTCCGGCTGCCCTACAACATTCTGATGACCTTGCAAACAACCCAAAGATGCCTGCCTCTCCACTGGAACATTTGGTTTGCTGCACGAGCTGTTCACAGTATCATACCACTTGAAACCATTGAAAGTGACCAATGATTGAGTCATCGCGCTCTTAAATTTTGGCATTCCCTCCAGAGGGTGAGCATGTCCAACTCTAAGCTGACTCTCCCTCATCTCCCACATCTTCTTCCTAAGATATAATTCGCGGCAGCTCGATTGAAGCCTCCTTACACTCCATCTTGTGCTGCTTCTTCCAGTGCTTCTTCTGGCACTCTTTGGAGCAGTACTTGGCCTGCTGGCAAGAGGCACACAGCAGCAGCCTGTCGCTCTCCTCCTGGCAGCTGAAGCACCTGCATGGCAGCACTTCCCCACCTGAAGCACATTTGCATGGAGCACCATGCACAGTAGTAAAGCCCAACATCACAGACTCGTTATTCACAGCAGGTTCTTTAACACCTTACTTGACAATGGCGTCCGCTGTACGTCTGCATGCATCTTTGTTATGACTGCAAAGCTTTGGAGGGAAATATGCGCTGCAGCAACCTCTCACTTATCTACTCCAGCCTTTTCTGTGTTGGCACTTTCCCCACAAATGGCATTCAATACCATTAGATCCGGGTTGCCCCTAAATCATTCATTCCAAAATTTGGCGGGTCTGCATGCATATTATGCTTAAGAATTTATGCATAGAATGCTAAGAATATTACAAATAGTATGCTAAGCTGCAGGCCCACCTGATATGGTTGCGCTCCTTGTCCAGCTGTTCCTCGGTGAAGGCCGGCAGCAGGGTGTCTGCAAAGGCTGGGTCATTTCTGATGGCTTCCCTGAATCGTGCTGCTGCTCCCAGGGTGCACCAGTACTCCTCCTCTGAGGCAAGCATTGACTTGGGCAGTGGCAGCCATCCTGGGGGGCACTCGCAAAGGTACTCTCCCCAGCTGTCCAGCCGCGCCTTGGCCTTCCTCGCCTGCAGGCCATGAGAGTTGGAGAGTATCCTAGTAGAAGGATCAGGGAGAAAAGGCAGGCCTGTCAAACCCTGGAATGTTGCGTTGGGGAGGAGTTGGACTCCATTGGACAGACACGTTATTGGTGGAGACAAGACAGGGAAGGCTGGACAGGAATTGTTGAGAGGCTGCTGCAACGCATCTAGCCCTGAGGGCTGGTATAAACGTGTACCAGTATTTGATCATATCCCTTGTAAACTATTGGACTGCCCCAAGACATTCCTGACTGGAGATCAATTAATGCCTTGAAACGTTATAGGCAAGACTGTGGGCAGAGTCCAGATGCCAATGTGGCACGTCAGCAGAATGACGGAACATGGGAAGCTTACCTTCTTGACATGGGCCAGGAATTCAGAGACTGTGACGGTGTGGCCTGGGCGGCTGCCAGCCAGCAGCATGAATCTGGAGTACATCCAGTGCAGCGAGTTGGCCTTGAAGTCATCTTTCTCCTCCTCTGCTGCTTTCATTCCTGGTTCGACTTCCTGCAGGAACGCCACCATTCACCATCATCATGTAAGTATTAATTAGCTCTCTTTTTGCCAAAAGGCAAGATGCGTCCTGCAGGCAAGCTGCAGTCAAAGGCTGTCACAATCCTTCCACTTTGTTGGATGCTCTGTCTGCCAAAAGGCAGCATGCGTCCTGCAGGCAAGATGCAGGTAAAGGCTGCCACAATCCTACTCCTGGTCAGACTCGCCAGATCCAAGTAAGACCCAATCAACCGTAGGCACGGTGCTCAGTATCTAAATCAGTCCCCAACAGGGTCATTATGCATGCTACCAGCCTAACAGGCACTCTTCTCTTCTGCGCCCAAGACGAAGAAGCCAGCATGCACATCTGACATTTTGGTCTGCTGAGTGGACAACTTTTGCATGCGAAGTGACCACATGAGCATTCTCAAAGGTAACGTTTGAAGTGCCAATCAGCTGCATGCATGATGTCCCTTTTGATGTGATTGGGAAAAGCTGCACTCTCATATTTGCAATTAAAGAGGTCCTGCAAAGTGCAGGTAGACAGCATGTTCAGGGCGCAGTAATTATATCCCATTGCTGATTCAATGCCTCAATTTTGGGCAGTGACTCACCCGCATGGCCTGCAGAGGATCTTCATTGACAGCCCACTGGTGCCAGCCCAGATCATGGCAGCTCCAGGCTGCGGTTGGGTTCAACTCCTTCATGCTGTCCATGTTCTTGACCTTCTCGACTGCCATTGCATGGGTGCTGTCAGAGTTCAGGTCCGCCCAGCGGAAGAGCCCTTCAAGGGCTTGTTTCATGGATAGCCGGAACACCTCCTCCACTTTGTCCGCAGACAAGTCTTGCCTGCAAGGACACGGCACATGCATGTGAGCTTCTGCTACTTGCATGAGCAACAACACATGCCAGCTTTGCCCTGTGGCTTTGCCATGTCAATGATTACAGTTCTGCATGCACCACACTGTCTTATTTGTCATGCATGGCAGGCACAGTCCTGATTAAGAAAGCATGCATTACGCTGTACTCAGCAGAGGTGTAGGATGCTGCATGCATGCGGGACAGACAAGGCGACCTACTCCTGCAGCTTTTCATCCCACTTGCTGCGGCGTTCCTTCAGCGATGTCAGACCAATGGCAAGCATGGAGGCGGCTCCCCCGAAGTTCATGTGCCCCACAAAGAGATACACAACCGGCAGAATCCCCAGCAACTTGCGCAGATTTGTCAGGCGCGCTGCCTCCTCCACAATGTAGTCTTGGCCATCTCCGTAATGGTCTGGACTCTGGAAATCTACGCACACAAGATGTTGCCAAGTGAAGTGCACTTGTCTGAGCCTAAGCGAACCATGCGCAGGCTTTTGACACGTGCATGCATGCATGATGGGTACACTTGCTGACAGGCACCCTCATCAAGTGTCAGCAGCGTCTGTGGGCACAAGTATCTTAGGCACGGCTCTCATGCAGTTTCACAGCCTGCTGCTTGAGATAGAGAAAGTACTAAGTGGCTTGTGTCCAGAAGAGACTGCCCTACCTCGCTCGGCGATCATGGTCATTCCCAGCATGCCGAAGAAGGTCCGCACATCGTCGTCAATATCTGGGGATATGGTATCCAGCATGTGAAAGATCTTGAAGAAGATAGCCAGGCACTGCAGGCAACAAGCGAATCCTTTCAGGGCTAAGCTGGACAAATGCATGCCATCAAGAAGTTCAGACCACTTCTCAGGCTGGTAGGGTTCAGCAAGAGGACTTCACCTTCGTTTCGTTTTCTTCAGATTCATGATTCTCTTCTGTGCCATCGCTTTTCAGGAACTCTTTGATCTCGAGCTGCAGCTGCTCGACTTCTATGACGGTCTTCATTGTGCCGCTGCGCTTTTCAGGGCTGACACGCATTGCGGCACAGAAGGAGCAGAAATCCCTTCGAAGGGGTATTAATATTCTCTCATGTTTGCGCCTACCACCACGAGGGCCTCTACAGATATGGCCTTCCATTCCTGACTGAGCAAAACACATACGAAGACTCAACATATCGTGCAGCAAGCCGCCGGCAACCCAAATTGGCACTGCTGTTCATAACGAAAACGCATTGCAGAGTCTCGTGGACAAACTCGTGGTCCCCCTTGTGCTACTTCCGTGGCCTCCTGATGTGGGGTATGCTGATCACAAGAACATCGTTCCAAGGGTCTCTGCGAGACGACGACAAAGGACTTTCAGGACACTCGAGTCTCAGTACTTGCACCTTGTGTCAAAGACGAAGCCTAACGATCTCGTTGTAAGCTATTCACCCACAAATTATAGCTGACAGAAGATGTAGACAAGTGGGAGCGCCCGTGGGCGGGCACAAGGTCATACGCGAACTCCCCTCCAAAGACCATTCACATTACGCAATGGGCATTCTACACATTCTCACGATCCACTACAGTTCCGATATGTACTCATATCTCAGTTCTCAGCACTCCTGATGTTCACAGAAGTCGCAAGCCCGTAAAGCCAATCGCCAGGGAGATATTTAGAGATAATCTAGGGCCAAAAACGGGGCAATCACCCGGAAAGGCCTCTAAACTGCGCCTCGCGTTCCGTTTATGTGCTGTGGCCGCCTCACGAGCAGCCACATGGCATAGGGAAGGGGCAAAAGATAGAGATAATCCGTACCAGGTTGACCGATCGTAAAGGACATTCGCCTTATGGCGAATGACCAAAAACACGCGTTTGAGATCGAGAGCTGCGTGATGGGTGCTGATGTGGTCTCCTCCAAAAACGTGCTGCCCAAGGAGGTTGCCCGAATTGGCAGCTCCATCTTGACATCCTTCTTCGCATGTGGAAGTTCCTGCTTCTTTCTTAGAATATCAGGATATTTCAAATGTATGAAGGGTCAAAATCTTCATTTTCTTTTCCTGTAGCCTCCCAGCACCTTCACCGGTGCACCGGATAATGCCGTCGCCGCACATGAATGGGACAGCATGAGAACGTTTCGAAGGAGCCAAAGACATGCAGGTGCTTTTACCTAGACTGTGCCGCTGCTCTGTCTCTGTCAGCAATCAAGAAGCTAAAGCAAACTCTTTTATGTGCACGAATACAGGTGCAAAATGATGGCAACGCCAAAATGCCTAATGGGAATGCTGTTTCTAAAGTTTACTGCGGTACCAGGTTTTGAGCAGTCCTGATGCCCACAGGGCAATATACATGCAATTTCCGACCTGCTTGCTTTCCATGTAGGTGTAGCGGGCCAATACACATGTGCGGATCTTTACAGGAAGTTTCACTGTTCCTGAATGTTGTGCAAATGCGCATCTGACCCTTTCAGATCTGCAAATAGTCACTACTGGTTTCAGGCATAAGGCTGCTCGCTGACTGGGGCAGCAGCACTCCGGTGTCCACAGAAATGTAACATGCATACGATTGTTGATGCCGCAACTGACAGACAAGTATGTCAGTACCAAAGTTGACATCAATATCCTGGCACGCAAACTCCCATATTCTCTGATATGGCATCTTCCCTCAACGATTTGGTGGTTTTCATGTTCAGGGCACGCTCCTGCATCATGCCTCCGAGGCGCCCCCAGACCCTGTTGCAGTGCACTCTTGCTTGTGCCCGCCCACCCAGTGCTTTCTCTGGCATTCCTTGGAGCAGTACTTGGCCTGTCGGCACCCGGTGCATGCCAGCAGCTTGTCATTCAGCTCCTGGCATTCACAGCACCTGCGAGCGAGCCACACCAGATGTTAAAAGCCAGTTTGCTGTGCTGCATCAAAGCCAGCACTTTATCGAGGGAGTAAGGCATCAACCTTGGCCTTCTCACTTGCATGTCATCCAGGGACTTCAGAACAGAGCAGCTCATGTAGCATCTCCACAAATTTGAAGGTTGCAGATATTGACTTCACCTCACAGATGCACGCTCCTCATCAAGCTGTTCCTCTGTGAAGGATGGCAGCAGTGTGTCTCCAAAAGAAGCATTGCATTTCACAGCTTCCCTGAAGCGAGCTGCCACGCCCAGGGTGCGCCAGAAGTCTTCTGGGGTGGCCAACATGTTGCTCCTGACTGGCGTCCAACCTTTGGAGTCCAGGCAGCTAAACTCTCCCCAGCTGTCCAGCTGCGCTTTGCTCTTCCTTGCCTGGAAAACATGTTGATGTAATCAACTTCTTGTTGCCGGTGGGTTCAGCCACCACAGGTCCTACAGGGATGTTCAAAATAATTACCAGGCGACAAGCACCACCACAAAAAATTGGCCCAATCGAGCGGGAATTGCTGCTGTGATTAATTGACCTTTTTGACATGCGCCAGGAAGTCAGACACTGTGATGGTGTGGTCTGGCTGGCTTCCGCTCAGCAGCATCATGTGGCAGTACATCCACTGCAGCGGGCAGGCCTTGAGCTCTTCCCGATGCTCCTCAGCTGCTGTCATCCCGGGCGCAAGATCCTACCACCATGGCTCGTAGATTTAGTGCCCTGAGTCCATACTCTCCAATACCATGTCTGCCAGGTTTGACTCCAGCAACTAATCTTTCAATTGTCTCTTCTAAAACGGGTAAAAACAGGTCTACACGAAGTGGCATGCTCAGCAGGAGGTTGCATGCATAGTTCTACGGTAACGCACATTGAGTTGAGATCTTGTCTCTCGATGGTGGCAGGAGATCACACTACAGAACTGGCCACATGAGAGGGGGATTATCATTATAAAGGTGGAGATGGAGTCACCTGCATGGCTCGGCATGGGTTCCTGTTGATGCCAAAGTGGTAGCGAGCAGCATACTCACAGACCCAAGGGCACCTTTGGTCCATGCCCTTTATTCTCCAGATGTTGCCTGTGGCATAGACAGCGACTGTGGCCTTTTCATGAGGGTACAAGTCATTCAGCGATGCCAAACTGAACAGCAAATGTGTGAGGCTGAAGCTGATCATGCGCTCCGCATTCTCCGCAGTCAACCCATGCCTGTAAAGGTGCAGCATGCGCCAAATCTCAGTAATTAGCTGCCTGAGTGGGCAACTATGATCACCAGTTAGAGGGTGCAATAACGTGCAGAAAGTGCTTGGCCACCGTATAAAACCGACACATGCCCCACCCTGCAAGAGGCTTTGCAAAGTGGTTTTCTACTCCCCCAGCTTGGTTCCAGAGGGTCGCTAAAGAGGGCGCTATAGAGGGGAAATTGAAGGCCGCACCTTTGCAGTTTAGTTTCCCAACAACGGAGTTTCTGCCTCTGCAGAGCTTCCAGGCGGACAAGTGCGGTGGGAATGCATTGGAAGAGGCTCAAGGCCTTTGGGGGTCCCAAAAGAATGGGCACAACTCCCAGCAGCTGCACCAATTTTGTCACTTTGGCTGCCTGCTGTGCAATGCGTGACTGGATGTCCGGATCGCGGAGATCCAAACTCAAGTCTGACCTTCTGCTGAAATAGGCTGCACCACTCACCGGAACAGTTATCATATAATTATTTGATGCAGATCCCTGTGCAGGCACGTAGTCACCCCAAAAAGATTCATTAATTATGAGTCATTGCCAAATTAGGCGCCCACTCCCAGGGCTTCGCCTGCGCAGCCGCCTTGTGATCAAAACAGCCCTTCAGATCAAGCTTGACGGATTTTTTGTGACATGGTCGGCAAGTCTTGACAATAGACTCCAGCCAGGGAGTCATTAGCAATGGAGAGCCCCGCGATGCACGCCCTTCTTCAGGTAGCCGTCTCACGCCTTGTGCGCTCTCTGGAAGCGCGCTGCTTTTTAGATGTCTGCCAAGTGAGCTGTATCTGCGATGCCAGAACGAGCATATATTTTGCTGACTCCTGATCGTAGAATCCTGGTGCTGCAGTGGCAGTTCAATGCATATCAGCTCGTGAATATAGCCAGCCATTCTTGGCCCAAGATATCTCTGCTTGACAGCTCCAAGGAGAACGGTGTGCTTCTGCTCGGACGAATTGCGCATCTTGCCCTGAAGAAGTTGCCGAAAGGACTTTCTCTTCTTTGCTGCTGACACGAAATGCATCTAGGATCATCGAAGTGGTGCTCTTCATGATTATATAATGGTTCTCTGCAGACCATACAAGGCTCCAGTGGCCTGAGGGACTCTCTGAGGAAGGCCTGCTGCGCTGGTGGATCAGTTCAAATGGCGGATACATTCATCCTGCCCTGCACCTCACAGAATCCCCCTCCTGTGGCGGCAGGTATAATTTTATCTAGCAGGAGCTCTCCAGCTTGGGATTGAGCACATGTGAGCAGTGCAGCTTTGATCCAGTTCCTTGATTGACAGCAACAGCCACCTTTGTTTGTGCAGGGGCTGGGTGGCATCTGGCACCATTGATCACAAGACTGTCTGCGAAGAGCCGGTCATTGTGATCCCCTATGGCCTGGGCTACTTTGCCAAAAATGCCATCGCGGAGCTGAACACAGTCTTGCAGAGAGCTGGATCAAAGCGCACGCTTGAGGTATCATCAACACACTCAAATGCAAGTAATAAAGGGTCACATTTACCCCTGAACGCATTGCAGTTGGCTAGGCATGGGATCATTCCTGCATGCATCATGGCATGCAAGCATGTGAGGATGAAGCTGATGATGTGCAGACGTGTGGGCCGATGAATGGTGTCAGGATGAAGCTGCACCAATGTGTGGGCATGCAGGAGATGGTTTCTCTGTCTACTCTGGAGAGTGGGCTGCCGCTGGCCGTTGCACTGGCAAATGAGCGGAAGAAAGGCGACCAGTCTGAGTTCTGGCCCCACCTGCGGCTGCTGCCCACAGAGCCTCCATCCCTGTGGCTGAAGACCACAGCTGAGCAGTCTGCCTTCTATGACACACTAGGTCAGGCCACACACTACCTCGCAGCATCTCAATTGATACACATGATCTATGCTTGGCAACGCCGAGTGGCAAATACAGGGACAATCCTAACGTGGAGTCTGCTTTCAGGTTGGCCATCCACCAGAAAGAAAGCTGTGATCAAGCAGCTCAGAGCGGAGAAATGCAGGATGGAGAATCACTTGGATACCTTCTTGACCAAGACCAAGCTTCACAGCCTCATGGGCCTGACTCGAGATGAAGTCATGTGGGGCTTATCAACTGTAAGTCCTCCAAAATCCAATTCTTGGAGAATCATGTCATCTGAAATGGCTTTACATTGCAATTGCATCCCCAATTGCTCTCTACTCCTTTCTGAGGCCATCTTGAATGGGTACTTTGTGCCAAGTGCAGGTCCAGGTGCGCAAACACAGCTCAGGCCTTAAGGGCAACATCAAGGTCGGCATCGACTTTCTCAATCACCACCATGAGGCAGGCATAGTCCTGAGGTAGGGGTTGGACATCCTGAGCAGATCTATGGCCCTGACTACTGTGTGGTTGGCATGACTGCTTCTTTACGGCGAGTGCAGGCTGATAGCAGGGTTCTAAGGCTTTCTCGGATCCTTGCAATCAATTGGTTGTTTCCTCTTGTCGGACTTCATGAATGGGCGGTGCTTGGTGCTCACAGGCTGCCTCCCTTTGGCACTGATAGAGATGCGGCAAAGACCAATGAAGATCTTGATAATCTCCAAATGATCATTTCATGCATGGCCGGCAAACCAACCCCCCTCTCAGAAGGTACCTCTAATTGACCCCAATGTGTCCACAGAAATGATGTGCAGACCCATGTTGGACGACCTGCATTGATGAATGCTTGTTCAGATCTCCACTCCCAGCTGATGGATTCGCATTTGTGTGCGCAGGCGATGAGCTCTTTATTATATACCCCTCTGCAGATATTCCAGGCCGCACAAGAGATACCAAAATTGAAGAGAGCATTGTCCAGTTTGGATGTGTCCTAGAACCCCGCTCCATCACCTTCAATCAGGAGGGTGAGCACCTGGAGTCCATCATGCATGCCCAATCAACCCAACTACCTGTTCAGATAATGCTTAGCTGCCATCTAAGTTCGGATTGCATGCCTGCCTCTTTGGCAGATTGCGCGTCAAAGCAACTGTCTCACATTTGTATGTTTGTCTGACAGGTTCCCGCTATGCTGGCAATGAGATTCCCTTTGGCGCTCTGGAGAAGCATTACAACCTGACAGTGGAGGAGAAGGGTGCCCTCAACGACAAATTTTATGCCCTCTACGATACAAACCCTGACCACCCGTACATCATCAACTACTTCCTACCCTTGAGGAAGAGCTACGGTGAGTGGGTTTGCGCTCTGTAGGGCCAATGATTTCATCATCTCGAGAATGTGATGCAACAGACCAAAAAAGCTGTGTTGGACAGGGCATGCTGTCCCGAAGGAAATTGCATGTGTTCCAGGAAAACATTATATGATGCCACTGACCCTGAAAAGCCTGGCTTCTGGTACATTGGACATTCAGGATTAGTCATCGTTGCCAGATGTCAGTGGTCGAAAGCCGTGGCCAGATCTGATAAGTATGCCCTTCATGTGCTCGCAGAGAAGCAACAGGCAGAGGGACTGCTATCAGCTGAGACCATCAAGCAAGCAAATGCGCTGATGTGCGTGAACCCAGGCTGCCCCAGGCATCCAGCCTACGACAGGAAGCAGCAATTCTGCACTGTGTGCCAAGCGCACTACTGCAGCCGCAACTGCCAGAAGGCGCACTGGCCGGAGCACAAGCTGCGCTGCAAGGCTGCAGCTGCCAGAACGGAGCAGTTCCTCAAGAAGCTGCAAGCCACACATGGACCTGAGGGTGTGGTTGCTGCAATGGAGCTGGCAAGGAAGCTGATGGCTGGACAGCATGGCAACGCCGGCGCTCGGGAGGAGGTCTTGAAGATGCTGGGCATCGGGGGATCTGCCATTGGTGCAGACACATGATGTCTCATGTTATTGAGAGTGTGACCAGCCCTGAGAATGTCTGCTGTAGTGCATTGTCAACCTATATTTCCCTTGCCATGCCAGGACAAGAAGGTGCTTTGATAGATAGAAGTGTAGCACCATCCTGTTTTCCTGTTACCAGCAAGATGGAGAACAGTGAGCATTGAGATGAACACTGGCGGGAGCCTCACTGCAAGGCCGACCAGGTGCCACAAGATATGCTTGATATGTAAGAACTGGTATTTTGTGTGAATTAATACGGTCGTCTGTTCAGTGTACACATAATATACATTCCTCTTCCCGCTGACGCACCTTCCAAGACAGTTGGCACATATACATGACCGCAGACCACTGCCTTGGCATCTTCGCTTGCCCTAGGATGAATGGTGTCGTACAGGAGACAAAGATTTGTGAATTTCACCAGGCACTGCAGCAGCACACAGCAGTCAGTCTGACCGGTACAAGCAGGAGTGGAAGACCGGCACTGGAACACCACTTATCAGTCATGCCTGGCGTCCCTCAGGAATATTAGTTCTCAAGCTTGCCTCAGAAATGCCTTCTTGAGTTATTTTGCAGCTTAGACTGACCTTCAGCTGTTCGACTTCATAGGGTTGCAATGCTCTAGCATTTTGGCCGCCAGTCTCCTTCACCAGGCAATACTTGATTTTCAGGTTGTTTTTGTGCTCGAGTATATCAAGCTGATTGCTCGCCTTCGATGATCCTCATCATTGTCTGGGTACGCTTGCCTGGGCTGATGGCTTTTGCCGCGCAGAATGAGCACAAATCTCGTCGATCTTCACCATTGGCAGGGTCAAATGCCCCACAAATATGCTCTGGACGTCCTGCCATCGTTTGCTACAGGGCAAGCATGCACTTTGAGCAGCAGGAAAATGGATAAACAAAACTACTGGAGAGACGGCAGCGCGTGGCCTTTTCAGAGTGAAAACTTAGAGTCTGAAGGGACTCGAGGCTCTGGACGTTCCTGTACAGTACATTGAAAGTGATCAAACCGCTTGTCTGCCTTTCAAAGCACAGAAGCTTTCAGCTTTAGCAAGATTTTTGGCACTGTATCCAAGAACGTAGCTGCCCGAGAAGGGTTGCCCATTAGGGCTGTGGTCAGCCCTTGAGGCCCCTCGCACTGGGGGTCTTGAGGTATCCGCAATTCTCTGTGATGCTTTTCCATCCTTTTCAATGGCCAGCATACCGTAAGCAAGTGAGACTGTTTAATGCAATGATTAGGATACTGCCAGCTGCAGAATGTGCTAAGACTGTGATGCTGTGCATGCACCAGCATCAGCAATTTAGCTCTAGGCATGCTGAGAAACACTTTTAAGGAGCTGCCATGCTGTGTGGTCGAGATATCTTGCATATTGCACTGCAGAAAGCAGCAGCCATGTATCAGTGAATCACAGACATTGACAAGGTTTTGTACATCCCAATTGTCACTGCTGCATGAACCTCGCTAATGTACATATTGTCATCAGACATATTCAATGCCGCTCGCAGGCTGGATAGCAGAAATTTGGCATCCTTGGCAAACACACAATGTGCATACACTTGCCGGTGCCGCAGCTCACGTGCAAGCAAGCAACTGTGAGCGAGTCATCGTACAAATTGAAACAGGACATGCTTAAGCATCCTCAAAGCCACACATGGCACATTGCGATGGTCGCCTTGTTCACAGCTTATTCCCACATCTTATGAGTTTGTTTCAGACCTTATTGCAGTGCACTCGTGCCTGTGCCCACTTAGACAGTGCTTCCTCTGGCACTCCTTGGAGCAATACCTGATTGCATCACAGCCCATGCAGAGCAGCAGCCTGTCACACCGCTCCAGGCACTGGAAGCACCTGCAAGCACACACATTCGTGGTGTCAGCTCTAGCGCATGGACTTGCATTGTAAGATGGCGGGCAATCCATTGTCTCTCCCTCGGCTGGCGGGGGGGCGGTATAATTACTGGGCATCGTTGCCCACGATTGATTGTGTCTTGCTTGGATCTGGCGGGTCCAACAAGGGGTAGGATTGTCGCAGCCTTTAATTGCAGTTTGTCTGCACGATGTACCTTGCCTTTGGCAGGAAAGCGTGCAGTAATATAAAAACATACCGTACTTGTCATAAGTTATGTCTTATAACAAATTACTTCAAAATTGTGTCGGACATAACATGTGAATTGTGTAATTGCATCAAGGCCGAAGACATAAAGATCAGAAATTATCAACGGCTTAATAGGCCAAAATCTGCCAAAACAAGCGCTTTTTTGGGCATTTTTCCGAGAAGCCTTAGACATTACTATCGGGAATAAAAGCAAGCCACAGACATAACAACCTATTAAATTAGATGAACTTTCAGGCTCGGACACACTTTGGAGAAGACATGAGTTCTGGTGACTATGATTGTAGTACAATGCTTTATGCACAGTGTCCTCACCTGATCCAAGCTTGCTTCGCATCAAGCTGCTGAGGCGCAAAGGCTGGCAGCTCCACTTGTGCAAAGCTTTCATCATCCTTGAGGACATCCTTGAAGTAAGCCGCCATGCCGAGAGTGCGCCAATAGTCTGCTGGGGCGGCCAAGGTGTTGCTACTGACTGGCGTCCAGCCGCCAGTGTATTTGCAGCGAAACTCGCCCCAGCTGGCCAGTTTCGCCATGCTTCTCCTGGCCTGTCAAGCATGCCGAGGGTGCCATCAAAGTCAGCAATTTGCTGGCAGTTCTCCTGGCTCGCAGGAATTTTCCTCACATTGCCGGGAAGCAGCTAAGGTGAGCTTTCCATCTGCCCACAGTGCTATGTGCAATAGTCAGCAGCATGCTTTATAATTTTTGCCCCCAGCCTGCAGGGGCGGTATGTATACAGAGCACTGTGCCCGCGGTTATTTGGGTATTGCTTGGACCTCTTGAGCCCATCAATGTGTAGGAGTGAGCCAGCTTGACCTGGAGCTCGCCTGCATGACGCACCTTGCCTCTTGGCAGGAAAAGCGTGTACTCATTGTCAGGAAATATAATACCAATAGTGCTATGTAGTCACCTTCTTGACATGCCTCATGAAGTCAGACACTTTGATGGGGTTGTCAGCCTGGCTTCCATTCAGCAGCATCATGTGGCAGTACATCCACTGCAGCGGGCAGGCCTTGAGCTCTTCCTGCTGCTCTTCTGCAAAGTTCAGGCCGGGCAGCAGCTCCTGTCACCACGAAAGCAAGAATTCTATTGGCTTTAAGCAATGTCATCAAGCACATGCCTAAACTTGCTAAATTCTATCCAGCAGCCAAGAGTCCGGCCTCAGCTAAAGAGTCATAGATGAACAAAACTATGCAGAACTCTGTGGTAACATGCCATGCAAAGCCTGTTGGCTGGCATGGGAAAGAAGTGGCACTGTTGTCTCTAGTGGCCAACCATTTGTCACGGGACATGTTGCTGTGGGGAGATGTTGGCAAGTCACCTGCATGGCTTGCCCGGGGCTTTTTGTGCAGTGGTACTGGTAGCGAGCTGCATACTCGCAGACCCAGGGAATTCTTGGATCGATCTCCTTCATTCTGCTGGCATTATCGGTCAGCTGCGCATGCACTGTGGCTCTCTGATGGGGGTCCAGGTCATCCTGTTCTGCCAGCCTGTGAACCAGTTGTGTGAGAGCAAAGCGAATCATGCGCTCCACACTCTCCGCTGACAGGCCGTGCCTGCAAATGCGCAGCATGCATTAGTAAGACAGCCGGGCAGACCATGGATTATTCACACCCTGGGGGGGTATGATGTGTCCACTCTTCCAGCAACATCAATCTCCCAGATGCTATCCAAGATAAAGGGGAACTCAGTGCTAGGTCAACAACGCGCCCGGCAACCTTCACAGGGTTGCAGCAAAGCCTGTGATCAAAACTGCTATTCTCAGGGATTACCTTTGCAGTTCAGCGCCCCATCGGTCTCTGTGCCTGTTCAGTGCCTCCAGAGCCACAAGTGCCGCCGTACCACCTCAAAGTAGAAAATCGGCCTTCTGTAGAGGACAGGGATAACTCCAAGCAGCTGCACCAGCTTTGTCACATGGGTTGCCTGCTCAGCAATGCGCGTCGGGAGGCACGGGTCGCAGAGATCCAAGTGTGGTTCAAAGTTCTGCTTGTAGTAAGCTGCACCAGCCAGACAGTGACTATCAGGTCCATGATGTGTCAAAGTGAGAGACTTTGACACGATGGAGATACTGCTCAGCAAAAAAGCTCCCTTTGATTACCTGCAAGAATGTTTGGCGCATAGCCATGCTCCCAAACAACGGTCTTTGCAGCTTCGCCGGCTCTGGGGTGGACTGTGTCATAGAGGAGGCACAGCTTTGTGAACTTCACCAGGCACTACAGGCAATGCAGTACCTTCAACATGACATCCTCTGTCAACACAGAGGAATGCCTACACGGAAGGACCAAACCGTGCAATTGATGGCCTCGCTGTGGCAGGAGTTCAAGGAATAAACGTACATACAGGTCGAGCCAAGAGCGTGATCTAAGGCAAGTGCACCAACGACTTGCCTTCATCTGTTCTTCTTCGTAACCTCTCAGCCCGTTGGAGTTCTGACCTCCTGAACTGGCGACCCAGTGACGTCTCAAGTCGAGATTGTCTCGTCTCTCAAGGAGGTCAAGCTGGAGCCGCTCGCCCTCGAGTACTTTTGTCATTGTACGGGTGCGCTGATCAGGGCTGATGGCTTTTGCCGCGCAGTACGAGCACAATTTTCGCCGATCCTCACGAGTTTCAACGTCAAACGCCCCGCAAATGTGTTTACAATAACGATCCATCCTTGGCTGCAGGGCAAGCACACAAGCTGTTGACTTCAGGAAGTGGAAAGTGAGCCCGGAAAGGTTGGTTGTTTCTCGCAAGTTTATCCGACCCGGGATACTTTGCCGACCTAATGTATAGCTTTCCGAAGATATTTTCTCCGCAGACTTTCTGCTTTAGGTGTTGGTACGTGAGGCTGCAGACATGTGTCCGAAGATCAGCTCGGCGTGGGCACTTTTGAGACTGCAACACTCGCGAGTAGCCTAATCAGAATTCGAACTGAAGTCCCTTATTCTCCTCCCACTATCTTTCAAAGCAAAATTTTGGAAATTTCGCATGGATTTTTGGCATCCTAGACAGGCGCTGCCCACGAATGGCATATGGGCAGCTCCTTGGGCAGCCCTTTGGGCAGACTACATCTGACCCCCTAAAGAGCCTGAAGGACCCCTTGTGATGCAAAAGACACATGGGAGATGCTAGTCTGCTTACGTCAAGAGCCCTGACAACATCATCCGGGACACTGGACTATGACTGACACATGAGAAACAAGCCACCTGCTGTGATGTTGAAGCTCGTCACTGCAGGGAGTCACCGTTCTTGTAATAATGCATGGACTGATATACAGGAGCTGCGATGCTATTTAGCGGTATCCATATGACAAATGGCAGGTTACAATGAGTAATAACCCATTACTTCCAGATTGTAGATCCTGCTAGGCATTTGCTACTTGTCACAGAGAGCTTATATCACTTTCCATTTGTCAACAGCATAATAGGACCAAATTATTCACTACAAGATCCACAGGACATTCTGCAGGGCGTCACCATACTCACTATCTGCTGCGCTCACATTTCATGCACCATTCCAGATTGCCAAAACGTGCTCGAGAAACAACACTTGTGATGTAATTGCCTTACCAAATACCGTGCTCCTGCAGCATAGCAAGCAGCATGGGGTCTTGTTTGTTTGCACCACACCATTCTGAGGGCGCTAGTATAGATTTGCTTATTCCACAACAACACTGCTGCTAAGACATGCAGACACAAAACAGCTTTCCGTTGATCCCTGTTCCTCATCAAAGAGGTGCTACTATAGGCGGCACAGTGAAGCATGGTTCTCTTATATGTCACATTACTACAGGAAGGACTGACACTACAGTGAAAACCTGTAATGATATCAGGTCGATTTCTTTGATGCAGCAGCTGTGCACTTCTCCTTGTGCCCGCTCTTCCAGTGCTTCTTCTGGCACTCCTTGGAGCAGTACTTGGCCAGCTGGCATCCAGCACACAGCAGCAGGTGGTCGCACAGCTCCTTGCATGCATGGCACCTGCTTGTCCACATGCCTCGTCAGCAGAAATGCTAGGTCCTTGGGCCAGCAATCACTTCAAATCAGGCCCGCACAGCCTTAAAATAGACGCTATGACACATGCAGGAGTCTTGCAGGATGTTTTCTGTTTGGAGGGGGGCAACTTGTGGGGCCTTAGTACTGCACATACTCAACAAGTTGTTTGAGAGTTCAGGACAATGCGACATCTCTGCAGGGAATTTAGCAGGGTGCACCTGACGGCGTCCTGCCAATCTTTGAGCTTCGTCCCATCGAATGCCGGGAGCTGTGTATCTGCAAAGGCTGCAGTGAGCTTGATGGTGTCCCTGGCAAATTCTGCTACTCCTAGGCTGCACCAGTAACTGTCAGACTCTGCCAAGGTAGTCCCAGGCACTGGCGTCCAGCCGCCTGTCTCTGGGCAGCGAAACTCTCCCCAGCTGTCTAGCCGCGCCTTGGTCTTCTTAGCCTGATGACCATAGAAAACCCGCAACTTGCATCGCATAAACACGATTGCTCCATTCACCAGTCAATGTCTGACATTCTCACGCATTACTGACAAACACATGATGAGATCCCATGGTAATGCATGTGCATGCGGGAAGAACTGAAGAGATGGGCACGATGTTGAGATGTGCCCACCTTCCTTACGTGCTCCAAGAAGTCAGACACTGTGATGAAGTGGCCGGGGCGGCTTCCAGTCAGCAGTAGGAAGTGGCAGTAGCTCCATTGCAGTGGGCAAGCCTTGAGGTCATCCTTCTGCTCCTCAGCCAATGTCAGAGCTGGGTAGATCGCCTGCAACAATGCCAGTGACAGGCCTTAAGGTCATTCTGTGATGTGCTCTTTGGTTGGGGGCAGAAGCACAGGTTTCTGGAACCACAAGCTAATAAACAATTGCCATGCTGTAAAGCTAGAGATAGGCAACCATCAGAACAACATTTCTCGCATATGTCCACCCGGCATTCACGTGCACATGTGCACGTCAGAGATAGATACTCGTGTGAAGATTTAATGGCACAACATGGCTGTTACACAGCCTCCAGTACCATCAATACACTCAGGTCTACATTTTCCATTATAAGTATGCCACGGCCTCTTGTCTCCAGGGCTTCAATAAAGAAGGATGAAGCTGCATAACCCACCTGCATGGCTTGTGCAGGGTCCTTGTTGACGGTGATGTGGATTCGGGCAACATCCTCGCAAAACCACCTTGATGTGGGGTCTATCAGCTTCATTCGCTCCATGTTGTACTGCAAGCTCCCCTGGAGGGCAGCATCAATGCCTTTGCAACACGCGCAGTCCGGGTCGCTGTGGGGTTGCGGAAAGTGGGAGGCCACTGAGAGAGCGCTGCGCACAACTCCCTCCACTGCATTCGCGGTGAGGCCATGCCTGTGCATGCATGACATGCACTGAGAGTTGCTGAGCATTGCTGCGGCATGCAGGGAAATCCCACATGCATTTATCGTGTCATGACCATCATCAATAAAAGAGTAAGTACCCCCATGACCGAGCCAGGCCGGGCATTACATCCTGCCCTTTCCACCAAGTACATTCATGTTTAATGAGTCAGGCTGGCGCCTGGGGTCCAGTGGATTCCTTCAATCGTGACCTTAGCATTTGTTGTGCTAGCCCAATGAGTGCATGCAGATCCTTGAGGGAGAGGGAGGAGCACACCTCTGCAGGACAGCATCCCATTGGTCACGGCGACCCTTCAGGGCCTCCAGGGCAATCAGAGGAACGAAAGTGGCCATGTGTTCTTTCCGGCCCTTTAGGACGTACATGAGCATGGGCAACACTGCCAGCAGCTCCTCTGGAGATGTGATTGTTGCTGCCTGCTCTGACACGAACTGCTGTGGGCTGCCCTTCTTGTCGGAAAAGCAGGAATACGCTGCACCAGCCAGGGAGCTGCTTATGGGAGTCAAAGCATGCAGCTCAAATTTTGCAGCTACACTGATGCATGCCATGCGGACAACAGCAGCCTGTGCTTCACTGCATGCATGCGAACAACATCTATCACATGATGTTACAGGATCTGGCAGAATAAGCATGTCGACTTGAGCGTTAAGGAGGTGCATACCGTGTCCAATCTCTGGCTTGAATGCCTCACGAGCGAGAAGCACCTTCACCTCGTGGGTCAGTCTAGGGAAGCTGCTGTCATACATCAGGCACATGTGCGTGAAGTTGACCAGGCACTGCAGAAGGCACAAGAAGGTTGGGAATAAGTTATGCATGCCTTCATCTTATGTGTGAGTAGATCGACCTATCTAGGGCTTGCATCGAATATGGAGCTTATTCATTCTTACCTTCAGCACGTTTCTGCGTTTAGCTTCCACGTCCACGATGAGTGGCATCATTCTCAGCAGCTCTTGCATTTCCAGCTGCGGCTTCTCGCCGTCAATAACGACCTCCATCGCCTTGCTGCGTTTCTCAGGACTGGTGGCAATCGCGGCGCAGAAAGAGCAAACGTCCCGGAATTCACCCTTGCATTTGAATTTCCCACAGGTGTGGAGACGAAGGTAATCTAGCTCTTCCATTCTCGGCTGAAACGTCGCACTGCACCAGTTGAGCTCAAAACAGTCGGGTCCGCTTGAAATCAGTGGCACCGGCCTTGCGCGACTCTTGAAATACAGGGCCCTGTGCCCAAAGCGTTAAAAGGTACCTTGCACGATAGAAGAGATTGCTCGAATTGTGTGTAAGTCTTTGGGGATTAAGGAACGCCGTTCGAGTGACCAGTATGCTGGGCTGCTTGCTTGGGCAGGGGTTCAATCATATCACCTGGCAAGAATTCAGGGGATTTGCTCCAGACACAATTTCAGCCAAATATGTGACTTGCCAATACGCTGTCCTTTGCCACATGAGAAACAACCCCTGACCCGTGGCAGGCCATGCAGGTGACTCCAGCTGAAATCCAGCGAAAAATTATCAAAGTTTCATAAGATAAAAAATCAAATTTGCAGCACCCATGCGGTGCAAGTTGCTCAGTCTGCACTGTGCTGAACAATTTGAATGTGAAAGAATTAAATGTCTCGCAGAGGAGCTGGGGAAAGCATTTGATTCTGATGACAGGCATCGCACTGCCCATCTGGAATGGTATGCATGCTGCCTATTATTCAAATTGAGAACTTTCTTTTGGCGGGGTTGCCGCAGGACCTTCGGCCTGGCCTGATGGCAGCTGAGGAGCAGAGGGATGATCTCAAGGCCTGCCCGCTGCAGTGGATGTACTGCCACGTGATGCTGCTGACTGGGAGCCGCCCAGAACATGTGATCACAGTATCTGCCTTTCTGGCGCATGTCAAAGAGGTGTGCCACACTGCAAATGTGCGCTCATTAGAGATCTCTCTGACGATGGGACATGCTGCTTCCTGTTTGCTTATTGCACACTTCCTCTCACTAACGCCAAGTGCCAGTAGCAGACTGCACATTGTTTCAGATGATGGTGCTCACCAGGCAACAAAGACAAAGGCACGGCTGGACGCCAGTGCAGAGCATTCCCCTGGCTGTGGAATGAGACCCTTACTGGTGTAGCCTGGGAGTGGCAGGGCAGTTCAAGGAAGCCATCAAGAGCGACCCAGCCTTTGCAAACACAGAGCTCCTAGCCTTCACTAAGCAAAAGATCAAAGAAGAGCTTGTGTATATCAAGTAGGCTTCTTTGCTCCTGTCTGTGGCGTGATCGCTATGCTACTGTCAAGTAGATAGCCTCCAGCCACCTGTGTCAATTCCTTGATAGTGTCAATTTTCTGTGCTGTGGGCAGATTTATAGCTATATCTGGAGTAACAGCGCAGCCTGTTTCTTCTCACTGCACCCAGACCATGTGTAAGCAGGGTGGCGGGTATTAAATCTTGATGGTGCTGATGTGCCCTGAAATGTCATAGGCTGATGTCTTGTGCAGGTGCCACCAGTGCGTGGAGCTGAATGATAAGCTGCAGGCATGTCTGGGTTGCGGCAAAGCCAAGTACTGCTCCAAGGACTGCCAGAAGAAGCACTGGGTGAGCAGGCACAAGAAGGAGTGCACTGCAGGAGCATCAGAAGGGCGCTTTGTGTAGAACAAGGACAGCACTGCGGTGCAGAGGAGCAAGACAGCGGCTGTAGAGGACGTGAGAGCAAGGACACGTGGCAAATTTTAACAGTGCTAACAGTCATGGTGATGTTGGTTCGTCTGTTGGCATGCGGTCTCTCCTGATGCAATCATTGATGCCCTGACTAAGCTAATTTGTTATTTCTGGTCAAGAATGGAAGTGCACCTGTGTATGTAGTATCTCAGCAGCGTCCGACATCAGCCGTAACCAAAACAAAAACAAAGTGCTTGGTCACACATTCTCAAGCCATGACGATCCTTGAGTTCCACAGCCACGGTGAATCTTTAGAACCTCAGATGATACTATTACAAAATATAAAGCTACAATTGCAATTCTTGTACCCAGACTGCAAGAACAGGATATTTTCGGTGTGCTGGGGTATTGGTGTATTTGTATCGAAAATGTTGCTTTCATGACTTTCATGGGTCACCAGTGTATCTCCCATCATTGCACAACATGCTAGTGCTAATTTCAATGAATTTCAAGCCTTGCCACAGGTGTGAGAAGATATACAAGGCTGTGTGTGCCAGCCGTAAAAGAAACACGTTCAAGAATTGTGCAGCTGCATGCACAATACTTTAACAATCTCTCTCAGCGTGCTGATATGCCTCTCATGTCATTTTTTTTATACTGGCGCAGTGCACTGTTGCTTGTGCCCGCCCAGCCAGTGCCTCTTCTGGCATTCCTTGGAGCAGTACTTGGCCTGTTGGCACCCGGTGCATGCCAGCAGCTTGTCATTCAGCTCCTGGCACTGATCACACCTGTTGAAAGAAATACCCACGCAGCTGGAGAAGTGCAGTTGTGACATGCATGCAACACAGCAGTACGTTTCCCAGCGGCACATTGTCGGACCTATGCTTGTTTCCGGGTGGCTTAACTAGCCTCTTCTCCGTTCAGCAGCCAGAGAGCACAGCCAAATGGCCAATTAAGCAAGCATGCAGAAATGAGCTGAGATTATTCATACAACTTTGCGCCCCATTGCTAGGACATTGCTTGGATCAGGCAACTCCATCAAGGGGTAGATGATGTGGCAGCCTTCACCTGCAGCTTGTCTGCGGACGCGCCTTGCCTCAGGCAGGAAAAGCATGTCATAAGAATTACATGGATGCTGGCTCACCTGACATGCACAAGCTCCTTCTCAATCTGCTGCTCCGTGAGGGTCGGGAATTGAGCGATTGCAAAGGCTGGGTCGCGCTTGATGGCGTCCTTGAAGCGCGCTGCCACTCCAAGACTACCCCAGTAGTGGTTGTTGAGGGCCAATGGAACGTCCTGCACAGGCGACCAGCCCCCACTCTCGCAGCGGAATTCTCCCCAGCTGTCCAGCCGCGCCTTGGTTTTCTTTGCCTGCATGGCATCCAGTATGCTCCTCAGCATGACTGTCAACTTCACATGCATGTGCTCACGGGGGACCATCAGCTTAGTAATCAGCCATTAATCCCAGCTACACATGCATTAGCTTAGCAGCCGCCTCAGGGTCATGCGACATGTAAACAGTTTGTGAAGCTTCCAAACATTTCTTATAGCAGAGCGAGATGGCCAAAGTGTAAGCCCAGAGGCATTTGCTGTTAGTGCGAATTGCTAGAGTGTGTGACGTCCCCGGCTAGCCTGGGATAGCAGAGCCAGATAGCCAAGTTTTGAGACTCTCTGGTCATGCAAATATATTCACCGCAGGACCCACCGTTTTGACATGCGCCAAGAAGTCAGACGCTGTGAAAACGTGGCCAGGGCGGCCCCCAGTCTGCAGCATGAGCCAGCAAAACATCCACTGCAGCAAGCTGGCTCTCAAGTCATCCTTCCGCTCCACAGCTAACATCAGGGCTGGCACGAGTTCCTGCAATGGGTGCACCAGTGATCAGGGCCATTCTGTGCATGGAACCAAAATGACAATACCAGGGTATCCATTGATATGTGCACTTTGAGTTCAACAGCAAGGCAATGCTGTGAGTGCCCGGTGGTTTGCGATAGAAGTTGTGATTGCCAGGAAAGTTTCAGCTGCATTCTGTTCTGCCATGCACAAAGCCCATGCATCTGCAGCAAGTCCAGAAAGCCCCAAGTTTTGTCAAAGCAGCAAGATGCCCTGGATTCTTGTGCATGTGTGGCAAAATCACCTCCATGGCTTGGCCAGGATTGCGCCTGACGGTGCAGCAATACTTGGAAGCAGCAAAGCAGGTCCAAGGCGTGGTTGGGTTCAGCTGCTTCAGTCTCTCTATATTTTCCCAGCTCTTTGCAACGATCGTGTTGTTTGCCTGGGGGCTCAGACCGCTGCTTGCAGCAAATTGAAACAATAACATCTGGCCATAGCGCATGACAAGTTCAAATTCGCCCAGAGACAGATCATGCCTGCACAGGAACACCATAAATGCTAAGCTGCTGTCATGACACCTCACTGCCGGATGCCTCTTGCCAAGCAACGTGATCCCAAATAACGTGATCCCAAATGCAAATTTGAGGCTGTGGAGGGTGCAGGCAGTATACAACTATAGGGACAGCACACCGCTGCATTTCAGCTTTCCAACGATGCCCCTGAGTTTGAAGCGCTGCTATAGCAATGAGGGCAGCGATGCCAGCGCTGGAAAGATCGTCATCTTCCAGGCAACTCCACACCACTGGCAACGCTGCCAGCAGCTGCAAGGGGGTTGTCACCAGGGCCGATTGCCCCGATATTTGTCTCACATCACCGGGGATGATTTTGAAGCCAGCTGGTCTGAAGTACGCTGCACCAGCAACACAGTCATCTATTAGGGGAGAGCAGGTGAAGATGTATAAGTAGGCCACGACTGCATTGATTCGCATTGATCTGCTTGATCATTCTGAGCCCATTGTGTGAGTTGTGCAAGCTTTAGCTACAGACCACGAGCACGCAATTCTCATCTGATTTGGCATGCTCCAACTGAAAGGCCCTGCGCATGTCTAAGAGAGAGAGAAAAAAAGTAGATTGTGTGCCTATTGAAAGCATCAAGCCTCTGTTTGGAACAGGTCTAGAAGGATGCACCTACCACAACAAATCTCATCCTGCTGTACTGTGTGGGAAGCCACTAGGACCTTGATACCTCTGTAAATTCTGGGTTGAATGGTGTCACAGAGAACGCAGATCTTCGTGAGCTTCACCAGGCACTGTATTCGCAGAATCCACATTTAATATCCTGTTTCAATTCACGTGTATTATCGTTGCAGAGCACAGCCCGTTGTTCAAATATCTGCGATGGAAGTGGCCCTGGGTCAAAACAGTCGACGGGACCAGAGGGTTTTTGAACTACCTTCAGCAGGATTGACTCCTTTGCTTCCGTTCGAATAAGTTTTGGTAAATCTCTGAATAGTTGTAGCACCTCCATCTGCAGCTCTTCGCATCTCACAATTGTGTTCATCGAGGTGCTGCGTTTGTCAGGGCTAACAGCTATAGCCGCGCAGAATGAACATGCTTCCTTCCTGGGAGGACTTTCACTCTCGCGGTACCCACATTCACCACAGATATGCCCTTCCATCTCAGTAAAACTTGGACAAGCACGCCATTCGATGGGCGGGAAATTCACTGGGGCAGAACTCTCTAGAAAGCATTTGCGTGAGCATTTGGCAGAGGTATTTTATGTCTCACAGGACGGCTTCTCTTCGAGAAAGGTGTTCATCTTTGGGATGTTTGTGTGATCCAAAAGCTGGACACGGGCAGCCCAGCGTACCGCCCAATTGGGCAGCAGCTTCTCTCAACTTCCTCTGCAGCAGACCCCACCGTGGCAAATCAGAGCAGAGGATATTCCAAAACATTTGCGTCCCTACTGACACTTTCTAACAGCAGAAACTCCAGTAGCAAGACACGCTGTACTGGCTACGCGTGTGTCCCCTTTGCCTACCTGGCCAGCGCGCATGGACACATGTGTCCATGATGCATCGTCTCACATTACTAATAGTACTCAATACAAATTGTCCGTGCAAGTAATAGCACATCGCCTTGCTTACTGACTACAACCCCTCTGTACAGAGCTGCATGAGCAACCCCGCATGAAATTGCAACGCCACCTCGGGCAGTCATTCTTGAATTCCAAGGTCCTAATCTGCGCTGTTTGGGCACTGGTTGCTGTTGGCAACCATCATCCCAGCTGTGCTCTTTTGGGCAGCTTCTTGAGGTCGCAGTGGCATAACATAGTAGCATCTGATACAGCTCATACCTGCAGGGATTTGTCGTGTTCTCCTCTACACTCAAGCAGTGCAAAGCAGCAACTTGGCAGCTCCAGGGCGCATTCAATTCGAAATCCTTTGCTTCTTTCATGTTGCGGGATTGCAGTGTTCTCTACAAGACTCCACTCCCGGACAGTGAAGCTGACCACCAACACAATATCAGAAGATGTCACTTGTGCAATTACACTGCGCAGAGCGTCGGTGCCACTGACTCGTTGATGCACTGCATCTGTCTGTAACACATTCCTTTATCTCATTTTCATTAGTCGCTATACCGTATCTTATCACATGACACATGTAGCTTTTATAGAAAACAGGTATTCATGCACGTCATGGCACAGGCATGATCCTCTCGACACCTACATTTCAGTCAGCTGTGTCACCTTGTCACTGCCTGTGGTGCATACTTAGCACAGAAGCTTCCATGCAGCTCCCATGAATCTGCAGCGTTGCGTAAGCTCGCGCATGCGGCTCCTGCTAGTGCCAGCTGCAGCAGGAGCCGCATGCGCCGCCAGGCGGCGCCAGCTGCAGCACCATCATGGTATGTTCATGTTCTACCCTGGAGGCAATTGTTACTTTGCTGCAGTGCACTGTCGCTTGTGCCCACTCACCCAAAGCACTTTCTGGCAGCTCTGGGAACAATACTTGACCTTCTGGCAACCCAAGCATGCCAGCAGCTTGTCATCTTCCTCCTGGCACAGGTGGAACCTAGAAGCACCCCACTGACTTGCTGATGTCTGACTTTGGCAGCCTGCTCCTTGGCAGCCTGCTCCAAATCAATTGAAATGTGAAATGGAGATCAAGCACAACAGCCCACTGCTTGTGCAGTGCAATATTATTATTATTATTATTATTATTACACGCTTTTCCTGCCGAAGGCAATTGCAAGGTGCGTCTGCAGACAAGCTGCATGTAAAGGCTGCCAAATTCCTACCCCTTGTTGGACTCGCCAGATCCAAGCAAGACCCAATCAACCGTGGGCACGGTGCTCAGTATTTGTACCGCCGCCCGCCAGCTGGGGCCAAGCCAGCAGTGCAATATACTAATATCATAATGTTTAGTTCGAATGTTGGTGGGCGGTGATCAGACAAAAGGAAGGAATTATTTGCTTTCTATTGCCCTTGTGGTCAAATTCTAAGTCCATGTACATGGGAGGAAGTGAGATCAAGAAAAAAGAGCCAAAAAAAATAAAAAAAAGTGTCAGTGACAACTGTGGGATTCGAACCCACGCCCTTTCGGACCAGCGCCTGAAGCTGGCGCCTTAGACCGCTCGGCCAAATTGTCCTGATGGGGCTTTCCGATAATCGCTCACCGGTTGATGCAAAGTGTCCATTTTGCACACTTATATACACAACAAGCACTGAACTATGCTCACCTTTGGAAAATGATTCTCTCCTCGCTCATGCGATCAGTTGAAATTGTACCCCATTTTGCTTCAATCGTAGGTCTCATCAAGCTTCTCCACTGGCGAGCTATCCTTATCTGGATCCAGCAAGTTGCGAAGGCTCCGCCGCTGTCCAAAAGGGTCCTCCTGTTGGGGGGGGACCTGTTGACATCATTCAGCTCAGCAGACCATCCAAACTAGCCAGAGAATTCGGCATCACCGTACTTAGAAGAAATGGTTTTGACAAATTCATATAGCTCAGCCTTGCCGATGCGGTGCGTTTGTATATTACCAAGGTGAGCTCCAGCTCAAAGTGATGGCCATGGAAAGCTTGGTCATCGGAATCCTGGATCAGATCGCCCTTGAAGGCCCACAAGGTGCGAAATAGTTTGCAAAGGATTCACAAGTAGCTGTGATCAGGTCTGTCCATGGAAAGTGTTCACAGGCGATTTTGCTGTACTGTGCAGCTCAGAAATTCAGTGAATAACGTGTAGAACGAGCTTGCAAGATTATCAGGATTCTGAAGGGCTCGTTATTCACACAGGATGCTTGGTTGCTCAATTATGGCCACTCCTGGAGAGCAATGGGGTGATTCAGGAGCTAAGCGATCCCCTCAAGCAGTTGGTGTGGGGCTGCCTGTTGCAGAGACTCAACGACATTCGAGTTTGTCGAAGCAGCAAATCTCTCTCTCGGAATGAAAGGTGGGTCAACGGCAGTCCGATTCTGAACAATACCAGAACACACTCCGTGACATTCCGTAGTGCACTCCAAGGGAACCTCCCTGCAAAATTCTCACTCAAACTTTGGCATGTGTTGCAGATCGGAAGGCAGGAGCAGGAATAGGAGACAAAGGCAGAGCGAGGAGTCTGGTGTTGTGTCACTGGTGTGCACCTCTCCTTTCGTCTGCTGTGGCATGTACACTTCTGCTCTCCACACATGATTTTAGCCCTGGACCCTTCCGGGGAGCACTTAAGTCATCTGCATGTTGCTGCTGGGTCCTTTCGGCCCAATATTGCCTTGTGTTTTGGCTTGAGTGGCATGTTTGTAACAAGCTTGGCACCATGCTACGCGCAAGATGCTGCTGCTTGTGGAATACATCTGACATTGACATTCTGGGCCTACACTGCAGCCCAATGAAGAAGCGAATGGGATGCTACGTGACTTTCATGCTGCGGAGGAGCAGGGTCTTCGTGTTGTGGTGAGTGGTGATTGCAATAGTTGGCTGGACATAAACGACGGTTGGCATCGAGTATTCTTTGTAGTGCTTCAGATGTTTTCCGGCGCAGCTGTTTCCTGGCAGCTGTTTTCTGGTCTGTTGAATTTGCATGCAAAAAATTATGTACTGCCCCAAAGCTCATTTCCACCAGACTCAGTGGCTGGATAAGAGACCACTGTGCAAGACATCCAAGGTTCAAGCCTTAAAATCCTCAACTTTTTTGGGTTGCAACCTTTTTTCCTTTTTTTGTCAACCCAGATGGACCCACGACAAGGCAAATGCTTTGCACAGGAAAATTTTTAGCAAGATGTTGCTGAAGCTACTGACGGTCTAGGCCTGTGAAGTGTCACAGACCATTTAGACAGTATCTCTGTGCGGTGAATTTTGGCACTGCTGGTCTGTGCAGGCCTCTGATGCTGTGCGAGATGCGGTGCTCGGCCTGCACGACGCCTCTCTCAGCAGCTATGCAATCAGCGAAACCCAGGTGAGCACCTCTGTCACACAGTGCTAGCCGTCAGATGCTTACTGCGCTAAATTAAGCCCTTCAAGCAACAGTTGCTCGCAAATGTGACCTTGGTAGTCTCCAGAAGGAATTTCCGATGGGCAAAACTGCTGCCTCTCCAGCGCATGCATGAGGATCATGGTATGAACCAGCAGTACAGTATTTTCAGGGCAGGAGGGTTTCAAATGCACAGAGACTTTGCTGCATTAAGTCATGCCCCGAAGGCATTGAAAGCTCAAAATGTGTGTATCTGCCGTGCAGAGAAAAGCGCTGGAGGCAATTGCGCGCGCGCGGCAGACGGGCGTGCTGCGCTCGGAGCTGGCCAAGCGGATGGGCATGGAGCCCAAGAACTTTGCCTATGTCACCCGGGTGAGGCACTTCTTCCTGGCTCAAAGCGTCTCGGTGCAGGCTTGAGGATGTGATTGGCATGTCAGAGGACATGGCTTAGAGGCTCCGATCTTACCGATATAGAGCTCAGGATGCAGGATGTCCCTCTCTGCCTGTCCCTGCTCAACTTGCCTTGTGGGTGGCTTAACAACCCACCTTCAATAATCAAGCGGGTCGGTCTGCTATGTGACTGCACATCACGCGGCTGTGGTGTACAGTTGGCTGCTTCCCTGGCTGATGCAATTGGAAGCTTTGTTGAAGGCAAGTTTTGCACAGGCGCTGGAGGCGCGGAATTTGATCACACAGCAGAACATCAGCGTGAAGGCGGCTGACACAGTCAATCGTATCAACACCAACATCCTGCACCTGCCCCGCTTCAAACTCAACGTTGTCCCAGGCATGATAAAGGTGCGCCACATCCTGCCCAGTGCAGCTTTAAGCAAACCCCCGCAGTGACTAGCTAGAGGTACTTCCTGTCTTAGACATGGTGATGGGTTGCCATGTTATTTATCAAAGATGTATGTATGGGGGAAAGTGTGCTTGAACATTCTGGGCTGTGCAGGAAGTGGACACTGGGGATTTTGTGGTGGAAGACGAGGAGGCAGAGATGGCGCGCATCTGCAGCTGCCTCGCGGGTGCTTCAGGCGGCGTCATGCTCGAGTCTGAGGTCAAGGTGCGCGCACTGATGCAACTTACCGTGCTTGATTCCTGCCTGGTCTCGCGCCAAGTCACATCACCTTGAGCGCGCTCTCACATACCAAATGCCTTGGCCCATATCCTTTGTGGCAGGGGCTGTGTGCAATGCGTCCAAGCTTACATGAGGCAGGTCTGAAAGATTCTTACAGAAGTATGAGCTGGGGTGTTACGAAACTGATGGCTGTATTTCGAGGCAGGGGTGTCTTTGCGTGAGGGGGCTTGCATGTGGCTGCAGAGGGTGCTGGGCTTCCAGCACACTCAGGGGCACAGGCAGTGGCGGCGGTTCAAGAAGAAGCTGGTGGACTCCGGCAGGCTGAAGGAGTCTGTGGGCATCCAGAATGGCGCCTATGCCAGCGTCCTCAAGCTGGAGCAGCCCCTCTCAGCTGCCCCGGTACTGTCATGTCACCAAGATAGAGATAGCAAATACATCCTGGGTCACCCTGTATTGCCTGCTTATGTCATATTGCATGAGCCGTTTGGCAGCTACTTTACTGTATAACTCTATAGCATCCTGCTTCGCTCACTTAATGGTGTCTGCTGTGCATCGTGTCACGGATGAATGTTGCAGCAGGTGCTGAGTATAATATTCATCCCTCGGCTGCATAGTCGTGTCATGTCATGGATTGAAGTCAACCACCTGTGAAGTGACAAAAGTGTGAGTCAGAGCTAAATATTGAAGACATGAACCATGAAATTTGCATGCAGGGCCTGCAAACAGCCCCAGGAGATGGGGACGAACTGGAGCCAGGAGAAGAACTTGAGACAGTGGCGGAGTTGGGCTTTGACAACCAGATCCTCAACCTTGTTCTGGAAGCAGGTGCTCTCCCACCCCCACAAGACCTAGGAACACACTGCACAGGCTAGACAATCTCTATGACCTTTGGCCCAGCAAGCATTCAATGAACCCAGGCAATTCTGGCAGCACACACGCAGTTCTGGGGTTGCTTGACGGAACAGGTGCAATCTGAAAGTCTAGGAAAGTGCATGTGAAGACAGTTAACTGGATGACATCATCAAGCTGGATGCGTGTCCGCCTTTCCTATCAGCTTTCAAGCTTACCCTGTCAGGCTGGCACCTTCACGGTCCAGTGGATCATGTCTCTGATTTGTTCTAATGGGGAGGATGACATTGTGCAGGGAGTGAGGGGGTTGCCAAGCACAAGCTGGCCACGCGGTTGGGCATGACCAACAAGAAAGCCCACAAGCTGATGGTCGCCCTGAGCAAGCGCGTGAGAATCCGGGAGAGCGACGAGCAGCAGGGCCGCGCCCAGATGAAGGCAGGGCATCCCCACCCCTTCTTTGGGAATGTCTGCCACCACTATTTGCTGAGCTGTAGCAGAAGCTCCTTATGGCAATGCTGCCTATTGCTGCTTTTAATTTGGGCAGATGCAGCAGCATTAAGGGCGTCAGTATGGCGCAAACGATGTCAGTATTTAGCTGAGCGCTCTTTGGCTCTGTAACTACCTCGATCTTGTATCGTGCGTGAAAGTCTTTTGGCAGTGCGTTTCACGCCTATTTTATAGATGATGCGGTGCTTTCACTTGGTAGTATGGAATGGCAAGGAGGGTGTCACACAGTACCAGGAAGGTGTATCAGAGCAGGGAGCCCATACAGTGGCAGAGAACCACATCTGCAAAGGAGGCGTGGTACCAATCAATTCTCTGCAGGCTTGTTTATGAGTGTAGTTCACAATCTGGAGAAGGACAGATTTTGAGGGATATGAGGCCGCTGCAGGTGTGGAGGGCACCAGAGGAGCTGCTGCAGTATCATCAGCTGACACATGCACCCGCAGTGCCATCTGGCGGCTGGCAAGCGGCAGTGGCGGCCGCTGCAGCCGCCCGCCCTGATACTGGGGCTGACCACCCTATAGAAGCAGCTCTGCCCCTGGCAACAGCCCCACATCCCTCTGTCCCAGGTGTGCTTCATAGGACTGCAACAGCTTACTGCTCCATCTGCAACCATTTGCTGATCTGCAAGGGCATCCAGAATATACAGGAAGATCGACGGTACTCATTACAGCTGCAGGAAATTACCTCGATTCTACTTGTACTTGCACGACGTGAAAAATCGCCTGTGTACTTCCTGTACGCAGGCTTTATTGCATTTCCCAATGTCGTCCATGTGCGTAGCTTTCGTTGTCCTTGGACTTGGTTTTAGTGTGTCCGTGGATGCTAGTCATCCTCATTGATGTTTGACTGCGTCTGCAGGGATGCTTAGGTCGGTGCCTGTCGGACAAGCCGCCGCGCCTGTCGAATTGGCAGGCTCCTCCGCGCCGGATGCCCCTGCCCCCTACAGATTCCCAGAGCTGCCAGATCAGGCGGATGCACTGGCGCCGTTCGAATTTCCCCAGCCGCCTGATCAGTCGGCCGCGCCGGCCCCCTTCGAATTCCCAGCCGCGCCAGATCAGGCGCAGGCGCCCAGCGCCAGATCAGGCAACGACGGCGCGGGCCCCTCGTCCATGCCCCCCTTCCTGGGCGAGGGGACCGACGCACATGGCAACGAGGAGATTGCGAGCGGACCAACCATGTCCACTACTGCCCATGCGTCCAGCAATGGCATGCCTGAGATCGAGCAGGAAGGCATGCCTTCCATTGGGCAGGAAGGGGTGCCGCCGCTGGTTCAGAGCGGTACCATCCAGGTGCACCCCCACAGATTCCTTTCCTTTGCATCATTACAAATGCAGAACAAAATGAGAAACAGGGGTAAATTTCTCCTGTGCAGCGTCGCATTTGTTCCAGATTCACGATCCTTCCATAGTGCATGCATGCGGTCAGGCAGTATATCTTGTACAGAAACACGTCATGCGACATTGTTTGGCTCCTGCGGAGCAAGCCGTTGGTCCCAACAACGACGCTTGTGCGTCCTCAGCTGCGCCTGTGTGCACTTTTGGAAGCCCACTGTAACGCTGTGTGCTTGCGCAGATCCTGGGAGCGACGGGTGAGGCCAAGGGAGATGAACAGAAGGTGACCACGCTCTCGCTGCAGCGGCAGCAGCGGCTGGCGGACCGCGTGACCAGCATCAGGTTCATGATGGTCTCCGACGTGCCCGCATTCTTCCAGGCATGCCCTCCCACCTCCTCTCTGGAATGTTACTTGTGAAAAGACTTGAGATTTTGTTACAATCCAGTGCCATTACCGTTCGCTCCGTCCTTATTGTGCATGTGCTGTGGTGCCTCAAGCACTCCAAGCTTGCCATGCATGCGCGCTCGGGGCCGGCGCAAAAGCAAGAGAACAGTTTCGGGTCTGCTGATCATGTAGTATTGTTCAAACAAGTATTCTGGACAAGCAGTATTAGGTCCTTCCTGATCTTCCTTTCTCAGGCACTCTTATCCTTCGTCTTCTTGTTTGTCTTCTGGTTCCACCTTGTCAACCTTCTTACCTTGGCCATCTACCCTTTCACCAAACGCATTTACCATTCCATTGTGTCTGTTTGAGATACGTCCTGACTCAAGGGGTGGCATTGCATGCACGTACAGGAGACGGAGGTGGGCATGCGCTCGGGGCACTGCGATCAGCGAACGCGCAATCGCATCATCGACCGCTGCCTAGCGGCCGGCCAAGTCATGCGGCTGCTCGTGCAGCTTCCCGGCAAGCGCACCAAGCACAAGGGGTTCAATGTGGAAGTGCTCACGCGCGTCGGTACCCCACTGGACTTCACCTTCCTCAACGAGGTACCATCCACTATTTCCTCCGCATTGCATCAAAGGCGAAATGCTCCACATGCTTGCAGAACATCTGCTTCAGGTCAGGGCAGGGACTGCCCAAAGTACATGTGCTGAGCGCATATGTTCAGCTCAAACCAGCGTGGCATGACATCTCATGCCGTGGGCAAGCACAAGGCATTTCTCCCATCTCTGCCATCGCATCGAAACTTGTCAATACTTGTACTTGTCAGTACAAAAGCAGCTGGCACCAGGCGCTGGGAATTAGCTCTTACGGCCCTGGCAAACCTTCTCAAACAACAGCAGTTCAAATCGTTTTGTGAACAGCAAATGATGCAAACGTGGTGCAGATGAGGCTCCGGCGAAGCCAAATACCTCATGGATAATTATTGTTACAGCGAATTCAATGTACTTCAGCACTGCTCACCGCGGTGCAGGTGAGGGAGTGCGCGCATCTGCGCCGGGCAGAGCGGTTCCGTAGAGGCCAGGTCTCGCACCGCGGCGCGCAGCTACGGGCCGAGGGGGTGGACCTCCCGGTGGTGGACCTGGAGGATGGGATCTCCCGGGGGGCCCCCGCCGCCACCCAGGTATGGAGTCCCACCAAGGCTACTGGCACTTGTCATTCCAATTTAGCATTTTTGGGGTTTGCCAGAAGTTTATGCTCGCATGTCTGCCGGACAGGTTTCTCCGGCACTGCCGGTACGTTTTCTGCTGCTCCTGCTTTACTGCACGCGCTTAGCTTGTGCTTACAGCTGGCACAGGCTAAGGAATGCCACGATTTGCGCTTCAATTATCTGCGAAGTTCTGGATGGCCGTCGTGCCAGGTTATCACTTGTCTGTAGAGCTGCTGAAGGGTTCAAGTTCAGAGTCTGAGGAGTGTGGGTACTGCGTGGCAGGGGGTGCGGGCCGCGGCTAATTTGGCGCGCTACAACGAGGAGATGGAGTTGCTGACTGAGAACGGCTTCCTTCGCTCGCGCATGGTCCGCGTGCGCCTGCTGCACTACTTCATCTGCCGCCTCATGGGTGCGTTCTGCTGATCTCTGCGACCGCTGTTCTGCTAGTATCTTGCAGGGTGTACAAAGAGGTCTCCTGATTCAGGTTGCCCCGATTGGACTGTATCTGCGTACATGATTGTAGATGATTGATGGAAGGGCAGAGCAGCACATGCGAATGCACTCTTGGGAGCTTGGGCTTGGCTTTCAGACGCTTGTGTGCATGCCGCTGTGTTCTGGCCTGTTTGCGGACCTGGTGAACGTTATTTGGCAGACATGCCGGTGGTTACTTTGGGAGTAGTAAGCCGTGACGTCATCAGGTCCTGGTGACAGCCAGTCATGCAGTGGCATGCTGAAGACGCTTGGAAGTGATCCTTACGATCCTCAGCAGGAAATGCATTTGTGTGTGGGCTAGCATGCACTGTGCAGTACAGCTAAGCCAAGCAGTAGACTTCCATTGCCATTTTTGGCTTATCAACCCTCTGGTCGAATTTGCCTTAGCGATCACTTGGCAACCGGAATATCTCTAACATGTACCCCTGGAACCGGGGTCGACAATGATGATGTAGCGACGGCGTTGCAGCAACATTCATCCGATATCAGTCGAAATGAAGCAGAAACCTAGTCCGGGTCACGTAAATTACTTTGCAACATAGATTACGGAGATTCCACTGAGTCGATTGGCCACGCGGCCGTTGCGGGCGGCGCTTGTCCTTCTCACTGTCCTGCTGAGAATATTGCATCTGGTGGCAGGCTTGGGGGGAAATGTGCGGAGCGATGCAGACCTGATAAGGGGCAATGGGCTGCCCAACTCGGCCCTGCAGGCTGCAGGCGGGGACAAGGAGGCCGATCTGAACTTGGCGCTCCAGAGTCAGCTCATTCAGATCAAGGAGCTGGCAAACCTGCGCGCCGGGCAGAATCCTGCCTCCACCAGTGCGTGCCAAAATCCCCGTTATTATGTACCCCAGCTGGAGCAGAATTCAGACATACTCATCTGATGTTGTGTTGCGTTGGGCAATACCTGAACCTGGACATCAGGAGTGGAGCCCAAAAGTGGAGCCCATAATGCATGTCTGCTGGTTGCACTATGCAGCACCAACATGACATGTCAGTTTGCCTCTTATCCTTCTGCATGCCTGCACATGCATGCCTGCACAGCTGGCACAGGTCAATCTGGAATCACCTCGTTCCTGATATATAACCCCGCACATGATCTGGCAAGATGCCAGGCAAGGCACGGAGTCACACTGACAGGGCTTTGCCAGGCGCCATGTGTGTGGTATTTACAGCATAGATTGTGCAAGATACATGGCATTTACGGCATCGTTTCATTTATGGCATCGTTTTTGCCGGGTGTGGTTTACAGCTTGGTGGCGTGCACTGTGCAGGCAGTCCTCAGGAGGCGGCTGAACGCGAGGGGCGCCGACTCTCACTGAAGGGGCTGTGGGACGCAATGCCTGTGGATTTGTTCTTCCAGGTGGTCGGGTGCAGCATGGACAGGGCCGAGGCAGAGAAGCTGTCTGGGGAGGACAAACGCATGGGTGGGTGCTCCTTCTGTTTTAGCTGCAGAGGACCTCAGCTGCGCTCAGATTCAAATGCAGGCCTACCTCCTGTCGGATTTCTTTGATTTGCGTTCTGTTTGCACGGGACTTGTTGCAGCACCATTCACTCGTGTCTGACAATAGGAGGAGAGTCTGAGAGGGCCGACAGGAAGCTGGACTCTGCTTCGCAGCAGTTCTGCCATGCTAGCACCCACCTGTGTATGCATCTTAGCAGCTTGTTCTGCATCTTTCTGTGCAGCTGCTTGCTGCAGCGGCGTGGATTTGTGCCTGCGAGAGGTTTCTCAGTCAGACGACTTCATAGCCACAATGATGTCAACAATTCCAAATAACGTGCAGGTGAGCTGGAGGCTGGTTTCATAGAGAGTGTTTCGACCGCGGCAGCCTGCAGTCGGCTGCGTGAGTCATTGGACACAATGCGGCGCATGGGCCTGCTGGAAAAGGAGTCACGGCCTGATCAGGTGCTTACTGATGTTTCTTCGAATATGCTCATCACACCCTCTTCCTGCCAGAATAGGCACGGTGCGTCTACAGACAAGCTACACGCAAGGGCTGCCGCATGTCCTGCTCTTCAATGGACTCGCCAAACTCAAAGGAAGCCCAGTCAATCTTGGGCCCAGTGCACAGTGTTTATACCACAGCCTGCAGCAGGGCGTGGGTCATGTGCCGAGCGATTGTGACGAATGACGACTTCTCTCCATAGTACCAATAGCGTGCATCATGCAACAAAGCTGCTGATGGTTGGAAAGCTGATGGGACCAATGTCTGGCCCAGTGGCGGATGGCACAGATCTGATGTTTTTCTCTTTTTCTGTGTCAGGCGGCGCAGGGGAGTGCCACTGGCTCCGACGGCGTTGTCTACCTCGCACAGGCGTCCATCCAGCTCGAGCTGCCCATCAGCATCTCTCATGGTAGGAGTTGTAAAGAGACTTCCAGAGGTGTTGTATGTTTTGCAAGGGTCATGCCGCTGGAAAGGGATGTCCATAGCAGATGTACGGTGATATTCACGCATCAAGGGTTCATGGACCTGTTTTGAGTGCAATGCACAAGCGCATAGTACACTCTAGGACACTTGCATGCTGGGTACAGTATCGGCCGATTGACGCCGTGCCAGATTCACCGAAAGGGCCTTTGCGATACAAAGAGCCTGGTTGCGCATGCTGACCAGAGAATTTATGCTTTGTGTTTTGAGCTTATCTGGATCAGCTGGATTGTGTGATTGTTGCAGCCAGGGGAGAGGATTCCTCCGGCATAGTTCAGCCCGGCGGCCTGAGGGTGATGCATCACTACGACCTGGCACAGAAGGCCAAGCTGGACGAATACTGGGCCCGGCTGGAGTATGCCTGCCTTAGCAAGTAAGATTGTCTCCCACCTCCGTCTTACTTACCCACTATGCTGTCAGGGGAGCCAAAGTTATGCAGTCTGCATCCTGGAAATTGATACTGGGACTCCCAGTAGTCCTGATCTTTGCATGCAATCACTTTTTGGGTCTCTGCGTGCTCCCTGCGAGGTTGCAACGTCGATGCTGTCTCAGGATGCTGCGAAGTCAGTTACCCCTCACATGCGCGGCTAGGTTGAAGTCGGAATTGTGGCCTGCCTGCCAATCGGTGCAGAATGTCACCAACGTCACAGTCAAACTCTGCCCCCTCTGCATATCAATTTTTTTCTTTGACCGCTGCGAAAGTCCAGGAAGTTGTAGTCAGCATCGGGTTTGCTTCAAACTGCAGATGTGGCCTGCCCGCTGGCTGCTGCAAATGTCTAATACTGCAGTATCATGCAAGTATGAATACCCGTTGTGACCTCTGCCGTGCAGACCGGTGGCGATGCGGTACTGCTGGCCGGCCAAGCGTGCGCCGGAGGTGGTGTCGCCGCAGGGGTGGCAGATGATGTGGCTCATGAGCGCCGCGCAGGCCCGGCAGCTGCGCGCACGGATCGCGGCTGAGATGGACTCCGGCCTGGATTGGGTGGCCTGCCACCGCATCGCAACCGATCTCAAGCTCTCCTACACCCAGGCACGGCCCAGTGCTGAAACATCCCACATCTGGCAGATCGTTGGCATGACAGAACTCCTATTGGTACTGAGAACTCCCGGCCATGGCGTGCCCACTGGTGTGGGGCGACAAACGCCCTTAAACCTGCGTTCCTTGAGTTGATGGAGGTGCAGTATTCATGTTGTCTATGCTTGAATGAGCCCAAATATGGTATAGCGGATTCCATGTCCACTGGACAGAGTGCGTGAGACCGGCACGGCGCTGTAATAGATGTGCAATTGGTACCTATTAGGCCCGGCTGCCAGCATGGTTGGAATGGAAATCATTAATAATCTGGTTTGCTGTGTGTTTGTGTAGATTGGGTGACAAAGTTGCTGTGCAGCGCAGGTGATGAAAATCGCGACCCAGTTCAGGAGCAAGGAGCGACTGGAACGCCTCAAGGCTGGCGCCCAGCCCCTGCCCAAGCTGCCCAAGCTGACCAGGACTGCAGCCGGCAGGCTCTCTCTTCGCCCCAAGCCTGCAGTGCCACAGGTAACCTTCGTACCCATAACAATGATGTTTTTTCCAAGTCCACACTCTCATACCTGTTGCAAGGATAAATATTTAATATTTGAGAAATTCCCCCTTTAGCCCTCTCAAATACAAGCATGCACAGCACATGGGTTACCCCACTGCAAATCATTTCAGTCCTCCAATTTGCTGCCGAGTCACTGTACGTCTCTATGCTCCTTGTGCTCCTCGTCTGCAGGGCCTGAGCTCTCTCCGACATCTTGAGGCTCAGTAATGTTACCAGGTTCAAAACCCTTTTCTCAAAGAAGAATCCACCTGCTCAAGAATACACCTCCTCACTGAAAAATATGTCTGCTTAAGAAGGTTATCTCCTCAAAGACTAATAGACATGCTTGGGAACACATTCTGAAGAAGTGTGTGTCTGCTCAAGGATTCCATTGATGTTCAGGTACCAAAGTCGCCGATCCTCCCGGGAGGGCGCAGGCGGCCTACAGAGGAGGAGATGCGCGTGAAACGGGCGGCGCAGTCGCGGCGGCTGCGGGAGCGCCATGCCAAAGAGACCGAGCTCAGGCTGTGAGTTGCCCTGAGCCCCGTTTTGTCTCAGAGTGTGCGCTTTGTGGATTGTCAGGAAGCTTATTTTCCTCGGAGTTTCTCTCGTCTCCGCAGTTCTTGCCTGTTAATTACCTTACCTAGTGGGCAGCGACATGTATAAGTCCTGCTGTGCACGAGTGGCTCTTCTACCAGGGCCCTACTGTATTGCGTGGTGGAGGCACGTGCGGAATCACAGCGCCCTGATGATTGGCTGTGTACACCTGCAGGCAGCAGCAGGCTGCAAGGACGCTGGCAGAGGGATTCCCAGACGAGGAGCCGGCTGCGCTGCGAAGGAAGTTGCGCAAAATGACCACGACCCACGAGGAGGACTGCGTGCTTGTACGCGGCTGGGTCAGGTGCGCATGCTTCCAATCGGGGGGTGCTAAGTTTGTATTTATAGGGTTGAGGGGTATGTGTTGGGGCTGCGTGTATGCGTCATATTGAAAGGCATATTTGCACAAACATAAGAACCGGAAAGAAAATGGATCAGAGTTGCTCCTCTACTCAAGAGACTCAGGGATGTAAGGAAGTGGCTGGAATGATTTTCCCGCAACCATCTGCTGTCCAAGCAGAAGAGTCCTGGGATCATTGCTCCTTTCCTGGATGTGCTTCAGGGAATCACCGCCTGTTCACGGGGCAAGAACAGGGCCCACGACCTGCCTTGACATGCAAGCAGAGATTGTCCTGCAATTGTGTCTTCCTGACAATACAAGGACCAGATGTTGTTGATTAGACGCATCGCGCATGGCAGGTGGCATGCTGTTCATGGAGTGGCCCCAGGCAAGCAGTGCTTTCGCAACAGCCGGCGCCTGCTGCCAGACTACCACATGCTGGAGACACAGGCCTCGCGCCGCATCGCCCGCCTCATGAAATCCTCCAAGGTCTCCTTCTCTTCCTGTACCAAAGCGCAGCGTTTAGATAAGCATTGTGTGAACATGGTTGTGGGATTCTGCTGACTGCCAGTGTGAGGTAGCAGTGCTGGACTCCGGCAGGATCTGTATTGCAGTACAGGATAAGTCGCCCGCTGTATGAACTGCTTGTTTTGTTGTGCTACCTGCGAACATGGGTGTTCATCATGCAGGGGCTGTCATATGAGCCCCTGTTGCATCTCCGTTGATGAGTCCCAGCTCACGGGTGACAGTCCAACATACGCAGTGCTTGATGCTTAGATCTGACTTAGGAAGCTCAGTCCTTTATGCATGGCACTAACACATGTTGTGCACTGCGTAGACCAAGAACTCGATGGAGCGTCTGCTGGCACTGGCCGGCCAGGTGCATGCGCGTGAGTCAGCGCGCACAGCCGCTTCACAGCCTGCAGCAACTTCAGCTCCTGCTGCTGAGGCAAACGGAGATGCTGGTGCAGAAACTGGCACCTCTAGTGAGCCCCTTGCAGATGCTTCTGGAGAGACTGAAGCTCCTGCTGCATTGGGACGCACTGAGGCCCCTGCTGCAGATGCATCGGCACACACTGAAGCTCCTGCTGCCAGCAAAGGCCCAGCAGATGAGGCACCCACCAGTCGGCCAGCCGCCCGCAAGGGCGTCTTAAAAGGTGCAGGTTTCACAACTTGGCAGAACAAATTTTCATGGTCTTTTGGGTGGTTGTCAGATGCACACTTTCTACTGCAATATCTAAGTCATCTTGCTCCAGTGACTGCTCATGTGCACACAAGCGAGATCCCGCTTGCAATAATTGGAATGGTCTTCGTAAAAACAGCACTTAGACCTCCAGTCGGATTAGGTAGGGCTACAAGAGTTCCAACGCCCACAATTTGCAACAGTCCCTCATAGAAGATGGAAGGGGTCCTCAATTCTCGAAGGGGGCCTGAAATCCCCATAAATATGCTCAAGAAGGGGTGGTGTTCAGCTATGTGTGCATGGGTGCAGGCACCAAACGCAAGCCGCGGCTTTCTCTGGACACACAAACCATCCTGCAGCAAGGCGCTGCCGTGGGAGAGATCGTGCGCCAACTGGCCGACGGAAAAACCGCGCCGGCCGCCGTCGGCCCCGGGGGAGTTAACGCGTCGCACCCGCCGCCGCGCAAGAGGCGTCGGAGGGTAGCTGCGCAGAAGCCGGTGCAGCCGCCTGTTGCGAAGACTGGGGCAGAGAATAATGAGAGGGCAGCGAGGGATGCGACTGCAGCTGCAGCTGTAGCTGCCGAAGCCCACGGTGCGTATGATGTTACATGGTAAATTGTAATTGAGGCTAGGGTGTGTTGGATGATGGATGGAAGTGTGTGGCGAACTGAAGGCTAGGGTGCGTTGGATGATGCATGGAAAAGGGAAGTGGACTAAAGGCCAGCATGCGTGCGATGATGCATGGAAGTTTATATTGGTATGTCTGTGTATGCGGCACCAGCAGAACCAATTTTGGCTGTGCACCACAAGCATGCCATTTTTAGGCATGAAGAGAGACGGGGCAGATTGCCATTGGTGAAATGGCAATGTATGCACTTCAAGCTCCACATCACTTTTTTGGGTGGGGGTGCTAGCTGTATCCAAACTTCTGGTGCGTACCTTGAGCTTTGCAGGTGCACATGATTGTGTTCAACTGTTGCACCTGCAGGGAAGCGGGGAGGAGCGATCATTGAGGCAAACTACAAGAAGCGCATGGCTGCCATCGGCCAGGCAATGCAGGACGGGCCACTGTTCAAGGTGAGCCCTGCATGCGTGCACAAAAGGACTTCAGCGATCAATATCCCACCCAATTCTAGATTCTTGGTCTCAGTCTTACAGGCTGCGGCCGTCTCCGAGTAGTCATCAAGTCCCTGTGCCAAGATGTTGCACTGCACGGCGGCTTGCTCCATCAAAGATGCCGGTATGGTGTATTCAGTCAGTGTTAGATGTAACTATAGATACAAAGCCCCCAATCAGGCTCTTGGCAGATGTTATCGACGCATTCTTGTGCTTGCACGTGTGCACTGGCAGATTTCAGTACTTCTGCATGTGAAGCATGCACCCCTCTCACAGGTGGTGACCCCAGAGGACGCTGCAGCGCTGAAGGAAGCCGAAGAGCTGGTGGAGGACGTGCTCGCAGCCGCCCTGACCGACAAGAAGGTCATTGTTCTTCGGTCTCCCAAGCCACCCCGCCGCGTGCGTCCGACGGCGTTCCCCGATGGGGTGCGTGGCCCCCTGCAATTCCCCCCGTCTGGACTGTGAACAATTGCAGGGCATGCCTAAACACAACAGTGTCAGGGATGGCACCAACAAGTCTTTAGCAACCCCTGAAGAAGTCTTTTCTCCCCAGGGACCGATATTTTCCAGACAGCCTGACCCTCACCATCATTCCTCGGAGGGGTTCCCAGGATGTCTGTGTATGTGACAAGTGGTGGGGCAATGGTTGTTTCTTTGCAATTTCCTGGCTCCCGCTGTGATCATGCACCGATCAGATGTTTGCAATGAATCTGATCGGCAGGGACAAATGTAGGCACCAATCTTGCACACCGAGAGGCAGCCAGGGATCACATATTTTCAGTTTGCTCGCTCGCACTATTACGCAGGCACCGATCTACTTGACGAGGTGCAGCCAGTGATCAGATCTCCGCAATCTTGCTGGGGCTGTGGCACAAGCGCCGATCTTGCTCAAGGAGAGGCGGCCAGTGATCAAACCCTTTCACCTTGGTCTTTTCAGGATCCTAACCTGCGTTATGCCGGCAGGCACCAATCTGATTTGGTCCTTTCAGGTTCCTAACTTGCCTTATGACAGCAGGCGCCGATCTTGCCCAAGGAGAGGCGGCCAGCCAAGAAGCGCAAGGCGCCGGCCGACGCAACTGAGGCGGCGGCTGCGGCCCGGGCGAAGCGGCAGCGCGGGCGCGCGGCGGCTGCCGCGGCGCGGCGCCCGTCCGGGGGCGATGCGAGGCCGGAGGTGCAGGTCTCCTCGGCGTTCCTGAAGGGCCGCACACTGGTGCAGCAGTGGCGCAGCGCTGTCGGCCGCTCGGCCCTCAACAAACACCTCGCCATGCCCGCTGGTGCGTGACTCATCTCCACACTTGGCTACTGTCCCTTCACAATGTGCTGCATTGGCTCCTTTAAAGTCTGCTCAGTCCTGTGCATTAATTTCGTTGGCAAATCCCGGACATGCATGCCCCTGACTTATCTCCACTGTTGTCCACTGCTCTTCCACAGTGACAGTGCTGGTTGCCTACCGTGCTTTAGCCTCTACCGAGCCCTGTGCAAAAGGCCTGTCGGCAAATCTCAGACATCTCAGAGAGGTGCACGGATATTAAGAACAACGCTCAACACCTAGTGCATGGCAAGGTGGGCAATCTGCAAGCCGCCACGGTGTGACTTGGAGTTGCGGTTGCAATGGGATACATGTTTGAGATTCTGACTGAAGGTTATGTGTTTGTTGCAGGCAGCAAGCCGCCGTCGACGTCTGTTGCGGTGGCCATGGAGCTGATAAAGTCGCTGCTGCTGGTGGCGGAGGCATCGCCCCAGGAGACGCCCACCCCGGACGCAGCAACCGCCCTCGTGCGCCGCTTCAGCCAGGCAAGCCGCCCATTTCAATCGCATCTCACAGTGCCATTTCTTTGGCAGGCACCTAAGCTAGTGTCTCCTGTGCTTTGCTCCTCTATGGAGTGTTGCAGCGCAGTACAGGAGCAAGTGCGTGCATCAGGACTTGAAGCCACTGTTACCGTCACTATGCTGTACTCTTTGCAAGGAAAGGTTGCTGTGGATGCCAGAGCGGCTGGAATTTAGATAGCCTTGATGCATATCGTTGTGGCAGGTGCCCGTTGCCTGGATTGTGACCCTTCATGGATTATAGCAGGGCAGTCCGGTTGAAAGGAGTGTGCATGGGTTGCAGGTGGAGATCACAGAGGCGTTTGGGTATCTGCGCAAGGCCGGGCATGTGAACCACGGGGCCAGCAACCGCCCCTTCCACCTCTCCGACGCCTTCAAGGACAGCATGCAGGTGCTGCCACTCCCATGCACACTCATCACAAGCTCCTCCTGCAAACCCAACCACCATGGCGCTGTGCTGTTCGTACCATGCCTCCATTGCAGGGCTGGCCTTCGTGCAAAGGCGGAATGACCTTGATACACACAATTCAAATTTCTTTTCTGCTGAAGCGCCCCACTGTTGGTACTGCTAACTGGTAGTGCAAGATACGTCACTACTATGGGTCGCTGAATAAAGCGCAAGATGAGCCTGTCTCATCAGCTTTGGATTGTGCAAGTGTCGCAACATCTAGCAGTCTATTGCGGGTACAGATAACATGTGTTGATGCTAATCTTCATTGCCGCTGCTCTACAGGTGGCGGATCTCCACCCAGAGATCTTTGTGGAGGCGGCTGCAGCGCGAGAACGCATGCGCGCCGCGCGGCTGCTGCAAGAGCCGCCCGCAGCTGCCGCCGTGCTCGAGTATGCAGCCGAGGAGGAGGTTCCCAGTGGCATGGTCGCTGAGGCGCTGTCTCACCTGGCTGTCGGCGAGCTTGACATACAGACGCATGATGTCACGGTGAGCCAGCTGCTACCTAGCCTTAGTGCTGTGCTTTCTATAGTGTTGCTGTCCTTGCAGTGATCCATGCTTGCTAGGTGACCTTTCGGGAACTTGTAATTCTTCACATTTACCAATTTAAGGTGAGGAACAGCACAGTCCAGCATTGTGCACTTTCCGCCCCAAAGTGGCGGCTGTGACAGTTGCTGGCACAGATCCGGGGAATGGGCTGGTTTCAATAGATGGTTGTGACAGTTTTAATACACTTGATGCATTACTCATGAGTAGGATCTGCTCAAAGTGTTACCTGCAGCTTGTCTGCAGGCGCACCTCGCCTTTTGGCAGAACGAGCATATGATAACGATAAAATATGACATAATATTATGTAATCAAAGTGCTGCATGTTATTGGCAGGTGGAGCCAGCAGAGGCAGGAGAGGAAGAGGACCCAATGATCGGTCCCCTCTCCTGGCGCATCCCTCTGCGCATCAGCCGCGGCCCACCCCCACAAACCACCCCACACCCACCCTCTCACCCAAAGCCACCTGTCAGCCTATCAACACAGCGGCAAAGCCAGCCATCTCCCCTGCAGCAGGCACTGCAGGATGCTGCTTCAAGTCAGCAGCGGTCATCCCGTGTAGCTGGGGAGGGTGTCAGCAGTGCAGCAGCAAGAAAGGGGCAGCAGGAGAGGCTCTTCTGGCCGGAAGCTGTGGGCACGAACTGGATAGTCAGATCTGCAGCGGAGACTGCCTGCGTGGAAGAGTGGACGGCGAAACATGGCAGTGCTGCGGATGACAAGGCCCTGCTCAAGGACGCCCTAACGTGAGCAGCCTCACCTTGCTTTCCATGCTTTGTGATTAGCTCAGAACGCACGCCTGTTCTCTGCTTGTCTCACATCTTCTACTCTGGGGGACAAGGAATTGGTGAACTTGCACAGACACCTTCCTTCAAGCTCTGTCAACTATGCAGCAGATAGTGTTGCTCACAGGTTCTGCAGCGTAGTGGGCAGCTTGGCAAAGATAGATACAGTAATGACATTTCTTATACATGATGTGAAGGTTGATCCGGGAGGCGGGTCCGGACGGCCTCACAATGGAGCAGCTGTCCAGCTCAGCGTCCATCAGCGCTGACAAGGCGCAGGAGCTGGTGGAAGCTGCGCTGCGCTATGGGCTGGTGCAGATGGTGGGCGCCTACCAGGCCTGGGCCTACGTGGCATCAGAGCACTGCCAGCGCTTCCGGCCAGGTGGGGACACAGCAGAGGAGGGAACCTTACATGGACAGGAATGAGTACGTCATTATACATGATCCCTGACTCTTCAGCGCCATATGCCTTGCGTCCACAACAAGTCACCAATATTTGTGCTCTGGTTGACAGATACCATGACTTTTTACATGCTGTGCGCACTGCGTTGCCTTTTACATGGTCCCCATGTGTCGTGCTCACTGTTCTGCTGTGCTGATCCGACAGATGTGGCGAGCTCAGGGCAGCCATCAGAGAAAGGCACCAGAGATCTGCCTGCTGCCACTCCTGCCAACCCGGCCGCCCAGCAGGGCAGCAGCAATGGCACAGTCAGCGCTGCAGCACCCCCCGAGTCCACTCATGCAGGGGTAGCAGCTGGAGAGAAAGGGGCAGCAGGGGCTCAAAGTGAGGACCAGCAGGGGGCAGCAATGAAAGAAGGGGCCGCAGGGGGCCGTAAAGATCAGCAGCAAGGGGAATTAAAAGATGGGGGTCAAAGTGAAGCGCACCAAGGGCAAGAAGTGAGTGGAGAGGGTGAGGGAACGCTGCTGCAGCCCTGGAGCGACCACCGCGGCCGCCTGAACGAGCCATTCCTGCGCAGCATCACACAGCGCGCCGTCTCCATTGTCATACGCCACCCTGGTGAGCGCACACCAGAATCTCCCAATACTGCCCGGTAATTCTTAAATGTCTTTGCAGCTCGCTCGAGCGTCTTGCATGGACATGTCCTTGCAGCTCTGCTGGGCTCTCTGGAAATGTTGCAAAGGAATGAGATCATGCTCATGGTGAAGACGTGGTGAGCGACAGCACATTCGTGAGGGTACCATGTTTGGATCATTTCAGAAGCAGCATGGCGGTGCGGCATTTGCAAGCATAAAACTCTTGCATTGCATATTGATGGGGAGCGTTCAAGCCCAATGTCAAGGTGCACTTCTAGGGAGGAGCATTCCAGAATACAGTAATGGCAAATAGCTCTTCGAGTAAAAACATCAAGCAACAGCATAAAAATGCATGTTGAGGGGGAGATTCTTATGACATAATTTAAATATATTGCAGGCATCCCAGAAGAGCTGCTGGTGGAGGAGCTGGCGGTGCTGTCGCCGCACAGCGCGCGGCGGCTGCTCCAGAAGCTGCTGGAAGCCGGCCTCGTCACTGTCAGGTCGGCCGAGGCGGCACCTGCCCCAGAGCCGCCCGCCATCTTCCGGCGGGCGCGCCAGCAGCTGCCGCCTGAATCCAAGGTATTTGCTGCTTGCCTGCCTGCTGAAACAATGGCAGTTTGGCACTCCGTTAGTGCAGGACAGTCTAAGACCAGGGGGCTCTTGGTTGTCTGTGTGGAGCAACCAGCACAATACAGATCGTTTTCGTGGTCCTTTCCGTCTCTTTTAGAACTATGGCCATTTGTAGACTCTGCACATTTTTTGTCAGCAGTGGTTCAAGGATGCATAGCGACAACAACAGGAGCCATAATCCCCAGAATATGATAGGCTGAAGAGGCAATCGTGACTTGCGCTGATGTCCATTTTCTCCGTCATGCTTTCCAACGTAGGAGATCTCTCCAGCGCGTCCATATATTCAAATTCACGCACATGTTACTCCACAGCATACTGAAGGACGCGCTGGAGAGATCCCCTGTGTTGGAAAGCATGAAGGAGAAAATGGACAATAGCGTGAGTCGCGATTGCCTCTTCAGCCTATCATTGCTGACATGCCTTGATGCTCAGACAGCATACCCCTCCTGGTAGTTCAGAAGGAAGTGCGAGCAAGCTTCAGATACTTCACCTTTGCCACGATACACCCATTTAGGTGTACTGCTAGTTCTCTCTGTGAATGTGCCCATATGCTCTGAGGATTGGGCATTGACGTTGTCCTAGCGGTGTTGAGGAGGCTCCAGACTAAGAAAAGTATCTTTGCTGCGCAGGTGGTCAAACACTACTTCCCAAATCTGTCCTGCTGCTTTGGGCAGACGACGGAAGTTTCTCTCCAGGCGTTTGTGAGCGGCGCATGATTATCTTTTGGATCGCTGAAATGAAACAGACTGAACAATGGAATATGTGAAGTGCCTTGCATGCCTCTGAGCTGCAAGATCAGGAACTTGAGAAGTGAATCGAGGAGTCGAATTACAAGAATTGCTGGAGCCCCCAGTTCGAATCTCAAGCAACACCCCGGTGGTCGCATAGTGTCCTTGAAGGTCCGCTTGATCTTCAGAGGGAATACAATGGGAGTTTATCAATATCATGATCAGTACTTTACGCATGCAACCTGATCAACCATTTGCATGAGAACACATACACAAGGTCGAATTCAACAGCTGTGCTGTAAAACTTATGGGCGGTAAGTCATGCAGGCATCAGTAGTAGACGTTGTTTCTTGCATTGACAGCCACTTAGAACTTGGATACTCCGGAGACTTGTAAAATTGTTCGTCTCAGGGTCTCTATTGCTTCAGCCTGCATGCTTTGGTGTCAGGCCAGCATCGGCGAGGCACTCACTGCAGCATCCACAAGTGCATGCATTCATGTTGCCTCGCACGCGTGACATCTGGCCATATGTGATCAGAGTCAAACGAGAGCGATTTAAGATTCTCACAGCCATGCGTCGGGCCTTCACAACCTTGCGCAAGTCTGACATAAAGGCGACAGTTGCAACCCGCCCATAAAACTCCTCAGAGCTTTGATACCATCCAAGAAGGCACCCATATTTCCAAAAGTCAGGCATAGCTCGTCGTGTCTGATGAGCTCTAGTACTCAAGCTTAAGAGTGACAGGTACGTGCAAGAACACCTCGTCTGCCTGAATCCACAGCTCTCTGAGATGCATGGGTGCACCGCCTAGTACCAGTGGTGCGTCCAGGGAGCCAATTGTTTCAAAAGATAGTTCCAGAGAGGTCAGATCCCCGCTTGGGTTAGAAAATGAGGCAGCGGAATCTGCAGGTCATTGCTTGTCCATGCCGCTGAGTGCAGAGCGTCAATTGCCCCCGACCAATCCTTTTCAAAAATGCCCTCATGGTCTACTTGCAAATGGACGTAGTAATCTGGCGCAACAAGGAGCTTCCTGCAATAGTTATCACACTTGCACTAGATACCACACAAACAAACCCGCCGCAGTTGCCGCGACTGCCGCAGGTCAAGCAAGTCAACACCGGGCTCATCCTCATCTTCACCGATGACATAAGGGTTGTTGCTTCTTCTTCGAGCGCCATCAGGCGTGTAGCAACCCTGGCCCAAAAAGAGCGTCTGCAGCTTTGTCAGGGCGAGCAAGTCTGCCGTGTGTGTGTCTGTGATGCGGCTGGCACCCATGAACATCAGGTGTTGGAGCTGCATCAGCGGCGGAAAGTCTGCCCATCTACCACCCCAGATCTGCAAAGATCGCAACCCCTCCATATCTGTGAGCACCAAGCCCGGCGGCAACACGCACTTCTCTTCTAATGGTCAAACTCAGGTCTTGAACCTGTGTCGGCTTGCTGTTGCTGTATTGGACCAAGATTGCCAGTACTTGGGCACGTCTGAGATTGATCTCGCCAAAGTTCATTACTTGCAATCTGTTCCACCTCCTGGAGAGCCAATTGATCCCTGCGGCAGCGCCCAAGGTGGTCAGCAAATCCATGAGGCGTGTAATCATCATGCACTTACCGCTTGCTGGCTCGAAATGAGCACATCGGCCGCTTTTGGGCTTTCAATCTAGTAAGCTCTGGAACAGTCACACCTGCAGGGGACTCTCATCGGATGTGATGCTTTTTGTCTGGATAAGAAACATTGCCCTGCAAGTACCAGAGACTCCTGCCCATTCCTTGAGAGTGAAGTGGCTGGCCACCAACTCCCAAACCTCCTGAGGCAAGATCAGGGCCGATCGTTCTGAAGGCATCCAAGCCTGCGTGCATACATTAAGCCATCGTCAGTCAAAGCATCAAAGTGCCACTCTGTAGTTTTCAGAGATGTTTTTTTACAGTTTTTGACATGTAAGCCTCTAATAGCAAGTCACGAGCATATCTCAGAGGCAGGTCTGCCAGTGGCATGATCTTGCTCATATCCGGTGTCCTCTCTCGAGGCCATCGGCGACGACTTTATTAAAGGTGCTACGGCTCGAGGGCCACAATAAAGACTTTTCCTGTAGAGATTTCCTGAAGACCTCCACTCTTCCCTTAGAGGCAAACCTCTAAGGTGACTCCGGAGACGTGCACTGTAAGTCGATGCCAACAGTTTCTCCCGGATCGAAAGGTTCTTTGAGCACACGATACTTGCTGCCCTTCAGTGGATCGCGTGGGTCTGTAGAGCGTCGCCGCTCAAGAAAGAATGTATAACGCACGGTTACAATTCAGGGTTTGAGGGGCATTGACGGGTTTCAACCCCTTGATTGCCGAAAATCCATTACTAACTCTTATTGCATTCCGACACTGCTGCAAGCAGCCGTCTGGTCGAAAGAGAAACCGATCCCACAGCTGGTACCACCAACATAACGCTAAACGTGATCATATTGCATATAGGTGTCTGTCCGTTGTGGTTGCTATACGCCGGTGGGCAAGATCGCACCCTTTGCTTACTATTGAACAGGCGTGAGCTTTAGCGATACAGAATTTTGAATCACATCAATTAGATTAAAAAAGTTCCTCCGAAAGTTATTGTCCAGGGAACTTGATTGACTCCCGCATCAAGAATCGCTTTCGATATAAGCAGTACTAGGAAAACGTTGACGGCCTTGAACACATCAGTGTGAATCGAATAGCTTAATCGCACAATGTCAACAACCCCTGGTCTACAAGAAGATCAGATCAGGAAAGCAGTTGCAGCTCTCCTAAAGCATGTCGAAAAGCAGCAGGCAAAAGCTAATGAGCTGCTTGAAGAGGAGGAGTTGCTGTACCTGGTAGTTAGCTCTACGTTATAACTCCATGGAAAACTCCTTCGATGTGTTCGTGGAGTGCTGGCAAATCAATGGCAAAAAAGGACTGAGATCAGGCTGACGGCGCAAGCTTCTGACTAGGCACTTGTGCTTGCGCAGATCATAGCTCTGAAAAAGACACCGCAGGAGGCTCGAAAGGACAAGCCACTCAGATTGTAGGTCTTGGCGGCAATCATCTTTGTTTAATGCCGGGACTGTGTAAGGAAGTCACGAGCGGACTCCTCTGCTGGCTGTGTGTGATGTGCCCTTACATTGCTGTGGTGCGCAGACCGCTGCCGCACTCATTGTATGATTTCGATGGAGCAGAGGTGTGCCTGATTGTCAAGGATCACAAAGGTGTGAGAGCTGTACTTCCTCGGGTGCTCACGGTAGAACACAACGACACTAGCACTTTGAAGAATCTTCTGCAGAATTTCTCCCTTTCCTGCAGTCGCTGTGAGCAGTTCTGAGTTGATCCGTACATAATGCAGATGATTGCGTTCCATCTGTGTATGTAAGAAAGGTTTATGGCGCATAAAGAAAGCGGTGTGGATCCATGCGAATGTCAAGGCAACCATGTGCTGCAGGTGAGGGGCATAAGGCAGCCAAGCAGAGGGTGAAGGAGGAGAAACTTGCCAAGGTATCCAAGGTGGTGGGGGTCTCAAAGCTGCGCACAAAGTACGAGTCAGCCGAGGCAAAGCGCGCGCTGTGCACCGCCTACGACCTCTTCCTGGCAGACGAGCGCGTGCTGCCCTCGCTGCCCAAGCTGCTCGGTGAGTGTTTCAGCGCTCTCGTGCGGGCAACCAACCGTACTTTGCAGCAGTGGTACATGCCCTGCAGAAAGCGCCTCAGCGCAAAAGTGTCTTGATTTCCAATGCAGCGCTCCGGTCTGCCAAGTTCCTTGGCGGGTTGGGCTGGAGCAAAGCTCATCCAATACTTTGGCCTGCGGCTGCATGGCTCCTTTAACATTCCAGGTCCCTGCATCGCAATGGATAGCTGCTGCGTTCAGTAGGCGAAGCATGAGGCAAGCCTGGTGACTGCAGGCAAGACATTCTTCAAGAAGAAGAAGCAGCCTATCCCAGTGGATCTCACGGGCAAGGACTGGGCCAGGCAAGTGCGCAAGGCGACCGAGGCCACCTACATGCATCACACCGGCGGCACATGCATCAACATCAGGTGGGCTGCTGCACTCTATCCTTTGAAAGCTTGTCAGGCAATTTTTAACGTGTTAATCATTGTTGGCATTTCTAAAGAGGAGGAAATTGAGAGTGAGGGGATTGTTGTCTGGCTGCCAGGGTGGCGCGGAGCTCGTTCTCAGCAGAGCAGTGCACAGAGAACATTGTGGAAGCAATCAAGGGGGCGCTTCCGCACATCCCCAAGAAGTGGAACAATGTGCAGGTGCAGCCTCCCCTCCAAATTCCTCCTGCGTATGTTGCATGCATGCCTGCTGACTTTCTGAGCTATTTATCACTTCCAGTGGACTCGTTCAAAGGATGGCAAATTGTAGGGAGAATGTGGCAATGTCTAGGCAGCCAAGCATGCTGCAGTTGAGCGTAGAGCATATTGCTAAGGGTAGATAAGAAGCGAAGAAGATGTTTGCATCGACAGCTGAATGGTACTCCAATTGGTGTTGCTGCCCAGGCGCTGCATGTGAAGACGGCAACTTCGGCCGCCCTGCCGATCTACCAGACGCTTCCAGAGCAGCCGCAGCGGATCGAGATCCCCAAGCAGGCTGCACAGGTCGAGGCTTGATGATGGTTACGTCGTTGCTGTTTTGACAGGAGGTTTTGAGTGCTCGTGAAACGTCAGATGGTGTCTCTCAGCGTGAGAAACATGGCCAAAACGGATGCAGAGGAAGGTCATTGGCAGCTGTTGATATTGAATATTGGCTTTCACACCTAAAAGTTGTGCTGTGCAGTTCTGGTTCACCTATGCGCAAGGCAATCACCTTGTACGTGGTGAATCATTGTCAAAGCCCTTGAGCAAATTCATACAATCACCAGTCGTGGGGACATAAGCTTCGCGCAAATCAGACGCTTTCTTGCAAAACTGACAGACCAGAATGACAAGGGTGTGCGTTCTCAGCCTGCAGTAGCTGCAGAGGCAATCACATCTGAGATTGCATCCATCCACTCCCTCCTAGAGCGCCCATTGCCACGCTTGGGCAGCTCAACATGCAAATTTTCGGTGCCCTCCAAGGATGTCACTGAAAATGAGCGCGCATCATCGGCCGGTGCCTTTGGCAGATTTGCTGTGATTCCACTGCTGCTCCTCCACAGGCGCCTCCATGGGGGCGATTTTCCTGCACACGTGTCATATCATTATGCAGAGTTGAACCAGTACACCTTAATTCAGAAGAAAATCCAGTCTGCTATGTATTGTCTCGCACACTCCAAGCGTAATTCACATGCATAAAAGGACGTACAACTGCCTGCCATACAGCTGTTGGAATTGTTTAAGAATCTAGGCAAGGCACAGGCAGCAGAATCAAGAAAAAATTGACATCAAAGCGTACCAGCAAGTTGCTGGGGAAACTCTGCCGTGCCAGCTGTCACTCTACAGTGTCCGCCAAGGTGCAGCGCTTGTGCTGTGCCTTCTTCTCCGGTGGCAACTTTGTCATCCGCCCAGAGAAGGGCCTTCTGTGACTGGCTGCACAGTCACACACATGCATGTAATTTGCTTGTATCTCTCTGAACCATTGTCTTCGGAAGACCAGCTTATCCATGGCCACAGGCCAAGTGGTGATACAAGTGCTGTATGAATGCACTGATGAAGCACTTCACAGAAACTCCACACAGCTGCATGAATGGAAGCAGCTGTGTGGAATGACACGATCAGAATTGCTTGAGACAATAGAGAAGCAACTTCTGCGGCCGTACCTATAGCATAAAAACTGCCCTTTTGCTCCCGAGGCGTCATGCACTAAGAACGGCGCCCCTTCCACCAGAGCTCGCAGCCTCTCAGCCGCCACCCGCTTCTGCAAGGCCTCCAGGCTGGCTCGTGCATCAGACAGGGCTTTGACTGCTGCCAGGCTGGCATCCCCTTCCCCTCTTATAGGCTCACTCTCCTCTTGCCTCGCCACAATGTAGTCGTCCTCTGACACGATGATGATGCTGGCCTCCTTAATAGAGATTCCTTGCAAGGATTGGCTGCGGTGGTCTCCCATTGGACCGGCAGATTCTTCTGTTGCGCTGGGGCCGTGTCCATTGGGAACTGTGGTTCTGTCTCGCGCTACTTCTGGCAGCGGAGCAGTGCCATGAATCGCTTTGATGGTTGCCTCATTGGCATGGGCCGCTTCAAGTGGAACGTCTGGAGGTGCAGTACCGCATGCTGCCGTCACACGCACCACATGCTGGTGGACATTCTGCTTAAAGGTTGAGTCACCCTCATTGCTGTCTGAGGGGCGCAAGCTCTCCATGAAGGCCCCGTTGTCAAATACTGTGAACGCCTGCATTGGATCAAGCGGTTTCCCTTCATCCTCCCTGCCATGATCCTTTCCCTGCATCGCTGTCCTGAGAGGTGTGAACTCATCTGCCTGCTGCTTTTCACCAATCTGTATGTCCACCTCCGCTGCACTCATTTCCACAACGTGTTCTTGTGCCCCCCATGGGCGCCATGCCACCCAGCTTCGTCTTGCAATTGTCGGTGCAGCTGCCACATTGGCCGTTGGTGTTGGCAAAGGGACTGAGGAGTCCTCCTCAGTGCTTTTTGGAATCTGCCCCGACTGCTCTGCCGCTCTGTTCTGACCAACTGTGATGCTCATGCGATTCGGCTCCACCATCTTGGCATTCAGCTTCGCTTGTAGCTGGTCCTGTTCAGCGCAATCTTGAGTACAGAGCAGCTTCCTCTGTAACCCGCAAGCAGGCTTTGGGCAGATTATTGGCAGTGGGAAGTTTACATCGGCGTGCTTGAGCAGGGGACAACAGAAATGCGTCACTTTCAAGGGGGTCATACGATTGTTCAAGGCTCCAGTGTCCGTGCATGCATCCTGCAAGTGGCTTGTTCTGCTGTCAGCACCCACCTTGAGCAAGTCAAGGACGTATGGCAGCTCTCCGATGGGCAGCCCAAAGGGCACAAAGTCAAAATCGATGGCCGGCGCCTGGGTGAATGACACTGTGAATCCCTCGACCCCCGGCGCCTTATCTGGCGCCAGAGTCAGCGCCAGCCGGCAGCGGCCGGTCAGCGACAGGTTTGCCACCTCCACATGCGCGGTCATTGCCGGCAGCATCCTGGCCGGGCGCACCAGCACTGCCAGCTGCGAAGGCAATGACACAGCTCGCCAATCATGTCACAAGAACAGGCAACCTGGTTTGGCCTCCCAGTCGGCCTGGCCATATTTGGCCGGGCAGTGCCTTCAAGGAACGGCACTGTACCTGATGATCTATCAAAGCAGCAAAGACAACGGCAATTCACCTGCACCTCCCACAAGAGCCGGTGCCAGCGACAAACAAGATCCCCAACGATACATCCCTGAGTACTTTGTGCTCGGGGAATTTCCTTCACGGACACGGCAATCATCTTCCATAGCTTGTCCAGGCATGATTGCTCTGCCTACTGTACAGATGGGGAGAATCACTGGGGACTTGTGCTCAGGGGTCCCCTACATGTCCCCTACATGTGATCCTCTGGCCGTGACCAGAGAGATGTCCAGATATCCTCGAGGCAGAGCACCCTATAACAGTATGCACCCTCCATTTTCTCAGGGAAGAACAGGGCCACTCACCACGACGCTGAAGCCCTCAGCGGGCGCGAAGCCGATGCCAAAATCCAGCTGAAGCGTATTTTTGGCTGGGCTGCTCTGCACGCGCACAGATCGCAGCGCCGGCGGCTGGCGGCCCAGGCTGATGCGCTCCACGCGGATGCCCTCAACATACTTCAAAGGGCCCTTGTGGCCGCCCTCCTTCAGGATCTTCGCAAAGGCTGCCTGCGCAGGACAAGGGAAGGTTTCTTGTTGGGTTGCGGGCATTCCTCACAAGAAGACATGTAGTGCTGTCTCGCAAGCAGGGGTGGCCCAACAAGCCCCATTGCTGTTGACAGCAAGGAGGAGGCTTTTGCTCCACTTCAAGCTGCAGCTTCTGGATGCACGCACCCTTTTGCCCGCCCTTTCTTGGAAGTGCAATGAACTCTGCTTGGACAAGACTCTCGGCATGCCTCTGTGAGAGAAGGGTGAAGAGGCTCACATCGAGGCTGGTGCGCAGCTTGGCAGCAATCTTGGGCTCCAGGCTGGTGGGCCACACGGCACGCAGCAGATGGTTGACCCACTCGGCAGTGAAGCACTCGCTCGTGGCGGCCACGGCCGCGGCGGCAGCCGCGGCCGCGCCCGCAGCGCGGGCGTCGGCTGCCTGCAGCGCTCTGCGCTGCCGGGCACGGGCCACCTGCAGGTGTAGAACCAGTGGGTACTTGATGGGTCCTCCCTGCTTGCCACTGGGGGCCACCTGTTTGTGCTGTGAGTGGGCATGTGCTCATCTGACAGGATGCAGACAGATGATCGTAGCTGTTTCTCTCACACGTAACGGATATATCACCTTCCAGGTCACGTAGATGCACAGCAACAGTAACAGCAGTTGCTGAGCGCCGCTGGCTCGCTCCAATACCGATGCTTCCAAGGCCACCATGACTTTACAAAGGGACGATAGATTCCTCAAGAACGCCGTTTTACGGTATGGATACAACAGATTAAGGGCACGAGGAGCGCCTACTGTGCCAACAAGGCCCCGCTAGGAAACAAGCGCGCAGCCCGGCATGTTCATCTCGGGTCCCCGACACCTAGGTGCTTTCATGTTTCATTGGTGCCCTGGTGCCTCTCTTTGGTGATGTACTAATTACATCTGCCACACAGGATGTCCATATTGTGGGATGATCGCCACAGATCACTGTACCACCAGATGTTGTTCAGCTCAGGCTAGCCACGATGTTGTACTAGTCCACCTAGATTCTGCCTGCTTTATATCATGAGTTTCTAACGACATGGGCACCTATCAAATGTTTCAAAAAACGTATCTGAACCTTCTTTTGGGGTTGTGAAATCCATGACGCTGCTGCTCAGGCACGACGGCCGCTATATGGATAGTACTAACGACATGCCCACCATCAAGTGACTCGCTGTAGTCTAGGTGGTTAGGATACAAGACTCTCACTCTTGGGACCGGGGTTCGAGTCCCCGCAGCGAGGCATCCTCTTTTTTGGTTTTATTTTTGCTTGGGGGTGCTCCTGGGGCACTCATGGGCAAGTATGTGAGCCGTCAGTGGAAGCTCTGATGATGTGGAAATGGGTCATCCCACGGTGCCCATGCTTGCAACGTTCTCGGGATGACATGCCATCCCTTGCAATGTGCTCATCCATCACGATCGGCAAGACTCCACTATCAAAGTGGCACGGCTGCGCACCCCCAAACCCCCCGCTGCCACAGGCGGCTCTCGGCGGCGGAGCGTGCGGTGATGGCAAGTACTATAAGGACTGGTCCCTATACCATGCCACATTTCAATTGGCTTTCTTGGGGGGGCTGCGCCCCCCCAGACCCCCCGCCGTGCGCGCAGGTAGCCTCAGGTAAGTTGCTTGCGGGGAAGCTATAAGTGCAAAGGCATGATGGATCCCTGTGGTGCCTATATATGCATCATAATGTGCACTGCATGGCATGCAGTGTGTAGATATGTAGTATTTATAAATTTTTGCAATTACTGGAGAGGTGGTGAGGCAGCGCACAGCTTAGCTGGGAGGCTGCGCCACCCCCCAAACCCCCGCTGTGCACGCGGCAATACGCAGATGGATAAGGCTTGGCTAGAGTAGCAAAGCTTGCCTGCAGTGTAAATTGCAGCAGTGGTGGCTGGTGCGGCGCTGAAGGAGCTTGGCCAGGAAAGGCACGCGCTGCGCACTGCGCATGGGTCCCCCTAACGACGTTTATAGTGGAATGTAGTGTGATGAGACATTGACATTACTCTTGACAATATTGCCTCCTTGGGGGGCTGCGCCCCTCCAACCCCCCCGCTGTCCATGAAAAATGTGCTTGCCGGGAAACTTTGCGGCAGCCGTGGCACTATATCTAGTCATTTCGCTGGAATGGCGTCCGCCGGCGGCAGCTTCCTCATTATCCTTCCTCATTTCCTCGCTCTGGCTCAAGGCCACCCATCTAAATCTATATCATCCTCACCCTTGTGACAAGGGCCATTCCCCACAATGGGTACAACAGCCACACCGTCGTATCGGGGCAACCCCGGTCTGCTGGCTCACTCCGTTAATTGAATTGGTCACTTGCTGCGAACGAATGAAACTAGAAAACCATTCGCTTCACGCAAGGATCCCTTGTAGTATCGAATCGCTATCCTGTCGAAACCTGACGGCCGCAGCAGAAATCCCTACTCTCCAGGCACTGCCGCCATCAGCTTGTAGCATCTCAGACTTCTCCACAACTGGTGATCACTCATGAGTCATTGCTGCATGTGCATGCTGTTCACATCTACTGTTTTTCTCGTGACATTGGAGAGACCGGTGATATCAGGGTCGCGAAGCTGAGTCTTTGTGTATGCAAGTGTCCTACATCAGATTGTAAACAGTCGGTTTCGATGCGGGATAAGAGCCCTGATTGAGGTCGCAGGCCCGGGAGGTACTCACCATTGACATATTGTTCTCTCAGCTGCACTCATTCTTTTCTGATGCCCACCATTTAACTGCTGGTTGGTGGCAGTGTCCATCGGGGACAGCCTGTCCCTGCCTTTATTTACATCTGGAGTATCATCATGAGGCTGTTAATTGACCAGCATATACATCATGCGGATCATTATATCATCAGTCACGTCACTGGTGTGGGTGTGAGTGCAGTGTCAAAACTGGCAAGCGTATGGTGTAAACCCTCATCGGAATAGATTGGGGAGGCACCGCCATGTGGGCTAGTGCGGCTTGGCACACATATGCACGGTCCCTAGCGCCCTCGGATTAGGGGACGCTAGGGACCGTGGATATGTGTTGGCAAAGAAGTTTGAAGCAGGAGAGCCTAGATGGCGAGACAGCTGGCCCAAGGCTTTTGTTTAATGTTACCGTAAACAAAGTGGATGCATCGCATATGGTATCGCACATAAGGCAGAGCTTGAAGATTTTGGCCAGTACTGCAGACAGCACAAATATATGTTTAAAAAAATCTGGAAATAAGATCGGCTGTTATAACATTAGCGCCAGCATTCCTGGCGGACACATTGCATATGAGCAATCTTCGCCATCACATAGCAAGCCAAATATCGAGAGATCAAGCAGACTGAAAGTCACCAATTGGGGACAGATCGTAAAAGCACCTGCAGGATCTTGCTAGTTGCAACCAATTGGGACTCACTTCCAACGATGCTTGGTGTTGCGTCCAGCATTTCGAAGATCTCCGTCTGCAACTGCTCGCCGTCAATGACCATTTTCGAAAATTCATTGCACCACAACATTTTTCAGGACAAGTGGTGATGGCGGCGCAATACGAACACAGTTCCCTTGAGTCTGCAAAACTCGTAGGTCTGCTACACTTCCAGCACATATGTGGATCCATCTCTGATTTATGAGGCCGCGAGTGTAGATCTCGGAGATGATTGGTGTCTGGAAGAAGGTCTTTGGGAACGAAACAGTCCTCTAATCTGCTTAGGGAAATATTAGAGATCCATCTGAATAGGACAGCTTAAGAATCCGACGTTGTCCTAATATTGCAAATTTTGGAACTCAGCAGATCAGTCTGTTTCATGTGCTGAGGATACCAATAGAGAATGGCTTCTGACTCAAGTGTGCAGATAAAAGCCAGACGCAAGATCGCAGGGTTATAACGTTTGGGTCATCCAAGAAAGCAGTAGCTCAGATGGACTGCCCATGCACAATTGGGCAGCAGCTTCCCTTAGCTTCGCACGATCAAACATCTTTCTCCCCTCCTATCGATTCACTGGCGTTATACTCCAATGACCCCTGCTTCTTGTCACTCTCAAGAATCCTGACAAGTAAAACACGATTCGCGGGTGTTCAAATTCTTACTCAAAAGTGCTCTTGGCATCATAGTGGTGCAGACTTGCCTGCCTGGCTTTCGATGAGTTTTTGCAAGTGTGACGGTCTACTCGGATCAGTAAGTCACAAATTCAATCAGAACCAATTGCTGAAGCTTCCAGAATCGTACCAAACACTCAATATTGTCTCTGTCCAGGAATTCCTGGTGATTGTTTCTTCGAAGAAACAATCACCATGAGCTGCAGCTCTGGAGCCTCTAAAGCCTCCCGCTCAGCAGCATTTCTGAAGAAAATTGCTTCATTGATCAAAAGTCTTTTAGTAGGCACAACACCCAGATCACCCATATCCCCCTACGGTAGCCACACAAGGTAGAGAATCAAAAATCTCCCTACCCCCGGAAGCAGCTGAGCAACAGGGTCTCACTTATCACTAACTTCCAAGGCAGCCCAATCTCCTATATTCAGTTGCTTGCTCTGCCCCGGTGTCTGCATTTTTTTGATTTAGGTTTTTGTTGATGAACATTCTAAGTGGCTGCATTGCAATCCTGGCTGTGCACATCTTCCCAGTGCAGATTGCGGCAGTCCTCGGAGCAGTACTGAACCTGCTCGCATCCTCCACACCACACCACGATGTCGCTCAGCTCATGGCACAGGTGACACCTGCACAGAAATGCACTGGGTCAAATAGTGGCGCCATATTTGCATGCTCGGTATTTCTCACGATCTGCAGAGCTGGTGACGTAACATCTGCTCAAACTGTATTCAATGCTTTCTCTGTCAGAGTCCCAATAGTGGGCATGCTTTGAGAGCACATCAGCAACGTGACAAGACAACACTTGGCCTTTGGCTACTGATCAGGTTATGAACCCCTCACCCGATGAGCAGGCCTGTGTTCGCTTGGCTTTCCCACGACAACAAGGGCTAGTTTGCAATGTTGGCCAACAGAATCCAGCAGTGCAGTACCCACAGCGAGACCTCCCTTGAATGACACCTGGTGACCAGAGACTCGGAGGCTGCCGCGTGTGGTGACTATGATGCGTGGCATCACAATACAAGCAGGGCACTTCACCTGATGTTTTCACGCTCTATGCGTAAGTCCTTGGCAGTGTATTCCGGCAGCCGGCTGTTGGCAAATGCAGGCCAGCGCTTGAGGACTCTCTTGAAGCGCTCAGCCACTGCCAGAGTGCCCCAGAAGGTGTCATGCTTTGCCAGAGGAATGCTCTCCACTGGTGACCATCCGCCTGTCTCTGGGCAGCGGAACTCTCCCCAGCTGTCCAGCCGCGCCTTGATCCTGTTCGCCTGGTGAGCAAAACATTTTGTTTCATGGGAATCGTGTTCGTTGCCTTCAGGCTGAAGAGCTCTCGCATGTGCGGATGCTTCAACCAAAAGCAGACGCATGCATGTCACCTCTGCTGATCTGAACCACTCGGCAATGCCCGGCATGCATGCCAATGCCACTGCCATGCTGACCTGTGCCTAGCTTGGAGATCAGTTCGGTGAGTCAGTTGGTGACTCACCATACCAACATGCCCCAGAAAGTCGTGCACTGTGACCCTGTTGAAACCGCGACTCCCCTGCAGCAGCAGGTTGTAGCAGTACATGAACTGCAGTGGGCATGCTTTCAGGTCATGTTTCTGCTGCTGCAGGCCAGCCGTCAGCGCCGGCAGTATTTCCTGCACCATGACAGCTGCCCACCTCACCATGCAAGTCACTGCCACGGGGGATCACTTCACCCCATGCATGATCACAGCGCACATGAGCTTCCAAATGGGCCATGTTGCACCTCAAATGTGCAAGGGCAGAAAGACTGATAGACACCAAGGGAGCCGGGAACTCAGAGTCTGCCTTCCCAAACAGACGGCTGCAAACCATTCCATGCAGGCTTGTTGCTGCATGCGGCCAAGGCACTCTTTTGCTTCTCAGCAGCTCATGCTAGTATGCCTAGCACTACAGCATCGCCACCACATGCTAACAGATAGGTGGACACGGGCTCCTGATACGGTGTCCGGTCATCACAAGAGGAGCACGCCTGTATGACCCGTTGAGGCTTGCCAGTGACACTCCACCAGACCTTGGCAGCACAGACACAGCTCCAGGCGCTTGTGGAGTCTATCTCCTTCATCCTCTGCATGTTCCGGTGGCTCGTTGCAAGGAAGCTGGGCCGGTCCTCCGGTGTCAAGTTGCCTGAGGCCTCACTCGCCTCAAGAGCCATTGTCAGCCCATAGCGCAGTACCATCTCCACGTTGTCCAATGACAGCCCAAGCCTGCTCAAAACACGGACAATCATTTTAATAAACTGATTGATCTCTTCTGGGTGGTGACCAGAAGAGACTGGCTGCCTTGCCCACAGTAAGGACCATGCAAAGGTCCCGCCCCTCACCGTCTGCCTGCTGTCATCAGCAGCAGGCAGTGACCTGATTAGCATCATTATGGAAATGCATGTCTTGTTGAGCGAGCTCGTCTATTCTCGTTCCTCATCAGCTCCCACAAAAGCTTGAGCAGAAGTGGAGCACACCTCTGTAGGGTAGGCTCCCATTCGTCGCGATTGACCAGGAGGGCTGTCAGGGCGGTCTGCGCCCAGGTTCCATAGGCGGGGAAGCTGCCAACCTGGATTCCTGCCCACATGAAAGGCAGTGCTGCCAGCAGCTGCATCGGACCGGTCACCTGCGCAGCTTGATGTGCAATGCGGTCGCAGCTGCTTAGATCATAGTATCTGTTATCCTCTCCTGGGTTCTCGTACGCTGCACATGCCAGTAATCGCCCATCAGACACACATCGAGAACCGCAGACAGCTAAGGAAATCACATTGGCACTTTATACCGTGCACACTGCCAGAGATGAGGCAATCTGCTGCTTGAAGTTACTCCTCAGCTGCCCGGCCTCTGGCAGAGGCATTGTCATGCATTTAAGTGCAAAGCATCCATAGGGATGGCATGCGCAAGACATCCTAAAAGGCTGCGGAGAATATTGGACTGGCGCACCTGCAAAGTGCTGTGGCCTCTCCGCAACCTGATTGCTGACAGTGATCCGTATCTCAGAGTGGAGCCGGGGCTGGATGGTGTCGTTGAGAAGACAGACCTTGTGAAGCTTTGCCAGGCACTGCAGGCAGAACAGAGTTCAGCTTTCCAAAACGCAGTCAAGGTTAAGACGAAGCTGACACCAGTCCATTTAAGTCCGCCATGCAAGCCGATACTGAATATCAGTCAATCAGGTCGGACTGCCCGATAAGACACTGATCAATCTTGTGATCTACTATTGAGCTACCTCCAGAAACTTCAGATACTCGGCTTCAGTTTTCACGAGACTTGATGTTGTGGACAGTGTTTCCAGCACGTCCATCTGCAGCTGCTCGCTTTCAATGATAATCTTCATTGTACCACACCGCTCTTCAGGTCTAGTGGCGATGGCGGCACAAAACGAGCACACTTCTCCGTCTCCCAGCGCAACACCATGCCTGCTGTACTTTCCACAAGTGTGGAAGGCCATACTCGCTCACAACAGAGCGGCTATATGTGAGACAGTGTCTTTGGAAGGAGCGCTGCCATGTATATCAATCTAGCCCAAGCAGAACTTAGTAACCGTGTATTCAGTACGCGAGAATGTCTTTCGTGTTTCCGATTCTATCTCACAGCCGAGAGAGAAAGGAGCTGGAAGGCACGCAAGACTTCAGAAGTGACGCTGATTTTGGCAAATTGAGGGGCAGAATTTGGGTCCTCCAAGAATTCATCTGCGCAGAGATTACTGATCAAATTACCTCACAACGGGCAGTGGCTTCTCTCAGTTTCCTGAATATATTACTGCTTGATTCGTCCTTCACAAAATTACCTGACCTGAAATTTGCCTGTGCACTGGTACAGCAAGAAGCAATCTGTGCCCTCAATGAATCCAAACTGTCTGAGATGATGCAATATGGTGGCCCTGCAGAAATGCGTCCGTCAATTCTAATGGAGGTAGGCCTTGTGCTTTCTGGCCCTCTCAGCAGTACTGGAAAAAATCAAGTTGCCGATTACATAAATTTTATTACTATCATTCAAACGCTTGCTTCAGCTTGAAGGGCTAGGAGCCCGCACATTTGCGGCAATCTCTCAAGAAGTCCCCTCCGGCATACCTTTGATTGGCAATTTTCCCACCAACAGCATGTCAAACTTGCTGATTGCATCAGTCTGAGTCCTCCTCAGGAGTTCCGCATCCCCGCAGCAAACCATCATGCACACAGTGGACAATTGAAGTCAACTGGCAACCCATGTGGTACATATAATTTCAAGCACTGTGGCTACAGTCTCATTCGGGCTTGCATGCTGTGCTCTGCCCAGCAATTAACCTCCTACCATAGTGCAGCTCCCTCATTGTCCTTCCTGGGGCCTCTGTGATGCTGCTGTGATGCATTGCTGCTTGTGCCCGCTCAGCCAGTGCTTCTTCTGGCACTCCTTGGAGCAGTACTTGACCTGCCCGCAGCCCATGCACCGGAGCAGCTCGTTGCGCAGCTCCAGGCACTGGTGACACCTGCTGAAGAAAGCACCAGCACCCTTCGGATTTAAGCCCCGTCATGTGCAAGCAACACAGCAGAAGGATCCCTGAATGCATTACGTCATTTGCTCGGGATAGGATAACCATGCTGATCAGAGTGCACCCCTCGACCAATGCAGCTCATTGTTATCTGTCACACCTCCTCTAGCAAGATCGGCAGCTACAAATATTACAATGCATGATCAGAATTGCAAATGTTACAACAGGAGCCAGTAGAATGCTTCACCTGACAGTTGCGCATGCCTCAATCAGCTCCAGCTCAGTAAAGGCTGGGAGCTCAGTGTCGGCAAAGGCAGGGTCGCGCTTGATGGCTTCCTTGAAGCGCAGTGCCACTCCCAGGGTAGGCCAGTAGGTTTTCCTTGTTGCTAGTGGAGCGCTCTGCACAGGCGACCAGCCGGCTGTGTTTGTGCAGCAAAACTCGCCCCAGCTGTCCAGCCGCGCCTTGACCCTCCTTGTCTGCTCAGCAGTCTCAAGGTCAAGGTCATATCTTTGGGATCACAGAGTCTTGTCTCCTGGTTCCAGGCTTCATCAGCGCAAGGGGCAACCTAAAGGAGGAATGCAGATGGACAGTTGAGTGCACTTTATGCTGCGCTTGTGGCACACCCATGTCTAAATATCCAAAGCACAGTCTCCCTAAATATGGGCACTTCAAATTCAGCATTATCTTCAGAATTGGGGCTTCCAGCAGAGGCTGACTCAAGGCGCAAGCGAGAGGGGTCCAGCATTTGCCTTACGCACCTTTTTGACCTGTGCCAGGAATTCAGATACTGTTATGATGCGCTCCGCGCGGCTGCCAATGCGCAGCATGAGATTGCAGTACATCCACAGCAGAAAGCAGGTGTTGAGGTCATGCTTCTGCTCCACAGCTGCCTCCAGCGCCGGCAGAATCTCCTGCCATAACCGTCATACTCATCTTGAGAATCTCCGAGGCAAAGAGTCATGCATTGACCCGCCATGCCTGCGAATTCTACGAAAGAGCGCTGAGTGTTGCAGCCCCAACACTGCAGCCTCTCGAACAGCAAGGGCAGAGGTGCAGGTGCAGATGGAATCAACATCAGCAGCAAGCAGGTCTCTTGTACTGGCAATATAGTAATGCAGGCATGGTAAAGAGTACATCAGTGTGCATGCAGGGGCAACGTCACCTGCAAGGTCTGCTCAGGGTCCTGGTTGTGCTTCTTGCAGTAATTAACAGCGCTTAAACAGCTCCAGGTGCCGGTGAGGTCTATGGCCTTCATCCTTTTGATGTTGGAGCTCATTGCATCAACCTTGCGCTGATCCGGGGTTGGCAAATTGCTGGTAGAGAGCGGCACTGTGAGGGCCATGCGCAGGACCTTTTCCACACCGTCTGCAGATAGGCCGAGCCTGAGATCACACAGCATGTGCTTGTGACTGTCATTATGTCTGTGACTGTGATGATGCAATCGGGCCACACAATCACAATGCACGGGGAAATTGCCTTCGCAATTATAGCCTCAAATTAGTGCCTACATGCTCCAGAAAAGTGCAGCAAACAGGCAAAGTGGTGTGCGCACCTCTGCAATTCGACATCCCAGTGCTCGCGGCGACTGTCAAGGGCCTTCAGAGCAGTGAGTGCCACGGCGGCAACTCCGTGGATTGTGCCGTGGTGCATGCATCCCCACACTATCGTTAGAGATCCCAGCAGCTGCACCGGGCTTGTCACATGGGCTGCCTGCTCCCCTATCCTTCCCTGGATCCTTGAGTCGTAGAATCTGTCATCGCTGCCTGGGTTGCGGTATGCTGCAGCAGGCGAAAAGCAGTCCATGAGATAGCATGCTGTGGTCTGGCATGCATTCCGTGCATAGACAGTGTGCAGCTGTATATTTGTTCTTCATATTCCTGTGTTGCAGCTCTGATGTGCGGCATCACATGGCGCCAAGATACCCTCACTAGATGCACCACTGCCATCATATTGAAAGCCAGGAGGGGGCAATGGCAAACACCTTTGGGGTTGGAATTCTACCATATGAGCTCGCACTTACCTGAACTTATCTCCTGGATCAATATCATGTCTGTGCCAAGAGCAGGCTTGATGTCTTCTCTCAGCCTGGGGAGGATGGTGTCGCTGAGAAGGCAGATCTTGAAGAGATTCACCAGGCACTGCAGGCAGCACGAAGCATTTGGCAAAAAGAGAGACAGTCCTTGTCATTCAAGCACGGGTAAGAAGAATTTAGGGATATCAAGGACATTGCGCAGCGTGTAATCTTAAGAGTGTACTCACCTTGACAATTTTCTCGAGGTGATTTTCACTTTCGATCAAACTTTGGGTCGAAGAATCCCACATAGGCGGGTCAAGTATTCCCTGCACCTTCCCTTGCAACCGCTCGCATTGGATGATCGTTCTCATGGCACCACAGCGGTCCTCGGGATTTGTTCCGATCGCAGCACAAAGGGAGCACACGTTTCTGGATAGCGCAGGCGAACTAGCAAGGATGCCGTCAGGCATGGTCTCAAGCTTGCCATACTTCCCACAAACATGCAAGTCCATCGTTGCTTCTCTGTATGAGCACAACAGCTTGCTTGAATTGGGCAAAGGTCCTAAGTTATCTTGTTGTTTGCTCAGGAACAGCTCAGTGAATCTTCACTAAAAGGAGTATATCTGAAGAGTGCCTGGATTTGGAAGTTGTCTTCCATCTGCTCATGTCTCAAACCCGATGCCCCATAACCTGAAGATTCTGGAAATTGATGCAACTTAAAAGTGAATTTGCTTGAATATCGATGCACGCTAGGCAGGGTTTGTGTCATCCAAGAAAGCAGCTGCCCAGAGAAATTGCCCATCCGGACTTCGGGCAGCAGCTTCCCTCAGCTGCGCACGACCACTCGAACCTTTCCGCTTCTGAGAAAATTATATGTCCTCAATAATGCTTTCATAGCTGGTTTTTTCCAGGAAGAGAGCAACACGTCATTCGTGCATATCGTCCATATCCTTTTTAGCATCGCTTTGGAAAGGCTCGTTCTATGGCGTTGTCGATCGTCTAGAAAGGGACCTTCCCTCGCCATATTTGAGCAATAGTATCTCAAGAATTCATTTCACCATTTTGAACACATTGTCATCGCAGTATTGAAGAATCGTTGCCATTATCCGCACGCAAGGAGGAAACGCTCCAGCGTAATCTCAGGAGCTGGGTACAGGACAGCATATCCAGCGGACCTGTTGACAGAGTTCATACATCCAAGCCGTCATGCAGATCAAGAAAGAAAGAATCGATCAAAAGGCAGACAAGCATCGAACTAGAACGTGCAGAGCGGAGTTCGAGTCCTCTGCAGAAGTCGGAGCCCTCTGTTGGGCCGCAAAATATGTTGAGGATGTCTGCCGTGCAGTTCTTGTCACCATGTATGACTTCCAAGAGAATGTCCACGCTCAAAAGCTGATGGAAGACTCAAGGCATTCACCTCACAACCTCTCATCTATGAGAACTCGAGCAACAGCCAGCACCCAGCTCGCCACTACAATTCACATTAGGCCAACATAAGATTCTGCTGTGCAGGTTTGAGAGCGTTTGGGGCGGGCACAGCACACATGAAGACTTCAATGAAACCTGCACAGCGGGGGTGGAGCACTGGCCGATGCCATTTCCTGGAAGAATGACTATGAGGTGAAGAGCAACAATCCAGATGTGATGGCAGAGATTGCCAGGGATGCCCTGCAAATCATCCCACAGGTACCAAAGCTGGAGGAGGCGTGCAAGCGGTCGCTCTGTGTCTTGAGGAGCTTTGATCAAGTCAGGCTGATGTCCCAGTGTTCTTGATGTTGCAATTACATCTGCAGAAATTTCTTGATCAGTTTATATAGGCGTGTGACCTGTTCAAATCAATTGGACAGCTTTCCAATCTGTGACAACGTTGGGCCATTTGCTTTTTCTGGCCATGAATGGGCTGTCAAACTGGTTGCACTTGCACAGCCTCAGTAATGCAGAGAGCCTGGGTGCTTGTGGCAGGACTCAGGAATGTTAATGTAGCATTCTTGCTGCAATATAAACGGAACTCATTGTAAGAGTATTTCCGAACTTGAATCAGACGGGATTAGCAGCTTTTCTGTGACAAGATTGCATGTTGCCTTGGCCGATGGCACTGCACGCAGATGGGCACAGGAGGCCTCTGTGCCTATTGCACTTAAATTTGCTTCCAGGCAAAGCAAAGCTGCAGCCGATGTACAGATCTGCCGCTAAGGTATCCAGTGGGTCAGTCTGTTGGCAGCACGTATGGGCGGATGTTGGGGCCCCTCTCAAAGGCACCACCTCGGGTCCACTCAGGGGTCTTCACCAGCTGCCCGCGAGCAAACACTGAGTGCAGCTCCAGCGTCTCCGAATCCAGCAGCAACAGATCGGCATCCATGCCCACAGCAATCTGCAAGAGCGGCGCAACAAAGGTCTACATGCCCGTTCATGTCAGAAATTTGACGGTATTGCCCTGTAATTTCCTTAGCAATGATCTCTCTCCGCGCAAGCTGCGATGGATGTTAGTCATTGTCAAGCGCTGGACGATGCCGGCAACAGGAAAGAATCCTTGTCCATCTCATTCACATCGAAGGGTACTCTAGTGCCGCCATTGTGGTGTTCCCTCGTCGGATGATATCAAAGCAGTATTTCCCACCCCCTCATGAATTTCTGATTCAAAGCTGTCTTGGTGGCTGCAACCTCTATCAGCACTACTAGAATTTCAAGGAGGCTGGGGTGCACCTTGCCCTTGTTGTGGAGCTTAAGGCGCCGTGCTGGGTTCTCTGTGAACAGTGGAAGCACCTTGCGCATGGGCTTCTGATCGATCCTGATCAAGTATTGCAGGCACTGTAGCAACTCCTTTGGCTCTGCCACCTGCATATCGAAGCAAGCTTGACTTTCGCACCATTCTTTCATAACAAACGTGTACGGCCAACCATAGGCTGCCTGCATTGCTTGTAAACGAGCACTTCAGCCTGGCCTGGTCAGCTTGTCAATATCGTCACTTTGTCAATGCAGAAGGATAAAGACACTTCTTGATTATGAAGTTCACAACGTTGTGCCAAGCACCGCAAAGGAGAGAAAGGCATAAATAGTGACCTTGTACTCCAAGAGCTTTCCCTTCTCGTCAAAGACTGGCAGCGATCCACACGCATCAGACGACACTGAGCAGCTGGGGAGGAAGTGCTCCGTTGAAGTCAAAATTGCAGTCACAAAAACTCTTGCCTGCATGCAGCATCAAAGAGTACAGTGTTGGTGAAGCCAGCGCCTTGCCTAAGTAACAGTCACATCTCCTCAGAAGTCCACAAACACCTGATGCTCAACAAGGGTCAGGGACGACACTTCTCCAGATGAGTTTTTACTACTCCCTCACAGCTCAGCAAGGCATCTAGATCAGGGATTGGCAGGGTCCTACAGACGTTCAGGTCAGCCCCAAAAGTAGGGCAGATTGTTAATCACATTGTCACCCGCAGTGAAGTCTATGCAGCCGCCCTCTTCCATCCACTTGAGGCCATCTTGCAGGAGGTAGCCGTTACGGTCCATGTGCGTTGGCAGGAACTGGGTTATTGGCACATCGCTGACAGCCAGCGCCTGTCTCAGGGGCTCCAGCATTGTAGACCCAGCGCCTGTGTGTATGTGCACCAGGCCTGCCTTGCCGCTGAGCATACCCCCCACTCGCGCCTCACTGCAGTCACATCAGCAATTCTGAGTTCGCTGATTTCTTATTTCTTCTCCTCGCACATTGCCTACATTCCTATGCTCATCATCAGTCCGGGAAGAATTCTGAGGGGGAGAGCGAACGGCAATCTCAGAGGGCTTGCATCTCTGTCATCCTTGATGACCTGTACACCCTCTTGTGAAAATGAGCTGTCTGGGGCTTGCGGCGGGGGCTTGCGAATGACAGCAAGCATCCTACATCTTCATCCTCACTACATTCTGCATTCTGCTTTGGGGGAGCAGGAAACACTGTTCTCTGGCTTACTTTGACATATCCCCTTCCTTTCTGCCTGACATCTGCCAATGTTTTGCAGCTTCTGACCTGGCAATCCGCGCAAGCTCCTGCGGAGTGTGTGCGCTGGATCTGTGGTCAGAGATGGCGATCTCGCCGACGCCCACGCAGCTCTCAATGAAGCACATGTCCTGCTGGATGCTGCCGAGCACGGTGGCGGGTGGTACTCGGTAAGACCCGGCCCAATGGTACGCTGTTATGCCCTCCGCATTCAGCGCTCTGCATTTGGCCACAAGAGCCTCCTGCACAGCATTGCAAACATCTGTACCAGGGATTTCTACTGTGCAGCGTGGGTTCTTCAGTAAGACCTGATCATATAAAATCAGCGATGCTCATCAACCATTCTGCATGTAACTGATTATAATTGTCTGCCAGTACTGAGAACAGGGACCTCAATCCTGCTAGATGCGAGACGTCGAAGGTACTGCCACAGTTTGGCCCTAGCTCTTGAGGGAGGAGGATTTGGCGCATCAAACGCTAAAGCAGGTCATGCACCAAAAAGTCATTGGCAGGTGGCTTGCCTGCCTGCGCGAAACGCAGTCTGTGCCCAGCACTCCGACCACAGTTGTGATGCCGGCGTCCAACAGCTCGCTGAGCTGGCACTCTGGTGTCCTTGATGCCGGCCCTGCCTCGCCACCTCCCCCAATGAGGTGGACATGGAGGTCCACGAGCCCAGGCACTATGATGCACCCTGCAGCATTAACGACCTCGCAGGCCAGGCTTTCAATGCGGTCGGCCTGCAACCCAATCCATGCAGCTGACTGCAATATTCATCGGTACTTACGCCGTTGACCGAATGGTCAAGCTACATTTGGTTCAATGCTCAGCTTTAGCACTTCAGTCGACTTCGTGTGAAGCCAGCTCTACTGATCAGGCGATCGTGAAAACCATTAGGGAGACCTCCGAACATAATCGAAGGTCTGAACTTTCACCTGCTCCATGTCCAAGAGGCCAACAATTTTGCTGCCAGCCAGCAAGATGGCACAAGGCTCCATCTGGGTCCCCGTCACATATACGTTGTCTTGGTTTCGGATGAGAATCAGGGATGTATCTGATGCCATTTTGGGTTACTAAGATCTGTCTGATCACTCTTTACGCCTTACTATGCAGTATAGCATGGGGATCAGGTTGATCATGAGCAAGCGCCCTCCAAGAATTTGCACTACAGTCTCCTTATTTTCAAAGCATACAGTGCTTAGAGATGACTCACGCTATTCTGGAAAATTTTTAGTAGGAGCTGCTCGACGTGAAACTCATATTCTCCAAAGTAAGCTCCGAAACCTCACGAGAAGCCAATCTTGGCTTCCAGTTCACCGAAACGAGACTTGAACGAGAAGGTGCATCGGCAATAAGAACACGCTTGGGAATGCAGAAGAAATTGAACATTTACTTGTATTAATTATTTATATTGCCTCCTGTATCTTTCTTTGACGAGGTCAAGACCACGACCAGGGTTTCGACAGCACTTGTTTGTGAGTTCACATCCAAGGTTGGTACTTTCGGTCTTTTAGTGATGTATCTGCTCACATTACTCTTGTACTGCGCATGCATTGACTGGAAAATACCATGCAAACCAAAGGCTGCTGCTTTCGGAGGCCAGTGAATGTCAAGTTCAGGAAGACTTGGGGCGTCTTGGATGAAGTTGGGGGTTCCTACCGTTCTCACTGCGTCATGAGAGGAATTCTGGCCACAAATGTCCTTCTAATTTGCTCGCAGGCACCCCAATGGCGCTCAACTTCGGCACCGTCAGCAACATCTTTTACCTCGTTATTGCTGGCACAGTGGTGCTGAACCTGGTCTACATTGCAGCGGGCGTGTCGGCCTTGACCCTCCTGTTCCCGAAGTGATAATTATGAGGTATTGTCTGCACAAGTATTTACGCTCAACCAGCAGTGATCCTTGCGTTTAGCAAACTTCTGAGTGTCAGATCTGCCTGCTTCCCTCCTGCTTGTGGTGAAGCTGAAGCCTTTGACGTGTGCAGGGGTCTCGGGGAAGGAGCTTTGCTTGCGAAATTCTTCAAGTGCGATGAGATAAAGAGATTGCAGCAATTTTCTGGCAACTGAGACGGCTGGACTTACTCGGCAAACAAACGACCCAGACCTTGTAAGCATATGAATTTACAAGCAAATATGTCATTTTTAGAAAGGCTACAGACCACCCTTACCTAGTGTATCCTTAGGATACTTACTGCAGACCCACGAATAGCCCAATAAACAGTTCTGCTGAACATCAAGTGCTGTTCCCAAGAGCCCTGCCCCTGCCCCATGCTGTCACCTGAGCTCCACCTTGAGATCGTCAGACAAGGAGCCGCGAACGTTGTCCTGGATGTCATTGATCTCCTCGTCTGTCAGGCTGCGGTCCATGGAGCGGTAGGAGATCCGGTAGCAGTGGGAAGTGCGCTGCTTCTTGGGGTGTGTGAAGCTGTCTATCAGCACGACTGATTCCACCAAGTCCCCAGCGTGCCCTCGCACAACCTCGCACAGATTGTTCTCTGTGAAGCCGGTCTCTGGCAGCCAGAAGCTCACATCCTACGCAGGGGCAATATAACCACGAGTTTACACAGAATCTTCTGGGCATCGACAGGTGCACATGCATATATATTCCACAGTAACTCCTATATACTGCTTCATGGCAAAGTGAAATCAAAGAACTCGTATCCCATCTCCACCAAATATCACAGAACCACTGGTACCCAAACTAGCCATTCCTGTGCAGTGTAAAATTCAGTGAATGCATGCAATGGTGCCTTAACGCAGCTGCAGAGTTTGCTCTTTGTATGCGCCTCTCTAGTTTGAAGGCCTGGGGAGCCGTAAGCGCACCTTGAAGCAGGGTGGATACTTGCTGTAGGGCTTGAATTTGGCGTTGAGCTGGCCGGCCTTGAACTGCTTGGTAAAGCGCTTGTCTGACGTCCAGAACAGGCGGATGTCTGGGATGGCAAAGAGCACCATCGCCAGGCGCTCCAGCCCAAGCCCAAAGGCCCAGGCCTTCTCCCCCGCGCAGCCATTCACATCCAGAATCTGCTGCTCCATCACCCTGCATGCAACAGATCCAGCTGAGGGCAGGGCACAACTTTGCGGAAAGATGACCGTCCCCTCAGCACAGCGGATCCTTGATTTGGGCAATGGACTGAGTTGCAGCTTGGCAGCCTAGTGCTAGGAAGATTCAGGGTGAAATAGAACAGATCCAAAGAAGAAAGAGGGTCCTGGCTCACCCGCAACCCAGCACCTCCAGCCATTCCCCATTGAAGAAGATCTCCAGCTCAAAGGAGGGGTCCGTGAAGGGGAAGTAAGCATCCACCCATCGGCACTGCACAGCCAAACCCAAACACTCATTTTGTTCCCCTTTCGGCTCTCCACACAGACTTGGAACTGCGTTGAAGCAGATGCCGTCCATTTCGACTGATGCTACTCAGACACGGTCCCCACAAATGACTGACCTCAATGCCGGTCCCAAAGAGGTGTGCTGCAAGGGCTTCGAGGGTCTCTTTGAGCTCCTGCTCTGCCACCTTGGTTCCTCCCGCTGCATCGCTGTACTGTGATCGATCCAGCACCTTCACACCTGAGTCAAAGCAGAGCCACTCTCAAACGCAGCAAAGAAGCAACATCTCCCATTCAAGCTCAATGCATGCACGAAAATAATCTTGTGAGACAAGCATGATGACAATCTTGGTGCATGAAAGCTCTCACCCTCCATCTGGTGGAAAACTGGGTAGTGAGACTGGTCAATGGAATCTCGCCTGTACACGTCACCTGCAGTAAGAACCGGCACATATCAGAGTTCATTCTGCCTTTGAAGCACAGGGCATGCCCCCACCTCACAGATTTGCACTCTAAGCTAGTGTCTACAAAAGTGCACAGGCATGAAATGCTTCTCAGGCATGCACAGGCACGCTCACCTGTGACTAGGAAAGCTCGCTCGCCCTTTCTAAGAGTCTCTGCCTGGTGAGCAGAGGTGTGACACCGCAGTACTGTGTCTGTGTCTATGTAGTAGGTGTCATTGGGACTCCTTGACACATGATCGGCTGGCACAAGGACCTCATCAAAGTTCTGTGCCACACAACACACAAAACTGCTCAGTTCTGAGTGCAGCATGACAGGACCATATCACTCACTCCACATCTGTATGGAGAAGCGTCGCCACAGACAGGACACGCATGAGACCAGCGAACTCTCCCTTCTCCCTTTTCTTGGTCAAGCTCATAGCAATAAAGCATATGAAGTCAGCAAATGACAGGTGGGGGAGGGACACACCGCTTTGGCAGTGACAACTGGATACAGGTCGTCCAATTTGTTGAAGACACCAGGGTGGCGCTCATCAAAGAATGCATAGATGGCCTCCTTGATGATGCAGATCGGATGATCTGGCCGCCTGTGGAGGTTGGCGCCGATCTTGGCAAAGATGTTCTCAGTGACATTGTTGAAGGGATGGCTGGTCAAGACATCTGCGCAGCAAGCCAAAATTTGATTGAGGCTCAATTATAGACAAGTAGAATAGTTCTCGCAGAACCCTGCATGATCTTTCTGACAAGAGGTCATTTCCGTTCTTTTGCTTGGGCTTACCTTCCCTGGAGACAGTTTGGGCTTCGGCAGCTACAGCATGCAACCTCCTTCCTCTTGATCGTCTACATTCTGCACGGAAGAAGTGTCCATCTTGAGAATACTTCTGTGATTTATTTTCAGGACTGTGTCCCAATAACGATTATGCAGCTGCTCGTCTCACCTGTCCGTGACAAGTTTCGGAAAGCGGTGCATCCACTGCTGTAAGCTGCTGTAAGCCTCGATGGCACATATTTGGATACTGCAAGGCAACAGGCCACTCCATCAGACCATTCTGACACATTGGTAGAGCATCGAGTGGCAGACTGAGCACTCTGGCAAACAACAAACCAGAACAGTGATGCTCCGATACGATTCTGAAACTTATCATACCTGGACCATGGATCCTGCACAGCCTGGGTGCGTTGCCCAACAGCAGGTTGACACCCTTAGCCTGCAGCATCCTCCGGACGGATTGCACCCTTCGGACGTCTCTGAGATGACCGCTACAGGTTACAAAGGGAGAACAACCAAAGATATCTCTAAATGTACTGATCCTCCAGTACCTCTGAGATTGTTTTTTTGGCTGTTCGGCTTTGCATGCCTGATGGCCCCACGTTGCGCACATGGACAGGCCGTCATCACGTGGTAACACCCCCCCCTGCCTTCTCTCCTCGTTGAATTCTCAGTGAATCTCCACGCATCGCTCACTCCATGCGTGACAAAATACATGCTGAAGCTTAGGTCCAGCGCGAGCCATGGGCTCGCCAGTGGGCTGGGGCGATCATGTCTATCATGCATGTTACCGATTGCATCCGATGCGTATGCGTGAGTCACTCACGCGTAACAGTCACGTGGCCCAGCTGGCACAATGCCGCATGCAAGCAGCATTTGCGAACAAGTCTAAGAGTCTCGGGTTGCCAGACTGTATTTTGTGCAGTGTACATGGTGTAAACAGGTAGGCCTCTAGGAAGCCAGCTGTGGGTCGACCCACAGCTAAATACGACGTCGTGTATACTTATATATTGTCACAATACAGTACTAGTATACGGTATACAGTGACTGCAACTATATAATATACGTATGGTGGATGGACTAACTAAACAATAATCTATATTATTTTGAAAATAGCATTTGTATAGAATTTTGGCCGCTACAGTATTGCATAGAAGCGCCATTGGCGGCACTCAGCAAACTTCCATTCAACTCTTCACATGGGTGCATTGTAGAAGCAGAGGTGGCTGTGGCACCGCGCCAGGCTGGACTGCACCACCACGGTACCATTTGACAGGCGCCGCATGCTATGCAATATATGGCGAGAGCTCGCACATTAATGCTCTGTAGACCACAGCAGTGGCCCAAAGCCCTCCTGAGCTTCTCATTGCGTTGCTCCAGGTCGACTATTTGCTCCTGGTGGTCCCCTGCTCTTTGCCTTAGAAGCATTTCTACTTGCGATTGTCCCTCGAGGGTATGTAGGCGTTGCTCGAATGGATCCTCCAGAGTCTGAATTTTTCTCCGGGATATCAACCGGAGTTTTTCATGCCCTGCAGCTTTCAACTGATCGCCGCTTGATCCCCAAAAATAGAGGTGTTCTTGCTCTTCCACCCCTGTGCAAACCTCCTCCAAAGGTGCAATCCAATAACTTTGCCTTCAAAACACCTTGAGTGCAAGCTTGCTGCACATCCACATTATTCCGTCAGTCCTCATCCCTAGTAGGGGTGTCTTGAAAAAGACACAGAGAAATGGAATGCTGACATGAAAGCAGAGCTAGCGCCAAAAGTAAGGAGAATGGGTGGGCTGCCTTGCATACTTCTGAAGCCGTGACGGCACTACTTAAATTTGACGGAAATATTAAGTAAGAATGCAAGCAGTTCAGGAGGTACTTCTGATTCCCGGCTGTAGAAGATGGCTGCTGTTGGAGCCCTGCTCTTGAGGGATATACTAGACATCCAAGGGCCGAGATGTCCTTTCGATCACGAGATTGGGACCGCAACAATAATAGTTGCTGATGGCGCTGCATGAGGGTAGAACTTTCATGCCATCACGTTGCGGTGAAAACCAATTCACCAAGCGAATTGGAACTCCATCATGAGTCGCACACTCCCATTCGTCTCAATTGAACAGCTTCTTCCAGCTTCCTGCCGGCGTCCTGTCGCCGGTGGCGATCGTTCAATCCTGAACATAAACGGAATCAAGCTAGTATCATGTGACTTGGATCCTGATCCATGGAAACAGTGAGTTGTATCCGTTGTTATTCGCGCTGGATTCAATTGCGAGTTTGTTGCTCCTGCTGAGGAGGGGCCCTTCGCTGTGGTGGAGGAGTAGTTTATCAAAGCAGTCTCTGAGCATGCCAAATGGTCTGCAACATGAAATGCAAGGTACTCGAGATTCAACTCATCTTGTTATCTTACGCCTTTTGTCACCTAAGTGGCGGCGATCAGCCTTGCGTCTAGGGTCGCATCCGGGACATCTGAAGTTGAACAAGCTTGTTCTGATCTTGACAAGTGTCCATTCTGGTCGTTTGCAGGCTCGACGCCAAACCTTTACTGGAGATCTGTCACTTTGGATGAGCTGCGAGCGCACACTTGCTACACAAGCCTGCCTGAGGCACCTCCGTCTCTGCAGCCTGCCATGTATAGGTGTGGCTCCTGCAAGCTTCTCCAACTTCCAGGTCTCCCGTAGAATTCATAGTGCAGCGGCATCTGCGTCTCTACTTGCATGTCCAGAGACCCAAAACACAACAACGCGCTGCAGGTATCTACGGCAGGAGAGTCCACTGTGGTCAGCGCTGCACCAGGGGCTGCTGAGCGGCAGCTCCATCAATGCAGTGCTGGGCTTCTACGAGCCGCAGGCGGCCAAGCGTTTGGGGATCCCCAGCGGCTATGTGGGCCACGGCAAGCTGCTCTCAGCCTACAGAAACCTGCAGCTGCCCGCTTTGGTCCCCAGCCCCGCCGACCTGGCTAGTCTATGCAGTCCCCAGCCGCAGCAATGGCAGCAATCGTCCCCAATGCTGCCGACTGCCTCAGTCCCCAAAGAGCAGCACTCCGCGGAAGCTTCAGGGACAGCAGTAGGAGCTGAGAGGGCGCCAGGAGAGGGTGGCAGGGGGAGTGCAGAAAAAGGCGGCCACAGGAAGAGGCGAGGGAGGATAAAAGGGGCCGTTCTGGCGCCGGCAGCAGGGCAGGCCATGTTGGGGACGCAGACAGTGGCGACCTACACGCGGGTGACGGACGCGGAGAAGCAGGTCCAGCTGCAGAGGATGGGCGAGTGCATGCGCAAGGCTGCAGAAGGTGTGTTGGACTTGCCTCCCATGAGTAGCTCAATATATCTTTCCTATCCGGCAGGCACCAATGCCCACACAGGAACTCTGCGGCACCTTTTTCCCATCTAGCAAGGGCTGCCTTTCATCTCTTTTTTTGGACTTAATTTATTGTTCCGCCTTACTGGAACATTGTATATGGGCGGGGCCACCCCTCACAGATATGTAAGGCATGAAGCAGGAGATGCTATGGCTGCAGGCATCGGAGCGGTGCGCTGCAAGTGGGGCAACACGCAGGAGGCGACGGCGCTGTTTGAGCTGATGCACGCGCTGCCAGAGGGCAGCCTGGAGGAGGTGGGCCTGTGCATCGTGGACCCTGCAACTCTGGAGAGCCGCTATGGGTTCGCCCCTGGACGGCTGCCTCCCATGGGCGCCAGCCCGGACGGCCTCATGCGCCAACGGCACTCCTCGGCCGCAGCCTCAGTACAGCTCTGCTTGCTCATGCCATTGAAACTCCTCTGCACGAGGCACTGCACTGCTTGACGAAGTCACACTTACAGCAAGCAGAGATATGCATCGATATTTGTTGAGCAATTGGAGCTAAATGCACATTGGAGCAAAAGGACATGATGCATCCAGTGGTGCTCCAATGTGAACTAGCAGCACACCTGGGCAGCAGCCTTGTTGGGGCTTGCATGCGCTAGTGTATCTTGAGTATGGAGAGAGTATGCTGCCCCTTTGCCTGAGCCATGGATATCCTTACACATCCCTGCTAATGCCTTCCGAGAGGACATCTGGTGTCTGGAGCTTTAGGGACCACAGGAGCCTGGTTCACACTTGAACAGAAGGTTGCATGCATGTATGTTTCTTGGTGCCATGAGGACTGGAAGCCTTGAATAGGACATGTGGCGATAAGCATTTGGGCTCAAGCAATACCCCGGCAGCAGTTTTGCCTTTGCAAAGCTGCAGAGCGAACATGCATGTGTCCTGCTGGCTGTCTTGACCAAGCAAAGCTGTTGAAGTCGCCTGCAGGAGCGCTCCCCCTTCTGGTGCTGCATGAAATCTCTGAAGCTAGTGTCTGGCACCACTCGGCACAGATATTGGAATTGACAAAGCAATTTCATGCACTCCTGCACAGGCGCTGTCGGCGCTGCGCAGCGCGTTTGGGGGCTTGTCCATCCGCGACTGCAGCCGCTCAGCGCTGGAGCTGGAGGTCGTTGAGGTCAAGAATGCCTGCCCCTACCGCCAGATTACGACGCTGAACAAAAAGGGGCGCGCCAAAGTCAGCTACCAGCTCACTGACGGAGGTCCCCACAACCGGGTGCGCAGCACCCCAGAACTGAGGCCGCATTTGTTCAGTCAAGGCATGAGAATAATTGTGAGAGGTGCAACACAGATCTTTTGGGCAGTTTCGTGAGTGAGTGGATGTACATGAGGGTGATTGCCTCTCATTGCTTTCCGCGCAAGCAGCAGCCTTCATACCGATCCCTGTTGATCCTTCACGCAGCTTTTGGCAAAAAAAAAATCTCCAAGGGCCTTCCACACGCGTTCCACTTTGAATAGCCGGTGTGTACTGTGCAGGTCGCCAGGAACTGGGTGGCCCAGCTGCAGCTGGAGATGCTGGCCGCCCCGGCTGACTCAGCCCTCCTCGTCAGCCGCTCCGCCTCCAAGGTGCTGCTTTCCAGCCTCTCTCCAAGACCAGTTCACACCATGTGTGTCTCATGCATTTTTGAACACCTCCCTGCCTTTAAAGACTGCATCCCTGGCGGAGTGTGTGCTGCTGCAAGTCATGAACAACACCACTCCTCATTGCTCTTATGCAAGATGACCACAGTGCATGTCTTTTGAGAACTGCAGCTGACGCACCTCTACGCTTTGGAAGCGCGCATGCCGCTGTCATGTTCCAAGACATGCGTGCATGTGCAGGGGCTGACGATCTACAGGATGTGGCGGGACGAGGAGTACCTGACAGCCATGCTGGACTTTGTCAGCCGCGTGTACACACAGCACGTGCTGCCGGGGCGGCCGCCGCCTGGCAACATCTTCTGGGGCCTGCCCGAATACAAGATGTTTCTGGAGCGCACCATCGCCCTCGCAGACGGGGCGGCCGTCGTCGCGCGGGTTCCCTCCGGCGAGGTGCAGCACGCGCCCGGTGCCGATGTCAGAGCGTTCCTGTGAGGTTGCAGGAGAGAAGCAGACCCGGTGTATGTTCAAGGGCTTTCCCTCGAGAGGCTGTCTGATATTAACGTGTGGTGGCAATGACATCGGCTGCATCTGAAGTGAGGGACACGTGGGATGGATGGATAGACTTGGTCCAAATGGATTGATCAGAGATTTTGCATGTGCAACCCACGCGCCCGGCGCCAATGAGTGGGCGTTCCTATGATGCTGCTGGCAGTAGGGTTTGAGCTCGTTAGCTCGCTGGCAATGTACTATGGTGGACCTGACACTGAGGTGTGCAGTAGCTGAATCAATGGACTGCAGTGAAATGGAAACGGTGCAATCGGCTACATTGAGAGAAAGCTAGTGTGCGCTGCGTCCGCCTAGTGCCGATCTGAGAGCGTTCCTGTGAGGCTGATGGAGACAACCAGCGTGATGCCCATCTGTGTCGGTCTTGAGAAGGAGTTTGTAGGGATGGAAGCTTTGCCTTTCAGGAGAGGATCAGACAGATGGATGGGAGCGAAAGGAGTGCGTGAGTAAATTTACCTGAGCGGAGCTAGACAGGAATTCTGACACTGATCAGTACTGCGCCAGTGAAATGCGCCAGTGAAATGTAATTTGCCCGAGGAAATCAAAAAACCTTGAACATGCGGCAGACCCTTTTATTGTTAAATCATATCTTAGTCTGCAGCTGAACTAACTCAGCTGACTTATTGGATATCAATTATCTGTAGCAGCACACCGGTGTACCTGGTACTCTTGTACTCAGGCCACCTCAGGCCATTGAAGGGTCTGGCCTTCAATGATTGGCTTGTGCTGTGCCATGTTAGGCACACCGCGGGGATGCGGGACTCTTGAGGAGGACTCAGACTGATGCATTCAGCAAGTTTGACATGCCGTTGGTAGGAAAATTGCCAATCAAAGGAAATCTTGAGGGATTGTCGCAAATGTGCGGGCAAATAGCCCTTCAGACTGAAGCAAGCGTTTGAATGATAGTAATGAAATATATGTGATCGGCAAGCTGAATATTTCCAGTATACTGCTGAGAGGGCCAGAAAGTACAAGGCCTACCTCCATTACAATTGAGAGACGCATTTTTGCAGGGCCACCAAATTGCATCATCTCAGACAATATATATAGAGTGGTCCGCACGTAGGCGCCGGCAAAAAGAATCCCTAGTCTACTTTAAGTTTACCGTGCACTTGCTTTTGTTTTGAGCTTTCCAGCCCCTCCTTTTGGAGCACAGTTTGGATTCGGCAGGCCAGATCTAGATCTTTTTGGCCCCATTTTCTCAGGCGCTCCTCTAGATTGGGCGGACTGATCACAGTCTTGAAAGACTGAGTCTTCTTTAATTCTGCAGTCCAAGGAGGTTGGAAATTCATATATGATAACAAGCACCAGACTGTGAAGTTCAGCAATGTCATACTTGGACTACAGGTTACATGGGAGACATGTCTGTATGTGCACAAAACACAGGCGCCTGCAACATCACATGAATTAAGTATGAGTTTGGAGCTCTGCCAACATGCATGCCGGCATATGCCCGTACAAAGTAGTATGTCCTGTAGCTACTGCTATAGCCTGAGGACACTCAAAAATCGGAGTCTACACAGGAGCTGAGGAAGTAATGATTGTTAACTCCTTGGGGCACAACTCCAAGGCTGGGAGCTTTGTATGACACAATTGCAACCCAGGACTTGCTTTGTCTCGCATGAAATCAGATTGACAAGTCTTGCAGAATCAATCACAGAACGAAAACATGCATCACAAGGGACAGCAAAAACAAGGCCCCTTTGCCACCGCCGCTGCAGCCTTAGAGCTCAACTTCAAGCCTTGTAGAACATGTCTGTAGAAAGATTGACAACTCACACAGCAACAGACCTGCCAGTGGCATGTGTACAGACCAGCCATCTCCCTCCCTATCTCAATTCTGCTGTGCCACTCCTCATGCAATGTTCAGTTGAATTGCGCTGGCCTTGAAAGGGGGCGCCTGGCATATGTCCATGCGTCAGAACAATGCAACCATTGATCTGACCCACAGGGAATCTGTTGTTGGACGCCTTCCAATTGTTTGACAACCCCGGGGGATTTCCAGGGAAATGTAATGGCCCCAAGACAAAATATAGGTGGTAAGGGGTGACCCCAGCATATCAAACTTGCTGCCATAAAGCCTGGTGCATAGCCCCAGAGCTTTTTGGCCTGGCACCGGGGCGAAATCAGGATTTTGGCCACCCCCTGTCAATCCCGCTTCCAATTGAGGTACCACAAAGATTTTCTGAATCATGGGGCCAAGGTGCCCATCATTGCAACACCATGCTCTCTCAATACCCCTCTCCTGTGCATGTTAATCAATTCTGCAGTCACCCAAAAAATATCAGAGAATGAGGGTAAGATTGTGGTCGAGCCCCTTGCTCTTGGGCAGCAACACCACTAGCCGGCTGTTCTGGTTGTCATACTCATGCTCAATGGGGGATCCATCCAGCAGGCACTTGCTGGGCTCCACAGAGCTGAACATCAGCAGCCGCCCTGTCCCATGCACACTCACCTGCAGCCACAAAACACACACCCAGTCAGCCCATCATCCCGCATGCATCATTCTTTTCCAAAGTAGCCCATGTACATTGACCTCATGCCACAGCTCCCTTCAGGGGGGATGAAGGGGATTTCTGATGGAGTCAACCATGACACAAAGGAGCTGAAGTGTGAAGGGAGGCCTCACCAGGGCAGCAACTCCTGCTGGGGTTGATCCATTCCCAGACTCCTGCTCGGCTCGGGCACCAGCGCCGTTGGACCCTGCATATGACTTGCTGCCGGGGGGCTTCAGCAGGGGACCAAGCCATCGGGCGGTGTTGTCATTGGCCAGCGCCTGAACTGGCACCAGGCTGCATGACGTGACCGCCCCTCCGCCGTTCAGCATCTGCATCAGGCCCAGGACCGCGAAGTGCACGCCCGAGCGCTCCACCACCGGCGCTATCGTTGCAATCCGGCTGCCTCCACCTGCCAAATACCCGGAGCAACTTTTAGCAGTCCATTGGAAATCCTTAAACGCAGAGAATGGTGTTCTGCTGCGCTAACGGGTGGGAAGAAAGGGAGCAACGACCAAGAAAACCTTGTGATGAGAGCAGAAAAGAAGGCAAGTAACCAGCGAAGTGGGCTAGCGGGGCGAACGCAGAAGTGACTGATACAGCACAGACCAGGACACGAACAGTGCAAGGACAGAGAAACGCAGCCTCCACCTGCCAAATATCAAAAGTTTTCCTCTACGGCATCGGGAACCTTTCTCAGAAAGAAGAAGTGATCTGCTGCGCAGACGGGCGTGAAGTAGGAGAAAGGAGCAGTACACATAAAAAAAGTTCATGATGATAGGCAGAAAGGAAGGCAGGCACAAAGGAACGTGCAATAAAGCAAAAAAGTGTGTGAGCGAGGCAAGAGTAGAAGAGACTGGTACAGCACAGACCAGCTCCTTAGCCAAAGCGCACAATATGCAACAGCAGCAGGAGCGCAGCCCAGCACCAGAGAGCACAGGTGTAGCAGAGCCTCCATCCATTTGAATGTAGATATACGGATGCTCTGCAATAGAAAATTGGAGGTGTGCTGACCCTCCAGACGCAGGGGGATGCCTTCATCCGCGCGCAGCCGGTGCAGCTCCTCCTCGCCAGACAGCACAGCCACCCAGGAGGGCGGCACTGCAGGCTCCTCCACCTGCCCGTTGCTTCCCGGCTCTTGCCCGCCAGGCAGCTGCCGGGCAGCCGCGCACTTGGTCGCCCGCGCGGCAAACAGCGCCACGTCGCTGACCTTGATCTGCACACAGTCTTGCACTTGTTACAATACATGCAGCTGCAAAACATTGTGATCAAGATGTCAGCTTCTGGCAGTGCGATATTCACAATCCAGTGCCCTTCAGCAATCCTTTAGCATGCAAATTGATAATGAGCATTAGTGAGGGCAGGGAGAACTGGGCAGGGAGAGGGGAGCACCTCGGTCTTCAGTGTGGGGGGCTTGCTGTTGTGGATGCGGTACTGGCGCCGGGTGCGGTCCCAGGAGGACCCCTGGAGGTTGAACGCGCCCACCACCGCATTGCACGCATTCGCATTCCACACCTGCACAATCACCACATCATTTGTCACATGTTCAGCGGCTTTGATATACAGTGCACTACAGAGCTTTGATATATGATACAGCATCAGACTCGTACTTTTCCAAAACTTGATATCCGGATGTGTGTCTCTTTAATCCAGACACTGATGCCCCAAGCCAGAACTGCGTCTGCTTCAGTGGCTGAGTAATCTCGACACGCAGCTCCTTTCTGAGACGAAGCACCAGGGTGAGGCAACTGTACACAAGCAGGCCCCAGCACCTTGAGCACGGATTTGTTGTCGCGCAGCACGTCGGTGAAGAGACAGTCGGCGGTGGGCCGTCCCGGCAGCGCGGCGCGCAGCACGCCCCCTCCCGGCAGCACCAGGGACTTGAGCAGGTCGAAATCGTGCTGGCCCGGGTAGTCGCTCACATAGACGGCCGCGCCTGAGACCGCGCGCGCAGCTGCATGCGCGGTGGCTGCCGGGTGCTTGCTCTGGAACATGTCCCAGTCCGGCTGCGTGCATGAAATACAAATTAGGACACCTTTTAGGACACCACGGCTCATTGTTTCACCACTTCCAGTAATGGGCAGGCGATAGCACTGTAAGGTAAGGTGACACGCGCAGAGTGCTGTCAGTGGGGCATGATATTAGATCAGCTACACCGTCACGGAGGGTTTGCAAGATAGGATCATCAAAGTGACTGTGAATCCAGAAAAAGTCCCCAACGACGGTGTATTTGGGCTTTCTTTCACTATAACCCAGCAGTCAGCATGACCTTGCTTACTGTCAACAGAAAATAATGCACGCAGACCAGCTCAGAGCGTTTAGGGAGCCGCACATGCATGATGGCAGACAGGAAGAAGCCGTTGTAGGCGCAGGCTGCGATGTGAGGATAGCTGGACGCCGGATTGCGAGGATAGAAGTCGTCGCTCACTCGCACAACCGCAGTGTCCCGCATCCTGATACCCACAGGACACCAACGCTCAACCCTCACAAAGGAAGGTCTGGTATAATGATACCCTGTGTCACATGATGCACTTCAGCCGTTGGGTTACGGCATGCAAGCCATCACCAAATGGCCAAAGTCCAGCATCTAACGCATGTTATCGTGGTGCTTTCAAGCATTTTTTGCAAGATGATTCTTGTTTTCATTGTTCATTAGCATGCATCTTTGGAAAGGTTCATCCACCTCACTTGATTGGAAATCAATCGAGCATTCTTCAAAAGTTCTACACAACGCTCCTAGAAGTGACAGCATGTCAGGAGCACAGTTGTAAAGTGTTTCCCGGCCACAGGGTGGCTGCTGACCTGGCAGGCACAGAACTTAGACAAGCCTGTCAGCAACCCTTGGGAGGGAGGGAGGGAGGGCGAAACATTAACCGCTCCCTGTTCTTAGGTGCAGTGGTCCAAGCGGCATACAACAGCGTTTGTGTGACAGACCTCCAGTCAAGAATTTCTGGACACCATGCAGACAGCAGCCCCACCTGTACAGGTTCTCAGTGGAGTGGCACATGCAGTTGATGCAGTGGTTGCCGGGGAAGTGCGCTGCGACTGAGTCCTCCAGCGCTCCATTCAAGTGCAGAGCCGCCTGCGGGCCGCCGCCTTCTGTGCTGCCGGCCAGCCCCACGCCAGCCTGGCAGTCCACCTTCACTCCGTTGATCCCTGCGCAAACAGCGTCCCCTTTAATGCAACTGTTGTGATCCGGTCTGGGGTGACATTGAGTCAATTAGCAGATCACCCCAGGCTCGCGGCTTGCGCTTCGCAAATACCACGGTGTGCCATGCCATCTCGTCAGCTTACTCCCCTTTGCTTAGTAATGTCATCACAACCTCTGCCCAGTGGTGTGTCTGCAGGTAGGATTACTCGCACAGACTTATCAGCGTTGCACTCTCTGTCGCAGGGAAGTGAGTCATTGATAGGAATGGAGTTGAGGAGGGCCACCAGCCACGCACCTGCGGCCGCCAGGTAGGCGTGCATGTCACTGTAGATGTCGCGGACATTGTCAACAACGCCCACGCCTGAAATGACACTGGGATTCCACGCCATGCTGGGCTCTATCTCCACCAGCCCAGGAGTCGGCTGCGCACAGATCAAGCAAATGTATTTATTGTTTGAGGTCTACTGATGGGCAAAGAGATGCCGCAGCTGCAGACATGCAACTGGGCAAAGCTCCCTACATAGGAAAGGTGTGTAGCAGAAGCCACTGGACGCCTTGGGCAGATAAAAAGAAGTGCGTTTATGGCTTTCCCACTATACAAGCAGCTGGTGTGCTCCAGCAAAGTTTCTATGGCAGTATTTCTTGCAACAGCGTCTCTTCAACAGGCAGCAAAGTATACAGGTAGGAAGGTTGAGAGTGGGCCAGCACATACCTCGGAGAAGACGAGGCGGGCGTTGTAATTTGCGACGTCCTCCTCATAGGGGGACACTCCGCTCCAGTAGCAGGAGAGGCCGTGCCAGCAGTAGATGTAGCGCAGCCCATACAGCTGCTTCAGCGAGTCCACCACCTTGCCCAGCTGCTCACCGGACCCCTGTAAACCTCACAATCTTTCAGACAAAACACTGAAAATCTGCCAAACAGCATGCATGTAACTGTGAATGGCTGCTTGCTGAGCGCTGTGAAGCCTACAACAGCTGCCGAGAAGATGCGGGTGTCAAGAATGTGCAGGCGCCTGCAAAATCTGCAAAGATGTACTTGCTTTCTGGGACTGAGGAGCATCCTCATGGAGAAGCGCGATGTAGCAAGTTGGACAGCAGAGGTCTCCAACATGCCACAACCTGACCCTCCATGATGACACTCCCGACACAGCCGTAGATTACAACAATAAAGGCTGGACAATCCTCCCAGTTGAACATGCTAGATTCATCACAGTAACCTTCTTTTCAGATAAGACCGTCACCTAGTTGGATAGCTCTTTGGTGAGATACCTACACAAATGGCACTTAGATCCTTGACAGACCAGATGTGATGTGCGTCAAGAGAAGGGTAAAGTCGTGTCGGCTTACTGCAAGAATTGATAAAAGCATGCTCTGTATATTGTATGGTCGCACCGAGTAATACTCCTCAGGCCCGGCCAGGGGCGAGGAAAACTTTGAGTTGGCTTTGATGGACGTCAGCCGCCGGGTGAAGTCGCCTGACGTTGCATAGAACTCCAGCATAGACTGCCTGTGGCACAATGATCAGAAGGGAAGGTCAGAAATTAGCAGCCTCTGACAGTTCACAACAATACAGAGTCATTCTGGACAACAGCACCAAATTGAGCAAAGAGATTGATCCCGTGATTGACAACGATGCAGTAACTCCAATTGCAAAATATTCCTGGGACCGAAAATCAGCAGTGTAAAGGTGGGAGGACCGGGCATGAGGTATAGAAATGGGCAAGGTCTTACTTGAAGGGCCCCTTGGCGAGGTACAGGAAGAATCTGAAGGGCCAGCTGCCAGCAGGAGCAGGGTCCACAACGTACTGGTAGAACTTGACAAAGAGCAGCTCCAGCAGACCAAACGCCAGTCCTCCCAACCGATTCGCCACAGCCATTGCCAGCCTGCACACCACATGCTTCACTGTGAGGCTCCCTGTGCATTCTTACTTGCACAACTGCCACATGCAAGTCTTTTTTTCACAGCTTGCAATGAGTACTTGATTTGGTATATATTGATTCTGCCACAAATCTAAGCATCGTGGTCATGTACTGCCCCTGGGCCAAGGGATCATTGGCTTGGTTGTTGCATGACGTGCACTTGCAACGCAGCCCTTTCTGCCTGATGTCTGCATTCCTCCCTATCTAAACTGGTATTTAAATATTTGTTGCATGGCAGGAGGGTTGTACAAAGCGCACCACATGGCAGGTCTGTAGGCTGACTTCTCATCCTTCACAATCTCAGCCTCCTTGGGCTCTGCAGATTTGCTGAGGGACGTGCTGGATGAGCCAGGGTCACTGCCAGATGTACTTGACGGAGAACTGCTCTCTGCAGGTGAGCACATACAGATAAGCGCTTCAGTACATTTGCACACACCAGAAGATGCCCAATGCCTACGCTTGCAAAGGCTCCAACATGCTGAAACAATCAAAGCTGAACAATAACGAGGAAAGTTTGCAGATGTGATCACAGTAGTGGGAGCCTTACCAAGTACAGTGATATCCTTCTCTTTCTGCTGAGTAGACACCCCTGTCGCCTCGTCAGAGAGTCTTGTCACCTTCCCATTATTGCCATCATCCTTGGCGGGGAGTGCATCTGCAATACTGCTCACCACGCTGCCATCCACCTCCTTAACATCAGTGCCACTACCTGGTGCCCTGTCTGCAAGCAGTATCTCCCTGATCTGCACTCCCACACCACACACAAGATCTCAGATTCCTTCCCTTATACTGGCAACAGCAAAGTTAATGCAAACCCCAGTGGATCAGCAGGGCAAGACAAAGTGCAGATGAAGGGCAAATTAACAGTGTCAATGACAATTCTCAACTTGGGGCACAAGAAGTAATCATCCAGAAAAGCAGCACCAGCCATGTGAACAGTGATTGGCTCTTGCTAGCCCAGCCACCTCATGAATCTCAACTGCCATCTGCTGTGTAACAGCGACAGTCACGGTCGACATCCAACATGTCACAGCTAATTTCACTGTGCAAAAGAGGCCGTCATGCCCAACACCTTCGTACCTTGTCTTCGTCCAGGGAGAGCTCCACAGCCGAGGGGGTGTACCCCTTGGTCTCCTCCAGGGATTCCACGCTGGCGTCCAGGCTGGCGCTCATGCTGGCGCTCATGCTTTCCAGCCGCCGCTCCTTGGACCGCGACCGCTTCTGCTTCCTCCACGGCAGCACCTCGTCCTCGGCCCTGCTGCTGCGCGAGCGCTCGTGGCGCGTGTAGTGATGCTCCAGATAGTCCTCATTTATTGACACCGTCTCCAGCGCAGCACCTGCAGTGAATGCCTTCGAATCAATAGGGCTGACACCTCTTGATAAGGGCCATTGAAGCAAAACACAGTGTTCCTACTGGTGCTTGGGGCAGCCCTTGGATGCGCCTCTTCAATATACTGATTGAATGCTGACCCAGGCTTGCAATGGATCCTGCTCGTGTCTGTACGGTCCAATGACTGCCCACAACTGGACGGGACCTTGTAAAGATGGGTAGGTACAGTAGCATTGGTACAACCACTGGCAAGGATGACAGGATCAGTGCAGACCATCCTGGTGAAGGGGTCCCATCTCAAAACGGAAGTTTAGATCAATTAAAGTGCGTCACCATTTTCATCAACCGTCCTTCCAATAAGAAATGGCAAGGCAAAACTCACCTAGTGCAGTGCCCTGGGGGATGCCCTTGGCGCCCATGGAAAGCATCTCCAGCTCGGCCTCAATGAACTCGTCGCTGGTCTCCTCGGCCTCAGGCATGTTGAGCTGCTGCATCATCGTCTGCATGGAAGCCTGCCGCAGCGGCTCGTCCACATCAGTGCACTGCCAGCCGTCGTCGATGATCAGGAACCCGGGCGCCGCTCCGCCCGCTATCAGGCTCCTCAGCCCCTCATGCAGCCCTGCTCAGTAGTGTTTCTTATAAGAGCTTTGGGTGACAGCCAATGTGGCTTGGAAGGTGTCTTTGAATTGACTGGCTGAAGCCACAGCAGTGCTCAGAGGTTGCCAGGCTTTGCATCAAAGCAGTTAGTCCAAAATGAGCAAGGCAAGGCAGTTGCTGAGAGAGAGTATGATCAAGTGAGCATGCGTGCATCATCACCGAATCAATCCAAACAATGCCACGTCCCCTTGCAAGGGATGAGAGTGCCATCTTTTTACGCAGACAGCCACAAGGCGAGACTGACCTCTGGCAGACACCCTGCTGTAGAAGGCGTCCCATGTGCACCAGCCAAACACATCTAGTAGCCCTGGCAGCTGCTTCTCCCTCAACGGCTTTGCTCCACCTGCAGAACAGGCGGAACAGCCATAGATTTGTGCATGTCCAGAATGAGTCCGATATTCGGCATCAGAGTAATGTGCATGTGCACATGCGAGTACATGAAGTGCCATATGCCTGTGACATTTTTCCAATGTATCTGTGTCACACACCTGACATGGCTGCAGCTGCTGCCACCGCTCGCTCCACAAGGGCAAAAGGGTCTGAGTCAGCGGCCAGATAGAGCGCATTGGCCCAATTCTGACCCACCACATTTGCATCCCCACTCTCAATGCGCAGCACCATCTCATCATCTGCTGCCGACTTGTCCTTGTCACCGTCCAATCTGTGTCAGCACAGAAGTTAAGGAACGGAGTCCATTCTCCAAAGTTGCTGGCGTCCCTCCACATAGATATATCATACTCCTGTCACACAAACGGAAAAGTGTGCACGCACCTTCTGGGGCCACGCAATGTCCCCCTGAAGGTTTGGTTGTCGATGAGAGGCAGGGCTATCGCATAGGGGCCTCCCTCCTCAACTTCCAGCAGTAGGAATTGTGTCTCAGGTGGGATGTCCAGAGCCCGCCTGCCCCACTCGGGTGTCATCCACCAGAGCTTGCAGCGCGCACAGGCCAGGAAGCGCCGTGAGCGCAGCTGTAAGAGAACAAACACCAATACAAGGCTGCCATTTGGAATTGCAACAGAATCCTTTCATGCGTCTGCCTGCAGGAGTATTGCACTAGCAGGTGACAGGTTTGAGCAAGTGGCACTCGCTGTTATCTAAGGAGGACAGCAATCCCGTGCAGACAGTCTGGCAGAGTCACTTGATCATATGGGGGATTTCCACCATCTGAATGATGAATCTTTGCCAGCAATCTGCAGTATTTGCTGTGCTCCTTCTCTGCAGTTTCCTCCCTCATGGTTTGCACAGCTCCAGAATGTTCCAATAATAGATTGGAGGCAGTTTGCAAGAGACTCATGTACGCAACAGACCCAAGAGGTGCCAGGCATGCATGATCACCTTGCCAAGGATGATGTCGGCCATGCTCTTGGCGCCATCAGTGAGCTCAAAGCCCAGCACGAGGGCCTCCTTGCTGGCATGTGTGATCACCGCCTCATCTGCCAGCCCCTCTATGATAATGCCACTCCCATCAGTCCCAACCACAATGTTCCCATTTTGTACCTGCATTGGATTGCTTCAGCTCACATTTGTAGTCTAGGTTCCCATGCAGGCCATCAAACTCTTTCAGCCGCGCAGAGCATGCAGTCAAGATCCAAGGGAGACAGTGCAGGATATAAGCAGATGCTTCACCTTTACTTCCACGGGCCTGGACACCAAGGTATGTTGTACTGTCTGATGAGTAGCATCAGTCACCCGCAGCTTCTCCAGGTCTGATAATGTTGCAGGAGCAGCAGCTGCGTACGTTCTGCAGGATACCAATGGCCTATTGTGCCCAGGGCACCTCGGAGCTACAGGGACCAACCTGCACCAGCAGAATGTGATACTTACAAAGTAGGATTCCAGTGCAGCATAGAGTGCATCCCGAGCAATTTCTGTTTTGTGGTTTCTTTAAAAATACTTGTTGTCGAATGTCAGAATACAGCACTTATTCAATGGTGGGGAGTACTAGTGATGCAGAAAGCCTCACACCTAGAAGTAGAGCTCCTGTGTCGTGCTACTCTTCTAGATGTGATAGAATTCCAGTATAGTCCAGGTTGCAGTGCGTGACTGACCCTAAATCGTCCCGTCAATGCCATGTCTGAGCATACCACCTAAGCATCTGCAAATATTCCGATCCGAGTAAAACGCTGCAAGTTGTGCAAAGAATCGAATTTAAAGAAGCATCCTCGGACCCTTCTGCTCTCAAAACTCGTATAGTACCGCTTCCAAGGTGCAGAATTTTGGCAAGCAATAGATCTAAGTGGATTATTATGGACAACGGGGCAGCTTCCTCGGACGTCCCAGCACTTCTCCGGCACGTGACGCAACTCATTGCATCTTCCTTGGCCCAACACAAGATGATCCATATTATTATAGAAGCATGATACAAGCTTTGATAACATTCACGTTAAAGAGCATCCGATTGTCTGTAACAATTTTGCTTGCACTTTTCATTGCCAAAAGAGATGTAATGGCATGAGAAATTCTCTGGCTATGCGTCGAGGTCAAGATAGCAATGAAGTCTGTTGAAGCGATATACATCCTCGACATGTCCGTGTTTTGTCATTGAATCATGGTCACCCGCAATCCGCACATCCCATCATGTGCGTTCCACCTTGCCGGAATTGATCCGGCTGTACCCTTTCCAAATTTTGTCGTCTGCAAATATTAAGTTTCCTTGTTTCTACGTTATTTGCAAGTTGCATGCGCTTGTCGTCTTCCTAATATCTGGCTCCCATCCTCAAGGCATGGCTGTCTTACACCGCCACAGGGGATGATGTCGTCAAGCAGGAGGCAGCCTGGCTCGATGGTAGCCCAACAGAGAGAGCTCGTATCGCATTTCTTGCCGCCGCATGCCTGTCCACCAAGCTGCGCTCCCTGCAGCCTGCAGCTACAGCACCTGAGCAGCCATTTACTCCAGGCCGATCAGATGACATCGCTGACCTGCCCGCTATGACCATGCATGCTGCGACAAAGCTGCAAGAACAGCTGCGCCAGGAGACCAGTCCAGACGTCTTGACAGGCCTCATGAGACTGGCCCAGGCAGTGGCAGACTCACTCCTGTACATGCTCAGCCGCTGCAAGCAGGATGCTCGTGGCCAGCCAAATGGTGCTCATCTGAAGCACATCCCAGCGCAGTTGATGGGTCAAGCATCACTGATCAAGGTGTCAGATGTCGCCAGCTGTGCCCAGCAGTTGTTTGCTGCAGCAGAGGGAGCAAGTAGCTTGCACCAGCACAGTGCATTGCTGGGCCAGCTGGCGCAGTCATTCTGCCAAGTGGCGGCGGCCGCGCATTCTCGGGCCGGGGAGCAGCTGCCCAGAAGCTTCTCCGTCACGGCTGCGGCAGCGCTCCAGAAGCTGCTGGCGCATGCACTAGAGGTCCTGAGCCAGCCGCCCAAGGAAATTTTCTCAAACATTGGCGGGGCGCCCGAGGCCGCCAGTGAGGACATACAGGGGGCAGCGGAGCGATGGCAGCATGACTCAGCGGCGCTGCTGAGAGTGGTGACAGAGCTGTTGAGCACACTGGCCAGTTTCGGCTCGCTGCGGCTTGCGCATGCCAGGCATGGAGAGGAGTCACCGGCGGATGGCAGAGCAGCTACGGAGCAGGACGCAACTGCCAGAAGCTTCTGGGATGCCGTGAAGCTGGCTAATGACAACAGCAAGAACCCACAAGCGCAGGAACGAAACGGGCATCCCCGCGGTGTGGATGCTATCAGCGAGCAGATGAGCAGTACAGCGATCGGCAAGAAGACTGGAGGCGAGCAGCCGTACAGCAAACCTGCTTCGAGGAAGCTCCTGATCGAGGAGCTTGGGACGGGCCATTCCTCCAAGAGGTTCTCTGCAGGCGACCAGGTGCCAAGCAGGGAGCAGGCAGCGACCCTAGGCAGGGGTGGGGTGATTATTGAGGAGATAGACGATGACATCAGCGAGAGCGCCGCCGATGTCAGCGAGGCAGACATCCAGGCGCTGACGGCGTCCGAGATCGCGGGTGTGCTACTTGTCTGCGCCCTGCACAGCAGTGATCAACGCCTCGATGCCCCCTGGGCCTCGGCTGGCACAGACTCGGCAGCTGCGTCCACTCTGGAGTGCCTGGCAAGCCACCTCTCTACCGGACGCCAACGCCAGAAGGACACAAGAGGTGACCAGGGCATACCTCATAGAAATGTGATCGTCCCACTTGAATGCATGCCATCGTGTACTGCCATGTACTGATGCATGTGATTATTTTCCAGAGGGCTTTTGCCAGAATTTTGCTGCTACAATAGGTGAAAGCATGCTTTCTGAGGTCACAGAATGCAGGCAATTCATCACCCTGGCGGTCAGCTTTACTGACATGCACAATGCATCGCAGGCATGAATGGGCATGGGGCGTCCAGGGACACCCTGGCGAGCCCGGCAGTTCAGGCGCTGATAGTGCAGCTGCTGCCCGCAGCAATTTCTCACCTGAGCTCTGTCCTGGTCGAGAGCCCCGAACAGCAGCGGCAGAAGGCGCGAATGGAAGCATACACAGGTGCGGAAAAGACATTGCTTGCTGCAACGCCAGGTCATCACAGCTCAATGCAAGTGTCACATTTTCGTCAAGCACAATGTCTGGTGCGGTCCGCTCTCCTTGTAAGGCAGTACATGCTGCCTGGATTCTGCTATTAGGTCGTTACAACTGTCAGGGGCGTGCCTGGTGATGCATGTTTGCTGATGCTCATTACAGGTTCAGGTGTCTTCGAGAGGGCTGTGGCGGCCCAGCAGCTGGCTTGGTGCTTGCGCCGTGTGGGCTACAGGGGTCTGGGGTCAATTGTCGGTTATGCCCTGCCCCTCATCCTGGCAGCTGCAGATGACACCTCACCTGCCGTGCAGCGGCAAGGGCTCTGGGCTCTGCACCACCTTGCCAAGGGTATGTCGTTATTTTTACCTAAACCCTTTGTTTCCACTGTATCGCCTGCATCCAACTCCTTTTGGATGGAGCAGATCCTCCTGCAATGCGAACACCAGTCTCAGCTATTCATCATGCAAGTGATGACTCGTGACATGAAGGTACCTTGTCTGCATGCAAGTATGGTGATCCGTGCGTCTTAGAGTAAGTGGAAATCGTCTGCATGAAGTGTATCTGCGATCGTTTGCAGAGGCGCTGCCGGCGGACCTGCTGTGGCAGAAGGAAGCTCTGCTGAAGGCGGCCAGGAAGTCACTGGTGAGCTGCGACGAGTCTGTCTGGCCGGCAGCCGCCGCTGCTGCATGCGCGCTCGCCGTCACCCTCGAAGGTCTGCCCCTCACAAGTCAGAAATTTTTTCACTATTGTAGACTGTCATTTCTGCCTGTTGTTGATTGGCTGTTCTGTGAACGCCTGCCTTCACATTGGTTTCTGCTGTTTTGGCATGCGAAGGACCTGCCCTGGAGAGGGTTTACTCTTTAGAAGCCAGCTGGGGAGGTGAGAGGCCACTGAAACTCCTGCAAGGCACACTGTGGAACGGTGTACAAACGAAGCAGCATGCGCCAGACTGCAAGTGTTTCTGTGGTGTGTAACAGGGCGGGACATATTCGGCGCTGGGTACGAGTGGGTGCTTGGGGAGATGCTAACTCAGGGCAACAGCTACGCCCACGTGCCAGCGCGCAGGATAGTCTGGCTGCAGGCCGCTCAGCCGCTGTTGCAGGTGCTGTCTGCTGGCCTTTCTACAGTGTTTCAACCTTAACGACTGGTAAATACAAGGATGCCATCGCCAGTGGTTGGTCAGGTGCAGTACCCTAAGTCAAGGCAAGTGCAAGTGCCTTGTTGGCTCAATGAAAGATCACGCACCTGGCTCATTACGCTGGGACACTAATGCAGAAGTGTATTTGCCTCCTGTGACACCAAGCAGTCCGGTAGTGGTCGATACGCTGTTGTCATATATGCTGCTGTAGTAGGCGCCTCTCTTGATGTATTAGCTAGCTGGGCAGTGCTGACTGCATCAAAGCAGGGCCATGGGGTGTCATTTCTCCAACTTCCTCAAGTGTTTTGTAGGCGATGGGTCTGGCGTCTGTGCGTCACTTCTCCCGCCTGCTGCCGCTGCTGCTGGAGTGGCTGCATGCAACCGATGTGGACACACGCCTGGCTACCCTGCCAGTGCTGCACACAGTGCTCAAGCACACATGGCCGCGCCTGCCGGCACATGCCAGCATCGTCTGGCAGCATGTCGCCCAGGAGTTTGCCAGGGAGCTCGACTTTGCTCATCGATCAGGTAATGTGGCCTTCCCTTTCAGAATGGTCGTGCCAAGGACATCAAAGATGTTTTGGAATTTCTGAGAGGGCAAATTTGACCTGTTGTTGTTGATGCAGATGCAGGAGGGCTGCCAGTGTCTGGAAGTGCGGCCAAGGAGTCATCTGCAAATGGGCAGGCCAGCACAATGCGTGCTGTTGAGGCATCAACAACGGGACAAAAGGGTCTAGACACAGACAATAGGCAGGAGCTGATGGATTGGCAGCAGCGCATTGCTGAGGTGCTTTGGTGGGGTGGTGGAGAGCCCTTCAGGGAAGAGGTCAGAGTACTGTCAGGAGACGCCCACATTACAGAGTTGTGCAAGAGGTTGGGCAAGGTGTTGTGACTTGAAAGAGTTACACGATTGCCAAGTGTCACTCCCCTGAGTGGGGAGTTCTACATTCAAACAAGGTGCTCAAGAATCTCAGCATGCGTAAGCAAGTCCTCATTTGCTGAGTTCCAGCACTCTTTAAGAATGTAATAGACGCTCTCTGGATTGCAAGTTGAGGCCAGGTTTGCTGGGAACGCGTAAGCACTCCTGAGCAGAAGCTTCTCCATCTCTGAATCAAATGTCCTGCGTCCACACTGGGCATATGAGAAGGTGCAACACGTGAATCTTTTGCACAACTGGAGCATGCAAGGTCACATTCCCTGCAAGACCCTCAGCAGCCAACGGTTAGTTCATTAGAGAAGTCACAATACTGGAAAATTGCTTCAAGTGTGACAGCAATGCATGGCAGACTTTGGCACCTGAGCTCCTTTCTGGGCTGTGCATCCCTGATCGCAAGGACACCCAGGAACTGATCTACAGACAGACCACACTGCATCCTGTCCCTCTCTCCACTCGTCAGCCCACTCGGTATCTGCTGACAGCAAACACTGTACTCAATTACAACAGAGCACCACTGTCTCACAATTCATAGCATGTCAAGGTCACACTCTCAGGCCACAATTGGATCAATGGCATGTACCCTCTTCCTACCTGGGACTCTTTATTGCAGCATGCAGGCAAAAATTGCTATGGGCAGCTTCACTTGCAGCAGTACGGGGTTGGATTGTTCCAGCATGCAAGCCAGAGGGTGAAACGTCATCACATGCGCTCACCTTGTCATTCTTGACATTGCGATTGCTGCGCCAGAACAGGGCCATGAAATTTTCAACCACGCTGAGGCCCCCACGGGCCCAAGGGAAGATGTGATCCACCTCAAACGCACACACGCAGCTGCCCCGAGCCTCCAGTGCCACCACATTCCCATATGGATCGCTCCTACACCCACAACTCCCTGTCTGAATACAGGTGTCCTATCTAAGGCTCCTTTCTGATAGCAAGGATAATTTTCTTGCACAGTGCATATTCAGGTGATGAGCATGAGTTGCAGCACTCAGGCTCCCATACAAAGACATTATTGTCCTCCTGCTCTGGTGAAGCCCAAAAATTGAGCACCACCCATTTCATACCATGTGCAATTTGACCTTGCAGAGCCACCCTTGAGCAGCGACAGCTATCTCCCATGACACATGACACTATGGCACTGGCTGGAGGGGGGCACTATAAACACTGAGCACACTGCCCAGATTTGATTGGGTCTTGCTTGGACCTGGCCAGTCCGTCAAGGGGTAGGATATGTGCCAGCCTTTACCTGCAGCTCGTCTGCAGACGCACCTCGCCTGTAGCATTGATAGCATGAGTTAGCACGGTCATTGGTGATAGGCCCACCTGAAGCGCATGTGCCAGGGTGGGGGAATGCGCTCAGTGGCCTCCAGGGTGAGCAGTGCGTCCCAGGCTGCCAGCCGGTTCTTCTTGGAGGACGTTGCCGAAGCCCTCTGCTGTGGCGTCTCCCGGCCGTTGCCGCCCCTGGCTGAATGCACGATCTTCGGGTACCTGCAACCCTTACAGTTTTCAGTGTCATCATTGCTACATGTATCCAGTCCTGAAAGCCTAGGTATGTCAAGCAGTGCCTGGATTGCTGTATTCCAGTCATCACAACAACAATGCTACTTAATCCGCTCTATTGACTGGCACGAAATCACGCAGAAAAGTTTGTTGCGGATAAGCTGTTAGAGTCCCGTAATAGAGCCAGTTTGCAGTGCATGTGTCAACTCCTTCTGTGTATGTGTATCCAGTCTCCAAGGGGCAACAGTACCTGTCTTGCCATTGCTGTCTGAGATCTGCAGCTTCGTCCTCAGTAAACTGCTGGCCCATGAACCACATCCCCGATATGCCCTCGACAGCCCCGATGTGGTCAAAGACAAATGCTCAATGCTTCTTCACCTGTCCCCAAAACACACATCTCATTCCCCACTGCCATCCTGCTGTTGTGCTCTCACACACACGAGCTCATGTGTATCTTATCCAAAAAGCTGCTTCAGCAGGATCTGAGGAAAGAAATTCAACCTTTGGATCCCGGAATTCTGGGGGAAATGGAGCATCTGCAAGCTGGTTCCGTTCCCACCATCTTGTGCAGCTGCTAGGCTGACTGCTTTCCTGGCTCTGCAAACGCTGACTGGGCTTGCTGTCATTAGATATGGCCACCTCTGGCAGAGTGACTTCTGTGGATCCGGTAGCAGTCATGCTGTCTGAACTGGGGTTAGCCTGTCTGTGCAGGCGAGCCCCGCACATCAGAGGGCTGTAAAATCCCTCCTCAGGCTGAGCGCCCAGTCGATTTTCATTGGGCTGGCCAGCTTGCAAGCTATCATTTGAGGCCCTGTGGGGACACGCACTAGACTCATGCCCTTTGACATTGCAACATGTGGGCTTTGAGTGGCGCGGTGGCTCTGTCTCCCTCTCTGGTGTCCTTGGGCCAGGCAAGCTCTCTGCCTGTGATGGTGCATCTGTGGGCTCCTTCTGGGGTGTGTGACTGGCCTCTGCTGCTGCGCTGTCTGCTGCAGCTGCCTGCAGAGGGTCACAGCTGCTGCTCTGCAGTGAGGGGCTGCTGTTGCTGGTGCTGGTGCTGGATGTTTGGGTGCCGAAGGGAGCTTTGAAGCTCCCCGATTCGAATTCCAGGGACTGAGATGGAGTTGCTGGGGGAAGCTGGTCTATGCTTGGGTGACTGTCCACCTCAGCAGTGGTGTCTTTCTTCTCAAGCTGCCTGCATTTGATCGTGAATAGGGCTTGCAGTGCCTGTAATCAGCCAGAAACCACAGAAAGATGAGTTCTTGGACATACTCAGAGCTGCTTCACGTTCAGATTAACACGCTTGAGAGTGCAGGGAACCTTGTACACCAGCAGGGCGAGAGGCCCTCACCTGCAGGCGCTTGGGGCCTAATTTTTCGATCTTACGGCTGGTGAAGTCTTCCCAGTCTTGGAAGTATTCCACACTACGAGCAGCTAGTATCCTCTCTGCTAGGACCTTGCCTAAACCCTTCACTGCTTCTAAGTCCTGCGTAAGAACCAACGACAGGAAAAGCTCCATTTAGCCTATTCAAATTGAATGAGGACAAGAGGACAATCGCATCATCTGCGCTTGTTTGGTTTGGTGAAGCAAGATGCCGATGTGCCCTGCGAAAGACTTCATGGAGTCAGGAGCGGGTAGGTCGATGCGGTGCTCAGGTAAGCAATACCTTCAGATTGCAGGAATTCAGGTCCATGTAGACTGGTGCTGCGTCGCATGACATCCGTGCTGGGCCTCGGTCTGGGGAGATCCGATCCTCCGACCAGCCGACAGGCTCTCGGCTGAGTGTCTTTGAACCAACTCAGCTCCAGAGTTCCATCAAAGCAGCAATATAGTACCAACCTGTGCTGTTTTGAGGACTCCTTGGGCTCGTCTGTGATTGCTCCTGTCGCTCTTCTTGCACAAACTCCGAGAGGCCAAATTTGGCAGCATCACCAGAGCACTTTTTCTGGTGCACCGCTCCCTTGCAAGGCATGATCTGGGGGGCTTCCTTCTATCAATGACGATAAATTGTAATATTCTTGCAAAGGAATCATCATCGACGAAGGGAAGTGCATGCTCGGGACCGAGAAAGAAAGTGCAATGAGTGAAAGACGTCCAGTAGAAGAATGGTGAAGGGGAAGGGCCATGACAAGGCTCTGGCCGTCAAGGGCAAGGGAACTGTAGTTGCTTACAAGGAGCAGGCCGAGGGATGGGCTGCCTACTACCTGGACAGTTGCAAGGTGCCCTTGGAAAAGCGGCAGAAGCAGTTTCAGGAGAAGTACAGCCAGTTCAAGGAGGGGAACGCTGGGATTGTGGAATGCAGAGATTGGCTGTACTTTGCCAAATTCGCATTCCTGGTTGGACTGGACTCGCTGTGCCTGCCGAAATGCCCCTCACGCAGTGATCTACATGTGCGCAGTCCACCTCTCAGACAAGCAAACATCTCGGTGTACCCTGCTTTAGGATCTTGTCGTTAGGAGAATTTTCCTACACCTGGTATGCATGCGTCAACACAGGCACCGCCTTGCCCAAACCTTTTACACAAGTGAGGTAGCTCATTATTTCAAGGCTGCCAGGTGCAATAATGTTACTCACAGCCAGCTTATGTGTTCCTTGCAGGATGGCACCTTCCCTGTGGAGGACTGCTTCGAGTGCGCGATGCAGGCGGCACACAGGGGTGCCAAGGACGGCTCCATTCAGAGCGCAGTTCTCTTCTCCCACTTTGCAGACGAGTTTGGGCTCAGGGGAGGCATCCTCTTCATCCAGCACCTCACCAAGGGAGTGGACATTGATTCTTGGAGGGACCCCAAGGCCGATTGGCTCAAGGGCGACCCACACAGGATGCCCTTTGAGCTGGCCACAGATCCCACGGTGGGTCTCATCCCCCCTCGTGCATGACCACATGTCTTGTAAAAATGCTACTTCTTCTCAGCAAAATTGGCACTGGATCAATACTTGCTTGAATATGGTGTCCTGATGTGTTTGCATTCCGATGCACAACATGGGCAAGTAATTGTTAGCAATGGCTCGTGTTTAAGATGTGGCTGCATGCGTGGCACAGGTGGTGGGGGTGACGAAGGAGGAGCGTGTGGAGATCAAGCTGCGAGAGATCAAGGGGCTGCTGGTGGCCATGATGCAGTGCGGCCGCCTGAAGGTGCCCGAGGAGCAGCGGCAGTACCAGGCCGTCAACGGCGACCTGTCCAAGGCAAGGCCTTGCAATTGGACAAATGTTCTTGAGCTTACAGATTACGACGCATGGCAGCAAGGGCTTGCAAATGTTATACCCCACTAGCATGGGATTTTGACCAGCTGAGCTATAAAGTCTGACATGTCGACATGCCCGTGGTCCCTGTTGCGATACGTGTGCCCAGTGCGGGTGTAAGAGTGGTCCGATGCCCTCGACATGTAATAAGAGCGGACTCATGGGCATCGGCGCGTGTGGCGCTGACGGGCGGGCCGGTCACATGCGCGCAGGTGCTGCTGGATGCGCGGCATGTGCTGTTCAGCCTGGCGACCAAGGCCAGCCGGCTGTCGCCCGCGTCGGCGCGCGAGATGCTGGTGCGCGCGCGCGACAAGGTGCTGCTCGAACGCGCGGCCGAGATCGCGCTCGACTTCTGGCGCGGCGCGCGGCCGGCCGCCGACACCGAAACCTCCGACGACAAGTTCAACGCCGCCAAGCTGCGCTCTGCGGTGCGCCGGTTTTGCCGATGTCCGGCACATGCATTACTCACCAATCGGAGCTCCCCTTTGTTTGCACTGCAATGCTCGATCAAAAAGAGAGCGCTTCCTTCATGTGCATGACTCAAGGGCTATTGACGAGTTCTGGGCAGTACTCCTGGAATGATGTTTGTAGACGGAGTGCTCAATGGGTGCGCTGTTGTGCGCTTTTGTATGTGCCAGCAAGATCACTTATCTGGAGCTTATCTGGAGTGCATTGCAATGCGCCTGGGGAGAAGAGCAGGTTCTCCAGGGACAGTTTTCAAGCTATTGCCCTGTCCCGGCTGTGTTCTGGGCAATACCTGAAGGATTCTGCCTTTCAAGAGAGTCTCAATGAGTGTGTACTGTAGATGACACTCGTCTAGCCGCTAGATGACATTCGTCTAGCCAGTAGGTATTGACGGCAAATCCTATGACGAGGCCTGGGAGTGCTCTCTGTCAGGTCAGAACCGTCGTTCAAATTTCCTGGTTTGCCGTGCAGATGGAAAAGACTGGCACGAAGAAGGGCAAGGCCGTCAAGCAGCTACCTGCGATGAAGGACATGAAGGACAAGCTGCTCACAAACCAGAGGGAGGCGGTGAGTTTGAGATGGTCTTTGGATTGGTTTTCATCTATTTATCTCTCTGTGAGTTTGCAAGTAATCAGGAATTGAAATTGCTGACAAGAGATTCTGCTGGTATACATTACTTCTTTGGTATCTGCTTATTACTTAAGAGCGCTTGTGGCAATGCTTGCAGGCCAGAAAGTACCTGATGGATGTTGTACCAGAAGCATGCACCAGGAGAGCTGCAGTGCCAAGCCCTGAGGAGGTGAGACTGCAAAGACTTGAAGCACTTCAATCTTTTATTTTACAGACGATCGTGACTGCAAAAATGGCACATGTCTGGATATCAAAGCCTGATTATCAGATGCAAAGGCTGACAAACACAATGTGGCAAACCTGCAGGTGTCCTTTGTCCGGGACCTGGTCAATGGTAGAGCAAAGCTGCAGAAGGAGGACATCAGGAAGGCTCTCGCTGAGGGCAAGCCATCCGAGGAGGTAAGTCTCTTTCCACTCTAAGCTGTCAACCAGTTACTTCAGTCCACTGCGCAAGAGCAAAGATATTTCATGTGCCCAGCATGTTTCCTTGTGGCAGAGCTGGAGACAAGGAAGGTGCTAAGTAGCAGGCTCATGGAGTTTCTTCCACACTCACTTGCACAAGGCACAGTCCTCTGCCCAGTTTGGATAGGAACACTCTTCAATTATTTGACACGTGTCTTGTTCTTCAAAACAGGAGCGTAAGACTGTGGAGCTGTGGCTGGAGAAGACTGCAGCGGACTCTGGTCCCCAGGAATGCCAGCACTGGGAGGACAAGACTCTGCTCTCCCGCCCTGAGATGCTCTCCCATGTGCACACCACAGCCCTGGCCCGGCTCAAAAAGCAGGTGCGGGCACATGCCAGGAGCATGCGCCGAATGCCCATTGGCAGTGAGCCATGGAATTTACGGCAGTACTGTTCATGGCTGTTGAACCTGATTTCAAGCGTTGTTTCTCTGCTGTCCTGCAGATGCCAGAGGAGCATGGAAGTGAGGACGGGCAAGATGCACCCAGCAGCGTATTGCATGAGCTGGAGCAGGTGAGGACAATGGGGAATGATTGCAATGGGGATGGATGGGTTTTTGGATCTGATAGCAAGGCTACTTTTGGCAACAAGCATCTGCCCACTTGCTTGGGCTTCCATGGCTTACAGGGCTTCCTGCATTCCTCCGCCAGTTCTTCCATACCTCTGCATCAGTAGGCAATGAGATGCATGGACATAATATTGTTGGCAGAGGTGTGTAGGAGACTTTGTGACCAGTCCAGCAGCATCGAGACTCAACAAGTAATCAGGTGTTTAGCCAGTACGTGAAAGGTCTGATCAGTGTGCTTTGGCTGCTTGCAGCTGGTGCATGGGAAGCCCTTCGAGGACATGCATGTGCCGAACGTGTCGGCAGACATGACCTTTGAGGACTTCATGAGCATGCCCAACAGCGTTGAGAGCCCCGACAGCCTCGCCTGCCTCCTGCCCCAGGCTGTGCACGATGTTGTGTCAGAGCTGGCCAACAAATTGCTGAGGTGTGAATAGTGCCATTCTCTACTGGAAGCCATGCCATGCATCATTCTTATACAGCAGCCTCAGCTGGTGCTGCTGCAGCTACCCAGACAAATCCAGCGTATGAAAACCTCGTACTAGCAAGTTTTAGAAGAAAATCGGATAACTATGTTGATTTTGGCACTACTGCAACAATTTGAAGTGTTCTACGCCTGACTTGTGCAGGGACCAGGCGCTTGATCTTCTGGTTGCGCTGGAAGACGATCTGGTGAGTGTGCAAATTAATAAATGCATGCCTTAATTAGCCTGCTGCATGTGACGTGGGTGTTCTGCCTGCTGAGAATTGCCGTTCTGTCAGTAACGCGTGGTAAAATATCGGTAAGCAATGGCCTCTACTGCCATGCAGGGTGCTGACTCTGCCCTGCAGACTCACCGGGAGGCCCTGGGGGACTCCTGCAACACCCTTGGTGAGCCCATCAACCTCACCTCCTCCACTTGCTACATCATTCAAGCTGTCTCTGCATTTGCAAACTCTCTTTGGACCATGAAATATGGACAACCTGCGCCCCTCGCACACGATTGCCCATGTGCTTTTCTTTTCAAATACAGACTCTTTGGACCATGAGAAGTGCCATACCTGGTACGCACAGACAAATCTGTTCATATGCTTTGTGTATTTTATCTTGCAGATGGGCTGGTGGAGGTGGAGGCAGTGGGCGAGAAGGATGCCAACCTGCGCTACTACAACCTGGACGAGCCGCTAAAGGAGACCCAATGGGTGGCCGGCGTTGTCAGCCAGGCCTTTGGCCGCAAGGTGATTCCCCGGCAAACATCCTCTGCGTCACTCTCTGTTCCATGCCCTTCAGATTTCCTTGGCCTTGGTTGTGCCTGGCTACAGTCCAGGCCATCATCAAGACAATCAAACACAACACACATCAAGCCCCGTCTTGTGAGAGGCCCTGTTGCCATCTGGGTTTCTTAGTCCAGGCCGTTATCAAAGACTAAGAAACAGCATGGCTCGCCTCCGGGGCGCAGTTGTTCTCTGCAAGGAGTATTGCGCAGATGGCATGTGGACTCGCTATGCTGCAATGACACTGGTGTTGCGAATGTTGCCTGAGATTTCCTCACCTATTATTTCCTGTATGGTATCTATCGTGATGCAGTTGGCATAAAACATACTGCCTGCTGGTGTGGCTCTCGTGGCTGGAATGTGGCTGACAAAAGATTGGTGTGCTGGGCGTGCAGCTGTGCGTGCGGGCGGGCGACGAGAAGGCGCTGGCGATCCGGGGGCAGCTGCTGCTGGAGATCCACTACATGCAGATGCGCCGCGCCGTCGCGCAGGCCCGCGGCGAGTTCGAGTACGACCGCGCCCTCGCCAAGCGCGCATTCCTCATCCACCGCCGTCTGGAGAGCGAGTCTGACGAGGACCTGCGCCGCAACCTGGCCGTGATTTCACCTGCTTATCTTTCGTGTTGCTGCATTGCTTTTGCATGGGCCCCTGCAGCCAAGCTGATCCACACTGCCGTCTCCTTGCAACAGTCTTTACACTCATGGCTGTGCGTTGGGTCACCATGCATCCGTTCCTTGATAGCGAGGAATGCTGGAGGTCAGTCCTGTGTGGCTGAGGACTTCAGCCGGGGGTGCAAATGAAATGTCCAGTACATTGGCGGTGAGATGTTGGAGTTCAGGTATTGAGGAGGTGCTGAAGATGTTGAAGCAAAAGTGTGCCGGCTGCAGGGGGATGGGCCGCCGCTGCCGCTGCACTGCGTGAGCCGCATCCAGCGCCCGTACCGCGATGACGAATGGCTGGATGAGGAGGAGTCTGCCGCCAGTGGGGACGACAGGTGGGTTTCCCGCCTGTCCCCTCCCAACGAAGCTATACTGTGCTGTTCTCTGTAACGCAGAGAGCTGTCAAATTTCATGGGGACATGGTGGCGGGTTTTTTTTCTGTGTTGAGAAGTGAATGCCAGCTATGAGCAGATGAAGCAAAGTATGATTTTGGGGAAAATCACCGGTAGTGCCATTTAAAACTGCAGGACATTATGAATTGAGATGTAGACTAGCAAGAAGTGACAGATTATTGCTTTTGTTTCTGGAGAAATTTTGTGTGCATGCACATAGGCGGTGGTCAGAGCAGAAGCCGGACATAGAGCCGCCGAGCAGCACAGGGCGATCGGACGGCGTCCACCCGGCAACAGTGGCAGCAGCGACGGCCGCGGCTGCGGCGGCGGCGGTAGCGGCGGGGATCGGGGATCCCAGCGCCCGGCCGGCGGCAAGCAGCGCAGTGAACAGCTTCATGGCGGATCTGTACAAGAAGCGGGGGGAGCATGCACGCCCCTCAGGTGGGCTTCTTCCTCCTGACACTGACATGCTGCCCCTGGCGGACCCAGGTCAACTGTGTAGGGTCCATCTCATGCCTGTTCATGCGCCTCTGATCAGAGTGTGTCTGCAGGTCTGTGGGCACAACTGAGTAAGCATAACAGCGTATAGATCTGCAAACTGCGGCTGGTTGAATGCAGTTTCTCTGGTGCCTGATGGTTATTGCATAGATGGCCTGCCCGTGTCATATTTATCCCTGGCATTTTGGTACTTTTGCCACAGCTTCCCACCGTCCGCATGATAAGCTTTTCGCAATCATAGTGCACATGAGCGTTACTTGGTTCTGGAGGTGCTGCATGCAAGGACAGTTCAAGCTTCAGGCATCGGGGGCGGTCAATCTGCTGAGTGTTCTCATGGGGAAGTGCTGTCCAAACCTGCAGCACTTACCTGTAACTCTATATGCTGAAAGTGGTGTGTGCTGCTCTGCAGATGCGCTGAGGGCGGTGGAGCAGCAGCTGGCCAACCTGTATGCGGAGGAGGTACGGGAGAGGGGCCGCAACAGCTTCCTGGCGCGCACGCTCGAGGATGTGCGCGACACCCTCGCCGCCATCGAGAAAGGAGGTACGTGCCTGCAAAGAACCACCATCACCTTGCACGTATCTTGCTCTCTTTGGGCTCTTTGTGCACCCGCTCAAGTGCCTCTTTCGAGCCTTTTTTGCGTGCAGTGGCAAGGAATGTATTGTGCCTCGAGAGCTGTGTTTGTTCTTCTATGCCCAATAGCATTTGCTTTGGTGCAGTAACATTTCCTCCTGAGGGGAGATCGTAGGAAATTCTCAAAAGTTATCCATATGCAAGCTCCGTGAATGGTGTGTGAATGACGCGGCTGCTGGGTGTGCGCGCAGGGGACGGCGGCGAGCTGACGATGGACAGCCAGGAGAGCATCCGCGTGGCGGGGAAGCTGATTGAGAACCTGGAGGCGCAGACGCAGCACAATCGCAATCTTGTGGCGGCCGCCGCCGTAGCCGCGCACCGGGACAACCTCAACCAGCTCGCAGGTGCCCCATCTCAGTCCACCCACAATTTATACTTCCCCACGGGGGGTTGGCCGAGCAATACCTGCGCCAGGGCACGCCTCCGGTGCTCATCTGGCTGGAAGGACTAGGGGTGCCAAGCCTTTGTTGACTCTGAGACAGCAATCAGGGGTAATAGACTCTTGGGTCTCCCGTACAAGTCTGGTACACTTCCTGTGTTACAGAAATCCTAAACCTTTTGTGGTTCAGGCTTTAGAGTCCGCCGCTTTCTATGCCACAGAGATACTGACATCTCTCAAGCTGATTACATTGGTGCATGCTGAGGAATATGTGGGAATCATCTGTTGTTGGACCCTTTCCAGAACCCATTGAACCTGTTGATGAAAATTCCTTGAGTAATAAAAGGAAGCGAGGTGTGAAATTGGGAACCCTGCAGCGATGGAATCAGGGCGCACCGCCACCGGAGGCCCCACCGCCGGCAGCGAGGCCCCCTTGCAGGGAATGACGGGGGGCCTGCCACCTCAGCGCCCCAAGGGCCCTCCGCGAGCAGCACCGCGCGCAAACGGCGGCGGCCCGGAGGCAGCCAGCGGTTCGGCAAACATGGACGACATCGACTATGAGTGCGAGACTGATGTGGAAGCTTACCTCACCTCCACGGACGATGAGTCAGTGGCCAGCCTGATCAGCGAAGAAGATGTGCGCTCCCTGCTCCCTGCCAGCACACAGCAACTGTCCCATGCCCTTGGCATTGCCATCTGACGTTGGTGTTGACTGCTGAGATTCTTATTACGAAGAATTGTGGTGGGGGGTGCTTCTTGTATTCAGTGGACGCTGCTGCTTCATGCGCTCCCCAACATGCATGCTGCTGCTGGATTCACCAGCAGCAAGTTGTGCATGACCGTCAGATTTGCTGACCGCTGTGTCGATTGCTCCCTGCTGCAATGATGACAAAATTACTCCCTGCTGATGCTGATCCATGTTGCCGAGCAGGACGCGAGCTGGAAGCAGAGGTATCTGAACCTCGCCCGCGACGCTGCAGACCTGCTGATAGAGAGCGGGTTCATGTCAGACGCCCTGCTGCGCGCCATTGCCATCTACATCATCGCCTGCCTCAAAACTCAGGCAAGCGCTTGCTCTCAAGCGCACCTTCTTATTTGCCTGTCATTGCCACAAGGAATTACTTGTGTCAACCGGCTCATCATCCGGCTGAATGGCCCAAATCGAGGCGCAGACTCTGGCAGACACACAAGAAGCAGGATACGGCATGGCCTACCGTCTGTCTGTCTTGTGTCAGCCATCCTGGTGTAATTGCATGCACCAAAGCTGCCACCACTTCAGGATGCGTTGTATGGCGGATTACGCTCTTTTGCAAATGTTGATGTTCTTATGGTAAAGAACAGGAACAATATTGTGAATATCGGCATGCTCCGTGCACAGCCCCCAGAATTCCCTTGCCCACTGGCACGTCCACAATCGCCCCAGTCGCTTTCAAAGCTAGACTCTAAACGGGTTGCATGCATCGACAACGGAAACTGTGGTGCAGCAGGGGGAGCACACGACGCTGTTCCACGTGACGTGGCGCCACATGGCGCTGCTGAGTCAGGACCAGCTGTACGAGCTGGCCAACAAGCTGTGTGTGCGCCTGGGCAACCTGCAGAAAGTGCTACCCTGCTACCGCTCTGCCCACCACGACTACACTGTTATGGTGCTGGCCCAGCTCCCTGCTCTCTCTGTGGGGAATGGTTCTTGCACAAAGTATTTACTTGCATGGCGTGCAATCCTTTAAATCTACTCTCCTTGGGGAATAAATTTGCATGAAGTGCTTGCTTGCATGGTGTGTCTCTGCCTAAAAGACTCTGCCATCTCTGTAGCGGCAAGCATGGAAATTTGAACAGCCTTTCCATGCATGCTTTGCATCCTCCTTGATTCCTGGCTGAAGTACTGGGTGGTATGGGGAAAACCTAGAGCACATAGTGAGAAGATGAGAGGCGGCAGGTTGGTGAAATTTTGTGGTTGATTTGGCAGGAGGCGTGCGTGAGCAGGGAGGGAAATGAGGTGCTGCTGGTGACGGCATCAGAGGCAGAGGATGTGATGAACGAGGATGACAAATTCGACGCCTTCCGCACTGTGCACGACATCCACATCTTCAAGCAGCCCAGGGTGAGCTGTGATCCTCGTGCAAATCGCAGGCCCGATATGTTGATGTCAACATCAATACTGCACTGGGCCCGGGTTGTACAGCTGTGCTGGACATCAAACCCTTGTGCTATCAATGCACTCCACTGTACAGTCCAGAAATGCGTGTTTCGCAGTTTAGTTCCAGAACCAGCAAGACAACTGTCAGGACACTTCTGGATGTGCAGGGCCAGAGCTTGCAGTGACAATTTGGGACATGCCTTCTGTATTTTGCATGCTGCACCCCTCCGCATGTAAACATGGCCTGCCCTGCATGTCAGTGTGTTATATCAAGATCAAGCGGCAGATATTGGTGGATGGGTTGCCCTGCTCAGTCGAGACAGATCCCTTCATTGCAATGGCTTGTTTTGTTTTGTTGACATGCAGTGGTTGCCGCGTATTTTTTATTTGCGCGCAGTGACTGCCATGTTTTTTTCACGTGCAGTGATGCCATGTGTTTTTGGCGGGCAGTGATTTGCCATGTTTTGTCAGAATGCAGCATTTGCAATGCCACAGACAGTAGTAAGGTGCTGGGTGGCTGTACAGGTGAACAAGCCGCCCAAGACGATGAAGGAGACGGACAGGTGGGTCAAGGACTTCCTAGACGACACCTACCGGGAGGACGGCGCGGCCGCCTCTCGTTTTGCCAACACAAAGCGCGTCCGGGAGCTCGTCACGCGCTCTGAGCGGCTGCTGCACAAGGTATCAACCCCTCTTTTTTACCAATCCCCTACATCCCTTACTTCAGGAATGGATATGGTAATTCGCCGTCTCAGCAAGTGCCTGTAATCTGGAAAGCTTTATGAGTTGCCATGGCATTGACTCCTCATGTGCACCGCATTTGGTCCCATTGAGGGGCTTGGTTTTTTAGCATTTGGGCTTGTTCTAGCATTTCTAGCATGACCGCCAGCAGGGCGTGCTGAGGAAATCTTTGGTTTGACATGCAGGCGACTGACACGATCGAGGAGCGGCGCGAGTGCATGTCATGCCTGGAGGAGGCCGTGCATGTGTACAGGGACATCGTCCTGGTGGAGAGTCAGGTATCTCTTTCATCAAAATCAGCTCTTCCTGCAGCTTGCGGGTTGCACGTTTGTTCTGAAGATGCTTTGTGGTGGGTCTCTAATGCCGTGAAGTGTGAACACGTCCACGTAGTAAATTGCATGGTGTGTGGGCTGTGCAGATGCGGCAGCAGAGGCAGGCCCTGAGGGACCTGAAGGTGTTTGGGGACTACCTGGAATCCTGGCAGCAGGCGCATGAAAGTGCGCACAGCTTCTACCCCTTACGAATCCCTTCCATACTTGTTGGCTCTCATTGGCAGTTGTGACATGAGTTGTGGACTCCCCCTTGATGCCAGTGAGTGCATCAGAAGACCCAGCAAACAATCCCTTTAGTAAGACCTAGAACTGCATGTAAAGCCACCTGCAACCAATGGATTGTGGTGTCAATGAAGGGACTGAGAAGGCAGCTCATGGGTACACAGGTGTCCAGGCGACGCTGCTGAAGGCCAGGATCAAGCAGGAGCGGGAGCTGCTGAGGAGCTGCGAGGCCGGCAGCAAGCGCGCCAGAGTCAACGCGCTCCCCGCAGACATTGAGACGTGAGCGCCCACCTTCCCCATCCTATCACATGCGGCACCCACCCTCTTTTGCGCAGCGACTGCTTGCTTGGCTTGCCGAATTCCCCAGCCTCACATGAAATCAGTAGTGGGTTGCGTCCCTTTTTCAGTCTGCCTAGGCGTCAAAGATGTTCTCAGCCTGGACGCATATCGATTTGTAGATGCTCACCTGTCAATGCTCCAAGACTCAAAAGCGCAACCACACAATCTATCAAGTCATCCATGTGTGGAAGAATTTTTGTTGGGATTTCCATTGATGCCTTTCACAAATGCGTATCCTGGCACATGCAGGAGCTGCAAGGCATGGGCGGAGAAGCTGGTGGGCATCAGCGACGACTCATCGCTGACGGCGGCGGACAAGGCCAAGATTAAGGAGGAGTACGGGCTGTGGGAGCAAAAGACAGGCATCAACGCCAAGGAGGGCGGTGTCGGCATCCTGGGCATCCGCACTCGCCAGCTCATGCACGAGCGCCGCCTCGAGCTGCTGGAAGCCCTGCGCGACAAGCCATGTGAGCCATTCTGTGCGCATGAATATGATTGTGGGCATGTGGTGTCCTTGATGTGTGCACAACAGCAAGACTTCGAGTCTCTTGGGGCGTGTCCCCCTCATTCTTAGCAATCAGCCCATTTGTTGTGGTAGACCGCATGGGACATATTCATAACAAGGCTGTTCCGTGACCATGAGGAAGCGTGACTGGCAACGACGATAATTAACATTGAGCAAAACATGAGGTGAATATTGATGTGCTGCTGCAGCCACGCACTTCTTCAGGGAGAGGATCAAGGCCATTGCTGGCGCCGCATGCATCGACATCAACACAGAGTAGGCTCTTGCTCCCTTCTACTGCCTTGCGCGGCCTTCATGCCTTGACTTGCACCAAACTCTTGAGATCTTCTTGCATGTGAGCATTTAGCAACGGACAACATGGGTCTTAGATGATTGGCTGGCGCAGGGTGGAGGAGGCGTTCCTGGGGCTGCTGGTGCAGTGCCAGGACATAGTGAAGCAGGACATCCGCCACGTCATGCAGTGGCTGCAGCGCATGGATGTGCGCATGGAGGCTTGCCGCACAGAGTACCACCAGACGCTGCAGTGCGCACCTTCCTATTCCTCCACCCCATTGCTGCATCGGCAAATACTGTCCTGTGAAGCTGGCTGCCAATGCTGCAATCTGCATAGTGCATGTCCAGAGTGCATCCCCAATCAGCCTCAGGCCCTTGCGGCTTTGCTGGCAGGCTTTACTGTGTATGTGCGGTTGAGAGGACCAATGTTGCGTGTTTTTCACACCAGGACAAGTCATCGCTCCATCTAAGGTGCTGCTGTTGGTGTTGTCTTAGGGCGGCTGTAGAGGAGTCTCTGGTGGATGCGACTGAGCTGATGGAGAAGCATGCCTGGGAGGCACTGCGCCAGACCGTCGCCGTCAAAGCCCGCAACCACGCCGGTGCGCAATCCTAGTGATAAAATTTTGTGCTGCTTGTTGCCTGAGCATGCCTCTACCCCTTCAAGGACCCTTGCTGGTGTTAGGAAGATCTCCAAGCACCGTGCTGGCTATCTGGTACCTTCCTCTTTCACTGCTTGTGGGGCTGTTCAAGCACCCTTGGATAAGCTCAACGTGCAGCTTGCTAGAACAACAAGGCTAGCATGGGGGGTTGCCGATCTGCCTTTGATGTGAAAATGTGCAATTTGACAGCAAGTGTGAAACCTTCTCGCTGAGCTTTCTCTTACACAATTGCATTTGTGCTGCGCAGAGGCCAAGAAGCGCGCGATAGAGCGGCAGGAGCAGCTGCGCAAGGAGGAGGCGGCGCGCGAGGCCCAGGAGCGGCTGCTGCGGGAGGAGCGCGACCGCGAGGCCGCCCGCGCCGAGAAGCTGCGCCGGAAGCTGGCACGCCAACAGGAGCTCGCTGCACAGCAGGTGCCTCCCTTCCCTTCATCTAGTACACCTTTTTGTGTGCCAATATCTTGCTTCCCTGGATAATATTGCCCTGACGTCACATCAACAACATCAGGTGCCGGGTGAGATGGAAGACTTCTCGTGCAACTTGCACCTGCAGAGCTGTGGATTGCATGCAATGCGCTGACATCACAGCAAATGGCGACAATGGATCATTTCCTCGCTGACTGGGTGTGCTACCCTGGGAGCAATGGAGCCCCCCCCTCAAGCTTAGCTAGTGTGGGTAAGTGTAACCCAATTAGTGAGCGGCCTGTGTGTTCAATCAACCTTTTTGTACAATGCCCGAGATGCCGCCACTGGTGAGCATTCAAAAACTTGTAACATAATACATCCAACGTTGCAGGCTGCCAAGCAAAAGCAGCAGGCAGAGCAGCTGGCGAAGCAGTGCCAGAGGGAGGCCGAGGCGGCCGAGAAGCTGCGGCTCCAGCAGGAGCGCGAAGCGGAGCAGCGCAGGAAGGAGGAGCAGCAGCGGAGGGAACAGCAGGAGCGCGACGCGCAGAAGCAGCAGCAGCAGCAGCAGGCGCTCGCGAAGGCCAAGAAGCAGAAGCAGCAGCAGCAGCGGCCGGCGGTCGAAGCTGCCTCCGAGGCGCCAAGGGTGCGTCATTGCTCTGCCATTCTTACTCTTATGCTCCTGCCCTTCTTATCCATACTGTAAGGTCTGCAGGTGCCTGATTGCGAGGAGTGCAGGATACATAGAAACAGTAGATGGGAAGCACTGTCAAGCAAGGGGGTTTTTAATTAACAACTTATATTTTGAGGGTATGCATGGTGCAGGTGAGGAAGTCTGCTTCCAAGCAGCAGCAGGACGGCAAGGGTGAGCCAATAGCAGCCTCTGACAAAGAGGTGCGGCATTTTCACTTTCTCACCCCAAGCCCCCCATAAGCACCCTCAACCGTAGCCATTGCCCAGCTCCATTCAAGCATGGACATAGCTTGTGCATATTTTGGACCGTTCCTGTCCTTGTAAGTGTCCAGATAGGGCAGTGAATTGAGAATATGGCATGCAGCCGGATTCGGATGATGAGGCGGCAATCCTGCAGAGGCTGCTGGCGATGACAGCAAAGTCTGCAGAGCAGGACAGCGGGACTGATGCAAAGCGCGCAGCTGCCAGCAACGCTGCATCTATGTCCTCTGCCAGCAGCCAGACAGGTGGCAATCCCATTTATTTTCTGTGACATTTATTCTTTTTCTCAGTATGAGACCAAAGAGCACAACAAGCGTGTTTGCTTTCCTGCCACAACTGATGTCTTGGGTATTGTAGCATGAGAACATATCGCAGATAGTCTGGTCTATTCTCCTAGTCCTGCCTGTCTTCATGGAGACCGTGTTTGATCACTTGGCTTGCCCCGGTAGTGCCAGGCTTGAAGGAATTGGCCTTGACGATCGAGTGCTGACTGCGCATGTGTGTTCTGCGGCAGGCATAGAGCAGTCTCCGCGCAAGCAGAGTCTAAAAGCACTGGAGGTGCCGGCCCGCGATGCTGCGTCTGGCGGCTGGGGAGATGAGGAGTCAGATAACAGCACGCCAGACGTCCGATCGTGGTTCACCAAAACTTCGAGCAGGTATGCTCTACATCCTTTACTGCTTGTCCTATTTCAATATAGGACCTTTGGGTGTGCAGAGGTCTCATGTTTTTGGTGCTGAGCAGGGTTTTGTTGGTACCTGCAGGGGGGAAGCAGACAGAGGCAGCAATTCAGACAGGATACCCAACAGCAGTCTGCCGAAGGACCCTGGCAAAAAGGTGGCTGCAAAGGAGAGGGGGCCTAAGTGCCAGTGCTGTAAGCAGTACCACAAGTAAGGAGCTTCCACCCTACTGTAGCACAACTTATGCACCTGCATTTTCAGCTTGCCTTCTTGGGTCCTACTCCTTTCTGGAGGGTTTGCATGTGCAAGTTTGCGAATTTTTCTCCTCTGCAGAGGCTGAAAGGGGCACAACTTCCACGCAGGCTGATAAACTGCCCCAAGCTGACGCACCTGAAGGTGGAGACGCGCAAGAAGCTGACGCGCATGTACGAGGAGGGGCACACGGTGGACGCCGACAACTTCATGCGCAAGCTCGGCTGCCTGCACTGCGGCGCGCTCAGCCACTTCCTGGTCGCGTGCCCTGAGCTGCAGTTCACCAGCAAGGACCAGCGCTGGGAGCTGTCCGACCTCTACCAGGGCGGCAACCCCAAGCAGGCCCAGAAGCTCGTGCGCGAATGGCGCGAAGCCACGCAGCCGGCCCCCACAGCCCCCGCAAAGCCGGCAACTGGCAAAGCGCCGGCTGCACCGGGCCCCGCAGTGAAACCGCTTGCGGCGGCGGCTGTGGCAGCCGATGCCAAAGCAGTACCGCGGCCGCCGCCGCCGGCCGTGGCTGCGCGAGCGGCTGGCCCGGCTCCGGCCGTCGCCGCGCCGCAGCGGCCTGCAGCGCAGATAGGAGCGCAGCAGCCGCGGCCACAGGCCCAGCCGGCCAAGCAGCCGCCACAGCCGCCCGCGGAGGACGCGCGCAGCACGGCGCCGTCCGAGGGCAGCAGCGCAGTGGCGTCCAGGAGCGGCAGCTTCCTGGATCAGCTAGCGCCCGGCATCACCCGCCAGGACAGCACCGCTTCATCATCTCAGACAGGCAAGCCTCATCACCTTGTCATATTGCCGCATGCTACATGGCTGTACGTGCACCTCTCAGACCACACGCGATATGTACAAACCCCAGAAAGGAATTTTCGGATCACTCCCTTGAGTTTTGCTGCAGGGCTGGCATTTGGATCGAGCTTTTTGGCGCCAGAACAGGCCTCCTCCCAGCCCGTGCCAGACCTGCCCATCTACAGCCTCTTCCCCCGGCCGGCACCCCGGGACATGAGCCCGCGAGCGCCCGTCCTGAACCCCTTCCCGGGCATGCAGAACGCGCACAGCCTGTCGCAGGCCCCCGAGCAGCCCAGCATTTCTCAGCAGCAGCAGCACATGTCCACTGGAGGCCCATCCCAGGACCCCCATGCACAGCAGCGCTCTTCCATGTTCATGCAGAGCTCTTCTCAGCCCGGCCCCTCGCAGCCGATGCAGCCAACTGGCAGCTGGGACTTACTGCAGAACGGCGGACCTAGCGGCATACCGGCTGCTGCAGCGCTGTCCGTGCTCGGCAGCGCCCCAAGCGGCAGCGCTGCCCCTCTGCCGCTGCCCAGCGCCAGCTTGGGCATGTTCAATTCAGGTGTGCTTCCGTCCTTTCTTTCAGCCACATGCAAGTGTCAGGCCTGTGGGCTACTCAGTGTTGAGGTTCCCTGCTTGCTGCACAAGACGTCTAGGGGCCAATATGGTTGTCGCTCGTGTAAAGGCTCCAATCAACCTCACATATGGTGCTGAAGTGTTAACGATCAGACCCTGATTCCGCACCACTTTGACGCTATATTCCTCTTGATGCAGGCACTTCACAGCAGTCAGCGGGCTATGCGCCATATGCCATGTCAGACACCACAAGGTCCGCAGTGTCCCAGCTGAGGCCGAGCGCATCTGCGTCGGCCTTCGGAGCAGCTGCCCCGCAGGCAACCCCCAGCGGCTTCCCGGCAGCTGCCCCGGCAGCTTCCCAGCAGTCGCTCAGCAGCTCCCGCGACCCCCAGCTGCTGCGGCCGCCAAGCCGATCCGCGTCCACCTCGGTGATCGGTGACCGAATCGTCGCGCCCCCGCCACAGCAGCACGGCAACAGCAGCACCCTCGGCGGCAGCCTCTTCTCAGGCTTCATGGGCTTTGGGCAGAGGGCGGCCGCCCCCGGGCAGGTGCTGGGCGAGCAGATCCTGCCGAAGCCCCTGGCGAAGGGGGCCTTTGGCCCGATCGGGTCCCGGCCGCGCGCGGCATCCGTTCAGCTGCCCAGTCAGCAGTCCAGTCAGCAGTACGGACTCATGCAGCCGTCCCAGCCGGACGCGCTGGCCCCCGGCATGACCTCCATGTCCAGCTGGGGCAGCGAGCAGAGCAGCCAGCCTGACCTGGCCCTGAATGGCCGCCAGGGGTCAGGACCCAGTGGTGAGCCTTCAATTTTTAAGCTGTGAAAGTCTAATTACCTCACATTGTGCCTCAAAGCTTTTCGGTGTGCCCTTCCTCCTGTTCAATTGCCAGGGCGCTACTCCTCAAATGGAAGGAAACCTGCTCGTCATTGTGGTTTTGTCATGATCGTCATGCACCGTTGGGCAGAACTTAGGCAATGTATGTGTACCTTGGCTTGCAGGTGGCCGGTACTGGCCGCAGGCAAACGGCAAGCAGTCAGGTATGCAGGAGGCACGCCCCAGCACGCAGAGTTCTGCGGCAGACTCCGACCGCTGCCTCAACGCTGTTGTGCAGGCTCTGGCGCAGTGTGCAGCCTTCCGCGAAGGCCTCCTGCGCCTCGACCAGCGTGCACTGCAGGTCTGCATCAGCCTTTGCTGCCCATGCCTTTCTAGGGGGCTCCTTTATTGCACCGCTGCCATGCAGAGGTCTCTGTCAAGAAGGTTGTTCCTGTTATCTGAAGCTGCTGCAGATTGCATATTTGCCATTGCAGCTTCGGTGTGCAGGCTCGACCTTCTGGGCATGTCCAGATTGCAGCAGCACGTCCCCACTTTGCTCCAAAAGGAAATAAGCAATCGCAGGTTTTGACGAACTGCAGTTCTGGCCGCTTGGACACAGCTGCTCGCGGATTAGCAGCCCCCCATGTGAGGCACCTGTACAGCTAGCGCAACAAATGTTTGTAAGAAATGTCTAAGAAGTAACAATGATGTTTGTTGTATATTTGGCGTGTCCACAGTTGATTGGGTCTTGCGTGGATCTGGCGAGCCCAACAAGGGGTGGGATTGTGGCAGCCTTTAGCTGCAGCTCTGGCTCTGTGGCAGCTCTGCAGGACGTGCCTTGCCTTTTGGCAAGAAACACGTGTAATAATACTGATAATGATCGCCTTTCGGCAGAAATAGCGGCCTTTTGGCAAGAAACACGTGTGATAATACTGATAATGATAGCCTTTTGGCAGAAACAGTGTGGAATCATACTTATAATATTACGGTAATGGTTTGTACGAGCAGGGCAGCAGCGCGGTGCCGGGTGCGTTGGCGGAGCTGTTCCGGGTTCTGGCGCGCGATGACATGCGGCCGGACGGCGGCGGCGGCGGCATAGCACCCAGCCGCCTGCGCGAAGCCCTGTGTCGCGTCAACCCCCGGCTGGGTGAGCGTCCTGATATCGACGTGATGCAGGCACTGCTGTAGAAAGCTTGTTGCTCGCTTGTGTTCCTTTGCACGTATGCGTCAGCATGGAGAACCTTGCATTGGCTTCATGAGAAAAGCTGTTGGATGGGAGCCGTGCCAATGCTGATATGCACAGGGGTGTTCACTCAGACATGCCACATGTGATGCGTGTTGATGTATGCTGTGTGCTTGCTGGAATCAATGGTTGATTTGGGGCGGTGTGTACCAGGGGGCCGTGTGTTCGATTGTGAAACCCACGTTCATGCCGCGGATGCTAAACTGATGTTATGACTGCTGCCCTTTTGCAGGGGAGATGAGCGATGCAGGGGAGGTGTTTGGGGAGATTCTGAATGCGGTGGGGGCGGTGAGGGGCGGCGGAGAACTAGTGAACGCATGCTTTGGGCTGCGCATCTCAGAGCGCGTCGTCTGCGGCCCATGCGGCCAGAAGGCCACCCACATCAGCGAGTACACCGAGCACATCTTCACCGTGTCGGCCACCGCTGTCATGCGCCAGCTGCGGGTGAGTAGCTGACTGGAATCTTCCGCATTCTTGAGTCCTGCTGTTCCCCTCAGGCGTGCTCACTCTGCCACTGCCACTGTCACTTGATTCCCTTTTCCCGGTGCTCTTGGAATTTCTTGCAAACTTTGGGCTCCAAGCAACCTCCAGCATGTGCCCTGTGCTTCTTAGGTGCCCACACAATGATCGTGTGTGCCTTGCTTGTTTTTCCGTGACACCAGAGCTTCTCCAAACACTCAATGGCAAAGGTTTCCTTGTCCTGTCCATGCAATATCCTACCTTGGCGCGTATGCAAAGATGACTGATCGGCACTGATTGTTGGCATGCACAGGCACTGCGAGCAGGTGGCCGCCCCCAGCGCCTGGGGCAGGTGTTGTTTGCCACGGCTCAGCAAGCCAACAAGACCTGCGACACCGACGAGGGCGGCTGCGGCCAGCTGCGACAAGTGCAGGCGCGCCCCCACTCCTCTCTCTGTCATGAGATGACTCATATCATACACACTGTGAACGGTCTATTTTCCTGGCGCCGGCAGAGACGCCTGTCTGGTTTCAGTGCTGAATGCTGCATGCTGTGTGCCTCCTTCCACATGGATTTGATGGGCAACAAAACCGATAAGTTATTCTTCCCCTTCATACGTCATGCCCTTTGAGGATTGCAGCGCTTGGAAGGTGTGGACTGCATTTGGCGGGGGCACACCAAAGACCGTACAAAGGGAGGTCTGGCTATCCGGCTTACAAAAAGTTTGTGGGGTGCAGACGCGGCTGGCGCATGCGCCGCCGCGGTTCTTTGTGCTGCAGCTGGCCTGGCAGCGGCCGCGCGAGTCGCCCCAGGACATCCGCGACACCCTCGCTGCCATCCAAGAGGTGCACCCCTTGCCTCACCTCTTGCTTCTGACTGCAAGGCTGTGTCCCGGCTGCCGCCATGTCATGCAGCAGGTTGTCTGGGATTTTTTAAATAAATGCCAGTTATATAATGTCAGTCATGGTAGCAGCAGCCTCGATGGAATAGCTTGATGAACTGGGTGTTCTTCTTCACGAGGCACCGAAGTTCTTCCTGGTGTGTAGGCTTCCATGACCACATGATGGAATGTGCGCATCATTGCGCAGGAGGTCGATCTGTCAGAGCTATTCATGGGCCTGCTGCCGGGAGCGGCCGTATACGGGCTGCGCAGCGCGGTGTGCCACTACGGGCAGCAGCGGCTGTGCGCGTTCGTTCGCCACCCCCGCAATGGCGCATGGCTCGCCCTGGATGACGGGGCCGCCGGGCGGATTATGGGATCGTGGCCCGACGCGCGCGAAAAGTGTGCGGCCGGCGGCATCCAGCCAGCCGTGCTGCTGTTCGAAGCGCGCTTCCCCGCCAGCTCCCCTGGCGGCCGCTGACCCTCGGGGGACACGAGCGGATGTGCAGGGCCAGCTCTCCTGGCGACCGGTGAAACCCTCGTGGGCGCGCGCAAATATGGAGAGCCAGATTTTACGGGACTCCCACCCCGCAGCGACCCTCGGGGACATGCGCGGACAACTAGGGCTAGATTTCATGGGGGCCCCTGCCTTGGGGATGCATGCGGTTTCACATTGTGCGGCACATGAGTATGGTGTCTGCATTGGAAGCATAATATGTCCATGCCGGCTGTGACGGTGCAGAAGGACTACTGAGGGCATGCATGTGGCCATTGATCTCTGATCATTTATGGAGATTTGGAGTTACAGCATATATATAGATCAGGGAAGATGGGAGTTTGTAGAGCAGCCAACCACCAAGGCAATCGTGTTATGGACAAAGAATTGCAAGTCACCATCAGGCAATCATTCTGTCTGCGCGCACGAGCATCTGGCATGGTCACTGCTGCAACAGCTCCAGCTGTTTGCAAAGGACCGAGTACATCAGAGTGGCAATCACTGTACATACATAGTCTCTGTGACCACACACTCATCATGGTACTATGCTTGCCCCTGAGCTAGAGCATGTTCAGACAGCGCACATACTTAAGACTCCAGAACCCTCTGTACTATAAATCTTTTACTTGTTCCAATTGCTGGCACCAACAAACAAAGACTATTCGATTAAAACGATGTGAATTATTGCTGTCCATCACAAGGTGTTTTGCCTATAGTGCAATAGTCTCCTTCCTGAATCGAGAGGCGGCGGTGGCGGTGGAGACACCTACACAAAAGGAAGCGTGTTTCAGTACTCCAGCGTGTGCACGATAGTCACCTTTGCAACTCGCAAGGGTTCTCTCGATCGGCTTTGTTAACTGATCACAGAGAGCTGAGCCCAGCGTTTTTTGGGTAAACTTGAATGCACAGCAGCAAAAGTAAGCTGGATTGGTGCACCCCGAAGTTGGGCTGGGGAATGGAGACCTTGCCGACGCCTGCAAGCTTGCACGCAATGATGACCACTATGATGATCACCACAAACATCAGCAGCATCATGATGCACCTGCGTGGAAGGCAGAGAACATGCGCATCAAGAGAATATACCTTCTTGGACCCACGATTAGTAGACGCAAGCACTCGTTGGGACACAGTGCCCACCAATCTTATGACAGCCAGTCACTGTTGTATATGTCTTTGTCACGCGCTAAAATCACTGCCGAGGCATGCATTGGTGGTACAGGGCTAGCGCCACGTGTACGCTGCAGCTGTCGGCCATGAGAGGTTGCGTCGCGCGCGTCGCCGTGCGCATCTCGGTGGCAAGGCTGCGGGTGATTTCGCTATACCCTCACTCCTCTAAGTTTGGTAGACCAAGGCCCCCACACGGAATTTCATAAAGGGGCGCAAAAAAGCTCAAAAGGGCGGCGCACTTGTCGGTGGCGAGTCCGCGAGTGATGTCGCGGATGACCTGTCCTCCTTTCTTGATGTCGAAGCGCATCTCTTCGAGGTTGTCAAGCACGCGCTCCATCTGCTGCCCCTGCGCGTGCAGCGTTTCGGCCGTCTTGGAGCCGATATCGACCGTCGATTCCACGATCTTCTGCGCGCGCAGCAGCGACTCGTCCTGCGCCTTCATCTCCTTGCGGCCGCGCTCCATCAGCTGCTGTGCCGACATCTCTGCGCAAGCGCATGCAACGGGGTTCGTTATATTTTTGTGCAGACTCAAGTACAAAACTCGCGGCATGATTTGCATGATCCTGTGGCGGGAAAGGCGGTGTTTGGCTCGGAGAAACCAGAGCGTGTGATGCAGCTGCGCTGGCCTCTCAGTGAAGGCCTTTCAGCACAGCAGCTGTGCTTTCTTGGGGATCCGGATCTACATGCTTTGTGGATTTGTGCACTCCATTCGCACTCTTGGCAGGCCTGAGGCTGTTGATGCAGGCTTGCATGATTGGCATTGTAATGAGTGAAGCAATGTCCCCACCGTTGATGGTCTGTGGGGCTTTGGATGGGCTGCCGCCGGCGACGAGCTCCTTCCTGGCGTCCAGGTCAGCGCTGCGCTCCTTCTTCATGCTGATGAAGTTGTTCAGCTCCTGCACCATCGCCTTCTTTCGATTGGCCAGCTCTGCGGCGGAAATGCCATCCGTTCTGGCCTCTTGTTCGAATTCCTTTATGAGCCTGCCACAAACCAAGACTGCTGGACATTGATGAGGAAAGGTACATTTGTTGCTTGCTGCTCAGACAGGAACGAGACAACAAAGAGTAAAGTTGTTAAACTTGAAATTGTTTTCTTACACTTTCGCCTCCTGCATTTTGGATGTGAGGTCCTTGAGGAGGGACTGCTGCTTGTTGAGGTCCGAGATGCCGTCCGCTTTTTTGAAACCATCTCGGAGCTCAGCATAAATTGCTGTGAGCTTCGCTTCCTGCTCATACTTTCCCGCCGTGGACATCTTGTGTTTCCTGTATGCATCACGCAAGCCCTCTACGAAGTTCTTGGGTGCTCCTTTCCCTCATACTTGATATATTTCCGCTCCTCATGGTTTGCTTTCAATAGACGTTGATGCCAAAACACGTCAGTTTTTATCGATTTTTTTGTCAGAAGCATTAAATTGGTGATTGACACGGTGAAATGTGACTATGGAAGAAGTCAATCGATTCCGATGAAAGGGACGACCACCGTTTCCCCGTTACATCATCACCTTCATTCACAACTAGGGCGAATTGCTGTTTAATGTGGTTGAGGATGAGGGATCACTTCCCAAGGACTTGAGGAAGTGAGAACAATGCAAGTCTGGGCAATCTCAGTGGGCATCCACATTTTACAATTGGTCACCGTGCATTTATTCAGCCTCAAGAGCTCTAGAGAATCCCTGGATCGATCCAAGATATCTTCCGGGCTATTTGGCAACAGCCAAGATCTTGAAGTCAGCGCCCATACTAAGTAAGTGACAATGTCAGTACACAGCACACACGCCCTGCAGTCCTCTCCAAGTAGCGAATTACTCATCCAAGTATCAGCTACTGAAACAGAACAATGTCTCTGCCAAGCCACACCAACAAGGCTCCACCAGTCTCCATACAGCCGACAGATCCCCAGCAAAGCTCATGCCCTTTGCAGGGAAACCTGCAACAGGAGAGGGGCGTCCAAAACAGGCGAATCGCCCGTTCAGGCCTTCTTGGCTGCGTCGCCGCCGGCGCCGCCGGGAGCTCCGCCAGCTGGCCTGTCACCAAAGCCGCCGGGTCTGTACCTGTGGGCAGACAACAGCGGTTGGTCAGCCTCACATCATCAGCACTCCACGTGCAAGTACATGCAGCAGAGGATTATCAGCAGCACTCCATGTGCGACTACGAGACATAATCGAGCACTGCATAGCGCTGGAGAATATTTCAGTAACTGCCAGACGCTCCCATGGACCCACAGGCTAGTTCTCAGCTTGGCAGTCTTGAGGCCTTGGTGACCCCAACAAATTCGACCTTTAGCTAAATTCATTTCCAACTTGTTTAAAAAGCGCCAGCTGGGCTTGGTGGCCGGCCAGAGAGGAGACGCAAGAATCACTGAAGCCTAGCACAGACACACAAGCACAGCAGAAAAGCCCGATTTTGCGATTCTTCTGTGAGTGCAGGGCTGCGGTGGACGCGCACCTCTTGGGGGGCTCGCGGTTCTTGCGTTCCTGGCGGTTGCGCACGCGCACCACCTTGGAGTGAATAGCCGCGCTCACGCAGTAGTACACCTTGCGGTAGATCTTGGGCAGTGCATAGCCTGGATACAGCAGAAACACCTATTTGTCAGCACTGATCCCTTCATCTCATAAGCAGGTGGTTATGAGCCGCCCCTCATCAGGTAGCACCACGCTGGTAGACGCTGGGCAGCTGTGCCACACCAGAGCAACTGAGGGCTTGTGCCGATACGGCAAACTGGATCACACTTGTGCCAGTGTCCTGGACACCCTGGCTGGAGATGGGAGTACTGCTGCAATGATATGATGCCAACAGCAATGGCACTGCTACAGAAGATTGTAAGAAATGTGAGGGTCCCTGCTAGCTGACTGTGGGGTGGAGGAGCTCACTGTCAATGACTGAGGAGTCCTGAATATCGCGGATGGCTGACGCATCCACAATGTTCCTGACGATGAAGCGCTTGATGGCCTTGTCCTTGGCCACCAGCACACCAGACGCCTCGCAGCGCACCCTCTTCACCTGTGCAACCAGTGATACATTCTGGGCAACTTGCATTTAAGACCCTGGCTACCCTGCTTGCAGAAACAAGCACATAAGGTGATTTAATACCTATCTTTGCTTTCCACTGTTGTACGATTCAAAGAAAACACATCAGATTTGCCGTGAGACGCCGAATGCCCCATACTCGAAATCGCTTGAAGAGTAGGACAGCCCAATGAGAACAGCCATAAGGCTGGCGTCTTCGTCTTGCAACGAGACGCAGAGCCACAGATAAACTTCAAAATCATCTCCATGATCTAGATTATAGTACTGCTCATGCGCCATCTATCTATGTGTGCTCTCTGGAGCACCAGACACAATCAAAGAGAGGAACAAAGAACGTACGTGGCCCCTGCCGTGCTTCGAGCGACCATTGTTTCTTCTCTTCTTTGACATACTGGGCAATCAAGTGTCTTGATACCCAGCTCCTGATGAAGTTGCAAACGCTTGATGGATTTACTGCTTGGAGCCGCCTTGCTCATTGCCACTGGACCTGTCGGCTCAAGCAGGATGTTCCCTCCCTTTCGGAAATTGGACTTTTCCGACATCCCCTCTTTGTGCTAGAATCGATCTCATTCTGCCTCACAAGGCAGCCCTGTTTCTGTCATGGAATTAGAGAAGGCAATTATTTCTGCTATCGAGAGGCATGTGTGATCATTTGAATGAGCACGCCGCTCGTCAACCCGCATCACCTGACCACAAACCTTGGAAATGTTGGCTTACACTTTTCTAGCGGCCTCCATTGCTCCTAGGCTTCTAAAATTGTAGTGATGGGACGGTACAAGCATGGCAGCACATGCAACACAGAATAAAGAACGGATAAAGGCGGTACTGTTGGAAGTGTTTGGGGCATCGGACGACGAGGAGGACGATGTCAAGCAGCATGCGATCATCGAGGGGTCACATCACTGCCCAAATGTCGTGTCGGATGCCATGCAGGTGAAATTTTAGATATTTATTGCATGCAGCAGTCTCTCACCAGCACCTAGACACTGTGAAGAACGCACTGCCTGCTGCTGCAATCAGGAAGCAGTGATGAAGGGCATCGCCGCAGAAGGCTGGTTCGACGATGACGGCATGAACCAGGCCATGTGCTTCGGCTCGCTGCCAGTCTGGGCCACCAAACTGGCTAGCACCTTGCCTGCACACCTCTTCAGCAAACAGGTAGATTTCCTAACGTTTCTGTGCCACTGCAGCACAGCATGACCTCTGCACATGTTTCCAATATCAGACTTCCACCTGCCTGACACCTACCTTTGCACACGGCGTGCGTGGAACAAGAGTCACCTGCTCATCTTTCAAAGAAGTTCCTTGGTCAAACAGAGGATGATGGGCTTGCGTCAAGCCAACCCCCTAAGCACGGCTGCTTGAAGTACCACCTCTCTGCTGAGGTGGCACCCATGTGGCACGCAGATCCAGGGCCGGACGCCAGTCTTCGACCAGCTCACAGCAAATGCATACGAGTCAGGGGATGGCATCTGCGCGCATGTTGATCTGGACAGGTTTGAGGACGGCATTGCAATCGTGTCCCTGGGATCTTCTGCGGTCATGGACTTTACCCGCGGCAGCTGCCACGAGCGGCTGCTGCTGCGCCCCGGCGATGTCTTGCTGCTGGAAGGAGAAGCCAGGTGGGCCGCAGCTTTGACAGTTGGCTTCCAAGCATTTGATGGTGTTACAATAACACCGGCTGGGTTTCACAATCAGGGTACAAAGAATGCCACAAGCGCCAGCCAATCAGCGTTGGTACTGGTTCAAGAAGGCATGCCTATCTTTCTGATATGAAGGACTGGTACATCCTCCAATGTAGGCATGCTGAAGATATTGAGTACAGTGGACCCGGGAGTGTCAATTGGGAGTAATTTGCGCATGGTCATTGAGCCTTTCAGGAAGGCACTCCTTCACAGGCGGTCTACAGGTAGGTATCTTGCAAGCCGCGGTGCTTTATCACCGCTGAAAGCATCTTGCGCATGCGCTCATCGGGCCAGATGCTGTTGCCTGCAGGTACAAATGGAAGCACGGCATTGCTTCTGTGGCCTCAGAGCAGTATGGCGGACAGCACATCCAGAGGGGGCGGCGCATATCCGTCACCTTCCGCAAGCTTGTCCCCGAAAACTGAACATTTTATACATGAAGTTGGACTTATATTGTGAAGGGACAAAATTCCTAGTCGATCCTTGAGAGATGCAGTCTTTTGAGAAGCTGTTGCAGACCAGCGCAGTGCATGAAGTGCACAACGTATGGCATGACCCATGACATAGCTGCACCCGGATGGCGCTTGAGAGCCTTCACAGAGATATTTAAGAATGTTTGTCTTCATTGCAATTGCAGGCTTGCAATGTGTTCTTGAGAGTTTCTGCTGGCTGGATGTCGACCTGAAGAGAGTGGCTTTGAATGCTTGCCGGGGTAATTGCGATGAAATGTCATTGACATGTCACACGATGTACTTGCTTGGTTGAAAGGGACATTGTGACAGCGGCTGAAGGTAGCGAGCATAGCTAGAGAGGTGCAGTAATAGATGTGTAGATTGATCCGCACAATGATGCTCTTTGTGACATTTGACTTCATGTGTGTGTTGGTGCATGGTGCCACTGCGATTTACACAATAACTAAGCATTGTTTACATTCTTCTTGCAAACAGCATTTTGTTGTTGTGCCTTTTTGCAAGTTCAGGCACTTATAAACATACACTTTTACGTACAGTGTATACAGTGCATAGCAAGTGCACTCAAGATGGTCTTGTCATGCCAAAGCAACTGTAAAATACATAATGGTCAATTCTGCGAATAATATGAAGTAGCGAGTTGACTGATGGAAACAAGGCAATGTACAAGGGCAACGAGTCATTCACTCATGTTCTGAGGGCTGCTCGCTCAAAATTGGGGCCATGGTGGTACAGTTGGCTTGTACACATGTCAACATCAATTTCTGCGCCTCAGATATTTGAACAGGCAGTAGAGACAGGACGAAAAAATGTATTGTACAGATCCTGTCCCCTCCCCAAAGCTCAAGCAGTCTTATACATTAGGACCCTGCTCACTGCAGGCATAGCGCTGTCTCCGTCACTGCTTACAAAAATTACAACCTCTTCTGCAGCGCGCTGCTGTGTGAGCAGGCCCTTCTGAGAACTAGCTGCAGACCTCCTCCATGTCGTTGCCCAGGATGACTGTTGATGCCTCAGAGGCTGATGTGAAGTTTCCCTCGTACAGGTCCATCATCTTGGCCCTCTCCAAGATGAACTTGCCCTCCTTGTACTTCTGGTTCTCCTCGTGTGCCATCACCTGGCAGCAATAAGCCATCTCTCTTAGAAAATACTTGGTCAGCCATCTGGCTGAGGGGACTTTTGCTACGAGAGACGCCTCCTGCATGACATCGCTAAGTATTCCCGTTTGCACTGCACGATGAGCCCCCTAGCAGTGTCTGGATGCCTCTCAAGAGGAGCTGATATGAGAAGCTCAGGAGAACATGGGCCATTTGCGCAACAGAGAAGACACTTTGACAGCTATATGGCACTGGCCGGCTTTTCACACATCTCACTGTGTCAATTCTATCGATGGTCAAGGTGACTTACATATCTCCAGCCGCACAGCTGCATGCACTTCTTGCAGTGGATGTCAGCAACCTCATGCAGACCTGCAGACAGGCGAGTGCTTCCGTTATTTGGGGGCAGATCAGCCTCGATCTGTAATACAGGTGCATTGTATCTTGTTTGTCGGATTCGTCAGTACTAGGAGTGGCCTGCGGCACCAGCGATCTGCAACGAATCCCCGGTACACACAAGCGGACACAGAAAACACCACGCACCTGTCGTCATCAGGCGTTCCTCCTTTGGTCCCTCGGATATGTTCACGACGTCGTTGAACAGGTACGCCTTGCCTTGCCTGGAGTGGAAGCTCTGCACAACAGCGCACCAGAATCACTCGGTTGCAGGGCATGAGCAGGACGGTTTTAGGTCTTAATATTACGAACGCGATCGAAGTTTTGCGCATCAGATCCTGGACTTGCCTTTGAGATCAGCTCCATGTTGCTGGCGAGGTGCGTGCCGCACAATCTGCACGAAAAAACCCTGCCGGAGAGGCTCTCTATGTAAATCTTGCCCATGAAGCCCCGTTGCCGGAAAGATCGCGCCTTGGCAATAGCAGGCGCCCAGCCGCTCTGTTATTCGGACGTCTTGGAGTCTACAGGACACGGTAGATCGAGCTCTTGCCGTGCCTTCTGCAGCGCTCACGATCTCGGACTTGGATGACTCGGATGACAGAGTAGCAGAGAAGGGCTTCCACTAATATTAGGGGTGAACCCTCTCCAAAAGGGGTTTTAAGTATTTTTCAGCACACACGAGGTGTCTTGTCAACTTTTTTGGAAAGCCAGTCCAGTCGGATCTCTCAGCGCGCATCGCCCAGCCTTGGAGCACCGTGAGGAAGTTTGTTGAGCGAGATGGACGTAGCACGACCCGGACCGCCCGACGCGATGCTCAATGAGGCCGTCCCCTGTGCGTGCACCTGCCCCTGGCACTGTAGTTCTTGCACAGATCAGCCGGCATCGGTTTGTACTACGGCCGAATTTCAGACACGGATCTGTTCTCCCAAGGATGAAACACCACATAGATTAACTCTCTGGAATCGCAGATTTCATAGATGTGTTCCCAGGCACATTCGAGTGTGTTTTTGAGACAACAAGGTTGCAATGCTCAGAGCCGAACCCAACAGTCCAAAGCATGGCTGCTGATGTGCCCAGTGACATTGCGATTTTTCACTCGTACGTTACCTTAGGTATCTCTAAAGGCAGGAGCGCGTTGATGTGGCGAGTGTGGCTTGCACTGACTGGGTGATGGTGTGATGTCTCCTGCAGCTGATGGCGCAGGGGCTGACATGGAAGCCCTCAGCCTTTCCCACGAGCTTCTGACGCAGCTGGCTCAGCTTGGTGCCTTCCCGGTGCGTGTCTTTTTCTGTGCACGGCAGCATGGCCCAGCTGTGTCCATACATTACCTGCTACACATGCAGTGTGCTCCGCCCTCAAGCTGCAGGCATGCATGCTCAACAGCATCAGCACAGAGGGACTGCGCAAGAGGTCGGCCACCGCAACAGGGCGTGCTGCATGCTGCTCTTGATACTTCAGGCTAATTCTCAGTGCCTGCGCAGGGGAATGTGAACTTGGACCAGTTCAATGGGGACCCCAGCGCTACAGCAGCAGTGCTGCAGGCAGCAGGGCTGGGATCCGCCGACATCCCTCAACAGCCCTTTGAACCGGCAGGCCCCTCTGAGCAGGTACTGCATTTGCATTCATCAGCTTCGCCCTCCTTCATTGAGCGCCAGCCTCAGTGCAGCTGATCGCAGTCTTACATGATATTATCCTCAGAACGTAGGATCCAAATTTTGTTTTTGAATTTGGCGCAGCCGGGAACTTCGGGCGACGGCGGGGAAGGGCAGGACGAGAGGACAGTGATAAAGAGGAAGACTCCATTGAACGAAGAGGAGCGCAAGAAGCGGCGGAAGGAAATCAACCGGCAGTCAGCGCGGCGCATACGTGAGCGCAAAAACAACGAGATGGAGAGCTTGCGACAGCAGGTGCGCTAGTTGTGGGTATTTTTGTCATTTTCAGGAGGACATTGCTTGGGTCCACCATTCCATGTTTGCGTGCAACTATTGATTCTGCTCATGGGTAATGGGCCCATGCACTGCCCTTCTTAGGAGAATGTGTGCCGCGAGGCCGTTTGATATCTGCCTCGTACCCCGTGCGCTCCCCGAGCAGAGGGAGCTGCGCATAGATCTGTTGACCTTCCACATCCTAGACATGATAGGCTGTTTTAGGGGACTGTGGCATTTCCTAACTGCTGACAGAAGGAGCTATGTCCTGCAGGTGGCAAATTTACAACAGCAGCAGCAGATGCTTCTGCGGTATGCAGCACAGCTGGCGCGAGAGAAGAACGCCCTGGTGCAGCGTACGCTCGAGCTGACAGAGCGTCTCAACGCAGTGGCAGCTGCCGGGAATCCGGATGCGCGGCTGCCGGCGTTCGATGGCAGCAGTGGCTTCACGGCAGCTGCCGTCGCGCCGGTGCCGGCTGCCCTCGGCAATTCAGCCGATGCGGCGGCGTCGGATACGGCTGCTGTCCTTGGCCAGCCTGTGTAGATATTATGAGTTGGCTGGCCGAGTGGTCCCCCACATTTCAGCGTTTTTGCATCTCCAGATAAAATCTGCGTCATCCAGGTCCCTGCTAATAGCCATTGTGTGTGTTTCGTGTACATGTTTTGCTTGGACAGGGGACAGCTCTCGTCAATCTGGCAGTTGCCGAGGCTGAACGACCTTCTGGGGCTAGACGACCTGCCTTTTTATTGGCTTTTGGCACCACCAAAGTGTCTTGTCATGTGTTGTTGCATGAGTACACAAGGTCTTGTACAATCAAGCTCTAAAACTTCGGATCCTGAGAAAATATGATATTTTGGAGCACCAATCGCAAAGCAAATGCATGTGCATGAGCCTGACTGAGGTGACAGGTCTGTGTGACTTATGGCTGTGTGTAAGGCTTTCTTTAGAATAGGGGGTTGCACATACCCATGTGTGGACAAAGCTGCAAGTTGCATGATGCAACCGAGCAGAATGTCACAGAAGCATATATCATGATTTACCAGTGGCAATCCCGGGCAAAAAGATCATGCACTTGCGTGCCTATGTAAAACGACATATCAACCAGAGATTGAGAATGTGAATTAAGTTCATTTGCCACAATCGTGTTCACCTGCCATGTGTTGCATCGATTCCGGTGTTACATTGCCAGCGATTGCAGATCACCCATGATGCAGGCTTGCCTGGTCAAGCAATCCAATTGGCTTCGCAAGTGGGGGCGGGGACTTGTTTGCGTTCCCCTGTCTATAGTACAATTGTGTTGTATATGCTCAGGCATTGTATACACTGGTCCCCACTGGGCTATCCACGAAGGGTGCTCACATGCATTCAGAATATAGACGTTGGCTAATCCTCTCACAGAAACCCATCCTACTTTGTGCCAGGGTGCGGAATGTCACATAATGTTCATGAAACGGGCAATCCTGGCACAAGTGAGGCCCCTAGACCTAAGTTGGTCCGCCTGAGGTGTACAGATTCCTTTTCACAGTTCTACTCCACATGCTGTTTTCGATCCACACCCATTACTTTGTCAAATGCCTGAGGCAGCCTTAGGCACTCCGCTTGCCATGTCCGAAGCCAGCCAGGAGGATCTAACTCCCTCCTGCGGAGGCTCCATTCCATCCCAGCAGGTTTTAAGCACCTCTTGGCAGAGATCACAGAGGCCTACCCCTCAAAGACATGCTTGCCGCATGACAGAGCCCACAAGAGATCAAGGCCGGGTCTTGGAGACCAATGCCCCTCTGTGCACACTGGCATCCAGATGACCTTTGGGTAGGTCACCCCAAAAACCCAAGACCTGAGACTCTTAAGCGCCTTTGCACTGTCACCAAAGCACTGACATGGCATCTCATGCGCAGAAGCACAAAGCACTCTCTTGCCCATGCACAGCAACGTAGCGGTTGCTTTCCTGTGTTACCCAGGGCAACCAACGCTTGAGTTGCTACCGGCTGGCTAGAGAGAGCAAGCCTGAGAATGGGCCAGTGCAGCAGCCCAACATCACAGCATCTCCCAGTTGTCCCGGTTGGCGCCACCGGCGGGGGGCGCAGGGGAGTCGGCATCGCTGGGGATCCCCTCGTCTGAGAGGACCTCCTCGGCCGGCCAGCTGGGCTCACCCGCATCCTCGTCCACCATACACACCAGCGGCGCGCAACCAGCCTCCGCCTCCAGCGTCCGCAGCCGCCCGCACAGATCCTCAAAATCGCCTGCGCACAGGCACGGAGATAATGTGATGCACGCGCGCGCAGAGTAGGGGTAATGAAGATTATCTGGTGCTTGCGTCAGCGCAATGATCGTCATGCCGACATCACTGCATGGATCGGAGTCAGAGATGGGACACAAACACAGTCCCTCAATTGCAGTAGCTCTCAATATTGGCATCAGCCAAATTTCCGCATGACCAGAAATCTTGCTGGAGAATGTGCTGGCCAGACTTCACTGCACAATGTGATGTGCCATCTGCAGTCCCTTAGAGGGCGGTGGATTAGTGTAGCTAGCGTCAAGCAGTCAAGTAAATGAGAGTACAAGAGCTATATGTGTGGGAAGGGCGCACTCAGTGAGCTGCAGTAGAAGCCGATGGCGAGGGAGGGGTCGATGTTGGCCAGGGGCATCAGGCGAAGTGAGCTGCAGAAGTAGGTGTCCAGGTCAGCCGCCTCGCTGGCAACCTGCACACAAAGCGGGAATGCCTGGCAACAAAGAAGCGGCGAGTGTGTTCCTCAGCCTGGAGGCGACTTCAGCGTGCATGTGCCTTGACAGCTTAGCTTGTGCTTCGTGTCTGTCCACACAGTTCCAAGCAGGGGGACAGCTTGTCTGACATCCCTCAAACCTCCTAGCAAAGCATCTTAGAAGACTGATGGAGGTCTGCAAGCTGTCATCTTCTGCACAGAGGTGTGGGCAGGTAAGAAGTGCAAGAGGGCAAGGGAGATGGGAAGTCATGGGAAATTCGTGTTCTCAGTATGTTGAATTTTATCTGAGTCATATGAGGTGATTCTGAGAACTGCACCCCACGCACCTCCTGCACCTCGTGGGGGTCCAGGTAGAGCACATGCTGGTCCTGTAAGCCGATGAAGTAGAGGGAGGAGGAGGGACGCCCCCCAACGATGCCCACGCTCTGCGGCCAGGTCAGCAGCTGCTGCAGCTGGGCACAGTACCGCGGATTGATCTGCGCAGCAACACCAAAGCTTGGAATCGTTGCTATTGAAGGAGCTTGAAGATACGAGATGGATGCAGCACACTCTTCTTAGTTGTTACGTTGCTCAAAGAATTTAACTTGCCATTCTTGCCGACATATATCTCAGGTAGAGTCATGAAACAGCATAATTGCGGCAGATGAAGCAAAGGGATGGCTTATTGAGGATCCTCAAGATGAGGGGCGCTGGCACTGTGGATAAGCATCTTCAACAGAGCCCACAGGTTCAAATCACCCATCAACCTAGGACGCCTGTTGAGACCCTCCCTTTCCTTGACCTTCACTCTCCTTTGCAGGTTTATTGTGGAAAGTTGATTCTGGGTGACGGAGCAGGTCTGCACCTTGCCGTTCAGGCCCAGCATGAGGGGGATGAGCAGCAGCAGGCCCTGCCCGGCCGGGCCACTTTCTTCGCTGCCCGAGCTTCCCACCTCGCCCCCGCTGCGATCCGCGCCCCCCTCAAACGCCGTCGCCAGCCTGTGCATTGCCACGCTACCAATCACGCGCCAATCATCCTCCCTGTAACCGCTGCTGCCACCCCTTGAACTGCCTCATACTCGAGACAGGATAGAGAACGGAAGATATCAATGGCATCTCTAGCCAATGTCAGGCATATACTCATAAGGCATGGTGCAGTTGGAGTCTCATACTGACCTGGATGTGCAGAGCACCGGTGCGCCGCCGCCGAAGGTGGCGACCACTCGGCACTGGAGGCCGCCCGGCTGCACCTTGTTGACCATGTCTGCCAGCGTGTGGCACAGCCCTGAGGGCCCCAGCCAGTCCCCCGCCTTCACCCTGCACCCGTCCAGGAGTAGGTCTGTTTAATGCATGCCAACGTCTGGGCTGCTTCCACTACTCAATGATTCACTTGTTCATGATCTACAGCTTGGCTTTCAGTGATAATCAGGACTGGCACTATTCACTGTCGCCATGCTGACATGATCATGCTGCAGGAGGTCAAACAAACCTTCAAAGTAGGATAAGACCTTTTAGGAAGGGATGCGTGATCAAGAAGGGGCATTGCTGCTTTGTTTTCATGCAAGACGAGGGGTGTCATGCTGCAGGCAGGAGCGATTCACCCATGGGTCTGCCCGGTGGTGCACATGTTGTGGATGGAGAAGGGGCGCTGCTCGCAGGCCTGGTCACCAAACCACTGCAGCACCTGCGCAACTTCCTCTGGGTAGGCAGCCTCCAGCTTCCGCCGCCACTGCCTCCCCACCAGGTGGTACACCAACGCCTGCACCAATTTATAAAACAATCTCGAACCTAAGGCCCTTCCACTGCTGTCTTCTGTCCATTCAAGAGGACCCAGGGGCCACATGTAACGGCATGAAATAAAGAATTAAATTTCATGGAGTGCCACTCCTTTGGCAATGCATAGCTGATGCTGGACAGGCATTCCTCTGAAGAGCTCAACTTGAGCCAGTTTTACCAGAAATGTCGGACAAAATACTTGCCCGGTGGCAATGCATTGTATAGTACTTGCGCAAATTGAGATGTCTCCGTGGCATGGTAAATGGGAATTGCCGCATCTTAGCATGCAAGCAGCAGGTGTCTGAGCAGCAAGGTGACCTGAGCAAGCAGCATCTGGCCACTTCGTAGCGTGCAACCCCACCCAACATCGCTGGTGATGCCAGAGCCGCCTGCAAATAATTCAGAGGTCTGCTGTTAATGCCTGTAGGACCAAACTTTCTTTCCATATTGTAAGCTACGACAATCAGCAGACAGGAGAGCATCCTAGGGGGGATGCTCGCTCACATATTGGAGGGAACCCCCTCCGGTATGTCATCCAGATGCGAGACATGAGGTCTGACAGGATTGCGTTGAGCACCTGTATGAACAGGAGTGCTTGCTCAGACGAAACGTCAGACACAGGACAGTCACATAACAAATCTCCAGTACCCTTTCCTGCTCAGGAAAGAGCATCACCTCCTGCTTGAGTCCGACATCTTCCTGTGCAGTATCAGGTGAAGGCGCATCGTGATATTTCACGCCAAGTATCCAAACAGGAGCTGAGCTTGTCAGTAAGGATGTGGTCCCCTGTGCAGCAAGAATTGAGGTACTGAGTACCGTGAATGTCGGAGGCAGGACATGTTCACACATATTGCGTCCTAGGAGTTGATCTACAGCATGCAAGACAAAGTAAGGAGCTCATTGACAGTATTCGTTAGCACTGAGAACAAGGCCCATGGGACCCCACCTGGAAATACTCCTGCAGCCTTCGCAACCCCAGCACTTGGGCCATGCTGTAGTATGTACTGGAAAGTCCCAGCCGTAGCTGCTTATAGATAGATATGCTCTCGGCTTCCTGTTCTGTGCTGACTGTTTGGCCCCGATGTGCAGACTCAACGGGAACTTCGACCATAGCCTTGTTTTCCTTGTCAGCACGACTGCACCACTTCCAGCAAGAATTTACTTCATCACATGATCATTCAGGCTGATGCAGGGGTGCCACTGCCGTGATCCGGTCAACACCGGGATGAATCAAGAATTATATTTCCGCCATGCTGCGCAATTTCCTTGAATCAGCTGCAATCCATGAATTACGTACATGATACTAGGCAAAATTCCCTCCTTCGATCCCCAGAATGCCAAGCTGGGCAAATTTCGAAGACCTTTTGTGCTCCAACAGCATGGTGACCCTTCCTGCAAGATATTTAGCTCCCTTAGAACGAACCGACAGGGGCGTTACATGCAACCGTTCGCTCTAAAGCAATCCTATTGCATCTGCAAAGTAATGCTCTTACTAGCTGTAGGCAGTAGGCTTCTGGGGTGACTTGGCAAACCTTAATTGGCGCTAGGCAGTAGTTATCACCAGCCACCATGGAGGAGATTATGAAGAAGCGGCAAAAGGAGGCAGATGATGCTTATGAAGCGCAGTGGGACAACGGCAGGGGGTCTCATCACCCTGATTATGATCCCTACGCCCGTGGTGACGATGTAGTGAAGGCCAGCCGGGAGACCGAGGAGCTTTACAACGCCATCGTGCTTAATGACATCAAAAAGGTCTACAAAAAGATCGAGGAGGGAGCAGACGTCAATTTCGTCTTTGGAAAAGCGTACCGTTGCCTGGAAGGCTACACTCCCCTGATGGTTGCTGCGCATCGGTGCGAACGCGCTTTAGAGCAACCTCATCACGGTTCTCGTCTTTTCTGCATTTCCGCACGCATGGAGCTCAGGACGGGAATATTTATCTTCGAAAGCTGCTGACACCAGGATACTGTCAATTGTGGACCACAGGAACCGCTACGAGTGCTGCAGAGCACTGCTCAGGGCAGGAGCAGACCCTAACTTCATGAACAAAGGCGCGGACCTTGCAATGTTCTGGGCCATTGATGGGGGTGTTGAGATCATCAAACTCATGCACGAGTACGGGGCTGACATGGACACACGCACACCCAAAGACTGGACTCCCCTCAGCTACTGCAAGGCTAAAGGGAAGTATGGGGCCACTGAAGAGAAGGGTATCTACCCTGAGGTACACATGCTTCAGCAGTCAGCACAGATTTGAGAGCAGATCCTGGGCCCTGCTGTGCGCCAAAATACCTGCATGGACTACAACTGTATGCATTGCAACAGCGCCTATTGAAGAGCTTGTCACGCAATGCCCGTTTTGCGTGCCTCTGTGAATGTGGCCAACTGGCTCTCTTGGACTCCTCAACACTGCTAAGAATGCAAGGCTTGAAAGTGTTCATCTGCTGAGCAACGTTAGTGGTGTGCTGCAGGACGTGCTGCTGTACTATGGGGCCACAGAGTATGGGAAGGGTCCCATTGCTCTGGGATCCCGCAGCCCCAGGCAGAGCTTCAACCCAGAAGCTGACAACTTCCTGCGCGAGCGTGGCTCCTACCAGACACCCATGGAGCACCCCTAGATATTACCCTTGCGGAATTGGTGCTGTATCGTAGAAAAAGTGGGTTGCAGTCTATCAAAATTGACAGGGCCACATTGCCAAGCTGCAACATCCATGCACCGTCCGATCGGTTGCCAACTTGTTAGCAGGGGCTGTCATATGATGTCCTTGTCCACGGTTGCCAGAATTGCTGTGCTATGCAAAACGATTACGGTAGAGTGTAGAGGAACCCAGACGTGTCTCGCTGCTTATGTTGGCCTTATGGTAGGGTGCAGATGTAGCGGATCGCTTACAGCATAGCTCAGAGCCACCTGCAGCTCGTGATTTGTGAGTACTACGCGCTGCTTTATCTGAACAAGGGAAACCCCAGTAGACTGAGCATATAATGGATAGAGATTGCATGCTGGGGTCTGGAGTACAGAGTTGGCATGACATGACAGAGCATGCATGACATATGACATTTGCATAAAGAGGTCATGCGGCAATGGAAGCAACATTAATCTGATCCAAGGGCTCTGGGTCAACATATATGCCTTCAAAGCACCCACATGGCATCAACACCCAGACAGAAACAATCACAGCCTGCAGAGGCTCAACTCAAGGTAGATGTAGAGATTGCCGGCACAAAACTACCTCATCTCTGGAGGCTTGCACATACTTCAGTAAGACAACCCGGCCATGTCTCAATATGTTGAAGTTGACATCATCACCAGCCCATTCTGCTGCACACTGCATGGAATGCTGGTCACACTTGGTGGTCCATCCAAACCACCTGCACACACCCCAACCTGAGCAGGACCCCATTCTCTATTGTCTCGATTATTTTGCAAGTCGGCATACACAGATGCATGCACCTTTCACACATGCCAATGTGACTGGACCATATGACTTTTTTGGCAGATCATGTGCAGCTGCAGAAGAGGGCTTCATGCAGGCATGCTTGCATGCATTTGCTATGAATGAAACGGGCTGAGAAGAGGACTGGACTGGCGTACCTCCTCCACATGCATAATCACCCTTCACTGCAATGCCGCATGTCCAGTAGACAGTCTGCTTGGGCACTGACACGCTGTCCACCTTTGTGCATGCATCACCAACCCTCAGAGGCCCAGCATCCGGATCCTGCACAGACATATCACCTGGTTCTCCATCGCTTCCACAATATGATTGTCAAGGAAAGTTACTGCCTCTGAGATGTGAGAAATTTGGTATGGATTGGCAAGGATTAGCGCTTTGTGTGTCTGAGATCATCTCCACACCTTCCTGACTGTGCAGTTGCCCTGTGCATAAGACACTGCTCCAGAGCCTGTGTTGACTCCTCCAATGTTGACAGAGTCTGCATGCCATACACATTGCAGCTCAGCATGTGACAACGGGTGGCGATGATTAACTCCACCGTTCAAAGGGGCAATGTAGATTTCCATCATGCGAATACAAAGAGATGTAGAGATGATTAGCTGAGCTTTCCATGCTACAGCAAAACACCTGTAGCAGGATTGATGAAGACAGCTCCGCTGCCATCATGCTTGACATTGATCTGCCCCTTGAAGCCAGACAGGTATCTGTTGCCAGCACCAGCTGAGAAAATCTCAGTGTACTGGCCAGCGCCATTGATCACCACGTCCCCAGACCTGCAATGAGCAACAAGTACTTTTCTTCCACCAATCTGTAGTATAGGGATTTTGAACGTCACAAGTGTTCTTCTGCGGGGACATGAGTACCGCAGGTTGTCAGTAAGTGGCTCACCCCACAGTACTGACTTTCACCAGATCGCCATCCAGCCCCTTGGACACTATGATGCGGCCATTGCCATTGTTGGCTATTTCTCCCTTTTGCTTGGAAAAGGATGTATCGATGGCTATGTCTGAATTGGTGTAGTCTGCTTCGATATACTGCAAGACTCCAGGAGGCAGGCTGAAAGTTATCTTGATGGGGTTGCTGCTCTCGAAATCCCCAAAGCTTTCGATGCCCAGCCCCTTTCCCTGGTAGGTGATCAGCAGGGCCTTCCTCACAGCTGGATCGGCATCCACGGTCACAGCATACTTTCCATCCGTCGAGCTATTGATGAAGATGTTGATGGGAGTGCATATGGTGAGCGACTCAAGGTAAGGGTAGTATTTGGTGTCCGTTGATCCCTGCGAAGCCTGTCCGCGGGCTCCAGCGATGAAGCCTAACACAGCCAACGCTAGTATCGGCCTCATCCCGTCCCGCCAACTGTCCAGGAGGCCTCACGGCTGCGCATTTCGTTGATTGTCCAGCATTATTGAGGACCCAGAAGGAGCGACGACCTCACAAGGTTGTTGGAGGAGCTCTGCCAACTATGTCCGATAGTATTAGTAAGGATTTTGCATGCAGGCCGATTTGACAATTTGCTGGCTGTCAGACAGGGATCCTCTCCGGTTCTGAACCTGTAAACGTCTCACGCCAAGTCTCGAAGGGTCTGGGGAGTCGCTGGCAAGAAGCCTTTCCGTGCTAGCCACCAGGTCAGGCTGATGGTGGGCAGATGACTCGGCGTCGATGGAGCCCACGGGGAGCGCACGGTGTCTGTTAACGGCCCTCGCGCTGTCGGCATTATTGTTCTTAGCTATCGCGGAGAATCAGTGCAATCCCACTGGACCTCGGAAGGATTGCGGTGCGTGCTCCGACTGTGTGTCGTACCGTGCTCATTGGCTACTACAGTCGCGAGCGGAACTAGTGCAATTAGAAGTTGACAGTTTAAGGTTCTAAATTTTAATTTGCGGATACATACAAGCTTCTTGCTTTGTGCTTAGATGCTACAAATTATTGGCACCTTTCAAGGTGGTCTTCGCAAGGAACCAGGATCTCTTTAGTAAGGGAATTCTTGTGGAATTGGGCAGGATACTACGGGATCACCTCTGACCAATGCCAGTCAAAGGGATGCTGCTACAATCCTGCACCTCCCACCACTGGAGCGGCTCTGTTGAGCCTTCCAGTCTGCTTCTACAAGAACAATGGGGACAGCTCCTACTCGATCAACAACCTTGCCCCCACTGGTATGTCCTCAAAGCATTCAGATACCTTCCCAGATCAAAATATAATCCCCCTTTTCCCCAAATGCTGTCCTCTGCATCAAGGAGCACTTCTTCAATCCTTGTGAAGCCACACCAACAGCTCGTCTGGAGCTCAAGCGTGCATGGAGCATCTGATTCCTTACATGCTTCCATCATCTTGTGCAAGCCTGCAATAACGCGGGTAATGCACAGCTGCTTCTTCTCCGGTGGACATTCTGTCATCCGCCCAGAGAAGGGCCTTCTGAGACTGACTGTACAGGCACATGCATGCGCTCAACTTACATGTGCCTCTCTGAAACCGATGTTATCGCAGTATTCCCTTAGGAGAGAAGAAATGCAAGTGCTGTATGAATGCAATGGATCACGCCAACGCAGCATAGAGTAGTGCATGCATGGCTGATGGTGTTGGCTGGCATTTGCAGCTGAGGGCACCGGACTCAGGGGACAGCTGTCGCAGCAGAGCTCAACGCAGCCAGAGCTGGGGCAGAATCTGTCCCCACTCGACATCAATGTGCAGTATCTCACCCCCTCCATCATGCGGGTCAAGATAGGCCGGGCAGGGCGGAATGAGGTCCCCTTCACACTCTTCAACAGCACCCTGCCACAAGGTGAGTCCGTTGCTTGGTGTGACTCTGTGTCCTACATATCTGTGGCTACTGCAGTACTTGTGAGTAAGGCATTGCAGAGTTGACGAGATCTAGAGTGCAGCATGTGTGCTTGGGTGGCAAGGGAATTTGACTTCACCTTGTGCATGCCAAAGGGTTGAATGCCACGTGCATGACATCCTGTGTAGGAATACCTGGGCCACTTGCTCATGTCACTAAAGACATCCATTCAGCGCATGCAGGAAAAGGGCATTTAAAGTGCTTGCACGCAAGTCATGCTTGTCCGCTGTCTGCAGGTTCTGCAACGCCACCCTCGAATGCCACCTATGCGTTTGATTACAGCAGATCCCCATTCAGCTTCACTGTGACGCGCGCCGGCAACACAGCCGACCCACCCCTGTTCACCACAAAAGGCAGCCGCCTTATATTCAAGGTGCAATGCAGCGGGGTCAACTCTGCCTTAAAGCCATGCATGGTTGCAGATGTATAATTTGTTTTCATTTATGCAACAGAGCCCTTGGTTTTCTAGAACATAACTGTGCTGGGTTTCAGTATCTTTGCAATACCGTAATGTCCTGCCATGCTGTGTGATCAACACATTTATTACATTCTTGCATGAGTGCAGGAAATTGTAGGCATGATCTTGAAAGTGGCGGGGTGTCATATCTGTGCAGGATCAGTACCTGGAGCTAACATCAGCGGTGCCAAAGGAGGCCGCTCTGTACGGCATCGGGGAGCACATCTCCACGAGTGGGCTGCTGCTGCGGCGGGAGGGCGCGCCCCTGACCCTGTGGAACCGCGACAACGCAGCCTCGGAGCCCGACCAGAACACCTACGGGGCCTGGCCCTTCCTGCTGGATGTCCGCCCAGGTGTGCACCCACAGTCCCTCTTAGCAGATCAGTGTCCTGCATGCACCTTTTCTTATCTTGATCCTCTTCAGATTGGAAGCCTTGTAAGTCTGTAAATTGGGCCGGAAGAATCCATCGAGAGCATACAGAGATTACAGTGGCAATGTGCTAATGGCGCCTCTCTCAAGTGGTCAGGTGGGCAGCGGGACAGCTGATCACCATGTCAGCAAAGCTTGCCCGCAATATGCCACTGTGTTCTTTCAGTGTGATGTTTTGTGGTGTGCTTGCTTCGATTCAAACAGACACGTGCATGCACAGGTGGCGCGACACATGGCGTGCTGCTGCTGAACAGCCACGGCATGGACATTGTGCTGACTCAGACCCAGGTCAGCTACCGGGTGATTGGCGGTGTCCTGGACTTCTTCTTCTTCATGGGTCCGACGCCGCATGCGGTGCTGGAGCAGCTGACATCTGTCGTAGGGCGTCCCTTCATGCCGCCCTACTGGACCATGGGGCTCATGAACAGCAAGTAAGCCCTGCCCTGCCCTAATCTTAAACACCCCAGCAGACTTATGTGAATCCTTTCCTTCTTTTCCAGGCCCCAAGTAGGACACACTCCAAGTGAGGGCTCAGTATGGGCCCAAAGTGATCATCAACCACTATCGTCTGGTTTCATATGATCACAATCTAGTCGAAAGCTCCCCCGGAGCAAGATTTGTGGCACAGTGAGGCTCCGTGCATAGCAGCAACTTTAACATGTCCATACATGCGTGTGCAGGTATGGGTATGGGTCGGTAAGGCAGATCACGCGGGTGGTGGAGTCCTACATGCAGGCCCAGATCCCACTGGAGACCTTTGTCACGGACTCCCAGTACATGGACAAGGACCAGGACTTCACCTTCAGCGCAGACTACGCCGTTGATGACTTCCAGGTGCTTACATTCTTGAGCTCCATATGATTCTCCTATATGTTACTTTGGCAATCTACCCCTTGCTCAACCCAATCCATGGGAAGGCCTTTGGAAAGCAGAGATCAAGACATCTATCTGCATGCTGCAGTGATGTGCACAGCATGTTCCGTAGGAAGATTATACGACCTGATCCCCTTTGCGGGTTCTTATTTCAGCCTGGCCATGGACAGCACGCATGAGTCACATGCATGTGTCTCATTGGTGTCATATGTGTCTATGCAGAACTTCCGGGCGCTGTTGGACAAGAATGGTCAGCGCTGGGTGCCCATCATAGACCCGCCCATCCACATCAAGCAGGGCTATGCCGCGTATGACACCGGGATAACATCAGGGGTCTTTATCAAAGACATCACCGGCCGGCCCTACGCTGGCCAGGTCAGTTCCCAGCCCCCTTGAATAGATCATCGCTGGCTTCTGTGCTTTCTCAGATCCAGGCACATCTTCCTGTGATGCAGCCTTCTCAGCTCCAGGTGTCTGCATAGTGACATCGAAACTGACTCCTGGGAACAAAACCTCAAGATTGATTTTGCCGTGAAGCAACCTTTCTTGATGAGGTGAACGGATCATTCTCCGGGGATGCTTTTGGAGATGACTAAGACGGCACGGTATTCTGTCATGCAGATGTGGCCTGGAGCGAGTCACTGGCCGGACTTCATGGACCAGCGCACAAATACCTGGTGGCAGCAGCAGATCCAGGTCAGTGGTCCCACTTTGCAAACAGTCTTACAGCACAGTATCTACGTGCACCTTGACCAATTTAAAATGACACCATGGTATTCCGCAGACACTGAAATGATGCATGAGTTCGGGCGCTGTGTTGATGAATACAACAGAATTTAAAGAATTTTCGCTTTGCTGTCGGCAGGGTGTGTACAAGCAGGTCCCTCTGGACGGCATCTGGCTGGACATGAATGAGGTCAGCAACTACTGCTCTGGCGACGTGTGTGTCGACCCAGGTGGGAATATCACCCTCCTCTGCAGCGGTATACAGTAGCTTCCATTGCAACTGATTGCAAGTAGTCTTTAGTGTTTCCCATAGTATCGACGCATGATAGGGGCCAAGAATGGAGGCAGGCAGAAGACAGAAGGACCCTGGGACTTCAATCTGGATTCTTGACCCACTCATCGCGAATTCAGGCTTTATTGCAGCAATACCCAAAGATTGCGCGTTGAGTCCTGCCCTTTGCTCATCTTGCACCGTTCTTCCAACACAAACTCTGAACATGACATCACGGCCCTCGGCTTGGGCATGCATGAAGAGTGTTCTCAATTGGTGCAGCCCTTGCAGTCAAATTTGCGTGCTTGGGCTTCTATACTGCTAAAAGCTAATCCCTGAGATGACATTGTTTTCGCAGGCAACGTGCTGCCCGCGAACGACTTCATCTGCCGCATGTCTTGCGAGTGGGGCCCCAACGCCAAATCAGACGCGCTGCCGGGGCCGCGCGCGCAGATCCCGGCTGGCTTCTACAACCCGCCCTATGCCATCAACAATGCCAATAACCAGGCATGCACCTCACTTGCTCGGCCCTCCTGGCTCTCCCTGTCAATCGCACCCGCCCCTGAAACACTGGCGCTGAATGCCATCGGTCTCAGACAGCCACTTCAAGGGGTAGCTGGATAGCCTATGGCCCTCTCGACAGATGTCTGGCACTCTGATGCTTTATTCAGGAGTATAATGTGTTACTTTTCTGACTGACGATTCCAGCAAACAGGTTGGTCCGTATCTTGCAAGGCTGCCTGGTAGGGTCTTTGCTATAATGTCAACTATCTGACTTGTCAACCTTGCGCCTTTGGACCTGCTGCTTGCTCGAGTGCTCTTGTCCAGACGGCATGCTACCAGCGCCATCCAGACATACATCGCATGCTCCACCCAGCTCTGCAGCGCTTCCAGACCCACCTTCTTTTTTAAGTTTATGCGACCCTTACATTTTCTGGTTTCTTATACCTCTGGCCAGCATCAAGCGAGCTTCATGTCCCATGCCTGCAGAAGCCGGAAGAGTGCCCCTGCGAATGCAGGGTGGAATTCAAATAGGGATTTTGTAACAAAGTGGGTGCCATGCCTGCAGTAGCTGGAGGAGTGCCCACTTGGATGCATGCATGGAAAGAAAATTGGCTTTGAATTTTTATCTCGAGTGCTGTCTTGCACGCGCAGATGAACATCAGCATCAAGACGCTGCCGGTGACGTCCGCGCATTTTGACGGGACGCTGGAGTACGAGGTGCACAATCTGTACGCGCTCTACCAGGCCAAGGCCACAGCTGATGCCCTGCGCGCCATCCGCCAGAAGCGGCACTTCATCTTCACTCGGTGCGCGGCATATCTCCTCTCTTGCTCGAGAGGAACGGGTGAGAAATATGGTTGGACCTGCACCGTGCTTGCATGGAATCCTGCAGGGACCCGTGCCGTTCTCTGTGATGAATTTGTGCTCAGAGGTCTAGGGCAGGTTTGGTTGCATATGTGATCTGATCTCTGCCAGGTCATGCATTTCCATGAGTCTAGACAATTCTGCCTCAGACTTTGGGCATGAGGCTGACACTTTGAACGGCACTTGACGTGGGGTTTTCACACTCTACTGCTCATCATCTGCTGCTATTGAAGGACATCTCAAAAAAGTTTAAAAGAGTACATTGTTGCAGGTCGACTTTCGTGGGGTCTGGGGCGTACACAGCGCATTGGACGGGTGACTCAGCGTCCACCTGGCAGGATCTGAGGTGGCAGGTGCCGGCGGTGGTGGCCCCTGGTCTCGTGGGCATCTCCTTCACAGGAGCTGACATCTGCGGTGAGCTATGCCCTTCTCCTCTGCATGCATCCTGCATTTGTTAATGGCTTGACTCCACTTCAGATCCTGCTTCTTACCTCAGTATTCTGTAGACAAGGGTTGTGTCATGCGTGCTTGCGAAGGTTAGCTAATGATGGGTCATCACGCATGCAGGCTTCCAGAATTTGGCGACGGAGGAACTGTGCGCGCGATGGATTGCAGTGGGCGCCTGGCAGCCGCTGGCGCGCGTGCACCATGCTCAGAGCTTCCAAGAGCTTTACAGGTGCATCTTGACACCACATCTTGGCAGTCTCTATCTTCTATTCATGGCCGTCCATTCTTCAAGTGATGGTGTTTGTGTCCCTCAATCTATATCCCTGGCTCTAAAGCCTCTTGGCGGGAGCACACTCGGGGCGGATGCTGCGAATCACACTCTACGTGGCACTCACGACAGGCGTTGCTTGACCTGCTCCATGCTCACCGCAGCAGCGCTCGTCAACATTACCACATTGACTGCGTGCTAGAACCTGCCACCAATATTTGGATTTGGATTTGGATTTGGATTTGGATTTGGATTTGGATTTGGATTTGGATTTGGATTTGGATTTAGGTTTGGATTTGGATTTGGATTTGAATTTCTGGTTACGGCACAGGTGGCCGGCAGTGGCGGAGGTGAGTCGCAAGGTGCTGGGCTGGCGGCTGCGCGCGATGCCATACTTGTACACGGCCTTCTTCGACTCGCACACCTACGGCTGCCCCGTCGCGCGGCCGCTCTTCTTCACGTTCCCCTCAGACGCGAGCACGCTCGCGCTTAAGGAGCAGTGGATGATGGGTGCGCGCCCGGCTGCTCCCAGGAGCTTCGTTCTTTGCTGTCATTATATAGAACCTAGAGCTCTTTGCTTCCGTGCATTGAGCATGTGACACAGTCACACACCTGTGATGGTGAGCTCTTCAAAATGTCAGTTTCACGCAAATATGGGTTGTACAAATGGGGTCCCAACCTGGTGACAATTTACGCAGTCAGGACACGAACCCCCTGCTATCTGCTCCAGCCACGCGTGTTCTTGGGCTGTTGCATTGACTCTATTTTTTCAGAAGTCCTCTTCTGCGCAAAGTGGATGAGCCCATCCAAGTGTTGTTTATTGCCATAGCGTCACAATTCTTGGGAGGAGCAGACAAGTGGCATGGTGCAAGACCTTGCTGACTGGCAGTTGCCTTTGGCATGCTTGACCTCTGCCTCCTAAATCACGTTTCAGGCATCATCAGGGCGTCGGATTTTTTTCCGGGTGCTGACTGGACTGATGCGCTGTCTGCAGTGCCCATCAACCTGCACATCGGCAACATGGGCCTGGCGTGTCTGCTTGTTGCCAAGAGATATGCTTGCCATTTTCCCTTGGGCTGGTGCACCTGATGCAGAGCTGTGAGAGAATTTCATCTTGCCGCAGGGGATGCACTGCTGATCACCCCAGTGCTGAGGAAGGGCGCGAATGCCACAAAAGGGTACTTTCCCCCTGGCGTCTGGTACAACCTGTACAACCATTCCGCTATCAACACCACAGCTGGCGGCCAGAACATCACTGTAGAGGTCTGCCCTGCTGCATCCCTTTGACTGCCCTAATGCAGATGTTCACATGACCCATTTTGCTGCCTTGTGTCTATCCTCGTGAAGGGGTGTGCAGGGAGGACATCTAGAGTATTGATGCACAAATTTGATGCATACCGAGCGATTTCAATGTGCAAAGTGTCCTGGTTGTCTTTGCTGTCACCGTCAGCAGGAAAGATGCCTCAGCCGTTTGTCGAACCTGGCACAGCCATTTAATCAGGACTCGAGGGGTCATGTGCTTTGAGCTTCACCACTGATGCTCACGATGTCCTGAGCAAAGTATTTTGAATGCGCAGGCAAAGGTGACAGACCTGACGCCGATCCACGTGCTGGGAGGGAACATCGTGCCGCTGAGCCAGGGGGGAATGACCACGGACGCAGCCCGCAAAAATCCCCTCTCGCTACTTATCGCCCTGGGCCCGGCCTCTTCAGGCAACGATGCATACTCTGGCACTGTGGCACAGCGCTGCACCGGCCCCTGCACTCCTCAGCAGGTCCGCCTGCCTTTCCTGCACATTTAAAGGTGTTGTGCTTTGAGTGGGTTCCATGATATAATTTTGGTCTGGAGGGTTCGCTTGCCTCCCCATCATGGGGGACTTTTGAAACGAATTTCCTGGTGTGCTTTTGTTGGCCTTGGTAAATATTGTCACCAGTGGCAATCGCATGCGCATCAGGATCATTCACTTCTCAGATGACCCGGTGAACTGGATTTGCCGAGCACTTGCTCGTGTGAGGTGCTGCATGTTTCGTGGCGTTCGTTGGGGACTGCAGCGTTGTTCCATTCTAATGTTGTTCCACTCTAACTGGGCACTTCAGATCAGAAGCCATTTTCCTCTGATTCTTCATGCGCATCCATGTCTCTGACTCCTTCAGGTTTACCCTTTTGCTTGATGAAGCCGCGCAATATGCCATCTTCAGCAATGCATCAAACAGGCTTCTTGTGTGTGGTGCATAGGGCGCCTCTCTGCAGGCATGCGGGCACATGTATCTGGACGAAGGGGAGGAGCTGAATCTGGGCAGCAGCAGAGACCACATGCTGGCATTTTCTGCCTTCACTGCACGTGCCAATGCGACCGTAAACGGGCAGGTGGGTTCTCATCATGTATTCCCTTGCATTCCCGCACCCATGGAAACTTTTTAAAAAACTACAGATATGTGCAAGTTGTGTGCACTTTACCCCTGCTGCACCTTCCAGGCTTCTCTATTGGCAGTGATATAGAATGGATGGGAGCAATGAGCGCCAGGGAACAAACTACTGCATTTATCAATTGCAACAACGAGAAATGTGCACACCGTGGCACCAAGTCGTTTTCACCTCCAAATTTTGGGATTCAAATTCAGGTTTCGTGGTGCCTGTTCAGGTGCGGCTGAGCTGGCTGGGGTTGCCGGTGAACGGATCCAGCGCATGCAGTGGAAATGTGGCATGGCCGACGTTTGATGGCGTTGTCATTCTGGGTGCCTCTCCTGCCGATCCTGCCAGCTTCACCCTCCAGGTCAGCAAGATTTTTGTGTGCTCCTTTGGGAACACTGTGAGCTCAACTGTGAAGAAACTGCAGTCATCTTTGCACAGAGATCTCATGATAACCTCCTCACACTCTGCTGTGATTGGCGAGCCATAAGGAAGGCTGACCATCCTCGTTACTGGTCTGTCACAACGGTGTGTGGGTCACGCTTAAATATAACAAATCTTGTTACGTATGTAGCCTGTGTCTTGACAGCGGGTTTGGGCTCTGCAGGTGGGAGGGAATGGCACAGAGGCGGCTGCGCAGAAGCTGGACCCTTCTCTGGTGTCCGTTGATGCGGCTGCTTCCAGTGTGACAGTCAAGGGCTTGAACAGGACCCTCACATGCGGAGAGGCCCTGCAGTTGAACTGGTCAGAATCGTCATAAATGGCTTCATCTGAGTGTGAACATGGTACGGTAAACATGCATGGAATTGACAAGCCGGCAAAAGAGCGTGCCTGTTTTGTTCTCAGTACTCACGTTGCAAGGTTGGCTGGAGGAGCAGTTCTGCTCTGCAGCTGGTGACTTTGTTGCAGATGCCTCCAGTATATATTTGAGAGGATCTCCTAGAGAAATGAGCCAACATGCAATTGCAGCATCGCCAAAAATGTGAGACGTACAGAAACCTGCATATGGGGTGATTCATTGCTAGTGAGCCAGTCTGTGTCATCATTTGGTGGAGCTTTTTCTTATATTCTCTGCTCAGTTTTTAAGTGATTTCAGATGCAGCCTGTTTTGATTGATGGAACGTAAATGGCAGATTAATATCTTGGTATGAGACCCTGAATACACCCTTGGCTGTTGCGCGATCTGTTTGTACTTCAAATGCAGCTTGTGCACACTTGATATGTCAGCATCATGTTGTTGTGATGGATTGATAGAAGACGTTGATTTTATGTGAGCGTGGCTTAATAATGGAGCTTCTTTATTTACGAAATCATGAGGGCAAGGGAAGGTCTGACACTCCAATGTTGTGTCAACAACAAGGGAAGGTTTAACAGACCCAAGAGGGGCTGAGAGTAATTTGCCGGATAATACGGTAAACATCCCCACAATATTGCCAAGTTCCAAGTGCTACAAAATTGCTGAGAAAAAGCCGAAAGGTGTAAGCAACAAAATGCAATCACAATGTTCAGGACGAACCCTAACTAATATTTCACGTTGCCAAAACATCGTCCACTCTATTTGCATGCATGAAGTGCGCAAATCATAGCACAGATCTCCAGAGGTTCACCAGCCGCCGACGCTGTCTTATAGCCATGACTAAGCATGGCCAGTACTGTCCTGAATCTGGGCGCTCTGAGCAGCACTGTGCAACTGCACATCCACATTCTTCAAAGCTGCGTCCGCCGGTTTGACAGCAGCTAGATTTGTGGGCTGCCCAGGCACATGCATGGGCCCGTCGCTCTGACTCAGCAGCTGCCATGCTGACTCATCCACAAACGGCGCGGCAGCCAACAGCGTTCCTTCTAAGTCGGTTGAGTCAGCGCCAGGTGGCGGAGCCTCAGAGGGAACTTTCAGCCCATGTGCCATGTATGTCAGGTTCTGTATAGGCGTCCTGTCCGGCGATGCAGAGGCCGACCAGGAACGTACATTAGCAGCCAAACCCACCTGTGGCATTGCAATAATCACACAATCGGATCCATCATGGTTCTCTTGGAGTTGTGGCGTTGAAGTGCTCTTCCTGCTCTTCTCCTACCAAGGAGCCCAGTTGCAATTTGAACATTGCTCTACCTTTTGTACCGTACAGTATATTCACTAGGCGCATGGCAAGCACAGCCATGTCGGCATGGAGGCACTTGCAGAGGGTCCACATGGACCAGAGTGAAAAGCCAGGCATTGCAGTGGAAATCGCATGACAGGAATGGCAGATTTAGTCGAGAGCTGCTCACCGTGGGAGTGTTTGTGCGCGCGTCGTAGGCATACACAGTGTAGTAGGCTCGGTGGAAGTTTGCGCCCAGCACTATCGTGTACAGGGGGCCGCCACCCACAATGGAAGACATGCAGAAGAGCTCTGTGACCTCATTGCCCGGCCTGTGATACACCTGCTCCCACACAGTACCCCATGCTTGTATAAATAGATTATGAATTATCTGCTGCACCCAAGCCTGTGACAACGGGTACAATGATTTGGCGCCATTCTCCTTAAACACCTCTCAAGGAAGTTTTCAAATTCCTTCATTGCAGGATCTCTAGGAAATTCGCAAGCCTCCTTTGTACAACGTGCTGAGCAGATTGGCATGGTGCCACTTACTGCACGAGCTTTTCTCACACAAACAAGTTGCAGCAAAGCATCTGCAAGTGCGCGGCTGAGCGGAAATGTAACGTCACTCGATGTCAGCTATTTCTTGACACACATCTAGTTTTCACTCTGGGTATTAAGGATCACTCTCTGTGAGATAGAGCAGCGCAGCTGCCTTTATGCACTGGCTAATGGGATCACGGCCCCGGCTGGCGGGGGGCGGTATAAATACTGAGTACCATGCCCACGGTTGAATGGGACTTGCTTGGATCTGGCGAGTCCATCAAGGAGTAGGATTTTGGCAGCCTTTACTGCAGCTTGTCTGCAGACGCACCTTGCTTCTGGCAGGAAAAGCGTGTAATAATAATAATGGGAACTGGCGCTCTTCTAAACACTGGAAATAAGGTGAGTTACCAAGTGTAATGATTTCTGGCTGCTTGCTCTCACCTGGAGGACGTACTGCTCGGGGGTGAGCACATAGGGGGTGCCTGCCAGCAAGAGGGTGATGTTGGGCAGGCTGGTCACATTCTGGCAGCCCCCCTGGACCACCCAGAGGTTGTCCTCTGCAGCATACTCCAGCCCAGGAATAGCCTGCGCGCCAGCAGAAAGAATTGTGAGGTAAGAGGAGCACGGGACAGCTCAGACAGCAGTCCTCGGTGGCCGGAAGAGGACCCCTAGCTCACTCGCTCCTCACTCACAAGGAAGGCAAGGTGTGAAGCTCATGGAAGGAAAAACGTGATGGGTAAAAGGAGGGTGGAAGAGGGGCTGCTAGATTCAGAACTTTCCTTCAGCACTGGCTCCACACATTACTGTGGGCAAGAGGCTAGCTTCAAGGGTGGCCAAACATCCAGATATTTTTCATCATCAGATCTCAGTGCGCTGTGTTGATCAAAGCCCATGCGCAAGCATGCTGCGGTGGTGATCTGCATAACAGGAAATCAGCAAGACACAAGAAATAAATGACTGACCGCATTGATGGTGTTGGCGTCTGCAGTGCTGGCAGTGATGACAGAGCTTCCTGTATCCAGCACTGCCTGGAATGCTCGCAGCTCCACCGGGTCCTCATTCACATACACCGTGCTGTTCATGGGAACCACCCAATGCCTGCACCAGACACCCACATGCACCCATCAGCCCTTGACTATATTTAGCGTTGTTGCACGCCCGCTTTTGCTTTGCAGGCATTCCAAAGGCGGCAACAGAACACACACGTCATCCTGGAAAATGCTTTGCTTCATCTCACTCAGAGTCCGATTTCCAGATGCCCATGCAAGCTCTGATCTTGCCCCCCGAAAAAGCATTGCTGCTCTGGGCCTTGGTGCTTGCTGAACCCAACACAAGCAACCTCGCTCTGAGGAGGCAAACTAAGAGGACCTCATAGGCAACACCGTATTGCATGGCACATTACTGATCAATTGTGTCTGGCAACTTGCAAGGAGAGATGACCCGCGCTTCTGAGACTGCCGCATGTGAAGAGAATAGATACTGGATCGGCCAAACCGATACCCTGAATCCTACATGCATCGCAGGGATGATGACGCGTACTTCTGAGAGATGCCGCATGTGGATAATGAGTCGGCCACACCAAAACTTTAGACCCTGAAAGCATCGCGGGGGAATTTATACGCACTTCTGGGAGATGACGCGGATGAAGTGCAGGTGGCCGGTGAAGCGCGAGGGGTCGGCGCCGCCGAACAGAACCTCGCCAGCTGGCACCGCGTTTGGGTTTGGATCCATCCAGACGCTGAAGACGGGGTCGCGGAGCATGCCCTGCTGGATCATGCGGAAGAATGCCGGCATCTGCCACGCGTCCTTCGCAAGTGCCGGCAGCGCCAGCCCCTGCATGCATGCGCAGTGTCCTGATCAGGCGATCAATTGATTAGTTATATTACCGGATGCGAGAGAGGGAACGCTGCACTACGCGGCGCGGCTGCAGCGCCGGCATGCATGCGCGGCATCCTCATCAGGGGACTTGAATCCCCTTGACTAAGAGAGACTCTTGAGGCAGCCCTTTCTCCAGCAGTACCCCCAAGCACATTGCTGCCTGGACAAGTGTGGCACAAGAAGGCAGCTTGCTAGTGCTACACTCGGCCCTCTGGCAGGGATTCAAAACACAAGGCAAGGGCTAGAGGCCGGTGTGCGCTGTCACAGACAAGGCGAGATCATGGGATGTGGTTGAAATTCTCGTCCAGGCAAAGCATCCCCTCAAATTGAGATTTCTGACACCAAGCAATGAGCACAGGCGCGTGACATGAGCCACAGAAATTTCATGTCGAAGGGATTTTCTTTTTGGATAAATGGATGAGAGTCAGTAAGGGGGCGCGTACAAAGATGCCGTCGCAGGAGGCATTGGTGAAGTCGAGGGAGGACGAATCAGTGAGGCCCAGTGTCTGATTGGTCAGCACCAGGGGTGAGTCAGTGATGGTCAGCGTGTCACTCCCCACATTTCCCCCCACGTGGCCGTTCTTGTATGTGATTGTGAAAGACACACTTGCAGCCTGTGCAGCACAAAAAGTCCCACTATCATCCGCGGACGGGTAAAATCAAACTCTTATTCTAGTGATCAACAACTAGAAGATTTCTGGCATGCACTGAACACCCGCGGGCATTGTACTGGTCATGGCAAGCCATCCAGTAAATGTAGAGTGTCCAATCAATTTAATGTACAAATCAATTCTGCTGCAAAGCCCCACCGTGCAGACCCCAAACAGTAGATACTGCAGTACGGCGTGAGGCAGAAGGTCTGGATGTAGAGTAAGGGGAAAGCACGAACCTGGTAGGTTGAGGAGCTTTTGTATTCGAATTTGGAGTGGCGGTTGCAGGACTCTGTGGTGCATGTCATGGAGGGCACCCACATGCTGGCACTCCCAGTGTCAAAGCACACCGTCAAGTTCTGCGGCGGCGTCCCCACCCCCATTTTCCCATAGTACTGCGCGCACACATTGTACTACACACTTCAGGGATCCTGTCCTCCTTCTGCCCCAGTGAAGCCGATCTCCTTCCTTTGAAGGCCGTCATTGGTGGCTTAAGAGGCAAGTACGAATAATTACTTTTGCAAAAACCCTTGCAGCTCACCAGGACATTCCTCTCTCGCCTGGCGGAGTCTTTGTCTTCTGGGCCTCCCTTGCGATAGAGGCTGACTCTGTGGACGCCCACGTCGTTTGCGCCGTAAGGATCGCTTTCACTCGATACAACTTTCACAGAGGCACAGATAGCCAGCAGGAAGATGGCGGTGCAGGAAAACCCATGCACCCTTGCTCTCCTCTGATCTTCACATCCCGAGGTGCCCCTCGAGCAGCAGGGAGACGCTGGCCTTTCAGATTCGTGATCTATCATCGCTCCTTGAAGACGTTCATCCCAATAGCCATCGTCTGGACCCAAACTGAGGAGCTACGGAGCGCGAGTGGAGTCTCGGAAACAGGCAGGTCTGCGTTTAAGCGGAGGTGAGACACCCAGACAAACCCAGCTCTGAACGAAAGGTTCAGGTCACACAAGATCCGAGAAATTTGATATCACGCTCGTTCCAGCGACTTCCACCTCTTCCTCCTTATCGATCTCAGGTGATTGTGAAATCCGGAACCAGCTTGGAGCTTATGGTCTGCCCTTCGAGGAGTCATCGGGAAGATTCAAATTTCTTCTTTGAACTTCCCAGGGTTACGGTGCTGACGTTCGCCTTGAACAATCAGCAGTCGGGATTCAGGAATTGATGGGTAATTTCCTTCCTTCCTTCCTTCCTTCCTTCAGGAGAGGATACCTGGCAAAACTCTCATCCCTAGAAAATCAAAGATTTCTTCAACGCAATTGCATCTAGAACTCATGAAAGGAGGAGTTAGGTGGACGAATGCATCCCAAGGATGAATGCATGCAAAGATGACGGTCGGTCGAGTGAAACCGGGATCCTTCTATTTTCAGGTCTGGACATTAGTGTTGGAGCTTCATGTAGCAAGGGCCGGCCATGGCTTTGAATACAGATTCAACACCATCATTTTGATCATCAACATCATAATCGTGCCTGCCCCATACGCTGTGCAGCATGACCAGCTTCTGGGTAAACTAGTGCATGGCTCTTGCTGCATGCAAGCACCACTGTAGCACTATCAGTAATCACCGGAGCAAAGTACAACCAGGAAGTCCTCAGAGGCTCTGACTAGCTCTTCCGGCAAAGAAGCAGTAACTCCCCTCTCATGCGGAGGCCACAATCAGGAGTTGGAACACACACAGCCACCTCTTAAGCAACGAAAATATGTACACATCTAATTTTGGGTAACACCCTCTGCCCCAAGCCTAGCGACTATACTTGTGAGGCTCAGAAAGCCATCAGGCCCTGTCATGTTGCTCCCAGCTGCCACGCTGGTGCACCCTCTATTAAAGAGTCTGACGCGATCATAAGACAACATTGATCTGCCTCGCGTGCTTCCCGAGCACATTGCCGATGCACCAGAACATCGGCCATTGCACGCAGACTCCAGAGCAGATCAGTGCCACTTGTCCCGATCCTCAGTGTCATCCTCAGGCATGGGCAGCTTGACACAACTGTCAGTCTGGCTCCACCTAGGATGCTATATCAGTTCAATGTTCCATCCTGCAGCTTGTCACGCGTGCAGGACCCCCTTTGCAGCAGCAGCCTCAGGCCACTGCACAAGGGCCAGCTATCAGTAACAGCGTCCCGGGTTTGACACTACCGGGGGAAACAAGAGTTAAGTAAGGTGCATTCTGTCAACCTGAGGGGGAAGGAATTGCGGCTCACATCCAGCACAGCTGCAGGAGATCGCAAATTCCATCCCCCCTCCCCAAACTTGCTTACGGCCTTGTGGAGAATTCTGTGAGGCGGTACTAAACATTAGCGTTGACTCAAAAGCGTTTGAAAGATACTGTGTGGCACTTTGACTCATCCCCAAAGGGAGACGCATCCCTCTCATGTGAGGGCTTCAGGGCTATGTGCCTGCCTTGAGACTGGGGTCCAGCAAGTAATGGCTCTTCCAAGGGACCCTTAATGGAAACGCTCCCCCTTTTAGATATTTATCAATTAGGTCTGCCATCTGTTGCATGCCGCTAAAACAGCTCCATCACATGAGTGATTGTCCACCTGGCACCTTCAGACCCAGACCATCAAGGGCCAACCTAAAACACTGAAGTGCACTACAAGCCAGCAAAAACAGCTTAATTACCTTGCGCTCTAGATTTGGTGCCACAAGATTTGTGTCCCATTATTGCTCCGGGTGCTGTATCCCCCCGGCACACATTACTGGTAGGGTGATCAGGGGCAGCTAAACTTGCTATGAGTGATCAGCTTACCAGATTGACAGTCCACTGTTTGGACCCCAATCTGGCAGACCTAGTAAGATAGTACAAGTGAGAGCAGAGCAAGCAGCACGCTGGAACAAAGCACAGCACAGGGCTGTGCACAGCTCCTCTCCAGGCAGACCAAGCCTACCCTCACCGAGCCGCTACAACCCCATTACCCTCTACTTTTCCTTTTGCTTTAAGCCACCCTTTCCTTGTACCTCCTGCTTTCCTGTTGGCGGGCTCTGTTTGCTCTCCTTGTACTTGTTGGCGTCCCAGAATTATCATTAGATTTTTTGATTCACATGTACAGCAGCCGCCTCAGAAGGTGGTGGTCTCCTTGTACTCGCTGGCGTCCCAGATCTTGGCCTCAAGTATCAGAGTCCCATCGCAGTCGTGGTCATCTTTGGGCCACGTTACAAAGTCTAGAGTGTCTCCTGTGTGGATCCAGTCCAGGAAGAAGTGCAGCCGCTGCCGCACCGGCGCCGCCTGAGGCCGGTACTCTGCCGCGTGCAGCGTTTCGGCCGCGCCGGTCTTTGCCGGGGTGTGGATCACTGAGAACTCCACCCCGTCTCCGCAGTGCGGGTGCACCTGGTCGAGTACAAGATTATCCTGTCAGAGGAAGTCACTATAAACAGATGATACAGGTACCGACAGGAACTAGAGACCTGGAATTTTGCTGTGCTGCAAGTGCCGCTGCGCATGCAGCACGGCCGGAACATCCCGACTGACTTGTCAAAGATGGGTTTGCCTCAACTGGGCCAATTACGCTGGACCGGCAATGCACCCTCTTTCTATGCACCCTCTTTCCCCAACAGCCACTGTTCTGTGCAGAAAACTATTCTCAGCTCTTATGTCTTGCGGATCTTTCATGCCTGTTGAGGGCTCAGGAGTATCTAAGACTTCAGCGCACCTCTATGGTCAGGGACACCACGACGAGCTTCTGCGTGAAGAAGGAGTCGAAGCGCAGGATGGAGGTGGCTGCGAAGAAGTCTCCGCATGCTGGCTGCTGCTGCTGACTGGACACGCAGGGGTGGAAGATGTGGGAGTGTATATGCGGGAAGCTTGCATTCTGCAGACAACCGCACAGCTTCAGACTCACTTAAATGCCACTTGAAGCTCTCTGCACTGGGACCAGTGACACTTGCATTTGTGGGCGCATTAGAAGCTTAAAACAGCCACATTTTTTAGCCCCCGGAAGAAAGCAGCAACTTGTGCATGGCACGGCATACAGCAGGCACAGCTGCCAGGCATGCAGAAGCCAAGCATTGCTCAATACCCCCTCAAACACAAATGTATCTCTCGAGGCAAATGTTCAGATATTAGAAGATATGTCCAAATGACAGGATCTCACCTCGCTTACAGACCAGCGCCCGTCGGGCAGCTGTCCGGAGGCGTGCGCGAAATACTGCATCGGCCGGAAATCTGCAGTGCTGTCTACGAGGGCGTCCGAGTATCCGAATCGCCACCCTTTATTCCCCTGGACAGGCGCCAGGTCAGCGTAGTAGTCGACCAGTGGGCGGTACTCCGGCGTCAGCTGGTAGCTGCGCATTAGGTAATCGTCCGTCATCAGATTCGCCGCCACCTGTACAAGCACACAGACATCCCATGTCAGCAATGCACCACCAAGATCAATGCTCAAACGGTGCTTCTTGCTGCCTGTTGAATACAAGGAGCTCTCCGGAGACTAACACACCAGGCAGCCTCTGCAATACAAGGCATCTGCACTGCTCTCTTTGATTACAAAAAAATAATAGATCTAATGAAAGCACAAGCGGTGTACACCCGTTTATGCAAAGTAACACCAGGCCTTTGCTCCGGCAGTCCCGCTCGTCGACCCCTGCTTGCATCTTCAAAGAAGCCTCCTCCTCAACTCAAGTCTAGCTCACGTCATTAAGAGTCCCCTGGTTTTAACAAGGTGGCTACATAGGGCAAAGGGATGAGGAGAGGGCAGCGCACCTGGATGTCGAGCATGCGATCGGGGGTCTTGTCGAGGAGGCAGTGGTGCCCGTGGGACGTCCAGTTGGCCAGGCGGAAGGGGACAGCCGGATAGGAGCCCAGGTGCAGCCCCGTCTGCTCCAGCATCAGCGACAGAACCTGCCGCCGCAGAAATGCTTCACCTTCAGCAAGCTGTTTGGTGATCTCTGGCGTATACAGCACCACCATGCCTTCTGCTTGCCACCATACAAATATGGTGTCACGGATGCAAATCAAGCAAGGGAACCTATTCGTGCACGCACTGAAAAACCATACCGCTTCACTGTTTTCTGGGTATACAGTTGTCTCCTTCAGGCCAGCCTGCCAAGAGGAGTAGGGGTTATGGACCCGGCCCAACATGGGAAGCTTCTACCCCAGATCAGTGACATGTCTAATAAAGGAGTATGAGGAACACACCCAGGAGTTGTAGGAGCGGAAGTCGCGCGCGTCGGCGGCGAATGCGGAGCAGAAGGTTGTGCGGCGAATGAGCACTGGCACATTGTCGGTGCAGTTGTCGCTCATCATCCATGGCTCTACCTTGCCCTCGTATATCTGCGCCAGCAGCCATGCACCGCTCAGAGCCTTGTTTCCCTTGTTCCCTTCTGAATGCCAGGATAACACAATACATGCATGCAGCCTGGCACGGCAGACCACGTAGCCCCAGACAACATAGACATGTTTTCTGACAGCAATTGTCTTGATTTCTCAGGCACACTGCTCTAGGCTGCAGCAAAATCTCGTAGGGATTGCCTTCGACAATGGGACTCTGTCCTTCTGTCGTGCTGCCTGACACTCTCACTGTGTCTGCTTTGAAGACAAGCCCCAGTGAAGAGGGCACGTAAAGGGGACGATATCTACCTGCCAGGTGGGCCCTGAAGGGTAGGAGACCCTAACGCCGCGGCCCTTGTACTCGGGGATTTGAGCGCCGAAAGTGAGGCCACCCACAGAGCTGCCGCGAAGCTCACCGACGCTGAGCAGCTTCACCAGCTCGGGCAGCTGCTCGGCGTCGAGAAGCTGGAAGTCGGGCGGGAGCAGCAGCACCGTCGCCGGCACGTCCGGATCCTCGCACCCAATGTCCGAGCACCGCCGCTCGTCGCACACGTGCTCGTACAGCTGCGCCGCACAAAATTCGATCAAATTCAAATCCAAAACCCACTCCTTCACCATACTTTCTATTTAATTTCCATGCATGCATCCAAGTGGGCACTCCTCTAGCTACTGCAGGCATGGCACCCACTTTGTTACAAATTCCCTATTTGAATTACACCCTGCATTCGCAGGGGCACTCTTCCGGCTTCTGCAGGCATGGGACATGAAGCTCGCTTGATGCTGGCCAGAGATATAAAAAAGCACATTTGGCGTTCGAACTCAAATTCTCAAAATGTCAATATATGAATTTGAATTTCGTACCTGCAGCGCGGTCTCGTTGTCGTTGAGGGTCATGACCTCGGCGCGGTTGTCCATGGCGTCCAGCCTGGCGGCCAGCTCAGCGTCCTGACTCAGCGCGCCCGGCAGCTGATTCAGCGCGTAGTCATGGTGCCACTCCAGCCACTGCTGCCGCGCCGCCACTATCCGCGGCGCCAAAACTGGCGGCGCTATGTAGCCCCGCAGCAATGCGTTGCGCATGCAAGGCACCAAGTTGCCCACCTGTGTCATGCAAATTCTTCTGTTGTAAGACAACGTCAGATTATGGCCGGTGTTATCAATATCACTACACTTGTTTCCTGCCAAAAATTAAGGTGCGTCCTGCAGACAAGCTGCAGTTGGCCGGTATGAAGAGTCTTGAATGGGCTTTCAGACAACACTTGGAGGACAAAGGGGCCCTATGTAGTATGGCCATTGCTGCTGTTGCCCCGGGGAGAAAGCTCAACTGCGCAGGTGTCTGCAATTGAGGTGTGATGACCGGCAAAGGGGACATCCCTTTGGCAACAGCTGCTTGCATCCGTCAGGTCTGAGCTGTGACATCCAAAAGACATCACTACTCTGCACTTGGGAGTTTCATGGTGAGGATCAGGGGAATGATGACAGGTGGCCAGGGGTGTGCGCACCGAGGGGAGGCCGCAGAAGAGGTCCTCGTGGGTCTTGGGGTCGATGAGGTCCGAAGCGCCGCCGACGTCAAAGGTCAGCAGGGGCGTTCCCGCCACCGCCACCTCAGCGAGGGTGTAGGGCACGTTCTCCAGGGGCGATGCAAACACCACCAGCATTCCCTCCTGCCCCACCGCCGACATCGCCCGCTGCCTGCGCAGATATTCAACACCCCCATATAAGTCATGCTACAATGCGAATGTCCAGCTGTATTGCTGCAGCCTCCCAGTGCTTGTGTCATGCACAACGGTCTGCGAATAACATCAGGGTGCAGCCCCCGCAGGCTGTAAAGGGCCAGTGCTTATAAAAGAATGCAGCCCAAACTCTTATAGGCAAGACAAGCTTGATAGCGGTGCCAGACGGAGAAGTTAAGGGGCATTGATCCTGAAAACTTCGGGAAAAGAGCTTGGCACAAGCATGTCAGGGCCAAAGACATGAGGGTGGATCAGGTGAACACAAAGGGCGGGCGCACCGGGTGGGGCTGGGCAGGATGTGGGTCTTCCAGGTCCAGTCAGCGGTCCTCTTGCGCAGCCACGGCAGGCTCAGCTTCTGGTCGATCTTGGCCTCTTCGCCGATGATGTGCACCTCGAAGCCGGGCCGCGCGAGGACCGTCTTGGGCAGCTGTTCGACAGCGTCGCAGAACAGCTTGATCCCCTTGGTCTCCTCAAGGGGCGCGTAGAAAGCCAGCTTCCACACCGGCCGCTGCGGCCGCTGCGGAGGCGAGTACTCGGCACCCGGGACCATGCTCGGTATCGCCAGCCTGCGCACAGAATTTTCACATGTCCTTAAATTCGGCTACAAAAGCTTGCAATGCAAAGAGGAACCATATGGACAGCAGGCCGACAAGGACCCCTGAGTTGCCCCTAGCTCGTGCAGTGCGAGGCAATTCTGCGGCGCAGATTTTGCGCAGCTAGTCTCGCTGGTGCAGTCTCACTAAGCCATAGAATCTTGGCAACAATGGCCAGACTTCTCAAGAGCATTGCAGCTTTTGACCAGGCCAGCTCTTGCTCCAGCGAAAACCAGCGCTGGAGTGGCAATGCCAACAAGCACACTGGATTCGATGGCTTTAAAAACACTGAGTGTCAGGCATGCATCGTGCTGAAAGACCGCATCGGCCCAGGAAAGAGTCAAACCTGGAAAAAGATGTCGGATGTGCTTTGTATTGGCAGAAAGAAAGCCAGAAACGGCACCTGTTGTCTGGGAGAGCCCAGGAGCGTTGGCGTAGCCAGGAGGCGATGTAGCGGGTGGAAGAAATTCCGATGTCTGCCATCTCCACCGTCTGCCGCTCCGTGTTGTCCAGACGCAGGCTCATGATGTCCGTCGGCCGCGGCAGCATCCACTGCGCGCATGACACAGCATCGCCGGTCAGACTCACTTTTCACTGTGACAAAGTTGCTGATGCATGCCTGGTCTCACAGCGAGGCATGTATGTCTGGCACGTCTTGCCTTCTCCTTGCATTCTCCTTGCATTCTCCTTGCTCACCCACAACCACCCCCATGCAATGTCATCCTGGGTCCGAGACGGCACTGGGTCCGAGATGGCATTAAGGGTGAGAGGGTCAGAAGAGAAGGGCATGTATTATGGAGCAAAATTATCGATCAGCGCTGGCACTGTGCAATTGCTGACCGGGACAGGGCTACACAGTGACTTGCAGATCATGCAGCTTCTGTGAACAAACGCAAGATTCAAAAAATTTCAGACCAATGAGCCTCAGGTGAATCCTAATGGGTCTCTAGATTGAATTTATTGTGAGGTGCTACTTCAGATATCTGTGCTCACCTGGGTGCGCCAGTAGTGGCCGCCAAAGAGGCTGACAGCGACTCGCAGCCCTGGGCGGAAGCGGCGGAAGTGCGATGCCATCACCAAGTTTTTGAACACCCCGCTCCACTCGTGCACCTGCAGTTTCACCCCCTGCTCTTTAACACTTTCCTTCTTGCGGCTTTCATGCCACACACAGCACGGCCTGTCTAGGAGCTCCCACAGGACAGAGCGTGCAGTGCAGCGGTTGACAGAACAATTCAGTTAAAGGACGCATGATGTCCTCAGTCAAACTACACATGCACTTTTGTCGTGCTCATTGTGACATATATGTAATAATGGGGGGCAAGCCAATGGTGAGCAGGAAAGCGCTGTAACCTGCTCCCTTACATGCAGCAGGCAAAATATCAATAAATGCAATTTGACAGCAGAGAATGGATCAGTAAGTGGCTTGCCTGGACAACGTCACAATCGTGCTGGTGGTCCAGGAGCCAGTTGAGTACGGCGTGACTAAGCTGCTCAAAGGGCTGCGTGTTGACGGTGGCCGGCAGGAAGTGGTCCTGCTGCAGGCACGCATACTGCACCGCCGGATTCAGCTGGTGCTGCGTTGTTGCCATTCGCCCGCATGCCTCCAGATCCTTGCTCGCCCCCAGCAGCGTCACCTGGTGGCAGCAGTGCATGCATTCTCAGCAATTTATATGCTGTTCATAAGCTGGCCTGAAGGGTCAGGAGATGAAGGACTGCCAAGGCTAGTCAAAACAAATGAACTAATGCAAAGATATAGTCATGTAGTGTTGCAGCACATATACCTTGAGGCTGGGGTCGGTGCCGAGGGCAGCGGCGAGGAGGGTGTAAGCAGTGGCGATGGGGCCGGCGTTGGGCAGGCCCTGGAAGTCCGCAGTCAGCAGGCACACTCGCAGCGGAGCCGGCAGCGGCAGCAGCTCGCCGTCGCCGCCGCGCACCGGCAGCCGCACCGGCGCGGCCGCCACCGGGGCGGCCACCGCCGCCATTGCCGCCTCGGCCGGTGCCGGCGCCGGCCGCGGGCCCGGCCCGGGGGCCAGCCGCCGGCCGAGATTTGCCGCCTCGAGCCCCGGTGCCAACACGCCCGCCATCGCTCCTTTGTCGTTATTGTCCAAAACCCCAAGATCGACGGAGGCACGGGCCGCCGGTGCGCCGGTGCCGTGCTGCGCGACGCCGTCGGTGTCGATCGGGAAAAACGGCGCGGCCGCCTGCACGCCAGGTTGCCCGGCGGGCAGCTGCCCGGCCAGCGGGTTGATGCGAAAGGCGGGCGGCACAAGCGCGTTTAGCCTCCGCCGGTGCACCGCTGTGCTGCCGGCTGCGGCCGCGCCGGCCGCGCGCAGCGCAGCCACCGCATTGGGGCCGTCGTGCGGCAGCAGTAGGCGCACGGCAAAGCCGGACAGCAGCGCCAGAATAAACACCGTGATCAGCGGCGCCCAGGGCGCTACCTTGGAGGCCGTGTGCAGCACTCGCTGCCGCCGGCGCGTCCGCCGCGCGCCGCCGATGGTCTTAAAGGCCTCCTGATTCCCCCACGAGAAGCTGCGCCAGCCGCTGTTCAGCCGCTGCACCAGCTGCTGCTGGTGGTCATGCTGCTGCTGGTGCCTCTGCTCTGCCGGCTGCTGCTCTGGCGCGTCAGAATCCTCGTGAGTGTTCTCCACCGACTCAGGATCCGAGCCCCCTCCAGAGATGCTCTCCAAGCGCTGGCGCATCTGCGCGCATGTGGCAGAGTATTTACTTCTCCTCGTCATGATACCCAATTACAGCTCTTCCCTGGCTCCTGACCTCCACAAAGAGACTGTCTGTAGCAAGGAGAGCGACGCGGGGTGTGTATCACCTGTTCGCGCACCCAGCCCTCTGTCCCTGGGGTGTTTTTCTCCATGGAGAGGCTGCGAGCGCCCCTCCTGCGTATAGTCCCGCTTCGCTGTACTAGTTCGACCGTGTCTGAGTAGGTGCGGCCTCCCTCATCTAAGCTCTGGCGCTCTGATTCAGCGGCTTCCCCTGCACCCTCCACGGTGGCTTGCTGCACCTCAGAAGGTTCTGCAAGCCCAGCTGAAAATACTTATAAGTCTGCAAAAGGTGCTGTCGCTCAGCGTTCTCTCTACCACCATCCCCAACAGGCCACTTCCCGTTTTGAAAGAGATGGGCAAAGGGCTGGCTCGAGCGATTTTGGTGTCTTTGCGGGAGCTACAAATGTGGATCCAGCAGCGTTAGATAGAACGTGGGTTACCTGTGAGTGGTGATGTCAACAGGAGTCGATCCCAGATCAGGGTGGAGTTCATGCCCGCGCCCAGGACCGATCCATGCGGAGTGGAGCACTCCTGCGCCACTGCTGTCTCAGAACGCGTGGAAATTGCCTCACTCACTCGTTTGGAAAGCACGAGCAGCCGACGGAGCACGAACAGGCTGCCTGGTTTGCACCTGTGGTCAACCCCGGGTCCGTTGTCCCCAATGAATCATGCACTGCGAGAAGTGATCCTCTGTGCCAACCAGAGCCGGTCTAGCACTGTAAATTGCTGAGACTTGCTTTTCTAGACGGAGATATCAGCGCGTCTTTCCGCCGCGTTCTTTGTTTCGCAGGCGCGCGGTTCTGGTCAGTGCGTCACTTGCCGTTTATCCCTGGTATTCCGAGCGAAATGCGCGCGTATCAATCGTGGAATGTGTTTCGAGATTCAACACGGTCCAACAGACCATCCGAACAGAACTGTGACGACGAAAGTCTTACGCCTAGGAATCGTCACTGATGATCAGTTCCGACTTTCGTGACATCAGAAATGGAATTTGAATTTCGCCGTCCTCTCTGGCGAATCCACGAAAAAGGGAAATTCCCCGAAATTCGTGGCGAAATCCTCTCGGTCTGTGCATGTGGTCCCAGGACCAGCTGAGAACTCTTTCGTTTCTAAGCAGTCAAGAGAGGCACACAAACGTCGCCAATAAGTGTATGAATGCCATGCAAAGCCATTGGAACCAAGCAGGCCTGATCAGCTCATGTGATCACCGAGCTGGCAGCCTATTCTCGCGTTGCCAGTGGCACTAGCCACTGCCAGTGAGTGTGCTCCGAGTAGTCATGCCATGCATAATCATAATGTCATGCCATATGATTGAAATAACTTGCAAACAAAATGGTGAATGATGGTCTTTTTAAAGATATTGAAGCTGCATGAGTATACTGCGTGCACTGCGCACGTGAGATGTTACTAGGTGTCTTAAAACTGGTTCATATTTCTAGGCCTTTGCCTGCCGGCGACCTCAGAGAGGGGTGGGCGAGGCAAAACCCATACCGATCATTGCATTTCACTCAAATCACTTGATCATTACGCAATGCTGCACCGGCTCATGCGTTTCAACATCCACAACTGTCTCATGCCGATATCCTGCGAACACCTCTGCACAAAGATCACGCTTGGTCCTAAGATATGCGCATCGGATCTTAATTGAAGTCCCAACTGGCAGAGTCACGTGCCTAGCAATGCTATGATGAATGGCAATATTCTATGTGCTCCTGAAGCAGACAGATAGTCTGCCTAAACAAAGCTACACTACCGGCACCATTTATCAGTACATACATTCATTTGCATTTCGGACACGTCTCCCGGCACACAATGCGCACTTCGGTCTGGAACAGACCCTTCCGTCTGCCGACAAGCTGCTCTATCTATGGTGAGACAAACATGCATCTTGCCAGACTAGGAACCTCAAATTTTCCCTCCTGAAACTGATGCAGACATAAAACAAGCGCTGAAGTCACCATCAGCTGCCCCCTCTTGTAAAGGGGCAAAAAGACAGCAATGCTGGTCAAGTGAAACCAGCTGGCGACACAGTGCTCAAGGCATCTGTCAATGACACCAGCTGGAAAAAACCTTGGGCTGAAGAATATGTACAGGTCCAAAATTGCCCTTGGCAAAGCCATAGCACACCGAATCACAGATATCAAAAGTAAAAGGCTAGCTTTGATCCTGTAGGTATCAAGCCTAACGTTGGAAATAACTGCAGGGTACAAATGCTTCAGTGTCAACTGCAGTTTGCTGATCTGGAGCCCTGAGCTGACTTGATGCTCGGGCAAACAATGCTCAAAAGAGCTCTGGTGCAAATCCTGATTATATACAGATGCTCAGTCATAAGACATGAATGATCTCAATCTCAAACATGCCATCTCAGGATGGCTTTCTGCGTTCAGAGGTCTTACCAGCCTCCACAGATCCAATCACAGTCCGTAGAACAAAAAAAACTAGCTATTACTCCCATGTAGGACTGTTGGTGCAATGCGCCAAAACTCTCGCTCCGAAAACATCCTATTTGTACTGACTATCACTTGTGTTTAATGCTACAGAAACGCCTCTCGAGCGGCAGCGGCACATGCAGGAGTTGACACATCAGCGCCAGTCACTGCTTCTGCTGAGAGTAAAAGTTATATCATCAGCTCTGCTGTTCACCAGCGGTGCCGTGCTGGCAGGGCCCGAAGCAGATGCCGCGATGGCAGTTGCACATTTGCGGCTCCGAGCAGCTGCCCGGCGGCTGCCCGGGTACGGGCGGGTACGGGCAGCCGTACAGATCGGCAGGCAACGCCATCTGCTTGGTGCCTGACTCCAGCATGACCGGCAGCGTGTCAACTACGTACCTCACCTGCAGAGATCAAACACTGTCCTTCATCTGCATATTCAGTCGTGCCGATGACTAATACCACGAGTGGGTCCCTCTTGCTCAAGAGATCGCGTAAGAGAGAAAGAAGGCGCAGAGCTGCATGCCTCTGCCATGAGCCTCTGCAAGCCATCAAGCATGCTGATGTCTGGATGCAACATGTCATGACTAGGTCCTGCCGTTTATGGACAGTCAGAGGTCTTCCTGCTGCAAAATTCAAAATCAAAACCAAAATCAAAGGCCAAAGTGCGGCAAGAGTTGCAGGGAATGCTCTGGTGCTCACCTCGGGGTAATCGTGCAGGAGCTTGGGGGGTGCGTATGAAAATGTAAAGGCTCCCAGATCAGGATCGCGCTGCAGTGATTCCTTCAGGTAGCACGTCCTCACATCTCCCCGGCCGCCTGTTAAACGGCACAAACACCCTCAGCTCAAGAGTTTTGCCTTTGAGCCCTTCTATTACTACCCTCCCTACAGGCAGGCACATTCCCATGACTAAGTGTAGAGCCTGTGCCAGCCTGACAGTGAATGCAGACATGGGAAACTCGTGTGCAGGGCAAGCTGACCGTGCTGGCTCACAAGCTGCAGTGAGCACCGCTCAGACACAAAGGGCAGACAGGATTTTTTTGTGCATTTGCAGCGCAAGTTGTAGAAAATAGATTCTCTGGACAAAGTCAAAGGTGAGCAGGAAACCAGTGTACCCTGCTGCAAGCGAAAATGCCAAAATTTTCAGTGTGACAAGAGACTTGATGTGGCAGGTGGTGTGGGGCGAGAGCTCTGGCAGTGGGTTTAGTCCTGAATTAGTAATGCAGTGCGTCATGGGGTGAGTCACCTGCTACTCGCGTCCACGCGACGCAGCGGGGGTCCCTCTGGCAGAGGCTGCAGCAGGCGCCCTTATTCGCAGTGTTCTTCACCGCCAGGTAGTGCACTGAGGACAGGTTTGCGTAGCCCAAGTTGTGCGCCAGCACAAAGCACTGATCGGGGTTCCTTGATGGCAACTCCGGCTGCTTGACTCCCATCACCCTCACATTGAGCGCTGCAGCACAGGAACCAGAATTTTCTCAGCAGAAATTTCCCTTAACAGAATTTCCTCCAGCTTTGTGAAGGCAGGAACAGACTGATCAGACAGCATACATTTTGTCAAGTGATTCTTGTGGGATGCATGGCCTGGCATCCAAGTCTGTTGCTGACATTGCTTGCGCGGCATCCTTTGCACCAACACAATGAGACACTGATCAAGCAGCACTCTTTCCTTCTGCTGCACCATGCACTCAACGAGCTGCTTTCTGTGAACTCCCAGAAAGGAAGGGCGCCCAGAATCTTGGATTCGAGTTCAAAGCGAGCACCGTTGTAATCGGTCGTCGGCGGCGGCTGCGGCCGCACGCCGGCGGATCGGCTGGCGCCAGCTGGCGGCCCGGCAGGCTCCGCGAGGCCCTCCACGTCAGCAGGCCGTGTGCGCGCAGTACGCACGACCGGCAGTGGCTCAGAAGTACTCACATCTTCGTCCAAAAGGTTTCCAAGCGCCCCAGTCAGATGGCCCGGATCCTCGGCTCCCATCGCCACTGACTTGACCAGCGTTGCCTGCGCTCCCTGCCATGCACACAAACTCCATGAGCCTCACACAAGCTGCTGCAAGAACACCGTTACCGGCGCTCACTGCCCATTCCCAAGGCATCATGCAAGGAACCTCTGCAGGAAATTAGGCCCCGCCATCACACTGGTGAAAGTAAGGGAGCGGATAACAAGGTCTGGCCTCTATGCTCCTCTGGTCAGGGAGTACAATTCAGGTTCAGGTACACTGTAGCCTGGGGATTCCCTTCATGTGGCTGATGACAAGAGCACGCCTCGCATTTATTCGTCAGATTGAGGGTGACCGGGGGCCCACCTCAGCAGTCTGTCTGGCTTCCAGCCTTGCAGCCATCAGAGCCTGCTCGAAACTGAGCGGCGATGGCGGAGCATTCCCTCCAAAGGCCTGCTTCATTGCGCCGCCGTCCTCGAATTCCATAAGGAAGGGATCCGCCCACGGCGCCTCGGCCCCGGCGATCAGCTCCCAGACCGGCGTTCGATTCCCGGACCTGCGCACCGCCAATCTTTTTTCACAAATCAATCTATTATTTAACTCGAGGTATGGCAGCAAGAATATCACTGTATTGAATGGCTGCGCATGCATCCTGGCTTGACAATCAAAGCTTGCCAGCCTTTGGCTGGGATCAAGCCTGCACCAAGCCAGCAGCAGCGTCAAATGCTCAGGGCTGTCTCAAGATCTGCCTGCTCTGGACAGGCATCTGTCCCATGAACCTCTCGACAGGCAACGGTACGCAATGACACAAACAGCACTCATGCAATATGCTGCTTCTCGCAGGTTTACTATAAAGTAGTCAGGGAGTGGTGCGTACGCTCTGTCATCGGCGACGCGCTGTGCAAAGGCGGCCATCCACTCGGCCAGCAGCTGCTGTTGGCTCGGTGCCGGGGGGCTCTGCTGCGCTGGGGGGCTCTGCGTCGGGGGACTCTGCTGCGCTGGCGGGCTCTGCTGAGTCGGGCTGGTGGTGGCTGCCGGAGTGGGGACCGGGGTGGGGGCCTTGGTGGCCACCGGAGTGGGGACCGGTGTCGGCGGTGGGGTTGTATGGGCCGGTGTGGGGACCGGAGTAGGGGGCTTTGTTGTCGGCGCAGGCGTTGGCACCGGCGTGGGGGGCTTTGTCGTGGGCGCAGGAGTCGGCACTGGTGTCGGGGGCTTTGTTGTCGGCGCAGGCGTCGGCACCGGCGTCGGCGGCTTTGTTGTCGGCACAGGCGTCGGCGGCTTTGTCGTTGGCACTGGCGTGGGAGGCTTGGTAGTCGGCAGCGGCGGTCTTGTTGTCGGTACAGGCGGCTTGGTCGTCGGCACCGGGGGCTTTGTAGTCGGCACCGGCGGCCTTGTTGTGGGCATCGGGGCCGGCGGCTTGGTAGTGACCACCGGCGAGCGAGGCCGCCTTGTGGCCACTGGCGCAGGCGGCTTTGTTGTTGCTACTGGCGGCTTTGTCGTCGCCACTGGCGGCTTTGTTGTCACAGCCGGCGTCGGCGGCTTAGTCACTGCCGGAACAGCTGCCTTGGTTGTCGCCACTGGCGGCTTTGTTATTGCAACAGGCGGCTTGGTTGTCGCCACTGGTGGCTTAGTGACTGCCGGAACAGCTGCCTTGGTTGTCGCCACTGGAGGCTTTGTTGTCGCCACTGGAGGCTTGGTTGTCGCCACTGGCGGCTTAGTGACTGCCGGAACAGCTGCCTTGGTTGTCGCCACTGGAGGCTTGGTTGTCGCCACTGGCGGCTTAGTGACTGCCGGAACAGCTGCCTTGGTTGTCGCCACTGGAGGCTTTGTTGTTGCCACTGGCGGCTTTGTTGTTGCAACCGGGGGCTTTGTGGTCGCCACCGGAGTGGGGGCCTTGGGGGCGCCGGGGCTCGGCGAGGGGCTTGTGCTGACCTTCGTCTGTAGCAGACTCCGCCCAAGTCCCTGCCACACACCAGTCTAACCTCAACACATGCCTTCCATGGAATCAGAAGGGAACAGGAGACCCGAGGCTTCCTTTCATCTGTTGAGGGGACACAGCATGCAGGAGAGCTCAGGGTGTGGACAGCTCTTATACCCAGAGTGTCAACAATAACCATTCCTCTAGAAGCCCCGCATGCAGCAGTGCACCGCATGTTTCCCCGATAATTTTACTTGAGCTCACAGCTGCAGCGGCTTGTAGCAGCCTGCTATCCCTTTAATCACATGATGACGATGATGACATCATGACAGGCAAGGCATGGCAGAGAGATAGCATAAAATGAAGGAGTTTTGAAATGAAGATTCTCACCTGCCCGAGCAGCCGCCGGCCGCGCTTCATCGGCACAATTACCTCCACAGGAACGCCCTTGTTGCCCGGGGGCGGTGCGATGCCGCGGCCGCTCTTTTCGTCGTGCTTGTGGACACTGCTACTAATGTTAGTACCCTCAGCGGCGCGTGCGGCCGCGCGCAGGTCTGCAGAGGTGCCCCCTCCCTCGCCCACATACACCGAGGTGACGTTGGCGCGAGCCGCGTCGGTGACATCAGCGCGGGCCGAGGCGATAACATCAGCCGCGCCTCCGGCGCGGCTGGGTGTTGTGCTGTTTGCCCGGTAGATCTGCGCGGCGCCGTTGCCTTCCAGCTTTGAGGGAGCAGGCGGCTGGGGAGCCCTGCCGCTGCTGCCACTGCTGCTGCTCTTCCTGACCGGCAGGACGAAGTTGGCGTCCGAGTTAGCGGCTGGAGATGAGCTGGCAGCCCCCTGATTTGAGCTGCCGCTGCTGGGGCTGGCGTTGCTGTAGCTGTCTCCGCAGATCTCTGCAAATTCGGGCATCTCGTGTGGTACGCAGAACCCCTGCGCGCACGTCATAGTGTGCCCCTCTCGCGGGTACGCCTGCGAGACAAGCCCATCCAAAAAGTGTCAATGCCCTATTGAAACCTCAGCTCTGATGCACGAGTAGATTGCTAGGACGGGGCTTTAAAAAATTGAGCCAAATTTTGTGAGTCCTGAAATCTCGTGACAATACACTGGCACAGTCAGATTAAGGCTCTTCTGCTTGCACAATCGCGCCTTCAATTGGCCCACGACACTCAGCAGATGCCAACAGTGAGCTTGAAAGGGGGAGTTGGGAATAAAAAGAGGCAGAGGAGGCAGCACCTGCCAGGTTCCGTTGGGCAGGTGACCCAGGGCCAGACCGCCACAGGTGTCCAGGCAGGCCTCGCACATTTCAGACAGCGGCACTGCCGCCAGTCGCCGCGCGCTCGGCTCATCAGATGTGTCATCGAGCGTGGTGCCTGGGTCGCCTGCACGCAAAGATACTATCCACTTCAGACTCTCTGCCATGTTGGCTGTGCCCTCTCCTGTTCTCGCTGATGATGCAATGGCATATAAGCAGGACGTTCAAGTCGCTGCAAATGCAGTTGCGTTTAAGGACAAAGGAATTTGAAAGAGGCCTACCAGGTCGTAGCTGGCCGCTCAGAGCCAGCAGCAGCCCTGTTAGCAGAAGGCAGACGCCTGCGACGCTCCACTGCCAACGCTCGCTCCCTAATTTCTGCTTCCGTTGTGAACTTTTTCTGCCCCCCCGGCTGACAGAATTTGTGGATCCACGATCTGCGTGACGCTCTGTCCTTGGGCTCCTACAGCTGAGCTGCGCGTGTGCCTGGGAAGCTTTTGGCGAGGCCATCTGCCTTTTCGGGGGGCTCTCGTCGGGACTGTGTGGCGTGCAAGGCCCCTCTTCAATTATTCTCGGGTCCACCTGATGTAGGGACGGATCATATCGAGGCGACAGGGGCTGCAGGCACGCATCGGCTGCCTTGAGGGAAAGGCTGGTTAGCATGCTCCCAGCGTCGCCTCCCCTGATCGAACAATACGTAAACGTCCTTCAGCATAGGATAAAATTAAAAGCGAATATTAGACGGTGAATGCCCTCGTGTGGACCCCGGTGCAGGTGGGTCCAAGCAAGCCGTCGTTCGGGAGATGTGAAGAACGTGCTCACTGCCGCCCTTTCAGGCTTGCACGACGCTTCATGGGCATACATAAGGCTGTTATAAAGATGTTACAATTTCCTTGGATAACGGTGCAGGCTTCACCTGGCCCCTTTCTACTTGTCCTGCAGCGAAGGTCGGGGATGGGCCCTTGCTGCCGAGTGCCAGCTCTCACACGTCGGGGCCGTCTCGCACGCTGTCAGTGTACATGAGCTTGCTAAAATCACAAGTCTATTAGCTACAATTCTGCGACAGGCACTCTCACTATCTAATTTCTCGCGAATTTCTCCGAAGGTTCAAGGCTTGATCTCCCAAATTCATATCTCGGGGAAAAGTGTAAATCCGCTCGTGCTGCACGGTTGTATCCCTTTTGCCAGCCACTCAAGTATGGGCTTGATCTCTCACAAGTTAAAGCGGATTTAAAAGGTTTCAGTATTCAACCAAAATTCATGAAAGGTAGTACTTGCGAGCAAGCAAGTCAGGCATGCCATGATTCATGGAATGATGTTACAAAATGCCCTTAGGACATGGTCTTGCAAGCTTGCAAGCACATGTATGAAGAAGGTCAATTTGATACTGAATATTGAAATAGTGAGCCTGATCTAGGAACATGTTAGCATTGTTGCAAGCCATAATCAATTCCCCATGGACACTCCAACACTTCACGTGAGCTTAAGGAACTTGCAGAAATTCCCAATTGGCCGCGGCCGTCAATGGCAAGAAAATCCACTCCATTCCATCCAAAAATGTCGCGTAAAAAACAAGGCCAAGAGCACTTTCCCAGCATTGTGATATCAACCATGTCAAATACTTTCCCAACATCGTGAAGCTTTTGCAAAGTACCTCAAAAAAGATAGTCTCCTTTTCCAGGGCTTTCCTTATCCACGCGTATGACCCTTGATATTGCTACAAGCTGCCATCAACACCCCGGTCAGCAAAACCAACAGAGAAGCAAACGAGTTGCTGCCCTCACACACGATCACAAAGAGCAAAACTGACACAACCTGCAGCTGATGCTATGCTGTGGCGGCCTAGCCAAAGAGGGCCACAAGTTCCCTATCAGTGCAGAGACACAATCCCTGCACAAATCAACCCAAGTATAAGAACCCCAACACCTCTGGGGGGTATGTTTGCCCAGGGTTTAAAAAATGTCAGTCCCAAGGAGAAAGAGCAGGCTGAAAGCAGCAGCTTCTGTGTGCAGCATTCACACATCAGATGAAAAATCATGACATACTGTACTGCTGTACGTACTCATGTACGTACGATGTTTGTAAGTACAGCATTACGGTATGTCATAAGTTTGTCATCATCAGGCGATGGACCCAGCACCAGGGGTCTGTGCATCATTAAACTTCCCAACGTGCTGTAGACCCGGGCCGGTCTCTCTACCCTTATTTTTGCGACCTGTAATCCCAGTCGTTCTCCTGCCTAAAATGGTGCTGCAGGCCCTCAGATATTTTTCTGAGGATTTACGCCCCTCCTGGCAAACATCCCAGGGAGAAATGAGAAGGCTTCACAGACCTCTCAAAAGGATCGGGCCCTTCAAAACAGCATTAATTTGCTGCTCTCTGCCCTGACAACCCCCGCCTAAAGAGCGCGCTCAGGTCCGGCAGGCCCTGGCATTAGCAGCTGCCCTGTATCCCACTGGAGATGACCTGGGCAGGGCCCTTTTGATGAGTACTGATTTTATGTCAGGCAATTTCTGACACCCGCACCTTGTCATAGCGGAGCCTACGGAGGAAATGCATTCGAAAAGAGGTTTGCACCAGATGCTTGAACTTGCAAGTGCAGACGAGGTGCAGGCTACCCCATGTCTTGACCAATGAGAGCTAAAGAGAGCAATGCACTCAACTAGAACACCAGCAGGCAATGCCCACTGTCCTCGTCCATTCAGCTGACTTATTCAGGAGGCTGCACTGCCCCTTTACGGGCAGCGGCAGCGGCGCCAATCTTTGAAGGCAGCCAAGTGACACAACTGCTGGAAGAGTTACTAGTTGCAATGCCGTTCGGGGGCGATCCCTCTCCCGCCAGACCCTCCTGCCGAGGAGCGCGGTTCAGCTGTCTGCGTGACATCAGCGGCAAGCACAGCCGATGATGTCATCACAGGCGACGCTGTTCGCCAGCAATGCCTCCCAGGCAGGACCCGTAGCAGATGCCTTGGTGGCAGTTGCACATCAGTGGAGCAGCGCAGCTGCCCAGCGGCTGCCCGGGTACGGGCGGGTACGGGCAGCCGTACAGTTCGGCAGGCAACGCCATCTGCTTCGTGCCTGACTCCAGCATGACCGGCAATGCATCCACGATGTACCTCACCTGCACATTATTGTGACGTTTAGCCACTCTTCCTTCGTGCAAAATGCAGGAAGCACGCTCACAGAATGTGCACATAGAGTGTCCCAGCAGCTCGTAGCATGAGAGTAAGGGCGCATTGCTATGCATGCACAAGATTGGCAACTGCGGCTTGTAAAGATGTGTGCAGGGCCCTCCCATGAAATGCGGTCATGGTTTCTCCTGGCCTCTAATGCAAACTAGTTCCGGTGGGATAAATGTAAGCGCAGGATAAGGTTAGTCACCTGGGGGTAGTCACGGTGAAGGTAGGGGGGCGCGTAGGAATAGGCATACGTCATGAGGTCCGGGTCTCGCTGCAGGCTGTCCTTCAGGTAACATGTTCTCACATCATCCCTCGCGCCTGCACAACCAGCACCCCTCTTATAAAAACCTTGCTCCCGGACATTTCCTTTTGCACTTGAGCAGCCGCTGGCCCCAGAGGGATGCAAGACAATGCATGATCACAAAGGGCAGCAGAGCAAATGCAAGAAACGCCTGCATTGACATCCCCTTGATGAGCTCTTATGCGCCTGCTTGTGCATCTGAGCGGCTTCTTATTCTGCATCTCAGCAGTCGCCACAAATGCAGCAGGACAGTGCAAGATGCAGCATGTCGACCAGCCTCTGCTGCCTGCCACAGGTGTGGGGCGAGCGCTGTGACAGTGACTTTAGTCATGTGTAAGTAATGCAGTGCGTCATGGGGTGAGTCACCTGCGACTCGCGTCCACGCGATGCAGCGGGGGTCCCTCTGGCAGAGGCTGCAGCAGGCGCCCTTGTTGGCAGTGTTCTTCACCGCCAGGTAGTGCGGGGTGGAGAGATTCGCGTAACCCTGATTGTACGCCAGCACAAAGCACTTCTGCGCCGCCGGTACCAGCTTGTTGGGCAGCGACGGCTGCACCACTCCCATCACCTTCACGTTTAGTCCTGCACCGCCATACGCCACACATGCTCAGCTTCACGGTCCACACGGCTGCAAGACATTCGCTGAGACCGGCACCGCAAGGCCTCTCGAAGAAAAATTTTGGCGAGCAAATTTCATCCATACATTGGGTGTTGCCGGCAAGAACAGATGTGGTGCCTCAGATCAAGAAGCGTCTCCCCAAAACACCACCGTGCTTGAATAGAGCACAAGTTCCGCGGGGCTCCAGTGCACCAATCAAGCAGATGGGTGTAAAGAGTGCAGGACTAAATGATATCGAATGGAAGAGGTGCCATTGTTGGACAGAGCACAAGGTCCCAAAGGGTTCCAGTGGACCCACTCTGTCAGTGATTATCAATGCGCAAGAGTCAATGATCTTGAGCAAAGAAGGTGCGCACCCGAAAAGACGGGGCCGTCCTGCCGCTGCACGCGTGCAAAGGGGCTGGCGCCGGTGGCGGCCGGCTCGGCGAGCGTCTCGTCTGCGCCGCGGACGCGCGCGGTTTTGCGCACCGGGCCGGCGCCGGGTGAGTCAACCTGGAATGAGTCAGCGTCCAGCAGATTGCCCAGCGCCAAATCAGCCGCCACAGACTTGATCATGCTCCTTTGAGCACCCTGCGCGCGCATTAAACCCCCGGTCAGTCAGCACATCACGCTCACGCCACCACACCTTTCTTGATGTATCATAAGCTACACCTAAGATGCCATGTCTCTCTTCACAGCAGGTCGCAGACATATTGAGAGGCTTCCACAGCCTACTCTTATCGCACTCTTTGAGGTCCTGTGCAGGCCCCTCTACTGGTAGGGAAGGACACATCGTGCACAACATGCCCATTTTACAACATTTCCTAGGCTGCCATGTGGAGAGTAGTCAATGCTCCCACCTGGCCAACAGCCTTCCTGGCCTCCAGCCGCGCGGCGAGCAGAGCCTGCTCAAAGGTGACGGGGGGCTCGTTGAAGGCCTGCTTCAGGGCTCCGGGGTCCTCGAATTCCATGAGGAAGGGGTCTGCAAAAGGGGCCTCGGCCGACGCCAGAGTCACCGGCGCCGTGTTGGCGGCCGGCGGCGAGTCGGACTCTAGGGCGAGCCGGGCTGCGAATGCGCGAGTCCACTTGTTGAGCAGCCGCACCTGCTCACGGCCCACGTGCGTCAGCTGCCGCTGGCTCCCCTGCGCGCACCACGCAGCCCCTTGCTTAGTTGATATTATTACCGTACTATCACTGTTATTAAAAAATTTGATTATTTGTTTACACACGATTCCTGCCAGAGGCAAGGTTCATCTGCAGACAAGCTTGCTTAATCGTGACTACTGATCTTCTCCAGCTGAGGAGAAGCGAAAGTCCAAGGCAAGCATGCAGACATCCTCGCAAAACCCATAATCAAGGAAATGTTGGTGCCTATCATGGAAAGCCAGCATTGAGTATTAAAGAGGCAGCAGTTGAGTTGGTTTAGGTAGGCGCCAGTACCCCAAGTTCTTGTAATGCTTTGGCCTGCTCATATTGTTGCTCTCAATTGATTTTCTTTGGGAGGCAGAGACTCTTGGGAGGAGGAAATGCATTGGCAAGCTAGACACAGCCACTCACCGAGACGAGCAGTCTGCGGCCTCTGCGCGACCTAAGGCTCTCCTCCTCTGCCTCCGGTTGCTCTTCCTGCACCTCCTCTTCCCAAGTGCTGTCCCAGTCGCCAGAACATGCACTGGTCAGTTCTGCGGGGGGGTCCGCGGGCACGCAGAAGCCGCCCCGGCACGCCATGGGCTGCCCGGTCCACATCAGCCCCTGCCCGCTGGGCATCAGCCCCTGCCCAAAGGGCAGCGGGTCTAACAGCCGCGCGCATGCGCCGGTGCACGTCTGGCACAGCCTCGAAGTTGCCCCTGGCGACGCCCTGGCCGCCAGATTCACCTCAAGGTGACTGCCTGCGCATCAGCACACGATACTCCTCAGCATCAGTGATGATGCGGTGTGACAAAAAATTCCACCCCATACTGGCCATTTTTGCATCACCACTCGCATACTTTGATGACAGCGGCAGTGCTTCAACACAGCAGTGTGAAGCGCAAAGTGCTGTCCTTCAAGTGAGCAGTCTATTAAGAGGTATTGCAGGCGCCATAAGAAACACAGTCGGTCATGTGCAGGACTTAAATAAGAGGTGAGAGAGACGCAATCCAGATTGAATAGATTGAGGGACAAACCCCACCTCGCCAGGCAGGGCCGCAGCACGCTAGCAGCAGCAGTGTCAGCAGCAGCGCTGCGGGCGATGCAATTTGGCGCCACCGCACCGGCAGCCGCCCGGCAGCGTTCCATGCCTGCTTCTGGCATGTAGACTCCTGGCCTGCCCACTTGCCAGGCTGCCCCGAAAACGGGCTCTGCTCGGCCAAGGAACCTTCACGGCTGCCAGCACAGGGTGACCCCCAATGCTTACTGGGCGGCTCTGCGCACTTTGGGGTGCTGGGCGGCTCGGGCTCCTGTGTGCTGGGCTGCGCTGAGTTCTCTGACATGCGCTGCAGAAGCTGCTCGCGCATGCGAGGCCAGTCCCTGCATGCGGTGAGATATTCGCAGGCTGCCCCTGCTGCATGGTCTGTGGGGGCAGCAGCTGCGTTGCTGGGTGGACTTGCAGCACTCACGTCGTTGGTCTCTGCACATTCAACAGAAAAGATCCTTTAGTGACCAGGTGGATGGGGTACGTTTGTGTGTCACTTGCTGTCAGGATATCAACGATGCCCTTGCAAAATTGGGAGTCTGCAAAGCAGAGATGTTGGATGTGCAGTTGGTGTTTTTAGAGTTAGTAAATATGGTGCATATACTGGATGGCCAGACTCCAAAGAGGGCAGGCTGCTCACCAGCCACTGCTGCTGCGTCCATTTGACTTTGAGCTGTGGCATGCTGCAAGCTCCAAAAGCGCATGCGCAGCTCGTCGCGCAGATTAATGCTACTTTGTGAGGATTCCTCTATCTTTGCGCTCTGGTTTCTTCGGCGCAGGCCGGGTCGATTACTCTTCGCAGGGATATCTAGAGTTTCTACGATCGCTTCTTCCGTTTCTCTCACAGGCGGCAGTATGTTCTTTTGTCCACGAAGCATACTCTGCCTTCTGTAAGCAGATATAAAACCCCAAGCAAGTTTCGTATCTGAAAAACTGTTTTTCGCCCGCGCGCGACCCGGTATCGTCCCTTCGCCGCATGTGTTTGTTTGCCAGTGTACGGCAGGTCCGTTGCTCGCCTCTGTTCACATATAGTCAGCTCTATTGCTGTATACTAGATTTCACATTCATCCGTCTTTTTCAGTAAAGCAATCGTCAAGACCTTACCATCTCGAACGATCTTTGCCGTGAGTTCGTCTGTTCCTTTCTTCTTTCGGACTGATGATGACGCCGATGATGAGGCCAGCACCCGCTTGGTGATCGGAGGAATTTTAAGGGGATTGACCTAGAGCTGTAGGTTCCTGGCAAAATGGCATTGAAGTTGAGGCATTCCTGGTTTTCCCAGAAAATGCCTGGATCTGGCAGGGATGCTTATCAAATCTGCTGCATCAGAGTGCACCAGTCTTTTTGAAGCCTTGCAATTGCAAGCGCTTAAGCTCGAGCTTATCAGTGGAGTGATCATGACCATGCAGTTCACTGATAAGCAGATGGACAATGTCCATTGGACATCTAGATCTGCCACCGTGAATCTGCCATCGTCACGGTAGATCTATGGTAGATCTGCCACCAGTGAGTGGCCTGCCAGCCGCTGGCCTAGCGGGCATGTCTGCACTATTGGACACTATTGTCCCTTGTGCCGCATGTAGATGTCTACACCAGGGAACACCATGTAGACATATTCGAAAGATTGTCCAAATACATATTGAAACCATGGGTAATTAGGCGAGCATTACAAGGTGAAGAACCCGCTCCACAGACAAGGTGCATGCATGATGCAGGTTCCCAACACCAACTCAGCCCAGGGGACTGCACACCAAGAAATCCTCAACGAAAAGTCTGCTGCATACATCAAATAGGCCAGCCAAGATTCTGCGGTGAATGCCAGTCTCCACCCTGAACTTCATTTAAGGACACACTGTTGTCTGTCTCCCCACAACCAACTAGTCACAAAGTGTCTCCTCAACCACAGAAACTTCCGAATGACAAAGAAGAGAGCAGGTTTGATGTGAAATCCAGTGTATTCGAGACAGAGCCACTAGCAGGCCCTCCTGGCACACCACCAATCTCAACAGGCCAGCCAGTCTCTTAGATGAGATGAGGGGTCCTCAACATGCACAGATCCATGCCTGCTATGTCCAAGCGGCAAATCTGACTCACGTGTCCCAAAGAATAGTATTGCTGTAGCTGGGCGTTTGCCAACACTTTAAATCCAGAGATTCCTGCAAGCCTTTTGTATCCATCGAGAGAGTACGATGTACTAAAAAGCCACCAATTGAGGCACACAGGAAGACAGAGATCCATTCCTAATGCAGGCAGGGCCAAGTGCTGCCAGAAGCTCCCACTGCATGCATGATGTACCCTTCGCAAATTTTCAAGAAATAACCTGCAATGCCTTGAGCCTTGGAGTTCGGTGCTGAGAGCATTCTCAACCCTGCTGCCTTCTAGTAGTTCCAGCAAGGCGGCACGCGCGGATGTGCATGCTCTCATGGCATCTAGCGGAACTGCGGAGTCGGCGTGAAGCTGTCCTCGAAGCTTCCTCCGCTGCTGGGCGCCTCTTCCTCCTTCCCCTTGCCACCGCCACCGAACCAGCCGCCAAAGAATCCGCCACCGCCGCCGCTGCTGGAAGGTGTGCTTTTGGGCTCTGCGGTGCTCTCGACTGCTGCTTGAGCAGCCTGCAGCTCCTGCAGTGTGGGTGCTGGCTGGGGGGCACCTGTCCAATTGCAGGGAAAGAGTCAGCTACCGTTGGCATTTGTGGCTTGAGCCCTGTCACTCCACTGTCATTGGTAGCTACTGATTTTGCGAGCCGTAGGTTTATTTGGTTTGAAAGGGCATTGAGGGCCCAAAGGGACATGCACAGACTGGTTCTCACCTTCCGGATTGGCCAAATCTCTTAGGCATTGATTTACGCAGTTTCTTTGCACACAGCGCAGCATAGAGCTCTGCATAGACAACAACACATGCCCAGCACAGGAACACAGGCACTCTGAACTTGCACATGCTCCAATCAGCATGAATCATTCTGAGTGTGGTGCATGCCATGAACACAGCAGATGCAATTTTGCAACCGCGCAAAATAGCAGACATGCGGGTGCATTAACACACATACCCTTTGCATCTGGGGTTGGCAAGGGGGGAATAAGCTGACCTGGCTGGGGCAGGGGGGCGCCTCCGGGGGCCATCTCCATCATGGGAGGGGCCGGGGGTGGCGCAGTTGCGCGCGTCAGCAGGATGCCCAATCCCTCAATCATCGCCAGCAGCACCCCGCCAAACGCCGCCGACTTGGCCGACGAGCGCAAGCCTACACAGGTTTTCAACACACCTCACTTCTCTTATACACCTGCGGAACAGCAAACTGCAAGCAGGCACGGCTTGCTCTTGACCGGGTGATGTGCCGAGCCCTAGTACAGCACGCTGATTCTAAAGACCCCTTACTCATGCAAAGGCTTGAGGCCTCAGTGGGCGGCCTTGGCCTCGACATAGTTTCTCTCTTGGCCATCACAGCATTGATGAAAGCTGTCACGAGCGGTGCAAGTACCCAGTGCTCTCTGGAGGCCAGAGAGCGCTGGGAGGATCCGACAAGGACTTGATGAGACAGAGCATGTCTGATTCCCTGTGCAGGCTGCATTGCATCCTCTGAGACAACCAACCCTTGTCAAAATCATACCGAAAAGGGCCAGCGCGACACATCACATGGTCAACTGTATTATGGATGTCTTGGATGGTGTGCCTGTTCGCAGCTGCACTTGCCATCTCTGTGAAGATGGGGGCAAAGACAAGAACGCCTTCCAGCACAAGCTTAACAGCAGCGCACTGGCGCCAAATCAACTTCTCAAAACTCACATTTAGAATTTGGGGGGTGTGCCTCTTCGCAGTTGCAGTTGCCTCATCTCGCACGACAACGTCTTGCATTTTCCACACCCTCAACAGGAGCGTGGTGGCGCCACATGACATGGTCAATAACAATGTGCACATCTCACTCTGTGACAGCCGAGTCCTGCCACCCAATGCCAACAAACAATCCACGCCACATCAACTGGTCAAACCTCAAAGTTCAGGTGTAAGGGGGGCGTGCCTGTGCGCAGCTGCAGGAAGCCGCCGGTGAGAGCGCCGGCGGCGATGGAATTCCAGGGGTCCTCCTTGTGGCGCAGGGCCACCAGCGTGCAGTCAAAGGTGGAGAACAGGCCGCCCCACACCGCAAAGCTCCCGCCTATCCTCGGCGCCTCCCGCCTGATCGCCTGTGTGTGACAACCGTTGTCAGTACAGGGGTGTGTGGCTGTCCGAAAAGCAGCTCAGCTGCCAACAGAGAGGGCACGAGTGTTTGTGCTAATGTGCCCGCTCTTCGATTAAACAGGCTAATTCATCGCTACTTCAAAAGGAACCCCGCATGTCTGTGATGACAGGTTGTGGCGGACAAGTCAACTCCATTGCTTGACATGTGGTATGAAGTCCACTCTCCCTGAAAAGTGTCTGGAGGTGAGAAAGAATGTGCATGTTGCAAGAGAAAAGAATAAATGATCCAAAGAGTGTGTTTCACATGAGCTGCACACCTCGAGGCCTCCTCGCATCCGCTGGCCGCTGGGGGAGTTCTTGCTGCCCTTGACCAGGTGCCAGATGCCTCCGCCCACTGCCCCCATTCCGAACGCGCCGCCGATGTCCCCGATGATCCTGTATGGACAGGGCTCCCTGCCATGATCCACTCCTGCAATGAACCAGTGTGGCAGCAATTAGACTAGATTGGAATGAATATCCACAAACTCACCACATCCAGACAATCCCGACTATCACCTGTGAGCCTGCCGCACCGTTCAAGAGCCTGCAAAAGTTCCTGCTAGCAGAGTCAGACATTACAGCTATTGATTGTATGGGCTAGGGCGCAGACATGTCAATGCAGGCGAGAATGAATCTCACCTGGTCCTCCAGGCCCTCCTTGTTGTCCTGCTGGAGCCATAGGATGCTAATAATAGGCCGGTAATCTCGCGAATCAGGGCCTGCACAGCTGCCAGCAAGCGTTGCATCAGCATCTAGGACACATGTTAAAACTCTGTCTTGTCTGTGAATGACCATCGTGGAGTGCCACAAGAAGACTCCTACGATGATGTACTAGGTCATCTCCAAGTGCCATTTGCGTTAGTGCAACGTGTTCACACTTCCTTGATACAATGAAAGCAAAATTATCGAATGAATGAATGCGACAACTCCTGACAACAGAGTTACAACAGCAAGTAATATACCTTCGAAAGGATCCTTTTGATGGCACGGCAGCCACTCAAAAGAAGCGGCTGCTCAGCCCTTATGGTAGATCAGAGCAGCGATTGCTATTTGATTGTGTGATCTGCTGTTTAGATCTGTAAAACGCCGCTAGTTGAGCAGTAAGCACTGGTGGCTGAAGCTATATATCAGTCGCAAGCTTCTCTTCTGCCGATTCTGGAGCTGCTGCTTGATAGAATCTCTATAACAAAACTCGTGCTGTTGATCAAAGAGGTATCCAGGAGAGTTGCAGAGCTGCAACGCGCTGTGCGCCAAGAAACCAACCATAGGAAGCCAGAGGTGCAGGTTCCACGACCCTGGCTTCCTTCTAAACCCTACAGAGTTAGCTAACTCTAAACCTACTAATGCTCCTTGTGTAACTCTCTGGTTCTTCCTTTCCCAAGATCCAAGTCGAGTCAAATTGCCTCGTGTATAGGCAATACAAGAAATATTGTTCAGGTTGTACAGCAGCACAGAGAACGCACGCTTACTTACTTTCTGCCTGATCTGTACTAGACATGGATTGGTCCTGGAAGACAGCACTCGTGACAGGGGGAGGATCGGGCATTGGCAGGCATATCTCCCTCGCTTTGGCTAAGAAAGGTTGTAAAGTGACGGTGAGAGCGATAGGACGACCCCTTAGAGCCCCAAGAAACGAATATTGTATTGCGTCATGGGCTAGTCAGTCTGTGATGTGTTACTAAATGTACCTTCTGCATGCCTTGTAGGTGGTGGATATCAGTGAAAATGCTGCTTCATCCACGGTGAGGCACACGATCATCCATTCTTCGAAGTGCAGTGACTGTGCTTAACTTCAGTTCTGCACTGGTGCATGAGTAAGGTCCAGAGAGGAGTCTGAAGAGCAGGTGAAGTACAGGTAGATGAGATCAGGCAGCGTGGAGGAGAGGCAGAGGCAGCACAGTGTGATGTGAGAGATGACTCAGCACAGCAGGCGGTGTTCGAGTTCCACCACCGCAATTTCGGGCGACTTGACTTTGCCATCATCAATGCTGGTATCTTTGAGAAAGGTGCATTGCCTGCTTGGAACCACTGAAGCACCTACGCCGCATGATGATGGACAATGATCCGTTGGGACGAACAAATAGCCGCTGTTGCAACAATTGCATGCGAGAAACCTGCCGCTCTTGGTTGATCTGTGATATTACAAGTACAGCATGCTATATGGCAAGGCATGTCTCTACATGCATGGCCACACAGCACGTTGCATTGGTGTGACATCACACAGCGGTACTAAAAAGGAAACATCATGGAACATCACTGCGGTGCAGGGGACTTTGTGGAATCTGAGGGTACTGACTGGCAGACAACGCTGGACATCAATCTGAGGAGTGCCCTGGTGGGCACGCGGTTGGCTGCCCAGACCATGATCGGGCAGCGCACAAAAGGTACAGCAGGAAGTGTCCATCCTAATCGTTGCTGATGTTATATTATATCCCTGATCCCTTGTTGCGTGTTTTAGCCTGAAAGTATGGGAGTTGAGGTAGGCATTGGTAAGAGTGGTGGTCAGAGTAGAAGGGGAGACTTGGTGCAGGGATGGGCAAGGTACATTGGACACATGCTGAAAGCTGAGTATGATGTGGAATCTGTGCTGCAGGGGTCATTCTGCTCATGGCGTCTGCAGGCGGCCTCTTTCCCATGCCCATTGCGCCAGTGTACGCAGCTTCAAAGGTGACACCATGCATGCGCCTGCCACCATCCAAGCTTTATAATGCAGGAAATAGAAGGTGTAAGGAATGGTGACAGAGTCCATACCTTGACACCAACCAGGAAGCCATCTGATTTCTGCATACTTGAGTGAGATCCGTTTCGTGCCTTTTCTGCATGTTGTTGCTGCGTTAACAGTGTGCTAAGCAACCACCTGCTTCTTGCAATCTCGGACGTGCATGCGCGCGTTTGAAGGCCGGCATATCCTGAGACTGTGATTCTGAGTACACGCTTGCACCTTCAAGGCTTCTTGTGGACTCCTGTCATGTCCTCAAATCAGATGGAGAGGAGCAATCTTTGGTATTGTGCAGGCGGGTTTGGTGCATTTCACGCGCTCGATCGCGCCAAAGTTGGCGGGACAGGGGGTGCGGCTGTGCGCGGTGTGCCCCCAGCCGGTGGACACGCCGATGGTGGCCTCCTGGAAGCATACGGGGCTGCCCCTGCCAGAGACCTTTGACCAGCTGCTCACTCCCGAACGGGTGCGCTGGCAGCAACCTTTCTTCTCACCATATATTATTGTCAAAAGAAATACGCTCTAGTCGGCGCTATGTCTGGAAAGCCGTGGCCAGCCGTCGCTTCCATGCATCTCAATTGAGCTCCTGAAAGGGGCCTGCTGAGTTTTGACGGCCTGAATTGAAGGAAGTTGGAGTTGACTGAAGGGTGGCAGTATTCGTGAAGCAGTGTTGAGCCAGAAGCCTGCGCTGCTTGGGTTGCTGGAAGGCATGGGTACAATAGTCAGGGACTTTTGCAATTGGCAAGCTCTGACAGCATACAATCATCAAGAGGAAAGGTTGTAAAATTGTGCCCATGCAATAAAATCCTGGCTCCTGTACCCTTGGCTAGTCCAGAAAAGACAGCATTCTTCTGCAGCCAGATGACCGACTTGCATGTGACTGTTAGGTGTACGTGGACGATCTGAAAACCCACTTGGGCAACTCATCCCATTGCAACTTTACAGTCGGCCTTTTGGACTTGTCAAGTTTGTTTGCCTTTTCAGGTGGTGGAGGCATCCATGCTGCTGCTGGAGGATGACAGCGCTGTCGGCCGGCTGCTGATGGTCCATGTGAATGGCAAGTTCTACGAGTGGAAGGCACCCAAGGGCAACCTGCAACAAATCCGCGGCACTTCCGTCTCGGGCATGTTCCCTCGCAAGCCTACTCCCAGTCATGAGCCTCCACTGCCTGCTGCCACGTTTGTCTCGTTGTCAGGAAGGATCAGAATGGGAAAGGAAACTCCAAGATGTGCCGCATGCAACAATGAAAAACACTGCTTCCATGTCTGGAGGGGGAGTCCTATGGGTCTATCTCCTGGTGTGGCTTCTAGACAGACACTTGGGTTTGTGAGCGGTTTCATAAGAATATGGTGCTTTGCTGCTTGCAGGTTCTTCATCACCAGCGAGCTCGTCAGGACAGCAGAGTGGACTGGCAGCATGGGCGACTGCCGCAATTCCCTCCCACAGAACCAAAGTCCAGGTCAGCCTCACACATATCTGTTCTCCTTCGCAGAGACTACAAGTGCCCAGCCTCCTATTCCCATCTGCATCTTGTAGTGATACTGTCTCCTCTTGCCTTCACATACCAGAGCAGCGACGTGCAGCTAGTAGCTTGCCTTCTGTGTGCTTTGGTCCCTCTGCCTGTCGGGCTGATCAGCGCTCCCGAATTTGTCACTCTGTCTTGATCAAGCATCCATTGCCACGCCTCAGCAGCTAACATCATAGCTTCCCAACAGGTGCACACATTGTCGACAGACTTCCGGGCGGCTACGCGGATAGCGCGTGAGCCGCTGCCGCCGCAGCTGCCGCCGGGGCACATTCTGGTGAGGCGTGCCTATGCGGGAGTCAACGCCTCCGACCTGAACTACACCGCCGGCCGCTATTTCGGCAGCGCCGCGGCGGCCGAGAAGCGGCTGCCGTTCGACGCTGGCTTTGAATCTGTCGGCGTCGTTGCAGCACTCGGCCCGGGTGTTTCAGGCGAGCTTCACTTCTTTGCAGAATATGTGAAGTTGGAGGTACTGTGATGTTGGCACTAGATATTGTGCCAAATGCATTGCACGTGCTTTGGGCAGTATCGCCAGGGATGTCTATCGGCTGTGGTCTGGCATACTATCACTCCTATGCTGTCCGCTCCCAAGGCACATTTGCTCGCGCGTTGCTTTGCGCCCACTGCCCCCCGAGATCAGCAAGGTGCTGTGCAGATCATTGCAAGTCGCCTTGTTGTTTTTTATTGGCTCGCAAGGCAAGTGGAGGATGGAGCATGTGTACCGTTCTCTGTATACCGGTATTGCTTCATGGTGTGTGCCTGGATGTGCCGCCCTGATTTTGAAATTATGGATACTCCATGGCAATCAATGCACAGCGTTATAGAGGCCGTCGTCATCAGATCCTGTCACACCCTGACCGTACCCTTGAAAAAAATGACATTGGCAGGCTCCGTGAGGTCTCAATCTAGCCTCAGTCACGAGGCAAAGAGCGTTTGCACGTCAGTGAATGCACTTTGTCGGCTGGCGCAGGGCTGAGGGTGGGGGATCCAGTGGCGGAGATGGCGTACGGGGCGTTCAGCGAGTGGGGCATCGTGCCGGCCAAGCATGCGATGCCCGTGCCTGTTCTGGCGCCCGAGGTTATTGCGCTGCTCACCTCCGGCCTCACTGCCTCCATCGGTGCTATCCCCTTTCCTCCTAAATATGCCATTTGTAGGTCTTGGCAGTATGAAGATTGCCGTGAGAAGCGCAAAAGGTTGCTTTTTGCCTGTCCTCTGGCAGGTCCTTGGTTCAAGTAGCAAACATGTAAAATGAAGTAAAAGTGACCAATTAGAAGACGTGTTCCTAACTGGGTGGGTAGGTGCATTGAAAATTATCCCTCACCCTCTTTGTGTAGGCCGTCAGGCTTCCTGACTGCCCAAAGCACGACACAGGTCTGGCATGGAGGCAAAAATGGCAAACATGCCAAACGAGTCCTGGCAAATGCTTGCTGCAGGGCAAGTTTTGAGCAGGCATGGTATGTGTGTGCAGGGCTGGAGCAGATGGGGCGGATGAGGGGCGGGGAGACAGTGTTAGTAACAGCGGCGGCCGGTGGCACGGGGCAGTTTGTGGTGCAGCTGGCCAAGGCGGCAGGGAACACCGTCGTTGCCACGTGCGGCTCCGATGACAAGGCCGCGTTGCTGCGGCGGCTGGGCGTAGATCGCGTCGTGAACTACAGGAAAGAGAACCTGAAGGACGTCCTCAGACGGGAGTTCCCAAAGGTGCACCTTTAGGTATCCAGATTGTTTGATCGAGTCTAGCGTGCATGCAGGCATTTGTCATCAACCAAGCCCAGAAGAGAGGGGATAAATGGTCAATTGGCAGTGCTGTTTTTGGGGGCAGTGAGAGTGCAGCATTTGAAACAAATGGCACCATTTCCAGGACAAAAGAAGCGAAAATGCAATGGAGTGGCTGATGGAAAAGAATGCTACTCAAAGCGGGGCATGTCTGTCATGCGCCGTCAGGACCTTACTAGAGGGTGCTAGATTGTAGCGATTCGCTCACTAGCAAGCCATGGATGAATGTCAGCCTGAATGTATAGAGCATGAACATGCATCGGCGATCAGCTGCACTCCAATTGTAAATGAGGGCTTACTGCTGGGGGCTGTGGCAGGGGATCGATCTGATATGGGAAAGCGTGGGCGGGGAGATGTTCACGACCTGCTCGCGCGCTCTGGCACAGGGGGGCCGGCTCGTGGTCATCGGCATGATGTCCCAGTACAGCGACGGCTGGGCGCCCTCCAAGGTGCTCCCCCCCTTCCTTGTTACCCCCAAGCTGCAGGGCACATGCTTCAAGCTCCTCTCACCCACCTGAAAGAGCAGTTAGGGGGAATTTAAAGCTGGTTTCAGGCGATGTGGGTATGAATTCTTGGGCCTTTGCTTAAAGCAAAGAGGATTGACCGCGACCTGCTTCATTTTTCGTTGGAATGCGTCAATCTTCCATTCCAGAGATCCAGTAGCAGGACATGGTCACCCCTTTGTGTTCTGAGCAAGATCGGTTCTCTCACCCAAATGATCCTGAATACCACTTCAGGTCAAGGCGGCTCCCTGCGGCTGCACACTTGTAATTAGAGTGCAGTTCCAGGCTTCTTCCACTATCTGCGGACTCTAGGCATGACTCTAGACACTAATGAATCAATGACTTTATACTCATTTCAGTAATAGTTGAAATTCGCAAAACTGTAGACATGTGCGGGCATGTGCGCGCAGGTGGCGCCGGGCCTGCCAGAGCTGCTGCTCTGGCGCAGCGCCACTGTGGCGGGCTTCTTCCTGCTGCACTACGCGGCGATGTACAAGAAGCACCTCCAGAAACTGGTGGCCGCCTGGCGCGCTGGCAAGCTGCATGTTGCTCTCGACTCTGGCAAGTTCAGGTGCGCGGCCCTTGGAAAACTGCTATTGCATCACCGATGCTGGCCAGTCAAGGAGTTCTGCCTTGCCTTCCAACGGCACTTTTAGGGAGGCGGCAGTGACGTGCACACAGAAATGCTGGATGGAGCCGAATGACAAATCTGCAACCTTGGCCAAAGTATAAAGGTCAATTGGACTTGATCATCCGGCCAATGGTGCATGTTCGTCATAGCCAGTAAGCCACTGCCAGATTTAGCGCCCAAAAACAAGTTCGGGATGGGCGTGAGAGAATCTCGTGTCAAAATGCCAATGGGGAAAGGTTTAAGTGTGGAATGTTTGATGGGTGCAGGGGCTGCGAGCAGGTGCCCGCTGCCCAAGACAGGCTGCAGTCCGGGCAGAGCATGGGCAAAGTGGTTGTTCAGCTGTCAGCCGATCTGCCGCCCTCTTTGAATGAAGCAACGGCCAAGCTGTGAGCAGATGGGGAGGAGAAACTCTTGCCTGCAGCGTAGCCTTCAGTGAATGTGATCTCATTGAATTCATAAACCTCATGGAATGGCAGATAGGGATAGCAATGGGCAGGTGCTAAAACATGCCCAGAACCGCAATAAAGATTGACTCGTATGAACCGCCATGACTTCTGGCAGCACTACATCAGGAGATGTAAACTATGGCTTTGCAGCAATGCCCGCCTCAGGCTGCGGCCGGCTAGCAGCGCTGCTATGCACGCGCAGCGCCCATTCAGGCTGCGCAGGCATGCCAGACTCTTGTGTATCAGGCGGCAAGACTAGCCTAATAGAGATACGATCAAGTGGTAGGTGAAATGGAGATTTTTCAAGGTCAACCAAAAATATCTTCCGTTGGCCTCTCTGGGAGGGGCGCTACCTCTCAACAAGGACACATGTTCCCAGAGCATCCTACTCTGTCGGGCAAAATCCACTACTTTAGTGGACATGCACTCCACTACATTAGTGGATTTGGCTCTCTTTCTGAGCACGCCCCTTCGGGGCGTGCAATAACAAAAGCAATGCTGCACATCCTTCAGATTTACCTACAACAATCTCAGCATTGCATAGTACCTCCGTCAAGCTAATTATTTCGGTCAAGCCTGTATCTATAGGATCGTGCGCTACTCGTTTCTGCGAAGACAGCAATGCCATTTGCCAGGTTACCGTTGCAAAGTAGGATTTGAAAGGGGGGTGGGACGGCCGCAAATGTTTATGGGAGTAATTTAAACGAATTCTTGAAGTCTTCTGTCGCTGGCCATGTGAGGTTCGCACTTTTGCCGGTTTTTTGGCATCCCCATCCTTGACTTGTTTGGACTCAGCTAATCGAATGTCACGACCATCGACGTGCATGTCTACTTCTTTCGTAGTGACTGCATGCCCTGCCAAGCCAATTCCTTGAAATGAAATGCGTGCAGGCAACACAGAGCGTTCACCTGAATTGAGCACTGATGCACCGGACAGACACTGAAGTCGTCTACAATCTAAACCAACATCAAGTTCAATTGTTCTGGTGAGCGTTACGATCCCTCTGCTGCTGTGAGTAGCCGTGGGTGTCTGCCCTGACCTGGCTTTGCTTGGAATGCCAATCTGATGAGGAGCATCTGGAGAGGACTGTGCACCCCAAAGAGTAGCAAGTAGCCCAGGTGCTTGTAAGGATAGTTGTATCACTTGTACTAGAAGGCATGCTGCTGATGTACTTCTCATTCCTTTAATGTCCTGGTGGATCACTTGCAGAAACCGTTGTGTGATGACTTCATGCAGGACGAATGGTCAGGAACAAGAGGTGGAGGGTCAGTGTCAAGGTGATACCATCAGCCGACACTCCTGCTCTGCTGCAGCCAGGCCGCAGATTTGGGAGGAACCTAGGCAGCACTGTGGCAACATCTGCACCGAGGGGACCCCGGAGGCCGGCCAGCGCCCTTCCATCCTGGCGGATCCCTGCAAGAAACACAGCTCAGCAGGAAGAACAGCAGGATGGCTTTGCAGATGGAGATGGAGAAGCCGCTGCTGCCTATTATCAGCCTCCGCCCTCACGCCGGCGTCTGCGGAAACAGGCAGCTCAAGAGGATAATAGACGGCTGCACCAAGCATGGGATGCGTGCTTTGATGACAATGTATTCAGGAACACATGTTTCCAAGCTGGTCAGCCTGCACGCCAAGCAGCACTGAAGCAGCAGCTGCAGGCAGAGTTTTTGACAGCTGCCAGAGCAGCCCTGCCCGCTTGCAGTCCATGCAGTCAGGCTGGGAGGGTGGGATCAGTGTGGGAGCAGGTGGAGACGATCAGCAGGCTTGTGTATGTCTCGATCAGCGGCAGGACAGAGGTCAGCCCCCCAGCATTCAGGTGTGGCGGGTGCAGTGCCGCCTTCACAGTCGATCCTGTGAGCATGGGATGCTTTCCTGCAACGCCACAGAGGCCGCTGGTTTACTACTCTGGAGCGCTCATGTTGCAGACGCATGAGCTCAGCCTCGCCAGCCCAACCTCAATGGTCGCCTGGACTAGCGCCCTGGAGGAGGTGCACGTCAGGAACGGCTGTGTGCCGTACGGGCAACTGAGTGGCCTGCCCAAAAATATCTGGAGGAACCTCCCAGTGGCGGTCAGACAGTGGCGCAGAATGGACATCGCCACACATGACCTCAACAGGCTTGGCGTGCAGCCCATCTGTTCGGAGGCAGGGCTCAGCGGTGACTCAGACTTGCAGCTCGGCCAGCCGCCGCCGCCCCAGGAGAACACTCAGAGGGAAGCAGCAGCGTCGTCATCGCCACCAGAAATGGAAGCAGGCAGCCTCGCGGCTCAAACTGGCAGAGATGCAGCTGAGGTGGGCCCGGCGACCCAGGAATCTCTGGACAGTCGTGCCTCCGGGGGCCCCACTGTGCAGTGTCCTTGCTGCTTTCGCACTTGCGTGGCAGCCATTGCTGACGCCTGCCTGGGACTCACGCAGCTCAGGGCGGCGGGCAAAGCCTCTGATTTCCTGCAGCCGAAGCTGCCCTATAGCCCCTTCATTGCTGATGAAGAGGTGAAGGCCTTGCTCGCTCAACGGAAGGCCTTGGACCCGGCGGCGCTGGAGCGGCCGGTCTGCTCTCAGTTCGTTGCTGCCACGCCAACCGCCTCAGACACGCAGCTGCGCCTATATGTGCAAGTGAGTCTCCTCGCATTTTTCTGGGATCTTGTTGCGCTTACTGATGTTGGCATGCATCTCATATATCCATGATTTTTTTCTCTTTTTTTCCTGGCCCCGGCTGGCAAGGGTAATACTTGGCAGCACCCTAGCGTGCCTTGCTTCAGGTGGTAAAAATACTGAATACCATGCCCACGGTTGATTGGGTCTTGCTTGGATCTGGCGAGTTCAACAAGGGGTAGGGTTATGGCAGCCTTAAATTGCAGCTCTGCAGGATGTACCTTGCTTGGCAGGAAAGCGTGTAACAAGAAGATGTGCTGGTGCTTTGGAGCCGGTCTGACACTCCCGCATGTGCTTGTGCGTAGGGCGTGGCAGCAGCAGTTTGCCGCCACGGGTATGTTCTCGTGGCGGCAAACCTGTTCACACCGGAGTGCTTTGTTTACTACGAGTTGCTCCTGCAGCGTCTGCTGAAGGAGTTCAAGCCTGAGGAGGGCAAGGATCTGAAGTACTTCTTCATTGACATTGCTTGCCAGTTTGACCCATATTGGCGAAGGTATAATCTTTCGTCCATCATGCCTGGCGTTTACGTCAAGATGTGCCCTGTACAATTATTGCATGGAACAATTTCACTCCTAGTGTCTAGTACTAGTCATGCTATGAGTGTGTGGATTCGTCGGAGTGCACAGCAGCGTCCCCTTTGAATGGTGATGTGTTGTGCTGGCAGGATGGTTCAAGGAAACGTGGAGGGTATGCCTGGCCTGGCAGTGGGGCCGTGGCATGTGAAGGCTCACATTCCGGCATGCCAAGAAAAGTATGGCGCCCGCCGCATGCTAGCGGCAGGAAACTCCTTTGGTGACAACATTGAACAGGCTTGGGCACATTACAGGAAATTTGCACACATCTTGAAGCGCATGGCGACTGCCACGCGGGAGGACTACATGACGGACCTGGTGAGTTCTCCTTTCATATGATGCAAGCTCTTGTAGCCTTGCTCGATGTTGCAGTTTGTAACCCTGTAGGTGCGAGAAGTGACAATGTTGGTCCATGTGCAGGCGATGGCTTGGCAGCGAAAAAAGGAGCGCAGGTTGCCCAAGCAGCTGCTTGAGTGGCATAGGAGGGCTGCTCGACTGCTGGCACAACTGCGGCAGTCCACGGGGGCCCTCAAGCAGGAGATTGCCCAAATCAAAGCCCCCGAGTTGCAGGTAAAATGCACCCCTCCTAGTTGCTGCACCTGTCTCTACTGATTCTCTGGGGAGATGCCATCTTGATATATCCTGCAGTCTGCAATGCTTTGCATGCTCGCTTATTGGCTGATGAATCAGGTGCAGGGTGGCGGTGGCTCAGGAGGCGTCCCATCACCGGCAGGCCAGGATCCTCTCCAAGGCGGCGCTGGTGCAGGCGCAAGTGACGAAGCAGAGGTGTGTTGGTCCTTTTTGAAGGCTCTTCTCTAGCATGGAATAAGTATCAATGGGTATGCTAGTGAGAAGGAGGTGCTCAGAGGACTCAGAGTAAAGAGCTGCCTCAGAAGAAAGTATGCAAGCAGATTGTTTGTTTTGCACGCAGGGGTCTGCCCGGGAGCAGCGGCAGACATCGTCTGAGGGGGCATCAACAAGCGCGCCCACCATCCCGGTGCTGCTCCACTCTGCACCTTCAGTTGGCTGTACTGGTGCTTGTTCATATGACATGATAGGACATTTGACATGTGACTTATGACATGACAGGACAAGACATGACAGGATGTGCATACTGGTGGAGTTTTTGTAAAGAGCAAATGGGATGCACACCTTTGGAAGATACATAAAGATGCATGAATCACTGATGTCAGGATTCTTACTCGCAGGCCCGTCTTACATGGGAGCACCACTACCAAGGCTGCTTGGAGGAGTTGTACGCGCTGGGTGGCAGTGTGACTCTCGCAGCTGAGGGGCAGCAATCGCTCTCCGAGCAAATGCGGCATGAGCACCGCCGAGTCCTTGAGGGCAAGCTGGCAGCGTGGGAGCGCAGGCACCGGGTACAGCTGCGGTGGGTGGAGGCAGACCGGTTGTACCAGGAGATAGGGGGTCAGCGGAAGAGGTTCATGATTCAGCAGCTACATGCTTCCATTGCAGCCAGGTTCGTGGATTACTACGCCCTACAGAGACAGCTGGAGACAGCGGCATATCGTGAGCGCACTAGCCTGAAGCGGTTGCGGCGCCAGATGGAAGCCATCGTGTCCAAAGTCAGCGATGACATCCTTCAGCTGCGGCGCTGGCATGCCGCCCCTGGGGACTATCAGGGAGCGCAGTATGACTGCCAGCGCTTGACCGCCCCTGGCTTGCTCGCGGCAGACACATTGCCGTGGCAGCGACAATCTGCTCAGGCAGGGTTGCTGGCTAGGAAACTGGCCGCGCTGGCGGAGCAGCAGGAGCGCTTGAAGCGGTGCTCCGAAGAGATGACCATCGTGCGGCGTGAGGCCAGGGATATGGTAGTGTTTTATGAGCACTACGCCCAGCAAGTGCAGCAAGCCGCTGGGAGGGGAGAGCGCCGCCTGCCCAGCGCCCGACAAGTTCCCCATGCGGCGGAGCTGGGGGAGGCGGGTGTGCATGCAGCCCTTGAAGCTTTCCAGCTCGGGCAGCAGGTGGTGCTCCTCTCCAAGCTTGAACAGTATCAGCACTTGGGCGGCATGGCAGGCAATGCTGTGGAAGCGCTGCACGCCGACCTCACAAACCTGGACAGCGGCACCAGCTCCGACTCGGACTGGCAGGATGCGCGGTCCGATGCCTCCTCAGACAGCAGCGGCGGCGATGATGAGGACACATAAATATTGGCACATTTGAAAATTTGGCAATGAGCATCTCGCCTTGTCTGCCAATTTTGATGTTCTCGATGCTGTTTCAAACTTTGAAAGTCAGTAGCTTCTATATAGAGTACAGTAATCTTCTATAGAGTACAGTAATCTGATTGTTCTACAATTCATCAGATCCTTTTTGGGAAGGGAGTGCGCTGTGGAATCATCTGCCAATTGGCTCAAAAATCTCAAGATCTCTTAGCAGCTTGTTCTCTCCACACACTTAAAGCAAATAATTAACACAGAGTGCCAGCTTCTTATGTTGTTAATGTAAATATGCATTGCTGTTAAAAATTATCAGTTGTTCAAGCGAAAGGCAGCCTATTGAAACTTCCTGCAACTCTTGCAATTCATGTAGCTCTGAGCAGTGCCTCTCTCTATCTCATATAAGTGTCAAAATGTGATCAATGCCTGTCGTGAATGGAGGTGTCCCTGTCATGTTTTTAAAACTTTGATGAAGGTCCACCAAATTAAATTCGTTGAATTTTATTTTTGGCAGCATATCATAATATTATGATAAAATTATACGGCTAATACTACAAATTAATATTAGTATTAATACTTAAAATTTGTATATATGTACAGGTGTCCACGTTGTTAATAGTTAATAGCATGTTGACTGCCAGCAGCCAAAAAATGAACAGTATGAACCTTGACAAGAATTGCTACTTAGAAAGATTGCCTGCCAGGTTGTGAAGCTTCCTTAGTTAGAGGAAGGCCATGACCCACTGCCCACCATTAATGACAATAAAGACCTTCAGTCTTCAAAAGATTTGTATTGGTTCTAAGAAGATATGTCTGTCATAATGTGATTTTTTGATGACTCTTGGAGAGGTCATGTCAACAGTCGGCAACATGCGCCCATATGGCATGCATGTGACTCTGGACCAGATCCTCAAGGTGTAATTATAGTAAATATCTGGTTAGCTACCTATAGGCTGAGCATGTTGCAGTACCGTCATTGGCTTCACTTTCTACCAAAACCTGGGGGGACTTTAGTGTCCATGCAAGCCTGTGAGTGATCATTCTCATGTCGACAGCTTGTTTGGACCATCCAAATAAATGACCATGATATTAAAATATTTATCAGAAGCCAATTAGCCCTTCAGCTTCAATTAATGTTTAACGAGTCACCCATTGCATGGACTTTATCTCCACATTGTGAATTCGAGTTTCAAGCCTTAATATTTGCAGTGGCTTTAATTCTGCTTTGCAAGAATTATCAGATAAAAAAGAATAATGCATATATTTGACCAATTGGAGCAACAAGGCTTGAAGCCTTGCGAGCCGAGCTTGTTCAATATAATTAAATATAAAATAAATGAATGCAACAATAATATCAATCTGATCTATTGACAACAATATTACACTGTAGAGGCGCCTTCTAGTTATAATCGAGTGATTGCTTTTTAAGAGTACACTGAGGGCAATGGTGTGGCAAATAACTAGTGGGTACCCACTATTCACTTGCTACCAACACCGGTGTTGGGTAGCCATTGTGGCAACTTGCAATTGCCTGAAACGTTGATGCACATGTGTACGTGCCCACTGGCCACGGGCATGGCATGGGTTGCACCTGCAGCACAAGACATGCGTTGCTCATGAGCACATCTCGAGATGCTTGATGCTTTAAAGAAATTTCTCTCAGGTTATAATGTTCGACGGTGGTCCCACTGGAATCTCTTAATGGGTAGCCTTACGCCATTTATACTAGTACTGACCCGATGGCATCATTATGATCATCAGCATGATGCTTAAGGCTCCAAGGCTTTGGCCCGCGGCTTCAACCCGATTTCTACAGCACTTCTACACTTGGATCATACTCTTGCTTTCCTGAGATCTCACCTGTACATGACCAGTGCCCAGTGAATGAGGGCGGTGTGTGCATGCATGGCTCCCGCCTTCAAGGAAGTTCAGTGGTTGAAGATTACTAGGTTTCCTGCACACACAGCCGTGGTGCTTGAAGGAATTTCGAAAACCACACTCTTCGAGAAGGCATTTCAGGGTTTCGTTTGAGCAAGATTACAAAGGTGGCAGGTCCTATGTTCAGAGGTGTGCTGCCCCAACCCTGGACTGCAAAAGCCTCTTCATAGCGTGCGATACCTACAGGGCCGGTCAAGAGACTCTTTCACAAGAATACCATCAATAATCAATATTGAAAGAGTCTAAATATTGACGCTGAGTGCGTGCTGCACGGACAGCACGTCCTCAACCCTGGCGATCTCAGATGGCTGCTCGATGTAAAGAGATGTGCCCATCAAGGAGGGGCACCCACGCTGTGCAGCAAATTGACACCCCAATTCTGTCGCTTGTGGCACATTTGATTGATACACATCGCGTGCGTGTACCATAGCGTGGGTGCCGGCAAGATAAGGGCATCACCTTTGCGCCATCTGATGTGACATGCCGTGTGTCTTTATGCAGCGACCAAGAAGTGCGATGATGCTGAGAAGAATCTTGTAGCAATTCTTCCACGTTCAACATTCTATGTGAGTGGATTTCGACACCGACATCGTAGAGAAACAGCAAGAACGAGCCAGGCTGCTCAATGACAGATGGGGTTAATAATATTATAAGATAGGCTCAGGGGATTTATTTTCTTGCCCTCCACCGCCACTACCTTGTGGCGGTCAGCAGCAGTGCTCTGTCTTCAAGCAGAAGTGCTCCATCCCACTGGCCACTTCAGATTCGAAGGTTGAGCATGTGAGGCAACCGGGAGCAAAATTACCTTACAGATTGTTACATGCATGATATCTGGTTACCGTCATGATTGTTGCGCACATGTGCAGAGAGGGACAAGTGAGTGACTAATATTAGTTGCGTAGAGCGCATGGATGTGCAACGCCTTGTAGTGAGGCAGACTTGGTCACAACCTACTACAGTCCTCATTGCAATATCAAATTTAGGACATAAAAAAAATTGATGCTACATTTGCGTCATGCTCACACGCCAATTCTGACTAAGCTTGAAACTGACTTAGCTTGAAAGTGCAAAGATCACATTGCAAGTCACTCTCCAGCCGCCGGTGGGCGCCTCAGAAAGCGAAGGCACCTCTCGGGAACTGCCACCATCTGATTGCCCCCAATTGCTTCCAAGGGTGTTCTGCCTGCTCTGACTTCATCTGTGTCGCTCAACCATGCCTTCTGGTGTCCAGCCCCAGTTGCGTCTGTGATGGTGAGCCCGCAAATAACACCAAACCCCTCAAGCTCAGCACCGTGGAACCGTGTGCCAGGCCCAATATGCACCACCTCTGCCGTCCCCACTATCCTCCTGTCATCTGTTAGGACATAGACTGTGTCATCTGGCAGAATCTGCACGTCACTGTGCGCGCTCGAATGGCCTCTGGCTTGCGGCGAGGGGTTCAGCTGACATGCCAGCCCTGCGATGACACCCATTGCAGCTTCCATGTTGATCCCAGGGGAGGAAACTTCCAGGGACGGTCGACCTGCGCGCACCAACACACAGCTGCTTACAATCCGCGATTATTACCGCATTCAAGCAATATCTTCCCTAGTGTCTTGCTAGGATGTCAAGCTCAAATTTATTCCTGTTGTTAGTATTACCCAGATGACCCTTAGGTGCGGCACTCTACCACATCATATGTAGCAGGGTGCGTGAGTGACAGGCATGACTCAGGCAAAGGGGCAAGCACAGCATGTGGAGCAGGGTGCGTGAAAGACAGGCATGGCTCAGGCAAAGGGGCAAGCAGACACTTCAGCATTGAGAGACAAGACATGAACAAATCAACTACACCAGCGTATGAGAGCAGTCAGTTGACAAGTTCACAGGAATGACAGAGCAGGATTTTGTACATGCCTGCTGGGCCATCTGCAGAGCGGTAGGAGGAAGCTGGCTCCTCATCGGCAGCGAGCTCCAGAGCAGGATCAAAGAAGACCATGGCGCCAGACAGCGGTGACTGCTCCAAGGCTGACTGCGACTGCTCCGCTGCCGTAGCACTCCCACCTAGACAACACATGCCTGTCGTCAGCTTATTGCTGACAATTACCTGTCGATAAACCTTCGGGGTATGATTCGCATGGCATTATAACTTAGAAACTCACTGTGAGTGGAATCATATAAGCCAGGACAAAGAGAGCCATGATGGCTCCTCACCTTCTCCGGCGCGCGCCGCATTCTGCTCCTCAGCCAGCAACATTGCCAGCGCCACACCAGTTGCAGCCTCTTCGACGTTCATGGGCGAGCTCCCGGCAGCGCCTCCGAGAGCCACCTTCAGCCGTTTTGGATGACAGAGGGCCGCTGCAATGTGCCGGTAGTCGATCACCAGCACAGCCATTTTGGCCGGCGATGCGGCATGCCCCTGCATGCTCAGCCGCACGTTGGGGACTGGCACAGGCTGCGGCGACTCATCTGCCAGCAAGCAGCCGTGCAACGGCGACTGGCTCGCACAAGCTGTGGGCTGCGGCGGCACTTCGCTGGCCTCAGGCAGGACACCCTCTGCCTGCCCTTCTGGCTCTGCTGGGTCACTGTGCTGCTGCGCTGGCTGGTCATCCGCATCTGACTCAGAGAAGAGGTTCCCAACCTCGTCTTCGTCGCCCTCAGTGGGGGGACCCCAAAACTCTGCGGCTCTGGCGGTTGGGCGCCTGAGCCTGCCTCGGCTGCCCCTTCTGGGCCGATTGCTGCCACGCGCCCCGCCTGTGCCGCGGCGGCCACGCTTCCTGCCCCGACCCCGCCCATGCCCTTCCTGCACGCCCCCACCGGTGGCTGCCTCTCCTGCACCCCGTCCCTCCACATCTGCGCGTGCCCCACCGCCTTCCCCTGCCACCGCTGCCTCGGGCTCCCCCTGGCTATCTGTCTGCACGCGCGCCTCGAGGAACCATATCTCCATATGCAGCTGGTTGCCATCGCTGCCTGGCTGCACAGCGCGCACCAAACCAACAGGAGCCTTGGCAGCACGACCCAACTGGGACAAGTTGCGTGCTGGGAACTCCCCGTCGCGGTGCAGCGTGCTTGTGACGGCCCAGAGAGCGACACCAATCGAGGGAGTGCTCTCCCCCAACTGCGGCAGGTAGTGGCACTTGTCGAAGGTCCAGAGCAACTCGTCAATCTGCTTGAGTTTGACCACGGGCAGGCCGCTGCTCACTCCTGCAAACATGTGAGCGCCTCAATTGACTGGCTATCATTCCCTTCCATCAAATCTGCAGAAGTTAAAGCCTTCTCGGGTGTGCAACAGTCACCAGGTGATCAGAGCTTCCAGCTGAGAGCGCCCACTCACCCTTGTTAACAATGGACTTGGCCGCTTCCATCTGAAGCTGTGACTTCTTCGGCGCCTGTAACAACAATAACTTACAATCAGTGTGTTCAGCCAAACTCGCTTTCACTGCACCAGCAGCTTGACAGATGAGAGGCGTTCACAAAGCACATGCAAACATAAGGATCCTCAACAAGATGCCCACCTTCTGCCTTGCTGGTCTTTGCCGTGCCGGTTGGGCTGCGGCCTCAACAGCGGCTGTGATCTCTTCAACCGCCGCCGCACTCGGCTCCAGTCCACCTGCATGACAGCATCCATTAGCTGCCAGCGCATAAGATGTCCAGAGGAAATGGTGAGGACATGTTATTAATTTGCCAGGCATAAGATGTGTAGGCGCTGATCGTTACAGCCATCATGGATAGCTACCTTCTGGATGCTCAAATCTAAGCAGCCCTTCCACCCTGGCGAGCAGCGCGCTTCTGGTGAAGATCACTGGCCGCTGGCCTCTGTCAAGCAGGAACCGCTTCAGCTCTGCAACGGTGGATGAGGCCTTGAGGCTGAACGCAAGCCACCGTTGGACGATGTCCTGCTCGGCTCCCTGAGCGCTGAGCTGCCTGCGGCTGATCCCTGGCTGTGGCGCTTGCGAAGGTCCTGCAGCTTCTGCCTCTGGGGCTGCGGGACCCTGCATGCCGCCTGCTGCAGCTGTGGCGCCCCTCTGCGCCTGTCCTTGGGCTGTCTGGCCTGCCTGAAGTCCACTGGCCTGGAGATACGAGGCTGCCATCACTGTCCTGTTCAGGTTGGGCACTGCTGCCAGCAATCTGCTGGCGCTCTTGCTGAAGCTGACTTTCTGATTGAGGTGTCTCGTTGCAAAGATGGCGGTCGAAGTCGTCCCATTGTCTTCGAGGCGAGCCTGCTGACCACCAATGATGCCTCGAATCTTGCTTGATCGCCTATCGGCTCTCTTCCTCTCCAAGTCGCCGGTCTCTGCCTCTGAACGCAACGCAAAAGTCAGAGTTAGTTACTCTGTGTCAAGGTCATGGGGAGATTCAAAACATAGGTGTTCCCAACCTTCAAAGATGGAGTGCTTATTGAGACCTACCAATCACTCCTTGATGCATGATAAAATTCAACTTATCCTCATTGAGATCCTTGCCCCTGGTTTGGGCTGCAATGACGCAGTCCTCACAGCATTTGTGGGTAATATTTCTGAGCTCTGGATACTTTTCGCTCTCAATCTTCCCGCGAATAGAATAGTAGCCATTAGCTCTGGACAATGCTGAAGGTTCATCTCGGCCAAGGCAGCTCTGATGGAAATATCTGACCCCTGAGTCCACGGCATTGCAACGTTGCAATGGCACCCTTGCCTCTTGTTTGAAGACCCAGTCGGCAACAGCGTCGTGGCCGTATTCGTCCTTTGTCAGACCTTCTGAATAGAATCTGATAATATAATCACAACCTACACAGCGAGTCAAGCGTTCTGAACTTGCGCAGTTCGGATGAAGCTTCTCCTTGTCACTGCCACACTTGTAACACGGGATCCTAGCAATAATAAGTGACATGCTCGGTACAGAAACACATCACTGATCATTCTCCATGCTTACTGACGAAAGGCCTAATTTTTATTACCAAAATGGCATGCTATGGAATGTGTTACCAGGTGGCATGGCCCCTGATTGCCAATAATCCACCACATTAGTAGCGTTTACATCCACTAAAGTAGTGGATTTTGATTACTCGGGTGCCCTGTCCATGGAGCATGTGATCGCGCACGTTTCAGAGGCCGAGGAAAGCACGGAGTGTTTGACTGCGCAATCGCTTGAAAGGCAAACCAACACTGCTTTCACGTTGCTAGTTGATCATCAACACTCGCAAACTTGAAAGGAAGTGTTCTGAAAGCGTGCAGAGTTGTCAGGCACCTCTAGTAATCGACGCTTTTGCACACACACAGCCCATGGAACGTGATCTTAGAACATGCCAGAAAATTTGATATCCCTATTACAATGGGAACGAGAAGTCAGTCTAATGGGGAGATACACAAAACTGCCGTAGTGTCGCCGTTTATAAAGAGTTTTGCAGGTTGGCAGCTTCGTGCCCAGGCAGATTTGTCCACAAGTAATTTTGATACTGCCCTTGAGACCTCACGCTTTATAATATCGAAATATAGTCAAGGATACGGTATATGTGCAGCATGCTTGGCATTCCGAGCAGAATATGACAATTAGCAGTCAGGCTCTAGGTCAAGTTTGCCTGACCGCCAGGCTCCTTCCCACATCCCCCTTTTGGCTGACACTGCTGTCTTGCTCCCACAGGATCAATAGGAGGTGTAGCAGAGGCAGGATGTTTACAGCCGATGGATGTCATCAAAACTCGCCTGCAGCTTGACAAGGCCAAGCAGTACACTGGTGGGAACCTCTCCCTTACATTTTTTGTGGTCAAAGTGCCACAGACTTATTCCTGGACTTGTGATCAGCGCTTCCACTCTCCATGGGAAGAATTCGGCAGCATCAATTTGCAAATTTGCCTGCTGAGAGGGCACGGCGTCACTGCGCAGGCATTGTCAACTGTGGGAAGCAGATCATTGCGCAGGAGGGCGCAAAGTCTCTATGGAAGGGTCTGACCCCCTTTGCGACGCACCTCACGTTGAAATATGCCCTTCGCATGGGCACGAACGCCTTCTACCAGAGCCTTCTCAGAGACCAGGTAGGCTACCAACTTTGGGGAATCTCTCAAGGACGAGGTTGTCATGGAAGGAATAAAAGCAGAGATGGTCCGCACATGGAGACTGGAGCGCGATTGAAAATATATCTAATGTTCATCTGGGTGTGGATTTGCTGCTGCCGTTGAGCGCCCTAGCATCTGGTTTCTGCTTGTTGATAGTTTGATTTGGGCAGGCTATATCACCTGAACGCACATCATTGGCATCACTGGGCGGACGCACGAGTGCGTGTTATATCTCACTCGCGTCCGAGAGACCAAGGCTATTTTGATCATCCCTAATCTCTTACTCGAAGTCTTGATGTGGTGTATCATTCGTGCTGGTGCTGACTAGCTGAGGTCTGCTTGGCAGAGCGGGGCGCTATCGGATGGGCGGAGGTTGGCAGCGGGATTTGCAGCAGGCATCACAGAGGCGCTGATCGTAGTTACACCCTTTGAGGTGGTGAAGATCCGACTCCAGCAGCAGAGGGGGCTCACAAAGGAGCTGCTCCGGTACAAGGTGCCTGGCGCTCTCACTTGGTGACCTGAACGCTCGGACACCCACAAATTCCCAAGTGCTGGAATCCTGGCCGTCATGTCATTGCGCGTGGTAAAGTACAGAACATTTTACACAGGTGCATTGCCTGCAACTTGCCTTCCAGCACGTTTAATTAGTGCAATTGATATGCGTGTACTCGGATGCAACGGGGCCTTGTTCAGAGGCGAGCGCAGTACACTCTCCCCCACCGAATTGTCTGGCCACAGAGAAAAGACAATAAGAATGATAATGTATTGCTCCTAATCCATGGCTACTCCCCACGGCGTTGCGCAAAGCGCTGGCTAGCTCTTCTACTGGAAGAGTGGGACTTAGGTGTGCTGATAGGGAGCTTGTGCATGGCAGGGGCCGGTGCATGCAGCAGACATCTGACTGGACATGTTTCATGGTAGCCTAATATGGCAGGTGCTCCTAATCCTTAATGTTGGAGATGTGTGATCGTGATCTGATACATCTGCAGGGGCCGGTGCATGCAGCGGGGCTGATAGTGAAGGAGGAGGGCATTCTGGGGCTGTGGTCAGGGGCGGCGCCCACAGTAATGCGCAACGGCACCAACCAGATGTGCCTGTTCTGGGCGAAGAACAACTTTGACAGACTCTTCTTCAGCAAGGAGGAGGGGGACGGGCGTACGCTGCAGCCCTGGCAGTCCATGACGTCCGGCTTCTCCGCTGCATGCTTGGGGCCCGTAGCCACGGGGCCCTTCGATGTCATCAAGGTGCGCGCTTGTCACTCACTGCTTGTTAGGCCGCCAGAGAGTTGCGCTAGAGAAAGTAGGACCATAGGGGTGTAATGTTCTGCCCTGATCCAGCCTGAGCTGCTAAGACAGGGGCTGAGGACTTCAGCTTGAAGCCATAGGAAATCACAGATAGAAGACTAGTAGAGACTAAATTTTTATTAAGCAAGTGCCCATGTGCGGATCATCTAAAATGACATGGCTCACAAAGACTGTCTACCGTATCGCTGAGACAGCAGCAGGTTGTAAGTTAGCTGTGTGTTAGCTGTTAGCTGTAACTTAGCTGTATGCTCTGGTGGTGGAGCTGTACTGCGCCACCAAATAGATGACTGGAAGCCAGGCTGAGGCTTTACTGATGAGGCCTGCATGGCATGCAGATATTTTTATATTGTGTCATGCACGTGTGGAGCATCTGGCATTTTAGCTCTGCCGTATTATGACTCCCTGTCAACTTTGTGAAATGAGCAGGGGGAGATGCTAGTAGGAGACCAAGTAAAGCAGGATTCTCTCCTGCTCTCGTCTCTATGTGCCGTGACACTGCAGTGGTTTGTGTGAGGTGTCGTCCCACTACTGAGCCGTTTCCTCCATGCATGCGCAGACTCGGTTGATGGCTCAACAGAAATCGGACGGGCCGGCCAGGTACTCAGGGCTGTTGGATGCGCTCGTGAAAATCCCCCGGGAGGAGGGGTTTTTGGCGTTGTACCGGGGCCTACTGCCGCGGCTGATGCGCATCCCTCCCGGCCAGGCCATTGTGTGGGCTGTCAGCGACCAGATCACCGGCTACTTTGAGCAGCGGCAGCATGAATGATTGAGGCAGTCGTAGAGTGGAGTTGGTAAATTTTAATGAATTACTGACATGTCAGCAGCGCAGCGGTATTGAGCTCGGTATTGCCAGTATTGCGGCAACAAAGCAGGCTGTAGGATAGTGCAGGCCTGTCCTGCATTGCACCGTGACATGAGCTGGTGGTGATTGATATCTTTCCTGGTGTGAGCTGATTGTTGCATGCCTTATACTACGGTATAGTAGGACTTATGCTCTATGATTGAAAAGGGGTTCCGGTATTTGGTCTCCCCTTGCTATTATTGCTGCACACTGAATGTGCATGATTGCAAGCAGTATTCTGCAGAGAAGAAGCATCAGTAGAGATTTCTTGTCGAATATATAGCAGTAATAATGAAGTTTTGATGACGCAAATTCCTTCAAGAGAGCATTGTTTCGGAGCGGTCACCGGTTAACAAGGGGTGTCTGTATAAATTTGCACCACCAAGATAAAAAACGCTCTGTTTTGGCAATCTGTGGAGGCATGGGTAGAGCTGGTGATCTATTCAATTGGCTCAAGTGCAAGTGATCTCCAAATTCTGAACTGCTGTACACCGTCAAGCTGGCCGCTCGCCATGCATGCACGCTAGCTTCCCGTAGCTTCCCACACCCGTAACAGGATGTTCTGATGAGAACTCACAGCAAAATTGGAATGCCTGAGGAATTCGAGCGTAAGTATGCGCCATTGGTCCTGAATGATACATTTGGAAGATCCTCGACAATGGAGACTGAAAGGACAAGGCAATGCCAACGCTGTGTTTGCATACCTTGGCAGTACTCGAGCGTTGGTAATCACCAGAAAATCTTTGGTATATTATACAGCTTGTGCACACTCTGATTCGGTGCCCTGGAACTCTGGAAACTCTGGGTGGGTGTTGCAGGACTGCCATGTGCTCCGGATCCGGATGACCCCAAACTCATCTGCTCTGGCATCTAACGCACTCGAAAGGCTTGAAAAGAGTATTTGGTCGCCTGTGCTATCATCCGGCATCTCAGGTACTCGATTGCTCGTTGTCCAGCAGGTGTTGGTCTTGTTCATCTCAGCAAATGTCTCCTTCGAGTTGCCCACTTCATTCAAAGCCTATCAACTCGACGTCACAATATTGTTACCTATATCTGCAGATGCTGCAGAACGCCAGGCAGCCTATGAAGAAGCAGTTCTGAGGCCGCTGCTGGGCCCTCAATACATCCACAGAGGCCGCCCCTGCCAGCTGCAGCCAGAATTTGCACGCTCTCTCTCAGAACAAGTGGAGGGCACATACAGGAGTCTCTCATTCCAGGCCTGCCTGCTCCCTGACCACACTGTCTTCAGGCAAAGCCCAGAGAGGGCCTCCCTGCATATGGACAGATCAGCAGAGAAATCAAATCGCAGTGCAACTCTTTTAGAGGCTTCGCATGCAAGCAGCAGTCCTGATCCCTGTGGAAATCAAAAAGAGCCTTGTGAGGCGGTAGACGCAGGCACGCTGAGTGTGGAAGTTAAGCCAAAGTGTGGCTTCCTTCCGACTTCAGCCGATATCAAGCCAGAGCAGGACACCAAGAGAAGGGTGCCGCGCTTTCAGCTGCACCAGTGCCTGAAGCTTGAGCAGGTAGCCCTCCTAGGCTCCCAGAAGTTGTCTTGCCTGGCTATTCCAGAACTTCATTTGTCCGTCACCCTGTAGCGCCAGAATTGCTGCTGTTCTTGCTTCATACCAGTGCATCATCATCGAGAGATTTGTCTGCAGGGGAAGATACAGCGCCAGAGCGCCTACAACCCTCTGGATCTCTTCTCAGGAAATTTGGATCGCATGAGAACTGCGCTGATTGCGCTCTTTGAAGAGCAGCAGAACAACCTGCGGCTGTTTGCCGGTGGAGCTCCCGTGCAGCTGCCGCAGGATGGGAGCCTGCCAAGCGGCCCCAAGTTGCAGCAGTTTGGGGGCGTGTTGGGGCTGATAGACCTGCTCTGCATCATCCTGCTCAGAGAAGGTACCAACTGTGCCTCTCTATGCTTAATCCCTGCACGGCTGCTCTGCTGCAAACTTGCTTGCCTGTGTGTGCATGCTAAGCATTGCACAAGTCCTTAGTGGACTGTGCCAATTTTCCGATCAGAACATGCAGTGTAGACAATTTGAAAACACACTCACTTCTGTGAAACGGACAAGATTCTGCTCTTGTGACTCTAGGGGTCTATTTGCAGGTGTCTTGGACCGCATTCTGGCAGTGCAGAAGATGGATGTGCATGACATTGAGGGCATTCATCCTCTCTTAGCTACCCTGCTGCACAGAGAGGCTGAACCGCAGCTGTCACATGACGCACAAGACTGCTGCCAAAACGCCCCCACTGCAAACTCTGGGAATCCTCTGCCTGAGGAAGCCAGGCAGGAGTCAGCTTCAGGCCTCCATGCACCCGGCTACAGGACAGAAACAGAGGAGAGTCAGCAAGAACCGCACAGCGAGCCAGCAGCGGGTGCTAGAGCGCAATTAACGTCCAGTGTAGGCTCAGACCAGGTCAGCGGAGAGCAGGCGCATGCAGGGATGCCGGCAGGCCACAATGGTCCGGTAGAGGATACTCGCAGCGCTGAGCTGGCGCGGCTGCTGAGCGCTGATTGGCCGACGGCCTGCGCTGCGCTGCGCGATTACCTGACCGCTGCCACGGCCAAGGACTGCAGCCTGATGATCACTCTGGCGCCCTTGCAGCCTGCGCCTCGACCACAACAGGAGAGGAGTCGCAGGGCAGAGCCTTCACTTGGCGCTGCAATGGATGTTGCCTCGACGAGCGGAGAGAGACTCATTGGAGGAGGGAGCGGGAGAAAGTCTGGGGGGCAGCTGTATGCAGTTCAGGAGGATCCAGATGTTGGGTCGGTGGTGCAGGATAGTGAGAGTGGGAGGTGGTTCAGGTACAAGGTTGCAGTGGTGGATTTGGACCTCAAGCCTCTCAGCAAGGTTGAGCAGCATTTTGCATTGGACCAGAAGATCCTGGAGTGTGCCCTGCGGACAGGGAAATTTGCCACATGACTATCACTTAGATTTCAGTATAATGCCGAGGCATCCATGATAGCAAGCCCGACTCTGCAGATTTGCTATTGTGATCGATGTGATCGGTCACACACTGAGCCTACCGTAACCTCACAGGCCTTTCTATCATGCTCAGCCACAGAGTCAGAGACATGTAAGCACCCAAACTTGAATGCATCTTGCCAAATGGTGTGTCCTGATCCGGGCGGCAACAATACGAGGACAAACTCTAGATTCTAAGAATTGCACAGATCAGCATCTAGGTCTTACTGTTGCATTTTGCATATACATGTAGCTTGTACTACTCGTCTGCCTGCAGCTGCAGGGATGTCTGGTCGCTCAGACAAGCACACAGTCGAGCTCATAGGTCATGGCATACTGCTTCAAGAACTGCACTGGCAGCAGCGGGTTGCTCTTCTGCAGGTAGAGGACCTTGCGGTCCTTGCACAGCTCATGTAGCTCCCTTGAGAGGGCAGCATAGGCACCCCGCAACAGGCCTGCATTCAGGCCCTGCGCCTTCCAGCCCTGCCAGATTTCAACCGCTGCTGGATCTTCGCACTCATCTCTCTCCATGTGAGCAATGACATGGACGAAGTCTGCAGGATGGATGCTGGCATGGCCAGTACCCTCGCGCTGCACAGACTTCAGCAGCGGCTGGCATGCGGTGCGCTTCTCGGGGTCGGGGTCATTGTGGAGGTTGAGGACCTCGTTTTTCAGAACATCTGCAAGTGCAATATGAAGGAGTCAACCGCCAAGCACTGCATGCCATAAAGTGTCACCGCCAACTTTCACATGTTTCAAATGCTGCCAACCTACTGGCGGGATGCAGGCTCAAGGTGTACATGGCCACCAGGTTGTGATATTGATATGCATACAAGCCAAGCCAACTCCATTATAAGCGGACAGTTCTGGCGCACATCAAATCCCGCGTCATGTTGCTGTACAACTACTTACTATTAGCTGTCGCATATATCATACAATGCCAGGCGACCATGCGGCTGTACTGCATTGCAGGATGTGCAATGGGCAGATGATGTGGTGTGCTGCAGACGTGGCAAACACATGACATGCCGCGATGCAGATGGTGCATGATCCCTGAGTGTTGTCTGCCTGGTACTTCAAGGGCATGTGCACATGCGTGCGCACCTAAAATCCGGCGAGTGTCCACGAGCGCGATGTCGGCAATCATGGCGTCGTACTTCTTCTGCCATTCCTGGTACAGGGCGTCGTACTTCTTCTGCGATTTCTGCAATTCCTGGAGCTCCAGCATGATCAAAGCGCTCGTGGTGTACTCCCATAGCTCTCAAACAGCCTATTGACCTCCTCTGACAGCTGTTGATTCAGTTCAGTTCAGTCTGTTAGAGGAGGTCAACAGGCTGTTTGAGAGCTACGGGGAGTACACCACGAGCGCTTTGATCATGCTGGAGCTCCAGGAATTGCAGAAATCGCAGAAGAAGTACGACGCCTTGGACCAGGAATGAAACGTTCACGGTTTCACCCTTCTTCAGCCCTGCAAGGATGCAGCCGGGTGTTGGGTTGCACATGCAGCAGGTTCATTCGCAGGTACAACCTTTGCGAGACTCCCAGTGATATTGCGTGCACGGCACATTTGTTTAAAAACATTGCATTACTGGTGAACAAACACCCACGAGGCTGCTTAGCTTGCTGCCGGTGCACTTGCTGTTAGAGAAAATGGACTGAACACATTCTCACCCAGAGCAGTCAGCCTGTTGCTCAGCCGCTCCAACATGGCCGCCCTGCGCTCTTTCAGGCTGTCGTGGATTGCTGAGGATGTGTGCAGTGGCACCACAAGGTTTCCAGCTGGGCTATCCCGTGCTGCACTGCCAGCTGCAAGACCACTGCCAGGAACTCTGCTAGCTGACAGTGTGCTGGCCTTTTCTGCGGCGAGCTCAGCGAGGAGGCCAGCAGCCGCAGTCGCGCTCCGGGCAGCAGGCAGCTTCTGCTCTGTCTTGGCCTCCTCTGCTGGAGGCTCAGCGGCCGCCGTCGTGCTCGCGGCAACAGGCGGCTTCTGCTCTGTGCTGGCCTCCTCTGCTGGGGGCCCAGCAGCCGCCGTCGCACTCGCAGCTGTAGGCAGCTTGGGTGCTGCCGGCTTCGTGCTGGCTATCTCTGCAGCGGGCTGCGCGACTGTTGTCACGCTTGAGCCAGAAGCTACCCCTGCTGCAGATTCCTGTTGCAGAGACTCATGCTTGCTTACATGCTGTCTCGGCAGCTGATCAACTGGCTGCTGCCAAAACGCTGACTATTGCAAACGTAGCAACGAATGGTGTTCGCTGTACAAAGAGAAAAACATATACACGCAAAGAGCCAAGAGACTGTCAAGACTGCGTGGCACACCTTCGGAGCCAAGCTGTCCACATGCTCCTCGTTATTCTGGTAGCAGAGGATGCAGCGCTCTTCTTTGTGGAATATTTCATAGGTGTACATCACATGAATGTCTGCAACGTTAGCACCACTTTGGGGCCAGCCACATCCTTGACTCTGTTTAGTGTTGATCTGGCCTTGTACTTGTAGGAGACCAGGCGAACATGGCTGGTCACACGATCTGCAGGAGGGCTGCTGACCAGAGCCCTGTTCCTTGCTAACTCTGCAGCCCGAACTCCGTTAGGGGAAGACTGCTCCATGGTTTCGATGTCAAGCAGAGCAAAAGGCTCAAGTTCAACCTGCTTTGACGTTGTCAATGTGGCAAGCCGATGCTGCTGAATAGCAAAAGGTCGCTGTCACTCCATCTAGCTGACAAGATGGACTTTTCCACTCACTTTCGCATGCTTTCCTTGTTAATCTATCACCAACAGCTTCTTCTCGTCGTCATCTTGCATCGATTTCACGCTCTTCCAGGTCGACTTCCGATTGTCGCTAGACCGGTCACTCAGCTGCTGCGTCATGCATATGCTTGATGAAGATACTGTAATTCTCTCGCTGAGACTCTCAGTGAGGTCAGAACATGTTGTTGCTTTCCAGTGTGGCCTACTACTGCTAATTATCAGAAACACCATGTGTATCGTAAATTCCCGGGCCAGAGCCTGATGCTCATTAATGCAATGCATGGCGCGCAACATGTATGCTTGTCATACCATTGGCCCAATGGTATGACATGACATATGACTCCGGGAGTCATATATGACTCAACATCTCCTGAGGCCCGGAGCCTCATATCTGTCATGTGTCTTACGACATCGCGATTTGAAGAGCTTGCGTTGGATCTAATGTACTCATCTGCACAAGGGCGTCGCGAAGAATAGAATTACAGGATCAATTGAGACAGGCCGTCTCCTAAATCATGAGACACTACACACTCCTCTCAACACCACATTATGCTTGAATCACCAGCTAAAACCAGCTGATGCGTCACAGAAACGTCTGTGCACCAAAACCAACGCTTTCCTTGCTTTGAGACAAACCTGGACCCCTGCAATGACAGAGGCAACCGCCTCACACATTCACCCTAGCCCAGACATGTCAGCCGAGTCCAGCCCTCCTTGCAAACAAAAGGTCAGACAAGTAAATCCCTGCCCTCCAGACGCTAATACCGGTTGGGGCATTCGCCCCACACAGGAACTGTCTCAGGCCACTGCTGTACCAGACACACCCGCATTCTCCAAAGCATGCGCCGGCAGCGGTCCACCAGCATGCGCTACTGCCAGATGAGCCTGCCGGCCGCCAAATCAGCGCCAGGCCGCCGAGTAAGCTCAAGCGCTGTTGCCAGATCAGACTGCAGGCTGCCATGGCAGCGCAAGGCCACGGACTGACCGACCGCATGCGCTGTTGCCAGATCAGGCTCAGTGCTGCCACGTCATTGCCAAGTCAGCGCCATGTCAGCAGCTCAGAGCTCGTCGTGGTCGCCGAGGTCATCGTCGTCGTCGCCACCGGGAGCGCCGCCGCCGGAGGCAGCGTAGGCGGCGGAGACGACGGGGTTGCACACATCCTCGACCTCCTTCAGCTTGTCCTTGTACTCCTCCTCCTCCGCGTCCTGATTGTCGTCCATCCACTCCAGCGCCTCGTCCACCGCCGCCTTCACCTGCGGCCATGAGCACCACTGGCGCTCAGGAAAAGTTGCTGGCAAGACAGTGGCTGGCAGGCTTGAACCACGCAAACATCATGTGTGCTCAGGAAAAAAAAGCAAAACCAAGGACACTTCCTACTGTGCTTGCTCTTGACGGCATGCAGCCCTTCTGAATGGGCAGGACATATGGCAAGACAAGGGGGATGTCCCATTGACTACAAATTGCCATTTCCCATGTCTTGTTCTGCAGATTACCTTCTGGCCAGCCAAGAGGAATATGGCCAGAAGGCAACCTGGAGACAAATGGACTGAGCTGGCAGAACGCAGACATGAGAGACCTCTGCCCGAGAGAGAATGCTGTCCTCCGAGGACCAGTTGAGAGCTCACAGAAGGCCACAAGGATAGAGGATGAAGAGGCAAAGAGCGCGCACCTTCTCCTTGTCGTCCTCTTCGAGCTTGTCCCCAAGCTTGTCCTCGATCGTCTGCTTCATGTTGTAGCAGTAGGTCTCGAGAGCGTTACGCGCGTCCACCTTGGCCTTGACGGCCTTGTCCTGCTCGGCAAACTCCTCCGCCTCCTGCACCATCCGCTCGATGTCCTCCTGGCTCAGCCGCCCCTTGTCGTTCGTTATCGTAATCTTCTCCCGCTTGCCTGCGCGCGCACACACAGAAACATGTCAGAACGACGGTCACTCAGAACAGCAAACGCACTTTGTGTTTGCGGTCCCTTGCGCTGCCGATTGATTACGATTTCACCCTCTGAGAAGGCCTTCCATAAAAAATGGATGGTCTGCCACTGCCAAGGTTGCTGCGCAGGCAGGAATGCAGCCAGTGATATATTGTTTCTGGTGGCTCACTAATTGCCTCGGCGTCACACCACGGCACCTCCCAATCAAGAACTCACGCCCAGAGAGACATCATACTTAAATAGCAAAGGCAGAACGGGTTTCAGTCAATAGATCTGTGCTGGAATGTATATCATAACAAACAAGGAATACCTGTATGTTTAATACTTATTATTGCTGAACACTTCCTCTTGCTCATTCTCTACTGACACTTCCTGTTCTGCATTTTCGAAACAGCAGTTGAAAAGCACGCACCGGTTCCCTTGTCCTCAGCGCCGACGTTGAGGATGCCATTGGCGTCGATCTCAAAGGTGACCTCAATCTGCGGCACGCCGCGTGGCGCGGGAGGGATGCCGGTCAAGTCAAACTGGCCCAGCTTATGGTTGTCCTTTGTCATCGTCCGCTCACCCTCAAACACCTGTGTAAAGCCAGTAGTACAAACTTCAGGAGGCGTGCACTTTAAGCTATCAAAAATCCCAGCAAACTTCTGTGAATCGTCCAGATAACACTAGTGACAAGGCTCATTCATACACATTGCACTGCAACAGGTTGTGCTAGCAGCAACAGCCTCCTGTATTATCTGTACAGTATCGTGGCCTGATGGCTCTACAGTCACTCGAGTTATGTAAGCCCGTGCAACAGGTTGATTATTCCATTGTCGCCGGCACCAAGTAGAACACCTAATCGCGACAGCTGGCACAGTGATGGAAAGGGGTGCAGGGGCTGACCTGGATGGAGACGGTGGACTGCTGGTCCTGGTAGGTGGTGAAGGTCTGGGACTTCTTGGTGGGGATGACGGTGTTGCGCGGGATGAGCTTGGTCATGACGCCCCCCACCGTCTCAATGCCCATGGACAGCGGGCACACATCCAGCAGCAGGATGTCCTTCACCTGCACGCGTGCAAATACACACGATCGCACCCAGCCTCTTGAGCATTTCAATCCCAACCCGACTTCTTGACAGAGGCAGACTGCATGCAGCAGCAAGCTGCACAGGCACAGCTCAGTGCAGCAAGAACTTCCACCCCAGGACACCTTTCTACCGAACCAGATTCACCGCAGTCTTGGTTTCGACTGCAGAGTGTAGTGATCCTGGCTAAGGACCTTATAGGATGCTGTCCAACAGTAGCTAAAGCCACCCTATCACTTGAGTTGCCATAACACTTCTCGCTGCTATCTTGGGAGCTTCAAGGATGACATGTGTAAATTCTAAAAGAAACTATACACAAAACCAGGCAGGGTAGTCCAGTAAGTCCAGTACTTTAAAAATATTTTATAAAGTTATATTTTGAAAGGCATACCTCATCACCGCCCTCGCCGGAGAGGATGCCACCCTGGACGGCTGCGCCGTAGGCGACGGCCTCATCGGGGTTGACACCCTTGTTGGGCTCCTTGCCATTGAAGTAGTCCTTGATCAACTGCTGCACCTTGGGGATGCGCGTGGAGCCGCCCACCAGCACGATCTCATTGATCTCCTCCTGCTCACCCCAACATCAACAGTCATTCGGCCGTCACATTGCATCACTTCACACAAGGCATGCATGCATGAGGCGTGACATGTGTGCAACACTGCTGTCTCTGTCCTCATGTAATGAGAAGGCCCACATGCAAAGGAAGTTTTCAAGACATGAGGTACACACTGACACATCCTGACATTCTGCAGTGCCCAGAAAGTGTATGCAACAAAATGGGTCAGGGGTTTACTGCCGGTGTGGAAGTGTATCAAAATTGCAGGCGGGCAAGGGCACCTTTTTGAGGTCGGCGTCCTCCATGGCCTTCTTGACGGGGCCCAGCGTCTTCTTGAAGAGGTCGCTGTTGAGCTCCTCGAAACGCGCGCGCGTCAGCGGCTCGCTCAGGTCCACCCCGTCCGCCAGCGACTCAATCTCCACACGCACCTGCACAATTGTTTTGACAGGACAGATCAGGGACACGGCAAACCAAAGCTTTACGATTGCAGATGATTATCAAAATATGACCCACAAGCAACATTGAGGTTCCACAGCATTGCAGTATCAAATACCACCGCTGCAAGCATTTCGTAAAAGCTCAAGCACAGAATTGTACTGGAGTGGCTTCAGAGTTCTGCCCAGGTCGTTGTTACTAAGAACAATCTGGCACCACCAAGACACCAAAACATCATTCTGTGGACGAGCTATGCCAGAGCCGCCATGTTATAGAACAAAACCGAAACAATGAATTGCCCAGGAGCCAAGCGAGCTCCTATTACAACAAGTAACCACAAGGCAAAGGAACATGAAACATTTGTGCGCCAAGCAAGCTCCTATCCCAGCAAAAAAAATGGTGAAAAAAGAGGTTGGCACCTGATGCTGGGATGAGAGGGCGCGCTTGGCGCGCTCGGCCTCGCGGCGCAGCTTCTGGAGGGCACGGTTATCCTTGCTGATGTCCACCTTGTACTTCTTCTTGATCAGCTTGATGAAGTAGTCCATCACGCGGTGGTCAAAGTCCTCTCCGCCCAAGTGCGTGTCGCCGCTGGTGGAAATCACCTGCGCTCCATTTGCTCAATTTTCAACCACTGCCCACAAATGCTCATCCATCACAACATCCAGCTTGTTTCCAGGCAACGCCCCAAGTATTAGAGCACAGGCCAGAATTGTGCAAGAGCGAAAAGGCTTAGATGAAAGCCTTCACTGGGGAAGCAAGCTGCCTGAATACTAGTGCAGACAGCCTCGGAGATACACCATCCTTCCTCAATTCTTCTCTCAGGTTATTCCTGAAGTCCATCCTTCCTCACTAGTTCCTTTGCTAGAGTTCTATAATGCCACAACAGTGTTTGGAGAGAGGAGAGTGGAAGGGCGCGCACCTCGAAGACACCGTTGTCGATGGTGAGGATGGAGACATCGAAGGTGCCGCCGCCCAAGTCAAAGACGAGGATGTTCTGCTCGGCGCCCTTCTTGTCCAGGCCGTACGCGATTGCCGCCGCCGTGGGCTCGTTGATGATGCGCACAACGTTCAGGCCAGCAATCACACCTGTTCAGGCGCAGCACACAGGCAGTCAGAAGCTGTTGTCATCAAGCATCAGACCCCCCCGTTGTTGGAAGTGAAGGGGACAAAAGGCCCAAGCAGGAGTCATCTGTCAGGCCGCAACAGCTCCCACAATGGCACCCACAGCAGGGAACAAGGCCAGGAAGACTGCCAGTCTGGAAACATCGTGAAAAGGCATGCCTGATGCCTTTTGACAGGTACTGCAACACTGACAGCTGCATGCCCTTGGCCTGAGAAATGAAGATGTTCCAAGATGTAGCAGCTGAGCTTACCGGCGTCCTTGGTGGCCTGACGCTGGGCGTCGTTGAAGTAGGCAGGGACAGTGACCACCGCATTCTTGATGGTCTTGCCCAGGTACGCCTCGGCCGTGTCCTTCATCTTTGTCAGGATCATGGCGCTGATCTCCTCTGGCGAGAAGGTCTGCACACGAGGCATCCGCACCTCAGCCTCTGGGCATACTGTTTGCTGAATACTAGATCCACAAAGCGTCTTCGCTTCTGCAAAACATGCATGCAGGCTTGATGTCAGCTGGTGAAGTGGTGATGGTAATCAGGTTGCCTGATGGGGGAGTATTCACCTTCTTCTCATCGCTGATGGTGACCTCCACGTAGGGCTTGGCGGCCTTGTCCACCACCTTGTACGACACCATCTTGGCATCTCGCTGCACCTCCTTGTCCTTGAACCTGCAGCAGAGATCACAGATCAAACATTTAACAAGGAAACGCTATACCCTGAATAAACCCAGAGATCCACTGCGCAAGACTGCCATGCGAGCGATCACGTGTATTTCTGATGACAATTGACAGCACTCAGTGCATTCCTGACTTTTGCGGTGGCTGCGCCCACAAGCCAATCAGAGGGGCGTCACAAACGCGCCCTTGGCTTCCTTGTCACTGCCCTGGGTTGATATAAGAGCTATGCTTTCTAAGAGCAGATACTGGAGACAGAACGCACTTGCGACCGATGAGGCGCTTGACATCGTAGACCGTTCTGTCGGGGTTGGTGGTGGCCTGGTTCTTCGCGGCATCTCCTATCAAGCGCTCGGAGTCCGTGAAAGCCACGTACGAGGGTGTGATGCGGTTACCCTGGTCGTTGGCGATGATCTCAACCCGCCCGTTCTTGTAGACACCCACGCAGGAGTACGTGGTGCCAAGATCAATGCCTATCACAGTCCCCAAGCTCTCTGTGCTGGGCGCCTCCTCCGCCATGGCCAACATTCCCCATGCCGCCACCGAGACGGCTGTAAAAATTCCCAAACAACCCGCGTCAGAGACAGGCCTTGTCTTGCAGCAGGGAGCCAAGCAAAGGCAGTGCAGACCAAGTCAACACAATCACTCACCGAGCAGGCACAGAAGGCCCGCCATTTTTCTCATCATGAGTCCTTGCGATGCGTCCTGTTCTATTCAATGCTTCAACAATCCCTGAAGGCGAACTGGGTACTTCTCAGACAACTGATCACAACCTTCTGATGCCCAACTTCCCGGGCTTTTGCTGTTGCAGACCCGGCTCCCAGTACTTAAGCGCTGTGTTGACCCGTGGTGCTGGCAGAGCGTGCACGGAGGCCTCTGATTGGCTGAGAGGCCTGACCCCCACATTTCAAATCAGGCGTATCCTTGAGACCCGCTCCACCCTAAAAACTGAATACCTCGGCTTCGCCTTGGAGATTCGGGAGTGCAAAATGAAGAAATGTGGGGGGATCCGGACCCCCCGCAGGCTTGAGCGGGAACGGCAAGGGGAAGTCTAGACGTTTCGGCTGGGAGTGAAGAAGCCAAAGCGGGTGTGAGGTAGAACAGGAAAGATGCGTGGTCCCCGTGTGGCTGCGATCGCGCTGCTGGCGTGCCTGGCGGTCGCCGGTTTCTCAGGTGCGGGGTGCAATTTGGTGGACGCCTTGGACGTGATCTGTGTTCCCACCTGCCAAGCCTCTGTTTCGCTACACCTGTGAATTCTGTTCTGTTAGCTATGTACGACCATGGTGCCTTCGATGCCGAATGGGGTCCGTTCGGGCATTCTGTGGTTACGATCGGCCATCTGTGCTTGATTAGCACCTGTGCAAGGAAACAGCAAGAGAAAATAGTGCCCTGAGGATGCGCACAGCAAGACATGGTATCATCATAATAATATGTTCCTTTGAGTGGTGCAGGTATCAGCATTCATGCAGTCGCGGAAACAGCAGATCAAGCTGCTGCATCAGGGTGAGTGCGCTTTCCCAGCGCTATTTTGCACTGATCGTATCAAGCTCCTTGCCAGATAAATGTTGGTTTTGTGGATAGTGTTCCTTGGCAAACCAAACAGAACGATTCTTCAGTGCATGCCGATAGCTTGATCACATCCCTCTCTGCCTTCCACAGGACTGAGGCACCGAAGATCTTTGCGCCCAAGGAAGGAGCAGAGAAGTTCACCTTCCAGGCGGAGGTCAACAGGCTGATGGACATCCTCATCCACTCCCTCTACTCCAACAAGGTTGGCCTGGGTCCACTGGTTTCTTGCAAGCCTTGGTTTTTCCGGATATCTGCAAGCAAACAGGGCATCCAATCTGCTAAAGCATGTTTTTGCGATTGCCAGGCTGGCCTCTTGATGTGCCAGCCTGTTGCTGAGCAATTCATCGTGACTTCTATAAGACGTAAGGCACCCTTCACAACCTTGTGCTATAATCATTGTTTCCAACTCCTGTTTGGCTTGTGCACACAGGAAATCTTCCTCAGAGAGCTGATCTCCAATGCGGCAGATGCGCTGGACAAGATCCGCTTCCTGTCCCTGACAGACAAGGGGCAGCTAGGGGAGACGTCCGACCTTGAAATCCGCGTGAAGGTCGACCACGACAACAAGATCCTGACCATCCAGGACACCGGCGTGGGCATGACTCGCGATGACCTGGTCAAGAACCTGGGAACCATCGCCAAATCTGGCACCTCTGGTGAGTGTCTCAGTCAAAATAGCCCGAGTGATGATTAGGTTGTGGGTGTCTTTTTGGATGCATGGGTGTCATGGGAAATGCACCTGCTTGGCAGATAAGTGGGCGATTGTTTGGTGGATACTCTACCTTCTTTTGTGCCTTCTGGAAGTAGTGGTTACTTTTCATAAGCTTGGCTTCCTGCTCAGCCTTGCAAGGTAAAATGCGTGACAGATGTGTGTGCGCAGCCTTCCTGGAGCAGATGCAGAAGAGCAATGACATCAACCTGATCGGTCAATTTGGTGTTGGCTTCTACTCTGTCTACCTGGTGGCAGACTATGTCGAGGTAAGGCTCCCTGATCTGGCACTTCCATCTGCCCAACACAAATATCTTGACTGTGTATACTATGCTATAAATTGGTGCATTTTAATCAGGTCATCCCATTGTACGTGGCAGAAATAGCTGACCAAGCAGAGCATCACTTGCACAAGCACCGCCATGCTTGCAACAAATTGCATTATCCTTATAGACCAGCGCAGGCCCACAATCGCAGAGACCTCACCATGACTGCACACCTCATTGCAGTCACCCTTTGTCGCAACTCGCAGGCATTTCCTGCACTCACGTCTACAGCCAAATTTGTATCCAGCATCATGACTGCACGCCTCAGCACGAAGCTGCATTGCGCAGGTGGTCAGCAAGCACAACGATGACAAGCAGTGGATGTGGGAGAGCGGCGCAGATGGCAACTTCGCCGTCAGCGAGGACACTGGCGAGTCGATTGGCAGGGGCACCGTCCTCAAGATCCACATCAAGGTACGTACTGCTTGACAGTTAGAACCAGTCCTTCCTGCCTGGCCCCCATTCATAACCAGGCTGTCCTGAAATTGCAGTTTGCCGCCCATGATATGTTAAAGAGGAGGCCATGTGGGGTAATTTAAAGCCTGACAGGGTCTTTGTCCTTCTGATGCATCTTAAGATAGCATCTGAAGCATGTCAAATCAGGCTGTCTTGACAGCTGCATTTTGCTGCCTATGATAAGTGTTATCAAGGACAGGCAAAACCTCCTAGGTGAGCTCCGGTGAGCCGAAAGGTATTCTGTGTCTGATGCCTTAGTACAGGACATTCACGTAAGTCTTGTTGTCCACTGGGCTGCATGCCAAATTTGAAAAAGCTGGGCAGGCCATGAGCCTTTGATGCTGAAATTGCACAGAGTGCGGACAATTGCAAACTTTTCAGCAGCACAAGCTGCCATGTCGCTGAATAACTGACCGTTATGTGGTGCATCCAAAAACAGGAGGACGCCCAGGAGTACCTGGAGGAGGCGAAGCTGAAGGAGCTGGTGGCCAAGTACAGCGAGTTCATCAACTTCCCCATCTACCTCTACTCCAGCAAGGAGGTGGAGAAGGAGGTGCCAGTGGAGGAGCAGTTGGCAGGCGATGATGAGAAGGAAACTGAGGAGGAAACGGACGCAGACAAGGACGACGACGAGGACTCCGATGATGTGGAGGATGCTGGTGAGGCCAGGCTGTCTTCATGCAGACATGCTTGCATCATGATGGGTGCCCCCAATAATAGCAGTGTCTGGCCTCAACTAGCCTATTGTCCATTTATTAGGATTGCATCTGCACTGCGCCCTTCTACGTGCCACTGTTCCATAGCTTGTCCTGGATGCTGAGCAGCTTGCACCGAGCATCATCGTGCCATCCTCATCCGAGCAAATCAGTCAAGCTGTGTCATGGCGACGGCATTGCAGTGACAGGAACTCCGCGCCTCATGCTGCCAGACATGCAGACAAGTCATGACAGATACCCAGGCCGGGGTGATAAGTGAAGTGAGTGCGAGTGACACTAGTGGCGCCCTGATCTGCTTTGGAGCATGCATACTGACGCACGCGATGACTGATAATTAGTAATTGCGCACAGACGATGAGGACGAGGACGAGGAGGAGGAGGCGCCCAAGACGAAGAAGGTGAAGGAGACGGTGTGGGACTGGGACCTGCTCAACGACAACAAGGCGCTGTGGCTGCGCAGCCCCTCCGACGTGGGCGACGATGAGTACGCCAACTTCTACAAGGCCCTCGCCAAGGTGCTCACTCTGCACTCCGCTCCCTCCCTGCACCTTGGTATCCATCATGATCACCTCGCCATCACATTGTGCCCGGCAATAATTCCTATAAGAAGGGGCCTGAATGAAGTCCTATGCACTTGTCCAACGCTTTCCTTATCAGACGGTGCTCATTCTGCGCTAGCACTTGTCCCTTGCCCTTGCCTTCTCCTGCTTGCCTAGTTACCAAGGCATGCAACATCCCTTCTGGTAAGGAGAGGGCCACCCAGTGCGCTGTGTGACAGCATCAGCGGGAAAACCTGGCCCACAGCCTAGCTCCGTTTTGATGCTGCAGTTCCTTGTGCCTGCTTGAGGTCCAATCATAGCTTTAGCTGTGGACGTAGATACAAGTGAGATGTTGAGTAACAGCACCAAGGACCAAGTTCTTTGGAAGGACCAAGTACTGATCAGGCATGCAAGCTGACAAATGATGACTCACTGCGATGACTGATGGCGTGTCACCCGCGCGCGCAGAGCGACCACGAGAAGGCGGCAGCGCACGTGCACTTCCGGGCGGAGGGTGACGTCGAGTTCCGGGCGCTGCTGTACGTTCCGGAGAGCGCGCCGCCCAACTTCCTCGCTGACTACTACGGGCACAAGCCCTCGCTCAAGCTTTACGTGCGCCGCGTCTTCATCTCCGACGACTTTGAGGAGCTCATCCCCAGGTGCGGGCTTTCTGTCGGTCGTGCTGGGCAAGTGGTGGTAGGCACACATCGATTAAAGGGTGGCAAATTGCCTGACAGCTGGTGGCCATCAAGGTAGGCTTGAAGAGCACTTCTTTGCATCACCGCAGTCCTGGCAGTCCTAATTTGAGCAGAGGCACTTAAGACTGGTGTGCATTTGTGAAATCCACTGGCTGTGGGTGCTCGGAAGCTTGTCGCCCAAATCTAAACCCTTGCATGCATTTGCATGCATCAAATTTGTGTCGTGATTCAGGCGATCCGTTCACTCGCTGGAGCATGGTCCTGCAGTTGCTAACCTTCCCATGCCATGATGCACACAGGTACCTGAGCTTCCTGAAGGGTATTGTGGACAGTGACACGCTGCCGCTGAGCGTGTCGCGTGAGACGCTGCAGGCGCACGCCAGCCTCAAGGTCATTAAGAAGAAGCTCGTGCGCAAGGTGCTCGACAGCCTCAAGAAGATGTCCGACGCCGAAAAGGACGCCGCCAAGGGTGCGCCTGTTACACCCCTTATCTTTCATGTAGAACCAATTTCATTCGTGCGTCTACTTGCCTACCCAGTCATCCTTTCTCGGAGCCTTGCAAAAGCAATGCTTGTCGACACCACTTGTGTTTTTTTGCAAACATGCCGTTGTGTTGATGCAGCGTTATGAGAGAGCTTTCATGCCTTAATGCCATGGCTCATGCATGCATATACTGCAACCAGATCTCAAACAATCTGTTATGAATGAGGTTACCACACCCAGATAACAAACAGGACAGGAGGAATGAAATCCTAAAAGAGTTCATCAATACATCCAATCAAACACCACCAAAGGGCGGAGGTCTTAGCCAGATGTTCAATGACATCTTTTTAATGCTGCGCAGGCGACAGCGCGGACGAGGATGACAAGGCGGAGGCGGAGAAGTACGGCAAATTCTGGAAGGAGTTTGGCCGCGCGCTCAAGCTGGGCATCATCGAAGACGCGCCCAACCGGCCGCGCCTGGCCAAGCTGCTGCGCGTGCGCACCAGCACCGACCCCGAGAAATTAGTCACCCTGGATGACTACGTCTCGCGCATGAAGGAGGACCAGAAGCAGATCTTCTACCTCACTGGTTCGTACGCTCTAATTCCCTCTCAGCATGTAGGATTGTCAGATTCATATGCGGCAGCTTCGGCTGCTGGCGGCGGCTACTTTCTGCAGTAAGATAGTAGGTATTAGCTTGGCCCCAATGTGATTGCTGGCCGTGGCGCTCAATCGCCATGCTTTGCAGAATGATGGTCTTGGATGGTGCTGCTGGCAACCATTATGCCCATTCTGTGAGATTTTTCTGAGAAATCAATGCATTTTTGCAATAGCTGATGGGTGATGGGTGGCTGACATGTGTTGGGCTGCTGGCGCCAGGTGCATCTGTGGAGGACCTGCAGAAGAGCGTGTTTCTGGAGAAGCTGATCCAGAAGGGCTACGAGGTCATCTTCTTCACGGAGCCCATCGATGAGTACGTGATGACTCACGTGACTGAGTACGATGACAAGAAGTTCCAGGACGCCTCCAAGGACGACGTCAAGCTGGGCAAGGACGACAAGAAGGGCCTCAAAAAGCTCAAGGTGCATTCTCCACCCCTTCATTATGAAGGGCTCTTGACTGCTTATAGTATGATTGGCCTTGCCTTTGTGCTCTACCTTTGGCGCATCCAAGCAAGTCTGGGCCATGCACAACAAAAATTGTCTCCCGCTACGCCCATAATGGCAAAAGCCGCACCTCAAGCATGCGACAGCCACTCTCAGAAGTCCAATATATAGAAGCATCCTGTGGTATTTGGTGACATGGCATGCTGACATGACTGCTGATGTGGCGCAGGAGGAGTTCAAGGACGTGCTGGCGTGGTGGAAGGAGCTGCTGGGCGCCGCTGTGGGGCAGGTAAACATTCTGGCACAGCCACCGACGCCAAGTCACTGTTATAACATGCTTTTCCTGCCAAGAGACAAGCTGCGTCCTGCAGACAAGCTGCAGTAAAAGGCTGACACAAGCCTACCCCTTCTTGGACTCGCTAGATCCAAAAGAAGACCCAGCTAACCATGGGCAAAGTGTGCTCAGTATTTATACCGTCCCCTGCCAGCTGGGACCAAGTCACTGTACTCGGGGGAGTTTTAGCGCACCTGACTCATAGGATTTGAAGGGTCGGGATCTATCTTAGGTTGGGATTTATGATGTATAACAAAGGTATCACCCTGCAACAAGGGCGCACTGATAGCGGGGAGATTTTGCTTGTGCAGGTGAAGGTGAGTACGCGGCTGGCGACCAGCCCGGCCATCGTGCTGACGTCCAAGTATGGCTGGAGCGCCAACATGGAGCGAATCATGAAGAGCCAGGTGGGAGCATACCCGCTCTTCTGGCCACCTACCTGTTTCTTCCCCTCCCTTGCCATATCTACGCAATTGCCACTGCGTGAGAGAAGATCGGGCACCCCTATCATTGTGTGACTGACAGTGTGTGCCGACCATTGAGGTTGCAGCAGTGGAATGACCTCAATGAGCAGGGGATCTTTATCCATTTGGACCTGATCTTATCTAACAGAGCATGGGTGCGTGCACCGCCAGGCGCTGGGGGACACCGCGGACCGCAGCTACATGAAGGGAATGAAGACGCTGGAGATCAACCCCCGCCACCCGCTCGTCCTTGAGCTCAAGCGCCAGGTCAGCACTACGCACAACCTCAGACTGCACCTCATTTTTCATTCTGCGACATGCTTAACCCATTTAGATTGCCTTCATCATTGAAGGGCTGCTCGTCATCTCGAGCTGGGCTTAGCATTCTTGCATTCTAGAGATTAGATACGGTGCCATCTGTATGCCGGCTGGCTATGGGATGAATTGGGCAACATGTATCAAGCTAAGTAGACAGGGTAAAACTCCTATGTTTTGTTGGGTATGTGGCTTAGAACCGAAGGGCCCTGGAGCCACACACTACACTTTTAGAAATAGCGGACGGCAATTACGCGCAGTGGGGGGTTGCACCTAATCAACGGTGCGATGGGCTGACTGGGTTTCTGCATGGGGTGACAGTTTGAGGAGGACAAGGAGTCGGATAAGGCGGCGGCGTACGCGCGGCTGCTGTGGGACACAGCGCTGCTGGAGAGCGGGTTTGAGATTGAGGCGCCCAAGGAATTCAATTCGCGCATCTACGGGCTGCTCGCGCAGGCCTACAACATCCAGGGGGACCTCGGCATCTCCGCCGAGGACGCCGCGGCCGCAGCCGCCGAGGAGGTGACTTGCACGCCCCCTGAGACAGGCCCTCTTTTTTGATATATTACTGATCCGCTGGCTTTAGTGATCATCTCATGGTGGGTCCATCCCCTGCTTCCCAAAATTGTAACGCACGCCCCTGAGGCAGGCAGTCTTCTCTTCCATCAGTAATTCTCTTTGCCTTCAGCAATCAGAGAACCCGTGGTAAGGGCACTATCACCTGTCACTGTGCAGACCAGGGATGTGCACATGACAGGCCTGCCTCAAGCTACACAATGTAACACCTGTGTCTTGCCAGCTGTCACATTGTGCCTGTCCTGTTGGGCAGCGCTGAGGGTATTTGCAGGGTAGTAGGGATTGCTACTTTCCCGCTCACGCATTCCACTGTACTAGGGCAGGGAAAATGCCATATATTAATTTATAATAGGAATACATGGTACAAAACATGTGATCTTTGGGGAAACTGACAAATTTTCACATGAAGACATGGGATTCAATGTCAAGCTAGCTAGTCGCCCTTCCAATGTAAATGTGTCCGAACTGTTCCTTTTTGTTACTCACGAATCAGCCTCGCCCCACTTTTGATCTGGCAAGTCTCCCTATTCACGCGCACGCTATATGTTGCACAGGCAAAGGAGGAAGCTGAGGAGGGAGCATCAGAGGAGGAACCAGAGACCCCAGAGTTCTCAGCAGAGGCGTTTGCCGACGCTGCAGCAAAGGCAGCCGCAGACCTCGAGGCAGAGGAGGCACCTCCTAAGGATGAGCTGAGGTGACCAAGGAGCACGAGAGGGAGAGGCGAGATCTGTTCTGACAGCTTGTCAGGTTCTACTTGAACATCACACACCAGGAGCAGCTTTTGTTGAGGCTGGTGAAGTCATTGTGTGATCCATTAGAGTGTTTCTGATCCTCAGCAAACTCTCACAGATCCCAGAAATTGTCATTGTGTCTGCCAGACAGTGTCATACCCATTATCAGCCCATGTGTTCCTGTCAGTGCAAAGAGTAAGCTGCTCGTAATGGGTTTACGAGATCCTCTTACCAGTCGTTATGACATCAATAGCTTCTGCCAGACTTCCCAGTGGGAAGTCTGTATGATCTTGAGGAGGCACTTGTCAAAGCGGTATCATACCATGATGGCCATCTGTCATCAAAAACAGATGTGTACACACAAACCGCCTCCCTGGAAAGCGAAAGCAATGCGCTCGCTGATCTCAAGATGATTAATGCACTATATCAGTATGTTTGAAATCTACGCATTGAATGGCAGAATGTTTTCCTTCCCACATAAATGCATGGATGGCCGGCGGCACTAATCAGAGCAGCCCCACACCTGCTCGTCTGCAGACTCCCTGCATGTATGCCCTAAGGCCATTGGCTTCGGATTTGCCGAACTGTACTCATAATTGGGTTGCCTCATTTCACCGCATCACCACTTGTAGCCTACCGTAGTGATTACTAGAACTGAGCTCTCAGAGCCTCGAGGCTCTAGACCTAGCTAGGTTACCAAGAGTTCCAGAACGCAGCTGCAGAAGGTTCTGTCAACAGTCAGTGAGTTCTCAGCAGTATTGGAACCATCTCCTGGCATGTGCTGCATGCAATAGTGCTGTCCTGGAGTGCAAATCAGGCCTCAAGATTGGGGGTGTGGCACATTGGAATCATCCTATTACTGAGGGTGGCACAGAATCCGTAGACAGGGCAGGCCACGATACCCCGAGTGCCGCAAAAGTGCGTCGATCACCAGCCAATCCGCTTTCAGTTCGCTTTTCACCAGGTCCCGATCCTTTCAGCCAAGGCCGAAGAGGGCATCCGAGGACGTCATTCACTCACCTAGATCTAGCAGAACGTAAGGAGGCACCGTGCACAGGAGAGAGCAGTGTCAACGAAGAGTGCGCGGCATCTGGCGCTATGCAGGCGTCTTTCAGTGGCCGTGCGCTAGAGGGGAGCCTTGGTCACGAGGAGGCCTGCTGGTTCAGCTCACCAAAACCTTTGCTCAGGTTCGAATTTTTATTCCAGTCTGCGCATTTCGACCTCATTTCACCACAGGTGCCGCCGGGCAGCAAGGTAGTGGTTGTGGACACACGCCCATGCCTCCCAGAGGAAACCTGGGGACAGAAAGAGATGTATCCAGAATCAAGGAGCCTGCCAGCATTCGATCAGGCATAGGGAGCATCGCAGTGGTGCAAATTCCAGACAGAGGACCGCAAGACACCATTATGGGCAGAGGAGAACACTTAAGGATGTTAGTGGGACATGGGGAGGACTGACTACCTCCGGCAGCACATGATAGCTGTAGATTCACACACATGCTCTCCTATCCACAAGTTCGTGGATACCGCCTTAGTGGGGACCGCTCGGCTCTGTATTGCTCTGGAATATACTGTGTTGTGCATGGAGCTGAAGGTTTCTTAATAAAAGGGTGCTGTAGGAGATGTGATACAAGTGGTGCAATATTACAGCAGCTCTAGCCTTGCTGGTCATGCAGGTCCATTGGCCTGGGGTGCTGTCAGGCAAGCCCACTGCTGCCCGACAGCATCCTTATCCCTAATTTTGCTCTGCGCGCTGACATGTAAATCTGCTTCCTCATCAACAATTCTGTCCTGTCATACAGGACACATCGTAGGAGCAGGCGGCGGAATAATGGCGCCCCATGCAGAGCAACTCTCACGACAGGGCCACGAGTGACAGTGGCGCCTGGTGGGGATGGGGGTTCCCCTCGCAGAGAGGGGGGCCAGCAGCGGCTGTCGGGCAAGGTGCTTTTGCCTTCCATGCCCTCCATCTGCTCTTTTTGTCCTCCAAACAGCATTTTCTGCACCCCCTGCAAGCCTCCCGATTCTTGCTGCCTCTCCATGCTTGCTATCCTTGACAAGGTCATGCTTTGCAGTCACATTCTGGAACAGAGAGGTCTAGACCACATCTGTTCTTGACACTGCCAATGCTCCTGCTCAAGCACAAATTGTATTCTGCAAATCAGGTCATTGAAATTAAAGATCAAGAATTTGGCGCTCATGTGGCTGTTTGGAATTTACTGCAGGAGGTGGAGGATAGGGCGATGTGGGCCACAATAGAGTGGGGGAAGCTGCACCCAAAAGGCCTGCAGCTTCCCTCGAGGTGGGCGCCTGGCGGCCTGGAGCAGGCGTACCTCCGCTGCGGCAACATCACCAGTGACTACGCCAAAACCTTCTACCTGGTGCGCTGGCGTTCCCTTCTGTGATTACAAGTGTCCTCCACAAGAAATCCAAATGTCTTCTACTACACCTAACAACTGCTCCTGTGTGCCCATTTTACACAGTCTCTGGAGGTGCATGCATGATCAATCGTTTGCTTCTTCAAGGAAGCCCGCAAATCTCTCACATTTTGGAGCAGCTAGTGTGTCCATGCCTAAGCACAGCTCCGATCCCCATTTACTAGGACTCTTATCAAGCAAGTATGCAAAGGATGAGATGCAGGTGGAAGGCTGGGGCTGAGGGTGAGTGGGACATTGCGCAGGGGACGAAGCTGATGACCCCGGAGAAGGCGCGCGCCATCTGGGCCATCTATGTCTGGTGCAGGCGTACCGACGAGCTTGTGGACGGCCCAAATGCATCGCGCATGAACCCCAGGGTGAGTCACCAGTGCATGACTCTTCCGGCATCCTCTTGCATCATCCACGGCGCAATTCCTGAGAGTGGCGCTGGCCTCCCCAGTGCCTTTAGATGTGTGGCTCAGGCTTCCCTAACTGCATGTGAACCTTTGCCATGGGATATTTGAGTCCGGCATCCGAGATCCTGTCAGGTTTTGAGCTGACGTTAGATACATCATCTGGGGGATTGCTTTTTTATGGGATCCATGGAAGAGTCACCCAGGACACGTCTGGTCATGCAAACCAGATCCTGTCAGGTCTTATCTTTCCATAGATACATCATGCGGGAGAGCGCAACATATGTGAGAGGTGACTAAGGCTGCCTCTGTTGCTTGCTAAATATGCCTTGCTGAGTCATTTTGGTGCATGTGCGCAGGAGCTGGACAGGTGGGAGGAGAGGCTAGAGGAGCTATTCGATGGCAGGCCATACGATGTATATGATGCGGCCCTCACAGCCACCATCTCCAACTTCCCAGTCTCCATCCAGCCCTTCAGAGACATGGTGCGCGACTCGCGCATTCCCCCTTACTGTTGGACTCCTGCGCCCTGTACCTGAGCGCTTATTGTCTTCCACGTATTATGTCCACAAATGAGTAAGGGGGTATCTTCGCTGAACTGCTGACAAATCTCCTGACAAAGGGTTGTAGTCAGCTATAGCTGGGACATTTTGACAATTTTGAAACTTTGGTCTGCCATCCTCGAGCAGTCCCTCGGGGTTGACTGGGCGCATGTGTTGCTGTATCATGAATCTTGATAACTACAAGGCTTTCCAGTGCTTGCACCAAAGCGGGGCACACGACTGGCATTTATTGGTAGGCCTGGCTTCGCATACCTGATGCATACCATATAATAGGATGCTTCACCTACAGGTCATACTGGCCTCAGCGGTCATTAAGTTCATTGATTGGCTCTCACTATCTGCCTTGCTGATTGTTGCGCAGATAGACGGCATGCGCATGGATCTGGTGAAGCCGCGCTATGACACATACGATGAGCTGTACGAGTACTGCTACAAGGTGGCCGGCACTGTGGGACTCATGACAACGCCAGTCATGGGCGTGGACCCCTCCTACACGGTGAGCAGCAACACAAGGCCTGCCAGCATGGCTCCTCTTGGACAGGGGTTCTACTTGTTAGGGCAAGGACCTGTATGCCCTGTTGGAGGAGCCGTCTTGAAGTTGAGAGGCGGGAGATCGCATGCGTTTGCTCTCTACCTACTACACTACACCGCTGTAGTTCCCGCAATGTGCAGGGCTCTCCTGCTGTATGATGCTCAGCACCATTGCCACATTATCCTGCGGTGTTGCTGTAGTGCGTGGTGATAAGGTCGTTTGCGGTGAGCTTCATACGAGGTTGGGCATGCCATGTGCTGTTTGTCTTTGAACTGGCATCGCCGTTGTGCAAGCTTGCAAGAGGCGGGCATCTTCTGGAGTGAGCTGTGCCTGCCGTGCTGGCTGATGATAAGAGCTGGATGTCTGGAAGGCTGCTCCGTGGACTGTGCAAAGGTAAATAAATAAATTGTAGTAAAAGGGTGTGTCTGCGCAGGGCCCGATGGAGGCGGTGCACAGGGCGGCGCTGGCGCTGGGCACAGCCAACCAGCTGACTAACATATTACGCGATGTGGGAGAGGACGCAGTCGAACGCAACCGCATCTACGTGCCCCGCGATGAGCTGGACATGTTCGGCATCAGCGAGGCCGAGGTATGACTCACCCTTATGTCACTCTTTCTCGAATCAACATTGTGCGTGCTTCAGAAGGAATAGCTTGACTGAAGGACATCCTCTTGGATTTCCTTCTCATGCTGCGCAAGTTGCCTGCTGTGGTGGTGTCAGCGTTGATGTAATTGTGGTGGAAATGAGGCAATCGATGCTTGGTGCAAATAGGACAGTTAAAGGATCAAGCGGCTCCTTGACAGCTTATATTCCTAGCATGAAGGAAGTAAATACACAATGTGTGTGTATTGTGGTTTCCTCCCTTCATGGCAGAAACTAGTGAGCGCTGTACTTGTGCAAAGGATTTGTGCTGTAAACCCAAAATGTGGGTTTGAAATGGTGTTCAAATTTATGAGTGGATTCTGCGCGCAGGTGCTGTCGGGGATGTTCAGCAGCACGACGGGCCGCATAGACGACAGGTGGCAGCGCTTCATGAAGTTCCAGATTGCGCGCGCCCGGCAGTGCTTCGCCGACGCCGAGGCCGGGGTGGACCACTTGGACACCGACGCTCGCTGGCCTGTATGGTCTGCCCTCATCCTGTACAGGCGCGTTCCCTCCCGGCGAAAAATCGAATTTGAGTTTAGAAATGCAGTATACAACTTTTCGTTCTGCCGGCGCTGTGATATGTCTTTTGGTGCACGTGCGGTGCGGGTTGCGATGCTCTGAGCTCATTTTCTGGTGCACTTGGTTGTTTCTGCTTCCGCTGAACCCTTAATGAAGGACTGAAAACTGATGCTCGTGTGACGAAATGTACATTACTGTAGCTGGGATGGATATCTGTGGTGCCCTGACAGCTGCCAGCAGGCTACAGGTGCATGAAGTGCTGCTGATGCCAACAAACGGTCCCTTTTGAAGCTGTGATGCGATAGCTGACGGTTGTGAGTCGTGTTGCAGGCAAATTCTGGACGCGATAGAGCGCAACGGGTACAATAACTTCACCAAGCGCGCGTACGTGCCCAAGTGGCGCAAATACCTCAGCCTGCCCATGGCTTTCGCGCGCGCGTCCAGCCCGGCCGCCATCAAGAAGCCCGCCAAGCTCCTGCTTCCTCCCAGCGCCTCCGCCGCCACCGTCACTGCAGACCGACTCGCCAAGTGACTGCAGCGTCTGCTCGGCTGAGGACCCAGGCTGCTCCTATGGGAGCCATCACTGACAGACTTGCCAAATGACAGCAGCAAGGGGTTTGCAACAAGACATGATGGATGCTTGCTGGTGCCTCTGCGGCAATTGTGGCCATTCAGAAATTTGCCAAGTGAATGCAGTGTCTGCTCGGCGAAGAACAAGGCAGCTTGCTGGCGCCACAGCCGCCACTGTTGCAGCTGACAGGCTCACCGAGTGAATGGAGCATGTGCTCAGCCTGGAAGTAGGCCGCTCAGGTGGGAGTGAGGAGAAGTGGTGTGATGTGAGCTTGGCGAAAACTGAGGAGGATGGCGGCTCATTTGGGAGCCGCCGCTGTCACGCTGAAGCAGCGTGTGTTGAACACTCCTATTTGAGGGCAGGAGGGTGATGAGTAACCAATTTTGTTGGGGTCTATGATTCTTTCGGGGCTGCCCCAAGGGATTTTGAGCCGGCCAAGGGCAGGCGTTGGATTTCTATAGGGAGGCACTGGCTTCTGACTCCCACACCAGGGATGATCCTCTGTCAGACACCCTTGCCTAGGAGTGAGGAGTTGGGTGGTTGCATGCCCACAGCTGGGAAGTGGAGTCTGGAGATTCAATAAGCATGACGCATGCTGCCAGAAAAAAAGCAGCGCCTGCTGCTTGGATGCCCGCCAGCTCTTGCTGGAGGGATCTGCAGCAGCTATGGGAGATAAGTGCTGTCCCCTTATGAATGTCTCAGCCAAATCAGAGAAGTCGTCCTCCAGCAAGAGGGACTGTGCTGGTGTCATTTGCATGGCAGCATTGGCAGGATCATGCTGTGTCACTCAGCTTGTACAGGAACTCCTGACACACACACAGTCCTTGATAATTCCGACTCATGTAGCTTCGAAAGTCATAAGACAGTATTTTGTATATATCTTGGGCAGACTCTTTTGCTGCCACCAGAGTCATCAAATCCATAGACCGCACTGCTATTCTTAGAATTTGCAACTTCCTAGCGGGGTTTGGACGTGTCTTGGCCTCGCCAGTTTCCCAGCTCTTTGCTTTACGGAACACAGTTTGATGAGAGTCTTGCTAGTGTCATATTGTGTTCTGCTTATTGTGTTGCATTGCTTCTAGAATGAGCGCCTCCTGACTGTGCTTGCCGATCTTGGCCTCTAGTCCACACACCTGCTATCTGCAGGCTGTTTTGCAAGGTCAGTCGTTCATTGGGATGTTTTGCAGACTCTGGAGTGTTGTGGACAGTCCTGCAGCTGTAATATAAATTTTGATGTATTTGCCCCAGATATCCCTCTGGGCATGCGCAACTGGCAAGAACACTGAAGCAACGTTGATGATGCAGCAAAAATTCCATTGATACTGTCGATGACACCATATCTTCAGAGCCCGAATTCGAATCTTGCAATATTTGATATGTTGGGGGCTGATCATGATGAACCAGCTGCAGGGCTGATATCAGCTTGCAGGTCACTCCACTGGAGCGACCTCTGACAGCATGACAAGAATCTCAGGGGATCTAGCTTGTTCCTGGTACACCTTGTGACCTAAATTTCATGAAGCTGGAGCTGCACCTCCAACTTTCATGCAAGACTGCAGTGGCAGCTACGACCGGTGACGCGGCAGCTGCCCTCGATCCCTGAGTCATTCTCGTAAATTTTGGTAATGGCTCAACGAGACGATCAACTTCACCCCGGCTTATAATCCTCGCTTTGCCCCGTCTCAGTCAACATTCCATATTAATTAATTACAAACGATCCAAGTGTCCTGCGAACCAATTCGCGATCCCTCTTCAGCCAAGCACACGACGACCAACAGACAACACTGCTCTGCTTAGGCATCCTCGTCTCACGACAGTGCTGATTAGCGGTACGCTAGCACATTTGGTGCCAGAGTTTAGAAAAAAGTCAGATGTCTCGTGCCTTTCTCCGAGAAAAATGTCTACATTGTCGTGAAGTGACACACGCCTGGATCCTTGAGAGTCGAAACCTGTCTAAGAGGCAGTCGGCCTCTGCAGGTATGGTGATGGATATGTACATCTGTTTGATAAGCGAAATGCATACCCCCTACCGAAGTATCGGGCATGTGTGATCCTTCTGCAATTTTCGTGAGGGTCGAAGGTGCCATGAACAAGCACCTGGCTGGACCAGCGATAGTTTCCATATCCTATCGGCCTCGGCCTCTGCAGTGGAGTACACCTTGACGATTCACAGCAGAATAGGAGCGTGCTGAAGACCCGCCAAATCTCACCACTTTGTTTGTAGGAACAGATCTCACAACATGACAGAGAACGGAGGACTACCTCAGGTCAATGGAGGCGGCCCCCAGTACTGGGAGATGTCCAACGGCCAGAACCAGACTAACAATGTCATTCAGAAGAGGCTTGCCCGCGCTCGCGAAGTCATCAAGCAAGACCCCCAGCTGCAGGCGGCCAAGTTTGACAGGTGCCAATGCTACACACCACTCTGCATGCTAACTTCCCTAGCTACATACGTAGAGCTATACCATCTGTGTGTAGACGTTGCTCCCTTCAACTTCCCAGGCATTTTCCTTTGCAATCCAGTGGTGTAAGCATCCCAATCATCAGTCGCTAGCTGAAGCTGAACAGGAAGATGCAATGGTGGTCTGAACAGGAAATCACTTCAACGGATCACGGATGCGGGGAACACCAGCATTGAGATTATTGCGGCCATGTTCAAGGAGTATGCGTCGCGCGATCTATTCGGCGCCTGCACACCGGGAGAGTCCACCTTCCACACTGTGACTTATGGAGCAGTCTGGGAGCGCATTCAGGTTGGCGCACCTCCATCTGAACACCCTTAATTCCATCCCTAACCTTTGCCACTCTAGGTCAACAAGAAAGTGACAGTGCCTGTCCTGTAATGGACGCCTCTGCCTCTCTGTGCTTGCTGCTGGAGCAGGTGGGAAGGCAGCGGTCCTACCTTGCATAAATTTGACATAAAGATTACGTCATCCCTCGCAGGCGCTGGTGGCGGGCTGGACAGCGCTGGGATTCGTGGCTCCGGGGGACTTTGTGGGGATCTCTGGGTTTGCCAGCGTGGACTGGGTGGTGTCTGATCTGGCGACGCTGCATGCTGGGGGGGTCATGGTCCCCCTGCCCACAAACATCCTGGCAGAGGACGTGCGCGCAATCATTGACGAGGCTGAAGTGCGTTGCCTCATGGTCAGCGCTGAGGAGCTTGCGGCCATTGCACCGGTCATCGGCGGCTGCGCGAGCGTGAAGGCCGTCATTGTCATGGACAGGTGTGTTTGCCAGATTCCTCCGTGGTGTTCGTTCTGGGGGCTGCGGCATGCCAGGGTGCATGCTCGGTCAGGGCAGTCTGGCTGTGCAGTGGCATCTGGCTGCGGCTTGCCTTTGTAGTGTCATCAGTGTGGGTTGCAGCATGCAAGGGTGCATGCTTGCGTCAGGCCAATCTGATCATGCAGGGGCAATATGGTTGTGGATAAAAGTGGGGCAAAGCATTTGATCGTTGGGGGAGCACAATGCGGCAAGATGCAAGAGTCAAAGTCTGCTTTCAAAGGGTCATCATGCCCACCAAGTACTTTAGTTTTATGATCTGAGTGGAATGGCGATCCAGGTTGTGATGTCATGGGGGGCAAGGGGCAGCTAGGCGCAAGGTAACTACTTGTGCTCAGGGACTCCATCTAGGACATCATCAATTTAGGCTGCTCCATGGCATGCACATTAGAATTCCAGATAGCTACAGTCACATTTGAATTCTTCTGCGCAGTTCCACGGACGCCGTGACATCCTCGGGAGCCTACGCGGAGATGCAGGCCAACCTGCCGGCAGGCGCAAAGCTGACCACCATCGACGAAGTTTTGGCGGCAGGCCGCGCAACCGGCAAGCAGCCCGCACTGGTGATCCCCGGCAGGGATGGGCGGCCCGCGGACCCCTTAGTAAACCTCATGTACACCTCGGGCAGCTCTGGGCGTCCCAAGGGGGCCGAGTACCCCGAGCACCTCATCTTTGACTTCCTCAAGGTGGGTTCTTGACACATCAGCTTGTATGCTCTCCATGCATATTGGAATGTTTTGTGGTAAGACCAGTGCAACGCTGCTGCTGCGAGTGATACATGCGAGAGCACCATAGGAAGACATGTCAGCACTGGCAGATCTGTCTATGTGTGTGCTGCTAATTCATGCCGCATGCATGTCTATTTTCTAAGAGAAGTCTGTCGGCAGTGTGCACTTATGTTTGACTGCATTTTCCTTCTGTTGCAGCGCGTGGTTACGTTGTGCAGATTGCTGATTGCATTTTTTTGCTTTCTATTCCGCGCAGAACTCGATGCCCACAGATGCGCCGGAGCTGCCGACCATCATAATGGGCTTCCTTCCTTTAAACCATTTGATGGGAAGATTTACTCTGCTCAAGTGCCTGCTCACCGGAGGCCAGAACTGGTTTGTGCGCTCGACCGACATGTCGACCTTCTTCGATGACCTGGCGACGATCCGTCCCACGGAGGCGATGTTCCCTCCGCGGATTATGAACATGCTGCACGACAGATTCGTGGAGCAGCTCGACCGCCTGCCGCCAGCCCCCAGCGAGGCCGAGCGCGCGCAGCAACGCCAGGTCAGCTGCCTACTAAAATTGTTTCTGTGATGAGGGAAAGGAAAAGAAATGATTCTCCCCGTCCGTCAGTTCCAATGGAAAGACAGCAGGGATATTCCATTTCAAGAAGTGTTAGCAAGACTGCTGAAGTGCTGGTAGGATGATCTAGACTCTCAGGGCTGTGCTGATCCTCGTGTAGACTGCCCCTATGAACAGAAGGGACCGCAGTCAAGTGCTTCAAGTCAGTGAACGTATTTTTCCTCACATTCAAATTCAACAGCATGCCTGCAATTTCTTACACCCGCATTCAATAAGCAGGACCTGATCAAGCGCTTCAGGGAAGTGGACTTGGGTGGCCGCCTCTTCACCGGCTCCTTTGGCAGCGCGCCAGCGTCCCCAGATGTGATCCAATGGCTGGAGGAGGTCCTCGGCTTCCCCCCAGTGAATGGCTACGGCTCCACAGAGGGCGGCATGATCATGCTCGACAACAAGATCCAGCATAGGTGTGTTATTATTCTTATTACACGTTTTCAAGTCCTAAGGACCCAGGTGTGTAGCCTCTTTCAATAGGCACATGCAACTGTGATAAATTGTTGTGTTTTGTATCATCTCAGAGCGGTCATCACTACTGGTGACACTAGTATGCTGCAAGGCATCAAATCTATTACAGCGGGGTAAGTCAACAGCTGCTCAGCTGCTTCTGGGGCATACAATCAGCATGGCAGTTTGTGTCAAGTGTGTAAAGCGACGCAGGCTAAGACCGTGCAGCAGGCCCTTGTTGAGAGGAGAATGCAGAGTCTGCAGAAGCACTGGGAACAATCCCTCCTTGTTTGTTTGCTGCATCTTTTCAAAAAAGTGTTTGCAGCGCTTTTGTTCTGAACAAGGCGTGCTTTTGTGGCATTCAGTTATGTGCCGGCGTACAAGCTGGTAGATGTGCCAGAGCTGGGCTACACCACAAAGGACAAGCCCTTCCCCCGCGGAGAACTGCGCATCAAGACCCGGCGCATGATCCCGGGCTACTACAAACATCCTGAGGTACAGTACATTGCTTGCCCTCTGCACAGATCAAGACCAAGAATCGTGTTGAAGAAAATGAAGCCAATTGAGGAACGACCACAGTGCAGCCCAAGATCAGTACTGGCTGGATATTCAGCATGCCCATTGGATGCATGTTTCATAGGATGGCATACCTGGTCGAGGCAAACCTTAGAGCTTTTAACGCATTTTCCAAAGGTGTGCAAGGGGTTGCATCTGCATTAGAGGGATGAATACAATAGAAAATTGCAGGTAAAAGAGTTTGCTGCAGAGAGGGGATAAGGTTTGAAGGGGTTATCATGCGCGCAGGCAACAGCGGATCTGTTTGACGAGGAGGGCTTCCTGAAGACTGGGGATGTGGTGGAGCAGCGCGATGCAGACACCTTCATCTGGCTGGACCGCGTCAAGAACATCATCAAGCTCTCACAGGTGCCGCCCTGCTATTATTACACTCCATGAGAGGGCACATACGTGCGTTGCGGGCTGAATGGCACTTGCCATTCTTGCCATTCTTCATACTGCATTGTGGCAAGATCCTCTGCTACTTCATTGTAAGCTGGTCTCTTTTTTAGTGAGGCGTTGAGGGAGATCACCGGCCTCTACATGTCAAACTCAGAAGTGCATGGTCGTTTTTACATGCATACCCATGTTGGATTGCTGCGGCCTTTGTGCGAATATGGCCGAGTTGTGTAAACGCTGTGGCCGCAGGGTGAGTACGTGAGCGTGTCGCGGCTGGAGGAGATCTATGTGGGCAACTCCAAGCTCATCCACCAGATGTACATCTACGGGAACTCCCTCCGTGCCTACCTGGTCGCCGTCGTCGTGCCCCACATCGGTGCGCGCTCCTCACCGTGACAGTATTGCATGTCCTGCTAAATATGCAAGTCAGGCATGGCTGCACATGCGATGGGTTGGGGCACGGTGCTTTTGGCTCTGCAATAATGACTGTGATCCTGGAGATCATGCACATGTATGCATGATGTCTCTCACCAGCGAGGCACTGGAAGTACTTTGTAAGAGCTTACAGAGCACCAAAGATGCTTTCTCAATTGGGAACTTTATTTTCTGGCAGGGCAATGTCAGGCATCTGAAGGTGTATGACTGCATGTGCTTGGCTGGCACGTTACAGTAGTTCAAGCGCCTGTCTTGGGCTGATCGTAATATAATAAGAGCTGGTCGACAAGGCCTTTTAAAGCATGCTGTGTGCACGTAATTGTCTACAGCAGGGTGAATCGAAGATTGCTTAGTCCTGTTGTGTTTGAAAGCAGAGAACGGAGCGTGTGCGGATGCGGGCAAGCTGAGGGCGGCGCTGCGGACAGAGCTGGATGACGTGGCGCGACGCAAGGCACTACAGGGGTATGAGATCCCGCGCGAGTTCATAGTGGAGATGCGCCCCTTCTCCAAGGACAATCACCTGCTCACTGACTCCGCCAAGCCCGCCCGCGGCCAGCTCAAGAAGAGGTGCGACCCCTGAAGCTTTCAGCCTTGGATTTTTCTGCAGGTTTGCATGGGGCTGGAGTTGTTTTCTGGTGCCTGGAAAACCTGTCTTCGGGGTGCGCTTGCTTCTTTCACGCAGCCTAGACTTCCATTGTCTGCCTCCTCCTTTCTGCAGCAATATCACAAGCATGTCTAGCAGTCCTATCGAGCCGGGTCCTTGAGAAAGTGTGTGGCTGCAGTATCTTGAAGTCGCCTCCGGGGGGGGCTGCTTTGCTGTGGGCTACCTGGACTGTGCTTGCAACGATTCTCAGAGGGTGCATGGTGGTACAAGTAGTTTGCACTGGCACCAAAGTGGTTCTCTTTGCACGCGTACTCCTGGTGCTCTCAGCAGAGGGCACTGCTGGTCTCTACACAATGCACACCATAAATTGAGAGCACTGTTGCAGTCAGGAAATGTGTGCATGTTGCTGGTGTTTATGGGGGGTCTATTGGACTGCTGCAGGTACCAGGCGGAGCTGGAGGGCCTTTACACGGCCCTGGAGGAGCGTCTGCGCGAGAGACTGCGCGCCATGAAGGAGGGCAAGGATGCATCTGTGCAGGACCGTATCAAGCAGGTGACTCTCTCATCCTTTTCCTCTGTTGACTCTTGGACTTGAAAGGGGCGTGTGGCTGAGGCGGGCGCCTCGTGCCCTGTGTGTTGTAAGGCATGCTCAGAGCTCAATACAGAGAGTTGATTAAAAGCATTTGGCTGGTTGTCATGGCAATAAGGATATTGAGGAACTTCACCAGTCTGTCTCATGCTCTTGAATCCTTCTCGTTTCTGAGAGTCAGAGTACGCCTCACAATGCACAAATCAGCCACATTCTGCAGGAATGGTCAGGAATTACCTTGTCTCCTCTGATCTCGTCTGCGTTTTGACTGGGTTTTATTATTTACTCACCTGTTTGTGTGCGCTGAGGGTCTGACGCTGCTATCTGCCTGATGACTATCCCGGCCTCTTTTGGCGCGCTGCAATCTGCCTTATGACTAACTCTGCCTGTTCTGGCGCGCTGCAGGCGCTGGAGGTTACTCTGGGACTGGCGGAGGAGGACATGGCGGACGTGGCTTCGCGCAGCTTCGCGCAGCTGGGCGGTGACTCGCTGGCGGCGATCCAGTTTGCGCGCTACGTGGGCGAGCTTTGCGGCGTCAACCTGCCGGTGTCCTTTGTGCTGGACCACTCCCACTCCCTCCAGGCCATCGCCGACCGCGTCCACGAACTCGTCAGGTCAGGGAACTTCCTCATCAGTGCTGCGTCAGAATCACACATTCCATCAAGTCATCCCTGTAGAGCAGCTGTGTAGCAGGCGAAGTCATGTGAAGCAGTCAGGAACATGCAACTACTTGTCTTGCCTGCTCTTGCAATGACCTCGCAGACGCTGTGCTCTTGGAACAACCTCTTCTTTGTCTGCCTGTTCTCACAATGACTCCGCAGCCGCTGTGCACATGGAAGCTTCTGTCATATGTTATGCACTGTCATTTGGAAAGGATGTCTTGGCTGTGCTTGTGACATGAAAAATCTCTGGTGCTCCTTATGTGACCTAGTTGGTCTGATCCCCATGTGCAGGCTTTGAACCTTGAGAAGAGTATTACTGTGTTTGCAAGAGAGGTGGCTGACATAATTTGCAACCCTTGCAGCGGCGACGCGAGCGCAGGGATCACGTTCGAGTCGATCCACGGCAGCGATGGCGTGAACATCAAGGCAGCCGACCTGAAGCTGGACCGGTTCCTATCAGAAGCTGACACGGCCGCGGCCGCCGCGGCCGCCCCGGCCTCCGAGCTGCCGGCGCGGCCGACACACGTGCTGCTGACCGGCGCCAACGGCTTCCTCGGCCGCTTCCTGCTGCTGGACCTGCTGCAGCGCGGTTCTGACAAGTGTGATCCCTGCTCATGACTCTACGCTTTGCCTCTCGCACCATGAACTCCTTTTTTGAAGGACAAAAGATACGTGATAAGACGAATGACTCATAGCACAAGCACCCTCTCAGCTGCAAAGCAAAGCATTTGTCTGTATCGTTTGCAGTGGATATTGTGCTTGCGTTCTGGTGACATGTCTCCTGTGTGTTGATCCCAACAGTGCAACAGCTGCAAGCTTGCATGCTAGGTTTGCTTCCAGATCTAAGAACATGCAGCAGGGCAGCGTTTGTTTCTGACATGGCATGGTCTGAGAGCAGGAATGGAGGCCGTGTGGTGGCTATAGTGCGCGGCAGCAGCGATGAGAAGGCGGCTGAGCGGCTGCGCGCCGGTTTTGACAGCGGTGACGCGACCCTGCTGCAGCGCTATGACACCCTCAGCAAGCATCTGACCGTCTATGCAGGTGTGCCCTCCCTCCCCTCCTTGGATTTGAGCCTCCTGCAACAAGTATGGTAGCTCTTGCATTGCCATGTTTTTCCACCACATTTCACATGCACGATCTTTCTTGAGACTATTCTGTACACATGAGATGGAATTTGTTGGAGACGGCAACAAAAGATCATCAGAAGAAGCACGTGGCGCTTTGCAGTGCTTGCTAAACATCCCTGACATGGCCTGCATGCTGCGAGTCATCTGCAAGCATATGGTCCCTTCAAGGAGGCTTGGTGGTCCAACGGCATGTGCTGACAGCTTGCGCGCATGTGCAGGCGACCTGGCGAAGCCGCAGCTGGGCCTGAGCCAGGGGGTGTATGAGTCGCTGTGCGCTGAGCTGGACACCATCGTGCACAACGGCGCGCTGGTCAACCACGCTTACTCCTATGAGCAGCTCTTTGAGCCCAATGTGCTCGGCAGCGTGGAGGTTGGAACCTCTTTCTTGTCTCATCCAGAATAGCCCTGCTTGATATTTGCTCTACAGGACCGCACTGGCAAAGGCATGAAGCTGTCTTTCTTTTTTGCTCAACTCTTGAGCTGCAGTTGTAGGATCACTGTTGGTATGCGGGTTTAGTGTTAGCATGAATGATGTTACGCAAAGTATCACAAAGAGTTATCTTGGCCACAATATCAGGATCGGCATCAGCGTTTCACATATGTGCAAGTTTCTGTATGTTCTTTCTTTCTGCAATTGCTTTCACATAAATATGACAAGAGGTAAAAGAGCCGCCTTGGTGAGCATACTGAGCCGGCGGTCTTATGCGTGTCAGGTGATGCGGATGGCTCTGGCAAAGCGCAGAAAGGCGCTGACATTCATCTCCAGTGTGGGAGTGGTGGGAGGCCTGGACCACCCACAGCCGGTGACTGAGGCTGAGGACGGTCCAACTCTGTGTGATGTGCACCCGGGCGACGGCGGCTACGCCATCGGGTGTGCACTTCAATTCCCTTTTCCCCACCTTCACATATCGCGGGAATGTGCGAATGTTCCTGTGCAGCACTGTGTGTGAATCCTGCCAAATGAGGCAGCAGTACCCACACGGGAGGTTTACCCGATCCGCCTATGGCATGCGTGGGTATATCTCCGATGTGGCTTTTGCTGTCTCGTGCTGGCATTTGGTTTTAGCTTTGTTCGGGCTCCTGTTTTCTCTTGACATGCATGCTTTTAAAGCATAGCCTGGGCATGATTCAGCTGGGATTGCTGCATTGCTCAGAAATAGCTTGGTACAGCTGAAATGCATTCAGGATCTCACACAGAATCACTTTGTTAATTGTGACACCTGACGTGCGCACAATGTGCCGTGCAGGTACGGCTGCAGCAAGTGGGCGGTGGAGGTGCTTCTCAAGGAGCTGCACCAGCGCTGGGGTGTTCCCGTCAAGGTCTTCCGCTGCGGCATGATCCTGTCGCACACCAGCTACTTGGGCCAGATCAACCCAACCGACTTCTTCACGCGGCTGCTGTGCGGCATTGCCTACACGGGGATCGCCCCGCAGTCCTTCTACACCCTGCCCCACGGCCCCGAGGAGCACTTTGACGGCATGCCCATCGACTTCGTGTCCGGTGAGTGCCCATTCTCCAGCTTCCTCGACTACAAAAATGGGGTAATTTACTTTGCGACTTTTGGGGTTGAAGGACTTGCTTATGGGGATGCATGCCATTGAGAATTGTTTGTGCATTCTTTGCAAGCTAAATGGCTCTTATCTAGCTGGGGTTGATGCTGCGAAATCTGCCTTCTCATGGATACCTGCATCACAAGCGTTCCTGCACCACATGCAAGAAGAAGCCGTGTCGATGATGTGCGAATGTCTTTGCGCGAGCAGGCGTGATCTCTGCCACAACGGCGGCCGAGCGCAGCGGCTTCGACACGTACCATGTGGTCAATCCCCACTGGAGCGACGGCGTATCCCTCGACCGCATCGTCGACTGGGCGGAGAGCGCCGGCTACCCGGTGAGTCACATGTACCTAGCCACCTGCTTAGTCATCCCCTCACGTCACCCTTGGTCATCCGACCTGTCGCACCTGTGACCGCTGCCAACACACTGCCCTACCTGCCTGATATGCTTGCATGTTGCGTGCTGCTGCTTTGTTCACTCTCAACTTATGGTGGCCCCTCATGTAAAGTGCCTTTCAAGGCTGCTTGAAGGGATTTGTAGGGCAAGCATGTCTTATGCTTTCTGGGGTCTTCACAAATAACGTTGCAAGGCTTGCAGTGAAGGTTCAAGTTTTGTGCGGCATGCCTTGTCCTTACGTGCTATCAAAACACCCTTTAAATGGTCCTTTTTGGGCTTCTTGCAGGTTAATCGCATCGCGCCATATGAGCAGTGGTACGCGCAGTTCAAGGCAGCGCTGGAGGCTCTTGACCACACGCGGCAGCAGCAGTCGCCGCTGCCCATCATCTACCAATGGGAGCGCCCGGCATCCGGCACCAGCGGCACGAAGTGAGCGCCGTTCCCTCCCTTGCTTTGCTCAGCGCTGTGATCTTTGATCTGTATAGACATCAATAGCATCACGTTGTAGGGGGGTGTGATTGACAGAGGGACTGTGAATATAAGTACCACCAGACCACCTGCCCTGAAGCTGCAGTGAAGCACTGCCCCATATTTTCAGTGCGAGTAAGCTGTTGTTGCTTGAGGGAAGGTTGTGCGGCGTCACTCATGTGCACAGGAGGGCATTCATCCCAATCGCTTCGCTGCATACGCGTTTGGTCATGTTGTGGGGTTGTTCCAGTGGAATTTTCCTGGCTCCCATCAGGATGTCTGACTGAGCAGCCGATCAGTTTTCAGCACTGTGATGCATTTGACATGAGACTACCTGGATGGCCGCTGGTGGCTGGTCGACTGATGAAACTGTTGTGTTGCAGGTACGATGCCACGCAGCTGCGCAAGAGGGCGGCCGCATACACACAGTGGAAGGACGTGCCCCATCTGGACGAGGCGTTCATCCACCAGAACATGCGCCACCTCACCACCCTGCGCCTCATCACCCCTCCCGGCAAGGCCTGAGCGAGGGAGTTAACCAGGGTTTGGATGCCACTGGAGAGCTGAGGCACAAATGGTCAAGAGATTGGTGAATGGTGATGGGCATGCGCGGAAAAATGGGAGCAGTCAATAGAAGACTAGAATCTGGGATGTCAGAAGATGTCTTAGCATGGTGTGATCGGCTGTGTATCAGGGCAAGAGTCTTTGGACTGTCCAGTTGGTCCATGTCGCAAGTGTCTGACAGAAATTTCTGCCAGCTGTCTTTGTGGTGTTCAGTCAGAACGGTGATTATCAGTTCAAATAATATCCCATGCTTGGACGATTCATCGTTGGCGGTCAAGTCCCTGAGCCTTCTCGAGGAGTGACAAGACTGCAGCCGGTTTGTGAAATAGCTGGTGCCAGCATGCCATTGCAGCTGGGAGTCTTGTCTCAAGGAGGTGCAATAAACATCATGAAGTTGCCGATGGCAGCTGATAGACATGCCTGCTGGTGGCCGGGGCTGAGCAAACAGTCTGTCAGGAGCTGACAAAGCTGAGCAGGAGTCAAAACATCATTTTTCATTTTTTGCAGCGTTGCATTGTCCTTCTTTGGAAGCTTGAAATGCTAATTCTTATCTCGTGCTGGTCAAGAGCTGATTCTTTTCACATGGTTGTCAACAGTCATTCAGCCGACCTGTGTTTCTTGTGCAGTGTGTTAATGTGGTATGCTCAGTATCCATCCATTTCCTTCTATATTCTGATGACTCCTTCTACTTCTGACTTGTGTTTATCAGCTTAGGACCTGCTCCAAAGAAACCAAATAGTGTAGGAAGGCTGTGCTGCTGTATGTGCATATATCCAAAGCATGATCCCATGTAAAAAACGTGTCATGAAAAGATCTGCTGGGACTATGAGCGTCATGACATGCAGAGACAGACACATTGGTCCATGGCTCATGGGAACATTGACCAGCAGAATTCCTGCTGTCTTGTCTGAGAAAAAGCTTATAAGCTCATTAGTCACTTCCATGTGCCAGGGTCCCTCAGTACTGAGCCCAGCATGCAAGCTGTCCAAAGTACCAAATTGTGCTCATTAAAAATTTCTCTAGATTTGACTGTCGCACGCTGAGCCCTGCCAAAATAGTTTGATCACTTTGTTGACGTCAACATCAGCATGTAGCAATGCTTGTTATTTTCTGTCTCCATTCCATGGACAGTTGCAACATTGCCTGGCACAACTTCCAAAAATGTCACATGTGAGCTCTGCCTAATAAACACCCCTCAGATTGTGACTGCCAGTCAGCATCTTTGGCATTGTTGATACAAAGAGGGATCTTTGATGTCTGGATTCCTCTTTCTCTAAGGAGGCAGGCACCATCAGAATTTTCATGCTATACAGCAGTCAGGAGCAGTTCTAGCGCAGCGTTCTCATCCCCATGCGCGCTCTGCAGCGCCACGCTGGCAGCCTCCTTAGTAAACCCCATGTCAGCCAGCCGAAGCACTTTCTCATCCTCTGTCGCCGCCTGTGACCTGTGCGCAAAGTTCTCTGCGCAGCACTAACACCATAATCTCAGCAGCCGCCAGAGCAGTGACTGTGTAAGCTTCACTTACCACAGTCCTGAGCATAATTTGGTCTTGCGTTTGCCAAATGGGTCTATCAGGAGTCTTCAGCTGGGGTCTGACAATGTCAGGCTGACATATGTCAACATGCATGCTTGGCAGCTGAAATTGCAAATTGATTAGTAGTACAAGTGAAGCAGTTGTGTGATAGTAAAGCAGCAGTGAGAGGTTGCAGGGCCCCACCTGTCCACATGCGAGCAGTCCGTTGGAATGTGGCGTTGTCTGTCAGGTACTGCCGGGCCACCACTGCATCCTGCACCAACACAAGGAAGGGCAATCATGCCAATGCTGCAGATCTCTGTGCCCGCACAAGTAATGCACAGCAAACACTGCGTGCCCTGCTAGCACCCAGACATCATTGAGGAGCACCCATCCATATAATCTACTAGAGCCAACAGGCTGACTTGCACTTTGGTGGATAGTGTCCCTCGGATATGAATCCACAATCGCAAATTACTTGGAGTGATTTGAGCGCTGCGCTGTCCATTGTGCAGGGCTGAAATTCGGTATGCTGCTGATCTCTCATCACCATCCGCGCTAAGGCACAAGGGGCGTGCCTGGGGGTCATCTGGCTGCGGTGAGGACAGCAGGGCCTGCAGGGAGAGCAGCGCAGTCTTGAGGGTCAGCGCTGGGCTCCACTGGTCCTTCAGAATGTCCAAACAGATCGCCCCATTGGCGCTGCTCACGTTGGGGTGCCACACCTTGCTTCTGAACCGCATCTTGGGCGGCACAAAGGGGTACTGGTCATCTGTGCCAGCACATGCCCCCAAATGCTCAGCTTGTGTCCATATTTGGAAAATTACCTCTTTATAACTGAAAACTGATTGAAGATGGTCATGCAAAAGTCTGGATCCAAGAAAGCAACAGCTGCAGAATGATGGCAAGGTTCTGCATTACTGCAGCACAAAGTGCATGGCAGAGCGCATGTCATTAAAGAGCTGCTACAGAGCTCTTTGTAGCAGAGCTGCAGCAGCAGCGGTGGTGCATTGGCGGTTCAGCAGAGCTGATAAGGTGTGGGACGTGCCTAGTTGGATGTCGACCACAAAGTACCCGCCCTCATAGGCCGTGTCCCTGGGGCCTACAACGGAGATGGGATGAGGCAATTCAGCATTGCAGATAAAGTTCCCATAAAAGCGTCGTGTACGTGACAACGTCATCAGCAACAACTGTTTGATGACAAGAGGTGCAGGAAGTGAGGAGAGGGGGATGTACCCTCAACGAAACCAGTGAGCCTCTGCAGGTTGCTGCCAGTGAGCTGCACAGTCACGCCTGACGTCCTATCGCGGTCGATCTCCTTTAGTTCTTTCTGTTGAGGCGCATGATAGAGTGTTAGATTGGGGGTTCGGTCAACTTTGTGATGTTGTAGGGAGTGGCTTGGAAGAAGTATTCTAAAGTGAAGCTGAATGCAACATCAATAGATAAGTCATTGTTGGTTTTAGTAATGTTATTCTTAAAGCTCACAAGATGTCGAATGTTTCTTTGTGAGGAAAAGTATTGCGGAAAAGGCTAGTACTGCAATACCAGTATTCTCAACTCAACTCCTTCTCAAGCGCACAATGGATTGTGAGATTGCTTGCCTGTATTCGACCAAGATCTACCATCCAAAGGAGCTAGGTAATCCCGTGTCACCAATATAGCAGCGTAAGATCTTGTCGAGGCGACTGCAGAAATCAGGTATACTTCTCACCCCTAATTAGATTGCAAGCTTGAGAAACAGTGCTTAATGCTGCATCCCAACAATTCTACAATTGCGATATTGCGCTAGTGCACACGAATGCGTTGTCTCAAAGGGGGCTCGTGCCTAAACTTAGGCATTGCCAGGTCAGCAGATGCATTTGCTTGATTTGGGATGATCTCCAATTCAGATCATGGGCTATAGAACAGCGCATTGAATCTATACAACCTTGAGACTTCTTGTATGTCCATCTGAGCAGTTTGTGTCAAGACGCGCGTATAAAGAGGAAAATTTCAAGTCATTGACAATCACTAGGCCATCCCAGCCCAGCAATTACTGCAACGCTTCATCTGTCTTGCAGATCCAATCGTTCAACACAAGAAGTGGCGGCAAATTTATTGGCGTGCAATTGTCGAATTTAAATGTGACACTGTGGAGTTGCACACATGGATGCTCTTACTACTCAGCATTCAGGACCCGTGTTTTCGGCGAGCCCCATTCCTTCCATCAGCTCACGTCTTCGTCAGCAGAGATTTGAAGGTGTTTGTGAAGCCCCCTAGCTTCTTTTTCAGCGCCGCGACGTGCATCTACCTCCATCACGTATACGCTGAGACTTGAAATTGAAGATGGACATCATTGAAATCTCTGAATCCAGAGATCTGTTTCATTCGGATTCACGGCCTGTGGAGTGTGATGCACATGTCACAGACGCCCGCTGTCACACTGAAGTTTCTTGGAACCTTCATTGTGCAGGGCGGTGTAGATCCAGGCGCCCCCACAGAGGACTCCAACATGGAATAAGGGCATTCTTCACCACAATGCAAGACGCAGCCGACTTGGGGTCCTGTAACGTCCATCTGACATGGGCATCCAACGCCACTAACCCCCACAGCAGGAATGCGCGCATGATCACGGTGGGGGCCCTTGCAAATGCACTTCTTGATCAGTCCCGCAATGATGGATGCTCAGTCGGCTGATCCTCCACAAGACACCCGGTTCAGTGTCATCTGCATGTCAGTTATCGCTCAAGATGGAGGACAATGCAATCTCGGAAATACCGCATGAGTTCCCGCATGAATTCTCCTGGGTGTGCCTGCAGCGGACGTTCTCAGCGCAGCATTGGGAGCAGCTGCTGAGGGTGCTGGCCTGCTCAGACATGACACTGCGGCAGGTGGTGCAGCGGTGGCCGGGCATCGCTGATGTCAGCGTCGCCGAGGTCATGAACCGGCTGCTCTGCCTCAAGGTACTGCTTCTAACACATCGCCCGGTCAAAGAAGCCCAGCATCCTGTCCTTTGCGGATCTCACGTGCCCTTGCACTTCATGAGAATTCCATCAGATACATCTTCATGCGTGACATCGAAGGGTTTATTGCTGGCAATCGTGTAAGGGCAGTCTTCAGTTCAACAGTGCTTGCTGGGAGGTGACAGGGGCTTATTCCTGGTCCTGAATTTTGCCGCAGAGGCTGCTGCCGGGGTGCAATGTGGCGAGCATGGTAGCGCTGCAACCGCAGATGTTCCTTGCCAGGACCACGGATCAGCTGGAGACGCAGGTGGGCAGTGCCTACGACATAATCCAGCGCGATCTGCCCACCTCCTATGTGGATGCAATGATCCAGGTGTGTCTGATGTCTGCATGATCAGCCCCCCTGCAATAGTCACGTACTGCACATGATTTGCCAAACCTTGAATGATTCTGTGCGGGCAGTCTTCATATCGACATTCCTGGCATCAATGAGGGTGAAATTCAGCCATGCCTGTATGCAACCCATTCTTAGAGCATATAAATTGTCCTCAGTGGCTTTTGCAATGGCACCCCCTGATGTGACGAGTTCCTGAGTCCTGCATGTTGTTCTCATTTTTAGGCTGTGGTGTGCTGTGACAGGATCGGCCAGCAATCCTGTTCATAGATGTGGGCTGCCTGCCGAATGCAGTGGAGCAGCTGAAGGATGTCATTTCCTATCCCACCGACCCTGCCACACTGGGCAACCTCCTCTGGGCGGTCAAGCAGTGAGCTGTTGATTGTGAGAATGTGTGCTGCAATTTTGTGCAGCTGTACAATATGAGAGTTTCCGCCCATTTCAAGTGCCTTGACTGGTTTTTGAAGAGAGATGGTTTTCGAAGAGAGATTTACAGGAGCATGTGGGGTGATGGGTGATTGAGCAGATATGTTCACCTTGTACTGGTGGTGAGGGCGTTGCTGTTGATGGCATTGATATAATGTAGACTACCTTCATATGTGTTTTGCGCATCACTTAACCGGATCTGTTGCCTGTGGAATTCGAGTCAAGTTCTTTGAGGCTACTGGTTGTTTTTTGTGTGTGCCGGCGTAACGGTGGTGTTGTGTGCCTGTAACTGCCTGGAAAAGGAATCCTCACATTCGAATATTTTACCTGATCAACTTACATGTAATGCAGACAACCGCAGACAATTGTAAGCTAGCTTTAGGCCTGGCCATGGCTTGAGCCCTCGAGCTCGTCAGGAAAGTTCAGCTCTTACATGTCACATATGTGATGCATCTGAAACATTCTGAAGTGCACTCAATACCGCTCAAAGCAACCTGAAAACCCCTTGATAGTATCAAGTTGATACACACCTGAAACCAAGCTGTTTCAGCCCAACTCAGCGCATGTCGGCCACTTTATTTCAGCCTTCCCAGTGTTCTCCTACTGTGGCTAGCTAGCTGTAGCGGCAGTGCCGCAGGCGGCCGCAGTGCACATCATTGTAAGCAAATGCTGTTGCTGCATGTCCATTTGCATTTTGTATCGGTGGTGCATAGTCTCAGATCTGCACGTGCCAGAGAGAGAGAGAGAAACATTACATCATGCCAGCCAACAAGGCTGATTAGATGTTCACTGTATCTAGATCAGTGTCTACGCGTCCTAATGAGAGTCTGATAAATTGAGCCACCTGTACAAGATCATCTTGCCACATGAACTGACGCATAGTGGTAATACAGGGCCTAAACAGGCTGTCATACCTAGCACGCAGATCATGAAGCGCAGGACATTCAAAGACAATATGCCGTTCATCACCAATGGCCTGAGTGTTGCACAAGTGACAGAAACGTTCCGAGCGAGGTACTCGATTCCCCCAACGACCCTGATCAACTGGAAGACCGTGACAACCAGTACGAAAGCGATGTGGTGCGCCAGAGAGAGAGAGAGAGATTACACTTTTTCCAGCCACACAGGGCTGATTAAGCGTCCCACATATCTCAAACCATCAGTAGCACACACGTCATGAATACTCGAAAATATGCATCCCAGAACGAAGACAAGTATCAACTGCCAAAAAGGACTGCAGGCTGCTTGTGGATGTATGTCGGTCCAAATCAGCGACAAGTTAAGGGCAGGACATGGACGCAAATCACAGGCCAAACAGATTGTGCGTGCTGCGGGTAGGTCCAGCCATTTGCTGTCATTGTAAAGACTGCCCAGATCCTTGCAATAACAGCGCTTCTCGGTGAAACAAGCAAGGGGGGTACCCAATGCCCCACAATGCTTGCCGCCACCTGTATTGCTAAGCTACTACACAGCAGCATGTAGACCCGTACCGAACCAGCAATGCAAGATCACCAAACAGATCCTAAGACCTGCACTTGCACTGTGGATCAAGTACCCCCACAAGGAGCACAGCTGAGTGGTTTGCAAAGGCACACCTGGACTGGCAGGTGTTCAAGGAGCTGCAATCAGGTGAAAACTGCAGGAGGTTAGACTGAGATCTCCTCAAAAGCCCCAATACAGCTTGTACGCGCTTTGTCCTAGGTTTGGACCAGGACCCTGAACATCCTGCCTGGGTTTGGCAGGGCACACACAAGAACGCAACACCGCAAAACCTGCTTGTTCTGTAAAAGGTCTCATGGCCATTTCTATTATTGCGGTCGATTCTTCGCGTCAGACAATGATGCAAACAGCCGTCGCATCCTTCTTTTACTGGTAATGGCGGCTGGCGGCTGTTGCCTCTTCCGCCCCAACCAAAGAGTGGCCGTCCTAGATATTCTTACTACTGCGTCATTAAGATCAATTTATTGTTATGCTTCCCAGCCGCTATCGCCTGGCCTCTGTCTGCTCCACTTTTGTATACCCACATTGTTGCTGTCAGGGCCGCCTCTGTTGAAGCGTCGCTTTATGCCCGGCGATTATTTCGTCTAATTACATCCTTTTCATTGAAACCTCTGTGATGTTGCCTGGCTGCTGAAGCCCGACCCAGTTGATCAGTGGTTTATGGTGATGCCGTTAACTGTAAAGGGCCGCCTCTATCGAAGCACCTTGCCCAGCCATTATATATGTTGCCATGATTGTCGAGGAGCCGGATCCCGAAGGACCCAGGCCCCACCCAAAGATCTCTATAAATTGTTAGATGTGGTGCGCCAGATGTGGTGCGCCAAACATCTTGGACTCTCCCTATGCGCGTCTCAGCAGGCGTTCCTGCTGGCCAGAGGGCCAAAGATAATTTGTTCGTCCACTAATCTGCATCCACAACTCTGCTCTGGCTATCACCCCCTGTGGGTTTCTTTCGGTCGCTGACGAAGCAAGGAGGCCCAGCACTGTAGGTGCCTGACGGTGCAATGCAGGCAGCGAGATGTGCGCTTCAGAGGTTCACCAGCAGGGCTCCTTCACAGCTGAGGCAGATCCGACAGATGTCCGGCGCTGTCTCACATGAAGAGGAGATCAAGCAGATGTATTTCTGGCAGAAGGTCTCACTTGCAGGTATGTAGCTGGACTCTCATCAGTTGCAGTAGGGTTGGCTAAGCGTGACCATGTCAGCTCTACGAAGCATTTACTATATTTATTGATCTCCTATAAGTATTATGGATTGATTTCTCTATTGTAAAGGGCAACAAGTTGTATTGGTAGTCCTGTACAGATTTCCCTTTGTGCCAGTCTTGAGAACCTCGAGGGGAGTTGGCCGTTTGCTCAATGTTGCCTTGTAGCTACTTTGGCTTGTATACGCATGTAAATAATAATTTCGCCTAATTTTTTATTCTGATTTTCTGGGTCCTGCTCTGTGCAGCCATCCCAGTTTGCGTTGGAGTTGCTATATGGGACCTGTCTCACGCCCACGAGCACGACCATGATCAGATCCAGTACCCCTACATGCACATCCGCACCAAGGACTTCCCGTGGGGAGCATGCTCGCTCTTTGACACACACTGCTGGGAGGAGCAGAAGGGAGGCCACTCCGAGGAGTGATGCGCTGGACATGTCTACCTCTGTCTAGGGACAGACTTCAGTCTGTAGGAAGCAGTGGTGAATGAGAGGCACCGGAACAATCTCACCGGGATTAGTTCTATCACAAGGCCAGCAGCATGACAAAGGCCTTGCAAACTCCTATGTACGGGTTTTGTCTTCAAGCTGCGATGGGGAAGTGGCCTGCAATGCAATTAATTTGGAAGACGTGCATGCTTGTAGCTACAGCGAACATGCAATCTTGAGATGAGATAGAGACATTACACGCATACATTACGTCGCATTGGCCTCTGACTCTCTCTAAAAGGGCAGACATTAGACATTCCGAGCTCCTCTAGAGTGCTCTGCATGCAAAAAGGAGCCAAGGAGGCCTGTCTTGCAAAGAATGCTATTTAATGGAGCGCAGCAATTGCACATGCGCCATATGTTCCAGACCGGTCCACATCAAGATGCTGCACAGCTGATTGCAGCTTGGTTGTGACTGGTCTTGACTGGCAGTGCCGCTGTTCAATACGGTGTTCATCAATGAATAATTGGGATGGTCCTGCACAAAATCCTGCCTGCACTTTATAAGGCAAAGAATGGCTCCGCTCTTTGCACTCATATCTAGAGGAAAGCGCATCAGAGTCCCAGGCCGCCGCCCATCTCAAAGAGGAGCGATGCGGCCTGCTCCTCATTCCCGCCGCATGCAGCCAAGACTTCCAGGCACTGCTGGCGCGAGAAGCCCAGCGCCATCAGCCTCTGCACGCTCTCTTCATTGCCTGCACAAGCATTTGAATTGGACCTTCTCAGAGCCTGCCACAACACAAGACATCCACCTGCATACTTAAACACCTCGCACATATATATATAGCTCATGTTTGTGCTGACTGACTTGGCAGCGTCATGGTCACTGTGCATATGGGTCATACACAGTAAAAATTCAGCCATTGACAGTGTCACTGTGGATAGAAGCTTCGTCTCCAGTTGCACCTTGCGCAACAGCGTACAGTATTTTGGAAATTAGATGCAGGCAGGCCAAGGTGACAGAATCCCACCTGAGGGACCGCCGCGAGCTGGGGCAGCAGCAGGAGCCGGCACGGCGGCTGCGGCGGCCGGCGGTGGCCGCACGACGGTCTGGCCGGGCGCGCTGGCGGCGCGCGCCGCAGCGGCCGCCCCGGCAGCTGCGCTCGCGGGCTGCTGTGTGGCTGCATTCGGCTGGGGTGCAGGTGCCACTCCTGACGGCCCTGCATTGTGGGCAGAGAGAGAAACTAAGGACTGGTTTAGAGTCTCTTGTAAACAACATTGATGAGACTTGAAGCTGATGGAAGCTATCAAAATGGGAATGCGCCCTTGCGTCCTTTCTCATATCCTTAGGCAATCCTCGTGACCGGGAAGGGAATAGATGAAGTGCAGGATTCTTGTAACACTTCTTGAAAAGGAAAAAATGGGCTACGTGAGGCCAGATCAGAGCAAAGAAAGGTAACATGAGCCAGAAGACACCCACCTGCTTCGGGCTCGCCCTGCATTTCAAAGCGGACGCTCTCGGGCAGCTCGTGCTCGGATAGGAATGGCAGCGCCTCTTCAGGCTCCACATGGAAGCGCAGCTTGTTGGTCTTGAGGTCGATGTTGCACTGGTAGCGTCGCAGCATGTCCAGGCCAAACAGGAAGTCCGGCCCCTTCTCCATCACGGTGATGCTCATGGGCAGGTATGTTGTACTCACCTTCACGCTCACCTGCAAGAGCATGTGACACAAAGTGAACATGGTTGTCCGCGCTTGGGAATCCCTGCATGCACCCCTGATGGAGCGCAAAGCAAGGCAACAGGACATAAAGAGAAGGACCATCAATCCTAATTCTGCACCTATGCCCAAGCAAATGACACAAGTGAGTCTCAACACTGCACGACTTGATCAGGGAATCAGAAACATACAATCTCTGCGCCCTGAAACCAACAGGCCAGTACAACTTTCTATGTTAGGAATCCATGCAGAGCTCATTTGCGGCAACTGAGGACTGCACAGGACTGAAATGTGGGCGATTTGCGGCGCAGCGGTAAATCTACAACAGCGCGCACCGAGTGCACGCGGCCGACGATGGGCGCGGAGCCGACGCCGCGCGCGATGCCGGCGAAGCGAGTGTCGACGAGCCGCTTGATGTTGCAGCGCTCGGCCGCCGCCTCGCTCATGATGCTCGTCTGCGCGCCGCTGTCCACAAACGCCTTGAACTGCACCCCGTTCACCTGCGCATTCATTCGACAGCCATTCTGTACTTTACCTACATGGATGCGAAGTAGCCCACAATGAGCAGTGACACTTGCCGCCTACGTCGTCACCATCTCATGTATGCTGTCGTTGCACGCAAGGGATAGAAGCTGCAGAGGCAGCAGGGGTCAGTCAAGCGCCCGCCCCATGACCATGCTAGGTGATGCAAGAGGAGTCCACGGCAAATGGCAGTTGCTTTCAAATTGCCGTGCCTGCTAGTAGGTAGGCAGGCTTTGCCAATAACAGTGGAGAAATAGAAAGTAAGGGGTCATGGGTCCTCAGAAGAGGTCTCCCAGGGGGTTGTGGCGCACTGCACAATGCAATTAGAGACGCAGGCTCGCATAGTAGCGTTGAAGAACACTACGAGGGTGCAGGAAGGGCTCATGGGCCAGCGGTGCAGTGTGCTAGCGGGATGCCATGCAGTGCCAATCTGACCAGGCTGAGGGGCCTACCTCCATGTCCACATAGAGCATGGTGACCTGGCTGAAAGACTCCGGCATGTGCTCGTAGGCCGTCTGATAATTCTCCTCCACCTGCATCAAATCCCCTTGCATCATCACGTTCACCGGAGCAAACTCTATCAGCCATGCGTTGCACTCACGACGGGCGCTTGGGATGCAGATTAAAAGTGACTTGATACATTAAGAGGCTCCATTATTTCAGATGATTCAGATTCAGATGATTCCATCTGAAATAATGGACATAAAGAATCCATATGATACCCAGTTCCGATGAAGTAGGCCTTGTGGACTAAGGCCTTCAATGGCTTGCAATCCGGATTAACATACTTCCACAGTTAATCCACCATACAAAGGACATTGCAGTCACCTGAGCCTGGCGGATGCGCTCTGCGATCTTGGCCTGCGCTTCCATGTCAAAGGGGTCAGCCGCCAGCAGCTCCATTTCTGCCTGGCGCTCTTTCTCGGTCGCCTGCTTGTGCGCGTGTATCTGCCTGCAAGGGCATGCGCGAGATGTTAGCGTCATCATACATACGTGGGTGGTTCATGGAAGACACTCCTTAACCACAAGGTGCAGCTGGAACCACTTTCAGCACAGGTCAGTCTCGTATGGTGGAATGAGCACCAGCAAAAGCCATCTCTTCCAGGAAGTTACACCGCCTATACCGATGTACAGACATGGTGTAAAACGCACACAAGCCACTGTACCAAATGAGGCGAGCAACTTCCTTAGTCCTTACAACAGATGACTGCCCCTTTTCATACAGTAGATCAACTTGTAGACTGCACAGAGCATAGGATAGGCAGATGCCAGGAGGCATGCATCACCTGAACACGCGCTGGAGAGTGTCTATGTCGCCCTGGTTCACAGCTTGCACGAGGTGCGCAGGCAGGTCGCTCATGACCCGGAGGTTTGAGCGCGCAAAGTTGATGAAGGCCTGTGGGTCCAGCAATGCCCCATCCGGACCCGTGCGTATCACCTGCAACAGCACATTCTCTGATCGTGCACACAATCTTGTGGTGATGATGTCATCAAAACTGACTGGCCGTACATACACTGGCAATGTACACAGGTGTAGTGGCTCTTGCCATGCAGAGTCATGGAAAATTTGCTTTTAAGGGACTTCCAGAGGTGGCGGGAAACCTTCCCAACTTAGCGCATCCCAGGTATTTTGAGGGGAGTTGAGAATTGCCTGCTCCATCTGTTGCTGCGGGGAGGGAGCTGCTGGGTTGCTAGGCTGCGCAGCCGGGGGCCTTCGGGTCAGAACCACCAAGTCCTGGTCCTGCACGCCGCTGGCAGCCAGAGTCGCCCTGCACAGCATATGTGCAGCGCTTGGACACCTTCTGTGTTATCACAACGCCTCAACTCGAAGGATGCAGATCAGCTATGAAAGTTGAAGGCCATTTGACACTTGTGCTTTTCGAGGAGGAACCTTCGAAGTTCTTTTCAGCGATTGACCTTGGATAGTCCCACCGTCAGGCCTTCGAGCCATATTTCTTACATCCCAAGAGCTGTGCGAAATGGCATATCCACAGCAGGTAGCAAGGTAGGAGATACGCATGAAATTCCAAATTCTGTCTTCTCTTACCCCGTCTGCAGCGGCCTGCCGTTATGAATCAAGAGCTGGTCGCCACTGTCAATCCCAGATATGCCAGCCAGATTTGCCTGCAGAGATGCTACGGTATCTTCTGGTGCCACCTGAACGGTAGAAATTATCTTCAGTCTTGCTCCTCCAGTTTTAGCGCAATAGGTTCAACCAAAAGTGAGAGCACCAACCTCCATCTGGAAAACATCAGACTCCAGGCTGATTGTCAGCAGCATCCTGCAAGCAACTATTCAACCCGAATATTTTGAATGCTTTACTCTCCTTCTCTGAGACAAATTTTATGACTGCGAAAAGTCTAAATCTACAGAATCCGATCAGTATATTTCTTTACTTCACAGAGCACAAGCTTAATATATTGCAATACTTTTAGCTGGAAATCTTTTAAATACCGACCAACACAATTGAAGCAGTCAGTGATGTGTTAAAATGATGTCGCCAGCAAAGGAAGCTTCGGGAAGTCCGAGGAGGACAGAAGCCTGATGAGGCAACATGACACAGGAGCACTGCAAGTAGAGCATGCACTTTGCTGGGCAAAATATGTACATGGTAATCTGTGCACACGTGGTCCAGGCTGACTCGGAGGTTTGTATGCACTGCCCAGCATGGACATTTTGGAGCACATCACAAGACGCCCCGCACAATATGCAATCTCCAGCACCGCGGCCGCGTATACGAAGCGCAAGCACTTATTGCAGCTTTTGTGCACTGTATCAACAACATTGATGCATCATGCAAAATCAATGCGGGTTGCTACTGCCACAGCCAAATGACTAGCTGCAGCTGTAGATACACGGCTGGTCGCGCAACTCTTGCCAGCGTGCGTCACACACCACGTCATTATTTTAGTCTGAATCCGCTTGATCAGATATCACTTTGCAGATGACAGATGCATTCTTGCGCAAGATCACATTGCTGGCAGGCATCTCCATTTGCTCATATAGCATTTGTTTAGCTGGGCCAGATTCTATGAAGGCTAATTAGGTGCATTTCCACTAGGATACTTGAATGAAATACCAGTCTGAATTGGAGGTTGGCGCAGGGTGTTTGCTGGTGGCGAGAATATCAAAGCTAGACTACATACCATATACTTTTATGTACATGTGCATCTGCAACATTTCTCTGTTGTTCCTGCTGGTAAAAACAAACAAGCTCTTGGACTCATTGATTTTGTTATTCAAGGGTATCTCGCATCAGTGAGCGCAGGTGTCTCGCCAGTCCAATCCATGGTGTGCGAATCCAACACTTCAACCAACCAGATTTATCTGCGCCCTGCCCTATAAACACAATGGTCTCGAGCTGAGTGAATGACGCCTTTCGATCGGGCCAACAGAGAGTCTGCACAATGATGACTTGAAAAGTGGTCTTGTCCCATTGCAGCATGCATGACATACTCCTTCCCCATTACTATATGGGAAATACACATTATACCCATTACTTCGCCTGAGACACTCTGTCAGGGTTTGCTTCCAACTGCTTCTTGAGCTGCTCTCTCTGCTGCTGCGAAATCATCAGCTCCTTTTCTACCTTGGCCTCCTTCCCATCACTTCCCTCTGTCTTCCAAGACCCCTTCTTGCCCTCCTCTGCTGTCACCTCCTTTCTGGCCTCCTTTACCTCGCCAGGCTGACCTTCAGTGCCTGACCCCTTCTGCTTCAGCGGCTGCTGAAATGCCTTGCCTTCCTTGCTAGCTGCCTGGCCGCCTGCCAATGCTGACTCAGCCGGAATCTTGCCAGCACCCTCGTCACCCAAGGCCTCCAACTCGGGCTTCAAGCCAGTCTGTAGTGAGGGCGCTTGGTTGTGCCCTGGCATAAGTAGCTTAAGCTGTTCTTTACTGCCGTCTACGTTTCTTGCAGTCTGCTGCGTCACAGCCCTGTTTGCGCCGTCCCCTGTCCCAGTGCCGCTTCGCAGGTGCACTCTCAGCTTGACTGCGTTGTGTGCTGGTTGCACCATTGGCCTGATGGCCACCACAAGAACGTACAGGAGGTAGCTGATTCCAAAGATGATGATGGCGCCGTTGATGATTTTCATGCAGGCTGACTTCGTCTGCGGGTGGCTGGTGTTGTCCAGATAAGATCCCCTCCATGTATGCTGTGGGGAAACGCCCATAGCTTCGGGATGGCAGCTGATGCTGCAGCCTCAGGATTACCCTACGCGGACTTCCAGGTATCAGCGATCAACAATTTGGGAAGCAGTAAGATGATGGATGCCTCTATGGTAATTCTCAAGTTAACAGTCGTGTGTGATCTGTATATGAGGTGCTTTTTATTCCTGCTAACACCCAAATAACGCCAAAGGATCAACAATTCCCCTCAAGTACATGTGCAATGAGACAACGATGCAAATCTGGTGCGCGACGCACCCTCAGCACAGGTGCCTCCAGGTACAGGAAGACATGGGTTTTTTGCTTGTGCGGTCGATACCAACAAGCTCCCTAACTCTTTTCAGCCTCAAATGAATGTCTGTGGGATTGCTGCTCTCAAATACATGTCGGATCGCCGCTCCATTTCCATTTTCTTTCTGGAGCAGTGTTTGACAAATTCGCGCATCTGCAATTCAAAGTTTGAGGGACTGTAATATATCCACCCTGAGATACCCTGCATATATTGAGGAAGGGATTTCATCATCTCAACCCTCTCGTCGCCGGAGGCTTCTGAGCACGATGAGGGAGAATTGTAAAATGCATGTGTGCATTTCGCATATTTCCCACTGTTCTCAAGTGAAGTGGATTTTCTTAAGGAAGTAGTGTTTGAGTATCGCACCAGCCCATTGGCATCAAGGCAAAAAATAAGAGACGTTGGCCATTCTGAGTGCCTTTGCACATGTGTTCAGATTTAAAGAGGATTTGGGGAGTTTTACGCATGCTCTTGACTACTTTGTTCTGATTTTGCCTCGAGAATTTGAGAGGCATGGTAATCATGGTATTCTACGTGCTGGCAGCTGATCTGCCCTTGACTAATACCACGATGAGGGAAATTTGCAAAATGCATGTGTGCATCTTGCAAATTACCCTCTGTTCTCAAGTGAAGTGGACTTTCTTAAGGAAGTCGTGTTCGAGTATCGCAACAGCCCATGTGGTCGAGGCCCAATAAAAAGAGGCATCTGCTATGAGAGCCTTTGCGCATGTATTCGGATTTGCAGATGAATTGATGAATTCCACACATGCTCCTGACTATGCTTCTCTGTTTTTACCTCAAGAATTTGAGAGGCATGGTAATCATGGTATTCACCTGCTGGCAGCTGATCTGTCCTTGACTGATACCACGATGAGGGAATTGCAAAATGCATGCATGCATTTTGCAAATTTCCTTGTGTTTTCAACTGAAAAGGACTTTCTTAAGGAAGTAGTGTTTGAGTATCGCACCAGCCCATGTGGCGTTGAGGCCCAATAAAAAGAGACATTGGCTGTTCTGAGAGCCTTTGCGCATGTGTTCGGATTTGCAGATGGATTGGGGAATTTCACGCATGCTCCTGACTAGGCTTTTCTGTTTTGCCTCGAGCACGGCGTGCGCAATGCATGCAATTCATGACATGTGATCACCGTGGCCGCAGCTGTCACAGCTACTTCAAGGCAAGGTGCAACACATTACTCATCAGGATGGCCTTTTCAAGGGTATCTCCTATCGTGGTTTGACGGCATAAGATCGAATTCATACATCTCAGAGATCCCATCATGAGATATATGATATGTCTCAGGTATCTCATTACATGCAGGCTGCATTCGGAGAGGATCCTCTACCAGTGGTCCTCAGCATCACAAAGCATTCAACACTCTATCAATATGGGTTGGTGCAGTCAAGTTCATGTTGTATTCACTTTCAAATACGGTAGTAGCTCTCAGAGAACCCTCAACCGTTGAACCTCGAAAAGAATGGCCCATACGGCCGCTTGCAGATAGCATCAGATGAAAATGTATTGAATCTGCCTCTCTCCTTCTGTAGACCATAGCTGGGGATGAATAAAATGAGGCTGTTGCTTTAAAAACCTGCAGCCCCAACACTTGAACGTCCTTTTGCTCCAAACAATCACCCACTGACCATTGCTCACAATCTCGTGGCCCAACAAAATTACACAACACATACTCATCATGGCAAGAATGCGACAGCTGCTATCTACTGGCGTAGAGCAGTGCGCACTTCTGTCAGAAGGTTCGTGACATGACCCAACAGAGCATCATACGGAAGCTTCTCCGCTGGCTGCATCGTAGTTTCGCGGCCCCTTGCGCTGCTGCGACCATCCCTCAACTGCTCCTGTGCACGTCCAAGCAGGATTTTTTATTGCTGAATTACACCTTCTTGACATGTCTGATCTGGCGCTGAGGTGTCCTGCCCAAAGCTGAATGCAGGGCAGGACAGGAGAAGCTCTGGCGCTTGTCACACATGTCTTAGCAGTCTTGAGTGTCAGACAGATGTTCCTCTCCTCAGCAGGCTCTGCACACTCTTCAACAGGCCATTTTTTGTGTGGAAGCCACTGGATCTTACAGTGCCAGAATGAGATGCTAAACATCAACGCACCTAGTAGGAAAGGCAGGTGCGCTCCAGGCAGGTACGCTCCACCAAGACTATGCATGTTAGACATGATGTTACAGTCTTTGCGGGGGTGACTCACCGCCTTAGTCGAGGTTGAGCGCTCGCTGCGGCCGGCTCCTGATGTGGCAGAGGTCCCCCCAGTCCCCCAGGCCGGCTTTGCTGCGGCTGACTGGACCGTGGGTACATCCTGCCGGCGGCTGGGCTTTGTCACTGGGATGTAGTTCAGGTCCAGGTGGCTGTTGGTCCTCGGCTTGATGTTTGAGTATCCAGACCTGCAGGCGAAGCTTAGCACAGTTGCAACAATATTGCATGGGAACAATGAGGTCTGGCCCTGAGACTAGTCACTAAGCAATAATGGTCTCCTGGGAGGAGCAGAAGGACTCTCAGGTAGCACATCTGAGCATGACAACACATGCACAACTTCAAGATATCCTTTCTAGACTTGTCAAGCGCCGCTTTTGTCAATGACATTTCTCATGAGTGACCATCAGTGACTGAGGTGCAGTGCTAGAAGCGCACCCGTTCTTAGCAGTCTGCTTCCCAGAGCTGCGCAGGTCGCCGTTTACTGCTGAAGAGGATGTCGATCTGCTCGCCTGTGGTGGCGACGTGCTTGGCCTGCAGCCCGCCACAGCAACAGCTTGGAAAGATGCAAGAGACTCTCGTGCTCTATGGTGCAGCCACACCCCGAGAGCATGTTTAAGTGACCTGCACTTGTCTCAGCGAGGAAGTATGTGCAATTAGATGCTAACAAGATGAGGGGAGCGAGATTGAAGTGCACCTGGAAGGCAACACAGCCGACCCGTCAGAGGCGCAGCTTGCGGCAGCGCGTCTGTGAACTGTGGCAGCATTGCTCCCGCCTGCCTCGCTGGGGCCCATGTGACGCACCCTCTGTGCAGCCTTGGAACTGACCGACCTCGGCGATGCCGGCGCGGCAGAGACGGTGGGGCCCGCCTTTGACTCAGCCGTGCAGCTGGAGCCGGTTGACGAGCTGGCGGCACGGCTGCGGCGGCCGCTCCGGCCGGAGCGCTCTTGGGAGAGGGTGTGCGCCGAGCCGCTGCTGGTGCAGCCGCTGCTGGCCGGCCCATTGCTGGAAGGCTGCAGGCTGCCGTCACTTGTCAGGGCGTCCAGCTCGGCAGCGGAGGTACGCCGTGACACGCCGGGGAAGGTGACTGCGCCGTCGTCGGCGAGGTGGAAGTCCGGGCGCGCACTGCCGGGGCGCGACAGGCCGCTCGGCGGGTGCGGGAACGGCCGCGCGGGTGCCGAAACGGCCGCCGCCGTGGTGGCCGGAAGCGGGGCAGGCCGCGACGGCTCCGGAGAGATGTTCGGGACGCGGCCGGGGGAGCGGGGCGTCGGGAATCGCGCGACATGGACAGCCACCGGGCATCTGGGGGACTCCAGCTTTGGCGTGCCGGGCGTCGGCGGGCGCGGCAGCCGCGAGGGGATCATGGCGCGGATGCGGGGGGACCCGGGCTGCGAGGACGCCGAGCTGGGGCGGGGGATCCGGGAGGGGGACTCCCCCCGCGGGGTGACCGGCCGGCTGAGAGACTTTAAGGGGCTCCGCAGGGGCTGGCTCGGCCACGGCTGCGGCTGCGCCCCATCGTCTGCGGCGCTGGAAGGAGCGGCGATTGGCATTGCCTCAGGCTCCGCTCCACCCACCAATTTCTCCCTGCCGACAGGAGAGAGCTCTATTGGCGTGTGCTGCTGTAAATGTCAAGGTCTGGCAAGCCATAGCATAGCGCAGCACAGCAGGGTGGGCTCATGACCTTGCCAAGATTCGGGCACACCTGCTGCGGCTGACCGCATCTTGCTGGCGGTTGCGCAGGCGGCCCTTCAGCTTCTCCAGCGCGCTGCGCTTCCTCTCACCCTGATCCTTGCTCGCCTGACCCGGCTCCGCGCCCTGGGAATCTCCCTCCATGCTGCTGCCAGCCGCATAAGCTACACTCACACGCTCCTCCTTTGCATCGCCCCCCTCTGGATCGGCCTTGCCATGCACAGCCACAGGGGCTGCCGTGTTGGCACTCCCCTTCAAGGAAGAAGAATTCGCAGCAGATTTGTATGCGTCGCCGCCACCGTTCCTCCCTATCTGTGTCTCATCAGCGGCCTGCTTGCGCTGCCTGTGATGCCCGCCGTTTGGAGCAATTACACCCACAGCCGTGCTGCCCATCGAGGCGCTCGCTGAGTCAGCACGCCGGCTGACATTCGACGATGATGCGGACGCGAGGAACCTGACAACGTCGGCCACAGCAGCGCCCTCACCAACCTCCACGCCGAGCAGCGCCGCTGTGTCGTCAGCGCTGAGCGGATCATGCTGAGTCAGCATGTGCTGGCATGGTGGCTGATATGCCCCGGTGCTGACCTGGCTGTGTGTATGGTCAGTGCCAGCCGAGCCATTCCCCTGAGCGCTGTCCTCTGGGGTCAGGAAAGGGTCCCCCTCGGACCCCCCAGAGTCTGCTGTGTCCGCTGTATCTCCCTTGCCTCCTAGGGTTCCCATTGTGTCTGACACTGCGTGTGCCTCGATCGGCGCGGCAGGGCGGATTAAGCCGTTCCGCACTGAACTGGTGAGGTGAGACTGGGAGGCTGCCAGGGACTGGGACGGCTGCTCGCTGGCACAGAAGGTGTTGGCAGAGATTGTGACTGGGTAGCTGTGTGGACTGAACTTGGCCGCTTGCTCCTCCAAGGTATCTGCAATTGCAGATGAGATTGCTTAAGATCATATATCTAAGCAGAGGCAGAGGCAGATCTTGCATTCTGCAGCAATGGGCCTTCACGCTCCTGGAGTCTTGCTAGAAAATGCTTTAATCTCGAGAACCCTCTCGAAGTGGCACTGCCATAGGTGTTTCATGAGAGGTGATCTCATGGGTGCGTGCAGGAATGATTTATATTTTTAGGAGCTGATGAGCACAGGGTTCCGTGGATTGGGGAACAATACCTTGCACGGCAGTGTTGCGCGCAGGCGAGAACTCTTCCTGTGGCAGGGAGGGCGCAGGCGAGGCAGCGGCGGTCACGTAACCTCTGCTCAGCGGGGAGGCCACTGTGGAAGGCCCTCTGCGCGGGGGCGTCCCATAAACCTGGTCGATGCCGCCTGACATGGCAACACAGAACCTTCTGAGCCCACCATGTGCCAGACTCTGGGCTCTCATATCCTACATCTAACAAACTTGACCAGCTTGACTTGCCACACATGGAGGCACCTGATAAAGAAAATCAGGGCTGCAAGATTAACATATCTGTCTGATGGAGCTTATGAGGCTGACTTTGATGGGAAGGAGCAGAAGGGAGGAAATATACCTCTGACAGGGCTAGCAATGAGGACCGAGTCGCAGTCAGACTCACTGACGGGAACTCCGTCGCTGCCAATCCTGAAGGTGAGGCATGCCTCAGGATCCAGCAACACCTCTCCTGAGATGGGGCTGGCTGCGCAGTCAGGCTGTCCTGTGGCCCCCAAGCCTAGTCTCTGTGCGCTAGGCTGTGCGCTGACCACAGCTTCCTCATCCATCCAGTCTGACAGAGTGGCTCCGGAGTCAAGCAGTGCCTCGGCTGTCCTGCTGCCAGCGGCTGTCAGCTCCCTCCCTGGCAGGCATGCTGCAGGCTCCCTGCAGCCATCTGTGCCCACGCAGTAAGACCTCCTCAAGGGGTTGGTGGGTTCTTTGGCCCCTGCTGGCTCCTCAGGGCAGCTGCCGTTGCCACTGTAGCTTCTCCGCCTGCTGAAGTTTGATCTCCGCATGCTCGAGTTGCTCTGGACCACTGTGTGCGAGTGCAGCTCTTCTGCCTGGGCAATCACCCTCTCCATCCTGCGCAGGTACTGCTTGATGTCCTCCCTCTGGCTGCCATGGATTGGCTCTTCCATAGCCTGCACTCGTCAATGTCATGTTCAATATACTGGTGCAGCAGGACTTGATTGAAAACTTGAATGGCGTGCAAGAATTTTACCAGAATTGCATCAGTGCTCACCCCTTGCGCTGCCAGCATGTTCGTATACCTATCTGGAGCGGTGTACACTGTAGATCTGCGAATGGCAAGCATCAAATGTTATTGTTGGCAAAGTTGGAGAGTTCTACGAGTACCTTGTGCTCCAGACAGCAAGGTCCAAGCATTTTAAATGAAGACGTTATTGTTAAATTTGGTCCCTCGAAGGGTCGTGTTGGATCAGCATTTTCACCTGTGGTGCTTACGAGTGCTTGTACAACTTCTCCATCTTCTTCTATATAGTTTTGTGCGCTTTGCACCTAGGCCTGCGCATCATGATGGTGGCAAGAGTAAGGCATTGATTTTTGTGGAGAACTCTGGTGCTGAAAGAACGAAAGATATTCTTTCAACCGTAATGCAGGTTTTCATTCCTTCGCAATCGATAGTAGGATTCGTAACAGTTTCATACCGTGCACGTTGACGCGGCGATTTCCCCCTTGTCGCTTATCATCCGTTTCTGACTGTCTTCATTACTGTTCGAGGGTCCGATTTGGCGGATGCGGCAGTTGAATGGATACAAAGAGCGCTCGAATTTTGCCATCAGGTTACGTATCAATAGGGCGGCGTCCTTCGCCAGAGTCAAAGTCAAACATAGTGTCGACAGTTCTCGAGGCTGATTCCCGAGAACGCAAGTGTGAATACTCTTCCTGACGCAAAGAATGACATGTTCAGCTTTTGCAGATAGAAGAAGTCTTCTCTAGTTCTATAGTACACATTCTGAGATTCAGCACTGTCTAGAGTGACATCCAAGAGGAGTCGCTTCATTGCTCATCAACCACGTGAAAAGGAGTTTAGTTCGATATTTTCATTTATTTGAATAGCGACTGCAATGATTTTCAAGTCATATACGACTTCCCTGGAAGGGAGTCTGTCACCATCTCTGTCTCGCACCCTATGATTCCAGCACACGAGAATGGTGGTCCTTGGAGCGTGATCTAAGAGCAGGAGGCAAGCTAAAGCCCGCATGCATTACCATACTCCTAAGTGAAGCGTTTTGGCAAAGCAGAGCTGTTCGATCAGGTGCTGAGCACAAACGAAAGATATTGGTCCATTGCATCATGTAGGCATGTGTCAAACGATTTAATACATTTGAAGACGTGAGACACGGGGACAAAACATTGATACGGGGAACAGACTGCGTCAAAACCTGGTGCTGGGACGATTCCCATGGGGGCGCATGGCGTCTCCCAAGCTGCAGCCCAGGCCCTGAGACAGCTGCAGGATCAGCTAGCTGCCGCGTACACTGACCTTGCTGCCTGCCAGGTAATCCCCTTTTTGTGCCATTCGCTCTGTCCGCAGGCTTGCAACACTTGTTGACACCTTGTCCCCAGGGATGCTCTTCACACTGTACGGTATCCTCTTCAGAAGCTTGCATGCCATGCCAAACACAGTGGATGTCACATGCTTGTAAGGTTGTCGAGGCCCTGGGATGCCTGACAGGAGGAGAATGCAGCTTTGCGAGCGGACGCGAGGGACATAATTCAAGCGCAGCATGCAGAGGTGGTCAGCAGCGAAGCTCGGGCCACCAAGGCTGAGGAGGATCATGAGGCCACTCAGGGGCTCCTCAGGGAGCTGAAAACAGCGCTGGAGGCTACTCTGGTGGACAACGCCAAGTGCAAAGCGGAGGTCGCTCAGCTTGCAGAGCTCAAGCTGGCCCTGGAGAGCTGCAGGTGAAACAGCCGCAGCAATGCAGTCCTTTATCCACCAGATGGAAAGCTTTGGCCATGTGTCCGTTTTGTGTGCACTTGGACGTACCCATCTAGCGACAGCAGCATGAAGGAGATGTCAGCAAAGCAGCTTACCACATTGAACGGTCAGCTCATGCAAATGAGTGCTCAGGGAGCACGCACTTGAGGGAAGCATTGAGCAAGAATAAGTGCCCCTTAGACCAAGCCAGGCCTGTCTTTGCATACCTAATGCATGTCATATCTAAGCATGCCCCACCTTGACTTCAGACTGGTCTTCAGGTCGAGTGGATTAAGCAATTGAAGTTGGGATGCGGAAATGATATTTTATAAATGAGATATCCCTGGATGTAATGTAGCGACAGTGATAACACACAGGGTCGCGCTGCAAGCAGCAAAAGAGAGGCAGAAGGAATCGGGGGAGCGCGCAGCGGCGGCTGCATCCGCGCAGCGCAGCGCCGAGGCGGCGGCTGCCGCAGCCGAGCGGCGAGCGGCCGATGCCGAGTGCCTGCGGCGGGAGGGCTCATCGGCCGCTGTGCATGCGCAGTCCCAGCTGCAGTCATTTAAGCAGTGCCTGCAGGTGTGCCAGCTGTGCAGCTTCCGTGCATAAGTAAATCCTCACAACAATGCAAGAATCCACTGCATTGCACGTTTGCAGCATGGCTGTGCTTGTCATTGCTGCACTTGGTGCCACAGGACACCAAAATGGATCTTTAACTGGGCTTGCTGCCTGCACATATGGCTGTCACACCATTGTGGGTTTTCTCTCTTGACCGTCGCGCACTTTACTCGCGTGCTACTAAATACTACAGTAGCCTTTACTGCTCGTGATCTAAAACCCATTGGCATGGTCTTACTCACATTGCCTGACACTAATTTGAATTCCTCGTGTGAGCAGGAGCAGAAGAAGGAGCTGGAGCGTTTGGGAAACAGCAACGCTCTGTTGGAATTCCGCTGCGATTCTGCAGAGGCGAGGGCCGATGCGCTGCAGGCGGAGGCAGCCGAAGCTGCCAACAGGCACGCGCAGGAAGCAGCCAGCCTCAAGGGTGAGTCATTTCTCTGTTTATTTGAATACCCTCTGGCCTTTGATTCAATCATATGATGTCCTAACAGGGAGTCCTATTGATGTGCAAGGCCCACTCATGCTTCCAATGACATGTGGCTACTCTTGATTTTTCCGAAATAGTCCTGCAGTTCTAAAACAGCTGCTCTGCACAGTTCCTTGATTGGTGTGCAAAGATGGCAGCACTAGGAGACAGCACTCTGCTGGTTTGTGCTTGGAAATTTGAATGATTGCACTGCTTACGATTGGTACTGCATGGTTGAGTGATCAGACACACATGGCTGTGCAGAGAGGCTGAAGGAGGAAGAGGGCAGGAGAAAGGCAGGGGAGGAGCAGGCGCTGCGCATGGATGGGGTTTTGACAGCGCTCAGACAGGAGGCCACCGCCCTCAGGCTTGCTGCTGATGAGCATGCCAAGTACGTGTCTATCTTCCCACACGCTTAAAAAAAACTGTGCTTTTCTTAAAAAGGAAACTGTCATTAGGACAGAGCCCCACTGCCTTTAGAGGTGCAATCATGCTCTTTGCACACCTCTTGCCTGCACCTTGACAGCCGGCATTACAGGGCCTTCTGGACTCATTTGCCGTACAATCATCACCACCCATTTGGAAGTTAAAATTGCCCGTCTCAACATTCCTGACAGCAACTTGTGGCATGCTTTCCCTTCCAACCTGAAAGATGGAACATTCAAAACCTTCGTAAGTCTTCTAATGGGCAGTCAGGAAGACCCAAATATTGTGGTGGTGGCAGTGAATCCAGCAGCAGCAGCATGTGATCGCAGCACCCGCTCAGCTTCATCCTACCTACCTACCTTCACATCAGCACAAGGTGGTACTTGGCTGGTCAAGGGATCTGCAAGCCCTTGTATAAACACCCTTGAATTCAAAATCCTGCATGCAGGGGAGTGTGTGAGATGCGCGTGACGGCAGAAGCGGCGCAGCGGTTCTTGGACCAAGAGAGAGGCATGCGCGACGCCCTCACCAATGCGCTGCAGTGAGTCATCCCATCTTTCAAAAACAATCTTTTCACAGTGGCCAGCTGCCCCGTACAGCATCTCACCTTCTATCTGCCTTGCCCAACTCCATGCAGGCCCTTTCAATGCATGATGTGACATGCAACTCAGCACAGTTTGTCGTCTGCTTTCTTGCTTGAATGCCTGCCTGACACTTTCTCTGGCACTCACGGAGGGCTTTCTGCTGATCCCCCTTTCCTGCACATGCTCTAGCCAGGTATCCCTCGTTTGTGCATGCAGTCGCAGCTCCTCATTGGATAACTAAGAAGATGTATTGAAAGACCCAGGTGCTTGAGCACGCACAGAACCACCTGATTGGGAATCCGGCAGCGTTTTTTAACATACAAAACATGTTGTGTCTGTCTTGCAGGCATACTGAGACCACGATGCAGCGGGTGCTGAGCCTGAATCACGCCCTGGTGGAGTCCTTTGCTGAGCCCCTCATACTGGCCACTTGCTGGCAGCAGCAGCTGCAGGCTGCTCCTGATCTCACAAGCAGTGTCCCCAGGAGGGCTGAAGCAAGCGCCTCACACCATCACAGGCGGCAGACTGACGCAGAAGAAGGTACATTTGTTTGCAGGCCCAAGCATTGCAGAACAAAAAATGTGCTTATCTTGCCAGCATGCATGTTCGAATCTGCCAGCATGCAATATTTAATGCATTCGTTCAAATCAGAGGAATAGAAGGGGCGTCTAAAGCATGCGAGCTTCATCGTGATATTGCTGCTGCAGCGTTGGAGGACAGAGAGCGAGCAGTGCAAACACAAGACAGCCACAAGAGCGATGGGTGCTCGCTGCATGCATGCCATGCAGCTGCTGGGCCGGTGGCAGGCGTTCCTTGCCTCCAGACAGGCTGCCCAAAGTGCCTTGCAGAGCAGCAGAGGTGGCTTCCTTCACCTCAATATTAGACATATTGCGTGCAAAGTGCTGCATGCACACCAAGTAAGCTGCGTCTGATAGTAAATTGGATCAGTGGACTTGTGGCCTGACCTGATTGTGAGAGTGCTGCTGCCTGTGGCTAGGGGTGACGGTAACAGGCCGGCAGCACACGACCATGTGCCTGCAGCCCAGCGGCCGGTTACAAATCCAGATGGAGCCTTTATGGAGCCTTCACGAGACACAGCTCGCATTGACCCAGGTAAGCAGGTCTCAGGTCTCATCCTGTCTGCAAGTTTCTTCACGTCCATCACACTGACCTTCATGATACTGCACAAGTGCACATCTTTCCTAGCAGCAGGCGGCCTTTGTGCAGAAAAAATGACAGAGCCTTGTTTTACCAGGTCGCTAATGTGTGAACACATACCTGATGCAGACACGCTTGAAAACAGAATCCTGCCGGCAATCGCGCGCCACATGGCAGAGATCAAACAGCAGCAGGCGGCGTCAGAGGCACAGCCAAAACAGGCCGCCAGAGTCAGGGGGACCACCACATTCACCAGCAGCAGTGGACAGAGAGGGGGGACCCGGGGGATCCCCCCTTCCACCGCTGGGGCCCCCTCCACGACCGGAAGGTGCAGCTGGGGAGTACCCCCGGCCAGGAAGCCCACCCTTGCATCAGGTGCAGCGGCAGCTTCGGGAACCAGAAAAGCAGGCACGCAGGGCAGAGCCACTGCTCAGAAGACTATCCCTCCTTCAGACCTTCTGAAGACAAGGTGTGCATGGGATCTGCACTTGAAACCTGAATGCATGCATTCTCCGTGTACCCTTCAATGATGGTGTTTGCCCTCCAATTTGTGACATTGCTAGGACAACTCGTTTGTTACAGCAAAGCTCATGCATCCAAAGGATGACTACCATTCACCGGATGCACAAAACGAAGATGTGAATATGAAGACATGCTGACAGCTGACAGCTCCCCTCTTGCATGCCAGGGAGCAAGTGGAGGCAGTGGTGATGAGTCTGGAGGATGAGCTGGCAGTGCTGGACCTGCGATATGCTGAGCTGCTCAGACAACAGCAACATCACAGGCAGTGTGCAAACAACAAATCTTCCTCAAATGACCTGGTGAGCCCGTGCCAGAGGCCCTGTAAGGAGAATCAGACACAAAGTTACAACCTGATCATAGTGCGTGAAGGGTCCTTGATAGCAAAAAAGCCCCACAAAACCCTGGGTAAAACAAAAGCAAATGGGTACTGGACCAAGGCTCCCACTTAATTCCCACATGTCTGCTACAGTGCAGTTGTTCCTAGCTGGCAGCATGTTTCTGTCAGATAATCTTCTGGCACAGTGGCGCTAGCACAACCTTTGTTTTTGTTTTTCACTCTGCCTTGGTCGAGTTCTTGCAGCTGTCAGGACTGCAATGCCGTTTCAGTGAAGGATATATACATGTTGTACACGATGAACTCCTAATGGCAGCAGTCTGGGTCCAGGATCTGGAAGAGGAGGTGGCGCATGCAGCTGCAAGGGTGAGGGAAGCGATGCAGCGCAAGGGGCAACAAATACAGCAGCTGTGGCAGTACACAGCAGTCCTCAAGACCTGACCAGAGCGAGAATGGTCGCAATCATAGTTGCACCATACGGCATTTTTAAAATTCCGTATGACCGTATATACGGCCTCCATGAAATTTTCTGCCGTATGGTGCAACTGGGGTTGCGATGCCTATATTTGTGACAACGAAGTCAAGCAGGTTTCTGCAGATTGGCAGCCGGATTGCATAAGGACCTTGGCAAGTCAGATTCAATGGCATAGTTCACTTGCATGCGGGTGCCTAGAAAGGCCATTATTGAGCACTCTCTTGTTGGGCTGGCACGCTGTCCCACCTATACAGCAGAATAAACTTGATGGCTCCTTCAGTACTGACGAGTCAAATCTTTGACAGAAATGTTTGAAAACATACTATGATGAGCAGTACTTGGTTCTGTAGCCTTTGAGTAGAGGAGGAACGAGCAAAAGGTTTCCAACGTCATTTCCTGGAACATCGATTGCACATATTGTAACATGCTTGTTGAACATTCAATAAGCACTAGTGATGGTGCAGAGACAGCTTTGCAATTGCATTGCAATATCAGAAACCTCCAAGCCATGTCATCAACAACCTCCCTGTCACCAGGGAGATCTGGTTTTGAAATTGACAGTCTCGAAGCCAAAGGCAAAACCGCTGATGCAACGATATTAAGAAGTTCTGGGAGCCTCGTCTGCTCCAGCCATGACAACATCAACATGCTTATCGTCTTTGTTGACTGCGGCGCCATTCACTCCGTTCTGCACAGCTGGCAATGGCTCCTCTGCTGCATCTGCATCACCAGCAGCATTGTCTGCTGCTCCTGCTTCTGCAGAAGTTGCTGCCCGGGCAGTCGCCTCCTCCTTCTGCCCCCCCATGACCTGCATGCAGGCAAAGCCAAACATCTCAAGCGAGGAAAACTTGATATGGCGGACAGTTTTATGTCACTGTCAGTATTAACTGAGTGCCACTCTGACAAATTAGTGTCCAGCTGTGTCCAACCAATTAATACTCCCAGCCTCAAGCGTTTGAGTCTTGATGGTCACGTAGCATATGCAAGGCGCTGGATGCATGGTGAGCAACACGTGTGCCAGCCCCCAAAAGAAGGCCTGGCTAAAATGACAAAAATTCCAAATACGATTGTGCATGAAGGCTAACAGAGCAAACGAGAGAGGGCGTACCCTTTGTGGTCGTCCTGCCTTCGGCTTCGGTCCCCAGAAGGCCTCAGGGTTTGGGACAAAGCGCGCAACCTGCATGCCCATAATATTCGCATTCAAACAAACGGTTGTGGAGCTTGCAACATGCGGGACGTTTACCTCGGGTTTCTCCCCCTCGCGTCCCGACAGGCTGCACCTGACACAGCCGCCTGACAATGCCAGCAACCACCCTTAGCAGAGCTAGCAAGGGGCTTACAAAGAAGCAGCGTTGCCCCCCCCCGGTGTATAAGCTTCTTCTTCCTAAGCCCGTTGAAACAAGAGGCCCCGCTCTTTCAGGGATGCGGTCAGCAGCGCACCTTGGCGGTTTTTGCAGCGCTGGTGGCGCCCCGCGCGCGAGCAAAGCTGGCTTTGAGCTGCGGCGGCTTGGCGAGCAGCTTGCCGGCGTACGTCTCCAGGTCTGGGGCCTTCTTGGTGGGATGCTCTTGCACCCAACAGCGCATCACATCCCAGAACACCTCGGGCGGCGCGTCTGTCTTCAGGCCGAGCGGGTTGGCGTGCGTGCCTGACACCCGGTACCCTGCGCACATGACAGGTACAATTAGTCAGTTCAAAGAATGACATTCCATGGTCCAGTCAACCAGAAGCGCCGAGGGGATCACACCCTCAGGAACGGACTCGCCGAGATTCGGTTCCCCCAGGGTGACTGGGAGGCATACACATGGATGCTTGGTTTGATTCACGTGCATGCTAATATCTCTTGTGCAATAGGCCCTTTCCCACATACCAGACAGCATGCAACCCCACAAGAGGCAGCGCAATGCATGCCTCCTCGTGACAGTAAGACTGCAGCAATGCAGCTTCCATACACCTGACTGCTGCTTGCATCCACTATGTACAGCCAATGTACATAGGGACAAAGAAGAAGAAAGAAAGAAAAAAGGAGGGCAACCCAAGGTGAACGCGCCTGCGTTGATGAGGGCCGACCGGACAGTGTCGCCGGAGGGCGGAGTGACGTGCAGTGTCTTGCAGACGGCGTGCAGGTTGTAGTATAGCGGCGCATCCTGCAGCTCCTCGCTCGCTGACGTCAGCAGGCCCTTGATCTTTCCAAACGCCGCGTACCGCTCCTTGTCCTCCTGTGGGCGTGCACCAACTAATCGTTCAACACTCCAGAAGATTGCAAAGAGTGACCCTCCCGGCTCCGCAGCATTCAGTGTGCTGAGATGCACATGTGAGAAATCCAACACCAATACAGGCACATCATAACCGGGCAATGAAGCCTCGAGGGGAAGGTCTCCATCGGTGATATTTCACGATAGCTACAATAGGCAACAAAGTGCTTGCGATGCAGAGTACTGAGACGTGCCATAGCATGGACACATGCATAAGCAGCGCACTCTACAGCTATCATACTCACAGCCCACTGGCCAGCAAATCACCTTCACGAATAAACTTGTCCAGAGAGCCACTGACAAGGGAGAGGGGTGTACCTCGATGGAGTCCAGAAGGCCCTGGATCCAGGCAGGGTCGTGGATGGGGCCTGCCCACATCGGGCCGCCCATCTGGAAGCCGCTGCCCGTTTCTGGGCAGCTTTGAGGCACCGCCGGCCCCGTCCCCGGGCTGTACTTGGTGCTCCGCTTGTTCACATGCTGCGCACGGCACAGGCAATCGCTCTTTGATCCGCTCCGGCATGGCAATGCTGTGCAATGCATGTTCTGGCTGGTTCTCACTGGGATACTAGATACTGGATGCACACAGACAGACATATATCGCTCATAAGATGTACGGTGATGTAACATCATAGAGTTCACCATCTCTCCACTTTGATCCCACATGCCAGCACAGTAGTTTGCGAAGGGTGTGCACCCAGACCAGTCTCAACAGCAAATGCTGCAAGCACTGTTTGGTTTCTTTCGATGGTGGCGCTGCAGAAGGCTACATTGGTTTAGCCACACCAGCTCATTGCAGCGGAAGTGTATACACTAGTCAAAGAAGATCAGCAGAAATGTGGGCACACCTTGCGGGCCACGCGTTGGGTGTAGAACGAGTCGCAGCCGGAGCTCTGGTACACATACATCTGCTTCATGGCCGACTCCTTCACCTTCTCTGGGCTCGTGTAAACTCGCACAAATATGCGGACGTAGAAGTCGATGCTCAGCGAAAGCACCTGCACCCACCCATGCCCACACATGAGCCCCACCTGAATGATTATTGGGCATGGCAAAAGATTATAACTTCTTTAGACTTTTGAGTGATGCTGACTAGAGGACACATTGGGGCTGCACACTGTCTCACAACCTCTTGAAGTATTGTGGCACCCTGGAACACCAAGGGACCTTGAAGGGGGACTCTTGCCAGCAGTGGGCCGTCGGGCAAGGTCCAAATATCAAGAGCCACGCTTGCATGGGCTGCAGTACGCTTCCAACAAAACTCAAAAAAATGGCCGGCTTTTTTCTCAGAGTTAGTCAATTGACGTGGTGAGAGGGCAGGCCACACACCGGCACAATATGACGCTTGTAGCGATTGGCATGGGCCTCGATGCATGCGAGCACAATGCGCAGCGCCTGCTCGTGGCAGTACGGCTTGTGCAGCGGGTAGCTCCCATACTTGGCCCAGCACGCCTCCCCGTTATTGCCGCACAGAACTGCAGCACACCGCACACGCCATTGGACCGTCATGCTTTTATACATCAACCTCCATCTGCCAAGCCTCCCTGGCCCCTTTACAGAGCCTATCTGGCACAACTGCCTCTGTACTGGGGACCATCGTGCGCCCTCCATCATCTGGCAACACTGCCCAAACAATAGGGAATCAATGCACCTCCGAACAATCCTCGATGAGACGCAATCATGCTGCTAATCTTTCAGCCGCGTGACTTACCGTAAGCACTGCTGAGTCCGTCAAGCCACCAGGAACAACAAGCAAGGGTAGTGATTGACGCAGCCAGCACTAGGAGTAGTAAAGCTGGTTCGGTGCCAGACCTGCCATGTCGGTGGCGGTGACCAGCAGGAGGCCCCCCTCTGACACCGCCTGCACCGCGCTGTCCAGAAACTGCGCGGGGGACCCGTACGGATCGAGGTCCACCGCCTCATAGCCATCTGGGTTCTGCAAATCAGCCAATAATGTCAGCCAAGAATGCCCTCTTGTTGCTCGTGAACATGGCAGTAAATCTGCTGCTTCGGGCTTGATCCTTCAAACCATTTGATGGAGCAAAGTTACAGCTTTCTTGCAAGGATGGCCACAGGCCAAAGCAAAGCAAAAACCTCCTCGTTTGAGTTCATGCACAGAGCACCAAATGCTGCTCTGGGCTGGACTGCTTTGTCTTACTGCATAGAGTTTTAGATGAGCACTCATAGACTTCCACGAGCATTTCATGCTAGGCAGTACAGGACTGGCGCTAACCTGCAAGGCCATCAAGCGCACGTCTCCCTGGGTTGGCCGGACCAGGCCTGATGCCTTTGGGTCATTGTACTCAAGGTTGCTCCGCACAGCAGCTGCCGCCTTCTCGTCAAGATCATTCGCATCTATCCGCTTCACGCCGTCAATCTGAAGCCAGACCCATGTGCTTCAAGCTACATCCCAGTTTTATCACTTATGAAAAATCCCCCACATAGGGATGTTCAAAAGGAGGGATCCGATTGAGCCAGTGACAGATGCAGCAGCACGTACCTCCAATGCATAGCGGATGGACCTGAGCCCAGAAGCCGCCAGGCCTTCCAAGATCCTGATGTCTGGATCCAGTGCGCCGTCGTCAGCCGCCGGCACCCTGCCGCTCGTGCAGGGCGCTTGTGCAGACTCCGCAGCCGCCGCCGATGCTTCCTCTACACCTGCAGAGGTTGAGGCCAAAGCCGGCTGCTCCGGTGCGGCCGCGGGCGCGGGCTCGGCATTAGCGGGCGGCTGCGTGGCAGCTGCCGCGGCAGCTGTCGGCAGCACGGGCCGCGGTTTGCGGATGCGCCGGATCGCACCGGCAGCGATCTCCTCGCGCCGCTGCTTCACAAAGTAGCGCAGGACTGCTATGGACAGGTCCCTGTTGATCACCTGCGAATGCATAATATACATTTGCCCTCTTCAATATATTTCCCATTGGTGAAGCCTGCTGTCATGCAGTGAATCTTCTCCCCTTCAAAATTTGCGAGGACATGGTGCATGTTACACCGGTGGTAGATGGATGATTGGATGCATGCTTGCATGCATGTATGAACGGTCAGAGTGAGACAGCACACTCACCTGGGCAGGATTGTAGAAGACTTCGTTGCCATTCTGCAAGATTGTGGCTTGTCCCTCCTTCAACAGCGTGTACCCCTCTGGGACAGGCACGGGGACCCTGTTGCACATAAAATAAAGCTTAAATGCATGACAATGGGACAAAAGTATGAGAACAGCATACCATAGAACAGGATCAGGTCCCATTATTGGTCCTTTCTCTGAAGGTTTGAAAGAGTGCTAGTTACTAGACGATCTCCAAATTGCAGAATGTGGACGAAATGAGGGTTGCTTGCAGCGGTGATCACGCTTACAACGCTGCAACATTACATTTTGCAAGCATAATTCATGTACACGCTCACCCTGACGGCTGACCTCCAGCCATCTGCTGGAAAGTCCTGACCCAGCTCCTTGCAACGTTCCTCAAACGGTGAGCCAGCTCAGCATATCTCAATTCTCTCTCTGCCTCGACTGATGTACAGACCGTCTGGCAAGTACGCTTGCTTCCAGGCACAGATCGCCGTTCTTTAAATTGGTGTGTTGAAGACTGCTTTTGGATAGTAGCTGTGCTCGATACTGTCACGAATTTTGTTGAGCCTGCACTAAGACAGAATCCCAACATCAGAAGTGACCCCATTCATAGCAGTCCCAATGATGAAGCTGTGTACTGACTACCCCGTGACTAAGCACCAGAACATCTGACCCTCAAGTCTCTGCTGATTTGCAAGCTCGAACTCGGGCGGCCGACTCGGGCCTACTTACATTTATATGAAACTGACGGTACCTGCAAGTAGGCGAGTGGTGGAGCTCAAATACCTGGTTTCGTACTTGGCACAATTTCAATGTGCATTGGCCTGCACTTTACTTTGTGGGAATATGGCGATTGAGGTGTAGTGTAAATAGATGATGTAAGAACTTGGGAATGACCCGTTATAGGGTCGTCATCAGCAGCCATGAACACCTTACCTGAGGTCTTGCACCAAATTCTGAACCTGTCGGTCTTCACCCAAGATCACCGAGTGGAGGGGTGAGTGCACCACCTTCAAGCGTTTATTTATTCGAATTGCTAGCTAATAATACTATTAGACACACTGAAATGTAGTGATTGCAGACTGATAGATGGTCCAGTTAAACACTCATCGAGGCGACAAGATTCTATTGTGTCTCAGGTCCACTGAGCTGAAGGCAACGTGCTCTAGAGATGCGCTGACAGTCGGTGAGGGCGCCAGTCAGACTGTACAACAAGCAACTCTGCAGTGAGACATTCCAGATAAATAGCTTTGTGAAGTGCAAATGCCCAAAAGAGGCCTCTCAGAGAAAATTTCCTTTGACAGGACTTCATGCTTTTGGGCTGGATATCAAGCGCATCGCGGTCGATGGACAAGACACCACTTTCGAACTGCGTCCATACCCAGAGGAGAACCTTCCACAGAACGTCCTAGACGGTGCGCTGTTCAGGACTGTCAATGCGATCATGCTGTGCTGTCCTTGCATATTATTACCTGAAGCTTTGCCCAAACTATGCAATATGGCACACAATCTCTGCATTGCTGACGATTGAAGTCGCATAAGAGGCAATCAAGTCATGTGTCCCTGATCTCTTTGTCCAGAAGTGAAGCATGCACATCATGTCAAATGTGACTTATCGTCACGTCTGATGCAGGCAACTATGCAGCCATGGAGGACGCCGCAGCCACGGTGGCGGACCACGCCTTCTTCCAATATGAGCGCACACTGCAGCGCGAGTCAAACCCCGAGCTCATAATCACCCTTCCACCGGCGCAATCCACCCCTGCCCTGCCGCCAGCTGGCACACCGCCACCTGCACCCGCAGGGAACACTGCAGCAGACGGGGCTGAGCAGCCCAATGACGCAATTAGTCAGCAGGGTGGAGACAAGGGGAATGTGGAGCAGAAGGAGAATGGAGCATTGGCGGGACATGAGGCCGGGGATGGCCTGCGTACTGTTGTACTGCGTGTGGAGTATGAGCTAAATGACCCTGGCTCTGGGCTGCTCTTCTGGGGCGCCTACGTGCACACCAACAACCAGGTCTGTCTGCTGCCTCTTTACTGCAATTCATCAGAGCCGCCCTGACATCTCTCATATTGCAGCCACTCTGCAAAATGGTGTAGCTGGAATGATGGACATCTTTGGGGTGGACATCCTTTGCATGACTGTCTCAGAAGTGATACAGAGACCTACGCATGCATCAATGTTGGGATTGCTCTTCATGACGGATGTATCTAGTCCATAAGACTGGGGACTTTACTTCAGGTGCGGCGTGCGAGGGCGTGGTTGCCCTGTGTGGATACCCCCAACGGAGCGTGCCCCTTTGACATGCGCGTCACCGTTGGGGCGCATGAGACGGCGGTGGCGTCGGGGGAGCTAACAAAACAGACGTGGGCGAGCCAGAACCGGCGCACCTTCCACTTCGCCATCAGGCACCCCACGCCTCCCCGGCACCTGGCACTGGCCGTGGGTGAGTCACTTTATAAAAAAACAAAAAGTTGCCCAGACCTGCTGGTAAAGCTTGTGACGCATGTGCTCTGGGGGGTTCCGTGTCTTCTACTCTGATATGCTACGCAGAGCATGGGAAGAAGCTGAGCTTGTGCAGACTGGGAGTCACTTCCAAGATTGAATGGCTGGGAATGCTATCGGAGCTCCCCTTACTTGAATCAGACTACAAACGAGGGGTTGAACATCAACGCTTAACTTTTTGGCAGGGCTGTTTGCAGTGCTGCCGGGCACAGACGGGGATCCACCCCCCATTCTGAGCGGCTGCAACCTGGATTTCAAGCGGTGCTTTGAATTTGAGTTTTAACACAATTATGAAATTTGTGGCAGGGCTTTTTGCTGTGCTGCCAAAGAAGAAAAGCCCCCCATGCCCTGTCATATCAAAAGCTGCTATCTGAGCTGTATTCTTGATGTAATCTTTAACCAGAGTCTAATTAGACTCGTGGAACGTGTGGCAGGGCCTTTCGCGGTGCTGCCCGGGCAGACCAGGGCAGGGGCGGGCAGCCCGCAGCAGGAGGAGGCAGGGCAGCCCACAGCAGCGCCAACTGTCATCACCCATTTTGCGCCGGAGAAGCTGCGGCTTCAGCTGGAGCACGCCACCAAAATATTCCCGCTGGCGTTCAACCTCTTTGAGGACTTTCTGGGCGCCCAATTTCCCCTGCGATCCTGCCATCAGGTGGGAGGGACTGGGGAGTATGATTGCAGCTGCAAAGTGGGCATTGGGGGCGTAAGGCCTAAACGTGCCCATAGTTGAATCACAAGCTCACTCTCATTTGGCCTCAAGATGCAGCAGACTGCATAATGGACTCCCAGAGAAGACCGCACTCCTCCTTTTGACAAGCTGGTTACTGGCACAGCATATTGGAGATGCTAAGAACCACCCCATGCTACGGTATCACATATAGGTGTCTGACACTTTGAATGTGAGGCATTGGCTATTGCGCATTTCAATGCAGGCTAGTTTACGAAAGATGAGGATTACATGGTAGCAATTGCTGGTGAGCAGGTGTTTGTGCCTGGGGAGGGCTGTAGCGAGGAGGTCATGGCAAGTGCTGGCATGTGCATCGCCTCCGCAGACCTGCTCTTCTCAGAGAGCACCGTCGAGCAGGTGGGCCATTTCCTATGTCGCCTCTTCTGTTGTCTTGACAGGGACGCAAAGAACTGGCATGTGACCTCACATGTCACGGTTCGTCGTTCACAGATGGATTGTGATTTTCACGCCTGTTTCGTCCTGTCGGGCACCTTCTTGTGACCCTTTGTCTGTAGTCCCTGGAGGTGTGACTCTTCAGAATGCGCGAGACAGGCGGTAGACACCTTCCTTCTGTGAGGAAGGAACATCATTTTTGCATGCCATATGGATAGCAGTGTGGGACCTGCCCCCCTTATGACTGAGTCAAAACACCAGAGTTAAAAGTTTCCATATTATTTGGAATTTTCACAGGCGGTAGAGTCCTGGCTGGTGCTGGTGCGCGCGCTGGCGAGGCAGTGGTTTGGGGTGTGGATCCGCCCCAAGATCCCAGCGGACGAGTGGCTGCTGGAGGGCCTGGCTGGCTTCCTGGAAAATCTCTTCCTTGCCAAGTATCTCGGCCGCAACGAGCTGCTCTACCGGTGATACCACCCTTTCCCATACCCCACCCTTCCTACTGTACCTGTGTTTTTCTTTTTCTAGCTCATGCTCAAGATGTGCACGATCTAAGAGCACTTTATTGAGCAGCTTGTTTTGCGATCCTAGGACCAAGTTTTGAGCTTTGCAGCTGTAACATGCTGGAGCTGTGGTTGTCACATGCAAATATTTGGCACGCCCATGTCCCTGACGTGGCAAATAGGCAGTGATGAGCACCTTTCGTGCCTTAGTATTGTTCGACACTTCCGAAAGCAGGGGGCCAATACAAAGCCACAGCGAAGACGCCACATGACATCGGCCATGACTCTTATGCAGGCGGCACAAGGAGAGGGAGGCGATCTTCCTGGCGGACGACGGCAACGCGCCGCCGCTGTATGTCAAGGGCCCCCCCGGGTTCCCCTGGGGCGCGCTGCATGCAACTGAGAGCCTCGGCCCCGGCGCTGCGCTGCGGCGCTGGAAGGTAGTCCTGCTGTTCAAGACGCTCACTTTGAATTATCCAGCTTGACTTTGCCGATCCTTAGAAGGGCCATGTCAGGCCTACAGAAGACCAGAGGCTTGCCACCATATCTTGCATGCAAAATTTATAATGATACCTCAATAACTCCGTTTCCCTCATGCATTTGTGTCTCATGTTGGTACGCTGCTTTCGTAGAACTTATTGCCTGTAGCAGCATGTCTGCAACACTTCTAGCAGTGACCGAGCAAGGATGGACATTGATAGACTCTTTGGCGCAAAACAGGCATCGGCGGTGATCCAGATGTTGGAGCAGCGAGCGGGGGAGGACAATTTTAAGCGCCTGCTCAGCCGAATTGTCAGGGCCTCCTGCCAGCCTGCCACTGCCCAGGGTGCGCTGCAAAATACCCCCTCCATGCACACAACTAGGCTTGCAGACAGATAAATTGACCCTACAACAAGCCACACCATATACATTTGATTTCAATGTATGCTTGATGTGAAGGTGCTGCTGCTCGCCAGTCCCACGTTACAGCATTCAATTCCTTCTCCACACAACTTAATCCGCTGAAATGGAAAGGACAAGCTGGCCCTAATACAAATATCATGTCGAGCAATTTCCCAGCTGCAGCTCCTCGTCCCCTTGAATTTTTTTTGGCATCTTGAGTAGGTCATAGGGTAACACAGTTACTGGAAAGGTTTGATAATTGAATTTCAATAAAAATGCGAACAGGTGCCAATCCACGGCTACTGGGCACGCACGAGTTCCTGAACCAGATAGTCAAGGCGGGCGGCAAAGAGAGCAAGCACGAGATCTCGGCCTTCCACCAGCGCTGGATCATCGGCCGCGGCTGCCCGCTGCTCACAGCCGCCGTCGTCTTCCACAGGTGCACAAGGGGGTCAAGCCTCAATCATCCACATGCAGAGTATAAAGGGGGACGGCAAGCGCATTATGTGTATTGGTCTCCACCCCGCGGGCTCTCTCACCTATCTAACCATATTTTCCCTCAGTTAAGGGGTTTTGTAGTGCCGAGGGCTGTAGGTTGGGAGCAGACTTGCCACAGAGACTTGAGAAAACGCGTCCCAGCAGAATGATTGGGGACATGATTTTCCACGTCTCTGCAGCTGTTCTCTTCCAGCTGTCCAGCATTTCAAGAAGTAATAGCGGCTGCTCAATGAGTGGCAGGAATATAACGGACCAGGAACGTAGGGTCAGCCTATCATGGGGCATGTATTGCTGTGTCTCTGTGCCTTCCTATTGCAGCCTTTCAAGAAAACAGCTGTGCGTGTGGTGGCAGGAAGCGGAGCACGCTGGAACTTGCCATCAGGCAGACAGGGCCGCAGGCAGCCAGGGCTGCCGCCGAGAAGGTGGCTGCCAAAGAAGGCTCCTCTGCTGGCTTTATTAAGGTGCCTCGAAAATCCATCTTTCCATAGGTCATAATTTTGGGAGCTTCAAAAGGAACAGCAGGGTTTGAAAGGACAACCAATGTTTATTAGCAATTGCAGTCTTGTAGTGTTGCGGATCCTGGAGCCACTGCTGTTTGTGAAAGAACCTGGCATGATAGAGAGACAGGCCTCTCACTATGATCCAATCAGGATTCATCGGCAAGAAGCCTGAGCATTGCATAGCACAGGATTGCTGACCGTTCAGCTCAGACCTGGAATACCTCGTCTAGTCAGACAAGGACGGCTCTACATGTGCAGCAGTCAAAGATGATGTCTGGGAATTTTTCAGGTGTTGGTGAGGGAGACAGAGGCACCGGTGGAGCATCCAGTCAACCTTGGCACAGCAGCGCTGAGGCTGGTGGAGCTGAAGGTGACCAGCAAGCCCGCCAAGCCCAAGCCCGGCAAGCCCGGGCGTAAGAAGAAGCTCCAAGTTGTCCATGAAGACCTGGACGATGACGGCGATGCAACCATGGCCGACGCGCCCGACGTCGCAGGTAGTAAAATTTCCACCTCATGATCCTGAAATTTCGCAGGCCTTAATGTGAGCTGAACAAGTTGACTGAGCGTTAGGTGCTCCTGTTGCATCCCTGCAGTTGGTGTGCATCGTGCCTCGAGAAGATTACCCCGCAAAATGCATGCAACCGGAATGTATTTAATTTTACCGGGAGGCTTGCCGCAAGCAGGAATGAGGCATGCCAGTGTTACCAAATTGAGCCCCCTGGAGACCGATTGATCTGAAGGGTTATCACCCAGCTCTTGACAGACAGTGACCTGGTGCCGCAAATTTGCGCAGGCGAGGCGAGCCGGCTGCCAGTGGAGTGGGTGCGACTGGACCCGCACGGCGAGTCACTAGCCGCCGTGCGCCTGGCGCAACCGGAGGTGAGTAAGTGTTTATTGTGGTGAACCGCTGGTCCGACTAGGTTCATGCAGTGGTGTTTTCTTTTCCTCCTCCAAAGAACGGGACTCTGAGGGCTTCAGGACGAAAATATTTACCCCCACGAGCAGCATCTGTGCCAGCTAGTCCGGGACTGGCCTAGAAGGTTTTGCTGGAAGTCATTAGCCGCCATGAATTGCTGCAGAAAGCCATGTCATTAAATTTGAAACGGAGAGAGGCTGTTTAATTGGGCAACCTTTGGGCAGGGGTCTCAGAGAAAGGAGCATGATCAAGCCTTGAACAGACTGTTGGAATCTCAGACATGCACGATTGTGGTTTCACCCATAGATGCACCCCTGAATACCCTTTTTTGGGTTAGGACAGCTGCGAACAAAATTTATCACTGACATGTGTGAATTAATCATTTTTACAGGTGATGGCGTCCGCGCAGCTGGAGCGCTCCAAGGATGTGGCCGCGCAGTCAGCGGCCATTGCCCAGCTGGCAGCGCTGCGGCCGACCTCCTACGGCGTCGTCAACGCGCTGCGCGCATGCATGCAGCACGCCGCCACCTATTGCCGGTAAGTGCTGACTCACCTCCTCCCACAGGATTTTGCCGTGTGACCAGTGATGGACAGGCACAGGCCAAGAGGGGCGTTTTATACGTGACCTGAAACACATCTGCTTCAACCTGAGAACGTGTACAAGATGGTACAAAGCAACGTGGCATTGCATTTTGAGCAAACATTAATATACATGTGACCCATCAGATGGGTATTGCCCGGTCTCTTGTGGCGCCTAGCCCACAAGCTGGGCCCACATTGATGATTTGCGTGACTTCCATGCACAAGCATACGGCTCTTGTTCCTGGGGCGCATGTAATTCGAAGGTGGAAAGACCAAAAAAGTCATCGCTGAGTCATCACGCATGCATGCGCAGGATCCGCGTGGAGGCCGCCCTTGCGCTGGGAGCCACGGCGGGGCCCTCCACAGCCTGGAGCGGCCTTGAGCACCTGCTCAAGTACTACCGCACGCGCATCTTTGACTCTGATATCGGCCTGCCACGCCCCTGGCAGTTCACAGACCTCTCACAACACTACGTGGACCAGGTGCGAACTATTTGCTCCCCTATAGGGTGGTGAAATGAGTGAACATCTGACTCCTTAACCCCCGACCCCCGGTTGTTGTCACCGCCGCTAGGCTTTTGATATAGAGTAGGCATGGCAGTGGCATGAGCTATGTTGCGCTGTCTTGACTGTGGAATAGCTTTATATGTACACATCGCACCATTGCGCTTGGGTTTTCAGTTGCATTTTTGTTCCAGCTCAGGCCTGTCTTTGCGTCCTGCCTTTTCTACAAGGTGCTTTCTTGTTTAGGAGGTCAAGCTGGCACTTCAAGTCCAGCAGAATTCATTTCTACGCGAGATGGTGCGCAAGAAATTTCTGTCTTGCATGTCACCCTCACAAGCACTCCCGGGGCAGATGGACTGCAGAAGAAAGAAGCCATGGACCGGAAGTGGAAATTAGCTTAATGAGTCATGTTTGCATGCATGCAGGCGCTGCCGCACGCGATAGCAGCGGTGAGGGACGCGGCCGGGCACAGCTTCCCGGAAGCTGCCGAGGCGCTGCTGGAGCACCTGGACCACGCGGACAATTCAGGCAACGCCTACAGCGATGACAACGCCCTCGCAGCCCTGCTCGACGCCCTCGGCAGCCTGCACCTGCAATCCCCCGATGTAAGAGAGACCTCCAGGGACTGATTTAGTTTCAGGTATCAATGCAGGCAGACAGCGCATGCGTCTTTGATACGCCCAATACTACAGAGCCCGACGCTGCGGGGGTCCAGTGAGTTTTAGTCTGCCCATATTCAAATCGAAATGCTGAAACTGTGGCTGCATTTTACCTGTTGTGGGTTTAAGCGGCCCTTCATCCCCATTGCATGCTTAATGACATCGCTACAGATATGGATATAGCAAGAGCACCAAACCCAAAGCCTAATGTCTGAGGGCCAAATGTCTGAGGGCGTGCATGCAAGGCGCCTGCAGCCGCATCTGCGGGGTCTACAATACACATCAACGCAACATGGAAATACGTCCTCTAATGAGTAACGCTTCATTGATTCGAGTTGGTTGCATGGTCGGCAGGCCATGGCGGGCATTTTGGATCGGCTGGAGCGCTATCTGCAGCGAGAGGCGGTCATGCCGTCCTTCCACAGCATAGTCGGCTGCACAGCGCTCACCTCCCTCACTAGCCTGGCCGTCAGCATGCGCAGCCCCCCCAAACAGAAGGCCAGGTGAGAGCCCAGCAATTACCCAAAGCCCAAGAGCTACTCTGAAGTTGAAGGCATACCTGGAGTGCCCCAATCCTCATGTCCATGATCAACCCCCAGATGATCTTGCATGGGGTTGGTTACATGTGTTGAACGGAAAAATGTCCAAAATGCGCCGGGCAGACGGCAAACTGCAGGAAGATAAGAGGAACAGCATGCTCGAGGTAGACATGAGAAGGAGGAGTGCAAACTCCAAGCATACCAGCTGCATGACCTGTGCACAATTGGGGCACAGTCATTTTACGATGACACACCTTGAGCGTGGCTCTGCCATGACAGACAGATTATTTTTGCGGCAAAGAACAACTTTTGGCTGACGTGGACGCAGGCTGAGGCTCTTCTTGCAGCGATACAGCCGGCCAGATGCGCCGCACCATCTGCGGCTGACGGCTGCGCAGTGCTCTGTGCGGATCGCGGCCTGCACTGACGGCGCCGATGGCGCGGTGCAGGCTGCTCTGGCGGCCCTGGCTGCCGAGAAATCCCCTGCTCTCAGGTGAGACCCTGCCTGTGTGTCTCTCGCCAGGGAAGCTGCCGACAAGCAGCAGCGCGGGGCAAGAAGGTGGTCGACCTCAGTGAGCTGTATCGGAGGCACTTGGAGGGCTCATGTCCACTCTTCTATGGTCTGATTCTGCGCCTGCCAACCCGACAGAGTAAAGGCTACCAAGAGGTGGTCATCGCGTCTGCTGTGAAAGGAGAGAGGCTAGCAAGTGCTTCTGCAGAAAGTTTCAAAACAGACAGAGTGCTTCTGTAGAGAGACATGCTGAGGACTTCATGCCATGTGTTTGAGACGATACACTGAAATACAGTGAATTGGGTCTGTCTGCGCAGGGGAGCAATTTTGGAGTCGTTGCTGGGGCTACTGCACAGGCCGGCGGCGGCTGCAGCCAGATCAGGCGGCCCTGCAAAGTCCGGCACAGCTGCAAAGACAAAGATCGTTTCGATGGCTGTGCTGGCTCAGCTGCATGCGCTGCTGTCTGCGCACGGCGATGGTATAAAAAGATCCCCTTTGTGTTTTCATCCTATGTGCCTCGGTGGCCTTCCAGCCCTTCTCATTGCCACAGCAGGCAGAAATTTTATGGTTATTACCCATTCCTGAACGTCTCAGAAGTTTAGCTCCCAAGGATATCCAGCACCACATACACTGTACTTCTCCTGATGATATAATCTGTTATGGTAATTCACTGCATGCCAGACAGTGATAGATGATCTGCAGATTCTGCATGCGACGCGATTTAGCAAAAGCCAGGAGCTGATGTTGTGGTTGGTGCGTTGTGTGCAGTCGGCCTGCGCCACCTGGCATTCATGGCGTTGATGCGCCTCGGCGGGCTGGCGCCCACACTCTTCCGAGAAGAGGAAAAATTCGCCGTCGCCGGTGAGCATCCCTCTCTTTGTGCTTGTCATTTTTCCGTTCTTTTGGCTCGTGAATGTCAGGTCATCCAGCCGTTGCCGTGGCTACCAAGTGTCAGTCTTTCCACGCTCGCCCCTCGGCCGTGCAAGCCATTGCCCATCATGCCACTCGCTCTCCAATGCCTCTTTCATGCAGCTTGAACGTGCTGCAGGATTTCGCAGCTTCCCCACTTGTTTCAGTGCGTGAGGTGATACTCCTCTTGCCTGGGTCTACTGATTGGATGCACTCTGTTTACGAAAATGTGTGAACAGCGTTTGCATGCATGCAGGGCCGGCGATGAGCATGGAGGTGGGCACGCAAAGGGTCATGCCGACGGCCTCCGGCCCGGCCATCTCATTCGACAGCGGCGGCCGCCGGCCGCCTGTGCTGAAGCTGCGCTCCAGCTTCCTCGCGCCCACCCCGGAGACCGCCAAGCGCGGCGCATCAGAGTGTAAGCATGCTGGAACCATCTCTTTGCTTTGCCATCCCTTTGCTTTGCAAGTCTGTGCGGGTTTACAGCTCCTCAAGTCTCTGAAAACATCCTTTTAACAGCTGTTCTGCAATTTGATTTGCTTGGTGTAAGAGTTGTGTCTGTGGGTGCAGTCTCTGGCGAGGGGAGCAGAGAGAGAACCCAGCAGCAGCCCACAAGGAGCAGTGCGCGACAGCGCAGTGAGCAGCCAATTGTGGACTTGACAGAAGTCTCAAACCGGACTGCCACTGGCGCGCCTTCGGCCACGGCTGGGGCAGCACCAGCCGCGGCAGCTGCCAGTGATCAAGAAGCCGTCTCGCCGGCGGTCACGCCGCAGGCGGCGTCCAAGCCGCTGAAGGTGAAGTTCTCCTTTGGAACCAGCTCGCGGCTCGCGCGGCCCCCTGCCGCCGAGCCAGCAGCGGCCGCCCCGGTGCCGCCGCCAGCTGACAACGGCTCCGGCAAGCGCAAGCTGGACGGCGCAGCCAGCGGCGATGGCGCCGGCGCAGGTTCTCCTTTGGAACCTGCGCCGGCCAAGCGGCAGAAGAGGAAAGAAGCGGCGCTGGCGGATCTCGCCGCGGCCGCACCCGCTGCGCGCATGCAACCCGCACCGCGAGCCGCGACGCCTCCGGCCGAGCGCCGGGACGTCCTTGCCGCCTTTGCTCCCGAGCGACCGATCGCCCGGCTGCCGTCGCCGTTTGCCGGGCCTGCCGTGCAGCAGCCGCCGCAGCCGCTGCCGCAGCCAAAGAAGACGAGCAAGGCGGCGAAGAAGGGCCGCACGACGCCGCCGGCGGTGGACAGCGCAGCCCGCGACGCGATGCTGCGGGATGTGATGGAGATTGCCCGCCGCTCTCCCACGCCACCGGCGCTGCAGCGGCCTCGGCAGACGACGCCACAGCCGCAGTCGCAGCGCCAGCCAACTCCACAGCGACAGCCGACGCCGCAGCCGGCACCACAGGGCCAGCCAGCTCCGCAGCGGCAGCCGACGCCGGTGCCGATGCCGGCAGAGGGCGCGGCGCAGGCCGTCAGCCGGCAGCCGACCCCGCCGGTGTCCCGGAAGACGCCAGACGCTGCGCCGAAGCAGAGAGCTCAGGCGCAGCCGAGCAAGCGTGAGAAGCTTGCGGCTGCGCCAAGGCAGCCTGTGCAGCAGCCGGCCAGTGCTGCGACCCCTGTGCACGCTCCAGCAGATCCTGCCATAAAGCCAAAGTTTAAATTCAAATTCAGCGGAACGGCTGCGGCGCTGCCGGCCCAGCCGCCGCCTGCCATGCCACCGCAGCAGCAGCGGCCCAGCGTTGCTCAAAGAGATAGCAGCGGACATCAGTCTTTCAAGGCTGCGTCGGCTCCTGCTGCTGAGGGCCCGCCCAAAGCAAAGATAGGCCTGAAGGTCAAGTGGTCCGGCTTGAAGGCGGCGGCTGGGCCAGAGCCTGCAAAGGGCGCTCCTGGTCATACAGCTGGCGCTGCCTCAGCTCCCACTGCAGTGCAAGGTAGGCCACTCAGGAAAATTTCCTCTACGGACCCTATCCAAGTCCTGAACACTCCTGAAGAGCATGCATTATGAGAGCTGTTCATGTTAAAGCATGCACTGATGAGACGCTGGATGGCCTGGAAAAGGGGTGACTAAGGGCTGAAGTGCTTGTGGCTGCACAGGGAGAGGGACCGGCAAGCGAGACACTGAGGAGAAGAAACAGAGAAAGAAGCAAGCGCGACTGCTGAAAGAGAAGCGCAGTCTCGGCCTATGAATTCTTTTGTGTTTCAAACGTGAGTGCGCAGCCGTCTGAGAGAGAGGGCTAAAGGGGCCTTTCACGATGCTACTTGTGGAGTCAGTGGGTATTGTAGCTGTGCTGCCGTAAGATTCTGTTCTCGGGATCAATGAGATATTTGATCCTGCAGCATGTGAACAGCAGGCCCAGTGCATCAAACTCATCATTAATGCCAGGTACTTGCCATGGTTGTGATAACATCGGTACGCTCAGCGGAGGATCCCAAATATGAGAGCCTTGTATTCCACTGGTGTGGCAGTTTGCGCGGACGCCCTGGATGCGACTACACTCCAAGGCTGGCGTGATAGACACATTTTACAAATAGATTTGGCACCATTCATGCATACATCTGAATGGTGGACCCTTGGAATGTCCAAAGGGATGAATTTGCGCTGAGGATGATGTTGAGATTACAAAAGGCTTGTGGTCATGTACTTGAGTATACTTGAAATACTTCACGAATTTACGCAGATATCCCAACAAATCATATCAGTCATAAGTACACTCGTGAGCTGGTCACTGAAGTTATCGATCACGATCTCATTCATGTGATACTACCAATCTCTTTAGAGGCACACTTATACAGTGAAGTCAACAGCTGCCACCAATAATCAGATTGTTGACTTCGTAGTCATCAGAAATACCAATTTCTATCCTACTCACGACAATGCTAAATTACCGGCGGTAGATTACCGCAGGCTTCAAGTCTGTCCTCGACTGCAACTCAAGTATTCTGACAAGCGCTCACATGAGTCTACAGGCACATTTATAGTCAAGTCATGGTCTAGGAGACAAACTCAGATCATATATGGATTACTGAGATTGAGAGAAAATTGCGAAAAGAATTGCTGCATGCAGCCGAATTCATGTTTTAATATGTAAACATAAGCAGGCATTCACACTTTCACACCCAAGCGAGGGCGTGACCATCGAAAATGGCCTAGATTGGCGGGACAGTGGCAGTAGGAACAAGTGTCACAGGGATCAAAGTAGTGGGAAGAATGGGGGTCGTTGCAGTGATGCCAGGTGTCACAGTGGTGAGAGTGGCCACTGGAGTAGTGGCAATAGCGGCTGTAGTCACCGGGGCTGGCGTGGAGCTAAAAGGAACCTGAGTGGTGGCAGAGAGAGTGCTTGGCGGCGGTGTCGTTGCTACAGGCACTGTGGTTACAGCTGCTGCTGTGGTGCTAGGAGGGGCGCTGGCTGTGGCTGCTGGGGTCGAGGTAGTGGCAGCTGCTGCTGTCGTGCACTTGTGCTTGAGCTGGCCGAGTGTGTCCAGGTCTTTGCTGAGTCCGTGCTCTTTGTAGCAGTCGTCCAACAAGTTGTGGACTGCCCTCTCAACGGCCCCCTGCAATGGATAGATAAGAGAGGGTCCGAACCATTTTCTAAAAGACACAACTACTGGACTTTCTACAGTTTCCTAGGTCTGACATTAAAACCGAGATTCTCTATTTACCCCAAACAGAGACGGTAAATGGCGCTTGTCAGTGCCATCTTGTGTGCAAGGTGCCTTCTGCTTGCAAGGCGGTGTCTAAAGGATGTCTACAGGTGCAGGAGCAATATTCGGGGGCCAGTTCTGAGAGACACAGTGCTTAAAATCGTGGTCACCTTGAAGTCAATCATATTGGTGACAAAGTCTGGTGTTGTCTTTGGGTCCTCTGCACCTGTGTCAGGAAGCTGTATGTCAGGCAAGCCTACAATACTATGGCTGCAAGACCCAGTGGCAAGAGTGCTAATGCAGCTTGAAAACGTCACCAGGGCATCAAGATGGCATTTCTGACCAGCAAATTCTGACTTGCTTGACAGGTCTTTGTGGCGATCGCTTCACGCACGCAAACACAGCAAGGGATTAACTTGCCTATTGAAGTGCCGATACATGTGCAGAACGTTGCCAGAAGTAGTAAGAAGACTCTCATCTTCAGACGTCGCGCCCTTTTCACCTGCGCCCTGCACACACTGTTTGCGAATGGATGCCAGGAACAGTCCACTGCGCCAGCCGTACAAGAGGGTGAAGCTCCAAACTTTGCACAGCAAAGTCACTGTGTTTCGAAGCGGGCTCATCGGCACCTTTGTCTAATGTGCCACGGCAGGTTGAGACAAGCAAAGCTGGATAGTTGGAAATCTAAGGGTGGAGCCGCTTGACAAATTAGCTGTGCCGTGTTCAATGCTCAATTCCCAAGCTTTGTTTGCGACACCTGATTGGGGGATGTGCAGGGCAAAGATGTCCCGTTGACTCGCACGGACAATATCGTTGAAATTCTCAGCTGTTGCCGAGGAATCGGACTCCGATTATCGGAGGTCCTTTCACGTCATTACCAAGGTCCTTTGAAAGGACTCCTTTCACGTCATTATTAGTATTTTTATTTATTTATTATTATTATGATTACAATGTCGGCAAACCCAAAGCCCGAAGGCCATAGGGCATACACACAGAGTGTCTGCAGCCACATCTGTGTGGCCTGAAGGTCTGGTCTGCAGCCCATATGGTATCATACTAAAAGTCTAACTTAGTCCTGAAGTCCAAGTGAGCCTCAGGACGCCTGAGGCGTGCGCATAAGGAACATACCACCACCCCCACAACCAAACAATGCTACACAACACAGCAAGCAAATGCATATCATAGCATAGCACGTACAATCAAGCAATCCCTATCTCAGACCAGTATCCCTCCGAGGCCAGAGTCTGGTGCTGACACCTCTGGCCCGCCACCAACGCAACACCCTTTGGGTGAGGGCGAGGATATCATGCAGGGAATCGCGGAGTGGGGCAAAGGCAACTAATTATAATAAACAGCGCATGGTAGTCAGAACAGACAAATGATCGTCCAGGCACTCTCACAAAACTTTTGACAAAACTTGAAGTCATAGGGCACCACAACTGCAGACGTCATTACCTTCATCACATAATGGAAATCCACCTGAGTTCTTTGCTGACCTTGGAGGCGGAGCAAGGCAAAGACGGCTTGGGCCGCATGTTGCTAAGGGGAGAGGACAACTTGTTGAACGCACTGCAAAACGCACTGCTTTGACACGGTCAATTGTATCTCACGGGTACCCTATAAAACCAGCGCTGCAACCGTTGCCGCAGTCGCTGCCGCGGCCGGCCGGTTGCCACCGCTTAGTGAGCGGGCGAGAGGATCAGCCTACTAGGATGCTCTCATGTTAAGAAATCATGTAATTTTGGAAATAGTGCCCTTTTCCCCCGGGCACGTGCCAAGAGGCAAGGAAATCGTCCAGTGTGCCAACCGTACAACAGGGCGAGGCTGCAACCTTTGCACAGCAAGAACAATGTGAGTTGAGGCAGCCTCAGTGGTACTAGTCTCAAATGTGCCACGGCAGGTTGAGCCAAGCAAGCTGATAGTATTTGGTTTGAGGCTAAAGGTAACTGTGCCGTGTTGAATGCCAAGGCTTTATCTCTACACTCTTTGGAAGTCCGGGAGAAACACGTCCCATTGACTCGCGAAATGGCCTTGACCTCCTGGTTCACTCACGTGAAATTTGTGCTGTTGCGTGCAGTTCGAAAAACCTGGGTTTCACCTCATTACCACGATCACGTGGCGAGAAACTCATGAAGCCACCTTCTCCTGCTGCTTCATGTGACTCAGGAGCGCTCGAAATTTATAGAAGCTTGGGCTCTTCAGTGTGATCTTCCCCAGATTATTCGCGATCAATCCATTTGCCTTTGACGGAGGCCCGAAAGGCTTTGTGGCAAGTTTTATTGAATAAGGGTGCCCCTGTGTGCTCAGCCCTGAAGGGGGAAGCCCAACATGTTGGAAATGGCCCAATCAATGTGTAATCCGAGTCTCACTTTACTTACCGACAGGTGCGAGCACCAAATGTATTCCCATAGCGTGTCTGTAGATCTGAGCCTGGGAAAGTCTGCCAGGCGCTCGATAGGGAAAGTTTGACCCACAATTCTCTTTGGTGCCCGTGCAGAAATGCTGCTGCCGCAAGACAAGAACTTAGCAGGAGCCACAGCAGGTTCTTATCCTTCCGAACTTTGCTCCTACCATTTGCTGAAAGCCGTGTTCTCCGCAGCATCACTGAGGCTTCCATGCACTGCAGATTAAGGGGCTGCCCAAGACTTCATCCAAGACAAAGGCTTCAGAGGCAGCTTCTTACCGCCAGTGCAACTATCACAAAGGAGCAGCAAAGGCACGCGTAGAAGTGGTTTGCAGTCCACCTTTGGCCAGTGTTGAAAGCATTGCAGACGCCACAGTGCCCACAAATGTGACTTGTATTTTTTTTTTGTCACAGCACTCCAAGCACAAGCGGCAGTGAGCACCTTAACAGCGGTACCACACCTGCCAACATCAACTGGGATGAACTGGGTTTTGGCATTGATCACACTGCACCGGTATGCACTGATCCGCGTCCCCCTTCACCTTACCGCCTTTCAACCATGCAAGTCACTGCGCATGCTGTTCTCGAGAGCAAATCTAGCGTGGGGTGCCCTGCATGGAATTCAATCATGTCCCTCTGTTGTGCAGTACATGTACAGAGCGACGTACCACCCAGGCAGCGGATGGGAGGGCGGTCTTGAGCCCTACGGGCCGCTTCAGCTCGACCCCAGTGCTCAGGTGCTCAACTACGGGCAGTCGGTGTTTGAGGGCATGAAGGCTCAGCGCAGCGCCAAGGGCAACATTGTCCTGTTCCGGCCGGACGAGAACGCCGCGCGCATGATGGCCGGTGAGTCACTGCTACACTGGATGCTAGCAGCACAATTTTGGGCGCCAGGTCTTCACAAGGACCGCACTCTGAGCAGTTTGTGGCATCTGCAGTACTTTTGAAGAAAAATGAACAGTGGCTTTATGAGGATTGTGCCGTCTCTGCAAGAGTCCTGGTCATTGAAACGCGACCAAGGCTGGTGCAAAACGCAACCAAATACATTAGACGCATTACTTCTGTCAGGCTTCCGTCAAGCCGGCTGCAAGCTGGGCCTCAGAGGCTGCAGATTGGTGACATCATCACCTTGCAGCTCCTTGGTGTTATTGATGGTTTACTGCGCAGGCGCGGATCGGCTCAGCATGCCGCCGCCGCCGCCGGAGCTGTTTCTGGATGCGGTTCTGTCGACGTGCCGCGCGAACGCGCACTATGTCCCGCCGCAGGGCAAGGGCTCTCTCTACATGCGGCCGCTGCTTCTCGGCACCGGATCTATCCTTGGCCTGGGCCCGGCGCCATCCTACTCTCTCGTGGTGTACGCCGCAGCTGTTGGCGCGTACTTCAAGGTGCTCTTTCTTGCTGATCCTGCACGTTGGCGATTTGTTGTGTACGACTTGGTGCAGGCCCTGTGAACACACCTATCGGAGTCTACATCCAGCAGATTCTCTTGCGGGTAATGAGGCATGTCATGGACTAGTACGCCTCATCCCTGAGGTCAACTGGGGCCTTAGGGTCCAAGGAATTGACATGGTAGCTGTGGGCTAGACAGGTTATTTTCGGTGCGCCGAAGCAGCTACTGGCTGTGCAATGGAAGGGTGCATAGGAAGCCCTGCTGAGCGGGAGGCTGTTAGCATTGATGACATCCCCATTGATCATTGCATCACAAGCCATATGTGTTACCCCGGCATGCCTCTGCTCAGCGTGAGTACTGATGAGGATGCTGGAGGAAGAGTGTGAGAGGCTGTGGTGCTGTGTGCAGACGGGGCAGCTGACGCCGATTGACCTGATCGTGGAGGAGCGCTTCCACAGGGCAGCCCCTGGCGGCATGGGCGGCACCAAGGCTGCTGGCAACTACTCCCCGGTGCGTCACTTTCATGCTTTTCCCTAGCCCCCCAAACGTGCATGTTCAGCACCGTTCCCGAAATGCCTGCAGGATTCCTGCGTGTTGCTTGGCTTTGTTGGGGCCAGCGGGTTGTGTGCAGACGCAGTGATGTGAGGACCGTGTGCGGAGGATGTGACGCGAAGGTGCATGTGATGTGCAATGCTCCACTTTGGCAGCCTTCACATGCAGCCTGTCTGCATATGCACCTGGCCTCGGACAGGATGTGCGGATGTGCAATTAGTAATAACAATGGCACTCCATTCCTGATCTTGAAGGTGCATGTGCGGATGCAGTAACGTGAAAGTGCATTTCATAGCGCAGTACTCAGACCCTTGGACTTTGTTACTCATTTGAATGGGGCATGTGCGAGCAGGTGCTGGTGGTTCAGCTGGCGGCGAAGCAAGCGGGCTATGCGGATGTGGTCTACTTGGACGCCAAGACGGACACCTATCTGGAGGAGGTGTCCTCCTGCAACATATTTGTCGTCAAGGGCAACACCATCAAAACTCCCCCTCTCGCGGTGCGCATTCTCACGCTAGTTCTAAGCCCTCCTGACCAGACGGAGGGATTTCTCTCCCATATGCTGTAATAGCTTGCACGTCCACAATCTACAAGGCCCCATATGCAGGAAATTCAATGCATGGTACCATCAGTTGGTACATTGCCTACCCCAACATGCAGCGCTGTGCATATGCAGTGCTTGCTGTCTTGTGATGCATGGATGCTTCAGAGTGCTTGAGTAGTCTGGCATTAGAGAGAATGTTGAATGCATTTTTGGGTTACTGGGACTTTGACATCAACAAGTGCTGGCTGCGCGCAGGGGACCATTCTGCCGGGGGTGACGAGGAAGAGTGTGATCCAGCTGGCGCGCCAGCTGGGCTATGAGGTGGAGGAGACCAACGTGACAGTCACTGAGGCCATGGATGCCGATGAGATCTTCACCACCGGCACCGCCGTTGTGGTGTCCGCCGTCGGCAGCCTTACTCACAGGGTGAGCACCACTTCTAGTATCCATGATAAGAGTCAACGGGGTCTCTGTGACTTTCTTGACAGAGTTTGTCCCTTGGCAACATGGCCAGTAAAACAGCAGAGCCGTGACGGGGGCTGGGTATGCAGCAACCTTCCTTGCCTGTGCTCATTTGTGCTGCAGGGAAGCTACTTGCGAGCTAGGTGTGCTTTTAGAAGCTGGGATGTATCTGCTGAGGTCATGTCAACAAGTGTATTCAGTAGTGATGCTGTGGGGATTAGTGTGTGAAGAGCTGTAGGAGTGTACCCCTGCTGCTTGCTGGCCACAGTACCTCGAAGGTGTTACCTGCGCATGGGTGGCTGATGCATGCTGGGGATTGCTGCAGGGGGAGAGGAAACAGTTTGGGGAGCCCGGCAAGCCCACCAAGACGGCGCTGCACATCTATGAGGCTCTGACAGCTCTGCAGCAGGAGAAGGCGGATGACCCCTTCGGCTGGATTGTGCCGGTGGCCTGAGTGTCGGGAGCTAAATGATATGGGAGCAGCTTTTTTATGCTTCATGTTACGGCTTGACGACAAGTTCAAGGCTGAGAGAGACTATGCAGTGCACGCTTTTGCGATTTAATCGACATGACTGTGATCACTGTGACGTGATGAGGAAAAGCAACGTTTCAATTGAAGATTACCGCAGGATGAATTGCTCTTGTTGAAATCTGCCTGGATCCCCTGAATAGGCCTCAGGCAGGCTGCCCTTTCAAATTTGCCCTTTAAAGGGCCAACTTGGAGTGGGGGGGTCCATCTGGTCTGCACGCATGCTAATTAAGCTTGCAATACATCCATATCATTCTGTGTTTTTTCAACAAGGATTCTTCATAATGCCCCTGAATCAGGGCAGTTCTGCCTGTTCTTCCTGAGCTCCCCAAGAAGTGAAAAGTATTCGAGATGTGCCACGTCAGCACTATCCTCAAATGGGAAAAGATCAGATAGAGAAAGCACATTCACACTAAATTTGCATCGGTCTCTCAGCCTTTCCTCAAGTTTGCCATAAATTAGAGTCATGTCGGTGTCATTCCAGAGCCAAAACGTAAGGTCTGCAACAAGTTCCCAGGTCCCATCGCAAAGACTGCGCCATCAAAGAGCATTTTCCAGTGGCATCGCCCAGGCCAAGGAGTGCCATTTTCACTCCCCAGATCGACTTGCAAGCACTTCTGGGAATTTTCAGGCAGGCAATCTACTGTCACCACGGTTGTGTGTCAGCACGCAGCGGAGAAATGCTCGACAGGCCTTGACCACATGTCAAGCGGGAGCAGAGAAGTTGACAGTTGCTGTCACAGGTGCTTTCAACATGCGAAACAGATCACTGGAATCTCTTTGAGAAATTAATTTCTCACGTGTCTGCTATAATGGACTCCACAGTAAACAGAATGAAGTTGCGATCACGTGTATTTTTGCAAAGATGCGTGTGGTGTTGCAACAGGAGCGACTGGTCTGGTGGGGAGTAGGCTGGTTTCGAAGCTGACTGCACAGGGTCACACAGTGAGGGTGCTCACGCGCAACCCCGGTGCAGCCACTAACAAGCTGCCATACCCCCGCGTAGAGGTCTTTGGGCCCAGCCAATGGGCCGGCGCCGTACAGGGATCCAACGCCGTCATCAACCTGGCAGGTACTTGCGCGTCTCGCATCTTCTCCTCATTGTGCCACTGCCTTCCTACTGGAAAGATGCATGCATGATGCCGCTTGATCATATCTGCTGCTGAGGTCTAAGAGCATTGCAGCAGCATGCTAAGCATGCATGGTGTGTCACAAACATCTAGAGGGGTGGATCAAGATGAGTAATGAGTCATGTGCATGCCCAGGTGAGCCAATCAGCTCCAGGTGGACGCCTGCCATTAAGACAGAGATCAAGCAGTCTCGCGTCGGGGTCACACGCCAGTTAGTGGTGCGCTTCTGCTGCCTGCCTTTTGACCGGCCTTACACAGTTCCTGGGATGAGCTTCCTCTTTGTCACTGTATTGCTACTCGTTTGGAAATATTGTATAAGCTCAAGATTGAATGGTTTGGCGCACACAGGAAGCCATCAATGCTGCACCAGAGGAGAGGAGGCCCAAGGTCCTCATCAGCACCTCAGCAATTGGTGAACCCCACATCCTTGTTCTGCTTATGACAGGATCCCTTAGGTACAACAGAGCATGGGTCCCCCTGGTAGTGCGCATACTGTCTTTGCCCGCTGCATACTTCTGATGTCAGGAGGCGGTATTTTTCCTGAGTACCGATCCCATGAGAAATTGGGTCTTGCTTGGATCTGGCCAGTCTATCAAGCGGTAGGATGTGTGGCAGCTTGTCCGCAGACGCATCATGCCTCGAGCAGAGAATCGTGTAATACTACTGCAGTAACACTGAGCTTTGAGCTCGTACTTTATTTGCGCAGGGTTCTACGGCACGAGTGAATCGCAGACGTTCAGCGAGGCCAGCAGCAGCGGGCGCGACTACCTGGCAGAGGTTTGCCGCGACTGGGAGAACGAGGCTCAGAGGGCCAAGTGCCAGCGCACCGTCATCTTCCGCACAGGTGACTCGCTTCTTCTAGCCTGCGTGTGCTGCTCGCACCTGCGGATAAAGTTTGAATTAAGACATCATAAAGTTTGTAGGCTGCTCGTAATTGTCACTTTTTATAGCCTGCATGCGCTGCTCGAGCCTGCGGATGAAGCTGGCACAGAGTTACTGAATGTGCAGGACAGAGTCACTTCTTCTAGCCTGCATGCGTCGCTCGTGCATGCGATTGAAGTTGGGACAGGTTTCTAGATGTCTTGGGACGGAGCCCTACTTGCATGCATTAAGGCTTGACTGTCCGCTGTTCGCACAATCAAGCCGGCATTCAGGAGGGTGCTGTCTCATCTCAGTTTACAGAGCAAGAACTATGAGCATGCAGCCTCAAAGCTCCAAAAAGCATTAACATTGCCTGAATTTGGGGTGCTGAGGCAAAGTGGCTGGTGGCTTTGGGGTGATGGATGGCTCTGAAAGCTGGAAAATTGGGGTCTGGACGCAGGAATTGTGCTTGCTAGGGAGGGCGGAGCTCTGGGCAAAATGCTGCCAGTCTTCAACATATTCGCTGGGGGGCCTCTGGGCAGCGGGCGCCAATGGTGCTCCTGGATACACAGGTGCTTCAGCCCACACCACTTTTGCATGCTGCAGAATTTTCACCTGTTCCTTGTGTGCAGTGCTTGACATGCTGCTGTTCATTGACGATGAGCCGTTCAAAAAGCAGACGTTATTTGGCAGTACTTGATGTGCTGATGGCCTGTGACAATGAGCACATGCCAGGGTACTAGAGTTATTGGGCAGTGCTTGACATGCTGCTGCTCTGTGATGACAAGGCAGAGCTGAAAAGCGATGTTTGCAGCATCTGGTCTTCCGCGGTAATCTTGAAACTGAATAGAATTTGAATTCGAATTTGAAATTGGGATATTCATACTCAAATTCCGGTAATGTGGCTGTGCAGGGACGACCTGGTGAACATGTACATCCAGGCGCTGCAGGATGACTCATTCTCGGGGGTCTATAACGCGACCGCGCCGAACCCAGTGCGCATGTCCGAGCTGTGCTCCTCCCTCGGCGGCCAACTTGGCCGCCCCTCTTGGCTCCCTGTGCCCGACTTTGCACTCCAGGTGAACACACTTCACACTTCTTTCTCAGTGCCCATCGATGAGAGTGTAGAGCAGTGTGTTTTTGGCGGTGAGTTGAAATTGGTGACCCTCACTAGTGCTGCTTGCAAATTTTTGTAGTGGGCTTGTCATGTTTTGGTGTATAACAAGAACTGACAACCCTGCAAGCTCAGTTCAATCAGCCAAGGTAAGAAAGCTCGAGAAGTGTCATTGCATGGGGGAAGATTGAATGTCTGTCGGTGTGTGATGACGCATGTCACAGCTGCTCAGTGCAGTAAGCCAATATTGGTAGAGCTTGAGTTGGGTCAAATGCATGGGAAAAAAAGGTGCATGGGTTTTTGGGTGCAGGCGTTATTAGGAGGGGGTGCATCAGTGGTGTTAGAAGGGCAGAGGGTTGTGCCAACGAGGACGCAGGATGCAGGCTTCCGATTTCAGTACAGCCATATTGGGCCAGCCATTTCCAACATCTTCCGATGACAGCCTTTCAGCTCAGATCAGACAGCTTTAATCACTCGTCAGATTGTGTAGAGTCAGCCATTCCAGAGTGTCAGCTTGCCAGCTATCAAATGCACTCAAGGAGTGCAGGTGGTAGTGAATAGTAGAGTGGTATGAGTGTGTAGGGATTTGCAATACTTTTTAGAAGAGAAACTGATGGCAGCTCTGCTTGTCTGCTGCTTAGGCCATATTAGGAGAGGGGGCAACAATTGTCCTGGAGGGACAGCGAGTCATCCCGAAGAGGGCCCAGGAGCAGGGATTTGGCTTCCAATTTGAAAACATCAACGCTGCCATGAGGGATGTAATTAGAGCCTAGACAGAGCTCAGATGATGAGCTCCTCCAATGAGCGAGGGCCCTGACATTGTGATGACGATTTACTTCAATTCTGCATGCTCCAAATCTGTCTAGACTGAATGCTTGAAGAGAGGCGTGCATGTGGGTGTTGGTTCATAGTGTGATGCACTTGTGTGGAGATTGATGGCATCGAAGATGAGATCATTTTTACAAACGCGGTGAAGAATAAGTAGATTTGCAGCAGCATCTCAAAGATGCATAAAGCATCATTGCAAAATCGATGGTGTCCCAGTAGTAATTAAGATGCCCATGACAACAAGACTATTTCTCTACAGTGCATAGGTACACCCTGTTGTACAATCTGGTTTGCATCATACGTCTGGACACACTAGTGTGTACAGTGTACAGAGACCCACATGTGATGACCTCCTTGATGCGCTCTGAGAATGTGTGCCGTAGCCGGTGGGTCAGGTGGTTTGCTGTGTGCTCCACGCCTGATGTAGCAAACAGCATGGCATACATTTGCTTGTAGGTCTCTGGCACATGCGGCCTTGCCCCGCCGCTGCTGAGCACATGGAACAGCGGCTCTCTGAGGAAAGCATGCAGGGCTGCCACTGGGTCTGGGGCAGCAAACACATCGTCCAGCCTCAGCGCCAGGCTCCTATAGGGCAGGTACTCCGCCAGCGCTTACACGGAGCAGAGGCGGACGTTGGGGTGCCTCAGCATGCCATCCAGCTGCACAGACAGACAGGCGCTTTCAGATGGATGCACCGTGCAGGCATGTGCCAACTAAGAATTGACAAGAATAAGCTTGGGAACCGACCTGCAGGTCATGCATCAGCCCGCAGCTGCCACCGCCCTTGTCAACACAGAGCGGGCATTCATGTATCGCATGGATTTCTTCTGCAGCTCTCAGTTCTGTCGTTCAAATCGCATCAATGTTGGCAGCCAAAGCGGAAGCTTGTAGGTAGCTTCTGAGGCCATACTCGCCCTCGCTACCATAGTCTTCAAACCCTTCTGCACCTTCTTCCAACCATCCTTCCTTGATGGCATGTGCGTATGCCCTGTGCATGTGGAAATTCAGGCATTTGTATGAGGGCGGTACAGGCGCTTGCAACTCCCGCCCCTCAAGGTCCTGGAAGGTCATCGCCCGCACATCAGCCGGTACATCATCTGGACTGTACGAGGCGTCACCCGCCAGGATAGCATCAAAAGCCTCTCCAAGACTCTGCCCAGTCAGGTCTGGGTTGAGCAGACGCACCCGCAGGACATCCTCCTCACCAGCCTTTGTGAAGCATAGGCCACCCTCATCAAACACCACCTGCGCAGCCACAACTTGTGAACAGAGGAACATGGACTAGTTGCAGCTCTTGCCTGGAACGTGCTTCCCGACTGCAATACAGAACCAATAACAGACAAGCAAACTTGCTTCAGATCATATCAACTAGCACATACTATTCACATCTGCTAGCGACAACGAGACAAACCCGAATCGGCTTGCCGAGCAGAAGGCCATTCCAGCCAGCATGCACCTCGCTCACGCCCAGCCAATCAAACATCGACTCGCGCTTGGCCTTGGGGAAGATGTGCGCATGGCACATAAGCACGCGCCGCAGTTCACAGTGAAGCACCATGCATGCCAGCTGTGCACTATCGGGTGCCACCTGCACATATTGTAAACGATCCCTCAAAGTAAGAACAATACATGTGCAATTGTACTGCTAAGCAATCGCATAACAGCAAGGACTATTGCTGCAAGGACATGTCTGCTGTCAAACCTTGCTAGATTTGTGTCAAGGAGAACGTATAACTACCACTAGAAACCTCTTACATGGTAGTAATCCTCCACAGCTCTGTCAAAGGCCTTCTTTTCTGACTTCCTGCGGGCCGTCTCCACCCGTTGCCTCTGCTCCTTTTCTTGCTTGCGCTTAGTGCCTGAGGCTCCTGAAGCCGATGAATATGATGGCTGGGTGCTTCGGCGAAGTGGGAAGGCCTCTGCGAATAGAAGGCGTTGCAACACCTGGCCCCTGGCCAACGTCTTCACATCTGCCTGCAGCTGCTCCACCAGTGGCAGCACTGTGAAGCAAAAACAAACGTCACCAAAACATGGGGACATGCTGCACACCTGATTCTAAGAAGGGCAAGAGGCAAAAAGGTGTACGCACTGCGCGACTCACACCATGTGCTTTGCGTCTGACACTGATCAATCATGTGCTAGCATGGGAGTGTGCAAACCTGGGCCCGTAAGCTGAGCTGCGAGAGCCTTTCTCTCTGCGAGGAGATCTTCCTCTCCCTTCACAAGCTGCTGCCACCTCTTCTCGAATTTGGCTTCTTGTCGAGGATCTGTTTCTCGCTGGTATGCGTCCCAGGCTTGGTTGGCATCTGCAGTCGCCTTGGCAATGTCCTTGTCCAGCTGCTCCAGCCGCTGAGTCACAACATCCATCCTGCAAGGTCAGCTGGTTATAATCTTGATTGAAGATTAGCACATGAACTTCGAAACTTGCTGACGTGTTATCTACAGCAATCTTTTGCAGAATCAACACCTGAAGAATGAGAGGTCAAAGCCAGGCGGTCGGAGTTTGGTGAACTATTCAGCGTTGTTTATGCCTTAGCTGACGACTGTGCGAAGTTCACCTCGAGAAACAGAAAGTGTGATAAATAACGATCAATGACAATCGATTGCAGTGCTACCACAAGCAGGAAAGTTCACAAGCAGGGAATGCTTCATTGACTTTCGACGCCTGAGCTTGATTGCAGTGCAAAACTGGCAAAACTTTGCCGAGCTGGCATAAGGTTGTGTTTGAAGAAACTTGATGACTGATCAACTTGTTGAGAGCTACAGGAGCAGAATTGCCAATGGTGCTCCCTCAATGTTTTTTAAGATTTTAAAATTTCCATAGTATCGTGATGAAAGAAGAACATGTAGGACACCTAATTTAGAAGCCCAACATGTGCAAATGAAGGACTCACAAGAAAGCCAATTGATTATCTGATCACAATTTAGGTATCACTGATGGTCATTATGATTGTTGTTAATGGCCGCTTTATCGTATTTTGCTAGCACCTTCCTTTCCTTTGAAGCTATCAATACCTGGTCACCAGCAACAATTAACGAACAGTCCCGATTGTGTCAGTGCTCTGAATGATCGAAAACTGCATGGGGCATGCTGTGAGCTTCAAACAAGATTGTATATGACGGGTGGGAGACCTTGCACCAGCAAGAATTTTTGTGGCCATGGCTGATCGCCATGCCATTTTTGCACCACATGTTGCTACTTGTCCTGGTGCTGGCTCATACAAAATGTCCAAATCTGACGATGCTTTTGTGAAATACAGGTCATTGTGGCGATATGCCCTCCAGAATTTTCTTCTACCTGTGTGCAGCCACCGTCCTATTGATCAGCACTGCCTGCGCAAAAGCACAGCAACCACAGGCCTCAAAGCTGCATGAAGGACTCATTGCGCTGCGAAAAGAAGCCAAATTGTGGATGTGAGTGGCCGCGTGTCCAGGATCTTGTGCATGCATGCACCTGAGAAGTTTTCCCCAAAACGTCCTGCTGCTTACAGGCCGCATCTTGTAGCAATGTCGAGACATAATTCTGATAGGGGTTTCTGCAAGCCATGGGAGCTGTTGTCCCACTCCATGGACTCTGATCAATGCATGCATGTGCATGCAGGTCCAACCATGAACAGGCGCTGATAGAGAGCTTCCTGAACAGCACCCACAAGATGCTGGAGTGGGGCAGTGGCTACTCCACCCTCTGGTTCTCCCAATTTGTGGACAAGTATTATGCCATCGAGCATGATCGGACCTGGCACCAGACTATAGCTGCAAATCTGTCCGCCCTCCCAAACGTGGAGCTGACTCTCGCTGCAGTGGAAAAAGGATACAAGGTGACTTGCTCTTACAAAGGGTTCCCATCCTCAACACAGGCACGAGACTCAGGTTTCTGACATGCTTTTTGCTGCTGCCCAGATGTATTCATGCGTTCTCTGACTGAGAAGATAAGACTTGCTGGTCTGCATCACAGTAACGATGCTAAGGAGCGATTTGTTGTAGACCGTGCGAGTGTGGCTGCAAGCGCCCTGCGTGTATGCCCTGGGGCTTCTGTGTTTGGGTTGCTGAAGTGTAATGTTAGTAATGGTTTTGATTATAGGGCTGGGCTGGAGGAGAGGAGGGAACTCGTGAGCAGTTTGAGGAGTACATAAGTGCAGTGGATCGCTTTGGAGTCGACAAATTCGACAGAGTCCTGGTGGATGGCCGTGCGAGGGCTGACTGCGCAGGTGATGTGGAACACTGAGAAATCTATTGCTGCAGCTGACAAGTGTGCAGTAGACATGCATCAGACTGTCTAAGATGTCTGTCTCCTGCTTTATTCACCAATGCATGGACATGCATGGTAATAAATGTCTCTCATGCAGAGCAGCAAACGCTGAATTGTTTCTGGGTTGGCCTTGCTGCAGACAAGGCCAGCCAGGGGGACTATTCAGCGCTTCTTGCTCACTGCACACTTATGTCTGCTCATCATTGCTTAGGACAATGCCGCTCTGTGGCCACATGCCTGTCCACAGCAGTGTACCTGCAACATGGCTCCTGCTGCAGGCAGAGATGCATCATCCAATCAATTCCATTGAATTCAAACCTTTTCAGATTGTAACAGAGTTCTTTCTGTGTCTGCAGAGTACATCCTGCCATATCTGGCTCCTGATGCGGTGGTTTTCATCCATGACTATGTGGTGCGACCATACTATCACGGCGTGGCACTGAAGCACTACAGAGAGATTGCACGCGTCAGCGATGGCCAGACACTGGTAGTGCTCAAGTCGCGCTGGCAGGGAGACAAAACACAATAACGAACTCAGGGGGCTCTAAGCTAACTTTAAGCTCCCATGATGGGGCCTGAAGTATCACATTGGAACAGGCTTTTGTTTGCATGCATGCGCAATGCAAACGATATGCCTTTGCCCAGAGCAGATAATGCTCACAGGAATCTTTTGAAATCAGTATTCACTTCTGTGGCAAATCTAGAAAAATGTTGTGCACTTAGCACATCTTGTGTATATTTCTGGAGGTGAATACAGATCTGATTCTGAAGTCAAGCACCAGGGTCAACAGTGTACCAACAGCAACTTTCCGTCACTTTGTTACCTGCAGGCATCGCATGATCATGCTGATTATCATGGTTCAATGGAAGAAGCCTAGCTAGTGTCAAGAGTTGGGATGACTGCTGATGTACTGGAGATAGGAGAATCCAAATGCACGAAGATTTGCATAACCTGTTGGGTACCCAGCATACTGGTGCGCACCGGTTACTGGGCCTGCGTGTTTGCGCAGATAGGCTGGTGCTTGTAGTTTGAGTCTCGACTGCTGGTTCACTGACTAGCTACAGATGTAACTGTTTATTACAGATGTTCCAAATTATCTTGTGGAGAGCTTTGAAAATGCAATCCTGTGAGTGCCCGGGCGGCTATTGCAAATTGCAGTTGAGCTTGAAGGGCCTCCAGATAAGAGTACACAGTAATGGGTAGAACCTGCGACAGTAACGGCAATCTTTGCCTTGTAACCTCCTGGTGTTGGAACTTCACCATGTAATATTCCATTCCAGGCGTTGGTCTGCATCCGGCTTGACTGGCAGCTGCTGAGTCACCACCGGGAAGCTGACGTCGATGTGCTTCGCTCAGGCAAGAGCCTGGCAATTCCTTGTCAAATTCCTAGATGGTCGTCTGTTCCCAGATCAATATGTCTTCCAGATTATCTGTAATGTAGGAGGCAATAGGCGCCTTCTGATTGGTGTTGGGGATGTCAAAAGGCAGTGTTGAGGATGGATCGTGCATGACGCTAGACAATACGAAGCTAGACGATTTAGTTCTGAATTTTAAACCACACATTGCTGCATCCTGTGGGCAGCCCTAGTTGACAGCGGTGCAGTGCTGGCCTGCCATAAAGCCCACATTCCGATCATGGATTGAGCGAACGCTGATCTCGGATGCCGATAGATGGACAATAGACTAGCTCGGTGACTCACGCATAGATTACAGAGCATTATATACAGAGGGAGAGAGGTTACCAAGAAGTTGAGACAGGTGTCCTGCTGCCTAGATGTTGTAGCATCCACACATTTTAGGTCATCAGCTGAGCGTTCCGCAAGCACTAGACCATAAGATGGTTCCTAGCAAACCGAGTACGTGGTTCACAGATTCCCATATCCATACTCCACCAAAATGTCCGGGGCTTGGGGACAGCTGTGCGCAGATCTCCATAGTCAGGAGCATTGGTGGGAAAAGCTTCTCCTTGGAAACTGCGCCTCTTGCTGACCATCACACAGGTAGACCTCATCAGCGGCAGCAGCAGCTGGAGCAAGCTTTCCCAAAAGCAGCCAGAGAATGCCTCAGGCGTGCAGCAGATGCAGTGTCGCAGGCCAGCCTAGCTCTGCAGCAAGCGCCCCATTCTGCATCTGTCAATCTGTTGAGACGAGGTGATCACTCACCACCATCTTGCAAACAGCGATCAGCGTCCTGCAGAGCTGGTCAGGCAGATGGCAGCAGGGCGAGCGAGGTCACAGCTGATGCGGCATCCAAGGGGAGGAAGCCCAAAAAGCAGCGGCCTGCGCCCTTTGCATCAGCGTCTGCTGCTGCAGCGGGGCCGAAGGAATGGAAGTGGCCAAACTTCCTGCAATGGAAACCTCCCAGGTGGGCCCTGTGGGTCCTTCGTTCGGCCAATCCACAGAGCTATGAGCGTGCACAGTCATCCCAGGGCCTCTGCAGGGGAAGATCCAAGATGTGCTCGTTCAGCTGGTCATGAAGCCAGCATTTATTATCTCTAAAGCTTGAAATTATCTAGATCAGGTGTTAGAAGCAGGAAGCATCTCAGGACCTGCTAAGCTGGCAAGAGCATGTAACAAGTGTATGTAAGCTGTTACCCCGGCTGGCGGGGGCAGTATAAATCTGATATTCGTGCCCACGATTGACTGACTCTTGCTTGGATCTGGCGAGTCCCACAATAGGTAGGAACGTGGCAGCCTTTACTGCAGCTTGTCTGCAGGACTTACCTTGCCTGTAGGCAGAGAAAGCGTGTAGTAAAAGTAGTAATAGTAGTAATAGTAACAATGCTGTTGCAGGGTGAGGGTGCCTGGTTTTGGGACTCCACTGTGGGTGCTGCTTCCGGCGCCAGGCTGCCCAGACAAGAAGCAGCTGATCGAGGTCCAGGACTTCTTCAAATACACCGAGAAAGCAGGTACAATCTTGGCCTCACATGTGAATGCCAGAAGCTCCATTGCAAGGGTTTGCCTTGAGCGGGTTGAGAGTGAGATAAGCAATACCTTACTGTCGCCTGCAAGCATTGCGAGCTCGTGAGTCTGCTCAGTACACATCCATGGTGGCAGATACACGTTCTGGTTGACAACCTCTGGACGTCTGCTGCATCATTTGATCCCATCTCACGTAATGCCCTGCTTGTGGATCAAGCAGCACAGAGCCTCAGCTGCCTCTCTCTGTCCAGCTCTTAAGAGCAACTGCTGCTTTGCTAGCAGTGGCTTGAGAATGGGGCCGTGGCTGCGAGTGCAGGCAGGGAGTTCTTCGAGAGCCTGGACAGGGACGAGGACGGACGGGTGAGCGTGCAGGACGTGCGCGAAGTGATGCGCCGGCGGAAGCTGCCGGAGAGCTACGCCAGCCAGTTCATCGCAGCTGCCAGGGGGCCGCGCTGGTGGTCCAATTCCATCAGGCACGTGGGATGTGATGCAATTTGACGCATGCTGTCGTGTGCCTTGCTGTCATGTGCCTTGGGCAACTATCTTAACATGAGGGCTTTTGCTTCGCAGCACTGCCACTCTTATTTATGATCTGCCCGGGACTCATGCTGGTGACAACATACAGATCAAGGCTCTTGAAAGGAGACCAATGTATTCATTATGCTGATTTGATGTTGCTGATGGGGCTTTTGTGGCGCGCAGCTGGGATGATTTCCAGGCCTACATGGACGAGCGGGAGCCGAAGATGTTGCGCGCTTTCACGTCGTTGGAGGTCAACCCGGCGGGCCAATATGACCTGAGCCACATCAAGAGTGCGCCGCCGAGCATCCCCCTTTCAAAAGATTGCATGCATGTCTGCAGTCATCAAGCGGGCGTTGATCCTTGAGCACTGATACTACGCGCTCTCCTGTTGTGAGGAGGCTGATGCTCTTATCATGTCCTCTGTGTAATGGCGTGAAAGGGAGTGTTGGCATGTTCTGAAGCCAGCTTTTGATAGTGCAGAGTCTGTCTGCATCAAAAAAGTCTAATCCATTTTGCTGGCTCTACATGCAGGCACCATCACCAAGCTGGGACTGTCGGCCACGGACGACAACTCCAAGGCCATGATGAAGTGAGACCCATTCCCTTCTTTTTCTTGACCTCCCTTCCTACTGCCTATTCCAAATTTAGGAGCAAAACCAGTCCATGCTGGGCAGCTGATGAATTTCCCAAAGAAGTGGCTGGCATGCATGGCGCTTGGGGAGATGTGGGGTGCTGATATGTTAACTTTGTATAAACGTTATATTTCATCAAGAACAAATATAAATTTCTCGCCCCCGCAGGGCTCTGGGGGCGGAGGCCGATGACGGGTTTGTGTCGTACGGCAAGTTTCGCAATTTTCTGGTGCTGCTCCCGGAGGCCAAGCTGGCCGAGGTGGACCCCAGCATTGCCTGGTTCGAGGCCGCCACCATGGTGCCCTTCGGTGTGTGGACCGTGCCCATCTGAACATCCACCCCTCGGAATTTAGTGACCAATCTGACTCTCGAAATGAGTTTATTTTTGACATTTGCGCATGACATCAGCTGCATGCATGTGGCGTGACACTGCGTCACAGCCTTTGTCATCTGTGTATCTTGTGCAATCATGCCCATCAAGGATACATTTGGGACCAGGAGGGAAGCTGGCACATCTCTGGGGATCACATGCAAATGCGCACCCTCAGATGTGGGGAGTACACTTCAGTCAGGCTCTCCTAGGCAAAATCTCCTTGCTCCCATAGCCGGAAGTGATGCTTAGCAGCCCCCAATGACTCAGCAGTGATGCACAGGCCCTGCGCATCGCAGCTTGAACTTGGTTGCCCTTGTGACAAGGCTCGGTTGCACAGGCCCCCCTGCGCAGAAGGACAAGACGGGGAAGCTGCTGGTGCGAGCGGCGTTGGCCGGGGGGATTGCGTCGGGCACAACCACCCTCATGATGTACCCTTTGGACACCCTCAAGACACGCGTGCAGAGCACCGCCGGCGCCACCATCGGCTCCATCGTCCGCTCTGTGCCTGACATCGGCGTGCGGGGCCTGTACAGGCAAGCCAATTGCATGCATGCTTGGTCCTTGCAAATACAGGCATGCAGTGGTGAAGAAATCTGACGCAGTCCTTGCAGAAGTGGTCCTTTTACTCCCCAGCATATATTCCAAAACTTTATAGACTAACACAAAAGTCGAAAGTCAGGTGAAGACTGCAGAAACTGCTACAGGGGATGGTGCCTTGTGTGTTGCATACATTGCATGCAAATGCCAAGGCCGCCCCCTCTCCCTGCTTGGCGCTCACATTGTATTGTATGTTCTGCATTCTCCCACATGTAAGTGGCTTGCCATTGGGTGCAGGGGGATCCTACCGGCGGTGTCGGGGCAGTTTGTGAGCCACGGCCTGCGCACGTTCGCATACGAGGGCAGCCTCAACATCATGAAGGCCGTCACTGGGGGAGCGGCCGAGCTGCAGGTGCGCTGCCTGGCCCTCAGCCGTCCCTAAATTATTTCGCGTGCCTGCTGTATGTTGCCATCATAGTGGGCGCTCTATTTCGCCCTTTCCACGGCAATTTCTCTTTGTCCAGCTCCCTGGGATGTCAATCTTATGTCAGGATGCTACACGTCCTGTGTAATTGTTAAGGTAATGTAGGATGTTTCTGAGGGTGCTGTGGTTGCAACCATGCCAGATGCAAGGCTTGGCGAGCGGAGTGGGCACAGTGCTGGGAACTTGCATCAGGATCCCCTGCGAGGTCCTGAAACAGCGCTTACAGGTTTGGATACTCCCCAGCTGCAGATAATAGCATCTGTCTCGCTGCAAGTGCATGACGGCTCAGAGGAGCTCATCTACCTCATTGGCAGGATGACCTTATAACTCAGATGGAGCCGCGTTCCTGTGTTTTGGTGCACCTCTGCTGGTGATCAGCCAACATAAGTGGCATGCTTGCAATTGACAAAAAAGAGAGATGTGCACACAAAGGCCGAGGGAGGGCTTGGGATAAGAGGAGAGGCTGCTCTGCAAGTGAACAGCTTGCGGTAGCAGTACTGTGAATAACGATTAAACAAATGCAGATACTGTCCTTGTAACTATGGAGTTTATGCTGACAGGTGGGCAGGCACGATCACGTGCTGGATGCACTGAGGGTGGCCACGCAGACAGAGGGCGTGCGAGGTCTGTTCAGGGGCACAGGAGCGCTGCTCTCCAGGGAGGTCCCCTTCTATGTCTTTGGCATGATGGGCTACGCGCAGCTCAAGAGAATCTTTGACGGTGGGTTGCTCCACCTGCTCTGCTGATCCCACACCCACTTCTGCAATATCCTAATTGGATACTCTCCTTTCGAGATTAGTGCATTCACTCACTTTGCTGTGCTCTTGCTGCTTGTGGGCCAACCCCTGGCAATGGAAGTTGCGGATACATCCAAAAGTGCTGAACCATTCTGTCTGAAGAGTACACGGCCCATGTGAGGGTGAACCTGAATTTGACCTACACCGACATGCAACCCGTTCGGAGAGTTGAGGTCATTACTCTGCACTGACTTCAAATGGACCATGTCAAGAACAAACGGAAGCAAGTAAACTATTTCCACAAACGATATTTTTCCAGGGAGCGCGTTTGGGAGGGGCGGCCGAGACCTGCCCAACTGGGAGGTCATTGCCATCGGCGGCCTGGCCGGCGCCATAGCGTCGATCGCCACGACGCCGGCCGACGTGCTCAAAACGCGGATCATGACCGCCGCCGCCGGCGAAGCCGTCAGCGCAAGCGCCCTGCTGGTGAATGTCCTGAGCCGTCACAGCCAACATATCTGTGTTCCTGAGTAATTTGCATTAAAGTCGATGCCCCAAGGAGGCCTGATGTGTGATCCTATGTCTCATAAACACATATTATGATTTCAAAAACCACCCCTAGCTGAGTGTTGAATCACATGTGGTTCTTCACAAGATATCTCCAAGCAAATAGTAGATGTGTGATCGCATTCAGAGGTTTCTTGATAATTAGTGTAAAAGAACGTGTGGCTTGCTGTGCAGTCGAGCATTGTGCAGAAGGAGGGCGTTGGTGCCCTGTTCAAAGGGGCGCTGCCACGTGCCATCTGGACCGCCCCACTGGGCGCCATGAACTTTGCAGGTGAGACCACAGACGCTGTGATTCAGATTACTCTAGCATGTCAATGTTAAATGCAGCCCACCTCTCTTCTGGGCAGTCTGCAGGCCCTCTGCTTAAGGCCCTAATTTGTGGCATACAATTTGCTGTAGTTGGTGAACATAATTTGCTGTTTCGTGTTGGGCCTCATGCAATGTTGTGCTGACTGTGCAGGTTACGAGCTTGCTAAGAACGCTCTGAACAATCGCGAAAAGAATGCTAATGCGGCCCTTCAGGAGAAATACCTCTCTGTAGAGGACGGTTCTTCGTGACCTTGACTTATGATATTGACACTACAGCTGGAATCAATAAGAGGGATATCGCCTGAAAGTGACCAAGAGATGGAAGCTTCTCTGTTCCAAGAAGTTTCCATGATGTGTCTTGCAAATGAAATATAGTTTCTCTGTTTCAGATCCTGTAAGAATTCAAAGATCTTAAGACACATCTATGACTGCATGCATATGCATTCTCTGCACTCTCACGATGGCTCTTACCACCTCTATATCCTCAGTCCATCATGTTCTACCATTCATCGATTGAGGAAACAATCACAAAATCACAGATAGCACACTTTGGCCCATCTCTTGGCAGTCTGACAAGACAGTATCCCCATCTTTTGGAACACCAAGAGCAACCCGCCTCTTCGTTGAGGTTAGCTGGAAGCGACGTGTGTCAAGTGTGCTCTCGGCACTCTGCACCCATGTTACACTGTGTTGCAGCACCAAGACCTGCCTGACACATGCATCATTGAGGTCAGCTGGCAGTGGTGGTGATGGGCTGCGAGCAGTAGGGGCACTCCCCAAAGACTGTGTTGAAGGAGCGCCGCGAAGTTGGCAGCGCCAGCAGCCACTCGCGCAGGCAGCGCCCGTGGAAGGGCCGCGCGCATCGGGGGTTGCCGCAGCTCTGGTCCGGCACCTCACCTGTGCAATTGTCATAGCTGACATTTTGAATTTGATTTACTAAGTGTAGGTAGGTGTGGTGCCTTTTGATGGTTTAATTGCAGAATTGTGTGTTGCAGTACGACGAAGATAAGCAGGAGCCAATTTTGCAAGAGCACACACACAGCATCTTGCTTGTGGTCCAGCTGCCACCTTGAGAGATGGGATGAGCAGGCGAGTTTATCAGGAAATGCGGCAGCCGAAGACTTGGATACACTGTTGGGAAGGCTTTGGGAGCAGCATGGAACTTGCAGCACTAAACACCAACTCTGGAGGCCTAGCAGGGAGATGTTGCGCTGGACAACCCCTGCTGCTCCACATGTTTCTCCCAACAATGAATCCACATAACCACCAATAAATGCGCTTGAGACATAATCAGCAATCTTCCAAGCAAGAACCTCATGTGATCACAGTACAGAACGACACTATAGATCAGGATGCGCACCAAGGGTGGCGGAGCCAGCGCCGGGTGGCTGCGCAGGAGGCAGGCGATAAGCGTAGCAGATGCAGCAGTCGCCGCTGATGTCATCCTGCGCTGATGTGGACCGCGTCGGAAGCTTCATCTGCAGCAGCCGCTCAAGGTTCTCCCTCGGCAGCCTGCACAGCCATTTGCACCTGTCGTACCATCGCGCACGAGCCAGCATAGAATAAGCACACTTGCACCATGGCGACCTTAGCCAATCCATAAATACAACACCTCCTGGTCTCACAAGTTTCCAGAGTTTGCGGTAAACCCGTCAATGCTGAGCGAGATGGCGCTGATATTCAGATAGGTGAAAGCCAGAGTGGTGCACTGTGCATTCGTGCCGGCTAAACATGGCGTGTTTGACAACTGCATACGAAGCTCGAACAAGTCAGTGAGAGCCGGCAACACCTAGCCTGTCAATGACTGAAAAGAAGTAAATTGCCCACAGACGGCGTCCCTTACCTGCCGGGGTCCCAGGGCGGAGCATCGGCGGCACGCAGCCGGGTGCGCATCGGCGCGGCGGCCGCCTCGGAGCCGAGGAAGCGCAGATCGGGCGGGCGGGCGCGCGGCCGCGCCGGGTCGAGCTCCAGCAGCAGCGAGCAGTGGCCGCCCAGCGCTATGCGGCGGTGGGCGTCGGCCGGCGTCGGTTTCTCCGGCTCCAGAACCCACGCCTCCCTGCGCGCACATCGCTCACCCTTAGGGTACGTAACGCAGAGGTTTGTTAAGTAGAGCCCTACTTAACCACGCCTTGACGAGACAGCCCTGCAGAGCTGTGAGCTGAGTGCACCTAGACTGTTGATTCACACATTCTCGAAAGCACCAAGACATAGCCTGGCGCTTTTAAACCTGCCTAAGGCACACTGCCAACAGCTGAGGTATGGTGCAGCCACACTGGGCTGACCACAGCAGCCGCCGGTGCAGTGCATCCAACGTGTCAGAATGTACTGCAGCACAGGATCAAGTAATTGCATGGCAGCCCTCGTGCCTGTCGAGATCGTCCAGGCAGGCCCACAGATCCTGCAGCGAAGCAATGGCGGCCTCATAGTGCCTGATCAGGTCCTGCAGGCTGGACGCCCCAGGCTGCCACGGCGGCAGCTTCACCTGCTCCGGCAGCTGCGCGCTCACCAGCGGCGCAGCTTCCGGGTAGGCGGCTGGCAGCTGCACCTTGACCATGTGATCCCTGCCTGTGCAGCATACAGAGAAACCTCTTAGCAACCTCCCAAACACCCTGCCACGGTTCTTGATAGCAGGTCCCCAGGTTTCAACAGATCAAGGAGGATAATTGAAGGTCAAGAAACAGGTCACACAGGCGCTCAATTTGCAGATGGTAATCATAAGGAAGTGCAGCAATGGTTTCTAAGAGATTACCTGCAGCGTCAGAAATGCGGATGTGCAGAGCTGACAGGTTTGGGCAGAGCCAGGCCAGTCGGTCCCATCCGACAGCATCTATCTCTGCAATGAGGCCGGTGTAGAAGGTGCTTGGAGGCGGCTCCAGCGGTGGCCTGTCACAACAAATACAGGGTGGAACATGTCTGCTTTGCTCCGAAGCACATGCTCCGTGTAAGGGCAGCATGTGTTTTCATAAGGAGGTATAGGGCAATGTCTGTGGCTGACCTGAAGCGCAGCAGCTTGTCCAGAAGGTTTCTGAGTTCCAGGAAGAAGGATGTGACATCCGGGCTATCCCCCAAGCGAGCCTCAATGGTGTCTTCACAGCCCTGTTTAGAGCAGACACTTCAAGGTCTCCCTGCAGCTGCCTATCATCTTGGTAGTACTGTGCTCTTGCTAGGGGACTCATGTTCAGGTGAAACTTGCATGGGGAGCAGCTAGATTAAACCAACTAGAGCTGTGAAGATTGACAAGGACAGTTCCTGGCACACCTCGAGGAGATCACTGAGCTCCCTGCTGCATTCCAGCTTGGCACCTTGAAGGGTGTTTGCCCAAAGAGGGACATCAAACAGGCGCATCCACAGCGCCGTATCCAACGAGCCGGCGTTTGGCAGCGTCAGATACCCTTCAAATGCTGTACCGTCTTCATTGGCTGGGACCATCAGCGGGAAGATCTCTGCAGGTGTGATCATGCTGGTGGATCTCCCTGTTGGTAAGAACTACTCCAAGTGCCATTCAAAGGCACATTAGAATTGAGGTGTCAGGTACATATTTTTTGAGCCTCATATGCGGACCACTGAAGCTTCGATGAGCTTTGATGGTGTGAGCATGTCAAGCAATGACATGGCCCGATCTGAACAATGTTGTCAACCTTTGCTTTGCAGATTTAGGTTTGAAATTTGTAGAATGCCATAAGAGCGTCTGGAAGGGCTGAAGAGTTGCATATGATAAGGATCACCAGAGTCTCAACTCTCAAAGCTTGTGAATTTCGCGTGACTGCAGATCACAGCGACGCCAGATCGGTTCCCTCACCATGCATACAATCGCTGACAGTCCGATTAGAAAATCACATAGACTCTTCAGAAATTTATGATCAAAGTTGAGGGAGCAAACTGTCCAAGAATGTTTCAAGGGTTTCAGAATTTGTGTAGGGCTTTGGAAGAATCTAGAAACATCGAGATGAAGCCGGGACGACATTAAAACTGCAGATGTGACATTTGTTTGCTTCAAAAAGGATATCTAATAGCAATAAACAATGCAAGTAGCTTCCTTGAACTCTTTGAACCGCCAGTCTCCGATGTTGCGTGCCCTCACCAAGCTCCCCCGTGCCCGGCTTGCCTCCCGATCGGGCCTCCGGAATGCTACCACTGCAGCCCGGCGCGCTCAGGAAGGCGAGCGCACGGCACAAGACCAAGGCGCTCTGCAGCAGCAGACAGGCGATCAGCGTGGAACAGCACCTACTCGCTACACACCGTCCGTCCTGACCAACCCGTTCTCGCTCACCCGTGACCTTGCACCGCTGATGCCCAGCCGTGTTTCATCCCTCTTCAGGTGCGCCCCGAGGTCTCGGACTTGTTGAGTAAATTGCAGTCATTTCTGAGGATGAAAACAGGGCTTAGAAAGGACTTTGCTGCACTTTAGTATATCCAAAGGCGAAAACTGATTGTTGCAAGCTCGACGACAGGGATCTGGAACAGGAGCTAGACTCTTTGACCCGCGGCGTGCTTTCTCCATCAAGCCAGGTCGACAGGTGAGCATCTCGACACAATGTCTCAATCATCTTTCCCGTACTTTTCAAGGCCCTGAAGTGATCTAAAAGTAGCCGGGCACTGCTTCGTCACCTCTGTCCGGACATCACATAGAGGGGATGCACCGCACGGAAGACTCCAATTTTTAAAGTGTTTACTGATTTGCATGTGTGCGTCTGTGTAGGGAGCTGGCCCCGTTCACCCCAAGGTCTTCCCTCGGAGCCGTGGATGTCAAGGAAACGGACAGTGCCTACGAATTCGACGTGGACGTGCCTGGCCTCACCAAGAACGAGATCAAGGCAAGCACTTATCATGTTGAACATAAGCCAGGAGTAGGTTCCTTTATTGCTTTATCGGGTGGTCATGCGTCTGGCCTGCGTTTGCATTTACGATCAAACAGCAGACTTGTGTGCACATCCAGCATGGTTGGGCTGCATATATCTCACCTCCTTTTATGTATGGATCTGCAAAAGAAGCTGGCTCATACACTACATTACATGCAACCATTGGCAGACTTGGTATTTTACTGGGTGAATGGCTGGCATGCAGGTCAGCGTGGACAGGGATGGAGTGCTCACAATCAGCGGCGAGCGCAAGGTTGAGGTGAGAAGTGCCACTTATAAAACTCTGCTGAAGCCATTGTGCACAAATACCTTGGTTCCACGCTACAGGAAGAAAGCACTGGTGCTCCAGAGGTGTCAAGTAAACTGCTGAGCTCACAATTCTTGTCTCGTGGCAGTCTGCCTCATCAGATCATGCCCCTCAGTTGTCAGCATGTCATGTCAGACCGTGCCTGCAGCTCTGACCATGCATGCAAGCCATTCCTGTCAGGGGTATAGCAATTACAGCCAGCAGTCATCCGGAAGGTTCCCTGCCTGTCTGGAGCATGTCGATTGCTGACTGGAGCGGCAATGCTGCAGAACACAACCAATCAAACAATCCGTGAGTCATCCCTGTGTAGAAACGGCAGAGCAGACGAGTCAGTCTGAACAGTCCTGACCATGCAGCCTGTATGGGAACATGCGCACCGTGCAGAATGAAAGTGTAAAAAGGTGCTAACGGTAGGTTCTTTGTTATCCCCCCCAGGATGAGGAGGGAGATGACAAGCAGGGTTTCCGGCGCATCGAGCGCGGCTTTGGCAAATTCGTGCGCCGCTTCCAGCTGCCGGACAACACCGACCCCGAGCATGTCCAGGTAATTACCCTTTGTAGGGCATTCCCCAAGGGGGTGCAAAGGACCCCTATGTAGTCTTTATCACCCTGTCCGTTTCTCCTTGAGGATTTACACATACCCACTGCTCAGGCTGTCTGCCACAGTGCATATTCACCTCTCAGACTGCCCGGCAGGCTCGAAGTTTACCTTGGGATCTATGCACAGCTCCAACCCTGTCGGGCAGTCTGAGAGGAGGAACATCTGTTGTAGCAAAGAGCTTCTGCAGTGGGCATGCATTTTTGGTGTGCTGGATGTGTTTCATGCTGCCTGAGTGCTCAGGTATGTAAGCACTGTGGGCTCATCGAGGTATGGTCCAAGGTGTGCAGATGCTGAGATGCATGCTGTTCAAGCTGTCAGAGAACAGCTGCATGGAAACCTGAGCGACAGCAGCCACTTCCTGGTTGTTGCTGCAATGTGTCCAGAAGGCGTTACATGGGTATGTCAGCAGCTGAGATTCTAATGTAATCCTCTGGGCGCACAGGCCCCAGAAGACCTTTGAGTGGGGCACCCTGTGTACCCGAAAGTAAAGCAGGGATGCTTGAGGACAGTCCGGGCTCAGCACACAGCCAAATGTGAGCTCTGAAAGATGTCGTGTGCATTTCTGCAGGCCAAGGTGGACAACGGAGTGCTGAAGATCGTGGTGCCCAAGAGTGCTGACCACGGCCCAACTGTCACAGATGTCCCCATCGAGTAGACGCAGCAGCACCAAAACAGGCATCCAGGGAGGAAGCCGCCTAGCAGCTTCCCCTACTCAAGCTTACAGGCACTCCATGCGCTGACATCATCGATGCAGCACTGATCAAGGAGCTGCAAGAGCCAAACGCACCAGTCGAATGCAAGAGCAACAGACTCGACATCAAGCTAGAAATTTTGATAGGGGCGGGAAAGAGCCCTGCGGCATGCAAGCCTGATGATGAGGAGGAGAAAGCATTAGGTAGCTTTGACACATAATAATGATGTCTGTAGCATCATTTGTCTGCCTCCGCATTCCATGGCATGACGCAACCGTGCGCATGTGTGTTTTTGAAGGCCTGTTGAATGTCTGGCAGGAACCTTTGAATCTGTAAGTATGCTAGTGAAATGGGAGTGATTGTAGAACAGCTGCGTTTATAAGAATTGTCTCGAGATTCTCTCGAGTGCCCACCAATGTTGTGCTTGCATGCGCAGCTACAATGCATGATCTCACAAAGTGTTTTGCTAGTTGTGGCGTTTTGCTAAGAAGTTGAGAAGTTGCGGTTATTCATAGATTCGAAGAGGGATTTCAAGATTTACTATGCATGTCAGATCGCAGCACATGTGTCTTCTGTGTCGCTGTACAAAGATTTTTTCAGAAACAGATTTTTGATTTTTGTTTTATTTGACCATGATGCTCTTTTCTACCTTGGCAGCAGATCACGTTTTGCACAACCAGGTTCCTGTTGCATGACCCACAATACAAGGAAACAGCACTCTGGAATATGGGTCACCGTTACATGTCCGGGGTGATGATCTCTTGCAGCCATATCGATAGATGCTTCAGATCAAGGCCCGATTTGCCCTTTCTTGCAGCCTTCAAATATAGACTTTTGTGGACACTCCTGAATAATCTTGTGTCCCCTCACCACAATAATTGGAGTGTACATGGCAAAGAAATTAGCCAGAGATTCACCAAGACCTGGCAATCACACAGCGGAGGTGCAACGTGCCAACAAGGAAGATCTCAACATACAAGGCGCATCAAATACAACCGTCAGACATGCTCAGACTCTTCTCGCTTCATCTCCTCAAGGAAATAAGCCCCTTACTCAGCAGTGCAGTAGGTGCTTGGTAAACTTCAGTACAGTACAGCCAACATAGGCAGCAGAAGCTGCTCCCCAGAGATGCTGGCCAAAATTTCTGCCTCGCTACAACCAGCCACTGGCGTATGCCAATGGCCACACCAGTAGTCATATGATTTCCACGGATGTTGGATATGCATATCTAACATCCCTTGCGCGGGTGCTACTACAATCAATAATCAGGACAGCAGGTGCCACAAAACTGGTGCATGGTGGCAGCAGCTGCAAATAGCCGCATTGTCCAATGAAAGCAGCGCCACAAAAATACGCGCAACAGTACCCAGCGCTCTATCAGCCATTTCAAACCATTCCTTGCTCAAAGGCTTGCAAGCAACCTTTGTGCCCCAAAGCTGAGTTCTGATTAGTTCTGGAGGCAAATCTTTGCCACGAATGACAAGGGGGATTCGACATGCTGCACCTGCTAAGCAGGCCTTGCAGGCTAAAAACCCAGGTTCACACCAACTTGCCAGGACTCTTCCAAACATTTCAAACCTTTCCTGGCCCAAAGGCTTCCAAGCAGCTAGTGCCCCAGAGCTGAGCTTGATCTATTCTGGTGGCAACTGCTTGCCTCAGGACAAAGTGAGAATCAAAACCCGAGCTCCTCTGCAGCGCAGGACTTGCAGGCTGCAACGCAGGTCAAAGATCACCTGCCAGACCAGCTCTGCCCTCACACGAGACGGCAGCTTGTGAATGGCGCCAAAACCTCATACCCGAATTTTAGACCTTCTTGCCATTGCGCACTGTGGAGAGCCAGGATCCGCTGTACTGGTGGTAGCCGGCCAGAGCTTCAGGCATTCTCCCCTCGTGCACTCCCAGAGCCATCGCCTGGTGGCACACCTGGTCATTCCACTCGCATGGCACAAACCTGCGCATGCCACCATGCCAGACTTTAGCTTGACTCAGCAGAAAATGGCATCGTTTGGTCCCACGCAGAGAGTTGCCTCCTCCTACTGATGAACAGAAATCAAGCTAAGACCACTCTCAATAGGATGAGGCAAGAACACTGCAGTATATTCGCATGTGATGATGTTCACTGATTGAAGAGTCATCTGCCCACACTACGCGCCCAATCATGACATGCTGTGACAGGCAGTTCTCAGGAAATCCAGGCATAAGATTAGAGCGCTGGCATACACAGCAGAAACTGAATAGATTAGATGTGTCAGCGTCCTTCTTGTGTCAGTGAGATGGCAAGCGGACGTACCAGTGCCCAAGGCCATACACCCTCACATTGGAGTTGTCCACCTGCGCAGACCACCAGCAAAGGGCATGAGCATGACGGGCTCATCCACGACTCAAACAAGGCTTTGAAGAGGGGTGCCTCCACGGAGCACAGTCATGCAATGTTCCTACAGATCAAGATAGCAAAGTGGCCTGCAGGAACCATTGATCCATATCATTGGAGCCTCATTACTGGTTGCTTCCTGACAAACTCCGTGTCTCGTAGGGCATCTGAGCACCCTTGCAGCGTCCTATGGCTTTGGAGTCCCTTGCACTGTGGCAATCATCTTGATGGGGGTGTTGCTCTCTGGATTCTACGTCGCATTACCCAGTTACAGATGAGGGATCGTTTGGGTCGAGCTGAGCAAGAAGGACGTGTTACGGAGCGAGCCCTTACTTCTCGAGAAGCTTTGAGTCATATTGAGTGTGAAACCCCAACGTGAACACACCTATTTGTTAGCGGAAGGGGACCAAAGCCCATTCAAAGCCCCACCATGCAAATGGGCCCCACCTGGAAGCCGCCCACAAAGGTGCTGCCAGAGAGCTGTGTCTGAGTGGCGTACAGCTGGAACACAGCGCTGTAGAGGCGCGGCCCAGTGGATTCCAGGATGATGTCCGAGTTCACCATGCCGCGGGCACCCTCCATTTTCTGCGGCAGCCACCATGCCCTTGTTTGAGAGCTGATTGAATTTCATGGCGGACAGAGGTAGTTGAGGACACTGCGGTGGACTCAGCAGCTGCAAGACGGGTGAACTGCGCTTTGCGTTGGGGTAATTAATATACAACTAATGATATACAAACATACAGTTACTATACGAATCACCCCTACTCTGCGCGCAGCCCACGTGCGCTTGCAGATATGGTACATGTTAAGAGCAATCCCAAGTATGCCTTGCAGTCATGCCGACATGTCTGCCTGACAGGCTCTAGTCAGCCCTAGAAGTACCAGCTGATGTAGAGGTCCTAGGGCATGTGACTCTGAAGTAAAATGGTTTAGAGTCCCTGCTGCGGGTTTGCCAAGGGGTCTAACACCGCTGAATGGGGGAGGGAAGGGGCCGCGCACCGAGAGCATCTGGCCTATGATGAATTTCCAGAAGGGGTGTCCCGGCACGGAGGCCATGACGCTGTTGACCACGTCTCGCTGTTCCTTGTACTCGCTTTGCAGAACCAAATCCGCGCCCGCCAGCCACGGATCGCTCGGCCGGAAACACTGCACGTCCAGATCCAGATACATGCCGCCAAACGCATGCAGCAGGAACGGCCGCAGCGCGTCGCCTGCGCGCACCCGGCAGCCCCGATTATGAAATGCTCTGCATGATTTCTGCACATGCAATGCAAGATGCAGGCACAGCCAATGAAACACGGCCAGCGTCATGGATAGACCAGGTCTGCCTTTGCCTCTTTGCCAGTGGAATGCACCGAGTGCATAGACGAAATATGATGCAGCAACTCCAGTCTCCCGGCCATCCCTAAATTGCCAGTGCGGATCTTATGGCACTCACAGAAGCAGGGGTCTTTGGCAGGAGGGGTTGCCTGCAGTAGAAGCATTTAGAGCCCGGCAGCAATTAGAACAGCACTCAGGCTAACCAGCATGTTCAGAAGCAATTTTTGCCCATCTCAGCCCACAGGCGCCACTGCTGCGCATTAATTCCAGGGGAATAATATAACCTGGGGGAGCGGAGAGAGGGAACGCGCCTTGCAGGACGACCTTGGGGTAGCTGAGGAAGGTGCTGATGTACCAGGGGTAGTGCGCGCGCAGGAAGGCGAGCGCGGCCGCCTTGTCCCAGAACATATACTTCCAGTCTGAGTGATTACTAACGCATGAGTCGCGCCACTCCCGCCGGAAGCCGGACCCCACCGCCTTTGCCGCCTCCACCTCCCTGTGCAATTTGATTTTGATTTTGATTTTTAATTTGGATGTCGCTTGAATGTCACATGCAGCACATCTCACCGCCAGGTGGCACCCCCTCATTGAGGCCCGTTGCTACTGCAATGCATGCTTGAAATGCCGGCAGTTCGCTGGGCAAGGTCATTTAATCAAGCAGAGATTTGCAGATGGTGGGCTGTGACATGATAGTGCAGGCAACTATTGCAGTGCTTTCGAATACCCAAGCCATCCAAAAGTTTGTAAACGTAACTGCCAAGCGTTTGGAGAGGCCCTGTGGAGCAGAGGTAATTTGAGCGACTGTCAATTAGGTATATTAAAGAATTATGGCACGAGATAACGCACTTGTCATACTCGGCTTCGCCGTCCAGGAAGATGTGGTGCAGGATCTTGGGGATGGACCCCCCGGTCTTCCCCCTGTACTGCTCTGGCTGCAAGTCCAATTTGTGCACACCCTGCTCGCAAAACACACTCCACTGAACTCATTTGCCCACTTCCTGTCATCTGCCCACTTCCTGATATTTTTGACATGCTGCAGACTGCCGGACAGACCTGAGTGGTTGTTTCCCTTAATCACAAAAAAAAATCTTCGGTCTTGTGGGTGGGGTGTCTAGAGGTTGTTGAAAAGCACCCAATTGAAATCCAACCCCAATTCCTGTGTATGACTCAGAGATTCCAAGCCAGCAAACAAAGCAAGGAATTTCCCGGCCTCCCTCTCACTGGATGGCACGAGCTGTTGGGCGCGCGTCTAGTGTGGCAATGGGAGCACCTTGAGGAAAGCATCGGCATCTATCGCATCCTCCTTCTCACTGCGCTGCTTGAGCTCCACCTTGCCCCTGTGAGGCTTTGCAGCGGCTGGTGCGGCGCCCTGCGCGCCAATCAGAGCGCCCGTCCGCAGCGCCTGCGCGCAATTGCATGCAAAGTCGGCCCCGGTGTCATTGGAAGATCTGGGAAAAGCAGGCAACATGCATACATGTGCGAAGGTGCTGTGGAACAAGTGTCGTGCATGGTATTGAGAGAACTTTGCTCTTGGAAGACGGGCACAATCGGGGAGAGGCAGGAGGCTTGCTGACCTGGAATGCTGGGGCTGGTGAGGCGGTGGTGTTGGTCGTCTTCAGGAGCCGGGAAACCCATGCTGTCTTTCTAGAGTGTGTTAACAGCAAGGTACCACTGGCCAACAGCAGCAAAAGGAAGCAGGCCTGCAGGAGGAGCCATTTTCCCCTCGATGGGCCTCGTGCTGCCTGCTGGGAAGGCGAGCTGGGGCTGGTCATGGGAATCAAAAGCGCTCCCGATGGACCCCTTTCGAGCCTCTGGCCACGCTGTGTCCTTTGAGGTGAGGCAGGGACCGCTGTGCTGGTGCCAGAAGGGCTGGGAGGGGGTTCCATTGTCTCTAGCCAGCACTTAAGCTGTCCTATACTCTACTCAGATCAAGCGGCCTCGCCTGGCTACAAGTATAACTATAATAAGAATTGTCAGGATTTGTGAAGAGGCCTCACATCGCGGTACGCTGTCATGCTCTCAATATGTTCTGTACTACACGTAGTGGCTCTTGGCGGAGAATTTTAGGCGCCCAGGCTGCCAATTCCCCAAAAGAAGTCACCAGAGACACTTAATTTTAACTAGTCCTACACCTGCCAATGATAAGTTGTATGAGCAATCTTGATTGCCCAGGATCGCCCTTGTGAATATCTAAATTTACAGAATCATCAACACCAACCTGACAGCCAGCCCGAATCGGCAGGGCCGGAAACGCCAGATCACGATCCGATCACCTTGAGGGTAATCGCAGTTCAATGCACAGCATCTGGGTATGGCAAGTCAATGGCCCCACCAAAAGCCACCAACAGCTGACAGCTTGCTCCGCACGTGGTGGTGCACGTGCACAATTCGAATGGTTGCCATAGAGCAAGAGCAAGAGGTCTGTGCGGGTGGCTTCCCCCACTCAATGCGTACAATTGAATACGTTGTCAAGGAATCGTCGAGGGCCGTCATTGTAGACCTTTTCGATTGGATCGGGATCTTGTACCCAAAGTTGATCTGAACCTGACCGCCAAAAAGAAACCATTCTGAGGCCCACCGATACCTGCCACATGAAAGTACAAAATACATATCTGTTTCTTTATAACTTTGTACAACTGTTGGGATGGAGTTTCGTCCTTTTGGAAACCATACGTGGATTGATCACTGACAAGGACAATATTTATGAAAGAGTGGGACCTTCTGTACGTAAGTTGCCTTGCAAGACTCATTCTTTTCGAAACCTGATGCTGGGATCTTCATTTCGACGATCCATTAAGACTGCTCGGAATCCTGCCTCACCATTACTTTGTGGGTTTGTCGAGCAGGCATCTGCCAAGGCGCAGCACTTCTTGAAACGATCCACACAGCCATTGGTAATCCTGAGGAACCTGGTGACAATGAATGGATAATATAATGAAGTGATATCAACCTCATCTGGCCTCATTGTGCTGTCCTTGGTGCAGGTCTCACACGAGGTTCTGTATCTCTGTCGTTTCTGCAGTGGTTTGGCCGCTCCAACGTCCTCTTCCTTATCCTACACAGCATCCCAGAGGTGCTCCCCATGCCCCTTGGTTTATTCCTCGAACCGATTTGCAAGCAGGCTCTGCAAGGGCTCGCCTCAACACAAGCTATGCAAAATGTGCTTGTGGTCATCATTCCAAGTGATCTGTTCCTGAAATGATTAGTTGTGTGCAGCTGTGGCATCACTGGGCAGTCCCTGTCCTGTTCATTGCATGGGCGCTGGCAGACATCTCTCGGTATCCTTGGTATGCAGCAGCCCAAATTGGCACCCCTCCCAAGCTGCTCACATGGCTGAGGTACGAACCTCAACACCCTTATGTGTTAGTCTCTGTATTAGTCTCTGTTGCTCAAAGGAAGAGTGTACTTCCTCCAGTACTGCAATGGCATTCATGCACATTGTACACTTGCACATGTTCAGCGGCAGAAGCAATTTTGGACTTAGGACAGCGATGCTGGCTGTGCAGGTACACTGCATTCGTGCCCCTTTACCCTCTGGGCATTTTCGGGGGGGAGATGCCACTTATATATACCAGCCTGCCGTATTTGAGGGATCGCCAGCTGCACAGCCTACGCATGCCCAATAGTCTCAACTATGCTTTCAGCTACCATTACTTTGCCCTGGTCAGCCTCAGCCCACTGCTACGATTTTTAGCTTCATGCAATCCACACCATCCCTGCTGATTCCTTGCAGGGCTGGTGTCCTGCTTACAGATATTTTAAAAGGCTGCTGCATTTAGTATCTCAAGGTAGTTGGATCCAAATTGAAAATTAACATGAAACCGTGTGCCGTGATTGCAGGCGGGCTTGTATGTCATCCTTCCTGCGGCGTTCCTGCAACTATACAGCTACATGCTGCAACAGAGGTCCAAACGGCTGTCCCCAAGGGCAAAGGTGGCTTGAGGGCGCCTTCAAAAGCGGTACAGAAAAGCAACGTTTGAGAGAGCGTTGAGTGTGATAGAGAGGGGAGAGAGATGTGTGGGATAAGAGAAGGATGCCGTAGGACGCACCTTGCCTCTGGCAGGATTAGCATGTAACGTCAGTGATGATTGTGTTTGTGACGCCCACGAGGCAATATTGCACACTCATGCATGCTTTCTTTGCAGTGCATGCAAGCTCCCTTTATTCGTGCAAAAGTATACCATAAGCGGTTAGTGACAGGAGAACATTACAAAAGAGCACAGCAAGCTGAAATAACTGAAGATCTTCTAGAGGGATCCAGGTCCGACCTCCACACTTCTACCGATTAAAAAACAAAGCAAGTCCCCACTACCAAAAACAGACCAGTTCCCACAAATTGCCTCAGCCTCGATCTCCCAGAACAGAGAAGACATGCCACTTCAGAAATCTGTGGGCATCTCTATTGACTCTGCATTCTGAAGAAGCACAGCCTCTGCATGCTCACGCTGTTGGCCAAAACAAGCGCTTGATCCCAGTGCCACAGTTGCGGCGAATGACATCAAGCCACCCGCCCAAACAAAACCACAAGAAAGCACACCAATGAACACGGCGCACCTAGTATCAATCTCTGACAGAACATCCGTCAGGGGAACCCATTGTAACTAGCACACGATGAGTCACTCGAGACTGCATGCACTATCTTTGAATCATCAGATGTCAGAACTTTGCTGTAGCTTTAGCAGGGTGTTGCACCACCTATTGCTGGCGTGATAGGTGCACTGAAGCAAGCAAAGCACCCTTGACAATTGCAGGACTGGAGAATGGCACACCCATTTTTCAGGAGAAAGGGCTTTTCACAATCCAGCTCTGCTCTCACAGATACTACCAACCCTGCCTCACGCCCACGCTATGGAACCACCGATACTCGAGAATACCTGCTTCGGGACAAACCCATGAAAGAGGAGCTTTATAAGCAACGGTCAATCATTCTTCTTATTGCAGCGGCACCCCTTATGCAGGATTTGCATGCCTGATCCGATGCCCGGTCAGAAATGCAAAGCCCGCCATGCCCCTATCTTGAAGACGTCTGCGCTACTTCCTGGCAAAGCATGCCCCTTTTCTCAGGCCAAGCAGCTCAGCAGAGCTTCAAGACCGCGTATCTGTGTGTTGTAAAACAAAGCACTACGACAAAATATCGGGTGGTGCCAGCCATTGGCAAGCAGCTCCGTCAGATATGGTCCTCGCAAGTGTTGACACAGCGTCGAAGCATGCTTCCTACCAACTTCGACATCATCACCAGGACGTGGAGTGTCAAACAAAAGATTCTGGAAAACGGTCAAGCATGTCTCAGCACCTAGTAGCCAAACGAGAGACCCATGTTGACCCGTCCACAGAAGAGCCAGCAGATTATGCCAGTAGTACTGAGAACCTCTCAATCCCAAGAGCACGAACAGAGCTCAGTCCTTTGAGCCTGACCAACATGAACCGGCAGGCGCCACAAAACTCTCTGACGCATGGTCCTGCGGTCCTGCATCGTGCATGCTGTAGCAACAGAGCACATTCCCATACCGTGCACTAGCCCGCTATTGCTGCGGCGCTGCAGGCGGCGACGCCTCCTGCCTGACGGGCAGCTCCGGCCGGGCAGTCGGGCTCCCCGCCTGCTGCTTAGCCGCCTGCTGCGCCTCGAAGGACGGCGACCGGAGCAGACTGAGGCCATCGCCCGCAGCGGCCGGCGCCGGCTCGGACAGTTGCACAGCCAGCAGCGGCGGCTGCTGCGGTTGCGGCGGTTGCGGCGGCCGCGCGGCCGTCGTCGGCGACGCGCCAACCGAAGGCGTGGCCGGCGGCGAGCCCGGCGCCGCGAACGGCGAGCGGATGGCAGCCGCGGCGCGGCTGCCGCTGCCCGGAGCCGGCCCCGCGCCAGCGGCGAGGCGCAGCTGCGTGAGCTGCGCGCGCATGCCGGCGAGATCCTTGAGGATCTCCGGGAATTTTGGCCGGTCAGCCGCGGCCTCCGACCAGCAGCGCTCCAAGAGCGCCATGTAGACCTCCAGAATGGGCCGCTCCATCTCGTTCTTGGCCATGGCGTCCCGGAAAAACTCCAGCGGCGGCCGTAGGCGGTCGTGCACCACCGCGAAGAACACCTGCCCCACCGTAAAGTTTGCGAAGGGCATCTGCGCGCAGCACCCCGTCCCTCCTCTCAGCACATGTTGACAGCATTGCCACGCAGCTCAGGAACTCCAAACGCAGCACGATAGCCATGCCTGTCAAATCAAAGCCCTCATGTGCAAGGTGATGGGCACTAAGAGAACTTGAAGCGGCAGGGGATGCACACCTGGCCTGTGTAGAGCTCCCACATGACCATGCCAAAGCTGTACACATCAGCCTGCGGCGTCAGCTGCGAGTGCGCCAGAAGCTCTGGAGGCATGTAGGGCATCGTCTGCAGCACAAGACATTTGTCAGCAAACCAGCCAGTCTGACATACACATTAAAGACGCTTAACTTCCAGCACAGGCGGACAACTCATGAGCTCGAAAATTTGCAGGCACATCAGGAGTTGACAAGATTCTGCAGCTCTTCATGATTTACATATAATTGCAATCCCTAGATTTTTCGAATAGTACATCATCCTGAGAGGCGGACAGGCCCATATTGACATACTGACATGGCGAGCGTCAGGGGGCATGATCATGTGACAGCACTCACCCCGTAAGTCTGGGTGGACACATGGGTGGCCTGCGAGGCATCCATGAGCCGGCTCATGCCAAAATCGCACAGCTTGCAGATGAAACCCCGCCGGTCCGCTGAGGTGGACTTCAGCAGCACATTGGCTGGCTTCAGGTCTCCATGCAGAATACCCGCTGCATGAAGATACTCCATTCCTGCGCCGCGATTGCAGATAGCAGGTCAGCCAGAGGAAAAATAGAGCATGGGTTCACCCTTGTGAAGACATCCAGCTCGAGTAGCATGCAGGTTAGGTTGATAAGTCTTCAGAAGCGCAAATACAGCTCAAGAATATTTGCCACAAAAAACTGAGTTAATAGTTGAACACGGAGCCAAGCTTTAAGCGTGTCTCCGGAGGCTCACCAGAGGCGACGTCAGTGAGGCAGCTGAGGACTGTGGAAATATCGGGCAGCCCATTGGGCCGATTGAACCTGCCCACTCTGAGCGCGTCTGCAAGCGAGCCCTTCTCCGCATACTCCATCAGGCACCACGTCTCCAGCAGCCTCGATCTCCTGCCCACCCAATCGCACTGCCTCGTCAGAAATACCCCCACCACCCTCCAAGCAGAAATGAACTGGTGGCTCCTTGAGTCCATACACAAGCAGTGATATTGAAGAGGCATATGCAGCCTTTGGGTCATGATGAACACACAGGTAACCATGATCGCTCAACAGACAGGTAGCATGCTTGTGCGTATGCACTGGTCGTGACCAAAGCAGCTGTCGACTGGGGTTGTGGCCCCAATTCCCAATGGAAGCGAGGGCGCAAAGGCACTGGACTGGGGGAGGTTTGGCGGGTGGGCCGGGAGGCTGTTGCGCACCGTTCCTCGATGTTGTCATCATCGTCCTCATTCTCCTTTTCCTCGGGCATGAGCTCCAGGTCATCCTCCTGGCTCCCCTGCTGCTGCGGCCGCTTGCCGCCGTTGTTCTGCGCGGAGTCCGAGCCCTTGCCGGGGGCAGTGTTGGGCGGTGACGAGCCGGGCATGTCCACGATGACCGCCGTGGACGGGTCAAACGACTCCGCGCTGCCGGCCATGCCGATGCTGCCCTGCGGGCCGCGGATGCTGCTGGGGGGCTGCCTCGCGCCTGCGTTGTCGCTATTGCCAGCGGACAGCGTCTCGCCGGCGGGGATGCCGGTGATCGGGAAGTCGCCGCGGCCGCCGGCCGGCCGTCGGCCGCCGCCGTTGCTGCTGGAAGAGCCACCGCGGGAGGACCCGCGGCCGGAGCCACCGCTGCCGGCATCGCGCGAGACCCGGCCGCCGTAGAGGCCGAGCGCGCTCTCGGCCCCGCTCGGGCCAGCGTCCTGGCTGGATGCTCGCCGCTGCGCGGCGGCCGCGCCGCTGGTGCGCGCGCCGCCAAAGGTGGACATGCCGGACTTGTTGGTGCCAAGCGCAGACCCCGCGCTCATGCGGCAGATCTTGAACGTGGCGATGATGTTTGGGTGCGCCAGGCTCGTCGCCAGAAGCGCTTCACGCTCAATCTTCTGCTCTGCCACCGTTATCGTGTCATTCGACACAGATGCATGCTCCACCACCTTAATGGCCACCAGCGTGCTGCGCCATCGCCCTGCACAACCACCCAACAGTCACATCAGCCTCCTGCAGCCTTTCACCGTTTTCAAGGGCCCAGACTCCGCTGTGCAACCGGTGCTCTCACCAATCATCCAGCAGGCCTCTACACACCTGGAGTAACTTCCTGCGAGCTTCTTCAGGAGATGGCAGGTGGGCTGCACTTTGCTCAGGTGACGAATCATTTGGATATCCAATGAATGGATATCCAATGAAAGGGCCAATCTGTACTTCGAAGGATGTGTCAGGCGGCGACGTGCCCTCACACCCTGTTTACATGGCAAGGAGCTTCAAAGCAAGGGCCACTCTGAGTGGAAGGCAAACAAACCTTTGTAGACGCGCCCAAAGCTCCCCCGGCCAAGCAGCGGACCTACTTCCACCTGTTCCTCGTCCAGGGGCCCCAGCCGGCGCAGCCGCCCGTGGTGCAGCAGGTGCGTCTCCAGTGGCTCATTCGTTCCGGCCGAGCGGAACAGCGAATCACTCTGCGCCGGAGACATGCCCGACTGCGCGCACACAACGCTAGTCACACAAGCATATAAAAAGTAGATAAAAATCTGTCAGTATTCACAGACAAACCCAGTTTCTCAGATACACTCTCCAGCTGCCTAAAAAAGGGATTGTAAAGCTGACGGGTATGCCTCAATCTGCACCTTTGCTACCACAAGGGAACAGAATTAGAATCTCCAGCAACCTCAACAAGGACAGCACAGCAAGGAAAGCTACAAGGCATGGGCACCATGCAGCAAAGTGGGCGATTCTGCTCGGGGACCGCATTGACAAACAAAGCAGCAAGACCACTCACAATGGTGTGCATGAAGGGTAGCACAGAACCCCTGGCACCAATCAGGTTGCCAGACAGTAGCGTGAGAGAGCACAGAAGCTCAGAATGTGTGAAACACCAAGGAAGGGCCGCACCACCTGCAGGGACTGGAAAGAGGCCAGCTCACAATGGGGTGCATAATGGACAGCATAAGATTCTCTGACAGAGCACAGTAGTGCAGAATATGTGAGCACTCTGAGAGGGCCGCACCACCTGCAGGGACCGGAAGGAGGCCAGCTCAGCGCTGCCGGCCAGCCGCTCGCGCCGCCGCCGACGCACGAAGACGCTGATTGCAACGGCCATCAAGATGAGCAGCAGCACGGCGGCGCCGACGGCCGAGCCGGCCGCTATCGCCGTCACGTGGTTGCTGGCGTGGCCGCTGTCGCGCGTCGCTGATGCGCGCGCGAGGCCGGCGATGACTTCATTCGCTGAGCTGTTTGTCGGCACGCAGTAGCCGAGCGAGTTCTCTGAGCTCACGTTCACTCCCCCCACTGCACGCACATGGCGGACCTCGTCATTCAGATTGCTGAGTTGCCTTGTCACACATGACACACGCTTCATCTGGGTAGTGCCCTGCTTCCCTCATGGGCCAACAGACGGAATGCGGTGGATCGCAAAGCCTGCTACAGGTGTCAAACGTCATGTGTCTGGACTCACAATAGGTCTGGTTGTCGAAGTCATAAACTGGGTACACCGCGCGGTACAGACCAGTCTCCGCCAGCTGTGTGTACCCTGATTCCACCGTCCTGTACGTCTGCTGGCCTCGATTGACCAAAACCTGCACACCAAAGCTCAGTCAAGAGGAGGCGCAAGGAGAAAGGCCCACACGCATTGCTGAGCCTTCTGCGCAAACACGAGGTGCAGGTGCGGATCAGACCGTGCAAGTCTCTGCTGAAACTTGCCTTCTCCTCAAGTGTTAGCACTGGAATATAAAACATTTTGCAATTGTTTGCCGGTCATTGGATTGGCGCTTTCTCAAAGCTTGAAGCTCATGGACTGCTTGTGACATTAATGCACGGGGAATCAGCCGCCCAAGGGCCTGAAAGGGACAGAGGACAATAGTCCCTACCATACAAACTGACCAGAGCACGCCTGAAACCAGAGCAGTGGCATCGCACCTGTTGCTGCTGGGGCGCAGGGGTTGTAAGCGCAAAGTTGCAGTCGCCACGGCGGAAGAGCGTGTAAGACCAAAAATATTGCGTGGTGTTGTAGATGCGCAGATTCGCGCCCGGCTGTGCGTAGAACGACGGCCACGTCAGCATGCCATAAATCGCAGTAAGGCTGTCGTTTGCCGTGCGCTGGTAGTCCTGCAGGTCTTTCTGCCGGGCCACGTTCTTCACCAGCAGATCTCGCAGCTCCAGCGAGGCACCCGACTGTATGTTAAGGATGGCGGGTATGTTCCCCAGGTCCAGCATCGTGGGGTTGCCGTTCACTGCATGCAAGCCAGTTTATCGCATAAATCAGTCAACCTTGGAGCCAAGATATTGGCAGCTTCAGAGGGGGAAGGTCTGTGCGATGCCATAGGTGCAATAGTCTCTGGTATCCCCATTGCCTGTGCAAGGTCTGATGTTGGGACATGCGCGCACCAGGCAAAAGAGCAGGTGCCTGAGTGTTAATGCATGCATGCACGCGCATGTTCTGGTCAGCCATGATAGGACAAGCATGCATGACATACGACACACATGCACAAGGAGAGAGGCTCGAAAACTCTGCACACCAGAGCGGATGGTGAGATCTCTGCCAGTCTGTATGGGGTACGTGACCTCCAGCCAAGCGCTCCCCTCCAGGGTCAAGGTCCCTCCACCACCCTGAAAGACACACATGGTAACTCACAATCTTCTGCAAATTCCAAATCCGCCATCATGGATGCAAGAACAGTTGTCAGGCAAGCAGCGATCAAACTGATACTCTGTGCTGATTGCAAAGGCATTTAATTACGGAGAATAAAAATACATAAAGCATAAAAGGCATGCATAAGGCAATGAGTCAAACAAGAAGATGTGCAGGCGCGCACTCCGGTGTTTGTTGGATCAAGGATGATCTCCGACACTCCAGCATTCTGCAGCGCGGCCGCGAACTGCACAGTGTTGCTGACAGGCACCGACCGCTGCGCGTCCACAGGAGCCACCACCACGAGACATGCTGACACTGCCAACAGAAGTGCGCAGGACATCGGCGTAAAGAAGCCCATGCCTGGGCTACCACTTGTGTCGCGCCCAAGGGCTCTGGGCGCTCGGGCTGCCTGCCCGGCTGTCTGCGGATCTCCGCCACAACATGCCCCGGGGCCTACCAGCCTCACCGCCTGCTCAGCAAGCAAATGCCCCTGTCAAGACACGCCTGCAGACGACGGCAGTGACTTGCACGCCTCGAGGGGCTGCACATGACGGCCATATGCTCGCAGGCCTCTGCAGATGCCTGACATGCTGATGGCTGATGACGATTTTCCCCTCCCACGTGCTGAACTTTTTTTAAGTTTAAGGATTGCTGAGTGTCCTCCGCGCGCACTACACACGATTCTAGCAACCTGCTCCACATCTCCCACTGACAACATACGTGCTTCTTCACAGTCACAAAGACAGGAGACAGGCGGTGTGTGTATAAGAATTCGGCTCAGAATGCAAGCCAGACGACTTGAAAGCGAAGAGCACATCAACCTGAGGCCCTGTAACCCCAAGAACTCCGGGCAGTCTGAATTCACCAAGTGTCACTCCAACCATCGGAATCTTTGACGGCACGACTTGAGGAATACTCTCGGCAATCAGCTCCTTGATTGCGCATCTGTGGTCGCCAATAATCCCATGCAAAACACCTTGGGGTCACGACGATGCTTTCACGAAACAGGACGCCCCTTCTCAAAAGGACAGCATACAAAGTGCTTTCTTCCACCAGAAGTCTGACAATCTAGCATGCCAACTTTCCACATGGCGGAAAAGATTCGATTAGACCCCTCGCTCTATCAAGAACGGGCTGACCTACACCCTGGTGTGTTGCAGAGTCCTCACCTTCCCACTGCTCCAGTCCCCTGCAAGCTAGGGCTCGTAGACGTTATTCTGCTCCAAGCGGAGGCTCGATGCCCCGATTTTCTATGCCTTTGTGGTTCAAATGTATAGCAGATTAGTATGGAAGGTCGATCGCAAGGACAGGGCAATCCAAACAGAGATGCACAAGGACAGCCTCCTGGATTTAGTGAAGCGTGCCGAGCTGGCCTTCCTGGCCTGCTCCGCGCTCACCTGCCTCCCACAGAGAGCAAGCAACCGTTGCTATGGAACAACCTGATAAAGATTTTCGCCGAAAAAGGGTCTCTTGTGCGTGTGCCTGCGTCTCGATCTCGGCTGTTGCAGCGCTGCTGTATGTTGCCTGCTTTGGATGTACCGCCGATCGTGAATGTCAACGCCGTGGTACCTGTCGAGAATCAGTAAGCCACACCTAAAGCTACATAATTTGAAGGGTTTAGTCGGTATGTAAGTATCGAGAGGGAGACCCTAACCTCGGGCGAAGGTTCATCTGCCTTCCGGGGAAGCCTCTCCCCAAAATCGGACTCCGGGGAAGCTTCCTCGCCTCAAACGTTCATAGCTCTGCTTGCCATGCAGTGATCGGGGAACCACGTGCCGAGGTCCACACAACAAATTGTCAGCGCAGATCGAGGTTGAAGGGCTGTGTCGCAAAGCGTCTGAGCAGCTTTGGAACTTAGATGGCGCGCCTCTCGGGGGAGATTCCCCCGTTGGAGTTGCAGCATGTCCCCCCAGATGTCTTGGAAGTAAGTGTCTCGCAAGAAAGATTGTGGCTTGCAGTTGTCAGAGGTTGAGTCATACTGTAGGTTCTTCCGAGCTGGTGGAGGCTGTCTCTGCAGAGCCGCGAAACACCTGCAGCCTCATGTTTGGAGCGCCAGAGATGTTTAAAATCTACTTCCACAAATCCACATGCGTTGGCCATAGGGGTGTTCTGCAATTTCAGCCTTTTGGGAGACTTAAGCAGCCATTCCAGCTGGGGTTCCAGTTGTATGCAGGATTGTCGCCCCAAGGTTATACATTTCCCATAAAGTTCACCACTCTTTACCCCAGCCCTCAACACTAGCAGAGACTTATTTGCATCACTGGCTGCTGCTGCAGGCGTACATCAAGCGTGCTTGCCTGGCAGTTGCGGGGTCAGCAGTGGTGGCGAGGCGCCTGAATGTGGCTTCAGAGAATATCGTGAATGCATTCAAAGAGGCATTTGAAGCCAGCCCAGAGCAGAGCCTGGCTCTAGAGGCACCCACTGTGGAGCTGGCGCTTGCCTTCAGACATCAATGCCTGTATGCCTCTGTTCATGCTTGCATCCTTTGTCTTCCACTTATCCTCATGCAAGCCCATCCTTTTGTTATTCTTTGTCAGATTGACAAATCGTGAACTTCCACTGATGTGTGAATATATGCAGGTTCCTGGGCTGCAAAGACCTTACCTGTCACATATGCTCTCAGAACCCCAACCGGCAGTGCAGCGTCAACTTCAACAACAAGTATCTGGCAGGCGACATTCTGAAAGCAAAGTGTGGCGCGAGCATCTTCATAGAGATCACTGATCTCCACACTGGCGGTGTCATCAATGATCCGGAAGTGACAGACAATTACTATGTGGAGGTAATGTATTTCCTTTCTTCCCCGAGCATCAGGAGTCCCCTGGGCCCAAGGGGGCATTGCCAGCAATACATCAAGGGCATTTCTCATACACATTCAAATTCGTTGACCTCGAACTTGCTGATTACCATGCAACTGGTGGGATAACCTGATAATGGATCGGTGATGCAGATTGCGGTGATGGATGGCAAGGGGTATCAGGCGCTCATAGAATCCAAGCGGGAGAGCTATGATGAGGAGCTGGAGGGCCCCTGCATGCTCACACTGAATGGACATGTAAGCCCACGACTCCATCTCTTCAACAGTTGGAAGGATGTTATACCACTGCATGTTGCTGCCACACACGTTTTTGAAATGCGAGTTGCTTGTGTCCTAGAGCATGATTCCAGAAGGGGATGCTCAGGGATGACTGGTGCTGCGATGGGTAGACCAATGGACCTATTGCATGCATCAGGCCGCCTAAAGTTTCACACTAAGAGTTTAGAGGATGCATGTGACGAGATGTCCTGTCTTCTTTGCAGAACAAGCCGCTGTTGGCGCCCGGGCGTGCTGGGGAGCTGAACACGGCGGGGAGGGTGGTTGTTCCAGTCATCAGGGGGAGGGCCTGTCTGCCAGATCTCAGCATCACAGGTGCTCACTGCTGGCACACACAACAGATCGCCATTTGCCATTGTGACGGACACGGTACATGGATGTCGAGCAAGGTGGTGGATCATCACTTCGCCCGGCATCTGGCCTTGGCGAGTACAGGCATCTACACAGTTGTGATCTGTTCCGCATGTAGCCTGTCGTGGTCCCACACTCGCTGGACTATAAGCTGGGAATGAGACGATTCCCCTACTTGCCAGGGATTTTACTGAATTGTTGGTGGCTGCTCAAGAGTCCCAGACAACTAGTTGGTTGATTGCAAGCAGCAGAGAGTTTTGTGTGACTCATGCAGGGAGCTCTGAGGCGCTGCTGTCTGGTCAGAAGCCCCCCTTCATGCTGCTGGTGCGCGCGTACAACAAGGTGGACAACACGCGCGCTCTGCACATCAGGAATGGGACGTCGGAATACTTTGTGGTGAGCCCTCTTGCCTCCAGCCTGATTGAATCCTGAGGAAGAACACTTCCCTGCGTCCAATTGCACAGCAATGCCCTGAGTGGTCCCTGGATGAATTTTATGTCAAATCCTGAGTTGTCATCTGCGGCATCAGAGGTTGTTCTCCAAGGTCATGCAAATCCAGCTAGAGCCAGGATCAGTCAAACAACTTCCCCCAGAGACTTTTAGCGGGGTAGAAAAACGGGGGGTAATTCTTAAACAACCCCACTTGAGGGGTGTTGGCGCTCATTTAGAGATGAGAAGAGCAACTTGAAGACAAATTAAAAATTGCTGCGCCAGGTGGCGACTCCGCGGGTGAGGACGGCGGTAAAGGCGGTGATTCCCCATGTGGACGACCACGTCAGCAAGCTGCAGTCTCTAGGAGTCATGACTCAGAACAAGCTGGCCGACATCTCCGCGGCCGCCGCCGCTGCCGGCATTACTCACGACCTCCACGTGCCCAGGAACAATGTTAGCACCGGTGAGCTTTGGTTTCCTGATTTTCACACTTTTATACTCCCTACCTGCCCAGCACTCTGGCAGGGTATACAGATTATACTGGCAGGCTGCACAATACTAAAATTGGTGTGTGCTTGATGCAAGTGAGTTTTAGTACACCCTGATCCTGGCATGTTCCACCCTGCCAGTCAAGAACCCCCCCATCTCAGTGATCCAATGTCTTCGCTTCAGTGGCAGAATGCCATTGGCGCCCATGAATCTTGGCTTCTGCAGCATCCATTGATCCATTGGTCTTACTTCATTTCCCTCTGTATTGTGCCGCAAAGGACCTGTAAATTGAGACCAACACATGATTATAACAAGCAATTGCCCGAAAACCTGCAGATCCATGGCAATTGTCGCAGAGTCCAGCTCTACTGGATTATCTGTTAGAGCTTGTTTCAAGAAGAGGAGGATTGATCCATGCTGGTGTGTGCGCGCGCAGTGGGCGAATTCCGGGAGCTGTGCATGTGGTCGGACAAGGATCGGGCGCTGTGCGAGACGCTCAAGAAGGTGCGCTTGCATGATTAGCTCTGCGTCTGAGAGGTGTCTATGAGCGGCAGCACCAACGATCCTAGGAAGGCCTAATAGGATCCAAGTGAAGCGCAGGTGCTCAAGCTGACCAAGGGCTGGGATGCTGCCAAGGAGCACGCCATGCAGGCGGTGACATCGGACCATCAGCTGCGCATTTGGTCCCTCGACTCCACCGCGGGCCTGCTCTTCAAGTGCCACATGGGCGTCGTGGACATAGAGAAGCCCATCGGTGAAAGCTTGTTGCAGCCTGCCCTCTATACTGCACGAGGAGCATGTGCCTCGCATTGCTGTCGTTCACTGCGCAGCTTGAGTCTCTTACTGTGCTTTCTGCTCAATCGTCAATCTCACGGCGTTACTTTCAAAAGCTGGCCGCCATTTCTTCTTGCTTGAAGTAGCAACCTTCATGGATGTGATTGTATGTGCCACCGCTGACTTTGAAGGGGCTGTTTTTTGCACTGCGGGAGTCAAGACAAATGACACAATGCATCAAAACGCTTGCTCTGCCCTCATTCACATGCGCACGATGCACGGATGCACTGAAGAGTGCCTTGCACTCTGTTGCACTCCGCTGTTATCTTGCCATGCACGCACCAGAAGATGACTAAAATGACTCACCATATGACGCTGGCTGTGTCTGTCATGCAGGCGTCCTGCAGAGGCGCATGGAGGACGGGCACGTGCAGGCGGTGCTGGACAGCCACATCAGCGTCGCGCAGCAGAATATCCTGCGCCGGGGGCAGAACAAGGCGCTCGAGGACTGGTTCGTGGCCGGGCACCCCAACTGGCGGGTCTGGGAGGGCATGACCCACGATGGCTTCATGCGCGGCATGCACACCCATGTGACTGCCTTTCCCTCTCTATGAATGTAAAAGTTATCAAGGAGACATCAGATGAGCCCTTTGAAATCTGCGTCCACTCGGCGGGCGCTGCTCTCATGTTTTCACCCCTGACCATGTCGTGTGTCAAAGGCATCCTCCTTGAGGTTGCCTATCGAGCATCTGTGCTGCACAATGTGTCCATGATCATCGAAGATTCATGATCCAACGTGACATGCGCTTCTTTTGCATGCTCTGTGATTCTGCTTTCCTCCTACCACTGTGCGCCTGGAGATGGAAGGGGCGAGCACAGGGCTTGGGTCTGGCAGAATTTTGCAAGGAATTGCGCAGGGGAGAGAGCTGCACATTTCTTATCCCCGGAGTATTTTGGTGCCGTCGCAGGGCGAGAATGGCACGATCATTGTGCATGAGGGTCTGCTGCCAAGCCACCCGCTGGCCGCCCACAACCGCCCTGGCAGCTTTAACCTTGGCCTCTCTGACTCTGGCAGCGCCTTTGGCTCCCTGCAAGGTGGGCACGACATTCCAACCTACAATTGTGACTGATAATATTGCCTTGCATGTGCCTGAAGACACAGGATTCTCAACCATTTCCTGCCCTTGGTGCACCACATTGCTGTGACAGAAATGCTCTAGTCATAGGTCACCCTTGCCTAGTAGGTCAGATGAGAGGTGCAGTAATGGTCAGCTCACTTTTTAGGATGGCTTGCCCCTTGCATCCTTCTCAACTAGGCATTACGGTACATGGTACATGCATCTCTTAGCATGCTGCACTCCCACCGTTGCAGACCACATGAACTTCCCCTTCCCTTGGGTCCTCTTCAACAGTGATCCTGGCCAAGTACTTGCGCCATTGCACCATTTACTGCAGACTAAACAAGAGCTGGTGGGGGCCGGTATATATACTGAGCACCGTGCTCACGGTTGATTGGGTCTTGCTCAGATCTGGCGAGTCCATGAAGGGGTAGGAGTTGTGGTGGCCATTACCTGCACCTTGTCTGTAGATACTCCTTGACTTCGGCAGGAGAATCTCATACATTAATAACAATGAATACAACTCAAATGCGCTAATGGCACTTTGTGTGCTGCAGACCTGGCCAACCCTGGTCTGGTCCTGAACATCCAGCCAGGCATGCAGATCTCCTCCACTCCGGTACCGGCCGCAGCGCGCGCGCCAAATCTGTGGCCGACTCACCCCAGCACCTCGCAGCCTTCTGCGCCGCCTCCCATCGGCGGCTCTTTCACCTTTGGCCACGCTCGTGCCGCCCTGCAGCCGGGCATGCCGCCCATCGCACCCAGCCACGGTGAGTACTTTTGTTATTATCATCATCATTTTAAATCTCATATAACGAAGTTTTATAAGAATATTTCACATGGTCACCAGCGTGAGATGAACAATAAATTACCTGCAGCATTATTTTGTTATTTTATTAGTGCTTGCTTTGCCAAAAGGAAAGGTGCCCTGGCAGCCAAGCAGAGAGTGCTAGCTCGCCCTATCGTTGGGTCTAGGCCGGCTTGACTTGCATCAGGAGGCTAATTGCAAAAGTATGGGCATGATTATACTGTAGCCACGGCGAGTGGGCTTGTATTATTATTATTATCTTTACACGTTTTCCAGTCCTGGGTACGTCAAGCAACACCTGACTCATGTGGTTGCTCTCCAAAGAGTGGTTTTGCTGTTATCAATTTTTTGTGAACATGCACGGTGTCATTGCAAGAGGTCAGCTGGGTCATTAGACAAGCACAGAGCTATTTTCATGTTGGGTGCACGCCGGCTCGACTTAGTTTGGGAGTTTGTGGCTGCTATTTTTGAGCACACGCATGTCACATCGCTGCCCATGCAGGCATGCCCTGATTTCTCCATCAGCCAAGCGACCCCTGGTTATTTTAAGGAAGGCTGGCTGCATACGGTAAGTGTGGTGAGGAGGGTGTTGATATTTGCGTAGGCGGTGAGAATGGAGGGCTGATGCAGCATCTGGGCTCCGCTCGGGGCAGCGATCTCATCTCTGCACCGCCAGGCAGCTGGAGGAGGGGTGAAGCAGGTGTGCCGCCATCTTCCCCCCTGATCACAAGTCCCAGAGATTCCATGGAGAAATTCTGTTTCGGGAATCCTATTGAATGTGTTCAGTGCGCCACAAGCCAGTAATACTATTTTAGGCCCATCCGTGTGCACCGGGCTGTGTCCTTCAGCAATGTGGTGCATTATTGTTCCTCACAGATCATTTGTTGCTGTGAGCAAGGGCAGAATTCGGTGTGAGCAAGAACGTGTAGAGGGAACATCCCATAGGCCTGCTGAGCAGCAATCTAGTTGGAATGATCCTTGACTGAGGCCTTCATCGTGGACCATCCTATTAGAATGCAGATTGAAATGAGTGAGGACAGCCACAGATTTGCGAGACAGTGTGATGCCGAAGAGGGCTAAGGTCTTGATGCTTTACTAATGTTTAATTGTGCTCGTGTGCGCATGTGCAGAGCCTCTGGTGCAAGAGCGGCAGCCGCTAGCGTCCCCTTTTGCAGGGGAAGAACAGCAGAGCCAGGAGCCGAGCCGCGGGCCCAACCAATCAGAGCAGGGACCTTCAGATCCAGGGCCTAAGCGGAGCCAGCCGGTGAGGTCCCTGTCCATCGTCTGCCCCTGCTGGTAGATTCCATATCCTGGAACGGAATCAATTAATCTTGGGTGGAAGGAGTCAGCCAGAGCTCGACGTGGCATTCTGTCGTTCTGAAAGATTTCCTTTTCTCCCTACTCTTTGACTCGAAATGGAAGCTTACCTTCAGACTATGGACGGATGTGACCCATTTGAACTGTTTTCCTGAATGATTGAGTGTCTGAGTCAGAATTAAACTGCAATCTCGATGGGGCAGTCAGGGAGAAACACCGAACTTTTGAAGGCATCTGATTTATTATTCTGCCGCAGGTGCTGGCAAAGAGGGAATCTTCAGCCGGGGGGCCTAAGAGGAAGCGGCAGGCTCTAAATCCAGACGTGATGCAGCAGAGGGTGTCTGGCTTCCTGGGGCGTCTCTTGGACGAGAATAGCCTCTTCAAAATATTCCCGTACCTTCCCAATGCCCCCGATAGCATCTTGCCAGGCACGGCCCCTTTCATGCTTGAGCAGCAAGTGACAGCATGCCTGAATCACGTGCAGTCCAGTACAAACCCATTTACCCCAGTAGCATCCTGCAATGCATGGCCCCTTCGTAATTCTAGAAGCGAGTTCCAGCCTGCCTAGATTATGTGCAGCCCAGTACAGATGCCAATGTTCCCCATAGCACCCTGCTAGGCATGGTCCCTTCTCTACTCTAGAAGCAAGTATTAGCCTGCCTAAATCACATGCAGCCTAGTGCAAATTCCAATGCCCCCAATAGCATCCTGCCAGGCATGGCCCCTTCTTTATTACAGATGCAAGTGTTAGCCTGCCCAGATCACGTGCAGCCTAGTACAGATTCCTACCCACACTTGATTGCCTGGTTGCACTGTGATCACTGGTGCTCCCGGGCCTAGAGACACTTGTTCTGTCCATGTACTTTGTTTACACCGCAAGACAGCTTCCTCCCTTCTTGGCGGTTGCACCGCCTTTTGTGTCTTGCATCTTTTGGTAGTATCTGCACAACCTTATCCCACTAGAAATTTGTGGTGTTTTTCTTGCAAGTTCTGTTATTATCTGCAGAACCTTATCCCAATGGAACCTGTGCAGAGATGCGGGCAATGGACCAGATGACAAAACCACTTGGCATGATGTGTAAGAAAGGACCTCACTCAAAGCATGAACAAAACACAAGAGACATTTGAGGAGGAACTCTCCCGTACATAATCGGATATGCATCTTCCAGCCTGTCAATCCTGCGTACTTGTCAGGTTTCAAACCGAGCTGAACGGCCTGGAAGAAATATGACGCTCGTGTGGAAAGATGGCCAGCAATGCTTGGATTAGCAACACTCAAGATGTCTTCAGATGCTGCCTGGTAGTGCTTGCTTTCATTCAGATTCTGAAGATTGGAGGATTACCTGTTTATTTCCTGCAGGTGTCCCCATGAACATGGACGGGTCCGAGCAGGAGAATGTCCCTTCGCTGCGAAAACCGGTCAACTCTGGCATTGACCTATTAGCGGAGGCTGCGCACAGAGAGTGCGTACACCTTGCCTCCCCACAGATCAGAATAATCCCACCAACTTTGGTGTGTTGGCATTGCAATACAGATGTTACACGCACTTTTGTGTACTTTTACTTACACCAGAGGAGTATGCAAGAAGTATGTCACATGTGTGTGCCATCTCGCCCTGCCACAATTCTTGTTGCTACTTTGAAAGGGAGGCGTGAGCTTCATGTAGCTGACAAAGAAGTATGCCATGGCATGCACTTTCGCAACTCAGGAATAAGCTGCTTTCTAGTGATTCCGTATAACCTGTGTTCTTGCTTCTCCTGCTTGCACTGACTCCCCAGCTTGCAGTCCCACCCCTCCATGAATAAACTACTTTCTTGTGTTTCAGCAGTATTCGTTTGTCTAAATCATGCTCATTGCCCTCTATACATTCCCTTGCAGGTCGACCGCGGCGGAGCAGCAGCCGCCGCAGTTCAGCCGGATACGCTCATATGGCATGCCGGGCGGCAACGTGGAGTTTGACGACCTATATTTCCGCGATGAAAGCTCCTTGGTGCAGAAGCTGATGGACCCAGAGCAAGATCTGCGCATGGAAGGCATGGAGAGCGAGCAGCTCAAGGCTGTGCTTGAAGCTCGCCTGTCTGCAGCCGACCTCATGTTCCAACCGTCCGGCGAGGATCTGCCGGCCGCGCTCAGCCCCGCCTCGGGCCAGCCTGAAGGGAATCCTGCAGGCCTCACCTCAGGTGGATTTCCGTTTTCAACATTTTGTACCTTTGAGCAAATTGTGACGCAGACTCGCAAGGTTATTTCTGCATCGCTGTTGCAATTGCAACTGCAATTTATCCTGACACTGGTGTCCCTTGGTGGCATTATTGCATTGGTTTATCCCTTCATCCTTGGCATGCACATATTTTTTTCTTAAGCAGAGCCAATAAAAGATTGCATCTGTCACAGAATGCTTGTGATGTTTGTCTCTTAGGAGTAGTGCCGAATGCCTGACGGATTTGTCACGTTTTTTTATTTTCCACCTTCCAATAGAGCAGCTTTGTGCGTGACAGGACGCAGCTGATTGCTGTAGGCACGAGCTACGGCCATCTGCTGCGGAGCCATGGCTCGGATCTGGGCATGCCCAGTTTCAGTCCTCTGATCTCGGGTCTGGACAGCCTTCGGGGCCTCGATGATGCCATCAAAGAGGAGAGAGGGAAGGCCCATACAGTGTGACACACAAGGCGCGCAGGTTATTGTTGAGATCCAATGCAACCTGTTGAGCCCTTACTTTAGGCGTGCTCTGCTGCCTGAGAGTGACCCTAGAGGCAGGGATTGCTGGATAGAGGGGATCACCCTGCAATCTGTGAGGAGTGCTTATTTCTGCGGGGCATGCTCTGCTTGATGAGAGTGACTCTAGAGGCAGAGATCGCTGATAGAGGGGATCTACTGTAATGTGTGTGGAGCAATCATTTCTGCGGGGCATTCTCTGCTGGCTGAGAGTGACTCTAGAGGCACGAGATTGTTGATGGAGGGGATCCTATGCACTCTGTGGGTAGCCCTGACTTTTGCAGGGCATGCTCTGCTGGCAGAGAGTGAATCTTTAGGCAGGAGATTGTTGAGACACAACCCGGATCTAGATGCATGGGACAGAGCATCTCTTCTCTGTGCGTGCATGTCAGCTGGGGCTCAGCAACCAGCGTTGGGATGTTGATAGAGGTCAAGTAGGGCGCGCGGCTCTAGGCGAGGAGTCCAATTGACTCGATATGGTTTCATCAATCTTTTTCGGCAGGTGCAGATAGCTCCCCCGCCACTCAAACGTATAGGACATGAAAGAGAATGAGGCAGTGTCTTGAGCTACATGTCTATCAAGAGCAGCACTGTGCCTCGGCGGCCAGGCCTACTGAGCAATGGCATCTTTGTGGACACTTCTTCGGTAGCACTTCACTTCTCTCACCTGCTTCTCTATGTTGTGGATTGTTTGAGGGTTCAACCAGTTGTACAGATCATGGAGGTGTGGCGTGACGGCCTGTGGGCAATTTTGATTGTGTTGAAGAGACATGCCAAATACAGTACATTTGTTGACAGCAATGGTAACAGTGGTGCAGGAGACATCATGTACTATGATAGCAGTTGATGGACATCTTTATGCAATACTTAATCAGAGTTTGCATGGCTCTTTGCGGCAATGCATTGATTGCAACATACAGGTTTCCCCGAAGCAGTATCCTGCAGTTTCATAGCCACTTAGAAGTATAGGACATTAAAGAGAATGAGGCTGTGTCTTGAGCTACATGTCAGCGGCTCAGATACAGACTCTCAGAGACAAATTGTTCCTGAGAGTGTTGAGTCAAGACTCTCAGAACAATTTGTGCGTTTCGATGTGCAGGCTGTGAGGAAGATTGCAGTCAGAACCATTGCTCAAGACAAGCGCTCAGGCCTTCCTGCGCTGGGTGGCCAGCATGCACAGTTTCAGGATCTTAGTTCCCCCCCAGACCAATCCGCCAATTATCACTCCGATAACTCCCAGAAACTGTGCATGCTGGCCACCCCAGCGCAGGAAGGCCTGAGCGCTTGTCTTGAGCAATGGCTCTGACTGCATTTTCCCTCACAGCCTGCACATCGAAACGCAAGACTCTCATAATAATTTGTCTCTGAGAGTCTGTATCTGAGCCGCTGAGGCTGCTCAATAGTCAGCCTAGGCGCAAGTTGACTTTGAACCTAAACAGGAAACATCGCCCACTCCCTGCGCAACCTGATTGTTGAGACACAACCCGGATCTAGATGCATGGGACAGAGCATCTCTCCTCTGCGCCAGCTGGGGCTCAGCAACCATCGTTGGGATGTTGATAGAGGTCAAGTAGGGCGCGCGGCTCTACTAGAGGCGAGGAGTCCAATTGACTCGATATGGTTTCATCAACCTTTTTCGGCAGGTGCAGATAGCTCCCCCGCCACTCAAACGTATAGGACATGAAAGAGAATGAGGCAGTGTCTTGAGCTACATGTCAATCAAGAGCAGCACTTGTGCCATTGGCGGCCAGGCCTCATGAGCAATGGCACGTTTGTGGAGTCTTTTCCGGTAGAATTTCACTTCTCTCACATGATCCTCTATGATGTGGATTGTTTGAGGTTTGAACCAGTTGAACAGATCATGGAGGTGTGGCGTGACGGCCTGTGGGCAAGTTTGATTGTGTGAAGAGACATGCCCAATACAATCCATTTGTTGGCAGCACTGGTAACACCAGTGCAATTGATGGACATCTTTTTGCAACACTCCATCAGAATTTGCATGGCTCTTTGCGGCAATGCATTGATCGCAACATACAGGTTCCTCTGCAGCAGTATCCTGCAGTTTCACTGCTGGTCGCGTCACTCAGGATGTCCCTTTATCAAAGCACCGTCAGGAGAAGGGGTTTTATTGATATGATCTCAATTTATGGAGTTACAACTGAAGCTGTAAGGAGAATTAGCAGCATCAAGCTTCTAAAAGGAGTGCTTCTGGCTATTGCTACACCTTACGCAAAAATTGTGAACCCACAGGAGCATTGTGTGCAGCTGACTGTAGAGCAGAGTGATCATTTTGAACCCGAGCCCATTAAAATGATGATCCCGCCGGCCCGGAAGCGCTCCCGCTACTAGCGCTTGAGTACTCGTGATCATGCCGGATATTCATATCAATATTGGTCCCATTGCATGCATGGGGCGCCCGCAGGTGGCTGTAAGTAAAGAATTTCATCTGTTCTGCAGCGCGTGAGAATCAACACACGATGGGAACTGATGCAAATCTTGCATGGTCCATGGGGCCATGCTGTCCAAATAGTGACGTCACATCATTGAACCGGTGGCTTGGATGGACTGGACGCTTTCTCTTTCGACATATTCAAATATCCCACAATTGAGTCTGCAAAAACTGGCCCAACGTTTATCTCATGCTTGCGAAGTTTGGATTCGGTACAACGTTTCTTACTCCGCCCAAAGTGCCGGCTAGTACATCAGACATTGGAAAGCTGGAGGTGTAATATTTCTTGCCTGAAGCGGGATCATAGTCTAAGCAGTCTGCTCAGAGCCAGTAGGGATAGGAACTTAAGTCAAAGCCTCACAGTCTTTACAAGAGTGTGAGTTTGATACATAAATTGCTGATGGAGAGCTAACCTGAGTGTCACTGACCTCTTGATGGCAGCCCTGCACACTTCACGGGAGGCCCTGTTGGCAGCATACCCGTTGCATGCATCGAGGAAGATCAGCTGGTCCTCATGGAACCTGCTGAGGCTGAGAACACAGGGAACGCGGGTGGCAAGGGATTGCCCAGTCTTGGAGAAGACTGGGACGCGCGACCAGCGTCCTCCCAGCAGATTCTGCAGAGCGTGTTCCACTTCATCTACTTCAAGCACCAGTACAGCTGACAGGGACCAATTCTTTGCGACAACACCTCTGTACTACGTGAGTCCTCTTCAATTCATAGAAATTTCCAAGCTAATTTGCTGCATAGAGACGATGCTAGCTCGCCAAGCACAGGTAGTCCCACTGCATTGCCCTGAATTTTGCGTGGTCATTGCAGGTGAATGCAGAGCCGCACATGGGCAGTGCTTACACCACCATGGCAGCAGATGCCATTACCAGGTTTCAGAGGCTGAGGGGCAAGCGCGTCAGCTTTGTCACCGGGACGGATGAACATGGAGAGAAGATTGCAGAGGCAGCGGCAAAGAAGGGGCAAGAGCCCCAGCAGCATTGCGATGGAGTCGTGGCATCTTTCAAGGGCCTGTGGGAGGAGGTATGAATCTGTTCTCTCCTATGAGCATGTTGTTGTTACATCCTTGTGCATCTCTCACAAGTATCCAGAGTGCTCCATCAGTGGAAAGTGACCTGCCGTTGATGCTGTCCTTGGTGCTGCGCAGATGGACATCCAGTATGACAGCTTCATTCGCACTACAGACCCAAAGCATGCGGTAAGAAGAACAAACTGGATACCGCCAAACTTGCACGTGATTGCCTGCTCGCTCTTAGTTGCCCGCTCGCTATTTCGATTGCCTTCTTGTTAATTGGCCTGCCACACAGGGTGATGAAAAGTTGTGCAGGCCTTTAATCTGCCTGTGTGTGTGCAGACGGTCGTCCGAGCCATTCTGGACAGGGTGTGGGAGAAGGGGGACATCTACAAGGCCAAATACGAGGGTGAGCTGCTCTTATCTGCTGCACCGCCCTCTCCTTACGAACCTGTGACCCACTCATCCCAAGCCTGATACCACCTGCTTGCTTCAAGATTTATAGCGCACAGCAATGTGCCTCTGGCCAGAGAGGCACATGCGGAGATGCTAGGTAAGACCCTGCAGCCTAGAGTCTTATGGGCAGCATCAAAGCACGCTCTATCACAGGGAGACAATTTGGCTGTCATGAGGCGTTGCGGCCCGGCATGCATGCATGGGCAGCATCAAAGCACGCTCCATCACATGCATGGAATGCATGGAATAACTATTTCTGTCTTTAAACGGCCAGGCTGGTACTGCGTGGGCTGCGAGGCATACAAGGACGACAGTGAGATGGAGGGCGATCATGCATGCCCTTTTCACAAGACCCGCTGCGTGGAGCGGGAAGAGGAGAACTATTTCTTCGCGCTGTCCAAGTACCAGCAGCAGATCCAGGTGTGCAACATACCCCTCTCGAGATGAGTGAATGTCTGCCATCTAGCAACACAAATGAGCGACAATTGAAATGCTGCAGAATCCAGTACCATTTCAAGCACCCAGTGCAATGGTCTGGCATCTTTCCCTTTCCATGCTGGTAGAAGAGGAATCCTCAGTGGCCGGGAGTTGCCAGCTTTCTTGGGACTCTGGAGTGGGATGTGTTTGCCATACTGATGGCTAGCCTGCGGTCTAGTTTTGCAATCTCTCCTGAAAGGTGATGCGCCCAAGGATGACAAGTCGTGACAGCAATACAGACTTTAAGTTCTTGTGTCCTCGGATAGGCATCGACCATTAGTGCAAGTTTATCAGCTGCAAAAGCTGGCTATGGTGCTTATCCCTGGTGTACCTGCGCGCAGCGGGTGATAGAGGAGGACAAGTCGTTTGTGCAGCCGGCAGCGCGGCGCAACGAGGTGCTGGGCTGGGTGGAGGCTGGCCTCAGGGATTTCTCCATCAGCCGCGCCGCGGTCTCCTGGGGCATCCCCATCCCCCGAGACCCCGCACAGACTGTCTACGTTTGGTTCGACGCCCTCCTCGGCTACATGTCTGGTGAGTCATCCTATTGATGATGTTGGCTGCTGACCACAGGCATGATGCATCCATGTATGATGTTTGCAAAGCAGAGGTCTGGTTGCACTGGAAGTCTAGATCACCCTTCCCATGGTGACTGTTCAGACACTCACTGATTTAATCATGATGAGATTGATATATTGGATAGATTTGAAAGGTAGGCACATAACACGTTTCACAACCTGAATCGCCGTGACCAGACGAGTTCCATCAATCTATGCCAGCCTGCACCAGGACAGACGTCATCACAAAACCTTTGCTTTGTCGTCTCCTGTGATAATGTCGTTCCCTGTGACGTGTCATTTCCTGTGATGATGTCGTTTTCTGTGCTGATGTCATTTTTCTGGCGGCTGCAGCGCTGCTGCCGGAGGGAGCGTCGCCGGACGAGGCTGAGCTGGCAGCGCGCGGCTGGCCGGCGGACGTGCACCTGGTGGGCAAGGACATTCTGCGCTTCCACGCCCTCTACTGGCCCGGCATGCTCCTCTCCGCCGGCCTGCCGCTGCCCCGCAAGATCTTCGCACACGGCTTCCTAGTGTGCACACGCGCATGTCATGTGCTTTATGGAATCAGATAGGTCAGCGATATTGATTGCAAGGATGGAGACTGGAGAGTTTTCACTGAGGCAGAGATTGGACTGCCTTCAAAATTTATTGTGCGCTGGGAGCATGGCTGGAGCTTGTACTGGTCACAGTGGTGCATGGGAGCTGTTGCTTTCACATGGACGTACCTCTGCACCAGTATTTTGCATGAAGGGGACCGGGGGCTGTGTCTACATGAATAAAGGCACAATTCAGTGACATGCCCTTTGTTACTTGCTGTTTTAAGATGTCGAAAGATCAGAACTGCCATTACCATAATTTGCCACTCCTGCAGATAGACTGCGCTGTTGCTAAGGGTGTGCAGTTGTGTGCTGCAGACCAAGGACGGCATGAAGATGGGCAAGTCCCTGGGCAACATCTTGGAGCCTCGCAAGCTGCTGGCTGCCTACGGCTCCGACGCAGTCCGCTTCTACTTCCTCAAGGAGGTCGTCTTTGGCCAGGCACGCCCCTCCTTGTCCATCTTTCTCCGTTTTTGCGTGTGTTATCAATTCCTGCGCTACAGTTGAGGCAGTGCAGCTTTCAGCAAGTGCCTGCACCGCTATTGAGTGTGAATTGGGTCCTACGGTTTATTTATGGCCCCCAGAATCCTGGAATGGATTTCTTGACAAGTACAGTTTGCTCTTGCATGGCAGATGTGGAGAATATTGGGGCTCGTGTCATATCAGCAGCGTCCTTCATGTGTGCAAGTTCATGTGTGCAAGTCTGGAGCATACTCTTCCCGTCACTGTTTTTTACAATTTCAAGGTGTTGTACCGCTCCCCGCCTGGCATGAGACCTGTGCATGTGGGCACAGGACGGCGATTTCAGCGAGCAGCGCTTCCGGGACACAGTGAACGCGTTCCTGGCCAACAGCGTGGGCAACCTGCTCAACCGCACGCTGGGCCTGCTGCGCAAAAACTGCGCCGGGTCGCTGCCACTCGCCGCCGCCGCCGTGCCGGCCGACAACCCGCTTCGCGCCGTCGCCGAGCTCGAGGTATGCCCCCCGGCTCTCGCTCCCGGAGAGGAGGAATAATCCCTAAACCATGCTTGATTTTAGGCGGTCCCTGGTATCACCTCTTGTCCCAAGGAAGGCACGGCGAATCAGAGAAGTCATTTCTGTTTGAGGGCATGACATTTGTAGCCGGAACGAATCTGGCCTGGCGTTCGAGAGGTGAATGGAAAGAAGGGGCCCTGTATGAGTCCTGTGTCCAGAAGGCACAATGCTGCTTGTGTGTCATCGGGAAGCGGTTTCAGAGGCTGCTCCCTTGCTCCTCCCAGCAGGGCGTCTCCTGTCCGTTCTGGCAAGTCAGCACACGCCTCATGGTCTCATGGGGCACACCGCACCAGTCAGCAGAAGCAGGGTAGCTCACAGGTCATCATTTTCAGACAAGGGTTCAGACAAGCCCCTTGTGATCAGCACATTCAGATGAATTAAGAATCGAGTGCGGCGCAGGTGGCGGCTGCGGCATTGGCTTACGAGGAGCTGCGGCTGCATGATGCGCTGGAGGCTGTGGTGGCCATTGCCGGCCGGGGCAACCTCTACATGGAGCAAATGGCGCCATGGACCGCGTTCAAAAAGGTGCGCCCTTGCACTATTGCTCAATTTTGAAGATTGGGTGCTCTCTGGCCCTCTGACTTCACGCGTTCACCTCCTTCCTGCATGGCTGTGATACCGCGCCGCAAATGCGTTTGCAATCAGCAGCCTTGCAAAGGCGCTATATGTGACATTTGGTATGTCATGCCACTGTAAAAAGAAGTTAAGGTTCACGTTCTAGACCTTCATGGGTTTATGCGAACATGGAGGAGATTTACTGTCGAGCACAAACAGCACCGCCAATGCTCCACCATGCATTATAGGGCACGGATGAGGAGAAGCGTGCGGCTGAGCTGGCGCTTGTGGCGGTCTTGGAGGCAGTACGGATCGTGGCGGTGCTGCTGTCGCCCGTGACGCCGCGGTTGAGCAGCGAGATCTACGGCGCGCTGGGTTACGGGCCGGAGGCATATGAGGGGCTGTCCTGGGGCGACGCCTCCTGGGGCGGCCTGCCGAAGGGGCAGGCCACGCCACCGCCCAAGCCGGTGTTTGCCAGGCTGGAGGGGGATTTTGTCACCGAGGTTGCCGCCAGCAAGAGCGCGGCTGTCGCTGCCTGATCCAAGCAAGAGACTCACTTCTTGAATTTCTATTCCCCCAAACTTTGGTTCCAAACAAAGATCTCTGAAGCGACGTCAGTCGACTGTCCTGTGAATAGTTCTAGAATTGATCTGCAAAATGACTACAAGCGCCGAGACAGTATGGCGCTCTCAACTTAGTTAGAATTCTCGCTGACGAAGTCTGCTTGGTTTTGTTAGCTGAAGCGTACCTGTAAGCTCGAGATTTGCTCATGGAAGGAAGGAGGATTACACATCATGGTCAAGGAAGTCAAACGTTTGGGAGTGCCCCCCCTGCAACTTCCTCGATAGCGGAAGCTTCCAAGAAATGCAGAAGCTCCTCTTCAGAATTGCGACACGACATGGTACCTGAATGCCTAAAGGCAAGGCGATAAGATCTGTCTGGCCTGCAGAATGAACATCCTCGTGTGCAAAGACTATGTATTCTCTTAGAGCTGTGAGTAGACCTCTTGCTTCGGTGTGCAGCGCAAAGCTAGCATCTGTGCGCTTCCCGGCAACTGTTAGTTATAGAGTTCGAGCTGTGAGTTCGACATCCATTTTGGCGAAGTCCAGCGAGCAAAGTTCAGATCACACTATGGTTCGGGACAACATACAAGCGGCAGCAACGGAAGACAAGCAGGACAGAGCTGCTGAGATGGTCGTCGATGCTGCGCACGAGAAGGTGCAAAAGCACTGATGCAAGTAATTTGAATAAATTTATACATTAGGAATCTAAATTTTCGCAGGAAATAGGCTGTGTCCCGGAGACTGATGTTTGCAAGTGCCTGCAGGCTGCACAGCATGCTGCACGCAATGATGGCAGCCCTGAAGAAATAGCAGAGCAGCTGGTGAGTGAGGTGGACGGCGGAGACATTAAGAGCATAGAGCTGGAGAGAAAACACGCCGAGATCAAGCCTGGCCAGCCGGGGAGCGGTGTGCAGCGAGGCTCTGCTGCAGCTGCAGCCCAGGTAGCCACTGTAATGCAGCATAGATCACTTGTATGAAGACACATCTTCCTGGTGTTTTTCATCTTAACTGACGTGGAGTTATTTATTATTAATGGATGCTAAGGTGTGGTGCGCTTTGGATGCAGTCGGCTGTGGACAGAGCGGCAGATCCTACAAGGACAAGCAAACCGGTGATAGCACAGAAGGCAGAGGCGGCCTTGGCTGATGAGGTCAGAAATGCTCGTGACTAGATGGGAGCGCAGTAATCATGTAGTATCTGCTTAGCCTGATACTGAAGTGTACTTGTATCACTTAAAGCACAAAATTTGTAACCAATTTGTAACCAATTTTTCAACTGAGAATGGAAGATTGTTGGCTAACTTGATGAGGCATGTGGCAAAGAGCATGACTGTTGGAAGACACAAAGGACAACAGACACCTAGCCTCAGGCAAGGCGTACAACAGGTTCAAACACATGTTTGTAAAGGTTCATATCCTTGATGTTCATGGCTGTGAGCACACCACTCAATGCTGGTACACTTATGTTCACTCACATTGCCTGTTTGTCATGTGAGCTCTGGTAAGACGTGTTCTTCACTTCAATTTCTACGATGCGTGGTCAGAAAACAGTCGTGTTGGCAACTGCTCCGCCGGAGGGTCCTGTAAAAGTTGTGAAGATGTTGAAACTGCCTGGGGGAGTTGAGGCAGCGGGAGTGCCTGCAATATGGCAACTAACACTGTCAGCCTTCTAGCAACATTTCAACCCGGGAGATATTTTATACATTAAAGTCAGTGCGAGGGCCAAAATAGGGTGGAAGGGCTGCTTTGCTGTGTAGAAGAACTTGTACAAGTGTCTACATGCTTCCCTGGCCAGGGCATTCGGGGCACAACTTATATTCGGGCCTGCCTACGTGCGCTTCAACGCTTGTGCAGAATACGCAAGAGGAGGTCACGCTTTGTATAGAGACGTAATTTGCTGTGTTAGAAAGACATTTGAAAGTTCATCAAAAGAGGCATGTTATGATGTCAAAGAGATGTCACCTCCAGACCCGGGGCAAGTGGGATCCCAGTTTGTGACCGTCAGAATCCACAGCGCCATCACACCTGCCAAGCACACAGTCTTTCTGGAAACATGGCTCAACCCACCTTTTCTTGCATCACAAGACTTTAACTAATATCATTTCAAGCTGTTCCTGCCAGGGACAAGGTGCACGTAAAGGCTGCCCCGTAATGGACCACCACATTTCAGCAAGACCCAATCAATCGTGGGCACAGAGCTTGGGTTCTTTACCGCCCCCCGCCAGCTATGGCCCAGGTCACGAGACTTCGGGATTCAAAAAGTGCATCAATTAAAGACATAGGTTGCAAGTGAATGGAGCCGTGCATTTGTGTCGACAATACACAGGGTGCATCAGTCATCACTCACCATAGTGCCTGTCATCTGCAGAATACTTGGAGACGATGGTCACATTCTGACCCGGCTTGAGTGGGTACGGCGGCACAAGTGTGTCATCAGTCATGCGCACAAGATAGCCCTTCTCCTGACCTGCTGTGTCTGCAGGCGTGCCACACAACTCTCATTTGATCAGTGATGCATCCTTGCTATAAGCTTTGCTATCATTGGCCAGCAGCCTTCTGCAGACGCACCTTGCCCCTGACAATAATGTGTCTTGACAACAATAATAGTCCCTGCTGCATTCTTTGCACAGACAACAACATAAATTGCACATAAAAGCAAAAAAGCAAATGCCAAAGTATAGTCTGGACCTTGAAGCGCTGACTGCGCAAAGAAGGGATATTTCTGTCAAGCAAATGCATGCAAAAATTATCCCTCCAAGGCTGGACATCTGAAGCACCCCAGCTTTTGGCTGGCACTGCCCAGAAACACAACCCTATGGCGCAAAGGATGAAGGAAATGCTGATGTGCTGTGAACGTCAGCTGTGTGTTCACCTCGTGATGTTGAGTTGCCGTAGACAGAGCAGGAGGTGCAGATGAGATGGCCAGTTGCCGTGTCAACAATCTCCATGCAATCACCACCTGTTGCAGAATGGAAGAACATTCCTTATTCCAGTAGTGACCACGTCAGGAAAACAACAGTGCTGCACAGACATTGCAAAAACTTAGGATAGGAAGTGCACAGATTCGGGCTTGCAGCAGCGCTTGTGTAGAGGAATTCCAGAAAGAGAATCTCTATTGCAGTGCAGGTATACACTTTCGTCAGCAATGTAGCGGCAGAGCTGTCAACCACCCAGCAATGATGCAACCTCGACAATGACATTTGAAGGACAGCCAGTAACAGTTCTTTCAAGGCACGGAAGATTCGATTTGACATGATGTGATCAATTTGAATGCAACTGCGCACCGATGTGCTGGTGGCCTGTGCAGCGCAGGAGGCCGTAGGGGGCAGACTGCGGGCACTGCTGGTCAAAGGGGCCCGTGAAGTTTTTGACATCGATCATGCCAGGCCCCTGTTTGAGCACGTCGTACTCCACAGAGCCGTTCACCACATCCAGCAGCACTGGAGAGGCCTGCACCAGCTCATCTATCTGCTCCGGGTACCTGGCACATGAGCAAATAGCTCTGTCGTGGACAAGAAACAACTTTTCTACTTTACAGTAAGGTGCCTCCTGCTCAGGCCCCTACTCATGCGCAGGAGTCAAGAGCGATGAGGGGACCATACACACCCAGCGATCAGAAGCTTGCGGGAAAACAGCAGCCATGCATGCCAGGCATCAATGCGGCAGGGCTGCAACCAATCCGTACACAGAAGCAGCTCGGCGACGGCCATTGCCAGTTGACAGCAGCATGGCCAGCTGGCTGCATCCAAACCGCATAGTGCTGAAAATGAGCAATCTTGCCATGCAAGTCTGCCGATGTTGCCCTCTATTACATGCCCTCTGTGGGCAGAAAACTGAGAAAAGGTGCATGATGCGCGACGGCTGTGAGCGTGCCTGTAGGAGACATTGTATTGCAGGTGGTAAACGGTGGCACTCTCATTGGCGCGCGGTGTGGGGCAGTTGAGGGGCGAGCAGCATGCGGTGCCCCCCAGGTAGCTCTTAGTCGATCCAAGCCCCTGGAACCAGGGGTATATTATGTAGGACTTCAGTACTTACCGCCCAAGGTGTGAACCAGGGATAAACTAGTGCGCGCTCGGGCACAAGAACTGCACACGTTTGCATGTTCAGGACTGCTTACATGGACTCGTCTGCTTAGCCTCTTCCACACAGGGATGACGAAAGGATTGTGTGATTGTCTGTGGTCTGCAACATTATTACTATCTATATAGACTGCTGATCACGGGGTAGTTATCGTACCTGGAATGCTGCAGCGCTGTCGGGGCACCAGCACTCGATGCAGGGAGCGATGTGATCAGGGTCCACCCCGAGAGTGTTGATCAGGTGGATGTTCATACGCCTGCAAGAGGCCCCAACAACAAATCTTTGTCATAAGCTCTCCCATTCATGTTGGGCATTCCCAAAGGGTGCTGCAGGAGAAAGCGGTCCCTTTATAAGCATACGTCCGAGCATAGCATGCCCAGCATGGGAGGAAGGACATCAGAAGCAACATGGCCTGGCCAAAGTTTGATTACCAAAGAAATGGCAATACTCCAAGGAAAAAGGAAACACGGTGTTGGATATGAAACTGTAAACTCGACCTGAGTTCCTTCTTACTCACCTGGTGGAGGGGTCTTTAAAGAATGTGCCGTTGACGAGCTGGTAGTAGGGGTGCGGCAGCGGCAGCTTGTCAAGCGTGCCTCTGAGCTCTGAGCCCTCAGCCACAACAAAGCGCGCGTTTCCAAAGAAATGATGCGCGTACGCCTGGGTCGCAAAAACCCATGCATTTTGGTATGCCCCTCAGAAGTTGCCCAGAACCGGGCAGTCTCCAGCTCTGGGCAGTCCTCAGCTCTGGGCTTTACCCAGAGCTTTAAAGACATTGCAGCAGGGCAAGAAAGAGTCTCACACATCAGGTGCATGGCAGATCTCTGAAAAACAGCAATTGCAATACTTTGCAACCGAGGACTTGCACACACTGGCAGACATGTGAGGATCGCAGGCGTGACAGATTTCAGAGCCCTGGTCACATCACCTGGCTGCCGAAGCTGACAAATGCCAGTGGCAACACATGCAGAGCATGGGACTCACAGAAGGGAAGTGATAACAGAATTATTGATCCACCTAGACAGGTCAGGAAATAATAGAGCACAGTGCTACTCAGTGAGGAGTGGAGCACAGGAGCAGACCTCTGACAAGGGCACGGGTCGGCCGGTGCTGTCAACGATCTGGGATGTCTCATTAATTATGGCCACGATTCTGCTGGGGTACGGGTTTGCCAGGTTGTAATAATCGTTTGCCACCTGTCATGCCATCCCAAATGCTGGTCAGCGCCGATAATGCCTCCCACAAGTCTCGGTTGTCCCAAGATAAAAGCCTACGGTAGTCGTCACGAGCATGCCAGCCTTGATTCTCTCCTGGGTAAGCAAGCAGCTCACAAGGTTACGGATGCATGTAAATGCCAGAACACTGTCAAGACTAATGCAGATTGTGCACATGACATCCCAGGAGAAGGAGATCAGCGAAGAACTGTGTGCTGAGTTTGGGACCCTGACAATGAGCACCGTGCTGTGACAGACAAGGTACAACATAGCTTTCATATTAAGAACTTTGACAGGATTTCAAAGATATTTGAAGCATGCCTGGCCTGGCTTGAGGGGCACGCCGGGGCTGAGGCATGTGACGTGGAATGTGTCATTGGTGCCTGCCACTAGCACCGGGGGTTCGCAATGGCTATCACCCGCGGTCGCCGGCTGCTTTCGCTGAACGCCTGACTCCGCCGGCGCTGCTTTCGCGGCAACCGCATCTGCAATACCGTCATCCTGGTCACATGAATCCCAGCAGGCCAGGATTTGACATCTCAGGGGGAGCACTCCTGGGACTGGCAGAATGCTTCTGGGTTCTGGGACTGCCCAATTTTTCTTCGCCACATTGACAGGAAAATTTCTAGGCAGGTCATGAATCCCTGAATTTGCCCAGGGACATAAAGGCGGCAATATCCTTCCCCTTGTGGTACCCTCCACATCCGAGCAGGACCAATCATTTGCGAGCATGGTGTTCTGTGACTTATCTGCCCAACGGCAGCCAGGGCATTCCTTTGGGCCCTGAAAATAAGGCTCAAGACAAGATCAGAGGGCTGGGCTCACCAGAGACATGCACAGTAAGGAGCATGCCCTCATCGCAATGCCCGCTGACAGAGCAGGCATAGTAGAAGGTGCCGGGCTCCCTGAAGGTGAGGTTGAAGGGTGTGTCGGTCAGGCCGGCGACCTGTGTCGCGTTGCTGAAGCTGCAGTCCGGCTTCGCAACCCGAATGACGTTGTGCTGCCCACGTGCAAATTTGAAGACCTGCGCATTCTCAGAAGTGTCGGATCCGCACCTGGATGACCTTGAAAATCCACCTTGTTCCGATGTGGAGGCGGCTGCAAGGTACAAGGCTATCCTGAAGACTAGGTTGGTGCCGTAATGGCATCTACAACTGACGTTTGCTTGGGAGCACCCTGTGCTATCTGACTATTGTGAGGCCCAGCTCATCTTCAATAAATCTAAATTTGCATGTGTGTCATTGCTCACTATCAGGACGAGCATCGATATCATGTCCTCAGCTGCGCATGGCTTCCTTAAGGCCATCCGCCGCCTTTCAATAGGCCCGGAAGATGCACAAAGGCTTGCCAGTGTGCTTTTGAAAACTAGACAAAATGATTCTCACCAATGAATCACCAAACGTCACGTTAATTGGGTCGTACTGAAGACCCGTCGTCCATCCGGCTTGGGCACCTCCGACAACGATCTGGCTTGCAGCCGCGCAGCTGATCGACAACACCACGGCGATTATACCCAAGAAAGCAGTCATGATGGTACACATCGGTGCGAAATGATCTGCGTACCAGAAGTCCGTCCCATCAGGGCTACATGAGGATCAAGTAATCAGACGACTTCCACCCGTCCAAGAATTGACTAAGGCCTTGTTCGAAAGAGCCTAGGAAGCTTCATGGCAGCCCCTCCAACCTCGGGAGGCCAAATTCCTTCGTTTCTTGGCCCTATAAATGGTGTTCGAGAGGTAATGTGGATTAAATTGGGCCATGAGCAATTTTCCAGTGTGAGTGTGAGTCCTCTGGACCGTCCAACGTGAACTTAATCGCGATCTCCAGCTAATTTAAGGGCGAAGTTGAAATCTAAGTAATTAACATACAAATATCTACAACTTGCACAAGAAGTGCAGAACGTGACATTCAGGCCTCGCATCAGTCAGTGCTTCTCTGCAACATGTACAGCGCTTCCCTCTATAAGCTTCATCTCCTGTTATAAAATTTGAGCCCTAAACAATGCGAGTCTTGAGATGGCTCTCCCAAAAATGCAGTCAAGGACTCTTATGTTGCACCCTTTCAGCATTCACAGCTGTGGTAGTAGGACTGCACCTCATCCTACAAGGAGAGACTTGCCCCACAGAACCTGATGTCACTGCTGTACTAAAAAAAGCTTTCTAGTCTGACTCGCTGTTGCTGCCCCGCGCAAGCTGCGGCCTGAGGTCATAAGGCGACTCTTGGCCACTGCTGCTCTCAGAGTACCCACTGCTGGATGGCCTAGAAGAACTGCCTTGATGAGTCTCTGCTGCTGCGCTGCCGGGGCGGCTGCCAGCGGATGAGTAAGCGTCCTCGGAGCCCGCCCTCCACAGCTGTGGGCCCCTGGAGGTCCCCACTCCGAAGCCAGTGGTGGCGTGCTCCGGCGTGGTGAGGTCCCCCCAGGACGCGCTGGCTCGCAGGCTAATCTCCGTCGGCGCGCCCTCCCATCGCGCCTGCGCCAAAGCAACACCAGCCATGTCATAATTGTAATGTAATAATCCTGAGAATGTTGTCCAATAACGAAATCTCTGTAAAGCAAATGAGCAATTGTAGGCATTGATATGCACGCTGCACATTTGCAAGGTTGTAGGCATTCAGGCAAAAGGATGACTGGAGGTGTAAATTTCGAGGTGAATATCTGTCGCACCGGTTGCGCCGATGTCGGCCGGCCGAGGTCGGCAGCGGGGGTGAACATGGGATCAAAGAATCCTGGCGTCTCGAAGAAGCCGCCGGCCGCCACGTCCGGCGTGGCCGCCTCGGGCGTAACGCAGCCGGCCCCGGCCGCACTCATCAGCCGTGCCGCGCCGGCCGCCATTGGTGACGGCTGCGGTGACGTGCTGGCGCCGGGAGAGTCCGGCTCTATGCGGTCCACTAGTGGCACTTGCGTGGCTGGCGGCACAGTCGTAGAAAGTAGCGGCAGATGTTGCTCCTGTTCAGGCGCCGAATTCTGGCACATCTCCCGGTCTGTCTTCGGGGCCTGGCTGTTAACAAGCTCATCCTGCTGCGCATCCGCATCTGCTACGGAGCCTTCCCACATCTCCGCTGTGGCTCCAGTCTCTGTGCCCTCTGCAACTCTGGGAGCTGCTGCCTCACTGTGATCTGCACATTGATCCACCACAGCCTCTGCTGCTACTGTGGCGACTTCTGCCTGGCTGGAGGCGACGAGCTGAGGACCGTCTTGCTGTGAGGATGGTTGAGCGGCGGAGAGGGTGTCCCTCCTCGGCTTCACCTCGGAGCTGCTGACGTCACAGTGCTCCTCTTCTGGCAGCGTGCGCTGGGAGGAGGTGGGAGTTCCCTCTTCGGGCTGGGGTGTTTTTGCTACCCGCCCAAAGCCGTTTGCCGGCCAGGGAGACCCCTCCTGTATACAGCAAACATCGTCATTCTTAGCACACACATTTCAGGCGTGTAACATAGTACGTATCTCATCCTTTTTACACTGATTCAAATGACTGCAAACTTGCTGAGAGACTCAGCATTTGCCCTTTTTGGCCAACTCTTCATATTCTCTGGTCTCCAGTCGCCAGATAATTTCTACAGGGAGCACATCTTTGGATTTCAGCTAACTATAATCCTGTGACTGCGGCAGTCTCAGCTTTGCTGAACGAGGGCCAAGTACCTGCTCATAGGCGGTCCTGGTGTTGCCAGAAGGCCTGGCCATGCAAACAGAGCCGACTGACTCAGCGGGCGAGCTGGCGTCTGAGGTGGACGCCTGCTGCTGGCTGCCGCGGCCCAGGCAGCTGCGCCTGGGCGGCGACCCGTCGCGGCTGTTACCTGCAAATTCAAATAGCACGAGCAAAGTAAAGCTGTCTGGTCTCACAGACCCCACTGGTTATCGGATCGCAAACCACACATAGCACTCCTCCCCAGTTACTTATACGCTTTGCTGAGGCGAAGCACCCGCCCCTTGACACTTCTGAGAGTCAAAACCTTAGCGACCATATACAGTGAGCCCCTGCACTGTCACCGCTACGAAGGCATATATTCTGCAGCTCACAGGAATTAAAATTCTGTAATTTGCTTTTTGAATTCCCTGGTGCAGCATGTAGAGAGGGATTTGTGTCGGGGAGCATTCTGACCTGGCGCGGAGGGGGAGGGGACGTCCCCGGAGACCGTTGCGGTGCAGCTGGCGGCTGGTGCTGATGCAGACGCGGACGCTGACGCCCCCCGTCGCGTGGCCGCCAGGTCAGCCTTCTTCTGCTCCTTGCGCCGCTCATCCTCCACCTTGCGCTTCTTCGCCTGCAGCGTCAAATCGCACACTTTCAATGAAGTTTTAGAACAAATGGGAGTTGCTCGCATCTTTTGCTTCAGTCAAGAGCCATTAGGTGCACAGTTTTATCCTTCATACATGTTAGAAGAGACAGTCCTTTCAAGACAGGGTGTGAGGCTTCTTTGCCTGCAGCGCCACTCCAATTGTCACTCAGCATGCATCCCAGGCTAAGAGTATATCTTATATCTTATATATGCCTGTACATTTTATATTCCTAAGGGGAGGTACATTTGCACTGTGCACAAGAAATCTAAGCAGGAAGTGAGCATATGCACACAAGCATGTGAAGTGCCTGTCACAGAGGGATTCACACGGCAGTGCATGCAGGCTACATGCAGACATGAAGAAGAGCACAAAGGCTGGGATGCCTCTCACAGTCAGCAGCCGTCCCGCGCACCAGGATGAGCACACTGCACAGAGAGGCTTGCCAAAATGACAGAATACAGGTGTACTGGGAAGAAATATCTGAGATTTAGGGGGGCGTGCCTCGATCTCGGCCATGGATTTGTCGAAGAGGTTCATGAAGTCGCGCACGATGCGCATCACTCGCGAGGGATCATTCGCGTCCCAGTCCTCTCCAAAGTACTCCGTCGCCCGCTTCATCGCCGCCACCGTCTCACCGTCGTACCCCTGTCCGCAACCGTGGCGTCCCTTCAGAAAAGAATCTTTGCGCATGCCTGTCGTGCGAGATGTGATAGGGTCACTACCTAGAGGTCACCTGGTCAATGAAGCCAGAGCCTTACATAAGGTCAGGGCCATGGCTAACCCAAGAGAGACTCTCTCTCCGGCCGTTTTCCAACACGTGTACTAAAGCTGAGCTGCGTTTCAATGCCCTGGCAGGACCTGGTTTTCTGTGCAAAGGAAGGGAAACCCACCATCAGGAATTCTGCATACTTCAATACCTCCCTGTGCGATTGCACTACGTGCTCGCACGCAACCCTTGACTGACATGCCAAGAAGTTACCTCTCATACAGACCTGTCATGCATGCCTGGACCATACATATACGTATATATATAGAGTACAGCAAAAAACACAACTTTGTGGCTGCTCTCATCCTCTTATGGATCCCACCTCGGCATCGTGCAGGGCGGTGGCGGCTGACTCGTGGAAGGCGGACATGAGCTGGCTGAAGTTCTGGTTCATGGCCGCGTCTGCGGCGGGGTCCCCTCCGACGGCGGCCGGCGCCGACGGCGTTGCCTCCACCCCGGTGGCCACCATGATCTCTGTCTCCACCCTCCTTAGCCCCTGCTTCGCCTCCCCTAGGAGCGCCTTCACCGCCGACACCTGCAAACCATAGCAGTACACCGAGCTCACTACCAATGGTAGCAAAATGAAACTTGTGGAAAAGGAACACTGGAAAAGCGTCGGGCCTTCTGAGAATTGCACGCGCGATCTGGGCAACTCACTCTGCAGGGACACAGGACTCGTATGACAGGGTGCCTTTCATAATATTTAAAGGGCCCGCTTCCCTCAATCAGTAGAGACATGGACCGTGCATGCCTTGGAGGTGGTGAATGAGGTTCTTCCGCTTGACATACAAGAACAGAGGTGTGTAAAAGGGGATAGCGGAGGGGGAAGAGGGCACCTGCAGGGATGTCTTTGATAATCTTATAAGGGCCATTTTTCTCTGTTGAGTAGCACTTTGGTCCGTGCATGCGTTGCAGATAGTGCACAGAACATGCATTTTAAGTGGTCTAAGCAGTGGGCTGTAAAGTGGAGACCAGGAGGGGGAGAGGGCCCGAACCTGCAGGTTGGCTGCAGGGCGGACAGAGCCGAGCTGGGTTGAGAGTGAGCCCATGCTGGCGCTGTCCTTGAGCAGCTGGTCGAGCACAAAGTGGAGCAGGCTGGTCTTGCGGTCCACGCCCTTCACATCCGCCAGCTTCAGCAGCGTGTCCAGCTTGAAGCCTGCGCACACACACCAACATGCTCATCAGTATATTTCCATCGTGTAGCCCTCTGACCTGTGGTAACCAGATGACCTCCATTGTGTCCCCTTGTACATTCCTGTGCATGTACGTTGTGTAATTCTCTGGCCTTTAGGAGCCAGATGACCTCCATTGTGCATGTCCATTGCACATCTGCACTGCAATGGGACACCAAGCTGCTGATGCGAGCCTCACTTGCTCCAATGAAATCCAATTGTTATGTCCCCCGGAATCTGGAGATACAAGCTGCTGATGAGAGCTTCAGGTGGCAGCATTGGGGAACAGATGGGATGTGCATGTGGAGGCTACAATCATTCCCAATATTGTTCCGTTGGGCGTGCAAGTGCTCTTCTGAATGTCACAGCCTCGGAAGAACCACAAGCACGCAGCTGTGCCTTCCTTGCATGTTCACCTTGAAAGACCCATTTCGTGTAACTCATTATTTGAAATCTTGGGCCCCTGCCTTTTATATTGTACGCCAAATGGACTGCTGCAGCGAGGAGCTAAGATAATGCCAAGGAAAAAATGAGGCCACTGAGTTGTCGACAATGCCATGAGGTAGAACTTGGTTTCAGTCAAAGGAGTGTGCAGGGCATACAAGAACACAGAAATAGGGAGTGAGCGGGTCTGACCTGAGGCTGCGCCGCGCATAGTGCCCTCGTTGAGGTGATTGCCCAGGGAGAGCACGGCCTGCAGCAGGACCATGAAATCCCCACAGCCCATCAGCTGCTCGCATGCTCCCCGCAGCACGCCCAGGTTGTCGCGCACCTGCGCGCACAAAACCACGGTGTCAGCAAAAATGCCAGGGAATGAGCATTTTGACATGCCTAAAGTGATCGATACAAATCTTGCGACCTCCAGTTTGGTCAGCACGTTGTTCTGGGCGACCCTTGTTCTGGCAGCCCATCCTAGCCTGACACCTAAATGTCTTGATGCAAAGCACCGCCCTTACAAACCCATGTACTCATTGTTCATGCACTGTTCCTGCCAAGAGACAAGGCATGTTTGCAGACAAGCTGCAGGCCTGTGGATATCTAGATCTCAGATAACGCTCACTCTGACATGCAATCAGGGTTGAGGACATGTGTGATGATCAACATTTAGATGGGTGCGCGCCTGTACCCTGAACTCTAACTTCATTTTCCCTACACCCTAAGCTACAGTGGGCGAAAATGGTCATGGTGACAAGCAGCTGCTAGTAAGCACCCAACCTGCTGGAGGGTTCAGGGGAAGGTGCGGCTGAACATGAAGCAGTGGATGTAAGAAAGGGTGGTCGATACAGTAGGTAGCTGTGAGTAAGCACCCACCTGCTGGAGGGTGGATGGGAAGGTGCGGCTGAACATGAAGCAGTGAATTCGCTGCTGCAGGCGGGGGATGCCCATCATCTCCGCAAAGTAACGCTCCACCGTCCCCAACAGAGCCGGATCCTTTACACCCTTGTGCTTCGGGTGCTCCCCCTGCGCAACCGCAACATCCACCCCTCAAAATCCTCCAGTGCCACTGTCAAAAGCTTTGAATCCTGCGATCCAGATAAACCTGAAATCCATCACCTCCGCTTTCCACAAACAATCTGACCACCGCGACTGTGCAAGTGCAACATACCATTGTATCTGTCAGGTTTGCGAAGACAGACTGGCTCGGTCTAAGCGTATCTTACTAAGTGTGATACGGTACCCCCTGCCTTGCCAGGTTGGGATTAGGAACCTGGGGTTGGTCCATTTGCATGGATAATGCTAAGGCACATGCTTCAAAGCACACGTGCCTGGCAAGGCTGGTGTTGAAATTTAATTTGAAGTATATTTTTCACTCCCTGGTCACATTCGCCAAGTGTTATCACCTCCTCTGTAGGCAGGTAAGCTGGGTTGAAAACGAGATAGGAGACAGTCAGACACTGTGGCAAGAGCGGTCACCTGCAGGAAGAGGGCCAGGTCTTTGCGCTCGGAGTCCTCGGGCACGGCTCGGCTGAGAGCCGACAGCTGCTCTATGCTCAGCTTGCTGTCATCCATGCGCCACAGCGCGTCCTGCACCACATTTTCACAGCAACTGTTTTAAAATGTAGTCTTTGTATAATGATTTTACATTGCTTCTAGGCCTGCTCAAGCCTGCTTGCTACTGGCCCCCACCTCTAGCGCTGGCAGCACCCGCCGCAGGTTTCAAACTTTAAAGGTGCATCCCATTGATTGCACGAATGGCCGCCCTCAGTGAGGGTTGATGTCTCGTCCAGAGCAGTCAGTCACTCCTCTTTCATTAAAAAGTGAAGTTGGATGAGCATTGCACTATGCTGGTCACAGTGCCACAAATCCTGTCAAAGTGGGTCCTTTGGGGAACGTATGGTTCTATCAGGGAGCCACCACAGAGCCCACCTTGTGCTTCACAGGGTTTCAAGGCACCGCCTCTAGGTGGGGTCATTCAAGGCAGTGATGCAAAATCAAAATTGATGCATGCGTGCAGTCACATCGACTGCTAAGAAATAAGAAATAAGCAGAAGTGTCACCTTGATGGCTGGGAAGGGCAGGCGGATGCCGGCAAGCTCGATGCAGATGTTGTGCGCGCGGCGGTGCTCCACCAGCAGAATCTCCTCGCTGCGAGTCCTCACCAGCTTGCGCAGCGTCTTGTTCTCCATTATCTGCAGCATCCATATGTACACAAATAACACAACTTGCTACTTATTTGCCATCCAATGTTGTTATCCCAAGTGTTGATAATTTGCTCTCCGTTTTGTGCACACATGACCCCTCTGTCTGTGATCTCCATCACATGCGATCCCGGACGCCCCAAGCTAATCCAGACGAAATCCTCCCCTGCCTGAAACTCCAGGGACATGCCCTTGCTGGGTTTAGTAGCAGCACTGGGAGAATTTCTCTCATGAAACAATATCAGTGACGAAGATCCTTGAAACCTCACTTTGCTCACGAAAAACCAGCGGGACATTCCAAAGATGAGATCTTTGGGGGCCTCATGCCCACCTTACCCTCTGCACCAGATAGTGTTCTCTACTAGTTTGATCTGGCCAGCAATCTCATCCTGCATAGAAAATAGCTTGAGAGAAAGTGCAGAAGGCGTGCCTGGAAGAGGTTTTCGAGCTCGTCGAAGTTGAGGTTGACTCGCGGCTGGTTGTCTCGCGCCCACACAGTGCCCTGCTGCGGCGCTCGGATCTTGTCCCAGTGCAGCTGCTTCAGCCGCCGCCGCTGCTGCGCGCTCGTCTTCACCTGCGCGTGCCGGATACACTCACTCTCCAACTTGCCTCTTTCACAGAAATCTAAAGTTTTGGTATGTTGAGATATTCACTGTGGCGCTTGAAGTCACCAATTCCCAACAGGACAGAGTTGTCCTGATGATGCCTGTTATGTGATCGAGAAGGGGCCGAAACTGACTCTTGCCAGAGCACACGGTATGCTTGTGCAATTAATTTTCCACAGAAGCATGTATTGTGGCGTCTTGATGCAATTTTCTTACAGGTTGCAGCCCAACCAATGCCCATGATCAGCAGCTGCTTGCATTTGGCTGAACAAATGCAAGGAAGGCCTGCCAGGACATATCAAGTACCTTGGTGACGCCGGGTGGGGAGGCCTTGGGCATGCCCTTCTGTGCAGACTTGGGCGGCGGAGTCGGCGGCGCAGGGCCCTTGCCTGTCGGCACACTTCGACTGGTCAATCTCAGGCTTCCTGCTGACAACCCCACACGCAGGAAAATTGTTATGACAGGATGGTTTTCACCACTCCTCAACCATCAATATCAGTGCTGCTGCAATCGGAGTGGAAACTTTTGACTAGGGTGGTGTTCGCCTGCTGCATCCTGCTCCGCGCTGCCACAGCATTGGGGCCGCAAACTTCCTGCCTGCATGAGCTGGAGATCCCTATTCTGCTAGATAGAAGGATGCCTATATTGTACCGTAGTGTAGTAGTGAAACATTTCCCCCACGTCCAAAAGTCGATCATATAACGAGTTCCTGCAGGGCTTTCCGCACACTTAAGTTGGCCCACTTCACTAAGTAAATGGGCTTTTTGGGCTGCAACATACTCCTTTTATGTTCCGGCAGGCGATTTCACGCTAAAATAGATCCTGTTATTAAAACATCCCGCAGGCTGAAATACAATAATCTATTGGGGGATTTAGGATGAGCAGTATATTACTCATCTCAAGTAAATTTTGAAGCATCACCTGGAGTCTTGCCCTTGGGTGGAGGGGGAGGCGGAGTGGGGGCACCCTTGGCCTTGGCGCCGGATTTGGGCGGTGGCGGTGGCGGTGGTGGGGGGCCCTTGGCCCCCGGAGTTTTTGCTGGTGGCGGCGGTGGCGGCGGCGGGGGTGCCTTCGCTCCCGGGGTCTTCTTGCCCGGGGGCGGCGGTGGCGGCGGTGGCGGCGCGGCCGGAGCCTGTTCAGGCCACAGGTGACTCAGTGTCACACGTCAGCATGCGTTGGCTCATCCCGGTCGCTCTTTTATCTCATTGCATAGTAGTTTACGTCTCTTTTTGTGCCTATTAATGTTGAACACTCACTCTCGCCTTAGCATCTAGCGGCATTCTGAACACCTAATATCCTCCCTGTCTGTGCCCGTGCTATGCTGCATTCGCAGATGTGTCGACTCAGAGTAGTGTAGAAAGCATGCAGTACCTTTGCCTTTGGTGGAGGAGGCGGGAGCGTTGGTGCAGCAGCCTTCTTTTTTGGCGGAGGCGGCGGCGGCGGCGGGGCAGCCGCTTTCTTCTTTGCCTGGCTGCTCGGTGCCAGCACCGGTGACTCGCCAATGGGCCCTGCGGCCGGGAACCCGCCAAAGCTGTCGCTTGAGCCGTCACCGCCACGCGGGCTGGCTGCAGCGTTCTGCAGTATGACTTCAGCCTCCGCCTTGGACGGCGCCTGCAGAGGACAAAAGAATCGCATATTATTGCCAAAGTTCCTGCGTCCTCAGCTTCGCCAATTCGACCTCCAAAACGTAGCATCGGTCTCAAAAGACAGTTGCTTTCAGACCGCGTATACACCTCCCAGAGACAAAATAATCGATGCCCAGAGAAGTTTGATGCAGGCAAATGCATCGTCATCCAAGAACACGCCCTGCTGCTTTTGTGCTACCAGGTTTGAAGGCTGCATATGCGCAAATTGCCGCATAAGAGGAGCTGCCGTAAGTGAGAGTTGTGCAGCTAAGAGATTAGCGCACCGCAGAGAGCAGGTACTGAGCGAGGCGCAACACTCTCTGGTCGTCTCTGGCAGCCGGCTGCCCGTTGCCGCTTTCCTCGCCGGTGGCAGGGGACGGTGCCGGCTGCATCAGCTCTGCCAGCCGGATCAGGTCCTCCAGGGCCACGTCAGCTGGCACCTGCAGCTCCTGCTCCTCCTCGCCTGCCACTGATGCCCTGCAGAAAGAACTCGACCCCTTGATGAACACCCAGGATCAGCAATACGCCAAATATGAATCTGAGTCATTGCAATTGAGGCGTTTTGTGGGCAGCAATGCTCAGTGATTTTGCTGGGGAAAGGGAATCTGTGTCACTTGTCACACAAATCCTCTGCAGGACTTTGCAGGGTTCTCAGCAAAGCACAGCGTGTGCAAATTGCAATCCAGGTAAGTCGCCGAAAACACCCATGTCAGACTGCTGTCTGGGGTATGCATGCAGTCTCTGCAGTCCTGCAAAGTAAAGCATGCATGAGACAACTCAACATTTATTTTTCATCCAATAACTTTTTAAACCGCACCTAGAAGCACTGGCAGGCGTGCTTCCCTTGCCGGCCCGCAGAGCTCCGAGCAGAGCGTCCCGCAGCTGCGCGGCTGGCGTTTCGGGGCTCGGGCCGGCTGCTCCGTTACGGAGCGAGCTTTCGGCAGTACGGAATGAGGTCTCTGCCGGCCCAGGGTGCCCCGCCTTGGCCCGTAGGGGACCCTCCATGCTGCTGCCGGCCGAGCCCGGGAGATCCGGCTGCGCGCCGCTGCCGCCCATCGCCTCGGGAGACCCGTCCTGGCTGTTGCTGGGGGAGATATTGGATCCCCCGACGGCGCCCCCGGCTGCTTCCACCACGGCAGTGTCTGCATCCTGCAGCGACCTCTGCCAAAGGATCCCCCCCTCCGAAGACACTGAGCCCCTCAGGCTTGACGCATCATCGCTGGAGGCTCTGACTCTAATTCCCGGGCGCCCTGGGACGACACTCTCAGGGTAGCCACTTCCCGCAGAGCCCGCAGGCAGCCCCGGGATCTGTATGTCAGCGATAGCGCTGAGAAGCTCATCCAGGGAACCTCCACGACCGGCCGGCTCCGCCGCGCCGCCGCAGCGGCCAGCAAATGTCCCGGCGCCGCGGCCGGCTGCGCTGCTCTGCCGTTCAGCGCTGAAGGACGCAGTGAGGGAGACTGCGTGCTGCAGCTCGTCCGCAGAAGCGCTGTCCATCTCGGGCATGGCGGCCCCTCCTCCTGGACATCTCCCAACCCCTGACAGAGCATGCGCAGAGGATGCCGATGCCGCGGAGCCTCTCACTGGCGAAGGGGAGGCCATTGGCGTCGCTGCCTGCTGCAAGGCTCTGCTGGGCGAGCCGTCGCCGTATGCCCCGGGCCGATCGCCCAGCCTTGAGAGCGTCCTGGACTGCAGCCCTGCAAACACCCATTCAGGTGTCTTCAGCAAATGGCCAAAAATAACAAATGCTGTTGTCAGCACCTCTGGTGTGTCACCTGGTGAAGAATGTTTCGGGGCGGTTCAATGGACAGATGCTATTGGGCATCCATATGGCTGGTGGAGACTGCAAAGATCGAGGAGACAGGAAAGCACTCATTCAGGTTTTAATTTGACAGACCCAGTCTTAAAAGACTGGACAACGTGCAACAATAATAATGACATTTTTTTGTTTATGTTGTTGCAGAGAAGGTCATTGGTGGATCAGGACAGCACCCGTCCATGGAGAGGTTGGAGGTCCAGGGGTCGTGAAAGATCCGCCGCGAGTCTTATTGCCAGTGGGCGGCGTGGTGCAGAAGTTGCGCAGCTTCGAGGCGAACCAGCGCATGCCCTTGACGCTGACCTTCCCCTGCACGCACGCAATTCCCTTAGCTTTCACCGCCAAATGCTGCAGGAATCCATCAGATCCCGGTCACACTGTCCTTGGTACCCGCTCAGACATTACAACGTCCGTGAGCTCCATTGTTGCCTCTGCTAGGCGTGGAAGGAAGATAAATCGTTGACTTCGCTAGGACATAGAAGCAAAGCTGCGCACCGGGGATTTGGCGCTTTTGTGGCCCGCTGAAGTGCCCCTGCTCGCCTGGCCGCTGTGCTTTGACGGCGATCGGCTTCCGTGAGGTATTGCCTCAGGCGCCGCTAACCGCGCAACAGGCGCCTGGCTGGGCGGCTGCTGCAGCTGCGGTGGCTCGCCGCTCGGCGACTGCGGCGGCCGGAACGCGCGGATCTTCAGGTGGCCGACATCGCCGCCGTCAGCCGCCGGCTCCCGCTCCGTTTTGAGCGCCGCCAGTTTCAGCCCGCTCTCGATACCGCCCTCCCCTTGCGCGACCCCTGCCGAGGGTTTGCCATCGCTCCCGGCCCCTGCCGGCCCGCCCTGCAGATGCCCCTCCCTGAACAGCCTCTGCTGCCCCTGAGAGTCTGTAGTCGGCAGGCCGCCACCGTTCGGCGGCTGATCGCAGAAGGACCCGGCTTCAAGTGGCGGCCATGCTGCGGCAGCCCCCGGCAAACCGCTCTCGGCCGGCCCAGCGTGGTCGCCGTCGCGCGCCGAATCTTGGAAGCTGCTCGGCAGCTGCAGCATCGGCGTGGCGGCCGGCCGGTTGAGGTCGTAGACGAGGCAGCCGCTGCCTTCTGGGGCGTCCCCTTCCTCCAGGGGAGGCAAGCCGATGTCGGCGAAGTCCATGCGGTGGCCACCGCGCGGGGGGGATACCCCCCCTTGATCCCCAAAATCTGGCTCCCGCAGCAGCGCCTCCCCCTGGCACACAAGGCGTACACAGTATACTTGGACCCTAGACTTACCCTGGACTTGACTTGACAAAGGGCATAAGAGGGTGCCAAGTCTGGTATGCTTGTCACCAAGGCAGTGTTGCATGGCTTGAAAATAATTGCACCTGGCCGGCAGAGCTTTCCTCCAGGCTCAGAAGGCATAAGAAAGCAGCAGCCGTCTGTGGGCTAGCAATGAGATACAAATGCAAGGAACACATGACTGTCTTGCAGATGCGACTACCTGCAGCGCTGTGTCTCTGAGCAACAGCTGCGCGCCAAAGCCGTCGGCCGCGCCGACAAAAAGGTCCGAGAGGGAACGCCTCCCGCTGCCCCCGCAGCTTCCGCCAGCTTCCACATCCCCCTCTGTGATGATGTCACCCGCCAGCAGCTGAAGCTCCGCCAGGCAACCACTCCCCTTGCTGTTGGCCTCTGACGCACCCTCCGAGCCACCGGCACTCACCGCACTCCGCTGACTTGTCGCAGGCCGCTCCTGTGATGGAGTGGGGCCAGAGCTGCGCTGCACGGCTGCCCTGACGCCAGCTGCTTGCACAGTGAGTGCCGAAGAAGCACTGCCAGGCGCTGTTTCTGCGCTGGTCACTCCAGTGGCCGCTGCCGCCTGCACAGTGCCGCTCAGCTGCCTGGAACTGGCGAGCTGCGTGTCATTGAAGCTCCCTGAAAGGCCAGACGCCGCGCCTGATGCCGACTGCTGTGCTGAGGGAAGGTCCCAGCTGCGTTCAGGATCTGTTTGCGCGCTGCCCATTAGGGGAAGTTGGCTGCAACCTGTTAGCAGGTCCACACTGAGCAGCTCGTCCTCTTCTGGCAGGCACTGGCTCTCCGCTGCCTGCACCTGCTGATGAGAGCTGCCCGCCCCGGCTGATCCGCTGGGAAGATCGGAGAGTGGCTGAGAGGGGGCGGTGACAAACTCCTGGTAGAACTTCATTAGGGACTCCTGACGTCCCAGGCTGCTGTGCTCCAGCCACCCAGCGCCCTGCAAAGAGAGCAATTCTTCACATCAAATGCACGCCAGTCAAAGAGATCATGCTTCCCATTTTTTGCGCAACGTTCGTCCTCGCAGGCAGGTGTCTTGGCATGGCACGTTTTAGGAGCCACGCACAAGAATGAATGCAAATTCTCAAATTTGCCAAACGACTCTCAATTTATGGAAGACTGAATGCCTCCATGACCAAGCCGGCCCTGTCTTTTCATTCTGCCCTTCCTACCAGGTGCTTTCATATTTAGCAGGTCAAGCTGGCGCCTTAGGGTCCAGTGGATTACAAATGTGGCTAGATGGTTTGTGCTGACCTGGAGTTGGAGCTGGGAGGCGCCTGCAGGGAACGCCCTGCGGCTGATGCCAGGCGACCACTCAATGCGCGGCCGCGGCCCGTCGCCGTTCTTGTGAGCATTGCGGCCTGATGCAGGAGCACAAAGACTGTTTCAGGCCATGCTTGACACAGTCATCAGCCCCGAAGGCGAGTTCTCAGGGTTTCTGAGATTGTGATCCACAGGTTGACTGAAACAATGACTTGCTCCGAAATAGACCGGGCTAGATTGTGGATGATATTTGCATAGAGGAAGCGTTCGCATTGCACGTAGGATTATTCACCTGGGGGTATCCAGGGTTTGGGTGCGCATGAGGCCTCCTTCTCTGACACATGCAACAAAGATCGCCTGCACATCACAGATGATTCAAATCAGCACTCCCTCAAGTAATATTGTGTGCTGTTGACATGCGGCAAAGTTCAGAGGATATGCTGCAGAGCCTCCCGTGTTACCACAGACATTGCATGCATGCTTCAGGGATACTCATGCACCCATTCTGGCAGTCTCTGCTCGCAAGGTTGAAAAGGGAACGCACTTCTTGGGCTGACGGTGCTCCTTGGCGAGTATCTTGGTCGGCGGCTGATGCCCCGGCCACCTGTGCTGAAGCTCCTGCAGCGGGGCGCTCAACACTTCCTGTTCTCCTCCGAGCTCACCTGTACCAGACGCTTCAGTGTCAGACCTACATAGATGCCACTTGTCTCTCTAAAGACAGTATCACTACACTGCACTCGTGCTTTACAACAACACTGCCACAATGATTTGTCAGCCACTCGCATGAACCAGGCATGCAATGCTTGCGCAAGCCAAGCGGCATGACAGCTGGGACGATGCACCAGTGGAACCATCGAAAATTGCCTTATCCTGCAGTGCAAGGCAAGGACAGACACTCACTGTAGTGGACTGTTGGATCAGCGCTGCCTGGCTGATGCAGGGCAGAGGGCACCCGGACATGGGGCCTGCCAGGCTGGCGATGAGTTGGCACAACAGCCGGTGCCCTTCCCAATGCCTGCAGCGCCAACTTGGACATCTGTAGCGGCTGCGACACCTGCACGAGTGAGAGAGTCATCACAAGCCCAAATGAAGCATGTCATAATTGACAACGTGGCAAGGGTGGCGTGGAATAAAAGTACACTTCTGGGACTTGCAGCATCTTCGGGAAAGCTGTTTAAACTGGAATAACTGCAGACGCGATTAGGGATGCATGCAACAAAGGGTGAAAGACTCGTAGCATGCGAGGATCACTGAACAGAGTATTGTGTGGTCAGAGGTACCAATGGACTTGCCATGGAAGGCATGTTGTGAGCATTGGACAGGCTGCTGCAGTTTTCCCTGTCCGGCTGTCTGATCCTGCTGCCTCCTGCGCTACGCTTGCCGTGCCCTTCTGCCGCCGTGCCCACCGCTGACTGCCTCTGCCGTGTCGGCTGCAGCGGCTGTGTCACGCAGCGGCCTCCCATGCTGGACCGGTCAGCGAGACTGCCCGAGCTGTGCCTGGCGGGCAGCTGCGGTCCTGCCTGGTGCTGACTAAGCGAGTGAGTCAGCGCTGGCGCGTCCCATGCAGAGCTGGCATCCAGGCTGGCGGCATGAGGCATCCACCTGGACTGCTGCTTGCTCATGTCTGCCAGGTATGCGCCCAGCATGATGTCTGCCAGCCTCACCTGCAGCCAACATGAATTAACTGCCTCACATACTCCACCTATGAACAAAAATCTTACTGATGGCATTTCTCACCCTCAGAAAATTGAGGTGTTCTGTCCCAAATGCTGGGGAGCTATATGGTGCTGCTCCGTCTCAGGGAGACTTTATCTGCTCTGCCTCAGGCAAAGTGTTCATCCAACAATAAGAACACAAGTCAAGCACACTCAGGCAAATCTGGTTCCACGCACCGCATCAAAGTCCACGGTGTGTTGTTGCACGAGCACAGGCGCGAATCTCTGCGCAAGCCGCGCCCTCGTCTCTGCTCTGTACTGTGACCCAGCGACCACTCTGGCTAGCAATGTCAGCAGGCCATTGACAACATCTGCAAGCACAGCAGTCATCTGAGTATTTCGACCCACTTCTTCCTTTATTTTCTTTCTGTCTTTACTTGCGCACAGAATGCGTGGGTGCGCAGTCATCATGCATTGAAGGGCGAATGCGACAAGGGGCACGATTGCCACCTTGTATCTTTGTGTCGAGCTTCTGAATGACCATCTTTCCCAGTCGTGCTGCCTGATCGGGCGCCAGGGCGTGCATGTCAACAATCTTCTTGTAGTCAAAATTCGTTGACAGCAGACCAATTGGGAGGCTGTCCAGGACTGCCATGCAGTAAGCAGCTGCCAGCTGAGGGCTTGTGCCGGTCCAGCTTGACCCTGCATGCAGATGCTAGTAAGCCGCATTATTTCTCGTTTCCATAGCAGTCCATTGGAGACAGATGTCCTGCAAGGTCACTTACCTTCTGAGCTTCTTCTGAGCTGCTCTGCAGCAATAGGGCCTGCTCCATCCATTGCTTGGAGCCACACTCCTTCGAGATGGCTGTCATCTGGGCGATACAGCAGAACGCTCAACCAAGCAGCTTTGATTCCCCACACGAGCAGTACTGTTTACAAGTTGTTGAGCATGCATCTTGGTATCCTGAACGATCATATTGGTATGTAAAAAAAAATACAAGCTTATCTCTTAGTTGTTTCTTGTCAGACGAGAGGTTGGCAACAGTGCAAGCAGTGAGACATCACTGTGACCTTTTGGCTTCCGTATGCAGTATGAACTCTGACTAGCGCTGAGGCTGGACAACACTACGTCTATTAGGCAGTGCGGATTCACCTGTCTCACTCAAGTGTGCGAGTGCCTGCACTAGGCTGTCCACAGTTGTGTCTTCAATGCCAGCACACAATCGCTTCCTGGCAAGGAGTTTACTCCTAAGCTCATCGTTCACGTCCCCTAATGTGCTGTAGTGTCTGTTTTGAAGCGACCTCTTTTCCATGATGTCTTGCAGGCTGATCTTCTACCCTTCCCCCACCACAGTGTACTACAGGATGGGCGATATACACAGGTCCACTGTCTCTTTCTGTGAGGTTACCCTGGTTGTACACATCCCCATTGAAGATTTCGCAAGACCAATCAGCTGGCCTGTGCTCCTTTTGCAGCAGCCAGCCATTCCATCGGAAAAGTTTTCAACGGTCAAGCAGGTTTTCTGGCTGTTGTTGACCTTTTTGAGCTAGCGGCAAGGAACGCCGCTTACTGCAGCCCTAAGAACTGCATGCACTCAGACGACAGGCCGATGGTCCATTCCCATTTCTAACAGTATTGGTGACAATAGATAACACAGACTTTCAGTATCTGGGGCTTGCTCGAGCTTGAATCGGTGTTTACAGGTTCGATGGAAATGGGTCATCGGACCCTCGCAGTTGTTTTGATGTCATACGCATTGCCTGATTTCGATGAAACTCTGGAAAAAATCCCTCACTAATCACAGAGCTGCAATAAGCTCGTTTGCGTTGAAAAGATCACGCATTGGCCCACACCTGGCATGGTTACAGTGGAAGCTGGGACTCTGAAGGCTTGGGAATCATTCGTGCAATCAGCGGATAAAGAGGTAAACTGAAAAAAAAATTTACAATAGATCGACGGCACAATAGATTGCCGTAATGTCCGGGACAGTGGCTTTGTCACTTCGCCTCTGTGTTGATCCAAAGGAAAGAAGAAGAATATTGAACAATCGGATAACGGTTAATATTGCAGTTGGGAGGACAGGCAGTAGAACATCAAGCGACCGCGGACTATGTGCTTGCCATCCAGAAGCTCTGTGCTGCTGGGCTTGCCGAATTGGCAGGGCTACACTTCCTTCAGAGAGCTCAGGTCAGCAGATCTCTTCCAAGCACCGCTCTCTCCTGGCAACCGGTAAAGGGCTCAATATTATAGTTGCCATCTAGAAGACAATGGGATCCTGCATGCTGCAGGACACAGTCCAGGAAACGCACCTCATGCAATTCTGGGAGAGGCTAAGTCCCCACAGAACCTCCATTGCTGAGAATGATGACTGGTCCGACACCTTCACCAGTGGATTGCGGGTGAGTCCCCACAGTCCTCATCTGGCATGTCTTTCACTCCAGTTATCTTTTGTGTTTCTGGGCAAGAGTGGCTTCCCCAGCACATGAATCAGTGCTAGGGCACTCAGGGGGTGTCGTTGGGTGTACAGGAGTTGACAGGGGTCCTGAAGAGGCACTGCCAGCTGGTAGAGCTGCTATCAAACCAGCTGCTGGCCAACAGGGCAGCTGCCGCAGAGACGCCCCCGGCATCGCTCATTGGGCTGGCCGCAAACTATCGGCGCGCGGTGGGCGCGGCGTTCGCCAGCAGTGCACCTGTCAGCCTGGCAGGTGCTGCATGCTTGCCTCGTGCTCGAGTGCATGATACTGCGTTTTGCAGACATTTCAGCAGAAGCAATTCATTGATCGGCAAGTTTGCTGTCGGCTCACACAGACGCGCTGCAAGAGCGAATGTGCACAATTATTAAAAAATACGCCCTTGCTGGGTTAAGGGCTGAGCTAAACTCAAACGAGGGTAATGCAGGCATGAAAGATATTATGGCGCATGAGAGATCTGCTGTGTATTCCAGGTGTCCTGGAGCAGCACTACACTCACAGCTTGGAGGAGTTCAGCACTGCTCACAGAAGTCATGAGGTGGGAATTCCCCGACATAAAGCCAGAACAATCGCAGCAACTTTGTGTGGTCATGTTGATTTATCACAAGGCAAAATGCAATCAAGGGGGTTGTGCGGCTGTAGGAGGGTGAAGGGGAGCTGCTTGACAGTGCAGAGGAGCTGATGGGCGCAGAATACGTGGAGCGCTTGCAGAGTGTCACTGAAGCATTGGAATTGCTGGGCTTGGAGGTGGGGTGCCTTTCTGACTTGGTTTTCCGTCCTTGTGCTGGACTTCAGGTGCCGAAGGGGTGGAGTTTCTTGTTGCACCCTTCTCAACCCGCGGCTGGGATACCACCTTATCTTGTTGTCGTTTGGGACATACTTGCTGAGAGTCTCAGCCTGAGACCGAGTGCTTATTTTTGTGCTTCTTGTTGTTGGCTCTGACGGACTGTGATGGGGATACAAGGATATGAGGTTCTCCTTTCTCATGACCAGTGTGAGCCCAACAAAATAACAGCACAAAAGCAAGCAGATTTATTTCAGGAAAATTACAGGTCATTTGGCTGAACATTCTGTGAAGGCAATAATATGGGAACATTTCGGTGATATACAGCTCATGCCTTCTGCAAATTTCCTGCGCAGGAGGAGGCGGCAGCGGCTTGCATGACGGCGGTGGGGCGTCATGTGCGGCAGCACCTGAAGAGCACGATGCAGGCAACCTTCTCGTGCAGCATCCTGGACCCTGCACTCGCCTATGTCGACGCTGTGCCCCTGCCCTTCCTGCAGATGACTCAGCTCACTGGGGTGCGTGCCGTGCAGCACAAACCATCAACAAGTGCCATCAACAAGTTGAGGCCATTTGGCAGGATGGTCGTCACTTCCAATGACTGCTTCAGCACTTCATGCTTATTATTTAGCCATTTCTGCCCTATATCCTGCATGTTTGTGATGGGCAGACTCCCTTGAATGAACAGAAGGCTCCTGAGAGATTTGGCTGCTAGGAGGTTTTGAGGAAGGCGGCCTACTCGAAGAGAGACTGTCCGTGTAGGCACATCTGAAATGTGTGTTGCACTCGTCAGCCTGTCTTCTGCCGATGCGGGCTGATGAGTCATTCTGCCGATGCATGCTGATGAGTCATCCCGCCAATGCGTGCTGATGAGTCATCCCGCTGATGCGTGCTGATGAGTCATCTTTATGGTGCAGGCGGCCGCGAAGAGGCAGGCGGAGCTGTGGGCGGCGATGCTGGGCTACTTTGTGTACGACACAGTCGGCGCCATGCGCATTGCGCAGTTCTTCGACATGGTCGTGGACTGGCCAGACTCGCTGCCGGCCCTGCGCGATGTCAAGGAGTGCCTGGCGCACACCAATCTGCAGCCCCACTTCATCTCCAGCTTCCGCACCGCCACCCAGCAGCGCCTCCTGCACGCAGGCATGGCTTGTCCTTCGTTTCTATTTCTTCTTGCCTGCCTTCAGACCGTGACATTGATGCGTGAAGACGCCCTGCCGTGCAAGGCTTGATTTCCTTGGCGGGCTGCGTCCCCTAGTGTTGCAGAAATGGGGATGCATGTTGACCCTTTCCGCGGACACAAAGGTTGTGTGTCCGGAGCAATTGCTGGTCATATATGCAGCCTTGTGTGCGCATCAAAATTCAGCATGCATCCCCAAGCAGAGGCCACACCTCACCGATCACCATTTTGTGATTTGCACCCTGCCAAGATGCATATCATGTTTCTTATTGCCTCACATATTTTGGTGTGAGAAGGGAGAAACTGCCAGTAGACAAGGCGAGTGTATCTTTGTGTAGGCGCGGCCACGCTGGACATTCTGACGCAGTACGTCAACACGATAAAGGCGCTGAAGGAGGTGGATCCGCGGGGCATACTGCTGACGGCGGTGGGGGAGCCCATCAAGGCGTACCTGCGCGGCAGGCCCGACACCATCCGCTGCATCGTGCACTCGCTCACCGACGACAACGCCGACGACTCGCTCTTCGGCGAGCTCACACAGCCCGCCGACGAAGAGGTGGGGCTTTGGGGTTTTCCCCCCACTCTGAACTGAAATTCTGAGAAATTTGAAACGTAATTAACCCCTGGTCGATTGCTCTCGTTGCTGGCTGCAATAAGCAGACACTTAGATGCTTGTGTCTTCTCACATACATTTGAACATCTGGGTACATGTATTTTCAAAAGGTTGAAGCATGCAGAGCAGGCCTCAAGGATGACTGATCACATGCAGTCCATAGCGTGCCTGAGAGCTCTATCTGCACGGGGTGACTGAGTGCAGGCTACAGCAACGACTCCCTACTTGCACTATTAAGCATGCCTGAGACGTAGAATCGAGCGGGGTGGGTGGATGCAGGGGGAGGGGAGTGATGATGACGTGGAGGACTGGGATGGGCTGCAGGCGGCTCTGGAGTGGAAGCCAGACCCTGTGGAGGTCGGCATGATTGACAGGTAGAATTTTGCCACAAATGGCATGCATATTTGTTCACCTTCTCAACAATTGTGTTACATGGTGGGTGCTTCTGGCCTGTGCATACATTGATTGTAGGCCAATGTAAATATGTGTTGATGTTGAAATTGAATGAAAGAGGCCAAGATTGCCTAGTCGAACTTGCAAAGATTCTGTGGCCACGCATGACTCATAGGATCAAATCGGGATGATTGCTCTTGTATCCTTCCATGCAAAATGTTGGAGTTTACCTATGGCGTCCATATGCAAAGGTTGATGTTTTGGTGTGGGTGGCACATCTGCAGCCAAGGGAGGGAGCGCAGCCTGGACATAATCTCAATGCTGGTGGGCATCTATGGCTCCAAGGAGCTCTTCATCAATGAGTACAGGTGTGCAAATACAGCTATACCATATATGACTCCCAATTCACAAGAAGGGTGTCATCTTACAAGCAAGCATTAACGTTCCTGGACATGGAGGAAGGGCACGGCATAGTGCTTCTGCTTGGGACCTTGCACGATGAACTCCATTTTCTCAATATTCATAGTCTTTTTGCATGGGGGCAGCACAGACAGGATTCCAGGGTGATAAAGGGTGTTTGCTGCGTGCGCAACAGGAGCCTGCTGGCGGAGAAGCTGCTGGGCAAGACGGATTACGAGTGCGACCGCGAGATCCGCACCCTCGAACTGCTCAAGCTGCGCTTCGGCGAGGCCAACCTGCACAACTGCGAGGTGGGGAGAGAGCTTTCACCCAGCTCTGCATGCCCATCATGCACTGCAGAGACAGGCTCTGGCATAACCCAGCTTAGAACTCAAACACCGAGCCTTGCCGACCTTTCTGTGCCAAGGGCGCTCCTGGTCCGTTGTGTGAAAATACACGGCATGTGTACTTGTTTGTAAAGAATGGCGACGTTGTGTGAGAGGTTTCCTGACTCCTCGGGCACACCTGCAGATTCTACTGCTTATGCCCAACGTACATCTCTTTTGCATTGGGGTGGCTCATCTGTCCTGAGGGCCAGGTTCCAAATTTGAAATTTGGAAATGACTGAGGGCTGCTGCGTGGCTGGGCGCAGGTGATGCTGAAGGATGTGGCGGACAGCAAGCGCGTGAATGGCAACATCAAGGACATGCCGGCGGCCGCCATGTCACCGCTGCGGAGGGCACGCCGCGAGGCGCCCGTGGCCCACACCAGCGCCACCATCATCTCAGCCCTCTTCTGGCCCACCGTCCCGGTGCGCCAGAACTCCCCTAGAATCTCTAGTGTGTATACCTGGCATTCATTGCTGGCAATGTCCCTCCTCTGTCCACACTTATGGGGCTGCAGGATCTCTTTCGGCAGAGCTATTTCCACCCAGGCCAAAGGGTGCCTTTTCAATGGATTAAAACCATGCGAAAGGTGCAATGTATGCTCCCTCCAATAGAGCTTCAGCTAAAACACTCTTCAAAGCTCAATTTCACTCACCCAGAAAAATTGAGAGAGGTGCAGAGGTCAGCAATAAAGGGTACTATGAATTTCAAATCAACCCTTGACTGTGTATTTCTGCCCTACTCTGCCCTTTGAGCACTGGACACAAAAGGCCTGGTGGGCGTTCCTCAGGAATGTCATGGGGTTTCCGCTCTTGTTTGTACACAGGAGGAGAAATTTGCGGTGCCGCCCGAGGTCCAGGAGCAGCTGGACGCGTACGCTGGGCGCTTCTTTGTGCTCAAGACTCCGCGCAAGCTGCTCTGGCGCCCGGACCTCGGCGCCGTGAGTTTGACACTGACCGTCGGCGACGACACACTGGACCTCACTGTCACTCCCCTGCAGGCAGCCATCCTCATGCAGTTCAGGGTGCGCCCTTTTTCTCTTGCTACTTGCTGTTTCTCTCGCAGGGGACAGCTTTGGTGTGGCCTGGGAAAGTCTGCTGCCATTTCCAAGTCGCGAACATTGAACGCTAGGCGCACAAGTCTCCTTATCACAAAGCTCTGCGTCCTGAGGCATCCACAAATGATGGGTTCTGGCACATACATCTGGCACCAGCAGCGCTATGGGTATTAGTAAAAGACGATAGCACTGCTGATACCAAATTGAAAGGGCAGAAACTCTTGTTTGCGGGTGCATAAGGAGGCGAACGTTGCCTGCCCATCCTGAGCCATGCGATGATCGAGAAGTGACCTGCAGAATTGCCCTTTGTTTGAGTCTCTCCAAGAAGATTGCTCCAAGTCAGGCGCGGTGGGATTGGCCGGCTGCACAGCTGGCGCATGCGCTGGGCCTGTCTGCGGAGGCGTTGCGCGCACGGATTATGTTCTGGATCAACCAGGGCGTCATCGCCGAGGCGCGCACTGCCGCCGGCCTGGTGAGTCATCCATCAGTCATCATCCCCAGCACTTCTATCTGCACTCGCTGCCCTTTCCTTAAAGAAGAGGAGTCCTCATGGTCTGGATGCTTGGAACATGGACTAGACAGAATGCTGGAAGTATGCTGATCTCACAGACTTCTTGGGCAATGGCAGTGCCCGTTGCCGGCACCTTCTCTATGCTTCGCGATGCAACTCGACGTACACTTTTGTACACAGAGTTCTGTTCTACTGGTCAAGGACAATATCTGTCTGCGCCCCTTTCGAGACCGTATATTTGTGATGTGTGCAGCTGTACACGCGGTGTGAGTCCCTGGCGGCCGGCGGCGGCCGCGGGTCGGGGGCTGTGGCAATGGAAGAGGACGATGCAGCGCCCACCATCTCCAGGGCACAGGGTCATGCCCTCCAGGTGGGACTTTGTATCAGAGACTGTCCCAAGAAGACACTTATAGGTTGCAAGTCCTGTGCAATCCAATGCTGGCAGTGCTTCCTGGGCACGCAATGCGGCCGTTGCTCGCATAAGAAGCGATGGCTCACTGAGCACACCGCAGGAGTGTGACGAGTGATCTTGGATTCAGAGCATGCACATGCTGTCTTGTACCTGGGCAATGGCCAGGTGGAATCTGCGAATCCTCTTGTGTGCTCAGCTGCAGAGCTTCAAAGCAAGCGTGGTGCTGAGGTATCTGCACTGATTGTAGGAGATGGCGGTCTATGAGCAGTTTGTGATGGGCATGCTGACCAACTTTGACGGGGGCCTGGCGCTGGACCGCATCCACAACATGCTCAAGATGTTTGTGGTGGACCCGCCCTATGACAAATCCGCCGAGCAGCTGGCAACCTTCCTGGGGCAGCTGGTAGCTGACGAGAAGCTGTCCTGCGAGGCCGGAGTCTTCAGGAAGCGGTAGCTCAAGGACTGCGCAGTTCCGGAGTCAAATTCTTACAAGTCGACAACAAAATCTTGTCTCAAATGCAGTCAGTGCACTCATTCTCAAGCAGACCTGAGGACTTCCTGTAAGGCCGGCACCTTCACTACGCGGTATATGCATGCTGCTACATAGCAGCCTGCATTTTTTAGTCAAATTTGTACGCGAGACGTCGATGAAACTTGTCAGTAAATGCGCTGTCCAGTGGCTTCACAATCTGGCCATCTGGATTCAAAAGCTCTTGCTGCATAGTTGATCATCCATTTTTTTTGTAGTTGCTGATGTCAACATATCATCCCTGTGCTCTCCTTCAAGAAGCAGGCCTGTCAAACTCGGAACAAAACCGCGAGTGCGTCACGCACTCGCGTGACGGTGCTGTGTAAAGTGTGTACTTTTGTACGTCAAAGTTCTGGAATGAATTGCCTTTGCTGCGAAATAATCTGGCCAGATATTGATCTCTGAATGTACAGTCACGTACTCTTCACGGGTATTTCCCAGGGCTGGTCCACCCTAGAGGAGGGAACGCCACCTCAACGTTGTCCTGGAAGAAGCTTCCGAACGACTCCGGGGAGAAGAGATTCATTTAAGGCTGCGAACGTCGCCTTTGTTATCAGTGAAACAAACTATCTTTTCAGTTTCCTTATGGACACCACAACAGATAACGTCCCTATCCCCGAACCTCAGAAATGCCCGTCACTGCCGCCAGATCTCTGGAGGGTGAATGCTGGTCACCTTCCCTTGGATGAGTGGGCTAGAGTGAGTGCCGTCTGCAAAACAACATGGCATCTGCAGCTGGAGACAGTGGATCTGTGGTGGCTTCAGGAAGGTGGCGAGATGGACAGGGCAGGTGACATTGGGGATCCTTAGTCCCAAAGTCTGCGATCCCTGTTGTATGAAGATGAAGAGCACTGTGGGATCGACATTATTTTTTTTCCTTCAATTCGAATTCCATTTGGCGACAAGATGTTTATTTGGCGACCTTCCAGCAGAGCTCGAGGATAACCTGCCAGGTTCCTCCAGCACACCGATGGCTGTCACTTGTTCAAGCCTGATGCAGCGTTGCTCGTTTATATGCAGGGATTGAGTGGGTCATGAAGCGATGGAGCAAGGCCAAAAAGATTAGGCTTCCCCTGTCAGATGCCATGATGGACTGCTCTGGCATGCTGGAAGTTGAGACACTTGCAGGCCTGACTCATTTGGATCTGAGCCTTGGATGGTCTGAATTCAGTTCAGAGGGGCAGCAGCAGGTCGACCGCATTACAAAAGTGGCCTCTGTCTTGGGCAACAAGAAGTACCTCAGCTTTCTGCGCATGAAAGTACCGGGGCTCATCCAGATGCCACATCTGGCAGGCAATCTAAACCATCTCCAGCTCATGATGGATGCTGCTGACTTGAAACTAAGTGCGTGCGTGAACAGGTTGAGCAGCCTGAAGACCTTGGCTCTGCATACCAAGCACGACGACCCTGATCGGTCACCTGCGCTGAACTTGATATCTTTCAAAGATCTCAAGACCGTGAAGCTGGACAATGTTATCCCAGAGAACCTGTCTCTCCCCGTGGGCTGTGATCTGCATGTGCGGGTGTGCTCCCTGAAGAACGCCAAGACATCTGTGTGGCTGCAGAACGTTGCCAATCTGCGATCTTTCGTGGTGATCACTCGATGGATAGAAAACATCAAATGTAATGATGAAGTCCCAAGCATATGTTTTGCGCCTTGCGCTCTCGAATGCCTTCATCTTGAGGTGGGTCACTTTGGTACTCCAAATAGCCCCATACATCTATGCGGTGCGCTAGTGCAGAGCAAGCAATTATCCCTAGATTGTGAAGGTATCTATGTTGAGGTACCACAGGCGGGAATGGCATGTTCAAAGGTATGGCTGAGATCAGAGAAGATGCTCTCCATTTTTGTTCCCAGGGGAGTGAAATTTTTGGATGCTTGTGTATCCGTCCAGCTCATGTTTGAGACAATAAAAGGTGTCAACTTGGCTGAACTGTGCAAGCGGCTTCGCAAAAGGAACATTATCTTAGAGGATGATGCCGGGCACCCTTGCAATGATCAGCATACGGTCAAACATAGAAGTGACAAGTACGAATTAAGTCTAGATGACTGTTTTTGTGGATGGTGCTGGACCTGCGTGTCTCCTGTCAGGCCGTTGTAATACTGAAGAGCAATGGCAGGACTGGAAGATGGGCTTGCCTGTTTGTCTTCAGGCGGTCACATACTGAAAAGCTATTGCATGTCTAATTGAATACATGCTGTTTATGTGATAGTAAACATGTGATTGTTTGCATTTGAACCTAAATGATCATATGACTGCCATGCGGCGAAGCCATCACAGGTCCTCATCACCACCCTATTGATATCAGCGTCCATGTGGCTTGCATGCACGTGCGTACACGTAATAGAGTTATCTCAGACTTGCGCTTCAAGCTAGCTGGCCCAGGGCCGTCCACCGGGTGCACAATGTGTCTGCACTGAACATGTTGGCATCACTGATGCCGCATCACTGATGGCAGCTGATTGGGGACAGCATCAAATGAAGCGGCAGGAAGCTACGAAATGCCCACAGGGAAATTCACACTGTGAGTAGCTCTGAATTTGAACTTTCTTAGTTCATGCATGACAGGGAACGCCCGACATTGTGGTTCCGGAAGGGGCTCACGAACGATCCCCCCGCTTTGGGGAACCAGATTTGTTTCAAAATTTCCATCACATCAATTAAAAAAGCTTCCTGATCCAGTATATGATCATTGAGACCGTGACAAACGTTCCGATGAACCTATCTGAGGTTCAGCAGCAGCATTGCCCGACTCTACCGCCAGAGGTCTGGAGGATGATTGCTGGTCACTTCTCAGTGCTGGTGTGGGCAAGAGTCAGCCCGGTCTGTAAAATGACGTGGCAGCTGCAATTGCACACAACAGATCTGTGCTGGTTTCCATCAAGTTCAGATATGGCAGGTGAGCTAATGTTACACAATTGGCTTCCTTGGACGTGTTGATCGACGGAAATCTTTGTTGGATTTATCTTTTGGTCATGTCTGTCATGTCAAAATTCAATTAGGCCTCATCATACCTAATCATTGAATTGCCGCCAAATTGCTCTTCCACTCACCAGTTCTTCACTCATCACTCCTGATGGGCAGTGTCATCGCTGTTTGTGCCACTTCGAGAACGTCTGATGCATCATTGTGCAGGCATTGCATGGGCCGTGAAGAGGATGGCAACAGTGAAAAAGGACACGAAGCAGGCAGATGCGCCGTGCTCCACAGCGCTCAACCTGGCAGCTGCCCAAGACCTCAAGATTGTCAATCTGGACAATATTATCCCAGAGAGCTTGTGCCTTCCAATGGGCTGTGACCTGCATGGGCGGGTGTGCAGAGTGGCAAAGGCCAGGGCACCTGTGTGGCTGCAGAACAGTGCAATGCTGCGATCTTTCGTGCTCAATACCCGCTCTCAGGATGATCAAGGAATCGATAACAACAAGCAAGTGCCAAGCGTGTTCACTGCGCCCATCGCTCTCGACTACCTTTTGATTGATGTGTGCAGCTTTGGTGCTCTAAAGGACCCAATTCGTCTGTCCGGTGCACTTGCAAGGACAATTGTCAACAGCAAGGTGATCAATATAGATTGCAGAGAGATGCATGTTCAGGTCGCGCAAGAGGGCATGACATGCACATCACTGCGCTGGATCTCTGAAAGCATGCTTTCCATCTCAAATCCTGGCGGGCCCGGGGTGATATTCTATCGAAGCTTAAGCTTGCCTAACCCTGCAGCTCATGTTCCAGTGCATTGAGGGAATTGACTTGATCGAGGTGTGCAAGCGCTTCAATGACAAGGGGATCCGGCTGCAGTCCTCTAACAGAGATCCTTCCATAGATGTGCATCATATTCACACTGTCAATCCTGGCTCATCAGGAGGATACCACCCAGATGCATGCTTCTGTGATTATTGCTTGACTTGCTCTGACGAATTCTCCTTGAATCCAGTGTAGTGATGTAAATTTCAGACATGCATCAACTGTCCGCGAGTCCCTGACTAAGCATGCAAGGCACCACTGGAACTGCACCTCTTGTCCACATAACTCTGCCTGGACATGCAGGCCTTACGCTGACCATGTCGCATGAATTATTTGGCGAATACTTTTGAAGCAATATTGTTTAAATCATATCAATTCTGGAGCTCCAACAGCTGGCAAACGAGAACACAATGCGCACAAATGGAGACAAGTGTGTGGCCGCAAAATTATGGCATCCATTTGCAGTCCTCCCACCACCGAGACCACAGATTAGTTAATTGGATGAACCTCTTAAGCAATAGCAGTACTTGTAAGAAGTCTCATTTGCAGTGTTTGTCAACAGCATGAATCAACATGTCATCTACCGCATTGTTCTGAGCACTGAAGAACTTTTATTTTGGCCATTGGGCAGCAGGTATGAAGGCATCCCGGACCTTAGAGGCTGCTGCAGTGACTGGCCAAAGCTGTTTCATTGAGGGCCAAATGATGTGCAGACCAATGACAACTCAGCATCAGCGACCTGCAACGGTGTATCTCAGGGTCCTGCTGCAACGATGTCCAGGGAGGGACGCCCCAGGGCGGCCTCATCGTCAGAAGGGAAGGCGAGGGAAGCCAGCGCGGCCTTCTCAGAGCTGGGCGGAGCAGAGCTGCCCAGAGCCACGTTCAGGCCCAGCCGGGGGACCATCGGCGGCTTCTGGCAGGGGGGCGCCTGCAGCAATGTAAGCAAAATTTTCAGCGTCCCACCAGATATTGTATGAGAGCTGCACCCTTCCCAGTCATTTCACTCTGCCTGACGCATTGCTGGGCTTCACTCCACACCCTGCACAAACCACTGCTTGGCTGCAAACATGCAGCCCATGTCAAGCAATGCTCTTCTACTCATTGCAATCAGTACATGCTGCACCCTGCCCGGAGGCGAGGTGTCTGGTCCTGTATTTGAAATTTGGAGAAGCTGTGCTGATCCTGTATGATGCAGACCTCTTTCAATTCTGCAACCGCCTCATGGTGACCCCAAGGCTGGCTTACAGTGACACCCTGCGATCAAAATTTTCAGATGATGAAAAAATAAAAGTAATAGTAAAAGTTCAGGCGTCACCTTGGCGGGTTTGGTGAAGACGAGGGAGTTGGCCTCCACGGTGTAGGAGTTCGGGGGCGTTCCTGCCTTGTCTTCCGGCTCCTTCTCCGGCTGCCGCAGCGGCGGCAGCGCGGCCGGCTCGGCAACCTGCAGACCCCCCAGACCCCAGATTGCAATCAGCCCTTCTCTTCAATCTGTCTCTCAAGCGCATCCAATCCAAAAAAATCGACTTTCCCTCTGTAAAAGTAAGTGGTGGAGAATTGAACGGCAGCAAGGAATGTACTGATGTGCGGGTCCACGCTAGAGATCATGCTTGGACCCACGGGGCCATTCTATCTGAATTTGGACTGCATCCAACGGGGAGGATACTGCGCTTGAAAATGCAGCAGCCCCTGACTCTGCAACGCTTGATGGCTGGGGCAGTTTCACATAGACCTCAAAGAGGAGGTCTTTGTGTGTTGGTGAAGGGACCCAGAATGCACAGAAGCAGGGCAATGGGGTGGGGGAGGGGGGCACGGACCGAGGGGTCTTTGTTGAAGAGGCGTGGAGTGAGAGTGGCAAGGTTGCTAGGCAGCGAGAAGCGGGGGGTCAGCGTTGACTCCCTGGGCGTGTTCTGGATGCTGCGCAGGACACTTGCGCTCCTGCAGACGAGGCAGAGGTGTCATCAGTGCGCTTTAATATGTGACTTTTAAATGGCCCCTTGGCAAGCAATTCTTCGCTTGCTATGATGGGGGGTCCCAAAAGCAAAATGCTACCAGCCATGTGCTACAGTACTTCCTGCACACATGCCCTGTGCTCATGAAGCATTGACTGACACTGCATGTTTAAAATTTGAAGGCACCTGTCGAGGTGGGCGTCGTTGCGCAGGGAGCCTGCGCTGATGAGCTGCGCCATCTGCTCAGAAGAGCCGCACACCAGCCTCATCTACACAGCAGCATATCCCGCTGTTAATCACATGCCTCCTTGGCTGGTTCCCGCTAGGATATGAACGAGTCATTTGGGAATATGTGTATTCCAGAAGCTGGTCAGGAGCTGAAAAGTGACTGGAATGTCAAGGACACTGCAGGGTGGGGCAGAGGCACTTACAGACTCGCTCCAGCCGGGCGCGGAGGAGGTAGACTCCGTTTGCCTAAAGCACAAACACCCTGCTCAGGCCACTGTCACCCTTCCAAGGTGCTCGCTGAGCGCTCATGCTACAGATTAAAGACAGACACTGTATCAGGATAATTGTCGTCCATGTGTGCAAGAGACATTAAAGTCTTTGTGGCTTTTTGGGACATGCAAAGGTTTGCTGCTGTTCTGCTTGGCTGGTTTTTGCTGGCATTCAAATGTAAGCCAGCACTGCCTAGTGCGAAGCTGCTGGATCTTTCAGCATATCTGTGAGAAGATCGAGATACTTCAGCCATAAGAATCGGTAGGACTAGGTACCTGGAGGTGAGTGTCAGCTGGTCAACTGTGCACTCCACATCTATGCCCATGTCCCTCAGATCGTCCAGGAAGCCATCAGCATCAATCTCGCCAGCCGTGAAACGCTCTAGTGTCTCGGCAATGTCCCTGCAATTTTGGTACACGTATCAGATATTATGCATTTTTTCCTGGCAGAGAACAGTCTGCAGAACAGAGTGCAAAGGGCATTGTTGCAATTTTGAAAAGGCTAAATGTGCAGATTGATGGTCAGTGGATCACCTTCGCAATTCAGCCTCTGCCTCTGCAGCCTTTTCTGCCTCCTTCTTGCTCTCAATCTTGAGGTTTTCCAGCTGCGCAGACACACACCCATAACTCACAGTCTTACAGCAGTCTGCCTGCGGAGAAAGGCCTGTAGAGCTTCTGACATGCATGGATTCATAGTATTTTTCGTATGAATTTGCATGAGGTGCCACAGTAGGCGTCAGTCAATACCTGGTGCTGGATGCCTCCTTTTTCAGCCAGTAGGGATTCTGCACTTTGGGCCAAGGCCTCTGCTCTGCTTCTGAGAGCATCATTCTCCCTCCTGAGCGCCTCACCCTGCAACTCCAGCTCCTCCTTCTGCTCCGAAAGCTCCCCTGCCTGCTGCTGCAGGACCTCGTTCTTGACAATTTCTGCTGCGTGCTCTACTTTCTCCTTGTCTAACTCCTTTCGGAGCGCCTGTAGGTGGCACACAAGGACTCCTCATGCTGGGCTTTGAGCCGTACGCTGCTCCTAGGTCGAAGGCATGTCCGCTTCAAAAGCTTTGCAGTAAGAAAGTATGTCTCAAGATGTGAAGAGTTCGGTGCAAAAGCTGGCAGCGGCATCTGACATCGTGACATAAAATACAAGCAGGCTAAGCAAGAATCGTGCAGGCAGAGCCGATGTCCACATGCACACAATAAATTCTGGGCCAGCGCTTGAAAGCGAGGACATGCCAGTGTCCAGTTTTTTGAAATTAGGCAACCTCTGACAAGTACTTCAATGCTGAAAGCCGCCAGATACACATTTTTGTCTTATGATGATACAGTTTATCCAGGTCTTGGCGCTGTGCGTGCCTGCAGAATATCTTTCAATTGCTTTTCCCTCTCTCGCAGGGCTTGGGTATTCTCATCGCCATGAGACCTCGATGCAAGGCGTTTGATCTCTAAAGCGGCACCAGCGCCAAGGATCAACAGAATGGGGATCATATCGTGCGGCCTATGACGCCCAAAGGGACTTTCAAGGTACCAGAGATGCCGGCGTTGCGTTCCGAGCAGGCCAGGCTTTCGCACAAGCAACGTAACTTCCCGCTGCCCTGATTGTATGGATATTCTCAAGGGATCAGTGGTTTTTGTCACAAAGACACAAGATGTGATCGGCCCATTCTGCACAAGCAATTCAAATTCATTCCAGCATGGCAGGTGACCATGAGCCAATCTTGGCAATATCCAAGCCTTGGCTGCCCTGCTTCCTGCTGATGTCAACGCCTACCAGGTGTCCTCCAGCAATTCTTGTGAAACATCTGGTATTCGTCAGGTGCATCTAGCCACAGCATCTGTAGGTGGATGCATGCAATATTGCATGCATCCACCTACAGATGCACGTTAATGCACTTGCACCCGTTGCGGCTGAGCGCGCTGTAGCTAGCTAGGGTGACCTGCACATATGCTGGCATCCTGCTGGAGCAGCAAACTTCTCACTGGAAGGTCCTCAATGTTGCTCGCCAAGCATGAGATTTGAGGAGGCAATGTGAAGGCCATGGAAGGATCGTGCAAGCTGACTGGACAGCAGCTTCGTCTGGAACGGAAGCTGGTTTTCGCTTATTGCCTCTTAACGTAAGCCACTTCCGGAAACAAGGTATCCCTTGTAAGCGGTACGAATTTGTTCATATATGTTCGCATAAAACAAAGATCCAACCTCCATCATCATCTGGTAGGCAATTTGCTTCTGGATCAACAATGGCTCTGGGTATGAAGCAGAGTGTTTTCAGAAATGTACTACCTCCCAGTAGTAACAGATGCAGGGGGCAGCGCATGAAGGTGCAGGCAGTCGTGCAAGAACCGCCTAAGAAGGATGTCAGGAAGCCGCGTTCGGAAAATGTTGGGCTAGATCAAACAGGCGCATTCTTCGTCGACCACACATGCATCGGTGCGCTCAACCTTGGCCGATTGCTTCGATCATGGTTTGTCGCAGGGTTGGCATTTCCAATTTCGGTTTCAAATAGCTACAAGCAAACGCTTTGACAAATTTACAGGCCTTCCAAAGGTTCAAACGATGTGCAAGCCATCGACTGACGTAACATTTAAACCGAAATGTACTCTGCTGTCGCTCATTAAGTTTTATGACTCATGTCTGCAGATTGCGATACGTGCCGTTACATGGCGCCGGACTTTTTCAAGCGAAAGAACAGCCAGTCAGCAGTGCTAGCTCAGCCAGAGACCAAAGAGCAGCGCCTCCAGGCCTTCCAAGCCCTCCTCTCCTGTCCCACGTATGCTCGTGGCCAGCTAACTTAGCTTTTGCGCCTGTACTGAAAACGATCTAGAATGGACCGTTTCTCTTTGCCACCAAGCCAATTTCATTTGTTTCGTTGTTCCTGATACCTGCTGAGAAGCCCACTTGCCAAGCTTGTATAGTCCAGGCAGTCCAACACTTGCAAATCCTACTCCTTTTTTTTCCAAAACCCCTCAACCCTCCCAGCAACCATCATCAAAGTGTAAGTACAAATTCACATGCGGCGCAGGTACTCGATTCACGTTGCTGACAAGGACCGGGAGGCCCAGCAGGAGGCGGAGGAGAGCTTCCCCCGCAACGTTTACGGACTGGACAACGTGTTCCACTGCGGATTTCACAGCGAGCTGTCCTTCGGCTGCGCCAGCTACCTGGTGACCAGGCCCGAAGGGAACGTCCTCGTAGACGTGCCCCGCTTCGTGCCCAAGCTGCTCAAGCGCATCCAGGTGCGCACCGCATGACCAGGCATCGCAAGTTTCAGGGATATGGTGAAGGCTCAAATTTCTGAAGAGACAACGATCCTGGATTTGGATATGCGATGCTGTGAGGCAGTATTGACCCAGAGCTGTATCTGCCACTCCAGCCCGCTTGTCATGCCGCATGGAGGAGCCATTGCTGGTCTTCTAGAGATCCCTCCATTTTTGTGCACCTCGTGATGAAGGAGAGGACTGACAACACTAAAGGAGTGCCGTAATGATAGTGAGGATATTGGGAGCGCAGGCGATGGGTGGCGCCAAGTACATCTTCCTGACGCATCGAGATGATGTGGCGGAGCACGCCAAGTGGGCCAAGGCGCTCGGTGCGGAGCGCATCATGCATGTCGGGGAGACCAACGCGCAGCAGGGCACAGAGTGAGTCACCTCCGGCCATTACCGTGCTCCTCACGGTCGCTAGCATGCATCTTGGCACTGGCATAAATGAGCTGAATCCCACTCAGCATGCACAGTGGTCATCCCGGCATTCAGATCCAGAGCAAACTCACTTGACAAGTCTGGCTCTGCAGGATAGGATGTGTAATTCCTCACATGCTTTTTACCAAGTGCCTGACACCGGTAGAATCGGCGAGCAGTGTAGGCGTGTTGAGGTGAAGACCTGTGATGTGTTTATCTGCGCAGCCAAGTGGAGGTGAAGCTGGAGGGAGAGGGGCCCTGGCCGCTGCCGGATGGCAGCGGCGACATGCAGATTGTGTTGACTCCAGGGCACACCGAGCACCACTGCTGCCTCGTCTACGAGGCGCAAAAGGTAATTCAATTGCGCTACCCTTCACGATGCATGCCCATTCCTGTCTGCATATGACAGAAAGCCACGGAAATGAAGGGAATACCACTAGCCATTTGAGGGCCTTAAGGAACCTGCTGGGGCATGAGGTATTTTGAGGGTGTTCAAATATCCAGATCGCTGTGCTGTGTCATGAAAACACATTCTGATGACATGCATGACACAGAGCAGGTTGTGGGTAGCCACACACCAGCTGGAGTGATATCTGAAGAGCAGCAGCACAGTTGCTCCCATCTGCACAAAAGCAGCACTTGACCTGAGCCACTAATTAGTAATTCTTGTTTGGTAGGTGTTGTTCTCTGGAGATCACCTGGCAACGGATTCTGTGGGTGAGTGGACCACTGCCACGTCACCAGACAAAGGCAAGCTGGGCATCACACGGTGAGGTCCCATAATTCGCTTGTGAGCAGTTGCTGCATGCACTTGAAAATTTTCCATTTGCTACAACTTGACAACAGGCATGCTGTTGCCTCCGAGGTGTCCTCATGGGTGGTGAGGTAATACTTTGGAAGTCCGCTTGTCCTTCCTTGGCGACACCGAGCAAACTCCAGTCGCTAATCGAGGTGCATTGCATGCATGCAGGCGGTTCAACTGGTGGCAGGTCGGCAAGCAGGTGGAGAGCTGCGAGAAGCTGGCGGCCTTCGACTGGGTGCATGTGCTGCCCGGCCACGGCCGTCCCGGCAGCGTCGACGATGCGGCCGACCGGAAGCACCAGATCCAGCTGCTGGTTGAACGCGAAACCGCGCGCGGCCTGGGTCACCTGGAGTTTGACCACAGCGGCATCATGCCCGAATGAAATATACGAAGACAAGATGCAAGACATTGATTGCAGATGCAATGAGACAGCTCAAGAAGGCCGTGTCAGATTCCGCGGCGGGAAATCATCGTGATTTGACAAGCGGAGAATGGACAAAATGAACAGCCCTGATTACCCCTGAAATGAATATGGTATCTGACATACGAAGATTTTCTGTAGCTGGCGGGATATTGCGGCGTCAGGCGAAAAGCAGAATTACGTATTGGTGGATGCTTCTTGTCATGATTTTTCTTTCAATGCATTTAGAGCAGGTTTATTGCTGTTGAATTTTCATTTCATATTGTGCAAGCTATTGTCATGGTTGCATGCGCGAGAACACAACGTGAGATTCGAGGGCCATTGCCGTGAATGAAGTATGCTGCATTGGGGCCAGGTTTTTGTGTCGACTTGGGCCAGATCTAGATGGCGTACTCCATCGGAAGTCAAATCAAAGTCCGATGAGTGTCTGATCAGTCAGAAACGATGCTTGCTGGATTTGGCCGCATCCCCCAATTCATGAAGAATGTTCAAAGTAGTGATGAGCTGCTGCAAGAATACTCTGATCCTGACACTGACTGAGGACTGCAGCTGCATGCATTGCAGTGAATCTGCTCTGTATTTGATAGCAGCTGCGCAGTTACGTGTTTTTTGCTTACAAGTTATGATGACTTGAATGTGATGGCGATTGCAAGTGACAGAACAAGGTGCCAGATTTTATGAGGCTTGTCAGTCATGAGGAACTGCACATGGCCCCTGTCTTTCTCTATACATAGGTCTGCCAGACACTTGGTAACAATCCATGAGCTTCTTGACCTAATGTCATGTAACTGAACCGTTCAGTCTGCCACGATGTGCCATTTCTGTACCACCATTGCCACTTCAGGACATCATTTGAATTTGCACTGTTCACTCTCCACCGGCCATATCTGTGCAGTCAGAGACTAGAGACCTTGCTACTGACACATGCATTAGGTGGGCGCTTCAAGGAATGCCTCAGATCCACGCACTCCACCCCTCATACATCTGCGCCAGCTTATCAAGGCTGGTGGCTTCCTCGATCAGCACAGACACCTGCTCCGAGACACTGAGCGGCCGATTGCTGACATCACCTCCCTGGCCCTCATCTCCCCCTGCTGCCCCATGAAGCCGGTGTCCCTGGGCAGCGCCCTGCTGCCCAGAACGCTGCCCTCCTCGGCCCGTCAGCTTGTCCATAAAGCGCTCATAGATGGCAACCGCCTGCGCCTGCCGCGCCGTGCCACGGCCGCCGTGCTCCCGCTGTGTGCCGGCATGTGCGACACGTGCAGCACCCGGTTGCTGCAGCGCCTGGACGGCTGCAGTGGCCGCCTCTGCCACGGACGGCAGCACCGACTGCAGGCGCTCTGCGGCTGTTGCTGCCTCCAATGCCACCGCCACCTGCAACAATAAGCAGCACACCCCATCATTAAGTATCTGCTGCATTAGTGGTTGTTGCCATGCACATAATAACACATCGAATATGCACGGCGCCCAAGCCGAAGCAGGTCCAACGTCCTCATGAAGCAGGAGAAACATCCTGTTGTATGAGGTTCTTCCACTTGAAGATATTCTCACTCAGAATATAATTTATTCTCAGCTCCTTCTAAGACGAGGAAGTATTGGAAATGATGTAGAACGAGAAGAATGAGCTGGAAAAGGGGTCCGGTACGGCAAAGACAGTACCTGCGCCTCTGCAGTGGCGGCGTGCGGTCGCGCAGCTGCAACCAGGGAGGCCACGCGTCCGGCGGCCGACGGCTGCACGGGCGGCTGCCGCAGCGCCTGCATCAGCGGCAGCAGCGCCGCGGACAGCGCCGGCCGGGCGGCTGTGATGCTCCGGTGGTGCTGCAATGCCTCCCGAGCCAAGTCGCGCACTGCATCCTCTGCAGTGACCCCCTGTTTCATGCATGGCATACTACATCTACAACGTTTGTGAGAATGTCTTCTTTGAAGCCAAATCCTTTCCCTTGTCAGTTGTGTGCCTTTGCCCCAGATACAAATCACCTCCGGATATTATAATGAGACCAGGGAGACTCAGCGCAAGCTTGACCAGATGCATGGCTGCCAGGTAAATCGCTGCTGAGTATGCAAGCCAAGCAACCGAAGTCCTTATTGTCTCCAATTCAATGTGTGGGCTGAACACATACAAGAACATGTATTGCTCCACTTGCATGCGCAGCAATAATCCCGGAAAACAAAGATCCCAAGAATCTCACACCTGTCCGGCCAAGTGCTTGAGGTCATGGACGATGAAGTCCATGCGTCGCAGCGGGGCGCGCTCCAGGGCCGTCAGCGCAGCCTCGCATGCGTTGCCGGCCGCAGCGCTGTGCTCCAAAACAGGCGCTGCCAATGAGGCGAAAGCGGCGCTCGCTTCGCGCTCTGCATGCGCGGCCGCCTCAAGAGCTGGCGCCGTCACTGCCAGCTCAGCGTCCAGGGCCGCCAGCTCATCGTGCGCAGTGTGCGCCTGCGCAGGGTGACATCAGCACCCATCAGCCTTACTCTCCACGCATCTTGCGATTAATTCTGTTACAGGTCGGCAAACCCCGAGGCAAAGGCCTTGGGGCATACACGCAGGGCGTCTGCAGCTACGTCTTCGGGGCCTACGAAGTCTGCAGCTCAGTACTGCGATACCTTCTTTGATCATCCTTGCTGTGGATTAGTGTGACAGTTCAAACTGGTCGGGGCATGGGCAGATGATGCCAGACATCTGAGAAGGGAAAATTCTTTGGATGGGGTGATTGCTGAGCAAGTCTGGGTCACCTCGCTGACTGCGGCTACGCAGGCGGTGCAGAGCAGCTGCAGCTGCTGCATGAGTGGGCGGTAGCCCTCGCAGCCGCCCATCGCGCCCGATGCGCCGGCCCACGCCTTCCCCTCCCTGCGCACCATTCACCCAATCAGCCCATGCCAAAGAAACACACACCACTGTAGCCACGGGCCACCACCCATCACAGCCAGCTCTCCCTCTACGCTTTCACGACGCAGTATGGTGTCGCACCATTAGTGTCTGCATGCATTCTTGGCCAGCAAAAGGAGTCGTTCCCGTTGATTCATCGAGAATAAGATGGTGAAATGGGCTCTGCATCACGACTGCATGCGTGCATGCCTGCTTAGCCGAAGAGGAAGGCCCCCATTTATCGAGAGCAAGACGGCGATGCAGTCATTGGGCACTAAATTCACCTGGACAGCTCCAGCTGTAGCACCGCCTGCCCTAGGCGCATGAGGCTGGCGGCCTGGTCGCCCGCAATGGTCAGCCACTGCCGCCGCAGCTCCAAAAAGTGGCTCAGGTGTGCCGCCGCGCCCATCGCCGCCTCGCCCGGCGGAGAAACCGCTGCCTGCACCCGCAACAAGGTTTTTCACCACTTATACATCACACCATGAGGTCAGCTTTGGGTCACTTTGTCGTGTCATCTGTGTTGCTGTGCGGACGCTTCTGCTCGTGAGAGAAGCTCGCCTATCGCTTCAGCATACACTTTATCCCTCCATCTCAACATTGGGCAAGCACCTGGATGAATTGTGCAAAGTTCTGCTCATGAAATACAAGCTGAAAGAACATTTATTATGGAGCACAGTTGAGGACCAGCTTTTTAATATCAGGTGACCAAAAGAAGGTGTGTTGGTGTGAGCAGGCGTGCCTGCAGCGCGGCTTCGGCGGCGGCGGCGTGGGCGGCCCAGGCGGCGAGGGCCTCGTCAGCGCCGGCCAGCGTGCGCAGCGCAGCATCCAGCGCCCCCAGCAGCTGCGACCGCCGGTGCCGCAGCGTCCACCCCTGCTGACCCTGCACAGCACGGCAGACTTTCAAAGACAAGGCAAAAATTAGCTACAACTTCGAGGCAATGTGGTTTCAACATGGCTTCACTTCCCCGCAGAGCCCTATTTCAGGGATCCATACAGACTTTGTAGAGTACAAAACGTGAGACAATATGGTGTCAATGTGGTTTCTAATGATTCTCAGCTTTCCTGCACGCTCTGACCCTCCGAATGATAATTCATACTGTCCGCACTGCAAGTCGCACCACTACACCGAAGCACGGCAAGCGATGTATGTCTATCAAGACGCAACACAGACTGCATACTGGCTGCGGACCCCTGTTGCTTGACATCCTAAAAGAGGCCTACCTGAGGAGCCACTTCGATGGGTGGGCCCAGTACTCCAGCAGCTGCTAGGTCAGGCTCGTGCGCCCACTCGTACAGAGCAATTGCAGCCGCATTCGCAGCGGGCTGGCCTTCAGCCTGCATGCATCACAAGATGACTCTGTACACAGCCGCATGCAGCATAAATCTTTCCTTTTTGTCAAGATCAAATCCAGAGAAAGGAGCAGGGTTCATGGATGTGCAACTTCTCACCTGTTGCAGAGCAGCGAGCACAGCGCTCTTCTGCAGCTGAAAGGTTGCATGCGCGCCACACGCCTCCACGCAAGCCTTCATGAGACCCAGAAGCTCTGCTCCCTCTGCAGTCAGCTCCTGCATGGCAGCTGACCTCTGCCGCTCCAGTCTAGCCGGGGCCATGTCTGCTGCTACTACACCAACAGCAGCCTGCTCGTCATCAGTGCTGCGCTCATCAGCTTCCAGCGCTACAAGGCTCTGCTGTGACGAGCTGGCAGAGCCTGCATTGCTGTCCGTGCCGGACATCTGCTGGCTGTCAGACTCCAGAGGCTCATCCGCGCCTTCGAACCCTCCGTCAAATCCCATGAAGGGCTCCAGCTCCAGGGGTGTCATTGCTCTGTCCTGCCCTGACTCCACGCCCAGGCCCGGTCCAGGGGGCGTTCCCTGCTGCTCCATGCTGGATTCCAGGGCTCCCTCGGCCCCGCCTGCCTCCTCGTCAAAGTCCAAGAAGGGCTGGAGGAATGGCTCCGTCGCCTCTGCCCTCAAACTCTCCGCATGCTCTTCATCTGCTGCACCGCCCCACGCTTCCACCTCCCCAGCCTCTGAAGGGAGCTGCTGCTGCATGGCTGCTTCATCCAGCCAGTCTAGCCCCTCTGCATCTTCCTCGTCCACTGTTGGCCCCTCCTGCTCTAGCCTGTCTAGCTCCTGGTCCGCAGACTCCAGCAGAGGGTCTGCCTCCAGCAGTGCGGCATACAGCTGACTCCCATTCAACCCCTCAGACGACGTGGGAATCACCAGGCCGCCTGAGGGGAGTGGCTTGGCTGCGCTGTGGTGCATGCATGCGATCACTGCAGATGTGGAGCGCAGCATGAGGTCTCCCAGGGCGGTGGCAAGGGTGCTCTGCAGGCGGGGCAGCACTGGAGGCTGCTCCTGTGCTGCTGTGACATTGTGTGGCTCAGAGTGGGTGGACTCCTGGGAAGGAGTGTGTGGGAGTGCTGCATGCCCGATGGTAGGGAGAGGCGGGCCAGGCTGCTCGAAGCAGGATCGCAGGAGATCGTCCATGAGCCTGACAGAAAAGACTGCCGCCTGCCAGCCCTTGAGATCAGACAGCAGGCTTGCCTCATCCTGCACGTCACCATGCATTTTAAATGTTACTGGAAAACCAGAGCTGTGCATGCAGATCACTGATGCAAGGAATGCGTCCAGCATCTCTGCTCCCTACACGTGTAGCTCTTGGGAGACGCTGAATAGATTCCCCAGGTCATGTTCAGTATCTCCTGAGAAACACACGTGCAGGGAGCACATACATTTGGTACCATCTCAGATGTGGTGAAAGTGACATCTGAGATGTAGCCTAGCAGAAGCCCAGCAAACAGGAACAGTTCCTACCCGTCTGCTATTGTCTCCATCAAGGAACAAGCCGCGCAGGGACCTGTAGAGGTGTCCAAAGGCAGGCAGAATGGGAGACTGGGCAGCCGGAGTCTGGTGGAGCCCAAACATTGCTTCAAGCTGGTCCACGCATGCAGCTGCCCTCTGCTGGAGGCCCTCAATCTCCATTGCGAGGGCCTGCACGTTGGCATCAAGTTCCTGCTCGCGTCCACCCTGCAGGCATTGCCCCATTTCTTTTGAAGTCTGACCAGAGGCTGTCCAGTGTCTGACCAGTGTCAGAGTCTGATCAATGTCCAGAGTCATGCATGTACGATTATAGGCACTTACATTTGACTGAACTACCCAAGGATGGAACATCAGAGGTCACAAGCTTGAGGGCGCATGGTGTGTTTCTCTCTTCAAGGGTCACGGTCGATTGGAGGTGCGTGCCTGTTCCTGCGTGACAGAGGTGCTAGGAGCTTCCTCCCGCGGCTGGTGAGCCAAGTGACGGGCCTCATGCAAAATGCTCTCTACTGCTTGCCTCAACCTGTTGATCGCTGCAGCATCCTGCATAACCCCACACACTCACGCATGTTCATTGCCGACCTTGGGAAGGGTGGTAGCAGTCCTGTGACCCTGTCATCAGCTAGACACAGTGGTGAGACTGATCAACTAAGTAGAGACAGAAGACACTGGCAGGGTACATATATGGGGTTCACCTTGAGCATTGCAGCATTTGGCCCTGCCGCAGCGCAGCCCACCAGAGCAGGCGCAAGCAGAAGGTCGAAGCTAGCTTGGGCCTGAGCAGCGCAGGTGACCCTCGCAATCAAGGGGTGCAGCAGAGACTCGTCACCTCCTGCTTGCAGTATATCATGCGTCAGAAAAATCAGTCATGCATTTTCCTTATCTCTCCTCTTCCAAGCAGATTGATTCAACAAAGCAGGTAGCGAAGTGGATTTTACCAAGAGAAGCTGCTGGCTGAAGGAAGCCACCTGTGGCCTCCTTTGCCACCTCTGCAATTCCCAGCAACAGCTGCAGGAGTTGTTCCAGTGTTTTCTGCCTTGACTGATCCTGTGCACAGAAATTCAATGTGAAAACAATGTCCAATAGAGCAAACACCATTACATTAAAAACAATGCCAATGCATTGCGCTGTATGAGAGGTGGAGTTTTGGGCATGCTCACCTGGATCCAGGAGAGTCGATCTTGCAGGAATTCAGCAAATGCTGGAGAAGCAGAGCTCAAACTGGCTGCGAATTCTTGCTGCAGCGCCTGCAGCAGCACCGCCCTGGCCACCTCAGCAGTCTCCATGCCCTCGCTTGCCTTCTGACCCAGCTTCTCGCCCTCACCTGGACAGTTTGCCAATAACATCATAGTCAGCAAAATCAATATCATTGAAGTTTGTAGGAGATTTGATTCTTTGAGGCTGCGCATCAGTCAGCGACGTCCTTAAAGCTGAGAGGAGAACAAATGAGAGAGGTAGTTAGGAATTTTTACATTGGGAGGCTGCTGTTGAGGACAGTGTGGTCTCGGCAGCCACATGCAGTGCTCTGTAGCCTTTCACTGCATCATGCGCTGGTGAGAGGAGTGGCGCGTGCTCCCATGCCAGCTGGAATGCTCCCTGCAACAAGCGTCCAAATCAATCATTGCCAGTGCATTCTGAGACAATTTATCTGGGTTGACACAGCCCTGCTCATACAACAGATGCTATTGATGGAATACTCCATCTTTATTCAACAGAGTTTCACAATATGCAGTACGGAAAACAAATTCGAAAGTGTTGGATGGGGAGGCTGGCACCTCTGCTGCAGCTGGCGAGATGACACCTCCAAGGCTCCTGTCGCATGCGCCAATGGCAGCCACGAAACAGCCGTCCCACCTGGCATGGTGCGAGCTGGCAACATAGTCAGGTGGCAGAACCTGCTGCAGCGCAGCTGCATACTCCTGCACGCACAACATCCATCATCAACCACTCCAAACTCAACATGATGCAAGCATCACATGCATGCACCTCACTTGCTCTGCCATCCTTCTGTGCATCCTGCCCTTATCATGGCCGTTCGGAGGTGCATCTGCCAAATAACAGCCAAATTATGCCCAGCTAAAGATTTGGCATAACAGAAAGGTCACAAACCTGCAGAGCGGCAGTGGCAGCAAGCATGGCCTGGTCTCGGGCAGTGAGGAGTGCAGCCCCCTTCTCGTCCACAGCCGCACACAGGCCCAGCAGATCCGGCGGGGGTCGGATTGCAGACCCCAGCGCAAGGGGAACGACAGCCCTCGACGCTGGGTTCCCCACAGGGCTCACCAGACCTGCACACGCACATGCCCTCCCTAATCATGAAGTAATTCTCGACATGCATGGCAACATGCAGATGCATGCCACAAGCACAACTACATGATCACTTTCTGCCATGGCCATGGTCATCACAGGAGGCGAAGATACCATATCGTGACACTCAGGCAGCGCTAAGATGTGTTCAGCAGTGGGATCAAAGAGCTGTGATGAGGAGCACAAAATCAAGGCAGCGCACCCAGGGGAGCACGGCTGGCGCTGGACAGCCAGTACTCTGTTGGAAGGCTGAGCTCTTGGAGCGCGCTGCTGCGCAGCTTCTGCACCGTGTACGCATGCCGCTCCGCCCATCCCCTGTCCCAACACATGACCACACATTGTCTTTAGCACAACCTTGCGCATTAGGACACTTTCTCGCCACCTTTCCCCCAACAACTCACGGTTTTCAGAACAGAGCATCGTGCGAGTCGGACATTTTAAGTGCACCAGGGGCTCCTGGTGTTCATTGCATGCCAGCTGAGCTGTACAGATATGCGTCTGGAGAGCAAATGCTGGAGCTTTCTGCAATACCTGCACTCGCGCAAGCCCTGCTCCACGGCCGAGCGCAGGTTGCCGATGTCGCGCCGCATCTGACCTTCTGCCGCCTGTGCCCCGGCCAGCCGCTCGCGCGTTCCCTCCATCCGCGCCTGAGCCCCAGTCAGGGCTGCCTGCGCACAGCATCATAACACACCTCTATACGATTGAAAAGCCGAAAATGTCACAAACAAACACTTCTGGAATCAACCAAGACGACGAGGTCATTCCGCATGAGGGGTCTCTAAAGGCAGCCAGTGTTGCTCCTCAACGCCTTGCTCACAGGAGGGATCTTATAATGCCTTGAGACGCCCTCCATGATGGGCCTCCATGTGCTGGTTTGACACTAACCTTGCGTGGGGGCGAGCCGCTTGCAGAAAGAAAATGTAATTTCCATTTTCTTAGAAGTTGTCTGGGGCACACAGGAATAAAGTATACCTGGTGGAAGACAGCCTGCTCACAGGCATGCTCTGCGGCCTGCAGCGCGGCAGCGGCCTTCTGGAAAAGCGGGCTCCACCGCTGCAGAACCTCCCCGGCTGCCATGAGAGCCTGAGCCAATGTGCTGAAGTGGGGCAGCAGCAGCGGTCCGGCCTCTCCGATGCGCAGGCTGACAAGTTTCAGAGTCACCGCCAGGTCAGCCTCCTGCGCATGACAACAAAATCTCAGCACTTGTCCATGCAGTCTCAGAATATTTTGTGAAAGCTGCTTCAAATACTAGGTACAATCTTGCCACATCTCACATGATTGAATACCTCCAGGATCCATGCAAACAGTTGGGTCAGTTGGGGGAAGTTGGGTGAGTTGCTGGGAGCTTGCCTTGTGGATGACTGACATGTGGTGGCCGGAGGACAGGTCAACAGATGAGTCATCGAGGACTGAGAGCAGAACGGTGCTGAGCGCGCTCTCAGATGCGCGCAGGGCTGCCAGCGTTGCTTCTGCCCCCAGACGGAATGTGCCCTCAACCCCTGTCACTCCCAGCGCTGCCTGCAGCAGGCACCAGCCATGCAAGGTTAGGTAAATGACAGACTCTCACTGACAGCGTATCGCCAGATGCAGCTATGCTCCTTGTCATGATACAAGTCTGCAAGATACTCGTCAATTGATGCTCTCAGATGCATGGTTATTATCTGCTGTTTGCCAAAAGGAGAAGGACGGGTTCAATGCAAGGTGCATGTCATCTCGTCTATTTCAGTACGTCGAGGTGGGAAGAGGGGCGGACCTGCATGGATGGAGTCAGCCGGAAGGGCACAATCTCCGGCACGCGCAGCTGCCGGCCGCGCTCAAAGACCACGTTGTAGTCGATGTGGACCAGCTCGCCAGTGCGGTTGTCGAGGAGAATGTTGTCCAGGTGGCGGTCTCCAAGCCCCATCAGCCAGCCAATCTGCACAGTATTGCTTTTTACCTCAACACTAAGGGACATGAATGTGACCGTGTACTACATCGTTGAAAACTCATTGTGTGAGGACAGTCCACGATTATGTTTCCGATTCGACCCGGCCACATTTCTCAGCCACGAATGCAATGTTTGATACTGCTCAGATGCGCATATTATACCGTTCTTCTGTGCTGTACATAGCCGCATGCACACAATGTGATCCAGCCAGCTGTCCATTGCCAGTGTCAGTGCCTGTTGTGCTCTGGTGACAATGATGTAAAGGTCAAGTAATTGGCATGTGCGGCAACGTGCCCAGCTCACCATGCTCATGACAGCGGCCGCCCGCGCATGCGCTTGCTGGCGAGCACACCAGTCCCCCGGCCCGGCAGCGCCGGCGAGGATCTCGTGCGATATCATCCTCTTGGGTGCGTTGCGCATCAAATCCCTCACCACCTGCTTGACCACCCCCGGAGGCCACTCCTTCCTTGGGGCCTGCGAATCAATGCCCGCTGCCTGCGAATACAAACATACCTCCTCAATCAAAGAGGAACCCGTGGTCAATCTCTCCTAATTAGAGGCATCGAAATGGAAAAGTCTCCGCAGGGTTACAGGGGAGTCTTATGGGCAAGGGGATAGATATTGTACCTTCAGGGCAGGTAGCAAGCTGCTGTAGAAAGCTTCAGTTGGCGTGGGCAGCTTAAGGGCTGGCTGCGCGTCGTCTGCCCTCGTCGATGGCTCAGCAGTTGCATGAGAGGGATCTGCAAAATCAAATATAGAATTCAAGGGGTGCGGAGTAAGAGCAACAGGCGTACGTGTCCTGCGTGCTCAGCTACATTCCATGATACTGACTGCCTACACATGAGGAATGCAGAGGTGTATCCAATGGCCGTGTGATTTTAAATTTGCAGAACATTATGCAGTCACGAGTGCACGTCACTAGTGCATAGTGTTGGTCAATACAATACCTGCAGCTGCAGCCATGGAGTGGCGCAGGGATTTCTGGTAGAGGCCAAACAGGGGAACTGTGTGCTCCACCCACTCAATCAACCCAGTGCGCGGTCCCAAGGGGATGACCCCGAAGGTGCGCGCATGCAGCTGCCGGGAAGCTGACACGCTGCAGCCTCGCAGGACGGCGTTTGAGCAGCGCAGCAGCTGCATCAGCCTCTCATCCAAGCGCAGCTCCTCCCGGCCCTGCAATGTTGTGATGCTCATGTTATTCATATTTTAATCTTCCCGAGACATACAAGAGGCAGTTTCTCCAGAGCAAATAGGTGTCATACTGCAGCATGCATGCATCAAGGACAGAAGGTATCATGCAAATCAGAAGAAAGGTTCTCAGCAGCAACACACATGCAAATGCTTTGCACGGTCTCAGGCAGCTGTGCCTGCCTTCAAAAGTGTCCTGAAACAAAGGTGACGAGCTGTACCACAGTACAAAAGGATAGCAACTACTAAAAATTAGAGGGGAGAAATAATTCACCTTGAGAAGGAAGGAGTAGCGTGCGCCGTTGCTGCCGCGGAACCACAGGCGCTTGGGCCGCGTCTTGGTGCCCAGGATCTCTACCCGCTCATCCACGCTGACAAGGATCGGGAGAGCACTATCGGCGAGATGCGCTGAGTGGGTGGCTGCATGCTGTCCTGGGATGGGCAGCACTGAGGCTGACAGTGCCGCCAGGCGTGGTGAGATGTCCGCTAGCTTGACCAAAGACACCCTGTGAATTGACCGCAAGTTCCTCAGTCACAAGGCCCAAGTAATCCCTCACTGTCAAATTCCCCTTGGCCATTGCACCAACAAGACCCAGATACTTGACATGTTCTCTGACATGTTCAGAGACCTTAATAAGGAATAGGTTGGATAAGAGCAGCTTTGCCCTGAAGCTTTTGACAGGGTCATTGGCACAGGGTAGCAGTGCAGCAGATTTCGCATCCAGAAATCAAGGGGATCGGATGAGTCACCTGCAGCGCCGTTCAATGCTGCCGGCCAGCACATGCAGGGGCTCTAGGAGGTTCGCCGCCGGACGGCTGCCGGCGTCGAAAAGCGGCGGGCCGGCGCAGCGGAATGCCGCAATCGCGTCCGTGAGGGCCGCCGAGAAGCTGGCGTGGAATGCGCGCTCGTGGGAAGTCTGCGGCTCACGGCTGATTGTTGCTGCTGCCGTCTGGTCCAGCATCAGCACTGCTGGCGCCATCATGTCAGCATACCTGCTCCACACAGTACCCATTTAGCCTCACAGATACACCCATGCTCCATTCCTGTTGTAACCTCTTTCTGATTTACATCATCAGCAAACATTGGGCTATACCTTGCTCCGTGCCACTACTGTGTCAGACTTTGTGAATCTGAAGCTTGCTAGGAAATTGCAGATGGATCAATGCTGAGCCATATGATGCGCATGTCTCTGATCTCATGCGAGCCCTTGCATGCATGTATAGAAGCATAGTTGCATGAGCTATTATCAAGGTGCATGACAGACACGCTTTATTTGACAGCAGATGGAAGGCAAGAAACTTGCCTCTTTGCCATCTTTTCGCTGATATCGGCTTGGGGGTCCTGCATGGCTTGCATGTGGGCGGTCTCGCGCTTCAACGCCCCCAGCCGCCGCTCCACCTCGGCCTATAAGGAATACACCTCATCCTTAGTCATCAAGCATGGGCTATAAGTATGACTCACACTGACAATAATTTGATGAGATACAGCCAGCAGCGCAATAAAAACACTCAGCAGTGAACATGCTGTGTGCGAAAGGCAGACAATAGGCTGCAACCAAGGCAACATTACAGACGAAAAATTTGGCGCGTCAGTGAGCAGAGCGCACCTGCACTTCCTGCAGGGTGTGCACCCATTGCTCGTCCCACAGGCTGGAAACTCGCGCCAGCTCATCCACAAACATGCTCGCCTGATCAAGCGCTCCCGGACTGCGCTGCCTCAACGGGTCCAGCACCCTCTGCGCCTCTGCACCCGACCCCCTCTCACCTGCTCAAGGACGCGTCATACTCTGTCTCAGCGCAGCTGTAGGACACTAACATGTCCATGTGAACTTCTTTTCTAAGTTCATTTCGGGCTTTCTGACAGCATTATCTGTGGGAAGGATGTACCAGAGCGGCGTTGGGTTGCCAGGGCTGGGTAGATGACAGCTGAGGGCGAGATGGACTCCAGCCTGATCAAAATGCCAGACACTGACGCTCTCACAGCTTCCTGCAGAGGTCATGCAACAAAGCGTGACTTCTTGACCGAGGTCAAGCTGACTCTTGCACAGGCACCATTATTTCAACACACATGTGTGCAAGCGCTGAACGTACATTTCAAATTGCTCTAAATAGACCAGATGTGCTGCATTTAGATCCATCAGAGAAGTCTGAAGAGTAAGCCCATACACTTGCGATGTTGTGTGGCTGAACAGACCTTTGGGTGGCCCAGGTAAGAGAACAGCTGTGGCGTGACAGCGTGCCACAGGCTGACAGGGACGCAAGCAATGGCTCTGTCAATGGCCCCAACATGGTTCTGTGTCTCGCCCAGCAGATCTGCCTGCACCTGAAACAGCAGAGATCGACATCAAACAATCGGCAACCATGAACATGCTTTTCGGGACGTGCTCAACAAAATCAGGCCGGATATGGCGCGGAACGAAGTGACGGAGACATGATGGGCAAGTGGAAGAGCACCTGCAGAATGCGCAGGAGCGCAGCTATGTGATCTTCTGAGCAGCCTGACTGGCCGCCAGACAGCCCAGCACACTCAAGAGCTGCGCAGTATGCCTGCAAGGCTTCCACTGCATGCTTATCTGAGGCCGCTGCTACTCCTTCGCCAGCTGGCACTTGCCCGCCACTGTGTGCTGTGGCTGGCTCAAGCGAATCCTGCAGCCCTGACTGACCCTCTGCTTCACTTCCCACCCTGGCACGCTGCGCATGCTGTGCAAAAAGCCAGTCAGCGTAGGCCTCCCACGCTTTGCCCGCTATGACAGAGCCCCGCGGCGCGGCCGAGGCAGCAGCAGCAGCGTTCAAGCACTGCGCACGGAAGGCATGGTCTCCAGTTGCCTCGGCTGTTTGCAGCGGCTCTGCGGGGCCGCCAAAGATGTGCGGCGTGCCATCAGAAGTGACTGGATGTGCACGCTCGCGCAGTGCAGTGAGCTCAGCAGGTGGCAGCGTGACAGACCAGGATGCCAGACGCAGGTAGGCCTCCGCGCGCAAGGACCGCCCTGCATTGCGTTGACACTCATTCTTGTCATACGGTTCATCTTCTATTACAGATTTGTGATTAGCGCCCACAGCAGGAAGCACACAACAGCATGCAATGCCCCAATCTGGTGCATGCACTCGTGAGCGCCCACCTGCAGTGTTGCGCTCTGTGCCCATTGCAGTCAGGCTCTGCGACAGTGCAGCAGCCTGGACTGTATGTGTTTCATCAGCTGCATCAGTGCCCAGCAGCAGCAACCGCTCCATGTGCACCCTCAGCATAATTTCCTGATGCATGCCTGCTTCTGTAGCCCGAGCCAATACCCCTGTATTCTCACTCCCCGACTGATTGCTGATCTGCTGCGCTGCCACCCTGTTGAGCAGCCGCGCAGCGACAGCTTCATTGCCGCTGCGCCGCGCAGCCGCCGCAAGATCCAGCAGCAGGCAGCTGCTATGAAGCTGCTCTGAAGCGCTACCACCGCCGCCGCCGCCGGCTGCTACGCGCAGGACGCGCTCTGCCTGAAGCCAAGGCCTGACGTCCGCTGCACGCCCGCCCGTCCCCAGCCTGGAGTTCTCCGCGCTGTCAGGGCCCCCCATCTTGGTGGTGCCGAGTCCCATCAAATGCCGGCTTTGCCAGCTCGGGCCTGCGGCGGCCTGTGCAAGCTGGCTGCTGAGCTGGCGCAGCAGGTCCTGCCGACTCCCGCCCTGCAGGCACGCCTCCACAGACCGGCAGAGCAACGCGGCAAGCCAGCTGTCCGCCAGCAGAGGCGCGGTCGCCGCCATGCCCTCACCGGCAACCAGTGCCAGCCGCGCGCCCAGCCGCTGCTGCTCTGCCCTGATTTCCTCCAGGGCTGCTGCCAGTGCGCTGCTTTGGCCTGGCTGCATAGGTGCTGGACCTTCTTGCACACTGATCTGCACTTCTCCCCGGCTCCTTCGGCTGTCCCTGCCAAGGATCTTCACGCCAGCTCTGATGGAGGATGGCTGGTCCGATACTGCAGCCGGGGCAGCTGCATTTGCTAGAACCTCCGTCCGCACGGCGCCTGGGGGGTATCCAATCTGCAAGGCCACCAGAGCCTTCAAGAGGACTACGTCTGACAGCCCCGCAGATGCGTGCACTTGGCCTGGGACGGATCGAGGGCTGTGCGCAGCTCGGGGAGTGGGAGCTGCTGTGCCTGCGCCCGCCTCCTCGCCGTTCCTTGCACTGCCCGGCGACCAGGTCTTGAAGAGCGCTGCTGCCTTCTCGCTGTCTCCTCGGTCAAGAGCAGCCAGAGTTCGCGTGCACGCTGAGGCGCCTTGCACTGCAACAGGAAACACAATTTCTAATTGCATATTTTGAACATCTCAAAGAAGTGCACAGCCTCACACTTTCCATGACTAGATGCACCATGTGCTCAAACCCACAGATGTCCCACAGGCATAGCCTAGGACCTGACATGTGCCCGACCAGCATTCAAAGCCCCACCTGTCTTGGAGCTGATAGCATCCAACCCGTCCCAGTCGGCAATGGCGGCGTATGCAGCGGCGGCTCTGCTTGACAAGAAGGCGACGCCCTCCGCAGTCATGGATGCTCCCGCAGAGCGCAGGGTCTCCAAATAGATGCGCGCTGCTGCCTGGTAGCTGCCGCCTGCCTCGAGCCGCATGCCCTCCATCCAACCCAGCGCTGCCGGCTGGACCCTGCAATTGGACACCAATCACGTCAACACAATGTAAATTCATGCAGAAGAACTTCAATTGATCAACAATGGTGCTGTTTGCCGTTGAGGAGTGTGAGTTTGTGTAACAATGACATGAAGCTGACAGCACGTGTACCCCTCACAAGGAGCATATGCAGCCCACCTGGTGGTTGAAAACAGCTCAGCAAACGCCTCAAGGACGTGCGCATGGAGACCCCCAATAGTGTCTGGGTCGCCCATCGCGCACAGCGCACCGCACGCCTGGCGCAGCGTGCTCAGCACCTCGCGGCTGAGCTTCTCCAGCACGTCAGCGCCCGCCGCCGTCTGCCTGGACTTTTGATGCGCTCCCGCCTTTCTGGAGGCCGAAGGAGGCCGGCTGGCGGGCTCTGGCCGGGCGGCAGCGGCGGCCTCCTCGGAGCGTTGCAGGATGCGCGGCTGCACCGCTAGCGGCACAGCTTTCCGGCCGGCCTGCTTCTTCCTGTCCGGCTTGGAAGCCTGCCTGCTGCGCTTCTTCTCCTGCGCGCTTGGCTTCGCCTTGCTTGCTGCCGACGCCGCGCCGAGGGAGGGCCAGTCAGCCTGACCGAGCGGGGCCGCAGGCTCAGCGGCTGACGCGGCCGCCGGAGGCTGCGGCGCTGCGGGGGAAGGTTTGGGGGCCGGCGGCTCGGCAGGCGCGGGGGCAAGCAGTGCCGAGGCCTGCCGCTGCAGATGGAGCAGGTGCATGCATGCGTGGAATGCCGTGGCGCTGTGCTTTTCGCATGCGGCTGCCAGCCGCAGCTGCAGCGGTCGCATGCGCGCAAACCACTCCTCGCAGGCCTGCAAAATCCGTACTCTGGTCTCAGTTCCCCGAAAATTTCTACATTGAAGCACGTCTGCTTTGCCTGATGCAAGCGCAATGTCCCCTCATGCATGTTGTTCTGTCTCAGCAGAAAGCACTTTGGTCCGTAGAAGGGAAGAGTTCCCAAAGGAGAGCTTACCTTGCAGTTCTTGCCGACAGAGAAGAAAGATGTGGCTGGCAGAGGCGGCGGTGGGAGAGCGCAGCTGCCCTCGCATGCAGCCTGCACCTGGCGCTCCAGGGCAAACATGAACTCCAGGAAGAGCCACGTCGCCTGCAGCTCCGTTGCAGAACCTGCACATATACCATTTGATTTTCACTCGGCGTATGATTCCGCAGCCGTTGCAAAAATTGTGAAATTGCCAAGCTCAGCAAAGGTAGTGACAGCAACCTAGCAGGCATGTGCAGGACGGTGCTCGCAGGGTGCAAGACCACCGGGAGGCTCACCCTTGTGTGGTGAACTGGCATTGCTGAGCACCCTCGTCAGTCTTGTCTGGAGCCCTGCCTCCAGCGCAGCGAAGGTCTGAGCCGGGCCGCCGTAGTGCGTGCGCATTCGTGCAGACACGCACTGGCGAGCGCTCTCCTCCACTGCCCAGCAGGCCGCCTCTGCCTGGCTTGTTGGGCTCCTGCAGATCCACAATACCCATCAAACATCAGTGGTGCTTAAAGCTCTTGTATTTGAGGCTTTGCAGTATGGCAGCTGCAGCAACACCCTCAGCTAAAGCTGCTGTTGAGGCCGTCGTTCCCACTACTGACTTGTTGTTGAATCGTACTTTTCACACATGTCAGGCAGTCCTTGCAACGGGAGCCAATAATTCTTGGAGAAAACGTGTGTGCAGAGGGGAATGCACAGTTCAGATGCACAACAGCAGGATACTCCTGCCAATAGCGTTGAAAAGGGAACACACTAATGTTTGCCTCACCTCAGTTCGGCAGGTTGTGTGTCGTCCAGGCCAGGGCAGGCGCCAGGAAGCTGCGCCAGCCACTCCATCATGTCGGCCTCCTTCCTGACAGGCGCCGCATCGGCCGCGGCCGGCCGCGTCAGAATGGTGGGACCGGCCTGCGGCCTGATCAGGAGTGCAGGGCTGGCCTGGGTGAACCAGTCCAGCACTCGCGTCAGCTGCTGCGGCTGCAGAAGCTGCCGCTGCGGCTGCTGCGCCAGCTCAGCGCGCCACGATGGCCGCACCTGCGCGCTTGCATCCTGATGAGGAGGTGGTTCATTTCTTTAGACGATAGCATGCAAAGGACCACTTTGAGAGGAGGGCGCACATGCTGCAGTAGAGGCAGGCAACAGGAGGAACTAGTGCCAATGCCGGTGGCAATGCGCGCTAGGTGGGGCTCAAGCTCCGACAGGAGGCCACGCCACGGCCCCGCCACCGCCGCTGAGACGTCCGAAAGCCGCTCACAAGCTGTCTGGCCCAGCTTCACCAGCTGCTCATCAGTCACACAAGCCCATACACCGCTGTCAATCATGTCTGGTGCACCAGGGACAGCCGCCTGATCAGGAGCGGTGTCGGCTGCGCTTGCAGGTGCGAGCAGCCGCCGCGCATAGTCAGCGGCTCTCCTGCGCAGTGACTCATCCCCGGCCTCCGCGAGCGACAGCACTGCTTGGACTGCAGCCTCACAGAAGCTAGTCGCTGGCATGCGGCCTTCCTGGCTTTCACTGCTGCAGACAGATGCTCCATCCGCCTGGCTGAGCTGCAACTGCTGCACAGAATACCCCAAGCTCTCCTCTGCTGCGCCAATGCCCTCTCCCAATCCACTGTCGTCCAGGCTGCTCAGCTTCTGATGCTGTGAGACGGCCGCTGCTGATGCGACCAGCCATTCTGCGGCAAGAAGGCGAACAGCTGGACCGTCGGCTCGGGTGGCTAGGTTGTACCAAAATGACAAAGCCTGGCTGAGGCTGACTGATCCTGGTTTTTGCCGGCTGTCTGGGGACGATATGGACTGTAGCAGCCTGAGCACTTCCACCCAGAGCAGCGGCTCTTTCTGCATGGAGCCTGTGCATGCACAACAGCAGGCACCGGTTAAGGAGGGCCTCTGACTTTGACTGTCCATCACTTAGAAGAGCAAAAACCAGAAGATTGCATGATGTTGTATCATGAGGCCAATGGAAGAAGTACCTGAAGGCTTGCAGATGTCATGAAGGCCTGCCCAAATTGCTGCAGCATGTAGGTTCTGCACTGCCACCTGGCTCAACAAGCTCAGGCTATACCTTGCCATTGTCACACCTTCCTTAAACGCACCTGGCAGCAACAGGACTGTGTCAGAGCTAAGCACCTTCCTTCGAATGCACGAGTGCTGCAGAAAGGGGTTGAAGTCGTTTGCAGGCGAAGGTTGCATGCCACAAAGTATAATTAAGATAAGTGTTGCCACCATCATACCTTCCTTGGTGACCCTGCTCAGCTGTGCACGGAGATCTGACAGGACCAAACGCAGCGCTGCTTCTCCTGTGATATGACTAGGGTGTTGCAGCAAGCTGAGGTAGGTGTGAGTGACGAGCTTGACCACTGCTATATCGCCCTCGCCCCTATGCCATTCACCAGAAACCGCACGTCAGTCCATTCACAGTCATCCACAAAGATCAACATAGCAGGGAATCTTCGCAAGGCCTTCCTCATGGAGGTTCACTGCGTACTGTCCGTTCACCTGAGTTGGGAGAAGGAAGAATTGGAGTCCAGGAGCAGATCCAGCATGCTCTCAGGGATGCGGGTGTTGCTGGAAGCGCCATGCATCTCCAGCATTGTGGTGCTGAGACGCAGTGCCGCCAGCAAGTCAGCGCTCTTTGCCCAGCTACCAGCGCCCTTCAGCACTTCCAGCACCACGCCGAGCACTGCCATGCAGGACGCTGTCACCGCGGCAGTGCCTGTCTCTGTGTCCGTTTGAATGGCAGACGGCTGACTGCTGTCTAATGCTGTGGCTGAGGGGTCCCCACGGTGTGCAGACATGCTGTCTGTGGCCTCGTGACCTATCACGCTGTTCATGTGTTGTCCCGCTTTCACACTACTGGTCTGTCCCCCTCTTATCGCTGCTTTGGGAGCAGGGTCTGTCTGGCCATGGCTGTTCGGTGAGTGGCCATGCTGCTGGGCAGCTCGGTGCTCTGGCATGGCCACTGTGAAGATGATGCGCAGGAAATGGCACATCTCCTCTGCAGTCGAGGGTATGCTATCAAACAGCGCGTGATACTGGCGTGTTGCTGACTGCATTGCTCTGGCCAGACGTTGGAGCAGCTCTGCAACCAGCAACATAATAAGTGAGACCATATTGCGTTGTCGACATGCGCTCAGAAATACACAACAGCACATTAGTATAAAAACCCAAACTATTTGAAGTTTTCAAGGCATGTTTAGCTCACCATGTATGCATGGGAGAGCTGATTCGCCGCAAGCTTGGATAATGGCTGTGATGCAGCTGCTGAGAGACAGAAGCTGCCTCAGGTTATCGATGGTGATTGCGTCATCCTGTGCTGAGCTAAGCCTCTCCACATCTGAGACCAGGTTCTTGAGCAGGCCCGCTGCAAAGCTCTGCTGCTCCTGCCAGATGGGCTGGAAGCTCATGAACGCCGTGTACAGGAGCGGCCTGCATGCATGCACGTTTTTATTTTATATCCTCTGTGGTTGCAGAAATCTCGATTTTGTAGTGATGTTGACCAGAAATGATACAAATGTGACAAAAATTGAGGCAAAGGACAAGGCAATCACCTTGTAGCATCAGGTAGGGTGGGCTCCAGGGACCACCCCAGCAGGAGGTCAACGAGATCCTTGAAGTGAGCGCGCAGCGAATGGATGTGACGAGCAGCCTGCATGCATGCACAGCACGCAATCTGCAGGACACCAATCTCTCATTATCACTCGATGAAACCAACAAAGATCAGGATGCAGCACTGTCAGTAGGTACACAAAGGTACAGCTTGCCTGGGTGAGGAGAGCCAAGAGAGGCGCGAGCAGGTGCACAGAGAGATCGTCTGATTCCAGCAGAGCCTGGCAGGCCTCGAACAATGCATGACCATAGCGTGACACTGTCTTGTCGTCACACAGCTGCAGCCCCTCCCTCAGTGCGGTCATGACCCAGTACATGGACCCCACATCTGCTGCCTTGCTGCTGTCGGCACTACCCTGCTGTGCGCTCAGGAGCGGTAGCGCCCAGTCAAACAGCAATCCTGGTGATACACCTGCATGCATGTGCTTGGGTGTAAGACATGCATGCCCTCTGCAATTGCCTTCCACATGCATGCTCTCTGCAAGAGCCCCCCACATCGACCAAGGAAGGTGAGAGACGAGGTCAAGAAGCATTATTGATTTTGTGGACCTGCTCACCTGCCACAATGGTGACTCATTACTTGGACCCTTTTTCATGGCAAATGCAGACAAGGGCTGAAGTGCTTCGCTTGCCTGATCTGGCGCCCTGGCGGGTGGCCATGGCCCCCAGCATGCCCACAACAGGTGCGGCCATCTGCCGCACATCTGCATTGCTGTCTCCGAGCAGGCCCAGTGTTTGGGGCCACATCACCGGCAACAAGCCATGCACTGTGCTGGCCGTGCTCTTGTCATCATCCCTCAGCACCTTCTGCAACTCCTTCAACGCCGCCACTCTGCGCGCCTGCTGCATGGAAGCTCGTCTGAGCTGCGCTGAGCTCTGCGCTCTCATCTTGTGGAACATGCTGGATGCAGTAATGTGGTTGTATGATGCGACAAGTCGAGAGGTCAGTTTGATCGATATTTTAGATGCCTCTAAGACTACAATAGGTATTGAGATAGCAGGCATGTGGGGAGAAATGCACCGAATTGCTGGAAGGTGTAATGGCTGTGCGGACGAGGCTCTGGATTGGGTTCTTCTGGGTTGGATCAATGGGTGAGGCTGGCTGCTCTGAGGGCAGCTGCTTCCTCCTGCCTGTCGGTCTAGCCCTCCCTCCCCTGCCTCTGCGTCCTGGATTGTCCATGAGACCTGGAAGAAGCCTTCCGCTAGCTTCCAGTATCCAGGGGCGCTTGATGTGAATTAAGTCCTGCAGCACCATTGTGATGCCATTGACGAAGACCATGAACTTTCCACTTAAATTTATGTGTTCCCCTGCAACACCGTCCCTGACTCCATGGTACTGAATGCAAAAGCAGCAGAAGGGTACCTCGACTCAGACTACAATCACATCAGCCTCCCAACCAGATCTCCAGGTCGCACAGCCTGATGGCTGTGTACCGGTGTATAGGATACGGCCCTTTGGCGATTGTGTTACCACACTGGGCCAAGTCCTTGGCTGCTGCCATGGCCTTGGGACAGGTGGCAAGCCTTCTGGAGCCTTGGAACCAATTTGATCGTCCTGTGCAAATTCACAAGAAATTGTCGTACAACATTCATATCCGCATTGGCAGGCCGTTTGCTTGTAAAGAATCCTATTGTGCTTGTCATGCAACTACTTCTACTACATCTGCTCAATTGTGCAATGCTAAAATACCAATGTATGGACACTACAAAGATATTTTTCATATTTTGGGGCCTGTATAAAGCCAACAAGACTGAATCTTAATCCATTGGAGTCAATATAGCAACCATGCCTTACCTCGTCAGTCTCTCTTGGAGGCTTTGCACCCCTTTAATCCCTCATTTCAGTACTGCGCACAATAATTCGTATCCACGACCTTGCTTTAGACGTTCGCTACACCGGATCGGTCATCTCTTTAGATAAAGTTGCAATGGGAGAGCATCGCACTGCATGCCAGAGGGCGCACTGCCAAAAATCAATCGGCGTTCCAGGTCCTTGAGCGGTCACGACAGATGCTTTCTCCTCACTCAAGAATTTATTTTGACTCTTACAATAAAGAGAATTACTTGACAACCCCTGCTCTATTCCTCCTTCATCCCCATCTTGAGGAGAGCGATCAGGCACTGGCCGCATCAGTTATCGCACCATCAGGCTCCCCTTTGCACCAATACTCAGCAGAGCAGGCACCAGACAAGTACAAAATAGTCCAAATAATATATTGTTGTTAGATCCAACATCAGATCAACAAGTGCGTGAGGCATTCCCAGGCTAGGAAAGCCTACACATTCCACAGTACAACCTTGGTAAGAGATCTTCCTCGCTAAGATTGTAGATGGATAACACATACAATTTTTATCTTGCTACTGGTCATCTGCTCAAGAGAAGTTCAGCGGATCATGGTCACCTGTTCTCATGTCCCACCTGGAGTGCCCAAGTCGCTCAACAATATGCAGGTGCATTCGCTCCAGCAATAATGCCGCCCAAGGAGCGGCAGGCAATAGACCTCAACACTCTGGATGCGCAGCAGCTTAGCAGCATCAGGGAACAGCTCGAGGAGGAGATACAGAGCTTTGTGCGGAGCTCTGTAACGCTCCAGAAGGCAGCCGGGGAGTTTGGGAGTTCTGGGCGAGCAGTTGAGGCTCTGAGTGAGCAGAAAGAGGGTGCGCACATTTGGCTTTAGCATCGAGCCTGTCAATGCATTTTGCAGCCCAGAGAAGACTACCAACCAGCTGGCATGTGTGCCCTCAGGCCAGCCTATGATGCTCCCTTTGACGAGCTCCCTGTACGTGGCTGGAACGCTTGCTTCCACAGACTCTGTGCTGATCGACATTGGCACAGGCTACTACATGGAGGTGAGAGCTTCCAGTTGATCAGACTTGTCTTCATGATAAAAGCTCTAAAATGCAAAGCCAGACCTGACAGCAGGACTCCGTTTGGGATTCAACCCTTTGCTCTTTCGACATGCATGTTTGTATATACGGAACTTTTGCTAATGTGTGCTCTTGCTGTCGCAGAAAAGCACAGAAGAAGGGGTGGATTACTGCAAGCGCAAGGTGATGTACCTGAAGGAGCAGCTGGATCAGATAGGGACGGCCATCAAGGACAAGCAGCGGATACTTACAGAGGTCAATGGAGCTCTTGGCAGGAAGGTGCAACAGACACAGCAGACTTGAGAGTCTCCTGTAGCTAACACAGCAGAAATGCTGACGATGAATGATACAAAGAACACATGCAGCTTGCTGTTGTCAAGTTGTCAAAAAGTTCCACTGCACATCTTCCATACGACGTTGGAACATCATATCAATGGGTAATGCTGCATGGAGGATAATGCCAAGGTCAAGTTGCTTTGTGAACATTGATGGCATACTGTACTGCTTCAAGACCCCCATCCATCTCCATGTAAATCAGTGAGTTCTGCGCTGCTCCATGCGTCATCAGAAGATTGTCTTGAGGAAGTCCATGTCCAGGCTGCGCATGAAGGGCAGGGCTGGGGCCTTCATCATCTCCTGAAGCTGCTTCTCAGGGCTCCTCCAGATCACCTCCAACTGCACATGACACAGCGCTGAGCTTGCTGCAAGCAGCTTCCAAATCTAATTGTGACAGAAGCGACCAAGGAGTTGCAGCTGCACAAATTCAGTGCCTTTTCTGTCTTTTGTATTTTCTTTTATGTCAAAAGCGCTGTGACTGTGCGCATGTTGAAAGGTGAAGCAAAGGCAAAACGTCGCAGGCTTGTACCTCATCTTCTTGAATGATGAGCTGCTCAGCAATCGCAGAAGAGAGGTCCAACTCTGCTCTGCAGTCATCGCCATGTCTGATGGCTGACACTGTAGCAGATGGCAGAGAGTGGTGTTTCTTCTGCTCTGCGTTTCTGCTGGTCGTGCTGATGAAGTCTTCCATCTTGGTCTGCCTCAGTACCTTGTCTGCCTTCGTCTTGCCAATGCATGTTGGAGGCTTCACCATATTGACTGCCTTTGCTCCCCTGCATGCATGAGAGCTACTTATAATAATGCACGTCAGTAGCATGTGAGATGTTTGTATCAGTGTGTACAAAAGATTTAGTTGAGATGCAAGAAATATGGCAGACATGTGACAAGGTGACTGTACGAGCAAGCCACCCACCTTTGCTCTGACCCAACAAAAGGTCTCTTTTCTTCACTGCATACAGCATGCTGCCAATCTTGCGCAGAAGATTGGCTGCAGCATGGCAGAATGCCTTTGAGCTGTCGGGGTACCAGGTGAGCTTGCAGGGCAAGGACTGTGTCCCTGGTCACAAGAGGCTGGACGGCCATGCTGATCGCCTTGGGGCATTGGAGCTGATGTAAATCTGCATGTAGGAACAAAGGATGGTCGCAGCAGCATTGATGCATAGGAGGAAATAGAATGCATGGGTCCTCTTCATGCATTGCGGGGTCTGCAGACTGCACCTCCTGAAGCACATGCAGAGACAATTTGAGCATCATCCTTCAAGGACCATGAGACATCGTCCAGTGATCTAGGGCACCATCCAGGAAGAGCTTCGCCTTTCTCATCGCTTATTTCTGCAGCAGGTTTGGGTTCCTGCAACAGAAACACAGCATGCTGATGCATACTTAGAGCATCCCATGTTTCTGCATGGGTCTGGTCCTGTGAGAATCTGATCATACGCGAGAATCTACCTCAAATCCACGCCTTCGCAAGTCCCTGGTCGTGATGGAAGGGCAAGCCAGTAGGCGCCTTCTCTTGGCAGCAGGCTTTGCGGCAACTGGAGCAGGGGGCTCCAAGGCTTCTGTCGTGGCTGTTACGACTGGTCGCACATCATCCTTTGCTCTGAATGAAGGTGGCTTGAATGCACGCTTCTTCACGGATAAGCTTCCAGCGAACATGTGCACGATGGCAAAAGATAAAGAAACGTTCAGCTGTTTTTTGTCTCAAACAATCCCACGCAGTGTATACTGTTCCCGATAGTAAGACTTAGATATGTTCACACGAGCGATTGGTGAAATGTCTGGGAATCCTATTGATATCCAAGGAGCCATATATGGCTAAGCCTGATCAGGCACCTTTGCATGCATAGTCTCAGAAGGCGATCGTGAAATCAAAGGGCAATATTTCAGCATATACAGAGAAACTCAGATCAACACTCTCCATTTATTCCAATCACGCGAGTTCGACAGTTGAACAACCTCAAAATTGCCTGGATGTACACCCCTGCCACCAATGCCCTGTTTTTCAGGCCCGCGAGCCACGAAGATTTTGAAAGGATTGCAACTCTGGAGGTGAACGCCTTTCTCTTAATTGGTATCTCAAAATTTGGATGTTTGCAGTCTCAGTCTGAGTTGACCAATATGAGAAGCTTATGCACCCACTCTGATCTGCGATCTGTGTGCGATCTGTATGCGATCTGTGTTGTGAACGCAGGAGAAAGGCTATCCTGCAGATGAAGCTGCATCAAGAGAGAGTTTACAGTTCAGATTGTCAGAGGGTGAGTTGACAGCCACGTTATTTTGGTTGACGAGCCTGCAGTGAATGGCACCTTTGAGGAATACTTAACTTACAAATCTATTGTGCTCTTGAGCTCAATTGACTTGTATTTATATTGCAGCTAGCGAAGCCTTCATGGTGGCCGTCCAGCAGCGGCTGCAGTCGGGAGAGGATGCTGAGAGCAGCCGCTCTGCGCCTGCCGATGAGATTGTGGGCTTCATCTGCGGGACATTGACCACGGCAGAGAGACTCACACATCATTCCATGCAGCATCACGAGAAGGATGGGCAGACCCTGTGTATACACTCGGTGAGAGTTCTGTGACTGCTTATAAACGTCCTGAAAATTACTTGATGGATGCTGGAGACATCTATTTGTCGCTCTTCTTCCTCTAGAGATGACGAACCCTAAGGGCAATTGTTGGTGCTCAGGTATGTGTGGACGAAAGCCAGAGGAGGAAGGGAATTGCCTCACGCATGCTGAAAGGTTATGTGTTGATCATCCAGAACACACTTCCAGAGCTGACCACGGTGCGGCTAATCTGCAAGAAAGACCTCATAGGGCTCTACTCTGCAGCTGGTTTCGAGATGGTAGGTCCCTCCGATGTGGAGCATGGAAAGGACCCCTGGTATGAGATGAAACTGAAGCTTTCCATGCAGTGAGTGCTTAGATTCATACTGACCGCCCTGATGGCCTGAGATCCTTGATCATTGATGATCAAGGCTGACGCGCTGCCACAAGATTTTGAGAGACGATAGGCACAGCACCAGGAATGTCGCACTAGGTTTGCACTGAATCCAGATCTCGGCAAAGAGTCCAAATTTATTGCTGAACGGAAAATTTTGAAAATTTTCAATGTTGCTGACCACTGCAATGAAGCACGTGCTGTCACGAGCACACAGCATCTTGACACACCTGAGTGTAGACTGTGCTTTGGTGTGTCGGGTGTTCCTTGTAAGACAAGAAAAGAAGATTCTTGGGAGTGACGCGCGCAACTGGCTTGATAACTGTCAAGACCGATCGATCTTAAAACTCTAGATCACCCATCGAGTGCACAAGATTACTGATACAAGAGCTCAACTTGCGATCGCAATTGGTCAAAGTAAAGGTGCGTGTCATTAAAGCTTAAGATTAGTCTTGACGCAAATTCTGAAGAGGGAGCGGATCAATCGTTGGATACTGACGACGGGCTTGCACCTTACGTCACTTCACTTTTGCCAATACGACGCTTTAAGACGCTCAAGCGCATCACGTAAATTGTGAGGATTGATATTATTCCCATCTTATATTGCAGCGAGCCCTAAGTAGTTGGTATTGCCCTCCTTCTGGTTCCGATGGCTACAATCCGTGCAGCTGCGCAGACCGGTTCTAAGCTGCGCATCGGCGTCATAGGTGACCTCTTACGCGATATTTCACATGCTTTTCTTGTTGGCTGAACCCATTTCACACGAATATCCCCTGGGTCAAAGACAAAGCTCCTAGATGATCATTACTGCAACCTAGGAAAGAGCATGTGACAGTGAGCAGGCAGCCTTGAGAGCACACCCCTCGTAAACGTCTTCATTAACATTGTGATGCTGTACTCTGGTCCAAAAGGGGATCCTTGCCAAGCATCCCAGTCCTCCGTGGTGCATAGGTGCTGGGGGCAACACCAAGCTGCACCACATTCCCAAGCTGCAAGCCATTCCTGGCGTGGAAGTAGTGGCCATTGCCAACCGCACTGCTGAGTCCGCTGCAAAGGCTGGGGAGCCCTTTGGCATCACCAAGGTTGGTACCCTCCTCATGCATGCCCTGCTTTGACTCGATGATGGACCTGCCTAATTCACTTAGGCAGCTGCCCCTGCGTCAATATTGCTGGCTTGCAAAGAAGTGCCAACACACTTCATTTGCTCAGAAATGCACTCTGGTTGCCACTGCATGCCATCTTCAGTCGAGTCTGCATGTGCAGGCAACTGGGAACTGGCGAGAGATTATTGAGGATGCAACCATCGATGCAGTGGTGATTGGAACCTGGCCCTATCTGCACAGGACCCTAGTGCTGGAGGCCCTGAGGGCAGGCAAGCATGTCTTGACTGAAGCTCGCCTGGTGAGCCTTGCACCATCCTCTTAAATACCCCCGCAAGCCTGCCACCTGACTTGACGCGCCAAACAGCATGTAAAAATTTGCAAAAATGTGTCCTGGGCCATTATTCACATGATGTCACGACAATGTCAGAAATGATTAAGTACGGTACATGAGGTGTTTCTGGTGTTGTTCCACTCTGAGCCTTACATGTGCCTCTCAAGCAAACATCAGGAGACTGCCTGTGCTAATTCAGTGGAGGGCTTGTTGCAGGCAATGAATGCAGCAGAGGCACGGGAGCTGTATCAGGAGTCTCTGAGGCACCCCCACCTGGTCACCCAAGTGGTGCCTTCGCCCATCACCTTCAAGTATGATGCCACCATCCAGGACATCATACAGAAAAAGCTCCTGGGCGAGCTGGTCTATGTGGAGGTCTGCTCACCTTCCCCAGACTTCCAGCTACATTGCCAACTTAATCTGAGCGTAGAGTGAGCATCTCTGAAGCCTAAATTAGCACATCAGCTCTGGAACATCTCCCTACTGTAATGGCAAGCATCCTGTGCTGTCTTTTACTTCATGTGTCCAAAAAACATTCTATTGATGATGGACATTGCTTGCTGCTTGCAGGTGAAGGGTCTATCGGGGACGTTTGCTGAGGCAGAGGGGAGCCCGCTGACTTGGCGGACAGACAGCAGATACAGTGGCCTCAACATTGGCGTCATGGGCATCTTCTATGAGCCCCTGCAAAGGTGCATTGCCACATTTGTCCCTGCATTACCACTGTTCATCTTCCAAGTTTCTACAAGCTGAGCAGCTGCAGGGGTTGAATCAACAGACAATGTGACTTATTGTCCGTCTGCAGAGTCTTGACTGATAATATAGTTTATGCAAGGATGGGGCATGTCTTGAGCGGACTGAGACCAAGCCCTGAATCACCTGAATCACGAACAGGAGCTATGTATCTTAATGCCCTTTCCTCCTTTCTATGGGAGGTCAATTGAATTGATGCGCTGCAGGTGGCTGGGGGATGCTGCCAGCGTGAGTGCAAAGGCAAAGACTGTGGTGAAGGTACGCACAGATGGGGACACTGGGGAGCCGACAGCTGTCCGCATTCCCGACCACCTAGACATCCTGGTGTGTCCATCCCTCCATTTTTCAGAAGAGTTGTGATGCCTGTGTTCATTAGGACATGCAGGTGCATATGCGATAATAATTCTGGGGAGTTGCTCACCTGCATGGTTCAGACAATCCCGGTCTAGGCCACAGGCTCAGTTCAGTTCTGAGCATGCATGCATGAATGTAGGCAGAGCTGGCCATTGGGGCACAAGCACACCTGGTCTTCAGCAGCGTGATAGGTGAGTGATGCCCTCACCATATTTACTGCATGCACGGCGAATTCTTTCTGCAGTCGTGCCACATTGAAGCACAGTTTCCACTTAGCAGTTTTTATGGGCTTAGAGATTAAGCACGACGTGCAGCCCAAGAGGTGGTAGCTTGCAATTTGATAACGAGTGTTTATATACACTGTGCCCATGGTTGATTGGGTCCTGCTTGGATCTGGCGAGTCCAACGTTGGGTAGGAACTGTGGCAATCTCAACCTGCAGCTTGTCTGCAGACGCACCTCGCCCGTGGCAGGGAAAGTGTGCAATAATAATGATTATATCAGTATGTTGTGGACAGGTGCTGTGCCAGGGCAGTTGAAGGGCTACACACTGTATGGCAAGGAGGGAACGCTGCACTTGGACCTGGACGCCGGCAAGCTGCTGCTGGGTCTTAAGTCAGAGGGCGGCCAGCTCAAGGAAGTCAGCATCGATGCTGACAAGGCAGCTTCATGGCGGGTGCGCACACACTGATGATGCATTTTGCTGGATGAGCCTAATCTGCTCAATGCATGCACAAGCAGCCAGCCTCGGCAATAAGTAGCCTAGTAAAGCCAAAGCTGTGCAATGTTTTTCTTACTTCTGCTGGCATCTACCTGATTATGTGGCCATGGACATAGCACTCCTCTGGGGAAGGATGGAATGATGGGATTTATCTCACAAGTGGCACATGTGGCTTGGCTTGATCTTGCATTACAGATTCATGATCCTTTGCGCAGGTGGAAGAGGAGTTTGTGGGAGCTATCAGGGGCACAGAAAAGGTCAGGCGCACAACCTTTGAGCAGGGAGTGAGATACATGGAGTTTACTGAGGCAGTCACCCGTAGCTACCAAAACGGGACCACAGTCAGGCTCCCGCTTGTTCCTTAATATATTTGGCGAGCATCTCAAAGATTGAAGATGAGCTCAGCAGACTAATTCCCAATGTATGTCTGAGGTCAAGTGTTGAGCGAAGCGGCATTTAATGCAAGGTGCATGCTTGAATCTGTGACGTGGCTGTAACGGCGTACATGCAGATAGTGACCAACCGTTGCACGTTTCAAAAAATCTTCACCCATGTGCAGTGAACCCTACTGCTAGAGCATGTGGGTCTTTGTATGTTGGGTGTTAACATTATCTTGTTGGCCCCGCCTGGCGGGGGGCCGTGTAAATACTGAGCACTGTGCCCACGATTGATTGGGTCTTGCTCTGATCTGGCGAGTCCAACAAGGGGTAGGATTGTGGCAGCCGTTTTCTACATCTGTGCAGGACGTGCTTTGCCTTCTGGCAGAAAAAGCGTGTAGTAATAATTTAAAACAATATCATAAAATTATGAGAAAAACCATAAATCTGACATTACCCTTGTCCCCTAGATTATCAGGGGTTTAGGGAAACCGAACGACACTGCACGTTCTGGAAGTGAGCCAAACCATATATTTTTCACTTCATCTTTCTCCTGGAATCGATAAATATTTGGTTCAGCGTTATTGCTTGAGTAAGAAGAGAAGCCAGAAGAGCAGTCATCCATTTTCATATTTACAGGTGCAAGTGGTCACGAGCGTACACCTTTCCCGCTGTGTCTGCTGCGTCGGCGGAGCTCTGTGTGATCTTTTGGAACTGTGGCCATAGAGAGAAACAAATTAAAGGGTGCAGCTGCCTCCAATCTTCAAAAGTAAAGTAGCCATACTGTCTGGAACTGCTCCTCGAGTCCCATTTTTTGGAGACTCAGCAACTTTGTGTGCTTGTAGTAACTGTTGTGGTTGGAAAAGCAACTTGTAATGCCATTGATTGATGTTCGCAGTGTACTTGCTCCTGCGCCAGGTACGTTTCTCTGCAGTTGAGAATTAAAGTCCAACTCAAATCATTCGCAAGTGGAGTGCAGATGCACAGCAGAAGTGCCTGGAAGCAGAGTGCCTTCAATGTGTACTTTGGCTGTTTTGTGCAGAATCGCGGCTGAGCAATGCACCGCAGCTGCACAAAGTGACGGACACTCTTAGCCTGCTGGTAGACAGCAATGGCGAGAAAATTTTCGTCGGCGGATTTCCACTGTTTCTCATCGATGAAAATGGCACTCTGGTCCAGTCACTGGAGAAATGGCTGGAAATCTTCGTGAAGTGTCTTGGGAACACTGGCAACTCCCTGCTGCCAGGCCTCTTCATAAATGGGCTGATAAAGGTAAGCAAATTCATCAATGCAAGACATAGCCGGTCTTGTCATGATTTGGCAGTCCTGCTGTCAAGAGATGAACCCCCCTCTCCAAACAGCATTTTTTGTATGTTCATTGCAAATCTGACGTAATGCACTTTCAGCACCGGCCATCCGGCTCTGCAGCTCTTTTTTGAAGGTCACGGTGGACACACATGCTTGCAGTGGAGACAACTTTCACTGCCACATTCTCATCTTATGATAGTACAAATACTTTAATAAGGGGTAGGAATCCTACCGTAGGATTGTGGCAGCCTTTGACTGCAGCTTGTCTGCAAGATGAGCCTTGCCTCTAGGCAGAAATAGCGAGTAATGACAATGATTACAGTAATACATTTTCAACGGTGTGTGCATGCAGACCGGCAAGTCAAACATGCTCAACATGGTCCTCCCAGCAGTGCTGCGTCGCCACCAAAACTTTGGAGTGGGGGGAGATAATGAGCTGCTGATCTGCCGCCTTGACTTTGATGACATCGCCACCGGACAGACATACTCGCATGCCCTGCGTCGATTCGCGACAGCGCTGCTGAATTGGGCTGCTGGCGGCGAGGTGATACCCTCATCATTGACTGTGCCAATCTGCCATCCACTTGCCACCGTGAGGGTGCCGAGAAATTGTGCATTTGCTTGAGACTGACACGTCTGGAACGGTGTTGCTACAGGCTTCAGATCATCAGCTTTTGAGGATGAGCGTTTCTGAGGAGCGCGTGGAAGGAGAAATTGTCGAAATCATTCAGCAGCTGCCTCGCCCTACCATCTTTCTCTGTGACGAGGTCCGGTCGGGTCATACCATTGCACTGCATTATCTCGACAAAAACCTTAAAAAACAAATAATTGCTGCGCGGAAAGATGCGCTTTCTTGACAAAGTGGGCATGCATATGTCTACTCTGGCTTGGAAATGCAAACATTTTCTGGTGCAGTTGCAAGCCTGGTTTCTGCGTGAGAAAGAGGATGCCGATCGTGCGCGCAACCTCTGGAGGATTCTAGTCAACAAATCGCCAGACACAGTGGTCTTTGCATTCTCTGGCGGCAGCATGTGCTCGGTGGGGGCAAATGTGTCTGAAGGGGGGGCTGCCATGTCAGAAGCAACTGTGCCCTTTGACATCGGCAAGCTCCTGCGCATCAGCCGCGGCAGCATGCCTGCTTCCATCAGCGATGCAGCTGCAGCAGAGACCTGGGCCCATATGCAGGTAGTTCTTATTGTTATTGTTACTATTATTATGATCATTTCTATGAAATACTTACTGTTACTGTTCATACTATTCCCTGGTAGAGGCAAGGTACGTCTGCACACAAGGTGCGTGTACCGACTGCCAAAATCCTTCCCCTTTTTTGGAATTGCCATATCCAAGCAAGACGCACGCAACCGTGGTTGTATGTGCGCTGAAAATCCCCTATCAGGACTGATGGTCTTCCACGACCTTACAATGAGTCAGGATGTTGGTGACGAGGGACATGGGTTGGATTCCTACAGGTGGCATGTGCGGGGATGCCAGCAGAGTTTGGCATGTTCATGTACGGGAGACTGCCTGCCATGCAAGTCTCCTGCTGCCAGGACTACATCAGGCGCATTCGAAGCCCGAATGCCCCGGCGGAACTGCTGGCTTTTGTGCAGGAATTTGAGATCAACAGCCTGCTTGTAGAGGTGCCTTTCTGTTCACCATTCTCTGCATGCTCAGCACACTGTGCTTTGACAGAAGGCGTGGGAGGCTGTAGCCTTTACCTGAAATTCCATGCACGAATTCCCTATTGTCATCTGACAATTTTGCTCTGTCTGCTGGAATGCACAACATCAATGAACTTCATAACATTCTTGTTTGCGTAGGTTGCAAAGGACCTGCTGCCTGTCTTGAGGATGCTGCCTACAAGCGCACATGACCACTTGTTGAGGCTCGCGAAGGGTGAGGGGGTCCCCTTGGGGGTTCTGAACTACACGATCCTCCAGCTGCTGCGCCCCTGCCTGTCAGTGCGTGAGGATCCTTGCAGCATGCACACTGTACGCCTGAGCGCACCCTGGCATGCACCCCTTTTCCAGGTGAGTAATTCCCCCATAATCAGGCACCAGGCTCCGGATGTTGTGCACATTGCGTTTGTTTGTGTTTTGCACTTGGGGGAAGTAGGGAACACCCTTTTCCTGCTGACCTGACTCACACACCAGGCTCCTAGCTCTAGTACGGTACACATGACATGAATTGTTTGCACTGCCTCTTGTGTCTTGAATACCCTTAGGATATGCAAGACACATCCTCAGAATTAGTAGTGGCTCTTTAGGGGAGAGGGCTACAAGAAACCACTGATGGTACCCGCCATGCTTGTACTGAATGGCATGCATGCAATGCATTGTTGCAGCAAGATTGACACTTGGAGCATCTGTGTGTGCAGGCTCTGTTCACAGAGGATGGGGTGTTGAGGAGCAATGTAGTGACCGCTCTGCCAGGCTGGCTGCAGCGGAACCAACACGCAGCGCAGAAAGAGCAGAAAATCGTCTTGCAGGTGCGTTTCATGGTCTTTGAATGACAGTTCCCTTCATTCAAACACGGCGATCCACTGGTCATCTGAAGACAATTTTATATTTTTCCTATCTTGAAGGAACTCTTTGTGTGAACTTTTCTTAGCTGGCAGCTGTATTGCAGAATCATCAGACAGCCATCAACAACCTCATAGCGTGCAAATGCCCAAAAGCGCCTGAGGCCTGATGACTACTAGTAGCAGCACCTGGAGTGAGCCCTCAGCAGATTTAGTGAGGTCAGCGGCTTGAAGACATACTGGGTGGGGCAAGCAGCCTGAATTTGAAGACAGTATCTGCAGTATATGTTCGTTGCCTGGCCTGTCGCTGCCAAGCTTCCGTTTGAATTCTGGTTAGCTTTGTAGTCAAGTGTGTTGCAAGGTCAGCAGACCTTGCATGCTGCAGCAATCATTGTTGTGCAGCTCGTGCACATTGATGGAAGCTGCAGCTGCATCACATTGTTCCCTGTTTTGGTGGATGCATGCCGATGCAAATTTTATGAGGGATTTTGGATCAACCCTGAGTTCGTGTAATTCATTGATATGCACAGGGGAGCTGAGAAGATGTCTTCCTATCTAGCGGTCATTAAAGAGAACACTTTGATTCTTGTTGTAAATCACCGTGCGGCAATGTATTTGCCGTTATGTGTTCCAACACTTAATCCTTTCAGCACAGTCCGTCAACATCATGCACCCAAGCATCTCTCACGGGTCATCATTGAGCTCATGTCAATCATGTTTCGTACTACTCTAAAGTAGCTTAATCAGACAGTCACACAACTGCAGTGCCTTTTGAACAACTACACCTGTGCACTGCAATTCATACAGCGCCCCCAGCTCTCGCTATTCAGACAATAAAGATTTGCAGCAGCATCAGCTCAATCAAGCGGGCATGAGAGTGTTGTGACTATAGTAACAGCTGCAGCAGCTGATGCTCCCAGTTGCACACCCAAACACGCAGTAGAGGGTTTGCAGGCCCAGCTGCACTCTTGCTTGTGCCTAGGAGCTTCATTGCCAGAGGGCAACTGCTCATTGATACAGCTCGTGCATTTGCATGCGCCTGAAATCGCCTCAGGGGTTGTACACCAGATGCTAGGTCATTCGCTTGGGCCGCTGCATGCGCCTAGAGGCATGGTTGTCCCAAGCATTGCCGGTACTGGCACATGGTTGATGTGGTGTGGCTCTTACTGACACCAATTGGTTAAGGCCTGCACCTAGAAGCCTGATCACCAGAATGCTGGTAGGCGGGCAACTCGTTGGAGTGGCGGGCGCTCTGGTGTGTGCCCCTAGAAGCCTCATCGCCAGAGGGCAGCTCCTATCTCACGCACCCGAGCATGCAGGTGGCCTCTACGACATAGAAGCGTATTGCCGGCAGGTCTGCTACTCATTGGAATGGCGGGCGCGGGAGCGCAGGAAGGCGGTCGCGCCGAGGGCCTCAGAGGGCCGGGAGGGGCTGGTCGGCGCCGGCTGACGGCCGCGCGAGACGCGGCGGCTCAGCGTCCACAGGCCCAGCACCGCCAACGCGCCAGCCACCGCCAGAAGCTGCGCAATGACACAACCGGAGCTTGAGCAAAAAGGTGCATGAATGCCATCACAGCACATCGCCAGGAATTCGGGGAGTTCCCAAGGGATGATCTTCCTAGCCGACCTCTGCAAGCTTGACAAGCCATTTCAAGGCTGGCTTTCAGAATTACTGCTGTGACAGGGATGCAAATGTGAACAGTCAATCATGTGCCGGACATCCAAAAGGTCTCGGGCCAGCATCCCAATCAATAAGACACCGTGACATTCCAAGCGCTCCTGCCTCTTTCGGCTGGCAAAACACTGATTGTGAACTTTTTGCCTGTTGCACTACACATAGTGACAGCAGGCCTGCACCTGAGGCATGAACTGCATGGTGTCCAGAAACAGCGTTCGTTTCCGCCGCGCCTTGGCCGGCGTCGGCTGGCTGCTGTCCTTGTCTGTCACCTGCCCGAACCAGTTTAGGCTGCTGCTGATGGCCCCTCGCTTCCCCTGCAATGACATGTGCACAATCACCACCTGCACCGTATCCCGCAAACATAGCATGCCTATTTCCTGTCTAGCCTTAAGCATGCAGTGAGACTGCATCCCCGCTGACAACGGATCTGTTGTGTACGTAATCATCTGGATCTTCAGGCCTAAAATGACCTCTTCAGTGGGGCACCCCAGAATACATTTCTTGCAAAACATCGAAAGTGCACAAAAGCCAGTCAGCCAATGATCACATGCTCTGCAAGGGAGACACTGCTCACCTTGCCCTTGCCGACCTGCGAGCCCAGCGCATCTGACCAGGTGCCGTTGGCCGAGGCATTCCCAAAGGCCTCCGCAATGGGGACCCCCACGACCCCCCGCTGCTCGCTATATTCCCCTTGCGCCACCGGAGCGGGGGGCACGTCCCCCTTCTCTAGCTTTCCGCCCGCCCCCTTTTGCTTCTTTTCCTCACCCTTCCCTCTCGTCAATGCCGCCCCGGCCGCTGCGTTGTCGGCCAGATCGGGATCAATGCCGGTGAGCGGGTTTACGGCTGCGCCGGAGGCGGCAGCCGGGTCCGTCTCCCGGGGAGTTCCTTCGAGGTCCCCCGAGGCATTGGCCGGCGCCTGCCGCCGCAGCGGGACCACCACCCCATCGTTGCGCATCTTTGTCACTGCGGCCTGCGCACATGCAGACGGTGCGCTGTGTTGAGGAAGCTTGGAAGGTGTATAACAATTTGTGGGAGGCTGTCCAGCCCTAGAGAAGCTCCCTTCAAGCGTGTGCACCCTTGCCGCTCACAAAAGTCACATCCGGACTTCCAAACTTTGCTCTGAAAGGTACTCTGTCCACTTTGGCGGCTGAAACTACCATGAGAGGATATTCACTACTGAAGGAAAGACATACGTAGGTGGCCAAGAAGACTATTTAGCAAGCTGGTTTCGGGAATGCGACAAAAATAGCTTGTCCTGGATCACATTCCAAGAACCAGCGGCTCACAAAGTCCTGTCTGCGCCTACACTGCTCCTCAGAGAAACCTGCAGTTGGCTTAGCGGGCCCTTATGAGGGTCAGGCCCTGAGGGCTATTCCAGGGGTTGCTTATGCGCACCGCGCGGTCGTCGGGCTGCGCGTTGCGGCCGGGCATGGGGTGCTGCTGGAATTCCAATGGCGCATTGGGGTGGCACATCATCTGCGCCAACAAACTCAGATCCTCACATATTGCCTATCAATTTCCCGGATATTAACATATCAAGTGGGAGGCCCAGAAGAGAATTTCACGCATTTGAATCGGGGCAATGAATTACAGGTGTTGGGGGGAGTACGTCACATGACAGTTTGCTTTACAGTCAAAAAAATTTAGGTGGGGCGTGCCTGTGCAGTGAGCACTGCGGAGAAAGGCGCCGCGTCCACGTCGGAACGCCGCTGCGGCAGGAGCATGGCTTCGCTGCCCAACGCCTCGCTCAACTTCGCCTCCGGCGCCAGCAGCGAGGATGAGGCCTCCACCTTGCCCTGCACATGGAACAAGGTAGGACCATTTTATATTTTGGTGGTCTGCATGCAGATATCTCTTATTCACCAAGCTTGCAGTAAATTATAGGATTGGGACTGTCGATTCGGCCAGGGATAAGGCAAGCCAGCAGGCCCTGGGGCAATGATGATGAAGAGATGGCAGCCTGAATATCTTACAGTCTCTGGAAAATTCACGCCTTACTAATCACGACTTAAAACTCACAGCGCAAAAGTTGTTGCAGAGCATGCATGTGCAGGGAGCCAAGCAGACATTACTAAGCACATGCTGCACCCAACCGGATGTACAGCGACATGGCGAGCGGGCTTGCGACTCACCGTGGCGACGTACTGCAGCAGCTTGGCGAGCAGGCGGAAGCAGGGCGAGCGCATGTGGCTGCTGTCGAGGCAGTTGCTGTCGCCGTAGACTGCCACGCGGCCGCCCTTGTGCTCCGTCAGGCCCAGCACTGCGTGCAGCCCGCCCGACGCCGCCGTGCCAAACCGGCCCGCCGACCGCGCCGTGCCTAGGCAAAAAAAAAACATATAATGGTGATACCTGACGGCTCAAAGCAAATCAGGCAGCGCTAAACGGAACCAAGGAATCTGTGGCGTTTGCTGGATTGGCAAGGGTACACTGTATGCAAAGGAGATTTTCGGACCACATACAACGCAAGCGACATTTGGCACATTTCACCAGATTGCATGAAGACACTTGCACGCAGTGCCAGAGGCATGTACTCCCTGGGAGATAATGTATTGCACCCCAGGCTTACATCACTGTCACTGCCTCACAGCATGCTGCCAAAGATGGTGTGCGTTTTCTTCACAGGCATTTAAGGGAATATAAGGGAAAAGGGGCCACGTGGGGGGTGAGAGGGATGTGGTGCGCGCACCGGTGGCTGCCTTGTCTCCGAGGGCGAGAGCGTGCAGGTGGCCGCCGGCTGGGAAGCGCACAAGATTGGCGCCGCTCGCGTAGAACACCTGCTCGCCATCAATTGTGGCCTGGCCCTCGAGTACCGCGTCCCCAAACGCGATCCCGTACGGCGCCAGCAGATCGTTCAGCGCCGGCACGTTCGCGCCGCCTGCCGCATGCATGCGAGCACATTTAATTACAGTAGGAGTCAAGCATAAGCTTCTCCTGCGTCCTGGATGCTGTACCAACGGCTGTAATTTTTTTTGGGGAACCCAACAGGCAGAATTCTTGCATGAGCCTCAAGTTCTTGGGACGTACAAGTTGCCGCTTGAAAAGAGGGCCCAGCACAAACAACCACCTCTCTCAAAGATTTAGAGATTGCCTCAAGTGCTGTGCTGGAAGAGCTGCCTCTCTACTTCGCATATATTATTAAGTTTGCTGCAGCGCCATTCACGCGGGCAAGTGAGGACCAGCATCAGGCGCAGTTGCACCCGCAAAGAGCATGGCACCGAAGGGAGTCATTACTCACCGGTGATGGGTGTCCACCAGGAGCGGGTGTTATCGTCGAAGAAGCGCATCTTGACCATGGTGTCCACATTGTACCACTCCCCAAACACGATCAGCCCTAGGCCCGCCTCCACGTCAGCCTCCAGCTTGGCTATCTCCTCCGGATAATACTCCTCCTCCAGGTCCACCATCAGCAGCGCCCCATACTGCGCGCGAGAGCACGCACAGCTTTAAAATCGGCAAACGGCAATGGATCTGACCACCCGCGATGACAGCGCATTTGGCCAATGCTTGTTTGCTTGTGCCGTTGCATGTTTGATAGGAATCTCTGCCTGGGGGAAACGGCCGGCTAGCGTGCAAATGAGCATCAGCAGCAGCATGCAGAGCCACAATTAACAAGAAATGCAGGAGAAATCATGAAGCTAGAAATCCGAGGCCCGCGGCCACTTCTTGCGCCTGAGACTTAGGGGCAAGATGCGGCCGCCTATATTGGAGATCTCTAGCTTGATCGTGGAAGTGCTCGTCAATGGTGTGGATTGCTGACTCATCTCGGGCGGTTTCCCCAGAAATCCACCCAAATTGTGGCTGTGTTTTGGGCAAAAGCCCCAGCTAGGTGAGCATCTGGCTAACTGCCAGCTCAGGCTAATGGAACCACTGCTGAGCAGAAAAGCTCCCCCGACAAGCACTAGACTACGGTGATCAATAATTGCGCGCAGGAGGAAGGAAGGCAGGGCCACCTGCGAGGCATCGAAGCAGGTGAGGGGCGAGCCAAGGACTTCGAGGAACCAGCCCGCGGCTCGCAGGGCGTTGAACATATCGTGGTAGTTGGTGTGCGGGTGGTCGCCGTGCCAGTCCAGGATGTCATTGCGCACGTCCAGGGAGTCGCGCGGAATGTAGGCCGGGGGGTATCGCAGCGAATGGAACTGGTCCCACAGGATGCGCCGCTCCCTGCGCAGCCCATCGTTTCATCACCATGTTGCATGATAGGCCAAGGGGAGATACCATATTTTCCCCATGTATATGAAGTAGTCAGACCTGATAGGCCTCGAGGGCTGCATAGAACTTGCTCCCAAATCTACCCTTCTTGCAGCAGCCACACGTTTGTTTCTAGGTACATTGACCCATCAACTGTCATAGCAAAATGCATGACAGCTGACGGGAGTATTGGATTTGGCTCAGCAAGGAGCTTCCTCTGACCAAGCAGTGTGCAAAATAAAGGCATGAGAGGGTCAGACCTGGGGGGTGTGGGGATAATTTCCAGCTTGATGCCCAGCTTGACGGTGCTGCGCCGCTTCTGCTTCTCACCGCGCTCCGGCGGTGACTCTATCACCAGCGCCACCTCCCCAGTCGCCACCCCCTGACACGCACAGCAACACCGCTCAGATCGATCAGGCGGACCTAATTCGTCACATGCACGCACCTCTGTAACATAAAGAAGCATGCAGGCTCCCCATTGTGAGATGAATAGGACAGCTTCGTGGCAGAGCTTACGGCAGTGTTGCCCAATCAATCAAGCTCTGCTGTACGCTCTCTACACAAGTGTCCTACCTATCTCATAAGTACTTTGCACTTCACCGTCTCAAAGCGGTGTTGTCGGTGAGCTTCAAAAAGGGGGCGGCAGCACAAAACTATTGCTTTTGGGGTGGGCCTAACCCTTGTCTTCACAATGGCAGGGCATCTGTGTGATCAACCATGCCCTAAAGTTCAACATGGCGCCTCGTATTGTGTTTTTCCTGCTTTGAGATGGGGGCAGGCGGCAGCACCTTGAAGGTGGCGCCCTCGGGGGCCACGCGGATGTAGAGTGCGAGGAAGCCCGACCAGGGCCACATCAGGTTGCTGTGCTCAAAGCGCACGTCCAGCAGCCGGCCGCCCTCGTTCTTGGATATAAACGTCGGCTCCTCCGCAAACACCCCTGCGCACAGCATATGCAACCGTTCACTGCGTCCAGTACAGTGCCGTTTGGGCGGAGGAGCCATTTATGCACCCCTAATTCTGAAATTTCCCTCCGCACAGACCACGGCCTACATGCGCTAGCACAACAAAGGCAGGCACGCTTGGCCGCTATGTTTTCTGTGCACCAAGCACTGCTAGTGCCTCTGACAACTCTCATTGCTACAATAGAAATTCATGTACAAAATGAAAATGGGGTTAGAGCCTCCTCCTGCACATGCGGAACACGACACAACATGAAAATAAGGTAAATTCGGGCCCTTGAAAGCTCAGGTGGCAATATTTGTCCAGAACCAGATGAGCTGCAGCCCCCACCTGTGAGGCCCATGCCGTTGAGGACGGTGGCGTTGAACATGAGGGGCATCGCGCCAGCGTAGAGGGGCTGCGTGCAGAAGGGCCACATGTAGGGGCAGTCCATGAAGTTTAGCTCAGCCGGCACCACCGACGCGCGCGGCTCGTACTTCTGCAGGATCTCCTGTTGCACCACAGGTGGCAGCCCACATTATTAATAATTGTTCAGAGGAATGCCTGGCGCAAGCACAAGCTTGCATCCACTAGGGCGTGTTTTGGAGAGTCCAGGAGTGCTGTGCGATTGGTAAAATCTTGCATCCTAGGGAACGGGCGCCAGTCTGGGCATATCAAGTGGTCGTGGACAGGACAGTGCATGCATGTCAAGATGAAGGCAAGTGCCGTCAGCAAAATCCAAGGAAACACTTCCGAGTCTGGTCATCCGAGAATTTGTTGTGCAAGGAGCAGTGCATGCATGTCAAGATGAGAAAAAGTGTCTTCAGCAGCATCCAAAGGGGGGAAAGGGGAGGAGACTGCACCATGGAATTGAGCAGGTTCATTTTGCCGGCTCCCTGCTCGTAGAGGTTGATGCCAGGGATGCGCACAGCGCCCTCCACTAGTGCCTGCTTCATGCTGGCCGGGTTCAGGATACCCCCCTTCATGTGCCACCTGTGCATGAACATGTCGCCCCTCAATTTCAAATTATTTCTTCATCACTACGTCCATGCACATTTCCCCCTCACCATGATGCTTGTGCTGACCACATCAATGGAAAAGTTGTTGGTATTCCATGCCGGTGCTCTGTGCAAGTCTCAGAAGCCAAAGTGGCCGCCTTGAAACAGGGAGACGCTATGTACATGTCGGCATCCTAGGAACCCTGTCGTCAGGTGTGCGTAGCGCTTAAAGAGGCACCCGGTCTAGTATATCTGAAGACCGATAGCGAGGAGAGGCAACAGGCAGACATGCCTGGCGCCCTTCTGCAGTGCATTCATGGACATGGGGGGCACCTGCGGGCCTCAGGTACAACGCTGGCGAGCAGGCAGACGGCTCCGGCGACAACGGGTGACGCGACGGAGGTGCCGGAGAGACTGCGGCAGCCGCCCTGGATGCGGCTGCCCATCACATCCCGCCCGTACGCCACCACATCCGGCTGCAGCAGATACGCAACACCTCAAGCCCGTCATGCTTGTGCATTCTTTGAGAAAGTCCCCAGATATGCTATTTTGCTGCCTGAACACTTGACTGCCGCTGCAGTCGTATACCCCTGCAAATCCTGGAACCATTTTCAAAATAAGAATGAAAGGTATTGGTAGACCCCCAAAGAATTATGTGTGTCTTGAATGCTGCATGCATGCAGCCAAACCCCAGGGTCAAATGCAGCTCACTCGAGAAGAAGATGGTCCTCGAGTGTTCCTGTTGCGAGCATGCAGCGGACCCCCAAGCTCTGCTTTCCCACCTTGGAGCGGCCGTAGCCGCGCGGCAGCTCCCAGGTGGACATGCCCCGGCTGGAGAAGGACGCAATCTTGTCAGCGTAATCGATGCCGCCAACGCCCAGCACGTCGTTCTGGTCAGCCGGGTTGTTCAGCGTCCCGTACAGCGGCCCGTCGTTGCCGATCGCACTCACCATTATTATGCCATTGCTGGTGATCTCCCACACCTGGCCCACAGAGTAAGAAAGGAGAGTCCCGGCGTGCTCTTTTTATGAAGTTGCTGAACTCAGCCCATTGCCATTGGTCCTGAATCTGCAAGTCTGCTCCTCTTGTTGCGTCTTGATGAGAAACTGCCAGAATTCTCAAACTTTTACCCTCTAATGTACTGATGAGAATTGAACAGCAGGGTAAACTGTGGACATTTCATGCTGCTTGCTACGTCCGTGGTCTCGAATGGGGGCCTGCCATTCCCGCTATTGCATGGCGACAGCAGCATGTGAGGGGCATGAGAAGCAGAGTAGATCCTGATAGGGATCTGATCACCCCAGCGAGAAACGGTCAGCAATTTCAGTCCTCACCTTCTCGACAAATGGTTGGTCCAGGTAGTCCGGCCCACCAATGCTGAGATTGACCACATTCATCTCCGTGGCGATGGCATAGTTGAATGCATCCAAGAACCATGATGTGAAGGACACCTGCCACCCCAATCTTCTATTGAATATTTCGCCGCCCAAGATATAGAGCAACCTAGCAAGATTCATCTTGTAGCCTTGTGCACATGAGCCATGATGTATGCCCTCATGTTTTTGAATGTTCTCAATCTTGCTGGCTGCAGGCATGATCTGGCGGGATTAGCAGGAACCTTCAGAAGAAGTGTTTTGAGGTGCTACGTTTGCGCCGGGAGTGCAGGGCTGGGCAGCTGCCCCACCTGGTCATTGGTGAAGACCCGGAAGGTGTGGATGTCCACTTCTGCAGCAAACCCAGGGCAGGCTGCATCGCTGCCAGCCACCACACCGGCCACAAAGGTGCCGTGCCCCAGCCCATCCTCCAACGTTGGTTCATGCGTCCAATTGGTGCGCTCCCTGCACCAACCCTTATGTTAATTCCCCATTATGAACATAGCCAGTCGAGAACCGTAGAATACAGTGCCCACCATGCATCACTGCTCACGACACTCTCCTTCTCATATTGTCAGCCGACAAAAGCACGCTGTGGGATGAGTAGACACATGGAAGCTACTGCGCATGGCATACTCTGCCTCAGCGCGAGCCTCTGGCAATGCATGTCTGCAACAGCACTGCACCGTGCCTCACCTGCAAATGTTGATCACACCTGATCTGGCTATGCAGAAGGGGGGAAATGCAGAATTTAGTTGGCAGCGTTGGAGGGCATGCCCACTTGATGTTCTTCACGTGGGGGTGGTCTTGGCGGATGCCGGTGTCAAAGACCCCCATCTTCACGCCCTTGCCCTGAAATCCGGCAGACCAGAGGCTCTGCGCAGAGAATGCGGCCGTCACGCTGTTCTTCGACAGCAGCTGCCGCCGCTGCTGGGCTGCCCCTGTCCGGTTGCCCCGCTCTAGATCCCACAAGTCGCCATCCTCGTCATCAAGTCCTATCGTTGGCCTTGTGCATAATCTGCATGCCATGCACACTATTATCCTCAGTACAGTACAGGTAAGCAACACACCATACGTACAGAACTCCCACTTTTGTCAGGTGGCAAATGAATTGAAGCAGGGGTAATCAAGACGATCAAGCTTCAGGTCAAAGATGCCCGTGAAACACCGATGAGGGCTAGTCATAATGAATGTCCGCGCTGGTCTTAATGAATGTACCTGCCGGGCCGCTTCTTCACGGCTGCATGCACATCGCCATTCTCTTGCCAGAGGCTGCATCCTGGCAGGTCTTTGCCGTCGGATGGGCCCGCGTCCTCCCACATGAGCGCCCGAGTCACTCGCCGCTCTGGATGCACGTCCCTCACAAATGACAGCCCCTCCAGCGCAGCCTACCATTCACATTATTATTATTAAGCCAGTGCCTTCAAGTACACGCAGCAGGTGCTTACCGAGCTGACATGCGGCAGCATCTTTGGTGGCAGCAGAGAGAATTTGCAATGCTTATGAGCTCGATCTAGATTTCTGTCAACTTTCGAAAAGAGCACCTGCAGCAAGAATTGCACACCTTTACTGGATCTATGTCTGTGTCATTGATATTGAGCAGGCCGAAGTCTGTGGGGTGCTGTGTGGCACTGTTGTTGCGTTCCAACCAGCGCCACTGCAGCCCAAAGCCCCCCATCCCCTCCTCCAAGCTCCTCCTGTGCTCTGATGCCATCTTGTACTGCTTGAAGCGTACAATGAACGTCCCTCCGACCACATCCCACGACACCTGGACATCTGTTCCCGCTGCAGCAGGGCACTCTCCCTGCTGCAGACCCTGAACATCACCAAGGTACACATAGTCTCAAACATTGCCCTCCCTCTGCATTTCCAAGTATTTCCTCCTTTTCACATTAATTAAGACGCTGCGTCACGCGACGACAAGCCTGATGGCCACGACTCCCCACCTGAAGTGATCCACTGCTGTCGCGATGATCTCGTCTGCATGATGTCCCGCTGGAGCTTGCATCGGGTTGATACGAACTGCACAATTGTAAGGCTCCTCCCAGTACAGCCAGCACAATGAGGCTAGCAGACCACAACTGTTGGACCATCACCGCTCCACATCAGCAAAGCAGACAGTGCAGCATGCATTCTCGCACTGTCATTGGCAGGAACATGGCCCCTTTCACCAGCACATGAGCACTGGATTCCAATTAACAAGCCTAATATCGCCTTGAGACCTGACGAAGAGTACTGCAATCGTCTGCAGCAAGAAATGTCTTACAATTTCTTCCACAGCAGGTGGTCTTGATCCAATCTTTATAATTATTTGGTGAACAACTTCCTCATGGATCTCTTTATGCGATGGATGCCGAGTGTCGTTTGCGCAGGGCCAGCCAAGAAGTTTGCGAGATCAGTAATGCCAGGTGGCAGGCATGTACTGAGGAGCTTCAAGGCATTCATGAGGAGCGAGCTGCTGGTGCCAGGCACTGCCAGCACAGATGCAAGAGGTAAGAGAGAAGAACGAACGTAGGAGGACAAAATATTGTTTACGTTCAGTGACGTACCGATCCAGGCACTGATGGAACTGCTGGGCAACCACTCTAAGGAAGCACCAGGAGGCCACTCTGTAAATTTACCGCCTGAAGTCTGGCGAGCGGTTGCCTGCCATCTATCCTTCCGGCAGTGGGTCAGAGTGAGCGGCATTTGCAGGCTGATCTGGAAACTTCAGCTGGATGAGTTTGACGTGGACATCGAGTCAGTTGGACTGCCAGGTGAGCCGTGCATGAGAATGATTTCTCCTTATATGCTTCTATCTTTTAGCCACTGTCCTTTCTTGCCTCGCTGCAACTTGTGAGGAACTTGTGAGGTGCTGCGCAGGACTGTGCTGGGCTGCACATAGATGGGGCAAAGCCCGCAAAATCAGATTGAGGCTCCCCAAGCAGGATTGTTCCTTTCGGTATTCCGAGACAATCCAGAAGGCCCGCTCCATGCCAAGAAATCTGAGTCAGCTCGCCCTGGATCTCAGCTTCACACGTGGAGAGCTCAGCAGGCACCCCCTTTTGTTCTCACTCACAGAGCGTCTCAGAAACTTGCAGGTTCTGCATCTCGTAGTCCGTCATTCGAACATAGACTGCATCTCAAGGTTGAGTAACTTGAAGCATCTGCGGCTTCTGACTGACAAAGATGTGCGGTATGTCTTGACAGACAATTTTGGGTCGCTGCATAATCTGCAGACCCTGTACATGCACGCTCTCCACCCGGACCCGGTGTGTGCATTGCTTCCGTTAGGATGTATGAGCCATGTGCAGAGCGTCTCACTGATCAATGTGGTCCCCGCTGCTCTAGCCTTGGCTGAGGACACTGATCTCCATGTAGAGCTCCACAGATTGCAAGATACACACAAGGACGTGTGGTACAACAACATGTCAAATTTGCGGTCCGTGCGCCTGTCCACATGGACTTCTATAGAGGAGAAGGATCTTCCGGACTTCTTGTTCGAGCCTTTGAGGCTCGATGTGCTGGACATCTGCGCCTCTCGGTTCGGGACAGATAGAAATGCTATCCTGCTGCGTGGGGCCTTCCTCTCTTGCCAGAACCTTCGCTTTGGCTGCGAATCGGTGCATGCGATCATTCCAGACACAGGCTTTGTCTGGTCGAGGCTGTGCGTTTCAGCTATGGACACCTTGGATGTCAGGTTCTTGAGCGTGCAATCTTTTGTGGAGGGCTGCCCAGCTGCTGGCTTCAGCTTTGACTTGCTGAAGGGCAGAGGCCTGATGGAATTGTGCCAGCATTTGCAGCAGAGCGCCGCTGACTGGTATTTGGGTGAGAGCAGTGGGGTTGAGGGGGGCTCCGCGGTGGTGTATCCTGGCAGTGTTGCAAATACTGTGTTCCACCCAATCTGCGTATGTGGCGCTTGCCAGAGGTGTTTGGGCATTTAGGATGCCCTTGTGCAGCTGATTTTGTGTGACTCAACATTGCAGAAGGGCAAACAATGGGCATGATGTGTTAATGCTGCACCGCTGACGGAATTTCCTCCGAGGGGGACATGTTCTGTGTGTTACAGCAAATATTCAGAAACTGATGCAAGTCTCATTGTGAGTAGCATCCTGCCCAGTAGGATTGGGCGTGGCACACTCCAATTGGTTCTGTCATATGCGCACATGCCACTGTAACACTGTCACATTGCAGACTTGTCATGCACGCCTGCAAAGAACCATCTGCACTACTTGCCATGTTGCCTACAAGCTCTTCCAGTAATAATCGTATATACAGGTGCTACGCAGGGACCTGTCAAATAAGCACGCCCATTACAGCAGCAACGTTCTTGAATTTATGCACTGCTCAAGTGCACAGAAATTTTGTGGTAGTTGGCACCACTTGCAGGAGAATGCGGCACTTTAATCGATATCAGTAACACAACCACCACCATGCGTGGTAGTGATGCTGCTGATCTGTCAAGCCCTCTAATGCACTACGAGCGTTCACTGGTTGCAACAGTCGAACAACGGTAAATGACAGTTTCTTCCACGGTGCACATGCTATAGGCACTTCCTAGTGTCGCCTCTGGCGAAGCATCCATTCTTAGCCAATCTTGGATGACTCATAGCTGTCCCCGTCATCCAGCTGCAGCATTGTTGCTCTCCAGCTGCAGCAGCCGTTTGGTGTGTGCCACAACGGTGCGCTTGGAAACCACTGCAATGGCTCCTCAAATGCAAATCATGTGCATGCTCTTAGAACTCGTCCTTGTCCGCTCCACCTCCTGCAGGTTTCATAACGCCAAGAGCTCTAGCTACCTTGACAGTCCGAGTTTCTGTCTAGCTCCTCCAGAGATACAGCTGACAGATATGATCTTCTTGTACGTTGTACAAGACAGCAGTCATCTGTGTGCTTGACAACGCCTACCTGTGGCTGCTTCATCTTGCCCTGCTGCCCCCATTCCTGCGCCCGGTTGCGACTCGTTGAACAGGCCTGCGCCGCTGTCGCTGCCCGTCCCTCCCCCTAGCTTGCCCCTGCCCTGGTCGTGCAGATTCAGCATCTCCAGCACCGCGTCGTGCGCATGCCAGGCCCCATCCCGGACCGCACCTGCATGCATGCACACAAGCAGTCCTATCCTGTGCTAGCTGTCAACCTTTTACTCTTACTGTGACCACATTCCAGCGTTCTCCCACTGCTGCCTGATGTCTGGAAGACTGCAGCAAACAAAGAGTGGAGATGCGCTTGTGACCCGGTGCCCTGACATCAAACAATTGGTCCAAGGCAGCTTGCACATGCAAATGACAGCCCACAATCATTCACTGGTCAGTAAGCGTACTGCCAAGGAGCAGACAATGCTGTCTTAAAGCCTCACAGTCAGGATTTCTCTAAGCTGCAGTCAATCACAGCAGAAAGAGGTCTGGCTCATGCAGCGCACCCTTGTCTGGGGCATAGGCGTGCAGCGCCCAGACAGCCAGCATGATGGCGGCCCCCATGCCAAATCTCACGATCCAGTGGCTGCCCTTACCCTCCTCCGGCTTGGCATCCAGCTCCAGAATGGGCCAGAACGCCTCGTCGATTCCCTTGTCCTGCACAGCAGTCGAGCAGAGAACCATCTCACGGCATCACATGCAAAATTCGGATGTGCTGAGAATGCCGCCCGGTGCGCATGTTGGCGCAGAGACGCATGGGATGAGCACTGCTGCAGCTGTGCTGCTCCCCCAAGCAACCTTGCATATACTAGCTTTTACACAGCATATGCAAACAGCTCAAACATGAGTTCCTGCAATCTGGGAGTTGCAATCAGCACATGAATTGTGACAGCACGACGTTCAGCACGAGCTCCTGATGTGCTGTGCAAAACGGCAATCAGGTCTGGACAAGTGCAGGATTTGACTTGCTGCTGCCTTGATCTGTGCAAGACAGGGGAATGCACTAATGGCAGGGGCAGGCCAGGGGAGTGAATGAAAGGCAGAGGGGCGCGGGCGCACGTCCGAGAGGAGGTGCGGGAAGAGCCAGAGGGAGCGGCCAAGGAGCACCCAGGAGGACAGCGCCAGCAGCGAGCGCACAGTCAGCGTGGCCAGGATGCAGATGATGAGGGTCATGGACACGTACACTGCGGCCAGCTTCACCGGGTGCGGCGCGAGCGGGAACATGCAGCAGAGCATGATGGTGATGAGCGCGAGCGCACTGAAGAGGTAGCTCCAGGGCGACACCTGCTTGTCGAACAGCCACGCGTACAGGTGGTCCTCCTCAAAATTCTGCGCGCCACACCAGGGGTGTTTAACATGTTGGATCTTGATACCATGTGAAGTTTGAAGGTCATAGCAAATCCAATAGCTACCTGAACCAAGAAAGAGGTGAAATAGCTACCACCCAAGCAGATTAGATGTGGTAACAATTTGGTCAGATGGCAATCATATTCCTATCTAAAGGTCACACGGGCCCACTGTGGCTTGTTGCATGCCCCCACAACCGAGGGTGCCTAATAGTAAACCCTCACTGATTGCATGCCGGCAGTCTCATTGAATGCACATGTATGGTGGTACGCAGGCCAACAAGCCGGCGGCGTGTCCCATTTTTGACATATGTCCTGACTGAAAACACCATTATGCAAGTCGGCATGAAAGTGAATATGGCATCGTATTCAAGAGCTCTGCTGTGCGCTACACATGTGATCTGAAGGTGGAGCATCCCACCCTCTCGTGTACGAGTGGCAGCAGCTTCTTGGGCCACTTGACGAGGCGCTTCTTGCCGGGCTTGGGCTTCTTGAACATGCGCTCCGTCTTCATGAAGAGTCCCTTCCTCAGCATCATGTCAGCCACATCCTGCACCTGCTGGTCCACCTTTGTCGCTGCAAAGGCAGAACAAGCTCATACCCAGTCCCAAGGTGTCGGCAAGCTTGTGCTACACTCACAGCAGGTAAGCAAGGTCCGACCCTATGGAATGGATTTGACCTCACATTTATGAGCGGCGCACCTTTGGAGACAAAGGGCTGCATGAGCTCCTCATGCTTGCGCAGGTAAGCAGCAAACTCCTTGCCCCGAAACACATCCACTCTCTTGTCTTGCAAAATGGCTGCCCGCTCCTCAATGCCCGTCTTGCTCCGCAGCTTGTCTGCCAGCTGCTTCAGCGGATCTTCCTGCTGGTTCCCCTGCAGGGCGAGAATTGTCAAAGATCCGAGACTTGAAAGAGGTCCTGTATCATCACGCACACTGGCAGACTCAAAAAGTCGCTCAGACAGGGATGGCTGATAGATTTGAAAATTTGTAACTTTTTCCATCACAACACGTCCTGCAAAATGCTGTGTGCGCAGGCAACAAGGGTGGCCTCGAGTACGCTGTCGATCATGGTTGATTGCATTCACTCACATCATCATTGGGCAGCAATGACTGAAATCTTTTTAAAAGTTTATGGAACTAAGAAAGCAATACTTATTATAATAAGCATCCTGCTAGTTTCGCCGCACCTTAGGAGCCATGGCTTTTCAGATCAGCAAATTTCGAAGGAACGGTGTTCAGCGGTCAAGGACTCTACGGAAGGTCCATGATGGCAACGTTGGACAATGTTCTTCAAAATTTCGTTGTTCAGCGCGGAAGGCGAACTGGCGTGTGGTCTGGCGCCCTCGCATCGGCACCTGCTCTCACATGTCGTTGCACGTGCCAGATTAGTGCCAGAAGCCAAGATTATGTCGTTGTGCTGCCTCAGAATCATGAGGGTTACAAACTTGGAGCATGCAGAACACTGCACTTTACACCCACTGCAAGATGATGCAATGAAACCCTTGACCTGTCCGGTCCGAGAAGTCTGGTCCGACAGGTGGACTTAGGTCCGCACTTTATCCAAGGACTGAGACTGACTTTGGGTCATTCCTAGATGAGTGAAGCAATCGGACTGGAAAAATCACTGCACAGTGGCCTCTGCAAGGTCCCAGTAGTGCGCAACGCCTCGCTCCTCCAGAAACTTGCGCGCCTCCGCTGCAGACTTGGCATCATGCACCATGAATTTTGAAAAGGCCATGGCCTTCACTTTGCCTGTCCACGCCAGCCTGCACCCAGGTATCTTCCGCTGCACATCTGCACCAGCGCACAACAGCACCCAGTCAGCCTAAAATTTTGGCTGGCGACATCTACCTTTTGAGGTATAAGTATACAGCAGAAACATGCTGGGGGAACCAGAGCGTCAGAGAAAAGTAATTCACAGGAAACCCGGTCAGGTGCAAAGCACAGTGTAGCATGAGTTTCATCTGAGATATGTCATCTGCATAAAAGGTAGATTGTTGTGGGCCCCGCAGGTATGACTGCAGACAATCTGCATGTATGCGAGACTCCTCTCTGGCTTCAAATTTACTGATAACAATGTAAAAAATCGACCATGGGAGGAAGGGATTCACTGTCTTCGTCCTGCTGCCTCCTGTCATCATCCTCATCTTCCTCCTGCTCCTCCTCCCACTTAATGCGCCCCAGCATGAGCTTGTTGTAGCGCTTGTGGGACTTGGGTCCCCCCTCCACAACCACCACGCTGAGCGCCTCCGTCGTCACAGAGCAGCCCGTCATGTGCAGCTCCTGCGCAGCAATTCCAGTCTGCATGCCGCCTGCCACCTTGAAATTGCTGCAGAGCTTTTTAACGACAGCTGGCACACGCCTCTGCTGCAGCTTAGCAGATCCTGAAAGCAATGCTTGCCGCATTCACTTGTTTTTCCAGCAGCAAGGACAGCTGGACCGCCCCCGGCCACCCCGGCCGCGGTACCAGGAAAGAACGAAGATGACTGCGATGACGATAATGTTAATTGAACAGAGAGTGCAATATACACAAGGCAGTGCGAGCTGCACGCAGGAACAAGGGGCTGCTTCGTGGCACAGATGCATGCTTCTGAAAAAACAAATTTGGGCTAAGAATGCAGTGCGGCGGGCCACCTCAGCGTTGGCGCGGACTTTGAAGCGGTGTGTCGGCTTGGCGAGGCGGTCGACTGCGTAGACTGCAACGGTGGGTGCCTCACCCTCACCGGCCGCGCCCACCAGCTTGACGTGCTTGTTCTCCTTGCGCTCCGCCGGCGTCAGCTTGCGCGCCAGGTTGCGGTCCTTGTGCGCCTGCAGCCAGCCCGCACATGCACCCGCTGTCAGCAATTTTAAACCTAGATAGGCACGAAGCAGGGCGTGGCCATGTGCTATTATCCTGCTGAGAGCTCCGCGGAAGTCTATCATCACGGGAAAACAGTGTCTCGCCCGCACATGGGCAGTGGCCAAAGGCTCGCTTAAAAAGTCTACTGCAAGCATATGTTAGGCAGATCAACCCCAGTCATTGCCGAATTCCATTTTGACTCTTACTAAGCAACAAGAAAGGCTGCTCAGGTTCGTCTGGGTCCAGGATTACAGAGTCGCCTCCCTAGGGTGCATGCAATGGCGAGGAAGGGAAGGTTATGGGCCGACGACTCGCACCTGCTCGCGCTCCTCCATTTGCGCGCGCACTTGGGCCTCCATAGCGGATGGGTCGGCGACGGCCTCGTTGCCCAGCACGCGCATGAGGTTGCTGATTTTGACCTTGGGCTTGGGCGGCTCCATCAGCCCCTGCCGGATCATCTCCTGCCGATCCTTCTCGCGCTCGTTGCGCCGCTGCGTCTTCAGCTTCTTCCGCTCCTGCCCGCCCGCCACGCACACTTCCTCAGAAGTCCGCTCTGATTACGTTCTGAGCGCAAGGACATCTTGCAAACATGCCATTCATCCCCTTTCTGATGGCGATCCCAACAGAGGTTGATATAAACCCCCCAGCAAGACAGGAGAGGTACGCATGCACATTTCATATACAGACAGGTCTCCTTTGGCAGACACATTATAAAAGCGTTAATGGCTATTTTGTCAAGGTATTTATAGATGACAATCTGAGCATGCCAAGTTTTGGAGGGTGGAGATGCAGGGCACAGCACAGGGAGCACAAAGAGAAGCATGGAAGCTAGGCAGCGTTGGTGGAAGCATGGAGCACCTTTGCAGTCAGCATGAGCGGCATGGGCGGGGGCGGCGGCTCCTCTGCAGGCGGGTCAATGGGAACAGGGTGCTCCACAAGGATCGTGATCTTCTCTGCGTTCAGATTTGCTGCAACATCCTCGCCTTCCTCGCCAGCTCCATACCTCTGCACGGATCAGTGCTCTCGTCAGCACTGCTAGCCCCCTCTGGAATTTCGTCCGCACTCTCCAGAAGCGGCCCTACTCTATAAATGTCAAGCCCGCTGTGGCATCATGCAATCTCCCAATGCCTTGCATGTTTGTGCAGACAGAGCAAGCACCCAACGTCACCCATCAGCAGATGCACTGGACAGGGACCATAATAGATCTTGATTATCAGACATTCAAGAGGTGTTCTCTGAGTAAAAGGGTGCACCTCTGGGTCTCGAAGGATGCGCGCGTCCCACCACTCCACATCTGGTATGGGGTCGAGCTCCGGCTCCTTCTTCTCCTCCTTTGGAGGCCGCTGGCCCAGAGGGATCATGTTTACATCCCCCACCGGCGCAGCGCTCCTCTTGTCCTCAAAGGCCTTCCCCGGCCGCGCCTTCACAGCCTCTTCCCCAAACTGGGCCTGCATGCATAAACCCTCCATTTCATGATGTACCTTAAAGTCCCTGCTAGCAGCTCATCCAAATATAAAGGTGCAAAATATGTTGGCATTCGGTCGGCGTCACCTCCTTTATTTCAAGTCTGCTGGTTTTTGTTACAGACTCTATCATTTTAGGCTTTTTATTAAATAACCCCAGCCACGCTTTGTTGATAAAATGACATAATTCCTTGTTTACTGCATTTATGAACTGGGAATGGCCCTGCTCTGGCAGAGCTGCAAGCACCATAAAACCCCTTTGAGAAGTGCCATTGTGGGATGATGAGCGGGCGGTGACTGGCAAGAAATGGTACCTTGAGGCGCAGGACCTCAGCCTGCTTTTCAAACCGGCCGTGCTGCACAAATTCAAAGCTGGCCCGCGGTCTCCGCTGAACTTTGTTGAGCAGCCGGTCCCCCATTTCCGGATCATAGAAGCTGCGCCAAGGCAAAGGACACTTGATCAGTGCTGGCAACGCTACGAAGCCATGGTAGGACTGATCTGACCAGAAGGCAGCCTTCGCACGGCCGGCAACATATAGGATATGAGACCCGCTGATCAATATTGTTGGTGTCAACTGGATGACTTCTTACCTGCGCTTGGGAGGCTCAGGCTTCTTGGGCTCTGCTGGTTTCTTTGCCTCCACCCTCTCATTGAGCTGCACACATGATTATCTCCTCAATTCCTCTGTTCAGTACTGACCATCAGGAAGAGTCTCGAGCTTTAGTATTTTCATGTGTAAGGGTGCAAGGGTCACCTTCAAGGTTGGCGCAGCTACTCTAGTGTCATTCCGCTGGATCAGGCGGCCTTGCGCATCCACCTCCCTGCCCTGATCGTCCAGATACAAAGAGGCCGGCGTGAAAGTCTTGGGCTTTGCACCTGGAGGAAGGGCTGGCGCTACTGCAGGTGGTGGCAGCACAGCTGGTGTGCCAGATGCCTTGGGTACCTGCATCCCAGGAAGCATGTCAGCTAAAACTTAAATGTATATGACTGTTTACCAAACCTCTGAAGAAGCGATGGAAGAGCAGATTGCACCACCCAACAAGAGGAGCAGTCTAAAACAAGGGCGAACAAAGGAGTCCTTGCAAAATGACGGCACACAGTCACTTACCTTGTTTTTAAGCTTTTCATTGAGCTGCCTGAGTTCTAGCAATTTTCTGGCCCTTTCCAGCGCAGCCTTCGCAGCATCTTTATCAATCGGCTTTGCTGCAGCAGGAACCGATGGCACCGCAGGACCACTGGTGTCAAACCTAGACCGCTTTACACGCGGTTGTTCGCCTTCCGACATGGTGAATGAAGTGGTATTGATCCTCCTGATGCCAACCCTCCTTCAAATTTCACCAAGCAATTGGGACACTCTCGATTGGACAGCAAATTCACTGCTCATCGCAGCCAGTGTTTGATGGGGAAGCTTCAATGCTTGAATTTTTCTTTGCGCAGAGAGCATGCGAATCTCTCAGTGCTCTCCGAGATTGGCACCTGCCCTCACATGCCACTGCATGTGATGCGTTCAATCAATTCTCTTTGATCAGAAGCCGGGCTCAACGAAATACTCTTCCACACACAATTTAAAACTGAGAGGAACGAGACTTCTGTTTGGGGCCAGTGCTGCAAACGTCTAATAGAATATTAACTGGATCGCCAGAATCCACGAGAAATTAAAACTTGTAATTACCCTCGCACAGAAGTCTCTTAATAACTTATATAATTCTAAGTACAACTATTTTGTCGATTAACAAAGATCTTAGTCACCAAAAGGGGCATCTGTCCCTGGGCAGATGGCTGAAGGACCAAGCCCACTGGTATTCCAGGGCGCGGCTGCAGCTGAGGCTGAATCTGTGATCGACACAGAGAAGGAACTGCATCGCCGCAGGTGTGAAGAGATTCACTCTACATTATTCACTCTGAACAATACATTCCAGAACCCCTTCGCTACAGCTGAGGTGGGAGGTAGCTTAGGTGGCTTGCCTGGTCCAGGGCTGAACGATTCGGCACGGACTATGTGGATCCCAGCAAGCGGAGTGATCTACGCTCGGAGTTCCGCAAGCAGAAGTTCAAGAAGGAGGGATTCAAGACGGGCTTGGACCTGTTTGATGAGGTGCGCCGGCCCAGGCTGCCTTGCTGACACCTGCCTGCTGCCCCAGTGCTGGCCAAGCACTAATTCCCGAAGATATCGGGTGTCCTTAACACAGAGGGGTCCTTGGGGGGTTTCTTATAATAGAAGGTGTGCTTCAGGAGGAGGTGGCACGCATGCAAGTGAGGGCGCAACGGTTCCAGACAGAGCTGAAGCTGCCGGACTACAGGCCGGCAGAGGTGCCAGAGGACGAGGCAAAGAAGCAGCAGAGGGCTGCGCGCTTCGGCGTCGACTACGCACCCGCTGACAAGGGAGCCTTGATGGAGATTGGTGCGCCATCATCCTCCGCGTCTTGTGACTCTCAGACTGGGGCCATGCAAATCTGCAACCTGGAGCCTTGGCTGACTTCTATCTATGCTGAGCAGTGACATAGACTTTGCTGGGCACATGCAAGCCATTCTACTGGGGGAGCAAAAATAAAATTCTGCCTCATCCTGTCAATTGTCTCGTCCCAGATGTGCTGGAGGAAAAGAAGGAGCACGGGTGGGACATTCCGAGGCGGCCAGAGGCGATCCACTTATATGGGGTGGACTGCATGAGCACAGCAGACTGCCTGGCATACTTCAGCGATTACGGGCCCACCTTTGTGGAGTGGATCGATGACTCATCCTGCAACGTGCTGTTTGAGGATGACTACACCGCCAAGCGCGCCCTCATCGGCCTGGGCAAACCTCTGCCGCCGGACAACTCAGCCCCTGACACTGCCGGTACCCATTCATCCCCCATGTTACTTTGCTAGCTGAAGCAGCACGATTGCTGCACCTCTCTGAGACCAGCAGGGATGTGTTATTCTGAAAATAACAATGTGTGCAACGTCCTGTTCTGGTGCTCAAAATTGCTGTGTGAGGAGCTTCAGGCCTGTGTGCTATTCCATACTCTCCCATGGTAGTGCAAGGGGTCTGGGAAGTGCAGTGCTCTGAGAAATGACCTCATTGGTGGATGCGTGTCCAGGGTTGGATCCCACGGACATCAATAATGCGCCCTTCTTGTGGCACAAGGGCGAGGACTTCAAGAAGGGCTCTACATCTATTCCTCTCATGTACCGCATGGCCACCACTGCGGACGTGAAGCCGGCGCACGGCAAGAAGTTCTCGCGGTACCTGTGGAAAATGCCCGTCAGAAAGGTGGCCTGCCTGTCACCCCTATTGCATTGCCCCAATGGTGTCTTGTACTTCACAATCATAATGCCTGCTGTGCAGCACCCTTCCATCCCACAGACGGCTCCTTTATTAAAAAGCTCATCGCCAAAGCTATAGGGATCTCCAGTGGCATGTAGTGGGTCCCCAAAATTGCTGGAGAAACGGAAGAATTCAGTACCAGACTCAAAAGACATCGGCTATGGTATATATGGTACAAGGGAAATGTTGGTTTTGCGGTGCAGGCCCAGCGGCTGCAGAAAGAGGAGGTGCGGCAGAGGCAGCAGGGCACCAATGGAGAGGAGAGTGGCGATATTCAGATGAAGGGGACTAAGAGCACCAGGAATGAGCGGAAGAAGCGGAAGCGGCAAAACAGAGACGTGGATATGGTTGACGCAGAGGTGTGCCTTTCACTCGTCAGTGCTGCTTCTTACAGGCATCGTGTGCAATTTGATAATGATTGTCAACGATGTGACATCTGCAGACACACCGAAGGCAGAATCGCCCTTGCATGTAGAAATGCATTTTGCGGCGCTTTTTGAAGTGTCAGTGCATGTCATGTTCTTTGTGAGTGCTTTTCTGGCTGGTTCCAGATGGTTTCAGATCCCTGTCTGCAACGAGTCAGGGAGGGGCTTATATAAATCAAGGGAGTTCAAACTGGTCCTAAACTTTTGCATGCATGCATCTGTGGTGCAGGATATGGAGGAGGAGGAAGGAGAAGAGGAGGAGGAGCTGCCAGAAGCCAAGGTACCAAAGGCGGACGTGGCGGATCTGCGCGAGTTGCTGCGGCGCAAAGAAGGGCCGTCTGGGCTGTTCTCGTCCGCCGATGCCTTCATCCCATTCTCAGAGGAGGATGAGGAGGAGGAGGAGCTCCTTGATGCAGAAGTTGATGTGGCAGAGGCAATTGGGGCGGAAAAGACTCTGACTGAGAGCAACGGCGGCCTGGAGAGTACTGCTGCAGGTGTTGCTGCGAGGCATGATGCTGGGGGACTCTGACGGTTGCCTGTTGTTGGGTCTTGAAGCACGAGTCAGCTGCTATCAAGAGTCTGCAGCTGTCGAACGGATCTTGTTTACAGAAGTTGATGTTGCTAGCTTGGCAAACAGCCATTGACTGGAATCATGCTTGACATCTGCTCCCGGGCGAAAGTGCCGTGTTGTGAGAACATGAAGAGAGAAATGTGTTCAATCTGCTCACTAAAAGGGCACACTCAGCCTGTCAGCTGCAAGTTGACCAGCTGGTGCTGGCAACCATTACCCTACCACACCCCTATCCTTGCTGGCATTTTAATTACTCCCAAGTGCAACGGCCTGTGTAAAGCGACCAAATATGCGCAGCGCTGCATCCTGAGTTGGCTTTTTGTCAGATCCAAAGCTGATATTGCAGCAGCTGCAGCTACCAGAGGCATATCGATGTGCCATATGGCCACATCCTGATGATGCCCACGCACGATCTTGGCACCTCCAGAAAATCCAATAAAATTGAATGTATCTTGGATTTGTATAACTCGCCCATGATGATGCCCATGAGTAGCTACCAGGAAGCTTCAGCAACAATCAGCCCAATAGAGCAGGCTGCACAAGGACCCACGGCGTTGCCTGTGATGAAACGGCAGAAACAGGGAGCATCTTCATCGTTCGTGCGTCCCATTCTTTCATTCTTTCATTCTTCCTTTCAGTCCAGATACACTCACAAACGTCTTACTTCTCAGGATCTGAGCAAACAAGTGCAAAATTTGTGTTCAGCGCTATGGCCGAGAGGGGAGGATCGTTCCTTTCGCCATAGGTCCGTCGTAAAACTTTGTTGAGTGCTAGTCGGTTGGTGCCAGCAACCATTTGGGCTCCATTCGCCGCATCCAGTACAGTGATCTTTCGGAGTCTTCAGGTCTTGGGCCAATGAACGTCACCGGTACCATCTCAACGCCTACACCCAAAACTCACTGCTTGTGGTTGATGGTCTCCTCAGAGTTTTAAATGAGAACCTCTTGTCAATTTTGATCCCTTACAATATTAGCATGCAAGCTCAACCAGCTGTACACAGCCTCACTTTCAGCACCTAGACCTCTGGTCAATATGTTTTTGAGGATGACCTTGACTCCGCAGAAGGCAGTAAGTGTGTCAAGTCCCAGTATCGAGGAGTCCACGAAACCATACGCAAGGACGGCGTGACCGTCTGGTGGCCCTTCAATCAGCTACGTTCCTGTGAGTCTGCCGGAGCGCCTCCTGATCTCCCCAGCACTTGCTTTTCTTGCTCAACCTGCCCGAACGGTTTCGTGCAGCATACAGGAATCAGACTCCTCAGCTCCCCATTGTCTTCGTGCTTCTCTCATTGTCTCTATGTGTGCAGGTCACCGGCAGTATCTGGATGTCACTTGGATGAGGTGGAGGCAGCAAGGTGCTATGACATGCACGTGTTGAGAACGCATGGTCCCAGTGCACCCCTCAACTTCGACCCCAGCGACTACGAGGTGAGGAATGCAATTCTCACGCAATTCTCATACAATTCTTGCACACAGGAGCCGGATGATGTAAGCGTTTGAAGGCGCCGGTTTTGTTCCGCCCAAGGGTTGATGTTGAAGGCAGGTGTGAGGATGTGGTAACCTGGCAGGGTATGGAGCAGCTGCAGGAGGAGGAAGAAAAGAGGTGCAGCGCCGTGAAGGTGAGCGGTAGCGACGCTACCTCGCCTCATTGTCGACACTATGTTCAGGGGCATGTGTCCTGTAGTACAGGACCTGTACTACGGAAAGTCTCCACGTTTATTTATGCAACAACCTATGGATTGTTCCTACTAGTAGTACTGCGCAGCCTCGTTGATGATGCCCTGCCGCCATAAGTTGGAAGCGTGGTGGCATTTTAAAAGGCCTTTGCTGCTAAGGAAGGGCAAGCATTGACAGTGACTTGGTGGGATATAGTTACATAGGCTTTGCTCTGTGAGGCAAGCTTGGCGCAATAGTCTCTGCAGACCCTGATCTTGTCTAGCAATCCCATCAGGATGATCTTATTTGATGTACACTGAATGCTTAGTAGTGGTGCAATGGACAATAAGCCCATAACATATATACGCCACTGAATTAGGCATCTTCTTGCATGGCTATTTCTGTGTCATGCCTGGAATAGACCTTCCTGTCGAAGCTGTCGTGTTATCACAACGACAGACGGTCTGTGCTCTCGTGTATCTCGTGTGGCAGTCAGGTTTATGAATTAAGGCACCCGCACAAGAGGTCAGCTCTGCTTTGCAAATAATTGTGCACTGATATCATCGATGGTGCCGTACTCCTTTACAAGACAATTCTCATGACAGATAGTCCATGCACGATGTCACATGCACAGCGATACCACAAAGTTGCCTAAATAGGAAATTCAGGAGAAAGGAGGGAGCATTGGAAGAATTGCAGGATCTGCAACCCTTCATCATCCTTGTGGGCATCCTTGCAGTACTAAATTGCGAGAACATTGCGAGTCCACTCATTGATGAGGTCATGATAAGGGTGTCACGAGTAGAGCAACCAGGATAGTTGCAGGACAGGATTTGCTCGAATTAGTCGCCCCAAGGGCGGTCTTGTGCAGGCCCAATGGTAAGCAATGTTTTATTTGAGATAATTGATGTTATAACTTGTTCTGGCCCATGTACTGAATAAATTTGCTGGACGCAGTTGACAAAATTTGAGACAAAGTCCAATCGGGTGAAGGGTCTCTCCTTCCATCCAAAGAGGTGAGCTTATTTTGCAAGCATTGGATGTCGTATTGAGGGCAGATGTGTTCCCGAAGGAAACACCTTCGCTTCAGTTTGCACTGAGATGCACTGATTATGCTCGATTGCTCTAGTTGTAACTGGCCTAAACGAATCTGTTGAATTTCAATAAAATGGGTTGTGCCGCAGGCCATGGATTCTGGCGTCATTGCACAGCGGGGTTATACAGGTCTAAGCTTTTCCACCGTCTTTGCTGCTTTCTGCTTGCAGCTGATCAGGCTCATATGTTCTTGTCTGTTACTTCTGCAGTAGTGTCATAGCAGTCAGAGACTCTTACTGGAAACAAACTTTCGAATCACGTTGTGCTCGCGCTCAATGAGGCTCACCTTTCGTTTGTCGCTCTGTGACCAGAAGCTGATTGATTGTTGTGTGGGTGTCAGCTATGGGACTATCGCATGGGAACGCTGATAGACCGATTTGACGAGCACGATGGACCGGTTCGTGGGGTGCATTTTCACAAGTCTCAGCCTTTGTTTGTGTCTGGTGGTGACGATTACAAGATAAAGGTGAGATGCCCAACTTCAACCTTGCTATGAGTTGCGGGGACCGAATGTAAGCATGCCCAATTTTCCCATTTGTACACAATGCACCACATGATTGCATTCGTGCCCAACGCAGGTGTGGAACTACAAGCTTCGACGATGTCTTTTCACGCTACTGGGGCATCTGGACTACATCCGTACAGTGCAGTTCCATCAGGAGTACCCCTGGGTGGTCTCTGCCAGCGACGACCAGACGATCAGGATATGGAACTGGCAGAGTCGGACCTGCATCAGTGTGTTGACAGGTCTGGCCTTCCACATGGTCGTCCTTCACAGTGATGAGGCAGTGGTGCATGACTGCATTGCAAGGATGCTTGCATAATGAAATTCAGGAGGTTTAGAGCAAACTGATGATTTTATTCGTCTGCATGCAGGGCACAACCACTATGTGATGTCCGCCTGCTTCCATCCAAAGGACGATTTGGTGGTGTCTGCCAGCCTGGACCAGACTGTGCGTGTTTGGGACATCAGCGGCCTCAGGAAAAAGACTGTCGCCCCCGGAGGCGAGGACATGCTGCGGCTGCCACAGGTACCCTCCTAACAAGCCCTCTGATGGACCAGATTCACCCTACACATAGGTCCTTGTCGGCATGCAAAGCAAGCTTCACGAATAGTCAAGCAGACAAGATCAGTGATGAGTGCGCATATGGGTGATTTTAATGTCTGTGCTTAAATTGCAGATGAACTCGGATCTTTTTGGTGGCGGGGATGCTGTGGTGAAGTATGTGCTGGAGGGACATGACCGGGGCGTCAATTGGGCGGCGTTCCACCCGACACTGCCGCTCATCGTGTCAGGCGCAGACGACCGGCAGGTCAAGCTTTGGCGGATGAATGGTGCGCGCCTCATTCTCCATTGCCTCTTGAGAGCCTCCCTGGCTATATTGTAGGGATTAGGTGAACGCCTGCTGCCTGCATGACATGACCTCAGAGCAGCTGCATGATCAGTGTGTGCTTTCTATTGTGCAGATACAAAGGCGTGGGAGGTGGACACCTTGAGAGGGCACGTGAACAATGTCTCCTGCGTCATGTTCCATGCACGGCAGGTCAGACCCTCATCCACCTTCAATTGCAGAACTAGATGATATTTCAGTGGACAAGCCAATGCTGCATGAGGAGATTTCCCCGGATGTTCAGTGACTTTGGAGCTGAGGTGCGGTATGTGTGCCCCCAGGACATCATTGTGTCCAATTCGGAGGACAAGAGCATCCGCGTGTGGGACATGTCCAAGCGCACGGGCGTGCAGACCTTCAGGCGCGAGCACGACCGCTTCTGGATCATGGCCGCGCACTCCGAAGTCAACCTGCTGGCTGCAGGCCACGACAGGTGGCCCCCTCCCAAACATTCTTCTGTTGGCCCCCAAATCACCTGCTACACTGCTACTGACAGGATGTTACCTTCCAGATTGTGTTTGTTTGCACCCCAATCACGTGCTGCACCCTCCTCCAAATGCAAGCCCTTCACGCGCTGTTTCGGCTGGCGGTGACAAAATCGAGGAGGTATGATGGAGAGGACTGCCATGCAAGGGTGCTTGCAGAATGTTTTTCGAGATCATCTTCTGCGCTGGCTGGCATCAGCGCGATCGAGAACTAGATAATGAAATTGCCGTGCATGTGGCATGAGTCGTATGTGTGTGTGTGCTGCAGCGGCATGATTGTGTTCAAGCTTGAGAGGGAACGCCCAGCGTATGCGACGCACGGGGAGACGCTGTTCTATGTCAAGGAGCGTCACCTGCGTTCGTATGACTACACCAACCAGCGCGACAGCCCCCTCATCTCGATCCGCCGCATCGGCAGCTCTGGTGCATTTCTACTCTCTGCATGTCCTGTCACAGTATCGTGTGTCTCATTGCGCAGGACTCATTCCTTTGTCACAGCCTTCCTTGTGACTCCTGCATGCTATGATGAGATGATGGCAGGACAATGGCAATGGCAATAAATAGCTGCTGCCTCTGCTGCAAAGCATGCTGCACATGCAAGGCACTCAGGTTTCAAATCGGGTAGTGTCAGGGTCGGATTTCAATCAGCCACCCCCAACGGAACCTTCTGTGAGGTGAGAATGCCCACTGGATGGGAATCTGAATGCCATGTCTCTGTGGGGCAGGCACCAACTCTGGGCCGCGCACGCTGAGCTACAATCCGGCAGAAAACGCCGTGCTGCTGACCTCGGACGTGGACGGCGGCTCCTACGAGCTCTACCTCATCCCCAAGGACGCCAATGGAGCTTCGGTGGTGAGCAGCACCCTCAGCGTCACTAAATGTGCCGTTAGACAGCTTCAGGGATGATCGAAGATTTGGTGCTCACGGGTTTTTCAGGAGTGGAGGGCGGGCTCGAGCGCCATCTTCAGCTTGCAGCAGGACCCAGTTCTGCTATCAAAATGATGTCATGCACGACCAAGTGCATTTGCAAGTGGGCTGGGAGGCCTGCAAGCTCTTGGTGGCGGGATTTAGCCGGCACTTCATTACTGACTTGCACTAAGCATGGCTGCTCCTATCATGCTTGCAGGAACCAAAACGGGGCATGGGCGGTTCGGCGGTGTTCATAGCGCGCAACCGCTTCGCGGTGCTGGACAAGAGCTCCAACCAGCTGCTCATCAAGAACCTGCAGAACGAGATCACCAAGAAGTGCGCCGCCCCGGCCGGCGCCCCCACCGATGCCATCTTCTATGCCGGCACCGGCACCCTGCTCTGCCGCTCCGAGGACAAGGTGCGCCGCAGCCCCTCAGGGCGAACCGTTGTTACACCAGAGTGCGTGCGCCTGCCTGTATCAGGGCCTTCCATAGTCGCCACTTTACACATGCTCCAGGGTTACGTCTTGCGTCGTGATGTTCAGTCATCACACCGCAAAAGAAACCCTTGTGCTGCAGTATGGTGGGCACATGTGATGGCCTTAAGACGGGCAGGCGGTGGTCAAAAGGCCTTGGCAGACCAGTGCGCATGCTGCCCTTCAAGCTCATAGTTGAAAAAAAAATTCAATATGCCTCGTGAACTGGGGAACGGATTCTTGGCGTGGATGATGAGGGTGGCCTGGTGCTGGCGCAGGTGGTGCTGTTTGATGTGCAGCAGCGCACGTCGGTGGCAGACCTGAGCACGCCCTTCATCAAGTACGTGGTGTGGTCGGGCGACATGAACCACGTAGCGCTCCTGTCCAAGCACGCCATCATCATCGCCAACAAGCGCCTTGGCCAGGCCTCCACCGGTAAGGACAGGGTTACATCCCTTGCGCGGCCTAGTCAGCCGCTGTCATGTGGAGACCTCTTGACGCGGTTCATTGGAGAGGACATATTTTTGGTCCCTTCGATGTGCCTGGAGTTTTCTCACCGGTGTCAATGTGGCACATCACATGGCCATGAGAAGTGCATCTCGGTGAACCTAAAACAGGATTCTCAACATGAGCTTGAGCGCCGTGCTTTGCGTGCTGGCTGCCTGAAGGTCAAGCCTGCACTGCTTTGCAGACATGTTCTATAGAGAACTGTCAGCAATGCTTTGCCGCAATGCCAATTCGGTGAATCTGATGATGGGTGGCTCCCACCGTATGGGTGCAAGGGTGGGTGGTCTCAAAAACCCTTGCATGTGCATGCTTTGGGCGGTAGTAATCAGCTCCTCAGGGGAGTTTGCACTGCTGCAGTGCACGAGACGATCCGGGTGAAGAGCGCGGCGTGGGACGACAGCGGGGTGCTGATCTACACGACGCTGAACCACATCAAGTACTGTCTGCCCAACGGCGACTCTGGCATTATCCGCACCCTGGACGTCCCCGTCTACATCACCAAGGTCTTCGGCAACACCATCTACTGCCTCGACCGCGACGGCAAGAACCGCCAGATCGAGGCGCGCACCCCACCCTATTGATCCACGCCTCCTTGACGCACACCATAAATGCCTCTCATCCCAGCCTTTCTCTCGGTGCAGCTATGAGTCCCCATGCAGCTTACAACAGTGCACATCCGCCAGCTGCCAGCAAAGTCAAGGGTACTGGGCTTGCTGTAAAGAAGCAATTCCATAGCCTTAGGATCTGCGTCTTTCCGGCAAATACCATGACTCTTGACCTGGCGTCGGTGGCTGAAGGCATTTTCTTGCACTGGTGCTTTATGCATTTCTTTCCCCATCAAATGTCCAGCCATGGACCAGACATTCTCCACATTCTCTTCATGTGGACCTGTCAGGAACAGCGTGTGCTAGTCTTGCCACAAGGTGTGCTGTTGGTGCGCCGTGGAGGAGCTCATGCAGTGCTCCCTTGTGACATCAAGAATATTTCTGTTGCTGTTGTGAAGTGAAGACTGACGGCGTGAGCTGCTGATGTGCGCGCAGGTGGACACGACGGAGTATGTGTTCAAGCTGGCGCTGCTGCAGCGCAAATTCGACCAGGTGCTGGCCATGATCCGGGGCAGTCAGCTGTGCGGGCAGTCCATCATCGCCTACCTGCAGTCCAAGGGCTTCCCCGAGGTCGCGCTGCATTTTGTGCAGGACGAGCGCACGCGCTTCATGCTCGCCATTGAGTGCGGCAACATTGAGGTCGCCCTGCGCTCCGCCCAGGTACGGCCTGCTATCTGGGCCCCTTTGTGTGACGAGCCCAAACGTGCAAAGGAGCATGTTTTCCCGTGCATGCATCGTAGCTCATTTCCTGCCGGGATGCTGTTGCCCCTGGGGTGCTGAAGTGCTACTCTTAGCCATGCATGCCCCTCCAATGCACTGCAAGTTGCACAGCAGATCTCAACCATGCATGCTTGTCAGTTGCATGTGAATTTGCTATCCTGTCTTCCTTTGGAAATCCCGCTCAATGGACTTCATGCTCGACCATACGACTTCAAGCTCAAATGAAGTACTCGGAACTTGCTGTACGGCAACGCTGCAAGTATATTGCTGACGTGTCTGGATGGCTGTTGCGGCTGCGCAGGAGCTGGATGACAAGGAGACGTGGCACCGGCTGGGAGTGGAGGCTCTGCGGCAGGGGAACCACCAGATTGTGGAGTACAGCTACCAGAAGACCAAGAACTTTGAGCGCCTCTCCTTCCTCTACCTCATCACTGGCAACCTGGAGAAGCTGGCCAAGATGCTCAAGATCAGCGAGATGCGCAACGACGTTATGGGCTCCTTCCACAATGCCCTCTACCTTGGGGACATCCGCGAGCGCATCCGCATCCTCGAGGAGGCCGGTGCGTTTTCACTGTGCCAGCTCAGCTCTGTGTGCCAGCTCAGCTCGCATGACATGAGCACCAAGGTGCTGCAGCTGAGACGGAGAAAATGCAGGCGCATTGCAAGGTTCTGCATGAGGTGGTCGAGAGGAAGGCTGCTTGTTGCATGGCAGTGGGGCAGCAAAGATATCTATTAGGCAAAATAGGTATCTCGTGGGGCAGGAATATATCTCACTAGTGGTAGATATGTTCTCTGTTTCCTGCCATGCAACTAGCAATTTTTGAACCCACCCAAGTTGAGTGTCGTCGCCAGTCAAGATACCCTATCTGCCATCTGCAGAGAGCCAATTGAAAGAAGAGTTCAAAAGAGCTCGGTGTCGGCTTTGGTAGAACCCTTGGAGTATCATTCCTGCGTCCAGCAAGCCTCCAGAGAGCCTGCCTTCCGACCTCGCACATGTGCATGGCTCGCGCAGGCCCAGGCAGCGTCTTGTCAGGGCAGTCAAAACCCATGGAGCATCATACCTGCATCCAGCGGGCCCTTCAGATGAACTCTTTCCTGAGAGCGCTTCTGTGCATGTGCGTAACAGGCCAAGGCGCGCTGGCGTACGTGACGGCGGCGACGCACGATCTGGAGGAGGACGCGGCGCGGATCGAGGAATCGCTCGCACCCGAGCTGGTGGCGGAGCTGCGCGCGGGCCTGCAGCCGGACGCGCGCCTGCTGCTGCCGCCGCACCCCATCCTCAAGGAGGACAACTGGCCCCTGCTCACCGTCTCCAAGGGCTTCTTCGAGTCCCTCGCCGCCGGCGGTGCGCACCCCTTGCCCTGCTGTCTCTCCTATTCCCCATGGACTCGTCCTTTCAATCCATTGGACCCTAATGCAGTCTGCCTCTGTTTGAGGAATGGTACTGCATGATCTGCCTCCTTGATCGCCTGCAATCCATAGTGCAATGTCACTACAATGGGCATGACTCGTTGCCTGCTGATCTGGACCCATGTGGTCCGGCACAGTAATGTAGGAAATGCTCGAAATGCTGCCAGCGCGATTCCTGGTTGTCTTTTTCCTTGACCTCTCTAAAACTGTCAATTAGCTGGTGTCTGCGCATTAGGGACCCTCCCTTCCCTCTTTGCCTGTATCTGCATCAGATGGGTATGAGCAAAGGGGCAGGTGGGATGCACAATGCGCAGTGTATGAGTCCACACCCGGATTAATTTTTCACCGTATCATGTGGGCTGAGTCGATGCAGGCAAGTATCGAAGGCTACATATCCGGTTTGCCTTTAAGATAACTACGACTGCACACCAACTCAATTGCAGCACAGCTACATTTCGTCATGTGACTGACATGCGCCGCGCTCGTGGCTGCAGAGGCGGGCAAGGGAGATGTTGAGCTGGAGGACGAGGATCTGGACGCGGGCGCATGGGGCGATCCGGACCTCGACCTGGAGCCGCACGAGGACGGCGACGCCAACGGAGAGGCCGACATAGACCGCGCCGAGGGAGACGAGGACGAAGACGAGGAGGGCGGCTGGGAGATGGAGGTGCTTATCTACTTCCATGCCTCACTTACACACCTGCTGTTCAGTCCGCGAGGCCCATTGACGTGTGCATCATGGGATTTGCAAGGCGGCACGGGTGCATGCTGCCCAAGCACTGGCGTCTTGACCTTGCGCCCTTCCAACGCGCACGTCAGTCGGCCGAGAACGTTGGTGCTCTGACTTTGCAGATGCCCTGTTGTGCACATTGGTACCATCATATCCTATCACCAGAGGCAAGTCCAATAGCGGACAAGCAAATTCAACAACGGGAGCCTTCAGCGCCCGGGCCAGCATTGACGCACTTCCTTTGCTTGCATATATGTAGGTCTTTCAAAGGGCATCGTTCAGGTGAAGCGCATGCCCGTGTGGAGGGACAGGACAGTGACTGAAGGGTGCCCTGTGTATGCTTGCAGGATCTGGAGCTGCCGCCAGAGGTCATGCAGCCGGTGGCGGTGGCGGCCGAGTCGGCGGCGTTTGCCGCGCCAATGCCGGGAGTGCCGCCCTCGCAGCGCTGGCTGCAGAAGGGCAACCTGGCCGCCGACCACGTGGCAGCCGGCGCATTTGACTCCGCCATGCGCCTGCTCAACAGGTGCCCCTTCTTTCCGACGTCTGTTCAGTTTCTCATTCTCAATGACAGACTGTATTGTACATTGTAACCATATGAAGCGGTGTGCTTGTCTCTGATAATCTGGCATGCTTTCAATATTTGGCCCCACATCCGGCACTAGCAAAATTTTTCCTCAAAATCTGCGAGGTAGCATTGATGGGCTGAGGGCGTCTTGATTGCCGTGCAGGCAATTGGGCATCGGCAACTTTGAGCCGCTGAAGGCGCACTTCTTGGAGGTGTTTAGCGGCGCGCAGGCGTCGCTGCCAGCCCTGCCGGGCATCGGCGCGCTCCCGGTGGCCCTGGACCGCGGCTGGAACAGCGCCGACGAGCGCAAGCTGCCCACCAGCCCCGCCTTGGTGCGGCCTCACTTCTGCTTTTCAGTGAAACTTTACTTCTTAGCTTTCTACATCGCTGATATCTAAAACAGCCAGTAGAGAAGGGTTGCAATACCTTGTGTCCCTCTGCTCAATCCTCTGTTCTTTGCATCTTCTTGTTGCATCTTCAAGACACTTCTATGCAACATGCAAAGCACATGCCGTAAATTGTTGCCTGGCAAGATCAGGGCCCTTGTCTTGATTGAGAGTGCGAGAGCGATCCTTAAGACGTCCAGGCTTTCAATGTATTGGGCATGGTGCTCGCAGCCGTACTCGCTGGGCATGCTGGAGGAGAAGCTGAAGGCGATGTACAAGTGTGTGACGGAGGGCAAGTTCAGCGAGGCCCTGCGCCAGGTCAACGTGCTGCTGGCGCTTATCCCCCTCACCATCGTGGACACGCGCCGCGAAGTCGACGAGGTCAAGGAGCTCATTTCCATCGCCAGGTGCGCTGCACGCCTCGGGCCTTCCCTGGAACGTGCGTCATTCGGTATTGCCGCTAAGCTGCATGTGGCACCTATCTAGGGCGGCTGCTGTGTCTCGAGCATTCAGTTTCCGGGGATGTGCATTCCCCCAGTGATGTGAGCCGCATGAGTTCGTCCTGTACGCTATGTGAGCCATTCCTTCTAAAAATATCTTCCCGCATGCAAATGCATGGCTTCGGGCTGCTTTCCCCATTGTCAGGCTGCTTTTTTTGCCTTTTTGCATGATTATAGGTAAGTGCCCTTTTAAGGGATACCTGCAGCTGCTGATCACAAGGGGCATGAACTCGCAGGGAGTACAAGTGTTGGGCTGAGACAGCTCTTCTGATGGGCTTTGCAATGGTTGCCAAATCGAAGCTGTCTTGTGGCTTGCAGACCTCCTTGTCCTGTGAACACACTCGCGCCTGCAACGACCGCGCAGGCCGTACAATCTGCGTTGGGCTCAAGACAACTTTTCTGCTGGGCCTACAACACTCGATCACGGCCCCATGGATATATGTCCACATGCGCTCCTATAAAACTGGCAAAACGCGCGCAGGGAGTACAACATTGGGCTGCGGTGCGAGATGGAGCGCAAGGCGCTGGCGGAGGACCCCAAGCGCGCGGCTGAGCTGGCGGCCTACTTCACGCACGCCAAGATGCAGCCGGGCCACGTGGTGCTCTCCCTGCGCTCCGCCATGACCCAATTCTACAAGCTTGAGAACTTTGCCACCGCCGCCATCTTTGCGCGCCGCCTGCTCGAGATGAACGCCCCCGCCAAGGTGCGCCCCCTCACTCACCCCGGCGCCCACAGTTTAGGGGGTATGAAAAACCACCAGGGTACTGGGATACTCTTTGGTACCCCCCTGATAGTCTCCCTGACCCACACTTGTTGTCGTGCGTTGCCTGTCCGGCAGAGGCTCAGGGCCTGAGGACAGTACCCCACAGTGATAATGCATCCTTTGCTTGTGTGGATGCATTATTTAGTGTAGGGTACTTGACTCAGGCTGGTAGCCTTTGAGCTATACAGCTACATTGTTGTTGGCATGTCCATAGAGCATTAGTGCGGGATAAAAAAGGACAGGAATGCTTATTGAAGAGCATCAACGCCCTCATTATCACTCCCTTTGCTGATGATTCACCCGTTGTATTGGAAGGATCAGTCTTCCAACGGTCCCGCTGACCCATGATTTGAGACATTGATTGCGGGAGTTTCCCTTTTTTGGAGCGACTGGTGCTGATGGGTTTCTGAGCTTTCTGATATGAGCATTGGTTTGGGGACTGATGCCCTGAGGATTAGAATGTCGGTGCTGCTATTTCGTTGTTGGGCTGATGGGGATGTGGTGGCGCGGTGCAGATAGCGACGCAAGCGCGGCAGGTGCTGACGCTGTGCGAGCAGAAGGGCAGCGACAAGGTGCAGCTGGAGTACGACCCGCGCAACCCCTTCGACATCTGCTCCCTCACCTTCACGCCCATCTACAGGCAAGGCCTGAAGACATTGTCTTTGTAGTTTAGCCGCCCAAGTTGCCCTCCTTGCATGCCTCTAGAATCTATGCACCCCAGGCACCCAAATCTCATAAAGGCCCTCCTTGCATTCCGCCAAATCTATCTAGAGAGAGAGGTATGCAATTTTTAGGCAGTGAGAGCGCCAGGAGATGAGAGAAAGGGCTGCCTGTAATCTCAACCCTAAGGTGCTTGCTTGACCTGCCAATATGAGAGCACCTGATAGCAAAAGCAGGAATGCAAAGACAGTCTATCTGGCTCTGCTGGTACCTTGCAAGCAGAGCAGTTCAGGATACCTGTTGTGCATAGTGCTTCAGAGGAAGTGCCATTGGAAGTGAAATGTTGCGCTGGAAGTAGATTGGTGACAGCAGAGGTGATATCTAAGGAGGGAGGTGATTGGTGTGCGCAGGGGGAACCAGTATGTGGAGGACCCCTACACAAAGGCCAGATTCCAGATGGAGTGCTCTGGCAAGATCAGCCCCGTGGGCAACCTGGCCATCATCGGCGCTGGCGCCTCTGGGCTCATGTGCTCTCACACGCAGACCCGATGAAAGGAGACAATGCCATTGATGAAAGCGACTGCCTGATTACAGCGGTCTGCTGTCTGCAACCTGGGCGCGCTCTGTGTTTGTTGCGGCAGCAAGCGTGTAGGCTTCTACTGAGAGTCGCAGTAAAGGCTAAGGTAGCTATGGGTTATCTTGACTTTGAGTGTGTTTATGGGGAGTCTCTCTTGGCGCTTTCCAACATCCTATTCGAATTCAGGCAAGCTGTGTGCTCAGGACCTATGAGAGGACACATAGAACACAGATTGGCGTCCAGCCAGAGGCTCCTGGATTGTCTGCAGTGTTGGCTGATTTGCTCATATTCTAGTGTAAGGTCATGCGATACGAGTCCATCTGATCTATCATGATCAGATCCGATCTGTCAGAGTCTGTCCATCATGATCTAGATCCGTTACAGATTTTAATTTGGAATTGCTTGGGCTTGCGTACTTGCAGCAACAACATCTGCATGTGCACACCTATGGCTGGCCAGTGGTCCTCGAATGCACACCCATAAATATCTCCTGCAAACTTTTAAACTAAAGTGGGCATGGATGGCACCAAATAATTCTCTCCCTTTGACTTTGTCCCAGGTGGAGCCCTCAGGAGGTAACCGCCTTCCAGATCTCAGATCTGAGGACACAATGTTAATTCCAAAAGCCTGCAGGTGTTAGCTTTTATTATTTCAATCTGTTTGGTTGCAATGGCGGATAACGCTCATGCAGGAGGCAGCATGCAGAAGCAGGAAGAGAGACCAGATGACGATGCTGAAAGTGTCTTCTCAGACAGCGAGGAGGAGGGCGAGGTGCTTGGAGGAAGGCGTGATGTTGCCAGTGATGCAGAGGATGAAGGCGACGCGGACGCAAAGGATGATGCTGAAGGAGCTGCAGGTGAAAGGAAAACTCCCCCGTGGCCTGATGCTTTGCTGCAGGATGATCGCAGGAAGTTTGCTGTGTTACCGGCCAGATATGACATACTGTTCACTGATCTTCTGTCTTCTGTATCGCTTTTCCATGTTTGGAATCGTCAAGAGTAAACGTCAGCTTTGTTCCTTGAGGGCAGATCACTTCGTAAGCGTGCATGCAGCGCGCCTATACATTCTGTTGTGGTACATCAAAACCACATCTTTTGGTGTTAGTTTCTCGCGTATGCATTGTTGGGGACCATTGGAGATTTCGGGCTGGTCGAGTGTTGTCATCAAGTATACGCAGTCCATTAACCTCTTCTACGATTATAACGTCATTGATCGTCAATTCTGTTGCTTTCTGCCAGATGTCGAAGCAGAACGCTTTGGTGGCCTGTCTATCAGAGACACAACCAGAGCTGATGCCGTCGAAGAGGAGGGCTCCACATCAGTAGAGGGCGAGTATGAAGATGGAGAGCTGCAAGAAGGTGAGGATTCCTCGAACAACCAATACAGACGGCTAAGATACCCAGCTATGCTCAAACCAACAGCACTGCTTGCAACTGCCGACAGGGTATGCGAGCGAGGTGGAAGAGGAAGGTGAGCCAGAGAAGCCGGAGCCCCAGTCAAAGCCAGCAAGGAAAGTCCTGGAGCCTTTTGAGGTGCCCATGTCGGGAGCGTTCTGGATGCATGATGACCGAGGAGGGGATGATAAGGAAGGCGGCGAGGGGTGAGTCCTCAATTGCATCAGCATCTCGCCTCACCCCTTGGGGCGACACTGTTCAGATTCAGCGGTCGTGCAGGCTGTTGCATTGGCATTCAGGTCTGGCGAGGGCTTGAGCTGGATTTCTCTGTTGCCATTTGTGCAGGCAAGTGAGGCGCCGACCCAAGAAGAAGCTCTTCAACCCAGACGATGATGGGGAGAAGTGGCAGCATGACAGATTTGAGCTCTTGGACATGCCACCTGAGTACGATCAATACAGGGTGCACCCCAGACCCCACAGTACATATTGCAATTTGAACCACAATCGGAGTTGCATAATAATGCTGGGATGCATTCAATAATGACGTGGGTGACCAATTTCTCACGCATACATGGCATGCCTGTGCAGGGTTTCCTTCAGGAAAGCAGGCGCGGCAGAGGCAGGAGCGGAGGCAGGTGTGAGCAACCCTTTGCCACGTCACCCTAGCGTAGAGTAGGCATGTGCAGCCTTGTTCTGAAAAGATTCCAAGCTAATGGTCCTGAGATCCTGGTTGAGATTGCATACTTGCATGGGCAGGCAAGGGATGCAGGAAGAGGAGAATGCACCTCCGCCGGGTGAAGGCTTTGAGGTGGGCAATGGCAGCATCTACGATGACTCACAGTATGACTCATCGGCTCGCGGCGGGCGCGGCCGGCGCGGTGGCCGCGGCCGCGGCAGAGGCCGAGCCTGGTATGCGGGCGACCGGCAGCAGGATGGCTGGCCAGATATTGGAGACCAGAATGCACAGGTTGCGCTTTGTTTACCCCACGTCAGGCATTGTTGGCTTGAGGAAGAATAGTGTACTAGAAGACATAATACTACTTACAGACCTTCTTCTCTTGAGCCATGTGTCAGGAACGAGTCAGGAAGACTTACCTGCCGACCCCTGCATGTAGGATCTGAGCAGTTCAGGCCTTTCTGTTGCTTCCTGCTGATATGCTCTCTTGGCCACCATGCAAAAGAGGCTGCTTGTATTTGCAGGCAGTGCAGTCATACACCGATGGCCGGGGCAGGCGAGGCGGCCGCAGCCGAGGTATGAACTCTTATCATGGGAACGGCGCGGCAGTCGCATATGACAGCAGCAGCCAGCCAGGCAAAGGCAGCAGGGGCGGCAGGGGTGGCAGGGGCAGAGGCCGGCAAGGTGAGCTACCCCTTCCTCGACATGAATGGCTTCAGAGGAGATTATATGTTGGGCAACTCCCTCACACCTTGTCGCAGTGCATGCACATATGAGCGAGCGGGTGTGCGCAATGCAGGAGACAAGATACAGGAGGAGTGGCCGAGCCTCCCGGCGACGCTGCAGGCGTCTGCCTCAGGCTCCAAGCTGAATGCCACGGCCAAGGACTTCACGCCGCCGGTCTCCGAGCACGGCGGCCCCCCTGCCCCTGCAGCAGACTCCGCTGCGCAGCAGCCGCGCGCCAGCGGGCAGCTGCCGTACCGCCCTTATGTCCCGCAGCCAATGCCCGTCCCCCAGGTCTGTGTTTCATCAGAAACTGTGGGTTTGCTTTAGTCTTCAAGGGCAAATTTCTGTGCTTCAAGATTGGCATGCTGTGATCACCATAGCTTCTTTTTTGGCTGGTCACCAAGTCTGCTGAATCGTAGATGCACTTGTGGTCAGGTGGCGTACGGAGTGCCAGTTGGGCCCGGCTTTGTGCCAGGGCCGCTGCAGCAGGGCGCGGCTGATGCGGCCAAGCAGCGTCCGGTCAAGCGCCCTGTGACAATTCAGGCACCCCCAGACAGCCAGCAGACCGCAGAACCTTTCCCACCTCCTCAGGTGCCTTTGCTTGCCCTTAACGAGCAGCCCCCCAGGATTTTGTGTTCTTGACGTTTTGTGTTCTCTACACTTTGGATATTGGCAGAGCATGCCGCCGCAGCTTGGCAGGTCATGACTCAAAGAAGCTGTTTTGCCTTGGCAGGGATTCAGCAGCGAGGCGGCAGGACAGCAGCCCAATGGAGCGCCACAGGCTGGGCGCGGGCGCGGCGGCCGCCGCTACTCTGCTATGGCCGGCAATGTGTCAGCGAGTTGAACAGCGAAGAACTGACTGCATGGTCAGTCACTGGATGCGTATCAAGTACATCAAGTCTCCAGCGTTGGGGCACCTGTTTTGGTGTGTGATTGCGATGTGTTTTGGTCAGACCAAATGATGCCGTAGACCTCTGGCATTTTTGCAAAATCCTTTTGGCAGCCAGTGGCACTGAATGCATATGATATCGGTATCTTAGCTAGTATGCTACGTAGCTGTCAGTAGTCATATTGTGCGAAGACTTAGGTGGCCCCCTTACTGCGATGAAGACTACTAATGTCAACAGGAAGTGCTTGAGGAGTGACATCTGGCTGCTACCTTAGAAGTGCACGTGCCACTGGTCCCAGTGGGGAGTCCGGGACTTCAAGTCTCAGTGCAAGTCACCGCTGGTCATTGCATCAGACCAGGCCCCTCCGCTTGGCCCGCGTGGGAAAGATTGCACCCGCAGCCTTGCCGCAAGAGTGGCGGTTATACCATAATAATAGTATATACGAGCGTGCAATCGCAGATTGTCTTTAGTACTAAAGGGGTTATGCATGCGTGCAACATGCTGCAGAAACGTCAGAAGAACAGAAGTGAAGTGGGGACACCTAAATGGCATGCAAAAGCATCATGCGCCTCAAAAGTGAAAAGTGGTGTTGACAGCTGGATGGCGGGAAATGACTGAAATGGATCGCCGTCGATTCGACGTCAGCCTAAACTTCGCCAACAATCGCGTGCCCAAAACATGAGAATTTTCTTTGTACCTACACTTCACTACCTCCAGTAGTGTCACAGTATATCCATTCAGCGTGTTGTAAGCAGGCCAAGTACCTACACATTATAAGTCGCTGCCAGATCGCTATCAACGACAACTGTCAGACGCTTGTCGTTGGACCTTGCTTGACATCTGCACCAAGTCGGATCCGTGTTCTAAGTCATACTAATACTTGGAGGATCATCCGGATGGCCATCATTGCCGCCTGAGCGAGCAGGCGTCGCTTGACAGGACCGTTGTCACCCGCCAAGAACCTGGGGAAAGAATCTGCCCTTTTCCTGAGGGCCTTAGCAATGTATAATGCAAAGGCGGATTATTTGCTTGGTAGATTACCAGGGAATAGTGATGGCAGCAGTACGAGCTACCAGCCCAGCCCAAGCCCAAATTACACAAGCAGCGGCCAGCTGAGAGATCAACCAAGTCTCTGCTGCCTCTCGCTGGGAGGATCTGGCACGAAAGGGGTACAGAGGCCTTTTGCCATGTGTGTGGCAATGTTTCTCAGCGGCTACCTGGCGCTCTGGTGCCTGGGGTGGGGTGGAGGGTTGCCACAGACTTGGAGACGATCAACAGGTGACTGCATATTGAAAATTCTTTGCTCCAGCATGTTGATCACATAATGACCCTTCTCCGCCTCAAAAATTTTGCAAGGGTTTTCATCCCCACCGATTTGCTTCAGGCATAATGTGCGTCTTGCAGGTCTGGAGTTGAGGCAGAGTGTCTGCAGCTATGGTGATCTACCTGGCTATTGGTATCCTGTGGCAAATAGGACGGTCGGCAACTGGACATTGTTAGACCTGGATTGCCAATTGGAGGTGAGAATTCCGATGTTAAACCCCGTTGCCGCACATCTCTGTGCACAGGGATATTGTACTCAAGGTGCTAATATTTTGCTGTACAGGATCGCTTGGGGCACCATTTGAGGTTGGCAAAGGAGTCGCAGACCTTCAGCAGTGACGATGTGGGCATCTTGTTGCTGGGGGACTCTGCTGACCGCAACCTCATCTTTGACATGTGCATAGAGGCCAGCCAGCAGGTGCTGCCCTGCCCTGTCCATGCACGATGCATTTGCGAATTCTCCATAGGATGTTCTATACAAGATATACTGAGGCAAAGTTGGTGTGTACCCGAGAAGCTGACATTTTTATGGCAGAGATGATTTGTAAGGCACATGCTCACATGCGTCAGCCTGCTCATTCAAGAAAGGTATAAAATTTGGCAGACCTGTGGCAGGTCAAAAGTGCTCAGCCTGACAGTCCTCCCATGCATGTGCAGGTGCAGCCGTTCAACATCAACCTGACGTCGGTGGGGCCCAAGACATGCAACAGGGGCGAGGAGTGGGGGACCTACAAGGACGTGGTCAATTGCAACACCTGCAGGATACCGGGCCTGCGTGTGACCAAGGAGAGCATCTGGGGATTCTTTGAGGGCGAGGCTCCCGAGCAGCGCCTGGGGTTGCCTCTGGAGAGGACACAGGAGGTGCGTGCCATAAATTTCTGGAATGTAAAGATCCTTGATCGAGTTTACCGCTTGTATTCTTGTGCATGCATCATTGTACTGCTCTCTCTCTCTCCAGGTGAGCATGGAGAGGCCGGCCTGATGCTCACAGACATGACGGGAATTGGCTCATGACTTTTTTGCCGTATTGGCAGACCACCACCTTGAAGTCATTTTATTTAGGCAAGTCTGACCTCTGGTTTGATAATACTGAAATCACCAGAAATAGCCACCGAATACTACTGAAGCCCCAGCAGGAAGGTTGTACCACATGCAGGGCAGAAGGGGGTAGGATGGGCCATGCTTGCAAAGATAAGGCACTCCGCCCGGCAGCAGAATACCAAGATACAGGTTTGCGTGTGCGCACATAGGGGTTGGAGCTGTTCAAGGAGGAGCATGGGCGCTACCCAGACCTGGTGGTGCTGCACAGCAACTACTGGGACATCGCACAGATCGTGCTGTTCCGGCAGTGGGACGCGCCCGAGTGGGAGTATGTGCGCTACATGCAGCCCTGGCTCTCCAACGCTGCCAAGGTCGCTGCCTTCCTCAAGGTGCGCTGCGCTGCTCCTCTGTGCTTCCGAAATCCACCTTCATCCACCACAGGTGCTGCTCCCCTTGTGTGTTTGTGCTGTTGGCCCTCTGCATGGGCCTGCAGAGATCGCCTTGCCTCTTTTTGCTTGATTTCCAATTATTATGGAAGCCTTTGCTGTGCTCAGCTGCACAGCATGCCAATTGGCAGCGCGGGCCTGTCTGCATTGCCAGCTTGGACATGTTACGGAAGGGCCATTAGCAAACGGGCGCATGAGTAAGTGTTATTTGAAGGGGCTGGTGCACCTTGCAGGAGAAGGCGCAGGAGACGGGCATGTTGCTGGCATACCGCACAGTGCAGTACCCCCAGAGGGAAAATGCCACGGCCAGCGGCGCAGCCAAGGACCACCAGATCGGAGAGCGCTTCCATGTCACCTACCTCAACGCTGCCGGTCGAGAGGTGAGCATTACTAATCGTGGTCATGTCTTGCATTTGTCATCTGACTGTACAAGTGCATCAGTCAAATCAGCCCCTCAATTTTGCCCCGGCTGGCGGGGGCCGGTATATATACTGAGCATCGTGCCCACGGTTGATTGGGCCTTACTTGGATCTGGCGAGTCCAATAGGGCAGGAATGTGGCAGCCTTCAACTGCAGCTTGTCTGCAGGACGCACCTTGCCTCTTGGCAGGAATACATGTAATGATAGTAGTAATGTTATCAATCAGCCCCTTAGATGCTGCCCCTCTGCTGTAGCATGGCATTGTTTGCATGTGCTGCCGAGTGATTGGTGCGCTACCTTCCTGCTTGATATTTAATGGGGGTGTGTCTTATCTCGCAGCTGGCGCGCAAGTTTGACATGTTCCTGGTGGACATTGAGCTCATATTCCAGAAGTTCTGGTCCACGCACGAGTTCCTGTCAGACAACCATCACCTCAACAGGGACGCAAATTATCAGGTTCTGAATTTGTATCTGAATCTGTTGCGCAATAAGAGGCGCCACACACCGCAGGAGCAGCCCGTCAGCCGGGCCCTTAAGATTCTTTGATCTATTCTTGATCTGGAACTTCATGGCGAGGTTTAGCCATGTCTTTTAGCTTTTCTTGCCATACGTGGAGACAATCATTCGGCAAGAATGCTGGCAACTAGGTTGTGCTATTGCACTTTTTGTTGCATCAATAGCACATTGGCATTTGATTAGGAGCCCAAGTCCTAGGAGGGCGAGGATGACATCTGTGTCCACAGCACGATGTCAGGTTGGCGAAATAATTTGAGAATAATCGCTCGCACGATCCCTTTGGATGGCCTGAAGATTAGGAACGCTAGAATTGAGAGGAGGGGGGCCAAGAGTTTGCCAGAACAGTGCTCATCTAGCAATATCCCCATTGCACCAGCTGTCTGAGTAGGTGAAACAGATTGGCATTTCACTTTCATTGAATAAGGGTACTAGGCGAGGTTGCGTGACTCTCTCTGTGCTTACAAGCCACTGGATGCAGTCCGTATTTGCATTCCAGCGTGATAGCGCTATTATTATTATTATTACACGCTTTTCCTGCCAAGAGGCAAGGTGCGTCCTGCAGACAAGCTGCAATTAAAGGCTGCCACAATCCTACCCTTGTTGGACTCGCCAGATCCAAGCAAGACCCAATCAACCGTGGGCACTATAGCGCTATATATATCATATATATCATATATATATCATATGGCTGTCATGTGCTCACCTGAAGCAAAGGTGCCACTAATCCTGGGCACATGTGTACACCTAACATCAAGATACCGAGTAAGCATGTACATTGTAAACAGGATAACACAAATCCTGCTGGACAACATTGACTGCAATGGTCAATTCAAGCAGTGCGCATGCAACGGAAACTCCACTTCAGTCACTTTGGCGTGAATATAATCCATATTAGGAACTTTCCACTAACCATCCACACGACATGGCACATTTGCATACACATATATTGCACAGTGAGCTGCCCAACCTTTCTCCTGCAAGGCACTGCATGCTCATGTGAATAATGCTCAACCAAGACAAGGAAAAAGTGTGCACATCCCGGACTGGGGGCACATTAGTTTTAACTAATGATGTGTAAATCACTCTAGCGGCATTGCAGGATGAATCCTTTATTTTCAGACACAAGAAAAGGCGGCTGAAAGTCATGCAATCAGATAAGAAGATAGCTGGCTCCCGCATGCCCACACAATCCCATGGTTTGTGCAGCCAAGAAAGAAATTTGGCGTTAGAAGGCCACAAGCTTGACTGATGGCAATACTTAGATAACACACTGCAAAACCAGGCAGTTAACCACACAAGGTGTGGCCCAACGCTCACAATTTATCCCAGCGTGCACGGCACGCATGCAGCCAATAATGCGGCAAAAAGCTTTGCATTCCCCTCGGGGCTTTACAGCACCCCGACCTGCTCGTTCGCTGTATTGACTGCCCTCATACTTCGCCGCAGCTCACAGTGTTAGCCCGAGGAAAAAGTCTTGCATCAACTGCAGACAGCAGAGGAAATATGCTGAACCCGCGCAGCCTCAAGAACGCAATACTTCTGAACCATGCCGCTGGCTGACATGCCAAGCTGCTTCCCTCGAATTTCCACCTTGTACTATGAAGACATGCCTTCTCCATTAACTCTCTGAAGCCCCTTCAATGCAGGGATTACATCCCCTGGTCCCTATACCAGCCCGATCTCTAGGCGGACATAGAAATCACATGGGAGAAGGGTGGAGCCAGCGAAGCTTATCTGACCTTCTACTTGCCAACATGGACCCCGTCAAAGACCTGCTTCTTGCCCCTATCCCACTGCTGCGTCCCGCCAAGTCCCAATTCTCAGGAACCTTGTTACGTGGGGGTCCTGTCAGTTGTGCCGATGCGCAGTGGACTTCTAGCCGGATTGATGCAGACTCCTTGGGTCCACAGGCTGCAGATCCAGCTGGCCGGCGTTCTGCGCAGCAGCACGGATGAATTAGGACTGAACCAGGTCCCGCCCGAGGGCACACAACGGCTGTCATGACACACATGCATGCATGCTGTATCCATACAACAAGACAAGCAAAGCAAGGACAAGTTGCCAACCCCTCTTGGGCGCTTAGAGCTTGGAATTCAGATCTTTTCAAAGGTTCAGATCTTCGCCCGCTCAACGCATCTCAGGCTCGAGGGGGGCATTAATTATCTTCCAATCTGGTCAACTGAATCTCTTGCCCACAGATTTTGCGTTACTACTTGCATGACAACAGTAAATAACTCCGAGGTCATGAGGGTCCGAGGCAGGCTGAGTGTGCTCACCCGCAGGATGGCAAAGGCTTCTTGCGATGTGAGGGAGCGCGCTTTGCTGCCTCTGCTGTTGTTGCTAGTGAACAGCGGCTGCCCGTTCTGGCTGCTTGACAGCTGACCTCCTGACATTGAAGGGCTCAAGGTCGGGGGTGCCATGCTAAAAGGCCCCATGCTAGTAGGCCCCATGCTGGTAGGCCCCACCACCTTCAGGCACAGCAAGATCGGAGTTATGTGCATGCCCGCAGCTTTCCCACAAAAAGAATGTACACCTCCACAGTCTTCAAAGGAAGGTACCAAAGCGCAGTAACCCAGCACAGCATACAGAAATCTCTGAACCCGTTAATTGCTAGGATGCAGAGATAAAGAGAGTGCATGTGGGTCACCCATGCAGGAGTCATGATGAGGGGTTATGAATCACCTGTGTCTGCTGTTGGAAGAGCTGAGAGTTTTTCTTGCTGATGACATACTTCTGTAGCACCAGGCACATGCATCAGAACCACATTATCGAATGGCACAGACAAGTCAAGGATACCAAGGATGCCCTATCTTCACCTGCACAAGCAGAAGCAAGGAGAGCTAGAGGGCGCAAACCTGCAGTGATTGAAACGCAGTGATGTACCACCTCTCGAATGTGTCCTTCATGCCTTGGGCATGCTGTGCTTCTGTGTACAACTCCCCTGCTCAAACCAGAAGAAATGCTGACTCACTGTAGACCTTGCAGCTCACACAAGGCCCCCAGATCACCTTTGGCGAGAGGCAACCTTGACAATCAAAGTGATTGATACTGCAGATTATTGAACGGTGACATGTAGGCCACAAAATCTTTCAGGCAGCCTTAATGGTCGCACCCTCCCAATCAATCAGGGTCTCATTGCCCACTGTGATGGGATGCACACGCGCTGTGCAGCTGTAGTTCACCAGGGATGCAACAAACGGGTTCACTGAGTCTGGGTGGGAGATTAAACGCCATTTCCTGCGCAGCAAGAAGGCTCTGATCTTCGTTGACACGGTCATTGTGAGCTAGGAATTACAGAACGTTCCTCAGCATCTGTGCATGCACAAACCCAGTCCAGAAGCCAGAGCCTCACAGGAACTGTTGATCATCGTCCAGAGCTACCAGCCGCTCATAAAGCCTCTGCTCCCCGATCGCGACCATTCGAATGCTTCCAATGGAGGCCTCCCCACCCGCCTGAGTCACACAACTTACTGTGGGGAGTGGAATTTGACAGATGTCTCACAAAATTCCAGTGGGAAAGGATGCCTCGCTGAGGGCGCAATTACATAGGCTACCCATCGATTGCAATTGTATACTCACCACGACTGAGACGATGACGTCTCGATCGTCCAGGGATGGGAGCCAGGCCATTTTCGTCCAATCCCTGCAGGAGTAGCAATCTCCCTCGGACCACTTCAGAGGAGTGCTTTCCTCAGGTTCCAAATACAGCACCTTCCACATAAGCACAGATGTAGTTGCTTCTGCTAGGGATATGTCAGCAAGTGTACCTGAGTGTCTCCCATGCCTCACTGATAGGAACTGTCAGAACACAACTTGCACGTGGTCTAACGAAAGCTAGCGGTGCATTCTGACTGGTCTTTTGCTGAAGAAGGGCGTTGTAAATGCCGCTATGGTCTGTCATGCAGTCATGTAGATCAATTTGCCCGCCCCGCAGGGGATAAACAAGCCGACGCCCTCTCGGCTGACAACAGAAGTATTTGTGCCGTGTCCCTTTCTTCTCTGGATCAAATGATGTATTTACTCTTCTTCTGTTGTTGCAGGAAAGCAAAGCGCTTCCCGGCATGATCACACTCCGTTCGGCAGTCTCCAGTGGCGTTCCATCGGTGAAGTGGGTTCGTCAAGAATTTTGTGCTTTTTGACTTGTCGCTGATTTGGACCGACATACATCCACAAGCAGCCTTGCAGTCCTTTTTGGCAGTTGATACTTGTCTGCGTGCTGGGATGCATATTTTCGGGTATTCATGATGTGTGTGCTACTGATGGTTTGAGATATGTGGGACGCTTAATCAGCCCTGTGTGGCTGGAAAAAGTGTAATCTCTCTCTCTCTCTCTTTGCATAAAGTTTACTATTCCAAAACATTTGCATGAGTTGCAATTTGGCATTGTAGCTGCACACCAGCAGGGCCCAGAAGCCTCATACGAGCAGCCGCGCTTTGCTATAGCAGTGCCAGTGGCCGGCGGGCGCGGCGGCGACCGCCTGCAGACATGTATATGACAGTCAATCATGACGTCATGACATTGATGCATCCATATGGAGCACGGCAGCTTCGGCTACGGAAGGGCCTTTTGTGTATGCCACGTGGGAACCAAAAGACATTTGATATGTACGCGAGTCCATGTGCTATCGCCGTCATCGACGCAATAAGCGCAAACGAGGAACAATAACATTGTTGACATCACTAGGCAGATGCATGGATTTCAATAAAAGTGAACAGTGTACAGTGCGCGGTCATGACATGTCCACCTGTACACCTGATCAGATGGGAGTTCACAAGAAGCAAACATCCATTTTCACATTCTGGTCAAAGCCCAAGCTGAGTGGAGGCAGGTCAGTCTCTAACAGCACTGTACTTGCAAGCAAGTACGCATGCCCGATAATGCAGATCTTGCACCGCAAGCCTTATGCATGATATACCCAGGCCATGCCCTTGGCTACGCAAAGAATCAGAACAATTGTGGCAACTTGACAGCATCCCTCCTCAAACAGTGCTGCTCATGTACAGCCGGAAGGACGCAACCATGACTGTCAGTGACACAGGTGCAAAGAATAATAGGACATTGCAATAAAGTGCTGTGCTGCTGAGGGGCATAAGGTCACTCAGACTTCAATCCTTGTCCCTTAATCAGATGTTTATAAAAAGCAATTTCGACCTGGAAGAATCCTGCATGACCTGTTCGGCATGCCCGTTCGGCGCTTTGCGACAAGCAGAAGCAGAAGGAGTACACAGAAGATTCAGAAATTCGCTACTTGCTGAGTTTTGACAGCCCATGCAGTGCGTAAGGGGCTACAATATGAGTGACAACTTGTACACCGCAAGGCAGCCCTTTCTCATTCTTTGGCGCTTGCAACGGCACCATGTCTTGCATTCTCCATTGCTGTATCCTGCGGGACACCCCCGTGTGCACATCATGAATGGCCAACCACTGGACTGTTGCAGTTTGGGCTGCCAGTGCATCCCTGAAAAGCATATATTTGTCCTTTATACAGATGCTGCGCATTTGCCCTTTTTCACACATGCTGCGCATTTGCCCTCTTTCACAGGTGCTGCGCGTTGCTGCGTCGCCAGCTGGCAAGGGGGCTGCCAGCCTTGCTCAGGCTCTTGACGAGCCACTTGTTGACCGGGTCTGGCGACGGGGGCGATCCCTTTTGCTGCACGGCCGGCCGGCCGCGTGCGATCTGCCTCAGCTGCATGCACTCCTGCTGTAGCGCCGCCGCCTCTGTGCGCGCCTGTCAGACAATGCAGGAAACCATTTAAGAAGTATCCTTTCACCAAGTTGTGTCAGCCTTATTCCTCCCTTCCAGAGGCCACCGCCTCTCTGCAATTCTGTCTGACGCCCCAGACAATCAGCCTAAGAAGTCTTGGGTCTCTACGACATGAGCATGCATGGGGATGCCTAAAGAAACATCAGGCCTGTTTGAAACCTCATTAAGTTAACATTTTGTGAGTTAACCTAGTAATGTGCGGTGCTATTTCACCTGCGCGAGGGCGGAGCGCGCTTCGGAGAGGTCTGCCTCGAGGTTGGCGATGCACAGCCGCTGCGCCGCGTCGACCGGCACCGCTGCCGCCTGCGCCTGGCTCCGCAGCAGCTCGTCCACGCGCGCCTGAAGCAGGGAGCATGCCAACATCAAGGAGAATAACATCCCTGCATGCAATTACCCTTCTACGCTGAAAGAGACCTTCCCGCCAATATACTGGGTGTCGTCGCAATGCTGGGACCAACTTAATTGTTGTGCTTGGTTCTCAAACAAAAAAGAAACACGAGCAAGATGCACTCGCAAGTCAGTGGCATGCATTTTGAGCTGGCAGTCGGACGGGCAACCTGCTTATGTAAAGTTTTTGATGGCATGACAGCCAAGTTGGTGCCAGCACAGAAAAGACACCAAGTACCTTTGAAACCTATTGCATCAAATGGAGCAGGCTCTGGTAGCCCTCATGACAGCAGAGCACCGCATCAAGCTTGCCGAGGCCCACAAGAGCTGGAGCACAAGCTAAGAAAGGGCGCTTATTTGGAAGGGCAGGGCAACAGCTTGATGGCCCCTTGCACGCCCAATTAGAATCAATTTATACCCTCAGAAAACTCCTTCGTGAATATACGTCCTCTGAGGCCGCACTACCTCCATGGCCTGATGCGTCTGATTTATGGAGGCTCCAGACGCTCTCATGACAGCAGAGCACCGCATCAAAGCTTCCAGCCCCTCACAAACATTGGCAACACAAGCTAAGCGTCCGCACACCTCCATGGCCTGCATGGTGTCCCAGGTCCACTCCTTCTCGGACAGCAGCTGCTCGTTGCACAGCTCCAGCGTCTTGACTTCCTCACGCGCGGCCGCCTCTGCGCACCGCGCCGCATCGGCGGCCGCATGCAGCGAGCGGCTGGTCTCGTCCGCCTGTACCGACACCTGCTGCAGCTGCACCTGCAGCTCCGACACCTGCGCAGGTATGCAACACATTGTTTAGCCACAGGAGAGTGCAAAATGTTCAGAACAGGGCGAGTGCAACTTTTGAGGAAGGGCTGGCTCATAAAACTTCTCCTTGGGGCGGGAAATGGTCAGAGAAGTGCATAGACAGTCACAGCTCCATGCTCTGCCTGCTCCCCTGACCATCAGCACCTACCATTTCTAATTCAAGAATGTTTGACGCCAGTATTGCTACTCGGTTTGCATATCTCACAGGCAGACGAGCTGGAACCCTTGATCGCATGTGCAAAAGAAGGTTGATAGATATTGTGGGTGTCTGTGGTGTCTAAAGGGTGCACATGCTTACCTGGCCTTCCGCGGCTTTGCAGGCTTGTTGCAGGGCTGGGATGAGGGCCGCCTGCTCCGCATTGGCCTCCTCCAGGCGCTGCTTCTCGCCGTGCGCCTCCGCCAGAGACCTCTCCAACTGGCCCGCAATTTGCTGCACCTGTGCCACGCACCAAGTGCCTCCCGTTAATTCATTATACCCACTTAAGGTCAAATTAAGTTGCTCATGTAACACTCGCAGGTTTTCATGAACCCTTACAAACCTGCCCAGCATGCCCATGAGTCTGGCGGCTTGACAAGAGCTTGTAAGAATTCCAGGGTCATCTGTGCAAGCCGTCACCAATCTCTTGAAGCAGAAAAATCAAAATGGCGTTCGCTCTTTCTGCTTGAATTCGGACCAGGACGGTCAGCACAGACAGTGTACAGTTACCCCTGTGTACCTGTATACTTTGGACATTGTTGGTGTGCTGAGATGGATTGATGAGACTGTTGTACATTGTGGACAAAAACTTGACCCCGGCTGGCGGGATGCACTTCGAATAGTGAGCACCGTGCCTACGGTTGCTTGGATCTGGCAACTCCCAACGAGGGGTAGGGTTGTGGCAATCTTTAACGTATGCAGCTCATCTGCAGGACCCACCTTGCCTCTTGGCAAGGAAAGGCGTATAACGTTAGAAATAACAATAATAAAACTGAGACCGGGAATCACCCTGAGGTCGTCGGCGTGGCGGCTGGCGATGCTCTGGCGGAGGGCGGCCTCGGCGGCGGCGCGCGCTTTGTTGGCTGCCAGCACATCGGCGCGCTTGCGGGCAAGGGAAGCTTCCGCCGCGCGCAGAGCTGCCGCCTGCGTCTCCACAGCGCGGCCGTGCAGTTGGGCCAGCCGCGCCGCGCCCTCGTGCTCCCGCTCCAGCTCCTCCGCGCGCGCGACCGCCGCCGCCAGCTTTTCCTGTGCGTTGCAAAAGTGAATCGATGTCTTCCTCGGCCTCTGCCAGCCGTAATATGAGCAATGTTCAAGCGTTAGAGAGCAGCCTGCCGACTGGGGTGTGGCGACTGAGACCTGAGACCAATATTCAAGCGGCAATATAATTACAATGTGGCGTCTGCATGGAATAGCATTCGCTTATGTGTGGCCTCAGCATCTACCGGTACACGGCAAGAGCAGAAACACACGCACAGCTGAGGAGATGCACATTTGAGCAGATGCGCACCTGCATTTGCGCAAGGGCTCCGCTGCGGTCAGGGGTGGGCGTGCCGTTCACTGAGACAGGCGCGTCGATCTCGCTGTCGGCGTCAAAGTAGGCGTCGATGTCCAGGGAGCTGGCGTTGCTGCCGGCACGGCTGCGGGCGTCCTCGAACACGTCGCCGTCGCTCAGGAGGTACCCTGAGCGCCCAAAGGACGAGGACACCGACATGGCGTACGGACTGAGACTGCGTGCACTGGCGAAGGAGGCGGACGACTCCGCGGAGCCGCGCGGGGCCGGCGCGTCGGCCGACGACGGCGCCGAGAGAGGGTGCGCACTGCCGGGCGACCACAGCTCGAGCGACGGCGGCCGCCGGCGCCGGCGCGATGGCCCCCGTTCAGACCCGGCATCTATGGTGTCGGGAGTTGAGCGGTCTGTCCCCCTGGAGGGTCCCTCGGACAACGCCGTTTCCGGCGTGGTCGGCCCCTTGGGCGCCGCGTCGCCGCGGCGGGTCTCCGGCGGGGATTCCAAGGCCACATCCCTGGGGCCTTGGCTCGGCGGCTGTGCCGGCGCGGCCGCCTTCAGGTGCACGAGCTCCGCCCTGAGCTCTGTGAGCTCCTGATCCCGCTGCTGCAGGCGATACTCTGAATGCCGCAGCTCCTCCTTGAGCCTTTCTGCTTCTGCTTGCACTGCCTTTGATTGCACGGCTTCTACTTGGAGGCCTTCTTGCGCTCCCCTGCTGTTGTCCCTCAATGCCCGACTGTCTTGCTGCTGCGGAGTGTTGTCTTCTCTGAGCAGATCCTGGGCGCCGTCCGTCTGTGTGGCAGCCTCCATGCATGATTGATGCGCCTGCCCGCCTGGCGTCACAGCCTTAAGCGACCCGCTGTGCACGCTGAGGTCCGGACTGCTACTAGAGACCTCTGTGTGCACTGGTCCTTCCTGGGCATCTGAGCCGGCCGGTAAATCCAGGCGCGCCTTCAGCGAGGCAACCTGCTTCTCAGCCGCCTCTTTTGCGGCGAGCGCCTGCATAAGGATTAGCATGAGTCAGGCATGGAAGGCAACTCTCTAAGCAAACATGCATCGCTGCAACTCTGCCCGAAAATTTGCATAAGCGCTGATGAACCTGCTGTGAGTGCACATGGAAAAGAGAAGACACTGGTACAGGATCAATGAGAGTTGGACGCACTCCACTCCTGGCAGGGCACAATGCAGTATGGAAGACAAAAGGGGCGCTGTGGCGCACCAATGCACGGTCATGCTCAGCGGCAGCCTTGTCGCACAGGAGCTGCGAGCGCGACTGCTCCGCCTCTCGCAGAACCTTCAGGGTGCGGCGGCGCCGGTCCTCGGCCACATCCAATTGGCGCCTCTCCGCCGCCTCGCGCTCTGCCTTCGTCGCCTTTGCCTGATCATCACGAACATGATGTCCACTCAGCGAGCATCCCTAATCTGAGACCCAGAACCGCCTTGAGCCTTCAAAATGGCGTTCCTTCAACTGCGTGAAAAGCTTAAAAATTGCACAACCAAGCATCTAAACACTTTTCTAGCTACAGTCCTCATTGCATTCTCGAGAAGGGAAAGCAGGGACCTCAAGCTCTGAATTTAATGGGGTGCAACGTGAGGGGTTGCTCTCACCTGCGCATGCAGCCGGGCGACGGCGGCTCGCAGCGCAGCGATGCAGTCCTTGTCGGCCACGGCCTCGCGCTCCGCCCGCTGCAGCGCCCCAGCATACCCAGCGCAGCGCGCCTCCAGCTCAGCCGCCTTGGTCTGCGCAGCGTCCCCTCCACACCGTCAAACGAACCCACAGCTGTGTGTTGCACAATACCCTCCACATGCATCTTGCCTCCAGTGACCAACCTTGTAGACAGAGTGTGAGAGCGCGCCGCACCCTCACACATGTTGCCATGACTAACTGAAAAGGACCCCCAAGCACGGCACCCTTGCTCAATGCATGCAATTCATGACGACGAGCCACACATGCAGGGTTGTAGAATAGGAGAAGAGGGCACCTCCAGGGTGCTCTTCTCTCGCTGGATAGCGTCCTGCAGCTCGTTAAGGGTCCTTGACCTGGCAGCCTCGGAGGCGGCCACGGCGCTCTTCACCTCTGCCAGCGTCTGCAGCGCCAGGTCACGCTCCGCCTGGCATCCAGTCATCCTCGTGTCAGGTTCCCGCTCAACTTCTGAGCGCTATGTCAGACTCAGAGAGCTGACAATATCCCGGAGGCTCCGATTGCTATGTCAAATCTAGAGCGCTGATGCAATGCATCTACATTGAGCCCAGCACATGGAAGTATGCATTGCGCCTGGCAGACAGGAAGCACTGGTGGTGGTCAGATAGGGGCTGCATGTAATGTGCAGTTCATGCAGGCATTATGGAAGACATTGTAAGAGGTGGAGCCACCTTGGCGGCCTTGAGCTCCCGGAAATCGGCAGCCGCCTCTGCCTGGCTCCGCGCCAGCGCCGCCTGCAGCCGATCCACATCCCTCTGCAGCTGGCGAGCCTGCACCCAAAGCTTCTTTCCTGTCACTCCCAGCAGACATAGAGGACGCTATATTTCTCAATCTTTGCCCATCTTTAGGTGTGACACTTGTGGGTGGGCCCGTCCTTGGTGGTGGTGGTATAATTAGTTGCTCAGTGGAAGCATGCGAGGAAGTTCTCTATGCCAAAGCGCATGCACATCCTGCAGATGTGCCTGCCTGTGCCGACATTCAGACAAATCAGGCAAGATGCCTGGTAGCTAGTGCAGCGCACCTTGAGTGGCTGCGAGTTGTCAGCAGATTGGCGCAGGGCCTCTGACTGGGCCAGCATGGCCTTCACTCCCTGTAGCATTTGGCGCGCAGTGTCCCGCTCGGCCACGGCCGACTTCCGCGCTTCACCTGCCGCTGCCGCCTCGGCCCTGGCCGCCTCCACCGCCCCTTGCACAGGGGCATCTGCTGAAGCCATCCTCACCTGCTGGCGCATGCCGCACAATATCAGTAAACCATTGGCAGGACGGTTAATAAAGCACGGCGCACCGCTTGTCCCATGACTACCCCAATCAATGTTGGCAGAGAAAAGAAATAGTGCCTGCTCTAGACCGGTGATTTTCTGCGTCTCACCTTTGCGGCATTGGGAGCCAAGCAGCTTCTAAAATGCTGTTTGCACTGTCACCTGCACCGAATGTCCTGCCTGACAGCCAAATTCCAGACACAACCTCACTGAGACTAGACACTGCCCCCATTTCTTAGGGGAGCAAGCTCAAGCATCTCTAGGGGAGCAAGCGCTAGTGCGCCACCTGTCCACCCTATCGTCTTGACTGGCAGGAGTCCGAGGCGCAGCTTAATCCACAGGTGGTCACACCTTTCAGACATCACACGCAGCTTCACGTGTCAATGTTTGGAGCTCGTGTTTGTCTTTCTTGTCTGCAGCAGTATCACCTTTCGGGAGGGCGACCCGGGGTCAGAAGTGCCGCTCTCGGTACGGCTGAGGCTGTTGGAGCGCCGCGGCGGGTTTGACTTCATCTCGGACAGGGCCTCCTCCAGCTGTATGATGCGGCGCTGCTGGTCGCGAGTCAGCCCCTCCAGCTTCTCCTTGGCTTCCCCCAGCCGCCTGTTCTCCCACCGGAGCGCCTCCGCCTTGACCGCCCCCTCCGGGGCCGCCTGCAAGCAAGCAAATACGTGCGCAGGCAATTCTCAGCGCCAGTCTTGCTCAGACAGGGAGCTCGGGCTGTCTAAGACTGTCAGGCAGAGTCGCAGCAAGACTGATGTATAGAAGGAGAGGCTGTGCCTTTTGGCATGCATGCACATGTATGTGCTAAGTCAAGTCATGGAGTGTCGATGTGCAGTGGTCTTACTTTCTTGGCGTCATCTGCCTTCCTCGCCTTCTCAGTCCACAGAGCGCGCAGGCTGCCCTCTCTCAGAATCACCTGGGCTCCTGGTATGCGATGTCGCTGGCTGCCTTTCTGGATGGCAAGGATGCGGCTCTTGCGCTTAGCAAAGCCCTCCAGAGACCCAGTGGCTGCTTTGACAGATGCCCCAAGCCTTTCCTCGATGTCCTGCAGAAAACCAGAAGCGTTGTGTGGATCATGAAAGAAGGCTCACGCGCAATTGTAGGATGGGATCAGCGTGGTTATTTGCTCCTTCACTACCGTCCGTAGCATCCAACCCCCAGAGACGGGCTGAACGAGACTCGGCAGATACTCAGACTTTCTTCCATATAAATAGTGTGCAAATCTTGTTACCTCCAGTGTTAATTTAAAGTGGCGAAGGGAATCCGTCAGGCTCACCGTGAGACAGGACACAAGGCCCTCATGGACATCTGCCATCTCACCAAGGGCTTTCTACAAATCGAACGGGAGAGAGCCTCGCTTCACAGGAACTTTCTAGAGGAAAATCCAGGAACATCCACGATACGACCCATCAACAACAATTGCCAATCGTGCCCTGCAGGCGGAAAGGTGCGCTCAAAGGGATCTGCAGATGCAACATGATAGCGTCGATCTGACAGGACAAATGCCCGGCCATCAGCCTACAGAATCCCACAAGGGAAGCAAAGGGCAAGGACCGAACGACAGCAGCCCCAACTCATAAATGTCAGCTCAAATGCATCGATTGAAGCATTGCGACCAGATCTGGCAACCTGTTCAAATGTCATGAGTCATCAATGGTGACGTAGCAAATCCTGATCTGGGTGAGACAGATAGTGAGTGCATCACGCCGGGTATTGAAAGAGTTCTTTTTTGTGCCACTCATATAATTAAGGAAACTAGGGAATATCTGACGTCTGTATTAAAAGTCCTGCCATCGTGATGTCGATCGGTTGTTTACAATTTTCCTAGTACAGCTGATGGAGAATGGAGAGTGCCTTCTTGAATAAGACTGTTGAATTACATCACTGTTCGTTTCCGAGTCTTGCAGAGGCCCGGAAAAGAACGCTAGTCAGGTATGTTCCCAACTCATAGGATCCGCCGTTCTGCCATGCCGTGAAGAGACATTATTTTTCCATTTTGGTGTTGAGCACATAACCGCGACGGCAACATTTATAGGCTTTTTTAGAGGCGAATGGATATTTGACTGCTTCGTAGATTAGGCACTGGGAAGCCACTTCTGAAAATTAATCTGCTCACACGTTTTGCTGAGGAGGTGCTTAATTTTGCGGCCTCACGATGATTTTAACACTTTTGCAGGGTATCTGGATTTGCCTTACAGACGTCCGCTCAGCATACAGTTCGGTTGTCCCTTGGAACTAAAAGCAGACCAGCTTGGCAAGGCCGCTCTGGCAGGCGAGGGCCAGTCAAGGGGGCCAGGTCTCAGTGCGCATGCACAAGCGCAGAGACATTGCAAGCTTCCGCAGAGCCAGAGACAGTGGTTCTGCCGGCATCTGAGCAGCAATGCGCCATCCCGGTTGCCATACACCGCGTCACAACACTCGACAATGCTGTGAGGCCTTTTCCAGTCCCAAAGCACCCTGACTGTCACTTTCAATCCTGCTCATTCCTGCTCGTTCCCATCTATCTCCTTGCTGAGGCTTGCCTATGGGTGGACTGATGCTCAGCGCTGCGCAGATTCATTTTGGTGAGGCCCTGCAGCGTCTGCATGACAGCGTCTGCCAGAGCGCAGAGAAGTATGCCGCTTACTCCAGCGGCCTGCTCCGCTTCGAGGTGTGCCTGGACACTACTGCAGAGGCGATGCCAACCATATTGTACTGACACCTGCACGTGATTCCTTATCAAATTCCAGTGGAGTGTTGCAGCCGCTAGCGCTTCAAAGATTGATTGATTGTGAAGATCCCCAACGGAAATCTGTTTTTTGGCAGTTCGGATGTGTATTGTGCTGCGCAGGTGCCGCTGCCGCGCTCCACGTCAGCGCTGAGGTGGCTGCAGGGACAGCCGCCAGCTGGCGCCAGCAGGGCGCCACACGTGTACTTCTCACCGCGCCACTCCTCAGCACCCGACACAGACGGCGGCCGGGACGCCGCCGCGGCTTCGGCCGGCTCCGGCGCCGTCGCAGGCGTTGGCGCCGCCTGGCTCTGGCAGGCAAGCATTTCTCAATGGCCAGCGGTTGCTATGTCTCGACCTTGCACCCTTCAAGTGCTCAGTCCTGCAAAGCTGATGAGAGTCAGCTGCGAGTCTCCTTGCATGACATCAACCATGCAGCTAACTTATGTCACATGATGAAACCCAGTCCTGCTGCAGCTTACATGACATGACGACAGCTCTGGATGAGGGACTGCCAGCAATTTCAAGAATCTCAATTGTAGGCCTAGATTTTCAAAGGGACTTACACGATTATTGGTCCACGGCAGGGGGCGGAGGGAGCGCCGCTGGACGGTGTGGCGCTGTGGCGGATGGAGGCGTTCCTGTCGTCGGCCGCGCCGCGCGTGCGTGTCCTTGGCGGCACGCGCTTTGACGGCGCCGGCGCTCATGCTCCCGAATGGGCGGCCTTCGGCTCCTACTGCTTCCTGCTGCCGCGCCTGGAGCTGCTGGAAGCTGCCGGCTGCTGCCTGCTCTCCTGCACGCTCGCCTGGCGCGAATCCGTCCGCCCCTCTGAAAGGCGCGCATGCAAATCCCATCTCCTCTGTTCAAGCATTTTGCTTGTCTACTCCGCCCAACCTATAGAAGCAGATGATGAGATGGGGCCAAAGAGATGTGGCCTGCCCAAATCCAACTCGAGCTGCAATGAGGGGGTGGGGAGCTCGAATCAACAGCAAATCCACAGATACCTTTTGAGTAGAGACTAGGGATTCTTTAAGCAAGCGTCTATATGTGCACCACTCTAATTTGCAGATGGTGAGGCTGTGCAGGATTCTTGTTCACTTGTGCTTTCACACTATGCCCAACAGATTATCTTGGGAGATAACTATTGCTTCAATCAAGCTTGTCCGCCTCAGATCAATTCAAGATTAGAATGGATGCTGCGCAGGGGGTTCACGAGCCTGGCAGCGGCGGTTGAGGATGCATTGGGGGCGCTAGCGGCGTGCAGGGCGCCCGCACAGAGCTCTGCACCGCAGCTGCAGATTGTGAGGGAGACCGTGCAGCACCTGCCTGACCGCGAGGGTTGGCAAGCCACCATGACCTCTGTGCACAGCCGCCTCTCTGAAGCCTCCAGTGTCGGACTGGTATGTCCCGCTCTTATTACCTGTGGAGTTTTATATCAGACTTTTTCCTAATGGCATTGTGTGCATTTTGTTGTGTGCTGCTTGATTTGCCCAATCCTGGGACTGGAGAATATGTCCGATCAAAATTAAGATCAACATGATGTGGGTCTGCAAAGCGGGTACAATCATGTGGGAGAAGAGAGAGTGAGAGAAGAGAGAGTGAACAGAGCTGGTGGGTGGTGATTTGGTAGGAGGCGGAGGAATCGCTGCTGCAGAACGTGAACCTGCAGATGGCGCGGGAGGAGTACGAGCTGAATGGGCAGCAGGGCCTGGATGAGCTGCTGTCTGTCTTCGCTGGGGACGGCATCCAGGTGCACCACTCCTGCATCTCCCTGTGTTGTTGGCCTTGGTTTGGGTGCCTTCCTGCATATATCCTTGCACAGCCGTATGCATCGAGAGAGACAATTGACGACTGCCACAGTGGCTGCCAAAGCACGGCCCTGTCGCCATGCTATGCTATGCTTTCTGCAGTATCTACATTACATGAGACATCACAGCCAGGCAGGGAGGCAGCTTATCATTATTGTTATCTCTCAAGGCTGCATATGTAGCCTTGTACGCCTTCCCACTTCTGCACATGGATGACTACCATAAGGGTGATCATCATCTGATCTGCAGTTAAAATGATGTCCCATGATTCTGGCGTGTCGCAGGGAATGGGCACGATGGATGAGGGCGGCTCGGGCCTGACAAAGGTGGTGCTGGCGCGGCGGACAGATGTGTGCTTCAGGGGTCTTCTGGACCCGCTGTTGTTACTGGAGACGCTGCAGGAGAGGGATCCGCGTGCGTACCAGTTCTGCCTGCAGCTGCCCGGCGGGGCGGCGTTCCTGGGCAGCTCGCCGGAGCAGCTCTACTCGCGCACCGGCCGCTGCGTCGCCAGCGAAGCTGTGGCCGCCACGCGCGCGCGCGGACCCCCTGGTGCGCCTTATTAGGGCCAAGCCACATTTATCACCTAATATACAATCTGGCGAGTCCATCAAGGGGCAGTTTTTTTGGCAGCCTTTGAATGCAGCTTATTTGCAGAGCGTACCTTGCCCCTTGACAGGAAGAGTAGGAATATTAAATATTAATACAAAGGGGAGTATCAAGAAGGACTTCTTCGTGCCTCCCTTGAATAACTTTTCTTTATGCGCGCCTAATGAGACTCCCAGCATGACCAAAGACACATCTCCCACTGCTATGTAGGATGGTGCTCCTTGCTTCACCACAATGATCCCTGCTTCACAACGATGATCTGTTGGTACTTCTGCACTTCATGTTGTGCCGGGCCCTGCCAGCATAGTGGATGCAGACCCAAAGGTTTGTGTTGCTGTGGGCCCATTGGGCCATGCTACAATTTATGATTGCAGAAACACGACAGGCTTATGCCAGAGATGTGCTGGACATGGCAGCAATAGCAAAGCTGCCAGGGAAGGTTGCCAGCCTGAGGTGGACATGGTTGTCCGCGTAAATCTGAACTCATAACTCTGTGCCTGAAAAACAATAGTGCTTGTGCAGGCGATGTGGAGCGGGACTTCTGGCTGGCCTTTGAGCTGCTGCAGGATCCCAAGGACCACGCTGAGTTCACCATTGTGCGCCAGTGGGTGCAGGCTGCTCTCTCGGTGGATAGCTCACCCTCTCGTCTCTCTGACACTTGGGGATGAGTCTCGTGAAGAAGCAATGCAGCTGCTTGCTTGGCTCACACTCAATCCACGGGATACCAAGAAAGATGGAGATGATTTATAACAAGACACGCTTGCTGGTGATCTCTGGCGCAAAAGTGGCGATCTTAGCGGTCTGGAAAAGGCCTTTTGCTCCCCACGCTTGCCTGCATGCAATGCCAACAGACTGTCTAGTTATATCCACCTCCCCATCCCTTGATGTCGCGCGGGGTCGGTGCGGACATCTATGGAGCAGATTGCCCATGAAGTCATATTTGATGGTGTGTATTTTACATCGATGTCATGTGCAGCACAGCATGCACACTCTTAATACTGTAGAATTGCCCCTATGCAGTGGAATTGCAATTCCCAGATAATAAGTGATCTCATTTACTGATTTGAGAGTAATTAAGTCTGCTGTGCGCAGAGCGTGTGCCACGAGGTGCGGGTGGAGAGGGAGAAGTCGATCCTGAAGCAGGGGGCGGTGCAGCACCTCTATGGCCGCCTTGCTGGCACTCTCAGGGAAGACGCCGGCGACGCAGCTCTGCTGGTACACCCATTCACCCAGCCCAGGAATTTGTACTGCCTCGTTTGTCAGATCACACAAGTTCTGGTGCATTCTTGCGGCTCTTGTTAGCCACCCGTGCGCTGCATCAATGCACAGAGGCGGGAACGGCTGTGAATTCCATCAAAACTTGCGAGAGCTTGTTTACAATCTGCGTATCCTCTGCAATATCATAGATATTTGATCACAGGACTTTGGCGCAAACATATGGGCAACACCCCTTCATCATCACATGACTTACCATGATGTCAAATCAATGGCTCAGAGAAGGTGAGCACGACTGGTCTTTTATTGTTGAGGGTGCCTCTTCTGCAGGCTGCACTGCACCCGACGCCGGCGGTGTGCGGCCGCCCGCGGCCGGCGGCGCTATCGGCACTGTCAGCCGCGGAGCCGTTCGACCGGGGTTTCTACGCTGGACCCTTTGGATGGGTCTCTGGCGGAGCCGCCGAATTCGCCGTTGCAATCCGCTCGGCCCTTGTGCATGCCCCTGAGCCCTCGGAGTCTCAACAGCTGCCGCAGCACGAGGAGATGCAGCCAGGAGAGTCTTTACAGATGGCGGCGCAATTGGAACATCGGGAGAGGCGAGCCAGCGGCGGCCAGGCGAGCACAAGTGGCAGCAATGGCAATGGGACGGGAGGAGTTGTTGCAAACGGCGCTGGGTTGTCAGGTGGCAATGGAAGTGTGGGTGCCCCGGCGGGGAATGGCGCAAAGCTGGCGGCTGGCGGCGCCAGGAGAGAAGACAGGCAGACCATCTCGTTGTTTGCTGGCGTGGGCCTGGTGTGCGGCTCTGACGTGGACAAGGAGTGGCAGGTACAACCCTCCAGATACTCATTGTCATACATTCATCAGGAAGATATCGTTTTGTGAAATTGTCCACGGCAGGGCCAGGCTGGCTCTTGCCTTGTGATAATGTGAACATCACTTTGAGTTCGTGATTATCAGTGTGAATATTTTGAATACTCTGTTTAATGTGAAGGGCGAGCTAGACTTAGTTTTGTGGTGAGCAGGAGCTGGACCTGAAGGTGAGGCAGTTTGACATTCTGCTGAGGCAGCCCTTGCCGCTTGTGGATACGCCGAATATCAACCTTCTCTGGGCTCGCCTCATGATTGAGGAGCTTTGCCGCCTGGGGGCCTCCACCTTCTGCATAGCTCCAGGCATGCCCCAGACTCTGATTAATCTTTTTACTGTATATTATCTTACAGCCATTGCATGCTTGCTGCTAATGTCATTGCCGTCATGACATAAGAGGCTCAGGCTCAAAGATACTGGTGGTTGGAGATGCTTCGTGCAAGTATTGCATAGGTTGTTGTGGGCCAAGAGTGCAAACGTGTCTGTCATTTGACACACCTTCATATGCATGTCCTCGTTGGGGTGCAAAGTATTGTAGGCCCTGCAGATGGCAGTGCAGTCCCCCCCCCCCCCGCATTTATGCCCTATGCCCTCTGCTTTTGCCGACGTCGTATGAAGAACATTTTTTGTAGTGCTGAGGGCTGACGGCTGCATGCTCTGAGCAGGGTCCCGGTCGTCGCCGCTGGCTGCGGCGGCCGCGCTGCAGCCGCGCGCGCGAATCGTGCCCTGCATTGATGAGCGCTCGCTGGCCTTCTGGGCCCTTGGCTACGGCCAGGCCACCGGGTGAGTCACCCCGCCGGCAGCCCTGTGCCATGCCCTGCATGCCTTCATACTCCTCGGGCGCCCTGCAACAGTGCATGCTTCTCAAATAACGTGCAAAGCATATCTGCAAGCAGAGCTGCTGGCAGGCCCTGTACCAGATTACCAAACGACGGTTACCTCCCGAGAAGAAATGCTTTTGTGCACTGTCTGCTTACCACTGCTCCCGCAGGAGGATTTTCGGTGTAGCCTGGGGTTGACTACAAACAAGGGATAGCCTGCATAGAATTTGAGCAAACGAAGGGGCATTCAATTGAACTCTGCCGTCAGTGCCAGGTGAAGCTGTCAAGCAGACATGCATACAAAGGTGCTAGTGACAAGCAAATGACCTTGAGTGTTCTCTGTCAATGCCAGGGAGCCTGCGGTGGTGATCACTTCGTCGGGCACGGCGGTGGCGAATCTGCTGCCGGCGGTGGTGGAGGCATCGCACAGCGGCGTTCCCTTGCTGTTACTCACCGCCGACCGGCCGGGGGAGCTGCGCGACACCGGCGCCAACCAGACCATCGACCAGGCACGCCCTTGCCACCCTTGTGAAGATTTGTCCTCAAAGACTTCCATTCTCCCGTGTGCAGCTGCCTTGTCTCTGTCACAAGTGCAATCTCTGTCACAAGTGCATGGGCAATGCATGGCATGCCAGCAAGGCATGGGAATGACCTTGCCGGCCCCCTTGCGGGACATTCTTCTGGCCGTCTGAGGCCGGTAAGCAGCCATAGGAGATTTAGCTGCGAGGAAACTTGTGTCAGCAGGCTCAGACGGCCATTTTATAACAAGGACTTGCTTGATGTGTACTTTACTCGATGTCCTCCCAATCATGCATTGTGGGACAAACATACGAAGGTTGTGTGATGTGCGCGCAGGTGAAGATTTTTGGTGGGTACACGAGGTGGGCGGCGGACGTTCCGGCGCCGGATGCGGCCATGCCGGCGCGAATGGCGCTGACGACGGTGGACGCTGCTTACAGGCACGCCACAGGAGACGGACCCGGCCCCGTGCACCTGAACCTGCAATTCCGAGAGCCGCTCGCGCCCTCACAGACCCCCTGGCCCAGCTCTGCTCTCCAGGCATGCTCCCCTCTTGCTCAAGTGTTATTCCTGCTTATCCCCTTTCCTCACCCTTATTTTTTAAAACCCTCATGCACGCAGAAGGGTCGAGGGTGCAAAACGCACCAGACGAAATGTGACCTGACTGCAATTTGAGGAATATTCCTTAGCACTCTTCAATGCCGCATTGAGGAGCAGGGACCATCACCTCTGGAGGCATGCATGGCGGCTTTTATCTTGTCACATTCTCAACTCCAACCTGTGGCATATCCACAGGGGCTGGAGAGGTGGGAAGGGTCAGGGCAGCCCTTCACAGCGCCGGTGTCAGCGCCACAAGCAATTTTTGGACCCCCTCTCGCAGCCCAGAAGCTGCCCGGCTTCTCCTCCAGCGACGCGGCCGTCACAGAGCTTCTGAGCGTCCTGGCTGGTGCCCAGAGAGGGCTGCTGGTGGTTGCCCAGATGGGCCACCCTGAGGACTGCCTTGCTGCACTCAAGATAGCCCGTTCCCTGGGCTGGCCGGTGGTTGCAGACGTCCTGTCGGGTGCGCCCGCTGTTTCTTGCAGCGGCACTGCCGTGCTGCAAACTTTGTTGGGACTTGCATGCTGAGCCACGAGCTGTTCTGTGTCTCCAACTGGACACCAGGCAAAGCAGGGAAATCCAGAAGGTCTGAAATTTGATGTTTGGAGGCATTTGTGCTGCAAGCTGGATTTCGCTGGGACTTCTTTTGGTGGGGGCACTTTGCCGAAGAGACCATGCATCATCTTTTTTTTTTGTTCTGCGGGCTGTCCTGCACCAGGGCACAAGGCAAAAGCACATCCTCATGCTGTTACGAATTGCATGCACAACATTGATGTAAGTACTATGGGTGGCACTACTAGATAGTCAGCACAAAGTACTCATGCTTCTTAAGTGCACTTCCTTAGCCTGTCGCTGCGCTGTAAATGCAGGGCTGCGAGTGGGAGCCTCAGGGCGCAGTGACGTGGCATTGGTGCATCACTTTGACCACCTGCTCCTGGACAAGGATGCCTTATGGCCTGCCCTGCGCCCAGACGTGGTGCTGCAGCTGGGCGGGCGGCTGGTGTCCAAGCGGGCTGCCCAGTTCCTGGAGTGGGCTGCCCAGCCCTGCTTGGAGGAGGGCAGGTTCGTCACCTTTTGATGTGATCTGCAGCGTGCTGTGTCCGCTTTCATTGTTGCAATTCGGCAAGTTCAAAAAGGCAGAGGCCGTTGTGCATGCACGCAGGGCCTCTGCAGCCACATCTGCAGGGCATCCAAATCTCTGCAGCCTGTCTGTTGTGCCTGCACAGCCTCACTTGACAATGTCAAGTTGACAGGATATCATTTTCCAGCTGCAGAACTCATTGTTTTCTCAGCATTTGACAGCAGGAAAACGGTCAGCAGGCAGCGGTCCGAGCATGCAGCGAGTGCAGAGTGACAAGGGCGTTTTGTGTGGTTTTGCAGGCCTGCTGCCAAGTGGATGTTTGCTGCGGATGCTGCCCAGCGCCATGATGCCTCGCACCTGCTGTCCCACCACATCCAGATGCCCCTTCCTGCTCTGGCCACCCTGGTGTCCCAGGTGACACATGCCAGAAACTCCTCCTGAAATTCAAAATTTGCAGGCTTATTGGAAAGCTCTCCTGCAGGTGCAGAGTGCCGAGAAGGGCACTGACGTGACCCTTGATGACATTCACGTTGAGAGTGCTGTCACGAGGCACACACAAGGTCTTTGTTTGGGATGCTGTCACGACAATATCAAAGGAAGAACAGAATGCTGATCGCTGACAAGTGCATCTCCACAGCAGTCTTTACATGTCGCTGTGTTGTAGTGAGTTGGAAGCAGATCATGGGTTTGTTGCATGGTTAGCGATTAGAGAGATTTTCACATGCTGCATTGAGGGGCCAGATCGCCATGTAAAGTAAATAGGGGTTCTGAGCTCATTTCATGTAGTTAAGCTTTGATAGGTGGGTTCTGCTGTGGTAGGTGGGCGGCTGCATGGATAGAAGTGGTGGTTACTCAGAGCTGGTTCGCACACTTGACGGCTGTGCTGCTGCGGAGATCAATGCCGCGCTGGAGGAGTTGCAGCCTCTCACCGAGCCGCATGTCGCCAGAGAGCTTTCCAAAGTCCTGCCCACAGGTGCCGTCTAGCTATCTCCCTCGCCAGATATTCTAGCACTGCACCAGCAGTGCAGTGTGTTTACTTGCCTTGCATGCTTATGTTTTCCATTTCATGATTTGCATCTCTGGACTCTCAGACCGTTTGTCCCTGCTGTCGTGTGTGGTGTGGTTCAATCAAGAAGGTCATGTTGGTAATCACTGCAGGGACAGGGCTGTTCCTGGGCAACAGCATGCCCATCAGGGACATGGACATGTACGCTGCTCCCAGCGACAGGCAGGACAATCCCAGCCAGCAGGGCTCGGTGCGCTTATCATCTTTACCCCTTTGCACTTGCATATTTCATCTCTCCTAGCAGGACTGCCTAGCTGCAGCAGCACTTCCTTCTGGAAGAAACGGTTTGAATACACCTCACATAGTCGAGAGACTGCTGCTTATAGATGAGTGTGCACAAGAATAAAGGTCGAGGCCTCACAAACCCGGGACGCAGCCTGTACAAATTGTGCAATGAGCGCTTGCAGACCAATTAGGAAGCTAGCTGGACCCTCACAACAGTATTGTTTTGTTAGGTGACGAGCTCGGGCATCGGGGCGGCGGTGGCGGCGAATCGCGGCGCGAGCGGTATCGACGGTGTCATGAGCGCGGCGGCCGGCTTTGCGTACGGCCTCAGCCGGGGCGCCACCCTGGTCGTGGGGGACATCTCCTTCCTGCACGATGTCAACGGCCTCAACCTGCTGCGCACAGGTGCTGTACAGTTGTCTTATTGCTTCTCTGCACCAATGACATGCTTTTACACACATCCTGGACAGTGTCAGCATTGTCAGTCTGTGCCTCTTAATGAAGAAGTTGCACCAACACACACATCTTTGCTATCGGCTTCACCGAGAATTGTGTTCCTCTGCCTTTCCTCGGGGAACTGTGAATGATCCTGAGCCTCTGTGTATCCATGCAAACTACACAGAGCCAACACTCCAACCGGACTCGTCTGTGTTTGCGCGCAGGGGAGATGCGGCCGCCGCTGACGGTGGTGCTGATCAACAACGCTGGCGGCGGCATCTTCAGCTTCCTGCCGATTGCCGACCAGCTGCCGCCCGACACCTTCTCCCAGCTCTGGGCAACACCCCAGAACGTCGACCTGGCCGGTGCGTGCTCAAAAATTTTCCCACCAATTCCTGCCTTTTTCTACCTTTCAATTCCTCAGCCACCAATGTGCTAGCTGCCCCTGAGGGTCCTCCAGGGCATATGAACCTTCATGATTGGCATGGCATCGGGGCTCTCTTTCCAAAAATGGTTTGCTTCGCATGTCACGCAACACAACTTTGCTTGGAGAAAGGATGTCTTAAGGAATGTTTTCTGCCTGTGCCAGCTGATGTGACTGGGCACAGGCTCGCACAGAGCTCAGGATCAGGCAGCAGTGCCTGCCCTAATGCCTGACCTAATGGACAAGTGTTAACATGTGCACACAGCTGCTCAGTAAGGCGGGCGGTGCGTGCACGTGCAGGCATGTGCAGGGCGCATGGCATAGCGCACCAGAGGGTGACTGAGCGGGTAGACCTGCGAAAGGCTTTGCAAGCAGCCTGGGCGCTCAACAAGCATTCTGTAGTGGAGGTGATTACTAAGCGTGACAGCAACGTTGGCCACCACCGCTCCATCCAGGAGCGCGTCAGGCAGTCCCTGCTGCGCGCGCTGCGCACCGTCAGCGCCCCGGCAGGTGCGCTCCACATGCCTCTTCCAACACATTCCTGTGCATTTGGAATTAGTAAGAGTAATTTAATAACTCTTGAACACTTCTATGTGCGGTAGATGCTAAAAGGCCCCCATGAGTCATTGCTTCTTGTGGTAGAGGCAAATTCGGGAGAATTTTCTGGCGTCTCATGCATTGATCGTGTCCTCTGTCATACACAAGCAATCTCAGCAGACCAGTAATGCAATTTGGGAACCCATTAGATAGCATCGATGGAATTTTCAAACCATTCAGCCCAATGAGAGTGCCCAATTATGTTACTGAGGTCTGAGGTGCATGCACAAGAGCACTATAGAGGCTAATAGAGTCTATGCACTGTCTGAAATCACATCTGTGTAGTGCGCACAGGGGTGAGGTGGCAGCCAAGCGGGAGCTTGCTGGCCAAGGAACTCCGCGTTACAGCGGCGAGCTACCGGCGTTATGGCCTGCCGCTCCTCAAGCCGCTGACGACGGATTTTGACAGGAAGCTGCGCGGAGGCTTCCTGCTCCAGATCAGCGTGGAGTCAGACAATGGGGTTCACTTCACTGGCATTGGGGAGATTGCCCCCCTACCTGGTGCGGCCTCCTCTTAGCCTGCACTGCTGGAAACACTCGAGACTAAAGATTCTTATGTTCACGCCAACAGTACCAAGGGGCTGAGGGGAAAATTGCATGCACAGGGCTCCACACAGAGAGCTTGTTGGAAGCTGAGGAGCAGCTCCGCGTGCTGGTATCCCTGCTGCCGAGCCTGGCGGTCCCCCACAGCCTGGCTCTGATGCAGGTGTGACCATCTTTGCCACCTGTCAAATGCAGACGCCATTTCACCCTCAAACTATGAAATTGAAAATGAAACTATGCATTTGCAGATGCGGCATCTCTCAGCCTCGTTCTCCGTGAATCAGTTCTAGCTCTCAAGAATAAAAGGGCGGCAATCGCTATGCCAAGTAGTACAGTAATCACAACTAGAATGCCCATGGTTGGTGAGTTGAGGGTGAGGGTGTGTGGCCACGTGCAGGGGCGGATCTCCGGGTGGCTGCAGCACACCCTGGGCATGCACCCCAGCGGCATACACCCCTCAGTGCGCTGCGGCCTGGAGGGCGCCCTGCTCACTGCATTGTCCGCCGCGCGCGGCCAATCTCTCGCCAGCCTCCTCAGCGCTGCGGCGCCTGACATGCCAAGCCGCAGGCCAGACAGTCACTCGGGCTTAAAGGCTGACACACCAGGGGGCTCTGGGGTAGTTTTTAGCGGGGTGGAAGTGAATGGGCTTCTGGCTTGCGCCGGGCCGCCGCAGGAGTGCGCGGCAGAGGCGGCTGCCATGGCCGCCCGGGGCTTCCGCACCCTCAAGATGAAGGTGCGAGCGTAACTGTGTTGCGTTGCAGGAGTGCAACAGCACCTTGCTTGCATTGAAAGCGCCCCCATGCATGGGAAGCAGTGCTGTGGCCTGTGCGACTTGGTGACACTGCCGAATACTTGCTGCTGAGTTTGTCTGCATGCCACACGTTGCCAGCATGCAAAAAGCTGCACGCGAGCTATAGCCAACATACGAAATGCCACCGCCGTCAAGCGCATCTCCCGCCAATACAGCTGTTTTTGTTGTTTCCTGACAGAGAAAGCAAATAGGTATCCGATTGAGGTTCTGCTGCACTGGGTCAGGCCACTGAGAGCCCGGACAGCTATAGTCCCGAAGCTTGATCGTGGAAGTGCTCTTTTTGCGCGACTGAATTTGTTGCAACACTGGTTCCGGAGGAGAGAGCAGTCTTGAGTCCAGTGTGTCAAATCCTGCACTCGATCATCAAACAGTGTTTTGACCTTTGAGATTTTGTCTCGATGCAGCTCTTTGCCTGTCGGCAGCATACAAGGACATACACCCTCCTGCGATTAGTTTTCGCCACAGTATTGCCCAAGAAACTCACTGGTGTCATGTGCTGGCCGGTCAGGTGGGCAGGCGAGGCAGTCCCATGGAGGATGCAGAGGCGGTGTTGAGGGTGCGAGATGCTGTGGGGCCGGACGTGGCGCTGCGAGCTGACGCCAACCGCCGCTGGACTCCCGAGCAAGCGCTGCAGTTCGGCCACGCCGTCAAGGGCGCTGCACTCGAGGTGACCCCACTGCTGTCAATTATTCTTGTTATTACATTCAGAGATCCGTTGGGAGCCAGGTGAGGCTCATTGGTCTTGTAAGCTGTCTTTCACTCCTCATTTCATCCTCATATCTCAAACCTCTCATTTGTCATCTTTCCGTCGAATATGTGATGCAACTGGACAGCACCTTTTCCTGCATTGTACTCTGCATGTGCTACCTGTGCGGAAATCAAACCTGCCAGGGTTGTCTTGACGGAAGCTTTGCCCTTCTGCTACATGCGCCAGCAGCTCTGTCCTGGGACTTGCTGGTGTGCCAGGGCGAGTTGTCAAGAGTGACTTGGCAGCTTCAAGGGTTAAATAACACGGCAACAAGGCAGCTGCATTACCTGATGCAAAGACCCGGCGGTGTCATGCAGTATCTGGAGGAGCCCACAGTGAGCCTGGAGGCCGCCCTGGAGTTCTCCAGGGCGACAGGAATCCCAGTGGCGCTGGATGAGTCACTGGATGACTCACTTCAGGACCGCGCCGCCGTATCGCTGCGTTCCCTCCTCCCTGAAGCCTCGGCCGCTGCTGGCGTGGCGGCGGTGGTCGTGAAACCGGCAGTCGTCGGCGGTTTCGAGGCGGCCAGCCTCATTGCTGACTGGGCTCGGGCCCGCGGCATCCAGGTGACAAATCTTCCACCTGCGTTTTTGAATATGCTGAAATCTGTGTCTGCTGAAGAGTTGAAGGACAAATGCAGCGCTTGACAGAACTGAAATACTGCCTCAACGTTGCACCTTTTTCGATCATGCTCAAGATGTGAGGACAGGTGCAGCAGCGTTGACAGCGCTTCTAGTGCTTCCTGCATGATTGAAAAGTTTGAATTTGGGAACTGCTCGAGAATTAAGAATGAAAGCAGCCTTCACAAGGCTTGGAAGGACACATCGCTAAGCAGGTGCTGTGTTATGTTTTGGCAGCTGGTGATCAGCTCGGCCTTTGAGAGCAGTGTTGGTCTGGGCCAGTACGCTCATCTGGCAGCAGCTGCCGATGCAGCAAGCGGGCCAAGCAAGCGCGCTCATGGGCTCGGGACTTCAGACTGGTTTGGGACGGACGTCACTACACAGCCATTGACACTTGTCCTTGATGGAGAAACCCAGGTGTGTCCTGCTCTTGCTGAATCATCAATAAGTACCAGTGTGTATGGATGCTTTCATTGTGTAGCGGTCACAGGGATGACATAAGAGAGAAAATCTACTATGCCGACTCTTCCCATTTTGACACTACCTCCTGCAGGAGGCACTTGCTCTTCAGCTTATTTTGTGCTCAGTATGCTTTGCTGCGTGCAGGGTCAGGAGCGTCTGTCGATAGCTTTGCAAGAGGCGCAGAAATCGTGGGAGGGCGCTGTTGCGGAGCCCTGCACAGACACCCTCGGCCCGAGCCACTCAGGCCAGCATGAGAGCGAAGCTCTCCACCACATTGTGACATCAGCGGGCCGCTTCCAGATGCGGGTGGTTGAGTGGCAGCCAGGCACCTCAGCCTCTCCAGCGCATGGCAGTGCAGAGGAACACTCCCGCTCTCTTCTGCAGACACAGGCTGCAGTTCAGGGTGACTCAGCATCAAGATCAGCTCGGCCGCCTGTAGTGGTCATGCTGCATGGCTTCCTGGGCGCACCAACAGACTGGAGGGCTGTGGCGAGCGCGCTGTCACTGGGCTGCCGCTGCCTTGCTGTGGAGCTGCTGGGGCACGGACACTCCTGCACAGTGGACACACAGGGTGAGCTGCAAAAATGATCCACCCATGTCAAGTGCACTGGCCCCGTTGGGCTTCATCACAGCTTGCTTGTGAAACAGCAACGCCCTGACATTGACCTGCACAAAACGATCCTGACCTGGCAATCTCTGCCTTGCAACCAACTTGATCAACAGGTGCGGACGTCTCAGCTGTTCACGTTGTGGCATGAAACTGTTTGCTCATTGCTATGTGTGTCACAATTGTTGTGGGTTGCCGCCAGGTGCCAGCGGAGGCTACAGCATTGAAGGCATGGCGGAAGCTGTCGCGCAGCTGCTGCGGGACCTGCGCGTCAGCTGCCCGCATGTTGTCGGCTACTCGCTCGGGGCGCGCGTCGCGCTCGCAATGGCGCTCAGCACAGGTGCGCAGATCCTTCTTTCCTATTTAAATCCCCTCGTGCGTTTCATGGGGGCATGATTTACAGCCCTGCCAGTGGTGCTTGCTCATTCTGCTTCTGAAAGCTGGGACCCCGCTGTTTCATCAGATAGGATGTCTTCCCTACATGCGAAGCTGCCATGCTCTTTGTGATTTTGGGAATGTTGAGTGAGCATCAGGCAGCTGAGCATGCTCACACTTCCGGTAAACCTTTTGCCAATAAGCGTGCATTGCATGGTTCAAAAGCTTGTGTCATCTACTGGAGCAATGAAGATTATGAGATGTGTTGGGGGCAGGGTGTGAGGTGGCGAGTCTGGCGTTGGTGTCGGGGACAGCTGGCATCACAGGCAGCGCTGAGAGGGAGGCGCGGCGGAGCAGGGACGGCGCTCTGGCTGCAGCGCTGCGCCAGTCTGGGGTGCAGTCCTTTGTGGAGGACTGGTACCGGCAGCCCCTGTGGCGCTCCCTGCGCGCACACCCCAGGTCAGCACCACTGCTTCCAACGGGGAGGTTATCAAACCTCTCCATTGCTACACCCTTTGATATCTTTCTCGTAGGAGATGTTCAAATGGCATTAGGTGGTTGACATACTTGGCGGGTTCATGAGGACCAAACTTCAGTACCTGCAGTGACCTTGTTGCAGTGAAGGGTGGTGCACGCAGCTTGGAGTTAGAAATTCTCTTTCAGTGGTCTGCTTGATTTGAATGCTCCTCTGGGATTGGTAAGTGACCTGAGCATGAGCATGTCAGCTGGTGATGCACGGGTGTATGTTGACCCAGCAGCTTTGTTTTTTTTGGTGTATACATCGGATGAAGTTCTAATGGCTTGTGTTGTGTGTGTGCACGCAGGTTTGCAGCTCTCCAGGCAGATCGACAGAGCACGGGGGGATCGGCTGAGCTGGCAGCGGTGCTATCTGCTGCATCCCCGGGCCGGCAAGAGCCTCTGTGGGACCGTTTGAACCAACTGCAGGCGCCCACACTCTTTGTTGCCGGCGCAGAGGACGCCAAATTTGTCGCACTCGCGTACAAGATGGCGGCAAAGCTGGACACACTAGCAACCACCAACCAGCATGAAACAACGCCCAACAGTCACACAGAATCAGCAAGAACAGAGGGAACCAGGACAGAGCATTCTCAAGAGGGGCCAGCAGAGCTGCCTACTGTTGAGAGGCAGCCGGTTGGGCGTCTGATTGGAGACGGAGACAGCAATGGAAAGAGCGTGAAGGTTGAGGTGATCACCAGCTGCGGCCATGCCGTGCACGTGGAGAGGCCTGAAGCCCTCGTGCCGCTGCTCAGGCGCCTGATATTCGGGAGTGTGTGAATAAATTTTAACTCAGTATGAACACATTTCCTACGTTGCTATGTTGCGGTGAACACTGAAAGCTACGGTCTGTACAGCCGCACCGTGCCAAGATTATTGAACTCATGCCAGAAAACCCAACTGGAAGTGAACTCTGTAGGATGGGCACTGCAGTAGCGCATGACCATGGCCCAACACCTGCGGCTGTCCTGCCTAACAAATATATACATGTAGAGTGTTGGCTTGCATGTAAAATCTAACACTCAATGTAACAGGCTTGTTCCATACACTCTGACAGCGCCGTGAATTTTCAATACAAATGGGCAGCCTAGGCTTGGCACTATTCGTTGGGGAGAGCACAGATACACTTTTGGACATCTCTGATGTCAGATCTCTGTGTCAAAGTCAGCGCCACAGGAGAGCAAAAGCCAAATGTGGACAGGGATGGATTTCAAATGCACAGAAAACAGCCACGCGGAGGGAACACCGTCTAATTGGAAGTTCATTCTTCGGAGAAAATCTTGCCTAGGAGTGGCGATACAAATGCAAGAAGTGCATAGGTCAAGTGAGTTGTATTCCTAATCTTTGTAGAGGCTACGAGAAAGGGCTCCAACAACGTGGAAGTGTGTCTGACGAGGACGAATTCTGGGGATCCTGACTCTCTTTGACTTCCTTTGTCAAGCCCAAAAGGCAGGTAATTGTCGCTATTCCCCTTGCCAAGCAGAACTGAAGGGTGAAATAATGTTTAGCACAGTTAATGAAATAGAAACGATTGCTGCAGCAAAGCCTGCTTCCGGAAGTGTGGGATTTTACTAGGCACCTTCTACTGTACCATGAATTGAGCTGTGGCTCGGCCATGGGTTAGTTCACAAGTTTGTTTGGGATTTTAGGAGTCTTATAATGGTCTAGCAACGTACGTCCACCAGTCCGCAACCCCTCCCAGGGACAGCAGTGCTATTCACTTTGTCTGCACTTGGCTGTCTTGTGGTTAGTAATAAAAGTTCTTGCTGGTGTGCATGCAGGCCACGATATTTCACAAGCTAGACTCCTGTAGAGCAAGTCACTGGACGACAAGGCAGCAGTACTTGTTAAGACAGCCGTTCCGAAACAGCTGAAAGAGACAAAGATTCGGGCCGAGCCGAAGCCCGCTCATGGCGAGGCTATGGGCTGCAGCGCTCTTGTTACTCCTTGCAGCAGCGTATGTGTCAGCTAGAGACCTCCAGCAGGCAGCAGGCAATGCAGACCCGACGAGTCTAGCAGTTAAGAAGAACAACAACATCCCGCAGCAGGGGTCCAGCAGCAATATAAACGCGCAGCGAGCTATCTCAAATACTAACACTGGGGCAGTTCAGGCAACAACAATTCAGCCTCAAAGCACAGAGCGACGCACCCTAGACGATGTCAACGCAGCTGCACCAACGATCACGGACCCAGCCACGCAGACTTCGGTGAAACCAGTGGCGTCCAGCCGGGTGGTGGGGGACAGCGCAGCCTCACCTGCAGGAGCATCACCAGGCTCGACGGTCAGCGCTCAGCCAGCCAGCTCGACGCAAGTTGGAGTCGTGAACCCTTACGATGTGGTGGGAGCCAACCCACTGGACAGGGAGGTCATCACAGGAGACTTCATCTCCCAGCTAGTGGGAGTGCGTATTGCAACTCCCTTCTTCGGTACCGGATTCAATTTCTGTATCGGTGAGGTCCCCACCCCTTGGCTTGCTCCTTTTCTTGCTCCTAGCCAGACTTAGAGAATTGCCTTACCATGGTGATCTATACAAGTGCAGCAGTCATTTTCTGGGAGCCTGAAGTTTATCCAACCTGCTTTCAATAAGAGCACCAGAACCAATCACCAGAAAGGGGACGAGCCACAGAGACAGTAAACACTGCACCGTTGCAAGAGCAATAGGAGCACCCACTGCCGCTTAGGACAAGGACTGGGCAGGACACAGGAGCTGACTTTTGTTGGGTGCTGGTTTGCAGACCGGTACGTTGGGAGCTTTCCCAAGGTTGGCATCGTCATCCCCAACCCAGTGGTGTGGCTGCTGCCGGAGTTCCAGGACTTGGCAGCATCCCTGACCACCACTCTGAGCCTGCCAGACCTGCTGCCACATGGCGCCTTCGTCACGCCAACCTCTGACGGCTTCCTCCTCAACCTGCCCTCATGTGCGCCCCTGATCTTTTCATATGCAACAGAGCATGCTGAGTCAGTTTGCAGCCACCGGCTGCGGGTTCTGTGTCGGCTCAGTGCAGGAAATTGAGAGAGCACTTGCATGCCTGGATTGTGGGTTTGCCCACCAGGCAGGCGCATCCTCAGAGTTGATTTTGCCCAGCGGTCTAGCAGTCCCCTCTTATGGTCGAGAAAGAAAGGCTGCGCACCTGCAGCCTGCATGGCAGCTCCTGCCTTTCGCCTAGCATGTTGAAGGGCATGTGAATACCCCACTTGGATGGAGCCTGCTGCTAACTCAGCACTTCAAAGCCTAGTCAGCTCGGTAACGAAGATGACAAAGCAGTTGAGTATGGAGTCTTCATCCTGTCTGTGTCTGCATAGTCAATGAGGCGGGCACAGCGTTTGTGGGATTAATTCTTGGCGATTGTACCGAGCAGCTGCCTGGCTCGTGTCCAGAAAATATGCAGGGAATAATGCAGAGCAGCTCGCACTGAAAGTGCCAGGAAATGTCACACAGGCCAGAAAGCTATCAGCTGCCTGCTAGAAAGACTGGGTATGAGTGCAGGGTATGAAATATATCACGGATAGGGTGATTTACTCTGACGTACCATTTCTTGACACAGAGTGTGTGGTGTGCTGTGCAGTCCAACCCAGCCAGATTCCGGACCTGGGTATACGGTACGGCATCCAGATCGGGCAAGCCTTCGGATACGATTTTGGATACGGCATCATTAAGGACATTTGCTTCGTGGACTTTGTCATTGTGTAGGCATTGGCCTTTTGCCAGCAGACAACGCAGTGCTCACGTCCATAAATGGGAATGGCCGGCCAAGGAGCTCGAGCCAGTGAGTCCCTAACTGGGACCAGAAGGAGATGACTGGGAATGAGCAGTGCAGTACTTGATGTTTTGACTTGCTGCGCTCCTGAAATAAGAGATGCTCATGGGTTCCAAGGCAATGATGGTTAGACAGGGTTGCTGCACACTTTGTGCAAACACTGCTAGCTTGTTGGTAAATGTTTGGGGCCTTCAGACACTGTTTGGCAGGGTCTAAGCGCCTGCTGGAGTAAGCAGCTTTGTGCAAACTAGCTCTGAGAGTGCACCTGGATCCTGACAAAGAACAATGGCTTGTTGGACTGACTATTCCAAGTGCTGTAAATGTAGTACCAGCAATGGGTGAATGGCATGCATGGCCCTTCTGGAGAATTTGGCGCCGAGATAGTAATTCTGAAGCGCAGCATGCATTGCCTCAAGCTTGATAGAGATCTTTGGGGTTCACAAACTATGATATACCGTAAAAAGCAACTTAAACCCCAAATATGTCACGTTTGCAAGGCCTAGGCAGCTGCAGGCCCCTGCAGGATATGCAGAATGGACAAATCTGTGCACCAGCACAATTGTTGCAACATACTTCGCACAGATACATTCATTACAATTCTGACTTGATCACTGCAGACAACAATGTCTCAACATGAGTCATGGAAAGTGTTCCGCAGGCTGGCACTTGCCGACAAGCAGTGGTACACTGCAATTGCAGAAGACATACACACAGCAGGATCCTTGATATGGACGAGTCTAGATCTAGACTTAAGCCTTCAAGCCCTAGGGAAGACCAGTCGCAATGCATGACTGATCAGCATGGCTATGATGAGAGCCTTTCACTGGGTCCAAGACACGCCATTAAAAAGAAGGTCCCTATGCCAGATGAGCAGCTCAATCCTCTGCAGATCCTCAGGTAAGATGCGCCTCATTGCACTACATAAGATCATTGAAAAGAGCACACTCAAAACCTAAAAAATTGACACGAGAGCCATTTGGCTCAGGCCCCATTGAATTTAAGAAGGGACACTCTCACACACCTGAATATTGCATTCATTGACGCCGTAGGATGCTCCAAAAGAAAAAGCACATCACCAGCATCCGCTTTGAGTCAAACACCCTTTTGGACGTGCCACGTGACATTCACGACATGCCTCTTCTGCACAGACAGCGGACATACATTCCAACAAAGCAGCTCCGGGCAGCTAGCCAGCTGAACACCACATTGAACGCCCCATCAGCCTGAAAAGCGTCTCCCAATGAAAAGGCGCCCCGGACCCCAATCAGGGACGCAATCAACACCCTTTCGTTTAGAATTCACTCCCGGTGCCGCACAGGCGCTCAGAGGGAGTGCAGCATGTGCCTGAGGTGCGCGCATTTGGGGCTGGTGACGATGTTGAGCTGGTTGCTGCACTCCGCCAGCAGCGCGCTGATGGTCTGCGCGGTGTCCTTGGGGAACTTGCGCGCCATCATGGGACACTGCACACACACACCAGTTGTGTTGCTGCCACAGCTCTTCCCCAGACTTGCATGGGGGCAGGACAACAAGACAAACTCCCTTGAACATTTCTCTTTGCAGGAGCTGTTTGCATATGGAGCAGTACTGCTACAATTGAGTCTTGCTGAAATGTGGCGAGACCAGGCTGAGAGACAATTTGCGCAGCCCTTCATTGTGGCCTCTTGACAGACGCATTCCGTCCAAGATTGCAGGGAAAGCATCAGATCTGGGCATTGGTGTAAAAAAACAGCTGTATGGCAGGGGGAAGGGTGGGCTCACGTGGTAGCCGAGGGAGTAGGAGTAGTCGATAGGCTTGATGCCGCAGGTCTTGGAGCGCACGTCCTCGATCGCCACAAATTGCGCCGCGGCCGTCACGATCGCCGGCGGCGCATTGCACCCCGTGGCCGGCTGCCGCATCTCCCGCAGCCTGCGCCAAACGCACCCGCCAACAGATTCAACTGACGGGTCTGTGAATTCGCGAAAACGCCAGATTCAGAAGCCGTGCAGAGTCAACTTTCCCACCCTGCTGTTCTCATTCTAAGTCTTCAGAAAGAAGCTGAAAGCAGGCAGGCACGTGCGACCCTGGGAGGCAGCGGACTCGGAGAAGGTGAGACAGGAAGCTTGCCAAAACGGGAGAAAGATCCAGGCAGAGACAATTGGTGGCAGAGGGGATTGTCTCTTTGAGCGAGGGCTGTGCATGGAATCAGGTGGGTGCAAGGCAAGGGGGAGGGAGCGGCGCACGCATCGGCGTTGATGTCGTCTGGGGTGAATGCCTTGGGGTGGGCCTCGCCGTAGGACCAGTGTGTGTAGGTGATGTGGCCCAGGCAGTCCGTCTCATTGTCCAGCCCCTAAACGCACCCCCACATCTCATCTCAATGACGACCCACATCTGTACAGAAAAGGACACATCATTGACATGCTGCATGCAGACATCAAATATACAACTGGAGTATGCCTTCGTGACATCCATCCTGTACCAGTCATGGGTGATGGCCAACATTGCGCCCAAATCTGGCATCAAAGTCCAATGCATCTGCGATGGAACATTTTCCACAGGTCCTGGCAGGCCTCATTCTTGCCTCCGTTGAATCATGTGAGCTTGCGCAACAAAGGAGCACATCAGGTCAGCAGAGACCCGGTCTGTCTATTCTCATAGGCCTGCTGTGGTCCAAGTGCCGCGCAATTTCACAAAGTTCAGCTCTGGCCAGAACACAACCTGGGTTCTGCAGCAGGTGGTAGCTCTTTGTGGCCCCAGCCAGTGATATTGCGTACACACCACAGGTGGCAGCCTCCTTTTCTAGGATCAATTGGCCAACCTCGGGTCACGCAGCCGACGAAACAGCTTGCCTCTGCTTGCCATGCAATGGAGGGGAAAGTTGCGCACCCGGGAGGCGAGCAGCGTGCCGAGGTAGTGTTCGTCGGAGTAGCAGTCGCGCCAGACGTTGTCGCGCCACTCCATGTAGCAGTGCTTGGTAAAGGCGTCGGCCACCGCCGTGTCATCGGCGATGATCTGCGCGTGGTCGCGGCGCAGCACGGCCCACTGGCTGCTCTTGCGCCAGTGCGACACCTTCAGCGCGTCGCTCTCCATCTCCGGCGCCCACCGGTGGTACATGTTGTTCAGCGTCTGCATGCGCATGCATGCGTCTCTTCAGAATCTACCGCGCAAAAAGCAAGTGATTGAGACATCCGCCATTTCCTAATTGTAGTGATTCGCCCTTGGTGCAAGCACTGAAGACTTGACGATTAAAAGCAGCAGCCGATACTACCCACTTGACTAGACATTGTCTCGCCACACAAATCTAACGCTGGCTGTCCGGGCAAAGGAAAGCATCCAGTGCCCCAGCAGTTTATAGACCATCAATTGGCCAATAGGGGAGAATGCGCAGCCAAATGGCAGGTGGCAGAGTCTTGCAAGACATCCAAGGGTGGCAATGAGTAATTCCAAGGGGGCGCACCCCGAGCTCGCAGGCGTTGACGCGGCTCTTCTCCTCCACCATGAGCTCCACCCAGAGGGTCTCCGCGGGGTACAGCGGGATGCCGCTCTCAGACAGCAGCATGAACTTCTGGTTCAGCGGGTCCTCCAGCGCCGCATGCAGCAGGTTTTTTAGCGCCGCAACCAGCGAGAAGGTGCCCCACTCCACGTGCACGCGGTCCACTATGTCCCGCCCATAAAACACGCTCGTGTTGGCAAAGCCTGTTGCACATGATGCACGTCAGCTGATTGGATGACTACATCTCCGGGCAAAGCGTGCAGTTTCGGTGCCATCTCATAGCAGGTGAGGGGCCGCCTAAACTGACGGCATCAAGAAGAAAAGCATGCAACAGTTCCATCAAGGTGCTCACTTTTGGGTGTGCACCAAAAGGAAGCAAGACACCAAATACCGCAAGTCTATCAGTCAACCGCCAAAAAGCACATGTGAGACAAGGGTGGCAGAGTGCGACCTTTGAAGGCGGCCTCGTTGGCGCCGACATGAACGTAGACGCTGAAGAGGTGCTGGCGCTGGATGGGCCCGTCTCCCGCGGCGTGCCCGCAAACGCCGCGTAGGTGACTAACAAAAGAGGTGCCGCAGCCGTGCACCTTGAGCGCTGATATAGGCACCAGGCCCTCCGCATGCCTGAACCACAGATCCCACGCCGGCTCCTGGTGCAGGTCCCCCCGCGTCAGGAACATCATCGCCACCTGCGCAGTGCAATAATTTTGAGAAATTAAATTCTCAAGTGACAGCAAGTGGATTCTGACGTATGGTCCACAAGACTCTTGATTATGGGATGTTAATGGGGCCTGCTGCTTATGTGTGGGACTGCTCACCAGCATTACCGCTTGTACATGAAGCTGTTTGAATTCTTCGACAGTTCCACAAGAGTTGGCAGGGTGTGTGTGTGTGGGAGATGTGGTTGAATGACTCAGTGACAAAATGACATTGGATGTGGCTGACCTTTGGGATATGCAGCGCCTCTGCACACTTGTCCACCAGCACCTCCGGATGGGAGGTAGTCCTGCTCACCCTGCACCAGCAGAAGAGTTAGGTTGAGAAATAGCACTCAACACGACGATGACAGATCACTGCGCAGACGTGTGCTGGCATCTCCACTCCACAGAACTTTGCCATCCTGGTGTCAGACATGCACAGGGTGTTGCCGACAGGTTATGACACAGCACATCATCATAAGGAGGGCTGCTCACTTCGCCCCGCCATCCACGCCAAGCGTCTGCCCCACAAATGCCCTGGCCTGGTGCCACCAGGAGGCGCTGTCGCCGGGCGGCCGCTTGAGGGCGAGGCCCTTTCCCCACAGCTGCCGCGCGCCCTGCTTCCTGTGAGATGTCAGCTGCAGCACGTTCCCCTCTCTCCACAGCCGCTGTGACTCCGCCTCTGCATCCGTCTCCGGATCCCCCTCGCCCCACTCCGCGCCCTGCAAAGTACAATGCATGTGCCCCTTCAATGGTTTCTTTGGAGCATGACATAATAGTAATGAGTAAGATTTGCGACTATGACATGGTGCTGTGCTGCACATCCAGGCAGCTGAAGGAGTGCTCCCTGAAGGGTGGGAGCAGATGCCACAGCAGGTTGGGGTCGCAGCATCCGGGGGAAATTGCCGGTCTGCAATGTGCGGAGTAAGGATGTACACGAGCACAGAAAAGGAATGCTTCAATTGGCAGCTGAGGAGTTAGCAACCCACCTTTGGATGCCACATGCTGGTATTTGTATCTAATCTAGCGCCATTTCCGAGCGCCCGTGCCTTCACTGGTTGCCCACTGAGCAGCCCCGTCAGGGATGCCGCTCCCCTCCTTGACCCTAGCAGTACATACAGCACCACTAGGAGGTGCGCTAACGCAACAATCGCTGCCACTTTGCCCCATGTCCGCCCCCACACAGCACCCTGCACCAGCCAAAGTTCACAGTCGGCCACGACAATGTTCTCAGCACATGCAGGATTGCCTCCGCTGCATGACATCCTTAGCCGTGCAGCAGGTGACAAGTTGAGCAAGCCCACAAAGGGAGGACAGCAGGAGAGCTCACACCTCTTTGACTGGGCTGCCAGATGGTTGCCTGAGTAGGCGCTGGGAGGACGAGCGTTTCGGGCTGAGAGGACTGGTGGTTCCCACGTCCTCAGTGACACTACTTGTTGATGGGGAGCCATGGTGGACCCTTCGAGCATCTGCTGAGCCAGGCCGAGACATTTCTGCAGCCTGGAGTCCGTCAGGAGGTCCTACCAAGCGCTCAACGCGCTGTAGCGACCGCAAGCGCTTGCCAAGATGCCTAGAGATTCGATGGCTACAATCAGCTGCTCCGCAGCTGTATTCCACATATCTTCCACATCAGGAGGGACGTTGTCAGGTTCCTGCGATTGCAATGACACAGGCTGAGGTCCTACCTCTTGTTCACATAGGCGATACAGCTATCCTTCAATATTGTGAGGACAAGCAGTACAAGTTGGTGCTGACGCTTTGCCACAGGATTCATATACATCAAACAGAGATCTGCCGTACTTGAAAAAAGGATTGATTTGCAAGTTTGACACAAGTAGTACACCGTTCATGTGCCAAGCTTCCGTTTCTACAGAGCCAGTTACTGGCCTTGCATAGTAGAAAGTCTATCACTGACAGCATCATTGATAGAACAAAGTATTGGTGCATGACAATGACAAGATAATAACGGAATTTGCGCGTATCACACCTTCACATAGGTTCTCCATGCTGAACAGAACCATTTTTTGTTCTGAAAGTGCTCCTCCCTTTGCGGTACAAAAATGTGTGAACGAAAGAAGGATGCCTGATTTTCGTTGCCTTGGATGCCTTCGAAGCCGCTATATACTTACAACAAGATGAAATGAACGGACATCACGATCGAGAAAAACAGCTGCCGCGGAAATGAAGTTCGGACCACCAATCCACGCTGCCGATGAGAAGGCTATTCACCGCAACGAAAGCACCGTCAGTCGATTTACACCCTATAACAGATGCAGCAAGATAAGAGAAGCACGCCACCTAATTGTCTCGTTCATCGGAAGCGTCTGCCCATTTTGGTGCGTCCATCTGGCACTACCTAGAATTACGGTTACGCAGTTGCCGACCTTACGGGTTCCATGCTTCCGGAAATGTCCGTAAGTGTCGGGGGAATGCAAATCCAGTCGTTTAGCGGGAATTTACCTTTGTCAGCGGCGATAGATTATCTTGTGACGACCCCATGAACAATATGCTGCCTGAAACTAGTTAATGAGACACCTGGGTGCCATTCGAGATTGCCTAGGGCGAAGTTCACGGCCCACTTCACGGAAGCACCCCTCATCTGGCTTTGTCAGCAGCAAAATTGCACCCATAGCAGCTCAAAGTACATTCCTCAGAACCAAAGGTATAGAACATAAAACGCACTCATTGGAGCACTATGTGGGCATCCCTCATCTTTGTGAATGCAGCTGCAGTGCAGTACACATCTTGTTATGTATTCTTGTGACTTGCCCAACAAAATTTCTCATGAGATTTGGACGACAGAACAGTGGATACGTGGTACTCTTTGTCATGTTGAGGTATATTCTAACAGGTCTTGTGGTCTGAACAGGTAGGACAACAGGGGCATACCATGCATACCTGACACTGGCCCCTCAGGCCTGGTATGGCCAGTGCAGACCTGCAAAACCACCCATCTCCGGACATAAAAAGACACATACAAGCTTCTTTCATAGACCACGAGGCTCTCTGCCCAGCCTCCCCTTGCTACGCCAAGGCCTTTGAGCACTCGGAGGTTGCATCCTTCGAGCCCCTGGGGGACAGACAAAAGGGCACAGACGCGCCTGAAGCGCACCATCTGCTGCGCTCCTCGATGAGCATCCTCCAGGCTATGCCGGGGTCAGGCATTGACCCCGCCCTCACCGCCCCTTTGCCTCGGGTGTTCCAGCCCCTGTCCCCATCGGGGGATTGTGCCGGCGATGGGCTGCCTGAGGGTACCAGCTTGCCGCTGCCGCAGCCGATTGTCCTGCCGGACGAGATGGAGCTGCAGGAAAAGGGCCAGCTCGCTGAATATTTTGGCGTCAACTGGAATCCAGACAGGTGCTTTGATGATGCTTCAGTGCCTAGTTGCCTACTTTTCTCACCGCCAACTACCATGTGTTTGGTGGCCCCCTCTTACGTTGCTTGGGGGCATCTCTGACATGCAGCTAAGCATGATCCTGATCCTTGGTTGGGGGTGCCACAACAGTGTCCAATACCTTGAGACATGTGAAGCTACCTCCTGTATGGAGGACTAGAACAGGTGTTCCTGAAAGTGGTCATCACAGCGACTGAAAGGGCCCTCACATGCGATGTCAGGGGTACGCTGGGGTCGCCGCAGCGCTCGCCGGCTAGCCGCGTGCGCCGCGCGATCGGCCGCCTGAACGGCGCGGCGCGGTCCCCGGGGCCGCTCGAGGAGTCCATGTCACACCAGCGCGGCGCTTTTGGACGGCCCAGCGACGGAATCGAGGCAGTACCCGAGGAGTGCTCGGCGCCGCTCACCTGGGAGGAGCTCTTCTCTGTGCAGACCCGCGCCACGCTGGAGCTGCGGGTGAGTCACTCATCCTCTCTCCGGCGTGCCGCGTGATCCCCAGTCTGAGAATGATAATTGACAATTTTCCGTCAAACAATGGCCTGCGCAACGCTGAAGCCGGGGGTGAGGGACTCAGCCCTTTCAGCGGCGGTATTGATAAATCCTGTCCCAAGCGGCGCAGAAGCAACAAAATAGTGCAAATTGGGAAACAACAGATGACAAGACTGAACACCGTCTTTCCGCACCTGCCGAGCGGCTTACCAAAATGAATGTGCTTGCCTGGCAGCCAAGTGCAATGCTCATGTCTTGGCATATGATGACGCAGCCAGCTGAAAATGCCACAATTTCAGGGAGCATCACGGGCTGGGTCCATCATCTAAGGGTCACCTCTGGAGATGCCAATCTTGCGACAGCTCCTTGTCCTGCATAGATCATCAAGACTGCAGTCTCATGTGACTCTACATGAACTCGCTTGACTAAACAACCGTAATTCAGATTTTCCTGGTATGTGCGCCCGCAGGGCATCGAGGCCAAGGTGGGCGCGTCGATGGCGTGCGCGATTGGCAACATGGAGGGCCTCACGCGCCGCAAGGCCAAGATACTGGCGCGCCAGTGCGGCAGCATGCTCGCCGGCCGGCCGGCCCGGCCACGCGCCGGCGCAGCGCGGTCGACGTGGAGCGACACCACCGCGCGTGCAAATGCGCTAAGGGAGGTGGAGCGCGGCATGCGCGCCAGCTGGACCGAGCGCGCCGCCCAGCTCAGCGCCGACCGCGAGGTACGCCCCAGAACCACAACATACATCTTTCTAGTCTAAGACAGCACCTCTTCTGTCTTAGATCCTACTGTTTCTCGACAGAACTCACATTAAAAAAAACCCATTTTCAATTATGGACCGCAAGCTTAAAAGCAGGTGAAGTGGAGACAATTCACCAATGTACTGTCGCAAAAGACCGCCACCAGAGGCATGGATTGTTCATGAGGCTGCTGTCTCCAGAACTCATTTGCTAAGCATGTCATGAACAGAGTCACCATGAGGCAGGAGGTTTTGGCACTCTTGCATACTCATCAAAGCTACTTGGGGCTGAGGCAGTGCCTGAGGCGAGAATGGGCCCCTTATGCATGCGACAGTGTGTTACGGCGCACTTTTGCACAGATGTGTGATGCGTTGCCGTCTGTTGCGCAGGTCCCGAGCGCGGCAGCCAATTTTGTGGAGCTGGAGGCGCTGCGCTGGGAGAACCGCAAGCTCACCGACGCCAAGCTGGTCGCCGAAACCCAGGTGAAATCCCTTGTCCTCTACATCCCCACCTGTTCAAACAATGCAGTCTTCGACTTTGCTTGCACTCCTCAGTACTGAATTGCGCAGTGAGCAAGGCAAGCCAGGTTGACAATATTGTGCCACAAGCTTCATAGGTCGTGCAAGCTCAAACCGGCGCAGCATGATTTTGAGGCGAAACTTCTGCATGCAGTATCTGCCATGCTGCAACGCCTAGAAGGTTGACTTGAGTAATTTTCGGACACTGTAAGGATTGTGTATTGATGTATGGGGCAGGCGACGGATCAGGCGCGGCGGATCTCGCAGCTGGAGGAGTCGTTGGCGGAGCTGCGGCTGCGGCCGACGCCGCGCCGGGCCGGCCCGGACGGCGAGGCCGACCCCGTCAGCACGCTGGAGGCCCAAGTTGGCAAGCTCACCGAGGAGCTGCAGGCACGCACCTAAAATATCCTTTCCTCCACTTATTTCTCACGGCTTTGATCACTCCAAACAACCCATGCAAGCATGCACCTGAGGTACATGCATATTGATTCTCCCTTCGCTGGCCAGGGGTCTTACGGCGATGCGCGGCAGACTGAAAGACAAAAAAAGAGGTCCCTGTGGGAACTTGGCACTTTCTGCAGACCAGATGCAAGGTCTCTGTGCAGAAGAATATTGGTTCACGGGTGGTGCTGGTTGCAGAAGACGACTGAGATGACGTGTATGTTCAGATGCACCTCTACTCAAGTAGTCAGTAGTCAAGATATTCCAAGCTAAGACTTTCAGGCCTGCATTGATTGCCTACCGGTGCAGCACCTAAGAGTCAGTCAAACTTCATTGAATAGCAACACTCGTGCATTGTGCTGCAGGCGGCGCGGGCCGAGGTGCAGGGGCAGCGGGACGCGGCGTCCGATGCGGCCCGGGAGCGCGCGGCCGCGGCCAAGCGCGTGGCCGACGCGGTGGCGGAGCGCGATCTAGCGCGGCAGATGCTGAAGGGCGTGCAGGCGATGCTAGGCCATGCGGAAGCTGCGCGCAGCTCCGCACAGAAGGCCCTGCAGCAGGCGCAGGCCGAGAAGTCCGCATCCCAGGCGCGGCCCAATTCCTGCACCCACTCCTCCTGCCTTCCTCAATCTCAACCCGTTTTAGAAGAACGTTGGACATGCTGTAGAATAGAATATGGTCCACAATATGCAAGTGTTTGTCTGGGCTCTTGTTCTGGATAGCAGTGCTTGCATTTACAGACAGGTAATTTCTCCTCTACCCCATCCGGCTACTGTGTATTGTGAAGATCCTTATTGTGATGTATTAGCAAAGCATTTTGAGATTGGCAGGAGGTTCCTTGATGCCTCGATGCAGATTTTCGGGCTCTGGTAGCAAGGTTCAAACAGTCACTTGGCATGGCAAGCCCTTTGGCTCCGCAAGCATAAGGAAATGTCAGCATCGACAGGGCAAAGATGAGAACGTGAGAGATACATCATGGCTGTGCACAACAGGCGGTGCTGGCAGAGAGCGAGGCTAAGCGCAACCGGCACGCTGCAGAGCTGGAGACAATTCGCGTCAGCCGCCAGCAGGCCGAGGCGCAGTTGGCCGCCGCAGAGGCCAAGCTCAAGGCCACGCACGCCGCTCTCGGACAGGTGCGCGCACATGTGCTATTGTTTGAGTAGGGGTAATTAACAACAAGTTCTACAAGTGCCCCTAGTTGGAGGGCGCAAATTGAACACATTCACCACAAGCCTGTAAAGTTTGCTTGAGCGGGGGCAACTAGTTCTTGAATGACTATATCAATAAAGGAATGTCAGTCTCCGGCGGGGCGGCCAGGTGCTTTGTAAGGATATGTTCTACCCAACCCTTAAAGGCCTTGAAAAGCATGCAGCAGGAAGTTGCATGGGCAGGACTCAGAAAGGAACAGGGGACTCAGTTCAGAGTTCCCTGGACAGGAGGAGATGAAGGATACATGTCAAGTACTGGCTGCTATGTGCAGGTTGGCCAGGAGCTGGGCAGCCTGTCACAAGAGATCAAGGCCGGAGCTGAAGCATGCAATGCCGCCGCCGCCGCCGAACACTCCACCGCCGTTGCTGACTCGAGCGTGGCCGCCCTGCAGGCCGAGCTGCTCTGTGCACAGGTGCACCAACAGTTGCTTGTAACCTCTGCCTCCTGTAATGACCTGTTGCATGCAATTCAGACAGGTTCATGGAGACACAGTGAACAAGAAAGTCAACTCGGTCGAGGATTTGCCAAGCAAGCGCAGAGTTTGAGCGCCTCAGGACTGCATGCAGGAGGAGGCAGCGAGGCTGCAGGCGGTGCTGGCAGAGAAGGAGAACGCGCTGCACGAGGCGCAGCTCAAGCTGGATGCTCTGGACTCCGAATGCAGCGCCCTTCGTGCGGCCGTGACAGAGGCCGAGGCGGCATGCGCCGACCTGCAGTCACGGATTTCGCAGGCAGAGGTACGCTCCTCACCGCTCGCGCTTGTAATTGCACGCATCAGAGGCTGGCTAGCAGAGGTGGTGTACAGGATCTTTCCCAGAGGAACACAGCGGCAATCTGAAACCTTCCAGGTGTCAGGGCCTTATGTAGCACTAGCGGGCATTGCGCTCTGCAATGTCTGTGCCGGCAGGACTGAATTAGGCACCTACTGCCTTTCTGAGAGATACAGGGCGGTGGTATTCTGCCGGGAAGGTGCTATGCATGCTGATTGGGCAGGGCCCTGGTGTGTGCGCAGGCGGACAGGGCTGCCGCAGCAGCCGCACTGGAGGCGCAAGTCTTGCAACTCACCCAGGACCTGGCAAGGAAGGACCAAGCGCTCGAGCTGCTGCAAAACCAGCAGTCTGCAGTCGCAGCGCCGAAGGCTGCCGAGGCCACAGAACCGCCGTCGCAGGAGCCGTCAAGCATGGAGGTGGAGAGCGAAGTGGTGGCTGCAAAGGAGAGCCTGCGGGCGGCCGAGGCCGCAGCGAAACTGCGCGCCGAGGAGCTCGGCCGTTGGGCGGCGGCTGCGGACCGCGCTGCTGCCGAGCAGGCGGCCAAAATCGCGGAGCTCGAAGCCGAGAGAGAAAGCGCGCGGCGTGGCGCGCTGGCCGAGCTGACGGCGTGCCGAGACGCCGGGCTGCAGGCGAGTCTCGGTCAACGCTCTTTTACTTTCTGTGTGCTGGTATTTTCAGAGATGGAACCCTAGAAAACCACCTTTTTGTCAAGAAATTGCTGTTTCTACAGGTTTAGCATGAGTACGACACTAATGTGATTGAACTAGATATTATATTTCGCACCCGCAAGCTGCAAAAAATTTACTCTGTGCGGGGATACACTGACCAATCCAGTGACCGATCCAATGTTGGCCTCAACCTCTATGTCTTGACCCCTTCTCTATAGAACCTGTGTGAATGATAATCGGCGGGGTGCAGGCAGTGTACGAGCTGGAGGCGCAGGTGGGTGAGCTAGCGGCAGAGAAGGAGCGGCTGCAGGCGGAGGTCGTGCGCCAACGCGCCAGCCTCAGCAAGAACCGGGTGAGCGCCAGCTCCTCCCCACACGGTTCCCTCAATGACTAACACTTTCTACAACAGCAAGACTGCATTGGTTTGGAGACCCTCAATGCCGGAATTAGATCAGTGTAGGGATCCTGTAAGCCAAGACACGGTAAGTGGTGATGGTCACCACTTAGAGTGCATCAAGGACGAGTTTACGCGACCATCAGAGGCTTAGAAAGTGCCAAGAAGTATCCTTCTGGGATTTTTGCCTAATGGGAACGCCCCTCAATGGCTGCAGGCCCAGGCGGAAGAGGAGCTGGCAGTGGCCGAGGCAAGGATCGAGAAGCTGAAGGGAGAGAAGGCGGACGCTCTGTCGGCGCTGGCCGAGCAGGAAGCGCGCGCAGCTGCAGCTGGGGCCGAATTGGCCGAGGCGCGCGCGGCGCACGGCCGCACGGCCGCGGAAGCCACGCAGCACCTGCAGGCGCGCATCGGCGAGCTGACGGCCGCCCGCGACAGCGCCGTCGCCGAGGCCGAGAGGCTGCGCGAACAGGTGCGGCTGCTGTGTTTGCGCAAATTCTTCTGTGCATTTAAGGGACCCTTACAATGCTGCCCTGAAGTGTAACTTGTGCGATGCTCCACATTGCCTTCTCTGTTAGGAGGAGAGCAGACCAAAAGAGGAAATAGAATGTGAATCTTTTCTGCATGCAAAGGAAGGTGGCAAGGGCTGGTGTGGTGCTATTGAGTAGACAACGTTCTAAATGAAAATTTGGATGCTTTTGACACTCAAACGTAGTACTGTCCTCAACAGAAGGGATTGGAAGAAGAAGTAAGGTTCGGTTTGCGCCTTGCATTGACCCGTCGCAAGGACAACCATGTGATTGGCGGTCGGGCACCGTATGTGTAGGTGACCGAGCTGTCCGCTGAGCGCAACTATGCAGTCGCCAACAAGCAACAGGCGGCGGAGGCTGCAGCAGCGCTGGAGGCAGAGGCGGCAGCTCTTCTTGACCAGAAGAAACAGGCCGTCACTGCGCTGCAGAGCCAGATCTCCCAGCTCAAGGTGTGCTCCCGGCACTATAACATCTCACTAGATTCTCCGCCAGAGAATTTCCAGCCTTGCTGTGTCTCGGCGGTGTTCCCTGATACCATGCTGATCTCGCATGATCATGCCGAAGTGCACATTTTAGTTTCGGCTGTCTCCATCTTATAAAATGCCATATGCTACATACTTCACCCACCCGCAGGCTCGAAATCCAAGGGGTACTAAGTGCCTTACTACTTAGTGCCTGGTACTTAGTACCTTATATCGTACTCTTCAATACTCCCTGCATAAGCAATTGTTTCCTAAGGACCAAGGAGCTGACCGGCACGGAATATGGTGTAGCAGTGAAGACGTCGGCATGTCCTGCGTTGAATAGAGCATTTGCACGTCATGCAGATGGAGCGGGAGACGATGAAGAAGGCGCAGGAGGGCGTGCAGGCCGCGCTAGAGCAGCTGCAGGGGGAGGTGGACGCAGAGCGCGCCGGCAACAAGGAAGCCTTCGCGAAGCTGGGAGCGGCGGCCGAGGCCGAGGAGTTGGCCCGGCGCGCGGCCGAGAGGAAGCTGGCGGAAGCCGAGGGGAAGCTGGCGGCGGCCGAGGCGGCTGCCGAGCAGCTGCACAAGCAGTCGGACGCCGAGCTGCGGCGGCTGCAGGAGCAGAAGCGCGCGGCCGAGGCTCGCATCAGCGCCCTGCAGACCCGCCTGGAGGGCATGCAGGTGCGTTCAAGACCGAGATTTTGGCTTGGACCACAGCAATGGTTGTTCATCCCAACGGCTTTGGCTCCAGCACTTTTGCAGTAGGCTTGTGAGTTGTGGCTCATCAGTGCGGGCTTGACTCTTGTTTTTTAGAGCTTGGGCAGGCATAGGGTGTTTTGAGCTTGCGTGAGGAGCTGGAAAGTGTGAGGTGCATGCTGCATTGGAAACTTGCTCTCTGCGTGCAGCTGTGCCAGTAGACCTGGAGCTTGCGCATCAGAATGTCCTGCTCAAACAGAGGAGAAGTTTTGAATGTAAATACCAGATAATTCATGTTGATCACAGAGCGCGGCCGGGGGAGTGGACACGCAGAAGGTGAAGGTAGAGGAGTTTGCGGCGGCGCTGCGCGAGGCGCGCGCGGAGGCGGCCGATCTGCGCCGGCAGCTGGCGGGCGCGCCGCAGTCGCCCGCACCGGCCGAGCGGCAGCCACTGCAGCTGTCGCCGCGCGTGCTGCCCAGCAGCGTCAAGTCCGCCGCGGCGCACAAGGCCCGCGCCAGGTATTTTAATGTTCCCTCGCACCTAGTCCACTGGTCCCAAGACTAATGGTATTTATTGATAAAGGATGCTTATTCAAAGACATCTTGCAGAAACCCCGGCTTGTAACAGAGCTGAAAGTCCTCCCATGTCAGCTTGAGACTGGACTGGCAGAGAGGGTAATAATTGCCCTCATGAAAGTGGAACAGGCCGCCGGAAAGGCAGTGACAGCGCTGCAAATAAGTGCTTTGGTGAAGTGCAAATACTAAAATAGGTGTGCGGCCCCGGCAGGTGCCGGGTGTTTGCGCGCGTCCGGCCAATGAGTCGTGCGGAGCAGGCGGCGCGGCAGGGAACGCCCCTGAAGGTGGCCGACCGCGACTCGCTGCTTCTGGCTGGCGGACAGGGCGGGGCCCAGCGCTACGGCTTCGACCGCGTCTTCTCCCCCGAGGAGGTACGCTCGCAGACCGGCATGTGTCCGATGAGTAACCCCCTGGCTCTTGGTAGCCGGATGACTGACGCGGAGGCCACCTATAAAAACCTGCACTCATTGCATTCAAGCTCTAATTTGCTGTGCTACCGTCATGACTTTCACGCCATGCTATTCTCAATGCGCGGGGCTGCCTCGCAAGCCTTGCACTTGACAATATATCTCGTACTGGCAAACACAGTGAAGCGTCCGAGGATCCTTGCAAAAGGCCACAGGATCACAAATGGAACAATAGGTATGGGGGGGACAGGGAGTAACCTTAGACATACTGCAATGACGGATTTCAGTCATAACCCCCGGCAGTGATTCAATGGGGGGGTTTGATGCGCGTGCAGGGGCAGGATGCGGTCTACAAGGAGGTGTCGGGCCTGGTGGCGGCGGTGGTGGAGGGAAACAACGGGTGCGTGCTGGCGTTCGGGCAGTCCGGCAGCGGCAAGGCTCACACTCTGGCCGGCACGCCGCAGCACCCCGGCATTAACTTCCGCGCCATGTCACACCTCTTCCAGTGCGCACTTCCACCGTCCTTCACACAAATGCCTCTGAAATCCTCTTTAGGTGTTCCTCTTTAGGTGTTCATTGTGGTCACGTGCAGTCCCTGGACATGCACAGCATGCTCTTCTTCAAAATGGTCTCCACTTTTTAACACAAGATCAGACCCTCTGGACTTCTTCCCTGACTCAAACAGTCTTAGTGGAAACTTAGATTGATCTTTTCAGGGTGCCAACGCATGCTCAGCATGACTGACTCTTTGGGTTGGGGGGGCAATCGATGATATAATGTTGCATTGTTGATTACGGTACTCCTACACAGACGGTTTGCTCACATGCCTTGCATGCACATGAAGTGCACCAAATTACAGTTGGCTGAAATGAGGTAAACTAAAGCAGAAGCATGCTTGTAACGCAGGATGGCACAGGACAGCAGCGGGGCTCGGGACACGCGCATAGCGATGAGCATCGTTGAGATCCACGGCGAGTCCATCCAGGACCTGCTCTCCAACGATCCCTACCGCCGCCTCGACGTCAAAACGGTGCGTGGCCGCCTGCAGATTCCACACCTGGGTCCTCAGAACACTGACATGGGCATGCACGGAGGCTTCTCAAAAGTGCCTGCATGCGTCCAAATGATGCTCATTTTCTGTCAGCTTTGAAGGCCTGCAAGTGTGCCTTCACACTGCCCGGCTTGACCTCACATGATTCTGCCAAAAAGAAGTTCAATGGAGAGGACATATCCTGGCGGGGGCGCTTCACAGGGAGGGCAGAAGGACCCTGAGCTTCTCTGGAAGGCAGTAGTTATATAGATGCCTGGTTGGGATGCGCAGGTGGAGGATGGGGTGTGTGTGCCGGGGCTGAGCATCAAACAGATTGCATCAACGGCGCAAGTGGAGGCCGTCATGTGCTCTGCGTCCGCGCAGCAGCATGCGAACACGAGCCACCTCGTCCTCTCGGTCTACGTGGCCTGCAAGGACCGCACCACTGGTGAGCAGCCTCAAAAAATCATTGATTGAGTGATACTAACCAATGCATGTCGCAGCGTTGAATTTTACCATGTGAGCAGCGTGAGCTAGGAAGGAGGTCTGCTGCTCTGCCTCAGCCTGAGGCAAGTGGCATTTTACAGCTCACCGTCTCTTTGCACTGCTTCTTCAAGCTGCGGTTGAACGCCTGCACGGGCTCCAACCAGGGAGAAGCAACTGTTTGCACTGAGGATGTCATAGTGAAAGGAGGAAATATCTGGACTTGCAAAGTGGCTAGTTCTGACGCCAAATGCCCTGCGCAGGCGCCACGGCTCTGGGCAAGCTGCACATGGTGAACCTCGCGGCGTCAGAGCTGGCAGAAAAGGAGGGCGACAGATCCCTGCGCGCCCTTGGCAGCTGCCTCCAGGTGCGAACGCCACTCAAGCCGAGTCTAGCATGCACGTGCAAATCCAACAGCTGTACCCTGCCACAACCTGCAAAGACCACTGCACCTCCAATACTGTATCTCACAGACCACATTCAAAGCACGCACACAAAACTCACCCTGGACCCACAAGGCATTGCTGTTTTGGGACATGGCAGATCTCGTCATGATCATGATCTTTGACGTGATGGTGGGGTGTGTGCTCTATATCAGGCGCTGCGGGTGAATGCTGCGTCGGTGCCGTACGGGGACAGCTGCCTGACGCGCCTGCTGGCCGACTCCATGGGCCACGAGCGCTCGCGCGCTGTCCTCATCGCCACCTGCAGGTGTGTTCCCCACTGTGCTGCAGCTCCTCTCTCCAAAATAGCGTTTTTTTTACGGAATAAGGCCTTGCCGGCAATACAACGCAGTTCGATGAGTATGTGGACCCTGGTCAGGGCATCTCAAGCCCTGCCAGGAGACACACTTGAGCTGCGCATTGGGTCGCAGACAAGGCGCGCTGGCCTTAGCAAGACTGAAGCCAGCTGGCTTGTTGCCCAACACCCCAGCGTTCAATATTGCCCACTGTTTCTAGCGCTAAAAACGTGATTGTTCTCTTAAATGCAGCCCGCTGGCGAGCGACGCAGCGGAGACGCGGCGGACGCTGGACTTCTGCGCGCGCATGGCTGCAGGTGCGGCGGCCAGCCCGTTCCGGGCAGCCGACATTGGCCCGCCGGGCAGCCCGCCCACCGGCTCGGTCGCCGACCTGGCAAACGTCTTTGGCGGCTCCACCCCGCGCTCCCCGGTAAACACACATTCAATTCCACATTTGTCTTGTCATCGTGCCTGAACATTAATCGTGGTCAGCATTGAGTAGGCAGAGGCATCGTGGACTTTTGGAGTCTTCGGGTTCTCTTGGGTGGTAATTCAATTGCATGTCGGTCAAATGTTGATTTGGACAATTTTACATTTGGGCACATACAGTACATGCAAATGCCCCGGAATGAGGACTCCACGCAAAGCTGCTTGAGACACAACAGGACAAAGATATTTGGGGTTGCAGGGCGGGCGACTGTTCAGCCCAGCAAGGGCGGGAGTTGGGCAGGCCAGGAATGCGGCCCGCAAGCTGGACATGAACACTGTGACCTCCCCTGTGGAGGCCAGCCCCAGATCTCCCCAGCGATTCAGTGCACGCCACGTAAACTGACCACGCCACAGAAACTGACATCATCCTGTATGGACCACCATGACAGCCTTTGGGTGAGGCTAGCACTGCAACGAACAAAGAGGCCAGACCGAGAAAGCTGAGATGAGGAGAATGCTTTAAATCACCTCCACATGGCATCACAAATGCACTTGAGGTTGATGCGTGTAGATATCCCGAGTATCATCCGCCCAGAAGGGTACGTATCTGGGAGTATTGAGTGTGGTCATGACTAAGACATGAATTGATGACCTTGAAGCATGCATATGCAGCGTTGAACATATACACAGAACTGTAGGCCTAGGTGACGCATGATCATGAGCTCAATCCGACCATGCATAGAGACTGCTATTGTCTTGACGAAAAGAAAGCTTACAGAGTCGAGGTTCATGCGGTCAGCACAATGTGCTGAAGCAATTAATTAGGGTTGAAAGATGCATTGAACAGCAAGAACTGCCTACTGTACATACAGTACAATGCACTGATCTCATGAGTGCATGGAGCAACCACATGTTTGAAAAATGTCTGTCAAGTCATGACTGTCATGAGCTGCCAAATGGAATTCTGCAAATCTCACAAAGAAACTGTAAACAAAATTTCAGTCCGAGTTCTGCCAAGAACACACCACAGCTGTTCCGAACTCACCTCTCTTGAACAACATCAAGCTTCACACAGTTCTTCAAAATCAGCGCAACAGATCGCTCTTTAATAATCCTTTCCTAGAGGCCAGCCACTCGGCCAGCGTATCTCTGCGGATAATCAAGCTGCCTGCATCCGCCATCAAGGCACCCCTGCCGCGGCTTGACTCTGCATTAGACATACTACCCGACCTCTCTTCCCTTCTGCTCGCACCCTCCACTCGACTCAGACCCCAATACTCTTTGCTCAGCACTTCCCCTCTTCCCCCCGCATCACGTTCTGCACTACTCTGCTGGTTTAGTTGACTGTTGTGTGTCCCCGATGGGTGCATTGCTTGGCCCGCGCCGTTGCTGGTAGCGCTGCGGCGGTACTGGGATGACTGGGCAGGCTGCCGCCGCCTGGGCCTTGGAACGTTGGTGGCCAGCTTGAGCTCGTCGTTCAGCAGTTTGTGTATTGCTTCGTGCAGCACCGGGCCCACCTCTGGATCGCTGTGCCGCCCCACGCCTGCAAAATGACAGTGATGGTCACTCAATCTCCTCATCTTCCAATCCCAAGGCTTGCTTCCAGGCAGCACGTGAAAGCTCTGCTCGTGGCAAGCTTCGAAGACAAAGGCATGCGTGTACACAGCTTGCCATCGCTGCATTCTCACCTGCCGCGACAATCGTAGACTCCTGCATCACTTCCTGTTGTGGTCTCTTTCAAGGCATCACTTCACAGCCCTGCTGTGCAACATGCATGGACAGGGGAAGCTGGGCGCGCAGAGAGACCAGAGCCCACCAGTGATGAAGACGAGGTTGGAGGTGAGCGATGCGCCTGCTGCGGCGCGGTGCTGGACGGACGAGAGCACGCACAGAACAGCCGCGCGCGCCTCCACGCTCGTCAGCCCATGCAGATCCACCCAGCTCTGTGCCTCGTCCAATCCCAGGCACGACGCCACCTGTCAAGATGGCAGCTGCCTCAGTGAGTCAGCACTTGGAAGGAGGGTGGGTCGGCAGCACGTCATTGTCATGTTCCATATACGGCGCTGTATCACATGATGCACAGCGGCAGAGCACATGCTATGCGAGTAGGCTGTCCGTAACCGGACGGCAGAGTTGTACGCCCCTCCTTACGAGATCCAAGCATTGCCAACGAAATGCATGCAAAAAACGAGGACAGAAGGTTGACCGGTTGCGCAGCCATGCAAGCGGACAAGCCTATGGCCAGAGCCATAGGCTTTGTCGGAGGGGATGCAGCAAGACAGATTGATGGTCTGCAGTAAGAGGGCGTGCCTGCTGCACCAGGTCGCCGCCGTCCTTCTCGGCCATGGCGGCCTCAACGGCGGCCGATATCATTTCCCGCCACTCCGCGTTGCTTGGTCGGAACCCCATCCTGGACCCCACACATCAACCCCTCAGACGTGAACACTTCCTCTCAGATGGTATATTAAAGTTGGTCGGGCTCCAAAACAAGCATAGTAAGCCGGTGGAAGAATAAGATTTTTCTGTCCGACGCGTACACAACGTGCTGGGGAGGAATTTTCTAATAGTCATGATTTCCAAGGTGGGGGGCTAAAGGTGCACAGCAGGGTACCAAACTGCGGTAAGGTAAGCGCCGTTGTGTTTGGCGACAGCAATTATGGGTGAATTGTCCGAACAGACACCGTTAGCAGGGCAGGGCATGTGGGTGAGCACCTGCGCATTCCACGGTAGGCGTGCAGTGCTTCCTTGACCAGGCCGGCCTCACGGCAGATGCGCGTGACCAGCCGGTACGTGTGCTCGTTTGGCTTCATGCGCCGCGGGCCCCACACCTGATCGCATGCACCACATCGTTCAGGTACCCTCACAACTCAGTCTTGCGTTGTGGCTATTAGCCAGCCGGCACCACTCTCACAGATACCGTATGTAAGCAACACTATTTGAAGTGCTGCAGGTGTGTTTGGATGATCCAGTGCGCACCATTTTTCGGAAGACGGCCAGCGCATCCTCGGCAAGGCCCTCAGACCCCAGTGCAGCGATGAGCGCGCTCTGCAGAGCCACATCTATGCGGATGCCAGAATCCTTGACCTCCTGCGACAGGCAAAGAGTACTGGGATTCCTTCAGCAAGCCCACATCCCGCCTGTCTGTATAATGAATCGAAAGGCACATTAGCTTGCCCGCGCTATCTCATAGCATGAAGTTCATGCCGCTCAGAGGTACGTCAAGCTGTCCCTGTGCACCTGTGCAGGTTTCGAGGAATCCCAACACCCCTGGTGTAACCACAGGGTGCCATCTTTCCACGAAGATGTGCACCAAGAGTACAGACATAGCAAAGCAAGCCACCAAACTTGCTCTTACCCTGCTGTCATCAACCTTCTCTTCTTTCTGCTTGTTCGGCATACACTCTAATCGGATTCCAAAGGGAATTCCTAGGCCCACCACATCACTGTCAACAAGCAGGCGCACCTCGTAGAGCGCCAGGGCGCGCCGGCCGGCTCCGGCCTGAGCGCAGAGCGCGAGCATGCTGGTGACGGTCTGCTGGTCGGGTGCAACGCCAGCGGCGCGCATGTCTGCCAGCAACTGAAAAGCCTGGTCCAGCTGGGCTGACCGCAGCTTGCTGCCCGACTGCCCGCCGCACGCGCGCACCGCCAGATTGTAGGTCACCAGATCTGGCTCCACCCCTTCCGCAGGACAGAAGCACCTTTTCAGCCGAGAATCCTCTTTCTGCATGAAGCGCACAGATTACATCAAGGCTGCTTGCATGCAGGCAAGGAGGATTTTCGTGGTGATTGAGAGAGCACAGCGGCGCGGAATGGGTGGAAGCGCCCAGGGAATGTTGCTTGGTATCGACAGACACACAGCATTGCCACAGCAAAAGAAGCCTGTAATGCAGACAGGGGTATGCCCCACTGGCCAGCGAGGTGATGCATGCATGCAGGTAGCATGCAGCTGCGGTCTCGTTGAGCACAGCGAGCTTGGGATTTCGGCCTCTTGAGCGTGCAAGCGCGCCTCATTTGACACATATGTATATATAACACTTGCAGAGATGATGATGGCTGCATTGAGAGATCGCTCAGAGCGCACACCAAGGTCCTTCATGGAGCGGTAGATGTCGAGCGCTCGCTCTCCCTGGTCGCAGTCGATGCATGCGGTCAGCAGCGCATTGCAGTTGTCGACAGTGGGAGTTGTGCCAGAGGCTGCCATCTGGCGCCACAGCCCCAGAGCGCTCTCCACCTGTCGCGCCTGCAATGTTTTCCCAACACCCACCCTCAAAAACTTCTTGGCCGGAAGGGGCAGCATGGATGACTCAGCAGCGCAAACACAACACCCAACCAAGTTGCCTTGCCAAGGATCCCTTTGCATCTCACTCCCCAGGCCACACAGTGCATGCTCAGGCCGAAGGCGCGATTCGATCAGCTTCTCATGCTTGTCATGCATGCGGGTGCATTCGCTAGATACAGACGCACCATTCCAAAAGGCTGCGGCGCCACTTTGGGCGACTGCGAATGTTACAGATCAAGTTAATGATCTCAGATATTAATCAGAAGACCCACTACTCTCAGTCAGCATTGCAAGCTGGCATCAGTATCCTGATTAGGCAACCTAATTGTCAAGTGTCCAGCATGTTCCTTGGACCTTGGACGATGCATATAGCACAAAAGGCCCGATCAGAGCAGCTGACCACCACAACCAGACCCATGTGCTCTGAGATATGTAACAGCGAGGCACAGATGATGCTTCTTCATTACAGTGGAGAAGTTGCTCGATCCAGGAACACACCTTGCCGCAGGCGACAATGAGGGAACCCCACACGGCGGGTGTGGGCGCGCAGCCGTCGGCCGCCATCTGCGGCAGCACTTTCAATGCACGTTCTACATCCCCTGAGTACGAGGCCGCCTTGATGTATGTGTTGTATGTGTGCTCATTCCCCTGCACAGTTCAGGTGCAATTTCATCAAAGGTGAATCTCTTCGTCCCTGAAAGCTTGGGCTTGGGCATGGGCATCCATGCAACACATGCGCTGCGGTCAACACCAATTCCCGATGACTTATGATGCTGGCCAGTGCTGCTCGTGCAGGGTAGGGCCCGAGCCCAATCGTAATTCTTTTGTAATGTGCATGATCTGAAGGATAGACTGGACTACATATGGGCCCAAGGGGAATGCCTGCACATGCACACCTGGCAGCCGCGTTCACGCATCCAGGCGAGGACCTCGTCGGCGCGAGCCGCGTTCTGGCCGCGCATGCATGCCTTCAGCAGTGTGTTGAAGGTCACCCTGGTCGGCTCCAGCCCCCCCGCCATCAGCTCATTGTACCTAAATCAGGAACACAATGGCTTGATTTTGCCTTTCTGTTTTCGCCGTTTTGTGAAGAGCCAAGAAAAAACAATCCATTTGAGCTCAGGTCGTGATGCACGGACAATTGACTTGCATGAGATTGTGGTAATTCTTGCATTGTTCACGGTTGTCAAAGCGTGAAGACATGGGCTTGAGCTAAGTGAATGTGAGAGCCGCACATTGCGAAGGCTGCAGGAAGATCAGAACTCAGCGCGTTCAGCAGAATGTTCACGGTGTGGGTGTCCTGAGGTGACCAGATGCATCGGCTGCGCATTTCCTGAAAGGCGCGGAGAGCAAATGCTGGAGCGCGCATCCTGCAGGCAGCAATGCTCATCACAAACCAAGGCAAATGTGGCACAGCACCACCTGGAATCACAACTTATTGCCTAGTTAAAAGCTGCAAAATTTCTCTACCCGTCACCCATATCCCGCTATTCCCCAGTGTAAGCACGCTCAGAGTGTCTCGAGAACGCAAAGGTCTGTTGATGTTGTCCACAGACACGTTTGTTCTATGTTGACAAAGGAACTCTATTGATCACCTGCTGTAATTTCTGAGCAGGAGCCGCCAAGGCTTGAGGTCCCAGGCGCCATGCAGGCGCGAGTCATCATCGGCCAGCATGGCGCCCAATACCATGAACATGGGGTCCCCCCGGGACTTCACATCCGCCAGGTGCTCCAGAACAGGCACGTAGAGCAAGCCACCCAATGGCGGCAGCTCTTGCATGCACACCAGCGCCAGTGAGGCATGGTACCTCAGCAGCAACGCCTGCAAGGCATGCTTTCCGATTGGTGGTCTTGATTTGATCAGATGTCCATGTCGTGGTATGTCTCTGTCGACGGGAGAGAGCAACGGTGCGATTAATATCTGGGCCAGAGGCCATGGTAAACGAGTGTTGAGGATTTGTCTTATAAATGACAAGACCTTTGCCGACATTTGCAATGTTCATGGTCATGCATGGGAATCTGTGTGCAAGGCAGAGGATGCGCAGATGATGTAGCTCACCTGTACGAGGCCTTGGCAAGCTGATGTGGATGTCAGCTCCCGAAGCCCTTTCTTAGTGTCTGCTTGCGCTTCACGCAGGATAGCTAGCACCTCATGCTCGTGACCTTCACTAGCTGCCAACTTGCAAGCATTGATCAGCTCTGCAGCCCTGGAAGCCTCTCCTGGGCTGCTGCACTGGCTCATGTAGTCTTGCAGATGCCTGCTTTCGTAGCTGTGCTTTGCCCTGCTGCTGTCATGGGATCGCGACGCCAGGAAGGCGTTCCAGTAGGCAACAGGTGTCACTTGCTGAACCTGGCTGGAGACCTCGTCAGCGTCGAGCACTGTCTGGCTGCGATCTTGCTGGGTGGATTTCCTCCTCGTCCTGCTGCCTGCAAGCCCGTGAGAAGCCAGCCTGTCGCTGGCCATCACCTTGGCTGCCTCTTCCTCTGCTGCAGATATTGCGCCATTTGGACGCGCTTGGTGCACTGCGCATGGAGCAGTTTTCCTGCGTATTACAATTGCTGCTTGTTTGAACGCAGTCCCGCGGTTTCCAAGTGGGCTGGTGGTAAAATGCTGCAGTCCCCCCCTGGAGCCCAGCAGGGCTCTATGAAGCTGCTGGGCGACCATCACAACATCCTTGACAGATATTCAAAACTTTAATACTGAAAATCTGATGATCTTGATTCCTTCAGTACATACCAAGTCGCAACGAACTAGCATCAACATCCAAGGCTGTAATGTCACATTTGTGCCTTCACTCCGATGCTTGCATTCATTTGCAAAGATGCAGACTTTGCAAACGAACATCGACAAATATAATTCCACTTTTACAGGTGCGATCAAGGAAAGAGCGTCATACGGCAAACGGGCAGAGGGCTGCCCAAGAATGGGCAGCTTCCTGTGATGTGCACTTGTCAGGACCTTTGCTACAATGCCTAAGACACCACACAGTAGAGGATTAGCTTGTGCAGGTGATGAAGTAACAACTGGACTGTAGCACCCATCATGCATGCATGCTATGCACAAGTATGTGCGGTGCCTGCAGCCTCCTGAGCTCCTGAGCCTCGAGGACTCCTCCGCGGAGAGCGTTCCCGACTCAGGCCTGATGCCGACGCTTGGCGAGCGGCCATGGCCAGTCAGTCAGGCTCAGATTACATGCGTATGCGCATCCCTTCATACTCTACCGCTAGGGGCATGCTTGCAACTGCCAGCGCAATGCAGACTTGAGACCTTGATCAAGCTCGTGAGCTTGCCAAAACCACAGGTGCCACAGTGTGACACCTTCAGGTAAGATACTGCGTTGGACTTGCAAGCCAGACCCCTGTAAGTTCCTTGGCCACACGAAACAAAGATTCAGTCTCTCAGTGTATTTACCGCAAACAACAACTCCTTGGTGCACGCTGGGGCCTTGCGAGACACTTTTGCAAGCAAAGTATCAAATGGAGCAACGTGTCATTAGGATGTGCAGCAGCTCATCCACTTGATTAAGTCTTGTCAACAGAAAAGCTATTGCCAGCGCAGACCTCATCGGCAACTTTATTATGCAATCACTTTCCTGACATGCTTTGCATCTTGGGAAACCTTCGTCTTAATTAAATGCCTGCGCACTCAGGCACTCAAGACTCCATCTCCACAGGCTTTGCCTTCTGGCCATTGTCTGGAGCACCCATGCCCGCTGCCAGCTCTGCATCTCTCTGATTGTGCGGCCGTGCTCCGCCTAACTCCTTCAATCTGCATCGCAAAATCATCCCCTTTGTCACTACCCAACCAGTGACCTCCCCAAGAATGCAGACCGCCCGAGTTTCCAGGAGCATTTTTAGATTGTCGGCCTGGATTGCAAATGTTCCAGCCTGCTTCCAGCCTGCAGATTGGATATTTTTTGCTTGTCAAGACAACATTGAGACCCACAACAGCCATATTACATGTCTTGTTTTTGTAAATAGCCAAGGCATTGTGGGCGAGGAGCTACCTCCGCTTGTGCGGCTTGGTGCGTGAATGCTCAGAGAGCGCATGGTCCGAGAGGAAGTAGCGAGAGCAGGGGGTGCAGTAAAATGCGCCGCCAGCTGGGATGTCCTCGTCTAGCACAGCCCTGTGCCAGCACACATAGCACTCGCAACTTCCGCCTCGCGCAGCTGCAGAAAGTGAAGGTGCAAATCCATGAAGGCTGCAGATCGATACCTGCTTGTTGTTCCCAAGGGTCCGAGCCGCTCCTTGCCGTCAGCACTGAAAGTGACAACGGCCTCCTGCTCCTTCCGCACGTCCTCCCACACCTTCACAGCAGATGGCAAAAAGGGTGCTGACTGAGCTCATCAAGGGCGGCCCCGCGTGTAGCTTTCACGATCTCACCCAGCCAAAATGAAATTTGCAGTTTTCATAAGACCTTCACGCACTAGAAGCTAGCAACACGAATGCTTAGTTTCTGCAGGCTTTGCTAGTAGATCCAAACCTGCTGTCCAAAGAGAGATAGTCCTCTTCAGAATCTCAACTGCACAAATTGCATTTAAAGTGGGTGAATAGATTACCTGATCGACGTGCCGGCTGTTGAATGTCTGCCTTTGCTTGGTCTTGAAAGTTCCTTTCCTTCTACTATTGCCCGACCCCGTGCGGCGCTTGCCCACAGGCATCAGCGCAAGACAACCGAGCTATATTGCGCCAAATACTGCACGCAACAGGACAATGATAACAATCTTTAGAAGCAGGGGCCGTGCTCAGTTCGTCTTGTTTCGGTCCGAAACATCGGCTGCCCGCCTTCCTTGCCCGAAATGTCAAGCGGGCAAGCGTGATGCCCGGCCTCCTGAACCCTGAAATCTCTCCAGCAATATAGAAATGCAAAGTTGCAATAAAGCCGTGATGAATAGCACTGACGCATTATTACTGAGAAGACTGGAGTGCAAGATGTTCTCCCTTTTTACATGACTTTCTAGAACCAACACAGTACGCATGTGCAATTGCAAGTGCAGAACCACCTTGGAGAACCTTCACGGTTCCGATCATCAGAGTCTACACCAGCAGCTGCTCAGGCATCCTACTAGGAGCTGCCATACTTTTCACATGTCACAGCAAAGTCTCCTACACTATACACTTGTTTAAGCATATCCGTGACCTCAGCAGCCTCCTCCGAGGCCCGGGGCTTGCTAATGCATGAAGAAATCAAAATGATTACTAATTGCAGACGACAAAAGTACTCTGTAGGACAGACTCTGAGGCACAGTCTCACACACACACACACACACACACCTAGCAGGAGTTCCTACAACAAAGACAACAGTACTTCTTCTAAGCTAGTCAGTGACAAAAAGTGCCGCTTCACGTCGTGGCTCCGTTTGATCTTATTCGGATGACCATGACTTTGGGGCAGTGTGCTGAACAGGATCTCAGATTCTCAAAGGCGCAGGGCTACATTGGGCGACTGTAGGCTGCCTGCTCCCCCAAAGTACTGCATGAGGACTCCAGTGTCATCCATGCGTTGTGCATATGCGTAGCCAGCATCTATCAGGTGCTTGATCTCCTCCGGGTTCCTCAGCTTCACGAAATCCAGCCTTGTGGTACTCAGCAGCTCATCCTGCAAGAGTCAGGCACCACGGTCAAACTTCTGCTGAACAGGTGATGTACTTCACCATGCTTCTCCGGAAGAATAGGACAGTCATTCCAGCAACTTCCTGCTAAGTTATGCACCACTTCTTATCATCAGGGAGGATCAAATAATGGACAGACCTGTGTGTAGTCCAGGATGAATGCATCTCCGTTGCACTTCAGCAGCTCGCTGTTGTCGTAGTACAGAAAGTCTGTGACCGAACCATCAATGTACAGTTTATTCCTGCAACAGCCAAGCACAGCACCCTCAGCTCAGTGCCAAAGACTCCTCGCACCCACAAGCAGCCGCCTGCTTGCCAGGCTCGTGACACAGTGAAGACTCACCACACGTTGAATGACTTAGTCAAGATTGGCCTAGCAACATGGTCTGCTGTGAAGATACAGACATGGTGCTTACCTGAACGAGGCAAAGGGCCGGCCATCCAGGAAGAAGGGAATGTGCGCAGATGCCAGGTTGGCATCGATGACCTCATCCTTTGTCGCAAAGTCATCGATGTATGCTAGCTGGAAGCCGCGGATGTCTGTCACTACCAGCTTCAAGCGCCCCCTGGAACACAATCGAGCATTGATGAGGAATGAGCTTTGTAACATATTTCGAAGGAACAGCAATGGCTCGGTAAAACAAGATGAGAGCAGGCAATGAAGGGAGCAGGCCAAATAGGAAGCCGCACACCTGCACTTGTCGGCTGCATTAGCTGGGAGAATGTCTTCCAACCACTGCCTCACAATGCTGCCCCAAACACCTGCAGGAAATACAGCACATCAATAACAAAATCTGGAAGCGCTCGGATGGTTGATACAGTTTTCAGAAAGTATTCTGGCATGGCATGTAGGCATGCAAAGATGCATGCATTTATGTTCAAATCAAAGCACACCTGCCAGGCCGAGGGGTCTCTCAAAGAGCTTGTTCTCCACAGAGAGTCTGTGCGCGCTCTCAAAGGCCACCTCGCTGTTGACATTGCAGGCGGCCAGTGTGGCCACCAGGGCGCCGGCAGATGCCCCCCGCATCTGCCACCTCTCTATGTCAAACCGCTGCTGCAAGTACTTCACAGCGCCTGCAATGCAAATCGAGATGTCAGCAAACCGATAAGTCTGCGCAAACACTTTTAATGGCAATGGTCCACCTGAGCAGCTGTCGAGCTTGACAGCATGCAGAAACATATTAGTACTGCCCAAAGGGAGACATGGCCCCAGAGTGGGCACTAACCTATTTCCCACCAGAAGAAGATGCCACCGCCGCCACCGCTGAGAATAGGAACTCTGACAGTGCTGTCTGCTGGCTGCACCTGAAGGACTTTCTGCTGCTGCTGCTGCTGCTGCTGCAGCTGCTGCTCTTTCTGCCTTCTAGCAACTTCCTGCTTTGTAGCACGGCAGTGTACCAGCTGCTGTGTCCGTCCCTTTGGGCCTCTTTTGTGCGTTCTCGAGAGGGATGAGGCACTGATGGCAGGGTTGAAGCTCGCCAAGTTCGTAAAGGGCACGACTTCTCTCGATGGCTGTTGTGCTGAGCAGCTGACAAGCAGCTTCCTGTCGTGAGCAGGCTGAACTAAGATGCGCATCCTCGAAGGGATCAAGTGGACTGGCTGCGATGTTTGCTGACGTGCTGACCTTTGGGCCATCCCACGAGGATCGGCATAGGACATTCCGTTATATGTACAAGCCCCTAGCATTTGGGCTGTTGAAGATCCTCAGACACACCAGGGACTTGTGCCAGTCTCAACGTGACTCTGAACCGCAAACAAAACGTTTCTGTGTAAGTTCTCCTTGCGCCAGAGTCTCGTGCTTTTGTGTTTGAAATTTCTTGGTTCCCACAGAAAGACACAAAACGCAAGATTGACTTTGATACCGAGTGCACTGCGAAAGAAAACCGCCCGCCGATAGAAATAGGGAGCAAAACGCTGCTTTTCAAGGAATAAATAATTTGATTTTGTCGAACAACCGTCGATTTGAAGCGCCCTACCCTGCGGACGACCAGTACTTTCCGCGCAAATTCCCAGATCTGCTCACGTGGGTCCGCCACGTGTCCGAATACAACTTCCTCCTACTACTAGGTGAAGGTGTTAAAGAAGCTACCATGTTTTGAAACCTCGAAACCAAGATAAAATTTGCATGGTGGACCAGCGGTGCCATGCAAGTTGCCACAGAGTAGATGCTATAGTGACTGACCAGTTACCCTGGTCACATACCGTACTTCAAGTCTTGGCCCGGGTGATTTATTCATTTTGACTGTTCTAATAAAACTTTTGAAGGCTTCAAGAAGTTCTGGTTGATATCACCGCCACTGATGTATTGCTGCGGCACCGGTTGCAATGGGTATCAATATATTGCGACGTATGGTGAACGAATCCTTGGCCTAAAAAATAACACCACGATGGGAAACCCCACCGCAAACAGACTCGGCAGCAGCCTTCATCAAGAAATATATAAAAATCTGGGAATGCGTGCTCATCACGCCAATCTGTTTAGTCTCGGCAAACAAGCCCCATTGTGTGGCAGCCAGTCATACATGCATTCCTTGGCTGCATGCTTAAGCTTAGGGCATGCAGCCGACTCATCGATCCTGGGACATTGACCTGACCCAAGATGAATGAGAATCCTCACTGCATGCAAGAACCTTCAGCAAGTTTACGCCTTTTGGCTGCAAAGTGGCTGCCCCGCTTCACTCTGCGGGCATCATCTGCCTATGGCCCATGGGAAGGTGGAAGGGGAGGAAGCCGAAGAGTCATCACTGCTTCGTCCGGTGGCTCTCCAGCCTGTCAAGCAGCTGGTTGATGCGGTTGATTTCTGCCTTACGCTTCTGGCGCACTTCCTGGTCGCCCTCAACTGGGACATTGTCCAGCGCCAGCAGCTTCTGTGTCAGAGTCTCTATAAGACCTGCTGCCGTCCTGCTACCTGCAGGTCCATCGTGTTGCTGCTGCTGCATGAGCTCATTTGCCTGCAGACAGCGCACACAAGGCTCAGATAGAGCTTCCTGACAAATGCCAATTCCACTGGACTTGTTTCTGTCTTCCTAGCGGTGCATGTTCAAATTTGAATTGATTGTTGACCAGTAAAATTTCTCCATTCCTTAATCATGGCCACTGACATTTGTCGAGACCAGCTGAGCATGCCACAATGGGACAGCTGCAATGCACTTGCCCAAAAGACCTCCATCAAACACACAAGAACACATCATGATATCAGGTGGGGACGCCCACAGTGCTGAGCTGAAGTATTCTGCAAATACATGCACTTGCATGCGTCAAATGCAGCACCTGCTGTTCAAGGCCATCCACTTGCTGACGGATGCCCTCGATCGCGCTGAGGGCCTGATCTCTTACAGACACCTGGGTTTTCTGCAAGGCTGCCTCCTTGGCAGCCGCTGCCCTCGCTGCTGCAGCGTCTGCCTCTGAGAAGGCCAGGAACGCAGGCTCCGCAGGCTCCTCCGGCTGCTCTGCTGCCTTCTGCTGCCTGTACTGCTCGTTCTCCATTATCTTTACCTCGGCACCTGCAGCCCAATTTCGGTCAGAGGTCTCAAAGACTCCGAGGACAAGTCACCACTGTGCTGGACGTGAGCCGGCAGCGCTAGGGCAGTGAGTCAGCAATGGAGTTGGGAGTTCAACAATCAGCATGCGCACCATTCCTGACGCCTGCCAGCGACAGCACCTCATTGTCCGCCTTCTTGCGCCCCCGGAACAGGAAGCTTATGCCTTCAGGTGGAATCCCTGTATCCTGGGAGGCCAGTACCTGCAGCCAAGCGTATGCAATGATCAACATATACAGTTCACTTTATATGCAATTGCTTGAAAGTACCTCATACCAAGTGTGCCAATAAAATTCTCATGACTCACTGATCGACTTAAAGGGCCAGCTACAACAGCACGATATTGCGGCAATCGCGCAAATAGCACAGGCATCACACCTTCAAGTCACCAAAGGTGGCATTGGCGGGTGCTTCAACATGGATTTTCTTCGCCTTGTGTGTGAGTTTTAGCTTCACAGTAGGATAGGTCATCGGACGGTTGGATGGACCCCGTCCCCGGCCGAAGCCACGCACACGGCCACGGCCACGGATAGGAATGCCCCTCGAGGTCCAACCACCCCTATCTCCTCTTCTTCCAAGCATGCGTGGGGATACCTGTGATGGGTTGATGGCACATCGGAATCCCCTTTATCAAATCCACCTGAATATTTTCTAGGCGGCTAGCGCTATCTCAGCGCTTGTAGTTGTTGGCCACCGCAGGTGGGTGTAGAAACACTCCTGAGCACCAGAGATGCCTGTCTTGATTAGCTATAGCTTGGTCACCGATGACTCATGCCCGACTCCCCATTTACGATTGCACTTCTGCCACAGCGCAAAAAAGCTGTGCGTCGCAGAAAACGGCGCAATTGAGATCCATCTATCGAGATCGTGTTGATTGCACTTGGTGCCAATTTTAGAAAGCGCCCCGTTCAGACATCGTATATCACCATGGCAGGTCTGCACAGGCTCTCCTTGACGCTTTCGCTGCATCGTCAGATGATGCTCACAAGCATATCGCGTTTGCAGCAGTTCGTCGGAACCCAGGCCTTCCATGTAACAGCAGGTAGCGCTCGTGGCGACACACATTCCGCAGCAGAGGAATTGCTCAACAAGGTACACGATAAAGACCTTGTGAAAACGCTGGGCTTCATCAATGGCGAGTGGGTGAGCGCTTCAGACGGCAGCACTATACCGGTGAGGGCCAACCTGCCATTTGCTGCCTGCTAGGCAAGAGTTGTAGGACGTTCGATCTGTTATGAAAAAAATTCCTTTGTGCAATGTGTGGGTCATATATTCATCACGTTGTGATAGCAAACTCACGAGAATACTTGGTGCAGTGAAACATACCAAGTGACCCTTCTAATTGGCAACCCTATGTACACTCTTTTGGCTTCAGCAAGCACGACTGTATTCACTTACAGGTGGATAATCCAGCAACTGGGGAGGTCATTGCGAACGTTGCATGCCTCAAAGCCAGCGACACCAAGTCTGCCATAGCTGCAGCCAGCGCAGCGTTTCCGCTATGGAGCAGCAAGACGGCCAAGGAGCGTAGCACCGTCCTCAGAAGGCATGCTTCGCCTCCTCTGCATGCAAGCCTGCAGTGGCATGGCCCACATGCACATGAATTGCTTCCATGCGGCACAATCACATTAAGGGTCATTATGATGCCTGGAGAGGAACGCTATTTTTTCGTCATCCCTTGCTCTGAGGATTGGGTGTTGTCTGCAGATGGTACGACTTGGTGCTTGCGGCTCAGGATGACATCTCCACCATCATGACCGTTGAGTCTGGCAAGCCCTTTGCCGAGTCCAAGGGGGAGTTCACATCCGGGTAAGCTCCTTTCTGCCAGGCAATTTTCAGCAGGCCATCCCATATGCACCACATTGGAGATCCTCCACCCCTCTTCGGTGCAAGATGATAGAGCTGCTTGTCATGTCTTGGGTCTTCTGAAGTTCATGGGTCAGACAGACGACCTGCGACAAAATTCACTGTCTCGGCTGTGGAATAACTTGCATGAGGCAGAAGTGGCATGCATGCATGCAGGGTGGCTTCGATAGAGTGGTTTGCGGAGGAGTGCCGGAGGGTCACGGGGGACATTCTGCAGACGGTGCACAAAGACCGGCGCATGCTGGTGGTGAAGCAGCCGGTGGGGGTGGTGGCAGCCATCACCCCCTGGAACTTCCCCATGAGCATGATCACGCGCAAGGTTGCCCCTGCGCTGGCTGCCGGCTGCACGGTGAGCCCTATTTTTTTCTATTACTGTATAGGCTGAGCACATGCTCCCTCCTGCGCCCAGCCTTACAACAGAGTGCCATGCATTTGGTAGTTGCTAGCCAGATGCAGGTCACTCAACGCTTGTTGCAAGTGTCTTTGGAGCCTTCCCATGTCTCGACCGAGGTCCTTTTTGGCAGAGGAGCAATTGCAGCCTTGTAGCTTGGCTGTACCGTCAGTCACAGTGGACCTCTTGACCAAAGAAAGGCTCCAATGCACGCCATCTTTCTCTTTCACCAGTTCAGTGATGGGCAGGTATTTTGCGCGTGGGTGCACAGGTAATTCTGAAGCCGGCAGAGTCAACTCCGCTGACTGCTCTGGCGCTGGCAGAGCTGGGCCACAGAGCAGGAATCCCCAACGGCGTCCTCAACATCATCCAGGGCGATGCAAAAGCCATCGGTGAGCACATTAAAGTCGTTTTGGTGCCAGCATGCTCAGCGTTGCAATGCCTTGGCACAGACATGAATCAACATGAAGAAGATGATAACAATGAATGTTGCTCTGTAGCCTTGTCAACTCGCCAGCAGGGGTTGACCCCGCTTGGTGATGCCCTCAATGGCATCTCCAATGCCGTCGAGATGCATGCCATCTGCATAACATGCGTGTCCAAACTCCATTGGGCTTGTGTGCATCAGCAAGCGCATCCAATGCTCGCCAGCGACCGGGGCCTTTATTCCACGCCAAAGGCACGAGAAAGATGCCGCACTGTAATTACCATGCACGCTTTACAAGGAGCATGCAGAAGAAGCCATGTCTGCCGCACAGGTGACACTCTAATAGAGAGCGACTCGGTGCGCAAGATTGGTTTCACGGGGTCAACGCGGGTCGGCAAGCTGCTGTTTGCCGGCGCGGCCGACACCGTGAAGCGCGTGTCGCTGGAGCTCGGCGGCAACGCGCCGTTCATCGTGTTTGACGACGCCGACATCGACGCGGCAGCGGCCGGCGTGGTCACGTCAGCGTTCAGGAACGCTGGGCAGACCTGCATCTGCGCCAACCGCGTCTTCGTGCAGGCGCGCTCAGCTGCTTGCTTCCACAAGAACTGGAGAAAAATCCTGCTGTATGAAGAGGGTTGGAATCTTTGAGTTAAACTTGTGAACAATTAGCTTTTCATGCGGTGCCCCATGACATGTTCAGGAAGGGGTCTAAGGAGACCTGCTGAAGAGGCTTGCTTGGACATGTCATGAGGTCCAGATGACTAGAAGCGCCAGGAAATTAGTTGGTACTGTTAGCATCACCTCAGGTTGTACGGCATGTTCAAGGGCAGACACTGTTTGGGAGACTTGACTTCATTCTCCCAGTGGGTTGCATCCGCATTGATGACTGTGCTTGTCCTAACTGCTGCATGCTGCCACAGGACGGCATCTATGATGAGTTCACCAAGGCGGTGACTGAGAAGGTGAAGAAGCTGAAGCAGGGCCCTGGCCTGGACCCTTCATCCACCCTTGGTCCCCTCATTAACACTGCTGCTGTGGAGAGGGTGCGCACCATCCCCCTCAATTCACTCTTCACCCTCTATGGTTGTGATGAAGTTTATTGCGAGTAAGGCGTTTGCACATCCTGAACAAATACAGGCTGAAGATAGCTAACCCACTGCACCACAATGCTATGATGTCGCATTTCCAGGATGCCATTCCTTGCTCTGTTCAATGCTGGAGCACTGCTCAGTTCCAACAGATGCCATGAGTACAGTACCGCATGGCAATTGCTCCAGCAAATAGGTAGATTATTACCTTGGTGTCATGCTGGAGGGGTTATCATGCTGTCATTTTTTGCAGGTGCAAGGTCATGTGGACGACGCCGTTGCCAAGGGAGCCACAGTCACTGTCGGAGGCAGCAAACCCGACCTCCCAGAGCCCTACAACAAGGTCAGTCCATCCCTGCATCATGCTTGCTTTCTAGTTTTGTGACAGCATGCATGACACAATTAAGTGTAATGGAGATGCCGCAGGTGTTCGTCATCTGCCTGTGAAGTGCTATGCCGGCTAGCTGCTGAGGTTGTTCCAGGGCAGCTTTGCAGCGAACTGCTTCAACTTGGAGCCTTGCAGCCACTGCAGAGCCAATTCTAGTAAGCTTGAATTTGAATTCAAGTTCAAATTCGTGGCTGCAGGGGTTCTTCTATGCACCGACGGTGCTGTCCAATGCCACGATAGACATGAAGATCTTCCGCGAGGAGACTTTTGGCCCCGCCATGCCACTTTTCCGATTCCACAATGATGAGGAGGCGATCCAGCTGGCAAACAACACCGAGTACGGCCTGGCCGCCTACTTCTTCACCAAGGTAGGAATCTCTCTTGCCCGAGCACCAGCACTCTGCGCTTCGTTCTTCTCACAATTGCTGTGCTGATTAAGAGCAGCAAAAAACCAACATTACTGTAATACCGTATATTGGCAAATGTGGCAACGGCTGGGAGGAGAGAGGTTTGTGGCACGCTGTGCCAAGTGCGTCTGCAAGTATCTGCGCTTTAGTCAGCGCACCATTCACCCGGAATCCTCAGCACAGATCAGTGCTGCCCCTCAGCAGTGCCTTGAATGAGGATCTCCCTTACACAAGCGGCAGTAGCTCCTGCAACAGAAAGCAGGGCGACTTCATTTCTGAATCATGTGCTGGCATAGTGATTGTCGGCTGCGCATGACCTGAAGCGCTGGAGGTTCACGGCACGACGCTAAGGGACTCATATGCCAACTCATCAGCTGAGGTGGCAGTTACTGCTTGCGCAGGACCTGAAGCGCTCGTGGCAGGTGGCAGAGCGGCTGGAGTATGGCATGGTGGGGGTCAATGAGGTGGCCATCACATCTGAAGTGGCGCCCTTTGGCGGCATCAAGCACAGCGGGCTGGGCCGGGAGCACTCCAAGTACGGCCTGGATGAATTCCTGTACATCAAGTACATCCAGGTGAGGACAGCTATCCCTCTTGACTTTCTCATGTGCTGTCTTCTATTTACAGGGAGCCATCGCCTTTGGTGTGGGAATTTCTGCTGCAGTCTCTGCAGGATTCTCTGCTTCTTATATCAGGGCATTACATCTTCAACATGAGTATGAAGGACCTTACATTCCCGGCATCATAAGGGAAAGGAGGTTTTAATGCATTTAGAAGACTTTTTGGTGGCCATCACCACTGCAACAGAGTGGTGGAGCACCAGAAATAGCGCTGTAGTCACTGCACTGTAGTGTGCTTTTGGACCTTGGCATACTCGTCCTCTGCATGCAATTAGTGAGGTTGTAATCGGTCCTGAGAGGGCTTGTGGCACTGCAGATGGGCATTGGATACGACAACAAGGGCATCTGAGCATGTTGCATTTCTATTGGCGGGAATCTAACTGTGGAGCTGAGGTCATCTTGCACTTTGCCATTCCAGGTTCTAGTGTCTGAAAGCAGTCCTTGTGTGGGTTAGCGCTAGTTTGTTCAGCTGCATCTCGGTATAGGTCTTTTGAATCACGCATGTTGGCCATATGGCCATGTAATGCATGTTAGCTAGTGTGGAGAAATGCATTATAATGGTGATGGCTATATTGGCGGTGTTGCAAATGCTTCTCTGACCTAGACTACCAAAGTTGTTGAGAATTTTCCCCTTCTGGATTGTAAGATAGATTAAAACCACTTCATGATACCACGTTGCAGAGCACAAAGCAACACAAAAGATTTCATAATGGTGGTATCTGTAGCTTCCCCCATTCCCTCGGAAGCTTCCCGAGGCGCTGCTACTGTGGCATCTTCACCTGCTCGATGCAATTTTATTCTTGGCCGGCCAAGGACTTCCTGAGATCAGATGCTGGGCAAGTACTTCTGAAGTTATTTGTTCTGTGTGAACTGTGTGAACGCTACTCTCTTTCGTGTTAGTCACAAAACCTGCCATCCTGTGATGACATAAGTGTAGGTGACACAGTACTAAGGCTGACGAACACACCTTCCCGCTTCAGGTTCACATCGTGGCTTCTTAATACAACATCGAAGAGCACTTCCTGTAGCTAGCTGGAACGACTATAGCTTGTAACGTACTGCTGTCTCCTGTTTGTTGGCCTTGTGCCAAGAGATCGAGATCCTTCAGGCTTCCAGCTGCTCTTGAAGGATATATAAGGACTCAGATGGCGGCTTGACAGTGTGTCGGACGGGTTTTGGCACCATGGTGGAGCAGAGCCCTTTTGCATCCTCCACTGAGGCAACGTCCTCGATGTGGGAAGGCAACGGCACAGCGTCCCCGTCAGAGGCCGGCAAGAGAGCTGAAATCGTACCACAGAGCATCATGGGGGCTGAACTAGCTTCCAGGAGGTCTCATTCCACACCAGACATGGCAATCTTTCAAGCGCGGGGCGACCATGCTGGGGAGTCTGCGCCTTCCTTCAGCTTCCATGGTGGTGCGCCTTCTCCTTTTGCTATAAGCATTTCTGGACGGTGCTTACAACAGATCTAAGAGAGTCTCCTCTGTTCAAGAGACACAGCTGTGCACTTGTTGCATGTTTCTTCCAAAGAAAGGCCAAAAGGAAAATCACGGTCACGATCTATCATGCTGTGGAACAGGTTCCCTTAGAAGTGACCAGGGGCAGTCCATAGCACCTAGGCGCAGTGTCAGCATGCCGGATGGGCAGAGCCCGAGGCTGTTGACCGATGCTGAGCTCATTGTGCTGGCTGATCGCATGCAGCATGGTCTGAAAGTCCGGGACAGGTATGCAACAGTATTCAGCCATCGCCCGAACAATGTCCTCCTATTATTCCGTATAGTACAAATCCATTTCTTAGCAGAGCTGTCTCCCTGCATGGTTGCCAGGGTTGCAAGACTCATCCCAGAGGACAGCGGAGACCGTTGGTGTGTTGCTGCAATGTGATATTGCAGTGGTGCTCAACACATTTGCCCTGACACATGCTGTGCGTCATGCCAGGGTGCACCATTTCAAAAAGTACCCCTGCTGCTTCACTGGCGCTGACGCTGTGAAGTGGTTCATCCGCAGCGGCAATGCAGGTGCGCGCGTCTTCACCCACGAATATCACATCCATCAGATAAGATCACCCATGGGAAGAGCGTGGTGTATTGAGTGCCTTGCAATCATATGGATTGGTGGTGCCTCAGATGCTTTTGCTTGAATCCTTTCAATTTGGCTTCTGCAGGCAGTGAAGGTGAGGCAGTGCTGCTGGGAAATGACATGTTGCGTGCCGGCCTACTCCATCATGTGAAGTACAAGCGTCCTTTTGAAAAGAACGGCAACCTGTACAGGTATCCACCCCCTCCTGTGGTGATCCATGCAAAGCCTCATCTGGCACACGGCGCCTTTTGCCGACTACTCCTGTGTGATGCTTTCTCTGGACACCCTGAATAGACTGCGGGAGAGAGTAGCTCGATCACTTTTTTTTCTGCAGCCTCTGCCGCTCTTGCTGTTACCAAAGGGAAGCAGAAGTGTCTCATAGGAGATGGTTTGACCGTGCGCAGGTTTCTGGATGTGCCCAGTGGCGCTTCAGACATCACAGATGACTCACACACAGATGGTTCAACCCTCTCACACCCGGAAGCCCAAGACTTCACCAGGTAATAGACTGCAATCCTCCTGTGCACCCCATTTGCATGCCTGGAATACTGAGCCTTCTGTTTAGACAATGATCTTTATCTGGGGCGGAGCTATGTTGCATATGGCAGCGTCACTCCTTCATCCCACTCCATCTTGTATCACTGGAAGAAATAAGGCCGTGTCTGCTGATCCTATGCTTTACGGCAGGGATCATTATTTGGGGTGGTATTGTGTCTTGCGAGTCTCATTGTGTGGCACTGGATTACTTTAGCCACATGAGCTGATCCCATGCTGATGACAGAGATTATTATTTGGGGTATTAGTGCGTCTTGCGAGTCTCAATGTCTTTGTTGGAGCGTCATGCCGTGAGACATGGCTGTGCTGCCAGTTTTGAGCGTCTGTACGACGGGATGTGGGCCAGGCGGGGAGTTGGCACGCTGGGCCAGGGGGCGGCGCTGCGAGGAACCCAGCACGAGCCTTGGTCCACCGCTGCCGAGCTTGCGCACCTGCAGCGGAGGGTGTCTGAGCTGGCAGCTGAGCTGGAGGTGAGTCTCTGCTGATCAATCCACCATGGTTCCGCATTTGATACCGGTGGCAATATATGGAAGTTCTGAGAACCTGATTAGGAAGAACGCGCCCGGCATGCACATGTGAACGGTGGTGTGCTCCTGACATTTTACCAGCAGCTTGCATCATTGCGAGCTTGTATTGTGTAGAAGCGATCAATAGTGCTGGCAAGTTGTTGAGCAGCTTTATGAAATGGATATTGAGGGCAGCTGCCACATGTGCAGGAGCACAAGGAGCTGAGCAATGTGATGCTGGACTCGATGACGCTGCAGCTGAAGAACGAGCAGCAGCTGTTCGCCCTGCAGCAGCACAGGCTGGAGAGGGTAAGTCACCGCTCTGCTCTATAGTCACCACCAAGCACATTGGCTTCACCTTTACCTTCTGCTTCCCTGGTCCACTTGCTTTGTTGACCCTCTTTGCTTGTCTTCAAGCCAGGATCAAGCTTGACTTTTTACAATCCTCTTGCATCATGCCCCCTGAGATTTGGAATCTCAACTGACAAGGGTGTCCTCCTCTGCACAGGCGATAAGGAGGGGCACATGGATCGCAATCCAGCTGCAGGTGGTGTGGGTGGCCCTAGTGGCACTGCTCTCCTGGCTGGCTCAGCGCCACCTGTCACAGCAGCAGCCCTCCTTCCTGGGCGGCCTGGCACAGGCTGCAGTCCCCGTGCTGGCTGCCATATCCACCCTGGCTGTGCTGGGGTGCCGGCCGTGGCTGCTGGCGCCACCAACGAAGCTGCCGAAAACCGAGGCGGCGCCGGCGCCGGCGCCGGGGGAAGCTGAGGCGCAGCTGGAGGTGCCGGATGGGGAAGCTGAAGGGAAGATGCAGGAAGGAGCAGAGGTGGACGTCACGGCTGATGCTGCATCGGGAAGCTTGGAGGAGCGGAGAGTGCAGCTGTCTGCGCTTAACAAGGTATGCAGAGGCTCAAGAGATTCTATTGTCTTCTCAAGAAGACAGAACATCTTCCAAGAGAGGTTTTTGCATGCGTTTTTCATCAGAGTCATGTGCTCGCGATTTGACACATTTCTCAGGCATCTGCTGAGCTTCTAGGGATAGTCAGGCCCTGATGTGGCCAAGCCATGATGCGCAGGATGATTTGGAGGGGTTGGAGCGGCCGCCGTCCGACGAGGACTTTGCAGGATGGCCGGACGCGCCTTTGCTGATGAGAGCTGCGCCGCTGCCCTACCAGCAGCTGGAGAGTGGAATCGACCCCTGCGCAATTCGTGTCAACGATGGCAGGTGTGTACCTGTTTCGCGGAGATCAGTTAGATTGCACAAGATAAGAAGGGAAGCTGAGTACAGACGGGAGATGTGCAGTAGCTGACTGACGTGCGCAATGAGTGAATGCCAATTGACATTTCTGCAGAGCCTGCAGATTTGCTCAAGACTACTGTGCATCGAGCGTGGTTGAAGAGCCTGGTTGGTCAGACAGCGTAGAAATGAACGCTGTGGTGAATTACAGGCTGCAAGTTGGCTTGGAATAAGAGTTCTGCTTCTTGATCTGCATCTGAGGCTTGTGCGCTGTGCAGGAGGATTGAGTTTGAGACAGAGCTCTTCAAGGGCTGTGCGGTCGTGTGGGCTCGCGGGCTCAGCTCAGCCCCAGAGGGGCTGTTTGCTGGGGAGAGGCGCAAGACAAGCATCACCTTCCAGGTCTGGCATGATAAAATCACACACTGCTCCTGAATAAAGCACACGAGTACGCTTTTGCAGCCATTTATTTCATGTTAGCACTGCTCACCTTGAGATGGGAGCGTGTGAGCAAGGTCAGTGATTTTTCCGGGCAGTACTTATGTTTGCAGGTCTGTCAATTGAATTTCATTTATGTTCATCATACTACCGTAATCCGTGGCAGCCAGTCACGGCATGTCACCGGGGCAGCTGCTCACATAGCAACGGGAGGCTCTCTAGCGAGGTCATGAAATAATTCATGTCAGTATGGCATTGCTGAGGATCTTGTGTATGTCCAGGGGCGCTTCAAGAGGGCTCTGGCAGTGGAGGATGTGGTGACTGGACAGGAATTCGTTCGGCGCCCCAAAAACCTTCCTGCCATGTGGCTGGTTGAGAAAGTCCTCATCAAGGTGTGAACTTTCAATTTACACACCATCGCCCCTGTCTAGGCTGATGTATTTTTTTGGCAAGAGTATATCTTTCTTGGCCAAGTGACTCAGTCTGGACTACCATTTCACTACATTTCAAGAACCTTGATCTGTGGGAACTCTAGGCCGATGTATTTTAGGCCAGAATACAACTCTTACAGTTCACAGTACTGGCAGAATTGCATGATAGTGGCAGCATGATTATCTGGTGGCATGGTACTGGAAAATGTAGAGGTGTTGTTGCTTGCTGTGCTGCCTCTAACCATTGCAGCGCTTGCTTTGAGCTACATAATATTGTACTGGAGCAGTATCTCTCAGTGCAGCAATGAACGTTGTAGTTGTGGTGCACACTGCTGTGCTGCGAATATCGCCTGCAGCCCCTTGAACCGATACAGTCAAGTTTCTGCGCACAGCTGGCGAAGAAGATCAGTCCCAGCATGGACATAGGGCCCCTGTCTGCGCCGTACCTGTTGGCGCCTGTTTTGGCGATGGCCCAGCTTGTGAATGTCAGCGAGCCGGGGCAGCAGCCGGACCTATCCCAGCCCATTCCTGAGGACATGCGCTTGTTCGACCCCAGCCTCATAGATAGCCATGGTGAGACTTCTCTACTGAACCACTCACTTGCACACCCATAGGCAGACAGCTATCATAGCTGTGCGGCCTATGGGAGCCCTGCAAGGAGAATGTCCTTGTTTAGACAGCCATGGGAGCTTATTGTCTTAGCACAATGCAGATCATGACGCGCTAGCCAATTGTCCTGGTGATTGCAGAATACTCTTTACTTTGCCCACAATGCCATTCTGAAATTCAATCCCCATGCTGCTGGCACAACCTGCGGCATGGTCCTGTGCCACATTTTTCTGCTAGGCACCAAACTTTTAATCGTCCCAGGCCTGCATGCATGCAGCCGCATACGAGTATCAATAGTAATCCGCATGCGCAGGGGGCCCAATGGATGCGCTGAAGCGCAAGAAGCACTTTTGGGATCCGAGGCACCGGGCAGGTCATGATTTCACACCGGAGCATGTCTGGACGTTCCAGCTGTACCAGCACTTTGTGGATTTGGGCTCGTATGAGCTCAACATCTTATATGGCTTTGACCTCGGACGCCACCTGGACGGCCAGCCGCTGCAGTTTATGCTCAAGGACAGGTGCGCTCATGTGACACATGCCTTGCTGTCATTCAGGAAGTGTAGTATGAAAAGGATCTCCCTACCCTTCTGGTTTCATGCCTCCCTGGCTCCTTCATCCTACTGCCAGGGCAAGCGGATCCAGAGCAGACTTCTTTAGAAGATCAAATAAAGTGGAATGCAAGGGACAATAGTTGTTGTCAGATTGCATGCGTTCTGAAGACCCGTCCTCTGCCAGCTGCCTCAGTGTGTATGCTGCTGGGTTGGACTGGACTGTCTGTACAGAGGAAATCTGTCATTCTTCAATCGCATGGTTCTGCTGAAGCTTCAGCAGTGTTGCGCTAAATTGCATGGAGCATGCACACACGAGCGTTAAAAATGCTTCAGCAAGTTGAGATACCGAAGAAGTGGCTGTTGTGGTGCAACAGGGACAGTGGACAGTATCTGTGCAATTTCCATGCCTGGCACGAGAAGCTGTTGCCTGCTGCTCGAGCTGCGCATGAGAGCTCCGACAAAATGACAGCACAGCCCTGCAGTGACTAATGCGCTTGATCATGTACATGTAGAGGAGATGCACTTTAGGCGCTTGTAGAATACATGCCTTCCATTCCTGCTGTTTGCTGTTTGTTTGATGTGTAGGCGTGAGATATCCTAGGGGATCCTGGATCTAGGTTTAATCAATGGCGGTCATGACTTGTAAAATATCATTTGCTAGTGAACAGCGTTCTTGAAGTTTGCTGCATTTGGCAGTCTGCTTGTATACACCAGGAGCTCTACGTACAAGGGAATCTCGTCAAGGATTTTAGCCATTGCTGCAACATTGAATTGCGTGGTTTTAAGTACCAGTGACATACAGCAATTCCATGCTGTTCAAACTTGACTACCACCCACACCATATAGTACTTTAGCTCCTGCAGTAAACTCCTGGCTGAAATAATCTAAAGATTTCAATGAGCAGCGGCAATTGTAATGAATGATTTCCTGCCAGAGGCAAGGTGCGTATGCAGACATTTGCATGAGAACGCTGCCGAAATCCTACCCCTTACTACTTCTCCAAAAATGCTCCCTTACAAATAAAAAAAAAATATTCTTCCTAGTAAGCCTACGCCGGCTGTAATCAGCTGCCCTGACATACCTACATCATTTGTGCAGCTTCTCAAATCGGGGCTCCACTTGACTTGAGTGCCTGCATGCGCACTCTGATCAATTGACTGGCCCTTTTGGGTGACAGCAATTACTGAGTCACTTCAAATACTTTGCAACTACTGCAAATACTTGCAATGTCTACTTTGTGTGATGGCTTCCCTCTGTGATCAGTGCAGTTGCACATCTCCACGAAACACAGAGGTGCATGCATGCTGTGTCATCTTCAGCTGCATTCCTTTCCCCATGCATTTCTGTCATGCACTTCTCAGAACGCAAAAAAAAGCACTCGAATAAGCGGTGCCCGGGGGCGGCTTTACATAAGTCCCTTGGGACGATTCCAAGGATAGATTTCATATAGAGGAACAAGCTAGTGATTGCGGCTGCCCTCTTGTAAATGCTAATCTGCAATCACTAGCTTGCGCTCTAACACGCTTCCTGGCTGTAATACACTTGTCTGCTGTCCTATCTTGGACGATGCATGATGTCACGTTACATGTGTGACTATAATTACAGAAATAAACCGGGAAACCCTTAGGACAGAAATCTGTTCCACTATTGGCGCAGATAAAGGTTGCTGTGCACGCAGCAATGCTGCTCTCACGTGACTTCACCCGTTTACCCAGCTATCGTTGCAGCACAACCAAAAAGCTGCCAGCTGGTTCCTGTTGATGCAGTATGTAAAAAAGTACCCTCTGGATTCAATAATAACGTTTACTTCAGGAGTGGCCGGACCTGTTTCCAGTTGATGACTCAGTCACATTATATACCTAGGAAAAGGTCACCCGTGTTGTGGACGATGTGCTTTGGCACGCCTTCCACCACCAAGTTCAAGGGCATTGCAAGCTTTGCGCCAGCTCTCTCGCCCACATCTAGCCAGCCTGAGGGATTACTATCTTAATATGTGTACTTCTCTGGCCCTCAATACCCAGATGACCTCTAAGGAGGGTCTAATATCATGTGCCATCCCTTGATAAGTCCTTGAGGGTCAAAAGAGGTCTTGCGCTGCAGTCGCCATTTGCGCCTCAACAGGCTTGATTGCCTGTTGCACCCCAGCCTGGCATATTCACTGCTTCGGCGCTGGGTAGAATTTATCGCGGATGGCTGCCATGTACACCAGCATGTACTTCTCCCACTCGTCACCGGGAGCCTGCGCCACACAGCAGCACTCACTCATTCAAACACAAATACAAATCAAAGTTCAAGTTCAACCTCAAACTCAAACATGCCAAAATCTCCTGGCACTCTTTCAGGTGGCAACCAGGTACACGACATTGCCAGCCAGCAAGGCTCACACCCAGCAAATGCGAAGGACACTTCACACATCAGTTGCACTGTGCACCACACCACAGCTTCTGCTCATTGGACATCTCTCTGAATGTCCTATCTACTCGTGCTGCTGTGCACGGCGTCAGGGGACGCTGTTCTTGAATCGCATCCTTCCTCGTGCCCATTGGTTGACAGGATGAGACTGCGTTTAGATGCACTCACCTGCCAGAGGGGCTTGAAGAGGGCGCTCTCTGCAGCGTCCAGGCCTCCATGCAGGCGTTCCACGTTGGCGTAGCAGAAGAAGAGGTGGAAGTCCATGCTCGACGTGTTGTACAGCTTCCACACCTGCGGCCAAGAGTCATGCAAGTCAACTCCACAGAGCTAGGGCTGTGTGCGCATACGTCAGCTTGCTTCAGAGTTACTGCCGCAGACCTTCAGTACTTTTGTGCGGAGCAGCAGCTCGCAACATAACAAGTAACGCCGACGCAGATCTGAGAAAATCCTTTACAAACAATATTTCCCCTGCAGGCTGTGTGCCAAGGTCTGATGATGCATGATTATGTCACTGATTAGTACTGATGGATCATCCCTGATACCAGCTAAGATCCCAAGTTTTTCTCGAAATTGGTGCTTCCCATTTCAACTGACAGAAGTGAAGCATGGATCAGCAAAGCAATCTTTGTCTCAGCAGAGGCATCATTCATGCGATGTCAGCGCGAGCTTGACAGCCGTCGCACCTTCCACCCAGACAGCAGCCGATCGGCCAAGGCCGGACGCCCGGCGAGGCGCAGGCCCACAGCGATGGAACGCAGCCGCAGCCCTTGCCGCAGCCGCAGCCTCTGCAGCAGTCATCACAACCCCTCAGCCCTTCAATGCACCCTTCAATTCCCCCCACAGTTCCTGCCTGCGGTCAAGTGTTGCATGCCAGCAGCAGCGGCCGGCCCAATCTCTGGCAGACTGCGCACTTAAGCTCCAATGCACAGAGGCAGAGCCTTTGGGCGAAGGCTGCCTCATTTTTCTCAAAAGTACTCTTCTTCTCCCCTGCTAGTCCTGACTGCAGCCAACCAATGCATGCCAGCAGCAGCAGCCGACCCATGTGGGGCTGACTGTGCATTGACCCTCTAATGAAAGGGGGCATTGCACTTATGCAGAGGCCGACAGCTGGCTTTGGTCAAGATCTAAGAACTTGGTTCTACAAGAGAGAGCCGAAAGGCGCATTCTGACTGATGCCGGCGCCTCGAGCCGTCTCATGGCTAATCTCACCATGTTGGACCAGCGAGCAGTAGTATACCAGAGCATCATTATAAAGGCACACCTTCTCGCCCCAACCAGGAATATGCATAATTGGGAAGCCTAAAACCCCTATAACCCCGAACATAAACCCTTAAATCTTAAACTTGATTTAAAATATCTGGAATGTCATGGCTTGCCTTGAAGGTGAGGGAGTCTTCTGGCAGGACGGAGTTCTTGTCCCAGATGGACTTGTAGGGCTTGGATGTCAGCCGGTGGCGAGGAGGGTGGCTCTGCCAGTAGGGCAGCACCGTGGACTCGAACAGGTCGCAGTACTTGACAGCGTTTGTGGTGCTCGATGCCGCATGCAGAATCAGCGCCTTGGCCTCGCTCGGCCCCTGCAGATGATTGCACAGAGTCCCCCACATGCCTCCTGACGTATTCCAGACGCCTGCCATGCTGCATCTACCTAGCTCCTAAGCCTGGCAGGGCTTTCTAAACAAATTTTCTCTCTAAAGAACTTATTTCCTCGTGTGATAGGACATACGATTTCTTGGGCGGATCCCAATCAGATTTATCAACTTCAAGTAGATTTTGGGTAATCTATACAGCTTACTGCTGCACAGAGACTCCACACAATGAGCCTGTGATCATGTTGGAATTGCTGGCGGATGGGCATGGGACTCGAGATGGTTGATTTAGAGTCCCCTGGCATGTGCGCCTCCAGGGAGATATTGAAAACAAGAACAAGTAAAGGGGTTCACCGCGTGCAAGGCTGCGGCGGAGAGCAGCACAACACTGGCCACAACGTCGCAGGGGATGCAGTCAAACACATTCTGCGGGTCGTGGACACAAAGCGAGCCATGCCTGCGGCAGAACAACTCCAATGAGACAGCAGAGAGGAATCTGTCTTAAACGAGTTGTTGTCAAAGGTCACCAGCCTTGAGTGCTTTGCTGCATGACTCAAGGAGTGCGCCGTGCAGCAAGCACCAACCTGTCACGGCTGGACCTTCAAACTCGGGGATTAAAGTTGCAATCTTTTGAGTGGTGTCCATGCGCAAGGAAACACTCAGGGTACAGAGTTGAGGACCGCAGAACAAAAGGGATAGGAGCACCGGATGCGAATGCCAGGATGGCACTGGTGACGCCGGCGGCGTTGCCGAAATATCCCGGCAGGGGCGCGCATGCGATGCAGCCGATGACTGACGGCCGCACGATGGCGACGCGCATGCGTCCGGCGGCGTGCGCGTCCGCCAGCAGGGACTCCGCCATGTGCTTGGTCAGCGTGTAGCAGTTGGGCAGGCCAACCTCGCGCAGAAGCGCCTGCGCCTGTGCATGTGCCGGGCCAATGGTTTAATCCCCCTCTGCATGTAAAGAACGAAGGTGCGGTCATTTACACTGTCTCGCGCATTAAGAGGGCGCTGTCCACCAACAGTGTGACACTGGTCCTAACAGTCTTGTAACTCACATCGATGCATGCATAGATGTTTGCGGTTGCCACTGCTTGACATCCTGCTGGAGAGGGATATTTGTGCAGCTGACAGAGTCAAATTATGAATATATAAAGGTTGGAACTTAAGTGATTGTATTATCGTCTCATCCAGGGATCATGGGTTTTAGCATCAGTCAGCTGATCATGTTGTGTGTCACATGCCCCACCTTGCGCTCGGCCTTGGCGTGCGGCAGCGCTGCCAGCTCAGCCGCCAGGCTGTTATGTCTTATGGCCTGCCCGTTGCTCAGATAAAGAGGGTAGATGTCCTCCTCGATGTGGCTGCCCCTGCCGTGGTGCGCATTCACGTACGCCGTTGACACGTGCACAAAGCCACGCAGCCGTGGCATTCCCTCCGCCAGCTCAGCCACCCGCTTCGTGGCCTGCATGCACCAATCGTGATTATTCCGCAAAAGCTTTTCTAATGACAAAGGCAGTGGCACGTGCACCAGATGATCAATTTGAAGCATTGTGAAGCTGCCATCTAATCATGGCCTGGCCACCGGTATGGAAACTGTCAAGCCATGGTCAGAGATGCCCAGCAGAAAAGAAAGATGCCCACCAGGTAGTTCTGGTCCAGGAGAGAGTGGACGTGGTCGAAGAAGGAGATGGAAGCCGCGCTGTGGACGACCCAGTCCACCTCAGCGCAGAGCCGTGCCAGCTGGCGCTGACTCAGCCCGCAGTCAGCCTTGCTGATGTCACCTTCCAGCACCTCCAGCTTCGCGCGTACCGCGTCCGGCAGCCGTCCATCCTTCCACATGCTTTGAAATAGCGGCCGCTTGTGCAGCAAATGGTCTAGCCGCTGCTCTCCTGCAGAAGGCACAGCGCAGGAGGTCTTTAATCACTTCACTAGTATGATCACCAACATTACACCCTTTTCCTGCCAGAGGCAAGGTGCATATGCGGATGAGCTGCATGTAAAGGCTGTCAGCATCCTCCCCCTTTTTGGACTCGCCAAATCCCAAGCAAGACCCAATCAACCGTAGGCACGTGCACGGTGCTCAGTATTTGTACCGCCCCCGGCCTGCCGGGGGGCCACTTTGACTTACAACGTTTCAGCAGCTGCATTGCGGCTGCGGCTGCTCATAAGCGGAGGAATTCTTAAGCAAACTGCAGACAATGTTGGGTTCTGCGTGAAGGTTCCCTTCATTGTTGTGCAATTTTTAAATGCGCCCACTGGGAGGTAGATAAGGTGTACAAATGAGAGTGATAGCCTGACTAGAACACGTGCTTCCAAAGGGGGGATCAGCATTAATACTACCGTCAGTGCCACATGACGCTGTCAAGCAAACATGCGAACAAAGATGCAAGTGACAACAACTGACCTGGGTCGGTCCCTAGGAGCAAACCCACATCAGGGTGTCAGAGGCTGGGGGCTTCGCATGCACAAGTTAAAATGATGTATTTACCTGACTGGCCCTTCTTGCTACGGACGAGCAGGATGACTTTGCGGACGTCAGGGCAAGTGCGCAGCAGCTGCTCCAAAGTGACGCTCCCCACGAAGCCCAGAGCACCTAAGGGTGCAAAGAGGCCCTCATGACACCAGCAGGAATTCCTGGGGAAGAATAAAGAGCTCAAAGCTCACATCATCGGGAAAGGGGGCGCACCTGTCATGAAAACCGTTGCGCCACTGAAGGCAGAGCGCACTGACACCGATTGGTGCACGGCATCGGCCGGTTGTTTGGTGCAGGGTGGAGCCACTATCCCATCGCGGTCCGTCGCCTCCTTTGCAATCTGCATTCCGTTTTTATCTGCATTGCAGCACCAGGCACGATGCACTTACTCGCTGTTATTGCGGGACAGAATTTGACAGCTTCCATCAACACTGGAAATGGATGGAATCAACACTGCGGCATACTCACAGTCTTGAGTTGTGCAGATCATATTCGTTCTTGTCATATTGATAATATGAAATTCAAAGGCAAGATGGGTTGGTGGCTGTGACAGACACAAATAAAACGAAGACGTCCTAGGATGGAGACTCAAACAGGATCACTCGTGCAAGCGGCAATAAAGACAGCATGACAGTCTTTTTGAAATTCTGTTTCCTCTGCACAACGCAGATAAAAAAAACAATTCGAGGGGCTGGCTAGCATCGTTGAATGCAGGCCAGCCCACCAGTGATGGCCTTTGTTTCCGGACGGATGCGCGCCAACTCTCAACAAGCTTTCTCCCTTTTACTTGCAGTTCCGATCCTATTGATCACATCAAATCGCGTCAATTTTTGTCTTTAGGCTCAACATCCTCAGATGATGCACGAAAATCTGGCAAGAGCAGAGCTGTCGTTCCAGTTCGATCGTGAGATAACGAAAGTTTTCTTGGACTGCTCCGTGCTAGATGATTCGAAAATTCCATCCTTGGCAGTCATTGAAAGTCACTCCTCGCGCAACATGATGACTTGCTAGGAACCAAATTTCTCGAACAGTCTTAACCTCTCAGCCCATCCCACGTCCTGTGGGATTTCCGTAGACAATCAGTTTTGGCACAATGTCCAGTACAAGATCCGCTGGCAGTGCAAAGTTCACTCCACTGCCCCTCCCCTGCAACCCACAGCACATATGACAATCCATGGTCACCACGCCTCCCCAAATTCACTCACTGTGGTGGGCACCGTCTCAGAAATATCTGGCACCTCTCGTTACATCCTGTAATTATATATTCAAACAGGAGCAGCAAGGACAAGGAGCTCACCGTTCCTTTCCTGGAGAACGTGGCAGTGCTGATGCCTATCAGGCGGCCACTGGAGTCCAGCAGGGCGCCTCCAGAGCTGCCTCCATTGATCGGCGCATCAGTCTGCATGCCACAATCTACGCTTGCAGCGTCTCCAGTCTTTTGCCGGGAGAGACTTGGGACGACTTCTTCAAGAACAGGATCATCATGTCCACGGGGAACTGCGCATCTGATATATCCCCGAGAAAAAATTGCAAGACATACAAGGCAGATCACCAAGAAGTAAGCCCTGCGGTGTTATATCAGGTGGACTACCGTAGGAGAAGAATGAACTCTCCCTTCTCCCTTGATTCTCCCTTCTCGTTTACATCCTTCGCTTTCATCCTATCTTGCAAGATTAACTCTACCGGAACTTTGATTTGTAAATTTGCACACCTGAATGGCGCCGTAGGTCAGGGTGTTGACAGGGGATGGGATGGCCCTGTTCAGGCCGCTTACTACCCCGGCAGTCATCGTGCGCGATAGCCCCCGGGGATTGCCGATCGCAAACACTGACTGGCCCACCTTCAGCCCCTTTGAGGAACCCATCTGCACACACAGCACGGCACATCTTCTGCCCTGCATACCCTGCATGCCCCAGCTGGCGGCGGCCGGTGCAAAAGGCTGAGCACCGTGCCCACTGTTGATTGGGTCTTGCTTAAATCTCGTGCGTCCAACGAGGGATAGGAATTTTGGCAGCCTCAACTGCGGCTTGACTTCATCTTGCCAGTTGGCGGGCCAAGCATACTTTAATAAATATTAACTGTAAGAGAAGTACACCTCCTGAAAGGCCCTCCTGGGAGTGGAGTACACAGAGCAAAGATAAGTGTTATGGCATGTGAATTGGGCACCTTGATGGGCTGGAGGGTTTCTGGCGGAGCATCGATCTGCAGCACTGCCAAGTCATGCGAGGCATCCGTGGCCACAATCCTCGCTGGCCACTGACTAAGTTTGCCATCCGGACCCTCAATACCCACAAATGTCCTCTGCAGGGGCCATCAAACGCGCTAAGATTAGGGTGTCATCCATGATCGAAAAACACTGCAATTTTGTGGCCTCTGTAAGAACACAAATGAAGTGTTTGTGAGCTGACAGACGGACCCACCTGCGTCTTTGTCGTGTCCTTAGCAAGCTTTGCAATGCAGTGATAGTTTGTGACAATGTGCGGCCCCACCCTGTCGATCAACAGACTGCACATTGATCAAAGCACACACTTGACAACACGATGCAACACATCAGGTAAAACGCAGCTGCTGCATGCACGCTTATTCAGGAGGACAAGTGAATGTGCTTCAGGAATTCTGAGGTACCTATCCCATACTATCCCACTGCCTGTGCCTTCCTCAGTCTCCACGCCGTCCTTCACTTGGAAATCTGATATGGACACCACTGAATATGCTGCAAGACAGGGAAAGTTCATTATGTGCATGAGATCAGTAGCTTCCTTGACCTTCCTTGCCATATCCAGTGCTCCATGCTCCACTTTTTCAATTCCCATCCTCCTATAGTATGGCTGGGACAGGTGCGCACATGCAGAATCAAATACTCTGCTGGCCATTTCTTCATCCACTATTGCGGCGTGTGCTGGTCCTGCAGTGCTGCCAAGAATTGCAAGGCCTGCCAGAAATCCCAGGCATGTGCGCCTGTCTGCCAAGGTTGATTTTGTCTCTGGAAGTCTACCGCTGCTTTTTTCTGGGCTTCTAAAGCCTGCCTGACACCTGATGACACCAGGTCATGGAATTCAGCAATGCTGGAATCGAATGCAAAGCAATGATGCTGTCCTGCACACGTGCACCTTGTACAGATTTGAATAGGATTCACAAGTAGACATAAGAAGTCAACGCATCACCTTGTTAGTTTTTGCAATCTGATCGGGTATGAAGGCGAACGTGTGCGTATGGTTGACATAAGTGGCGCATGGAGCGGTCGAAGCCTCATAGGATCCGTCAGACTATTCATTGCTAACTTAGATTTTTAAATTACAGAAATGTCGTGTACAGGTCTAGAAATCGCATCAATCGATACTTATCCTTTATGCTGATGAGAGAAGTTCATAAGTGGATCTCCCCAGAAGAGAAGAATAGTTCAAGAGTTGCAGCTAGGTAAATTCACAAATAGAAGATGTCAAAGATTGTCAAGGCTCGCTGACAATTAAATATCTGAAGTGGAGAGAAATTTCTGTATCAGTCCAAGGATTGGCAATGTGTGACGTCATCCTCATCTGCAACGAGGGAGAAGATATACAGCCTGTTCATAATCAGACCAACTGGCTCGCCAATTCAATAAGTGTGTGAAAGTTGATTAGAAAGAGTTCATTCATGTCTTTAAACTGCTGTGCTTGACAGAAAGTTTGCTTGTTTAAAACAGATCACACCAGATCATAATTTCCTTGTCAACTGTTTTCAAATTTCTTGCATTGCCAAGAGGCAGTCAAAACAATTTCATATTTTGTCAAATATGTTCGTTAATACTAGAACTTGTGCCCTGCCTTGTTGAATGGCTGCCTGTCAATAGTTATATTGAACAGGACACCAGCAATGGCAATGACCAGCATGAACAGGGGTGTCCATCGCAGCCCACATCAGGCTAGAAATCAACCATTTTGGGCGGTAATTCCAGCGCTGGTTCTCAATCGAAAGTCGCAGAGAACGCAAAGAAGACACGTGCGTGCAAGCCAGCCAACAGCCGTCCTGGCGCCAACGTCACCGGCCTCAGCAGAGACCCCAAAGTCCCTTCCCACGCAGCCCAACAATACCCCTTCATCTCCAGCGGATTCTCCCGGGTGCGACCAGCATGCAGTGCGCATGCTTGCAGACTCTCCTTTATCATGTGCCCTCCAGAGCACCACCTCACCTGCCACTCCATGCTAATATGTCCTATCTTCTCCGCCTGTGTTCTGGCGCTCGCTCTGCGTGGACATCTGTGATCCTCTTTCTCTGAGGGGTGCATGCTATGCAGGCTGGGCAGGAGGATAGTAATTGTGGGAGCGGGGCCCGCGGGGACCGTAACGGCCATGCTGCTGGCGAAAAGGGGCTACACAGTGGATGTTTACGAGAGGAGGGGCCGGCCCTCACGCGCGCTGGCCGCCACGCTGCACTCCTACATCCTCGCCCTGACCCCCAGGTACCCACCTGTGCAGCAAACACGGATGTTCTTTCGCAGGATGGTCTCTCCCAGGAACATGGAAGGGGAGACCGCCAAGAGACCGACCTTGCTGCGGAAACACCCCCTCACTGGCTTATTTTGAAAAAGTGTATATATGCATATATGCTTACAAGGCATTTGCAAGTTAAGATACGCAAATGGTTGCCAGATGCGGGCATGCTGGAGCAGGATTGTCTGTGAGACACAGAACAGGCCTCACATCCTTGAAATACCCAAGAAACCTGTTTGTCAGAACATGTACCCTAGAAGGGGTTTCTTTTATGCGCAGGGGGCTGAAGGCGATAGAGGAGACGGGCGCGGACCCGGAGTGCTGCTCGGCGACGCGCGCGCCTCGATCCGTAGGCATGTTTGACATGAACAGCGGCCGCTCCCTGCGCATGCCGCCTGGACGCAAGCACATCGTGGACCGCGTAACTCTCGCGTCAGACCTCATAGACGAGGCCATGCGTCTGTATGGCAACAACATAACCTTCCACTTTGAGCGCCAGCTGCAGGTGCCTCCTATCACATACTCTTTTGCCAACTGTGCCTTGTGCTCTGGCTCCTCTGTCCGCTCACAGTCGACGTGGATAACATCTCTCTCCACCTATTTGAATGAATGATGAAAATTTGAATGCAATATGCCACCTGGCACATGCATCAGAAGCAAAGCTGGTCAAGTCAGCCCCATTGCAATTGTTTTAGACTTGGGCCTTTTGAACTTCAGAGTTGAAGCATGATCCTCATGATTTTCTTTTAGGCCAAAAATCCCCCTTGCAGCGAATTGCAAGAAAGCCAGCATGAAAGTGGTCAAGAGAGGGATGAAGCGATAGTGTAGAGAGACTTGAAATAGCCCTGAAGAGAGCCTAAAAGCCTGGTGATCCTGTCGCAGGGGTTAGACTTGGAGAGACAACTAGCTACATTCAAAGATGGCAGCAGCGGCTCCTCGCAGCTTGAAGTGAGCTATGATTTGCTTATAGGCGCCGACGGGGCAAGCAGCACAGTGAGAGACGTCCTGCAGGTAATGGGTGTCTTGTGATACGTCTGAAAGTCCCCATTGTATGAGGGAAAAAAAGGTCCTTCCACCTGTCCTTGAAATGGAGTTGCTGTGTGCAGATCCAAGTCCGCAGGCATGCATTTAGAAAGCTCTTCTCCATATTGGGCATCAACGCACAAGTCATGCAGCTGCAGCTGATCCTGTTCACTAACTCTGTGCAGGATAAGGTGCCAGGGTTCGGGGCCAGGACACTGTACCAGGCGAGCATGTGCTACACCACCTTCCATGGCCTGCCGGTGGATGACTACGCGGCGACTAAGAGTGAGTCATCGAGCGGCGCAGCTGATTCAGCGGTTCCAAGCGAGGTGGCGTTGATCGGCACCCACAACCGCCGCGAGTTCACATACAACTGGAGGTCCCCCAAAGCCGATGTCATGGTGTCCATGTGGAAGGCTGAGGATGGCCGCATGAATGGTGCGCTCAACCTCTGTCCCATGATGTACAGTGAATGCTAAATTTGGGTTCCAGTTATTCATCTGATTAGGTGCCACGCCTGTCCCATGATGCACAGGGCATCCTAAATCTGGGTTTTGTGTTGCTCGCAGTCAGTGTCCAAGTAAATTTGTTATTCCTGTGATGCAAGATGTCATCAAGAGGCTTTCAAGAGGCTTTCATTGACTCCAGCGCCCATGCAAGTCATGTGATGCAATCAGACTTATCTGTCAGCCTTGCTCTTGGCGTCCTGCATCGGAACAACCGGTTTCAAGTGCTGTACATCAACTATTACTTCAGTATGAGATCAGAGAGGCACAACATAAATCATATGAAGGATGATCATGGCTGCAGGTCTGGTGGCGGCTGAGAGCCATGCGGCGGAGCCGGAGCAGCGGGAGCAGCTGCTGGCGGCAGCTACGCCGAAGCTGCCGGCGACGTGGCGGCGCCAGATCGCCGCGCAGACCGGTCCGCAGACGCCCAGCAGCTTTGGCAAGATCGTGCGCTGCTCGCAGTTCCATGGGCCGCGCGTTGTTGTCATCGGGGACGCCGCTCACTCTGTGACCAGCACTCTTGGCCAGGTGGGAATCTGTGCATGCACATGTACACCTTCAGTGCAAGCAGGCGTCCAAGCCTGCTTTGAGAGGTGCTGCAGGACTTGCATGAAAATTTTGTGTGCAGCTTAGTGCGTTGTTCATTTTGTGCATTTCAATTGTCAATGCAAGTGCCCGGTAGCTTGACTTGCTTGATTCTTCGACTTTGGCTCTTGTTTGGTCCGCTTCTCTCCACCACCATGATGATCTTCCTGTTAGAGTAGGTGCCATAAGCCAGGAAGGATCCAATTGTGATATATCATACCCAGGGGTGCATAACAGCGATGGAGAGCTGCACAGCGCTGGCGGCTGCCTTTGCTATGTGTGGGGACGATCTTGACCGCGTGCCGGCTGCATTCACAGCCGCCAGAGCCCCCGACGCGCACGCTGTGCAGGACATGGAACTCATGCAGGCGAGCATTCAACTGACAAAATTTTGACTTACACCCTACTCACCTTGCTTGTACACTTGGTGGCTTCCACCGGCAGGAAATTATCACAGCAGCTCCAGGACTATCCTGCGTTGCTGTCATGACAATGCTGCATATCCTACAACAGCTGGAGGCTCTTTGACATATTATGATGAGTGAAGGTCATGCAATGATGAGTAAGGCTGGCGAAAAGCCACAGGACAAGAAACAAGCTGATCAGCACTTTTGTGACACTGCGCGCAGGTGCATGCCATGGTGCCAGGTCACAACGCATCAAAATTGCCGGTAATAATCTACGCCAGGACCGTGAAGGCTCTGGCGCTTCTGGGTTCACTGGTGTTTCACAAGGTCGGCCTGCTTCCCAGCCCGGTGTACACCTACTCGGCATTCTTCGCTGGGGTGCTGCCTGTCAGGGCCATCAAGCGAAACCTGCACCTGCTCGCAGCAGCCGGCGCCGGTTTTCTCACACTGTTTGTTTGGTCTGTGTCGCGCCTGCTGCGCTCATGCTTGCTGCCTGCCCTTCGGACAGCCTTGGCAGGCTGAACTCAAGTTTTGTGCGGCATAGCATTGCTATGATAGCAAGACATGAAATTGGCGGATGCCAGTATGTTTGTTGGCAACAGGCACAGATATACTGTGTTCTACTTCGGAGGGATTCCATCTTCTGTTAGTGGTCTTGCGAGCTTGAACACTATGTTGTAAAGTGATCTTGAGCACAACTTTGTAGGAGCACTAAGGCAGCTGCGCGGCATGCTGATGTTGGATTATTGCAATGAACGGGGTTGCACGCCTTGTTTGTTGCTTGCAAGCCATACGATGGGGTGGTTCGTATTTTGTAGAATGCATGTGCATTGTTGTAGCTTGCACTAAGCTGTTGACATTCAATGCGAAATTCAAATGACATTCCGTGGAGCAGATGGAGAAAATTACAACGGCAATCATGTGAACACATCAGCTCTCCTAAACAAAGAGGAGAACTTCATGGCAGCCAGCGGGTGAAGTTCCTGCAATGCAGCCGTTGCTCCGTGCAAAGCGGGAAAGCTTCACCCATAATCACACTAGCATGCCCAACTCCTTGAATTGCAATGGCAAAACAGATGAAACACAGCAGTCCAGTGCTTGCACAGCAACATTGCCCCCATTAATATTGCAGCTGTTGTTGAAGACCAAAACTTTGCGCAGCTATTTGTTGCGCCCCTCTCAAGCTTGTTCGTCCATTTGGGTCAGGTGCAAGTGCCGTGACACCCACATAATAAATCCCAACTCAGCATGCCGCTGAGGCATGGTTATAGTACTGTAGTGTACAACCAAAACAGGGAAAGTGCGGTAACCGAGCGTCTCTGAACATGTCCCGGACAAGATTCCTCAAGAGCCTGCCCATCCCCGCGCACCAACACCAACTAAAAGCCCTCCCCCGATTGGACCAGAGCACCAACAGAAGCGGATCAGCATCAAAGGAGACCGCCGACAGCGATCACAGCTGCCCAAGGAAGTTACCCCAACCCTGACCAAGAAACGTGCCGCAACAAGCGGCAGGACGACCCATAGTGCTGCCTGCAATGAGGGGACGCAAGGAATGGAATGGCAGTGATCAGTCATCCGTCTCGAAGGCAGATCTCACGGGCAGCCGCCTGCTGCCCAGAGGCGTCGGCATTCTCTGCAGCGGCTCTGTGCGCACTTCCTTAGCACCGTCGCCGCCGGGCAGGGGGGAATCCTGCTCGTCCGGGGCTCGTGCCGCCGCGGCAAATGGTGTGCCGGGGACGGCTGGCGGCGGCGGCTGCGGCCGCGGCAGGGCGGATGCCTGTAGCCGGTCGTAGATCTGCTTGGCGCTCGGGCGCAGCTTTGGGTCGTAGCTGAGGCACTCGTTGATCAGCTGCGCCACCTCCTCCGGCACCTCCTCCGGCACCCTGCCATTCAAACACAGATTCCAACTTGAATCTAAGCTTCATCTAAGCTTCACATGCACACATTCCCTTCTCACGGCATGGAACGCCTCTTTTCCACTCCCAAAGCCATCACAAGCCTTGTCTCTTTGGCGCGGCTCCTCATCATTGCCCGTACATGTGGTAGTGTAATACGGCAAGCAGCAAGAGAATGTGATTGCATGTGACAAAAGGGCACGGTGGGGATCCGCCAGGCTATAGACTAAGTTACTGTGAAGAAAACAAGGCACTGTTCTGGAGTGTTCTGGTGTACGGAGTGTTCTATATGCAGGCCACTGCCGACAGGAAGACCTCTTTCACAGATAAATGGTGTAGTCGCCAAGCAGGTGTCAGAAGGGAACGCGGCGCACCTGACATCACGTAGCTGGCCGCGCTGGGGCCGCTCGCAGGTGGCAAGCTCCCAGAGGACGACGCCGAAGGAGAACATGTCCACCTTGTCCGAGCAGCGCCCGCCCATCAGCAGCTCCGGAGCTGCCCACGCAAATGTGCCAGCCACCTCCTCCAGCTTGCTTACATACCCCTGAGGGACCCCAGAGTCACCAATCACTCATTGCTAGGGCGCCGAGGGCGACACAACTGAACCCTTCAGAGAATTTTGACTCACAGTTCATGGGATAGAACAGCGGCATGCACGTCTGCAATCTTTGCTATTGGGGCACTACTTCTTTGTTTGCAAACGTGCTAACCAAATGCATTTGATTGGCAATCATTTGGGTGGTATGAGGGGAGCTGCACCTGTGTGAGGACCTTTGCCAGGCCCACATCGGCGATCTTTGCCGTCCCATCGCGCGTGAGCAGTACGTTGTGCGACTTCAGGTCGAACAAGCTGCATGCACAAGAGATCATGCCTCTTCAGCTGTAAGATATATGACTATGCATACAGAGGGAAGGCATCCAGATTTCTGTACAGGCCCCAAGTGACAGAAGCCATCACCATGACAAGCAACGTCCATGCTCGGACAAAGACACAGGATGGGAATCATGCTTCAATTCCAGAGCATAAGCAAAGCCATCAAAAGGACAGCCTTTTGCACTGGGGGCCTATGTGAGGTGTATAAGTGAGTGACAGGCTGCCTACGTCACGTGCATAGTACAATTTGCAGCACACAAATCCACTGGAACCTGTGAGACACACATGAAGCAAGGGTGCAGAAGCCACACAGACGGGCAGGCTAGGTATAAATGAGAGTCTTCACATTCCTGTATAGGCGGTGTGCCACAGGGCACAGAAAGGAGCACTCACACAATGGAGTGGGCGTGCAGGAAGCAGAGGCCGCGCGCAATGTCGAGGGCCACCCGCTTTCCCTGCTGCGCCCAGCTGCGCACGCGGCTGCCCTCCCGCTGCAGCGCTCGCCAGAGGTCGCCCCCCTCCACATACTCCATCACCAGCATCGTGCGGCTGCCGCTGACGCACGCCCCCTGAGACAGCCAATCTTGCTGTCAGACATTGCGTGCCCATGCGCTTACCACGCTGTACCCCAACAACGCTGTCGACCATTTTGACCTGATGATGATTTGAAGTGCCATGGGCATATCTGGTTCCTGATTCCGTACTGGGCGCCCACATGGTGACAACCCCAGATACAATGACTGCAAAATATTCTATTGCCAGTGTTGGGCTCTGCATACTCACAACAATCGATCAAATGAGCAATCGAAATCTTATCAGCAACCCAGTTCATATGTCATAATTTCACGATATAAGGATTTGACAGCCGTGATTGTCCCATCTGCTGTCAATCTGCTAGCGCCGCATGAAAGCTCATAGGTGTACGCATGGAGAGGCAAAGATCTTAATGTGCTCACCTGGAACTGGACAATGTTTGAGTGGCGGCAGCCCTTGAGGATGGCGATTTCGCGCGTGAAGTTGACGCCGCCCACCTCTGCATCGTGCAGCACCTTCACCGCCACCACCTGCACGCCCCCCCTCAGCGCCTTGAACACCTGCAAACCACGAATTCACAAAAACTCAGGATAAACAAATACACATCATTCATCCAATGAGAAATACAAAAATAAAGAGCGAATTGTCTTTCCTTCCTTCTGTGTTGTTCCCTTCCTTGCAAGCGACATCATTTACAGCACCATGCTCACAGCACTGTGCTCCTTGCATCATCCTTGGGCAGGCACTATTCTGCAGGATACCAGGAACTGATCCATCGTGCCCTGTAAGTCATGCTGCATAAATGCACCAATGATGCTGCGATGCACCGGAATTTGCAAAAAAAAAAGAAAAAAAAAATATACATCCAAAAAACATCAGTGCCGCACCTTGCCAAAGGCGCCGGCGCCCAGCTCCCAGTCGGAGCCGTCCTCGCGCTTGCAGATGGTGATCTGCTCCGCGGAAATCTCCCAGTCCGACCAGGGCAGCGCGGGCAGCTCAATGCTGCTGCCCTGCTTGCCCAAGCTGCCCAGGCCCTGCCCGGTGCCCGCCCACTCCGTCAGGCCCTGCCCCCGATCCGACGTCGACGCATGCAGGCCTGCCGCCTGACGCTCTTCCACCTGCCCGCTGCCCGCCCGGGCAGCCGCAGCTGGCAGCCCCTCGTTGCCCAGCCGCGCCACCAGCGTCGCATCGCTCACCTGCGTGCCTGCGCCCATCCAAATCACTCTGCTTCAGCCAAGCTCAAGTACATGCAATAGACCGACCGCACCCCATTTGTACACAGCCAGCTCGTCTACATGACGCGCATCAACCTCAGAGCCTTCTGCGAGGCAAGAAAAATTCTGCCAGAGCACTACCATGCAAAGATATTGACCGCTGTCCCGCCTGGCACACGCATTAACAAAATTCACCGTAGTGTCCCGTTTAAGCTTCGGCTCCCGCGAGCTCGTTTGCAAAGCTGAGGAATAGTTCTGGGGGCTTGAAATCCTGCCGCACCGGTGTCAGAGAGGCTGTGGTCGGAGGGTGGGCCAAGCAGCTGGCCGCCGGAGGACTCCATGTCGGAGGCGAGCGTGCGCAGGCGGCCGGGCGTGCCGATGCTGGTGCCCGTGTTGGATGACAGCCGCACCTCCAGCGCCTGCGACCCCGCCGCCTTCAGCGCCTCCGTGCTCTGCGCAGTCGCCAGCGTCGACATCGGCGACGCGCTCGGGTGTAGCCGCTGCTTGCGCCACCTGCACAGGTACGTTTGTGGGCATCTTTTCCAGCGATCTGCACTACTCTGAGCAGTGAGCATGCAGCAGGAGCTTAGCACGTCGAGTCCCCAAACACGGCGCACACTTGTCAGGTGACTTGCGATCACTGAGCGGGCCAACACAGCCATTATTGAACTGTACTTAAAGCACATCATGGGTACTTTGGAACTCCGCAAGCAATCTTGGACCGAAGGAAGAAGATCACGCTCCCTCCGTATCAAATGCTGACAGCGTCACAGCTCAAGCGTCATGACTCCCATCATTCCAAGATATCTTGCAAATCCTCTTTGCACTGGAGTCCCGTGAGACTGGTCACAAGCAAGCAGTATGTTGACCAGGAGCTTGTTTGCATTGGATTCACTTCGGCCTGAGACAGTGGGTGGAGGGGACGCGCCTGTGCACGATGAGGGTGGCAATGGCAAAGACAGCCAGAAGAATTCCAACCACGGCCAGCACAATGCCCACAATGAGGCCCTGCGGGAAGTGCTGCTGGGCCGGCGCCGTCGAGTCTGAATCTGCGCACAGAAACCAACAAAAGCAGCTCAGTTGCTTCTTCACCGCCGTCACAGCCTCGCACACATGAAACAACAAGAGCATTCCCACTTCTGCCGTCACACCAGCAGCCATACTCCGTTGCTTGCGCAAGACTTGTGGCATGGAGCTGTGACACTAAAGGCTGATGTCATGTGCACGTCTGATCCGGCATTTACAGTTCTGACATTTTTCAGCACCAGGCATCTCAGGGAGCACTGTGAATCAATTCCCAACTGATGGTTTCCAAGTCAGCAATGGCCTCTTACCCCTGGGGATGCAGTGGGGATGTTAAATACTGTGTGAATGATTCCTACAACTGTCTGCAAGGCTGTGAACACGGGCTCAAAATATGTTCACGGGGGCGCTTGCCTTGCCCAGGAAGCGTGAAGTTGATGATCTGGGGCCGAAGCCGCACAGGCAGCGCAGAGGGGTCCAGCGGCTCGCAGGACACCAGCATGACATGCACGACCGCCAAGCCGCCCGCCTGCAGGCGCTGCACGAGCGACCGAGACGACGCCACGCGCGCCACCATCGCCTCGGCCTCGCTAACGTTTCCATTGGTGATCGTCTGCGAGGATACACTCGCACATATCAACTCCAAGCCTTCTAAGTAAATCTTCGCCGCAGATAATACCATTCAAAAACTCCGGCCTGTCTCTCTGCTGCAGATGATACTTGGGGTCATCCGCACCCCCTCCCTTCCAGTTCCTCGGCTGCCGCTGTGCAGGCAACTTGTCAGCTGGCAAGGCAGGGGGGAAAAGACGAGCATGGCAAAGGGACTGCTTCATGGTGAGTGCCTTGTCTCTCCGCAGGAACGAGCCATTGAGTGCAATATACTGAGCAGCATGGACAAGGGAAGGGTGGGCATAACTCTGCAAAGCCCAGAGATCTGCACTATTATAACTTTAATAGATGTGGCGTGCCTTGAGCTCCACGGGGACGTCAGCACCAATGAGGATGCCGCCGGGAACGGGCGTCCCATATGGCCGGTCCGAGCCGAACGGCAGCGCCTCGGCAGTTTCCTGTGAATCCACCGCCTCCGGTGCCACCGCGGGCACGGCCGCCTTCGCGGCCGCCCTCGGAGCTGCCGCATCTGCACCCCGCTTTGCTTTCTGAGGGCTCGCAACATGTCAATTCCTCTCACAGCACTCACATGCCCTGGGGGCTCCCATCCCGCCATTGGACTATTCCATTTTAAGTCAATTAATCTGTGAGCACGTAGCCCTTCCGCAAGAAAGTGCATGGCGCCGAGAGAGGCGACGACCACATGGTGAATTGTGGAAAAGTGAGGTGCCGTTGCGGAGAGAGAGTGACGCACTTGAGAACCCGGGCCTGGGCCGGAAGACGGCGCCCTGCAGGCCGGGAGGCAGCGTGGGAACATTGTTAACGGCGGGCCCCTGCAGCAGGCGCCGCCCCAGAGAGGCAGCGCCCCCGCGCGGCCACGCGCCCGTCAGCCGCCGCCGGCCGCCCTCAATCACGGTGACCGGGTCGAAGACTGCGTCCAGGACCCAGTTCTGCATCGAGACCTGTGGCCCCGGTTGCACGTGCTGCAGATTGGGTACCGGCCAGGGCATCGGCGTTGCTAGCTGCCGCCCGCTTGAGCTGGCATTGACCGGCCCTGCCCACACTATGGGCAGCACCTGCACAACCACAAATGGCAGCGTTTTGGACCCTGGCACACAAAGTAGAGGTCAACTGGGTACTAATAGTAGGAATGTTTTAACTTCTGACCTAGGAAGCCGGGGGAAGGATAGGTTTGGCAGATAACCGGTAAACTTCAACACAGGTTTGGTGAAGGGACATGTTTGGCACGATGCTTGCAAGTTTCCTTCCTAATATGACAGTCAGCTCACTGCTGTGACAGATTGTCAGGTTCGGCGCCACCCAGCGGCATGTGCAATCCACAAAGCACCCTTTCACAGGACTTGCCATTGCAGAGGAGGCTTGCAGCACATAGGATGGTCCGTTGGTACTGTTCATTATGTAAACGAAAGTGCTGCAATGTTCTCTCCCGCCGCAGCATCTAATAAAGGAGGTCTGGGCATTGTATCTCATGTAGCATTTCACTGTATGGGTCGCGCACCTGTCCGATAACAATGTCGCTGGCTGTGATGTTGGGCAACAAGTCCACAAGAGCCGAGACAAATATGTTCAGGTTGTTTGCGGTGAAGGGAAAGATGTTGGCTCCCTCAATTCGCAGCACAGCCTGCGCAGGTTTCAAAAGTCCACGTTACTAGCGGATTTATGATCTTGCTCTACACGGCTCACGACCTTAGAATATATCAGTGGTTTTAAAAATTGACCAAGCTGGCTCATCAGTTACTCTTTGATCATGGTGGGCATACAACAAAGCCACATGAAAGTGTGACACGACCGCTGCTCTGCATGAAAGCTTCCACCAGGAAGGCATGACATCCGGCTTGACATGCATGAGAAACCGGAAGTGAGAAGTCTCCTCACCTCCAGAACAGTTGCAGTTGCTGTGGGCGGTGGCAGCAGGGCTGGGTTCACTGGGACCTCCAGCGAGCAGATCTTCCCCAGACTGCTTGTGATCTCGCCTGCAGGAGGAAATGAGGAAGGCATTGGCACCTCCCAACACGAGGACTTCCATTCGCATAACCTCATGCCCATATAGCCAAAACCCTCAGATAACACAGATGACAAGCCCTCAACTAGCCTGAGCGGTGCAGCATCTTGTACCCAGCCCACAGAGTGAGCAAGGTAAGGCGGAGGGGCGCACATTGGGCGTCCACCTCTTTACAGAGGTGGAATGCGGCCAGTGGCGGCGGCGACCCACACAACTGGTAGTTCCCTGGCCGCACCCAGAGAGCCCTGAGAGAGCTCAGGTTCGCCCATGATGAGGGCACCTTCCCCTGCAGCATGTTCCACTGCATCCCGAGCACCTGCACCAAAACTTAACGTTTCTCCCGGCAAATTGCGTGAAGTACCATATTTGCCAGGACCAGACTCTCCCTGCTTGAGCACGCCTCGCAGTGTTACTGCATGCATACGGAAGGGAGCTTCACATGACAGGTGGGAGACAACAGTGCTTGGATTAATACCTCCAATTCGGCCATGGCGCCAGATTGCATTTCCGGCAGACTCCCTTTCAGCTGGTTGCCGCCAATGTGCGCGCGCAGCAGGCTAGGAAATGCACCAGCATTGCCCCATTCTGCGGGGATGCTTCCCTGCACGATGCAATCACCCCTTCTAAGAGACGCACGAGACACACAAACAGTGCTTTACCGGCAAGCCTTGCACTCGGTGCATTGTGATTGACATTTGATATACTAAAAGGAATCATGTCCAGGACTCACCGTGAGGCTGTTGAAGTCCAGCCGCATCTCTACCAGGTTTGGAAATCCATATGCAAACTCCTTGGGCAGAGAACCATTGAACCAATTCCTGTCCAGCCGCAGCACCTGCAGCTGATCCAGACTGGCCAGCGATGGGTGAATATTCCCCATGGCTTTGACATTACAGAGAGAGCACCCCAAGTACCTGCGCGCAGAGATGCTACAGCTTCAACCAAAACTTCCCAGCAATGACTTGCTACTTTCTGCACGTTTATTTGACCCCCTAAGCACTGCAGACATCAACAAAAAGCAACATCCAGCTTTCCCATGAATATGATCAACGCCTATTAAATGATTGGTGATGGTAAGCTGCAAAGTAGTGGTGCTTACAATTGCGTGACCCTTTCTGTGTCTGAACATAGGATGCCTCCCCAGCTGCACACTGGTGATATTTCATCCCATCCACGTAAAGCACTCGCATTCTGGAAGACTGCCCAGTTCTCTATGTTATTCCTGAAATTCAGGAGGATGTCCCCTGCAGTTGAATCACATCCAGGTCATTTAAGGGTATAGCAAATGCCTCAGCAAGCACTCTGCAGTGGGTATCGATGATCGTCAGAAATTGACAGAAAAACATGTCTCTACCCCTCTGCCACTGCCCTTCCCAGCTTAGACAGACATAGGAGAGGGGGAGCGTGCAAGCTTACTGTCAGGATTTGCAGCGACCCCGTGCGCTCCGTAAAGCGCGCATAACGTGAGCAGAGTAGCAGTCAATAAATTGACCGCTCTGTGTTGCCTAACAATCATTTCTTCCAGTCATCTCTATCTTTCAGGCCCATTTGGCCTGAGAGAAGAAATCGAGACTTCTGCCCCTAGGGTACTCCGAATACAACTATCCAATTCCTCCACAAGTATCAAATGAGCTGATTGGATTGCTGGACAATGTATGATCTGAATAAAAGACTCTGTTGGGCCCCTGAGTTTGCAAGGATCCTGACAGGCAAAGCTTTCGAGTGCCTGGCTCAGGAAGGGCAGCTCAACTGCGATACAGTCTGCTCAATTCTGGAGCTGCAAACCCTGTCACAATATTCTGCTGTGCATGCTCGCTCGGCAGGTTCCAGATTTCGCCAGGGGACTCACTCCATACCAAGTTAGTTTAGAGCCCCTTGATTTCGCTATCGATGATGTCATCTCCAAGCCCTCTATAATGCAAGGGAAGCGGCAGGGTATCCTTCCCGCGCATCAGCAACGGTTGGATTGTACATCGCCAGCTAATCACCAATTCCTGATGACCCACTCCTATTCAGAAACTGTGAACGAGCTCTAAAAGTGCATTTGTATGATTGTCTCAAGATCGCAGATTACGTTGCCGGAGTATCTGTTGCCGAAAGTTCATCTTTTCAGTGACCTTTTATCTGACTAGTTGAACTATTGGATCTTTTGAATTTGCACCTTCCATACTACTGTATTTGTGATGGACCAAGAGCATCATTTGCTGCAATTCGATGGCCCTGAGGTTGGGGATGATGAAGAAGCTGTGACTCACTCGTTCATCATCAGACCAGTCCCGCATCAACCTACAAATCGTCTGAAGAAGAAAGCATCTAAATCAAATGACGATGACAGAAGGACTGACGGTGGGCAAAAATTTGATCAAAGGTTTTGTGTCCTTAGCCAACCTGCATGCAATAGCCGATCAAGATCTTCTCCCCTTGGCTCACATATATTGTGACCGCAGAGGGGCTATTGCAGATCATGCCGACGCTTCCTTGCGAGACAGCAAAGGACAGGTTGCAAAGGCTCAAAGCATACCATGCATGCTGGACTAACCTGTCATTACACATGGAGGTGACTTCCCAATCGACCTGTATGCAATACACTTCTCGCCCCAAATGCCAGGATGACAATTCACAATCAATGAAGCACCCCATGAATCTGTACACAAAGGTGAAAGATGTTTCTTAGGAAAGAACTCGCGTGCAGGAAGTCCTGGAAGATGCAAACAAGGGAACATTCAGGGAGCTCGCAAGCTTTGCGCGTGCGCAGCACTGCAGCCCGAGCAAGCGCAGGACCACTTCTGCTGGGTACCAGCGCCTGCTGCCCACCGCATTGACAGTGGCCGGCGGAGTGAATTCCTCAGACCACGCCCGCACATTCCCAGACCTGGTCTCCTTGCTCAGAGCCCAGGTGCCTCTCTTGTACACAGAACAGTATGCAGAAATCAAATGCTGCTGCTTCTCAAGCTTGTGCCTGACTGGCAGCATGAAACCCGCATGAATATAGTAATGGATAAAGCTTGATGTGAGGAAACCCGTGACTGCACAATACACTGAGCTAACAAAAATCTATTTTGGGGAGCAGGGCTTCTATGCAGCGCTGGTGCACCCACGCGACCTGTCGCCCAATGCAGCAGTGGGCTGCGCCCTGAACAGCATCCTGCACCAGTTCTCAGGCCTGGACACCGACGCCAGTGACATGGAGGCAAGCCGTTTCCTTCTCCTGTTTGAATCTTGCATGCGACCTGAACCTGGCATCACACATGCAATTATCATGACCTTGGACAACACAGCGCCTTGCCAAGTAGTCCATCAAGTTGCCAAGACTGCGCCAATGCATGACACAACATCTGGCAGCTGACGAGGTGTGTGCAAGTTGCAGGCTTTGCATGCGTGGTACGAAGATGAGCTGCAGCACTCAGAGGAGGCAGCCATTCCCGGGGCAGCGGCCGGCAGCGGCAGCAGTCCTGCCAAGCGGCGGCGCGCAGGCAACGCCTCTGGAGCCCCTGGACCATCAGCTACTGTGGGCCGCAGTGGTCAGCCTGCAAGGTCTGGCGCACGAGCACGTGCATCTGGCAGCGAGCTCGTGCCTGACAGCGAGTCGGAGGGTGGTGCCGGCGCGGGTGCTGCCCATGGCAGCCACTCACCTGATACTGAAGGTGCGCACAGCACCACCCTTCACAGAGGACGAATCTCAATAACATACCCACTGGTTGGCTGCAAGACCCCAAGCTGAGGCAACACATGTCATGTTCAGAGCGGTCTGCAAGCTTTCATGGTGTGCTTACATCATTTACCCGCTTGTAACCTCGCAGAAATATCACTATCCGCTTATACCAATGTTGTACTGTTGCAGATGGCGGAGCTACATCAGCTCAGGAAGCGCAAAGCAAGGATGAGCGGGCAGAGGCAGATAGCGCCCCTTCAAAGGCCTCAGGGCGGCCTCTTGTGGTGGTCGTCGAGAACACAGAGGCTGCAGACATGCTGTCCCTCCAGGACCTCATTCTTGTCCTCAGTGAGGTGTGTCTTTGCAGCTTCCCTCCCAACTTCAGCGGAATTGAGCTCTATGGCATTCAGAAGCCTCAAACTTGGCCATGGTGCATTTCCACGGTTCTCTGTCCTTTGTCAACAGGAAAACTAAGCATGTCTACAGAAGCTTTTGCTGGCGAGCAGAGCAAATGAGGGGATCTCAGCTGTGCAATATGTGCACACATCTAAGGACGCAATTGCGGGGCTTCCTTGAGAAGATCTGAGTGAACAATGCATGCATTTGTGTGCAGGGCCGAGCACGGCTGCCGGTGACGCTGGTGCTGGGAATGGCCATCTCTGTGGCAGCCCTGCGCCACATGCTGCCTGCCAAGGCCGCGGACGTGCTGCAGGCCAAGGAGTTCCGGCTCATGCAGGTGAAATCAGCCCAAGCGCACCACAGGAAGTTGGAATCAAAGCACACCTTTTGAGATGTTGTCCGAGGTGCGAGCAAGGCGCGCTGCGCTCCTGCTGGCGGGGCAAATGCTGAGCACCCTGCTCAAAGTTGGTTGGGTCCTGCTTTCTTTGGCAAGTGCGACAGAGGCCAAGGATTTGGTAGCCGCAAAGCAGGCGCACCTTGCACAAAAAGGGCGCAGTGTTGTCAATAAAGTGTGCAAATGTTTGCAGTGAAATTTGGGTGTGCTTGTGCAGGCAAAGCCGCTGTTGGAGGCTCTGGTGCGCGAGGCGCTGCTGGGCTCACGCTTCCACGGAGTCATGTTTGACCACCGGATCATGGAATTCCTGCTGGACCACTTCCTCAACCACGACTTCAATGTGGCCTTCTTCCGGCGCGGCCTGCAGGTCCGTGACAGTCCTGCACTGGCTACCTCGTTCTCAGGCCACCTCCCCGCAACTTCAGACCTACTCTTTTTCAGATAGCACAAGATGCTTAGATATATGGTCGAGTCGCTACGCTCCTGCCTGGCAGTGTAAGCAAAGGCATGAATGCTGTCCCTAACTTGCACCGCATTGTGGTTGAGGAGCCCCAGGCAAGGAAAGGCAGGGCGACTGACTGCGAATTAGATAAGATGGCCAGTGCATGGCTCACGGGCTCGTGTCTTCCTAATTACAGCCTCAAGCATCCGGTCAGGACGCTGCCTTTTCCTTGCTTTGGGAGGCAAAATGTGAGGCAAGTGTGCCTGCGGCAGGTGGCGTGCATGCGCCACTTCCAGACGGAGCCGCTGAGCGCGCTGGCGGCGGCGGCCGGCAACCTCGGCGCGGCCGGGATCCGCGCGGCGGCTGCCGCGCTGCCGGACACGCTGAGGGGCCGCGCCAGATCTGGCTGCGCGTCCTCTTCTGGCGCGGCGCCTGATCTGGCGGGGGAGGTGCAGGGAACGCTGCGCGCTTGGAGCGGCTGGGCCGTCGCCCTGCGCTGGGTCAACGCGGCCGCCCGCGCAGTCGGGATGGGCCACCCCGCAGGTGTGTAATCATCGCTTATAAAGTCTCCAGCAGCGGGTTTTTTCTTGATTTTCCCTTCCTGATTCGCTCCTTTGGGGAAGCTGAAGGAGCGTGAGAGCTCTCTGATGCAGCACAACGAAGCTGTGGTGTCAGTCAACAAATTGAATGCGGAACAGATTCCTGGGATGACATTCTACTCCATTCTTCTGCATGGGATGATTGAATGCAGACTTGGCGAGAGCTTAGCCATATAGTGCTCGTGTTGAATAGACACAACATGTTTCTATGGCTACATACATTTTGTCCCAAGATTAGCAGCTGGTGCCAGGCATTGCAGATGGCTGCTGGCTGCATTGCCGCACCTGTCAGAAAGAAGACTCAATGTGTTGTGGCGCAGGTGCGGACAAGCTGTCGCTGCACGAGCTGTACGTGGAGGCGTCCAGGCCAGGCTTCATGGAGGCGAGTGGGCCGGGTGCAAAGCGGCTGCAGGCGCTGTGCGACCGACTGGAGCGGCTCACCGACGAGCAGGCGCGGCAGCTACTGGGAAGCTTCCAGGCATGCGCTGCCTCCGCCTGGCAGGGCGGCGATGCCTTTGCCGCACAGCTGCGCACCGTCGAGGTGCGACACTGCCTACACTGAAGGCGTGGCCATGTTCTGATGCTTCCACAGTGCACACGCTTGTGTAGCAATTGAGCACGCGTACGCAGAAACACTGACAGCAGCCCTTGCCATAATTCAGTAATCCCTGAAGCTAATTCAGTAATATTGAGAGCAAGCACATGTTGGTTGACACTGCCTTCAGCAAGGAGCACGGCCATGTCCAGATGATTGCACAGTACTTTCGGTGCACACAGTGGTAAAGCGAGTTGGGCAGGTACACTACTGCGGGCACCAACATTTCATGCAGCATTTTTTGGTTTTCGTAAAGGCAGCCTTTGCCAAGAAAATAGCAAAAGAGGGAATGTGCAGAGTTGAAGAAACAGGCTTACATATTGTGTAGGAGCTTATGCGAGAGGCGGATGAGGGAGCAGCTGCAGCAGCGGCAGAGGGCCCTTCTGCATCGCAGCTAGAGGACGGCCCAGGGACGCCAATACCAACCATGCCTGCCGCTCGGCCTGCCGGCAGAAGGGACTCGCTCACCCTTTCCACCATGCTCAAGCAGCAGAAGGCAAGCGGTCTCCACTGCATAATTGCCTTTCACAACATGTGCAAGCTGTCCTCGGGCTTTCTGTGTCAGCTAACCAGAACATGACCGCCTGACGATCTGAATGAAAAGACATCTGTGCTTGAACAAGCCTCCCATGAGCTGCCAGGAATATAAATGATGCTGCATCGTGCATGTCGGGGACTCGTGGCCCAGGGTGGACCCCTGTTGCATTGCTTGGCTTGTTCCCAATGGACAAGGGGCTTGGAGTCCTGCAAATTTTGGGAGTACAGCATATCAAGTGTCACTTCTTTGTCCCGGCAGGCTCCGCTGGGGAGTGCGCAGCGGCGGCAGAGCCTCTTCAACATTGCCACGGATGCAAAGGGCAAGGGGCTGGCCGGCTCGGCCGCGGGTGAGAGCCGTGGGTTGGGCGCACAAAGAGCGCTGCCCATGGCCTGTCGCGTGGCCGGCCTCCTGCAGTCCGCTGCCAAGCAGCACCTCACCACCCCGCCATCCACCCTGCCAGGCGAGTACCACAGCTTGTTTGATATTTTGCATACCAAAACCTCCTTTAGCATGTTCAGAGCAAGCCAGTCTTGGAGTTCTTATCTTGACGCCAGCGTGCCAATAGCCCCATGCACACCATTAATTTGGACAGGAATGGGGTGATTGCTCGAACAACCCGGCCTGCTTGGCTCTGTCGTGAATCTACTGAGATCCTGCACTCCCAAGCAACTAGTCCTCCCATGATACACACGTCATAGCAGGTTGCATCTTCCATTGCGCACCTGACTCAATGTCTAGTATTGCATGCACAGGGGGGCTCGTTCCGACAATTGTCCGACGCAAAAAAGAGAAAAAAAAAGAGAAAAAGAGACGCAGAAAATTTGCTGTCTGCAGGCGCGAAGGGCCTGTGCTGCAGAGGGGCGGCGGAGGTGCAGGCCATGCTGGCGGCTGCGCCGCGGTGGGCAGTGCACCAGGCGCTGGCCGAGCGCGAACCGGCCGACTACTGCGCAACGGCCGGCCGGGCCGATGCGGTGCAGCAGCTGGGCGTGCTGCCCTCCATGGAGGACGCCGCCATCGCGTACCGGCTGCTCCTCGAGGTGCGCCACTCCCTTCAGGGTTTCCGATGTCAGGTAGCATATGGCCAGAGTAGCTGTGTCAGATCACTGCAAAGGAGGTCTCTGTTTCCAAAAGGAGGGCTCTTTTAAGTTGCATGCATTGCGTACAATCACGATGCATGTGTTTTTCCTTACATGGTGCTTGCTCTGCTTTGTATGTCATGCATTCGCTTATAGCTTGAGAGGCAGAGTCTGGTCTGTGTCACAGAACAGGTGCACAGTGTGTGTAGACAACCTAGGCACAGTAAAATTGACAGACCTGCTGTGGTGGACGTCAAGGGAAGGAGTTCTCTGTGACGCTTGGCTTCTCTTGAGTAGTTTTCAAAAGAGCAACACTCAGACATGGTGGCTGAAGGGTGTTTGTTGTGTGCGCAGTATGGGGAGGCTGTGGGCGTGGCAGACTGGTTTAGCGGCTTCTGCGCGGTGTTTGAGTGCGGAGCTGGTGGCGACGATGGCAGCGATGCTGAAGAAGAGAAGGGCGCTCCTAAGAGGAAGCGCAGAGGCAGGGCCCCAAAAGCAGACCCCAAACAGGTATGCCAATGATGCTGTGCCTCACGTTCTTGACTGCGCCCAGCTTGTTTACGCCTAAAAAACTGTGCACTTGCAGAGGCCTCTAGTGCAATCTCTGTAGCTGTCTGGAGACATTATTGCGCTGCTTTTGGGTGCAGAGTTGACTCATGTCAATCTCTTGGTGCAGATTTATTTTATGTTCCAATGCCGTTTGCTTGCAGGCGTCTATAACAAAGTTCATGCCGAACCAGCCGAGCGAGGAGGCAGGCCCTGCCAGGAGGGCAGGCCGCAAGCTGACCAGCATTCCAGAGACAGGCACAGCCGCCCAGGAGGGCCCCAAGCGGGGCAGGGGCAGGAAGGCAGCGGGAGCAGCTCCAGGCGCTGGGAATGCAGCGGAGGGCGGCCGCGGGGCCGGCAAAGCTGCGCGCAAGGGAAAGCAAGCAGCGGCAGCTGCGCATGAGGGGGTGTCAGATGATGATTCACCATCTGGACCAACGAAGCAAACGGAAAAAGTTTCCGCTGATGCTGGGGTGAGCCCTTCCTCCTTAAAATTCCTTCCTTCAGTGCACCGCTGTCTTTTTGGGACACCTGTGTACGTCCAACACAAATTCACCTTACAGCCCATATCACTGTCGTACTGGCCTTGCCCGAGGACTCGGTAAGTCCTGTGTGTTTGTATAATTAGTGCACTGGTTAATTCCTGCGAGGCAGCCCTCTATCCCTTCCTTTGCGCTCGCTTTGTTTTCATGTCTGCATTCTTTCTTGGCTTCAAGTGTACACCACATTGGCTGGCTGAAATGGATGCATGAATGCGCAGGGCCTGCAGGTGCCTATTCAGGAGCTGGCGGTGCGCTTCAACTGCGCGATGCAGGACCTGCAGCTGCTGGGGCTCATCAAGGAAGCCGGCCGCCGGCGCAGGGAGAGCTGCGTGCAGCGCCTGGTCTTCCCCATGCGGCGCCCCTGAAGAACTGTGATGACACTACTCCGCTATTGCGAGTTGATTGGGGTTGAGTCAGAAATCAAAGCAGGGAGAGCTGTGTGCAGCGCCCTGCGACGCCCTTCAGGCGCTGTGATTTGCCACTGAGTCGAGGGTGAATGCAATACATGCAAGGCTGTGCGAACGACAAGGAAAGGAGAAAGAGCTGCCTGGCGATTTACGCAATGTGTGCAACATACATGACACCTCCTGACGTGCCATTGCCCTGTTGCGAGTTGAACAGGTTTGGTTCTCATCGTACAGCAGTGTTTGATCTTCTGACATGATCAGTGCTCAGCAGTTGCAAGGCTCAGGCGAGTAGACGGACATAGAGGCCATCGATGATGTCAAGCAGCGGAAAGTTGATAGTTTGATCTGAGGCGAGCATGTCTGATCTGCACCTACTCGACAATGCAGGAAATTGCACAATAAATTGTGCATTGCACTACATGTTGATACAAAGTAATGAAGATGGCCTTGAGGCAATTACTATAATTACTTTTGCTCCAGTGATGTCCTTCACCATTCTCAAGGGCAAAGCTCGAGTTACTGCTTGCACCATGTGTATCTTACAAATGCTGCATATGCAAACTCACAGGATGTCACTGTGCATAAACAGAAGCTGTCTGCCAATCAACTCCTCGCATCATTGAATTTATGGCAGCGGCCCCACATTACTTCCCGATGATGACATGACTTTGATGTGCAAATTAGCAATCTATGCCATCCAGCACTCTCTACAGAGATGCAGTCCAAAATGACCCTCCAGTGATCTACCTATGTTTCAAGGCTACTCATGCATGACGTTTTCACTCGCTCATTGGGGTAGATCACTTGCAAATAACCTGGGACGAACAGGGTGCTGTAAGAAGGGGAGTGGCCCATGCAGTTTCAAAGATCACCCAACCTGTGGGCCAAGGCCAGGCTCTTTATCTCCATGGGCATATCAAGGGGCCTCACATGGAAATGCTCGACACTGCCTTTTCACTGTTTCTTGAGGGGGAAGTCCGGAGCCTCCAGCTGACTGCAGCGCATCAGCACGCCACATGCCAGGCAAGCCCAAGGAACTTTCAACCTGCGCACAGAGAGAGCTGCTGAGTCAGATGACAGGCGACGGCAATGCAGCTTATGACCCATCCGGTGCACATCACACCACAGAAGCAGGATGAGCATGTCTGCACTTGATTGCATGCCGGACATGCATGCCAATGTGCAGGCTGCAGCTCAAAACGGCACTTTCCATGATGTGGAGATCAGAGGAAATTAAAGGACACTGCCCACCATCATTTCTTAGCGCCATGCTGGCCACCGCCCTTCTGGCCGCCACCGCCGCCTTTTCCAGCAGTGGCCTCGTGCTTGTCAGCAGCGGCCTATGCATGCACAGTAGCCAGCTTGCAAGGAGCGTACAATGACGGATAATGATCCGGGAATGGCACAGATGCATCCAAATGTTGCACACTGCACCGTAATGGTCACTAACTACTGCATGCATGCACAGGACAACATGTTGCGTTTGCCTAATATGCACCTCCCAGGCATCCATCAAGGGAGAAACAAACGATCAAGCCTCCTCAGGTATCCCTCCGGGATACTGACGTGGTGTGATTCGCATCCTTGACGGAGAACCGAACACGTATATTCAGACTCCGGAAAATCTAGGCTTGAGGCCAAGGAAAGATCACAACACGAGCATCTTGAAGTCCAGTACAGTCTCGCAAATACAGCATCAGTGCACAGAGGTGCTTCTGTGTCTGCGGATACCTCACCTGTGCCCTCGCTGGAAAGCTGCCCTTCTCGACGCCTCCGCCTCCGGCCTTGGCGGCACCTCCTTGTATGCGTGCAGCATCCTCCTTCGACATCTCGTGCTTGTCTGCCATCTTGATCGATGGTCTCGATTGCTTGTCAGTAGGGAAGTTCTCAATCAAATTTCGTCAAAGTTCCATTTCTCGCGACATCCAGATGCTTTGCAGATCTGCAGATCTGCATGGGACAATTTGATAAACGGAAGGCCTGCTCACTGCCTGATTGATGTTTAGGAACCTTCCATTGTGGATCCTGGATGTCAGTCGATAGCAAGTTCAGGCAGCAAGGCAGTTGTCAAAGAACTAAGCGGAAAGTGACCCTGACCTAAAAAGTCTCCGGCAGGTGCCTCTGCTCCAGCAGTGTGTCCATCAAAATTATCTGCCAGTCTCAAGGAGCAACCGTTGCTCATGTGATGTCACATGTCAGCATGTTAACGCCAGGTGCTTATTGGTGTACCCTGCTGTCTGCTGGCCTCCGCTGTGATATCCCCATTGTCCCCCTATGTGAGGGTTAGGATTGGAAAGCTGGTGCCAGCACCCTTCCACAGAAATTGCAAAGCCTGCTCATCGCCCTGACCAGTCTTGGCTGCATGCTCGTGTCCACAGAAGGCGCTAGATTATAGCGGTAGCGCACGCTGAGCATACACTCCTGAGTATTTGAATTGCATTGGTGCTAGACTACAGCAGGATTCAGTGAGTGTGTTACATGTCTGAGAAATGAACATGCGGGCCTCGGGCTGAAGCATGCGCACGCGCATGCTTACAACGGCTTTTGCCAGAACGGCGATCTGCAGCAGCGGGAGAGGTTTAGACCTGGATCAGGATAATCCCATGAACTAAGTGTCCTGGATGTATACACTGTCAATTTGCCAGACCAGACTGCCAGTGCAGCCGCTGTCCATGCGGCATGTCCACTGATGGCAACTGGCTTTGCCAGTGGCCGGTACTTACAGCATGTACAATGCAAAGGCCAGCTCCTGAACAGCAGTCTAATGCAAGGCCAGCTGTCTCAAGGTGCTTCCAGAGGGTATGGAATGTCTTTGATATCAATCTGCTTTCCATGGAAACACTCATGCTGATTGAGAAGACTGTTGGAGTCTAATTTGGACCCAAGCCAGATGTCCACTCTACATCGACTGGACTGAACGGAAGGCAGCAGAAACCAAGTTCATCATAAGATGCCTCGAAACATAACGTGAGCAGCATCGTCGATTTTAGGACAACGAAGGTGGCGATCAGCTCAGGGGCTTGGCCCCATCATGTTCACGCTCAAGAAGGAGAACCCCTTCGCCAGCCCCGAGCCCTTTCATGACGAGATACGTTTGCACGATGACGCTGAAAGAGGCTTTGCGACTTCTTCCACTTCCCAAGACGTGCCCTCTGCATTGGGTATAGGTGGCAACGCATGGGGAGGCTCAGGTGTCGCTCTTGCCTCTGCTTTGTACAGGTGTTGGCTGGATAAAGCCTGGACTGAGAGCTTTCCTAGGAGTGGCAATGAGAAGGCAGTACAGCGCTACTGAGGGATTCAGTCCCATCGTCTTCATCTTCGCGGAAGGAAGCTGTCCTTGAAGGCTACGGGATACAGTTTTTAATGTTCAGCAGGACTTTAGAAGCTCGAACACAGAAGAGCCTTCGTTCCTTTGCAAGGCTTTCCTTGGAAACGGAAAAGGCTTTACAGGGTGCAGTGGAAGTTTCCAGATGATCTTCTAGAGATGAAGAAGGACAACTTGTGATCTGCTTGAAAGTTTGTTCCTGATATACTTGTTGAAAATCAGCTCCAACCCCCACAAGTTTCTGTATCAAAGATGCATGCCATCAGAAGCTTGTCATGGGTGTGTAGGCGGGGGAGCTGGCAGCAGCAGCCGCAGCAATGGGACAACAACCGCCAATGGAACAGATCCTGCGAGCTGGGAGGCGCGTCTGAATGCCAGGGACGAGGCTCTCAAGAAGAGGGAGCAGGTTGTGGCTGAGGCGGAAGGGCGCATCGGGGTGAGGAGAGCTGTATAAATATCCATAATAGCAGCATATTCTGGTGGTTATCACTTAGCAAGCCAGGAACATAATTTCTGCCGCACATGCTTCTCAGTACTGCACAGGCTGTGCACACAATGTCACCAAGCTTTGACAAGCTCAAGCGCAGATGTGACACATCTGTTGGTGCCCCTTGCCTGCCATGTGGCGCACAAATTGCTTTGTGTCCCACATCAACAGCAGCAGAGCTCATGTCTCGCTCTCTGCCTGCAGCGCAAGAACTGGCCGCGGTGCCGCCCGATGCTGCGGCACAGCATTGCAGAGGATGTTCCGGACGGACGGCGCGGCCTGGTCTGGCGCGGCTACTGGGCCTGGCTATTCATGGCTTCCGGCTTCTGCGTGGACTGGATCACCATCACCATGATGTGCGCATGCCACCCACGCACATCTCGTGTCAACATGCATGCTCACATGATGCAACCCAGCCTTATCAAAGCTGAGATGCTATATGTTTCTTGCCTGCATGTGATCATTGACGGCATGCACCTGTTGCCTGCTCTCTGAATGATTAAATATTCTGTCTGCGCTCTCACAAATGCGCATTAAGGCCAGAGACATGCATGGTGAGACGGTGTCCATGCATGCAGGTTCATTGCGTGCAAGAAGGGGCTGAGTGACTGGCTGTTCTGCACCCTCATCTCCGGCTTTGGCCTGCCGCTGTCCTTCTTCCTGTGGCACCGCTTCCTCTACACAGCCTCCATCACCGATGGCGCCTGCAGGTCAGCATGCATGTGCACATGCATGCGCCATTCATGCAGCAATTCTCCAGGCCTTTTGGTGTGCGGTATCTGTGCTTCAATAAGGTCCACGCTGATGCTCATTCACCTACGTGGTCTTTGCTGAGAGAAGACTTGCATGAAGCACGGATCTCCAGCATCCTTGCATGTGCAGTACCTGTGCTTCCAGAAGGACAAGGCCTATGCAGATGCTCATCCAATGGCTGGTCCGTGCTTGAGGAAGCCTCACGCAATGCTTACTCGATGGATGGAATCTGTGTAAAGAAGGCTCTTCAGATATGCGATTGCTGGCTGGAATGTGCATGCTGCAAGTGAAAGGCATGCAAACATCTGTGACTGATGTGTGGCTGGTGCAGGTGGGCCATGTTCTTCCTCTTCTCAGCGCTGCAGGTGGGCCTGGCCGGCTGGACATTTGCTGGGCCGCCGGTTGTGGGCAAGTGGGCTGCTGGCGTCTTCACCATGATTGACCAGTTCAAGGCCGGAGGTGGTACGGACCTCACACAAGTGGTTGCATTTGCTCATGTGCTCCGCTCTGCTCTGCTCATCTGAAGTTTTCAAGCTGTAACATGCCTCTTGTTTTAGAGGATGGTTGCAAGCCGATATGTGATGACGGCACCCATTCAAGCAAATCATCGAATTGGGTGCACTTTGTGTAGGTGCAGTATCCCTTTAATTCCATTGACAAGGTATTGACGATTCAATTGTGCTGCTGTCATGGCAGGGCTGCAGATCTTCTTCGGCATCTGCTGCATCATCAACATGGTCCTGTGGGGGCTGGCTGGCCTCCTGGGCTTTGCAGTGTGGGGCGAGGTTAGCCACAGCACTCATCAAGCCCTGTCCGAATGCATCTCACATTTTGTTGCACCCTACTTACCCGAGGAGTTAGGGTCCAGAGCAGTGCAACCTGCAGCATGCTCGTTCCTTCTTTCTCTCTAGGCCTTCCTCTTGACATACATATGCCACATGCACCCTTATTGCCACTGAAAGTGGCACCTGAACGTTGAGATGTGCATGCATGTTTGGCCCCGGCTGGTGGGGGCCAGTATGAATACTGAGCACCGTGCCCGCGCTTGATTGGGGCTTGCTTGAATCTGGCGAGTCCATCAAGGGGTATAATAGGTGGCAACCTTTACCTGCAGCTTGTCTGCAGGCGCACCTGCTTCTGCCAGGAACAACCGGTCATAATAATCACAGCAGCTTACAACAGCAGCTGCCTTACCTCTTCACGCATAATATGTATGCACTGCATCTGTGCAGGCGTATGCGGCATTCAGGAGCAAGCCGCCGACGCGGCCGCAGGCGGCTGAATCATCTCGCAGCTGGGTGCCCAGCGTTCCCTCCATGCCCAGCATGCCAGGCTTTGGCAAGAAGAAGAAGGACACTGCCGCTGCATGTGGCCATGGCCGGCATCAATGACTCACCCCCTCGTGGCTGAGCAAATCAGACATGACTGATATGCAAATGGGCTCTTATCTGCCTCGACAGCAAGGTGTAACATAGCATGCTCGGGACTGCCAGTGATGTGATGGTGTACCAAGGAACAAGGAACAAAGGATCAAGGTCTGGAATGTGTCAGGAGGTGTTCTTCATGTTCTGCTTTGCAGGTGTATGCTAGATTTTGTAGGTGATCACCTCTTACTCATGAGTAAGAGGGTGCACACAGTATCCTGAAGCTACTGTGAAAGGCAAATAACGCTGGCCCCTATATAGTCATTCTTTGGGATCTTGCTTTCTCACTGGAAGGAGCACTGACACATTTAGCGCCTTATTGTGGCCGGAGGATTGGGTCTATTCAATGTAGGCGTTGAAAAGGACTCGTGTATGATAGCAGATTCAAGCGTATGAGCAGCGTCACGAAATCTTAGGTACAGCCTGTTCCAGGTGAGCTTGTCGACAAGAACGCTCCTTGGAGGTGTGAATCTAATATCTACAAGACAGCTTGAAGGTTCTGGACATGTACCAAATCCCAACAGAGTCTCCTAAACTGAGGAGTCTCGGCACTGCATGCATTCACTTTTCCCAACACAAAGCACAGGAACTGTAGCACCGCCCTTCCACACTCACCCCACAAATTTGGCTCAGCTTTACAGCACTTCTTCTTACACTTGCCCTAATTTCACCACAGTCATGCCTAGATCCACAGTGGTTTTCCACCATATCTCTGCATGTCTGCATCGTCAAGATCTACTGCACGGACATGTGGGCCAGCACGGCGCTGAGGCTGTCAGGGGCGGCGGGCACATCGACGGCCAGGGATCTGCACCAGCCCAAGAAGCTGAATTCGTCCGTGGGCGGCTGCTGCAGAATAAGGGCGGCCCGGTCCTTGGTCGACAGCGCTGCCAGGCCCGGCACTTGTGACAACTGCTCCTCCGGCGAGTCGTGCTGCAGCGGCATCAGCCGCGCGCTCACATAGCGCGCATCGCCGGTCCCCTGCCACGCATGAAGTCATTCTCGGTTGGTCTTTTCGGCACCTTCCCGTGTTTTGTTACCTATGAACTTGAGATTTTCCGCATGTCATCTTCTAGGGACTCCTTCTGCAGAGCAGGGCTTCTGGGACACCAAGCCTCGTGCCTCAAGAGATGATGTAGATGAGACAAAGATTTAAAGAAGCTGCCAAAACAGCCGGACAGCACCCATGCATTTTTCAGTGAGTTGCCAGTGACAATGTCAGCCATGTTTGAGGTTCTCTATCCCCCCTCTCAGAAAAATGCACACACACACAGGGAGGCACAGGGAGTGCAGAGGATCTGAGGTTGCAAAAGAGGGGACAGCATGCATTGGGCAGGTCAGGGCAATGCACCTGAGTGACGACTCGGAGGTCTGGGATAGGGAAGCGGCCAGAGGAGAGCCGCACGGCGTGGTCGAGGCAGCTGGCGCGGACGGAGTCGCAATCTCTGAAGGAGGACAGCGCGCTGCCGTGCCACACAAAGATGTGCGAGCCGTGGTCCAGCACCGCAGCTGCACCTGCACAAGCAAATGCGTGAGTCGAGGTATGCAGGAAAACGGTTTTCCCTGCTTCCCTGAATTTCAGTAAGCAAAGTGTCAGCACGGGTGGATGAGATGCGCTTGAGACATCCTGCAACCACAATGTCTTTTTGTGACGGGTGGCATGTGAATAAAGGCCCCAGCGGCACGGATTCAACACAGGACAAAATTCACAGAAACAAATTCCCGAGCATTGTCTTAAAATTTGGCACTTCAGCCCGACACAGCCTGCGCAACCATGTAGGAGCATCGTGCAGCGTTGTGAAGGATATGTGAGGCTGCATGGAGGGTATGCAAGATGGGGGATCACCTGGGGAGAGAGCCAGGTTGGCGGCCGGGGTGACGTCAAAGTGGCCGGTCTCACGGTTGTGGATGTGCAGCACGGGCAGCAGCAGGCTCTGGGACAGGTCCAGCGGAGAGCCCAGCAGCACTGAGTGCAGCAGCGCCTTCTCGTCTGCGTGGCCCATCACAGTGCCCAGCACCGGCCCCCTCTGCAGCTGGTACAGCACCTGGGCAGATGCACATACTTCACTTTATTTGAAGAAACATTGGCTGAAGAAGATGGTTTTCAACATGTCTGGAAGCCTGGCAACTGCATGGACATCAAAGAACTACAATCTGATAGATCCTTGGAACTTGTCTGCACAGCTTGGAGGGTAGGAACTACAATGTGAGGCAAGGCCACTCGTTCTACAGGAGGGATGAAACTTTGAGAATGCAGGATCTGTAAAGACACTGGCAGACACATAAGAATGCGGGTACTGTATGACACGGCCCAGCAAGAAAACTGAAAGGCACCTCGGCGAACAGGCGCAGCTGGTGCGGCAGCTTCCACAGCTTCCTCCGCCTGCTGAACCAGCCCGGCTGCTCGGGTGTCTCCCAGGTGGCCTCCCCAAAGCACGCCGCCACATGCTGCAGATGCTTCCCTGCATCGCACAATCAAACTTTGCCATGATATGCCCTGGTACCCAGTCCGTTATTTGGAATCCTGATTCGCACAAAATGCCAGCCTTCCCAGCGCTCAAACATAGTGAATCCATAGATTCACCACACCCCACTCGGCACCTACACACCCAGGTAAAGCTTTGCTGCGCGCCGCTGACTGGTGCAGTGTTTCAGCCCCAACAAGGCAATGACTCACCGATGGAGGCCCGGATGGGCGCCAGCTCGCCGTGGGCGGCCGCCTCGCTGCGAACGGCGTCCTGCACCACTCCCTTAGCCAGCAGCACAGCCGCCAGAGGCACGTCCACGTGGCGCACGTACGCGCTCAGCACAGTCGTGGTCTGCAGCTTGCGCGTCACCACCCGCCGCAATGTGCGCCCCGCGCTGTCTTGCCAACTCAGCACCACCTGCGCGTATACAACTGTTTCAGCACAGCTCAGTGATATCTGTTACCTGCCCTGGGTACATGAAGAGATTCCGGTGCAGTGTCCACGGGTCCCGCCATTCCCTCACAGCATGTCTGCCGGGCGTTGCTGTCTTTTGACAAGGCTTGATGCATGCACAAGGCATCCGTGAGCAGTAGGAGCTGAACCCAAAATCTCACCCAAGCTCTGATTTTGCAATGGCCTCAAGCTCGTTGTTGTCTTTCCACTGTCCCTCTGCACAGATCTGGCATAGGAGGACTGGAACAAGAGGGCACCCACCTGCACGTAAGCTTTAGCCTCCAGCGGCTTCACAACGTCCAGGTGGAAAGACACTGCTGTGCCCCGCTCAACAGCCCGCAGCGCCACAGCCGCGCAGCCGCCGCCCCGCTTTGCGCGCTTTGCTGCAGCGCCGTTACGGGTCCAGCCTGCAGGGAGGTCCGTTACGGGCCCAATGATGCGCGTCACCGCCAGCCCCGGCGATGCATAGACTTCCAGTGTCCCCCGCCTGCCAACCTGGCGCTGAAGGGACGCAGCCAGATTTGCGCCTGATATTCCGCTGTACCCTGCAGTTGCACCCACACTACTGACAGTAGCAAGAGCTTCTTCATAGGCGTTTGTCAAGCTTGTTGAAAAATGACACACAATGCCGAATTACGAGGGTACTGTCCTTGAGTGGCGTTTGTCATTTCTCAAGTCATATATGTGTTCTACTCCTGATGAAAAGGGTCGAAATGTCCGCACAAGCGCCCAGAGCTCACAAGCCAAGGTCAGCACTTCTGCAAAGCACATCAGCTCCCTTAAGCCTGACTCTGGAACCTAGAGACCGCTCACCGGCATGCAGGGTCAGGCTGCCGCCGCTGGCGCGCGCGACAGTGCTGAGCAGGGGCACATTCACGGCCGACATGCCGGTTCCGAGGATGTCCACTGCGGCGCCCAGATCTGCAGCTGCCTGCGCCAACCGCTGGAAGGCCTTGGCGCCCTCGCGCAGAGAGTGCGCGTCCGCCGCCCGGTCATCCCTGTCCAAGGAGCGCACCGGCACACGCCCTGGCCCCTGCAGCCGCCAGTGCACCCTCTGTGTATCTATGAAGAGACAATGCAGCTCAAACTGTGCCAAGGGACACCAATAAGGTCACTGCTCCTTCGTGCAACTGAGTTTTGATGACCATTGCCTGCCAAGAAAGAATTCTCCACATCCCCATCCCAGTCTCGATATTGCCCGCGATTGGTGATATGAAGAGGTTGTCTTGCAGACAACAACCAGAACAGCTGGGTATCAATAAATCTGAGTGCGAGTAACAAAACATAAATTATTGGTCACATTGATAATGTTACCATACATTACTAGTTCTGGTCATGATTAAGAGAAACATCTGATGCCATGCCTTGGTGGTGGGCCCCGAAGTGACTATGAGCATGCGACCGTCCATGGGAGTGGCTGCGCGGGACATGCCGGTCTGCGCATGCGGGGCGGCGGCGGCCGCTGCGGCGTCGGCCCGGGAAGCCTGTGCGAGCGAAAGGATGTGCAGGCCCGCTTCGATTGCCGCCCCAGTGCACCGAGGCCGCTCCCTGTGCCGGCCCTGCTGTGTTGGCCTGCACCCCATCAGATTACAGGGTCTCAACAGCGCGGCAAACATACAACTGCTATGAATGACATCCTGATTGGGTAGCCATAGATGTTCTCATAGCTGATCAATGGTTTGCTCAATCAGAACCTGTTCTTCCTTCGCACAAAACTTGGCAGTGGGAGTGGACTGACATTTGGAAAGTCCCCAAGCCCAGCCAATCTCATTGCAAGCTTGGGAGAGGCCCAATGAGCTGCCCAAAGAAGAACAGGATAGGATTGTTGGACACAGCTTGTAGATCAGCACTTTTTACAAAGGCAGCAATACCACCGACCTGAGGGACTTGATGGCGGCCAGGGCAGCAGGCCGGCACTCGCCGAGCGGCGCGAGGCACGCCGACAGGCTGCCCTTGACAGCTCGCAGCACAGCCTCGTCCATGTCTCCGTCGCCCGGCAGCACATGCGCGGCCACCGCATTGGATCGGCTGAGATCAAAGACCGCCACCGCTGCGCTAAAGGCCAGCAGGGATACTCGTGTGGCGTCCGGCAGGCTAGTGATCACCTGGGGCAGGAAGGTTTGCATGGCTCAGCCATCGCACTCTTACAGCCAAGAAGATGGCTACCCGTCTTGTTTGTAATGTTGAATATCATTTGCACACTCTTTGAGGGCAAGGACGCCCCCAATTGGGTGACGGGAGGATCAAGGCATTTTCACACCATCCTTGCAGGTTGCAGGGACAAGAAAGTTCCGTATCTAGACAAGAATTAAGGATGAGCATGCATAGCTGGATGACATGAATTGCTGCAGGGTAGTACCTCTGTAAGGGCTGCTTTAAGGTGCTCAAGATGTTCTGCGTCGGGTGTCTCGTCCACTGCTAAAATGACCAGCTGGGCAGGGGGGGCCTCCAAGCTGTCGCTATCACTGCCCTCTAGATAGTCCACTGCCTCTCCTGCCAACTCCGGGCAGCTCTGCAAGTTTCACACAAAGCACTGCTCAACAAAAGCTGCATTCGGTAATGCCTGTTTTTCTGTAGCATTGAGCCATGACGGTATTTTCTGGGACGCCATCCTGCCCATGGTCAGCAGTAGCCAAGAGTGCACTGTCTGGAGACTGCCGAATCAGTAAAGTTGGTAGTAATTCAGAGATTGGCCTCGAGGTGTTTGAGCATATGATTGCTGAGAAGAGGATAGGCCGCACATGCGAGTCCAGCAAGGATAGGGAGCTTGCATCGCTGCTGGACTGGCCGCAGAAGTAACACTGCCACATCCCGCTCCTCTGGTCAATCTGCAGCACATGTCCAAGCTTATCAGCTGCATGCAAAGGTCATCTGGTTGTAGCACTGTGTCTAAGATCGCAAAGCAAAGAGCTCTTGATCTCTTGGACAGGGGCCACTATTACAATGTCTCCCGTCAAGCCTGCATTGGTACCGCAGGGCACTAATGGAGCAAGTGTTCCATACCTCACTGTAAAGGTTGATGAATGCATTGCAGCTGCTGCAGCAGACTCCAGCGTGCTGAGCTGCCGGTGGACAGTTTTTTCCAGATGGCACTGGGGTCACAATGGCTCCCAGAGGGACCCCCAGGCGGCTGGTGGAGTGGCGCTCATTGAACACCTTTTGGCACAGATTGGTCTTAAATTACCTCTGGCCTCAATCCTTGGCGAGTGTCATCACTACGTATCATACACATTCCAGAACCATCGTTGCACTGGAAATTTTTTCCTGCACAACTCGACTTCAGACATGCAACAAGTCGAGGGAATGATGGACCCACCGTGGTCGAGCTCATGGTAACGATGCTGCTGCTCACTCTGTGGTCTCCTTTACGACTGTCCGAAGTAGAGGCTCTCGTGTGCCGCTGCTTTGTCACTGGTGCTAGCAATGGTTTAGATCGGGCAGTGTGTGAAGGTTGTATGCCAGGTGCGTTGGTCAGCGCAAAGGCAGGACCCGATTCTGTCTGTGATTCAGACAAGGTATTTAAAGGTGCTTCCAGATCCACGGGAGGATCTGCGATCTGGCTTTCCCTGTTGATCTTGGTGTTGTTCATGCCCCGAGTTGCCAAGAGCATTTCTTCTGCTTCGGACATCATCCTGAGCTAATCTGGACCAGATTGATGCATAAAAGCTCCAAATAGATGTCTTAATTTACATGTAAATCAGAATCGTGACTCAGTCAAAGAGGAAGTCTCAGTGTCGATGGTATCCAGTCCTAGTCGCAACTGCTGAATGAGACAAGGGACGCAATTCTCTTAACGGGTTGGTCTCACAACGTACCGCTTCTACTGCTCCCCAAAATATTTACCTTCCACTTGAAACTAGATACAGGATTCTTGCATGGCAGTCAAACCTTGGAATTCACAGAGGGTTTGGTACAGGGTTTTCAGTCCTCGCCCAAACTTCTTTTCGATCCTCGACATATTATTGTGTTGGTGTATTCACATCATAAGAGATAGGTTAAATTGAAGATGTCGTAGTCGCATCCCCAATATTGCTTGCTTGGGCTCAGAGGACATCTCCCGTAAGGAAACGATCCTGACTAGTACAGGGATGTCCGCGTCTCTTGGCGTCCTCTACAAAGGTAAATTTTATATTAAATACTAAAAAAAATCAACGTTGTCTGGTGCGATCGTGTTGCGGATATATCACAAAAGCCCAGTTCATTCCAGAAGGTGTTGATGCTTATTTATCGGCTTGTGCTGTTGCTCTGGGTCAATTATAACCATCGCTGATGCTAATAGATCCTTCGATGCCCTGCAGGCAAGCGCCATGGCGTCAAACTCACGCCCATGCAGCCCTTGTCTGCAGTCTTCGAACATATCAGCAAACTCACAAATGAACAACTGAACCCGTCTGCTTGCAAGATCATCCATAACAGGAAGGAGCTTGACGTCACAACGCCTGTCCGCTTTGCCAACCTCCCAAACGGAGCCACCCTGGAATTGAAGACAGGTACTCATCATACTCTTGTTGAGCCATCAACTCATTCCGCCGCGCCCTCAAGCAATCACTGTTCTCCTGCGCAACCTGCTTCTGACATGTCCCAACTGTATCTGCAGATGATGACAAGATGCTGGGCATACAAGAGCAGAGACCACCTGAGCCCACAGAACACCCAGTGTCCCCTCAGACACACACATCCTCTACACCCCAGGCGCCCCCCGCCCCCAGCACAACAACCACAGCGGCTCCCGAGGCTGCAGGGCCTTCCTCGACGCACCCGGTGCCGATCTCTGAGCACAGATCGCCCACCTCGGAAGCTGCTGGGGGTTCGGACCCTCTCTCCCTGGGCCGACCCATACATGTGTTCAGCCGGGCGGCTGCTGCAGAGCAGGAAGCCAGGCGCGGGTGCGCAGCCTAGACATGCCCCAGAGCTGCGGCTTCTCAGTATCATGCAACTGCTGATGCGAACAATTCTCTCTGCATGCATGTTTCTCCTATGCGGGCGTTTTCAGAGCTCAATCTGTGATGCCTTTGTGATTGCCTGCCCCTCAAAGCACGACCACAGCACGCATGCACCTTGACAATAACTTGCAATGCAAAGACTGTGGCTATTAACGTGCATGCTGTGCCACTTTTCCCGGTGGTAGTTTAATGCCTCTGAGACCTGTACAAAGGACTGCAACCTGCGAGGAACATTTGCAGCAAGTCGAGATCAGCAGAAACCCACCATTTGTGCCACTGGAACTTGTCAGGCAGACATGCAACAACAATGCAAATGACAGGTAAACGTCACATTTCCACATGTGGGCAGGGCCGAAGAAGAGCCGCCAGAAGAGTTCTTCGAGTTCACAGCGGACGACTACCACCGCGTTGCGGCGGGGCACGCGCGCGAGCGGGCGCATGCAGAGTCGGGCTTGCGCACGCAGAAGCTGCGTGAAGAGGAGATGCGCCGGCGCGCGGCCAGCCTCGGCCCTGTCCCCATCCGCGTGCACTTCCCCGACGCCATCATCCTGCAGGCACAGCCCCTCCCCTGATATGATCTCCTGGCGGTATGCTGCAGACCTCGCAGGGAGCAGGGCACTTGAGGCGGTTCAGAGTGTCACAAGCAGCCGCCTCAGCTGCTCTGCTCCTGCTGAGGTCTGCAACAGCTTTCCTGTGGTTGCTGGCAACGCCAGTGCCTTGAGGCCTGCATTCTGTGAATCATGTCTGCTGCCGAAATGCAATTCCAGCTTCTGCAAATGTCAATCTTCTCAATCTCCTGGCGTCCTTTTCATTTTAATCCTCATTTCAACGCTGTCAATTGATGCATTTAAAGTGTCCAAGCTGGGCAGGACTGCTTCTGCGCTGCATGCTGAGAGTGTTCGAATGTCATTTCAGTGCGGAAATTCTGGCTGGCTTGTGTGCAGGCAAGCTTTGGAGCACTGGAGCAGCTTTCTGCCCTGCAAGAGCTCATCCAGAAGTGCCTCCTGCCCAGCATCCGCGGCAGCAAGTGGCACATCTACACCACGCCGCCAAAGCAGGTGATCCTCATGCGGCAGCCGATCACATCTATTTGTCGGGGATGCCGCACCAAAGTCTTTCAGATACTTTGTTCAGCTGTGCTTTTGGCATCCAAGTGCGCTGCCCAAACTTGTGATGCCAAACTTGTGAACAACAGTGGGGACTGCTTCACACAGATCACAGTCACGCAATTTTGTCATATCTCAGGGCAGCTGCAAGACATTATTATTATTATTATTATTATTATTATTATTATTATTATTATTATTATTATTATTATTATTATTATTATTATTATTATTATTATTATTACATGGTCGGCAAACCCAAAACGAGAGGCCAGAAGACATACAGCATCAAATTCACAACATTTGCAACTGCATCCTGAGGCCCTTTGCATGGTCGGTGCACAGGTCATCAAGGATTTGGGAGCGAGCTTCTATGCAGCAGGGTTGGTGCCAGCTGCAAATGTGCACTTCTCAACGCCAGACAGCTCCGGCCATGAGGGGCCGTACCTGCGGCCGGAGGTGATGGCACTGGAGGGAACGCCGCCAGAAGCCCGCGGCCTGGCCCGCAAGCAGCAGCCGCAGCCTGAGCAGTCCCAGGTCTGTTGCAAACTTATTTGAAAAGGCCCAAACTTCATTGCTCCAAAGTTGTTGTCAGCAGCAATGAATGAAATGTGAGCACATTCGAAAAAGTGGGTGTTGTGATTGCTGCTTGCTTCCGGGACATTATTTCCTGGTACACAACTGCAAGATAGCTTTCTGTGGTTTGCATGTTGCAAGCATTGCGTGTAGATGTGAGGTGGCCCTTTCTACTCATCCAGCCTTGATGCGCACATCTCAGTATCTGTGATGTCTGTGTGGTGCAGATGGCAGTCAATGGCAGCCAACCCTTGACCTCTGCAATGTTTCAGCCATTCACAGAATTGTTTTGGGTTGCGCAGGGAGCACGCTCTGCAAGTGCAGCAGCAGGTGCTTCAGCGGCTGGCAGCAGCTCGAATGGTGGGGCAGGACGGGCCAGCAACGCAGATGGCAAGAAGCTGCCCAAGTGGATGAAGATGGGAGGCAAATAAGGCGTGGGAAAGTATCAGTCACCAGGTTGTCAATTATAGCAGATGGACACAAGAAGACCGCTATGTAATCATGAATAGAAGCACATCTTAGCAATAATTCATAGCAATGCGCCTAAGCATGCATTGCAAGTCCCCAGCATTTGCTGCTATTTGTGCCACAACTAGGGCAAACAAGATATCCATGCAGCTAGTCTACTGAGAGAGTAACTGGTGCTCTTGTGAGCTGAAAGCGCCTACATAGATATATAGACACGCTATTTTTGGACTTGCTATTGAAGATGCACCTACATGCAGGGAGATGCCTTTATGGCAGAAAATGGCAATGCTCGGTAGCACATGTAATTGCATGCATCTCTCGTGAAGATGTTTTACAAGTGACTCCATCAGTATCTCAGCTCATCCCCAACGTCATACCGTGACAGCTCAGATATGACTACCCACTTTCTGATTACTTAACTTAAGAAACAGGCACATGCACATTACACATGTACAACAGTGAGACTAATTTGAGAGACCTGGGGTACAAGCTGCACAGCCAGCATGGAGCAGAACGTGTCATGCAGTCAACATCTGCAAAAGCTTCTCAGCCTTTTGCGACCACAGGCTATGCCCCTCTAGCTTTGGCTTGAGAGTCATCAAGTAGCCGCGCAACGCCTCTGCATGTGAGGCTCAGGCCATGGGAACTGCAATGTCTTGCGTGATTCAGGCACAATGTCCTTCACATAGCCAGCAACCCACGACTTGTCGAGCACTGAGAGCGCCAGATTCGATGCAGACCCTGCACATGTGCACGGAGTGCCACTGGCCTCACAAGTGAAAAGCATGAGGCGGGCATGTGCATGAGTGACCCCTGCCTGCAATATATTTTCTTAATTCCACATTAATCCAGACGGAGCAACAGACTGCTCTTCCTAGCAAGGTGTAGCATCTTGATGAGGACATCGTTGCATGACATTTTAATGCTTCCCAGGACAAACCGTGGCATGTGCATCTCTCAGGTCTCAGGGATTCACACATTGATGGCATGAAGCTGCTCAAGTGTCTCTTCATGCTGAATGTTGATGAGTACCTCTAAACCTTCTGTATGTACCCTATCTTTGTAAATTCTCCAGTGGATGGGGAAGTATTTAAGAATCACGCAGCCAACTAAGCCATTTAGCTCAGGAGTGCACACTGTGGCACTAGCATGCCGCATGCGCAGCGGCTCGCACACATGTACCATGCATGTGTTGTGTATTCTTCACTTGGCGACCTTTGGACTCGCAGATGCAGGGCTCATCCTGTCTGCCCATCCTCCCCAACACATTCCATCGAAACAGATGATGCCCCTTATAATGCCCTCTAATTAGATGGAGCAAGTGACTTATATGATCAGCTGCTGCATGCGCATGCAAATTGCATGATGCAAGCATGGTACGTACCGGTAGCACTTGTGCGCATGTGCTTGTTGTGGCACCGCTAGCGCTTAAGGGGGTCAGACGGCTATGAAGACACGGAGTCTTGCCAAGTGAAGATGCAGAACTGGAGTGTTCTGTATTCAGTTCGAATCTGCTGGCACAGGAGTCATCCACAGCTGTTTCGCCTGGAGCGTGGCTGTACACAATGACACTGTCAGAGCAGTTTTGAACTTGCTTGAATTGGAATTGGCATCTCTGGGGGATCTGGACCTGGCAGGCAGAATTGAAATCACAGTGGTCAAATTTTAAATTTGGCGAATGACGTCATGCAACGCTTTTGACCACGCACGCCAAAACAATAAGGAGGCATTCTCTTACCAAGCATTTCCTGGGCACAGAGCTTCTCTGTGGCAATATAAATGTTCGCTCTATACGAAGGCATGCTGCTGCTGAGATATTCTTTCAGTGTAGAGTAGATGATCGGGCAATCTATTCATCAGGTTCCGGCTGCTTCCGTTCAATAACAAGCGCCGCAATGGGCAATTGCAGCTTATTCAATTGCGTTCATGTATGATTTGATCATAAGATATGGAAAAGTTTGAGGTCTAAGTTTTACGTCGTGGCAACGTCTTAGGAGTCACTAGTGGCAACGGATTTCAGATTAAACGTTATACTTCAGGGCAGATCCAAGACAATAGACAATGAGTTTCGCGTTCCTTCTCCTCACAAGCGCTTTACCAGTGGTCAAAGTGTGCCTGCTATCTCTGGTGGGAGTGGCACTAGCACATCTGGTGAGCACCAACCTCAGAAGTACGATTGTCTCGGGTGGTTTTGCTTGTCAGCATGCAAGATGATGCCAAAAGATGCACTTTGATGACCTGACATCGATCTCAACAGACCTGATTTACAGCAAGCTCATCTGACATGGCGATATTTTGGCACTTTTATGCGTCTCACTGCTTGCGCGAAATGCCAGGGATGCTGAGGGATAAGCAATGCATGCAGGGAGTCTTGGATGCCAAGGGTCGCAATTCATTGAGCAAATGCATCTTCTATTGTTTCATCCCCAGCCTCACTTTCACAAAGCTGGCTGCCTCGGTTGACCTGACCAACATGGGTCGCTGGTGGTTCCTGCCAGTCAATGTCTTGCTCAGGTGTGCTCACCAGCACAGCCCATCTAAAACATTATTTACGCCTTGATCAGCTCTTTCACTCCAACACCTGCGCTAGCATGCTGCGTTCAAGCCATTCTGTGTGCTGCAGCATAATTGTTGGCATGGGCATTGGATGGGTCTTTGCGCGCGTGCTCAAGGCCCCCAGGCATCTGCAGCCACATGTCATCTGCTCCATAGCAGCAGGTGTGCAAGCCCATTTCAAGCGGGGATTCGTACCTATCGTACCTGCCATGCTTACGCTTGATCAGCTTCTTACTTGATGCACTCCTATCGACAGGACCTTCTCTGAGAGTGGTGTTTGATGTTCGTGATGCACAGGCAATGTGGGCAATCTGCCGTTGGTGCTGGTGGCGGCACTGTGCGAAGATCCTTCGTCGATGATAGCCAATGCTGTGCCTGCGGGCAAATGCACGGAGCTGGGCATTGCGTATGTGGTGTTCGCCATGTGGGTGGCTGGGCTCTTCCAGTTCTCCGTCGCCTATTTTCTCCTCAAGCCCTCTCCAGAGGTGAGCCAAAAGCCTCTTGGTTTCCATCATTTATGCTCTCATTTTCTCAAGGTTGTTCAAAATCCAGTGTCTTGCCGCATATGCCAACAGCGTTCGTGACATAAAGAATATGGGACTTGCTAGAGGCCCACTTCAGCACCATGGAAAGCAGAAATAATCCTCAGCAGGCAGGACCTGGGTGTACAGCAAAGTTTCCCACCAAGCAACTGCACTGTGTGCGCAGGACACAGCCGACAAGCTGCCGACAGTGCTGCAAGAGCAGCCGGGGCACCTGAGGTTGGGCAGGGCCCTTCATGGAGCAGCCAACTTTGATGTCCTGGAGTTGCAGCCGCTCAGAGACTACCGCGCAGCCGCCTCTGATATCATCAACCCTGAGCGCAGCGTGCAGAGCGCGCATGCAGTGAGCGCCGCCCACCAGGAGCCAGATCAGGCCGAGGAGGCCTCCTGCCGGATACAGCTCCTTCCTGCGCCAGCAGCAGAGCACAATAGTCATATTACTTTGCATCCAAAGGCAGAGCTTCATACAGGGGCGGGTGACAAAGGCAGGGACGGCGCAGGCGGGCGTGAGAATGGCGCTCATCCCGATGACAGCAGTGAGCGAAGGGAGAGACACAGTGAGCAAAGCAGGGTGCAGGAGGCTGCTGTAAGTGAGCAGCAGCCAGGAAGCGAAGCAGAGGAGGCTGCTCCACTTGTGGGGTCAGACTGGGAGGCATCCTGCCAGCAAGAGAGGCAGCGGAGGGGCCTGCATGCCAGCACGAGAGACTCCTCTAGCAGCCTGACAGGGGACCTTGATGTGGCTCCCAGCAAGCCGTGGTCTGTGAGGCCCTGGCCCAACGGCGCCAGTACAGCTGCGGCATACACCGCTGTGCAGCAGGCAGAGGCCGGGTTGGAGAGCAGCCGAGATAGCGGCAGCGAGGTGCATTGGAGGAGTAAATTGGGGCGGGCCTGGGGACAGTTGGCATCCCTGCCCTGGTCACAGGTGCGGCACTACCCTGCCTTCAAGCGCTGGGAGCTGTCTTTCAGAACTGCAAATCTCGGGATGTTTCTGTTGCTTATGCTGTGTAGAAGATCACAGTAGTATAGGCTGCATGCATAAAACCATGCAAGCGTGGTAGTCAGACCATGTGGAAATACAGGCGTGGATTTGATGGCTGCGGTCAAAGAGCAAACCTGTGTGCACTTTGCCATTTTTGACGTGGCACTGCTTGTGTTGTTGTGCAGATGCTGAATATGCCGGTGCTATCGGCGTTCGCGGGGCTGTTTGTTGGGTGCACTCCATTTCTCAAAGGGCTCCTTTTCGGGCCCTCTGCCCCATTCGGCTTTGTCAAGGACTGCCTGGAGGTAAGCCTTCCAGATTTGATCCCTCATCCACCTGTTGCTACATGTCACCTGCCACCTCGCATGTGCCCTGTCAAATTTCCGCTCTAGCACTGAGTTGATCTGGATCATGTCTTCCCAAACAGTGCACATGCACGTGGAGGAGATGGGGGTAAAGGAGTAAAATTTTTGTGGCGCTAGCATTACCGCATCCATATGGAGGGAGCCTTCACATTAAAGAACTTCATTTTGCTGCAAATATACAGACATCACTGTGCGTTGCAACTGCTGTAATGCATTCCTGCTTGGGTAAACTTGCAGGTGCTTGCAGCGCCCATGATCCCCTGCATGATGATGGTGCTGGGCGCTGTGCTGTACAAGGGCCCAGGCAGTGCTTCTCTGGCCCCCCGCCTCATTGTAGGCGTGGCTTTTGTGCGCCTGCTGCTCGTGCCACTCCTTGGTGAGCCCGCTGACCGCCTGTTTGTCATTGCTGCAAAGGTGAACATGTGCTCAGTTACGCACCATGCCTGTGAAGTCTGGTGTGCCCCTTGCTGCTGTGCTTGAAGTGGAGAGTTGTTAAGGCTCCATTTGTTGTCATCCCCTGCTCTCTTCTACTGGTGCATTGCAGCAAAAGCCGGAGCAGTTTTGTCTTGCAAGCGTTCGTGCCCGTTAAAGAGATCTGGGTAGGCAGCACTTTGCCAGCATGCACTTTGGTGCTGCAGTCTCCAAGCATGCGTTGGCTGGGTGCTCCTTATCCACTTGGGATATCAGAATGCTCATAGCAAAGTCTGTGGCTGTGGCACATGTGCAGGCACACTGTTGGTGTTGGGGCTGAGGAGGGCGGGTGTGCTGGTGCCCCCCAATGCACTGTTCACGCTGGTTCTGCTACTGGGCCACAGTACTCCCACAGCCATCAACGTGCAGACGCTGGCTACTCTGCACCAGAATGGCGAGCAGGAAGTGTCCGCGCTGCTGTTCTGGCAGTATGTGGGTGCCATTTTCACGCTGCCCCTGCTACTCACTTTCTTCTTCCATGTCCTGTGAGCGCCCATTGGGCCAAGGGACAGCGCACTGGAAAGCCAGTGTCCTGGGTGCAGACATACATTTGATCTGCGTCTAGCTACTCAATAAGTCGTCTGCAGAGAACATCCCAGCCGGGGGAAACGCCCCATGAATGCAGATATCTATCATTATTCGAGGGTCACCCGGTGTCCTTAGCTTGTGGGCAAATTCTGTATCGATTCTCTCATGGGGATTCTTGTGAGCGAGTCGTGCTCAACTCCAAGTAGACCGATGAGCAACGCATGCAACACCGGCACCGGCGCCTGCCATGCATGCTAAAGCAGGCACGGCAGGCACTGCGCTGAGTCATTTCATTATTGTTAGAAAATAAGAATGCGGACATCAAAGCAGAACGATCATAACCGAGCATATCTTTAAAGCAAGCTGTAGGCAAAGGTGCGACTGCAGACAAGTCTGCAGGTAGAGCGCCAAGTAACATATAATATACAATGAAATTGTAGATAAGATTTCTGTAAAGGGGGACTTTCCGAGTGGTTCAGAGCTTCGTGCAAGCTGTTAGCCGTTTGGGAAAATCATCATCACAGTGAGTTGAGAGGAAAAGATATTGCTGAGAACACCAGATTGTCCGGTTTGAGGTGTGTAAAAGTTGGCTTCAATTGGCGATGTGGCCACGCTGTCCCCAAATCTTTCTGTTCAACATAATTGGGACTGTCATCAGAAGCCAGCATGGCAGCATGAATAATGGAGTATTGGGGGGCCCCCACGTTGACGCATGGAACGTGATGTTCTGGCGGTCCCCCACCTGGCTTCCTCACTCGCCACCTGGCGACAATTACGGGTGGCCCGGTGCGACCTAGCGCCCAGGCGAGAAGCTATGCCAAACTGTCGGCCAAGCATTCTGCAGTCTCTGTACAATTGGTGTAGAGGAGCTTTTTGTTTCAGGTGAGATATCTCTTGCGATCCAGCATGCGCAATTGCAATGATGCTGCGTCGGGAATTAGGGAATGGGCCGTCGTGATAAGCACTCATGTCAGCGCTTTTCTGAGCGCGACTTCGTCTGATTTCATTCGTTTCAGGCCAACGATGGTATAATCTGAGCGATTATGTTTTCCCCATTTGCTGCACCGCATCGGTGTTTGCCGGAGGCAACGTGTGCCTAGGTTAGGGATAGCTGCCTCAGTGATTGGCACGTTGCTGCGTTCCTCGCAAACAACTGAAGCTTTTCGCAGATCGTTCTTTTTACAGAACCTGCATTACAAGTGGCACGACATGGCTCTACTGAATCGCCTCAGCGAGGGCCGTGCCGTCTCCCTATCTGACGGAGCCCTCTGATCAGACTGCGATAGCGTTAAGTTCGTCCAGCTGTCCTTGTATGCTTGTAAATTTGAAGCATGTAGCGTGCTCCTCTGTACTTATGGGTTCATCGGGTTTCCATTGCTGCATGGCAGCTACATTGGCGCTTTGATATTTGTTTTCACGGCCTCCATCGCTCGGGCGGTGTACTAGACGGTTCCCGGGTGGGCCTGTATAGATTAGCCTGAGCAAACCGATCATTATAGTGTGCCCAATACCTCCAAACTCGTGTGTGTGTGCGCTACAACACTTGAAATCCAGGCATGGCATAGCATGGGTGCCAGCTCCATCAGATTTGAGTGAGAAGCTGCTATAAATCTGACAGCAGCCTTTTGCTATGACGTGCAGGAGATTCACATCTGTACAAGTTGGCACTATGAACTCCATGAAGATCATCGTTGCTGCTGCATTGGCCTGCGTGCTCCTCGCAGCTGTCTCACCTGCAGGTCTGTTCCCACTGCCACGAAGCACTGTCATGAATGCTCTGACTGCAAGGACGCCTTGTTCTGTTCATGGGAGCGGGAGCAAAAAACAAGCATGCTCTTCACTAAGTGTCTTAGGAGCTAAGGTGAGATGAGCTCAGTCATGACAGGGCAGTGCTCGGTATTCGGCACAAGGTGTGACTGATGCGTCCCTTTTTGTGTGCTGCAGATGCGCAGTGCGCGAGCAACGGCATCAGGCTGAACTCGGCCTGTGGCCAATTCACCAGCGCCATCAAGGCAAACGCTGCTACGATCCTGAGCACCTCGTGCACAGAGCTCCAGACCAGGTTGCAGGACCCTCAGTACGGCACACCCACTGAGGAGTGCGTCCCCTCTCTTTCTTGCTTGCGCGCTGTTTTTGCATGCAGGACCTTTGTGTGAGTCTGCTCTGTATCTCCATGATAATTTGATCCAGAAGTTTTCTTGTCTCTCTGTCTTCTTGCCCAAGTGATCACATCTAAAGATGCCGCTTTGCTGTGTGGCTGTCTGAAGATCGCTGTTTGGCTATCTGAAGAACTGCAAGAAGGAAAATGAGTTGAGGTGTCACCCTGTGGTGCAGGTGCTGCAACTACGCTCGCTCCTTCTTTGGCGGCAACTGTGCGTGCGATGCCAGCACCCAGAACCAGGCCAGGCTCTTCTACGGCTACTCCACCGACCAGCTCAATGCCGGTGAGTCACCACTTGTCGCTCCTCCTCACAGATCTCATCATCGCTCTCACATGTTCATGCATCATAGACCCATGCATGTCAGAGCTTGAAAGAGGAATATATGTATTTCTTGCTTCTTATTACTGCCTTTGGCTGTCTTGTCAAGGACATGCATAATCGCTCTGCCTCCGGTTGTGGTGTGCTGTCATGCCTGAACAGCTGCTGGTCTTGGAGCCTGTCATAACTAGCCTGGAGCTAAATTGTATGTGTGTTGTGATGCTTGCAGCTGCCACTGCTGCCGCCATCCGCTGCGGAGCTGGCGGCTGCGGAAGCAAGTGCTGATCTCCTCGTTGAGCGTCCAAAGCTTCAATATCTTTGAACCCAGAAGCACATGCTATGTGCTGGAATAGTACTCCCTCGGATAGCTGCTGTGTGTAAAGAGGGACCAAGAACAAAGTTGAGCACCCACGTATTCAATTCAGAGCTTGCAGCCAAACTGCTGTAATGGCAGTAATGGCTTTGCTATTGCAACGACCTTGACTGCCATCATGAAGGAAGTATGCCTGTCGCATTTGGGGCTTTGTTTGCGACAGTGCTTGCTGATCAGCGCTGCGTTTGATCCAAAAGATTCCTCCTCATTGATCATGCAGTTAATAAAAATATGTGTAGCTAACTGGCCTGAAGCCACCGGAGGATGTAAAGCGATTGGGCTTTTGTCACTCAATGCCTGGCTGATATTTGGACTACTAGCCTTAAAACTGCAAGTCACTGGCATATCACGATCATTTTCTACCAAGTGATGCCATATTGATAAATATCTTGCAAGATACATTCCATGAATGTTGATATTGTTGATTGGAATCGTCTGTTTTTTACACAAATCCTCCCATTGCACCAACAACATAGTAATCTCGAGAGCTCTGAGAAAGTCGGAAATGGTCCTCATAGTCTGCCACAGGGACAATTGCTTCAAATTACCAAATGTCTCGCAAAGCTACGATTACCCTCAACAACTTACATCATTGAAATGGCTGGCAAGTGGAGGCAACAAATGAGATGTAAAACATCAGGGGGACTGCCAGCATTTTCAGTGCTGACTCCTCTCAACCCCTCTGTGGCTGAATAGGTGATATCAAGGCATCAATGGCATGCATTCAGGTATTGAAACACAATTGTAGCGTCAGCCCTACCTAACCTCATGTTGAGGTTCATGTGGGTTTGCAACTCAAAAGAAGGCGGACGTCTGACGTCATCTATACCTGGTGGAAGGCAGCTAAGAAGCAATGCATGGACCCAGCTCAATTGGGCGGACTGTGACAAAAAGAAAGGGTCCTCCAAAACACACGAGGCTGCACAGCTGTGTGATGGTACAGAGGGGGTGCTGTGCAAGATTCTCCCCGATTTGCATTCTCCTCTTACCTATGCACTCACGTCTCTCTTCTCTGCTACCTGATCTACTCAATGGCGTCCGGCCAAGAGCCAAAAGCCGAGCCACAAGACTAGTACAGTCTCTCGTTTGCAGGGGTGCATCTGCTACCGGCCTGCCTCTCGCTACCTCTCTTCTCTCCTACATTGCACTGGTTGCACTGTGCAGTCAGCTAGCTCCTACGGACTGCAACTCATCTCGGGATGCATTGCCACATGGTGGCAAGAAGAGAGACAACTAGGTCTCTCCTTTGCCAGCTCATGTGGCACCTCAGCACTCACAACACCCAACACAGCAGTGACCAACAGCCACCACATCACCCTCACAATACTAGTCCTCCCGCGCTCCATATCTCAGCCATACTCTGTGACTGCCGCGCCTCTCGTCTTGCGTGGTGCTACGGCCCTCTCAAGGAATGAAGGGGCGCTGCGGCTGCTGCTGCACCTTGTTGCTGCATTCAGCAGACCGCACATTGCTCCCCTCAGACGAAAACAACCAACAAGCTCCTTTGCTGAACTTCCTATCTGCCAGCCTCAATCCATATCACGGCACGCCCAGGACTATCCTAGGAACAGCTCCTCAATAGACTTTGCTGCTTGAACAGCCCATTCAACCAGCCAACTACTCGAACAATCTCAGCAGCTGCTCTGCTCGCAGCTGCTTCCAATCGCGGCGCTCGTCTTGAGGCTCACAGCACTCTTCTTGGTGGTGTATTAAGGTCTGACACGAAGTTAGTCATTATGCCATCCTCAACGGTCGCATGCTGACAAGGCTGCAACTTTCGGCATGGCCGCTGGAATGGCAGTGGCTGAGCCAACGGCTGCAGTGGTTTCTGAAGATGCAAAGACTTTGGTGACCATCGCGCGGCCCTCCTCTAAGCCAGCCTGCAGCAGCGTCACGTCTGTGCAGAGAGGGCTGATCGCCCTGCGCGCAAGAAAGTATCTCCATCAGCACACCAAGCTGGGAATGCATGGTGTTATCACAATGCACATTGTAGCGATTAGCCTTCTGGCATGAGGCAGGCAGATAATGTGGCCCTGATACAGCTGAGGCCCAACATGCAATTCATGAGAAGCACCGCTTGGCTGTGCTGGGGTCTTCTCTTACAGGGCATGCTCTGGTATGATGATGCATACTGAAGTATACATATCGGGCTTATACAACAATGGGCTGCAGACTTTTGTAGGCCCCGCAGACGTGGCTGCAGACGCCCTGCTTGTGTGCCCTACGGTCTTTAGTATTTCTTGTGCCGGCCTGTAATTATCAATACGATTGGGGGCAGGGGTGACGAGGGGGGCAGAAGCAGGTGTAAGGAGGGAGGGAGGACTCACATGGCGGCTGCGCCAGGGAACACCGGGTAGACGTGCGCGCCAGCAAAGTGCGGGAGGCAGTGGGAGTCACGGTCGAGGCCGCGCATGAGCATCTCGTCGGTGGTCATGCCGAACAGCATGTTGTTCTCCACCTCGCGCATCCACGCCGCGCGCATGTACTCCGGGTTCATCACAAACTTCTTTACCGCGTCCGACACCAGGCTGTCTATTATCTTTGCCACCCGCCCGCCCCTGCAGCCGAGCACAGGCTTTTCTTCAGTGCTCCGAAAGTAGCTTAAAGTGGAAGCTAGGGTAAAGCCTGGGAAAAGAACACCTTGCACTGTTGTTAAAAAATTCCTTTACTTAGGGCACGATGATGCCTCAATCTCTGGCATCAAGGAGGTGGGCTGTTGAGCCTTGGAACACTTAATATTGGACGATAAAAGCAATGCGGGGCAGCATAGATGCGGGCAGCACGACTCTAGGTATTGCCAGTCGATGGTTGCAACTCATTTAGTTGCTTGAATACCCGCCAAAAGGGCGGCAGGGGGATGGTACACAGGAGGAAGCGCGGCGCACTCGAAGGGGGGCCGCGAGCAGAGGGTGATGAGGTGCGTGCAGCCGTCGGCGATGGCGGCGCGGAAGGGCACCGGCTCGAAGACGGCCGCGTCCACCAAGCGGCGGCCGCGGTGCTGGATCGGCCGTCCCGCCACCTCCGGCACGTTGGCGCTCGCGCGCAGACACGTCTCCAGGTCCTGCAAATAATGCACATGAATACATGAGCAATTGTTTCCCGCTGTACAAGCAATTATTGACATGACCCAAACGTTGGTCCCAGGAGATCACTGATTGCATTGCAGGCGCATGTTGTCGACTCTCCTGCCTTGTGTCCTTTGGGAAGGAGTACTGTATGATGGCGTGGGATCTCTCATTCCCAAGTCATGGGACGACCAGATAAAACTGTCAATTTTCTTAGCCAACGGGTGACAGGTTGCGCACCTCTGCGCTGGTGAAGTCTTCGAGGATGACGGGCTGCAGGGTGTCCAAGCAGGAGGCGACCACTTTCAGGGGCACGTCCGACTTGAGCACTGCCTGCCAGTCCAGCGGCCGCTTGTGGTGCATCACATCCAGCAGATATCCCAGGTCCAGGGCAGGAGCTGCATTAACACACAAGCCGCCTTCAGATAAGGCTAGGGCAAAGCTTCTGCATTGCCCCTTGTCAACCTTCACCTCGCAAACAGGCACTTCTGACAGGGGGAGCCTAAAGGTCACTAGGCATCCTAGACTTATTTAGAGCTGCCAGCAAAGAATTGGGCAGGGGGCATTCAAGGCAGTGTATTCACCTTGGTCCTTCTTGAAGAGGCGCCGCAGGTCGATGAACTGCTGGTTGGCTATCTCCTCTGTGTAGATGGCCACGCCGTCCCGTTGCCCGGACAAGAAGTATGTCGCATTGATGGCTCCCGCGCTACTTCCATACACAGCATCAAAGGCGTTCCTGCACCATGGGAAATGCGGTGTTTAGCTACATACCACTCCCCAAGCATGCATATGTTCAGGCAACACAGAGCCCGCACCATGCAATAATTCGTAATTGGGAACCTGGCTTTTCTCCCAGCTTCTCGAACATAGGACCTGTGCACTCGACAGGTGCTGCTCCAGGCCAGCTGAAGCCCCAGCAGTGACGACAAGGCGTGTCTATGAGCAAGGGAGGTAGCAGTCACAACGCACCGCAAGCCCAGGTCGTGCATGGCCTGGAGGGCAGCGCCAGAGACAACCCCGCGCATGCCGCCGCCTTCCACTACCAAGCCGACCTTGAAGCCGTCCCTGCGCTTCCCAGGAGCGCTCCCATCGCGCATGCGGGCTTGCACCACCTCCACTGCTGGATGGCCCACCTGTGGCAGCACAACCCCTCCCTTCAGTGTCAGATGCATGCATCCACTCGAGGCTGCTATCCTCAAAAGACATGCATGACTAGAAGCAGAAGGAGCATGCAATGTGAGACGTGCTGTGATAAGCAGGTGGAATTTGCTGGGTGGGATCGCACATGCGAGGGCTGTTTCTTTGCGACTGGCTGCTGCTTAGAGCGCCTGATCTGCTTCCCACTGGCGCCTCCCTCCTTAACTATCGCGCCGTCAGGTGCTCGCAATGCGTCCACAGCTATGTCTGCTCCGACCTCTGCGGGTTTTGGGACGGGAGCTCGTCCAAGGAGTAGCTCCAAGGGCTGAAGAGCTGCCCTCTGCAACAGACCAAACAACACATCAAGAAATGTCCCTTCGTAGCCTTGCACCTCAGGCATGCACAGGAAAATGTATTCTTAGCTGAATTCGGATCCTTCATTTCTTTGAATCCCTAAGGCAACGCTGCACTTTAGAAGGAAGTCGAGGGGCCAAGTGAGATCCCGAGCAGCCTTCGTTTGCTTGTCCATTCTTCTAAATGACGCCCTTGGTGACACAAGCAAGGGTTTCTTAGCTGTACCTGTCGTGCAAGATGCGTCAGGATCGCTTTCGCAGGCCTTGTCGTAGTGGCTTCTGGAGCAACCACCAATCTCCGAGGGCACCTCCGTCTGACGCTCGTGCCCAGCACACTCTTGCTGGCGCGCATGCCATTGCCAGACTTAATCTGTTCAAGGGCTTGTTCCAAGCTCCCAAGCGACCTGCGGACGGCCACCACCACCACAAGTGTTGAGTTTGCAGATGACCTGATTACGTCGGGACGTGAGACAGCACATGCACTGCCGGAGGGAACTGCACGTCGAGTGAATGACCACTGCATGCCCGTTCATGCATGACTTGCAGGCTCCCTAGAGGCAATTGGACGTCCGATCTGCAGGGAAACTCGCACAGGCTCTTGAGACTGTTCGGCCGGGCATCCGAGTCAGAACACAGGCAGTTGGACCCTCACCTGGTGCTGGGAGCCTTGCAATTGGCACTGAAGCAGCCATGTGGGCGCATGTCTCCCCTGAAATCTCGCGCCAAGCTCGTTGAAACTTGTATAGTGCTGCCTCAAAAGCGCGCTATTTGGATTACCGGGAAGACCGTCTGGGAGAAAATTCCTGAGGGACTGAGCAGGTTGTCGGACTATTGAAGAAATGCTCGTCCCCAACGTACGTCGCCCGTATGTGCAGGATAGCGGTCTGCAATGCGCATTCTGTGGGACAGCCTAGGTTCCTGAGGCTGCACAGGAGCTTCCTCCCCTGCACTTTTCGCACCAGATTTGGCATGCATGGTCCCCCCGGTGGCCCACCTGCCCAACAGCTGTGCACCATTCCCCACTCTCTATACATTGGTGATCTGAAGGCACAGAGATTGAGATACCCGGAAATATGTCATCTGTGTGTTGTCTGAAGGACTGTTGACGCCTCGCAGAGCGCGTATATACAGTGTATGCTGAGCAGGATCGGGTTCCAATGCTTGCACCTGAGCTATTTTTCATCAGTAATGCAATTGCGATCCGCGTGTAGGAAGAGGTCGATCGCTGTGTCGGGCATGAAATCCACGATACTGATGATTGAAGCTCGATTTCAACCATTTGCTCACCACGCCAAATTCTTCTCAAGCAGATTGCGTGTCTCATTGCTAAATACCTTCAATACAGCATCAGTTCAATGCCGGTGGAGGGTCCAAAGGCCACATTTCGATTCCATATCTGCAGAAGGAGCGGCACGAAGATCAGCACGATCTTATTCGCTCAGATCCAGTGCCTTCACCACTACAGCTGAAGAGGAGGGATCCGAGGTGGATGTGGACATCATAATCGAGGGCCAACCCCTCGGTGGCGATACGTGGGTTCTTTCTGGTCCTGCATGTCCTTGTGCAGCTGGTAAGACACACTTACTGCAACATTCTCGCTGCCTAGCATCTCATGTAGGGCTGCTGTGAGCAGGGCTCGTGCGCATGCCCTTATTGACCAGCTGCGCCAGGATGGAATGCTGGCAACGAGAGAAGCTCTCCGTTTTGAGGCCTACCAAGAAATTGAAGACGCTGGAGAGGTAGGTAAGAATGCCAGCTGCCTCCACAATACCAGCGCACTCTATGGTTCACATGCCCACATGCACCCAGCACAATTGCATTTGAGATGCTTAGAAAGGGCCTCTGCAAACTCTTGAACGTTCAACATAGTTCTCAATGATGCAAAGTGGAGAATCTACCCGGCTTCTTGCATTCAGAGGAGTACGCCACTTGCAGGGCCTGCAGAGCTCTCGGTGGTGCTGTGCAGCGACAAGCACATCACACAGCTGAACTCGGAGTGGCGGAACAAAGCCGAGCCCACAGATGTGCTCTCCTTTGGCATGGACATGGACGCCTCTGACGGGTACCCAGTCCGGCTCCTCGGCGATCTTGTCATCTCCCTCGATACAGCTGAACAACAGGCGCAGGAACGAGGGTAGGCCGCTCTTGTTTCTTCTTCCTGACCTGTACGTGCTGTCGAGCTGACAATGCGACTCTGCGGAGACTCGAGACACGCTGATCTCCTTGCTCTACCATATGTGCTACTTGTGTGAACATGTATCAGCAAGTGATGAAGTGTGGCTGGGTGCTGCCAGGTATGGCTTGTTGGATGAGTGCCGGGTGCTGTTGGTGCACGGACTGCTGCACCTGCTGGGGTATGACCATGAGATCGGCGTGGAAGAGGCAACGGCCATGGCCGCAGCCGAGCGCCACATTCTGGACACTCTTGGCTGGAAGGTACGGCTGTACACAAAGGGAAAAAGCGCCAACCTGGCCACATGTTATATGCCTTGCGATTGTGAAATGACAGAAGAGTTATGTTCTGTATACTGAAGGCAAACCTTTGAAGATCACCTATGTCAATACAATTCCAGGGAGAAGGTTTGATAGCGGCAGCCGAGAGCTCAAGTGCAACGGATGGGATCAGCAGAGAGGAAGCTGATGACGTCATAAGCAGGGGTATAAGCAGGCAAGGCGACAGTGACGTGGAGGCTTCAACATCATACAGCATGGAATCTGGCACCAGTGAAGGCCTGGGTTCCAGAAGGGGCGGGAGGACCCCGGACATCAGGCTTGTCTGTATTGACATGGATGGTGATGCTCCGCCTGGATGCTTCTTGTCATCTTGACTTGTCTCTGTGTCAAGTACTTGCCTGCTTGCATGCTTTTACTTCTGAGTGGCTTACACTCTGGCGGGTGTACAAATCTGAGAGTCAAGCCTGCTTTTATGGACTAATATATACAGTGCGCTGTCTGTGTCCTGACAAGTTTTGAGTTTGATCCCGCTGTGGCTCTTTTCAGGCATTACAATGCATCACTGGGACTTTGTATGGTGCGCAGGAACGCTGCTGGATGCGCGCAGCAAGGTGCTGCCCTCCTCTGTGCAGGCGCTGCGAGCTGCAATTAATGCAGGCGTTAGGATCTGTCTGGCCACCGGCAAAGCGCGGCCCGCAGCCATTGCTGCCATGCAGCCTGTCGGACTCGCGGGTGTGCCCCTAAACTTGCTTTTCTAGAAAGCAGTGCGGCCCTGCCATGCATGCGGTGTTAAAGGTTGAAAACTAGGAATCATGGCGACCGAAGCTTCTAGAGGGCTGTGAGGACAGCTTGGTGGTGCAAGCATGGCACAGCATGCGGTGTTGAGGATTAGGAACCTGCGTGACAATAGCGCGCCAAAATTTCTACTACAGAGCTGCGGGGATGCATAAGGTGTAATGCAGATGAAAATTCGGGCTGTGCAGGTGAAGGCTTGGTAGTGTCGTCCAAGGGTCCAGGCATCTTCCTGCAAGGACTGGCTGTGCATGGGAAGGACGGAGCGCTCTTACCCGGTGAGTTTCCTCACCGTGCTTTTCTGCATGTTGTTCTGGAATATACATCTCTGATGCAAGGCTTTGTCTGGATGCCTCATGGCTTTTTATTATCAGTGCCAACTGTTTGGAATATCTTCTATTGTACCTGCACAGATAGGCAGAATTTGATCAGTGCATGCAATGCGCAGGAGAGGATTTGCCGGGATCTATCGTGCAGTCAGCTTTCCAGTATTCGGTGGAAAGGGGTGTGCCGCTCTGTGCCTTTCTGGGAGACACCTGTGCGACTTTGCGCATGACTGACGAGCTCCAGGTCAGCGCCACCTGGCACAAAACCAACAGATCTCCATTCTGTCTTGTCTTTTATTACTAGTGTTATTTACTGTTGTTATTACTAGTATTTTTATCATCACAGGCCGGCAAACGTGAAGCCAATGGCCATCGGGCATACACGCAGGGCGTTTAGCTGCATCTGTGGGGCCCACAAAAGTCTGCAGCCCAGTATTGTCTCAAGGGAGGCCTGAATTTTGGTACATGGTAGTTGCTCGTTGCGACTCAGCAGCAACCCAAATGCCTCATGAGGTTGAGACAATGCGTTGCAGGACCTTCATCAGACATACTATGAGCCTCTCGCCCGGGTGGCGTCCTCTCTGGATGAGATCCTTGCAGGGCCGCCAGTCAAGAAGCTCCTCTTCATGACTGATCCAAGCATTGTGGACCGGCAGCTGCGACCTCATTGGGAGGTGCGACTTGCACTGCTCCCTTTGCTTACTTCTCCTGGTCAGGTCCCCTGCTGACTGAGAGCACCAGATTCTTCCAGAGAGTCGAATATCTGTCCTGCCATGAAAGTGTTTCACTGAGTACCAACCCCTAAGGAGCGTCAATTGGAATTCGAATGCATGTGCGTCCACATCAGCAGCATCCAGCAATGTCCATCACCGTAACTACCAGATCATCTCTCTGCCATATGCATTCTTGCTGATATAAAAAGCGTCTGCATTCTGGCCCAGATAGCCGCTTCACTGCAGACCCCACCCTGCTGGAGGTGCTCGAGGGGAATTTTTGAAATTCACATTCAAATTTAATTAAACTTCCAAGATCAAGTTCAAAGATCCTAATCATACTGCCCTGCATGCGCCGCCACAGGCAGCGCTGGAGGGCAGAGGGGCAGAGGTGATGCAAGCAGTCCCCACAATGTTGGAGCTTGTGCCCAGGGGAGTCAACAAGTGGGTGGGGCTACAAGCGCTGCTTTTGGACCTGGATCTCCCCAGAGAGGCTGTGATGGCCATTGGGGACGGCGGCAATGACCTTCACATCGTTGCCAATGCCGGCCTTGGTGTTGCCATGGGCAACGCTATGCCCGTGGTGAGTGCTGGCCTTGACTTTCATCATGATGATGTTATCACAGCCAGGCAGTGTGATGTGCGCGGCTGCTTCAAAAAGGAGAGTGCAACACAGACAGCTTTGTGCGTACTCGTTTGGTGAGATGCATGAGGGTACACGGCGGAGGCAGAAGTTGTTGTTTGGCATTTCCAGCATTTCACAGGTTTATTTGTGCAAGTGCACATATCTGGCAGGGCATTGTTTTCAGGCAGGATGTGATGGCTCCAGGTGAAGGAGGCTGCGGCGGTGGTAGTGGCAAACAATGATGAGGATGGCGTAGCAGAGGCAATCGAGCGCTTTGTGTTGTGAGTTTTTGCAGCAGTGACTTAAGGCCACTTACTGTCAGTATGGATGTCTCGATTTGCATGGGCGTGGGTTAACTATGCAGGCACTGAACCTTTGGATCTCCACATGACCTTTGATTACCCCACATTATTGAAATTCATAAATGACAAGTACATTACGAGACAGCAGACTGCTCAAATTGTCTGGCTGGCGATCATACTTCATGTCCGGCACCCTGTAAGCTATTGATGCATGCATGACATGCCCTCCTCTGTCTATGTCGCGACTTTCCGTACCATACATCAAACACCGCTCGAAGCAGCTGCAGCCTGAAATGTCAAACCAACCCTGGCTCTCTCCAATAAAAAAATGAATTTTAAATTTTCAAATGCTGGAACTGGCAAGGCTAGCCAGCGCTGCGTGGCCAGCAGCAAAGCTTGAGCCTTCTAGAAGTCTCAAAAGCGAGCCAGCCGCCAGAATCAATTCACTTCAACTAGTACGGCGCCAATCGGCTTATGTTTTCTATTTTTCAGAGCACCCTTAACCCCTCTACAATACAAAGTGCTTCCCTCTTTCTCTGAAGCCTTGCATGTATGAGCTTAATCTCATCCATAACACCTGATCATCATTGGATGGGAGAGGCACCCCAAGACGCTCCAGGCCAGCTGTCACAGACAGCATGTTGGGCAATCTGCCAGGGGCCGTGCCCTGCCGTTACAGATGAATTTGAATATCTGTCTCGCGCGCTAGACTAAGAGCCCAATGTCAGACTGTGTCTGCGTCAGACTCAGTGAGCCTCAACTACTGGTAATGTGACTAAATCGACACTGCTGTGCCGCGCTCTTCCCCCGAGCTCGAGTGAGTCTGCCAATGGCAGCATGCGACTAGGTCAGTGCTGTCGGACTGAAGCAGATTCAGCATGTGCCAGCAGTCTGCAGAGGCACGCTCTCGAGGGATGGATGGGCGGCGGCTCTATCTGCCGGACTCTGCAGTGACGGCGATGAGCGCTGAGCTAATGCTGGCTCCCTGGGGGTTGATTGCCACGCGGCCAGGGGTCACGGCGATGAGGGTGGGTGAAATGTTCAGTCCCTGCATTGAGCAACACAACAAATTAATGTGATTTAGATCAATTTTACTGGTTAATTTACGGCTTGATGAAGCCTGGGGCAAAATTGAGGGGGATAATGGATGAGCTACTGTTGAGCATGAGGGAAGCCATGCAGTGGTCAAATCACACCTACAGACCAGCAGCTTGTCTTCAGATTGAAATGCCCATGTCCTGACACATTACTTCCATTGGCATGGACAGGCTGCAATTCATGCCCGGAACTTTTTGTGCACACCCGCTGTCACATTTTCAAGGCAAACCTAATTCCTGCTTGGTTGTGGTGGGCTCATCACAGATCAAGTCCATCTTGCGCATGGCTGCACAGTCTAACATGCTATTCTGGTGGCACAGCAATGCCTAGCTTGCACAAACGCCTCAGCCATAGAATCTGCGCATGAGCCGCCCCATTTCTGCTCTAAGCGGGTTTGAAATTACCATGCATTCTATGCATGCATGCGACACAACACGCAGAAGAAATACAGAAAGGAAGAAGGGAGTCTCACCTGCGGCTGGACATTGACGCCGACAGGGAAGATGGTGAGTAGCACTGGCTGGATGACCAGGCCCTGGGGCGCTATCTTGATGCCGTCCGGAGTGATGACTGCCAGAGAGGGGGCAATGTTGATGCCAGTCGCAACAGCGGACACAGCTGCAAGCAATGGAACGTGCTTCAGCTTATAACACACCCCGCCTATAGGAGCGAGTCTGCCAAACGCTCTGAGCAGCAGCACCGATACAGAATTTCAAAGCTCTGCGAGTGGGCCTGTGTTGCGAAAGGTGTGTGAAAGACTAAAGAAGATTCTGTGGGGCAATCTGACTGGCCTGGCCTGTATTTGCGTCCCTGCCTTTCCTATCGGGTGCATCTATACTTGACACTTCAAGCTGGCACTAACCCTGGGTACTACAGAGGATTCAGTCCTGCTCGGGTGCAGGTGATGGTATATCTGCCCATGTCTCCTCTTTCAGAACTCATTTGACTGTGGTGCCCCTTTGCCCGAGCCAGGCTTGACTTTTGCACATACCTGCTATGCATGTTGTAATAGATAACCCCCTAGAGGTCATCTGGACACTAAAGGCCAGAGATTTAAAGAGGATGTGAGTCTGGGGTGCAAAGGGGAATATATCGCACCAGCGGGAGCGAAATTTACAAAGCAGGGGTTGTAGGAGAACACTGATCCGCCGCCGGACACTGCCAGGGGGCTCTCAAGGCCGGCCACAAATTCCTCGTACTGCTTCATGAGGTAGGTGGTGTTTCCAAGCTGGCTGTAGTCCGGCTGGTTCTCAGGCGCGAACGCATCTGAGATCTGCATGCAGCACATCACTCAACTCAACGAGGGCGCAATTGCATGCGAGATCTGCCTGCAACAAAATTCGAGAGGAAATGCAAGTGTTTTTGAGATCTGCATGCAGGGATTGCATCGCTTTCAGCCAAATGAGGGGTGATCAGCTTCCTGACATTTCTGAGTCAGCGCCCAGCATGACATCCAAATTGAGTGGAGCATCTACTCACGATCACCCTCTATCTGCCAGATCACTTCCTTAAGCTAAATCAGGATCTCTAAGTGCATGCTGAGGCTCGCATGCAGCCTCTGAAGAGGACTCTATACAAGGAGGGCAACATGCAGCGAAGGTAATATGCAGCGAATGGAACAATCTCCTTCCAGCCAGGGCACAATGCAGCAGCTGCTGAGAGAATATTAGCACAGAAGTGCAAAATAGGGAGACTGAGAAATAACGCGCACGTTTTTGGGGAGGCCTGCCAGCTCCTCAGGCAGGTTGGTGACGAGGCCTATGGTGCCCTTGATGTACTCTTCAACTTGCATGAAGAAGGCTTGCAGCCCGAGCTCTGCTGATTGGACGATCAGGGACACGTTCAAGCTCTGGAAGCTCTGCAGGTTTGTCCCGTGGTGGACCATGAACACTGTGGACATCATGTCTGCCAGCTGATCCACCTGTGACACCACAGCAGTCAGCAGGACCACATGAAGCCTTCTTATGATGGATGTCAGTCACGGAAACACATGAGCGCCGTAAAGAAATATTACCTTGAGCGTTACGACTAGTAAATGTGTTGAAGAAGCGTCCGACGGACTGGGAGTCAGCAAGTGAAGAAGCTGCTAGCTGTGTAGCCTAAAGATTGAGTGATCAAAGAAGGGAGTTACACTCACCTGTGTGTCATACATGGCCTCCACAGTCGTGGTCTTGTCGTTTTGGATGAAGGAGTGATAGTGGGGCATCTTTCGTGGCCGCATTCTTCGCGGCCTGTGGAGGTGGGGGCCCCGCGCTGCGAATGTGCCTGATACTGCACATGCTACGAGCAAGATGCAGAGATTCCTGCGCGGGGAATGGCAAAGCTTTGAGATTTTCGTTAAATGAAGCATAATACTGATCAAGGTCATCCAGGAGACGAATGCCTGGAGGTGAGAGTGTCCGTAACTAGATCTGCACTGCAAATGTGAAAGACGACAGCCCGCCTACGAGCTCCCCGGGATTGAGGACGATTGCATGATCTCAAATTTTTTCAAACAAATAGACCGTGGTCACTGATACAGGAGCTTGCTGAGAGACTGAGACCAGCATTCGCTTGGTTATTCAGAAGATGTTCACCTGCCGAGACACCTAGAGCAGGGCATTAGCGATCGCCGTGGAACCTGGTTGCTGTGAAGATTTAGAGCCTTGATAGAGCCTTTTAATAAGGAACTTTGAGGTTTTCCTTGAGACGTGGTTTCGATTTCTGAGAGAAAGAGAAAATGCTCCAAGGTTTTGATCGGGGGGCAGTCCGTCATGACTTGCAAGCAATTGATTGGAACACCGTCGAACGTTCGGATCCGAATTTGCATGCAAACATGTTGCCAACTCGTCCGCCATTTGAAGACCACGATCAATTCTCACAAAACCATCCCTGAAGCCTTCCATATGCCACGCACAGTACTGCTGGATGACATTAAAAACGTTGGCAAGCCCACTACCTTAGAAGAAATTTCCTAGCCAGTACTAGGAGCATGCACAGGCTGGGCACACCGTGACGTGACGTCACTGATTTCGAATTCCCTACCGATTTCGAACTTGGAGAATCAGAACTGTAAATCCACCATTGATAGCAGAGCTGCGTGTGAGGAATTCTGCCCATGTGGCTGCTGAAGACCAGAGAAGTGGAACACATAGCACAATTTTGTTGCAACAGTACGAGTTTAACAAATTGTAACGTCTTCCACTTGTGTCACTAGGCACAGTACCACCTCAGTGAGGACATTAAGACACGTGCATGCGTTAGCCGTTAGCCGTTACCGTTGCGGCATGCAAGTGCGCTCAGCCTGTCTGAAATTGGACATAGATCATGATCACAGCGGCCGTCAGGATCACCCCTCTGACTTTCACATTACAGGGCACCCATGCAAGGCCTGGATTCCTGCACGACAAGCTAGTGCCAGCTGTATTACTAGCATGGAACACCAGCTACCTTGCCAGGTCAGCATCAGTCAATTCGGTGACGGAGATGAGTCAGGATTCCGTAATACCAGAAGAAAGACCGGGAACTGTAGACTGTGGCTGCCTAGATGTCAGAGCAGGCCAGGCTACCTGCATCCGTCTCTATAGACCTCCAATTCCTCTTGTAGTCCAAGCTAGTGCACTGGGAGTCAGGAGCTGTCAGAGTTTAGTTTAGAAGTCTTCCTTGGGAGCTGCCTGGTCACATCATCTTTTGGGTGTCTAGTTGAGAGAAGCCCATGACAGTGGCCACGTGAAAGGACGATTGGCAACATGGACCCTGGGCCTTCCGGTTTGGGTGGCAGTTTGCATGATGATCTGCTGCGCGGCTTTCAGGATACGGTGAGAAGAGGGCCTCTCGGGAGCGCATCAGACCTTAGCTTGGGTTCGCGACAGCTCTCAGCAGCCTGATGTGCTGAGTGCCGACCCCAGAGACTATATTGCGTGTCTTGGTGCTTAGTATATCGGTTGAAGAACCCGTAGTGTGTCAGCTTTCTTCTCAGAAGGGTCGTCCGTATATGCATTGGCGATCTTGGTTGTCGGCCGCGATCAGAGGAAGGCCCGTTTGGAGAACGAGCTAGACGATGTGTTGGGAACGCCCTGAAAGGCTTGGGTCCAATCCTACATCCAGCCTTTGTGGGCAGCCGAGGGTAAGGGCAGGGGTCTGTTTCTGGGGCAAGGCAATGCACGTGCGGCGTGATACTTCGACGCTGGGCCTGCTCTGCACTGCTGTCCGATCCGCATTGATTGGATTATGTTGAGGGTTTATATTCAGAGTTGTATCTGTTGAGGAAGAAGGCAACAAAAGTGAGAAGCTTCCAAGCTTTAGCGCATTCTATATCTGATCATCTTGCTACATAAGAAGGGCCTGGCATGGTTGGATTGAGGGGCAATCGTGCCGCTCTTTTGCCTCTGAGATTATTGAAGAAGTATAAAATGGGGGCCAGAGAGAATTCTTTGTAGTAATGTGCTGGTGGCAGGGACCATCACAGATGACCAGGATATTTATTTTCAACTAAACAGGGATGAACTGATTTGCAGGGCATGTACGAGTATGGGGTAGAGTACGGCATAATTCAGGATGGGGAGATCCCCGAGGTCCAATTGCGAGGTGATATTACATGGAGCCCTCTCACTTGCAAGGGATGGGCATCACAGATCAACGCAAGTCTTCAATGTTTTTCATACATCAACCATGATTGTCTAGAATCTCTTTGGCGAGACTTCGTTTTGGATTTGATGTTCAGGGGATGCTGCGAGCTCGGATGCAGCAACTATGAGCGCCCTAAACCCACAGCAGTTTGGTGGGGCGTCTGTCTCCGGCTGCGATCGGGACGCCATAGTGAATGGTGCGCCAATGTCCCTTTCTATAACTCTCCAAACAACATGCTGACATGCCCGATCAACCTGCCTGGTGCTGCTGCTTTGCCTGACAGGCCCCATGGTTGCAGCTCGCAAAGCAGCACCCTGCTCTTTGCCCCATTGCAGTATTGCATGCTACATGTTGCACGCCAGCTTCCTGAAGTCATGAAATGATCCAACAGGGCTGACGCTCTGTAATGTTGGCGTTGATGCAGGGCAGCGCCTGGTTCTGGCAGCGGATGCAGCCATTGCAGATGCTTTGAAAGTGGGAGAGGCGACGCGGCTGCGGATGGCAACCGATGAGCACGGCGCGGCCAACGGCTCGGAGGATGCTGACGACCCCATGCAGGGAACACCGCCAAAGCAGCGCAAGAAGAGGCGAGTTGCACTTGCACTTGCCGATCACCCTGCTCACAGCCCAGATCTCCCTGCCCTGCAGCCTACTGACGAGCAGGGCTGCGATCTGCTCTTACTGGAGCAGATGTTGTTGCCATGGCAGTAATAGACATGCTGTCCCTGCCACAGCTTGAGCGGACCGCCAGGCGAAGCACTGCTGCGAATTGCAACATTTTGGGAACGTGATTCTGAGCAACATCAATGACCTGCCATTACTAGGTGCTCCATGTTCAGCGTCAATGAGGTTCCAAATGTCCCTGCACCTAGGTGTGTACGTCAGGTGTGGATGAAAGCGCTGTTCCCTCCACCACCCAAAAGCAACAATCAAAGTGATCAAACTTTCACAGTGCCATGTGCTGAAGTGATCAAAAGAGGGAGGGAGTGAAGGACCAGTTCAGCTCCTGGGTGAAGGGATGACACACCGATTACTGACTCAGCCGGCTGACTAAGCGATGACTGATGGTCGGCGCAGGTCGGCGGCGCGCGGCATGAGCAGCACGGGCAGCGAGGGCGCGTCGGTGGGCGGCCGGAACAACGGCAAGGGGCTGCGCCACTTCAGCATGAAGGTGTGCGAGAAGGTGGAGAGCAAGGGGCGCACCACCTACAACGAGGTCGCCGACGAACTCGTCCAAGAGTTCTCTGCTCCCAGCCTCCAAGGTCAGCCCGCTCCTCCTGCCCTGCCCACACCTACTGTGTAAGAGGAATCCACAGCAAAAAGTATTCAAACAGGCAGCATAAGTGAGCAGTGACTCAGGCGGCCAGACATGATGGTGTAAGGTGTCTGACCTGAGGAGGTTAATTCACAAGATTCTAGCATGTGACGTAAAGTGGGCAACACATGCCTATCCTTGTCAATGTTTCCTGGGCTTCGTTTCCTAGCCCTTATGCCTGTGCACCATGTGCATATCCTGGTATTTGTTAGTCAAGGCTGACACACTGCAATTCTTTGGTGCTGCAGCGGGGTCGCCGGGAGGGGCGGCGTACGACGAGAAGAACATCCGGCGGCGAGTGTACGATGCGCTCAACGTGCTCATGGCCATGGACATCATCACCAAGGACAAGAAGGAGATCTCCTGGCAGGGCCTTCCCCCCGCACCCGCCTCCACTCTGGAGCGCCTCAAAGAACAGCGTGTCCGCCTGCGCGCCAAGCTCGCTCAGCAGCATGCCTACCTCAAGGTACACCCAGCTGCCTTTCTCATCAAGATCCAGATGCCTCTCATTATTAGGCAGCCAAGAATCTGGGGATTGGGCCGTCCATGTCCAAGGCAACCAGCACAAGCGAGAGGTGGTCGCATGGCACTAAGCCGGGTGTTCAGCAAGGCATGCATGTCGCGGGACGGACCGTTTAAATCTGGCGCACAACCATGTGGTTCATTTTCACAAGTTCGGTTCACCACTTTTGGCCTATCCCAGTGTGCTTGCCCCTGCCATCGTTGCTGACGTTGCGCGGGTGCTTGCAATTCCCCAGGAGACAAGCAAGCAGCACGCGGCGTACCGCAACCTGATCGTGCGCAACCTGGACCGGCCGGCGAGCGCGCTGGCGTCCATTGCCGCGCCCCACGGAGCTGCGCCCACTGCGCTGCCGCTGCCATTCATCCTGATCCAAGTCAACCCCGAGGCCTCCGTGGAGATCCAGATCGCCGACGACAACCGCCAGGCCATGTTCGACTTCGCCGGGTGCGCGCACATCCTCGCGTTTATTCATATGTTGATGTTATGCCGGATACAGAACAGATCTTGTAGATCGGGCATGATGACATGCTGCACATGATGCCTTTTCCTTCGATTTAGTGTCCTTCCCGACTGCGGCCGCGCAAAATCTGCTTATTTGGGACCTCTTCTCTGAAGCGGTTACATCAGCAAGGAGCAGGCACGGCTGTGCATTTTGGTGCTGGCCTTTGCAACCTCTGTCGTGCTGCCGTGTCCTTCTTTGTAAGGGGCGTCTGCAGGTGCTGCCAACAGCTTCCCTTGTGATAATTGCATTGGCGCCAGAATCTCAGATGAGAATCATGCATTGGTAGCTGCAGGACATGCTTCCGCATCATGGGCGACGACGAGGTCCTCTACGAGATGAACATGCACCTGGGCGGCGAAGGCGCGCAACAGCAGCTGACGGCACCGCTGCAGCCGGCGCCGCGCGCGCCGTCACCCGCGGTGGACTCCGCGCTCTCCCCCGCTGCGGCGGCCATTGCAGCGGCGGCCGCAGCGCGGGGGCCGCTCCCCAGGCTCGTGCCGATGGGCATCGCCTCCGCCACCGCGCTGCCACCGCTCGCGGGGGGCGCGCCCCCCAGCAGCATGCCGGGTGCCGGCGCATTGGCGAGCGGCTTGGCCGCTCTGCGCGGGCAGGCGGCCGCGCTGGTGGATCAGCCCCGCCCTACCGCTGCCAACGGGCAGCCATCCCAGGCATGGCCACCTCTCCAACTCCCTCTTAAGTAATTGTACTGCAGCCACCCGCTCTTCATCGCCGCCATATGGTCTGCATCCTGCATCATGTTGTGCAAGGTCTTGGCCGGCGTAAGCGAGTATCATGACGGAGCTCTGGTGTTGCAGGGGGTGGGGCAGCAGCTGCCGCCAGCAACCTGGTCCCGCCCGGAGCAGCAGCTGGTCAGCCCGGACTCTGCCAGGGCCATGGAGGAGGGCACGCCACCAGACAGCGTAAAGAGCGCAGGTGAGCACAACACTGCCATCATTGCAACCCACTGCAGATGAATTTCTCGATGCAAATCACCTGCGACCATATTGTCCAAACTCTTCTGTGTAGAAATAGTTTGGATTCTTCACAAAGCATAGCAGGGAGGATCTGGAGCATATCTCGCCTATCTTCTTATGCACAACGTGCATGGGGCCTCACTGGCGTGCTGCTGCCGTGGTCAACAGGTGGCCAGAATGGGCGCATCCCTCAGACGCCCCAGTCTGGGGGCAGCCTGCCGGGCAGCATCGGGGGAACCATGGACCTGTCTCCGGGGGGGTTGCTGTCTGCCATGACCGGCGTGTCATCCTCACAGGGCTCCCTCATGTCGCCAACCCCAGAGGTGCCCCCCATTGCAAGGCCCCTCCCTGTCCTATATCTTCACTTTGAACCCTTTGCGGCCGGCCTGCCTGCTTGTGCTGCAGACATCTCAGGCGGTACTTTCTTGTACTTTCAATAATACTGTCATGACTTGTGTGCATCTGTTCCGTCATGCGAGCAACAAGCTCTTCCAAAGCAGAAGCAAATCCGAGTTCTGCTCTAGCACAAACTTTTTGAGGAGAGGACCAGAATACTGTGTAAAGTCTGCATGTGCTGAAAGATAAATCATGTGTGGTGCAGATGGTGGGCAATGCTGCACAGGGCTGGCGCTGGGCTGACCCCCAGAACAGTGCTGGAATCTCTCATGCCTCCACCAGCACACCCACTGCCCCCTCCACCCAGGTGATCTGCCAGTCACCTGCTTGATGTGCTTGATGGTTGTGTGGGTTGTGGGGTGTGGAAGCTTGCATGTATGACACCTCTTGAGAGCTCCACAGCTTAACGTTGTCGATGACACTCGTACCTTCCGCCGCACGCGGATATTTAGAAGTGGTGTAGAAGCCTGGTACAGCTTTGCTTGCAAACAGCTTTCATGTGTTGAAGCTGTGCCATGTCAGTGCGCACATAGTGGGTGCTTGCATGTTGTGGAGACTGCCTTGCCTCAAGCCATATTTAGAGTGCAGCTGTACTTTCATGTAGCCCCATCATGTCCTGCGCGCTCAAAGCTCAAAGTAGCCCACCTGTCCTTGACTGAGACTCTGCTGCTGCGCAGCACCTGCAGGACTTGATGCAGCAGATGCACGCAAGCAGACAGGAGGGCATGGCAGGCACCTACAGCCAGGGATTCCCCATTGCGAGCCTGGACGCCTCAGGCCACCCCTACATGAGGCAGTGGCACCAGTGAGCTGGCAGCCTGTCTCCCCTGAACGCAGCAGCAGTGTCACAGGCAGCAGGCTGGTGTCCCCCACACCTTATGACCCCGGGCCTCTGCTGCATGTGAGAGGCTTCAAGTGGAGACAATGTCATGAGGTGTCAGAGAGGTGTCAGAGAGGTGTCTGGGGTGCCGTAGTGTTGCACATTTTGCTGCATTCTGCAGAGCATGAAGGGTCTGTAAGCAGCGCAGAAAGCCTGTGCAATGATTGCTGTTGGAAGCACTCCATCCAGCTGTACAAATGAGGCATTTGATTGTGAAGGTGTGTGATATGGAATGAGTTAACGGCGGAGGTTGCAGTGCCCCTTTGCTGGATGCCAGAGCGTGTGAGAGCCCGAAGCATATCATACGTGGCATCCGCTGACTGAGTTTTGCCTGCCACAACACTTTGTGCAGGCAGGTTCAGCAATGCTGTCTTGCAAATGCATGAGTGCCCCACTCTTGTGTTGGCCGGTGATGCTATAGGAGCATCGCAGTCCAAAACCTGATGAAAATGGGAAACTTGGAGGGTGTAGCAGCCTCGTGTATGTTGTATGAAGATGAGATGGGTTGAAAGATAGTGGAGTCTTTTGTGTGTGTGATGGCAGCAGCTATATAGCATATATAGCATATATGCACTGCACAACAGGTCTCTGGATATGAAATTAGGGATGCCCTGTGTAGACTTGACACCTTTCACGATTGGCTTTGCAGATCTGCTCATAGATTTGATGTGACCGTTACTCTGCTCTCCGTTTATTTGGTTTACATGCCTTCTGCTGATGCCATAATGACGCCCAGCAATGTAGGAAGGTCGCATAGGTTGTATCACACAAGCTGCAAAGAGGAAATATGCAAGAATGCCTGTGATGCAACCGCCCCAGTCATGAAACTCAACCTCTTTGTGATGGATGTCTGAAATTCTGTCCACGCCAATTTATCAGACTGTCAGAAGTCGGACTTCACACTCTCGAGAGGTCTCAATCACATGTCTCTGCCATCACCAACAATTAAGCGCAAGTTGTGTTAGTAAGTATTAAACCCTTCACTCTTATTCTTGCTCTTCAGCTCAGTCTGTTCCTCGTGCAAATTTCCGGTTCAAGATGCTCCATCATCATCCTAGCAGTGCACCTGCAATAACCATGGAACAGCAGTGACTTTTAGCACGCTACATTGATCCTGTACTTGCAATGCGAATGCTGGCCTCCGAGGCAGCTGTATGACCAAAGGCTGTTCACAAACTCACAAATAAAGCAGACTCACAGCAGTCATGCTGGCACCAGCATAAAACAATCTAGCAAGCTGGCTACTGATCCCTACCTCTGCCATGAAAGGCATCACAACTGTATGAGCTGTTAAGTAACTGTTGGCTGCTCACATCCACAGCGGGTATCTCTGCAGCGGCAGAATCTTCTCTATCGTGATTGTCTGGCCGGTCAAATGGTGCACCAATGCCGCTGTGTGGCTGTGGCAGTCGTTGACCAGCAGCTTCAGCTCACAGGGCCAAATCTCATTGAAGCAGCGCGCCATTTGCATTGCCTGTGCCCCCACAGAACACAAGGGTGTCAGGACAACACAAAGTCCACATATAATCATATCCCTGGGCTGCTACTTGAAGAAAGGGGACCAAACTTGCTTGTAGAGACATGCTTGAAAACAGCTGGTGACCAGAAGCGCAGAAGCACAAGTGCAGAGCTGATTGAGATACAAAAATGCAATGCAATGCAGAGCAATTGCAATTAAACACATGCAGAAATTCAGCACACCCAGCAGCCATTGGGCTGACCAGGTATGCACAGGGGACTTGAAAAATTACCTCAGGCACGGTTGCCTCGCCAATGAGCGAGCATCGCCTGCGCGGCAGCCGTCTGAGCTGCCTCTCTCGCAGAATCCCTTTCACGCTGCCACCAGCCATGAGCGTTGCTGTAGTCCTCAACGCCATGGCATCGGCTGGCAAGAAGTCAAACACTGTGTAGCTCTGCATCAGACCGTTCGTTGATGACCCTTTAGAACCTCTGTAGCCCGCATCAAAAATGCTGCAGGCATTTAATGGACCCCAGCAACTGAGGGCCTGAAGTGCATGTGCATGGCACATGGGAGCAAGCACAAGCTGAATGCACGCGAACATACAGAAAGAGGTGCTTTGATTGGATACAGATGGTTGGTCTGATGGCTGACCGGTGCATCAGCCCCTGGAGCCTGCTCCTCAATGATGGCCATGGTGTGCACTGCTGCTACGTCTTCTGCCCGACTGCCCAGCGTTTGCAGCATGCCTCCCAGGCCGTGCATCCCTTCCAAATAGGTCGCTGCGATGTAGACTTTGGAATTGCAAACGGTGCACAAAGTTCTTCTGCGTGCTCTTAAAGCCCTGACAGGGGATCTCGCGTGTGGCCATCTTGATGCTGTTCCTCCTTGAAGTGATCTACTTTTTAAAACTTTATTCAATGTACAAGACATGGTGATGTGTTTTTATGAGCCAGCTTGACAAAAAATTCCGACATGATCGGTCAGAGATCCCAACCGATCTGGGGCTTCGATACAAGAATAAGCAATCTCTTAGATACCAGAGGTATAAGTTGCCCACTTTTACTTCTACAGTGTTCAGAGGGCCTGCAAAGGCTTGCCTAAGATTTTTGGGTCGTCAGCTGCTGCTCACCCAATCGGATCGGGCCTGCGTGGCTAACCCGCGCCAACATGGATGGTCCACGTTCACCCAGGTCGCAGCGGGGCCAAAGGCCACACGAATCCCAGGCAGATGTTAATTGGCACATCGCAGAAGTCCGTGATTCAGCTACACAGAAACTCATTTCATAGTGCCAGAAAATTTATTAGGAAGGAATCGAGGTCTCGGAATTTGTGTCGGTGTCGACAGGCAAGATGCAGCTGACCGGCACCTCCTTCCTCAACAAACGCACAGCATTCCAGCATTGCAGCTCATTGCCTAGACAGAGCAGACAACATTCACCAGTACAGGCAGTGGCCACGCGGTCCAAGGTCCCCCTTCAGCAACAGCGTCCAGCTGTGGATGTCCTAGAAAGATCACTGCAGCTTGAATCTTCCAGCGGCCGTGAGCACGCAGAGGCTTCTTCCTCCGGCACATTAGAGTCACGGGGCTCCAAGAGGAGCATAGATGAAGGCGAAGTCCTGCATTCCACCTTCGAGCACCAGGCAATTGTATATGGGACCACCACCCTCCTGTCCGCGCTCTTGCTAAAGGGCTTCTCGGATGTGCATGACGTTCCTGCCGCCTTTGGCGCGGCTGCAGCAGCCCTCCTAGCCTACTATGTCTCAGGTGGCGCCCCGCCCCTTGTAGATTTTCCTTTGGACAAAATTGCTGTCAGAAAAATGATGGTCACTGAAGCAAAGTGTGCCCTTTGTCAGCAATGCTGTCCATCTCTTGCATCAACTTGCAAGTCAGCTGATCGCTGGTGCACTCCCAGCTGCTGAAGTTGGGGTGCCCTTCGTCAACACAGCTGTGCAGGCCATGCGATACCTGAAAAGCCTGTGACTGATTGAAGAAAAGCGGTGTTTCTTGCAGATTTCCTGACGGGGGTCTATCACTGGAGCGTGGACAACTACGGCAGCGGTGAGACGCCGATAGTGGGGTCTCAGATTGCGGCCTTCCAGGGGCACCATCAGAAGCCCTGGACCATCACAGAGCGCGAGTTCTGCAACAATGTGCACAAGGTACGTTGTGGCCACACCTCACTTGTGCCATCCCAAGTTTGTTGCAGCCCAGTCTTGTGTGTTGTGAGCACTTATCATGGGTTGCACCCTGTCGCTCTGTACGAGTCCTTAGTCAGAATGAGAGGTCATTCAGCTGGCAGCTTCTTTGCATCAGCATGCAATGCTGCTGCGCGTGTGAGAGGCTCTTTTTGAAGCAGGAGCACCCTCCTGAGCGGGATGGTGCCCCAAGTGCTGCTGCGGTCTGCGAGTTTTAGATTCATGAGTTGCAAGAGCATGCCGCAAGCATGCCAGTCTGCTCAGTGGAGTGAAGCCGCGTGTGTGTGCTTCTTTTACACAGGTGTTCATGCCGGCGCTGCCCTTCGCAGCGCTGTGCCTGCTGGCTTCACCCTGGCTGCCGGCGCCGGTGGAGGTGTTCCTGTCTACAGCCACGTTCCTGACCTGCATGAGCCAGCAGTTCCACGCCTGGTCCCACATGAAGAAGTCCGAGCTGCACCCCGTCGTCGACGCCCTGCAGGTGTGATTTGTGCCCTGCCAATAGTGACCAGGCATAATTTCGTGCTTGGTTTTATTTGTTTTTGCTCCTTGCCACAGGGCAGCATTTGCTGTGAGCTGCATTCTGCAATAGCTACTTCCCTTGGCTCATCCTCCAATAGCGCAGTATGTTCTATCAGCATGATGCTTGCCCACCAGGCTTTTGTGCACAAAGACAAAGCAAGCCCCACTCAACTAGGTTGCATGATCGGCATTTGTCAGCCTGCCTGCATGCGAGGCAGCTCGCACCCTCTCATTTCCCTCTTTACTGCACGAAACACTGCTCCACCAAATTTCTGACCCGGCAGTGTGCTGCTCGCATCACAGGGAGCGGGGTTATTGGTCTCACGGAGGGCGCACGGAGCGCACCACAGGGCGCCCTTTGAGGGCAACTACTGCATAGTCAGCGGCTTCTGGAACCCCATCCTAGACGCCGGCGGCTCCCCCGATGGCTTCTTCCGCCGCCTAGAGCGCATCGTGGCCGACCGCACCGGCGTCGAGCCGCGATGCTGGCACGAGCCGGACTACTCCTGGCAGGAGGCCCCCGATGCACCCCTCCAAGGGAAGACCTCAGTCTGAATGGGGCCGCAGGGTGGATCAGGCAGGTGGCAGGGTGGATCAGCAGACTCAGCCCGACAGAGGGAACAATTTGAGGGAAGGGGAATTTGGCGCCAGCTGCTGGCACGAGCCGGACTGCTCCTGGCAGGAGGCACCCAATGCACCCCAGCCCCAGTGGGAGCGCTCTCTTGGACGCCTTATTGTGCCACCTGGCTTTGCCTGCGGCAGTTACTCCCATGAAGAACCCTTCAAAAGTTGGAGGAAGCTTGTATCAAAGGGAGGCTGGTGGAATGTACAATGCGTGCAGGGTGCAAAGGCACACAGCGCTGCGGAGGCAGTTGGGGGGTACACGAGGGTCATTCCCAGTTGGAAAGGGTTGGAAAGGGTTGGCTTCTCAAACGTGCTACAGCTAGCTAGCTATTCATTGGCTGCTTGCACATGCTGGCAGCATTTCTAGCATTTTCCTCGGCCTAAGAGGCACAGCCTCTAATATCTGGGGTATCGAAGGATATTAATGGGGTGGCCTCTCCGCTAAGGTGTAGTCTCAAGAGATGTGCATGGTATACTTGAGAGCGGCGCCCGCCAATCGTTCATTCTGCATGGGAGACAGACAGTTCTCTGCTAGTCCTCCAGGGCTGGCTCTGTTCTGTAGAACTCCATTCATTGCTGGCTCAAAAACCTTGAGCTGCCATCCTTTACTAAACAAGTAAGTAGTACCAACAAACAGCCTATGCCGTTTGTTTGCACGTTTTGTGATAAGAGCGGCACATGCATGTGCCAATTTGTGCCAGTATTGCACCGGAGTGCACATCAAGCGATGTCAACACAGCGGAGTAGAAAATTTGCTTGAAGTGTGTCCCTTGGCTTCAGAGAGCATAGTCCGCGCTGGCTTTTATGAGACTTGTACCATAAGAGGAGGGACTGATGTACACCATAGCAATATGTGCTCTGCTAGATTGTTCAAGAGATGATTTATAAGAGGGTACCATAATGATAGAGATTACTTTTAAAGGTCAGTCTTTTGGACGGAAAAATGGTTCTCCAATTGGCGATGATTTTGTCACCAATAACTGCCTTGCATTCAAGCTGTAATCGCTGAGTTCTCCCTCCTGCATGCTCTACATGGGCACTAATGGCAGAAAAACCTGCAAGATGCATCGATGTGTACTCTCTATACAGAGAGTACACATCCCTCACTTTCTCCTCTCTCACACCACACGCTCAACCAATGCTGAACATCTTGGATCACTCACAATTTCTTCGGCTGGAGCTATATGTTGCTAAACCATTGGTCAGGCGGCAATTCAGAGGCGTCCTTGCTGGAAACAATCTCCACCACCTTGTTGCTGGCTCCAGGCTGAGTCACAGCCTCGACAAGCACAGCTGCCACCTGTTGCACAGCAGCTGTGAGGCTCAGCTGCATACTTGATTGGCACAGCTGCAGTCCCTTATATGCCTGATCCCCATCAACGCAATGCTGCTCATTGCTGCTCGAATTGCCTTTTCAACCTCGCCTCTTCTACACAGGAAAATATTACAAAATAGTGTAGCACTAATGACTAAGCTGTACACCTTCAGTTGCATCCAGAGACTGTCAATGCCGGCTTCATTGTTTGTGATGGTGCACGCGTGTTGGTGCAGGCTTCAGAGGAGAAAGCGTCGGCGCTGATGCGAATATTGGCGGCCGAGGAGACAGGAACTTAGGCCTTTGAGGAGGTGTGCAGCTGGCGCACAATCACAACCAGAGCACCCTTTCTGATTTTTTAGGTTGCCAGGAGAAGGACAGAGGAAAGCATTAGTGTCCAAAAATGGTGGCTGCTCACCAGGTCACGAGAGATGTCCTTTCCAGGATCGGAGGGCCTCCCAAACAGTGTGTCTTCCTTGCCCACAATCAAATTGCCCACCTCTGCAAGAGGCTTGTTGCTGAGGCCTCCAGGCCTGCCAACATCAGAAGCACTCAAGCTGCCTCCCTTCAAGCTAGACTGATACCACGTTCACTGGACACAGCATTGCATGAGATCGGGAGGGGAAGCATTGGCACCTGACTACCGTCCACTCGAGGCCGCTGCTCCTGAGGTACTTCTCACTCTGTAGCAAAAAAGTGCTCTCACCATCAAGTAGAAATGTCATAGGATGCAGCAGCAGGAATTTGTGCGAGGTGAAGTGCTACATACCACTAGTTTCTGGACGAGAACGTTGCCGAAAAGATTGAGTATGATGTAACCAGGATTGAATCTCTGGCCCACGGCCGCCCCATTTGTGAGCAGAGAGCTCATCAGCACAAACTTGCTGATACCCTTCTGCTTTGCTGCATCAACAAGGTTGCAGTTGCCCTGTCACAGAGACACACATTGCAAAAATTCAGAACCTCTGCATGCATGTGATATACAACAAGATGTGCCTTGAGTCCTGCATGCTTGTGAGAACAGGCTTGCCTTGTTGTCAATTGCTTCATATCCCTTGGAATCGGCCCCACCATTGAAGCCAATGGCGCTGATCACTGCCTGAGCATCCCCAATGGCACTGAGCAAGGACCTGCACACAAATGTCCTCCTTCTGTTGCATCTTTATCCTCTGAAATTTTTATATCAAATTTTTAGCTTCATGAGTGTAGCGTCAGATCGGCATGTCGGATGTAATATTACTAAAGTCTACCAGATTGCATGAAGTTCCTGGATCTAAATGAAACAAAGGAAAAACTCACTCTGGCTGGGTGACATCAGCTGTCACCAGCTCCACCTTATTATCCACTTGTAGCCCACTGGATCGAGCCTTTTCAGCGTCCTGAAAGCCCACATGCAATGACTCTCACAACCCCATCAGAACGTTTTTGCTTGTGCAGGGATGCTTTTACGTGTCACAGACCATTGGATCAGGATCGAGCTTGGCGACATGGCTTTCTGTTGAACTTGCCAAACTGATGGCTGCGCCAAAACAGCGCTGCATGGACGTGCCCTCACCCGAACGCCGGCACGGACTTTGAAGCCCTTTTTCCGCAGCTCCTGCACCACCCGCCTACCTGTGGCTCCTGAAGCGCCCGCCACAAAGACCTGGCAGACAACTCAAGCCTGTCATTCCTTGCACCGTGTCAGTCATCTTGACATGCAGAGTACTCCCGGCAATTACTGTTCGGTTGGCTACTAGTTGCAAGTTTTGTGGCGTACTGTGCTGATGGTGGCTGCCTGTGCGGAACCTGCTGATAAGTCCGCTAGAAGAGATGCACTGATGCCAATGCCAGCAAGCAAGACTCCTCGCCGTGGCAGCCCTCCAGGCCTGTCCTCGGATGTGGGTTCCTACGACGATCAGAAACTAATGCAATTGTTCAAGGACTGACATTGTTGCGATCTGCCTTCACAGTCATCGGATCTCCTGGCATCCTTGTCAGACAGGCATAGGAGGCCGTTCAATTGACCTGTGTCTCGGTAGATGAGCATCTGGGAGTAACAATAGATGAGTTCCTGCAATGATCTGCATATCTAGGTGTTCTTCTTGAGAGATTTGTGAACGGATGCACGGGACGGGAAGCCCCAGAACTAACATAAAATGTTGAGGCTGCCATCCTTGCCAGATATTACGATGCTGGTAATAATATCAATTGTATTGATGGCGTTCGGCATTACCAAAACACACGAGGGATTTGTGTGCAAATCATGTTGTCTGAGCGGCATGCCAGCACGCGAGAGCAGGTGCGTCGACAGACGTGGATTTAGTAAGCGATGACCATTCCGGAACGCAGACATCCACTGCAGGCCGAACAGAACGTCATTCTCCAGTCTTTTGGCCCATTTCTGGGGGACTTACTATGGCAAAACTGTGTGGCAGTGGCTGTTGAGCAATTGAGTGCGTGGAGCTGGGCTGAACAGTCAGAAGATGTTGACCTTGGATGGCAGGCTCCACAGCTCCCATCGCCAAGTCTGGCCTCGTCAATTTTCGCTAGGATCTACTTTCACGGCAAATAGGATCTATAGGGAGGGGTTGCCAGCGATGAGCAAGTCAGCGCTGCTTCAGAAAGGGCGGCTTCTGCTGAACAGATGGTGTGTTTTCCGCCCAGAGTCCATGCAACCATTCTCTCAAGAACAATCAAGCGACTGCAAACACATCGTTATCATCGACGATGAATACGTGGCTAGTGGAGCAACGTCCCTGAAAGGGTTTTCTTGGCAGATCTTGTGGCAGCGTCCTACAGGCAGCATTATATCAATATCGCACGTCACGTACAGTCTACTGCAACAGTGAAAGCTGTAACAAAGCGGCGAAAATTTACGAGTTAAGATTTGGTCTGTCTTGACAGGACCTCTGTTGTTAGCCTCCTGGGGACTGCGCCCCTTGTGGAGAGGAGCAAGGGAGGAGGAGCGCTTGCGTCCCGGTCCTTTGCTCGTCCAGCTCAGCAAGCCGCCGCAAAGAAGCCCACGGATCCCATGCTGATCAGAAAGGCCCACATAGAGGAACAGCGACGCATTGCTGAGCAGGCCAGGGTGCATGGGGTGCAGCCATATGCTCCCAAGACAACCAAACCGGCGCAGCCGTCAGCTCAGCCGTCTGATCCGGATGCAGCCAGGCGAGCGTCTGGGGCCACTGCTTCCTCCAGTGGGTCAGCTCCGGCTCAGCAAAGCAGTCACCAGCCCAGCGCACGAGGCCCTCAGAAGCCGGCTCTGAGGCCGCCAGCCAGGGATGGCAGGACTGGAGCGCACACAAATGCTGCCGCGCCTCAGAAGCCCCCGGTGGTCACAAAAGCGTCCCTGGAGAAGCTCAGAGACCAGCCAGGGATCTTCTTCCCGCAGGACAATGACCCCTACAGCGACGAGTTTGTGCCGCCCGTCGTGACATCCATGGCTGGAGATTACCATGCTATTCAGCCGCAGCAGAAGAGCTACGGCCTTGCGGCTCCCCTGGGCTCCCAGCTGGGCACTCAGGGGGCCGGCAGAGAACAGCAGGCGTTTTCCGCAGAGGAGATGCACAGGCGCTTTGTGGACGACATAATGGGCGAGGAGGCCAGCTCAGCTCCTACAGCGGTTGAAGCTGCTGCGGCTGGAGCGAAGCAGAGCAGCGGAGCAGCCGTTGGGGCGGGGGGCGGAGGCCAGATGGGCAGTGGCGGAGCAGGGGGTCACTTCCTGATGCGCTCGGGGAAATCTTTTGGCGCCAGCCGCGCCGCTGCCCTGAGCAGGGGGGAGCGGTCAGTCAGCGCCTCTGCTGCACCTTCTGACACAGCTCAGGTCTGCCTCCTCCTTTCCTGAGTTTATGCACTGCGTGGTGTGGTTGCATTTGCACGAAGATATAAAATTACAGTAATAACAGCTTTACCGCCACAGTTGAGTGGCAAAGTTTGACAGAAAGCTTTTTGTGGCCTGCAGACGGCCAGGGTCAACTTCAATGCAGTGGATGCTGAGGAGGACTATTTGGACGATCCTGCAGCAAGGGCCATGAACCAAGACAACTGGTTGAGCCTTGCCAGGCCGTCTGAGGTGCAATCTCTTTCCGCTATCTTGTTAACTTGCTTCTGCTTCTCACACCAGGCACCGCATGTGTTCGACTACTCGTGTGAATGCGCAACAATCGCAGAACAGGTAGCTTCAAGCCGACTTAAACGTTTCATCTGCTTGCGTTTGCAGGAGAATGGCTTTGCTGCAGCCGAGGCAGCATCAGCAGCACAGGCTGAGGACGGGGAGGGAGCAGGGGTGGGTGAGGGATTATTGGAGGGCGATATTTCGGTGGTGCCGCGTGAGGTCTTTGTGGTGGACACATTGGAGAAGGCTCACCAGGCGGCTGCTCGTCTGCGCGCTCTGCACGCTGCGAACCCCTCCATGTTTTTCGCTTGCGACACGGAGGTAATACTGACCTGTACGACTGCACCCTCTGATACCAGATACCCGGATGACTGCATGCATGATGTTTTTTTTTTCAAGTCAGAATGAAGCATCTTGTAACCTACATGCATGCGTGCATTTTTTTGAGGGCTTTTGAAAAAGGAGTTGTCTAGAGACATCCTCTGTGGGTTGGCAGGACTGTCAAGCGTTGGGCTACTCTGGAGAGCCTAGACAGGCTGAATAATTTTGCATGCAACAGGTGTCGCACATCGATGTGACCAAGGAGTCACCGTGCGGGCATGGCACGGTGATCTGCTTCTCAGTGTACTGCGGCGAGGACATTGACTTTGGAGGGAGCGGGGATGGGGACATCCGCCAGAATCAGCTCTGGGTGGATACTATGGTGGATGGGGCCAAGGACCAGGTGTATTTCACGGCCCCTGTTCCCTGGCTGTGAAGACACAGCCTTAAAGCTCATCTTGTGCACCATGTGTGCATGCTCAGGAGGCTATCAGCAGCTGCGCTGTTGAGAGTGTCAGAGCAAGATGGTGCTGTGTACACCTATTATACATTGTTGCCATGATGTCTGGAGGAACGACTATCCTCACCGGGGTTGTTGGAGAGCCGCCGGGCGTACAATAGCTGTTTGATGAGTGCTGCAGACAATTACACAATCGCACACTAGCTAATATTTAAAAGGGACCCATGGTACATGACACAGGGGACGGTAGACGCGATCTGGGAGGCCTTCAGGGATTTTTTTGAGGACAAGAGCGTGCTCAAGGTGTGGCACAACTACTCCTTCGACCGCCACGTGCTTGCCAACGTGTTCGTGGGCGGCCGGCCGATCGAGGCGCGCGGATTCCACGCTGACACAATGCATATGGCGCGGCTGTGGGACTCCTCCCGCCGCGGCAAGGGCTACTCCCTGGAGGCCCTCAGCGGGTGAGTCAGCTCTCGTCAAATCACCCTTGCTTCTTGACACCGTAAACTGGATGGGCAATGTGGTTCCATGACTGTGAAGAGGCGCTTGAAAGCTGGGAAGTTGTGAGTGTAAAGCACAAACTTTCTCCTGGCCAATATGATCAAGGGGACAGGATTTGAAGTGGAGCAGTTGTGGTTCACCCCCCTGGTGCTTCTTGTTGTGCTTTGCAATGTGTGCCTCCCTGAGGATGGCGGACATTTCTGCATGCTATGATGCTCTGCTCCTTCTGCAGTATTGTAAGGGTGTCATGCATGGCTTGCTTGTTCCTCTTGCCGCACTAGTGATGAAATTGTTCCTGGTGTGCACAGGGAAAATGTTTTGGTGCCAAGGCGGCTTGGCAACGGCTCATCCCCCAGCGCCAAGACAGGCATGAAGGAGCTCTTCGCGGAGCCCAAAGTGAAGAAGGATGGCACGCTCAGCAAGGCATGCCTCTACACACCTTTGTCAATACAGACTCCCACCTCCTACGGGTCATGACAAGCATGAAAGCTCTTCCCTTGGCCCTCTTGAACTCATCCCCAGGACATCGTTGGCGAAATTTGACATCCGTGCGATAGAGAGACATCAATGGTTTGTCTCGAGGCGTGCTGGCTCTGCAAGCCGATGACGGATATCTCTGCCCATCCCTACAACGGCGTGTCAGCTTTGAAGTCTCTCACGCGTGCAGATCAAGGAGCTGCCGCCGATGGAGGAGTTGCAGGCGTGCGTGCGGCGGCGAGGCAAGTGGATCCGCTACAGCGCGCTGGACGCCAAGGCCACGCATGACCTGGCGCTGGGCCTGCAGCGCCAGCTGGCCGCCATGCCCTGCCCTCCCCAGCTCTACCTCGGCATGGACCCAGCCGTCGCCCATGCCACAGGCGCGTGCACACGTCAGATACACCCAGTCCACAAGAGAACAGTACCAAGTATTGATTTTAAAAGATGCATTGAGACAATACATGTGCCTGCACTCCGTAAAGTCTGCAGGATGAGGCACACGTGACTGATAAAACTGCCGCCACTGTCCTAGCATTTTCAGTCAGGCAGATGTAGTGAGCGCTTTGTCCGTATCGCTTATATCCTAAGGAGTGTCGTGGTGCTGCCCTGGCTTGCAAGGCTGTGAGCTTGAGCTTGAGACTGTTATCAATTGGGTGTTTGATGGTCAGATAGTCTTCGAAGTATTGGGCCCCTGTGCCCCAGAATGCATGGACTATTGTCAGTGATATGTTGATTGATCAGTGATATGGTGCTTGGATTTGCTGACCTGAAATAACAATGGCTCTGTATTGAGCAAAGTCTGCCTGCTTATGGGGTGGTATCTGCGTGCAGGTGTGCGTGAGGGGTACACCTTGTGGGACCTGTACCAGGACTACTGGAAGCCCTTTGGCGAGCTGCTGACGGACATGGAGAAGGAAGGCATGATGGTGGACAGGTGACTTTAGCGCCCCCTCTTAGTAGGCCCCCGTCCAAGCGCATGCACCTCGTGAGACATTTCTTCTGAGCCAGCAGATGTGCAGTGTCTCCGGGCATGGCTTGACGAGCACTGCCAGGAGATACTACTGCAGTGTCTGCGCTGTTTTGCTTGATGAAGGGCAGACGCGCACGTGTCATTCTGCTTGACACTCAGGAGCCTGTGACGCGCACTTGTTATCATATCATGCCGTGTACAGAGAGTTCATGATGGGCTCGACACAAGGAAGAACATGTGCTTTGATTGGCATTTTCTGACATTCAAAAGGCGCAGTGTGCAGGGAGACCATGATGGGGTTGCCACAGGGGAGGTCTGTTTTGGTTGGGAATTTCCGACACTTAAGCGCGCGGTGTGCAGGGAGCACTTGAGGGCGGCAGAGGAGAAGGCGGTGGAGGACCAGGAGCGAGCAAAGAAACGGTTTAGGGAGTGGGTGCGCACCAAAGTGCCCGACGCCGAGTACATGAACATCTGCAGCGGCCCACAGGTGCGCCCACCTGCCACCTCTTATCCTCTGACACCTTGCGCATCATGCAGTCTATGTTCTCATCTTCCTTTCATGTTTCGAGTTGTGGGATGTGGATGATGCGGCAGCGAGAGAAGTGAATGACACGATGAGGTTGAGGCCATCTGTGATCGTTATACATTTGCTTGCGCAGATCCGGCAGCTGCTGTTTCCGGGCGTGCCGAACATGAAGGCTGACAAGGGCAGGCTGGAGCTGCAGCGCACCTTCAAGGTAGCTTTCCTTTAACGTCCATCATCTTTGATTTGTTCACTCTGCAGCAATATCTGCCATGTCATTATCTCTCCCTGAGCGCTCTCTCTGCAGCAATGCCTGCCCGTTGCCACATACCCCACTGCTTCCGCTCTGTGGAAGTGCCTACTGTATCGCCAAATGTCCCTCCTGCATTCTCTGCAGCGGTGCCTGCCATACTGCCATTAACTCTGGAAATTACCTTGGACCTTTTGGGACCAGATAGGACCAGGATTGAGATCAGCCTCCCTCGCAAAGCTAGATTTCGACCACCCCCTGCATGCGTCATCCCTGAAGCCTGCATTGAGCCGCCTGTTCTGCTGCAGGCGCCGAACGTGCTGGGGCGGATAGAGGAGGGTAAGAAGATCGCCAAGAAGCAGATGGACATCGTCATCCACGGCCTCTGGGGCGTCGATGCAGTCTCCCCGCTCGTGCCGGAGGTGTTCACTGCGTCTGGCTGGCCCGCCGTGTCCACGCCGGTGCTGCGCGGCCTGGCCGGCAAGCCCGGAGCAGCCAAGCGCGCCCTCCTGGAGCTGTACGGAGAGGAGCTTGACACCACCCCTGCCTCCTCTTTTGACGGTGCGCGCCCCTGCTCCCCCTTGTGTCCTCCTGTGTCCTTTGGCCAACAGGTTATTGCACTTTGCCACACAGCATCTGTAAAACTTGTCGTGTTGGAAGGATGACCTGTGCGCGCTCCTGTTTGAACCCAATGGGTGCGTGGCCTCTGAATTCATGAGGTCCCGGATACTTGGCGGAACTGGCAATCTGATGCACTTGTTTGATGCGGACCCACCATGCCCCCTTGTGCCGAGAAGCTTTTTTGTTTCAGCAGCATTTGAAGCCCTCTGTGTACTCACTCGGTGCAATGCAGAATGCGCCAAGCCAATTGATTCTGCATCTGTAAGATGAAGCCTACCTTGTGCGGTGGGTGTGAATTGAGAATTTTTCACTGAGGGCAGCATGCCAAAAGTGAGCTGACATGCGTTGGGATGGATGTGCAGAGGTGCCATTGGAGGCGCTTTTGGAGGACCCCAATCTGGCAGCGCTGGAGGCAGGAGGAGAGGACGGCGATCTGCTGGACGGCATGGACGCACTGGAGCTGGCCGATGATCCAGACGAGCCTTCCTCTGCTGCCAAGAGCAAACGCAAGGCGAAGGTGAGAACCCACTCTCTGCAAGAACTCATCACCGTTGCACTCTGCCTGAGTGGCATCTGTGGCGTGATTCCTCTCATCGTAGTCAGCACCTTATTTCGTGCTCAAGATGGCTTTTTGGAGCCCCAGCGTGGAAGCTTGTTGTCAGGGTGCAGGAAGACCAAGTTGCTTGTTATGCCTCATGCAAAGATGAATGCTGCAACAATTCCATTCACTGAGACCGCTGCTCTCCGCTGTTTCTCTCAGTTGACAAGGTGCTGCCATGGATTTGCCACGTTTGGTGTTCAATGCATCCTTCTGCGTCGGGCAGGCTCCGGCGAAGGGCAAGGGAAAAGAGAACGCTGCGCAGAACAGGGCGGCGGCCCGGGTGCTGGCGGACATGCAGAGCCTGGAGTATGAGGCCAACATGAAGGAGGCGGCCGCGTGCGGCTACGGCAAACTCTACGCCGTCTTCGGGGGCGGCCGCGAAGGCCTGCACGCCTGTGCCGCAGGTACGCCGCCCTGCCTGCCTGCCTTGGTGTTTCTCTCTCCATTCCTGTGTCACGAGCTCACATGGCATGCGCTGCCGCTGCGGGCCCCCTGCCTTCCCTGGTGCCTCTCCTGTTTTGTTGTGGCATCCCCGGCACACATGGGATCTGCTGATTGGCTTTACTCGAATCAGCAATTGACAAGCAATTACTGTGACGGGATGGCAGTTCTTGAGTCTCTGGTAGATGACAAAGCTTGGATTTGGTCAGGTTGCTGCGGTCTCGGGGTAAGGTCGCCGCTGTGCGGTGAGTTGCAGTTGGGCATGTTTCAGATATCCATTCCTGACAGGGATAAGGATGGATGTGTGTATGTTGCTGCAGTGGATGCGTTGTGTGAGGTGAGTGCGGTGGACACGCTGCTGTCCAACTTCATCCGCCCGCTGCAGGGGGGTGCCATCGCCACTGTCCGCCGCGACCCCGTCACCTCCCAGCCACTCCTCGACGCACAGGTGGGATTCCCGCTGCATCATGTTTCCTGCTCGTTCTTCTTCATTCTTGTTGCATCTGGCCCAGATCCTGAGCATGCACACTTCATATGCGCTTGACTGACTGCCCAGAAGGATTCCTCTGGGGCATCATGCTTCCTGCTCTTCCCTCCTCCCCATGTTCGTGCTGCACCTGGCTTGTATTCTCTGTTGGCTATATGTCAAGAGACAATGTTAATTCCCCCAGTGGTCTGCTTGCCCGCGCAGTGCAGCCGCATGTGTCGTGTGAGTGCTGTCCAAGTGTTGCCGGCAAGCTCTGTGGAAAATTGAAGGTACGAGATCTGTTCCTGAGAACTAGTGTGTGCGCGCATGTGCAGGGGGAGCCGGTGCTGCACCGCGTGCACTGCTCGCTCAACATCAACACGGAGACGGGCCGTCTGTCCGCGCGGCGCCCCAACCTGCAAAACCAGCCCGCCCTTGAGAAGGACCGCTACAAGGTAATTCCTCACTTGCCTCCCACTGACAGGGGCTGCTCTTAGGGCGCAAGCCTGCAAATTGCACGAGTTTGCTTGGTGGGGCAACAAGAGGACGGCGGTACTCCATGCCCAGACATTCTGAGTCAAACAAAGTGGAGGGCTCTTTAGCAACCAAAGCAGGGTTGGACAACAGACGGAGCTCAAAGTGGCTGGCCCAAACTTTTCTTGGTGTAGTCTTAGGGGTTAGGAGGCAGAAGCTGTCTTTATATTGCATGGATGCCAAGGCTGTCTTGACAATTGCGCATGGTGTGGGGCTCCTTTGCTCTGTGTCAGGGGAATGAGAAAGGTGCATCACAGTCAGAAGCAGTCCCAAATCTTGCATGAGGGCAGTGTGATGAAGCTGACATGTGGCTGGGAAATGTTGGCAGGTGCGCAAGGCGTTCAGGGCGGAGCCTGGCAAGACGTTGGTGGTGGCGGACTATGGGCAGCTGGAGCTGCGGCTGCTGGCGCACATGGCGGACTGCGAGAGCATGCTGCGCGCATTCCGCCTCGGGGGCGATTTCCACTCCCGTACCGCTCTCGGCATGTACGACCACATCAAGGCCGCCATCGACAGAGGTGCGCGGCAGTTCTTCCCAACAGTAGACTCCGCTTTCCCTGTACTCCCACGCCGTGTCCGTGAAGCCCTGGCTTCTCTGAATCCTCATGGTCCTCGTCGCGCCCTTAAATTATATACATTTACACGATTTTGAATTGCTTGTCGGATGGGCGGCCATAAGCGCAGCTTCGACGTTGCCTGCTGTCTGTTGGATCATCCAGTAACTCGACTTCATCAGGGCAGGAGCCAATGAGCTTTAGGGTCGCAGGGTGCGCACAGCAGGATGAAATGGGGGCTGGTGTGTTGATGCGCAGGGGAGTGCCTGCTGGAGTGGGACAGTGTGGAGGGGCAGAAGGCGCCGGTGCCGCTGCTGAAGGACATGTTTGGCAGCGAGCGGCGCAAGGCCAAGGTGCTCAACTTCTCCATTGCGTACGGGAAGACTGCGCACGGCCTCTCGCGCGACTGGGGCACCTCCCTCGAAGAGGCCAAGGACACCGTCGAACGATGGTACTCCGACCGGCCCGAGGTATGGAGGACATCCAATCTCCTGTTTTTCGGGTGGTGAATGCCCCATTATTTAAGGCCATACTGGTCTGTTCCTGACAATCATGTCTGGCGCACAGCTGACAGGCACAGCATCCATTCAAGGCAGACGACTATGTGAGCTTGAGCAGGCCACAAGTACACTCAATTGCATGCAGCTAGTAAAGTTTTCTTCACACCGAGCTGGACAGGCACTAAGCCCTGAATCTAGAGCTTCTTGTCTGTCACGAGTAATCCCAGCTGCATCAAAAGGCATAAGCACAAATTGCTATGCTGGTGTTTGCTCTGCTGGGCATGCTTGATCCAAGTATTTGTGATGCAGGTGGAGCAGTGGCAGAAGGAGCAGCGGCGCCTGGCAGAGATGGAGGGTTATGTGTGCACCATCCTCGGCCGCAGGCGACAGCTGCCCGACGCCCAGTCAGCCAACCAGAAAGCCAAGGTGAGCACCCCACCCTGTTCCACGCAGCCCTGTTGCTTGGTCCTGTATCAGCAGACACAGGTCCAGTCATATCACTGTGGCTGCTGACACAGATCAAGTGGCAAACCTTAGGCTGCGGCCACATGCAAAGTGTGTATAAAGGCACATTGCATCACCAGCTTGTTCAGTGGCTCCACAACCTGTCCATAGTCCTGTCTATATCAGTTGAGTGCAGCACCAGGTTGCTCACTGGCTGTGCAAGCTGTTCATTAGTCAAGAGCAGCTGACAGAGAGTGTGATTTGTTGGTCGCCAGGGGCATGCGTTGCGCGCTGCGATCAACACGCCCATCCAGGGGAGCGCGGCGGATGTGGCGACTGCAGCCATGCTCTCCATCGCGCGCTGCCCAGAGCTCAAAGAGATGGGCTGGACCATGCTGCTCCAGGTCAGCCTTCATTCACTTAATCGTGCTGTAGTACTCATTCTAAAACCCGCAATAAATAGTTACTGTGTGCTCAACCCAGACCCATCTTTGCACCCCTACTTTTGTCAAATTTAAAGTATGTGCGTTTATGTAAAGCAGGCCAAGCGGATACCCTGGGGTCAGTGGATACATGGTGGTATAATTTGTTGATTCCTGGGAAAAAGTGGGTAATTTGGGGCACTCAGACTTGCACATTGACAGGAGAGCGTGCTGTGGATTCAACTGTTTGGCTTTAGAGTGAGTTTTAATTCCTGCTAAGTGCATCAAGATTTTTTGCATGCAGCTGACGGTGGTGCATGCTGTGCAGGTGCACGATGAGGTGATTCTTGAGGGGCCCAAGGAGACAGCTGAGCGCGCACAGCAGCTGGTGGTGCAGCACATGGAGAAGCCTTTTGAGGGGTCCAACCCACTCAGAGTGGACCTTGTGGTGGACTCCAACATTGCAGACACCTGGTATGAGGCCAAGTGAATGGCTCTGTCACATGAGAGTCCCCAGTTGCAAGGCAGTGGCCAAACGGTAACTTTCCATAATCCGAACAAAGTGAGCCGAGAAGTGCTGACTTTTGATCGACAACTATAGAACGATTGCAAATGTTGTTATTTGCGTCTGGTGTGTTCACCAAAGCTGCCCAGCTTCAGCCACGTAGCCTGCTACAAAGGGCGACAGCAGAGGGTGCACGCCAGCTTGTGATGCAACACGTGGAGAGAGTGATTTAAAAGCTTCAATTGTTGTGAGTGGATGGGCAAGTAGTTGTTTGTGCAGCAAAATATGCTAGACAGCCCTTACATGGGACCTGGAAGAATCAGGTGTGCCCCACTCAATGACCGATCGCTTAGTCTCATTAATTAACTGAATTTTATGCGTAAGTGCCTTTCTTGGCAGACAAAAGGCACATATATGCTGTGCTGCTGGCAGCTCATATTGATCTTGATGAGCCCGCTAGGTAGTTATAGGAACAAGCCGGGCCCACAAGCTAAGCCATGAATAAAGCACAATTGCTACAAAAGATGATACAATGTATACATTCAAGCAGGAAACACAAATGGCGCGTTATGAATTGTATACACAGGGGCATGACACTACTATCATGCTGGCACCACTTTTCTCTATAACATCATTGTCTTGGGTTGCTGCCGGTAGTTAATTTCCGGCTAGATCTCCCTCCTCTTATTACTTGCCTGAGATCGGCCTCCTCTGATGATACATGCTGCTTGCAATAATGCCAAGAAACTCCCAAAAATCCCCAGATATACATAACACAAAATTTGGAGAGGGCAGGCCTAGGCATCGACCCTCGCTATAGCCCCAGAAGCTTGTTTGATTTGGGTCTTGTCCTTGAAAGTACACTTGATGTTAATATTGTGAAGTGTCAGCAAATCTGTACAACCCCAAAAAGGGCAAGCATAATCGTGAAGTGACAGCTTGCCCCCTCAATATACAATGTTCTTGATTGTGCAGCGCACAAGCCGCCAGCTGTCTGACGATGCAGCCATCCCACCCTGACAGTCTCTCAATCTGGAGACGCAGGACGCTCCATTGTGTGTTGGTCATCCTCTCTACCCGTGCAGCGTGGGTCTGCGTGTGCGCCTCAGCCAATGTACTTGCTACTTGCTAGAGATGATCTTGTCCAGCACGGCGGGCAGACCATCCCACCCCAGTACATCTCTCAACGCCCAGCTCATTCATGAAAAGCACAAGGCCTCATCCAGCCTCGATCAACCTGCCTGACCATACATCGCTGCTTGCTACTCGCCGGCGCTGGCCTTGTACTGGGCGGCAAACCATCCCACCTCAATGCATCCCTCAAAGCCCAGCCCCTTTGGGAGAAGCAGGCTGCCCTGTACCGTCGCGGTCAAGCCCCCTGACCCTGCAGCGCGTGCTGTAATCCACAGGACCCTGAGGTGCTAGCTTGACCTGCACCAGCTTGACCTGTCAAACTGGTAGGAGAGCACCTGAAGGATAGATTGCTACTTGCCGGCGCTAGTCTTGTACTGGGCGGCCATGCCGCGCATGATATCCACCGAGTGCTTGAAGCGAGCAGCCGCCTCCGCGGCGACGGCGTCGGCGGCCGATCGCGGCAGCGCGGCCCAGGCCGGTGTGGCAGACACAGCCGGGAAGTGCTGCACCACAAAGTCCAGCGCCACCGCGCGCAGGTGAGGCAGCCCGGCCTCGTCTGCCAAGCCCAGTAGCGCAGCTGCCGCCTCGCAGGTGCCTGGCGCACACAAAGAGACATCGTCTCACACATCTAACACTGTAGTGATGTTCTGCCAACCGTCTATGGGCAAGCTGCAAGCAAGTTGTTGCCTTGCAGGTGCCTGGAGCGCACAGCAATTCTCAGTATGCATGCGGCCTCATCAAGAAATGCTCTCTCTTGGGGTTTGAGTGTGTGCGGTACCCGCGAGTGAATGCCACTTGCAGAAAGCACAGAGGACAACCCCAATGTACATGCGGAAATTGCAAAGTGCGGCACGCAGCAAGCGGACCCATGCATGGCATGCGCATATGCATTTCCAGGTGAAGATACACAGTCGCACTGCGGATGCAGTGCACTGTCCCTACAACACCTCAGCGCAGCACATTAGCAGCCGACGCTGATCTAAGCGCAGGATCTGGAGCAAAATCCCATGCATGGCAACACCGCCCAAGAACACATGTTGCAGCATGCAGCAACAACCCTGCCGCCTTCCGCTGCGGGGCAGTCGTGAAGGCTACCACTCCTAGGCGGCTGCAGGCAGCTTCACGTGCAATCGCATGCAGCTGCCGCGCACCTTCCTCGCCGGCGTCGCGGTGCCGGATCTCGCGCGCCAGCATCCGCTCGCAGAGGCCGACCAGGCGGGGCGCGCCGTAGTACTGGCCGATGTGCAGCACCGCCGTGGCAGCCTCCGCGTCCAGCCGTGCGTCCAGCTGGTCATTGTACAGGTAAAACTTGAACACCTCCATCGCCTCCTGCGCGCGCACACAAGATACTCTCAGAATATGGCACCTTTATTTGGCCAAGATCTCTCCTCACAACCAACATTCAGAAACCACCCTAAGGCCAGTCTGACCTCTATATGGGGCATCCTATTACATGCTATATATCAGGTATGAACGTTTGCTGCATGGGTGGCTCATGCTGCCTGAAGGAGCAGTGAACCCTAATAATCTGATGAGACCACAGCAGGTATCTGCGGGGGCCATAAGGGGGATTAAGAGTGATAGGCTCGGTGACAGCACTCACCTGGGAGAAGTGGTCGGGGACTGGGAGGTGGCTGTCGGAGGCGTCGCGCATGCCGCTGTCACAGCGCGCGCGGAAATGCTCGCACCGCACCCGCAGCACGCACCTGCGCCGCCAGCATTATCAGTACAGTCACCAAGATCTTCCACACAGCACAGCCCGCTTCTCACATTAGTTACGTCAGCTACTAAGTGGGCCGTGGCTGGCTGGGGGCGGTATAAGCACTGAGCACCGTGCCCACGGTTGATTGGGTCCTGCTTGGATCTGGCGAGGCCAACAAAGGGGTAGGGTTGTGGCAGCCTTCAACTGCAGCTTGTCTGCAGGACACACCTTGCCTCTTGGCAAGAAACGTGTGTTATGATAATAATGATAAACAGAATTCGATGATGTCTCTTGCGTTGTCGGGTGATCTGGGAAGGCTCGCCTGTGCACGGGAATGTGCCAGGTTGCGCCGATGAGGGTGCAGTCGGGGGAGCCCAGCTCGTCGGCATCCAGCACTGCGCCACTGTCCTCCTCGCTGCCCTCAAAGCCGCTGCCGCTGCCCTCGCTCCCCGACGAACCTGCAGCACCGCTGCAGCATCAGCCACCACCCGACTTGGCAGATGTGTGCTGCCATTGGCAAGATGAAAGATGAAAGAGTTGCACAAAAAGTCACATAAGTGGCTGCACGCTGCCAGCAACAAGCTGTACCTGATGACGATCAGCCTGGTCTACCCAGGCAGTGCTGTCCAAAGCAGTCAAAGCTCAGCTTTGATAAGCTGGCCTCTGCCTATGAATGGAACAGCACTGTGGTGGCAACAGGCTGACCCAGTGGCTGTGTGGAGTGGGCAGCAGTGTACCTGCTGTTGGGCTGCAGGGCATCAATGGGGTCCCAAATGTACCTCAATGAGGAGGGTAATCTATTTTGACTTAGCGAGTTAGGTACACGTACAGGAGGCGTTGCCATGGGGGAAAGGCACCTTGGGAGCCGGAGCAGGCGGACAGGAACTGGGCGACCTTCTTGGGCCAGGGCCAGCGCCGTTCGCCGTCCGCATCATCCATGCCAAAGGCGCTCTGCTCGCTCATGCAGCTGCCCGCCGACGTGCCCGGAGACCCTGCACGCAGCAGGCCTTCAACCATCTACAGCAATACTCCCTGATTTGCCTGCAGACGAGGGCAGCTGCATGCCGATTGAGACTGCCCAGAGCGCGAGCAACCCTTATTCACCTCTGTCAGCAGCCAGGGTGCACACTCGGAACTGGGAACTGTAGCTGTGGATATACAAGACTCTGCTTCCCAGTGAACCCATTCCTGAAGCATCACAGGAGTCCCTCAACAGCACCACTGTGTGAGCAAGAAGGCACATCAGGGAGCAGCAATTCTGTTGAAAGGAAGGAAAACGTGGTGAGAGCAGCACCAGTGATGGCGGCCACGTCTGCAGCGAAGGTTGAGGGCAGCGGAGGGATTGCCAGCTGAGCCCGGCGCTCCATTTTTATCGTCGACAGCAGCATCTCGGCGTCCGATGGCACCTGCGCAATACATCAATGGTATTAAAAGTTTGTTCCATCCTCGACAGGAGTTTGAATGCCTGCCACTTTCGCAAGAAGGTGAGAACCGAAGACAAGCAGCGCTGCTCAGCAGCAAGCAGGAAAATTCATTCAAACAGGAGATAAACACAACTGCTCAAATCGCATATCATCATGCATGAAGGGATCGATTCTAGTAAGTCATTGATCAGCCACTGGAAGCAGAGATGCGCCTTCAGTCTGTACAGACAGACTGAAGGAGAAAGGAGACATTGTTTGCGCATCGAGCTCTTCCATGTAGATGACCTTATGTCTATCAGATACGAACCCCCCTGAAGCAGGGTAGGAGAGAGGCCTTGAATAGTATACCTCAAGGGTGGAGTAGCGGACTTGGGAGATGATGCGCTGCCGCACGGAGCCGTCGGGCGCCTTGACGAGCACGCGCAGGTCGCTGGGTTCCACGGGGGTGACTATGAGGCCGCCCTCCGGCCGCAGCAGCTCCAGCAAGAATACCAGCTTGGACGGAGGGCACGCCGCGCCGCAGTGCACCCTGTCATACTGCCCCTGCGCTCGCCAAACCACCCCCGCGTCACTCTTGCCGGAGGATACAAGATACAATGAAAAGGGTCTACGTTCAAGTAATCCCTGCCCTTGGCGACCCAAACAGCGCAGTTCCTTACAAATTGCCGAGGCCAAGGGTGAACGTGCACATGCGACCTTTGGATGATGCCCTTGAGTAGTGAAAGTGAGTGGGAAACAACCTTCCAAAGACGCAGTCGAAGCGGTCAATTCAGTGCCTAGCAAGACTGGCCGCAGAATGGGCCAAGGACAAGTAGAAGCATTGCTTCTACTTCTTCACTTCCTTAGGTATATGGTGCCAGCAGGTGGCAGGGGTAATGGAGGGCAGGAAGGGGCGCGCACCTTGTGGCGCAGGGAGGGCATGAAGACGTTGTGCACGAAGAAGCGCACGTCGGCGGCTTTGGTCGCGTACTCGGCGTCGGTGCGTGCGAGGGCGGCCACACTGGAGCGGCCGAGCTGCACCGCCGCGCGCTTCACATCAATGCCCGCCGACCGGCCCATCTTGCCCACCTGGGTAGTTGACTTGGAATTTAAGTTTTCCTTGGGACAGACCACACTACATGAGCCAGAGGGCTTTGCACGGAATGGTCTGAGAACATCAGAGGTTGTACGAGACAGACCGCCTCATGTGAGCGACAGGGCTTTACACAAATGGGCCGCGCTGAAGTTGCATAACAAATCCCAAAAGCATAGCCACCCGGTATGTCTACGGCGAGTACCACCATGTTGGGAGCAGAAAATACGCTTTGGAAAAATTGGAGCATTTTAGGAACAGTGAGTAAATCGGGGCGCGGCAACGCAGGCCATGTCCCTTGCAGGGAGGTCATCGGAAGTGCTTATTATCTAATATATATTCTAACCAGGGTCGCACCAGCAGTGCCGCGCATGCGGTAACTATGCCGCAGCCGCTGCCCACGTCCAGGAACCTGTGCCCCGGCTGCAGATCCAGCTCTTGCTGCACAGCACCAAAACATGTAAATTGAGCCTCACCCTAACCCCAGCGTCAGTTCAACAAAAGCAGGAGGGCAGCCTTCTCTCCAGATCCTGAACTTTCGAGAACAAGCTCAGGAGCGGGCAATTTCAGGAGCGGCACATTGCTGAAGCGTATGAGACATGCTCAGCTGTGCAGCAGCACTGAGGGCGCATGGGCAGCAATAGTGGATTAGTACAGATAAGTAACGGCGGCAGGGGCGGACCAGGCAGGTGGCGTGCATGTGGGGCGCGGAGACATTGAAGTCCAGCGTGTCCAGGCGGACTGGGGAGTCCAGGAACGCCTCATCCGGGTTGCGGTGCGCCTCCGGCAGAAACGCATTCCTCGGGCACAACCTCATTGCCTTGATCACCTTCTCCCTGCAATCCATGTGGATTTTCAATAGTGACTCGTGTCATGCTGTTCCTGCCAAGAAGCAAATGTTTCAGCAGACAAGCTGCAGGATCAGGCTCTCCATGTGCCGTGGTATGGACCCTGGCTTTGAAAAGTGGCACACTAACGAAATACATATACGATGCATGCCACTGAGAAGGGAGCACCAAGCCAGGACTGTCTTCAAACATCTTCTCTTGCATATTAATACATTGCCCCACTTGGAAGCCATCCGAGGCCTTCAGGTCCAGAGGTGTGACAAATAGAAGAAACCCCTGACTGCAGCACTGGTAGGAGGGGCATCAACACCAACAAAAAAGGGTGTGCGCACGAGGAGAGGACGCCCATGCGGCGCAGGTTGTTGATGAGGTCATCGTTGGTGCCGTGCGGGCGGTCGCGCGCCACGCCGGCCCGGCCGGCGATGAACCGCAGAAACTGGTGCAGCTGTATCGGACCGTCTGCATGCGGCCGGTGCGCTCCCTCATGCTGCAGCGCATATATTGTTTAGGCATTGGTGCTCCCTTCTCTAAAGCGATGCTATTTTCAAATGGCCGTTATGCCTTGTGTGCTTCGTTATGACACAGCAAAAGACATTGGTGCTGCATCCTGGAAGGCAGTAATCTCTCCGACCAAATTGCATGCCTACTGTGTGCCCTTGGATATCGCCCGGTGACAGTTTTGACCCCCAAGGTGCTCTGCCTGAAACGGTAACAAGGCACTTGCTGGCCATTAGACAAGCACTGCAGACAACATCATCAGATAGCCATACCAAACCACTAAACTCCCCAGCACTGTTTTTACTCGCATGATCCGACAGAACTTCACGCCTCTCCCAGTCAGCCTTGCATTCATGGCGGCCATGTCAATGAAAATGCAACAGCACAGCGAGTGGGGAAGCTCTCAGCAGCTGACCTCATCGCCGGCATCATCGTCTTCATCCAGGGCCTCCTGGTCGCCCTCGTCCTCGCTGTCATCGTCGTCTGACATCATCATGGGCATCAGCCCAATCGCGCGCAGCCCCAGCGGATTACCATCATCCTCGCCAGCCATCGGGACCGGCCGCTCGCCGCGCACCGGGGCTCGACCGGCTGGGCGCTCGTGCCGATGCAGCAGAGCCGCCTCCAGGGCCTCTTCACCGGCGTTCATGTCCAGCGAGCCTGCACAGTCAGCGGAGATTGTCTTGGAAGGCGCAGTGACAGCTTGCAAGGTTGAGCCTGCACAGTCAGCACAGGTGTTGAAATTTTGTGTCTGCTTGCGCACAAGGTCGAGTCTGCACAATTAGCATGCGCGTTGAAGGAGGCTGTGTCTGCGTGTGCTTCAGGTTGAACCTGCATACTAAGCACATGAGCTAAGAGAGTGTCCACTCAGGGCCTAGCCAGCTCACAGAACAGAACGGTGTCTGCTTGCGCATGAGGCAGTATGGGCAGGCTTGGTGAGAGTTATGATGCGATGGTAGGAAAAAAGAAGAAACCTATCCCAGCTGACAGAAGGGACCTGCATTCCTACTTGGCAGGCATTTTGCAAGACAGCTACTCAAATTCGCACATCGACATAGTGCACCCTACTTTCAAACAACACGTTCACAAGTGAGGCAATATTCAGATGCTGGGCACTGCAAGAGTATTCCTGCCACAAAATGTGCCCACATATTGTGCTGCCCACATCGGCATTTGAGAGGAAGGTTACATAGCCAGGATCTCACCCTATTCTCTTTGCTCCGGCTCAGGTTCCTTCGTGTGCTTCAATCCATCATCTGCGATCATCACTGAAGCGTGAGAACGTTTCCGGGAGGCACGAGGTACTGTAATGTGTGAAGAAGCTAGGAAGGACTTTCACTGCACGATATTCGCTAAGCTAGGGTCTCAAGTCACACATAAAGCAGTTGTAGTCGGATCTACGCCCACATGCCTATTATAAATGCAAGATATACAGCAGTGGGGAGTCATGGGAGGAAAAGGACAATGCTGACGCAACCCTTGTGAAGGGCATTAAAGCTGTACCGTGGCAATCCAATGATAAGAACCATCTGAAAACAGTGCTACGTCAAAGCAGACAATCGTTGCTGATCACACGCGACGCCCCCTCCTGCCCACGCTTCATTCTCGCTTCGAGACATCACAACGTTCCCACACGCTTGGGCTTCCAAGAACTCACTATGACACACCTGACACATGCGGATCCTCGACGATTTGCTGTGTAGCCTTATCCCTGGTAGTCTCAAGGCGAGGCGGTGAAAACTGGGCTGATCGCATTGGCTTCTCGTCTTGATGCGTCAATCGAGAATGCGGCCAATATTGGCTGCACCCGTCTGGCCGGGCCACTTTGCGGGGCAGAGCAGAACACCTGGCAATGCTAGTGTTGGCACCCCTGCAGCATCCCAGAATAATGTTGGCTTGACTATAACTTGACTACGATTGAATTTTTGCCTCAGCGACGTTCAACGAGGCACCGCAGGAGGCACCTTTTGGGTCTTTGGAGACCGCTTCTACTTCAGATCCTGCACACACTTGTTGAATTGTAGCGTTTGTTGACAACATAAAGCGATGCAGCCACGCACACACCTTGCCTAGTTGTCCAAAGGCCTATCTTGCGACCTTGTCGCGAGATCTGCGAACAACAACGCACTCGAGCGCTGCGTATTTTACACTATGCATGGCGAATTGCACCTGGACTACAGACCACTTCGGTAGTAAAACACCGGAAGCCCTTGTCTGAAGGTGCGAGTACGCATACCAGCTTGTTCTGCACATTAGGTTTTGCATCTTGTTATGTACATGTTCTTGTAACAACATGGGACCCAACTGGATGCACGAGATCTGACAGACATGTTCTGGTACAGTTTGAGGGAAATTTGACACCCCTTAGAGATATTCGGACCATGATGGAGGCCCAAGTGGCTGAATCCCACAGAGTCAACACAAGGTTGTCAGGCAAGGCAGGACGCCTTTGCCTCAATAGCGAGGTATGCACGTACAACTGCATCACTTTGCTGAGGCCAGCATGCTTGGCTGGGGCTTGTAGGCTGCTCTTCAGAGATCCCCATAGCAGTGTATCAGCTTGGGGATGCTTGCATAGGGGCACGTGAGTGAACGAGACCACCTCCGCCTACGAGAGAAGGTTCTCCGCGTTGCAGATCTGGTGACGGCTGACGCCACCAGGCCGACGTCACCGCGCAAGCATGCGAGAGGTTTACTGCCTCGTGAGCTTGCTGACGAGGACGGAGAGGTGTATCTGTGCATCCGCCAGGCATTCAGCGCAGCCTTTGATGAGCTGCTAGAGCAGGTGAGCACAGGAACACACTTTGGTGTGCCCTGCTGCTCTCTCTCTCTCTCTCTCTCTCTCTCTCTCTCTCTCTCTCTCCCTCTGAAGCTCATTGATGAGGGCTGCATGCTCAAAGCAACAGAGCAGTGGAAAATGCCCAGAGATTGGATTGAGGAGGGGTGATATGTTCCTTCCTGATGCAGATCACAGCCTCAGAGCAAGCAGTGGTCGTGGAGGAGCTGTGGACATTCCTGTCAGACTACCTGGATCGCACGATGGCCAGAGCTGACGTTGCGATAAACCAGTCTGCCATGCAACACACTGCCATGGAGGAGGTACAATCCCCCTTGTGACTTCATCCCTGGTATCCCCCATAAGTGTATTATCATCAGTCATGTTCATACAAGCAATAATATTACAGGTTGTTCAGTGATTAGGGGATAATGTTATGATCGGAACCTGATGTTGCCCTTTTGTTGCTGCAGATGGAGAGGGAGATGCGCCTGCTGAGGGCGCACTGCAACAATCTCGAGGCCCAGCTCACAGAAAGGAGCCTTGCACTGCCCACGGCCCAGCTGAAGGGCTACTCTCTACCTGCCCCAAGCATCAGCGGAGCATTCCTTGCCACAGCAGCGGCAGCAGAAATACAGAAGCAGGAGCCGCAGGACATCAGCGAGGCAGCCGGGGCGTCGCTCCTGCAGGCAAAGCTCGCCGAGCTGGCTGGCCGGCCGCGCGGCGCAGCCGCAGCCGCCAGGTTCGACCGGGCGGGGTCCGCAAAGAGCGCCGGCCTGCGCAGGCTCGCTCAGGAAACCGGCTGCGCCGGGGAGGCGGCCGTTACATATGTGGAAGACCTGACGCCTGCAGGTCAGCGGCTGAGTGGGGTGTATTCTGCGGTCGGGATGGGGCCCAGGGTGACGGCAGTGACTGCCTTGCAAGAGTCTCAACAAGGGGAACAGAGAGAGGGGATCGGTCAATCGCAGCGCAAGTGGATGGACCGGGGGGAGCTGCCGCTGCCAGTGAGCGCGCAGGAGCACTCGCTGAAAGTCGAAAGGGAGAAGTGGCAGGTCAGTCCTGGCCATCTGGCTTGCTGTGTCCACAACTGAAGTACATCTTGCATGCATGCATGCTACCTGTCCTGAGAGTGTACCCCCGCGACCATTACCATGCCGTGAAATCTCCGTGAACGCCCAGTGCAGCATAGGCCGATCAACGAGTACGAGGAATCCAGTCATGTCGTGACCAGTAATTAGTAATTCACCGGTAATGTGGTGACTGTGGGCAGGCAGCCCAGAGGGGGCTGATGCACAAGCTGGAGGAGCAGCTGGTGGGCATCAGCCTCCGCAGCTCAGGCCGTCTGCCCGACATCGCCCCTGCACAGGTTCCCACACTCGACCTCGACCCGGGCGCTGACATGGCAGACCCGGTGCCCGGGGGTGGCTCACCCCGCCTCAGCCCGGAGCCGCCAATTGCCCGGCAGCCACCGGCGGTGGCCAGCACTCGGCCCACGTCCATCGCGCAGCGGGCCAGCATGAGCGTATGGGGGCGTTACCTGGCCAACAGGTGATTCACCTGATGAGTCGTCTCTGACTCACCTAGTCACAACACCCATGCGAGGTCCATTATCCAGCCATGAGCAGCAGACGTAAGACTGTTTGCTTCACATATTGGGCGAAGCAGACGTAAGACTGTTTGCTTCACATATTGGGCGCCGAGTGATTGAGTATTACTCAAATCTGGCAGTCCAACAATGGTAAGGAAATGTGGCAGCCTTCTCCTGCAGCTTCTCTGCAGAGGCACCTTGCCTCCTGGCAGGAAGAGCGAGTAATATAACGATAGCGTCACAGGGGCCGCTCGCATGTTCCTGGATCAAGGCTGCGCGGACTGAGTATGATTGTGTGTTGGCAGGTCGCTGATGCTGTCGCCGACCATATCAGAGGCAGAGAGGAGGGGCCTGTCTCTTGGGGCGTCCCTGCCCCACCTGGTGCCACCTGGACGCCTGCTGACAGATGCAGCATGCGGGCCCCTGGCTGAAGGCCTCTGCCTCAGCGCAGCCCAGTCAGCTGCCAGCGAGGCGCCCACTCCAGTCGTTGCAGGTAAGTGCTTCACCGCGCACCAGTGCCAGAAGTGCAAGGATCCAGTTTTCCTCCGCCGAGGAGTACAAGATTTGCAAGTGCAGTGTCTGCAGGATACTGCACACGCAAGAGCTCCTCGATCTTTGCATCATATGACACCATATAGCCCGCAGAGGCAGGGATACAGAGATGAAGAGAGAGGGATGATGTCAGCATCTTAGTGCTTCGTTGACCTGGAACAGGATGGAGAGCCACACATGCGGGTGCCGCTAGACAGAGCTTCCCGCCTGCGACTCGCGCCCTGCGGACCCCTGTGCTGGTGGCAGCAGACTCTGGCGAGCTGCAGAGCGGGCCCACCTCCATAGGGCGTGCAGCCAGGGACAACAACCAGCGCTTCCTGCGCAGACCTTTGCACACCTTCGCGAGGTGCCATGCAAAGCTATTCAATCAACAAGACAGTACCAAGCATTGATTATATTTGGCGCGATAACAGCAGTTCCTTGTGATCTGTGTGATGCTGTATGTCTGTGCATAGAATGTGAGGCTAAACTCATAATTCAGAGCAATGCTGACTACTCTGCATGGGATGTGGGGCTGACAAACTGTGCGCTGTGCAGGGGCCCGGCAGCAAGCGCACCGGAGCAGGAAACCCTCGCCACGATGCTGAACCGCTCGGCCGCGGCCGCGCTGCGCCCTGAGCAGATTGCGCTCGCGTTGGCGGCTGAACCGGCTGCGCGGCCGACTGTCTCATCCGAGATCGTCGCCGCAGCCGCGCGCAGCACGATCGCCGAGACCCCGGTTTTGTTCACACCCCCGGCCGCCCGCTGGAGTGTAGAATCCAAGGGGTTTGAACGGGAATCCCTAGCAGCTGAGGACGGCCGCACGGACGCCAAGGCGGCGGCGGCCGTCCCGAGTCCGCCGTTCGCGCGCGACGCGCGCGATACGCGGCGTTCCCTCGCGAGCCCCCAGAAGGCTGAAGCGGTCTCCAGTGCCTGCCCTGTGGAACATGTCTCTCCAGGTGCGCTACCTTTGCTCATCCCAGTTGTGCAAGCACACAGATAGGCTGTGTGTCCATGACGCAATCAGGAGCCTCCTAAATCCTCAAAGCATGACAGCTTGTGAGCTTGTTCCAAGAACCCTTTCACACCGAGATGTTGTGTGTTCTTGACAAATTGTCCAGCCGCAGTGTGCCTGGCAGGTGCTGAGCAGGGTTGTGTCTGTCTCAGGAGCCTCGGAGACCGCCGAGAAAACTACACAATTGCCCGGCCGGCCGCGGAGCAGCCGCGGCTTTGCGCGCGCCAGCATGGCGGACTGGGGGCGTGCCCCCGGCTCTGCCGCGAAGGGGGGTCCGTCCCCCGGGATCCATCCCCGGAGCTCCCCTGGCGTCAGCCCCGGCTCTGTGGGGGGCTCTGCACTGGTGGTGCACTCCCCTGTCTGGAGCTTTGACGCCGCCGGAATGCCCACGGACCGCTCTACACGACCCGCCACCGCCCGCGATGCTGCTATTCAGAGCCCACCGCGCTTGCAGCCCGCTCTGCAGCAGAAATCAGCTGCTGGAGTGGCGTCTGTGCAAAGACCGGACAAGGGAAAGCATGCAATTGGGCAGAGTGAAGAGGGGCGGGCAACCCTGGCAGATGCAGTGCGCGCTCAGGGTGGGGCACTGGACAGGAGTATCAGCTTTGTGTGCCGCGAGGTTACGTCGTCCCTGCCAGACCTGTGCTTCGCGGCGGCTGATGCGCCAGCGCCGGCCGCAGCCGCCGCGCAGCTGCCGGCTGACGCGCAGGCTGCGATTGCTGTGCCCATTGAAGCTGGCAGGCAGGATGCTGCTGCTGGAGCCAAAGCTGGCAAGGCGGTGACATGGCGGTCTCTGAACGCAACCGCCGCAGCAGCTAGCCAGCAGCTGCCACCTGCGCCCACTGACAAGGCTCAGGGCGCATCGGCAGCTCCGTCCGAGCAGCTCAGCCCCGGCGCGGAGAGGCGGGGCGCAGACAGCATAGCACCAGCAGTGCAGCCCCTGAAGGCGGCAGCGGCTGTGGCAGTAGCCGCGGCGCAACCTGCTGTCACAGCGGCTGCAAGCGTAGTCAGTCTGGCTGCGACACAGGCAGCGCAGGCCAAAGCACTGGCGACCACGGAAGTGACATCTGCTAAGGCCAGCATTCAGCTGGAGGCTGCCGCTGTGCCAGCATTATCATCTACTGCAGGTGCCCTTCTGTGCACGGCAAGTGCAAGCTCTGCCGCTGTCAGCACGAGGGAGGATGCTGGCAAACCAGCAAATGTGGCTTGGCCGCCCGCAGAGAAGGATGCAGGGTCAGCAGCCGGTGCAGCTGTGGCAGTGGAAGGTGGCCGCAGGAGCGAGGCAGCAACTGACCAGGCAATTGCAGTGGCAGCTTCTGCTGCAGCAAAGGCCAGCAAGCCAGCCGAGGCACAGACGCCGTTCCTCTCAGCGGCCTTCTCTGCACCGCTGCCCCAGAGCGACCTGGCAATCCACTGGAAGCCCGCTGCAACGAGCGGCGCGACGGCCTTCAGCAACCCCTGGTCTGCTGGCCCCAGCACCGCCGCAGCTGGCTGGGGCTCACAGGGAACGCCCTTCACCCCAGCGCCCTCCAAAGCGAGCATCGACGCAGAGACATTCCACACCGCCGGCGACGAGGTGTCGGACGCTGGAAATACGCCCCAGTCGTCTCTTGCGCACGCAGCCGGCGCTGACACGGACCAAAAGGAAGACGCTGATGAAGAGGCTGGGGAGGAAGAGGAGGCAGAGAGCAGCCCGGCAGACATCGCTGGGGAAGAGAAGGAGGGGTCAGAAGGTGAAGGTCTGGAGGGAGGCAAAGGTGCCAGCCTTCCGGAGAAATGCAAGTCGGCGATGCAGTGCATCAAGTCAACATGCGAGGCCGTCGGCAGCATGGCGGCCGTCAACGCGAGCGCGCCGAGCAGCAGCGGCAGCGCTGAGTCAGCGGAGTATGTCGGCGATGACGCTGACGATGACTCGCCGGATGACGCCGGCAATGACTCATCAGATGACGGTGACTCATCGGACGACGAGGCGTGCGCGGCCATCGGCGAGGACTCGCAGTGGGAGTCTGGCACCTCTGAGTCAGCGCTTGAGTCAGCAGATGAGGCAGATGTCGAGTCAGAGGCAGCGTCTGGCTCTGATGAGGACGATGGGGAGTCTGACGGGGAGTCGACGTCGGCAGAAAACCCTGCAGGGGATATGATTGCGGGGCTGCTGCGCACGGTCAGCACCGAGCTGGACGTGGATGACATCATGAGCATGACCGTCGCTGACCTGGACACCCGCAAGATCAAGGGCCTTGCTGAGGGCAGCAGCTGCAGCATGCAGGCCGCAAAGGTGGTCTCGTTGGAGGTGTTTGCAGGGCCATCTGCAGCCGCGGCTGCTGCCCAGATCTCTAGCAGTGATCAGGTGAGGGTTGTGTTGGGAGAACAAATCCTCCCAAACTGTAATACTCTCCTTGACACGTTCCAGGGAGTGGCAAGCTTCCTGCATAAGTTGTGAACACCAGACACGGTGTGCTAGGCTGCACTGCATGAAGCTTGTGAATCAGCTGGGGCCTTGAAAAAAAGTGCTGAGCAACGTATGCTTGACAGGATGACAAAGCCGTGAAGGAGAGTGAGGGTGCAGAAGCGATGGTAGAGGGCTCAGAGGACGAAAGCAGCGGAGTAAAAGGAACACTGGGCAATCTGAAGTGTCCCCTGCCTGGCAACTTCCTCCTGCCTGACAGCCTGTTCGGCAGCCCAGCTGCACAGGTGTAAGCCAGCAATGTTTCAGAATCCATGCACCAGTCTGTCTTGCTCACTAGGGGTTTCGGCAGTAAGCGTTTTGTCGATGCAGAAAAACAGACTGAAATGGCTTAATTTGATAGATTTCTTGCTGCAGGCAGCAGAAGTGGACACCAGCTTCACACTGAGGCGGCGGCCAGTTGCGAAGGGCAGGTGCACGACTTGCTGATCTGCAGGCTTATATTAATCCACATTTACCTGACAGTCCTAAGAAGTAATTGCTAAGTGTGCTGCAGTGTGAGAAGCAATGCTTATGAATGCTTGGCATGCATGCCTGATCAAAAATTCTGAACTAATTGTGTGCGTGTGCTTGTAGGAAAGGAGGGAGGCGTGGCAGGGGTTGAGCGTTGCATAAGACAGTGGATCTGCTGATCTTTTATAAACGTGGCATTTTTGCGCATATCTATGGAATACCTGTTGCTTAGAAGAGTTTGTGAAGCCGCCCAGATGCAACGGACTGTGTTTGACATTGAAAAATAACACAACGTTGCTGCATCTGTCTGCGCAGCATGCTGTGGTATTCCCTTGGAAAGTTGCACAGCTATATACCCTCTTTCACAGTTGAGACCCCAAAGGTGCAAGATTTAATGGGACTTGCAGAGGGATTGCAGGGTCTTAACCACCCGGTTGAACTCCTCTGTACATTGTGGCTCCTTTGATGAAAAGACAGCATCTACACAGAGAGAAATGCCTCTGTACAATTTACTTCAACTAAGTAAATACTTCAATGCCAAGCTGAGCATAGCTGATCCTCCTAGTAAATGTACATAGGCTCCTTGAAATGCACCTGCTCATACTGGCAAGGAAAAATCTCCAAGGAAATTATTCCCTGATTCATTCTGATCTATGCCATGTTCCAGCGAAATATTTGGCCTCTTAAAATCCCGACAAAGTGCTCCTGACCCACCACCGGGCATTATGATCCAGTGAGACAGATACAGCCCGATGCCTAATGATGATGACGCATCCACTGCATGCACGGCTTCCTCACTCATCCCTGAGCTACTTCCGCACAGCTCGATACGTAGCTCTAGTAAGATGGAGATTGCATTCTGCATGTGTGTGTGGGCATTCAGGGTGCATGGATCATTCAATTGGTCAAGCGCGACATGAGAATCACAAGGCGCTCAGGTAACCACATGTCTCGCTCTGCCACCCCTGCCCAGGAGGTATCACTCAAGGGGTAGGCGGCCGTACGCGCGGTTTATAGTCCCATCAAACAGATATAGCCCATGCCTACTGCATACAAGGCTTTATGTACGCATCCCTGATCTGCTTTGGCACAGCTCGCGCACTCGGCTCTAGTCGGGTGTTTAGGTAACCCTCAGTCACCCCTGTCCAAGGGGTGTTATTCGAGGGGCAGGCGGCCGCAAGCGCGAACAGAGGCGAGCGTTGCGCCGAGGCCGTGCTTCTGAAAGGCCTCGTGGGCGGCCCGGAAGCCGTCCCCATAAACGTGGCTGCGGTCCGTACGGATCTGGTGCGCGAAGTAGCTGGCCAGCCGCTCCTCCCACGTCCCCTGCACGTTGATCATCGATCATCCTGTGCCTCTGGTCATCACTGGTCGTCACTAAAGCCACGCGCTTCTTGACCCAACATGTGACTCACACCGGTGCAAATGAGAACTTGCTCCTTCCAACATTTTCAATATATGGTCTTTGGACTGCCAACCCAGTCAGCGCAAACGCTGCCACCAATGTAGGACAAACACTCAAACATGTAAAATGCAGCGCAGTGGCACAGCGCAGAGCGCAGAAGCTGCCACCTGTGTAGGACAAATACTCAGAGACTCTAGAGCAGTGGAGTCAAAGCAGAGCGATAGGGCGCAGAGCGTAAAAGCTATCAATGTGGGGCAAACAGTCATTATTTGCAGTGGCACAGAGCAGAGAGGAGGGCTGCACCTCGGGGGCGGGCGGCTGGTGCTCGAGCCACAACAGGGCCATGAGCTGGCAGAGGCCCTCCTCCACATCCAGGCTCAGCCGCGTGTGGCCGCTCAGGCGCAGGTATGCGTGCATCAGCTCGTGCGCCAGAATGCTGCCCGTCAGCAGCCACGGCATCCCGTACTGCACCAGGATCGCCGTCACCTGTGCGCGACCCCCAACCAACACGCTCAGTTCACCTCGTTCTGCACCCTCAGAAAACTCCCGGAAACCCAGACATTTTGCCGTTTACTGAGGCCAACAAGTCCAATATGGGCGGCTCGCCTAAAGCTGAAGCAGATCTTGACATCTTTGCAGCAAGGCCAGCCAACAACACTGACAGCATGTCCTCTACGGCAATGATGTCGTGCAGACTCGCGAAGCAGCCTTTCTCTGCCGGCTGTCCTCTGCGCGCGCTTGTACCAGAGGGGCAGGCAACACGATACTTACACACCGGGGACCAAGAACAACATATGGGAGCAACACGTCCCGCGCGCACCTCGGTGTGCGCGGGCCCCTCAATGTGGGTGGTCTCGGGGCGGATGGAGAAGAATGGCAGGCCGCCGCCGGCGCCGCGGTTGCGCACGACGGTGCGGATCTGCCGGTACTCCTGCGTCAGCGTCAGCCCGCGCGTGTGAAACACCGGGCCGCTCCCGTCGCCGCGCCGGCCGCCGCCGCCGCCGCCGCCGCCGTTGCCGGCCGGGCGGTGCTCGACGGCCTCGGCGGAGTTAAGCGCGGCAGAGTCGACTAGCATCAGTGGCGGCTTCACCGGCAGCCGCATGCCCATGCCCTCGAAGAATGTCATGATCTGCAATTGCACACGCAGCACCACTCAGCTCAACCATGCCAATGCACATCACTACAAGCACACCCTTCAAGTGTTGGGCCGAATTATTTCTATAGATGTAAAGGAGTTTAAGGACACATATACACAGCCAAAAGCCTCAAAAGCCTGAAGGCAGGCCTCATCACCCAGCCCTCTTGCACGATCCTCTCGCCAGTCAAAGCCCTGGCACTGCGGTAAGCAAGTAGAGATGCACTCATGGCACTACTGCGTCGTGAAGTCCAGTGACCTGAAGGCCAGAAAAAGAAGGAGATGGGCATATGCTGCACCTTGGCGTAGAGCGGCTGGGCGTCTTGGGTGTCCACGACGATGCTGTCGAGGCAGGCGAGGCAGATGTGGCGCCCCTCCTCCAGCTGCGCCCAGTGCTCAGCCCTGTGTTATAGATAATTGGTCCCCATCAGCACGAAATTAGATCCACGTCAGCTACGAAAAGGTCCCGGGTAGCACCCCAGCACCTGAGGCATGATGCCCCTGCTTGCAGATGGACTACAAACAACACCGGCAAAGCAAGTGTTCCTTTTTCAGTGCAGGCAATGCGGATGAGGCAGTGAGAGCCCCAAACAGACTTGTCACCGTCAGCACCTCAGCACCTGAGCATGCCGCTGCTTGCACATGGACAAGAGACACAACTGCACAAGCAGTCATTACCTTCAAGGCAGGCGATGCTGACAGAGGGCGGTATATCAAGAATACACTTCCGTGAGGGTCAAGTAATGTCCAAATGGCAGCGCAAGGGGACATAAGTGTCAAATTGCATGCCGGCTGAAACTAATCGTCCTCTGATAATACAGTGAGAGCGCAATGCAGCAATGAATATTTGGGGGTATGGAGGGTTCCAGTGGCATGGGAGTTGCTGAGACTCACCTGGGGCAGAGGCGCTGGCAGGCGGTGCAGCGGACGGTGCCGTCGCTCTGGTGGGCAGGGCATGACTTCTGATCCTTCCAGAAATCGTGGGTCATGTACATGATGCCCCTCCCAGGCTGCGCGCACAAAGCAAAGAGCATCTAAACACTAGAACAATACCCATGCAGCTACACTGCTTCAGCAGACAGAGATCGACCACCAACCAGCCAAGTCCTGCAAAAGGGTTGCATTCCTTGTACACTCGCACAACCCAAAGCAAGATCCCACAACTGTCTCAGTAAAGAAGATAGTCAGACACTGCCAGGATGCCAGGGTAAGAAAAAAGTTCCTGATCCCCCCAAAGCAAAGAGGCAAAACATAAAAATGCACAACATGCAAGATTTGCACACTACTGCCTCTGTTGCGTAGTATATTTCCTCGGGTCAAAATATGGAAGGATTGAGAAGATAGATTGCCAGGAGGGAGGCGTGATGTCAGCGCACCACTTCGGGGATGATGTCAGCGCAGACGCAGCAGCGCTGGCCGAAGGCGAGCCGGTAGCAGTCCGGGTGGTAGGGAACGTGGCCGTCCGGCTCTGTGACAAAGCGATCGGCCATCGGCAGCTTGCAGTGGCCGCAGCAGAAGCAGCCCTGGTGCCAGCTGTGGCCCAGAGCTGATATGTACGTCCCCCAGCCGCCGTGCGCCGGGTGGCCGCAGCCGCCACAAAGATTCGCATCGAGCACTGCAGGACAGGGGCAGCCTCTCAGTACCACCCTTGCTGAGAAACAGCACACAAGAAGAGCGGTGCGCTACGAGTCAGAAAGGGAGAGTCCCACGACCTTGCCATCAGTGCTTGTGACATAAGAGAAGGGGTGTGCCACTCGTCAGACAGGACCCGGTCAGTTGTCAGTGTCCCTGCTAAGAAGTTACGAACACAGGTGTGCAATCAACTGCTTCAGAAAGAAGAAGAGACAGAGACAAGTTTTGTCTTTGGAGCATTGAAGAAAGAGTCAGCCCACCTGGCTGCTGAGGGGGCGGTGTTCGGGTTGGAGTGCTCTGTCTGCCGCCTGTCAAAGAGCTGGCACCCTGCTGTGATTCCCTGTTGAGTTGCTCCTGCAGCGCCTTGGCCAGTGCCTCATCCCTGGAGTCAGGCTGGGGCCGTGGAGCCTCCTATTCAACGGTTGAAGCTTTCAGAGCACCCGCTATGGGACTATATCGACATGATAAGGGCTGCAGGCAGCAATGGGTTGTTATTGGCAAGCATTGCAAGGTCTGTGATATCTCTACCCCTTGCTGCAATGCAACTTGATCCAATAAATCAAGAGCAGGCATAGAATAGCCAGAGTCCCATTCCATGAATTCTGGCTCATCAAGCACAGGACCTGCTTGAGCTGCACAAGCGCTGACATCATCAAGAGGCACATGGATAGGCTGGCACACAGCTTGTCAGCTGTCTTTATGCATGGCTGGCACATCGCTGCACAGCAGTGCAGGCACAGGTACTGCATGACACCCATTAAACACAATCGGCCAAAAGATATGACACCCACCTCCATGTCTAATTGCTGCTGCAGAGCCCGAGCCAGGGCCTCATCATCGGTGACGATAGGCAGATGCTGCCGCGGTACAGATGCCGAATTTCCGCTAGAACCATTTGCCAGCGGCTGTGGGAACGTGGCCTGCCAGCTGGGCCCAAGCTGCGGCTGCTGCTGCTGCTGCTGCTGGGGGATACCAGAGGGGCGATACTGCTGCACTGGAGGGTAATGGGTGCGCTTTGACGAGGAAGGCTGAGGTGGCGGCTGAGCTGGCAGGGAAGGTGCGGCAAAGAGCGGGGGCAGCGCTGCAAAGGGATCCTGACCAGACACCGAGGAACTGCCAGCAGGCTGCACTGTAGGCCGGATATCCCAAGGCATGCGGCGATTTGGTGCGAAGGGATTGTTGCTGCTAGGCCGCTGCTGCTGCACCTGCTGCTGCTGAGGAGGCGGCTGAGTGGGTGGCTGGGAAACACCCAAGTCTGCAAAGGTGGCAAATGGGTCGGCTGGCTGACTGGACGAGGGCTGACCTGCTGATGCCAGCCGCGCACGTTCCACCTCCTGTTGTTGCAGCTCATACGCAAGCTGCTCGTCGCCTGGGCACAGCAGGACAAATGTCTGCACACCATCAAGTGACCTGCACAACTCCTGGTGTGCAGCATGTTGCTCTTAGATGTCAACAAAGCACAAGCAGGTGGAATGCGGTGACAGATGTGATGTCTTCCTGCATAGCTTTTCAGCTGTGAGCAGCATGCAAAACAATCAAGGAAGAGCGAGTGAGTCATATTTGAGCCAGGGGGTGACGGCGGGGCGCACTGGTCTGTTTTGAAAGCTTTAGAGCTTTTTGAAGTTCGCGGTCCTCCTCATCTGGTGCAGAGGGCTGCGCGCCTGCACCAAATAAAGTTGGATTTGACAATTGCTCACTCTGTACGGCATGCTCACGGGCGCTGGCTTCCAAGGCTGCCTGCAGCGCAGCGTCCTCATCGTAGCCTGCAAGAAAGCAAGCCATCAGCTGCTCACCAGGATCACGAGATAGAAGAAGAGCTCTGCGTTGACATGGATGTCTTGAGAAGCGAAAGAGCCAAGGTTTTGCTATTCTGACTCTCAAGATATTGGCGAACCGTCCTGCCAACCAAACTTCTATGGTGGCCGATTCAAGTTGAAATACAAGGCAGCAGGGCCACTGATCGGCACATTTATGACATTAATAACTCCGAAATGATGCTGAAGTGTTCAATCATCAAGGGTTGGTCAAGAACTACACGGACCTGGGCCTGTTTCTACACGGTGCAGACCGTCAGAAGCGGCATTTCTTTGCGATCTGGCCATGGTACTGCTATTCGTGGCACTCACATCTTTTGCAGGACTTTTGCAGCCCCGCCACGTCCTCATGGCGAGAGTGTGAGGGAGCTACAAGAAAGATGTACTCTATGCCAGCTCAGTAATCTCTTCCAGAACAAGTCCTGTATACGTCGGTGAAATCAGTGAATAACTTGGAGAGAACTGAGCATCTCAGAAGCTTCCTAGGCTCATGAAGGAGTCGATGAGCAGATGGCCCGGAATGACGAAACAGGCAGCTTCCTCCAGCTGCCACCTGAGCACATGACGCCACCCGGGTATCCAAGGATGTGGAAGTGCATGCAGGCTTATTATTATTATTATTATTATTATTATTACAGGTCGGCAAACCCAAAGCCAGAGGCCATAGGGCATACACGCAGGGCGTCTGCAGCCACATCTGCGGGGCCTTCTTGGCTTGCAGACCGAAAGAACACCAGGTCAACCTCAGACATAAAGGTATAATTCTGCACAGCCATGCATATCTCATATGATCCTCAGATATTGCCACCTGCGCCATGAGGTGCTAGCAGCACATGATGCAGCTGTACCGTGCACTTCAGGTGCTGGCAGCGCTGCTGGGACCGCAATGCATCATCCATGTTGATCAGCTGTCAAGTTCAGTAAGCCGCGGCAGCTCAATGTACTATTACATTGTCTTGAAGTGTCTGTGTGCAGCACAGACTCAAGAATTTGGTGTATTCCAAAAGATCGCTTGTGATCTTGTGATATGATCAGGTTCCACATCTGCAATGAATTGGGGCAAAAAGGCGCATATCTTTACTCTCTGAACAAGCCAGGTCAAAGAAGGCAACCTACAGTACATTGGGGAGCAGGCCAGTCAAGCAGCTCCATCAAAAGTGCACAACATGATAATGCTCTTAGTGCTTCACAAAACAAACAGGTACACACCAAATGGTGTATGGTCTCTTGATGACAACAGTCGGATTAATAAAACTTTTATCACTAGCTTTTCAGTAGCACCAGCGCAGAGCAAGTCAAGGCAAGAAGATGAATGCAGTCAGATTGCCCTGGCACAGCAGGGCCTGAACTTATCGTTTGAGTTCCAATAGAATTCAATCTTGCTTGTCAGATCATCTGACTCAGATGCCTAGGGAGCCGAGCCTATTCTTGAGGCAGTTACCAAATCAGCCTTGCGAGTTGGTATTCCCATTGCCATTGTTGACTCCGTTGCCATTCCCCACATTCCCGATCCCATTGCCATTGCCGTTCAAGCTCCCTGAGTTGTTGTTGCCGTTCTGGTTCCCATTGCCAGCCCCACTGTTGCCCTCTCCATTCCCCTGCCCATTGCCTGTCCCAGCATTATTCACGCCGTTTGCGAGGCCGTTCACCGTCAAAGGAGTGTTTGGCGCTGCCCCTGAGGCGGCTGCACCGGCCTGCGCAGGCGCGGTGTTGGTGTCCAGGCCTAGGACGCTCCCGATCTTGCTGTCAACCAGGCTGTAAGAGCTGACTTGGCCCACCCCTGCCGGGTAGGTCACCGGGGAGGCTGGGCAGTTGCTGACAGTGATGACCGAGCCAGAACCTGCGCAGGGCGTCCCAGCAAGCTTGCTTGATGACACTCGCGCTCTGATCTGAGGCAACAGGCTGCAAGGTCATGCTGCTCCGTAGCCGCCGGCTGGTGGGTATGTAACGGGCACTTGCATGCAGCTACCGCTAACCCCATTGGCAGAACCCGAGCCTGTCCCACAGATGAGCAGTGCATCACAACCAAGGAGAATTCATATCACTGCAACCTCACAGGCGGCTTTGTACACAGAAAAGATGAGTACTGTACGGAACGTGCAGAATTGGACTTCAAGGATGAAAACTATTTAGGCTTTTGAGGTGGTGAGCTGGCTGTGTCGCACTGGAGGTGAGTCATCCTCACCTCCGCTGCAGGCCGCCCTGCCAGTGTTCTGGATGCCGCAGCTCCACGACAGTGAGGTGTCAGGCATGGAGAATTGCACCTGCCTACAGGTCGGTCCAAACACCCAGGACTGACCCTGCAAACACGACACGAATTGGTTGAACCTGAAGAGAGAAGGTCTACCGTATTGAGTATCTGACTTCCTGCCATGTAGATGATGAGCTGGTAAATCTGAGGCACAATTTGCACAAACGACATATGGCAAGTGAAAGGAAGCCTGGCTGTACCCCAACGTTGCAGACTCCTTGGTTGTAGATCACTTTGCCAAGCCCAGTGGAGCTTCCTGTCAGCTGCACATTGCCTGCACAGATGACATTAATTGACATTGACTTTACATGTGATGACAGCTGGAATGATAAGGGCAACACAAGAGTACAAGGCTACTTAGAAGCTGTATGCTTGGAGCATACCGTTTGCAGCAAGCACGTACTGATCCCCCGTCCCTGAAGATGTGATGGTTGCGCTTGTGTTTACGCCGGAGACATAAATGTTTCCTGTGCCTGTATTCTTCATAACGGCACTCGTGATGTTGCCTGTCACCACGGATGATCCAGTCCTGCATTTATGGCCGCACTGTCAGGAGAGGAAAGCTAGCACCAATATGGAAGGCCACACCTACAAGAGAAAGGTCCTTTCCTACAGCTTACACTGGTGACACAAATCCAAAAATAACAACAGAGGTGCAAAGATGTCTCAATTTCAGTAAGGTCAATTGGGACCCAGGCTAGGACATACCCCGAATTCACAAGAGTCAGCATTCCCGTGTCTATCCCTAGCACGTTGAGCTGTGACGTCCCTTGAGCATTGATTGTGAGCTTCGGTGTTGTAAATCCTGGTGCTACGATCGCGGGAAAAGTGCCGCGAGCTGTAACAGCGAACAGTGCAGTAGCTGGTAGGCCAACGGTGACCTTGATGGGGTTTGTTGTCGTGAAGGCATTGGACTCCAGAAGGAGCGTGTCGCCATCAATAAGGGTAGTGATAGCCTCTTTCACGGCCTCGTCGGCGTCAATTGTGACCTCATACCCTTCTGATGGCTGCACAAGAACTGTGAATGGAGCGCACAATGCCACACGTGAGAAAGGCGACTGCGTCAGGTCACGGGTCTGGACCCTCGAGCTCGCTGGTCCTGGAGCGGGCGCTCCAATCTGTGAGCCAGCTTCTGCTGACGGGCCTGGAGTAGGCTGGGCACTGCTGCTCACAAGGAGAGCACAGAACATACACACTGTTTTGAAGCCTGGTTGAATCATGCTGCTGCTCTCAAGTATGCATACAAGATTTACACAGATTTCTGGGTTATTTCAGCTTTGTCAAGACCAAAAAAGATTGATCAGATCCTTGGAAGCTGCTCTGGGATGACAAATCAGAAGGACACATGGCAGGGTTCGTAAAACTCCCTTCAACACCATCATCAACCCTTAACCCTTGGCTCCTTCAGCGAACGAGCCCATCGGAGTTTCGCTGATTCTGATTGATGATTGGCAGCTGCTGACACTTGTTCCATGCTGGAAGGCAAGTCGTGCTCAACGGGCGGGCAGGTGCCATGTCTGCCGATCTCATAGAACAAATGATGGCCGAAGCTTGCGAGAACAATGGCTTATTGTGATTCATAATTGCTCTCTGGAGGGAATGTTGGGAATCAGGGAATCTTCATATTCACAGGGCGATCGCCCCTCATAAGGGCCATCATGCGGTTAGACCGTACCCCTCGGTGGGTACCCAAGGTGGGCTGCCTGGCTGAATGATAAGTTTACTTGATCCTGCATTTGGTGAAGCGTATCTCAAAAGGCATCTACCATGCAGACTTTTTAATGGCCAAGCAACTGAAAGCTTGTTGCAGATGCTGGAACTGACATTTATATTTTGTTGTTCAGGAGCTCTAGAAAAGCTGGTGAGATAGGCGATGGACAGCTTTGCAAGCCTGGATTCCCGCTTAAAGACACGCTGGGGATGAGGGGTTGTGTGTTGGCCTTGCCGAAGGGTGAGTGCTCTGCACCAACATTTTCATTCCTCATCCAATCAGAATGGCTCCATCCCCTGAAGTGCGATATCAATGTGCTCCATTGTGAGGGCAATGGTCCTTTCTTGGGTTTGTGCTTTGTCAAATCTTGCAAGACTTGCATGAGAGGATGGGACGCATCAATGGATGTGAGCGCAGAATGTAGGAGGAATGCTGTCAGCATTATGCATTATGCTGTCCTGTGCTGCACTGCGTATATTAAGACTCCCTGGCATGACTTGTTCAACAAGTTGCAAGTTGCAGACCACAATGTTTGAAGGCATGCTGTGGACAGTGGACAGTGGCGGGGTGGGCGTGTCATGCACACCCACTGCATAAAAGCATGCGGCATGCATTGGTACTTGCGTGAAGGGATGCATCTGCTGCAAGCAGAGTCTCTATGTCTGCTAGTACCATGAAACACATGGTTGTTTTGTCTTGCTTCCTTCTTTGTGTAAATGCACCTATTAGCTCTTATATCTAGTAGATATAAGAGCTGGTGATGGTTTTAATGAATATATTCTGTGAAGAGTGTGCAACCTGCCAGGCACTCAAGTTGACTGGTGATGGCACACCATCTTGATGGGTTAGAAGAGCTTTAAGAAGCTTTGATCAAAGTTGTCACACGGTCACACATCCCGGGTGTGAGGTGTTGCGGGAAGTGAATGCACATGCACAGATCTGACTGCAGTGAAATGCATGCACATGCCTCTAGTCACCTCTGTCAGTGCAATGAGAATGCCTGACCAAGTGGAATACGTAAAAGATTCCCACACCTAGACAGTTGACTTCAGAGACATTTCACATAGACCCGTTACGTGCCATATCGACCCTAAACCCTCGAGTCCATCAGCCTGCTCAATGTCCTGTCCAATGGAAAGTGGAACAGCGGGCGGGATTGGTTGTGGGTTGAAGGACAAACATTATCTCGGAAATCTCTAAATCTGCTCCGATCAACTCGTTGCATCAACCTATCTGGAGGACACCTGATCTGAAGCAACGTTACATCCAGGAGGAAGACTAGCGATCAATAATACGGATTCAGAGGCAATCTGGAAGGCAAATTTATCCAATATGCTTGGATCGCAATCTCATCTGAGTCTCAACACTACCCTAGACACAAGACAAGTTCAGCACAATTAACTAGACAACACGATTGAACACCCTCTGCGGGTGATTGGTCCGCACAATGGGCCTACATGCTCCAAGAGAGGCAGTAATATCTATTCCTGATCCTTGGACGTTATTTGATGGTACCTAAAAGGCTGAAGAAGTCACTTGCAGAGATGCATGCCGCTGCACCGGCATTATTTGTTTCTGTACTTCTTGGTATCTTCAGCAAGAGTTTGGCCTCTCCGATACAGATCAATTGGTTCTATGACAGCCTGCCTTGCAAGGGAGGTAAGTTTGCTTCTTCAGCTGGTTGACCTTCCCACTATATACAGCACAGCTTCTTACCACTGAATTGCCCCACAGTGAGCAGCACGAGGATACACCAAGAAGGACTGGACTTCACAGTGTACCACAGTCTCTGGTAAGCCACCTGACAGGCGTGAGGCTTCTCAAGAAACCCATTAGCAGTTGACACATGCCATGCATGCAGCAGATACACGCTGTCTGGCTGTCTCCAGGTGGCACAACAAGCGCTTCTATGCTGTGTTGGATGGCAGCAACAAAGATGAAGCACTCAGCCCTGCCATCTCCATGAACACAGGCATCATGGGGCTGCCTGTGAAGGATGCACAGCTGTACTATGACAACCTCATGGTCAGCTCTCTGCAAGCCCATGGCACCTGTGTTGCTGCTACTCATAGATTTGACTGCTGTGCAACGCATGGGGCAGCAGTAAACCATGCATGCATGGAAGCAATACAGTACGAAGAGAATTATGCATGAATAAACTGTGCTGACGTGTAGGCTGGTTGGGTGCCTGGCACAAGCCTTCTGCTGGACTTGGCATTCCCTGCCTTCCCTGACAACATGGGGCATTGGATGGAAGCCCTGCTGCCAGTGTACAATGTGCTGGAACAAGGGTTGTGGAAAAGCGCCTTGCCTGAAGGATCGGGCTTCATTGACAACATCGTCTTTGTCAATCTCAGGAGGGACAACCTGGCAGTGAGCCTCCCAAGATGCCAGCGGCCTGTCATGCACTCTGCTCTCTCCATGTCTCCGCCTTTTCTCAGCTCTTGGTTAATGCTTCTGAGACGCCTGATATGGATAGACCTGATTGGAATTGCCTGCATGGGGGATGTGACCAGGATGTTTGTTTGCTTTCCTTGTGCACAGGACTTGGACTGGGTGTGGGAGATGATCAAGCTGGCTCTTGCTCCGGCTCTGCCTCCCAACAAAGACATGCCTCGAATTCTGTTCTATGAGGAGCTGGATCACATGGACAAGGCATCCTGGCTGGGTCTGGAGGCTGTTCTGGTGGCCACTGACAGGTACAGCGGACATGCCCCACTTGTGCAGCAATGTACATGCCTGTGAAATTGTTCATTTGGTGTTCAGGACTGCTGATCCTGTCCCTCTTTTCAAGATGACTCTTTGGGCTAAGCAATTTTTGACACACTGCTTGCAAGGAAACAATGATGAGTTCCCTTGCTCCCAGGTATGGGAGGGAGGATGGGCTCAATGGGTTCTTTGAGGCGGAGGTTGGAAGGAAATTCAGGGAGGCTGCGTTCAATAACCATGGCCTGCAGCCGCCTGCGGCAGGGAATCTGCCTCGCACCATTACCCTGCTGTCTGCAGTCCAGGGCGAGGAGGTACACCCTCCTCTCCCACATGCATGCATCCCATGCATCGAGCATTCTTGCACCCTTCACATCGCTATTTCTGATTCGCTCAACCTGCTGCACTGCTAGTTAATTTTTGTGGGGCCCGGCTGGCAGAGAGGGTCGGCTCTTATCATGGACGGGGAGGCTCATGATAAAAAAAAATGAAATTCAAGAAATAAAAATATATCTCGAAGAAATTTCAAAGTGCGCATGGCTGCAGGTGGTGAACAGGGAGGAGCTGATGGGGGCGCTGCAGGACATTGGGCACACGCTGGGACTGGCAGTGCGCCCCTACACAGCCACGGCCCGGGCGCCCTTCGAGTCTTACCTTTCTGTCATGGCCCGCACCGGCGTGCTGGTCTCCCGCCATGGGCCGCTGCTCGCCAACTCCATCTTCCTTCCACCAGGTCCACCTCTCCTATAAAATTGATGGGATCTGCTCTAAACAAGGGACCTTGCCACTGCCCCTACCAGTGTCATGCTGAGAGTGTGAAACTTGATGAAGATATGGCACTTGCATTTCCAGTCAGAAGTCTGGCAAATCAGGGGGTACCAAATCAAAAGAGGTAGGCTTCAGTACCCCCTAGCCAGTCCAGCGGCGGGGTCATCTATCGTGTTTAAAGGGGGCTCAGAAAAATAACTGCTGTCTGTGGGCACAGGGGCTGTGGTGATGGAGCTGCTGCCATACAACTGGGAGTGGAAGGGCATCAGCAAGATCTATGTGAATCTGACGCGCAGCCTGGGGGACATCCATCACATTGCCTGGCGCGCCACGCACCCCAAGTGGGCCCTCTACGGCAGCGCCGACCACGCACGCTATGCAGAATGGACGCCAGAGGAGTGCAACTCCAGGTAAGTTCAGACCTCAGCCCTTGATCGTGGCAACACGCCTCAACATGCACTTGTACTCTGATTTTGTATCGCCCTTGTGATAATTAAGAGGGGTGGCCGATGGTGTACCCCTTCCTGAGGACAGAAGCGGCCGTCTGTTGCGAGGAGGCCTGTTCACTGGCATGCAAGAAAGGCAGGATCCTCCCTTAAAGAAGCAGTGAGGCTACCTGACACAAAGGAGTCACGCAATTTATTAGTCATGGCTGTGAAGAAGGAGGGAAAGAAGATGAGGCGATTTGAGCAGTGGAGTGCTGCAACTTGTGCAGCCTGTTGTTTCCCAATTTCTTTATGCCCTGATTGTAAAGGGGATTGTTGCGCAGGGACTGCCTGGAGGTGCATGCTGCCGCGGCGATGCGCGTGGATACTGCAACGGTGCAGGAGATGCTGATGCAGATGGTGCCGGGTGCCATGCGCGGCGAAAGTGTGCGTTCGCTGCGGCAGCCCTGGCCAGAACTTGCTCTCGCGAAGGGGAACACCGGGCTGTGGTGGGACAAATGACAGCGCATCATGCAGATTATGGTCTGGTTGTTGTGTTTTGAGAGGCTGGAGCATGTGCTGTGCCATTTGCCCAAAGCCATGTCTTCCAGGAAGGCGGATGACGACTCTTCGATTCTCTCTCTGATGTGCTGCATCAGTGCAGAGAAAATTATGCCCGAATACCTTGAAGTGGACCATGAACAATCAAGAAGTGACAAATTTAGTTGTCACGGGTCAACTAAATCTTCCCAGAACGGGTCATAGAAGTGAAGCTAGTTACGATGTGTATCGCAGCAGAATCTGCCTAGGATTGTGTTTGGAAACATATATTGCACAGGCCATCATGCGCTCAGCACTGATGCTGGGCAGCCATGTTGTGTCAAGCCAAGTAGCGAGACAAAGCCTGCCAGTATGCAACAGAAAATTTCAATCCCTTTCTCTAATCAGCAAATTCCACACAATGGACCATGGCAATTCATTACAAGATGGTGGTAAAATACAGAGCAGCATGCCAGTGTTGCTATCACATGTAGGCCCGGCCGCCGCTGTTCTCGCTTATGAGAGACATATGGCCCTCGCGCACAATTTCCAGCAGGTCCAGCTCCTCTGTCTCCCCAGTCACATACATGATCTGCGCCTTGTGATTTGTGGTGTCCACGTCATGGATCTCGATTAGGTACCACAGGTTGTCATCCGGCCAGTACAGCTCTGCTCTCCTGCCCTTGAGCCGCTCGTTCACATCTGCATGCGTCAACAGCCGCCCAAGAGCCTGCACACACATTATTTGATATTAGTCATGTCATCTCCATCCAATTTCAAATTTTGCCCACCCTGTTCCTTATTAAGTGTTGTGTTTTCCTGTCATGTCCAGAAATGGGCATTTGACCAAAAGCAGAGCAGCACTAATGCGGTAGCTAAGGGTGGGTGCGCAGTCGCAGTCAAACAAATGAGGATAAGGCAAGGCCAGCGCATGGGTTGACCTGTGGGGCGGGTGCTGAGGTGGACATGCCCTGGGGCACGATGGGCATGTAGGGGGCGGGTGCATCCTCCTCCTCGCCCCCTCTGTCCTGCTCCATCGGCATCGGCTGCGACAGGATCCCTGGCAGGCTTCCCAGCGCCCTGGCACGCCACACACCCCGCTTAGCAGAGCAGATATTCAACAGGTCCTGTCAGGAATGGCACATGAGTTCAAACCTTTGCAAGGTTGTGAAAAAGTCCTTGAGTTGAGCAGGATATGCCTGTGTCCTTCTGGCATGAGCTCGATATTCAACAGCACCAAAATTATAGATATGATAGACATAATGGATATTTTCAGAATAATGGTGGTGTTGACAACCAGCTCGACACCAAAGGGATTTAGCACTCTGTGCAGATGGTCAGAGACCCTTCTGCAGGGCTAGAAAAATGAAGGTGGTTGTTGTTACCTGTACTGCCCTGTGTGGGTGCCCATGCTGTTGATGGGGGATATCCGCCCGGACAGGTTGACATTGGCGGGCATGTGCATGGGCAGGTGCGAGGCAGAGTTCTTCTTCCTTGTTGGCGCTTCCACCGGGGGCGCCACTGCTGTGGGTGTGATGGCCATCTCAGGCTCCTTCCTGTTGCCTGCATTGCCCATCAACCCCCTTTCAACGTATCGGCCTGGCCAAACTCCAAGTCGCTGACTCGCCTGTTCTCATCCTCGCACTCTTCTTTCTACTAGCCACCTGTTCATCACCGCTCTTCCTGTGCTTCAGACACTGTCATGAACGCGTGTGCAGTCCTGCAGCTCTCAACAACACAGCTCTTTGTTTTACTAAATTAAACATTGAATTTTTAGTTTCTCATGTTTTAGTATTAGTTTGTACTGTTCGCACCCTTGCCGGTGTTGGCGGCTTTGGGTTGCCGGGGGGCGGGCACCGGGAACTCTCCAGACTGCTGCCGCGAAGTGGGCTCAATTTTTGGCTCCGGCTTCACCTCAGCTTCCTCTACGGCCAAGGAAGCTGCCAGCGCAGCTGCCTCCGCAGCCGCCTCTGCCGCCGCGCGTCGTTCTGCCTCGGCCGCTTCGCGCTCCCGCCGCTTTGCTTCCTGCTGTTTTCGCGCGAGCAACCGGTCACATTGCTGTCGCGCACCGCATGTGACACGATACTAGACAGCGTCCGCACACGGACACTTGCTGGATCGCATGAAAATTTCAATCTCCCCTCAACCAACCAATCAATCAATCATTCTGTGAGATCCTTGCTGCTTTGAAGCTCCCTAGCCTGTGTTTCTGCAGCTTGATGTGGCTTTGAGCAGGCCTTATCCTGGAGTCCCACTTCTTATGAGCATCAACAAGCAGCCAGCCACAAGAGTACCTCGTCACCGAGTCGTAATCACAATTCTCCAACTTTTTTACCCCCGACAATTGCACAAGGAAATCGCAGGAAGTGGTTAATACCTTTGCTTCGCGCTCTGCAGCATTAATCGCCTCAAGTTCACGCTGGCGCTGCCTGCGGTTGGTCTCCTCTGGCGGAGTGTACTCCATGCCCAACATGTCATCCTCATACTCTGTGGCCTGGTCAAAACACCGATCATGTGACACCTCAGCACAGGAATCCTTATTACCTAAGAAGAGCTTCTTGACATTCGTAATGAAGAGCGCGCGTGATCTCGCAATCATGTCAGAGTCTGCCCTGACCCCTCAGAATTGAGGCACCAGCTCAATTCCGTGGCATTGGTCTTGATATCTTTCCAAATTGATATTAGGTACACCTCTATCACTTGAACTTCTAAGCATTGCTGTTGTTGATTCATAAATGTCGGGGGCCTCACTTTGAGCTCAGCCAGCAGAGCGCTTATGTCCTGGTCAATGGTGGCGCGATGCTGCTGCACCAGGTCAACAGCGATGGTAGCCAGGCTCAGCTTCTCCTCTGCCCACTGCACATACATGCGCTGATCGTCCTCTATCACCTTCTTCAGTGAGGCCAGCTGCACATGCACACATGCTGTCAGATCTCTGTAAATCCTTTTCTCGCTGCAGGGGGCTTAGTAGCTACAGCTGCACATGAGATCTACCACTTGCAGTGGCAGGCATGGGTAGATGGTGCTGTGATTATGAAGGTGTTAAAAAGTTACAATTTTTGTTGAGCTCACATCTTCAGGCAGATCTGACATGCCCTTCCTGGACGGTGGGGCGGGTCTGTCGAGGAAAGTCTCCACGTTCTGAGCAATCCGCTCTCTTATGTCTGCGAGCACATCATGGCAAATTGTTATCATTAAAGTCGCAACAACAATGCCACACTTCATATCCAGGTGCACAATTACTTTGACAGTTTGATGTTAGTGAAGCACTGAAGTGGAGCCTCCCTTACCTGCAGCTCGTTCATCAAGATCCTTGATGGTGAGCAAGATACGTGTCAGCTCAGGAGGAAGTCCTCCAGTGTCTGACAGATGCAACACAAGAAAAGTTAAGCTTAAGATGAATGTATTGTTCCTACAAAAGGAGTCTTGGACAGTGCAAACAGCACGCTTTCTCGGCAATTGGGGAGGAAGGCAAGCTGAGGTATTGCAAGTGTCTACAGAACATGGTTATGATTCACTTGAGACCTCTACACTTGTGATCAAAAGGACAGAGCAGGCGCACTTTCGATAAAATTTTCGAGGTAGATGATGTGGCTCATAGTCACAAATTTTCAAGTGCTGCAATTTCTGTCAGAATTAAAGGCTTAGAGATCTGAAAGAAGTATATGACGTGTATGAGTCATTTACACGGCATTGTCATAGGAGTGTGATCCACTTTCTTGACTTCCAGTAGTACTTCCAAATGCCCTTGCTGCACAATTAATAGTGACTGTGTCGCATCGAAGCATATAGATAAGTAGAGTCTTTGCTTTTCTCGGAGTTTATTTGATAGCCGGTGGAAGGTATTTTCAGAAGCAACATGAGAGAAGAGCTTGGCTTACCTCTGTTTATATGACAGATACGCCTGCATTCGACCACAAACAATTTACGATCATGCGAAGTGAAAGATGAGGAAGGTCCAACAACACTAACTTTTCCATGAACCTTTTCCTGATGCAGACAATCCATGAGGCTCTGAGCTAAATGTGAAAAAGTACGGTCTAGCAACATGAGGTGTTGGGCTAGTAGAGGAAGGCTATCTATTAATTGTTAAATACTAGTAATAACATATGATTTGATACGTGATTACATAATCTAAAATATCAGACTGCGTCTGGCAAGCTGTCTATCCGAGCTTTGCTGAGGATGAACGTAGTCCTCGACTTCTGGCCCATGCAGGGGAGGGTGTCACTACCGTGCTGCCACAGTTGCCTGCCATTACGCTCGGTAATCCCTGCAAAAATTCAGAGGATCCGAACTCTGCAGTTTTCTGTAGCGGCAGAAAGCTCGATCACATTGGCTTAGCCCCACCACAAAGGCCACATATCTGCATGTCTGGACGACCTGGCCATTTGATGCATTGTGCTCCCTTGAATGTGTTGATCAGATGTCTGAACTCTCCACAGATCCATGGACGAGGACAATTTGCAGCAACGAGGAGATCATACATGACAGAGCCATGCAATCGCTGGCTCCCCAGACACAGCAACAGCATGCCTTTGCAGAGGCTGCGCCTCCTCACCACAATGCAGGCAAAGGGAAAGGGGAAGCAGAAGGATGCCAGTAAGTCTCTGCTCCAGGTTGAATGGGGTGAAATGCAGGATTTCTTCCATGCATGAGAAGTTGATCTCAGGCTCCTCATGGATCTTTCATTCCGCAGGCCCATATAAGGACACAGTGAACCTCCCTATCACAAAGTTCAATATGCGAGCAAATTCCACTCAGCGGGAGCCGGAGCTACAGAAGTTCTGGGAGAAGAATGGCATCTATGAGCAGCTGCTCAAAAGCAATCCAGGGGTAGGAATCTCTCCATATCTTTTATGCCTTTGTCATTCTCCTTACGTTCCCTGTACATGAGCTCATTCCTGCTTCATTGATGCTGCTTGATGTCCATTACTTTAAGAACCTGACAACATTGTGCTTATGCACAGGAAGTATTCACCTTACACGATGGGCCTCCCTATGCAAATGGGTACGTCGTCAAGTCATGAATCCTCCTTAAGCTTGTTTTCAACTTTGGGATGACGTCTGTGATCCAGAGTCCTTCATGATTGCCAATCACTGGTTAAGCCCCAATCAAAAGCCGTGTGGTGCTGACGGCAGGGACACACACTTGGGGCATGCGCTGAACAAGATCTTAAAATCCATCATTGTCAACTACCAGCTTCTGGGAGGCAAGAAGGCCAGATATGTGCCTGGCTGGGACTGCCATGGCCTGCCCATTGAGCTCAAGGTGCTGCAGAGCATGTCTGACGAGCAGCGGCGCGAGCTCGACCCCATCAAGCTACGACGCAAAGCCCGAGACTTTGCCCTGAAGACCGTCAAAGCGCAGCGCGAGCAGTTCAAGCGGTGAGCAGTCACACTCTTGCCACAGGTCCTTCCTGTTTACAGTCTATACCAGAGTTGGGCGCTCACCGTTCCTCAGTTGTTTTACAGTGGTGAAGTATGAGCCCTTGCAATGGTGCAGCAAAATGCAAATCTTTGTCTTTTGTCCCCGTGCGTGTCATCTGGATGCACATGTGATACTCGTAATGGTTATGTGCAACAAACCAGGGTTCACCTGCAGCATGACTGGGTCTACTTCACTTGACGATCATCTCCATGCAAAGAGACATACTGCCAGGCCTGTAATGAGGGAGGATGTCGGCAAATGCTCTTTAATCCTTAGTAAGAAAGCATGTTGGCAGCACACTAACGGCCTGCAATGCATGCAGGTACGGCATATGGGGCGACTGGGACGCCCCCTACCTGACGCTGGAGCCCAAGTACGAGGCGGCGCAGCTGCGCGTGTTCGGCAAGCTGGTGGCGGCAGGGCACATCTACCGCGGCCGCAAGCCTGTGCACTGGTCTCCCTCCTCCGCCACCGCCCTGGCCGAGGCAGAACTGGAATATCCCGAGGGCCACACCTCCCGCAGTATCTACGTCGCCATGCCCCTCACCAGCCTAGGTGGGCGTCCCAACGACCTCGTGTACCCACAAATATGCCGTGAGTAAGAGCACTTTGCTTTTTGCAAGCTGATGCAAGAGGAGGCTTGTCCTGCTTTGCCTTCCCTGCTCATGTACCGCTGCTGCCAAAGTTGTGGGGTTGTTGCGCAGCAGTCGGACATACGCTGAATGCCTGTGATCTGCTGTGTCATTGTGGGCAGAGAGAAGCGCATCCTGGGCACAGAAGTTGTGGGTTAGATATGGTTTCCCTTCTTATGAACCCTTGCTGTATGCTCAGGTGATGCAATGCCAGAGGACCTGAAAGAGAAGCTGTCGGGGGCTGCTGTGGCGATCTGGACAACCACTGGCTGGACCATTCCAGCAAACGAGGCTGTGGCCGTCAACGAACGCATGAATTATGTCCTAGTGGAAGCGCAGGCACATATCTACGCCGTTTACTCAATGACAATGACAACTCACTTGAAAATGTCTGAACTTTGCCACAGTCCTTGAGCTCCAGACACTGCAGCCTGCAAGCTTCACGACTCCGAGCAGGCCCCCGCCAGATACATAGACCCTTACTTATCTAAGGTGTCCGGTGCCCTGCGGAGCATTCATGCAGGCAGTCAACATCCAGAATTGCCACTAGATTCTGCAGTCATCTAATGCTGAAAATGATCAAATCAGAGGTCTGCGTGGTCGGACAGGGGGAGGGCGCAGAGTCATGGGCTCACAGGCGCCTGGTTGTGGCAGAGGAATTGGTGGACAGCCTGGGGGCCAAGTTTGGCGTGCAGCTGCAGCGGCTGGGCAGTCTGACTGGCGGCCAGCTGGCGGGTTGCCAGTACAGGCACCCACTGTTTGAACGCACCAGCCCTGTACTCATTGGCGGCGATTACATCACCACCGAGTCAGGCACTGGCCTCGTGCACACCGCCCCGGGTCATGGCCAGGAAGATTACCAGGTGGATGACCGATCTCCCAGCCACCAACATGGGAGATTTGCCAAGCTTCTTAGTCACGTGATTACTACTCCAGTAAGGAAAAGCTGCCAGGAGGTGCAGTCGTGAAGCTAAAGTTGGGGCTGATCTTGGTGGGGTTGCGGGCAGGTGGGCTTGAAAAACGGGCTGCCCATTTCATCTCCAGTCGACGATGATGGCGTCTTCACAGAGGAAGCAGGCCCCTTCAAGGGTAAGTCTTCGACAAATTATCAACCCCCCCACTGCCTCTTAACTTTCGTTGCTTTGCAGCTCTCATGCATGTCAGTCTGAGACAGTCAACATCTTATGCATGTCCGTCTAATATTATTAACACTTAACTCTTGCTGTGGGGTCCGCCAGGGCTGCCGGTTCTGAAGGAGGGCACAGCGGCGGTGATTGAGGCGCTGCAGCAGAAGGGGTGCCTGCTGAAGGAGGAGCGCTACGCGCACAAGTACCCCTACGACTGGAGGACCAAGCTGCCCACCATCTTCCGCGCCACAGACCAGGTGCCCGCACTGCTCCTTTCGTACCACATGTGCTTGACAAGATTACTCTTTGCCTCGTCCTGATGTGCAGTGCAAGTGACAGGCAGACTCGCATGTACACTTGGGCATGTCTTGGGGTGGGCACTGCACCGGCATGTCCATTGCCGACTGCATAAAGTAACACATCAAGACCCAAAATTGTGAATTGCAGTATGATACAGTAATGCAATGGATGTGTTTCCCTGACCATCTGCAGAGGCTGCAAGATGAAGCTGAGGAGGTGTGTCTGTGGTGCGCGCGCAGTGGTTTGTGTCGGTGGAGGGGTTCCAGGCGGCGGCGATGGACGCGGTGCGCTCTGTGCAGTGGATCCCGGCGTCGGGCGAGAAGCGCATCACGAGCATGGTGGAGGGCCGCTCCGACTGGTGCATCAGCCGCCAGCGCTCCTGGGGCGTTCCCATCCCAGTCCTCTACTACACCGACTCCGGTGCGCCAACTTTTAAGGTTTTACCATGTAATGTTGCACGTCATTTCTCTTAACAGATGCCATGGTCACTGACCGGCACCAAAATAGCAAATTGCAAAAGCGCAGGTGGCCCTTTCCCTTGAAAGAAATATGCATGCCTCTTCTGACCACAGCTGCTCAGCCATCAATTGCATCCTGACATCACTCGCTGCATGCGGGAGCTGCTGCAAGATGCAGGCGTCAACCTGTACGCACTTGATAATTTGCATGCTTTGGCTTGCCTCACCGTTCTGGGGCCCCGACCAAGATCAAGTGCTAAAGCTGGCCACATGCTGCAGGCGAGCCGCTGATGACGGAGGAGACGATTGAGCATATGGCGGCGGTGGTGGAGGCGAAGGGCACGGACGCCTTCTGGCAGCTTCCCATAGAGGACCTGCTGCCGGAGCGGCTGCGCACGGAGGCGCCCAAGCTGAGGAAGCAGCTGGAAACCATGGACGTGTGGTTTGACAGCGGCACCAGCTGGGCCGGCTGCGTGGAGAGCACCCCCGGGCTGGCCTTCCCTGCAGACCTCTACCTGGAGGTGAATAAATATGCGCCGCGCATGCATGCATTGCCTGTTGCCAAATTCATTGTCCCTCCTAAATGTGACTCATCTCTCATGATTTTTTAGATGGCATTGTTAAAAAACGCTGTGTATGCATGCAATGCCAGGCTTGATGGGTTCCGCCCATTTAGGTGTAAATTTGTGGGGATTGTCCTGCCATAATTAACTGCTGCTTTCCATGTATGAAAATGTGTGCAGCTGCCTGTGTGATGCATGCTCTGGTCATGGGCTGCCAGTTGTACTGGAAAGTCTGTACTCGAGATCAAGGTGCAAGGACAACAGCTAAGGTTTAGAAATTTTGTGTGCAGGGGAGTGACCAGCACCGTGGCTGGTTCCAGAGCTCTCTTCTGACCGCAGCAGCCGCGCGCGGCTCAGCGCCGTACAAGGCTGTGCTGACGCACGGGTTCACCCTCGATGAAAAGGTACTGACCCTGATCTTCGTGCTCACTCCCGCCTGCCAGCATCAACAAAACTCCTCTTGACTGCTGAGCTTTCATCAGGCATGGTACACACATCAGCAAGAGCTGTATTCGCTAGGGAAATTGCAGTGTCTATTTTGGGTTCCGAGTGTTGCTGCACCAACGTATAGGGACGCATGTAAGATGACAAGATAGTGTGGTGTGGCAGGGGTACAAGATGAGCAAGTCGCTGGGGAATGTGGTGGACCCGCGATCCATCATTGAGGGCGGCAAGGACAAGAACAAGGAGCCGGCTCTGGGAGCGGATGTGCTGCGCCTCTGGGTGGCCTCCGTCGATTACACCGGTGCGCTTCTGCCCCTTCCATACTTCCTCTGCCATGCTGCACCTTAAACTACCTCAAAATCCTCACTGGCACGCCCCAATGCACCCGTTGTCAAGAACAGTGTCAATCGTGTTTCTGCACCAGAATATAAATTCAGCTCATTTCAAGCGTGCCATGCTCTGGCTTTATGCTGATCAAAGTGCACCGCTCCTCATACCTGGGAGAGACGAGAATGGTCCGCTGTCGTGGCTGGTCTTGAGGTCACACCCTACCCTTGTGCATCCCTCAGCGGCAGCGCTTCAATTCAGCAATATTAAGCAAGGCATCCAAACAATTGCATGGGAGCCAGCAACGGCAGCAGCCTTCTGGCCACATTCAGAGAGCTCTCCAAGTGTCGCTGGAGCAATGATCTCAGGTTTTCACCCCCGCGTGTCCTGTGACAGGGGACATGGTGATGGGCCCATCAGTCATGAGCCAGGTAGCGGATGTGTACCGTAAGCTGCGCTTCACGCTGCGATTCATATTAGGGAACCTGCACGACTTTGCGCCGGCGTCAGACGCCGTTCCCTACGATGCCCTCCCTGCCACCGACCGCTTCATCCTGTCCAGCTTTGCCACGCTGCTCTCCGGCCTGTCCGCCTCCTACGAGACCTACCAGTTCTTCAGGGTGTACCAGGCGAGCTGCCCTCCTCCTGCCTATTGATGTGCCTCTCGATGATATTTGAGGAAATGTCGCAAGGCCTCTACTCAATGGAACAGCGCGCTGTGTATCAGCCTAGCTTGGACAATGTACAAGAATGTCTGGGTGGCGATCGAATGTGCATGGTTCTGTCCAACAGCTGAGCAATAAGCAAAAAGGAATGTGTCCTTTGCTGCCCCTCTTGTGCATTCTTTACATCAACGTTCCGTTGTGATTGAAGGATTTGTGGGTTTCAATGGTGCAGGCGGTGCAGCGGTTTGTGGTGGCGGACCTGTCCAACTGGTACCTGGATGTGATCAAGGACCGCCTGTACGTGTCCGCCGACGACTCCTTCGACCGCCGCGCGGCCCAGACCGTGCTGCACTCCCTCCTGCAGGCGCGCCTACCAACGCCCATAACTCTACATTACCCCAGCTGGGCTCAGGGGATACACAAATACAAAAGTGGTTCCCCCTGAAATTGGTGTTGCTTCAGAGTCCCCTGCACTCACCCTGACTGGGTGTTGCCTTCCGCGCTTCATTGCCCCAACACAAGCAAATTTAAAGGCCACATGTACTTGTGAGCCTACATTTGGATGTTTGGCATCATTGCGGAAAGTGGGGCAGGCACATCCGCACACATGAGGTGATGTGCAGATATTGCATCACCACGAAAAATCGGGGGTCCAGCTAGAGAGAGATAGGTTTTCTAGGGACTCGAGGGAAGTGTTCAGGCAATCCTGCGTCCATAATCTGCACCAATTATTTAGGGCAAGCTTGATAAAATGCTCTGCTGAGCTGTTTGCGGCAGCTGAGGCCCAGTGCTGGTGCGCAGGGGCTGCTGCCAGCGCTGGCGCCGATTGTGCCGCATCTTGCGGAGGACGCATGGCAGGCGCTACCCTGGGAAGCCCCCAGTGTGTCGGTGTTCCAGGCCGGCTGGCTCGCCCCCCCGCAGCAGTGGGCCGCCATCCCGGCCGACCAGCAGCGCGCCTTCAAGGCCCTGCTGCAGATCAGGCTCGTTTCCTCACTCTCTTGCAGGAAATTATTTGGGCTTCTGCAGATATAGTCATCTGTCCCTGTATTAATTTTTGCCTTTTCTGTGTATGACCGTGCACTTGTATGGCTGCCAATGGTTACGCTTCTTCACGTTGACCATAGCAGCATGTTGAATATGATTTGGTCTAGGTGAACTGTCACAAGGAAGAGGACCCCAAGCAGGAGGCACTGTGTAGTCCATGGAGTTTAGCTGATGAAGGGAGGGGGTGAGGCGAGTGTGACGGCTGGCGAGTGTATCTGCAGGGAGGAGGTCAACATGGTGCTGGAGAGGGCGCGGCAGGACGGCTTCCTGGGCGCCAGCCTGGAGGCCAAGGTGCTGCTGCATGTGGCCGACGCTGACCTGGCCGCCAGCCTGCGCTCCCTGCAAGGGGTGCGCTCGCTACCCATTCAAACAATGCCTTGCGTTGTTTCTCTTCTTTCCAATTGCCTGCATTATAGAGTTTGTCCGATGATTGTTCCTTGAGGGGCCAGCTGCTCATATTGTTGAGGCTAAAGTAGCAATCCCTTGCTCTGCGCTGCACTTTTTATTGGCAGCATTGGCTGGTGTCATGAGGCAACATTGCAGGCATCCTCCACCCCAAAATCACAGCTTCAGCAAGCCGTATCAGACTTCTCAAGGTGTGTCAAAATCTTGACTTTCTTGTGGTGCGGTTGCAGGCGGGCAATGCAGCAGATCCACTGCGCTACGCATTCATTGTGAGCCAGGCTGAGTTGGCAGAGGACGAGGGCCAGGTGGCATCCACCAGCTACAGCAAGGCCACTGTTCTGGAGGGAGTCGGCAGCATTGCCGTGGGCGTCAGCCGCGCCGACGGCCAGAAATGCTCCAGGCAAGCCCCTGCCCCCGGACACAGTTCCCTCATGCACAAGTGTGGCAACCTGCAGTGTTTCCTGCATGCCGTGTTGAGTGATTGATGGGAAATGCGGCAGCTGCAGATTGCATTGAAATTGACGGATACTTGCTGTGATGCGCACATCCTGGCGCTTTTGGATTGCGGTCAATTCTGGGCATCTGTGTCAGGGGTCAGGATAAGATCAGGGGTGTTGAATGGGGGGGTGAGGCTGAGCACTGAGCTGCACGTGATCTCCATGCAGGTGCTGGAATTACAGCACGCAGGTTGGGTGCGACCATGATCACTCCCAGTTGTGTGAGCGCTGTGCCCCGGTCATCCGTGGGATGGGCTTCGAACTGCCTGCAGCGGTTGTTCCTGCGCCGGAGGCGGCCGCTGTACCTCTTTAGTACTGCTGAGGTTCAGTGATTTTCATCTGTTCAGAACAGGCCGTTCTGATGTTCTTTTGGTAATGCATGGCAACTTCTAAATTTTGAGTCAAAATTTGAGTGTGTGATGACTCATCGTCAATGCTTACGGAATGTTTGTGTAATCTGGTGTTCGAAATCAAGTTCTCAACGCCCCACAAGGCAAAATGGAAAACACGTATGAGAGATGCACATGCCTTGCACTTAAACGATGGCATCTGAAGAGTTCGATCCGAAAGGCAAGGGGCACCTGCTGGCTCTGCATATCCTTGAGAAGGGTTTTCAGGCCGGCAGCATAATCGGTGGCATCATCGTTTGCCCGATCATCGCGTACAGACTTGGTCTCAGAGACCCCAAACTTCTCACCAGGCTCGCCAATGGCATGGTAGTGAGTGCTCTCACTGGGACAGCTCTTGCAGGTAAACTTGCATCGGAGCACATCTGCACCCGATCTATGTGTGCCGAAGCCGATGTTGTGACAGAAATAGCTCTAAATTGATTTCACGGCAGACATTTGGTGATTCAAAAGGAACCTTACTCATCAGGCAGGAAATGTTGGGCAGGGGCAGCAGGTGCCGCGAAAGTGTATGGAACGGACGTCAGTGAGGAAGGGATAGAGGACAGAGTGTACCGGTTGCACTACAACGCTGGGCAAAATCGCACCGACAAATTCGCAGCGGTAAATTCAAGGCTTGGCAGGTCCAAGAATATTTTTGCGAGCTGTGCCTGCCAGCTTCTATTCCAACTGCCTTCCACTGTCCAAGCATAATTGGTTCTTCTGCAGTTTGTAACAACCTGAGATGGGCAGGAAAAGACGTGGATGACCTTGTATTTCATCCCATTGCAGGTGAGTGGGCTGGTGGGCGCAGCAGCGACAGCAGGTCTCCTGGACACCAGGAATCCACGAGTTGTTCTGGGTGGTGCTGCTGCGGGTGCAGCAATGGGTGTGTTGGCGCATGTGGCCACCTTCAAGGAGGAGGTTGCCAGGCCCAACGCCATGCTGGAGGAGATAAGAAGTAGAGACTAGCCAGGAGTTCTCAAACAGTGCGGTCCTTGAGGAATCTTCAATGAGGCAGCATTGGTGGCGAGGGAATGATAGACAGCTTGCCAATTGGCAGCTTTTGCTGATCATGAGAATGAATAGAAAATCTCGTAAAGGCAGATCTGGCATTAGACGGGCAGCTGCATCCGGCAGACAGGTCGGCCTTTGGCAATAAATTGTCAAGGCTAGACACAATAAGGGCGTGCTCCAGCAGGCAGCACAGTAAAGCATGGTGACTATTATAGCAGAAAGCACATTGAGTCCAGTCTTCTAAGCTCGAGCGATATACTGCCAAACATGTACAAGAATGAATTTCCTGCCAAGCCATCGAGCAAGTGGTATTTGAAAATGGACACTGTCTGGCAGGCCTGCAGTAATGAATGAAATGTTGACATCATGTGATAGTACCCAAAATTTTGCATCCGCAGCACGGCACTGCCGCAGATAAGATAGGAGCTGATAGTTTGACCTTATTGGTAAAGCAGGTTCAAGTCATTACCAATTCCATGAGCACAGCTTGGTTCAAACGTACCCAGAAGTTCATCTCTCATCTCTCATTTGCATTGCATGCAAGATGCCTTATATGGTTTGAGAAACGTTCACTTGGCAGAACTCCCACATGGGCCTTGTGCAACTTTCGTATGCCTCAGCTGCAATCAATAGCGCATCAGTCTTTCTGCTGGGAGTTCTGCTTGATGCTGCCGGGGCATCATGATCCATTGGAATCAATCAGGATGCAACGCTCCATGGTGGTCTCAGGCACAGCATCAAACCATTCCCACCTGCTGAAAGAGCAGCTTAGGCACATGAGGCGGCAGCCTGGCAGCAGCAGCTGACGCAGCTCTCACAGCACGCAGCGTAGCCACACTCGCAGACCACTATTAAAGGCGAAGATTCATACGATTTTGGTCCATAATTGCCGAAAAACCCAAGCTCTCTCTGTACACGAAACGTGTAAGTTTGCTACACACAAGGAAGCTCGACTTCTATGCCTCTCTCATTTGATGCAAAGCTGATCTGCTGCCTTCAAATGCAAATTGCTTTGCAATACTCTCCCGTGCGAATTCTTGGGAGTTCCAGCAGTCGACAATCGTTAGCTGCGGGCCTCGTCCTCCTTTCTCCCATAGTTCTGCGGCTGCACCCTGGAGTCCTGCACATCACAGCCAGGTGATAAGATGCCAAGAAGTGACCCGCAGCGGTGATAGGTGCCCCTTTGAAGGCAAGAATTGAAAAAGGCAAGCAGGATATTCTCTGGTTCTTGCCAGGGCGCAGCAATGACACACGCTCCTGCAGGTGGAATGTCCTCTCTGCATGCCACGATTGTTTTACTTGTTGCAAGGGCACAGCAGTGATGCATGCCTTCCAAATGGAGTGCGAGAGCGTCTTCTCTTTGCATGCAGCAGTCATCAGGACTGAAAAGACACTGACCAAGGAGTCCATGAAGCCAAGGTCCCAGAACCCGGCTGGAGTGGCGGGCGGCTCATAACGGTAGCGGTGTCGCGACGCGTCCTGCCGCAGCTGCTCACGGGCCGGGCCGCCCGCTCCGTTGCCGCGTCCATCCGCTCCGCCACCGAGCTGTGCCCCTCCTACAGGTGCCAGACATAAATTAAGAGTGGTCTGCACATGGGCACTTGCTTGAAGATTCTGTGATTCCAAATCCTCATCTATCTGTGAATTTGCTGTTGTTTCAAGCTCCCCAGCCTCTGATTTTGCAGCTCAATTAACATTTGGGCCGGCCACAACACCATTGGGTCCACTTCCTCAGGTGCTCCTCTACATTGGGCGGACTAACAAAATCTCCCTATAATCCTCCCAAAAATTCAATGCTGCGGCTAATGTGCAGCTGCGCCCTAGGAACACGGGAGAAACCAGAAGGTGCCTGCATGTGCATGCTTGTCATTGGCATGCCATTACCCATCATTGTGAGATTTTTTGTGTGACACGCCCATTTCCTGTGTGTGGCCGTGTTTGCAGAAATTGTACTGCGCAGTGCGTGTGATGAAGAGCATTGCCAGGCTACAAGAGGTGGGCAACGTCAGCTAGAAGGGTCACCTCGGACAGCGTGCCCACAGGCAGGCAGGTCGCCGACTGCGCCCCAGGTCTCAATGGCTGCATAAAAATTCTTGCAGTCCACGCACTCCACCCCAGTCAGCTCCTCCCGCTCAGCCTTCTTCCTCACTGTCTCTTTGTACTTGTACCCTGCACATGATGTGGAAGAACGCATCAGACTTGGCACCAACATCAAACATGCAGCATGCTGCCATATAGTTCATTCTGAGCACACTGCATGAGACAATGAGGGACAATGCACAACATCGTAGAAATTCTTGATCGCATAAGAGAAGCCACCTCGCTCCCCCAATCGATCCTGCGGCTGGTTGCTGGGCTTTGGCCTTTGGGGCAACGGCTCTGCCGCAGCGCTCGCGGCCCCGGCGTGTCTCTCAACAATAGTCGGCAGTTGTTGGGGCGCCCGTGCGGCCGCCTGCTGCGTCTGCCTCACATCCAGAAACGCCAGCGCGTCTGGCAACACAGCACACGCCATCACGGGGGACATAGTACCGTAGATGTCAGAGATAGATGGCACACATCTTTCTTCAGTGCATTGCTTTTCTAAAATCATTATTCCGATCCCACTGTGCTGACTTTGCAAAGGCAGCCTGACTGTGTCAGTGTTCAGATACGCGGCACGCAGGGGAAGGAGGGGGCACCAGGCAATGCAGGACCGCGCTGCTTCTGGTTCCACTTTGGCGGCGGCAAGGCACCAGCCGCGCGCGCATGCTGCGCTGCGCGGCTGAACGGGTTGGGCCGGCCGGCCGGCTCCGGAGGCGCCGCTGCGGCTTCGCGCGGCGCCGGCGGCTGCGGCTGGCTCAGATGCAGCGACATCTCCCTCTGCCCAACCGCCGCGCTGCGCTGCTCTTTGGCGCTGGCCTGCTTCTCCCTGCTCTTCTGCTGCCAGGCTGGCGAGCCCGACGCTGCGCATTCGTCCCCCTGCACCACATGAAAAAATACTGAATATTTTCACAGGCGGAAAATTCCATGTCCCAAAAAGTTCCAATTCAAGCACGACTAGAAGCCACAGCTATTTGCGGTACTGTAAATTTGTGGAGTTGGAGAGTGCACCTGCACTGCTTCTGCCGGCTCCATCGCATCTGCAGGCTCTGAAGCTCTCTGCGCAGGTGCAGGGGCGCACTGTTGGGACCTCCTGGACTGAGGCGTGCAGTCGATGTTCTCGCTGTTGTCCTGGCTGTCCCTGTCAGCTTGCTGCCTCTGCCTTGTGTCCACGGTGAGCTGGGTGACGCTGAGGTACGCCTCTGCAGCCTCGTCAGCGTCTGGATGGCAGGCGCGCACGGTCTGCTGGGCCTCTGTTGAGTTCTGGCTGGGGACCAGGGTGTTCATGTCAGCGTCCTGCAGCACGCCCTCCGTCCTCTGCCGCTTGGGCAATCCCCCGCCTGCACCGCCGCTGTCTGCCACCGCTGCACACATCGATGCACCCCGTTTGGATTTCTGCTGGCTATCGCTCGGCTCGCTGGGCTGTGCAGCCGGCTGCTGCGGGACCCTTTCAGGAGAGCTGGGCCCGGCTGGTGTTGGCGTGTTGTGTTCTGCAGTGACCACCCCTCGTCCTGCCTCTGGTGCAGGGCCAGAGGTGCTGCATGGCTGTGCAGGGTCACTGTTGGTCTGTGCAGCCGGGCCAGCAGATCTGTACACCACCGTGCAGCATTTGACATCGTCTGGTGAAGCTTCGTCTCCCTGCGCGTCAACAGGATCCCGTGCTTGCTGCCCGATAGAAGGACGACACAACCGTACTAAAGAAGTAAATCTATCTTTGAGCGCACACTTAGCGAGAATCAGTGAGGTGTACAGCGCTAGTACCGTGGACGGCAACTCTGACGCGGCTGCAACATCATCGGGAGCAACAAAGGCTGTTCTCTGGCCACTGCTGTCCGGCTGCACAGCCTTGTCATCCTGCACTCTCCCCTCAGCATGCAGCTGCGAAGTGGGTGCAGCTTCTGGGCTGACATTTGGTTCCCAATCAGAATTATGCTCCTCCTGCAAATGGTGAAGGTCATTGATTTAGCAAGTAAGCATCTGAAGCAAGATCTTGAAGATCAAATGGAACATTTTACAGGCCCAGACTCCGTGAGAAGAAGCGCTGATATAATATGGTGCAGGAGCATGACAAGCGGAGCATATCATAGAGGAATGCAGGGATCCAATCGGTTCAAAAGAACCATACCTCATCCGGGCGAATAAGTCCAGGGACCTCGAGCCCATTTGCAAGCATTCGCTGTCTGCATTCTTCAAGGGTAGCCTGTACCTCTAGGTGCTTCCTTTTCTTCTTCTCCACATATCTCTTCATGTTCTCCACCCATATCTTCAAGTCATCCCTGTCTACCTCTGCCGCCTTTGCCCTCGCCTCTGCTGCCCAAAGTCGCTCGTTGGCTGCACTCTGGTGCTCCTCTGCACTGCCTGGAATCACACAGTCAGTCAATTGAAGCTCTCAGAGCTTGGCAAGACATAATGGGGCACCAAACTTTGTTCTATCACACCACTAGGAGCACAGGGCGTGATGCCCATATATCACCTGACACAATGGGACTGGCGATAGGTGAAGGGCCTGTCTCGAGCTTGCTCAGGCTGAGAGGCCTGCCGCCCAGGCTCTGAAGCTGATCACGCAACTGCTTGCGCTCTTCTGTCAGTGACACACACTTCTTCCGGTAGCTCAACGCAGCTTCCACCTTGCTGTCCAGCTCTGCAATCTGAGCATCTTTTGCAGCAAGCGCCTGCTGCGATTCTGCTGATGACTTTGCTGCATGCTGCATCGCCTCCAGCTGTGCTGTGATTGCATCCAGCCGACTCTGCATGTCTGCAAGCTGGGCATCCTTGGCTAAAAGCTTCAGCTGATGCTTGGCTGCTTGCTTCTGCAGGCACGCCAGATTGGCTGCTTGTTCTTGCAGTTTTGTGTTGTGCTCCTTGGATGCAAGCCGCAAGGACTCTGATGCTTGCCGCTCTGCTTCCTTCACTGCAGCCTCGTGTATCTGGATGCGCTCCTGCAGAAAAACAGCCCCCGGATTGGTTTCATGTGGCTGTATAGAATCAGATAGGGATACATTGATAGGAGTAAAGAGAGGCAAGGACGTCAAACCTCAGCAAAAGATCGGGCTTGGAAGGCTACATGTTCGCCAAGGTCAGCCTTCTCTCTGTTGGCTGTCTCCAGCTGCTGCTCGAGAAGTAAGACACCCTCAGCTTTCTGCGCAACCTCTGACTGCAGTAATCTTTTCTGCTCTACATTGGACGCCATATGGGACCTGAGAGCCTGGAGTTGTGACACATGCATTTTCTCAGGTTCGCTGTGGACTCGTTACTAAAAAGTTTATGGCTGAAAATCTCTAGTAGCATGCTATTGAATGCGAACGCGTACCTTTTCGTGTTTCTCCAGCAGGACTCGTCGCTCCTCCTTCCATTTGCAACGCTCCGTCTCCAACACTTGAAGCCGCTCAAAGCTGCAGGACATGGTGTAAGCTCTTGACCAGTTTCGACCCTCTTTAATTTGCAGGTTCTCTCGTAAGGCTTGCAAGATATTTTGAAAGCCATGAATGAGACAAAGATGCGAGATCAATATGATAGGTAGTCGAGCAAACTCACAATGTTGTGGATGTGTTTTGCATGTCTGGAAGCAAGGCGAACAATTGCTGAAGCTGAGCCCTGAGCTTATCCGCATCCTTTATGCTGTTCATCCCTAACGTCTCGGTCATGCAAGTTGAGACATTAATGCTGGATTGATACACAGAAGGTGATGGATGCTAAATTTACAGCCCCTATAGAAGGGTCGGATCGGCATTAATGAACTCCACTTTAGACTTCGGAATGGAATTCGGAAGCAAATTCCACGAATGGCGAAGCAAATATGTCCGAGCAAACTACGAGACAGGCTCGCAGCCCCGCAGCATCCCATGCGCAGCACGCAGTTCATGATGCCAGCGTGGCATGCCCTACCACTTCTGAAGACTCAACAGCGTGATCAGATTTTCGAGGGAATGGAAATTGGAGGACGCGAATTACACATGCTTTCTAGGAATAGAATGTGTCTGGCCAGTTGGCTGCCAAGCCCTGGCGCCAGCTGCCGGCAGCACTGTGCCTAGGCACATACTATTAATAGTATTAATGCCCTATGGCCTCTGGCTTTGGGTTTGCCGACCTGTAATAATAATAAGACACGCGCAGCTGCTGGCATGCTGTATGAGTCTGGCCAAACCCTGAACCTAGTTGCAAATGTCAAGCGTCCTGGTGTGCAGCTATGGCAGCGCTGTACTGATTGGCCTGTGGTCATGACAGGACTGGTGCGACGATTAAAAGCTAGCTGTACGTACGTAGTCAATTCAATTTGGTATACCAAATTAAATTGACTCAATCTATCGGATAGCGTACGAGAGGTACATACCCAACAGTCCAGCACATCATCTGACACTTAATTATGTCAGCACCAATATTGTCATCCCTGCAACAGTTGGATGGTCTCCCATCTGCAACATGTGACCATTATAAGGTCAGCAGTTATAAGAATACCACGAGGTCAGGAGCTGATGTCACCATTATTCAGCAAATGTTGGAACGTATGCTTGGGACACGAGCAGTTCCATGAGTCCTTTTGTACAGACACGGTCTAGAAGTCAGACCATGACAAGGTGGGACTGCTGGGCAGCGTCGTTAGTCGCTGCAGGAATGGCGTGCTCCTGGCTCTCCTCCTCCATGCTGTCATCTGCATCCTCCAGGTCAATCTCCTCTGGGTTTGCGCCCCTTGCAGCGCCGCTGACAGGCCGCCCCACTGTGACCGCCACAGATTCCTGCACAGCTTTGGTGTAGCGCCGCACATCGGTGTCCGGAGAGAGGTTGCCCATTATGTCAAGCAGCGCGTCTGTCAGGGCTGCCAGCACTGCGTCGCCATCATCGTTCTCCCAGCAGGGCACCACAATCATGTTGTTCTCCTCACCTAAAACCGCCTGCATAACATGCAAAACGGACAATCAGAAAAAGACAAAATCCACTACGGTATTTTCTGATGAGAACTCAAGGGTGAGGCAAGGCTGAATTGGAATTACGATGTCCTGAAGATTGGCAGCAGGTCAAGCCGTAAAGAAGGGGTTTGAAAGGCTCAAAGACGCATACCTTGTATGCGTCGTCATCCACCAGGAAAACTCTGCTGAGGTCCTTGAACCACTGGTTCAGGGGCTTCACGGTGTCCCACGTGTTGCCCCCTCCCTTGACGTGGGAATGGGGCGCTCCAACTGTGTGGCTCCGGGTCAGGATGAAGTCCTTCTCTGCCAGCAGCGGCCTCCCACTGCTGCCGGCCGCTCTCTCGAGCATGGGCACCACTGTCTCACAAGTCCTGCTGCTCGCTGATGTGAAGATGCCTATCCTGAAAGTATCCTGCATGCAGTAGCATCCTCATGTCAGTCAACGCGTGCAGACGACTCGCTTCATTCATCTCTCTCAGAGGCAGCATCAGGTGCACCAATGCGCACTGTCTCCATGCATTGCTCACAGCATCACAGCACAGTGGAGCACAACTAGAGGCAGTAGCGTGTTGTCAAGGCCAGGCAATATTCCGCCGTGTTATGAATAGCATGACAGTGAGGAAAAAGAGCAGCCAAGCGACCCACGTGCAGGCGCATGAGGTGGTGGATTCCTGGCCGCATTTTATTGACACCGGCACTCCGCCTCTTGGCGGTGTGGGAGGTGAGCGTGCCGTTGAGGTCAAACAGCGCGATTGGCCGAGTGTCATTAGGCGCCCTAGGAACCTCCAAGTCCAGGAAGCGCGGCCGTGCCACTGCTTTGGAAGACGCATTCCCTGGCCGCCACCTGCTGTCATTGCCAGGAAAGGGCACGATAGATGACATTCCAGGGCCTGCATGGGTAACACAGCCCAACTTGTCAGACATAATGTGACTTTCAGCGCTGAATACAGTCTGCAAACATGCTATGCATGATTTTGGAGATGTGCTGATTGTGGCAGACATCCTTACCAGGTTGCGGTGAATTTGCATTTAAGCCCCTGCCGTATTGCCCTGTCTGATGAGGTTGCAGTCGCTGCTGTTGCTGCTGCTGCTCCTGGCACTGTTGCTGCTGCAACCAAGGAGGGGCAGCAAAGGAGCCAGGCTGTCCCTGCGGCTGGGGTGGCAACTGGGCATTATTGCTGGGCTGAGGTTGCTGCCACTGAGCTTGGCTGTGGCCATTCCTGGGCTCCCCCTGACCCCTCTTGGACTGCATCCCATTCTGAAAGGAGGGCGCCGCATAGCCTGGCAGCCCCGGGGGGCCATGCATAAAGGCCCCTGGAAAGTTGGGGATGAGCTGCTGGTCGAAGTGAGGCGCATGTCTCGGCTGCTGCTGGCCTGGAAAACGCTGCTGGACTGGAAAGGGCATCGATATTGGAGGGGGCCGAGAGGGTGGGCCTGGGTGGCCGGGGGCTTTCTGCTGTGCTGGGCCCACATATGAAACAAATCGGCTGACCTCCTCCTGATTCGCTGCCGTGTACACCTCCCCGATTCCCTCGCTCGGATTAATACCCACAAAATCGCGCGCAAATCTGCATGCACATCGACCCACCTACTCCTTAGATGCCTTCATTGCGCCAGCATATTTCAACTTCCGTCATCCTGATGGCATTTGTAATATGCCTTGCCACATTGTACAGAACCTTTAGATAACCAGCATGGGCAAAGCAAGAGGAGGACAGCATTCAGAGCCGAACTCTATACCTTTCTATGACTGTAGCAGTGTTTTCCCTTGGGAGCGTGGGATGAATTGGGCGGGCTTTCGCCCTGCAAATGCACTCATCGACAGGGGTGGTGAGTTGCAGGGCAATCACCACTGCCCCAAACCTGCGTGCAAGCTGCAAAAAGGTGCTGCGCTGAGTGATGTCGAAGTTGCAGCGGTCAACCACTACCTCCAGGCCAGCAGCGAGCGCTGCAACCAAAGCATCCTCGCATGCCCGTCTGCTCCCCAGGGTGTCCTGCCAGACACACCAAGAGCCATAATTACTTGTCAAGAGCTTAACAGTGCGACTGCTCCTCGCTTAGCCCAAAGTCTAGTAATTCCTCCTGTGTAAAAGCACCTGCACAGGGAAGACGACCATAGGCGCACCTGGTTGACCCACACCCAGCCCAGACTCTGTAGCTGCCCTGCTACTGTTGTTTTGCCAGATCCAGGGAGGCCTGCCAGGAGAATAACACGCTGCCTCAATGTTTTCGCCGCCTGAGGACCCGGCCTCCACTCCATGATTGCCTAAAGTTATCCTCTAGCCACTCTTACATCGATGCCGATAGCACGGAAAATGATCTTGCAAGAATAAAGGTAAAGCAATTAAGCTGTACAATTTAAGTTGATAACCACAGATCTGGAGACCTCGTACAAGGACAGACAGACTTTTCGGCCCGATCTCACAGAAAGTCCCTGCATAGCTTCGCTGAGGTCAAGTACTTATCCAAAGACGGCAGCCGATCAATGATCGCTTTCACAAACACCTGAATTTCGGATTGGTTCCTTCGGCAGTGCTCACCATACCATCTTCTCAGAGGCGTTCCCTGCAGCTGAAGCTTCCCTTGAAGAAGAAGCTAGTTGGTCAAGATTTGAAGGGATCCGACGGAACACCTAAGCTTCGACATAAGGTCATTCACAAGACTGGCAGGTGCAGCGCCATGTCTGAGCTCGCGGGAGAAATTAGAAGGCTGTACGGAAGCCCGATCAGCGATGCCGATGCTCAAGAATTTCTGGAGAAATACCCCCTGCAGACGATATACGAGTGGGGAACCCATCTTTTTATTATTTCTGGACTCTTGCATGCCCACTGTTGTTCTTGCAAGGGCACCTTGTTCTGTTGCACTGGTTTGTAAATTTTCTTGTGCATGCAGAAATGTCCCTTCAGACAGAGGAGGTATCGAAGATCTCACCGATGTTCTCAACAGGATATTCGCAACAACTTATGGTAAGTTGCAATGGTGCATGGGAAAGCAATCGTTCGCAACAACTCGCTGCTCTTGCAACTTACTGCCAGTGTTCCTGCAGGCACGGGCGTCCTGCCAGCAGTGGTCCCTGTTGCAATTGAAGCGCTCAAGTCGCCAGCTCCTGCTCTAAGACGCCTCAGTGTGAGGCAACTGGGTCGCGCATTGCAGGTAAATTATAGTAAAGAGGCCCACTGCATCAACAAAAATACACCACCGCTTTATTACCTCCAATTAGTGGAGCATGAAGATTGCCACCTTTGAGGTGTATGTTGTGACATATCCAGGGTGCCTTGAGCGGACAGCTCGGCGGCAGTGTTCAGCCGCGGCAGATAGCAGGGACGCTGATATCTGCACTTACAGATCCAGACACTGGGGTTGCAGCTGAAGCCTCCTCCACCTTAACGCGCTCTGCGGCACAACCCGATGGTGAGCCCTGTCACTAACCTGGCATCAAGGGGTCCTAAAGACTAACCTCCAGTAGTCTTTACACTCTATTAGTGTTTAGTACCCTCTGATGGCATGTCAGGGGCTCTGCAAGCTCACAGCTTGTGGCCCCACACGAGAGCTGCTGTGCTGGCAGATGCTTTCTGCTGGGCATATGGCACAGCAACTCATGCATATTTGGTGGCGCAGGGTACGAGCTGCTGGTGGGTGAAGGTGGCCGGCAGGAGCTGCAGCGGGTGCTGGGCTCTTCAGATCCCTCCATCCGCATGCGAGGCCTCTCCTTGCTGGCCTCGCTTGCGTCGGTGGCACAGGACAACATTCGCGCACTGCATGACTCAGGTGCCCAATACCTGAAGATGTATGCCTTGTGCTTTACAATTTATGTCGAGCCTTTCCTGCTTGTATAATTACAGGGAGGGTTAGGAGTGTCCGCTCGAAGAGAGATGACTTGACAAGTGACACATGTTGACTTCCAAATTACTGTGCAGGCCTGCTTCAACCGCTGCAGGCAGAACTGTCCAACACCACGGACATACTGACCTGCAGCGCCGCTCTGGCGCTAGTGGGGGAACTGAGCGAAGCCAGCAGCAGCGCCTCTTCTGCTCTCATGGCCCTTCTGGAGCCACAGCTCAGCGCCCTGCAGCACAACTCCGACCCCTTCCTGCGCAGCCAGGCCCTCAAGGCAATCCATTGTTTACCCTCTCTTGTAACTTTGGCTTGAAAAAGCTTGTGATGTGCCGCATTGCCGCGAGGTTGCCACTCAAAATGCCAGGTGATACACTGTCCTGACATCACAGCTTCCACTTGCACCTGCATGCGAAAGACCAGTGCATGAAACCTAAGCCTCAATCTACTGGGATTCCACCCACACTGGCACACAACAAGATAAAAAAAATGGCTTCTGGGCGCGAGCAGGTCTCGGCAACGCTCTTGGCCTCGTCCGCGCAGCAGCCGACGGGCGCTGTCGCCAACGGCCATGCCGGCGCCGATGCAGGGCCGCCGCCGCTGCTGCAGTCTCTGGCAGAGCTGCTGGACCCTGACTCGCTCGCAGAGCCGAGCGCTGATCTGGTTGAGGCGGCTCTCGATGCCGTCAGCCGGCTGGGCGCAAGCCCCAGCGGTGCAGAGCTGTTCTTCGCTGACGCCCATGGGCTGCCGGCCCATGTCGCCACCCTGGCCCTTGGCAGAGCAGGTGACTGAAGCAACCTGCCAAAAACGTAATGGTAATACATTTTTATGATTTGAACACTCTATTCTGAGCAAGCTTGTACTTGAGTACATCGGTCAGCGCTGCTAGAACCCAAATTGCTGCAGTTAGGGCCAGTCAATCCAGCAATGGCTGGTCCTGGAAGCTTCCTCCACTGCGGTGATGCTGACGACTTTGACCTGTGCTTTGTATAGGCGGCACACAGATCCGCACTGCAGCGCTGCATGCGCTAGGGATTGTGGCCGGGGCGCACCGCGCAGATCATGCCATGTCAGCGCCGGCAGAGGACACCTTCCGCCAGGTCACCTTCACTGCAGCCGCGGGGCCCTCCGGCTTCCAGGCACCTGCCGAGCTGCTGCTGGGCTTCCTGCGGCAGCCCTTTGCAGACCTGCGCACCGGAGCATACAGGTGCGCTCTTTCGCACTCAAACCCACAGACTTTGCTTTGGATGCTGTGCCCCTTCTGTGGCTCTTTTTCAGGTTGACTCCCTCCGTGGACTCATTGGCATGCAGAGAATTCTACTAAATATAGAGTGAAGTCAATGTGATGGGGGCGAGCAGGCTCCTGAGGGCGCTCGCACAGAGGACATGGGGCGCCGCAGAGGTCTGTCGCAATGCACAACTGATGGAGCGGCTGGGGGATCCGCGGAGCGAGACTACTGCGCAAGAGTGGCGCTTTGCTATCGTGCAGGTGCAACTTCCTCTTAGCTGCTCGGAGACCTGCTGCACTCTCTGTGTAATATTACTGAGTTGGTTTAAAGTTTAAGGACCCAAAAAATGCAACATACATGAGGAATGCATGACCATCTTTCTTCGACAGCAAAGGTATGGCAGAGACAGAAGCAGAAAGGATGGCATGCAGGCCCTGGCGAAGACTGTGCGTGAAGCAACAGGGGCGGAGCTGGCAAATGGGGCGTCGCAGCAGAGGGACGCTCTGCGGGCGGCTGCTCCGCAGGTGGACAGAGCTGTTCAGCAGGGCCTGTATGGCCGTGGCGCAGCAACGCACAGGCCTCCAGATGTCGCGATGATGAGCACTTGAATGATGCAATGGGGTTTTTGGCAGGTTTCAAGGAAAAAGGATTCCACAACAAACGTTTGGATCTAGGGTGGACATGAGTGCATGTTTGAACAGACCGTGTGACCAGCTGCCAATATTCTGTACAGACATGTTGATGCGCAGTTGTGATCAAGATGATGTGGGCCCGGGGCCAGGATGCATTGCTGGCGTGCCTGTGCTGCCTCTGAATTTCTCGACACCTTTGACTAGTCACTGGCAGCTATTTTGTAGCACCCGCACCCGTTGGCCATGGCTGCGGTAAACAACTAGTACTACTGCTCAGTAAGCAGTAAGCAGTAAGCAGTAAGCAGTAAGCAGTAAGCAGCAGTAAGCAGTAAGCAGCAGTAAGCAGTAAGCAGCAGTAACAGTAAGCAGCAGTAAGCAGTGAGAAATGCTTGCAGTAATTGCATTTTAACATCTGGGTGAAAAGGCGGAGCAATGGGCAAGAGCATGCACCTCCATGAATTTCCAAGGTTCAGCCCAGCTTCTATTTAGGGCGCCGTGGCGAACCGGGAGGACCCAGGAACCAGACCCGAACGTCAAGACGCGTCATGAAAATCGACACTGCGCCTACGGCAGGTTGTCACCGTCAAAGACTTACTTGTGCCTATGTGACTGGCAGTACAGTGTCCCATACAGGAATCCTTCTCTGACCGACAAAATTGCTCTTCCTCAAAATTGCAGTAGGTTCAGAGTCAGAAGTCGGAGTCAGATATCTAAGTGAACACAGAGATTGCTCTGTGGTTTTTAATAGCTTTGTGCACAATAAGGGGGCCGCTGTTGGGGGCTGTTTTCATGCTCAAGGCCCTTTTTCTACTGTTCTGGGTTTAATACTCCAGACAGGGTAGTTGCAGTGAAGCAACTCTTGGAAACGATGACTGCTAGAAAACGCGCCTTAGGATTGCTATTGCAACAAGGGTTGTATCCTACAAAATGCCAAGCAGCAGCTGGAATTCTTCTCTTGGAAGATGTGAATAGGGCAGCCCAGCACTCTGATAGGCGAGCCTCCACTAGTGCAGCGTCTACTTCGGACCCTACCGCACCTGATTCATCACCGTACCGATTGGGCCATACATCCAGGCTGACAGCCCGAGGATGGCCTGCTCTGGGTGGGATGTCCATCAGGGCTATGGCACAGCAGGTGCGCAGGGTCAGCCGTTTATGCAGCTGTACACTGCACTGCATGTTCTTGGACAGCGAATCCAATGAGCGCTCAAGGAGAAAGAGCTCTTCCTGAGTCCTAATTGTACTAGGAAATATCTTCGCCCTGAAGTGATGGGACGCTGTTCGCTGGGACAGGCTCTGGAGAGCTCAATATCTGGCCGCTCTGAGGCTGTCAAGCTGTTCCATGACGCCACTGACAAAGTCAACTTTAAAGCTCGGGTGTGCACTTTGACTCCTTCCAGCGAACACAGATATGGTATTTTGTGCTTTCACGCCTCCTGTGATCGCATAAGGCTCTTGTAAAGTGGAAATTGTGCTTGAGCAGGTAGTATTTGACGCCTGTTGGAGAAAATTGGAGGAGAAATACAAGGACGTATGTATCCTGGCCCTTCAATTTTTCAAGAAAAGTCAGCATGGGCCTGCCCGTGTTCAAATCAATCTTTTCCTGGTCCGCGCAAGAATGTTCTTTGGGTCGTCATTTCGTGACTGAATTTCGCTTTTCTGCTGCAGAAAATACAATGCCCCAGGGAGATTGTGTGGCTGAACGGCGCCCCTGGAGCAGTGAGTATAACACTTAGAAATTTGCAGTGAGCACTTCTAAGAATTAGTTTTGCTGCTGAGCTGCCTTTGATGAGGTTGTAAGACCAATTGAATGTGCAGGGCAAGGGCGCAAACACCCCCTTTATTCTGGAGAGCAGGGGTTTGACTCGAGCAGAGACCATGTCCTCTCTGCTGGAGCGCCACTCAGAGATCAGACATCTGATGGCTCAGGGGGAGCTGGTGCCAGACACCATGGTGGGCAGTCCATCATCTATTATCACTGTACCCTTTTGTGGCCTCGTAACACTCAGCGTGAACCCTTGAAACGCTGTTTAAGCAGAGGCAGCTGGTGACGGTCTTATTGCTGATACTGGCCATGACCACCTGGATGAAGCTAGGTGTCCATGCAATGCAGGTTGGTGATGCGCTGCTAGATGTCATTTTTGACCCAGACGTGGCAGATGGTTCGGGCTTGGTCATTGATGGCTTCCCCAGGACGGCCCTGCAGGTGCGCAGTCCCATGCATTCTTTGGCCAGCTTGCTACTCAATAGTAAGCCGACACGTTGATTTTTGTTTCAAGTCAGTCTGAGGAGAGGGGCCGCATGCATGTGCCTGCAGGCTGACTTCCTGAAGATGCTGTACGACAAGATGACAGAGCTGCACATGGCGCACGCCGATGGACCAGAGGAGTGGAGGTACCCACTGCCCAGCTTCAAGGTGACCCCAGGCCCACCCACACTCTTCCCCTTCAACCTCTCTTTCACCTGCTAATCCCACTTGTGACATGCCCTCCGTTTCTGCTGAGTGGCAACCTGACTGACGAGCAAAGTTGATCCTTTGAGGCATTTCAGGTGCCCTTCATGTTCTGTGGTGGGCACCTCTTTTCTTGAGAGATATCATATGAGGCTTGAACCAGCTGTGATAGGGCAGGGAGGCATGGGTGGGTCTGAAATTCCGGCACAATGCATGTCATACATCCAGCTGCCTGTACATATTTGTGTAAGAATGTGTAAGTTGAGCTGTCACGTGGTTGCGCGCGGCAGGTGGTGGTGCTGTATGTGGAGCAGGAGGAGAGTGTGCGGCGACAGATGATGCGTGCGACAATGGTGGCCAAGCACAACACGCGCGTCCTCGACGCGGGCGCAGGGCAGCTCTGGGAGCTGCGCGCCACCGACGTTGACTCCGCCAAATGCCGCCGCAGATATGACGTCTTTAAGGCACGCCGCTCACTCCCCCTCCCGTGACCTCCTTGTGAGAATCTCTGCATTCCCATCTCTGCTCTTGCTCGGCAGTTCTCCCATGCCATCAAATTGGCGCCCTCCTTTTATTCTGCGTGCGAGTGAAGAACTGCATGGCATGAGGGAATGATCCAGGCGTCGGGTCTCCAAAAATTGTCCTGTAGATGGCCAGGATGCAAGTATGAAAAACGGCTTGGGAAGGAAACGGCTCAGAAACCGCAATAAAGACATCAGTGGTTTCGTTTGCTTGCAGGCGCACTACAGCACTCTGCTGCGCCTGAAGCAGTACTTCCCCTTCTCGCTCATCGACGCCATGGGCAGCCTGGAGGAGTGCAAGGCCCAGATTGCGCGTGAACTGCGCTACCAGTCCTCCCTCGACCTCGATGAGGCCACCTACGCCGCCATCAGGTGAGCCATCCTCCTCGCAGGCCTCCCTTCCTAACAAGATTCTCTTCCATGGCCTAGGAACTGTGACATTGATGGTAGTAGGTCCCCTTGTACCCCCTGGCACCGGGGCACTTCCACACACCTGCCCTGCCAAATGATGCACAGGCACAAGGGCATGCATCACACAGCGGTGGTGCAGCATGCTGGAGCTGAGTCAATAGTGGGGAAGCGCCGGCCTGCTGCTAGAACAGCTTAAGACTGTTTTGGTCCCATGGGATAGCCATTTTAGCATCTCTTAGTACCTTATGTCCTGCTGGATCAGGCACCTGCCGCTGGCGAAGGACCTGGTGCGCTCCTCAAGGCAGCAGCTGGTCGCCCACCTGGACGGCTACGCCAAGAGGAACCGGCCCCTATTTGAAAAGGTGGCCCACGCCATTACCCAACTATTCACCTTCCCTGTCTCTCTACTTACAGGCATCCATGCACGCATTCTTCAGACAGCTAGGTGCAGCAATTTGCAATCGTGCGCTCGTGACGCCACGCATTGTATAGACCACCAGCCGGCTGCGAGCCCAGCAGGTGTCCCAGCGCAGACTACGTGCTGGACTGACAATGCCAGATCAGGTTGTCGTTGTGCATGGTTGATGCATGCCATGGTCTGATGCCTTTGCACTACTTGCAGTGGTGACAAATGCTCACTTAGAGGGCAGCGTGTCACTTGCATGCAGAAGGTGCACATTACATGCACTACTTCCACTTTTCCTGGGTGTGCGCTCGTGGCAGGTGTCATTCCGGGAGTGCATGTATTCACCGCCATTATATGGTCTGAGGAGATTTGGCAATTGTCACGCAGGTGGTGCGTGTGATTGACACGGAGGCCGTGCCGCTGCTGAAGCGCTGCAGCCTGGCGGGCCACGCGGAGCTCAAGACGCGCAACTCCATCTTCGCGGAGCATGCCATCGCAGCCGACATGTTCATAGACGTCCTCACAGACCGCGGCTTCTCCGTTGCCCATGTCGTCGACGAGCAGATCGTGCCAGTGAGGATCTATCTTTTGCCTTCAAATCTTCAACGGCGAAGTTGTGCCGGCAAGCAGAATATGGCGGTGACCTTCGCCTGCACCTAGATCAGACACCCTGTTGGCCTCTGTGGCGGGCGCTGCAGCGCTCATGAACTGGCCACCGACAGGTCTCCAAGATTTGGAAAGTGTGAATAAGAAGGACGTAGAATTAATATGTTGATGCTGCGCAGGTGCATGTGGACCTGCAGACTGGCAAGGTGGAGACGCGTGTGGACCGGGTGAATCATTTCAGGTACTTCCAGGCAGTCCAGCAATTGAGCCGCTCTTTGCTTTCTTGAACATGCCGCCTTCAGGATCAAAAGACAGATTGCATTTGCGTGCATGCTCGAGCAAGTGACATCGGCACACATGGCAGTCTGCCCACAGCGCAGCCATGTCATGCATCATTATCAAGGGCTGAAGGAACGCCATGTGGGTGCCTGGCAGGATCACATTCGAGACGCAGGGGGTGAGGGACGCGTCGTCGCTGGTGGCCAGCGCTTCCAAGGAGGCGCTCGATTCCGTGCGCAAGATCGCCATCGGGCAGACGCTCGTGCCGACGCACATGTCGCGCGACCGCTTCGATGACAAGTCAGCCTACGCCGCGGCCGCCGCTGCTGGCTGCGCGCCGCAGCTCGACCTGCGCTCGCCCCTGAACGCCGAAGGCGCCGCAGCCGGTGAGGCCCGACGGGGAGATATTTACAATTATTATTACAGAGACCCTTTGAGAGTCATCTGAGGCTCATTGGTCTTGTAGGCAGTCGGTCACTGCCCATCTTTATTTCAAAAATTTAGAGAAAGAGTTATGCAGACATCAAGGCAGAGCGAGCACCAGGAGAAAGGAGAAAGGGCTGCCTCGCAAGTGCACGTCATGTTACAACAATACAATGCACACTTCTCATGTGTCTGCATTCTGTCAAAAAGGGCAAGACAGCCTGAATTGACCCTTGCACAGGGTACCATTGCAAACCATGGATGGGATTGTTCCCAGGTGGTGGGGAAAGAGTCTCATTAAGCGCAATATTTCATAACAGTGCATGATAAATGTGTTCCAGTCCATGTCTCAGGTTCGAAGGTGCTTGCCAGGATTGTGTTGCAAGCGGGCTTCATGAAGTTTGAATGGAGCAATATCTTCATTACATGAGTTGTTTGGAGTATGCATGTGCTCAAGAGGGATGGTGTGGCTTGGTCAAGCAGATTTAGGTGTGAATGCCTTTGCGTGGGTGTGCTGCAGAGTTGGAAGAGGAGGATGCTGGGCAGCGGCTTGCCTTGTCACGCGACAAAGACAAGTGGTGCGAATTTCCAGCCTTCCCGTGCCAGTCACTGTGCTAACGTTCAAACAGAATCATACCAGGGATAAGGCATAGCTGATCAACAGGAGTCAAGGACATGTGTGCTTTGACAGGGAACAGCATTTCGTGCAGCAGGAGGCACAGCAGTCTGCCCAGAATGGGGGCATCATTGGCTACGAAAAGGAGGCTGTAGGAGCCAAGCCTGACCCTATATAGGCAGGACGCGAGGAAAGCTCCACCAATGCATGCTGCATTCACTAGAAGTGTTTAATTAGCGACATGTACATTGAGATACCCAGCCGCCAAACTTGGGAGGCTGTGTTGAGGAATTGATTTATTCCGGTCCGCTCCAGCACTAGCTCGAGACTAATCCCAGAATGCTGAATTAGCAGGATTGAGCAATGCAGCACTGAAATTGTTGGGAGCAGCCTCTACTTCAAGCTTTGTACAGTAGTATCTTGTCCGAGCTGCCCTTGGAATGAGGTATGGCCTACTGCAAACGGACCCAACTGACTGTAGACTGCAAGTCAAACTAGAGCTGCCATGAACATCATTAGATGATCCTGAAGCCAGTGCTACAAACCACAGCGACTGCGCCGCAGCACTTGTACAGATGCAGATGCAGCTGCAGCACCGGTGCAGGCCTGGCTGCAATCCGGGGTTCTGGCTGTTTGTATCTGATAGAGGACCATGGGTTTGACAACCTTATATGCCAGATCCGCAAAATTACTTGACGATCAGTAGGCTTGTTTAAAGTGATCTGCATGTGGGTTCGGGCACAATCGTGGTATTTTGCTGTTGAAAATGCTGCTGGTAGAAGGGGAACAGGACATGGGTGTTGTGCAAAATGCTCTTGTTTCATCAACATGCAAGACTCTTTACGTAGCAGGGGGTGTAAACGGACTTCTAGAATCAGATCTGCCAACAGTTGCCGATCCATGTGTACACAATGCTTGACATCAGCTGGTACAAGGACGTACCACTGCATACAATTCCAGTCACAAAGCAGACACACATTAATACATTGCTGACACATTTGAATTATCCGATACTGCGCCTCTTAGAAGTGAAACACAGCTTCAAATTTTTGCCAGCCTGTTCCTCAGCACAGGATATCCTAAAAAGTTCCGACACTGGCACCACCAATGAGCAGCTCTGCTTTCCTAGTCGTTCTCAGCTGTTCAGGCTAAGACATCCAAGAATTTAGGCCTGTATATGTACAGATCATGCAGGCCACCCATGCCAGACATTATCAGGGGTGTGGGGATCACCCTTTTCCTTACTTCAACCACGCTGGCACATTACTTGAGTGAATTAAGCTGTCTCTGACATTGTTTCTGGCGCGAAGCAAGTCAGCAAATTGTTCAAAATTTATAACTGAGTGCATTGCTCTGGAGCATCCAGCAAAGAGGCAAAAGTGAAGTGGACTTCTCTTCAGACTTGTGAGCTGTGAGGACAAATCTAGAGCATGTCCAAATACTTATCATGAAGCTTCTTGGAGGGATCCGAACATGCCTCTCAGAATATCCATGTTCCCTCCCTTTCGATGCCCTCCCCAGGTAATCATTCCTCAATCTGAGCACTGACCAGCAGAAATGATCACAGGGAAACACTGGACTTCCTCTTGAGCTTATCTGCTGGCATGCTACAATGACTGGCGCGACAAACTGAGGCTTTTCCCGCTGTGAGCTTCCCTTCCAGACTGGTTGATATTGAGACTTCCGGCCTACCCTTCCCTCAAATATGACACTGCCAGTGAAGGCTAATCAGGAGGCTGCACATTTCCCACACCCATCATCCTCCCATAACAAGGGGAAAATCATCTTCCAATCGGTCAGATTGGCTACCTCTCCATTCAGCTACGTGCCCCTACATGCCTGGCACACTCTTTTACAGCGCAGCACAGCTGCGCGCATGGGTGTGCGCATGCTTCACTGCTTGGCTGCGCTCTTTTTGGTCCAGCTGTAAGCAAAGACTCCCACCACTGTCAAGAAATAGCCTAGAGCGCCCAGGGCAGTGACTTGGTTCCTGAAGAGCAGCACGGACACCACTGTCGCCACAACGCCCTTGGCGCAGCCCAGGACCTGCATGCACCAGACACCCTTCAGCACAAGGATCAACCAGTACCAAGTAGAACGAGGATGCATGACATACAAGACTGTGCGAGCACCACAACAAGCAAGACAGGGCAAGAGCCTATTAGGAAGCATATGGCTCACGCATGCATGCGAAGGCCCACATAGCCACTGGATGTCATGTCAAAAGGGCACTCCTATGGCCGCAGTAAAGTCAAAGTCCTCAGTTTGAGGCTGCAAGTGATGCATGTGCATTCGGCATGGACGCCCAATGGATGTCAGAAAGCTTGCTCACCTGCAGCGTGAGAGCCGAGGTGTACTTGGTGATCTGGAAGTTGGTGAAGTTGACGATGTAGGCGAGCGAGGAGTTGCCCACGATGAGCAGCAGGAAGCCCGGCTGGCTGGTGAGCAGGTGCAGGGCCACGGAGGGCGCTCCAGGCTCCAGCAGAGCAATGGCTGGCAGCAGGAGCACGAGGGCCACAGGGGACATGAGGCGCAGAAGGTTCATGCTGTCCAGCTTCTCGCTCTGGTCTGAGAGCAGGATGCCCTGCACAGCGGCAGCCCACCCACATCCTCAGGTTCTGTTGTTTGCTCGGCCTCCTGCCCTGTAATGGCAATTTCAATGGGGAGGTATTCGTGACACCGTAGAAGACCGCCTTCTCCTTGAAGGTCACTTGTTTCAAAGTTGGATCAGCCCTGTAGTCGGCAAGGAATGAGGAATTATCGATCTGCAAGGGAGCTGACATGCAGGTAGCCTGACGTGCGAGCAGCCTGGGAAGTCAAGGACGAGCAGCATGGGGCCAGACAATCCCTAAGAGAGCATTCCTGCACAGGGAGATGTGGCTGGCAGTCACCTGCAGGACGGCTTTTAGAGCGCGGGCGCCGCTGGCGCCAAAGCAGGCCAGGAAGCCGATGCCGTTGAGGGCGGGCTCAAATCCGGCCGCCAGAACAATGCCGACCATGACAGGGATGAGCGTCGCGTAGGTCAGCGGCTGCTCCATGGTCCCCAGCAGCATGAACGCTGCCAGCGCTGTCATCGCTGGTGTCACAGCGCCCATTGCCTACATCAGCCAACAGAAGGCATGCTGACCTCATGCATTGATTATATTCTGGGGCCAATCACCTTGAAGAGAATGAGCAGTGCTGATGAGGGAGGAGAATGGCGGTTTTACAAGGTGGTAGAAAATGTCTGAGGGGGTGGTTTTACTTGAGGCTCGGGTGGAGGGTGACAGCTGGTGTCAAAGAGGAGGAAGGGCTGGACCTGGCTGAAGGAGACTGGAATGTAGCGCAAGGCCACGTTGCCCAGGACCACGGACAGCAGGAAGGTCGTGGCCAGAGTAGACACCTTGTAGAACTGCACGCGCGACTGCAGAGGCTGGACGCGCACAAACCCAGAGGCGTTCGCTGCCTGCATCACCACACAAATGTGTCACTCTGCATGCTTGGCTGCTTGTACATGCATTTAATTTGTCCCATTATGCATGCAAAATGTCTCGTCCATCCTTATGGTCATGTCAGGCTTCCTCCCTCTCTCACACAATTCTATGAGAGCCACAGCAAGTCTTCAGGGCAAGGAAAGCCTGCTCTCTTGATGATGTTGTCGTAGCAAAATCCTGCCAGGTGCTCCTAATGGCTGCAGACGAGCACAAGAAAGGAAGCGTGGCTTGCCTGAGACAGGATGACGCATGCCAGCATGTGACAGAAGGTGAGGAACACTGGGTAGCGAAACCCATATCCTCCCAGCATGTGCTTATTCAGAAGCACGATGCCAATGTTGGAAGCAAACCTGCATGGAAGCACATACGATATGACTGGGCTGCAGGGCATCTGTTTGTTCATGATACAACACTGCAGGACTCCACAGCAACTAAGAAAAAAAGCATGCCATGCATGGGGCCATGCAAGACACCAATGCTGCATTTGCATTGGAACCAGCAGACGCACCAGACAGCAACCACCAGGAGAGTCATGAAGAGGCTGGGTGGCTGGTGCTGAAACTGCTGCCGTGCTGTACTCTCGCCGTGGTGTGCCTTGATGCGTGGTGACGCGAGCGGTGCTGGCCCTGCCTGTGCCTCCAAGTCCACCACATCATTGCTTCGTGACCTGCAATGGCATGCATGTCCAACATGCATGAGCCTCTCATTGGATGCCTGCTATGCACATGCTGTCAAATCAAGTGCTTGTATTCTGTCAAGTGCTCGGCCATGTCCGGCAATCCTCATGCATGCCAGTGCATTGACCTGCATGAGAGTCATGCTGCCAGGCACGCGCACATGTTCAGAAACCAATGTGTATCACATCAGAAAGTATGTGGGCACCTTGCATCCTACCTCAGCTTCAATGGCACACTCTCTGCGAGGTCAGCGCCCTTTGATGGTGTCTCGCTGGGGTGTGATGCATGATTGTGGCCTCCAAAGAATGTAGGCAGCAGCGTCAGAAAGCTCATGCTGCACGCCAAATGCTACCGAAGCCTTCAATTCACGTGGGGAATGGCAGCTTTGATACAAACGCCCTGCTGTCTACAGCCAAGGAGGCCAGGAATGGGCTGGCTGCTTCTACCTGAGAGAAGACAGTTAGTATCAGTTTCCTGTATGTGGCAAGAAGAGCAATTATGTTGAAGGACTGCACAACCTTCGCAACAATTGTACAGTCTTCATAGATTTGCTTGTGCTCTAGGAGGCCTGCGTGTTGCGCAAACCTGGAAATTGCAGACCCTGCCATCATATGTGGTTAAGAGGGCGACGGCTGCTCTGAGCTTTTCGTAATCCCTGCGCACAAGGGACGATGATTATGGCACACATCATCTACTCGAATCCTAGTCTTTCCCAGCTGAAATCACTGCTTTGAACAGCGTTGCCTGTCTTCTTGAGGTTCTTCTGTGAGACTTATGAAACAAGATTGTGAGTCTGGAAGCAAAGAGCAGCTGGTGCGCGCCTCTTGTCCACCTTCAAGAATGAATGATTGGTACCTTCCTTCACCTCCAGGACCTCGAAAGGCACTGCTCCACCAATAATGCCGAAGACCTGGCGTAAGCTCTGCAGAATGGCAGCTTTGACGAGGGATGGGGTCGGGCTTCCTCCCCCGAAGGAGCTGGACAGGCACAGAATTGTTTCGGGAAATCTGCAAGTAGCAGCGAGATAATTTGAACTGAGCAATCAACGGTGAGAGACTGCAACACTTGTCAGCACGTAGAAGGCTACCAAATCCCTTTTCACAACCTGATAACGCACATGCTAGCACCTATATCTACACACGGATAATGCGCACAGTGGAGATGCAGAACAACTGCCGAGCAAACGCTGTATGTTGTTAAATGTCAAATTGCAGATGTCAACATGCAAGGTCGAACAGTCAAGGAGGACTTGGGCTCCTCACGTCAACACACGGAGGTAGCACGATTGGCAGCTGAGAGTGATCGTCTGTTGTCGTGTAAATACTTCGGCACTGCTTGGATCATCCTCGTGCATGAAACGGCGCACACGAAACTGTCGATGAGCCGTTTACGACGTTTGAGTGGGACTGTAGGGGTGAGCTCGACCTCTCACTAGCTATGTCCTTTGGCGATCTTCCCCTCTTACCCCTTCCCTCCCTAGGATTGAGCCACAAGCGAGAGCAGAAGGGTCAATCTTCTTGGGCTTCGCCGCTTCTCAACTTCGCATTGAATTCCATGCTGGAGCCATGTGACCGTGGTCCAGTCAGACGTCCATGGACTGTCCAGTCAGCTTTCAGACTGCACCTTGGGGTCCAGTGGAATACAGCCTGGACCACTTGCATATATATTTAGAGGACCTCCTAGAGGGAGAAAATGGTGCAACCCTTTTATAATCACAGGACACAATCGCACAGCACCATCACACTACAACCGCATCACGCTACAACCTATATGACCTGTACACTGTACAGCAATGCAACAAACTGGTTCGGTCAATCAGAGGAAACTCACATAGGAGTCAGTGCAGGACAGAGGCCGAGCAGACAGTGACAAACCCAATATCTGCATGAAGATGTGAGAAGTGAGATCATCAGGTGAGAGACACAAATATTCCCGCGCACGCGGATGCAAGAACTCCCGAGCCAGGAAGCAGGAAGTCACTTCCTGGAAGTGGTGTGCAGCATCCCCCAAATGGGAATGGAGAGCAGGCTGCAGCTGCAGGCGAAGATGAGTTGCGAGAGCAGATGGCAGGGCATAATTTCCAGCAGGTGTCAAGCACGTGACCAGAGCATGCATGCATGTACATATACTGTATAGTATATATCCGGTACAGGGAGTGCATGAGGGTTTGGTACTTGAGATTTGATGAGTTGTACAACACATGTGATACAACACCAGGCTGCAGACATTTGTAGGTCCCGCAGACGTCACGTCACGGTGGCTGCAGACGCCCTGCCTGTATGCCCTATGGCCCTGTAGTAGTAGTAGTAATAATAATAATAATTAGATCATTGATACCGTGCCTGGCACGGTGTACGCATGCCATATATGGCCAAGAGCTTCTTAAAGACTCCTGGAGATGCAGATGAAACCTTGACACCTGTACAGACCCACATACGGTGTTGGCTGTCCTAGGCCTGTCCAGCTGGTCTGTGCGCCCCACTCATGGGTGCCAGATCAATCAGTACTGATGCGCATCTCTGGAGCTCAAGGGGCGCCCCAAGCCGGCTGCTGTAGCTATAGCTAGCTAGCGGTGCCACACGTGCACGGCGTGCGCTGCCAACACTCTGATGGCGTAAGTGAGTTGCCGCATTGCGGCAATGCAGGCATATTTTGCATGCAGCCAATAAGTCAGTTGCATGTATATTTATTTGATTTTTGTGCAGTGCATAATAATCAGGGTAATGGGCACTCTTATTGCTGAGCCCTCGCGAGCTAACTCAGCTTTCTTTCCAAAATTGTTGCAACCCTTAAAAAGCCTGCAGAAGCCTGTGTCTCGTTAAAAGCCAGATAGATCTGTCCGACTGATCTCTGGCAGTTTGAGATTGCAGGTACTGCTTGAAAATTAGCTGGATACCTTAGCTGGATCCAGCCTGAGAAATTCAGCAGGCCAACCAGGGAATCTAGAATGATGAGATCTGAGATAGCAGAAGTACAACGTCGCCATGATATGTGATGATGGCCGATACGGCCATATAGCATCAGATGGTGAACTCATCATCGTCATCATCCTCGATTTCCTCTTCTTCCTCGTTGTCAGCCTCATCGGACGCCGAGGATGCCTCCTTCAGACTTGTTTTCCTGGCAGATGTGGTCCGGGTTGGCCTGCTCCGCTGTGAAGGCTGTACACCACCGGCGCCTCTTTTAGTTTGGCAAGAAGGAATGAGTGATCAAGCGAGGAGCATAATGCAGAGCCTTCAGTAGATCTCTGTCAACAGGCCAATTTGCAAAATTTGTGTGCAGAGAACTCTTCTTGCCTGCGTGGGGACACATGTAACCTACCATTGGCGATGACAAGTCGACGACGTCGCTGTCATCCTCCTCTGCTTCCTTCTGCCTGGGTGGCCTGTTGTCCTTTGCTTTCTGAGGGGATTTGACCTGTGATCAACTGAGAGGCTTCACCCTGCAAGCTCTGCACCATAGCCCAACGAACATGCATGATGCGGTCATGCATGCCTCAGTGCAAATCCCATCAAATGTGGTAGTACAGAGGCCTCCCTCTGCTGCCAACCTCACCTGTGCAGTTCTGCAGAACGGCAATGTTGCCTGCTTCAAGGTCCCCGCTGGCTTTGCCTTTGCAGCAGGCAGCTTCCTGGCTGGATCCTTCAAAGCATCCACATCTGCTGCAGGTTGCTGACCCCTGCGACGCAATTCAATGGTCCCTCAGCAGTGTCTGACAGACCCCATGAACAAATTCCATTCTTGGCATGAATGAAAGTAGAAGCGCGTATCTTTCAGAGAAGATGGATTTGCCCACCTGGACGGTCCAGGCTGTGAAGGCCCTGCATCAGGCTGCGCTGCATTCTGCTCTGGAGGTTTTGAAGGCAATCTGGCTTGAGGGCGCCTCTTCAGCCTCTGGAATCCCCCCTCATCATCGCCATCACTCTCGTTGCCGTTCTCATCTTCCTCCCCGCTGTCTGCATCCACGTTGTATTTCGGCCGCTTTGTGCTGCGCTGAGACATGCGGCGGCCCTGCTGTTGGGAGCAAGACAAACTGATGTGAGTACAACAAGCAAGGGAGATCCCCGTCATTAATCCAAGCACCTGGACATGCAAGGGCATCATAAATTTTTCCATGTGCAGAAGAATAATTAAACCGTGAGAGGGATGTCCTCATCCCCCTGGCTGGATGCACCATCGCTGTCATCACTCTCATCGGAGTCTGCCAGAGCCCGCTTGCCCACTCCCTTGCCCTGATTTTGCAAAGCCATCTTTGAGCAGATGACAAGAACTGCACATGGAATGCCGCAACCCGTTTCAACAAAGGACACGTGCTTCAATTCTGGCAAGGGGAAATTTCTTGACCCACCGCAGGGGATCGGCCATTTGCAATAGTCTGAGTTCCTTTTGCTTCACCAGGGTCAGCGCCAGGAGCTGCTTGACCTGAATCTGCAAAACAGCATCTCACGTCATGCCCTGTCATGCGCAGGATCCGCAGTATGTTAGAGTCATGACTGATACATTAAAGAGCAACCTTAAACACCTTGTTCAGCTTTTTTTCCGGCTTCGATCACACTGTGTGGCAAGGGCAGGCGGAACTCCTCTGGGTTGTCCTCTTTCTTTCCAATCCACCAAGCCTCAGAAAAGACGACCTGCATGGGCATTGCATGGCCAGCATGAGTGCATGCGGTCCTGGAATTTCTCATGCCTACTCGATGCAATTTTCAGGGTGAGCATTAGACAATGAACTGATCTTTGAGAAGCCCCACCATGCTCTCCAGAATGTCCTCACAGATGACGTCCTTGTTTGTGAACTTCAGAACCATGTACTTGTTGCTTGGAAACATCAGAGTGCCAAAGAACTTCATGCGGCCTTCTGGAAAGTCGATGTACAGGACAGGGTTCTTGGAGTCCAGCTGTGCCAGGGTGCCCTATCATGCATGCAACAGGGGTCAACTCATGCATTGGAGCGGCCAATAAACAGCAAGCTATTATTGCAGGCAGAAGGAGTCCGGATGCATACCATGCGCCCTGCTGCAGCTGCTGCTATCTTTGCATTGATGTTCAAGAGGTACCTGGGTGGTGAAAATGTTAAGCTTCTCTTTATGCATCATAGCTGGTCAGTTGAAGGAGCACAAAGCACATGCCTCACCTGCCCTTCCTGACACTGCTCCTTTTTGTGATGTCCTTCCCGTCCGCCTTTGTGAGCACTGCAATTACAACAGCGCGTCACAGCAGTACTATTTCAGAGGAGATGAGGAGAACACGTGGGCCTCAGAGCTCCACAAGACGCACCTTTGCTTGGCATGATCTCGTCAGTGCACATACGTCGCGTCTTCGAGAGCATCTGCGGTATGCAATGGCACTACTAAGGCCTGACCAATCTGCTATTTCCAGTGGACAAGACGGATGCACAATCCAGGCATAAGACAAAGCTGCCCCCTACCCCTTCATAAGCGATTTCTTGTAGCCGCTTTGATTCTGCCAAGCCATGTTGATCAGCAGCATTTAAGTCCTCTGCCTTGTCTTTCCCAGCCTTTGGTGGCATCTTGCAATCTACAAAGCCGTGGTGACTGGAAAAGACTGGTCTCCCCCCCTTTTTGTCATTCAGACAATCCGACACTTATGACCGCTTTCATGTGGACATCTGATCTGTACTTACAAGGAGCTCAACCCAAACACACGGTTGATGTCCATGAAGAGTCACTCAGGCCGCAGTCGTATTTACTTTGACAGAGCACGTCAGTACGAACAAGTGTTCCTCCAAGATGCAATCAGCCCGCACTTTGCTCTCTCATTGTTGCTGTGAATGTGGGAAACCGACAGTCTGACTTAAGCTGTGGGAGCCAATACAGGCTTAGCGCTGTCCGGTACTCGTGACCGCAGCACGACCCTCGCCAGCACAAGCACTCGCGATGTGACACAGCGTGACTTCAAATGTAACGGATGTATTCATTTATCTCCATTTCTGTGTTCTTTCACGGGACTGCAGCGTAAGATACTGGCCTGCAGCGTCTCGCGGAAATTTTGCAATGTTCGGCAGATTGTGTTCCTGAAGTCAGATATACACCCAGCTGGTTGCATAATAGCATTTCACATAGATAAGAAGCAAGCAAGACAGTTGAAGCAGTCCCGGCAACAGATTGTATGGCCGGTATGCTCAAGCCTGTGCCAGTACAAGAAGTACACTCTTCGCGCTTTAGGCATTTGTCTGAGATCCTGATGGCACCCTTGCTGTTTAGGGACATCAAAGAATTTTTGTAACACTCGAATCACTTGCTTTTAAAGTTAGTAACAAGTGCTTTGACCTACAGGTGGCGGCATCGTCGCACCCTCAGATGGGAAGACTTACGAAGGAGAGGTCACTTCTTATGTGATTATAGCGTGCATTATTGCTGCATCCGGAGGGGCATTGTTTGGGTGCGCATTATCATGCTATCTGCTAGTCTTCATATCGAGCATCCCAGTCAGGTCATTTTTAATGTGCTCATAAACCTTGCAACATCAGCTAAACTTGGAGCACCTACATCAAGTCTGAACACGCTGGGATTGCAGGTATGACAATGGGATCACAGGTGGCGTCATTTCCATGGTGCGCACTCTGCATTTCTGGTTACACCAATGGTAGGCTAGACTGCTTGGTCCATATACTATATTGTCCAGGTTGCCACCTTTCCAACATAGCAACCTGAGGGTGATTTGCCGTGCTCTGCAGCCGGGCTTTCTGGAGCAATTTTTTCCAGAGCTTTTAGATCCTTCAAGTAGCCAAGGTAGGTCAGGTGACCAGGATTGATTCGTGAGTTGTTGCACCAATTCACCTAGTCATGTCCAAGATGCTCAGCTGTGTGCTTCAAGAACACCTTGACAAGAAGCTGCACTGAGGTCTGCCATGACACGGTGCTCATGCAGGGGGCAATCAGGATCCTTACTGCAAGTATGACAGTTCAGTCCTGGAGTGGTTGACATCCTCGCTGTTCATTGCGGGTGTCTTTGCTGCACTTCCTGCCGGATATGCAACAAGGTGCTCCTGTTGCCATTCCTTCACTGTGCTTTTCCGTGAATCTTTTCTAATGTTGCTCTCACCAACTTTTCACAGTATATTGACAGTGATGCATTTTTTCCTGCAGGCACTGGGGCAGGAAGAAGACAATGCTGCTGGCAGGGGTGCTCTTTGATGTGGGGGTGCTGCTGACTGCGGGGGCAATGAACATCACAATGCTTTTGTGTGGGAGGGTGCTACTAGGCATCGCAGTTGCCTTTGCTTCGGTCTCTGTCACACTGTACAACAGTGAGATGGCTCCGGCGCACCTCAGAGGCCGCCTCAACCAAATCTTCCAGGTCTGTATCTCTCCCTCCCATTCCTGGCCTTGGCTGACACTAACGTCTACATGCCATGTAATCCTTCTGAGCTGCTGATAGCTCCAGCCTTCTGAAGTGCTGCATGCCATCTGTACAACAGGGGAAAACGTGTTCTCAGACATGAGGGGACTGTTGGCCTTGCAGGTGATTCTGACGCTGGGAGTGGTGTTGGCGCAAATCATCAACATCTGGACGGGAAGGTTTCACCCATGGGGTTGGAGGGTGTCACTGGGGCTTGCTGGGGTACCAGCCATTGTGCTGACACTGGGCGGCATATTCCTGCCGGACACGCCCAACAGCCTCATAGAGCGAGGATTCGAGGAGGAGGGGCGGAAGGTCAGGCCCTCCATCAATTTTTGTTGCTGTTTATTCGTCTACAGCACTCATCCTTCACCGCTCGGCCCATGCATGCATGACAAGGCTGGTGTGAGCCTTCATGAAGATCAGTTTAGGGTGTGTGACGCTGGAATTTTCTTTCAAGATGAGTAGCAGATTTCCTTGGGTAGAGGGGGGCGTGCAGCTGCATGCAAAGAGCTCAACGAAGAATTGCCACGGGTGTCGTCTTTGTGCAGGTGCTGCAGCGCATCAGAGGCGTACAGGATGTGGATGATGAGTTTGCTGACATCAAGGCAGCATGCGTCCAGGCCAATGCAGTCACCAATCCCTGGCGCGAGATCCTGAAGCGGAAATCACGGCCGCAGCTGTTTGTTGCCCTGACAGCCACCTTCTTTCAGCAGGCATGACCCCCACTCCCTTCTTCTGCATCTAAAAAATCTTAATGCTGGGTTGCTCACTGTATTTGCTTTGGCCACTTCCCTAAGAAATCAGTGGTGGGCATATTATTCCAAAACGGCATTGCAGATCCACTGTCATGCTGCTGCTGCAACTTGACATGCATGGTGTGTTGCAGTGGACCGGCATCAACACAGTCATCTTCTATGCGCCACAGCTCTTCATTTCGCTGGGAACCGGGCGCAGAGCAGCTCTGCTGGCCACAATTGTGACCGGCGTGGTGAATCATTTTGCCACATATGTTTCGCTGTGGGCTGCGGACAGCTTTGGGAGAAGGATCCTCTTCCTGGAGGGAGGCGTCCAGATGCTGCTGGCTCTGGTGAACAATCCCTTTGTCCAAATCTTTGCAGGCCCAGAATTTATGCATTACCCTTTCATGGATGGGGCTTTAAAGTGATTGCATCTTCAATTTTTTTTAAAGCTGGGTCCCTGGGTTAGGTGGCACAGTGAGCACAGAGAGACCACCCAATGGCTGTGATCTGCAATTGTGGTATCAAATGAGACGTTGAATGTGGATATACACGGCCGCAGTTGTCTTGTGGTATGCAACTGTGCTTTGGTATGCCACCCATGAGTGTTAAGTTTGGTTTCGTTGCCAGGTGGGCATTGGGGCGACGCTGGTGCTGGCAGGAGCGCAGCCGATGGCGGCGTGGATAGCACTCTTCTTCATGTGCTTCTACATCTGCGCATACGCGTGGTCGTGGGGGCCGCTGCCCTGGCTGTACGCTGCAGAAGTGCAGTTTCTGGAGACCCGGTCTGCCGGACAGAGCATAGCCACCCTCATCAACCTGCTGTTCTCCTTTGTCATCGGCCAGGTGACAAACTTTTTCTTTTCTGCGCGAACCTTTCCTGGGAGTTGTGTGCATTGTTAATCCTTGTCCATGACCCCTGAGCAACACCGTGTTTTGGAGGCAATCTTGGAAGTGCATTTCTTTTCCTTGTCCATGACCCTGAGGAACATCTTATTGAAGACAAAACTTTTTCTGGGATGTGTCATTAATGTCCATGTCCATAAGCACGAATAATACTGCATTGCATTGTACATCAACAGGCGCTGGGGTGGCAAATGTTTATTGTGTGTGCAGACGTATCTGTCCATGCTGTGCGTCTTCAAGTGGGGCATTTTCATGTTCTTCGCGGGCATGGTCCTCATCATGACAGTGGTGGTGGCCGCCTTCTACCCGGAGACCAAAGGGTTGCCCATCGAGGAGACGCCGCACGTCTTTGCAGACCACTGGTATGCCATCTGGCCCCTAGGCATTACTTGTGTGTGAAGCCTATGCTGAATTTGCAGAGCATCTGGTGAGCCCCTGTCAGTGCATGCCAGCAGGTCTATGTGAAGCCAATGCCCAACCTAGAAAATAAGTGGGAGTCCGTACGTGCCCTCGTTTGCACCTAATGAAGTTCTGGTTTCCGGAATAGCAAAATAATTTCTGCAGCTCAATGAAGTCAGCCGCATAATTGGGAATGCAGGTATTGGAAGCGATATGCTCCTCCTGCACCATGGTCAGATGAGGAAAAGGACAACCTTAGGAGACCTATTCTTCAGCAATAAAGCACAGCTGTGCTTCCCCAGCAGCCAGTATTCTTTGCTTCCAGCTATTTACAACAGACTGATGAATATCAGTGCAGGCAAGTTGCACTGACTGATGACTGATGAATATCAGTGCAGGCAAGTTGCCTGGAGGCATGCAGCAATCATTCTTTGTGACTTTATAAAGCAGGGGTTTGCAGAGTGCTCATACTTCAAAGTTTAGTCCTGTGGCAGCCTGTGCGATCTTGCCAAAGACTAGCAAACGTTCCCAATACATGTCTGACATGCTGGCCATCTGAAATGTCGGTCAGCATTGTCAGGGTCTTGTCTTCTCATTGCCGGTGTATCAGTTTGAATTGCTGTGTCCCAGCGAACGTGGGTCTTGACGCTGTCGGTCTGACAATGCATCAAAGAACCTGCGGAATATTCTTTGCAGAATTGCAGCAGCATGATTTGAGCTCACCCAAATTCAGGGGTATCCTGTGTGACCATGGCAATGCACTACTGTACAGTCAGCAGCTCTCCCTTGTGGTTGTTTGTATGGACTTGTTGTGGTCATGACTGATTGTAGGAGTAAATCTGAGATTATCTGTATAGCCATCTTCTATTCAATGTACCGTAGGCTTTCTTTCTTTGAAATCAAAGACATCTCCAACAGGAGTGCATGCTAAACTTTGAAAGAGCCTAGTAAATTTTCTGTGTGGGCTGGCTAGATCTGACAGTATCCCGTCTGGTGTTCGCATTGCCGTACTCAATGTCTGCACAAATTCAGCATTTACCACAGGGTGATTGCCACAATTGTTGCAAGGGAAGGCCAAGATCAATGTAAATGCAATGGAGTCTGCATGGTTGAAACAAAGTCTGAAATCTATTTTTACACTAAGAAAGTTGTAGTAGAACCCATCTGGAAACATCACTGCAAAATCAGCACATTAAGCATGCGTGTGGGATGCACTTGCCTGTAGACTGGGAGGAATAATAAGCTTATTATTCCTCTCAGTCTCTGCATTTAGTGGTGCTTGAGTCGTTTGCTTGGCCACGCCAGATCCTGTGCCGTTGCTACCTTTCTGCATGCATGCGAATTGAGCTTGTCATTTTCATGCAGGACATTTTCATGCAGGACGGCAAAATTGATCATGATGGCCCCGGGCCGCATGCGCAACTCCCAGCAGCCGCTCTCTGCACTCCTTGGGTGGACATCATGTGTCAAGGCAGTATGTTTTTTATGAATCGAGATCACGCAATCAGAACAGGGAGAGCATAGGAAAAGGAAGCAATTTTTCTCCTTGGGTTTCCAGAGTGGTTTCTGGGAGTGATGACTCAGCAACACAATGGCAGGAACAGCAGGATGTCCAGCTCTCAGAAACAACAATTTCAATAGTAAGACTCCTTCAGCTTGCGAGACTTTCTAAGAGTGGTCATTGATTTCTTTGAGGGATACTAGCTACGTGTGCCGATTGAGGATCAGACAGGCCTTTGCTGATGCGATCTGCGAGCAGAGTGAAGCATAACACGTAGAAGCAAACGTTAATGAGATGACGCAGACCATCTGCAAAGTGTAAGTCATCTTGATCGGTTCACTGGTGCAGGATTTCACCCCTTCTCTTCAAAGTTGCTGACATCTGTCCGGCATGTCTACAGGTGCTTGAAGCAATTTGCGAAATACACATGTCCTCGTTGCAATGTGCAATACTGCTCGTTGGAATGCTACAAAAATCACGGCGATCGCTGCACTGAGGGATTCTACAGGTTCGATCTTTTGCACTAATTAGCAGAGAAGCTGGACCTGTTAGATGTCAGAAATATGCAAGTTGTAGCTGTAATCACCTCAGCATGTCACTCTGTTACTGTACATCTTGAAATGATCTGTGGCGATGCTGTTGGACGTGGGTGCAGTGAGAATGTGGCAGAGGAGCTGAGACAGACAAATGCGGGAGATGAGGGAAAGCTCGAGATGATGGAAACACTACAGAGGTTCCACGACAGCGGTGCATCACTCTCAGGGACTGAGGCAGGTGGCGCAGCCCCCTCTGACCTGATCAAGGATGCAGAAGAGAGTGCTGAGGAGGAAGGTGCAGAGGAAGGCCTCTCTCAAGAGACCCTTTCCAAGATCCTGGCCCAGGTGGATTTTTTCATTCCCCACGTGATTCTGCATCAGCGAAATTGCTGCACAGTAGCAGCTAAGAGTTATCGAGAGAGCACTCCTATTTGTCAGCTCCAGCAAAGGGCAAGGTACTTCACCAGTGCTTATACAATCAAATGTCACTCTCACATCTCGCATGCGCTTGCTGCACAGATCGAAGAGGGCAAGGACCTGGACATCCAGGAGTCAGACCTGAGTCCAGCGGAGCGGGCTGCTTTTAAGCGCGCAATTGCAAACGGCAGCCTGGCACGCCTGGTCACACCCTGGGAGCCCTGGTGGCGCAGCCAGGAGGCAGCCCACTTGAGCCTCAGCGCTGCTGGCACCCGAATAATACGCGACCCCCGTGTTTCAGGTGCTGGAATCCTGATGGGCACCCCACTCGAGCAGCCTGCTTTTCATGTACCTTGTCTCTCTGGGAAAACATTTTAGTCTTGCAGGAGATACCTCAATCAAGAGCGGAGACCTCAGAGGTGTTTTGCTGATCAGGGGAAGGTTCTGGAGAAGTAGGCAATGTTGGAGGTATCCCGGCTCCTCCAGAGGCGCCTCTGCCGCCCCTCGCATCTCTCAGCAAGGCCCAGCCGTCGCCATACCTGCGCTGGCAGCTGGTGGAGCTCCTCTACTCCTACTGCCTCACCTTGCACATCTACAACGGCGAGTGGGCGCCCGACCCTCAGGTCAGTCCTCCTTTGCTCTTCTTCTGGCCCTTCTAATACTGTCATTGGCGTCATGTACGGATGCAGAGGACTGGGCAAGCAAGCTGCTAGCCTGGGACATGCTGGGTTGTATATGTGTCAAGACAAGATGACAAGCAGCTCTTTGCATCTGGCCCAGGGTGCGGCTATGACAGCAATGGCGGCCTCAGCAGCGCTCGGGGGCCAGCGCGATTCGCCCGCGCTGCCGCCGGCCTCGGCGGCGGAGGCGGTGTTGGACTGCCTCGGCCGCGCCTGCCACCCGTCCCTGTGCGGCCCTTCCGGCCGCGGCTTCGCGGTATCGATTCTGGACGAGGTGCAGGCGCTGCTGCAGTGCGGCCGGCCGGCCGTCGTCTGCGCGCTCACGGATCTCCGGCGCGCCTTCGCGGCGGCTGTGGCCGAGGCCGGCGCTGCAAACACGGCTGCACGGCAGACGGCGGAACGGCCGTCCGGCAGCCGTGAAAGCTTGATGAGCAGTCGGACGCCAGAAGGAGCTGTGACCGGCGGCAGTCGCTCGGCGACAGAGGTGGCCACAGGTGCAGCTTCCTCGGGGGCAGCAGAGCTGCCAGGAGAAGGAGTGGAAGGGGGTGCGCATGGGGCAGGGAGGGGAAGTAAGGGCAGCAGCGCACTAAGACGGCGGCTGCAGGCGGCCGAGCGGAAGCTGGCCTACTTTCAGTCCTGGGCCAATGAGCAGCGGGCACCGGAGCTGCAGGTCATCCTCACTGCAGTTGCCAGCGAGGGCACCGCGCACAGGTGTGGCTCTTTTCACTTTGCTGCACCTGTTTCATACCGTGGTCGTCTGTCAAATGCCAGTTCACAATTCATGCAGGCTCCTGAAGTGCATGGATCGACGGAGTTCCTGCTTTGGACAGGGACGGAATGCAGCAGAGCACTGCCGGACCTGCTGGTGTCCTGGGACGTGCCGATGTCCAGGCAGGTGCTTCAAGGCAGCCGCCACAGCAAGCTGGAAAAGTACGCCAGCTGGTGGAGGAGCTAGGCGCTGAACCGAGAAGCACTGCCGAAGTGGCCAGTAGCAGCAGTAGGCCTGAACTGAGCCAAGCGAGTACTGTTGGAGAGGGTGGGAAGTTGGCAGTAGCTTCAAATGCTGTGCAAACTTCTATCATGGAAAGGTTGAGGGACACGCGCTTGGCTGGGAGTCAGAATCGTGCAGAGGAAGATCATGAGGATGACCAGGCAGGCACAGTGAGACGTGCGCCGCCTTACATAGAAGAGTTGTAAGACTGCGTTCGTTACATACAACTCATTGCATGATGCAGTTGTGCACTAAAGCTGCCTGCTGGCACTGCCTACCCTGTGACGTCATCTCCACAGCACGTGGCAGCATGCAAAGCACACTGACAAGTCATTAACAGCTGAGTGCTCTCTGTGCAGGCAATTGATTGAATGTTAACCTATTTCTTACAAATGTGTGCTGAAATGATATTTCAAAATCATCGATCTCTGTCCTGGCTACAACATTTGCTGGTTTCGGGAAAGGAGTGCGTCTTTGCGTAATCACACTCGTGATTTTGTAGAAGTGCAATGCTGTGGGTTGATAAGGTGATTCCAAGAGCCGAACTACTCATAAAGACATATCAAATTTAGAAGTTCTTCCTTGCCGTGCTTTTAATTGTCTTGTTATGAATGCATGTCGTTCATCATCTGTCACAGTTCTCGACTGTTGTTTGCATGCGCACAGTACCGCCCTCGGACGCTAGATGACTTGATCATCCACCAGGATATTGGCGAAAGTCTTAAAAAGCTGGTATCCTCTCCTCCTATTCTGCCTTGCACAATGATGAAAGCTGCTGACGATGCTTCACTGTCCTCATCTTGTGGCTCATTGTGGTCGAAATTTGAGTGTCAAACCATCTTCTGCCTTGTGAATGCAGGTCACTACAGGCGATTGTCCCCATCTCCTTTTTTATGGACCACCTGGGGCTGGCAAGAAGACTCTGATCCTTGGCCTTTTGCGAGAAATATATGGAACAGCTGTCGAGAAGGTAGAGAGGCCCGGATCGAAATGCGTGGATAGGCAGTGCCCAACCAATGCAGCGACCGGATTCTTCCCCAACTACCACCTTGCATGTCTGATGTGTTTGCCATGCCAATGGTGCAGATCAAAGTTGAGACGAAGCCATGGAAGATTGAGCTGCCCAGCCGTAAGCTAGAGATAGAGCTGACCACGGTGCAAAGCAACTACCATGTGGAGCTGAACCCCAGTGATGTCGGCAACCAGGACCGCTATGTGGTGCAGGAAGTCATCAAAGTAGAACTCCACTGCCCATCTTCCTTTTCATGATACCAATGACTGACTGTCACGCTGATGCCCTTGTTCCTTTTGTCCTGCTGCGTGTCATAAGTAGCATATATCTAGGGGATATTGTACTCTGCACAATTGGATGTTTGGTCATGTGCATACCCAGCAAGTGTGAGGGTTGCATGCGCAGGACATGTGCAAGAACCGGCCGTTGGAGCTAAAGGGGCAGCGCGGCTACAAGGTGCTGCTGCTGAATGAGGTGGACAGGTTGTCGCGCGAGGCCCAGCACAGCCTCAGGCGCACCATGGAGAAGTACTCTGCCACTTGCAGGCTCATCTTCTCCTGCTCCAATGTGTCCAAGGTGTGACCTCATGCATGTCTCAAGGGTGTAATCTTCACAAATTGTTACTTCATGCCTGGCCCTGACCTTGGCCCTGCCTTGTCCTCCTGCAGAGGTCATTTGGCGCATGATGTGCACGTCACATGCATGGACTTAATTTGAATTCCAAGTAAATCGATTTGGTCCTGCTGCAGGTGATCGACCCCCTGCGCAGCAGATGCTTGTGTGTGAGAGTGCCAGGCCCGACAGGCTCGGAGATACAGCACGTCCTGCAGCATGTAGCGCAGAAGGAGAACGTGCAGCTGCCAGATGCACTCTGTCAACGCATTGTCCAGGTAAGAATCCCGGACTCTGGCAGAGGATGTGCTGGGGGCATGTCCCTTGCTGACATGCATGCGCTCGTAATTGTGACTTCTGTTCGGCTGTGCATGCTCAAGAGCACAGTCTTGATTCAGCCTGTGTGCATTGCAGATGTCTGACCGCAACCTCAGGAGGGCGTTGCTGACTCTTGAGACTTGCCGTGTGACTCAGTACCCCTTCACTGAGGCCCAGTCTGTGCAGCTGCCGGACTGGGAAATGTACATCCAGGTCTGCACTACTGGGCCTGACCCTGCTGTCCAGTAGTACACATCCCTTTGTGTTCTCCCATGTGGTGTTGCATCAGACAATGCCCACTATATCACTACTGCATGCAAGGCATTTTTTCCGTTCGCATGAATGGTTGAGTGAAGAAGCAGATTGTGGGTGCTCCGTGCAGGAGATAGCGGCATTCATTCTGCAGGAGCAATCGCCCAAGAGGCTGTACGAGGTCAGGGGGAAGCTGTATGAGCTGCTGGTGAACTGCCTCCCGGCTGAGCTCATCTTGCGCACTTTAGCTATGCAGCTCTCTCGCAAACTTGACGACGAACTGCGCCACAAAACCATCGAGCTCGCCGCCTTCTATGAGCATCGCTTGCAGGTAAAAATTTGCTCTTATAACCCCTTTTATGAGGTGTTCTCCTGTGCATGCATGAGTTGGCCCGCGATGTCTGCCACTGCATGCAGAATGCTTGGACACCAGCTGGTGCATTTATCAAGGTGTTGGAGGGTGGATGGTGAGGAACAGTATTTTCTGACTGCTGCATCGCCCATTAATGATTGCAGGAGGGCCAGAAGGCCATCTATCACTTGGAGGCGTTTGTTGCAAAGTTCATGAGCGAGTACAAGTCATGGAGCATTGCTGTGCTGGGCTAGACGCTGGCTCATTGGCATCTTTAATACTGATTTTTCCAGAATAAAATACGCTATTACATTCTTTGCGCGCGATTGCAAGCAGCAAACAGTAAGTTGTGATTGTTGCCACCATTCTGGGCACACTGAAATAGACATTATGAAACGGCCTATTTACAGAAGCAATTCTGCTTGTTCTCAAAGTCCAAATTAAAGCTTCACAATGTTGTCTTGGACCTGACAGTAGGCAAACCCATACCTTTGGGCCAGCATCAGCACCTAGACCAACATGGATCACACGTCCAAATCCAATAAACTTAGCTAATAGTCGGAGGCACCCTGAAGCGTGAAAAATTGGAGTCGAAGGATGAGCTGCGGCTGATGGAGGCCCTTTGGCTGCCAGGGAAGCTGCTGATGGGCATAAGCTTGCTGCTGCCCATGAACTGGGAGTGCAGGTTGTAGAAGACGCTGAGCAGGGACAGCAGCATGGGGCCCACAATGGCCCCCTGCAGCGGGTTGTCAAACGTGTACATGCCCCCAATGATGCCCAAGCCCGTCAGGTATGGGTGGGAACCTGCAAAATAAGTCCAGATCAAATATGCTGATGCAGAAATCAAATCTAACTAGTCAGGATCCCGTCAGACAGCTTATGCTCACGAGCGCAACACTGTCTTTACACTTTATGTAAAAATTTCTTAAAAAATGGTTACCTGGGATCTCTGAAAGGATGATTTCATCGGCCAGGAACCACGCCCCAAAGTGGGCACCAAGCAGCAGGACAGCAGCCAACACACGATCCTGCACAAAGGACACATTCCTTCCTCTTAATGAGACAAGCTCATTTCAAAGTCTCTGAGCATGGACGTCTCAAGATTGGGCCGACAGGAGTGTCATGCATTGCATGCAAAGAGATGAGCACCTGGATGACGAGCTGCAGAGCAGCAGGCACTGCCACGAGCCAGGATGGGATCAGAGGGAGCATTGCAGTCGCCGCTGCCGCCACTGTCGTGGCATACACGAAGTGCACGCGGAATATGCGCAATGTCAGCCAGGTGAAGCCGGCATGAAAGAGCGCCAGCTGCACAAACCAAGCAAGCAGTCAGCGCTCAAGCTTTCATATGTTCAGATAAAATCTTGACCCTTGTCACCTGACTCGGCAAACTTGGCAAATTTTTAGCAGGATCATGCAAATTTTTATAACTGAGAGAAAGGCCACAAATTCAACCATATGATTGTGTGGAGCTCCAAGTGATAAAGTGGCAGAAGGGCCTTGAGAGGAAGGCCACAATCTCTCCGATTTTGTGAAGTATCTAAAGATAGAGTGGCAGAAGGGCACCTTCAGCGCGCAGAGAAAAACGCCGCGCAGGGCATCAGAGAGCGCTGTAGCAGCCTGCTGGCGCCCGTTGTCCGACAGCGGCAGCAGCCGCACCGCGTACAGCAGCGGGTCCGCCTCGGCCGCGAGCAGGTAGTACAGCAGCGCAAAAAAAAGCGTGAACTGCACGCCCGCTTGCACCACCCCTGCACAACACATTTCCCTGCAGTCACTGAAGGCGGCCCCTGCCACAGCTACCCAGCAACAAGAGACAATGCAATGCATTCCCATTCAGGTCACATGCAACAAATATTGCTTCTTCTAGGAGTCAAGGTAGCCCTCTCTTCAGACAGAGCTGACCCATCATGATTCATCATAGGATGAGCATGATAAACACTCACAGGGGACTTGTGGAGGAGAAAAGCGTGTTGAAGGAAACACTTGCCTAGTGAGTACCACAAGGGGCAACACCCACCAGATGTCGGTGACATCCTTCTGACATCAACCAAAATTCCATGGCTCACAGAGCAAATGTGAGGGCGCACCAACGCCCAGGCGGAGAATGCCGAGGCCGCTCGTGAAAGCGACAGCAGTGGTGCTGCCGAGGCCGCTGAAGATCACCGCTCCGGCGGAGCGGCCGAGCGCCAGCAGCGGCTCCGAGGCGGCCGCCGCAATGCGCTGCAGCGCGTTCAGCTCCCCCGACGACGCCTGCCCCTTGCCCGACATCACCTCCCTTGCCAGTAATATCGCATCCCTCGCCACCGCCTGGTGCATCGCCCAGTCAGTCTCAGCAATGTCTTGTGAGAGGTGCTGCGATGAGCACAATTGTAGCCTAGTCGCGAGAACAAAACAGAATCTGAACAGCTGCCTCTCCACTGGCTCTCCCTTATATCCAACGCCTGCATGTGATCCGCCTGCCAGATTCCCTTGTGCCGTCAAATCACAAATTCCAAATGATCTGTCAAAATCACTGGTCTCTGCAATGGCTGTGCTTCAAATTTTGCAGAATAGAGGAACCTGAAGGAGCAGCACTGACCAGGAGCTCGTGGAGGCCCTCCCTCAGCTGCAGCTGCCACATGTCGGCGTAGGCTGCCTGAAGCCGCTGCATCAGCTGGCGCGCAGCTCCGCTCTGCACCTGCGCCGCTCCCGAGCTATCAACCCCAGAGCAGCGGCTCAGCAGCCGCTCTGCTGTCTCCAGCTCCTGCTGGGCCACCTCATCCTCCCTGTGCCATGACTAATGCCGGTAATTCAGACACTAATTGGAGAGCAGCACCAGGCAATGAAGCAGTGGGATACGGGTATAGGAACCTGTTCTGCAGTGGGCCAGCCTCAAGCAATCATGGACTGAGGTGCTTTGCTTAGAGCAGGATGGCTGGTTGGGGCGGGTGTTGCGCACCTGACAGCATCTGCAAGGGCTGCCTTTGCCATCTGCTGTTCTGCATCAGCTGCAGCGACTGCTTCCTCCATTTCCATGGTCCTTTCACTGCCTGCCTCCTTGTCTTTAGGTGTGATGGCTTCAGCAGATGAGTTGCTGGGTGGTCTGCTCATTGGTTGCTCATACACCTGCAAAGCTGCTGCTAAGCTCTCTTTCTTCCTTCTCACCTGCAAGCACCAAAGCACCAGTTTTTTGTCAGCATCCCTGGTTCATGGCCTAGTAAAACTACCTTTCGGAAGAGGCGATCTAAAGAAGGGAAAATATGTGGTACCTCCTCTGACAGGTACTGCAAGCGGGCATCTGTGCTGCGTGCATGCAGCTTGGCCTTCACCCTGGCCACCACCAGAGCTCGCCTCTCTCCTGCGCTGCAGGGCTTTGGCGACCGGAGTGTTGCAGAGACCACCTTCAAGTCCTGCATCACCTGTACCACAGCACACATCCCTGCTACAGCCCAGAAGAGCATGCATTATGCACTAGCTTTGCAGCAAGCTGGAATGTGAATCACGGAGTGAGTATTGAGCGTTCATTACCAAAAAGGTACTCACCTGAGTGAGGTTGTTTGCTCGCACAATCTCATCCACTTGGGCCTCAAGCCAGGAGTAGACAGATGGCACGTTGCGTTCTGTCGCTGTCATGAGAGTCCCTTGCCATTCTCGCAGCCACACTTGCCAGTGCCTGTGCCCCTGTAACCCACCATTTGTCGCTCTTGCAGGCCCACAAACTACTACACTCTCATGACAAACACACCCATTGCCTGCATTGTTGCACAGCGTCAAACACAGAGGTTGCACAGTGCTGCTACCTGTCGTGCCAGCGCCGTGTGCTGCTCACTGCTGCTGGACTTCAAGGACCATGTGGGCAGCGCCTCAGTGACAGCCAGCACGGCTGTCCTGCCCTCCTGCGCAATCTGCAGGCCCACAAAGGTGCCAGCTCCAACCGTCCCGACAAGCAGGCCCACAATGAGCCCCACCTGCCCATACCCCAGCAGCACGTGAGCCACTGGATATTTTAATCTGCAAATTCATTTGTTGCAGGCCTCATAATCTGTTTGATGGGAGACATTGTGTGTCTTTGCCGTTTATATGAGAGCACAGTGGCCACAAGGGCGTCACCGCTACCATGTCCTACATGACAGAGTTCCACTATTCTGGTGGCATATAAGCATGCATGGGAGGTGGTGGCTCTTCACCGTGACCAGGGTGTGCATGCTATTGTGAAGGCTGCGCCTCACAGCAGCATCCACAGCATAGTACATCCTTTTCAACGAGTCCCAGCCAGTCAACAGCAGAGTCTGTGCAAACAATAAAATGTCAGCTGCCAAACCTTTGAGAATAATGCAGGCACAAGCACCCTTGCAACTGCTGTCTGCACAGAAGGATGCATCAAAGGGCAAGTGTGCAAGGGCAAAGCCGGGGGGGGGGTCATTGCCTTTGAAGAGGAGCATCTCTGCTTCAGAGTGTTGCTCAAGCTGCTGCGTCTCCTATCTGGATGTAAGCTGACCTCTTCCTCTGCCCCTCTGGTCACATCCATCTGCTTTCTGCTTTCACTCGCCTCCTGCACGCTGTCCAACTCCTGAAAGGAAATGGACCTTCCTTGCTTCCCATCAGCTTTTGGCTCATCCGGCAGGCTTTCCTTGGGAGACTTCTCAGGCTGCTGAGATGGGGACTGCACCCCTCTGTTGCCGTCACTGGCCAAGGGCTTTCCCCGCTCGCCTCTGGAGCTCAGGCGCCTGATGAGGCTCCTGGGGGGGGAGTCCCATGTCTCAAGGGGCGAGCCCTGCATCAGGTACCAGTGGGCGACAAAGTACAGGAAAGGCACCAGCCCCAGTGCCATCAGCAGTGTGCCGCACACCAGCACCACCTGAAGCGCCGCCATCCAGGACCGCACAAACCTGTCCCAAGGCACACACTCCACATGAGATATGCTCCCATATCCCGATCCACAGACTACTACATTGTTTCCCAGCGGATCCCGCCAGGCTCAGCTGTCCGCATTTGCCAGCGAGGCACTTTCCGTGCATCTATATCTGCAAGAGGAGTGCAGATAGTGAACCGGAATATTGTTGTTCACTACCACAGTAGCTTTTTTTTTCAATTCCTCTATCGTTCACATACATCCTGCATGCGTTCTTATCCAGGCAGCATGGAGGCAGTGGCCTGCACATGGGGAGGGAATGGACCACACCAGCTGGACAGCTCATAGAGCAGGCAGGCGCGCAGAAGCCACCGGAAGAGGGCCTGAGCTCGCTGGTGCGCCCTGTCCCGCTGGCGCGTGGCCGGCAGTGGCTGAACACGCCGCGAACCCCGCCGCTCTGTGCTCCTGAGCGCCTTGAATCCCAACCTGGCGATGGCTGACAGCGCCCCCAACGCCTGCAGACAGACGATGTTACATTGCCAAATACGAGCACATCTAGGGAGAAACACGCTGTTGAAAGCACTAGAAGCATACGCTGTATATCAAGAGCACAGCATCGAGCACCTTGCAAGCGGTGATTCCAAGGGACAGTGAAACATTGCTGTGCTGCAAACAGACAGCTTGAGCTGTTCCATGAGCTTCGTTCTCAATGAGGTAAGCGCCAGTGTGCTTGGTCAGTATTGGATGGTACTGGAGGGCGAGCTGAAGGTCGTGCCTGGGCTGAGCTGGATGTCTGGGACGCAAGCTTGCGCCGGCTGCGGCCGCGCTTGGTTGAGGCTCGCCGCGGGTCTGGGCTGAGGCCCCCAAATGCGCTCCTCCTGTGCAGCCGCGGCTGCTCGCCGGCCTGGAGACCTGATGCGGGCTTTGTGTCCACGGTGGGAGACGCAGGGGGCTCATCGGAATCTTTGGCTGCTTGCCTTGCAGCTCGCGAGCTTTCAGCCTGCACGGAAAGGTCCTGTCAGGGCAAGACCTGCTAGGCCATTCAGCACAGTTGGCGACATGCTTGTGTAAAGCATGGCACCTTCTCTCGGCGGGAGTCTGCCTCAAACTCCAAGGCATATTGCTTCCACCTCTTCAGGATGTCCACAATGTCTGCGGCTGTATCAGTAATCACGCGCAAGGGTAGGAGCAGCAATCCGACGCTGAGAGTCAGCAGCGTCCTGTGAACAAGAAGGACATTCTGAGCGGGGTAAAGGTAATCTGACTAGCACCTTCTCCAATTGTGATGACATATTTGGTAGACATGTCTGAAGTTTCCCTTCCCTCATTAAGGGAAGGTAAAGGTTGTGAGAGGCAAGGTGGATGAAGGGCACCTCTCTTGCACCAGCCGCTCTTGCCAGAACTGCACAAGCCATCCCTTCAAGTCCCTCAGTGCCACACTGCAGAGAAGGGCCCAGAGCCCAGCATCCCTGAAGCCACTGAGGACTCCCCAAGCGCACACCAGTGTAGCTGAGAGTCCGTTTGCGAGACACACGCCCAGGGCGTACAGCAGCAGTTGCGTATACAATGTGTTCTGGGAGTCGTTTTCATCGTCGCTGGTCTCCCCAGCAGCCTCAGGTTCAGGTGTGCATGACCTCCTCATTTTGCGTTCGGCATGCCGGAGTATTGCTCATCATCACATGCTCTGATACACAAACAGAAGCGCATTGTGAATTGCTTGATGAAGAAAATAGTAGGCTGTAATCATAGCAGAGGCTGCACTTCAGCTTAAAGCGACGGTGATGCTTGCAAATGTGCCAAACAAGGACTTGTGCCCAGGTGCGGCAAAAGAACACCGTAGTCAAGCAGTGATTATGTCAATAAGCCAGGACGTGCTTGGATGAGCACCTCTCGCCTTCCTTGCTCCGCACAATTCCGAGAAGGAGCCTAATCAATGTCGCGGGAGAAGCTTCCTGACGTGGCAGGGAAGCTCCAAGAGGTCTCGATCTGTTCAACCTTGCATGCAAAGCAATGACGCCTCAAATCTGGTCTCGACGTAAAATCAATTTGCAAGAGAATTCTTGGTGCAGCCTGCATCAGGTGCAGGTGTGACGGCTCGGTGTCAGTGCTTCGATTTCACCGTTGGACATCGCATCACTGATGCTTGACGATGGACGCCGAGCCTGATGCAGAGACTGGGCTCCTGGTATCCAAAACAGAGCCAAAGAAGTCTGCTTTGTCCACCATCAGAGCCTTGCACCTTGTTTCCTTGAAGGACTTTGACCATGAAAGGGCGTGGGCGAGGTACTGCAATGCTATCTTTCGGGGTGCTGCCACCGGTTTCTGCCTTCGCGGTGGATTGCACCTCCTCAAATTCATTTTCTCCATCATCTTGAGTCGTAAGAAGAATGCCAGGACACAGCCAGTGTCGGACATGATCGCAGACACTCTGCGCTACACTGGCTTCTTGGGAGCATTTGCAGGCATCTTCGTGTCTGTGGACGAAGGCATAGCCGCTTTGTTCGGGAAGGAGCGGTGCGTGGATGTGTCTGTGGCTGTCAATGTATGTATATGAGTTATTAGAAGCCCTAGCAAAGGACTCCATCCTCTGAGGACGTTCACACTTGCTGGATCTTGTAACCGCTGCAATGTGCTGTAGAACTGCACGATGGAGAGCATTTCTCGCCGGAGCTCTGGCAGGACCATCACTTCTATTGACAGGGTAATTTTTCATGCAAGATGGCAACAATGGCCTCTCCCCGACCTCGAGGAGTCCATTTTGGCACCTTTCAGCTTGGGAATAGACTGACAAGACTGCATGCTTTAAACGTGCCTCATTATTCCTTCCCATTGGCCATACAGACCATGTTTGCTGTCACTGAACTGATGCTGCATGCAGGCCCAAGACGCGGCACAACAGCCTGGCCATCTACATCCTGCTGCGTGGCCTAACACTCCTAGTGCGCTGCGGCAACAAGCCGGACGCACCGAAGCCTGTGCAGCGGCTGCTCACCCCGACCCGGTGGCGCCACGGAGACACAGCGCTCATGTGCGCATGCACGAGCCAGATCGGCTACTCCTGGATCTGCAAGCCCCAGACGCTGCCAGCCACCTTTGTGCACTTCCTCAATCACCACGGCGGCAAGGAGCTCTGGTTCTACAAAGCTGCAAGGGTGCGCTGCCACTAGCAGCAGTTTACCAGCACCAACATGCATGATGTGACCTCATTCCAGCCCAGCCGATTATGTTTGGGAGCATTAGCAGTAGATTGACCGGTGTGCGCTTGCTCAGGAACTGTCGGAGCGCAACTGGCGAGGCATCCCGCCTGGCCCACTAGAATCACTGAAAGGCACAGGTGGGCACTTGGGTGCAAATTCTGATACCATTTCGCTGCTTGTCCGATTAGTATCTGCCTATCACTTGTTTGCAGTCACCAGTGCAAACACAAGTTCTTTTATGCAGAGCATGAGGGCACAGTCGCCACTCATCCTTGTGAGTGGGCCCATGAGGGCGAGACCTGCTCATACTCCGCCGCCAAATTCTTTCCTGGAGCGTATCTGCGAGCCCTGCCAGTCTACCTGCCGGTCTACGTTCTGCCAGCCATCCTTGTGCACAGGTGCTGCTCAGATCTCCCCCATTGCCACTCTCGTGTAACATGTGCCCATGCAGTCCAGCAGACTCAAGTGAAGTTATATCAAGAGCTCTAGATGAGCATGCTTGAATGATGTGGGGTTGCTTGACAGGAAAGCGCTGTTTGAGAAGGATGGGCTGGCAATATGGGCCAAGGTGTTCAAGGGCGCTCTGCGCAGCAGCGCCTTCCTGGGCCTGTACTGCACGCTGTGCTGGCGCGGCGCCTGCGTGGGCTTCCAGGCCACCCGATCCGCATCCCCTCCTGTCATCGCCGCCTCCTGCTGGACAGGTGGCTCTCTACCTGCTGACTTTTGCTGACAGCAGTAACTCCACGTGTCAATATCCATGATGCACTGTGTCTAGGAGTGCACAAGACCCTTTTGACCCAGAAAATGGGTGCAAGTGGCAATACGGTATATTGCAATTCTACTGAGCATGCACACAATGGCATCAGCACAGGTTGCCAGCATGCAAGGATCCAAGCCCATCCATCTTCTCGTCCGGTGATCAGTTGTCTAAGTTGCCTGCCTGTAAATGTGCCATGATTTTGGAAGTGAACATTGCCATGCATCATGATAGCGGCGTTCCCATGCGCAGGCGGGCTGGCGACACTGGTGGAGAAGAAGTCGCGGCGCATGGAGCTGGCGATCTACTGCGCGTCGCGAGCGCTGGAGTCGTTCGCGCTGTGCCTGGTGGAGTGGGGCCTGGCGCGCCGGCGTGACGTGCCCAAGCGCATCGATGTGCTCATGTTCTCCGCCGCGGCCGCCGCCATCATGCACTGCTACAGCGACGGCCGCGGCCGACACCGCGACGTCTTCCGCTCCAAGTACCTCAACGTCCTCGACTTTATCTTCGGCAACACCGGTGCGCGCGCGCGCGGCCCGGCCGCCCCTCATGACCCTGCAGCAAATTTTTTGGAGCCATGGGAGCAAGCACGATGTCATCTGGCTGAGTGACAAGGACCTGGTTTGTGGCAGTGAGAAGTTGGAGCCCAGTTCGCAGTGGCAAGGAAGCATTGCCTGTGACATGATGCTGTAGTGTGATCAGGCATGTGGGGCAGCTGATTGGTGTTGCCTGCCTTGTGATGTGTACATCAATTGAGATTTTGCAATGTCTTGCAGGTGTGGAAGAGGGCAGGATCTCACACCGGCCCTCCACCCAGGACCTGCTGGCTCAGGCACGCCTCCTCATCCTTGCTGCATCCCTGCCGTGCATCGAGCATTGACACCTTGATGCTCGTCAAGATTTTCAGCATGAGATCTTTCTGCTAATTTGGATTTATGCCGGGCAGGTGCCGATGGTGGATGCTGCGGCGTGGCGGCAGCGTGCGCACAGCATGGGCGGGTCCCTGGTCAGCAACCTGGAGGTCCTGGCCGGCAAGGACATCGGCAGCGCCGACTCCCCGCGCGCCGGCGACGGCGACCACGCCGGCTCCATGCTGCACTTTGTCTCCGGCTCGCTCGACCTCGAGGTATGCGGCTCGCTCCTGCCTTCATTTTCCTCTGTGATGCCCCTCCCCTGGGATGCCCGCACAGCAGTGCGGATATTGCCCCTCCCCCATCACTGTGGATACCTTGCTCAGGGCTGAGGCATGATGTATCAGCTCTTGCGGGCATGCGCATAAACAGGGTTCTTTTATTGGTGGCTTTTTCCGGGCATCTCTGGAGGGGAAGGGGTTGTGGAATTGTTCTGCCTGCCAAATGAAGCTGTGATTGCACAGCAATAGCTGAAGTGAGGACGTGGGCAATGCAGGTGGGCAGTCACTCAGGGGACGGTCACTGGCGCAGCTCGCTGGATGGGAAGGACTTCCGGGAATCAACACCGGGCCCCAGCGAGCGCTCAGAGGAGACCGACAACTCCTTCACCTTCAATCGCCTGCTGCAGGGGCCCATATCCATGCACCCGCCGCCGCTGCTGGAGGCGCAGAGCTCCGACTCCGATGCGACGCCAACGTTCGGCGGTGGCCGCACCTGGCAGCTGCGCGGCAGCTCCCGTCAGCCACAGCCGCGCACGGCGCAGGCATCCGACGGCGTGCACTCTCAGCGCATTGTGGAGGGGGATGAGACCCAGGACGATCCGCAGGAGTCGCCCTTTGCAAGCGCCAAACAGCAGGGCCCCTGAGATGGCTGGTCCTTCAGGAGAAGCTTTGCAGCAAAAGAAGACCCTGTCAAGTGGACTGGAGTGACAAAATCTTGAGAGAATGCAGCGGTGCGGGACTGGTGATAGTGAGGGCATTGTAATCTTGGCGGAAAGCAAAGTCATACAGCATAGTGGACAATGCAAAGGCATTTCTTCTCCATGCTGTTGGAAGTGCGGGAGTGAGAAGTGCTGCTCAGTTCTCTGAAATGTCTGCCAGAATTGGAAGCTTGCGTACTGCTTGAGCATGCCGGAAAAGCTTGCAAGAAGTCGTGTGTGAGAAGGACTGCGAACAGAAATTTCAGAGAATCCTGACTGCGCAGAGGGTCTTGAGCAATGTAGATATCTTGTACAATAGGGTCTTGCTTGAGACTGGTCCAATGAATGCATTTAGCGTGTCTTGCCTGGTGAAAAAGGCATTTGCAGCCAATCATATAAAGCCTGTGAAGTGCCAGTATTTGAATGTAAAAGTCGGATGCTGCTTGTAATGCAGGTATGGCAGATAGAACGCTTGCAAGATTTAAGTTTGCGCATCCATTACAACAGCATCACATAGTGCCTGCTGCAAATCCCTCAATCAGAGCTTTCTCTGTAGAAGGATTATACGACGCTGATCAGAAACCTAATTTAAAGAATCGAGACAGGAACGCAAGACATAGCTAGATACCTAGCTGATGACCTTCAGACCTACACGGCAAATAAGGCAACATCTACAAAGGAGACCCGGTCTGAATGTACAAGGGGTGAGCACTGATATATGCCCACAGTAGCCCAGATGGGAACAGGTACACTGACGCTTTTCAAGGTACAGTCCACAGACTGTCTCTAATAGGGTCTAAAATTACCCACCAGCGCTTCATGCCATTCCTGCCAGGTTTGTCTTCTCATCTTAGGTCCAAATCATGAATATTGTAAGATTCAATGCACCAACTGCGGTACATCTTATTGCTGCATCACTCTGGATAATCCCATGGCACCACCATGTCAAATCTCAATCTGCAGCCATCCTTCCACTCTCTTGCAAACATGTGACCAATATTGGTCAAGAATGGCAGCGAGCCTGCTTCACCCCACTAGAACAGTACTGAAACCCATAGAAGCAAGGTGCTAAGCTATACAGAGCACTTCACTCCAACAGGATCCTAGACTGCGTGGTGCTACACACAGAGCAAGCCTGCCTTGTAGTGCAAATCTGTCTGCATCAGAAGATCCTGTCTACCGTGGCCACTCGGCCATTTCTTGCAACCTTCAGTTGCTCCCACTGAAGGCGCGAGCCTCTACTTGGCATCAGGAATGATGCCCAACCCAAACCTCAAGCAACGCTCATCTCCCGGCAGCGATCACTGGCTTTGGCGAGAGGGCCCTTGCCAACAAGAGGAGTCCAACAACCGAATATAGCACCCAGCAGCAGCGTCAGCTTGCTCAAGACACAATCCAGGCACATGCGATGCCCACTGTCTCACAAGACAGCATACGCCAGCAAACCAGCATTGCCGCTCGACCCAACAGGGGGGCGGTGTCTGAGCCCACAGAAGATAGAACGAAACGCTACTTCAAATATTAATCCTGTGCGTCCTCAGATTCCTCCTCAGTCCCAGTTGTCCATCCACAAAGACTCAGGGAACACTCGGGTCGGTGACACCTTGATGCTGCTGGGCAGCTTCAGCTTCGACAGGTCAGTCCCCTGCACAACAAACACTCCTCTTCAGAATATGACACCAGAAAGGAAAGAGCGCTTTCATTGTAATCAAGAATAGCAGGGATCAATGTGCATGCAGTGAGCTCGCACGAGCAATAAAGCGGGTAGAGCTAGGCAGCAGAAATAGACAAAACTTATGGTTAACTTTACTGTGAGCCTCGAACTGCGTCGTGTCTGCAGGACAAAAATTGCCTTTTGGCAGGAAAAGCGTGTGGTAATAATAAAAATGAAAAAGTGTGCAGCCAAGGGTGACTGATCTGCTCACCATGGGCAGCTTCAGGGAGTCGGCAAACTCTGCAGCCCGCTCGTGCAGCGGCAGGCTCGTCTTGTAGATGCTGTCTACAAACTCGGCCGCGCGCTCGTGCAGCGGCTGCGGCAGATTGTCAGCGTACTGCTGGAACGAGTCCATGAACGAGGTGGGCTCGATGGTCGGCGCATGCGACAGCGTAGACAGAAACGCATTCCAGAAGATGCTCACCACATTGTTGTACAGGATGCGGTGCTGCACAGCAGAGAGCGCATATGTTAGACAGTGCACTTCAAAAATCTGTGGCCACCGTGACTCATTACAGACCACTTCGAGTGCTTCAAGCAGTCTGACACGCAGGTCATGAAGCCAAGGATGGCATTGATAGAGACAGGGGAGAAAAAGGATAGAGAGAGGGAAAGGGAGCAGCATACAAACCTGTGTTGGCACAAATTTAAAGTTGATGTAGTGTGCGGCAGGCCACAGCACATAGTTGGCCACCACAGTCTGGACTAGCTTTGCCTGTAATCAGAGCACACATTTGTCACAGAAGTATGGTATACGTTCAATGCCATGCAAGATAGATTCAAATCGTCACTGTGGACAAAGTCATAGATATTATATCTTTGCAGCATACCTGGATGGTGGATGTGATGAGCTCTGGATGGCCCTCGACAGTGCGCAGGAAAGCAAAGTAGACGCATGTCATGACGGGCGCCCACAGCAGCTGGTCGGCCGCTGTCTTCAGCAGCACTGCTGCATTGCACTGAGGGTCGTTGGGGTACACAAATTTGTCCAGCAGCTTGTACCACATGTGGCCGATCGGCCCGTCGACAGTCAGTCCGTAACTCCCAAGACGCAAACACCTGAGGCACAGATGTTTGCTCAAAAATTCTGAAAGAGCTCCAGGACTCAATATGTACAAAGAATCACTATTTTTCCAGCACAAGGTATATGACATGACTTCAGGGCGCATGTTAGGGCAGACAGCATGTCTTCACAGCGTGTAGGAAGTTGAAAAGCAGTCACACACCTGAGAGGGTTAAAGGGCCTGCCCTCCATCCTCTGCGCCAGGAAATCACCGAGCATGAACCCAAACAGGCTGGTCAAGGCCTTGGTGGGAACGGGGTCTGTCTCAACTTTGCGGGAGTAGTTCCTCCAGACCTCCCCAACCTGCATCAGCATGGCCACTTCAACGGCTGCACTGGAGAACATGAGCATTTCAGGACAGAAAGGGCATAGCAACACTGGCAAATAACAGGTAGATGACACTGTTGCATGTTGCTGATATTTAAACAGTGCATCGAGGGTATATGCGCCTGACCCACAACGGGCTAACAACCCATAGGACACCGCGGCAACACAATGCAGGCCTCGGCGCTGCATGCGCTATGTCAAGTGTGGACGAGAACGCACCGCATCTGTAGCAGCATGCAAGGAGATTCCTCTGTGGCCGTCAGGTTTTGCCCGAACAGCATCAGCGCTGGTACTTGCGCCCTGAACAAAGTGCGACGGTGCCATGGAGTGCTCCAGGCCTTGTCGTTCCGGTGACATGTGTCTGTGTCTGGAAGGGGCAGCCAGAGCCTGGACAGGACCCCTGGCGGCCAGGCGACTCGCGCGCGCAGGGCGCGCCTGGACCGAGCATTGCTTCTGGACACGGTCAGACGGCCCGCTCTGCAACAGACCGCTCCGTCCGAGAGCAGTCATGGTGCAATGCAGGGGAAGGACTAGGCTGGGACTGTGAAAGAAAAGTGGTAGCAGCCCAGATCGAAAATCAAGATATATGAGAAAGCGGACGCATTCGTTGCAGCTTCTTGGGGCCACAGAAGGCCTTTGTTGCCGAGGCGAAATATCTAAGGTCAGGGTCCATGTCATTCCACTGGCCACGCTCGAGTGGCCCAAAATTCCCGAAATGAATCTGATCCCCCTGTCCGGGATGTCCGTGAAAACGGCTGACCTGGCCATGTTTCATATGGTCCAAGTCCAGATGTGGGCAACGTTGCCTGAGATCATTGTTGAGGTCATGACTGCGGCGCTACACCGTGCACATGTGTACACCAAGCACCGCTGGCAGAGGCATGCAAGCGCGCATCTGACAGGTCATTACATGCACATGTGCACACTGTGGCAACCAACTGATGCATTCAATGTTGTATTGCAAGTTGCGCAATGTCAAACATGGGACCGACCCACCAAGGCCTCGCAATTCCTTACAACGGCCTCAGCCACAAGTTGTGTTCGCATATCAAGAACCTCTGGGACCTAATGCACAAGATTACGCTGGTCACCAGTACTGCTAAGTGCCACTGCATGTACATGTATACACCACTGCACTTTGCCAATTTGGCTCTACAAAACTTATGAAAAGCTGGCAGCTGCTCGCAGGTTGAAATATCAATAGTGGAACTACAACAAGCTTCCAGCAAACTTGAAGTGCGTCAGGATCCTGCTACTAATCTACAACTCAAAGCCATTGATGCCTGCGCACACTCTCTTTTGCGTGCACTAAATCAAACTGGTGGGATCCAAAAACACAGGGGTTTGCAAGGACGGCAGCAAGCTTTTTAAAGACACTTTTACCAGTCCGCCCTGTTTGGGAAACAATTATCACATTAGAGTTCCTTCTATTTCCTGCTCTAGTTATGCTGCGTCAACCAAGCTCAGGGCATGACCGTCCCCGTACATGATGTCCAAACAACCCCTGTCCAACATGCCCGCAAGGAACACATTCCTCAGCCTTCTGCAGCAAGGGCCTGATGGCCCGCGTGCACTTTTGCAATGCCACCTGCATCAGCCAACTACTTCTATCCCTGTGCATTGAGGCCCAGGTGTACAGCCCCCTCACAGCCATCCAAGCTGTCCGCTACGCCCGTCCGACACCCTCCCACTGCCACCTCTTGCCACAGCATTCCTCACTTCCACTTGCTCGCATTTCCGCCGCGGCCCTCACTTGGGCTTGCCTGCTGCGCTGCCGGCCGCATCATCGGGGCTGGACTGGGCTGCATTCGTCGGCGAGTACTGCGGCGAAGTGGGGCTGTACTGCGGGGAAGTTGGGCTGTACTGCGGCGATGTTGGCGAGTACTTGGGCGAGCTCGGGCTGTACTGGGGAGACGTAGGTGAGTACTGCGGGGACGTCGGCGAATACTGGGGGGACGTCGGGGAGTATTGTGGCGACGTGGGGCTGTACTGCGGCGATGTGGGCGAGTACTGGGGAGACGTGGGCGAGTACTGCGGAGAGGTTGGCGAGTACTGCGGCGATGTGGGGCTGTATGCCGGCGAGGTTGGGGAGTAACCTGTTGACAAAACAACACCACTCATTAGATCAATAAGTCACATCAGCAACATGAGTGACCTTCCGCGCTCCATAATGAATAGACCTAGCCGCTCAAAGCCAAGCTCGCACCCAAGAGAGGTGCAGAGGAAGGCCTGACTCTTCGACTAGCTGCCAAACACGCATGCTGTGGAGGGCAAGGCACAAAGGAGACAAGAGCAGGGACAGCACAGGGTGATCGGGGAGTTGGCTTACTTGGGCTGGTGGGCGAGTATTTGGGCGAGGTTGGGCTGTAAGCCGGGCTGGTGGGTGAGTACTTGGGAGACGTGGGGCTATAGGAGGGGCTGGTTGGGCTGTATGCCGGCGAGGTTGGCGAGTACGCCGGACTTGTGGGCGAGTAGGCCGGGCTCGTCGGTGAGTATGCCGGGCTCGTCGGAGAGTAGGCCGGGCTCGTCGGGGAGTAGGCGGGGCTTGTGGGTGAATATGCTGGGCTCGTGGGAGAGTAAGCCGGCGATGTGGGCGAGTAGGCCGGGCTTGTTGGCGAGTAGGCCGGAGACGTTGGGCTGTATGCCGGCGATGTGGGCGAATAGCCTGTGGCACACACATGCAATTCTCAGAGAAAACGCCCCACAACGACAACTAATAACACTACCATCTACAGCAGTCACCAGTGCAAGAGGAGCATTGTGTCACAAGTTATCAGCAGCATACACACCTGGGGAGGTTGGCGAGTAGGCGGGGCTGGTGGGGCTGTAGCCAGGGGAGGTCGGCGAGTAAGCAGGGGAGGTGGGCGAATAGCCCGGGGACGTGGGCGAATATCCCGGGCTGGTGGGCGAGTAGCCAGGCGACGCACTGGGGCCCGGGGAGAACATGTTATTGCCCATGGGCGAAAACAGCGCCGCGCCTGCCATCGGGGACATCGCATTGGGAGACATGAAACCTGCAAGCAGGCACAGATTGTTCAGTACCCCCAGAAGTAAAGGGAGCACATTAAGGAAGTGTAAATGTGCTCTGAGCAGAATGCATGCAAGGGGAGAAGGAGGAAAGAGACGCACTGGATGGCGACATGCGACTGGGGGTCATCCTGCCAGGTGTCATCATGCCGGGCGTGCGCCCCAGCGCGTCAAACTCCAGCTCCGGCGCATACTGGACCTGCAAACGGATTCAAAGTAACAGTGTCAGAGCTGTGTAAGAGCCCTGCCAAGCTGGCGTCCACAATGCAAGCCACGATGTGTTCCACTAGGATGATCAGCCCTGAAGCTTGGATGGTGGCAATCTTTTCGTGATCAGGCAGACTACTCAGGGGGTGAAAGGAAGTGCCCCTTTGAACCGAGCCAGGCCTGTCTTTCACAAATCCCTGCTATGCATGCTGTGATAGGGTGCCATCTAGAGGTCATCGGGTCACTAATGACCAGAGGAATACAAAAGGAAGGTTGTAAGGGGCGGCAGCACAGTGAAGTGCGGCTGATGGGCTCACCTCGATGGCGTCTGCCAGCTTGGACTCGTCCAGCATGAGGCCAAAGCTGCCCGTGCCCAGCGGCGCCAGCTGGCCCAGCATGATGTTCTCGCTCACCCCCGTCATGTGGTCCTTCTCAGAGAAGGCCGCCGCCCTGTGTGTACACCCAACTATATCAAACCTCCAGACTCCTGCCATTGTGAACTTCACCAGCCTGAACGTTCCTCGTTGTAAGGATCACCCCCACACGACTGAACTCCTGAAGAACGCAGGTGATTCTACCAGATGATGGGCCAACCTGCAGGCTTCATGCCCTGATGCACATGCACGCAAAGAGTGAGGGATGGCACCATACCGTCGGCCAACAATGCGGCCCATGCCCAGATGAGGTGAAGCATGGGATGAGATTGCTGAAACTTGTATGCTCCACTACTGCGTGCATGCATGCATGCACAGAGGTAGAGGATCTGAGAGTGGCGCCGTGCCTGAACAGGATGTCGACGGTCTCCTCGAAGGAGCACTGTGCGAGGGGCCCGTTCTCCTGTCGGTTGATGCCGTGGCGGGTGATGGCCATGAAGTGGCCGCGACTGGTCATGGAGTCCACGAGCGCTGCCAGGTGGCGGTAGTTGACGTAGGAGCCGTCAAACTCGATGACGCCGCGCATCTCCTTGAGCAGCGCATTGCGCGCGGCCTCAATGCCCAGCACCTCTATGATCTCCACCAGGTGGTTGCTGATCGTGCGCCGGTAGTCCACGTCCGGGTGGCACATCACCTGCGCACGCGCAGCAGCACCACAGCTCTCAGCACGACTGAGTTCTGTGGACCCCCACGAACGCAGCTGGACCTGGAAATATTGTACTTGACATGAAAGACAGGAGGGCTACCACCAGCCTGGCTTGGTACATTAGCCCACCATTAACAGTTCAGAGAAAAGTGCGACTGACTTGAAGTCTGTTCAGGCTGCCAGCAATGCTCTAAAACCGCTTTTCCGGCTCATGCAGCCCATGTGGGTGAAGCATCTTCACATCAGAGTTTATGGATAGCTGGAGAGCATAGGACAGCAGAGTGGAGTGGATGGCTCACCTCTGACAGGTTGACGCCCTCCGTGTCGAGCACCCACTCGCTATCGTTGGTGTAGCCGTCTGGGGCATCGGAGCTCGGCACGATGCGCTTGGACTCGCGCAGGGACACCTTGTGGATGTCCGGTATGCCTTGCAACGCAACCTGCATGGTGCGCACCATCATGACATTGAAAACAGAGATCAAACTTCTCTTAAATCTGTGAACTTTGACTTTGCAGTCACAGGGAACATTTTGGCCAAGGTATGCATAGTAGAGCTATTGCCAGGGACGTGTGTCTCAGGATGTGCCTAGTTGGGGAGCTGTAGCAGGCGCACCTGGGACAGCATCGTGGCCTCGATCTTCCTCAGGAACACATCGTCCGTCTCCGACTGCGCCTCTGCCTCCTTGCCGCCCTCATCGTTCAGCACGCGGATCTGCATCAACCCAAACACACTGCTGAAAACCCCTGTCCAAGACTGATCAGCTGTTTACAATGACACACTTGATCCTGCAATTGGGCAGGCCACAACCCAAAAACACCCAAGACAAGGGGACGTTCATGGACACAGACTGCGTGACTGCCATGAAGTGGACGATCAAGAGAGCAACTACGCACCCGCAGGATGAGCTTGGGGGCATTGTCGTCGTTGAAGATGCAGGTGAGCTCGTCTTCAAACTCGGAGTTGATGCGCTCGGCGATGTCAGACATGGACAGCTTCTTGTCCACCATCATGTCGCGGTTGAGCTCGATGCGCAGCAGCCAGGGCGACATGCGGTTCACGTCCATGTCCTCATCCGGCATCTCAAAGTAATTCTCCACAAACTCCCGGTCCTCGTCGATCACCGTCGTCTGCGCACACCACGCCCCTCGGCTCAGGCACACATCGCATGCATGCACGGCGCCTTGCTCACATGACGAGGCACATGCGCCATAGAGCACACTTGTTCTTTGATACTCTGAAAATTGCCGGCAGAACGGTCCTCGTCGAGGAGAAGTGCGCATTACGGCACGGGTGATGCAGGACTGCACTTTCCCAGGAAAAGGCTGAACTGCTAATATGCGTCACAAGATACAGGAGCAAAGTGGTAAGATGGCACACAGCCGCACGTACCGTAGGATCAGGATCATAGTAGATCTCTGTTGCACCAGTGACCTTGCGGAGCGTGGTGTACTCCAGGCTGCACTGCACCTGCTTGGCAGCCTGCATGGCATCGGAGACACAACAGCTCAGCATCGCCATTTCCCACAGCCCCTACCCAGCAACAATGAAACAGAGCAGCAGCATCGGCAGCTCTCAGACACACGCCAGGAGCAATGAAACAAACAGGTGAAGCAGATTGGAGCATCCACAACCCACAGAAAAGAGCAAGCCATGTGTGATGCTCATAGGAAGGCTGCATGCATGGGCAGGCTCCAACCTCACGGTCGCGCGAGGCCTCCCCGAGCAGGAACACGGTGAGCGAGGGCGTCTTGATGTTCTTGGCGATGTTGATGATCTCGGTCAGCCGCGGCACGCCCAGCGTGACGTTCTTGGCGGACACACCGGCAAAGTGGAACGTATTGAGCGTCATCTGCGTCGTGGGCTCGCCGATGGACTGCGCCGCCACCGTGCCGATCATCTCCCCCGGGTACGCAAGCGCCTGCACAGCCAATGCAGGCTCGGCCACTGGATAAGACGCCCCAGCATCTTGATGACAGCTGCATCGCAACCTCCTCAATGATATAATGAGGGCAGTGCCCTCACAAAGACTAGATATTGAGGCGTCCCTCCAGCGGTGGCGCAAAGCCTCAGGGCTCCATCAGCGCTGGCATCCAGCGCGTGGCAGGACACATAATTTGTCTGCAGTCTTGACGTCCTAGCATCCTTGTAACCGGCAAAAGAAAGCTCTATTATGATTCGTCCAAAGGCAGGGGTGACTGGCGTTAATTGCTCACTGCATGGAAGCGGGTCTCGATCTCGCCCAGGATCCAGTCAAAGGCCTCGCGATTGAACTTGTAGTCGCGGATGACGCGCTTGGAGGCGAAGGTGGCGCGCAGGAAGGAGAGGAACAGCAGCGTGGCGTTGCGCTGCGCCTCCTGCGATAGCTCGTCCGGGCCGTCCACCACTATCAGCTTCTGCTGAAGCTCCCGAACACGCATGACCACCTCCACCGGGTTCAGGCCTGCGCCAAGGTCAGCGCTGCGTCAGCTGGGGCTACAACAATTTATTTGAGAGTATGAGATAGGTACGGGACCAAGCCAGCAGCTTTCTGCAGAGCCTGTATGCCCGAATGCCAATTAGAGAAAGAACACAATGTGACGACTCTGTACTTCTCTGTGGAGTCAAAGACATCAGCACAGACCCAGAAGGTACAGAGATACTGTGGATAGTACGCCAAGGGTGCATTGTCTGGTGGTGCACCGCATTGATGCAAAGTGCAAAACTCCCAATGCCCAGGCAGAACATCCGCCAAGTAGTACACTAAGTCCCTCTGAAGCGAGCAACTGAATCAGCAGAGACATTGCAAGATTGTGGAGTTGCTCTGACCTGAGGATCCTGGGCGGTGCGGGTGGCAGTGGAACATCTGCTGCGCGTTCCAGATCAGGCGCTTGAAGTTGACAGGCAGCTGCACGCCGGCATCCCCCGTGCGCATGACCTCTGTGCGCAGCGTCTTCAGATCTGTCTCCAGCTGCACAAAGACACACACACACACACAAATGCGTAGGTATACAATCAAAATCAGTGCTGAGCTGCCAATACTTTCTTTGCATCCACAGCCTTGCACACGTCCGGAGAAAAGAGCGCAAGCTCGCAAAGCCACCAAGTCCCAGTGTTTTGGGTAAGCAAGCTTGATTGAAGAGATCTGGAGCACACCTGCTCATACTCTGCATCCAGAAGCTGCCTGGCCTCCACGCTATGGCGCAGCTGCTCAGCCGTCTCAGGGTCCAGCCAGTCGGGCGTGCCCCTGCCAGGAGACACGTCCAGGTAGAACTTGTTCTACACGCCCACACATAATGTCAAATTTGGAGCCCCACGTGTTCCCACAGAACATATCTTCAAGCACTACCTCTGGCAAGAGAGCCAGTGACACCCTTTCCAGCACGAGGGGCAATTACAATTGCAAGGCAATGCATACATGTGTGCAAATCTCAGAAGCATGTGTGCGCTGGGTGTCCGATGCCTTCAAGCCAAGCTCCAACTGAGCAGGGGTTGTGTCTCACCCTGAACTTCTCCTCGGTCATGCGCAGGTGTTCCAGCTTCTGGCTTTCGATGGCAGTGCCGTCCATGCCGTCCTCACCGTACAGGAACTGCACCACGCTCCCATTCGCTGTGCGCACCGTGCCATCATACCTGCACGCATCAGCATATTCTTTTATTAGCACCTCCCATCTTGAGCAGAACCCCGTTGCATTGGTTCCCTTTCCAAACCTGCCAACTTGCAATGGACAGCAAGATTGTGTCCGCATATGCCCACTTTCTAGTAGCAAGCCTACTTTTGCCAGCCCATTTGTGCCTATTCCATGGAGTGTTGGATGGCACAATGAAGGATCAAAGGTTTTTATGAGGTGGTGAGCGGGGCTCACTTGATCATAAGGTCCTCCATGGCCTTGACCAGGCGGCGCTGGATGTAGCCAGTTGAGGAGGTCTTGACAGCCGTGTCAATCAGCCCCTCGCGGCCGCCCATGGCATGGAAGAACAGCTCCTGCGGGGTCAGGCCGCGCAGGTAGGAGTTCTCCACAAAGCCGCGCGACTCAGGGCCCAGGTCGTCCTTCGTGAAGTGCGGCAGCGTGCGTCTCTGGAAGCCGAAGGGTATCCGTTTGCCCTCCACGTTCTGCTGCCCCACGCAGGCAATCATCTGCACAGCACACGCACTGTCAGCACCTCAAACAGAACATCCATGCTTACATCTCTCGCTGGCTACGCGAGGCAATGGAATAGAATAGCAGAAGTTACTCACAGCACCAAGGAAGGGCCTAGTGCCAAACAATTATATTCCTTACCAGGATTGTCAGACAATCTTGGCGCATCACAGTGTACAAATGTAAGGAGAGCTCACTGACTTCACCGGCGGCCGCATAGCAAACCTTCACCTTGAACAAGTTTACTCTGGCAATATGTATCACATGCTGATCATGCAGATGGGGCATGGCCATTCAAAGCTAAGAGGTCCAGTCAAGCACATGCCAAGGGGAGGGGCCCACCTGGGAGATGTTGATGAAGGAGCCCTTGGAGCCAGCGGTCACCATGCGCACGACGTTGTTGGTGTCATCCAGTGAGCTCTGCGCGAGCTTCCCGGCGTCGTCACGCGCAGTGTTGAGCACCTGGTTCACCTGCTGCTCAAAGGACTCCATCATGGTCATGCCCGGCCGCGCCTCCAGGTCCCGGTTCTGCAGCTTCTCCGTCAACAGCTTCACCTTCTCTTTTGCCTGCAAGTGAAATAAAAAAAATTATGCAATTATTACATGACATTACACAGTAACCAACCAGAAGAGCAGATGCAGCAACGCAAACCTAGGCAACCTCTGACCGGATTAAGATTTGCATGAAGCCATTCACAGGATCATCCGTCAGACGCTCTCCTACCCAGTCAGATGCGCTGCATGCAAGGCTGCATGAGCAAAAGAAGGCAAAATGCCATTTATTGCACGCCCACGATTTTAGCACGCTCTCGGTAAGAACAGGTTGCATTGCAAGGATGATGGTGCTTGCAAGAGCAGAAGAGGGCAGTGGAGAGAAGGGGAGCACCCCACCTCAGCGATGGTCTCGCTGATGATGTTCATGGTCTTGGCGTCGGCCACGGTGTCGCCGATGCCGATGGAGAAGCCGTGCTGCAGCAGCCAGTGGTTGGTGGTGTACTGGCTCTGCGACAGGAACGCACGCGCGGCCTCGGGGCCCTCCTCCATCCAGATGACATGGATCAGCGATCCAGCGCTCGCTCCCAGTGTCTTCTTGCACAGTGTCCCCGTCAGCAGCTCCCCGTTCTGAATCAGGACCTGCCGCCACAACGTATTAAGCTCAATGACTCAGCTCGTTGAATTGGCTCGTTGCATCAGTCCACCAGAAGAATCTACATATCGTTTCAGCACCTCCCGCCAGAACATATTAAGCTCAATGGAGCAGCTTGTTGAATCAGCCAACCAAAAGAATCTATGTATCGTGTTGTCCAAGCAACGTACGAGCTGCAGAGACTTAGTTGGCCGATGCGCAAGTGGTCGGCGATTAAACATGGTGGAGGCTGAAAGATGCGGGTGAGAGCAGGAGCTTACCTGGGAGTCTGAGGGAGAAAAGTCGAGGGGCTCATTGTCCTTGTACCAGGCTGATTGGCGGCGGATGTTCACCCGCGGCATGAACAGGTTGTACACCTGCAGATTTAGCCAGAACACCGCTCATAAATCAATCTTCACCCGCAAAAGCAAAAGTGAAGACCTAGCATTGCCCTTAACCCATGCGCTTCAAATTCTCCAATTGCAAGAGAGCCCGGCGAAAGTGTGGAGCAGGAGATTACCTGCTTGCCGGTCCAGAGGGGCTTGGGCTTGAGGATGGCTGGCATGGGGATCTTGCCGTCCCAATCCTCCAGCCACATCAGGATGTTCATGAAGAGGTCCTTTTCGATGAAGGTGTCGCGCTTAGTCATCAGCCGGCATCCCAGCAGCGTGTCTTGCACGATGCCAATGACCGGCTTGTTCGCCTGCAACGCCACACACCAGTCAGGCGCCATGCATAGAGGGCCAGAACATGCCCACCGGAGCCATGTATTTCACTTCAACGTGGAAGCAAAGGAATAATGCATGCGCAAGCATCAGCTGCCTCATAGAGCAAATCATGGCATTTTCGCATCAGCAGAGCAAGCATGAGAGGCCCCTAATTGCACGCGTTGGATTCCTTCAGCGCATGCTGGCGTCTTTAAATTAGCGGAAGGCTTGAAAGACAGCAGGAAAGATGGGGGCATACCTGAGGGGACACGATGTTGCGCGGCACCATCATGATCTCGCGGGTCTCAGTGCGCGTCTCGGGGGTCTGGGGCACGTGCATGTTCATCTCGTCCCCGTCAAAGTCGGCGTTGTAGGGCGACGTCACTGACAGATTCAGGCGGAACGTGGAGTACGGCAGGATCCTGACTTTGTGCCCCTGCATGATGAACAGCACACAGCAGCCATCAGAACATCGCCTTACCCTCACAAGTGCGCAGATGAGTCATCCTTCACATGCAACCCTTCCTGACCTCTTGCTCAGTGCAGGACGGCAAGATGAGGCGGCAAACACATTACTGCAATTGACGACAAGCTCATTGCAGGATGCCACAAGATCGCAGCAACTCAGGTCTCTGTATGAGTAATAAGCAGGTCTGGGGACCACTAAGTTGGTGGTGTACAGCAAGGTCCGCACCATCATGGACATCTTGTGCAGGCTGGGCTGGCGGTTGAATAGCACGTAATCGCCGTTGACCAGGTGGCGCTCCACCTTGTAGCCAAACTCCAGGTGGCGGTCAGAGTCCTTGCGCAGGAAGCGCAGGTCCAGCCGCTGGCCGTCCTCCCGGATGATGTACTTGGCGCCTGTCTGCCCCGCTGGCGGGTGCGGCCCGTTCTCCACCAGCTGCTGCAGCCTACACATGCAATCCAGCTCGTTTTGAGCACAGCCTTTGCGCAACTTTCGAATGGAGACTTAATTTCACAATGCTCCTCCTATGAGCAAAGCCTCTATGCAGCTTGATAGATCTGGCATTCAGGCTCTCGACGAAAGCCTTACAGGGGGTTTCCGCATCTCGGTCACACCACTCCTGCATATTGCTGATGTACATCAAGCCTCCATACGTAAGCCTTACAAACACTCTTCACAGACTCAAATCAGCACCCCCAGTAGGACTGATGTGACCCTGTAAGACCCACGTGCAGCAGAGCATTATGCCAAGCCACAGTGGAAATATGAAAGGTATTGAAGCGTGGGGCACACCACTTGTAGTTGTGGGGAGTGACCGTTTCGGGATAGGTGAGGTTGAGAGCGATGGACCAGGGGACGCCCAGCTCATCAATGGAGATGTTGGGGTCTCCTGAGATGACTGTGCGCGCTGAGAAGTCCACACGTTTGCCCATGAGATTCCCGCGCACTCTCCCCTCCTTGCCCTGCACACAATGACGCTCTCTTGAACACATTTCCGGCTAAATACATTTCTGCACTACTCCTCTATAACAGGATGTCAACGGCACTCAGGTGACTACGTTGTGACTTCTGGAGTTGCGATTATTCTCCCATTTCTTGTTTGTCAGAAAGACAGGCAAAGCAAGTCATGTATAAGATGAAAAGCAGCCCACCTTGAGCCGCTGGCTGATGGATTTGATGGCGCGGCCGCTGCGCTGCTGGGACACCGGGATGCCGGGCTTGGTGTTGTCGATGTAGGTGGCAACATCATGCTGCAGGACCTCCACGTACTGCCGGATGATGTGCTGCGGCGCCCCATTCTCCTCCGCCTTCCTCAGCGTGTTGTTGTGCCTGATGATCTCCGCCAGCTTGTGGGTCAAGTCATCCTCACATCTGCACAAAACAATGACAGCCATCGCAATTAGACCTTCTGTCTTTTCTCTACCAGCAAGAATTCCCTGCAGTTCTCTCGAGAGGCATGGACTTTGTGTCCTGCATGACCATGCCTCAGACTGATGGCGCTTCAACATCGGGGCGGTAGAGCTGTATGATCATTTTCTCGCATGGTGTGCCTGAGATCTCTGCCACTTGCTAGTGAATCCAGACTCTCTGGAACGCGAGGGACGGGGACCTGCCTGGCAGAGGAGTCCATCATGACGCTGGGCCGGACAGGGGGCGGGGGCACCGGAAACACGGTCATGACGAGCCAGTCCGGCCGCGCGTATTTGGGGTTGTAGCCCAGCGCGATGCAGTCCTCGTCGGAGATGCGCTTGAGGATCTCATGCGCCTTCTCTGCCGTTATCTCCTGCCGCCGCTCCACCTCTGCCCCCATGTCAATATCCTCGTCGTCCTCCTGATACATATCCGACAATGCCTTCAGCACCTGCCCCACTAGTTAGAAAGTAGAGCGCAGGAAGTACACAGTACAGCTGAGGAGAATATGCGCCTGCAAGAGATGTGGCCGTCAGCAATGCTCAGTCTGGGGATGTGCGGTGTCAAGGAGCGTGCCTTAGGCCGAGGGAACTCCGCCATGATGCGCAGCAGGCCCTCGAACTTGTAGGCCGGCTGCGGCGCCCCCGTCTCCTCGTCGAAGCGCTTGCTGCCGCACACTGCCACCAGGGCTCGGCTGCGCGCCTCTCCATTTTTGATGCGCATGACCTGCTTAAACTTGGGATCATCCTGGAATCCACAACACAATATTCTGTTATTGCAGCAGGTGGCAATATTGTTGAGTTGAGTGTCCGGTTGTCGCAGTCAATATCAAAGCCTCAACAGCGCCCATCGAGAGAACGTGCATCAAAGAAGCGTCAAGCACAATTATGCAGCCTAGAAGGTGCCTTGCCGCGCACCTTGTCCACCAAAAGCTTGGAGGAGTGGTAGCTGACGCAGCGCAGGACCCTCATCAGCTCTTTCGTCCAACCGATGTGGAACACTGGCTTGGCCAGCTCGATGTGGCCAAAGTATCCAGGCGAGTCCTGCTGGTTTGCGCCGTCTGTTGTGCACTTGATGGCCCTGTCCATCGTGCCCAGCCTGGGATCTGATAGGCCATTAAGCTTCGGCCTGCCCTGCTCATATGCTTGAGGCACATCGATCTTGGCCACCGAGTAACGTCTCTGCACCGCATAAGAAGAAATTGATGTCCACGCACAAGACGCAGCTCCTAAAGAAAAACACAGAAAACCAAAACTATGACTGCCGCTGGAATAGCCACAAAGGCTGGTGAAGCTAACAGAAGTGATTGTGAAAAGCTGTACAAAAATCGATTTCTCGTCAAGGCCACTTCAAAGCAATCGCATCAGGCGAGAGCGATCTGAGGACTGGAAGTGCCAACCAGTATTAGCAAGGCGCATGATGATGGGAGTGGCGCAGGAAGCAAGATGTATCGCACCAGGTAATCAGGATCAAGGATCCCAAATTGGATACCCTTCACTCGTCGCAGAGGTGCGGAGGAGTAGCTGAACCTGTCCATCTTTGCAGGTAACCTGCAACGAGACCCTCAGCCAAGGTTCTCACTTCATCTGCTTCAGACAAGCTCCGGATCCATCTCCTGAAACATGGCTCGTGCGTAGTCCTTCTGGTAGGACCAGCACGGGCTCGTGGAATTTCAATGAAGCTGCCTTGAGTAAATGCCTACAAACCCTCATCATGCCCCTGAAAGATGGGGGTCAAATGTGAAAATGCCCTACCGGAAGTTTCGGCACCAAAACAGGCTTACTTCGCTGCAAACTTCATAAAATGTTTCGGAGCGCGTATTTTGGCTGCGATTGCGTGTGTTGCACCCTTTATTGGGTGTTTCCACATTGTGCGCTTGCATTCAAGCTATTGTGGAACGTGAGTAGTATGATCGGGGGTGCGGGCCCGGGGTGTTCTGGTTGGGTTTGAGTCTCGCAAGCGTGCACAGGAACGACCGAAGGCAGCCCTTCCCTAGAAACTTGTTTTATCAGGAAATTTTCAGCTTCAAGTTGACGACTTAAAAATGATTGCTGGCAGTCCGCAACCTCAACGTCGACGGAGTTTCCGTTCCGATGGCTAGCAATGGCATTCATACTCTGACTGACACGATGCACATCTGAAGGAATGAATCAGGACGTCAGTAATCTTTTCGGGTTGGAACAATAATGGGAAAGCGTCATGAGCGAGCTCTGTCCTTTGACGCTGCTCGGAGTTTGGAATCCCAGAGCAGCTTCAGCACTGTCAATAGTTTGGACTCGCCTTCACAAGTGTCCAGCAAGCGGTCATCGCGAGATCTTCATATAAATTTACGGTACGTCGTTCCAAAGGTGTTCTCTTGTCGTTTACTGCATTCTGGTAAACTTAGGAGCTTGCTCGTACCAGCCCTTCTAGCTTGATTTCTCTGACTTGCATCACGTGGTCTGTTCAACCCTCCAGATCTGGGCCACGGCCGCCAAGGTCGGGTTTCGAGACAGCATCATCTCTGACTTATGGGCGGTTGGGTACTCTGCCCCTGTACTCGAGCAACAGCCTTCGCACAACCAACAGCTGCTCTGTGGATGACCTATGCCAATCACCCCCTCCAACACCAAAGGTACGCCTACATGCGGCAGAGAAGAATGGCCCAGAGGAGGCAGCTTTAGATGATAGGGGACCGTGCACAAAGGGAAGGCTGTGATCGCCTGCCTGATGGCAGGGCACTGCGGCTGTCAGGGGCATTTGTGTCCCAGCACAGGTCCTCGATTTACATGGCTGAGGGGTGAATGGGCCGGCAGGTAAAGGAGGGGCACAAGGAGAGTCTGAGTGCAGCGCAGCGCTTGAAGGTGCTCAGGTCGTGGCCTGTGCGGCACTGGCCAGCCCTTCTGCTGTGCCTGTTGCTCCTGCTCCTGCTGGGCACTGGCATGCTCAACCTCGTCCGGTCACCAAAGGGCAAAAGCTCATTTACATTCTCGCCGGTCATCCTATCCGGCAGGTGCAGCCTTGCGTACTCCCCCCCTCTGCAGCCCTTGTGCTTTCTTCATTGTTGGGGCCTCTCAGTTATTATCCCCAAGTCCGACGCTAGCACTATTACACCGACCTTTTTACCGCAGCGCCTGTGTCTTCTTGAGTGAATTGCTGTAAGCATGAGAGATATTCCTTGAAGATACTAGCTAGAGATCACCAGAAGAAGCACATAGCGCTCTGCGGTGCATGACTAACATACGCGGCATGCCTGGCATGCTTCAAGTCGAGTGCGAGCACGTGGGTGATTTTGAATGTGGCAGGAGGAGAATGCTGAGAGCAGTGAACGCAGGGCCCCTGTTGATTGACTGATATGGGGCATGCAGGGGCCCGTTTAAGGCGCAATTGGTGCCGCGGCCGATGCGGGAGGAGGCATCGAGGTGGCTGAAGGACCGGGGGATGTCGCTGCGGCCGCGGGGGGCGCCGCTGGGGGTCTGCATCATGACGGCCGACTTCTGGGGCCTGAAGACCGCTGGGGGGACCGCCACCGCCTACCACCTCCTTGCGCAGGTCCCCCCTCCCCCCTCTGCCTCACCATGCATTCTGCTTGACGCAGTGGAAAAGCCATCTTGGTGTCCTCATCATTGCCTTGCAAAGGTTTGTACAGCAGTGCTTCTGCAGATTAATCTCAGATCTCTGCAGAGCCAAAATTTTCTGCAGCAGATTTTCTGAAGTATTCACTGCTGGAGCGCACGTAGCAGTCTGCTGGTGGCCTTGCCTGCAAAGTTGTATGGGCCCACAGCACGCATGAGGTGGAGCCAGGATGACAAGGGTTGAACAATAGAATTTGGAATCTTGAGGTAAGGTATGAGTAGGCACATAGACCCAGCACCGATCTGGCACAGGCTCCTACCACCGCGTGTGTACCAGAGAGGTGCTGGGTCCAAGGATCCTTCACCATAAGATGATAATGCATGCATGTGCATGGTGCAGGCTCTGTCGGCGTTGCCGGGGCTCCAGGTGACGTTTCTGGCGGTCACGAGGCACCTGCAGGTGTGCCAGGAGGGGATGAGGGCGCAGATAGACTCCCAGTTGCGCGTGGACTACCGCTGCCTGGATCCTCAGCACCTGTCACCTCCGGAGGTGTAGCTCTTGGCCCATGTTTTGCACTCTTCCCATGTCAGTGAGGGGCCTTATGGCTTCCAAGTAAGCTTGTAGTGAGAAGTAGGCAATTCAGCTGAGCCGATCCCAGACCTGCATGACGGCCCAGTACTGAGCTGGTAACTGGGGACATTGAGTGAGTCTCGCGCATTGCCGCATCATATCTGCCTCGGCCCGACTTACAGTATCTTGAAATTCACCACCAGTACGCGGCAGGGGTAGTCCCTGGAACATCCTCAATGGCAGACTTGGATCCGATGCACAGAGCACAGGAGCTCTCAGGCGGCACCGTCTGCGTGGGCTGAAACATTGGGGTGACTGCATGCAGATAGTGGAGACGCATCCCTATGAGGCGCTGAGCCACGGAGTGCTGGCGTGGCTGGAAAAGAACTTGGACCGCTGCGATCTTGTGCATGTGCATGAGTGGGGCGGCGTGTTTGTGGACGTCATCACTGCTGCCGCTTACAGGCAGCTCAAGCCGGGTGCGCATGCTTTGCCCATTGCCCCTTCCTGAACCGACATTCTCAGTTCTCACATTGCAAACTGCAAAGTGTTTGCAGTCACTGTGAACAAGAGATTTCTCCAAGCATGCTTTAAAAAAGGCTCATGGCAAGCAAAGACTGGGCATCTGGTTGCCTGGCAAGCACAGGTTGTGCCGGTCGAGCACCCAGAGAGATCTGCATGTTCTACCATTTCAGTGCTGGCGGGAAGCATGCATGTGCTGGGTGCATACCAAGGAATCTGCAGGACACTGCCGTGATACCTCAATCAGTGGGTAGCAAGACCAAGTGGTGTGGCCTGTGGATGGGCTGAGTGGGCACTTTCACCTGTGTGATTACACATGCTTACACATGCGTACGGCGTGGCATGTACAGGGCTGCGGGTGGTTGTGGAGACGCACGGGGGCCACTTCTGGAGCACGCAGGGGTCGGTGCAGCGCCCGCTGGACATCACCAGCCTGCGCATCGACCAGGCTGAGCGCATGAGCCTGCAGCTGGCCGACGCGCTCATCTCACCCACCGCCTACATGACCGCCTTCCTCAAGCAGCGCGCCTGGCGCCTGCCCAAGACCTCCTTAGTCATCCCCAACGTCGTGCCCGCTGCAGAGGCCGACGCCAACGCCGCGCCGCAGGCACGCACCCTCCTTAGATCTGAGCACTGTCTACGTCCATTGCAGGTTATAAAAGAGGGTTGCAACAGCTACCCTCCTCAGATCTGGCAAACACTTTTCTCAAATGTGTTTCAAAGCAAAATGGTCATCTTGTGGACCTGAACATCACGGTGTATGGCGGCTGGAGGGTGTGCGATCCCAAGCAACTCACTGATAGACCAAGCCCCTCAACGTGTGGTGCCTTCAGAAGCCAATTGGCGCAAGCCAACAGTGCACCATGTGTGTCTGTGCTATGCGTCGGAACCTTGTCACTGCATCAGTGTCTGAAATTGAAGTCTGCAAGAAAAAGGGCAGAAAGACATTACACCAAAATTGCTACACAGGGTCATGCCTCACCCTTTGCATGCCTTCCCTGTGCTTGTCTGCAACCGGTTAAATAAGCTGACAGTAGACCATTACAACTGATGGAGGTTGTCCTACGGTCATGCTCCCCCTCAAATGATCTCTGTTTTGCAACAGGGACCCGTGGAGAAGCCGGTGTGGCGGCTGGCGTTCTTCAGCCGGCTGGAGGAGCGCAAAGGGCTGAAGCTATTCGTCACTGCAGTGGAGGCTCTGCAGGAGGCGGCGCTTCTGGCAGACGCGCGATTTGAGGTCTTTTTCATCGGCTCTGACGCGCGCATCGACATGCAGCCCAGCAGCCAGTGGCTGCGCGCAGTGACCGCCTCCTGGAAGTGAGGCTCCTTTCCCTCCTCATCGATATTTGCATCCCTGTGGACCGCAATGCCTCAAATATCCTCTTTTTGGAGGAATAATTTAGAATATTCTGAGCGACATGCAAAGCAGGGATGCTTGAAGACAGTCCTGGCTTGAGCAATACTTGTCGCACGCTGACCTGCGCGCAGGAAAGTCAAGCAACATGCACCCAGGGAACAATCTTAGCATAGCCATGCTGGTGATGCATTGATGATTCTCTGTGCAATGTCGAATTGCATGTACACGAGGTTGTGCGCAGTGCTATAATGGACTTCTCTAAGCTTCTCAGCTTCTCAGAGCTTCTCTGAGATGTGGGGCTGATTGTGGCAGGGCGCCGGTGCACATAATGGCAAATGTGCCGCGGTCGGAGGCGCTAAAGGTGCTGAATCAGGAGGGGCTGCTCCTGGTGCTGTGCTCACTTGTGGACAACATGCCCTACGTCCTTGCCGAAGCTGCGGTAAGCCTCTTTGTTGAAGAACATTGATGCATTTTTGGGCCAGAACAGTATTGGAATTGCCAAATATTTGACGGAATGCAAACACATCAGGAATTTGTGATGTGAAGACGGGCAGTGGAAGACTGCCCACAAGACCAATGAGCCTCAGGTCTCTCCCAACAGGTCTTGAATATATTAACAATATAATCCTATTTGATCTTTCCTCCTTGCCATGCACATGCCGTCCATGCATTGCTGCAGGGATGCATGCATGCGTGCAGCCAGAAGTTCAAGTGCAAATTGAAAGAAGCATTTGCTGTGGGGTGACCCATGCAGGTGAAGCAAATACCGCTAGTGGTATTCGATGTGGGAGGCATCTATGAGATGATGGACTTTGTATCAAACCCGGATGCCGTCGTGCTGGATCCCACCATAATTGGCTTGGCTGCAAAGCTCACAGGTCTGTGTTCCCTAAGCCTTTTGTCAGTCCATGACATGTGATTTGTCAAGTTGGAAGTGTGCTCATACATTTGACGTGGACGGATCAATGCTTGCCATGTCTTCAGTCTTCCTGCAGGCCCTTCAAGTGTCTCTTCCAGGAGAATAGCAGCAAATTTGTGATGTGGGCACAGATACACTGAAGAGGGGCAAGATCAGGACGGTGCAGCTGAGCAAGCACATGATGACTGGGCGGGACCAGTGGCTGAAGTGGCATGAGCGCTACTCCAACATCCTCTCCCCACAGCTGGAGCAGGTAAGACACATGTCACACTCTCCTTTACATCTAGTCATGCATGCTCCTTCTGGAAGCAGTACAGCTTAAATCACGTAATTGCAATAAACAGAGCGTGCCTTGTTGCAAGAAAATGGTAGTAGTGCATCACACGCCGCCGCAGATTGCTGAAGCTAAGACTGACTGCAAGATATTCAAGGCAGTGCGAGCGCCATGAAGGGAGAAAGGGCTGCCTTGCAATTTATATGCCATACATGCAACATGCAAGACGTCTCTGGTCCAGGAGCACGATCGACCTCACTGCATACTCTTCATACAGTCTGGCTTCGGGTGGGGCCAGGACCACCATTCAAGCATACGATGCCAGCATCAGAAGCTTGTGATGATGTGGCGGCCTGCTGATCTGGCAGGAGGACATCCAGATTCCCATTTACATGCTTGTGACGGTAGCTGCCCGCGATCTAGCCAGTCGACGCTACGGCGGACCCCAGGGGAAGCATGAGTCCTTGATCACGCCACGGGCTACTCAGGGGTTCAAATGTAATTTTTTTTTTGTTTTTTGCAGGAGGACCTGGCGGTGGTGGTGGCGGTGGAACGCGCGAACGGGCGCACAGTGCAGGTGGTCCGGCTGAAGGCGGCGCAGTCGTCGCTGGAGCTGCAGCAGGCGGTGTGCGGCGACGGGGACGCCCCAGCACGGCCGGCCGCCGATGACGCCAATCTTCCGCTGCTGCTGCTGCCGCCCGGATACGCGCTTATCGACGAGGAGCAGACTCCTGCGCTCCTCGCCGAGCTGCTGCTGGTAAACTTTGACTTCCCTCTTTTGTAAGTTTCTTTAGAGTTCTGCACAGCGTGTTGCATGCCAAGTGTTGCATGCCATTTTTCATGGAACCATGCTAATTTAGAAGTGCCGAGCCAGGATGGACACATATCACCAGACTTGACCATGTCCACATCATTTAGAAGGGTGTAGATATGCTGACCATGGAGGCAAATGAGCACCAGTGGAAGGACATCTGTATACGCAGCCAGTGGGATTTGCTCATTTTGAGTAAATGCAACACACCAGTGTGCTAGAAGTGGGACAGCGTGTGTAACAGGGTGTTGGCTGGCGCAGGTCGGGGCGGCGATGGACAATGGGGTGGGGGCGTTGACATTCGGGGTGGAACTGGCGGGTGGGCGGGTGACGTGGCCGTCGGGGCCGACGTGGCTGCTGTACAGCGGCGATGACTCGCACTGCATGGAGAGCGTGCCCGTGCTGCTGCGCAAGGGCACCTTCTGCTCCGCCTTTGCCGCGCAGGCGCGCGTGTTTCGCACCTACCACTCCTGGGTCCTCTCCCTGATGCTCCGCCGGGTAAGCCACGTGCATCTTAATCCCTGCTGTGGATGCTGTGATACGGTGTCCTCCATAGAGGTCAATTGGTTACTTGAGAGTATCTTTGCTGTGGGCCCCAAGGGGTAGAGAACATGTGGCCTGGGTCCCCTCCAAGATGCTACGCCGGGTAAGCGCAAGCATGTTTGCTCTGGTCCACTATATGTTGCCTGGTGTCATGTGCCTTCCATACTCTCAGACACCCACTCAGGAACACCACGTGACTCACAGCGCCACTCAATGACAAAGGGTTCCTTTCAGCACTTCCAGCGGGTTGCATTCATGGACTCCTCGTTCGTGGACTCCTCACTCCTCACTCCTCCCCAGTTCATATGCTTCCTGCCAGTAAGCCACCTAGCATTGGTGTTCACAGTTCCATTGCCAAGCAGGGCTTCTTGCTTGGGCAAATCATGGCGCTCGGAATTATGACATAAAGTGGTGTGGAAATAATAGGCGGGGCTGCGCATGCACACGTTCCCGCGGGCGTTGTTCCGCGCGAGCAATCTGACGGCGGGCGGCGCCAGCTGTAACCCGGACAAGGCGCCCGCAGAGCGCCACATCTCCTTCGGCTCCGCCTCCAACACCCTGGGAGACCCCGAAGAGGTGGGTTTCTCATGTCTAACTCACCCGCACCGCTCTGTTTCTGCGTTTGTATATGTGGCCTTTCCTAAAATAAAAGTAATGCTCGACGAGTGGGCAGTCAAGTGGGTCCAATTCTCATGGCTGTGTTGATACTGCGGCATGCACGAATTCATGGGCAGATCTCCTGCAGTCAAAGCAATACCAGATTTTTATATTACAATGGATGGTGGATAAGAGGTGCATGGAGGGTGTGAGAGGGGTTGCTGGCGCGGTGCAGGTGATGATGAATCTGCACCTGGCGCCGTTCCCGCGGCCGGTGTCTTCGCTGGTGGCTGACTACCCTCTGGAGCAGGGGCACAAGGGCTGGCAGGTGCGTTGTCATGCGCACACCAGCACATCTAAATCTGCTGCTCTGACTGCCGGGATCCTCTCAGTCACCCCATAACAAGCGCCGCGCACCTGCTTGGCTTAATTTGTTGAGCGGCATGCCATGAGCAGCAAAGCATTGCATGCGGCACTTTGCGGCAGTGGGAAAGATAGTATGCACAGTGGCCACTCTCTGAGGCTTGCTGACTTGTTTGTATGAGAATATCTGAGACCATCAAATGCGTCAGACAAATGCAATGTCAGTGTTCGATCAACCCCGGCTACGCTGTGTTTCTGGAGGTTAAAAAGTAGAAGAAAGGGATCTCAAATCCGTTGTGGCGGCTGCGGCAGGTGGGGTACAGGGCGGCGAACTCGAGCGAGTTCCGGCCCCTGGTGTGGCGGCCGAGCCAGGAGAGGGACGCGAAGCGAACGGACGGCTCCTGGGGTTGCCCGGACGCGTCAAACCCCTACCCGACCATGCTCCACTCGCTCATCCACCCCTGCGCATCCACCACGGGCCCCTCCTGCTGTGGCCTGCCCTACGCCGCCTTCAACCTGCGCTTCCAGTCCTTCGTCACCGCTCCCAAGGGCATGCTGCTCATGGCTTACGAGGTGGGACCCCTCTGTTACAAATCAGTGAATATATAGGTCAGACTAGTACAGATCGGTCATCGGATGATCCTTTTGGGATCAAAACCAGTCATCTTGACCGATCTGTAACACCCTGTATACCTCTGTCCTCCTAAACGCTCAAGAGAGGGCGTGAGCTGGCCTGGTCAGCTTCTGTCTTACATCACCTTCCCAGCTTGCTCATGCATGCTGCACAGCGACACCGGCCACGCGTAACCACAGGCACATGAGGCATTGCGTACAGGAGCTCTTGCAGCTGTGAATGGCACTTCCCACATAAGATGTAGTGCAACGGCAGCAACCTGGCAGTACATGACTTTAAGAGGCCAGCACTGGGTATCACGGCTGAGGGGATGACAATATGTGCCAGGTGTGGCCGATTTGTGGGGACGGCCTGGATCTGGAGATTCGGCAGACACCCAGCGGAGGCGGCCAGTCCACGCAGCTGATGTGGCGCGAAATCACCCCCAACGCGAAGGACAAGCCGCAGCGCCAAAAGGTGAGTAATTCCTGCTCAGCCACTGTATGACAGTGCCTTTGCTGTGCTGTGATTCCAGTATGTCGATATATTGCCCTGATCGCTCTAAAATGTGTTATTGTCATGCACAAATCCTCAGAGAAGGCAGTGAATTTCACTGGCCTGGCTGGCAGACACACCGTCTGTTGCTCAACCAGGCTTGGGGCAATGCACCACCATGCAAGCCCTAGAGTTGCACTGTAAGCAGCTTTGAATGTAGCACAGTGGCAATTCTAAAAGGGCCTGACTTGGCTGTGAGGCACGGTAGTGGAGTTTGCTTGTGCCTGTGCAGGTGGAGATGAAGCTGGCGCTGCATGCTGGGGACTTGGTGGACTTTATAGTCCATCCGCACGCCAACATGGACTGCGATGGCATCTACATCGTGGATGTGCAGATCTGGCAGGACTCCGGTGATGCGCGCACGTGGGAGACGCGCCGCCGAAGGCTCCTGTCTGCAGAGGGTAGCATGGGTGGAGGGTTTAAGCAATTAGGCTACAGGTAGAAGGGGCAGCAGCGGCAGAGTAGGGGCTCAATTAATTGCGGCAGCAGCAGGGGGTTTTGTGCAGGGAGCTGCAAGAATTGCGTTTCTGATCTTCCGGCAGTCCAAATGTCGGGAATGTGCTTTGGAGGGTTGTGTGGCCCTGCAGGGCGGCGAGGTAGCAAATGCTGGGTTTTTTACTTTGCAGAAAAGAGGGGCAGCCTGATTTGGCAGGGAGTGAGGACTGTAGCATGAGATGCCATGGACAATTTCGATCATGCGTAGGTAAGGGTATGGCATTGATGGGGGGTGCAGAGACCCATGATTGTGTCCCTGGGTTTGGCAATCCGCAGCAAACAACTGGGCATTTATTTGAAAGCGCGGAAAGGAGCATTTCAGCTTGGGTGAGCTGAGTGCACATTGAGGTGACAGGGCCTTTGCACGTGCATTGCCTGAGGCTGGCTGAGTTGTTGGGCCAGTTGCGACAACTACTGAGCCAGGCAATGCATGTGCAGAGGCCCCAGGGGCTTGGTGTGTGGGAAGTATCAATGGACAAAGTTGCCTCGGAAAGTGGGTCTTCTAAGTACGCCTCTTACGGTGTTCTGCTGCGCTGCTGCTGTTGTTGCCACGTACAGGCAGTTCCCACCATTAGTGTATGCATGCGCGCATGCAGACATCATGATGATCGGTCGATCGCACTTTGCCAAATAGAGATTGTCTCTAGGCTTCCTTGGCTGGTGTCTGCCGCAGTTGGCATGTCCTCACGTGCGTGAGCTCAAAGCATTATCACCAGTGTGTTGAGACTCTCGGAGTCTTTGTCTTATCGGTATCATGATGATCAGAGTCAATTACTTAACATGTGTGCTGTGCACTCAGTGGCTGTGGCATGATCGTCCATGCTGGTGCAGACACATGCGCTCGCTGAAGAGACACTGGCAATCACGATTGACACGTACCGAGTGACTAGGGATGTTGGACAAACAAGTGTATTGTAAGAATCACTTTGGACTCTGTGGAAAGGTCAGCTCCCTTGGTGAAAGGGATAAAGGACATAAAGTCGTACGGCCATCTGAATCAGATGATCTGATGGATCATTTCATACCTTCATTGATCAACGCGACGGCTCCATTGATACAGCACTAGCCTGTCGTTGAGATTGTGTGCATGGAGAAACGTGACATAATTTTAAATTGTATTCCGGGAAGAAACAAAAAGGACAAGTGAACATTCACTGTTGAATTGTGTTCACCTGCCCGTGAATATCTTCGACCTGCTGATTCAATTTACATCAAAGCTTCTGTATCACTGATCAGTGCCCAAAAATGCCTCTCCTGCCGGAAAAGCTGAGCAGTCGAGGGGAGGTCCGAGGAAGCATTGCATCTCAATTCTGGGATCAGCCTGCGCAGTCTGCCAAATCCTTGGACGGTCTGGTCCGTACACTTCCCTGCGAACCGCCCCCTCTTCTACAATGCAGCCCTTCGGGGCTGTCGAGGACACAGCAGCTCGTGGCAGCACAAGCGCTGGATGTCCCCTTCTTTCCATCCTACGTGGCCAGTGAAGGCGGGCTGGTGGGTGGAACGGCTACCTTTATGTTACAATTGTGGACCTGCTGTTACTTTCAGATCTTGAGTGCCCTAATATAGGCGGATTTGAATACTCTATATACTCCCATGCCAGTCGATCCTAGTCAGATGTACTTTGGTGCAGGTATTTGATCGCGCTTATGCTCGCATTGGAGGGAAGAGCTGGTGGACCACTGTTTCAGGCAGGGCTCGGCTACAGCGCATGCTCAAACACCATAGAGCAGGGGCTGGAGCGGTGAGGGTCATCAAACTGTGGGCTTCTCTGGCGACACTCTGTATGGCAGTGAGATCAAATGAATGTACCTATGCTCCATCAGGCTTATTCTTGGTGTCAAGATGCTCACGCCTGACCTTGGACAATTGCTTCGCAGAAAGAAATATTCAAGGACCTGAACAATTATGGGCTATGCGCGAGGACACACCACAGCCTGGGAAGGCAAGCTTCTTCTTCTGGATCCTGAACTTATGGAGTCCTTACCTTGCTCTCTCCAATTACTTGCATGTATGACGGTCACTGATTGGCTTGCGCATGTGAGCAGGAACACGGCATGGAATGCCATCGTGGAAATGCCAAATGTGGAGAATGCCCGCACACTCTTTCACCGATACGAGCCGCAGCAGCAAAGCACAGAGACAGAGCCAACAGCCACCACTGAGGCGGCTCACAGTGAGCGCATCACTGCAATGCTTACAGCAAGCTCGTCATCAGATAAATTAGCCAAATTGAACCTGCAGCCAGACACAAGCAGCAGCAGCACAGCTTTTCAAGGGGGCCAAGGAGAAAGAACCATCAACACAGGGACCTCATCTGGCTCCAGTGGGGACATCTCCAAGGCCAGGGCACCTTCTGAGGGAGTGGGGCCACAGCGGCGGGTGCATACAGGGGGACACGGTCGCCCCCCGGCAGAGCTGTGCCCATTTGGGCCCCCATTGAGGGGGAGGACCTGGCTGAAGCACCAGGTGGCGGGGCACGACATGCTGGCGTCCCTGGCCTGGAATGAGGAATACCTGGACAGCGCTGCTGCGTACTGCAGAGTGCCGCTGTCCAGCTCCCTGGATGTGGCCAGCCAGGATCGGCAGGACGGCATCCAGTACCGCGTGGGCGTCCACCATGTGAGTCCCCATTCCACCATTAAAATTACCACCTTGTGCGTGCGTTTTGCCATGGCCACACAGCAGAGTAACAATTACATTACTGAGGATTGACGCCAGCTGCATGTGAATGCATGAGGGGCTGGTTGAGCCACTGGCCACATTGAGACATTTGGAAGCAAACACTTTAGGATCGGCAGTGCTGTCACTGTACTGTCATACAGTTCACCTGAGCAGGCGACCCTGATTTCTGTGCAGGTGGCTACGCCGCAGACAGAGTCGGATGACAGCGGCGGCCCATGGCGCTCTTCCCTACACTTCCAGGTGCCATGAGTTCCTTGCAGATTGCGCTGTACTGTATTTTGTTATGGGCAGCTGTGCACGATCCACCTGGACCTGAGCATGTGTGTATGTCTCTTTTGTTGACAGGGAGCAGTAGCAGTGGAGGGTGAGGCGCTGGTGTGGAAGCCGGCAGTACAGCAGTCTCTGTGGGACTCCACGCGCCTGCCAGACCAGCTGGACACGCGGCGAGACCTCGACGACCCCTTGCCAAAACCCCCAGCCCCTCAACAGTCCTCGGCCTCCCCTGCCGAGCCAGAGGGCCAATCTGACGACTCTCTGCCCACCGCTGCCCTTAAGGCGGCGGCCGGCGCCGCCGCCGACACCACGAACGCGGCTGAGCAGCCGGCATCTATGCCCGAGAAGGCAAGTATGGGGCCGAGCGGCGGTGCAGGGGGCGCTGTGTCCATCCCTTACGACTGGGCGGTGTCGATCGGCCCGGACGGCGCTGCGAATCTTGACGGTGGGGCCGGCAGCCTGACGATTCCCGGGTCGGCTGCTGAGAAGCGGCCGGCGCCAGCGGGCGTGCAGGCGTCTGGAGCGAGCGGCGCAGGCCAGCCTCAGGCGCCTCCTGCATCCAGCAAAGGCGGCAGCAGCGGCGGTAACGGTGCGTTTCTCACATGTCTTCCCTTATCTGCAGCGTGCATATTCATATGGAAATCATCTCTGCTGTAATATTTCACAGCTTACAGGGAGACGTAGCATCTGTAAGGGAGTTTGCAGAGTTGTCTTGTCTATACTTGAGGGATCGCCTCAACACATGGACTTGTTTTTAGCATTTCAAGCATTGCTGAGTGATTGCTTTGCAAATGGGTGCAGGGCAGCTGCGCGGTGGGCGGACGAGCATGGATGCCAAGAATGCAGAGGTGCTGGCAGCCATCAGGCAGGCCAAGGACATGCTGGGGCAGGGGCCCATGCTGGCTGGCGTCCAAGCCAGCTCCATCAACTCAGGTAATCTCTTTCCCTATACAATCTCGTACAACTGAAGATGGCATGCTGCGTGGGATATTCTTGCTTTGTCTCACATTGCTCCTGTAAGTTAGTTTACTGCTGTGCCAGAGCCAGGGAGGCACTAGCAGCATTCGGGAAGTTGTACAGTTTCTTCAAATATGACCAGTGCGTTGCTCTTTGTGCAGGCTTGCAGAAGGCGTCAAAGCAGCTGAGCGGGGTGAGCAAGGGGATTGGGGCGCTGACGAGTGACCTGGCGCATGGCGGCCTGGTCAGGCGCTTGAACGGCAACGGCCCCTCGCGCGACAGCGCCCGCCGCACCCCCTACAGCCCCTGGCTTGCCCAGCCCTTCCTCAAGGTCTCCCCTGGCCACTTAATCAGACAGACATAATCAGCTGTAGTATATCAATGGCAGTCTGGAGCACTGAAGGCTCATGGGTGCTTATGTTCATGGGCCCTGTTGGGTGTCTGTCCCTTTTAGGCCGTCTGTCCAGGAGGTTCCAATCCACTGGTTGATCTGAAGAGGGTGCCATGCTGCAATTGCTGCTGGATGGCATGATCTATGAAGCTGAAACCTCTTCAATCAGATGCTGAGCTGGTGCCTCGCTGGCACAGGTGAATGCGGCAGTGGGGTGCCTGGCACGCATGCCGCTGCCGCACGGGGGCCTGCGGCCCACCCAGGCCACTCCCAGCACCCCGTCCCGCCCCAGGAGCGGCCGCGGCAACGCCCAACGCCAGAAGAACGCCATGCCTGCAAGTATGCTGTCCAACACGCCCGACTCCCCACCATCACTCTGTGGATGGGATGCCACACTCAATTATTCTGTGATCCGGTTGCCTAACTTTTTAATGCAGACCCTTGCGCCCTGATGCTTGGTCCACCCTGTGTGCCTGTAAATTTGTCCACCTCGGCCACTGAAGCGTGCTTTGTGCAGTGTCAAGCACGCTGATGCCGCAGGTTGGGAAGTTCGAACTTCACTTAGATTATGGAATATATAAATTTTGGTCGTGGGCGGCTCTGGATAAAATAGTCTGCTGACAGGGCGCTGTGCACTCGCAGGCGGCGGCAGGGGTCGGCTGGGGCCGGTGTCGGCGGGGCGCGGCCGAGCAGAGCGGCTGCGCAGCTTCGGCCGCGAGACGTGGGCGCCGTACCTGGCCGACACGCTGCTGCGCGTGTTTGCGTCCGCCAGCGTCTCCGGCCAGCTCGGCCGCTTCACGCGCCCCTTCCTCGACTACACCGCCGGATCGGTGCGCGCCTCCATCACTCTATATCCCCCTCCTTTGTTATATTTTTGGGACACGCACTGCAGGCTGGCAATAATTAGTGGGGATGTGAACTGTGGATGTTTAGCTGATCAGTAAAAGGTACGCTACATGGCCTTGTCTTTCTCATTGAGGGCATCACATGTACAGCTGGCATCCGAATGGCAAATATGGGTGGCGATTACACCAAGGAAGAGGTTTTCAAACTTTGATTGCCTGCTTAAAGCTAGTATACATGTGGTGTCCAGGATTTTGGGATCGGATGACTGAGGCACATCTTGCAGTCATGCGCTGATAAGGCAATGTCACTTACCATATGAGCTCATGCTCTGGGAGAGTAAGAATAAGGGGAAGCAGCATGTTGAAGCTCTTTGGAGGGTGCCGGCAGGTGCGGGTGGACTTGGGCCTGACCTCACCGCAGGCGCAGTGGCTCAGCCGCGGCGGCAGCAGCATGAGCGCTCAGGGCTCTGAAGCCGGCAGCGCAGACCCGGCAGGCCTCGGCCTCCTGGACAGCCCCTTCAAGCACAGGTCTGCATGCCACCCCATTTGAATGGATGCCACCCCATTGCAACCCTCCTCTGGCAAACTCCAATCTCAAGGCATCATTTCCACAATTTTCCCTCCTGTGATGTGTGTCTTGGCCAGCCTAGGCATCTGCTTGTGTCTGGCGTGGACTCTTTTGGGTGTGGCTGCTTGTGTCTGACCATCTTTCTCTGCCCATTACTACACTGGACGCAAATTTTACACATGGGAGCAAACCCATCAACCCCCATATGCTTGATTAGCTTACCCAGTGCTTGTGTAGTGGAATCAACCTGTAATTCTGGGGTAAAACTTAGGTTTGGATGTGTGGCAGGGCGTTTGCGCTGGAGGGGAGGGGTATTTGGCATGCGCTGTCGGTGTCGGCGGCGCAGCAGGTGTACGGCCCCGTGCGCGCGCGAGCCGACCTGCGATTCGCGCTCGAGTCGCCGCCGGCCGCGCCGTCTGAGGACCCCGGCCGCGCCACCCTGGAGGGCGCCTGGAAGGTGTGCTCCCCTTCCATCCCTGTCTCAAACTCCTCTTCTAAGGTTCCTGCACTTCCGGCAATTATTGAGAAGACCTGGAATAGGGATCTTTTAGACTAGATGAGAGGAGCAATTCTCCATGCCTCTGTAGAGCCAGCCTGGGTGTTCCTTGATGACCACCAAAGCTTGCTTGAGGTCCGCAGAAAATCTCCCATCTTGAACATTGCCCATCGAAAGACCTCTGCTTGTCCAAGTGGAGGCGCTTACTTGGCGTCGAAGGGGCACGATAGACTGGGTATCTGAACATTCTAAAATTGTGCACTGACATTGGAGACTTGTGCATGTGCAGGCCATCTGCACGCTGCGTGCCACGAAGCTGGAGTCTGTGTTTGGGCTGGACTGCGTGGTGCCCGGCAGCCAGGGGGCAGCACGCATCGCTGCCTGGTGGTCGCCCTTGCGCAGGGAAGCCATGATGGAACTGCGCCTGTTTTAGGGCCTAAAAGACATGTCCTATGTTTTCTTTGCCAACAACGTATTTATTTGCGACTTATGGAACACGGATTATGTATTTTGGAATTCTGACAACTTGAGATGTGTCTTATGCCCCGAGCGCTGCATTGACCCTGACTGCTAGATGATGCACATGGATGCATTGTGCACTGATTGTTCCGAAGCAGACTCGAAGAGGGCTTTTCCCTGTTGTCAACGGCGAAGACCATATTTCATGCCATGTGACGGATTCTTTGAAAAGAATGTTGTCCGCCTGACCTGTGTGTTGTCTTGAAAACAGGGAACTGTTTGCAAAAGATGCCCCAGTCATTGGCATTGTAAACACGATGAATACAGTCTTTCTAACATTCAATAGCCACTGTTGAATCACAGACACCTGCACTGCAGAACACCAATTTCCACCAAACCAGCAGAGGACAGTTTCTCTCAAGTCCCACAGCTGCACCTCACGCTTCCTAGATAAAATTCCTTGTCACAAACAGCACATTGGCTGGACAGACACAGTGCTGCAGTCAGGTGATGACGGTGGGCTTCTCGCGGCCGGTGAGCTCGCGCATCTTTGACAGGGTGAGCGCCACATTGACCAGGGGCTCCAGGGCCTTTGCTGCGTCCGCGTGCAGCTTCTCTGGGCCGGCATCTGGCGCCACATACTGCTCCACGTACATGCGGATGGTCGCCCCCGATGAGCCAGTGCCTGCGCGCATGATTTGCCCAGCTCAATCTCCTTTACATTTTCTTTGGTCCTTCACAACCTGTGCCTTGGATGTCAAGCATGGACCTGCCTCCTCCTGATTTTTCTGCCGTTAGAAAAACCTCCGCCTCCATGGGCAGACATGGCATTCACTCAGCCCTCCAAGCCTGCACGCATGGTATTATGCCCAGGTGAACATACAGAGTGCAGAGGAAGCACCACAAGTTAAGCCCTTGTGGTTTCCTAGGAGAATGCAAGGGGGGAGCGCACCGGAGAGGCGGAAGATGACGCGTGAGCCGTCGGAGAAGAGGAAGCGGATGCCCTGGTTGGCGCTCACGCTGCCATCCACCGGATCCGTGTAGCTGAACTCGTCCGATTTGTCAATCACGAAATTGCGCACCTGCAAGCGCCCCCACTCCTTGCCTCAGCACACGCAGAATACCGCATGTGCCACACATTAGCGACCATGCAAGCTGGGCAGAATGCACATTGGGAGCTCCTGGGTACTGCAAATCATGTCCTGCCTGCAGTTGGCAGACAGAGGAGCTGTTTCCCTGCAACTGCAGTGTTGAAACAAGGAGATTACATAATGGAACTCAAAAGCACCGTTGCTTGAAGTGCAGGCTAGAGGACTGATCACGGTCAATTCTAGCGCACCTGAGTGATCTCGCCGATCTTGGCCTTGAGAGTGCTGATGACCTTGTCGGCTTTGGCGCTGTCCACGTTTTCGTAGTCGTAGCGCGTGTAGAAGTTGCGCCCGTACTTGGCCCAGTGCTCCTTCACAATCTCCTCCACCGTCACCAGCGGCCCGCTGCTGCTGTGCCCCTTCCCGCCCGCATGGAGGCCTGTAATGCAAAATTCAATTCAAAGCCAACATGCTTCATGCTGCTGCATATGCCAAGCTGTTATGCCGGCTGTCAACATCTCTTGTGGCGATTCTGGGTCTGCGGACCCACAGTTCACAGATCTCTGCAGCCCAGACTGCATGAAAGAAATTGCTATCCTGATAATCACATGTTCTCAAGCCCCTCAGGACTAGGTACATCCATGAATGGAATCTCAATCACCAAATACAGAGAATGGCCCTATCAGCAGGTTGATAGTGACGTGGGGGGCTGCCAGGAAATACCTGGTGCGATCTTGGCCAGCTTGTCGCCGAGGTTCTCCTTCTTGGCGCCGTTGCGGTAGGCCAGGATGGAAAGCCACGCCAGCACCGCCCATAGCCCATCCTTCTCCCTGTTAGAATACAACAACCACCACAGCTTGAATTCACTGCCGTCCATGCAATATATGGCCCAAAAAGTCGCAGAAAGCACCTTCTGAAATTGCTGGCACACACCCTCGACAGCATTTCTGTGCAGCTCTTAGAGACATGGAAAAGAGATGACCAAGCGCAAAAGTTTCTTGATTGCACTCTCTGAACTTCAAATTGGTGTTATCAAGTTATCAGTAAGGAGCGCACCTGACGTGGTCTGAGCCGGTGCCGAAGCTCTCCTCGCCGCAGAGGGAGCAGCGTCCGTCGTCCATGAGGTTGCCAAAGAACTTCCAGCCCGTCGGCACCTCGTAGCACTTGATGCCCTTCGCCTCCGCCACCCTGCACAGACACACCTGTGGTGTTACGGCTTTGAACCACATGCAAATCTATGCTAGAGTGTCTCTTGAAACGCCTTGCTTTCAGCAATCAACTGCCAGCCAGAGCATGTTTGGCCAGGCCTGCATCAGGACAAGTTGCTCTTGCGAGGCTCTGCCTCAATGATATGGACAAGCTAGGTCACCGTTTTGGCAGTTCATGGGAGTTTCCACTATTCGACTCTGAAGGCAATGCTCGTAAGAAGGCAGCTATGGCCAAGGGAGGCGTAAGGCGGCACCTGTCGAGGGCGGCTGAGGTGGGCATGGAGCGCGCAACGCCCTTCAGCCCAGAGTGGAAGTAGGGCACAGCCTCCTTGGCGTTGGCCGCAATGATCGCAACGCTGTCGCTGGGCGTCACAAAGAACCGCGCTCCCAATATCATGTTGCGGTCCGCATCGCCGTCGCACGCCGCCCCGAACGCCGGCACCTCTGCACATGACAGAAGCGTCAACCCCTCTACTTGTCATGTGCTTGCATGCATGCAGCAGAAGGTCAAAATGACTATACTACGATGATATGTCTCTAGAGTACAAACCTCTAATAACTGTCTCTGCGAGGCGATTAAGCTTGAGGGCCAACTGCACAAGACAATATCCCCGGCTCCTGCGCACTTATATGGTTCCATTGAGCGCGCAGGAGCCGAAGTAGCTGCTCTGCACAATAGGTCTTCAAGCTCCTTTTACATACTTCAGTGTCAACAGTCTCTATGAGACATCTTGGGGGAGAGGTGCAAGTGCAGGCGCACCGGCAGCGGCGGAGGAGTGTTCGCCGAGGCCCATGGTGTCGACGAGGTGGTGGGCGTAGGTCAGGTTGGGGTCCGGGTGGCCCCCGCCAAAGTCCTCCTTGGGGTCGCAGTTCAGGCAGCTCGACTCCGGCGCTCCCAGCTCCTGCAGCATTTCACACGTTTCCCTTTCAGACAATAATTGTAGTACTGCAGGAAGCCTGTTAAGCGCCAACCCATTGGTGTGCTATTCTTTAGTGTGTCTACCAAGGACATGGCTGCAATGGACTCTTCACCTGCATGCTGTCTGTGATCCCTCTTTGGACACCTGCTTCAGGATACTCTTGAAGACATGCTGCCTGCTTGTGATGGGGTCGATGCTGAGATTCCCATTCTAAAAATGCAACAAAAATGCAGGAAGATGAGGTGAAGAGATGACCTGAACAAAGATGCGTTTGGCGTAGGGGCCGGCCACGCCGTGCATGCCATCAAAGGCAAACTTGAAGTCCGGGCGGCGCAGCAGCGCTGACAGCGCGTTGAAGTCATAGATCTTCCTCAGCAGCTTCAGGTAATCCTCCACTTCATCAATCACCTGCCACAGCAGCACAGCTCCCAACGTCACTTTTTCAGCCGATTTGACCTCACGCATGCAGCATCACTCGCAGAGTTCTTACAGTCTCAAGAATGACCTTGTTGTCTTACAAGCCAAGATCAGCGCCTGACCAAAAGAATGATTTGCATCAGACTAGCGTAAGAGTGATGGAACCACTGCAGGAGGGACTAAACTTCTGCAAGCTGCTTGCGACAGCTTGAGTCTGGAAGGGCTTACCTCGACAGTGAACTCTCCAAACTTGCCAGAGTCCTTGTGCTGGACCAGGAAGGTGGATCTGCCCAGCTTGTCAATGTCCACCTTCAGGGACTCATCCGCAATGTAGTACTCCGAGATCTTTGTGGTGTTCTGGTAGATCTGATTTGTCAGCTTCTCCGGTGCAGGGCCGCCGTTCTCACAGTTGTACCTGTGACACATTTGTCAACTTTAATCTAATTGGGCAATACGGTGCATTGTGAAATTAGCTACATTTGAGGCGAGCAAGAGGCAAGGATTTGTCATGGGGATGGAAGCTGGGGATGACTTGATGCCAAAGTCTTCCTTGGGTCCGCCAGGGTTGTGGCTGGCAGTCAGGATGAAGCCGCCATAGGCCTCTCCCCCGTGGCGGTTGCGGATCACCGCTGAGACTGCCGGGGTGGACATCAGGCCTCCTCTGCCCACCCACACCTGGGAATTACCAGGCACCCCTCCTCACTCGTCATGAATGCTCTGTTGGACTGAGAGATTGCATTCACAGAGTTGAAGCAATCGAAGGGGGTCTTACACACAGATGTGCAGCGTGACAAATGCAATGAGGGAACTGTGGATGCTGGTCAATAGTGGCTTGTGTGGCAGTGCTCAATGACGCAGAGTGATGCATTAAGAGGCACCTTTCCGACCCCATTTGCAGCGGCCATGCGTACAATTGTGGCAACAGAGGGCTTCGTCAGGTAACGCCCATCGCCAGACACCACAAGCGTGCTACCTGCCGTGCATAGGGTCGCAAGCAATCAGACACGAATAACGGCAGTTTTTATTCCTTTGGGGCGTTTCGTGTTCAACATGACTGAAACCAATTACAGACAGCGCTTGGTAGGCGAAAAATAGTGCGCAGAAGTCTTCACCAGATGACATTAGCATGTCAAGTGTCATCTTGACTCACCAGAGAGGCTTTCCGCTGGAAGGGCATCGAAGGTTGACTGCACGAAATTTTCCAGATAATGCTCCGACTGAAACACAGTTACCTGCGATGCAATCAGTAGCATCATCAACAATTTGCACTAGAACAGGTCAAGTCGCTTATTGCCAATATGAGCTCAGATTGAATGGCAGATCACTTCCCAGATATCTCCTTTTTGAGTCTGTACCAGAGTAAGTCAGGCAGGAATTAGAAGCAATACATTAGAGATAAGTTTTGCATCCCTGCACCTTCTTTCTGAGGCCACTTGTGCCTGGCTTCTGTCCATCAATTGGCTTCGTGGGTACAACTTTCACCGAGATACCAGACTTGTCCGACATGTTGTACACCTCTGCAAGTGAGAATATTACAGATCAACACAAATCAGACAGAAGGGTACAATTAACGCCAATATCCCCGGAATCTAGATTCTCGAACCTCGAACATTCCGGTCAGCTTCCCGACCCTCCCTTCCCTTTGCCCCTTCTCTATAGCGTTGACCTAGAATCCTGGCTTGACGTGCTACACATGAAGGTACACCCAGTGTTTGGCTGCGTCTGCATGCATATGGCAACTCCTGGATGGCCATGGTCTTGCATTGCCAGCTGCTCTCTGACCGCAGTAGCAGTGTGGCAGCGGCCGGGCAGGTGAAATGGGGCCCACCTGGGACCGTGTGCACTCAGTCACTGCACGGTGCTGGCCCAGGGGACCGAGGCCGGCACCGAGTGCAACTAGTTCTCGCAACATTGAATGCATGCATGAGGCTGTCACTGAGACAATATCGTGAAAATATTGAACTAGAGGCAGCAGTACCCACTTCTGCGATTTCATTTTCATAACTCATGGAGCCTCGTGAGATCATGGATTCCATGCACCATTGCCTTTAAGGTACCAAGCTTGCAACTCTCATATGATCATGATCATCATGCAATGACTGCGTTGCTATTGCCATGTGTGCCAGTGGCAGCCATGCCACGGGTCACAACTGAATGACCTTCTCCGGACCATATCAGCGTTTGAAAAAATCCATTACCACTGTTGCCTCCAACGCCATTTTGTGTCGGTGATTAATGCGCTGGCTGCTTGGTATCAACATCAACTGGAAGCCAGGTGCACTGCATTCAAAGTTGGCAATGAATACATTCGCCTTTCAGGTAGCACTAATGCCATTGGGCACTTCTTAATCAGCAAGCAAGAAAATTGTGTGCTCCGTCATTGCAATCATATGACATGCCCTGGCCAATCAATCTACAAAAATGTCCAACGCAGCACCCTCACAAGCTTCCTGGCCTGTCAACCTCTGGCTTGCGTGACACCTGGATGACCATCTGCTGACAAGGCCAGTCCCCCACAACCCTGTGCAATGCAACAAAATTATTAATCAACCAAGAAAGCGCACTTGCAGCGGGCATGCATGGCAGAAACATTCGCCTGCATTTAGGAAAATGGCGTGTGAATCAAGTGTCGAGCCGTACCCGGACCAGTGGCCGGGCGACTTCTTGGCTGGGCTGTTCTTGACATCATCCTGGAAGAGCACATCTCCCGGGCCCATGATCTTCACAGAACCATCTGTAGCTTTCACATACCACTTTCCTGCCACAGCATCCAGAGATTCACTTGGTGGCCAACGACAACTTTCAAGGATGATATTTGTCGATACTGCAAGTTAGTATTGCCAGCAGAAACAGCATACTTTGCTGGCCCCTTTTCAGCATGCGCCATGTCAACATAATGGTTCGTTGCTAAGCAAAGATAGTGTGTTCCCACCTGAGAGAGTCACAACAAATTGGACCTGCACCGGTACATTTTACATCAGCATCCTAAAGAGAGTGTAGATTCTGCTTAAGCTGTCAAATTAGAGTGTAATGTAACATGCATTGTGCAGAGACAAATGGCAGACACACACCTGAGGGCAGGGGTGGAAGTCCTGTTCGAGGCCAGCATTCAGCTGTGTGAACACTGTTTTGCTGGGAGAAGGCCCCTCTTTCACATACTGCGGATCCTCAGCGTACTTCTTCAGCTCAAACCCACTCATCTTGGCCTCAGTGATGTGGGTCTCCCCATCAGCACTCACCCACAGGTGGGTGTAAGGAAAGTCCGGGTCCTTTTCCCCTGCTTTGCTCATGTTAAAGAGGCCTGCAAGTAAATGAAGAAGGCTTACAGACACTCAACTGTACCAGGCTAGCCACTCTAGCCAGTGATTTAATTTCCGACAAGGTTGCACACTTTGATAGCACAACACATGGCTATTAAAAGCCAGGAGCATTGTGCACACCTATCCCAGAAAGACCAGCAACACTGCTGATGAGGTGTCTTCGCAGCAGGCAAAAACCGGGACGCGCTTTCAATTGACTTGAAAGGTGCTTGAGTCCGGGGGAAGGTCGAAAAGAAACCTGGCAGGGCTGAATGGCTAGGCACCGTGCACTGCGTGGCCCAGGAGTCATTCACCGTCTTGACAGAGCAATTTCGTTGCCCATAGTATGCCAGTACAATTATTACCAGCGTCAATGGCAAGGTGTACAGCCACATCGTGCTAATTGGGCGACCTTCACGGGGCATTGGTTTCTAATCACATCGCCCTTGAGGCAGGTCAGGAAATGCGAGTAAAACGTGATGCATGAGGCAATCTAGAGATCCCATGCAGTAACAACAAGCAGTACATATATAAATGGAGAGTTGCAGGTTTCAAAACTGGGTGTACTTCCTTGAAAAGCTAACATCGGCATTCACGCGTTCAGCAAGCAGCAGCGGGATACCTTACCTGGCCAGGTTGCTTGCTTTGATCGATAAGAGTTTCTATATGAGGATGAACAATAATTTCTCAAGTGAATGTTTTGCGATTAGTGCTTTGCGAAGTGACAGAGACAGAGGGCGAATTATCACCGGCATACGCAGCTTCCCGTTCCTCGCTTGTAGCTTCCATCGCTTCCTTCCTTCATGTTTCCTAGCCAGGAACTCAAGGTTGTACATGGGGGAGTAGAGGAAAGGAAGGAAGCCACGTATCATGATGGGACGCCAAAGTGCTTGACCTCTAAGCAAATATTACTCTCTTTGACTCAAAATTGGATTGAGCTAGCCTTAAGGTACCTCGGGGCTAGCTAAAAAAAGGTTAACATTTCTTAACATTAATGCTTGCTAAGTTCTTCCCCATGTTCCTCATTTGGAGATGCACATCATGAGATCCTTTACAGCGTCGACTGGATATTGCAGGACTAATTAGAGACAAGCAGATCTGCTGCATAATGTCACTAGTTGGAGACAGGGTCTGGCACGGATGACATGATGGGGATGTAATTTCTTTCTCTCTCCCAGGCCACCTGGGCCAGCATCGTTAGAGTGCTCTGCGCATCCCTCTCATCAGTCACCTCCCGAGCAAATGTCACACGGACGACCTGCACACCACATGCACTTTGCTCCATCAACATCTGATCCCTTTGCAGGTCAAAACTGTCACATCATTTTCTGTAGACAGTAACCAAGGTCGACACACCCGTGACACTTCAATCTACTGCAATACAGCATGACGCTTCTGCAAGCTAGAGGAAATAGCAGCTGCCTACACATATATCAGGGCTAGAAAGCTTGAGGTGCAGGACGCGAAGTTGAGATGATTAATAGCGCCAGGATGGGAATGAGACAGCATTTGGCCTGACACGGGCGCCCGCTTCTCACAAATTGAAGCTGAGCTCTCTCTGAAAGTTGCTTGATCAAACACAGTCTCTTGCAGGCGCAGGCAAATCAGCAGCCACAGCAGGAAGCAGTCGCTGGGGCTATATATGGCAGGTCTCCCCACCTGTGCGCCGGCGCCGCCGACAGTGGCAGCAAAGAGGTAGATGCCGAGGCGGTCCACCCACAGCAGCTGCGCGCCCTCCAGCTTCTCCAGGGGGACTCCCAGCGCAAAGCTGGCAATGCGCAGTACATCCTCTGTGCGCTCCTTGTTCTGGTAGTCCACCAGCGCTGATGCATGCTCCCTCAACGGATCCGCCTCTGCCGCCTGCGCGCAAGGAAAGCTCGCAGCATCAGCACAGCAGCGTTGTCATCTTACAGAAAGGGACGCACTGAGAGTTGATCAGTGAGATCCGGAGCATGATAATGTTTTCATCAGCAAGCACATGTGATCAGTGCAGTGGCGAGAAGGATTGGAGGGGCAATATGCTGCGCAGATTCAGTGTGCACTCGTTGCCAATCTTGGCAAATCAATTATAACAAGATGAACAGAGACGCCTGCTCACCTTGTATTCTTCGGCGCTGAGGTCCTCTGCTTTGCAGGCAGAGCCCATGCCGCCCACATAGAAGCAGCGCTCGATGACTAGTCGGTAGAACAAGTCAGTCGGCTGGGGTGCATCCACTCCCACGCCACCAAAGTGCAGCTGTGCATGCCTCCTGCATGCCTCCTCAGCAGCGGCCTCTTCGACCTTTTCAACCTGTTTCAAACACACCCCTGAGTATGTGCGTGCTGCACAGTGCGATGGCACAACAAAGCAAGTTTACACTTTATGGACAGGAGCAGTGAAGAGCATCCAGGATTGAGAGAAATAAATACAGGGAGAAGCTTTCATACCCGGCCGATGAGTGTCACTCTGGCTAAGAGCCTGGCAGGCATGTCCTCTGGCTGTACAAAGAGACTGCAGCGGGGATTCCTCAAGATGTTGGCAGTGTGCACAGCCTGCTCTCTCAAGCGCAGGATGGGCTGGCCATCTTGATCTAGCACATAGCTTGCGTAGGTTCCGAGTGGGATATTGTCCTCCCCCACTGTTGCAAGTGTGCCATGTGTCACAAGGTCCACGATGGTCCGAGCACTCTCTGTCGGAGCAGACAACTGCCTTAAATGACTCATCTTCATGAGTATAAATAGAACATCGTCAAGGATGTAGAGCTGACAGTGAGCATGGAATAACACCTGCGGATGTAGGAACCGCTTGTGCTGTAGACGTCTCGGCATCCAAAGTCGTCATAGCCCTAAGCGAAGACTCTAGAGGTCGCTGCATGCTTTTACTTATGTTGTTGGAGCTGAGAAATTCTGAGGTGGACGTCGATGTGGAAATACCGTTCCTGAGGCCCACTGTTGACAGTTTGTGTTGTTGCAATTTCTGGGATGAAATTTGCCTCTTTGGATGGCAATGATCTGCATCTTTCTTGAGGAAAGAAGACGGTTGCGAAAAAGCCTGACTTTGCATCTTTAGATCAGATATACTATACCCTTTTTACTGATTTAGCCAAGAACTGGACCAGAGCTTAGATTCTCGTGTAATTACTTTGGTTTATATTTGAATTTCGCATCAAAGAAATGATCGCAGAGACGACGCAAGATCAGCATGTTGAGCTGTATCTTATCTCGAATGTTGCCTAATCTGGCCAAACCCTTGCCTGCCATGTTCAGGCTCTTGAGGAGGAAGTTTGTTGCAGCTCTGCACGTATCGACACAGGATGGGCATTGCTTGAAGACTGATCAATCCACCATTTGCTGTCACTCATTGGCAATTACAATACTTTCCTCAACAATGCAGGAGGTGCGCGCATTTTCTTCCACCGGGGAGCTTTTGCAACCTTTTCCACAACTGAAAACACCGATCGTTAGCCACTCCCAGCTCAAGGGCGCAGTCAAGAACCCGGTGGCCCTGGAAGGCCCTGCGCAGCCATCCCTCAGCCACTCTGCAGCCTCATTCAGCATGTGCACGAGAGGCGCCATCAGCTGTGCCTCCAAGACGAGCTCCTGACCGCAAGAGCAGCTGCATTGTGCACCACAGACTGCTCAATGAGCAGTGCTCATGAGCTCGTCCCAGTGTGATCACGGTCAGACACTGAAGACCCTTTGGAATTGCAGACATATAGCAGTCCTCCGCCTGGGTGCATGGACGAGTGGAATGCACATCAAACCATGTGATCTAGAGCACTCCTGCAGTCCCGCACCGGTCAAGCTGCGGAGGCTGCTCCTTGGGCCACAGCAGCGAGCCGCCATGCGCGCATCTGATGCACTGGTCCGGCTGCCGCTGCATGCGCTTGACATATCTGTGGAACGCCAAGTCTGCGCTGGCTGCTGACGGCTTCTCATAAATCTCCCCACCCCAGCCAGCCCCTCCTTGCCCAGAGGACGATGGCTGCTCAACCTGTTCACATGTAATACGGTAATTGGCATGATTGCGTCATGTCACCTTAGTTGGTGGTGCTAGAGTGGGACTTGCAAGGATGTCATGGTTACCTCATCTTATCACGCTAGCATGAGAATCCAAAATTGAGTTGTGCTTCATCAGGGTGTGGAAGAGTACCTCTGGAGCGCCCTCCTCTCGCTGATACTGTGCAAGCAAGGCCTTGACGTGCTCCTGCTCTGAGCTCTTGAGCTGCCCATCAGCATCCGGCTCTGGCGCAAGCACCAGGTGGAACTCTGGCAGTGCGGGAACGTCGTTAAAAGCGCGAATGCATCCTTTGGTATCTCTTGATGCGGCATGGCGCTGTTTCTTTTGGGGCGCTTTTCTGGTTGTGATCGATGCCTGGTGAAAGGGCACAGCCGGGCAGTCAATTGCGACCGCAACAAGTAAGTACTGAAATGTGCTTGAAATGGAATGCTTGTGTACACGCAAGGAAAATCTGAGACTGTACTTTGCGCGTAGAGACACCCGTCAGTGTGATTTTCAGCACCTTGCTTGAAGAGGTTGTCAGTCCTTCCAATGCGGCGCTGAGTTCTTCAAGACTCATTGAAGCACCTTCCTTTGCTGGTGACGTCTCAAGCCTGCCCTGGCTCTGATCAAAACCCCAGTCGTCTGAGCTATCTGCTACCCAAGGCTGCCCCCTTGTGCTGTTCCCCTCCAAACTTTCTTTCTGGTCTGGTGCATCCCATTCCCAATGAGTGCCATCACCTTCCGCATTTGAAGCCCCCTCCTTTGGAGTTGCATCAGAGATCGCTTGGAGAGTGGATGATTCTGTGGTCTGGCCACGCATATGATGTGACAATGCGCGCCAGCTGCCCTCTTCCTGGCCACATCCCTCAAGGGTGCACCCAAAAACATATAAAATTCTGTCCCCATCTGCATGCTGTGCTTGAGGGCTCCGCTGTGGAATTTTTACCTGAAAATACATGCAGTAGTCACCGATCTTGGGCTGTTTCTTTTTGTATAGGAGATCACATGAGTATGCAGCCCTGGCAACAGTTTCTGGCTTCGAAGGATCAAATGACTGGCAAACCTGCACTACTAGTGAGAGCAGGCCTCTGCACACGCGACACACGAGATCAGAAGGCTGCAACGGCGGCACGCTGCCCGCAAAGATGGGGCATCCACCCGCTTTGTTGTGCTTCTGAGTCACCTTTTCACCGTCCACAATTAGGTCTCCAGCTAGACCCAGCATACACTTCATCTTGCCGCTAGATCCCATCAGGAAGGTAAGTTCAAGCTACAGATACGCTACTACTATTTATCTCCCGAGAATAACAGTGTCTGCTAAGATTGCCGCAGCCAACTCAGGATTTTTTTGACATTTCGCTGGCGATCCCCAGCTGATTACCACCTTAGTCATCGTATAGTATTCTAACGTGCACCCTATGTTGAGCAGTAGATTTCAAGGTCGGGCAGCAACAGTCAAAATTTGCCGTTCCGGAACACAGAGTGCCCAGTGGCAGCGACAACTGCCCAATCCTGGGCAGAATTTCCGACATCAGAATGTAGATTGGCACTGCAGCACCTTCAGCTTCTAAGCTGCAGCAAATATGTCCTACAATTGCCTTGCTGCCTTGAAAGATTCTACCAGCCTGTAAGTGCAATTACAGTCCGCTGAAAAGGACGTTGATCTAAGCACGTAATAATGGCCACAAAGCTTCTGCGCGTCTGCAACGCGCTAGGAAAGCCTTGGAATTATCCTTCTGCTCTAAAGTGCCAGGCAAGCTTTTATGTGAATGTGTTGCCTTCTGCGTTATGCCTATTACTCCGAAAAGGTGTCATGGGTGAGTACCTAATGCAGGAGCACCTGGCCTCCCTTGCTGCACAAGGAGACGCTGCAGACACACTTATAATCTTGGAGGTTCGGACAAACTTTTCGATCCTTTGTGCGACCCCAAGCGTGTGGTGTGAAAAGATCAAGCGCAGTCTCTTCTTCACCTGAGGTCACGCTGTTTGCCTCTTCACAGCATCCATCAACGTATACAGTGGGCAAGCGGGGCACTTTTGCTGACTTCAAAAAGAGCGAGGAGGAGCTTTCAAGGCTTGGTGCAGGAATAGAGCACATCAATCGAGGAGGAGAAACCACTTTTCATGGACCAGGCCAGGTGCAGTTCAATGACCATCATCAATCCCTGCCATTGCCCTGACTCAGGCAAATGGCAGTTCGCATTCCATAGCTTCTGAGTTGGCTGCTTTGACGAGACAGGTAGTCTTGTATCCCATCATCAATCTACGTAGACTAAAATGTGGAGCAAGGGCTTATGTGGAGGGATTAGAAGACTCCCTGATCGCCACCCTCTCTACTTACGGTGTGCAAGCAAGGGTGCGTATGAGCAGACACACATGCAGCGTGCATGCCCCTGTCCATGATTCTTTCTTCCCATGCACATGCAAAATCTGGAGCTTCTGCAAGTCTCACCTGTGCTATTTGCAGGGGAGAGTCCGATGTAGGACTGGTGTGTGGGTGGAGGACCGCAAAATAGCTGCCATTGGAGTGCAGATATCACATGGTGTCACGCGGCATGGCGCTGCCCTGAATGTGACAACGGATCTGTCCTATTTCTCGCACATTGTGCCCTGCGGCATTGCCGACAAGGAGATGACCACCCTCCAGAAGGAATTGGGAGTGCCACATGTCAGCACTGCTGAAGTGGCCTCCAGATTCACCACAGCATTTGCTGAGCAATTTGGATACCATGATTCTGTAGAGATCAGCAGGGAGAAGCTTGAAGAACAAGCAATGTGAAGTTTGGGTTGTAAGTCTGAGATATTGCAACTGATCATGATCTAGAGGCCCTAGAGCAGAAGCGGCTGCTGCGTCCGACTTGGAGGCTCCAGGCATACCTGGCAGCCTGAGGCACGGGGTCGGACAACTGGCCATGGTCCCTGACCAAATCTTTTGGGGACTATTGCAATTGTGATGCGCATGATGCTGATTGTAAGCTCGGCACTTGATGTTGATCTTGAAGTTTCTTGAAGAATCATCATGGCAGCCATAACCATCATTCCATGCATCAGTGATCACTCGTGCATGATTCCGATTGAGTCAAAATTTGACTGACAGTGTCAAGTGACTCATCCATGGCCAATCCTATCCAATCCATTGATCAAGTGTCCTGACAGCGCGGATAGGTTGGATCCATCTGCGCAGACCTTGCTTAAAGAAGGTATTAGTGCACTGTGCTGATAGAGGGGCAGCACGTAGCAATCTTTTTGCAAGAAACCTAGCATGCAACCCTGTGTACCCTTCCCTCTTGACATCGACCCCATCCCGGCATCTGACAGGTCTCTGTGTTGGAAACTGCCCCGATCTGACACCCAACGTCACATGTTTGATGCTTAGCCCGGGATTCTCGTTTGCAAAGTGAAGAATCAACATAGGATTGACCGAGCAAAGAGTGGAGGGCGTAAATCGCGTTTGACCCTGTCAAACAAATCGAGAGAGACATCTGCTCAAACCTTCCACGTGTCTTAAGACCTCCTCGCTGATCGAATCATATAACAGAGATGGCTGCACAGCGAAGAAGCCTCTAGTTGCAAAGAGGCAAACGAAGCTCGTGGACGAAAATGTATAGTAACTTCAAGGAGAAAGCCATAGGTGAAAGGACCTTCTTGCAGATTACTCTGCGTGCCAGCTGACATGTATCGCAAGATTAACTTGAAAAATAAAGAGGCCTCTTCATTTGCACGGAGGACCACGATCTTCATGGGAGAGTTTTGTACCCTGCTTGTTGTCTGATGCGGACTTTTCTTGCTAAGTGATTGCTGTTTTGATGTGATTGCAGAGTATGTCAAGGAAGCAGTTGCTGAGGACAATGCTGGAAACTACCAAAAGGCTTTTGACCTGTACAAAATAGCTTTGGAATATTTCAGCACTCACCTGAAATATGAGAAGAACCCACGCGCAAAAGAGGCCATCACTGCAAAGGTATGCACACACACCTCTTTTCTTCTTTTTCATGGATGTACAAAGGACACAGCATGTTTCTTGCCTGGACTGCAGATCCTTAGGTGACTCATATTACTCTGCGCTGTCTTGTTGGAATTCTCATGGTGATGTCTCCTGGGGAAGGCAATCTATAACCATTGAGTTTGGGATGGTTGTGGTGGAGTGCAGTTCAAAGAGTATCTTGATCGTGCCGAGTTCATCAAGGGTCTTCTGGATGGGCAGCAGACAGTAGAGCCATCAGCTGCAAATGGGACAGTGGGGCAGAAATCGCGGCCACCAGGGGGCGGCGGAGGCGAAAAGGATGTGAGTCACTGCAGTGCATCCAATTGACACCTTGGGCAGGCGCTTGCAGTGGAGAATTTTTCTGTAGGCCAGTGCCGAAGCAGACCATATAACATGCTGCAATGGTTGCAATCGCAGGAGTCTGAGAAGGACAAGCTCAGGTCATCCCTAGGCAATGCCATCATGGTGGAGCGACCAAATGTCAAGGTATGTGCAGGTGGAATTAATTGTCCGCCTTATTATTACCTACTTCACTCATGCCAGCTCAATGCGATGAGCGTTAAAATGCACAATCTTTAGCATTTCTTTGATAATGGTTTGTTGCATGCATGCAGTGGGATGACGTGGCGGGGCTGGAGGGTGCAAAAGACTCCCTGAAGGAAGCTGTCATCCTGCCTGTCAAATTCCCGCAATTCTTCACAGGTACATGCGCATGCACTCACAGCGATCTGTTCCTGCTAACCCTTGCTTCCTGCTGCATTGGCCTGTTTATGATGAGCACACCCATGACTGGGCTATGGCATTGACCCCGCATGTGTGAAGTGCAGGCAAGAGGAAGCCTTGGAGCGGCATTCTGCTGTACGGCCCGCCAGGAACGGGAAAGTCATATCTGGCAAAGGCGGTGGCCACAGAGGCGGAGTCCACCTTCTTCAATGTGTCCTCCTCCGATCTGGTCTCCAAGTGGCTGGGAGAGAGCGAGAAGCTTGTCAGCCAGCTGTTCTCACTTGCGCGCGAAAAGGCACCCTCCATCGTCTTCATCGACGAGGTGTGACCCTCTCACCCTGGTCACACCCTGTACGGCCACATCGGCCCTGCCACTCTCTAATTTGCACATGTCAAGCTGCTCGCCTAAATCGTGGCAGTCTGCGGCAATCAGGGTCCACCCTTGTGTCTCCAGTTCTTGCCATGTGGCTGCATTCCGCAAAGTGCTTTGTCCATCAGGGGATGTCCATTAATGTGTGGTGCTTAATTTGTTGTTGCTGATGCTTGCTGTATAAGGCGCTATAGGCAAAATCTAAGGATCATTTAGACCGCGGCCGGTGTGCGCATTCCACTGTCAACGGCAGGGGGCTGCTTTCCAGAGAGGATTTTGTGGCTGATGCGTGTGTGGCTGTCGGCGTGTGCAGATTGATGCGCTGTGCAGCACGAGGGGCGATGGGGAGAGCGAGGCTTCGCGGCGCATAAAGACGGAGTTCCTGGTGCAGATGCAGGGCGTCAACACCAACGACAGCCGCGTCCTCGTCCTGGGCGCCACCAACCTCCCCTACGCCCTCGACCAGGCCGTCCGCCGCAGATTCGACCGGGTGCGCTCCCTCACTGCAAGTGAATGCTTCTGTGCAATGTAATCTACTATTCCGAGGCCGTCTGCCGCCGCTTTGACCGGGTGCCCTTATTTGTTACAATGAAATGCTTGTGTGCAACACATTAATTGTGCTCCTGGCCCAGAGATGTCTTGTATGGCTGGATGCTGCCGCCAACCATGGCAATCATCTGCTCGATGTGCCATCATGACATGCATGCGCTTGCTGCATTCAGGCTCAGAGCATTCAGTCCTGATTAGGACAATCTTGATGTGCAGAATCTCCAAGCTTTTTGTGAGACAGTCTGCAATCTTATTTCATGGTGTGGACCAGTGAGTGTTGATAACACAGGCCTTGAATTGAAAGCTTGTTCTTGCCTGTGGTTGATAACGTAATTGATGAATCGGTCATGCGTGCTGTCCTCTGCACAGATGATGTGCCTTGCCTGTGTGGTGGATGCTGCTGAGTGTATCCCTGATGAACATTTGCATGCGCTGGTGCAGAGGGTGTACATTCCGCTGCCGGAGCTGGCGGCGCGCGCGCACATGTTCAAGGTGCACCTAGGGGACACGCCCAACGCGCTGACGCAGGCCGACTTTGAGGCGCTGGCCGCGCACACCGATGGCTTCTCCGGCTCGGATGTCAACGTCGTGGTCAAGGATGTGCTCATGGAGCCCGTGCGCAAGACCCAGGAGGCCACCCACTTCAGGTGTGTGTTCAGCTGCACTGCATGCTATTGGCACCCATGGCAGTATGCTCATGGCTGTCTGTTTGCAAGTTTGAATTTGAATTTTCTCTCCTTCGGTGTTGATTTCATGATGCTGCTTTCTCTGCTATGTGGAACAGCAAGACAGTGCATATAAACCCGAAGCTCAAACTGCAAATGGCTGACATGCGAGTTCTGTGTCGCTGTCTGCGACAGGGAGAAGAAGGGGCCTGATGGAAAGGCAATGTTTGAGCCGTGCTCACCAAGCGAGCCGGGTGCAATTGAGACCACCCTGACAGAGCTTGCAGAGAAGGGCCTTGCCCCACAGGTATGCGCGGTATTCTTGTCTGTTTGAAGACATATTGCCTGTGCCAATTTTCAAGCAATCGCCAGCTGAAGTGTGCTGATTCACTGAGCTGCCCGAGTCAAATGGCCAGCCAATGCATATCAATGTCCTGTAAGGTGTGAAGAATGGTAATTTTGCTGCGCAGGTGCACCCACCGCTGATTTCCATGCGTGACTTTGAGAAGGTGCTGCTCAGAGCGCGGCCGACCGTGTCGCAAAAGGATCTCAAGGTGTTTGAGGACTTCACCACTGAGTTTGGGGAGGAGGGTGAGCTCCGGGACTCCTTTCCCTTTCCTGCCTACTTTGTTGCAGGGAATATATGTATTCAGCCTTGTGCGCTCCTACACAGATCCCTTGCGGACATCTTTGGTCCCTCCCCGCCGCATGTCATTCTGCTCTTTTGTGCGTATCACATGCAAGTGGAGGTTTATTATTTTTATTTTGCCATCTGCATCTGCAAGCTGGCTTATGGCCACATTTGATCAAAGAAACCGTGCAAAGAGCAAGAGCTTCACATTATGCCAGTTTCCAAGCGAACGAAGGTAGACTCACGGGGTGGGCATGCGCGCAGGCTGAAAGCAAAGGGGAGAGTGTACGGGGTGCATCAGAGGGGCGAGAGGGCATGGAAGATTAGCAAGGGTTAGCTCTTGCAACTCAGAGTTGGGCTCAAACCAGCGATCCTCTGTTGTCTTCTGCTGCTGACTGCAGCATTCCTCGAGGGGTAGCATGTCTCTATTTGTGCCATGAGATCCATTTGACATATGCCATGTCTCCTCACTATGATTCTATGTAACGCTGAGGATTTTCGGACGACATTATTACACAGCACGGCATATCGTCAATAGAGACTAGTAATGGGATCTCTGGCGTCGTGGTGTAACAAATGCTGATCACTATCTTTCGCGCACACATTTGATCTGGGGCAGAATTTTTACTTTTGATGTATATCACGTTCTGTATTGTTACCAATTGTCTCCCCAAATGTAATCATCTTGTGATTTTTAAAACAAATTCCACCTCGCAGCAGTTTACTGTCCCTGCGACCATGCACGTGCCATCATTGCAGCGCATCTCATGCAATCTTGATGCTGGAGGCATGCTCAGTCGAGTAGAACTCCCTCGCAGTCGCCATGCGCCGGCCCTGCAGCCCACTGGCCATCTCCGGCGGCTTGCTCCAGCTAGGAGTGGATGCATAGCTCTTCAGACCGGCAGCCTGGACCGCTGCACCGGCCCTTGGGGGCGCCCAGGCATGCACCGGCCCGGTAGCATTGCTGAAGGTGGCTGCCGTCACAGTCCTGACAGGTCCTGTCTCCTGGCTATGGGAGATGCCTGTGCTGAGAGTCTTGCTGACCTGCGCCTGGAATGACTGCTGCTGCTGGGCTGTGACGGAGCGCGCTGAGTCGTACAGGCCGTCATTCCCGCCCGTTCCTGCATTCCAGGCATTGCAGAACATGAGCAGATCTGGTACTGTGCCAGAGATGGAGCTTGGGCATTCATGCAGGGTATTTTGGTTTGTATGCACACCCAACCTGCTGGACCCTAAAGCACCGGCTTGACCTTAAGCTGCACAGTCTAGTACTGGACAATTTAAAGCGGGGGCGCAGAGACTCGGCGTATGATGCTGAGCTTGCAGTGCAATAAGCGAGCACTGCTGCAGCTGCAACGCCATGAGTATTTTCCAATCATTCCGTGAGTGACAATGAGTACACACACCATGCTTGATGCTCACAGCACACAGCATCAACTAAAGTCAGGATTGAGGCTGAGGCTATACCATCCCAGTGCGTACCTGGGAAGCGGGCGGAGCCGTTTGAGAGATCGTGGCGGAGGCCGGACCCGCTCTCCTCCATGCGCAGCCGCGCAGTGCGCACGCCCTCATAGACCGGGTTTGGCTCATACTTGACCGGCGGCTGAGAAGCCACGGAGCTGTACGGGCGCAGGTCATGCGCATGTGAGCAAGTTGCTTGCTGACTCAAATTAGTATTAGATGGGAGACTCGCGCTTGTGATGGGCCTGCGAGAAACAGAGGCCTCCTGGGTATTGTAATTGCCTTCCTCTTGATGGTCGCCTCCCCATTCCCTGCCGTTTGCTGTGGGCCCCTCGGTGCCATCACCCCTGTCATGACAGTCAAGTCAGCCATTCAGTGCCTCCAAGCGCAATAAGTATGGCACTAGTCCTTAGACACACGGCATGTAAATGGGTATGCAATTCTGCCTCCCATTTACATATGCGAAGTTTGAAATGCATACCATCTACACATGCTAATCACTCTGAAACTTGACAAGATACTTACAAACTATGAAACTGGGATGGAAGTGGGTATGCAACACTACCTCCCACTTACATATGCAAGTTTCCAAATACACACTACTTACATAGGCTGATTACTTTGAAACTTGAAAATTTACTTACACACTGTGTAAGTGGTATGTAAGTGGGTGTGCAACTCTGCCTCCTACTTACATATGCACGACTCAACATATTCACCCCTTACAGAGGCTGTGTAACTCGCCTCGAAGCTTTGCAGTGGGGAGATCTCCCCTTTCAACTTGCTAATAATGGGCGGCTTCAAAAAGGAAAATGGATGGTAACGAAGAACTGTGACACGTGGACACTGTCTGTGATGGCGGGAGAATCCAGAAAGGAATAGGCACTCACCCGGGAATTTTGTACACGCGCACAGACACGTTTCGCAGGCGGCTGGTGGTCCTGGCAGCAGCATTCTTGGCGCTGTACTCGGATGTCTGTGATGCCAGGGCCTGTGCCAGGGCGGGGCTGGAGGCTCCCATTGGCGAGTATGCCGCCCCGTACCGCATGTCCTGTCAATAGCAAAGCGCCCAGCTCAGGTCAGTCCAACAAGCAATTTTAAATTTCTGGATGTCTTCGCTGCATGCATGCGCAGGCGAGAGAAAAAAACAATGAGTTGATCTCTGATGCACACTGAGAACGTCCATAGTCTTTTTAAGTCGAAATGCCTAGCCTCAGCTTTGGCATGGAGATGTGCAAATTGGCCGAGTGGCCAGCACCTGTTGTGACTTCTGGCGTTGGAGGAGCGACTGGAAGGAGGGCAGCTCTACCTCCGGTGCATCAGCCTCCCTCTCAACCTGCATCCTTGCCTCTTCCTCTTGTTCCTCCTCACCCACTGCCTCGTTGCCATAGTCTTCTGCACTCACTTTGGCGCCAGACCTCTGCCTTGCATCCTGGCTTGGCCCGTCCTCGAAGATTTCTTCCTCTTGTTCCTCGTCGTCGTAGTGCACCCGGCCCTGCCGGGGGGCGGACCGGCTGCGGCGCAGTTCGGCATCGCCGTCGTAAGGGCGCCCCTGCGGCATGCTCGAGGCCGCGCGGCGCACTCCGCCGCCGGCGCGCTTGCTGCCCCATTGTCGGCTCGTCTCCCGGGGCGCACCCTCCGCCAGAAACTCATCCGCTTCTGCCTCAAATCTCCCACTGGCCGCGCGCGCCGAGAAGGTTCGAGCCGCCTCCAGGCCTGCCTTGTAGCCCTCTGTGAAGGACTTCTCTGACCGCAGAACAAATTCTTTCTCAGCGCGGCTGCTCCCGCGCGGCAGCTGCTCGGCGTCGTCCTGGTACTCTTCCCGCTGCGTGCGCACCTCAACTGTTCTTGTCCGCTGCGGCCGGGGGTTATAGGAATAGTCTGTTGCCATACTGCTTCCGCGCAACGGCGGTGTATATCCGGCAGGCTCCGCTGCGTATCTGCCGCTGCCGCCGCCGCGGGCCGGCGCGTCGAAGAAATCGTCGGCCGGGCCCGCGGTGCGCGCGCGGGCCGGTGCGCGGTGATACGGGGGGGCGTCAGTTACGGCCATTACGGGCACGAAGGCGGCGGCGCCGGCAGTGCGGGCTCGCGGCAGGGGCATGTCATACTGCTCTAGCACGCTGCGCTGGCGGCTGAAGTCGCCGGGCGCACTGTCAAACTTTGCCAGTCGCGTCGGGGAGCGCCGCGTTACCGCCTCGGCGGACGACGGCCGCGCCGCCGCGCTGGCCGGCACCCACGACTCCCTTGGTGCTGCAATGCAAATCGCTATCCTCAACCGCTTATTTTGACAGCTCTGATATTTAAGATGCATATCACACCTATCTTCTACAGTTCAAAAATATAAATCACATGCCTGCAGTCACCAATGGCGTTGGCTGGCTGGGAGTGTTCAAAGCACTGAGAACTATGCCCACTGTTGACTGGTTATTGCTTGGAGTTGGAGTCCATCGAGACGTAAGATATGTGGCAGCCTTTTTATTCAGCTTGGTTGCATACGCATCTTGCCTCTGGCAGGAAAAGCATTGGACAAAATTGATAATAATCATCATCATCACTACATGTTGAGTGCAGAATGAGAATGTGCTGACCATCTTGGGCGCTCTTGAAGGTGTATGAGCCGGGTCGGATAGCGGAGCGCAGCGGCGAGTATGCTTCGCCAAAATTTCCTCTCAGGGGTGGCGGGGCGAGCGACTGCGACAGCGTGCGGCCAAAACGCGTGGTTCCCTCGTCATCGCTGTCATAGCCCCTCTCCCAGTAGCTGCTGCTGCCTTGCCGCACCGGGCTGCTGGATCGCGCGCGCCGGGCCGCGCCGGTGGACGCCCTCTGTTGCCTGTTCAGGCAGGCAACATGGGTATTTTGATTATTTGTTTCTACAAGATATCTCTCAAAATGTTCAAAGATGACATTTTACGATAACAATGCTAAGGTGCACCAAATATTATAATTTGCATAGTTGAATAGGCTTCACATGCATGCCTGGATCCAGCGTGTCAATCCGACTTCCAGAGGTTCATGAAGTAATTTCTTCTAGTCGTCTAGTCAGATGCAGGGATGATCATATGTTGTACGTAAGGTGGTGGAAGCTTATGGAAGCTGGGGCCATAAAGACGGTGAAAGCTGGTGGAAGCTGGTGCAAAAGTCAAGTTTCTGGCAAGTTCGGGCCGTGTGGGCAGTGTTAACAGTGTAATGCGATGGTGGAAATACTGAGCGCACCTGCCAGTCCAGGTGGCTTGAGGGTCGAGGCTGAGGCGCTGGGAGGCCCTGGTCTGGAGCGTGGCTGGCCCCACAGCACCATCCTCCCGCAGCTGCCCCTTCCTCCTGATCTTGCTGGCCACCTGCAAATGAACAAATCGACGCCACTGAGGTTCTGGTGTGCATCCTGCTCCTCTGCTCTGGCTGCACACTGCCTGATTTACCTGCTATCCGATAAATCAACCCCTTTGGTGCCCTTGTCCAAGTGTCCTGGTGTGAAAGGACTTTGGTGGTTTCTCAATTACACAATGTGCAAGGGGTATGCAACGTTGCCTTCTACTTACATATGCAAATCTCCACATATACACTACTTACACAGGTGATACTTTGACATGGACTTACACACCGTGCAAGGGGTATGTAACGCTGCCTCCTACTTACATATGCAAGTCTCCACATACACACCACTTACACAAATGATACTTTGAAATTGCCTTACACACCGTGCAAGGGGTATGTAACGCTGCCTCCTACTTACACATACGCAATACCACATACACACCACTTACACAGGCTCTGTAACTGCCATGATTGTGTCACCACCATCGAGGGGATTAATGTGACGCTCTTGCAATGCAAAGCTATCCTCCGCATTGCAAGCTGAGCCTCTCTGACCCCGAACAAAGCCTGGCTTGGTGTCTTCTGGTCAGAGGGGCAGCACTGCTGGCCCCTGTGCTATGAGGTTCTTCAGAAACACAGAGAACGTTTCAGAGAGTGGGGCTTACCCGGTGGATGTGCCAGAGGATGGTGGAGTGAAGGTGCGCGGCGCGTTCCCGGTGGCTGCGCGGCCGCGCAGCCAGCGCCTTGGACCGCCGGGCCTGCAGCTGCGCGGCAGCCGCCGTGTACGCCGCGTCGCTCAGCCGCCCGGATGCAGGATCGACGCCGAACGAGCGCAGACTCTTGTTCAATTCCTCCTCCATCTCTCCCTGGCCACAGTGGAACGCCCTCGTTAGCTGCAGACTATACCTGAGGAATTGTGCTGCCTTTTATGAAGCACACAGCTCATTCAGTTGTGCATGTCTGTTTCTTCTTATAAACGACTTGAGCGCTTCGTTGAACGGGCCCTCCATACTAAGGCATTGCACGTCAGCTTCAGTATAAGGGCAAAAGTTGGACAGGACCCATGCCCTGTATTTATGCAGGAAATAGGTGCGTCCAAGGCTCTGAGCTGCATTACAATTTACTCCTGCTACTGTAGGTAGATGCATGCATGACAAGGAGCGCAGAAAATGCATGGCAAAACACCGGCTCCTCACTGCAATCACACGGACCTCGAGCTGCGCGCGCGTGTGCTCAAAGGCGGGCAGCGGCTGCGGGAAGCGCGAGCGCACGCCGGGCCGCGCGGAGCCGGCCAGCTCATGCGCCATCTCCACGTTGAATCGCTCGAGGTCCTCCGGCGACGGCTGCGGCGGCGCGCCCTCCGAATCGAACTCGTATTCGAATGCGGGTGCCTGGTCAGGCTTGCGCGCGGCTGCGGCGGCTGCCGGCGCCGCAGAAGCCGAGCGGCGCATGGCGGGGATGTGACCTTTGTCCTGAATAGGCTCATTCCCTTGATTGCGGTCCATTGAGGCCGTCTTGCGCAGCCGCTCGCCCGGTCGCGCCGATGCCGCCCTCGCCAGACCCAGCTCCTGTGTAACGAGGCGAGAGTTCGCTCAAAAGTTTTGACAGGCTTAAAATATAGTTACTAGATTGCAAAGAGCCTGAGGGTGACCATCACAAAACTGTGTGGCTGCAGCCAAACCACTGACTAAGCGACTCTTGAAACGTATGGTACTGTATGTAGATTATTTTTTTGAATTGAAGTAACATGCTGCACTGGTTTGAAGTTCATCCATATCAATGCCCACGGGGATGTGCATGTGCTTGCACATGTTTGCACTGGTTCACTTCTCAAGTTGGCATGTGTGTGGTTGAGAGTGGGTGGGTGTCAGGGGCTGCGCACGTGTTCCAAGAAGTGGATGCTCTTGATGAGCTCCTCCTGCTGGGGCTGCTGGCTGACCAGCATGCTCTGCAGCCGCTTCACCTTGGCCTCCAGTAGTGTCCGCTGCTTCCTTGCCTCCTCCACCTGTAGCGTTTTTTGCTTTCAACGCTGCAGTACACCCTCTATTCGCTTCTCGACTTCCCAACATCTGTCTAGTACCCAAACCTTGTGAAAGCCATTGCATGCAATGAGGACGGGCCACACATGTGTCAGTGGTAGACAAGACCTGCCCATCTGTTCAGCAAAACGGCTTGCTCTCTGTTGATCTCGCTGTATCGCACCCAGAGACGAGGAAGGGCGTGAAAACCAACAAAGTTCTATGAGGCTTTGAATATGGCACAGACGCAGTATGAAGATGCAGCACAGAAAAGCACACTGCTGGCATGGTGAGATTTGCAATACCTCCTCTCTGAGCTGTTCATTTTCCTCCCAGGCCTCGTGGTCCCCCCGGTCCCCGGCTGGCGGCGCCTGATCTGGCGGCTGGGAGGACAGCTGGCGGCTGAGGGAGTGTATCTGCGTGCGCATCGCCTGCGCCTCCCGCTCCAGGTCCTGCCTGGTCTGCGCCAGGCGTTCCCTCTCCGCGAGCTCAGCCTCCAGCCGCGCCTTCAGCTGCTCCACCTGTGATGGAGACAGTAACAACTCGTCACCCCTGACTCCTAAAGGGCGATAATGCATCAATTTCCTGAAGCCTATACGTGTTGCATCATGCACATGTATGGACGATTGTGGGTCTCAACAGGATGAGTGCAAAACAAATTTGTCGCCAAGTGGCTGAGCGCATTGACAGGCATGCCTCAAATTGTTTGAGGCTAAGAAATTTACTGCATCCAAGCGTAGATGTCCCAAGAGGAAAGATGGTATCACCTCAGCAGTAGCCTCGCTTCTTTCATCCAGCTTGGCAGCCGCCTTCTGCTGCCGCAGCTGCTCCTAAAGATTTGGCCAAGCGAGTGACTCAGCATGTGACCCAATTGCGCAAAGATCCAGAATTTGCATCACACTGCTGTGTCATGGACGGGCGAGCAAGACAGGAATGCTGGTGCTGCCTCCTTGGCCACGATTTACAATGTGTATTGTTCTCTCTTCTTTGCTCTTTGATCTTTGCTGGGACCTGGCGACTATTCAAGGGGAAGGATATGTGGCAGCCTTCACATGCAGCTTGTCTGCAGACGCACCTTGCCTCCGGCAGGAAAGGCGTGTAATAATAATAATTGTTCCCTCACCTGGTCCCTGAGCACAGCCCTCAGCCGCGCAGCTTCGTCCTCAGCGCTGCGCAGCCGTTGGGCCAGGCGCTCCAATTCCTCCTTGTCCTCAGACGCCGCCACCACCGTTGTCCGGGACTCCCCCAGAATTGATGACAGCTTCTGCCGCGTCTCCAGCTCCTGCTGCCTGCGCATGAAGAGATGCCATGCTGATGAGCGCTGCGTCTCTTGTGATGTCTGCTTGATTCATGTGTCAGATTAAGCAAAGGAGAATATTCCCAAAATAGAGGTGCGAGTGTCAACAACGTAGGTGCAGGCCTTGGCCTATCCACGTTGCCTTGAAGAAGTGCTTGCCACTTGTGTCTATGCTGCCTGCCTTACATGAAAAAGAAAAGCAAAAAAGAATTTCCAACTAGGGGAATTTGTGCCAGCATATAAGTGCAGGGATGGGTGTGTATTTTGTGCTTTGGGTGTATTGGATGAAGCACCTGGTCAGAGAGTCGGCCAGCCGCTGACGCAGCGAGCGCATCTCGTCACTGGCTGCAGTGATCTGGGCATCGACGCTCCTGCACACACAGCCCAATCTGCCCACCTGTGTTCTCTTCTTATTTTTTACAGGCATGCATCTTGCATGTGGGTGAGATTCCATTGCTTGAGACAGGCATGCATCACACACACACACGAGGGCATGTCATCCCGCTACATGATGTCATGTGATTGTAAAAACCATGATAAATCGTGAATGACTTGGATTTATACCCTTGGGAGACTTGCAGGGCCTCCTCCTTGGCTGCGAGCACTCTCCTGTCCGCCTCAGCCTGCTCCCTTCGGCGTGCTGCATCCACTGCTGCCTCCAGCTCCTGCTGCCCTGTCGCCCCGCCAAACTCACAGGATCATCCTCACGCTCATACACCGCATCTTTGCACTCTAAAGAGTATGGTCCTTTGTGTCCCACCACATCTCCAGACAGGCTGCTGGCGTTCAATCACAGCTGTTTGCCTGAGCACATGCATGCAAACAAGAAGGATGTTCTATGGTACAAAGTGATTCTGCAATCCAACAGGAGTGCCAAACAGGGTTATCAACTTCAAGAGCTCTTGCATTTCTCTGCTATTTATGTGGTCCTGATGTAAGTATATGCTCATCCGCGATGTCACAGACCTGAAGAAAATCAGTGAGTTCCCTCCATGATTGCCATGCTTCAATGGGGGGCAGTACCTCTTTCCTTGGTCTTTTCCAGGGCGTCCTTCAGCAGGTCAATGTCCCTGAGAAGCCCTTCGCGTTCCTCCCTCAGCTCATCAGACTGCCGCTGCAGTCGCTCCAGCTGCCATTGCAGCTCTGCCTCCTGCTTGCCATCTGTATTGGCCGCCTTCGCCTCTGCATTCTCCCTCTCTGTCATCAGCGCCGCCTGACACCACCAAACCCAGAGTCTGCATATCGTCATGCGGACAATAAATACGAGCCCTCTCTTGCTGCAGACAATGCGGTGCAGTCACAACTCCCCTGAAGCAGCTTGCATCATATCAATGGACTGTTAATCTAATTCATAAGCAACACTGTATGCACTGCATCACAGGGACGCCAGTCACTCACTCAACACACACTTGCTTTGGACTTGATGCTGTACTACACTGAGCACAGGAAGTACAGCAGCTCAGGTGCCGCATGCGTACCTCGGCAGACTTGAGGATTTTCTTGGACCGCTTGGCCTCCAGCTTGGTGAGTGCCAGCTCCTCCTTGTGCTCCTTCACGCGCAGGTGCAAAGCTTCCACGTGCTTCGCCGACCTGGCTTTGTCCTCCTGCAGACACCACAGGGCCTAGAGTTGCATGCTCTAAAATGGACACACTCGGGCCGAATGCCGGCCATAGGATATGTGAGTTCACTCCTGTCAGTTTTTGTCCTCCTGCCAACAGCGCAAGGCATTGCAGTGGTGGGCAAAGTGGCATATATGTACAGGGTGAAGAGATCTACTGCAACATGTGCCGACAATACCTGGATCATAGATCTCTAGAGATTGAACACTTGAAACAACATTAACAACACAGCACCAGGCATACAATGCCAAACTTTTGGATGACCAAACTTGGGGCACAGTCATAAGAGACTGTGGCCTCCCTACAACCTTTGATCCATGACCCAGAGAACTGAATGGATGTCTACTGAGACTGTGAAGATTTAACTTTCAATTTCTTGATGGGGACAGGGCACCTTGAGGAGGCCATTTTCCCAGACGAGCCGGTCTTGGATGTGGAGCAGGTACTCCACAGTGAGCTGGGCCAGCCTGAACAGGCGCAGGAAGTTTGTCTCTGACAGGCTGCCTGATTCCTCTGCCTGCAAGTCGCCGTACGCCATCGCAGCACAGCACCTCTCCAGAGTGTCTATGTCCGTCTCCCGCACCTGCAGCAGCAAGCAGAGAGACTCACGCAGACATAGTAATAATGCACCTCAATGCTTGCCCATAGCAGCCAGCCCAAGGCAAGCAATTGCTGCAATTCAGTGGTTTCTTCTTAACAGCAGTCCAAGGGAGGAGCTACGGCACCCCCCCTGAACATGGCAATCGTGATGGCCACGAGACTCTCTGCTGTTTTCTCAGCCAGCAGGATGCAAGCAATCTTCTGGCAATTAAGGCGGTGAGGAGGTTTGTTGCGAATGATGGTTGGATCATTGTAAAGGGTCCTCACAAGTTTGTCAATGTCCACTCCGTGCAGAATCTGCCAGTTGATGCGTGTCTGGTGAGCGCTGAACCGGAAGGGCGCTGGCGCAGGGGACATGGCTGGCCCATAGAAGGCAGGAATGGTCGGCATCGGTGATTTCCTGCCTGAGTTGGTGTCCTGCAATTTTTCCTCTGCCAGAAGGCCCATAGTGCTTCCCTGTGGTTATTGCCCTGCGTGAGCAAGCACACATCCTGGGGATGTTTTCTGTAATAGCAACTAATTTTCGGAATCATACTCTCAGAAGGATACAAATCTGTTTGGAGATTGAGCAGGGTATTGGACGCACTTTCTATTGGCTGCTTTCGTTTGCAGCTCGTCACAATCATGTCGACGTGAGATGTTTCCAAGAATAGCCACAGGTCACCACCGTATTGAAGTGGTTACTGCTCGATGCTGTATAAACCAAATTGAATACTCGGTAAGTTCAGAGCTTAGTGCCCCAGAGTTCTGTTTCCGTTCTGTCAGGCCGAGCACCTACATCCGCTTTTGGTCACAAGGGCCGCCATGGTCAAATTCATCCATTCTGGAGCATGCTCTGACTCCAGAAGAGTTCCAATATGTATGGATCCTGTTGTAGCCCAGTTTCACAGACATGTAGTGACAGGAAAGTAGCTCGCAGTCGGTCAACAGAGTTCCAAGGTGTCGGTCTCGGAAAGTGTACCTCATTATCACCATTTCAATTCATTCAATGGTAGCCTCCCAACCTGTCAATTTGCTTTCTATGAAGGGACCTGGATGACTTACATGTAGGTATTTTGCTTCAAATGTGACAATACTGTTTCCTGCGCTGCAAGACAAGGACCTAGCGAGGGATGCTACTTTTGGGCTCCACCATTGGAACTCTCTAACGAGCATTTGCAGTGGAGTATGACATGACTGGGTTCTCCAATTTTCTTAGAAAAATTTGCTGTCTGCCTCCAAAGCAAGATCATTGGGAGGAGGCGAGAAAATCGAAGAATTCACTGCTGATACCAGCAAAGATCAAGGTCGCTGTCAGAAATGAAAGGCAAATAGGTGAGGGCTTGATCTCAAAATATATTTCAACCTCATAGCTTCCTGAATGGTGCCTTGATATTCAGCATGTATATAGGCGCGCAGCTGTACAGATGACTGGCTGACAGTTGATCTGTGCTGGGTGCAGAGTACAAAATCGATTACTTGGTGAGCCCCGGACTGGCCAAGCAGGTCTATGACGTCAGGCTGTACCTGTTCTTCTCATCAGAGCTGGATGCTGCCGAAGTCTCCTTCTTCAGATCCCTGTATGGGGCAGTGCGCCTGCATACGCCAAAGGTTGGGTAATTACTTCGATGTCCTGGTGTGTCCTGCACAACATATTTGCACGTTATCATCTGATGGTGCTGCATCTCGCAGGCGCATGTCCGGGATTTGGCAATTGAGGATGGAGCCGACTCCAGCATTGGGGCTTTGGCAGCAAGCTTCCAGGTGTGCTTGGCAAGCTTCTCTTCCCTGCTTGTCTACCAGTCTCAACTGTGAAGATGTGCTGTGAGTGCTGCATTGTATGACTGCAGGCGGTCAAGGGAAAGCTCGCAACAGGGCAGGACATAGACAGCGATGCTACACATCTAGTGTACCTGCTGCAGCTGTATGCTTGCACCTTCAGGCGAGCAATCCGCAGGACAGCCAAGGACATCCTGCAAAGGCTGGTGGGCTCTGGAGAGGGCCTGCCCTCACAGCCTGCCGAGTGCAGAGCGGCAGCGGCCATCTGTGAGCTGCTTGATGCTAGCGAGGCAGCCATTCATACCCTTAAGAAGGTACCCGCCTTTGACTCAGTATGCTCTTTACTTGCAGCCCTCTTTGGTTAGGGTTCTAAGCTTGCATGGCCCTTTCTTGATCATTGCAGAAAAATATCTGCGGTCACATCCCATGAGCTTCCGGATCAACAAATGCTACTGGGCACCACTCTCCTTCACCTAGTATTCGCTTGAACATCCTGTGAATCAGATTCTGGATGGTGCATCTCTGCAGGTGTGTGGGGAGTGCGAGGATGCAAAGATGCCGGATTGGCTGAGGGAGGCGTGGCATCTGGTGGAGGAGGTTGTGCTGCTGGAGGAGCACATCTCCCTGCTCAAGCTGGCAGTCAAGCTGGACGCCGTCTACCAGCCTCAACCTGAACCACAACTTGAGCACCCATCACAGGTCGCGCACAACATTTGTTTTGCTCATTACAGCCTTAACCCAGGTGTTGCACGACTTACCTAATCCTTCAGGACTTTAGTGAATGTCGCCAGCCTCTGTCCTGCCTTTTGCAAGTAGGTTTTGCTTAGCCATGCTTGCATCATTGTGCATCTGATCTGACCCTGCAGGGATCATGTGTGCAGGGTGGCCTCCCGGAAATTGAGGAGTACCAGAATTGCTCAGACTTTGGCGAGAGACGGAGGCTCTGCGAAGCACTCCGGGCACAGGCGCTTGAGTGCCTTGCACACTGCTCGAGTTGTGCAGGACTGGATGGGCCAGCCACTGCCCCGTCAGCCAGCAATGCACAGCAGCCATCAGCACTGCGCCAGCCAAGCTCTGTGCCAGCAGCACAGGAGCCCAGCAGCTTTGACATTGAGCAGGGGGCTCCTGTCTCCTCAGGCAGTGGGCAGCCGGATGAGTCAACCGCCGAGCACAGCGAGTGGCAGCTGTCGGCAGAGAGCAGGAGCAGCAGTGCGCGAGGGGCCAGCACCCTGGTCTTCGTCAACCCCAGAGCGCTCTTCAAAGCCCTGAATAAGTACAGCATGGCGGTGACTGATCGATTCACCGGCACAGCGCAGCACACCCACAGCAGTGACAGCCCTCATTGCATGCCGGGTTCTGCGCAGCGATCAATAGAGCAGGATGGAGGTTCTCAGGAAGAGGGAGGGAACGCGCAGCAGATGCGCAGGAGCACGCAGCTGCTGGCCTCTGCTCGGTGCCTGCTGCTGCAGCAGGTGCAGGCGCTTGAGGCGCTGGCGACGGAGCACGGCTACACTGAGAGCCTGCTGCATAGCGACAGCCTCACAGAGAACGAAGAGTACACCAACAGGCATGCTTCCCCTCGCCTTCCTGCAGGGCACTCTGAACATCTTGTGATGCCCATTGATGCCCCAACCAAAGGTGTCACTCGGAAAAGCATGCTATCAGCCTCATGATGGTTGTGACCTTTGTGTACAGACTCTTCATGTAATTGCAATTTTCTGCAGCCCTTAATGGAGCCACTGAGCGTCTGAACCCAACAGGAGTGTGAATCTCTGCAGCCTCCGCTGGAGCTTCGGTGACCAACAGGACTTATACTTTCAGGTTGTGAGGGTAGTGCTTGATTGATGTGCAGGCTGATAGGACATATTATTTTAGGTTTGAGTATTGTGCTTGAATGACAATGTGCAGGGTGAAGGTGCTGAAGCGGCATGCACAGCTGGCGATAACGCTGGCGCCGCGCATGCTGAGGCGTTCCATGCTGGTGGATGACATTGTGGGCATGACCATCGCGGGCCTGGCCATGGCATTCGCGCTGCTGACCATGTACTGGGCCTTCCGCTCCAGCGCCCAGTTCGGCATCCTCTACATTGCCATCTATATCATCGGCTACATGTTCAAGGTGTGCCAATAGGAGCTCTGCTCACTCTTCCGCTTGAAGGACAATTGCTCCTCGCTGGTGGCTTGTTGCCTGTGGTGAGAGCATTGCCTGTTGAAGCTGTGTGGTGGCAGCATGGCTCTATCCTTATTATTGGCTTTGCTGTTTCCCGTTGGCTTGCATGGTGGGTAACTTGCTGTAAGAAATTCCGTATCCTTATTTACTAATAATGCTGTTACCCGTAAGCTTGCATGGTGGAAACTTTGGTGTTTAAATAGGGCCGGCCTCAAAGAGAAGCTTGCATGAGATGGAAATTGATGTTTGCAGGACCGCATAAAGGAGTGGGGCAAGCGGTACCTGCAACCCATTGCAGAGTGGTTTGGCATCGAGTTTCCCGACAGAGTTCAGAAGGTGGGTGAAAGTTTAAACACTCATATCATCTGGGACCCTGCAAGGTGGGACACACCAAGATGTGGAAGGGGGGCTACGCAGGGGGTTTGAGACTGTGACCATGTGGTGCAGTTCAGGGACTACTTTGGGAAGGCAGTCGGGTCTTGCAGTGAGAGGGTGCGCATCAAAGATGGCTTGGATGTCCCTGCGCGTGTGCTGCGCCTGCGATATGCCGGCCACAAATCGGTGCGTGACCGCCAAACGTTATGGTTGACCACAATCTGGCCCTATTGATGCTGGTCTATTTTTTTAGACAAGCACAGCCACTTGGTAGGCTTGTGCTGGGCTCACGCTGACAGCGATCCTGAGGGCCATTCTGCATGTGAGGTTTGTGGTGATAATGACACACTGCATGGCACCAGATACAGCCTCACATCATGCATGCTAGGCACAAGTGCTGGACACACTCGAAGGCATTTCAAGCCTACAGGATTGACACTGATTAAGGGATGTGTTTAGTCCGCCAAATACTGGGGAGGTGCTCGCCATGGATGCCCAGTGGGTTGCAGCCTGCCCAAATTCAAATCGAAAGGGGTTGAACAATTCAGAGCACCAGCAAATTCAGACTCCAATAACTACAGATCCAAGTTGTGTCTGAACGTGCCACACCTCCATGAGTCGACCATCTCTCGGTTTGCGAGTGACGTGGTGCATGCTGCGCTGTGCAGGGGCCTCCCAGCAAGGGGCACATGGTGAAGCCGGAGCGGGTGCTGATCTACACCAAGAAGATGGAGGTGCGCTGGAGGGCTCTGGAGGAGGGCCTGCAGGGAGTGCGCAGCCTGGATGACATCATCCGCATCGATCTTGACTTCCTTTGCAGGCATGCTACTCCTCTTGCCCACTCATTCCCAGAGCTTCGAATGCAGATTTGTCTGATGCTGGGTCGCGCATGCTTCCTGTTCTGCATGCGTAACCCCCACTCAAAAGCCCCCCATGCCCACTGGTCCCAGATCTTAGAGAGCAAATTTGTCTGATGTGCAAATGTCCTGTGTGCTGTTTAAATAGCCTGACTCCAGACATGAGTTAACAGATTTGCAGGCCACCCTGTCCTCACAGCTGTGCCTGAATATCTGTTTGCTATTAGTTGTAGCCGTCCATTGTCTGCTGCTCTCAAGATACTTGGTCAAGGGCGAGTGCATGTATGCAATGTGATTATCAGTGCTCCTGGGCCGGCAGGTATTCTTTTGTTGATGCACTATGCTTGCACCGCTATTCAGCCCTGCCTCCCTTCTTGGCGCTTGCACCGCATTTTCTATTTTGCTTCCTGTCTTGGTTAGACATTGCTGGCTGTGCTGCAGAGCGATGCAGCCGCCACACGAGACCCACTACGCGCTGGCCAGGGACGGCTGCGGCCGGCTGGGGGTCAATGAAGCGCAGACTGCGCGCGTGTACCATGTCAACAGCATCCTGGAGCTGCGCACCCAGGCACGCCCCTGCTGACCAGATGTGTCTAGTGCAGATTCTACATCTGTAGTGCAGTGCAGCACAGATGCAGTGCAGACTCACATCTTTCTGTGTGTGGGTGAAGTGTTGTGGCTTCACTCTGTGGCACCTGGGTTCTCTGTCAGCTGTTAGACAACTACCCATGTGTGCTGTGGGCTCAATTTTTTGGCATGGCTACAAAACGCGCTTAGGGCTGCGGAACTCTAGGGGATTGCAGGCAGCCAGTGGGGCTTGCAAGGGATTAAATGGGTCGAACGGCATATGCAGGGGCCGAACCCTGAGAAGGCGATGCAGCTGGAGAAGATGCGAATTGTGATGGACCGCAGCGGCATCAAGCGCCTGGAGCCATGCGGCGACGATGCCCTCCTGGCAAAGACCAAGCGCTTGCCCGCGCCCTTTGCCCACCGCGGCCATCGCCGCTAGGCGGCATCAGGCGTTAGCAGCAGAGGAAATAGCATCCCGAAGGAGCATGCGCGAGGTTGAAGCAATCATGCGGCCCCAGGAACAGCATTACTAGAAGTATGTGGGCTGCAGTCGAGCAGCAGAAAGTGCTGATTTATCTGATTATTCGTCTTGACTGTCCAGAAGAAGTGCAGGTCATGACCTCCGGTGGCGGACGTTGATCACTGATGGCACCCGGTGGGCCAGTGCTGCATCATGATCATGATCTGTGCCGCACTGGCGTCTCGTTTAGAAATGTTTCAGCTGTTTGAGGAACCTTGTTCCAGTCTTAGCTAGATACTGTGCTGGAGGAAGTCTGACATTGGCGCAAATTAGATTGAAGGAAGGAAGGAAGGAAGATTACATCACTCCAGCCGCCTAGGGCTGATTGGATGAACTGGCAGCATCCAAATAATCAAAACAATCCATCACAAAATGTGCAACACCAACAATGTCCAACTGCCACATGAATTGCTGCATCGTCACAATGGCTGCACCAAACAGCCCAGGATATCTGTCCCGAACAGATTGCAAGGCAGGGCACTCAAACACAAGGTGGCGCTCATCCCCAATAACCTGCTGGGCACAACGCATGCACAAACGCTGGGGCCGGGGAATCCTTGCCCAGCGGCCCGAGACATTGGGCAGACTATGACAACCCATCCTGAACTTCAACAGTATACGCAAGCAACGGGCACTCAAAGGCTGCTGTAAGAGCTGGCAAGGGTGGCGCACACAAGCTGGCCTAGCAAACCATCTGTGATATGTACACAAGGTGGCATTGCTGGACGGGCAGGTCCTAGGGCAAATGTCAATGTCATCCCAAACCTGCAGTGCTTGCGCATCTAGCAGCTGCATCACAGCATCAACTTCCACAGGAACAAGGGTGTCAAACCGAATAACAAACTCATACCCAATCCGGCGCAAGCCCCGCATGAAGGCCCAAGCCCAATTCTTAACATTACGGGTTATGGCATCCCAACAATCATCAAGGGCCACTTGCCTGTGAAAATTATTTGCAGGCAAGGCAGCCAAATTGTTCCAGAACTTGATAATGCGCCGCCACCACACACAATCAAGGGTCTGCTGATTCAACTCCTTAAGCAAGATGGCACCATGCACAGAGGTGGGGACGCCAGCAATGTCTCTCAGAATTTTCAGGTGAGAGGAGGCCAAGGCAGCCCGGCCCCGCCGGCTGTCGCCACCAGGAAGGCTGCGCAGGCCCCACACCTCACAACCGTAGGAGGCAGTCGGCGGCACACATGCATCATATAGGCGCAACAACAGGCCAGCTGACATGCTGCAATGCAACTTCCCATATTGCTGCCTGAGCTGTGCCCACGCACCCCACATGTTCCTGTGAAGCTTGCCAAAGGTGAGATTAATGCCTTGGGCACCGTCAAAAAGGGCACCCAGGTACTCAAACTGCTGAACCCAATGTAAAGGCGCACCACCACAAAGCCATTGAAAAGGTCCTGGCAAACTTGAAGAGAACACCACAATCTTTGTTTTGTCAACACTGATGACCATTCCCGTTTGTTCACAAAACTCAGCAGCTGCATCAATCAAGCGTTGCAAATGAGCAGGTGTGGTGGCGAGCAAAGCAAAGTCATCGGCATAGCCTAGATCTGGTACACAACTGCCAGGACGCAACTGCGGGCCAACCCCAGGGCACCTCTGCAGCAAGTGCCTGTGCAGGCCATCTGCAAACAAGCCAAACAGCGTTGGGCTAAGGGGGCAACCCTGCTTCAATCCTGTCTCAGAGGGCAAACTAGGACCCTTCCTGCTCCCAATCTTAATGGCAACCGTAGAATTGGCATACAAAGACTGAATGGCAGAGAGCAGGCGGCCATCAATGCCCAGGCGACGCAGACTCTCCCAGAGCAACACCCGATTCACTCTGTCATAAGCACCCTTCAGATCAAGAAAGCAACAATACAAGGGCTGCTTAGCATGGTTTTGCCGGTCGATAAAATGCTGCAAGGTGAATAGCTGGTGGGCCGTAGACAGTTTTGGCCTAAAGCCAGCCTGTGTGGCTGCACGCAATCCAGCCCCCTCTGTGTACTTCAGAATACGAGAATTCAATATGCCAGCATACAAGCGCATGATGGGCTCAGTAACGGCAATGGGTCTATAATTGAGCATGTCAAGCTTGCTGCCTTTCTTGTGCACAGGGGTGATCAGGCTACCATTCACAGAGGGTGGCACTTGCCCAGCCACAAATGCAGAGTTCAGCACAGCCACCAAAGCAGGCGCCAGGACATTTTCCGGAGGAGGCATGCCTGGCGCCCGCTCATCTTTTGCATACCGAAACAGCTCAGCTGGTAAACCTTGCACTCCGGTGGCACGACCATTGTGTAAACTTTTGAGCCCAGCAAGCACCTCCCCAAGAGAGATGGGTGCATTGAGAGCATCAACATGGGCAACAGGAGCACTGGGCTGGACAGGGAAAGACAAGTGGGGCAGCTCAGCAATGAGTGGCAACTGCAAGTTTGCAACCCGCTTGAGATAGCCAGCCCACAATTGCACTGGCTTGAGCTGCTCAGGTATATCAGACTGCTGAGACTTGAGCCGCTTCCAGAAGGCTCGGGGGTCACTGTGCAAATCATCAAGCAGGCGGCGCAGTTGCGCGAGCCGGTGAGCGCGCCGTTTGTGGCGGACGGCGTTGTGGTAGGCACGCTCCAGCGCGCGCACTTCGGCTGGATCGCCCCCGCACCGCGCGCGGGCGCGGACGTCCCCTTTAAGCTGGCGGCACTCCGAATCGAAGAAGGGCGCGTCGGCACGCGCCTTGCGCTGATGGCGCCCGGTGCGGGCCGGCATGCTGTTTGCGGCTGCGGCCTCCCGGATCCCCGCCTCCAGGGTCTGAAAGGCTGCATCAAGTTCCCCAGCCACAGCATGGCCTGTGCAGGCGTCAAAACTTGCACTGGCAACATTGCGCAAAGCAGCAGCATACGCATTCCTAGCACTGGGCTGCCATTTCACTCGTGACAATGGCGCCCCAATACATGGTAAGGGAACACTGGCAGCCACATTCACTTGCAACGTCATCTCAATAGGATGATGATCAGAGTCTTTTCTACCAGTTTTCACAACAAGATGAGAAATCAAGGGGAGCGCATCAGCGGAAACGAGAACATGATCAGGTCTAGTTGCCTGAGTATGGGTTCTGGCCTTAAAGGTAGGCACTGCTTCAAGGTCTCCTAGCACTCTGCCAGAGCATATGAGCATGTCAGTTTCCTTGCAAAAATCTAACAGGCGCAGCCCATGAGCATTGACACCTTCATCAGTGCAGCCTCGAGTATTGCTGTCATCAGCGTCAGGCAAATTTGACACACGAGCATTGAAGTCTCCTGCCAGGATCACATTGCCCTGAGCACGAGCGGCAACAACTTCTGCACATAAGCCCGTAAATCGACTGGTCAGGTCCACAGTCTGCAATTGCCGGGAACCCGCTGGAGGCACATAGCTGGAGCCAATCAGCAGCGGTGTAGAGTCCCCCTCAAACTGCACTTTCACCCATAAGGCACTGTCAGTGTCTGACACCCAGTCTTGTGCGTGGTAATCACGGTGCTTCCGAACCGCAACAACAATGCCTTCACCCGCCTTGCCCTCTTCACTAGCAGCCGTGAAAGTCACAGAGTGGTGAGGCAAGATCGAGTCATCCCAGGTCAAGCAACGGGCCTCAGTCAGAAGTACAATATCGAACTGGTCAAGATAGGCTGCCGTGTCCCACAAGGATATTTTGCTAGCATGTAAGCCATTGACATTCCAGGACAATATACGCAGCGATAGGCGGCTGGAGACTTCCTAGCGGCGCACTGCTTCGGCGTAGGAGTCGGCGCGGCCGGGGGAGGAAGGCGCGGCCTGAGAGGGCCCGGCAGTGGCAGCACCCGGGGCGGCAGCGGCGCCCGGCGCGGCAGCCGGGGGAGGCCCAGGCACAGGCATGTGCTCACGCACGCGGTCGCCCTCCCGGACGAAGAGGCGCTCCTCGCGCCAGAAGGGCTGCTTGCCGGCTGTCTTCAGGGCGACATAGTGTGGGCGCATGCTGACGCGGATGCGCTGCTGCTGCGGGGTGAGGTCGGGATCCAGGAAAATCTGGCGCTGGCGCAGGGCTTTGCTGTGCTTGAGGGCAGCGTGCTTGGCTGCCACGCCGCTGAAGCTGATGAGCACGGGGCGCGGCTTGGTGCGCGTGGCGCTGGGGGCACCGAGGCGGCGAGCTTCGCTGACAACAGCAGGGGGGCCGCTGTTGCTGTCAAACAGCGCTGCCACGCGGGCTGAGACATTCTCTGTGTTGTCCTCTGCCAGACCATGGCAGATCAGGTTGGCACTCCTGGCTTGGCGGGCCTGAGACTCCACCACAGACTCCAGATGGTGCACTTTGTTCACCACTGCTTCATCGTTGGAGGCGGCTCTGGTCTGCGTGTCCTTGGCCAGCTCAGCGCGCAGGAGAGGCAGCAGCTCTGCCTTCAGCTCAGCCACCACCTCATCCTTCAGCTCGGTTTTCAGCTCTGCCTTGAGCTCTGCCTTCAGCTGAGGGAAGAGGGCCCCAAATTTCTCGTCCAGCTTACTGTCAAGCTTGCTTTCCAGGCCGTGGATCATAGACTCGACCTTTGCAAGAAGGAGATCGTGGAGGGGCGGCTCCATCTCCTCATCTGACTGCCCTGGGCTGCCCTGCGCTGGGCGCTTCGACTGACTTCTGGTTCCCTGACTCATCGCAGCAAGATCGCAGATCAAGATGCCTGCATGCCAGCCAGATGACAGAATTAGGGGTCAGCTTAGACAATTGATTGAAGATCAGCAGTTATGGCATGCAACATTGGGCTGAGCAGGGGTGAATCCAATGCTGGGTAGATAGCGTGGCACGAAGCCACGTGCTTAAAGGATGGAATTTGGATCTGGGAACAGCCAATGCGTCGAGGAGTAAATTTCGAAGCTGCTGAGACACCATGGCAGCTATGATCAATTCCAAAACCATTGCAAGTGGGTCGTCTTGTGCAAGGTTTGCGCAAATTCCGCTGCCTCACTCACTCAGACCCGTTCACCTCCCGAGCAGAGATTGCTTTGTCAGCAACCGTCCATGGCGTGCATCTTCTCCCAGGCTTGAGCGTCGGACTGTTATTACATCAGCAGCTGCTTCAGCGGGTGCAAAGTTCGTGGCTCCTGCAATCAAAGGAAGCACAACAGGGGAGGTCTTTCTGGCAGGTGATCACACCACTGTTGCAGTGAAAGATTTTAGAATTCGGCGCACATTCGATTCTTTAGTACATTCTTCTGCAAATTTAATCGCATTTTTTTTATTAACGAGACAGATCCCTTCACAAAACTGAATCTCGAGTTTTTCATGCCGAAATAGGATCTGGAGCCCTCAGTGCACGGATAGCCCAGGAGCTGCTACAAGCTGGCTTCAAGGTCACTGCAGGTATCATCATTCTCTTTTCAAATTGTAGTTATTCTGGCAGTGGCGGACAATCACTTTGGAATGCAGTCGTGCTGACCACCGCTTTTGGAGCAGGTGTTTCTGATTTGGAGGAAGCAGAGGCGCTCCTCGACTTTGCCAAGCGTTTTGAGATCATTCGAAAGGCCGAAATTTCGAGTCTAAGCCTCTCAGAGGTGGACTTTGCGGATGAGGAGTCAATTGCAGCTGGCCTCCCCAAGTAAGTACTTGATGCAGTGGATTCCTGCAATATCTGGTCAGCAGTCCAATGAAAGGCACCGTACATCTTGCACAGCAGTCAAAGACTTTGTGTCTGCCTCACAGGAGAGGAGCAAGAGTCGTGGTGGCTTTGGGAGACACTGTTGGAAGACAGCGTGTCGATGCCAGGGTGCGTGTATGCATGCATGCAATATCTCAAAATGCCAGCATTTCAGCTCATCCAGTACTTTGCATGCACACTCCAGGATCCACAATTGCATTGTGCTGCGCACCCCCCATAGCGCTCCCCAAATGACATCCCACATGCCGTCGTGCACAGGTGGCCCTACGGATCCTGGAAGCAGCCAAAGTGGTCGACGCTGCACAATTTGTGCTGGTGTCACCCTCTGGAGGCGGCGGCGGGGCCGGCTTCCTTGGTGGCCTCTTTGGCGGTGGTGCCCCAAACTCCTCCAAAGTCGAGCAGGCGAATCCTTCAACCTTTCCTGTTGACACACACACTTGTGGCCGTAGACCGTGCCCTCTCCGCACCAATAACAAGCAGGCATGCAAGCATTTGCGCGAGTTGCTGACGAAGGGTTGTTGCTTGGGGGCAGGATGTGGTGAACAGTGGGATCTCCTGCGTGGTCCTGAGGGTGGGCAAGACAGAAGGAGTGGATGAGATATTGGCCAGCGAGTCATCTGTGGTGGTTGGAGCTCAGCAGTCGCTCCCGCCTGGCTCCGTCATCACAAAGGGCCAGGCAACTTCAGTATCCTCAAGGCATGCATGCTATTTGCCCATAAAGAGAGCAGAAGGTTTGGGGGCCTTAATTGTTTTTTTGTGTTGTTTGCAGGTTGCCCAAGTTGTGGCCCAGGTGTTGAGGCAGGCTCAGGATGATGTGGCGGTGGAGGCATGGGCAGACAAGAATGCCGAGCCCAGGGATCTGGCATCTCTTGTTGCCGAGGTATCAAATCTCACGTGCTGCCAAACTTCCTTTCAACTGATTCTTACTTGTTGATCACCTCATCCAGTACCTCTGCCCTCTTTGAGTGGAAACGCATTGCAAAAGAATAAAGAATAAATAGTTTCCCGCCTTATCACTGTATACCAACGACACAATGTGGACAGGTCCTTTAGAGAAGGATCTGGATGTAAATCACTTAATGAATTGTATAAACGCTCTTGCATTGGCGTAAAATTTTGTTCGGTCGATGGCTGCCAGGTGCTTCCAAGTGCAATTATTCAGGACGCGGGAGGAGCTGCTGAGGAGCCAGAGGTAGCTCCTGCAGAAGAAGAGGAAGAGAGCGAAGATGCAGCGCCGTTCAAGCTGCCGTTCAGTTTTGGCGGCCAGGGCACGCAGCGGGTGAAGGCACAGGCCGCAGCAGCGCCCATCCGGCCGCCGGCACAGGGCACTGCGCGCATCAAAGCAGCCGTGCAGGTGGGCTCTCTTTCAAGAAGCTCGCAATTGGCGGTATCATGCAAATTCGTGCAATGCAGGGATTGGTCGTCCACCCCGTATGTCGGAGAAATCTGACTGTCTGAATCAGTCGATTGATGCACTTGATGCTGCTTGAAGGAACACTGTCTTGATTTGAAAAACAGGAATGGGTTGACTAATTTTCTTTATTCAGAGGCATGCAGCTGCTACTCAACCAGCTGCTTCTGTACACGGATATCGATCGGCCTTAAGAGTGTTGAAGGGGTGTCTTGGTATACAACATCAAGAGTTGGTGGGCTTGCTGGCCAGCTCATGTGCCCAGGTTATGCTATTTGCAGAAATGCCAAGTTCTTGGGGATGCTGTGCAGGAGGAGGCTCAGAAGGGGACTCGGAGAGTGGGCGGCTTCTTTGGCAGGGCTAAGGAGGCAGTGGAGGAGGCAGCTGAGGAGGAGCAGCCCCAGAAAAAGGCATCCCCATTTGCAAATCTGCTGGGTGGAGGCACCCAGAAGGTGGCAGCCAAGGCGGAGGCAGCTGCACAGAAGGCGGAGGCGGCTGCCGGGAAGCAGGCCAAGCAGACGGCGGCTGCGGTGAGCCGGGGCGGCAAGCGCGCGGCGGCCGCCGCCGAGGCCCCCGCAAAGCAGAGCAGGGGCCTGTTCGGTGGTGGCAAGGCTGCAGCTCCTGTTGGTGCGCATCATGTCCTTGCCAGTGCACAATTGCTACGCATACACCCAGTGTGTCTGCAGATGCACCTTACCTCTTAGCAGGAAAAGTGTTAAATACCAGAGACGTCAGTTTGTGTCAGGCAGCCTGACCGGCAGTGGACAGGATTGCACAGTCAAGCAAATGTCACTGTAGAGAAGTGAAATTTGCTTGACTAGCGAGCTAGACGACTGACAGAGTTGTATTTGGTTTGGGGCTGACAGAGCAAGAAGCAGAGGCCGACTCCAACCCATTTGCACGCCTGCTTGGAGGCGGCAAGAAGGCAGCACAGGAGGCGCAGCAGGCTGCAAGCAAGGCACCTGCCAAGGCCCAGCAGGGAGCCAGAAAGGCAGCCGGACGCGCCAAAGCCGCTGCGGCCAAGGCGGCTCCCTCAACTTCGGAGCAGCCTGCCTCAAAGAAGAAGGGCGGATTCTTGCAGTCCCTTGGCATTGGGCAGGAGACGTTCTACTCTGAGGACTGATTGCTACACAAGCTAGCATACCGTCTGCCATCCTGATGAAATTCCGCGTGATTTTACCCGAATGGTCTGCTGATACAACACAATAAGGTGCTGTGTCGACGTGTGCAGTAAGAGCCGGTCAGAGGCTTCAACAGAACCCAACCCCATATTTTACATCGACAAGCTTAATTGTCAGCTTTAACCGTTATGCAAGAACATTCAACTACATGATGATGTGATCCATTTGATCAACTGCTACAGAAAGTAAGTCAATTTGCAAGGTCAACTGAAGCCCATTTGATGCTCAAGTCTATAGCGGCTGAGCAGATCTTTTTGATGCCCTCAAACAACAGCAATGGCAACTTAAGGCAACAAAAATTGAATACTATACAAATGGATGAAAACACTGCGCGGTGTCTGCTATCCCCAGTGATGCTTGCAACTTGACCATGCGTTGATCCCCTGCTTTTTCAGCATATGGACCCTCCACAATAAGGCCGATTGTCCAAATTTGAGCAACAGCGCATTACCAGGTCGGCACTATACATCTGCAGCGGGCGGCGCGTGCCACTATCAATAGCTTTGGAGCTAGGCAATCTTACAGTACGTACTCAACAGCTTCACAATGCTTCTGCAGAGCAGTCCCTTCGTCAGTGTCTATGGTACAAACTGGTAAAGCTGAGCGCAGAGCGGCGTCACCAATTCCCTTCCTGCAATTCACACAAGTGTGCCTCTTGGAGATTTCCACATCCTGCAGGTACCATTCAAAATGGCAGACAAATTCATCAACATGCGCAGAGGTTGCCGCCCAGTACCTTCATCAGTTTGGCCTTCTCAAGGATGTACTTTCCTTCCTTGTATTTCTGGCTTTCCTCAAAAGCCCTCTCCTGCATTGTAGGGCTCTCATCAGCTGCATGGTTGATGGGTGCTGGTGATGAGACAGTGAGTCCTTGTCAGAAGCTCAGAGATAAGGTGACAGGGAAGTAAGGTGTCCGCACATATTTCCAGCCCAGGACAGTGTTGCAGCAGGTGCAGTAGATGTCAGCCACAGTGTGCAAGCCTGTCATGAGCAATCTCTCTTCCTTGGGCCCCAAAGTTATGTTCACCCTGCAAGACTCCCCGTTCCACAGCATCAGTATCCAAAGCACATATCAAGATTGTCAGAGCAGCAGGAGGATCACAAACGCAAGCTTTGCGGACTTACACATGGTTGAAGAGGAATGCGCGGCCGTGTCGCCCTTGAAATGACTGCACAGGCAAGACAGCATGCTGAATTCCCACCGGACTGTTCAGGCTCACAAGGACTTTCGCAAGGTCCCCCGGCCTCTGACGATCCAAAGGTACATCACAAACTACTTAGCTGAAGCTCTGATCCCCACATAGTGCAGAGGAATGAGGCATTTGCAAGTCAAAGACCCACGAAGTCCGCAAAGAATTGCAGGTGCGGATATTCACCTTGGATTCCACATCCTCCGCGTCAGCGCTGTGGCATTGGCAGGTGTTGCAGCTATAGATCCTAGTTCCTGAAAGAGTGCGAGAGGGTCTTGACGAGGGCTCTGCGCGATGTCCAGCTGGAGGAGTGTTACGTGACAAGAACCAGAACACAGGGCGTAGAAATTGGCTTACCGTTCAAATACTGTCTAAATGGCCGTCCCATAATATTCTAATCTCAATGTACTCCTCTACAATCGCCAATCGCTCAGAGCTGGGGAACTTGCCATTGAGTTCAAACGGAGCCAAACACCATCAAAGCTCGAACGAACGGGCTACTTTGCCTTCGCCTTCACCAAGCCAAGAATGGTTTAACGGTTCTTTACACGTTGCGCGCTCTTGACTGATCGCCTCCACCTCGCAGAATTGATCCTATTCTCGAGCTCGAAATGAAGAAGGCAATTCTCCCCATTTGTCGATTCACGAAAATTCAAAGGCGGGGCCGAGTGCTGTTGACCCAAGTCACATTTGTAAGTTCCACTAGCTTTCCTAAAAGGTGTGGAGCAGTACGTTCACATCAACATCACGGACTTGAAATTAGTTGGAAGTTTTCCTCTGGCAACGCTGTAGAAGAGCTCAACATTTAGCGGCCGCAGATCAGTCTGTCCATCAAGACAAAAGAGGAGAGTTGAGACGATTGCTTCTAGTTTTACTATTGTTCCTAACGGCAAGATTTAGTCTTTTGTGTGATTAGCACTACTGGTTCTTGCCTTTGCAGTGCCATATCAATCCGAATGGGTGAGAAAATACTCAAGACAGAACAGGCGATCATCAATAGGTTTCAAGAGCTCAGGCAGGAGTTGAGCGTGCTTTCTGGACGTGCAAATGAGCTGGCATCCGAATCCCATGAGCACGATCTTGTGCTGAAGGCTCTGGAGCCTATGGATGGGGACAGAAAGTGCTATCGTGTGGTGGGTTGCCCTGATCCTTGCCTGATAGCAAAGATCGCGCAAAATAGTCTCTCTCGTGTATATCAGCTGTGCGCAACTCAGGAAGAATGCATGGTAAAAGTTTCCTTATGTGCATGAGATCCGTGGACACATGAGATCAGCTATGGCTTGCTTTTGCAGGTAGGGGAAATTCTGGTCGAGCGGACAGTTGCAGAGGTCAAGCCAGCAGTGAAAGGCAACAAAGAACAGCTTGATGCGGTGAGTGCACGCCACAGCAGAATTGTGTGCTGCAGTGCTTCCCTTGCATGCAATGATGGCCCTGCCTGTCAGCTGCGAGAAGTGCTCAGCATCAGCTAGATTGGTCACAAATGGCATTTTTGTGCATCTCCAGGTTGTCGAGCGCTTGCTCAAGCAGCTGGAGGTAAAGAAGAAGGACCTCTCAGATTTTCAAGAGAGGTACAAGATCAGGATAAAGGTGAGCGCTAAGATCACGCGGCCACAGGAGGGCTGTTGAAAGTGGCAAACTCATATGGCAGTGCATGTGCATGCTGACACAATTATCATATCCTCTGGATGGTGCTCTTCAAGTCTGAGTTGTTTCCCTATGCAGGGGGAGGATGAGTTGCCGATGCAGCAGAAGGAGAAGAGCACAAGTCAAGGAATCCTTGCCTGATGTTACCCGCACGCATGATAGCAATCGGCACTTGTCATCAGCATCCAAATTGAAACAAATGCTGACCGACATGCCAAAAACATTGTCGTTGCTTTGCTGCAGCAGTATTCATGAGGAAGAGCTGGATGCAGCTGTGAGAAACATTATGTCCGGTGCAAACTCTGCCTTGCGTGCAATGCAAAGAGTAGGAAATGTCTCATTCAAAGTATGATCATCAAGGAATGCTTTTACAACAACAACCGTCATTTGTGTCACCGGTTGAAAAACATAGACATGCATTCATATGTACCTTTGTAAGCGACTTGCAATTACAGTTTCTATTGTACAGCAAACTTGAAGAGATCAAATACCAGATCTTCCAATCCATACCAAAAAATCCTTGTCAGCCTCCTTGTCAGCCTCCTCCATTGTTAGAGAATGATCCAGACCAATGACTGTTGCTTTCTCTATCAGTGACCAGGAACCAATCCAGTAAGCATTGCAGCAAACCAGTGAATCAGCAGCCAGTACTCTGAACCTACAGGCCGTTGATGATCTCTGCCAGGATGCTGACTGCAATGTCCACATCAGCCTCTGTAATGATGAGAGGTGGCACAAGCCTGACCACATCTCCCTTCCCAGCTGTGATCACTATGAGCCCCTGGTCCCTCGCCTTCTGCACCACATCTCCTGCCATCTGGAGCACAATGACATGCTCAGTTGATCATCCCAAGAGATGAGCACAAATAGAGCTGACACCAAGCATACAAATGCAAAAGTCAGGGCATGCCCCGATCCACCTCATTGTACCATGCACATTAGAAAGCATCAAAGCAAAGATATTGGGCTACGAAAATAACTTGAATGGAGCCTCGCCGTTCACAAGGCACAGGCACACCACTGGCATGTGATCGCGAGGCAGCCGTTTGGCACTCGCACAGCCAAATACGTCTCGCATTTATCTTTAATTGCCAATGATCGCAAAAATGAAAGCAGGCGCTCACCACGTCGAGCTGGATGCCGGTGATGAGACCGAGGCCGCGGACCTCCTTTACATGCGCGTTGCCGGCCAGCGCCTGCCGCAGCTGCGACCGCAGCCGCTCCCCCAGAGACAGCACGCGCTCCAGGAAGGCCGGCTGCGCAATGATGTCCAGAACGACGTCAGCAGCCGCGGTGACTAACGGGTTGCCGGCAAAGGTTGAGCCGTGGTCGCCCGGCGCCATCGCGTCCGCCACGCGCTGCTTCACCAGCGCCGCCCCTATCGGCAGCCCGCCTGGGGACACACACATCGATTTCATAAGAAGCAGCACCATGAGCGAGGAGCTTCTGGCGTTTCCTTGTTTGCAGACACACCAGATGGGTCACACGACAATATTGTTGTGAGGCCAGAGACGGACTGATCCCATTCTGGCCAAGGAGCAATCACTGGCAAGCCCCCCTGAATCCACACTGGGGGTTGCCATAACAGCAGGATTGTGGGTCAGCAGAGGCGGAAGGGCCCTCTTCTGGCAAGTGCACAACCCATTGGAAGACGGAAACAGTTCCCAACCATTTGTCTATGGGGATGACAGTCAAGACGCATGCCAAAGACAGTGAGAGCAACAGGGCAATGTCACGACCATGCACGAAATGTAAGGTCTTTCAGTGGAAGGAAGTCCCATGCATTTGCAGCAAGAGGCACAAAAGGCGCCAGATTGGGCAGATCGAACACATTCAGCATTGAACAGCGCCGGCGCACCTGCGAGGGGCTTGGCGAGGGTGAGGATGTCGGGCTCAACGCCAAAGTTCTGGTAGCCAAAGAGCTTGCCGGTGCGCCCCAGGCCGCACTGCACCTCGTCAAAGACCAGCAGCGCGCCGGCCTCGTCACACAGCTCGCGCAGGCCCCCCAGGAAGGCCGTGCTGGCCGGGAAGATCCCCCCCTCCCCCTGCACCGGCTCCACTATCACCCCCGCCGTCTTCCCCTGCACCCCACACCAGCCCCTGTCACCCTCGTTTGCTGCAACAGGTTTCTCATTGGGGATCTAGTGCCCCGTTGTGATTGCAGTCATAGCGGTGTTTGATGGTACTCTGAAATACTTCTCATGCATACTACACACATGCTCTCAATATCCTCAGTGCTGCAAGTACACGTGTTGCCCAACATCAACACAGGGCAGCCGCTTTGAGCTTGATCACGTCTTCATCACCGACATCCTTTTGTATCCTACCATACACCCTTGCTCAGAAGTTACGCAACCCACTGGAGCATCAAAGAATAAGGTAACCAAGCACCGCCCTGCTAATGTCCCACCACAGTGATCAGGAAAGCCAAGCTTTCACCAATGGGGGGTGTGCAACCCTCTCACGAAACAGGCTGAAGCAGTGACAGCGATAGCGCACCTTCTTGATGACGGCAGCGGCGGCGTCCAGGTCCATGTAGGGCACCATGAGGGCGCCGGGCATGATGGGAGAAAAGGGCGTCTTGTACTGGTCCTTGTAGGTGAGCGCCAGCGCGCCCAGCGTGCGCCCGTGGAAGCTGTTGCTGAAGCTGACCATCTCGTACGGCGCCTCCGCCGCCTTGTCATACGGGTCAATGCCGGCTGCACCCGCAGCAACAAGGATGTGAGCAGATTCTGTTTCTGTGAAACTTTTCATTTCAGCGCCCTCCACAGCACCAGTTCAGAAGCATTCTCTTTCACAGGACTCAACAATTGCTTGCCCATGAAAGTTCACAAGGGTTCCATGATTTGGTTGACCACCCTTACTGGCAGTGCTAGGCACGCATGGGCCGAGCAGGCTGACCTTGCACGCGCGCAAATTTCCGGCAGAACTTGATGGCGGCCTCGTTGGCCTCTGTGCCGGAGTTGGCATAGAAGACCTTGTCTGCAAAGGACAGCTCCACCAGCTTCTTTGCCAGCCTCACCTGTCCAACAGGCAGGACAGCAGCAGCTCAAATGCTGGTTGCTTCTGCTCTGCATGCCCAGCAGATGACGCTGCACAGCTTCACAAATAAATTGTTGACAAGATGGGAACCAGATTACTCTGATCCTGATTGGTTGGTTTGTGACAGAATTTCCTCACCTGTGGAACGCTGTGGAACAGGTTGGACGTGTGTGCCAGGGTCTCTGCCTGCTCGACAACCGCCTGGAGCCACTGGGGATGAGTGTGACCTGTACAGCCAATTCTCTGAATCAAGCTGTGTGAGCGCCTGGAAGGCATCAATGTGACAGCACTGCAGAACAGCCATGATGTGCCGATAATGATATATCCGAAAATAGGTAAATGTATAAGAGGAAGCACCAAGTGCGTTGACCGCGATTCCTGCTGCAAAGTCCAGGTACTCCTTCCCATGGGCATCATACAGGCGAGCTCCTTCACCGCGGGTGAACACTAGCTCTGGCCTCACATATGTCTGCATGATGTACCTGCAATGAGGTTCAGAATCTTTACAGGGCAGCTATGCTCGGGAGGGAGAGCCCTGAGCTCCCCAAAAGGATATTGCATTGCAACGTTCTTGATACCTCTGACCAAACCATATACATTTTACCAACATTTAGAACACTCCTGATGAGAGAAAGGCTCTGCAGTCCAGCTGGGTGAAGCTGTCTAGATGCACTAGGGCAGGGCTGCTCACTGTTTCTCATCGGCGATGATGTCGTTTGTGAACTGGGTTGCATTTGGAATTGATTCGACACTCGAGCGTGCTGGGGCCGCTGTGGCTGAAGGTCTTGGTGCCTGCTGCAAGAAAGCAAGTGCTGCGAACGTCACTTGTGGGCACGTTGTGGCAACGCTGGCTTACGATAATTCGGTGTTCAAAGCAAAATACAAGTGAAAGAAACTGCAAAAGCTGATTCTTTCTGCCAGACCTGTCTGTGCCGGCACCGCTGGCAGGGTGCGCTCGGGATGTGCAGTGCCGTGCCTTGCAAGAATCCTGCTGTGACTTGCATTGCGGCACTCCAGATAAGTCTCAAGCTTTATTTATGCTTCCGATCAGATTCTTCTTTCTTTTGGGATTGCAGAGATGGAAGTTTTCTTAGGACCTCGTTTCCACGTGAATTGTCCCGTGCGAGATTTGACTCCCGGGCGATATTAGTATCGTATTCGATTCGCCAGTGATAAATCCCAATTAAATTGCATGGCAATTAAAACCACAACAGGAAGGACACTTCCCTCCTCGTGTGTGATCAGCAAAGCAGAATACTTCACGCGCCCCGTCCCTTGGCCTTGATGCAGTCCACTAAATAGAGCTCACTCTGCTACTGATACATGCACTCCATCTGAATTTATGCAAACGAAGGGCACAGAGAAGACTGTCTTCTCACAGGGAGACAGTGCCGTCACCAAACTGACATATGTTCTCAAGAGTCGCCGCGCTCCAGCAGGTCATACTTGACTCCCGTCTCAAAACCCAGCAGGCCCGCCTCCATTTTGCGCCCCTTGTCCTTCTTCTTCTTGCCCTTGGCCGGCAGCTTCTGCCAGCCTGTAGCGGATGGCACGCCGCCGCCCGCGCCAGCCGCTGTCACTCCTGGATGCGCCTTGGGCGCTGCGGATGCCGCCTCACTTCCCTTCTTCACCTGCGAATTTTTTCAAATATTGGTCTTAAAAACCTGTCGAGCGCTTCGGCAATGCATCAACCTCCGAACCTTTTCCATTTGCTAGCCCCTAAAAGGCCCAGATGTCAGGTGTTCATAAACCTTGCATTTCCGTTTCATGCACTTGCAAGCAGCCCTTTCTACATCTCTGGCGCTCGCTTTGCCTTGATGTCTGCATTCCTTGTTCTCTAAGACTTGCCAATACTCAATGTGTACGAAGGTCAGACATGATGGGGCAGGAGACAGGTTCACGGACGGCTGCAGGGCGCACCTTCTTGCCGGCGGCCTCGGCGTACTTGCGGCGCAGGAACTCCGAGGTGAACTTGGAGACGTCGGCGGACTTGCCCAGGTAGGCAGTGATGTACTCGGCCACCTCGCCCGTGGATGAGCAGCTCAGCAGGAAGCGCACCAGCGTCAGGTCGTCCTGCCCCTGCAGCCTCACCATCTGCTCCTTGCACCAAGCCTGCAGCACAGCGGACCGCCAGCACAGGGGCACTTACATCTCCATAAAAGAATAAGAGTTACACCTCAGTATTTGCTCCTAACAAAACCCAAATTGATCTGTCTACTTGCATCTACGGCCCCCTGATAAGCAGACCTCCCACAGCGTCTATGGAGGGCCCCTGCTGATCTCACGCCAGAGACACTGCTTGCAACAGTCTGTATACTCTGCGCCCTAGGGAATGGAGTTCAAGAAGGTCTGAATGAGTGTTGGAGGATCACTGGCGCACCTCAAACTCCGGGCTCATGGGAGTGCCGGCAAAGGGCTCATCCTCGGCAGGCTTGCTCTGCTGGCGGCTGGCCGATGCCTGCTTCTCCTTGGCTGACCCTGAGCCGGAAGAGCCGCCTGCTGAGCCATTGCTCCTCTGACCTGCAGAGGCAGTGCTGCCATTCTGCTTGGCTGCGCTGCTGCCGCCAGCGGATGGGTTACCGTAGTCCCAGAACATGACTTCATCCTCGTCAGCCGCCTGCACTCAGCATTGCCTCCAATGTCAGGCTCAAATCATTGTTATTAATTAAACGCTCTCCTGCCAACAAGCAAGGTACATCCTGCAGACAAGCTGCAGTTGAAGGCTCATATACAGTAAGTAAAAAGGAGAGGGGGTGTCTCTGCTGTATGTGACCCAGTGACACTGGTCATAGCGAATGCTGGGACAAGATTGTGTGTAGCAGCACGCACCTGCTTCTTCTGCTGCGTTTGGGCGGCCGGCTTCTGCTGCGCTGAAGCCTTCCTCTGCTGCTCCAGCGCCTTTGCCTGAGCCTCCTGCACAAGTACAGGAGCACTCTTTGGGCGATTGACCAACTGACAAGATTTACTGCTCTATGCCTAAACAAGGGCCTCAAAGTGCCACCAAGATGCATATTTACAGCCTCTTCTTCTGTCCTTGATATAACTCAGTCTGCTTGAGACACACCTTGACTCCGGGCGCCTTGGGCAGCTTGGCAGCAGCATGGTTGGCCCAGCTGGCCTGCTTTGGCGCCAGCAGCCCCTTCTCCCTGAATGCATCCCTGCCACACACACATCTCGTTTGTCCCATGAACCCAATCCCCAACAGACTACTATATTATGCAGTGCTTTTCCTAGTTGTAATAACAGGACACAACTTTCATCCAGCATCCCACATGAGATGGTTGCAGGCACACATGCACGGCCCAGGGGAAGCAGGCAAATCACAGTCAGGAAGTCAAGGGCATGGGACGCACGCAAAAGTGCCGCCCTGCGGCTGGGCAGGATCGCCGTTGGCTCCCAGGGTGTCGCGCTGCGCCTGCTGCGCCTGCCTGCGCACGCGCTCCTCATGCTCCTGGATGTCCTTCAGCGAAGCCGCCATTGCCCGCTGCATTGCCACGTCCGTCCCATTGCCTGCACCCCGAACCCCAGCCGGTTAATTGCTCAGACCATGAACCCACTCGCCACCAGATTGCATCGCATGCCTGTTGTGCAGCAGGAGATCTGAGGGTCCCAGTGGATGCTAAAAGCCAGGAGTAGCAACACAGTGGCCAGAGCTTCATGACTGCATGCATGGGCATGGCGGCTCTCAAGCAGTGCACTATAACGGTTGAGAAGTACAGAATTAGTCAACAGATGTCGTTCTGTTGGGACACATGTCCACTACCAGGGCTCACCCTGGTATGTGGGGGGCACATTGGCGCCAGCCATCTTGGCCCAGCCGCCAGGAGCGGCTGTGAAGGTAGGGCCGCGGCTGGCAGCCGCCTCGGCAGCCTCCGCCGCCTGAGCAGCCGCCGCCGCAACTGCGCGCTCGGCCTCCTCACGCTGAATTTCCAGCAGATTTTTTGGTCCTGCACTCACCCCGAGAGTCAGTTGCGCATCTACCCCACACATATTCCCACCCATGGATTTTCAAAACAGCATACATTGCTGCACTGACGAGACACTGCGCCAGTACAGTTGCATGTTTACCTGGCTTTGCAGAGGGGGCAGCTTTGGCCCAGGGTGCCGGCTTGGTTTCCACATGGCGCGGTTCCTCCAGAGCGGCCGGCTGAGGCAGCGGCGGCGTGATGTGGCTGGGCTGCTGCTGCTCTGCAGGCCGCTCATAAGACTCGTACACCTGGGTCTTTGGCAAATCCTCCCCGATGGGCTTTGCCCTGCGCTGCTTGTGCTTCACCTGCATGATGCGTCACCACTGAATCATTCCCCAGCATGGCAAACACCCTCACCATCACATGCCATCCTGCACTCCCTTGAATACAAACACCATTCAGCGGTCGTCCAGGACTTCACCTTTTCGAAGGGCACTGGTGCAGTCTGCGGTTCCGGCTGAGCGTTGTGGGGGTCAGAGGCAGGGGCCTGGGACCAGGCAGCCAGCCGCGAGCCGGCAGCTTCTGCCTCGGACACTGGGCGCGATGAGGGTGCAGCGGCGCCCAGGAACACATCTGGCAGTGGCTGGGGAATAGCCTGCAAACATGGCGCAGGTAAAACAAAGTACGGTATTCATTGTGCAGCCGTGCACGGTTATGTAGCATGTTGGAGATGCAAGCAAGGGCATGCATTGGAAGAATTCTTGCTCTTGTGGAGAGATGCTGAATCACTGTAAGCCCGCCAGCAGGTGTGAAGTAGAGCAGCACACCTGCACAGACCTCTGGGGTTCCATAGAGGAAGCGGAGGAGCCCTGCAGAAATGGGAACAGATCTCCAACGTTCGGCACCTGACCCGACGATGCCTGCCCGCCACACACAATCGCCAACCGTCAGCAGTCGTTCATTGCTCAAATGCCAACCATTACCTCTGTCCTCTGTTCCAAAAATTATACATGTCGAAAACAGTTCTGTGAGGGCGGCCACCAAAGGCCTACCTGCTGCAGGTTGCTGCCTGCAGATCCGTGAGACTCTAGACCCTGGCCAATGGGCAGCAAGGAGCTAGAGGGCACGCGGGCGGGCGGCAGCAGGCTTGCAGGGTTGATGATGGGATCTGTGACAACCCTGTGCTGCTGCTGCTGCTGCTGCTGCTGCTGCTGCTGCTGCTGTGGGGGCTGCTGCTGGGACACAGGCTGCTGCATGTGGTGCTGGGTTGGCTGCTGTCCGTGCATGGGAGGCTGCCCAACCTGCGCCAGGAACTGATGCAGCTGGTGAGGCGGGGGCTGCTGCTGCTGCTGCTGATGCTGCTGCTGCAAGTCATGCTGCCAGGGGTTGAAGGGCGCCTCGTAGGAGCCCGGCTGCAGCAGTGGCTGGGGCATCTGGCGCTGCTGCTGCTGGGTGAGCAGCTGCTGCGGCAGATGCGGCTGCTGCTGCAGCCACAGGCCGTCTTGCGGCTGGGGAGCATAGGTGTGCGGCAGACCGTGTCCCGGCTGCGGGTTCAGCGCATTCATCAGCTGGCGGCCCTGCTGCAGGCCCTGCATAAAGAGGTGGTCCTGGACACATGCAGCACTCTCAATGAGACACTGTAACAACTCATTGCTTGGAAAGACACTATTTGAATAACGAGATTGAGTGTGTAGGACAACATAGAAGAGCTTCATTCACCTGGCCAGGGAAATGCTGCTGCTGTTGCTCGTGCATGGCTGGCTGCTGCTGTTGCTGCCCACCAAAGCCAACAATGCTCGGGAAGTCTTGCTGCTGGTGTTGAGGCACGCTGAAGATGTGTTCAGGCTGGCCCGGATAGCTGTTCTGCCCCGCAGCCCTCCCGTCCAGGCCCAATCCTTGCAGCTGTGCCAACAGCTGACGCCCCTGCTCGGGGAGAGGGACACCGGGCTGACCAATTCGTGCATTGCCAAACCTGTCATGCAAGGGTGCCAGCTGTGGCTGTCCCTGGAAGTCCTGCTGCCATGGCACTTGATGATCTGTAGGCGCCTTCTCTGGCTGACCCTGCTTCTCAATCACTTTGTGCCCCTGATCCAGCGCCGTCCCCTGTAGGAGCACACATTTTCAGCAGAGTGAGCTTATTCAATTTTCATATCAACCTACCCTAAAGATAACTACACAGGGTCAAGCGCGGAAGAAATGGCAGGCTCAGATACAATAAAGCTTAGCATGGCACCAACCTGTGATGTCTGGGAGGCTGCGCTCTCCGCAAAAACATGCTGGAATCTGCTGGTCTCAGGACGTGAAGGCTGCGGAGGCTGCTCAGGCTCAGTCAAGGCTGTTGGCTGCGGGGCCACGCCAGCAAGTGCCTGTGACTGTGGCTTTGCGGAAGAATCACTGGGAGCCTCTAGCTTTGTCTCCCTCTTGTCCGGCTGCAACACAATTCAATCCGATGAGCAACACATAAGCCGCAACAATACATGTACTATTGCTGTCTTGGCCCACAGATTTCAGGAAATTGATACAGCTTTTCAGAAAAGCACTAGAGATGGAACAAAATGCACATGGCTTGAGAGACACGTCAGCGCACCGTTGCAATGAAACCAGGTGGGCCAGTGGGCGCTCCACCCCAGATCTTGAGCATGGCAGAGAGCGGCCTGAAGGGAACAGTGGAGGGGTCCTTGGCTGAGCGGATGGGCAGGGTGGGCGGAAAGAAATTGCCCTCAAACCACTCCAGGATATCCGCTCGGGTGAAGGGGCCCTGCAACCCCAGAACAACAGCATTTGGTCAAGGAAGCTTGTTTTCCAGGAGCCATTCCAGACCTCAAGAATTGGCAGACTGACACAGCAAGCTTTCCTTCATTTTGCAAACACAAAGGACAGGATATGAAGTAGCACGTGTGCACGGTAAGTGTACGCGCCTGCGTGACACCCTGGGGGTCTTGGTAGACCCATTGGTCCTGGGGATCCGCGCCGGCTGGCTTGTCGTCCGGCTGGCTCTCTTTGTCACCAGGCTTGGCCTCGGCAGTCCCAGTACCCTGCGCCTCTCCCTGCTTGCCATCCGCCGCCGCTCCCTGCGCCTGTGCTTGAGCCCCCTCCACAGCTGCACGAGGCGGCAAACGCTTCACTTCTTGCTCCTTCCGCTTCAGACCCCATAACAATAAGTGACTTCCGAGGCAGGAACATCTCATCCCAATGGATTGCCAGGGTCCACTACATGGAGGTGTCAACATGAGGCAAGAGAAGCCGCACGCACCTGGGGCAGGAGCGGTCGCAGAAGGAGAAGGCTCGCCCCCGGTGCCGGGCTGGTGGATGCCCAGGAGCACCTCCAGGACGTCCGGCTGGCCGCTCTCAGCAAACAGCGAGGGGTCCTCCCGGTCGACCTGCGGGGGGAGCACGAGCGCTTTGGCAGCCGCCAGGCGCTTGTAGATGGCCACTGACTCCGCCTTCCTGTACGGGTGCTTGGCTGTGCGCGAGCCCAGCGCCTGCGTAGTGCCGGGCGCAGCGCTGACGTCGGCGGGTGGCGCGGGGCGGCCGATGCCCGGCGCGGCCGGCCCCCACTTGTCAGCTGGAGGGAACGCCCCCGGCGAGCCCATGACTCCCGGTCCTGACATTGCGAACACCGCAGAAGTCAGAATATGCTGCATGGAAGTGTGGTAATCACCCCAGCGGCCTGTTTCTTGGACTTGGAACTATCAGTGCGAGCGCCAGAGCACAAGAAAGGGCTACAAGGCTCGTACCAGGTCCAGTCTGCACCAGCAAGAGTTAGCAGGCCGAACGAGAGATGGCGCCAAAGGCAAACCTTTCGGGTGCAGACCACGCCCGCGGCCAGGTGCAAAGCCGCGGCCGCGCCCGGGCTCCATGGGATGATGCGGCGGCTCACCAAAGCCTGGGCCACCCCCAAAACCTGGTGCCCCTCTCCCCATCGGCGGACCTGGCCAGGCCCCAACCCCATAAGTGCCTAAGCAATGGCGTGCATTGAAGCTCAAGCTTTCTCATGCTGCCTGGGCATTATTTTACTATCCAGATTATGTCGTTTGCAAGGGCAATGTTGCTGTAGCTCACCATTGGGTCGGTGGCCCCAGCGGGGGTCATGATGCTCACCTGCATGACATGTGGTATTTAAGCGACCTTGAAAAGGAAAACAAGAACCAAATAAAGTGCCAGAGCAGAAGCCATGCCGTTGCAGGACAGCAATTTGTCTGTATGAGCATGCTTACCCTCGGCAGGTCCCCACTTGTCCCCTCTCGGGCGCACTGCATCAGCAGGGTTCACCCAGCGGTCAGGATAGCCCTCCTGTGGGCCATGCCTGACAGGTTCAGGGCCGCCCCGACCCCGGCCCTTCGGCTCCCATCGATCAGCACCTGTCAGCAACAGGCCATCTTCATTTGCTAGATGTCTCACATGCAGTGCCCAAGTCATCCCAAACGCTGTGAGCGAAGGGAAGCACTCATCACAAGCAAGTCATGTTTCATTATCATGCATTCAGAAAGCCCATGCATTGAGAGTGACAGATGGGTTCTGTGCACCCACCATAGTTGTCGGGCACTTGAGGGGCCATCAACCAGCGTGCATCGTCATTCGCTGCCCATCTGCAAGAAGGATTTGTATCAGGTCCCAGGAGCTGAGAGAGCAGGTGGGAACATGAGTACAAGAGATTTGCTGCTCTGCCTGGATGCTGAAAGCAGGGAAAGCAACTCCTCCTTCGATTCACCTAGAGGAATCGAAGTGATCAATAGACATCGAGGACCGTGCATGCAATGATGGATGGCAGTGCTGACCTGGGAACAGGTTCACGACGAGGTAGCACACGATCACCGTCCTCTCTCCACTTGCCACCCATCGGCGGCCCAACTGGAGGTCCACCGACATGATGATGATCATCGACAGCACCGAAAGGCTTGGCACGATCCACGTAGGGACCGCCGCCCGGCTTGTCCCAGCGATTCTCGTTTACACGGGGTTTCTCCTCCACCCAGCCAGGCTTGGCCGGCCTGAACTCATTGCCCCATCCTCCATTGATCTGATTGTTCTGATTGCGCTCGCCCTGCAAGAGTAATGCGCAGACGAATAATGAGGACAGCCTGCCCTTTCTGGGTAGTCGCAAGACAATCTCATGAAGTCTTTGCAAAAATTTTCAAACTAGCATTAGCGTCTATCCTCCTAAATTGAATTATTTCAATATGATTCAGCTTTTGCGGCACATGTCAGCACGCACCTGATTGTGAGCTGCTGGAGTAGGCTTGTCAACCTTGTCCTGGGCCATCCAGCCAGGGACAAAAGCTGGGGCATGATCGTCCAGTAGATCACTAGGGAGAGTAGCCAAGCGAGTTGTGCCTACAAGAAACACAAGCAAAGTCAGCTCAGGCTGTAACAGCAACAGAAGCTTGGGCAAAAGGGGCATGCAGGTGAGACGCCTACCTTTGTTTTCTGACCCTGCCATAGCGTTTGCAGCCGTTTGCTCTTCGACGCTTTGCTCTTAATGCAGATCAAAGTTGCATAGGCTTTATGATACACGAAAGGGTACACCTGAGAAGCTGCAGATATGATAAGTGCGCAAACCCACTTCCAGGCCTGCATTGGCCTTCATGTCCTGTATAGGCTCCTCATGTGATGCATCGTGCAACTGCACAACAGAGTCACAGGACTTCCATCTGGGTCTTGATCAAGCAGCATTGTACATGTCAAGATACCTCGAAGACATCACCTCGTCCTGTACATCTGTTGCTCGGATTTTGAAAACCTCCATCAAGCTGATCAGCAAGTATTCAGAAGATCTTCGTCCTTGGATACATTTCAAATCTGATCAGTCATTTTAGGTAATCAAATAACTGCTTCATTATTTCTTCGATCTTATCTGGCGTCTGATAGAGGCAGAGATCACCACATAAGGAGGCGCACAGAGCCATCTTGTTGACTAGAAAGTGATTGCAGAGCGGTGCAAGGCGATCGATGGCAGCCACTATGCTTACCCGTGCAGACATCCAGGCACTGAAGGACTATGTGGCTGGTCCTGGGAATTTTGGACAGAATCAGGCTGAAACCACAGTTCGCCTGCACGTTACCCACTCCAACCTGAAAGCGGAGTTCATAGAGCTGCGGATGGATTTGCATGTGCGCACTGCTTTCTCCATCATTTTGCACTCCTTGTCTACTGGTTGAGCACACACTGCTTGATACACTTGGTTTGCTTCACCTCCATTTCTCTCAGACTTTACAGGGTCTCAGGAAAGAATATCGCCATCATCACATTGTGAGTGGGTATCTCATCTGGATACAGCTAAACTTTTTGAGCCAATGCTAATCTTACTGAGTTCTTTGCAGATGACAACCGAGGCAGTCAAGTTCAAGTTGGCTTCGCACTGCGGCACACTGGCCTCTGAAATGATCCTGCACCTGAAAGACAGCTCAGGAAAGGTTGTGGCAGTCCTCGCAGAGCCACACAGAAAACTTGGCTACTATTCTCCTGAGGATGGGTGCGCGCTTCATCTGAAGCAACCTGCACGTAGTAGAAGCATGCATGTGGGATGCAGTCACGTTCTGCAGCAATTTTGTCAGACACTCGCTGGCAGGGTGCTCACCTGCTCTCCTGTGCAGGTGGGTGTTGCATGTCATCGACACCAACCCAAACTCGCTGTCAGCAAGGGGCTGGCTTGAGGATACTTCAAAGGTGCAGAAGTATGTCATGTCAGACGCGGACTACGATGCCAGGGAGAACACGTACCGGAGACACAAAGCACAGAAAGTCAAGGTGCTCACCAATCAAGCCCGAGTGATCCACAGGAGCATGCTATTTTTGCTGACGCTCTCAGGCACTTAAATACACCAGCAATGAGTTTTGCAGATTGTTCTTGGCAATGACACACGCCACTCTGGACAACTGTATGAAGGAGTCCTGTGGGGAGGGACAGAAAGAGGCACTCACATTGAGGGGCAATGGTGACTTCTGCAGGAAGATCCAGAATGGACCGCAGAGAAGGAGCTGTGCATGAGGCGGGGGATCCCTTATGTGACCCCCACTCAGAAGGAAGCAGTGGAGGATGAGGATTACCAGGCAGCAGAAGCCAGCAGGCTGACCGTGGGGTCCCGCTGCGAAGTGAACCCTGGTGGCAAGAGGGGTTGCATCAGGCATGCTCATCACTTGTCGAGTCCTTTCTGGGTGTTTCAATAATGGGCATGGCAATGGAAAGCCTGGTTCAACGAGAGTAGAAGACCAGTATTATTGCCAAACATGCTATCCTGCTCTGAGTACAGCATCTATAATGCTGGTACCTTTATACATAATGTTGTCCTGCAGGTATGTTGGCAAGTGCGCGGGTCTGCCACTAGGCTACTGGGCGGGCGTGCAGCTGGATGAGCCAGTTGGCAGGAATGATGGCAGCGTGAAGGGCAAGCGCTACTTTGAGTGCCCACTGGGCTATGGCAGCTTCCTGCGCCCTGACAAGGTCAATGCTGGGGATTTCCCGGAGATAGACGAGTTCCGATTTTCAGATGAGGACGAGATTTGACATACTTTTTTGAATCAGGAGATGCAGCGAGTAAGAGGCCGATATGAGACTGTGTTGCTCACATCAGACAAGTGAGGTCTGCAAGTGAACAATTGCGATCTTGTCTTGCAAAATGTGGATGACTGATGGGCAGCGGGCATACTTGCATGCGTGGTAAAGAAGAGCAGATGCATGAATGATTAATTTGGTTCTAAAACTTCACAAATATTACAACATGTTACCACGAAGTCTTCCGGCACAATACTGCCATACTGCACAAAATGGTCTGTCTCATGCTATGTATATATATACGCCTGTCTTCAAGAGTGTTGCTTGATTTACATCTCGCTTGGGCCCCTGTTGCCTTCTTCACCACACGCCTGAGGTCTCAGTACTGCTCTGTCAAGGGGAGTCCTGAGTCAGACGGCAGCTGGCTTTGTTGCACCACGTGACTGTTCGCCGTCCAATTCAAGCGTCTAACAATCTGCAGTGCACACGGCGTCATCCTGGAATTCAGCCCTTACTTTATTAAAGCACTGAGACTAAATGACTTCCTGCAAAACATTCTCTTGAAGCGACAGATTCAACCACTGGCATGGTCAGTGACTCTTTTTGTAACCATTTTATACAACAAGAACCAGCCAGTCAGGAATCCTTACGTTCAGGCAGTCAGGCTAACTTGCTGATAACCGCTCTGCGCATTGTCTCCCTCTTAAACGCGCCAATCCTGGTATAGAACGCCTGCACGTCCTTATACGCCACCAGGATCGCCCACTTGAGCCACGGATGCCTCGCCGCCAACACATTGCTGGAGATCTTGTCTTGCTTGTCGGAGAAGCTGCCATCTGACACAAAGATATACAGCAGTCGTTCGGCTGGCAGCAGCTGCTCGCTGGCGGCATCTGGATGCGGCGGACCAACGCTTCCTGACAGCTGCTGGCACGGCCCCGTGGGGAGGGGAGTATCTCGTCCCGACCGATGCCAGCTGGCCCATTCTGGCGTCAAGACGGGCAGCTGAAAAATGGCCTGCAGATCTGCCTCCAGGTTGCACAGGATCGTCTTTACTGTCACTGGCGTTGCGGCTGTAGTCTGCTTGCTCTGCATTACCACAGTCCATGCGCTCCCCTGCTCATCGACCAAGACGACCATGCTGTCGTTTGCGTAGTTTCCCACGCCGATGAAGCCGATGACAATATTGTCCTGCCAGTCCTTCGCAGCCGTGCTGTCTCTGCTCTGCACAATCGCCTTGCGGCAGCTCTCGACCTTCTCCCTGATCTGTGGGAGGCTGAGGCGGTGCGCTTGGCGCTGGCCATCCTGGGCAACTGTCAGGTGCCCGCGAGGCAGCAGGAATCGCTTTGTGGCATGCTCCGCGGGCACCTTCAGCCCTGTGAAGAGCTCCTGCAGGCTGACGGTGGCTGCGCCCTTGACCGCATGGGCTTCAAGCTTGATCGCAAGCATCTGCGCGTCCACCACCTCTTTGTCCATTGCCGATTCGCGGTCCGCAAGCAGGCTGAACACTGAGAGCTCCTTGTCTTGCATGAGGTTCAACTCGCGCATCATGTACTGCACAGCAATTGGCGACGCTGACAGCCGCACAATCTCAGAGCCAGGTGACGACGATGGTGAAGCACAGCTGACATCATCGTCAAGCAAAGCTGCTTTGCTGGGCGAGTCAGCCTTGCTAGGCTCCACCTCCACGGTGATTCCTGTCGCCCCTCTGCTGACCGTTTTTGTCATCTCTGCGAGCGACAGCATCCCCCCTGGTGTGGAGGGCTCACTGCTGGTGCCTGACGGTGCTTTGCTGGGAAGCGACGTTGGTGCAGAGGCCCTGCTGCTGTTGCCGCTGGGTGCGCTCTCAACGCTCATCCCAGCTCTCCTTTGGTTGCTGGTAGACTTTGATAGTAAATCCACCCCCTGCACATTCATCCAAGCAATAAGGCCTGGGCTCGAACACTCCTGGCAAGACCATGCAGCCTGTTATCGATGCACATGCATGAAAGAGCCACAACTGCACATCGGAACGCCTCCTGACATACCAGATGCAATGGAGATGGGGCTGCACCACAGAGCAAATGTTGCTGTCACTACAAGAGGAAATTATGAATAGATACATACCTGCACCTCACAATGCACCAGCCCCGTTGCCTCCATATCACCGACAGTTGGGCCAGCCAAGCTGGGTCCCATCAGGCGATGCTCGCGCCGCAATGGCGTGTCTGTCAGCATATGCGCCACAACCATCCGAAGAAGAGCCTTCTTGGAGGCTGGGTCGCCCTCGCCCAAGAAGCGTGACCAGAATACTTCCTGGTGAGCCCTGTTTCTGACTTTGATCAGGATTTGCGGCACATCTGCAGCTGTCACACCGGCGACCACCTGGTCAAAACCTGCGAACAGTAATATTGCCATAAGCACTTTGTGAATAATCTGCAAAATGAGGCAGCCATCCTGCGCAGCATTCTATTGACACCCAGCTTTGCTCAGTCAATGTGCACATGGGGCATTGTTGAGCTTATGTTGGCATGCAAGCTGGTCATTATAACAGCAGCCTAGGGTGGAATAAATAACACATACCTTTCTTCCAATCTAGTCCTCCAATCGTCTCCATAAGGAATGACACCAGCCGCGGAGATCCCCCGACCATGTCCAAAGCATCCTTCATGGGCTCTGAGAGGGCCTCTGGCTCCGGGCGCTCATTGAAAGCCGCGACCCGTGCAGCGAGAGTCTGCACCACGGATATGCGCTGCGTGGTGGACAGCACCGGCATAACTAACTGCACCGCCAGGGACTGGCCTGTGAGAGAGAACTGCCCGAGGCGCGTCATGTTCACTGTTGTGTAGTGGGTAGAAGCAGTCAGCGGCAGCACCAGTGCCGCAGGAACGCCTTCCTCACGCTTGTTCATCTCTTCAATGATTTCACTGATAAATTCTAACAACCAGGTGATCTGCAGAAGATACACAGCCTCAGCACATATTGCCATTGAACAGGACAGCGAAAATTCATGCAAACTGTACTGTGTATCCCAAGTCAAAGCTGCAAAACACAAAGCCGCCACTTTGCAAATGGTCATGGAGGATTGTCAGTCACCTCCGGGTTTGACCGCGGCTGAATTGTGCCTTCGGCAGCATTGCCCTCATCAATCATCGGCACGATGAGCAGAGGTACCTCTTTTGGCAAGGAAGATGCCTGCCTCACAAAGTCCAGCACATGCAGGACCATCAACTGCTGCCGCACATTGTCGTCCATGTCTGCCAAATACTGCTCATAGTTGAGACGAGCAGCGCTGGGGTTGAGCGGTGTTAGGGCCGCATACAGCAGCCGCAAAGCAGATGCGGTTGTGGAGTCCAGACCATACTCCCTCTCAAGCTTCGCTGTTTTCACGTCTGATACCCTGGCAAACAACACAAATTCTGTCGCCTTGACACCTTTCAGGATGCACTATGGTCGGGTTTTCAACAGTCACACAGAAGCAACACAAGTAGCTCTCCAACACCTCCCACGTCTTACCTGAGCAAAAAGAACAGATGGCATGAAGTGCCACAATTCCCTGATAAGGCCTTGAGAGCTAGAAGAAGCAGCTTGGGAACCTCCTGCTGCTGAGGAGAGAGGGCCACACTGACATACAGGGCATCCTGTAAAAATGACAGGCACTCTTCGTCCCCTCTCTCCAGCCATTGCCGCAGCAAGCTGGGCAGCATCAGTAGGAAGGTCGTCTTCCCTGTGGTTCAAAGGCCAGCCTCGATTTAGCCCTCCGCACACAGAAGCTCATTTGGAAAGAGCGCCGTCAGACATTAGGGCATGCAGCATATGACATCACCTGCCCCTGGAAAGCTGAGCAGCAAGAGCTGTGCAAGGCCTCTGCGGTATTCATCTGATTGCTGAACCCCTCGAAAGTACCACCTATTGAAGGTCACAGCTGACCAGTAGATGAACTGCTTCAGAGTTGCATCTCTGCCCTCGAGTGTCATAAATTCTGGTAGTCCAGCGCTGCCTTCGAGCGTAGCGCCAGGCTGCCTCTGAGCCCCGGGCACCGGGTCGGAGTGAACAGAGTGGAAGCGGGCGCCAAACTGGTCCATAAGACTCTGCACAATGTCTCCTGCCACAGCAACCAGGCAGTCATAATTTCTATCTTTCTATCCGCCACATCTTACAACAAGCCTGTAGGGTTGCACAAGCACATCACCAGTTGCCTTCATGCTAAAGGGTACAGCACCGGAATTTCAGATGAAAAATGATATATTATGCTGATTGCGGACTGGCACCATACATTTGAAGGAAGGTATAAGGAAGGAAGTTACGTGGCTTCATCCTCTTCCTTCCCCCCGCACCTCTACCAAACTCCTCTCCATCACGATCGCGTTTGCCTGCATTGTAGATTATCAAATGTACAGGTATCTCACATCTGCACCAAAAATTCAACAAAAATGCCAAAAGACTCTAAGCATGTTGATCCATTGCGCCCACAACTCCCTGAGCCCAAAAGGCATCAGCCGACTGACACACCCATCAATGTTGAATGCCACCCAGCACTGCCGGATTAGGCCAAAGATTTGTCTGATCTACGCTGTGCTACTGCCAAGCATTAATGACACCATACATATAATTGCTTAAAGTGGCAGGATGGTACATGCAAAAAAAGCCCTTCACCACATCAGCACATGTCTAGACACATGCAGTCAGAAGTCATTGAGCTCACCTCACAAAGTACACAATAGCTGCATGGCCACTCGTGCTGAAGTCCCATTAGGCTATACGACTCGGACAGATTTTGCCAGAATCTAAGCGTGTGGCGTGCCTCTTAAATTGATTGGGGGCAACAGCAGGTATCGCACCAATTGCACCGGCCAGTTTGGTGCGCAGGTCGCTAATCTGCTGCTGCAGGTCTGCCTCCTTTCCTGATGACATGCGCTCCTCTCCCTGATGGAGAATTCTTTCGCCTTCTCGGCCTCCTGTAGCACCCTGTGCTGGTTCCTCAGATCATCCACCGTTCGCTGCAGGTCTTGGCTCCCCAATACCTGCTGCCACCGTGCAAGCCCTTCGTTCACAGCAATGAATACAGTGTTGGTTCTGGTTCCAAAAATCAGCCACCTTTGGGATGTTAGCAAGTGTGCCTCAAAAGCCTCCTGGCTGTACAGGGAGGAAGCCAGGGCTGCTCAACCTGACGTGTCGTTGAAAGTGGAGAGTCAGGCGCGCTTTGACTTCGCAGGACAATGAGCAAGACACGCCTAGTCTTCGGAAAAGTGAAGCAGAGCACTGTGTATGTAGTTATGTGATCGAGGAATCTCAGGGATGTATTGGGGCACCAAAGCGGAGAGCTTTGTCCTCCAGTGCTTCTCAGTCTGCAAAAATTCAAGGACTTCGTTCGTATATCGCAGTCCAGCTTGCCAGGTCCAGCAGCTGCCAGCCAGATTCTCAGTGAGAATACCTCACCCACCCTTCATCCAAGTACCCTAGTGGGGTTCTGGGGTGTGATTGTATCGGAGGTCCCAAGCCTAAAGGATTTCCCTTTCGATATATCAATCGAAGGGACTCCACAGTAATGTTAACATTACACTTTTCTGTCGAGACGCTGGGGACTGCGTCCAAAGTTGTTGCTGCATCATGCATGATGTGTGCCTCATTATAAGCGCGACTTTGATTGTCCATGTGGCCCACCGTGGTAGCCCAGTGACTGGGCTATCGCTGCAGCTGGCATCCCATGGCAGCCTCCCGCCCGACAAGTTCAAGTTGAGGTCAATGCTGGGGACTTCCCAGGCCCAGAGCCTCCTGACTTCACATCTTCAGATGACTAATTAGAGGACATGACACGTCGGAGGACGAGAAATTGAACACATTCTAAAACGGCTGTGTGCCAAGAGCCGTGGTCTCCCATTCATGCACATGCATACATATTGCGACAGTATCATAGGCAACTCCCAGCTTCGCATGCTCAAAAGGACGCTACGGCATCCGAGCTTCATTATAGTTTTACAAGCAAGGCCACTACATGCATGTCGCAGTAATGCCCAAAGAAAAAGTGTGTGAGCATACAATAAAGAATAACATTGGTGGGAACATACAAAATACAAGCTGCTGCAGCTTCGTCTGCATCAGGATTATCGCAGTGGTCATCCTATTGATAATCACGTCAAATATTCAGCAACAGTGCAAAAATTAATACACCTCAATGGCAGAGAGATATTATACACAGCAAAACAGGTTTGAGACCTACCGCGTCCTTCATATGGCACAATCTCTTGATGCTGCAGCCTTTCTTCACTGCACCTTCACAGGCCATGAACGCTCTTTTGAGCACAGTCTCGGAATTGAAGCAGTGTCTTCAGAGCTCCTCGTCAGCATGTGCCTGCCAGCCCATCGTCTGACTGGCTCAAGCAGCGGGCGCAGCAGGGGTGCAAGCCGAGGCGGCGGCTGAGGCGAGGGTGTCGACAGGGATGCCGGCGTTGCACAGGTTGGAGAAGGTGCGGGTGTGCTGCATGCCATACTGGTCCAACTGGCCGCACTGCCCCTCCCACGCACCCACCATCGCCTGCCAGACAACACCCCGAATCAGCCTCACACTCCGACCTCTCCTCCTCCAACTCACAAGGGGTCCTCCAACAGCAGGACTGGTACCAATCGATAACAATGATGCCTGTATGCTCTGTTCCATGCATTACATGCATGCACATGCAGGAAAGAGTAGATAGCAGTTTCCATCCTGATCTGATCCAGGCAAAAAAATTCGCTGGTGGGAAGACACGAGCAGAAACATCAGGAATCCTTCTAAAACTCACGGACTGCCACTAAAGAAATTGAGTTGTGGGGCAGAGGGAACGCACGCGGAGGCAGTCCCAGTCGTCCACAAGGGCCAGGCCGGGCTCGCGCGGCAGAGGGGCGCTTACAAACTGCTCCACGATGAGCGCCTGCAGCTGCGCAGCATCGGCCGAGTTGCCGAGCAGCTGTTGAGTCGGCAGCAGCAGGTTCGCCGCCGCGTACTTGGTCTGCGGGCAGCCACATCAAGCTTCAGGACGTACAAACTGTACCCCACCTCAGGGCCAGGCAATTGTGTGATGTAGAAGCACCTTGTTACCAAACAAGCAAAGCACGAGTGCATGCCAAAACAGGACCATTCCTTCATCCAGCAATCATGGCAGGGGCGGGAGTCTCTAGCCCAAGTCAGGGTTTGAAGCGTCGATCCTAACGTGAATTGAAGAAGATCAGATATCAACGTCAGGATCCCAGCCTCCAGAACCACCGGCGACCGTGCATGCCCCGGGGCAGCACAGGCGCATGCCAGAAGTCTGACAGAAGTCTACCTGCAGCTGGGCGAGCACGGCAGGCTGCTGCAGGAGGCCCCAGACGGCAGATCGGACGCTGTCGTCCACCGCGCGGCGGCGGTCGATCTCCGCGTCGAGCACGGCGAGCGCGGCGGCCTTGTCGGCCGGCGTGGCTGCGCGCTGGTACGCGGTGTACAGGTGCAGCAGATCTGCGTCGCGCTGCGGCACTGATCCCATCCCTCCGTCAGCGAATAGCTCGTTGCTGGCCGAGAGACCTCCGCTGCCGTCGCCTGCAGCAGAGGGTCCCACTTAAGACTAGCCTCGACAACAACAATGGGAAAGCACAAGATCGAGATCAAGGTCTTGGATTGACACGCGGGTAGCTTGCGCCGAAGTGTCATTGCCAGGTGCAATCCTGACGGCAGAACTTCTAACACTTGGCTGACAAGAGCCTCACTTGTCTCCTGCAACACACTACAGATGCACTCAAGATGTCCTGCCAGTGAGCCAAGCAGCATTATGCAAATATCAGAAGGGTTGGCAGGGTGCTATGGTATTGAGGATGCGCGCCCGCACCGGTGTTGAGCTCGCCCAGGTAGTCGGCGACGGGCTCCTCATCGATGCTGAGGCTGCCAAACTGCAGGACGTGGCTGCCCATGTTGTAGGTGTAGTTGTTGCTCGTGCGCCGCTTCACGAGCTCGTACTGCTTCAGCAGCGTCTCCTCCGTCAGGTCGTTCTTGTCGCTGCAATATGCATCACCATGACATCACTGCACTGACCCCCACAACACCTCCATCTCTTGCATGCACAGAAAAGCATGCATAAAAAAAGCATGCTCTGATACAGAGACCTACGATTATGAGCTGGGCAGGTATGCTGAGCATAGCATTAGAGGCATGTGTCAGTCACTGGACGTAGCAGAGCATGCATCAATATGCTCTAATAAAGAAATCTACATTTTCATTTGGTTCATCCGGCATCCAGCAATGCAAACAGCACAGCTGAGTGATGCGCAATGTTTCTGGCTTGCACCATTTTCGCAATGCATGCAGCTTTATGGAGCTGCAGGCTGTGCAAGAGAGTCAGAGGGCCGCACCTGTTTTCGAGGAATGCAACGGAGTACAGGTCACCGAGGCAGGTGTTGAACTCGGGCGGCGGTGATGGCGCCATGCCTGGGCAGTAGGTGCCCCAGGAGGACTCCACAGCATTGGACGCTGTCGTGGCATAGATGTTGAGGGAGTCTGACAGTAGGCCCTGGAAGATGCTCCCCGACTCGCAAGCCTCCTGCAGCAGACCCAGGTGACAATTGTATTGGCAGGCAGCGCGTGCATGCATGCACTTGGAGCCGGAGTGGAGTACGGCTCCTGCTCAGACTCACACATTTTTATGTCAGGACCTGGAATGTGAAACACCTCATACATTATTAGCGCCATTTCATCTTACAACATGCGAGGTGGAGAACAAAAGCAAGGACGAGGGAATGTACCACATAGATGACGAGGTCCTTGAAGCCGCCCTGCTCGCTCTTGGCGGTCAGCACTGACAGAAGCTGATCCGCGTACAGGAAAGCGCCGTTGGGCATGCCCAAGATGCCTGTGTGATGCAGTGAAGCCCTTTGCACAAGAGGTCTGACTAGCTGCAAAGCTGGATTGTCATGCAGTAGCAAGCTAGATTATGTAAACAAAGAGAGGCTATCTTTACCTGGAGCGCCGTGGTCGGCATAGTATACAAAGACCCTGTCATTGGGGCCAGACTTCAGAATCTTCCCGGATGATCCAATCACCTTGGGCGCCTGCGCAATATGCCATTAACATTGAAAACAGCATGAACATCCCACATTTTGCATGCAAGCACTCCATCTGAGTGCTGCCTCAGCGCCTGAAAAGACAAGCATAAGCCTGGCCTGTCAAACTTGTGATCCTCACCTTCTTTCCGGCAAGAACCTGGAGGAAGTTCCTTGCGTTGACAGCATCGCCAGTGTAGTCCTGCAGCGCAGCATGAATCAATGCTGTAATTTCTCATTACCAGAAAATGTAAAGAGTTGATGGTTGTCTGATAATTATACAGGGATCATGAGGACACACCAGGGGGACTCCCTCGTACACATCCTGCCCATTGGGCTTGTTGTAGACCTTGCCAGGGTGGGGGTTCATGTAGTTGTGGGCAATGTCATCCTGCATCATGACGATGATGTTCTCCTCCTTCACACCGCCACGTTTCAACACCTGGTACGCCTGCAGCACATCCAAGACACTCAGGTGTGCGGTCGTGCAAATGGTACTGGCACTCAAGCGGCCACCTTCGGGTCAGGTCAGCTGAGCGACACAAGTTGCAGGCGCAGAAGGCCAGGAAAACTAAAAAAGTTACAGAGATGTTCATGGCATCATGGAGGCTTCCAGCATCAAGAAGAGGGCGCACGTGGAGGACATCTGCCTGATGACGATAGTTGCCCCATCCCGCAGATCCCGCAATCAGCAGAGCCCAGACATCTCCTGTGGTAACAGAAGTCTCATTTCCCGTAGAACCGAAGGCATCACAACCTCGACATATTGCTAAAGCACAGAAGATAACGTCAAGTCATACCTGAAAAGTCCTCTCCAAGTGGGGGTCCTGGCAACCTCAGAATGTCTGAGTTAATCGTCGATGGTATCCTAGCGCAATGCACGGTCAGGACAAGAAGCCCCAGGAGCAACACAGGAGCCCCAACACCTACTCCCATCATTGCGTTCGTACTGTGCTTCTCTGCGATGCTGACCCTCAAGTGCTGCAGCAAGATGTCACAGCTGCTGTCGCCGTTCACTCTATGTGTCTCTTCGCTTTGCAGGGCTCCTTTGTCCCAGGATCCCTGTCACGTAGGTGAAATGGTAGCACGTGCGACAGAGTCGTTGACACGTGCTCGGCGTGGAGCTTAAACAGTTCTCGCTCTGCAGCCTGCCTGGAATAGTGCATTATAGCATCTTCATCGTGATTTGTACTTCACTTGTAAGAAGATCTGGCCGAATCTGCCATCTATCTAAACTCAATGGCAAGAGTTGGGGTCTGTGATCTGCTGTTGTCTAGACCGCAGTGCACCGTTGCACATCCAAAGCCTTTTAAGACCTTCAATTGTCGCGTCAAAAGCCGCTCTCTGGCAGTACGGGTCGCTGCTGAGAAGTCCGGGGGAGCCTTCCCAGAGAACATCATCAATCAGATCTCAGTTGCTGTGACCAACTTCTCCCCAGCCAACGCTGTCAAGAAAGCTATTGCATCAGCACAGGCAGGTCAGTACGATGAGGCAGCAATCAGTGGAAAGGTGGATGCATATATCAGAGACAACCCGGTATGTCGCGGTCCACTGTTGCCTGGTCCCGCAGGCTTTCGGCCTTAATTGATATCCCTGGGAATAAATTTCAGTCACACAAGGAGTTCAATGCATTCAAGGTCCAAGTCCAGGAGTGCCTGAGCAGTGATCCCATTCCTTCAGGTTGTAGTGTTCAGCTGGACTCGCTGCCCCTTTTGTGTTAAAGCAAAAAGGGAACTTGACAGCATGAATGCAAAATACCTGGCTGTCGAGCTTGATACAATGGGCGATGGTAATGCAATCCGATCAGAGCTTGCAAAGGTGCGCATGGATGACTGTTGTCTCTTACATTTGTCTCAAGCTTACACTACTATATAGAGAAACTCTCCAGTGATGCATAAGCCTTGGTGATCATGTGATTGGCCTGAGCATGGCTGAAAGTGATAATCGTCCTGGATGTGCAGAGGACGAACAGGACATCCATGCCCAACATCTTCATTGGAGGGAAAGGTACAGGATTTGTATTCCTATTTCACGCTTGATAGAGGAGTGCACTGGTGCCGGGGACAATTTCCTTGTTTCCATGCATGCCTCAGATCTGCATGACGGAATTTGGATGTCGACCAGGTATTGGAGGTTGCAATGACGGCCCTGGACTTCTGACACTGCAGCGCAATGGCGAGCTAGAGCCCCTGCTGAAATCCGCAGGAGCGCTTTGAGTGGTTGACTTAGTTAGCTCTTGCAATATTTTTGAGTACTTTTGGCAATCGTCAAAGCCTTTTGGTGGTCATCTTTGAATGTTCATTCTGTCTGGTCTCTTTTTCAGACTGAAAGAGGACGGTGTGCGAAAAGAAGCCTTGCTTGGCCTTGCAGTGCATGCTTGGCTTCTCCAGAGAGTTTTGATAGGTTTGAAGGCAGAGGCTATGAGTTTATAAGGGTGTGACTGCCGAGGCTAGTTCAAGTGTTTGCATGGACTTGGCATTGGAAATACAAGCTGTACAGTTGTTGCAAAGCTTGAAGCAAGCAACTGATGTCAACACCCTTTGAAAATCTGCTGCTAAGCTCACAGCTCTTGAGTTTTCACTTCAGCCTTCCATTGGGACGCTGATACAATATTGCTGCACATTACTGTATGTACGATTGCATTGTGTTTGCAAACGTCTCACATTGCTGTTATGCATCTCCCCACCAATCGATCCATAGTCTAAATCCACACAGCTGCAGGGTGCAACAAACTCGAGTTGAGCTCAAAGGCTGATGTCTCAACAGGGTACATCACATTTGCATTGAGGCACACGCTCCACACTCACTGCATTCAGAGCACAATTCTACAAGAAGACATCCTCCTCGATTGTTCCGGTGGCAGCAGCATCAAAAGCTTGGGCCTGCAATGTCTCTGCTTCTGCCCTCAAAGCCTTCTCCTCTTCCTTCAGCGCCATGAGATCAGTGCGTGCTTGCCTGCTCACACACAGGGAATACCTCTCAGCCCTGTTGGCATCTCAGGACCTAATGATGCCAAGCATGTTGATCAGAGGAATCTCCTGGACCTGCTGAGAACTGCTTACACACAGCCCAGGAACAACTCTGGTGGCAGTAGCTCTCTTGCGCATCCCTTTTGTACAATCTTAAAAGGTCCTTCATGCGCTGGCCTGCTATTTAGGATATCCCATAACTGGTAATGGATACCAAATTGAAAGAGTAGGCCGTCAGCTCAATCTTGAGAGCAATCTACCCCCAAATAGCCCCTTGCGCACCCTTCTACCCCTTGTAAACATTCTACAGTAAATTGAAGCCGCAGACGCAGCAACGCACCTGTTCTTGGGTTCCAGCGCGAGGACTTGTTTGAAGTCTGCGCGCGCGCCATCCAGATCGTGCTTGCCTCGCCGAGCCGTGCCGCGCCGCAGCAGCGTCTTCACGCTGATCTCACGTTTCAATGCACGGTCGCAGTCAGCCTCCGCCTCTGCAAACTGCATGATCTGCACAACCACACAACAAACTCCTTGAGATTTTCATCCTTGTAAGCATCACAAGAATCTGCATGATCTGCACACATGCATTTCTACCCTCCCTTTGCTTTCTCGTGATGGATCAAGTTAGATTTTCAGCCAAACGGAACTCTAGCGCCTCAGTGTACGTAAGTGTGACATACGCATACCCCAGATCTGCAGGACAGCTTTAGCTGATAGGCAAACAATCCCATGAAAAGTCAAATAAGAGCGGATCACAGAACTGCAGCCAGCATTGAAGCTGTGACTCTACATGCACAGCTAAGAGCTGCCAGTACATATTCCTGACAGCAAAACTGAAGAAGCCCTACCTGCAGGTACGCCATGGCGCGGTTGGAGTAATACACTGGGCTGTCAGGGTTGAGCTCTATGGCGCTGCTGTACTCCTTCACAGCTTCTTCGAAGCTGCCAGCCTTGAACAGCTCGTTTCCTGCCGCCTTGTGCGTCTCCGCCTCTGCCGCGGAGGCCGCACTCCTCGCCGCCTTGCTCCCTGCGCCACAGGTGATATCTTTGTGAAGCTCCCCCACCCTCCAAACTAAAGTCAACTCTGTTCCCATGATGACAAACCACAACTGGATAATTTCAACACACAATTTCCTCCTACCCCACTGCAGAAACAAGACTGTGATAGTGGAAGGTGGTAAGTGGAGTGCGCGCACCAGCTGCTGCTTTCTTGGCTGTTCCATTGGCCGTCGGCCGCTTCGGAGAAGGCGCAGCCGTGGCCGAGCCGCCGTTGGTAGCAACAGCGGCATCGTGCTGCTGCGCAGCGGCCAGCTTCACCGCGGCATCCGTAACCAGCGGCCCCAGCTTCTCGGCAGCCGTCAGCAGCCGCATGTCCGACCTCTGCAGGCCCACCAATGCCACGCTGGCCGGCGGCTGCCCCGGCACTATCACTGGTATGCACACCTGCACCCATAGAACTCATTAAGTCAGGACTGTCCTCACTTTTAGTGTCTCAATTGTTGACCACCTTGATGGGCAAATTAAAATGCTTTCTTCATGAGAATCCGTCCCGTCTGCTGTCCCTTCTGGAGACTTGGGGCCTTTACTCCAGATTTGGGGGCACAATTCGCTAAAAGAAGCTGTGCAAGGGGTGCTTGAAATGACAAGCCAGAAGGGGCACGAACCTGTGGCAGGCCTGCCAAGGCGGCAATGGAGCACAGCTGCAGGGCGGCGCGCTCAAACGCGGCCAGCTCCTCCGGAGGAGCCGTCCTGTCCGGCGGCGCGCTCGGCAACACTGGCAGCATCAGTAAGTTGCCGTCCCGAAGGATCTCCTTCAGCTGATCTGCCGCCTGCTCCATCACGCGCCTGCCCTGTGCAACTGCCTCCTCCGACACCTGCGTGCTTTCTGAGCTCAGCCTGTCTTGCTTAAAGTCATCATTATTGCTGTCCTAAATGCCCAACACATCTCACTGCACCAGAGTACACCACCTTTGTTGCATTTCTAAGTTGAGAATGGGCATCCTGGACTGTCCAGGAAAGTTATGCAGGATGACAGTATTCATCGGTGAATGTAATCTTCATCAGTAGAAAGTTCACGAGTATTCATGACACTTCAGCCCACCTCTTGAGCCCTCTTCAGCTGGTCCAGGATTTCAGGTGATGCTGACTGGGGTTCCTGGGAGAGGTGGCCATATGCTTTTCTGAACTCAGCTGCCTGCACGGCGGCTGCTGCCGCCCTCAAGCCCTCCATGATGTTGTGCACATCCGCTCTGTCCTTCTCATCCTGCAAGATGCACAGCACGCCATCGGCCAGAGAATAAACTACATAATGCCCCTGGTTCCAACGATCTAAGCACCGAAGTTGGCTCACAAGTGGATTGCAAGGTCCTCAGAAACGGCTGAGAACTCGTGCCTGAATGAAGTAGTGGGCAGCGGGGCAGGCATCGAACAGGAAGTTCATCATGAGGCCCCTGGCCACCTCCTCGTGGCCTGCCCAAGCCCGGGCAGCCTTGTACGAGGCTCGCAGCAACAGATGGTGCGGATCCTGCACTACTGCTTTGAACAGGTCCTCTGCCACGATCACTTGCAGCAAATCCCCCTTTGAGACCACTGCGCGCCACACAAATGCATTCACAAAGGGTGATTAGATCTTCAGCAGCAAACATGATGCATGCATGCTGAGCCATTTGAGCCTCCGTTTTCATCAATAAAGGGCAGTGTGCAGGTGTCGCACCTCCAGGCAGCTGCAGGGCTATGCCCACTTTTGTGAGCAGGGCAGGGTCCTTGGTCATCCACCCCAAGGCGTCCAATGGTCCCGCAATGGTGCCAGCCCCGTCCTTGGGGCCTGCATTTGTGGACGCTCGGTAACCCCACAGGCCGTTGCAGGCTGCTTGGACCTGAAGGCATCCAGACCCAATTAAATTTACATCTTGAAACAAAAAATGTCTGCACCCATTAAAACCAGTATGTTTAAGAGTCAATTCATACAAATAAGTACCAAGCTGCAGCTTACCCTGACGCCAGACAAGTGGTCAATGCCAATGCCAATGGTGGCAGAATCTGCAGCCACAGCCAGCGCTGCACCACTTGCAGTGCCACTGGCAATGCTCTCGGGAGACTCAATATTCAGCGCAGCTCCCCCCCGCCCCAGCAGCCTGCAGTGCGACGTCAATGATGTTTTACAACATGCTGCAGAAGCATGAGGATGGAAGCATGGACATGAAGTGTCCTGGGAGGCGATGCCCACCCAAAATGAAGCTCTTCGGTCCTTGTGCGGCCTTTGACTGCAGCGCCAGCGTCCTGCAGCAGCCTCAATGCCTGCGCAGTCACTCTCGCAACCCCAGCCTCACCTGGGGTGGCCCTCGTGCGTGCAGCTTTGCCACCAATGGCAAACCTGCAAATGCACATCCAGAGCTGGTGTCACCACGACATCACACCTAGAGGCATTCATCTGGGCAAAATGAAACCTTCACGACAAATAGAGAGTCAGGAAGCTATGAAAGTCACGCACAGGTCTGAGGCCGCCACAGTGGCGCCTATCAAAGAAGTGCCAGCGCCCTCAGCTGGCCTGATGTCAAGCGGGTCTATGAAGGCCCTGAGGTTGGGCAGCTGCCTTCCCTTGCCTCTGCCACGCTTCCTGAAAGCCTTGTGGAGGAGGGCAGCACCAAGAGCCATGGCCACTGCCACCAGGGCTGCTGTGATCGGTGCGGTCAAGCTCCTACCCCTCTGCTCAGACACACAGCGGGAGAGAGTGAGGCCCAGACATAGTGCATGGATTCCAATGCAATCTTCGCTTACTTATTTTCCAGAATCTGACCCGTGTATGGTTGAACGCTCTCAGAGGGCCAGATGCAGAAAAAAGCAAGGGGGTGTTGTACTAGGAGGCTTGTTCTACCTCGGATCGTAGAGACAGCCGCTCTTCCGGCACATGAGAATGTTTTCTAATCACAATCGTCTTCGTTGCGCTCTCTTCGTCGTAATGGCCAGCACTGGTTTCATCGAAAGGCATGCTCTCTTCTTCCGAGGCATCAGCAACGTGGGCAACCTCATTCAATCTGGATCCAACATTTGATGGTGATGCATCAACATATTCATCGAGAGGAGCTGCATGCGCTGAGATTCCCATTGCAATTGGGAAGTATGGTTACAGAACGCCGACAGGCACACAACTCCCTCTTCGCGTCTGACAACCTCCCCAGTCCAACCTTGGTTCAAGAACAACTTCTTGATAATTAGACCACTTAAAAGTTTATAAAGGCCCAGGAGTCTTTGCTGCAACGGACGGATTGAGAAGTTTTGATTGACTATTATGAAGGACAGCGTCTCAAGGAGGGAACACCGTGGTATAGCATATATATACTGGTGCCGTCGACGAGGTTGGCCAATGAATGCCAATGTCAATTGATGAAGACAATGCATTGACCTGGGTAATTACAATTTGCATCTCATTCATAAAGGTAGCAATATTTATTCCAGGACATTTGTGCCACTGCTGTCCGATAATTCTTCTACCTGCAGTTCGGGATGTGTGCATCGAAAGCTTCTACAACTCTGATGGGAGTCATTCCACGTGCCGCTCTTGCTTAGAATGGAAGATCAGTCGTCTCAAATAGGGCGTGTGCTCAGTGCAGCGCTCGATGCAAATCCAGAAGTCCGTCAGAAAGGAGAAGCTCTCATCAAGTCGTTGTCACTGCACCCTGGTTTCGGCCATGCGCTTGTCCAAGCGTCCCTACGACAGGTGAAAAGGCGCACATCTATCAAAATTGATGCAGAATGTTCTCCCTCTGCCCAAACGGCACTCTTGAAACATATTAAGATGTGACCCATTGAGTGGTTATAATCGACTTGATTGTCATATCGATTCATCCTTTTACATCTACATATCCATTCGTGGAGTTGCAATTTATTTTGCAAGTTGCATGCCACCAAGATACGATGAAGTCTTCGAAATCAAGGTCACCTCCGTTCGTATCCGAACACCTGGATTATGCAAGTAACGGACCGATAGAAATTCAATGCACCGCAGGAATTTCCCATCGGTTTGCGCCAGATGGCAGCCGTGTTGCTGAAGCAATTCATCAAAGCTCACTGGACGCCAGAAGCCAAGCACTTTGAGGAGCCAGTGGTGGGGGATGAAGAGAAGGCAGCCATCAGGCGAGACCTGGTGGCAGGATTGGGGGACTCTGACAGCCGGATGAGGGCTGCAGTGGGCATGGCAGTAGCAGGCATCGCAAAGTGGGACGTTCCCGCAGCCTGGCCGCAGTTACTAGGTCAGCTGGTCACGGTGATCAGCGAGCGGAAGGACCAGCGCGCTGTGCATGGTGCTGTAAGGTGCCTGTCGATGTTTGTGGACGAGCTAGAAGACAAGCAGGTCCTGCAGGCGAGTACATCAGTCACTCCATTCAACCTGCATTCCAGGAGGGTCATCTGAATGTTGGCATCCATGTCTCACTCAGTCTGTCAACATTTCAATGAGCCTGCTAAGACTCGAGGATTTCATGTGTTGCATGCAGGTTGCGCAAGCGCTGTTCCCTGCCCTGCTTGCGATTGTTAATAGCCCGTCAGAGTATGGGGCCAGCGTGCGGAGGCGTGCCCTCCAGATAGTGCACAGCATGGCAGTCATGCTGGCGGGTGTGCAGAGTAGCGCTGACAAGGAGAGCAGCAAGGCAATCGGCGCCCTGCTGGACGCCTGGTTCCAACCCTTCTGCGTCATGCTCAGCCAGCCCACCACCGCGCATGTGAGCCCTAAGCTTCCACCTCAGCCATGAGCATAGCCATTTCCACCCCTGCACTGGTGGCGCAACACCACATGATCAGGCCGATTCATAATTTGAGAATCTAAGCACTGCACTGCATATGTTTCTCCTCCATGCCTCTTGGATGGAGCACTGGCAGGCCAACATCTGTGCGGTAAGGAGCAATGTGTTGTGCAGGATGTGGGCGGTTGGGGAGTGAAGCTGGAGGTTCTGCGGCTGCTGGTTGCGCTGACCACGAACTGGCGCAGGGTGGTGCAACCGCACATGCCCGCGCTGCTGCAGCACTGCTGGACTCTGATGCACAGCTGCTTCCCCATCTACCTCACTGCTGTTGTCCTGCACCAGGATGATATCGATGAAGGCCTGGTGAGGCACCTGAAGATATACCGCACTCTCTGCGTTCCAGAGATTGCCTTTGCAAGGAGCCCAGGAGATGATGCATTGCTTGCATGACCATGACCTGCAACTCTGTTGTCCTATGTAGTGAGCTATAAGTCAGGAACGTGCCTTCATGAGCTTGAGGAGGTCGTGCTGTGCGCAGGCAGACTCAGATGGGGATGTGGTGGAGTTTGAGGTGCTCATTTCACAGATGTTCGAATTCATACTCACGCTCGTGGGCAACAGCAAGTTCCTGCCGCTGCTGGAACCCGTGCTGCCAGAGCTGGCCTACATGACAATAGGTGCCGCACTGTCCCCTCCAAACAGCCATGCCATCCTGTGCCTCTTGCTGACTCATCTGCCATCCAATTCACTCCTTCTTCTTGCATATCCACGCGGGAAACGTGCATGAAACTCTCATCTTTAAGGGTCCGGCCTTTCAGCTGCGCGCTCTGCTGCGCACAATGTAGCCATTGAACACAGCCTCTCTACCCCAGATTGCATTGCTTTCCTCTTCAGCCTGCAATTTCAGTGGCGGTAGGGCATCTTTTCTATCGATGTAATGGGAAGTAGTCGCGGTGATTGGTGGCACGCAGGCTACATGCAGATGACGACGGACCAGGAGGAGAACTGGGCAGAGGACCCCAATGTCTACGTGGCGGACGAGGAAGATGACATCTTCAGCGTGCGCACCAGCGGCGAGCTTGTGTTGGAGGAGGTTCTGCGCCAGGCAGACGGGGCGGCTGGGACGCTCGCCGGTGCCGTGCGGCGGCGGCTGGACGAGGCCGCCGCGGCCCAGGTACACGACCACACTGCTGCTCCCTGCTCGCTCATGCCAAGATGCTGTGCTTGGTCAAGGAGACTTATCCGGCAGCTTCCTTCTTGGTGTGTACAATCTACATGCAGATCCAGGTGCCCACAATGACAGGGAAATTCTCTGACGACCTTGCAACCAATCAATGCACTGAGAACTGCAGCAGTGCCATGTGTCTTCCGAGGCCCCGGCTTCAAACGTAGGCAGCTTTCTGCTTCTTTAGGGAACACGCGTTGTGCCATCGAGTGGCATGCAATGCGTGGCAAGTGCGCGCCATGGTGTCCATAGGAAAGTAACAGGAGCGGATGGAGTGAACTGAACACCACACGCGCCATGCGTAGGCGGCGGGCGATGCCGGGTGGTGGCGGCTGCGAGAGGCGGCGCTGCTGGCGGTGGGGGCGGTGTCGGATGCGCTGCTGGAGGCCCCAGGAGCCAGCGACGCCGACTTTGACCTGGGCAGCTTCCTGCAGAACGTGCTCGCGCAGGACCTGCAGGCGCCCGACCCACCGCCCTTCCTCGTCGGCCGCGCCCTCTGGGTCGCCTCCCGGTGTGTATAATACTGTTGTAACAAACAATAATGTAGGGAGTTGTGGAAGAGAAAACGACAGGAAGGGGCTGGGGTTGGCTACAAGGTTCCACTTCGCGCCAAAACCTCCCCCACGTTGGGATAGTCCCGACAAGAAACGCAAGATTGAGATTCTAGATATTGCAAACGCTCGGTGAGCCCTGCGCATCCTGCCTTCCGGCCCCTGCCTTGATTTAGCTGCATAGAAAAGAAATGCTCTAATCTAAATTGTTAAGGAATGGGAATCCAATCGTGCTATTCAACCACCTCTGCCCGATCATGACACCCTTTTCCCTTGATTGGTTCTTTGTGAGCAAGTGACAGCAGGATGATGTGAGAAATCCAAGGCGCTTACTCTGTAGCAGGTTGCCTGCTGCCTGCCTGTCCATGCGTCTGCCAGAAAAACAGCCCAGGCGCCTAAAACAACAGCCTTGCTCGCCCTAAATTTCCAATAAGTCTCTGCAATGGCTGTTCCGTTGTATCATAGAAAGATAGTCTGCATGAGAATGAATGGGGGGTGATCATAAGGGCTGATGTGTAATTGCAGCCTGGCCCCAGCGCTTGGAGGGGAGCGGCTGGTGCAGTACCTGCAGGCGGCTGTGGACGTTCTGAAGAGCAGCAGCTTTGGAGCGGTGCAGGTCGGCGCATGTCGAGCCATCGTGTCACTGGTGCCCCGGGCGCCCGCGCCGGCGCTGCAGCCGCTGCTAGATCCCATTTATGAAGGCACGGCTCCTTCCTCTCCCTGCGTCCATTGCTGCAATCACGACTGCTTTCATGTTTATACTCATTTCAGAGGTCTTGCACTTCTGCTCATGCTCTTTGTCGGCGTGGGCAGAAGCTTTAGGCATTTGCAACTGTGCACTGTTTGCTTCTCCTGTGGAAATGAGCATAGCAAAGACAAGCAGTGCGAGACGCGGCTATGGATGTCTTTGACAGGACCCCAAGAAATGTCTCCGGATTTCATTTGTGACTGCTCAGCGGATGGGCGACCGTGCAGGGCTGGGGCGGCTACTGCAGTTCTTGATGTTTGACACGACCGGAGAGAACTCTCGACTTCAATAACAATGTGTGCCGGTGAGCGGGTGGCGAATGCGCAGGGCTGGGGCGGCTGCTGGGGGAATTCAGCGAGGAGACGCTGCACATGGTGCTGGAGGCGCTGGCGGCCGTGGTGGGCGCGGACGGGGGCGCGGGCGCGCGGTGGGAGCCGCGCCTGTCACCAGCCGTGCTGCAGCTGTGGGCGCAGCACGTCAAGGATCCCCTGCTGTCCATGGACGCCGTCGCCGTCATCGAGGGCCTTGCCTCCATCCCCGCCGCCCTCCCCAGCCTCCAGGTGCCTGCATTTCCTTTACTTGATCCCCATCAGTTGTTGAACTATCCCGCTTGTCAACAGAACACAATTCCAGGAAGAAATATTATGCCTTCCTGGACGACCTGTGCAAAGCTCATGCAGGATGGTACCACTCTCCAGCGGCTGCACCTCACAACATGCATAGAGCTGCTTTGTGCACCTGGCAGAAGGCATTCTGCACAGCTCCTGTATGTGGCTGTAATTGAGCGCCGGGCAATGACCAAAGCTCTGCGCGAGGCAGGCCTGTCCTGCCACCCCTGCTTTATTAAACTCGGGTGTCTCCGTGTCTAAGTGGTCAAGCTGGCACCTTGAAGTCCAGTGGACCACACATTTTGCAGGAGCGCGCGAGAAAAGGAAGGCCGCAATCGTTACTGAATGCCGGGCAATTTGCAGGAGCGGGCGCTGCCGCACCTGGTGGGCATTCTGGGCGCGCCGGAGGCGGGCAACCCGACGCTAACAGAGGGCGCGCTCGACGTCACCTGCGCGCTGCTACGGCCGGCCGCGCCCGAGCAGGCGGCGCGCGTGCACTCGGCCGCGTCCGGGACCGTCATGGCGCTCGTGCTGCGCGCAGACGACCCTGGCATTCTGCAGTCCGCCTCCGAGTACCTCAGGCACGCGCACACTACACTGACTCACTCATTGAGGAGATTTGTTGTTGCTGTTATGATTAACATCATTTGCATTGCGTGCTTTCCCTGTCAAGAGGCAAGGTGTGCCGGCAGAGCAAGGTGCACTCGATGCTTGCAATATAGCATTGTGAATGCAGTATGGAACTTGCCCTCTCTGATATGCGTGACTCCGACAAACAGCGCTGTGCCTCTCGGGGTGACAGCGCAAGCCCAGGCGCACTGCTGTTCACTTGGGTGACGCAGGTCACATGGGGCAGGGGCAGTCTGCAGTGGCCTGGCAATTTGGTGCAATCGATTGATGGTGATCTGCTGATGTGGCGCTGACGTATGTGTGCAGGATCTTGGTGCGTATCGGCGGTGAGGACCTGTTGAGCTGGGGCGGCGCGGATCCCGCGCAGACGCTGCACGCGCTGCTACAGGCCGTCGCGCGGCTGCTGCACCCGGACGTCGGCGACTCACCCTCCCTCGGTGTTGGAGAGGTGCGCCTTGTTCAGATGATTCTGGAAATTGCAGCGGTGCCAGCCACCTGGACTGGACTGGTGCTCGGGAAGACCGCCAAATTGCTTGCAAGCGGGATGTCCGGGTGCATGCTGATGGCGCGTCAGACGTCGCAGGCATCAATGTAGTCTGGCTGGCAGGCGGCCATTCTGTTTTCTGGAGGCTTTCTGCTGCTGGCAACCTTCGACAGGACCTGGTCCCTTTGTTTTCTCTAAGCACTGTGGATCATAACAAGGCTGCTTGGCCGCCTACAAGCTTGACAAGGCTGGCGAACTGTCACACAACAATCATGCTGGATCAATGCTTGTCTGATGTGCGCGGCGTGCTGCGGCAGGTGATAAGCACGATGCTGCGCAAGATGCCGGGGCGGCTGGCGGGCGCGATGCCGGAGGTGCTGGCGGCTGTCGTAGCCAAGCTGGCGGCCGCACAATCGTCGCCGCTCATCACCTCGCTGCTCATCGTCCTCGCGCAGCTCGCCCACGCCGACGCGCGCCAGCTCCTCGACTTCCTCGCCTCCCAGCCAGCTCCCGGTATATCTGTCGATTCTGAAACTAAATTTTCACAAACCGCACTAAGCTGCTTGTTACCCCTCTTGAGGGTTACTACACGCCTGTCTTATGCAAGGGACTTTTCACAGGTGGTGGGAGTTGATTGTGGCAATTGCTTCTTGTACGTACTTGCTCTCTGCACCAGTGACTGTTGCTGAGGCTACTTGTGCAAATGCAGCTTTGATAGTGCACATGATGATCGTCAATACATATCATGTAAGGAACAGGTAGCAACACTTTTGAGGGGTGGTGCGCAGGTGGGCAGGCAGGGAACGCGCTGGAGATGGTGATGCGCATTTGGACGGAGCGCCAGATAGAGCTGCGCGGCGTGTACGAGATCAACCTCACCTCCACCGCCCTGGCTGCCCTCCTCGCCTCAGGCCACCCTGCCCTGGCCGAAGCCAAGGCGCGCCGGACTCATCCTGGCACCAACCTTCATGTGGGCTTGTTAGGCGCTTCTGATTGGGTGTTGTTCATCAGCAGGGTAACGCCATCAAATGATTGCAACCCATTTCATTTTATTCAAGGAATAGTTTGGTGTTGCCAGAGGGGCAAGATTGTTGCTGGGCAAATGGTGTATGGTGTTTTGCATGCTTGTGAAGGCTGTGCATGGCAGTCGCAGCGCAGGTACTGACACATGTGTATCTTTTTAATTGCAGGTGAAGGGGCGGCGGCTGGACGTGGAGGGCGCCATCCGGACGCGGTCGCGCGCGGCGACGCAGGCGGAGCAGTGGCAGGTCGTCAGCGCGCGAGTCAAGATCTTCGCTCTGCTGGCCGACATGCTCATAGAAGCCCGGGAAGGTGCGCATGTCCGTCACAGCCTGCTTAACTTTGGTTTTGGCACAGCATGCCCCACAGTGCATCTCTTCCCAGCTGGCATTTTCATGGTACTTTACCCCTGCGAAGGCCCATGAACATGTACTTTGTCTCTAGCTTACAGATAGGCAGTTTATAATTCTATAGAAGAGATTCACCGGCCGTCAGGTCCAGCGATGTTCAAACAAGCAAATATTATGAGGGCATGACCTTTGGGGAACGCCAGTGTTCAGGATTGCAGAAGTGCAGGTAGCTGAGGCTTCAAAGTACTCGTAGTGGTCACTTTAAACCCCGCACCCCCGGCGGTGCGGGAAACATTTTAAGGCAACATTCAGGAATCTTCCTGGCATAATTTTCACCAGGAGCTTGCTCCACTGGATCTATCTTGTCAAGAGCTTTCCGAATATGGTCTCAAGATTGTCACACGGTTTTTGAGAGATAGATTGTTATATATCAACCCCTTTTGGCCAAAATCAGGGGGTACTGAAGACTACCAGGTACTACTAGGTACTGCTGGGTAGTTTTAGTAACCCCTGCAGAATAATTATTTTCTGCGGGGTTTGGAGTGACCAGTACGATATGTGCAAAAGGGGCGGGTGGCGGGGCGGGCGGGGACGACAGCAGCGACTGGGAGGAGGTGTCGGAGGAGGGGGAGGCGGACGATGGCGAGGAGGCGCTGTCGGTGCCGGGGCTGCTGGGCCAGGACCTGCTGGACATCACCGCCGCGCAGGCAGCCGCCGGCGACGACCTCGGAAACCTGCTGCGGGTGCGCACTGTGCCACGGGCCGTCCCTGCACGCTGGTGCCGTTTGAGCTGTGCAAGGTTGATGCAGACAGCGAATCAGCTTAGCTGCTGCCAGTCCCTGGCCTGCCTGCTCGCTTGCCAGGACAATGTAGATTTGTGGTGTTGACACGATGAAACCTTGAAAGGCTCTGCCATCATGGAGAATGCCCAGGCATGCTCTGTTGAGAAATGGTGATTTTTGTTGTGAAGGCATCCCACTTAGTCAGTCTGCTGTGCCTGACGGTGTCGTGCAAAGCCATTCTCCTGCCCATTGCCGTGGAAAACTCCCAGATCTGTGATGACTAGACATTCAGAAGGGTGCTGAGCGTGAGATGGGTCGATGTGCAGACGGACCCGGAGCTGAGGAATGACCCCATGGCCAAGCTGGACCTGGCAGCGTTTGTGGGAGAGCAGCTGAGGGCCCTAGCGCAGAGGGACAGCGCCTTCTTCAATGAGTGCTGCAGCCAAGTGGCTCCTGCGCAGCTGGCAGCCGTGAAGCAATGTTTCCAGTAGATTACTGTAGACGTACAGAGAAGGGAATTTGGCATCTGGCCCAAAACGATGACCAAATGTCTTGCTAACACATGAATTGCAAGGCATGGGCTCTCTCCACACTGATGTTGTCTGACTTGTCCTGCAAATGATCCAATGAACAATTTATTGCAGTGACTGCATCTGTCCGAACAAATGTGGGAGTGTTTAAAGAATATAGGACATGCTGCTGAGCTCCCCGTGAGGACCATTTATGCGTACTGTGCTCGAATGACACCTTGGAGGCCCTGAATGTGAAATTACCAATGGGGCTCATCTGCCAGTTGCAATGTGCAGATATTCCAGCATGTGCAGCTGTGCAACAAGCAATTTATGGTACTTTTACAGGGCACTTCTCATCAAATTTACTGGCCATTGCAACAGTAAAATAAGCAATCCACAGGACACATTGATGCCAATATGCACTCTCAATCGCACAACACCGAACAGCAGTGCACAAAAGAAAGCAGGAAGGCTTCTGAAGACTACAGTACCCACAATTAGCATTGCTGGAATGGTGTATGGCTTCAACAAATGTACAACAGTGCCATCAAAAGTAGGATCAAAAAGCTCACTCACACTCTAATCACAATTGCCAGACTTCCTTTGCCCTTCTTGGAAATGTGCATGCACCCAGTCTTGTTCCCAGCACAGATCAATATATTTGCAACCACGTACTTCTTTGCAATCAAGTCTAGGTTTTCTCATCTTCTCTAATCAAGTCTAGAGAGGCAAGACTTCCAGTGTGAGCCACCATGCAGGCGGCACCATCCAGTACTTGTGGCTGTCACAAATGCAACTAACTTCCTGAGACCCTCAATTCAATGCAGACGACAATCTGGGCAGACAGTGAAGGAACCTTGTGATGTATTGCTGAAAGGAGTACTGTCGCACGGCTTGTCACCGCGGATAGATGGCCCTAGAAATGGCAGCTCACTTTCAAACCCAAAAATCGCAGGACGCATTAGGACGTTGACATTGCCTGACATCTGTGCTCTGTGCCTACAAACCTTCCACTCCTGAAGTTCTGGGTTCTCCAAATATCTTCAACATTTCCAAGACGCTGGCAGTGCATCCACCCAACACACAGAAATAATTCCATAAGCCGCACTGCGCAGCGTGCGGACAAAACAGGTCATAGCCTTACTGTGAATGCACCCTCCTCGATGCCACTGAGCCAGATATATGTTGAGGCAGGGCTTCAAGGTTTCAATCCTGCTTGCTCACCGCTGCCTCGCCAGCAGGGGACCTGAGGAAAGTGCGGCGGGCGTGGACTTCGAATGCCCACAGGGCGGACATGGGCAGCAGGCACCCGACACAAACCAGTAGGAGAAGGCCCCAAGCAAAGCAGGTGCGGAACGGCTGCATGGCCCCGGGTGTGCTGCACACAAATGGCAGCGAGCGACCCACAGCCAAGAGTAAAAGCACCATGTGATTTAATGCCAGCCTCCAGGAGCGCACCTGCAACAGGGCCAAGCATGGCACTCAGTGTTGCATGGCACACGACAACACCCTTAAAGTGATTTTGTCTGCCATGCATGCACCGGAACCTCCCACTTCCAACCTCGCACACTTGATACTGGAGATGTAGTTAACATGGTGTGTGCCGAGACAAAGGAGAGACAGGCGCTCACCACGAACATGATGGGCATGACTGCCATGGCTTCGGCATAGATGAGGCGTGCAAACCAAATGGGGTCAGAAAGCTTTGAAGGGGGCAGCCTGACGGCCACGCAGGGGGTGAATGCTGCAGCTGACTGGACTGCCATTGCGATCAGCAGCGCGCTGATGTAAGCCTCTCGCCTGTACCGCCACCTGGCGGCATCACATCTGCATGTCATGCAAATACCCAGTGTTCCCACGCCGCCTTTCTTGCCACCGACAAGCCATACCTGACCATTTCGACAGGACTGCACTGGCCTTTCCGCACTTTTATTGTCAGCAGGGGCCAACAGAGATATGAATTTTCCATGCACTGCCTGGGTAGGTGTGCATGAGAGGGATCCTGTTGTGGGGCGCACCAGTGTGGCCGGAAGAGCATCACGTTGAGAATGCAGAAGAGGCTCAGAGTTGCAACAAATGGCCGCCCAGAGGCCATCACGCCTTTCTTCACCATTGGATCTTTCATGGCCGCCAGCTCCACAAAGAAAGCCAGGAAGCCTCCCACAAGATCACCCTGCAGATGTCAGAAACTGCTTTCCTAAATTTGAAGCTCCCCTGCTACCACCCCAAAGCCTCCAGACAGAGGATTTGATTCAAAGGAAATATTGGCGTATATGTCAGGCCCACCTTGGCCTGTTGGGTGGCCTGCCACCCAATGAATGCCTGCTCCAACCCACCGTGCTTGAAGGTGAGCCAGAAGGGGTGCTGCTTGGCAGCCCGCCCACCCCTGCCCTTGCCTTCTCCCTTGCCGCCCCCCTCCTGCTGCTCTGTGCCCCTGCCGCTGGAGCAGGGCTCATCAGGCGGTTTCTGGCGTGGCTCACTTGCAGTGCCAGGATCGGCCAAGCCCCCTGACGCCATTGCTCCACTGCCAAGAAGCCCCCCAGCTGTGGCATCACTGACCCCTGTAGCGCCTCCCTGCGCCGGCGCAGCGCTGCTGCCAGGCTCCTCACCAGCTGTCCGGTCTTCAGGTGCGGCTGGGGTGTCACTCGGCGTGACTGGCTCGCCAGGAGGCTGCACATGGCCTGCTCTCTGCCTGTGCACCTCTGCGTGTGGTGACAGGGGGTCGGGGAGCGAGTTTGGCTGTGCAGGCGGCCTGCCGGGCCGCTCATGGAAGGCTGTGGTGCCAGCTGCGCGCACAGGCTGCCCCTCTCCACAAGCATCTGCATCTGCGCTGCTGTCCGAGGAGCTGGCGTCTTCTGAGGAGTAGGAAGCTTCCCCGGCTGATCTGGCAGCTGCCGGCTCTTCGGCTTCCTCTGCTGGGTCGACAAGCAAGTAGTAGGCTCGCATGTGCGCGGCGACCTTTGAGAATGCAGAGGCAAACCGGCTCGACAGCACATAGGCGAGGGCCGTCAGATTGCCCGACACCGCCCTGCGCACATCCAGCAAGGGCATCAGATTTCCACAGCGAGGTCACAGCGCTACATGCCAAAAAAAATTGAACGTCTGATGAGGGTACGGTGGGAGAATCTCTGGCTTTACCGCAATTAGTACCTGCTCAGGGGTGCAGACTAGAGCAACAAGTCACACAGGGGTCAAAGCAGAGGTAAAGGACGTACGAGTTGTCGCCCCTCTTTATCCCCATCAGGACTGCCCCCAGGCACTGAGTATTCATCCCCCCAACCGTGTGCCCTGGTTTGGGGATTGCAATGCACAGCGCTGCAATGCTCTCCGGCTTGTCTTTCCATAGCTGCCTGAGATCGTGCTTTGCAGCGGATCCATAACTGTAGAAGCTGCACTGCCCGCTGGCATAAGCTTCCCCAGCTGCTGAATTCTCGCAGGGTATCAAGGAGAGCTCCAAGTCCAGAGACTTAGGAAATATGAGGGAGCTTGAAAGCACCAGTAGATCATCTGTGACGGGCCCTGCCACCCTGCATATCGATGACTGTCAGCAACGTTCTCGAGAAATGCAACCACTGCGGTCTAGCAAGGCCTTAGGAACTAAAAACACACCAGAGTAGAGCCTCCTTACCTGATGCAGGATGCTGATGGGAAGTAGGCGGCCAGCATACTGGACAGATCCACGTGAGCCTTGCCATCCACAAGAGCTTGCGCAATCAGTTTGCAAACAATCGAGAGGTCACTCTCCCTTGCCATGGCCTGGCCTACACCTGCGTGCTATCACGGGCAAGCTCACCATCAAATGGCAAGACTAAATCCTTCCCGTTAAGCACTATTTTAGCAATTTCTTTTCCTCGCCATCTTTTTGCTTCATCGTGAAACAGCGAGAAGAACCCCAACACGCCTTCCCATCATGAAACCTTGTCACAACCCCTGAATTAGAATCGCCTCCAGGATTCACGGATATCGAGAATGCATGACAAGCTCTCACGTCAGGCCGTGGGAAAGCTCGTGAATACCACACGCACTCAGGATTGGAGTCCAAGAGCGATCCATCCATGTGATGTTAGTGAAGACGGATGATGTTTATCCTGGAGACTGGTAGCAAGGGCCACCCTGTGCAGAGCCCTTTGACAAGTAGAGGTTCTAGTACTGCGCATTTTGTTCCTGCTGTTACAAGGCGACGAGGCCTTAATAAACCCCCGAAACACAATCTGCTAGACACTTCCCTTACTTCCGTTTGTACTAGAATCGCTAGAAAAACGGAAAGAGGAACTCGACAGGTAGAGCCTGACGAGAGCAACAGAGTGGTTTACATTGCCTCGCTTGCGATAACCTTTGCAAAGGTCATTATTTGTGATTCGAATACATTACATGGTTAGTGCTGTGACACAGGCGCCCCGGGCGAGCCTGAACGGGCGCAGTCAAGGAGGAGGCATTGCAGGTGAGTCTGAGCAGGCGATCATACTGATTACTAAACAAGTATCTTTTATATGATATTCGATGATTGATTGACGTACATGTGTGTCCATCAGATGAAGATCTCTCATTCCTGCTCCAAGCAGCAGCACAGGCGGACAAGTCAGCAGGTCTGTGACCTTCATCGTCTTCAACATGCAACTGCTTGAAACATCGTACACCAGACTTGCTGCATCTTTGACAGCCAAACTAGCAACATGCGGTGGCAATGGAAGGAATGCAATTGTATTTTTGTTTGACCTGCAGGTTTGACCCAGCCACATCCCAATGCTGGCTGCGTGCTAGTTGGACCTGATGGCCGCGTGCTTGCCGAGACGTTTCAGCGGGCGCAGGTGTGACTCACATAATTGCCCTGCCTACATTAGGCCACAAAATCATCAATCACTGTGCATGTGCTTGAGTTTGCGCCATACTTTTGCAGGGCACAGAGTCAGCGGAGGTGCAGGCATTGCAGCAGGCAGGCCCCTCAGCACGGAGGGCAACGGTGTACACCAACCTTGAGACGGGGGACTGCCACGGTGATGACACATCGGTGGCAGCCCTCATTCATGCTGGCGTCAGGCGAGTGGTGCTAGGAATCAGACACCCATTGGCGCACCTCCGGGGCAAGGCTGTGCGCGCGCTCAGGAGCAGCGGTGTCACAGTTGACATCCTGGAGGACGCCGGATCCTCTGCGGATCCTGACCGCCTCGAGGAGTGCCTGCGTGCCTGCCTGCAAGTCAATGAGGTCCCCCTTCAACATGGCCATGCCAAATGATCTAGCCTGTACTGTATTTGTGTCGATTGCTTTCCCCTTGCTGTAAGACATTGCTGCGCTAGGGCATGCCCTTGCAGATGCAGAGTGTGAGCAATGCTGTCTAGCACGCATGTAATTCGGACATATTAGAGTGCCGCAAAGATGGGGGATGAAGTGGTGATATTGCTGTGCGCAGGCGCTGCTGCATAGAGCGGTGACCGGGCGGCCCTTCTCAGTCCTGAAGTATGCCATGACGGCAGATGGGAAGATTGCCACGTCCATGGGGCACTCTGCGTGGGTGTCGTCCCCGGCGTCTAGGCAGCTGGTCTTTGAAGCCCGTGCGCGATCAGACGCCGTCATTGTCGGTGGCAACACGGTGCGCCGCAATCCAATATACCCCCCCCCAAGTATAGGGAGACTGAAGCCTACTAGGTAGGATTCAAAAAAGTTCATGGGAGGGTCGTGCACGATAAGGGTCACCTAAACTTCAGACCCACGTGATGTTATGGGAAACTGCTCATGTGCTGCGCTGTCAATGGTGCAGGTGCGGCGAGACAACCCTCGGCTGACCACTAGGCGAGAAGGGGGCCACGCACCTGTCAGGATTGTCATGTCCAGAACACTCGACCTGCCTCAGGTACGCACGCATGCATTGTTCTTCATCATTACTCACATTACATTGTCAAGCCGGGTATTGCATCCAAACTTGGCGCGCTGTCCTCACCAGGGCGCCCATTAGACAGGCAGCACACGACTCAATGATGATGCCAGATTGGAATTTGAAACATTAAGCTGACGTGTGGGCTGCAGGATGCTAACCTGTGGGATGTCTCGTCTGCGCCCACCATAGTCATGACACAGAGGGGCGCCCGGAAAGACTTCCAGGAAATGCTGCAGTCCAGGGGAGTGGAGGTGGTGCAGTTTGACTTCCTCACGCCCGAGGCAGTCGCTGCATACTGCCAGGAGCGTGGTTTCCTGCAGGTGAGGCTGCACTTTGTTGCGTATGTAGTATGAGACAGTTCGAAATCTGTCTCTATATTATCAGCTGTGCAATGTGTGGTGAGTTTGTAGTGTCTTGGAGACAAGAATTGCATGTCTGTGGCAGGTATTGTGGGAGTGCGGTGGTACGCTGGCAGCGCCAGCCATTGCAGCAGGGGTGGTTCACAAGGCACTGGCCTTCATTGCTCCCAAACTGGTGGGTACATTGCCCTGTGCTGTGTAGATTGCCACCTAATACAGCTTCAGCAGGAGCTTGCACATGTTGTCTTGTGCACTAGCGTGCTCATGTCTTTGTGTGGCTACAGATCGGTGGTGTGCGCGCGCCGTCTCCAGTGGGGGAGCTTGGCAATGTAGAAATGACCCAGGCGCTGACTCTTGCCGACACTCAGTGGCAGGCAGTCGGCCCAGACATGCTCCTCACAGGTGCCCTGCTGTGCTCTGCTCCCTATTGCCCATCCCAGTGGCTCCTGATTCATCCCTTTCAGTAGCAACTGGGTGCCTTTTCTTCGGCTTGCATGGCTGAAAGTAAAGTAAGAGAGGAGCTATATACTGTCAAGAGCTGTCGAACTGAGTAGTATTTGTGGCTGGCTGAATAGGGTATCTGCCGTCCTCGGGGGGTCTCGCTTCATTGGCGGCAAAGCTGAAGGCTGGCGGGCAGCTGTCGGGCACGCTGGACGCCGGCCGAGCTTCCAGCTCTGCAGGCGCGTCTACGCTCCCATCTGCTGCGCAGAACGGCGCCCACCTCGGCAGCGGCCCCTCCAACGGCGCCATCCACCGCCGGTGGCTCCGCTGCAGCGAGGGCAAGGTATGTTCCTTCTTGTGTATTCCAAATACCGCGAAAGTGCTCGCAGAGGCTTGCCGCCACTTGAGCCGCTGTAGCCCAGCAGTGCTCCACTGTTGTATATACCTTTCAAGAGCAGCCCGAGGTGCTAAAGAGGGATAGACATGCACACATGTGACGTTTGATCAGGGAAGACGCAAAGATTCTGTGCTGACAGCGGTGTTTGCTCATTCGTGGTTGCAGTGTGCGGAGTTCTACAAGTCTTGGGACCGGTACGGGTCGCTGTCGAACTTCTCGGCGCACCCCGTGAGCCTGCCCGATGGCCCTGTCAGCGCCAGTGGGTCCCTGCCTGACGAGCCTCTCAGGGAGTGGCCCAGCGTGGAGCACTTCTACCAGGCCCAGAAGTTTGCAGGTGCGCCCTCTGCACTCCTCCAGCCCCCCTGGTGACAATGTATGTCAGGATTTGTGGGATTGGCGCCCCGTATGGCGCCATGCAGCATGCAGGTCAACGTGGTCATTGACTTTTGATGACAGCGCACTTTGTCGTTTTGTACTGTATCTAACAGATGACACCGAGATACAGTACCCACCCACTTTGTCTCATTGAATTACATTGCAAGGGGCAGCAAGTGACAGTGTGCGTGCAAGTCTCAAGGGGTTGATCCTGACGGCGAGGCATGGGTCCCTGCAGGTGTGCAGCATGCGGAGGCGCTGGCAGTTGTGGAGCGGATAGCGGCGGCAGGGAGCCCGGAGGAGGCTGCGCGCATCGGCCGGGGCACCGAGCGCGGGGAGCCGACCCTGCTGCGCCCCGACTGGGTCACCGCCAAGCTGGCCGTCATGTACGCTGGCCTTCGCGCCAAGGTGACCAATGCTTACTCAGCAGTCCCTGCACTTCAATGGGCGCTGGCCCCTCGTCAAGCAGGCCGCCTGCGTGTCATCACCTTCCATAGCTTCCCTTTGGAAGGTTTTGTTTGTTTGAACTGTCCTTTTGGGGCATGCCCGTCCTGCTGGCAGAACACTGCATGCCATATGTGAAGACTTATTTGCTTTTGGCTTCTTAGAAGTTTGCAGGACAGAATATCCTATGTCAGTGTCTTATGCTGCAAGTGTCAGGTCACGTATGATGAAAATGCTTGTGTTGCTGTGGCGCGCAGTTTGTGGCGCATTCCGGTCCGCGCGCGCTGCTGCTGGAGACGGCCGAGGAGGGGTCGGCAGGGGGACCCCTGGATCTGGTGGAGGCATCGCCTCATGATTTCTTTTGGGGGCGCGGCGTCGACGGCTCCGGCGCAAATCACCTAGGCACTTTACTCATGAGCATCCGCGACGAGCTCATCGCAGCGCAGCGCGCAAAACATGCACAGCGTAACAGCGAGTTTGAGCACAGTGAGCCCACTGCAACCAGATGAGAAGAGGCCGCTCCCATGAAAGGAGCATGAGCTTCCCTGCAGGGCACCAGAGCTTTGCTGGCTCGATTCCTTGTGGGCTTCATATGCAGCATGCAAGCAGGTCTTGCCAGAATTGAAAAAACCTTCCCAAACAACGAGAATCAGGAAACAGACTGCTTGCAGCAGATTCTTGGACTCTTTGCATGCTGCTGTGGACAGCATACTTTCAACATTGTCATGTGAAGCGCTTGAACATGCAGCGTGGAGAAATAATTTAATTCCAAGGCATGCCAGCCCTGATCCAATGTGTGCTGTTATGCAATGTATGCGCCCTGCATCTGGATGAAGTCAATATTACATCAATGCCATAAAGCCTGCTTTGGCTAGTGCTCCGGCAGCTTTCTCTTCCAAAGGGTTCCAAGTTTCGGAATCAATATGACAAATTTTAATGCAGTTGCACTCTTATTAGTCAGTCATCCTCCTTAGATTCAGCATCCTCTGTGTTCAGTTTCCTCTGCACTGCACTGGCAGTGAAGACGCGCGAAGCACATACATGTACACTTCTCGACTGCATTTTTCAGAGAATTCTGCCTTCAAAGCTTCTTGTTGACATTAATAATTAAACCAAAGGGACCAGTCCCATATGGATGTGATTCTCTTCAAGTTGATTTCGTGAAACTGTTCGAAGTACTTCTAATTTCATCCCCAGGACTCCAACAATTTAAATGGTCTCTAGCGCACTTCACAGAGTCAGCAATCTTATGCCACAATATATGTTTCTCCACAAGTGAAAGGGAGCAGTGTTGCCAGCAAGACACGCATGTCTCGTGTACACTTTTCTGGTGCACCTCAGCACACAGGCCACAAGTGAGAGAATGACTGAGGTAAAGCTCTGAGCAAACAGCAACATCATTGATGTGAACAGTACATTATTTCCCAGCTTATTGAAGCGGGATATCTGAACAGCAAAATTGAAGACGGCGCAGTTTGTGTGCTGCCAAAATTCAATACCACAGACTGTATAAGTCATTCTGAGATTGATATTTGAATTCATTTGAACTCCGTTCATTTGTATCTCATCCCTGCTCTTCACAGCGATCAGGAGCTTCTGTACTGGCCAGTGATGTTGAACATCTGCGCGAGGCGCTCAGTCACATAGTTAGTCATGTCTGCTCCGGTCGCCTTGCATGCACTGGGCTCCAGGCTGATGGGGCTGCCATTCTGGGTAGAGCGCACGGAGCACGTGCCATTGGCGCCCGAGGGGATTATGGGGTTGCTGTTGCTGAAAAAGAGCACCGCGTCTGACTTGCTGGGATCAGCCTCGTTCAGCCAGTACTCGATGTGAGTTAGGAATCCCCAGATGCCTCCAGTGTACAGCAGCTGCGCGGTGCAGCCACAAAAAAATATCAATGGGTGCCCACATGATCATCTGTAGTGCACGGCTGCAATGCTCTCAAAGAATGATGCATGGACACATCAAAGGCCTGCGCCCCACTGTTGAGAAAAACAAAGCAATGCAAGCTCATGGTGGAAAGCCATGCCAGATTGGAGCAGTCTCTGGCAATGTGGAGACAAAAAGGCAGCAACGCACCTTCTTTCCCTTTCCTGGGGCAGGCTCCACAACAATGCCCTGAGCGAATGAGGCTTTTACCAGTAGGCCAGGGACGTTCACTGGCTCCAGCGGCTCTGTCAGGGCGGCCAGGGACTGCTTGGTCAGGCCCACAAGCTCTGGCTGGGTCAGAAACGTGTTGTACCACTTCAGAAGATCATACATATCGCTGCAAAAACACAGACCACTATGTAAGTCACACCCAATCATGACAGCTTACAGGTGTCCTTACAAGTATGAGTGACTGGACAAACGAGAGAGGTGCCGATGGTAGGTATCCTGGAGATATTCAAGTGCTGCACATGTTGTTAGTAGGCTAGCAATTGCTTGTACAAGATGCACAGCCGTTGGTGACAGCTGTCACAAAAGGCTGCTGCAAAAATGGTGACCGGGCAGGATGTAGGAGGGGCAGCGTACCTGAACATGGCTCCTGCACCCCCGGCAAATGCTGAGAGGTCCATTTCAAGCCAAGAGACCCTGCTTGCAAAATTGAAGGCCGGTGCACCTACAAGCAGCGCATCTCAATATTTGAGGGCGATTTCCTTGATGCGACTGGGTCTCAGATCATCCTCCAGGCTTCCCCTGCACTGGCCCATTTCCGAGATGCGATTATAGCAAGGGTGGCAACGTATGACTTTGAGATGCGAGGCATCAGATCACCTGAAGCACCCTGAAGCCCAAAGGTGGTGGTGTACCCAGGAATGGACACCACATTCTTGCGGATGCCCTGTGGCTCCATGCCCTGGCCTCCGATCCAGTAGTAGGTGTTGCTGAGGTTTGTTGGCTTCAAGATGAACTCGGTCAGGTAGTTGGTGAATGTCATGTTTGTCAGCTGCACAGAGAACACCTCGAATCAGCCAAGGAAATTGCTCATTGAGGCCAGAATACTCTCACAATGAGAGCTGTGCATTGATTCTGAGGAAAAATGGATCACCGCGGCATTGATTTTGCTGGACAGAACTGCATTAGAGAGCGTTTTGACCACTGCATCACGTTGTGAAATGGCCGGACTAGCGTCACTCACCCTCTCAACAACGTAGGCAGCAATGTTGAAATTGGTGTTGACATAGCAGTACTGGGCCCCAGGAGCATGAAGCATTGGGTGTGTCATGGACCCCTGAAACCTCAAAAGGTCAGCTGCACTGGCATTGCCAGTCAGCCAGTTGCCGGTGTCACCGCTGGCATCCCCGTATGTTGAGTTCACAGCAAAGAGCCTGCACCATGCCAACATATATCAGCATCCTTCAGCAGATGTCTAGGGCACTCTGTCCCAACTGCTGCGGAGTGTCTCCACTTGCACAGCACGCAGAGCTTTGGTGTGCCTTGCTAACATGCCTGTAAGGCCAGAACCAGTCGGAAGGCGTCCATGAGGTGTTGGGAGTGCCACAGCCCAAGTTGTCAGAGGGAAGCAGCCCAGAGGTCATCTGGAGCAGCTGCTTGAAGGTGGGCTCCTGGCATCCCAGCTGCTCCTGGCCATGGACCTTGGGGCACCAAGCTCCATCCAGTCCAAAATCTGCAGGATCTATGTACCCGTTCACCTGCGGAGAAGCAAAGAAGGATCAGGTGTCCGGATGTGTGTGAATTCCCAATACAGAGAGATGGATGAGGGGCGATTTGATGGAACTGCTCATCAGGGAGCCAAGCACGCTCGTAATTTACCGCATCAGAGACATTAAGGAGCCCCTTCTCTTGTAGCTGGTAAATGGCTACTGCAGTGAAGAACTTCGTGTTGGAGCCGATGGGGAAGATGTGGTTGTCTTGTAGGGGCACTCCAAGCTCCTGGAAGAGCAGAATGTATTGTCAGCTTGTTTCGTGGGCAATTTGCTGCTCTTTCCGCCTCAACCAAAGCAGAAGAGTTCTGCATAGCTTGCAACTTGACAACCCTCACGATATTCCCAGCACCGCAACTAGACACTTTGGGACAACGAGATGAACCGCGAGTCGACGGCATCATACATCTCAACTGAACGAACTGTACATTCACCTCGCTTGCGTAGCCAAATCCATTTGTCCAGACAAGCTGACCAGCCTTTTGCACGGCAACGGTGCCTCCTATCACTCGAGATTCTGCAAGCTCGGTCATGAATTGGAGTGCTGCATTCGCTTCGTTGCCATACTGGGCAGGAGTCGAAGCTGCGAGGGCAACCTTGACCAGCACAACAGCGACGAACAGCCGAACAATCTTAAGCATGTTTTCTCGCAAGTAATACCTCCGATCCCTGTCAAGCACAGACAATGAACGAATAACGTGGTTCACGCACTTCAAGATCGGGCTGTCGCACGCATAAATATAACCTTGGCACCAGTTTCCGCCAGATAGCTCTGGATGTGTCAGATCCGCGTTACAAATCTTGTGACATCAGGCTGTAATATTACTGATCGTCTGCGTCAGCAGCCAGCATGCAAGTACTGGAGCTGGAGCAAGTACTACTCTCGCAGCCGAGCTAAGGTAGCTGCATGCGTGAGATGACACCCCAGGCATGTCAGATGAGGTGCATGCACATGTCAGAATCTGGCAGAGCTTCAGCTGCAGCCAGCTGGCGCCGCCGGCGGCTGCCGCGCCGCGGCTGCACCGCCTCGGCCTGCCTCAGTGAAGCTCGAGCCAGGAGCTCCTGCCACTGAGTCCGCAGCTGCATCCATCTGCCGTCAAACAGATTTATGGAACGCATATGCCCATGCCCATGCATGCACATTTGCATGCGCATCCACAACGTGACATGAGAATTCTAGATCTAGATCTCGAGTAGATGTATTCAATAGAAGTTCCCTACGTGTTCCCTTGTCCTGGACATTGATGGGCCTTGTACTCCAAGCCCAGTAGATCTTTCTTTATAGCATTAGCTGGCAGTCAGCCGCTATATGCGGCATGTGTTACAGTTTGAACCTTGAAACTGCACTTTGGCTCGCAATAATAATTAATCCAGGAACCTTGCTTATTAAAGCCCAGTCATCAGGCCAGTGTTGCTCCGGCATGCGCATGCATAGCACACATGCTAACTATCTACTTGTCCGCGTATTTCCAACGCAGAATGAACTAAACTGTCCCAAACGCTGTTCCAACCACTCCAATGGAGTGGCAGCACTTGCATCTGGCAGCTGCAGGGGCAAACATGCAATATGCACTGTCTACCAAAATCCCCACTCAGCAATACTGACCAGTGATGAGCACAACTTGCTCCAGATGCACAGAGGGCCACAGACCAGAGTCAAAGACCACATGCTGGATAACTATATCATCCGGACAAACTCAAGTCAGAACGTTCTACTTTTTGCAGCCAACATTTGCGCAGGTCCTCTCTTGTTCTCTAGAGTGACCATTGGAGGCACCGCTCACGCTGCATGATCTTGATCTAGCATCATAAAGTTGTTGCTCCATCAATTTGTCAGATCCCCAATACTGGCAAGGCTCAACTTCCATATGGCAGGAGCATGTGCCGCAGGTCTGGCAAAATGGGCTTACGCTGACTGTATTCTATCGTGCGTCCAGATTCAAGCACTGTCAAACTCTGCACCGAGGTCTCGCTGTCTCAATCAAAAAAGTAAAAAGCCATGTCAGCATCCAAAGGCGTCTTCATTCACTTTTCAGTGGTTTAAAAAAATGGCAATGTTCAATTGTTGGTCAAGTTGCCACGCACTTCTGCATGGCCGGAAAAGGGATCTCTCCTTTGCGAGGGAGCCCTTTCCCACGCAGGTAATACCACATCTTCGTTGACTTCATCAGGAGATAAGAAAGAGTCAGCACTTCATGGGCTGCCGGTGTCATGATCACACGCGTATGAGTCAGCAATGAAATCTAATGAACAGGCACAGGTGCGCAGCAGCTACATCCTCTGGAGCGCCAGGCTGCATGCACCGACCACTTATTGACAGGTCATCGCATTTTAGGACCCCTTCAGGCGCTGACAAAACTGCCGTAGATGCTCCAGATTTTGGCGAGCTGATCCGTTATTATACTAGTCATGCCGGCGCCCATGTCGTTGCCACATGCGCGCGGATCAAGGTCTATCCGGCTGCCGTCTCGGGAAGAAAGCACAGAGCAGGAGCCGTCCGCGCCAAACGGGATGGCCGGGCTGAGGTTGCTGAAGAAAACAACTGCATCTGACTTGGTGGGGTCGTCGGGGTTCACCCACAGGGTGATCTGCGCCTCAAAGCCCCAGATCTCTCCTATGTATGTGAGCTGCAGGGCACAACACAGGTGCATGAATACATGTCTTTCATAGGAACAGACATTCCAGATATCAAGCTCCTGACTGCAGTAATGTGAAGTGAATCTTCACTGTTTTTGGCCAAGCCGTCTACACTGTAGTACACTACTCCAGCTCAGAACGCAGCTGGGAGTCTTTGTGGGTAGCTAGAAGGAGTGTACCTTCTTCTGTTTGCCGGGGCCATCAGAGACTGTAATGCCCTGTGCAAAGGATGCGTTCAAGCCGGGTATCGGCTGCAGCGGCTCTGTCAGATTCGCAACCGACTCCTTGGACAGCCCAATGACCTCCGGCTGTGTGATGATCAAGTTGTAGAACTTGAGCAGATCATGGGCATTGCTGCAATGCAGAACAACCCCGTCAGCAACATCGTGTTCCTGTGCTTAATAAGGTGTGGATACAGCTGTTGCACCAACCGCAATGAAAATTTTGAGACAAAAATATTGCTGAGCTCCAGAATATTGGAACAGTGCTGCGAGGGAGTATATTATTGCACCTGGACAAGGATCCTGCTGCCTGAGCCGCAGTAGAGGACTGCCCAGGAAACCATGGGTATCTGTTTATCTTCTTGTACGCAGCAGGGCCTACATATGTGCAAAGTCACCATCACATAGAGTGGCCCCTATACCTCAGAAATCAAGCTTATGGATCCAAGCTTTTTGCAAACATCTGCTGTGTCTGTGGACATTGACATAGCACCATGCGCCATTCAAGAACATAGGACATCAGCAGCATGCGAACAAGCAGACGTTGCTGATGCTTACCTTGGCCCCCCTCAAAAGTTGTCCGGTAGGCAGGCACAGTGATCACGCGCTTGTGCAGGCCTTCAGGCTCCCAACCCAATGCGCCCGTCCAGTAAAAAGTACTGCTCAGATTGGCTGGCTTGATCACATTCTCCGTCAAGTAGTCTCTGAAGGTCATGTTGGTGAGCTGCACCCACATGCCAGCTATTTCAGTGGGTGCTCTTGAGAAGCATACACTAGCATTTGAACTTGCAGCTGCATTTTGCAGCTGCTAGCAATGGGTGCAAGGCAGTGCATTGCTCAGGATGGAAGCTGCACACCTTCTCCACGATGTAGCCAGCAAGCTGAAAGTTTGAGTTGACATAGCAGTACTGCGAGCCTGGGGCATGGAGCAGCGGCTGATCAAAGAGCTTCTGGAACTTGAGCAAATCCGCATGCGTGGCATTGCCGGACAGCCAATTGCCGGTGTAGCCCATAGCTTCTCCCCACTTGAGGTCCCACTCAAAACTCCTGCAGGAAGTCTTGCTCTGTCAAGTGATCCAATTCTACTGTGAATCATAACATGCCTGAGATGGGTAAATTGGGAGAAGATACAATGCCTGATTCATGGCAGATGCATGCATGCTAGAATATTTCAAGTATGATTCTCGCAAGCCTAGTCAGGCACAGAGGAGATCGTTCAAGAACACACAGTCTGTGAGGATGTCTTGCCTGTACTCCCAGAACCAGTCTGAATCAGACCAAGTCGAGTTTGGAGTGCCGCAGCCGAGATTGTCAACGGGTAGCAATCCAGAGGACATCTCCAGCAACTGCTTGATGGTGGGCTCTTGGCAGCCAAGCTGCTCCTTGTCATGGATCTTGGGGCACCAAGGCAGCGCCAGGCCAAAGTCTGCAGGCTCAATATAGCTATTCACCTGCGTGCAGGGAAACCTCTTACTCTAAATTAATAGATACAGATTTCGGCATGCTGCTCGAGAGATTTCCAGTGATGCATTCGCTGTCGCGCACCGAATCGGTCACATTGAGAAGTCCCTTCTCTTGTAATTGGTAAATCGCGACAGCTGTGAAGAACCTGCGCATGCCAGTTGCATATTGAATATCATAGATTTACGAAAGGAAAAGCAGATGCACTTGAATGTATCACTTGCACATAAGAAGAGGTTAGCCGAATGAGGAGGTGGAAACGCACTTGGTATTGGAGCCGATGGGGAAAATAAAGTCATCCTGTAGCTTCACATCCAATTCCTGCAACGCAGTAATTATGTTATCACAGGCTGAAATTCTGACAACGTCCGTTCATCTGACTCAACACGGCAGACGATGCGCTATTTTTGACGTTTTGCACCCAGAACGTGCGCTTGAGGCCAGATCAATCGGTCACCGATAGTACAGACCAGGAGCGAGGACGACTCTGGTGCCGCTATTATTTCAGATGGGCTGTCATAGCAGCATGGTCAATGATATAGGACTCGCACCTCGCTTGCAGAGCCGTAGCCTTTGGCGAACGCGATCTTGCCGTCCTTTTGCACGACGACTGCGCCACCAATCACTCTGGATTCGGCCAAGCGGCCCAGAACATCATCTGTGTCCTTTCTAGCTCTATCGTTGCCTGTGTTGACAGAAACACTCTCTGCTCTGGTACTGTGCAACAGCAGGCCCACGACCACAAGCCCAAACCATCCAGACGCGGCGACAACAGAGGTCTTCATCGAGACAAAGTGATCTTTGAGACTTTATGCATTGAATCTTCGGCTCGAAGACCAGGACTGTTACCAGGACAAGGAGAAGAGCGCATCAGAGGCATCTTTGATCACGCTGCAATTGCAAATTTGGGTCACGGCATCGCTGAGTCATTGGGAGGGTTTTTGCTGGGAGCACGGGCACAGTTTGCAGAAGCTGAAGCAGTGACTCCTGCTCGGCTTTGGCGTTCTCTAGCAGTGAAATAGAAGGCAAAATGGCGGGCAGGACGAAGAGAACCCTTTTGAAAGTCATCATTCTGGGGGACTCAGGCGTTGGTAAAACATCACTGATGAACCAGTATGTCAACAAGAAGTTTTCCAGCCAGTACAAGGCTACCATCGGGGCCGACTTCCTTACTAAAGAGGTCCAGGTCGACGATCGGCTGGTGACCATGCAGGTGTGCTGCTTAGAACTCGTAGTGGAGGTTCTCCTAATGATCTAGCTCCCAAGCAGAGGATCGTTGCAAGCTTGCACTCTTAGTAAGCAGATCAGAGGACATGATCTGGCTTTCCGTTGTTTGCAGATATGGGATACGGCTGGACAGGAACGCTTCCAGAGCCTGGGTGTGGCATTCTACCGTGGAGCTGACTGCTGCGTGCTGGTGTACGATGTGAACTCGCAGAAGACCTTCGAGAACTTGGATAACTGGAGGGATGAGTTTCTGATACAGGTGCGCCCTGGGATACCAGCCAAGAGGAATTTTTTTATTAGGTTGTATGTCAGTGTCTGGCAATTTAAGCTATTGAGCAGAATTTACGGTGAATGTCATTAAGGCCATGTGGAATGTCGTTGACATTTGCTGGGTGACGTACGCAGGCGAGTCCATCCAACCCAGACAACTTCCCTTTTGTGGTCTTGGGCAACAAGGTGGACATGGATGAAGGTCGCAGTCGGGTGGTGCGTTGTCCCTGAGTCCTCTGTTGTCTCAATTGCTTTTGCAGGTAAACACATCGATGCATCATATGTGCTTGTGACTATACACAGTCATCTGAGAACAAGTGTCATGCAGGTGACAGAGAAGAAGGCCAAGCAGTGGTGCACAGCCAAGGGCGGCATTCCCTACTTTGAGACATCTGCAAAGGAGGACCTGAACGTGGACAGCGCGTTCCAGTGCATAGCCCGCAACGCCCTTAAAAACGAGACCGAGGAAGAGCTGTGCGTTCATATGCCCATGCCTTTGAGCTTCAGAGCATCACCCAGCTGAGCATGACATATAGTGATGACCTGGAGGGTGTGCGGGAGGTGTATTGTGTTGCTGATGCACATTGTTCCACCTGCGAGGCAGCCCTTTCTCCCTTCATGGGCGCTCGCTCTCTCTGCTTGTCTGCATCCTCTCCTGGCTTGACAGGCTCCTGTCCTTCTTTTCCCATCAGAAAATATGCCAGAGTACAGCAGGCTGATTTTTGTTGTTTCCTGCACAGGTACATGCCAGACACAGTCGACATGAATGCACAGGCCATCCCCAAGCGGAACAGCTCCTGCTGCTGAATGCTGTACTCAAAGTCTCAGCAGAAATTCCACACATTCTATTATTTGCTATCTGGTGCAGCAATCAGCCTCTTACTGTATCCTTGTAGAGATTAGCCTGCATGACCATGCATGTATTTGTAGCATATCTGTCTGGGTGGCCGCCTTAGTTGTGATTGAGATGTCATAGCAGGCATTGCTGCCCTGTTGAATGCTCTTGAAAGTACTCTGACGCCTGCCCCTGAATTTGTTGGGTGTCAGTTGGGTGCTTGTGGGAAACTGGCCTGGTTGTTTGTATTGGCCTAGGTTGTGCCTGCAATAGGCTGTACACTGCCACACAAGCTGCAGTCAACTGTGATGTCAACAAGATTGTGCCTGTCTGTTGGACAAAGGCAGCCCTCCAATGTGTACTTGGGAGGCTGATATCTCCCAAAAGTTTTTATGTAATCGGACCTGCCAGGAATGCAAATTCTTCAATGGTGACTTGATTGATCAGCGAGTCTTTTATATTAAAACGCATTCCCATATGGGAGGTGGAGCTTAGTAACGAGTTCAAGGTGCCAGATAAATCTGTTGACTTCCAGTCTTTGACCATCACGGATGCAAAATGCTCAAAAATTCTCTTACAGCTTGCTGTTGGTGTCTAATTACGGCCCTTTCTCTGGTTTCTTAATTGACAGTGCACGTGCTAAAACTCTCGTACCATACATGTGACATAGAATTCTGACCGGTCCTGTTTTGAAATTTAAATACTCTGACACAGTCACTCTCCCCACATCATGTTCTCGATGTGCCAGCTGGTGGGAGTGCTCTGCAGAGCACTTGTCCATCACGATCACAGAAAAAGAACCACTCTAATAATTCTCAAGGATTAAAGAAAGCCATCTCAAAGTATAGAACGGCAAAATTCATTTGAAGTTGAATATATCCCTCATACAAAGCCGCTTTTCTGTGACCTTACAAACATGTGGGAACCTAGGAGCCCTAGTATGGCTAAAAAAAACATGCAGCACGTGCTACTCAGGCTTCACTCCCCAACATTTGAAGCAACTCTGTGTATCCCTATAATGGTCTCAAAACAGTGGCTACAGCCTCTGCATGGTGGCAATTAAGCGCGCACAAAAACCACCCAAAAGGGATGAATGGATGAGAAGGGATTGGACACTGCTCTTTGTTACCAAATTCTCAAATGCTGAAAGCATGCACAACACCCACAAAATGGGTGATGCACTATATCATCAACACAGACAGTTCTCAATACCTGGTCTTTGTACACCTATGCAGCTCAGCTCTCTGGCTGAGCTAAATTTGATTGCAGTGACAAATTTCCACTCCCGCATGCGCCACCCATCAATATTTATTTGGTAAAGGTCTGCTCACATGGTGAGAACCAATGAGCAAATAGATCTCACATGCAGTAATGATGCACGCCATGTGAGCAAAGGAGACTCCTACAAACCACCTCTTCACGCGAAATCTCAGAATGTATTCTCTGCTCTTTCTTAAATCACCGAAACAATTCTGCTCTTCTCCAGGAACAAGTTCTCTCGCACCATTGTCACTCGTCTCTCACATATGGCCCAGCCACGCATGCCATTTGGCATGGTGATATACAGCTGTGGCACCTCTTAAACAAATACCTCGATAGCTCGGCTCTGCTGGGCTGCAAAGGCCAGGGCAGAGACTGCTAGTAGCAAATTCAGGTCGCGGGCTCGACATGCGTGAGAAAAGTGTCCTTCAGCCGCGACAGTGGTACTAAGAATGGAGTCTGTGAGCGCTGCCAAATAGCCTGGAAGGGTAGACTGAAGTGGGCTGCGCTCAAGATGACCAGACGTGAGGAGTGTCTGGCCTGGAGGGCACCACGCGCTCAAAGCAGGGCAGCTTGCTCAGAGGAGCATCAAGGTTCTCTATCCAGCAGGGACCCTCCCATGTTTGGCTCCCCTGCAGCACCACCATGTCCACTATCAACCAAAGCCCAGCACCGGGACTTACCAATGTCACATGGTGGCTCTGAATAAGGACTAAGCATCACATCAGCAATAGCCATATGGTTGCGCATCTCCAAGGCCACGGGACAAGGCTCGTTTGGAGGCGCAAGGTGCATCCAGCCTGCTGCTTATATTGGGTGAGGAAACTCGGAAGACAAGCACTTCCAAGGCGAGCAAGATTGAGTAGATAGGAATGCTGCACCTTGTCAAAAGCGTCGCGCCACAGGCCGGCAGTCAAGTAGACATTGCGAGTGACGGCGCCCTGCTCGACCACAGGGGCCACGATCATGTCCTGGCCGAGCGCAAACTGGTCGTGGATGGTGAATGTGGCCTCATCTGCGGGGTCCAGCCACCACATCGGCCGCGCAATCGGCGCCAGCGTTGCTGCCGCCTCGTCCGCCAGTGTGTGCAGCCGCTCTATCACCTGCAGACACGCATGACAGTCCATCACCACACAAATATTCGATGTATCCTTGCATTGCATGCACATTAGTTTGCTATGGAACATGACGTTGCCACACTTCGAACCACTGGAACCTTGGCTAACATGCACTGCAGACGGTTTTTGGGCATGACAAGGCAGAAGATTACCCAATGGCACAGGCTACAGAGAGGATGAAGGAGTGACAGAGGTGGCGCTTTAGGGAGAAGGAAATGAGAATGGCGAGCAGCGCACCTGCTTGCGCAGCTGCAGGGCGGCAGCGCAGAGACGGGCGGTCTCGGGGGAGAGGTCCCAGGGCGCGATGCTGAACTGCATGGCCGGCATCAGCGCGTTCACCTGGGTCCAGCGCACCATCAGCTCATGGCTCGGCCGCTGCCCAAAGTAGGCGTTGCCCCCGATCATCTGCACACAAACCTCTTGTCAGCAATGCTTGAATTTATAAACATAGACCCAAATTCAAATTCTAGTGGAAACTACTTTTCCTGATCGCCCAATGCGTGCATGCGCCCACCAAGCAATTTCACGCACCAGCACAGGACGCCAGCACGCAGTCATGATGCAAGACCCCCGTCACTTGCAAACTCTTCTTTACTTGGACTACGGGTCCCCTGCCCCTCACTAGACATGGGGTGTATGAATGGGGGCGGGCGGGAGCGCGCACGTCTGGGAGGCAGAAGGGGTATCCGAGGACGCCGGAGGTGAGGAGGGTGGGGATGATGGACTGGAGGCCGTTGGAGACGTCCCAGGTCGAGAAGCGGTCCCCCATGCGCGTGAACAACGCCACGCCCTGCGTCTTGTGCCCCGTCCGCACCTGCGCGCACATGCCTCCCGTCAGCTATTACAACTTGAAACAAAGGAACATGCATTTCTTTTTCAAAAACAGCTCTGTTGAGCCTGAGGATGCGCTGCAAGAGGGATGAAAAACAGGCAGGGGTTGGGCAAAGGGTGCCCGTACATTCCTCACGTCAGGAGGCATCAATTACCAAACATTACTTTAAAAGTGCCCCAACCTTCTGCCAGTGCTCTTGGCTGTCTCGATCACAGCCAGGGCTTCAAGGCCAGCCGCCAGACAACAAGTCACGCATCGATGACCACACCATGTTGGCCGACTTCATCAACACTGGCTCAACCAACACTGGTATCATGAACAAAACCACAGCGTAAGCCTGAACATCTCTGAGGAACAAAAGCAGCATCTGAAGGTGAGGGTTTAGAAGGGGTTGATCACCTCGCAGACGCCGCCTTGAAACTGGCCGGCAACCTCAGAGACCCACAGGCGCGTGTACTCTGTGGGGTTGCTGATGGGCCGCTGCGTGCGGAACTGCTGCGGCAAAAAGCATGGCTCCCCTGCGTATATAATTCACCCATCAGTCACCCTCAAATCCCCAACATCAACCAGAACTCCTGGCTCAGGGCAAGGAATCTGCATTTCAAGTCTGCGCAGACACCAGCCGCAACTCTTGGCTCCCGCGACAATAAATCTGCATCTCCAGTCAGCATGTACTTCTCTTGGCATGACATGCAGGGGCATGGGGCATATGTCTGGATTGCAGCGCTGCTGAAAAATGACAATGGATTTGTGGCCCCGTCAACAGCAGCGGTGGGCGAAAGGAAGCCTAAATACTGCATACAATGTTTACAAACCTAGAACCCAAAAGCACCCAAAGAACATGGACGCGCCCGTCAGACTTGAGGCAGGCTAAAGGAGGGAAAGACTTGAGGGAATGGACGCGCCTGCATCAAACTTGAAGCCGTCGATGCCGGTGGCGGCCTGCAGGGCGCGCAGGCGGTGTACAAACCAGGCGACGGCCTCGGGGTTAGTCAGATCAAGCGCAACGACCGGGGCGGTGTTCCACCAGCGGAAGAAGCCCTTCTTCATGAACAGGCCCGGCGCATCGCTGGTGATGAAGTACCCCTTCTCCACGCCATCCCTAGGAAAAGAACACGGGATATTGCTACTGGTTCATCAGCTTCTAGGGCAACTAAGTGACAACACCAGCAGGAGCACTGTCTGATGCATGGAGTCCTTCGATGCCAACATCTTGCCATTATAGATGTCAGCCAGTGCACTTCTAGAGCATACTGCAGAGCATGCTGCATGCATGCCATTTTCCTCTGGCTTTGCATTCGCCCATTCTGTAAAAAGTGCAGTAAACGCAGGGGCAACCAGGGGTGTTCTGTTCATTACCCCCTGGCAGTACAGAACTATTTGAAACGCCTCGGGCAGTAGGATACGGGGGCTACGAGGGCAGAGTTGTCACCTGTAGGCGGCGGAGTTCTCTTCGACGAAGGGCATGACCCATACGGTGACCTTGAAGCCCATGGCGTGCAGCTGGCGAACCATGCCGGGCGCGTCCGGGAACTTGAAAGTGTCGAACTCCAGGTCCCCGTACGCCGACTGCCACCTGTCGTCAATCTCCATCACTGACCTCTGCGCAGCCACACAAAGTATGTGACATTCCTGTCTCCACCAAAGCTGGAACGAGAGCCAAAACCTTTCAAACCCACCGCCGCCCTCCTGTGAGCGTCTTGAACCAACTCTCAGCAGCCAAGGCCGCTAAAGGTCAAACTCAATACAAAAGCCCTTGGTAGTAGAGTTGCACAGACAACGTGTTGCTGTGGAGCACCCGGATGACTTGCGAAAATTTTGCAATCATCACTTGATCAAGTGATGATTGCGAAATTGTGAAAAAAGCGTGCCGGATGCCCACTGCATCTGCAGGCGAGGTCCGCAACAGGTCATTGCTTGCTGGCAGAGGGTGGTGGCCTTCAAGCAGGCAAATTTGACACTGCACAATCAGGGAGAGTGACCTCGATCAGAGGTGGTAACTCGCCTGGAGGCCGCGGGAGACGATCTCGTGGGCGTATTTGAGAACCTTGGCCTGGGTCACGCGGGAGAAGTAGCGCGCCCATGTGGTCCAGATTGGCGCCTCCAGCAAGTCCTTGCTGGGCGACAGCCGCGGCGGCGTCAGGCTGCGGTGCGCCAGCTGGCATGCCGCGCGCGCGTCCGTCGTCGCGCACACCGCCACGCGCATCGCAACCCAGTCGCTCTCCGGCTCGGGCTCCGCGCTCACTGCCGACCACGTACCCACGTTCAGCAGCTTCCCAGAAGAAAAACCCACTTTGCTTGCTGGGCATACAAAAAATACAGATGACACGCAACATACAGATGTGCCCGTCAACCTATGAAATTGTCTGCGTCTCTGCAATTGGCATCACAGTCCTGCCATGCGAGATACAGTAAGAGAGGCATCGCTTGGGGGGCAGCATGCTTGAACTACATTTAAGATTTGTGTGGTACCTGGTGGAGGGAACGCTGTGGGCATCCAGTCGTGGAGCGGGTGCTGCATGAGGTGGCACTTGTAGTTGGACCTCGCCTGTGTCAGAGAAAGAGGGATCCTTATTAAAGCTGCATAGACTGCTATGTGAGTTCAACAACATCCTGCTCCCTTGCACGGCTTCACCGATGCGCTGGATCCAGCTCCAGGCTCACAGGCAAATCAATCACCAGCGGTGCCATGCAGCTGCATGAAGTGCGCACCTGCAGGCGGAGGAGGCCGTCGCCGGAGGCGCGGCGGGCGACGCTGCGGGGCAGGTACTCGCGCGCCATGTTCTGTACGCCCACACCCCAGCTGCGCTGGATCCAGCCCCCCTCGCGCTCCTCTCGCGGCGCGTTCATGCCCACGTGCAGGAACGGCGTGTCCGGGTCCGTCGTCACCAGCAGTCCCTGACTGCAGCCCCGGCACATGCACCCCTCAGCCGACAGTTACACCCTGAACTGACAACCCCCTCGAAATCCACAGCTACCACAAATATGCAGCCCCCGTCACAGGGATGAGTAACATCAGCTGCAGAACTTCTACTGCTAATGTCTGTCTAATCCACTGAACACTATAAGGTGCCAGGTTGACGTGCTAAACCTGAGAACACCTGACAGAAGAGCGCTGCTAAACCCCTGAATGGGAAACCGACAAATACACAGCTGCTCCGAGTTTGCAGCCCCATCACGAAGGAACCTCAGCTGCAGATGCCCCTTTCTGGTGTTATCCAGCCAACACAACAGAGGGTGCAAAGCCCTTTCAAGGATACCGTGCTCCTGGTCCTGCATGCTGTTCATAGTGAAGATGCAATGTGGCAGGCATGCAGGAAGGTCACCTGGTGAGCCACTGGGGTGCGACAAGGGTGTTGACGCCGTTGGGGCCATTGTCAAAGGGGTAGTACGGGCCTGTCTCCAGCGAGGCGCGGTTCAGTGGCCACAGCTGGCGCATGAGGTGGCCTGATGTACACATAGGGTCGTCATCAGATCCAATTGAAACAGTAAAACATCGCGGAACACAGCTACGAAAATCTCCAGGGCAAGAGAATGTGGCAAGTTACCTCCGCCAAACCAGTGCCCGGCTGATGCTATGTCCACCTTGATCTCCGCCAGCGATGCTGCCTCCTTCTTTACTTTGTACTCAAGCACGTATCCCAGGTCCAGGTTCTGCAGGAAAAGAGAATATCTGAGTTTTATAGCATTATCCAACACCTCAGTGCATTTTGCCATTATAATAAACATGACAAATACTAGGTCAGGTCCAACAAAGGCAAACTCCCGAGACAGATCTTGACCATTGCTGAGCTCGCTGACTGTCAATTCTCAGGCGTTCTAGGCTGTTGACGGAATCTAAATGCTTACGAACTTACCTTACACCAGGAAAAGTTTGACGCTGCCACAGAAGAGCACATGATTCTCAACCTTGCCAGAGGTTGGGAGGGTGGCCCCCATGTGACCTCTGCCTCCAACACTTTATCCCCGTCAAACAGCTGCCTGGTGATACAGAAGCTCTCATCTGATGCTCCAGTGGGAAGACCGACACTGCCATGACCAGCGATGTTCTCTCTGTTCCTGCTGCCAGACTTGCTCTTCAACAAGAAGAACTCTCCAGCAGCTGTCACAACACAGCTGACGTGCTCCCCAGCTAGGGTGAGCCGTGCCGCCTTCTTTGTTGTGCTGTCCGAAGCTGCTGAAGTGCTCGCTTGCTCCGCATCCTGACCAACATCTAGGAAGGAAGGTGGAAGGGGAAGCCTCAGTACAGCTGGGGCGTCTGCTCCAGGGGGCTCGAGGCGGTGCGATACTGGGCTGACGGGAGCATTTGGAGCATATGCACAGCAAATAAGTCTCCGATGTGACAGGCGGGATGCGCAAGGCGGTGCTGAGGTCAAACGCGTGCTGTATTGACTCAGCATCTGAAGGTGTTCTTTCAACTTTCACCTTTACCTGCCCTAAAACACACACAAGCAACTCTGACCAGCACACACACTAGAACAGCTCTCTCTGACTTCCCTAAACGCTCAAGAATCTAGCAGTTTCTAATTCTATTGAGACGACTGTCTCCCCCAACCTATCTTTCAGAGTCAGCATGAGTGAACACGTGGGTCTGTCCAAGAAGAGACCGACCGCACTTTTGCGGTCGGCGATCAATGAGCGCGCGTGATGCCCGATACCGAGCAAATTAATAGCAATCGTTGAGTGCGCATTGTATATTAGGAATTTATTCCTGCATTTAACTTTACTGGACACAGTCAGGTATCGGAAGTATTGTAAGATCCAAGATATATTGACCTTCAGCGGTGTATACTCATAAATATTTCTGTACCAAAGGAGTCTGGCGATGGATTTTCTGGGTCATAAGATGCAGAATAGGCTTCTGAATGGCAGTCACACAGTGGACAGAAGTCCGCATCGTCAGATCTCCCCCACGAACTCATACAGCAATGGGAAGGTTGCAAATGTCAAGCGCCCTCCTGCAGAGACAAGGATGCGTGAACTGATCCTTCCTGGGCAGCATGCGGCGACGCCTGATCCTGAACAGCCACGTGAGCACCTCTTCAGCTGCAGCATCCTTTCTTTCTGAAATTTGCTGGGCTGCGTGCTGACTGGATGCAGATGTGAGCCCGAAAGAGTACAGCTTTCTAATGAAATTGCCTTGCATCCAACAGGATTCGTAGATCTGGCAGTACAGTCAAAAGCTGAAAGAGCTCTCACCAACGGCACGGCCTCATCATCCAAAGCACTGGTTTTCGAGAATGGTGCAGATTGGAGGGTCAGCGCAGCGGCTCTGCAGAACGATGCTGCAGTGCTACAGCCTGGATTCTCTGATAACGATGCAGTCATGCAAGGTGTGCCTTGCTTTCTTCGTGCGCATGGAAACATCTCACAACCTTTAAATGTGCACCAATGAGAGACGTGCTGATGAGCTAATGATGTTCAAACTGCAGTGTCATTACCTACCTCAGCAGTGGAAGTGAGCGAATTTGCGTGGGCAAAGGATGACTACTCAGCCACATGGCGCACTATAGCCATCTGGGCATTCATCATTGAGCTCAGAACTCGGCTATTTTTCATCGACCAAGCCTGGAGCTACCCTGGTGGCATGACGCCTGAAAAGTGCGTCCACATCTTTGTCCCCCTCCGATGCAGTATGTCGAGGACTATTTGAGGAGACAATGATCAGAATTGTCCCTTGTCGCCTTGGCATGCAGGTTTATATATCACCTAACTCTGTTCAAGGCAGCTGAAGTGGTACGTGATTGCTGTGCAGGAAGAGTGCAGCACAACGGCGGTTAGCTGCGTGGACGAGGGAGAACCTTCTAGCCTTGGGCCCAACGTTCATCAAGCTGGGTCAGCTCTTTTCGACAAGATCGGACCTCTTTCCTGCAGAGGTCACTGAGGTGCGCTGAATCTCGTCTGCTCTGCCTGAGGAGCCTTTGAAGTGTTTTGGGAAGCATTCCAGTGGCGTCATCAAATAGACTTTTGCTGGAAGTTGCTCATTGCAGCATCATTGTGCAGGAGCTTTCCTTGCTGCAAGACCGTGTTCCAGCCTTCAGCCCAGAGAGGGCCGTCAGCACAATAGAGCAGGAGCTGGGCGCTCCTGTGACCCAATTGTTCCGCTCCTTTGACCGGGATCCCATCGCAGCCGCCAGCTTGGGACAGGTCAGCGACCAGACCTCCATAGATTTCTAGCTCAAGTGGTTGCTTCTGCAGCAAATGCAATGCATGCATGGAGGCTTACCTGTATTCATCATTCCCTATTATGCAACTGTAGCTTCACAGGGAAGATTTGATGCTCTATCTTGAGTGGATACATCGAACAGCCTCCCTTCTGAATTCCCTTCTGAAAGCCCACCTGCTTGCTGCTTTCCTGCAGGTGCACAGAGCAGTCTCGCACAGCGGGGAGCAGGTTGTGGTGAAGGTGCAGCGGCCGGGCCTGCAGCGCCTTTTTGACATCGATCTGGCGCAGCTGCGCACTGTGGCAACCCAGCTGGACGCGGGGGAGGACGGCCGGGACTTCTCTGGCATCTACGCGGAGTGCGAGACTATCCTGCGACAGGAGATCGACTACATTGCCGAGGGGCGCAACGCCAACAGGTGCATTTGTCTTATCATCCACAGATCACATTTAATGGTATGAAATCAATATGTTGGCATGCAAGGGGCGGGCTGCATATGCCAAAGGGCACAGGGCCTGGAACAGCTGCGTGCAATCAGATAATGGCAAGGGGTGATCAAGTTCGGCTGGTTGGCGGCTTCGTGCAGGTTCAGGCGCAACTTCCGGGGGTTGCCGTGGGTGAAGTCCCCCAAGATTTACTGGGGGCTCACCACAGCCAAGGTGCTGACGATGGAGTACCTGCCCGGCATCAAGATCTCGGCTGCCGCGGCGCTGCGCTCGGCCGGCATTGACACGGCGCTCGTAGCGCGGCGAGCGACGGAGTCCTATCTCATGCAAGTACTGCGTCACTCCTTCCTGCACAGCGATCCGCATCCTGGCAACGTCATGGTCGACACAGACGGTGAGACTCCAACTCATGCTCTCCCCTTAATGAGATGCACAGATATATTCCTCGTGCTTGTCAAAGCGGATGTGTCCCCATCGGATGGTCTGCATTGCTCGGCATGGAGCTGCCTCAGGTCTTCATGCTATTGAATGCATGAGGTGGCTTGACAGGATTGCTGTTCTATTGACGGCCAACAATCTGCAGTGAAGTGCACTACATTGCATGAGACTATCAGCCAAAATCCTGAGCGGCCGAGTCGTTTGGCAGGGAGTCTCATCTTTGTAGACTTTGGGATGATGAGCGAGATCAGCTCCGGGAGGAGGGAAAGTCTTGTGGAGCTGTTCTATGCCGTGTACCGAGCGGATGCAGACGGCGTGCTCGCTGCTCTGATAGACCTCAACATCATCGTGCCCACCGCGGACGCTCTGTCCCTGCGCCGCGCCATTGCCTTCGGCCTCGACAACCTCATGCGCAAGGTGATCTGTGCCCTCAAGCATAAGAGAGTTGCGAGGGTCTAGACGCAGGGAAATCCAGCCTGTCTTGTCATGATATTAGATGGTGTGACAAAAGACTGTGCTAGACTTATGGTGCAGGGCTGCATGCGTTGCAGGCCTCTCTTCCCCACATCCTGCTGTGCATGCTGTGATAGGTGGCCTACCTGCATACCATCTGGTTACTGACAGCCAGAGGAATACAGTAAAGATCTCTTTAGTTTGGAAGCCATGGCACCTGTCTATTCCCCGCACACCAGCTCACTTCCTGGTTGCACATGCGGCCAGGTGGATGAGAAGGAAGCAGTGGCGGGCATCGGGGAGGATCTGTTTGCTATTGCGCTGGATCAGCCGTTCAGGTTCCCGGCCTCGTTCACTTTTGTGCTGCGCGCATTCACCACCCTCGAGGGCTTCGGCCGCACTCTGGACCCCAACTACAAGTTTGCTGCTGTCGCGCAGCCCTATGCCCTGGAGCTGCTTCAGTTGCAGGTCTGTTGATTGCCCCTCATTTGAAGCCCCTGCCATCAAATGCATCACTTGCATTGCATAGAAAGTGGATCGTGGACAGGAGTGAGCTCCTGGCCCTAGTTGTGGGCCATGGGGTGATGCAACTTCCCCGAGCAGACAACCTCCTTGCTTTGAGGGCGGCAGAAATATCGCTGCAACACAGCCAACAGCCAACCTTCTTCTCAGACATGATCAATTCTAAGGAGGTGTTGCTGCATGGTGCTCTCATGGTGAAGCATGAGGTTGTCATTGAGTTTCTGCTTGTGGTGCATGCAGGATGCCCAGGCGCGGCAGGACTTTGTGCTGGACCAGATGCAAAGGGAGGCTGTCAAGGTCGGCAGTGCGGCAATGGCAATGCCAGGTGGGGGCCTGGATTGACTGCCATATGATGCTGCGTTGCTCTATTCGATTGGATGTGCGTCTGGAAAGTTTGTGGAGAGTATAGCAAAGAGCGGTACAATGAACGGTGTTGTGGCCCTGTAGGTCGCGTGGAAAAGATAGACGAGACCCTGCAGCAGCTCAGGGGCGGTGACTTGAAGCTGCGTGTCCGCGCCTTGGAGCTGGAGCGAGCTGCGCGCAGATCCAGCATCCTGCAGGTTCCTCTACACACCCGTCCTGTGCTATTCCTCTGCGAGCACAAGCTTGAACCGGGAATCGCTCATGCAGTCTTCGGCACAACACGAGCAGGGCGATGCATGTGGCCCCGCCAGCTAGACCCTCAGCTGTTCCTGGCAGCTGCCTTGGCTGTGCATGTATGGCCGTATGTAGTACCCTACGCTAAAATTGCTTGCTCTCTGTGTGCCAGCAGAGGTTGTCTGTGCTCGTCCGGCAAACTAGTTGCGCAAAGCATGTCACAGCTGATGTCGGGCTGTTTCTGTGCAGGGTGCCACTATGAGTGCCATCGCAGGGGGCACCCTGGTGAATCTTGGCTCCCAGCTGATCATCAGTGGGCAGTCAGGTGTGGGGGGGACCCTGTTGGCTGGATCGGCGGTCTTCGGGGCCCTCGTGTGGCGGGCATTCTGGCGAGTCAAGCGCATTGACAGATTTGAAAAGAATATTCGGGGATGACCAACAGGGGCTGCATCGCAAAGTGAAACAGTCATTTGCGGTAGTTGATTACTTAAATATTGAAAGTGCACTGAAATTCTTTATTTTCTTTGGACCAAATTGTTGTGCGCGTTGCTGTGGGTACTCTGACCCATTACAAGGAGACTACCTTGCAAGGAATGTCATCAAATGATTGCGAACCAAGACTTGTTTGATATGCATCCATCAGAATTGAAAGTAAGCTTGAAAGAGTTTGTCAGGACTCGTTCTGGCCACAAGCGGCAAGCGAGCACAAACAGGCAAAACAGAATATCCTCAGCATGCACATCCCCTATCAAGACTCATCCATTTCTGAAGCCTGCCCATTTGCCCCCGGATTATGTGCATCCTCTTCCACGCCTTCCCTAACGCCGAATGGGTCCTTGGGTGCACCCTCTTCCCTGCAAATACCCCATGCACGAACCGTCAACTCGCGTGCAATGCCGTCAATCCATGCGGAAGCAACGCATCATGCTTCCCGGCTCATCTGACAGGAAGACCTGTTATTGTGGATGAGCATAAACGAACTGGAGTCATGCAACACAACCTTGTATGTTGCACGCATTGCATATAACTTGCGAGGCAGCCCTATCTCCCTGTATGGTTCTCGCACTGCCTTGCATGTCTTTCGATCACTCTCAGCTCAGTATCCATGACAGGAAAGAGGCCATGGCAGGGGGGTTCATTGTCTTGCAATCACTCTTACAATTGAATCCACAAGAGTAAAGAGGACATGGCAAGGGGGTCAGGAGGGCGCGCACTGGGCAGGCAGCTGGGCTCTGAGGGAGGCAATCTCTGCCTCCAGCTCTCTGCAGGCCGCATCAATTTCGCGGTTCTTCGCCACCGTTGTGGCCCAGCGGCCCTCATAGTCCGTCATCTCCTCCTGCGCCTGCAGCTGCGACACCTTCCGCTCCCTGTTCACCGCCTCAACTGCCGCTCTGGTCTCTGCCAGCATGTCCTCCAGCCTGTGAGCCACAACCGTGCCCAGTTCAGCGCGACAAGTGAGCTTTTCTGTCCTTGAATCCAGGAAAGAGCACAAGACATACGAGGCAATGTGACTGCCAACTACGAAGGCAACTAGAACGTGTTGTGCGCGATGCAATGTGAGCATGGGAGCTGTTATTCATGTTCAAACAGTGCGAGGCTGCTCACCTCTTGTGGCCCACTTCGAGGTGCCTGATGTGGGCCTGCCATGCTTTTGGCCCGAATTGCAACAAGAGCTCCATATTCAGCAGTCTGCAGCAGTCCAAACATCATAAACGCCGATATGCCAAACAGATAAACGCACTGCTTGCCTACGCAGCAGGAACCACAGGCTGACTCCTCACCTGTTATACTGGTGCTCAAGTTGACTGTGCGCATTTTCCAAGGCTGCCTTCCAGGCGGCGACATCATTCCTTCTATTCAGCGGCGGCTCGTCTAATCTGTACCGCGTGGTGTCAAGCTGTGCCATAGGCTGCCCTGCCTTCACCCTCTCATACTCGGCTTTCAGGACTGGGTGCCCCTGTGAGGAATGTCACAACCTCTTCAAGCCTCCAGAACTAGAAATGAACGACCAGCATCGAGATCAACAGAGCATACAAGGAATCCTATGAGCTAGGATCATGTGGTGCCTACCTCCAGATTGAAGTCTGGCAGAGCAGGCATCTCCTTCAAGTAGTCTTGTGGTCTTTTTACGCTATTCTTCAGCTGCAAGACAACCAATTCTTTCTCAATTATGGCGGGTCAGAAGGCCGAGTGACAAAATTTAGATCGCTCACTACTCTTGCTTCACTTGCAACACTCACTCACTCACCTCTTCCATGATCAGTGCATCGACCTTTGTCTTTTCTTCCTGTGAAAGCGGATCAATGTATGCAAGAGCATCGATGAGGTGCTCGTCTTTGCGCCACCCAGTTGCCTCTCCATGCGGTGCAACATCCAGAGCCAAAGGCTGAACCATGACCACCTCTCAGGCTGTCTTGCTCAACAAATTGCTTCTGAGGGTGCCAGCCCCGATTTGACACTCACTTTTTGGACAAACTTTCACGTCTCTCAGTAATATAGAACGTTCTTCCTTCAGTCAGGATAGAAGACAACCCTTTCACTAGCCCGTGTCAAATTTAGAGAGACTGGATGTCTAGAGCATATGACAATCTTGCAAAAATTCACGCGATCATTCTAGAAATGAAGTAATCCCCATCTTGCCCTTGCACTCCGAGAGAAGGTAACGGGGGATCCCGACAAGGACCGCCGTTTGGCTTACTTAGGGCCGTTTGCCCCAGTTCCCAGTTGGGCAGTTGGAGGCCCTTGTCCGATGCATGCAGTGGCAATTCTCCTCGTAATGCATTGAGCTTGCCCCCTTTGTGGAAATGCAGCAGCTCTCTTGTTTTGCAAAACTGGGCGTGACGCATGAATTTATGGTGGCCTTGCACTGCATCGCCTCAAATCTTGCAATTGCTGCCGGCCGGCGCCAGATTTCCATTCATCATCATGAAAGCAGTTTTCTGAGCATTGCTCATTGAGCAGAGTACACCGTGTGAATGACATGTGCGCTGATACTGCTAGCAAGATGTGGCTGCTGTTGCAAACCTACAGAGTCTGGAAGAGCAATGAATCCTGAAACCGAAAGTCTACAGAACAAATGCCAGCTGCCCAGCAATGCTAAGGTCATACATGGGGCCTCTTCTAGATCTAACATTGATCTGCTCAAGCAAAACAAGTACACCCGGTGTGGGCCTCCTGTTCAGCTGCGGGCTGGAACAACTGGGCAGCACATAACATATACAGCTGACTGCGAGACAAATTCTGAATCAAAAACGGCACAGGATGGCACACTTAGAAGTCCTCCTCATCAGACGACATGTCTGACAGTTCCACCCTACACGCAATGTCACACCCATCAGTAGCGATACATCAGCCCCATCAAAGGTATATCTTGTTACTGTTCCCACCAACTTTCGTCAGGAATCGCTTGCATTGACATGGTGACCACCCAGCCCACCTGTTTGCCTGAGAAGCACCGCTGAAGGAAAAGCTGTCGGTCAGGCTGCGGCGAGTTCGCCGCCTGGGCTGCTTGCCCTGATATTTCTGCCCTGCACAAATCACCGCCTTTTCTTTCATGCTTCAATTTTTCTTTCCGATAAGCACCCTTCACCAGTTTACAAAATTGCGCTAAGTCTCACCAGCCAACTCAAATACTGCTTGCAGCCCAGCTGTGACCCTCCAGCAGGCAGGAGATGCGCACCTTGCCACAGAAGAGCACCGAGCAGTGCGATGGCAGGCAGCAGCCTGCCACGTCTCCCGTGGCCTTCCAGCAGCTGATCGGCGGCTGCCACGATTGCGCTCGCCAGCAGCAGCAGGCGGCCCCACAGGAACCTGCGCGGCCGCTCATCCCCCGACTCATCCCCCCCTCCGCCGCCCCCTCCAGATCCCCCGGTTCCCCCGCCCCCGGCACCACCGCTGCTTGTCAATCGTTGACTGCTTGAGGACGGCGGCGCAAAGTCCGGCCTGGCCAGTGTGGCCTTGCCGCCCCTGTTACATGACACGCCTAGGCATGGACTTAGAATGTATCCATTCACCCTGTGCCACCATCACTCGTACCATCAAATGAGCAGTGCAACCAGCCCCAGACGAAAATGGGAAGGAAGCGACCGAGAGTTAGATGGAGACGTTTGAAGTGCTCTCTGCTTGTTACTGGCTGAACACTAGCATTCAAGAGTATTGCTTCATAACGCATCTCTGCGTTTTCTGGTGCACGAGGCGGTTGAAGAACCAACCTTGCATAGCTCAGAGCGTGTGACACCGGCTTGTTGTCCTGTGACAATGCCTGCGCTGAGCTGGATGGGAAGGGTGTGCTGGCGGCCACGCTGGCGTATGCATTGCGGATGCGCTCGTTCCACGCCGCCTCAGCCGCTCTGGCTGCGGCCAGGGCCTCTGCAGCATAGACCTCTGTTTCCGACCGCCACCTCGAGCCTGCAGCTGCACTCTCATGCTCCTTCCTTGCTGTGCTCCCTGATGCGCTTGTATCTGCAGTGCTGGCTGTTGATGTGCTCAGCTCAACTTGGGCGCCCTCATCTGTACTGCAGCTCCCAGTGTCAGCTGCCTGGGACACCAGCATGTTGTATCCCTGAGGACTTTGCAAAGGAGCATGGAGCATCGCATTCATTGCAAGATTGGAGGATAACATATAAACTGCAGCATTAACATGCGATCCAGAATGCAAGCACAGTACCTGGGCGGTGCTTTTCCTTGCTGCCTCTGCTGCAGTGCGCCACAGACGCTGCACATCTGCAGAACCTGCAAGGGAAGCGCCCTCAGTCAAGGATACTATGTGAATGCAGTGAATTATCTCAGTAAGCGGCAATTTTTGAAAGAGACGGCAGAATGTCAAGAGACTCACCTGGCACGTAGGTCTCAGCCCATTGGCGCACATTTGCCTGTGCTTGGTGCACAGCCTGATTGTGGCTGTCGACTGCACCTCCAAGAGATTGCTGAAGAAGATCCGGCCATTCCTGAAATTTGAGATCAATTCCTTGGTCACAAGTATTGTATTATTGCCCCTCAATAACTGAATTTGCCATAGAGCATGTAGCAAAAGCGATGAAGCTGCAGGTGCAACCCGCACCTCCAGACTCTCCTGAGCAATGGCTGCCTGTTTTTCGCTTCGCTGCACCAGTCCGCTGAGCCACTGCTTTGCTCTGTCAGCAGAGGACTTCTGTTGTTCGTCCAAAGTAGAGGCAGCCTTACTGAGGACTTGCGCACCCTTCTGTCCCAATGTTGTCACCGCCTGGGAGTGAATAGGTATCCCATTTAGCGCTCCTGCTTTATAATGCAGGCTGGCATCTTGCGACATGCTGGTATATCAGATGTTACCTGGGTCACTGTGTTTGCTGCTCCGAGACTTAGGGCCAGGAAGAAAACCCCCACAGCGTAGTCTTCCCTTCTCATGCCCCCAACAAGCTTCAGTGTCGTCTCAGGGTCCTGCTTGACAGCCTCTTTTGCACTCCTGCACTTGTACACTACAAGCTTGAGAGAGATGGCATTTGGGACGCTTTTTGGCATCCAGTATGAACTGCGATATGACAGACATTCTGCAGCGAAGGTGAGCTTTCATGATGGGGATGTAAAGCCAAACTCCTTGATCACCTGACAATTGACCATTCGGAGACTTCGGCTTCGAATTGTGCGCTCCCAAATAGCTGTGGTGGCGAGGACGGATCGAGATCCGTTCGGATCATGAGCAGTGACGGTTCAGAGTCTGTGCTTTCCCGCCATTGGGGATTTCTTGGAGCTTCCAGGACTTCATCTTTCACCGTTGCCTTGGACAGCGCAAGAATTCTCCTTTTCACTCCTGCAGGCTTTATGAGCCCATAACGAAGCCCACAGAGCCAGAGGGGACGGTGCGACAAAGAATGCAAGGTTGATAGCGTGGGGACCGTAAGACGATGGGGCCGGCTTCTGATGATGCTGCTAAGCCTTGGCTTGGCAAAACAAGGCTGGGGAAATGTGATTGGTCTTCGTTGCATCATGCGCGGTCAGAATGCCTGGCTGAGCTCCTCAGATGGGCTTGGCCTGCCTGTGCAAAACAATATTGCCGCAAGGCCTATCAGATCTCACAGCAGAAGAACTGAGTTCTTAGAGACATTATAAGCAACCGAAACCGACCTGGATTATTGTAGTGTCTTCCTTTGCAAGATCAAGAGAGTCATGTGGCTGCATGTGTTTGGCATCTGGCCGGAGGCGTTCCATGGAAGTGTCCTAGCTATAGCCCTTCATTCACGAATCTCAGTGCATTTCACAGAGTGCGGAGTCTTATATTCTAGACAAGGGAATCACGTTGAAGAACTTCTATTCATGGACTGATCGTATCGATGAGCTATTTAGGCTCATCAACAAGATTGCCATTATGGCAATCCAATTTCTGTTGGACTTTCAACGGGCAGGAAACTCTTGAATAATATCATCAAATCTACGATGCTTTTTTTACCGGAGCTTTGAAAGTCTCTGTTTGGTTGTTAATTGTTACATTACATCTGCAATGTAAACGTGCAGTGCACAAAGGAAGCTCTGCTGGCATGCCTATGGCGCAGTCCGCCCTTAAGAACAACTAGCTAGTGTACTCTCAATATGCCGGAGTCGCCTTACAAACGGCCCAGGTTGGTGTCGCCCTATGGTGCTCCAAGTCCTGGTGTGAGTCCAGCAGGTATGCAGATCGTCTCTAGCGCGCCAGATAAAGGGCAAGATCTCATTGAATTCTTTGCCAGTCGGAGCGAGCGTGCAAGGAATCAGGATGAAAAGATCAAAGAGCTGAATAGCTCCATGGAGAGGCTTGAAACCTCACTCAAGAGAGCGCATGCAACCATCGACTCCCAGAAGGTGACTCATTGTCGGCAGTCATGCAGGCATTCGTTCTGCTTCAGGCTATGTCCTTGATGGCCCCTGAGCTGGTTTCCAAGAAGGAGCGCCAACAATTTTCATATTTGGGTGAGGCAGGCAGAGGTGGTGAGGGAGAGGGCGCAAAGGGAGGCTATGGAGAGCAGGATGAAGCAAGAAAAGGAGCTTTTGGAGGACGTCCTGCACAGGGAGATGAATAGAGCGTCGGCATTGCAGGCCGAGCTTTTGCAAGCACAGCAGGCAAAGGTGAGCAGCTGTCAGCAAAGATGCCTCTTATCACGCAGTCCAAGCGTATTGCAGACACCCCCTTCTGTGCCTGGCAAGCTTGAATAAAACGGTGCTTGTCATGCCTATTTGCTTCTGATGATATGCAGAGAGATGCGGACTTTGGTCGTGAGAGGGCAGAGGCAGACCAGGCAGAGGCAGCAGCCACCGCAAAGCGAGCAACACAGAGCCTGGAGAGAAAGATAACGGTGCTGGAGGGGCAATTGGCAAATGCAGCTTCTCAGGCTGAGGAGAGCTGCCAGAGCCTGGCTGCAGAACTCAGGCAGGCGCGGCTGCAAGCGGATCAGTCTGCCCGCTCACAGAGGTACAATCTTGCAGCTTTCTCAATTTATCTGGGTAGATATTGTAATAGTCAACTTTGAAAACCATATTGTTTGCAATGGGCATGTGCAAAATGCTGGTGCATCATTGCAACAATTAGACTGTCAAGAAATATATACATTTCTGGTGATGACATACCGTTCGTGACACTCACTCTGCAGGGAACTGGAGGTGCAGCTGGAGGAAGCTGTCACGCTAGCAGAGGAAGCCGCGCGCAAGCGCAGGGAAGCCGAGACGCAGCTGGCGGCAGCCGAAGCGCGCGCGGAAGCGGCCGTCGGACAGGGCGCGCCATCGCGCACCGGGGACGGCAGGGACGCGGAGCTGCGCAACCTGCGGGAGGAGCTGGCTGCACAGGAGGAAGCCGTCAGGGAAGCGCGCCGCCTGAAAGACCATGTCAGGTGGGTGGGTTCAGTGACTGCCCTTATGCATGCGTGACTCTGCTACCTTTGTTCTCATGGCAGATTGATGTGATTCTCCCACCTTGGCAAAATGGAATACTCCAGAATTTGATGTATGTCCTGTTGAGGAGCATCTGAGATTTCAGCTCCACCGCACTGCTTGACAGGGCGTGGAGTGAGCGAGGTCACAGACTCCGAGGCCTTGGTGATGGCCATGCAGGAAGTCAGGTATTCTAGCGGAGCAGCTGATGGCATCAGAGGGGAAGGTGCGACGCTTGGAGGCGGTGGCGGCCGCGCACAGCGAGCTGCAGGCCCAGGTGGAGCCGCAGCAGGCAGAGCTGCGCCTGTGGCGCTCCGCGCTGGCCGGCGCGGCCGGGGCCGGCAGCGCCGCCGGCCCCGAAGCTGTGCTGCAGCTTCTGGAGGACCTGCGCGGCCAGGTGCTGACGCTGAAGGAGCACACTGGCGAGAAGGAGGCCGAGGCCAGGCGCCTGCAAGGTCGGTTGTCGGCCACTGCACCTGTCGCATGCCTGCTATTGACTGTGGCTGGACGTGCTCTATTTTCTGTTTGTAGTGTAGTCTCAACAAAACAGGTCACTACCACAGGGACATGCATGGACGAGAAGCACTGCTGCTGCAGGTGTACATAGTGCTTCTTATTCTGCCAGAGGGAGGTTGTGAGCAACAGTTGCTGAATGTTGTGCAGAGGCGGTGAGGGCGGCGGAGGATGCAGCTAAGGAAGCGGATGCGAGGCTGCTCAGGACACAGGCGGCGCAGTCGGAGGCGGCTGGAGCGGTGGCACGACTGGAGCGCAAGGCTGCGCTCCTCGCCAAAGAGCGGGACGGCCTCAAAAGCATCCTGGCCTCGTACGACGAGGAAGAGGGCAGCGCAGGTGCGCGCTCCCTGTCCTGCATGCAGTGCTGTAGAAGGTGAACACGACATAGGGAGGTGCTGCTGTGCATCCGTGCAAGCTTTCACAGGCAGGCATCCAGAATAGTGGCCTCCTAATGTAAGGATCTGGCCACCGGTGACAGAAACCACAAGGAAATGCACCTCTAAAATGCAACCGCAGAACTGCAGTATGTCACGGAGTGCTGCTTGGCCGTGCAGGTACGGGTACCGGTGCTGCGCAGACCGAGCACGTGAGGGAGCTGGAGGCGACAAATGGGGCTCTGAAGGCCCAGCTGCAGGTGCTGGAGGAGGAGGCTGCGCAGGGCGTGGCGTCCCTGCGCGCGCAGACCGAGAAGCTGGCCGCTGCCACCGAGCGCGCCGACAAGGCGGAGTCGCTGGTGCAGCGGCTGGAGGCCGAGGCCGACGCACAGGGGCGCCAGATCGCACTGCTGGAGGTGTGCACATCGCGGCTGTGGCACACTACCCTTTGTTTTGCAATGCAAAATCTTCCAGGAGCCTCGTGCAGGCCGGTGCCTCTGCATGCAAGGCAGAGCAAGTATTGATGAGGCCAGAATGGCAGGTGAATTGAAGCTTGTCGTTGCCATGAATGAGCTTCTGGCAGCGCTCATCAAAGTAAGCCCTGGAAACAGACTTCAAGGGGAATGAGTGCAAGAAGTTACATCTAGCTCAACAAGCAGAGCGCAATCTTGAGGTATGAATGGGGAGTACAGGATTGTGGATAATTGCATGTTCTGAAGCCCCTGCTGACAAACGGTGGTGTGGGCAGGAGCGGCTGGGGCGTGGGGAGTTCAACCCGTCGACGACGCGCGTGCTGCATTTCGTGCACAACCCCGAGGCGGAGGCACGCCGGGAGGCGGAGGCCGCGCAGGTCTCGCAGCTGCAGGCGGAGGCGGCCGCTCTGCGCGCGCAGCTCGCTGTGCTTCAGAGCAGCGACGCCGGCGCCTCCGACTCATCCGCGCCCGCCGCAGCCGTTGCCGCCGCCGAGAGGACCCTGCTGGAGCGGAAGGTGTGCCTTGGCTCATTCCAGGCATATATGTGTTTTTTGTGTCAGCCCTCTAGCTTTGCATCGGCACTCAAGCGCGCCTTTTTAGCCCGACACAAGTCAATATACTGTGTTTCCAAAAGGATATCAGTCAGGCCTCGTTTGCGCTGTGGCAGGTGTCTGAGTTGGAGAAGAGGGAGTCGAGGCTCAAGGAGGTGTTCAAGACCCAGGTGTCCAACTTCAGGGAGGCCTGCTTCTGCCTCTTCGGCTATCGCGTCGACATGGCGTCTCAGGTGCTGACTCATGCAATGCAGCACATGCTTAGAAGGGATTTCAATGATTCTTATTGTCTGATGTCATGCCTTTGACCCATGCCATTGGGGCTGGACAGACAAACTCAGGTGATTACTTGGATATGTTGCAGGCTACTTCAAAAGGAGGCCCGCCTCCCACAACATTTGTGCTGAAGCCGCAGCATGCCGACGACCCCCATGCTCAGCTGCTGTTCAAAATGGATCCCAACGGAGGCATGGTCCTGCTGCCGAATGAGTTCACCACCAAGTACCTGCACCGCGAAGTGGAGACTTTCATCACACGGTGAGCACCAGCCACTGCTCTGACGGCCTTGAAATGTCCAATGGCACGCGCATGGGGTTCCTTTCTGATCGAGACGTGTCATGTGGATTGTGTTTTTGTTACGACATTTGTCTGCATCTGATTTGAAGAATTCGTGCTGTTGCAGCTTCAAGTCAATACCGGCATTCACTGCCAACCTGACCATGGAGATGTTCCAGAAGCAAACGCAGTGTTGATGTTGCCTGCATCAGAGTTGCATGAGCAGTGTTGTCGTGCGTGTGTTACACGCCTCCCCAGAGGGGCCAAGTTGTCAATCTTGAAGGTATTCTACATGTTGTGTGAAGCTGCGGTACCGGTGATCGGCTGAAGCTGTATGCATTGAATGTTTCATAGGCGAGGCTTGCATATATCTCAGATTCGACTTTGTGGTAGCCATTGGTGCACTGCAGCTCAAAATTTGAACATTAGAGGATATACTAGTGGACCCCTTCTATCATATGTGGGTGTCACCCATTCATTCATTTCAACCTGGTGTCTCAGTCCACCCACTTGTGCCAGCTGTGGCCTTAACACGTCATGCCTTCACGTGCTCCCACCTGCAGGCCTACCCCCAAACTTTCCCTTGGCTCTCAACAAATTCTCGCGAGAGATTGCTCAAAAGGCTTTGTCATCTTATACAGGAAGCGATCTCTTGTCTTCAGCTCAAGAGGATCATTACAGTTGAATGCTTGAGCTTCACCACCAGATCTGTTTCACTAGCGGAGCAGGATTGCGCAAGCCCTGTCACGGCTCAGCTAAGCGTTGCAGACATCAAACCAGATCGACAGAAATGTCACAAAGGTTGCATGAGGTATGAGTTACATAAAGGCGTTCTCCTTCTTTTGGTTCTCGGACACGTCTGCCTCAAGCACCGAGTGCAGCAACTTCATGCACATATCTGGATACAAGCTGCCCACTGCTGTTTGTGATGCCAAAATTTTAGGTGGCAGCCAGCGCATCTGATAACGGCGCCTTGGAATACCCAACTGTGGAGGACTTTGTGGGAAACACCCCTCTTGTTCGTCTGCAACGCTTGAGCAGTAACCCATCGAAGGTTATCCTTGCAAAGCTCGAGGGCAACAACCCTGCTGGAAGCGTAAAAGACAGGTGAGGTTTGACTTGGCTCATCTTCTCCTGGTGACTCTGGCGCCACACACAGACAAGCACCACTGAGTGGCAGAGCATCAAGATAGTAGTCGGAGTCAGTCAACTGCATGTGGAATCACAGGCCAGCGATAAGCATGATAGCTGAGGCAGAGCAGAAGGGTCTGATCAAGCCTGGTGACACTCTTGTGGAAGCAACCTCTGGCAACACAGGAATTGCTCTCGCAATGGCTGCAGCAATCCGAGGTACTTATCTCAAAGGCACTGCTGTGCACTTCTATCGTTATTGCACAGGGTACAGTACATCCAGCGATCGTAGCCCCAAACCAGGGTAATCTTGAGCCTGCTGGATGCTTGCACAGGGTACAAGCTGAAGCTAATCATGCCAGCAAACATGTCAGAAGAAAGGCGGGCAGCGATGGCAGCATATGGCGCAGAGCTTATCTCTGTGCCTGCTGGCAAGATGGAGCTGGCCAGGGACTTGGCGCACGAGCTGCAGGTAATGGAATACTTTTGCAAGTCAGCGCAGGTACTGTATTCACATTGATGCGTGTCAGCTGGATGGCCTTCTGATCAGTCCATGCCGCATGATGGGCAATCTCTGATATGTGAGCTGCTTGTAACAGGAAAGAGGGGTGGGTGTGGTTCTTGATCAGTTTGGCAATCTGGACAACCCGCTCAGCCATTACAAGACAACTGGGCCTGAGGTTTGGGAGCAGACTGGGGGCCGCATCACCCACTTTGTCTCCTCCATGGGCACAACAGGTGTGCTTTGAAACTTGACCATCAAGTTCGATGGTCGCTCATGATTATGATATATTGCATGCAATATGCGCATGAAGATCACTTGTGGGGACGGTGTGCAGGGACAATAATGGGAGTGAGCCGGTATCTGAAGGAGAAGAACCCTGACATCCAGATTGTGGGGTTGCAGCCTTCTGAGGGCGCCTCTATTGCCGGCATCCGGCGCTGGCCCAAGCAGTACCTGCCCAAGATCTTCCAGGTGGACACTCCTTGCCTTCATCCTACCCTGGCAGACTCCTAGTGCCATAAAACTGACATGGAATCTCTGCTGGAGGCATGGGGAGCTGACCCCTGCTTATGATGGCTGTGCAGGAAGAGCGAGTGGATCGTGTGATGGAGATTGGGCAGAGGGAAGCAGAGGAGACCATGAGAGCCCTTGCTAAGGTGGAGGGCATCTTTGCAGGTGGGGTCTAGTTCCATTTATGACGGGTTAAATGGAGTGTGGTTATCTGGGGCTTTTAGGCTGCTTTGGATTGAGTGGCATCACAACCAGGGGTTTCCCTTGTGTTAGGCACAATGCAGTGGCATACTTCCCAGTCGCGGACAGAGGAAAGGGGTTGCGCATGGCCAATATGACATATTGTTGTTCTGGTGCAGGAGTGAGCTCTGGTGGTGCGGTCTCTGCAGCGCTGCGCCTGTCAGCAGAGGTTGAGAACGCGACCATAGTGTGCATCATCTGCGACCGGGGGGACCGGTACCTGTCAACAGGTGACCCCCCATCCTGCATGCGGCTTGTGTTTAGCAGCTGCAGCGCTCAGCTCAGGCATTTTTACCCAAGGCAAGGGTCATGTCTGGCGGAGTGATTTACTGTGTTGTGAGAATTTAGGCGTCTTCTCTGAGGAGGCAGCTGCGAGCGATCCACAGCCCTGCAGCGCATCAGAATTTCCCTCTGCAGCAGCAAGGCTGATTGGGCTTCCAGAACCGCATTACATCCTCTTCACAGCAGATCCAGACCCCGAGACAGGTTGGGCTCACCTTGTTGGATATTCCATGATATGGGTGGGCTTGGCTTGCACACTCAAAATATCATTTTGTCTGATGTGAGTTTAGTTGCTGAGTCATTCATTGGCTGAAGGGGTGCTTAATTATGCAGGCGTGCCATGGTGCCCTGACTGCGCACGCCGCCTCGGTGCCGCTCGCGCGCGCGTTGCCGAGGTTGGCGGTACCTTGCTCGAGGTTCAGGTACGATTACGAACCAAATTAAATCTAGCATGCTAGCCATGGGCTGACCCTCTTGCATGCATGTGGGAGTCTGGCACTCCATTGTCACGTGCTTCCTGCCTGGTTCCAATTTTCTGGGGTCCAAGACATGGCATTGATTGGAGCGTAAAGAGCCTTTAAATCAGCGCAGGTGGGTCCACGGCCTGTTTGGAAGGATCCGCAGAACCCGCTACGGCATCACCCAGTGCTGCAACTGAAGGGCATCCCAACCATGATGCGGTGGCAGAATGGCGCGCCAGGCGCCAGGCTGGGGTCCACCCTGGAGGCAGCAGCCACGCCAGAGGAGGCAGACAGGCTCATCAAGGACTTTGTGAGCTCAGATCTGCGCGCGGCTGCAGCGCAGGACGGCGGCAGTGAGGTGGATGTGCAGGCATTGATACAGCAACTTGAGCAGGCCAGCGCCGCAAATGGTGCTGTTTCACGTTGAGTGCTGTTGATATAAGCCACTTTTGTCAATGTCATCTCCAAGCCATATATCAATATCTTTGATAGCCACCCCAGCAGGATTGCCATGAATTATATCTTGGATGTGTTCTTCTGTGGAATGATGCTCATGCATTCTGTGTATCATCAAAGTAAACTTTTGAGACGCTTGGGTTGTATGTGCCTGTGCACGGCATACAACGCAGCGCTAGCGCATGCCACAACTGTGAATGCAGCTGCCAGCTGAGCTGCAGAGACATAAGAGAAATTGGAACCAATCAGTGCATGTTGAAGCCAAGATGTCCTGTATCTGAACTGTCTTCAGCTCGCTCGGAGGAAGCTCAGGCAAGGCGATTACCTCTTGAGATCATGAGGTTCATGACATCAGCAGCTTCCTGCAATGCGGAAGGTGGTACTTCACGGCTGCTGTTCCTTGGATCTCTTCCCCTCAAAAGCATGATCGCTGCTAACGCGTCTGTAGATACTTTTGCTATGTTTACCAAACCGAGACACACGCACCCTACGAAGTATTTGTTTGTAGGCAACTGTGGCACTGCAGTTGGGCTCACTGAAGAGGCTGTCGAGGCTTTTTTAAATCATCTGGGTGCGGTGGATGTGATCTTTCCGCAAGAGAGAAAATCATTTTCGCACATTTTTGTTGTATTTGATGACGAAGGAGTGGCTGAAGGCGTCTTACATAGTCTCGACGGGAAGCCATGTCATGGGCTAGGCAACAGAGTCTTGGCAGCAAAGTATGCAGATCTCAAGGAGGAGAAGGTAGATTAGAAAGCATCCTATATTTTGCAGCTCTCTGGTATATCATTTGTCTCGCACCAGATCAGCATAGGCAATGCTGCTTTACAGGAGATGGAGCAGCTGCCAGTGCATACAGATGCCAAACAATGCGCCATACCTGGCCTGGAGTTGCACAAGGACTTCGTCTCAGAGGAGGAAGAAAAGGTCAGTCCAAGCCTCTCCCAGATCAAGCCACGCACCTATTGAAGCATGCTCTGCTTTTTTTCATCACCAGTACTTGCATTTCAACGCGGAACTTGGTGGGTGCAGGAGCTCCTTGCCGAGGTTGAGGACGGATGCTGGGAGACGCTGGCCAGGCGGCGAGTGCAGCACTTTGGTTACAAGTTTGAATACTGGGTGCGGCGACAATGTCTCATGCAGATACAGGTCCCCCCACTAATCCATGCCGCACAATATTAGGCATGCGCAGTCAGAAGCAATCAAAAAATTCAAAGGGGCAGCTTACTCAACGTGTCATGCAGGCGCGCAATGTGGACGTCAGTAAGCCGATCAGGCCGCTGCCGCCTGCAGCTCAGCGGCTGCTGCAGCGGCTGGAGCAGCTGCTGGGAGTGCAGTTTGACCAGCTCACTGTCAATGAGTACCAGCCGGGAGTGGGGCTGTCCTCACATGTCGACACCCACTCCGCCTTCAGGGGTGCATCTCCTTCCTCTGCTCCATGCTGTGTTTTTATATTCATGAAGGTTGTTGTTTCACATGACATCACTCTAATCACCAAGTGAGCCCTCCTGGGAGGCATCAACTTCTTGCACTTGCATTTCTTTGTCATTCTTTTGCCTCGGCTGGCCGCAAAAGCTGAAGACTGAAATAAAAAAAACATTCAAATACAGCTTGAATTTGCTTGGGTGCACGCAGGGCCGATATTGTCACTATCGCTGGCGGGGCCCTGTGTGATGGAGCTGCGGCGCGAGGGGGACCACCGCCCGCTGGCGCTGCCGCGGCGCTCACTGCTGGTGCTGGCAGGGGAGGCGCGGCTTGCGTGGCATCATTATATCCCCCACCGCCGCGCTGACACCATCGACGGCCGCCGCGTCCCGCGCGCATTCCGCCGCGTCTCTTTCACCTTCCGCAAGGCGAGCCCCCTCTACCCCATCACTGCCCCCACAATGGCTCCTGACGCCACCAACTGCTGCACCCATACACTGGCCGCAAGATCCTTCCCAGTACCTATCGAGAAAAGCTGATCTTGACAGTGCAGCCAATGGAGCCAACATAACGTCCAATGGGCCCAACAATGATGCTTTTATAATTTATCCTGGCGATCTGGGCCATTCTTTGACCCTGTAGTGCTGGTGGGGCCACAGGTGAGGTGCAGCCCGTGCGACTGCAGCTGGCCGGAGAGCTGTGACAGCCAGGGCGGCGGCATGCCTCCCACGCGCATGGCGCTGGCCGTACAGGCTGGCAGCGTACAGCCCCCCAGCGCAGCAGCCTCAGCGCCAGCGCAGGCAGCAGCGCTGCTGCAGGGCATGCAATCGAGGGACCCTCAGCCGTCTGAAGCGCAGCCAAGCAGTGGTGGGGGCAGCTGCAACGGGACCGCATCCTTGATGGGCCACTCAGGCAGTGGCTCTGATTATGGCGGCACCTCAATTGGCGCATCCAGCAAAGCGAAGAAATTTTCTGGACGCGGGGCTGAAGGACACGATGAGGGCGCTGCAGTCATGTCCCAGTCAGAGTGCCAGCAAGGGGCACCACAGGACAGACAGCGGAACACGGCAGGGATGCCGGGTGCAGCATCTGCACATGAGGCGGCAGCTGCTCCGCAGCAGTGCAGCAGCCTGGGGGATGAGGATGACACACAGTTGGAGCAGATGGAGGCTCGATATGTGCACAGCGTGTATGACATCATTGCCACCCACTTCAGCGCCACACGCTTTGCCATCTGGCCCAAGGTGCTCCTGTAGTACCCTCTGCGATATCTTCTTTCTTGGCAGGCTATGGCCAGTTCCACGCCACCATTCAGGTGGTCATTGCTGTGCAGGCCTGCTGTGGCATCATCTCCTATGTCACGTTGTGAACACTCCAAGTTGCAGGAGTGATGATTGTGTGGGTGCTGATGTGCAGGTGAAGGCATTCCTGCAGTCGCTGCCGTCTGGGGCTCTGCTGGCGGACGTGGGTTGTGGCAATGGCAAATACTTTGGCGTGCGCCCAGATGTGGCCGTGCTGGGCTCTGACCGCAGCCCCAACTTGGCAGAGACAGCTGCTCGAAGGTCCCAGCCCACGCCTTCCCCCCTGGCACTGAATGCCCTGTGGAAGCTCCCAGGCAAGAAAGAGGCTCCAAATGTGCCCACTGAACGGTCCAACTGTTCATGTAGGTTGCGGCCGATGGCGACGGCGGCTGTGCCCGGCCCCCTGACACGCTGCGATGTTGCAGTGGCGGACGGGCTACATCTGCCCTACAGATCAGGTGCATCCTCTCCTCCCAGCCGCCCAACATAGCTGCCTTGATCCATCTGTAGATGAATTGCTCCGGATTGCACCGATCAGGAGGCCAAGATGGGGTGCGGGACGAGCAGAGTTTTGTGGCTGGTTGCTAGTGCACCCTATTCAACACATGTGAGCCCTCTGGGCGCAGGAACCAGGTTGCAAAGCAGAATGTGGAGCAGATCAGGGGGATGTTCATGCCAAAATGTGTGCTCTGCAGGCGCTCTGGACGCGGTGGTATGCATAGCGGTGCTGCACCATATCAGCAGCGAGACGCGGCGGGTGCGGCTGCTGCGTGAGCTGGCACGCGTGCTGCGGCCGGGCGGCCGCGCGCTCGTCACCGTGTGGGCCTCCCAGCAGGAGGAGCCCGGCAAGCTGCAGAAGTGGGAGCCCATCCCCTCAGGTCAGTCCCTTGCCCATGGCCTCACTATCACCACAGCCCCAATGCCATTGCTCTGATCGCCCGCCCAATGGCAGCAGTACTCCCAAAGTTTCTTACGATGTTCAGGCCAGGAATCAGTAGATTCTGCAGTTGTAGTGTCTAGTACTGGGGCCCAGCAATAGCCCATTTTGCCTCAAGGTGGCAGGCAAGGTATGCAAGAAATTGATGTTCCTTGCTCCCCACAAGGCCCCAAAAAGGAGTGAGGAAAGATGTCGTCCATGCAGGGGACAAGGAGGGCATTCAGCGGGGGGATTACTTCGTGCCATGGCACATTCCGCTGCACAGAGTGGAAGCGGCAGCAGCTGCAGCCAAGACGCTGGCGGCTCCTCAAGCAGATTCTGCTGAGGGGCCTGGCACTCAGAAAGCCATAAATAGCAGAGGGCAGCATGTGGTGTCCAGTCCACCTCCAGAGAGCGGAAATGGCTTGGGCTGCAGTGTATCTGACGCTGGCAGCGGCATGGCAGGTGCTGCAGAGAGGCGCACCGGGGTGGGGAGAGCAGGGATATCAGCAGAGAGTGCACCGGATGGGCGGATAGACAGGGCCAAGGGAACAGTGGTGTTCAAGCGATACTACCACCTATTTGATGAGGGCGAGCTGAATTCTCTGGTGCTGCAAGTGCCTGGAGTGAGCATATCCGATTCCTTCTATGACAAGAGCAATTGGTGTGTGATCTTTGAAAGAACCGCATAATTTAAACAAGTGTAAGGCATAGTGGTCGTTATCGTGTCGATTTTACATCTCTTTTGACTGGCTCGCGATTGACTTTAAAGACTTCCCAATTCTCTTGAGAAAAGAAAAGAGCACAATGTCATGTGCCCTAGCTATTCTGTCCATTCTTGACCAGACAATACACTTTTGGTACAATGCTCCTGAACTCACCAGCAGGCAGAACAGACTGTATCACACCCTGTCACGGCAGCTGCTTACTATTTGGATCTGGTAGCCTCTGCAGCAACAATATGAGCGCCACTCCCATGACAGCTCCAGCCAAGTGTGCAATGTGGCCAACCTTTGAGGCTCCAATCATGGCTCCACCATTCTGGGCACTGACCACTTCCTGTCAACAAGATCAAGCAGAAATATCACTGACAGATATCACAAGCTTCCCAGACCACAAGCTTCTCAGAAAGAACCAGTTCTGGAGGATACGAGAAGCGTCCACTGGAGCAATTCCAGAAAACCAGAGAAACATACATAAAAAACATATTTTTTGTATGTATGAAGCACAGACAAAGCAAGATGACTTTGTCAACAGAGCTGCCTCACCTGGAGCACTTGCTTTACGACAAACTGTCCCAGGACCAGGCACTCAACCAGCTTCTGAAAGTTAAAGCGCAGCTTGAGCAGCACAGCCACTGCAAACAACCCAAACACAGCCCCCGAAGCTCCAAGTGAATACGTTGCAGCAGGATCCGCAAAGAAGGATGCCGCGCTGGCCCCTGCATTAAAGGCATCATATCTGCAATGAGACATAGCTGACACACCAAGCATGTGCAGAAGAGACTGCTGTATCAAAAGAAGAGAAGTGCTGTGCTGAAATTGATGAAAGATATGTGAGGAGCAAACCCACCCACAGAGCACACGATGTAGGTGAACCAGAGGGCTCCCGGGCCTTCCTCCTCCTCAACTATTTTGCCAAAGGTGTAGAGCATGAAGAGGTTGGAGCTGAGGTGGTCCCATGAAGCATGGCAGAAGGCTGCTGTCAGGAACTGCCACCAGTGAGGGGCGCGATGCCACAAGTACAGGCTGCTGACCCATGGGGCTTTGAAGACGTAGTCCGCCGCATACAGAACCAGATTGACGAGGAGGAGCCAGAACACGCCCACAGCTGACGAGCTGCTGGGCTTCATTGTACTGCTTGGCAGGTAGGCAGAAGACTGGCTATCTGGAGTAGGCGCTGCAGGACATTAAGACATAGGGGATAATTAGGCACTTCAGTGCAATACAACCAAAATAGTCGCTATTTTACTGTGGAAACATGCTAAAAAATCCCACCTGCTGCAACCACCAGCCTCCTGGCCAACGCATTTCCTCCTAAATGCCGTATGCGAGGAGACCTGGTACTATGAATGAATTCTAATGTATTTCTTGAGATGTACTGTTGTAGTGCAGAGGTGCTCTGTGTTCTGCAAGAACATCTTGATGTACTAGATACCCACTGGTGGCAGGCCTTGTGCTGCAAGTGGCTTGAGAACAGGGGCCTTGTAAACAACATCGACAAGGCCCTTTCTGCTGTCAGTTATTCACTCAATCTGTCCAAGAATGAAAGGACGGTTATGAGGAGGTCCAAGGTGGAAGACGAAAGAGAGGAGGAACGCCTTCGGAGAGGTTGACAAGCTGGATCACGAAAGGATTGATGGGCGATGGCAGCTGATGTCAAGGATGTTTTATTGATTTCACATTGCTGCATACCATTTTATAATATATTTTGATCCAAAGGGAGGCCATATCGCACCGTCAGATATAACAGCAGCAAAGCTCAGCTCTCAAAGATATTGTAAACGAAGCAGCGCACTATTGTTCTATCATAGAGTTCAAACGTTGAAATTTTTTAATACAAAGCTCGACGTTTCAGATGATTTGTCAAGGTGAGAAAGTTACAAGGAAGTCTTGGACAGTGCACAGGCTTGAGGTGATCCACATAAATATGTTTCTGAGTCTCTTTGTCGCAGGATCCTCTCTGGGTCTTCCTAAGCAGCATACATTCCGCCAGCCTGTTGCATTGAAGGCATGGAGATCAGCTACATGCAGGCCGCAAAGGCAGAGCTTGGCAGCAAGAAGGTCAGGACACACTGCCTCTTGTTGGAGCTTTCCTGACCAGTTCATGATATCTGTGGATCTCCGTATGTAGACTTTATACTGACATCATTCACTACATTCAAAGCAGGTCCGTTATGGTGAGAGCAGAGGCGCTAGACCCTGACAATGCCAGCATCCTTGTGGCCGGTGGTGGAGGTGTGGCTCTCTCAGTGACACGCCGCTTGAAGGACATGGGATCATGGGTGTGGATGCTGCAAAGGAGCGACTCCCGTAGGTCTGTGCACTCACAAAGTCATCCTTATTTAAAGTTGGGTTGCTCCTGGAGCTACTAGCGTAGTGCGTAGCACCAGATAAGAATGCAATGCACATAGCGCACCCGGTCAGCATTGCCGTTGAGCAATGGCATCAGTATCCTGGACATGTGTTGTATGGCGATGGCAATGATCCTTTCGAGTGGCATGCGCCTGGCTGACCGGGAGAATTATTTTATGCAGGCAGGAGATCGAGAAGATGATGGCCATTGTCGTGCGGGGGGATGCGCTCAATAAGGATGATATCCAGAAGGCATTTGATCAGATTGAGGAGGTGGATGCAGTGGTATCCACCCTTGGAGGCACCCCCGGCGACCCAACCGCCGATTCTCAGGTGAGTACAATCACCGTTTTTGGATTTGCCTGAGGAGGTTGGATGACTTCCTCTCCTGTGTCTGCAGTATAGTCTCATCTTTGTTTGCAGCCCTCGTGCATTGTTATATGACGCTGTTCCTGCCAGAGGCAAGGTGCTTCTGCACACAAAGCCGCTGGTAAAGGCTGCCATATAATCTACCCCTGAATGGACTCGCCAGATCCAAGCAATGTGTGTGTACTGAATGGTAAGTGGTTGCGCAGGGCAACATCAACTTGATAGAGGCGGCCTTGGCCAAGGGCGTCAAGAAGTTTGTGCTGGTGACGTCGATCGGGACAGGGGACAGCAAAGATGCACCGCCCTCCCAGGTCTACGACGTGCTCAAGCCGGTGCTCCTGGAGAAGGAGAAGGCTGAGGAACGGCTCAAGGTTTGTCCAATCCGAAGTTTAAAATTTCCTCTCCACTGCAAGCGGTGCTGTTGGGAATGCAATTTTCTAGTTTTAGACTTTGGTCTCCATAGCATTTCTTTGGTATCAGTAAGGCCTGGTGCTCGCTCTGCCTTGGTGCCTGCATTCCTCTTTTTCTGAAAAGGACATGGCCGATTTTGGAGTCAGGACATCATGACAGCGTGATGCTGGGCAGCTTTGATATATGAGGTTGCTTGTGCTTCTTGCTCGCAGGCTGCCGGCAGCCAATTGGATTGGACCATTATTAGGCCAGGCGGCCTGAAGAACGAGCCGCCAACCGGCAGCGGAGTGCTGACTCAGGACAAGAGCATCTGCGGCGCCATCAACCGCGAGGACGTGGCTGATCTAGTGGTCAAGGCCCTCTTCAGCAACAAGGCCAACGGCAAGGTAAATCCTGATGACACAGCCCTCTTTCCTTCTCATCAATCGTCTCCTGCAGTAATGCATGTCTTGCCTGCCACTGGCGCCGTGATTACAATTGTGGATTTTTGATACCCCATCCAGATTCTGCCTGGAACGTAAGAATGCATGGATATAATCTGCCCACTTTGCATGCAGGTCCTCTCAGCGGTGGACAAGAAACAGCTCTTTGGCGAGCCCAAGTTTGATGTCTTTGACTTGTAGCATGGTAGCATTGGAAAAGGTTCTAATGTGTTTACAGTTGCGGTCTCTGTTCCATCTAGATGATGCACTGTCAATAACACCTACAGTTTCAGAGCTGGGCAACAATGATCCCTGACCTTTGAAATTGGCACTGCCGTACTGGCATTCAGCAACGAACTCACAACTGCACAGGCATCCCAAGAACATGCGTCTGCTGCTTATGGTGACTATGCCTCATGCTCCCTAGACTCCAGTGCCTTTTCAAGATGCTGACCGAGGCGATCTGTTGTTATTCTTGGTGAGGGCCGCGGCACCTTCACCTGCATGCAGCATCCATGCAAAATGAGTGTCTGGGTGTCTCAACACCTTGTGATGAATGATTCCATGAAGAACTGTGGGAGTACACATTACTCACCTCATTGCTGCCATCAGCATCGGCAAAGGTCAAAACTGGAATGGTCAAAGAGTATGCATCCCACCACGCTGGTACCTTTGTGATATCCCGTATCTGAGCGTCCATTCCGCCTTTCAGTTGCAGACGATAATAAGGAACTTTTCAGATTTGGAGAGGAGCAACATCCCCGGGATTGGGCCAACAGAATTGGATTACCTCAAAATCAACATCGGTGAGAGGAGATGGCATGAATTGTGCTCGGTCCAGCAATGCTTGTATCTTCTCCTGCAGAACACAAGTTTACATGCGGCCAAAGAAGGCTCATCACATTTGCTAGCCTTACACGACGCCGTCATGACATAAGTGCAAAGAGGTACCTTGAGCCCATCACATAGGTGGCATCCCTCCTTGCTGTACAACAACAGCTTCCGTCGCTGCTGCGTTGTGGCACTGGCGGTCACGGTACCGAAGTTACACCTATGAGTAAACAAGTAGCAGTCAATAAATTGAGCCACAGGTAGTTAATGCAGCTGAGATTGTAATTGGGCAATACCATACCTGGGCGTCTTTTGAAGTCTGCATTGGGGGGTTGCTGCATGCAGACATTGAACAGACACAAAGGATCTGCTCTGATGTCCTCTTGCTTCATCCCAAAGAACTACATCTGCACACCTCCTAGCCAATGCCCACTTCGGCATTCTCAGGGCTGATGAGCCCAGCAAATGTGTGCACCTCACTAGCATCTCCAAAAGAATCTTGTGATACTCCTGATCATATAAATAGGTTGCTATCCCCTAGTCATGCCCTGACTTATGCGGAGTCTGCTCAGCAAATGTCGGTCATATACTTTGCACACCTCACAAAGCCATATGGCCCTCGGGATCTGGAACTGATGTTCAATAATCAATTCTTCCTCTCTGAAGCAGTGACGACATATATTCAGATGAGGCGAAATTTAGCTTGGATTACCGGGATCCATAGCTTCCAATATGCGGAAGCGGGCCCCCCAGCCACCTTCCTGGCAGCTCCGATGTCAAGTCATGAGATCTTTCTATCAGATCCAGGTGCAAAGCTTGTACTATAGCCTATTAGAACCACTGTAAAATTCCTTTCCACACATTGAAGTTGTCTGATGTGCAACTTACTCTACATCGGAGTTCATCCTGTCCATGTTTGCATTCCATCAACAGTCTCTGATTCATTCTAGCCCTTCGACGCAGTCCGTTCAATCACTGAAAGGAAGAAATATACTTTTCCGTTCGAACAGGCATGTCTGGAGCAGCCCAAAACACGTTCAAGTTGGTCCTAGGTGTGCATCATCAACGCTTACTGCGTCCACCGCTGGGCTCGTGAAGATATCTGAAATGTGACCTTGTCTATTTCAGGACATTGCGTGTAAGACAGCTGGCAATGACAGCAGACAAGGGCCAGCGCAGCAACTTTGGAAGCTCATGGCTGTTGGACCCAGACAAGCCTTGGTATCATGTCATGCCCCGCTCTGGCTGGCTGAATGATCCAAATGGCCCCATTTGGTACAAAGGACGATACCACATGTATGATATCGCCTCCAACCACCATTTATCATCAGAAGTGATCCACATAGCTTCCTGCCTTTTGGAGTTGCAGTGCTCAAATAGACTCGACCTGGATTCTTGGACGCAGATTTTACCAGCATGTGGTGGGCAGCAGCGAGTGGGACTGGGCCATGTGCTGGGGCCATGCCTCCAGCGCAGACTTGGTGCACTGGGCACACGAGCCCATAGCACTGGAACCGACCCCCAACAAATTCGATGCAGCAGGCTGCTGGTCGGGCTGCAGTACTTTGAATAGCGATGGCACGCCTGTCATCATGTATACAGCTGTCAGGTCAGCAAAGCGCTCATTTAGCCACATTTTGCATACATGCAGGCTCGCTTTGCCAAGAGATGGGCATTTATGACTGTGTATGTCCAGGTTGCGGGAGAACCCAGGCCTGCCCCTGCCCCCATCAGCGTCAGACTTGGGCCTGCAAATGATTGAGAGCCAGTGTGCTGCTGTCTGCAGTCCAGGTCAGCAAACAAGAGTGCTCCATACTTACGATCGAAGAAATGCCGATACATGCCCAATGTTGGGGTCCTTGAGGAAAGCAGTGATTTAATATCATGTGGTGTCTGCAGGTGATGATCACTTGGTCACTTGGACCAAACAGAGCAGGCCAGTGATCGAGCTGCCACCGCCAAATGAGGGCCTGGTGGGGTTCAGAGATCCTTACATCATTCAGCGTGGGGTTGATGGGAAGCACTGGAAGCTTCTGCTGGGCAGCGGAGTGAAGGGGAAGGGAGGAACCCTTCTTCTCTATACATCTGAGAACCTCCTTGATGGTGAAGATTGATCTGCTCCTCCCGACTTTTCTGCTGGCGCTGCCCTGATCTGGCGTGCTGTCTTCCAGCAAAAGTGACTGGAGCAATCATGTGGCAGCTGGAAATTACCAAATTCATTCGCCTACTTGATTCACAAGTGTCCCGCTCTTCAAGAGCATCAGAGGCCGACTCTGCTGCAGGCTGGAGTTGCTCTGGGCCCTTCATCAAGGGGAAGTCGAGACCTTGCGGTGAATGGGATCTGGGTGAAATGTGGGAGTGTCCATTCTTCGTCTGTCTGCCACACACTGCTGGTGAGGAGCCACTGCTTCGACTGCAAGAAGTTTTAATACCTTTGAAGATTTTTCTTGGTGATGTACAATTGCACGCTGCATAGTGGAAGATGTCAACTGAGCACCAAGCTTGTGTTGTTGCAGGAGAAGTGGCCAAAGGTATTGGGGCAGCAGGAAGTGCACATGTCATGTGCATCTCACCCTATCCGCACTATCGCAAAGATCGGCCGACCAACCCCTGCCTCTACTGGGTGGGCCAACATAGCAACGACAGCTTCAATGTGGAGATAGCATCAGGTTTGAATGTTGCATATCTCAAGCTCTGCCAAAATAGTAAAAGGGCAAAAGGGGAACCCCTTTTAAAGTGCTGGGATCAGGACTTGAACTCATGATTAGCCATCTACCATCCTCGAAACGTCTCCTTAATAGTGATCCCGGCAATTTCAGGACATGCATCCAACAACCAACATCAAGCACTTATGTACGGCTTGATACCATTTATGCGCTATAACAATTAGATTGGACCTCCTTGCAGACAAAATTTCTGTGTGTGATTTGTGACATGCTAACGGGATGAGTTTGAGTTTACTCCCCAGATCTGAGCGGTAAATCCAGCACAGAGGTTGAGAGGTGTTCTGCAATCGGTGCGCCAGGGCCGCACAGGTTGGACCTGGGAGACATCCTGTATGCACCCAATGCATTTGTGGACGGGCAGGGCCGCACGCTCATGCTGGCCTGGCTGCAGGAGCTGCGCAAGGGTGGCGGCTTTGACTACGCCGGCTGCCTTTCCCTGCCTCGACTCCTCACCCTGCGAGGTGACCCTTGCTCAACAGGGGCGTTAAAAAGGGAAACAGCTGTGAAAAAATGTCCTTTGTTTTGCGCCTGCCAGCGGCGTTAAGGGGCTAAGACCAAGTGCATCTCACCTGGCGTCTGCTGCACACCAGTCCTAAGGCCGCTACGTTCTGCGTGTGAAGCCATATTGAGCTTCACAAGTATAGCCAGCCAAGCCCTGATGAAATTTTTATGATTACCATAGATTTGTTATTCACACCTGAACAGCGACACTCCTGGATCAGGAGGGCGGCTGCACCAGGAGCCAGCCCCAGAGCTGGAGCAGCTACGGCAGGGGCAGGGAGTGCATCTGAGCAGCCTGAGCATTGAAGCCGGGGCAGCCGCCGCGCTGCCGCAGATCAGGGGCCCGTCTGTGGACGTCAGCTTCCGGCTGTCGCGCGGCGCTTCCTCTGCCGCCGGCATTGTGTTGCGCGCGTGGCTGCGCGCTGACGCCGAGTCCGACGAGCCGTGCGCAGCCGCTGCCGTCGTCGACTGGGAGGCGCGCACTCTGGAGGTGCGCCGGTCTGTTTAGGGCCATGCAGCAATTCTGTCCAGATGCTTGCTGATGATGTTGTTGATGTTGTCTTGCGCATGTAGGGAAAGAGACTGCATTGGGACTATCATTTCTTTCCGGGCACTGGCAGAGGTGAAGGCATGAAAATAAGAGGATGGTGCATGTGATGGACAGGTGATTTTCAGCACCCAATGGGACAGCAACACGCTATCTTTTGGGTGGGATGCAGTCAGCAAGCGAGTTGGAGGGCCCATCGAGATATGTGGAGATGCTGTTCAGCTGAGAGTGCTCGTTGACCACTCTGCCGTGGAGATCTTCACTGGCGCTGGCGAGACACTCACAACAAGGTATCGCATTTCGAAATTACTCACAAGAAAGCCCTTTTCCTCTTTGCATGGCTGTCTACATGCACATTTGTTGCCACATGCGTTGATTATTTAAGCCGTGCAGGATCTACCGAGGGGACATGGCAGCTGGCGACGATCCTGGAATGTTCTTCATTGCCAAGGATGGTGCAGTCTCAGTGACAGAACTGGCGGCGTACACTATGGGCAGCATCTGGGAGCAGGCCTCAGATCAGCCCGCCAAGACCCACGAATCTGCTGTTGAATAAGAATTCGGTTTGTGCATATGATTGTGCACACTTTCTGTGCTGACCTGCACAGATATATATCAAACTGCACATTGCAGTCTGCAATTTCTTACAAAGAAAGCTGCACTTATGAGGTGAAGTCTGGCTTTAAGTACACCCCCTTAAATCACTGGAAAGGAGACATTTGCCCGTTTTGGCAGCACAATTGCTGCAGAATCCCATCTTCAGAGATCTAGATAGGAAACAAAAGGCCTTCTGTATGCAGACGTTGGGATCCTAGAGAAGTCGCTTCTAAGACAGAACCCCGCTATGGCAATAAGTAGTCATTGTCAGTAATCTATGTAAGAATCTAGAAGGCCCTATGATACAAGACATGGAAATGCTACAAGCTAGCTCGGAAGGCATCACGAGAACTGAGTGACGGCTGTCCCCACTGCAAGCACTGCGGCTAGTACTGCGGGGGTGCCCAGTTGGGAGGCCATGCCAAACTTGGCAGACGCAACTGGGCCATGGCGCAGGGTGTGCAGCAATCCCAGTGCCAGTGTGAGCAGCGTGAGAGCGCCCGCCTGGTGCGCTGTGCCCAGACTGGGAGGCACATAGGTCAGCAGCGTCGTGATGCCCAGAGCCACCTGCACACATCCGATGCGTGAGCACTTTGAACGCTCCGGCGGCAAATTAGGAGAATTCAGATGCAGACATGAAGGAAGAGCCAGGGTCAGCTCGCTGCAGGGGCAACTGAAATCCATACCGAAGATATTCCCAATCCTCCCTCGCTTTCAACATCAAGATATCATTACGTATGGCAGTAGTCTGCAGGTCTGTTACACACCTCTGTCGTGACAAATGTATTAACAAAAAGTGCAGCAGAAGCATCAAGCTTGAGAGATACAAAAAGCGTTGAGCAGGAGGGTAAGAGGGAAAATTCACACACCTGCAGAGCAGCCATGCCCATCATGCCATGCACGAGCATCCGGGAGGACAGCGGCAGCGGCAAAGTACGCGCGCGCGCCCACAGAGCCGTTACGGCCCCCAGCGTGCATAGCGCGAGCGCGCGGTGGTGCAGCTGCACGGCGGCTGTGTTCTCAAACGCGTTGCGCCAGCCTGGCAGCGCCCAGTACTCCTCGGGGATTAGCTGCCCTCCCATGAGAGGGAACGTGTTGTACGCATGCCCCGCGTCCATGCCCGCCACAAACGCGCCTGCTTAGTTCACAACCCTCCTTTAGCGCTGCTATGTGCAACAATACACATCTGCTCTTGTCCCATGAGCATGATTGACAATCTTCAGCTATGCACAGGACGAGAGCTTATTCGTTCGCGCGTTGCTTCTCAGGCCTCTTCTGTTCGTGCAAAGCTTGCATGGTATATCAGGGGCAGGTCCTTCTGCAAGCTTCAACAGAGGCACCCAACAGGCGTTGGCAGACACATGCAAAGTAAAGGTGAAAGCAGCGCACCTGACAGCGCGGTGATGGCAATGAGGCCAGCGACGGGGTGCGCCCATCGTCGGAGGGCGTTCACTCCCGCGGTCATGGCGCTGTCTGCGGAGACGGCTGCGGCTGCAGAGGTCGGGTAGGCCAGGGACAGCGACGTCCACAGCAGCGTCCCATAGATGATGGCGGCTGATGTCAGGTGCGCAGCCAGGCGGTAGGGGCTCACCCTCGGCACATCCCACTCCGTCTTGGTGTCCTGCGCATTTCAACAGGCCGATTACACAATTCACACCTTTGCTTCAGCCCAGCCAGTTTTTTGCAATCCCTGCTATGCATGCTGTCATAGGGGTACCCCACCTTAAGGTCACCCGGCCACTAATGACCAGAGGAACACAATTCACTACCATTGGAGAGGGTCCATGCCATTAAGACAGAAGCCGCATGAGGCACAGCAAAGCCACATTCAGGCATGAGGCAGTAAGAAGAGGGTAAGAAGAAGAGTTCGGACCTGGAGGCCACTGCGCACCATCCACCAGCCCACAAAGCCCTGCGTGGCGCCCATGGCAAAGAGCAGGCCGAGCCGCCGCGCGAGTGGGCCGTTCACCCACCCGCGCGCGGCAAAGTAGACTGCCGGCACCGCAAACACGACGCCCAGCGCGCGACCCCACATCCGATGCGCGTACTCCATCCAATAAATGAACTTGAATTCCTCCAGGCTCATGCCTCTGAGCACATGAGGAACTGTATTAAGACGGTGCTATGTACTACCGTTGTACCTGACCAGAAGGCCATCAGATTCGAGAGAATAGGAGCGCACAGTAATCAAAAAAAGAGGTTTTGTATGAGCATGGAGCAGTCAGCACACCTGTTCACTTTTTGGTACTCGGGTGAGGCTTTGTATTTGCCAAACTGTGCCTCCCAATCCTCCTGCAGTTTCATCGCTGAGCTGTGAGCACCCTTATGCTTGATAGTCCCATCTGCTGGAAAAAGTTATAAGCCAGGCTAAGGAATGGGTGCATCTTGTGGGGCAGACCTGTGAGCTGGGAGCCCTCTCCCCAGTGAACTTCCACTCTGTCATGGACAGGCCGGAGCGCGTGAGCCTGGTCATGCCACCCAGAACCACCATGCTGAACACCCAGGCTGCACAGCCGCCCAGCCAGAGCGATATCGCCCTGCTGGCTCCGCTGCTCAGCCCCGCTCCAAGGGGATTGCTTGATGCGCTGGCCTGCAATCCCCCAGCACCTCCCTTCATGCCATGCTGGCTTATGCATGCAATTGTGCAGCAATAAAGGTGCCAATGCAAGGCATATACTTGTGCCAGCTGAATGGAAGCTAGCAGTATTGAAAAGCACCTGGGTGAGCCTCTGGGCACTGGCGCCCAGCATGCTGCTGGGCTCAGCAGCCATTGTCGCCTTGCACCTGAGCTGCTTCCTGGGCAGCAGGTGCTCCCACACACCGCCAGGCGGCCTCCATTGGTGCACCCCCCTCTGCGCAGGTGATCGGCTGCATACTGATGCTGCTTTAGGCAGCGTGTGGAGTCTCCGGCACTCCTGGCAATGCCACGATGCTTTCAGCTAGGTGTCACATATCTGAGAGCAGTTCTAGATGATGAATCTGAGGAATCCGTGCACGCTACAAAATCAGAAATGGGCCAGATACATTATTAAACCAGTGCTTTGTGCCTCACTTTGACATTCTTGGGATTGGCTGTCCCTTGTGTGAATCCCCGCTGCAACGACGATCTGGAATGCTGACACAACGGTAATTCCAGAAATGTTTTGACACATTTTGTAGGTCTAAATTGCCGTATTGATATAACGTGCTGAACGCCCTCTGGTATAAGCTGTGTCCCCTTTTTAAAGTTCGCAATTAATTTGACCAGATGGAAATTTTGCGCTGAACGTGATAGTCGCTGCATTGTGAGAAACAAATGCACTAGAATTACTTTCCTCCTTCATCAAAAGTTACACTTGTGAAATCTTGGAGATCAAGTCGCAAGCACAGTCGCAAGTTCTCACATGTTTGCATCTGCCACGTCATCCGTCGGCACGCCATAAGTTAGTCGTCCGCCGACGTCACTTTTGATTGATTTCCAGAGTGTTTGGCACAAATACAACAGGCGTCTTTCAACGACAGGGAAATCCCGCGATATTTTTGACGTGCTGAGGTCTCGAGCTCTCGGTCGCACTCGGGAAGGTACACTAGAATCTCGACCCAGAGCTGGGTTGTAACGCCTCGTGTGCACAGCGCCACTGCACAGCAACAGTACTGGTGATTGAATCAATCCTCCCATAAATTTCTAAAACCTGTGAACATAAAGCAAGTATTGGAATGCGGCAGCAAAATGCAAGGCCCACCTGTCATCCAGATTCAATCCTGGACTGTGAAGTGCACCGTGCAATTTCAGGACCCAATTCCTCACCCAAGCCTTAGGGCAATTTTTTCAGGATGATCATGACCTCTTTCAACTATCTTATGGGCAGGTGCTGCCACATATGGTGGCTCAACATCCTGAAACACAAGAACTACATTCTGCGCCCAGCATCTCTCGATAATTGTACGAGCCCCTTGGATGCCAATGTGTTGACAAGCCCTGCAGAAACTTCCTGTGGGCTCTGTCCTGTTGTTGTGTCAATAGAAATATAATTTTCGATGTCAGTGGTGCCATTCCACTTGTCGCATCCATTGTACCTGCATTGCACAGAAACACCTTGGAAGCCCTGCTGTACCAGGTGTGAGCTACAGCTCAAACTGATTGTTGGCACCAATTGCACCAGTCATCATCGAAATTTACGCACATGTCTCAGCGCATGCAGTCTCAACTTTGTATTGGGCTGACGTCCATACCGCTCAAGAAGGGCCTGGAGATCTGCCCAAGAATTTGGCTTATGCAGCTTGTTCGTGTCAGCCTCGATTGATGCCCGTGCCTCAAGTCGCGACTGCCACACTGCGACATCCGATGCAAGACACTCCACGACAATGAGAATAGCAGAAGCCTGCACAGGGGAATCAGCTTGCTCATATCTGAATTTCTCACATGACACTGAAATCGACTGTCATGCCATCATTTAAAGAGCAGCAAAAGACATCTGTGCCTGCCTGCTCAGCCATGCATTTGGCTTCTTCAAAGAGCTCTATCCTGGCCAGTGGGCAATCTATTATCACGCTGTTTCTGCACAGCAGCTGGGTTTGTGCATACCGCCACATGATTCCATAGGACAATGCATTCAAATTCACCTGTGAATTCAACAGTGGATTTAGTCATCATCAAAAGGGTAAATTCACAAATTTGTTGCTTTCTGCCAGCAGAGCATAAATATTTTATCTGCACTCTCAGTCTGTGGACTTCTAAAACTGTAAGTCTTGCGCACCCACCTAGGCCGTACTATGCCTTTTGGCGCACCTTCGTAGTGTCAGCAAAGCTCTGCAGAGATGTTAGGCAATCTCGGGCGTCATCCTTGTCAATTATACAGATACGTGTCAGCTCTGATAAGCAGCGAGCCACTGTTGACTTCCCAGAACCAGGGTGGCCTTTCATCAGAATCAGAACAGGCTTCCAGGACTCAGTCATCCCAACCTGATCCAAGCACTTTCAGAGGCTTCCTAATGAATTCGATATTTCAATAGCATTGCTGAAGAACTTGCTATTACGCCTATCTTTCTTTGCTTCGCTGCTTTGCTCTGGGGCATTGCATCCAACAACAGTGTGCTTTGGATAGGAAACTGATGCCTTTGGGCTTGATCTTGAAAGGAATGATCAAGCATGAACTATTTTCTGAAATACACCGACTCTCCTGCAAATATAAATGAGGAGCGAAGATTCTGGCAGTGGCTGAATGGACCTCATGACTGAAGGTGACTAGATAATCCTGCTTGCACCCATGAGCAGATTGTCGAATTCTCGGCATGACTCATGTACTAGTGACATCCTGTATTTCTAGATTGAATTGTAAGTAGTGCAATCGCAGCATCGCACATTTGTTATATCCAGATGGAGAACAACGGTCTGAAGGGGATTGCAGAGCGACTGACGGTCAGGGGCAAGGGTATATTAGCCAGCGACGAGTCGACTGGCACCATTGGAAAAAGGTTGGAAAAATCAGGGTTGGAAAACACCGAGGTCCGCCTTATTTCCCAGAATCTGCAAGAGTGATCTGGACCTTTGACTAGCGGATCTGCACTCCCAAGGCGTGCGCTTACGCAATAACAACCACATGAATTTGGAAGATACTGTGCAGAATGTCAGACGTGGATATCGGGAGAACTTCTACACTGCAGAAATCGGCAACAGCATATCTGGCGCAATTCTTTTCAAAGAGACTTTATACCAGAACTCTTCTGACAATACGCCGTTCTTTAAATGTCTATTAGACCGTGGAGTCTTGCCTGGCATTAAAGTGGACCAGGTCTTGTAACACCACCTCCTACTGGACCAGATTTTGGAGTGTATGACTTGCTGACAGGGCATCGTGTGGACAACCACTCCAGCATCATGCAGTGTTATTGAATAGGCATGCTGTCTCCAGGGCTTGGTGCCACTGCCCAACTCAAACAGTGAGACCAGCACCCGCGGGCTAGAGACCCTGGAAGCCGAATGCAAGCAGTACAGACAGCAAGGAGCGCGGTTTACAAAGTGGCGAGCAGCCCTGAAAGTGGCAGATGGCCTGCCCTCGGAAGCAGCCATCCAGAGGAATGCAGAGGACCTGGCGGAGTATGCTGCCATAGCTCAGGTGCCTACAATGCGGGCTAGAACTGTGTGCATTGCGTATGTGGAGAAAATTTAGAAACTGAGAGCAGGCGTGAAGCTTCTGATGAGGATGCAACTGCCCAGAAGCCGACCACAGATGCATGGCATCTGTGGCATGCGTGAGCACATCTGCATAGAGTCATTGTCCACTTATACTGCCAAGCCAGTCATTCAGAAAAGACGCAGGGTGTCTGCAGGCATGCGATCTTGTACCGATTGTGGAGCCAGAAATACTGATCGACGGCGATTACAGCTTGCAACGGTCGGCGGATGTGTCGCAGCGGGTGTTGCAGGCCTGTGTGGCGCAGCTGTGGCGGCGGCCGGTGGATCTTGAAGCCACGCTGCTGAAGCCAATGATGGTCATGCCAGGCGCGGACGCCCCTCACCGGGCTTCCAAGGAGGATGTTGCCATTGCAACCCTTGACACAATGCGCAGGTGAGCTTGTTATTGAGGGGCACAATGAAGGGATTACTGGTGCGTAGCCTTCATCAAGGCTGAGCCTCCTGGTTGAGATGGAAGTTGATGTTCAAGCAGACGACGTTAAATGCAATATCATGCTGGACAGGAGTGTGCCACCTGCCATTCCAGGCATCATGTTCCTCAGCGGAGGCTTGAGTGAAGAGGAGGCAACCCTGTACCTCAATGCAATAAACTTGCTGGCCGAGGAGCAGCAGGGCAACCCATGGGCTCTTTCCTTCTCCTTTGGCCGTGCTCTGCAGGTAGGTCTCGAGAATGTATGAAAGCATTTTGTCTATGCATTGATCCAGGCTTCACATGCAGGGCCCTGTGCAGAATTCATTGTTTGTGCCTGCAGGCCAGTGTCTTGAAACTCTGGACGGAAGAAAGGAACGGGCAGGTTCCACCAGGGGCAGCCAAGGGAATGGCAGAGGCCCTCGCCGCAGCAAATGCCAGTGCCACAAAAGGAGAATATCAGGGGCCTCACCCCAGCATCACGTCTGCAGCAGGCACACTGCGGGAAACGTTTAGAGGCTGGCGCACTGATGTACCTTGATGGGTCTAGAAATGTCGTTCATGGCTCACTTCAGACTACAGCGCTGCTAGCATTGTCCTGTTACCAGCAAAGTTCATGTCTTAGCTAGTAGTGTAAACTGCAATTCAGGTAACTGCCATGTCCGTGGTAAATGGGGCTGATCCACTCATTATCCCCTGTTTGTTGGAACCGGTGTATCAGGAACCCATCGGATGCTGCATTATAATTATTGTAATTACATACGCACGCTTGTCCGGCCACGCATCGCTCGAGCTGATTCATGCATCAGCTTACTCTGGAATAGGAAGATTTAGCTTGAGCTCACTGCAGACTGAGCTCAGCTGCCGCGTGCATCCGGCTGAGACATGCTGTGACGTCTTTTGTGCGGTCAGGTGCATCATGCATGATGTGTTCTGCATTGCAGGTAGGGCACCGCGACGTCGGCGCGATAGTAGGACTCCAACACATTTCATCTCTATGCCTGCCAACCTGCTTGCGCAACACCAGGCCCTTGAGATCTCTGAATTATAAGCATGTTGAAGAGAAGGAATGAAGATCATGGACCCATTCATGAATTCATGCATGAATCCAAACACAGTGGTGGCTGCATGAATAAGGATCCTATCTAGGACTCAGGGGAGCAGCCCTTCCAAGCTCTCCCACCCAGAATATATGCCTTAAAACGCTCAAGCGACTTGTCTTTCCAAGCTCGCTTCCCTCGTACCGGTTCGAAAGGGACGTTCAACGGAGAGCATCAGATCGCAAGTCCGTGCACTTCCTTGATCTCAGTCAGATTAAGCAATCCTAGGGTGAGAGCTGCGAGCCTCGTGGACTTTAAAAGACTTTTTGAGCTCGACGCAAAAACAAAATAATTGTTTCGACCAACAATGTCCGAGTACATTGGGAAAAAAGTGAGAAAACAATTTCCCGGTTACAGCGATCCTTTTGAAGGGACGGTGAGTCCACTGTCCAAATCCTTTCACTTTCATTGCAGGAAGACCATTCGATTCACTTCTGGCTTGCATCGGATATCGCTGACGTATATCATAGCACAAACTGCGCCCGGTCATACCGGTTCCCTGACGACTTGATTTGCAATCTAGGTGACTGAATACGACGCGGACGAGGTCTTGTGGAGGATATACTACGAAGACGGTGACAGTGAAGACTTGGAAGAGCATGAGTGAGTCCTTCCTCACGATTTATGCCCCTTCAGTTTGATGCCTTCATCTTGCGGTTTGAGCAGTGTTTGACACCTACACCGCAGGGTCAAGGGAATCCTCGTGGAGGAGGATGTTCCTGACGGAACGGGGAAAGCTGCAGCGAAGAAAGGAAAGAAGAAGAAGAAGAAGCAGCTGCTGCCCCAAAGGGCGAGGGGCGCAGCAAAGGCCCTAGGTGGTGCACCAGAGATGCCGCAGGGCAAGCGCGCTCTGCACAGCCCTGCGGGTGCAGCGCCGGACAGGCATGCAAAGAAGCAGAAGCAGGACAGCCAGAAAAGAGCAGTAGCCACAAGCGACCAGGATGCTGCAGCCGCGGCAACAGTTGCTGGCCGGCTGCAGAAGCGGATGAAAGGTGGAGGCGCGGTGGCTGCTGAAACGCTGACATGGATGTCCGGGAAGTCCGGCCAGGCACCCCAAGACACAGCCTTAAGCGGCGGCAAGCGTCAACCTGGACCAAAGGACGCTGCAGCTGCACTGACCAAAGCCACAAAGACCAGGTCCTTGCAGGAGCTGTCTGCTGTCTGTGCACCCAAGGATTCCAACATTCAATCGCAGCCCAGATCTCAGAAAGGCTCTCGTCCCGCTGGCAGGCCCAAAAAAGCCGACCCTCCCCAGCAGCAGGATGAGAGCGGATCACTGGAGAAGAAGCAGCAGGAGGCTCCGAGCGAAGAGGGGAATGCAGCGGAGGAGTTTTTCATTCCCCTGGAGGAGGATCAGCCTGGAGCAGAGGAGGGCAACGGCGATGGTGAGCCTGAGTCCATGCAAGAGGAGCGGAGCACTGTGGACGAGCACAAAAGGGGCAGGAAGGCAGGGAAGAGGGGAGTTGCATCAGGCTCTGCAGGAGAAGGAACAGCAGGCAAAAGGAGGGAATCAAGTGTGCGCTGAAGACCTTACATGCGATTTCTGAGTTGTGGCAGTTAGCAATCTCATAAGGTTCATTATCCTATTTCAAACCTGCATTCACTTAAAGCTGATCTACTTTTGCGATAAACACAGGCCAAGGCACCACAGGCTGCTGACAATGATGAGATGGATGGTGGTGCTGACTTCTGGAAGATTGTAGTGGGATTGCTCATTGGCGGGCTCATCAGCAGTGCCCAAAACTTATAAAACATATATTTCTGCTGAGGGGCACAGCTCATGGCGCATAAAGAGTGCACTGCATGCGAAGCGGCCTTTCTCGGAGGACACAGCAAGCTGTTGCTTTGGCCCTGTATCTTCTCTGATTCAATGTTATGTGGCTGTCATGCAGGTGGCAGGAATCAAGCGCGGCGCTCCCACAAGCGGCCCACTTGAAGGCCCAACGCGCTTCCACAATCATGTGATCTATGGAGGCACAGCCTACATTGCTGGCCAGACAGCAGCAGAACACTCTGTGCAGGACTACACGGCCCAGACAGAGCAGGTGGGAGCACCTGGATTGTAGTTGTGACAATCGTGCAATTTCACCCTGTCTCATGTCAGAGGGAGATTTGGTTGTGAGTGAAGTGACTCGCGATTGCTGGCTTTGTCAGGTGCTGCAGCAGCTTGATGAGCGGCTCAAAGCAATAGGGTCATCCAAAGACCACATCATGAAGGTCAGTGTCTCAGGTCATTCCTATGTCCTTTTGACCACCATCCCAAGCACCAATATTATCTAATCAACTGAGGAGGGAGAAGGACATGTTAATCTCCTTTCACTCTTGAAGTGTGACTGAGACTTCTGCATTGCAGGCCACTGTGCTGCTGAAAGACATCGGGCTAGGAGCGCAGGCCTTCAATGCAGTCTGGCAGGACTGGATCAACCCCCAGCATGCACCGGTGATTGTTTCTTTCATGCTGTCTTGCCAATGTGGTCGTACATGTAAACGCCTTCAAGGGGAATGTCTCTTGTAGACTGTGACTTCTGTACAATTGTCACGGATAGTAGGCAATTGAGGATGCATTGTTTGGCATGTGCAGGCTCGAACAACCTTTGAGGCATCCCTCATCCACCCAGATTTGCTTGTCGAGGTGGACGCAATAGCTGCTGTGCCTGCAAACCACGACCTGATGGAGTGAGTGAATGAGGAAGTGGTGATATCATTAAGATGTACTGAGATTGCTCACCAGCAGTGTACCTGGCCAGTGAGACCTGACAAACCCATCTTTGATCCGTCTGATATGGTCTCTGCTTCATCCTAATCCTCATGTCTTTTGTTCGCTTGACATACCAGCAAAGTAGCTGGATAAATTTGTGGCAAGATATTGTGACACATTCATCGGATGTGAGATTCTCTGGTGTGCTTGCTATCTACTTGCAGCAAAGTGAGCAAGAGCTTTTTTTCTGGTGAGAGTCAAGGAACATGTCCAGGACCATGTAGCAATGTATGTGTCTAGATTCACTAAGTGTTCTAGGCCTAGGGATTTCCTAGGGATTTCCATGTGTGGTGGAAGACCCTTCTAGACGTCATAAATTAGTCACTGCCCCAGGCGCCGTGATGGAAACTGGTGACTTTATCGAAAGTGGTCGTCAAAGGTTTGCGGTGCTTCTATTAAAGATTGCAAGGAGAGATAGGTTGCTTTAGAGTGCACCATTCTACCACATGCAGAAGAAAAGGCACAATGCTGCAGAGGCCAGCAAAGTTGAAGTCTACATTCAGTATATCATTTCCTGCTGCATGCATGCGCAGCAGCTGAGTTAATGTGACTGCGACTATCCATGCATTTACAGAATATAAATTCTCTTTGAGGCATTCTTGCGGTTCCTTGATTCAGCCTCAGGCTGGCAAAGCGATGGTGGGCAGCTGCCACCTTTTGGGCAGTCAAGCTCGGGCAACCTCGTCTTGGAGGAGCCAAATCCAACGACAAAACCTGGACATTCTCGAGCACGACTATCTGCACTTGTTTATTTTCGGCGTTGTCAATTGTCTGTGGGATAATGTATTACTCAACGTTTGTTTGCTGGTAATTCCGATCAGAAGTACCGCCACAGCAGATCTCGTCCTTGAAGAATTGTTGGATGAAGCCTGCGGGTGTTGGTGCTAAGCCGCTCACAGCCTAATGTATCAGCTACCTTGAAGATATTCTGAAAGCGCTAGATAATCTTTCAAACGGCGTCTTTGTCACCATTGCTCCGAATGGACTTCCACACCTGCGGTACTTCTCACGACGAGAATGCCACTGCAAGGGAACGGTGTTCATATTGTGCCGCAATTGCCGTCAGTCCTGAAATTCGTACTAATGCAATGAGGATGGTGATCGAGGGCGAGCATTTGCAAATGGAGATGCTTCAGTTGCTGAGCGCTATTCCAAATCTCGAGAGCATCGAAGGTGTAGGTGTAGGTGTAGGTGTGCTGAAGGTGTATTACTTACGATCAAACCAATTTTTTTTACCTCACAACCTGGCAAATCAAATTTCTTTGTCCTGCCGAGCGGTAGCAATTTTGACCAGCCAAATTTATTTATGTTTGCTCTCTGCACTTCTTCGTGAATCTCACAGAGCTGTGCCTCCTATATGAAACCAACTACCCAAGATTACACCATAATATCAAGGCCACCATCATCAGCGAGCCACTCAAGCCAGGAACAGTGACTGGTAGGCAATCAGGCGCATGTATTGCTCTCGTTTCGGCTCTGCGGGCTTGTTTTGGCACATTTACAGAGCTGTGGCGCCTAGTCTTTCCACCATCGGCGGCAAGGCATTGCAGTAGTGCAGGTGTCCTTATCTTCTACATTGCTTGTTGGTGTCTCAGGCTTTGTCTCATGTGGTGCAGCGTACGACTACTACTTACCCACGGACCCGAATGCAACTTTGGCGGGGGTTGTTGGGCAATATCAAGCCCACATGCAAGTGGACAATCCGTTGCCTCTCTTGGCAGCGGTGCCTGCTCTGTGGAGGTGCCTGGACAGGTGACTACCGTGCAGTCACTGTTTGGGCGGCGCTTGCCGTGAGAGCGCTTGATAAGCTGGACTCAAGAAGCTGCAACCGATGGGACACAGCGCCTGACTCACCATTATTAGATTAGGTGCATGCGCTGCATTGGCACAGTGGGCAAATTAAAGGCAATAAGTTGAACGACAATGTTGAAAACAATTATGACATCAACACAGCATGCATTGTCTTCACCTCCCCTGGTCGCAATTGCAAGTTTCCGATCTCTCGATATTAATAACATACATCATTGATGTTTGCTTTGAAGGTAAAGCCATCGATCACTTTCATAACAGAGCCATTGATCCAAGAATCTGTGCGTTCAGGTACGGATTGTCAGCTGACAAGGTGGAGATTGTCATATGCTATGGGCTCAATGTTGCCCTGTGGAAGAGAGTAGTGGAACCTGGCCAGTCGGCTGAGGAGAGGGAGATAAGGGTCCAGAGTGTGTACCACAACGTGTACCTGATGAAGGACTTCGACCCAGCGGCGACTTGGAGCAGTGTGAATGCTGCCTTCTTCCACTGGACCATCAATAGGAAGCCTGAGCGAGCCCTGCAGGTGCTTCTGTTTCAGCGCCCACTCACACTAGTGTACTGTCCACACTACTGTCCACCTAGTTGACAGTTGTGTGACGGGTGTAATTCTTCTGATTCTGGTTTGAATTGAAAACCCCAAAAGTCTGAAAAGATGCAGGCCGCCTCCTATAGGAGCTGCTCAGGCATCAAATGTGGGGAAAAAAATTCACAGTGCTGGATGCTCGCTAACCTGTTTTGGCAATCTGCAGGAACTCGAGAGATTTGGCCTGAAACGAGTTGGAAAGGAGAAATAATGATATCAAGGCCTGCCACATTTCCTGAATGTACTGCTTCCTCACCCTGCTGAGTGGCAGCCGGAAGGGCCACAGCATTGCAGTGTCTGCGTTCCTTGCACGCGTCAAAAAGGTAGCTTATGCAATCCGTCAGTAATCATTGCAACATGCTGAGATCCCATTGCTGAGATGTCCGATAATTTTATTGGGATGACTCATTTCAGATCAGTCCCATGCTCTTGGCATTTGAACCTGGGAACAGACAATGTTCAAGCCGGCTCTTGTTGGGTATGCAAAATAGACCGGAAGTCATTGGACCCCCTGGATCTTGAAATTGGATGCTTAAAGAAGGGAAGCTCTCCGATGATAAGGGTATACTGCTGAGCAGGCCAGGAAGGCAAAGGCGCGGCTGGACAGCTGAGGCGAGTTCAGGTGCAAAAATACTGGAGGCTGGACGCCGGTGCAGGACTATTCCTTGGCAGGAGACCCAAAAGCCTCTGGTGCAGCCCGGGGGCGGCTGCCCGCTTCAAAGCCACCATCAAGCAGGACCGTGTCTTTGCAGACACAGAGCTCCCAGCATCCACCATGGAGCAGCTCAAAGAAGAGGAAAATCATGTCAGGTAGGTTGCCTTTGCTATAGCGCGCAGAAATGCCCTCGCATGAAATGTGCTTTGCTGGCAACTCTTGGTTCCCTGCTGCCATCTCTTTCAGACAAGCTAGGGTGCAGACACAAGGACCTTTTCTCACATTAAATTTCCAGGAAGATATTTTGTGATGAGCCATCTGTTATCGATATCCTGCTTGTCTGTGAGCAGCCCCTGCGAGCGGCTCCGAGCTTTAGCTCAGTGCCATGAAGGGCTTGAAGGATGTGCATTTGTGCTCCATGCGCATTTCAAGATGTGAGTGTGATTGTATGTCGTGCAGGTGTGACCAGTGCCAGGAGCTGTATGAAAAGCTGCTGGCATGCATGGGATGTCAGCATGCCAAATACTGCTCAAAGCGCTGCCAGAAGAAGCATTGGGTGACCTTGGGTGCACAGCAAGCGCAACAACTACAGCAGAGCCCACAGAGAGGTAACAGGGGAGCCTTTGAGCTCTGAATAGGTTGCTGCAAACCAGGAGTGAAGTCTATCGATGGTTTGTGACCAGCCCCGGTGCTGGGCATATATGAAACATCACATGCAGGCTGTACACATGTGCTGAATTGTTGCTGCAGATCCGGTGCATTATGTACTGCTTGGAAGATACCTTGTATACTTTTTACAGTTTGAGGCTAGAATGTAAATGGCAATTGCCTCTCTTTCCCGGATCTGTGATCTGTCGCAGTACTTATATTGCTTCTTGTGCGACAGCAGATGCAATACTTAAGAATATTCCTCAGCATTAATCTGCAGGTTGCCACGCCCAGACACAGATTTCCCATGCCTAACAGACACAAGTCCTCCACAATACAGCCGTCTGGGGACCAGCAAGCCTCCGAAAATGGTGGCTCCAGGCATTTTCGCCTCAGAAGCCCAGTATCAGAGTTTCCCCTCACTCTCTGTCGACCTGCATTGCCACTGCATCTTGTCAGGTGCCTCCCTGCTGTATGTTGTATTGTCCACTACCATCTTAGTCAAGAGAATTGAGCTCATCCTTTGTCAAGTTTGTGCAAATCTACAAGTCGGTCAGAATGCCAGGCGCTCACCGTGGCATGCTTTCGCCCTTCTTCACAAGCTCTTCCAACTTCTTTGAGATGCTGGCCTTGTCCAGGCCCTCCACAGAGACTCCTTCCTCGACACCAAAGTCATATCTAGCGAGAAGCCTTGCCTCTGCATTGCTGCTCTCCCTCACCAATATTGGGAACTTAGGGTTGGCCTTCTTCAACTCCTGATATGCTGAGAGGACAAAATCTCGCGCACCCTGAAAGCAATTGAAAAGGTGTTGGATGGAGTTTTGCACAAATGGGTGCAAATGTAAGATGAGCATTCGAAGGTCCACACTTCATCCAGGTGCTACACAACTATTCGACAGCTTGATTAAACCATGATTTGTAGGCCATCAAATGTGATATGAAATTGATGAAAGCTACTTGGACCCTCAAATGCACTTGAATGCGATCATATTACCTGGCTCCCTGGTGAGGTTTGGGACAAAAGTATTCTCAGTTCCTGCATGTTCTTTGACAGAGCGCTGCGCCACGCCATAGCGTTCTATGTACCCAGTGTCCAAAGTTTTCTTATACCAGATAGTGGGCGTGTCACAGTGACTAGCTGAAGAAACAACTGCCCAATTGACTTGCAAGCTCTAGCGAATATTTGCGCGTGAGGCAAAAATGGATGAAGCGATCGCCCAATTGATGGTAACTTGACTTCAAATCAGTTGATTTTCAGTTTCCTGTGGAATCTTCCAATTCTTATGGATCAAGTGCTTCTTGCGTGCATGAGGTACCAAGGCTTGCCACCGACCCTTCATCAACCCTGGCAGGACAAGTTTCATTGGTAAGTTCCTTTGCTCGAAAGCAACCATTCTCATGTGATCTCTAACACAGTTGTGTTTTCATTCAGATGAGTGTTCGATGAACGCAAAGGACTAAGGACTTAGACCTTGTTCCAGTTTCGATCCTGAAAGAGAACATCCAAAAAGTGTACTCCTTCTTAATGCTATTGTTGGCAAAATGTTTTATATGGATTGTACATATGACATTTCAATGATCCAAATTGTCACCTGACCATCCTGGAGTGCTCGAAAGTATGCCTCTTGGAGGCAGCAAATGCCGATGGCTGAGGGCTCCCGCACAGCATTTGAGCTGTGGCCAGCTCTTGATCATAAGGGAAAGCAGTCAGTCATCTCGGCAATTGCTGTAGATGATGCGGCACGCTACATCTACCTGGGTACCAGTGATGGGCAGCTCTCAGAACACAGGATCCAGAGCACTTCATCAGGAGTGCGGGTGTCCCTTGGAGCACGGAAGCATGTTGGAAAGAAGGTGGGGACATTTATACCTATTAGGAAATGCTGCACTACCCATCCTTGTGCTTTGATAAAGATGACAAGTGATTGTTTGACACTGGATGCATGCATGCAGCCCGTCACGGCTATTTTGCACATCGCCATTGCCAAGAGGCTGGCAGTGGTGTGTGATGGCTCCCTGCTGCTGCTGGACTACGAGTCACTGGAGGAGTACACCATGCCCGGGCTCAAGGTGAGCTGCCCCTGCACTGTACACACCTTGTGCAGCTGATTGTGGCGCACCTACACCCCTGTCACTGCTTTTCTGCTTATTCAATGGCGGCAAGTACAATGCGCAGGGCGTGACGGCGATAGCGCTGGATACAGCGGCGGGGCTGCACTCTCGCCTGGCGGTTGCCGTGCGGACTAGCAAACGGAGTGTGCGAGTGTTGGTGTACGAGGTCGTCCCAGGAGTGGGCCTGGGGACCCAGATGCACTCCGAGCCCGCAGTCTGCTTGACCCAGGCCGAGCTGCCAGAGCCCCTCATCGTCAAGGTGCAACATGAAAAACACTTGACAGCCAACATTGAGATGGGCAGGCTTGGGGAATGAATGTGTCCCTGTGACAAGACAATCAAGAGTGGGTCATGTTTGGCCCATGCTGCTTGTCTGCAGGCGCACCTTGCCTCTGCTATGAACGGGCTATTATGACACTTGTAATAAGAATCTTTGGCACAGGCGATGGCGTGGCTTGGCAGGCATATAGTGCTGGTGACGAGCCTGCGCTACATGCTGTTCGACCCGATCACCACCGCCTACTCGGAGCTCTTCGCAGTGTCGCCGGAGGCGCCCCCGCCCACCATGGTGCAGGCTGTGCCCTCGGCCAACCAGGCCGTCCTCTTGATGGTGAGCAGCCACCTACTGCCCCGGCAACATCATCGTACAAATCTCAGCGAGCTGAGACTGGTTATCTCACACCTCTCATCAAGAAAGATTTCCTCGTTAGGCTGCCCAAGTAGCATCAGGAGCGGGAGATGGCAGGCTACTGTTCACAAGGAAGCTCCGATGAGGAGAGGAGTATTTTGAGCAGTTGAAGGGCTTTGCAGCATGATTTACTAATGGCATATAGAGGCGCAGTGTGCAGGCATGAGAGCTTCAGAGCTGTGCTGCAGGACCAGGTGGGCATAGTGACGGACGAGGCGGGGCAGCCGGCGCAGTCTGCGCTGACGTTCCCTTCCACGCCTGCAGCGCTGGCGGCCTCAGAGATCTACGTGCTGGCCGCATGCGCGGACGGCGTGCATGTCTATGACCGCACCACGGCCGCCTGGGTGCAGAGCCTGCCCTACCCTGACGGCCTGCGCACCGCCCCTGGGCAGCAGCTCTACACCGCGCACAACCCCAGCGGTTCCGTTGTGCTTGTGGCCGGCTACCGCAGGGTGAGTCCCCAGCTACCACGATGATGACGGCCTCCAGCTATGCACTAGGAAAGGTGTTACCGCACTGATAAATTATTGGTCGGAAGGGCCGAGTCGTGCCAACCACGGGCGAAGTTTATGCACCGTATCACCATACAATTTGAGCCGTCACAGACGGAGTCAGACATGATGTCACTGGAAGAGCAAGGAACCCACTGATGTAATATCTGATTCTGTTTTTGACGTCCCGGACTGAAACGTCAATGGCAAGCGCTTGAAAACTTCATTTCATTGGTTGCATTTGGTGTACGCGTGGTCAGGCAATGCTCGTCTTGTGATTGCTCTGGTGTTGTGTCATGGATTTGTTTGTTTGCTGATGGGGGATGGGCGTATCATTTCTGGGCATCTCACTTATGGAATTGTTGGTTTGCAGGTGTGGCTGCTGAAGCCGGTGGCGCTAGAGGATCAGGCGCGGGAGCTGCTGCGTGCATGCAACTACGATCAGGCCTTGCGCCTGGCCGAGCTCTGCGCGTCCGAGGGCGCTGCCTGGGCCGAAGTCGCCTCCGCTGAGGCTGCTTTCATGCTCATGCAAGGTCGGTGTCCCCTGCTTTCCATTTCTTATTTTGCCGGTGGCAAACAATAAATTGATATGCCAAAAAGAATAATATTAGTTTGCAGCGTTCCAGCACTGCATCACTCCACAGCAGTAAGCCATAGCTGCTGCTGGCATCACTGCAACAACAACTCCCTGATGAAAGCAGATTGGTGGACGGAGGGTGATGAAGAGAGTTCAGGGGATGACCGAATTCAGTTGTGTGTGTGCAGAGCTGAGGTTCAGGGAGGCGATGGATGCGCTGCAGCACTGCTCCACGCTGGTGGTGCAGCCGGCAGAGCTCTTTCCCCTCTTCCCGGACGAGACCCGGCCCTGGGCTCAGGCGGCCGGCCGCGCGCCGTCCCGGCCGCGCTGGGGGCTGCACCCGCCCCTCACCGACCTGCGCAGCCTCGTCAGGCAGCGCCTGGCGGCCGACGCCGCGGCCGAGCCGCTCCAAAACGGCGCCGGCGAGGACGCCGAGCGGCGGCTGGCCGCGGCCGCGCGGCAGTGCGTCGCTGAGTACTTGCTCGAGGTGCCGCATATTCTCATCTCCTGACCTCAATGAGAGAGTCGGCTCTGACTTCGGTCTTTAAAGCTTATATGGCACCGATGAATGGAGGCTAGTGGCACTGCAGCCGAGCTCCTGTAGCTCTATTGTGAGGTTTGCAAGGGCAATGACATCAGAGCTCGGACTTTGGGCTTTTCTTGCGCCACTGAGACAGGCAGCTGCCTGCACTGGGGCTGTGTTGGGAGTTCCACGCAAGCTGGGGCAGTCGTTGTTGAGGCAGGGGCATGTGCGGGGCAGGTGCGGCAGTGGGAGGGCGTGGAGCACTTGGACGGCGTGGACACGCTGCTGGTGCGGCTGCTGGCGGGCTCGCGCGCAGACTGGGCGCTGGAGGCGTTTGCGGCCGGCCCCAACGAAGCGCGGCTTGACCTGCTGCGCGAGCCGCTGGCCGATGCGCGCCAGTACCACGTGCTTGCGCTGCTGTCTAGCAATCACGCCGACGCGGCTGCCGCCCTGCGCCTCTGGCGGGTTCGTTTTATCCCCCCCCCAGCTCTGCCATGTGCTCCCTTTTCCACATGCGTTAATTAAGGATTCCCATGGGCAATGCCCGCTTGCAGACTGCGTCGTGGCAGACACGCAATTCCTGCATCCTGTGAAACACTTTCTGGAGCTTCTCTCCATGCCTGGATATTGCATGCAATGTTTGGGTCTACGCGTCGGACATGACAGCATGAGACTACTGTTCTGTGGGAGGGACCAAGAAAATTGAGGACATTGTGGGCTTTTATGTGTTGCAGGGCATAGCAGAGGGCAGTCTGGACGAAGCGGCCGGTGAGGACGGCGAGGCGGCGTTTGCTTGGGAGGGCGGGCCTGCAGCAGCAGCGATCCACAGAGCCACAGCCCTCATGCTGGACGAGAATCGGGTGTCAGAGAGCCTGGCCCTCGACTACCTGCCGTGGCTGCTCTCCTCCCTGCCAGAACAGAGCCTGGTAGTTCTCAAGGTAATCTTGCCTCACATCATGGCTCAAAGGCCATGGCATTGCGTACTCCATCTAACCCTCCTTTCAAGTATAGCCCAGGTATGCAAAACGCATCCTTTGGGCTGCCTCGCTAAATTTTAGCATGGCTCAAAGGCAGGCAAATTCAATGACATTGTATTGCACTGAAAGGAGGTTGGACATTGCAGGGGCGCGAACTGCCTGCAGAGGCGGTGCTGCCATTGCTGAGGGGTGTGTCCACGGAGCTGAGCTGCCAGTACCTGGAGTACCTGGTGGGCAGCAAGGGCAGCCAGGACCCTGCCCACCACACAGAGCTTGCTCTTGGGCTTGCCGACGCTGCTCTGCGGCTCATGCCGCCCGTCGACGCCAGGTGAACACCTGTGCAGACCTGCTTTTCTGGCACACATCGATCATGTCTCAGCCCCACGCCTGGGTCTGCTTTGCTTGCGCCATCTGTGCTTATCATTTCTTTCCTGGTGTAAGATCCATTTATACCGGTCTTGCTCGCACCATTGGATTCTGTCCAAAGGGAAAGTAGCCACAAAGTGATTCAATCTGATTGATGACAATTTGTTGTGAATTGGCTACATCTGCTGGGAGACTGACTCCTAAGGGTGGGTAGAAACTGATTTATCTGGTGGGGTGAAAGTGAAACACTGCATGCATGCGGCAGCGTGCCGGCGTGGGAGCGAGCGAGGACGGCGCGGGAGCGGATGGCAGAGGACAGCGCGGAAGCGCAGCGGTTGCGCGACACGCGCGACAAGTTGTGCGGGCTGCTCGAAGAGTCGGTGCTCTACGACGCGCACGCTGTGTTAAAGCGCTGCGCAGACACCGAGCTCTGGGACGAGCAGGTCGTCCTGCACAGCAAGGTGTGCATCTCATGGACTCTTCTGTGCCTCAGACGTATGAGCCTGTCTCTTGTCCTTCTGTATTCTGTCCACAACCCAGGTCCTTATGTACAGGACGCGTTTCTCATAGCACCATCCATCAGTGAGACTGGTCATGTACCACCCTCACCAACTCTTAGAAAAGAATTGTGCAGGCATGCTCAGAGAAGCAGCTGCCAGAGGGATGCTACATTTCAAGCGGCCTCTTATTTTGTACAGTCGCAAGCAGCACAGCGCAAAATAGATTGAAGGTGATCAACTGGGAATGAGGGCAAGGCAATATCTCACACAGGGAGAGGGAGTGACTATGGGGGGTGTGGGTGACTGCGTGCAGCTGGAGGATCACAGGGCAGCGCTGCGCATTCTGGCGCTGGTGCTGGGGGACATCCGGCTGGCGGAGGCCTACTGCGCGCGCTGGGCGGGGCAGCAGGGCTACCTCTCCCTCCTCGACATGCTGCTGCACCCGGGCCACGGCCGCGACCCCCTCTACGCCGAAGCCTGCCACCTCCTCGCCGCCCAAGGTTTGGTCATCCCCCCACCGATGCTTGGATCACCGCGCCAGTCACCCATACTAATGTCAAGTCCCCAGTAATTGGCCCGAACAATTGCCGGCATGAGAGCACGCTTTGTACGGTTTCCCCTCGGATTATGAGGCTACCGGAGCATGGGAATTTTATCTGGACCCTGAGCATGTCCTGGGTCAATCATTGGTATGGAGCTCAGCAGTTGGGACAGGTATGTCGGGCAGGAAGTGTGTCGTGATGAGTCAAGAAAGACAGGCCTGAGCATCTTCTGGTTCAAATGTTGATATCAAACCGGGCGGTCATGGGCAGGCCAGTTAGGTAGGATATGCAAATAATAGCACAGTGATGCATGGCCGTATTTGTGCCGGCAGGGGCAAACGTGGACGCCACAAAGGTGCTAGATGCGCTGTCAGAAGACATGCCGCTAGCGGTGGCGGTGGACGTGCTTGCGCGTATGCTGCGCACGGCCATCCACAACCGCCGCTCTGCCAGCATCACACGCAACCTCCACCGCTCCCTGCACCTTTCTGTCGCCGCAGAACGCGCCGAGGTCGGCCTCCTGTCCCATTGGGCTCCTTGAAATGGCTCTCGTATTCTAGCTTTACGCCTGTTCACTGTAATTTACTGTCCAGTAGGACCTGTCATTGAAGGCTGTTGTGACCTGCCCCTCTATCATCGTGAATGCACGCCTGAGCTATCCATGAGGATCAGGTATGTTGTAGCAGCATTTCCCCGACAGCCTTCCAACGTGTCCATGAGTTCCGTGGCAGGCTGGCTCTACAGTAAATTTCAGATTCCCTGAAAAGCTGATAAGTTTTCCTACAAGAATCTGCGCAGTACTGGAGTTTGAAGGTCATTTTAGCGGCTTGTCTTTGGAGGTCATTTTGGTGGCGTAGATATCGTAGAGGCCATGAGCGATTCAGTCAGCGGGTGAACAAGCCATTTGCTGCAAAGCAGTGGCGGCACAGTAAGCTGAAGAGTGTGTGCGGTGCATGCGCAGCTGATGCAGCGGAGCGTGGTGTCTACAGAGGAGCGCGCATGCCGGGCTTGCCACACACGCATCTCCACCAAAATGTTTGCTGTCTACCCCAACGGCGTCCTGGTCTGCTTCAAATGCTATCGCCAGCATGGGGAAGCCAGCATCTGCCCCCTCACTGGCCGTGACTTCAGGCTGCCCGAACCACCTAGCGCCAGCGCTGTGAGCTGAATTCCAGGTCTAAGGTGTACATCAATTGCTCAGAATTGCCGATCGTGATTTTCATTTGGCCCCTTTGTGAGGCTTGATTGGGCATGTGTTGCAGCACACATATGGAGTTTGTTGACTGGCATGGCACTGTACTAATTGAAAAGGCCACATCACTGTGCCACCGAGTGCAAAGGAACTGCAAAGACATCCAAAAGATTACATAAGGCACCATACCGATGGATCAGGATCAGTAGTCAATCTAGGAAGTGGATACTGAAGAAATAATAGATGCCCTCACGGTGATGAGCCTCAAAGAGGACTCAGTGCGACAAATAGGATCCGCTGGCACTTGCCGGCATATTAAAGGAAGCAACGCTGTAATGGTATTATCAGAAAAGTAGCCGGATGGCAGCCAATGGTCGACAGCAAGCTCTTGCACACTGCAGAGCTCCTTATGATAGTCTGCACTGTGTAGACAGAGTGCAGGAGATCTGAGCGTTTGTCATGTTACTCCTAGTCCACCTCGTCATAATCCACCTTGGCTTTTCTTGACTTGTCACCGCTCTTTGGCCGCGCGCCGTCGACCTTTTTCTGCTGCGCGGTGCCACCTCCTGCCTGCTTGCCATCCTCCTGCTTGGCCTTGCCTGAAGTGCCATTGGCCGCTGCCAAGGCACTGGACGGCTTCAGATACTTGCGCATGTCATACGCATCCTCCCCATCCGCATAGTAGTGCGGCTCCCTGTCATGTATCCTGTAGAGCAGCAATGTGTGCAAGTTCACACAGCATCCCAGCCATGCAGCAAGTGATAAGCCCATGCTGCATCTCATCACAGGCGCAGTGCATGCCATCAGGAAGCTTTGCTGCATTTCGCAAAGAATCGGGTGCATTCCACGATGAAATTGAGTGAGCAGGGAAGGAGGGGCTCACTGGTAGCCGAGCGTCTGTGTGTACAGGTGGAACGCCCCCTTGTTCATGACACGTACATGCAGCGATGCATACACTGAGCCAAAAACTTCCTCCATCGCCCTGTCTGCACAGAACCCCACAATCCAGGCCACTCAGGATGGCTTCTCACGCGCAAGACATGCTGCTCTGTAGGGATTTGAATTGACAGGGAAAGTATCAGGGCTGAGAGCCTTACGAGCTGCCTCCATCAGTTTTGTTGCCACTCCCAGCTTCCTGTGTGTCCGAGCGACAGCAAGAGATGTGATGTGGCCATGTGTCTCAGCAGCCTCTTCCTCCCTGCGAGGTATCAGGTAACAATTGCAGCAGCTCATGATATTTGCCAAAGACAACACGGCAATCAACTGCAAGAGTGAAGGGCCTCTCAGGATTTGGCAAAATGTAGTGGAAAATAGTCTGCTTACATCTTTGCAAGCACGTATCCCACGATCTTGCCGTTGCATTCCTCAGCAACAAAGAGCAGCTGCGGCCAAGAGAGTATGTGGTAGAAATAGTACTGCCAGACCACACCAGTTGTCAGATAGGCATGTCAATAAGAAATTCAAGCGTCGATGATCCATCGAAAACAAGCTGCAAAAACAAAGAAGGCAATCACCTTGAGCTGGTAATTCTCTGGCAAGCACAGCAAATTGCATCTCTGCATGGCCAACAGATCCTCCATGGTTGCTGATCGTATGCAGACCATTTTGCCAGTGATCTCAAGAGAAAGCGACAATCAGAATTAGTTGAAAGAGGTTCTATATCTCAACTAGCAGAATTCGATTGCAGTTTGCCTTGTGCCTTGTACAGCAATTGAAGATCTGGCTGCTGCATCAAGTGATCAGGCGATGATAAGCTTGCAGCTCATAGGTACAGAAGCTGTATACTATTTTATCAAATCTGATGAATACTGCAACGCCTGGGCTTCAAAATTTAACGCACCTCAAAGAGCAGCTTTTTCACTCTATCTCAGGAACGCCTTCGAATTGCGCGCACCAGATGGTTTTTCGACGGTTACAGACGTAGCTGCCTCTCCTCTTCGAAATGTTGATTAATCCCACTGCGACTCAGTGATTCAACAGTATGTCACCGTAGCAATTGATCCAACCTTCTCTGTCTTTCTGCTGAAGCTGTCGCACAGCACGGCAATCCAATGTAGGCCCCTCTTGTCAGACTCGCCAGGCATACATGAGGGTCAGTAACAAATCAAGATGAAATCCTATCCATCCCGCCCCGCCATGCCCTTCCGTCATGCCCTGTCGAGGGGCTTGCAACATTATGAACGCGCCCTCTCCCGAGCACCGATCCTTGTTCAATCTCTGACCTGTGGAACGCTCTGGTGCGCTGAACTACAGAATGCATCTGCAGTTCTTTGCCAAATTTAATTCCGTACATGTCGCACTGGCAGCCCTGTGATCTTCTTGAGTTTTGCTCGTGGTCCACCAGGGGGATTGGAGATGTGTTTGCACAGAAGATCGAGGGCAGAAAGGTAGATTTGGGGTTATCAACTTTAATTAACATCATCTGTATGGATTCCAGTAAATATGAATAAGCACTGTTCTCTCCCAAGATGGGACCCTTCCCTTTCGCAGGTGATCGACAGCAGACGCCTCGGGCTCACCACCTTGTATGGAGCAGCAATCATAAGTGGGCCCCCTGGCCAGCGCTGTGTGACACGATGCAGAGAATATGGCTTTGTCCGCACAGTACAGAAACTCAAATTTCGTTCTGATCTTTACGTGGGGTGTGTCAAAGTATACATAAAAGCCTGTTGGGATCCTTGAGATTTACAAACAACTTTAATTATACGGCCTGTGTGTGCAGCTCCCATCTGTCACTTCTGGTATAGAGGGCTGGATAGGTACCTGATCAGCCGCTGTCAGTGGCCTCCAGGCTCCAGAAAATTCGTTGCAGGCAAGGTGTGGTGAGCGCCTGAGCTGCTCTTGAACGATGGAGTATCGTTACCCGCTATCACACTGTCATTGACTTGGCTGTTGCTGCACAGGTCCTATTAGATACATTCTTGTTCACACCAGTCCACGTCATGGGCTTTTTTGCATGGATGAATGCCGTGGATGGCGGGTCCGTCAGGGTAATGCCTTGCGCCCACATGCTTGATACCATAAATTATCAGCAAACTGCATTACAGAGTCGCAGCCTGTTGTCATCATCAGAAAGATGACCTTATTGGAAGCCCCTCTGCTAAATATCTGACACAGGTCAGTCGTGCAGGATTGGCCACCAAGTGCAGGAAGGACTTTTGGCCAACCCTGGTGGTTGAGATGGTTGTTTGGCCGCCCTTCCAAGTGCTGAACTTTGCCAAGGCCCCCCTGCGGCATCAGCTGGTGGTCATGAATGGGGGCACCATCATGGACAGCGCATTCATCTGCTGGTAAGCCCCGCTGGCATTCATGCAGCAAGGGCAACATAGCTGTGAGATGCGCAACCTTTGTTCCCAGCTGACCCTTCCCCTACTCTCATCAAAGTTATTGCAAGTTTTGAGCACGTATAGCCAGGATTGGCAAGCATGCATTCGGCAGTGGCATCTCTAGACACCTCTGGATTGTGCCGTGCTCTGTATCTGTCAAAAAACAGTTTTCACACAACAAATGGCGACGGTTTGAATGGCTGTGTCCTTCTGTGATGATGCAAAAGTGATTTTGCAGGGCTCGCAGTCAGGTAGACTGGCAACCAGCCTGGACATCAGCATCCAGACAACAGTGAACGTTTTTTGCCCCCAGGAAGGCCAAAGCAACTATCTTGCAAACACCGTTGGACTGTCCATGTTCAAGTGGCAAATCCTATCAAAGCAGCTTGCATTGGGTGTGCACCAATTTCTTACTAAACATAATATAGAGATAGTGTGAAGGTGCTGCGCAAAGCAATTTGAGCGCATATCTACCTGCCGCGCAGCATGCAACTGGAGCCTGTGCTGTAATCTCACCAAATACAAAAAGCAGCTCGCTGTGTGCGGATGATCGGCTTGATCCAGGCCCTAGGACTTACCTTGGCGAAATACAAACCTGCAATTTTGGCTCATTTTGATAGAGTCAAAATACCAAGGTGTCACTCTTTGTGCTAATGAAAGATGCCAAACCGACGAGCTAAGCTCCAATTGAGAGATTGACCTCTGAGCTATAATAAATAGTCAACGAGTTTGCAGTTCGTGGACCAAAGCAGAACCAAGACAGAACAGGGCATTATTGTACATTCAGTACTCGAAACAGTGTGATCGAATTTGGCGCTAGGATCTGACTTCAGTGAAAGGATTGTCTTTGCCATGGCTATCTTGAACCGTTTGTCATCATGCATGCAACGGGGATTTTGTCCCGTATACGTAGATCAACAAAGCCCCGTAACCGGACTTCCCATTGTGAATGTCTTTCTTTCGTCCATCTCAAATTGCACGACATTGCAAAGCGCAATTTGCAATGCACGCTCTAGACGCACTTGGCATCACTTTCCTGACGTGACGGTACAGAATTTCTGGGAGTCTGTTCAGGCGAGCCCATACCGTCCTGTGACAGAATACCGCAATGCTGAAGCTCAAACCACTACTGTCCAGACTTGTGGCTGTGAGACAGACAGGCGCTCAACAAGGCGCTTCTATGCTCCATCTATCGCGTACTGCGACTCCCTTCTTTCTGCAACAAGGTACTCAGGTGCCGTTGGATGTGCCATGGGTTTCTTGTTGTTTCTGCCTTCGCTGTGCACCTGCACTCTTGTCCTTCCGCCGATTTGCACTCTGGTGCCCGTAGACGGGTTTTGTGGAGATATCTTCAGGGCCTCGTCCCAAGTTGTGAGGACTCATCTGTCTGTGCTCGCCCCTGAAAAAGCTGTATCCAGCACTGCATCTCGAGAAGTGAGGCACCCCAACAGCAGCTTCTACACATCAGACATGACAGAGGGGCAGATATGGGAGAAGACTGGATACTGTCCGGAATGGACCGGGCTCCCGATGGAAATCATGATAAGCAGTAAAGCAGGGTTTGACGAAGGAAGCCTCCCTTGCATCAGGGTCTGTGGCACCTACGAAGAAGGCTGCGCTTGGGGTATGTTGACCCATCTGTCTGCTTCCCTTGGCATAATCTTTGCTGGATATTCAGGGCTATCCTGACAGTGTGGGACCCGCAATTGCCCCTGCCTCCAAGACAAATCAATATGCCTACAGGAACTCCCTTCTTCCTTATCACAATGGAGGACAACCCAAGGGTGATCGGTGCCACAGGGGTGATCAGCCCTGAAGGAGTGCAGAAGGCAGTGCAATGGGTGCACATCAATAAGGCTCCCTTGCTGAATGTCTGGAGTCAGGATTGTTGTCATGATGATTGCCACTTTGTCAAGGTTTGAGGTCTGCAAGGCGGTAGCCTATCATGTTGAGTTGAGAGATCCAGCTCAGTAGCGCAATAAACGATCTCGCCTCAAATCCTACTCTTTGCTGTCCAGTCCTGCATGCAGACATCATCCCAGTGCTAATCACTGTTGTTGCGAAAACCTCAAACAGGCAGGCTGAACATGTCGGCAAATGCCTGAGGGATTATTTGGGATATGAGAGGGCTGTGTGTGACGAATTCGCGGAGTTGCGTACAAGGACATGCGAATGTCAAGGCAGATTTTCAAAACAGTATTCCTAAGAAGCTGGGTCAAAGATCGGTTGCTTTGCGGTCAGTCCAGCATCTTTAGTGCTTTGCTATCAGCCCAGTGTCTTGATTGAATCCCAAAGAAACAGCGTTGCCCAGCTCTGAGTTCTTTCCAGCCCATCCTTGCCTGTCAACACACCCAGCGTTCGCATGATGAAACAGCGGAATGGCCTCGCTGTTCACATTATCTAGATTGTATATATTCCTTACGTAAGGTCAAATATTTTGGTGTCTACCTTCTGTCCTGAGATGCGTGTTCAGAAACAGCTGGCCTGGAAGTGTTGAATTGCTTTTGATTCCCAACATGCATCTGCTTCGGTCAAAGGGCATGCGTGTGATGCCAGGATTTGTACTGCACCCAATTGTGCCACCCATCAATGCCCAGATTGCCGCAGGCTTGTGGGCATTCAGGCCACATCTGAAAGTTTGCATGTCAACCAAGCTCACCAGATGAGAGCCTCCATAGGTGTCCGGCTGATTCAAATGCATGTGATCACTATTGGTCATGACTAAGGATTGCTTGACTTCTGAAAATACAGGACACCTTAACAATGATCCACAAATTGAAAAGCATGCTAAGTCCTGTGCCGAGATCTAGCTAGACTACAGTGGAACTCCTTCTGAAGAGGAGTTTATCAGATAAACTTTAATTTCTCGACCATCCACAAGCTCTATCATGTTGTGTGACCTCACGACTTGAGCGCACAGCCTTTTTGTTGCAAAATGCCTTGTTTATTGTGAATGGCAGAGAGCCAGCGAACTTCGGTTGAATTTGTGCCGCACCGTGAGTGCGGTAGAAGGACTTCTCAGTGAGAAGTTCTCACCAACCTGCACCGTGAAGAAGGAAGGCAGACTTGCGGCCAGCATTGCATCTACAGTCTATCCTGTTGCAAGCAACTGCCATGATTGGAGTCCTGTGCAAATCTCTATATCGTGGGTGGGAGGAATTCAACCTGGAAGGATCTACATGGCAACGGTATGCAGGAGCCAGAATTGGCACCTGGCATTCAAATAGGAGCACGAGAACGTGCTGGCCCTTTGCGTCCTGCGGTCACAACAGACCCAGCAAGATTTCCGGCAAGATGCTGCAGGTAATGGAGCAAGCTCAGCAGCAGGAGATCACCCCAACGGAGAGCCTGGAACTGGTGAGACTGTTGACTGGTCCTTTTCGTTGTTCTTCACACGCACCTCTATAAAAACACGGTCTCAGCAAGGCTGAGGACACCCTCACACGTTTTATTGTGCACTTGCAGGTCCGATGCCTTCTACGGGTGGTGAGTCGCAAGCTGAAATTCGTACACTGGCTATTGTGTGTAAAGAGGCTGCTTTCAGTTTGAAAGGTTCGCTCTGTGCGCAGTCGGTGTTTCACACCTGTTACCTTCGAGGCATCTTCCCTGAATCCAGCTTCAAGGAGGTCTGCATGGCAGGCCTTGACGGTGCGCCTCTCCGTTGGGCTCCGTTTTTGACACCGACAGTGTGACAGCTCTGCTATAATTACTGACATAGCTTTGGCTTTGCATGCAGGCATGGCAATCAAGGTGTGCACTTCTGATCGCTGGGCAAGGAACGTTTGCTCTTCAATTCTTGAATTATCAGAGCAAGTCCTTGATTGCTTCTGTGAGCTTCCCAACTTCTGTGGCTCCATGCAGATGCTCATCCCTGGCAAGAACAAGGATGCACAGCGCCTTGTGGAGTGGGTGGAGTATGGTGAGACATCATCTGCACAGCTCCTTTCTCTCACAGCCTTCAAATGCAAGCAGCTACTGACAAGCATGTGCTTCTGCAGGGCTGCATGATGCGCTGGGCCGTCAGTATCTGGAAAGCATGACTTTTGGGGTTTCCCAGGATGCAGATCAGACGGAGCTCTTGGAGGAGTTCTCCTACAAGTTTGCCTATGACATGCAAGACGGTCTCACAATGACAGACAAACACGGCAACAGCATCCAGCTGCCCGCATCCCAGGCCTCACAGGTATCGCAACCTATGTGTTGTTCTGCATCTTTGTAATATCTGGGGCGCATGTCATGCATCTAACTAACCTTCTGTGTCGTGCAGACCAACATCAAGACTGTCAAGTACCAGATCGTGCGCCTCATGCGCACCCTCATCCAAGTGAGCATCCTGGCCTGAGCTTTTTTGTGCCATCCAGAGTGTCATTCATGATGCTTGATGACATGCATGCACAGATACTCCGCTAGGACGGCTTTGAGCCAGTTTAAATATCTCTGTGGGGACATGTGCAGGTCTGCACCACCTTGGAGGAGCTTCCACGCGAGCGCTATGTGTTCATGAAGCTCACCTACACTGATGACACCCCGCCGGACTATGAGCCACCATACTTCCGCAAGCTGGAGGACGCAGATGCCAGCCACTTCTCTTCTCGGCCATTTGCCATGTAACACAGCTCTGCTGTGACAGTAGTACTGTCACCCTCCATGCATGCAGCTTCCTTTATCAAATCTTTGCATCTGGATCTAAAGGAGCTGATCTGTCGTGCATGCATGCTATGCTGCAGGTCTGTTGGCGGAGTGCAGACAAACTACCATGGTGTCTCTGTGATGGTTCGGAGGTGCGTGCACATTTGCTGAGGTTCTCTTCTGCTCGACAGATGATGTATGCTGCATGGCAATTGCTCTGCATGACAGCATTGAGGCATGCATGTCTACCTGCAGCCTGTACGATCCCCTGGACGAGAACAGTGAGGTGCAAAAGGAGGGTCAGAACAGCACCTTTGCTGATATTCCTCTGCAAGACACACTGGCAGATTGTGCAGCTTCACAGGTAAGTGGAGTGCACTGTCTCCTTTCTTCAAACGGACCTTACAGCCTGTACACAGCTCTGCCTAACTGTATTATGTCTGTCTGCTTCAGGTTCCCATCAATGACACAGGTAGTCTTGGGTAGACCTGGCTATGTCTCCTAACACTTTGGACTGCTGTTCTACAAGGCAGAGGCCCACTTTGCTTGAAATGTACACCGATCAAATGGTTTTGATGCAGGAGCAGAGAAGAGCAACAAGGCCACACCTGCAACCCTTACCTCTGTGCTGCCCACTGTCATGTCCTTCTGCAAGGACGGGGATAAGTCCACCGTGGACTTTGCTGATGTGTTGGCAAGATTCACTGACACCGATGTTGGCACCCTGGAAAGGTACTGTGTCGTTTTACTGCTCTGAAGGCAGGAACTGGTAGTTCTGTGACTTGCATTGAAAAGTGCTGCCATGCATGGTACTGATGCCAGTATTTGGGCATGGCCTGCTAATGAAGGTGTTTCCAGCAGCTAGTCATGGATGGCACACTGAAGGCAACAGAGAGGAAGGATACGTTCAAGGCAAGCTTTACATCTGAGTGAAACTCTGTTTGAAGAATGCTGCACATGCCGTAGTAAGCGCTGCTCTGAATCATTGAAGCACAGGCAACAACTGTGGCTGCTCATGCAGGTTCTTAAAAGTGTGCAGCAGGAGTCTCAGATCCATCAGCAGAGCCATCAAGAGTTTGAGAATCTGATCGGCAAGTCACCCTGCCTCACGCCATTCTCCTGTATGGTGGCGAGTGATCTCTGCAATTGATTTGCGCTTGCTCCACCTACCAGAAAAATATCTTGGATGAAAATCGAGTAGGCAACATGCATGTTGGCAGGTACATCCCAGCAGCTGCCTCAGGAGATAGATGGCAGCCAGATTGCCCACATGCATGACACGCATGCAGGTATAGATGAATTCCCCTTTTCCTTGAATCTCAATTATTTGATGCATTATGGCAGAATTGTTAAGAGGGTGCTGCGACGCACTAGCCCTGTGGGCCGGAACAAGCGTGTTATAATTTTAGTATTGATCTTTGCAGGATTGCTCTACCTTTGCTGAGGTGCACATGGCATGCAGGTTCGGAGCGCACATTCTCCACAGTCCACAAGGCAGCTGACAGTGCGGCAGTGCTGGCACCCGAGGGAGCAGCAGGGCCGGATCAGCTGCATGCTGCCGAGAGCCCGCGCATGTCATTCGTGTACCAGGGCACGCAGCAGAGCAACCAGCGGGGGACCAAGCGCAAGGCTTCCTGTGCAGAGGACCCCATCCACCAGCGCCTGGAGCAGCCCAAGCAGTCGCGCCTGCGCCTGCAGAAATCCCAGCGCCGCCACTGACCCTGAGTTCTAGACTGCAATTTTGTCGGACTATCGAATAGTGGGTGCAAGCTGATCCAAACGTACAATTTCATCATGAAGTATCCAGCTTCCTGTTACAACCTGCCGTGGCACATTATAGACAGGCGCCACGTTGGCATGAGCTTAGGGAGAGGTGGGAGAGGTGGCTGAGAGCTAGAGTCCTCTGACAGCAGGGACGGCGAAACAAAAACTGCACTCTGCCAAGGCTGGCTGAATTTCCGATTACCTAACCGTCCCTTTAACCTCGAGGAACCTTGAATATTGATGCTGTGCGCTTTCCAAAGAGGACTGGCCAGTCCCCATGGGAGCTGTGAAGGAGCAGCCCCAGTATATTCTGCACGCGCTTTTATAACTACGCAAGCACAATTTGATCAAAATTTGATTTATGAAGCCTCTGTGGCAGCAGCTATGTGTTTACAGCCATGTACTGTATCGAGCCAGGTGAATATGTGTCTTTAGATTCTGGACAGTCCACCGCCACTTTTAGGGCAGCGCAGATCCGTTCTTAACGATCCGTTTCCAAACAGCACGCATCAGGGGTTTCTAAATCAACTTCAATCGCAACTCTTGTTTTAGAGTCGCCGCATGCAAGGTGAGCAAGGGGCTCATGAGACCTGCTGTAAGCGAGGGGCTCTAGTAGGGCTTGGTAGGGTATCACATGATGTCACGATTTTAGCAGACTGAGGCAAGATCCAAACCAAAACAGACAAGTGTCAAATAATGGCAGGTCTTCAAATCAGAAGCCCAGCAATACTCCAACAGAGAAACCAGAAGTTAAAGGGGTCGTTTGCACAAACATGCAAAAAATTGGACACACTGCACTAAGACAGATGACACCCAGACACACCAGTAGACCCACACAACACGATGAAATGTTTGCGGATCAAAACTGTCCTGTGAGCGGCGCTCAGCTACTTTGCGCACATCTGTCATTACTAAGCATAATCAACTGCACGAAACAGTTAAGACCCCAACCAAAGAAGTGGGCGCCAAACAGTGCTCATAGTTCTGTCGAAACCAAGCAGCACAGGCGGTCCAAAAGGTACAGAGCAAGACAAGCACATCATGCATGCAGTGCACATTCTTGCTTTATGTGCATGACATTGTCAACCACTGGACTTATCATGACTTAGGATGCTATTGCCAAGCCGTCGGGCAGGTCATGCGCATAGGTACGGCAGCACCCAAGCACAGTACCAAGTGCACCAATGCAGCTCCTGCCCTGACTTCAACACGATCAACACTTCCCAGCAGCATGAGACACTAACGCCATACAACCCACATCATCCCGCTCGATTGTCCCGGCCCGCGCAACAGCGGCTGCATCATGCCATGCATGGCGCGTCATGGTCCTCATCGGCATTGCGCGCGCTGCGCAAGCCCATCTGCACCTTCTTCGGCCGGCGGCGGCGGCGCGGCGCGGCGGAAGCCGCCTGCGCGGCCTCCACCTCGGCCAGGATCATGTCGTCGTTGGGGAAGAAAAGCCATCGCACGGCGCGCTCCAGGTAGCGCACTGAGAAGGTGACGATGTAGACCAGGATGAGCTCCATCCAGAAGCCCGGCGTCGAGAAGATCCGCACTGCCACGCCAATCTGCGCAGCGGGGCCATAAACTTCAATCACAATACATGTCATCCATACAGCAAGAAGATTGCGCAGCTGATCAGGGAAACATGAGGCAGCTAAGTCGATGAATGCTGTTATTGCCACACTGCACACCTTGATCAACCTGAAGCCTTGACAAATGCCCTGGGGAGCTCTCTGATATGCACGAAGCATGTGCATGTTTGCATGCAAATGCTGCACTAGCCATATCCTCTCTCGTTATCAGCAATGGTGCAGCCTTAGCGAGACTGCCCTCAACTCCCTGATCCAATTGTTGCATTATGGTATATTGCCCTGATGCAAAGAAAGGGAGATCGGAGGCCTAAGAGCGCACATGGGAGGAGTCATAGTAGCCGATGCGCTCGAAGAGGGCGCCCAGAGCAAGCAGGAAGGGGAAGGTGATGACGTAGGAGAGTGCCCAGACGAGGATGAAGAGCCACGTCCAGAAGCGGGAGATGAGGCCGATCTCCCAGGTCACCACGCCGATGATGCCGATGAACATGAGCTTGCCCATCGCGTACACGCTGTCGATCGGCTTCTCCGCGTTCGTGGTCAGCGACAGGTATGGGATGAAGAAGAGCACCTGCACATGCGTCGTGCTACTTGACGATCTGTGCGCAGCGCAATGATAGCAAATCAGGTGCTGTGCATCAAAGCCAGTTGTGGGAATGGTCAGAAGGCACTGGCAAGCCACAACAGCTCTGGGAAGTCCTTTGTCATCATGAACATGTCTCACTCAACATAATTGAAGTGAGACAAATGCGATCTCGCAAGTACCTGGCGCTTTGCAAGTTGCATTCTGGTAGCACAAACAAACAAAGGCATTTTACTTCGTAAGGAGAAGGCGCATGCTTAGGCTCACGGGCACGGCTCAGGTCACGAAAGGTCCGATCTGTGAGACAGGCCGTCGCCTTAAAGGTACGTTTGCCCTCTTTGGAGACACGACCTTTGCTTCCATGCCGCAGCCCGTCACACAGACCGCCTGTTAGACACTCTTCACCACAAAATCCAAATATCGGCCTCACCGCTGCATGGGTGATGGCTGTGAGTACGCCTGTCTTCCAGAAGGTGCGGGAGGTGAGGGGCCGCTTGCGGTTGTAGAGCTGCGGGTAGCGCATGAGCGTGTCCAGGTGCTTCACCGGCCGGTCAAACAGCGCAAAGCACAGCACCGGCCCCGCTGTGAAGAACGCGTTGTAGAACGCCGCCGTCACCCCATCTAGCCACGCCTGCGATCGCAAAAGGTGGCATTCAGCATACTTATTGTAAAAAATTGGGGAGGTGTTCCTCACACTGTTATAAAATTGCACTCGATTTTGATGGAGGCTGACTGGGCTGCTGCATTGCTTTCTCCAGGTCTATGAGTGAGGGAGTGCACTTTTGACCATCAAGTGAGGTAAACCTGAACAGCATGGTTGGGAAATAGGATTGGTGAAAGGGGAGTGCTGGACCGAGCTAGCAAAGCGGCAGTGCTACTATTTCCAGCGCTACACACAGTGAGCAAATCAGTCATCATGACATGATATTATCGAACCAGGCAAATATAAGCATAAGGAGACATGGGAGTGGTGTCAAGGGGATGCTGGCGGGAGCTGACCTGGCCGGAGACGCCGTTGAAGATCTGGTAGAAGAAGAACATGAAGGCAAAGGTGATGTTCTTGTAGAAGGAGTATTTGATCAGCCGCTGCAGCCGGTAGTCCGCCAGCGTCCCATGCACCAGCAGCAGCCGCGTTAAAAACCTGCACCAGCCAGCCCTTCATCATGCATGATTCTTGGGCGAAGCAATTTTGCCACAGCCCAGCAGCTCCTAAGAACCCACAGTGCTTCGTGGTCAATGTTTGTCAGGGCAGTCCAGGATGGCCATGCAACAGGAGGGATGTCAAAGTTACGACATGCCAGGTATCTTACTCAGCTGCACAGAACTTCAAATACATCGCCACATCGACGAGAAAGATGAGCATCGAAGACGGCACTACAGATAACGTAACTTCCATCCTCTGACAGATGTGTTTGCTTTTTGCTCGACTGTCTCGAGGTGTCTGGCATGAACGTCAAAGGCTCGTGTAAGCTTTGAAGCACTGGATGCGCACCGGAACTGGGAGAAGGCGAAGTCGGCGTTGTTGACGGCCTGCCGGCCCTCCTTGCCCATGACGCCAACGCCGATGTCGGCCGCCTGGATCATTGCCACGTCATTCGCGCCGTCTCCAATCGCCAGCATGCGCATGCTCACGCTCGCGTGCGCGCGCCTCTTCACAAAGCCCAGCCACCTCCTCCACCCCGCCTTGCCGCCGCCCTCGCCCTCCTGCACACAAAAATTGACGCTGTTTTCTATCCTAGAAATTTTGTGGTCATCCTTTGTGCCGGGTGGGCTCCTCCGACCCTGGTGGAGCTGATCAGAGCATCGCTACGTCAGCCATGCCTGCCTTTGGCGCAAGGTAGTTGAAGTGTCTGCCGGCCTCCGGGCAGGGCCAGGGCAGAAGCCATGCATTGGACAGTTTTGCGAGCTTTCAAGGCCCGGCGAGCAATGGTGAACAGAGGAGATGTTGATTGACCCTACAGCGGTGCACCCACGTGGGCCGTGAGGTCAAGTGATTCCCAGACTTCGCAGCATCAACCCCTGTTCTCTGTTTCGAGCTTTGTTATTCCAGCAGACTAAAGACGCAAAGACAATATTTTTGCTGTCAAAAGGAGGAAGTAGGGCCGCACGGCGGAGAGCTGCTGGGCCTGGAAGTGCTTCATCATGAGCACGATTGCGGCCTTCTGGGAGGGCGATGCGCGGCAGACGACCACGCCGCTGCAGCCGTGCGCCAGCTGCGCCAGAAGAGGCTCCGAGTTGGTGCCCAGGATGCGGCTCAGCGTGCGCCCGTCCACCACCATCTCCGCAGCTGGGCCGGCCTGCAGCACACTCCAGGATCACATAAAGCACCCATCCGGAGAAACTTACAGTGCATCGTAGACTTAAATTTCCTGTTCATGCATGCGGGAAGCGCAAGCTCCACCCTAAAATATGAGTAGCGGGTGGATACCCAGCAAAACCTTGTCAGGATTGTGGAATTTCGTTTGTACAGCTAGCTGTCAAAAGGATCAGCTCACAGGTGCAAACCTCTTAAAGTGATAAAGAAATCATGGTGCCCGACCTCCATGGCCAATGCCCCCAAGGCCAGATCTCACTCCTAAGCTCTTAGCAGTACTGCAAGAAGAACTCACCAAGGCTGCGCTAGCCTTGCCGTCAGCGCCGTGTGCGCCAGCCGAGCTACGGTCGCGGCACTGCAGCAGGGCTTCCTCCAGGCGCGCGCGTGCAGCCTCGTTGGAGTCTGCCGCATTGATGATTATGAGATTGTCCGGGTGGTGCACCAGCCTGCACGCGATGGCGATGTTGATGGCGGTCTCCTGCTTGTCGCCCGTGATCATCCACACCTGCACGCAGCCGCAACCCCGCTCAGTCTCCAGCGTCTCATGACAACCTGAATCACTTGCAAGCTCTTCGCTCGGCAACGGGATGTGCCGTAAGTTTTCCGAGAAGAGAAACACGCACGAAAGCAAGCAAGATTAAGGAAAGGGCCCGGACATGAGAGATTTGAAAACACATATCTACTTAAGACCATCATAAGCTCTGGCGCCCAGCATGAGCCACAGAGAATGCAGAAGTTCTCCTGCAAAGGGCACTAATGTGGTTGAGGCCAGCAGAGCAGAAGTCCCTGTGCGCCTCGGTATTAGACCAAGCAAGGGTAAAGTGCAGGCAGAAAACAAAGACTCGTGCTGTAAAAGGCTTATTCAAGACTTGCATAGCAGTGAGCCTTGCCTCTGCCTGCACCATGCACTCCCTCCAAGCCAACATACACTTTTCAACACCCTGCTACAGCACTACCCAGCAGGGATCAATGCAGTGGCCTCCACCAAGCCGAATTGCAATCGCAGCACCCTGTGATAGCACTATATAGTGGGGATCACTGACAGGGGATGGCGGTGAGTGCGCGCCTTGATGCCGGCGGTGACGAGGAGCTGGATGGCTTCTGGGACGCCGTCCTGCAGCTTGTCCTCGATGGCCGTGACGCCCACCAGCTGCAGATGGCGCTCCACCTTGGACGCCTCCGCTGCTATGCGCGCCTCTCGCCCGTCCAGGCTGGCGGCCGCCGCCTGATAGCCCTCGTTCCAGGCCGCCCACTCTGCCTCTGTCAGCACGCGCGTCGCCAGCACCAGAGTACGCAGACCCTGCGAAGCATCGTCACGACTAAGAGACCAGCCCAGGCACCCACAGCTTGCCGCAGAAGATTCCGTCTGTAGAGCAGCACCGTCTCTCTGCAATCGATTTGATGGACCTTTCACCAAGTTGAGAATTCCACGAGGCTGATCCAAGTGGAGTGGGATCCTCACCGCACACGGACAGCTGCATGCTGTTGTATGTGAGATTTGTGTCCCAGAATCAATGGGAAAGGCCACCAGTTATTATCAGTGTAGAGAAGAGTCTCTAACAAACTAATAAAGTATTATTAAATCTTCCTGGCTGGAAGAAGCGTCTCAAGATGTCACCACCCAGGAGATGTCAGCCGTGCAGGAAGACACCATTTATTCAATCATATACTTAGCTGCTGCCGTGCGTGCGCAATGAGCACATGCCGAAGGGATTCCGGCCTCAGCGTCAGCCAGCAGTCACCTTGACAGAGAAGTCGTGCAAGTTCTGATTGGTGCGCTTCAGCAGGCCCTTGTCGGTGTCCGCGCTGAGGCGAGGCAGCAGGGCCGCGTCCGAGCCCTTGCTGTGCAGGCGGATCGTCCCGTCCGGCGCGCGCACTATGATGCTCATGCACGCCCGGTCGCTCGTGAAGTCCAGCACGTTCAGCACCTGGTGCACGCTCTGCACAGCACAAGGTGCCCCGTCAATGCTGCCAACCAAATCAGCTAGCATCAGTTCAGCTGGTCCTGCATGCAAGCAACTATGTCGCTCACAACTTATTGCATATGTTGTGCGGAGACAGGTTCACGAACTGAATGTGAACAGAAGCAGGTGAAGTTCCGAGCACATGTTGGATCAAAGAAACATGTTGCAAGACAGATGGGCTGCAACAAGACATGAAGATCTTGCCTCGTGTCCTTGCATGCGGATGTTTAGCGATGCACGGTCTCGCCGGACAAACTCAAAGCCCAGCAGCCGGCCGCCCTCCACCAGCGCCACCTCATCAGGTGACGGACCCTGCCCACATGATAACTTTGTGGCGGCATTCAAGAAAGACAACATGAGCTCCACCAATTGCAAATGGGTAATGTGAACATGCAAAGGCTCACACGGAAGCTGCACAGTAGCTTGATGCGCTCATGCAACTACAATCAGGCCTGTTGGGGAGATGGAATGCAATGCACAACATCCTCTGGGCCAACAAAACAGCACCTACCTGGTACACAGTCGGCTGCCCCTTCTCAACATCCTCCACGATGAGTGTATGGCAGAGACACAGGTTCATCCAGAGGTCCAGAAGCTGGCAGCCCATCAGGATCTCATCCTCAGAAGAGGCTGCTGCGCCATTGACACCGTTTGACAATGTGTGTCGGTCATGCCCGGGGGCGGAGGCCGCCGTGAGAGGGTCGCCGTTTGACGGCTGCGCCAAGCTCTGAGCAGAGTCCTGGGCCTGCAACCCTGCTCCGCTCCTGGCAGAACCTGTCTGGCCCTGCTCCCCCGCATTCCCATTTGTGTCTGCCACAGCCACTCCACTTCCCTGCAACACCACCAGAGCATGTTCTTCATTGCTGCATGTATGACCTGTGCTGCATCACGAGGGGAACCACCAGCAGCACGCCGAACACATTCCTTAATCCGCATGATTGCGACATGAGTTACAAAGACTGAGAGCGCGCATGACTGACCTGGCGGATGCTGGATTCTGGCTGGGAGAGGACGTCGGCGCTGCTGCCGCCGCTCTCGAGTATGCGCTCCCACAGCCCAGCGTGCTGCACCGCGTCCACGGCTGAAGCCAGGCGCGCGTCAAACTCCACCACATTGTCCCTCTGCTTGTCCGTCGCCCTGTCCTCCAACCTGGCATCGCCAACCCACCCAGCTCTTAAGCCCTGCTGAGAACGATGCAGAGCTGTGGCAGCACAGCAGCGTCAGGTCTCATAAAAGCACAGACGCGTGCAATCCTTTCATTTATGCTGAAAGAAGACAGAGCTTACGGGAAGAATTGTCTCAAGACATGCCCCTTCAAGTTTGCGACCATGTCCACAACAGGGAATGATGGCTGCAGGGAGGTCATAATCTGCACTGCCCCCTTGACCGCACCTGAAGTCAGGGCGGCCGAAGGGTCGGCCCTTGACGGCGAGCATGCGCAGCTGCATCTCATTTGAAGTCAGCGTGCCGGTCTTGTCGCTGAACACGTACTCTACCATTCCCAGGTCCTCCACAATGTCGCTGTTGCGCGCTCTCGCCGGCTCCCCGTCCGGCCCCTCCCGCATGTGGGGGTCGAACACAATGAACACCGAGCACTGCAAGCAAGCATGCACACGCAGAATTTTACCCGAATGCCTTGAAACACATGCTGTCTTGCTATTTTACCAGCTTTGGCTAATCTGAGGAGCGATGTTTGGATTCAAGTAGTCATGGCCGGACATATTTGCCTCAGCCCATTAGCTTGCCAGGCACAAGGGCCCATGCTCAGTCAATCTAACCCCCCGCAAGGAGTGATGCATGCTTGCCCGGCTACAGCAGCATGATTGCAAGCATGCAAATAAGCTGCTAATTCATGCAGCTTCCAATGCCAACAATAGCCAAGGACAGGAGCGCACCAGCACAAATTTGACAATCTCAATGGAGACGAAGAGCGAGATGGGGACGAGGTAGGAGAAGAGGATCCAGAAGGTGATGAAGAGGATGATGATGTAGACAAAGGCGTTCTGGTAGTTGCCGCTCGTGTACACATCCATGGCCAGGTAGTATTGGTCATAGCCCTGCATGAAACGAACATACAATCCTGACCCGCAAAAGGTGAGTGATCTGGTCGAATTTCTGCATAATTGATTGATCATCTGACACGCAGGAAGGAGCACAAATATGTCATGTGATTGCAAGTGAAAACGCTGGACGTCTCTATGTTTGCAAGACATGGGCTGACCTGCGTCTGGCGCCACACCCAGGACGCTATGGCAAAGGCCAGGCAGATGGACAGCTGGAACACCAGCACCAGCAGAATCTGCACATTCAGGAAGCGATCGAATGCGCCTGCGCAAGCAGCCTCCGCTCAGACAACACATGGGCCAGTTACAACTGCCTTGGCGCCCTGATGAGATGACTAGGTACCAAGCCAACTAGGTACTAAGCAAACAGCTGATATGCATGCATGCCAGTATTTCTCGAGAGCAGCTGTCTCCCATCCACACATGGAGTAGTGGACAGGAGCCCACAACACGATGCGCAGATTGGAGAGTACAGCAGCCGAGTAAGAGCATCTGTCAATTATCATGGCAGTAAGGGAACAGGTGAGGACAATGCGCCTCACCGATTTTCCTGGGGGGTTCGGCTGCGTTCATCTGAATGCGGGACTCTGGGCCAGTGTACACCACCAGCCCATGCGTGCAGCCAGAATTCTTCAGCGTGCAACCGCGCAGAAGAATCTCATTGATCGTCACCGGCACCTTCTTCACCTCGTGCCCTGCTGCCCCAGAATCTTCCTTCAGCACTGCTGTAGGAAGGCATGCATGTCCTTTGTATTCAAAGAATGAGCTGCAGAGATTCAGCAGTACAGCAATGAAGGAACAGCAATGAAGAGGTCATGCAAGGTGCCAATATTTACCTGAAGCAGGTCTATAGCAGAAGTTGCCAATAAAGTTGTGCAGATCTGGGTTGGGGACCTCGCAGGAGAGCAGCCCCAACAGATGCTTGGCCTCGACAGCGCTCTTTGGCATGTCCCCTTTGATATCCACTGGTCGCCTGATCTTCAGGTTGCTCTCACCTGCACACCACAGCACCATTAAAGATTGTCACCTCCTGCTTTCGATTACATGACGGCATTCGATTACATGACGGTACAAGACTTGTCCAGTCATGTAGGCGCTGCTCATGACATTTTGTGAATAATTGAGATGCTACATGCAATGATTTCCTTGATATCATCCACTTATAAGTTGTGCAGCATCATCAAGCGGGTCAACTGGGAGCTCACCGTCAAGGTTCACAGTCTTTATGAAGCAGACGTTGTCGGCGTGCGTACAGTGCAGACACAGCAGGTCTGCCGGGATGTTCTCATTGTCGCGCACCTCCAGCACCATGCCCACATGCACCTCGTGCCACTTGATGTCTTTGACGCTACCTGCACCCGCCCCACCAGTCAACCATGCATGCACATTTATCCCCTCCAACATTGCTATGATTGTCAGGGCATTGGTATTGAGAAAGTTCTCCTACTAACTGGCGGACAAGTCCTGTCTGATTGGTAGCGCAAGGGTGCCAATTGGGGAATTGTGTGCCATTCTCGACACAGGACCTCTGTCATGTCTCATGGAGATACAACCGGGGCAGCTTCAAGCAGGATAGGGTGGCATCCATGGGTGGATGAGTGATCACCATCAGGGTTCACTAAGTGGGCGGTGCTGTTGTTAGTCAGGCGGTCCTCCTTGTGGCGCTTCTTGTCCTCGATGATAGCCTTGACCGCAGCAACCAGTAGCACAAATAGCAGAGCGATGGTCGGTCCAAAGGGAGAGAAGGGCGACACAGTGCTCCACCATGCTAAGGCCGCCTGAAATCCAATGCACCTAAATTTGATCCCATGCATGCATGTGCCTAGACAATTGCTTTTGAGACAGCCTAGCAGTGCTGGTGCATGCTAACCCATTTCACAGCAACATTTGACGCTGACTTGAGAAGTCCATGGAAGCCGATGCCTCTTCAATTTCTGGAGAGGCAAAATATGAGATTTTGAGGAGTGCGTGCCTGGAAGAAGAAGTACAGGTAGGCGACCCGTTTGATCATGGTCCAAAGGAACATGGGCAGGAAGGTGAGGATGTTGTATTTAGCGGTTCGAATGGAGTTGCCCACATAACCCTCGTTGACTGCCCCTGGGCCGAGCCTGATCCGCCGCGTATCCTGCCCGCCCACCTCAGTTGGTGCCCCCTCATCCAAGGCTGCCCATGGGTCTCCATGTGGCTGCAAAAAGGCACAGCCTTCAAAATATCACTATATCAAGAAGAAAGCGTCACAATACAAGATTATTCTTCAGAATGGCTGCAAGTCAGCGAATGTATGTCAAGCAAAACTCACAGGGCCGAGCTTCGCGCTGCTCCTGAGCCCAGGCCAGTAGGTAGGGGGATTTGTCATGCATGCACAGCGTCAGGCAGGAAAGCAAGTCCCTCCTAGAGGTCTTGCCTGGGATCCGCGGTGCAGCGCTGTGCTGATCCGGTGCCTCACAGCCTGCAGGGAGCCAGCCCGACCCCCAATTGACAGTTGGGTGAGGCGTGGTGTTCCCCCGGAGTCTCCTGAGTGCATGCTGAGCCTGGTGTCCAAGGACTGTGTTCTCCTGTGCTGCTTGGGCTGCTTGCTGGTCCCTGCAGCCCCCAATGCCTGTGGCTCCGCGAAGGCATCGTCTCTGGCTGGTGGGTTGTTGTAAGAGTAGGATCGGGGGAAGTATGTGCCTCCAGCGCCGTACTCCCGAGGCGATGGCTCCAAGCTGGATGCCTGACAGGTAGGAGCAGACAAATTCAATTTATACAAGCATGCACAACTCTTCGGCTGCAGGATTCATCACAGAAAGCTTTACAAAGGCCCAGCATTCAGTAAATTCTATCATGGATCATCAGAACAGTAGACATAAATACGCCGTTGGCAGGCATCCATGGTCCAGGGTGCACAGAGGTGGGGGATGTCAGATGCGCACTGGGTTGCTGACATGAGGGCTGTCGTCAGCAGAATACCCAGTCCTTCCAATTGGAATTGGAATTCTAGGAGATGGCTGCTGGATTTGCCGTCTGATGTTGTTGTCTGCCATGCTTACTGCCTACAGTTCGCCTATCGATTTGAAGACCAGGAGCAAGTTATTCTGTTGTCTCATAGTAACACTTCGTAGTCTCTGCTTAGATCAAATAGTAAGTACCACACGTTCAGAAGTAGCCCAAGTGTGGTACACACAAATCAGTTTGTATCGCAAGATCCCGAATAGGTAGTGAACCGTTGGTCTTCTACACCTTTAAAAGAGTCTTTGGTAATGTACGTAAACACCACAGTTGCGAGGGATAGCTAAGAATCAGCTCAGGTCTTGGGAGGAGCGCAAGGGAGCGGCTAGGATAGCGGTGATTAAGTAAAAACCAGAGAAATATTTCAGGATAGCAATGCTTCCATACTTGATGCAGGGATTGCTAATAAATTGCTTTACAAGAATTGCACAGCATGTCCTTTCATTACGAGAAACAAATTTGCATGAGAACGAGGACAATGAAATTTAGACGCGAGGGGATCTACAGGTAAATACGCCTGCATGCATTCAAAACAAAATTCCTTCTGACAATTAACGTGGTGAATCTTTTCCAATCAATTTGCATCCCTTAGTCAATATAGCCCACTTTCTGCCATCTCCCAGCTCAATAGCACGTCAGCATGCTTGTACGTGGAATGAGTCAGATCACACATAGCAACGGTTTGACACCCGGCATTTTTGCATGCCCACAGCAATTTGTCAAAGCCCAAGTCGTTTGAGATTATGCAAACAACATTCGTTGCAGGTGTACTTGGTCCATCGACTTTCTCAGTCCCTGAAACAACAGTGCTTGGACTGGACGCCTCCAGGCGCCTGTCCTCATCAAGGAAATGCTCCAAAGGCCACTTGTCTCCTTGACTGGACGATTCTGCCCCTCCTGTCATGGTGGTCCTCATCTGATCTCCATCAGTAGGGCCCTGGTCAGCTTGTTCAGCCTCGGTCTTTATGTGCCTCAGAAGCGCTCGGACATCGGCTTTGATAGCTTCATCTGCTGCTTCGGGTCTGTCAGGCACCTCTTTCACCTGCAAACAGCAATGCATGCCTTCAGGCTTATCACATGGTATCAAGAGCTCTTGAAACCACGCTTGGATTCCTTGCATACAATAGTTATTGGGAGCCCAGCATGAGGAGATAGCCGACATATTTATCAAGGGCAGGCCCTTCGTGATGACACTTACCAGTACTCCAGACTCCACCAGTACCCTCCTGAGGCCATATCCCTTCTTAGTAAAGTACAGGGCGTCTTGCATCTCGTTGTAGCGGTCCAATCTGGCTGGGTGAGCTCTTCTTAGCCTCCGATAGCTACGCTGATGCATGATTCGCTTGTTCATTTCCCTCTTGTGCAGCTTCCTGTATAGCACGACACAGGCCCCTTAAGAGTCCCAAGCCACTGTGCTGCAGACCTGGCTGATCAAAGATACCAAACACATAATTCTTGAACTTTTCATTTCTTGCTGATCAGAATGTGGTACACTTCTTCATTCTTGCTGATCAGAAAATGGACATTACCTGAAATGCTCTTCTAGCTTCGCTGGTGTTTGAGCTCTCGCACCGCAGACCGTGCAGCGCAACTCAATAGCAGCGCCACTCTCGCTTGTTGGCTCCTCATTCCAGCTGCAGCAGCACACGCTCACAGGCTTCAGAATCCCTCTCATGAGCCAAAATGCACCTGACACCATGCACCTGACAACGACCGGGGCAATGCAACTGAGAAGAATGCCTGACCTTTCCTTGATCTCCTTTCGCCTCGCCCGCTCCACTGGTGCCACCCAAGTGAACGTGTGCCTGTTGCCGTAGGCACAGATCCCAGCAATCTCTCCAAGGGGCAACAGTGCTGCATAAATATTCTCGACAAGGTCCTCTGGCCTTGTCCACTTTGCGCTCTTGTTGTCAATATCCCAGAAAACATGCACCTGGTCAGATCAATCACATGAGCACAAGTGGCAGAGATCAGCGTCTAAACCCAGTTATGACGCCAGCATGGGGGCCAATAAAAGAGACATAAAGTTCACCTTGTTGTTTGTTGCAGGCACGGCCATGACGCTCTCCTGCCTCTTTGAGGTAATCACGTTCCCCTTTTTGTTTTGCAAAGCCACTTGCTTGTCCCAGAACTCTGCCGTGCTGGCCAGACACCTCACAGACCTGTGAACTCTATACCTGTATGGGCCAATGTGCCCCAGGACTCGGGTTCCCACAAGAGAAAACATCGTTTGAATGAACCATCCGGCACGACATGATATGTACATGATATCGAGTCAATCACGTCGCACTGTACGTGCTTCCCTCGGGTAAAGGACTGTAGTGATCTGGGCGATTGATGTTCAATTGAAGCACAATCTCGTCATTTCCAACTTTCAACATCCACTGATTGACCCAAAAATTCAGCATCTACTTCTTTAATAAAGTATATGATATTGCAATAAGAAAGAATCCATATTCCAACAATTTGTGATTGCTTTGATCATGTGCTTTCACGTGCTGCCAAGGTGCTCTGTGAGGCCTTGGGGGCCAGGGAAACGCTTATTAATTCTTGCTGAGAGAAGACCAATGTTAGATTGACATGCATGAGTACACTTGATTGGCGGAGCGGTCCTGCTGAGGGCTGCGTTTCTACACGCATAACCCGCCAATTCTACATGCAAAACCGGCCGGTGCATGCACCACCGCAGCGCTCAAGCTGTAGCTCACACTTGGCAGCTGCTTTATGACATGACGAGCGATGTCTGAGGGTAAGAAATCACGTGGCATTGCTGCAATTACATAATTCGTAGATTCTCATGAGAAAACCTCAGTCTGCTGTTTTCCTACGTCTGCATGTATATATATACAAGTCTGGGAATGCTTCACCAGGCCAGGCACACAAATGCAATATTGCCGGCCGCCTTGGACAGCCCAGCTGCATTTAGCCTAAACCCAGTACTGCTAACCTACACCTCCTCACAGCAATATCGTAAGAGTTCATTCATGCAAAGGTCATGACATCACAGTGGGCAACAGCAGGCACAAGTGTCACAGATAAAATTCTCCGAGCCTTTTGGCAGCTGCAAGTTTTCAGTCCAGCCCACGCAGAATAGAGCCTCAGCTTTAAAGCTGCTCACATGCAGAGCATGCATGGCTGACTGGCGTGAGCTGTGTCTCAATACACAGTGTAGGACATGTTGATCGCTGCGGTGTTTGCTGCTAGCAGCTTGTGTGCTCGGTCAGAGTGCAGGGGCAGGTCCAAGTCTTTGGCCTGCAGATTGCCCTGCAACGTGCTGCTCAGAATGGTGCAGAAGAAATTGTCCACCACATCCAGTGCTGCCGCCGCATTCTGACGGCCGCGCCACGCCCCCTGCACCGCGCATCATGACCCTCTGTCACCGCATGCAGCAAATCTTGCACTGAGGACCAGCGCACCCCTCTGTCACCATATGCAACATGTCTCGAACGGTGGAGAATTCGTTCCCGCCCCTTTCCCCCCAAATCACCCAGTGCATGCTAAAACTTGTGGATTCTTCAGCGCGTACGATCGCAAGCTCTGCTTTCCTCCTCTTTGAGGAAAATTCTCAAGTCACGGGGAGTCGTGAACTGTAATCACAACAACAGTGATGACCTCAAAGCATTAAGGAAGGCACAGAAGCCGCAGAACATGCCGCATTAAAAAAACAAGTTGCTTTGCCTAGAATGGAGAAGGGAAGGCCAGGCGCACCTGGCTCTCCTTGCCCTCCTGCAGCGACTCCACGTAGTCGAAGATCTCCTTGGCGGTGAAGTCCCACAAACCGCGGCCCAGGGCCACGTAGACACGCCCGTCCAGTGTGCGAGTAAGCCCCAGAATCACCTCCTCCATCGCCTCCAACACCGGGCCCACCTGAGTAACATATTGTGGGTCAAACTGCAGGCATGCTCTCTCAAGCGCAAATTGAACCCGGTTCTGTGCAAGCAATCGATGAGTGCTGGTGCTCTTCAATCACACCTGCACACTTGCAGGAAATTATACGGAGGACAAGCACATCCACAATTCTTAGTGCATGAGGTACGCTGCTCTTGCATGGCATCCGCACGCTTGCGGGAACATGCAGAATGCGCAGCCGTGATGAGTGATCTGCAGCAATCACGCAGGAGAATTCCCAGCGGTCTTGCTGGCTCTGCAGGGATTTGTGGTTGGGAAAGAAATGGCTGCATGTGTGGAACGGGAGTTTGTTAGATGGTCTTATTTTGCATCCTGCCTTTCCTACCAGGTGATTTTCATGGTCAAGGTCCAGTGGATTACAAGTGGGGCAGTCTATGAAAAGCCAGTCCAAAAGCGAGAAACTTGAGAATAACAGGTGCATGTGTGGAATCGCGCACCTGCTGCTGCATGAGGGTGGGGGTGCCGGTGATGCCGTGGTGCTCCAGGATGCGCAGGATGGAGCGGCCGGACGGGCCAAAGACGCCCTGAGCGATGCGCGCGGCGCAGGCCGTCACCGCGCCGGCGTACTCGCTGCGCAGCTCCTTGACCAGCTGCGCAAACTGCGCGCCCAGCTCCGGCCCCTCGCTGCCGCTCGGCATCCTCTCTGTGCCCAGCCCAGTCATCTCGCGCGCGCCTGCCACAGCCATGATTTAATTGTGTCAGGACACCGCTTACTACAAAATTGACTCACGCCTGGAATGGAATGCGAGCGTTCCATCACAACATTATGGTCCCCCATGCTCAATTAAAGATGCATGCCTGAATCTGCAAGACCCAAAGCCAAGGCTACAAAGTGCAAATTTGAAATGCACCTTGCCTTTGTTCCTACTACAAAGTATGCTGGGCACTGGACTGCACGACCCACTTCAAGCTATCTCTATGAAATGCAACCTTACGTTTAGGAACACATGATCGGCAAACCCCAGGAGGTTATAGGGCAAGCACGCAGCGCATCCCCAGCCGCATCTGCAAGTGGTCCCAAAAAAAGCCAGGACCAGTCTCTTCTGGAGACACAGGCAAGTGCACATTTCTGGGCTGCGGTCGAAGGCGCACCTTGGCGCGGAGGGGAGGCGGGGTGGGTGGAGGAAGAAGGGGTGGAGGGCGCTGCTGTGGCGCCGCCGGCCCATTTGGCGATGGTGTACTCGGTCTGGGGCACCACGCTGAGCAGCTTGCGCAGGGAGTTGAGCAGCACCGCCTCATGCGGCAGCACTGTCAGCCGCGCGTGGCCCGCCGCCGCCACCGTCGCGTTCCACTTCCAGCGGTTTGGCGACCTGTGACAAGTCCGGTTACTAAGCATCATCCAATGTGTAGATTGCAACATAGCAGACACTTGAGCTCCAGCGATCAGAAACCAGTGGCATTTATTTACCACCTCATATGGGGATTCCAGCTATGATATATAGCCTGTGCAAGCCGCACCGTTGCAACTCTCAGGATAAGGGCATTAACACAGAGATGGGGGCATCGTCATAATGTTCTGGGAGGGCAAGAATCAAATGGAGCAATGTCACAGGTCTGCGCACCTGTCGTCATTGCCAAACTTGGATCCGTTGCGCGCATGCATCCCCGGCGGCGCGTGGCCGTTGTACCTCTGCTCATCCGCGCGCACCTGAAAGACAGACGCCGCAAGTCTATCACATGAAATGCAATAGCCATTGGAATGACCTGCCCTAGTTTTGCTCGTACATACTGACAGAAAAGTAATACGCACAATCTGTTTGCAAAGATGTGTCATCACCCCTCGTGATCACCCAAACGATCGTGTGTTCCTCTGCTCTGTGTCTAGCATCTGGTCCTCTAGGTTGGGCAGCATAGTAGAGCATGCATAGTACAGACATGCAAGTTTTTTGGAAAATGTGAAATGAAAGGGGCTCTTACCTGGGAGAGGCCACACTGGCGGGTGACGGCGCCGGTGGTCTCGCGCAGGGATGCGCAGACGGCGCCCTCCAGCAGCGGCCCAAACACATGCCAGTACGCGATCACGCGCTCGTAGCGGCCCACCTCCCCTCCGATGCGCTGCAGCATCTCCTCCACCAGTGGAGCCACGAATGACTTGCCTGCTCGCCCCCAATACACCCTCTCAATATTATTGAAGTTGGAAGCACCCTCTTATATAGTGCCCTTAAATGCTGCTCATCTGAGCTTCCTGCTTTGGTCCAATTTTTAGGAAATGTTCCCCTGGGGTGGGTGAGAGCAAAAAGTCTTACTTTTGACATGTGACAGACTCAGGGCGGTGCATGAAATGATTTAGATGCAATCAGACACAAGTGCAGGCGGCTATTCAGCATGAAGGGGTTATTGCATGCGCGCACCTTCTTCGGTGATGCGGTCTGGGTGCAGGGCAGAGGCCATGGTGGTGGCCTCGATCTGCCTGCACCGCGCGCACAGCCCGGCCTTGGACCCATTGATCCAGCGAGTCACGTGCGGACCGAACACCTGCACGCAACACCACACACAGACCAAACATAAGAAGAGCACCCCCTTGATCTCCGCCATAACGGTCCCACAGTGCGTTACCTATGAGAAACCCTTGTTCTCTCATACATCACCTTGCTTTTGCATTTCTTTGGACCCCAAGAGGCACAGATGACCCTTAGGTGGGGCACTCTAATGCATTCCATGCAAAGCAGGGATGCTCATAGACATTCCTGGCTCGATGTCTGGGGCACCAAGACACCTATGAGCTGGGCAGACCTTGAACAAGGTATGGATGCAGAAAGTCCTTCTGTGTTTGGGTTATTTGGTGCTTGGCAAATTTGGGGTCTGTGAAGGCACTCAAGACTTCTGCAGCGTGCATGCAGCTCCACCTTCAGATGCCGCTGATTGCCTTGAATTCATGCACAGAAAGCTCATTTTGTGTTTGGGTGAATTGGTGCTTGGCAAGTGCAGAAGTTCCCACCTGCAGCGCGTCCATCGCGCCAGGGTGGCCGGCAGGAGGCAGCAGGCCGTTGGCGTCCAGGTATTTCTGCTGCTGCCCCACGCTGACCAGCAGATCCACCGCCGGCTGCGATGGCTGCGGCGGAGGGTGCTGCTCCAGTGCCACCATCAGGTCCGCCACAAACAGCTGCAGGCACATTTCAAGCATCAGCACCGCGCCATCTAGATGGCTTTTACAAGTCATTCTGAATGGAATGTGTTGAGGCCGCCACACACAGCTGAGGCACAATTGATGCGTCAGCCGCCTGCCAGCTAGATAGCTTAGAACAGCAAGTCACTCCTGCATGCACTGGGACAGGTCTGCCAATTTCAAAGGGCTCCAGGCACAGCATGCATCAGCACCTCTGCCAGTGAGATCAGAAAAGCATCGCACGGCAAGTGATTCTGAAAACGATATACCCCATCAATGGGGAGCCTTTAAGCCAAGCTGGGATAGCTCAGCACTTATGCCTGATCAGTTCTATGAGCACCAAAGGTTATGCCATGTCATGTCATCAGCATGCCAAGCATGAAGCGCCACTCACCCTGCCGTACTCTGCAGCGGTGACCTGCGGCAGGATGACAAAGGTGGGCAGCTTGCGCGTCTCGTGGATGCGCAGATCGCTGTCAAGCTCCTGGCGCATCGCTGAGCAGATGGCCTGCAGGCGCTTGTATGACATCTCAGCCTCGCTGCCACCTGTCGCCTGTTATGCCCAATCCCATGAAGATGGTCAAAATCTTAAAATATTTTTATCACACGCTTTTGTGCGTTCCAGCAGCAATTATAGGTTCTTTTTTTTATTCCCTGTCATTGCAATTTCTCCCACAAAGATGGTCATACTGTACTTCAGAAAAAATTACCTACCGAATAGATACGATACACATTCTCTTTTCATCCTCAGGTGGCTGAGATTGGGTCCTGTGTGTAGCCACCACTGGCAAAGGTTGACAAGCATGGGGGGAGAGGAGAATTGGGCGTACAATTGGGTCGAACGCTGGCGCCGTTTGCTGCAGAGGGCCTGTTGTGCGGTTCAAGTTGCGTGCGCCGTCTGCAGTTTGCCTGTGAGCTCGGTGCCGCGCCTCAGCTGCAGAAGCATCCAGAATTCATTCACTTCTCTCTTCATGTGGTCCCAGCGACTACATGTCATGACATGCAGGTGAGAAGACTCTGTCAGGCAAAAGCAGGTGTCAAGGAGTTTGCAGAGGTACCTGAGTAGATCTGCTCTGTGCATGCGGCCTGCAGCCGGGCATAGCGCTTGACTGCTGCTATCTGGAAGCGCTCTGTGAACCAGCCCGCCTCTGAGGGCTGCAAGACATCGCTCACGGTCCCTGCGCATGCAACAAATTTGGATATTCTTGCTTGCGTGGCCCAAACATGGTAATATCCAGCAAATTTTTCACCGCAATATCTACTGCAGTATGCCCTGGCTGCAAATCATACTAACATGCCCTGTATATATGGCTGCAGAGGACCCTGCATGCATGCCCTATGGCCTCTGGCTTCGATTTGCCGATCCGGTAACCGTAAAAATCGCAATGTTGTGAGAGTAGGCAGAGGCACTCACTGCAGAGCAGCACGGCCTCCACAAGAGCGGGTGCAGGCTGCTCAGAGGTGTCCATGCCGTTCTCTGTAATGCCGCTGGGGGAGTTCTCAGAGAGGGAGTAGTAGTTCTCCATGCAGCGCGCCAGCAGGTCCTCGCATGCAATCTCGATGCGCCCCAGCAACGGCAGCTCCTGAAGAGGCAGAAGCCGCAAAAAATCAGCAATCAACATAATATCAAGATGAAGCATGCGAACAAACAGGGCTTAGATGCGCAGCGACTGCATTGAAGGACAGAATAGAGGAGAATTATGAGGTGGGTGTTTGTAGCGGATGCAGACAGACCTGGGGAAGGAGGCAGCCCTCAGCTTCGGCCTGCTTGAGGTCCACCAGCTTGCTGTTCAGCATGCTGAAGCAGTAGGCCGTCACAGTGGCATTCTCCTTTCTGCAGCCACACAGGGATCTCTCAAACTGCTGATCTCCATTGCCTGGTGCTCTGCTACAAAAGATGCTTGCAAATGCATGTTCTGCAAAGACTCGACATCTTGAAAATTGACGCCTTGCCGAGAGCCTTGTTGGTACCATGCGCGTTGGAACAAAAAGGTCCATCTTCCTGATCAGCACCATCAAATGGATGCTGCAAATGCATGTAATCTTTACCAATTTAACATGTCAAAACCAAATGTCTCATTGATAACATGTGCTTTAAAGATAGAGTGGTCCGCACATAGGCGCTTGCCTAAAATTCCTATTCTCTACTCTAAATCATGTGTGAGTGTGCTGTTGTTTCGAGCTCCCCAGCCCTGTTTTTGCATCTTTATTTACATTTGGGCAGGCCACAACGACGCTGTCCCGCTTTTCTCGAGTGCTCCTCTAGATTGGGCGGACTGTATAGGAGAGCCACGCGCCTGATCACCCAGAGCAGATGGGCCAGAGTGGTGTAGCTGCTGCGTATGCCGTAGGTGGCAGCAAACTCATCCAGCAGCCACTCCCACTCTCCCTTCACCTCCAGCCGCCGTGGCCCACATCCCTGTACTACCAGCGCTGCATGCAGCGACAGATCGTACACCTGCACACCCCTTCCAGCCTTAGCAAACATAATGCATTTTATACCACAGAAGGGGGATGCGTTCATCCGTATCCTTGTAGTTGCTAGATCAACTTTGCCTTTGGCATGCTTGATCTGTGTCTTGTTAATTGCACCTCAGACCCCTCAGGGCGTGTAATTTAATTTCTTTTGGTCTCGCATATATTTAGGTCAGACCAGGATCTGCTATGATCGCTGTTACTCCGCAGAGGCGTGATGTGTCAGGCATATAAGAGAGGAAGGTGCACCTCCCAGCCGGTGATCTGCTGGTAGCCCTTGGGCAGGGCACCCGAGTTCACCTCCTGCACTCTCCCCACCGTCTCGGGCGAGATCTCCGCGGCAGTGATGACCGTCTTCTCTGTGTTGCTGATCCAGGCTGACAGCAGCGCGTGCCCATACCTGCACATGCACATATTATTTGTCAGGCGGAAAGATCAACGCTATCATGCATGATGACCTCTCTTGTGCGCGATGGATGGCTCAATACTATCCAAAGGCTCCTGCTGATTAATATATCGAGATCTGCCTCCCTGCATGCCGAAGGGGTCATCCATTTGCAATATGAGGACGTTTGGCAGTTTCCCTGCTGCAGACATGAATGTTTGTGGCATCATACTTCGAAATGTTTAGCAGGCTCACCGGGTGTCAGTGACATCGAGGAGGGTGATCCACTTCTTGCCGAAGATGTCGCTCTGAGCACTGGGGGCAGACCGCCAGCATGGCAGGCACGCCCACCGCCTTCTCTCCACCGGCGGTGCCTGCTCCACGCTAAACTGGCTGCCTGCCGCCTGCAGGATACAAGCAATGGCGCTAGATTTCTTCTTCATCCATGCAACCGCGGGCATGCACCACGACTCCATTGCATTGCAACCCAGTATCACTCCTCATGAATACCATGTGGGCATGTATCGGGTGGTGTGACAGCCATATAGCAGCCATTGCCTCCAACCAATCCTGAGAACAATGGCGGCTGCAACATGGAGATCTTGGAAGGCTTGACAGCTCACCCCCCAGACATCTGCGACGGGGACAATGCCGTGCGCCACTCGCTCGCCGTTCTCTGTGGTCACCTCCACCAGCAGGTCATCGCTCAAGTCCTCCCGGCTCAGCTCCACGACATCATCAGATGCACCCTTCCCATCAGTCCCAACCCGAGTCCATGAACCGCCCTCTGCGCACATCACACATCCATCACTATAAGCTTCATCTACAATGCTCATCTCTTGCCTTGCCATCTCTTATAAATTGACAACTGACATTCGTGGACTCGATGCCGCGACCCACGGATGACTACCAACTGCAGGCCACAAGGACAAAATCACAGACTACCACATTGCATGCCCTCATTTGGGTATTTTGATGAAGTGAAGAGGTCAGGTTTATTGCATCACAGAAGGTGTACTCACGTTGCCACCGGCTGGGCCGCAGGGAGATGTAGAGCTCGGAGGCCCTGCCGCCGCGCACCGGCCGGTGCAGCGCGGAGCTCTGCAGGCGCTCAGCCATGCAGCGTACTGTCGCTTCCCTTGTTACTGTGGGGCCGAAACCCACCGTGGGCAGAACTGCTGCTTCTGAGTCATCCCTGCAGCGCAAGATGTGCACAGCATCTCACTCTGCCTGTTTGCTTGTCCTTTGTTAGAATTGACCATCATAGAGTGTTTTTGAGCATTTCTTACTCATGGGCAGCAACAAAAGTGGCCCCAATATATTGGGAAATGCTCAGAGGACGTCTTACTAGTTTCTGCTGTGGACGCATTGAGCTTCTGGTGACTAGATGCAATGGCACTTCAAGAGAGGGAAGAGAAACTGACCAGACGAGTGTGGCTCCGCAGGGGGCAGATCCTGGGTTGACAGGCTGCAGGAGCAGGCCCTCAAATGCGTACGCCCTCCGCAGCACTGCGCAGCCGCTCTCCAAGAAATGCTCCGCCACCCGGTTCTCCTCCCTGCTGGCCCTGAGGCAGATCTGCACGGCTGCCTGCATGCATGCATCATGAGCCCTGTCAGACAAGCTGGCCATACCAGACCTTCTCCAGAAGCTGCTTATGATTCATCTGCAACCTTCAAGCCAATATTTCTCACGAAGGTCTCGAGACTCTTGCTTCCCATGGGATTCCCTGTCTGCGCCGTATGTCGCCATGCTAGGCTTTCTGAGCCAGTCTGTCTGAGTGGCAGGCCATACACCATCAAGTCGGATTCCTAGCAAGTGCTGTATAGCTTGGACTGCACAGCTGTAGATAATGTGATCCCATCATATTGGAGAGCTTTCCAATATTGCAGGCGCCAAAGCATGCACCCAGTACTTCTGGCACAGGGAAATGTCCCATGCGGCAGCGCAGCGCACCTCATACGCGAGGAAGCGAGCCCAGGCCTCGTGCCGGCCCATCTTGACGGCCTCCCCTCCGCAGGGGTTGGGCGCTGCAGGGATGCTCCACCGCGCGCTCGGCCGCCCCTCATCCCTCTCGCTGTCATCCGTAAGCCCCGTCGGCAGCTTTGCAGCCAGTCCGCCCTGCATTGGCCGCCCGGCTGCTGGCGCCGCCGCATCTTCCTCCTTCATGTCCGCCTGCGCTGCCACTGTCATTACTCCGCCCGATCTAGAGGAACACCTGAAGACTTGGGTCCAAGAGATGTGGTCTGCCCAGCTCCAAATCGAGCTGCAAAACTCAGGGGCTGCTGGGGTGCTCGTACCAACAGCAACTTCACAAATAACTTATAGTAGAGACTAGGGATTGTTCAAGCAAGCGCCTACATGCGGACCACTCTGCTTCTCAGCGCGCTGTTTGGAGAAGGACAGCAGACTGGCCGACCAGTGACTCAGACGCCACTGTCATTGTCAGCCCTCAGATACAGGAAATCTTTAGGCAGAGAGGAGATCGGTACTTGGGGCGCAAGAGGTGCAGGGTTGGGTGGTGGCATGGCATGTTGAAGCAGAACAGGAGTTGACTAGTTACCGTACGTCTTAGCTGGGTGGAACAGAGAGGGGTGTGCGTGCCTGGGTAGATGATGTGCGCACGCCGTGTTCAAGGGGTGGTGTCATGCTCTGATCCACAGCAGCATAGCGTCCAGGGAATGCACGGGCTGTGGCTGCTGTGTGAGTGCCTCTGGGATCCCCTGCAGCCACAGCAGAGAGCTCATCTTGATGCACTCTTCGGCAGGCCAAAGGGCACAGCAGCGGCAGGATGACCTGAAGGCAGGATGAAGCCAGCTGCGGACCTGCGCCTCTGAAGCTGTTGCCTGATGGCGCAAGAAACCGTCTTGAGGCTGCGGCTGCATGGGGGGAGTTCAGATGCGTCCGTGTGGCTGGCTGACTGTAGCAGGAATCCTCTGTTGTGCGTCTGCTCACATCAGCCTCAAATTCCCCCCTCTCTCCACGCTGCATGAGGCGATACAAGCTTCACTTCCGCGCACACTGTGCAGGTCTTGTGTAAAATAAACTACCGGTCTCTGTGTAACTGCATGGAGCAGCTTGCAGATGGGATAACAGGTTTCTGCTTACCACGCTAGTGCGGAGAGGCTGAAACGCCTGGCTCTCGTTCATGCTAGACTGAAGCGATGGGCTCTGTGACCAAGACTCCGCCTGCAAGCAGTGATCACTCTGGATGTCAGACACTGGAGGACTTGCAAGCTCATGCTTTACCAAGTGATTAGCACCGAATATGGAAACTGACATTATTACTTTCTTACTGTCAGCCTTGAGGTACTCTCCAACGTGTCAAGACCAGTCTTTGCCGCAAGTGACAGGTCTAAGGATGAGCAACTTGTAACAGATTATCGAAGTCAAGCATGAAGGAAGTAGAAGCAGTTCCCCAATTACAGAGTATGGAGAGAAACGAGACATGACTTCATTCTCGTGTAACGAATCAATGAAAAGACTCACCCATCGAGGTTTCACAAAAGCAGGCTGGGCACCAGTGTCACGAAGTTGTTGTGTTGCTCCCTCCTCTCCAGGCAACTGCAGCAGCAGATAAACAATTCGTTAGATATGCAGACCGTTTGGAGATGCGAATGCATTTTGACAAGAGGAAGTCTTGCCTGAAAATATGGAGCACTCTGCCACATGAAACGATGGCTGGCCCTTGAGTAGGTGAGCACACGCTGCAACCGCCTTCAAATGAAGCAAAATCCCCCTCGAACTGCAAAGTGCCCTGGAATCCGCCTCCGACAGATTAAAATAGAGTTGACCTAGTCTCAGCGCTGTAATTCCTTAAAAGTGTTGTGTACAAGGCCGCAAATGGCCTAAACGAAGCGTCTCAAATTGCTTTCCAGCCAAGGCGGCATGCAGCAAAGAATTCCAGAGGATAGATAGGAGCAGCTGTGCATGTCGAATTTGCACTATCCCGACGATTGCAGTATCACCCCTACAACCCTCGGCTTCAAACCCCCCAACATCAACTGCGCACGCGCTGGGATCGTTCAGCCATGCATCACAGACTACGTGCAGGAGAGCTCAAGCGAAACATTGGCTGTGGCATGAGAATGTGATAGAACATGATCTGGTGACCATGGGGGCCAGCATGATTGTGCTTTCTTAAAGTGCGGTCTGGAGCGGCCTTACTCTAATTTGCAAAGCTGGAACGCTGACGGGCATCTCTCGTCGTCCTACGAGGCCTGAAAAAGGCCTGGATATTGAAGAGGCGCTAGATCTTCTTGACAATGTTGACCCTGGCGTGAAGTACCCTTCCTCATCAGTACTGATGAAGGAGAAAGCGCTATTACTCCGTGTATGCAGCCGTGAAGAGGCGTCCACAAAGTTGTCTTCTATATCTGAGCTCGACTGATGCTCAAAAGGGCTCCCGCTTGTCATCTAAAGGAAGAATAAAGAGGTCAGTGGTGGTACTCATGACCAGGTTTTATAAAGAGCTTGGCACGGCAATTTCAGAAACCTGAGCAGCTGTATGGCGTAAAAAATCCCGATTTGCTTTGGTAAGAGCTTGCTCACCGAGCACAGTGCCGCAGGTGTCGGTTGACCAAACCGACATCACAATAGCATCTCACGCGTCTACAGTGATATATCATACTTTTGAATGAGCCACGTGTCTTCACAGAAAATGCTTTAAAGAATGTTTAAGACGATGCAATGTGCCAGGTCAAGCAAGCCTTTTACTTTGCAAAAAGGTTATGATGCAGCTGTTGGCTGTTATTGTTGAAATCAATTTGCGGAGGGCGTTCCGTAAAACCGTAGATGTAAATGTTGGGACACAAAATGTGCCGAGAACAAGGAAAAACATCAAAGCTACCAAGAGTATGCATGAAATGCCATTCCTCACCGCTTCAGGTCGCAATTTGCACGTTGCAGCATTGTTGTGCCGAGAAACAGTCTTGTTCAATCCTGCCAAGATAAATTTGCGCGGCACTGTCCTTAACGTGAAGACAAAGTCTGGTCCCACGCATCATCATCGACAAAAGGTGATCGAACAATTTACTGATTGCAGCATTGAGGTCCCGATGTGTCTTGAACAGAATCAACATGATTGAGTGATCTGGGCAGATCACACTACACTGATACAGATCATTGAGCTTCGGAAATTTGGTGACTGCAGGATATTGCTTGCATTTCTAGAGCATTAGCATCCACATCAATGACAGCTAGCACCAGCAGGAGCCTTTGGGAAGATATTTCTGACGTATATGAGCGCGCCCGCGCCAGTGGTGCTGCCTACAAGACGGATACCAGTACAGAGATCCTCAGAGATCCTCATTACGATGTAGATTTTGTTCTCAGAGTTGCTGCTGCGCTCAGAGACAAGCCCAAGCCTCCAAAAGACAGGCAAGGTGCGCCTTTGAGAATGAGAGTGTAGTTGGTATTGATGAGCTTGTCAAACAGTACTCTTTTTTGCAAATTGGTGCTCTGCATTCGCCCTTCGGAGTTGAACAAATTTAATGCTGGCGTCTTTGTTGGAGCAGCGAGAAGAAGAAGGAGTGGGTCAATCCTTTTCTGCCTTATGAGAAACAGCTGTGGGTGAGGGACGTCTCCAACACCCACACGCTGCTTCTCAACAAATTCAATGTTGTCGCACACCATCTCATCTGCGTCACAAGGACCTTCAAGCGACAGACGGATCCGCTTGATGCAGCAGATTTAGCAGCCACATGGGAGGCAATGCAGGTACCACATTCCTGCAGGTCTTGCACAGATTGAGGTTTTAGACACGTTGAAAGTGGCTGAGTAATGTTAAGATTTGTCAGTTGCCGGACGCCGTTGCACAGCAACAATGTGACTGTCGGCCTAATACTACTTGGCATGTGCAACAGGCCTATCCCAATGGCGCCCTGGCCTACTTCAACTGTGGGCCAGAGTCAGGAGCAAGTCAGCCACACAAGCACACCCAGATTGTCCCCTTACCCCTGGCAGAGGACACAAAGGGCCTGGCGCTGCCATTTGAGGGTGTCATTCATGATGCCTCACGGCACCAAGGGGGCACGGACTCTGTGGTGGCGCTGCGGGAGCTGCCATTTCAAAGCTATGCCTCCTTGCTTCCAGGCAGGTAAGTTCCAGCCAGCTCACCTTTCTATTGCAAGTTGTACCTTCACAAACAGTAGCGAGGATCCTTACTGTATTTGTACTAGGACAGCCTATTCTAAGTCTGTTTGTGGGGGATTCAGGCCATCGGCAAGGGATTTGGAGCAGGTCTTCAACACATTGAAGGCGTCCTTTGGCTCTGCTGCGGTCCCTGAAGAAGGGTCCCCAGAGTCATACAACATGGTCCTCACCAGCAGCTACATGATGCTGGTGCCACGGTCAAGGGAGGTGTACGGCCTTGTTGCAGTCAATTCCATGGGCTTTGCTGGCTCTATGCTGGTGCGGTCAAAAGCAGAGCTTGACTTCATTCGCAGCGAGTCCCCTATGCGGATTCTGGCAGCCGTGGGCATACCCTGGCCTTAGTCTAAACGACTTATTTGCACAGAAGCTGGCGGCAATGGCGCGCATAGAGACACCTGCACATTGTGGGCGGGTCTGTGTTGACATCTGCTGGATGTGAGGAGCGCCGCAGAATTTAGTTGCATGCAGTGAATACAAGAATTGCCGTTAATTTCGAGGCTCATTGGCATTTTCAATGATTGCAGTTTTGGCTAGCTTGCCCGCTATGGTGAATCTGAGGACAGTCTTCAGTAAATGTATTTATTTGCTGTGATGCACCAGACTGCTGCTGAGTGCAGTTACCATGGCTCAGTATCTTGCAATTGCTCGGCAGGCCATGCTCAGCACTTTTGATGTGAATTATTGGCAAGAGTGTGGTGAAGCGAGAGCATGCAGCTGGCTTGCACTAAATTTTGTAAATTGTGTTGTTACAATACGGTATGACGTGTGTTCATCATGAAGACTTGGGACTCTGCGTCTCAGAGTTCACTTACGTAGTATACTGGCAGAGCGCGCATGGTCGCAAGGAGAGTTGCAACAGGAGATGAGCTGTCATCGCAAACTCTAGTGATCCTGTACAATGGCTCAAGCATACCCTGAATGAATAAGTGGGCTTGAGCGGTTTAGAAAGCATGCAAGATCTCAGGCACGTGGTACAATTACAGCATTATTACATGAGCCCTCCCTTCTTGGATAATTCACATGTCCAAGAAAGCGGAGTCAATTGTGAGGGCCAGAAGATGTCGATCTATGGTGTAGACAATGGAATCCAGACAATGGAAGAGTAGCATTGCTGCTTTTGTCCTAGCAGTACTGTCGCTGCTCTACATATTCGCACCACCAGGTCTTTTTATTGCGATCTTGATCGTTGTACCCTTGGTGACTATAAGTATAGTGGCGTGGAGTACCGACACATTTCACGAAAAGACCTGGTAGGAATACTTTGCACTCAGCAAAAGTAGCCATCTGGAATCTGCTGGATCTGGGAACCGCTTCTGATTCTCTGGATGTCAATGGAGTAGTCTAGATGTCATCATGGTGGCGAGAGAAAATTTGACAGAGTATATCTGGAATCCAAGGTTCACAAACAGGTATAATTTTCTTGCCATCGGTGCGGATCGTTTACCAGCTACTTTGCTGTCAAGTCTTCGTAAAAGCAGGATCAATTGCATTTGGTGGAATGCAGCATCAAGGAGGAGCATGGACAGCCGATTTACTGTGTGAGCTTCAATTTTTACAGGGAGGGTTGTCAGAATGTGTTCGCATCCTGTGGCAGCAATGGGGTAAGCGTGTCAATTATTTCTGAAGTTCGACCAGCAAAAAGTCCAGAAGTCAACACAAATCTGACGATTTTGTTTCGAATGGCGCAGGCAACCATTTACAGATGCCTTGAAGGGGGTGCAGTAGAAATCCTTCAAGCATACATCGACGAGGATGTAAGCATTTGTGGGTCTGTCTTGTGCCAGTGCTGCACAGTAAAACACGATCATGCAAAGTGCTGAGCAGTCTCTCTAGCTGTGCGCAGGTCCAGGAGGAATTCTTTGCATGCAAGTGGTCTGTCGATCCAGACACTGGGGACCCGTTGCTGTTGATAGCTGGCAAGAAAGGCTTGCTGAAGATCCTCAACTGCGCCACGCAGAAGTTGGAATGGGTGAGTCAGCAATGCCATCTCAATGCATCCGCACTTACACACCGTCACAGCTGACACCGCACTCGCAACAGACCAGACTGATCTGACAAATTGCAGTGAAATCACAAATTCATAGTGCACTGTGCTTTATTTCTCCTCAGCATTGATTGCAAAAGTGCAGGCGGCTGAAGGACACGGTGATGCTATCAATGACATCTCTATTCACCCAATGAGGCCCAGCCTGGTGCTTACAGCGAGCAGGGTAGGGCGGCCTCTAGCCCATGGGACCAATAGCAGATGACCATATTCAAAGGCGTGCCTCTATTGCTGTTTCTGCCAAAATCAGTGTTCTCATGTTTCACCCTGCGCAGGACTCATCACTGCGGCTGTGGAATACAAAAACGAAGGTCTGTGTGCTCATCATGAACGGCGATGGGGGGCACCGCAATGAGGTCCTCAGCATTGTGAGCCCCAAACCCACCTTGTCACTCCTTTTGAGTAATTGACATAGAACTCAGACGGTCACGCTGCCTAGTAAGCCAGTACCACGAGTACATCTCAGCGAGACTTTCCGTTAAAATTGGACAGTGCCATTCCTCAAGGCCGTGGCTCACATTGTGCTACGGTGGCTGCAGGACTTCAATCCTGTGGATGGCAATCAGTTTGTGTCATGCGGCATGGACAACACTGTGAAGATCTGGAACCTTGAAGGCAGGAGTCTGTCCTTTCCACATGCTTGAAAAGACGGTGTGCCCGTTGAATCTAAGCAACAGCATGCCCAGGGACATTCGGCGTTGAGCTCTGGAGGGACATGCAGGGATGCTGAAGCACGTTGAAAAGTCCTTTGACTATACCGGCGAGGATGGGATTGCTTTTGACACCAAGTTTCTGGCTTGCCCAAAGTTCTCCTCGCACAAGGTATGCGCATTCCCTTGTCACGCTGACATACCAGTAACTTCATACTTCATTGGCCATTCTGTAAGCCTCACTCCGTGCAATTCTCTACGTTACTGTTGTGCTGGTAAAGTGAGAGCTCATGTTGTGCAGGTGCACTACAATTATGTGGACTGTGTGCGATTTATTGGGGACCTGATACTGTCCAAGAGTGTGGATGAGCGCATCTACTTGTGGCGCCCGGATATCAGCTTGGATGAGCCCGTTGATGTCAAGGGCCACATCCACTACGTGCAGGCATGCCACTTTCATCCTGGATCAATGATATGCATCAGGCTGATGCACTGCACAAGGTTATTCCAGAGGTTGAAAGCGAGGCGGTCACCCCTTAGCTATGGAACAGGAAACACAAGAAAAGTATTACAGAAGGTTCTCCGTATGCATTAGCCCATGTAAATGCCCTATAGATAGTTGAATGGCTTTGCGGTCCCTGAGGGAGCCACTTGTCTTGAACAGCATTCTGGCAATGAACAGAAATTTGTTACACTTTGCTAGTTTGGGCCTCGCCTTGAGCAGGAAACCACCGGCACTGAAGATAACCCCCTGACTCACCAGCTGAAGAAAAGATCTTTGCGCTGAATTTCCAGGTAGTCTTTAGTAGCCCCTGAGGATGATGCCGTAGTGCAAGTTTGAGGACACACCCTTGTGCAGGAATTGGAGCTAGAGGACTGCGCGCATGTCTGGTTCGTGCGATTTGCGCTGGACAGGCAATGCAGGACGCTCGCATGCGGCACAACCACCGGCATGGTCCTGGTTTGGGACCCCCACACTCTGTCCCCCCGCCCCAAGGCCAGGCTCAAGCGCACCCCTGGCTCCAAGACTACGGTGGGGGCCCTATCAGCAGATGCTGGATGTAATGGGGTCAAAAACATGGTTGAGCGATAAATACTTATGACTGGGGTGTCTGTTGCTCTTGAGATTGGCATGATACGTCAGCAAGAAGCGGGGAATGCCCTGCCTCTGGCAAGGAACGTGGTGAAGATGCGTGCTCACAGCTGAAGTACCTTGCATGCATTGAAAATCAGATGCTGTGGCAAGATAAGGTCACTAAAGGTGTGGGATGGAAGTTCTGTGGAGGTGAACGTGGCATTGAGCTGTCAACATTGCGTGCTAAATTGCTACCTGCTGTGGCTGCAGGTTCGGCAGACTGCAATCTCTGCTGATGGAGACATAATTGTCAGCTGCTGTGATGATGGCACCATCTGGCGCTTTGACCTTGTTCCAAAGGAGAGCCTCAGCGCTGCAGCCAAATCCAAGCAAGCCAATGGTGTATCAAAGAAGTGACTGCAGCAATTCAAGAGAAACCCTACCTGTATATGTTTCTATGCGAACCACAAGCAGAAACTCACCTTTGCTCCTTTTCTGTATTTTTGGATCTCTAGTTATGCTAAATTCTTCTTCTGGAGCTATGTCATGCATGCTGAGCTTCTCCCGTGTTGCTGATGGGACTTCGACGTTGAGAACTGTGTAATTCCAGGCTGACTGTGATTCTTGGCCAGCCTTAGAAGCCGCAGATGCAAGACTACTTGCAATCTACCACGTTTGCATGATTGAAGATCGCGCACTTCTTGCAACAACATGTAAATTTACACCATGGCGGCGGCTGTTTGCTGAGAAATGCACTGGTGAACCATAGATAAGGTCAAAGCACAGGACAGCAGGCTCCCCAATGCTTTTCTTTGAGCAGCTGCTCCGGGCGAGCGATCTAGCGCGGGTCCCAGAATGTTGAGCAAAGCACCAGTGGCGCACAGCTGAGCCTGCAAGCACATGCTCGGCATGTTGGCACAATCCCTCTATGAACACCTTGCATTTAGAGAAAGACATGCCCTGCAGAATACTGAAAGTTTTTTGTTCTGCAAAGACAAGAGAGACATGCATCAGTCATGCAGCACGATAGGTCGAGCATGAGGAGCAGAACACCATGCGTGGCATATAAGACCCAATAGACAAAGAGAACTGTACTGCTAGAGAACTGTGGAGAACTCTGCTGCCCGGATCCCGAGACGACTGTGCGTCAAATATGTGTCCATGCATATTTGCGAAGCACGTGGAAGGGAATTTGCCTGTAGATCTGATGCCGACAGAAGAGCTGCCAGAAGAGGCAGAGCTCCTTGCTGCCTGATCAGCTGCCGGCTGGCTGCCTCCCGAGACAAGTTCTGCAGTGTTCCTGCCGCCGCTGCGGCTGTGGCCATGTCACTGGACCTGGCCACCAGACTCCCTCTTCACTAAAAGTCCCCAAAAAATTGTGTTCATCTCGGCGCACTGCAGGCGTTGTCATATGGACATTTCATCAAGGCGCTGAGGGACACACTCTCCAAGCTACCTAGCTACCCGGCTGGATATGCATGTCTTATTCGTCAATTGAGTCATTGCAGGCAAGCGATGAGGTCGCAGGCTGGCAAATGGAAAACTTATACTCAATCACCACTATATTCGCACGCATGCGCCTGACCATGACGCACTGTGTGCACCGCAAACTGGTGACACTTGGCAGAGTTTGCACTGTGGCGAGTGCTTCGCAGAGCATGACAGGGCGCACTTTAGGAGTGCCACGAGCGGGCCAATGCCGTTGCAGCGCCGCGTCATGCGCACCGACTGGGGGTCGCACGACAGATTGTGCAGCGCGCCCACCGCCCTCACGCGCACCTTGCCGTCCTCGCTGCGCAGCACTGCCAGCAACTCTGGAATCGCTGCGCAGTCTCTGGCCGCCTGCCTCCCCCTCCCCTGCAATATTGCAGTGCAATCCACCAAACATCATTTGACTCGAGGCCTTGTCAAGCGCTACTGACAGCACAGCACAGCATGGCTTGGCCTGCAAGCTTGCGCCAGATTCAACATTCTGCCAAAGATGTCAAAGGTGCTCAGGAGTATTTTGTGGAGGTCGGCATGTGCAGGACAAGCCGCTGCATGCATGAATGGTTGGGGTGAAGGGAAAGAGAGGAATGCGTCGATGCGGGTGGGAGGACTGACCAGATAGCAGATGCTCTGGATGACGCCGCATGCGCTGGCTTGAACATCAGCGTTTGAGCTTTTCAGCAAGGACACCAGGGGAGCGACGCCGTTGCACTTGAGCAGCCTGCTCACGTTGGCCCGCTCAAAGCAGAGGTTCAGGATGACATTCGCGCATTCGGCGGCCACCGCATGGCTGGCGCCGGTCAGATGCCTCACTACTGCGGCCACATCACCTTCTGTGGCCTTCTGTCGATTAGCCGGCTTTCTAGATAGTATTCTGAGCACCTGCACAAGCATGCATTGGTTTAGGCTTTAGGACATGTCTTATGCCACTGCAGAGCTGAACAATTGTTTTGAAGAGGACCTCCCAAGTTTGACTGCATTCGCGTTTCATTGCGTAATAGACGAAGGGTGGGTGATACCTTCAGAATCAGCAGCAGGAACTCTGTCTGCTCGGGCTCTGATTGCTCTGCGAGCAACGAGCTGATAGGCAAGATGTATGGGGACGTGATGCTTGCATAATTTGGTGTGAAAGGTTGATGGCGAAGAATGTCGACCAGCCAGGCAAAATCATCCCCGCTGCTTTCCGTAGCATCAGAACTTTCAGCAGCCGTTACATCGGCTCTAGCAACGATAAATGCTTGGAAAATTCCTATGATACCAGCCAAGGACGACAAATGCTGTTCATGAAGCAGTTCGATCAAGTCTTGGAGGTCCTGCGCAAATGCTCAACTTTTTGTGACAGCATCCGGATGAACCGGGATGCTTGACTTTGACAAGAATTATTTCAGTAACTGGGAACGAGTGGTGTTGGACGCACAATAAATGTTAGCTTGATGTTTCCCATTCTTTAATTAGTATCGCCAACATACATAATAATAGAGAGCAGCAATACGGTATGGAAGTGGGTGTTGCCAGCAGGAGAGAACCAGAACAGGTATTACACTTGAACTGTCTGCAGTCCAAGATGCATCTACATATGCCTGGCAGGTCATATCAAGTGGACAGGCAGATATTGTACTCATATAATTAAGTCCTGCCACATCTTCTCAGGTCATTTCTCACACACAATTGGAGACCAGCCATTCGATGGCTAGGTCCATGCTGTAATTGCACTCCTCCAAGGCCTCCTTTGCCTTGGCTTTGCTGAATCCCATGCCCTGCATAGTTACAATAGTACTTTGAATCAGCCAAGCATCCAAATCATCGCATCAAACGTCAAATGCACTGCCCAACTCCACCATCAAGGTCTCGAGATCAGGTCAGATTCACATTATTGTGGACAGGAACAGCACACACCTGCAGGGATGTGATGTCCGCCTGAACAGCAGTCTGCTCAGCATCAGCCAACACACCAGTGGCATCATCCACGTCCATGAAATCGCTATCTGGGTCATCAAAGACAACCTTGCCCCTGCCCCGGCTCCTCCTTTTGGTCCCTCTGCGCCGCATAGCACTGCTGAGTTGCAGCCTGCTACCTACTGAGCCTTTGCATTCTCCGTTTTTTATGAGTATTGCTATAACATTGCACGCTATTCCTGCCAAAGGCAAGGTGCGTCCTCAGACAAGCTGCAGGTACAGGCTGCCATGCATGCAACTAATTCTACCCCTTATTGGACTTGCCAGATCCGAAACTTCTCGGAGCACGGTGCTCAGTATTTATACCGCACCCTGCATTTGTAAATGCCACACAGAAATAGAGCCAACTGAGCTGTTGGTGATGGAGAAATGCCACACCTCTCCTCCGCGCTTTCCTGCTGCTTCTGCTCCTTTGGCATGCGCGCCCGGCGCTTGGTGCCTGCCTTTGCACTGCCCTTCTTATTTGCTGCTCCTCTGCCATTGCTGCCTGAGGCCACACCCTCGGCCTCCTGCAAACAAGAGATGCATTCCTTTAGAAAGGCATACACAAGCATCAGCTGTTGGGTGTGACACAAGCTGCACAGCATGCATCTCATGTAATGCATGTTTGCAAATCCTGTACTCTTGCAATGTCCTCACTCGCATGGCAGTGAGATTGGCTTACCTGGGGCCCAGCTGCATGCACAGTCTGCTCCTCTGTTGCGCCCTCGACTGACGTCCCCATGGATCTCCTGCGTTTCACAGGCGTGCCATGAACCTGCACAGCACATGTCCAGAATTTGTAACTATCCTGCATGTTAAATATTCTTACGAGTCCATGCTCCAAGACATTGCACATTGCAGTGCAATGTCTTTCCGAATGCTGTGGCTGCTACAAGTGGCGAACAAACAAGGAACTCTAAACTGATTTGAACTTCCCTGGGGGACCATTGCTGAGGGGTTGTGAGCTTGCTGACATGGTGGTCTGCTGACAGGGGCTGCAGCTGAGTGGTCACCTTGGTGATGGGGGCGCCGGCCTGCTTGGCAGTGAGCGCGGCCACCAGGCTGGCCAGCTTGCTGCGCAGCCGCTTCAGCAGCAGCACCTTCTGCTCCCGCGACAGCGCATCCAGCGGGGCCTCTGCGCACCCGCATGACATCATCAGATCACATGCAAGGTTCTTCAGCAAGCATGGAGCCTTCTGTGGCTGTCGTTTGAACTCAAACACACTTTATGATACATTGCATCTGCCGCTGAGAGATTTTGGGAAGCTTATACTGTCATGCCTCTGGGCAGAAAAAGCGTGCAAAATTTATGAGAGTAATGTCAAGAAGACTGGCTGAGAGTGTGCGGGGCGAAGGAAGCGAGTGTGAAGGCATGCATGCAAAGAGGAGTAGGTGTGTCTGCTGCTGCACACGGACGTCTCGTCCTAGCTCTTGCCATGCATGTAGCGCTCTTCGAAGTCAAAGATCCGGGGCTCTCAGGCCGATGAAACTTTCTGCTGGTGCTGTAAGGCTCACCCATGAGGTCGATAAGAGGCACGTGGCCGCTGGCCAGGCCGCTGCCCTTGGACCTGTCCACGCTGGCAACCAGCTCCTCAAGTTGCGCCTCTACCTCTGCCAGCTGGTCAGGAGATAGGCCGTACCTGGCCTTGGCCTCCGCCTGCCACTCGTCCTTCATCTTCTTCGTGGGGTTGGCTGCAAGTGCAAACACACATCATGCTGGCTTTAGCTATGCACTTGACGTTACTGGCACCACTGCAACTTACGTTGCGTCCGCACTCTGATGTACTGAGCACTCTGACTAAACTCTGATGTCAAGTACAAGGGAGTGCCCCCAACTGCCCGTTGGAAAGGATGGAGAAGCTGCTACTCACGTCCTGACCAGATGATGAGTCCGCACTTGCGCTCCACATCCTTCTTCTGCTCATTGTCCCCTCGGATGCGGTCCACGTCCACTTGCAGGCCCGTGTACGCTGCACAGGTGCACTCTCTCATAAATTCTCCTCACAAACGAAAAGGACTGGCAGAGAACATATAATTCCTCTTTGCAGATGCACAACGAAATGTATCGAAAACAGCAGGCAGGCAGAGGCAGACCTGAGAGGGACTGCTGCCCTATGAGGCGTTGAGTCTGCCCATTCAGCTGCTGAATGAGCTTGCCAGGGAACAGGCCAGTCTCCAGGATCTGCACCCAGCGGCCGATGCCGTACTTCATAAGGCAAAGCTTCAAGATGGCGGCCTCCTCCTTCGTCCATCCAGGCGATGGTGTGAAGTTCCATCTACAACAAGAGACCCAATTTTCTACCGACAATTATCGAAATAGACCCAACGCAGAAATTTCATTATGATTCTTTTATAAGAAGATATTCTTTGAGATGCCCTCAAGGAAGTCCATCTGACAATGAGGCTTGTGAAGACATACAGTGATGCAGCATCTCCCAATTTCGGACCCCGCTTCTCAGGCCTGTCAGCCAGCGGTGAGGTAGCCATTAAAATTACAGAACCCAGGTGCCACTGAATGATAGACGTATCCCCTCCGAGGAGTCAGCAGGTCACCAGGGATGGTATTGAGCAAGCCATCAAAGACCCCCTTCCGAAAGGAAATACAAAGGGGAGCAATTTTATCACGTGCACACCACGATCAATGAACCATCTGACTATGGTCAGCGTTCCGACTGAGAGGACTTTACACTGTCTACACCGTTTCTGGAACGCAACAGTTTGAATGTCTCAAGTCACGTGCGGCAGTTCACATGCAATGATTAACAGGTGTCTGCGAAACAAAAGTTGACGCGCCTCGACAAAACCGATGATTCGTTGGGACAGAAATTTTGAAGAACGTATGGCAGATGAGCGGAGACAGCAACGAGAGCCGCCCGAGTTGGGCTGCCCAGGATGGGCAGAGAGGCAAACGACATGCAAATCATTGGATGATCCTGCAAATGACACAGCCGGCTATTTAAGGGTAGAACATAAGCTTGCCAAGATTGGGGCCCGAGGGCGCTGGTTGCGCTGCTACAAGGTGCGGGCAAAGCGGGCAGATGGCACGGCCGGTTGAGGCCTCTAGGGCGAGCGCCAGAAGCCTCGCCTTTCAACCTGCCCTTGCCCCGGCGAATTGGGAAGAGTCTTGAAATTAAGCTGAGGGATTAAAACTGCAATGGCAATAAGCAATAGCACCTGCTATCCCAGTGGACTAACCTTGGACCGACAATGATGATCTGGCCGCAATTGTTGAAAGAAAATGCGTGCAGAAGAATTCTCTAAAATTTCTTTTGCGCTCGAGAAGTGATTCTGGAAAACGAACCTTGGTAGATAACGTTGCTTGACTCTGCATGCAGGCCCAATGGCCGCCCTTCGCATGTTATCTGCATAAGCGCGCGCGCGCCACGGAGCGCACATGAGCTCTCGAGACCAATGCTGACATAAGACCATATGGTTACCATGCATGGTTGGCCAATTCTGACAAAACAGACTCAGGCACATTTTGTGTCATGAATAATACAAGCTTGTGGCATGACGTTGATGCAAGCCTTGACTTGATCACCTTATATTGGAGGACGTTAGCACTAGAGTCAACTTGATGGATCACACAAGTGCATGCGCTTGCAGATCTGTTTTTGGGATATTTGATTTTCCAACAGCAGTAATTGATTGTCAATTGACCGTGGCTGCTTATTTGCGCCGTACTGCTAGTAGTACTATTACTAGAAGTACTTCATAATATCACAGTCAGGTCGCCATTGTGCACACTTAAGTTTGTCTAGGATGCCCTAGGGCCTGGGGCTCCCTTGCAAGGGCTGCTCATATTTAATAGTTGTTGTGGCTTATGAGATAAACTTTTTGTCACTTTCCCTACGGCTCGCAAACAGCATGTAATTTTCGGCGCGGGGAGGGCCTCATAAAGGGCGCCCGGCTCCGGAGCAGGCAAATGGCACGGCCGGTTGGGGGCGACCGTAGTTTAAGGGTAGAATATCCGCTTCCCAAGCGGATGGTCCGGGGGCGCGGCCTCATAAGGGGCGCCCGAAGCAGGCAAATGGCACGGCCGGTTGGGGGCGACCGTAGTTTAAGGGTAGAATATCCGCTTCCCAAGCGGATGATCCGGGGGCGCGCCCGCATAAAGGGCGCCCGGAGCAGGCAAATGGCACGGCCGGTTGGGGGCGACCGTAGTTTAAGGGTAGAATATCCGCTTCCCAAGCGGATGGTCCGGGGGCGCGCCCGCATAAAGGGCGCCCGGAGCAGGCAAATGGCACGGCCGGTTGGGGGCGACCGTAGTTTAAGGGTAGAATATCCGCTTCCCAAGCGGATGGTCCGGGGGCGCGCCCGCATAAAGGGCGCCCGGAGCAGGCAAATGGCACGGCCGGTTGGGGGCGACCGTAGTTTAAGGGTAGAATATCCGCTTCCCAAGCGGATGGTCCGGGGGCGCGCCCGCATAAAGGGCGCCCGGAGCAGGCAAATGGCACGGCCGGTTGGGGGCGACCGTAGTTTAAGGGTAGAATATCCGCTTCCCAAGCGGATGGTCCGGGGGCGCGGCCTCATAAGGGGCGCCCGAAGCAGGCAAATGGCACGGCCGGTTGGGGGCGACCGTAGTTTAAGGGTAGAATATCCGCTTCCCAAGCGGATGGTCCGGGGGCGCGGCCTCATAAGGGGCGCCCGAAGCAGGCAAATGGCACGGCCGGTTGGGGGCGACCGTAGTTTAAGGGTAGAATATCCGCTTCCCAAGCGGATGGTCCGGGGGCGCGGCCTCATAAGGGGCGCCCGAAGCAGGCAATTGGCACGGCCGGTTGGGGGCGACCGTAGTTTAAGGGTAGAATATCCGCTTCCCAAGCGGATGGTCCGGGTTCGATTCCCGGCGGTCGCAACTTCTCTTTTTCACTTTCTTTTTATTCGTTTTTTCATTTTGAGTGCCTTGTTGGTGTCAAACGGTACAAGTATGGAGTTACCATCGAAAGATTGCGTAATCTCTTTAGGCGCACCACTTCCAGACCCGCTCCCGTTTGTCCCCCTGCGCCGGCATCGATGATATCAGAGTTTTGAACCGCTGGACTGTCCGACAGGTTCTGCAATCACCACAAACCCCACTTATTCAACAATTAATCAGCAATTATGTCCTTTTTATTGAAAACCAATGGTCAGCATAGGTGAGCAAGACGAACCCTCTTATAGTCTATGCGAATATCAGGGTACCCTGACCGGTCGGCATGCAAGCCTTAAGGCTGCAGTGGAAATGAACATAGCAACCATAGCATCCAAAACTTGGTCCTGGAAGCACAATGCACAGTTACAGGAGTCGCGCAAGGGCTTGAAGAGTAGAAGTTCAAGGCAGCCACCAGAGCATCTCAGGGACAACTTTGCCGTCAGTGAACCAGGAAAAGCAACTTACTCACAGTTGGATAGCATGCATGTACAGAGAGAGGCAAGGTACAGCATGCACCGGCAGAATGTTGCGCACATGCTTGTCTGGCAGCCTGCTCATCAAAACTTATTGCAAGCCAGGCATGGCCCGCACAATCATGTCTTACTTCCCCATGTATCACGCCCAGTCCAGTCGTAGCCGTCACGGAAGATTGCCGAGGTTACCTTGAAGTTTGAAAATAGCAGCCGCCGCCGCGGCGGCGTCCGCAGCCGCCAGTGTGTCATCGCGCAGGTTCATATATTGCCTTGCGTCGCGTAGCACTTTGAAGGTGCAAAGGTAAGGACACTGTTTAGAACCAAAGAGCATGGCCATCTCCCAAACAAGTTGCGCAAAGTTACCGCGCAGAGCAAGCACGTTCACAACACCAAATATGGCACAAGACATCCTTCAATGCTGTGAATACGCACCACTCCATTAGTCTTGCCGTTGCCGCCAGTGGCGGAGGTGCTGTACGCTCGGCACCAGCACGACACAGCCTCTTGAACTCTAGATCTTGGCCACACCCCATAGCCCTCACTTGCAGAAGAACCTCGAGCAAATTGCATCTTGGTAGTCCACCACGAAAAGTGGTGTCAGGTCCCTTTCGCGATGACGCCATGCCTTGCTGTGAGCCCAGGGGAGCCCCTGCACACCAGTCTTCAGGTGTTAAACAAACAGCGATTGTTGTGGGCATGCCGAAGTGCCTTCACAATCTGCATTCTGGTAGCTGCTGAGACGAAAAGCACTGAGAAGGCTAGCAGCTCCTGCCTGTTCTAAAGTGCCCGGCATGCTCTCTGACAGAACCCTGCCTGCTGCTCCTCACGGTGATGTCAAAACCGATGCCACCCTTCAAGTGGAGACTCGGGAATGTAAGGAAGTCCTGCAGCAGCTACACATGTGTTCGCTCTTTGGCTTCAGGATTGCACCAGCAGGAATGACATCACCTGAGCAGCTTTATGAGATTGGGGGTTATGCCACTCATGTAACGCAAGGCAACAGGTCCATCACGGAACGAACGATGGTATACACTAGGAACTGTTGCGCTGCCACACCTGAACAGTTTGGAGGGAGGCTGTAGTAAAGTACTCAACTGCGGTGAAGTGGCTTCACCTGCGTTCAAGTTGACTTGAACTTGAACGCAGAAAGTCCAGACATTAATATTGTTTGAGCGCAGGAAGATGTGCCGTCACTTGATCTTTAGATGATCTAAATTAGGTCCTATGGAAGTTGCAGTCAGTCCAATGTTCCAATACCTCCATAGATTGACGTCATCGATATCAGCCAACTTCATGCTGTCATGGCGAAGATTCATGCATGGGGTTCACTTTTGCAGTACTCAGGAAACACACACCTTACATGCTGTGGATTTTAAACTTGCATTCGCAGATCCAGCTCCAGTCTGACGACATAGCTGGTAAACTTTCTCCTCCTCCACCTATTTCGCTCATCACCATTTAACAAAATTGTGCAAACTTGTCACTTGTCCAGTTGCATTGGGTGGAGTAGGGAGAACTCCCGTTCGAACACCGTTTTCTTGCTTACCTTGACTATCTTTATGACATTAGCGTCTCCCCTATTTTAAAAGCAGCACGGATCGGCTTCCTTTTCTGAAGACAGACGTATGAAGTGGCTTTACTGTGATCTGTAGGGAATCTCTTCTCACGTTTGACTTGTCAAAAGCATTGATCACGACCATCGAAGTCCACTGACTGCAAGTGTTGATGTATGCTCCTGTATGCTCAGAGGCGCACTGAACGAACATTGCTGTCTATGCTCCCTGAAATTCAGGACCAAGATGGCCTCACAGCCAATATTGCTGGTATGTCTGCAGGACAGCATGTCTTCAGGAGGACCGGACCTGATGCTGCCACAGGAGATCTGGGAACTAGTCTCTGGCCACTTGACGAAACAAGAATGGGCAAGAGTTTGTGGGACGTGCAGGACGATGTTCAACGCGCAGCTGGATCATACAACAGTCCAATTGTATCATATGTCTCCTGCAGGTACATGCCCCTAACCCCAGAGCTTGCTACTTTTACAGTCACGAACCTGGCTAATCTTGCAGAGTCATCCCAAGGCAAACCATGTTCTTGCTGGATTCAGACCATATCATCTTCCCAAGCATCATTCTCCGCAGGAATGGAATGGCTCTCAAGGAGATGGAGCAGCGTGCGAGATGTGGTTATTTCTGAGAGCAAAGCGCAAGAAATGGCAAAGTTGGTCAGCCATAGCATGCCGCTCCAGCTTGAAGACGTTGATCTGGACACCACAGGCCTGATGCTTTTGGGTCGAGAGCTCACACAGATGCAGCAGCTGCGATACCTTCATTTGAGCGCCTATGAGGGCATGTATGGAAGCGTCTATGAGACCGTAAGGATACCGCCACTGACACAGCTTCGGCATTTGGAACTCATGCTAAATGTCGCTCTGACAGACGCCATGATGGCAGATGTCTCACTGCTGAGAAACCTGCAGACGCTGTTACTGTCTCAGAAGGATTACGAAGAAGATCCTCCGCCAACTATAGCAGTGTTGGACCTGTAGCTCATGCCCCAGCTGCAACGCGCCTGTCTCATCAATTTTAACTGCAGGAAGGTCTGTGCATTAGAGCATTGCCGAATCCATGTTGTTCTGCAAGATACCGTCTCTTGGGAAGCGAGAATCATCCCCAATAATGATTGGTCAGGCGCTCTGGATTCAATTCAATCAGTACTGTGGGAACAAGTCAGGTCTCTGCCATTGCCCCTGCCAGCAATCCTGGCCCAAGCAATCAACTTGACTTCTGTGGCCCTGTATTTTGACACAGTTGGGACAAGTGGTGCTCCGCTGATATTGGAGGGCTCACTGGCACACCTCAGATTCCTTTTAATTTGTGCAGACACCATGTACGTGCACTTGCCTAGCACCCTGATGCTGGAAAAGCTTCATCTCGGAACAGGCGGGGAGCTCTGTGTCACTTGTGAGGATATTGGGGCATTCTTGGACGGCGTGCATGTGTTCATGATCAGCTGCAACAAGGCCATTGGCTCTTTCCACTCGGATCTGCGCGTAGCCATGTATATCCGACGCATGGAGGTGTGTGTCGAAAGTGACGCTCCTCATTCTTTCTGTATAGAGCGTGGGCCTGACGGAGAAGACTTTGAATGGGAATGTTCCTGCGGGTGTTGCCGCAGCTGCCTGTTTGAGGCTGGCCTGATACATTCGGATGCGCTCAAATTACAATCTTTTCTGTAGGGGCTTGGAGCACATCTGCCTGTGATGTCTATCGTACTTGCTGAAGTAGGAAATATATACGATTTGATTGCGCTTCAGTCATAGTGAGGATTCAGCATTCACTCCTCAGGAGTGACTCCTGATCACAGGCATGGGCATGATCTGCTGGGGTCCAGCAACAGTAATAGAAGTGCATCTTGAGTCTTTCAGGGTCATTTTGTGCGTACACCTGATTCAGATGATAGGGCCACATGATTGTAAAGGCATCGGTAGACTTGCATCTGTTATTGTTGGCATCGCAGCAGGAAGTAGACTGGCCCCTGTATACAGAAGAGCGCTAGCGACAGGATTTGACGTCGCATTTATTTAAAAATAAGCAAAGCAAGCTGTTCACACACTTCTGCTGGCTCTAATATGTTCCAAATCACTACAAGCGTTCTGATCATCTCTAATGTGCAGCACAGATCTCATTCCATAATTGCCGCTGGATATGCTTGCGGCTCCACATGTGGCAACCACATGGCATTAACAAACCTGGTGCAGCACATGCCATGCCAGTAGCGTTTGGGACCGTCTGGCTAGTTTGCGACAAAAGAAATTCAGTGATTACAGTAGATTCAACAATCTAGCTTGACAATTAGTGACCTGACGTGATAAAGGACTGACTCCAAGTTGCCATGTTACTGGCTTCCATTCTGTTTGCTGATCACTATGGAGATCTTGTCAGCCAACTCTGGCACCGTGTGATTCTTGCCATAGAATGACACAAACTGGCCCTTGGGATCCAGCAGGTACATGATGATGCTATGATCCACCAAATAGTCCTTTGGATCGTCATTGGTTTTGGTGTAATACACCCGGTATGCTTTGGCCGCTGCCTTGACCTGCATCAGCATCAGAAAAGTACATCCACACTTGCACCTTAAGACTTGCAGAACTGGGCACAAAATGCTGCTGCTAGGCGATTAATGGCATGGCATGGCACCAAAACTGATGGATGGATGGAAGGATGCTGACCTTGTCCTGAGGCCCAGTCAGCCCAATGAGCCGGGGGTGGAACTGCTTCACATATTCCCTGACCTTGGGCACGCTATCTCTCTCAGGATCCACTGTGATGAACACTGGCAGCACTTTCTGGCCCGTCTGCTTCTCTGTGCCATGAACAAAGGAGGCTGTCAGCTGTCAGCACCTTCATGCACAGCTGGGAAGGGCCAGAGCAGCGCTGCGCCCCCAAAAAAGTCCTGAATTTCTGCAGCACAGTGGCAAAGCAATTTACCTACGGCATCAATCGCTGTGGCCAGCTTCTCCAGCTCATCAGGGCAGATGTCTGGGCAGTTTGTGAAGCCAAAGTACAAGAGAGAATAGTTGCCAATAAGGTTCTCATGCGTGAACTTCTTCCCGTCCTGGTCAAGCAGATCAAAATGGCCTCCAATTGCTGCCACCCCCGCGGACTCCTGCTTGCCTCGTATCTCTGCATGATGCACAGAGTAAAAGAATGAATACTGGCAGGATGGCGCCAGCTGTTCTTGCATGCATGCATGCGCATGAGCATGAGCCCAAGAGACGCAAATTATCTTTACCTGCAAGCTTCCTTTCTCTTTCATGACTAAAATACCATAAGATTCCTGCTCCTGTGCCCAGGGTCAGCGCCAAGCTGGCATAGGACACCGGCTGCACCACATGACAGTCATTAATATGTACGTGACAGAGTACGTACAGTTGTTAGGGCAGCTCTGAGCGAGCATGATCCCTGGAAAAGCACGAAGCTCACCCCACCCATCCTGGAGGGACTTGACTGTCCGGCCTCCGCTGCAAAGCCCCTAGTACACTGCTGCACCCAGGAGGGTGCGCTCGTGGAACAACAGGCCTGTAAATTAAATGGCACCTCACTTTGTTGGGCATTGCAGCACATAGATTTCTAGCAACAATCTTGCATTCAAGATCGCGTCCTGCTTTTTTGAATGCAACCCGAAGGACTACTCATGCATTTGGGTGCAACTTGGAATGTGGGCACCTGATCTAGAAGGAGTTTGGATTCCTGAGACGATATCGATGTTCTACTGGCCAGCATGCTGCTATTTGCAATAGTAAGTGCTCTCTGAGCTAGGAGTCTATGTCTAGACATGTCGATGATTTCAAGAGCCTGCGTGTGAGTTACAGGAAAATTGACTTCCGCCTTGCTGAGTGCTTAATCACACTTCTTTGCAGTTTCAACTTCATCAAATAGTTTATGTCTCGCTGGAGATCGAACGTGGGCTCAGTGTTGGAAGTTGTGACGTGGCCATTAGTGATATGTGCATGCCTGACGTAAGCAAACCTTTGGTGAGTTTCACCCATCAACTTCGATGAGCTATGCGCAAATTCACACAATTTACTGTATTTGCATCTTCTCGTAACACATAGACCGACGCACTTAACCTTTATCTCCTCAGATCAGTTTAATAGATTTGGACTGTTGTGATTCTAGTAGACTTTTACCTTGCTGTATCCCATATCAGGAGGAAAGAGAATGGATCCGACAGAAGATCGACCAGAAAGGGACGCACAAGCTACAGCGGGACCATCGGGGACAGATGCTCAACCTACTGGTGGCTTCACAAAGCGCAAGAACCGTGGGAATTTGCGGAAACGACCTGCTGATGATCCTCAGGATAAAGAAGGTGAGAATTCTCGTTTCTTTATAGTGATGTGTGGGTCTAGCATTCAGTGGCTTTCCCAAATTCTCCCTGTGTAATAACAGTATTTTGCACTCCGCGGAATCTCAGAAATAGAATTGTATGTAGAGCACTGACAGAGAAGCAATGGCGCAGGTGATGAAGCCGTGGAAGGAGTGTCAGTTGTGAGGAAGGCAGCACGGGCGAGCAAGGATGCCCCCCTGGCCTTCTCCACGAAAGCTCAGAACGGAGACAAACTTGAGGTCTTCAAGTTTGAGAGCTCCAGACAGCTGCAACAGACCACCGATCAGGGCGCCACCCGGCTGAACGAGATGGAGACTGCGCATGACAGGGATTCCAGGCAAGCACTTTTACCTCCTCTGTTGCTACCCTGCCTCTTTCGGCTGAAGGCACTTCCGCAAGTGCATCATTCATATTTGTATTCTACTCGGCCTTACAATGAGATATGAGTAGAACAAGGCTGACACAAGGCTGTGCATGTCTCAGGGCAAGGAGAGAGGCGGTGCTGCGGCAGGCCACAGATGGCGAGCAAGATGACGGCACTTACAAGGGCATGAATGACTACGTGGACTACCGGAAGGGGTTCCGAAGGGAGCACACCATTGGCAATGAGAAGGGGACCGGCCTGCATGGGCCGCTGCGAGCCTCCGCCAACGTGCGCATGACTGTGCGCTTCGACTACCAGCCGGACATCTGCAAGGACTACAAGGAAACCGGCTTCTGCGGCTACGGCGACGCGTGCAAGTTTGTGCACGACCGGTCAGACTACAAGTCTGGGTGGGAACTGGACAAGGTGCGCAGCAGCCCTCGCAAACAGTGTGGTCCCATGCACTTGTAGAGGTCATCCTTTCTGTGCTGTGGGGACATGGGCAAGTGTTAGCATGTGCTGCTTTGACATGTGTGCTGCTTATGCGCTGAGCATCTGCGATGAGACATGCCTTCCAGCTGATCAGACAATGTGTGTTCTCGTGAATCTTGATCAAAGATTCTTTCCCTATGTGCAGGAATGGGATGCCAGGGAGAAGAGGCTGCAGGAGGCAAAGTGGGGGGACCAGGAGTCAGGGGATGAGGAGGAGGAGGATGATGGCCTGCCCTTTGCATGCTACATCTGCAGGGAGCCCTGGGAAAAGATTGCCAGCCCGGTGGTCACCAAGTGCAAGCACTACTTCTGCGAGAAGTGCGCGCTGGAACACAATGCAAAGAGCTCAAAATGCTTTGTCTGCGAGGCGCCCACGCAGGGTATCTTCAATGTTGCCAACGACATCAAACGGAAAGTCAAGCAGAAAGATCGCAAGGATGCTGCCTGACATGATCCGTTCTGCCCCTTGTCTCGAGGTTCATTTCAGACATCAGATGTGCGAGTGCGAGAAGAAAATGTGTGAGATCTCTAGAGGCACCTTTTCGTACACTTGCTTGTTTGATCAGAGAATTTGTATGCTGACATCAAATTAGCTGAGCAGAGAACATCAATCATAACAGCGCTAGCAGCAGTTCAGTGCGTTGGGAAAGTCACATCCTGAGTCTAAGTGATGATCACTTAGTGATCACATGAACATGACCATGAACGTAGAAAGGACATCACTATTATTCGCCAGTGGATCGCCTACTATGTTTAGCCTTCAAGGTGTCAGTTCAAGGTGTGGGAAAAGTGCCAATACCGTATAGTACCGAGTGGCTCCTGTGGTTTTAACACCCGGTGTACACCCGGGGCCCGGTGTCGCGGGTACATGTACGGCAAGCCGTCACACAGCAGCTCAGTACTACTACAGTGAGCTGCATGTTTATGATTTCTGGAGAAATCAGATTTACTTGCTGTTACTCGTGGCACAGAGCCGCAGGGCTAGCTAAACCGTAGCTTCACCCGCCCGCACTGGCATGCATGCCATGCAGTGCACAAGCGCTTAAGCCACATCATGATCAACTAGCACATTTGCAGAGCGGACCAGTCCAGATTCTTTCCTGAAAACACTTCTCAAAGAGACACAAACATGAGAGGAGCCTTTCCACTCTATAAGATCGAAATGCTACACTTTGAGCAGAAGAAGAATGCTGGCACCTGCCAAAGAAGTTGTCCAAGAACCTGCATCTGCTTGTGCCAGTTCAAGGTGGTCAAGTCCACGTAAGGCAGAAAGGACCGTAAGGCAGAAAGTCCAAGGAATATTGCAACGAAGAGACAGATCGGCAGGCACCTCCTAAATCTTGGTTGTCTGAGGTCACTCTTTCGGTTTCTACAGTTTCTGGCATATCTACGGAGGTAATAGACGGAAGTGCCGGCGATCGGGTGTTCGGTCTCTGGCTTGCTCCTTAGGCCTACATAGTCGCTGTAACGAATTTTAAACATCTCCAATTTCTAATCAGAAAGACCGGATAGGAGTTTTCTTTGGTGAGCACTGTTGGTGCGCGACGGATCAGTATCGATGCCTTCTAGAGAACTGAAGCCCTTTGCTGCTAGATTTTTTGGGGGCGCAGATTCTAGGCTCTGTTAAGCTTGAAATTACATTTCAGGTGATTGCGGCCGCGATCCTACGAAGATCTGCAAGGAATTTCTTGTTCAAGGAGGGTCCTCACTGATACTGCCAAGCGATCACCGAGTCGTGTGCGGGACCGCTGATGGCCGCCGTCAAGTCCATGACGGGGTGCATAGCACTGGCCGTGTTGCACTGCATATCCTTGTCAACTGCGGCTAATCCTGCGGCACAGGCACCTCTGGGCCCGGCCATCACTCACTATGACTTTGATGTCACCGTGGGCAAGCGGTCGCCAGACTGCTTCGGTAAAGACATTTTCAACTTGCTTGGCAAAATTGGAGCAAAGGAGTCTGGTGCCTCTTTTATTTTTGAAAACTCAACGCAGTCAATGGGAGCCTGTTTGTGACCTGCAGAGAAGGACGTGATACTGGTCAATGGCGAGTACCACAAGCAGATTGAGGTCACCCAAGGCAACATTCTAGAGGTATGATTGTGACTTTGACTCAGCAGGGATGTTGCACTGCATGTTGAGCAGTGATCTTGTGCTGCTCCCTGGGCCTCCATATAGCAAGGCATTCCACTGCGTCTTGTGCAGGTGACAGTGTACAACGACCTGCCATCGACATGGCCACTGGTGTCAGAGGGGATCAGCGTCCACTGGCACGGCTTCAGCATGAACGGGGCTGAGTGGTATGATGGTGTGGGCTACCTTGCCCAGTGCCCCATTCAGGCCGGCACCAACTTCACCTACAGGTTCCAGGTGATGCATGCCACCTGCAGTCCCTCGGAGTTCCCCTTGGGGTGTACCTTCATGGCATTTTCATGTGTAGGAGGCGATGCGAGTTATGCATGAAGCAGCATTACATATAAGCTGCTGCCCAATGTGCTGCGCATGCTATGCTGGTTTCTTCAATGCTTGCAGTTGTTCCTTGTGGCAGGTGAATGAGCAGCCAGGGACGTACTTCTGGCACGGGCATGCAGGGAATGAGAAGGTGGATGGCTTCACTGGGCCACTCATTGTGCGCCCTGCCGGCCCAGAGCCTTTCACCTACGATGAGGAGAGAATTCTGTTTCTGAGCGACAACTACCACACTTCAGCAACAGCGCTCACTTTCCCCCTGAACAGGTGCGCGGATGCTGTATTTGCGCAGGGCTCCTTGACACTCATGGCTGCCAGCAATGTGCCTTCCGTGCCTTCTGAGGTACACCTTGAACCTGTCATCGGATCATATTGTCATGAAGGGCATTTTATCAATGTGTTGTGTTTGTGATCAGGCCGTTTGATGCCAAGAAGCAGACAAACGAGACTGGCGGCTGGGATTGGGTGCGTCCTGACTTCTGCTCCTCCAAATGCTAAACCTTCAAGCTCCCCTAGCGTGTGGAATTATGGGTTTTCATGAGCTTGAAGACCACTGTCTGTGCAGGTGGCGGTGCCTCAGGCAATCACACTGAACAGCCATGGCTTCTATGGGGACTGTGAACTGTTACAAGGAACCAACACAGCCATTCCTCCCAAGTGCAATGTAACCACGCAATGGGTCCCTCCAGGGCGCTCCAAATTCCTGCCCTATGCTGCCGGGACCAACCCTGGTCAGTCACCCAGCAACTCTGTATATTTTCCAACTCTTTTATCTTTGCAATTCTGAATACTTGGCAATTCTTAGTAATGCTTATATGATTACTTGGTCACCTAGCCATCTTGAAGGTGTCACCTGACTCTGCTACACCTGCAGGCTGCAAGCGGGAGAATGTGACAGTGGAGGCTGGCAAGACATACCGCATCCGCATGATCAATGCCGGCTCGCTCGCATATCTGAGCGTCTGCTTTGCCGACCACAACGTGACCATTGTGGCGGCTGACGCCTACCCGACCAACCCCCTCACTGTGCCCTGCGTCGACATTAATCTTGGCCAGAGGTGCGCATGCATGCGTGACCTGCTTTAAGCCTCTCAGCATGTGGGTTCACATGAAAATTCTGACACCAAAACATCGTGGCATGTCCATGAGGCAAGCATGTCGCATACCCCTTGTAGTAGTCAACTACTAGGGTGCACGATTACTAGGACAATCCTGCACCCTAAGATCAACAGGATTGTATCCAGCAAGTTTGTCCTGCAGCCCCACATGTGGAAATCTTCTGATTTGAGTGACATTGCTTCAATATTTCCTCAAGCAAGGAATAATCGGTGTCTTGCCTGCAGGTATGATGTCCTGTTGAAGGCAGACAAGCCGGTGGGCAACTATTGGCTATCGGCGCTGGTGGTCAATGCCACAAGGACGGGGTCACCTGCCGGCTACGGCGTGCTGCGCTATGCGGGCGCCAATGCGAGCGCGCTGCCCTCGGACCCCATCCTGCAGCCGGAGAGCGTCCCTGCCTGGACCTTTGGCACCGTCTCCAAGGTGTTCCCTCTCACTTACCTGACAAAAAGAGTGTTAGTGGGTGAATGCTTTGTAATCGTGGCACCCCAAAACCCCAATCTGACACCCTTCATCAGCACGCGCTAATCACTCTGCCCAGAGTTCCGTTGCATTGCTATACTTTCTTGTCAATGACTTGGAACAGCTACATGTAATGGCATGGCCTGCATGCGGGTGTTGCATTGTTTTGAGGTGTGAAAAGGAAGGTATGAAGTGGGCTAATTTGTGAAGTAATCGTGGGCAGATTACTCTGCCAAAGGAGTACTTGGACGCCAGCACGCTGCCCAAGGGAACGGTGCTGCCCCTGAACCAGTCCTCGCTGGCGCCCCCCAACGCCACCAAGACACTGCTGGTCAACCTGACTCAGCCCCTGCTGCCCAATGGCCAGCTCAGGTGGGTGCATTTCTCATGCACGCCGCTTCATCTCGCTCTGCTTGCTCGCTTTCATGACGCTTCGGGAAGCACTCTGATCCTATTCATTTTACTGGAGGAGCAGCTTTTCAGAACTTTCTTGGACAACTGTGATGTTTGAAATAACAATTGAAACGTGTTATACAGCCTGTCAAATGCAAATGCAGCAACCTAGGATTGGCCGTCAGTGCCTGGAGAAGCTTTAAAGACAGGCAGACATGAAAGCAGTGGGAAGGGCTGACGTGCTGTTACGGAACGCCAGGTGGGCGCTGAACAACGTTGCCACTTTTGGCACGCCCTCCTGCCTGCCCACGCTGAACCTGCTGCGCAATGACCCCGGCCTCATGGCGCGCGACGCGCAGAGGACGCGCGTGGGCGACATGCCCGCCGACCTCGCCGCCAAACAGATGGGCAACGACCTCAACGTGCGCACACCCTCCCCTTCTTGGCAACATTCCCTTGCTTCCTGAAGTGAAAGCACAAGCGCCATGACCTGATTCAAGAGAGTTTACGCAAATTTGATAGATTCTCATCCGTACTGAGTTTGTCTGGTCCTTTGTGGACTCACATCCACATCTGATATGGAAGTACACGTGCATGTCTGTTGCGCCGATTGACCTCAATCTCTCTGCCATGCATACAGAAAGCGCAAGGCTGGGCAATTGAGATGCTGCAACTGGTTCATTGGGCCTGCCTGGTTGCAGGTGCCGATGTATTTGGAGGACGGCTCTCCCTCGCCGGCCATGCCTATGGCGGGCCAGGATTTCATGCCGCTGCAGAAGGGCGATGTTGTGGACGTCATCCTGCAGAACCTCCCCGCCAATGCCAACGGTGCACTCCCGTGACGCTTAATAATTCCTTTCAAGTCTGTGGCCATCCCCTATAAGATCTGGATTTTTTTGGGTGGGTGCTGTCTTTGCCCTGTCCATTCATCCTGTACAGATTCGCGTCCCTTGATCATCACATGGGGTCCTGATTGTTGCTCCTGACATGCAAGCGCAAGCACAGGAGCACCATAGAGTTGGGAAGTCAGGGCATGACACAGAAATGGGCATGTGTGCGCAGGCGGAGACTACAGGCCGGGCGTGGGCGCGAATCGGACGGCGCAGGAGCAGCATCCGTTCCACATGCACGGGCACCACTTCTGGGTGCTGGCCTACGGCCTGGGCACCTTCAACGAGGCCGCCAACACCTCCTCCTTCAACACGGCGAATCCCCCCTTCCGCGACTCCTTCACCATCTTCAAGAACGGCTGGACCGCCATCCGCTTCAAGGTGCGCCCACCCCTCGTGTCACTGTTGGCTGGGGGACTCTCAATCAATCTGAGAGAGACTAAAGCAAGCAGAGAATAGAGCTCTCTAGTTGCTTCGATAGTGCTGGTTAAGAATCCTCAGCATGAGATGATGCCAGAACAACGTGCAATTGTCTGTGCGTTGGACAGACCTGCACAGAGGTGACATGTTGGTGCCTGGTACAGACGTGCTAGGTGGTCTGTGCCTCTGAGGATTCAAAATGAAACGACAATGTTTTAATTTTTTTAGTGACGCCAGTACCTTGTCGATATGAGTGCGTGGGTAGCAATCCTGTCCATAAGTGTAAGCTGGTGGTGAGGAAGCATCTGCTTGGATGAGATGAGGCAGACGTCCTGAAGGAGGTTGCAATGCCACTGCAGGCTGACAACCCGGGGGTGTGGATCTTGCACTGCCACACCGACTGGCATCTATTCATGGGCCAGAAGATGTACTTTGCCACCTCGCCCGAGCTGGCGCAGCCGCCGCCGGCCGACCTGCCAACTTGCCCAAACACCTGCATGTACAATTTCGGCCCCTTCAGCCCCTCCTTTGTGCGGGCCAAGTGGGGCAGTACTGGCTACAGCACCTAATGCAGCGGTCCCAATCCCTCTTCTGGGAGGCTTATTCTTTCGCCTCTCTGCAGCTGGAACCGAGATCATTAGCTGGGGGTGAGGAATGAACAAAGAGAGAATGCAGACAGCAGAGTATTTCGGGTATTGTACAGCATGCTCTTCTGGCTGGGCACAGGGTTGCCGGCTGATCTCTCTTCTTGATCCCACCGGCACGCCATTGCGTAGCTTTGTGGCTGACTGAGAGGGGATCTTGCAGTGGGATTCTGTGCAATCACTAAGCATATGATGTGTTTTTCGAAGGATGCATCATTATATTTCGGCAGTGCTATACATAGCATCGCACATTGCGCAATTGCGGTCACTCTGGAGACCACCTCTAGAACTGTACAAAATTTTGGCAAGACCGATTGTGTCCCGCCCAGATGGAAGCGCAAAAATAAGTGTTGTGCGGCTTGGATGGCGGGAACTAGTCTCATGCTCACACTGATGGTTCTGTAGAATTGCAGTCCTTGAATTTATGTTACTGCAATTGGTTCTTGAGGGTGATGGCTTCAGAGAGATGGCTGCCAAAGCGTCAGCGGGCCTAGATAGGTGAGAGGCAGTCTCAACAGATAGTGCACTCAGTTGCTTTGGCTTTGAATGCCATATTGTCCAGGGATGCCATTCTATTACATATGATATCTGCTCACTACTATGTCTCTTACGCTAAGGTAGCACTGCCCATGCGTTACTAAACATGTGACATTGCAGTGCTGGGACTTTCCCCTTGGGCTAAAGTGGAACATCCTGGGGGTACTTCCAGCCAATCTAACCACACCCAAGAGCGTGGTGTCGATTTATGCTTTTGGATCTTAGTATGCATTTGTCTGGTTGAGAGGTGTAACGATGGTTAAGATTGTCTCTCACCTACCACTTGTGACAGAGATGTCATGCATGCCTTCAGGTGATCATCAGTGAGAACAGCTTGAATGTCTGCAGTGGCCCAAAAGGAAGTGATCGCATCAGGATATCAAACTGGATATCAGTTACAACAGCAACAGTGTGTGCACATCAAGTCATTCAAACACTCCTCAAGAAGAACACCAAGCTTGTGCAGACTTGGATGGCCGACTTGGACAGAACCCCCAATTTCGCCCCTTTATTATGAACACTTGGGTTCGCATGCACAGTGTCAAACCTGAAAGCCTGAACAGAGTTCGCATGAGTGCAGCAAAACACAATCTTGCCACGTACAGCAAGCCGAGGGAAGCCCAAAACGCAGCATCAGCCCAAACGGCCGGTCGCTTTGAGGGCTGGAAAACAAAAGTCTGCAAACATTGAGCACCCAGCACGCCAAGCGGACAGCACAGGCATGCCGGGTCTCAGCAACATCGAGTCTCAAGAACAAGACAGTCAATATTCAAGTGTCTCTACACTTGTCAAACCATGGAGGGTGCCGACATAAAACGCCTCAGCACCACGGCATGCTCTTGCACTGGGCTGCAAAAGCGACAAAGCGACAAAAATCGCTCTTGCAGCCCGCGTGCAGGCTTGCCCGGAAATCGCCTTGGCTCTGGGTCTCGCAGGACAGCAAGTGTTGTAAACACAGCAACAAGCATGGCTCTATAGGCGCAGCGCCTCAAGAGGTCTCTCTCAACGCAAAGCATGCGGCAGTCGGCGCTTCACAAGCAGAACGCTCAGCACCACTGCCGCACATGCATTACAACCAACCCAAACCTTTGTTTGCTGCGCCAGATGGCACTTCATGCGTGCAGCAGAAAGTTCCCGCTGCATTGCAATCTGCCCGCGCAGATTATTCCAGTACAGCCTGGAAGCAGCTGCTCCTACCATCAAGCGCGCGTCGCGCATGCGTCGCGTCACGCGCTTTATTAATCGGGCTCGGAATCTCCGACCAGTGGCTGGGGGGCCAACAAATCACAGTCTTGCTGCGCTGAGAGCCCCGTCCGCACAGAGCGGTCAGGGCCCTTCGCAGCGATGCTGCGCTTTGAGCCGGCCCACGCCAGCCACAGAAAGTCCCAACAAACGGCATGGCTGTTGTAGCATTCGGCAACGGGAATGCCACAACTGTTCTGGTGCTGCGTACGTATCAGGGCACTGTCTTGATCAAGTTCTTCACAGGAACAGGGGCTGGAAGAATCCACCCCTTTCTCGAATCAAGCTGTCTACTTTCTGTCGCAGGTGCGCTCACACGTCCTGCCACTACAACTTCTACACAGATGCACAGAGCTGCTGCTCACTTTCCGGATGTCTCGGCTCCTTTTAAAGTAGCGAAGCGTCATGTATCCGGGGTGGGGGCTGCTACTGCGCTACAGGCGCGTGGCGCTGACTCTAGCAGGGAACGCTGCGAGCCGGCCAGGCGATGGCTGGGAGGACTGGTGGGATAAGTCATTGGCCCATCTGCACGTAGAGCTGGTGCATCAGCACGGCGGCGTTGTCGAGGAGGGAGAAGTTGATGCCCTGCTCCTGCACCCACTCCACGATGCGCAGCCGCAGCTTCTCGTTGCTCTCCAGTGCTATCCAGCCCTGCAGCGGCTGCCCCAACACCGGGCACGTCCGCGCGCCTGCACCCATAGCAAGTCGCCCGTCAGTACACTTTCTTGCATTCTCTTTCTTGACTGCGTATCATACCAATCAGAGCAAGGGCGTGCTAGCAGGCATCCTCCAACCCAGGAGGCAGCAAAGCAGAGCACCTAAAGGAGCTGACAGAACTTTGCCAGAAGGGCACTGCCACAAGAGCAAAGAGAAAGTAGTACAGGGGAAGAGGGTGCACACCTGTCCGCATCCAGGCTTGGATGCTGGTGCGGTTGAAGGTGATGCCGGTGTTGAGCAGGGTCACCGGCTCGGTCATGAGGCAGTGGCTGATGGGGCAGAAGAACTCGGCCGGCGGCGGCGCGTTGCCGCTGTATGACATCCGTCGCCGCCTCGTGTCCACCGCTGTTTCTTCCTCGGCAGACTCCTGCTGCTGCCTGCAAGATTCACACTCCTCTGGGTCAGGGTAAGATATCACAGACAATTGTGCCCTGTCGAGTATATTATTCAGCGAGCATGACAACGAGGGAGTGGCCAGCACAGTGAGGAGAGTGGCTAAGGAAAACGTTCAGGGGACTCACATGGGTGGCGCAGAGGAGGCGCTCTTTGTGGGGTCGTGTGTGTATGCACCAGAAGCGATGCGCTCCTTCACGCTGTCAGCTAGGCTGCATTGGGCGCTAGCGTCCACTGGAGCCGAGTTGTGCCTCTGGGTGTCGAGCGGACAGTACTCCTCAGCTGCCAGAGACCCGTGTATGCTCCTGCAGACATGTTCAGCACATGCCAGTCAGATGGTGCAATCCTCCTTACAAGCACACTCGAAACGTGTTGCTCTGTGGGCACAGCCCTTGCATGCACTGCAGAAACGCCACAAGACAGGCTGGCACTGCGTCGGAATCAGATGTCGGCATCTCATCCACGAACAAGCGATTCAGTCCGAGGCGGTGGCACCGTCTGAAACTCACCCTGGTTTGCTGAGGGTCTTCCCGATCGCGCGAACAAGCTGCTCCTTCATGAGAGAGTGCAGCGCGTCGTCTAGTAGCGAAAAAGACGGCAAAGAGTCGCTCTTGGACCTGCGACCACAGCCAAATCCGTCATATGCGTCGCCTTGCAATTCCTCATCGTGAAGCGCTCGCAGCACCGTGCCCTAGGGGCCTCTTGTCGGTTCAGAGGAAACTGCTGGCTTGAAAAACGGCCTTGATCAACTGCGGGGGCTGCGCAGATATTTCGTGGGCCAGGATAGCCGACACATCCACAGGCGGGGCGCTGTGCTAGGACTCTTCCGACAGCAGGCGCCGAGGTCATAGCACGACTAGCACCCACCCTTCTGAAATGCACACCTCCAAGTTACATTCGAAAGATCGTGCACGAGCGCAAACCTGGGTTCCAGCGGGGAGACAGTGCAGCACGCCATTTGGTTGCTCCGTGGTGGGGCGTCAGCTGTAGTGAGGGACTGGAATTCTTAAGGCATCAAGCGTCCGGCTGCCCGATTGTAGATATGAATCTGTTCAGACTTCGATCTTGTATACAACCAAATCCTTGCGCGTAAATCTAAACAAAAATTATGACCATAAAAAGTGCAAGTGAATCCTTCTGAATCATCGAGTCTTCGATGTACTTTCATGGCAGGGTTTCTGGTTCTCAGGGAGATATAAAGATGAAAATACACTTTTAGAGGGATTTACACGAGGCGCGGCCGATCGCGCACCAAGTCGAGCGAAAGATACACACGCTTTGGTTTCGACCCTCTTCGCTTAACCCTGAAGGGACAGTCCATGCGGATTCATCAGTTGGTCATCCCGGACCGGCAAGATACGGCTTCGGGACGACTGCCGGGACACGGTCTAGCTGGCGCAACCTGCGGTGGATGAACAGCCAGTGACTCGAGTGACTAGACCCACGTGAATCTGATGGATCCTTCGTCATCCCCTGACTCGCCTAGGCTCACGACTGCCTCAGATCACCTCGCCTCTCCTAAACAGGGGTGACCACCGTTTAATGATATGTGATACAATACTGATGCACACTTGTGATGCTATGTACTCCCAGGTTTGGCTAGCAAACATCTAGAACATTAAGAAAGATGGTCACTATACGGTATCTCTAGATGTCCTGGTAGAAGCTCTCTGGTAGGAATGTCTTCCACAAGCCTGAGATCTACTTTAGACTACTCCCTACTAGGATTCAATTTTGAAGTGCTTGGCTGGGCCATGTGGTGGGTGCACGAAAAGCACTGCTGTGGCCGAATGGAATGACCTCAGGATCATGGCACAAACCGGTTCCACTGGAATCATTCATATGGTTACTCATCCTAGTACAGCATTACAACTGGACAGACATTTAGTCATGTGGCATTCATTTTTAGGCCAATCACACGTGCCAACTTGGCCTGCTATGCTCAAAGCAATGCTAGCCTAGCGCTGCCTGGGTGTGCGGGTAGCAAGTGCGTCAGGCACAGTGCAAGCGCACATTCCTACAGTGCTGGAAAGGACAATTAATAAAAGCATGCGTTTGTCTAATGTACATAAAAGTCTTCCATGCATAAAGTGCAGCCACCAAGCGTGGTACAGAAGTTGCAACCTTATAACAAAAGAGGGTTCCGGCCGGCGCTATGACAGACATTGGTCAGCTCAGCAACAAAGTCTGCAACCGTTACAACCACCGGCCCTTCAACTACATTCAAGCAACTTCTCCGACCGGTCGACAGGTACCTGAAGGTCTTTCCAGCACATCAACTGACCATTTGATACGCAGCGGTGCAGCACCTTAAGGTTACAGCATGTGCATCGTAGAAGAAATGCTCAGGCAGCTCAGCCCGAGAAGGGCACAGCTGAGGCGCCCCTTTGAGCTCCGGCGCCGCCTGATCCGCGCTGCAGCTCTGGGAAGAGCGGGCTGGCTCGCCTGTGCATGGTGGCCTGCTCGTACGCGTAGGCGACGCGCAGCAGCCTCGCCTCGTCAAACGGGCGCGCCAGCAGCTGCAGGCCCGCTGGAAGACGTGCACAATCACAATTACACATGTTCAGTTTCACCTAATTCCTGATCATAATTTAATGATATGACACAGACTGATCAGAGCTTCATGTACTCTACAAACTCTGCTTCTGTGCTGGTGGGATGATTTGGGTCAGAACCCTGGGTCCAGAAACAAGGCCCCCACCCAAACAGTTTGCCATAAACGCAGTGTCACTGCTCAGCTGTCAGCGCAAGCTTCTCCAACAATGCAGCTAGGCACCAGCTCATCCCCTTTGCATCAGAGCTACAAGGCAAAGAACATACAGATGGAAAGATGATGTGCTCAACCAGCATAGCCAGCATTGCCAAGGAGCACTCACTGTCACAGATGAGCTGCTGAACGGCAGGGTCAGAACCCAACAGCACCTGCTTTGTTGAAGCCCATGGGGACGGTGATGGCGGGCGCGCCGGTGTGGGGGGCGATGGTGGGGGAGTTGTTGCCGTCTGGGGAGACAGTGTCTCCAATCAGGCGTGGGGGGTTGCTCCATGTGGGGTATATCACCACGTCCACCACAGCATTGTCCATGGACTCCACCAGCCGCTGCCACACCGCCAGCACAGCCCATCAAGCCTTTTTCTGAAATTCTGGAGATATTTGGTTTGCCTGATGCACTCTGTTTAAATTGCGAAGCAGCCCTTCTCCTACTTTGGCGGTCTCAATGCCTTCATGCCTTGCATGCTCCCCCTCTTACTACAACCATGCATGCATGCATGCATGTTGCGCAGCATGCGATGACATGTTTGCAATCAAAGCAAACCCTTCAGCTCAGGTGGCAGTCACAGCAGAGCCCTGCCAAGGGAAAGAAGTGTCCTGTGTGCTGCACTGCATGCATGAGTCCAATCATGCATGCATGCAGCGCAGCAGAGTGCGCACCCGGCGAAATTCCATGCGGCAGGGGTCGGTGAAGAAATCGCAGCAGCCGCAGCGGAAGCCCTTTGCGTATAGGAAGGGTGGCGGGTAGGCGGAGGGCTCAAACCTCTGTGCGAGGGCGTCCCTCAAATCTGTTGCAATGCTGGGATGGAATGCCCCAGCAGTGTACAATTGCTGCGCGCAGACATTTTGAAACTCCTTGAGTACATGATGTGAGCTTGCCAGACGTATAAGCATGCATATTGGCAGAGAGATGCGTCAAAATTTGCAAAAGCAGGCAACATGACATGCAAATTTCAGTGCTATCAGGTGTAGCAGCTCACCAGTGTGATAGCAGAGTGATAAGAGAGCTTACTTGCAGGGACTTGAAGCGCTGGGTCCTGTTTGGTGCGCTGGCATATGCATCAAAATCGGTGGGGAAGGCAATCTGGCAGTTCCACAGGTCTTCCCAAGTGCCATTCACATTCCAGAATCCATACGCAATCCCCTTGCCGTTAAGGTACCCGTTCCTGCATGTGGCTGACAGCATATTCTGCATGCCTGAACATGAGATCACTTAGCACAAAGAAAGCAGGTTCAGGGTTTTTGACAGCGGCGTTAGAGTTTTCACCAGGAATTGCCCATGCTGTTGCCCACTATTGCAAAGTCGTCAACGATTGTTGCGCCTGCAGGGTTGCCATGCATGACAGGTACTTGAAAGAAATGAGGCCAATATGCAGAGTCATAAGAGCTGGTGCATTTCAACTTCAACAGGAAGCCAAGAGATTTACTAGAAGTCATTTGTGAGGGGGCATTCACTTGTGGTGCTCACCACTGACAGCCATGTCGTCAATAGCCTGATTGAAGAGAGCGAGGAACTCAGGATCTGTGGTGGGAGTGTCGCTCAGCTGTCTCAGGACACCCACTCGCGCCCCTTCAAGCCCATTCACATCCAGGGACTGACTGATGTTGAGGTGCAGGTCTTCCTGGTCATGCACCCATCAGTCACCTTGAATGTTTATGTCAGGTGTAGTAATTGTATAGCCTGCAGCAAAAGTTGGCAACATGCATAGTCAAGATCCAACAAGAATCCACAGAACTGGTCAGAAGAAAGCATGCGGGTCGATTACACCGTCACCTGCAGAAGGAGAGATGTGAGATTATCTTTGGGATCGTGCCCGACCACGACCTCAAACAGGCGCGCCACATCTGACACAGTGCGCGCTATTGGACCTGTAGTGTCTCTGTTGAGCCGGGCAGGCACTACTCCACTCCTGAACAGAGTGGATATTCAATGAACTCTTCAATAAAGCTACACCCAGAGTGCTCAGCATGCATGTCCTCGAATGCAAGCTGCATGCCGAGTGAAGACAACCACTCCAGTCCGGCAGAAGAATAGGAAAATGCGCACCTACTTGTTGCCCCAAGGGAGGGGCGCAGGCCAACAACACCGCAGTGAGCAGCTGGGCCTCGGATGGAGTTGCCTGTGTCTGTGCCCAATGCCAGCAGCGCCAGATTTGCAGCAAGAGCTGCCGCGCCTCCACCACTAGATCCTGTCCAAGCAAACCCCTTGATACTTTCAGAGCCCAAACATCACATATTGCAACCTGCAGCTTACATGCATAACATGGATCTTGTGCAAGCAATTCTGTGGTGTTTCCACATCTGGAGAACACATTTAGTGAGCAGCAGATGGCATGCATGACGTCAGCCGTGCCATTCCAGCATCAGTCATAGTTGATAGCCACAGTGGCAGGCCCATAAGGTGCATTACCAGCCGTGGTGTGGTCCAGATCGTAGGGGTTGCGGACAATGCCATAAACTGAGCCTGCTGACTCATCCGGCGAGAGTGCAAATTCGCCCATATTACACTTTCCCAGCAATACTGCTCCCTGGTCTATCACCTTCTGCACCTGCCAGCGCACCACAACAAGTTTCTGTCCTGCCCCTTCCAGAACTAGCAAGGCATTGCTCTCAAGTCACATTGCATATAGGGGTATGCTATAGTTACAGAGATTTCTTGGCCCCGGCTGGCGGGGGGCGATATAAATACTGAGCCCCGTGCCCACGAATGAATGGGTCTTGCTTGCATCTGGCGAGTCCATCAAGGGGTAGGATTTTGGCAGCCTTTACTGCAGCTTGTCTGCAGATGCACCTTGCTTCTGGCAGGAAAAGCGTGTTACGATAATATTACTTACAGAGATTTTTGGTGGTTCCAAGAAGGAGGAGCTCACCACAAAAGCATTCTCTGCGGCAAGGTTGTCCAGCAGGCCCACAGCACCGGCAGTTGCTGCCATGCCTAGCGTGTCAAAGTTGTCCTTGACAAGGACAGGGGCACAGAAGAGCGGTGGCAGCGTCTCATTCAGAGCCAGGAGTTCTTGTAGCTGCACAGGCGTCACATGGGGATCACTGCATGAAGGGATTCTGCACGCTGATTGTAGTTAAATAAAGCAGAAGGGAATGCAAAAGGCACATCACTCAAGAGGTCAAGAGGAACCTTGTGTCTCACCTGAATGTCCCTCTGCTTGGCTATCTCCATCGCAGCAGGGTTGATAATCCGGACGCTGTTGAGGCCTGTGATCTTATCAAAGGTTTGGATCCTCTGCAGAGCAACCATCGCATGTAATCAAGTCTTGGGAAAGCAGAGATTCAAACATGCATGCTCCTCAATCCTGCACACATGTTTTCCATGCATGGTTGGAGGGCCTGCCTGCCTGCATGTAAGCCTCCACCACCAGAGTGCAGGTCACATTCCTCTCCCTAAACATCTGATGCAGCCCGTCCAGGGTGGCTTCTGCCAGAGGCACAGCTGTCTGCTGGTTCATTTGGAGCCCGATGACAGTTGCCACAGAGATGGGCTCAGTCCGGTATGTGGATGACAGCTTGAACGTTTGGCAAGCCACTGTGCAAACAAAGGAAACCTCAGGTGGTCCATGGGGACTCGAGCTGCTCGGCCCCTGAGAGCTGCTAAAAGAAGAACACACAGGCAGCTGATGATCGACTGATAATCACCTGCAGTTGGTGTTTTGTTTCGAATATTGAGAGATTCTGTGACACCTTGCTTTGCACGATTTTCATGGGACAAGCCAATGAACACCTCGAAGAAGGATCCTTGGAGATGCAGCTATGCAGGACCAAGCATCACAGGTTTGATCACAGGGAAAGAGCTGTACTGACCTGTCGACACACGGAAGAAAGGCAGCAGACAGCCATGCAGCATGATCGCCATGACGCACAGGCTGGAGGCACGCTTGATCGCCATACTTCAGTTCCTTTCGCTTTCTGTTCCCAGACCGTGCATGTGTGCGATGAAAATGTGCAGGGTTCGTCAATACGGTAGCCCCTCCTAGTCGGCCTTGGGCAGAGCTTGAAGGGGCCCAGCATCCCCTCCTCTGCTCGGAATGATGAAGGTGAATTGGTTGTCATTCATATCACAGATGCGCTACACTGAGCAATCCCAGCCCGTGCAGTCCCTTCGTTGTGGACAGTACCCTTAGTCATCAAGGGCTTTGCCATGGAATGGACTGAGGATCCCTCATTGAGGGAAGACCTTTGGGTGATGACGAGGATTGCTCCTTCACGTGATGCTGCATGTAATGGCAGCAGAGCTGCCAACAGCGAAGACAGGAATAACGGGAGATCCCATTTTGCGATAGACTCCCACATTACAGAACCTATCATTCAATACAAGTTCAACAGGTTGTTATGATCCCAAGCAAACGGGTGTACTACAATTAGACCCTTACAAAATGCATGCATGGCGCAATAGCCAGCACTGCTTGGCAAGCTACATGTCAATTGTCAAAAGAATCAAGCATCTCCAACTGAAATACCATATGTAGCTCTTATAGTACACTGTGCTGGCAGCGCACAGGCCCTGGGGGACTGCATCAGGTCACTGCTGTTTGCAGATCAGTTCTGTGCTGGAGCCTGTGTCTTCTTTGTGCTGTCCAGCAGCTCATGGGGCTGGAAGCCGTCACCCATGACTGACCGCTTGGGGTCTCTCAGAAACTGATTCTCTCCGTCTTCGCTGTGGTACACGCAGGACACCTCTGGTGACCCATTGAGGTCTCCAACAAACCCAAATGTGTTCATGTTTTTGGTGCATGCGCCCACCTGCAAAGCCATGCCCATAATTAGCACCAGCCATTAGATACAGCACACCTGATCCACAGCGATTACAAGCGGTGAGCAAAAGATTATCGGTATCTGTGGCAGTCCTTTGGGCTTTCATGGGCATCACCTCGCGATCAGTGACAAGCTTCTTCTTTTCCAAGAGCCCTATGTTGGCGCGGCGAAGAACGCAGCCAGGCTTCACCTCAGGCTGAGTCACATAGACATTGAACCTGCCAGAGACAGAAATGCGCTCATAACTCTCATCAGCACATCACCATCAGAGCAATGGAGGAGTGACGTTATTAGGGACGTACGGATTGAAGGACACGAAGACTCGCTCATCAAAGACCATGGAGCTGTAGCCATTGGCCATGCAGACTTCGCTGTTGGGCGTGCGCCTGTCAATGACTTCTGTGGATGCCACGTTGCTTGGGTAAAATGTGGCTTCAGAGTTAAACCACACTCCGGTGCCCATGCCCATGATGAAAGCGCCTGCTATCAACGCTTTAGTGAAGTTGTCCATGCCGCCCCCTCCATTGTTTCCACCATTGCCTGTTCCACCACCGTTCCCGCCCCCATAGTTCTCCTCTGTAGGAGGTGGCCCTTGTCCAGAGCCCTCTCGTGATGGAGGATAGTCATATTGACCTCTATCTCTGTACCTGAAGCGATGACAACAGGCGTTCAATACAGGAAATCCAGGTTTCTACACTGTGTTACCTTGAGCACCTAGGCAGATGTTCCTGCCCTTTTGACAACGACATGTCACAAAAAATTGCGCACTGGCTCACCTCTCACCAGCGGGAGCGCGTCCATAGCCAGGCGAATTGCCTTGCCTGCTGTATTCAGCGTTTACATGCAAGCTCTTTCTTCTTCGAGACCCCAACAGGGTGGTCTTATGCAAAACATCCGAAGAAAATCTCAACGCTTGAGAGTCTCGTCCGAGCTCAAAAGAATTCTGCAGAACTGGGAATGTGCAGATCAACCTGCTTGAGCTCGCACCACCCATTGGAACTAGAAGAGATCGAGGGCACCGATTGGGTAGAATATTTGCAGTCTGCATCTTTGCAAGCATTTATGGTGTGTCTACAGTACGAATCGTCTGATACTGCGTGAATAGCTGCCTTCACATGCTGAATGGGACGCTTTGGACACGGTGGCAACCTTACTGCCTAGGTAGGCAACGCATGCTTTCATCAATGCATGTGCTGGGCAGTGCTCGCTCGAAGATCACAGACTTTGATAACGATTGCACAAGCGGATGGATAGCAAGGTCTACGCTTTGGGCCACGGTCTTTTCTGTGGCGCAGCTCGCAGCGCATGCCGCTGGCCATCTTGATGAGTAAGCACTGCTGATCATCATGATGCTTACTGCTGGCCGCCAGTAAGTTACTCGCATGATCATCCTGATGATGCCGCCCTAATCCATTACAAGCATTGTGCACAGTTCACATTAATATTTCGGTGTTCAAGCCCACTGGGTGGCACCTCATCAGTCAAGGCCTGCATGCATGCCAGTCGTCCAGATCTTGTCTCCAGGCTTCTGCGGAGAGCAATACCGTGTGACACTCAAATAACCTGCAAAGGTGATCAATCACCATAAGCACTCAGAAACATAGATGCAGTCAGGCATTTATGTCAAGCCCATTGGCTCATGTTGACATCATTTGGTGGTGAACGCCACGTTCAAGCCATGCCATTGGCAGGAGCAGAGAGCTTATCCAGGCGGGTCTCGAGGGCATCAGTGCGCTCATCGATGGCCGTCAGCGCCTGCAGCTGATTGTTCAGGATGCGCACAGCTTTTCCGAGCGGCGTCGATGTGTCGCCCATGGACGCAGCAGCTCCTGTATATCGACAACACCTCATCCTTCAATTCTACACTAACCATACTTACAAACATCCATGCCAATCAATGCAGCTACCTGAAACCATTTTCCTGGATTGCCACCAGGACAGGCTTTCTTATCAAATGCTGGATTGGGGACACCATGCTGGCCCAACTCAAGACACCAGCTGCCTGGGGGCCACCCAGCACCCAGTCTGGTTGCCTGGTGTTGAGGGAATTTGAGTGACAAGCTTGCGAGGAAAGTTGCTGATAAGGGGACTTGCCTGCGTTGACATCGGCGACCGCATCGCGCAGGGAGTCGCCGATGGCGGCCAGAGTGGAGGCAAGGCGTTCTGCGCGCTCGTACAGGGCGTCGCGCTGCCTCGCCTCATCGTCCGCCATGCCCTTCTCCTCCTGCAGGCCAACACCCGGCACGCCTCCTTCACTTCCCTGTGAAAGGTCTTTTTACGGACTCATACACCCCGCCGTGACTAGAACCTCCAAGCGGTGTCCCAAACTCTTTTCTCACTTATACGCAAGCTGCAAGAGCTGCAACCCTTCATCTTCACCGTGCAAGGTCTCCAATGCACTCATGTATCCCGCTGCAACTCCTAGAAGCCTCCAGAAGGAGTCCTGATGTGTCCGTGTGGAAGGCATTCATGGAGCCAGCAAACACTAGTGCCCTCTAAAGAAAGTCCCAACAGTTCATATACTCCCAACAAACACGCTTACCACTGCAACTACTGTGGTCTAATTCAAAAGAGGAGTCTGAGGTTGCAGCTGAGCAGCACCTGGTAGAGGCGGGCGGCCTCGTTCTCCATGGACAGCAGCGCGTCGTGGATCTCCTTCTGGTGCGTCTCCAGCATGCCCACCTTCTTCTCCAGCGCCTCCTGCCCAGCAGCCGCCTGCAACAGAACCCCAATTCAACTCACATATCTATCTCCCTGGCAACGCATGGCAGCGCAATGGTGGCCCTTGCAGCCTGATGAGGTCGCAGGACATCAGTGGAGCGGTGCTTCAGGAAGACCAAATTTTCCCACAACTCCAGGTCTTGGACCAGGTCTTGTCTGGACCTGGAGTTGAAGATTTAATCATCCCCGAGACACTGCCTGACAGGAAGCACATGGCTGCAACACAGGAATGGGGCAGGTGCACTGGGAACATGTAGCAGAGGCATGACCAGGTTATAAGCATGCAGCAGGTGCACGAGCAGTAGAAGCAGCAATTCTGGGTAGTAGTAAGCAGTAGTAGTACCTTGCGCAGCTGCTCCTCGACGGTGAGCAGGGAGTGGCGGTTGGCGAGGATGGCGCGGTCCCAGTCGGCCAGCGCGATGGCGTGGCCCATGAAAGCGCGCGACCGCTTCTCCAGCTCCATGTCCCACTGGCTTATTATGTCCTCCACCGTCTTGCCCTATGTTCACACCAATTGTTGTTGTTAATTACTATTACTGATCTTATTATTATAAAGCGCTCTGCCTGCCAGCTGTAAGGTGCGTCTGCAGACAAGCTGCAGGTAAAGGCTGCCACACATCCAACCCCTTGATGGACTCGCCAGATCCAAGCAAGACCCAATCAACCATCGGCACGGTGCTCAGTACTTATACCGTATTTATACCCTGCCAGCTGGGGCCAGTACCCATACCGCTCTGGAGAACCTGCCTACACAGCATTCTGGCGCCATAAACAACATTGGACCATCGATCCGCTCCAGGCGCCATCCACCAGCAACCTCCACAAAGCAAAGTACATACATGCACAAGCCCAGAAATGTGTCGATATTGCTCCGTGCAAAACTTACAAGCTATACCCTTTATGATGCAAGTAAATGCACAAGAGATCCTCTGGGCAAAGTGAGCAAGGGTGCTGTGCAGCTCATATTCAGAGTTCAGGCAGCAGCACCTTGATCTCAGAGGGGATCTGTGGGACCAGCGCCGTGGTGGCAGCGGGCGCAGAGGCCGGCGCAGCGGCCGGAGGGGCGCTTGCGGCGGGTGCTGCGCTGGAAGGGATGGCGACTGTGAGGGAGGAGGGTGGAGCGGAAGCAGCAGCGCTGCCAAACCCAAAGGATAGCGGCGCCGGAGTAGAGCTGGCTGCCACTGCTGGGGCTGAGCTGGCCGCAGGCAGGGCACCTGCAGTAATGCAACTCAGTCCTCAACTTTTGCAGCAGTACAATGATCAAAAGCGGAACGGACATCCTACAGAAAACAGAGCAGGTGCCAAGAGTAGGAAGAAAGCGTCCACTCAGCAGGCTAACAGAGTGCATTTCCATAAGGACCCTGTCACAGAGATGATTTACATTGTGCGTGGCAGCTGCTAATCAGGTGGGGCCTACCTGACACAGGTGGAGCAGCGGGCGCAGCGCCGGAGGCAGGAGTCGCAGCGGAGCCCGAGGCGAGTGTGAAAGAAAATGGCGCGGGCGAGGAGGACGCGCCCAGTGAGGTGCCGCCCAGGCCGAAGCTGGGCGCGGCAGCAGAGCTCGCCGGTGCTGGGTTGCTCAGAGAGAAGCCGCCACTGGTACCTCCAAACCCTGCAGTTATGATGTGCATTCAGCTTCTCATCCTTCCACCCTACCACCCTTCCAGAGCCACACAATACAATACCAGAAGGGTCGCAAAGGTCAGTCAAGGGGCATGTGTTGCAGGGCTGAGGTTGCTGACCACCGAAGGAGGGCGTGGCCGCAGCGGGGGCGCTTGCAGCAGGCGCGCCAAAGCTGGGCGCCGGGGCGCTGGCGGCAGCCGACGCAGCCGCGCTCGAAGGCCCAAAGGAGAACCCACCAAAGCCGCCGCCCGTGGAAGCAGGGGGCGCCGGTGCGGGGGCCGGTGCGGGCGAGGCCGCCGGCGCTGGGGTTGACCCAAATGACAAGCCGCCCAGTGCCGGCTGGGAAGCTGCGCCCCAGGACCAAACATGTGATTTCAGAGCTTTATGTCTCTGGTGGCAGCACATTAAAAGTACAGGAAGGGCAAAGTCAGTGCTGGCATGCAGAGGGAGAAGCTACAAACACTGATGAAAGCCAGTGATTCCATAATAATTGCTACAGACCGTGGGCTCACCTGGTGCATCAAAACTGGGAGCTGAAGATGTGTTGACAGGGGCCAAGGAGGTCTGTGTGGTCCCAAAGAGGCCTCCTGACGGGGCTGAGCTGGCAAACAAACCGCCTGTCGCCATCGCAACAGCAAGCTTCAGGCATCTACATGAATTTAATGCTGCATTTCCAGGCAAATGACAGACTCACTTGACCACACAGCTTTTCAATGGGAAAGGAGTTTGCGTGCCTGCAGAGGACGCTGCTGTGTTGCCAAAGAGGCCACCCGTTGCAGCCTGCGTGCCTCCAAACAAGCCCCCGGTGCCAAATGCAGGCGCGTTCGCTGCCGGCGCAGAAGCAGCACTTGCAGGAGCGCCGAACGTGGGAGCAGCAGCGCTCTGCTGGCCGCCAAACAGAGGCGCGGATGTGGGTGCTCCAAAGGCCGGCGCAGATGCGCCGAAGCTCGGAGCTGCCGAGGATGCACCAAAGCCCGGGGCCGGTGAGGGCGCGCCAAAGGCAGGTGCTGACGGCGCACCGAAACCTGGCGTCGCCGGGGACGCACCAAAGGCTGGCGCGGATCCTGCGCCGAACGCGGCCGTGGACGCACCGAAGCCGCCGAACGACGGCGCGGACGCCGCGCTAGAGGTGGGCGCCCCAAAGGCCGGGGTGGACGCCCCAAAGCCGCCCCCAAACGCCGGCGTGGAGGTGGGCGTCCCGAATGCTGACGCAGAAGACGCCGCGCTTCCGAAGCCTCCAAATCCTGGAGCTGATGCGCCAAAGGCGGGCGTTGACGGGGTGCCAAAAGCCGGCGCGGATGCGGCGCCGAAGCCGGGGGTCGATGCGGGGGCACCAAAGGCAGGGGTTGATGCTGCGCCAAAAGGGGCGGAAGATGCTCCAAAGGCAGGAGCGGAAGAGGCCCCAAAGGCCCCGCCGCTGCCGCCAAAGCCTGTGAAGCCAGTGGACGTCCCAAAGGCTGGGGTGGATGCCGCTGCCCCAAACGCTGGCGTCGATGCTGCTGCACCAAAGCCTCCAGAGCCTGCATGAAGATAATTTCGAATATTCAAGATGCACATGGACGCCTTGAAATCATGAGGAGGAGGCAAGATGATTTTGCAAGCCGCTGTATTTGTTTTCTCCTTTCACGCACCGAAAGCAGGTGTGGATGCTGAGCTGCCAAATGCAGGCGTCGAAGACGCGCCAAATGCGGGAGTTGACGAGCCTGTCGCAGTATATATGTCTGATGAGTATAAAATTGTCAGTCGTAATCAATCAGGTAATAGAGGCGACATGCTCGCGTGACGCTTATCCACACATGCAAATTGCCAAACATGGATAATCGCAGCAATCGTACCTCCAAAATTGAAGCCTCCTCCTCCACCAAAAGCCATGGGATCAAAGCAGTGTGTTGTCCACTACTGGCCTAGATTTTCTTGGTAACTGAAGGATACTTGCGTCATCATCTACTGCGATTGCACCCTTTTTAATATGATTTCTCCGTCTTCAATTTTGCAAACAAGGGATGGCAAGGCTTTGCCCTCCATCTGCATTGTGAAACCCTCCGCTGGACTTTGGGGAGATAGAAACCCTGATGAGCTGAGATACGAAAGCGAAGATGGATCGCAGATGAAACTGATGTTCCAGCTTATCAATTCCCATAAGGAACAGCTGGCAGTATTGTCACATCTTAAGTTACTTTGGCATGTACTGCAGCCTTCTTAACTGAACTCACTTGTTGAGCAAGTACGATCGAGCAAGGCAGGACTCTCATATAAATACAAGTACCTGCGAATTTGTAGGTATCAACCAAGCTCATTAGAGCGAAGAAGATTTTGACTCTTATGAGATATCTGCAGTCACGATCATGTACAAGAATTGGCGTCGAAAACAAACAGGCCTTTCCTCTTTTACAAGTTAGTCCACAGCAGAGGCTTTCCACTCAACGAAGATGTGTCGAAGGTGATAAACTAAGCTCCTATTTCTCACAAGCATGGCCAATTCCGAAAAAAGTGTCTCTATCTGACTTGCTTGCAGCTGCTACCTTGGACACCACGCAAAAGTGCCTGAAGGGAATCCATACCTTTTAGGTAGCAGATCAACCGAGGTGGAGAATGAAACCACCTCTGGCAGCAGCCAGAACGTCATCGTGAGGTCGCTGCGACCAGTCAGGCAGGCTGCACCGCCCCCAGAGCCTGTGCCCGTGGAGCACTCCCCTGCATACCTGTTGCGACACCGAAGCAGACCGGTGAGAAATGCTGTCCAGCATGTTTGGATGGGAACCTGCGAGAAGTGGTGTCAAGCAGATTTTGACGGGAACCTGTGAGGAGTTTTAGTTGGTCAGAGGAGTCTGTTAGCTGTCTTTATAGAGCATCCAAGCTTTGTGATTGAATCATGCAATGAGTGCTTCCGTGGATGTGATAGGAGCCCACAGAGCTGAGCTTGACCCGAAACAAGCAGGAGGAGCCCTTCACAGGTATCTTGCACCCCAGCACACCCCTGCCATGCAACCCTTCTCTGCATCAGATGCTTCCCTACTGCGTGTCATTTAGAAATCCATCTATGTCCTGAGCGGCTTCCCTGATAAATATAAAGAGTGGCATATTGTATGCTGCAGGGAACGCCGTGGAATGGGCTGTGCGACGGCTGGACGCCAGCCTGGACGAGGCAGAACTGGATCCCCCGCCCGGCGCAAAAGCCATCATTGACGTGGCGCGCGGCCCAGTCGGCACTGCCACAGTACAGGGAGTCACGGCAGCTGCACGTGTCACTGTGAAAGTGGGCACGACTGCTCTCAAGGCAAGCCATTTGTAACTTCCACCTGCTTCAAGTCTGCCAGATGCTTTCTGCGCAGCAGCTGGATTGCCAAGATTCCCTGAGGACGCCATAAACTCATGCTGCGGTTATCTATTGCAATGCCTGTGCTTCCTGTTACACAATGCTTCAGCAAAGACCAGACCAGGATGTCACCTGACTTACATGGTATTACCTAATTGCAGGCTGCCGCGCCAGTGGGCAAATGGGTGGTACAGCAGAGCTTCAAGGCAGCCCTGGGTGTGTTGAGCAACGACGGCGCAAAGAGGAGGCAGAACAAGTGAAGTGCAAGGCAGAATGACCTGGAAGGTTTCTTCCATGTGTACACGGATTGGAGAGAGGTAGAAGTAAAATGTACCGGTTCTTTGTTTCGTTATCTTCTCATGTGATGAGACTGGTTGGGGGTGCCTGGTGCAGGCGCTCTGACCTTCCTGTGTCATGGGGTTGTTGCAGTGATGATTTACAGGCTAATGCCAGTATGTAGAGAGTGTGAGGGGAATTTTGGCAAGTGGGTTAGTAGGAATTAAAATCTTCATCCTTTGTATTGCACGGAAATAGTGGGAGAGCCAGACAAAATTGCAGATGCCTGACAGACGTTTGACGTGAATATCTTTTTGCCCAATTGATGTGAGGCCATTGGCAGGGGCCTGATGTTGCTCATCCTTCAGCTTTACTAGTACTTGGTGGAGGAGCAGAGCGCAGTCACTGAGTGTGTTGGCTACTTTTACAGGACACATTTTTTTGTATCTCCACCATGTAGTAGATGAGCTTGAGCTGCATTTTTTGGGCAAACTTTGAAAGGAAATTTCTTGGACATGTAGCATGCACGTGAAAGCACTGTGGTCATGATTGCAGCAATGCTATGAAATATGCAAGTGTAAAATTAAAACTCATGGATACAAACGCTATTCAGGGGCATGCACGTATGCAGAATCTTCACAAAAGGCTTGCGCATACAAATTGTGCAAGACTCTTTGAAGCCAGAGAAAGTACAGCAGCATTTGTATCCCATAGGAATCTTATTGCAATTGTCAGCCATCCTGACAGCTTACAGATTGTGCATTACTGTGGAAAGAAGAGATCTGAAGCGTCCCAACAGACCCAGTGTACGCTGCTTGGTGATTAGACATCATGCCTTCCAGTACAATCTAGGAAATTGCCTCCATATGCTGGCACATCTACTCGTCCTCCTGGCTGCGCAGCTTTGCGTCACCGTTGGTGACATTGATGTTCAGCTGCGTGGCACAGACACACAGTCAGTCCCACAGATGCAGCACCATTTCTTCATGACCTCATAGCTGCAAGGGCGGCAATTGCCTGCACAGAGCACAAGATGCAGGGCAGGAATGGAGGCGGCAGATGTAGCAGGCAGACCCACCTCACGAGCGCGCTCCACAATGACCTTGCGCTTCTGCGCTGACACGTTATGTGCGATCTCTGCGGCATATCTCCTGTTGTGCATCATGAGGAGCTCCAGCTCCGTTGTGTTGTGCACGACAAACTTGTAGAAGCCTGCGCAGCAGCAAAAAGCTAAGGGACGCTGGACACTTACAGAGAGTTACAGACGCAACTGCTTGCACCTGTCAGTGCTCAAAGAGCTGCAAAGGACTGCCGCTTAAGGCAGCGGCCACTCACCGCTGGGGAGGACGTGGCGGGTCTTCTTGTTGCTGCCGAACCCAATGTTGGACATGACAATGCCGCATCCCTTGAATTTCCTCCTCACCCGTGAGTCAATACCCTTTGGCCTCCTCCATGATGGCTGCACAATGCAAGCACAGCGTCAGACCTGAGTGGGAATTGGGGCTGCTCCTTGGTCTCCCCAGTGCCTGCTCAGCCTCATATTGAAGTGGACATATCCAAGAGCTGCCTAAGGGTCAGAATGCCCGATCGAAAACCTCAAATAACGATTAGCCCAGATACTGTACTGTAAGCTATATTAGCCAGAGTATGCTCTGCAGATTGTTCACAGATTAATTGCTGTGATCGTAACTTGGAGAATTGGATGCAAAGCATGTAGACCCACTGAATCCTTTGGATAAAACGTGTAATCCCCGTACGTGTCTGCCCTTTCAAAGACCTTATAAACAGTTCAGATGGGCCCAGGTCACCAGGCGCACGAGCAGGATGTATTAATGATCACCTTCACTGCCATCTTGCGGTCATGCTGATGCCTGTTGAACTTCTTGTTCCCATACTTCTTGACCTTCTTGATCTTGGTCAGAGGCTGCACCATCTTGGGCAATCTTCCTGTTCACAGAAGCGACACGGGCTCAGACAAAGGCACAGGCGGCACAAAGAACTTACAGCAGTCAAGTACAGATCTATAATCGGACAACACAATGCAAGGGGCCAGATCCCTCACCTTTTCCACCAAAGCCGCCAAGCCCAGTTGCACTTGGGGAGAACAAGTGCGGTGGCGATCAGGCAAGCGGCGTGCCTGTACACATGTACATGTGGCAATGTTTATTAAATTCACTCCCTTGATCTCCGAAACGTCTTTCGGAGAGTCCAGCATCGTCTCAGATTGGACGAGCTGATCAATCTCATACTTAGTGGGGGTTCGTTGTTGATCATCGCAACATAATGATGGCAGCAGTGGCACCTTCGATCCTGGTGCGTGGCGGCGCGAAGTTTGGTGCCGGATTGAGACGCAGTGCACAGCAGGTTGCTGTTGTTAGATCGCAGAGGAGATCACTTCAGAGCAGTGTTTTAGCACAGAGTACGCTACGAAACACTAAAATTGAAGAAAAGCCCTGACGTGCTGTCTTCGACTTCTTTTGAACAGGACATTCCTGGTCAGACCTGACTCTAGAATACGATACTTCTAAATGAGAAGGATACTGTGGTTTTGCACAGGTCGAGAAGTCATAAGCACCGAAGGGGCCCCTGGCGCCGTTGGACCTTACTCACAGGCCATCAAGCATGGCAACACTCTCTACGTTTCAGGACAAGTGCCCCTCGTCCCAGGCGTGAGTATCCAACGATCATCACATGCAAGCATTACTGCAGATTTACAATCTTTTTACTCAGCAGGGAGGTCTCCTCATCGATGTGCAACTCTCTGCAGACCAAGAATCTCATAGGAGACGACATCGCAGATCAAACAGATCAGGCCCTCAAGAATCTTGGAGCGATCTTGGGTAAGCAGCTTCTTGCTGGGCATGGCAGTATGCTGTTTGCCTGCACATACCTGTATGCTCCCTTTTCACGAAATATTGCTCAACTCTGTTGTGAATTGTCCACAGAGGCTGCTGGATCGTCGTATGGCCAAGTGCTCAAAACAACAGTCTTGCTGATGGACATGAACGATTTTGCCACGGTTAATGAGGTTTATGGTGCGACCTCTGTTCCTCCGACAAGCTCCCAATTCTCAGGATGCCTTTTGTGTGGTAAAGTGCACTTCAACGGAATTAGAGCAAGACAGAATCCTAACTCATGCAATTTGCCTGGTGAGCAGGACGGTATTTCTCGGAGAACCCACCAGCACGAGCTTGCTTTGCAGTGAAGACGCTGCCTCTTGGCGCCAAGGTTGAGATTGAGGCTATTGCGGCAGTCTAGCTGCAGCGCTGTTCGTCTTTGCTCAATTCATCATCAGTTGCTGCAAGCTGCCAGTACCTGCAGCCTATACAGCTATGAACCATTGCAGTCTAGCAGCTTTTTACAGTGATGAAGCAAAGCAAACGTCCCAAAATGCCCTTTACAAAGCACAGCGTTCCATCGTTCATTATGAATTTGGGGCTGTAATGAATTTCATCAAGCGACTCGGAGTCACAAGCATAGATGGTAACATAGACCACCAGATTCTTAAAAGTCACATCGCATATGAAAGCCTACACATTGCAAAGAAGATTGCGCATATCAATGTTCACAAGCCTATGCTAACGAGGCATTGAAAACTAACAGAGGGAATAGACCCTTGAATGACGATCGATTTATTTACTAGAGCAAGCTGAGGACATCTTCTGCTGCCTTGGCCACCCTGCTGTCTCCTGATATGCTAAGCTGCTTTGCAAATCCGGGCACCCCCAGGTCTCTCGCCAGGCCCTTTGCATCCTCATTGCGCTGTATGAGCGTGCCAGCTGCCACCAGGGCCCTGCACGACAGATTCAGAAGTGCTTATTGAACATGGACATGCGAATGAATTCATCATCTCTTCTTTTTCTGGCTTGTGCAACTGGCCAATCACCAATCCCTCTGGACACTCTAGCTCCATGTGAGCCATGCATCCATACATAGGAGCATGTCATGCAGGCAGGGATAGATGCAGACCCAGCCTCTCTCAAAATTGGGGATACGAGCCATTGCAGGTTGTCTATAGAGTGGCAAGTGTCAGCTTGGTCAGGGATCGGGCCATGCCTGAACATCGTTTCGCTGTCGTCCTTGGGGCTCTTGTCAAGCAGCTCCCCAACTGCGGATGTGGCGATGAGGACGCCGTCACTCTCAGCCTGGTTCTCTGTGGTCAGCAGCAGTGATGCGTTGACCAGGAAGCTCGCCCAGGCGCTGCGCACATTCTTGTTGGTCGAGGATCCCACAGTCGCAAATGCGTCCAGCATCGCTCCATAGTTCGCCTGCACAGGCAGACACTGCCAATCAAACAAAACATCTCTGATTGGCGCTATCCTTGCTGCATCAAGTAAAATTCCTGGGCGACCAGGCATGGAAGAGTACTCTCCCATCAAAATTGAACAGATTCGGTCAAACTAAAGTCATGTTCAAAGTCCCATGCATCAAGGGTCCCCAGGGGTGACCGAAGGGAAAGGTCATCTCCATGCATGCACAGCATGCAAAGGCATGAAGAAGAGCGGTCTGCCAACCTGGATCCAGCTGCGCAGGCTGGTCTGCCGGAACATGTTGCAGGCCAGGCGCAGGCCCGTCAGCAAATTGCTGGGCAGCTGTGGCTCTACTGAAGCCGCTGCAAGCGCGGCACCTATGCCGCCTGCAGGGACGTCCCCAAATTTGTCCTCAGAATGCTTCAATCGGCGCATTTGTGCCATACATAGAATCAGAGGTACAGGCACAGGGGTGTATTGAACTTCAGCAAAGGGATATCAAGGGCTGACCTGAGGAAGAGGGGGTGAGGGTGCCAGCGGAGGAGGCAAGGTCCTGAGATGCAGGGCCGTTGAGCGCAAACAGGCGACAGATGTCCAGGGCAGGGAAGAGGCACACAGCAGGCCAGCGCAGCAACTTCCCAAGCACCTGCGCCTCCTCGGCACTCGGCGTGCCAGCCGCGCTGCTCGGATTCTTGGCAGCTTCCACAGCCCTGTCGCAGCACTCAGCACTTATAACCACCTGAGCAACCACTTCCCATGCAGCTATTGAGGCAGTTCTTTGCCCAATTAATCAACTTCTTGCTGTGTGTCCCGGCATGCACTCACACAACTATCCTTGGATCTAAATGCCGGGACACAGTTTCAGGGGATGAATGCAGAGATGAGCTTTTCAGGGGGTGATGAGGTCGTACTTTGCCAGCAGCATGTCCAGTGCGCCCCCAGGAGCCACCTCAGACTCGGTGAGAGACAGGCTGGCGGTGTCCGGCGAGGCGCTGAGGCCGCTGCTGAATTCGCGGACCTTGCCGCCGATGGCGTCCAGCTTCGGGGCGCTGTCAAAGATGTAGAAGACGCGCGCTGGTATGTGCGCAAGCACCGGCCGGCGCTGGTTTGCGCCGGTGAATGGGTCTGCTCCGCCGCCGGTGACACTGTTGGCCCCAGAGGAGGCAACGCCGCTTGACGCCGTGGGCTGGGCACCTGGCACATAGCCGCCGCTGCCTGCACCCAATAAAGGTTTGAATCAGCCTCTGTTGCACACAAAATTGGCATTTGGCCACGACACCATGGCATCAGCAACGGCTGCATGCTCACCTCCGGCATTGCCACGTGCACATTTTGTGTCTTTCGCTTTTTTACATGCAAGATTTTCTCAAAAGTATGGAGAGGGCCTCACTTGTGAAAGGGTCTCCAGAGGACAAGGAGCCCCCGGGGGCTGGGAAATTGGAAGCGCCTGGGACATAGGCACCGGTGCTGGTGAAGGGGTCAACATTTGTTGATTGGACGGGGGGCAGCGCTGAGCCCTGCCCCATCAAGTTGAGGACATAATCTACCACCTGCTGCCTGTACGTGATTGGCAGGCCCTCATTGACCAGGAACCTGCATCAACAACCAGGTGTCAGCTGCAGTGATCCAGTATTTCTCCATTTGAAGGCCAATCTTCTGAATACAATTTCAGCAGGTGATGCCTTGACAGCATAGAAGGGTGAGGATGGTCATCTGACCTCTCGGCCACATCATAGGGATTGTCATCGCGGTTGAATGCCAGCTTCTTGGGCGGAACACCGTCTTCAAAGTCCACATCCACCACGAAGTCATACTGACGTCCGTTGTGCCACTTGCTGGGCACCCCCATTGTGTCATCTGTGTCCTCTGGGCCCCCAACAACACTGCCCACCTTGTCCCATGCACCCCTGCACACCACACCACATGGCATCATGGCATATACAAACCATTGTCATTAGCGACAGCAAGAATGAAAGCGTCCCAAGCAAATTTGGAGATGGACAATGTTTGCTTCTTGGGGAAGTCACTATGGCAAAGCGAGAACAATGCAGCACACAAGCTGGCAAAGCACATTGATGTCACAGAACAACAATGCAGCAAACGACATGTGATGTGCAGGCAAAAATACTTTGCATGTGACTATGATTAATGGGTAATTAGAGGCTGCAGTCTTAAGCCGTGTCTGACTCACTTCTCAGCATCCCATGTGTACACCATGCCGCCGCCGCCTTCGCGCACCACCTTCATCTCCCCGGCCTTCTTGCCAGGGGCCAGCAGCGCCGACTCGTCCTCCAGCTTGAGCCCATCGGGTAACCCTGTGCCTTCCCTCCCGCTACCGCTGACCGCCTCCGCCGCAGCCGCCTTCCTCGCGGCAATGCCGGCATCGTACGCCTGCAAGAACGCAATTGCGCTATGGGTCAACCCCGAGAAGAAAAGCCGACGATAACAGGTCGCGCCGCTACAACTGCATGGGTAATTGCTGTTTCTAATATGCCAGCAATGGTGTGAGTAACATCAGGGTGATGAATTTGATTCTATCACCTCGATGGAGTCAGCTGGAGCAGCCCGATCAGGCGCCGCTGTCCAGATGCGGGCAGCATAGTCAGCACAGGCGGTGACCAGATCCCCATTTGGCAGGAAGGCAACATCCCAGACACACCCTGTTTGCCCACAGAAACATTTGGTCAGTGTGTGGAAAATCTTCAGATGCACGTATAAGTCTTGGCAAAGCTGCTTTTAGGCAGATCAGTGGCAAGCGAGGACCATAAGCGATTGGGCCCTACAGTAGCTTCAGCTCATTGAATGTGTCATGGCTCACCAGGATGCTCCATGCCCTGCAAGGCTGTGCCATCAGGCCGCCACAGCCGCGCAGTGTTGTCCTCTGACGCAGATGCAATGAGGGCGTCTGATGACGCCGCAGCACTGTAGATGATGGCAGCATGGCCCTGCAGGATGCTGACACACTCGCCATTGAGCGTCCACACCCGCAGCGTCTGGTCATGCGAAGCTGACACCACTCCCAGGCCTGGCAGCATCGTCAGGCCCCTGCACAACATTGACAATACCCTTTATAAAGCGCTTAAAGGTACTGAATAAGCAGCTCAAAGCCTTGCTAAATGCGAGTCGGAATTTGCTCCAAGATCTGCCATGCAACCATGTATTACAGCAAAGGGAATAGTAGTGCCTGTGTTCTTGAAGACAACCCGCATCTCAGCGATGGGGTGTGAATGTAGTACTCAGGGTACATTCAATGTACCCTCTCATTTGAAGTGATGCTGAATTACCTGACAGTGTCTGTGTGGCCACTCAGTACGTGGATGCACTCTCCGCCGCTCCAAACCCGGATGCTGTTGTCATTGGAGCCTGAGACAATCTCACCAGAAGGCAGATACAGCACGCATTGCACTGCACCAGTGTGGCCTTCCAGCACCGATATGCATTTGCCATCTTTCCAGACTCTCAGAGTGCTGCACCAAAAATATCTGCGATCAGAACAATTTCCCAAATAACTGCAGACAGCATGAGTATCAAGGAATAAGAAATGACATCCACTGCATGCAACTCACCTATCAAGAGAAGCCGAAGCAATCTCTCCACCTGGACCAACTGCCAGAGACGTGACCTACAACCCATGATTCTCTCAATGCAGGGCCCCCTCTGTGGCACCCAGGTGATCTAAGAACTTGCAGACATGCACAGTTCCATCACAGAAATCAAAATGAGATGGATCATGCCTGATACTTGTGACCTGACAACGTCTGGATGCACTCACACGTTGCTGGATCCCAGAGCTTCACTGTTGTGTCACGCGAGCCTGCAGTGAGCATAGACTGGAGAGGATGATTCCAACAGTTACATTGTTGCAATGAGGCACCAGCACTAGTCCTGTTCTTGTCAGTTTGTGTGAGAGGCACAGTCTATGTACCTGAGACTATGGCACCGTTTTGGAACCCTGGCAGCAAGCCTGGGGGAAGATAAGTCACTGCTGTGACGTATCCTTCGTGGCCCACCAATGTTGACTCCACTTCGAAGATGTCTCCAACCTCCTTCCACACCTTGATGGTCTCATCACGAGAAGCAGTGATCAGGCCTAGCTGACAAACGCAGAGAGCTCGCACCTGCACAGCTCAATAGCGAAAAGTTGTTGACACAGAAATGGTGTTATTTGCCTAACAGTTTTCACAGAATTCAGTGCCAAGATTGAGTAAAGTAACAGCTCATCAATAACTCACGTCTTCATCGTGACCTCTGAGCTCGGCACGCAGCTTGTAGGGGGCAAAATCTACCGACATAGTATTTAAATGCAGTTGTTTTCGTAACTATGAGGTCTCTGTACTTTAAAAAAATCTGCCTAGAAATCTAGATGGAGTTCTTTAGTGAAAGCACGTCCACTGTGTCCATGAGCTGACACGCTCGAAGGATGCATGCAAGGTAACAACTGACTTCCTGTATGTTTGCAAATTCTTGTGAGACTCCGATTGCCAGAGAGGTGCGTCTTGTCCAAGACGCTTCAGCTACGGACTCATAAACATTACGGGCCCGGGCCAGGCTCATTTCTTTGGCAGGGCGGTTGTGCAGGGGCTTCCTGACTCCTGGCCTGAAATCCTGGATGATGATACTGATATCAAAGCAAGCCATGGAGCGAGTCGGTGATCGAATAAAGTGCAGCGCCCACAGGGTGTGTTGAAGTAAAAGGAACACAAAGGCCTTTGCTTATTGTGGCAAGATTGAGGAACAGGCTATCTAAGCTGAAGGAAGGCTCACGATGGCAACGGCAGTAGATCTAACGGCAGTGCTACAGAACGCTCAATCTGCAGATGCCAATGCACGCCAGCAGGCAGAAGGGCAGCTGCAGCAATTCCAGCTGCAGAACTATGCTGCCTACCTTGTATCGCTTGCCACCGAGCTGAGCAAGGAGCAGGCTGATGCATCTACCAGGCAGATAGCTGGAGTGATCTTGAAGAATAGCTTTGACGCCCCGAGCGACGCAAGAAAGGTCTGATGGCCAGTGATCATCTCCTGGATGAGATACTTTGCAGACTCAGGAGGTGTGCCTGATACTGAAGTTTGATTCAACCTGCAGGCCGAGCTCGCTGCTCGTTGGGGAGAACAAGTTGATCCGGTCAAATCTCAAATCCGACAGCTCCTCCTTGGAACGCTGGGTTCAGAGGTGATGCCCTGGCAATGTGCAGCCTTTTCTGCCTGCGTGCCATCCAATCGCGAAAAATTCTCATTCGGTCTTTCTTATTACCAGGTACAAATAGCACGTCACACCGCAGCGCTAGTGATTGCAAAGGTGGCCGCCATTGAGCTTCCCAAGGGCCAGTGGCCCGACCTCATCCCGACTCTTCTGGCTAACATGGGAGCGCAGCCTCCGAAAACGGGCTTGAAGCAGTCGACGTTGGAGGCAATGGGTTACATCTGCGAGGAGCTGGGCAACTTGGACACAGATGTGCTCGACCAGGAACAGGTTAACAGCATCCTGACAGCAGTGGTGCAAGGCATGAGGAAGGAAGAGCCAGACGTGGGAGTCAAGCATGCAGCCACAGTGGCCTTGTACAACGCCATCGTCTTCGCCCAGACGAATTTTGAGAACCCAGAGGAGCGCAACTACCTGATGCAAGTCATCTGCGAGGGGACCATTGCAGCTGATGCCAAAGTCAGGGAAGCCTCCTTCGAGTGCCTGGTCAAGATCGCAGCCAACTACTACGAGAAACTGCCAGCCTACATGCAAGACATCTTCAGGCTCACACACCGCGCAGCCAAGGAGGATGAGGAGGAAGTGGCCAAGCAGGCCATTGAGTTCTGGTGCACAATCTGCGAGGAGGAGATTGACATTCAGCAGGTGCAGTGCTTATTTTATCTGGAACTGTCCCCTGATGAGATGCTGTCCGATTGTCTCCTGCTCATAGCCGCTCGCGCACAAATTATAGTCGAAGCCACTGTTAATGATCATCTAGCTCATCTGTGAGGTAGGGGCTCACGACTTTTGATGTATTGTGTGCAGGAGGAGGAGGAAGGGGACTCCAATGTGATCCACCACCACTTTGTGCAGCAAGCGTTGCAGCCGCTGGTGGACCTGCTACTTTTGCAGCTGTCAAAGCAGGAGGAAGGCCAGGACGAGGATGACGGTGCTTGGAACCTGTCAATGGCCGGTGGCACCTGCCTGGCCCTTGTATCAGCCGTCGTGGGCGATGACATCCTTGGGCTTGTGATGCCATATGTGCAGGCAAGTCAGCCGCACTCTTCCTTGCTCGGCCTTGTAACATTTTGCTCTTGCGATGTCCAAATGGTGATGTGCATCGATTGGCAGACTTCAAAGAGCTCATGGCCTGAAATAGCCGGTGTTGTGCAGACGAACATCGACAAGAAGGCCTCTCCAGAAGACTGGCGTTATCGAGAAGCAGCCACGTCAGCCTTTGGGGCCATTTTAGAGGGCCCCTCCACAGAGAGGCTGTCCACATATGTAGCAGCAGGCCTGGGCTTCCTCCTGAATGCCATGAAGGACCCCAACCAGCAAGTTCGGCACACCACTGCATGGGCCATAGGTGAGCTCGTCACTCAGATGTCAGTATTATCTCAATTGTTTTTCATCCACGTCTAAATTGAGGGCGTGAAATACAACACCTAACCCTTTTTTCTCATGCAGGCCGCATCTTTGAGTTTGTGCACAGTCCAGCGGTGGTGAATGAGCAGTCGCTCCCACAGATTGTGGGCGTATTGCTGGCGTCGATCCGCGACTCGCCGCTCATTGCGGAGAAGGTCTGCTACGCTCTGGCGCAGCTGGCGGCCGGCTTCAAGGACTCGGACCAGACCTCCCTACTCTCCCCCTACTTCAAGGACATCGTCGGTGCCCTACTCGATGCGGTGCGCCTGCCACTTCCTTGTGGACTTTTCTCCAATCGCACCATTTTCGCCCTTCTGGCATGCTCTTTCAAACAGCGATCTTTCTGCAGTCCCAGCGCATCTGCTGCTGAGAGATGCTTGCCCAGTGCGTCTGCTGCTCAGCGATGCATGCCTGGTGCAGCTGCACACAAGCGGCAATTCAAGGCTCTGTTTTGTGACATCTTATACTTGCCTTTTTGCGCATTTCAGCAAAAAATGTTCTGTGGGTGCATGCAGGCCCAGCGGCAGGGGGAGCCGCAGGAGGTGGCGCGGCTGCAGGCGCAGGCGTTTGAGGCCATCAACGACGCGGTGCGGTCGGCGTCGGCCGACACGCTGCCGCTGGTGGCGCAGCTCATCCCCCTCATGCTCAGCAAGCTCGGCTCCACCTTCCAGGCCCCCGCCAACTCCGCCGACGAGCGCGAGCGCCAGAGCGAGCTCCAGGTGCACCTTCAATGGGAGTTTTTCCTTTGGCGACCTTTTACATATGGGCGCTTGTTTTTCCGCTCACCAGTGGCAGGCGTTACCCTGGTCAACAGGTGGCCGGAGTGCTGCTCGGTTGAACATGGTCATTGCCTCCTCCATCTCTTCTCAGTGCATGGCAGACAGGAAACCAGGGAAGAATATCATTTCTCACACTGCGCAATGGCATGGAAAGTGCAATTGGTGATGCACTGCACTACATGCACATAAGACTTGGCTGATCAGTATAACAGTAACATGCATCATCAACCAGCAGACAGTAGGTTGTTTTGGTCGTAACCTCACATGTTCACCTTGGAACAAGCCCGTCTTACTCAGCCCTTTCTTTCCAACAAATGGGCAATTGTTGAGGGCTGGGTGGTGCATGCGCAGGGGCTGCTGAGCGGAGTGCTGCAGGTGATCATCCAGAAGCTGAGCGAGCAGGATGTGACCAAGGCGGGCGTGACGGCCTTTGCAGACACCATCATGGAGGCGCTGCTCAGCGTGTTTGCCTGCCACAGCAGCACCGTGCATGAGGAGGCCATGCTGGCTGTGGGCGCGCTCACCTACGCCTGCGGCACCCAGTTCAACAAGTACATGGAGCGCTTCTACCCCTACCTCGAGCTGGGCCTCAAAAACTACCAGGTGGGTTATGACACAACACATTCTTCTCCACGTTTCCCTCCTAACGCATTTTTCGCAATTTTTTTTTCGCTAATAATCCTAGCACTTTACCGCATCATATTTTTGAAAATGACCGCATGTGGTGACCCTGGGGCCATGTCATATCCTTGCTTCTGCACACCTTCTGCCAACAGTTGCCTAGAGAGGCGACGTGCCTGGGTCACCATGTAGCACAGTTATCTTCTAAGGTGGAAATGGACACTGTGGGGCATGTGGTGCAGGAGTGGCAGGTATGTCAGGTGACAGTGGGCGTGCTGGGCGATGTGTGCCGGGCGATAGAGGAGCAGATCGCGCCCTACACAGAGAACATCATGCGGATACTGCTGCGCAACCTGGAGTGTAGCGACGTGCAGCGCAACATCAAGCCCCAGATCCTGTCCGCCTTTGGGGACATGGCGCTCGCCATCGGCGACCGCTTCGAAGTCTGCCTGCCGTCGTGCTTGCACATGCTCCAAAGCGCGCAGGTCAGGCATCACAATTGCATGAGGGCTTTGCAGGGATGTTGCTTTCTCATCTGATGTTGCGCATGAGGCATTATTTTATACCATGTCTAGTGTTTGGGCCTCAATGTTGAGTGCTCTCTAAATCTGCGGATGTGCACATATGGTAGCTTGCTGAGCTGTCGTGCATGCGTGCTTGCAGAGCCTGTCGGTGATGCAGCAGCAGGCCGGCGACGAGGCGGCCTTTGAGTACAACAGCCTCTTGCGGCACGGCATCTTCGAGGCTTACAGCGGCATCCTCAACGGCATGAGCACCCCCAAATGCGACCAGTATATCAGGCCGTTCGCCCCGGTGCGCCAGCGGCCCAATATCGTCAACATCATCAGCCTGCCAGCCACTCTCACTGCCTCGAGAAACAGTGTTCCTCTCATGCACTTCATTGCAGCTGCTGCTTGGTCAGTGACTCTCTGTTGCTCTGTGCGCAGGCCATTCTGGAGTTTGGGGAGTACGTTTACAATGACAAGGAGAACCAGGACGACGCGGTGACTAAGAGCCTGGTGTCACTGCTGGGTGACCTGGCCTCCAACGTGACGGGCTGCGGCCCCGTCTTCGCGCAGAAGCCGTACGTGCAGAGCATCATCCAGGAGGCGCGCGCATCCGGTGAGGCCTCCACAGCAGAGGCCGCCGATTGGGCGCTGGGCGTCATTTCCAAGGCAGTCACCGCCCAGCAGTGAGGCGCCCACGCGTGCAGCAGAGCAGTTGCCTCTGTGCAGCGTGCGCCGCACAGAGGCGATGCGCGTGAATGTGTGCACAGCGGGGTTTGGTCCTCGTTGGGTTGCTTCAGCCCGAGATTCTGCTGGGCGAGGGCCTCTGCGGGCTGCCAGCGTCGCGTGTGGTGCTTGAACGGCCTGCCTGGGGCGTTCAAAGTTGCTGCCGGGTCTCTGGCTTGCTAGGGAGGAGTGGGGAGGGCGGGCGGGGCTGCTTTACAGCATGCAGGTTTTGCATTGCAAACACAGCGGTAGGCATCCCAAGTGCCCAGCAAACGCCCTTTGGAGCCGGAAGCTTGGAGCAGCAGGGCTGAGAGCCTGTGCTAGACAAGCAAAGGGGTGGTGGGTGGTCCTGTAAGAGTGAGATAGAGTGAGGAGGGTGGCCGCTGGCGAAGTGTGTGGGTGTTGTGGTAACTAGTGGGAACAGGAATATGGCTCCAGGATCAGCCGGGTCACTTCTGCATTTGGGTCTAGCGCAAGAGCATTGCAATCTCTAGAAACGCATCGCATGAAATTTTGGTGGTTCACTGTTGCGAACCCCTGCCTTAGGCTCCAATCCCCAATTGGCGGTGGGGCCAGAATGGGCTTAATTCATAGCTTTTTAGAAAATGCACCTGCATAGAACGATAAGAGCATGGCTGCAAGAGCCCTTTGGGTTGGTCCATCTGCATGTTTGCAGGTCATGAAGCGAATCAATCCGTCTGCAATGAAGGCATGCTGTTCATGAATATGATTGGCATCCTTGCAGAATTGAAGCATACAATGTAATCATAAATCCATAAACCAGGTTTTAAAAGCAAACTTTTGGTCTGCAAATATCAATAGCTGCAGGTCCGCACTTGCACCAGCCCGCGACCCCTAGGAAATAAATCATGCCCAGTACCAACAACGGAACCTCTTTACACTATTTGGCAAAGCATTCCTACAGGAAAGGAACACCAGACAGCTACAGTTGGCAATTGCCGGAGCAACAAACAATCATTCAGAACCCACAATTTCATTCAAGAAGTGGCCTTGAGTGCATTGGCATGGTGAGCTAAATGATCTGCCACAAAGGTGCTGATGAAGAAGTAGCTGTGATCATAGTCCTCCTGCGAAACGTTCTCATGCTTTCAGCCGAGTCACATGAACATCTTGTAAACTTTATCATGAGAGAAATATCTTGTGTAAATTGCATACGGAACAACAGCACCCATGCACTTCAGGCCCACCTGCATGCGTAGCTGCAGCTTGATGGAGGAACCTCCCTGTGAAGCAGCTGCCTTTGCAAAGCTCTCTGGCTTCAGCTGCTTCTCCAAGAAGTCATCCTTTGTACCTACATCAATCAGGATGGAGCGCGGCGGGCCGTTGTATGCCTTCACCTGCTCAACAAGAAAATGCATTCATTGCTACAGGGCATTCAAGCGCGGGCATTCACCCGCTATTGCTGCTAAAAATGCATTAAAGATGATATTGGGTCGTGACAAAGTCATGGGTAGTGGGGAAGGAGGCCACGCATGCGTCTGGCAAGGTACTGTATGTGTGGAGGCAAGAAAGACATACCAGCTCTGTGGCGTCATATTGCTTCCACTCCTCCTGATTGTCTCCCAGGTAGCCAGAGAAGGCCTTCTGGCCCCAGGGAACCTGGGTGGGGTTGCAGATGGGCGAGAAGGCACTGATGGACTTGTAGAGCTGCGGATTGCGCAGGCCCAGTGTCAGGGCGCCATGGCCCCCCATGGAGTGGCCCATGATGGCCGCCTGCCAAGCAGTCAACAGCGCGGTGTCAGGTACAATGATGCACAAGAGCAACCTAAAGGAGGAGTATTTCTGATGATCTGGACCATGGATATCACAGAGCAAGAGATGCTTGCAGGCAGGCATCTGAAGGATACCATTGACATGCTAGACAATGCAACAAGCTTGAATAGAAAGGGCTTTCGACAAAACATGAGGATATTTATTGCCTACAGAGAGGAAAAGACTTGAGGAGACTCACATTGCTGAGGTCCAGTTCCTCAAACTTTTCCAGCACTGACGGCAGCTCCTTGGTGATGTAGTCATACATGCGCCAGTTCTTCCAGGTGGGCTGCGTTGCATTCAGATAGAAACCAGCGCCCACACCAAAGTCCCACGAGTCTGACTCCCCAGGGCTGCAACACAACACACAAAATAAAAAGGTTAAGGTAAACTTTGTGCAAAGAGGGTGGTCAATGCTGCACCTCGACGCTTGCAGGGTGCATGCCAAGAGGTTGAGGGGCAAGAACACTGGCGCCAGCGCTAGCCATGCACTGCACTTGTTCTGCACGATGAGCTTCTTACATGTTGAGTCCTCGTGGGGATGTGTCAGGCGCAATGATTGCAACGCCTTCCTCAGCTGCCTTTCGCTGAATGCCGGATTTGGTCATGACATTCTCATCGGTACAGGTCAAGCCGCTAAGGAAGTAGACAACCTGAAGCAGTCCTTGTCCCTCAGACAGCACAATGGAGCTCGCGCCAAGTGCATTGCAAGCCATCCATCATCGAAATTTTTTGCCTTGCCAAGTGCACACTATAGGCTGATAAGGGGCAGTCATACCGGCACTTTCTGAGACTCTGCTGCTGGAGGAAAGAACACACTGAAGTTCATTGTGCAGCCCAGCTCCTCGCTCTTGTGGGCGTAACGACGATTCCACCCACCAAATACCTTTAGGCAGAGGCAATTGCGACATTATTAGCCAGCGCAGGTATGATCAGTAAATATCAGCTTGAGGCGTGGGTTGAGGTGAAATTGTTTGTTTATTATCTGAGGTGTCAAAAAGATGGAAAACATTGATATATGTACCTTGTTGGACTTCTGCAATTCCGCCATGGCAGCTGGGTTCCCAGGATCGGTTATCACGCAGATCAGATGCCGCAGAATTTTATGATATGCAGTGTTCTCAAAAGTATTGCCAAACTGCTTCTTGTGACTTGGACAGTACGATCTGAACAATGTACCGATTTTCTGCCTTCCCAGGAACATTCAGAATGAAATTCCCCCACTCTTGCTGCTTTTGGACCGTTTACGACATGCAGGCCTGATTTGGCTCCCATTTGGGCATGCAGTTTCTTGGCAAATTCAAGCTTTGTGCAGCGTCTATTGTCAAACTTTCTGACTTCTCGACATCGATGCACAGGGTTCTTGCCAATAAATGGCCGCTGGAACTGGCTCACTCCCCAGCAAGAAGCCAGCTTTCGGAAACTGCTGCTGAGTCACCATCAGTAATTTGTTTGCAGAATGGGATTTGGCGCACTTTCTGTTTGCTTCCACTTGAGAGATATTGGCAGATAGCCTTGCAGTGAGGGATAGCAACCATTGTTGAGAAGTGTCATCTGATCGGTTGCGTGGCGCATTAGAACAGGACGAGGCTTTTAAGACCGTGCTCGCTCACAGAAAGAATAGAGAAAGATGATGGATTACAAGCTCGAGAAAGGTGTGCACATGTGATGGACGCGACAAGTTGCAGCTTCTGTGATTCTAAAATAAAATTTACTGACCCTTCTTGCATATGCAGTGCGAGCTCTGGATTTCTTGAAGGAGTTCATAGATGCAGACACTGGCGAACAGAAATATATGAACCAATTGGTAGATCCCAAACTTCAGCGATATCTAAAGCTGCCACTCAGAGGAAATTTACAGGTCAAAAACATTGTGTGCCCAAGGTGTGTTGAAATTCGCCAAATGTGTTGCACACTGTGAACAGGAGGAGATTGCCAACAGAGAAAGGGCTGTCTTGGAAGTTGACTTGGACGATGTGGCATCGGTGAGGCATAGATGCGATCTCCATCACACTTCCTGTTCATCAGAGATGAGTGGCATGGTCGACACATCCAAGAGCATCTGCACTGTAGGCTTTTTCACTAAGCCTGTGAATGATGCAGTACCACGATGCCGACACTCTGCTCGATGGCTTCGAGAACAACACGAAGCGCTTCGTCAAGATCCTCTGCGAGGCTGCAGATGATGCGATGCCCATACCTGATAGGCAAGACATTGAGGAGGACATTTATGACATCCTCTACAACCAGGTCAGGATCCTACCTGATAAGCTTTCAGCAGCCTTTGAACAGACGTCTTCTAACTGGCTACTAAGTACACATGCTGTTGATGCGCAGAGAAGAGCACGGTTAGAGGCTCTTCAAGCCGAAGGCATCGAGGTGACTTGTTGTCTTAATTTCTTCTGCTCAGAGTATGCACATGCGCTGCCATAAGGGACGATTGAGACCCTCACGTGCCTCTTGCAGGTTGGCAATCCCAATGACAACATGCCCTCCGATCTCACAAGGAGGTATGAGGTGGTGATCAAGCCGCAGACCAAACAGAAAGCTCTCAAGCTGCGAGAAATCAACGCTGACCATATTGGCAGGCTTGTCACAGTTCAGGTTGGGCCCGCAGCACCTCTAGAATGCACAGCCTGAAATCTTGCTGGCGCACGCGTGGTTGCCTCTCAATGCGTGGGAAGGCCCAAGAATAAAGTCTGTATTGCTTGCAGGGCATCGTCACTCAAGTCACAGATGTCAAGCCACTCCTGACAGTGGCCACGTACCTCGACAAGAATGAGGCCACAGAGGCATACCAGGAGGTCTCAGGTATCATGCTCTCCATCGCTTTGTCACCGTTGCCAAATTCATTTGTCCCACTGAAAGGTGAACAGCTGCCTGAACAGAAGCCTGAAAGGTGAAAAGTGCTGCCGCCATGATTGACGGCGCCAAATTGCTGAGCGCAGGCAGGACATACACCCCGCTGGATGGGGCGCCGCAGAAGGACCGCGCAGGGCCCCAGCCGGAGCTGCGCATGCAGACGCGCGGCTCCAAGTTCGTGCGCTTCCAGGAGATGAAGCTGCAGGAACGTGCAATCGAGGTCAGCCTGCTCGTCCACCTGCTAGTCCTGCTTTTCTGCTGCCTACATTAGCACTTACCCCAACTCCTGATCTCAGAAGCAGGACAAACTGCAGTCGACAACCAAACGAACGGGCTGAAGAGCTGCGAGAAGCGCTGCAGAAATCAAGGCTTCCAACCTGAGCGCGCCTACTACAATCGATCAAGCAATAATTGCATTTTCCCTGAGCCTTTCTGGCATGCCTGGCGCAGGTGCCGCAGGGGGCGACGCCGCGCAGCCTGGTGATTCACCTGCGCAGCAGCCTGACGCGCACGGCCAAGCCGGGGGACGCGGTGATGGTGTCGGGCATCTTCCTGCCGCAGCCATACACGGGGTTCAAGGCGATGCGCGCGGGGCTGCTCACCACCACCTTCCTGGAGGCCATGCTGGTCACCCAGGAGAAGCGCTCCTACGCGCAGACCGCCGAAGACGCCACCCTGCGCGCCAAGATCGACGTGCGCGCCCCTCCCTCTCTTATCCGCAAAGGTGTCCAGAAAAATGGCCTCGTACTGATGCACTCTCAGCATGCGTGCCCAACATCAGCCTTCAAAAGCATCAAGCATGTCAAGTCTTTGGTTCAGGAGTACGGTGCGCAATGAAGAGCCCAAGTGTCGGCTCTTGCCCAAGCCCCAATAAGTCTTCAGATCTGCCATGCATTTCAGTATCTTTGCGTAGGAGTGCAGTGGGCTCTAGCTCTAGCCTAAATGCCGGCAGATCGATGTGCGCATTCCCTTTCTTCACACGCATTAATGTGAAGGAAAGGTGGCCTCAGTAGTGTTGCTGACACGCATTCTCAGACTGGCAGCCCCGCCGGATGCGTGCCCACATTACCCTCGAATACGCCATGCATGTCAAATTCTTGCTTCAGGAGCACTGTGCACTCTGGATTGCCCCCAATTGCCAGCATCTTACAATGCAAGAGCAAAGGCGAGGATGGGGATGGCCTGTTGAATGTCGCATGCATGTTGTTGCAGGAAATATCGCAGTCCAACGACGTGTACGACAGGCTGGCGGCCAGCCTGGCGCCGGAAATCTTTGGGCACGAGGACGTGAAGAAGGCGCTGCTGCTATGCATGGTGGGCGGCGTCACTCGCCAGCTGCCCGACGGCATGAAGATCCGCGGCGACATCCACGTCTGCCTCATGGGTGCGCCTCCGCCTGCCCTGCCAAAATCAAAATTTCAATTCAAATTGTGCCTGTGTCCATTTTGCTAGTGGCCCCTGATGCTGCTCCCTTACATCGCCTCCAGCACTGCAAAGCTTGCTATTAAATCATCCACCTTTCTGGCAAGTGACGAGGAATCATCTGAGTACTGCAAGAGCACCGTGTGTAAGGGCAATTTACATGTAATCTGTGCAGGCGACCCCGGAGTGGCAAAGAGTCAGCTGATCAAGCACATTGCCCACATCTCCCCGCGGGCGGTGTACACAACCGGCAAGGGGTCCTCCGGCGTGGGCCTCACTGCCGCGGTGCAGCGCGACCCAGTCACCGGAGAAATGGTGCCACACCTGCCCCCTGCTCTCGATGACCCATTGTGTCCTCCGTCATTTTCTATCCTCTGAATCCTGATCTGCTGTGCCCATAATGTAGATGGGCCTGATTGGTCCAGCTGCAACGCCTGCTGAATACTAGATGGAAACAGGTGTTGGAGGGCGGTGCGCTGGTGCTGGCCGACAAGGGCATCTGCTGCATCGACGAGTTTGACAAAATGGAGGAGAGCGACCGCACAGCCATCCACGAGGTACGAACCCTGCTCCTGGAAGCCAACCTGCCTGCAAGTATTCTTTCCTTGCCCCTGCCGCCAGGACTCACCGCAAGAAATGGTTGTCTATGTCAACTCGAGGATGGCCATGGTTGTGGCATGCTCTGCGCTGACTGCCCTATTCAGCCATTGCTCCGCCCGGAGCCCACACTGCCTCTGGCCGATCTCCTGCGCCGTGTTAGGCACTGAGCACCCATTCAAGGCAACAACTGTAAATCAAGAAACCACAGCCAGATGCATGCGCAATATCCATGGATGTCAGCAGCACTGTGTGGCCTGGACCATAAAGGCCCAGGAACACTGCCCAATTACATACACAGATACCACCTCAAGATTATCGTATGTTATGACGTCTCAGCACAGAGTTGCAGAGAATGTGTGGGGTTTTGACTGGGCTGCCTGGTGCACTCCTGCAGGTGATGGAGCAGCAGACGGTGAGCATAGCCAAGGCGGGCATCACCACGACTCTTAACACGCGCACCACGCTGCTGGCCGCCGCCAACCCGGCTTACGGCCGCTACGACCCCTCGCGATCCCCGGCCGACAACATCGCCCTGCCCGCCGCGCTGCTCTCCCGCTTTGACATCATGTGGCTCATCCTCGACAAGGCCGACGAAACCCAGGTGAATCTTAACACACGGATACTGCTTGCTTCTCAAGGACTTCTTCCAAATTATAATGCTTCCGGCCGCAATGCTGTGCTCTGGGGTCTCTCTGCTCGTTCATTGTCTGCCTGGAACAGTCTGCAACACAGATGGGAGCGATGTCTCTTCTTCTTGATTGGCTTGCCTTGAACATTCTGCAGATCCAATGGAGGCAGGACAACTTCTCAATTGCAGCTTGCTGAAAGGCTTTTCTGTCTGAGCGCAGGATCGGCGGCTGGCAACGCACGTGCTGTCGGTGCACAAGATGGGCTGCGCGCCAAAGCCCACGGACGGCCCCGAGCCTCTGGCGCCCGAGCTGCTGCGCGCCTACATCGCTGCCGCCAAGACCTACGACCCCCACTTTCCCCGCGAGCTCACCGGTACAATCTCCCCTCACATCTACTGTGCTGTATTTTCTCAACCCATAAGCATGCAAATTCAACTGGTGATGTCAGGGCCCCTGCTGTGACGACAAATCTATGCGGTAGGCTGAGCTTCCGGCAGCACAGTATGAGCTGCCAGGGGTGATATATCGCGTCCATCAGCATGCACTTGAGTTTCTGATGACCACGTTGGCCTCTCTGCCACCTCTAAAGCCTGCATGCCGGTGCCGAGAAGAGGCAACGCTATGACGCACGTGTCCTTGTGTGCAGAGTACGTAGCGGCGGTGTATGCGGAGATGCGGCAGGAGGAGGCGCAGGCGCAGGTGCCGCACAGCTACACGACCGCGCGCACGCTGCTCTCCATCCTGCGCCTCTCCCAGGCCCTCGCCCGCCTCCGCTTCTCCCAATTCGTCGCCCAGGCAAGCACCAACCCGCTACCGTTGACACCCTTCTCCCAGGGGAAAACCTCCACCGACGTCTGTCTCCTGGGAAGCCATCTGTGGTGTACATCACCTAGTAGAACCACCATATTCTCTGCCACAAGGGGGGTGAAGAAAATCCACGCAGGGAGTGGTCTGTAGGACTCCCTCCTCCATCCACCACACATGCTGATCTCTTTTCTGCCCAACAATTAAATGAGCTTACTGTGATGCTGGATCATTTTGGGACCTGTACAAGACCACAGGTCCCCGGCTTCACAAGAGAAACAGTCTGCACCTTCTGAGATATCGCATTGACAGATGATTAATGCATTGCTGGGGTGTGGGTATGAGAGCGGGTGGATCCATGGTGGTGCAGGCGGACGTGGACGAGGCGCTGCGGCTGATGCGGATGAGCAAGGTGTCGCTGCTGGAGAGCGGCGGCCGCGCGGAGCAGCGCGACCCGGTCTCCCTCGTCTACGAGGCCCTGCGTGACGACGCCCAGCGCAGCGGCAAGCAGACCTACACCTGGGCCGACCTCAACACACTCCTCGGCCACAAATTCACCGTGCGCCCCGTCTGCTCTGTCTGGAAAAAAGGCGGCTGTCTAATGACCGCCAGTGCAACAATACCTGCAAATCAAGAGAACAGAGAATCACCAAGTCTTGGTGACCAAGAGTCCCAGTGTGCCCACATGCGTGTTGCATAGCCTTGTATGAGACCTGTGATAATCAGCTGAAGCAGGGAGGGCATATTTAATGCGTTCTGCTGCTTTCATACTTTCTGGTGCAGCATTGTCCGTGGGGTGGGTTGGGGTATTAGGGAGCCTTGGGAAAATTGCACTGTCGTTCCTCTCTGGCCCAAGATCTGGCCGACGAAGATTTTACAGTGCAGACAGCGACTGGCCTGGCACATGCCTCCTGCATCAGCTCTGTGCATGTGGGGCACCGCTGGGCCGACATCCATACCCATCTCAACGTCCAGTCATAGAATGCAGGACAGATTATGTGAGCCTGACACTGGGATTTGCATGGTATTGTGCAGGCTGAGCAGATACGGGCGGCTGTGGAGGAGTATGCCGAGTACAATGTGTTCACACTGGACCACCCACAGCCTGGCCAGCCCACAGTCCACATCGGCGGCGATGACATTGCAGAGCAATGAACAGAATTGTCATGCCCTTGATCATGAACCCCTTCAGATGCAAGCACTTCTGCTATGTCAGACCAAGTATGGCATATTTTTCGTCAAGTGTGTATATTTGCGCTAACAACCTTGCGCCAATAAAACAGTAATGGATGTTTAAGCATATGTTGTCAAGAACATTTCAGCCAAGCATCGTTGACATTGATGTGATATCACAAACCAGTTGCACGCCGCTCCATTTGATACAATAAATAGTAAAAGACTGCAGTCTATTAAGAGTGCAAATCGCTCACGTGGCAGGAGTCTCTTGTAAGTCAAGACAACCTTCAGATAATATGACAACACTCAAAGACATAAATCGATGCGCATGGCTTGCCAGGACGAGAAAAAATGATACTGCCTCTTCACTGTCTTGACCACTGCTGCTGCCCACTACTCTCGTTGAAAGCTCAAGCAATTCCTATCAGCTAGCAAGGATCAGGCGAGATGCTTGTGCACAGACAGACCGCTGCTCTACTCCTCATCTCAATCTATCGAGGATGCCGGGAAGCACTGATGTCCAGCTTTGCGACAGGCCAGCCCCTTTGTCATCATGACCAACTTTCTGAGCTATATCCATTATGTTCTGGCCTACAATGAGCACCAGCAGCGCTGTTCCTACTATCAACAGCACTGAGACACCTGCACAGGCAAACCAAAATTTTATGCATCACTTCAAAGCACAGGCAACGCCATAAGATGAACAGAAGCTCATGAGACGCTTCCGACTTGCAAACAGGAAGCAGACTGCAGCACACACCTGTTCTTTGCAGCCTCCCCAGCTCCTTCCAGAAGAGGATCAAGAAGAAGAGCGAGGGCATCAGCAGGGAGCAGCTGATCGATGCAAAGCCCCCCACCAAGCTCATCACATTCCCCAAGATCGCATAAGCCTGCACGAGCTTGCGTGTCATTGACAGGTTTGTTGCCAATAATGATGAAATGCCCACAGGAACTGAACAGCAGGAGGAAATGCAGGGCTCACCGCAAATGCAATACATGTCCCCGCAGCAAAGAGGAACAGCCTCACAGCCGTGGCTACCATCCTGCGAGGCTGCCTTGTGCCGCCACCGTTCTCTAAAAACAGCAGCACACTCCACAGCATGTCCTGCACCAGACACAGGTCTCTGGGCATGGAATGAGTTCAAAAAGATAGCTGTGAAGCCATAAGCACAAGTGGCGTGACTGAAAAAGGAGCTCCCAGCAAAGCAGAGGAAGATTGCAAAACAGCCATTATGGTAGGAAAGCTCACCTGGATGACTAGGATCAGACACGGATAGGTTGTGTAAGCGTTCACCAGGATACAAAGCGCTACCAATTTGTCCACTGTGAAACCCGGGATCAGAATCTGCGCACATGCTCCTCTGTCACTTACCTGGCATGCCTCGAACACAGGAATGCTCCAGGAATAGCAAGTGCAAGTGGTCTAAAGGTTGATGCGATTGCTCACCGAATGGCCAGTGAATGGTGAGTTTCTGGCCAGATCATCAGTGATCAGGGTAGATGCTGCATCGCCAAAGTAGTAGTATCCCAGGCCAGCCACGATTGCATAGATGATCAGCATCGCCGTGAAGGCAAAGTTGATCACCTTGTCAAAAGCCTGCAGCATGACCAACCCTCAACGTGGGTGATTGGTCATAGAGTACCATTCACAAAAACCCGCCTGTAGAATTTGGCGCTCTCTGCTGGATAATATTAATGATATATATTAGGCACCCACCTGAGGCTGCTTCATGCTATTCCTGAGCACCGGCAGACTGGAGTGGCCGGAGACAGAGACTGCAAAGATGCCCATGCTCTCAAAGATGCCCCAGCGCGCCACAGAGTGACCAGCGGGTGGCTGCATGACATCACTACCCCTATTAATTTACCATGGGCGCCACGTGATCACAAGGCAGATCAAACAGCATCTTCAGAGCACTATGTGCATAGCCTGTGCACTATCATGCGCGCAAAATGATCACAGGGCAGATCACATTGTGTCATGAGCGAGTAATTTGCATAGCCTGTGCACTACCATGCATGACATATGATCAAAGGGCAGATCACACGGCAAAAATGATCGCATTCTGTGCATAAAATGCTGACTTTGAGGGAATGGGTTCAGCACCTGTATGGGCTGCTTTTCCCTGAAGGGGTCCATGCCCACGGCAGCCAGCACTGTGATGGTGACGAGGACAGTGGAGATGCAGCCCAGCATGGACAGCCACGACAGCTTCTTGAAGGAGGGTATGAACATCAGCGGCGCTGTCGCCACTGTGCATGCCACCACCGAGAAATAGAACGGAGTCATGCCCAGTATCACACCTGCGCCAGTGTAAATACCAAAATCAGTCTCTCTGCCACCTGACTGTATCCTATCTGAATCTCCCCAGGAGTTACTGGCCCTCAATTACTTGCTTTGAAAGAAAAGACTCTCCTGAAGCTGTCATGCAAGGTATGGTCTCGATTGATGATGGGGCCTCGTCAGGGACTGTGGAGACTGTCTGGACAAGGGGAGGTCGAGCAGGGGGGACTGATGACATGGGAAGGGCCAGGAATCTATCAGGTGGTCACCATGGGGATGCACAAGGCCCAGGAACTCGCGCCATATCACCACCAGCATGATGCAGGAGCCGCCAAAAAACTCGGTGAGTGCCAAAAAGCCCACCAGAAACCTGCCTGGCGGCCCCAATGCTAGCTCCCCTGAGCACACACAGGCAGAGCTTGAGATGAGTCATCGGGCTCGTACCCCTATCAGGAAGGACTGCCATCAGCTCCTGCCACATCACTATGAGGACAATAAGGCTGTCGCCAAAGAACTCTGCAAATGCCAATGAGCCCACAGTGTAGAAGCCTGCCTTCCCCATGGCTAGGCGGCCTGCAAATGCACATGGTTTCGTGGCTGCATGCAGCAGTAAGCTGACATGACAAGGCCAACAAGGCACATGCTGGTACTGGTGTTTGAAGGGCAGCTTCCTCAGGAGGTGAGCAAGAGACACACCTAAAGCAGGGTACGTATGTGATGTGTTGGGTGGCATCTTGTCAAAATTGCGCACTATGAGCTTCCCCGACAGACAGAAGACAGCTGTCGCAGCAGCTAGGGCCCCCATGCCCACCCAGCCTCCTTGTTTCATGGCAAAGGGCATGGAAAGCAATCCGATGCCCATGAAGATATTGACCTGGCACACACTGTGTGATCAGCACACCCTAGATTGTGATCTTGACCAAGACATACAGCAGATGATTAATGCAAGTGGGACAGGCGTTTGTACCATGTTGAAGGTGGCCTGGAACACTGTTGCGCCATCCTGTGGTGGTGGACCCCAACCTGGGCCAGATGCATCCTCGACCACGATGATGGCAGCACCGGACTCCCTAAAACAAGAAGAGTAGAGGGTGTCAAGCTCCACAGCACAGAGCTGAAAACTGTTTTAAATTGCCGTGAAAGAAGGATGTGAATCACTCTGGCATGTAGATTTCCTCACCCAAGCAAAGGAACGTCTACACTAGTTTCGTCCATTCCCTGTGCCTCGGTTGTTGGAATGAGCCTTGCAGGAGACTAGTCGATATGATCAGGACAAGGATACACATAGCCATCTTTCATTAGTTGTTGAATGAATGTTTTCATCGGATCCAGGCCCTGTTGAGGGGGGCATGTTCTAGCCCTTCACTTGGTGAGGCGGAATTGTGTATGACCTAGTCGACATTTGGCTGTACTATTGCACACACAAAAGTCTTATACATTATTTATTCTCTACTGTATTGTCAGACAGATTGTAGTTCACTTTTCACCAGAGAACGATTGCTGAGAAAGTCAAGCTGCGAGTTCACGTGACATGACACGTCGGCAACCTGACTGAACTTGCATGCATACCATGCCTATTGATGTTCGTCGGCCGAACGGGAGCCTGATTTCAAAACGACTGGATCGGTGACACGGAAGCACGAGTCATTCACCTGGAGGAGTACAGCAAGCTGTTGTTGGGGATTCAGAGTCAATAGTGGGCCCTCAAATATAGGCAGCCGTTAGCGCTCTCCTAGAACGGTGCACGCTTGCGCGCCTGTCGTGAGTACCAGCAGGTGCTGTGGCACCTTTGTGGTAGCTATTCAAGTTCCTTGAAGGTCTTACTGTATTCCGCGTGACGTATCATGTTTGCTTAAATTCTGATAGGGAAGGACTATTTCGCGTGACGCAGAAAGTGATTGTTTGGACAGCAATGATGGCGGACATGGAAAGCTTTGCAACTACCATCGCTACTCTGGAAGAAGAGCTCGCTCGTCTTGATGAGAAACTGCGACAGGAAGAGATGAACAAGAATATGTTAAAGACCGCCATATCGGAGTCTCTTCTGCAGCAGGAGGCCCACCAGACTGAAATCGATGAGCTCATCAAAGAGATTGCAGAACTGGAGTGTCAAGCTGAGGACGCTTCCTGCATGAGAGCTGCCACCGGGGAAGGTCCATCAAAGGCTGTCCAATATCAGGTGCTCCACGATTGCCTGCACTTTTCTTCTGCACTTTTCTTCTACAAGGTTCCCAGCAAATGTGGTGTTTTGGCCTGGCACATTTGCATGCGTTAAAATTCCTTCCTAATACCCCGATGCTTTCAAACAGGAAGAAGATGATGCTGTACGCCTGCAAATGCATGAGGACTGTAGTGCTTTCCTCCAAGGAAGTGCCAGATTTCGTGACACTCATGCAGCACAGCAGCAGCAAGCAGAAGCAGGAGCCCTGGAAATGCAAGGGAGGATTAAGAATGTCCAATCAGCAAATGCCAATGCTGAGACGGAGCTTGCAGCCTTGAAAGGAAGACTGCAGGAGACTGAGAAGAAGCATGCCGCATCATATGCAACCTGCAATGGTATCATATGCAATGCCAAAATAATGCATACCAGACTCATCATGATCAGCACAGGTCTCCTCAAATGCTCATGTGCAAGCAGGACTCCAGCAAACTGTGGCAGCTGAGAAGCAGAAGATGCGTGAACTGGAAGCACAATGCAAACAGCTGGAGGCCGAATGCCATAGGGCCAAGCAAGAAAGGGAGCTGTGGCTGTGTTCCTTGGCACTTACTGGAGAAGCCATCTCTGAGAGTACAGCATGGTATGCTTCCTCTCCAGTATGTTTATTTCTGCAAACCCCAGTATGCCTTGCATCAAACCTGCGTAAGTAAATCCTCTGTGGCATGCAGTATCGGTGCGCTGAATGAAGGTCTGCAGAATGCGGCAAGGGAGAAGATGCAGCTGCTGAAGACAATTTCTGAGCAGGTGCACAAAGCATCAACTTTTGCTCTTTATGATCAATGCAACTGTATCACACCGCATGCATGATGTTTGACCATGTGATCCGCATGCATGCACAGGAAAAAGAGCTGGAGCACCTGACAAAGTCGCTTGCAGCGCTCTCTGGAGAGCCATGCAGCACAGACAGGGGGCAGTCACGGCCTCATACCAGCAGCCAAGTCAGGCGCGGGCAAGCTCCTCAGCCGCGACAGGGTCCCTGGCAGGCTGCTCAGGGCCCTGAGCGCTCCCACCCTCAGACAAGCAGCAGGGTGCAGGACCTCTGGCCCGATGATTATGCTCTCCCGGACAACTTTGACAGTGCAGTTCAGCAGCAGAGAGGCGCACAGAATAGTAAAGCTGCTTCTGGAAGGCAAGCACGCAAGGACCAGCCGAGCACAATGTCTGATCAGAGGAGGCACAGCAGCCTGCCTCAAACTGCGCTGCCCAACGAGCTGCACCTGGAATCAAGCTCCTCTCAGCAGAGGCCAGCACCCAATCCCAGCGGTGACAGGCCTCAGACTCCACAGCACCAGCCATACACTGTTACAGAGCCTGACAGTCCCAGAAGCCTTTCCACAATTCCACAAGCTGGTGGTCAGCGCAGCGCCTATGCACAGCCCATCGTCATCACAGAAACCACAGTGACAAGGTCTGGGCCTCCCGTTTAAAGCTGTACGTGCACATGAAGGATTAGCAGTACTCCTTGATGCATGCAATCTATGTTTCCTGCCTGACTGTTCAAAGGTGCCTGCAGGACACTCACGCCAACAAAGGGCACCTTTGGCAGACAGAGCTCTTGGACAGTGCAGGAGGTGCGGCAAGTCCCCACTGGTGCTTCACACGAGCAGCCATTCTATGCAGGTATGTGCATGCCAATTTGCACCTGCCATCATGAGGTCTCCTCATAGCACCTGCCAATTCGCATGCACATTTGCATGGCTCCAAGGCCATTTGTTTATGCACTGGTGGCTGAAGTACAAATTGCTGTATGCGTGCAGCCAGAGCAACAGCCACCTTCCAGACCACGCCAGCAGCTGGCAGCAGCCACGCAAGGGCCCAGCAGATTGTCTGGCCAAGCCGTCCAAGGCCCAGTGTGACAGTATCAGCGCCAGATGCAGAGCGTGATGATGTTATCAGCAGGCAGGGCAGAGGAGGCCGTGAACCAGCCTTGACCAGAGCAGCGCGAGGTGCGAGCATCCATTTGATGGAAATTTGGTGCATGCCTGGATGTCCAATCAGGATACATCTCTGCTGGGCCTTAGCTGACCCTTAAGCATTCATATACAGTATGTGGCATCACTGTGAGGGTGCAACACTAGTGAGGCTTGTGGACACTGAGCCAGTCTTGGTCTGGATGCTCTTGTCATGCTTATTACCTAGCTTGGTAACATGGAAGTGCTCAGGTGACGCGCCAAGAGGAAGGGGACGTGGGCGAGCTCCCTGCAAGCCGCGACGAGCTCTGAAGAGGATCTACAAGGAGGATTCAGACGAGGAGCCGTATGGAAAGAAGGCGGCACCCAAGCCATGGGAACAAGAAGACCCTGAAGAAGATGTGCTGCTGTCAAGCATCTGGTCCTGATCAGCCAACTGATGTTACAGAAAGAGGCACCTTGCTCAGAAGACTACTAGTATTTGGATGTACTTTAAATGTGCAGCCCTGGGAATGAGCGCAATCCCTTCTACAAGTTTTCATCAATTACAAACAAAATTCAGGCGAAAAAGTTTGTGGGATCCCTCATGATGTGAGAATAACAAAGAACTGACCTCGGGCACACCCGTAAGTGTCGGCATGGAACCAACTGGTAGCTGGCTGTGCGATTGAATTGTCCTGGCAAGCGCAAACACAATTCTGATAGCGCAAGACTGGTACCATTGTAAAAGAGATATGGCTCCCAGTGTGCGGTCATGAAGAAAGAAGGCAATACCCAGCGCCTTTCAGTCACTGACTGCTGCCATACGGACAGCATGAATGTTTAATAGTACTCCTGAGGAGAACCCAGAAGGAAAGAATCTGTGAATGCCAGCTGTGCTGAATGGCTATAGCTAGCAGCAAGACCCTGCCATCTTTGCTGTAACTGTCTCTTCAGTCTCGGGAGCAGGCTTTCCAAACGCCCCAAAATGCGTGGACCTGTCGCCAATGATCTGCGCAACACATGCCTACAATAAGGATATGCTTTTAGAGGCTCAATTCCGTCACCAGAACATCACTTCCAGGTGCACTTGGGCAAAGCCGCGATCACACACATCAGATCTTCCAAACGCACTCATGAGCACACTGCAGTGACAAAAAATTGCTTGCCTGGAAATGCGAAGCAAGGTGTGAAATGCCATCTTCTCCCAGCATGGCAGCTGTGTTTCCACACACCAAAACCGGCCTCCCCTTCTCGAACTTGTGCTGGTCGTCAAGGGTATAAGAGTGCTCATTCCCCTCAATAGTGCCCTGCAAACGGTCACATTCCTACTCTCAGACCAAAGAGCTGATTCCAGGACCATACGGCATGCATCAAATTGATTGCGAACTTTCCCGGGTAGATTACAATCACATAGGGCAGACCTTGTAAATGGCAATCTGGCCATAGTCCTCACAGGCAGACTCAAGCTGCCCTGGCAGTTTGAAGAGCCTGTAGGTGATGCTGCAGAAGTGGGCATTGCCGAGCAGAGCGCGCATGTCAGAGTCATTGATCTCTATGGGAGCCTTCTGCAGCACAACAGGATAGTCGAAGCCTGCAGCCCTTGCCAGCCTCTCAAAATCCTGCACATAAAGAGCCCCAGAGACACACTCTCCCCACATCACCTGCAGCACAAGCAGAGCTTGTCGGCCCTCATTTGACAGGAGCCGACAGGTCATGGCTCTCAGTAGGGGTGTCATGCACAGCAGGTCCTGAAGATCATGCACAAGTGATGGGCGTCAGTGGCTCGTTGCATCTACATTCAAATGAGGACCCTTGACTGCACCTCATCCTTCTGCACCTCTGCTGGGAGCCGCCGGTCGCAATAAACATCGCTAAAATACATTTCGCCGCCAGGAGCAAGCACTCTGTATGCCTGCATTGGCATCAGCCGTCTTCAGTCCCCGGACAATGGCAGTCGGGTGTGCAAATGGGAGTTCTATTCCAGAAGAAGAGCATGCAGAGTTTGGTGTCAAGCATGCCGTGAGGAGCACAGACCTGCTCTAGCACACGGGGCTTATCAGGGCTGAGGTTGACAACGCAATTACTAATGACGATGTCAACTGACTCGTCCTGGATGCCTGCGCGGTCCAGCAGCTCTATGTGCCCTTCCACAAAGTGCATGTTTGCTGTCTTGTAGCCCAGCGTTCCCTGGCAGTATTCGCTGGCATGCCGCCTCGCCACCTGAACAGCCACAATCACCGCGTCCTCTCACCAGCCAAAATCCAGACCACAATGTAAATCATCACCTGAGGCTGGCGGTCTGAGGAAGGGGACTGCAACCTACAGATCACCTGTGGCTCAAAGCTCAGGAGGTGTCCGGGAGCACTTCTGCATGGAATAAGAGGGAGACACTGAAACAACTCCTGCTTTCTATTACCATCAGATCTCAAGAGTACTAAAAGCAGTGTCTTCCAGCACAGACGCATCACCAGTATAGTGATAAGAGGCATGCGCTATGGACTGTCTTTCCAGTAGATCAAGAGGGTAAGCGACGCGCCTCCAGCTGCTCGGCCGTCATGTCGACCCCAGTGACAGAGCCGGCCTCGCCAACGAGCGCAGCAGCCAGGTAGCAGTCACGGCCGGAGCCACTGCCCAGGTCCAGCACGCGCAGGCCCTCGATGCCCAGCGGCACAGGCGCGCCGCAGCCGTAGAACTTGTCAAGAACCTCTGCTGGCAGCCTGCCCATCAGCCGCACCAGCAGCGGGTGCGGCCGGCCAGTCGCCGTGCATGCGGACGTCTTTAGGTCCTTGCTGCTCTTCAGCACTTTGCCGTAGTACTCCTGCGGGGCCGCAGGGATTGGGAGAGTCAGATACACAAAAAATTGCTGGAGGTCAGCAGGGCAGGCCAAGCAGTGCGTCTATAGCAGTGATCTGGATCTCTGAGGCTTTCGTATATGTGTGATGTCGTGTATGGAATGATCGTCTGGGCTGATGTAGATGGCGACAATTAGTTCTGTCAGCTTGTAAATGCACAAGTGCAACAAATGCAAAGCTAGCGAAAAGTTCTAAGTTTCGATGCTTGACTGGGACCAGGAGATCGTTGCACAGCACCTGTACGGATGCATGCACGCCATCCTGGGTTTCCTGCTCTTTTGCCTTTCCGTTTGGTAAGGAGGACTTTGGGCCGCAGCACGACATTGCAGTGCAGCAATTGTTGTGCGTTTCTTGTGCTGATCAAAACAATACAAACTCCCACACTTCCAAGATGGTCTACCTACAATGGGAATAGTGAGAACAATTGAAAGAGAGAGCAATGATGTGGAGTTTCAGGCAAGCGATCAAGTCAATTCGATGACTTCTCGAGTGACGTCAGGCATGCCGAAGTGGAGCACTGCACCGGGAGAGATTCCATTCAATACGTTCCATTCGAGGGTTCGTGAAAATTTGTGATCTTTGCTTTCGAATATATGGAAGGATAAGAGCAGCTGTGCTTGCATTTTCCCTCATTAGAATCCGGCTGAGAATCCCCTCTGTCTAGATGGCTTTTGACCCACGCAATAAGCATCGTGACCCAAACAAGGGCAGTGCGAAACACACTAAGAAAGATGTACAATCAGCGAAGGGAGGCGTGAAGAAGAAGCCGGTCTCTCTGAAGAATCAGATACGAGGAATCGAGAGGCTGCTGAGGAAGGCACGGTTCCTCTGCAGCAGTCTTTGGAGCACCTAATCAGGGCACCATGCATACAAAATAAATCGACAGTCCTATGTAATAAACTTGCATAATGGTGACCACACAGGAAGGCTTGGACGCAAGGGTTCGCAAGAAGGAGGAAGCCAAGCTGCAGGAACTGAGACTTGCTATAGATGACCACAAACGCGCGGAGAAAGAGCGTGTCTATGCTGTGCGCTACCACAAGGTACTGAGCCAGAGATGCATTGCAGTCCTCTCTAACGTAGACCCTGCAGGTGCCTCTGACCTTGATCGAACCCCTGCTGCAGGTTCGTTTCTTTGAACGCATCAAGCTGGAGCGGAGGATCAAGAAGGTCGAGAAGCAGCTTGCAGAGGCCAAGGAAAAGGGAGCGGAGCCTCCGGCTGCCCTGTTGGAGTGCCTTGCATGCCTTCAAGACGACTTGCAGGTTTGCCGATGCCTTCAGAAGTTCAATCCCTTTCTTCCCTGAAACACTTCAAAACATGCCAAACTACTATGCCCCCCTTTGTCTCAGAGCCACTAATATACTCACGTGCTTCACCTTTGACTGCCCACTCAGTGTTGGGTTTCTGTTGCAGTACGTGGTGCACTTCCCCAAGGGGGAGAAGTATGTGTCCATCCTGAGGGACGCGGAGGAGCCCGCGGCGCAGGCGGCGCTCATAGCAGAGCGCGATCGGCTGAGGGCGCTGGTGCACAAGCAACAGGCGGAGATTGCCATGGTGACGGAGGCGGACGAGGGCGCTGCTCTGCTGGCGCGGCAGCGGCGGCCGGTGCAGCAGCCGATAACCGCGCATGAGGCACCTGCAGATGTGCGCGCACCAAATCCTTGACTGCACCTTGGTCATATGAGCTGCAGGCAACAACCTTTGTCCGTACATTTTGGGGCAACTTTTACGCACTCCTGTACATCCTCTTCTTTGATCTTGGACTACCGGAGTAAACACCCTAAATCCCGCACCCCCGCACGTCGGAAAAATGTTATTTTTTGATCCCGCATCTTCATAATTATTTTGTGCGGGGTTTAGAGTGATTGCGACGGTATTGTGTTCGGAGCCTGAAATGATTATCGCCTGCAGGTCCCCGAGGGGGCGGCTGGAGAAGCATCAGGGGAGGAGGAGGATGACTTCTTCACTCCGGACGACTCAGACAGGTCTGCCAGCGAGGGGGAGCATTTTCACAGCGTGCCTAGGCGCAGCAAGCAAGATGCTACCAAGCAAGGGCTTGCACAGGGGGCCGGCAGAGCAGCAGCAATAGAACATGGCGGTGCTCCAGCAGACAGACCCAGCTCTGGGGCAGCAGGCGGTGCCTCTGCAGCGCCAGTTGCCGGGCAGCAAAGGGAGGAGAGGGCGCCTGTCCCTGTTGCAGCCGCAGCGGACGGGGAGGGGGACATCGCGGACGACGATGACTTCTTCCTGCAGTCTGGCGCCTCAGAGCCTGACAGCGACAGCGACGGAAGCAGTCAGCAGGGCGCTAATGTGGCACCAGGCGCGCCCCCGGTGCGGCCTGGGGCGGATTCCCAGGCAGGCGCTCCGCCCAGAACACAACCTGCAGGCGTTGCGCAGCAGACACATGCTCAGAGACACACAGGCGCAGAGCAGCAAAGAAAAGGGGCGCCGGACAGCCAGGGGCACACGAGGCAGAAGAAGTTCAGGAAGGCTGGATCAGGCGGGCCAGCCGCAAAGCAGGTCCCTAGAGCGCAAAGGGCAGCTGGAGGCGCACAGCGGCCCAAGGTAGCAGCAGCAGGCAAGCAGCGGGCCTCGTTTACGGCTAAGCCAAAGGCGGCTGGAGCTGCTGGCGCCAAACGGAAGGCTGATGCAGCTCCGAGTGCTGCCACGCAGCCGGTGCGCACGCGAGCAGAGGGCGGGCGGAAACGGCGCAAGGCCAAATAAAGGACCCTGCGCATATGCGTTGAATTAAGAGCAAAGGAATATATGCAAGAATGGGAGCACCAGAAAAACAGCAGAAGTCTTGATTGCACCGGGAGCCTGCCAGGGTTTTGGTGAACCTGTGGCACATCCTCTCGTAATAGTTCTATGTAATAGTGTAACAGTAGAAGCTGACAATCAAAGAACACCATCATGCAATATTCGTCGAATGATGCCATGCATTTCAGAGAAATTGCATAATCCACCTGCAAGTTGCCCAGCAAAAACAGTTACAATAACGTTGTAGTGTTCATGGATTCAATGGCATCGAAAAGAAAGACTCAGTCACAGCTGAAGCTCATGGCTGCATGACGCTCAGTGAAGCATGACGGTGCAAATTCTGCTGTACTACAGCACAGGTCACACCAGCATCCATACCATTTGCCAAGATCCTTGCATCTATGGTTGGTATCATCATGTCGATCTCAATCAAACACAGCTGTCTCTCAATTGTGATCATCGCTCTCATTCAGGATTAGCTTGTTCCCAAGCAATCGTTCTTGAACAGAAAGATTGCCATCGTCAGTCTGTCTGCATTGTCCTGCCAGGTCACTTGTCTGGCACATCGTCAAACTAAGTCTTGAAACATTCTGTGATGCTGCTTGCACCCCACCTAATGAATGATCAATAGTATGCCTGCTACTCTACCACACCACCGACGCTGCTGAAAAAAATTGCGCCAGAAACCTGGCAGACAACTTCATCTTAACCATATTCACAATCCTAATTCCTGCTCTCCAATGCTCACAACCGCTGCAACCATCCTGCAGCTCCTTATTGAGGAGCAAATGAAGGCGGCCAGCACGTTAATTATTCATCCGCACCACACGCAGCATCTTCAAGACAAAAAAAGTATATCCGAACAGTAGGTGCCCATGAGGGCGCGAGCATGCAGCGTACACCAGCATGCCTGACAGTGCACGCAGATCACAGGGGACCGATTGTCTGAGCCGAGCCTGAGGACGAGGTGCTGCTGCATTTGACGGCCGGGGCCGGGCAGGGGCATGCGATGAGCTGCAGTGCGCGCGTCCATTCGTCCCTGTACTCTTCATAGCCGTGGTGCTCATGGTGCTTCCTCCACAGGGATCGAACGTGCTCTGCCGAGGAGCTGGCTTGCACCTGCAGTGACCACTGTTTGTCAGCAAATTTGAGCAGGCCACCCTGAGAGGGGCTTCCAGAGGAATTTTAAGTTCAGAGACCATGCATTGGCCTGAAAAAAGGGCGCTATCCTGAGGTGCATTTGAGAACATGTTGCTTTTCTGCCAGTGGAATGCTTTGTTGCAGGGTGCATGCTGAGATGCAAAAATGACATAAGGAAGGAAGGAAGGAAATTACACATCAACTCCAGCCGCCCAGGGCTGATTGAATGTACTGACAGCATCCAAGTGATCAAAACAATCCATGACAAAGTGTGCAACACTGACAATATCAAACTGCCACATGAACTGTTGCATGGTCTGAATGGCGGCACCAAACAAAGCAGGATATTGGTCCCGAATGGACTGCACAGCAGAGCACTCAAAAACCAGATGGCGCTCATCCCCAAGCACGTGCTGGTCACAATGTAAGCAATATCTCTGGGCCCGAGCAACCCTTGCCCAGCGGCCCGAGACATTGGGCAGCCATAAAATACTTCAAAAAGCAACCAAGAGGGTGTGGGTCGTCTACCTTACTCCTGACTGAAGTCAAGCTTGACAGGGGACAAATTAGAAATGACCTGCAATGAAATTGATAAGAAAGCTTGCAGAAGGCCCAAAAGCGTTGAAGAAGATCAAAAGAGAACAAGAATCGAGTGAGCAAGAGAAAACAAATGGTTATAAAAGGAGCTTCTGGCATTTGAGCAGGGACAGTGCTGGAAAATCAATGCAGGCAACTGACCTGGTTCAATTTTGAGCGGGTGGTGTCCAGGTCCGCAGGTAGATATGCAGAGTAGTGCTGCATGGTGCATGGCCAGCTTTCCTTTCCAAACAATTCCATGGAGTTGGCCAGGGCAGCCGCTGCCAGAAGGGAGGCTGGCAACAGGGACAGGTCCAAGTCCAGGAGTGCCAACTGGAGGAAGAAGCTGCACCAGTGAACGTGGCACTTGTAAGATATACAAGAGTGTTGGTGAACAGAACGTTATGAAATGGGTATCGCATGAGGGTGGTATTCGGTTACAGGACTGCCCACACTGCCTGGTGCATGCATCATGGCGTGATTATGGTAAAACACTCGGGACCACAAATAAGAGAAGAAGGACACGAATACGTTCGATGATGATGTATATATATTATGCCTTGTTTAGCATGGCAATGGTCAAGCGCAATACACCCAGAACGCGTGTTTGGACTTTACCTGGCCAGCGTGTATATGTGCATCTCTTCCTTTGAAATGGCTCCACCCTGCACCGACCGATACCAGAAGCTCCGCAAGAACATTTTTGCATTGGGACACGTGCGTAGGTCGTCGCAGGTGCTCTTCTGCACGACGGCAGTCATCTCCTGCACCTGAGCCGCGGTGTAAGTCCGGTCCGAGATATAAGCGAAGCGAGCTGGATCCATCGATTTCTTCTCCTCCTCTACCTCCGTCTGCGCAGCTCGTTGCTGCACATCCCCCATTGCCACTCTGAGGCAGGCGATGCCCACAAGCTGAAATCTGCATACACCAAGATGCTGTCAAAGCCTTGCTTAGCCAATGGGCGATGGCTGTGGTCATACAGATGGCAATGCATTCGGTAGATATAGCAGTCAGGATTGGGCGGCAGCCTCGGCAGCAATTCCTCGTCCCGTAGGGTTCACTTGCGAGCCCGCCAATTGCATTCAGAAGGATGCTTACCCTGCTAGCTCCGGTACGTTGTGGTTCATCAGGTAGTGGTCGAGGTATGCCGCCGCCTTAAAAACAATCGTGGACTCCAGCTGCCAATCCCATGACACCTGGAAAGAAGCGCGAAGGACTGGTCATAACGGGCAGGAGTTATACGATCTCTTCTAAAAAAGCCAGCACCGATGGTACCCTAATCAATCTCAAATATACCATCAGGTCATTACGCACCTCAGCAAGCCATTCCGTCAGAACCGCGCGGTTCTGAGCGTTCACCACCGTCTGTTTCTTCTGGATGCCAGCCAGGTTGGGGAGGACCAGAAGCTCGCGTTCCCGGAGGCTCAGCATTTCGTATTGGCGTCGCCAGGGTAATTCGGAGCCTCGGGCAACGGCATGCCAGGTGGGCCATCGTTTGGCGCACGCCTCACGCCATACCGCCTCCTTGCATGCAAAGAAACGTCTACCGACGCACAAGGCCACCCCGAGGTCCCTGTCCTTGAGGTGAGCCAGGATCTCCATGAGCAATTCATCGGGAAGCTGCTCGAATGCCAAACGGGCCAGTTGCTTTGACTGGTTGCGGGTGCCGACCATGATGGAGAGGCGTTCATGCGAGGTAATTTCTGATGGGCGAAGACATCGGGGCGTATATGGCGATGGGCTTGGCGGGAAACGGATTATGGCCTTCCAGACATCAACCAAATCGACCCCCTATGACGTCATCGACATGACGGGTGGATAGAGATTCATGCAATGAGAGAGAGTGATCTTCTTGGTTTGCACGACGTCCACCATTCTGAGGGGAGGCTATTTTGTGCAGTCATCAGGTACCGGGTGCAAAGGGCCGGCCCCTAGGCCTCAGGCTTTCTGGCAACTTGCAGCTTGAAGCACCGCCTTTGTGGCTCTTGAGGCCTCAAGATCCTAGAATACATGCAGTCACCGTGTATTATTATTAAGATCACATGTTAGCTAAGCCTAGCGATGATAAAACTTGTCAATGACACATTCCATCATAGTGCATGATGCATGCATGGCTGATACCGTACAGGTGAGATGCAAGATCTTGCAACTCAAGTAGTAAGGCAATGTCTAGACATTACAACTATCGTGTCAGCACGATAAGTATGGTCAACATGAGTGCCATCAGCTTGCCACCACTGCAGCACATTAATATTAGTGATGTTCCTAGAGTCAAAGCAGTATTGTTATTCTTGTTGAACCCATTCGGATTCACACTCATGGTGAAACAAAGCACGCAAGTATGCTGCAGCCTATCATCACAACCAGTGATTGGTAATGATGCCCAAAACTGCCCTTCTCGTGCTTGACAGAGATGTGCATGCAGATAAAAATCGCATGATGCCTTGAAAAGTCTTGGACGCCTGCCTAAAGGAACATCACCAACCAGCCCCTACACAATCATCTACCATGAAGGGACTGCAATTGAATAATCCTAATCTAGCATCTATTCTAATTGTACCCAGGCTCCCCCCACTGGCAGGTGGTTGCTGAGTGCCTCCTATAAGTCCTACAAAGTGGCATGTACAAATTCAAATTTCTCCCAGTTTCCAGACAGCCTGTGGTGCATGGACAATTCTCCAGAGCGAACTCAGATTGTAACTGACCAATCTCCCCTTCTCACAGCGCAGCAGGCTGGACACACTACATGTACACAGAGCGGTATGCACACTGCATGCAAATTGTCAGAACTTAAAAGGAACACATCTTGTTGAGTGCAACAACATCTACAGCTTTGAGCAGCAATCAGCGTCTCAACTTCACTCGAGGCATGGTGATGCAAAGCAAACGTTCAAAAAGGCCCTCCCACTCCACCCACTCAGGGTGCACCTCAGCGTAGCTCAGGCACTTGTCCCTCGAGCAACTACTACTCGTGAGGGTGATGTCTGCGGTCGATGCTTGACAAAAAAAGGTATGAAAAGGCACTCCATTGCCGTCCGGGCCCTACAGGCAAGCCCCCAGGGGGCTGCCGCCTCTGTGCGCCAATGCATCTGTTCTCCGGCTGTCGGATCTCTGCGTCCAAGTGCTCGGGTTGTCGGATCACTGTTCTCGGTGTCATTTTATTCCCCAGTGTTGCTTTATTTCCCATGGTGTATCAGGGGGTGCGGCATGTCGGCGGGATGGAGCTCTTATTTCCCACGGTATATAAGGGGTGCAGCGTGTCTGCATGGAGCGTCAAGCTCCTTTTTCCCCCACCCCCGGAATACAAGGGGGGCAGCATGTGGGCAAGGGGCGCGGCGCGCTCATGGCTGCTGCAGGCGCTGCCCTTTGTGCACCGGTGCGTGTGCACCGTGCGGCCGCAGCTGGCACCCTCTCACCAGCGCTCGCAATTGGCCGTCAGCTCGCCGGAGAGGGCCTCCTCCAGCTGCAGCACGGAGGTGGGCGTGGGGTTGCTGGCACCGCCCTTCTCAAACAGCTCGTCCCTGTACGGCGAGCTGGGCGAAGACTCCCTGTCCCCTATGAAGTCCTCTGCCAGCGCCTCCTGGCACTCCCCCACCTGCCACGTGCCAATGGCAGCCAAATTTAGCTTGCTGCACTTTAAACCTTGCAGCAAGCCAGCTGCACATTGACTTGAACAACAGGAGGTCATCCCATTCAAGACAGGATTGTTCAGCCGTCAGACTAGGTGTGTGTGACGCAGATGATCCCCCGGATTGGAGGTGATGAAAGAGATTTCATTGATCATAGCCTTGCACACGGAGCCTTGCATCTAGAGAAGTCATTGCAATGGTGACTTCTTGCGCGAGAAAGGATGTGCTAAGGGAGGGGTCCCACCTGGGCGATGAGGGTGGCGAAGTAGGACTCGGCGGTGTGCAGGGCCTGGTCGGTGCAGTACATCCGCATGGCCACCAGGATGGACGCAGCCGCCACTGTGGACGGCCGGAAGTCCAAGTAGCGCTCCTCTGCTCCCACACACAGCCGCAGAGTCTTAGTTCTGACTCTACTACTAAGAACTAAGAAAGGATTTTTAACATTGCTGCACTTTCTCTAGCAAAAGCAGCGCAACGAGGTGAAGGTGGATGCATAGGCAACCAACTCAAAGCTACCCTTCAAGCACGCCTGCAGAATCTTTAGGACAGTTTGGGTGCAAGTAATATCCTTTTATGATGACAATGCTGAAGTCTGCGAGGCTCACAGTAGGGAGATTGATTGTGCAGGTGAGGCTGGTGCGCGCACCGGGCAGTGTCCTGGCAAGGAGGCCCATGGATTTGGTGCGCGCGGCGTGGAGCGCGGAGGGGTCGTCCAGGGTGGCGGCGTCAAAGGCGCCCAGCAGCAATCGGTCCAGGAAGCTGGCAGCAGTCACGGCCGCCACTCGCCACTCCAGTGTAGCCAGCACAACGAGCTCCATGCTCTTTATGTGCCGCGCCTCAAACGGCTGCTCCCATGGAATTGCCACCTGAAGGCAGATCCCCAAAGGTCCAACAAGTTCCTTTTTAAAACTCCCAACTTTCTATTACTATTATAATCACCCCCAGTAGTCAAGGTTGTAGTAGTCATGTCTGTAAGAACCACAAGCAGTCATACCGATTTTTTGCCTTGGGCAATCTGCAGGAGTCATAAGTGAACGTGAAGGGCAGAATGCTTTGCCTTGGCGGAAGTGGGCGGAAAGAATTTTGTAACTATCACAGACTGAGCATTGAGCAGGCATGTATACCTGGAACAGGGCAATGTTGTCAGGGAAGACGCCTTCCTCCATCTTTGCTGCGATCGACAGGCATGCGACAGCAGCCAGTTGAAGCGTCCAGAGCTCACCGTCCTGCATACACCAAGCCAGCTTGAGTCCCCCAAAAGGCTCCCATCGGTCAGGCCATATCTAGCAGTCAAGTCTGATCTCTAGCCCTTTTCCAAAAGCAATGTACTAAAATACAACAGTGTTTCCTTTTTTCTGGGAATGGCAGAGCTAGCCAGGACAAGAGAGTAGGAACGCACGGAAGCGCGATGTGCGGCCATGAAGCGATCCAATAGGTTGACGGCAAGGGTGCAGGTGAACGCCCCAAAGTTGTGGCACGCAGCTGCCTATTGATCAACAACATTTTGGGTCACAAGCATGCAAACACAAATTTTAGTGACGCAGGTTTTGCTTTACATCTTGAGAGCAAAGCTTCCATGCATATGAGAGTCTCTTTTGCATGCCAGCTGAGACAAGCTGCCCAGGAGCCATCATTTCACAGAGTCATCTATGTGCAGAAGTTCTAGAGCGTACAAGGGAAGGGAAAGTGTACCGTCATCATCCATGAGACCAGGAAGTGGCGATGTTCCGGGCCAACGCCTGTGTCACCATCCATGTAGTCAGAGGTCACATGGTACTGCTCCTCATCCACCAGCAGCGCCGAAAGAATCTGCATGTTGTCCTCTCCAAGTATGGTCATGATATCCTGCATCCGCACATGAAGCATCAGGGCGGTGCTGTTGGTGTGTGATCCATGATCTTTCAATGGTGGGGCACAGGATGCCTCTGAAGAGTGCCTTGCTGGGCAAGCCAGGGACCAGCTTCTCACCTCCATGGCAATAGGTGGGCTGTAAGCCCTCGTGCAAATTCTATTGGTGTCCCTATCTGCGAACTGCCAGCAGGGGCTGTCAAAGCTGTTTGACAGATCCTCGCCGCTCTCTGAGCAGCTCAGGTCCATCTGGATCGTGGCCTGCTGGGAAGTGGATTTCGTTGTGCATGCTTGTTGGAGCATCCTAAAGAATATACTGCATGCACAGACATTGTTCATCAGCGTGTCGCTGTGTGTGATGCTCAGGTTGTTGGGGCAGTCTTCTATGCAGAGTAAGGGTACAGGAAAGGAGCAACCATGCCAGGTACATATAAAAGGAACATATCAATTGCTTTGGGAGAGTTGCTGATTCTGGGGTGACCGCAACTTTTGAAGAGACACAAGTGTAAGGGCTGCCAAGACTTCAAGATGACGAAGGTTTCAGAGACGTTGCAGCATCGCGACGACTTTTACCCCGTTCCGATGAAAAGAGAGGAGCGAAATGTACATGCCTCTACTGGCTTTTAGGCATCCGGCTTATCTAGGGCGAATCGCTGCTGTGCCGCACCTCAGAGGGGGCAATGACGAGGGGTGCCCCTGTGCTCGGCAGACGGGAATCCGTTGCTACGAAAAGGGCGAGACTGTCCGCTTGCACTTCTATCGCACATCTCAGACGCAGCCGGTGCTCCCAAAGGCTTTCAAGCACTGAACCTGCAAACCCCAGTCCCAGCATCATCATGACTTCAAATATCCACCGACAGCGCAATGAACGGACCCTCGTTCCAATGCGTGCCATACCAGCAAGTATATCTATTGAGAGATGCTGGCAGCTGTAATATCACAGAATGTAAGGGGCGCGCAGAAAAAGCCCAATGCAGCTCAAGATACAGGGGTGTCAAAAGCCAGCAGGGGTCTGTAGAGTGGACTCAGGCGCTCCCGGCAGCAACAGGCCATTCTGGGATGTTATTGGGAGGACCCAATATCATTTGATGGCATTGCAACTTGACTCATTTTCACAAACAAGGTGTTCCGCCGGGACGCTTTGTTCCAATCAAGTCGGCGAGGCAGTGCCAAAGACGGCCAGAATGACCTGAAATGCTTAATCACAAGCATGTTAATCGACCGTTTCGTTTGGATCACTTTGGAAAGCTGGAGCTCACCTGATCATTGACGGGTCAATCAAAGGCAAGTCAATGGTGGTGCAGCAGTGCCCGCTTCATTGGCTGCACATCCCCATCGGAGGCGCTGTATTTACAAAATACGTCACTCAGATTAAAACGGGCGCCGACAGCGATTGATACCGGCGTGTTGTGAGCGCATTCGCAATGAGTCTCCCTTCTTGCGCCCAGGACAGGGGGGCCGTAAAAGGGCGTTCAAGGAATAGAGAGATCTACGGATCACCGATGTGAGGAGGAGGTCCACACACCGCACAGCGAAGTGTCACCGAGAAGTCCTGAATCGGATGTGAGAATTCGAATCCCTCCTGTGTGCCACATCAAGCACATGCTGAATCATCCTTAGTGCTATCAGGCAAGTGCGCTCAAGACAGAATGTATTGCTTCAAGGAAGTTCTCTTGCGGTGCCGCTGTGGGACGTCCCCGGGAGTCGGGCCGACAGTCGACTGCGGCGGCAAAGGCCGGATGCAGCTAGCTGGTTTCTGCATCGATATAGTACTCGCCATTCAAGTCGGGCATACCCTGGGCTGGGCTGTATGCCAACACAGCCGAGCAGCAATTGTTGCATGCATGATCATCGTCAGACGATCACGGCGCCGTGATCACCGGTACCGGCCTGGATTGTTTATAGTTTCAAAGTTAGAAAGTCCACCGCTGATAGGCGGGCAGTGCCAGGCCGTCTGGCAGGCGGCCCTCGGTGTGTCGCAGGAACTGCATGGCATATGGGCACAATGCCACATCCAGATCCAGGGTGTAAACATGTAGACAAGGGTGCATTTGCGAGTTGACAAGGCTGCAAGCCTGTGCATATCGGCCCCAGGTTTCGGTTGCAGACAGACCTGTGTATGCCCTATGGCCCTCTGGGCTCTGAGTTCGCCATCAATAAAAAATTGTTATCATTATGATCCAGATCCAGGGGGCCTGTAAGGCATGCATGCGCTTGGACTTCTTATTTAATGCTGGCTCCGCTTGCAATATGGAAGTGCCGTCAAGTTCATGACACAATTCCTGAACCCATGCATCGGCTGAGTCAGCTGCAGCTGCAGCCTGAGGGAAGGAGAACACAAAAGGCTGCAGGATCCTCTTCCTCTGCGCCTGAGGCTGCTGCTCAATGTCTGACATGTGTCAATTATTGGCACGAAGGCAAAGATGACAAATCCCTCATTCCTGATCAGACCTAGATTCCTCATTGTTGATACACTTCAATTGAATATAATGGTGGGCTACATTGCCAGATATATCAGACATCGTTTCAATTGCCGCTGGCAATGTGTGGTGTACAATCATCATTAAGAGCTCTGCAACTGGTACTGGCCTCTCGACGGCTGAGAAATCTCATCCGTTGCTGGAGGCCCTTGGCTATACTTTCAAGGAAACCTACGGCAGGCGCACAATCCCATGGTGAAGGCCTTGTGAATCATGATCAAATTTCAACACCAAATGTGCCGGGGTCAGTCGCATGAGCGACAAGGAGCCCGCCGTGCCACCCGTGCACTTCTCCTCTGAAATGATGTCAAAGTTCGTCTTTGGAGGCTGTGGTGCCCAAATCGCGGACAACAGGCTGTCCAGGAGTGCCGTAGGGGAAGTTTGATGCAACGCTGGCGGCGTCGAGTGCATCCAGGCCCTCAAACAGGGGGCCCCTCACAGGGAGCTTGACAAAGCGGCCGGCGCCCTCCTGAATGTTCAGCTTGCCGTTCTCCCACACCACCTTGCCCTGGCTTATGGTGACTACCACCTGCACCGTGCACAGCTCTTCCATCAGAAGCCCCGGTGCTGCTCACTCCAACTACTGCACACCCTTCTAAATGGCTCAACTGATGCACAATGCGCCATGAATACTCTGACAGGTCCGCACTCCTCGGGTTGCATGCATGGCATGCATCTTACAGACATGATTACAAGGTGCAAACCAAGTTCTTCTGGTGACAATTTGGCGGCATGAGCTGGATGCATCTCCGCTCGATGCCGTCAGCATTGCATGCCAAGGGCCCTTACCAGATCATCTCAAAGGACGGCTTGGGCAGCCTGTGCTTTTCATGCCAGGCAGCACTAATTTCACATCATGGCAGCAGAGCTCAAAGAAACTTTAGCAGGGGAAAAGGTGGTCACCTGGCCCTTGACCTCCCGGCCCTCATAGATGTTGGTGTCCATCCTGGAGTGGTGTGTGCTGGCGCTGATGGTGTGGCTGACCTCAGGGTCAAACACTATGATGTCAGCGTCTGAGCCCGGCGCTATGAGCCCCTTGCGGGGGTAGACATTGTATGTCTGGGCCACCGCCGTGCTCATCAACCGCACAAAATCCGACGGCGTGATCAGGCCTGCACCCCACAGCGATCAGAGCACTGAAGTGAGAACTGAAGCATGCCCACACTCCACTTATTCACCCAGATTCAGCAGGCAATCATGCTTGACATACAGTAATCAGGCTTTGATGTTACCCCTTCCCCTGAAAGACCCCCCTAATGCGATGCGCGGTGTCAGGTTGCTGCCTGGGAGAGAAAAGAGCAGGCAGGACGACAGGACGGCAACTTCAGAGATAAAAGCCACCACCTACATTAACCAGAGGCTAGTGTGCCCTTTAGATACAATCACAGCATGACTCAGATGACTGCTGTGTTTCACTGCAGCACTTTGACAGCCCAACCTGGGTTGAGAGATTAATGCACCATCTTAATTCAAACCGCTGCATCACTACAAATGAATAGAGCATTGTCTGGAGCGCATCAAGCTTCGGCAGCGCCCCACCTGGGTTCACCAGCTCGTCCCAGGCGACGTGCAGGCGCTCTTCGATGCCATTGACGCCATTGGGGATCTTGCGGAAGTCGTGCAGTCCGGCGCGCTTGGCCGTGGAGTTGAAGGGCGCGTGGTCTGTTGCGACTATGGACAGCACGCCGCCCGCCAGGCCGGCCTTAATTTGGCGCTGGTGCTCCTTGTTGCGGATGGGCGGGCTCATCACATATTGGGCCGCCACCTGCACGAAGACACAGCAGCAACAGCGGCGCAGTCAGCCCCTGTCCCTTGTGTTGAGATCGGCGCTTGACTGCCAGTCCGTTGCAAGGTTGCGTGGACTTGAACTAGATCAGGTAGAGGTGATTCTGAGAAAGGAGAGAGGTATTACAGGGAGAGAAACAGCCATAGGCTGAGGATTGCAACGAATTGGACGATGTCAACGGCGTGCACAATCAAGATCGTTGCAGCAGGGATGAGCTGCCAGCTTGATGGCCAGTTCCCGGTGCAGCTTCGGCAGTGCCTTCTTTCAATGTGGTAGATGCTTCTGTCAGGCGGCACAAGGCAAGTGGGTAACATGGCCCTCTCAGCGGCCGTCTTCTCAGCTGGCCATGAGAGGCAAAGGTAGAGCAGATTTCTCCACTGTGACAACTCCTGATACCACTCAAGCAGGTGAGTCACCTTGAAATCGGGGTCCCAGATCTTGGCCTCGTCAGCACCGAAGCCAGAGGCCACCGCCTCCCCAACGACGCGCTGACCCCGGGTCTTGGCGGCCGCGATCTCTGCCACAGCGCCGCCGCTCATCACGTGCACGATGTACACCGGCACATTGACATACTGCGCCAGGCGCAAGGCTCGCGCCGTTCCCTCATCCTGCACAGCAGAACGCAGCACCAAGCTAGAAAAGCGCACCAAAGTGAGTGTTTTTGTCTTTATTGTCATTGACATTTCGTGCCAGAGGGAAGGTGCGCATGCACCCAAGCTGCGCTAAAAGGCTGCCAAAATCCTACCCCTTGTTGGACTGGCCCGATCCAAGCAAGTCCAAACCAACCGTGGGCACGGTGCTCAGCGTTAAGACCGGCCCCCACCAGCTGGGCCATTTGACTGTGTAGTGAGTGATCTTTAGGCAACCTTCTGTGGCTGTTGATGCAGAGAAAGGCAAGGAAGTAGCGGGTAGCAGGCGAGTGGCAGCAGCGCACCTCAAACACGGCTGGTCGGGAGATGTAGTGGCCCTCAGGGCCGGTGAAACCACTATCAAAGGTCCTCTGCTGCGCATCCAACAGGGCTGCAGCGTTCTCGCAGTGGACCTGTAGCGCCACAGTAAGTAAGGAGACTTGAATGCAGCATGATCAGCTAAGTAAAGCAAGGATACAGGGAAGGAGGAGCTGAGCTGGCAACTCACAATTGGCAGGGCCCCTAGCTCCTTGCTTCTTCTGAAGCCATGGATGAGCTGGGCATCGTCAACAGCAAGTGATCCGCTGTATGCTAGGAAGAACTTGAAGCTGTTTATGCCTTCCTTTGTCAGCTTGCCCATGTCAGAAGCCACCTGTGGTGCAAGATGTCCTTGTCACATCTGCTGAGCATGCCGTTATATTTTTCACTACCAAGAGCCTTGATGCTTAAAGCAATGAAGGCTCTCATGCAATGCTGATCCATCTGATTGTGTGAGAAGTTTAGGAAAGCGAGTGGCTGACACTATAGCAGCAGCCTGACCTTGTCGTTCCAAGTCGTGACAGCCATATGGAATCCGTAGTCCATAACGCTCTTTTTAGCAACCTTTTTGTACCGCTCAAAGCCCGCTGCCAGGTCTCCTTTTATGGGCAGGGCAAAGTCAATATGCATGGTGGTGCCACCAGCAAGAGCTGCTGCCTGCCCACTGCAGGCACAGGGTTTCATGTCTTAGACCTCTCAAAGGCCAGCCAGGTGAGCAAGGATACCTTCAGTACTTCCCGTAGTACCTGTAGAAGTCGTCTGTCGAGATGATCTCCGCCTTGGACCCCCAGCCCATCTCTGCGTCGAGATGAGTGTGAGGATCGATGCCTCCGGGCATCACATACTTTCCCGTCGCATCCACGACTATTGATTGTTTAGGCGCCTGATTTTCAAGCAAATCTGTGAGTTAGGAGACTCCAGGCCGGCACAGCCTTGCTTATGGCATACTCTTACGACATTAGTGCATGTCGCAAAAAATTCTATGGGTGATCGACGTAAAACCGTACCTTTAGATTCTTTCCCACACTTTCGACGAGGCCATCCTTAACGATTACATCCGCCACAAATTGATTTTCAGCATTGACGACGGTACCACCCTGCGGCATTGGCCCGTTGCAGCATCAACACTCGTCGAGACAGCGCCACTGATCATGCCTGTCAACAGATAGTCTCGATTGTCTCACCTTGATGAGAAGTGTCTCCGCCCAAGCAACGTTGAGGACTGGCAGAATGCACAGCAACAGTATGAGCACCATCACTAGAGGGTTTAATCCTCTACTGACAAGCTATGTTATTGATGCTCGCTTCAGAGTGGGAGCACGCGCTGACATTCCTGTACATGTCACAGAACGGATCAGAAGAACTAGGAAAGGCTCAGGAAAGGCTCGATGCAATAATTCTACTGTCATGTCGGAGAAAGGCAGAATACGTAGTCCCGTAGAGTGCACGTGGTGGGGTGCCATCACTTGAGGCAAGATGGCATGTTGCAGGGGACGAGAGGAAGCGTGCCTCTGCGCAAATTTGCAGACAATGGTGGTTTCCGAAAGTCTCAGCAGTCAGGGTCCTTTGCATGCGAACGCAGCAGGCCACAAGGTAGCAAGAGCGCTGGTTGTGACCCCTTAGACTGGCCAGCCACATCAATTGGTCCCACGTAAACGGGGACGGTCAGGTGGTCATGCAGGAGAGAGAGCTGAACGATGCTCTCAGTCGCATGCGGCTGCAGCTGTTGAAGGATGGGCATTTCTCTCAGCTTTCCGGGCAGCAGCGCGATTTGGCAATCTCCCAGGGCCTAGGGCTCCCACAGCAGATGCCTCATTCCTGGGGCCCTTCGCTGCAATCTGCCAGCAGCAGCCCGTACTCCTGGTTGCCAGACGTGAACGGGTTGTCGCACCTTCCGGGCAATCAGGGGACAGCAGGCACCCAGCCGATGCTCCCCGCCGGTGCTGGCAGCACGGATGGGGGTGCTTCCTCGGCTGACCCTCAACTCGGGCCTGCGGACTTGCATGATCAAGGGAATGGGCTCTGGGGCGGCGGTCTGTACGCCAACGATCCACACAACATATGGTCGGCAGGTGAGGCTGCGCCGTAAACGGGGTGTCTCTGCAGATATGCAATGCCTTCCGTCTTACCTATTGCTGCTCGATTTTGAGAGAGGATGCTGCATTTCATATGATTCAAGGTGCCTGTCGTGTGCGCAATTGGAGTTTTTTTTGTTCGGTATGAGATACTGGGTGCCAGTTTCTATCAGCTGCTGTTCTGCTTATCCTGCAGATGCAGTCGAGTCCCTTGTGCTGATGCACCGTGGGATGCATTGTGCAGGTGTGTCAAGCTCACCACAGCAAGGGGGCAGTCTCACTGCCCCTAGCGTTGGGGCAGGCTTGCTGCTGGGACAGGAGAGCGGCCAGCAAACGCAGCCTCTCAGCCATAGCCAGCAGCTGCAGCTGCTAGCCGCCAACGGGATGGGCAACATGGGGAACAGGGTGTACAGCGGCAACCTGGGAACGGATAACTACGCAGACAACGGCCAATATAGCGACTACGGAGGCGGGCTGCATGGCGCGGGGGGCCTCTCGCCCTCCAACCTGGGCGGCCTCGCTGCTCTGGGCAACACATACGGCGGCGGCAAGCTCCAGCAAGGCCTCCCCACCAACGGGCTGCCCAACAACGGCTACGGCGGCAATCAGCCGAGCCAGGATTACAGCGGCCTCCACATGAACGGCGGAGCAGCAGGCGGCCTCCACAATGGCCTCGGCAATGCCGCGCTGGCTCACAAGCTGGCAGGCCTCCCAAACGGCGGCGGCGCTGGCTACTCCAACGGCCACCACCTTGGGAACGGCTCCCTGGCCGGATTGGGCCCTGGGAGCGGGATGACAGGGTCCAACGGGCACCTCAGCGGCCTCCATCCCGGCGGCATGGCAGGCGGCTATGGCCTCCAGCAGCAGCAGCAGCAGCACCAGCAGCAGCAACAACAGCAGATGCTGAACGAGCAGCTCCAAGCGCTGGGGCCGGCAGGCATCGCGCAGCTGCCGCCGCAGCTGCAGGCGTACGCGCGCGAGCTGCTGCTGCGCCAGCACCGGGCGGCGCTGATGGGCGCACATCAGATGCAGCAGCCGCCGCCGCCGCCGTTCGGCATGCCGGGCGCTGGTGGCATGCTGCCCGGCGCGCAGCGGCTGGACATGGCCGGCTTCCGCCGCGACCTCCAGCGCAACGACATGCCCCTCGGCCGCCAGGGCTCCCGCCCGCTGCCCCCCAAGGTCAGCCCAGCTTCTGCCCAACAGGCCATGTGCATTTCACGTTCTTCTGGCATGCATGAGACAGCTATGAGCCTTACGGCTGTTGCATACAGATATAGATCTGCGGAATTATGACGTACATTTTACTCATCTTCTTGGAACCTGCCTGCATTGTGACAAGTGAAATTAAATGGTTGATGAGTCATTCTGAATGTGGTTGTGGGTCTGCCGCGCAGGGGTTGGATGACAGCTTTCTGATGGGGTCGTCGGAGCTGCTGAACGGGCTGCCGGGGCAGCATGTGCCTCCGCCGCCGCCGCCGCGCGCCATGAACGGCCGCATGCAGCCGCCGCCGCCGCCCCCGTCCTCGCAGGCGGGCACCTTCCAGGCGCGCATGCAGCAGAAGAAGGTCATTGCGTCCCTGCTCCAGCGTGGGCCCTGGTCAGTTCTAGTCCCCACCTCATCTCTTGTTCTCTCATCCTCAAGAGCCAAATATTAGATCCTGAGATTTCAGACCACCCTCTCGTCTCCACATACTTGCCGCGCTTGCAAGTGACCGGGGACACCATGAAGCTCTGTTGCCTGGGAGTGGAAATGCAGTATGCAATTTTCTCATCTCTGGTATAATGATCTTTGAAATTGCATGCTATCGTGCACAAGGTGTGGTGCGGACCTCTTGAACTTGTGTGCTTCTGCCGTGCAGCCGGGACAAGGCGTATGTGCCGGGGGCGCAGCCCAAGGCTGACATGGCGCAGCTGAACCAGGAGCTCACGGAGCTGGTGGACTCCTTGCGGCCCAAGCCCGATGAGTGCCAGCGGCAGAGGTGCACACCGCCACCCAGCTTCCCAGCTCTGTAGGACTGTGACCCGCCTTGTGTCTTGCTATTTGGGAGAATGCAAAGGGGGCAATTGTGTAGTGGGTGTTAAATGGCCGCATCTCAAACCTTTGCTGTCTTACATGATGCCCCAACGGCCACAGCAATTTATTCCTCAACTACTGGACCCTCAAGTTGGTTATTAGAGGTCCCGTCTGGCATGCATGGCATGCAGGACAATTATTTCAGGCAATGTGTCACCTGTCAGCATTTGAGCGCTGTCTGAGATGTCTGGGTGTGCTACTCTAGTGAGGCGTTGGAGGCGCTGCGTGTGGCGCTGACAAAGCGCTGGCCGGACTGCAAGGTGCACCTGTTTGGCAGCACGGCCAACCAGCTGTCCATCTGCAACAACAATGACATCGACGTCTGCCTAGAGCTGCCCGACCTGGCCAGCGACACGGTGCGCTGCCTTGCCACTTCCCGGTGCTCTGGAGGCCAACTTCATGTCTCTGACCCTGGCAACCAGCTGCCTGTTGTCTTCATCCCTGCTGAGCTCACAAAGGACAATTTCAGCCGCGCCACTGTATGGCATTGCTGTCTCATCCTTGGGTCTCATTCACTCTGCTGTGCATGTCCCGGACATTTGACCCTGGGCAATAGTTGTGTGGGTTTCGGGCTGAGTGCGAGCGGGTGTGACTTTCAACTGCAGAACACCAAGGGTGAGGTGGTGGAGGAGCTGGGGCAGCTGCTGACGGAGGCGGGCATGCAGAACGTGCTGCCGCTGCCCAAGGCGCGCGTGCCCGTCGTCAAATTTGTCGTCGGTGACAACGGCACCAAGGTGCGCGTCCCGACCCACTGTCCTCTTGTGCGGTTTTATATAGCAGTCTCTGATTGCATGGATCATTGCAGCGATGCCGTTGGGAGTGGCTCGCAAGGATGACGTCACTTAAGACTGGTGGAGGCCCGGCTTGCACCTCAGGCCTGGTGCAAGCCTGCTCAGGCAGTCAGTAATTATCGCAGAGGAACAGTCAGTCATGCACTGTTTACTTGGTACAAGTAAACAATGTGACATTGAGGCATGGGGCTGCTGAGCCCCTAGAGCGGTGAACTTCATTGCTTGGAACTACAGGTGGACATCACGGTGAACAACATCCTGGCCATCGTCAACACCAAGCTGCTGGCCGATTACGTGAGCATCGACGACCGCCTGCTGCAGCTCTGCTACGTCATCAAGCACTGGGCCAAGCGCCGCCAGGTAAACATTGCGAAGACATTTTGCCATCTCTGGCTGTGTACATTCCTCCTGCAAGAAAGCAATGAGGTGCGCACTCTTCGGTTTTCCCTAGTAGAGGTGATTGTTGCATGTTGAGGAGAATGGAATATTTCTGATCATTTTTGGCTTTGCTGACGGCAGAGAGTGTTGCGCAGGTGAATGACTCCTACAGGGGCACGCTGAGCAGCTACTGCTACGTCCTCATGTGCATCCACCTACTGCAGCAGCGCCAGCCGCCCATCCTGCCCTGCTTGCAAGCCATCAAGCCCCCGACCCATTTCAGGCATGCCCTAGACCCCATCCTCTCAATGTTTTAATCAGCACACAAGAGACATCCACCCTACCATCCAAAATGCTTGCTGTGGAGTGCCCTTGCGCATTCCTTGGGTGATAGATATATGGGTCTGTTATGTTTATAGAATAGAAATTTTGTCTATACTGCAAGATAAACAAAGAGCACAACATGCTCCAGAGTCTGAAGTGGAGTTTGCACTCTTACTGCAGGACGGTAGGGCAGTGGGTGTGCGATTACTACGATGACCTGGAGGCACTCAAGGGGTTTGGCGAGGGGAACAAGGAGACCCTGGCGGACCTGGTGTGGGCCTTCTTCGAGTACTGGGCCTGGAAGCACGACTACAACAACGCCGTCATCAGCGTGCGCACGGGCGGCTTCCTCACCAAGTCCCAGAAGGAGTGGACGCGCCGTGTTGGCAATGAACGCCACCTCGTCTGCATCGAGGTGCGCGCTGCCCCCTTACCCCTTCCTGATGCCCTCGCTCTCTCTCCTGGGCAACGTTGCGCATTGTCTTGTGTGAGATGCTCCTTGTTCACACGATGTTCCTGCAATCGCCTGCATATTCATGCCTTTCCCAGAGGATGATGTGCAAGGGTCGGGAGGTGGGTGCGTGGCTCAAGCAAGAGCCTGCTTGACTGCAAAAGGGCAGCGTGAGCATGTATGACAGCCCAAGATGAAGCTGGCAATGACTGAGAACACAATGCCCCCGTATACTGCCTGCCCATACGCCACTATCTGTGGACGTGTAGCTTCCTTTGACTGACTCATGCAGTGCTCAAATGCTGCTGATCTTGGACTGTGAGGCTTTTGCGCCGCTTGCGATACAATGCATATGGTGGACAGCAAATCTCAGGGGATTGGAGAGCGCGGGCTGGTGGCATACATGCCAAGTTTAGCATCATTTTGCTGGTGCACTGACATGGCAAGCTATTACGTGTGCGCAGGATCCGTTCGAGCTGACGCACGACCTGGGGCGCACGGTGGACCGGCAGACGAACGGCGTGCTGCACAAGGAGTTTGAGCGCGCCGCCTGCGTCCTGCGCGACCACGAGAACCCCCTCGAGAAGCTCCTGGAGCCCTACCGCGCCGGCAAGACCGAGTGAGCATCCATCATGCGGCGTCCCCTCCTCCGGTCCTCCAAGACCGGTGCGCTTTTTACGCTGCCTTCGCCGGCAGCCGGGCCGATGCACCGGCGGGGGAGACGCGCGCATGATTCAGCGGGCCAGCGCCCCCAACGGAGCTGAGCCGCGCTTCTTATTTATCGTTTGATTGCAAGCGGCGTTCGAAGGGAGCGCCCTGTGCTCTTTGGGCAGCAGTATGATTCATCCCGGTAGCGGCTGCTGCGGGGGCCGCCACCTGCATGCAAGCTGGGACCCAAAACCCGTTCTTGCACCTTCTTTTTTCTCTGGGCGTTTGCAAGAGGGAGGGGGTGCAACAGCTATAAGGCCGGGAAGAGATGTGCGGGTGAGGACAGCGCAAATACGGCAGTGAAAGTGAGGCCTGGCCGCGGGGCTGCCGATGGGCGCTTGTTGAGCATATGGCATTGGCCAAAAGATTTGCATGTTAGTGGATTTCAGACCATGATTTTTAGTTTGAGCCTCTGCTGGGGGGCCGCCTGCCGGCGCCCAGCATGTGAATGATGCACGTCGCGCTTCTGCTTTTGGTTGTCATGTTTTCGGGCATGGTCAGGATGATTCCACAGCACAACACACATCCCTAGCGTGGGAGGCACCAACAAAGGCCTCTCGCGCGCTCAGATAAGAGAGTGAGAGGTCCAGAGGTTTGAGGGCCTGCGCCGGAACAAAAGGACTGACATTGCTTTGGTGCCGGGGGGGCGGTGTTGGGTTTGCTGCCTGCCGGTGTCGCTCGCGGCAGCAACCCTTGGGTGCTCTTTATGTTTTGTGTGAGGCATTTAGCTGGCGCGTGGGAGTCCAGGAGGCCTGCCCCAGCCACGCACTCGCAGTGCTCCACCCCAGAGTGCAGAGCAAGCCAACACCCTGCTGATGGGGGTTCGGGACCATCATCAAAGAGGGCTGGGGTGGCACTCGGGTGCAGGCATAGAAGTCAAGGCACTGGCCAGGGACGGTTCACAGTGTTGTTGCGCTCTAAATTAGTTCTAGTTACAAGGAAAGGTTGCGTTGGAACCAGCTCAGCAGACAGAGTGAGTGATAGCTACTGGGGGGTGCGCGAGCGTCCTCGTTTGCATGAACGGCTCCTCGGCGGCCCTGCGGCTGGCTGGGTGTTTTGCAAGTCGTGATCACGGGGGGAGGGGTGGAGGGGGGGGCCCTGCTGCACCCCCCAGCCTTTGTAGCTCATGCTCCCACTGGTCAGCCTGCCCATTCGGGGCGCTGCCAGCAGAGGGTCATTCTCCTGCCCAGTTTACTGTATGGGCGGGCCTGGTTCCACCCCCACTCTTAAGCGGGGCACCGGCGTTGTTTGTCAGATATACATATATATGTAGGACGATCCCCGCAATCCAGATGGGTGTGTGTGTGCGTGTGTGTGCGTTTCCCATGAAGTGGACGTCTGATTTGTGTGCCTCAAGACCGCTCGCGCGCAGAACTTATGTAGGCTGATTTGCAAGGACGGCGTGTTGATTAGATGCAGAGGGATTGGTGCATGGCACGAGGCTTCCGGGGGTACATGGTGTTGAAGTGCAGCGAGTGGCGTGGCTGTAGCGCCCGCTCCCTCGACGCCATGACATGCCCCTGCCTGGGGCCCTTTATTTTGATTTTGAGCTGGGAAGCGGACAAGCTGGGAAGGGGTGGTCAAGGCGGGGTTGACTGACTGGCAAGCTGGGCTGACATGGGGACAGATCTGCACAGATATGAGCCCAGCCGAGGAATGGTTTTCTGTCTCTCTGCATGCAACTGGCTGGACAAGTCAATTCAATTCGTAGTGCTTCCGGTACCCCTGCTATCAGGGGAGCCAGCGGTCGCGCAACCGGTCACATTTGCATTGAGCTGTATTATCTTTGGGCAACCCCAGGGTGGGCCATGCGTGCCTTGGGGGCGAGTATTATTTTCTGGCGGCTGTGAACTTTCTTTTCCGCTTGTAGTGGTGAGAGCCCGTATGTGAATGCTGTGCTTTTCGATAGCTCTGGACATGCCATAGCCCGCGATGTTGAATGATTCTGCGCTTCTGAGATTGCACCTGGAAAGTTTTGTACGATATGCTGATAGACAGGTGAAGGAAATGTTGCAGCTGGCGTTAAAGCCACATGGTCCGAATTAGAGGCTCGTGGATTTCTGTTGAGTAGTCCGGCTGTCTCATGGGTGTGGATGCCTTCTCAGCAGGGTCTGCAATCCATCAAACTCCCTGTTGTTGCAGACTGCAAAGTGCTGCATTACGAGCTCAACTGTGAGATTGGACAAGACGTGTGGGGTTTTATGCAAATGCGTGCTGGCATTGGTGTCTTCTTTATGAGTTGTGCAAGTAGGATTTCATCCGGCAGTCCAACAGCTAAGTAAAGGAATGTGTTGCATCTCGATGCATATTTTGAGCGTCAGAAAGTGTGTTGACTTGAAAGCCACATCTGGTAAGATTCGAATTGAGAAGCGTCGTTGATATTAGACTTGTGTGCGTCACGCGGTACATGAAACACATATGATGAATTGCCAAATTTGCACATGCTCCAGCAATGGTATCATGGTTCTTTCATGCTGAATCATGATATCATGCAAGGTCATACATTATATGGCATTGCGCTTCCAGCTGTTGCAGGGCAACTCTTTCACTGAAACACCCAATTGGTTGCAACTGATATCTTGAGATCGATCTCAAGAGCAATATATGCATGATCTCAATGTCATCACGAGTGCATCTTTGTGTGTAGATTGAACCTCTTTCAAGGACCTGCCACTGGTCTCATGCAACCATGGTCATCGGTATCGTGAGCCTGCTTAAAAGCTGTTACCCATATACAGATGGTCGGATGCATTTTTCCATCCGAAAAATGGAGGAAAATGGTCCGATTTACAATGCAACAGAAGATTGATCAGTATGATGCAGGTCACATGGGCAGGTCGGTATTTCGATTGTCTTCTCAATGGATCTACACCCCGTCCATAAAAAGAGACAGGGAACAGTTCGCTCGCAATGTTCAAACTCCCGCTCTCTGCTCTAAAGCCCCGTCCCAGCTCTCGCTGAGCATGCGCTTCACTTCTTCTTGGCGGCAGCGTTGTTGAGCTGGTTCAGGGCAGGGCCGCCGATGTTGAACAGCACCCAGCCGATCACCGGCAGGAAGAGGGTGGCGATGATTCCAAAGCGGTTGTCACCTGCACACCAGCGATGGAGCTTCAGCGTAGAGCGAGCCTGTCTGGTGCTCCCAACAGCCTTTTCTCACAACCACACTGAGGGTCCCAATGGACACCATTTCTCCCCAGCATGTCCTTGACCAAAGCACTTCAACTTTTGTGAAAGACCTTCAGGGCGAAAAGCACACTGCCACAGCAGAGCACGCCATGCAGGGCCAGCACTGCAGAGAGTGAGCAGAGGCTAGACACCAGAGAAGAATGCCCAGGCGTCGCTGTGCCCCTGGCAATGCGCGTCGGAAAACACTCCTGATGACAAACAGAGCCCAGAAATGACATGCAGAACAATGAGGCGCGCACCTGCGGCGAGCTGCATGACCTCGTTGGCGGCGTCGGCCTGGGGCACGGCCAGCAGGGAGGCGGCTGAGAGTCCGACGATGGCGCCGGTGACAGCGCGCCTCTTGTTGATCTTGGAGGCCACCTTCTTGACAACGCCGCTCTTGTTCTTGTTGGCGGCGTTGTTCAGCTGGTTGAGCGCGGGGCCGCCGATGTTGAACAGCACCCAGCCGATCACCGGCAGGAAGAGCGTCGCGATGATGGCGAAGCGGCTGTCCCCGGCCGCCAGCTGCGCGACCTCCTGCGCCGCGTCCGCCTTCTGCGATGCCAGCAGCAGCGCAGCCCCCAGGCCCACTCCCACCGCTGCGCCGCGCGTCCTGTTCGCCACAGGCATTTCAATCATCTACCCACACTTGACTGCATGTAATGCAATGGGATGATGTGTACTCCTGGGCCAGAGGTGTCCTGTATGTTCCACATTTTCCACGTACACTGCGAGGCAGCCCTTCCTCCTTACTTTTGGCGCTCCCTCTGCTGATGTCACCATACCACTTTCCTACAAACATCTGGCAGAGTGCGCAGAGTCGCACGCTGTGGGCTATCGCGTTCCACAGGTGGCCATGAAAGATTGCCAATCAAGCTGGCAGATATTGCGTATTTGAGCAAAGCAATTTGCAGCAGCAGGCCAGGTGGCATAGGTACAGACGGATCAGGCTGCAGTGGGGCGATGCAGTGATGTCTGGTGGATACAAGATGTGAGGTATGAAAGAAGTCTGAGCATGCCACTCACTTTGTCTTCATGTTGTTGAGCTGGTTCAGGGCGGGGCCGCCAATGTTGAACGCCACCCAGCCAAGAGCGGGCAGAGCCAGGAGTGTGAGCGTGCCGAACCGGTTGTCCCCAGCTGCGAGGGTGGCCAACTCATTCGCGGCCTGTGCATTTCCAGCTGCCAGGAGAGTGGCAGCTGCTGTGCTCCACGCTGCTGCTCTCGTGATCTGTTCCTGTGCAACACAGATGGTATGTCTGTCGATGTATTGCCGTCCAGTAAAGCCTGTGGACTATGATTGGCCTATTCACCAGCAGATCTGCTGAATGGAATTTCTATGCGCTCGCCAAATGCTTGGGCACGGGCACATCCCCTCCAATGTAGGTCAATTCAAGCTGAAATATTTAAGTACAATCCAGATCCTCTGAAAGAAGGTCTCCCAAAGAAATTCACTGGTGCATCCTCAAACACAGAGGTTGACCCCGGGACTTGGCCGAGCATCGACACTGGCACCGTGCCAGCTTACCTGCAATTTCAGGCTCTCAACAGAGTGCTGCGCCTGAGCTGAGCATCTGATGGAAGGCAAGCGGAGGGGCAGAGGCGAAACACCGAACACCCTGGACGGGCTCGCCACGGGCCGCAGAGCACGGGCGCTCTGGGCAAGTGCAGAGCGACCGGCCACTTGGGAGGTGGACACAGCAGCCATCCTTTCAGCAGGAGGTTTCGATGGAGGGATGGTCTATTGCACGAACCTTTCAGCGCCCGAGCTCTTCTGAAGGTAAGGTTAAGATCGCGTAGCTGGGGTGGGATAATGCGGTAACTTTGGATTCGCCAGTTTTAGGGGTTTAGCCATGTTTTCTCACTGGATTCTGAATCTGGATCGCACATGCCGGCCTGTGCGAGCATGTGCCCTCACCTGCGATTAGGGCTGAAGAGAAACACTTTTGCATGTCCTCCACTTTTGCATGCTGGCATGATGTAATGTTTCTCTCTCTCTCTCCTCCCCACACACCATCTGGACCTTCTGGTAGGGATGGAACCATGCATCTAGTACAATACTACAGCATGCAGAGTTTGAGCTTCGTAACAAGCTCAGGTTAGGCTAATTAGGCACATGTCCCTCGTGACGTCATGACCAGCGCTGCTAGCAAACCAATGATTACATGCCTCCTGCTATGATACAACCGGCTTCTTTGAAACACTGTTTTTTTGTCACAAAAAAAAGATCAAGATAAACTCGAGGCATGCATGCTGTCCGCACACACAGGCCTGTATTGGTCCTAGGACAGTATTGATCCTCATAATATGATATCCTCTGTGACATAATGTCATATTAGAAGCCTATTACCTAAGATCACAAGGGTTCCGGAGGCTAAATGTGTTTGATGCGCTGCCTGCTGTCCTCGCCATCTTGCACTCAGCAGCTTGCCAATTAAGAGCCTACTGCCAGTAGTAAATTGCTGCCGCTGCCATTGATCAGGATTGCGCCACCAATCTGCCTTTCAGACAGTACTCCATTGTATGTGAACAGGTGCAGCCCCCTACTGGAAATACCCGCGGCCTTCTTGAAGCTCGATGGTGTTGGTGCGCTCGTTGGGGTAGGCACCAAAGTCCTGCTCCAGCGACTCCCTCTGCCAGCCACCCACCTTCTTGGAGCGGCGACCCAAGCAGAAGGCCAGGGCTGTGGCAATCCCCACCACTCCAACCACCACGGCAATGGCAATGCCTGCCTTTGCCCCGCTGCTGAGCCCACTGCCGCTCTGGGCAGACCTGAGCAATGTGCAGGCAAGCGTTTAAAAGAGTGCAGGTGCTGCTGTTGCAGAGACGCTATTGATAAGAACATGTGAAATCTGTGAAGGTCAGAGTGTTCACACACGGTAAAGAGTAGGACTAAAAGCCGTACACGTCTCACCCAGGCCTGACATGCCAGTCCACATCAATGGACATTTGGCTCGTGCAAAGCTGAGCGAGCTGAGAAGGGGCAGTGAGATCCGGGGACTCACTCCTGTGAAGTGTTGCTCTCCACGCTGGTGGTTCCCGTCTGGAGGGAGCTGGGACTGGGGGCATTGCCCATATTTTCCACAGTGCTGGGCTGAACAGGTGCTATTGCTGCCCTATCCACGCATGTGAGGTTCAAGTATTCCATTCCTTGTGGAATCGGGCAGCTGAAGTTGTTCCCCTGCAATAAAACAATTTTTTAAGATGTCCTGGCAAGCACGAACAGCTGGTCCCTGGGTCGTACACGGTTGCAGATCAAGGGAGCAATTAAGAGGCTAAAGATGCTGACCTGTAGTTCAATGGAGAACGTAAAAATCTGGGGGAGGGTGGATGCGCTGAGGTAGGCCGGCAGAGTTCCAGTCAGCTCATTATCAGCAACTCCAAAGTACCGGATTGATGCCCCCAACAGGCTGGTGGCATTCACCTGCACCACACGGCAAATCAAGTGCCGCTGGCATCTCTGACCTTGGAAAAATCATTTCAGCAGGAACCCAGCTGCACTAGAAAAAAAGCATGTCACATTGGCAATTGTCATGCAGGAGACGCACCGCTTGGAAGAAGTTGATCTGACCAAAAGCCTCAGGCAGGGGCCCAGTCAGCTGGTTGTGACTCGCATTGAAGACTCGCAGGGATGGGAAGAATGCCTGATTGGCACTGGGGTTTGGGAATGGCCCACTGCACACATAAGTTTGTCAGTGTGCCCGCAAAGACACACAAATTGCGGAAACCATGGACAGGCCAAGCGTCTAATGGACGAAGAATTGAACATGCTTTCAACTCCAATAGTGAAGAGCAATCACCTGAAGGCATTGTCATCCATGTAGAAAATGGTCAGATTTGGCGCTGTGGAGAATGCGGCGGGAAAGGGCCCCTACAGGATCCAATCAGAATTCAGGCGGTGCTCTTTGCTCATTGCTTGGCTAAGGTGTGCACACGTCATCAGGAGGTAAGGTCGTCACTGGCAGTTGGAGAAGCAGGGCAGTCACACCTTGAACGAGTTCCCATTGATGGCGGCGTATGTCAAGGAACTGGAGGACAGGCCAGGACTACTGCTCCACCAAACATCTGGCAGCAGGCTCAGATGATTCAGGCTGACATCCAGCTCTGTCAATGTGGTAACACCTGCCAATGTGGACGGCAAGGCTCTGCACCCGCAAAGCAGCAAAGTGAGGACCAACTTAGGCATGCATATTTTCACCCCACATGATATTCTGTATAGTACTCTCAAGCGATCTGCAGCCAGACATCCGCTCAAAGGGCAGGGCGCTTGCATTGGAGGACATGGTAGATTACTGCAATTTGAGCATCCTGGGAATCCTTCCATTACGTGATGGCATGATACAACCACAAGGACTGGTTGGTGTTTGCATGCAATGGGAGCAGAGCAGCACCCTGTGAGGCTGTTGTTTGACAGGCGCAGTGAGGTCAGCAGTGGCAGGCTGCCCAGCGACTCAGGGATTGTCCCACTGAGATAATTGTTCTGTGCTGCGAAAGTGGTCAGGTACGTTGCATTTGACAGCGACGCCGGGATAGGGCCTGCAGTGCACGTACCACATCCATTCAGCTTGTACCACATCCGTTCACTGCCATTACTCAAGCCAGGCTTGCCTCTTACGCATCCCTGCTATGCATGCTGTGATAGGATGCACCATCTACAGCTCATGTGCTTACAAATGACCACAGGACTACATTCACTGCTGTCTCATAATTGCAGCTTTTTTCTGCTTCAGGCAAAGTTTCTAAAGCACTGCTTTATTACCGTCAAGGTGGTTTCCGCTGAAGGCCAAAGACTCCAGTTGGCTCGATTTGGGGATGGTGGGAATGGTTCCGGTGAGCCCATTTGAGTTGGCCAGCAGAGCCTTCAATGAGCTTCCTGCAGGCGCACACAACCAATAACAGAGCATTAGATGCCTTCAGTGAGACAGGTTCTAGGACATTCTGTCTCCTGAAGTATCCTCGCTTTATGAAAAACCAATGAAACGCCTTGGCACGCACCTGCGGCGAAGAGACAATTGGGGATCTCCCCGGTGATATTGTTGATCTGGAAGTTCAAGAACACCAAAGCCCCGTCAGCCAAATAACAGAAAGGGCTGAAGGACTGTGTTTGGGGATCTGAAGTACTGGCGTCCTGCAGCTGGCCTGAGAATTGGCCTGTCAGGAAGTTGTCTGACAGGTCCAGTGTGGTCAGGTTTGCTGCCAGGTGGACAAGAGCACTGCCAATCTGAGATATGTCTCCCTGCAGGCATCACATCCTGATCACCCATCTCACACCTAGCAAGAGCGGAGCCTTCAAGACTCCAAGTTGCGCCTGCAAGATGCACCTGCCGGGCTGCATGCAATGTCATGTAGGATTTGACATGGAGGCAATCAAAGAGGCTCACTGTGACGCTGTTGGACTGGAAGCTGATCTCTGTCAGGTACTGGAATTCCTGTATCTCCTGCAAGGGGAAGTCACAGAAGAGGCCAAACTGTGTGAAGTCCAGGCGCACCAGATGTCCTGCAGCATTGCAGCCATTTCACAGCGGCCCTCAATATCCAGAAATTTGGATATGTTTATAGAGCCCTACAATAAGCTGAACGGTCATCTGGTCATCTTGTAGCACCTGCGTCATTGCAGGTGCTCAGCCCATAGTTGCAGAAGTCTGTGTATGGACTGTCGCCACTCTGCGTGTTCACAGCATCCCAGTAGCGACAAGTCCCTGTTCCGGTGCTGGTGACATTGCTGCAGCACCTGGCCACACATGCATGCAGCCCTCTCAGAACTCGCCCAAATGCCACTAAAGGTGAAATCCAGCGTAGTTGTTTGCGCTGGAGGAACAGCGTACTTGGTATAAATAGACTTGAGAGCTGCTTGCTCAGTCTGATCGAGCTCAGCGCTGGATGCATCAACATTGACAGTCAAGGAATACAAGGATCCGTGATCTGCAGAACCATACACCTGCAACAGGCACACAGCTTCAGTCACCTATGCTGCACGGATTCCCTATTCTCATTGCCCAATGGGATTACTAGTACAACGGCAGCGGCCACTCGGGTTGCACACCGCACAGACAAATTCTGCGACGCCACTGGCATTGATAGCATTCCGGTAAGCAGTGTCATTTGTAGAGATAAAGACGTAGTCCGCGCCAAGCGGTTGTGCTGCAGGCACATGGAAAACGTTGGTTTATGCACGAGCAGGCATAGTACATGTGACATTCTGAAGGCTTGAAATGCACAGGCATCTGGAAGAGTCACCAGAGCCCCAGGCAGCATTTGTCGGAGAAGGAGGTCCATAGTTTACAAAGATTCCGGGATATGGAATGCAGTAGAGATCAGGATCACTGCCAGCCCCAAAAGGAGTGAGAGTTACGAAATAATCTGCGGTAGATGGTCCAGAAAATTTGTACAGATCAGCATAGCCCTGCCAGCAGCATCACCTGTCAGAGCCTTGCTGATAGATACTTGTAAAAATGCTCCAATCAGCTTACAATCAGGTCCAAGCGAATTGATGGGACCTGTGACGCTCCAGCGAGCAGATGCGGACACTTCAAGGCACTGGAACAATCGTGTTTTCATCTCGGCGAATACAGCTTTCCTCGACATCACTTCAAGAAATATAAGCAGTGAGGATTGGCGTACCAGGGTCACTCTGTTCTCCGCTGTCTGCCCCAGCTGCAGGACTGGGATTGAAGATGCAGCTGCAGCAGCACCAGCTGGAGAGTCTACTGTCTCACTTGCTAAAGATGTCGCCAGACTTGGAGGCTCTGCAAGTGTAACGATCTCGTCCCCTGTGTCGACTGTGAGATTCTGAGCTCTGCCTGTAGACCTCAAAAGCAGAAGAGCTGCCACTACTAAAAGAACCGGCGCCAACCTTTGCACCATTGTATTGTAGTCTAGATAAACCAGCACTTAACACAGCATGTTAAAATGTGGTTTTGGGCAGAATCTGACCATGAAGGCAACAACAAGAGAGGCGAAATGTGGCGTGCCACCATCGTTTCGTCCAAGAATCCCTGATGGGTCCACGTGGCAAATATTACTTAATCAAGTTGATCCAAAACAAGATTGAGAGCACGATCCTCCCTGAAATGATGACCTTGTCGCAGTATTTCCTGCTCAGTACGTCAGCATGCCTATGTGGACATCCGTGCAACAATTCTGTACAGGCTTGTGCCACACTGTGTGGCCTACCGCTGGCAGCGCTCTGGCGCCATTAAATAAGCCGTATTTTCATAGCTTTACAACAGCACTGTTAAATTCAGAGGATTGGTGGGGTGTGGGCAAACAACGACCCTTATGCATGCCAGTAGCTGTACACATGTGCTAAGATCCAGACAGACTCCCAGCTAGACATTTGAATTCTCTCAGTTCCACAAGTTCAAAATTACTCCCTTCTCAGCCTCGCTGCTACTTCCAGCTGCGTTTCCAGCCGCGCCTGCTGTCCTCCTGGCTGGAGTCTGATGCACCACCCAGCACGCTGGCATGGGCACCAGCTGGCTCATCATCGATGCGCGCCCCCTCCCCGGCCCTATGCAGCCTTTGAAACATCTCATCCAAGCTGCTAGCGCCCCCTGAACACACACAGCAATGCTCTGCTCACGCCAATAACATAACTGAGCATATCTGCAGGCTTTCACATGCCAGGATTGCAAAATCTTAAAGGCCAAGCATTGCAATAAATTGTGCATTTTAAAACGCCCCAGTTCTTCTGACAGGCTCCAGGTGAATCCAAAAATGTCAGCCCAGGTTCAGACTGAAAAATGATCCTGTTAACTTACCTCCATCTGAGGCTGTGGAGTCTGCGCTGCCGGCATACTTGTTCCGCAGCAGGGAGCGGTTCAGCGGCGGAGATGCGCTGGGAACAGCGGCCGGCGGCGTCAGGTTCTTTAGGCTGCCTTTGGATGAGCTGGCCCCTAAGCTGCCCGCGCCTGCGCCCCTGCTTGTCCATGGCGGCCATGCCTGAGAGGCACCTGGCGGGCCGGTGTCCATTGCCTGAGACATCTCCGTCGTCCTGAACCTGCACACAGGCATCATCGCATTATTAGCAGAGGTGTAATAGGGGACAGAAAGAGGGTGTCCTGAGGTTATTTCGGGTGTACTCAATCTGCATGGTACAAGAGGAATGTTAGCCATCGTGACCTACAAGCCACCTAAAGCGGCAGGACTCAACCAAGACAGCATACGCTACATGAAGGCGTTGCAAATGCCAGAGTAGGAAGAAGGGCTTTGAATATGAGGGATATGAAGATTCCATCCGGCAGTTTCCAGGGAAAACATGCACAGGCGGCGCACCCAGCGCTCTGGCCGCGCTGATTGCTCCCAATGCTGCTGTCCAGGCCGCGCGCTGTGAGGGTGCGCGCACGAGCTGCATCGTTCAGCAGCCCTGCCTCCGTGTCCCCCCACAGGCCCAGCCCAGCCCCCCACGGCAGCCCCCGCCCGTGAGCCTCCTGCAGGTGTGTTACCAGTAGGTGTGAACACCACTCACACTCTGATGCGATTCTTGACAGCAGCAGACGATGGAATGTTGAATCACCTGCTCCTGCCGCAGCAGCAACCTGCCCCGCTCTGTGTTCTCATCGCTGCCAGCATCCTCATCAAACCGGTACCGCTTTGGTATACACAGGCGGGCCAGAGAGTCCCAAACATTCAGGAAGCTGCAGAACAGAAGGCAGCTGAAAGAAACTTGATGTCCAGCCTTCTTGCAGATCTTATACAGTCATCATGTATGAGAGTGCAAATGAGGGCCTGACAGCCTCAAGCAGCATCCTTACATGAATTTTTATCTTCTGAGAGGCAGAGGAGAAAAGCGACTTACAGTAGAGTACAGTATACTACAACAACCAGAGGGAACCAAGTGTTGAAGTTAGTCCCGAACACTGGGACGTCCCTAATGGCTGTGCCCATTTCCTGGGCAAATACAGTGGCCTGCGTGCACACGATCAGTCACTCATCGGCTACATATTACATTTGTGATCGTAAAGAAGTTTCCCACCCGCCCTATTCTGCATTCAGCGAGGCACCAGGGTTCCCATGGTACAGCGCGCACCTTGTCAGGCCCAAGGTACTCGTGCATGCGAATGACATGAAGGTAATTGTAGGCCAAGGGCGCTGCAAATCTGGTGACCTGAAGCACATTCACAATGCTGTGAAAACAGCTGTTTGCTGGGTAGCCACTTTACGTGAGTCATGTGGAATTCCACAGCAGAGTACTTAGTTGATTGCAGAAGAAACAGGTCAACATTTTCATGCAGACTTGGAGGCAAATTTAAGCCGACCGATCAAGAAATAGAGTTGCTTACCTGGGCAGCATTCATGAGGAGCGAGTGCGCATTGGTGGCATGGGGCACAACATGATAGAAGGAGAACATGCCCAGCTTGAACAGGGAGTAGTAGCAGCATGTTGCCATGTAGGCCAGCGGCAGGCTTGTCAGCAGCTGAGTCATCGCCTCGCTCTGTGCACCCCCATTGACCATCTGCATACATACAGATGTGAATTTATATGAAAATCCCCAAGAACTGCCACTTCTGCAGCATATTGAGGGCAACTCATGACCGAAGGTCAAGCTCTTTTGACCTTTTCCAATTTGGCATTCAGGTGCCAGATGATGCTTCAGAAAAAGGGGAGCGCTCACGTGTGAGAAGGGCGAGAGATCAGGATTGGTCCCTGATGCGATGGTGGCCTCGCTCCACACGATCAGGAATGACACGGCTCCCAGCACGCACGCCAGCACCCTTGTCACCCATGGCTTTGCTGTGCAGCTGCGTACACATAAATCGCCTCTGGCATGACTCCCTTATATTAAGGTTGCCACCAATGCAACATAACCGTTGCAAACAGGCTTGAACTCAACAACACAGTGCTCTTCATGATATACCCAGGTTGGCAGGTAAAGTTAAAGCTTTTCAAGAGCTTTCAGACGCATTTGCATTCAAAAGCTCCAGGAAGATAAATCTGCATCCCATCAATGGCCCATCCAAATGCATTGGCAGCAAACTCAAAAAAATATCATGTGCGTGGGTACAGTACCTGTACATGCGCCAGGTTTTGGTGAAGCCGCTGACAGGGGTGGCACTGTCTGTGGAGCTTGCAAGGGAGTAGTCGCCAGCAGTCTTGCACTTGATGATGATGTCGAGCTCCATGGCGAGCTTCACTGCATCCACATACTCTGCAAGCAATCCTGTACACACAGAAACAGATGCAATTTGACAACCATAGGGGGTAATGTATGCTAGAAAGGCATGCTGCTGCGGAATTGACACGTGGCCACGTGGCCTGCTTCAAGTACGAAACTGACATGGGATGATCACCATCATAGGTGTTGATGGCTCGCTTGAGGCGTCTGCGCAAGGATGCCAGGCTCTTCTCGTCACAGCCGTAGTCCAAGTCAGTGTCTGTGAGATCATCCAGGTTCACACGTCCACGCTCATCCCGCAAAGCCTGCCCCGGTTTTATGGGTGAGCCTTCCTCTGCCTGTCGTTACAGGAAATCAAATTTCATGAATTACATCGAATGAGTGGACTTTCTCCAATGCATTGCCCATGAAGTACTGCTCTGAAATTGAAGAGCATAATTCTTGCATGGCTTTGTTGCTGTGCCGACCTCTCGATAGATGATGTCCATGTACTTGCGCAGGGGATCCCGCCGTGGCATTGGCTGCGAGGTTGCCTCAACCACCGTCGCCACCCTTGTCATCTCAACCACTGCATCCTCCAGCTTCTCTCCCGCCCTCCCCACCCTGTCATCATTGCCCGCCTCAGCAGAGGATTAATGCATGTAGATGGGTTGCACTCAGTCATGGTACATCCATGTTGTGTTCAATAGACCAATGCAAGGAAGAGGCCAGGTCCATACTTGTAGAATGCATACTGAAGCCTTGTCGCAGGGTCTGCCTCACGCAACATAGTGCGAGGAATGTGGACCAAGCCAAACCCGAGCAGCAGCATGACAGCCACCAGACCTGTTGATCAAACATCAATCTTGCCATCAGTGCACTGCATGTTCAGCATGGGATCTTGGAAACTGTAAGTACATTTGTACAGACAAGGCTGTTTGCGTCCCAGCCCAGGTTGGTCTCCAGCTCACCGTAAGTGTTGGACAGCAGCATTGCCAGAGGAAGGAGGTCTCCAGCATGCAGGCTCCCAGAGATGAGCAGCAGGCCAATGCCAACCAGGCCAGCAACCGCTATGCTCAAGTAGTACGTCAAGTTCTGCTTGAGACTTGACACCAGCCTGTAACAAGACATGGCATATGCTCAAAGCATGGCCCATTACATGATTTACGAACCACTTGCATAAGAGAAAAATTTGCATGATCACCTTCCTAAGACGGTGAAGTCTCCGGCGTCGCTGAACCCCTGACTCATGGGGATGAGGAACCAGGTCAAGAGCTGCGTTGCCCTGCAGCATGCAGGATCTCACTGAGCACTATTGGAGGGCCTTCGTCTGTCTGGTTGGCAATTCTGTTGGTGTGGGCAATAATGGATACTTGACTTACCAATAGCAGATGGCCCACATGATGAACACAGACTTATTGTTGCCACCATTCAACGTAACCCACACATCGATGGGCACGATGGCGATGATGGATATTGAAGTCATCCACCCCACAGCAGCAATAAGGCGCACGAGGAGTGGCACCCGTGGCGACGCGTATCTCCTCAACCTGCAGTATAGCAGCCAGTCATTCATCAATATCATATCATGTGCATGGCAGGAATGTGACCTTTCCTGGGCGTCTTGATGGTGGAACTGCAAGGCAGGTAAGTCTGCATGAGAGAAGCGTTGTCACGTAACGCATGTATTGAAAGGATGCTTGCACTATAAGATGTTTATCTATCTGTAAATATGCGATGCGTGCGCGGTATAAGTCATGGGGAGTTGCACTTACAGAAACACCACAGCCACCAGGAACAGGACCAAGGCCGGAATATAGAAGGCCCACATTATCTCGTTGGATTTTTAAAATCAGTATGAACCTCCTTCTGGGCAATTATTGCCCAACAAGAGGCCTACACAGACCAAGACATTGTCCAAGGTACGGGGCAATCAAGTGAGCAGACCGGAGCGTTTTAGGGCCCTTGGTACCTTCACTGCAGCAGAGATCTGATCAAGAGGCCTTCTTTTCAACGACTATTCGGATAGGGTGCAGAGGTTCGGACTCAAGAGGTCTTCTTCTGACTTCCTTTGGTCAAACAGCACGTCACCGGTGACTGATGATATTGCGAGCTGCCCAGAACTCGCCTGGTGACTCTTTTGTCGAGTCTTGCACACTGCAATGCACAGATGCATTCTTGTTTAACCTTGGATCACGCATCTGATCCAACGTGAGCGTCAGGCATAATCCGAGTGCGCTGGAATAAAAGGTTTTGCAAATCTCGGGATTCTTGTTGGACATTTGGGAAGCAGCGAAGCAGGTGCACTATCCAGAACATTTAATGCTGATATCCAAAATATCAATATTAATAAATTTATACTGCAAGTGCTCAGCAAATGTCCACACCATTGCAGGAGGACACTGTCACAGAAACATAGGGAGACATTGGCCATGAGGAAAGCGAGGAAGAAGGATAAGCGCATTGTGCGGCCTTGCTATGAAGAGCGAGATTCGTAGCATTGAAGATCTTCTGCGAACGAATGGACTTGCAAGGTCACCAAGTGAGCATCTAGGATCCCCCACTGAGGGCCACACAAGCAGAAATGACGTGCAAGACTTCAGAAGGCCAGCTTCAGCTTCCAGAGGCTGGATAGCTTTCCCACGGCGAGTTCTATCAGGTGCGTCTTGCTTGGCTGAGCCATTCAACCAGTGGTGCATTTGTGGGGGCATGCTCCTTTCAATTGAAGGAGACAAGGTGTGTGCTGGCACAGTGATGAAGGCTGCTGTCCTGCTGGGCACAAGTCTTGTCTGCGCAAGCATCTCTGCCAGCGGCTTTGCCATCCTTTGTTTCCTGCTGTTGACTCGTTCCCTCGCTCCACCGACTGCGTACTTCCAGAAGGAGCTGTTTTTCGACTACACAAAGCCCGCAGCAGTAGCTAGCGCAAGTTTCTGTCAGACTCCTGTGCCTGTGAAGGTGCGCCGCACCACTTGGAGTTCTGTCCATGTCCATCAGGAATTACTGCATGTGGGCCTTCGATGTGCATCCTTTGTAAGAAGCTGGTGCAAAAACCCCTTCCCTGACAGCGCAATATGCGGCTTGAGCCTTTGATGCACCGCTGCAGGCGTCTGCGGCAAATGCGAGGTTTGTGCAGCCAGGGCAGAGCATGAATGTCTGGCTGGAGCTGGTGACCCCAGAAAGCCATGGTACCTCCAATTCAGATGTATTTCAAGTGGCAGCCGAGGTGGTGGCTGCTGACGGCCGTGTGGCGGCCTCTGCCAGCCGCCCCTGCCTGGTCACATACAGATCCCCACTCATTCGCTACATCAGGTTCGTATGTACCCCTTTTCCCATCCTCTGCAGTTTGTCTGAGGCGTGGCCCTGCATTGCATGCAGAGTTTCAGAGTCTGGATTCCATGGAATGCTTGGAAACTTTTGCAGCATGCATGTGACATGTATGGCAAGGTTTAGCCATAATGCACCCAGGGATAATACTTTGCTGATGGGTGCAGGATGCTTGCCAGGCTGCCCCTTGTGCTGGTGGGGTGGTATGAGGAGAAGCAGCGGCTGAAGGTGGTACTCTTCCAAGGATATAAGGAGAAGGCGGACGTTCCCTTCTGTGTCTTCAGAGTGGCACTCATGGTGTGCACTGGCTTTGGTCATGCGCACTCCATGTCAGCTCTAGTATTCTTTCTCACGCAGATGTGTGAGTTATCTGTGACTCTATGTCAGCACCTGTTACCGTGTGATGTTGTGCTCCAGGCTCGTGCCAATGGAGGGGAGCTACCTGGCATATACGCTGCTTCTGTGCATGTTGACTTGAATCTGGGGTTGATTGGCCGCGCTCTGTATAAGGTATGCTCAGAAGTGACTTCTCTCTGCCCTCAACTTTTCATGCTTAGCCTGTGGGGTCAAGTTTTTAGAAGTCTTCACTGGCATTACAATCCACAATTCCACAATCAATGTGCCCAATGCTGTTCCAAATGAACATACACCCCCTCTGTTGCTGAAGGGTGCTTTTGCTGCACAGATCCGGCCAGGCACCATAGTAACGTACGCGCTGAGCACTGTGGGTCTGGTTGCATTTTGCGGTGGTGGCTTGGCCAGCCTGTGCCTGCTGGCGATCTGGGGCATTTCCAAGCCCCGTGCGGACCAGGCACAGAGCAGCAAGGCCCGCCAGTATGACGAGGTGTCGAGTGAAACAGGCTGGTCGGAAGTATCCACAGGTATGATCTCAGCAAATTCTTTCAGCATGCCACTCTTTTGAGCTGTACCTTGAGCAAATTAAGTATCTGCATGGTCATTGTCATTATGCATGTTTGTTTTTGAAGTCTGCTGCGAAACTGCAGAACTAGCTTTGGGACTTTTGAGACTGGCAGTGCAAGATCTGTATGTATACAGATCAGGCACTAAGAAGTAATGGGAATGGGTACTTCTGCTAAACAGCAACATTGAACATCTTTCTGACAGGTGAGCTGGACTCAGAGAGTGAGAGGGATGTGGGGATGCTGGAGCCGATGGCCTCTGTGTCAGACAGGGGTGAGTCATCCCTGGTGACGCCACTCAGCGCTCAGGCGCTGCGCAGATGGGACGCCAGATCAGCCTCCCAGCTGAGTGTCAGCACTGATGGCACGCATCTGGATGAAGCCGTCAGCCGCACCAACCACAAGAAGCACAGATGAAGCTGCTGGCATTTGGGTGTGAGAGTCTGAAATTTCTGATTGGTGTCATCTTTTTGTGTTTGCTGAAGTCTGTGTGCAGGCTGCACTTGTGTGGTCTGCCTCTGTAATTCCCTGGACCAGATGCAGTCATTGCTGGCCGGACTTGAGCAACTCCTGTCGGCGTGAATATGTTATAGACATGGAAAGAGCTGTGCGCTCAGCACGAGGATGCTGTTAGAATGCTGGCTTGCGCGGGTTCTGCTGCTGCAACTTAGCCAACAAGTAAGGTGTTCCAGCTGGATGCCATTATAGTTGCCCCACCTTGAGCGTATCTGTCGTGATGAGTGTTTGTGCTTTCGTGCGTCCTTCCTTGCTCTGCATGTCAACTTCAACACATTTTTCAGACATTGCTTTCTGGGAGCAAGCCATATACACACCATCTTCGACCAGGCTTTGGTAGATTCTTCGCTTGCAGATCTGCATGTTCATTGATCTGATCTTTTTCAGCATGTTACACTTAATCGGCTTGAGAGTTTATTGCAGAGCCAGATAGGTGTCATGGGTGGTCCTTTGAAGAGGGCCATTGTAAATTATATGTAGAACTGAAAAGCATGATGCTATATTTGTGGGGCATTGCCATCACCACTGACTGTGGCCATGGCAAATATTTAGTCCTACTGCTCTTGGATCAGGGAAGGCGTTGGCACTCCTCCTCATTCAGCACGAAGTTACTCAGGATTTTCATGCAAGATTGGGAATCAGTTGGAAACAATCATTCCCATTGTCGAGAACATCTACCTCGTTTGTTACAACAGATTGCTCTGCGGAGCGCTGGATCTGGACTCTTTGGGCGGAGCGATGTTGTAAGCGAATGACACTGCAGCAGACACAGGAAAATTGTATGTATTCTCAACAACAGCCACACATGGTGGCAGGCGCAGAAAGGCCTGCATCTGCCTCTTCGTCTCAAACCTTGTGAGCATTGCATGCGTCCCGCCAGCAATATTACCGTTGCTTTGCCTGCAATGGACAATTTCATGAGGACATGCCTTCTGCAAATTTTGGTAAATTCAAACGAAGTCAAGCCGCTTGCATCGTGTATTGTGGGGGGTAAAGTCGGACAGTGTAGATCGCACCATATCTTTCCATGAGTACATTGCAATGCTCCAGCAAGAGAGCTCTCAGCCAGTGCTGCCAGCTGGACGAGGTATTCCTCTATCTGTTCAGGAGATGCCGTGGGAGCTGCCTGCGCATGCAAACATCTGTCTGGATTACATAGCTTGCTTCTGAGGAACAGGAGTTAGGTTGTGAACAATCGCAATGTCTGCCTTAGGAAGCCAAATGCTACCTTGAATATGAAGGCATGCTCAGCCCCGCTGTCCCACTCTGACCCTCGACAGAAGATCGCTTCCAGATCTGATGCGACTCGCCCCTCAAAGAGCACTACAGAATCTCTGGGAATTGCATTGGCAGATGCATGATCCACCACTCCTTGCACCGCCGCGTTGGAAAGGAATTGATCCGCAGCCTGCAAAGGAAGGCCGTCATCAAGAATCTCAAGTGGCGCAATTAGCATGCCTGTCTGGCTGGACAATGCTACGTGAGTGACCTAGGGCCGCGCACCGTCTGGCTGCCAAATCTGAAGCGCACTGCATGCGTGAAAGGTGGACAGCCCTCTGAGGATGCCAACTGAGCGCCACCGAATGCACACAGGGTTCCTGGAGCCATGTACTGGGCAGACCACAGCTTCCCTACGCTTTCCTCTGCTTCCTGCGGTGATAGATCTTGTGCAACCTGGCAGCATGTGAGGAGCACGTTCAGATCAATCATTCTTGTACATCAAGCCCAGAGGACCAGTGACACCCACAACAGAACATGGCTGGAAACACCCCAAAGAAAATGGAACGCTAGTTCCTACCTGTATAAACACAAGGCATTCACATATGGTTGCGCAGTCCGATTTTTGCTTCGATGATGAGGAGTCTGGGTCCTGTGAGCAACTGGGCGATGCGGCATGCCTCAGCTTTCTAGTACATTTTGGCTTGTGCTGAAATATGCGAAGCTTCTGAAAGCTTTCAGGCTTAATTGGAATTGCAGTACACCGCAAAAATGGTTCATGGTCCCTTAAGTCTGCAGAGAGGCTCCGAAAATGAACCAGTCCTGTGGCCATGCCCATCTCAGAAGGAATCCCACGACGCCAATCTCGAAAACAAAATTCAGATCTAACGTAACCGTTGTCAGCAATCTAGAATTAATACAATGCAATGATCGCAGAGGTGCGGTTGATAGGCTAGTGTGTGTGGCCTGTGGATGTGGATGTGAGCCACTTTCAGGGGTGGCAAATGATTCAGATCATCTGGGAGTCAAAGGTACCCCCTGCATGCATCTCCTTGTGCCAGCCCCACAACACTGTGGCAGTTGGATATTGTCAGTATTGCACATTTTGTCATGGATTGTTTTGATCACTTGGATGCTGTCAGTACATCCAATCAGCCCTGGGCGGCTATTACTGGAGTTGATGTGTAATTTCCTTCCTTCCTTCCACTGTTGGACTTTAAAATGTCTTTCTTCATCGTTGGCATAGAATTAGATGACAGCCACGTGTGCAAAGACACTCAGCTATAGCTAGCTGATAATTAAAACCCACAACAATGCGCCACGCATGCATGGGCTTGTACCACCGTGGTGACCACCGCGATGTCAGATATAAGAAGATACATAGAAGCTTACACCATCCAGAACGTATTTCACACGATTCCACACAGTCCCTCAGTTCCGGTATGCAGTGATCAACTTATTAGCTGGCGGCCAACCCGTGCCACGCAGCGCTCCATGACCAGGCATGGTCATGCAACACTGGTGCACATGTGGCACACAAGGGAAGATTCACAGCAGAATCAGCACGATTATGAAGGCACGACTGCCAATGCTATGTATGAGCTACTGCAACAGCCCACTCCACCCCGAAAACTAAAGCATTCATGGTACATGTCAAGTCTACTACCCTACAAAGTATGGCCAAAGCAATCGATAAAACGCAATAAGTGTACCAAACCCTCGTTGCACAGAGCCAATGAATCCTCCTCGACAAAGAGACAGAATCAAATGCAAGCATGTCGAAACACAATTAAACAAGAGACGGCGAGATCCATGCAAATTCACATCTGCGTGAAACACAACACCCTCCCAGCACTCTCCATGAAAGACCTGTTGCTTTGTGCAGGAAACCAGCCCTCCTTCGGCCCACCAGACAATATGCATCATGCCACCATCCTCTGCACTGTCTTAGCTATACCACTCTCAAACTGCACTGCCACAGTTGGGAGCTGCAAAGACCGTAAAGCACAGGTGTCATTTGAACCATTCGCCATGAACACTGTCACCCACAGGCCCGACGCAAGAGTCCACCCCTCAGCTGCAATACACCACTCACGGGAATAACCATGACATGCTGTCATAGACTAAGACGCAATAGGGAGCGACTCCATAAAGAAGGGGCGCCGGGGCAGATTGCACGGCACTTAGGCAGAATCGAAATCAGGGGCATGATCTCGTCTATAGATTCCTCCCCTGCTAAAGAGTACCCTGCAAGACTGAGGGGCGTTTTTAAAGTGTCAGAAACAAGGCAGGCATTAGTGATGGTGCATCAGCGGGCGGCTCCGTTAGAGGAGGGCGCTGGGGCGAGGGTGCGCCAGGCCTTGGCGGTGTCGGATGCAAGCGAGGCCTGCGCGACCGCGAACGAGCGCAGCACGCCGGCCATCTCTGTGGCGCGCTCCGTCTGGAAGCGCGCCAGCTCCTGCCGATAAACAAGTGTTAATTACTGTGAAGTGCTCACACGGTGGAGAGAACATGAGGACAGGGGACAAGAGATCTGAACAGGGGCTACTGATAGCCTTGATAAGGCTACAAAGCGTAGAATACCAAAAGTTTAAATATTGCTCACACGGGGTTGCTAGTAAGTGCTGTGTAAGGCACAGACAACATGAGTGAGGCTCACAGGCTCTGCCCAGAGGGAAACCTAATCAGGCAAAGACGCCATCATCGCATTTGTCACAGTAAGTGGATGATTTGTCGCACCTGGCTCATGCGGCGCACGATGAGCTCATAGGTGTCCTTGGCTGCCTCCACGCGGTGCTGCGCATCGTTCAGCTCCCGCTCCACCTCAGACCGCTTCTCTTCCTGCCAACGCAGCATGCTTCATGTGAATGCAGTTCCCTTCAGTTGTGAACAGAGGGAAGCGCAATTTCCCAGTCTCCTTGATTTCCTGCTGCAACCTCACCAGCGTAAAACTTACGCACAAGCTGCCGCACCATTTCCAGGTGCTCAACGAGCACCATCTTGTGGCGTGTAAAAACCTTGTCCTCCGCACAGGAGAACTCAACAGATGTGCAGGGTATCAAAAGTACCCGTTGGGAAGAGCCAACATCCTGAAGGCAGTCACTCTATGAAGCTTTTTAAGCCTGCTGCACGACAATCCACAAGTACCAACGGGGGGGTCTGCAGAAATTGGCGGGTGGGGCAGGCCAACGACAACTTCTGAGCCACTGAAGCAGTCCAATCAAGGATAGTGGAGCTGAAAAGGGAAGGCCCACCTTTATGCCGGGGGTGCCTCGCAGCTTGGCGAGCTTGGTGCGCTTGGCGTCCACGTCGGCGCGTGCCTGCTGCAGAGCGCCCAGCGCGAGGCTGCGATCGGCCATGACTGCCTTGGCGCTCCGCACCATGCGCACATACTCCTTCAGCGGCGCCTCAAACGTCACCCCCAGCGACCCGGCCTGCTCCTGCAAAGGCAACGAGCAAGCACATGATTAGATGTCTCTCTGTTGAGATGCACGCTGACGTTTCAAAACAGCTCTTGGGGCGGACCTCTCCTCAACAAAGCAATTATCTTTGCAGCCCCATGTGGATATTTTGCAGACAATCATTGAGATTGCCTTCAAAACTCATATGCAGGATTCCACGACAGGTTGTCGCAGCATCTGTAATAAATCTTTGACAAGAAGTTTGTCTGTCCAGAGTCGCTCCGTGAGACCAAGGGCAAAGACAGCCATTGCATGCTTAGGTGTGCTGCAGCGCGCACTTGTGAGGAGCGCGCCAGGCTCTCAGCCTTCTCGCCCAAGTTGATGAAGTCGTCCGCCAGGCGGCCCTGCTCAAACTTGCCCAGGCTGATGACAGAGGTGCCGAACTCCGCCAGGGAGGCGCCCAGCAGCCCCTGCTGCTTGATCAGTCGCTGCGCTTGCCGATGCGCCTCCGTCAGATGCGCCTCCAGCTGGAACATGTACTCGCGCACCTGCACCATGACAGAGGTTTGTAATGTCACTATAAGAGCACTGATTTGACACCCTCAACTTTAGCGCAAGTGACTTTCTGTTGTCACATTCCCTGCAACTCAGCCATCCTAGATTCAGGTGCTGGCAACCGATCTACAATCACAACTCGAATGATGCAACTGTCTTGGTAGGCAGCAGGTGCAGAATGACACCACTGGTTTCGCTGGCATGGGTTCGACAGTACGTCTAATTTTCAATTACTCAAGCAGCATGGAGGGAGGGAGACAGTGTGCATGCCTTGAGGTACTCGGGGTCCTCCTCCTCGTCAGTGTGCTTGCCAGAGACTAGGTTCTGCGTCTGCTGGCCCAGGTCCTTCAGCTTCTGCAGCGTGCTCGAAAGCGTCTTCTTGGCCGCGTTGGCTCCGCCGGCGCTCTCGTGGTTGGCGCGCGCCACCTCAATTGCAAAGTCCTCCTCGCTCGCCTCCAGGAAGTTCTGCAGGTCCTTGCTCTGCGCCAGGGCCGGGTGCGCTGCCTGCACCACATGCGGCCACCATGTCAGCAACATAGCCAGTACTGCTGTCTCAGCAATTGCCAGAAATCAGATGGAGAGGTGCAAATGGGTATGAAAACTTCAGGCATTCTCTGTGCAAACAACATGGGAGCTTGATTGGGGAGATGAAAGCGACGGTGGCGCACCACTCTGTTGAGGAACACGCTCAGAGCCATCCGCCGGGTCTCAATGAACTCTGTGGTCATCTGGTACTTCTGGACGACGTTCTTCTCTGGAAGGGGGGGTATTATGATTCCTGCATCGATGCATTTCTTTATCAGAGGCCAAAGGCTCTACAATGACTAATGGGTGACAACTGACAAAAATACAACGCTGCCGTGCTGTCTGGATGTAGGGCGTACCTCGGTTCTGCTCTTGCAACCGTGTGCGCAGCCAGGCAAAATCCCGAAACCGCCTGATGACCTCTGGCTGCTTAATCTTGTACTGGGGGAGACTTGTGTTTGTACATACTTTGTAGGACACGTAAGCCTGTAAACGCCGCCACTGGCACAGTACGTCAAACTGTCACATTCTCGACAATGGAGCCGACTGAATTGACGAGATGGGACATGTGGGAGAGCAATTTGAAGCTTCCCAGGTAGCTTCTGATGTGCTGCCATCACATGTTCCTGGACATATAAAGCTGAGAAGTGTAAATTAGAGGTACTCACCGACATCGAGTTGTCACCATGCTTGACGGGATCTCTGACCACTATCTCAAAGTGGGACCTTGAGGCGTTTGAGACCTGTTGCTGAAAAACACCGTCAGATGTCACTTAGCAAGGCAGCACAGCCGTCCTGTCGGGATCTTGAGAATATGAGGATCCTAAAATACAACATACCATTGCAGTGTAGTGTGATCTCGAGGAGCGACAACATTGAGAGATTTGCACGGGTCCACATGCCAACGTGCCCGAGGACAGACCCACCGTAGTGTCACCGCGTGTTCCGTCATGCATGATCACAGATTCGTATGGTGGGGGAGGCCCGTCCTGGGCTCCTTGTCCTTGGCCCGAGAACGGGTTGGAATCCCCAAAGGCTGTTGTATCAACTTCCAAAAGCTGATCTTTTCCCTGTAACAAGTTCTCTTCGTGAGACACTGCAGGCATCCAGCAGCAGGGCTAAAAGTGGTTACAAATAAAAAGCTCACTTATAATTATTATCAAATGGCATGAATTTGCGTTGCAAAATAGGGTGATTGCCACCTGTGTGGGAGTCATGAACGGGTGGGAGTCAGACATTCTGTTTGCTCGCTCTGTCCGCAATGCAACAGGCTTCACCAGCACTTACAGATAGCTGAGACTGCGTTTGTTGCAATTAACATCTTGAAATTTTGTGAAGAAAGGAAATCCTGTGTCACGAATATCGATAGCAATTCCCCCTTCTCATAAACCCTTTGGTGCTTTCAGGGTCCAAGCCCTAGCTTTTCCAATGCTGTTTCATTCCAATATGTGCGCTTCATTCGATCTTTTTTACACCAGGATGATCTGCTTCAGCTCTGCGAAGGTACTATGTAGTAAATGCACAACGTCAGCCTTGCTTTGTACAGAAAGCTTGTGAGGTCAGCAAGTCAATTTCCCGTGAAACCGGTTGGTAGAAAAGTCCTGTACAACATCCGTGAGGTTTTCGAGATATATAGGAAAGAAGCACAGCAAGAAAAGATCATACACTTGCAAGGCAGAGGAGAAGCTGCCCTAAGAGTCCTTGCCTTTCTGAGGCATTTGCCAGAGGTGCGACTTGAGGACAAAAGGGCCTCGACATCAGCAAATCCAGATCGTGTTGAGAGCAAGGATCCTGTCATGAAGTTAATCTCTTGTATTTAGTCCAAGAGGACTGCTCTACAACCATTCTTCTAATCTACTTCATCTAGATCGCGCACATTGGACAGTACTCTGCTCTGGCGCATCAGTTTGCCAAATGTCTTCTTGATGTCTCTAGAACCGCATGAAATGTACAGGTTTTCACATTCGCTTTCTATGAAGGCATGTGAGTAGACTGTTGTGCTCACATGTCAAGTGTTGCAGGATGACTTCAATATGATATTTCGACAGCATTTCAGGGAGAAGCAGATTAAAAAGTGAGCAATTTGAGCCCTGGTGCCCATGGCTCAGACAGCGGCCCAGCTTGTGGGGCCTTGTTTAGAGAAGATCTGCGAAGTTGCAAGCGGCAGAAAATACACACAGCTCAGGCATGAAGCTAAGGTGGGTACCCTCTCCCATACCTGTCAGATAGGGATCCAACAGTCGGGCAGTGTCACATGTTTTCCAATACGTATAGCGTGAATGCCACATGCAATTCAAACATGGTCAGTTGTTTCTCAGGCCTCATGTATTGTGCAGGAGCTGCTGAGCAATTTGGAGGCAGAGCTGCGCCCAGTCTCAAGGCAGTCTATCCCAGGTGTAGCACCAGAGCCTGCCAAGCACACCGCTACAGAGCAACCACAGGCAGAAACAGCCAGCACAGCTCAGCAATCATTGGCACCAGCCCCAGAGGCAGAGAATGGCGATGATGTAACCCTTGAAGCTAGGCCCGCTGCAGGCACAGAGGACTCTGAGGCATCAGAAACAGCTGCAGCTGCGTCAGAGAGCCCTGCAGATGATGGCGCAGCAGAGCCTGGGTCAACAGAGCCCGACCCAGTTGCCACATCACAGGCCGCAGAAGCGAAGGCTGAGGAGGTTGCGGAAGCACAGAAAGGAACAGGCACAGAAAAAGCAGCGTATGTTTCTGCTGAAAGAGCTTCGTACAAGGGCACCATCCCTCTGGACGCTGCTCACCGTACGCACTTGCCGCATCCTCGTGTCTTATCTCCATGTGATCTCTACCTCCGTGTGATCTGACCCGTACACTAAGGACACTCTGGCTCTTGCATATATAGGGAGTTGATTTTAACAGAGAAAGGGCTGCTGGCAGGTCTGCTGGGAATACTGCGCATGGCGGTCGAGACCAGGAGAACAGCCCTTGTGGACCTCTCGCTGGACCTCATCCAGAAGCTCATCGCCCACCAGCACCTGGCTGGCCCTGTGCACTCCATCTCCCACAAGCGAGACCCTGCCGCCGCTCGCTCTGGACGCAAGGTCAGCCCTGCTCACACATCAGCTTTATGACTCTGCTCCTCTGGGAATATATACGGTGACTTGCTTGTGAGCGCACTGCCGCAGCATCGCCATGAAAGATCTCTTGTTTTTTTAATTTTCCTACCTACCTTCAGGTAGTTGAGGAGCCTAGTGGCTCTCACGAGGGGGTGAAGCATACCTCTCCATAGCATCTAGCAACTTGGCTGGTATAACGTCGTTTTTCATCTGTTCAATCACTAACAATGTCCATGCAGAGGCCGTCGGAGGAGGATGACCTGGGCGAACATGCGGATCATGGGGACGGGGATGACATGCCGCCGCAGTCCCAGGCAATCGAGCTGCTCTGCCGCTGCGATGACATTCCTGATGACGGCGTGGAGCTGCGCGTGCTCAAGGGCCTGCTCACTGCCGCCACCTCCTCCACCATCCATCTCCATGGACAGGTGCGCTGCCGTAATCAGAATACCTTCATGACACATGTTGCAAATGACCAGAGCCTAGGCCTTCAGGACTGGAAGATGTATTTAAAATGAGGAGTACAGATCGCATGCTTTTCCTCTTCCGTGCATGAACAAGCAACATCTGCAGGGATTTGGCAAGAATATCAGCAATCTGGTGCCCCTCCAGCATAGGCAGAGAATCAAGCACATGAACAGCCTAATGCGCTGGTCGGACAAATCCTTTGTTGCTGCTTGTGACTGTAGCGCTCATGGGAACCTTTGCATGTGTGCGCAGGCGCTGCTGCTGACCGTGAGGACGTGCTACAACATCTTCCTGATGAGCCGCTCCACGGTGAACCAGACGACCGCCAAGGCCAGCCTGACACAGATGCTTAATTGCGTCTTCCAGCGCATGGAGCTCAACAGCGAAGTGGTGCACGTGCAGCCCATCGCTGTGGTGGACATGCTGGGCCTGCCCTCCACAGAGACAGACACAACCTTTGTGCAGAATTTTCTCCATGAGGTGAATTTTGTCCCCCTCAGGCTCCCCTGAGTGTTTAGGCTGTTACAAAGCTGCATGGTGCTGCTCTTGCTTATATGGAGGATGCATGCATGAGCATGTCTATTTGGAGATTATCAAAGGGACACATGGAGTGGTCTTGTGCATGTGCTCCTGTCCTGACTGGAATTGTGCTGTGTCATGGCAGGTGGTCACAGCAGTGGACCCATTTGGGTACTATGCCGAGGGCATCCAACAGGGTCTGGATGATGCATTCAAGACCAGGCTCACAGCTGCCAGTCCCTATGGATACCACACACCCCCAGAGGGATCTCCATCTGTCGGGCCTCGCCCTGTCTCTGCGCCGAGGCCCTCCATCAGGAGCTCTGTGGACATCCAGCCCTTGATAGACCGGCCGGTGTCAGCACCTCCTGTTTCAGAAGCTGCCGTGGAAGAGTCAGGTGTGCATTTCATTTTTTGCTCATGGTTTCCTGATAAACCATCTCATCCCAAGCATGCATGGCAATCACTGTCAATCACCGTCCTTGAATTCCAGTCCCTCTGTATCACACCTTACAGTGTTACATGATTGCAGGGGTCAGAAATGTACCTGACTCTAATGGCGGATCAGCTACTCCTCCGGAAACCGCGGCTGTAGCAGCTGAGACTGGACCTGCAGAGGAGGCGCCAGCATCTGAAGAGCAGCAGGCAGGGCCCAGTGTTCCTGTGACGCCTGAGGATGCTGAAGAACCAGCACAAGCAGATGGAGACATGCCTCAGCCTGCCCCTGTGGCACTCCATCGGCCTGCCACTGCTCAGCAGGTGTGATTGTCATTCACTTTAAGGCATCACATTCTTGATTAGCTTGAGGTGTGTTTTATTGCAGAGTTCAGGAGGAAGCTTGGATTTTACCTTACCAGGAAACTTTCCTCTTTCAGATCTAGCTGGAGCACCTTTCTTTGTGGGCTGCAGGATCCGGAAATGTCCATTGTGCTGGCCAAGGACGCCTTCCTGGTCTTCCGCGCTCTCTGCAAGCTGTCAATCCGCAGCTCTGAGTCCTCAACTGGCACTGACCCCACAGCTGTCCGCGGCAAGGTTCGTTTCCTGACCACCTCTCTTTCTAAATACATGAGCCCACCCATTTGGTACCTTGGCTGCATGCAACAACTTCCTCCCTGCGCCAGCCCTCTGATCTTGCCCCTATTGAGCTCACCCACATCTCATCATGGTCCTCAATCTCTATATTTCTGACTTTTCAGTGCATGGTGCTCTTTGCCTTCAACAAGTCAGCAGCCTGCATGTGTCCGGAGACTGATAAATCGAGTGCCCTTTGTTGTGGGTTGCAAAACATGTGGTAATCCTGTCCTTTCCCCATGTGCAGGTGCTGGCGTTGGAGCTGCTGAAGGTACTGCTGGAGAACAGCGGCAAGGTGTTCCAGGCGTCGGAGAAGTTCACGGGCGCCATCAAGCAGTACCTGTGCCTGTCGCTGCTCAAGAACGCGAGCAGCCCCATCCCGGCCGCGCAGGCGCTCACCTGCTCCATCTTCTACACGCTGCTGGCCAAGTTCCGCCACGCGCTCAAGGCCGAAGTCGGCGTCTTCTTCCCCATGATCCTCCTGCGCGCCATCGAGCCGCCGCCCCAATCCTCCACCCCAGGACCCTCTGGTGAGCCCTTCATACCCTCCATCTAGTTTGGAGGATTGAACAGTACTAACAAGTTAGTAACAACAACAAATGTCCATGGGGGTCAATTTCTATGCAGAGTGGAACTTGGAAAAACCTCCATTTTTGAGGGATTTCCCTTTGTGAGCATTCTCAAGCGGACCCCAGCATTCACCTTGGAGACAGCCAACACCACATTGCAGTTTGCTTCATCAGCCATTTGTACAGGAAAGTGTGGTGCCAACAAACATCGACACGTGGGACATAACTCTAGGAAAGAGTAGTGGGACACTACTGCTTCCCAGAGTAATGTTCCACATGAGAGAACCACGTATTGCTGGGAATATCTGTAGGCATTCGAGGCAAATTGTTGATCATGCAGATGTTCTACATGCGATGCTGACGTGTCTGTTCCCTTGTTTGACATATCAGGTCAGGGTAGCACCGGGGCGGCCGGCGAGGCGGGGCAGCGAGCGGTGGCGCTGCGGTGCCTGGCGGGCGCGTGCGAGAGCGGCCAGTTGCTGGTGGACATCTTCGTCAACTACGACTGCGACCTGGAGGGCGCCAACCTCTTCGAGCGCCTCGTGCTGGCCCTCGTGCGCACTGCGCAGGCCGCCCCCTCCGCCTCTGACACCCCCGCGGCCGCTGCCGAAGAAGCCCACCTCCGCCTCCTGGTGAGAGCCCCTGGAGTAATGGGCAGAACATGCGCCAATCAAATATAACATGCCATGCTGTCTTGCGTGACTTATGCAGAAGGGGTGAAGAAAGCATACGTGGCGCGGCTGCAACGTGCTGCTGAAATTTGCAGAGAAATCTTGGGGGCAACTGCTGGCATACATATGTTTGTTTTTCAAGTGGCGTTTGTAGTGTGTTTAAGGCTCAGCGTTAGTCAGTGCTCGATGTGGCGTAACAGTCGTCTCTAAGAAGACCCGATTTATTTTGTCCCAAGTATGCGATGTATAGAGCGAAAGTGTTTGCACTGCAGGCTCTCCAGTGTCTTGTCAGCATCCTGCGCTCGCTTGTGGAGTGGTACACAGTGTCCACGCCAGTGGTGGCCGTCAACGACAGCGCACCCGCGTACGACCAGAGCATGCGCTCAGACTGGGGCACCCTGACCTCACTGACAGGGCAGGACCCCTCCTCTGAGGCGGCCGATGGCGAAGCTGCGGCGGACGCTGAAGTGCCTGTCCCTGGTGAGTGCTACAATTCTCCATGGGGTAATTTGCGCACGTTACTTGCATTAACCCTTGCGCGATACAGGTGTAGCAGATTCTGTATGAATCTTACTGAAGGACTTTCAATTTGGAATGCAGAGAGCCCAACTGCCATGCGGAGGGAGAGCGCCTTGGCTGCTTTCAGGAGTGCTGGAGCAAACGAGCGCCTCATGTCCATCTCCAACATGGTAGCCCCCAATGACCGGGAGCTATCTCAGTCATACAGACTGCATAAATCCCTGATTATGCATGTCCCCACTATTTAATTTCTAAGCCTACAACTTACGAGCAACTATTCACCTGTCTTGCCGCCATGCAGGATCCTGAGCTGCAGGCGGCCCTGGCCAATGCTGACAGTGCTCCAGAAGCGCAATTGCTGGAGTCTTGGAAGGCATACAAAAAGGGCTTCCAGCAGGGCATTGCCCTCTTCAACGCCAAGCCGAAGAAGGGCATTGCTTTCCTGCAGGTAACTCTCTTCAATGAATATCACTCTTTCAGATGATTCATGGGATGATTATTATTATCTTATACCTCAGACAGTCTGTGTCTGCTGGAATGTCGTGGTCTCATCTGTGGCGTGCTATTGACGACACCAGGAGCAAGGCATGCTGGGGCGTACGCCGGAGGAAGTGGCAAAGTTCCTGGCGAAGACAACCGGGCTGAACAAGACCATGATTGGGGAGTACCTGGGAGAGCGAGAGGAGACCTGCCTGCGAGTCATGCACTCCTATGTTGATGCCATGGACTTTGCTGGCTCGGAGTTTGACACTGCAATTAGGTACATCTGTCTGGCTCTCTTAATTGCACGTAATGCCACTCTAAAACGTTCCTGCTCCACGATTATATCTTCTAGAGGGGGACTGAAATGAATATGTTCATTGCCACAGGACGTTCTTGTCAGGCTTCAGGCTCCCAGGAGAGGCGCAGAAGATTGACAGGCTGATGGAGAAGTTTGCAGAGCGCTTTGTCAGCTGCAACTCGGAGGCCTTCAAGAGCGCCGATGTGGCCTATGTGCTGGCCTACTCCGTCATCTTGCTCAACACAGACGCCCACAACCCTCAAGTCAAGAACAAAATGTCCAAGCAGGTGAGACTGATGAAGAAATGCAGATTATTCCAAGCTCAGCGTCATCGGCTGTCACAGTCTGTGAGCTGTGTTGAACTTGCTTGAGCTGTTGCATTGATGCAAATACAGGGCTTCTTGAAGAACAATCGAGGGATCAACGATGGAGCGGACCTGCCAGAGGACTACATGTCGGAGCTGTATGACCGCATCATCAACAATGAGATCAAGATGAAGGTGCACACACATCCCATGCATCCAGAAACATTGTTACCATTTCCTTTTGCTCTACTTTTCTTCAGCCGCGGCTGTGGTGCTGATGTGCGGAGATGCTGCACAGGATGCGGATGCTGTGGGCCTGATGGCCGCCACTGCAGCCAAGGGAGGCGGCTGGATGGACACCATCTTGAACCTCATCCCAGGCCGGCGGGCTGCAGCCTCCAATGAGCCCAGCGAAGAGGCCATCAGGCGCACTCACGAGAACCTCAGGTCAGCTCCATGGCTAATATTTATGCACTGAACATTCTGCAGGCGGTTGCTAAGTACTTCCGCTGCAGGACTGCGTGTCTGATTATACACCTTTTTATGCAAGCAGGGAGAAAGCCAAGGGAGCAACCTTCTTTGAGGCGACAGAGGGAGAGACCGTGCGCCCGATGCTGGATGTGGCGTGGGCCCCGATGCTGGGCGCTTTCTCGGTGCTCTTTGAGGAGTTCACAGAAGGTACATGCCGCTGATAGTTCTCCCTTCCCAAACTTGCATTTTTCAAGGAGTTCTTATACGGTGGATGACACTCACAATTGCTCATTAGTACTTGCCTGCGCCATCATGCCATTCGCTGACTCTATCCAGCTGCCATCCAAAGGCAAGCGCGCTCTAGAAACGCCGATGTGTCAGGCCCCGCATGCCGAAAAATTTGAGGTGGATCTGGGGCACTTAGACATGCTTAGCGGAAGGGGAATTCTCTTGTGCTGGCGGTGCAGGGACGACGGTGAACTTGTGCCTGGCGGGGCTGGTGGCGGCGGTGAGGGTGACGAGCCTGCTGAGCATGGACATGCTGCGCAACACCTTTGTCACGACCGTCGCGCGCTTCACGCAGCTGCACTCGCCCGCCTCCATGGCGCTCAAGAACGCCCAGGCCTTCCGCGCCCTCCTCGTCATTGCAGACGAGAACGGCAACCACCTCGGGGTGCGTCCAGCACTCAGCACCCTTTGAATGCCCAGACAATTTTGTCCCCTCTTTGCTTGAGTTGCTCCTGAAACGCATGCTCTCATGGTCATGCATGCTTCTGATCTGCTGCATGTGCCTAATTGCTGAACATATGCTTTGGAAGAGTTGCATGTTTCATTGTTATGCAGTCTATTGAGAAAGGTTGATGCTGACGAGTGTGTGTCTTTGGCATGTGCAGAACGTGTGGCAGGAGGTGTTGCGCTGCGTGTCGCGTTGGGAGCTGCTGCAGCAGATTGCGTCCGGGGGCCCCTCGGACGCCCTCCTCTTTGCAGCCCCTGCCGAGCCGGTGGCCGCGGTCAAGAAGCGCAACTTCTTCTCTCGCGCACCCAAGGATGCCGGTGCGCCAACTGCAATTGCATGCCATGAATTCTGACAATCTTATTACAAATTGTGGGCCACGCGTTCAGGAGTGTCAGCGTCTGTGGCTGCCTGCATCCTCCATGCACGCCCTGAAAGGTTCTCAATGCCAGGTCCAAGTCCCGCATCATTGGGGAGTGTTGAAGTAAGAGTTGCAGCTGAAAATTGGGGGAGTGTGCCAGGGGCCAATGGCAAGGTGCTAGACAGCTTCACCAGCATACACGACGCGCCGCTGCACTGGTCAGGCCGCGGGTACGGCAAGGACGGCGGCAACGAGAGCGGCCTGCCGCCGGAGAATGTCGTGCAGGAGATCGATGCCCAAGAGCTCAACCGCATGTTTGTGCGGAGGTGCGCTCCTGCCTGAATGGCCTTTTTCCTTGGTGCTGTTTGTTGTCAAAAGCCGATGAAACGTACAGAGACAGCAGCACGACTTAGCTGATTTGGCGGAGCACACGGCAGCTATCCTGGCAACAGAGAGCGCATGGTCTGGGGAGGTCAACCCAGAAGCTGATTTGAGGTTCTTTTGTGTCTGCGCAGTGGGCTGTTGGACAGCGAGGCAATTGTGGAGTTTGTGCGCGCGCTGTGCCACGTGGCGCAGGAGGAGCTGCGACCCACCGCTGCCCCGCGTGTCTACTCCCTCACCAAGATCATCGAGATCTCCCACTTCAACATGTCCCGCATCAGGTGCTCCCTCCTGTCCTCACTCCATGCTTTCATCAGCAGGCAGCCTTTATTTGCTAACGCAAAAAAAGAAAAGTCTGTGACGCTTTTCCTGCTCTACAAGAGCATAGGGCAAATGCATCACCATATCGACAGATTATGGGTTGTGGGCAGTCTTATCTTACCCTGACAAGTATGCATTGGCTGATCTGATTTTTTTGTGCACACAGGCTGGTGTGGAATCGCATCTGGGCGGTGCTGTCGGACTTCTTTGTGGAGGTGGGCTGCCACAAGAACCTGCAGGTGGCCATGTACTCTGTGGACAGCCTGCGCCAGCTGGCCACCAAGTTCCTGGAGCGCGATGAGCTGGCCAACTACTCCTTCCAGAACGACTTCCTCAAGCCCTTTGTCATCGTCATGCGCCTCTCCAAGGCACTGGAGATCCGGGAGCTCATCATCCGGTGCGCTTTTGTGCAGAATATTCATCCATTTTGGGGCTGGGGCTGAGGCTTCAGACTGTGATATTCTCACTGTCAGCATTGTTAGTCATATGTAGTCATGACGCATTAGTCATGAAGCAGACTTGTGCATAGGCAGCATATGACATGCTGTGCTGTCTTGCAGGTGTGTGTCCCAGATGGTGTTGGCCAGGGTCTCCAATGTGAAGTCAGGCTGGAAGTCCATGTTCATGGTGTTCACAACAGCGGCAAACGATGAGTCACCCATGATCGTGCGGCTTGCCTTTGACACCGTTGAGAAGATCGTGCGTGAGCACTTTGACTACATCACAGAGACAGAGGTGCGTGCATTATGCCCCTCCATGTGAGCAATTTGAATCTTGCATGGCCACACGTGCTGTATGGGGGAACGATGCATAAGGATGAAAATATGTGAATGCACTGTTGCAGGTCACCACTTTCACAGATTGCGTAAATTGCCTTATCGCCTTCACAAACAACCCCCACAGCCTGGACGTCAGCCTCAATGCAATCGCCTTCCTGCGTTTCTGCGCCATGAAGCTTGCAGAGGGCGCCATAGGTAGGCAGAGTCACCCAAATAATATTCCAGCTGCTAATGGTGAACGTGACATGCGCATGAATTTTACTCACAGCTTACACTTTAAGAAAGCGCCATTTTGCGCTGTGACCACCTTCATTGGTGCACCATGAACTACCACAAAAAAGCTGGCCACAAGTACCGCTTGAGCCCCCAATCATTTGGCACTGTTCTTGCCTCCTTTTGGCAAAGCTTTATGCAATCTTTGCACTCTTGTGATCAGGTGATGTGGAGGTGCTGCCAGAGGGTTCCCACAGCCTGTTGCCAGACCTGAATCAGCACCGCATCCGGCCGAGCAAGAATGAGCCGGACGCCTACAGCACGCCGTCAACCTCCAGGAGAGTCACCTTCGAGGGGCTGCAGGCGCCTGCTGCCGATGAGGAAGTGGCTGCCAGAGGTAGGACGCCATATATCTCCATAGTGCTGTGCATACCTCTTTCTCTGCTCTCCATGACACTCCTGTCCATCCTTCAATTTGGCCCTGTTCTCAGCCTGGTGAGGCGCCTCTTCTCTACCTGGCAGAAGCATTGCACACCATTGCTCACATGTTTCTTGAGCGGGCGCCAGATGGCCCAGTGTCTGGCTGACGCTCTTCCACTCATAGATTGCTCTCAGCCTGTGAGGCGCCCCTTCTCCTAGTGAAAAGAGGAAAAAGCAAACACCTGCTGACCTGTGGCTGATCGTATCTTGGGTGCTGCTAGGGGGACCAGCACTTGGGCAGGAGGTGCAAGGAGAGGAGGCAGCGCAGGCGGTTGCTATTCTGGAGGACGCCTCCAAGGGCAAGGGGCTGCAGTTCAGCGACAAGGACGAGCACATGTACTTCTGGTTCCCCCTGCTGGCAGGCCTCAGCGAGCTCACCTTCGACCCCCGCCCAGACATCCGCTACTCTGCCCTCGAGGTGATGCTCTTGCCCATCTTCAAAATAAGCACCCTGCATATTGTTTCAAGGGGCAAGACCACTCCTTGTGTTGCTCTTTCCAGCTGAGATGAGACAAATCTGTGAGTGCATGGTAAATGCATGTGGTAGTGTAAATGCTTATTGCTGGGCTGCATATGTGTGCAGGTGCTCTTTGACACCTTGAAGTACCACGGCGCCTCCTTCACTGCGCCATTCTGGGCGCGCGTCTTCGACTCTGTGCTGCTGCCGATCTTTGACCATGTCAGAGCGGAGGTGCACTCCCTCTCCAAACCTCCCTGTCCCCTTGATGGCTACCTTTTCCACATTAGCATGTCATCCTGCTGCCTTTGTTTCTTGAGCGTCTACAGTGCTGCGCATGCTGCCGCCATGAATTAATCATGATCCCAATAAGTGGACCTGTGACATGCGTGCCCGGCTATGGCCAGGTCACGGACACCACCACGTTCACAGCGGAGGAGCGCAGGGCGGAGGTGGATGCATGGCTGTATGAGACGTGCACGCAGTGCCTGCAGCACATGGTGGACATCATTGCCCTCTTCTACACCCCCGTCGCCCCCATCCTCCCCCGCATCTTCGACCTCCTCTCCAACTTCGTCAGGTGCGCGATCTGCAGGCTTTGTCCTTCCTCCTGCCAGGAGGTTCATTGTTCCATGATAGACCTTCTCCATCCATACCGGGAGTCAAACATAAGGCCCTCAGTTGTGACCCAGCGTCAAAGATGTGTGAACAGCAGATTATATGTACCAGGAGCACAACTTACCCCAATTGAACATCTTGAAGGAGTCCAGCATCAACTGGATCCGGCAAGTCCAACAAGAAGAAGGACTGCCACAGTGCTACAGGGCTACAGGGCTGAGTGTGTGGATGAGCACCTCGTGTTTCTTGGCAGGGACCAGCGTTTAATGATGATAACAATAATATTGAAGAACTCAATGTACTTCACAGGAGGCCGCACCAGTCGCTGGCTGCGGTGGGAGTTGCGGCACTGGTGCGCCTGATAGTGGCGGCCGGCGACCGCATGAGCGCGGCCGTCTGGGTAGAGGCCGTCGGCACGCTGGCGGCATGCGCCACCGACACGCGCCCGGCGGTGCGCGAACTGATCGCCTCCGTGCGCGCGTCGGCCGATGGCGGCAACATCGCCCCGGCTAGCCCCTCCCCGGCCACGCCGACGGCCGCGCTTGCCCCAGAGGACAGCCCCTGGGACGCCAAGAGCCCTGGGGACAGCCCCCGCGGTGGCGTCCCCGACCGCAGCGACAGCATCTCCGGGGAGCGACGACAGGTGCGGACGCCCCTCTCCTTTTCTCTGCCTCTCTGACTGACACAATTGTGTTCTTATGGGAATGTTTTGTACTCGACCATGGTTGCTTGTGAGTTCTGTACATCATGTGAGCCTTAGCCTTTCTTTTGACTCAGGCTCAAAGAGTGTCACTAATCTTGCTTCACAACCGGTGTTTGAATACACGGTATTTAAGGAATCATGATCTTCTCCACAGATTGGTTTATCAAATCACCTTTTCCTCGAGTAAGTAGTGGAAAACTGGCACTGCTGCATCATAGAGATCTTCCAGGAGATTTTTAACGTTTATTTTATGGTGAGGGTTCTCGTCGGACACTGCAACGCATCATTGTAACATGGACATTGACTTGCAGGTGTCACTGTCAAGCGGGTCGGGGGCGCGGAGGCTGGCGGAGGCGCGATGCCGGGCGGCCATACAGCTGCTGCTGGTGCAGGCGTGCGGCGAGGTGTACGCCTCGCACGCGCCGCGCCTGCCGCAGGCTGCCGCCATCCTCATGCTGGACGCGCTGGCGGCTGTGGCCGAGCATGCGCGCGACGTGGATGCTGACCTGGACATTCGCAGAGATCTGGCTGCCGCCCAAACCGCCGGCAAGGTGTGCTCTCACCTCCCTTGCAGCCCTCCTGTCTCCCGGCAGAGTGGCCTCTGCGGTGATGGTCTGCTGCTCTGAAGCTATGGACCTCTGGGGTAGTAGCGTATGCACTGCTGTTATGCTGCCAAATGACATGATTGCTAGAGATTTACGCAACAGAACCAAGGACTACGGGAGTGGATTGCATGCTCCATTACATTTGATGCTAAGTTTCTGGTGTGGGTTTCTTGAGGTTCGGTGCTCCCGTAATGAATGCTACTTATGCTGTTCACAGGTGCCAGAGGGGAAGCTTCTGTCGGATCCGCCGCTGCTGCGGTTGGAGGGCGAGGCTTGCCACGCCTACTTGTCTATGCTTCTGCATCTCAACTCGGCCGGCTCGGAACCCCTGCGCCAGGCGGCCGGCGTGGAGCAGCGCCTGCTCGCCCTGTGCATCGCCAACCTCGAGTGCTTCGAGGTGTGTGCAGCCTCACAACGTAATTTGCTATTTGTCCAGCTGCCTGATTCCTGTGACACTGGTTCAGGCTGCTGCTGACACCACATTTGGGCGTCTTGGCTCCTCAGTGAGTCATCTTGGCATTTTTTCACACAATTGTGTGACCTCATTGGCTTCCTGCAATGTAGCTGGGTCATATGCTGAGGCGTGAATAGGAAAATGTGTCACAGATCGGCACCAAGGCTGTGGTTTCAGACCCAAAAGGACGGAAATGTGCGATCTAGAATGTGTACCTTCCTGATTGCGACAACCTGTCTAGGAGACGGAGGGCGATGCCGGGAGGGAGAGCGGCAGCGGCAGCGGGGGCCTGGTGGGGGCCCGGGAGGAGGCCGGTGCGCGCGCACCACTGGTGGTGGCCACGCTCAAGGCGCTGGGCGCGCTGAGCGATGACTCATTCCGCCGCCACCTGGTCGCCATATTCCCCCGGCTGACGCGGCTCATCGGATGCATACGCGCGCCCCCCGAGATCCAACGGGCCCTCTCCGACCTCTTCGCTCGCCGCATTGGGCCGCTGCTCACGCTGGGCTGAGGCCGCTGGACTTGGTTGGGCATAGGAGAGGGTCACGAGTGTGTGTCGTGGTCGGGCAGCGTCTTGGTTGGGGAGTGTGTTGGTTGTAATCAAAGCCCTGTGCGCAGACTGGAGTGTGGTCTGCCTCTTTACTAGTAGCAGTGCAAGCTTTCTCTTGGGTCTTGTGTCAGATTTGCATGTAGAGGGAAAAGGCATGAGGCCTGTCAGATAGCGTCGTTCTCAATGCCGGCCAGGTGGGACGAAGCTGAGCTCAACACTGAGAGATTCACGCTGCAGCTGCCAGCATTGATATGTTTAGGGTTCTGCTGGCTAGGACGATCTTTTGCGCTATCCGCAGCATTACAAGGATAGAATAGCTCTTGAACCTGGGCTTTTCAGGAGGGCATGTAGTGAGTGGGGAGAATGTTCTCTACAAAGGAGTGCTGCTGTTGAAAGTGAGTCATTAGCACGTGTGTGCACGTCCATGCTGCACAGTCATCTTGCTCATCCTTCTCGACACACGGCCTTTCTACCTGAAGTGTCTTTCGAGATTGACACCAGGAGAGCGCCTCAGATCATTCTTCCGCGATGGGGTCAAAGTGGGACAGAATAGACTGCAGAATAAGTTTTGCTAATCCTGCCTTTGGCATCGACAAAGGCAAACGCGCTTTGATGCTTGTGAAATAGTCTCAAACAACCTCAGACCGGACAATAGCTCTGATAATCAGTATGCCCTCGATCACGAATGTTGGGGGCTCCCTGACAAGTGCGATAGCCCTGACGTTACTGGCATGGGCTGTCCGGTTCTTCAGAGCTGCAGCGCAGCAGAGGAAGCATGGTCTGCGAGCTCCAGAGGATGCAAAGCAATCTGAAAAGCTAGGGCGCTACTTCTGCTCTCTATCATCGGCTGCTCTCCGAATGCTGGTGACCATCGGCTCAGATCAAGCATAAACCATCAAGCACTGTTCCTTCCGAAGCTTATGACCTGTACAAAATGCTCTTCAAGGAGGCATACCTCTTTGGACCAACGTGAGTTGCTATGGAACTAGGTGGAAACGGATCCCATCCCTCATATCATAGTAGATGTGCGCAAGCCGGAGGATGTGAGCTACAGCCCCTTGCCAGAGGACCTCAAAGCAGCAGTAAACATCCCAGGTGAGCCTTTGACATCAGCTTGATGCAATATTATTGCCAGAACACCTGGCAGTGGTGGCCAGACAGCAGAGCACTTGTGCCCTGCTCCTCAACCTTGAAGTCCAGGTGATGATTGCACCCTTCATTATGACACACAGCGGAGGAGGTGGAACAGGCCCTCAGCCGGAATGCGGCTGGGTGGCACGCTCGGGCTCCGAACACACCCGTGCCAATGCGGGACTGGCTGCTCGTATTTGTCGGGGACAATGCAGATGACATGCACGCTGCCGCGGCGGGTGCGGCAATTGCTGGCTTCGAGCGGGGAGCTGTTCTGCAGGATGGCCTGCAGGCTTTTGGGCAAGCTGCACTGCAGCAGGTGCGCAGTGGCCCTGTTCTAGGCAGCTCCTATGCCTCCCTGCAGCAATAAAAGCTGAAAAGAGTCTGGATCGTGAGTACTTAGGTTGGTGCATGTGCAGGCGAATCTGAGGTATATTGGGAGGGACGGGCTCGCGGCAGTGCTGGGGGTGCTGGGGGAGCGGTCCACGCGGGCAGAGGGCGTGCGCGTGCTGGACATCAGGCGGCACGACGAAAGGGCGCTGTATGGCAGCATCCCCGGTGAGGGCCCCTCTGCCACCGTCTCTGCATCAGTGCATGCCGGGTTTGCAATCTCTCCCGATTCATCGAGACCTCAAGAGGCTGCAATTCCTCAAGAGGCTGCAATTCCTCTGCAGCCAGATCCACCAGTTGCCAGGGTTACCCATTGTATGCAACCCCAGTAGATGTGAGCCGAAAGTCATGCTAAAGCACGACATGTGGCTGGGCGGCGCAGGGACGGTGCATGTGCCGACGGATCAGCTGCCGGCAGCACTGAGCATGGCGCCGAGGGAGTGGGAGGCGGCCTACCGCTGCCCCAAGCCAGGCTTTGAGGACTGGGTCGTCATGCAGTGCCGCACCAACCGTCGTGCCGCTTGGGCCGCGCAGGTCGCCCAGGATGCTGGCTGGCCCCGTGTGCTGGTCTACCGCCAGGTCCGTGCATGGACCGTGAATGAAGCCTTTTGCTTCATGCAAAGTCTCCTACGGCCTTGGAGACCTCCCAGAGAAGCAGCCACTGTCGGCTAAGTTAACCTCAACTGCAAGATTTGTATGGGAAGTCTCCTGGATGCCACTTCAGCCTTTTGGTGAAGCAGAAGTGAAGTGGGACATGCATGGCAATGCTGTTTGTTTGTGAATTAAGCCTGCTGACAGCCGCATGGGTGCATGCAGGGCGTGTATGGCTGGCGGGTACATCCCACGGTGAAGGCGTATCAAAGCTACGAGCGCGGGGAGCCTCCGCCAGAGCCCGAGCCGTTCCAGCCAGAGCCGCTGGACGCAGCGCGCGCCAAGGCTGAGCTGGGCCAGCTGGGCATACGCGTGCAGTGAGCGGCATGCGTTGACCGCATATGTTCGTTGACCGTTATGACAGCGTGCCGGCACCCTGCCGGCATCTTGTGGGATGTGCCATGGATCACTTGAGGATGACCAGCGGCTTGTGTATGACAAAGCCTGCTAGGCCTATCCAGGCCATATATGCCAAAACTGGGAATTTGAATTGGAAATCCAAGCCGGGCGGGCTCATAAGCTAATTAGCCGGTAGCCTAGAGCCCGCACCTCTGATCACTTATGATGTACTCATGCATGCAGATGCACACGTCCTTTGACCGCGGTCATCAATGGAAAGTACTCACCTACAAGCTTTTGATGTACCCTAGATCTCAGAAGATGTAAATTAAACTGAAGGGGAACCTCTCAGGTATACTGTGAAGCATCATGCCATGCACCCATGATCGAAGACCGTCACGGACGGTCCTGAAGTGCACGGCACCGGTGATCATTGCATGTGACTCTGATGCCTGGCATGCTCTTGCATGCCCACCCCAAGCTTGCAATTGTGCGGGGCCCATTCCAAATGTAGTGAGAGGCCTCCCGCTAATTAGCCATAGAATAGTAATATACCGTACGGTATATGCTTAAGCAGCCGGATTCTGGCTGCAGACGGACCTGTGTATGCCCTATGGCCCTCTGGGCTCTGGATTCGCCACTCATAAAGTTTATTTTTATTATTATTATACCGTAAGTGACTTAGCTAGGACTCCTTCAGAAGCTGCAGCCGCCGCCGCACCTGCCATACATAGGAGCTGGCAGATCCACAGGTCAGGAGTTCAGGGTTCATCTCTCTGACTAGGCTGATTTGCAGTAGATATGCCAACTGGATTGACATGTGGAACAGTGAGAGTTTGCTGTGAAATCTCGTCCTTCCTTACCAGCTTCGGGAGTGGGCCCCCCGCTGGGGCCCCCCACTTTACACGTCACCGATCCGCTGGTCATGCTCGATCATTTGTGCTGCCTTCCTACAAGAAGAGCCAGTGGGTGGCACCGAGACCCTCCACGATCCTGGTCTAGCTGCACAAGTGCCCCTCTTCAGCCGCTAATAAGCCTGCTCTGGTGAGTGTCCAGGGTCCTCAGGACCAGACGCACTGGTCCTGCAATGTTGTGCCCTTATCTTTGTCACTGCTCCCTGTCTCCACCAAGTCCCTGCTGGAAATGTCCCTGCACCAGGAAGTGTTATGTGTGCTGTTTCAGCTGCTCCCATGCTGCAAAGGTCATTCTGCAGAGGATAGCAGAGGTCTTGGAGGCGGGCAAAAGGGTGAAATTGGAGGAGGCCCGGGTGGAAGTTTGGCAGAGGCTGAAGATGACCTGGAAGCAGCTCTTTCCGGTCTGACATGCGTGCGTGGTGCATTGAATGCAGGCCGTGAACTCAAGAGTATTACGGACGATAACGCACGGGATATTTCTTCTTTGCGAGGTGAGCATCCGTGATGCCAAGCTCCTCCGGTCTGGATTGTTACCCGCATTGGTGTCAAGCTGTGGCACATGAAAACATCATGCCTGGATGAGGGGGTTATGCCCACGGGCGTGTGTGTAGCCCGTCTCTCCTCCGAATTGGCCGTGACAAGATGGTCTCTGTGGTGTCTTTGGCTTCCAATACGCAGCCTTCCAATAGCCCCGAAGAAGCGGTGCTCTTTCCAAAACTTCAAAAGATGCTCCACTCCAGTAACACTGATGTGTCCCCCTGCAGCGTTTCGTGTAGCCAAGGTGGACGGGCCTGTGGGATCAGTTGGACTAGGAGGCAGATACTATGCCACGCAAAGCTCAGCAAATTGACACTCAACCAGGTCTGTCGGTGCTGTTCTAAAGATTTTTCGGTGGCAGGGCCCAAGTCTTTGAAAGGCAACAACTGACAACCCTCTCAAGACAGTGGACAGTGTTGTTCCCTGGGTTTATTGAGGTTGCTGTCTATAGGCCTTACAAGGCAGGTAAGGCTTGCCAGGAATTGCAAAATTGCAAGAGGGGTGTCCATTGTAGCCCAAATGCTGAGCTATTGCAAACCATCTTTTCAAGGCAGTTATGGTGCAATGCACAATCAAGGAAAGCGCTGACACCACCTATGTTCGCAGGTGAGACTATGGGGAAGTCGAGGAAGCGCAGCAGGCACTGCAACACTGGCTACCCCTACAATCCCATCCGCGTTGCGCACATACATGTCGTTAGGCCTAAAGTGAGGCATAGCTCGGACAGCAGCCTGTTCATAGGTAATCTCCCAACACAAGACCGGTGTCCTCAGTCTGATCAGGCCATGTTCAGGGTTTGCCAAGAATTGCAATTCTTGTGCCAACCTTCACCGCTTAATGATGGCCTGGACCTTTCCACTACAACATTTACTATTGTGCTCCTCACCAGGCAGGTGCTGGGTGCTAATGAGTAATGCCAATAGCGCACTGCAAATCCACGGCGTGACCGCTGTGTGCCTGTGACCAGGCTTGTTTGTGGAGACAGTGCACCCAGTTTTCGGCAGTGCCTCCATGGAGGGCCGGCGTGCGCGCCGCAGCTTGAAGCGGCTGGACTTTGTGCGCGCGTACAGCGAGTACTACTGGTCTAAGGCCAACAACCTCGTGGCCGCCGTGTACAGCAACTCGCGCGCACTGGTGCCGTCCGCGCTAAACTCCAGCATCCGCGCCGTCGAGGACAAGGTCACCGAGCTTGGCACGCCGCTGCTGGCCGCCGTTCAGTCGCGCAGCGAGCAAGTCCTCACCTCCCTCGACCGCAAGGTGCTCCCCCCCTGTCGCATCAGCACCATTTGCCCGCATGTTGCCTGTATGATGACATGCACCACCCCTGCTTCTCGTGTCATGCATCACAGGTCCGAGAGTCGTTTGGCTTCTAAGCTGAGATGCTGCTGGGGCGTCCGCATGTGTGAAGCCGTCATAGTAGACTGGGCCTGATGGATGGGTTTGTTGACGGTAGGTGGACAGCGCCCTGTGCGCCGCGCAGAGCGTGCTGTACCCCAAGGGCCTCGACAACGTGGTCGCTGCCAGCCGTGCGCAGCACGCCGCCACTGTCGAAGCTGCCCACGAAGCTCGCGATGCCTACCTGAAGAAGGTGCGCTTGAAAAATGACAACTCAACCTTCTCATCCCTATTTTTTGAGGTCTGTGTTTGCGGGACAATCGTAATACTTTGTTCTTGACAGGCCTAGAGATTGGTATGGATTATGAAGGAGGCAACTGATGTGTCTCACAGGTGGAGGAGGCGTTGGAGTTTCTGCGGGCAGCGGGCATCTCCGGCGCGGCCAAGTACGCGGCTGGCACGGTGTGCTGCTGCGTGGACGAGGCCCAGAAGATCCCGCCTGCCCTGGAGCGCGAGGCCGAGGCTGTGCTGCTCAAGGTCAGCGAGGCCTGGACCAAGCTCGTCTCCCTGCCGCCAGGTCCGCCTCTGTCCCCACCTCAGAAATATTTCCGCACTGCTTGTTCTGCATGCTTCATGTTGTACAAAGGCGTTTCCTTCATGTCTTGGCAGAATTACATGGGCATTGTGACTCTCCTGTTACAACGGAGATGTGTTTTCCCATTTGTTTTTATTTGGGTGTTTGGGGTCACAATGTTGCAGCAATGCTGACTCCTGCTGCTCTCCTGTGCAGTGAACAAGCTGCTGGACACTGCCCAGCCGTCGGTGGAGTTCACTCGGCGCAAGTATGTGGAGGCCCACGGCGCCATCGTGGCATCTGCCGCCTACACGCGCACCCTGGAGACCGCCGCCCAGGTCCTGCACAAGGTGGGCGCCATCTCTTCCTTCCTCTGTCTGGCCCTCACCTGCGTCTGTTTCAACGACTCCTGCAAAGATTCACATGCACAGCTGCAGGTTGGAGGGGGGCTCCCATGAACAAAACAAAAGTTAGCCATGCATCGACACATACTCCAGGAGTTATAATCATTCTGTTCAGTAGAAAAGGACAGCCTCAGAAACAAGTTGGAAAAACTTTTCCTTGATGCACAGGTGACGGAGTCGGTGGTGTACCGCTTCTCGGCAAGCAAGCTGTACCCGGTGATCTCTTCGTATGCGGACCCGGCGCTGGACCGCATCACGCACTCGCCCTACTACTCGGCCGTCGTGGACCACCTCAAGCCCACCTGCGCCAATTCACAGCTCTCCAAGTCTGCCTCCCTGGACAGCCTCCCCTGCATCCAGTGCTGAGGCCTGCCAGCTGCCCTGCAGCTCGGCGCACCCGCTGCACAGGACTGTCTGAACGGCTTGCATGCCTGCATGCGCACATGCCCACCGTGTACCGGAGAGAGGGGTCACTGGAGGGTGCTTGCGTGCTCAGCTGCCATCTGGCAAGTGGCTCTGACGGTACCACAGCAGCTCGTGGAGGAGGGTTTTTTTTTCACGGCAGGCTCAGCCCCAAGCATGAGTGTGAGAGATGAGCGTGCAGAGCAGCCACAGCTTTGCCATCTCCGCAGAGCATCGCATGTTCAGTCAGCAAAGGTCAGGGAAGGTGTTAGGCTGTGCATGCCCTCGTATGCAAGAGGCCCAAGCTGCATTGCAATACCCAGCGTCAGTGGCGCTGGCAACCCTGCAGTGGTCCACCCAGCTTTTGGGTGGCGATCTGCGCGAGCAGGATTTGTTTTGGAAGTACGCGGAGCATCAAGATGGTTTTGCGTGGAGATTTGACAGCACTTTGTTGTGGAAGCATCGGCGCTAAAGTGTACATTGCCGAGAGACTGGCAGCGTTAAGCAGGACTGCGAAGACTAGTCAGCATGTCACATCGGACAAGGAAGTCACGCAGGATTGGTTGGGAGCTCCAGAGGTGGGATGCTGTTCAACGAGCCTTCCTGAACGTGGGCGCTCCCTGCAGCTCAGCCCTCACCGCTGACAGGTGTTGAGGGGCTTGCTCCTTCTCCACCTGTGCGCAACCGAGGGGCCGAGCTAGGAGGAGATGAGCTGGGAATGCAGACAGGAAATGGTGGTTAACTTCTTTTCATGTTTTGAGGGTGTCTGGGGAGTGGAGGCTTGCACTTCGCCAGCAGTTGAGAGAGCGAGAGTGTGACCGAGCGGTAATTACTTTGTACACATGCCAGAACGCGGCCGGAGCCCGGTCTTTTCCGGTGCCTGGTCATATTGACTTTCGAGACAGAGCGGTGCTGCTGTGATTACAAGGATGAATGTAAAACAGCAAGGAGCAGTGCGGGACACACCCCGCAGTTTTGCAGCGATATTAGGTATCAAGAAATGCCTACACCAGAGCTAAAGAATGATACTGGCGCTGCGCGTGCTGCAGCATCAGGGGATGCTACCATTTGGGGCAAGAAAACGAAGGACGATCAGGTCAGCAAAGAGAAAGTGTGCTCCTGAAGAGCCGCATTCTCTGTGATACGCGACCTCATGCGGGGAGTTTTTGGGGCACTTTTTCGTTTCATGATTACAAGAGACCGTTCGCTGTGTGGGTGTGAGACTATCTCGTGTGGCCATCTCGAGCAATGCAAGGGGTGCAACTCATACTGCATGCTTGTGACTGTGTGGGGAATATGCATCCTGCAGCATGGCGATGTCTGTTCAAAAGTCTTTGTGTGGACGATGGGGTGATGAGTGTTGGCACAATGCATGGAAGTGTGATTAGAGGACTGCATTGAGCAGGAGTGCCACGCCAAACCTGGAATGTGCTAATTGACTGAAGTTCATGAGCACGGTGACATGTGTCGCCCCCCCTTTTTCCGTTTGTATTTCGCATGTGCATCTTGATGGTATTGTCCAGAAGGGCTGCCTGTAACTATGGAATCTTTATGCACATCCGTGAACTTTGAATATGGCAAGGGATGGAAGCCAGACGGTGTCTTTGGCAAAGACAAAGTGACATCTGTACAGGTGCCATATACCCAACTTATTCACCAATGGTAAACTACCGTTGTCACCGTTACATCGATCATTCATTTGAGCGTACTACACAGAAAGATGATAGGGAAATGGCAAATCCTCCTGATCTCCACTGAACTTTCAATTGAGGCTGACATGGCAAGAATTTCCTCCTCAAAAGTATGTAAGAACCCACAGCCTTTTTGTGCATGGCACTGCCATCAGTTCTCACGTATTTGCTTCACAAAGCATAACTTCTGTTCTGACCCTTTCAATTCGCCGCCCATGTTCCATCATATTCTGTACCCCAAAGCTTTTATTGCAATGCTGCGCAGCGCCCCATGGCCATTGCTCAAGACAACTACCACAAGTGCATCATTGGAAGTATTTCTGATTTTGTCCAGATAATGACTGCCCCAACAGTGAGGTAAACACTGACTGAACCTCCTCTGCTTCTGCTCAGCACAGTGAAACGCACACCAATACATACCTTATTCAAGCTGGCTTCTGACGGCAGACACCATTTGTACTCTGTTATCATTAAGCTACATAATGCAAAAGCCGTATTGTACGGAAAGCGGCACGTGCCAAAAAAAGAAATACAGCCAGAGCGGAGGCTCAAATGCTGTGCGCTCTATGCTAAGCACAGAGGTTCATGACTACGCTGATGCTACATCTGGAACAAAGGGAATAGTCAAAAGTAGGCCACTATCTTACATCTCCCCCAAAACTTCCCTTTGCCGGTAGGTGGGCGTCAGAATGTTTCTGCTGCCTCACAGGAAGTAACCTGCAGCACACAGCCGTCATTGAATCCCTGCATTGGAAATGACATCGCTGTAATTGCAGGTGACTCAGGAAAACACGCAGTGATCACAAGAACAGACGGCAGTACATGTGCTCATCATTGGCATGCGCACCTTCTTGGGCCATCCACATTTGGGAGTGGGAGTCTGGTGTGCTCATGTCCAGAGGCAGAGGTATGTGGGATCTTCCTGTAGGAGACATGCTGTATGATGCCCCTGGCCTGAAGTCCCCTGCAGAAACACCGCCCATCTCTTTTCCACAGGCTGACTGACAGATTGTGCAATTGTTTTGTGTTTTTGGAGCATTACTACCCCATCTCACCCAACCGCTCTAACAGTACTCCAAAAGTACTCCATTATGTCACTCCTATCAAAAATGCAGAATTTTGAGCGGGAGCACGGATGCCGCCAGTAGTGCAAACCTGTGGGAGAAGAGTAGTGCTGCACTTTCATAGGCTGCGCCGGTCTCTGCTGGTGGTAGCGAGGGTGGTTGAAGAGCAGAGTCTGCTCGCTGCGGTCCTCTGTCAGGCAGCTGCCGGTCGCATTCAGATCGTATGAGAACAGATCCTGCACGCCACCAACACGGCTTACTAAGATCTGCAGGTCCATCAGGTGTACAGCATTCTCTGTCATCATCCAGATGCTTCCCGTCGCTTCACAGGCGCATGCATGCTTGGTGGACACGCCGACAACAAGGGTGCCACACATCAATGGCACGCTGCAGGCACACACAAGCTTGTGTGCAGTCCTGCGCTTTCCAACATGCACTAATTTTGTTCAAAAAGTGCTTGACGGCAGTCCTGTGCTTTGTAAAGTTGCTTTCCAAAAAGTGCTCATCCAAAAAGAGTGCTTTACAGAGGAAAAGCAGGCACATAGAAGTGCACCTTGCGTGAGCTGTGGGGGTCGTTGATGGATGCGAGGAAGGCAGGGTCGAGCGGGTCCAAATCAGCATCGGATGGCATCGCCATCTGAGACTGGTAGTGCATCGGCAGCGACTGCGGCAGCCGGCACAGCTCCTGCGCGCCCGGCTGCTCCGACAGAGCACTCATGCTCCGCCAAGGGACCGGCCGCGCCCTCTCCTGCTGCTGCTGCTGCTGCTGCCGCTGCTGCACGCTGCTGCTGTGCATCTGGTACAGGCTCTGCTGCTCCCTGACACCCTGCACCATGGCCTACAGATGTCAACACCTGCATTTGCTCTTCCCCACTCCAAGGTGATTAAACCAGGAGAGAATGCATACACGAAAGTCAGTGCGAGCGAAAACTAGAGAGGAACGGCTGCCTCGCTATGTGAACAGGAGTGTATTAGAATACAAACATGTCCCAAAGGTATACAAAGTATAAAAAGTACGAGGCGACAAAAAGCAACCGCTGGGCTGCAAACACTCAGCATGGCCACAGGTGCTTACCGAGAAGTCCACCGCCCTGGGCTCGAGGCTCTCCTGCCAGGAGCGTTTCCTCTGCAACTTTGTGTGCGACTCACCAGACACTGCCACCTGCCATCAAAGAGCAATGCTTTGACCATGGAGCACTTTTGCATTGCACGCTGCTGCAAGGCTCCACCGAGCACATCATTCTCAGTCTAGGTGACAGGGACAGGCGGAAGAGTGGCTCTAAGCACAAGGATATGCTCCTTATGCGTCTGTCATAAGGCCAGAGCAAGCCACAAGGATTTGTGGTGTGAGAAAAGTCCCTGCAGCTCCTGAAACAGCATAAGCTTGGACCCACCTTGGCCTCAGGAATCAGGTTCTGGGACTTGCTCCTGCTTCGCGGCAGCAGCTGCACCCCGGGCTCAGATTTTGCCTTGGTACCGTCGGTCCCCGACCGTGCGATCTTTGCCTTCTTCTGCTCTCGATGCAGGCGCACCCCACATGCATTGCACAGCGTCTTCTGCCCGTCTGTGTTTGTGCGCCACATTGGTGTCTTCCTCGTGCCACAGGTCACGCACACCTGCACAGGCAGCTTGTAAGCCACAGATGGACCCCACATTATACTGTATGTTGCTTAGAAGAACCGCAGAGCAGAAGCACAGCGGGAAGCTATGGTAGAGCCCACCTTATTCCCTGGAGACCCAGTGTCAGTACTTCGGCTCTCACTGCTGCATGCTGACATTGTTGCACTCTGCATTCTGACAAGATCCACAGCAGGTAGTGGGCTATTGTCTCCTGGTGCACTGCAGTCCTGTGAGTTTTGGCGAACTGCATTCATGCTGTGCCTGCTGTTGATGTGGGCTCCTGAGTTTCTGCGTCCACTGCAGGGTGCCTCAGCTTCTGCTTGCAGTGGCGGCAGAATCCTGTGCACAAAAGCAAAGTCTCCAACTGAAAGCTTCCATCATGCCGCGCCTTTGTACGGCAAGATCAGCTCGATGGACACCAGGACCATAGAGATAGCGAGAGAAGTTAAAGACGAACATCAAAGCTACTCTACCCCTTTGCGCATCCATGTCGTTCCTTAACCGAAGGGAAGTCGGGCACAGGCTGACGTCATATTGTGCTTGGCCGTTCCCCAAATCGGAGCTTCCGAAAGCATCATCTCTCAAATCAGGAGCAAAATATGATCTTCAGGAACATACCTGTGGGGGACAGCTCAAGATGGGACAGTCACGGCTTAGGTTGACGAGTACCGCCTCCAGGTGCTACTACACCTCCCGAACTGTGCACGCCGGCCGTTTTCGATACTGAAGCGCAACAATCAACACTCCTTCCCTCCTCGATGCCTACTCCGGACCTGAAGTAACGTTCTTGCGGTGTTATCGCGTTGTAGAAGCTACCTTTCCGCACTCGCAGAAATATCAAGTCGTTGGGCGTGGCGTTCTATTTCATGCAGCTCCCCTCCGGCTCAACGTATCGAGGGATTTTTGAAGGTTTGAAACTAGGTTTTGAACCTTAGGTGGCGAGCAGCTTCCCAGCCACTCTCCAGTCCCGATTCAACACAATTGGGCAGAGAGGGCCAACGTCTCCCAATTCTTAGAAACTTAGCGAACGTACCATCGCTACTGTGGGCGGCAGCTAAGTTTCCAGCGCGAGCACCAAACGAGTTGTCAGCAAAGCCGGGATCAAGGTAGGTGAGGCTCTTTCGATCGTCTGATCTGCGTGTAAACCTGTGATTTTGGTAATATTCAATTAAAGCGCCCAAAGAATGGAGTGTTTCAAGCCTCCAGATGCCGTTCACGTATCTTTCGATTTTGACTTTATTCGGCCTCAGGAACAGCAAACGACTGTTATTATATGTTGCTCGCATCGATACAGGCTCATGGTGTAAGGATTTGCAGACTAGAGAAGCGCTCCTGGTGCAAATTGCAGGTGGCATAGCAAGGCAAGGGTAGGCATGTCAACAACTGTGACGGAGACGCCGACGTCCGTTTCACCCTTGAAAGTTAAAATACAGCCTACATCCACGGATGAATCGCCGCAGAGCACATTAGGAGGACATGGCGTGGTGCATATCACCTCCCAGAATGCCACGCCTTTCCAGAACGCAGACCTGCCACCTGGAGTGGCCATGGACCCTGAACTCGCCAGGAAGAGCGAGGAAAAGTTCGACAACGTGCCTTTCTCACGTCCATTCTCGCCAAAGCAGCCAATCGCAGAAGATGCTGCCGAATCCTCAGCTAGGACCGGTGGGCTGCACACACCCACGCAGCTGCCTGAGAGTGCCACTTCTGCAGTGCTGGAGCCATCTGAGGCTGGCCATGCGCGCCGCTGGATAAAAGTGCCGAAGGGCTGGTACGCCAAAAAGGGTGCAGAGGTCATGGACGGACTGCGCGTGGGAGACGCTCTGGGGAAGGGATGCCAGGTGCATTGCCACACTTCCACCATTCCTCTTTGGCACCCAGCAGCAGGATGCACAGAGCATGGAGACGTCATGAGATCATGCAAGGAACATGCTGTCTCCTGAGACTGCTGCATCATGCAGGGTATCAGTGATGGTCTGCAAGCATGTCCTCATGTGGCAGGGGTAGACTGCACGTCGAGCACAACTGTGAAGTGATATCCAGGGTTGTGGTGGCACAGGGCGGCGTATACAAGCTGGTGGACAAGGATGGCAATGTGGACCCCACTCGGGTGCTCAAGGCAAAGCACCGCTATGCGCTCCTCGTGAAGGTGAAGCGTGAGTGGGAGATTGGGCGCTGCATTGCCAACCTGTACGAGCCGGACTCCTCGCTGCCGGGCTACATGGCGACTGGGGAGGGCGTCGTCACTGAGAACGGCAACTTCATAGGTGCGCACCAGCATGCCTGGCACATCTCCACATTGAGTGGAGATTTTCTTCAGTGAGGGTTTCTCAGGAGGCATGAGAGGTCACATCGTCGATCGTATTCCTGCTGCAGTACTGCCATAGACCTTGAGCAATGAACTGTTCATGCGTGTTGATGGTGTGGCTAAATTGCGCACAGGCATGATCCTGGAGAAGATCGATGGCAAGCAGCCCAGCAAGCGCCTGAATGAGTCATCCTTCAATGACATCCACTATGTGGAGGAGCTGCTCTTCTGCGTCTTCAATGCGCTGGACATCGGCCAAAAGTCCCTGGGCTTCCATCACGCTGGTGAGGCATTATCGAGAACTTTGCATTTTCCTTTTTGCTTGTCTTTTTTTGGTTCTTGTGATCAAGAAGATGTTGCTTCCCTTTCTGGTTTGCAAAGTCAGGGCAAAAATGATGATGGAAGGATCGGTATTTGAGGGACTGAGATCTCTGTCATGATTGGAATTACCATGCATGGAATGATTGGCCCTGCGAAGTTGTCTGTGGCATGACCTGTCTTGGGATTGACACTGCAGATCTGCGCGTGTCAAACGTGATGGAGGTCAAGACGACGTCAACACAGGGAGCGCCCCAGCTGGAGGAGACGGACGTGGCTGGCCGCGCTGCAGCCCTCAGCTTCAACGGAGAGAATGTCGGCAAGAACGCCGCGAAGAGGTCAGCCCACTTCACCACCATGTGTTGTGTATCATGTCCATGTCAAAGTGCGCATTTGATCACCAGGGTCCATTGCTGAGGCCACATGCAAGCACTACCTCTGGCTGTGACCCAGTGCCGCAGGGCTTCGCATGTGCTCCGTTATAAGGTTTCAATTTATCCATTTTGTTGAACACAATCTGAGTCATTTATTTCGTGGCCAGTAAGTCCTGAAGTCTGAAAGCTTAAATGGTGCACGTAGGCTGAACCAGTTCAAGATCATCGACTATGGGCTGGCGGACTTCACAGAGCACTACCCCTCAGGCAATGTGCATGTGGGCGGCCCCACGCATGCTGTCCCCAAGACGGGCCCCCTGCACTTCTCCATCGGCCAGCTGCAGATGTCGCTGCCTGTGCCCCTCAGCCTGGAGCAGCTCAAGGGCCTCCCGAAGGTCTAGTGCCTCCCTTTTCGCTTGCTATGCATGTGTTTTCAGCATGGGCAAACACCTTCAATGCTGTTCCGCCGAGACAGGCCACTTTGTCAGCTTTCTGTGTGTGGACTGTCACACACACACCAAGTTCAACAGGCCTGTTTCGGCGTAACTTTGTTTGCCAGGGGACGGCAGGAGTTGTGACTGGGCCTTCTTTGTATGAAATGACCCTGTGCTGATGCTTGGAATGTTGTTGCAGATCAACCCGCTTGAGAGGATGTACCGCCACTTCTGGAGGAACAAGGGAGACATCTACCACGTGTGCTGGGATCTCACCAGGTGCCTGCCTTGATCTTTGCTGCTCTCATCCGATGAATAAGATGTACAAGTCTAAAAGTACCTGGCAAAGAGGCGTGCGCAGAGAGATGCCTTCAAGAGCCCTGGTTCATGCTTGCAGGTACCTGGACGGACGGGTGTGGCCCAAAGAGGACGAGAAGCAAGTCAAGCTGCTCTTTGCCTTCATCCACCACTGCACAGGTCAGCAGATGTGTCTGCAGTGTCGTGCATGTGAGATTCTGCTGCCAAGCTGCCGATGTTTGGATTCCCTGAGTGTATACTGAGACTTGGGTGTGGGTGACTTCAGGAGTGCGTCTGAAAGCCTGGTTTGCACCAAAGTCCACTGCTGACAAGGACGGCAAGCTGAAGTGCGCGGCCGTGTAAACCCTTTCTCATGCTCACTATACTTGCTACACAGCACCTGTGTTCAGCACAAATTGTTGTCAGGGACCGCTTGATCAACTCTCGCAGCAGTAGCTAATTGTTCGTGCATGGCGCAGGATCCCGAGACGCTATGGAAACTTTGCCTTTGTCCAGCACTACGATGGCTTCCTGCACGTCCTGCGCATCCGGTCTATCAGGTATGAGACTTAGCCTCAGTGTGTTTTGTGGTTGTGTGTCCTTGTCTCCTTCAAGGGCTCTCGGCTATCATGACTCTGCTTCCAGAGGGCGGAAATTGCTGTATCTACCAACAAAGCGTGTTCTCAATCCTTCAGTGCTCTCTGCTGTGTGCAGGCTGCAGGCATGGTTCCGCCCTCACAACCCTGGGATCACTGCGGCTGAGGCCCTGTGTGCCCCCTTCTTTGAGGCCTGCCTCCACAAGGGCGAGGACGCAGTCTAAAGGAGTCTGCAAGCGACGTGCTCATAGTGCAATTGTGCTTGATTGAAGGCGCTTGCATCCCGCGTGTAGAACATCTCTTGAGGAATGCTTCGGGGTTTTGAGAGACTAAGAACTGTCCTACTGAGCAGCTAGCTGATTTTGGTCGCATATTTTGCACTTTTCCATCTCCCAACTGCACTGGCAATATCTGGCAAGGTGACTGCTGTACCGAGCTGCGTGCACCGCTGACTCCGGTTTCTTCCTGGCAGTGAGGCCAACTTGCACCAGCTGGTGTCCCTGCCAGACATGTTTTGCAGTGCATATTGGACCCTCAGGATTCTTAGTGATCAGCAAAGCGAACTTATGGGGTTTAGCAGCTGCTGAGAGTGTGCAAGTGGGAGACCTTCTTGCGCATTGATGAATTATCTGTGCTTGCATGTATCTCCCATCAGATATTATGTGTGGTGACTCAGGAGTTTCTGGCAGCTCATTTGCTTTGCCGAGCGCCTTTGCATTCAAGAGATTGTGGTTTTGACTAGTTCTGCGGCCTTTGCATTTATGGGGCACGTATGGGGGGACCAGAACCATGCAGAAGCTTTGAATGTCAAGATCAAGCTCAGTGTCCATAAAAGGCGCCATAACAGGTGTTGCGAGTCTTGACTTTTTTAGCTGGGAGTTGTGTTAGGTGCAAGGGTCGCAATGGCCATTGGAAAATTGTGATACGTGCTGACATGCTTTCGAAGTGCCATCGCAAGTATGGTTGAGTTTTGAGGTATCGGACGATCTGAGATATATCGATATGCTTTACATTCACAACTTCTCCTGCTGTGTCAAATTATGGATGAAAAGTTTTATAATGTAAGGTGAAGGAAAGTCTGATAACGAGACATCCATTTCTGTTCTTATCCCTTCACAAATCCACGATGCATCCATGTGGGTGCCACATGCAGTGGCTGCTCACTGGCTGTGAACGTACTCAATAATGGGTGAATTGTGAGAGATGTAGAAACAGAGGGATGCTAGTATCTTATGCATGGCATGTGGCATGTCAAGCTTTCTACCTTCTGTGACCACATTCTGTCATGTGCCTCCAGATGTCTGGTGCGGTAATGACAAGTATCACTGTCTCCATTCCCTAGAAGCATTCAATCATCATCGCTGAGCACGCGCTGCGCTTGCACCCGGCGGGGGCCGGCCTTGACGACCGGCGCCACATCGTGCGAATCCATCGAGTCCTCCAGATGGCACCACTCCGCCCCATCCCTCTCCTTCTGCTGCAGCCCGCCTCTGGCACCCATACCACTTTGCCCTCCCATCGTCATCTGCTGACCGGTGCCATCCACACTCGGCTTCTGGGTGGCGCTCGTGGCGACAGCAGCGCTGCTGACGGCCTCACCCGGATCGGCGGCGGCTGTGCTTGCGGCGCCGGAGTTCTGCGTGCGCACGGGGTTGCCGCTGCCGATGAGCTGCGCATGGATGCGGCGGGGCGTGGGCGGCCGCACTCCGGAGGTTGCCTGGCCCATGCTGGCGGCGGGCGACTCCAGACCGATGCGGCGCATCTCTGCGCGCTGTGCCTTGCGCACTGTTGACGTGGATGTCACGGATGCTGAGGTCGCCGGCTGCGCTCGCCCTGCACCCCATCATGAGTGGTCTCATCATCACATGCCCGTCCTCTAACACCATAGAGAGGGGACGATAATCAGAACGGGCTCCGTTAGGTGAAATTTATCTTAGCGGCAGCGTAAGGGACACACATGTCAAATTTTTAGGTGTCCTCGGACATCTTCTACTGGAGGTCCTTAGGCTTGCGTGCCATTGATTAGGTTGACTGGGATTTGAATGCACTGTAATCGGATGCTTGGGGATTCCAGATGAGCAGATTTGGTGGGTGCATGCCTGGCGCCGGCTGTTGCATGGGAGCGAGGTCGGCGCCGGCTGAGGAGGGCCGGCCGGAGGTGCTGGCGAGCGCGAGGCGCTGCTGCAAGCTGGGGCCAGCGCCGCCGGTGCGCGGCTGCAGGAAGGGGTGGATCGGCCGCGCCGCCGCCTGCTTGGGCGGCACCGGGGGCTTTGATGCGCTCAGGGGAGCTGGCGCCGAGGGCTGCGGCGCTGCAGTCGCTGGGCCTCCATCCTCCACCTTGCCTGCAATGCATCCTTTTTCTCAAGGAAGCACGCACTCTTTTCAAGCATTGCAGCCCCCGCATGATGCATTACAGACAAGCAATAAATAGACAGTTGGTTGAGAGATGCAGGCTCCACGTACCTGGGGTTGCCTCTCGCACGGCAACGACGGCTGTGGGCATGATGCGTCGCTGCTTCTTCACAGCGCTGCCCTTGGGCACCTCCCCTGCAGGAGCAGTGCCTTGGGCTGGGACAGCTGCTTCAAGGGCCCTCTTTGGCGCTGGTGTGGGCTCCGGCGTCTGCCTCTGTGGAGCAGAGGGCGCTGCGGCCACTGCAGCTGGAGCAACCTCTGGAGCAATTGCTGCTGGAGGGGGCGTCGGTGCTCCTGGAGGTGTAGCAATTGGTGTCTTGGCCAGTGGCTGTCGCTCGGCTGCACGAGCCTGCACATGAAGCACTAAAAACCGTTGATAATCAAATACATGAGCATTGCTCTTAGGTGACAAGGGCTCACCGGGTATTGTGGGTAATTGATTTATGGCAAGGTGTGGTTGTCTAAATCATACAAATTTTGATGGCACACCTCTGGTGCTGGAGTTTTTGCGACTGGCGTGGCTGCGGGTGCCGCTTTAGGAACAGCCGGCACCATCGCCTTTGCCGAGACTTTCAGGAGCGCCGCGATGTGGGGAGGCGTCCTGTCCGCATGCAGGGGGGTCCCCAAGTCCCCCTCTGCAAACTCGGCGACGCTGCAGAACCCTGTAGGAATGCTCAACAAACATGAACCACCAACTCAACTCAAAGAAAGCTCCTCAGAAAGGTAGGAAGCTGGTTGCTACCAAGAGGACTATCCATGACATCATCACAATACACAAATAGGGTGCCGCTTGTTCACAGCACAGGCTGCAGGAACGTGAACCTGCCATGAGAAGGCGAGAAGACGGAAGCAATTGCAATGTCCACAATGAAAAACTCACCACAGGCAGCAGAACAAAGAGTCAAAGTGACTATGACAAGGCAAGGGATGCAGTCAGGGGCGCGCACCGTCGATGGATGAGGTGGCGAGGAAGCGGCCGTCACAGGACCAGGCAATGTCAGTGATGGGCGCCCTATCCGGATGCAGCGAGCCCAGCACGGCGAACGGCGCCTGGCCGCTGGTGTCGCACAGCATGATGCTGTCCAGGGTGGCCACCGCCAGAACCATCTTGTAGGGCAGCTCAAAGGGGCCCCCTTCTCCCTCCGGGCCATCCTCCGCCTCAAACACCAGTGGGCAAAATCGCACCGCCACCACCGGCTGCATCATGAAAACGAGTTTCTTTCCAGCTCTGCTTGGCATAACCAATTTTTTTATTTTTTGCTGAGTTTTTGAAATTCCGAGCAATTTATTTGTGCGCCCAATACTGAGGAAATGCTCGCCAATGTATGCTCCACCAAGAAATGACAAATTTAACTGAGTGACAGGAGAGCTCACAGTAGACTCACAGATAGATGAAGATCAGAGGCTCACACGTGTTCAAGCAAGTACCTCTGTGCGGACCATCTCCAAGTATGTTGTATTCTCCTATGACAGTAAGCATCATGGTCACTTCATAGCAGAAGGGTGATGGAACGGGACCTTTGTGGCTGGGAAGATGAGCACAGGTGCATTCCACTTTCCACGAGCGTAGACATACGCGGCATCGACGCCGTCGTCGTCAGCTGATGCCTTGTGGAGGCCACCAGGAAGCACAAGCATGGAACCTGCAGTGTGCGCAGCTTATCAGATTGAATTGCACAAACAGGCACTGTTCTGAAAATCACATATATAAAGAGAATGAGACAGGACGAGAAGGAAAATACTGCTTGTGTACAAAGCGTACCTTCTGGAGACCATGCAAGGCGCCTGAAGAAACCCATGTTCTCATCGTGGAACATGGGGACCTTGTCGGGCTTCCCCTCACTCACGCCACCTGCACAAGACATTTGTGTACCCTTCACACCACGTCACCCAAATTCTCAGCTTCTTGATCTCCGCGCATGCAAAGCACAGGGGTTGGGGCGCCTGACTTACTGGGCAGCTTGCGTTTGCTGATGATGCTCTGGCACAGGTAGTCCTTGGCAAGAGCCAGGCTGCTCTGCGCGCCTTTTCCCTTCTTCCCGAGCGCAGCAACTCTCGGCCCATACACCCTGTGAGCAGTGCAGGACAGACCTCCTGACGCACAATTTTGCACGCAAAGCTGCAGAATTAAGTGGACCGTTCGAGTCACACATGCAACAAGAGTCACCCAATGAAGAGAACTTGCCTGCAGGTGCGATCTGCGGATTGGGACACCAAATAGGTGCGAGCAGGGTCCCAAGCAACGCCCTGGACATAGTGACAGTGCTCTGTCAGGCGCCCCTGTCCCTTGCCCTTCTCCACATCCCACACAACGCACACGTTCTCGATCGAGCCAGAGAGCAGGGCCGAAGAGTCCGGTGCCCAGGCCAGATCGAGGACATCGTCTGCATGGCCTCCCCTGCGTCAATCAACACACATTTTCATTTTCACTGCCTCCCCAGTGACGCGCATTGCTCCCTGTGCACGCACATTTGCACGGTCTGCAGCCTGTTCTGAATGCAATTGGCGCACCTCAGAGATACTGAGAGCTTCCAGCCAGGGTCAGCTGCGCCGGGGTCAGCGCCGAAGGCTGCATGACCCCCTGCTGAAGGCTTCCAAAGGAAGACCTCGCCACCGTCGCCCGCCGTTGCTAGGAGACCCCCTGCGGCACAAATCCCAATCAATAAGAGATCGTATATTTCAAGGATGATGACCTTGTTGAGATAGCACCTGTTTTAATTATGGAATTGTAGGACATATAACCTGTTGGCGAGAACCGGACACAGTTGACCATCTTGGCATGCCCGCCAAGGCTGCCTTCATGTGTCACGGTGAGGTCACCTGCTTCGTCTTGTCCCAGCTGCAGCCACGCAGATTGAGTTCAGCAGTTATAAGCTCCAATTAGTCTAAAATAAGTGAAAGGAGGTTAGAAACGTCAGGGGAGAAGGGGCATTGAGCTCATCACCTGCCAGAGCTGATGATTGATGGCACGTTATTGCGGGGCAGCCACACAATTGTCAGTTTCAAAGCCCTATCCTGGTGAATTGAAGGTAATACTATCTGCAAGCAGCAAAACAGAGAGTTCGGAAAGCCACACCTTAACTTCCTTGTCACCGCCTCCTGTAGCAAGAAGCCCAGATGGGTGAAAATCTAGGCTGTAAACTGGTTCTTTGCTGTGCCAAACGACCTGCAACAATTTTGCCCTCATCGTGTAGTGTAAATTTTTCAAACTTGCTCATCCAGCGGGGTGCCTACATAAATTTGGCTCGTGGTCCCCTGATACGATGGATCATGCAGACAAGCGACTGCAGGCAACGAAGTGTGTGAGATTGCTGCAGACTAGCTCTCCTATCGCACCCAGGATCAACAAACCATCGCGTGCTCTGCATGCTCTGCCAGCTGGCTTCCTCTCACGTGCGATTCATGTCAGTAAGTGAATGCTTGATCGATGATGGCGCTTTCAAGCGAGATTGACGCTTTACCCTGGTGGATGCAGTACATACGGTGATCTCAGTGCTCATCTGATCTACACTGAGTGTCCCAGGAGTTTTTCCAGCATGGCTTGTAGGTCATTACACAATTCTGAATAGCCCTGGTGCGATTGTCTGTGATCTTAACCAAAAATTACTTAGATACAAGGAACATGGCAATCCAGGACGTCAGGGGTGAGTTGCTTCTTTCTATTTACGCCAAATCTGTCTTCACTGCGTTGGCTTCGGGACATGCTTCTTCTTTCGCAGGCCTTGTTTTCTTGCTGATGATTTGCTGACGTTTTTTGTGCTCTGCGTCTGTGACGTGGATCCTATTCTGCAATTTAGTGTAAGCTTCCAATCTCTCTGAACAGGAACCTTGTGCCTGGATACATTCTTGAGCGTGCAATCCATTACAGCTTGCCACTCTCTTGTACTTGCCATTGAAAAATGAAAAACCTTTTCTGAGTTCACCCGTTTCTCCTTTTACATGCAGTTTGGCAGCCTTGGCGATTTCCTTCTCCATTGGGGTGACTCTTCAGATCCTGGTGGGTTCTCGACCTCATATCCCATTGCATCAACCCAGAATCCACATCAAGTATGGCTCATGAGATGGAGTGTGTGGCAGGGATGTGCGCTTTGGCACAACTGGTGGCCCCTCTTGACTGCCTTCATGTATGTGCTGGTGCCCATGCCGTACCTCTTCTTTGGTGCGAGCTCGGAGTCATCTTCAGCATATGGGGACAGCAGTCTGGCGAGCGGGTGAGTACAGTGTGCTGCTGAATGTGTTGTGTATGGTACACGTCCACACTATTTACAAAAAAAATGTTGATCATTGTGTCAATGACAGGAGAGCACAATCAAATCGCCTCGGTGCACCCAATGACCCAAGGACACGTGTTCATCCCATGTGTGCTGAATGTGCAGGTGGATTGATGCGGGCAAATTCTTGACTGGCTTCTCTGCAGTGGGCTCTGTAGCGATTCCTGCAATCCTTTTCCATGCAGAGAAGATCACTGGTGGCGCTCTGGCCACAGAGCTTGCTGCAGTTCTTGTACTGGCAGGGACAGCCTTTGCATTCGACTACCTCAGCAATGAGGATGCCAGCTACTACTGATTTAAAAGCAATTGGCAGCAAGCTGCCTGCTCTCACCCAGATAAGTTTTGTGATGGGTGTTGATGCCACCATTGGCCAGCAAAATTCCCGGTGCAATGGACAGTGTGTATGCATGTCTTTCAGGGCATGATGCAGGAAGGAATTTGTGCAATCTCGATACAAGAATCGATTCTTGTGTACCTGAATCTGCTTGCGTAAGCAATTGTGTTGTTCAAAATCGAATGACATGCTGGGCATTTTTGGCACAGCCATCCACAACGAAAACTCTCAATGACATATCCAAGCAGAGGAACTCGTGATGGCTCTTTTCCATTACAAAGGAGAATGTAGATAAGATAAACTACCGGTCTAGATCTGTGGTTGGTGGGTATTTAACGTAGCCACAATTGGCGCAATGGTCAGCCTATTTTATCTGCGCAATCGCACAAGTTCTTGCTCCTTCAAGCTCCCATAGCGCTACCATTGAAAGGATTGTTGTGTGCGTGCAACATGCACAGAGATTCTAAGAGTTAATGAAGATTGGCTGCTGCTGCAAGTGCAGCACTAGCATCAGCACATGCATGCGGTGCTGCCAGACAGAAGTCCAAATATATCAGAATTTGCGCGCTTGCGCATGCTTTGCTTTCTTGCCCGTCATGATGGACTGCATCTGCAGGGCGGCCGCGTCCTTTTCTGTCTCAGCAGAGCTGCCAGCCTTGCGGTGCATCTTGTTGTGGAGCATGCCGAACAGGTTGGATGGCCCCTCTGCGCTGCTGCCCTTGCTGGGCCTCATGCCTGCAGCTGAGCTCCCCCCCACATGGATCCCTGCAAATGATGTGGGACCCGCAGCCTTTGGCGCCTGCGAGCCAGCTCCCTGCGTAGCAGTTAATCATGCCAAGCTCAACAGAGTGCTCGGCATGCTTGTTCTTGTTCAGCTGCTGCTTTTGGACAATAAGCACGTTTTAGTCACCTTCGAGGTCAGATATAAGAGTGAAAGGGCCATGCACCTGGGATTGGCTGTCTGCTGCTACTGTGCCCGAGTTGGAGTTTTCACAGCCAAAGATAAAGGAGCGGGTGTTGCCCATCTGGGAGCCACTCTTGGCCAGCAGGGCCATCTGATTGCTGGAAGACCCCCGCTTCAGGAATGACCCCTGCGCCAACACATCCACATTCACTGCCCGGCGTTTTTGGAGTATTCACACCTCTTACTTCCCGCAACATTGCAGAGATCCTGCCCAGAGTCACAGCAATGTTCCCCAAAACCGGCCACCCACCACATCCCACCAGCCAGTGCAGGGCGCTGATACCAAATCAAGCAAGCAAGAGGACATTGAGCACTTGTGAGTCTGCCAAATACTGGGGAGGTGCTCGCCAATGTAAGGGCGCCAGGATATGGCGTGCCCAAATCGACATTGAGAAATAAAAATCGAGGCTGGGAGGCTCAGAAAACATGGAAGTTCACAAGGCTATGAATGAAAGTGACTCTGATATGTATGTTAACATGATACAAGATCCATGTGCGGACCATCTCTAGTTGCGGCGTGGGTGTGGCATACCTTGGCAGGGCGGTTGGTGAGGTCGGACTGGTAGCTGGGGCGCAGGGGGAGCACAGGAGGAGGCGCCACTGTAGAGGAAGAGCCGCGCTGCAGCAGGCCCAGCACCGCCCTCGACTCATCGTCCAGCAGAGTCACAATGTTGTCCTCCTCCTTCTGCAGGCCCCATGACATGCACAGAGTCAGTGTTTACAACTACTCATTCCGCCTGGTGAGCATGCAGGGTGCCGAAAGGATTTCGTGAAGCCGTCTGTTGCATTCGGAAAGCAAATATGTCTTTGAGGCTTGCATTCTGGTCCTCTTCAGCAGCGAAAGGCACGCAGCATCAAAATGGTGCATTGAGAAGGCTCAGCATAAAATCAGCAGAAGCTTTATTGAATTGCCAGAAATTATGTCCTTGCGACCCTGAAAACCCGCCAAAGTAATCAGCGTTGTCCACAAGCAAGATATCATAGCTCTGCGCCACACGCATGCATGCATGTGACAGGAATTGCGCATAGCGGTCAACAGTGCTGCTCTACCGGAGGGGACACATCTCCCTGGACCCTGAGGCCTCAGATGACCTCTCAGTGGGGCATCCTATCACAAGACATCCAAAAGCAGGGCTGCTTTGAGATTGAGATAGTCCTGGCTCGGTCTACGTAGGTAATGTTTAATGAAACGCTTTTCCTGCCCAAGCGGTACGTCCTGCAGACAAGCTGCAGGATGCTGCCACAATCCTACTTCTTGTTGGACTTGCCAGATCCAAGCAAGACCCAACCAACCATGGGTACTCAGTATTTATACCGCCCCCTGCCAGCCGGGGCCTATATAATATATGTAATGTATAGATAGTACTTAATAGGCCACGCCCAATGAGTCACCTGGGACTCCTCCATCAGTCGGCGCTGCTGGGCCTCGCGCAGCTCCTCCTTGGCCTCCTCGTCCGACAGAGCGTCGATGTTCTCAAAGGGATCCGCTGCCTCGCTGCCGGCCTCCTCGCTCCCGGAGCCGCCCTCGTCCGACCCCGCCTCGTCGTCCGAGTTCATCAGCGCCGCGCGCCGCAGGGCCGCCTCGTAGTTGGTGCCCCCCTGCGCCACAGCCGCCCATCACACACACTTACCCTGATCGTCACCCGCTCTTCCTGTGCAAAATCGCTCATCCCCAAAGTGTCCGGAAGCAATCCGCTCCCGCCAACAGGAAATCTCTTATTATTATCATAAGCACCTCCTCCCCTGTTTGACATTTGAGATACACCGGCCTATAAGGTATCAAACGCCTTTTCTGCACCATAAAAGGTGCATTTCTGAACCCAAATGAGCGAAAAGCTATTGCCTTCCGTGGCAGCCCTGTGCAGAAGATCACTGCGCGGCATTAAGGTCTCTCGAAATATATTATGAAACTTCAAGAATCTTTTTGGTGTGTGAGGACTCATTAACGGTGTGACAATTCTGCAGACCTCGTCGTCGAGGGCGTTGCGTTTGCGGCGGAAGCCGTTCTTGACCCCGTGCATGAGCTGCTCAACGGCGGCCGCGTCCTGCCGCTCCAGCCACGCCGTGTGCAGCGCCGCCCGCCGCTTCTCATCGTGCCGCCCGTCCTTCTCCAGCCCTATCAGGTCCTCCTGTCACCCGCCAACGCCCGACTTTGCGCACTGAATCGTGACAAATTAAGCACCTCCCCAAACTCCATAGCATTTGAACTAAACCACAAGTCTTGGTATTATACAATGCCCCTTATTACTGTTGCCAACGTGGATCAAAATCATCAGCATGTGGACCTCCAACTGTGCCACTGCCATGGACCTGAGATTAGCCTGTGATGGATGCAATGGGGGCCATGCGGGTTCTGAAAGGGCTGGGATCATGATGTGTCAGAGGTGACTCACCAGGACGCCGTCCTGATCATCGTTGTCACCGTCGCTGTCTCCATCATCGCTGTGACCTCCATCCTCACTCATTTCAGCCTGCATATTCAATTTAATGTAATTCAATTAAGACTCTGAACCATTGTAGCCTTGCTGTCTAAATCCAGGCATGCATGCATACCCCGCAAGAGCTCCACCGAAGCGCTCACTAAACTCTTTTTCAACCAGTGTAGTCTAAAGGTGCTGGTTAAGCATGCATGCAAGACCTGCGAGCCCTGCAGACAAGCGCCTGAACAGAGACTGGATATTACAAACAGTGGCGTGCCTCGTCCTCAAAGAAGGCGCTCTTGTTCTTCTTGCGCGGCTCGTCGCGCAGCAGCGCTCGGGCTTCCTCCAGGGCGCGCTGCTTAGTGGCGCTGTCCAGCGGCTGGCCTGCTTCAGCCTCATCTTCCTCGTCGCTGCTGCTGTCATCGCTGCTCAGGAACTCCTCTTCTTCCTCCTCGTCCCCTGAGCCCCCTGTCATACGCAAGATCACCTTGTTAAATTCATCGCCTACAAAGCCTTGCAATCTTATGCAACAGAGATCTGCAGATTTGTATAGAAGGAAGGCAAGAGCCTGCATGCAGGCCCACCTTCATCATCAGCATGGCCTTCTTCGTCATCTGACGCTGATCTCTCCTCATCTCCTTCTGCCTCTTCATGTTCCTCCTCCCCATCCATCTCTTTGGCCTCCATCTCATCCTTGGTTTCCAGCTTCTGTAAGCTTGGCTCAGCCTCAGCATCCTACGTTGCACATTCCTTTTTAACGTCTAATCATACAGACACAGGAAAGGGCTTGAAAAATGCCATGTGGCTTGTGTTTGGGGTCAGCCTGGGCAGCGCACCTGCATGAATGTATCTGGCTGTACAGGCTGCTCTGCCTGAGTATCCATGCCCAGACAAAGATTCAGCTCCGGGCCCTGTGTGTCTTCCTCCATGGGAAGAGCAGCAGCATCCGCCACTGAGGCTGGCGACTGCACCTTGAGTGCCACAGGCTCGCTTCCAAACAGGTCCTGCATGCAAAATATCAATCAGCAAGGCACAAAGCTTGCTATGAGATGTCTTTGAGACCAAACGGAAGTCTCTTGCATCAGGGATGTCTGCAGAAAATTCACCTGGGTGTCCAGTAGAGGGCCACGCTGCATGAAGGACATGAGCCCAGTGCGCGGCTTCGCCCGTGTCTGCGAGCAGCAGAGAAATACTTTGTCTGATACGTCTCACCACAAAATTAAACGCATGCGTCCATGCATCCTCAGACTATTGCAGGTTTGAGACAGGTGTCCAGCAGGGGAAGGCGGTTTAGCATGCCTGGGCAGGGGTGGTGGACTTTGCCAGGATCGTTTGATCTGGCAGGCTCTGCGACTCCAGGCCAAAGAGCTGCGACTCCTCCTGGGCCAGCGCCCGCTTTGCTGCAGCCTTATTGGCCTCCTTATCGTCATCAGAGTCCACCAGCAGAAGGTCGCCGTCATCCTCCTCCCAAGGAGACACTGAGACTGCCGGCTTGGGATGTTTCTGCACCCTCTGCTCTGGTGTCTTGGCAGCACTCGGTCTGCCCACAGTCCTGGCAGCTCTGCAAAATCACACACAAGGATGTCTTGAGCAACATGCCTATAGGTACAGAAAGGGTGCGAGAATATTACCGTCCTAGGGCTTGTACTAGGCAATGAGGCAGAAGCCTTGCCTGGAGATGGCTTCTTCCTTGCGCTGCATGATTTTGGCCAGCACTCCGCTGAGTGGCTGCACCTGTGGGGCTGCTCCCTTGCCTATCCTGTCGCTCCTAGCAGCATCTGCAGCCACACCCTCATCAGACCTTGACCATTACTCGCCATCCACGAAAAGATTCTTTCAGTACTTCCTGCTTTAAAAACAAGAGTGGTCCGAACGTAGGCTTTCCTTGAGGAATTCTCAATCTCTACTTTTCACCTATCTGTGAATCTGCTGTTGTTTTGAGCTCTCCAACCCCTGTTTTGTAGCTCGATTTGCATTTGGGCAGGCAATAACAATGTTGGCACAGGTGCTCCTGTAGATTGGGCGGGCTAACTAGCTCACCGCGCAAGATGCGCTGTGTCTCTGCAGCCAGCTCCTTGTTGTCCAGAGCGCCATCATCTGAGTCTGCATCATCCTCTCCCCCGCCCTTGCCGCTGTGACCAGATTCTGCGCACACAATACCACCGCTGGTCAGAAACATAACATCACCTGTCAGTATGTCAATCTGCCATCCCTCACTGCATGTTCAGATGCACCATTTTTGATGTGCGCCCTCATCAATGCCAGTTGGGAGGTGTAAAATGTATTCATAATACCGGTATACAAGTCCCACCTTCACTGCCGCTATCGCTGCCGCTGCCCTCTGCATTGTCATCTTTGATCTGGCCCAGATCTCGGCGCATGACATAATCCTCCAGCTCATCCTCTTCATCCCAGTAGTCATCCCCGGCGCCACCTTCTGACCCCTGTTGCCTTTCAGCCGAAGCGCTTTTGGCAGCAGCGGGGCTAACCTCATTTGCCTCTCCTAAGTCACTCCTCCTGAAAGCTGAAGGAGCGGGAGAGCTCTCTGATGCACCACACCAGAGTCCATGTGTCAGCCAACAAAATCAGGAATTGGAACTTGCAGGTTCTCAACAGCCACAAGTGACTCATTTGCCACAATATAGGCATACCACGACTGGCTGATGCTGCAAGGCGTGCGGGTGATGCTGCCACTCCTTCCACCTCACACCGTTTGCTGGCAGGCACTTCTGCCACCGAGTCAGATGCCCTCGCTCGCTTGAGTCTGGTCAGCTTTGGCCTGCACGAAAGCACTCGTCATAACAGTATATATCAAGATGCCAATTGAAAGCTTCAACAGCCAAGGTGCATTCTGAACTCACTTTGATGATACGGGCTCCTGTACGCCAGCAAGCAACTGATCGATGTCATCTTCGTCCTCTTCAGATTGCATTCGGATTTCCTGCTCTCCTGATGGGGAGTCTGACATCCTTGTACAAGGGCAGATTTATTCAAAGAGCTGTTCGCTGTCAGTCGATTCGAGCTCTGAAATTCTCACAGTCCGAGCCCACCATTCCTACAGTGTCCACACGATATGTAAGTCCTTGTCTTGACAGTTTTAGCATGGCTGTCTGCCAGGTTTGGGGCCCAGGCAATTTCCATGATGCCACGTTGAACGAATGTTGCAAAGTTCTGCGAATAATGCTCCAGATGATCTCTCATATGTGCATTATCTACTAAAAGTCTGCACGTATGGTTACCTTCGTGACATCTTGATATATGATGACTTCAAAAGTGACTTTTCAAGATTCAAGATCTGTTACTTGCTCCCACCCGATTCTCGTGAACTCCAGTCTTTACCATCAGAAAGCTTTGAACTCTTCTATGCCAGGCATCCTGGTGGTAACAACGAGATCAACAGCTACTTTAAATCCGGCAGGGGAGAAAGTTGGAAAGTGCTGTCTCGGATTCTTGGCTACACACATCCCATTTCACAGAAACCTTACCAGTCACTAAAGTGACATAGACTGTGACAGTCATTTCACAGCTTGGTCTGACCAAAAAGCATCACGCGACTTGTTGCTGTTGAGAATACCTCGGTCAACTATCAAATCAATTCTGTGCACACACTAGAATAAAATCAGATCTCTGTCCTCGGTTCAAGAAGACTCAATGGATGGGAGACCAACAGTGGACCTTCACAAAAATTTGCAGGCAACACAGCAACAACTTCAGCAAGCACCACCAGCTGGAACTGCTGACCTGGCTGTTTTTGTGAGTCCCCACCTCAGAGAGCAACATTTGTGCACCATGCTGATCTGTTGAAGAAAATGACTGTTTCAAGCAGGTCCAATTTTAATGTAGAGACTTGACTTTGATCCCCTGCTTTGCAGGTACAGAACCTTCTCCAACAGATGGTGAGACATCCTCCTTCTCTGTCTGCTAGCATTGACCGCTCTTCAGGCCCACAAAATATTCATCTTCAAATGAAAATGCACTGAACAGTGAGCATTCCCAATATTTATTGGAGTGGTGTGCTGCTATGCAGACTGAGCGCTTCACAACCATGTCCACAAACATACTCGGGCGCATTGACGAGCTGGGCGCGCGTATCGATGACCTTGAGAAGCAGATTGAGGACATGGTTCAAGGCAGTGGTGAGGATGATGATCTGATCAGGAAGGACACGCTGCAATGAGAGATGCACCATGATCGGGTATGTGGCAAAAACTACAAGCAAGAATGGCCCGTGGACTCTGAGGATCAGCAGCAGACCGTACACTGGAAACTTCAATTTGTATGAGCACTTTTGCCATGGTGTGTGGGAGATTGGCACTGAAAATGAATCTCAATATTGCAAATGATCATATTCCATGCTCATCCAGTTGTGCCATTGTTGTGGTACTGCCATTAGTGCTGATGACACTCTAAGAATAGTCAAGAGCGGCTGTATCAATATGGAAACAAATGGTTCCAATCAACCGTACAACTGTCATGACACAGGCAGTGATCACTGCATGATCATGAATGGGAAGGCTGCAATTTGGTCCGGTTTAACCCGGGGATTGCTTACAACACGTTCCTTGTCTGCATTCACGACGATGTGCGGGCATGTGCCAACATTCAGATCATTGATCACAATATTGAAGCCTTAGGCTTTGGGACCGGTGACCATGGTGGTGCACCGGTCACGTGAGAGCGCACATGTGCATTGATGCATGCATGGCACATGCAACAATTATGCAGCCATCTCCTGGCCATCCTAGAATTAGAAGCAATTGTGAAGATCAGGGCAATGACTGTGGGACGTGCAGAGACTCTGGCTTGAGTGACAGTTCGAATCAATGTTGGTTTGCCTATGCGGGCAGCTACCCCTGCCCAGGCAGCTGCCCACCGATCGCTGTTCACGGCAGCCAGTTTGGGCTCTTGCATCGCAGATTAACAGGAAACTTAGCCTCACAAAATGGTATAGAAAAGGTGTAACCAACAGCAATCATCTAAGTTCTACCAGTATACTGACTTAATCAACCAGGATCGTTTGAGAGCGTAGATCGTGTTGACCAGACCTCGAGGTTTGAGCAGAGTGAGCAGGCTGACAATTACATCCAAATAAACAAAATATTGTTATTTTCCGAGAGAGGCAATCAACTTTAGGAATTTGACATCACACCAGCGCAGCCACCATAAACTGGGAACAGATGGGAAAGGTAGATAGGAGGCCCACTGGATCAACAGCTCGACAAGCAGAGCAGGTAGATCGCACTCATCGATAAATATTCTGCATGTAACGTTCATGTAAGCTGGGTTGCTGAATAATAGTATTCCTTGTACTCCAGGGTGTGAAGCATCCCCGCAAGCGCCTGTACCGTGCCCGCGCCCATAGCAATCCGCTGAACGACGCGAACTTCGATGTGCCTGCTCACCCGGATCAATATGACTGGCAAGTGACCCACCCCAAAGGAGCACACAGGTTTACTGGCGCATGAAGCGCCCTCAACCATGCACACTGTGTGGGAATTGCCATGACTTGGGTCCCATGTGTGGGCAGGTCCACGCATTACCCTTCCCACTTTCCGGCCAGTGGAGCTGAGCAGCCAGAAGAGAATGCAGTCACAGCTTCATCATCAGATGAATCACCTGCCGTGAGGTTTGCAGATGTGGGCTGCGGCTTTGGCGGTCTGCTGGTGAAACTGGCTCCGGTCTACGCAGACACCCTCATGTTGGGCATGGAGCTGCGTGACAAGGTGTGCACTACTTTCTGGACAATGCAACGCACCGCACGTGGTTCTACGAAGCTCCTTGCATCCTTGACCATTAGCAATGGGAGCACTCTGATACTGTCAGAGCACAGCCATTTGGTGCAACTCGAAGCAACACATTGCCATGCAATTCAGAAGTTGAATGGGGGATTCTTATCCAGGTGTCAGAGTATGTGAAGGAGAGGGTGCTTGCCCTCCGAAGAGAGAACCCAGGGCAGTACAGCAACATATCCTGCCTGCGGACCAACGCTCAGAAATACCTGGTGCATTACTTCAGAAAGGGTCAGCTCACCAAGCTGTTCTTCCTCTTCCCGGTACGCCCTTGTACTTTGTTTCAAGATCTCGCCTGAAAGACTGCAAATTTCACATGACAGAGCATTGAGTGTTTCGAGCACATTCAAGACGTGGCGTCTCGTGAGTTTGTACAATTCATTGCAGGATCCGCATTTCAAGGCGTCCACGCACCGGAGGCGCATCATCAGCACAGCGCAGCTGGCGGACTATGCGTTCCTGCTGGCACCCGGGGGCATGCTCTACACCATCACTGATGTGCCCGAACTGGGCGCCTGGATGCGCGAAAAGGTGCTGCCCCATTCCAGACCTTCAAATTGGTTTCTTCAGGGTCTTCAGCAAGAACTTGTCCTCTCTTAGCTAGAGAAAGAGGAATGCACACGTCAAGGCACCTAAATATGCACAATCCATGTATTTGGGCAGGACGTTACACAGGGTCAATCTGATTGTGTGTTGTGGAGCAGGGGGATGCGCATCCACTGTTTGAGCGTGTGAGCGACAAGGAGCTGGAGTCAGATCCGGCGGCATGCCTGCTTGCTTCTGCGACTGAGGAGGGCCAGAAGGTTGCGCGCAACTCTGGACAGGTACGCACGATCGGTTGTGTTGTGCGACTTATCCTGCCTGAACGTTCGGTCATGCAGCTTCCAAATTGCTGAGGTGTCGTTGGATGATATCGGTTGAAGATGATAATCTATTGAAGATGAGGGCGCTGACCGGTGTGTGTGCGCGCAGACGTGGAGGTCCGTTTACAGAAGACTAGGGACACCGACAGGTTGATGCATGCAGTCGATTCATGATGTTGACGTTATCCTAAAGAAGTCAACAGGTGGTTTTGATCCTGCTCACACCTTTGACTAGAAGGTGGCAGGTGCCATCACGTGATGTCACCTAATGAACAAACTGACTTCTGCAGTTCTTTTGACGTTCATCGATGACGTTATCCTGGATCAAAAGCTTTCCTTACAAGTCAGATGGAAAGCTAGACTGGCTTGCAAGGCTGCCCACTGAAGGGATTTTGTGACGATTGTACTCTAGCAGAACCCATGGTGGCCTTGAACTTCTTGCTATGAGTCGATCTGCCAATCATTAAGGACCATGAAAATACTTGCCTTGAATCCGAAGCAATCGGTGTGCAGCTTCCGGCATGCTATCGCAGTTCAGAGGGTGCACTTGCTGAGTAAGCAACGAAGGATTTCCGTCCCGCAAAGGCGATTGCAGAAACGCGAAAGCACCATTTCTTTGGCCTTTTCCACGCCTGTGTATGAGCTTGCTGAGTCTGGGAATTTATTGAGCACTCTCTTCGCGGGCAGCGTGAGCCTAGCCATTGCAGTGAACATTGCGATCTCCAGCTTGCCACTTCTGACGGGCGCATCGAAACCCCGTTCTGCGAAGGAAGACGATGTTGAAGATCAGGATGACGTGAAATGGGGTGTGATGAGCGTCATCAGCTTCATACCTCTGCTCAACTGGCTGGTGTGACCTGGGCTCTTGTTGGACACTCGCAAGTCATGATATGGACCAATCCTTGTTTGGGGTACTGAGCATGCAAGCTGATGCAGGCATGGGTGTTTGCTGCTTTTGATGATGAGGAGCGAGCTCCGATCTACTACACCAATGCCCTTGTGTACCTGCTGCCATGGCTGAGCCGTGGGTTCGAGTTTGACAGCTTCTCCATTGCATGCCTCCTGGTTGGCATTGCACATGTGCAGGTGCTGCTTCCTCACCTCCTGCACCTTCTATGGGTCATTTGGAGATGTATCATATTGAAAGACCATTGTCACAAATTCTGACTAACAAAACATGTTTGCTGGTGCACTCGTAACAGGTGGAGCGCATTGCCCAGACAGAACCTGAGACTCTGCAGCTTCCTTCACCAGACATTATCCGCAAGCCGCTGGAAAAGGCGTCTTCTCTTGTGGGGGTAGGCCTGCTGCCAGACAGGCCTGTGTACTTGAGGGGTACTGTTCAGTAAGTGCAGACTTGGTACAAATCTTATGCAGTACAGATAGGCCATCTCTTGTGTGTCACGGCTGGGTGCTCTCGCTCTTGTTGCAGGACACAACACGGACATATGGGGAGGTCATTGAGGAGAATGTGGAGAGCTCGAGGGAGAATGCCTCTCAGGCTGAGTTGGAAGCCTTGCAGGACATGAGGCAGAAGCAGCTGAAGGAGTGGGATGCCAAACTGGAGCAGAGGCAAAAAGATGCCGAGAAGTCTTGATATTTGCTTTTTGAGCCTTTCAGATAGACAGTTAAGTGGCATACTGAGCAGCGCATTGAGGGTTGTCTTTGCCTCAAGCACGTGCACAGAATTCAGAATTCGGTGCGCCCATGCTGGACAACGAACCTTGAGCATGTGCTGGCCATAAGTACATGCATGATGAGAACGAGATTTTCCACCAACTGCCCTCAACTGGCCACCAAGTGCATTGAGTTGGTGGGTGACAGGTAGGCGGTTGGTGGGCACCAGCTGTCCACCAATGTGGCCTTAAGTAACCTGCTATGGACAAAACCTGGTTTTAAGGGGTGTTTGATAGACAATTGGTATCCAATGTTGGCAGATGAAGTTGGTGGAGCTCTTAATTGTGGGATGGTGGTGCCAATGGTAGGCATTTTATATACACTTCGCAGAGAGTTGGTACATTGTTGATGCAGTGATGGTGGAAGCTTCATAGGCATTTAGTATGTGAATGATGGCCCTGAAGGTGTCTTGTTAGTGGCATGTTAATGCATCTCTTGGGGATTTTTTTGGGGGTTGTTTGAGAGCAGGTTAGGGCTACTCTGAATGAGATTATTGGGAGGCTCCTGGTGGGGTATTGGTGGGTTATTGGTGGGCAAGTTATTACAAGAATGGCAGTCTAGCCCAAGACATCCTGTAATGGAATGATTGTAATGACACAACAAATTGTATGCATGCAAGACTGCATCTCTAGCTGAAACATAATGCTGCCACATCACAACCCATTTTGCTACCCTTATGGGTCTGCAACACCACCCCTTCCACCTGGGCGGCTACACCTATCACACAATCTCTGATGTTTCAGTCGCTTCTCCATCAGTGCCTTAATCATCAGCAATGCTGGACTCGGCAGCTGCCTGTGAGGATGTGTTGGCTCGCGTGGCCCGTGCCTGCATGACAGCTGCTGCTTCAAGACCTTGACATGCACATCACCTTCTATTGCAATAAGCTGACATTATCTGCAGGGCATGCTGTTGCCAAGCCTGGGCTTTCAAAAGATCCACGGCACATTATCCTTGTGGCATGGAAACAAGACTGTCATTTTGCAAACCTGTTCTGAGCGTACCTGTCCATTCAACTCCTTTGCTTTCACCAGACGGCGCTTCTTACTTGCCGGCTGGGCCTTGGGGCCTTCAGCCTTGGCAGGCTCCATCTGCATTGCGCGTGCAAAGTTTAAGTTTGGCACTATTCTCATGCATGCCTCCTCGATAAAACCCCCCTTTACTCTGTGTAGGCAGCTCTGGTGCCTTTGCCTACAAGTCTCACACCTTCATTTGCAATTGATGCATTATTGTGCATCATGCATGAGTCCTGATTAAGACTCTGTGTGCCCTGGTGAGCCTTGGTGTGCGCACACCTCTGCATCTGCGTCTGCGTTGGCCGCGGCGGCGGCGGCCGCGGTCTTTGCCTTTTTCTCCTTGCGGGGCTTTGTAGCAAGATCTGGTTCAGCCATTGCCGCCAGCATCACCTGGACAAAGACCAGCTGGGCCCTCAATGACATCTACAAATTGAAGACTTTGTAAATCATTTGTGAATCAACGCATGATATCAGCGTTAGACTTGCATAGCACAATTTGCTAGCTACAAGTTTGCCAACCATTGTTACTGACCTGCTGCTGTGCCGAGCCGGTGATGCCCGGTCTCTGTTGGTGAGGTGTCTGGAGCACGTTGTCGGCCGGCTCAGGTGTGAGGTCTGAGTCCTCGCCCTCCTCGTCGTCGAGCCCTGGCAGGGAGAGGTCGATGACATCATCTTGCTCCACCTGTGAAGCTTCAGCAGGCACCTTGCCTTTTGCCATGAGCTTCTGCACAGCTTTGCTGACCCCTGCATGTGAACACCAGTCCTTGCAAAGTCACTTGAATAATGCACTGAACAGTTTGTAGGCTAGCAACGGTGTGCGTGCAAGTAGATTCAAAGGCTGGACGCATGGGGACGTACTCTGCCAGTACTCTGGCTCCTCTTCTCTGTCGTACGCATCCCTGAATTTGCTGTTGTACAGCGCAAGAGTTGAGTCCAATATGGCCTGGTGGGCCTTGTTTAAGTCCTGCTTGCTTGTGGACTTCTGGATGAACCTGCAAGTCAAGCACACCCCATCAGCACTTCAACGTGACTAAATCACTACTAAGGATTCGCATCTGTCAATATTCACAAGCAAGTTTTCACAGCTAATAACATGATGTGCTGAACACCTGGTAGCAAAGTCATGGATCTCGGCACGTTTGACAAGCAATCCTTTGCTCTTTTCGTTCAACATGACCTGGCAGAAGTCTATGGTCGCTTGCACCAGATTGCGCTTCATAGACTTTGGCCAAAGAATGTCGCTTGTGAGGAGCAATCTGTCGTTTCCGTCGCGAGGCCAGATCATGCAAACAGCCTGCGCCAAACATCACAGGATCCCGGCACTCGCAAAGGGCAACTGGCGCTACAGCGGTGCATACTGTTGCCTTTCGTACAGAGCAAGACAGGCGTCCTTCTTGGCAAAGAAGTATCCAATTCTGAGAGAAAACAGAGGATCCTTACTTTTTTTATCTCTGGATTCACATCGGGTGGAGTCGCTTTGAGGTTCTTGTGAGCTCCCTTGTACCGTATCGTTGCCTCTGGCGGACTGTATGAAGTGTTCTCGACGGAGGGTGTGGCTGCCGTCACGGTCTTCTTCTCGCCTGAACGACATAGCCAGTGTCACCACAGATGAATGAGGCAAAGATCATAAGTTAACCCCTGAAAGTTTCGGGAGTCGTTCACATGTTTGTACCGCAGCCACTCTTGACTCAAATTGAACTGGAGAGCTGTACCTTGAGGAAGTATGAAATCGACCTTCACCGTCACTTTTGCCTCAACACCCTCGCGAGTGTAGTCTGCGAGCCTCCTCTGATCCAGTGCACGCTGGTGTTCTTTCTGGAGAGCGCCAACGATCCAACCCAGGTCTTTACTGCACCACATCTCGGAGCCGGCCAAGCGCACACTGAAATACATCGTTCCGTCACTGGGATGAACCCACTTCCTCAGCGTACCCCTGATCGCTTTATCGCACTGTGCTGCATTCTCGTCTGGGTCTACATCCTGCCACAGTGGCGGCTTGTCTTTTAAGTATCTGCTGCTGCTGGCACCCAGGAGTCCTTCAGGCTCAAGAACTAATGAAAATCTATTGGGATTAGCCATCATTCAGCTAACTTGTCCCGCATCACTTGTTGATGTTTCGGCTGTCGAATTTTTCAGCTGTCGATTTATATCAAACCGCCGTCTGAGTGTCGTGGACAGCGGGAGGACCTCTTCTCCTTTGTAGTTTGCTGGAGAGAAAATGCGATCGACCTCAAACGACTTCTTACATCAGCTGCCGAGTGTGCTCTGACCTGAGTGCACGCATGTATGTTCCAAAGTCTCAGCCTGACGTTGTGCAAAAAATCGATTGCCAGATCAGTATGGTAGCTGCGTCTCTAGTGCAGCCAGGAGCACTCTGGCGAATCTCAGCCACGATCAAAGCAGATATTAGCTGGCAACTCAAGCATGAGCAGCTGCCTGCAATGCATCAAGGTAACACTGAATACCACTGCTCGTGATCTAAGCCATCTGGTCGCTTGTTCAATCGTATCATTGCTCCTGAGATTCTGCTCTCCACCCTTTCATGTTCTTATTTTAGGATCCCTTGATGATGCTCTGAATGATACAGCAACTGCATTTTCGCCTCGGGGAGTCTGGGCATGCTTGCTCACAGAAAGTGCGCCACCCTGCTTTGCCTTGCAAGCGGCTGACATGGCGTATGCTGCAGCAGGGACATTGTCAGCTCAGACCACCGCTGCAGCTGCGGTGACAATTGCAGCGGCGGCGACAGCGCCTTCCACCGTTACTGCCGAGCCGGCTGCCGCGCATGCAAAGGTGCAGCCGCCGAATACAGCATATATGGCTGCCGCAAGTCCTGTGCGTACCGGCGTCCTGGCCATGCCCCCTGCCGCTGAAACTCCTACAATAGAGCATCCCGCAGCTGTGCAGCAAGCTCCACCCCCAGTCGTGCAGCCGGCCGCGCCCGCCTTCAAGGCTCCGTTGCTGGCATCCGCGGCTCACAAAATTGACTCAGGCACGTATGCGTGGCCAAGAATATGGAATAATACACCTTTTGGAGCTCATATGAGCTTCTGATCAGGTGGATTGTCAATTTATGGGTCGTCGTGGACCTAGTACAAAAAAGAGCATTTTTTTGCTGTTTTTTGTACCACCATCCTAAACACTTCTAGCTCAGCACACTGTGCAAACAACACACTGTCCATTTCAGTGTTTTTTAAGACATAAGAGGAAAAACACAAGATCAGCTCTTGCCACCATCAGGGGACATGCGTGAAACTTCAAACAGATGCCTTACATCTTTTCTGTGCAGGGAACAAGGGCACAAAGCGAATGGCAGTGTGTGCCGACACATGGGCTGTTGAAGACAGCCGCAAGCAAACAGATGTACAGATTGGCCGGGGCAGAGCTCAGGACACACCCGTCACGACTGCGTATGCTCCTAGGCCAGAGCCTACTGTCGACTCCAACCCCTCTAAGCGCCCACGCACTGCCGCCGCCGCACCAGCAATTCCGAATGGTGCTAAGTCCCTTGTGTGTGATTATCATTTCTGACTTTGTGTGCTTTGCCTGCCGCGCGCCGCACAACCCTCCTGCTCTTCTGTCTGTGACGGTGCTCTTCTGTCTGTGACTGCCTCTTGGATTGCTGTGTATAATCTCGCCGTGGTCACATGCCTTTGGACTGACTAAGAATGACTGCTTCTAAATATGCAGGTGGCCACAATGGTGTGGAGCTACCGGACAACGGCACTGGAGCTGATGGCAGCGATACTCCACATGGAGGAAGTGCCGGGGAAGAACCAACACAAGTGTACATTTCTGATTGGACGCCAACATCAGACCAGATTGGTAGATGGTGTCGGGAGATGCTCTGGAGCAACTCTGAATCTGACAGCGAGGAACAGCTATGAGGTCCCTCTTCTATGGGTGTGTAGAGTGTACATTGCTATAGATCGGCACCCAGGCCTGTGCCGCATGGCGCACATTTGATTCCCTATTCTTTCGGTTGTACATTCTGCATCTGTGTTTCTGCAAGTTTCTGGCAATAGAGTGTGCATTGTATAGTCCAAGATGTGCAGAGTGTCCTCCTGTGACTTTCAACTGTATAGATACATATATGTCGATGGCCATTGGACACATTATTACATAGATATTGCCTTCCTAAGTTGTACATAATGTTGCTGTACGTGGAAGATTCTGGAGATATTGAATGTAAGCTCGTGAAGTCACAAAGGCCCAGGGGACACCGGCCCGGCCGGGGCCATCGCTGCGGCCGCAGCTGCGGAAACCCTCAAGATCTTGCACATGAGCTGCACCAATGAGACTCCAAAGTTTGTAGTGTACATTTCTGCGTTTGTTGGAAGGATTATTATAATTATTATGCACCAGGGGCTAAATTGAAGGCTTATTAAGCATTTACTACCCCCAGGTTACATCGTTGGAGAGGGGTTAAATGGATTGATGCAAGGGTTTCAATGGAGTCCAGCTCGTCTTGGAATAGACACACTTGATCCCTTATACTGTGTTTAGATTGCATATTGTCTGTAATTTTCACGATGAAAAGGAAATTTTCCGATTTTGCTGAGCCCGTACAGGGAATTGGCGAAGGATATGCACGGTTCACCTGCAGATTATGTCCTCCAGGTTCCGACAAAATCTATGCACGCAACACTCTGTACAATCATGTACATCTTTGCCACGGTAATGATGAACCGGGAGGCCAACATGCAGATTTTGCTAGCGACAGCAGTGACCTTCTGGGCGACATCCTCGGGCAAATTCCTGCAGCTTCAGATCCTGTGCCAGTCGAATGCCAAAACGACGCTCTGTCCGATCTCTTAAATGGTGTGCTCTCCATGGCACCTGCCAGGTCAGAAGGGTGCCCTGGCACCTCGACTGGGCAGCCATCACATGATTGTGATCAGGATCTTCTGGCCCAGATGGCCGGAGGAGGAGACAGCGACGATGAAGAGGACACAGATTCAGAAGACCCTGACGGTCTGATTGCAGCATTCGAAGCCCTGGCCGAAGCGCAGAAGGTAGATTTCGCCATAGTATTCGTTCGCTGCCATATGCTTTATCAACTCGAATGCTTGACGATCCCTAAAGATTCCATACAAGCTTCGACCAGTTGTAGCTTATGCAAATGCAACTGCAAACGACAGTCAGTTTTTGCTGTGCACCTGCCTTGAAATACTGACTGGTCAGCCTTGCCAGGACAAGAGTGCTGCTGGGCATGAGAGCGCAACGCACCTTCCTGTTGCTACAGGGCCAACAGGACCTCGATGAGCTCGCAGATTGCGAGGATGAGCTGGATGCCACGGCGGAGGGCGCGACCTGGTACCACAGGTGCGACCCAGCCACGAGCAAAGGGGCTCATCATCGGGAGCGACCTTCGTCAGAGTGCTCTGCTTTTTCATGCAATTGCATGCACAGTGTGATGTGCATGGCTGTTGGAGAGGGGTCGCCCAGCACACTTTGCAGAATTCGTGGCACAGGAGACGTGTAAAGCAGATGATCGCCTTGTATGTGCAGATTGGCGGATGTGGAAGACATGATGGCGACCGACAATGAAGAGCAGGCTGCCGCGGAGGAAGCTGATGGCGCAACAATGGGAGGCAGGAGGACCTTGGATTGGTGGCGTGCCCGGCGGAACAAGCCTCTTTGGAGGGTGGGAGAGGAGAAGTCGATCATGACAGTGCAGCAGCTCGTCTATGCATTGTGCAAGGAGAAGAGGGATGGCAAGATCAGGAACAACGTCTTTGACAGGTGCCTTATTCTTCCACCCTTGCCATTCATTCCTGCCACCTCAGCTTCTTCTCTGTACATTACCCATGCATTGCCGTCACAGACTTTGATGACAGAGCGCAGCTAATTAAGATGCTAGATGGTCATGGAGGTGTGTCACAATCTGCCAAGGTCAACCAAGTGCATCCTTCCAGGCAAAGTTGGGGACAAGACTCCGCTGAAGGCTGACATGTGTCACCGGTCCGCAGGGTCTGCCGCTTGATGAGCGCAGCCATGCCGCGCGGCAACCTCTTTCCACCCAGCCTGCATGTGATGCGGGGGCTGCTAGAGTGTGAAGAGCCACAGAAATATGAGCAACATGTGTGCCCAAACGACTGCATGCGCTTTCAGTATGCCTCCAAGTGTGACTGGGAGGAGCATCAAGATGACAGCTGCCCAGAGTGCACAGAGAGGCGCTTCAATGTGAAGGAGGGGGCTGATGGCAACACGATCCTGACCCCACAGAAGGTAGGCAGAGGCCGGCATCGTGACATCATTGCTTCCAATTTGTTGCTGCTGTTCTAAAGATTCTTATCCATCCTGTGCCCGACATCAGGTTGTCTTGCAGGCCTTTTGGTCCTTTCCAATCACGGAGGTCATTCAGAGCAGATTCTTCACCAACCCGAAGTGGACAGCATTGCGCCGGTGTGACATAGACAAAGCAGCTCAGGACTCATGCAGCTACTTTGGATCAGCAGACGCCGAACGCTTGAATGAAGACTTCAATGGCAAGCTGATGGACCCCGATGCTGGCTGCTATGAGTTGGGATTTGACTACGGGCAGGTTTTCAACATTGCTACCCATTCAGTGGGCATCATTTGCCTCAGGTGAAGCCTGTGCCCCATGTGTTCTCACTAGTGTCTGGGATGTGCCCACAGTGACCCTGGCATCTCTTCTGGACTCTTCTTTCCTGACCATTCTTAAGGGAAATGAGTCGCAAAAATATAGAAGCCTGTCCTGCCTGCCAATGAGGTCACGTGTCTGAGAACCGCTCTAATTGGCTGTCTTCACACAGAATTCAATTTGATCTTGCAGGTCAGCAGACATACCACAAGAGCACAAGGGCATCAAAGATTTCAGCAGCATCTTGGTCGTGATACCGGGCCCGAAGGAACCTAAGAATATCGACATCTACCTGGAGCCCCTGCTAGACGACCTGAAGAACTATGGCCCTCTAGGTGCTCAGTTATATCCTATTGCAATATCTCTCTCCAAAGAGATGTGTGGCATCACGTGCGCCTATTCAAGGGTTCATTGACATGATTATTTTATTCCTGCCTTGGGGAGGCATGTCGGCAGTGCACACAGAGACGCTAAATCAATGCAACGCTTGTGTGAGTCGCGCCAACATAGCTTGATGGTGCGCAGGGGATGGAGTGGAAATGAGGGAGCACAAGGAGTCGCCTGAGGGCATCAGTATTCGACGCTTTATGCATACCTTATTTCTCGTAGCTTTCCATGCGGACACACCAGCAAGGAAGGCTCTGCTGAAGTCTAGCGCTGTGGCAGCCTACATGGGATGCTGCTGGTGCCTCTTCCAGTCCACAAGGTGCTGTTCCTGCTTAGGCCCTCATGAATTGTGACCAGCATGCAACAAGGCACTGAATGAAAGCTTTTTTGTCACATTAATCGTACATTTGTGGATAATGAGCAGACGTGTTGCCTTGCTCCCCTGCGTGAGTCTGCGTGTGCTACAGGGTCAATCGGGGCATGTATCCTCTGGGATACTCCACTCCAGAGGAGCAGACGCTGCTGCACAAGGCAATGGATCCGCCTGTACCGCCACCGCGCAAGTACATGTTCGACAACAGCTTGAAGCTCTCTCATGACCAGCAGATGTTCATTTGCAAGGAGGTGGCAGAAGGCCGCTTTTCAGTGAAGAAAGCTGGCCGCAGCGGCACTTGCAGCATTCTAGAGAAGCTCTCATACCTGGACTACAACAACATCTTCCTGATGCCCGTTGCGCATGGCCTCTTGAATGGGCTTGTGAAGGATTTCTTCAACACCGTCTTGCAGAAGGTGCGGTGCACCTCTCAAACGTGAAGAGTCAGAATTTGTTGGGGCGGCCTACCTTGGCTGCTGTCACTAAAGCAAGCATATCTTCTAAGAAGCAGCATTTGCCTTCGGCCAGTCCTTTGACATCATGCATGCCTTGCTTAAATGTCAATAAAGCACTAACATTGCTTAAATGTCAAAAAGGCAGTAACAGTCTCTTTTAAGAGCATCTTGCACATGTGCATGTGACCTTGCACAGGTGCTTGAACATGGGTGGGTTGTCAATGTGACAGGGAAAGAAGACTGAGGAAGCCCATTGGTACATGGTGAGCGACGAAGCAAAGGCGATCCTGGCGCAGAGGGGCCGCGAGATTCAGGTCACTTCTGAGTTTGGGCGGGCATACAAGTGTGTCGTCACTCAGCGTGGCAACTATACTATGGAAGATTACTTGGTTTTCACAGAGACCTTCAGCCCCATTCTGTTGAGGCACGACGACATCCTTCATCCACAGGTGATTGTCTCAGCTCATAAGCCGATTTCATTGTGCATCTGTTTTGCAGCTTTTGCCAGTCCATGACTAACATGTGCCTAATAATGCGGTGGCGATTCCTACTTCCGGCTGTGGTGTCATGTCATGCATTCAGCAGCTGATGCCCAGCAACTAACCGCTAGGTCGTCCCCAGGTGGCAGAGATGTGGGAGCTGCTGCGGAGTGCGGTGCTGCACTACATGCGCGCGGACACTCCGGAGGCCTTCACGCTGGAGAAGCGCCATCAAGCCCGTGACAATTTGCTGGCGTACGCGAGGCTCCTACAAGGACCGCCGCCGACAGAAGTGGAGGCCGATGCGGATGGAGAAGCCGCCTCACCGGTGCTGGTGAGACATGGCCCTCTTGGTTTTGAAAGGCATTCTTGCATGCTGATGGGACAGGGACGAGGAATCAAGAAGCTGGGTGAAGATTCGACTTTTGAGGTGACATGCGGTACACTGGATGGAGCCTGCTATGACACTCACCGTATCGATGCAAAGTGTGTATGCATGGAAGAAGAAGGACACATTATTTTATTCCCACAAAAAAGCTGCCCTCATCATGCAAGCTGTTTTTCGCAGAGGATGCCAGCGAGCATGTGTACCCCCAACCTGCACATGCTACTGTGCCGCCTGTTCGAGCAAGAGACCGCGCACGGCTGCGTGGCGCGCAACCTGGAGCTCTGGGTGGAGCGCAACATTCAGTACCTGAAGGCCAACCTGAAGTTCCGCATCACCAGCTGTCCCGAGCGGCTCTTCGTGAGTGACTACCTCATGGACCTGGCATTGGACAAATGGGCACGCGACCCTGAGATGCTCTCCTTCGACGACTGGTGCCCCTCGTACAGGTGAGGGTGCACATGAAGGTCTCATACAACATTCATAAGTTGCAGTCGCCGGTGCATGCCCTGTGGGATCTGCAGGAGTTTTGCTCAATGGCCAATTTGTTTGCAGACTTTCCTTCGCTGCCACCGGTGCATGCAAGGAGCCAGTGGGATCTGCAGGGTCTTTCCCAATGCTCACCTGTTTGCAGATTTTTCTGCGCTGTCACCGGTGCATGCAGAGAGCCAGTGGGATCTGCAGGGTCTTTCCCAATGCTCACCTGTTTGCAGTATTTTTCTGCGCTGTCACCGGTGCATGCAGAGAGCCCGTGGGATCTGCAGAAGTATTTCCCAATGCTCAATTACTCCCAGGATTTTATGCACTGTGACCGGTGCATGCAGACAGCCGTTGGGATCTACAGGGTCTTTCCCAATGCTCACCTGTTTGCAGTATTTTTCTGCGCTGTCACCGGTGCATGCAGAGAGCCCGTGGGATCTGCAGAAGTATTTCCCAATGCTCAATTACTCCCAGGATTTTATGCACTGTGACCGGTGCATGCAGACAGCCGTTGGGATCTACAGGAGTCTATCCCACTGCTCACTAGTTTGCAAAATTTTTGCACAGCCACCGGTGCATGCAGAGAGCGAATGGGATCTGCAAGTGTGTCTTTCAATGCTCAGGTACTTACAGAAATTTCTGCACTGCCACCGGTGCATGTAGAGGGCCTGTGGGATCCGCAAGAGTCTTTTCCAATGGCCATGTGTTCGCAGACTTGTGCTCCGGGGCTGGTGTCCAATGGTGTCCAGAAAAAATGTTCATTTGCCTGAGCAAGCTCTCTGCGCTCAATGTACAGGAGTCTTCCGTTGAGGGGCAATGAGGAGGACATTGACAACGAGGGGGATGAGGACAATCGGCAACTGATCGGCGTGGGGAAGAAAATTCAGCGGCACCGGCAAGCAGCCATGTATGATGTGGCACGCAGCTTTGTGAGGAGACTCCACCCGGAGGGATGGAGCGTGGCCGCCATCAGCCCCACTTGCGACAATCTGCGCACTTACTTCCAGGCTGACATTCCTGGTGTGGGCTCGGTGAACTCTGTGGGCTACTCACGTGCGAGGAGCAGGATCTCCTACTATGTGCTGTACAGCATTGTCACAGGCAGGGGAGCCGATGAGAGGGCAGAACTGCACGTGGCAAAAGTGAAGAGCTTCTTGAGGCTCAAGCCCACAGAAGACCAGCCAGGCGCGGGCACACTGCGCTTGGCTGTTTGCGATGTGTTCCGACCTCTGCAGTCCTTGAAGGACGGGTCTGTGTGGGTCATCAGCAAGGCGGGGGCTCTCATGCATGAAAATTATGCTCTGAGGTTGAGTGGGATTGCTGCCCTGCTTGTCACTGCAGAGCCAAAGAGGCCGCGCGCCACCCCGGGCAGGCCCACCAAGCGGTATTACTGCCCGGAGGACGAGGGCAGGGTGTTTTTGACTACCTTCGGAAACGTGTCCAAGCTGAAGTAGGGTGACCTTTGGGTACGAGTGGCCGTTGACTGCCTCATGCTGGTTGGGCCCTGGCAGCGCACAGCTAGTGGGACATGTTGCACAAGCATGCCTGCCTGCATGGTGTAGCTGCACGTACGCTAGTGCGACTGTGACAGATCATTGCCATCAATTTTATTTTGTTGCACTGGTATCACTGCTCTGTGTATGTGTTGATTGCTTTCTGGCCGTGTGAAGGGTGTCTGTGATTGTAATGATTATACACACACTTTGAGACTCTGTCTGCTTTATTCTTGCACAAGTCCAAGATCCAGAATGAGGTCCATATTGCTGATCTGGGGCAGCAAAGTTCTGGGCACTTCTCATCTTCCAATAGGCCACCAGCAACAATCACCAGAAAGCATACCAAAACAACATACCATGACACCCCTCAAGATGCCAGCAATACTTCCACCAAAAGTCTCCACCAACTGTTTCACCCAACCTGCCCCCAAGAACATCCGAACAGCACCCACCAACGCACCCCTCAATCAACTCCCAGAGTTGGTGGGTGTCCAGGCAGTTGGTGGGCACTTGAGGGCAGCTGGGCCCAGTTGGTGGGAAATCTCGTTCTCAGAGTGAATCTTGAAAGGGTTCTGTCACAGAACTTCTGTAGGGTCCAAAGTCATAAACCTCATGCTAGTCTTAAATTTAGCAATACTCTTGAGCAATCAGACCCCAACATATATCGGTGCCAAGCGCCAGGATCTCATTGCACTGTGGACATTTTACAAGACGCTCTTCTGACCGCTCCCTTCTGAGGACATCGCCTCTGTCAACATGAGCTTCCCATGCAACCGCATGCAGCAATCAGTCAGCAAGCAAGGCTATCACTGTTCATCGAATCAAATTTTGCAAGGCTCTTGTCAGTAGGATGCAGAAATTGCAGCTCACAGCCAGTCACGTTCCTTCAGGTTCCTCTGCTGTTGATTGCCTAGCGCCAGAACTGGCTCAGTCGGCCTTGACAGCAGAGAAGATCTTGTAGGTGAAGAGCAGAGACGCGAAGAAGCCGACAGTGCCCATGGCCAGGTAGATGCCCCACATGACGAGGGCCATGTAGGACAGGTACAGCAGCACGGAAACCAGGCCGGACAGCGAGTGCAGTGTGTTGACCAGGAAACCAATGGAGTAGATGCCAATGTACACTGCCACGCTGCCTCCCCGGTGGAAAGAGCGCCACCTGTGCAGCGCAGTCATCACTCTCAACTACAGCTTGCAAGTTCTCTGCGCCAACTCACCTAACATCATCTCACTGGACCAATTTGTGAAGCTATTCTTACGAGAGATTGAAAATAATAGGACTAGCTTGCAGACTGCCCAAGGAAGTTGAGAGCTGCAGGAGAGCGTAGTTCAGGGGTGCAGAAAGCCAGTCACACCACAAAACCCTCCAACCAGGTTGGAGAGCAAGAGAGATGGAGGTGTACAAAATGTGGAGCAGCCATGACAGGATCCGACGCTGCGCACCACCAGAGGTAGTCCTCAGCGCAGAGCTGGACGTAGGTGCAGACGATAGCCACCTCGATGGTGATCAGCACGGTCAGCATGCCCACCACAAAGCAGAAGCCAAAGATGTAGTAGAAGTACCCCTGCAAACACAGCGCCACACATCAGAACAAATCGGACACAGAGGACACTACAAGCGTCAATTTACATGTCATCAGAATGCCTTCAAACGGCAGAACTTGACAAATTCTTAGGCTGCATCTCAATGGGTTTTCAACAGTGGGTTGGCAGTGTGGAAGGTGAACTCACCTGCCAGATGGAGGTCATGGCAAAGTAGAGCTCAACAAAGATGGTGCCAAAGGGCAGCAGGCCGGCGGCCAGGAAGAGGACGACCGGGTGCGAGGCCCAGTGCGGCGGGGGGATGTGGCGGGGAATCTGGTTGGTGCGTGTCGGGTACGCCTTGATCTCCTGCTTGGTCGCTATAATGCCGCCTGCCGCACACAGAAAAACTTGTCAAGCCGCCGTGATGCAAAGGTACTCCTTGCTCTCATGCTCAAGGCGCCTCAGGACCAGTCCAACCATGTACAGCACACTCTATTGCCTTGGCCCCTGCTGGGTTCATGCACATACTACGCACACACAACCAGCATGACCAGCACAAAGGCAGCAACGGGGCCAGCAATGGGGTTGCATGTCATTGAAGCCCTGATGGGCACAGAGAGAAGTGGGGGCCGCACCGGAGAAGCAGAGGGGGATGGAGATGATGAACCAGAGGGAGATGAGCGAGAAGAAGGCGGTGAGGGGGATTGCGCCGGAGGAGCCGGTGTGCACGAGGAGCACGTTGAGGCAGGACAGCGTGGCGAGCGTGATGCCGGGGAAGTAGGAGGCCACGCGCCAGGCGACCCCTGACCAGCCGTCGTAGGAGCGCTGGATGAGGCCCCACAGCCACACGCTGGCAAAGCCCGCGCCCAGCGCCAGCAGCAGGTACATCACCAGCATCGCAGTCAGCAGTGCACCGCGCGACGCAGGCGACAGGAAGCCTGCACATCGCGATAGACCGCGCCTCAGTAATTGTGTAAAGGTTGCAGTTTGGGTCCACCTTCTCATATTTCTCTCTGATTTTTGGACACTGAGCAAAGGGAGTAAGCTATGATTTATGATTTTCTGGATCCCAAGTCCTCAGATGACCTCTAAGAGGGGCACAGTTGTACACGACATTCAACGCTAGTATTGAATAGCAACAACTTCAGAAGGATGATGAACGTCCTAAACTTTCCGATATGTAGGGTGTTAGGAAATCGCTTTGGACGCTGCAAAGCTCCAGATGTGGCATGCATGAGGATCCCTCTCTCTCTTTTTCCAAGGGCTGCATCACGGTGCAGGGGTGCAGATGGGCAGTGCGCACCGAGGGCGGCGAAGAAGAGGGTGATGAAGGATGAGAGGATGATCTGGACGCCGGAGCCCAGTTGCACGCAGAGCAACATGGCGCTCTTGGGCGACCGGAACACGTCCCCGCTCACCATCTTCCACCCACTCTCCTCCACGTCATCCTTTGCGCCTGCAGCCACACTCACCATCCTCACATCAGCATCGACACACATGATAGCCTCTGTCCATGATACCCACATTGGCGAACTTCCAAGGAAAATGGCATGGGCAGTAGATGGGCATGGCATTATTCAGATCTAAAGTTCATCTCCAGCAATGTTGAAAATTGAAGCTTTGAGCTCAAGACCAGAGTGCCCCCACTGACCCCTTCCGCTTGATGTGCAGTAAAGAATGGCAAGAATAGGGCCAATTGATATTCCTCATCAAGATAAGGCTGGTTGGCAAGTACTCCTGTCACGAAGCATGGCGGCAGTAAGCAGGTCATTCATCTGCTTGTGTCTGAATTATAAAACCTGTACCCAAGCTTGCCTGCAGCTGCAGCGGCATGACAGGTTTGAAGCCCTGACAAGTCTGGGCGGTAAGGAGCACACCGAACAACATGCAGAGTGCCGATCAGGCTGTTTCACATCGTGCTGGTACATGTGAGACATGTGAGACGCCCCGGCGGGGGTGACTTTGTGGCAAATGGCGACACGCACTTTGCCTCGCATGTGGAAATGTGACATGTGGCTGTTCAAGGGGCCGCAGCTGATTCATCAAGTGCTGCTGCATCCAAGCATGCTTGCAGCTGCTGGGGCACGACAGTGGAAGCAAGGGGACGACAGTGGAAGCGAAGGGGCCGCACTGGTGTCGCCGAGGAGGTTCTCGTAGCGCTGTAGGTCGCGGCGGATGGTGCGCATCATGATCATGGCGACGATGGAGGACATGACGACGACGACCATGAGCGAGTTGAGGATGGAGAACCAGTGCACGCGCCCGCCCGGCATGCGCAGGTAGGCGTCCCAACGCGATGCCCAGCTTATGTCGCTCAGCTCCCAGTACACGTCGTACGTGTACACCAGCTTCGCGTCTGCACCCACCGTTTCCATAATTATTATTAGCATTATTATACGCATTTCCTACAAAGAGGCAAGGTGCATCCTGCAGACAAGCTGCTTTTAAAGCTGCCACAATCCTCCCCCTTGTTAGACTTGCCAGATCCAAGCAAGACCCAATCAACCGTGGGCACGGTGCTCAGTTTTTATACCGCCCCCGCCATGATGCATGTCATAAACAGCAAACAAGCCGATAAGCAAAGGAGGCTGTTGTGCGAATACCCCTGTGGCTGTTCAAGCACCACATGCAAGCCCAGAAGGACCCCGTGTGGTGAAGGCGTTTAAAAAGCAGGGAGAGCAGGGAGAATGCATGGCTTGCATTGAAGCTCAGGACAGCATGAGCTTACTCAGAAAAATGATGCCAACAGCGATAGCACAAGGCAAGGATGATGTGACCAGCAATCTGCGCAAGGGAAGGGTAGAAGTCAGGCAGCACAGATTGGTTTCTGGCGGTGGGGCGGTCACCGCTACGCCCCATACCCTTGGTGATCTCCTGCGGCGCAGGCGGCTTGCCCTCCAGCGTGTCAATGCAGGAGATGTCCTTGGGCTTCTGGCCCGCCACGCGCGCGATGCTGCACGCCATCACCTCAAAGCCCACCACCATGTACATTGGCTCATCCGACTCGCCGCCCACCGCCGACCCGGCCAGGTCCCCCAGAGTTGTAGCCACCGTGGAGTGCTCGGTAGCTGCCCCCAGCAGCGCTCGTGGTGCCAGCAGCTGCCTCCTCCGAGACCCGCCCTGCAAAGCAGGCCTTAAGCACCATGCTACAGCTGCCAGAACGCAGTCTATTGCACAAACATCAAAGGCAAGGGAAGTACATGGAGATGATGGAGTACATGCAATGATGGACAGCGCGCCATACAGCACAGGGAGGCCTGCTTTTGCAGCTCAAAATGACACGAAGCTGAGAAGTGAAGACCCAGGTACCCAGATGAAACCGGCCAGTGGCGGTGAATGGTGCGCACCTCGACAACGGCGGCTGCCTCCAGCTCGGCCATGTTCTTGCGGGCGCGCGTGTACTGGCCGTTGGTCTTGTGCACCAGGATCTTGAACATGAGGTGGTTGTTCAAGTAGTACTTGCCGTCCACGGAGATGCCGATCTCGTACCCCGGACGGATGCTCTCCGGGTTCTCCTCCAGATCATACGTGGTGATCGGGAGGTTGTCCAGGATCAACCGCACGCGGTAGTGCTGGTCAATCTTCTCCCTCAAGTCCTGCACATGCACGGATGTGGCGACTTAAACATGCAGTAAGCAGACCACAGAAATATGCATGCATTTCACAAACAAAGAAGGGAACAGAGCAGGGGTTGGTTTGATGAACGCACCACCACTTCCCGCTCTGTGAGAGGGCCGTAGAAGCCCTCTGGCTGGCAAGCCAGCTTTGTCTTCTCCTCCACCTGCAAGATGCGTGATGACACCTCGAGGAAAGATACGCTGGAACAAGAAGTGCACCGGGTGATGCTTCACAGAAACAGGACAAGTGGAAACCGCACCAGCATTGAGAAGTTGTAAGGCGAGTTCTCAATACGAGTCCCCATCAATATGGTGCCAGGGTTGATCGTGTTGATGGACTTCTTCACTCCCTCAGGAGGCTTGCAGAAAGGCAGAGAGTAATAGTTGTATGGCAGCTCTGTCTCTGAAGAAGTCAAGGAATTGACCTCCGCTGCAGGTAGAAAGACGGATGTTAAAGAATAAGCAACGCATATTTACACAAGCTGTGTCGCGGACAGGTCGCTGATCATTGTGTGAAACCAGAACGTCATCGTGATCGCTGTCCTAATTACCAAAACGCTCTTTCAACCGTAGCTAAACAAGGTACAAGAAAATGCCATTCCGAAGAATCATTTCTTCTTCTGATGCATAAGAACTGATGTGGACGCATGTATCCTCCAAACCCACAGCACCGTACCTTGCAAAGTCTGTCCTAGGAAGAACTCTTGGGGGTATGTGCCCGGCAAGTAGTACGCGAAACTACAACTGAAGAATGACAGCACAACTGCTGCCCTCATCAGACCCGCGCCCATGCTTGCGATCTTAAATCGGTATATTAAATATGGAGTGATGCTACAGGACGTGCAGGCTGAAGCACTTCATTGCAACATCCATGTCAACCAAGGATCATCACAGCCACCGGCAGCTCAAATTTGCAGTCGATAGTGCATCGATCTACCATGAACGAGACGAGAAGGCAGATAGCAAGAAGGCAGAGGCAAGGAGCAATTGCCGCGTCCTGACACCAACTGCATATTCACCCTTGAAGCTAGCACGTGGTCATCACGTGGCCAGTTTCTGACAATTTCGATGCCAGAACAAATCTGAACCGCCACCTCAATTGTGCAGGACAACTTTGACATTAGCAAGTACCGAGCAGGCCGTGTACTTGGTACCTGCAGCGTGGCGTCAAAGGAAAGAGTGACTCGCTGGGGCCTTCCCATTATTCAAAGACATTTCTAGTAGTGAAGCCTACACAGAGTCACAAAAGGCTCTGTCTTTACCTGCAAGCAGGTGAATGCTACTATGACAAAGCATTTGGGGGGAGGTTGGGGCATAATACGGGTTTTGCCTGTTTACTTGCAGCAGTCCTTGTAGATGTTTGCCTTTCAGCAGGATAATTTCTCACGAGAAGCTAGCTCTGATTGCTTTTGGCGACGAACTAACGTATCCAGACTTTCAAAGCTATTCATCAGAAGACTTACTTCAATTATTTATTGGGAACACATTTCCACCTGAGAGTCTGAGTGTGAGAGGAAAGCTAGTGTCTGTGTGGTACGGTAGTGTCGCAACGTTGAATCTTTCAAAAAACCATTTCTGATCATCTCAGGTTTGCACGCTAGGTGCAAAGGCTCGTGGGCAGGCCCTGTCGTCTTCCGAGGGGCCAAGATCTTGCTATATACATGGGGACTGAAGAGAGCCAGAGAGCTTCCAGCTCGAATTCCGCGTCTTCGAACCGCAGTCGTAGCTCGAGCCTCGCTACAAGCTATGTGCCACCGCAGTCCATGTTTAAAAACGCAAGGTGCGGCACCTATGTGGTCACCACTGGCTGGATCCTTACCTTCTGCACCTTATGCTTGGGGAAGCGCTTTATGCATGTTCACAGGCATCGACTGTACCTTACCCTGCAGGATTATAAACTTTCAAAGCTGGTTGCACAGTCATACATAAAAAACAACGCAGCATTCAGCAATAAGGGGCCGCAAGGCTCAAAGGGGTCTGTAGAGTAGGTTGGTGTATGACAGGATGCACGGTGCACAGGGGATTGGACAGGATTCTGGCATCAGCCAGTCAGCAGAGGCTGAGGCAGCTGCGCAAGGTGCACCAGATGCGGCGGCAGGCAGAGAAACACCTGGCGCTGCACAGAGCACAGGAGGAGAAGGAGGAGAAGGATCGCTTGCGCCAGGTCGCCCAAGACGCCCTCTGCAGGAAGGCCAGAGCAGAAAGGCAACTGCAGGAGGCTCTTGTGGAGGTGCGCTTCCTCTATTGATGTTCATATAACAGTTCAACCTTCTGCCAAAGGAAATTTACTGCTCATTTGCTAGAGAGGGTCCTCGCCAATGAGGGACTGTGTTTGGTGCGCAGCAACGTCGGAGGGATGCTGCAGCAAAAGCAGAGACGCTGGCAGAGGAGCAGAGGCTGCGACTGCTGGAGAAGGAGAAGCTAGCAGAAGCCAACAGAATAGAGGTGGCCTGCCGGCCTCCCCACTGCTACTCCATATTCTTGCTGGCAGTCTTGCCTATGCTTATTCAGACTACCATGCACATGCGCAAATAAATTACCGTACGCTAAATTTCTGAGAAATACCCAGGAATATCCTTTTAGCATCTTTTAATATCCTGGCAGGCGGAGGAGAAGCGGCAGGCTGCAGAGATGCAGCGGAAGCTGGAGGAGATTGAGAGGGAGGAGGAGCGCCAGGAGGCACGCCGGAGGGCCGAGGCAGATATCCGCCTCAAAGTGGACTACTATGAGGTGCAATCCTCTACAATCTTTTTTCTCCAGTACCGTATCTTAGACCATGACGTGAACCCTTGTAGCTGCTCCCATGCCATCAATTTGTTGCATTCGAGTGTCCTCATCTGGTCGTGAGACGTCATGTTGAGCAGAGATGCAGGGGTTACTACATGATTGTAGTATTTGGTACCCCCTGACAGAGTTAAAGAAACGGTGGATCAATTTGAAACAGTGTACAATGCTGCAGAGGAAGGCGGAGGTCAGCGAGGCAGTCCTGAGGCACAGGCAGCTGGAGGCAGAGCTGCACAGGAAGGCACAGATTGAGGAAGCACGAGAGCGCGCTGAGATCGCCAAACAGCGGCTGCTGATGAAGGTACCCGCCGGATACACCCTGCCTCATCTCCTTATTTCTCTGCATCCACAGTATTCTTGACCAGAGCAACACCGAGAGGACACCCATTTCGTCTTATATCTGCGCATGCGCGGCATGCAGCATTGCATTACATTTTCTGCAAAATTCCACCTTTGGAGCAGTCCAAAACAGGATGTGCATGCATGCGCGCAGATGAGGCGGGACGAGGAGCACATGGCGGAGCTGGAGCGGCGGGTGATGGAGAAGATGGCACGCGCTGACATCATCGAGGCGCAGCGGCAGTCCATCGACAAGGAGATGCAGCGCGCTCGCAAGGACATTGCCACCCAGGAAGCCTGGCTCAAGGCGCGCATCTTCCCCTCCCCGTCTTCAGAACCTCCAAGTTCTGTTATTGTCCCCTCCCCGTCTTAAGAACCTCCAGTTATGTCATCTTCCCCTCCCCGTCTTCAGTACCTCCACTGATGTCCAGCAGATATCAACAAGTACAGTGTCGTCTGGACCCTGGAATGCAGATGGAACTGAAGGTCGTCACTACACCGCTCGTTTGCAGCTCCTAGCAATGCCCAATTAATTATGAACTATTGCCATTCTCGGAGCCTGGAATGCGGTGAGCCATATCTCCTGCAAGAGAGTTTATCAAGACAGGGATGTTGGCAGTCATATCCTGCAGCAGAGAAGAAGAGGGGTGTGCTGGCGTGTAGGAATGGGGACTGATCCTGAGTAATTGACTAATTGCAGGCTGGACTTGAGCGCTTGGAGCGGACAGGCAAGGTGGAGATGACACCAGAGCTGACAGAGCTTGAGCGGGACGGCCTCCTCAAAGCCACCTCCTTTGACAGCACCCGGCTGCTGCTGCAATTTCCTTCCCCGCTCTCCGTGGGCGCCCACAGGTACTGACACTACTGTCTCGTCATGCATTTCCACCCCGTGAAATACATGTGCACTGCAGATTGAATCAATAAAGACGTTCTTGCTGCAGGACGCCACGGTCAAAGGAACCCAAGGGGCATTCTTCAGCCCCTGTCAAAAGCCAGCAAGCTCTCTTTAGAACACCCAGAAATGCACCTGATACTGGTGAGCCCTTCTTGATATCTAGTCGCATTGTGACTTTTTTGACGTGCACAGCAGCATAGTGACATGGGCTGCTGCTTCCAGGCCTTGCGAACTCAAAGCGCATTCCTTCCATCAGCAAAAGTGGGGGGTCCTACGCGAGGAACGCCACCCAACGGCAGCAGATCCAGGTTTGATTTTGAACACTCCGCACACAAAACATATATCTGTCAAGGTTTCATTCTGGAAGCTCCACGCACAAATCATTGTATCTGTCACTGCTCTGCAAAGGTTGACATGCTGTGAATGCATGTTGCATGCATGTCATTGCATCAGGGAGTCTTACAAAACTGTCCTTCTGCAGGTGTAAGCAGCCTGCAGCGCATCTGCGGGCGTGCATGCGAGGTCTTTGCACAGAACAAAATGTAGAATAGAGGGAAAAAATGGTCCATGCTTGCTCTGCCACTCCTTCTGCAGCACTGCCATAACTTGGGTTTTTTTTATCAATGCCTGTCCTGACTGCTGCGCTTCGCTAGTGTCAGGCATTGCCTGGCTGCATCTGCGTCTGCAATTTCCACACTCACATCTACATTGACTTTCTGAAGATATGCAACAGCCACATGCCTATTAAGCTCAGGTTGACATATGACTTTCCGGTGTGAATATTGCAGAGCACATGTTTGTGTGTTCTGGTTCAGTTGTATCAAGTTTAATATGTAAATCTGGCTGCAACCCTTTTAGTGAACGGGCAATGCTGCCACCTGACGTCATGCCTTTTACTTCCAACTACTTGCTGCAGCTACACGTGGACATTCCAGAACATGAATAGTGCAACCATGCATGTCATCACCGACATTAAGGGTTGCGCAAGGGCCTGCAACGCGTCTTTCCAGGGAGACCATATTCGCATCAGCAGCGCTTCGCGTCCTGAGAGATGGTCTGGGTTGCTGCTGATGTGTACATGTGTTCCTGGCGATGCTCTCATGATCATGATTGTGATGCCGCGACGCGCCGGCCAGCTGCAGCCACGGCCTCGGGGCAAGCCAGTGCGTGGGAATGCGCACGACATAACTTCTGACAGATTCTTCCTCCTGCGTGCATTGGTTCATCTTGAAGGAATGTTGACTGTTTATTTCCATCCTTTGGCATCCAGGCATGCAGCCACCTCCATGCACTCCGTGGGGGCAACTCTGGGTCCCCCCGTTACCCCCATTTATGAACTTTCAGAGAACAGCGGGCTGAGTGGGCCTCTGAATGCCGAAGGAAATAGCAAAACCTAGCTTTCGCGAACGGTCTCTGACGTAGAGCTTTCATATCAATCAAAATTTACGCAGCTACTGAACCATTCGTGAGGAGATAAGAGCACGGCTGCAACGACTAGGTGCGCATTCCCCCCGAGCACACAGCTTACGGACGTGGCTCCCTGTTGCTAGGGCTCTGCTTGATGTTTTTAAACAGTCCATATTTTGGGCATATCACTAGGAGACCGTAGTGAACTTTGCAGGGAATCTGCAAAAAAAAAATCCTGCTGACATAAGGGGTCAACACTGACAGTACTTCAGGGATAAAAGCCAGCAGTATCTGAGCAAGATTCTTCAATACTTCGAGTGTCTATAAAAATTCATTGGAATTTGTAATGACGAGCTCTTGGATTTTTACTAATCCTGAGGAACCCCACTGAACACAGCAAGTGGCCGTTCATGTAGGTCAAGAGCATAGAGGAGCCTGGCGCCAGCTCTCGAGATTGCAGTTGCTGGGAATCTTCGCAAAGAGGTAAGAGCGATCAGCAGTAATCTGCAATCCCAGGAGAACATGGATTTCCCGCAGACATCTACAGAACAAGATGCCCTTCCAGAACCTCGATCCAGCCGTACTCCAAGGGATTGCAAGCCAGAGTCTTCAAAGAAGTCGACCAAAAGTGTCAATGAAGCTGTCACGAGCACGCCCACATCGATCAGACGGAGGGACGATGCTTTTTCTCAGCTGTCGCCTTGCTCCAGCTTGGCCAGCTGCAGTGATATATCCCCAAGCAACATTGGGTGAGCACCTCCACGATATCATTTGATATGAGAGTTCCTGCAAGCATTCCCTAAAGTGTCGTATTCCAACGAGCTTAGTTTGAAGGGCGTCCCTGTCTCACAGGATGTTTGGCAAGATGCTAGCGGCCGCAGAGCAGCAGAGGCTGCGCCCTCTGAAGAGATTGCAGCTCCTGCGGCGGCAGGGTGAGCAGCATGACCTGGCAGCCAGGGCGCAGGCGCAAAGGGAGGCTCAGCAATCCCTGCGCGCCAAGGCATGTACTCTGTTTGGCTGCACACTGTCCAGATGTCCTGCGTGCCCACCTGACATCCGCTGCAATAGTGATACCGAGCGGGCGCGCACAGCTAAGTGTTGGAGGCGTGATGTCGGAGATTGAGTTTTAAGCATGCGCTGTGCGCGCAGGTGCATGCAGAAGAGTTGGAGCGGCAGAAGCTTGACAGGGCCAAGCAGGACGCCGCCAGAGAGGTATGCGTGCATCGTGCCCTCTCCCTGTCAAATCAAGGGATGTGAAAGCATGGAGACAACCGAAAAAATCACCTTCTTGTACATCCAATGCAGCACGAGATAAATCAAAGGTCTAAAATTGGCATTTGATCACTGATTTCATATGTTCAAGACGACCTCCCGCCAATGGCATCGCTTGTAAGGGCAGCAGTACTAGCACTGGGGGTGGGGGGAGCATGCAGCCCATGCTTAGCCCATTGAGGAGTACAGCTGAGAACCGAGATTCCAGCCTGCAACGCAGCGCCCGGTCAAAGAGGCTCGGCAAGCAGAGAGCAACTCAGAGGGACCGAGCATATCCGGGTGCATATGGAAAAAATACACCTCCGGTGACACTGGGATGGTGCTCAATGCAGCTGAGGCGGCGCGAAGTGGCGGAGGCGGCAGAGGCAAGGCAGGAGGAGCTGCGGATCGCAGCCGAGCAGAAAATGGCGCGCCACGACGCTCAGGCGGCCGTGCTGTCGGCCAGCAAAGCCGCGCTGCAGGCCAAGCTGCGCAGCCGCCACGTGACACTGGAGCAGCAGCGCAAGCAGGCCGCTGAGCGCAGGTGACTGAGTCTCTTCTCCTCCTCTGGAGTGGATTGGATGCTTGTCCACTTGTTGAAAGATCCAGGACTTTGGACAGTCCAGGATCATGGAGAACATAAAATGGTGGAACAAGTCTCACATTCTGGCGCAAGTCACTTTCTTCTTCATCATGTGGTGCTTCTGAGGTTAAAGTAGTCCCTCTCACCGAGCCAGGGCTATCTTTGAATATCAAGTAATGCTTTGCTCCACTTCGGGATCAGAGTGGCCTAGGGGCCCAGTGGATTATAAGTCTCAGATGAGCGGTGACATGCTGGAACGAAGCAGCTTCTGGGCACATGTGCACAGGCGAGAGCAGCAGGAGGAGCAAGAGAGGAAGCTGGCGGAGAAGCTGCGCGCAGCTGAGGAGGCGCAGCGGCGCAGGCATGAGGAGAGGAGCGAGGCCGAAGAGAGGAGGAGGACCGAGGAGGCCGAGCGAGAGGCTGAGCGGCAGGCCACCATCCGGCGCGCCGAGCTGCAGAACAGCAACCGGGCCCGAGAGCTAGAGGTAATTTTGCCCGTGGAATTGCTCTGAAGATCTTTATCCATTCTCTTGTGTATAACAACCCTTCATCGATCCTGAAGCATGCCATATTCCATCATAGCATTCCCAGTGACTAGCTTATTGCTGTAAGTACTTCTCCACTGGACCCTTCACCCATGGCATGCCGATGCTTCCATTCCCTTCTGCCCTACCTCATGGCGCAATCCCAATTATCCTTCATCCCGATGTATTTGATTGACCCAACTTGTTCTAGCGGTGTGCTCTGTTCTGGGAGAGTGAGCTGCTCTGGATTTCAAGAGTGCGTGTCATGGCTAATACCCCAATCCCTGATGTGTTTTGGTGAAGTAGGCATGTTGCAGCAGTGTTGCGCTGGTCTGAGAGGCTTAAGCTTTGATGTAGATGAAGAGTGTGGCAAAGGAAATTGCGCGGCAGAGGCAGCTGCAGGCAGAGGCGGAGTCACGAGCTGCGCGCAGCAGTGAGGCGCTGCAGCAGGAGGCTGCTGTCAGGCAGCGCATGCAGCTCAAGGTGGACGACTCTGGCTTTAGTGTCCTGTGCATGACCGTAATTTCCCTTACGGTGGCGACCTCCATGTGTGGATAGCACAGACTCCCTCATGGCTGTGACACATCTAATACAGATGTGAGATTGGCAGGGCAAGGTCGCCGGCTGCTTTGTGGTTTGACATTCTGTCCTGATGTTCCTGCCCTACCGATATGGTAAATTGCATAAGAAAACCATCTCAGGTTCTGGGACTCACAGAGCAAGGTTACCAGCTGCGTTGTGGTTTGACCTGCTTCTTCCTGGTGGAACTTGCCATAATGGTAGCTTGCATGAAAAATGGACCGAAGATCTGATACTTACTGAGCAAGATTGCCGGCAGCCTTGTGATGGGGTCTTCCTGTATTGGGTGGAACATGCGGATGTGACTTTTGGCAGCAGAATGAAGGAGAAAGGTGCATTGCATTACCAGGTACAGCAGGAGGAAGAGGCAGCCCGTCAGCTGGCTGACCGGTACGAGGAGAAAATGGCACGCAGCCGCCAGATCGCGCATCAGCGCCAGACCCTGACCAGCCAGCTGCAGAAGGTCCGCCTGAGCATCGCAGAGCAGGAGAGACTGCTCAAGGTGAGCAATTCACATGGAGTGTCCAGCATACTATTTTACTCTCAAAATGGCAATGTTTATTGCATAATTATTGCATCAATGAGTTCCAGAAATTATTGCATTTGGTGACCCCGGTGAGCACGCAATTCCTGCACTATCAGGGCTCCCCAAAGTCATCACATTTTGGTGACCCACAAGGGGGCATGCTGTCTGCATGCGGGTGTCTGGCTTAAAAATTGTGTCTGAATATTGGCATGCTGATGGGTCAAGTTTCGTGTGCTGCGCAGGAGTCGTATGCAAGGTTTGAGAAGACGGGGAAGCTGGAGTTGTCGCCGCAGCTTCTGCAACTCGAGAAGCTGGCCATCTGCAGCCCTCTGCCAGACTCCCCAGCCTCTGATCTCATTGGAGCCTACACTGGCTTCAGCACTCCCAGATCTTCGGCCTCTGTGCCGCGCACCAGAAGCAGCAATCTCAGACCCTCCCAAGCTGCCCGAGGTCCTCTGGTAAGCCACTCATGTCCCACTTAAGGTTAGTAAGATTTGTGTTGGGTTTGTGCAGTGCCTTTCGTGTCTCGTCGATTACCACTGCTCCACCTTCCTTTGCAAGAGAAGCTGGAATTCTGCTTCTCCTTAGGCAGGTCAGCTTGATGGTAGTACAGGCTCGTGAAGTACTCATAAGTGGTGAACATGTTGATCCTGAGTTCCATGCAATTTTGCTGATAATGGACCTTTCAGAGCTGGCTTGATCTAAAACATGATTGCTAATGCAGACTGGCAACAAGCGCCAACAGTCATGCGCTGGGTCAAAGGAGGGGTCCTGTGCGCTACAAGATCTTGGCCAACCTCCCTTAACGCCATGCCTTGGTGGGAGCCAAGAGATTGAGGTGCGATGGCATGCTCTGGCAGCAGGCAAACTGGTTGACAACCTGAATCCCCCAAAACGTCCCATGCAATTAGTGTTACAGAAACCGTCAATCTGATGTAGGAATAAGGGAAGGTGTCAGGATCGATGCACATCAGGTTGTGAGATGAGGTGAGTGGATGTGCAGGCATGGAGTGAAGAGGGCGATGGGACACTGGTGGGCAATTTGGGATATGGGAAGGTGTTGGAGTCCCCAGCCGTTGCATACTGTGATCTGCAGGCTGAGTTGCTGGCCTATGCACAAGAGCTCGCACCTGACACTGCAGCACAGCAGGTGAACAGTTGCCTGCATCAATCTCACAGCACTGTCCCTGCTCAAATCGAAGAAGCTCCTTTTTTACTTTTTCCCCTTCTCTTGCTCAATTTATGTTTTCTTTTTACCTTCTTCTGCGCTTTCTGCCTTTGCAAGCTTTCTTATCAATTTCATTGCAGGTCATTTCTAATTTGTCCCCTGTCAAGCTTGACTTCGGTCAGGAGTAAGGTAGACAACCCACACCCTCTTGGATGCTTTTATTATCATATCAGGTCATTCTTCTCTAATTTTCTGAGAGTTTCAAGTGCTGTTTCAACAATTAATCGGCTGAAGGTGAGATCCTCTTGCGATGCAGGCTTCCTGAACTTGCAAAGCGTGAGAAGATTGGCCATCCGTTCACTACAAAGCGATGATAGAACTGGAAGATAGAATGGCATTACTGCATGTTAACACAGTCCATTAACTTGCGTGCTTGTTGCTTGAAAGGTCCACAGATGGTTTGCGATAGAGAGTGGCACAAAACATCATTTGTTGGATCTTTGACCAAAGGTTGCCATTGGGCCATTTCAGTCAATTCTGCATTGGTCAAACAGTAGTATTTTCAATTTGGTTCGGCAGTCATTACGCCATGCACTTGCATCATTGTTGTGTTTGCCACGAATGTGAATGAAATTGACTTGGCAAGAAGTCGATGTCTGGTTGGATACTCCAATCAAGTGCACAGCGCGCATGCTCAAGGCCAGCTCAAAGAGCTTGAACTTCTTTCACAATTTACAAGACCCCGTGTCTTTTTGGTGCACTGATTACCTTCTGTGAGCCAGAATTGTCTTGCTGCATCAGTGTCACACAGATCCCCCTTGATTTCTACTCCCTAGAAAAAAAATGCCAAGCAGTCCTTCACAATCAATTGATTCACTCTAGAGAGAGGCCAGATCTGGCCAAATTTGGCTGGCTGGCTGGCTCACTGTTCTACACACTGGACACCTGCTTCTTCAGGATGACTGCTGGAGGCTGGTAAGTTTTGGCTGTGACGCGGCTGTTCAGCTGCCGAATCTGGCTGACATGCAAGCTGTGCAGGAACTGGGTCAGTGTCAGCGTCTTGCCGCTGTTGAGATCGGACGTCCCAAAGATCTCCTCCAGCTGTGCATCCAGCAGCTGGCGCCCATATCTCAGGTACATGATCTGCATGGTCTCCTCCAGAGACACAGTCCCCTTGCCCTCCTTGTCGTTCATCAGGAATTGCACGACATTGAACAGGCGATGAGGCTCGTACCCTGTGAGGTCACCAACCATAGAGATCCATGATAATGCCAACCTACAAATCAATAAGCAATCCGAGCACAGGAAGCTATGCAGCCACAGTGAGCTATGCCCCCCTGGAGAAGAAACGAGCTGACCTGTCTGATCATTTCTGCATCTGTGGTACATATCCTGGAACTCTTTCCAGGTGAGGCATTGATCGCAGTCTTCATCCACTTCCCATATCATGCCTTCAATTTCTGACTGCACATAGCGCAATCTCGCCCACTCAGTACAATTCAGTTCCTTTAGCATGTGGCATTTGACAGATGCACTGTTGATTAGATTTATCCATCCTGCCTTTTTCTCTTTATGCCTAAGCTTCTGAAAGACGAGGCCTAGCTCGACTGCGTCCACTTTCCCATCTCCTTTAGTGTCCAGAAGCGTGAATGCGCGTCGAAGATCAGCTGCCTCTGACTTCCTTGAGAGTCGTTCCTGTATCATATGAACCAGATAAATCAGCAGACCTTAAGGTCGATGTCCCTCTTTACATTTAAATTTCAAGTAGGCCTTACCCGTGCCTCTGCAGTTGCCATGCTCGTTGTGGGCACGAAAACGAAGTGTGGTTGGTACTTCGCATTCGATTGGTCTTCCTCAAATTATCTTTATCTTGTCGCTCAGAGAAAAATTTACTGTTGGAAGTGCAGTGCCAAGGTTGCTTCTAAATTTGGACACCCAAGCCAAGTCAGGCTCACGATGGAATGCATGCAATCCAAGTGCGATTGCTGACCAACATTTGTTTATTTGATCAGCATTCTGGGTGTTGGACTTCTCCTTACAGAAGCTCCGTTGACTAATATCTGGCGCTGCGCGATGAAATTCTGGCAGCCAGCCTTGTGAATCCTCGTCTCGTCAGCATCGAGTTTTTACACCTAGATCGATCAGCCCCTCTGCCAGATCGTCAATAGCGATGGGAGAGAGTATAGAAACACCTTTGCTGCGGGTGCGCCTGCGTTGCCTGAAAGTCGCACTCTGTTCTGGGCTCAGAAAGGCCCCTTGTGGATCCGAGCTATATAGTCATTTTGTGTCTTCCTTTAGATTTGGACAAGCCATTGTGTATTTGAAAAATTACTTTGTATCCTCCGTTGTACAGGGATGTAATGGCCGGCACCTGAAATCTCCTTTACATCCATTGCCTCCAGGTTCCCTTCGAGTCCCTGAGGAGAACAACGCGAGATCGCAAGTACCTCATAGATGAGGTCCACGAGGTGTTGGATGCGCTGAAAAAGAATGGACTAGAGATGCAGAGCTCAGAAGACCGGAAAGCATTCGTGAAGGGACTCATAGCTCGTCTGGATGGCCTGAAACGCAAGGTATGTCCAATCCATCCATAATTTGGTAGGTTCTGCTTCACATGCTTCAAGCAAAGGGTGCTCTGGACCAAGTAAGCTGTGCCGGGTCAGAGAAAGAATCTCATCTTGTGTATTTCTTGCAGCTAAACGAAATTGCTGAGGTGGAGGAGCGGGAGGCTCGGAGGTGCAAGGCGCGGTTGGAGCACCTGAAAGAGATCGGGCAGCCGCAGAAGAACCATGCCCTGGAGTGGAACCAGGCCAGGATGGACCGCATCCTCGCTGACCACATGCTCAGATGTGGCTTCCTGGACTCCGCCTCTGAGCTGGCAGCTAGCGCTAACATTGAGGTGATCTCGAGGTCATGGATCGTGCTTGTCAGAATCTTTGTGCGATGCCAAATTTATCCCGTGGCTGCAAAGCTGGTTTGTCCTCAAACAGGCTTTTGGTTGCCTCTGTTTGGCCCGGCAAGGCAGCGTCCGGACTGACTTGCGAACTGAAGGTGTCCTTTATTTGGCTACAGGATCTGGTAGACAGCCACATCTTCCTCCAGGCACGCAGCGTGCTGGAGGGGCTGGGACGCCATGACTGTACTGCAGCCCTGGCCTGGTGCGAGGAGCACCGAGCCCGCCTGAAGCGGCTCAAGAGCAAGCTGGAGTTCAAGCTGCGCGTCCAGGTCAGCCCCCTACATTTCCCCATAGACATCCATTACAGAGTTGGGCTGTTCACTCGTCCATCCGTTCAGCCTTGGAGAGGAATTCTAGAAAATTCCAGAGCAGCCAGGAGTGCCAAAAAGTGACGGCGGAGAGCAAATTCCAAGGCTCACTTGAGGGACCTCCACATGAGTTTGTATCTAGCAACCCCACGATTATCTGGATCCCAGGGTGCACAGGGTACTATGGAGTCATGTTGAGGGGCCGGGCATGTGCAGGAGTTTGTGGAGCTGGTGAGGCAGGAGCGGATGCTGGACGCGATAGCCTACTCGCGCAAGCACCTGGCGCCCTGGGCCGGCCAGTACCAGGCCGAGCTGCAGCGCGCGCTCACAGCCCTCGCCTTCAATGCCGGCACGTCCTGCGCACCTTACGCCTCGCTGTTTGCAGAGAGCGCCTGGCACGCGTGCTCCGACCTGTTCTGCCAAGATCTGTACCGGCTGCACAGCATGCCACCAGAGTCCCAGCTGAAGGTCCACTTGCAGGTGTGCCCCTTGCACTGCTGGTATCCCTGGTGTTGAGAAGCAATGGTGCATATTTACTTTGCCCAATGCCACAGAGAAGCTCGCCAATTTGCGTTCTTGAATTTGTAGCCTGCCCAAGATCGAGATTGAAGTGCGGAACATCTGGCTTGGGATTTTAGAGCAAGAGCAAGCTCAGGAATCAATATGCAAGAGATAAAACGTGACACAAAACCAATGTGCGTACCGGTCTAGACGCAGAGTCTGAAGGGCGCTGTTAAGAGAGTTTGGTGACAGCAAGTCTGAGGATGGAATGTGCGCAGGCCGGCTTGTCAGCTCTGCGGACGCCTCAGAGCTATGCGGTAAAGAGCAGCAAGGAGGACCCCTTGAGCATGGAGGTGAGCATTTTGGCTGTACATTGCCTGACCAGAGGTTTGCTTGAATGTTGTACACTGGGTAGACTTCTTCAAGCGGCTGCTCCTCCTTTCAAATAATTGCCAAGGTTCTGCATGTCGTCAGAGAGTGCCTTACTTGTGCATGCAGAAGTTCCAGAAGCTTGCCGATGGGATGCCCTGGTCGAAGCATGTGCACAGCAAGCTGGTGTGCGCGATCACACGGGAGATCATGAATGAGCACAACCCGCCCATGGTGCTGCCAAATGGCGCAGTGTACAGCGAGAAGGCCGTGCAGCAAGTGGCCTCCAGAAACCACAACATCTTCACCTGCCCAAAGACTGGTACGCACATCCGGTCATGCCACCGCAGTAACTGGCCATATGTGTGCATATTTTTACTGAGCACATGACGTCAGGTATGAGTCTCTGAAGGTGCACTGGAATTTCTGCAGGAGTCTCTTGCGATGTCAGCGACCTGAGGAGGGCCTACATCTCATGATATATCTCTGTATAGAAACGAAGCACCTTGCTTGTTGGCAGAGAAAGAGTGTAATAATAATACTAGGCAAAGGCAGGACACCTCCGGCGTTCCCTCGAGTGAAACACTTGGGAGGATTGCCTTGTATCTACAATGTATGGGTCTTGTGTGTAAAACAGTTTGTGGGAATGTGAAGTACCTCGTACGCATGCGAATGGAACGATTCATCACTCTCAGGAGCATGCAAGTGCATGCGATTTTCCTATTGCAACTGGGAGCTTTACAAGACCATTACTCAACAGCAGGGCGGGAGGTCAACAGCGGAAATTGTTTGAGAATTATTACTTGTCCTTGCAAGCATACATGCACGTCCATGCACATGCAGTGCGGTGAGCATCCAGAGGGTTGCGCTGCAGCTGAGCTCTTGGGGGTGTGGGATGCGAAGACATTACACCGACATCGAGCAGTGTGACATTATCCGTGGGGCCAACTTCAGCCAAGAATCAGCGCGCTTAGATTTGTCTACCTCAGGTCAGGAATCCTGCATCTGTTTGGTGGCATTGCTACTTCCTTTGCCCGTTCCCTTAGCCATGTTCACCAGCAGCAACAGCAAGTGGCGCGCCTATGTCATTTTTTCCCGTTCTCTCCACCTGAAGCCTTTGCAGCAGCTTTTGCTGCTTGCTTGGCTTGCAGAGCAAGCGCGTCCCTGCACATCACCAGTACAACGCCCTGTCAAGATCTACATGAAAAGTTCTCTGGCAATCCACTGCAGTGCACCTTGCTCTTTGCGTGTCACCAGGACCTTCCAACTTGGAAGTAGCAAGAAAGACACAGTATGCACGAGCCTGGTTAAGCATTGCACTTTGACCACCATGCTCTGTTTGTCTCCAACACCAGCATTCCGTACCTCTCCTTGCGCTGTGCAGCGGTCAGTCCATCTTTGTCCTTCAAAGTTCCTGAACCTGCGTTGCGTTTGGCTGCACGAGCCCTGTCAATTTCGCGCTGGTTTCCACGGGTCATCTCTGCAACGCACAGATTTCTTCTCAACTGAAAATGCTGGATTGAGGACCTTCAGGGGTGGACTTCTTCACCACACAAAAAGGAATCTGACCGAGGTGTCACACCATATATTCGCAAGGCACAGCTAAATGCACAGAAATGACTTACCACGATAAAAATCCTCGAGATTATTTCTGCGTTGCCCAAGGCCCGATGGCTGTGGACTGTAACGTTTTCACGCCCAAGGGAGGTTGGTCGAGCTGATGAATAAATAAAACCGCCTGAGGTGTGGACAGCCTCCTTCGAGTTGATGACGATGCACTCAAACTGTGACCGTGAGCAGTAATTGATCTATTGTGTTGCAGAAGAAGAAGAAGAAGAAAGAAACGCACAAACCTGCACTGGCAAGTCCAAGGCCTTGGATGCTGCCAGGTAGGCAGGTGGCGCGCACGTGGGTGTGCTGCCCTTCAGGTCTTCACATGAAGAGCCATGTTACATTATGTATTGACAGCAATCACGGAGAGCAGTTGTAAGTTAGTGTCAAGACATCCGATCGCGCCTGAGGAGCGAAATTAACACAATAAAAAAAAAAGAGGAATTCGGCGATCAGCGAGGTGGCTTAAGCTTTCGATTGGCATTTGCGCGTACCTGGTAGCACAGGAAAAGATTCATGCAATTGTGATTGACAGCGAGCCGGACGTGACGGTGGTTGCCGCTGGGATGGCCGAGCCTCTTGCAAATGGGAGTCAATCTGCACAGAAGGACGACGATGATGCGCTTGCAAGGGCAGAACTAGCCAAAAATTCAGCGAATGCAGACTTCAAAGGTAAGGCGGAGTTTAGGAAGGTGCTTAAGAGCACCAATTTAGGAAAATAAAATTGGAGTTACAGCACCGCCACCTTCAAGGGCAACATTTAAACAGAACGCCTGGTGTTGCCTGATGTAAAATGCTATGACGTGCAGTCGATTGAGACAATGTGTACTTTCAATTTCAGAGTCGCACTACCAGGCAGCTTTGGAAGGCTACACAATGGCGATTGGGCTGGACCCCACCAAAGCAGTCTACTATGCTAACAGAGCTGCAGCGCACATCAGGCTCGAAAGCTTTGGAAGCGCCTTGGCAGATGCCACCAAGGCTATTGATCTCGACCCCAAATACATCAAGGTGCTTGCTCACATCCTGACTTGGCTCTCTTGTGCCCCAAGCTGCACTATTTACTGACTGCAGCCGTCTGTGCATGAAATAAATTCAGCTGGACGCTAGACACCACTTCTGCTGGGACATGCAGGGGTACTATCGCAGAGCTGATGCAAGCCTGGGCATGGGAAAAATGAAGAAGGCGCTGTCGGACTTCAAGCGCGCTGCATCTGTCGCGCCGCGGGACCCAGACCTGCGGAAAAAGCTGCTGCAATGCGAGCGCGAAGTCAAGCGCATCCGCTTTGAGGAAGCCCTAGCTGCTCCGGTGAGCTGTGACTGCAACATCTGGAGCCTGCTGTGCATGTCTGCCGGCAACGCATCAATGGCTGGCCCTGCTCTTTGGTTGGAGGAGTGAGCTCGAGGATGCCTTGGATGTGCTGGACTGCTTATCTAGTCCTGTCATGATCCAATGCAGGAGGAGAAGCCAGTAGCTGAGGAGATCGACCTGTCCAGCATGCCAGTGGATGACAGCTACGATGGCCCCATGATGGAGGGTGAGCCAATTAGCACATCTTACATGACAGCAAAGTCTTGAGCTGAGCTGGATCAACAATGCCATGTTTAACTGAATGGCAAAAAGGCTCATTTTAATTCCTCTTGCAGGCAGCGAGGAGGGTGGATACACACTGACGCGGGATTTTGTCCTTGCCATGCTGGAGCACTTCAAGGCTCAGAAGACCATCCACAGGCGATTTGCCTTCCAGATCATCATGAAGGTAGGCATGCATGCCTTCAGCACCTGCCGAAGCCTGTAGGGGCAACATCTGACATGAGCTCATCCTTGGGAGCTGCCGTACATGTGGGTGCATGCATGCATGGGTGAAAAGGCTAGTGAGTGGGAAATTGTGACCTGTGTCTGTGCCACAGGCGAGAGAGATTTTCAGAGCAGCACCTTCTCTGGTGGATGTCAGCATCGCGCAGGATGCTCACGTCACAACCTGCGGCGACGTGCACGGCCAGTTCTATGACTTGCTCAACATCTTTGAGCTCAATGGGCTGCCATCTGAGGACAATCCATACATCTTCAATGGTGCGCAATGTTCTTGAAACCTTTCTCTTCACTTCTCTCCCTCAGATTCAAGCCAATGGGCAGCGCTCTGAGTGCTGCGTGCAATGGAGGGTGTGTGTTGGGTGTGTCTGGGGCAGGCATTGGCTGATTTGGCTTAACCGGAAGCGTGATGCATCGTGCAGGGGATTTTGTGGACAGGGGGTCATTCTCAGTGGAGGTGATCCTCTCGCTGATGGCATTCAAGGTACTGTACCCGGAACACATGCACCTGGCGCGCGGCAACCATGAGTCCCAGGGCATGAACAAGCTGTATGGCTTTGAGGGAGAGGTGCGCCTACTTTCCTCTGTGAAAGCCAGCAGTGTCTTGTACTGTTGGCTTTTGCAGGATACTTATTTTATGGAGCATGAGGTAATGTTGCTGCATGCAGCTTCCACGACCGTTTGCAGATTGAAGACAAACGAGCATGGGGAGTTTACAGCTGTCTCTGTTGTGCAGGTGAAGGCGAAGTACAACGTGATGATGGCCAATATGTTCCGGGAGACCTTCTGCTGGCTGCCACTGGCGCACGTCCTAAACGGGCGCGTGCTGGTCGTGCACGGCGGCCTCTTCTCAAAGGACGGCGTCACTCTCGATGACATCCGCAGAATCGACCGCTACAGGTGCCCACCGCCCCTTTCACCCTCCCTATAGTGCCTGTGCAATTCATTGGGAACCGGCTCCCTGCGAACCGGTTCCCCAATTGTCATGCCGCCACTTCCTGCTGTGCTGAATTGGGCCCTGTGCGTGTGGGCGCATGCACGGGACACAGGGCCCTCTCTTGATGTGGGGGTGTTCTGACTGAGTTGGGCTAATCAGGTCGATATCATGATCCCTGGATATTGGAGCTTCCTGTTTAAATAACCTTACAGCCGCGGCAGGTGTGTAACTCGTGAGATGTGAGGGGCCTGATTGACCGGGGCGTGCTGTGTGTCTGCAGGGAACCACCGGAGGAGGGGCTCATGTGCGAGCTGCTGTGGAGCGACCCGCAGCCGGGGGTGGGCCGCGCCCCCAGCAAGCGCGGCGTGGGCGTCGCCTTTGGCGCCGACGTCACTCGTGCGTTCCTGGAGCTGAATGGCCTGGACCTGCTAGTGCGCTCCCACGAGGTGAGGACCCTAATGTCATGGTTGATATCCTTATGAGCCTCCTATTTCTGCGTGCATAATGCTGATTCTTTGTTGCCTGCGTATATTACTGCCCTCTCAGTCGTCAGTCAGAACTCTGCAGAGCTAATGGTGGCAAGAGGAGCAGGGACTGCTACTGGGACACGAGCCTATAAGCAGAGATCCCAACAAATAGGACTGCATGAGATTGCACGGTATCTCACATTAATGGCTTTTGGCATCAGGTGAAGGACAAGGGGTATGAGGTGGACCACGACGGCTACTGCATCACGGTGTTCTCGGCGCCCAACTACTGCGACCAGATGGGCAACAAGGGCGCCTTCATCCGCTTCAACGGCGCCACCATGACCCCCCAGTTCACCACCTTTGACTCGGTCCCCCACCCGCCCGTGCGCGCCATGGCCTACGCCAGCAACATCTTTGGCAGCATGTTTGGCTTGTGAGCCCCGCCGCTGCAGCGCGCTGCGGTGCCGCATCACAAAGGCTGTTCGAAGCCGCCCCATGTGATAGCGAGCCAGGCTCAAAGCTGCATGTTGCAGAAATGGTGGCGATGGTTTGGCGAGGTGAACCTGACTCCTACACTCTCTGTGAAGCCTTAGGGGGGCTCTTGGATTGCAGACTTCTTTGACAGTGCTCACTAACGTTTTGATGGGTGCATTCCCTCGGGCGAGGTTTAGGTTCGTTGTGTGACAAGCCTGTCATGTGCATCCAAACCTTTAAGCCTTACGGTGAGGGGTGTGTTCTGATCATGTGAGCTTTGCTGCTGGTGCTGCGTTTTTCTGCTTCTGCAGCATTCTGCTTTTGGCGCTCAGACCTGGTGTAAGCAATGCATCAATGCGGAACTGGGTGTTTGCTGATCTGTGATTATATTATTACGTGGAGCCAGCAGCATCAATCAAAGCAAGACGAGCCACCACATCTCTTGGGATATCTTACTGGCAACGCATGATTTAATGCAGTGAGCTGGTGTAGGGGACTCGCAGCAGAATAAGTACCTATTGGTTGGTATTCCTGGACGGTGTGGTGTGATGACTAGCCTTCAAGGCTGTAACATTAACACCTGTTGCACTTCCTGTCGTTGCAATGGGCTCTGTCATTCAAGGAACGTCAGACTTCTTGGATTGATGGGGAGGCAGAGGCAGGCTTGTGTGCAGAGATAAATACATGAGAAGTGTTAGGGTGCGCTGCATGTTCAGATACCTTGATTTGCAGGTCAGTCATACGGGTTTTGAAGTGCTAGCCAATAAAAGATCTGTGCGACATGTCACATAAGTGCTTACCTAGTTTAATATTTGTTGCAGAAATAGCAGCGGCCTGTGGGTCACCATACACATCAATGATGCATGCTGAGGTCATAGGTGTAAGGGAGCGAGTCTCTGCAGCCAGAACGTATCTGTAGGCATTCTGGAATGACTGCAGTGGAAATTAGGATGCACAAGGGGCTACTGTCTCTGGATCCATGCAGACATCACCTGCGGCGCACACATTGCATTGTTGTGCGGGCTTGAAGGCGTGTCTGCTGGTCACTTGAGCTGGCAGCCTAGAAAGTACATGGGGTGTTAGGTGGTTTTCATCCTGAGTGATGAGGAATCCTCATTGAGGATGTGACCACTCTGTGTGCGGCTGTTGGATATGTGAATACTGGCCAAGTGCTGTGGCTGTTTAACCAAGCGAACCTCCACCGCCCTGGACACAGTTGCCGCAGTTGCATATGCCTGAAGGTGCATGCACCTACATGCTGCTTGTGTAAAGTTTGAGGGTCTGTGGGTGATCACGTAAAAAGGTGTGGCATCTAAATCCCATGAAGTATGATACTGTAGCTTCTTTTCCTGAGTATCGCACATGTCAGCACATGAGTGATACTCTTCCTTCCTGGGGTTTGAACTAACGTAGTCCCCCTGCAGGTTCAATCAGCCACGCCATGCTGCAGCCAATGTCAGTCATGAAAGTGCCATGTACATGCTACAAGAATGAGGAGGTGCCTCAGCAAATTGTTTCTGCTGATAAACCAGCAGTATATTAATGCAAGCCTGATTATGTGGGTTTCATCATGCCTACATAATGGGATGGTAGGGATTATCATCAATAATTACTACGTAGACCTACACATTGGTCTATCAACAATTCTGTTAGGACGTGCGCTTCCACGGCCCACAGTCTGTGCGAAAATAAAGTGTGCAGTTGATATGCAGTCGATGCAGTAGGTCACAAAGCACCCACCGGCATCAAGTAGGCCCCTTGGCAGTGCTGTCTATTCGTTTGGAAAGTTCAGCCTCAGTGATTTTGCCATGCAGCCATAAGTTGAGGAGCTGGCCCTGCCGCTTACCTTCCTCCCGAAATTCCTTTTCTTGCTGCTTCCAGTTCTGGCAGAACACAGATGGTGTGAGTCAAGCAGACCAGAGACATGCAACTTAGGGATGCTTTTGTTCTGGATTCTGAACCTGGGGGGTCGATCAAGACATCCTGCGAATGGCCACTTGCCTTGTAATCCCTTGCGTCAAAGTTGAGTTCTGCTGTGGGGCCTCTCTTCTTGTACATGTGCAAATCGTAAGATCTTGCCGCCTCCTCCTCGTCCAGGTATGTTCCAATTTTCACTCGTTCACCTTCTGCATAACACATTGCATCACATCAGAGGCCAAAAAGGTACCAATAATAAAGCCAGATCCCAGATTCTTGTTCAGTGATGTTCTGCACGCCTTGAGATTATGGTTCTCACCATAACCGGGAAGGCTGTTATATTCAAAGGCACGCCACAGAATTCCTTCCTCCCTTTCATAAACTCCATAGACCCCGCGGTAGTCTGATTTGAAGTAACTTCTGCCTGTTACAAAACAGAATCTGGCTTCCTTGATCACTTAGAAATACTTGCTGTGATCGGGCGCGTGTCCCATTTTTTTTTGGCTAACATTAACAGCAGAAATTATTTTTCTAGCGAAATGTATGCATGATCTTACATATAACACATCTTATGCAATAACACCATGCAACCGATTAGATCAGTGAAGGCACTGAGTGTTTGCGGAAGGGTGTCGATATATACCACAGCCCGCCATATCTTTTTGACTTGCTATATATAAATATATATATACGTATATCTTTCAAGGAGTTCACGGACTGTCAACGGTGCTGGGGACAGCCTAAACGGAGTATTATGATGGATTCCGAAGCCACAACAGAAGACAGCTGCACTGTCACTGCCACAGCTGATCGGCACTGAGTCGCGGAACAGATAAAACTTGAGTGGGTAGCGTTGACTTGGCCCAGCGGATGGAAGAGCTGTCTGGCGCCATTTCAAACGGTTCCAGTTTAGGCCTGGGCCGAAAAGCAAGCTTTGCCAACTTTGCAAGTTGGAGCTCTTTCGCCATAGTGATTGCGGTTTACAGAAGAAACTCCGCTGAGGATAACGTAGACTTCTTTATATCTAGACTTGGGAAGGCCACCTGTCAAAAGCGACCATGCCATGTTCAGCTGGTTGAGCCAACCCGTAGCATATGCGAGCATATGGCAGGCAGGAAAGAGTTTTTTTTTCTAGCAATCAATGGGTTTCGACGTATGAATGCAAGCCTGATGGATGGTCATGAAACGGAAAGTGAAAATCAAGAGACACCGAACGACGCCAAATTGCTGAAGCATCTGAAATGAATATTTTCAGTACCACGGGTGTTCATTAAGCCGCCGTTCTAGGTATCACTCCAGGCACAGGCTCAGCTGGATTGTTGTTTCAAAGGGTCCGATCAGCAAGGCGTTGGCGTATGCTTACGACCGGAAGCAATCAAGACATGGAACAAAAAAAAAACATGCTTGCGTACGTGACGATTACGCCAGATAATCAATTACACATGAATACAACAGTTGAGATGATCTTTATGATTACTTAGAGGTGGCAGGACTTTGCAGCTGCAAATCATCTGAGAGAAGAGCAGTCTTACAAAACAAAACAGAGGGGTGCCAGATCAGGCTTTCGAAAGCCCATCGAGCAATGCAGTTGACGCACTTGTGTGCTTGGAACATATCCCTTCTAGAGTTGCAGGACAGTCCATGCCATCACTGTCTCATCATTAAAGCATATTTCAGTTTTGCCCAGCTCATCATTCAAATAGTGCTCATACTGAAACTCTCCCAGACCACTGTGTAGGCCCTATATCCGTCTGAGTGTCATCGTTTGGTGTCTTCCCTGTGCTCAAACGAGCACACTTGCCCCATGCCTCGGACATGCAGCTGGAAAGAATGAAGTACATGCGTTCACCGCTGGATGGGGCAGATGGCATCCAGCCAGTCGCGCAGCTTCCGCGCAGATGCCTGGCTGCCCATGACTTCCGCCAGCTTCTCCAGCGGCAGCTCTGCCAGGCCGGCCAGGCTCCCGGCAGCCGCCATGAGCGGCCGGAAGTTGGCCTCTGTCACTCCTGGCAGCCGCCGCAGCACATCGATTGCGGCTGTGTTCACCACCGACTCTGAGCCTCCCCCTGCTGGCAGCCCATCCGCGCCCACCGGCACCCCTGCAACGCGCCCAAGAACAACCCTCCCTCCATGATTTGTGCAGAGAGCACTGATTCATTCAAAGAGCACGAAATCCGACGGATTCACCGCGCTGCATCCATTGAACCAGTGAGCCTACAGCATCATGCTCAAGCAGGGCAGTGGATGCAAGGTGAGGGCTGCGGTGAAGAGGCATCTGGTTGCATAGAAAGTGGCTGTGAGAAAGCTAGGTGGGCAGGCTTACCCACAAGGGCGGCTACTGCAGCGTCGGGCTCGTCCTGGTTGGCCTTGAGGGAACGGAAGAGGTCGGCGGTGGCGTGCAGGGATCGGCTCCAGATTATGCGCAGGCGCGGGAAGTGCAGCGACAGCAGCACCAGCTTGCTGCCCAGAGTGTTGCTCTGCATGGCAGACGAGCATCTCAGCGACGGATTTGCCAAGTGATGGAGACACTTCATGCCTGCTGAAAGATCTCAGTCACACCAGATCTCAACAAATCCATAGTCTGTAAAGGACGCCCCAGAGGTTTCATTCCTGCACGGAAGCAATAATGCCGGGCGTGGGAGGCTCTGATTACTATAAGGTCAATAAGCACATTCCATTGCAGCAAGCAGGAACTAGAGCATACATTGATGTCACTGCCGATCTCAGAGGTGGCGTGCAGCGCAAAGGCCTTGTCGCGCTCGAACTCGATGAGCAGGATGGGCGTCTTGTAGTGCTTGGACATAGACTCCGCCTGATGGAATAGCCGCCCCGACAGGAATGACTGCCGCAGATCGGACAGCGACTTTCGCTCCACACACATCTCCGGCGACAGCACATAGTCCCCCACCTGCGCATGCATGACCTCAATCTTTGTCTTGTATTAGATACCAAGTTCAGGGTGCAAAAGTGCAGGAAAGTATCTTGTCCTGTAAATTGAGGCAAACCAGGCTCTGGCATGGATGCATGCAGCCTCCCTGAGTGCACGATCTGAGGCAAGTGGCCCCCTTGCTAACGCCTGCAATGCTTTATAGAGGACGCAACAATAATCAAGCAGAAATTTATAGGAGCCTCAGGGCTCTGCAAGGGACAAAGGAAGGAGCACCCAATGAATTAAATGGGCCGGCACACCTCGAGGGTAACTGGGATAACCTCCATGTGCTGCTGGTGCAGCACGGAGGGCAGCGAGCTCATGAACTCGCGCACATCCACAACCAGCTTGCGCGGCTGCCGGCTCTTGGGCTGCATCATGCCCCCGCGGCGCGTGATCGCGTTGGCAGCCGGCACCATGCCCGGGATGGCCTCCTCCACCCCCGGCTGCAGGACTCCCTCCCTCGGCTCCGCCCTCAACAGTGCCAGGTCCTGCACAGTGTGGACAAAGGCTCACACACAAGAAGTGACAAAAGTTTCCTGCTGCCTGCATGCAGTGCTCTGCAATAAAAGGTGCCCTTGTGCCTTTAGCCATTTGACTGCTAGTGCCCCACACTCTTAATGATGTGCCGATCTGCAAAGCAATCACAAAATAGTGCAGCCAGCCCGGAAATCTTATCCTCTATTCCAATGCTGGCTGATAAATGGATTGGCATAATCATGCCTAGAGCCAGCTGTGGCAGGGGCACATGGGCGCACCTGGCCGAGCTCTGGCAGGACCATGTGGCCCTTGGAGTGGATGAGGTCCTCGAAGACGCGCTGCTCCCGCTGCAGCGCCGCCATGTAGCGGTCCTGCTCAAAGCTGTCCTTGTAGCGCAGGTTGTACACCCGCAGCGGCGCCTTGCCCCTGCCTGCCGCATACACCTGCAGTCCCATACTCATTTGGTATACCGATCCCGAGCGCCTGTGCCTTGTGCAAGATGTTACTTCTATCTGAATGTCCATCTCTGCTTTGGATATGAGCTGCCTGTCTTTGGATATAGCTGTGCTGGTGTAACGCATGCAAGAGGGGTCAGGTGGGTGCGACAAGCGACAAAATGTGAAGGTTCTATCACCTCCAGCTGGCGTACAAAGGCCACATCAGAGTCCACCATGACCACGAAGGATGGCTGCACGTCCCAAAGCACGGCGTCATTCCTGCTCTCCAGCGCGTGGAACTTCACGCCCTGCAGCATCGGGCTGTCAGCTGCGCCCTGCCCAGGTGGCTGGCCTTGGTCGTCCTCTGAAGCTTGCTCTCTGTTGCCCTGGGCAGATTCGCCATCAGCAGCGCTGCCTGGGGCCGCCTGAGGTTGCGGAGATTCCCCACCTGTCACCCTGCAAGACGGAAGACAAGTTCAAACTGAAAACTTCTTGGCTGGGAGGTCGTAGGCGAGAGCAGACAGGCACGCAATGTTTTTGATTTCTGGTATGCCAGAAACACACCCTCTGCCACGGCTGCGAGCTGAGCCCTGCCCTCTGCCCCTCCCAGAGCCGCCTCCCAAGGGACGATAGCCATCCTTCCCTGCTGCTTCAGCATCGGCCGCCTTGTCCTTGGCGGCTGCCGTGGCCGCAAGCGCGCGCGCCTCGTCCAGCAGAGCCTGCTCCTCCTTCGGATTGTTTCTTGTGCGCGCCGCTCGCACCGCATCCAACCTGCATAACCATTACAGCGTTTACTCTACCGCAGATGATATTGCCCACGAAAGTGCATCATCCAGGATTATGCCATAAACACCCTATGTGTCACTTGTGGGAGTCTTACATGAAAGGAAGGTGTAAGAAAAATCAGCACTGACCTGTCGCTGCCTCTGCCACGCCCAAATCGGCCTTGACCCCTGCCGCCGCGGCCGCCGCCCCCGGCAGACGCAGATTCAGTGCCGCCGCCGCCGGACTTTCCTTTGCCGGCTGTCTTGCGTGCGTCCAGGCGCGTCAGCAGGTAGTCATTGAAGAGCTGCTGCATGACGGGCTGGACGTCTGACTGCAGCACGTCCCGCAGCTGCTGGCATGTCCGCGCCTGTGCACGCGACACACAGGCTCATTCCTGCTGCCACCAGGGCAAGGTGTGGCAGGCAATCTCTACTGCCTTAGAGTTGTTGAGAAATAAAATAGATCCAAAACTGCACCTCTTGCGCCACAATCAGGACTGGCGCCTGAGCAGTGCGTAGTGCAGCCTCTGCAGCAGCTATATCTTCCAATGCCTCCAACTTGCTAGCCAGATCAGCGGAAATGTCTAAAAGCCGCTGCCTTTCCTCCTGTATCTCCTGTACATCCACAAAAATGTCTGAAATACCTCGAGTCCAGAGGACTGAAGCTGTACCGGTATTACGGTATTGTCCCCGAGGTGAAAGCAGCTGCCAAAACTGATTGGTGTGCTGCTGAGACATGGCAGTCATACCTGCACGATCTCTTTGACAAGCTCCCATTTGGGCAAGGGCTCCAGCGTGGGCACCACTTCCACAGCTTCGCTGCTTGCGCCAGCATCAGCTATGTCTTTACTCACAGCCCTCTTGCGCTTGCCGTTCTTGGCCGCTGCTGCATTCCTGGATGCTTGCTGCAGCTCATATACTCGCTTCTTTGCCTGCACAGAAAGAAGCTCGTCAAAGGTATAAGCTTTTCCACGTATTCACAACCATAGAATTGACTGCTCGAATTCAGTGCCAGCATGCAAAGTCTTGCAGATGGTCCAGGATTTAGTGATACTTTTGACTCTTATCTTACTTGGTCAAAAATGGTGTGGGCTGCCTCTTGAAAGAGCCACACAGAGTTGACGCTCTCTCCCGCTCTCAGATTTTCAAGGTAAGACAGGAAGGTCACGGCGTCAAAGCACAGCAGGTACTCTGCCAGCGTCCGCAGTGTGCGAAGATTATTGACAACCTGCCCAAAGAGTCAAACCATTATCAGAGCAAATATGAAGCATTATGCTGTCAGGCTCTACCTTTGTGTTGGTTCTTCCTTCCATCAACTTCCTGAGGGCAAGCCAGTTGGCTGTCTCAAGTATGTGTGTAGTACATTTTTAGTCGTATAAGTATTTGTACGTGGAGGTCCAGCTTTGAACTGACCTGCTTTGTCTGAGGGGTGATGGTGTGCCAGACAGAGTCCAGCTGGCGGCGCACAATCTCGTCAAAGCTGCGGAAGAGACACTCCTCAAGGGAAAAGTCGCTTGTGTCAATCTTGTTGGACCGCTTCAGGTGCTTTATGCACACATCTAGCAGATCAGTGATGCTGTCATAAATAGCCACCATTGGAGGTGTCATCTCCTGTGCCAGCTCTATCACCTGTAAACAAATAAATGAAGCAACTAAGAATGCTGCGGCCATCCTGATTAGACACAAGCACTGAGGCATCCATTCCCATCCCATGCACTCTCAAAAGCCTGCGCAAAAGTTGCAACGCAATAGCTAAATTTGCGAGGCTGTTGCTGAGCCCTGCTTACCTCAATCGGCAGATCATTCAGAGTGTCCTTCACGTGGGCTTCAAAGCGTGGCCAGATGAAGAGTTTGCGCACATACAGAGCCTTCATAACCTTCTCCAGCTGCACGCACATGAACCATCCTATCAGAAAACCCCCAGAACAATTTTTGGGGTACGCTGTTCTGGAAGCCATGCTGGGTTCCACTAAAAATCATGCTGTGCATCCCAGTTTCAAAAGCCTTCAAGTGACACACCTTGCTGAAGCCTGCAGCAAAGGCATGCGGCTGGTCTGAAATGGCCCTGACAAAGCCACCCTGGTTGCCCTGCCGGAAGAGGCGCACGGCAAAGCCCTCCCCGGACATGTCAGTCACCGTGTGCGCATTCATTACCAGCAGGCCGGCCACCTGCAGAGATGTGAAACCTGGTCATGCTCTCTGAAGATATGCAGCCTTGGGACGCCTCAAACTTCAACACCACTGCACGTCGTCAGGTTGATCAGCATGCACATGTCATGCAGTGTCAAGAAAATACTTTTTCGTTTTGAGAACGCAACACCTCATGCAAGATCAGAAAAGGGAGGAAAGCAGTCAGTCACTGCACCTGATGAGCCTGCAGCCGGTTGGTGAGCAGGTCCACCACCAGGATGCGGGTTGTGATAAACAAGCAGCTCTGAGTCCTGTACAGCTCCGCCCTGGCTGCTGCCGGCATCTCATTGGTCACCTCCACTGGCATCTGCGCTGCAGAGCCATCGCTTCCACCTGGCGCCTCATCTTGTCCAGATCCTGTTGATTGCTGCTGGCCATCAGAGGTGCCATCCCTTGCCTCGCTGCACAGGAAGCACAAGACTCACTGGAAGCTCAGCGAGACATTTGCATTGTTTCTACCAGCCTATGCATGATCATCAGGTATGGTGGAACAGGATATGTTGTTGAGAGGATACAGTGAGGTTATACCAGCTCTGGAGTCCTGGATCCAAGCGCAGCAGCTCCTCTTTGAGCATGCTGCGCTGCCAGTCCCTGCAGCCCAGCACCAGCATGACACCGCGCTGGGCAGCATCCTTCCTGCGCTCCAACTGCAGGCGAACGAGAACTGCTGCAAGCCTCTGCCAGGTCAAGCCAGCAGCCATGACGCTGAGACCGTCGTCCTCCAGCAGCTCCTCCACCATCCGCCTCTGCACTCGAACCCACTCTTGAATATTTCTCTCGTTTTCTGTCAGAGACTTGCTGTTTTCAGTGATCTCAGTGCCTGCCTGCGACACCCTTGATCTGGTAAAAAATTGAGGCAGACCCAGCAAACACGGCGAATTTCGCCCGATGATACAGAAACGGAGAGAAAATGGATGCTTGAACATTACTGAGAAGTCGAAGGATGCGTTGACAAATCATCGCACACCTGAAAAGGAAGGAGATGCGCCATCAAGTCAGCCTGAACATCTTCAACGTCTGCCTCCATATGAGGCCCACTCATAGATATACAAGGACGGGCAGGTCGCACATTTTTACGACTTCTCGCTTTGATATAATTATTTGGCTCAAGCACAAGAATTGTCCCCCATGTATTGGAGAAGTCATGGGAAGTCAGCCTCTGATGACTCATCAGACAAGTCCAGGATTAAGATTTCCTCTTGCAGTTAATCTGCTGTGGCAACGTTGTGGGTACTGATTTAGAAGTTTAACGTGCAATATCGTTTCATATACTCTTGCCTGCTTAGCTTCGCACACAGATCTCTACCATCAGGTTGCGCAGATTTAGTGTTGTCTATTTTGCTTGCATGCTCGCGCCTGAACGTCATGTGGAGACGCGATAATTATTTAGAATTATTCTAGAAGCAAATGAGTCGCAGCTATTGCATAGGCTTCGAAGAAGTCTAGCTTTGATCCCTCCAAACTAAGAACTTCAGATAGCCTGGTCTCCATTGATCTCTCCCAATTGTGCTTTCTAGAGATATTTTAGCATGATTCATCTTCGATCCACAAGAAAGCTATGCAATAGCTTGAAGGAAGCCACTGGATTTTCACCCTTTGACCACCTGCACCGTGCTTGTACCAGTATACTCAGTTTGAACGATGCTTTGCCGGCATCATCTACCAACATTTCCGCAAGGTTCATGGCTTCTAGCGCGTACAAGCCTGAGTGGCCTCTGGAAGGAATCGAACACAGGAGGTTCGGACTGCCTCTAGCGGTGAGGCTTCCGGAGGTGCGCTTTTGTAGTAGTTGGTTTTGTAAAGACTCCTTTTCTAGAATGCATTCATCTCACAAGTTCCCATTGTGCAGGTGACATTCACCAGGCTGCTCAGCACTACTGCTGAGAAAGGGGCCGATGGCCTGCCAGTTCCCAAAGCAGTCATAGAAGAGAACACACAAAGCGAGAGGAGAAATCTACTTGAGAGGATACTGCCAAAATATATGCTTCCATATGCGCAGCTCATGCGTCTCCAAGCTCCCATCGGTGCATGCATCTGACCAACTGGTCCTGCTTGGCATGCACAGTGCTTCACCAATCGCGTTTTCTGGCAACTGAGGTCATTACAACCTGCTGACTAAATTCTGTTGCCAGCAGGGACTTGGCTTTTGGCCTGGCCATGTTTCTGGTCCATTGCTCTGGCAGCTCCTTCAGGAGCCCTTCCAGATGCCAAGCTTCTGGCACTATTTGGGGCAGGAGCGCTCCTGCTGCGAGGTGCTGGGTGCACCGTGAATGACCTGTGGGATAGGGACTTGGATGCCAAAGTGGAGCGCACCAAGAGTCGGCCATTGGCTGCTGGCACCATAACCCCTTTCCAAGCTGTGGGTGCGTGCACCGCCCTGCAGCCACATGCATGCCCATGAGGGCTTGTTGATGGACAATACCATGCGTTCTGTGCAGAGGCATCATGCATGTATGTTCAATTCACAAGTTGTGTGAAATGCAAGTGCTGCAGGCTTCCTTGGCGCGCAGCTACTGTTGGGCCTTGCAATATTGGTGCAGCTGAATCCGTACAGCATTCTCCTTGGGGCATCTTCTCTGGGCCTGGTTTTCACTTACCCCCTTTTCAAGCGCTTCACGCACTGGGTATGCACCTGGCTCACGAAGTGGCACCACCATCTCCCTGACTGAGTTGCAAGCTCATGGCATTGTCTCCAGCTTCTCCTGCAGTGAATATATGACGAATAAAAATATGGACGTATCATTTGTGTCCTTTGGTGTTGCAGCCGCAGGCATTCCTGGGGCTCACATTCAATTGGGGAGCGCTGCTGGGCTGGGCAGCGGTGCATGGTTCTTGTGACTGGGCCGTCGTCCTGCCCTTATATGCCAGTGGAGTTTGTTGGACCCTAGTCTATGACACCATCTACGCCCACCAGGTGAGTCATCGTAATACAACACCTTTTTAATTCTGGGGTTAGTTGATCTTTGCGAAGGCCATCCCACGCCACAACAGGAGTTGTTCTGCTTATAGGCAGCAGGACAGCACAATTTTGCAACTTGTTCGATTGATATTTGAAGTGCCTTGCGTTGCAGGACAAGACTGATGATGCCATAGCAGGGGTGAAGTCCACAGCGTTGCTGTTCGCTGACCGCACGAAACCGTGGCTTGCCATATTCGCTGCCAGCCAAATTGCGCTACTGTCGTTGACGGGTGAGAATCTTCTCACCTTATCATTTCCCCTCTGATGACTGCTTTTCGAGGTCGGACACACTCGACATGCAATCATCTGGTAATTTCTGCAATGACTGTTGCGCAGGTAGCATGACAGATGCAGGGCTGCCTTACTATGCAAGCCTGGCCGCCACTTCAGGACATCTAGCATGGCAAATCTCCAGTGTCAAGCTGGACGATAGAGGGGATTGCATGGCAAAATTTGTATCTAACAAATGGTTCGGTGCCATTCTTTTCAGTGGCATTGTTGTTGACAAGCTGTTACAATAGAACATACAGCCAGATTTTTGAAACATCAGGACACATTCTTTGTCCCTGATTTATGGGGATCTCATGTATGTAATAGCACAGTTTCACATAATATACTGCAGAGCATTCTGCAACTACCAAAAGGGCAAGAGCTATCAGGCAAGTAGAAATTCTTGTCAGGCGTAAATTCCAGCATTTGTGTGCAAGATGATAATGTTACAGCACTCCACAATCCGAAATGGTAACATCCTTCTTTGGCGTCCCATCATCCGAAGCAGCTTCTTCATCTGTACACCACCACATGCACAATGATGATCAGACAACGCCTCTGCCTGTTTGTGGTGCCGCGTGCTGATACCTTTCAAAACTCAGCAGAAGGGTGGTTCTTTCAGGAGATCAGTCACCAATTTTCTGCAAAATTTGGAGCCCTTCCACAATTCTTCCAAAGACAACATGCTTGCCATCGCACTGCGGTGCTGGGGCTAGGGTGAGGAAGAATTGACAGCTGCACACAGACACATCACTGCTGAGTCATAAATTGACAACAACAACGTAAAATATTGTTGAAAAGTAACCTTGCCTGATGCATCAAAGCTGGAGGCACCTGTTCGTGTTCTTCCCTGAATTGGCCATGCTCACAACGCCAGTCTCATGCTTCAGCTTCAGTCCAGGCTTCTCATCATTGAACTTGCCCCCATAGATGCTGTCACTTCCTGATCCATCTCCTGCAATCGGCACAAGGTAAACCAGGGGGGGTGTCAATCCGAAAATTGGGCCGCAAGCGAGCAAACCTTGGCAGTGGGTCAGAGACATTTTGACAATTTGAGCAACAAAAGTTCTGGTCCAGAACATCTCATGAGAGGCAGTCAAATATCCCCTACCTCGGACCACATCACCTCCTTGGCAGCAGAAGCCCTTCACAATTCTGTGGAATTTGCAACCCTGCCAGCATGCAGACAGTCTTTGATGGCTTCCCTGCTCATCAGGATATCCACTTCTCTGTCAATGCACCGGAGAGACAGAGCATATAGCTTGCTTTTTGCTTGCCTTATAGTGAAGCGGCTTCTTTGAGGCTTTCCCTAAGCCCTTGGAACCATCTATGAGACATTTAAAATTCTCAACAGTCTTGGGCACCTGCATGCATGAGAAGTCCAGATGATACGCAATGTTGGACAGCTTGCAATATCTACATGAATGATACACGAAACTCTCAGAGCGTATGTTCACCTCCTTGACAAACAACTCAATAATTAATCTTCCTGCTCGGATCTCTGCAGGAGCTTCAGCTCTAAAGTCGCCCTGCTCAGACAAATGACATATTTGAGATTCAGGTGTCATTCCACTACTGCCATCAGCCTGTGGGATCGGAATGTATATTTCAAAGCTTGAAAAAATAAGGAAAGCTAACCTTCTTGGACCAGGTGGGATCTGCAAGAAAGGCCTCCTTCAGCACTTCCGTGCTCTCTCTTTCGAGATCTACAAGAGATCCTGACAGCCCAAACTGCACCAGAAAAATCGTAAATCTTCCAATGCTGTCATCTTATATTCGACAGTAAGAAGGGGGGTTCTGCAAGCTACCTGAGGCCCAGCCTTTTCGTAGAAAGCAGATGTCAGTGTGAAAGCAGTCACTTGTTCAGCATAGACTGCTGCGTCTCCAATATCAATATCAAAAAATACTCTCATGATCATTTCCTGATCACCTCTTCCCCACGTTTCTCAACGACGGATCTCCTGATCTCACAGACGTCCAGGGATCTAGCTTCCTGAGCGAGGGAAGCTGCCCCACCCAGCATGCATGCCACTCAATCCCGCTCTTCGTTCCTGCATTGACAGAAATCCACTGGGTGTGCTCCATAATGTGTGAAAACGCAACCGAGTGAATGTTGCACGCGCCAATTTAGAGTCTTGTTTGTGTTGGGATGTGCATCGCTGTTTTCCGAAACTGAGAACAAGCTCAACTAAGTCGATAGTGAACATCTGTCCTCTACAAGAAGCTTTCTAAAAAAAGTAACATTCCATTCAATGTGCGTGGATGATTGCACTTCTTGTAATGCTCTTTGTGGACATGGGGGGCGAGTTGAGCCTTGATCAGAAAATTTAAGTAGAGAAATCGCTGAAGCCAACTATGGATCGCAACATCTCACCAAAGAGAGGTGAAAGTTTGGCAGTATAAAGAAATATCTAAGTCATTTTGTACTGCCCAGTGTTCCTGCCAGGACTGAGGCAGTGCTTGACCTGCAGGGCGAACTTGCAATGATGTCATCACAAGCAGATTATGCAGGCATGCTGGCGGCTGCACCAGCAGATCTTCCTTCAATTACGCTGAGCAGCCAGGCGGGCTATATTGCAGCAAGCACAAGCTCGAGGGGATGATTAATGTCCGAAACAAGCCTTGCGCTCATGCAGGCTGCAAAACACAGCCCTGCTTCAACACGTGAGGGTGCAACAGGCCTCTTAACACAGCAGTGTGGCTTGAAGGTTGTTGCTGCGGCGTCTATTGAGGCACAGAATGGCGTGAACTTTATGATTCTTGCAGACCAGGAGCAACTGTGGGCCTGTACTGTGGTGACCACCGGTTGCCAGGCTTTGTGAATGTGAAGCAGAAGCAGTGCCATCAGGCAGGCTGCAATGCGCGGCCATCCTTTGGTGTGCCGGGCTCTGGCCCAGGGCGTTACTGCAGCAAGCACAAGATGCCAGGTCTGACAGATGCCTCACTCACATTAATTCAATGTGCATCAGCAACCATATCATTGGAACATAACAATATGTGTCACGATCTTATGGTTCTCTGCTCAGCATCACGGGAGAAATGGCACTCTTTGGGACCCATTGCAGGCATGATGGATGTAAGGAACAGGCACTGTGCTCACAACGCCTGCAGCAAGTGCCCCAGTTTCAACACACCTGGCGAGGTTATACCTCTCTATTGCGGCACCCACAAGCAGGCGAACATGGTTGATGTGAAGCACAAAGCATCAGGTATGATGGTGTTTTACGATGGTGTTCTGTGGGACTGTCAAGTGCGCAGCCTCTGTCCCTATTCAGAAAGCATGGGTGTCAAAGCAAACTGCGCTCTCATTGGCTTAAGATTCACTGTGGGCACACTTGTATTGCAGGGAGCTTGGCAAAGCGATCTGGGGAGGCAGACACAGGGCTGGAGGAAGGGAAGAGAAAAAGGGGGCTGCCCAGTGATATGACCACTGGGGGCATGCAAGCAAGCTCAACTGGAGAGCCCTCTTGCATTATGCAGCAGCAGTCGTGTATGTTGGACTCACATGAGGCAACTGAAGAGGATCAGAGCGCTTATTCAATAGACAGGTGCACACATCTGGAATTCCAACTCTGCATGAACTCTCTGCAATGAATTTATTGTCACGTCCTGCAGCTCCATTTGTCCCAGACATTCAATGTAGTAATGTGGCTTTGGCAGGGTTGCTGAAAGGACATCCGCGCTCCCATGCTCTCAAACCCATGCACCGGATCAGGCAGGAATCAGCTCAGGAGTACAGCTGGTCGGTAGAGGTGCTTGCATGGGGTCAGAAGCCAACATGCCTGTGGGTGTTGGTGAAGCTGCTCAGGGACAGCCACAGGGAAGCTTCATGCAAATGCTGGTTGAAGGGGCTGCCCCGGGGTAGTGCCCGATCTAATAACTATTTCAATGCTTCTCCACACCGTACAGGAATGTCATCACTGTTCAGGCCGAAACAAGATGCGCAAAAGAATTTATTGCTTGTGCAGACATACTTTAAAAAGCTGGGGCTTGCTTGACACCACTAGTACTTCCAAGATGTAAACTTGTACTGAGGCATGTCAAAAATATACTGGTCTACTGGAATTGGCAATGCGGCATCCTGGACCTCAAGTCTTCAACTCAGCAGTCAGATGCAAAAGGCGTTCAAATATTGGTATGATATCAACTAAAGATGTCATCTAAAGACTCCCGTGGGGGAGTGTCAGACTGGCTGTTGACCTTTCGCCTCTTAGCTGGCGGCGCCCGCTGCATCCATGCAGTGATCTTCCCCTGCCGTTGACCTGCAGATGAAGGGCCCACATTACTATTCAGTCATTCTTCTCAGGGTGAGCCCTTGGTCTACAGCCTTTCACGCCCAGCTTACACACCAGGCTGCACAGCGAGCCCAACAAATTCAAGAAAGCTTCATAGTGCGCACCTGCGTTTGCACCTGTTCTCCTGTTGGCTAGGCTGAGGGGGGGAGGTCGCTCCCCCTTGCGGAAGCTGCCTGGCAGCTGCAGATCGGCCCACACCGGCGCATGGTCTGAGCCCTCAAAGGTGCTCCAGATGCGCACGTCTGTGAACAGGTCCTCAAAGGGCTCCCCTGCTAGTTCCTGTGTGTTTCCCAAGTTGCTCAAACTCTGAAAGAAACAACTGGGTTGTTGTGCCCCTCACAAGGATGTGGTTGGTGGGTTCAACTGCTCAAATGACTTGCGAGAGGCTGTTCTCCACATGAGTGTAAATTTGGGAAAGTAGCTGTGTGGATCACCTTCTCTTCTGGGGCTGCTGTATGGTCCTTCATGGCTGGATCAGGCCTGCCGGCCAGCAGGAAATCCACCCTGCTACCGTGATTACGCTTCCTGGCTAGCGTTGCCATGTTCCAGACAGTGTAGGCCTTCTGCTCACTCGGATGCATCTTCCTGCATAAGCAAGACGACGCTTGAATTTGCCCCAGCAGGTGTGTAGTCAGAGACTGGAAGGGCAATGCCCAAATCCTGCACATATCCAGGCAATGACAAATGCTTTAGTGCAGATGCTGTGCTGGATACACTCTCATCCCCACACTAACAGATCTTGCATGTTCTGGCACTACCAGTGGTAGGCTGATGATGGCTGTAGTGCAGACAACCAGCCAGCTTGTCACACTCAGCCTCCGCCAGACATTATTTTTGCTTTGGAGGTTATGCGAGCAGCGTACCTGAATAGATCCACCAGGGGGCCGCCCTCCTGGTGCAGCCATCGCCGAAACCATGCTCTGTCTGGCCGGTCTGTGAGCATGGTGGCCTGTATGTGGGCCGGCGCGCGCAAAAAGTCACAGTGGTCAATTGGATAAGGGGCAATGTTTAGATCCCCTGCAACAACTACTGGTCGACCAGCCTCTAACACCCCCTCTATCCTGTGCTGGAGCACCTGCAGCCAAGCTGAGTGTGATCAAGATTTGTAGCTATCTCTATGCTTGAAGCAAGCAGAAGATTGATCTCAAGAGTAGAACAGTACAGAGGAATGTCTATCACCTCATAGTACTGCATTTTGAATGCAAATCGGTCGCTCGTGATGTTTGTAACTGCTGGGCCGTAGCAGTTGAACAGCACGAATGCACCGTGGTCCGTGATGACACAGCGCCCCTGGTTGTCAACCATTTCCAAGTCCTCCCTCCTATACCTGCATGCATGCAAGGGAAGAGAGGTGACACATGTGCATGCAAGGTCATCGTACACCTGCATTTGAAGAATAACATTAAATGAAGGGACAATGTGCTGAGAGCGGTGCCCAAATGAAGGACAAACCTGTCCCAGAATTTGTCTGAAGGGTTGTAGTGTATCCTGGTCAGGCCTTCCTTGGCCATTTGATCATTTTGAGGGCCAACCGTCCCTGCAAGACCCTCTTCTGCAGCCACAGGAAGGGCACTGCCCGTCCTGCAAAAAGTTGCTACTCCAGAATAGCCCGAGCGGTAAGTGCAAAACGAGAAGAGTGAGGTCCTGCGTTTTACATGTGAGTAAAACATCTCATCAACCCACACGAACATGATATTGTTGTGCTGTGGTGGCTGTGGTGGGATTCAGGACAAGACAAGTAACTAGATCTACTTCCAAGGTTTTCAGTGCACTTTGACTCACCAGCCATCAGCAAGAGCAAAGCTGTGAAGCTCTTCCATGTCCTTCTTTGAGAGCTTGGTCTCTTGGATGCATATGATATCTGCATTTTCCAGACAGCAGAGCTCAGACTCGGGGTACCAATGCAGCAAAATTACAGGGCATTGCGAGTCGAGCCTCGAAGACCAGTCTTGCCCAGAATCAAATAGGCCGTGTACGCGCCGGCATCTAGAATTCCTAGCATCTTGGAGAGACTCTCGGATCTTCTTAGTAATACTGGCTTCAGGCCATCCACGTTCCAAGTCAGAATCCTCATTCGTCCTACCGTCAGCTACTTTCTCCCTCACAATCTTACTACAGCACCGGCAGATGACATCTATCGAAGAATACAGGATATCACGCTTTGAAACTTACATCTAGATCTCTAATTCAATCCTGTTCAAAGAGCATTTGCCAAGTTTAGAGGCAGCTTCCTCGAGCATGGAAGCTGGAGCCCCTAGCTTCTCCTCTCCATCCACAACCAGCCTTGCAGTCCTTTATGGCAATTGATACTTGTCTGCGTGCTACTGATGGTTTGAGATATGTGGGACGCTTAATCAGCCCTGTGTGGCTGGAGCCATATTACTGGAAAAGTTGTAATCTCTCTCTCTTTCTCTCTCTCTCTATAGGCCTGGCTCAGACAATTTGTGAGATGCAATGAGTTCAATTTGAAGATGCACCTGCTGAGGTCAGCAAGCATTTCCGTTGGTGTAGCATGCTAGTGATCATGTGACATCATGATCATCATGGGTGCATGCGTGCAGGATGCAAATGCACTCAAACTTTGCATTTTCATTTCATCGTCAAAAGTTTGACTGAAAAGCATCTTGCAAGAGCTGCCTTGCGATGCGCTGCTGATAACTGATGGTCCCTGATCCAGTGGAATAGCTTCCTAGCAGTACAAAAGATTTCTACAAACCCCCGTCCAGACTATCACGCAATCATGGCAGCAGATATCTTGCCTGCCAGACAGTGTCTTAACACACGTACTTATAAGTACTGAAGTGCCCCGGCTCTGCCCATCCTCACCCAAGATGACGGGTAGGTATGATAGTGTGACCAAATAAGACCTGAAAGGACCCTCTTGCAAAACTCTATCTAGGTCTTACTCGTCCTTACTCAAAAACTTTACTGCGCTCCAGAAGCATTTCTGTCACAGACCCCATGAGAATTGCTTCCCATGACGCAAGTCTCTTGAACAGAGGACGAATAATTCAGAGCGGACTTCCAAGAGGGTGAAATCCAAACCGCAGCACAAGGGACCACAACTTCCGATGAGTGTGCCATTCTGAATACCCGTCCTCTCGCAGCATGATCTGCATGCGCAATGGTTGCACGGGTACGCCCCAATACGCCGAGCACTAACTTGCTCTGAGTACGCCAATTTGCTACTACCACAACATCAGTACGTCCTCCCAGTACTGTAGTACTAAATCCTGAAAAGTGAAGTACCGGTGCAACCATGGCATCCGCTCACTTCTGGCGGGCCTGCTCGAGGTCGGTCATGAGGCCGTCGCAGAGCTTGCGCAGCTTGTGGCTCTCGCGTTTTTCCTCGGCCAGCTGCTCCTGCAGCGTCGCTTGCTCTGCGCGCAGCTGTGCCCTGACGCCGGCAAACTTGTCGTTCTCGGCCTTGAACGTGCGCAGCCGCCGCCGCAGCTCCTCCGCCTCCTCGTCCTTCGTGTACACCTGAGCAAAGGTATGCTGGTCAGACAATAATCCCATGCGCTGTGAGATCTCTTATATTAGATCTAGACAGTTGCATGCAATGTCTTGTGCACTCCAAGTGGCCACTGACAAGACAGCCTGCATTGGTGCATTTTGCAAATAAGCCCTGCAGCGCCTAGCAGCAGGGCGCACACAGCTGCACCCCGGCCTGGCGGTACCTGGGAATGCGGTACCTGGGAATAAAAAAGCAGGTGTCTCCCTCAAGGGTCATGCAGTGGTGCACAGCAGACTGGAAGGACGTGATACTACCATCCCTAACATAAAAAGGAAAAGAAAAGATGTCCCCTCACACCCTGCAATACAAGTTGCATGGCATGCCAGGGAACACACAGTAAATTGACAGCAATAAAACAAGGGCGTCCCGCAAGGGGCATACCTCTTTGGTGGCGCGATCGCGGGCGACCTGCGCGGCGGACACCTTGGTCTCGGCATCCTCCGCGGTCGCCTTGAGCGCCTCGCGCTCGGCCTGCAGCTCCTGCAGCTGCGCTTCAAGAGCGATGTTCTTGCGCGACGCCCTCAGCGCCTCTGCCTCTGCAGCCGCCAGCGCATCGGCCGCATGCTCGGCCTCCGCCCTGCAGCTCTGCATGGCAAAACGACCACTTATTAAAAAGCCAATGTCACAGAGCAATCCGCGCCTCCATGAGCCTCTTCAAGACGGCATTGGCCTGTGCAGAAATCTCAAATCAACAAGGCAGCAAGTTCCCTCATTGCAGCAATATCCCACGTCAGGGCCTGTTCAACAAATGCATTGAGGCGTGTACATGCAGTCCATTCATGGGTGCATCAGCCGATAGCACTCTCGTGCTCTGGTGATGTCAACAGATGCACCAACACAGAGAAGTACTGGGACAGCGTGGTGAGGCAGCTCACCTGCAGCTCGTCCAGGAGCTGCTCGATCTTGTGGGCGGCGTTGTCAGCGTCCAGGTCAGCCTTGCGCACCTGCAGCTGCGCCGTGGCCACCTGCAGCCACAAGAAACTCTCACTGCAAACACGATGCACCACATATGCGGTAGCTGTCTTTCCACACAACTACACGCCTGCTGTTCAGATGGAATGTGCTCAGCAGTGGTTGCCTCCTTTGAGTTACTCCTGCACGTGGCTAAATTCGCACTTCAACCAACTGCAAACTGGTCTGACTGCCAAAATAGGCCTTGCAAGACAAGGCCAGAAGGGGGCAGCAGAAACATGCCTGGGCGCGCCACTTCTCGTTGGCTTCCAGGGCGGCGGCGCGGCTGTCACGCAGGCGCGCCATCTCGCTGCTGCAGCGGTCGTGCTCCTCCTTCAGCGGCAGGTACTTGCTGCGGTAAAGGATCTTGAACTGCTGCTCCGTCAGCGCATGGTGCTCCTGCACCTGCAGCCACAAGCACACCAAGATTGCCACATTGACAATGAGATAAAAATAGATGTGCAGCGCAGTGCATGATAAACTGTCTTGCGCCGTGAAGGCATGTTTTTTTTATTGAAGGAGAATGTTCGGAAGTTTGCTGTTCTGCCTTGCTTACCTCCTTCTTGTCTGCCTCGGCCTTCTGCAGCATCAGTTGCAGCTCTTCCTGTTCCTTAGCCATGGCCTCAAACTCACCCCTGTGTGGAAGCCATAATGGTGGTGAAACCTTCCCTTCTGCACAGCTTAATGACACTCACCAAAATTACTTTGAGCGGGATGCAATGCAGTAAGAGATTGGCAAGCATGCAACTGAGGTCGGCTGGCACACCTCAGAAGCTGCTCAGACTTGTCCTGTTCCTCCAGGATGTGCTGCTGCTGCTCCAGATCCTCCAGCATGCCCTCCAGCACTGGCTTCAGCACCTGCACTTGGCAGCCCTACTACTATTACATACATACTCAGGACATTTAGATAGGCAGGATTAAAACAGATAATGTGAAGGAGTCAATCAGATTGGGGAGATGTGAAGCATGCGCACATTCACAAGGCGCTGGGTGTCAGTGCCCAGCAGGCCAGCCTCTGCAGCAGCTTCCTCCACCATTTCACACGCCCTCTGGCCGTTGGACATCGGCGCAAAGGCGGATACTGCTTGGTCCACCTCCTGTGAAAATTGACAAAATCTCTTAAGACAGTCAGTGGTGCCAACACTTGGGCTTCACAGTGTCTTGTGCCCATGAATCATGCCTCATGTCAGGGGAAAACCGCTACCGGTACACGGAAGAAACCCCAAAGTTGACAGGCGCCTAGCTTGTGAGTCATCTTTCAAGCTAAAGCAAGTGGAGGGGCAGCTTTGCCTCCACAGGAGGGTTGGCGATGTACGGAGCAGCATTGGGCCTAAGAGCAGTGGCAGGCGTGATGAGGCCGCCCAGAACGAGCTGCGCCTCCAGAGCGAACGAGTCATCAAATGCCGGGCTGTCTGGGTTGCCGGCATCCCCATCTGCCTCTGCACACTGTGGAGTGCTCATGTCAGCCAAGGGGCCGGCAGCCGCTGCCACAGGAGTGAGCTGGCTGCAGGGCTGGTGCTGCAGTGGTGGACTTGGCTGCGCCAGGGTGGCAGGGGAAGGCTTGGAGGGCCCGGAGCTGGGCTGAAGTTGCGGCGAGGATTCCAGGACTGACGCTGCCGACCTTGCAGACGAGGGATGCAGGGGAGGCGTGAACCTGTGAAAAGCAGAAAGATCTGGTAAAAGGAAATCCAGGCACTGCCATGGTCCTTTATTGTTCCCTGGCTCTATGGGGACAGTTGGGAAATCCCTGGAGGGCCCTGCATTGTTGTCATATTGCGTGCATGCATGAGCTTGTCATTAAAGCGCACCCTGTGCTGATGCGTCGAGTTGCCGGGGGTGAGAAGTCCTCGAGGTTGAATTTGGTCTCCAGGGGCGTGCGCTGCCCATCCTGGCCCTTGCTCTCACTGGTGCGGATGCGCAGGTTGGGCCTCTCGCTGGCCAGCGAAGCACTTGCCTCTGCATGAAGCAACATGCACACAGTCAGGTATTCAGGTATTCTGCATTCTGCTGAAGACTCTGACATGGCATTGAACTTATTCGGATGCAGCAAGCAGTTGCGAAGGTTACAGTCGAGCTTTCATGATGAAATGCACATGGAGGACTCCATGCTGCATTGCATGTGACAGCAGGATGCATGCATTAAGAGGCATTGTACCATTGCAGGGGGCGCACCAGAGAGGGCCTCAGCGGGTGTATCAGGGCTGAAGACCACGTTGTTGTTGCTGAGGAAGGGGGCGGGGTCGGCAACGCGCGGGGCGGTCGACGGCGTTGCCTCCTCCGCGCTCATCCCACCGGCGGTGTGGTCCCCAAAGCCCGGGAAGGGCACCACAGACGCCGGCGTCAACAGGTCGTCATCCGCATAATTGCGCGGCTCCATCTGCAGCGTGCGCAGGCCCCTGACCGGTGTTTCCATGTCCGGCCCACGCTGAGGCGCTGCGTTGACCGGCTCTGTTGCGGGCGGCTGCACCTCGGTTGCTGGTGGGGATAACTCTTCTGCTGGGACCGCGGCATGTGTAGCTGGAGTGTCTGGCAGCTGCTTGGCGGCTGCGAGGGCGGCTTCTGCCTCTGGTCCTGCTGCTGGGCTGGCCTGCCAATTGCCTTCGGTGGTCACCTCGGCTGCTACTTCTTGGGCCTCCTCCGGCGCATCCACGCTGGCGATTACCTCTGTTGCAGAGCCAGTCTGTGTCGGAGAGAGGGCTTCTGTGGCGGCAGCAGGCTCATAGACAAGCGGCTGGGCGTTGCCGTGGGGAGAGAGGGGGGTGCGCAGCACGCCGGCCGACTTGGGCGTGGCCGGCTTGGTGCCTGGAGAGCGCGCAGCAGGGCTCGGGGAGCGAGGCAGCGAGTGCACGCTGATCGCAGGCGACGCCGGTGCAGCGTTCTCATCGTTGGCGGCCAACGCTGTCTGCAGAGGTGATGGGCGCCGGCGCGGCGATGGAGACAGCGACTTGGACGTGGATCGCCACGGGACGGGCGTCTGCTGCGCGGGTGCACTACGCTCCAGAGCTGCCGGCTCCGGTGATGCCAAAACGTTGGCACCCACTGGTGCAGGGTCCTCAGCCTCCCCCTCGACGGCAGCAAAGTCTGCGCTGGTGTCGGGCGTCTCCTCTTGTGCAGCTTCCAGGGTATCCTCTGCGGCCGCCTCCACAACCACGGCTGCTTCCACAATGACGGCTGGGCTCGCAAGTTCTCCACTCACCGCTGCCGTGCTCGCCGGTGTTTCTGGCGGCGGTTCTGTCGCCGCGGCACTGCCCTCCCGCTGAGGGGCCTCCTGCGGCTTGTCATCAGCCTGCTGCACCGCCAGAGCCTCTGCCAGAGCGTCTGTGTGCGCGGCATCCGGTGCAGGATCCTGCCCGTCCATGTCCAGCCGGACAGGCGCGACGTCGGCTGCGCGCTGTTCCTTGGACGGTCCTGCAACCTTCTTGGCGGTGGACACTGGGACCTCCATTTGCTCAATGTCGCAGATGTGGGAGATGAGCTCGTCCACAGCTTCCTCCAGGGGGCTGTCCAGCTCCCCGGAAGCTGCCGAGCTGCCGGCGGACTTGGCCGAGCCGGGCCGCGGCGGCGTCGCCAGCGACCGGCGGCTCACTGGCGACAGGGAACGCCTCTGCACTGGCAGCGAAGGGCTCCTCACTCCTGGTGACTGCGCCGCCGGCCGGGGCGACTTGGGAGGGGTCTGCGCTTGCAAACATCAACCAAAATCAGAGGCCTACTTTCACAAATACATGATGGGCGAGTGGCCCCTGCACTGTGCATAGCATGAGAGCTTACACAAGAAACCTGCACGTTCTGTGCATTGCATGTTGGATGGCTTAGATGGCAGAGATGTGTACCTCTGTGAGGCGCCGAAGCTCTGGCGATGGCTGCAGCACCGGAACAGGAGGCCGGGCGGTCAGGACCGTGTCGTCCAGTGTCTCTTTGGCGGTGACACTGCTGACTTCGGAAGCGGTCTCTGACGAAGAATCCTTGATCAGAGAGAAGTGGGGCGAGTCGCCGCCCAACACCGCGGCTCCAGCCTCCTGCTTGTGCTGCATCTCCTGAAACAACTCATCGGCGATGGCCTGCACGCGTTCCTGCACACCACACAACACATGTCAAGATATTTGCAGTAGTCCTCTGCATGCAAGACTCCCAGAATCCATCAGACCTGTCTGACGATAGCTATGGAAATTCAGACATTGCATTCCAGTTGCCCAGGTCTAAATGGATGTACAGATAACCTCCTAGTGAGAAGAAGTGCACGAGCAGAGTACAGGCACGGATTAGATTGCATACCCAGAAGGCATGGATCTTCACCTGATCGGCGGGGTCGAGCGGCTTGGACATGACTTCCTGCAGCAGCACAAACTCGGCCTCGTCCAGGCTGCGCTCAGACACCAGCCGCTCCGCTCCGGGCGACGGCTCCGGATCCAATGCCCCAGCACTTGTGTCAGCGCTGATGTGGACGTCCACCGTCAGCACAGCCGGCGACGCGGCGGCTACTGGGGTCTGCTGACTGTCGCTGTCCTCACTGGCGTCCGCCGCTGCAAGGCTCAATTCATTTGCGCCGCCTGCCACGGCGTCGGGGGATTTGACGGCCTCCAGAGTCAGCGCTGGGAAGGATGCATGGGCCAGTGGGCTGCTGCTGACTGATGAGTCCAGCTTTGCAACCTGCGGCGTCTGTGCACCCTCTGCGGCGGCAAGAGATGGGAGATTCTTGGCTGCACTGGTGGGGGTGTCTGCGAAGGCCTCAGACTGGGCCTGCAGGCTGATGTGCGTGGGGCTGGGCTCCTCCAGGGTGGCCTGCAGCAGCGGGCTGTCGAGACTGTCCAGCTCCCTGGCTGGGCTTTCTGGCCCATAGAAGGGGCTGCTGCAGCGGACCCTTGCCTCTGGCACTGTGACTCTCAGCTGCTCCTGAGCGCCAGCTGAGATCTTACGCTCCTCTGGAAGAGCAAACTCAGCCTTCTGTTCTGCTGCGGGGTCTGCATCATCGTTCAGGCCCTCTCCCAGTGGTGCCACGGCCTCAGGGCTGAGAGAGACATGCTGATCCTCCTTGCCAGCGTTGCCTGCTGTCTCCTCTGCAGCCTTCTCTGGGACTGGCGTGCTTGAGTCTGCGGCAACTGCAAATTCCTGTGTGTCAGGGGAACCGCAGGTCTCTGCCACCTGCTGCGCCTGGGCTGCAGGTGCCTCTGGCCCAGAGGTGTCCTTTGCCTCATCCACAATTGCGCCATCCAGCTGGTCAGCTTCCACCAGATCCAACCTGCTGTCTAGCACATCTGCGCTTGAAGCTAAGGCACCAGACTCTGCTGCCGCCGAGTCACAGCCGCCGAGGGCACTCGTCTCTGATGTCTCTGAGGGCAGCTCGCTCTCATCTGCTCCTGCCAGCTCTCCTCCGGGCGACTCAACATCATCCTCACGTGCGTCTGGCTTGACTGATCCAGCGGCTGGCACATCCGGCGGGGAGCTCTCTGTGTTGGCTGCTTTTGGAGCGGCAAATGTCTCATCTGCGCTGCATGCATGCTGCGCCAGGATGTCCTCGAAGTCTGTCTTCTCGCGGATGGGACTGGTGACCTGCAGGGCGTCCTCTGAGGCCAGCTTGCGGCTGGCCCTGTGATGCGCGCCGGCTTGCGGGCTGTCAGGCAACTGCAGCGGCATCGGGACGTCATCCTGCGGCCCCTCCTCTGTGTCCTTGCTGGCCATTGTGTGGCTGCTGCCTCCAGCATCCTCACCTGGTCATTGGCAAACATGTCGGCGATCAGAAATGCTGCACTGTGCTGAGATGCATCCTCATGAGTACATGCAGACACTCAGAAAGAGCATCGAATAGAGCTGAGCACAGTGTGATATGCAGCGCCAGTGAACCACTGCTGGGTGGTCATCGGTGCCACGCACCTGATTGTTCGTAGGATCCAGCAGTGTAATCCAGGCTGTCGGCCACGGCCTGCGCCTTGCCGGTGTCATGCAGCGCGCCAACAGATGCCGCCTGCCTGGCGACCAGCTTCTGGATGGACACCAGCGTGGGGGACGGCTGCGCAGGTGACGCGACGGCCTCCGGGGTGGGCGGCTGCGGCTGCAACATTTCCCCCGAGCGCTGCGCGGCGGCCGCGCCGGCCGTGCTGCGCTTTGGGGAGCGCAGCAGCACCTTCTTGCGCTGGTGCGAGACGTCCTGCGCACCCAGAGTCATCGCGGTGGCGGCCGCTGAGCTGGCGAGGATGCCCTCTGTGGGCAGGCCGGGGGACTGTGGGCCCTTTGTGGGAGTCCGCGGCTGTGGGGAGGCTGGGGAGGGCGACTTGGATTTCCTTCGTGAGAGGGAGAATCGCCCCTTGCGCTGCGCCGTGCTGCCGGCAGCCTCAGTGGCCAGCTGAGATGCAAACAGCCTGCTGCCGGGGTTCACTGCTTTCTCCTCGTTGGCTCCAGCTGGCATGTCCGCAGTGGTTGGCTCTGCGCTGCCTGTTGTGGGCTTGTCTGTAGGCAGGCCGCCTCCCAGGGGAGAGAAGTTGTTGCAGCTGGCCTCTCCTGGCTCGGCTGCGGCTGTAGAGGGGCCGAGGTTGCTGCCGCCTGACCTCCGCAGGCCGCCGCTGAAGAGCTCCTGCACCTGCTTCAGGAAGGGGCTGCTGAGCGCTGCCTTGCCGCGCGGCGTCGATTCGCCCGAGCCACGCCGAGGAGTCAGTGCTTCCATCACACCTCTGCGGGGTGTGCCTGCTGACTCAGCATCCACTGCTGCAGGCTGTGGCACGCTCTGCTGGATCGCTGCCAGCGTTCGGTTCAGGGTGCCGCGTGTGGGTTCCGCCGGTGTCTGCTCATCCTGCTTCGGCTTCTTCCAAGGCTTGTTCCAGCTCCTCCTGAGGGGCTGCTGCTGAGCAGGACCTGCATACATGATATTTTTCTTGCACAGCCCATATTACATCGGACACAATCCTGTCAAGCTTCTTCAGAAAAATATCGCAATTTTCTGCTGTTAAGTGTACCTTGCTGCGGAGGGGAATACTTGTGGGGATTGCCCCCTTTGCAAAAAGGCTCACCTGTCTTGGGTTCCCACATCGCCAGCCTGTTCTTGACTTGTCCCATCTGGCTCAAAGCGGCCACAGACTCGCGCCGATGCTCGCTGGCCTGTTACACACCTCGAGCTCATGCCAGCCAAAGCAAATATTATGATTGCTCCACGTTTTTATATGGACCGTTGAAGGGCTTCGGACGGGCACTCTCCTATTCTCTGTGACATTTCTCCATTTCAAGGGCAAGTGGGAAGACTGTCTGGATTGCATCTGATCCCTTATTTGATATACTGAGCAGAAAGGAATGAGTGCTTACCTGGGATTGCGACTCTGAGTTTGAGGTGTCCAGCGGGATATGTAGTCCTCCTTCAGCAAAGGACGCGCCAGATTTCCATCCTGCGCTCAACGAAACCTGATATTCACATTCTCATTGACCTGGAGTGTCCATTCAAGCATAGGAAAAAAGTGAAGTACGTGCCTGCTTCTGCCTCCTCCGGCACGTCTTCCAAGCGCCGTTTCTGATGCATTGCCTTCATGTCAATCCTACTGTTCTCTTGGACACAAATTCTTCTTGCTCTCTCTTTCTTTTCTCTAAGTGTCTGTCGTTGAACATCTCAAAAGGGCTCAGGCCCGTATCGTGTTTACGGTAGGCCAACTGCAGAGCCCGTAGATCTCTGAAGGATCTCTCCTGCCCTTTCCGCCAATCCAGTTCTCAGTTTTGTTTGGGTGTCAATCCTAATACATTTGGTAGCGTAAGTGGCTGGATTCAGATGACCGATATTGTGCAAGGTCCAGGCTTCATCTGCTGTCATGTATAGTTTTTCACGTAAAAATTCTGTCAGAGACACGTTCTGCTGCCGTTGTCAATAAAGGTAATCAGAATTGATTTAGCACAACACTGCGGTGTCAGTCACACGTGTAAAGGACGCATTCAAGGCGTTTACGTCCCAAGAGTATATCGTGATGGGAAGGTGTGATGACATGGATTCAGAAGAATAGATATCTTCTCTCGGAGCTGTGATCAGGCCTTCGTCCAAATAAATCCACTTTGGTGAGTTTCTTGTCCGCCGAACGTCAAATTTTCCCTTCAGTAGCTCAAAGCATAAGCACCTACCGGGAGCTTCCTTGGCTGAAGTTTGTAAGGTTTTCGAATGAAGGTGGAAGCGCTAAGCACGAAAAGAAATGGAAGCCGTTTCTCAGAAGGAAACGGTTCCACACAATGGTGGAACCAGCGGCGATCGCTTGGTCATTCACCCCCACCTGCTGAAGCCAAGATTGAAGTCTTCGACAACCAGTGCTGACTTTCAATCGCAGCTGCGTCAGTATGCCAACGGCAAGCAAGGCAGGAATGCATCACAGGAGTATGCCGCTGCACTGGGTGAGGATGCAGAGCGAGCAGATCCTCGTCACTTCACTTCATGCACACGTCCAGACCTTTATGATACTTGTACGTCTGCAACAATGTTGTGATCATGACCACAGGGGCTGCCAGACAGGCGTTCTTAGCGAAGGCAGACACGCCTGGAACCTCAGATGTCGAGGCTGCGCTTGACCAGAAGGCCGAGGAGTACATTGCGCTGCTCCTCGGCCTGATAAATGCACTGCCAAAACCGGCTGCGAACACTGCCGCTGAGGGGAGCAAGGATCCCAGCAGTCTTGATGTACCCACTCATGCGGAGGGTGCGTTGCTTCCACACAGCAGCACAGGCCTGTCAGCATGTTGCACAGCGGCCCGTGAACTGCAAGAATCTGGCAGCACATTGCTTAAACTTGGGGGCGAGAACAATCACTGAAGAGAGTGTGTGACGCGGGCATGACAGGGGATGGGGCGGAGTCCGCCGAAGATGCAGCATCTGACTACAAAGACAAGCCTGCATCGGCGGGAGCAGAGAGCGGTAGGGGCCCCACCGCTGCAGCCTCAGGTCCCCCCATTGTGGGGGACTCAAAGCTGCGGCGGGGAGCGGTGGCGTTCTCTTGGAAGGACGTCATGCTGAGCAGCCCTGCTGGGGAGAGCACGGCACACGATGCCATCTTTGAGCTGGCTTCGGTGCTGGAGACGGTTGCGCTCTGGAAAATGGCCCGCGCCGCCAGCTTGTGCGCAGACACCCGCTATGGAGTCGGTGGTGACGCCGTTTCCAAGGTGAGTTTGCATTGCTACCCTGTACCGCTTCTCATGCACCAGTCAAATGTATGCACATGAGGCGAGTCAAGATGAGCTGGTAATGGGCTTTGTGACTTGCATCTCACTAGCATGCACTGGTGGCTTGCAGGCTTACAGACTCCTTCGTGCTGCGGCCGGTATCTTTGAGTTTGTCCGGGATCACTGCTCCACCTTCCTCATCAATGCCATAAGCTCGCCAGACTGCAATTTGCAGGTGCCCTCCTGGATCCTCTCTTGTGCTTCTGTATCTTACATAGACTCTCCTGTCAAAAGCAACATGCATTGGAGGTTCACGTTGCAGCACCCAGCTACTTCCTGTTCCTGTCGCTGAACCTGCCATGTGGCGCAGACTGCCCAGGCATTCGCTCTGTTGTGCATCGCCGAAGCCCAGTCCCTGACGGTGCTGCGAGCCATCCAAAAGGGCAATGCTCCCTCCCTCATAGCATCACTGGCGGTAGATGCTGCGGCCGCCTTTGACTCTGCAGCCGGCACGGCTCGGGGTGTGGCTGCTGCCAAGGCGGACAGCAAGTTCGCGCTGTATGCTGACTACCAGGCCGCTGTGCACCGGGCATATGGGCGGTGTTTTGCAGGTATTGAGCACCCACCTTCGTCAAGCCAATTACTACAGGTGCCATCATGTGTTGTCATTAGATAATTGGCAGCAAGAATGTTTTCAGATACTGACGTTGTCACTGTGCATTCTATGCAGGATTGGAGCAGCTGAAAGCGCAGCAGGCTGGCGCAGCACTGAGGCACCTGGGGGATGCAAAGGACCTTTTGGTGGCTGCACAAACTGCCAGCAGGGCATATGACCGTGCAGAGCCTGTCACCTCAGCGGTGGAGCATGAGTATGCTGACTTGGAGCTGAAGGATGCCATTGAAAAGCCCTTCGCAAGGGTGAGCAAACCTTGCATCGCTTACTTTTCCTGTCAAAACTCTGTACAGCAGACAGCTGCAAGGACATGTTTTTGGTCCCTGGGGCTTGAGTGTTTGATCGGTTGATGTTGCTGCACTTCTGGCCGCCTGAATGGATCCTGTGGTGCACGTTGCAGGCTAAGAAGGACAATGACTCAGTGTACTTTCAGCATATCCCTGCTGCAGACACGCTGCCGGCCATCGAGCCAAGGAGGCTGGTCACCTCGACGCCCTATGCCCTGCCAGCACCCGCTGCTCTGGTCACAGAGGCCCTGCTTGATGCCTTTGTTGAGGTGCCTGCTGAAAAGGTGTGTTTACATCGGGCAGTGTACCCTTGCAGTAGTTGAATTTGCAATCAGTATCATTCAAAAACTTACATTTATCCCAGTCCTAAGTATAAATCGTTCTTATTACGTGTTTTCCAGTCCTGAGTATTAAGCGTCGTCGTGCATGAGAAAATAGCAAATGTAATTGGATGACATGCTTTTGCCCAACGTCTGCTGTTTCATGCCTGCCTGACTCCAATGCAAGCAATGGCTGCTGAAGCATCCAAGACTGAAAATGCGTGTGCTGTTGCAGGCGGACAAGTTAGGTGGTGCTCTTGCTCCCACCACAGCAGCTGCAAGCAAGCCAGGCGCAGAGGAGAAGCCGGCTGATGGGAAAGCAGATGACAAGCCAGCGGCCAAGGGAGGCACTTGGTGGCAGTGGTTACTAGTCATCGTTGCCATGCCCCTGCTACTGATTGTATCCCTGGTGGGTGCTGTGGTGTGGGTGCTGCTGCTGCCACTCAAGTGCTTCTGCTGCCCCATCGGATGCGCCGCACAGCTGATATGGAACGTTGTGGAATGGTGAGAAAGCCCTACCCTTTCTGTGTACGGCAATGACATGTCTAGATCTCTTATGTCACAAGAGCAGCGGATGCATGTGAGGTTGTGTTTATGAGAAGAGTGTGCACTGCATTGGGAAGAAATGGGCAGATCTGACTTCTACTGGAGTGAGAAGAAGCTTTCTGGTGTGCTGAGATTGTGTGTTTGAATGATTGACAGGTGTCTGAAGGCGCCAATGCGTGGGATGCTGTGGGCCTCTGGGAAGCCCTGGCAGCCGCACAAAGAGGAGCCAGAGAAGGCAGATAAGGACAAGGAGAAGAACCAGCACAAAGCGGCAAAGGATAGAACGCCACCCGTATAAATTTTTCATGCAAGATCCCATGTCTGTGTTGGACTTGACATTGAATGAAAATGGATGGCTTATGATTGCTCGGAGAGCGATGCTCGCCGGAGAGGATGAATTGTGGTGTGAATTGCTGTGAATTTTTCATAAACAGTTGCTAAGTTACATGCGAAAATTGACAGGAACAAGCGATTGACTTGCTGTTCAAGTTAGCTCATCTGAGCATATACGCAAGAGAGCATTAATTAGTTTATACGTGTAAGCTTTCCTTCCAGTATCCTGGACCCAGAAAGGTGCACTTGAGGACTGAACAGGAATTGAACACAAATTGGGGCTGATATATTGATGCTGCCTTGGCGATGCGCCAGTCACTTTGACAATTTCTCCTCAAGAGCATTGTTCCTAGGAGACGGCAAGGCTCCCCCAGACCCCGACCCATGAAGAGTGCAGCTCTCATGTGGCTCAAAGAGGTTCATGGTGTTTCTTTGCAAGTTCCGATCCACCTGCATGCACACCGCGCAGAGACCCTCAATTGCTTGCCAGCAAGACTTATCCTTTCTCTCCGCAGGCATGTTTAAACTCATGGCAAGTACACACATTGGGCAATTTGTACGCAGCAATGACCTTGTGCTCTGGCTCGACTCTCCGCTCGTAGTCGACGTGCACAAAAGCCCTCTCCACCTCATCAAATCCCTCCACCTGGCGCATCCATTAAAAATGTTCAAGGGTGTAGCCAGCACAGCAACTTGAAGAAGTATGCTGCCTTTCAAACTTGCATGCTGCTCTTTAAAAGGAGGGTGCCACATCATCCGCACCCTGTGCTGCAGCTGCAAGGCGATGTCGTGTGACTCTCTCACACTCATGGTCGCTGGCATAATGACCTCAATCTGCAGCACAGTGTATCTGGCTCAGCTGAATAAATCATACATATTCCCATGCACACATGCCCAATAAAACACGCCACCACCAACCCACACATTTCCAGACTGTGACTCTCTGTCCCGCTCTCCAATGTTGCCGCTACAATGATAGAAGAAAAATAATATTCAAGTCTGCAGAAACGAGGAGATAGGATGGAGGAGATTGGATGGAGGAGGGATGGCTTGCCTCCACAATGAAGCGCGCGCCAAAGTGGTACGCACGAATGACGTCCACCTCCATGTTGGCGTCGTGTGCATTGGCCAACTCCTCCAGCGTTGTTACAAACTCCACCGGCGCCCCCAGCCCCACTATCTTGTTCACCTGCATGCGCAACATAATAACATCTCTACATGTCCACTTGCACAATTTTTGAGGCGCTTGATCCGCATGAACATCCACTAGGGATGCTCATAATCAGGATTCCTTTACATGTTCACTTGCCCATTTGTAGAGGCGCCTGGTGCGCATGGCATCTAAACAGCGGTGCTCACAATCTACTCCTCTGTTGTCTGCAGGAACCCCCTGCGGAATGGTGCCCAGGAGATACTGCCATTGCCCTTGATAACGTGCAAGCATCCTGGACCACATGGAAGCATATATACCACATCTGCCCATACGCCATTTGCAAGTAATTAGGAAAAAGGGGGAGGATGCCGCTTTTCTGGGGGCAGCGGCCCCGTGAGACATGGTAGGCCCAGCTGGCGAGAGGGAGAGGCCCACAGGCCTGGCAGCACCTGTTATTCTGCGACAGAATGTGTGATAGTTCCCCAGTTCGCATTCAAAGGTCGCACCTGCCCCTGCAGGATGCGCGCCCAGGACCAGATGATGTAGAGGGAGATGAGTATGGCGCCGACAGAGTCGACCCACCACACTTTTGGGCTGATGCTGGCAATGGCCCCGCATGCAATGGCGCCCAGGTTGCTGACAATGTCGTTGCTGTGGTCCTCGGCCAGCGCCAGCATGGAGTCCGACTGATTTTTGAGCGCGAAGCAGTAGATGAAAAGCACCACCTTGACCGCCGTGGCCGCCCCCAGAATGGCATACATCAGCCAGCCCATGTCCAGAGGCGGCAGCTGCCCTGCGCGCATGAGCCAGAGGTGATCAGAAAAGCGTTGGCTCATTGCAAGACAATTGCTCAGGGTGTCAGCACTGCGTCAAAAGGAGCGTGGTGCTAGGTGCTAGCATCAAGAGAGAGAGTTCCTGTGGCAGATAAGCAATGTTATTTTGCAAATGGGTACCAGTTCCAGAGTCGCCAGAACAGTGCAGGTGAGGTGTTTGCATCGAGAGCTGTAAGGTAGCAGGTGCCAGGTGAACAATGCTCTCTTCATCCAAAGCATCTGCTTTCATGCATTGGCTTCTTTGGTTTCACCAGCCCAGATCACGGGAAGATAGAGCAGTTGTCAGGCAGAGCAAGTCTTGAAGATCTGCACCGTGGGCAGCAAGGCCACATGCTGAGGAAGAGGTTGCAATATAGAGGGTGGGCGCACCGTGTAGGAAGCCGGCGAGGAGGTCTTGGGCGGCTGACTGGATGACCTCGATGGTGGCGATGGTCATGATGATGGCGCAGGCCACCACGCCCACGGTCTCCAGCCGCGTGCGTCCCACCGGAAACCGCGGATCCGCGCTGCGCATATACTTCTCGGCCACCGCTATTACCACCTGCACTTGACACTCCACCTTATTACACATGGACGATTGTGCGCTGATCAGTAGCTTGATCATCAGTATCGACATTAGCTATGTGACCGCCACCGCTTTTACCACCCTGCACCATTGTCTCATTCATGTCGACACCGTAAAGCTTTTTTGGCGCGCTGATTATCAGCATGATCATGTGCGGACATGGTCCAGGCTCCATTGCGAGAATTATAGTCACATGGGATGTCTTCCAGGTATCCTGAGATCTGCGCCCTGCTCAGCAGGAGCATGACTGGGTTGCAGGAAGGTCGAACAGTAGCGTGTGGAGTCACCTGGCTGGCGATGTCCACGAAGGAGTCTGCAGCGCTGGCCAGCACCGACTTGGACTGCGACAGGATGAATGCCACGATCTTCGCCACCAGCAGCATGACGTTCGCGATTAGGGAGGAGACCATCGCGAATTGGATCCTGCCCTGCACCTCTGCATAGTCCGCTACCTCGTACGACGGCGCGCCGTTGGGAACTAGCAGCGGCTCCTCCTGGGAAGCAAGGGGGAAACCATCTCCATGTCAGGCGCCATGCAAGCTCGTTGCACCAGGTTTGAACACAGCTAACTGTGCAGTCAGCTGTGCTACACTCCTGCTACTAAGCTGAGCCGATGCAGAGTTCACTACGCCGTGTGGCCATCTTAGGAGCCTCTGTCGGTGGCAATGCAAGCAGGGGTGCATCACCTCCGGGACCTGTGCAATCTCATGGCTGACACCCCTCTCAATGTCCTCCTCTGACAATCTCGGGGCTGCAGAGGTTCGCGAGATGGTGATGACAGCGCCCCGGCTGGCAATGTCATTGTTCTGCGCCCATGAGTACGTCCTCCTGTAAATCTGCGTGCAGCACACACAAGGATATGCAGCATTGGGTGTGACTAGTGCTGCTTGAGCTCTTGAAGATGACCCACACTGGCGAATTAAGAACAGGAGGGAGCATTATTGACCCTGCTCAAAGTTGGTCTTCCTTCAGAGAAGCTAGGTCAGGCAAGTCCTACAAAGTTCAGGAAGATGTGCATCCCCAAAGTTGATTGATGTCAAGGGCACTGCGAATGTGACTACGTACGGGTCGTAGATCTCCTGGAGATGATGCATGGAGCTCTGCGCTCGTGGTCAAGAATAGATCATCGGCCATCAGGAACGGTTTTAAAGACTGGAGCGCGCTCTCCTGATAGCCGCGGACTGCAACATCCTTTAAAATTTACCTCTATCGCAAGGTACTGTCTGATACTTTGCCAATATGTGGTATTTGACCGACTTAGTACTTTTTTTTGTTGGTCTATGTGCAGCTGATCAGGTGTATTCTTTATAGACAGTCATCTATTGGTACGCTACACAAATCGTCTGTCAACACGGATTGAACATCAGTCACTAAGGACAAGAACTTTGCAACTTGAGAGGCAAGCGGGAGAGTGACAGATGGTGAGTAATCAGGGCAGCACAGCTTCCAAATGATGGAAGTAGAGCCAAGGTGCTGCATTAAGAAGAGAGGATTCCATGGTTGACCAGAAATTGCCAAATCCACTGGTAGCCGAAGCACAAAGCTTTGCAAAGAGATCAAAACTGTGATTACAATCCACTGGTCAATCGCTTAGGAATGACTTGCATAGGAGTAGCTCGAAATGCGCATCTCAGGCATGTCTGTAACTCTTACCAAGTGCTGGTATCAAGGCTAGCAGGATTGCGAGCGCACAAAGACTGTCCTGGACAGCCGATCCACAGAGATGTCGTCTCAGGATTTTAATTGAACACCTCATGAATGTGGCAATATTGTCCAACGTGGCAATCATGGTGCTGTAACTTACTCATTTGAAATGGAGTCAGCATATGCTGCTGTAAAGAATGGTAAAACTTCAGGACTTCGTCAAAATACTTCAAGGCATCAGCGCTATTAATGGTTATCAAGCTGCTGGGGAGACAGTCCACTTCTGAATCTGGCCCTGGGCGCAATGTGTGCCTGAAATTTGCACACACAGAGATCCGGGTCAATTGCACCGTCACTGAGATATGGCACCACAGAACTCCCATTGTGCATGCTTCTACTGCTGCCTTGGACTCCACTGCAATACCAGGCATCACAGATATTCCATGAGAGCAATGTAGAGACTCTCTACTAGAGAGAACTGCATGCTTCCAGTAGTGCCTTCAAGGTATCGTTACATAGGAAGCATCAGAGACATTCCCTGGACCTCAAGGGTCTCTGAAAGGGATTTGAGGACGCACCCACGGGGCAGATCACGTAGAAAGTGCCTGGCGCAGTGAAGGTGACATTTGCAGCGCCGCTGGCTGAGTCAGCGCCACCAGGGATCTGCTGGAAGAGAGTCCTCGCAGTGCAGTCAGCTGCGACACCAATCACTATCTCATATCATTCAACATGGTCATGCCCGGCACTCAAGCCGTGCTACATAGGTTGCCTTTGCAAGTGGGGCCCTGAGTGCCCTGGGCTGCAAAAGAGCCAGGCATGCCTTTGCATTCCTCATTGACATTGCGATTTTCATAATTGCCTCCTAGAGGTCAGCTTTGTGCCTTCAAGTGCTGTGTTTCTCACAGATTGCAAGATGGTGATTAAGAGAAGCTGATAAGCCGCACGTGAACTTGACAGCACAACTCCATGGAACCTGGACCAGGTGTAGGTCACAGTGTCGCCAACAGCTGCGGTGCCAGCTTCATAGGGCGGGAGATTCGCCGCGAAGGGGATGACCCACGTGATCGGCCCAGCAGGCACCGCCGCTGGTGTAGCCAGAGGCAGGAAGCCTGCAAGAACGAGACGGGTGCATTCATTAGCAGGCGCTCAGCCGAAGTGTTGAGGCATCTGTGCTTGCAGTTGGTGGGCATGATGTGTTGATCAGCAGTGCTGTCCATGTATCAGCAGGAAATGAACTGCTCCTGAAAACCAATGTCGTGCACTGCACTGCTCTTGCTTTGTCGTAAGTGATAGCCAAAAAGAGAAAAGAATAGTAAACAAGAAAACGTAGAAAGAGAGAAACGGGAAAATGAGAAAACGAAAACTTAGAAAACGAAGTAAACAGTGCCCCTTCACAACCCTCTGCATCTAGCTGTAGAGCTGAATTTCTGCTTGGACAGGTGAGACTATACTGATCCTTGACACCATCAAAGGAATGCTGACCACTAGAAATGTAAATCGGCTCACCTGCGGCGCAAATCGCGAGAAGGATAGCGGCACAGATGGTGACCTGCGACAACGCGACGTCAGGGATCAGTCACGAATAATTCAGGTAAGGTCGCACTTGGCTTGATCGGGGATCACTAGAGCTCCTGATTTACAGAACGCAAATTTTGCACGCTTCCATCCTTTGAACATTCAAACAGTCTGTACCAGAAAGGGTTTTCCTTTTTTGTACCAGTCTTAACTGCGAGGAATTGTGAATTACCTTCATGTCAACGAACGTGTCCCTGGTTGCAACTTGCAAGAAACCCAAGAGTTTGGAGAATGTCTTGTTGAAAGTGCCCTCCTGGCGCGTTCAAAGAATCTCTTCGCTAGACACGATCGCAGCCGTTTCGGAACGTGAGTCGGAAGCTCCTGCGTGGCATTCCGTCCAGCGAAGGGTCAAACCTACAGGGCATTAAGGCAGGTTCCCCGTTTCCTGGATCCATGCAAGTGATGCATCTCCTTCCTCCTGCGTCTCATTTTCTAAAACAGTGGCTCTCTTCTCATAAAGATGTGTTCACACGTACATTTGTCAGCTGGTTCCCTTTCGCAGTCCTGCTCAAGCACTTTCCACACGTAAACTCTAGGGAGAGTGACACACCTGGTCCCTGGTTCATCGGCAGTAAACGGAATGCTTGCGCTCAGGAGCAATCGTGGCACACCCTTTGGCGTGCGAGCAGCGCCGTTCAAGCTGCCGGTTGGCTCTGTGGGGCTTCATGGCCTGCGCCCCTGCTTCCGCTACAAACTCCAACCTCCTGCTGCCGAGGGACGGCGTCCCGGTTACGGATGCCGATCAGGCGAAGGTGAGCCCGGCAGGGGTTGCAGCATCGATGACAATGCTGATCATGGGTCCAAAGGGTTCAGCGCAACAGGTGTGCAACCGCTGGAGGGTCCGTGACTCACTCAATTGTGGATGCGGCATGGCAGGAGAGACACCTTTCCGGCTCTACTTTCTGGGACGCCTGGCCGTTCCCGGCGATGTTCCTCTTCACTATGCTGGCAATTTACTCCTTGCGCTGGGACAAACAGGAGAGGTGAGCAGTCTCGAAGTAGCACTGTCAATAGCAACCAGCAGTTTTTCATGGACAGCACGCACCTTTGTGCTTGCTAACAAGTTGTGCTCACAGTAAGCCTGTAGCACACATCAACTTCTGGTTGCAGGCAGGGATCAAGCCATCACTGCCCACCGGAAGTTGCTGGAGGACTTACAGATGTGGCCTCCACTGTGGCAGTGCGCTTGACCGCTGTGTTGGCTGACACAGCTATGTTGGCTGTGTCGGACCGGGTAACTCTGATTGTAGGATTAGCTGCAATCTTTTTTGCACAAAACCCTGTGTTCCGCCGCAGCCAAGCCGCCGTTAACCGCAGCATGCTTGCGCAAGGCGGCATTGTTAAAGCAGTACGGTGCTCAGGCTGTCAAAGAGGCTGACAAGTAGTCAAGTGTGGTCATCATTTCAACGCTGTTGTACATTATGGTGTAAGAGCAACCATTGGTGCAACGCACTCGTTTGCGACGCACCTGCTGCGGTGGACTATGCCCAGACTGGCAGTGCATGCAATCTAGAGATCTCCAGCCTAGCTTAGGCTAGCAAGAAATGTCTGAGACATTGTAACACTGATGGCATCCCAAAAATTTGTTAAGAGAGGACAAGCCTGCGAAGGCCCACTGAGTGCATGAGCACAATGCCGCACCGCTGCGACACCGCTGCAGTATACTATAGTACCACAATCTCGTGATGTTATGATGCGTTATTACATGAGTCTCAATGTGTCTCTGGCCTCAATCTTGGACCAGCCGCAAGATTGGAGCGCATGCAATACCATCTAATATCAGCTCTGCGCATGGGCCGTGCCATATGGATGTGACATCAGCAAAGAATGAACAGATCCGTGCCGACCCTTGACACGTACCACTCTCGTCACAGCTCAGGAGCAATACATGAATATTCATTCGTGTACATTCGGCGATGCGGCCGCTCCTGAGACACCCGCATGTCGCTGTTGAAATCCGTCCCGAGGTTTTGAGCGGTTTGCTAGGGACGGCCCCTCAGCATTCGTGTAAGAAGGGGGTGTAGACCTGTCGGCTGCGAGGGTGCATTTGCGAGTTGACAAGGCTGCTAGCCTGTACAAATCGGCCCCGGGTTCCGGCTGCAGACGGACCTGTGTATGCCCTATGGCCCTCTGGGCTCTGGGTTCACCACTCATACAGAGTATTATCATTATTATTATTCACCTTGATGCAGATGCTGGCCAGCTCCTCTATCAGTCATCACACATTCACCCTGACATCAGCAGGGAATCTCAAGGCCTAGATTGCATCAGGGCAACACAAGTCAACTTGCGCAGCTGCATTAAGATTTCAGATCAAGCTGCCTGCATGTATTTACCAACATGTACGGAAGACGCGGTCTGATGATATCAAGTCTGCATATTGTCAAATCAGTGACATTCAAACTGAGGAACCCAGCTCATGGTCAGCAATACCACATTGGCAGCAACACACAATGAACTTTGGAAGTGGCCCCGCAATAGCCCTTCAGCACTTCCAAGAGAACCAAGAGAATCAGATGAACCCATGGGCCATAACAAACGGAAGCAAGGAGCTCAAAACTTTGCCTCACAAGGCATGGTATAGATAGCACAGCAGCTTGAATGGCTCAAGTTTATGTTTTCGGGTAGCAAACATAGCATAGTCTGATGTGCAGACAACAATACCAACATCAGTCGCGGTGAATTTCAAGCACATGACTCAAAGCACTCAGAGACTAGTCCCAGACCAGCCCAAATCCAAGATTCGAATAGCAATGCTGCAGGTGTGCTGCAAATGGAGCAACCAGTTGCATAGCCCAAATGGCACTCTGGGACACCCCTAGATTGTCAATGTCGTCTAACGTGGCATTCCCACCATGTTAGCAGATTCTGATCTCAAGAGCATTTGCTGTACTTACTGCTGGGACCCAATGGCATGTATTCTATCCACAATACTTCAGGACCATTGTCCAGCAGAGGGCAAATTGTGTAATGGAACTCCAACATTGTCGCCCAGTGGAAGGCAGTCAAGCTGCTAAGGACACGACCCACTTCTGGATCATGCCCTGTTCGCAATTGGTGCCTGAAATTGCAGAAACACGCTCAGGCTAACTTGGCTGCCTGAAATTGAACTTGCATGCACGCTGCTTCAGGACATAAGCCGCCAGCACGCTTTCATTGTTGCAAGCATGAAAACCGGGCTAAGAAGAGCGATAAACATTTCTGCTCTAGGAGTTGGATATCGAGGACGTACCCACGGTGTCCACAATATAATAGGTGGTTGCCTGTGAGAAGGTATGTTTTCGGAAGTTTTCATCGGCGCGACGTTTTCAGCCTGGAAGAGAGTGCTCAGGGCCGATATTAGTGTCGTTGCAATGAATTCTGCGGCGAAAGCCATTTCCCGGGCGTCTGTGCAGTTCGCTGCAAAGCCAAGGAGTGAAAAACTCAGCGTTGTACAGGTAGAAGGAAAAAAAGCAGTCATCCCTTGGAACTTCATGCAGGTAAGCCTTGGTAAGGTGCAAAAGATATTAGAGGGGATGGACCTTACATGTCGGGAATGGCATGGCAGTGTGGTTGCCTTTCCAGTTGTAAATCACACTGTCGCCGACCAACGCGGTGCCATCTTGATAGGGCAGTAGGTTGGCCAGAGTGGGGTTGTCCCAATTGATGGGCCCAGCAGGCGTTGCCATTGGTGCTGCCGCAGGCAGGAACCCTGCAGAAAAGTAGGTGCACCGGTTATCAGCAGGCCCAGGCTAGTTGACAGTCCTTGTAGTTGATGGGCATTACTGCTCCCCTCAGCAGTATGCTTATGCCCTTCAAAAGGCAAAGATAGTGGTCACGAAGCGCTGTTGCCTGCTGTAGACCACTTGTTCCATTCACGGAGATAGAACGCCACTTCAAACCCTTTGCACCCCCTGCACAGGCAAGTCGAGCTACACTGTGCTGAAGCGTCTTTCCCCTCTCAATCAAAACTAGATACGTGTATTCCAACGCGTAAGCTGCTCACCTGCAGCGCAGATGGCGAGAAAAACAGCTGAACGGACGGCGACCTGCGAGCATGAGTTGTATGTAAGTGACGAGGCAGACAGACTTATCAGGGTTAGTGGGGGATGATCCCCTGAAAAAGCTTATAATATTCATTGTACATTTTAAAACAGGCAAATAAGTGGTGCAGCGAAGGATGTTCTCTCTCTGAATTGGATCAGTTCGCCGAGGAAGTCAAACCCTTGCCTTCATGTCTACTTTCGACTCTGCGTGTTGGATGCAACACCAGAAGTCGAGTCTCTTGCCATAAGATCTCTTATGGCAAATTCTGTTGGGGTTAATCTTCAAAAGAGACGTCTTCCGAGGCATCCTGTTTCGAAATTGAAAACTTAAAGGGTCAAACCTATAGGTGTCTCAGGGTTTCCTCCTCAGTCCAGTTCATTGCTCGCGTATTTCCTGCATTATTATTTGATCAACGTGAAATTAAAGTGTCCAGTTCCTGGGAAAGCATTGTCTTCGTACATATCGTTTAAGTGAAGAACTGATGATGCAGTAAAGGCAAGACATTTGCCTTTTGTCGAAGACATGAAGTGCCATTTACAAGAAGTGCCTTTACTCCATCATGCTGGTCATTACGAAAAAATTCTTGTATTGATTTGACAACAACCTAGTGGCATGATCTCTGACTTCTAATATTGTAATTGAAGATCCTTAGATCAAATGGGATCGACTGAGGAAAGGTCGCCCTCTAGCACCTTGGATCTCGTAAAGGTACGAGAGGTTAATATGCAGACACATGCATGTCAAGATAATTTAGCCATGCTGTCAATATATTTCCAGATCATGTCTTTGACTACATTGCTCTTTCACGTCAACTGGACACTTCGCTAAAATCTGCTGTATATTCTTTCAAGACCTGGACACAATAGTGTTCGTTGTTCACAAAGCTGCAGCGCCTGCAGGCAGCCACGAGCTCATTCCATGAGGAGGTTCAGAGGCTCCAGGAGAGTCGCCAGATGCGTGACAGTAACCTGAATGCTCTACCGCTGACAGATGCAGACCTGCGCAAGCTGGACGCCAGTGTCAAGCGCAACACTGCCCTAATCAAGCGGTTGCGCAGTGTGAGCGAGGAGTCCAAAGCTGGCCTGCTCGAGGAAATCTCCCGGACCAACCAATCAAAGGTTGGCATGCCACCTGTGCAATCAGGCACTAGGATGTGCTTATACTGGTCGGCTGCTGAGAATTTGACAGCTGAATGGATACATATGTTTGCCAAAAAATGACCTGAGTGACCTGCATCTATGCGCGCAGTATGTCAGCGAGGCAGTCACTGCCATATCTGAGGCCAATGTGAAGACAAAGGACATTGCGGCTGCAGTCGAGGTAAGCAGCGTGACATTATTTCCAAGGGGGCGGCCTTCTTGTTGTGCATGCTGAGGGCAACACAACATCGGTGGTGCATGCCACGATGTCAAATTTTGTCCTTACAGTAATGCTTGCACAGGTCATCTCTCTGCTGCACCAGCGGTATGCTGAGTTCAGTGGGGAACTCATTGCCAAACTCTATGATGTCTTCATTCCTGCCACGCGGGATGCAGGTGCGATTGTGCAATATCACGATTTGGTGACTTCACTTAGCTGGTCTGGCACATGTTGGTAGAACTCAACAAAATAAGGAACGAGGAACACCATCAGCCGGCTTCCATAATCTATATATCAGTATGATCACTTAGTGTCAAATCCTCTGTGAATTGGAAGCAGATGACTAAAACATTTGTCTGCTGTTTCATTGCTTGTGCGCCGGAAGCAGTGGACGAAGTTTCGTTTTCACATGTGCTCTGCTATGGAAGTACATGATTAGAAGTCCCACTCATTTTGGTGGTCACTCATGTTCACTTGTATGTCTTCCGCTGCTTTTCTCACTTTCATAGGTTCTTAACACCTGTTCTTCTTGAACCACCATGCAGAGGACGAGAGGAGCAGCCTGGCACGGCGGCGCAGTGCGCTGCGGCTGCTGTGCGAGCTGCTGCTGGTGGGCGTGCACCACAACACGCTGCCGCTGGTGGCAGTCGCGCGGCGGCTGGCGGCCGCCGAGTTTGAGCGCGACCCGGCCGGCGCGCAGGCGGCGCTGTCGCTGCTGGCCGGCTTCGCCAAGTGGCACCGCGTGGAGTTCCTGGGGTTCCCCCGCCGGCCCCCCGCCGAGCTGCCGCCTGAAGCGTTACCCCAGGTAAAATTGCGCTCCTGCAGCTCATGAATTCACAGATGAAGTCATCAAGATGATCATACTGCCCTGTTCTGCTTCTATTTTTGTTTATATTTGGCTGTATTTGATATCTCTGCTGCTCCGGCACCCCCGGCTCGGACAGCACAGCACTGAAGCCATGGATTTTCTTAGACTCCGTTTGCACTTCAAGGAAATATAAAAAAGACTCCAACTGTCTGATATTGATCTGGCTTGAAATATGGTCAGGCGGACGGCGCGGAAGAGCCACAGGAGATGAGGGAGGCGCGGTCCCAGCAGGCAGTGGAGCAGGCAGCCTACGAGGAGCAGGCGGCGAGCGCTTTCATGCCTTCCAAGGACAGCCAGGAGCTCTTTATGGCTGCGATGACTCGCGCGTTCGACTGCGGCTGTGAGGCGCTGCTGCGAGACCACGCCGCGCTGGCCAGGACCGAGCACGACAACGAACGCGTGCTCAACAACAGGTGCGGCCCTGTGGTTCCTTCCTTTGCCGCCCAACTGCATGCATGCCCAGAAGGAAGACCCCGGGGCAGGCTTATAAATAGATTACATAGGTAGAGAGAGAGGGGGGGGATAGAGGGTTTATGATTTTCAGAGGCTGAAAGCTCTGTATTGGCGTGCTTGACGGTGCTGCATGCCAGGTGGACTTTTTTATTGCGAAGGGTTGTCACGGCTGGAGATGGCTAGTGTTGTCGGCCTTTTTAATGGTCTCCTGAATTTATGGTGTGATTCTTTGCTGTGAGGCCGGCTGTGACTGCAGGGGCGAGCTGCCAGAGGAAATGGCGGCGGCGTATGAGAAGCAGCACAAGAGCTTTGAGGCGCTCCAGCGGTCGCTGGCGTCCCTGGCAGAGTCCCTGGAACGGGACATGCCTGCGCTGCCAGAAACCACCACGCGCTTCACCGGCGAGGGCAGCGTCTCTGTCATCACCCGCCAGGTCAGCCTCTTTCCACCATCATAAATTTGACATGATCTCTCATTACTCACGTCAGCGTACTCACCTCTGCTGGGTGCATGCAAGGGATTGACAGTGGTTTTGCTGTCAGCAAGGGGCATTGCTACTGCAGCCCACTTGACGAAAGGGTGGCATGGTTTCCATGATCTCAACTCTTGTTGTGCAAGGTGTATTTGCGAGCATTTTGCCACCCCTGTGTCTATTGTCCAATGCCTCTTGGAATTCGGCTGATGAGGAATTTGGATTGAAGTGGTCTAGCATGCATTATGCTCTCACATGTTGAGTGCAGGAGGGTGAGGACTTCAGCACAGGGCCATTTGAGGACGAGGAGACGAGGGCGCTGTATGAGTCGCTGCCAGACATCCGCGCACTGGTGCCGGCACTTCTGCTCGGCACCGCAGAAGCGCAGCAGACAGCGGAGGAGGATGCTGCAGAACAACCAATGGAAGTTGAGGCTTCAGGGGCTGATCGAGCAGCTGATGCCGGCGCAGCTGACACCCAAAAAGAGGCCGCCCAGGAAACCACACCAGGTACCCAAATTCTACTTTGGCCGCTTCATTCTTGGAATGAAAGTCATTTCTCACTTGTCATGTGCACATCCTGCAATCGTGCTGTACGCCTGAATGAAGGCCTGTATCTTCTTGTTGGCACACATTTACCAGCTGGCATGGACCTGAACGCATCATCCTTCCCAGCAAAGTTGTGATGTGTGATGTGTGCAGCAGAGAGTAAGGGTGCGGAGGCGGCAGCACGGCCGGGGAGGGCAGAGGTGGAGGCAGTGGTGGCCTGCCTGCCCACGCTGTGCAGCCGAGAAGAGTGCGACGAGCTGGCCGTCAACTTCTGCTACGTCAACAGCAAGGGCGCCCGCAAACGCATGGTGCTCCCATGCACATCCTCTCTGCATGCAGAATCAAATATGTTGTCCCTGCCATGCATGCCTCGCATCCTTCGCACGATCAATCTCTGTCAAAATACTGTGAGGTATCCAGCCATACTCAAAGGAAGAGTGCACACGCTCAAAAAATCCGAAGCAATGGCACATCATGCCCAGGTATAGGATGGGGCACATATATGATTGGAGCATCGTTATTTTGGGGGGGGGGCTTTGGGCTTGGGGCTCTCTAGGGGGTTGTCAAACCATTGCGGTGCATGTGCAGGCGCGGGCGCTGTTTGATGCGCCGGAGGGGGCGCCGCATCTTCTGGGCTTCTACAGCCGCGTGGCCGCCTCCCTGGCGCAGGTCTTCCCTGATATGGCCGCCGCACTCCTGCGCTCCCTGGAGGAGGAGTTTGCCCTCCTGCAGGTGCCCGTGCCCACCAAACCAGGCAATGGCATGCTGCAACGCATCCCAAGAAGATAGCAATGCAATTTCTGATGGCATGGCGGAAGTTTCCCCAAAGATGGCACTTGGACTGCATGGTTATCGTGCCATAAATGCACGTAGAATTGTGTGCCATACATCCTGGTCGAGACGCGCCAGAGGAGCTGAGGCCAGACTAACAGCAGAGCCCGATTGCGCAACAAGGATGAAGCTCTATTTTTGCCCTTTGCAGGCGCGCAAGGACCCGACGCAGCGTTCGCTGGAGGCGCGGCTGCGAAATGCGCGCTACCTGGCAGAGCTGACCAAGTTCCGCCTGGCTCCCTTCGGCACCTTCTTCTCGCTGCTCAAGCAGCTGCTGGACGACTTTGCAGGCCACAACGTCGACGCGGCCGCCGCGCTCGTCGAGACGGCCGGCCGCTTCCTGTACCGCCTGCCCGAGACGCAGACGCGCATAGCCAACATGCTGGATGTGCGCGACCTATCCCTCAGAGAACTTAAAATGTGCACAGCTTGGAAGGGTCTGTGCATGCTTGCCTCGTCAGATTCTTCGTGCATGAGCATGGACCGTCACGGACTCAATCTGTGGCAGTCTTTCTGGTACAAATCAATCTTCCAGACTCTCGATGTTTTGGCTTCAGCTCAACGGAGGCAGCTCAAAAAGGTTGGGTCGTTTAGTGACATCCTTTTGCTGTGCAGGCACGACAAAAGCAGCTGTATCAGACGTATTTTGAGTGAACGTCAAGAAGGATCGCTTGAAGTGCGTTTTTAATCAGATGCAGCGGTGCGGCAGGTGATGATGAAGCTGAAGAACAGCCGCAACCTGGACGCGCGGCAGAGCATGCTGCTGGACAATGCGTACTATGCCGTGCGGCCACCTGAGCGCGTGGGCGCTCGCCGCAAGCGCCGGCCGCCCGTGCACGAATACGCACGCCACCTCATCCACGACCGCCTCGCCACCGAGCAAGTCAAGCCCGTGCGTCTCTGCTCACAGCTGTTCCTCTCGATTATGCTGATATCCTCATATTTGCTGTACTTCTCTCCAGCAAGCTGTGATGCATATCACACATGCGGTCCCTTGTCAGGCGGGTGTGGCCTTATAAAGTCTGTGCCGGATGTCTAAGAGTATGCATGTGCAAGTGATTGTCCAAGCGGAAGCTGCGCCGCAGGTGTTTCGGAAGCTGCGGCGGCTGGCATGGGCGGAGAATGAGGCGTATGTGGTGCGCTGCATGCTGGCGGCCGCCAAGGGGCGCTTTGATGACCTGCCGCTTGTTGCCAGCCTGGCTGCCGGCCTCTCGCGTTACCACCCCTCCCTTGCCATCGCCCTCCCAGACGCCCTGCTCGAGGAGGCGTGCCACTGCTTTACAGCTGCTTTGTGATCTTATACTGCTCACTCATAGCATGAGGCATGACACATGAGCTGCCACATGTCAAGCTTGTATGTATGCATCAGTCCGCCATGTCTGTAGGGCTGGGCGCAAGCCTTGTGTCTTGTGGCAATCCTGTTGATGTCCCAGCACCATGGCTCTGCCAGAGAGCCCAGGCAAATCAACCACACTGGACAGGGCCTTTTGCCAGGGGGATCCTGAAAGAATTGTGTTGGGGTCTTGCATGTACCGCTGGGTCGCGCAATGTTTTGCTGGCAAGGCAGCTGAATTACAGGATAGTGGACAAGTCAGGGAAGATCGTATCAGAAATGTCTGCATGCAGAAATACAAACCAATGGTGGCTGCAGGTGCGCGTGGGGCTGGAGGCGGGGGAGGAGGGAACGTCGTATCAGAAGCGCGTGGGCCACATGCGGCTGCTGGGCGAGCTGTACAACTACCGCATCATTGACAGTCGCACCGTGTTCGACACCCTCTACACCCTGCTCGCGTTCGGCCATGACTCTCCTGAGACCGCCGCTCTGCTCGACCCACCCACATCCTACTTCCGGGTGCGCTCCACTCTTCCACTGTAGGCCTCTGCACCAAATTCTTGTGCGTGTACACACAGAGCACCTAGGCTGCTTCCATCACAGGCCGGAGCAGGGAAACTGTGAACAGTTGGAGCGTGGAGTGTTGCGCTGTCATGACCTGCCTTATCTGATGCCTCGACCCGGTCTGAGTGCAAGTGGTCACTTTGGGACTAGCTTCATAAGCCCTTTGCTGACTTGTACATTGCATGGTGGTGACAGTTGTGTGATGGGTTCAAGCGCATCGCAGGTGCGGCTGGTTTGCATGCTGCTGCAGACGTGCGGCGGCTACTTCCACAAAGGCAGCGCTGCGCGCAAGCTGGACCGTTTCCTGGCCTACTTCCAGCGCTACATCCTCGCCAAGCCCCCACTGCCCCTCGACATTGACTTTGACGTCCAGGTATTGCTCTGCCTGCACCTGAGTTCCCTGCGTTCCTTTGGGCCTGCCCCCTTGCACCTGGATCTTTCTACCTGCCTCTAGGAATGGTGTACATAAATAACTGGCAAGCAAAGTAGGCAGCACACGTTTGGTGCTTCATCCCATGTAAGCTCAGTCCTCGACATTTACGGTGATAGAACATCTCAAGTGGATGGACGTGGTGAGAAATGTAGGCAAATGCAGGACCTGTTCGAGCATGTGCGGCCGAAGATGAAGCGCCACACAAGTTTCGAGGAGGCGTTTGAGGCGGTGGTGACCATCGAGGCCGAGGATGCGGCGGCGGCTGCGGCAGGAGTGCAGTCAGACAACTCAGACAGCGATGACGGCGGCTCCAGACCAGGCCTCGGCAGCGATGATGAAGGTGACGACCCTCTGCTGCTCAAACTACTTGTCTTGAGGATGCAAGATGGCGGTACCTTGATTTTAGCAGTAGGCATGGCCTTCATGGCTCCCAGTTATCATATTTATGCTCCCGAATGTAGCGCACATGGATTCCAGGGTCCAGAACTGGGCCTGGCCATGGTTTGCTTTGTAACCTGAAGGTGCCATTGACCTTCCATTAGACTTGATGCTTTTAATATGACCGCTGAACAAGGCCCTAATGTCTCCGTTTGTCATGTTCATGCTTCCTGATGGAGGGCACACAATTACCAGGGTCCAGTAATACGCCTGTCCATGGTTTGCTTTGTGGCCTCCAGGTGCCAGGGATCTTCCACATGATTGATATTCTTTTCCTGCAGAGTGTGCCTTCTTCTGCGCACAACAAACCGACATAAGCTTGGTTGGTGTGCAGGTGGGAAGGAGGCGGAGGCGGCGGCGACTGATCGCGATGACATGTCGGAGTCGGGGGTGTCCACAGCAGACGAGGACGAGGAGGTCCGGGTGCTCAATGCAGGGCAGCTGCGGGAGGAGGAATTGGACCCCGATTTTGAACGTGAGCTGGCTGCCCTTGTCAGCGAGCACCAGGGGCCCGGTGCAGCATTCAGTGCTGCCCAACCCCAGGTGATGCCAAGTCCACTCTCTTAGCACATGGCACTTATTCATCTTGCATCGACCTTGGCAACTTGCTGTGCAGAGGACACACAGCGTTGGGATGCACTTTGCCTGATGAAAGCTTGACGGCTACGGTCCCTTGCGCTGCTGATCATATGCAATTTTATCCTCACGTAAGCCTGTTCTGAATACTTGTCCTCTGGCAAGACACAGGGAGAGTCTGGCATGGCAGCAGAGCACATGACCTCACATCAGTCTTGTAAAGCAGGCTGGACCACGCACAGTGCAACTGATGTGATAACACTTTGTCATACCTTTATCGCTGACTATGGCGGCAAATTTGAACAGGCTGGGGAGACAGGGAGCAGCACAGCGACTGTCAGCAATAGAGTGGACCCTGGCGGCACGGTTGCCTTTAAGGTGATGCTGAGGAGAGGCGGCAAGGACGACAAGACGCGCTCCGTGCAGGTGTGCTTTCTGCGCCTAAACATCTCCCACACTCAATTCACGCCTCCAGAACCCTGTGGCTTTCAAGAGACAAGTTCTTCTCACATGCTTTACAGAACTGAGCACTGAGGGACGCACTGATCAAGCCTTGAAGACAGGCCATCAACTTGCCACTTCTTTCATGTCGTTCGATAGTCTTCAGATAATTCAATCTATCACTTTCGGGGACGCTTTGCATGCAGGTGCCTCTGAGCGCAGCCATGGCGGTGCAGCTGCGCAGCAAGGCGGCCAGCGAAGAAACCGAGCGCGCGGAGATCAAGCGCTTAGTACTGCGCGCGAATCAGAACCTCGATCTGGCTGGCCTCGCCAGCACGCCCCGGGGTGGCGCAGGCCGGCCGCCGGCTGTCGCCGCAAAAACCGGCGGTTATTACTCCCGTGGCGGCGGAGCGGCTGGCGGCGCCGGGCGCGGCCGAGGCCGGCGGTATAGCGCTCAGCACGGCAGGGATACACAGACCTGAGTATATTTGCAGCAGGCTTGTGGTACTCGTATGAATGTGATCAAATAATCAAGAATGGCAATACAAACTCAACTCGAGCAGGTGTTTTGGAACAAAAGCAACAGTGAAACAAAAGTTCTACAAGCCCTTGTAGAATGGATGTATGGAGATTCAGGTGCAAGAGGCTAAAGTTGTTCAATAAGAAGCATATGCATGTTGGCTATTCTTGCAGTTTGAAGGCTCCCTTGCGGCCCCATTGAGCCACCATCCTCATTGAATGATGAACTTGTTCTTCCTATAAGTCAAGGTCGTTGAGATCGCATTTGTCTTGTGTAACATGTCTTAGCCTGTGTCTCCAGGCAGAATTTCATGGCTTCCCTGCAAACTCCCTTGTCTTAGAGAAGGCAGGGTAACGTGCACAATGTCATGCGCACTGGCATTTACTCAAGCACTTTCACGGCCCCAAAGGTGGAACTTGGTCATGTTTTGATAAATCAGTCGTAGCATCCCTGGTTGAACAGGAGAGAATGTGAAGTTGTATTCTGTTGCAGTCATATGAAATGAAACAGACCCCAACATGGGTATGATACCGGTCTGAGGATCAACAGTCTCAGGCTGCCCCACATTGTCCTTCTCATGTGCTGCAGTAATTCCCTGGAAGAAAAATTTCTTCTTAATATCTGATGTCAGTATATCATGCCACGAGTGATCAGGTATCCATGCAATGCCATGTGATCATTACATTTCTTTGTAAAAGGTCAAGTCCCTTGAACTCCCAGCTTCCTTTTTCTCACGCACACGTGAAGAAGACACGCTGCCAAATAGATGATGCTACATGACTAGACTGAACAATTGTGGGCTCCCAAGGACCATACAAGGCAAAACACAGATCAGTCCAGACTGCATCACTCAATCTCTCTAGGAGAGAACTTCTGCCAGGCACAGTTGAGAGCAGCAAATCAGCAGTCAAGGTCAATTTAGCAGTCAAGATCAAATTAGCAGTCAAGATCAAATCAGCAGTCAAGATCATTATATGACGCAGATTTCTGAAGAAGGAGGCTGCAATCTCCAGTCTTCATCATCTTTGTGCAAGATGACAGGCACAAGATGCATCACGATCAACATGCCTAAAAAAGGTCTTCAGGGATCTTATTGACTTCACCATATGCTAGACTCGGATGCAAAGCTGCAACGGCAGCCCACTGCGTTGTTGCTTTGCATCACCCAACGTTTAATCTTTGCAGGCAATTGTTGACCTTATCAACGCTCATAAATTTTCACCTGTCACCCATTACCCCATGACATTGCCCCGAGTGAAGTATGCCCCGCAATCAATACCTGTGGAAGTCCGAAATGGGTAATTCATCCTCATACTTATTTTGCTCGAAAGCTTCCCCATGTGTGGGCTCTAATTCAGCGGCATCTGTGACTCATGGGCTTTTCGTCTGCGCACAACTGCGCACCGTTTCCTACAATGATGCCCAGTCACAGACTGTAGGCCTCAATCAAATGCACTGTGCGGCTTGCTGCTACACTATGGTGTCGCGCCAGCATAACTAAATAGTTAATGCGCCACCACAGACCGTTATTGCGCTGTTTGATCTTCATGAGCCTCTCGGCAGGCCAATATTTGCAGGCTGCCGTTCTCATACAGTGAGCTTGGCTTTGCCAGCCACAAAATGGGCATCTCTTCAACAAGGCACTTCGTGCCACAAAACTAGCATTGCTTATTTCTGCATGCGCCATTCCAGACCTTCCGCAAATGCAGCTTTGCTGGGCTGACAGAGCAGAGCCTAATTCTGGATCCTGTTTTATTCAGGGCCAATGAAAACAGAGCGGATCGAAAGTCACCTGCCTCAATAAAAAGGACACAATACTGTCTAATAAGCAAGATGAAGTGCCTTGCACGTGCCAGTCGACACATGCTGTTGCACTAATGAAATAGTCCGGCCTCTTCAAGGCAGCAGGGTAGCAACCTGCACACCTGCTCACCTGCTGGCCGTTATTTTTACCCGCGCTTTCTCCCCCTGCTGTTTCCTTCTGCCCCTTTATTCATTTATTTCTTGCCCTGCCAGGTCTTGGGCAGGTGCCGCATGTGCCACATGGCGTCCAGCACCGAGTTGGTGTGCTCCTTTAGCTCCGCATGCAGTGCATTTAGCTCGGCCGCCGCGCCGCTGCCGACATCGGCCAGAAGCGCGGGCGCGACCAGCCGCGCTGCGATTTTCAGCAGCGCCGACACGTCTATAAAGCCCCGTGATGTCTGAGCGTCCAAAACCTCCTCGGCCGCCGCCAGCAGCTTAGTTACTGGACTGCCGGTCCCGGCGTCGGCCGGCGGCGTAATGTTGTTTCCCTGCAGTGCAACCAGCAGTACACCACTCAGCTGCTGCTGTCACCTCAGGTGGATGTTAGCTATCCTTCAAGTGTTATGCTCGCTTCTTCTCAATTACCGTCAACTTTTATTGTACTCTTTGAAAGAAGCAGAGCTGCCACCAATCATCCCCAGAAGCTGGGCCAGCCGAGCCAGATCTGGATGTGAGTAAGAAAAGACACTAGACTGCCGGCACTCCCATGCTCTGATGCTTGCAAGGGGGAGACTCTTGTCTTCAAGCATTACTGTGAGAAAGGCACCGCTAGCATAGCAATGAGAATTCAAAAGGCGGGTGCCAAGGTCACAAGGCATACCTGTGCCTGGTCAATAGCGGGCGCCTGTCTGGCGGCGTTGTCTTTAGGAGGCTCGTCTGAATAGGACAGGTGTGCTCCAGCGTCCAGCTCAGCGGCGGAGGAGAGGAGAGCCATGCCACTGATGCAGCCCGAGTCGATCTCCCTGGCTCCTCCAGACCACTGATCCGCCTGAGCGGTGTGGCCCGCCAACCCATTCACCAGCGACGACCTCTGCCGCTTCGGGTGGTGCGGAGATACAACGCCCTGCAGCAAAGGCCAGGCAAGCCATCTGAAGTCAACATGCAATCCGAAGTCTGGCTGGAAGAAAATAACAGTCTCTGCTCCCCTAGAATGCTGCAAATAATGATGGAGCTTAGGACGAAGCTGAAAAGATGCCAGATTGGCAACCCTCAGTACACTCGGCATAACAATAACACCACAACCAGCATGCCTTCCAAGGGGCTGACTGATATGCTGAATATCTCTCCAGGCCAGGCCATACAACAGCAGCCAGGTGAGTATATGCAAGGCTGGGTGGCGCACCAGGCCCTTGGATTTGCGCGAGTAGGTGGGTGTGTAGGGCTGCATGTTGTCCTGCTCGTCCTCCGACCCTTCCTGCGCGCGCAGAGCGGTGCTGCGCTGCGGCCGACGGCTGCCGCTGTGATCGCCCTCCTTGGCCGCCTCCGCAAGCCGGTTTACCTCGGCAAATGCGCTGAACGCGCCAGCCACGAGGCCGGGACCCCTCGCCGCGGCGTCTACCGGCTGGCCGGCCCGCGCTGAAGTTGCCTGCAGCAACAATCCAATGATAATCTTGCCACTTGTACCTATCCGGTAAGCTCCTTGGGGAAATGTATGGAATAACAAATGCTTTCAGTGAAAAACGCCCAGATACTTGAATTTGTCGCTGACTAGGGCCTTGATTGAGACGTTGTTGCCCTATATATCTCTTATAGCCTAGCTGTGCACTCAGAAGCATTAGCGGTGTTTTCAGAAATTATGGCATGCTGTGCTCAAAACATTTGCCTGCAGCTGCTGCGCAAGTGCGCCGGACAGCGCCTGAAGCCCCTCGAACTTCACATGGTGCGCGATCGCGGCGCGTGGTGCGGCCGTGGCGTCCGGCCGCCGTTTGGCCGCCGGCGGCTGCGCGCGCGGCTCCGCACCAGAGCTCCAGGACGCGCCGCTGCCCGGCCGCTGCTCGCGCGGCTGCTCCGCGTCCGATGATGACGTGGCCGGCTCTCCTGCTGCAGCAAGCACATCGCTGTCAATGCGAGCACTTTGGGTAATGCGCCGCTTGTTGAAGTTCCATTTTGAAGGAGATGACATGAGGTCCCAGTGAAGAGGGAGGGGAGACTGACTATAGCAGATCTGACTTCTCGAACGAGTGTTGCGAAGGCTGCACCTGAGTTGTTCTGGCGCTTGGCGGTGCTGGCCATGTCCGGGAGGGCGGGGGACTCGGGGCCGGGGTCGGACGCGACGCGCTCTTTCAGCGCCGCGCGCTTGACAATGTCCGCGCGTATGCGGCGGCTATCCATCCCGGCAACAGCTCGATCTGCAGCCGGTCCCCGGTCTGCACGCTGTGCGACAGGGCAAAGGCTTTCCACCCCTGCAGCGTGTACTCGTACTTGTTCTTGTTCCTGCGCACGTACAGAAATGTAATTTTAAATGCTGCTCTCTGCTGTCACTGGCCACTCTGGGTTCAAGTTAATGAGCCACAAAAATTGTCTGTGCATGTCTGCTCGCTCTTGCATGCCAAGAAGAGCCAGCTTGCTCTGTGATCACGGTTGCTCCTTGACTTGGCAGCCTTTGAGCACAAGAAACGTGGTCCGGCCAGGAAAGCAAGAACAAAGCAAGCAAAGCTGCCGATTGGTCGCCGGTTGGACGGATGAAATGCCCCAATATGAGACAAAGGAACCATGCATTTATTGGGCAGGAATATTATCAACCTGCGGGGAAGCAGGGCGACCCTCCACACATCCTTGCCATCCTTGTCTGTCAGATCGAAGGACTGGTCGATGAGGTGCGCCAGGTTGGCGCTCACGAACTCGGACGGCAGTGTCAGCTTGTATGTGGGGGCCACGCTGGTCTGGGGCACTTTCTGCATTGCACACCAGTGAGAACCTTGTCACAGAGGAGGCTGAAAGTGGCACAGCTGGTGGACTTTCTGATGTGCCCCAATTGCAGATGGAATGGGAATAGGCAAAGTTTAGTGTTGCTTAAGCCAACAGGCAGGACATTGCGTCGACTTCAGACCAGCTGCCTTCCTGCTAGCCAGAATGTCCTTCTTCAAGTGGACGCCAGCTTTCTGCGCCAAAATTATGCGCCTCCTCTCAGCTGAAGAAAAAAGAGGGCATGCACCCACATGTGAGGGCGGCCAGCCCCGAAATCTGAGGGCGCTCAGCGCGTTCCTCTGGCGCAAGAACCATCATCCGATGCGAAATAAGCATTTGCGGGAAAGGCCTGTATCAAAGCCGGTGAGGGCGCTAGGCTCGATAGATCACAAAGGCTATCGATTTGCAGCTCCCGAGTTGCTATTTAGCATGGAAAGGTATGATCTGCGCCAGCTGTGGATGTACTGCGTTCACCGCGGTCACCTTGATGAATCTCCCATCGTCCACCTCCAAGATCCCCCGGTCGCTATGAGTGCGCTTCAGCACACGCCCCTCGCTGAGCATCAAGAGCTGTCGCGATTGCCCGCTGGGCGTTGCGGCCGCTTTCCGTCGGATGACGCACGCCGTCTGTCACTGCTGCTTCCCTCGGTGATCTGAACAGGCAGGGCCAGCTCCGCTGTGCCCAAAAAGTGTGCGCGACACTTCTGGTCACCCTGGAAGTGGCTGACCTGCTGCTCTGGAGCACAGGGAGGTCAACCTCGAGACGGAAGACCTACGAGGGATACCGGTATCGTGCCCTATCTAACCAGTGATGAGAATCGTGCAACGAGCATGTTCCAGCCTGCGTTCCTCAAGCGCAGCGGCATCTGCGTGAGCTAGTTGGAGCGCGTTCGCGGGGCGTGATCCCTCAGTCAGTGATAACCCGCAAAGCACTGGCATTGGAGCCCAGAAAAAGTGGGTTCATATCGCGCTCATCCGAGGAACCAACGAAGACCCCCCTACGCCGTGCCTTGCAATCACACGGCCTCTCTGATCTCCCCAATTCCCATCTCGGACGTTTTGATTGCTGATGTCATCCCAGTTACTACTCTACGTTGGCAGGACACTGTACTCATCACCTGATTGGACAGGGCTTTGGAAAAATGTTTCCCTTTGGCAAGGGGTTTGTCGGGGTTTGTTGAGCGTTTATGATGGCATGCCATTCATAGTCCAATTGATCTACAAGCGTAAAGTAGGTCACAACATAGACAAGTGCATGCGAAGCTAATCTTCACGCACATGAAAAGCACGTTCTACCGCGCATGCCGTATGTGCAGGAAAAAGGATGCATGGAAACTTATCAATGATCTGATTGACAGGCTGCGTCTTGGAGCGCTAAGTTCGGATCACTTTCGACTAATTTTTATTTTTTTTAATACTAAAGCAGTGCCATGCGATATTGTGAAGAAGGGATTGCCGCCTGTACTTCAATAAACAGTTTCCTTGGACTGGCAGGGACATCGGCGTTTGTAGAGGCAGAACCGTGTAGCTGCACAAGTTTCGGGACGTGATGCAAGGCTAATTTTTCCATCAATAATGACGGCGGGAATTGTGTGGCACAGCGAGCAACTTAAAGCACAGCTCCTCAGCGACAAGTTGACCCAACGCAAGGTGAGACAAGCTAGTTCGCTGTCAAGCTCTATCTGACAAGTCCCTGCGCCATCTGCAAATCTATTGCCTGAGCTGTGATAATGCAGGAGGGCTTCAAACATCTGAACCAGGTGTTGGACAGTGACGCTCTTCTGCGAGCACTGGATGAATCCACACTGCGGATACTGCCAACAGAGAAACACATCTCAGGTACTCGCCAAGTGTAATATCAAGCCATGAACGAGTTCAAGTTGCAGGGTGCTATTGGGTCAGGACTGCCATGCATGCAGCTGCTGGCCCTGGGGCCAGTGCTGAAGCCTCCTATGGACTGTTGCAGTGGACACATGGCCGGGCCTGTGCACCATCCTCATCCAGTGCGTTGGCAGAGAGCTTGGCACCACCTCTGGAAAGAAAAGGGGGCCAGAGGCGACGGTCTCGAAGACCTTCAGGCGTTTTGTGCAGACTGCCGATGACGAGCGCCGATCAGGTCACTGCACAATCCCATGATGTTCACAAGCAAGGACCTGCAGAGTGAATAACCGCACAAAAAGACAACATGCAAGTCATCTTTTGTCCATGTTCTTTGTGACTCTGCATTACACATCAATTTATTTGCTCTGCAGGCAGGACAGGCATGCTGGGGCGAAAGGCTGCCAAGCTTTTCACGCATGTCAAGGATGTGGTCAGCAGGGCTGGTCCGACATCGCCCTTTGGCGCAGACTACAGCAGCGTCCTGCGCTCCACCCTCCTTGTGAATGCGCAGTACTGCTCTTCAGTGCCTGCCAGCACATTCCAGGGTGGGTCATGATAGGAAGACCCCTGCAAAGGGTGCAATATGAACGTGTTTGATAATTTGGTTTCCAGTGCAAGACGCACACCTCTCCCAACACATATCGGATCTGTGCTGCTGCAGAGCTGCTTGACCTTTACATGAAGAGATTGGAGGAGTCCCCCCTGGACCGCAGCGAGGACACCTACAGGACAGTCTCCATGGTACACCTGCTCCTGCAGAGCTTCCAGGGGGACATGGACCAGCTTTTCAGGAGCGACATGGTTGTGTTCCTCTGCGACATGTTCCCCAAGCTACACGAGCTGAGGTAGAACAGTTTTCTCTTTGCCATGTCCACTGGAGCTTAACCCTGGTTGTTTGCATGCATGGTGCCCAGACATGCATTATATTTTTTCTCATGTGCAAAGCCATCGACAATGGACTTAAATGCTGCGCACACCACTCGATGCAAGAAATATGTAAGTGGAACTGTATGCAGGGAGGATTCGCGCATCAGCACAGCCTTTGTGGCGGCCACGAATACGTTCCTGCTGGGCAACGGCCTGGACGTGTGCAGCAAGGCAGCAGAGCTGCATGCAGCGGTGCACCCCTTTCTGACGCGCGCATGGCGAAACGCGCGAGACACGCGGCTGCGGGACAATCTCGTGCTCTACCTGCGCATTCAGCTGCTGCTGGGAGGCCTGGAGGGGCCGGGGGATGGCCACTTCCTGATCGAGGTGCAGGAGCTGCTGGCCCACAGCATGCAGCAGCCTGGGTTCAGCTGGTACGATAAAGTAGATGTGCACTTCCCATTGCATAAAATCATACAATGATTTACTCGCTTTTCTTGCCAACAGGCAAGGTGCTTCTGCAGACAAGCTGCAGTTGAAGGCTGCCAAAATCTTACTCCTTAATGGACACGCCAAATCCAAGCAAGACCCAATCAATTGTGGGCACGGTGCTCTGTACTTACACCGCCCCCCGCCAGCCGGGGCCAATGCAATACACACCAATGCGTATGGTATAATATATTAACAGAGCAGAGGGAGATTACAGTGATAGTCGGCTGTAGCTGCATTGTTGAACATGGCACAGGAAGCAACAAGATGTCTTGGTATGCAGATCATGGAATATGTTGGTGATTGTCTGATTGCATGGTACAGGAGTGATGATGCACGGGGCAGAGGCTGCCGCTCTTCGAGGCATCAGCTGTCTTTGCTGGAGCTTGCAAGCGCTGTCACGCTCAAGCTTACCCTCCAGCGCAAGACAGCAGCACCCCAGGCTTCTGATGTCAGAGAGAGCTCAGCCAAGCGCCGGAAGGTACGTTTACTCTGTTCCCACTACACATGTTATCAAATCAGCTGCATTGACCTGGCCTCATTTTCTAAATAATAATTTCTTGTCAGAACACTTGTGCATGCATGCAGGTCAGCGATCCTCAACAAGTGCTGCTTGAGCAGCTCATGGCATACCCTTCATTGTGGGCGCCAGTTCTGGCATTCCTCCTGCACCGGTGCGACACCCAGCATCTTTGCTGCACTCCTGCTGCCAATGTTCCAACATCGGTGTTGGTCCTTGCAGGTGCGATGGCTCTGTTGAAAACATGACTCTGCATGTTCAGGCATGGCAGCCAGGTGGATCAGCAGTGCCTTGAAACCTGGCTGCAGCTGCTCAGCGAGAACTTTGAGGTGACTTTCAAACGCCTCGTGGCTGGCAAAGCGCCTGAGCAGGCCGTCACATGGCTGCTGTGCTTCACAGCTGAGCTGGCGGCTGCTTGGCCAGACCACCGCCAGCAGACCTCCTCCACAGCTTCCCTGTCTGTCAGCAAAGCCACCAGCCTCACACCGGCTGTGCAAAGCCAATGGCAGGTGAGGAGACCCCTCTCTGCTCTTGACCTCCACACTATAGCTCTTGCACTCATGGCAGCCATTTGCAAGATCAGATATTGTTTCTGAGGACATGCTGGTGTCCAGGTGATTTGGGATGCGCTTGTGCGCTGGTTGTCACAGGGCGACGCCCCAAACTCCCCGGAGGCAGTCCCAGCGAAGGAGGCTGCTGTCATTGCCCTGGCTCTCATATCCAGGAAGGACCTGGCGCGCACCACTGCTTCAGGAACACCTCTCTTCAGGCTGCCTGTGATGCAGCAGATGCTGCCAGCTTCAATCCACCTCATCTGTTCCAGATTCTCTTCAGGTACGTTTGATGAACCTCATATCTTCGTCTTCAGATCCAAATTTAAACAACATCAACAGAGAATAGGAGCACAAATGTCATGATGCAGGCTACAGAGGAGGCGCAGAGGAAGCAGCAGTGAGGACAGGGCTCTTGGAAGTGATGTTGGGAGACAGAGCAGCTAGCATGCCGCCAAAGCTTCTCTGCTGCGGGGTGGCTGGGGCTTTGGGCGTGCAATCACATGCACCCTCGGCAGAGGCCCTCGATGCGGAGAGTCAGCACATGTGGTGGCAGCAGGAAGATCCTGACAAAGCAGTGGCTGAGCGGCTTCCTGTTCTCATGAGAGGTTTGGCCCCTTTTACTAATGGTTGCTATTTCATGACTTTCAATGAGATTTATGACTTTCATGACTTTCAATGACTTCAATGCTGTACAAATCTCAAATCTAGTATCGTGTGTACTAACCACTGAGGTGTACTTGTGATAGGTGAGGACTTTGTGCGGGAGAGGACACGGGCCATGCAGCCTGCGCCAGAGCCGTCTGGCAGTGGCAGCCATCACATGCCAGACAGCGTGGGGATGCGTCTGCAGAGTGTGGCAGGCACCCGCCTTGCAGCACAGCTGGGCAGGCTGACAGAGGAGGCAGATGCAGGGGGCGGATCACAGCTGCAGGCGCTCATGGGCATGTGCACAGTTGCCCTCAGTTGCAAAGCTGCGCTGCTTGACAGGGCTCAGGGGGATGAGGCGAAGCTGGAATGCTCCTGGAAGACCAATGGTGCTGTGTCAGGTAGGCCATGCATGACACAAAGCCAAGGGCATCCCAGGTGTGCTATGCATGGTAGCACGAGTATCGATGGTGTGCACCCTGTTCTGTCTGGACATTTATTTGTGGGGGCAATTTAGGGATAATCTGTGATTGCAGAGGCTGTGGGAGGGGCATTTGGGAAATGCAGTAGCCTCCTCGTTGCTATGGTGGACAGCAAGAGCTGTCTCACAAGCAGCACCTATAGTCTGCTGGAGGATTTGGTTGCTGTCCTTGTCGACACTCCAAAGAAGGAAGTCCTGGCAGGGTGAGTGTCCTGCACACTACCCTCCTCATGCATTCACCTGTACTGTTGCAACCACTGCCAGCATAGGCCTGCTGGACTGCAAACAGAAGACATGTTGATAGAAGGTGTCTGAATGCCATGCAGCCCTTGGCTGGGAGCAGTGCACGAGTTGGAGAGGCTCTTCAATGACGCCGATCAAGCATCCGCTGCCCAAGTTGCATCTCAGACGCAGCTGGCGTCGGGGAGCCCTGGCGCCGTCGACACCTCTGCATCAATGTTTGACGATGATCTGGACTTGCGGGCCACTGCTGTGGCTGCTGGAAATGACAGGTGCTCCACATCATGTATTCCTCCTTGGTCTGTATCTTGTCCGAATGGCTCAAGCATGCTCAAACTGGCGGGCCTGTGAAATCTCGTAATTATGGCGTTGAGGATGACCTGGAATCCATGGGATTGACATGCCATTGGTGGAGAAAGTGCCAAGACAGGGAAGGCTGGAGAGGAAGTATTGAGAGGATGCTGCAACGCACCTAGCCCTGTTTAGGCTGGAAGAAGCGTGCACCAGTATTAATGATTCTATCTGAATGTAGGCCTTCATCTGCCGGGCCATCTTCCTCAGCATCCCTTGTGGCGTCTTGCCGAGTCACCTGCGTGCGGCTGCTGGCAGTTCTCGGCAGCCTGCATGCAGAAGTCGTGGCCAACATTCTGGGAACCTACCTGCAACACTGTTTTGATGCGGAGATCTTACCTCCAGAAGGGCTGACTGAGCTCATTGCTGAGAAGCTCTGCACTGTCGCCGCCTCCAGCAGGTAACATTACACCTAAATAACCCATATTGAAGCCCGCCATGTTGGGACATTGCAAGCCAGGTGAGAACCCCTGTGCTGTCTGATGGAATGTCAGAGTGCCTCCTGATATGGTTCTGGTGTGACCAGGCTCCCAAAGCTCATGGTGATGGCTGCTGCTGGCTTGAATGCGCGCAGTGGCATTCTTGTGCCCAAGAAGTTCAACAATTCCACCATGTGCATGGTCTTGCAGCAGCTGGAATCCCTGATACACGCGTGTGGCAGCATGAGCTCAGACCTCAATCGAGAGGTCTCGTTCCCTTGGCCGGTGATGTCTTGCATGCACAACCTCAGGTGCTCAGGAGAAGTCTGTCCAGCATCAATGACTGAATTTTGGTTCTGCAATAATCAGGGAGAACAGTGCCTGGAAAGTTTTGTTTCAGTTTTGGACGCTGTGCTGGATCGAATGCCACAAGCAGACCAGCCCACTGCTGGCGCTCAGCCTAGCAGCGCCACACGCATTGCCCTGGCTGATGCGGTGCGCATGCTCTGCATATGTCCACTGTTCTGGAGTGAGGCTTGCAGACGAGTTGTATCCTGGCACATGTGATTCTTTATGTGGCAGGGCCAAGCATGTTCTAAGTGCATGCATGCGCATGTCTAGTGTATGTCTGGCGCAGGTTGTTGCTTTGCTGAGCACAGTGGAAGCATCAAAGCTGCAGCCTGAGTTGCTGGATGAGTGCTTGGAGCACTTGACAGATCTTCTGCAGGACCCTTGCTATGAAGCCAGGCGGCACGGCGCAAGACTCATCCCCTCTCTTTACGGGAACTGGTCTGACGTGCAGGTACTGTCAGATCTTATTCTCCTTTTGGCATGTCTGTTTTGATTGTGTTTACCCAGCAGCACATCTAACGTTTAGGTCCCAGCAAATGCTGTTTGCAGGCCAAGTTTGACGCTTTCAAGCCCAGGCTGTGCTTGCATAGCCTAACGACAGCTCATGGGCAGAAGTCAGAGGAGCGCAGATCAGAAGAGCGCATGGAGACCTCGGCTCTGTTCTTGGGTGGGTATCAGCAACAGCATGATGTGAAGGGGATTCTCTGCTGGACTTCGGTATCCTGGAAAGTTGCAAGTATGTCTGAGACTATAATGGTATGTGCAGCTGAGACGGCTGTGGCATGTGGAGCATTGGAGGCGGAGGTTTTGTTCCTGCTCTGTGCGCATGCAGCGCAATTTGCCCAGCACCAAGCTTTGGTGCAAGCCATACTGCAGAGTATCGCCTTCCGCCTCGGCTATACTTCCTTGCCAGCTTACATGATTAACCACATGGTCCAGCTTGCCTTCCTCTGGTGGGTGCCTCCCACAATCTCCTGCGCCATCAATTCATACTTACTCCAAGGCACTCGTGCTTTTGGGGATAAATTTGAAGCATGTCCCGTAACTGCACTGCTTTCTTTAGTAAAAATCTATTTGCGCGCTCTTCTCTGTGTCTTTAGCCTTTTGTTATTTTCTTGCAAACTTCTAATATACCTATTGGTGTCCCTACAGTTCCACTTTGGTTGCCTGGTGAGCCAACAGCTCAGAGTGTGTTGACCTTTACAATCGACTGATAATACATGTGTTTGCTTGCAGGTTTGGCAGCAAGTACAATCTGCAGCAGCTCTTGAATGTTCAAGAGCTAGTCAGGGTACAGGAGGGGGATGTGCTTGATCAGAAGGCGTTCCTTTTGTCATACGGGAGAGCAACTGTCCCTGCCATGCTGAAGGATAACAGAGAGGAAGAAATCAAGGAGATGGCTGCTCTGCTGGGTTTGTCCCCGGCCCTGCTCATATGCTGCTGCTGGAAACCTGATTCAGATTGATGTCATGCTTGCAGGGTGAGATGGTACATTCCTTATGTCAATCTTATTAGACAGCAAGCTCTTTGAAAGAATAGGACACTGATCTGGCGCATTCATCCATCACATTCAACATGTCTTACTTCCTGATGAAATGCAGACATGGAAGTGCGGAAACTGCTGGAGAGGAACTATGATGCGATCTTTGGAATCACTATTCCCCTCACAATAACGGGTGATGACAGCGGCAAGGCCTTGGCTAGGTCCATCCTTGAAGGCAATATCATGGCTGCCACTTTCACAGGTACTTCCTTCAAATTTCCCAATGGTGGAGCTTGCATGCTGCCAGAGTACCCTAAAAAGATTGCATGTGCATGACAGGGCTGCAAGCAGTAAATCCTGATGGGGAAATTTGTTTCACGGATTTGGTATCCAATGAAATGGCAGCTCTGGTGCTGACATAGTGAGTTCTTGTGCCATAGGAAAGGAGAGGGACAAGCTGTACAGCGACAAGATCAACCCCATCATGGGGCAGTGTCTGCTGCTGGTGAGGGAGTGTGCGCACCCACCAGCGCCATTTCTCACCGTTGCGCTCGGCATAGAGACCGTCTATGGACTGCCCATGCGCCCCTCCCGAGAGGAGTGCCTTCAGATTCTTTGGAGTCGGGTGCGCTCTGACTGAAGCGTCCAAAACAACCCACCTCTGTTTGGACAGCTGCTGTGTGCTGTGCCCCAGTCAGCTGTAGCAAGAAGCGCATTTCTCATTGTGCATGCTGACCAAATTGATGGAAAGCCACAATGAAAATGCATTCCGGGAAGAGTTTTGCAGAATAGCATAGCTTCACGTGTTGTTTGCACCATGCAGCTTATGTCACACGACGAGATAGCACGGCTGCTGGTGACGGTGCACGCAAACCTTCAAAAGGGTCGTTGCGCTCGCCACAAGCTGGAGGCTCTCGGCCCCTTGAAGGCGCTCCTGGTCATTCTGGATGGCCACGTGTGCACTCCACACACATTCCGCCATGTCATGCACATTCTGCTGCAGTGCCTCCGCGTCAGGTGATGTCCAGCATGCATCCTTCAAACAAAGATCTGACGTGTGGAATTTACAATATGTCGATGCGTGAACCTTCTGAGCCTCGCAGGAATCTCTTGCATTCAGTGGCCCCTTGCAGGACGCACCTTGCCTTTTGGCAGGAAAAGCGTCTAATAATAATATTGATAATGAGATTTGACTGATCGCCGCAGGGAGCTCCAGGACAAGTGCTGCAGGTTGCTGGAGGATGTGCTGGAACGCATCCAAGGGCGCACAGAGCTGCACCCCCTGCTGGGAGCCCTGCTTCCAACAATCATCTCAGGCTTAGTCACTGCGCTGGAGACCACCAAGGACCCGGCTGATGCGCACAGCAGCAAAAGGTCCTCTGCGCGTCCCAACAAGCTGGTGTCTCTCATCAACAGCTTGGTCTTGCAGGTACATGCCCAGCCTTGTGGCTGCACCCTTAGGAAGTATAAAGTTGAATGTATTGAGTACTGTATTTTACAGACTACCCGGCTGGCGGAGGCCGGTTTAAACACTGAGCACCGTGCCCAAGGCTGATTCGGTCTTTGCATCTGGCGAGTCCAAGAAGAGGTAGGATTGTGGCAGTCTTTAAGTGCAGCTTGTCTGCAGGCTGCACCTTTTTCCTTGGCAGAAAAGTGTGTGATAGTAATGTTATAAGTTATAATAATCCCTTCATTTTGACAGAGATGCTGTACATCTGGTGTTCTGTGCAGGCGCTACCAGGCCTGCACCCGTACCTGCAGCATGTGGAGCCTCTGCCAGACATGCCAGAGCTGGCCAGGGCCCAGCAGCTGCTGGACAAGCTCAGGGCAGGAGTGAGCCTGAGTGATGAGCTGACGCACTTTGTGGGGCGCGCTGCTTCGCTGCCCACTGTGCTCCTGCAGCGCGCCCTTGCCTCCCTGAACAGAGGCCTCAGCACTCGACAGAACGAGCTGGTGTCTGACAATGGGTGCGCTCTACAGTTCAATGGTCCTATCATTTCTTCGATTCAATGTGAACCTTGTTTCTTGCTATAATTGCATGGGTTGGAAAGGCATGATATTGATTGCAGGAGTTGCTTAAAGCTGTGCAATCTTGACTCCCTACAGTGTGTGAGAATTGAGCCTTGCCATGAAGATTGGTGTGGTATCCTTTTTTTTTTCCTGCTGCGCCTGCAGAACTTGTGGGGAAAAATGGCAAATGCAGGAAGCTTTCTGGTGTGCAGGGTGAGGCCATGCAAGCCTGAGGTGGAGGAAGCTGCATGGCGTCTGGTGTGGCTAGCCAGGGAGCTGGGGGACAATGACCTGGCAGCGTTCACCGGCAAGCTGCTGGCACTGGTTGGGCCGCTGGACCCCCATGTCATTGCCTTCAGCATCCCCACCTCGCTCTCCAGCTCCTCTGCAGCAGCTGAAAGGACGCCACCAGCGCAGCCTGCGCGCAGCAGCAAAGCAGGGTCTTATGCGGCAAACAAGGTAGCAGTCTGCGATCTCGCACTGCACGTGCCTTCCTTTCTTGTGCTTGATTAAACACACATGCAGTGCTGGGGGAGAGTGTGAGCCTTATTGTTCTCTCTATGCAGGAGGATAGCATGCGGGCACTCCTGGCACGGGCCCTGCAGCTGATGGTTGTCTACCTTGTGGATGAACACGTTCCTTTCATCAATCTGGTGCATGCCGCACTGCGGCAGCTGCTCCCTCAAAAAGAGGGCGAGGCCGCCATGCAGCAGTTGGACCCCCTGCAGCAGTCCTACCTGCAGGTCTTTGCCGGATCCAAGAGTGCGACCAGCGTAGCAGAGGCAGGAACAAGGTGCACTTGAACCTCCATGAATGCCCTCAACACCACCACTCATTTTAAGCTGAGGATCCTCCCTGAGCACTTGCAGTATAATACAATTCTCATATCCCCATTGGTATATTTTTGGCGGGTGCTTATTTCTACGGTCTTCTTGGTCATGTTGTCTACAAGATTTCGCACGGCGAAGGATGCGAGTAATTAAATGGTGGGAGGACATATACCTACTGTTGCTTTATGCCTTCCCAAGCCGCTTCCGCAACTCCTGCCACCGGGCATTAGAATACCTACAGCTACTCTCCCGGATGAAAACACACTAGAAGACGTTAAAGTACGGTATTGTTCGTTGCCCGACAGGACTGACCTGGAGGACGGGAAGCTATGGCAGCTGGAGGGTCAGACATATGACCAGTGGGTGTGCGGTCTGGCGGACGCTCTCTTGAGCCATGCCAGCAACCCTCTGCTGCGCATCCTGCAGCGCTGCGCGCGCAAGAAGCCGGCAATGGCCGAGCTGCTGCTGCCCCACATTTTCTCAGACCTGGCTGCCCATGATGCAGATGCCTCGCTTATGGTCACCATTTCAGAGCAGGCAAGCCAGCTCACTTGGGCTGCTAACATTCCAGATCACAGAATGTACAATCACCTCGTCCAACCACTTTTGTGAGCATTCTGTCACACGCAGTGAGACTGGCTCCAGTCACACTGCAACATTTGTGTGGAACCTATTAGCTTGTGAAGGTCCTGATTTATTATCAATCAGCGCGACATCACTGTTAAATGTTGATCGGTCAGCTCAACTACAGGTTGCTAAGTGCAATAGGTGTCAAAGCACATCATACGGGCCAAGGCAGCGGATGTGAAGGCGGTCCGCCTGATCCTGACGGTGCTGAATTCCTTGCGCGGAGAGCAGCAGGACTTCATTCTGTCTGGGAGGCTCCATCATGGCAAGTCCGGCCAGGCCGTCCCTGACACTGCAGATCCCACATCATGGAAGAAAGTGCGCCCTGCTTCATGATGATCATACAAGGAAATCTTCACATCCTCGGTGTGATTTGCGCTGGGACCAAACGTGGGTGCATGCACATTTCCGAGGGGCACAAAGGAATCTTGGCAACTGTGATTAGAGCGTTAGTGGCCTTTGGATTGGAGTATTGAGGGCACTGTTGTACCAAAAGCAAGAGCGTGTAATTTCCAGGGAAGGCTTGCAAGAAGTGTTGTGCTTCAGGTGTGCTGGCTGGATCTGGATTACTTGCAACTGGCACAGGCAGCGCTGCAGTGCTCTGCGGCCTTCACTGCGCTCCTGTATGTGGAGTACTGGTGCAAAGAGCACCATGGGCGGCTCACTCTGGGTGACCAAGATGTTCTCAGTGAGGTGAGCGCACCATAAACGCTGGATCTGCTTGTGTATGCTGCAGGAGGATACTCATGTGGTGTTGTCATTTGAATCATGTGTATATTGAAGCCCGAGATAGAGAAGGGTTGGAAGGCTGTCATAAAAACGCTGCTTCACCGGCTGATTCACCTAATACTCATGGATTGGACAGTCGGGTAATAAAAAAAGAAAATTGACAACTATTGATGCCGGTCTTCGTCTGCAGGGTGGGTTGTCAACAGTGGATCAGCTGCTCCTTGACATCTACTCACAGATTCAGGAGTCGGATGGCATCTATGCTGCTGCCAGGTCCCAAAAGGCAGCCTCTCAGCTGTGCCTCTTTGAGCACGAAGGCGCCTGGGACAAGGCCTTGGTTGGCTATGACCTGCTCCAGCGAGGTGGGACCAACTGATAACTCCTCTCTGTGAAACTAGGCGTCGATTGATTTGGTAGTGATCTGATAATCACAGGTTTGTCTCTCTAGATACTATGCATATAAATCTGCTCACAAACAGCTGAAGCATGCAAAATCAGTGTTCTTACATTGCCATTTGCACCAGGTGATCAATCTGCACAGCAGCCGTCAGACCACCACTTTGGGCTTCTCAACAGTCTCCAGCAACTGGGCTGCCAGCACACTATGGGCGCCTATTGGGCAAGCCTGCCTCAAAGCTTCCAGTCAGGTGAAACACCCTGCCTAGTATCCATTCCACCATCTGTCTATGTCTCCAAGCAGGACATTTCAAATTGTGTACAATTTCCTGCATGTGAATGAGCTCGTATTACCCTTCAGGGAGTGGAGCATTGTGGGAGAGGCGCTTTGAGATGGCGTGGAGGATGGGAGAATGGCAGGAAGCTGCAGAGCTGCAGCCTCCTTTTCCTGATGCTGGGGACAGCGCACCCTTTCACCAGGCCATCTGCTCAAGCCTCAAGGTGCGCAACCTGCAGTACTTTTATGCCAACCATGGACATCATGCGGTGCTACATCACCCCTTGCCTCTCTTTGTCCTAGCCTGCCTCTGAAAATCCTGGAGACCAAGCCAGATCATGAGCATGTCATTTGCCTCACAGTTTCCGGTGGGTTGGTGTTTTGAAGGATGTATTTTGCGTGTGACTTTGGCAGGCTATTACTCGTTTACACATCACTAGCATGAATATAAGAAAAAAATCCCATGCAGGTGCATCTATTAATGCACGTCTGCTTCAAAACAGGCGCTGAAAGACGGGGACCGTGACACACTGGCTTCGACGCTGCACATGGCGCGCGCGTCAGTGATCCAGGAACTGGCTACCATCTCCACCGAGAGTGCCGCCAGCATCAACCCTGCCCTGATGCGGCTGCAAATGCTGGAAAGGCTGGCAGAAGCCTCACATCTGCAGGGACAAATCCAAGGTGGCACGCTCTCACATCCCAGCTCTTTGCATTTGAGGAAGTTTTAAACGACAAGACGTTCTTATATCAAATATTACCTTGAAGTTGGTCTTTGCAGGAGCTCACAGCAGTGCCGCTGCGCTTGCCCTCCAACAGAGCTGGGCGCACAGAAACAACTCCCTCCTGAGTAAGTTGCACATGCCAAGCCACATGCATCACATTGGGATTAGATTAGACCTGTCTGCTGGTCAACTGCTGAAGCCCCAACATGCGTGAGAGTTGGGGACTGTGTGCAGGCACAAATAGCCGCTATGAGCTTCTGGAGCCGCTCCTGAGCCTGCAGAGGACGCTTGCCAGCGCGTTGGACATGCCAGACGCGGTCGCCAGTGTCTTGCTGCTGCGAGCATGCACCGCGCGCAAGAGCGGCCGCCTGACGCATGCCATGGGCTCCTTGCATGACCTGCAGACTGCATTGAGGTGTGATCGTCACCTCTACTTTGCATCTCAGTTCTTACCACTTCAAAATCCTCGAACACTTGCCTTTCTCGGGGCCCGGCTCAAACGCCTTCACCCCTTCGGTCAAGGGGTGCGCATGCGGCCATCTTCATGGTTTGCGATTAGTGTAAGCGATTGATAACTTTGTGCTAAGCCCATGCTTCCTAATCACTCACATATTAGCAGCAAAGGGAAGCATATGAAACTTTTGGGGCTGTTGCAGGGACTTGGGTGGCGGGCAAATTGGAGCAGCCATGAACTGGCGCATGGAGGAGGCGAAACTGCTGTGGGCGCAGGGGCAGCACAGCATGGCCATTCAGCTGGGCCAGGCTCTGCTCAACAAGATGAGGGCTGATGCACAGGGGGATGCTGAGCAGCTCACCCGCTTGCAGAGCCTCCTCGGCAAATGGCTCGCCTGGAACAGGTGCTTCTTCAGATCCTTGCTCAGCTTTACAAAAAAATAGCAAGCTTCATGGGCTCCAAACAGCTGTCATCTGTATGATGGGACCATAGCTAGAGTTCCGCCAAGTTTACAGGTTACCATAATGTGTATAACAAATATGTCAATTTTGTATGAACAGGTCTGAGAGCTCGGCGGCAGTGCTGGAGATGATGCAGCAGGCGCTGCAGAGGGTGAGCCAGAGCAGCTCGCAGCCGCTGCCGGAGGGCAAGGTGGCCTGCCGAGCAGCCTACCGCCTGGCGCACTACGCAGACACCATGTACTGCAGCGTGCAGAAGCAGCGCAACTCCCCCGAGTGGGCCACCGCCCAAGCCGTCATCCAGCAGAAGATGCAGCAGGTGCTTCCTCCACGCCAGTGCTTCCAAGCCAGATATTGTCATTATTATAGCACGCCTTATCTGCCAACAGGGAGGGTGCATCTGCAAATAAGGTGCAGTTAAGTCTGCCACAAACCTACTCCTTGCTGGACTCATTATATCCAAAAGCAAGACCCAATCAGCCGTGGGCACAGTGCTCACTTATTCAAACCGCCCCCGCCAGCCGGGGGAAAGCCAGATACATGCGACATGAATGGCTCCTTGCTAAAATTCAGGCTTATTTATGACTAATCACACATCAATATCAAGGCCAACGCAATCTGACAGTAAGCCTGTTGGTTGTGCCAGATGGCGCAGTGGCAGGCGCAATTTGACGACCGCCGGCGGAGGGGGGACATGAAGGTGGCAGCGGATGGGACTGTGCTGGACAAGGAGAGCCGGCAGCTGTGGCACCACATCAACAGCCTCAAGCGCCCCGTGGAGGCTGACAAGCAGGAGCAGGCCGTGCTCAGCGCCAGCGAGCTCCGATACAGAGAGATCGCGATGACCAACTACCGGAGGTGCCTGCTGGCCGGCAACGCGTACAACCTGCCCGTCGTGTTCAGGCTGTGCCAGCTGTGGTTCAGCCTGGGCGCGGAGAAGGCAGTGGCCCAGCAGATGGCGGCAGCTACCGCGCAGGTGCCCTCCTGGAAGTTCCTGCCGCTCGTGTACCAGCTCGCCTCGCGCCTCAGCTGCGGGGGCCGCAGCCGGCCCCTCGACGACAGCGGCTTCACGGTCAGCCCCCTCCTCCTGGCTTGGAATACTTCTGGTCCAGTCCCCCTCCTGATAGCATCTGTGATACTTGCGAGCATGTCATTACATCAGCTGACATACGAAAGCCTTCCTTAATTGCTGGAGGTGGAGCCGTCTCCATGATATAGGCTGCTGTTTTGTGGGTGTTTGTGTGTTGGCCGCTGCTGGGCTGGGGAGCGGCATGATTTCCGAGCATCGTGCCCATGATTGATTGGATCTTGCTTGGACCCTGGATCTAACAAGTGCATCAAGGGGTGGGGTGTGTAGTAAGTCTCCACCTGCAGCTTGTCTGCAGACGCACCTTGCCCATGACAGCAATAGCGGGTAGTAATGATTTTTGTTGTTTGCTGAGGGCAGTGCACTTGTGCAGGCGACTCTGACGGCGCTGATGCAGCGGCTGGCGGGCGAGCACCCGCACCACACACTGCACTGCCTCATGGCGCTCAAGAACGGCAACCGCGGCCGAGACGGCCGACGCGCCGACGCCGCCGGGCGCACCAGCCGCGACGCGCTCGTGCACTCCGTCGACTTTGACAAGGTCGCCGCTGCCGAAAGCGTGCTCAACGCCGTCGCCAACAAGCCCTCCCTGTGCGCACGTCCACCCTGACCGTTATTGCTCGACTTTATTGACAGGGAGGAATCTATGGAATTTCTGCTGGAATGCTTATAGCCTAGAATAGCTTGGAAAGCGTGCCGAAAGGCTAGGGGTATATCCACAGCATGGACGTTGTGGCTCTGGAGAAATACAGCAGTCATGATATGTCCATTTTTCAAGAAAAAAAGATTTGCTCTCTTCTCTAGTGAAGGACAGAGGCGGCAAGAGGTGTGATCATGAGAAGGAGAAGTGATGTGTGCAGGAGGGAGGTTGTGGCGCAGGTGGGGCAGATGGCTGAGGCCTACATTGAGCTGGCAGCTGTGCCTGCAGCGGACAAGGCCACTGAGATGCCCTTCCCTTCACCCATCAGGCGCTCCACCAAGGCACTCAACAAGGTGCCACATGCTCAGTGTTTATTTCCCGGTGTTCAGATGTCCTGCTGGGCGCTGTCCGAGCGTTCAGATGCCATGCTGCGTATTGACTGTGAGATTCAGAGTTGGGCATCGGATCAGCCCTAACTTGGCTGGGAGTGATGCAATTTGATGTAAAAAGTAATGCAGCAGTCGAATCGGCTCGCTCTTCCAGCTTCTGCTGCACCATGGAGACATCAGTGGTGATTTTTTTGATGCCATGCTCAGGTCCCTGTGGTGAGTGTCAGCATTCCAGTGGATCCCAGCTGCCGCTACAGCGGTCTGGCCTGCTTCTCGCACTTTGGGGAGGGCATCACCTTTGTTGGGGGCATCAACAAGCCAAAGCTTGTGCAGTGCTTTGACAGGTACTACTCCATTTTGTCACCACCCACATTCACCAGAATGCATGCCTTGCAATTTGCCCAGGGTCGTTTTGCTGCTTGGACCCATGCATGATGTGTTCCTGCATTTGAGAAAAACACAGAGATGCTGTGAGAGGAGGATTTTAATCTCAATAGTGGCACGCAAACTAAATGTCATGGTCTCTTGCGCTGCCGAATAGATGTAATTTGACCCTCGCCGGAGTCCTTCCTGAGCACCGGTCCTTGTGTGAGTAGTGTGGGAGTGCGGCACCGGCAGCTGGTGAAGTCCGGCAACGACGATCTGCGGCAGGATGCGGTCATGCAGCAATTCTTTTCGCTCATCAACGACCTGCTCGCGCAGAGCGTGGAGACGCGCAAGCGGTGCCTCAGCATCGTCACCTACAAGGTGATTGCTCCTTTGCTACCCAATCCCTGCAAATTCTTGATTCCCAGCCTCTGCATGAGTACTGCTACAACTGTATAGCTCAATGAAGAGCCTTGCTGGCTCAGCATTCAGAACATGCCATCATTGCTGCGATGCGGTCATGATACTTCGATCTACATTAGGTGCTTTCTCTAAAGAATATTCTTGCTGGCACAGCCATCAGAGCATATCAATATTGCTGCCGCTGTTACTGCAGTGCCAGTGCCACCATGAGAGACTGTGTTGTCAAGTGGTGTCTTATAAAACCGCGGCTGCGGCTGCTGCGATGCCAGCATGAGAGACTGTATGCTGAGGTGCTGCCTTTCTCTCCTGCGGCTGCTGCACTTGCAATGCAATGAAAAGAGACTTACATCTTCAGGTGGTGCCTTTCTCGCCCGCGGCTGGGCTGCTGGAGTGGGTGGAGGACACCGAGCCGCTGGGCACATACCTGACCGGCAAGGAGCGCACTTCCGGCGCGCATGCGCGATACGCGCGCCCCGGCGACTATTCCTTCTTCGACGCGTACAACGTCATCTCCAAGGCCAAGCCGCAGAACCTGCGCAGGGCCTACGACGACGTGAGCTTCTCTGATGACTCATTTCTGCCCTTGTCAAGCAGCATCCTCGCATTGTAGTAATTTCCGTCCTAAATTTGTTTCATTTCACATGCTTAGAAATGAGCAGCAGGAGCTTGCCTGACCACCTCATTGCCCTCATGAAGCAGCATTTGCGCATTTGTTTTTGAACGCTGACTCACCTTGTCTGGCTTGCTGAACCATGAGCAGCAGGACCTTGATGTGTCTGAAAGTTGCTGAACAGATACCTGCATTGGCGCTGTGGCCCTCTGCGCTCTGGGTGCGCCATCATGAAGGATTGTTATTGGGGATTGTGATTTTTTTATGAACGAAAGAGGAGGTCATTTGGACCATCAGCTGAGGACTCCAACGACGGGTTCTCCAACAATGGCCTGACCCAATTGTGCGTGCAGGTGTGTGCGCGCTTCACGCCGTGCCTGCACAATTTCTTCCTGGAGTCTTTCCGGCAGCCGGCGGCGTGGTTTGAGAAGCGGCTGGCGTACACGCGCGCGACAGCCGTCAACTCCATGGCCGGCTACCTCATCGGCCTGGGCGACCGCCACTTTCACAACATCCTCATTGACAAACGCTCCGCCGAGGTGCGCTGCCTTGTCTCCTCTCCCTGCAATCATTCAACGTCTTCAGTGTATCCACAAGGGGTGTCCCACACGGGAGTAGGATTGTGGCAGCCTTTGCATGCAGCTTCTCGGCATGCGCACCTTGCCTCTGGCAGGAAAAGTGTGTAATATGTAAATATTAGAAATATCCATGCAATGCCTTCTGAGGCGCACTGGGTAACTCTGGCAGAGGTCTGCAGCGGCTGCTGATTATGCAAAGAGTGCCTGTATCAGGAGATCGGGAGTTGTTGAATCAATTGCTGCGGCCAGACAGCTCTGCTCCAGGGATGCAGAGGGCTGCTGGTGCAACACCAATGTCCGAGTTTTTATCTAGAGCCTGAGATCTGCAAATTGGTGCGTGCAGGTGGTGCACATTGATCTGGGGGTGGCGTTTGAGCAGGGCCGGTTCCTGAACACGCCCGAGCTGGTGCCCTTCCGCCTCACCCGCGACGTCGTGGACGGAATGGGCGCCACAGGTCACCACTTTCACATCTTGCTTTTGGCTTTAGACCCTCATTGACCCTGTTGCAGGGAGTATAAAATCTACTGGGTGGTATTTGGTGCCCCCTGCCTGTTGCTGTCTCACTGTCTATGCACTTGCATTCGCCCTTGCAACCCCGTGATTTCCATGCCTCCTAGAGTGATGGATTTGCATGCATAAAGATGATTTGGCTGCATGGAAGTGCAGCGTGATTCTGCATATACTCCACCTAGGGTTTAGGGTTGATGAAGGGTGAACATACTGTCGTTGGAAGTTCAATCAAGCTGATGGACGCGCAAACGCAGGCGGTGGGATTCATTCAGGGTACAGGGTCGATGAAGGCTAAAATTGCTAATTTAGAAAGGGTTCATTAGGGCTGAAATGGGAGCACGGGTGCAGGGGTGGAGGGTGTGATGCGCGGGTGCTGCGAGGAGACGCTGCGGGTACTGCGCGTGCACAAGGAGTCGCTGCTGACCATCGTGGAGGTCTTCATCCACGACCCCCTCTACCGCTGGGCCCTCACCCCAGCCAATGCACACCAGCGCCAGGTCTCCTCCATGGCCGACCCCGCCGGCTTCCCAGGTGACCCCTCTCTTCCCAGCGCTGAGATCCCCATGGGAACAACCTTGATGTTGGTTGTCAAAAAAGATATTGTGAGGCGCGATGAGGATGCAGGATTGCGGGTGACCTCTTGCTGCATGCTGACATGGTGCCCCTTGCATTGTGGCGATGATCACTATCCGCACAGCTCTCTCTGAGTGCTCTTTTCGTCCCTTCACATGCCTCCCACACCCTCTCTTTCCCTCTTCTCTGAAGCTGACCAATAATTTCCTCTGACTGTGACGCCTTCTGTGAAGGGGCGACACATTCTTGCCATTCTATTTGTCTGGACATGGCAGGCATTGCTCTTGGCCAGCGATCAAGATAGGACCTTTTGAAATTTGCTTCAGCAAACAGGACAGCAACGTAGTGTGCAAAATGGGCCCTTGTGGATATGGGGGGTGCAGAGCTGCTAGATATAAAAAATAAAGCGTGATGGGTGGCCGCTGCAGAGCTGGAGCAGCCGCTGAACGGCGTGGGAGACGGCATTGCCAACGCGGACGCCAAGCGCACCCTGCTGCGCGTCAAGCAGAAGCTGGAAGGCCTGGACGGAGGTGAGTAATCATTCTGATCCTCATGCCTTTCAGTGTATTTGGGTATCTGCATGGTGGCACCCGAGCAAATCTGTCAAGGTTACTGATTGGATTGTCTGCAGGTCTGCCAAAAAGCCTTCATGGTGTGCTCCTGTCCCTTGTGCCATGTGTTGAATGAGTCCCTGGCAAAGCAGGTCATGAGTTGTTTGCTTGGAGCAAATGTGTTGAATGGACCCATAACACTCAGAGTTGTTTTTGTTGCCTGAGGACAGGTGAGGGGGAGGCCAAGAGTGTGGAGGGGCAGGTGCAGCAGCTGCTGCAGGAGGCTCAGGATCCGGACAGGCTCTGCCGCATGTTTGTCGGCTGGGCGCCCTGGCTCTGACGGCCCAAAATCCCCAACGACCCAGAATGCCCAGTAGCATCGATATCAAACATGCTGCTGCCGACTGTTGAGCCCGAACAACACTGTGTCGCTCCTATCTGTATGCGGAAACTCCTTGAGAACTCAACACCCATCATGCACAGATCTGATTTTAGAACACTAGGAATGCAATATCCTACGTTGAACCATTTGAATAATGGGGCCCTGAACCTTGAACTTTGAACAGAAGCATGCGTGTGCCGTGGGGTGGAATGCTGTGATATATATTCATGAATAATGATGTAGATCTAGATAATTGCAATCGAATATTCCTTTACACATATGGTAACGTTATAGCAAAGTTCATGACACTTCTTCGCTCGAGCTACTTCACACGGGCGTTCTTGTACAAGTACATGCACTCCAATCTTTTTGATCTACTGTCTCAAAGTTCATCCTACCATAAAGCACACGTGTCAATCTGACACTGTCAAGTACCTCTCTTTAGAAGATCCCAGTATCAGGCATTAAAGAAATTTCATTAAATTCAGAGGCTCAGCAGTAAGTGATTCAGGTGTTTGTATGTTCAAATGTCACATATTTGACTCAGTGAGTTCTGCAGCATTCCAAAAGTAGTAATCACCCAAATGCAATGACTTTGAGTTTAAGAGGTTTCATACAGCATAAACAAGTTTGATGCAGTTTCCTTTGTTTATAGATGGCTGCCGGCCAGTTTAGGGCACCTGTTGCCTCGCAAGGGCCTCCACCCGAAGCTCTTTTGTGGCCTCGGTGCAAGCTTGCACGCGCTGTTCCAGGACTGCAAGTTTTGATACAAGGTCCTCCACTGCATGGCAACACACTGTCAGCCCCAAATGGACCTGTCATGATTGCTCAGGACTCGATGGCATCAGCAAAGCGCTTCGTAACATAACACAATTACATGAAGAGACCACTCACCAATTCCAGCCTGCTTTGCAATGGCTGTTGTTGATGTGGCACACCTACAAGGAAGAGTGTAGTGAGCTGCATTACTGGCCTGCACAAAACACTGCAGTTGCACGAGAATCAAAATTCAGAAAGGACAGAGCTGCCACCTCGTCACATCTGTAAGAACTCTGCTGGAAGCACTCCGCGCCTCATCCATTCTATCTAGAACTTCTTCCTGCGAAGCAGAACGACTGGCTGGTCGAGGTAAGCAAAAGCTAAGCAACAGCTTAAGCAACAATTGCAGCACATTTGAGGCTTCACTATGTAGGCCTGCTTGTGAGGACAAGTAATGTGTTGGAGAGGTACCTGGCGCTGCACTGTTGCAACCGCATGCGCCTTGCACCAAGCCTAGACACACATGCCAATGCATCAGCCCATAGGAAGACAAGGATTTGGTGCAGGACACTGATGACCATGGTGTAAGTGCAACAACAGGGCGACCCTACCTGGTACCTTTCCAGCATTCGAAATATAGCTTGTGTGTCCAGGTCTACTGTCAGGGCACAGCAGCCCAAAGTACATTAGTACACCCAGACTGGCTGTAAGTTGGTCAGGTTGGTGCTGAAGAGAACAACTTGTTCAACACCTTGCTAGAGGGTAAAGTCTGGGATTTGATCCTGAAGGAGTTCAGCATGTCATTAATAGCGTACCAGCTTCTTTCAGATTCATGAGTCGCAGGTCTTGCTGCAGATCTTTCCATGCCGGATCTTTGCCCTCTTGCAAAATGGGAGGAACCTGGACAAAAAAAATTCAGTCTTCGCTGCTGAGCTACATGTATGATCATTGTTGAATTGCGTTGTGTACAGAGTGCAAGGATCCCACTGACCTGTTGCAATGACTTCAGTTGCATTAGAATCGGGTGTATTCGCTCGCTGCGTCTGTCGCCGCTGACGGTGACGATACCGTCATCTTCGCCCTGCACATGCAATTATAACTTTACAAATTACTAAACAACATCCTTCCCTATAAGTTGAATATGGCATCAGGATCGCACCTCTTTTCCGTAGCCTGCACCCATGGTGATGGGTGATCAGAACCAGCTCAGCATTCAAAATTAATTTATTGCAGCATCTTCATGATACTCATTGTTGCGAGCTCTGAAGCTTCTCTGTCTGGAAAGGCGAGAATTATTGTTGTGTAAAACCAAGTTGCAGGGTCCCGGCTTCCGATCTGGAAGAAGCTGTCCACGTGGACGTTACAAACGCTTACGTCTAAGATCATGAACCAACTGTTTCTTAAGAAATTGCAGTCCAATCGTGCGATCAGAGATCTTCTGAAATCTTTGCATCTGGCCACTAGCGCACCTCTTCCCACGGCTCGTGCCACAAGCGCAGCTATTTCATGGTTTTACCCTGCTTAGCGTTCTTCCGACACTAAAGAAACAAGTGGGGCGGACAAAAACTATATCTTGGACGACAAGTCAACTTGAGCAGGCTATTTTATACTTAAAAGGGAACCGGTGGAACAGTTTGTTACATCAGGAGCAGAAACACAGAGCTACACAACCTGTGCGACATTAACTGTGGCTAGTTTCGCAAGATCATCCTCGGCCCACAATGTGGACCATAGGCAGCCTCGATGTGCAGGAATCCGCTCTTGTGGGCGCGCTGATTGTGGACTTCGCTATTCAGTGGGTGAGTCACCTCCCAGCATGACCTCAACCACACATACACTATTCATGAGACATCCAAATCGATTGCAGAAACCCCACAGTACTGTTTTCTAACCATATAAAATTTATATAAAAGAGCCTCACTCATTCTCTTCTCACTCCTGGCTCTGTTGCAGGTGGGCTGGGCTGTGTCAGCAGCATTTAAGACAGAGAAGCTTTATGATGCACTCGGCAGTTCAGCCTTCGCAGCATGCGCGATCGGCACCTTGACATATGCAAAATACTATTATGCTCGCCAGATCGTGGCCACTGTCTTTGTGATGGTGTGGGCAGCCAGACTCGGCGGCTTCTTGTTCTTCAGGGTCCTCAAAACTGGCTCGGACAGCAGATTTGACGAAGTCAAAGAACAGCCATGTAAGCCTCCAGGTCCTTCTGTGGAAATTTGGAATTCTCGCAGTGCATGCTGCATGACTATGACTTAACACTTTGCGTTTGCTTGGCGCAGTAAAATTTTGGATTTACTGGACGCTGCAAGCGGTGTGGGTGTGGGTGACGCTCCTGCCTGTCATCATCTTGAATGGCAGCGATCACAATCCAGGTGCGAAGCCATCTGCAGTCACCTTCTAATCATATATTTGTGCACACATTGCGACTCTTTCATGTCAAAGGTGTGTTTTGTGCAGCCATCCATGTTTCAGATTCTGAGATTGCTGCCATTGAGCAGGCTTGTGGCCATCAGACATCATCGGTGGTCTGCTCTGGGTTGTGGGCTTTACTCTAGAGACAACGGCAGACTTTCAGAAGTATGCCTTCAAACAGAACCCGGCCAACAAGGGCCGGTTCATCAGCACAGGTATCCTCCCTGTCACAGCAAGCCTGCAGATTTCTGAATATCCTGCTTTTTTCTAACAAGCATATGCTCGGGAATATATCCGGAAGCTTTGATGCTGGGTACAGAGTTACTTTGTGAGTGCATATTCGCTGCGTGCTGTGCAGGCGTGTGGAAGTATGCTCGCTATCCAAACTACGGTGGGGAGATGCTGGTCTGGTGGGGCCTCTGGCTGCTGAGCATCCCAGTCCTGGACGGCGGTTACTGGGTCTGTGTGGTGCGTGGCCCAGCAGTGCACACCCCCTGGTCTTACCTTTGCACAAAACCCTCGCTCTATTCCAGATACTGCAATTCCTTCTTTGCGTGCCTCACAATCCCATAACGGGACCCGGTGACTTGCAAATTGATTGCATCATGTACTGTGATATTACTGAACTGCACTCCGACAGTCGAGGACTCCCGGACTGTACTTCCGGATTGTGATAGTTTGCAAGCGGATGAAATGGTACACGAGCATGTGCTTAACAGCTGCAATGTTGTGGTGCAGGTGTCGCCGCTGTTCCTGATGTTCCTGCTGCTCTTTGTGAGCGGCGTGCCGCTGCAGGAGAAGCAGGCCAAGGAGCGCTGGGGCAGTGAGAGCGCCTACCAGGCCTACCGCCGCTCCACCTTCCTGCTGTTTCCCATCCCAAAGTAAGCAAGTCCAGCCTATGCAATTACGGAGCAGTGAAGTGCGTGTGATTGTACTGTTGAGGTGTGTGACCTGCTGAGCAGTTGCCAATGTGATGTGTGTGCACTGCCAATGTCTTCATCTGGCCAAGGACATGCTGGGCAATAGGGATTGTCAACGATCATGATATTGTCTATACGCAACGTGTGTTGACCCTTCAGGCAGATCTTGAATCAGAGTTTCTCATGCAGACGCCCATGGTGCAAACAGGTTCTGGCGCAAGGAGAAGCCCGAGGTTGAGCAGGAGTTGCAGGCGTGACCTGATGCCTTGGATGAGGATGTGCTCATGCGGAATTCTGGATATCAGCCGGGAGCATCTCGCAATGCATGCACTTGGTAGCACCATTTTCCTAGCTTTGGAATTCTTTGCACCGCTTTTTAGAATTGTTTAAACATTCCGAAGAACTTGAGATAACAAGTCATTGTCAGGCCTTTGCCATCTGTCAATGCAGAACGGCTTGCTGATTGAAACAAATAAGCAGATAATTACACATTGCTTTGCAAGTATGAGTATGATTTGCAAGAACTGCTGCAAGCTCAAGATTGGTTTCCATTGAGCACATGTTCAGGCAATCCCACAAGTAGTACAAAACATGACATAGAAATGACGGCAATATCGCAATAAAATAATGCGTTTCCTGAAAGTCTTGGTCTCCACCTGGTCAGGCTGACATTTTACGGGTATACTGCAAATATCTTGAGGGTATCTTTCAGCATTGTCACAATACGGGAGACCCAATTCAACACATGCGCAACAATGTATTCCAGGTTGCTGAGGTGGGAAACTTCACAAGCAGATGTGCTGCAGCACATGGTGCCATGCCAGGCTTCACTTGGTCCTGGCCTTGGTCTTCTTCTCTTTGTAATCGCTGACAAATGTCCATGTGGGAGTGGTTGAGTACACCTCCAGATGGTCCACTGTGGGCAGACCTGCACCAGACAGCAGAGCTAACATGAAGATCCTTCCATTTTCTTTAGCATTTATTGTTGCATTGTTGCGAACATCTGGCATGCATTCTTTGCAAAGCAGCTTGTAGACCAGTAGCACCATCATGATCACTGCACGGTGTTCCTGCCAGAGGTGAGGTGCATGGGCTGACGAGGTGCAGGCAAAGCAGGACCAGTGACCCATGTAATGCCTTAATTAAGGCTTAGAAGTGCAAATGAGCCGAGTATTACAGGGAGATGAGGGGCGCACTGTGGAATTTGCGCTCGTAGACCTTGCGCTCGTTGCGCCACCACTCCAGCGGCTTGCAGCTCACCCGCGTGCTGCGCCGCCGCCCTGCGTCAGGCTGCAGCCCCACCCCTGCCCCCAAAAATTTACACCCTCTCACCTAACTCCACCCTCATTGCACGTACACCTCTCTCAGACCAGCAATCACACACACACCTGCACCCGCAAATGCTAAACACTGCCTCATGTGGGCATTGCCACAGTAATGCGGGCTCACTGACCGCAACCAGAGGAAGAGTCTGGACATTCGCATTCTACAGTTCACAGCTAAGATTGCTGAATGTGAATATGTGCGGTGGGACAGCACCTGCGAGGCTCTTGCGCGCGCGGAACTCGCGCTTGAGCCGCTTGTTGCAGCTGACGGGGATCCTGTCATGCACACGCGACGGGCCTGCAGCGGCGTCGCCTGCCTGCTCGCTGGCCTCGGCCTCCTCCTCCGGCGCAGGAGTGTGCTCATCACTGCCGGCCTCCTCCATCTCTGCATCCTCCTCTGGGCCCTCAGCGCCGCTCATGTGGTCCATTTCGGACGGCTCCCCTAGATCCCAGTCAGCACCTCCGCCGCCAAATCTGCGCATTTCAATTATCGCAGCTTCAATACCCTCTGCATAAGAATGCTTCCAAACTCTGGTGGCGCTCTTGAGCAAGGATACTGAGCTCAGGATCTCTTTGTGATGAGGAGTACTCATTCACATACACCGGCAACGATGTGAAAGGGCGAGAAGGCAGTTGAAGACAAGAGGGAAAGTATGCTGTGGGATGAAAAGCATGCAACAAGAAAGCACTGCGCACCCATCATCATCGTCGTCATCATAGTCCATGCCCAGATTCGGCTCGGCCGCAGGTGAGGGCTGCAGCGAACAGGCCACCACAGATTGGCCCAAAGACGAGCGCTTGGGCGCGCTGTGCAGAGAGGCCGGAGTTGCCGGTTGCGGAAATTGCACCTGTGGGGAGGGGTTGTAGTCGCGCAGATGCCAGGGGCTGGTCGGCGGCGCGCCGTCCAGAGAGTCAATGCCTGCACAGACCCGTTCAATTCTTATGACAACACAAAGAGCAATTTTCACTCACATTGAGACTCAGCCAGGCCATGGGGCTTGGCCGCTCGCCGCTCCCTTGTGTCAATGTTTCCATGGCAGCACAAGATGCTTCCCTTTTATTTCCTCCTTTGTTTAATGGCCACTCAATTGACAGGGCATAAGCAGCAGGGTTCTGAGCTCACCCTGTCTCCGGTGCAGCGCCTTGCCGCCGTCCGCGGCGAAGAAGCCCAGAGGGTCACCGCCGGCCTGCTCCATGCGCCCGCCGAGCTGCTGCGGCGCTGCCGGAATCCCCCCGGCCGCTCTCGAGAAGGCGAAGCTGCCGCTCGAGCTGCCTCCCCCGGGCGCTGCAGAAGCCTGCGCTGCCTGTGGGAGCACGCCGGCTTCAGTGCCACTCATATCTCGTGCAAATGTCAGCCTTACAGCCCAACTTGGCTTGTCCTCTTTGGGAGATCAAGGACTGGAAGCGGTGGATTACCTGTGCTCCGGCAGCAGTGTTTTGCTGCAGGAGGCCCTCCACAGGAGAGTCATGGTCGGGATCGCCCCCGGAGGCCAGCACGGCGGCGTCTCCCGGCGTGAACAGCCGACCGTCGGCAGCGGCGCTGCTGCGCGCTCGGCTTGGGCCGGGCGTCGTGGTGTGCAGCCGCCGCCGCGCGCACGTGGCCGGCAGCATCGGCCCCAGCCTCTCTAGCACGCCCTCCATCGGCGTGAATGCCTGCCGCAGCCCTTCCCAATTAAGCACGATGCCCGGCCAAGCGCTTGACATGACACGCAAGACAGAACGGCAGAGGGGTCTAGCTGTGGTTGGTTGAGCAGAGTGAATGCTCGTGACAGTAGCAGAGTGTCTTGTAAACGGCGTCTTCTTGGCAAAAAGGGTAACTGCGTGGGCAGGCACACCAGGGCGGGGGTCTTGGGCTGCAGCACAAAGCCGTGGCGCTCGAGGACGCCTTCCATTGGCGTGTCGAAGGAGGCACTCCTGCTGCGGCGGCTTAACGTGCTGCGCACATCCGACTGCGCTGCAGATGCACGCAGCGCTGTCCCCGGTGTGCGCGGCAGCGACGCAACCTCCATCGCAACCTGCGATTCCCAGCCACTCTCTCTGAGTCCCATATCCCACCCGCGCCAGGCCTACTTGTACATGCACCTTGTGTATGCCCTAAGAAGGGGAGTAATTGTTCAGAGGTGGAAGATTGAGAGGATAGAAATTGATCCAGAGAGCCCATGCAGTGTGGGAGGGGTCACCTCTGGGGTGGGGCAGTAGGGCGTGGGTGGTGGTGGCACCCTGTGGAATTCCACGTCGAGCGGCCTAGCTGTGGCCTGGCGCCCTGAGCCTCCCCTGTGCACGATTGCCGCCTGTCGCGCGCTCCTTGCCTCCTGGAGCAGCGCCAGCAGCACACTGCCTGCTAGGCGCTCCTGTCCTGGCTCCTGATGAGCTGCTTGCTGTTTCCTGACAACGCCTGGGCACAGCAGAGGACGACTTGTGTGATGCGGATATCAGTCAATGATCGCGTAGAGCATAACTTCGTAGGTACTGAAGACTTTTAGGCACTCGCACCTGGAGTGGATGTCTGCACATTCTCTGTGTCAGAGCAGTCCCTGGTAACTTGCTCTGGCAGCCTGTGGAACACACGCGAAGACATATGGTTGGTTTGTTGCTAATGCAAGAATTCCAGATGAAAGACTCCGTTCTCGGGCAATAACCAAAAACCCCCCTCACCTGAGTTGTAGCATGATACTTCTCTTGGATGTTGCCCTGCCACTGCCTCCTCGAGCTCGAAGGAGGGGTTTTCGCAAAGGAAACCACGACTCCAATGACCTTTTAGCTGCCGAATTAAGCTCTGGAGGTGGCAGAACTGCTGCAAGTTGGAGTGCTGCAGGGTCTGCCTTCTGAGCTTGCACATTTTTTGCAGTTGGCTCCCTGAACGGAGTGCGAAGCACACTATTCATGGTCTCCTGGAGTACTGCTGTCATCTTTATTATTCTGGGAGTTCCGGAGAACTTTTAAAGCTCCTCAAGAACTTTTGGATTGTTATGGGAAATTGCCACCGCCTAGCGAGTCATCAACAGACGCGTAGTTGAATTGAAAACTGGTCTGCTGCCTGTAGGATGTGATTACTACCTGAGCAGCAGTGGGGGTCCCATGATCGTGATGAAAAGCTGCTCGCATAGATTTCGTTTTTTTTGAAAATGACCGTTGAAAGAGAAGGTTCACCGTCGAACTGTTGATGTGACATATTAGTAATGTTCACGTGGCATGTGCACGTTCGACCGTTTTCGGAGAGAATGCTTCGCCTGTGGGCAAATTTCATCATAGAACACCATACATCAGTAGGGAAGAAGCAATCTCAGCTGGCAAGATTGAATGATCCAACGGAGCACGCCCATATCTGGGCTATGCTCAACGAGTGCACCCGTGCAAAATGGTTTCGGGTTCTGCAGACATACACATAGGGCTAGCAGATGTGCAACACTTGTAAATAGAGTACAACCCCACAACACCCCGACGCACATAAGGCAGATCTGCCTGGACAAAGCGATTCTTTGTAGGGCGGCATCTACAGGTCAGTTGTCTTCTTATAAGCAATCCTAGGCAAACGTATAGAGTGATGTTGTCAGCGATTTCTTTGAACACCAACTTGTAGATGTGGTGATTGAGATCTAGGCCCTTGTACGCAGAGGATGCAGAAACGGAGCTGGTGGGAGAGGATGCCCAGCGGTGGCAAAGCTCCCTGCAGCGAGTAAGTGCATTGGGATTCGACGATGAGGAAGCAGAGAAAATACTGCGAAAGGCCTTCGGATGGGCTTCGCAGGGGTACTGGCGAAAGAGTAAAGTGAAAGAGGTTCCTTCACAGGACCAGGTACTGCTGGTCACCCCTGGCAAGCTGTGATCCATGAACATGACAGCCAATAATTAATTGATTGTACCTCATGGGCAATGACCTGTTCTTTGGCCTGCCAGGTGGATGCAGCTGTGTCTTTTCTGACGGATAGCTTGCGCTTGAAGGAAGCTGATGTCAAGAAGGTGATGGCATCTCCTGCAACACGTGCTTAGAGAAAGACATGTCATCATGCAGAAAAGAGGGCAAAGGTTTCCGAGGCAGCGTTGCTGACTCCCAACTGTGTTTGCAGGCCGTGAAAAATTTCCCAGAGGTGCTTGGACTTGATGTTGAAAGCCAGATGCGGGCAAACGTGGAGAAATTGAAAAAGGACTGGAAGATGACGGACAAGGTCATCCCCAATGTTGTGAAACGTCAGCCCCAGGTCTTAGGCTACAATGTGGACTGCGAAGGGAATTGCTTGGGAGAGTGCAACAGATGCTGGATCAGGCTGTGATCTGTGTGTTTCTTCTTTGGTTTTTTCGTCTTAGTTACACGTGCTTAAGGATCCAGAACAAATAGACCGAATTACAGTGGCATCTCTGCTCCGTCCAGGATGACAGAACTTGCAAAGACCAACTGGAAGCATTCATACCTTGATCATGAGCAAGCAGCAATGATGCACAGCATCCAACTGATTGCTGGAAACTCACAGTTGTACACTACGTAGCCATGCCAGAAATTGGGGTGACCAGAATTGTTGACATCAGAGGTCCCTGCACTGCAGCCGACTCCTCTGACAGCCTCAAGAAGCTCCCAAGGAAGCAGCATCGCGCTCAAATTGCTGTGCGGCTTGCCATGTCATTGGTTCGCCGAAGAGTTGATCGGCGCATTGTGGGGAGATGGTGAAAGTGTCGCAGCCCTGCATGCTAGCTGTATTAATTGCTGCAAGCACTTGGAAACAATGGCGTCAAAGTCAAGTGTGCAAATTTGTAAGGAGCCAGAGGCTTTCTGGATGTCACCCGGGAGGCAAGTGCAACGATGTCTTCAGGCGATCTCACGCTGGCGACCAACAAGCGCATGCTGCTGCCCATTGCATCGATCATCTGCTGCATGCTCACAATCTCTCCACGGCCCTGCATGTGAGGGAAATTTACAGATAAGCACATGCCCACACATGACACATTCATCAGGAGGACCTCGTACTCTATTCGCCGCCATGGCCAACAGGATTCCAAGGGCACTGATCAGGATCATGATCTGCAATATTGGTAGCCTGATGAGTCATGAGTCATCACTCACGTTTTTGCCGGCATCATTCATCCTGCCAAGGTAAGGCGCCGCATAATCCGCCTTAGCGGCCATTGCCGTGAATGCTTGATGTGCTGTGTACACACCTGTAGCAGCGCAAGGCCTTTATCAGCATTGAGCATGCACGGTCACCACGTTGGCAGAGTGCATGTGTCCACACACTGGATCACACACAGTGACACAGCATGCAGAAATGAGCCTCCACCTGTCAGAGTGAGTCTGACGCCTTGAGATCTCAGGAGACCAGCTGCCTCCACCCCGGCATCTGTGATGGGCAGCTTGACCACAATGCGCGTGTCAAGGGCAGCCAAGTCCAGGCCCACAGAGTACAGCCTCCCGGCTGTGCCACCCCATGCTTGCAGCTGCAGCTCTTGCGCTCCCAAGCTGAAGGCCTGGAAGATGTAGATTACAGAAGTGATGATGCGGTCCAGCTTCTACCTGATGTGTCCTACATCCATGAGGGCCTGCAAGTATTCCCCTCAGTGCTCTACTGGACTGAGCAAGGTGAGCATACCTGCTGCGCCAGCACTTTTAACACTTTCATATTGCAGGCAGGGACCTGGTCTCTGAGTAGGATGGTTGGGTTGGTAGTGAAGCCTGCCCACACCCAGAGGAATTTGTCAACACTCTCCTTTCAGGCATGTCACAAAGCCAACGCAGACCGAACAATATGCTCATCGTTTTTCATTGCAAGATCAATTCCCACCGTAAAATAAGCGACTGTTAGACCACTGCTCCCACTTGAGCACTGATGCTGAATCCAGATACAGCTGTAATTTGCCGCTGTTTGACAGGGGTGTCGTGGTATTGCTGAATGTCTGCTTAGCTTCTGCTGTTCGCATAGAACACCTCACAGTCCGGAGTCTTCTCGTGGGAGCGATATTGCAAGCCAGATGGAGATCAGCACCATCTGATCTGTGCAGTGGGGAAGGTCTCATGGTGATGTGGGCTGCTCAAAATTGAGATTGCAAATATATTCTTAAAATTTTGGGGAACACCACATCGGTGATATAAGACGAATTTGATCAATTGTCTCTCATGCACAAGAGAGAAACCTTGGATTTGGGCATGTCACAATTTTCGACCATGAAGTCCCATACATGAAGAGAGAATGTCTTTCAAACAAATCCAGTCGACCATTTCTCACATCCAGAAACTAGATGACCTTCTTTTGAAGCAGTATCAACTTCTGTAACAAGACTCTCAATACACACTTTCAGACTGCTTCAAGCGCTGGCCTGTAAGACACAGGCAGCTGCTGCGACACCGTAGCAAGTGAGACAGGGATCTGCCCTAGTCGTCATCTCTACTTATTTCACTGCAATAAGCATCCTGGCACTCAAATTCAGCACCTGCTTGACAGATTAAAGTCCGCAGACAATTGATTTTCCAGTGTCTCGCATCCACACGCCTGTTCAACATCACGTTTCTGTTGGCATGTGCCGCCCTCCCGTCTGACCATTGGGGACTGGCATTGTCACCGGAGTTGTCAGTGGGGATGAAATGGGGTGTGACTCCACCCTCTCCCCTTCCGCTGCATCCTGCTCCTCCTCCTCCTCCTCCTCGATCTGGCCCTTAGTGGGAGTTAAAAAGATATCATCCCCATGTCCCCCCTCCGCGTCCTTGCTGGACCCTGCAGACACACAATTGAGCCCGTCTCAGCATCCAAACATTCATACTGACAGCTGCAGGCCCCTGCTCTGCTGTGCAACGGGCGGGATGCTGTCGCACCAGGCGCTGTCTTGGACGAGCCTGCAATGCCCGCCCGAGAGCTGTCAGCTCTTCCGTTGGTGTGAGCAGCATCACTGGTGCTCGCTGCATCGCGCTCGGCTGCCGGGCCGGCCTCATGCTGCAAGCCCCCATCTGCAGCCTGCTCACTCGCCGCACCCTTCCCATCCTGTAGCTCCCTCACATCTGCTGGTGCACCCTCCGCTGCAGCATCCTGCACGGAAGCAGCGGCGGTGGCCGGGTTGGCCGGCTGCGGCTGCGCGCTGAGGGCGTCAGGGTCGGCATCGGCTTGGGCAGCACTGGACTGGGTCTTCAGCGGGGACGGTGCTGGTGTGCGCTCAAAGTCCGTGCCGGAGCTGATGCGCCGGTGCCGCCTCCTGCTGCCAAGTGGACTTGCCTGCGCATGGTGCAGAAACATCACTATTGTGCCCTCATCTTTGACTTCAAAAGTCAGTGCAGGAGCCGTCACACCTATCGCTTGTTTCCTATGCGGGCCTCAGCACCAGGATGTCCAGCAGGATGCAGCAGCAGCAGCAGCGCCCTACAGGCTTGCAAATAGTGGTCTGAGCTGGGACATGAGCTCGTTGAAGTCCCTTCTAAGAACCTGCAATCAGCTGACTCACATGGAGCATGCCGCCTGGCACGCTGGGGTCGCTGGTGGCGGAGTTCTGGTGGCGCAGAGAGCTGGAAGTGCGGAAGGGGGAGCCAGCAGAACCCCTGTAGGGCGTCCCTGATGGAGTCTCTGTCGGCGTATTGTACTCTGAGTTGCCTGGTGTGCCTGCAAACCACCCATCGCACATCTTTCTATCAGTGCGCTGGCTACACACTACAGATATGCCACAAGAGGCTTTGATGCACTGATGTCAGGTATAAGGTGTAAATATCAGTGCTTCCACCTGCATGTCAAGGGGGTGCATTGTTGGAAGTTGTGTTGCTCTTACCAATAAGGCGCTGGAGGTACGCTGACGGGGACTTGGTCATGCGTGGGCCACTGCCGGCGTTGCCCTTTGCCACCTCAGACACCAGCGCCTCAGCCACCTATGCACACACCCTTCCCTGAAAGTCCAGCCTGCCAAAAATCCAGTCTATCTGCACGAGGAACAATGCAAGCACGCAGCACCCAAGAAAGACATCTGCCCTTTCACCGTTTGTGAAAATGCTTCGTGACAAGCTGTTCTCGGGTTGTCAGATCCTTGCTGGGCCCAACAAGACAGCGCAGTCCCCTGCTCCCGAGCAGCACGATAAGACTCAATGAAGACAGGACCGTAACAGGCCTTATAGATATTTCTAAGCAATTACCGCGGGGTCTTCGCAGAGGCGACGGAGGGCCTGGCGGGCCATCTGAGCGCCCTGCTTGCCCTCGGGTGCGGCCAGCCGCAGCAGCGCGCCCAGGCTGTCAGCCGACACCGCCGCCTCAGCCGCCGGCCCCTCCATCGACGCCAGGTGCCAGAACGCCCTCGCCGTGTGCCGCTGCACCACAACAGCACCCATCCATCAGTGAATGTCCTCTCTTTGTATCAGCTGCTGACACAGCACTGGCAATTAGAAACGCGCAAGAGAAATCCTGCATCTTCAATAATTGGGGCAATCATTGCCAGTCGCAATTGTTGCTCCATGAATGCATGCAATATGTTGTCAAAGCTCTGAAAAATACACCATGAAAATTTTGAAAATATGTCGGATAGGATCCTGCGCACAGCTGCTGCCACAAACTGCATGGGCCATCGTGGGGCGTGTTGGGTAGCAGAGAAGACGAACGTCAATGCAAGTGGACAGAGGGCAGTGGGCAGTCGGCGCAGCGGGGGCGTGCCTGGACATCTCGATCGGGCGAGTCGGCGAGTTGGATGAGCGCGGGCATGCCGCCGTTGGCAACCAGCTGCTCTGCCAGGGCCGCGTCGCTGCATAAGTTGGCCAGCGCAGCCGCCGCCGGCCGCTGCAGCTCCGCATCCGCTGTCGGCTCGCCGCTCGGATGCGCTGCAGCAGAGCAGAAAGGATATTTTTACATTTTTGTATGCTCAACAGGTATTCTCACAGTTGCGTTGCAGGGAAAATTTTATGTGCTGAGTGCAAAATCTGGGTGGCACTGTCTCGATACAGATGGCGGCTGCTCTTCAAGACCAAACACCAATCAAGCACCAATGCAACGTCAATCACGTCGCCTGCACAATGGTTCAAGACCTGGCAATTTGCCGGGCAAGGCAAGCTAGAACATCCGCTCTGGTGAAGGTAGGAAAGAATGGCACGCCACAACGTTCTGCTTCCCATATCCAGCATCTGTGTTCATGTGTCTATGTGTCTCGTGAGCAATGCTTGGCAGGGGACTTGGTCTAGAGTCCCCTATGCTTGGGGGGGACAAGGCAGTCACCGGCGGAGCAGAGCAGCGGGAGAGTGCCGGCTGCGGCAAGGCGGGGCTTGAGGGCGTCGGAGGTGGAGAGCAGCGCGAGGCAGCGCGTGGCGGCCGAGCGCAGGTCGCGCAGAACCACGTCCTCAGTCCGCGCCAGCTCCACCAGCACCGGCAGCCCTCCCCTCTCCGCCAGCTGTGCACCACAGTCACATCAATCGTCAAAAGCCTGAGTAATGTCTTAATTCGATTTGATGCCTTAGTAAGTCCTCTGCAGGCCCCGACTACGCTTCAGGACGTATGCCAAGAGCATGTATGCTTAGAAACCCTCGGTGGAGGTAACCCGCTCCGCCAGCTGCACACAACGGCCACCCCAGCCACCATCAAATAGCTGATGAATCTCTTGGAGTACTTCAAGATATTAGCGGGCCCCAACCGGGCTTCAGGATGTCTGCCAAGAGCCTTATTGGTTTTGGCCCCTTGAGGAAAGAATCCTGCTGTGATTTTTGCCCACAGCAGTTACCCCAGCCGAAGTTAAAAGTTATCATCACTTGTACTTCAAAGTGATAATCACAATTTTCCAAACCTTGAATATGTTCACCAAGTGCTTCAATATGTAATGATTCAAAGCATGCCCCAAGTGGGCCTCACAGGGCCGCCAAGAGCTTTTCACTCCAGCTACGACGGCTGCTGTGTCCCAGATATTGAGAGGCCAGAAGGGCGCGGGCAGTATAACAAGAGAGCGGCGCGCACCTCTTCCTTGCGCTTGTCGTCTTCCAGGAGGGTGACCAGGGCGGCGATGGCCTCGCGGCGCACGCTGGGTACCTCGTCATCCTGCTGCGCCACCGCCAGCAGCATCATGGGGCCCCCCAGGCCGCAGATGGTGTTCCTGCGCACGCACGATACAACCTCCGATATTTTTGCAGAGATGATGATAATGGTGCAGTAGAGACTGCATGTGGCAAGAGACCATATCGCTTGGCATCCTGCCCTACAATGTGTAGAAAGAGGAGGGATCTGGTGGTGATGCACAATAGAATACTGACTGCTGGTAGCCAAAATTCCAGCAAACGCCATGCAAGCAGTCCAATCTCCGCATGAGCTCACTCTGAGCGATATCAGGCTTGGCTTCAGCTCTGCATGTTCTTCAGCATGGCGCATGCTCGCAATCCAATGAACCAATTGCATTGATTTCTTAATGAAAGATGCATGGGATTGTATCGTGATTCAACAAGATGCAATTTGGCATAGGAAAGACGCCGTACCTGTTGGTCAGGGACTGGGACAGGTTGGCGATCGTGCTGGCAGCTGACATTCGCACGTCCGCGCCCGTGAGCTCAGACGCACTCCTGGCATCCGCCGGTGCCTGGTCACGGGGAGTGTTCCCTATGCTGGCGGGCAGCAGCGCCAGTATGTGCTCCACCGTGCGATCCGGCAACGACTTCAGCCGCTGATCGTCCTCCTGCAGTGAAAAGAGAAACATCAGCTGGTCAGGTAATTACATCCAGACAAGAGCAGAAATGTTTGCAGACAATCGCTGTTACATCTGCAATTGCTTTTATCTTAAGATTTTGCCCTGTAACTTGTGCACTTTTCAGTCTTCTGTCAAAAAATCGTGCCTTTGCTGCAGAGGTCACAGAGCAGGTGGCTTTTCCAGACAGTGGTCTCACCAAACACTTGCTCTGGAAGGGGATCAAACAACTGCTGTACTAGCAAGCAATAAGGAGCACAAGGAGCTATGGCACCCTCAAGCAGGACCGTGATGTCACAGAAAGCAGGTGGAATTAAGGGGCAAATCACCTTGGTGAGCAGGGCCATGACTGCGACGGCCTGGTGCGACAGTTCAGTATGATGGCCGGCCAGCATGTCGGCCAGCGGCTGCAGCCCGCCCGCGTCGAGGATGAGGGAGCAGTTGAGCGGGGCCACCGCCAGCGCCCGCAGCGTGCGTGCCAGCACCTCCTTCATCGCCATCCCCTGCCGCGCTTCACAAGTGAGCATCGGTTCACACAACAGTCGCCTTTGGACCTAATTTGGCAGTGTGCACGTACCTCACAGCAGTGCATTGCATGCTGCAGAACACACCATGCACCTGTGGAAAGAAAGTGCCACCTCCTCCATCACCGGGCCCTGCCGCTCCTGAACCCTGCTTCCAGAACCATCTCTTGCCACCCAGGAACATGACAAGCCTGCACCTAATAGACAAGCCTCTGCACTGCCATCGAGCGCGGTGACATTGTATTACATGCTAGCGTACGCTGCATTAAACTTCCAAAAGAAATTGGCCCTGCCGCGGATCACTGATGTTGATTGCCTGCAGAAGTTAGAAGTAGGTATATTGCGACCTGTGCATCGGGGCCCTGCGCGGCCTTGATGAGGGGCAGCAGCTCGGTGTGGGAGGAGAGCTGCATGTACTCGGGCTCGCGGTTGCGCGCGGCCGCCTCCAGCCACGCCAGCGTCGCCTCCCGCAGTGGCCGCTTGCGCGACACCAGCCGCTCCACCGCCTTGCTCACCGGGCTTGCCTTGCTGCTGGCACCCTGCTCAGCCAACACCCTAACCTTGAGAGTCGCCGCCACGAGACATTCACTGCCTTCAAGTTGATGCACAGCTTCTAGGATCCAGGCAAAGCTTCTAGTGTCCAGAGCGTGAGGCGCTACTGATCAAATAATAGCCCTCTTCGTGAGAGCCTGTCAACAAGCTCAGTCAGACTATTCGAGGAACAGCTGACTGCACCCTGCCCGAAGCTGGAACCATGCACTCGATCACGAATCCAGCTCACAATGTGCAGGGATCATATCCAAAATAAAAGCTGCCCGCTCTGATGTGGATCAATCAAAGGTGATGCGGCCCAGTCACCTGCACGAAGGTGGGGTGCAGGACGTTGGCGGGGCGGGCGGACGCTGATGCGGCGGCGGACCCCCCGAAGCAGCCGCCGCAGAAGGGGTTCAGCAGGGCCCCCCCGGTAGCGGCCACCCGACGCCGCGGGTGGGGCTTGGCGAAGAGCTGCTTGGGGGTGCGGCCAAACTCCATCATCTGCACTCGCAGCGCCTCGCGCATCACTGCGTCCATCTCCTCCTCCAGCTGCGCCAGCGCTCTGCCGTGCACACCACCTTATTACTACACTCTTTCCATGACCAAATGTTGTTAAAGAAATGCATTTGCACATCCTGGAAGCACTCATTACACTCTTCCATGAGTGATTGTTGGCAAAAGCATGCCTGGCCTTTGGATGAGGTGAACTCGCTTCTGGTGCGGGGTATGTGCAGGGATCTTGCTGGAAGTCGGACTGGGCAGGGGGCAAATTGACTGTAGACGGCACACCACAGGCACCTCTGTACAGGTGATGCGGATGTATGCATGTATTTCAAAACTGCTACAGAGTGTAACTTGAGAGCAAGAGGGAGAGAGAGGGGCAAAGGCGCACATGTCATCATATGTGAGGTGGTGGAAAACGTTGTCGGCCTTCTCGGCGGCGGCGCCGCGGCTCCTGCAGCCAAAGACGAGGTCGATCCACTGGTGCAGCCGCGCTGACACATGCGGCGACTCCAGCGCCTCCGCCAGCTTTGCCACAAAGTCTGCCGGGTCTGACGCCCACGGCGGCAGCGCCACATCATCCACAATGCTCCCTGCACATCCAATATATCCCCCTGACAATATCTGCTGAGTCCCTGTCGGTTGATTCAACAACTGAACAGGCCAGTACCCCACCATCAGACATGATGCACTCCATAGACAGGGCCCACGATCGTTTATAATAACTGTCCTCATGTCACGGGTTGTAGGCTGTGGGCAACCACCCAAACATGAGACTCAATTCAATGCTCCTGTGGTATATGACAAGCTGTGGGTATCCCACATGGCCAGATATGTGTGTGGCCAGCAGGGGGAGTGTTGAGGGATAGAGCAGTGCCTGCAGCTCGCTCGCCAAAGTTGAGCTTCTCGCTGTTGATGAGGAAGGAGGGGTCCGAGTAGAACTCCGGTATGAGCTCCTTCACGTCTGTGGGCAGTGTCATCACGCTGTTCCAGGTGTCCAGCACCGACCAGAACACACGATCTGCGCACCCCCAGAACCCCACAATTTAGCCCCCCTTTCATAACCCGTTAATATGGAAATTACTTGCCAAGGCCTGCAGCAGTTGCCAATTTTCTTGGGATGCTTCAGGAGCCACAGCAAGAAGTAATACCTGGTGCATCAAAGCGCCCGTTCTGAAGCCTGAGCATGAGCTGCGGCTGGCTGCGCATGAGGTAGAACACCACATAGCCCGGCGTTGAATAGTGGCAGCCTGTGACAGCACATCCACTGTCAGAATTAAAGCATCCCACACTGAACTTCACTTCAAACTTCCGATACCAAAGCTTCAGAAGAGCAGCAGTGCCGAAGTAGGGAAGGGCAAAGTGGAGTGACGAAGCCTGAGTCACACAGGAGCTCACCATACATGAAGGGTGGCGACTCCAGAGGCGGGAGCATGCCAGGTATCTTTGTGAATGTCCATTCGTTCATCGTCTGCAGCCATGCCGCACATGTCAGCCAACATTCTGTTGCTACACACCAGGCTGTGTGATTCCTTTCACCCCACGCACAACAGGCACAAAGTGCATGATTCAAATTTTCAGACTTGCCTTCTGCTCCCTGTAGCGCTCCATGAAGTCCCTGAAGCGCCTGGGGCTCAGCGCGCCAATGGGCTTGGACAGATCCCTGCACCACCACATACCCAATGCGTCATTCTAAGCAACATACACACCAGGAAAGGCAGCACACACAAAAGGGTGCCCAAGCCATCATGCGACAGTCCTCAACATGTCCACAGTTTCAACAATTCACATGTCCAACCAGGCATTGATTGACCTACAAACAATGCCTGGCAAAGCAGCAACCTAGCGCACTCCTCTAAACGCCGATTTTGACATGCACAGCCAACTGCTCGATGCATGCACAGCAGCCGGGAGGGATCCCTCGATCTCTGTCTGGACGGCACCGAGCCATTCTAGACATTCAAACCTCTAATCTAGCAATGAAAATGGTTCACAGTGCGCGGCACCTGAAGGTGTCGGGGTCGGAGAGGTCCAGGGTGGCGCTGGTGTAGTCGCGCACGACCCAGGGGAAGACGGGGTACTGGGTGAGGTCCATGAAGGAGCGGCCGGCCTCGCGGTTGAGGAACATGAGGTAATCAAAATTACTAACGCGGCCGCGCTGCCAGTCGCGCCGCCACGCCGCCCGGTCCTTCCGCCGCTGCAGCGTCAGGTCCGACTGCCGCTCCAGCAGATCTGGTGGATCCACCCAGCCACACATCAGGATGGATCGGGCATGAACTTCGGATCATGAGTTCCCAATGTCAACTCTGATTGGATCAACCTGTGTGTGGCAGTGAAGGCCTAACCCCATCTCCTAAGACCCTGCCATGCAAAACAAAACTTGTAGAATATTATCTAAGAGGTTACGGTGCGCCACTTCTACTGCCGGCATCGTCGGGCCTCCTTGTGGATCATATATTTGTGGCTGCCCTTCAAGATGCTGCAGGATAGGCACTGCCGACACCGGCCCAAGAATCACCTGCAAGCCTGTCGCGGGCCTCCGTGGACTTGAAGGTCAGGTAGAGGGAGTTGCGCCCAGAGAAGAATATCTCGAGTCCGATGTTCTGCAGGAGGTAGGTCCGTTTGATCAGTGACTGTGCCTGCAGCACCGCAGCCAACCGTCACGCACAATACTGTGGAGCCCAGCTGACACCAAATGTCCTGTAATTCTTGCCCGGTCTAGAAATAGAGCCATGCCTTGTTCAGGTGGTAGGTCTGGACTGGTGAGTTGGAGGCGACATTGAAGGGCTGGAAGTAGATGCGCGTAGCCGTCAGCGCCACACGGCCTGGCTGGCTGCAGAGCGGCGTTACACAGTTTCCCAGCAGCTCCAATAGTACCTTCTCATTTTCGTCCTCCAGCCAGCCAGGGTTGAATCGCTCGCTCCCCTCATGCGCCTGCAGAACAAGGGTTACCGAGTGTGATGCCCCTTTGCTGCCCTCTGTCCATATTTCTTGCATGCGAAAGGTGGCATGCAGGTTCTTTTATGAACAGTCTCTCCTTAAAGCAGACAAGGTGTAAAATGCTAAACTCTAGCAAAGCTACTCTGTATGACAGACCAGCTGAACCGCCACAGTTGAAGAAAGCTGTTGTCCTCTTTAAATGTCACAATACAGCAAAGCTGCTCTCCATAGCAGGCAAGCTGTGAACACCACAGTCGAATGAAGCTGTGCTCTCCAGCAGTGCAGCTGTGATTCGCCAAGTTCGAGCAAAGCTGCGCTTTCTAGCAGACAAGCTGGGCAACGCCACGGTTGAACAAAGGTACGGACAGCATGGAATCCCTCTGCACCTGAATGATGGCAGCTAGGCGCTGCTTCCCCAGCTGGTGGCTCTCTTTGCTGACGCTCTGCTGCGCCACGTCCCACAGCTCCTGAACTCTGGGCAGCACCTCATCCAGAGAAGTGTAGACCAGCTGAAAGCGGAACTCAAATAGACCCTGGGCCCCACAATGACTCAGCTGTCACTTGAGTGCATGCATTGCAGCTGTAAGTAGCTGTTATTACAATGACTGGTGCGACGTCAGCAACAATGAAGAGAGCAGAAGCCGAAGGGGAAAACAATGCCAGGGCACTTACTGTTGTGCGAGTGTAGGGCACGTTGTGATTGTTCTTCCTCATGTCAATACGCTCCGACGCAGTGATGTAAAAGATGTCGTCATTAATATAGTGGTCCTCGTTCCAGACTCTGCAGGGGCAAAGCAGCTCTGAGGCGTCTCTGCAGCACACCTGAGGAAACAACTGCGACAGATTAAAGAGCGCAAGCAGGCCTACCTCTCGATCAAGGTGGTTGATCTGTACGGTACTCTGAATATTGACTCTTGCACCGCTCTGGGCACGAAATACAGCGCAGCACTGCACACCTTCAGGTGCCCAGGGATCCTGCGTTGACACACTCTGTGAGAGCAGACAATTAGAAAAGGAAATGCAACATCACGCGCAAATCAATGCTAGCCATCAAAACGTATTCAATTGTCACTGATTGGTCGTACGACGTACCGGGTGTCTGCATCTTTAATATACAGGCAGCTATGGTCCCTGAAGTAATACTCATCTTCCTCCAGAAGAAGAAGAGAAAATCGTTCCTCACCATCCCAAGCACTCATTTGTGCTAGTTTTGTGCCAGACCAACGACAATGTTAAAAGGTAGCTAGCAACGCCCAGTGCCGGATGCAAGTCCGAGATCCAAACGCTCGAGCTTGTCGTCAAGAATTCTTATAATAGTTTGGTTGGACGATCATCCTCACTATTATTGATGTAAAGATCACTAATTAGATGCATGTCATTATGAAGCACATCGAGGCGTTGGCTGATTCTGGCGCCAGACATACCAGCATGCCTTCAATGAAGATTCAATGGTGTCATGATTGAGCCTTTGACGTTGCTCGTGGAAAAGTATCACAAAGTAGACTCCATCGGCAGTGTCGATGAATCCGATCACTGCATGCACGCATTTTAGCATGGGCTTCAATGAAAGTTTTTGTGCACCTCACATTGGCACCTTGACCCTTGTCCAGGGCTTGCACTTTCGGGGAATTCTCCTGCAGCTGGCTAGGGCTTTGGGAAGTGTCGGAACTCGACGACACGACTCCGCTTGTCCAGTTCTATTTCCCAGCAGTGCTCAACTACATCAAGACAGTGTTATTGAGCACATGATAAATACAGGATTGGAAAATTGGGGTCAGATCGAGAGGGACACGGGGACGATCCTGCATTGTGCTCGTAGAGGCTCCCAGCTGGCGCGCACCTGAACAGCGCTGCAAAACCTCGGACAAGAGTCATGCAGCAATGATGCATTCAAAGTAATTGCAGACCGCGTGGACAACGTCTTCGTACTTGATTTTGTTTCGAGGTTTATATTTCCGGCTGTTGCCAGCTTTCCACTGTACGGAGGGGCGCTCTACAGAGCGCAAGGCTGTCTATTTCGGTGAGTCCTCGATCTTGATTTCGGAATATAGTGTTATATTGATCTAATGGGGAATGTGATGTCCCCTGATTGCTCGGTGTATCAACGCCCCAAGCGTCCGTTTTCCATCCTTCATTGAACCAGCAAGTGCTGGATAATAAAAAAAGGTGATCAAGCAGTTGGCTTACATATAACATGATTGCAGACAACAATATTACTACCGTAGAGAAGGTTACATGTCTAGATCAGTGCATTTTCGAAGCAGTGCTAGAGACAATGTCCAGGACCAAAATCCCCCCTGAGCAGTACTGAAACGGCGAGCCAAACGCCTTTTGTGTAGCATCACTTAGCCCTCATGCATTTGTGACATTTCCATGACAAATTACCAAGCTCGCACGACGTTATACAACGCAAGCAGAGACTGTAGTACAGACTATCCCCTGGTGAGCTCACCTGGTTTCAACACACGCCCCAATGTCCTAACAGGCTTTCCTGCAGGTGTGCAGGCTCTTCAGAAGGCGTCTGCAATGAGGAAGGACCTGTAGTGGAGGCAGTTGGCACCCAGGCGCTGTCATGGGAGGCCGCCCTTAGAAGATATTGGCCTAGAGCCTTTGATGCAAGGGTCGGCATCAGGTGGCGCTCTGACTGCTTTGTTACACATTCTCATGCAGCCCTCGCCATTCATGCAGCAGTCCCACGTGCTCTTTCTGCGCATGTGTTCCCCACATAACAACCAACACATGCACTATCGCCACCAGCATGCGGCCCAATAGCAGTAGATGAGACCACATCACCATAGTGCAAAGCGGTGGCACATGTCCAGCCAGCTTGTGCATGAACGGGAGGGACTGCACATGCAGCACGAGACCACAGTGCCGCAGGCGTTAGGGGCAAAGCTGTGGCACATGTGAAGCTGAGTATGTGTGGACTTTTGGGATGGCATGGGCAGCAGACGAGACCATATTGCCACATGCGTTAAGGGCATATGTATGGCCCACTTGCAGCTGTCTAACACAGGGGCTGCTGGGATGGCAGGGTCACAGCATGCTGCAGCGGCTGGCGGCATCAGTGCGGCGGCGTACCCTCCGGCGCAGGCCAGCCACGATGCGGTGGTGGCGGACCGGCAGCTGTTCATGCGCACGCTGCGCGCTCTGCACGAGGCGTTGGGCACGCAGTTCCGCATCCCCATGGTCTCCGGCCGCGAGCTCGACCTGCACCTCCTCTACAAGCAGGTCCGCTGCCGCCCTCGGCTTGCGATTGAGCTCCTTGTGCTTACTGCCATTTGAAAGTCTGCTTTGGCGCCAGCATGTCTACTGTGCAGAGATGGCCAGATCACTAGGTCAGGGGAATATCCAGTTTAAATAATAAAGGCCCTTGACCGGCTCAGATTTCCTCGGGACCGTCCCAGAGGAACTCCCTGACCTCTTGTGTGGAAAGCTGAAGCTTGCATGGGAACACAAAACCTCCTGAAGGCACCATCGCATGCATAGGATCTCGAGCAGGACGTTGATTAAGGGGTGCCATGCATTGTGTGCAACTCATGAGCATGTGCCGGCAGGTGACGGCGCTGGGAGGCTTGGAGGCGGTAATAACGGCGAAGAAGTGGACGGAGGTGTCTCAGCCGTTCCAGTTCCCGCCCTCCTTCACCTCCAAGTCCTTCACGCTGCGCAAGATGTATTCGCGCCTCCTGCACGACTATGAGCAGGTCTACTACCACCACAACTCCGGGGCCCCAACCCTGCCTCCAGGTGCGGCTTCCTGAATCCCTCCATCTTGTGGCTCTCTCACAGCAAAGTCAAAGTCATTTGAAGAAGATCCCACTGTGCCCCCCCCCCCCCCATCCCCTATCGTGCCCTATTGTCCTGTTCTCATGATATGTTGGCAGGGCTGTAGTGAGATGCAAGCAAGCAAGAGTGTCAGGATGTTCATGATTGTGACCGGCATGGGTTCATGCTTAACGAGTCATGTGATGCCCGAGCAGGCGCTGACGGCACAAAGTTGGAGGGTGGTGCGGCGATGACGTCATCCAATCCGGTCTACAAGCGCCGCCGGCTCGACCTGGCAGCTGCGCAGCAGCTGCCGGCAGCCGCCGCCGCGCCGCGGACGCCGCCGGCTCTGACAGCTTTTCACGTCGGCGCAGCGGCCACGGCGGCTGGCGGGCAGGCGCAGCCGCCCGGGAGCCTGATGGACCTGCCCATCACGGGCAGCGTGGAGGGCCAGTTTGATGCCGGCTACTTTGTGAGCGTCGTTGCCGGCGGGCAGGAGTTCCGAGGCAAGCCCTATGTCACAATATTGCTCCCCTGCAACCAGTGTCCCTTACAACGCCCGCAGAATCATCTTGATAGAATGATTGTTCCAGGGAGAGCCGTTGGGGCGGAACCAGTGGCCACTATACCTGACCTTATGTTTGGTCGAGTTCTTACATAATGCCTGTAGGAAGCTTGTTCGAATTGCCTGAAAAATGTATTTTCATTAGGTGTGCTGTACACGCCGCCTATCCCCCTGTTTGGAGCAGCTGGGGGTGGGCCCGGTTTGGCGGCGGCAGAGGCGGCTGCGCTGCCGACGTCGCCCCGGGAGCCGGTGCATGCGGCGCTGCAGGCGGCCAGCGCGCAGCCGCGGCGTAGCCGGGCCGGGCGGCGCGACCCGCTGGAGCCGAAGCAGAACAAAACGCCATTCAACTTCTTCAGCATTGATGCGCGCTCCCGGGCCAAGGCAGAGCACCCGTCTGCCGACCAGAAGGCAAGCACAAGGAACTCGCTCGGTATCAAATTTTAAATGTAGCTTTCTTTGTAAATGTGAGGTACATGCTGCAGCATCTAGAACGGACTTTCTTGCAGGGCTGTCTGGTTCATAAGGTGGTCAATCAAAGCTACCTGTGGATGATGCAGGAGATCAGTAAGCTTGTCGGAGAGATGTGGCATCAAGCTACCCCGGAGGAGAAGGCACCTTATGTTGACCAGGTCAGAACCGGAGACCGGAGACAACTTTGATTTCTGGCTAATTCACTATGTGTTTTGCCTCTCTGCATCATCTGTGTGAAAATGTGAAACTAGCTGATGTTGTCGCCATGCCGGCCCACATAATCTCCCTGTGTGCCATCACAGGCGCGCATTGACAAGGCGAGGTACCAAGAGGCGCTAAATCGATATCAGCAGCGGCTGGCTGCAGAGGGTGCAGAGCAGGGGGCAGCGGAAGAGAGCACTGAGCAGAAACCTCATACTGGTGATACCACCCCTTCACAACACATGCACATATGAATTGTTGCAATCGCAGCATGCAAACCCTCATGACTGGGCTGACGGTGCATGCGCGGTTACCAAACACTGCAGGAGGGGTGCTAAACACTACATGCAATATACTTACCAAATCCTGATTAGCTACTTCCAAGGGGTAGTCACCTCAATAGCTGCTGGTGGGAGCAGGGATTGAGAGGGGCACTCCAGAGGCTGAGGGGCCCTCAACGCTCAGCCCAAGGCGATGGAGCCTGCCCACGCCAGCGCAGCAGCCTGCGCCCCTCAGATTACCTCCGCGCCCCATCGCCACCGGTGACAATCCCCCTGCCAGTCCCCCTAGCACCCAAACCCTTGCAGAGTCCAACCACACTGCAGACTGCACAGACTCCAGTATCATGCCAGCCGGCTCAAATTCTTCATTCTACTTCGATTAATTGCCCACAAACTGTTTTGTCTTGCTTGAACTTGTTGTATTCCAGCCGGAGCCAATAGCTTTGCAGCCTTTGCATGCATATGCTGCATGCACCTTGCCTCCTGGCAGGAAAGCATTAAACTCCAAGTTGTTATCTAATATGTACAATAGAAACCTTTATTGATACGTACAATGTGCGCTCACAGGGGGCCCGTCACTGGGCGACGTGATGTACGGAGTTCCCATGGATGCGGCCGTCAGCCCTAGAGAGCATGAGGCGGCGCAGCAGATGCAGCGGCTGCACCGCGGCGCCGGCAGCGGCGACCGGGACGTGTCAGCCACCCCTGAGCCCAGCAACCGCGCACCGTTCCCTCCCTCGGCCGGCCCCGGCCCCGGCCCCGGCCCCGGCCCCGGCCCCGGCCCCGGCGCCGCAGCCGCTGCCGGGCCGGCCGCCGGCTTCGCGGCGGCTGCCGAGCAGCTGGACACGGATGCAGAGAGGGAGGAATATGAAGATGAAGGTGTGGAAGGGGAAGGACTGCAATGATCTTCCTATCACTACCCTGCAGCACTGCAGGGCGGATATACAGCACACTGAAGCTGAGTGACACGCGCATGCTGATCTTTCACATGCGGATATGGAGCTGCTATTCTTAATGAGATGATCCAGTCACAAACAAACGATGCAGAGCCAAAGCTGTTGCACAATCTGGGAAGTGCCTGCGAAGGGCCTTCCAGTATGAGGTCTGGAGCAGTGGAGCGGTCTAGGTAGATCATTTGGGAATCTTGCTAGTTGCTGTACATTAAGGTTGCTAGTATCTGTGCACACTGATGTCCAGGTTGCTGGCTTCAGAAATTTTTTCTGAACCAAACCAGGTAAGGGCAGAATATGCACGAATTTGCAGTACTGCTAGGATCAAGATTTTCCAATCTCCAGGAGACGTTTTGACAGCTCTGGCCAGAAATTTTGAAGAAAGTTTTTGTTGCCTGTGAGAGGTTTGGTGATGTGGAACGCTCACAAAATTGTGCGATGCGTGATGCCCCTTCCATATTGGAAGGAGGATCAATGAACGAGATTCTCAAGGCTACTCGGAGAAGGCAGCAATCATATCGAAAGGCCAGGAATTTTCTGTGGTTTTGTAGGGACACTTCTAGTAGGCAAATTTGCTGGGGTAGAAATGCCTTCATGTTATACTGCTACAGTCACGGCTGAAGACGTCGCTTACTTATAATTCATTCATCACATTTACTCACATTGCAAAGTGTCATGTACATTCACCCGCCTCCTGTATTATGCCACCTTGCCTGCTGCCTGCTGTGCAGCCTTGAACTGTTAACAGTTAACATGTTGTGACTACTCTAGATGGGTGCCTTTTTCTTTCAGGTAGGGGCCACACATACTGTATCTATTTGCTACCTATTAAGTGGCATGCTTAGAGGTGGTGGTTATCAAGGTGATGCTCCAGGCACATCGCCAGGAACAAGATTTAGAATTGATTTTGAAACCTTTGTCATGTAACTCAACATCAACAATGACACTTGAGCTGCAGCTGACTGTTCTGGAGTTTCGCTTCAAGTCGTGCAGGCAAAACCTGCGCAACATCGATCTACATGCCATTGTGCCACCTAACAGATCAGCTGCTGGAGGTTTCAATCAGGCTGCCCCACGGGTCATTTTTGCTGTCAGAGAAGTCGCCATTGTACTCTGCATAAGCTGCCACCTTCTGCGCGACCTCTTGTCCGTTGTACTTGGCAACAAAAGCCAGTGCCATGTCAATCCCTGCATCAGGCTGCCACTCGTCAGTTTTGTCTGTCGACACAGCTCTCATAGATGCAGCGCCATTGTTACAAGCTGGCACAATCCTGTGCTGTCAATGCACTGCTCTTTCTAGACAGCAAGGCAATCCTTCCTCCCTGCTTATGCACTCTCGCTGACTTCCATGTTTGCAAGCTCTTCTTGCTGCATGTGGTAAGAAGATTGCAATTCACGTGTGGGAGCTGACCTGCAGAGACGCCTGCTGATGTCCACAGGCGGCCATCCTCCACCCACCGTGCAGTCTTCAGCCAAGTTGTGGTGTCATCTGATTGCGCTGTAGCCCATGCCCAGGCAGCCTGCTTGCAGGTTTTAGCGGGTTTGCTTCGGATTCCACTTGTTACAGTTTGCGAACACTTGCAGCAGCATGCGGAAGGAATCTGGTGGCCACCTTGTTTGTGGTGGCTTGCTTCCCTTTCAGAACGCCGGCCTTGGCCGCAAGGGCAGCGCCCGTGCACACTGTCAGAAGGAATGAGTGAATGAATGGCGAACGAGCGTGTCGTGTGATGAAGGCCAGCAGCTCTTCGTTGCCAACCTCCTTACGTGTGCCAAAGCCCCCTGCAATCAGATACTTGCCATCATTACGCGAAACCCTCCATCGCTCACTCTAGCCAGACTTTTCGCAATGTAATTTGGCTGAGGACAGTCGAAGGGGTAGGCATTGGCACGCTGATATGCATGCTAAAGGGCACCTCAAGAAATTAATCGTGCCATCTCAGGATCGCCAATCGCATAAATAGACTACACACGTGAATTTGAATCACCACATCACCTGGAACTACTAGGATGTCAAGAGGTTGACATGTCTGGAAGCTGGCGGAAGCCACAGTGGCGATCCCATTGGAACCCGCGACTGGTTCAGCAGTTGCAGCGACGGTGATGACCCTGTAAGCTGATTCAAGTTTAGGGGAAGAGAAAATGGACAAAGATCCATAGACATCAAGGACCTCGAATCCTGGAAACAACAAGAAGCCGATGGCTTTCACCATCTTGTTAATGACACACCGAATTCAGACAAGCACGTCGACTCGGACGCGACTGTGTCAACCTTCTCAAACCAAAGTTCTCGATACCATCCCGAGAGCAGCAGGCAATTTGCATGGCAGAAATCGTATCATCACTTCCACGTGCCAACACGCTCACCAATGCATGTGCACGAGGCATTCACCTCGAAAGGAAATCTGCATGCCCAAGAACTTTAATAGACTCAGAGCTGCCTTGAGCATCATGGAGTATATCAGCAAGTAGCTTGACCTCTTACATGATTGTGAACTACTGCTCCGCTTGGCAGCGCAGCAACCCGGCAGTTGCTGCTCACGAGGCAGGCACCCACCACTAGCAATTTTAACATGCTTGTATTTTTGCACTTGAGAACAAACAATGAGAAACGACGTCAACGAACTGCAAGTCCAACACATGCTGCATCAATGGCATCGACCCTGCCTCTTGATGTGTACTTTGAGAGCGCCTGGCATTGCAATTGGGAGGAATGGGCCGCGCCATCATCATTGTAACACATGTTCCTCAGTGCACTAGACCGCTTTGCTAGCCACATCATGACAAGTATGAGCCAGACAGGACCCCTCAATTGTTCTGCACACAAAACTGCAGCGCAGGCTTGACAATCAAAATCTCCGTGACGATGACCAAGTGCCTGGCCATGCCAACAACACATCTGCTCTTGAGCAATCATATGATATTGCCGCTGTCACCCTCTCCTACTCAATCACTGTCAAATTCTGCAGGGTGCCTCTCATATGTGTAAAATTATTGCTGCAATCAGCCAATCACTTGCTCAGCAGAGAAGAAGCGCTGCCTGAAGGCCTGCAGCGGCCTCCGCAGGTACAGGAGGCAGACTGCCAACACTCCAAGCAGAATGCGCCCCTGGATAAAGACTCCGAATGCCTGCCATCCTGCAGATGCGGGCACTGCCAGAAATGCAGCCGCAGCTGCCAGCCCACCTGCCGCCAACAGGGCAGCCAGTGCCTGATCCAGCCTCCTCACTGCCTGCGTGCACAAGCGCACATACATCAAAACAATGCAACGGGTCGTCATGATCTGAGGGTCATTGACAACTCTGTAAATGCAAAGCCACAGTGAGGCCGGTGGGAGGTACCTTCTGGCACGCTGGGCAGTATTTGGTGTGCCGCTCATAGTGATTCAACAACTCCTCATTGCTCTTCTGCGCGGGCAGGTCCGCGGAGACACCATCTGAGAAGCTGACATCACCCCCTGTATCCACCCATAGCACAGACTTAGCCCCAACATGTTTTCCTGCTCCACAGTCATTCAGCATGAGCATGAGCCAGTCTGCCTGGTATCGATGGGATACCATGGCGCTAGACAGTCAGCATCAAGCTGCTAAACAGGAAACCATGGCGCAAGCCAATTTGCCAGGATAGAAGACCGACTGACCTGCATGGGTGCTTAGCCAGCGCCAGAAGGCTGACACGCCAGTGTCTGACTGTGTGGCGAGGTAGTAATCGCGCCAGCCGCGCTGCTTCTGTGCAACCTTGCGCTCCTGACTGTGCAGGACATTCATGTCCTGCATTATGCATCAAAATTCAGTAATTCTGCAACATCCCAATCAACTTCCACCTTCAACGTCAGTGGACAAGACCATGGCCAGCTGTACCTTGTGAACAACAAATCACCCACACGGAAACATGTCGCCCACATCTAGCAGACGTTCAAGAAGTGTCAGAGAGACATACCTGGTCAATCAAGCCATGGCCAAAGGCATGGAAGAAGCCCGAAGACAACAGGTTCTTGGCCAGGAAGTTGAAGATCTTCTTGGAGGTGTTTGGGACCCCCTTGACCACCACCTTGTTGTAGGCCCTTGTCACACCGGGCGCCACAGGGACCAGGTACAAAGTTGTCATGTCCTCACGCCCAGATTCGTATGTATAGTGTGTTCTGCGCGGACAGGTGCACGTTTTTCAATCAGCATTCCCTCAGAAATCGTTGATCTATATTGAAAGCGACAAAGCTCATACAGGACTGCTGCTTTCTCAACACACGCCCCTTCTTTTTGTTGGAATGTAGAGCGGATATAATACCAGCCAGATTCACACACAAAGATTTTTGCGGTGGCAGCGCCTTAATATGGCGAACGTACCTGATTGTGCAGGGAGGAACGTAGTACCGCTTGGCCTTCATGTTGTTCTTTTGCTGGGATTTGCTGTAGCCGCCGTGCTCGAGCACAAACCCCTTCTGAGGATCTATATCGCTTGCCAGCTTCATCTGCATTGGTGCTGCATCTTCCCGCTTTGAGATGACCTGAATGCACAAAGATGTGAGACAATCTCAATCTTTGCAGGCACAAGTGGGAGAAACCTCCCATGTGTCAGCAAAATTGCTCACAAGATTTCCACACCAGAAGCGGGCTTTACCAAGTTGTGCACATACGATGCATGACTGGGATCCAAGGCGTTCTCCTGCACCACAACAAAGTGCTCATCAGCTTTTCTGAAGCCAGTACATAAGAGACCAAACTTTCTGGCAGATGGATGACTGTCGCACCAGCATAATGGCAAGTGAAGCGGGGTTCTCCATGAAGGCAAATCCGCCCTGTGATCCAGCATAGGATGGGTCCACCATCTCAGGCACAGTGTCTGGCGATGTTGCTGATGCCTCCAACCAGGCATCTGCACCGCTCTCCGGCCATATCCAAAGTAGCCCTTGCTGCACCTGCAGCAATAGATATGGAGTTTGCTGGACGGTGTGCATGCACAAATCAGGGCCGCCAACACACATACCTGATTCTCACTACAGTCATTGCTAAAATGGACCTTTCAAAAGGAAAGAGCACTTGCAGGAGCTCACCTGAGCAGGGTATGTCTGCAAGCATGAGCGGCTGCTCTGCATTGTGGTCAACTCTGCCTTGGGGCCATCAGCCTGGGGATTGGAGATGCACCGCCCCTCTTCGCCTCCCTCAAACCCCCAGCCATGATACCGGCAGAAAAGTTGGCCATCTTCCACTCGCCCAACGCTTAGGGGTGCAAATCTGTACAGCACAGATATTTGTATCACAGATACTCCTTGATGACCATATGCTCACGCTCAGAATTATCAGCTCCTTACTGTAACGATTGCAGTATGTGTGATTTGTAGCTTTGTAGCCTTCTCAAGTGCAGCTTGTCCCACCTGTGTGGACACTCGTCTTTGGCGACATTCCAGAGCCCTTTGTCTTGCCACACCACATAATCCCTTCCCAACAAAGTAACTTTGTTCGGCTTGTCCTTCAGCAAGCAGTCTTCCAACGAAACAGGATACCAGTGCTTCGACCACTGGAAAGATGGAGTGGCATCACGCTGTCTCTCTTCTTCCACCATGCCATGCACATGCTGCTCGGAGCCTAAGGCATCGTCGTTACAGTTCAATATCAAGTTGGACAACAGGCAAAACACAAAGAACTGCACGGCAGACGAAATTCCAGATAAATTTAGTGCTTACCGTGTGCACCATCTCTATCATCCGACTTGTAGGACACCGGCGATTTGGATTTTCTCGAATTAGAGAAGCGGTGAGAGTGCTTTGTCAACAGCCTGCCGCAGAATCGGGCGGGCAGGGACCTCGGCAACATTATTTGGCTTGTTGATGCCATGCTATGACTGTTCAATCTTCCTCCCATGACTTGCTGTATGTTTGCTGTCATATCCTCGTGATCTGACTTGATGGTCTTTTCAGAACAAGTTCTAAAAATTGTACTCGTCTCTACCAGGTGCGATTCTTTGAACAACTAAGGGAGTCTGAGATACAAATCTGTTTCGACAACTTGAGCGATTCGTGCTTTTCGGCACAATTCCCACGCAGAGACGTGTCTAGCAGTTTGCAACGTTGACGAGGATCCGCACGTGGGAAGATGCACGTGATATGTTCGCCTCGGAACGGTGGGTATCCTTTGGACGGACTGATGCTGGTAACATGCAGCTGTTACGCATGCGATCTATGCAGATGTCGGGGAAATATATGATGCTGAGCATTATGCGATGCGACAGTTGCTTCTCTAGTACCATTCAGTCGTCATGTCAGAGAAAAATGAACGCCTTGTAAGGCAACGATCGTTACACTGAAGCAGGCTCCTTGCCGTGTTGTTCCATGGCGAACGAGAGTTGGACCCCTACAAAGCGAAGCAGAAAGTCGGTGGAACGGTTTGTCGCGGAGCCGGCCTCTTACCGGACTGCGGGAGATTTTGTCAAACCTGACAAGGTCCAAACTCCTGCCAAAAGCACAGGCAAGAAGAGAGGAAGAAAGCCGCGGAACGAAGAGGCACCGATCCATTCCCAGCCACCAGACAATGATCTTGAGCGTTTGAAATGCCCGCCCGAAGATATGGTTGGCAAGAGGATCAAGGTGAGTTTTCTTTCCATCAGGCTCTGTTGACGTCTTCAGCTGCCACAGAATCCACAACCCTCTATTAAAAACTGCTTGCTGTAAATCCCTGCATTTTGCAGGTGTTTTGGGAGTGTGTGCAGCAGTACTACTATGGGAAAGTGGACTCCCATACGCCCAGCCTGCAACACCTTGCCTTCAACATCGTGTATGATGATGACGATATGGAGGATGGGATGCTCTACGAGGGAGTCTTCGTTAACGAAGAGGACATCAGGCGGCCATATCAGGTCCTCTCAGGACACACAACGCAGGAGAAGCCCACAGCAGCGCAGGAGACCCCAACTGCGCCAAAGCCCGCACTTGAGCTGCAGCCTGCTGTGCAGCAGAAACGAGCAGCTGTGCCAGAGTCTGCATTGGCGCGTGAGTCTGCAGCTGTGCAAAAGCCTGCAGAGCGTGCAGGGTCTCAGCCTAAGCCTGCACCAGCGCAGCAGCCCGCAGCCGGGCGCAGGCCTGCAGAGCATGCGGCTGTACCCGAAGCTAAGGATGCAGCAGCGCGACAGCAGCCTGCTATTGCGCACAGGCCTGCTGCGCTGCCCGCTCCTGTCAGCTTACCCAGCCGGAAGCCGGCACCGCAGGAGGTGCCTAAGCCACCGCCGATGACCGCCGAGGTGTTTGCCAAGTTCAACCAGAATCTGCAGAAGGCCATGAGTGCGACAGCGCAACCCAGCACGCCAGTCCACCTGGGGAGCGAGAGCAAGCAGCCTGGTGTGGTCATGGGCATTCCTGTGCCAGGACAGAGCAAGGCGGCCGGCGGCGCAATTCCTCAGGTGGGCCGGGGCCTGGGCCCCCCGCTGCGGCCCTCTCCGCCAGTCAGAAAATCACCGACCAGCCTCGAGACCTACATTCCAGACTGGGGTGCAAAGCCGGCGACGCTGCGAGCCAGCAAGACGCCTCAGCGTTCTGCGGTGCTGCCGCAGCCACGCTTTGCCAGCGCCGCCCCAGCCAGCAGGGAACCCTCGCAGCCCGTGGCCTCTGCCCCCCCACAGCCCGTCAGGAATGGCGAGTCTGCCAGCGGCGCGGCAATGCAGCGCGCGCAGCCTGCAGTGCCTCAATCGCCCAAGCAGCCGGCACCCCAGACAGGTCAGGCCCAGCAGTGTGGGGCTGATCAGCCTGTTGCTGCTCCTGCGGAGGCGCCGCCCAAGAGATTGCCAGATGACACAGCTGCCGCTTCGCCAGCAAATGCAGCCAAGAAGGAGGCGGTTGTTGGAGCAGCAGGGGATGCGGCCCCTGCTGTGGTATTGGCAGCCACGGAGGCTCCTGCAAAGCGCAAACGTGGCCGACCGCCAAAACCGAAGGATGTCACCGTGGAAGAGACCCCTCCGCCTGCAAAGAAGCCCCGGGGCAGGCCTCGTAAGACGGACGTAGAGAAAGCGCAGCATCAAAATGGCGCTGCCGTGGACACCAAATCACAGGTGCACATCCTCAGGCGTCCTCATCACACATGTGTTTGTCTCACATGACCGTGATCATGACGGGTCGTCCTCGTGTGCATAGAAGCGATGGAGAGCGTGCTGGAATTATATGCTTTTCTGATCATGTAGGCTCAGGATGTGGGCCAGCCTGCAGCAATGCATCCAGGTGATGTGCCGCCTGCTGCCAAGGCAGTCGCAGCGTCGGCGCCCGAAGACAACAGGGAGTCAAAAAACGGGCATGGGCTGCTGGGAGCAGACGCTGATGCGCACCCAGCACCAAGGCCCACCCATCAACAGCAGGACGGCGGCGCTGCCGAGGCGCCTCCTGCACCGGCCAACGCCGCCGCCGAGCCGGTGCGCCCAGCCGTGATGAACACATCCGGCACGTCCAACCCAGCAGAAATTCATCAGCGGCTGCTGACGGGCGGCCACGCCTCGACATCTTCCCCCGGGCCGTGCTTCGACGCGCGCGCAGCCGCGCAGCCGGTGCGCCGCGCAGGGAGCGCTTTCGTCAGCCGGGGAGCCAGCAGCGCGCCTAGCAAGCTGGGGCCAGTTGCCGCCCTTCCCAAGGGGCCATCCGCTGCCGCACAGGCAGAACCGTCCCCGGCGCGGCTGCCAAGCAGCCAGCCAGCGCAGGAAGACCTCGCGGCCACGCATGTGGGAGGGAAGCACGACCCGTGGCTGGGCTCCCCATCGGTTCCTGGGATCCAGGAGGGGCGGCTGCAGCAGGTCTCAGAAAACGGCGGCGCACTCGCGAGCCCGGTGCTGAGCTCGCCGGGGGTGTCCGGTCAGCAGTCGGCGAAGGCCGGCGCGCATCCGCAGGTGACCAAGCTCGTCACCATGCTGCCCAGCAGGCTGTCGCCGGCCTACACTCCCACGCTGAAGCCCCCCTCGCGCACGCCCCCTCAGAGGAGCTCCGCGCAGAGGAGCAGCTTTGGGGCCGCCGCCTCGCCCGCCCTGCAGCGCGCTGACAGCGATGGGAAGGTGCCTGAAGGCACACCCACGCAGGAGTCCAAGGAGGAGCAGGAGATTGCCAAGCGGCGCAAGGGGCAGGACTCCATCATGAAGAAGGTGCGCCTGCTGCTGTCTGTTTGCTGTCATCGGTGTTGCTTTTCCCTAGGCAGAAATGTTGCCTGCTGGTGAAGCAGGTGCAAAAGGAAGACGTGATGTGCGGAGATCACATATAAATGCAGCCGGAAGTCTTTTAATGTTTGATGTATTGGTTGCAGGTGGAGCATGCGGTGAAGGGGCTGACGCGCACCAAGGAAAGCATCAAGGCCGCCACTGTGCTGGCGGCTCAAGCCGCGCAGAGGGGCGCTGCCCCCCGCGTCATCCGCTACCTTATTGAACGCATTGACAAGGTGCAAACAGAGCTGTCATCCCTCAGTGCATCCGCAGTGGCAACCACTGTGTAGTTGTCCTGCCAACCATTACTGTGGAAGGGGCAACATTATCTGTCTGGGACCTGCTATTTCGTGCAGGATGATGGGAAATCGGATGCTCTTGCATGCATGCACACAGAGAGGGACAGCTAAGAAAAGCATGGGATTGTCATTGATGACTGTGAATTTCATACAGGAGTCGGCAGGCCCGAAGCGGGTGGACATCCTGTACCTGGCAGACAGCGTGCTGCAGAACTGCCGCAACCCCAAGTGCGCCGGGTGCGGCCCGGACAGCGCACCGGCTCAGGCGTACCCGCGCGTCATTGCGGCAGCGCTGCCGGCGCTCATCAAGGCCGTCTCCGAGGACTTCGAGGGCGCTCGCAAGGCCGACAAGGTGCGCCGTACATTGTGGACCTCTGGTCTCTCTTGGCATTACTGATACATGTCCTTCACGTGTGTGAGTGACAATATGGGAGACCAAGAAATCCATGTTCATGCTCAAGCAAGACCATACAGACATGGTGTCCCTGAAGAGAAATTTCCGCGAGACCGACAAGGTCAGATGATCCTTCTTTAGTAGCATGCTGCCGTAATGTTTGACTTCCCCTGCCCTAATGGAGAAGCATTTGCACTAGAATCCTAGTCTAGTCTTTTTTATCTTCCTCTTACAGGGTCGTTGGTGCTAGTGACGATCTGTATCAGGGTAGTAGGAATTGGACAAGGTTCCAGATGTGGAAGCTTCTTCATTGCAGCACTAACGATTGGGATGATGGACATCTAAAAGTGGCATCCGTGGGTTAAACTGCAGGGTTCAGACTGAATGTTTGAGACTCAATCCTTGAAATATTGAAGGGTTTGCTATCACCTAGCGCATGCCATGTTTCTTTGCAGAGGCGCAAGCCAATCATTAAGAGCGCAGGCATGGCATGAGGTGATGAGGGAAGTCATTAATGCTTCAGGGATTCGGAGGTGTGCCGTGAGGATGGTTCACGACGGCTAATAGGCTACCAATGCTGAGGGTGTGATTTCGTCATTGTAGGTGCTGAGCCTCTGGGCGAAGCGCGAAATGCTGCCCTTGGCTGCACTGCAGCCGGAGATCGATCGGCTCAAGGAGCGGTTGGCCCAGCATGACAGCGCGGCCTCCGCCAAGGCCGCCGCCCGCTCCCTGCAGAAGCAGGTCAGCGATGCGGCCAACAACAGCAGCGCAACGGCAGTCAGGTGTGTCCATGCGATAAGCTCTGTAATTACCTAAAAACTCCAAATTTCTTGCTCACGCCAGACAGCCTCATCATGCACGTCTTAACCAGATGCAATCTGTTCTGCCCATTCTTTGTCCACATTACCATGGGACAGAAGCACCCAGGGCATCATGTGTTGCGAGGTCAGCGGCAGGGACGGTTGTGGGTTTCATCTTCGTCTGCGGCAGAGCTTGCTCAGTGCAATGGTTGTTTATTGCAATTTGCTGATGTGGCAGTGCAATGGTATTTATTGCAATTTGCTGATGTGGCAGTGCAATGGTTGTTTATTGCAATTTGCTGATGTGGGCGCTGATGTGGCATGGCAGGATTGGATCGGAGACCGGGGGAGGTGCGCTGATGGAGCTGAAGCAGGAGGAGGACGATGACTGGGACGATGACGAGGCGGCCCCCCTGCCCACGCTGCCCCAGGCCCAGGAGGAGCAGCGGCCCCCCTGGCAGCGCACCGGTCAGCCTCCTACCCACTGTCATCACACCCACACCCCCTCTGTCATGACTTGCATCAAGTGCCCTTGAACCCCGCCAGTGGTGCGCGACTGCGCCTCCACAGTGTGAAGTTGAGTGCTTGTTGTTGTGGAGTTCTGTATCCCGCGTGGTTAGAGTACTGCAGTACTTTGTTTTGTCATTGTTAATTTTTGATGTGCTGCATGCACTCATGCAAGAGGCTCTAATGCAGGTATATGTCAACAGCCCAAGTTTGATGGAGCCACAACCTTACTCTGTGGCTGCATACTTGTAAAAGGAGCAAATTCCCCACAACCTTACCGGTGCTGAGATGGGGTTGTGGGGGAGCAGGTGGGACGGATGTGGGGATGGGCACAGAGCCGGGCAGCCCAGAGGGCAGCCCCTGGCATCAGGGCGTCTCACCTGCATCCTCCGGCTACGCACCCTGGTCCCCATCCCTGTCCTCTGGGGGGCAGCAGACCACGCCGCAGCATGTCCCTGCTGCCCTTGCAGCACCCTGGCACCAGCCTGCCGCAGCTCCCTCCCATGGGTGAGCAGCTTTTGCTTGACAGGCACTTATTCAGCTTATAAGTGGGGTTTGGTACTTAGACATAGACTGTGTCTCTCTGCCCGTCCTATTCTTGTGATTTGCCAGATCTCTTTTGGGGCTCGCTCAGACCCTTTTCCTCCCACTCCTTGGACATGTCCTCACAGCGGAGTGTTGGCTTTGCTGGTGGGATGTCTCTGAAGATTGGCAGGACCTTGGCCAGCATTGACTGCTCCTGAAGCCTGGCACTGACCATATTGTTGCAGAGCAGATGACATTACAGTCAGACATCTAAGGTTGATTCCTAATCGACATAACAACGTTTTTCAGCAGGCATGTGGGGAGTGCGCCCGGTCAGACTCTGCAGCATAGCGGCTACACTGCTGCGGGCGTACCGGCCCCGCGGCCGCCCCCGCACTCCTGGCCGGCGGCCAATACACCGCAGCACGCGCAGCCCCCGCCGCCCGCGCAGCCGCGGGTCCCGCTGCAGCAGCCGGCTCCGGCTGCGGCTCCCAGCAATGGCCACGCGGCCCCGCAGCAGATCGCGTGGGAACCCGAGGAGGCCTGGGACAGCGACGCAGATGTGGTGGTGCCCCCCGGCCTGGCCGACGTGCCGCCGCCGCAATCCGGGGGCGCGAAGGGAAACACGTGGCGGCCGCGCAGCCTCGAGCGGGTCAGCTCACCCGGGCTGTACCAGCAGAACAAGGGGAATGCTGCAGGGCCCTCGCGCCTGGCCGCCACCGAGCCTGCGCATCTGCTGGACGAGTTTGATGACCTGTACAGCGGCTTGGTCCAGCAGCAGCCGCAGCAGGCGGCCGGCTTCGCCGCGCCGGTGCTGCCGCCGCCACCGCCGCCGCTGAAGAACCAGTTCCCGGCGCTGCTGCCGCTCGCGCCCACGCCGCCTGCGCAGGCCTTCGCCCCTCCGCCCTACGGAGTGGCTGCGCAGCAGGACGAAGCACCGCCTCCTTTGCCAGCGGTGGGCACCCTTGCTAATTCAACTTTGCCATGGACACTTTATCTGGTTAGAGACAGAGATATGCAGACATCAAGGCAGTGCGAGTGCCAGAGATGAGAGGAAGGGCTGCTTTGCAAGTGACATTATGCAGCTACATATGACCTGTATGTAAAGTCCTTCTCCAACTGATGGCTTTGCGCTGCTGTGTGCTCTGGAGCTCCTATTCGTTCCTTGTCGAGGAAGCAGAGAATGAACCAGGCTGGATATTCTTGTGTGCGTGACTTACATACTGTCTGCGCTGAAATAATGTGCGGCGGTGCAGGATGAGCCGCCGCCGCTGCCTCCACCTGAGGATGAAGACGATGACAACTTCCAGCCCCCGCTGCCTGCTGGCCCGCCACCGCCAACGCCGCCGCCTCCCGAGGCCGCAGCCGGGCGGCACGGCGCGATCATGGATGTGGAGATGCAGGACGCTCTTCCCCCGGCCCCATCGCTGCCCAAGACCCGGCCGTAGCATTGACGGTGCGACACCGCTCCATGCAAGCGTTGCCAAATAAGCGACGTGAATCCTGTCGTATACCATTGCTGAAGTGATCTCTCTGAAGTGATCTCTGGATTTCAATGATGGCGTGTGCAGTGTCTTGTCATTGTTGTCCAAATCTGTGGAGTGCAGGGTGATGTCCTTGTTGACTGCGCTGCTGTGGTGAGGCGCATGTGATGCTCGTGCAGGTCGTCTATGGGGCAGACAGACGGTGTGCAAATAGCGCACGGATTGGTGGGTGGGTGCTTAGAAACAGATGTTCAGGAACACTGTTGATATCTGTATATACACAGATATGTTGGCTTGGGGTGAGAATATTGGTATCTCCAAGAAAAGAATGGTTAATCACTGTGGCAGACGCGGGGTTTGGGGTGAGATGAAATACGTGTTCAAGAGTTAAAAGCAAAAGGGTCTCATGATCCAGCAGAGGTGGTTGGGCAAGCAAAAATTGGATGCTTGTTCCTTAATGGTCTAGAATCTGACTCCACCGGGTTGACTTCATCCTGCATCAAGAGGAATCTTGAGCCAGCGCCTGGCAAAGATCTCTGACGTGAGAGGAGATTAGAGGAGAGGATTCGTGACATCGCTTGCTGAGGTACACCCTGCTCATTACACCCAAATCGCAATGCATGCTTCCAAGTCATTGACAAGGTCTTTGAGAATGCACAAGGCACGTGCACGGCCATCTGATTTGTTCCCAGCTCGGTCAGTCACAGATCTTGCATCCTTGGCAAGATGCAGAACATTGACATGCTAGCCATGCATCCTCAGATCCTGAGCCTCAGACCTTTGTAGGCTTAGACTGTTCAGTCGACTAAAGTTAGTCAGCTAGTCATGCATGTCCTGTCCTGTCTGGAGCCCACCATTCCGCTCCCAGTGGGAGCCTCTCATCCTTTGATTTCCACGTCCAGTCCACATAGAATCCTAGCAGTGTACCGCCAGAGCTCTAACTTCTTATCATATGACACTGTGAAGCATGCCCTTGTGCACCTGGAGTGTAGTACGATTGTCAAAGAGCTTCTAGAAAGAGCTTTGAGCCAACAAACCTTGGATCTTGTGAAGATGTCTTCTTTTTACGCATCTGTTCTGCCTGCAATGAACTCGTGAACAAAAAAAAATCTTAACTCCACTATACCCGCCTGCTTTCAGGCGGACTGTTCCGTTTGACTTTAAACGTCTCCATTTGATCCATGGCCACTACCATGGAAGGATGGGCAGGTGATCCAGAATGGCTCACAGATTCAAATTTATCTTTAAAACAAGTTATACATCTTCCGCTGAACTTCTATTGCTTTACAGGGTTGTATCCGTCAAAATGCCTCCGGCATGTGGGACTCAGACTGGTGCCAGCAACCTGGCGCTGCATTAGACAGTGGACGACTCGGAAGGGACAGCGTTCTGGATAGAAATTTGCAGATTCGTGAGTGGACGCGACGGTGCTCGCATTGGTCAATTACACGCAACCTTCTGCTACGACCCGAGGAGCTTGGGGCATGGATCACTCATCGGTGTTATTTGAACACCAGCAATTTCCGGAAAGTGAACGTTCCAGAATATCCCTGCAGGAAGATGCTCAAACACGGCCCTTGCAAGCTTGTAGCTTGTCATCACCAGAAGATATGCGCGTCTACAACCAAAGCAACCTTGTGAACAGCAGGGCTCCACTCCGGAGATCGATCCACAAATCAGGTCTGTCATGAAGTGCCTGCAGCAGGCTTCTCTACCACGATCTCCTTCACATCTGCTGCGTTCTTCGCGGGTAGCTCCTTCACTGGAGTGCTGCGCAGAGCAGCGCCGCGCTCCCTGGCCCATGCAACCCATCGCCGCACAGCTGCACCATTTGCCACATGATGTCAGGACGAGCCAATGCACACACCAGAATGCAATCTCTTGATGACGTCAACAGAGCGTGACGGTCTCACATGACATGCATCTGCTCTATATCTTGCAGCTACCGTCCAGAGAGATGCATGTTAGGCGAGCAAAAGCACCAGGCCACATCACACGGTGACAAAATTGCAGGCTTCAGGTTGTCATGGCGGGTCGCACCCCAGTAGGTGCGTTCGTGGAAGTACATGCCCTGGTCGTCTGCCAGGATCTCTCCGCTGGCGACCTGGGCCGCGCGGCTGCGCTGGGCCTGCGCCTCCGCCGCCTCCTCCGCCGCCTCGTCCACCTCATCCTCAGCCTCATACGTCTCCCGCATCGACAGCGCCTGCAGCCACAAGTATTGTATTATCTTCCTGCACTTGCACACACTTCGCCTCTTTCTGACTAACGGGTTGCAAGATTGTTTTGTGTCCTACAGCATTACTACAAAAGGCTCCTCACTATCAAGGTGCGCCTGCCTCGCCATCATGCGCCCTTCTGCGAGCTTGCCTGCTCATGGTCATAAATGCCATTCCTGTTACAGGGCTCAGACCAAATTGCCTTTCCAGAGTGGCGTGTTCAGAGCTGTCCTGAAGACTTCTGTCAGCCATAGCGATCTAAGGTGACAAATGCCACAACTAGCCGACCCAACATAATAAGTATTGTAATTATTACACGCGTCTCCTGCCAAAAGGCAAGGTACGTCCTGCAGACAAGCTGCAGTTAAAGGCTGCCACAATCCTACCATAACAATGAAAGCTTGCAAATGCACTCATGTGAGATTTCTTGGAGCTCAGGCCCCTGACACTGCTACTTAAAATTTTCCAACGCTGCAAGTGCCTTGGACACTTGCGTGGAGTCGGCATGCGCGCCGTCACCATACTAGCATGGGTTTCAAAGTTCATGGAGGCAACTCTGTAAGTGTAAAAGAGCAGGGGCGCACGTTGAGGAAGGGGTCTCGAAGCTCGCGCATGACGGAGCCGCGGTTGTAGATGCGCTCGTCACCCTCCAGATAGATGCGCTGCTCCGGCCCCGCCGCGCTCGGCACATCCACCGCTAGCAGCTTGAACACATACCGCCCCTGACGCACACCATATCATCTTCACATGCGCTCTGCTGTGTATTGACATCATCCAAGTGCGCAGTACGGGAGCCAGGGAGATACTTCCCAACCTAGCATGCACTGAACACGTTTTTCCAGGGTAAGCCCCCAGCTTAGCGGGAGAACCATGCTGACAAAGGTGTCTCTCTGACTGTCAAGTTCAGCCGTGCTGCATCTCGGACAGAGCTGCTTTGGCTATATCTAAGAGGTGGAGCCTGAAGCACGTTCAACCAAGATGCAACAGGGCGCAGTACTCAGGAAACAGCACCGCCAGCACATCAGAAGCCACACATGTCCATCCAAGGTGAGAAGTCCACTGGTGACATTCTGATGCATGCACACAGCACCTTGACTTTCTTGGCCTCCAGGGAGACGAGGCCGCGGCGCTCGGTGCCGGAGAGCGGGAAGATCATCTGCAGCCGCCTCGAGCGCAGCCGTGGCTTCAGGTGCTTTATGCGCAGGCCGCCCCCCGTCATCACATATGCACGCAGGTCCGACCCGGCCACCGGCGCTCCCATCACCTGGCCAAATTTAAAGCCACATCATGCTTTTACTATATGGTTACATCACTAGACATCACAAAGTTAGCTTGTGACCTCTCCGCACCCGTGAGAAGGTCCTTCGGGGTCATAGAAAATGTTGTCAATGGTATCAATGGCCTTCTGGCCGATGTGGTAGAGGCTACAGGGAGAGTTCACAGCCAGTGAAACCATGTGGGAATTAATAGCACGAGAGAGACTGCCGGTTACCTCGAGGATGCCGGGGTTGGTGTTGAGCTGCACGAGCGCTTTGCGGTAGACAGCGTCCGGCCGAATGGTGTAGAGGTAGCGGAAATACAGGAACACCCAGGCCACAACCGCCGCAGCGAGCGCCTGATCACCACATCGCACGTCAGAAACAGAACTGCCCTCCCGTTTCCTTAATGTGATTGAGTGAAGATTGGACGTTCAGAGGACCGGTGGTAGCGCTCACCAGGAAGCCAAACTCGGCCATAGCACCGGACAGGTTCACAAACACGGATGTGAGGTTGAATATGCTCCTCCTGCAAGGCAGTCATGGTGCCTCAGGAGCAACTTTCACTGCATGCAGCATTACACATGTGACACCCAGGGTCTCCCGTGGGTACGACCAAAGAACATGCAAGGGTGATCTGCATGCACCGGCGGTAGCTGGGACCCACCAGAGCATGTATAAGGCAAAGACGGCACCAGCGCCGATGACTTTGTTGCCGTGCCGCTGCCAGAAGGCTTCAAGCTGCAAGGACAGCACTCTCTGCATCGCCCCTGGCTTGGAAGCTGACTGCACCAGCTGCTTCGCCTGGAGCCAACAGGCTCACCCTTATACTTTCAACAACCAGCAATACATGCTATTTTGTGCTCGCCTTTGAGGAGAACCATGAGTAGTATGCATTCAGGGAGGAGCCACCACGATGCCATGTGATGTGCTGCTTGAAGGGACATGCTCTACTCACCGAGCCAGGCAGCAGCTTGTAGGCTGCGGCGCCAGCACCCTTCACAGACTGCTGGACTGTGCCCATCACGGTCTTTGTACTACCGGCATTCACCAAAGTACTCCCAGGGCCTCTTGCTGGCGGGCTGGACTGGCTGCCGCTGCTGAATGTGCGCCTGGCTGCGCCCCTCAGCTGCGCTAATTGCGGCCCTGCAACATGCTGTGTCCGTGGCACCAGATGAGGGCCATGTGCCCCTAGCTGGTGTGGCCGGCATGCGCTGTGCCATAGCCTGACTGGCGCCTGAATGAGCGGTTGGAGACTATGTCGCTGACCAGATCTCAGTAGACAGACCTGCATCAATCATGGTCCAGGTCAGGTGCAGGTACATGTACTGCTGCAGTGAAGCAGACCTATTCAGGTTGGAAATCGGCTGTGGACATACCAGGCCAGCTGATTGCCGCTGCGAGATACCACTGTGATTCAAAGACGTGTAATGGTGGTAATCGGCAGTGAACTTCTGAGAATAAGGCTGGCCCTTCCCGATCTGCTGTGTGCAGGATCTGATCGTTGAAAATGCCCTGTCAAGTGCTGCTCGTGATAGACTCAAATGACCACCAACCTGCGGTACATCAGAGCAATCTATGGCATTGGTCGAAATCAAGTAATATAATAATCCTTAGGCGATCCGATGGAGAGTTGCAGCACAGCAGATCAATAAGACTTGATACCCTAATTCTTGCTTGGGAAAATATTTATGCAATCAACATGTGTAATTAGGCAGCAAATAATACCTGAGAGGGTGTATTGTGAGGAAAGGCACTTCTGATCAAAGCTTGTGTAGGTGTCTGGTCAATGAGTAGGATCTGTTTGCACTTCGATAAAAATGTGAAAGCAGCAGCAGATCTCGTCATGTTAGCAGCTTCATAGCAAAGCAAAATATCACTTTACTTTGAGTAAAGCATGCTTGGCAATTTAGGACCCAACTGCGTGAATTCTCCGAAGGTTGCACGCATGTTGCCATAATAGGCTTCATGCATGTCTAGGCATGCCCAAGGACATGCAGGAAAGGTGAACCCCATGACTTTGCCCTTTGAGTGACATATCATTTGATCTTGCTACTGATTTGAACAGAGATTGCTTACAAGCATATGTCAGCGCGCAAGTAGGGCTGGCTTCAATTGATTGTCCTGCAGAGCAAGTTTGGTACCGATCTAAAGTCACTGATGTCTATAGCTTTTAAAGTTGTCACCTCGAAGACATGAGCATGCAATCCGATTCAAGTCAATCCCATTTCCAATTGCATTAAAACCAATGTGATCACCCGTCAAGATTGTCAAGTGGTACATGTACAAAGCTCAATCTGCATGCGCACACGTGCTGTACAGCATGGAACAGTTGAGGCGGAGTAGTAATCTATAGGCTAGAGAGTTCCGGGTACACTGGTGGTACAGAACCTTTCAGAAAATGTCATGCAGTGCATTGCCCTGCAGTGTACAAGCACCCTGACTCTGTGCAGTCCAGCCTCGCGTACACATCATGAAACTGTGAATTTCAATATTGAATTAATCAACTGCAGTACTTTCGCGTTGGGCACGCGCCGCTGGCACCCTGATTGCAGGCAGACGCTGTACTACACTACTGTAGTACACCCTAGGCAGCAGAGATGGCGCTCTTCAAGGCGCAGTCTCCTGCCAGCTCCAGAGTGTAAGCGCTGGTGGTGTCTGTCTCCAGAGGCGTCCCAACACCATTCCATGTCACGTTTACCACCTTCACAGATGGAGTGCACCCGCTGCATTGCTGCTCCTCTGCAGGGGGCGGCGTCACAGCAAACAGTGGCTCTATTGCCTCCCCAATTGACAACACATCCGCGTCAGCACCTGTGGACAGGCTCTGCTTCAGTGACCACCCACCTTTCAAGTGGAATGACAGTTGGTGGGCGTTTAATTAGAGCGAAGACGGTGGCATACATGTCCAGCACCTCCTTGCTGCATCCTGCTGCAGGGCAATGTGACAGTAGCAATGGTGCAATAATTCAGGTGTTGCTTGACGTACCTAGTCCTTCAGGACTGAAAAACGTGTAACAATAGTAATAATAATAATAATAATAATAATAATAATAATAATAATAATAATAATAATAATAATAATAAGAATAAGAATAACAATAACAATAATAATAATAATAATAATAATAATAATAATAATAATAATAATAATAATAATAATAATAATAATAATAATAATAATAATAATAATAATAATAATAATGGTGCAGAGGGGTCACCTGGGCGACCGTATAGCATGATGCCAATGGGCATGCCGTCTGCTGCAAGGCCCACGGGGATGCTCAGCCCTGGGATTCCCAGCGGGCAGTCTATCATGTTCATTCGCCCATAGATCTCCAGATTGTCCTCCTGTGCAGTATTTTAGTATCAAACCTCCGATCCTAAGAGGTTCTGAGCTTTATCACCAGGACTTGTCACTGCTTGGACATCCATTATGAGTTGCAGAGACCAGCTCACTCCGGCACTGTCAATTACCATTAGTGGGCTGACCACTTTGCAAGATATGCATGCAAGAACAGGTCCCATCCTCAGATTGTGAGGTAGCCAGTGAAAGGGACATTTTCTAGTGAAACGGTTAAATTGAAGCAGGCAATGCACCTTGCGGCCATTGATGCTGACATAAGGCTCCACGTCATCGATAGGCCGTGCAGTGATTGGCGTGGTGGGCACCAGAAGCACATCCACATCATAGATGTCATGGTAGGACTTCCACAGCGCCTTCAGCTGCGGCAGATCTGCCATCCATACGATCCAACTTCAAATCTTTGACCTTTCATCATCTGTAATGTAACAGGAATACCTCAGCACCAGGCTGCTGTGCCACTCTAAAATTCAGCAGATAACCCTCTTTATCACTGCCGTGCAGGCTCGCATGTACCGTACTTGGCTTCAGGCAATGTAGTGTGTTGCGTTACAGCATGTGCAAGCTTGGTAGCAGGTGCGCACATGTGTCGAGCGCCAGAGTGTAGTCAGCAGGGGTTGGGTAGCTGTCCAGCTTCTTGTAGGTGCGTTGAATCATTGCATCCTTCACCATGGGTGAGGCAATCTTATCCACTAATTCCACCAAAGAGATGTTGTAGCCATGCTGAAACAAGTACCTGCATAGATGCAGATTTCCTTCCTCAAGCCTACTGATGTCAAGCTCTGCAGTGCTTGTGATTTGGCTAGATAATTGCATCGATTGCAAATTGTACTGCCTGTGTTGAATGGCCCCATGTTTCGGTGGGCTAAAAATTGGGCTACCAATGACAGTGTTGACATTGGCTAGATAATCAACTGGAACAGCATGCATGCAATGGTGACAAAAGGGGTGCCTGATGGCACCTTGAGAGTTCCCTGGGCATCTCATAGGTGTAGAAGAGGACGTCAGGCAGCAGCTTGTTTCCAGCATCAACGAGAAGGCTCATGTCCATTTCCACCAGCTTCACGCCTGCTGCCTTCAGAGCCTCTATGGCTGCATCAAACGCTCCTGTGGTCTGAAATGCAAAGAGGAATCAAATGAATCCAAAGAAACCCAATGACCTTTTCTATTAACAAGCAGAGGTACGAAGCAGAGTCTCCGAAGCAGAGTCTCTTGGATGTCTGTCTAAGTACAAAAAGGATGTCAAAAGGCTCACCTCTTCGCCAATGTCTTCCCAGAAGTTCTTGGGGTAGCCAATCCGCAGGCCTTCAACTTTGACCGCCTTGTAGGATTTGTCACAGTCGCTGAAAATATCGTTGAACAATTTGACGTCAGAGACTGAGCGGGAATTCACACCTGCAGCACAAGCCATACCATTGGAAGTCCTCCTAACAGACATGAGAGTTTCAATATGCCAGAAGCTGTAGAATACGGCCTATTCTGACTGCAATGATCTCTTCACATATGAAGGCGTACCAACAGTGTCTCGGGTGACAGTCATGGGAACAATGCCATCTGCAGCAGGCCAGCAGCCGGTGCTGGGCCTGAAGCCTACAACCCCAGTCACACTGGCTGGGATCCGGCAGGAACCCCCTGTGCAAACATCCCAGCTTCATCCATAGGCATGATGTGTCACTTTCGCTTGCAAGACACGATATGGATTATGTCGGCATACAGTATCGGCGAGTTGCATATCCTGTAGGAGGTACCTGTGTCAGAGCAGAAGCCTCCTGCAGCCATGCGCATTGCTACCACTGCCGTGGTGCCCCCACTGCTCCCTGTGCAAGTCAGAGGCATTGACCAGCCACTGACAATCCTGAACATGAATCCTGCAGAAAGTCCAGTGTCCGATGGCAAGGAAAACAAACCAGCCGGCTAGCATTCTAGCATGACAGCAGCCCACCTCCGACATGCATTGTGTTGTTGTAGGGGTTCAGCACGGGGCCTCCATACACATTGATGGAGGTGACGCCCTCTGCCAGCTCATGCATGCGCGTTTTGCCGAGCACCACTCCGTGCGCCTCCACCAGACGAGTCACCAGCGTTGAGCTGTTGCATGGCATCCTCCCTGCGTTTGGGAGAGGCGCGCGTCATCAATCACAAGGGTACAGAAAGTCATCAAATAAGGAATTGTTCAATTGATCACACGTAGAGAGTTAGACAAATGTGTAGACCTTCCTACCTTCCAGGGCGGGCGTTCCACCTGCTGTGGGGTAGCTGCGTGGCATCAGAGGTAATGCATCAGTACTGGCACAATTGCACGCGATATTAGAGCATTGAAAGTTTCTAGCAAGATGAAGCGATGTGGTGGATGCACAGAACGCACCCAAGGACGTCAATATTGTCTTTGACAGCAAATGCCAACCCACACAGTGGCCTGACATCTTGTCCAGCTGCAAAGGCGTCATCCACCGCCTGTGCATCTTGAATAACCTGAGCACAAACAGCAAGCATAAAAGAGTAGTTAGTTGTGCAACTCCAATTCCCTAGACTTCTCCAAGCTTTTCAGATCACCCAGATCACCTAGGTTTTCAACGTGTTCCCGAGATTCACCTTCTCCGCATCCATGAAGGCAAATCCGTTAACACACTGGTACTGTTCAGCTCTAGACAGCAGCGCTTTGGCGTATTGCACGGCAGTAATCTTCCTCGAACAGAGGAGCTCGACGGCTTCCGATGCTGTCGCTTCTGCGATACCTCGTGCATCTACCTGAGTCTCCCCTGTAAGAAAAGTGGTAGATCACGATATGGTCATCATTTGAAAGTTTTGTTGCCCACAATATTGCCCTCATGGTTTACCCGAATACGACGCATGGCTGCAATCATCTGCAGCGATCCATAAACTAGTTTCGAGCTTAGCAACCTGAATTTGACCAGGAAAGCAGTTTTCGTACCTTTAAAAAGATTCCCAAAACCTGCAACAGGTGCGATCAGCACAATAAGAAAAACCGCAAGGGCATCCATCGCCGTGCCTTCCCTCACTGAAGCGCACGGGAGGTTCTGCCTCTGAGAAAGACAATAACAAATATGTTACATGTCCGGAGACTGCTTCGGTTGATCCTCCTTACTGCTGGAAATTTTTCGCGATGGAGGGCAGCGATGACGTACTTGCCCTTGCATCAGCAACTCCAAAGAATTGGAAGCTAAACCAATAGATGCTCTCAACCTTGACATGCATGCAGTCCTCAACACTCGACAAATTTCTACCAACATGTCCACTTATAATATAGTTAACCTCCTAATTCAGGCACCGGTTTTTGGGACTCATCTATCCCTGTTCGAAGTCCAAACGTTATTGGTACACAATATCTACAACAACAGGTCTGCTTAAAAAAACCTCGCCGCCACTGTGGGACGCCGAGCCATACCAATTGGCAATTTGCAAAAGCTAGTGGCGCACGGCAGGTAGCTCTTGGCCTGAGCGGTGGTTGCAGGCACGCTTCACGCAAATACGCTGGTCTCTGTGGTCGACACTGCATCTGTCTGCAGATTAGGTGGCAGCTCTTCTATGCGCCACCCTTTGCCGGTTTGCGTGCCGTCAAAGTGCACGATCATCTGATGGTACTTGCGCAGGGCGGGCCTGTGGCCGATGGAGAGCATGGTGATCCCCGCTTCCATGCATGCCTTGTAAAGCACCTCCTCCCCATCCGCTGACACCTGCGCAGAATGAAACCTAGCACGTCACCACTTGCTTGATCATATCTTATTCGCTAATCTTCATTCATCTGTGAGTCTCCCACTGTTTTTAGTTCCCCGGCCCTTTTGCTGCAGCTCAACTTGGATTATGGCATGCCATATCCTGAAGCCCTGACATTGGCGAGCGTCTCCCCAGTATTCGGCAGATTTGAAAGATTAACGTTGTGGGCATTCTGAAGCAATGCAGCATACTTGCGAGGCCTTACATGCACACATAGAAGCTTGCTTTGCTCTTCTTTCTTTTTGTCCTGCAGAGTAAAGACAAAGGAGCATGTCTGCAAGTGGATGGGAGACTCACCGCAGAGGTGCACTCGTCCAGGATGGCATAGACAGGGTTGTGGAAGAGCAGGCGAGCCATGGCCAGGCGCTGCTTCTCCCCACCGCTCAGCGTGTCATTCCAGTTCTGCACCTGATCCCACCCCTTCCCCCTGCATTGCATCACAGCACAACATTTAATGATCCATTCTCATGCCATCGTGGCTCCCACGGCACGCATCAGACGGCCATGCAAACACCCAACGGAACAACAACTGCCCTTTGCCACCACTGAACGGCGCAATTTCCTTTCCAATCGGCGAGGAACAAACCAGTAAGCTCCAATGGGCACAGAGCAAAACAACCTATTTCTGCAGCGTCTAGAGGTGCTAAGTATTCCTCTGGCCTTGAGCAACCAGCCGACCTCTAGGCAGGGCACCCTAGTAGCAGGGGGAGTAAGTAGAACAACTTCCATTCTGATATAAGACTATGTACCTGCCCAGCAGGTAGTCCAGCTCCACAGCCTCGATGGCGGCCTCAAGGCGCGCATCCCGGTCATCCTCGCTCATAATCGCAACCGGCATGCGCTCGAAATCGGCGCGCGCCGATGGCCGGGCGGCGGCCCACACGGCGGCGGGCGGGTGCGGGTAGAGGATCTGGTCGCGCAGGCTGCCCGACACAAGGTACGGCCGCTGCGACAGGTAGAATGTGGAAAACAGCGCGCTCGGCACTGTAATTTCTCCGCCCTGCGCCACAGCTCTGAGTACATCAGCTCGATAGTGACATGTAGCATCGTACATCTTTCGGGGTGCAAAACTCAGCAAACCATGCAAGTGAGCAGCATCTGCCGCCTGTGAACCTTCTGCGTTGCATGAGCACTGCAAATTAAGCAAGCGAGCCGTGTTGCTGCCTTAAGTCTCTAGAGGTGCTTGATGCCTCTTGATATAGGGATGAGGAGTAATTTAGCACATGTGCAAGTGTAGGGTGGTGTGAGGGTGGTGGGGTCACCTGGAGGGGCCACAAGCCAGAGAGGACTCTGAACAGGGACGACTTGCCGCTGCCGTTGGGGCCCATGACCAGCACCGAGCGGCCCGGCGGCACCTCAAACGTGAGCTCCCGCACCAGCGCCGTGCCGTCCGGTGCATTCAGCGCTAGGCTGTGCACCAACCACGTACACATCACTCATATTCCTCGTGATAAATGAATACCAAGGAGCTTGGGAGCTGAAGAATATGCAGAGCACCCTTGTGGGCTAGGCAAGAAGTTTGGAAGCCAAATGCCTGGTCCGCACTGCATTCCATACCTCTTGCTGCGTTCCACACGTCATGGTGCGAGACTCACTCTGTCACACATTTCACTTCCTCATGATAATGCCATGCACTGTATGCCAGCGCAGCCGGTGAAAGCCTGAGCAAGGTGCAAGGTGAGCCACATACATATCTCAATCTGATTTGTATCAATGCGAAGCAGACTAGATCTGCACTGGACCAGGAGTCATGAAGAGTGCAATATGCTCTCACCGGTGGAACTTGATGATGTCACCCTCATGGCGGCGGGGCTCAGGCAGAACCTCAGGCTCGGCCAACAAGGAGGAGGACGACACGTTGCGGTTGTACAGCGTGCGCGTGGTCTGCTCGGGGTTCCCTCCGCTCAGTCGCTGCACCTGCTCCAGCAGCTCTGCCACGCGCGACGTGTGCCCCGCCAGCCCAGTCACCCGCCGGTACACCAGCACCAAATCGCCCACCCCCCTGTGAACAACATTCATTGAATGGACCATGGTATATGGAGACCCTGCTGCTCGTGATGGGTAGGAAGGGTCTTGTCACCAAAAAGAATCCAATATAGCGGCAAGAGAGCAAGAAGTGTGTGGCTCTTAAAGTAATAAGGACAGGCAGCCTGGGGCACTGTCATTGGGTGCTTCTGCATATAGGAAGCCGGCATCACCTTGATGTGTTCTGCAGCAGGCGCATGGCGCGGATGTAGTCCTGCACAGCAACACATACATCTCATACAGACTCTACTGTAACATGCCAGTACATGCAGATCTGCATCAATTAATGTTGAGGGCATGCCCACAAATTATGACGGAGTGCACAACAATGCACTGTTATTGAGGCCCACCTGGGTGATTTCATCCTGGCTGCCGCGCATGGAGGGATCTCTGAAGTACAGCGGGGCAGCATAGAGCAGCAGGGCCACCGCGCTGGCCATGTACTTGACAGCAAAGCCGTCAAAGACCTGCTGCACGAACCGCTGGAGCGCCGACAGATGCGTGTGCTTGACCATGCGCTCCAGATGGTAGTTGAGCACCAGCTGCTCTGCCTTGCCCGAGGGCGGGTCGTTGAACGCTATCTCCTCTGCATTGCCCACCACTCGCTGCAAACACAGCCACCAGCACACCTCTGTCAGCTGCGCTGTGGACCAGTTTGTTTCCATTTCTGAGTGGGGTTTGCTTTTGGGCGCACGTGCACCTACAAACTGGGTAGAATTCTGGCTGGCTGGCGCTTGCCTCAAGGCACCCCAGAAGCATGAGATCCAGCTGGGATGCCCTGATTGAAGGAATGGCGCTATCTTCCCAATACCAAGCGCTCGCCTCTGAAATGTTGGTGCCAAGTCTCTCTACTGCCAAGCGCAAGCGACCTTCAGATATCATGTCTTGCAGGATGAAAGGCACTTCCACCCGTCCTTTTAGACCTAAATTGGGAGTGCCTTTTCTATCCAGTCACATGGCCAGCACAAATGTGCTGCACCTGGTGCGCGGATCTGAAGGCGCCTGCGAGGCCGGTCTCCTGGGCGGTCATGAGGGCGAGCGGGGGCGAGATCGAGCGCAGAACCGTGGCCGATAGCAGGTAGTAGGCGTACAGCGCCAGCTGCGTGCGGTAGCCCATGCTCTTGGCCAGCGAGCGCGTGAACAGCAGCACGTCCAGCAGCGGCTTGAAGGTGTACGAGTATAGGTCCGCCACCGCGAAACAGAACTTCTCCACGTCCTCCGTTATGCGCTGGTCCGCGTTTGTCAGGCCTGCCCGCACATGACGGATGACTAAGTTCATAATAATAAATTCAGGAGGAACAGTCATAGACTTTTAAAAACAACCCAGGAGGGAAGTCGCCCCAGAACTTTGAATCCGCTGGAAACCTGTTATTATTATTATTATAACACGCCTATCCAAGCCACAGTTGGCTTAGGTGCGTGGAAACCTGTACTGTGCAGAAAGAGCGCAGAAGAGGCACGATGCGATCACCGGGCGATGGAGGAGATGAGAACAGAGTAGGGGTCAGTGTTGGGCGCACCTCCGAGGACAGAGGCTGCGTAGTAGCTTCTGTTGGAGCAGTAGAGCTGGTGCAGGTGCTTGCTGAGCCGCATCATGAACGCCAACTGGATCTCCTTCTGGAAAAACCTGCATGCACCCAGTTTCCTCTTCCGCCCTGACCATGAGAAAACCGGTCCTTACAGTAAGCCCTGGTGCACTTTAAAAACCGAGTGAGCAATGCTCTCTAGACACAGGCAGGATTGATGTGATGTACACACCTCAGACCGGAGTTGACCACAGCTGCAGGTACAGACACCCCAAGGAACGCAGCCAAGCCCCTGACGAACCCAGGGAAGTTCTGCGAGAAGCAGTATATTCTCGTCAGCGCAAATCATGTGAAGTAAGTGCAGCACAGGCACTGTTGCATTTGCCACAGGCAGCGAGAGCTTGCACATGAAGAGCTTCACCTGGGCTATGAGGTGCCGTCCCGCTCGAGCCTCAATCCGAGATATGCGATCTGTGAGGAATGTCCTTGAAACAAGCAGCCCGCCTTGTAGAAGGATCAGCAAAGACTCCTTGGACAGCACCCTTGGCACACATCTGCATGCAAAACCCACATTCTTGAATTGATGGTCAAACAGCAGCGCAGGGTGCAGCATCCTCAGGCAGAGTGTGGCTGCACATGATACAAACGTTGAGGGCTTGAACACCAAAACGTTGGGAGCATCAAACATGCGAGAGCCACTTACATCTTCAGGATGCGCAGAAGCCTCTCATAGAAGACGCGGTCAACAGCCACTTTCTCTTTCTTCTTGCCTCTCCTGCGGGGATCCTCTACGTCTGCACATAAATTTGCCTGCTGTTTTTGGGCGTGGTGAACCTGCTTCTGTATCTGCCTGCCTCCAGCCACTCCACCAGCTATGAGGACGACCTAACAGCCCCAAACACATCTGAAAACTTCGCACCAAGGTCAAATCACGAAACTGTTGAACTGCCATCCAACAACTATTGAAATGAATTTGAAGCAGACTTCGATATTTAAAGACCATCCCAGATCACGCTCGCATGGGAACGCAGTGTTAGGAAACCATTCAGACTAGCTGACCAGTGAGTGCCAAGTGACTTGCGCGCAAAAGAAAACTCAGCATTCCGGAAAGTAGGGCAATTAGATAATGCAATAAGGAAGCGTACCGCGATAACGCGCTTCTCCATCACTCCAAGGCTGGCCATGACGCTTGGAGACGGATGTGTTATTGACTAGTAGACTTGGAAACAGAAAGCTTACAAGTCACATGACAGAGTCCAGATGCAGCAAACCACATTGTCTTTTGACCGTATCTGACGTATTCGTTGGCCTCTTTCCAGCACTTGTCCAAGGAATTACATTTTGGGTCTTGTCTTGTCCGACTTGGCAACTAACGCGATAGTTATGGTGAGTCACTAGTCAGTCATCCTGGTTTCTCGCTCGTCTTTAAGAGCACAGGCTGACAAAGCCTGCAGCGAAGATTTACATTTGATTCCCAATTTCGAGTGTGGCGCATTGTGTTTTGTACGGAGTTTGCGATGATCATAGCTGTGGCGAAGCAGTGGGTGGAGGGCTGCTGAGCTCCCCCAACAAGCGCCACCGCCCTGAGTCGGTGACTGCTCTAGTGAGCAAGGGTCAGCCCAGCGGCAGGGTGCAGAGGCCGGCGCAGCTGAGCGCTGGTGGCGGCACTTCGGCAGCCACCGCAGCAGACAGGACCCCACCCTCCCCCTCTCTTTCTGGTGAAAAGACTGCAGCCGCTTCCAGGGCAGTGGGGAGGGGCATCAGCGCCGTGCGTGCTGGTGGCCACAAGGAGCAGAATGCAGCGCCGGAGACACAGGAGCGCAGACGCGAGGAGCTCGAGCAGGGGTGGGAGCAGCTGATCGCCCAGAATGCGCAGCTGAAGAAGTCCAGGAGTGGCTCGGGGCAGCAGCACCAGGATGGAACCCTGCCCAGCTACGGAGCCCACTTCAGCGCTATTGGGGCTGTTGTTGAGGCTTGCGAGCATAACAGCAGCGCGAAGGCTCCCCTGCTGGGGCTGGTCTCTGTCCTCGTGCAGCATGGCAGTCACAGAATGTTATCTGCGGTCGCGGACGCCTGAAATTCTGCGCACATGACCAGGACTTCAGAGAAGTGCTGCTGTAGATGCTGCAGAGCGGGGTAGATAGGCTCTTTTGAGTGCTCCAACATGAGCGGTTTCCACGCTGGATTCTGCATGTGGGATCGCCTGTTAGATGAGCCCTGCTGGAGATCCGTAGACAGACAAGAAATGAAATCTCTTCCTACATTCCAGCGTTAGCAAGTGGACAGTGGGAGGAGTGCATGAGCAGACTCTTGACTCAAGTGGGGAAAGATGCGGCATCTGCCCAAGACAGGCGTCCAGGCTGCAGGCCTGTAGATGCATAGTGTGGGGTGACCATGAGAGGTGAGACCAGCAGTGGATGCGTTCGGCAGTCAAACCTTTGCGTCATGATTGGCGGCTAGCAGCTTGGCGGTCAATGCTGGTCTTTCAGGCAGAGACTGCTTGGCCTGAACCTTCACATTGTTTGCTATGTATGTACAGTTTTGAGTGTCACCCTGAGATTGCTCAGCCGTTGGTGGCGTGCAGACCGTTTCTGCTCACGGTGTAAGAGGTTCACTCTCCATTGATAGCAGATCCCAATAAGAAAAGGAGCTTTGCGCATGAGTTCCAGCCGCTCAAGGCTACTGCGGTGACAGCATTCAAGGACTTAAGCAGTCAATGGCCATGCATGCTATCCAATGACATAGGGTGCCACACTCCACATGTGCTTGGCACCTGCATGATCTCATTGTCTCCATCGATATCAGCGGTAGTGCAAATACAGCAGGAGGATCAACATGCATGTTTCTCTTTCCTTGAAGGACCGCGCAATTACAGATTCAATCAAAAGACAAGATGGTCCCAACAGTGCCAGCAATGCTCATATGATACACCACAGATCATCGACCACTGCAAGCGGTGCAAGAGCGCAGTGATCGCACAACGAAGCAGTAATTACCCTCTTATAAGGCACATGGGGTTCTGGCCTTGTGTCATTAGTACTCATCTTGGTTTCAGATGTCGAATTTTCAAATTGAATAGGCCAAGGGATATGAACCAGTGCCCTAGGCGAGGGCTTCGAAACGGTGTTCTGACGTGCACGTGGGAATCACGAAAGAGTGAGTCACTGCAAACATTCGGCTGCTTTGGCAACTCGCCGGGAAAGTCTTGGCCGATTTTTAAGCTTGACAGCGTCAATGGTAAACATATACCTAGAGTAAGTACAAAGAAAGTTTTGCACGGAATAAGTGATCTTTCTGTCCCAGGTTAGTTGCCTTACTCGGTTTCATCCACTATTCCTGAGCTGGACGTACGGCTGTCTATGCATTAGGAGGAAATTCATATATCAGAATGACGTCTTTAAAGCTTTGAAACAAGCTACACAGGCCGTCTGGGAACATATACGTGTCCAAGGAGGAACAGCAAGAGGCCAGATGGGTGTCCCAGCCTTCTACAGATGGCTAAGCCAGAAGTGAGGATACAAAATATAATCAAAATATCAATGTCTTCATTCAGCACTTATGACTAAATGTTTACATGTCGTCCTGCTTTATGGATGGCCCTCAGATCACTTTTCCTGCATGTGAAAATTGGGAGGATGTCATTGTATTATGTTCATTCTCTCCTGTGCAGGTACCCTCTGATCATTCAGGATTGTATCGAGGAATGGGCTCAAGAAGTTGGGGGTGTGGAAATTCCAGTCGACTTCTCACAGCCAAACCCCAATGGCTTGGAGTTTGACAACCTGTATCTGGTGCGTCCTTTGGTGCATGGCCAATAATCATTGCTTTCAGTCAGTTTCAGCTGCTCTCTGGGTCTTCAAAGTCGTCGCCTGGTCCTGACTACATGTCCTTGCTGCTCCTGCAGGATATGAATGGCATCATCCATCCTTGCTTCCATCCGGAGGACAGGGTGAGTGAAATTTAAGCCAACACTGAACACAGAAATGATGGCTTACTGCATGCGGTTGATCCTTCCGAAGCAAGGATCTTACTGACACCATTCATGCAACGCAGGCTCCACCAACCACCGAGACAGAGGTGTTCCTGGTGATGTTTGATTACATCGATCGCCTGTTTGGCATTGTGCGGCCGCGGAAGCTGCTCTACATGGCAATTGGTGACCACCTGCAACACTCTGTTTTAGATTTAGATTCATTTTGCAGCTGGTGTGCGTTAGTTCTAATGCCGCTTCTCCGCCAGAGCCAAATACCTAGAATGATGTTGCAGCTGCTGATGTTTTGTTCTGATCGTGAGGATTTGAGTGTGGTGTAGATGGTGTGGCGCCACGTGCAAAAATGAACCAGCAGCGGTCTCGGAGGTTCAGGGCTGCGCAGGATGCTGAGCTGAAGGAGAAGGAAGAGCAGGCCCTGCGGGAGGAGTTTGCAAAGCAGGTGCTATTCATTGGAAAAAAATTCAAGAATGCAGAAGGCTTGTTCTGTGGCGTGATGAGCGGATGTCATCATTCTGCGGTCACTTGAGCTGTGAGAGAGGACTGTCAGGGACAACAAGCTGCTCTGCTGGAACAAGACGAGAATGTTGCTGTGGCATTAGTGTGACATCACCTGACGTCCTTTCCATATCTATGCGCGCAGGGCATAAAGGTGCCCAAGCCGGACAAGAGTGAGACATGGGACAGCAACACGATCACCCCCGGCACGCCCTTCATGCACCGCCTGTCGCTTGCCCTACAGTACTACGTCCACCTGCGCCTCAACAGCGATCCTGGCTGGCGCGACATCACTGTGCGCCCTGCGTGTGTTTGATTTCAACTTGACCTGCAGGTCTCGTGCACATGTGCTCTCAGAGCACTTCATTGTACTGGGGGACATGAAATGCGCCAGGATCTGATCATGCTTTTGATTTGCTAATGCTTGATTATTATCATGGAAGGGGCGGGGGCTGGCATCTGAATTGTTAGCAGCAAGCATTCTTATGTTTCTGCATGCATGAGATGGGGAGGTGATCCTGTCTTGCAGATCATTGGTAATCACATGGACAACCGTGACTGTGCAGGTGATCCTGTCGGATGCGAATGTGCCGGGGGAGGGCGAGCACAAGATCATGGCATACATCCGGGAGCAGCGCGGCCGCCCCGGCTGGAACCCCGACACGCGCCACTGCCTCTACGGCCTCGACGCTGACCTCATCATGCTCGGTCTCGCCACGCACGAGCCCCGCTTTGTCATCCTGCGGGAGGCACGCCGTCCTCCCAAGCCTGGCACCCACCATCCCCTTCAATGTCATTTTCAAACCTTTAATTGAGAGCTTAGCGTGCCTCCAAGCATACTAGTACCGGCCTTGCTGCGCGCAGTATGTGGGCCTGGCTTGCCCATGCATTTGAATCCAAAGTTTAATGCATTTCCTGTCGTGAAAGAAATCTTGAATTCAATTTTGAGCGGTATGGGTCGGGGCGCAGGTGGTGTTCCAGCCGAAAAAGGAGGAGAACAAGCCCCTGCTGGAGCAGGTGCAGCGAGCGCAGATGCTCACGCGCAACGACCCGGCCGCCCCAACGCAGGATGATGCACCAGAGGAGCGCAAGGAGCAGATCGCGCGCAAGCCTTACCAGTTCCTTCTGGTGAATCGGCTGCGCGAGTACCTGGCGCTGGAGTTCAGAATGGACGCCCCTTTCCCCGTCGACACTGAGCGCATCTACGATGACTTTGGTGAGCCCCGCTAGGCCCGTTAGAATTCTTTTTTTATTGCTATATTCCTTTTGG